TATATACGGAGTACATATGCAGACCAATTACCAGCGAGTGCGTTACCAAGAAAGGCATCCGTAGAAGAGGGATGAATATGATACCACAGATGCGTATAACGTACCGCTTATTGGTGATCCTGGATAGGGAGTGGCGCAAGTAAGGAATCTGCAGCTCTTCCTTGCATCATGAATCAATGATGGAACATTGGACATCAGTTGGATGTCCTTTCTTCCTGTAAAAGTATTGCCTAGTTCTCTAGCTCCGAGGTTGTTCCCGCCACAGCCGCGTATATCAGCCTACGGATCGGTCGGGATTCCTATGCTGTATATGGCCGCAATTGGACTACTTTTTTCTTCGTTTATAACCCGCATACCAAGCAGAATCCTACTGGTACGGTCTTAGGGTTGGAACCATGGATGTATTATTTGTCTGTATGTTGTACGAGCCGGGTCGTCCGCGTCATAATGCTGCCTATCATCGGACGAATGATCCCCCTTATCTGGAAAAGGCTAACGGGCGCGCAATATACTGAGACACTTAAGGTTGACCAGCATAGTTAATCTAATCATTGTTCCTTGGAAGGGCAAAAGAATCTTCGATGAATCATAGCTATGGAGCTTAGTGAAGTGGAGGCGGCGCTGATAATATCCGACCACCCGTCCTTCCAACCATACAAATTTCCGCTGAGGAAGGAAATACCGCCCAAAAACTGAGACCTATTCCCTCGCAACGTCAATTTTCTCTTATCCGGCCCCATCCGTTGAACGACCTTCCCTGCTCATGGGGGTATAAAACAGAGTGGCCAAACCAACCCAGCTTACAGTGCGGGGTTGGAAACACCCACAGATGTTTTCTATTGCTGCCCTCGGATAGTGCATCATCCAGAACCCGTTGCATTCCTATTAGTATTATTATTTAGATATTACCATCCCCAGGCCAAGGCTGGTATATTAAATCCCTAAAAATACATACGCGTTGAAATCCACCGGATTTGCGGCTAAGCTAGCTCGGCTTCCATGGTCTTATACTCCATAAGGCGGAGAAAAAGAAAATCTTGCTCGGTATCAAGTTTGTAGAGCTGATGTGCAGTAGTTCTACACTATACCTGCTTAGTGATTACTATCCGTTAACCAGGAGTTGTTGTAACTATTGAGTAAGCTTAGTAAATAGACAGAGCAGGATATTTGTAGTAGGTGCAGCAGGGACTTCAAACGAGACTTTAACTGGGCAGCTCGGGTACTGTTTTTAAGGCAAGGTTTCGTCATTCTTACTACGGCATACAGCTGCTAATCCGATGCCGATCGTTCCCTTTTCCACACCGCCCCAGTCGCGGTTTCACTGCCACTGCTCCAGCCTCAGTGTCTGGGGGTACTCTACCTGGTATTACGTTACCGAACCCGGTGCCTGCAGGTAATGATTGTTCCATACCAGTACAGAAACTGCCCTGTATATATCCCTTCCCCCGTGCCCAAACGTGTTGGGAACTTGGGATGACTCAACTAAATTTCTTCCAACTAGCGCTCTTGATTGCCTTACTTGGTAATTTTGCTCTGTAGGTTTACGCTTCATAGGTAATTTCTAAGGTATTACTGCGTACAGAACACTGGCTTCGGCCAAATCTTACGGTCCCTTCTTAACCCCCACAATAATGTTGAATAGTGAGTAGGGATGGACGGCACCAGTTGCCCGATCACCTGCCTCCTTGCACCCTGTTGTTTTCATTCAATCTCGGGCCCTCTTTCCTCATCTGATTCGCTAGAAAATATGGCACAGCAGCTGCACACGTTGAATAGTATCTTGCGGGGTTGCATGGAGGGAAGAAATTACCCATGATATAATAGACAACTCACACATCAGGTGATAGTCACCCAAGTGTCGGAAGCTGAGTAAATTCGTCACTAGATCGTCTTGTCAGGTCTAACCAGGTATGTACATATATCCATACTAGTTAAAGTACGGAGTAATGGTGCGCAGTTTTAGACTGTAACCTAGGAGGGAACTGGGTTCAGATATGTAGGGATAAAGTAATTAGTCAATTCCTTGTCCCAGAAGTCAAACAATTTGTATGCTGAAGATGACAGGGAACAGAAAAATATACTACTGTGGAGTGATCAACCAAGAGAAATAAGGAAGCTCCTAAGATCCACATGCTTTTCCCCAGAACGACCGCTGTCGGGCTCCTGGGAAAGGCTATATCTGTATTCTGTAACATGCAAAAAACGATGATGCATGGTAACATCATAATTAATAGTACATCCATTTATAGGGATGCGGATCGCTACCTGGAAAGAAGGATGGGGTGCCAGTAATGGTCCAATACAATTGAAATGACGGTGGGCGTTTTACCTTCTCTCCATAATCCATAGACCGTATTTCTGTGGGGATCCAAGATCTATGACAAGAGACAGACCATCAATCTGTTACAAATTCACGGCTACAGGCCCAAAGGGATGAACAGGGCAGGATCCACAAATCCACATATTGAAAAGCCGCACATGTAGGTATGGATTCAGCCAAAATGGTTGGTATCGGTGTCGTGGACATGAACCTTCATTCTTCCCCCCTTTTCTTCTGACAGTTTAGGTATGGGCCAAGGAAAACAAAGAGAAAAAGGCGAAACACCTTATCGTCAGCCTGCTCCAATTAGGTGCCTGCAAAATTGACAGTGACATCACATCCTTAGGGATTATCATCCAATGGAATGGCAGATCAGGGGTCGCTCCATGGTATGGTGTTGATGTCTACCTAAGCAAATGGTTGCGCAGCACCAACCAGACAACTGTTAACTACCCGATTACCTAGAAGTATTCCTGATCCATCCAACCAGGGCATAAAGGCAAATCGGGTTAATACGAAGATAGAGGCAGGGAGAAAATAAAAGTAGTCGTTTAGTAGTATCAAGGTGATCCTAGATGTGCTTCAAAGGGTTCCCTAGCTAACCAGGGGCAGAAAACAAAAGAAAAGAAAAGAAAAGAAAAGTAGAGGATCTCGGAGTTTATTGGGATCGTTAGATTTAGTTTATCACTTGGGCCGCTGTTGAACAGCTCAGCTGTAACAGACTTGGAGAGTTTCTATTAGAATGCCCAGCAACAACGGCGGAGTACATACCTTAATTATCATCCCTTTCCCGGCATCCACCTCTTATATAGATCGAAGCCTCCTCCTTTCTCCTGCACTGGTTGCCGTCAAGAAGTCCTTGCAGTATCAACGTCCTGATTTCTTCTTTTTCTTATATTTCTCTTCTAAGTTCTTTGGTTGGAAGTCTAAATTTGCTTCGGGATATCTTTTGACCAAATCCCGAGCGCCCCCTATTATTATCTGCCATCTACCACCACTATCACCTCATATTATTATCTGTTCACATTATACTACTAGGGATTGTTGCCAAGTCTATCTGTGTTTGGTGCCAGAGAAGATTCCTGTCAAAGTAACATTTTGGTTTCCGCCTAGCAGTGGGCCAGTGGGTAATCAAACCAACGGGAAGAAACAAACTGTACAGTTGATTTCCGTACGGTTTTGTTTCCATACACATACAGTAAATGTACCACGAACACAATACCCATACGTCAGAGCAGTGAGTCGAGCTTTCTTTCATTGAAACATCCATCCGTTTCTTCGAATCGTGCCTTCCAAATCCTTTCCCCGAAAAAAAAAAAAAAATTCCCAAGCCTCTCTTCTCTGTCCAACTCCGCCGCCATTCGCCTAATGGAAAGCCCCATAAGAAGACGAGAGTCAGATTCGATTTCATTTCCTTTGATTTTCTATTTTTCAAGGTCAATCGACTCTTCGGCTTCCGCAAGTTTCCAACTCTTGGACGGAATAACGCAACCTCTCCCCGTCGCATGATCATCTCTCTTACTTACATCCTGGCGGGTTTTCGCTGCAGGTCCTCTACTACAACGTAACCGTGCATGGAGATTGAAACCGCGAGACATTGAACCGCACTAGACGAACAGTCACAATCTTCACATCGTCTCTTCCTTACTCGGTCCAATCTCCGATTGCTCATCCGTGTCCTTCCCCTTTGGACCACCTGCATCACTGTGTTGGCAGGCAGTCCTGCATTGCACTTCCAGTCCTCGTCACTGCCGCCGATTGTCCATTTCTCCCTCAGCCTTCCCTCGCTCCTGGCGAATACTAGCCACGCCAACTGACGCACAGTTAGCTGGTTTCCTTGTTCAGTCAATTCGGACGTGGAGGAGCTCTGCTGGCAACCAACCACATGCGCAGCGCATTCCGCCTTTGACTTGCATGTTATTTTTCCATTTCTCTTCATTCTCTGTGGCCACTATTCCTCCCCTCGAACTAGAAATAGGGAGTAAAGAACGAATCTCACTCCTCTAGAGACGACTGCGTGCAATTGGTCCTGCTCCGCACCCTTTGCTCGCTCTTGCAGAAACATAGCTTTCCCCGCGTACTGGAAGATCGACAAATTGAAGAGGGGTAATAAAAGGATTTAAATCGAAGGGTAAGCAGGGCAAGCAAAAAAAAAAAAAAAAAAAAAAGGAAGAAACGATACGAGGAGTTGGTATCAGGAAACGTGGCGAAGGTCAAATTTAAGTGATCAGTCAACTGGGAATAAAGCCACCAACCAGCGATTTTTGTTCCCCTCCTTTGATAATACTGGAATTGCTATCATTTTTCTTTGTGGGTCTTTTGTTACACAAAGCCGGTGTCTGTTTCAATTGTTATCAGGGACCATTCCCTTCACGCGAGCGCTCTCCGGCAGGGCACTCCGCATTGCATCAAAGGCGGGCCAAGATGCAGATATCCAAACCACAGCAATCCCGCTAAGGACGTGGCTTTTGCATCACTCAGCCAGACACGTTCCCTATTTGGCTCGTATTGCATTCCAACTATAAGCCGCCATTTTTGGAACTAACACAACTACTGGGATTCTGCAGTGCTGTTCATTCGTCCTTCTAGGAGTCCAGGTGACTCAAGCACTGGCACGGTTCACGACAGGTCAACAGTCTCACGTTTCGCAGCCAACTGGTACTCCTGGTAGGTAGCCGCAATGGCTAACGCCGTTACTTCGTCAGCTTCGACCATGAATGGCGATACCCATGCCAATTTAAAACTGACAACCTCTCTCCCTAAATCCTCCAAAATAAATCATGTCGCGGCTCCAATTCTGCCTACTTCCAATTCGCCTTCGACGCCATTATACACCCCTTCTCTTACAACCACTCCAAATTCTCTTCGTCCAACCCTCGCCCCTTCAAATGCATCGAGTCCCTCAACCACACCTCTGCAGATAGCTACAGACGGGCTTCGAGGTCGCATATCTTCATTTCCTACTATCCCACCTTCTTCGCTCGACCTGGGAGAGTCAATGATGGCATTTCCGGGTGCTGCCACTGCCTCAGGCTCGGGAGAGGCTCTCAACAATGCCAACAAAGGCCCCGGCTTGATGCGCAGAATTTCTCGGGGTGCAGCCCATAAACTTACCCGGAGACGACAATCCACCTCTCACAATGAGAAGCGTGATAGGAGCTCCGGTCCGGTTATCATGCGCAGGCGCAGTGACAGTAAAACCGGGACTCAGAATACCCGTGAAAATGCATTGGAGTCCAGTAACGAGGAAGACAGCAACGATGCCTTGGAATCTCTCGGCATCTGGTATGGCTCAGACGCATCTAGCTTGCCCAACGACAACCCTATCGGCCTTGCTCGCAATGCTGGTGCTATTGCACCCAAAGTTGACTCAGCAATCCAGCGTGGTACCATTCTGACGAAGGTCACAAGGAAGAGGAGAAAGCAGGTTCGCTTTTTCCTTGACCTTGACGCGGGGAAAGTTTACTGGGATGTTTCTAATCCAGCCAAAAGGTTTTATATTGATGATATCAAAGAGATTCGCGTCGGCGCTGATGCGCGCAATTACCGCGAGGAGCATCAGGTCGCCCAGAATGCGGAAAATCGTTGGTTTACGATTGTTATTGCTAATGCCGAACGGTCTAAGGGGCGGGCTGTCAAAACATTGCACCTTATTGCTCCCAACGACCATATCCTCGATCTCTGGACTACCACGCTTGAAGACATCTCGCGCTATAGAATCGGCCTTATGGCTGGCCTGGCGGGGTCCAGCCAGAGTGATGCCGTTTTAAAAGCACATTGGCAGCGCGAGATGTCACGATTATTTCCCCACGGGGTGATGAAACCGGGCGAGGACGAGAGCCTCGATTTCGGAGCTGTCGAGGGCATTTGTCACAACTTGCACATCAACTGCTCCAAGACAATGCTCCGTATGCAATTCACAAAAGCAGATTCTGGTGCCAAAGGCAAGTTGAACTTTGATGAATTCAAGTGCTTTGTTGCGCTCCTGAAAGAACGGAAGGATATTCAGGACATCTTCAAGAGCAGTACCGAGGATCACGAGGGCCTTAGCGCCGACGAGTTTTTGGCCTTCCTGCGCGACGTACAGAACGAGGATGTCGATTCTGATCGGTCTTATTGGATCTCTGTTTTCGATAAATACGTCCGAAAGTCGAAGATGCGTACGCCAAGCTCGCCCGATATTGGTGATGGCTCGGTTCCTCGGATGGGTATTGATGCTTTCTCGTCCTTTCTGTCGTCTTCCTGGAATGGGATATATGCTTCTCAACCCCCTCAGTCAAGATTTGACAGGCCCCTAAACGAGTATTTCATTTCTAGTTCACATAACACCTATCTCTTGGGGCGCCAGGTCGCTGGCGCATCCAGCACCGAAGCATACATAAGTGCCTTGTCCCAGGGCTGTCGCTGCGTGGAGATTGACTGCTGGGATGGCGCTGACGGTCGGCCTATTGTGTCACATGGAAGGACTATGACTACGAGCGTCTTGTTTGCCGATTGCATCACTGTCATCAACCGATATGCATTTATCACAACTGACTTTCCTCTTATTCTCTCTCTGGAAGTGCACTGTAATCCGGAGCAGCAGTCAGCAATGGTGAAAATCATGAAGGAGACCTTCAAGGATCAGCTTGTGCTTGAGCCGCTCCTTACAAACACGTTTGTCCTTCCATCCCCCGAAGAGCTGAATGGCCGTGTTCTTGTGAAAGTCAAGACATGTGATGAGCCCCAAGCAGAGATGCGACAAGAATCGACTGGATCACTAGCCAGTACAGGTCGTAAGCGCAGCTCAAGCTCGCCCTTCATGCGCCCAGCTGTACCCGAAAGCCCAAGTATCGCAGGCATTGCTCCACTTTGCAATGGCTCTGCTCTTGGACTAGATACAATCTCCCCGATTTTAACGCAGGACAGGAGGTCCTTCACGACCACCAGCTTGAGCAGTGCTACAGAGGACAGTGATGGCGCTCCAGTGTCAGCCAAGAAAGAGCCCAGAAAACGTCAAAAGAGCAAAATCACCAAACCTTTGTCAGATCTAGGGGTGTACACTCGTGGTTACAAGTGGCATAGTTTCTCATCCCCTGAGAGCCAGCGACCTAACCATGTATACTCATTTGCAGAACGATCATTTGAGAGTATTTGCCGCGATGCCGAGAACAAAATGCTATTTGAAAAGCACAACCGAAAGTATCTTACACGAGTCTATCCCTCGGGGTTCCGGCTGAGGTCGTCCAATTTTGACCCTCTCAAGTTCTGGAGACGCGGCGTTCAGATGGCTGCCCTGAACTGGCAAACTTACGACATTGGCATGGAAATGAACCAGGCCATGTTCGCTGCCGGGAGTGACCGCACTGGCTACGTGCTCAAACCGGAATCCTTGCGTGTTTCGAATATGTCCAGTGAAGGGAGCCCAGAACGAAAAGTCGTGAGATTCACGGTTGATGTCATCTCAGCCCAGCAGCTACCTCGGCCCCGCAGCATCGGCCCTGATGACAGCATCAATCCCTACGTGGAAATCGAGATGTTTAGCGCAGATGACCGAGGGCAGAGCTTCGTCGTTGGGGAAGGGGGCATGAATGCTTCTGCTCGCAGTGGTGTATCAGGCATCGGTTACCCGCATCGCCGACGTACAAAGATCGAGAAGAGCAACGGGTATAGCCCGATATTCAACGAACGATTCAGGCTCTCCTTAGAAACCAAGTATCCGGATTTGGTGTTCGTTCGCTGGACGGTCTGGAGCTCTGTAGATGGGCGCAATGCAGGGAGCAACAACTGTGTTCAGCTGGCCACTTTCACGGCAAAACTCAGCAGCCTGTCCCAGGGTTACCGTTACTTGCCTTTGTATGATGGTGGCGGCGACCAATACTTATTCTCCACCTTATTCTGCAAAATCACCAAAGAGAACCCGACGTCTGTACAGCGGCTAGATGGCGACGAGCTAACAAGAGCCGAGCGGCCGGGTATTTTTCGACAGATCGGACAGTCCGTCTTCAAGCGCTCGTCATCAGCGGAAAGGGAGAAAGACCTGCAGTCCGACAAAGGTAGCGAGACCCCAGCGAGCTTGGAGGATAAAGATGCTTCACCCATTTTGACGCCGACAATTTCTACCACATCTACTGCATCATTGCCTCCTTGATTTGCTGATTGGAGTTGCTCTTTCTCGGCCATCGTCCCACTCCCCTCCCCTCTTATTTCTCTATTTCATTTATGTTCCATTAAAGGTGTGGCGTTATGTCATTGTTCATTTCATATGGGTTTGCTCTGTATTCATGATGTCACTCATTATCTTATATTTTCCTTGACCCTCTTTATATCTTTCCTCTTCCCCCCTTTTGATCAGGTATGTTCAGGGGCCTTGAGTTGTTCGGTTACTGAGGCTACCACTGGAGTGTCCAGAGGACACCATAAAGTTCTCTCTGTTATTTATGTCTTCTGTTGTCTGAGTGTGATGGACACCTGTGCCTATGCATTGCGGATTTTTAGGGCGTACGCTGATCTCTCCATTTGTTCTGCTGTTTACCTTGCGACTGGGATTACATTTGTTTGATGTGGCGATACCCTTTTCTAATTGTGCTTGTGTTCTACTTGTTTGCTTATATTCTGCGAAGCATATGATTTGTCTCGAGATCTGAGGTCCTGGTGACATTTCTCACGTTTTGTTTGTTTCATTTCCTTTGTTTCCGTCATCGGACTGGCGGTCGCATTGCCTAAGGAGTCACCAGGGAAATGGGTGCATCATTAGGTATAAGTGGTGGAGGATTACATGTACAAGACTGGATCAGAGGCCACTGACTCCTGGGGGAGATGTGTGCTTGCCATATGTTGATTTCTGTTTGTCCCTACAGGGTTGCTCCTGAGGATCACCTGGATGGGACATGGACATGTTTGTCTGTATCTTTCTTCTTCCTGTCTTAATAAATACGAAGGACGCGGCTGGGACGCTTATTTGAAATCCCGGCGATTGACAACCAGCTGCTTCTGGGACTTTGAAGTCATTTCAGGTAGATGGGACAAAGTAACACATAGTAGCAATCGATGCCTCAGGAGCTGTTCGGCACACCTGCCCTACTCCCGCTCGGCTCACCTGCCGCCCACCGCCTTCAGAATGACAACGTGACGACTTCCACGCCAGCGAAGTCTCCAAGTATACGTCCATCAACTTCTCTAGCAGCCAACCCTTCTCGAAGCTCTATTCTCTGTCTAATTCCCAGACACAATGGACCCATTCTCGGCGGAAGGCGGTACGTTACCTCCCGATCACCTCCCATATCACTCTGTTCCTCTCAATTGACGACTATTGCTCCCCGCAGAACTCGTTAACATACACAATGCCTTCCACCAAGGTCAATATCAAACCGTGATTGACTTCGATACCTCAGCCTTGTCCTCAGAGAACCACCTTCCAGCCCGCGTCCTGCAGCTACGTTCCAAAATCGCTCTCAGCCAGACGGACCAGGTGCTAGCCGACGTCCACGGTGAAGATGAGACCCCTGAGCTGGCGGCGGTGAAGGCCCTAGCACAGCATACGGCCGGAGATAGCGACTCGGCATTGAAAACTACCCAGGAGCTGGCGGAGAATTATCCCGACAATGGTAGTGTGCAGGTTCTGTGTGGGACGTTGCTGCAGGCACAGGGAAAGAGTGACGAGGCCTTGGCTCTGTTGACGAAGCACCAGGGGAATCTGGAGGCGTATGTGTAGACATCTTCTCGTGGAAGTTTGCTTAATATCACGATCGGCGATGCTGATAGCTAGGTAGAGTTGCCCTGATCGTTCAGATCCACCTACAACAAAACAGGTCGGATCTCGCTTTGAAGGAAGTCCAGGCCGCCAAGCGTTGGGCTCAAGATTCTCTTTTGGTTAATCTGGCGGAGTCGTGGGTTGGAATGAGAATTGTTCGTTCCCCCGCCCTTTTTTTTTTTTTTCTCCCTCCCCTTTCTCTCCAACTAATGGATTCAGGGCGGCGAAAAATACCAATCTGCCTTCTATGTTTACGAAGAACTGGCTTCTGCCCCCAGTTCATCTTCGCCCCTTTCGATCGTCGGACAGGCAATTGCCGAAATACATCTGGGACGACTCCCTGAGGCGGAGGCGGCGCTGTCGGCTGCCCTGGAGAAGTACCCCGACGAGGCGGAGTTGATTGCCAACGCGGTGGTGCTGAATGTATTGGCTGGAAAGCCTACAGAGGAGTTGGAGTCGTATGTATTTTCCTTCGTTGTGGATGCATCTGGGAATCAAATACTAATGGGTCGGTTTCTATTCTAGACAATTGCAGCAGACCCAGCCCTCCCATGCGCTCCTGGCCGATGTTCAGGAGAAGAGCGCATTGTTCGATACGGCTGCAGCGAAATATTCAGCTCGGGTGGCTTCTTAATTCTATTGTGACTTGATTATTTCTTGCGGTGAATTATGCGACGGCGTAGCAATTGTATTCTCAGATATTACCAGCGAGACCTATTTTCTCTCCCACGGACGCCTGATTCTCATGATAGACATTATATTGTGATACCTACAAAAATCAATGAGACTCAACCCTTTGTATCCCGTCACACATATCCGCCATTTGCCATATTTGTCTACCTAATTACTAGTTGTCCTTGTAGGATCGAAGGATGTATTCATCTGTCATATATTCTTGACCATTAAAAGCAAGTTCCCAGCCAGTCTTTCAGTCCCCTTCCCTGCTGCGTCTCCTGCCCTAGAAACGTCGCACTATAGACAGGTGCAACGTGGGTTTCCTCGTGGCCCACGATATACGTGACGTGAGGCACTACCGACTTTGCTCCCTTGTCAGCAATGCATCTCGACGACGAAAGAAAGCACATACCTTAAACTTCTTAACAAACTCCTCAATCCCCGAAAACAGGATCTCATCTCTCCCCGCCAGGAACAACACCTTCTTTGTATATCTACTCGCATCCATCCACCACTCAAGCGACGCCCTACCCGGCTCACTCCAAACATCACCCGTGAATCCCCCCAGGTACTCCTTCGCCCAGAACTCCAGCACTGGACCCGAAATCAGATCCTTGGACTGATTCTCCTGGATCGAAGGCCAGTCGGTACGGAACCGCACCCACGGCGCAAACGCAAACACCCCAGCTAACGGGCTCGTGATGTACCCATCCAAAGGCTCGATCTCCGGATGTGGATGTGAGAGATGCAGCAGGACCGTCAGCGCGAGATTCCCACCGGCGGAATCGCCGCCCACTATGACGTTACTTGGGGATCGGCCCGTCTCGAGGATAATGTATCGCAGGGCTTCGACGGACTGGCGCAGTTGTACGGGGTAGGTGTATGTCGGCGTGAGAGAATACGAGACGAAGAATATGGCGATATCATGGTCGGAGGTATTGAGATCAGATAGGATTTGAAAGTAGAATGCGAAATGGCCTGATATAGCGGAGACGGCGAATCCGCCTCCTATATGGGTATCAATCCACTGAGTGAGTATCTAGTCTGCAGTCCGATTGAAACCGAATCGATCGATTGATTTATTTATTTACGCACCATGAAAATAGATCACCACGTTGGTGGCATTCTTGTTCCCAATCCAGTGACCCGTTGCCCCGTGCTGGAGCGTCACCGTCTCCGGTGGAAGACCCTTATGCTTCATGAATGTCTCGTATGCGGATCTGGTGGATGGGTAGATGTATCTAGGAAGTGTTACAATGCAGGTTCCATTCGATTGTGTATGGTTGACAGGAGGCTGGGAGGGAGATGGGAGGCATCAAGACATACTGCAGCTGTCTCGAACTCAGTCGAGAAAGCATCTTCCGGAAGATAACATGACCAACATGCACGGAGTATTGTTTTGCACCAGACTTGCCGCGAAATATGCTGGTAATGGCACTGCAAAGTGCCGATCTGATGATGGAGAGAAAGCTAAAAGCCAGGTCGGCTCTCTCCCAGAAGGAGAGGGAGGGGGTAGTCTCGGTCATTGTGTCAAGGCTAGCTAGGAGAATGCAAATGTGCGAGATGAAAAGATATAATGGGTGGCTGATATACAGCTCGGTGAATTTACAGGATGGTGCAGGTTCCCCGCAGCGACGAGTCGTCGGATCTATTACCTCGGTTCAATGAGAATTGCATACATGATTTCGATTGCATACAGCCATAATGTATTTCAAAAGTTATCTCCATTTTTGAGGTACAAAATCGAGGTATCTAGTGTCCATTCACCATGTCCTCCTTTCCTGTCAGATCACAGAATGCCTTGAAAGTAGTGAAAGTCCCATCGCCAGTGCTCTCGAGAATACATTCAGCGGTAGCCCCAACGAAGAACACATAGCCCTCCTTGACCTCCTCTGCCTTGTGGCCCACGGTGATCTTTCCGGTGCCTCCTGTACAGATGAGGATACTCGGTCCGGCCAGTCCATCGAAGGTGGTCTTGGCACCGGCCCGCTTGAGCTCCGTCTTCACCACGCTGAACTCCTCAATCGGCGGGTCGTAGAGAACGCTCGAAGAGGCGCTGGAGTACGCAGTAGCATTCAGTACTACATAGGGGTAGTCGCTGGGCTCCAGCTTCTGTTCCCCGATCGGTGCATAGGAATACGTCAGCATCTCTGTGAGGGTGTGGACGTCTTTGAATTTTGGGGTGAATCCCGCTCGCACCACGTTGTCGGATGATGCCATGCACTCGATGATGTCTCCGGAGATGTAGGCGTGGATGTCATCTGCCTTCAAAAACATGGCCTCGCCTGGGGCAAGGGTGACGAAGTTGAGGAAGAAGAACACGAATAGACCGATGTCATCCGGGAACTGTTCGTTCAGGCGGATGATGACGGCGGCCAGCTCCGTGGGATTACTGGGGTTTGTTTCGGGCGTCCTGGCCGAGGTGCCAAAGTTATCAGGGGAGCTCTGCGCTGCAGCGACGAGCTCCTTGGTGGCCGCCTCAATACTCTCGGGCGATGCCTGCATCAAGGATGTGAATGCCATCCGCAAGGCCTCCTTGTTCCTCTGTGTCACTGCCAGGTCCTCCGAGTCTTCCGAGCCCCTGATGGTGTTTTCGAATTGACTGGCGACGTCTTCACCGACTAGCTGTCGAAGCGGAGCCACGGCATTGAGGAAATGAGCGATCTCAGCCAACGGACGGAAGCCGCACAATCCTTCGAACGGCGTAATCGCGATGGTCATCTCAGGCTTGTGGTTGTCATCTACAGAGTACGGTTAATGGGGTTGAAATAGCCGGATGGAGTATCTTGACGGACCAGGATAGTTACGAGGGTCTCTGGCGTGAAGCTTCTCAGCCAGCTTCTTGTTCGGGTGGGCTTGGATGCTGAGTGCTTTTCGGATCGAAAGTACCTTGAATAAGAACGGGAGTTTTCCTCCATATCTTTCTGTGATCTCCGTAGACATCAATGCCTGATTATCCTGAACCATATCGAGCAAAGTCCGCCGCGTCGCGAGGTCTTTCGATGGTAGGGAGGGATGAGTGCCCATCCATAGCTACGTCACCAGGTTAGCTAGAGACTCGCCAGAGGGGGTTCTTCTTCGCCTTGGAGGACCGACTTCGGCGTAGGGCTTCTCAGATTCTATGGAGAAGTCAGGAGTAGCAGTCGTTGCTGCATATCTGGCCGCAGCAGAGTCATGGCCGACCTTTCCTAAAATGAGACGTCTTAGCATCCTGGTATTGTCGACCGAGGGTCATCACGGATATTACCCCAGTCATAACTGTTGACTCCTGTTCATTGTATTAGTCCCAATGGAACCCACACATGCAACAAGATAGAATACACACTGACCACACTGGAGCCGAAGCAACGGCACTTGCATTGTGGGGGGTTCAGAGATGAAGCTTAGACAGCAAACGACGAGCTGAGCTATTCACTCAACTGCAGGAGAGTCTCCTGTTGTCTCCCGCGGCTGCACTTCCGGTCTCTGGTTCTCTGTCTCTGTCTCTTGATCGCCTCTGCTCTCTTTCTTTTCCTCTTCTCTTTCCTTCCTTGACTGAACTTGACCTCCTCTTCTCTGCCCCTTCCAAACCCATCCAATCCACAGAATCGCCCTAAACCTAATTCAGCTGACCGCTTCTGGCCGTGACGTATATGGAGCCAACCAATCAGCGTGTCCAGTGGTGGAGCACTAAGCGCGTTCCCGACAGCCGCGATACGCACGCCAAGAACAGCCGCGATACCGCCGCTTCATCTCCGAGCCATCATCAACAATCCCCGGAGTCTCGCTCTTTGTCAGCTTCACCCGAGAAGAGCCGGAGAGGTTTCAGAGCGTCTCCTTTCCCGCACAATCTCCGGGAGGGTGCCGCCCGTGGCACGCGCAGTACAGGCACGAAGGAGATCGTTTCCGCCTTTGAGTGGGAGGCGTTGCAGTTAGAGCAATTCAAGCACCTGACCACCACCTCAACCGTACAACAGCAGCAAGAGAAGGCTCCCTCGGCGCTGGGTTTGAGTCCTCAATCTCCCGGCATGTCCCGGAATCGTCCTCGGGGCCCTCCCGTGCCCAGGGACAATGGCCTGGCGGCCAATGAAGAAACAGATATGTGGAATAAGATCCTCCAAGACCTGCGCAAAGCAAAAGAAAAGCATGATAAACAAAAGACGTTGTCAGAGCAAATCGGTGCTCTGAATGAGAAAATCGGTAGAGAGGGCAGTAAGTAATTCTCCTCCTTTCTTCCCCGTGAAATGTCAGGGGGATTGAACACGAACCGCTAGCAGAAAGGCGGGAGCAGTGCAATATCTTTCCTCTTACGTTTTTTTCCCATTCTTTTTCTTCTTACTTTCACCCACGTCCAAACTATTGGCATTAATAACTGTTGGTTGCAGAACCCTCAGTAAACGAGCATAATCAGTTGGATAGTCTCTACCGGCAGATGGCCAAGCTCTGCGAAGAAGAGAGAGCCATTCTCCAAGATGAACCAAGTGATGTGATTAAAAACCTGGGGCTTTTGACGGCCCTCCGTCAAGCCTCGGAGGCGGAGGCGCCCCTCAACCGCGCGTCGGCTCTTTCTAAATCTCGAAAGAAGAGAAACGATGTCGACGGTTCTTCCACCGACTCACCTGGCCCCTCTGGTCCCTCCTTGTCCGACAAGGCCAGTCGTATCAAGGGTAGCATTCCACGCAGTACTAGCGTATCCAGTGCGCAAGCGCGCGAGGGCCGCGATAGCCGGGAGGGAGTGAACGTCAAGGTGGAAGAAGGAACCGAGAGCGCCAAGGGCACCCCCGCCGAACGTAGTGGGCAACTGACGGTGGGCGCCGAAGTCGTCTTCAAGCATAACAAGAACAAACAAGGTGTGGAAGGCGAGGGCATTCAGTGCATAATCAAGGGGATCACAGGTGAGGGACACAAAAAACGGTACGGGATGACTCTCCCCCAGTCAGCACCCGGCAAATCACTGACCCAGGATACCCCTCTTAAGGTATGATGTGCAAGATCCCGAACCCAATGAAAACGGCGAGCAAGGCGCCGTGTACAAGACCACGGCCGTTTCGTTGATCCCCATCCCGCGAGTCGGTTCGGCGTTGCCCTCGTTTAGCGTGGGAAAGCAAGTGCTTGCGAGGTATCCTGATACGACCACCTTTTACCGAGCGGAGGTGATGGGATCTCGAAAGGATACTTACCGGCTCAAATTCGAAGGTGAAGAAGATGACAAGGAAATGGAGGTTGATCGTCGGTTTGTTCTTGACATTCCCGGGAAATAATCCTGGAGAAAGAATTCTTTTAAATTGTCTATGCGCATCGTTGTTGGGCCTCGACGGCAGTCACCAAGATCATGATACCCTCTGAGCTCGGAATCAATTATCTATTTAAGGAAAAATAAACATAAAAATAAAAAAGGCGGTGGAGTTTGGTTGGGCGATTTTCTAGCTTACTCTGCGACAGGATGCATTACTTGACATGGGGGATCGGGAGTTTTGGCAAATTGTGTTCTTTATATACGGTGTCATAGTGATTGTGATTGCTCTAAGTTATCACTAGTCTAGTCTCATTATTGCTCTTCGATTTCCACTTCTCACAGTATATACTTAGCGTATTTCAACAGATCAATCTGGATCGACGCATTTAGAGCCCGAAAAGCCGCAGTGAAGTACGGGATTTCCTGGCCATTGTATACGCAACGATTGCCATGCAGATCGATAGTCACGTTGCCGAAGTCTGAATTACTACTTGCCCATATCCCTTGATTAATGATACTGGACATGTTGATGTTCCCTAGAACGTCGGCGTTGGTGTGATTTTGTTGTAGAGTAAGGTTCGGAATGTCGATGTAGCCGAGGGGAGTGTTGCCCATCGAGAGATTGAAGCTGACGGTGCCCTGGGAATAGTAAGTAAGACAATCCCGTAACATGGAAAGAGTGAGTAGGGAAAGGGGAATGATACCATCTCCACGGTAAATCGGGTCGGATTTCGGAAGGCAATTGTGGCGTTTATGTTATATCCCTGTTCACGAGGGCTTATGATACGCAGATCGGTGATGTTGAATGCACCGTTTAGGTTGAGGAACTCTGGTCGATATTAGTGGAATTTAATTCGAGAAAAATTTTCGAGATAATTACTTTCTTACCCTGCGCATCGTAACCTATCCGAAGTTATACACATCAACTCAGATCTAGATGGATAAGATGGACAACTCACCCTGCATAGTCATGGTCTTATGGAAGTCAAGATGTGCTGTCGGTAGCGCGTTTACCTTCAGATCGGGCTTCCCTGTGAGCAAGATGCCAAACTCCTTGTTGGAAATAGCTTTAGTGGCCAATTCCGAGAAACAGCTGACACAGGACAAGTTCAGAACTTGGTCCAGGTTGAGCACGGCGCTATCGCTGAAGCTGATTTGAGGGATGGGGAGGGTAGCGAAGCTCGTATCTGACCCAGGAATGCTAAGAGAGGCATTGAAAGGATCGAGATGTCCACTGCCTCGAAAACTCCCTCCGATATGGAGTTTCTGGGATTGGCTAATATGTAAGGAATTCGGCGTCAGGTCGGTGATGGTCAAACCGGAGTAGTCGAATTCGTAATCGTTGATGTACTTATTGGCGAAATGAGGGACTCCCACGTAGACTCTTTGATTTAAAAACGATTAGCGGATGATAAACGGTTTGAAGTAGGCGGATGCAGGCACACATTGGCAAAACAGTGATCAGGACGACAATGCAAAAGACGATCAGATACAGCCACCACCATTTCTTCATATGAGTCTTCCATCTCTGGAAGAATGTCGGCGGGGGAAATGTGTCATTGGTTTCTGATGTAGCTGAGCTGTGCTCCTCATCCACTTTGGACATCTTCTAGAGGTCGATTCCATGTATCGACTCTACCGAGAGAGATGGGAAGGGTGAGCTCAGTTCAAGGTCGTCTGATGCGGTGGAATCACACCTGCTTCCCATTTTCCTGATAGAAATACATTGAAGAGGACTGGATCAAATGGGGCCATGGGACGACCGAGGATTGACCAGGAATAATACCCGCCCACATTTGTCTTCTTCCTTGTGTACGACCCCATGGGGGGCGAGATACTTGATGTCGATCGTGTATCCACTTCACATGAGATACGACCTATACGTCGACGATGAACCGCGGTAGTGATGTCAGTTGTAGTTGGAGCAGATTAACAGTATGGGGCGAAAAAGAAAAATTATTACTCCATACTACGGAGTACGTAGGCTCAACACGCAATCCTGGCTCAACTGGCATACTCAGAGGTACTTGGAGCTGGATGGGGGGACAGCGGTGGTCCTTCTAAGGAATGCTTGTTTGTCGTCAGTCTGTTTGTCTGTTGACGACCTGTCTGTTTGTCTGTTGTTTGTCTATACTACTGCACATTAAGGATTTCCACTTCTTATAAATATTGATTAATGATAATCTACCGTATAAATCGATGTATTTTACAATGATGATGTCTTTGCTTCTTGGAAGATGCTAGAGTCGGCAGTTGACTAATGCCTGACTAACCCATACATGACTCAGCATACCCATCTTTGGGAGTCACCCCCAGATTCCCCGAAGACCATTCGATCCAACTTCGACTGTCTAGTTATCCGGTCTTCGCTGTAACAGTCTCGAATCTGCTTGTCTACAATGCTCTCAGGTAGTCCATGATCCTGCTTGAGTTTCCTGTTTCTGGCCCCTTCTCTTACTTGTGATTTCCCCTTCTCCGATCTCGGCAATGGCCAACCTTCCCTCCCACGCCTCCCCCTCCTTCGCTGCGCAAACGCCTTCCTCCTCTGCGGTCGATGATCTCTCCTTGGATGACAATGGCCCGACTACTGCGCCGTTGAATGGCCGATTAGATATGCTGCGTGCGAGTGCCACGAGCGATTCCGACCATGCCGGACACAACCAAGGCGACGTCACACCCGCCGTGCCTACCTCACTGCTATCCCCGTCCTTCACTCCTCCAGCAACCCCTGGTGGCTCCCTGAACACATCCCAGTTGGCACAACAAACGGCATCCTCGAAGCCGCCGAGGCTTCTCTCCTGTCTGCCCAATGTCGAATGTATCGTGCGCGCGCGCATCCCCACCACCAATGGCGCGGAGATGTTCCTCCACCTCTACCACAACGATCTCGATGACAAGGAACATCTGGCCATTGTGTTTGGAAACAGTATCCGAAGTCGGAGTCTGGATCGGCCCCGCCCCGGCGAGACGGAAATGGACCGCATGATCCGCGGTGCCTATGTCGGAAAACTGCATCCTGGCCGCGTCAGTAGTCGGTACGACGAAGCAAACACCGAGGATAGTAATAGCGCAAGAAGGGAATCTCCCCCGGACGCACCGGCGGTGGATCAGCCACAGTCGAGCAGTCCCAGCCAAGCACCACTGGTGAGAATCCATTCCGAATGCTACACGGGGGAGACGGCATGGTCGGCTCGTTGCGACTGCGGGGAACAATTGGACGAAGCGGCGCGGTTGATGTCTTTGCCAATGGAGACCCTGACGGAGGTGGCTTCGCAGCAGTCTGTCTCTTCTGTGCCTTCAAATGTGTCTGGTGGCGTGATCGTATACCTGCGCCAAGAAGGACGGGGGATCGGGTTGGGGGAAAAGCTGAAGGCGTACAACCTTCAAGACCTCGGGTCCGACACCGTCGAAGCCAATCTGCTGCTTCGGCATCCCGCCGACGCCCGGAGCTACGGATTGGCCACGGCGATGCTGGCGGATCTGGGGCTGGGGGTGGATTCCAACCCTCACGGCATCCGGTTGCTCACGAACAACCCGGATAAGGTGCGAGCGGTGGAAGGGCCTAGCCGAGAGGTCGTGGTGAAGGAACGAGTACCGATGATCCCGTTAGCCTGGCGGACAGGGGGAAAGTTGGGGATCACCAGTTCGGAGGTGGAGGGATATTTACGAACCAAGGTCGGAAACCTTTTCCGGATCGACATGACCGCCTGCTAACCTGAGAATTTTCCACAGATTTCGAAGATGGGACATATGATCCAGTGACGGGGATGATTGATTGTACGATCTGTAGATGCATGCGTCTAGGGATTTCTTGTTCGATGGGGTTATTGAATTGGATTGTCTCGACAGAAGTAAAGGCTCCGGAGTTTTATTTTTATTTTTATTTTTTTTGGTTCTTTTGTCTTTTGTATAATGTTTATTTTTATTTTTATTTTTTTTTTCCAGATATACTGGATGGACTTATCCATTCATCATACGAGAAGCAAAAGATTCATGTATATAGAGAATGACAGGGAATCTCACCCCCTGGTCCGATCGAATGAGCGTCTTCTTTCAGCAGTCTCTCGTATAGCGAAGGCTAGACGCGGAGTGAACCGGCGCGCTCGATCATGCTCGATCCACCGAGATCGTCCGTACCATGTACCTAGTTCTATCGTCTCATAACGTAGTTAACTAACTACTCTCAGATCATTATCTAATTCTCAATTTCACGCATGTGAAGGCAGGTTAAACTTCGGCGGAACTCCACTTGTTCCAGAACTGTCATTTTAACGCATTCCGAAATCCTCGCCTTTCCCTCCTTTTCTCCTTTCTTCCCCTTACCCATTCCTTCATCGTCAATTCATTCCTTTATACCTTCATTCCTTCATTCATTCAGCAATCGATTTACTCAACCCGATCCCATGCCGTCTTCTGTCTCGATTAGCTGACACCCTGGCTCCCTCCCCTTTCCTCACCCTTGTCCGACCGTATTGGATGGCCATTACGATTCGATAACGCAGCGAGCGAGGCAATGGCCAACCGCCTGCCTCCTCTGAATGATGTGGCGCCGTCTCCGGCGATGGAGTCGTTATCCATGAGCCAGGAGGAGGAGGTGAAGATCGAAGAAGACTCTCCCACTCCCACCGGTCTCGCGTCATCCGCCGACGCAGAAACTGAAACACCCGCCTCCGATCATAACGGCGGACCCGCGGGGCGCAAGCGCAAGCTGAACAGCACGTCGGCGCGAGGCGTCGCCAATCTCACCCCGGAGCAATTGGCGAAGAAACGGGCCAACGATCGTCAGGCCCAGCGCGCCATTCGTGAGCGCACCAAGTCCCACATTGATTCCTTGGAGCAGCGCGTGCGCGAGCTCTCGTCACAGAAACCCTTCCTGGATCTCCAGGCCGCCCTGAAGCAGAATGAACTGATCCAGGCCGAAAACCGAGAACTCAAGCAGGGATTGAAGGCAATTATGGATATCATTCATCCCCTGATCGGGAAGAATCCATCCAGTATGCTCCCCTCTTTTTTCGTCTTCTCTTCCCTTGTTCTTTTCCTGTACACTTCTTTTCTAACGGAACCAAATCTATCGCAGAAACTAACAAGATTCTAGATCCTCCCTCAGTCCCCCCCACCGGCCCCAAGTGTATCCCTCCTATCTCGACCACTCTGCCTTTTGTCGATTCCATTCCCCCCAACATCAATCTCTCCCGGTCGGCGGACCAGCCCTACTCCGAGTCCATCGCCGGTGCCGAAACGCCCTCGTCCACGCACTCTGCACCCGCCTTGGGCACGATCCGACGCAATAGCTCGTCAGCATCGGCGACGTCCTTTCGCATCGCCTTCGACTACCAACGGCAGAACTTGACCCATGGCTTGGATTTCGGGACCGACGAGAGGATGGGCTTTAATTTCCTCCTGGACGCATCGCAGCAGGTTCCCCGAGTGGAGGGTTTCCGCCGCTCCTCGGAGAACTTCCGTCCTCCCCCATTGAGCGCGCCGGCGATCTATCCGCCCCCGCCTCATCAGGGACCCATGGCGGAGCATCCACTTCCCGCCCACTTAACCCTCGTCCGGAACATTGCCCCGACCTGCACATTGGATGCCATCCTGCTGGATTTTCTCCACCATCGCCAGCAGGAAGCGGCCCAGGGGGTTCCCAAGCAGAAGCTGGTAGGACCTCCCTATCCCAGCGTCTCCTCCTTGCTCAACCCGGAAAAGAGCGTCTACTCGCATCCGCTGTCCAAGGTCTTCACGGATATCCTGCGCAGCTTCCCGGATATTTCGTCGTTGCCGGAACAAGTGGCCGTCCTGTATTCCATGTTTGTCCTCATGCGATGGCAGATCTACCCGACCCAGGAGAACTACGACCGTATACCGGAGTGGCTGACGCCGCGGCCGTCGCAGTTGTTCACGCCGCACCCCGCCTGGATTGACTACCTCCCATGGCCGCGCATGCGGGACCGCGTGGTGATGGCGTATCGCGACTATCCGTTTGAGAGCTGGTACACCCCGTTTACCAGCACTCTGTGCGTCAACTGGCCATACGACGCGACGGATTGCCTGCTATCAACGGGGGATAGCGACGAGCTGATCATAAACCCCGTGTTCGAACGGCACTTCCGCAACCTGAATAACTGGACATTGGGACCGGCTTTTGCCGAGGTATACCCGTCCTTGGTGGAAACCACCAAAATCAAACCCACCCCCTGATTGAACAGGAGGGTATACGATATCATATATAATATTTGAGCTAGGTACATACTTTTTTTTCTCTAAGCAAACGAGAAAGGAAAGAAGACAGAAAGAAAAAGAAAAAGAAAAAAACAATCCAATAATGTTAAAGAGCCCGGACCGAGAAGCACGCTGATTATTTGGTGTATCTCTTCCCACCACGTATGCTGTATACCTCTTTCACGTCTTGTCTGATCAATTTATTGAGGCATAACAACGAAGCATTAAATACACCGGCGATGCCGTGTAGAGAATCTTGTAAGTTGCTGGTATTGTCTAGATTCCACATGTCAGGTAGATATGCTAGACCCGAATGAATCGGCTTGCTCTTATGACATATGGATTGTATATTATTAATATACAACTACTCCGTACTTGCTCTCAAGAGCCACCCTTTCGACTTTTCTCATTCCAAAACTCCAATCCCGCCTTCTGCCGTAGCACTCCGTACATGGAACTACTATCCAGACACTCTCCCGCGTAGTCTCTAGCGGCCAGCATATTCTCCCGCGCCACTTGCAAGCCCGGTAGTTCCACCCGATTCTCCTGCGCCATGGCAAACGCATGATTCGCATCCTTGATGGCCAGAGACACGCCAAATCCCGGTCGAGACTCCAGAGGCGGCGCATACGCACCGGTGGTCAGTCTGTGACATCAGTATCATCATATCACCCAGTCCCAGTAAGGAATGGCTCACCTCTTCGAGTATCCCCCGGCAACCGGGCCAAATGCCTCGCTGATCAGCTCCTCCATAGGACCCATTCCCAAGCCGGTCTTTTCGGCGAAGACTTGAGCTTCTCCGACCGCTTCCATCATGTTCACCGTTACGATGTTGCTGTAAACGTTAGAAACCACTTTCTTTCCTTCTTTTTCTTTCTTTAAATTCGAAAAATAAAAGAGAAGGAGAAGGCATACCCAGCAATCTTCAACAACGACGCCTTAGTCGCATCCTCACCGCAGTCAATCACCTTCCGACCCATAACGTTCTGAATCAACGGTTTCACCAGCTGCGTCGCCTTCTGCGGTCCGCCAATTGCAAAGACCAATTTCCCATCCACGGCGATGGGATTCCCACCGAAGACAGGCGCCGCCAGGAAAGAGGCCTGTTTCTCCCTCAACTTGGCCACAGTGAGTCCCACCGTCTCCGGATGCACCGTCGAGCAGTCGACGAAGATCTTCTCACGCAGGGAATGGCCCGATCCAATGGCTGACGAGATGAGGTGCTGGAGGACTGAGTCATTCGAAACCTGCATATCAATTATCGATTATCAATACACTGGTAAATGTACATCTGTAATTTTTGACGACTAGAACACACCATGGTGAAGATAATCCCGCACTGCGCAACGAGGTTCTCGAATTTGGTCTCGGGCGTCGCACCGAGGACCTTCAATGGATCTCCTCGCGTCATGGTCCGGTTGGAATAGATCAGGTTCATGGCCGTTTTGCTGGCCAGGTGTCGTTGGAGATTGGTGGCCATGGAGAGGCCCATGGACCCGAGGCCATACTGTGATCATGGTCAGCTATTTATCTCTTGTCGTGGGATATTAGGGATTCTCTGGTTGCAATTGGACGTACCCAGCCGATGCGAGACATGGTCTACGGGATGGAGAAGGAGAATGTAGTTCGTATTTGGTGTTTAAGGATCCATTAATCGTTTATACTCCTTTCTTTTCCCGGGCGGGCCCGATCTCGGGCGGACACCGGCGATGAGCATTACTTTCTGGTTTGGTGGATGTAAAGATGATGTATGGTACTATTTTCCAATCCGAGAATAAGGTATTCACTAGAATAAATATCATTGGCTTCCTGCGTTGCTCCAGATGAAGATGTGAGTTGAGTAGTCAGCACGTCATGAGGCTCCCGTCTGCCTGGGGCACCACTCCCGATCGGGCAGTGCCAAACCTCCCTTCTTCCTCTCAGAGTCAACTCATACCTTACTTCCCTTGGAATTGCTCGGTCCCTTTATCGCTGATTTGAATTCGAATCCCTGTCCCTACGTGTCTCTTTCCATCATGGCGGATATGCCCATCGGTGAGCTCTTTCCCCCGTGTTTCCTCCCTCCAGCTCTCCCCACCAGTCAGTCAACCAGCTACCTACCTAACACAACACCAACTTCTAGTACTCGACGGAGGAACTGGTTTCCTCAAAGTCGGATATGCTGCGCAGGTATCACTCTCATCACCCCAATCGTAATTGAGAAACTATGCCTCCTCAGACTGGCTAACAACCATCTCCCTTCCTTCTCGATAGAACTTCCCAGAGCACCAGTTCCCCTCCATAGTAGGGCGGCCTATCTTGCGTACAGAGGAACAAGCCGGGGATATCGTCGTCAAAGATATTATGTGCGGAGATGAGGCCGCCGCTGCCCGATCGATGCTCCAGATCAGCTATCCCGTGTGTTCCCCACCCCCGGGTCAGTAGTTGGGAAGGTCGTTAATGCGGAAGCCTTGCATACAGATGGAGAATGGAGTCGTCAAGAAATGGGACGACATGCAACATCTATGGAATTACACCTTTTACGAGAAAATGAAGATCGATCCCACCGGTCGCAAAATCCTCCTCACCGAACCTCCCATGAACCCCCTCAAGAACCGGGAACAGATGTGCGAGACCATGCTGGAAGGTTACAACTTCGGAGGTGTCTACGTGGCGATTCAAGCGGTGCTTGCTTTGTACGCGCAGGGTGAGTATGTCCTGACTTGTGGGAGAGAGGAAATGGAGAGGTTCGCCTGGGGTGCTGACTCTTGATAAGGTCTTAGCAGCGGTGTAGTCGTCGACTCCGGTGACGGAGTCACCCACATCATTCCGGTTTATGAATCGACGGTGCTGAACCATCATATTCGCCGCCTGGATGTCGCGGGTCGTGATGTCACACGCAACCTGATCGCCTTGCTCCTGCGTCGGGGCTACGCCTTGAACCGAACGGCCGACTTCGAGACAGTGCGTCAGATCAAGGAGAAACTCTGCTACGTGTCGTATGATCTGGAGTTGGATAAGAAACTCTCGGAAGACACCACCGTCTTGGTGGAGTCGTACACGCTCCCCGACGGACGAGTCATTCGCGTCGGCAGCGAGCGGTTCGAAGCCCCCGAGTGTCTCTTCCAGCCGCATCTGGTGGACGTGGACCAACCCGGTATCGCCGAAATGCTCTTCAACACCATCCAAGGCACCGATGTCGACGTTCGTTCCAGTCTGTACAAGGCCATCGTGCTCAGTGGAGGAAGCAGCATGTACCCAGGTCTACCGTCGCGGCTGGAGAAGGAGATAAAGCAGCTGTGGCTGACCCGGGTGTTGCAAGGGAACCCGGAGAGACTAAACGTATGTTTGATTCTAACTCTACTCTCTATAATGAGGGTGCTAACTGTGGGTAGAAATTCAAGGTGCGCATCGAAGATCCACCTCGACGGAGACACATGGTTTTCTTGGGTGGTGCTGTGCTGGCCAATCTGGTGAGACGTTTTCACTTTGTGCTCTTTGAATTGATATTAATTATTATTTTATAGATCGCTGATAAGGATGACATGTGGGTTACCAAGCAAGAATGGGAGGAACAAGGCGCTCGTGCTCTGGCCAAGCTGGGGCCAAGATAGTGATGGATATACTTTGTTTTTCTTACCTTTTGCTTCCTTTCCGCATCCTACTACAACAACTACTACTACTTCCACTACTTCTACATCTACATTATCTTCCTGTGATATATAGATTTCTAGGACGTCGTGATTATCATGTAAGGACGTACCTGACTGCCGTTCTTGTAGCTATTATCTATAGAAAAACAATGAGTCTTGATCGAGTTGTATCAGATTCTCCTTTATCTATTCATATAAATATATAAATATACAAATATCCATGCAATGAGCCTGTTACTCAAAACTCACAGAGAATATCCATTGAAATAACCAACAAAAATACCTAAGAACAATGCAATATATCACCCCACTCTAAACAATATAAAGCACCGCTCTATACACAACTAAACAAATCAAGAAATACAGATCCAGAAGCGGATATAAAGGTGAATATAATATATGTAAATAAACAGGTAGTAGAAGACAGAAGGATCGTATCCGATCAACTAACGACATATGATAGATGGTAGAGTGGTGATAGATCATGGTGACTCACTATCCGAGTCGAGATCTTCATTCTCCAATCGCTTTTTGCGTTCTTCGTTCATCTCGCGATAAGTGCTCCAGCTGAGCAGGAAGAAGGCGACGATGATGAGGACGCCGCCGATAATGGAGGCTAGGGAGAGAGGTTGCCCTGTGCGGAACCAGTCGACGATGGCGACGAGGAAGATGGTCAGGAGGGCGGCGACGGAGGAGAGGACGGGTGATGTCAGGGAGATGAGAACAAGGAAGGAACCGGAGAACGCTGATACGGTCAGTGCATGATTTTTATATGCATGTATACATGCATATCTTGGGGAGGCAGATAGTTCATGGGGACGTACTGGCATTGGCGCAGACGGAGATCATCAGCATCCAGGCGGCTTCGCCGGTCGGCCACCGGAAGGTTTCCCAACCGAGAAAATGCAGGATGGGTAGCGGAATCCAAAGTACCAGGAGGGTGAAGACTCCAATCATACTGCCGAATGTGTTGGCGAAGATCATGCTTCGACCGGGACTAGTGCCCTCGGGGGGACAGGCGAATCGCTTGTACAGCACTTCGTAGAGACCGTAGAGGACGCTGCCAATGCCGATGACGATGTTGCCGACAAGTCGGTGCTCGGCCTCGTCGCTGCCTTTGCCGACCGTGCCGTCGGCGGTCTTCTTGCCCGTGTCTCGATCGCCATATGCGACGATGAGGACTCCAACAATGGCCACCAGGACGGAAAATACCTTGTCGAGTCGCAGTTTGTCCTTGAGGATGGGGATGGAGAAGGCATAGGCGAAGAAGGCGGAGCAGTTGTAGATAGCCGTCAAGTCACTGGCTGTGGTCATGTTGACGGCCACGTACCAGGACCCACCGGCGACTGTCAGAGCCATCGTGACGAATGCTGTGGCCTTGATCATGTATCGAATGGGCGACCTCGGGTGATGGTGCGATGAGGGGTGCAGTTCCTGGGACACGACCATTTCCGCCGTGGTGCGTAGGAGAAAGACATGGCGGCGCCAGAATGCACTCCACGAGAGTTTCCGTTTCTGAATTCGCAGGATGAGGAGTTGGACAGGCCACAGCAGAGACCAAGAACCGTGGGTGAGGTACCTATGCGAGAGGAAACACAAGGTCAACCGAATCCGACAGGGTCCTATGCAGGATAACAAATCACGTCATACTTACAGCATGCAATAGGGCTTATCCCAATGTAACTCGTGCTGAATATAGACAGCGGTCTCAGTCTGGACGACAAAACTTGCCAGACTCAGCAGCAAGAAGGCTGATGCGATCATGTATTTCTTCCGGGTGGCCCGTTCCACATCACGTTCGGGACTTTTGTCGCGGATCGTAGGCCGTCGAGAATGGTAGAGCATAGGCCTGCCTTCGGCATCATCATTTCCGGAGCTGGACAGTCGCCCCCGAGGCTCCTCTTTGAGCAGAGGCTGGTGAGGACCGCCGTCCACGGGACGATGCATGCGAGGACGACTTGGGGACATTTCATCTTCGAAATCGTGGGAGTGGGAATCGAGAACCGGCTCGGAGTCCCTGATCTCCTCTGGACCCAATAAGTGCAATTGATCTGAAGCCACCATGCCTCAATCTTCCGCACCACCCCGAACAAAAAAGAAATAAAAAAAAGGAAGTAACCTTGAAATTACTGTGAATAGTTCCTGAATCTGGCACAGTAGATCAACGGGGAAAGAATGGGTGTCAGGGGTATAGATTTCGACAGTACCCAATCGGAAAAGGAGTTCAGGTCGACAGATTGGAAAGCGAGAGAAATGTCGATATTGAAGGCTTATAATCCATCCAGGAGAATCATGTGCATAGAAATCTGGAGAACGTGTGAACGCTCATGGAAGATTCCAACAATGTAGGTCAGCAATGCGGATTGGTTGCGGCCACGTTTCTAGGTAATGATTGACGGCGGAGTTAATGGGAGCGACGACACCGACATGAAGCCACGACCGAGGTCACGGAATGACAAGATAACCAGTCGAGAGAGAGTTATAGAGAGAGTGTGTTAATTTTGTGTGGGAGGATAGGAGAGAGGACGAGAGGCAAACGATGAAGCCGCCGCATCCAGACTGCGCCTCAGGCAGGAAGTATCACGGGAGCGGCGCACGGGGACGTCAAGTCAGGCATACCAGGCCGCATTGGGACTGGTGGGGCACCACGTGATGTCATCGGAAATATTTTGCTGAGTTATCCAACCCTAATTTGATACTTGCCTAATTAGGTAACCGGTACTCGTTAACTAACTATTAAGGTTTTACTCTGAAACCTAACTTTGTTTGTTACTTGACTACCATATATACTAAATTTGATATGTAGTAAGATTAGGTAACTATATAGGTAAGAAAGACAACTCTAGTATAAGGTTTTACCGTTATACTTTAAAACTTCTAGGTAACCTGTACTCCATGGAAACAAGTACGGCTACAAACCAAACCAACCGCTAATAAGCGGATTTTCTCCCCCGGTATCTCTCTCAGTGTGCAAACCGGAATTCCAATCGTTTGTTGCCCTGATCCTCCGTGGTGGCAATGTATTCGACTCGCTGGTCCTCCGTCATCGCCCGCCATTTCTGGTCTCGGTAACGGTTGCGCAGCACATAGTACACCTTCGTGGCAATGTAGAAGAAGATATTACTCACAGTCAGACCCAAGAGCACGCGATTCCCTTTGGAATACTCCTGAGAATCGTCATCCTGGTAGATATTTGATGCAATAATGCCGGACAGCTGCACACACATATTGTAGATTGCGGCCGAGACGGCGCGCGACCTCACGCTGTTCGAGTTGCGAGAATTCCAGCCCGCTTGCAGGGCGTGTGCTACAATCATCAGCATTTTGTCTTCCCCGTGGGTGCTTCTTATAACAACTGACCACTGGGATGAGACAAAAACAGCGTTAGGATGGTCCAGGCCACCCATTTGTTGACCTGGCTGAAATCCACCACGATCATGTACAGCAGCATGGGCAGCATCCACACCTGTGCCAATGCTCCCATCAAGGCAATGGATCCAAAGGTTTCAGCGGCGTAGACCAGTACGAGTCTCAAGATGACGTCCATGACCTAGAATGTTAGTCTTGCCTAGGGTTCTTGTGGGATCCGGTGTGCATACATTGTATGGTATGGACAAGAGGACGGCTTGAAAGGTGTTAAACCCATAGTCTATCAGAAACAACGTGAAGTACTGCGAGACGGTAGCTGTGGAAGTTAGCCATGCATTGTATATCGATAGATTAAGATGGATAGTACGAACTCCATGGCGTCATAAAGGTAAGGCCGAGAAGATACAATGGCCAGAGGTCAAAGTCCATGATGCTGCACCAGACATCTCGCGGAGTAAAGAAATGACGCCGATTCGCTGTACATTTGGACGGATCCTCACGAACAATGCGGTTCACCAGGATGGTCTCCTCCCTGTGCACATTAGATGTTTTTGATCCCTCTCCTATTGAATGGAAAGACGTACCTGGGTGTGAACCATCCGTTCCTCCCTCGAGCCCAATGGGCGGTTTGTGTCACCGACGGAGGTAGCATGAGGAACGCCAGGAGACCCAGCGTCAGGGTGAACAGGCCCTGTATTCGTAAACTTAAATATTAAAAGAAAAAAGAACAATAAGATAAAATAAATAATCCACCTACCTCAATCAGGAACAGCCAGCGCCAACCGGCATATCCATCGACACCTCGGAGATGCAGGATGCCGTAGGCCAGCAAGCCGGCCACGATGTCGGCCAGCGACGAGGCAGCGTACCAGAACCCCAGACGGACGGATAATTCATGGTGTTTGTAAAAGTAGGACAGATAGAGAATCATCTGACATCAATCAGCGGTGACGAGAAAAAATAAGCCGGCGAACGAACCGTAGGTGTGAAACCACCGGACAAAACACCAATAAGAGCTCGACAGATCAGGAACGAGGTTCGATTGCGTAACCAGAACTGGGCGATGGCGACAATCGACCAAGTCGTCATCTGCAGGGGAATCCATCGATCGACGCCAATAGACTTTCCGATGACCTGCGCAGGTAACTCGCTGAGCAGGTAGAAGAGGCGGTACAGCGTGTTGCCCAGGTTATAGTCTGGATATGTTAGCCATCCATCTTTCCATCTTTTAATCTGCACTCACCGTCTCGGGTGATATTCAGATCATCCAAGAAACTGTCTGCATTCGCCTGTTCTGTCCATCAATCAGCCATAATCTCAGCCGACGAGATGCGAATCCGATCACATACGAACGTTGCACCGATCCAGCTCCAACGCCACGACCATGACGCATGCCAGTACCATAATGCGTAGATCTATCTTAGCCACGACTTTATTCTCCTCTTTCCAGGTCCATCTAGCTGACGGATCAAACCGATGGATATTCTCCCAGCTGGACGGGGGTTGATACGTCTCCGCCAGGTCTGGGTCATCGTACACGGACGGCTGCGTAGCAATGGCATTGGAACGGGAGGAGTTCTTTTCCCTCTGGAACCAGAAGTGACGTGCATCGTCTGGATCCCCGAGGGCATCGGGGGATTCCCTCACACGCACCTGGGCTTTCTCTTCGACGTCGTCGATGGGGGAGTGCTCTATGGGACTTCGGGCGATGGCAAGAGACATTTTGATAGAAACAACCAGGGCGTTTGGACGATTCTAGAGACAGTATAGAACATACATACACAGACACATATATATACCTGTCGCTCTTTGTATAATTTAAGTCCGAGAGATTAAATCCGGTGATACCCTCCAGCAATGTGGCGGAATCGAGGCAATGAACGCCCAGTCCAGGCCCGAGGAGTCGGACATGGTAACGGTGTCACTGCAGCATATCGCTTTGAGGTTCTCGTGCAGAGAGAAGAGGGGAGGAAAGAAAACGATTCAGTCCTGCAAGATGGACGAGAGATATTGGCCAGGGAGTCATTCGTGGCGCGATGGAATGGGAGCTATCCCTGCGTCGATCGTGGAATGCGTTACACTGAGACCCAGCAAGGGTGAAGAATTGCAGCTGTGAGGAGGAAAAAGGATCAATCTAGAGGTTTGTCAATACTACCTGGAGAGGTTACAAGAGGCAGGTTGCATCTATCGTGGAGGGCTGGATGGAGACAGGATAGGCTAGGAGAGGACAAAACGTCAGTGAACCACGATCATTACAGTACTGGACTCTCTATGTATCATGGACCGGATCATTGGGTTACCAATTCTTCTCGCATTCCGCCCACGGATGAATCTGCTCAAAATCCAGACACTCCTTCACCGGGTCATAACGTGGATAATAACCGTCAAGAATGGAGGATCAGGCCAGCGACGAGATGGTGGTATCCGACCAGCACATAATGTTCTGGCGCAGATAGTCGAAGCAGTGATCTAGAGTCTCAGGTAATCCGCTCAGGGTCGAGAGACCAACATGCATGCGTGAGGAGTTTTCCTGGTGCCGGTACCAGATCCCTTGCTTCGGCACGTAATATCCGTGTCGGAGGTTGTTCCAGGAAACGAACCATCAGCAAAATACACCGAGGGAACGAGAGACAGAAACAAAAATACAAAACAGTGTAGCAGAAGAAACACCTCCAATGCCCCGGCGCAGGTCGAAGGATCCTGCGGGTTCCTTGTATTGTAGAGCAGCCTCCTGGCTTGGTCTTCGGTCAGTTTAATCAATCCCTCTATAGTCAGTTAGCTGTATATTCAGCAAGAGAAGATGAGGAAGAGGAAGAATACCATCGAGAATCGTATCCCACGCCGCATTCGTCTCATCATTCCATCCACCCACGAAATCCGTAATGCCTCCCTCGTCAACCCGGGTATGGAACTTGCGAGTTTCCAATTCCACGGGGATTTCCCCACACCACGTCGTTCCCATTGAGGTGTTTGGTATCGACATCCTTGTCGGGGATAGTCGCGATAGAGATAGAGGATCCAGAGCGAGAAGCAAAGCGTCACCATATTGGTGAGTAGCAGATGGTACACGGGAGAGAAGCGAGGGACGAACAGTCCTGGAGATCGACCGATGAAGTCTCCTGATGATTATTTCGAATATGGCCATAGGTTGAGGAACTCGCGTGGGACTCGCGATCGTTCTCGTCAATCTTGGGGATGGACTGGTAGGTGTCGTTGGACATGATGGATATGGCAGATGCTCAGGAAAGTCATGGAGACTTCTGTCTTGATATGATCCTTGGTCTAGTGACGATTCGAATGAGATTTTCTACCGAATATTCTAATTCTGTCCGGAACTAACGATACGCTATGGGTAGGATATAGGGTAGGCTACAGCCGTGGCTGCATTGTTGTGAGTATAGCCTATGCAGGCGACGTCTGGATCCGAATATTTGTCTCCCCATATTTCTCTACTCTCATCCTCTTTCTATTGGCCTCCAACCTCACAACGATCATCCTCTGGAAGATATGCGCAATGCCCTCTCCGTCGTACAGACCTTAAGACTTGCCGCTATCCTCGTGGAGATGGAGATTTGCGAGTTCTCCACGGGCATCACGGAGGATCGACTGACTAATTCTTTGGGGAACCGTATGAGAAGACGAATGCGACCTGGGACCCACTCATGGTTGGTATATCTTCTTCTCGACGAGATTGATGGATCAAGAAAGGATGATTGACAATGGATAGTGCGATTGATCCATCTCAACGAACGTCTAGCGTAGTATCTAGGAACTTCCACCACACAACAGTACCAGACTGCCGCGGGATCCTACATGGGAGTGCTGGAAGTCTTCCATCAACTTCATTGTCTGGTGAGAATTCGTTGATTTCCGTCCAGAAAATCGCTGACTGAGACAGAATCGAATCCGAAATGGCATTCTATACCAATCTTAAGGAAGAATACAGAGAAAATGCTGACGTCATCCGACGTTATGTAGTTATTTATAGTTTACTATTTATAAATATAATCTAACTGCATAGATCACTGTTTCAACTACAGTAAAACACGGATATAAGCAACGAAAGGGGCTCGGCTCTAAATTTGCTTATATTAGGATTTTGCTTATATTGTAAAAGCGGCTATATATATATATATATATGTAATCTCCTTAGTCCGAAAAGGGTAAGACTAGGTTACAGGGTACACCCAATTGCCACGCCACTGCAAAAGGTCAACTAGACTTGGTAATACCAAGTCTGGCTCCCAATTCACTTATCTACCGTCTCCGCGGTCACACTAAATTAGCTGTGACTACATATATATAGCTCCATATTACTCTACTGCACCATACTGAATGGAAGAACGCTTATATTGATTAATATAAAGCCTATATACTGCATGGTCAGGTAAAAAATAACCGGATATCAGCCTGGCGCTGTGCTTGAGCTTTTATCTGTAGAAAAAGCCTTTCCTGGTGTATAAGAAACCGGATAAGGTCCTTATCTCTATTAACCTGCTGTTCCTAATAAAGGAGCAATTTATTCAAGCCCTCTAATACCTCTGTAGCTATAATTATTGGTAGAGGCTGTATATCCCTATCCTTATTACTATCCACAGCTTCGGCCGGTGCAAACTTACTTAAAACTGCAGAATTAATGTTTATAAGACTATTATTAACCTGCTCGTCTGTAGGATTCAAAAACTGATTAATATCTATAATATCACGGATACTATTTGAGAGCCTTAGACTTTGAAGTCCTTGCTTTATCTTATTAATAAGTTACTTATTAATAAGCTTATTACTATCTTTAACAGAAAGAGCCTTCTTAAAGCAGTTTCTGACTGTATCTTTAAATAGATCAAGTTCCCAGGCAGAAATTGCCCATTAAATTGCTTGCAAAATAGTTATAGTAGACAGTGGATTAAAACCACAGTTATATTAAGTTATTAAATATAAAACCTATTGTTTTTCCAATATGCCTTCCATGTATGGATAATCCCTTGGTCAAGCAGCTAATATCTTAATATTAAACAGGCTGGAAGCCATATAACTACTTATCTGTAGTTGTTGGTTTATCTCCTTAAATGCAGCCTTATAAGCAGAAAAATTATCTATTAAAAAAGCAACTTTTCGGCCTTGCATCTTCTTATTAAACCAAAGAAGCTATTCCTTAGCCAATAGCAGCCAAGATTCTCAATATTTATACCAGCTGCAGCAAAGGCTTTTGGCCGTTTAGCTGTCCCAATAAACCAGATAGGAAGGAGTTCTAAAGTATCTAAATTACAACAAAAATATACAGTTATTAAGCCTTTTCTTTCTTGCGGCCAGGAATTAAGCATGTAGATAAACTCCGGTCTGGGATTATTTTCCAATATAAACCTGTCTCATCGCAGTTAAAGATATCTTAAGGCGCGTATGTATTAAGGACGCGCTGGATTAAAACTATTTTACTAACTATATTTTTAGATAGACTTCCAGCTTTACTAAATAGACTTCTTTGCTTAATATTCCTGCGTGACTGGAAGCCACAAAGCCAGCCATTACTAAACTGGGGCATCTTTTTTTCTAGATAGATCTCTGACCAAAACTCCCTCCCTTTTTAACAAATAACCTCCTGGGATATTATTATCTTTCCCTCAGCTCGTTTTATCCAGTCAAACAAGGCCTTTTTTAGCTCTGGCCAGGATTCTGTACGGCGTCGCTTATCTTCTGCTTGATGCGCTTTAATACCGTCAAGGAAGGCAAAACAGGAGGAAAGGATTTGGCTAATTAAGAAGCAGTTAATCGGCTGGTTATATATCTCTTAAAACCACCTAGAAAGCTCTGCTAGTGAGAGATAAGGCTTTAAATTATATTAAGCTCGAAGGGCAGCCTTCTGGCTATTTAAAATAGCACGTCGCGACCTCTTGACTATTTTAAAGTAAAATGCGGGGGGTCTGAATAAGCAATTTTGTAACTTTAATATAAGCAAATTTGTATAGGAGATAAAGAAAAATTAAGCAATAATCTAATATTGGAGTATTAAGCAAATTTATAAATTTGGACACCATGTCCTGTTGCTTATACTGGAGATTTTCTTATATTAGGTGTTGCTTATATCCGTGTTTTACTGTACCTCCGCCTGTCATTTATTTGTCTTGGTGACGTGAATATCGGCCCCGTGGGATGGAAGGCGACCATGCAGGTATGAAGCCTCTATGTCTCTCCAGGAGCCCTGGGGTAGATGCGTCCTGTAGAATCAGTCTGAGAGTCACCGACGTGGTATCTCCATGACACGTGATGGGCTGTCGTAGTTTGTTCGATACAATGACCTCCTTCTTAGTGCTTCCCTTTATCTCTTTTGAATCTAGCGAGTTCACTGAGATGTAACTGTTTCATCTCGAGATGATGAAGCCCACCCCAGTGGATCCTGGAAGTCCGGGTCGACATTCTTTCTCAGAGAGTTCAAACATTGCAAGGAATGCAGCATGTCGACGCCCGCAAAGTACTGCAGCAAAGTACCATTCTTCTCCGTGTCGAGTCAATGGGGAGAGCGATGGGAGTTTCGAGTCTTGGTTGAGGGTGTTGACTTCCTGGTCTGTTCATCGGAAGTAGTGGTCTATATCTATATTAGCATTGACTTGGTATATGTCAGTAGATATTACCTACCCCCTAAGAGGAGATCCCAATTCGCATCCAGCTCGTCAGTCGGTACACCCGCGTACCTGGTTCCCGAGTCTTCCTGTCAGTTGAAGGTTCCATTCTCGACATATAGAGGACTAGAAAATCGGATTTGGGCTGATCTGATCGAGCGTTTCATCGGCTCTGATATGTATTAGTATCTGTTTCTACGTATCTACGTGCTATACGTTGGTACCAAAGTCGGTAATGTAAACCGGTCCTAAGCGACAGTTAGATTTCTAAACGAGATAATAGATGTTCTGCAGGATGAGAGGTGCCATGCTGAGGGTGAGGATCCATGATAGAGGAGGGGATTGGTCTCTTGTATGGCTCTAGAAAACAGGCTTCTTCGAGATGTATTGTTGCGATATCAATCTCGTTAATCATTTTTATATCTTAACCATTTACTCATCTCGAAATAGTTCGATCATCTTAGTTAATACTATGTATTTTTCCTCCAGTCAATGATACATAGCCTATTTGCCGCGCAACCATCTCCACGTATCATCTAAATGAGCAAAAAACGGATTAATACCGAATATCTGTAATTAAATTCCTTCAAAACCCAATCGTTGATAAAAATGAAGTGGCTCAAAGAGATATTCTAAAACCTCCTCACCAGCCGCATGCGCACTCGATCCCACGACGACATCTCAGCTATGCTGTCTGGTAGTCTGGATCCCTCATCTGATTCTAATCGCCATCTACACGGGCTTTGTCTTCTTCACCCGGCTCATGTTCCGTCACAGTACGTCCGGCTCAGAGTTAAAAACATAGAACAATTATAACCGGTCAGAATTCACAGCCTACAGTCCCGAATTCATCCAGCTCGTCAACATGCCCTGGACGTCTCGATGTGAAGGCGCATTCCTGGAGATTGGCGATTTTTTCAATCTTGGAGACCCGGGAGCCGAGTGATGGAGCGGTGGCGGTGTGGAATAGTGTCCAGAAATGCATACCTCTATCGTTCCTCTGTTCGATGTCTGGCTTATTTGGTTAGATAAAATCCGTTCACGCTGGAAGAAGCCGACTATATCCGCGTGACAACCGTGCAAGTCGAAAGTCCGGATCCGGGGTATCCGAGCGTGTTGCTCAAACTGCATCGATCGCATTGTTTGGTATGATCTCTCTTTTCATCTCTGTATATCTTATAGAGGTATGAACTGATTCTGTAGCATGTCCTCTGGACAAGATGGCATAATCAGATGACGGAGGAAGAGTCGGAGATGACGATTGTCACCGAGCCGCATGGTAGTAGGTGCATGGATGCTGACGAGGATGGATGGGATTGATAATCGATAGGTCACTGCTTCGATATTCTACGCCATAGACTCATGTGTGAAGATGATATACAGCTTAAGCTATGGTAGAGTTTGACAGAGACTTGGACACTGATAGCCAGATCTATGGAACACCCTTGAGCTATGCCAAACGCGACAGTGATATCGACAAGAAGATATATGGTTCGCCTTGGGAGTATGCGAAGCGGGAAGAGACAGACGCCCGGGATGTTGAGTAGACTAATCAGGGTTAGGAGGCTGAACGTAACCATGAACATGCCAGGCATTGAGCTGGATGATTCTATCTCTATTCTTGGTGCGACTTTCAAAGGGACTATCTCTGCATTAGGTACTAGGGAGACCAGATTTTCAATGTAGACAATCAGGATCTCAGAATCTCAGGGTTATATGAATTATTTCATGTTAGGAATACGAAGATCAAGCCAAGCTTCATTAAATGGTAAAGTTGGTAACAATGGTTTCGCAGACATCTATGAATTGACTCCCGAAAACTCGGCCCAAGGATCCGCTACAGACAGCAAGCTCTGATTTAGAATCGGATTCAACTCGAACCTTCCCAGCCCATCCCGATCCGCATGCCCCTTCGTAAACACCTCCCGCGCTATCTTTTTCATCCTGGTACTGGCATTCGCCCCCATGGCCCACACCTGCCCGAACTGGTTGAGAATGGCAACTCCCAGGCGGGTTTTATCCCTTGTGGGACACCGAGGGGAGGAAGAGAGTATTGTTTGGTACTCCATCATGCTTGTCATGGTGGACAAAGCCACGCAGCTGATGGTGAGCGGGGACTGCTGGACAATGGGAATCGGCAGAGCGCATAGATTCATAGTCGCTGCCACGGCATCAAGCGTTCTTCGGGTATGGAGCCGCTCGCATGAGTCTTCCCAGAGCGAGTCGTCGCTCGATGAAATGGGGGAGATCAATGCGTTGTCCTCGTAGCCCCTGGTAGAGCTGCGGACCAGACGTGAGAGTGGTTGGTGGATGGTTATGAGGAGGCTGCGTGGTCTTTAGTCCGGGGAATGAGGGTTTCTAGGAACAGAAAAATACCTGTGCCAGAGGACGTGACAATGGAATAGAATATGGTCAACTCCTCCATCTTCTTTCACCACGGAGTGCTTTTCCAGGGGCAGGTTGAGCTTCCACGCAATGAGCATTGTATCCGCATTCGTGGCGGCCGTATTCCGGTCTTCTCGAGGATGCAACACGGAGTGGGCGATTTTGACCAAGTCAATGAGGTAGGTGAACGACGAAAAGACGGGCACCTTGTCTTCAAAATCCCGAATTTCGTACTGCTCAAACGTGCGAGTCTATCAAGTTGTTAGATTCCCAATACATCATTCAGTAAGCTGTAGGACATGACATAGGAAACGAGCCTGATCCAGTGTGATGTCGTCCGATGGAAGGTCAACATCAGCGTCCCCGCCGCAAAAGCTGCACTAATCAGCCGTCGTTGATGACGGTGCAACAAATGACACGAACCTAATACTTGTTTCATACCACAAGCCAACGATAAGAACGTCGGTAGTGTATAATCCCCAAAAAGTACGCCTCCAGCTTTCAGCCCAAGAAGGGTCGGGCTCAGCCGCGGCGAATGTGCGGCGATTCATTCCAATATCGATCATCATCTGCAGTCCCCGGTTCAACAGGATACGGGCTTGCGCCCGATCATCTTGCCCATAGGTAGCAATGGCAAGAAGAAGAAAAGCTAGGACGGTGTAGCCATTCGATGGTAAGACGTTCACGGTGAGGTCTGTGATGTTGAGTTGCTTTATAACAGTCTCCTTCAAGGATGTTGCAGACCCATCATTGATATATACAGATCCTATGTAGTGGATCACCGGGAGAAGAAACGTAATGGACTCGCTATCTGTCTCCCTAAAACTCATGAAATGACGGTAAGGAGTGAGATATGGGTGAGCATTGTGAAAGTTACTAGGTCAACTCAGCAAACTCCTACCGCCTAAGTCGACTGCAGACGTACCTGTAGTACGCATCCAGGAATCTGCAACAGGTCGCATGCTCACTTTCCCCGTGGTATGCGCCGTTCATCGCCTCAAGAGGTTGTACAGCAGATAATATCCCATACTTGATTGGAATGCTATCATTTTCTTGTACCGAATACGCATGTGCTGCCGACGGTGGAGAGAAAAGCACATCACCCCTCACATCGGAAGCCGGCAGCGACGAAACACTTGCCTTCGCTGTGGCGCTACGGCGAGACTGAACATAATAGCAGACCCTCCCCTCCTGTTGACATCGACTACAGACCGGCATCTCGGCACCACACTTCGCATGTTGGCTCCGGCACTATGTTCACCTGGTCAGTTGGTTACCGGGAAACGGTAAAGAGAAAAGAGGCAGGTAGAACTCTGACCTGGACACATGCTAACGATGCCCGCACGGCCGTTCTCTGGGACTTGGAAGTGCGCGTAACCGCCATTGATGTCGTTGGGAGAATTGGTTGAATGGAATCACAGCCCGACGGTCTATCTCGAGTTATTAAGTTGTATTCGTCCGTTCTGGCTCCATTCGGTCGACACAAATCGACCGATCTGGCCGCTTGCCATTGCTATTCAATGCAATCCAAGTACATCAGCTAGTCATGGAAACCGTGTTTTTCATCTCCTCATCAGTAGGATGCCCTCCTGCAGCAGCATCGAAGGTGCATACCTGAGCAGCACCCAACGATGCGTAGAGGACTCTGCTCCTGGCTTCCCCGTCATGTACTCCGTAGTGCGCTATGCACTGGTGTCACCTGCCCCCAACTTTCAAATCGGTTTGCGCTGCAGTACTTCGTGGCTACCAATCGTCCTGGATCCCATGATTCTAGCCCATTGGCAGCTCTCGGTTACACGACGTCGGCGCTGATGTGTCTTCCAGCTGGCTCCTATCAAGGAATCCCCATTCACATCCCCGCAGAGCCTCGCCACTAATTTCCAATCGGAGCCCATGGAAGTGACAGATGACGGAAGAGGAGCTTTGGGCCGACTGGCTGATATCCCCGTGGCGGTTGATGAACATGCCTACATGCAGAAAGTCAACAGACGGATGGCCTACTATAGGTGCAGGACCGCCTGCCACCTAGTAGAACGTTCTACTATAAAATTAGGGCTACAGGGCGCATCCAAAGCTAATAATATCCCAAGGCACCGGCATTATTGACAGGTCCGTATGGTACGATGTACCGCCGAGACAGTCAACACAGCCGCCAAGGGAGAACTAGATAAGTAACCCTTGGCGAACACCATCCGGTGTTTGTATGGATGCAACCTCGAATCCGTTGTTGATCATAAGCACTAGTCTAAAAAAAAGACATAGTTCGAAATGCCTGATCGGATCCTATATGCGATTCATGGCCTAGAACCACCACGATCACCATCCTGCATCATATTCCAACTTAAGTATAGGGCCAGGTTCCATGTTTGGGGCGAACGGGCAAAGACATGACTAGCCTCTGGACTGGCCTTTCCCCTCTTTCGTTGGGAAAAAGCAATAATGGTTACGCAGTTGTGGGGAGGAGCGACTCTCCGACATAGCTAGCTTGACTATCGCCCTCAATGCACGGTAAATCCATGAGTAGAAGGAGTGTGGTATCTGGTTGTATTTAATGAATATCTATGGCATGTGACACTTGCTCCCCGACTATAAGGTTACATTCCTGATCCAATATGTCAATGGGATACGCCTTATTCGGGGTAAATTATAACAGAGACTCAGAGACTCAAGTGATCAAAGAAGCTCCCGGTTGTCCCTACCTAGGCCCGGTCCCTCCAACAGAATATACAATGAAGCCGTCCACTTTGATGGTACAATATCGGCGTCAAAAGTAGTGAGCTCAACTCACATCTAAGACGTTATTCAATAAATATTTTTGGCCAAATCACACAAATCAAGCCCTAGATTTCGAGTTGAGGATCAATCCAACAATCAGACTGCCGAGCGTCAGCAAACCTCTTTCGGCAGACAGTTAGTGAACGTCATTCCATACCCGTAGAGTCCGAGAACTTCAGCAAAAATCAAAATGAGGATCATCCCCACATACACGCGGGACTGTTGCATGTATGCACGCACACCCTATATAGACCATTAGAAAAGCAAAATGGATAAATGTAAGACAGCTTACAGCATCGCCAACTATTCCAATTGCGTAACCAGCGGCGAGACCTGTAAACCCAACAGACAAACCTGCTCCAAGATGCATAAACCCTCTATTAATGGTCAGTGTGGCCGAATACTCCAAACCTAGCAGGTTCACTCCGGTGGGGCTGGACGCACGTATACAATGCCTGGCTTTCGCTTCGATTCAAATCTCCATGTATAACGACAGCAACAACAAGACCGTATACAGCAATAATACCCGACATGATCACAGGAATCAAAGACTGGTCCTGTTAGCGGGGGACGCACATTACAACATCTTGCGAGATCATGCCTTCATAATCAGATCTGGTCGAAATGTTCCCACACCCGAAATAGCGATGCCGGCCTTTGCTGTCCCATATGCGGCTCCCAGTGCTGTTTCATTGTGAGTTGGGTGTCATTCTCGGTCTAAGGTGATTTGGAAGGCATACTCCCGAAGATCATCTTCGAGAGCTCATTAGCGCTACCCACAAACTTGCGGTTCGTCAGAGATACATACTGCAGCTGCTACACCAGCCTGATTATCCTCATCAGCTTGTATTCACGGGATTCATAATCATCATCGACTGGAGACTCACGAAGGAAAAGAAGGGAGAAAACTTGGGCGCGTACTCGCTTTCCGCCATGATGAACGAGGATGAGAGGACCTAGAATAAGATTGAAAATGCTCCTGAAGGTGCCAGTCCAGGAATGATGGACTGTATATAGCGGTGACAGAAGGAGTGAATGCTAGAAGCGACGAGCGTCACAATTGCACAAGCCGGACTGGGACTACGGAGCAACTCACAGCAATGTAAGCCACGCCTCAACTACGGCGGACCGTAGCCCCCATTTAGCACAACATGTTCATTGGCTGTTCTATTCCCCGCCTTTGGGTCCGCCTTTCTTTTATTCCGACAGATCAGTAAGGAGTGGTGAAAGGCGGTGTGGTAATGCTCAATCTCCACAAAACTATTTCTTATCCAGCATCAACAAACAATACGATCTTCATACTCCAAGATTATCAACACCATCAATCAGACAATCTATGCAGTATCTCCGTGATCCACAATGTCTCAAGATGAGCGTATTCTCTGATCAACAACCTTCTTGAAATTGCTGCTCGTCCTGCGAGGCTTCTGGTCTGCAAGTCGCTTCATCCTTACAAAAACTCTGTCATCAACAGCATGCCGGTGCTGCCAATCCAGTAACGCACAGTATTCCCGGCATCGATGACGGATGTTAAAATCTGGCCAGGGGCATCCCACTGCATCGGTCCAGAAATAAGTCAAAGTGTCGGTGTTTGCGTTGCAGAGGACATTTTGCAAAGTCACGTGGAGGCAATGCGACAGATGGGCTCGGTGCTTTTTGGCCGTTTGGTTATATCCCCCTGGGTACATGTTGTGATGGTAATGCTCGAAGTATAACCCTTGAAGTATAACCCTTGTCGAAGTGCATCAAAACAGTGCAGTTAGTGAAAGACATCAATTCAGCCTGCATAGACGTCCGGTCCAAGACCGAATTCGGGTCCAAGTTTCACCGATTTTTCAGGATCTTTCCCGACGGCGAGAATGTCTTCGAGTTATAGGATAGGCCTTGTATTCTCGGCGAGTTTAGCCTAGGCAACATCAACTTCGAGGCTGGGTTCTTTGTGGTAGATGCTGCGGGGGTCGTTGGAAAGAAAATCACGTCGATTCATTCCGTGGAAAACAAGACATCCACACCGTCCATGGCGGGTGCTATATAGGGCGTCAATCAATTGTTCAGTGATGCGTGTGACAAGGTGGGCTAAGTACTACTTACAGGGCATTGAAATATGGCCTCTCAATGGGAATGTCCCATCCTCGTAAGAGATCCGAAGAAAAACATCCGAGTGATTGCAAGCAGGGTGGCATTTACCCAATATAGAGACACTTTAGAAAGTATCACTTTAAGCCTTTCACAGTGACTCGGAGCCCTGGACGTCGACTCAAGCATCAACTCCTGGTCCTCATCGCTATCCACCCTATCATATTGTATCGAGTGTTTGGAAAACTGGGTCTTGAGACGTGAAATCCCTACCATTTTGTAGAGACGAGAATTCTGTTTTAACAATTTTTATGGAATGGGACACATCTGGCTATAACTATGTAAGTAAAGCATAACATGTTGCTTGCGGTATCCTGGCCTGCACGGAGAATCTATCCAAATGTGGCACAATAGGCTAAGCAGGTCGGCACATACAGCCTACATCGGATCAATAGTGAAAAATGCCGGCTAGACTATGGACTAGCAGAATAATAATTTGAAAATTCTTGGATATTTTTATTGCCCCATAGTCTACTAGTCCTTGGTACTCGGCCAGAATTAGACGTGAGGAAGTGGTACTGGACTGGCGGAGTCTATGAATGTCCTCGAAGCGTTGTGGTCAATTACTTTTTTCCCTCCTACTTCTTATTTCAAAATGAAACTTGTGCCAATTGTTCTTTCTCAATATTAACATTCCAAAGCTTTGAAAAAGATAGGATATATAGCACCATTCAGTATATATATCATTCCTTATATGCTTATCCAAATTATCTGTTTCACAACCCCTTTTTAGCATCCTAACACTCCTAAACTCCTGTTTTGCGTTTAAACAAGGCTTCTTTGGTGTCATAGGTATACTTCAGATCAAGATGCCAATAATCAGCAGTAGTTGGCTTTGCAATCAACCATGCTTGATCCAAAGCATCAACAACTTCCTGCGGCAGCGGGCCTTTCTGGATATCTCTGAGGTTAGCCTCCAGTTGGGCGAGGCTACTCACACCAACAACTATTCCATCACGGCCATTGTCTTTGATGTTGAGAGCAGAATGGTGGCGGATCCAACGGAACGCAGTCTCAGGCAGTGTCAACCCATATTTCTCGACAACCGGTTCAATGACTCGCAACGCTTCAAATGTCGCGTCTTTAAAGTAACGCTTGCGGTACAATGTCCCGAAGTGGGATTGGTCACTGTATCGACCTTCCGCAGGAATATCCTTTGTTTTATATTTTCCGGAGAATACCCCACCAGCAAGCGGGTTATAGACCACTATGTCGATGCCGTAGCGCTTACAGGCATGGACCAATTCGGTCTCGATGGAACGTGCTACCGAGGTCATGAAGATTAACATCTTGTCGCCAACAGTGCTACGAACTCCCGGAGATTAATGTAGGGAGCACTCACTAATGGCATTGTACATGGCTTGGTATATAGTCGGACGTACCCAGCCTCTCTCGTTGCAGAGAGTGACAATCTCCGCAACCTCAAACGCCGTATAATTACTCAGACCCAGCTCCACGAATTTACCCTCTTTATGCAGTTCATTGACAGCCTCCAGTGTCTCTGAAAACGGGACCGACCGATCGGGAGCATGCAGGTAGAATATATCCACCTGGTTGGTACCCAACTCCTTCAGGGAGAGGTCTAGGTTTGCACGGAGAACGCCAGGCTTGTGATCTCCAGGAGTTCTAGGGTACCATTTTGTCGCCAGGGTCAAACCACGCTCCTTCCACTTCGCCTGGGCCGTGAAAGCCTCTTGTTGCCCTTCTATGTAAACCCGTGCAGTGTCCACCTCATTGTAACCCTGTTGTTGGAAGTAATCCAGGCACTTGTTGAAGTCATCAAGGGACGTGATCCGAGCTCCTTTCGATTCATCTGGTCCAAAGGTCATCAGACCAAGGATGGTCCTTGGTGTGGGAGACTGTGCTACTAGAGGCATTTCGAAGGTATCTGCTGGCCGGGAGGCAGAGATAACGTAAGCTGCGGAGATTCAGACGACAGGGATCTATATGGATTTAGGGGAAAAAATATACCTAGATTGGAAGGGTATTCGGGTAAAAAAGCAAGGCTTAACCACGGTTACTCAACGGCGACAGGGGTGGTGTCGTTGTCGATGGAAGGTGGGGCTTCGAGACGATGATGTGATCTTCCCCGCACTCTGTAAGCAAAATCCACTATCACGACAGAGATATCCCAATTCTCCCTGTATAGAGTCATTCCATGACAGAAGCTGCAGACAGGTCTTGAGGCATGCCTGTCCATTAGCTGTCAGTATGCGGTATTCTGTAGCTGATTGTCTGCCAGCTATCAAATTGTCTGCTCGTACAAGCCAGTCGCTAATTTGCCATCCTCAGCAGCCAAATTATCCACGATTTTATTGTTCCTATACGACCTCTGACACCGCTCATGTTTGAAACTGCACTTCTTTAACATGCCTGCAACCGTTGAGAGACGGTACTCCATCCTAATCGTCAACCCAAACACATCAACTCATATGACCGAATCGTTAATCCCCATATTGGAAAATCTCAATTTCTCCGATGTCCTGTTCGATTTCTTCACCGCTCCGTCGAAGCCTGTCACTCTTCCAGACGGCCGAATCATCGACGGTGTGCCCAGCATTAACTCCGGGGAGGATTCGGTAAAATCAGCGTTGCACTGCATGCCTTTCCTGGAGCCATTAATACGCCAATATGATGGCTTCCTTGTGGCATGCTACTCCGCTCACCCCCTCGTTGGCATGCTGAAAACAGCGATTGCAAACCTAGGGATCAATGCTCTAACAGGGGGCACATTGGGACCGGAAGGGACTAGGAAGTATGTGACAGGCATCTTCGAAGCAAGTGTTGTCACGTCGGTGTCTTTGACCAGTTCATTTCACCTCATCGGTGATGTAGGATTTGGCAAGGCTCAAGCCAAGGACACATTCGGGATAGTGTCTACTGGTAGTGTCTGGAAGGACGAGCTTAGCCAAGCTGTTACTAAAATGCTTGTCAATCCTGAAGATGACAGGGATTCTACCCGTCGTTTTGCTGGTGTGGAAACCACTGGACTGACGGCCTTTGAACTACATACTACTCCTCCCGACGAGGTGAAACGAAGAGTCAGCAAGGCTACTGAGCGGCTTATTAAGAATACATCCGACCCTGTAACTGCAATTTGCATGGGCTGTGCTGGCATGGCAGGAATGGAGGAGGCAGTTCGAGAGGGATGCATTAAAGCATACGGGCTACAACAAGGGAACCGCGTGAGGATAATTGACGGCGTAGTAGCCGGTGCTGGGTTACTTGTTACAAGCTGCAAAGCAGGATTCTAAACTTACTTAAGCCACGCTTGTCGACCATAGTAGCATTGGCTATAAGAGACAGCCTAAAAAGAAAATTAAAGTTAGTCGTGCATCAAGACATTGAGCCCATCATTAAATATATGCAATGCATTATTATTTAGATTCATTCTTTGGTGAAGTTGGCCGAACACGGCGACCAAGTCAGTGCCAAAAGGTCCGTCCGATCCCTGGGAAATAGGAGAAAAGTCAAACAGAACAATAACTGCTCGCTCCTACATATTATATACAAATTATTCTTATACATACCTACCCTAATTTTCATAAAATACCGTTCCACCTCTTAAATCCAAAAATCTGGTTGGTTTGATTTTGAAGTGTCTCCATCCGATAACTATTGATACCTGAGGCAGCAATTTAATCATCGTTGAAGTTTCCCCGCGGAACGCGCTACGCGTGCGATCACTAACGACTACGGAGTGCTTTCAGCGGCCTATCTCAAGGATGCCTAGGTATGCGCCAATACCGGCCCCTTTATTGTGATTTACCTCTATAATCAAAGGTCCATCACTAATAGCTATTTGTGATTCAGAGAAATAATTACAATTCAAGCCGGCCAGTGCGGCAACAACGGTAGGAAAACCCATAACACTGTCCTTTTCACTATCATTCCTGTGGATCGTATTCAGCCAAGGCGGATTTTGCTGACTGATAAACAATAATTACAGTCGGTAGTCAGTTCTGGCAGCAACTTTGCCTGGAGCATGGGATAAGTCAAGATGGGAACTTAGAGGAGTTCGCGACAGAAGGAGGAGATCGTAAGGATGTTTTTTTCTACCAGGTATGGCACAGTCTACAACTTTTACTACTCGATTTTTACTGTTCTTGAAAGACTAAATAACTCTCTAGAGTGATGATACCAGATATATCCCTCGAGCGATCTTACTGGATCTAGAACCTAGGGTATGATACCATCGCTTGGATGACCGACGGATGCCGTGTTATCTTTGTAAACAATACACTGAGGCGTTTTGTTTCGAATTAGGTCCTTCATGGAATCCAATCTGGTCCATATAAAAATATATACAACCCCGAGAACTTCTTCATTGGGCAACAAGGCATTGGTGCGGGGAACAACTGGGGTGCTGGCTATTCTGCTGGTGAAGTGGTGCAAGAGGAGATTTTCGATATGATAGACCGCGAAGCCGATGGGAGTGATTCATTAGAGGTAGGCTATGCCGGAGCAGGAGGAGATCAATCGCGCGCTAATTCGGCACAGGGATTCATGTTTCTGCATTCCATCGCAGGAGGGACAGGCTCTGGCATGGGCAGTTTCATACTGGAGCGAATGAACGACCGGTTCCCTAAAAAGCTCATCCAGACATATTCCGTTTTCCCAGATACTCAATCGGCAGATGTCGTGGTTAATCCGTACAACAGTTTACTGGCGATGAGAAGGCTGACACAGAACGCGGACTCAGTGGTAAGACCTCCAACCCCAACAAACGGACTCTCTGACCTATACTGAAAATGCTACCTTAGGTGGTTTTGGACAATGGTGCTCTTTCAAGGATTGTTGCAGACCGACTTCATGTGCAGGAACCTTCGTTCCAGCAGACAAATCAGCTAGTGAGTACACTTTTGCTGTTCGCGAGCATACGTTGGCTAATTGCCACAAGGTATCTACTGTTATGTCCGCTTCCACGACCACCCTTCGCTACCCCGGCTACATGCACAATGACCTTGTCGGGATCATCGCTTCCCTTATTCCTACCCCGCGCAGCCACTTCCTAATCACATCCTACACGCCATTTACGGGCGACAACATTGAACAGGCCAAGACTGTTCGAAAGACAACGGTGCTGGATGTCATGCGTCGCCTACTGCAGCCCAAGAACCGCATGGTTTCGATCAACCCCAGCAAATCCAGCTGCTACATGAGCATCCTCAACATCATCCAGGGAGAAGCCGATCCGACGGATGTGCATAAATCCCTGCTCCGGATTCGCGAGCGGCGACTGGCGTCATTCATTCCCTGGGGCCCAGCAAGTATCCAGGTTGCCCTGACGAAGAAATCGCCGTACATCCAGAACACACATCGAGTCAGCGGGCTGATGCTGGCGAACCACACATCCGTTGCGACGTTGTTCAAGCGGATTGTTCAACAGTACGACCGACTGCGAAAGCGAAACGCTTTCCTGGAGCAGTACAAAAAGGAGAGTCCGTTTACGGATGGACTTGGGGAATTCGACGAGGCGAGAGCTGTGGTGATGGACTTGGTAGGGGAGTACGAGGCGGCCGAGAAAGAAACGTATCTGGACCCAGATGCAGGAAAGGAGAAGGAGATGGGTGTGTAGTAGTTAATTCTTTCATTTGTCTTGTTACCGTCTTTTTCTTTGCTGGTCTGCCATTATGATTCACGGGCGATCTGGTGCGTTACGATTGGTACAAGGGCGTTTGCTTGCATGGATTTGTCGCTAGTCTTTCTGATAACCTAGGGGGTTGGTATGACATGACATAAGGTATTCAATTATCATCTCCATCCAAGTACAAAGTAGGTACCTATATAGCTATGCCTACAGGATCCTGCTGGACCCGATTGTCAATCGGAGGGAAATCGCCCAACCATGCAGCTAAACGGCCCATGTCATGACCAGCATCCCCACCCCGACCAACAGTCAAGCAAATACCATCCACACATGTCTTCTTCATGGATGCGTCCGCACCTCTTTTGGTCCTGACACACAGACACATCACCAGTCCCGGCCCTGCCAATCAATTCCACCGTTTCCAGATGGTAAGTACACCGTACATCCACACCACGCAGCGTCCCCTCCCCATCCTGGATCGTCTTGTCTCGATAACCACAAGCACCAGAGTTCATGGTGGACGGCATTTGTGCCCAAAGCGAGGGAAAGGAAAGCCTGAACAGGGTCAGGTTTCTTCCTTATCGCTGTCATGGGAGATCAAGATTGCGCGTCTTTTCTTTTCTTTTCAATTCTAATTTAATTTGTCAAAAGTATTGTATTTCTTTTTTTTTTTTTTTTAGAAATGAGAAGGAAAGGAAAGAAAAAAAGAAAGAAAAGAGGGGAAGTTGGCATAAATCAGACACCCTACAAACTACTGAAGAGCAATAAATCCTCCCTTACTGCGTACTGTCCTTTGACAGCACACAGACCCTCAGAGTACCAGGAATGGAGTACCATCCATGCTGCAAAGGGTACTTGCATAGAAGGTACCTACTTGCACCTCCACACCATGCAGAAAACGGTTCTGCCCCTGTGGCTTATATTGCATCGCATCGCGTCTCGTCTTGTTTTTCGGGACTTTGGATAGAATAAGGGAGTGGGGATAGGAGAGTCAAGCATTCTGTTCTTTCCCTGCGTTATCCTGCAGGCTGACAGTTGAGTTGCCGTATGGAAAGAACTAGGTTACTGTCTACCCTGGTTGATAGTATTGAATCCTGGAACATAGACGATACAAACCTTAAACCGGTTGCGGTTCTCTCCATTTAAGTACGTACTGTCTAGTTCTTGGGATGGGATATCAACATCAGGAGCAGCGACCCCAGTCTAGCTACCTACTGGTACGGAGTAGTAGTTAAAGGATTAGAAGTAACCATCGGCAAGGATTCATCAGACGTTATTAACTCCGAAACTTCATCGATGGAGTGCCTGGAGCGAGATTGTCAGAAGCCGATATATAGACATGGCACGCACTAGAGTGTAGCCCCTGAAATTCGTTTGATAGACATCGCCACGGAAGCTTGCGAGGCTCTACGAAAGCAAATAATAGGACCGCCTTTATATGATCTCAAATTTGGAGATAAATAGGGGAACCCTGTTCTGATTTCTGGGATGGCGCCATTTAAAGACCATCTACCACCTACCGGGTAGTACTAGGCTGTATCCTCGTGCCGACAAATAATCGTCGGGATGGTCCGTATCAGGTGCACAGACCGGTTGGGAGCGTTGGGAGCAGAACGGTGAAGGGAGAGAAATGTCCCTGGATTGCAGGAATAGGTCAATCATGCCTGATCAGAGCTACTCCGGATGGGGATCCTGATGCGATGGTGAGTTTTTCTTTTTTCTTTTTTCTTTTTTTCAAAAAAAATAAAATGAAATGAAATGAAAATTTTCTGGTTACAGGTTCAGATGGCAATTCAACCCCTGGAATGGAGTTAGTCAGTCTTTGTAATCTCGCGATGACCTTTAACCAAGTCGTCAGAAAGGGGCAACTCAATGGGAATGATTTTTAAAAAAACATATAAAAAAATAATAATAATAATAATAAAATAAAAAAGACTCCCCATCGGTAATTTCTTCAAGACTGGTCAAGAAATAGCAGTTGCCTCCTGAACACTTGGGAACAACTACTTTGGAACCTCTGGCTCCACTCGGCCCCCCGATTTGCCTCCACCGGCGGAGTTACTTTGGTTGCAAACTAGTATTAGTTAATAGTCAGTTAGTTAGTTAGGAGTGCTCACTAGGCTCTAACTGACCTACAGCCTACGACGACTGCTACGACATCGGATCAGCACTGTGCAGGTGGTACTACGGCTGCCCGTGACTCAGCAGGTCATCCATGAATCCTCTCGTAACTTCCATATAAATTGACTTCGCAGTGCTTTCGCCTCTGCCGCCTTACCTTTGTCTCTTCTTCTACTGCTGCTGCTGCTACCTTTTCTTTGACTCTTTCGCTACCCACCGGCCTTCGCTTCCGAACAAAAACCCTACTTTCCTTTCTCCTCATCGTCATCCCTATCCCCCTTCTCTTTGCCACCATTATATATAATCAGTTGCCGCCGTCCTTATCACCGTCTCTTATCGACTCCTCACTTCTAGTGATTTCTCCTCCTTCCTTCCTTGGCTAACCGCTTGCCACTGCTCCTTCCACGTCACTCGCAACGTCGGCGTGTCCATCTTCCCTATACATCCTACATTGATCTCCATCTACTGCGGCTGCGATCGCTACTATCCTCTGCTTCGTCTAAATCAAGAGTCGCACCCATTCGTTTTCTCTCCGCGGCCTCTTCGCCCTCAGCGCTTATCGATTCCGTTCCGACAGACCCACAACCTCTTGCATCATGGCGCCCCGTAAGCCTCGCTGCAACTTCAAGGAGTGCAAGGAAGCCGCCCAGCGGATCGTCGGCGACTGCAGCTTCTGCAATGGCCATTTTTGCTCAAAACATCGCATGCTCGAGGCTCACTCCTGTACGGGTTTGGAGGACTGCAAAAAGGAGTCTCACGCCCGGAACGCCGATAAACTGAACAACGAGCGAACCCAAGTCATCAAGGGTGTATAGGGCTCCGATGGGGCCGTCCACACAGCATTTTGCTTTCGTCATGATTTTCTTCGGCTTTCAGTCATCGAACCGGTTGATGAGTTTAGCGCGGTGTCCGATTTCTTTCTGATCATTACCGTGTGGAGTCCGTTTCTTCGTCATTAGCAACTGCCGCATCGTCAATGTGACCGGTTTGGTCTTTGGGTTGGGAGGGTTTTCTTTGGTTTCATTTTTTTTTTTCATTTTTTTATTTTTTTCTTCTACTCTCTTCATTCACTTGATTCGATATCATGTGCAAGGCGTTGACACCTGTGGAGTTTTGACTGCGTTTGTGTTATTTTCGCATGGGCCTTGATCGTGTTCGCCAGTCCTTTGGGAATTGTTCGCGGCGGGATCGAAGGCTCCTTGGTAAATTTTCAGCACCATATTTTATCACATAGCTACCAGCCATTGGCGTGGATACATTGGTTGCCCCATCTTGTTCGTGGGCATGTCACATAGCCAAGCGAGTACAGGTACTATATGACATCTCCGTTGATATCGATTGTCCAACCAGCGTTTTGGGAGCTGAGCTAGCGTAGAAGCGTGGCCGTAGTCTATAGGCATGGCGGCTGTGCCGCTTGTTAGCTCTCCACGTAGCTGTCATATGATTCCTGGGCAAGGGGAATTAAGTTAAATATGACTTTAGCAGATAAATAGGCATTTAGCTGTTTGGGAATTAAATGACAACCAATAAATACGATCCTGGTATAAGTACAAGACTTTGTAGGACAGCCATACTGAAAACGAACAAACACCAACAAAACACCTCTTCCCCCTGGGAAGACAAAACCATCAGCCCAAAACCGATTAACCAGGTCCAATTTTCGGCCTGCAGGTGGTCAGTTCAAGGTGGCTTTCCACAGTAGCACGGTACATGGAAGGGAAGGGGATCTATCAATGAAAAACGTACATGTCGTGGTGTTCGCTCAATCGGCTCAGATACTTGTTTAGCTCTTCCACTCGCTCTTTGTGGGTTTTGACGCCTTCCCGTTTTAGACGTTCTTGTAGCTGTGATTGCTTAGTATGTGCCTATTGTCTATAGTATTTTTTGACCCGAGAGAGGAGAAAACCACGGCTATAGAAACGATAAATATAAGGAATGAATTCCATACCCGTTTCTTCCTCATGTCCTCATACTTCCTCTCCGCCTCTGTCTTCCCTACCGAACCACCACTAGATTCGACAGACTCCCCTATCTCTTCAACCCGTTCGATCTCATCCCGCGCCGGCGCCGACATAGACATAGACGGAGTCTCCTCGCCCACTAGTTCCCGGTGGCTCGGTCCATCGCCGTCTTTGTCGGGGCTGTCGTGGTTTTTCTTGGCTTTCTTCTTCTTCTTCTTCTCTACCCGACCGTCGCTCACTTTTGAGCCTTTGAGTTTGAGTTTGCCGCCCCCGCCGGAGGTGTATTCACTTCCTGGCGGCATGGTTGATTCTTTTTGAGGGAAGTGTGAAATGTTGATAGATTGGTGGTCGTGAGCACGGATGTGGATAGGATGGTTGCCGCTTTAGTTTATTGGTCATGTGACCTGTAGATTGTACTAGTGATTTGGGTATGGGTTTGAGACAGGGCTGTGGGTTATAATTATCTGTGTGTTTATTATGGACAGCGCAGGTGGATTTTGTGGCAGGTTTCTTTGTTGGTGGTTGGTAGGTAGATGTATATTATGACAAACTTGTAGCGTGATTATAGGTGCCAGAAATTTAAATACGATATTAATAGGTTATCTTGGTTAACGAGGGCTACGTAAGTAGATCAAGACAAATAGTAGTGACTGCAACCCCAGCCATTGTTCTAGTTCTTTCCTTCGCCACCTGCAGTGAATAAGTACATATATCAGACAAACAAATATCAGCCCTATACCAAACCAGTCCACCGGATTAAGCATACTAGCGCATTAAGCCCACGACACAATGTTGTTATTATCTCTCTCTTTTTCTCTCTCTCTCTTTTCTTTCACTGTCCAAACATGATCAGCGTAGTCTTTGGAGAATTGGAATCTCCATCTCTTGTATCCATTATGGCGGGATATCCCATATATCTATCACTCACAGCTCTCATACAAGTGTAACAGGACAATTGGGTTCCATTCTGACAAAAGATTCATCTATACTATGGCCTGTATCTTTTTATCAGATCCCAAGATCCTTCTTATTGCATGACGAGACAAGACAAGACAAGAACAATATCCACTCAATCAGTCATATCTTTTACCTACCAATTCAATCATTTAAAGACACATACAACGCCAAATATGCCTACCTGGTATATTCATTTCCCTCTGGTCGGTATCTCCACTGGTGCACCGAAAGTGGAACAACTCCATCAAACGCTCTTCGAGGTCCAGAATAGAATGACCACCCTCTGGCAAGTCCAGGTTGCTGCCCCCGCTGGCGGCTTGCTCATCCGGGTCACCGTGTCGGAGAATAATCATGAACTGATCATTGCTACGGCGGAGTCTATGGTTCGGCAGCTGCTGTTGGAGGAACAGAATAATCGGAAGGGATAAAGCCTGGAGTTATCTCCAAGGATGTCGACTCGTTTGAAGAATTGGTATGTTTTTATTCTCTTTTTGATTTGGAGCTTTGCTAACGTTGGTAGCATTGCGCGTGAAGGTTTTGGGATTTGGGAGTATTGCGAGGAAGGAGTTTAATTGGGTGGAATATGGTTTCTTTCTGCTCGCTTTTTGTTTGGGGGGGGGGGGCAAGGTTGGATAAACAGGAAAGACAGCCTATGGGTGGTTGAACTTCCTTGTACATGTCTGGTGCGGTGATCTGGATGGGATATGTCCTATGTTAATATGGTGGTGGTTAATATTGTTTTGCCGAATGTCAACTTCTTAGTGACATGGTTTGGTCGAGCTGCAATTATGTCGCGGTTGAACGAATACAATCACTATTCAGACCGACGGATAAAATGAATTATGTTGATATATATTATGATATTCCGACTAAACTCCAATCAGACACCCAACTTCCTAGTCAAATGGAATCGGCCGCAAGCCTGTCCCGCCTGTTCGTTTCCGCATCTCTTCACCTGCTGCCACAGTGCTGGGCACTTTGATCCCACAGCAATCGCCAAAATGATCTGTGTGTCGACTGTGGGGATGATCATGGCCATGGTCATGTTCATCACCCTCCATATCCTCGGTAATCTCTCCCATACCTACTGCAGCCGGGAGCAAACTACCAAAGAGGAAATGTTGCATGATGGGCAGCTTACCCATTACCTCCTTGACGAACATCTTTTTCATCCCACTCTCGATCTTGGTCCAGTTTTTGGCTCCCGATATATCGTCAAGCATTGGGCTATGCCAGCGTAAACCCTTGACCGTCTTGACACTATCTACCCACCGCACTTGGTCTAGATAAATGTATTGGTCTCCTTCTTCGTCGAGAACTGCCGTATTGTGGATCGCCAAGGGTGTGATGTAATGATGCCCAACGAGCTGTGACGCGCCAAAAAGAAATGGGAGGAAATAGTAGTCATCGAGACCCCAAACCCCATGAGACCCGGCCGGTTCCAAATAGTATGTGGATTGAACTTGACGCATAAGATGCATGTAGTTGGTGTATATCTGGAAAACAATTGACGGGAAGTCCGTCTCGGAGATGATTTGCAACTGGTGAAGGCACAGTAGCCACATCATGAAATTTAGTTCATGTCCAGACCCATAATCTAATCGATCACGCGAGCCCAACGAGTGGATTAGATACGACGAAACCTCTTCTATAGCAGTCGCTTCCTGTACTCCCAGTATATCCCTATGCCAGGCGGTAGAACGCGCGGCGACATCATCGAATAGATCGCGAAAAGCAGGATTGCCAAATCTCGAGCCTCCCTGGTCAATAGAAGGATGTCGGTCTACGAGGGCACGAATATTGTCTAGAACTGACAGGATCTTGCCGATGTTGGAAGAAGGTTGGCGACTGACATCTTTTATTGCTCGTCCACGTACAGAATCGGAAAGACCGAAAATGAAGGCAAGAACTAGAGTATACGTGGGAGATGAAAGGAAGAGATCATGGTCTTTTCTCGATAGAATCCGCCGCACAGGCCGTATATACTGGTGAGATGATAAGTCGGGTGGGTTGGCGAGAGGCGGGGTGACGGGAGCTGGTTCTCTGGACGACGCAGTTTGAGATTTGCGATTACTCGCTCGGAGCTCCGAGAGCCTTTTGGACAAATCAATCTTGGCTTTTGGAGCTGTATTTGGTATGGACACTTCAGATGCCATCTTGAAAGGAATGGACATGCTCACTTGGCTTGTCCACAAGAGAGATGTCAGCTCCTTCGTTCACCACTTCATAATAACTAAGAGGCATGATGACATAAGGCAGCCGCGATCAGCTGGCAGAATCTTAAAGCACTGTGACCGCCTTCCCTAATCAAACGGCAATTAACCCCTAGAGGGATTAGTGGATCTTGATCATCATGTGCTCGGGATATCACTAACTGGAATTAGCTAGTTCGTGCGACGGCGGTTCAATCGCGCGTGATGTTGAGCAAAAGAAATATAAAGAAAGAGTTCAGCTGCAGTCAGGCCGAGTGATAAAAGACAAGTCAGTGCAAGAGCGAGAGCCAGTGCCCGCATTTTCAACTTTATATCCTTCGCACCTCTATATCTTGCCTCTCCATCTCAACTCGAGTAGGGGACCTTCGAAGCTTCCACGAATCCCAGATCTCCGCCCCGGGTAAATCCCGAAGTCGACCTACTAACTAACACGCTAATCCTTTACGACTAAGATTGATGTACATATAAACCCTGCTATCTTACGAGCACGCCATCATGGACTCCTCTGATTTGACCCATCCGAACGCCAAAGAGGTCAACGCCTCATTTCCCACACAGCGATCTTCATTCTCCTATTCGTCTGGTAATGAACCAAGACGCATGTCTTCTTTCGGTACACAGAAACATGCGCCTGTAGCGCCTGGCCAAGAGCAACTGCAGTCGGTCAACGAATCAACTCCCATAGTGAAGAGATCTGAGTCATCCAGACGACAGTATCACTCAACGGATAGTCTGAGGAATCGAGATTCGGGTTCTGGGGATGCACCTCGAAAGGACTCGACGCAACGGGACTCAGGTGATGATCACCAAAATCCACAATCAAACTCGGCGCCGAAGGCTTCATGGTATAGCCGCATGGCAGACAGATACGGAAGTCTAGAGCTTGAAAATAAGGGGAGTGTTGCTCGAGATCATCTGGCTTTGGGTGCGTCTAATTTCGCAAAGAATTATCGCCCTCCTATTGTCCACGTTATACTAATTGACCGTTTACAATTGATAGAGCGAACTTTTCTTGCATGGCTGAGGACATCCCTTGCTTTTGCGTCTATCGGAATTGCGGTGACACAGCTGTTCCGTTTGAACACTGCTTCTACTGGGAACACATCGGGCGCTGAAGCTTCGTCACATGGCCTTCCGCCACTTCTGTCGCCTCCATTTTACGATCCGGCCGCCATTCGAGCCACCTCCACTTCTGCACGTCTTCGCAGTATAGGTAAACCGCTCGGGACAACATTTATCGGCGTTGCCATTCTTATTCTCCTGGTGGGCTTCCATCGTTACTTCGAGAGTCAGTACTGGATTATCCGGGGTAAATTCCCAGCCAGCCGTGGCAGCATAGCCTTGATCGCTTTTGTAGCCGCAGCACTGATCATAGCCGCTTTGGTCGTTATTCTTGCTATATCTCCAAATGCAGTTGAAGGTTAGACTAAACATTCCGATCATGGGGTCCGTACAATGAATTTCACGCATCATTGTTAGTGTATATATGATTGATCCAGCTAAGTTAGCGTGATGGTTACATTCCTACCACATGAAGATTTATGCAAACAGGTTCATGGCATGTGGAAGTGACATTTATTGTTGAACTATCCAATAGGTTTTTGAATGACTTGTGTCTATTCCAGTTGAGCGTCCATCTGATTCTTGCACCAGACAGTCTTGCGAAGTAGATGACAGCATTATTGCTGCATATCAGCCTAATACTTCTATACCACTTAGTATGTCATCTGTCGGCTGGGTTTATGTGCGGAATCTCTATTCTCAGCCATGAATTCTCTATTGTGACATATCCACAGTGATCTATAACTATCTGTTGTTCAGCATAAGCCCAGATGTGGGTGTACTGGACAGTCAATGGATGTGACGAAAATCGGTCTATCTTGCCAACCAGTACACCGCTTTCCTCTCCCGGGAAGCAGAATTTACAGGCATTGCCCGCGGGCACAGTATTGGAGATTTCTGTAGTATTGCAATTAGACCGGGATAGATTTCTGTTTAGTGCATTGTTCTTCTTTTGTATACCCACATTTGCATCCTAGAACACAGATAACAATGCCTAGAGATCCGTTAATTGGGCTGGTTGGAAAGGTCTGCTTCTCTTCCAGCGCGGAAAACACGCCGCTGACTGAACTGAGGGGCATATAGCCATCTAGTGGGAAATCGACCACGCTGAATAGTTTGACAGATGCTTCTTCTAAAGTTGGTAAGGTTATTAGTTGTGCATATCATATTTGTGTTTATTAACCATGTCAATCCGTGTCTAGGAAATTTTCCGTGCGTGACCAAACTGCGTGCTAAATCACCCCGCCCAGACATCCCCCACGAGTCTTGTCCTGTCTGCGCCAAAATTACTTTTGCGACCGTTCTAACTTGCCTTGGTGAACTCTAGTTTCACTACTATAGATCCCCAGCGTGCCATTGGGTACCTCCAAATAGAATGCGCCTGTCAGCGATTCAATATATCGGAGAAATGCAAACCAAACTATGGAGGTTGCGTCGACGGACGACGCTCCGTTCCTATCGAACTTCTGGACGTTGCAGGTCTGGTACCTGGAGCGCATCAAGGACGGGGACTAGGCAATAAGTTCTTAGATGACTTGCGTCATGCAGATGCTTTGATCCATGTGGTGGACGTTAGCGGGACAACAGATGCAGAAGGTCTGATATAATATGTGACTTTATAGAGATCACCTGTTTAATATTTGGTGTGGATAATAGTCACTGACAGGTCTCTCTGTATCTGCAGGCAAAGCAACACGAGGGTATGACCCTTCACAAGACATTGAATGGCTTCGGTCCGAAATTGTGCGATGGGTACTAGGAAACTTGATGCAGAAGTGGTAAGTGTGTTATAAAGAATGGTTTTGGAAGGGCTCAATCTGATCATTGGTAGGGGCTCAATCAAGAGGAGACATGTCGCAATTAGTTAGTCCGCCTTTCCCCTGCCAGGAACCCTATTAACCTCAAGGCTAGAGTCGACGGCAGTAGACACTTTGCAAAACCAATTTTCTGGGTATGGGAGTACAACATCGATTGTTGCAAGATGTTTAGACCGAATAGGGCTTAAAGAGCCTCTTGAAAACTGGTCAGAGGAAACGATCGAACGGGTTGTGGAATCTTTCATTGAGGAAAAGTTCCCCACCGTGTTTGCCTTGAATAAAATTGATCATCCCGATGCCGACAAGGTTTGTGGCTATCTGGTTCTGTTGTTATGTCTTTATTGACAAGCATGGGTGCAGAATATCAGTAAAATCGCCAAGATGCAAGATCCGAAATCCATCGTCCTCTGCTCCGCCATTTCAGAAGTGTTTCTTCGGAGATTAGCAAAACAAAATTATATCAAATACATAGAGGGCAGCGAATATCTAGATACAAGGGAAGATCTCATAGACATGGGCGATCCTGACGGGGGCGGCTTGAAGGAGATGGACGAGAAACTGAAGAAGTATAGCAGCTCACATATTATTTGAAGATGGGTTACTGACCTTAAACAAGCCGCGTCGAAAACCTGAAAGACATGGTACTTTATCGCTTCGGGTCAACGGGGGTGGTCCAATGCCTTACACGAGCAGCAGAACTCTTGGGGCTTGTACCGGTGTTCCCTGTTAGAAATGTACATACGTTTGCGTCTGGCGCTGGCAGTGCTGTGTTTCGAGATTGTGTTTTGGTCAAGAAGTGAGTCCTCAGCCTTTTTACTGTTTGCTTCTCTGACATCAAACAGAAATAGCACCGTAGGTGATGTCGCTCATAAAGTCATGGGTGATGTGCCAATTTCCTACATTGAGGGTGTTGGTGGCATCCGAGTCTCGGAAGACGAAATCGTTCAAGTCGGAAGGCATGATGTACGTGCATAACTTTTTATTTGCCTCTTGCACATATCATTGCTAACCAATGATCTCTACTTCGTTATAGGTGCTCAGCTTCAAGCCCGGCCGGTAAATCTTTGGGTCAATTTATGTACAGATAACATGCCCAGTAATGGATAACGCAAATTCCCGATGATTCCTTCAAGTCCAAGGAGTATGACTTTGTAAATTAAGAAGTCTGAACCGTGTCCAAGTTATGGAATCAATTCTCTTCTATGTAGACGAACCAGGTCAGCTCCCAATAATGCGCCATGTCTCTTGCTAACTCGAGAGGCCAATAGTTTCAATCGGGATTAATATCCAACTAACCTGAGTCCCATCATTCATTCAGATTATTGGCTTTGGATGATCCCCCCTGGCTTTCTTCCCATGCTTCACCCCTTCCTCTGTGTCCCATTTCCCCTTTGGTTTTTCTCTCTCTTCAATCCCAGAGCTCGATGCATCCGCCATCGGGTCTGCTTTGTTACCTGTGTTCGTTCGGTCACGGCGTTGTCCTCTGCGGAGGTGCCAGTCCCATCTCTCGTCAGAGAGCCTTTGAAGAAGATGTGCACACTTTTAGGGGTATGAAATGTAGCAGGTTGCCAGATAGACCGCAATGGAAGTAGGCAAGGACGAGGCGGCCTTGGGACAGGGATATACTGGAGCATCGCAGTCGAAGCTGGGCTACGTGGATTGGTAGACATCGCTTCTATCGTAGGGAAGGTAGCCTCTATCACTTTCTAAAAGTATAGCTGGCGCCCTTTCTTAGATTGATATAATGTATAATTGAACGATATATAACATTGCAAACAACAATTTGGTTCGGTGATGATATGACGTCTATATTCCGCAATCATTCCCGAATTGGGTCTGTAGGGCTTAGGGCTGTCTGCTTATCGATAAGGTGGGGTAGCTGAGCTACTACATAAATCGGAGCGGAGGTAGCTAGCTGCAAGCCTGCAACGCTCTAGTTTCGAAATCAGTCTGTCATGAAACGTGAGTACCTCCCAGTTGGTACGTTGCCTTCCTGGACGAAGTTGAATGGCATCATTGTCAATGGCGTTGCATTCCAGAAGCTACAGACAGAAGATGTGGTAGACAAGGGGACTGCAATAGTAGCAACAGAAGACACGTCTAGCGAGGATGCAGAAGCCAATGAGTCGGACTCGATAGTCCTCCTGAGTATTCCATCTGATATGATTCTCTCGCTTCAGTCGGTTGAAAATCATGCCAAATCTGATCACCATTTGAGGGAAGTATTGGACGCTGTTGGGGATTTTGGAAGAGTAAGTTTTTTACCTTTGTTTCTTTTTCTTTTTCTTTCTTTCTTTCTTTCTTTCTTAGTATTATGGCGTGACTTCATTGAGGTCTTGGGCTGATATACGCAGACAGCTCGAGGTGCAACTCTGATATTTCTAATTATGCAAGTTACACATTCCAGTCCAGACTTTGCCAATGAGCCACATAAGATTGGACTTTCAAACCCCTGGACCGAATACATCAAGTACATACCACCATCAATACTATTGCCTACATTTTACACGGAAGAAGAACTCGAGCTTCTACAAGGAACCTCATTAAGGTTGGCGGTAGATACGAAAGTGATCTCGCTCGAAAGGGAGTTTGAACACCTTCGCAAATCCACGGAGGGTATATCTTGGTGCAACAGGTTATGGTGGAGTGAAGAAACCGGTAAATTCACATTCGATGATTGGAGATACGTTGATGCTGTATATCGATCGCGCGTGGTGGATTTACCCGGCAGCGGACACTCGATGGTCCCATGTATTGATATGGCGAATCATGCGTCCGAGGATACAGTAAAGGCATTATATGACGAAGGCGCTGAAGGGAACGCAGTCCTACTGTTACGGCGCGGTCGGAAACTGTCTGCTGGTGACGAAGTTACCATCTCGTAAGTGCCTAGCTTATTCTGTGCGTGACCAGTATGGTGGTGCTCACTCTATTGATTGAAGGTATGGCGACGAAAAACCGGCGTCGGAGATGATTTTCTCGTATGGGTTTCTTGATAATGGAAGGGAGAGTGCAAACCAGATCTTTCTCGATCTGGACATTCCTGACGATGATCCATTGAAGATGGCTAAGCTGGCTTTCAACAAAGACGTGCCCGGCATCCGGTTGTTCTCTTCAGAGGCAGGGAGCACTAACTGGGACAGCCCATTTGTCTGGTGGGCTTGCGTAAACGAGGAAGATGGACTTGGCTTCAACGTGCTACAAACCAATGACGGAGGAAGAGAGCTTAGAGCCCGCTGGAAGGAAGCAGAAGTGGAACTATCCAGCAGTCTCAGAGACCGCTTAGCTACTGATCCTCTGTGGGATGTTTTCCAGCTTCGGGCTGTTGTAATTATCCTGGATCGACTGGAAGCCCAGTTGGTTACACTTCGACAGACTCAAGGGGTGGTTGTGGAGATCAGTCAGGACGAGAATATGCTGACAATTTTCCGACCCGGCGTGCTCAGCACAATCATGAAACTACGTGAATTAGAGGCAGAGTTGCTGGAGCGGGGAATTGAGGACCTCGCGAGGCAGGTAAGCAATACCATTGGCAATTAATTTATCGACTTCCATAGATGCTAACTGTTGCCATTGTTTGCCGTGTAGAGGGACACCTTGATGGTGTCCCAGACTGTCAGCGCCTACCTCGGTAGCCAGCACTCAGTCGATATTGAAGAAGATTTCTCGTGATCAACAATCAAATGAATCATGATTTCTTGAATATGTAATCCTACGTAGATTGCATCTACTACGATGATCACCCAGATAGACGGTACTGATCTAAGTTTTGGACCCTTTATGCATGGGGACAACAACCCATCAAATCATGAACGAAGATAGACTTCCCAGTTGGGGTATAACGTGACTAACGAGGATTAAGTTTTAACTGTACACCAACCGATTGACCAAGAATGGGGAAGATATAGACCGTTGGCGGGCAATGACATTCTGAGGGTTGGGAGAGAGTTTCAACCAGACTCTGGAACCAGGGGAATAATGACCCATGGCAAGGACAACACCTTTGTGGCATAGTTTCAGGGAGAAAGGAGCTCATGGATTGAATCTTGAAGACTATTTTGACTGTTTCACACTGTAGCCACAATAGAGCCAATTACCCTGTTGAAGTATATATATATAGATGTACGGATATACGCACTCCGTACTTATCCATGATCTCGATATCCTTTACCATGTGGAGAGCTCCGTAGCGCAGAGACAGTCTATGTACAATATACTCCGTCCTGTGGCGATGGTAAAAGGAGCTCCGGCAGTTGACGTCGCATCACCGAAAATGTCAGGACTCGAAACTCTGACCTCCACAACTGAGATTTCTCGGTCAACTCTCGGTATCAATCGAAGAGAATGATCCTGCCTAATAATAATGATTAAACTCACTTCTGACTCCCAACTGAGAAGTGATCCCAATCCGATAGGGTCCCAAGCACAGTTATTTTTTGGATCGCATACCCCAATTCTCTCCACCGTGCAATCGTTCACCCCACTCCCCACTCTTCGCAGAGACCAACCAACAGTCTCCTCGTCTAATCCTTCTATAGCCCTTTAGGGATCAGACGATGGAACTCGGATCCCCCGCGATTCTCTATTGCGAACGACTGGGGAACATTGACCAGTGACACGGCATTCCCGCCCTTACTGATCCAGACTTGATCTTTGAAGGGCAAACAACGGGAGAAGAAAGAAAAATAAAATACATATCGGCAATATTCGGCCAAGATTCGGGATCTCGTACTATTGCTGAGGGAGATCTGAAACCCCAGTCCGATGCAATTCCGCTGCCTCTAATTTCAGGCATAGTCATGCACAACCAGGGCAGTATAACTTGACTGGAATCATTATTCTCTTGCCGCTTTCATATGCCCTGCCTGCGAAATTAGTTGTGCTGACAACCTCCTGCGTTAGTTATAGTTGTCTTCCTTTGGAAGGGAAGAGAAGACTGGGTTGAAGCCTAATGGGCTGAAAAGATCTTCGTCATTGTCTACTTTCTATTTTTTTTTATTTTTTTAATTCTGACTTGTTTTCTAGGAGAGCGAATATGGAAAGCTTTTAATTATGGTTCAAGAGAGATGACGATCACTGCAGGCGGGGCGTGAGACTGACTAGTTTAGAAATCAATGCAACCGTATTCGGAGTCGTTGGGAAATTAGCAGGATTCAAATCTTGACATATTAACAGAGAGCATAAACTGCGCTCGCGAAGAACAGGAAAGAACGAGACTGCATCAGGGCTGGTGATCCGATATCGCTCCTGGTAGGACTTAAGATTGGCTGTCGTTGGAGGACTAATCTGAGTAGATTGCGTCCATCGCCAAACTAGGGCAATAAGGGATGTCTCTTCATCCGTACATACATTCTTAGCGGACAATTTGCGCAACTTCTCCTCATTTCTTTGCTTATGTGCAGAGTAGTACATAATATACTCCAGAATCTTGGCTTGTTCTTATTCTGCACACCCTGGGTGACGAGCTCGCCACCACAGGAGGATATTGGATAACGGGTAACTGCACAACCCCATTGCTGAAGGACGATGCTTACGGTGGCACCATACCTGAGTATTACTACAGGATGTAGGTGCTCTACAGATACTCTGGAGTAGGAGTGCGGATAATTTGTCTCTCCATGAATCAAAACGCCAGGCACTTTTCCTTTAGAGTTCCGTATGCGTAATACTGTACCATCTCCAACCCCGCCTTGACGAATCTGCAACGTCTGACCTGGACATCTCGTAAGCACTCTCTTCTTATTGGTCTAGACCACAGACATATGACTCCACATAGCGAGGCCCGCAGCCCCCCTTTTCGAGTCAACAGCCGTCACCCGCACTTGCGTGGTATTACCTGATACGATTAGGGTACGAAGTACATATCGAAAAGTCTCGAGCCTCGTCCACCCAACTTGGGCGTTCTCTTCTTCCCTCCACCACCGTCGCCTCTTCCCTTCCGCAACCCGCCGTCGTACTCCGGAGTACTGATCCAGTGGCTTTTTTGGCCGTCCAGACTCTTCTTCCTAACATCTGGGAGCGGTTGTCTCTACTTTTTCTTCTCATAAGAAGAAACCCGCTTCTATCACCATCATTCAACCCAGTCCAAAGAAATTATTGATATCGACTATACGGTACTCTATATCGCACATCATATATACACGCCTCTTGAATCTCCCCCGAATTTTGTTTCTTCACCCTTAGAATCTTTACCTCGCCAACCCGGATTTAGATACGTTTCCATCCTCGAGGCAGATGCGTAACAGCATCGGCCAAAATCAACATGCCTGGAATTCTTCCTATGAAAGTGATCAAGGTCGGTAGCAGCTCGCAGAGTCGTATTGCCCAGGCCTGTGATCGTTGCAGAAGCAAGAAGATTCGCTGTGACGGTATCCGACCGTGCTGCACGCAATGCGCCAATGTCGGTTTCGAGTGCAAGACCAGCGACAAATTGAGCCGTCGAGCATTTCCTCGCGGATATACGGAGTCTCTGGAGGAGCGAGTAAGGGCCCTGGAGGCTGAGGTGAGGGACCTGAAGACTTTGTTAGATGAGAAGGATGAGAAGATCGATGTACTCTCTCGCATCCATTCCTTTACTTCTCCTTCGTATCAGAAAGCGAACACCTCACGGTCACCGGCGGGGTCAGCCAAGTCCAATCCGCCCAGCTCCGGGGAAGATATAATTCATGTCCCGCAGCATTCGCAGCCAGATGAAGCGGTTGACGGTGAATGTGCTGGGATTTCGAGTGTCCGTGGTTTCATTGGTAAGTAACCTGTTACTGTCGTCGGTTGCCCGCGGGGAATTAACACTGACTCTTCGTAGATACTTTCACAAACAGACTTATGGAACAGGGCCGACTACCCTCGCATATCTCAATCCGTGCTTTGACTGCCTCACCCTCCACCATCTCTCATTCCTGTGTTGACCAGACAATCAAGACTGCACCCCGGTTGGTGTCTGATCAACTCATCAATATCTTTTTCCAAGAATGGGCCCCTCTTTACCCTGTCGTGCACCGACCCACGATCCTGAAAACCTATGAACAGTATATATCGAATACGGAATCTCTACAAGGCAACAAACACGACATGACGCAATTGAACTTGATCTTTGGGATTGCTGCTCTCGCTTCGACTGTAAGATTGAAGGCCCCCATTGTTTGTATGGTGCCGCCTGCAAGTTCATGAACTAATGCGAATTGTGATTTTAGTCGAGAACCAACCAAGATCCCGTTTTCTTTGAAGATAACTGGTCCCCCACTCTTGAGTTGCTTTCAAGCGAGACTTCTATTTCAACATTGCAGTGCTTTGTTCTGGCCCAAATCTATTGTATGACCAAGGGCGACTATACGAGCCTACTACGCTATCGGAGCCTATCTGTTGGGATTTGCCAACGGCTGAGACTCCATCAGAGCCAGAAGCGCTTCTCGGCGAACCCGCTTGTGGCCGAAACGCGGAAGAAAGTGTTCTGGTGTCAATACGTGATTGACCGGTGCGATCTACCCCTCCTTCAATATGCGTGCATGGTTCTGACTCTGCAACAGTTTTGCGGCTGCCCTAACTGGATTGCCTGTTCTTCTACGCGAGGGCGACATCCGCACGGAGTACCCTGAGGACATCGACGACGAAAATGTCACGGAAACGGGCTTCTTGCCGACTCTTCCGGGAGAATCTACCCGTGTGTCCAGCGCCATTGCTCTATTCGCTGCTTCGAGAATATTGAACAAAGCTCTTGAAGACCTATATCCCTCAGATGGCGATTATGTGATCTCTGTGTGTAAGTTGCGTTCGGTTGCGGGTCGACTAGATGGATGGGCCCAGGCACTGCCCTCTCATCTTCGCCTTGAATTCACACAGGATAAGCCGAGCACAAATGTCACCAGTAGCCGTTCTCCGCTTTTGGTAAGTACTGGCATCGATCTGGAAATCAAAGAATGATGGCTCATTAGTTCGCTTCTAGTCCCTTGTCTACTACTTTATTCGGTCTCTGATCCATCGCCCCGCCGTGTGCTTCGGTGACGAGCATATTCGCCCACCATCCGTTCTTGCTGTCGCCGATTCCAGCAAACATATCATTCAAATTCTTGAGCTACTCGACGAGCGGCGTCTAAGCCTTTCCATCAATGTTAACCGCAAAGAATTGGTATTTACTTGTGGCTTGGGGCTTTTATGGCAAAATATTGGCCTCAAGCGGGATAGCAAGATTGTCAAGGAAAGCCAGAAACTGCTCAGAACGGTCGTCGATCAGATGGAGTCGGAATCGTTGCCTGCTGCCATCGAGTTCAGCAACTTAGCTAGTGTCTTGGTGTCGTTGGATGGCAGCAAAAGCGTGCCTTCCAGTAAATCACAGGGTATGTGTCCACCCACGCAGAAGCCATTGAAGTCGCCCATGAAGCAGTTGCAATCCTTGAAGTCCCGCTTGACCGGGAGCGCTGGTGTCAATCAGATTGTAAAGCCCAACTCTCCATCACGTCGGGCCACCATCTCCGGCACCAGTCCCCATGTTTCTCAGCGCCAAGAACGATCTTCTAGCTGGACCAGTCTCCCGCCCGATAACTTCCTCCCTTCGCATGGCCCCGCGGACAAGGCTTATTATTCCGCACCCGCAGGGAACTATGATCCCGGCCAAGTGATTGCTGGCTCGGCTACCCCAGATGTGGTCACGGGAGCCATGACGATGTCGGACTGGGAATACGTTTTAAGTGACATGGACCGAGGCTACTCGAACATCTTCACGGGAATCTATGGCGGAAAGGAATGTGGTGAAGATAGCGGGCCGTTCGCGTCTATCACCGCTGAATATGGTCCAAAACTAGACGTGAGGTCGGTGCCGTTGCCCGGACCACATGGAGAAGGGCAGAGACTGTCACCTGAAGCGTGGTCTGCTACCAGCAGCAACGATATGCCCCCCAGTCAGGATACGGTTGCACGAAGTGTCCTCAGCTACTCGGATGAGAGCATGGGCAGCACGGATGACGGCATCCCCTACCACGACGTTCGGCTGTCGCCCGAAGGGCAGGCCGCCTTGTTGGATCCGTTCCGAGGAGTCATGATGCCTACAGTCGACGACGAAACGGACGATTTCGGACTGGCAAGCGGTTGGGACCGGCGATTGGCTGTGTAAAGGCCTTGAAAGGGCATTCTTCCTGGAGTCATTATGTTACGGACTGCGTGGGGTGGTTTGATTATTACTGTTACAGGTTTTGAGAGGGAGTTTTGTGAGCGGTGTCAGGGGGTGTACTGGTTTGTTTCTTGTTCTCATTTTCTTTTTCTCCCACTTCTATCTTCCTTTGATACCTGGTCTGAGTCGGGAGTCTTGGGAGGGAGCACCTCATTTACCGAAACAAGGAACATTTGTCGATATGTTATGAATGTATGTATGTGTACATGGTGTTTTTATGATTTAGTTTGTCTATCTAGGGACCGTACTGCTGCCGTGACCGCAGCACGTCCTATATAATGGTCACCGTACATGGAATGGAATTGATTGAGTGCATCCATCGTTTCTAGATGGGGAGGATGGGAAGTTCATGCAACCTTCCCATGAGTGACGCAGGTCTCCTGCGACGTAGGAGGCGCCAGACGTGCATTGAAGCTGGTCTTCTCAATTAGGTAGGTCCTCGACCTATGTGGTCATCTCCTGCATGAAAATCGGGTACACTCGGGGGTCCATGCAGGCTGTGGCCTGGTTACAGTGACGTCGTCCCAGCAACTCTCTGTCTCTCATACTACTCCGTACATGTCTACAGGTAACACTTACTCGGCGTCGATCTCAATCATGGGATCCAAAGTCCTCCAGATCGGATTGGTCTAATCGGGGAAGCCGCTGACGCAGAACAGGGATGGTTTTTTCTAGCTGCGGCGACGATGAAAGATATCGCATGTCTCGGGTGAATTCAATAACATGATGCCCTCATGGACATAACTGACTATTGATAACTTCTTACCTAATTAGATATTTTATTGTACATCCCATCAGCACATGGGAAATCAGGTAATTAAGTACTGATTTCGATCTCCTGGGAGAATGACCAAAAATTTTGGTAAAACCCACTACATCGGAGCAGCGTCCTCCGGACCCAGAGGACGGATTCACTCGGGGACTGGATTCTACTTTATTGAATTAACCGACAGAATGATTATGATTATGATTGCCATTAATTGATTGATTCATGGCATGGCATTGATTATTCAGTCGATAGCCGCCCAGGCCTGTTACGGGGAAAATGGCGGTGCTTCCGTCAAAATGGGATTGGACTGCAGGATGCGGCCAACTCAGTGGGGGTTGACAGGGTGAGCTGTCTTTGTTGATAGTATGGATGATTACTCTGGTTTACCCTATACTACAGATACTCTGTATATCTAGATAGATGCCAATGCACTGAGAAGAGCAACGATGAAGGCGTTGAGGGGCTGGAGGCAGGAGTGAATGCACCACGAAGACAACTTACAGATAGACAGACCTATAACAATAATGGACTAACAGATTATAACATCAAACTAGATAGGCATCCTCCATCAACAACCCTTGAACGAGCATTACCTCTTACACTTACAGACTTCTACTTCCCACCCGAATCCCCCGGTGAAGCGCTGCCCCACCAAGACATCATTACCCACCCCACCTTCCTGCTGAGTTGCGCCCCTCCAGCCCATCCCATCCCACCCGCTTCTTCCCTTCTTCTCTTCTCTCTCCATTCTCCCTTCCTTTCTCCTCCTCCTCTACTATCCTCTCTCCCATCTCACGGTGATCTTTTTCTCCTGTCTCTGTACCTTAAAGTCCGACAAGACAGGTATCGTGGAATTTACGAACTGACTGACTAAAAAGAATCCCGAGAGAAGGTAGCTCCTCGCTTTTCCGTTGTTCACTGCCTCTGATTTTGCTAATCCTCATCCTTCTTTTCCAGCCATTATCATCATGGGTTACACTGAACTGGATCAATTGGCCATCAACACGATCCGTGTTCTCGCGGTATGTCTCCGTCTTCCTGGAATCTTCGCGTTCCGCCGGGGGAGGAGGTGGAGCAACATGTACGAGCGAATTCCAGACCTTCTGAGTTTCAATGAGCTCTCTCGTAGTCACTTCCTGCCATGGAGGAAGAGCTCCTGCGGTTATCGCTCCTTCATGTCTCTTTTCCTGTCTGCAATTCCCCCGCGGAACATGGGTTCCGGAGCACTCTTCACCAAAGAGGCATGATCCATGGTTGCTAATGCCCGTCTAGGTCGATGCCACATCCAAGGCTGTCTCGGGTCACCCCGGTGCCCCTATGGGCATGGCCCCCGTGTCGCACGTTCTTTTCAACAAGTTCTTGAACTTCAACCCCCAGAACCCCGACTGGGTCAACCGGGATCGTTTCGTTCTCTCGTATGTATTTTCCCTGCCCCTCCTTTTGTTTTTGTTCTTCCTTTGCTTTTGTTTCCCCCCTCTGGGAGGAGTAAACGATGTCCCAGAACTAATCTTTTTGCTTCCATAATAGGAACGGTCACGGTTGCATGCTTCAATATGCTCTCCTCCACCTTTTCGGCTACAAGGTCACCCTGGATGACTTGAAGGCCTTCAGAGTATGTCGTCATCGTTCCTACCTTCTGGTTCAATTTCTGGTTCTAATGGTATATCCCGCGTAGCAACTCGACAGCATCACCCCCGGCCACCCCGAGGCCCACGACACCCCTGGTGTTGAAGTCACCACTGGTCCTCTGGGTCAGGGTTTCTCGAACGCCGTTGGCCTTGCCATTGCTCAAGCCCAGGCCGCCGGTACCTTCAATAAGCCTGGCTACAACCTCTTCAACAACTACACATACACCTTCTTCGGTGATGGTTGTGCTATGGAGGGTATTGCTAGCGAGGCGGCCTCGATGGCCGGTCACTTGAAGCTCGGCAACCTGATTGCCATCTACGATGACAACCACATCTCCATCGATGGGGACACCAAGTGTGCGTTCACAGAGGATGTCACCAAGCGTTTCGAGGCCTATGGCTGGCACACCCTCTGGGTCAAGGACGGTGACAACGACCTGGAGGCCATTGAGGCTGCTATCAGGGAGGCTCAGTCTGTCACTGACAAGCCCACCATGATCCGCTTGACCACCACCATTGGTTTTGGTTCCAAGCTGCAGGGCACCGGTGGTGTCCATGGCAACCCCTTGAAGGCCGATGATGCTGAGGGTGTCAAGCAGCGCTTTGGCTTCGACCCCAAACAGAGCTTCATCGTTCCTCAGCAGGTCTACGACCTCTACAACAAGCGTGCCGCCCATGGTGCCGCTAAAGAGCAGGAGTGGAACCAGCTTTTCCAGAAGTATGCCACGGAGTATAAGGCCGAGCACGCGGACCTAGCCCGTCGTCTTGCTGGCAAGCTTCCCGAGGGTTGGGAGAAGAACCTGCCCGTCTACCAGCCCACCGATCCGGCGGTTGCTTCCCGCAAGCTGTCCGAGGCTGTCCTCGAGAAGATCCACAGCGTCGTCCCCGAGCTGCTGTCAGGCTCTGCTGACCTCACGGGCTCCAACAACACCCGCTGGAAGAATGCCGTCGACTTCCAGCCCCCCGAGTACGGCATTGGCGAGTGGTCTGGCCGCTACCTTCGCTACGGTGTGCGTGAGCACGCCATGGCTGCCGTGATGAACGGCCTGGCCGCCTATGGTCTTCACATCCCCGCCGGCGGAACCTTCCTGAACTTCGTCTCCTACGCCGCCGGTGCCGTCCGTCTCTCGGCTCTGTCTCGCGTCCGTGTCATCCACATCGCTACCCACGACTCCATTGGTCTGGGTGAGGATGGCCCTACTCACCAGCCTATTGAGACCCTGGCCCACTTCCGTGCTCTCCCCAACTGCATGGTTTGGCGTCCGGCCGATGGCAACGAGACTAGCGCCGCCTACTACTCGGCTCTGACCTCCAAGCACACACCCAGTATTCTGGCTCTTACTCGTCAGAACCTACCCCAGCTGGAGCACTCGACTATTGAGTCTGCTCTGAAGGGTGCTTACCCCGTCGTCGAGAACGCCGACGCTACGATCACCCTCATCTCCACTGGTTCTGAGGTCAGCATCTGTATCGACGCGGCCACCTACCTCAAAGAGAAGCACGGCGTGATCGCTCGCGTCGTCTCCGTCCCTTGCTTCGAGGTCTTTGACGCCCAGGACAAGGACTACAAGCTGAAGGTCCTCCCTGACGGCATCCCCGTCTTGTCCGTCGAGGCCCTCACCACCATGGGCTGGGAGCGCTACTCTCACGAGCAGTTCGGTCTGAACCGCTTCGGTGCTTCTGGTCCTTACAAGGAGGTGTACAAGGTAAGGCCCCATCACTCCTTCGAATGACATGAGTACCCCTATTGACCCGTTTGTCCTGCAGAAATTCGAATTCACACCTGAGGGGATCAGCAAGCGCGCTCTCGCTACCATTGACTTCTACAAGGGCTTCCCCGTGCGCTCCCCCATCAACCGTGCTTTCCAGCAAATTCTGTAGACTTTTTTGTGGAGTTAGCGATGTGATGTTTGCCATTTCTTTTTTTGTTATGAATACATAGGACGATGCTGATCCCTGAGGCTCTCCAGCGCCGGGGAGAAGCCCTTTCAAAAATACACGGCTTGACGAATTTATTCTAAATATATTGCCTGCAATTTTATTTCCCTTTGCTGGGTCCTGTAGTAGATTTAACCAGTCAAGAATGCAATTAATCTTCCATGCAGAATTCGGGTTATGGGGCAGTCCAGACATCTACAACGTCGGCGGCATGTCTCTGCGTCGTATACTATATTATTTCTGGAGTACGAATTTTACTTTTTTGGGGGAGAGGGGGGGTGGTTAAAAATGAAAAACAGGGACTTTAAACCCCTGTCATATTCCATTGTCGTCAGATCATCATCGATTTTCAGCATCCCTGGTGCCTCTAGGCTGGAGCACGAACTCCCTAGATAATAAAAACTAATTGGAGGTCCAGAAGAGAAGGAGAAGGGGGTAATCATAAATTCTAAGCCTAGTTCAAAGCCTTGCGGGCAAAGTTGGGGAGCACGAAGCTAGCCCGGTGGATATCCTGGTTGTAGTAGCGACAATGACGCTCCTCCTCCTCGCGGGTCCAGGTGCGGACCGGCTCACGCACGTTGCGGTTGGCGTCCTTACAGCAGACCATGAAGCCGATCTGGCCAGACGGGTAGGTGGGGATAGTGGTGTAAGCGTATTCGGCGACAGGGAAGACCTCCTTGCAGGCCTTGCGGAGGTCAGTGATCAGAGACAGATGCAGCCATACATTTTCGGCTGACGATGCAAAACACGAACCCAAACCGATCCCGATGTAGTCGGGTGGTTTGGGGCGTAGACTGGTTAGCTTCACGTTGCTTGAAAGGAAACAAAAACATCGAGTGGAATGAACTCTAGAGAGAGAAGGGTTGGAGTAGGAATGTGAAGAATGAGGGAAATAGGAAGTAATAGAGGGAACACAGCGTCTATAGGCAGAAAGGGAGTAAAGGAAAGGCGACGAACAACCTTGTGTGGTGATAACACCCCCATCGCTCAGAGCATCGCGCAAGAGCTCGAAGTAAGGCTTTTGGAAGAGGCTTTCGGCGGGACCCTCGGGGTCAGAGCTGTCGGTAATGATGACGTCGAACTCGTTCCGGCGGCTCTTGAGGAACTCGAAACCATCGCCAATGTGGACCTTGACGTTGGGGTGCTGGAAGCCGATGCTCATACCGGGGAGATACTTCTTAGAGACACGAATGACGGCCTAGGATAGGAAGGTGAGTCAGGGTTCCAATGTAATGTTGAACAGACAGAATTTCAGCACATTGCACAGGGAATATCATACCTCGTCAATATCGCAGAGGATGGCCTCCTCGACGGTTTCGTGCTTGACAACCTCACGGAGCACACCGCCGTCTCCACCACCAATGACCAGGACCTTTTTGGGGTTGGGGTGAGAGTTCATGGCCAGATGAGTGATCATCTCCTGATAGCTGGAAATTCCATAAGCCTCTATTCATTCTGGGAGATAAGACATGTGGGAAAATGCAGAAGAGGGGGTAACGGTAATTTTTTTTTTTTTTCTGGGGGGGGTTGGTTGAGAAAACATACGAGAACTCATCGCGCTCAGTGCACTGGACAACGTTGTCCAGCACGAGAACAGTGCCATAGTCGGTGCTCTCAAAGACCAGGACGTCCTGGTACTTGGACTTCTCGTGGTGCAGGATCTGGTTGACCTTGAGATTCATGGCCTGACCGGGCCACATGTCCGACTGCTCGGAGAACCAGCCATCTAGAGTGAACGAGAGGTTAGTGAATGAATTCAGAACTGATGTAGTCGAAGTTGATCATGATGAACAAGAAGAGTGTGTTCAATTGGGGGATTGACCCATTGATACCAAGAGGAAGAGAGCATGTGTTCCTGAGATTTAAGGCGGGGTAGTGGTCAGGCGATGGAGGGGCTGAAGTTCAAGATTGATCTAGATAGATATATAGATAGAGGGGAGGACATACCCTTGATGGTGGGGTGGGTGATCTCGGACATGATGATAGAGTGGTAGGGACGACGAAGACGACGACAAGCAGACGGAGTGGGAGGAGAGGATGAAGGGATGAAGGAAGAGGAAAAGAGATGTCGAAGCGAAGACGAAAGTCGAGGACGGAGAGACAACGCCGAGTGGGGGGAAAAGACGAGGAAATTCATGGCCTGTCGGGTATTGGGTAATTTTTCAATACGCACTGTTCGTGGGTGTTTTTTTTTCCCGCTTGCAGTTGTGCTATTTTGTTTCTTTCTCTCTTTCTCAGTGGGGACGGTTCTGTTGGCTGTTGGACTGTCCTACCTCCGGCTTATTTCTCTACACCAGAGGAACTTCCCTGTCCCTACGCTGGGCATTGAAACTGACCAGGACCACGACAGAAAAGAGAATTACTGTAGACAATAAAGAATTACATTCGAATTCTTAGGCACCACGATCAGAACCACTCGTTCCAGTCCGTTAGTTGGTCTTGTCTTGGCATGTATTTCCGGTAATTCGAAGTTTTGCCCAAAACGGGAAACCCTTTCCGCATCGAGAGTTCTCAGTGTTACTAAGGTGAATGGGCATCCAACAGACTCTTAATCTATTACGGTACAGACTACAGCTCCTTCCTGGTCCTGAGGTAGTGCGCAACACATTCGATTGCTTCTAGTACTGTACACTGCAATCACAAACCCTTCCCGTCTGTTCCCTAGTTTCCGAGAGCCTTGACCCAGGTTTCATTCACTCTTCACCACCGTGGAGGAGACGGCCGGGCTTGGAGTTGAGGAAATGGTTTCTATTCAAAGAGAACACACAGTTAGTCCGTGTCCTGTCCATCACGATGCCGTGTCCAAGGAAATGCGACTTACTCCTCAATGGCCCAGTTCATGGCGGCGTAGGCGGCAATGAAGGGGGGAGCCACGTAGAGAACCTGGTGTCTGAATCTCCGGAAGGTGTTGAAGATGGCAGAGTTAAAAGCACCAGCAAGGGGACGCTGACGGTTGGACGACAGAGAATAAGTCGCGATGCGCTGGGGAGTAGGGCATCCTAGAAGGAAAGGAGCAGACAATATTAGCATCTGATATGAAGGAATAGTGCGCAACATATAGGCTGTCGGTTGCATTTGTCGGTGCAACAACCACCAAGGCTGCCATTTAGACTCCAGTAATGATAAAGGACCAATTGCCGCACTGGTATCTTCCTTTTTTTGAGAAGTCGTCGACCGTCCTCCCAATGTTCAGGGTCTTAGAACCTACCCATCTCACCCCAGGTCCCCAAATAACTGTCATGGATCAGATCGTCAGCATCATCTTGTATACATCTAGTGACCTCGAACTTTGCAGCTCCACCATCCCGAGCATCAGAGGTGGATATGAGCACAGGGTTGACCAGATTGACCGGACAGGCGGATGGGGAAGGACCACAGTCTACCAGGATAGGGGGACAGAAAAACTCACTATCCACTCTTCGGATCCAAATGGCCACCCATTTTGAAAGAAATTGACAAGGAAATAAACGCAGTGGGACGAGTCGAGAGGGTTGAGAGCGAGAGACGCAGCGGAGAGAAGTCGAGGTTGACATTCGGGCCAAAACGGCGAAGATGAGAATGGCGCGCTAGTCCGCATTTGGACAGCATGCGAAAAGCCCGACATCATCAAATCCAACTCACTCTCCAAGTAAAAGAACTCGCTCTCCCCCCTCTCGCCACCTCTCGCCCTCCTCTCTCATACACTCCTATCATGGCTGCCAACGGTTCTCCCAGGCTCCTCCGTGGAGCCTTCTTCTTACTAGGCGGTGGCATGCTGGTCAACGCCTCCATTTACGACGTCCGTGGTGGCAGCCGCGCCGTCATCTTCGACCGCTTGTCCGGTGTTAAGGAAAAAGTCGTCAATGAAGGCACGCATTTCCTTATTCCCTGGTTGCAGAGGGCCATCGTCTATGATGTCCGGACCAAGCCTCGCAACATTTCCACCACTACAGGAAGTAAGGACTTGCAGATGGTCAGCTTGACCCTGCGAGTCTTGCACCGACCTGATGTCCCGAAGCTGCCGACCATCTATCAGGTATGTCGCTACTCTCTCCTCTCCGCTCTCTTTCTCTCTTTCTCTTCGGATCACACAATCCATTTTGAGGATGAATACTGATGGGGAGCTCCTTCCCGATAGACGTATGGTACCGACTACGATGAACGTGTCCTTCCTTCCATCGGTAACGAAGTCTTGAAGTCCATTGTCGCCCAGTTCGACGCTGCCGAGCTCATCACGCAGCGAGAGGCTGTCTCGAACCGAATCCGGACGGACCTGATGAAGCGAGCCGCGCAATTCAACATCGCCCTGGAAGACGTCTCCATCACCCACATGACCTTTGGCAAGGAGTTCACGCGCGCCGTCGAGCAGAAGCAGATCGCCCAGCAGGATGCCGAGCGGGCGCGGTTCATCGTCGAGAGAGCTGAACAGGAACGCCAGGCTAACGTTATCCGTTCTGAGGGTGAAGCCGAGAGTGCCGATATCATCAGTAAAGCTGTTGCCAAGGCTGGCAGCGGTCTCATTGAAATCCGTCGTATCGACGCGAGCAGGGAGATTGCTCAGACTCTGTCGAATAACCCGAATGTCACGTACCTACCGGGAGGCGATGGCAAGGAAGGCGGCAAGAGCACCAGCCTTCTACTTGGATTGAGGAGTTAGTTTCTGTTTTTGGGATAACTTGACCCCAAGTGTTTGTTTGCTCTTATTCCTTTTGACTTTTTATTCTCTCTTCGATTCCTCAACTGGATGGATCTTGGGCGTGCATGATCTTCCCGGCGAACTGATGTATGGTTGTTTCCCTTATATTTCCTAACCAACTGTAGCAATATCATATAACTATTCCTCTCTACATATCACATTATGTCCGTCGTATTGTTTTCGTTTTCAGCCCAATTACTCCGTACAGCATGCATATCTATAATACTATAAGGAAAATACCCCAATCCCCCACCTATCGTCCCTCCAACCGACGATAAATATGAACCTGGAACCGCATATCCTCCAACCCAGCCCCTTCCCCAACATCATACCTCAACTCCGCTACATCTCTCCTCCACCAGCGCGAATCTTGTGAGAAGACCTGCTCCCACTTCCCCTCCGCAACGGAGAGCAGCGTATGATCAAGGAGAAATTTCATAGGATAGTGTCTTTCCTGCTGCGCAGACCTCACTCCTCCTTCTCCCTCTCCACCGCCCGCGGAACTCTTCCCTTTCCCCAGTTTCAACGTCGAATAGCTCCCAGGGCTGTCAACGATCAGGAGCACCGCCCCAGGCCGCAGAATATCCGTCATGCGTAGTAGAAACCCCGTCGTTTTCGCCATCGACGTCGAGAAGAGTTCGTTTAACGTGAACATCAAAGTCACCAGTACCGTGGCGGTCGGAGGAGACTGTTTCTTCTCCTGGGGGTTCAACAGCTCATTGAGCTGACCTTCAGATATGGAGAGTACATCCGAACGTTGGAGCCGGACGGAGAATGGTCCCATATTTGGATCTAGTAACGGCGCTGTTTGTGTCTTGGGCCCCGATGGCACGTTTGATGACTGAATCGCAGATGTCAGTCGGTTAATCACGATTGACCAATCTGCGATATCCACGGCTGTGACAGACAGGCCGGGATGATGGGGCCGTGTTGTCGTCGATGATGACGACAATGATGGTCTTGAAGAAGTCGTGCAACGGGGATTGGAAGATGATGGTAACGTCGATGCTAATGTGGATGATGTACCACTCTCCTTCTCCTCCAACGAAACACTACTAACACCCTCCGTCAACAGCATATTTCTATCCCTCCCATCCAACAGGTCTCTCACACAGCAGCCAAAGCAACAATCTCAGCTCCTGCACCGCCCCCAATACACACCACATGGTTCGTGGCGTGGGCCTGTGGGTTGAGAATCCCCCTGAACACCGCTTTGAAGATCCCGGCATACCCCAGAGCGCGCGTCGAGCTCCAGCGCAGGGCATATGCGCGCAAGAGATCGCCGCTGGCATCGGTAAACGCCGAGTCGAAGTCGCGGTTATACAGGTGTGATTTGATGGTTTGGATGAGTTCCTTGATGTCCAATTGGTGGGAGTTTGGACCCGTCACTGGAGTGGTATCATGGTCATAGTTGTTATTTTTATTGTTGGTATTATTCCAGACTTGGCCGCGTGTAGTCAGCAAGGCCGATTTGAAAACATTGAGCAGCAATTGTTGCAGAGTAAGTGGGATGGTAGCAGTCAAGTCAATCCCGGTTCCCCCCGTCCCGATTCGCCCCTGTTTGGCTCGGGGAGGGACCTGTGGTGGTTTCTTCTTGTCTTTGGGTGCCTTTTTGGCAGGGCCAAGTCGAGGTGGGCCCATTTTAAGGACGCCAGAAGTAGATTGTTGGGACGTGAAGTTGGTGAAGTTTTTGTATGTATAATTTTGTCGGGGTCGAGAGCCTCGATCGGCCCCGTCGGAACCGACGCCTACAAAAGTATATCTTAATGTTCAATGCTTACCTTACTGGTTTTTGTTCTTTGGCTTTGGAATTTAATCCAATTTTTTCTTTTCATTCATTTTATTTCATTTATTTCTTTTACGAACTTTGCTTTGTTCTTGCCCCCGAAACCGCCTCCTTCAGCACTACATAGTCCCCATATTCATAAGCGAAGAGTGGATTGATATTGTGCAGGCAAATAGGCCTGAAATAATCTGACTTGCTAGATACTAACCCGATAGATCTCCCAGCAGGGAAATAAAGAAAGGAATGAACCCAACTGCAATGCCACATGCGGACAATCGCCACATAAATACCCTGTAGAGTGATGATAGAAAATGAATGAAGGCAGTGTTCATCGCCGCCGGAAAGGAAGGCACAGAATAAAATAAATATAAAGCTCCAAGTAACAGAAGAAAAAGAAGAAAATAGAATGTGTCCGTAAACCGCCAACAGACATTTAACGAGAGATGAGAAACATGAATAAATCAAAAGAGCTTCGTACTCACGCTTGTAAACACATACCGAGAAAAGAGACTCGTCAGTTATCCCAACAAATAAGAAAATTAGCGAAAAAAGGGTCGGATGAGGAAAAGTATAGAAGGCGAAATACAAAAAAAGATCTTGCAAAGACCTAATGTCGAACGATTCGTAATCACGCTATGTACAGATTATCAACATCCAGGTTGGCTCATGATGGTCGTTCTTCCTGAACTGTATTTTGGTTCAACCGGTCTTTTTCTTTCGTCCTCCAGAAGTGCATCAACCGACTAATACGACGACCCTTTTTTGTCTTCTCTGGTTCATCACTTGGTGGCTTCTCCTCATAACTGAGCTTACTTCTCTCGACATGAGGTCCACCTACCAGTTTGGATAGACTGGCAAGGCTAGACCGCTTCGAAGAGTTGGCCTGACTATTTCGCCGGTTGCCCGCAGCAGAGAAAGATGCCGAGCGATCAGTGGACAACCGGGACCGTTGGAAGAAAGTTGCCGAAAAACGATTTAACGTATTTGTTGTTGTCGATGCACTGCTAGTCAGTGACGGCACATCATCGGCGGATGCATGAGGGAACTCCATAGACGGGTTGTAGGAGGGGCTCGAGAAATTACGATCAGTGGTAGACGAAGTGGTGATCGAACGAGGGAAGTCGGGAGACGAGCCGGCAAAGTCAGGGGATGGAAAGGGAGAGTTCGAAACAGAGGTGCCACCCTGGAGAGAAAGGGGAGGGATAGGGATGTTGGGGGTAAAATCAATCGGCGAGGTCGCAGGCCGGTCTGTGGGCAGAAAACGAGGTGAAATGTCTGGACTAGGAGGAACCGGCACTTTGCGTAGCCAATCCTCATGTTTGATCAGCTCCACGGGACTTTTCGGCTGGTTGGAAAAAGGGTTCCTCGCATCCCGTAGCTGATCAGAAGCAGATTGTTGGTCCGTGGGGTTTTGGTTCTCCTGGTTTGAACATGTGGCAAGGGAATCCGGGGCGTCGTCCGGTTCCTGTTTCTGGATTCCAAGACCAGTCTGTTCTTGTGGGTTGGCGAAATTCTCCCCTGGTTGCCGGGTAAGAGTATCAGAGCTTTCTTTGCTTTCTAGTGATTGTTGATCAGCAGCGCCTGCGACACCCTGCAAAGGGCCTCGTTCGTCGTTTTCACTTGTAGCCGCCAGAAATGCATCCTCCTCCTCCTCGTAGAAAACGTCGGGGTTCTCTAAGGCTGAATTGTTTACCAATCGGTTGTTTAAAAAGCTGCGATCAAAAGGAGGCATTTCAGGTGCGCTTTCAGTACGACGATGGTAGCGCATTTCCGGGCCGACGAATTCTCCCCGTCGTCCACCACTATACATCCGTTTGGTTGCCGCCGAAAAGCCACTCTTAGCAGTACCACTGGACCCCATGTCAGGGGTATTGAAAGGTCCCAGAGCAGCATCCAGATCGATGATCGGACTTAGAACATCATTCTGTCTACCTTGCTCATAAAAGCTTCTCGGTTTCCATGAGTTCTCCAGCGATGCCGGTGCATCAGCATTATCAGATGGACTATGAGAATCCGGAGAAGTAGGATTGGTGGGTGTTCGGATCACAACAACGTTATCGTCGTCGAAGTTCACATCGAGTCCTGAGCCAAGGTCCGAATTGGTCCGGGTGAGTACAGGTGACGGAGACGACTTGGACCCTGCCATATCATCTTTGCGCTTGACCTTTCCTCTTGTCAAAATTGCACCAGCCCAAGACCGTACTTTCTTCTGCCTCTTCTTGGTTTTCGATCTTTTCTTAGAAGTGGACGGTGATTCAGTTGCTGCGTGATCGTCGCCTGATGCAACTGAATCTCCATCGTCAGATGAAGAATGCCTCAAGGTCTCTGCCCACCGGGTATCCTCTCTCATCCTGTCACTTTTCCTGAGCTTTGCATCTAGGATCCCCGACGACATGCTTTTTCGGAAACGAGAATGTCCCGCAGCAGAAAGCGGATGTTTCATCCCTGAAAGTTCGTCACTGCCTGTATTGTTTGGATTTAGCATTAGTGATGCGTCCGCAGTTCTCGGTCGCGGTTTAGGACTCTGATTCATGGGGAACGCAAGTTCCCTGGTAGAGGGACCAGGTCTATAGTTATCTCTAGCGACTTCCATTGACTGTATTGTACTCTCAGAATTCCTTGAGACGTCGGAAAGTGGACGTTCGGCTGCATCAGAGACAATCGAGACCTCAGGCTGTGCATTGCTAGGAGGCACCCCATTAATCGTTATCTGGGGAGACGCAGGTGGTGTCGGCCGGCCTAGGTTGGTTGCCGAGTTAGATATAGGTCTACGGGACAGATCTGACGGACTAAGATCCTGTAGCCCATCTGCTGGTGTTCTTGGAGCACTCTCGACCAAACTTTCCGGGCCGAACGCCTTCGAAATAGCGGTTAGGTCCACACTGGAAACCGCCGCTGAGCGTCGATGGGCATGTCGTCGCCTTCCTGGGCCCATTGCACTGAAACCGGGCCCCGGAGCTGGTAGCCTAGCAGGGCCAGGGGTTGAATCCTCTCCGCTCTTTTGACCTGCATCCGATATTCCAGAGGCAACCATATGCTCGCCGCCAACGAACTCGCTGCATCGCCGACGGTGTCCAACCGGTCGACTTGTTGGTAGCGTTGGCGTTGACGTTGGCGTTGTCGGCTGTGATGGTTGTATAGAACCCGGATTAAAGGAAAAGGCGGGAAGGTTTGGCGTGTCATCTATCGCCTGTGACATTGCATCCGGCTCTCGGGCTGGGAACACAAACGGTGGATTTGGAAGCGGCGCAGGCATGGCGAAGTTGTGGCGGCTACGACTGCCGGAGGGCTGACCAATCGAGTCGAGACGTTGAGAAAAGACTGAAGTAGTTTGAGGCTGTAGAGGAAAAGAGACCGAAGCCATGACCGAGAATCGATAATGTCAACAAGCCAAGTTCGCACCCACCGCGAGCCAATACCTCACCGACCAGCCTCGTGGTAGATACGCTCGTGATCCAGACGCAGGGGGACCTCCAGACCAAAACTGGGACTTCGTCTGGAGGTCTTCAAAATCGCACAAGTATCATTGAAATTCTGGGACCAAGGATACACAGTCCAAAGTAACGGCTGAGAATCGATAAACTGCAAGATCGAAAGGGTGAGAGAGAAGGCGGGAAAAAGCCTCCTCGGCCCACAGGGATATAAAACTTGTAGTCAAATGTTTTTTCTTAAATCGAGACGATGTACAGAATGGTCTCGGTTGAAACCGGGGCGATGAGTTAACTTGTTATGTTGGCTAAGAATGATGATATCGTAAGGAACGGACGGCCACGGAGGAGGCCAGTAAGCATGGACGGATACGCCGGAAAAGAAGGAGAAATGAATGAAAAAGAGTGTGTGGTTGAGAAAAAGGGTATGGAGAAGAGAAGAGGGAGAGGGAGAGGGAGATAGAAGGAGGGAAGGTAGAGGGAGGTGAGGTGAGGTGAGGAGAGGAGAGGAGAGAGGATCAACCTGGAAAAAGGAAAATGAAGTCGGAAGGAAGGAGAGGATGATAGTTGTCGTGACGGGTGGGCCGTTCCTAATTACATTACGGCTGTCGAGGGTGGAAAAGGCTGACTTGCAGCAAAGCCAACCTAAAAAATCTGGTGGGGAAAAAGAGGGAGGAGAAAAGACGATGTATGGATGGAGCGCTGCGGCAGGGGATGATTGGCTGGGACGCCCTGTTACGGTCTCGTACTCCGTACGTATGCGTTTTATTACGTCGGGACGACGCCGTGAATGAATAAATGAATATTGATTGATTGGATTGGCGGTCCCTGACTGGCAATATAGTCGATATGAGTACTTACTAGTAGTAGATAGTAGATAGGAGTAAGATATACCTAAGGCACGGAAGGTAGTCAAGTAATACAACTCCCTGCTGCATAACCTACTAGTCGGTCGCCTGAAGAGTGGCGGTATCCCGATAATGTCCTTCCCCATGACTTGGACCAAAAGGGCTTGGCACTGGTACGGATTGAATGCATGTCTGTTTATGGGGAAATTGACGGTGGAGAGGGCTTCCTCGGATGGTTGCGTTTTCCCTACTCTTCAGTTTGCTTGCCCAACGTTCAATTACGACGATTGGGCAATTGATGGAGGCAGTAATGATTTTCTTAATTTCCTGGACTCTTCTAGCCGGCTGAATGGTCTTGGTTCAATGTTGAGTCGAACATTCAAATGGAAGACGTCATGCACTCTAGGTCGCCACCAGGATACGAGCTTAAAATGCCCCTGGTTTGGGGCCAACCAAAGTCAAATGCTTGGATCGGTTTAGTAGGAATTAGGAATATGAATATCAAGCACAATTGGGTTTGGGGGTGACTTACCCGTGACCAACGATTCTAATCATAGTAATCAGGAGAAACAGAATAAAATAGTTAAAAAATAGCAATAATGGTAAATAGTTTTCTATTGCTATAAGGATAGAGAAAATGAGATTATTGATTGCGGAAGTCGCTCCGACTTACCTAGTAAGTCGTACTTCGTATTAGGACTTCCATGAATGAGAAATATTCATCTGCCTATTAATCTATTAATATTAACGCCAATATTAATTCTTTATCTTGATGTTTCCGGAGAAATCACTCCAGGCACCCAAGAGACTAAAATGTCCGTACCTGAACACACCCACCAATCAGTAGCGGTGTCTGACGAGTGAAATCTCGCTTGTTGACCAAGCGCTACCAGTAGTGGGAAGATGACTTACCGCATTGGACGCTAGTTTTATTACCTTCCAGTGGTTTGCTGCCTCCCACTGGCTCCGCTCCATAATTATATTTCCCCAAACTGGACTAGCGCCATGATCCCTTCAAAAGATTGACACGTCTTGACCAGGGGATGGGTGAAACCGCCCAGCGGATACCAACTCCATCTTTTATCCTACTAAATCCGTTCAATATTCAGGCACACCATACAGAGTACTGTTTCAAAGACAAGACAAGAATAGATCCCGTCAGTCATTATCTATCCATTTTGTTTGTCCCTAGGGAGATCGACCTTGTCTGGTACTGCTTCGTCAGTTTCCGTTGCACAGGCCAGCCTTAATATTGTTTCGCGTCCTTCAAAATCATACTGAACTCCTGAAGGGAACCCTTGGTTGTGTCCCCTCATATCCGATAGAAAAGACAAAACTCCCTGACAGACTTATTCCGCCCCCTACCTTAGCGTTGCATACTAATTCGGCAGAGGGTGCAGTGTAGGCAGCCCTGATTGGTTTGCAGCGCCGCAAGTTGTCGCCCATGTGTTTCAATGGCCTGTCTCCAACGCCCCCGGGGTAAAACTTACCCAGTACGTTGGCCGATCATGCATGGATCGAGTGATGGATGTCTATTTCAAGAACTGTTCATCTTTATTGGGAGCTTTTTGTCACATTGTATCAAGTACGAAATTCCGAGTTTAGTATAGTCGTTTTCCGTAGTAGGGGACGGCGCTTCCATCGGTACTGCTTAGTCTAATTATTATTACTAGCTATACGGAGTAGACTGTTGCACCCGATGTCGATAACGTGACATTTTATTGACGTTTTTTTTGTCTATTTGTTTATTTCATCCTCACCTGTACGATGCCTCAATGAGACCATCTCACAGGATCGAAAAGGCATCCACGTGACCCTGGTTCGACTAATGACAACACTGGCCACTCTCCGTCGCGGTTGCCCCGGGTTTCTTCCACTGTGTAATCTGAATTGGTCGCACTGGACACTTGGCCGAGGCTAACAATACTATGGAGTACGTAAGACAAGGATTACTTGATATCTCCCCCGGACGGGCGGACTAGGGGATAGTGAAGGATACATTCGGCTAACCTGCAGTTAGTACATGGTTCTAGTCGTGGATGCAAAATACTCCGCTGCCAAACGGGTTAGATGCATCGTCGAATTTCCGGGGTTTGACATGTCTCGAGACTTCACCTGGCTGCAACCTAACCTGCACTGTCCCGGCATTGTTGGGTAAAACCCTACCAGTTCGGTGCGCTCGAAGCTTGTGACGTGGAAGTCGATGCATTCACGGGCTACCCGAGGTATCGGGTGTCTCACATTCAGCATCTACGCCTAATGTGCTGTTCTTGCAGGATCTATCATGCATGTCCCGGAATGTACTCGGCCTCCGGATCTGAGAAAATTGATGGTCAAGGAATCGGATATGACTGATCAACCGGAACAGCCCTTCACGATTATGATGCCTCTGGTCATGTTTTGCTAGTGAACCGGGGCAAGATAGGTGTTGATAGCGTCTGATGAGTCGGTATTCGACCCGGTTGCTACTTGCATAGCTCTCTGTGTTATCAGTTGTCCTTCTGAGAGAGGCACTGCTTTGCAGGCAACTTCCTGATGGTCTTTACAGGTCGTTGTGGTAGGATTATAGGCAGGACGCTGGGTACTTGGGAGAACTTCTGAGGAAGGCTGCAGAGGGCCCAATCCCAGGGTCTGCAGCAATGCCATGCAGCGAACAAACACCCTTTGTGCTCTTTGATCTGCTGGATCCGGCAATGAAGATATGTATCAGAGATAGATAATATTGCATTGGTCTCTGAACAACCGTATATTCCAAAGGTAATATTTAATATCTTGTGGATAAGAAATTGCTGAGTCTTCATAGCCTTGGTATATAGTTTTCTTTTCTTTATTTTTTTATTTTAAGAAAGAAAGAAGAAATGTGCTTCGGAGTACCATGCAGATAGTTACATCACATAAGGCTGTCAGAAATTCACCGGCTGCATGGCAAGGTCTCTTGCAGACTGTAATGCCGCTAACAGGCACAATTCACATACAAAAGAGCAGACGATCTTGTCTCTGAACAACCCAATCTGATTAAGACATGGCCAACTAGTATGCACTGCACCTTACAGATTTAAAGTATCTATAGGGAGAGAAGATTTCAATAACTGATATGAATGTAAGGGATTCTATAAGCCAATTTTAGTACCCACCCGCACCGCCACCTTGATCTACGTATCCAATGTTCCACTCCTCTCTCCCCTTCTTATAAATATCACACCCTGTATACCTTTTCAGTACAGACAAGCATATTATTACTCGATCGCTAACCAAGCTCCTCCTACTAACTACTTAATTCCGACAGTGTACTCTGTACTATGACGGAGTACACAACTATTGTATTTTATACAATGCTGGCCGATGGATCACGACGGAAGAAGTTTTCCAGAAAATCGTCCCAACATGGAACCTGCCGAATTGGAAATCGATCGAATCCACCTCTCAAATTTGAGTTCGAACCCTTGGGCGCCTTATAAATAAATATATTACGAAAAAAGTGCGTACTAACGGCCATGTCCGATCGGACTGATCCTCTGATGTCATCGTTCGATATAACTAAGGCCCACTGTAACTATGTGTCTTTTCATGGATAAAAGTCGATGTCGTGGGGTTCGAAGACCTACGGTATTGCTGGGGTAAAAACAATTAATAAAAATGATGGGAAATAATATATTTACACTTAGTCCGTCTAAAATTAGGAGGTTTGGACAGGGACTTTGGGTTATGTTTCTGCTTTGTAAATTGGGTCGCCAAAGGCCGGATGCCAGTGAAGACTGACATGCCTCTGGTCACCGAAACTAGAGGACAGCACTAATGTCTAATGTGCCAGCCAGATATAAAATCATGTCACAATGCCCTTGAAGTTAAATTCACATTTGAATTTTGTGTCGAACTGTAGGATTACCGCAAAGCTTACTAGGTGTTGTTGTGTGGACTCAAATCGAAGGTAGAACTTTAATAGAGATGAAGGAATTTTAATATACTTCCTTGTCAGTCTTGGTAGAATAACTTTTGTTGATTACGTTCAATTAACTAAGGCTTTATATCATCCATGTAGAGATGACATGGCCAAGAGCTCTAGTTAACCCATTCTAGCATCCATGAAATAGGTTGGTGATTTCCAAGATGAACTTAAACGCACACAATTGCTCTGGAAGAAACTTATTATAGTGTATGGTGTCAGGTAGCAAATGTGGATAGAGGGTTCATTCTAGTATAAAAAATAGGATCTGGTGCTTGCGTTAAAAGAGGACGATACTGTAGTCTTTGTCTATGAATTAGAGCAATGTATATGTTTAAAGTTTAGTGTATCTAGATTTACATCCATGGGCATAGACTTAAAGGGACTATGGAGTAGAATGCGAATCACTCGGGTTGGAGTACACCTGATGATGTCAAATGCGATCCTACAACAAAATATATCACAAATTATCAATTAGCTCTTCACCATTCTCATTGTTAATTTGGATGTACATCCTAGGTCTAAATCCACCTAATGCGCAGCTACCCTATATAGAAGATGATAGAAGGCGAACCAAGACCTATATGATATCGTCATAGACGCTATTGGCCCTGTCAATATCAGTTTGTCAACTACCCAATAAAATATAACTACCTATAATAAGTTAAAACGCCTATATATTTCACTTTATTTAGAGGATATTGATTGCTGATGATCACAGACTTCAAATTCCCGTTTTCCGCTATTTACGTACATATTACGATACTTCAAGTCACTACTTCTATCAAAATGTCCGCCAACAATTTCCACACCACCATCCAGGACCTCCGCAAGGAGGAATCCAAACTCGCCCAAGCCCATGTTGGAAAACCACGTAAGGAGTCTGACATCTCTGCGATGAAGGTAACCTATGCCCTCTGACCAGGTATTTTCATATCCACAAGACATCAAGACTAACTTGACATAGCCAGTGATCAGCGAGAGCACAAACAAACAGGCAGAGATTGATCGCGCCAAAGCGACCCTACATTTACCTATCCAACTACCCACGCCTAGTGACTGGTCGTTCCGCCGACCATATAACCGTCAATGTCGGCTCTGGCCATTTCGAGGGACCTGTCTCAGGCGAGGGAGATAGCACTCTAGGGAACCTGCGACTGCAGCAACCAGTGTCCGGCAGCTGGGAGATGAATGAAAATCAGAATACCGAGCCGTTCGGCAACTTTGGGCGCCAGGGTAAAGACAACCTTGGACGTCTTCCCAAAGATGCTTTGACGCGATAGCCGAGATTGAGTTGTATGGGGATTAACGAGCTTTGATGATGAATATATAGTCCAATTCCTTGCATGTACTAGTAGTTTTAAACTGGCAAGCGTTTCAGAATCTCTTTTCCTGAATGGTAAAGGGAGTGTAGCATAGAGTATGGTCTTACATCATAGTTTGCTGGGGTTCACACTTCTAGTGCCTGAGACTTTTGGGTTTGATTTGATGCACGTAACATATCATCGACAAACAAATGTCAATGCAGTCAAATCTCAAGAGGAAAGAAAAACCCTTCGTGGAGTGATGCAACCCAGCCCAACGACCGCAGATCAACCAGAACGCAGAACTCAGTACATGAGACCATGAGAAAAAACCACTTCTGCCCCTTCATGAAATACTGGATTGCCCAACAGGATTGATGCTGTCAGCAATCCGCGTACCACGATACAGCCCCTCGGATTAGACTCCATAAGGGGCCCTGAAAAGTGGACTATATTTTCTTGTCTTGCGTTATTACGCATCACTGGAGAGTCTAAAGACTTGGCTTTGCTTTTTGATGTTCACTTTTGAATGGCGATCTGGGAATTGTGGACTGACACCGCCAGAATGACATCATCCAGCTTTGGGGACATCGAGCAGGTTGAAGATATCTACCAAGTAAAGCTATTTGGCATTGCCATTGCACCGTCAAGACCAGTCTTCAGATCACTCTTTGGACATATAATCATTCGAGCGCGCGAGCTATTGGTATTCCCTGCAGTTGCACCATAAACTACTTATCAGTCAAATGGATCTCCAAGGACAGCCTATTCCCCCCAGTCCTCGAAGCACCAAGGTATGCTGTAATCATGTATTCCAAAAGTCAGAACGTCCAGTACCTAACGTGGGTCCAGGTCACAAGCGCCCCTGAGGCTACTCGACACCCCATCTATGGACGCGCTGGAACTGTCCCAAAGACTCTCTGGCCGCCGAGTCTGCTACCAAGGGTGGTGCTTTCGTTAGTGGTTGGAGTTCCGGGAGCAAACTCACGGTCACGAACACACAGACTTCTGCCGCCAGCGAGCTACCTTCTGCGCGGGTCGGAGCCGCTTGTGAGAACTTAGATTGACAAGAGAAGTATCCCGAAACCCTTGGTGGACAGGGAAATTTCCCCTGGTCTTCATATGCCAGAGTCTGGCTACGTTGGTGGCCCTTCTGCTGCCAAACAGGAACTTAGAATCGGTCGATCCACAGCCAGCGGTAGTGGATCTACAAGTCAGTATAATGCTGGACAGGTGTCTTTGACCGGACAGCACGGTAGCGGTAAACCCAAGGGCACGGACTTGACGCAAGGTGGATTCGATGGGGACAAGCCCAATGCCAGCTACAACGCCGATATTGGATCCAAGAGCGATCCTGGTATGGCCGCTGGCCTGATGCTGCAGGTGGTCCGAGGGAAAAGGGAGTTGACGACGAACACTGGTATCAGCCTCTGCAGAAAGACCAGAGAGCGTAATGATGTTTTTATCAAAACTTGAGCGGGTGCTCTACTTTTTTGTACTTTCAGGGCTCTTAAATGAAACGATAGGATCAGCAGGTCAGTTCACAGCAATGTATTATGGATGAAACTGTTCAGGGCAGTATTCTCCAAATGGATCTTGCATCTTTTCTAAAAAACCTTAAAAGATGTATGCATGCATCATATCATAACTTCAATCTATGTTCTTCGTCCGGATCATCTCGATCCTCCATCGGCACCGCTCCAATCACCGCATCTTCCAAAACATCAAAAAGAATTCTCTCCTCCCCCCAAACACCCCCCTCTGTAGATCCCCATCGCTCCCAGCACATGTTTACAGCTTCCACGATCCCAACCGCCACAATTGCCAACCACAACAGAACAAACAAGATCGCCACTGGTGCCAGCATTCGATCGGTTTCCCTTAGGGACTGGATCATCCTGTATACGGCGTGGAACCGATTCTGCGCTCTATCTGGTCCATGCCCCTGCTTCTCGGGAAATAATTTGGACGTTGCGGTTTGTATGTGTCTTGGTTGTTGGGTGACGACGTAGCCATACACTCTGTGAGGCCAACGGACAGGGAGTTTCCATCGTGGATGCGAGATCTGAAGGTGGTTTGGAGACGATGAAGGAGGACCTTTCTCGACGATATGTACCTGAGTTATATATGTTAGTATAGCAACACACTTTCTGTAATAACCTAAAAATGATCGAATATCTCACCTTTCCCAAAACCCGATGCTTCATGCCCTCCCTGGAACTAGGAACCAAGGACGACGCATCCGATGAGAATGAGATACACGGCCCAAAAGAGTCACAATGACTGGAAATAGGAAGTGCTCCTACGATGCAGAGATACCCCCAGGCTAGAGCGAGATAATAACAGACTAGCATAATTGCAACCAAACCCCTGCAACTCGACCGTGTACACAGAGACAGAGACCGAGACTGAAGTAGTTCCGTGAAATGAAATGTAGCACTCTTTGTTCGCTCCCGAGGAATCAGCCACCGTTTAAGTATGGTGAGCTTCATCCATTCATCCTATACAAAGGACGTAGATTTGACCGATTGACAACCAATCCTTGCGTCCTTGACACTCGACCAGCGTTCAGAAATCGACTGTGGCTCTTCTCCCTTCCCCAATGGGAGGTGCTGTCGTGGGTGGATCATCGCCCATTATTATGCATCCCTTGCTGACGGATTCGCAGGTTAAGCTTTTTTTGCGACCCGGCTTGGGGCGGTGTTGGCGTGGACAGTCTATCGATCTATCATTTCTGGGTGGAGGCTGTGACGATCAGGTCATTAGCTTTGAAGTTCGTGTCTTTCTGACCGATTGATGTTGGCCTTGGAGTGTGTACTATTTGGAAGGGGTATTGCAGAACAATGGATCTATCCATCATACACTCGGCCGTGCTCGACACTGCTAATCAATCAACTCAACAGAGATATTCTATTACCAGTTGTTAGATCTACTCCATATAGTTCGAGTGAATTTGGTATTTTTTTTGATTCCACACTTCCTGCCTTTTTCGTACACCAATGTGAGAACGCCAGTTTTGCAACGCACATATCATAAAAGATCAAACCCATGAACATGTCCCAAAGGCCAGACCCCAGAGACATGCACTGTCTTGTCAGTCAACACGAAGTGGAACTGTACAGCCATAGCAAGCGACAAGACATCAAGTAAATGAAGAAACCTTGAAATTAAAATTAAAAAGAAACAACAGAAAAGACCAAAGTTAGGACCCAAATCCAAGCTCTAAAGGTTCACCCTCTTAAGCTCCTTTTCGACGAGCTTGGCCAACTCCTCGTACACCTTACTGAAATCCTCGCCGTCATCCTCATCGTCCTTCTTCTTCCCCTTGGCAGCCGACTTAGGCACAACCATGACAACGCTGGTGGGGCGCTTGGTTGCGGCCGAGTTACCGAGCTCAGCTCGGGATGTGACAAAGACATAGGGGATGCCGTGGTCTTCGCAGAGCACGGGAATGTGAGAAATGACATCCATGGGCGAAATGTCCGCGGCGAGGATAACGATACCATTGGGGGTAGTGATGGGAGAGTTGGGGGCAGGGACGGGCGACTTCCGGAGAGCCTTGACCACTTCCTTGACACCTCGTTTGAGGCACTTGTTGACAGCGGCTGTATAGAAGCATAACATCAGCATATTGTAAAATAGGCAACATGTACATTATCTCATGAGTTTAAGGTCTTGATCTTTGTAAAAGGACGAGGGAATTTCACTTGGCGATTTCATTGACCCAACAGAGCCAAGTGTTCCAAAAAAAAAAAAAAAAAAAAGACAAGCTCATCCTAAAACAAGCATAGCTGTACAAGACTCACCCTTCTTGACACTCTTCAGAACCTTCTTCGCCGACTTGTCTTCTACCAAAGGATTGGCAAACGGTACAACGGCGCCAGTGGGACCGTCAACGTCCATCTCAGCCTTAACGATGCCATTAACGGGAGTCTCTGACGGAACGGCCTTGTCAATTCCATCCAGAACCTTGGTGGTAAGTTCTTGCTCGACCGCTTCGGCAAGCGCAGTCTTGTCCTTCTTCTCCTTCTTATCCTTCTTGCTGCTCTTGTGGACACCGTCCTTCTCCGAGCGCTTCTCCTTCTTCTCGCGCTTGTCCTTCTTTTCAGATTTGTCCTTTGCCATCTTGATTTCTGGAGTCACGGGAAGAATTGAACAGGACGAGAAGGGAGCGAGGGCGACAACCGGGCGTGGAGAAGTTGTCGTCGGCCTCTTTCGAAATCTGCGAAATTTCGAAATCTTCAAAATTTTGGCGCTAGTTCCGATCGGGAATTCTAACTTTGGCGGCAGGTGAGTTGGCTGACTCAGCCTCCTACCCAATTGCGGTGCTCCGAGCAAAACAAAAGCAGAGCTCTCCTCCTTCCACTCCGCTCGCTCTGGTTGTCCACTGTTGCAGGCCGATCCATCGCGGGGAGGATATACTGATGTACTGTCCCGTTTGATTTTGATGAAGGTATCTGCCCATTGAGCGTGTCCGGTGTCACTTGGTTGTGCTTCCAAGGTAGGGCTTCGCAGGTATCGCGCCGTTTCATTCGGACGGGACTGACAACATTAGATGAATTCAAGTAGAAACTCTCGTCTGTCGTTTGGCTCTCCGCCTGGAGACACCTCGCCTTTGTCAATTCCCAGAGCCCCAAGCATGCTGCGACAATCAATCCGCCCCTCACATCCTCCAAAGACCGGTAAGCTTAACTAGCGCTCTACGATGCATCTCACAGAATAACATGTCCTTACAGATTCGGAGAATGAGGAGCTACGTGTGCAATGTAATGCCTTGAAATATGAGCTGGAGAGCTTCAAGCAAGAGCGGGATCTCATGATACTGCGCCATGAGAAGGAGCTCCGGGAATTACAATTAAAAAGAGACGTGGATTTTCGCAAAGCTCAGGTTTGTTGAATGAGCAATCCGTTCAGTACGGAGCTTAGCTGATAGTCCTTTCCTGCTATAAGGCCGCGGAGACTTTGAGCCACCGGGCTAATCACAAGTACGAGACGCTTGCGAAGGAAATGAAAGAAACCCAAGACCAAGCACTTACAGACAAGGTCGGCTTTGAGCGGAAGATCAGGAGTCTTCAAGACCAAAACCAAACCCTCCAGGAAGATGTTGATGATACCAAGGCGCAGTTGCTCGATCAAGAGAGACAATTCAAGTATCAAGTCAACGAGCTAGAAACAATTAGATCATCCCTCCAGAGAACGGTCGAGGATTTGCAGAATGATCTTCAGAATCTTCAGAATGAAGTGCAAGCCACACAAGACAAGCTTCGTGAAAGAGAAGCAGATGTGGCCAATTTGGAAACCGAGAACATCACCCTCAAGGCCGAAGGAAGTGATGCAGAGACATTGTCAGTTCTTAAACGAGAACTGTCCGAACAAGTCAGTCATATTCGAAATCTGGAATCGACAAACAGAGAACAATCTGCGGAGCTGCGGCACCTCCGCAAAGTCCAGAAAAATGTCGAGGTGGTGGAAGAACAGAAGAAGTCGCTGGAGAACCAATTGCATCTGATGAAAGGGTTAGAGTCGGAACTGAATACGTTGCAAATCCAGAAACAAATCCTTGAAGACGAGAGAAATTCCTGGACCAGCCTTTTACAGGATAACAACCAGGCCGAAGAGTTTGGCTCCCCGGAAGATGTTGCGAAGGCTTTGTTACAAGAGCGCATCGAAAAGGCCACTCTTGTTGACAGATTGGGCAACGTCGAAGCACAGTTCCTAGAAAAAGATGAGTTGATAAAAGGACTGGAAACTGAAAAGGCCAACTTACGTAAGGAGCTAGAAAAGGTTCGAAGCTTCGGCGCTGCCACAGGAGGAGCCATGGCTGAGAGTCGGGCGAAGGCTCGACTTGAACGACAGCGAGCACTCGCCGTTAAGGAAGTCGAGTACCTTCGTGCGCAACTGAAAGCCTTCGACACAGAGGAGGCGACCATGAATGAACAGAGCCAATTTGATGAGCAGAAGTCGGAACAGGTTGCCAATCTTGAGAAGCTCGTCGATCAATATAGAAAGGAGCTGGAGAAAGCCCACGAGGAGCTCTCGAATCGCGAATCTTCACTGCAGGAAGATGCACAGCTGCGGGGAGTCAAACGTCCGCTCTCTCCTGCTGAAAATGAAGCTGAGAACGAGCGCCTCTCGGTCCTGACTCGCAAAAACCGAAGCTTGCAGGAGTCTTTGTCCAAATCCGAGCAAGCAGCTACTCTCCTACGCCGAGAGTTTGAAGCCACCAAGTCCCAGCTTAAATCGCTCAAAGCCAAGTCACGCATTCGTATCCTCGAACTCCGCGACAACCCTACTGCGGAAGCCGAAAACATCAAGCTGTCCACCATCAACACGTTGAAGGCAGAAAACCAAAATCTACTTGCCCAGTTACGCGGTGATCACGCAAATGTGAAGGTTGTCCCCATGAGCACCTTAGATAGCATGAAGCTGGAGATCCAGGAAATGGAACGAGTAGTCGCCGACAAGGAAAAGCGCATGCGGCGCCTGAAAGAGATCTGGACCGCAAAATCGTCCGAATTCCGCGAAGCTGTTGCCTCTTTGTTAGGCTACAAGTTAGACTTCCTCCCCAACGGCCGCGTGCGTGTTACTTCGATGTTCCATCTCTCGCCGGCCTATCGTCACGGAGACAGTGCTTCTGCGGACTCCGGTGGTCCCGGCAGCATGGGCAACGGGGAGGAGAATTCAATCATCTTCGATGGCGAGAATGGTACGATGAAGATCTCCGGCGGACCTAATAGTCTCTTCGCCATGGAAATTAAACACCTCATCAAGTTCTGGGTAGAGGAACGTAAAGATATCCCCTGTTTCCTAGCCGCCATGACGTTGGATTTCTTTGATAAGACTACACGGGCTGCGCGCATGTAATTCGCTCTTTCCCTCTGTTGTTTGCTGTCTTTTCTCTTGTATTATGAGCCTCTTTTGTATGTTTGTGTTATTGTCACGGCTGTACGATTCCCCGGCACAGGCATGATTGTGCCATGTTCCTTTATCTCTTTTTCATCTTTTGTGGCCTTAAAATCGGTGCAAGGCTACGCATATATAAACAGGATCGGAATATAGGAAGTTTTGTAGGGAGTCTTCTATATAAATAAAACCATAACTGGACGATATATTGACTATCCAGTGTTTTTATTCCCATATCTCGATGAATACACAGGACTGTAGAGATATTGTTGGCGATTCGGAGAATATCCTATCATATATGGGTGCGCAACACAGAACATCTTCAATGAATAAACATATATACAGATTGGCTACCATACCTACTGATCCTAGAGTGTAGGCAGGAAGATCAGGCATACAAAAGGAATTCTGCCATGTTATATCACCAAAACAAGGCAGGAGAGGCAGGGGCAACTTTGCACAGAAAAAGAGGGGAATAAAATATAACAGTATCAAAAGAAAGAAAAAGATACACGGCGTACAGCATTATAGGACCAAGTATGTACTGAGATAAATGAAAGTATGTCTGTAAAGTGTTCGGGGACTAACTTTTGGAAGACAAGGTGCTCCGAAGAGAAACACCAAACAAGTGCACGTGAGATGACTGGCATCAGAATTGCAATCAACAATTTTGTGGGTATTATGTATGGGTTGGTACGTAAGCTGTGTGGTTGCAAACTTGACCCAACAAAGGCACTGTTCGTGACCAGTACCTGGAAATGCATGTTCATCTTAAGCCGACACGTACTTGCCCCCAACCAGTTTGCGCACCGTCGGGACCTCATTCCACACCAGGGAAGCCTCAGTATCGGTGGCTTGCGTAGAGTCCTCGTCCGCAAAGGGGTCAGCAGCGCCTTTCTGGGTGGCTTCCGCCGTCTGCGAAGCAGCACTGATTCCTAAACGCGACCCAGAATTGGCCGAGTGGACCTCGAATTTGGCCTCAATCTTGCCTTTCCGCGGCCAACTGGTTGCCGTGGAGAACCGAACCAGAAATTTGCCATCAGAGTCAGCTTTGACTTCCAGTTCAGTCATTTTCCAGGTGACGGCAGAATGCTTGCGACGGAAGGAAGCCCCCGTGTTTGGGTACATAACGGCGCTAGTTGCATGAGCCACTTCGCGACCCTCCTCAGGGGTGGTATCTAAGTTCACCGTCAGGACTAGGTTTCTGAGCGTGACAGAATTTTTGTGCGCGGCTGATGCGAAAGACGGATTGATAGAATAGAACACGATCACGCTTGCTTGGAACTCCTCCAGGTTCCAGGCTGGTTTGAAGATGACTGGACAGTAGGTAGAGGCGTCTGCTGGATCAAGATGAAGTTGGTATTTGAAAGCCACTGTCGGCGAGGAGCGAGCGATGTTAGATAGATGAATGCTATATTGACCTCGTTTCTCTTCTGATTGATCCTTGCCCTTCTCTTCGTTCACGAAATGGGGGTTCGCGGCCACCTTCTCAAGTACCTGGAAATTATCAAGGCGAATGCGGGCATTTTCCGACGATACACCCAGAGCTACATTATATGCTAGCGCAAGCTCCCCAACAACGAAAGACTTAGTCACTACACCCTCGGAGAACCATGCGTTGACAGTTTCAATGATGGAAGCGTTGAGGCCAGGCTCGTGCAGTTCAGGGTGCGCTACCGGTCCAGAGATGCTATGTAGAGTGTGCGACGAACGAACAGAGGTTGTATCGGAAAGAGTATGGTCATCTGTGGCATTACTAGGGGATAGTGTGTGCTTAATCGGCAATGCTGGGGAAACTGGGGCCGGCACGTCCGACCCTGTTGGTGTCACCGGGAGCTCCTTGTCTGGGGGAGGATTTGGGATGAAGACAGTGTTTCGAACATCGCGCCGACCGCGCAAAGTGCCAGTATTGCGTCTAATGCCGGTCTGTTGGGCTCGCTGGAAAGCATGTCAGCGAAAGGCAAAAAGACGGCCGTTTCTTATACACCCACCATTCTTAACTGAGTAGCCATATCATCCATTGCCTGTTTCGCTTGATTCTCGTCCTCAAAAATTGGTTGATCTCGAATTGTGAGGTTCATGCCAGGTTCTTCCATGCTGCAAATCTATCAGCCACACGGTATCTTTCCTGGGATTGGGTCACCCGTTTACCTAGACGCTTCTCTTTGCGCTCTTGTGATTTCATCAATGGTTTGCGGCCGCTCAGTAAATCCTTCCGAGTCCACACGTGGCTGCTTTTTATATTAGCTGCCCATTCGAGCAATGGCATTCACAGCGGCTTACTTCACTGACTATTGTGGTAGAAAGTCCGGTCTCAGCAGTGACCTCCGGGGATGTGGCACCATTTGCGGTCCCAGGTGCCGACTGAGGAGCTGGCATGAAAGATGTTGCTCCAGCACCCTCGCGATCATTTGGTTCGCTCGGAGAACGAGCTGTTTCGCGGGGACTTTCCTGTGTTGTCAAAGCAGTACCTGGGCGATCTGCTGTTGATGGAGGTGACTCGAGAATCTGGGTATTGTGACTGGAATCGCCTCTCATGAAAGAGGCAAACGGGCTGCGATGCTTTTTCTCCGATGAGAAAGGGCCACCGGAGGGTTGTATCATGCTCTTTCTTCTATTCATAACGGTCCCTAATCGCTTGAGGCCACCAAGGGGCGTACTGTAACGGGGCTCTGGCGCTGTTTAGATACAACAAGTAAGCACTAGATCGCGCCTATTTCCAGAGCATCAATCCATCAGAAACTGAGTTACTCACCAGTAGGGGCCCTGACGGGGGGCCGCGGCCACGGCCGGGAACGGGGCAGGGGTAGACGACCCAGAGCGTTGGCTAGCAGCATCATCCTGAATGCGCGTGGGAGGCGGAAGAGGTGTGGCCGGGGGAGGCGAGGTATGGTGCGCTCTCGGGACGACTGGCTGTCCCCCCATTTACCTTTGCGGCAAAGGTCTTGATCTCGTCGGCGGTTTCAACATTCAAAAGGACATTCAAACAGCTTTCGGCCGCTTGACGGCAACGCTCGACCTGATCCGTCTCGTGTGTCTCCAGTTGAGTGAGAACGTCTCGAAGGTGATTAAGTCTGGCCTCGTCAGCCGCTTGAAGTTGCTCAAAAGCAAAAGGCGCCCTCGACTCCCATTGTTGGTGGATTTCCTCGGAAGCAGCAATAGCGCTCGACAGCTTATCTGCGCCTTTGGGACCTTTCTCCCTGGCTTTATCCACCTTCTTTTGGGATGCCTCCAAGTTCTTCGCGAGTGCCGCAAGATCGCTCTGGACACCGGGCAAAGATGCGAATTCTCGGCTCTTGGTGTTGAATTCCCTCAAAGGGCGCTCCACGTCGTCTTCGATCTTCTGCGCGAACGTCTCATGCGAAGAGGCTACGACTTCGGCAGCATTGATGATACGTTGCCATGGTATCTGGAAGATCCTGGTTTAGGCAATTGCAGCCCTATTAGCTTCATTGTCTCCCAATACCATGCCTACCCTGCAATGGTTCATCCTTACCCTAGCGCAGCGCCATTGTCCAGTTGCGGTCTAGTTGCAAGCTTCCTGAGACCTTGGGCATATGCTTCTTCGACGCGGCGACGCTCCTGTTGTCAGAATCACGGTTAGCTTGTGGAAATTCATGTGAAATTGAACCGAGCTGGTTTGGAGGCATTACCTGGAGCCAATCCGCAATCTCTGCATTGACTCTACCGATGATGCGAATGCGATCATGGAGGACGCTTGTAGCTTGGCTCGGCTGCAACGTAGGCTGTATGGGAATCGATGGCATTGTCAGATATAGAGAAGCAGACATCTTGGATGGTTGGTTTGATGTTTGGAGTGGGTGAGGGTGGGTATTCAATTGGGCTGAGACTTACCAGCAAGGCTGGATACTCCTGCCGTGAGAGATCCATTGCTCAATCAATACTCATAGATCACCACTGCGGATAGGAGAGCGGGAGAGGCACATAATAAGGTACCTAACAACGAGGCAGGGAGGGAGAGCGATATGAATCCCGAGATCGAAACGAGCGATTGGAACACGTAAGGGGAGCTGCAGGCGATTGCACGCGCGACTGCAGCAGGAGAGAGACGGGGATGGTGTACAGACGGACAGTGATGACGATGCAGGTGCAACGCCGGAAGAACTCCACCGAGCAGCCGAATCGGTCCAGCCGGACTGGGTTAGCGGTCACATGGCCATGCCCGAGGCACTTCATTCACTCCTTACTTCTCCTTTAATTATTGTAGCATTGAGGCTGTTGTTCCTGGATGATACCAAAACTACAGATTCGTCCTACTAATTTAATAATTATAACAAATAATTGGTTTTCTATGTGTTGATGTGACCCATCAAGATATCAAGCCTGACTGCTTGGCTGAGATCATGAAAATGGAGTTAACTTCTTCTGTACTAGTCTCTCAAGATTATATAAGCTCCACATCATCCTGCGTTGACCGAAGATATGTTGTTTATAGACATCAGTGGATGCTCTCCAACCCTGTTGCTTCATTCATTTTCTACAAAAATGACGGCTTCCGATTGGAGAAAATCTCTAGGCTTCACAGATAGGTTAACGGCCATTCAGTCTCTGTACGTATATCTTAGGAAAGGCAAAGCTTCCACTTCATCCTCATTCTCCTTTGCAGGACCACTGCCTATCAACGCGCCTCCTCTGCTGCTGCGTTCACGGAGGCGCAATCTCAAGCCAAGAGATTTGAGAGCGAAGCATATGAACAGGCTGCCTCGAAGGTGTGTAGCGAATTTCAGTCCGTATGAGCCATATTCTCACGACATAATACGTAGGAGGAATACGACGGGTTCTGTCAGGAAGCCATTGACGCGGCTGAGTCCCTAGGGTCAGTAGACCCTGTGATTAGTAGTACTAGCCAATCGCACAACGAATCCGAAGAAGAATCTTGGACCGCAGGTGAAAACATTGGCCCATACCAGTCATGTGTACACCATTATGATGGGCTCCATTCTACCATATATAAATCCAAAGCCGAGGATGGGACTCTCGTTGCCGTCAAAGTCACTATCCCTCATCTCTTAACAGAGCCACACGACGCAGAACGCGAGGTTCAACTTCTGCGAGAGGCTGCCAGCGCTCGCGTAATACCCTTAAGAGAAGCATTGAAACTTGGAGGGAGACTCATCCTGGTGTTTCCCTTCATGAAGTATGACTTTGAGCAGTTGCTCCGTCGTGACATGTTAACTGCGACTCAGGCGAGGTCTCATTTGCAGGATATGTTCAATGCACTGGTGCACATACATGAAATGGGGATTATACACCGTGATATAAAACCGTCTAATATTCTATTGGATTCACCCGACGGACCGGCCTATCTTGCGGACTTTGGAATTGCCTGGAAGGAAGGATTAAAAACATCTGAACCCGCCGATCGGAAGATCATAGATGTAGGAACAACGTGCTACCGACCACCAGAGATATTGTTTGGTTTTAAAGGGTATGGTGCTGCCCTTGATCTATGGGCAGCCGGATGTGTTGTTGCAGAAACGATAGCTGTCGGCCACAAGCAGCTGTTCGATTCTGGGCCACTGGGAAGTGACTTGTCACTCATTCATTCTATCTTCAAAACGCTGGGCACTCCGGACGAAAATAGTTGGCCGGTACGTTACGGAACTCCAGAAAACAAAGCTACTGGATTCGTCATATGTTAACGTAGGTGGTACAGGAGACGAGAAATCTGCCAGACTGGGATAAGGTGCAGTTTTATATATACCCTGCCCAACCATGGGATGCCATCCTCAAGGGGGCATCCTCCAAAGGCCGTGATCTTGTGAGCCAATTGGTACGTTACGAGAGTGACCAACGCATATCTGCTGTCGAGGTATGTTCCATAAATCCTTAAGACGAGGGAAAGGAAATGAAGAAATACGAGAGGAAGACCCCCAAAAAAAAAAATACTGACCTAGTTAGGCCCTGGGTCATCCATATTTCTCGGCGACTTAGTCCATGTTTTCAGGAGAGGCATGCTTCACATCAGACAAGGGAACTACTATCTTCAGTAGGGTGTACTTCGAGAATCATATGGATTATGGAGAGCTTACAATCGGTCACCCCGGAACCCAGCGTCTACCAGTGGTTTCAGCACTTCAACGGTTCGAAGTGGTGGAGACCGTGGCGTTAGCTCTGCCGATGACATTCAGCCAGCAATCAACAACGGAAGACTGGGGCGGAGCTTACTGGGTAGTAGTCAGCTTTATGAATACTGTATAGGAGGATAGGCAATGCAATTTCAACTGTATTATTCGGTGATGCCGACAGAGAGACGGCAGTGTGTGGTTGTATCGGGAAATTGTGGTTAACGAGGCCCTCCTAGCTAGATACTGGAATTGCTCAGGGGTATACGGACTACAGTTGCAATCCCATATCATACACTTCTTAGCCTGACTATAATAGGTACGGGAGGACGATGTACTGATCACTTTCACGTCAAAATGAATATACTAACTCGATCTAAGCTGTGCGCAGGATTTCCTACAATTCTTTCCAACCAGTATTATTGTCTCTAGCTGTAGAGTAGCGACCCCAGCCAGGATGGTTTTTGACTTCTCTATGATTAAATGATAGTTGGAATTCGTAGTGGTAAAGGTTGACATTAGACCTAATAACCCAGGGGAAGTTTAGCGAGATGTCACCTCGGGCCAAAGACGTGATGAACATTTGCCTTTCCCAAATCGGAAGGCTAGACACGTTCTAACAATTTATACCAAGATGGCGTTTACTGCCTCGTACGGCGGAGTCGACGGAGAATGGTGTGATGGTAAAGTTCGGGACAAGGGCCCCTGTATGCTGACATCGGAAAAAATGCTGACAATTCAGTTCTAGACGCACCCAGTCATTTTCATCACAGGAAGGGCGGTGGTTTGAAGATTAGTATTTTATATCATGGGGATGTTGAAAATTCATTTCATCTACTCCGTAGCAGCCCGTATCTACCTCCATATCAGTCCTATATTTATCCTGCAATTCTCCGGCAGATCCACTAGGTTGAAATTAAATCGATGAAATGAAGGCCAAGAAAATGGTGAGATTTAATGGCTCGATAATTAGAAGACGCTAGGATGGGCCGGAGCGACAGTCGGGCTGACTAGGCCAGCCTTTAGGAAGATCGAGGCCTTAGCGACATTCTTGTTGTTTGACTTCTTCCTTAGGCGGCAACAGAATGGCAATTCTCATTATCATTAATTAGTATTATTGTTTTTTCTACTATTATTAATTTTATAATATAATCCAAGAGTCTACTCCGTAAACACAGAAATCAAGTTTTGAATTTTCATCGTTACAGTTCCCGCCCCGTACGGCGGTTACCAGGAACCTAATACCCTGAAGGGTCACCTGTGGCAGGTGCCGAATCTCGTCTCCTCGTGTTCGTGTGACCGTCACAAAACCAGGAACTGTTCTGTCACCAACCCAATCAGAGCAGATCCACGTCAGCAAACGGAGGGGCTCTTCCGATGATCACTCCTTAAAATGACCTAGCTCTGTACTACCAATACCACACAATACTGGATGTTGATAGGACGGTTCCCCTCACGGGCCTGGATCTCATCTCATTTACTCTGCGCTGTAATTACCGATACCGTTGCGTCGTATTCTCGCGACTGACAGACTCTACAGTCTCTCAGTCTTTTCTCTCTCTTCTTTTCCCTGCACCTCACGACGGACGCTCTTTCCAGCGGTCATCCTTTCTTCTTTTCTTCCCAATTCCATGGGAGCTGGGTGCTCCTTCCTTTCGTTCAAGTGCGCGACCTGAAAAAAAAAAAAAGTCGTGATCATTCTTTTCTTCGACGGACGGCAGAACGCCAGCCCTGTCCAACTATACGTATAGTGTCCATTCTTTCCCTCGCACATTCCTTGACGACGCGCCTGCTCTTTAAGGCTGCAGAGCGTGAAGCAATTAAAGCCTCCGAGAGACTCTTCGCGTCTAGGGGCGAGAACCAACCTCCCTAACACTCTTTTCATTTTCTACTACCACGACTAAACTTAACCAACGAGTTCCGGAGCTTGTCGACAACGCAAAGCATATGTCCCTAGTTCCAGTCAATTTCTAAACGCAACTCGGCTTATTTGCCCCCTAGTGTGGTAGCGAACCATGGCGCACGCGCACGCGCATCACAAGCATGGCGGCCTTGTCCAGAAGCGAAGCGGGGACGATGGCGTCAAGATCGTCTATGTAACGGCCCCCGCTGATTTCGATGGCCCCATAGGTGGTTATGTGACAGGCGGCGACAAACCGACGGTGGGTGTCGGTGCCCCTGTCGGAGTGCCAAAACCTTCCGACGATGACGACAAGCCAAAGATGACAGAGGCCAAACCGGAACCAAAACCTACGGATGAGAAACCCAAACCGAAACCCACAGATGAGAAACCGCAGCCAAAACCGACAGAGGAGAAGCCACCACCACCAAAGCCGACGGAAGACAAACCACCGCCAAAACCCACGGACGAGAAACCAAAGCCTAAGCCTCAAACTACCCAGGCACCGCCACCTCAGACGACTGAGTCATCGGCTACGCAAGAGAAGACGACCTCCAGCAGAACGACATTGTCCATCGCTACTTCCTCCACCTCTTCGTCTTTGTCCAGCACTGGATTGGAAGAGTCTGCTACTCATTCATCATCTTCGGATAATTCCACTACCTCGCCGTCTGCCATCTCCGCTGCGGAATCGGGTCTCAGCGGAGGTGCAAAGGCGGGGATTGCCATCGGAGTAATTTTGGGCGTCGGACTGATTGCTGGCCTGATCTTCTTCTTTTTGCGCAAGAAGAAGCGGGGCGAGAAACTGGAGGATCTTGATTCAGAAAACGAAAAGGCATTTATAGCCAACCATGTTTCCTCTACCGGAACTCCGCTTATGATCGAGCCGATGGGCTCGACCAACCCGCCTCAGCTCAACGTTCGCCCGGTGACTCAATTTGCACCCGATCTGTCTAGCGGCCCTCAAGCTCTCCCCGCTACTGGCGCCGTAGCTTCACCACGCAACCTGACCGGAAACTCCCCATCGTCAAATTCTGGTAGCGGCACGAATCCGTTCAGTGACCCCGTCAATCCATTTGGTAGCCAGGGAGACTCATCGCCTGCCAGTACATCACAACCGGCTTCCCCGCCCAGTGGCCCTGTCGCAACTCAGGCAGTTCCTTTGTCAAATGGAGCTCCTACATCTGCTGTCGGTGTAGCAGGAGCTGCTTCTGCCGCTGTGGTAGCGGGAGCAGCTGCAGTAGCCGCAACTACGGCCACTCCGGGGGTGGCTGAGGAAGATGTGCCGAGTCGTCCCGGGACCTCAACATCTCAAACACCTTCAGAGTCTGGTCAGACTGCAACAAACCCAGTCACTGCAGACGTCGCTGCCTCTTCGCCCGCGGCTGGTGTTGCGGTCGTTCCCACATCTGGGCCTTTGTCACCTGGTGCGGTTGGAGCTCCATCTAATGTATATCGCGTTCAGATGGACTTCAACCCCTCGATGGAAGACGAGTTAGAACTCCGTGCCGGCCAGCTCGTGAGACTCTTACATGAGTATGACGATGGGTGGGCTCTCTGTGTCCGACTCGATCGTTCACAGCAAGGAGTGGCCCCTCGCTCCTGTCTCTCATCTCGTCCGGTGAAACCTCGAGCCCGTCCGCCTCCTGGAGCTGTACATGGACCCGGCCCACGAGGTCCACCAATGATGGGCCCGAACGGCCCTATACCTGCTGGGCCTCAACCTACCCGATTCTATCCTCAAGAGGGTCGGTCAAGGTCTCCCGCTCCCAGTCACCCGATGTCTCCTGCTCACCCTGGCTATGCTGGACCTCCGCGTCCTTATCAGCAGCGCCCCATGTCTCCGGCGCAATTTCCCGTTCCCCGTTCATTTTCACCAGGACCTGGACCTCGACCAGTGGTGCCACGGTCGATGAGCCCCGGACCCTACGGACCTCCAGGGTTACAAAGACCAGATATACCAGCCACCCAACGACAACGAAGCAACAGTGCGGGTGCACCTGCTAGCTCTATCCCACGGTCGACAGGGTCTCCCGGACCAAGTCCTCTAGCGGCACCGACGCCACCACCTACAGGTGCACTCCCGGCCATTCCCAATGCAGCCTCGGCGCCTAGCAAGGAAATCGGTCCGGATTATAATGCTCAAACCCAGTAGCTCAATGACCGTTTATGCTAAATGGGGCAACGTCGATTGATATGTGGATATTGGATTGCCATTGCCGCCGGACGGACCGAAATAATTGATATGTTAATTATGCCTGCCCGCGATGAATGGCTGATCGTCAGTGTCAACGTCAATCACAAGTGCCCTTTATCCTTCACATCTTCTCTTGTTTATTCTTTTATTATTTTTCTCTTTGAACTTGTTTGGTCTTGTGTTTGGAGACGATTTTCTATCTTGTCAGCAGCAATTTCAAAGTGGAGAAATGGATGATCCCTGTGACTCCGTTGGGTTTCCACCCTCCTATTCTGCTGGATTTACTTTACCATGTCCACGTTGACAGGATATACCCGAGTTTTGTTGATACATGAATCCCATGTGTTTTGATTCGCTACGGCTAATTTCTTTTCTTTTCTTTTCTTTTTTTTTTTTTTTTTTTTAAAAAAAAATTTCTACTCAAATATATGAATTATAGTGTTATTCGTGATAATTCGTCTCGCCTTGTTGTCTTCTTATGTCTTCTTATGTCTTAACCGACTCGTCAGTCTGGCATATAAGGGGGTCGCTAAGGAGCGAACGTCGCAGATAAAAGAAAAAAGGTTAAAAAAGCGAGAAAAGCATTGATGTGACTCTTGTGGCTTGATTTTGTTTAATCACTCCCGGATTATTGTCTTTCTCTTGCCCACTCTACATTCCAGGATATCAAGACAATGGGCGCTTTCCATGTATAGTGTAAGTAGGCGCTTGTGAAGAAATTAAATATGAATTAAAGAAATATATTCAGCTTCAAGCAGGAATCTCAGTACTGTAGATGTACTAGGTTGCTCGTAATAATAAATGGTCTACTAGCTATCACTCGGTCATGAAGAATCGTTATAGATGGCAACGAGAGGAGACAAGTACCTCATCCAGTATGTATATAAATTTAAAGATGAGGGACTCCTCCACTCGCGAGAAGAAGATTCACAATGCTAATGATCCCTTCTCCCAATATCAAACCGGAAGCCAAGACCACGACGGTTGACGACGCAACGTCTGCCTCCTTGGTCGTCTGATCGGCTTTCCTTCTACCATCAGTTGACTGAATTTCGTTGCCCGTGACTTGTTGAGCGTTTGGCGAACCGGCAAGTTGTTGGGTCGGTGGTTCAAGAACCGAAGACGGACCCTTTGAGTAGGGCCGAGACCACCACCAGGCGATCATGCCACCAATCGCTCGGGCTAGAGTAAATGACGGGACATTGAATATCCCCACAGCAACGGCGATGCCACCGGGAATCCATGATCGCCAAGGTGCAGTGACACCATGATGACCACCGTTGGCGATGGGAGAGGCAGCAACAATGCGAAGAACGGTCATCGCGGCGAAGACCACGCCGGCTACTAGAGACGCTTGCCATGCCATGGGAGGTAGGCCCTGGCCTGTGACGAGACGCGCTGTGAAAATCCAAATGTACGCGGTGGGGGTCTGGAACATGGGACCCGGCACTTCGTATACATTCACGTACATTCTGTACACAGCGGTGGATAGGACGGCACCAACTAGACTGCCTATCATCTGGCCGTAGAACTGAGCTTTAGGACTCGCGCCCAGGAGATGACCGGTTTTCAAATCCTGCATCATGTCCCCGGCCTGCAGGGCACCGGATTCAGAGACCGCGCCGGCAAGCAGGTTGGTCACGAGTGCTGTGCGCCGCGAGAAGTGCGAGGCAGGCGTTGCGAGGGAAAAGAGTAGCTGTGTTAGTTTACTGATCCCCGAGACGGGGTTCAGGTCGGTCTCGCCCAGGGCGCGAACACCCATAATTGAGAGCAGGACGGCCAGTAAAGTGGCGAGGCTAGAGAGAAGTGGAGACATGATATCCCCAAAAACGATATGCATGCAGACAACGTTTAGAATGAGAGTTAGAGGGAGTAGGATAATGACGGTTCTTGTGGAGATGAGCTGGGATGGAGGGGCATCTTCATCTCCTTCATCACTAGCCTCACTACATCTCCCTGTCGACAATATGGGTTGACTTCGAATAGACGAAGGTTCTTCAGAGATCGGGCTTAGAGCCGCATAACTGATGTATGAACGATGATTGGAAGTTATCGGTGTCTTTGACCCGATCCAGCGACCGAAACTGCTGGAAAGGAATCTTGCCTTGAGTGCCGGTGCATTGTTTACCACGGGTTTGAGGACGAGCCAACCGAGACTGACGAGAGAGTCTGCGAGCATGATGGCTAAGGAGACCCAAACGATCCACGCCTGGCTTCCGTCTTCCCAGCTACGCACGGAGCCGGGAGCCCAGCCACGGGCCTTTGCAAGTGGCGACAGGATACCCCAGCCCAACACCGCCCCGAAGAGCATATGCATACAAGTTGAAGGGCCCATGATGATCCCTTGTCCGACATAGGCCGGTGACGGATTCAGCGTCCACAGCCAGTTCTGTGCAAGCGAGAGGCCAAATATAGGAATGCCACGGACTTGAGGGACAAAATAAGAAAACAGCGTCTGTAATTATCAGCAGGCAGGCTCAGCGGCAACCAGGAGAGAGCCTCACATAAACCCCAGAGACAACGAACGCACTGGCCAAGAGGCGCATTTTCGACCTCCAATCTTCTTTTTCATTGTTTCGGGCCAGGGAGTCATCCTGTTTCCATAGCATATTGTCGTCTTCGGATTCTCGTCGCGATATCAATGCCTCTTCCTCGTCATCCCGTAGGGCGCTCCCGGATTGGCCGGATCCATCCCTTGTCTTCTCATCACTCTGTCCGCTCCTGTGCAGGACCCTCAGCATCAAGGCCGATGCTGTTCCGCTAGGGAATTTCAATTTCTCTCGGACTATCACCTCCTTTCTCAATGGGACAGCAAAGACGACACCGAACAAACACACGCCCAGACTCCAAATGGCCAGCTTCCAAAAATTAAGCTTCAACGGTCCTCCCTCTCCAGTCCCTCCGTCACCAGACGGCCCATCCTTCCCATCCCTGAGAAGAAACTCTAATGCAGGAATGACTCCGACAAACCCACAGCCCAGAGGCATTGTTCCCACTGCGCCTGCCACTGTTTGTATGAGGACGTTCTCGATGGGAGTGAACGGATACGAAAGGTACTTGGACATGACCTTGAAGACCGAGAATCCTACCAACGCCGAGGGCATGGCCATTGTACTGATCCAGCCTGTCTGCAGACCGAAGTAGGTGTTGGAGAAGGTAATCAAGGCACCGATAAGAAGGCCCACTAGGAGGGAACGGAGGGTAAAGCTCTGGGGCACAGGAGTCGGAGAAGAAAGGCCGGTGTCATCGACAGTGGATAGCTGCTCATTTCCATAGTCCAAGGGCCTCGACGGTCTATCCGTAGTCGCCCCGTCTGAGGGGGGAATGCCGGAGGCATTGCCCGGCATGTTGATGGTCTGGTAGTCCATCGAGTCAGCAGCAGCATCACTACCCTTCTCAGCCCTGCACACCATCAAATGCAGTCAATCTAGAATGACAGCACCCAATGGCTCAGCACGGCATGAGTCATGAGAATGCGAGATGAGATGGATATGGAGGAGCGGAGAATACAAGAAGTCGGAATGCAGCGCGGATGACTAATGCGATCAGATTGCTAGTTTAGTGGTGATGTAATCAGGCCATGTGATTGGACTAGATAGAGCCTTTATTTACGAACTCCAGTCAATCGTCCTTTGGAATCTGCATCTCATGATTGCATGTCAAATCACATTAAATCTATCTACAAAGAGTGCCGCTTGCTCTATATAAATTCTCACACTACGATGTTGCAGCGAGATCCTGAGCTCCACCCTTCCACCGCTCTTTGGAGCAAGCGCGAATAATTGTTGAAAGTCATCTGGGACAGCCAGGCCAAATGAGGCGTCACCACCAGATTGAGATCTTGGCTGTCTTCTCGTAATAGAGCAGAATTGTCGGGTGCTGATGGCTCCTCGCTAAACACATCGGTTGCAGCTCCTGCAATCTGATCTTTCTGGAGAGCCTTGACCAGGGCGTCTTCGTCCACAATGCCTCCGCGCGAGACGTTGATTACCACAGCACAAGGCAACATAGCTTCCAACTCTGGCGTTGATATAAGGTGGCGGGTCTGGTCGGTCAGCGGAAGCGCTAGGAAGAGCACCGTGCTTTGCTTGACCACGGTGTCAAAGGGAGTCCTGTTTTCGCCGTTTGTCATGGTGGAATCATTCTTGCGTCCTGATATCAAGACTTTCATGCCCAGGCCTCGGGCGATCCCAGCGATTCTTTTCCCTGTCTCTTGTCAGACTCGCAAGAGGCTAGACAGCGCCCAACGAACCAGCAATCCTTCACTTACCTACATTTCCATTCCCTATAATACCCACGACTTCCTCCTGGCACGTCAAGGGCGGCGTCCCATCTTTATTTAGAGCTCGGTACATAAGGGTCTTCTGTCGCGGCCACTCCCCAGCTCGGGTCATCGAGTGCAACTGCAGCATTTTCCGTCGCGTCGTGAAGTACAGCCCAATGGCATGCTCAGAAACCGCCTCGACATTGGATGAGGGACAGTTGCTCACGGCGATTCCCCTTCTCCTGCACACTTCGAGATCCACACAATCGGTGCCCGTGGCCACGACGACGATCAGCTTAAGATGTGGTGTCACCTCGGGTGACAGTGCGATTGCGTCCAGTTCAATCTTCGAGAAGACTAGGATTGAGGCATCGTGGATGCGCTCATGGAGTTGGGAGAGCGTGGTCTGCGGGTAGACAGTTTTGGTGTAGGTATGGGGGGCTGGGAGTTCAAAATCTGGGACTTGGGAGTAATCACCCTGGAGAAAGACTACATGGTAGTTCGTCATCGTCGTGTCTGGTCGTCAAATTGACAGATAGATGATGGACCGAGGAATGCATCCGTGAGTATTATTTCCGGTTCTTCGGTGTTCCGTATGCCACTGCGCCGACATTCCCCACTTCCCGCACGCCTTTCCAACGACATTCGGTGGGTCTGGCCTCGATCATTGATACAAAATAGGTAAGGGAAGATCTTTTGGAGATGCATATCTTACAGATGAATCCCCGTTGGTGAATTCAAAATCACCATTATTTCCCAAAAGGCTGCTCGCAGATCGCGTGCAATGTCCGTCGTACCGTCAGGTCGAAGCTGATCAACCCCGGGTCCCTCTTGCTTGTTTTCCCTTTCTCTTATCTTGTTCTCGACATATTCTCTATCCCAGAAGAATTTAAGATTTCGGATAAGAGGTAATGATAGTTGAGCAACACTGGGTTTGGTTTTCCGCCCCGTCGGCCTTGCAAAATGTAATCGACCGGTTTCTCCGACAACATAGCTAGGTCACTAGTTGGAAAGCGAGGATAAATGTTGAGAGAGAACACGTCCTATGTAGGTCTCGTCTGTCAGCGACCTTAAGCTATAGTAGTCAATTATGTAGAACCAACTGTTTCTTTGAACGCCAACCTAAACCTGAAGCTCCATCGAATAGCACCCCAGAGTGTCATCCCAATACTGGTCATTTCTGTTGGCATCGCTCATGCCAGCCCTCCAGACTCCAGGAAAGCACCTAAACGTTTCCCACAACACAGTTACTTTTTCAGGAGGCCCCTATTCCCGATCCAAACGAGGCATGGTGGGTGTTGTATAATTCCCTACTCCAAGACACAGAAACGGGCGAAATTATATGGCCGCTTGTACGGCCGCAGATAGCTCATTCTACAGGAAACCGAGCTGCTCCCACCGGTTGACACCTCAGTGGTTCGTCACGTCACAACACGACGGTGCCCGTCGCAGCGCAGACAATCCTCTCTGAACGGTTCTTATATTGTGAGACAGAGATGCATTATACTCTATTACAGCTCCCCTTACGGGCTCTTCCAGAGTCGCCAACGGCCAAAGAGCCCAAAATGGCCCAGCAGCTCCCGTTGGCATTTGGTTATATGTAAATACATTAATTTCGAAACTGAGGGCTGCAAACAAAATGCTCCTTAAGCTAGCGCAGTGCAGAATAATGGGAAAATAATCTACGACAGTGATATAACCACACCTTCTGTAGACCTTGTCTTCTTACAGGCCCTTTGCCAGTGAACATACCACAAAGAAGCACTCAGCTATAGGGATAAGACGCAATACCCCTGGGGCGTATCACGAAATTGGTGTCTTAAAATTGTTCTGGCACGAAGTGTGTGCCACTGAGAGAGTTTATAAAGTGAAAGCGTCTAGAAACAAGCATGGCCATAGAGATAGTTCCGAAAGTGCCTGGCTCCAGTCTCCCAGACTGCTTCGTCTAGAAGGGGCTAAAACGAAGTACTGTGTAGTATAGTTATACTCTAGATTGCGCTGGGAAAGCATCCAAATGTTTTTAGGAACCCTTGACCTCCCAGAGCTGTCTAGATTAACAAGCCCGAGCAGTGGTGTTTGTTGCAAGGGACATGCCAAAGGGCATACCAAATGGCATACCAAAAGGCATACCAAAAGACATACCAAAAGACATACCACAAGACATACCAAAGACATAGCAAGGGGTTTTAGAGGTTAGAGAGATGCCCAGGCAGTTATAATAGCCACCTAGGTGTTCCACCACACTGCAGTATAAAAAGGATCCGTAGCGGCGCGCCGGTCGTTGAGGCGGCTCGAAGGAGCGTAGGGAGGAGGTTAAAATGGGACGAGACCTCCAAACTGTATACTCTGAAGGTATGAAGCTTCAAGCCTCGGAATATGCAAGCATGATAAGAACAGCCTTCCTCTACTGCGTACAGCAGAGGCTCTTAAATCATGCTGAAATACGGAATACACCAAGCCACGCCCTTTCCCCAGAAGAATCCATACGCATGCCCCCTTGCATGAGGCACCACGGACTCTATCGACGACCATCACATTCCAATTTCTCTCCCACTCATTCCACCTAGATTGAGGTTCATTTGTGTGCATTCCTACATTCCATGGATAGCATATCTGTTACTCTGGCACCCATAACAGCATTGAAGTGGTGAACGCGTCCAATATATAAAGGAATTTCGCGCCATTTCTGCGATGGAGAGCCACTTGTTTCCTACCACCGTCTGTCAGGTAGCCAGTCAGACCATAAGAGTTGAGATTGACATTTTCCCATAATAATAATACGATAATCAAGATGCGCTTCATCAGCGTGAGTTCCACCTAGTCGCCTTCCACCACTTAGATCCAAGCCAACTAATAAATGCCAGCTCCTCGCCACCGCGCTGGCCGTCGCACCATCCACCGTGTACGGCTATGGTGTTTTCAGCGTCGAGCTGAGTTACCACGAGGACTGCCACCCCGGTAACAAACCCACTCAAGCTCTCGGGGCCCCTAAACATGAGACTGCCACAAAGGATACATGCGCCAAGATCCCAACGAAACACAGCATGAGCATCGATTCGTACTCGTTCTCGGCCACAGCGGTCACCAAAGATACGACAGAAAAGTGTCATGGAATTGGGATTTTCTCCAACGAGGAGTGTGTGGGGTATCCGGAGATGGTTATACCCATCCATCCGGGGGAAGTACACGTTAAGACGCCATGTTTTTCAGATCTGCCATATCAAAAGCATCTCGGGGTACGGCTATTCTGCAAGGATTAGAGCGGAGTGGGACTGGGATGAGGTTGGGTCAATGTAATCATAGTTAATCCTGTTTGATTACCCAGAATACACGTCTACTGACTTTCGAGCCTGTCTTATTGAGGACGTGATAAAACGTCAATGAACGAGTTCTCTGATTAGATTATATTGTTAGAGCAGGTCTAGTGTAATCGTATACTAGAATAAGCTACTAAATTCCGATAGAGTCAGCCCTAAGCTTTTAAAAGACAATAAAGGTATGAGATTTCCTACTCCGTCTCATGTCTGGGCTTGTATCGGCATGGACAGAGTATTCCCACGCATCTCACTGGCAATGTGTTGTGAAAACAGCTCCGTTGGTCTCTCTGCCGTCTTTTTCGTAGAGAAGTCAGAGATAAGGCATTTTGAATCACCAGTCCTTGATCGTCGAAAAGGGCCGGTAGAAATCTACCTTTCATTCCCATAAATGCGAGCAGCATAAACTGTATATACAAATAAGCACTTGCTCAATAACAATGAGGGCACGGTACTCACTGAGATGATATTGTGACTTATTCATGCAGCAGGATGATCATGGCGTGTGATTTGGCTAATTGCATCAACCTGGGAATACAGCTTCAGGGTGCCACCGACGTCGATAGGGCTGAGCGTCGAAGCCCTCGTGGGTAGGAAATTTCTTGAGAGATTATACACAATTTAGCCATCAATATTTACAGATTCAAGAAAGTCAGTTAGCTAATTACGCCTCCTTTCACCTAGCCTTTCTTCCGTCTGTTCAAGGCGAAGAGGGTAGTAATTCTCTTTGGGAGACGATCGATGGTAATATCTTAATCTTTGGAAGGAAATACTGTTCATGCGCCGTGGTATTATTTTGCATATATTTTCATTGGCATAATTGCTGTGAGAAGAAAGTCAAGAAGAGGTTAAGAAGAATGAGATGGGGAGATCAAGATAATCGAGGTGATTCTCTGAAGCTAGAACTTCATCATAGTAAATTACACATATAGTAGTAACTGTCGGTCTATCTAACTCGAATCAGATTTGTTACCAGTAAACATCTCCAATCAAACCATTCACTAGATGCTCATATCTTTTCACATCCTGTACTTTTTCTTTTTTCTCTCTTTAATATCTGTCAGCATATGTCCAGAAACAAGATAGATACTCTGGAATGCACGCCGACTCGCCTCCACTGGAATGCTAGTCCATACCAGACTATGGCGAGAGAGAACACCATATCTCATGGTTGACATTCATGGTATCGATCTTGCCCATGCAGAGTATGCAGAGTTGGGATGAAATAGATGGCTGGATATTTGGCCCGGGCATATAAATATGATCAGTTCATATCAGTTCTCCTGTTCATACTCTTCACTCTTTATTAAACCACATTAAATAAATAAAATACTACCAATTTTCATCCACATAGAACCTAACCGACATCCGAAGATAGAAAACATGCGTCTTGAAAAACTCTTCCTATTCACCCTCCTATCCACCACAACTGCCACAGCCAACGTCCACCCGAATCGAACCGCACACGTATGGACAACCTTCGTCCCAGAATGTCCCTTCATCCCACAGGGGATGCACTACGAGGTGGACATCCACCGAGAGTCCCCCACAACCGTATACTCGGAGATCGGATACAACACCTGCGTGAGCGTGCCCGTGCCACGACGACACACCCAGCTAGAAGTCAATCATGTGTCGATTGGCGCGGAGATGTTCATGCTTAACCACCAGTTCGGGGTCCACGACCAATGCAATCTCACGCTGCATGAGCTGCCCGGGTGTGAGCAGAGACCGCTGATCGAGAAGGACATCAGATCCGGGAGGCCTGTGGGCGATTGTGAACAGAGGTCGTTTTTGGCGTTTAATCAGGTCTGGTTGAAGTTGAGTTGTCAAGATGAGAGGCACATCGTGGTGCAGAATACAAGTGCTTCGTTGAATCGGACGAGACGGGGAGGACCATGGAGGTCTCGGTTCCTGACTTCCTAAGAGGGATGTGCTTGGTTTGTGATGTTTCGGTTTGCGTGCATTGCTCGGTGTTGGGCGTGGGAATCAAAAAATATTAACATAGAGTATTGCATAATCTCAAATATCCTCCAATAGTATACAAGTTATATACGCAAGTGAATCCCCAGCCAACTACTCATAATATCGAACAAAACAAAGAAAAAGTCAATGCCACGCCGCGTCATATACTAACGACCTGCTGCAACATTCCTAGAATCCAAAACTATCGAGCAACGAGTTGGCATCAGGTTCGTTAAATGTGGTCGGTGGTGGTTTCAGTTCCTGCGCTGCAGCAGGGCTTTCCGGAGCCTGGGCTACTCTGGTTTTGATTGGCATGTCTGCTACCACCAGACTGCTGCGTCGGCGAAGCATCTTCCGGTAATCAACCCCGTTGTCCTGTAGATCAAGGGCGACCTCCTTGACGGTTTGTAGGGCAGATGGCCCACCCAGGAACTCCCAGTGGCGTATCAGGTCGATAGCCAGGAGATCGCATCCCATCCGGTCGTAGAGGCGAGCATTGCGCAGAACAAAGTTCCATTCGGACTGAGCGGACACCTTGGATGCGCCTTTCAGCGTCTGTAGGGTCTTCTCCCGAAGTGTTTTGTATAGGACTACAAGGGCAGGGTCGTTGGATAGATACGATTTGGCCTGCAATGGGATCGATCCCGGACTGCCTGGGGAGGAAGGCGTGGAAGGAATGAGAGTCTCAATCGGTGACTAGATCCGCAGATATTAGTTCAACATCGACAACAGACAATAAGACTCGTTGATATACGTACAATAAGTGAACGCACGGCCATATCACGGCGCCCCAGCATCCAGAAAGCCCACGAAGCCATCCATCGGTTTCCGTCGGAGGCAGCTTCAGGAAGCACTCGCTCTTCCAGAATTTCCTTTAGGACTGGCCCATTGTCACCTTCGTAGGCGCGTGTGATCGCAATGGCAAGCTGCAAATCGCCCACTTGGTTCATACAGACCTGAGCAGCATCACGCAGGTGATCTGCAAGAAGGAAAAATGCCGCCGCATACTCTAGAACAGTGGTTAGCAATACAGAAAAAGAGGGACAGATGTCCTCACCGAATCTTCGTTTCCCGAGCAAAGCATATGCATTTTTCAAAGCAGATGTTTTCCATCGGGGATCCTGGAAATCATTTGATAGCAATCGCTGAGTGGCAGCTTGCTCTCGATTCCAATGAGCCATTCGCCACAGCCCTTGTAGGATGTTCTTCTTTTTCATTGCAAGATAGTACAATGAGCAGTCGATTGGGTTTTTCTCTTCCGTTTTTGTATACTCGTTTCGGGCCACTATTTCCAGTTGGGCTCGCTACTCACTTGTCAGTCCGACAACTCAAATCGCGGATACGAGAAGGTTCTCTTACGATGGCTGCAGGGTCTGATAACCACATGAATATGCCGCTTTCTTTGGCTGATTTCCAGAGCATCTTGCCACCGAACTGTCGGGAGACAAGATCCAGAAGGATATCCTGACTGCCGCTGTAGAATGCCCAAGCAATTTCTCTCCAGGAAACCGTGTCCTTATTCGCAACACCCTGAGTCCTTCGCAGCATATGCTGTCGGAAAAACAGCAAGTAGCGTGCCGCATTGTCGTCCATAGAACGGCGGTGTTTTTCGACTGTGGCCACACACTCTACTGTATCTGCCAAACGAAACTGTTCCTGGCTGGTAAGCTGGGGCAAAGCGAAGCGGGCTAAATTTTCGTTGAGCAGCGCAGCGGTGCTTTCGTCCATAACCGACAATTCCTCATCTAGAGAGAGGTCCGCATACGAGTGAAGCTCCTTGGACGACGCTTTCTGTGGCGTCTTCGTAGTGTTAGCTGTTTGTCATCGAACACCTCACCTCAGTATTACTCACATCATGTTCCTCGTAGAAGTCCTCCAGCCGCATTTCCAAAAGCTGTCAATATTATCACCCTCCGTATAGAACTTCAACTTTCTATGAAGATTCAACAAGATGGAGTGCACCAGGTTACTCTTTCCGCTGAGAATACACTGCGCCAGGAATTGAGGATGGAACACAGGCAATGTACCATTCAGCCGGCTCACAACCTCGAAGAAGTCGACGGAAGTTTGACCTCTAGAGGGAATACGGAGCTGCGAAACTACGCGTTCGGTGGCGTCGATCTCGTTATCGTACACAAGAAGTTGATTTCCTGCCCCTATTACTATGTGGCCATTGCTGAGCCAGCAGGAATCCCCAATGGGATGGGGAGTGAGGTCCCGGATCCAAATCTCTCTTATCTGTGCCCAGGACGGCTGGGCATCAAGGTAGTCATAGCGAAGTTGTGAGAGTAGTAAGACTTTGTGAGGGAATCCAACAGCAAGAACGGATTGCCTATCGGGCGTAGACGTCCAGTCAAGATCACGAACGACTTCTTGCTGGGAAAAATGCTCCTCAAACTCCAACTGAGCACCATTGGTATCCCAGATTGTCAAACGAGTACGGTCCTCATCTACAAGGGCTGCTTTCCTGATGGAGTTCCCACTGGCAAGAGAAGGGTTTGCAATACCCGTTTCAACGGTCGATGTGAGGAGCCAGTCAACTCGATTCTTTTCCCTATCAACCTTGGCAGTCCATGTGTGGAGAACGCCGGTGCTGGTATAGGAGAGCGCTATATCTGGTGAAAACAGGTCAAAGAATCCGGACCTTTCGGCTTTCGGGCCCGCTGGATCAACGGGTAACACGTAAGACAAATTTCCCTTAAGTCCTAAGTCAAAAGTGCAGAGTCTTTTCAAGACATAATCAGGATCATGTGTCCCACCATTCACTTGCTGCCTTGAGGTGGGCAATCGAAGCTCCCAAGCAATCCCCTTCATGTCAGCGCCAATGACGGCTATATATACGACATCATGATCCCTCTCCGAAGTAGGAATCGGCAGGACGCAGAGCGGTTTGCTTGAGAAATCGAATGTCGACGATGCCAGCTGCTGCGCATGGAAGGAGCGAATGTCCCAGACAGAGATTCCTTTATGGTGGAGATTGACCAGAAAATCTCCTCCTTCGATTATACAAGTGCGATAGATATGTCCATCTGAGAACAGCGAACTCTTGCGGACCAGAGTTGAACCGCTTTCTCTCCGTTTCTGCTTCCAGATCAATGCTTTGTTGTCATCGGTTCGGGAAACAAGAATGTCTCCAATTGCGTTGCGGACAATTTTCTTAACAGGGCCATTATGTCCGGTCCAAGACCCTCTCAAGCTAACCCGGTTTTTGCGCGGAGCCGGGTCAAACAAAGCATCTACCTGTGAATCGAACCATTCAATCCGGCCGTCAAAATGGTGGACAAGGATAGATATTGAGTCGCTTGAATGTGTACTCTGAAAGGCACACATTTGCGCATAGTCCTCTTTCGCAGAGATTCCACGCATGAACGAGAAATCCAAGCCTTCTACATGAAGGATGTTGAAGACTTTCAATTCCGACTTGATTTTGGACCCGACATCTTCCAGCGCCCACGCAGACATATGACCCTCCCCATCTAACACGACACAAATCTCCGGGTTTTTGTTCGCGACTTCTATAATATGCTCCAAAGCGTGGTTCCCACTGTTCCCCGTGTTTCGCTGCACTGCCCGTTCGGTCGCAGCGCAGAAATCTCGACCGTCGACAATGAATGCATATCGACGAGTCATTGAATTCTCATTTGTCGCATGCCGCGGTTGAACAGAGGTACCCATATCAATATGTGTCCAGAATTGCAACGCAGATGGAGCATGGTGGTCCCTCGTCGCCCATACCCTGATCTTGTTGTCCGCGCACCAAGTGTAGAAAGCACTGTTCATGAACTGTTCCGGATGGAATGGTCTGCGCCAATGCATGCCCGTAACTACCGCTGGATGGGGAAGATAGGATACCTCAAAGCGCACATCGTCGGCACCAAACGAGAGCCGCCGCCACACCTTAACTACACGGTCGTATTGACCCGTAGTCACCACAAGAGTCGCGTCGGGGGGGAGAACTGTGCAAACTTGACGGGGGCAGCTAGCTTCTGCTTCCATATAGCTCGCGGTGTGTCATTTAGGAACCAAAGCGTGAGGTGTGAGTTACCCAGGAGAAGCTCGTCAGACGAGCCCCACGATAGTGTGCGGATCAGCTCGTCGTCATCATCGCAGCGGAAGGTATGAGCAAGAGACCACTATAGTATAGTACTCTCATTATCAGCATTGTCATGTCCGTTATCCGAGTTTTTCCCATCATTCCCAAATCGAGCTTTCATCCCCCCTCCCAAACCGACACGGAAGAAGATACACGTACCTTTAGCGTTTCGCGTTGGATTCCATACGGCTCATACACGAAGACATCTGGGCCACCGCATACTGCTATCTTGCCGGAAGCTTCGTCTATCGTCACCGCTTCCAAGGCATCAGCATCGTCAACGTAAATCGTCTGAAGGAGGTTGCGCGGGCCGCCGAGGATGACCAGCGCACGGCCGGAAATATACACCTGAAAGGAATAGAAAACACGGGGTTAGCAACGGCAGGGAACATAATTTTCAACAGTGCAAAAGTCGCCACAGGGCAGTCCTACAACGACGCGAAGACCATCCCACAGCGCCGCGCTGAAAGACTGGAGCTTCCTTGGGGGTCTCCCCGGCAGAACCGCTCGCATAGAGGTGATGTTGGCTGACGTCGGACGCTGCTGCGCTGAAGACGGAGTTACACCATTGCAGGGCACGAGAAATGAAAAATTGAAATGAAGAGTCTTAGAAAACCCAGAAAGTAAAGAGAGGCTTCACAATGAATAGCGCGGCAGCTAAGAGGATTTGGGGAGATTATGACGTTCAGCTCGATTACGCTGTTTCCGCCGCCGTGCCGCCTTCCGCCGTGTGACTTGGGCATGAGATCACTGACATGACGTGCAGCATTTCCCATACAAGCTAGGTACCATACAAAATGGGTTTATATGAATATATATAATCATCTATCAGGAAAGTTTAGGGGAAAAAAAAGAAAAAGAAAAAGCTCCGACTCAAGACGGGTTCTTATTCCTGCAGAGTATACGCTATCCTGACACGCGAAAGGGTATCATTAAAAAGACACTTTCCAAGTCTAAACCCCATAACAGCCAAATAAAAATTACATGATGAAGAGGATTCACACATCTCAAATATAGGACATTTCAATTCCGTCGACCGGACGATCTCCTACCATCCGTGGGGGATTCCGGTTCCTCATCAACGAAGCGAACGCTTGTTGTGCCTAGTGAGTTGCCCAGATCAGTACGAGGCCGTGCACTGGGCGCAGTCTTAGGAGCAGTAGACTCTGTCCGGGCACGTAATAGTCGACTGGCAAAGGGTGTCTGCAATGGAGTTGCCGGGGTTGTGGAGACCTGGGCCAATACTCTTGCGCGCGCAGCCCGTTTAGATGGTGAGGTCATATAGCTGGGGGTAGCCAACGAGGAAGGAGCTTGCGAGTCAAAGTCACCGAGCCTAAATGGAGTTCCGGTTTGGTACCAAGGATCGAATAATGCTTGACCCGGACGGCTAGCCCCGTCAAAAGTCTTCGCAGGACTCATTAAAGGTCCAGGGGAGTCCCGAGCTTCGATGTTGTCTCTCGTCTTTTCAAGCCAATGACGGAACATGCTTCTGGAATGTCGTCGTAAACTTCGTTCCCGCATAGCGCCCGCAGTCTCGAAAGTACTCTTGATCTGGAAAACGCGTAGGCTAAGCTTCCGGAGTTGGACATTTGCTTGACTCAGAATATGGTCACGATACATGTTCTCTGCCTGTTCTCTTAACCTAAGCCATTCTATCAGGACCTCGGCGAGCCGGATCAATTGGTTGTAGGTAACACGACGAAAATAGTAGGTATCGGCATTGTTGCAATCCTGGACTTTTTTCTCGGTGCTTTCATGCCATTGAGCAAAGAACCCCGACGCAAGGTTTAAAGTTTTTCTTCGGCTGAATTGTAGAGATTGCTGCTCCATGTCGGCGACATGTTGCCATTTTGTATGCCAGGATCCCAGTGCCCTTGAAGCGAGGTTGATCTTGATTTTTCTTCGGGTTTGCGCGTAGGCGTTCTGACGGCGTTGCTTGGCAGATTGCACCGTTGCTGTATGCCATCGTTTAATCGCCTTGGTAGTTGCAAAGTAAAACTGTGCATCACACGCCCATCCATCTAGTTTCGCTACATGATCAAGCTTCGAGCGCCATGCCACAAGCGACTCCTGTGCAAGCCGCGGTGCATAGAATTCAAAGGCGACAACGTCTCGCTGATGTTGGAGGGCAAGCTGACCTCGCCACCGGGTAAGCTTAGATCGAAGGAGTTCTTCGTTTCGGTGGTCTTCATGTATGCCTGCGTTGTGGAGTAGCTGAGAGTAAGTCCGGCGCACGTTCGTCACAAATGTGGAAAATACATCGCGAGTGATTCTTTGGTCAAGAATCCGTTGCATTAGACGATATCTCTCAGCCAGAATCCACTTATACATGGCCTCCATCTTCAAGCGTTCTTCGATCCGTACGCTAAGGGCCTGGCACCGAAGCAAGTCATTCCATGTAGTCCAGGAATTGCGCACGACCCGCCGTGTATCGAACTCTCTTGCTTGCTTAGCCATCTGAACCTTCTTCACCCAGTGTCCAAATGCCATTTGGACGATGCGTTTGTCAACCATCTTGGCGGTACGAGAAGCAGCCGGTGCCAACCGTGATTGGATCTTCCATTCCCCGAAACTTTCCCCCAGAAGCTGCAGGCGCTGTCTGGATGCCGCTTCCTGCTCGGTGATGGCGACAGCCTTCGATCGTTTAGTCCACGCCTGCCAAGCCAAATTAAGAGTATTATGCTTATTCCGGGTATCGATCTCAAGGGTACGCTCTCTGTTATTACGAAAGTTCCGTAGCCAGTACAGTAGTGATCGCCTCTTTAGGCAATAATCATACCACTGTGGAGCGCGCCGTTCGCAGAAGCACCAGAACCATTGCCAATAGAAAGTGTGCGTCGATCTCTGGTCGTGCGTTGCTACTGCCCTCTTCTCTAGCCCTTTCACTTGGTGAAGTTTCTTTCTCCAAGTAATGAAAGGCCTCCGTAATGCGAATCTCTGGGCTTTAAGTTCATTGACTGCAGTTATCTCACGCCAAGCATTGAAGTATTTGACACCAAGGACGTGTCGCCGTGCAGCAGATGTCCTCGCAACTTCATCCGAGGCAACTTGTGCCCAATGCGTGAAGGCCTTGGTCATGAGGTAGAGATCTCGAGCTCTCGCAGCACGCTCTTCCAGATGTTTGAAGAATCTTTCCGTCTGCGCTGCTTGTCGTTTTTCTTGGATGATGGTAAGCCATGTCTCAAAAGCCTGACGAACAAGAGTAAGTCGGTCACGGTTCACAGCGACGACTTCCATGTTTTGATGGCTTTGCCGCGTCTGGATAGCTTTTTTCAGCCATTGTGTAAGAATGCGCCGATTAATGGCTCGCTGGCGATACATGTTAAATGTTGACGCATCCCGCAACAAATCTGAGAGCGACGGCCTATATAGCATTTCAAGCGGAACCTCTGATTTACCAAAGGTTTCGCTTTTGTCTCCCTGGGAGGACGCAGACAACTCTTCCGCATTTTCATCTGAGCCCTCTGAGCTTACCGAATGTCGGTGGCGTGACCGCGAGGCTTCTGCCATCCGCTTTGAACGGTCTTCATTAACTGCAGATCTCGCATGAACGCCATTGGAGATCGGCTTTTTATCCTTTGCTGGATCCAAAAGATCCATTCTGCTCATCAGACGGCGCCCCACATCTATGAATTGTGCGATTAGTTGTGTTCTATCTGGCGAGCTGGGATTTTTCGTGGTTGTCGTCCCCTTTGGCGGCGACAGCCTAGAGTCAATGAATTCAGGCTTCCCAGTTGGTAGACGAGATAGAGAAGAGCGTGAACTTGGCCGGTTCCAAATACTCCGTTGAGTAGGGTCATCGCCAACATCATACATTGAATTAAACGACGCCCTCCTTCGTCTAGTTATCTGCGTAGTATCCTCCCCCGGTGTATTCTCACGGTCGACCCTCGCTCGAAGTCGGCCATCAGGCACGAGTGCACTTTGTTCATAAGTCTCGTTATCTTCATTATCGTCATCATTATCACCACCAAACTCTATAACTATCCCCATCTGCTCAAGCAGATTCTCAAACTTTTCAAAGAGGCTGTCGCCTGTTATGTTCTTTTTTCCCATTTTAAGCAAGAATCGCATGCAGGCATAGCCTGGATCCGCGTCCACGCCATGTTCTGAAATGACCTCGTCGTACGCTTGGAATAATACTCTGAAGGGAAGACGCTCAACCTCTGGACTCCGCTCTGCGCGGGTTATAACTTGGAAGAGGAGGCCGACATCTGCCATACACCACTCGTTAACTCGCATTCAATGGCACCGAGGCGGGATAAAATTAAGAAATGTGGGGGAAAGAATCAGTTAGCTTCATAAAAGAAAACAAAAACAAAAAAAAAAAAAAAAAAAAAAAGTTCACACCTTCATCTGAAAGCGACGGGTCTTCATAGGACAGAGGTTTACGCTGACGGGAAACGGGAGGCATCGAAATATCCACGACCTAAGGCGCGTTTTCGCAAAGTAGGTCATGGAGACGGGGAACGAAATCAACCATTGCGCGGCGGTAAGTTGGTCGCAATTGAAAAGCCCGCAGATCCTCAAGTCTACGGCTGCGTACAAAGCAGACCCCAGATAGTACCAGCTATCGAAGCAATGACATGAGACATGAGGGACTCGAAGGATTGTTTTGCTCGTGTCGCGCCGAACCAAAGATGGCATGTGTCGGTCATGTGATACGATTAGGTAACACGCTTCACGGATTATTCTTGGCCGTGGCATATAATTGCATCGTCTCAGAGAACAAATCGTATATTCCTGAGATACCAGCGCTGAAAATGCCGTCGGTACGGACAAGGCCCATCGAGAAGTTTGCAAAGGCAACCGCAAAATGCTCTGTGGAGGTATGATTAGGTCCCACGTCCTGCCTTGCTTGGTAGGATGCAAGCTAACTTATTATCAGGCGGCTGCATATGGCAAATGCATTGTTGGTGACTACAATGCGGTACATAAAGACATGTGTGTCAAGGAGTTTATGAAGCTAAAAGACTGTTTTCTGGTAAGGCAGTGCTGTACATGGCTATGGCGAAGAAACTTTGCTAACGTGGGCTTGCTTGAGCAGGCTGCATCAAAGAAGGTTTAAAGGCTGTAGTGTTGTACTTGGAGTCAGGGTGCTGCATTGGTTAGGCGGGTCTTCTTCCTCTTCCTTTTTCTTTTTTCTGGGAAAGTCTTTGCATCTGTAGTGTACGATCACGAATACGTTGAGGGACACAGGACAACGAGAACACAATGGTTTCTAAATTTTATGGATGAAATGTTACTTCTAGAAGACCGTAGAGCAAACAAAATAAAATAAAATAAAATAAAATAAAGAGAACTATTTTGACGTCACACATTCAAAAAATAGCCGAAATTCTATAGCTTAAGGAGCTTCAGCAAGAATGTCGCTTTTTGGACCTCTTGCTCCTCTTGGATGATCATGCGTTCCTCCTTGCCGTCAGCAAGCTCTTGCCGGTCGAGCGGTCTGCGCAAAACCTTCTCGATGACACTGGCCTGAGTTTCGAAAGCTTCACTAATGCCGACATTGTCAGGATCAGAGAGAACTGTGTATGCCATGACCACGTCATCAGTGGGGACTAGACCGGCCTTTTTACGAAGACGCTGCACGCGGTTAATGATTTCTCGGCCCAGCCCTTGATGCGCTAGTTCTGGGTATAGGTTTGCATCCAGGATAGTCAAAACATCGGCATCGGTATTAGGCTCCATTCCCTGAGAAGATGGGTTCTCCTTGACGCCTCGTTTCACCACAAGGTCGCCTTCAACAAGCTCGATGCCGTCAACAAGAATCTTCTTGTCTGCAACAAACTTCTTCACATCATCGCTTGTAACCGATGGCAAAGCTTTCTTGACCTTTTGGACGTCCTTCTTCAGTTTCTTTCCCAGAGTTGGCCAGTCAGCGGTAACACTGTACTGAACGTTGTATTTAGCCTCGTCTGATGACAAGACCAATTCAAGAACGTTCAGCTCCTCAAGGATGTAACTCTCCAGGGATTTGACATCGTCCAGATATTGCTGGTCTTGGTGGATGACAACAAGCGTCTTCAAGGGAGTCTTCAGACCAATCAAACGTCGCTCTCTAGAAATACGACCCATTTCAATGACCTTTTGCATCCGAGCCACCCGTCTCTCAACAGCCTCATCAAAGAGCTCCTCACGCACCTCAGGAAACGGAAGGAAATGGACACTCCGGCTATCCTCACTACGGAGCGCTTCGGGGATATGAGGAAGGAGTCGCAGGTAGATATTGTCGGTAAGGAAAGGCGTGAAAGGTGCAAGACCTCTAACCAGAGTATAAAGAACCTCAAATAAGGTATTCAAGGCATGCATTGTATCATCAACACCATTCTCGCCCTTGAGACGTCTCCGATTAAACCTAATATACCAGTTGGTTGTGTTTTCAATCAATCCAAGCAACCGAGGAACAACCGTATACAGGCGATAGCCCGCCATTTCTTCGTTGACAAACTTGAGAAGACTCTGGCAGCTTGCCAAAATCCAGCGATCCATCACGTTAGTGTTGGTAGCCTCGGCCTCAGGATCAAACACGTAATCTATACCCTCTGCCTTTTTGAGCAAAGCCACCTGGCCTTCGAAGAACTTGTAACTGTTCCATAAGGGAAGGAGGACCTTGGCAACAACCTCCTTGACACCTGACTCCTTGAATCTCAGTGGTTCCGCTCGAACAACGGGGGAATTGATCAGGTAAAGCCGAAGAGCATCTGACCCATAGTTATCCATGATGAGGGCAGGATCAGGATAGTTTTTCAATCTCTTGGACATTTTCTTTCCATCTTCGGCAAGGACAATTCCATTCACAACACAATTCTTGAAGGGCAGTTTACCAAAGAGGTGAGTTCCCAGGACAGTCAGAGTATAGAACCAACCACGAGTCTGATCCAAACCCTCTGCAATAAAGTCACCCGGGAAGCTCTTTTCGAATTGCTCCTTGTTCTCAAAGGGGTAGTGTTGGGAAGCATACGGCATACTGCCCGATTCAAACCAACAGTCGAAAACTTCACTCACACGGCGAAGAACCCCTTTACCTTGTTTGCTCGGGATGGTGATCTTATCCACCTTATCACGATGGAGATCTGTAAGCTCTCCTTCATAGCCGCTAAGTTGCTTGAGCTCCTCAACACTACCAACCGCCACAACTTCCTTGAAGTCATCGCTAACCCATAACGGTAGCGGGGTGCCCCAGAACCTGTTTCTAGAAATGTTCCAGTCTCGGGAATTCTTGATCCAGCTGGAGAACCTCTTTTCCTTAACATTAGAAGGCACCCAATGTGAGCCCTCAATTCCTTCGAGCATTTGAGGAATAATAGGGGGGATCTTAACAAACCACGACGGAACAGCACGGTAAATCAAGGGTGTATCAGAGCGCCAACAGAATGGATAGCTGTGAGTTATCTGGCTATCCACAATCAATCGGCCGATTCCTTTCAAGTGTTTGATAATGGCCTTATCGGCGGCTTTAACGTGTTGACCAGCAAAATCCCGAACCTCTGCTGTGTAGATACCGCGGTCATCGACAGGGTTAGGAGGCGGCCGCTTTTCGTTGATCACTCCAGACTCCAGGGCAACCCTGTAATCATCTTCACCGAATGCCGGCGATTGGTGAACAACACCAGTACCATCTTCAGCCGTGACATACTCCGCATTTAACACACGGAATCCATAGTCTTTGAATTCTTCATAGAAGTAGTCAAAGAGCGGGATATATTTCCAGTCCTTCATCGCCGAACCCTTGAGCCGATCGACAATCTTGAACTTGGCCTTCTTCGGGTCCTTGTAGAGGGTCCGAAGGAGAGACTCGAGGAGGATATATTGTTTTCCCGAAGCCTCGTCAAGGATCTTAATGTATTCAAAGTTGGGGTTGACTGAGACACCGGTGTTCGATGGTAGGGTCCAAGGTGTGGTCGTCCATGCAAGCAAACAAGTTTCAGGATCGTCCACCAAGGGGAATGTTACCACAACCGCGGGGTCCTGGACATCCTTGTAGTTTTGTTGAGCCTCGAAGTTGCTGAGGGGAGTGTTGAGAGCTGTCGAGAATGGCATAACTCGATAGCCTCTGTAGACGAGGTCTTTGTCAAATAGTTGCTTGAAAACCCACCAGACTGATTCCATGAACTCCGTATTCATGGTCTATATAAAAATGAAATAACAATTAGTAAGCCTGCGAGAAATTCTGCGTATTGTCTCCTTGAGGTTTTAAGGGCCTCCTAGCTCCAAGACAGAAAAATACCAATTGCGAAGGGAAAAAAATAAAAAATTAGAAAATGTAAATAAAGACAGCCCTACCTTGTAGTCATTGTCAAAATCAATCCAGCGACCAAGTCGGTCAATAGTCTGACGCCATTCAGTCGCATATCTCATGACAATGGCTCGACACTCCTCGTTATATTTTTCAATTCCGAGTTTCTCGACAGCCTCCAGGCCCGACATACCCAATTTCTTGTCGATCTCAAATTCGATAGGAACGCCATGAGTATCCCAGCCGAATCGTCTCTCAACATAGTGTCCCTTCATAGACCAATACCTAGGAATGATATCTTTGATAGTTGACGCCAGTAAATGGCCATAGTGAGGAAGCCCAGTTGCGAATGGAGGGCCGTCGTAGAAAGTATAAGGTTTACGGCCATGAGAAAGCTCAACCTGTCTTCTAAAAGCATTAATCTCCTTCCACCTATTGAGGACATTCACCTCTTCGGCAGGGAAGTCGATAGACATGACGGGCGGGGGGGTTGTCGTCAATTGCAATCGTTGCGATCGTCCAAGGAGGATAGGGATGGGCCGCGGGGTAGATTAAAAAAGAAATCGTTCGTGAGTCACCCCGCGCGGCACTGCGCAAGTGGTCACAGCAACTTCCCGTAGTAGTCGGCGCCCTTTACGGGACAAGGAGTCAGGAAGACTTTCCCAAGGCTCCAGTGACAGAATGGAATAGAAGTACAATAATGAGTCTTACCTCATAATCGGGTCCCAAAGGTGAACATCAGTACAACTTCAACCGTATTCCTGGTTTGACCCTTCTACTAGCTGCTGAACAAAAAGACACCATGAAGCTTTCTATATAGACATGATATGTCGACTTTTTTCAATACAGTATTTCCCTTGATGGAGAATGATAGTAGCTGAAGGTATCTAAGCTAATTGGTAATAAAAAACAAAGTTAGGGTTCGTATATCCAAACACAACGGCGAGGTCGTCTTTCAGTTGTCTTCCGCATCTTCCTCATCATCTTCGTCATCTTCTGCTTCTGATACTTCTTGTCCGAGGTCCTTCAGGCGTTTCTGGAAGATACTGTAAGTCAATTTTGCAGCTACAATATGAGTGGATAGACTCACCTTGTCTTCGTTTCTCTTGACTTCCAAGTCCCCAAACACAATAAGCAGATCCTCGAGTTCAGATTGTGCGGCCTTGCGAGCTTCTTCTTTCTCCTTTGCTTCTGACTTGGCCTTATCCAGAGCCTTTCGGGTCTCCTCAAGGGCCAGGCTGGATTTACGCGCATCTTCCTCGGTCTTCTTCGCTCTTGTTTCCGCCTCTTCTGCTCGTTTCTCAAGAGAAGACACCTTGAAGGCGTAGTCATCGTGTACCGCTTGAGTGTCCTGCGTAGAGGCTTTCTTAGCCGCATCGAGTTGTGATTGTAAAGAACTGTTCGCGGATCTGAGATCTGCAAGCTCCGAGCTATGCTGTTTCTTGATGGCCTCCAGTTCCGCCTGTAGGGACTCATTTCTAGATTTAAGGTCGGCAACTCCAGCTTCGTGCTGCTGTTTGCTTGCTTCGAGCTCTGATTGCAACGAATCGTTCGTAGACTTGTGATCCTTTGCCAACGTTTCATGGTGTTGTTTGGCTGAGTCAAGTTCAGTCTTGAGAGAATAGTTTGTGGATTTGAGGTTTGCGAGCTCAGACTCATGCTGTTGGCTAACCGCATCTACCTCCGCCTGGAGAATTTGTATCTTGTGGTTTAGGTCGCTGACTTCAGCTGCGTGCTGCTCTTTGCTCTTGTTGTCGCTTGAGCGAAGTTGATGTATTGTTTTATTCAAATCTGACATTTCGGCTGCATGCTGTTCCTTAATTTTGTCGGCATCCAATCTCAGCTTCTCAATCGTAGTCTTAAGACTGGCGACTTCACCCGTGTATTGTTCCCTAACACGTGTGAAATCCGATCCTAATGACCCGATTTTCTTCTGCAAATCAGCGACCTCAGCCTCGTGCTGTTCTCTCATGGCGTGTCCCTTTCTCTCGTATTCAGTTGAGGTGACTTTCAGTTGGTTGTCGATAGTCCGAAGCTGGTCGCCATGCTGCCTCACTAATTCGTTCTTCTCACGCTGCTGCTCTTGCTTCAGCGCTGATAATTCCTGTTCGTGGTTCCTTTGGAGTGACTCATTGATCTGTTTAATTTTGGAAGCCTCCAAAACACTCGAATCCTTAGACTTCCTATGCTCAAGTTGTTCATGCTCTAACTTGTTTTGCAGTGCAATCAGGTCCGATTCCAGCTTCTGTATTGCCTGGTTTCGATCTTCGAGTTCCGTTTTAAGAGAATCCACAAGCTCACGCGAGACTCCTCTCTCGACACCATTGGTGATAACGGAGATCTCCAAGCCAGGCTCACGATCGATTGCGCGAGTTAGACGGCCAAAGTGATCTTTGAGAAAGTCAATAAATGTCCGATCAAAATATATCTCCGGAAGCCCTCCTTCGTACTGTCCAACCACGGTCTGTGGCAGGACCTCGAAATCCCGGACCATGGGAGACTCTCTAAATCGTGTTATCTTATCAATAAATTGATCTCTCCCTAATTGTTCAGCCAACAGCTTATGCAGCGTTTTGCGAGGAATCGGGGAATCTTTCGAAGAGAACTCGTAGACTATTCCCAGCAAAACGGTGCAAAGACCGGATAAAAGGACGAAGGAGGCACCCCGATGCTTGATCTCCTGCAGCAAGGTTTGGATACTACTGCCCTCTCCAAGGAAGTCGTTCACAGCATCCGGCTCTTCAAAGAGCCAGCCACAAAGCAACATAAGGTATCCCAGAGAGATTCTTTCATCATCCCCTCTCTGTATACCAGTAACCAAATTACCCACTATTGTTTGGATGCAAGTAATGACTTCTTCGCCGTTCTCAGCATCCCCCTCTGTTACCTCCATCGCAATTGCTTTTGCCTCCGCGTTCTCGAAAAGCAAGTGAAACATCAACACAGAAGCCATCCATGTCTGATATGGATCAGCATTTCCACGTAACTCTGGTGGGGCAAGCAAGACAGACAGAATATTTGGGATCTCGTCTTGCCCGCTGACATGCCCTTCGATCGCTCTTCTCAGAACGTGGACGCGGATTCCAGAGTGGTTAGTGAAAAAGGCCTTGATGCACTCACATGCGGCAAGGCGCGCGTCTAATAATTGAATGGGGGTAGGCTCAAGGGACAGCTTCAGTAGTGCTTCCATTACATTAATCCGTTGTATTTCGCCGTTTGTAGCACCTTCAGCAGGCTTTGTACCCCAGAAAACCTCAACATCCCCGAATTTTTCCTGCAAAGGTGGATTTCCGCAGATTAAGTCTGCAATTGTGGCAAGAGCCTATACAAGTCAGAATTGAACATAGACGGCAGAAGAGAGGATAGATATTCCACGAACCTTGGAGGTGACATTAACACTGAACCTTTGACTAAAAGCTACGCTTAACACATGCTCCAGAACACCATTATTCCAAAATGCCATTTGGTTAGTAGGGGTGTTGATCCCACCACGAACCAAAAAAAGCTGGACTATAACCAGCAATCCCCAGATGTTCTTATCGCGCTGTGCAAGACTCCACTGAGGAGCAGGCTCGTCAGATTCCTGCTCTTGGTTGGCATCAGCAAGGAGCTTTGCCAGTCTCTTTACACAGCCCGTTTCACGGAAGTATGACTGGTTGGAAATATTAAGTCTCAGAAGATTGGCGAGCAAAGAAAGGCAGTCCTCGACCACTTCTAATCCATGGGTCAAAGCACCCTCGGTCTCGATTAGCGAGAATATAAGTTCAAATGCATTTTCAAAGGCGACAAGCTTTTGGAATTCCTCAGATGCCGGCGTCAGCGCAATTAGGAGCAGCAAAGCTTCTATAAAATATAACAACTCTTTTCAGCCAAACAGATCTCAAGAAAAGATTACCCAATAGCTATTACAAGGAATTTATATAACATACCATTGCGGACGGGCTCTCGAGCATCCCCCAAGACACTAACTAGTCTCGGAATCCCCAGTGGTGCTGTCAAAATACACTCCTGCGTTCTTTCTGGTCGCGCGCTTGAGATCTGGAACATTAGTTGTAGGGAATACAGTCGGGAGTAAAAGTCTCGAGTATCAAGAAGGTCTAGAAGAGCAGTGATATTGTCTTGCCGCTTTTCCCAATTAGCGGAGTCGATACTTCGCTTGAAATCAAAAGAATCATACCTGCGTGAACTCATCGGAAAGCCAAAGAGCGATCTCGTCCGAGGCTTCAGGCTAAACAATCCGAGTTAGCACAGAAGCCAGTATAGATAACAAGACAATGCAACTGACACTATTTTCATCCGGGGAGAATAGCATCAACAAGGTCTCCAAGACCGCCTTGATTGTGTCCACATCTTCTCGATCATTTCTGAGACAGCTAATCAACGGTCGCAGCGCACCTGAAGCAACAGAGGCGGGATATAGCTTTGCAAAGCTCCTTAATCCTTGGATAGCTGCCCGACGGTCTTCCAGTAACGTGGCACTCTGAAGTCTAGCGCTCAAAGTATTGATCGTGTCCGTGGCCGTTTGTTTGGCTGGGACCTGCGACTCGAGGATTCGAAACATTGCGATTAGTAGCTCGTAGTATCATGGTCACCGCCGACCGCGGACGTAGCAATTGGCAGGCATCGAACAGTCCAAATCTAAGACACTAGGGAGCTGAGTTGTTCTTTGCGGAACTGCGATCAAGAAATCGGTGGGTAACAATAGGCATTAGGTGTTGTCTGGGGCGGTACTAACGCCAAGCACCCGCTAAGCGGATCCATGACAAAGAAAGCGCCGAAAATCCGGGTGCATTCAATTCATTCATTCATTTATTCATGGGCTCTTTCAAGAACGCCAGCCCTTTGGAACTGCATTGCCCTCGAGTCAAAGAATAAAAGGCAGCATATATACACGCGGTTTGTCCCTGTTTTCCTTGGGACTATCATTCGATCAATCCTTACGCACCCCGTCACGCTCGGGTGCAGTCTGCGACTCAAGGGAAGCCAATGGACCACATCGCTGACAGTGTTTAAATTATCCGAGATTTGAGTTTCTGTCTCGCGTGAATTTATTTGCCTGCATTTCTATCTGTCACCTTTTTTAGCATTTTTTTATCATCATGGGTGTCCCAGCGCTGTTCCGATGGCTGTCCAACAAATACCCCAAAATCATCTCGCCGGTGATCGAGGAGCTTCCTTACGAGGTCAACGGGGAAGAGATCCCAGTTGATACCACTCGTCCAAATCCTAATGGAGATGAAATGGATAATCTGTATCTGGATATGAATGGCATCGTCCATCCATGTACTCACCCAGAGGGGAGACCTCCGCCCGCAAATGAGCAGGAGATGATGTTGGAGATTTTCAAATATACCGACCGAGTAGTGAACATGGTCCGTCCGAGGAAGCTTTTGATGATTGCTGTCGGTATGTGATAACTATCTTACAACGGCTGTACGAACACTTACTGACCAGAGGGGTTTGCGATGTCCTTTAGATGGTGTGGCGCCACGAGCCAAGATGAACCAGCAACGTGCACGTCGTTTTCGCTCTGCCCAGGAGGCAAAAGAGGCCGATGAAAAGAAGGAGGAGTTTCGGAAGATGCTTGCGAAACAGAATGGCAACAAGGCAGATCAAGAGCTCCAAGAAGATGTCATCCAGAAGACATGGGACAGCAACGTGATCACGCCCGGTACTCCATTCATGGACATTCTTGCTGCAGCTCTACGCTACTGGATTGCTTACAAGCTCAACACTGATCCCGCCTGGGAAAAGGTTTGGAACCCCGTGGCATACTCATAACGATTCCGGTTCTGACTCTAACAGCTTAAAATCATCATCTCCGATGCAACTGTCCCAGGAGAGGGAGAGCATAAGATTATGGAATTTGTTCGGTCGCAACGGGCAGCTTCGGAACATGACCCAAACACCCGTCATGTTATCTACGGCTTAGTAGGTTTTGGTGATCTTCCACTTGTAGGAGACAGAGCTAACCCATGGTCTTTTAGGATGCCGACTTGATCATGCTGGGACTTGCGACTCACGAGCCTTATTTCCGGGTTCTACGAGAAGATGTGTTCTTTCAGGAGTCAAAGGCGCGGACCTGCCACCTATGTGGTCAAGCCGGTCACAAGGCGGAGGAATGCAAAGGCCAAGCAAAGCAAAAAAATGGAGAATTTGATGAAAAGGGCAAAGGTTCTTCTCTCAAGCCATTCATCTGGCTTAATGTTTCAGTTCTTAGGGAGTATCTTGCTGTCGAACTGTATGTTCCGGGACAGCCATTTCCTTTCGACTTGGAGCGAGCCTTGGATGATTGGGTGTTCATGTGCTTCTTCGTAGGCAATGATTTCCTCCCGCACTTACCTTCGTTAGATATCCGTGAGAATGGCATCGATACTCTAATTGCAATCTGGCGTGATAATATTCCGGTCATGGGAGGATATTTAACGAAGGATGGGCATGTCGATTTGAAAAAGGCGCAGCTTATCCTTCAAGGCCTTGCAAAGCAAGAAGATGCTATCTTCCGTCGTCGTAGACAAGTTGATGAAAGGAGGCAGGCGAATGAGAGAAGGCGCAAGCAAGAAGAAAAGGAGCGTGCCAGCAAGCGCAGAAGAAGCTCGCCCAGCTACGAGGCATATGAGTCGCCCATGACCAGCAAAGGTCGCGGTGGCGGTGATATGGCAGCTCCTGATCAGGTGGAGCTGATTACACCTGGTCGAGGAGAATTATCACGAAAGACCAGAGAGCTAACCCACAGCATGGTGGTTAACCGCGGCGCTGTCTACAGGGCCAACATGGCCAACAAAAGTGCCGCTGCTGTTCTCAAAGAAAAACTTATGAAAGGCTCGCAGGATAATCAGACCCCTGGGGAGTCTTCCACCGATGCTGATGAACCGTCAGACGATAAGTCAATTCAGACTTCGCCGTCCGTTCTAGGAAAAAGAAAGGCCGGGGCCGTTGAAGACCAAGACTATGATGGGAAATCACCCAGCCAGGATTCGAAGCCCCAACAAGACGACAATGATATGCCCCCCGATAACGTTCGTCTCTGGGAAGAAGGCTACGCCGATCGATATTACGAGCAAAAGTTTGGTGTGAATCCACAAGACAAGGAGTTTCGTCACAAGGTCGCACGCGCATATGCCGAAGGCCTCGCATGGGTACTGCTATATTACTTCCAAGGTTGTCCGTCGTGGACCTGGTATTACCCTTATCATTACGCGCCATTTGCGGCAGATTTCGTGGATATTGATGATATGGAATTATCCTTTGACAAAGGAATCCCGTTCAAGCCATTCGAACAGTTAATGGGCGTTCTCCCAGCCTCGTCGAATCATGCTATCCCCGAGGTGTTCCACGATCTCATGAGCAACCCGAAGAGTGAGATTATCGATTTCTACCCAGAAGATTTCCCCGTGGACTTGAACGGAAAGAAATTTGCTTGGCAGGGAGTCGTATTGCTTCCATTCATTGATGAGAAGCGACTACTGGCTGCAATGGAGAAGAAGTATCCCCTCCTCACGGACGACGAGAAACTCCGCAATTCCGTGGGTCGAGAGGTGTTGTTGATCTCGGATAGCCATCCGTTATATCAAGATCTGGCCGCCAACTTCTATTCCAAGAAGCAAGGTGCTCCAAAATATAGACTCAACATGCGGGTGAGTGAAGGTTTAGCGGGTAAAGTAGAGCGTAACGAGACATATATTCCACACAGCTCCTTGGTATCAACTCTCGAGGAGCACGGCATGCCTACTCTGGAAGAAGATCGCTCTTTAACGTACGTATTATCTCATCTTATTTATCATCACCATTGCCTCGACTTTGATTAACATTTGGTATTCCTGTCTAGGGTCAACTACGAGGTTCCCAAATCTGCACATATTCATAAGTCCATGCTGCTTCGGGGCGTGAAGTTCCCTCCGCCGGCATTAGACAACGCAGACATCCAAGCGGTCAAGTCCAAAGCCCAGCACTCGGGCCGATCATTTGGGGGAGCACCTCTCCGCAATGGAAACCGGGGTGGTCGTATTAACTACTCCAGCGAGCGACCAAATCCCTTTGCGGCGCATCTGGATCCCAATTTCAAGCCTACCGCCAATGCACCCCAAGGCTGGATACCTCCGGTGCCTGGGTCCACGGGCTTTTCCAGAGGACCACTGCCACCTCCACGTGGAGGTCACTCGAATTACCGTCATCCTCAACATCATGATCGGGGCGCATATGGCGGTGGTCCTCCCCAGCAGCAAGGTCATTACTCGGCGGACTATGTCCGAGAGGACTACTATGGTCAGGGTCAGGGTCAGCAGGGTTATTACCAGCAGGGATCTCAATCGCAACACTATCGTGAAAGGGGCGGAGGGCATCCCCGAGGGGGGTATCAAGGCCGGGACCACTATGGTTCGAGAAATCCTCCGGGTGGATATGGACGCTACTAAGATAATTCTGGTGTGGAGTAGTAGATACCTATAGATTCTATCTATAGCTTCTCCTGTGTCGATCTGTTACCTACATTGTGTATGTGCTGACCTTTTTTTTTTTTGTGTCTGTTTGTTTGTTTGCTATTCTTACGGGGAGAGAAAATCCGGGACTTGGAATGAATCTTATCAGGGATGGAGTTTGTTCAATGTATTTTGGCTATTTCATGTGTCTTCTAAAGTGAATAGACTGGACTATTATGGGAGATCAATATGCCCCTATCATCGTTCTTCACCTACATTGAGAATAGTTACGCGAAAATCCAGCAGCGGGTTGCTGTGCTCCAAATGCCGACGCGACATCGGAGCGGGACTGGAAAGAAACTACAGGTATGTCGCACGTGGGGCAAATTCGGAGTGAGTCAAATCTCACAAACCTTCCACAATGGTCCTCTTTACCCTCAACCATCACTTTCAACTCGCACGGAGACCCATTCTCCTTTCCTTTCTTTTACCGGAAATCATCGCCAGATAATTTCTCGGATCAGCTCTATTCTTATAGCCTTGTTCCAATTGCACCCCTGTGCTTCTCATTGTTCTTTTCTGGGCAGAGCTGAATAGAGCTGAAGCCCCACTCCAAATTTCTCTCGCAACTACGGAGTACTCTCTTATTCTTCCTCCATTTCTCCCCTGTCGCCTCTTGTCTCTGAGAGAGTACTCTCCAGTGCGACGCTTTAAACGCTTACTGCAACCCACAGTATGAATTGAATAGAGACTGTGGTTTCCCATCGAATTGCTGTCTCCGTTGCTTGCTGTGCCTACGATTCCTGCCGCTCGACCATGACCGAGCCTACAAAGATTAGCATCCTGTGTGGGGAGAACCAGTATCGGGAGAGCATTATTGTGGATTTCGGTCTCTGGCGTAGCTATGTTGCTAAGAACCTGATCATTGACTGCCCCTCCACGACCTACGTCCTCATCACCGACACCAATATCGGTTCGATCTATACTCCTGCGTTCCAGAAGACCTTCGAAGATGCCACCGCCACTATCGCATCATCGCCTCGATTGCTGGTGTATCATGCTCCCCCGGGTGAAGTGTCCAAATCACGACAGACCAAAGCCGACATTGAAGACTGGATGTTGAGCCAAAATCCCCCGTGTGGTCGGGATACTGTGATTATTGCCCTAGGTGGGGGTGTTATTGGAGACCTGACTGGTTTTGTTGCTGCCACCTACATGCGCGGTGTGCGATATGTGCAGGTTCCAACAACTCTCCTGGCGATGGTGGATTCGTCGATCGGAGGAAAGACCGCCATCGATACCCCGCTGGGCAAGAATCTCATTGGCGCCATCTGGCAACCGACAAAGATCTACATCGACCTAGAATTTCTAGAGACACTCCCCGTGAGGGAGTTCATCAACGGAATGGCCGAAGTGATCAAGACAGCCGCCATCTCAAGTGAGGAGGAATTCGCTGCCCTGGAGGACAACGCTGATGCGATCTTGACGGCGGTCCGCCGTCAAGTGAAGCCGGGCCAACGCCGGTTTGAGGGCATTGAGGATCTTCTGAAGGCCAGAATTTTGGCCTGTGCACGCCATAAGGCCTACGTTGTCTCTGCGGATGAGCGCGAGGGTGGTCTGCGGAACCTCTTGAACTGGGGTCACTCCATCGGTCACGCCATCGAGGCAATCCTGACCCCCCAGATTCTTCATGGGGAGTGCGTCGCGATTGGTATGGTTAAGGAGGCAGAGCTCGCTCGCCACCTTGGTCTCTTGAAGGACGTTGCTGTCTCTCGCATCGTCAAGTGTATTTCCGCTTATGGCCTGCCTACCACATTGAAGGATTCACGGATCAGGAAACTGACTGCAGGAAAGCATTGCCCAGTTGACCAGTTACTGTTCTATATGGCTTTGGATAAGAAAAATGACGGCCCGAAGAAGAAAGTCGTCCTCCTATCGGCAATTGGCCGTACCTACGAGCCAAGGGCCAGCGTGGTTGCAAATGAAGACATAAGTGTTGTACTCGCTCCCAGCATCGAAGTTCAACCCGGTGTTGCCCCATCGTCGAATGTTGTCTGCGCACCTCCGGGATCAAAGAGTATTTCCAACCGAGCTCTGGTCTTGGCCGCTCTTGGTTCAGGTACTTGTCGCATCAAAAACCTGCTACATTCGGATGATACTGAGGTCATGTTGAACGCTTTGGAGAAGATTGGGGCCGCCACCTTCTCTTGGGAAGAAGAGGGTGAAGTTCTCGTGGTGAACGGAAAGGGTGGAGATCTCCAAGCACACCCTTCACCCCTTTACCTTGGCAACGCAGGCACTGCGTCTCGCTTCCTCACCACCGTTGCAACGCTTGCCACAGCAGGCAGCGTGGAATCTAGCTTGCTCACAGGTAATAACCGCATGAAGCAGAGACCAATCGGCGATTTGGTTGATGCGTTGACAACCAACGGTGCATCAATCGAATACGTGGAGAAAAAGGGCAGCCTCCCCCTCAAAATCGCTGCATCCGGTGGATTCGCGGGAGGGCAAATCAACCTAGCCGCCAAAGTGTCTTCGCAATATGTCTCCTCCTTGCTTATGTGTGCCCCATACGCCAAGGAGCCTGTCACTTTGAAGCTGGTGGGCGGAAAGCCCATCTCGCAGCCATACATCGACATGACCACAGCAATGATGAGATCATTTGGCATTGATGTGCAGAAGTCCACCAGTGAGGAGCACACATACCACATCCCCCAGGGTCGGTACGTTAACCCTGATGAATACGTCGTTGAGAGTGATGCCAGTTCCGCAACTTATCCCTTGGCAATTGCTGCAATCACCGGAACGACTTGCACGGTCCCCAACATTGGGTCCAAATCTCTCCAGGGTGACGCGCGTTTCGCCGTAGACGTCTTGAGACCTATGGGCTGCTCAGTGAAGCAGACTGACACATCAACCACTGTCGTCGGTCCTCCCAATGGCAACCTACGGCCACTTCCCAACGTGGACATGGAGCCGACGACAGACGCCTTCCTTACGGCCTCTGTACTAGCGGCTGTGGCTCGTGGAGATGGCACCAACCACACCACTCGTATCTACGGAATTGCGAATCAGCGAGTGAAAGAATGCAACCGGATCAAGGCAATGAAGGACGAGCTTGCGAAATTTGGCGTTATCTGTCGGGAACATGACGACGGTCTCGAGATCGATGGCATTGATCGCAAGACTCTTCGGCAGCCAACTGGCGGTATTTTCTGTTACGATGATCACCGGATCGCCTTCAGCTTCAGCGTTTTTTCACTGGTGGCTCCTCAATCGACTCTCATTCTCGAGAAGGAGTGCGTTGGCAAGACGTGGCCAGGTTGGTGGGACACTCTGAGACAGTTGTTTACCGTAAAGCTCAAGGGTAAAGAACTGGACGATGAGTCCTCAGCCCTGACACAGGCTGAGAAGACCAGTGCTTCCGTTATTATCATCGGTATGCGTGGTGCTGGCAAGACTACAAGCGGACGTTGGGTTGCGAAGACGCTGAACCGGCCGTTTGTCGACTTGGACACTGAACTTGAACAGAACGAGGGCATGGCAATTCCGGACATCATCAAAGAGCGGGGCTGGCAAGGGTTCAGAGATGCCGAGCTCAGTCTCCTACAGCGCACACTGAAAGAACGATCTACAGGCTACGTTTTCGCTTGTGGGGGGGGTGTGGTTGAAATGCCCGAAGCCAGAAAGTTGCTTGTCGATTACCACAAAACAAAGGGAACTGTCATGCTCATCATGCGCGATATCAAGCAGGTCATGAATTTCCTTTCAACTGATAAGACCCGTCCTGCCTATGTGGAAGACATGATGGGTGTGTGGCTTCGCCGAAAGCCATGGTTCCATGAATGCAGTAACATACAGTATTATAGCCAACACGCGAGCTCAGGTGGCCTAGATCGAGCGTCCGAGGACTTCACCCGGTTCATGAAGGTAGTCACGGGACAGGTAGACAATCTCAGCATCATCAAACGCAAGCCCCAATCCTTCTTCGTGTCGTTGACATTACCCAATCTACGAGAAGCCAGTGATATTCTACCAGATGTATGCGCCGGCTCCGATGCCGTAGAATTGCGAGTCGATTTGTTGAAGGATCCATCTTCGGATAGCGACATTCCTTCTGTCGACTACGTCGCAGATCAGATGTCTTTCCTCCGTAGCCGCATTACACTACCCTTGATCTTCACTATTCGGACCAAGAGCCAAGGTGGTCGTTTCCCTGATGATGCGCACGATGCGGCGATGGATCTGTATCGACTCGCCATCAGATCTGGCAGCGAATTTGTCGATCTGGAAATAGCTTTCCCCGATGAGATGCTCCGCGCTGTCACTGAGATGAAGGGATACTCGAAGATCATCGCCTCCCACCACGACCCAAAGGGCGAGCTCTCTTGGGCCAATATGTCTTGGATGAAGTTTTACAACAGAGCACTGGAGTACGGTGACGTGATCAAGCTTGTCGGGGTTGCAAACAGCATCGACGATAATACGGCACTCAGGAAATTCAAGAACTGGGCTGAAAGCGCCCACGACGTTCCGGTCATCGCGATAAATATGGGCGACAACGGGCAGCTTAGCCGTATTCTAAACGGCTTCATGACCCCAGTATCTCACCCCAGCCTCCCATTCAAGGCTGCTCCAGGTCAACTCTCTGCGGCCGAGATCCGCAGGGGATTGTCCTTGATGGGAGAGATCAAGAAGAAGAAGTTCGCGATCTTCGGGACACCGATTGCAGCATCCCGTTCTCCAGACCTGCACAACACGCTCTTCGATCAAATGGGCCTACCGCACGAGTACACCCGGTTGGAGACCAGCAACGCCGAAGATGCTAGGGGTTTCATACGCTCTCCTGAGTTCGGTGGTGCCTCAGTTACGATACCTTTGAAATTGGACATTATGCCCCTATTGGATGAAGTCGCGCAGGAGGCCGAAATCATTGGTGCTGTGAACACAATTGTCCCCATCACCGATGGCACAGACAAGCCGGCGCGGCTGGTTGGTTACAACACTGACTGGCAAGGAATGATCCTCTCCCTTCGCAACGCTGGTGTCCAGGGGACCAATGGTGACTCTAGCGCCATGGTTATTGGCGGTGGCGGAACCGCTCGAGCGGCAATCTTCGCTCTCCACAGTATGGGATACGCCCCGATCTACATCATCGGACGATCCCCCAGCAAGCTGCAGAGCGTGGTCTCGACATTCCCCACCGGCTACGATATTCGAATTGTGGAGGGTGATGAGAAGCTGGACAAAATCCCCAGTGTCGCCATTGGCACTATCCCCGCCGACAGACCGATCGATCCCGCCATGCGTGAGACTCTGTGTCATATGTTCGAACGTGCCGAGGAGGCTGACGCGGATATTGTGAAGACCGGGGAGAAGGCCCCGCGAGTACTTCTGGAGATGGCCTACAAGCCGGCGGTGACAGCATTGATGCAGCTTGCTTCTGATGCCGGATGGAAGACCATTCCCGGCTTGGAAGTCCTGGTTGGACAGGGATGGTACCAGGTAAGATCAAACAGGCCTCTTCTAGGGTCCTTCAAAGTAGGTACTGACTGGAGCTTTAGTTCAAACACTGGACGGGGATTTCCCCGCTCTACGAAGACGCCAGGACGGCCGTCATTGGCTCTGCGTGAAGGTGATCTCAGACTTGGATACTGTGCGACACTTATTTCAACAAAAGCGCCGACCGTTTAATTTTTAGTTTTGATACTAAAACATCGGCACATCATACTGGTCTTTTAAGCCTCACTCTTTCGGGTTAATTGAAATCTATCTACTTTTTGGTATTCAAAAATACGCGCTTAGCTCAAATATCCCGAGTAGCTTACATTCTCCTGTATGAATCATTGGGTCCGATCGACCGTGGATCATGGGCACATGACAGTTCTTGAGTGAATCATTCTGGGAATGCCAACCACCTCTAAGATGGAACGCCTTGAACCGGCCTATCCATCCAACCAGTTAGGAAGTAGATTTGTAATTACTTAACTAGAGTCATGTGAAACACAGACTGTACGAGTACTAGGAGGATATAATTGCGAATACTCTATCGCATAGCAAATCCATCATCTATAAATAGATGCTGTCGTAACGTGATGTTTCACCTGATCAGAGCATGTGACCATCCTCTCATTAGGATCCAGTATCGGCTCACTCCTTGAAATACAGAGGGAGACGGTTCCCAGTGGAGACGAGAGCTCCTACAGAGTACTGCGAGGTGAGTACTCTGAAGGTGAACAATTTGATGTGTAGTCCTGTCTGCATCTGACCCCAGTAGTTTTGGGGGTTGGTCTGGACTCCGACCGGCCGAGAAGTCCAGACCATCCCTACGAGGCTGTGCAGACGAACGAAGTCGTGCTGACACTGCAAGACTTTCGTTGGTCTTTATTCTTTCTTTTTTAGTTTACTATCTCTGCTTACCAGTACGATAATACATGAAAATTCTGATCCTCTGGCTGAGCCGATGAATGACAGATTCCCAGTAAGGTCAACTTGCGGTGTTCGTTGACTTTGACATTGTTGCTTGTTCGGCGCCCGCGGGAACGGGGCCGCTATAAGTCCGATAAATGATACTCATACTTGGCATGTCTAGCAGAGTACAGAGATTTCCATACGTTGGAGTATCTATACAGATGAACCAGGGTATGAGACGGTAGATACTATTATGTACAAATTAGCCAGACTCACATTCTATAATCTATACTACCCAGCTGAGAGACCCATAATGCACCATATTAGACCTGTCTTACTATTTAGACAGTTTAGGTGTGAACGATACGACACTGACCAGAGACAGACAACATAAGGACATCTAAGAGTCGACTGAGTCGTAAGCCGATCTACCGATAGGGTTAGACAAGAGGAATTTTTCCTACTAGTCCATGCCCTTGAAACCAGCCAATTGTGGCCGCCGGAAGCAACGCAACTAGGCTTAGCACGGTGTCGACAGGACTCTCGGTTCTGATAACCGTGGGTGTGCCGTGGTCCCGATCTTGATCGACCGGGCCGAATGAGGACGACCCAGCAGCGACAGGTCTGCGCGCAGGACATGACGGGATAGATATTTTGTTTTTTTTAATTTCCCTTTTTTCCGTCTTGTGGTTTTGATGGGTTTGGAGAGTATCTAAAAATCGTAATATGCTTTGTATGCGTACCATGTTTCACATGAGAGTTTACGACGGTCGGTATCTGTTTATTTTCCGACCGATAAAAGTAAAGTCCCGGTGTGCAGGAGTTGGGTATTCCGATAACCTAGGCAGTCAACAAAGCCAACTGAAGGGTCGCATTCAGACAGAGTTTTCACCTTACTCTCGTAGATGTATCCATATTCGATTAGCGGTTGACTAGACAGACAGCTACGTAGAGAGAGGCCTGGAGAGGCACTGGTCCAGAAGCCATGATCCAATGATCTACGCAATGGTTTTCGACAGGGGTGGATAAAAAAAATTTTTTTTAGTCCATAATAATGCATAGCGAATTCCCATACCAGAATAGCATTGTCAAAGCGACAAGGGATACGATGCATCCGAACAAATTTTTTTACAGGGATGATCACTGATGCCCAAATTTAGAAGGCTTCTAGAAAAACTCTACACGCGCAGAGGGGCCGAGGCCAAGGGCTTTGTCCGGGTACATGGGAATTAGTTGCATATTTTTCCTGCACTAGCAGAACTCGTACTGCATACCTCGTATTACGTGACAACCTAATTTAGATTGTCATCCCTACGGAGCCAGCACACTAGTAGTATGTCCGGGTTCCAGCAAAAAATGATAAAATGTAACGTTTCGTCATTCTGCATCTTCTCCCCGAAATTACCAAAAATACCACACCCTTGCTGAAGTACCAAATACCCCCATTTTTAGGTCTCTGCAAAAGTTGTGGCTGTGTTCGCACCGACAGCCACCAGACATCGATTCTCCAATCATGTCGTCTGATCCCTTCTCGCCCTACCAGTCTAACTTGATCGTATGAGACGCTAGAAGAAAAATTTTTCTTCCATGCATATGCCCATGTTCGGTCTGAGAACATGTGGCATGGCAGTTCGTGATCCCTGTGTGACCGGGTAAAGTGCGACCGGTTAAGGTGCTGACCGGTTGGGTTAGTAATCCCTGCTAACTGAATGCTCGAAATCACTATGTATATATGTAGTTTACAGTTGACCTCAAGAGTGTTCTTCCCCCTTCTTATGGATCTACGTAGTACTCGTATACTCTAAATACTGGATTAGGTTTTCGAACTTAATCTTGCGAGACTCGAGCAATTTTTGGAGGTGTAACTTAAATCCAGCAGGGAGAGAAAGTCATGATGCAGCTGAACCGTCATACGAAGACATCAACAGATGTAAATAGATAGATAAACCACACGTGGCACCGGAATAGCCAGGATCCAAGAAAAATAGTAAAAGCTGATCTTATTCTTGACCACGGAATATCCACCCATAGACCCGCCCCAGGTGGTCGGATCGAAGCTAGATCTGACCATAACCCCGGTTTCCCATGTCCCAATATCCTTCCCAGGAGCATGGCCCCCAATCGATGGGACACACGGGGACATGGTTCCGATGCGACCTTATCTCGGTTAATGGTCCAACGGTCGGACATGACATGCTCCGATTGAATGCATCATTTACGGGAAGAAAATCAAGGAGTATGTATGTAGTGGTACTTGCCACCAGGTTCAGCTGTTGTCTTGCAAATGAAGCGCGGTGGGGCCGGGCTGAGAAAGGGTTCTGCATCTGGACATTGGCTGTGGTTTGATAGACTTGATGCTTTAGCGGTTGGAGTGGAGTATTAAATGTAGTGTAGCTGGGTCTACCTGTATCTTGCACTGTCTCATCTGCCCTTCTACCCTGCATGAGTCGGAAGCAGTGGCCATTTGTATGTCATCTCGGCTTGACAGGAATTCTGTTGACTACGTTGACAAGCTACCCAAGCCAGCTGAGTCTGTATTTGCATGTGAAGATGCTTCGGCCAGACATGGCATATTCATCAATAGGGAAAAACCTCCGAGGTTGAGCCCCTAGACCCTAGAAGAAACGAATCCTCCTACCGTCACAACCAGGCTATTCAAACCGCATGACTCAAAAGCAAATCCCGTCAGATGCTACCATACCATGCGATGACTGAGTCGGCTGTACTCGGCAATCACAGCATTAGGTACCTAAGGGAGGGGTCGATATCCATGCAGTGCCAAGTCCATACTAGAGTCATATCATGACAGAGGTTAGGTATCAGCTGATCTGATTCCCTGGTCATAGCCAGGGATAAGAGGACTCATTTCGACAGAGCGAGGGTAGAGATGTCAGCATCGATGTCTCCAACATTGGCCGAAAATGTTGAGAACTTACTTCAACCTCCTCTGTTCGGGTCTCTTATGCCGCAAATCAGACGACTAGGGCTAGCTGCTGCGCAGCCGGGGAACACTGGGCGCTGGCTCACACTATCCCCGAACCAACCCCGAAGCAACACGATATCTCCTACCCACTGAGCGAAAAGCCAGAAAATGTGATGAAAGTGATGGAATGTCGTAGCACATACCAGAAAAGTTTCTTTCTCTTATTTTTTTTTGGATCGGCAACGGTACCTCCGATGTGATGTTATTGTCACCATGAATCACAGATGACAAATAGTTCACGAACCATTATGATTAAGTTATGCAATGATTGACCACTAGCCACAGATAACTGTGGCGCAGTCTGTGGCTGATGGGGGATCTAGCGAATGATCTACCCGCGTCCAGCTGGAAAAGACCAACCAAAAATAAAACAAGGATGAAATCCTTTCCTTTTTGCTTCAGTTCTGCAGAAAAAGATCATCGACAAAAGCAAAACAAAAAAATTATATATCCACAATAGATTACAGCCCAGCCAATAATTACACAACCCTACCATGCTATGATATGCCCGTCGAACATGTCATCTGCAAGGGTCTCAGAATGTTGTGGCCCGATCAAAAAGAAACACGAGATCCCGATCTCTCCTCGGGTGGCTTAGCTCCCTTCATTCTTCGGCATCTCATTGGTTGCCCTAGAACCAAAGAAAATGGTTTTGGTTCGGCAGTGCTTCGGACAAGGGGTATTGGTAATAGTTAATCATAAAGTAGTAAGAAATAATGGTAAGAAAATAATTATGATAATTATTTCTATGATTATAATAAGTATGATACTAATTAGTCACAATTAATAATAAGATCTCGGACATCCGGCAAAATAGACTTAGTTGTGGCTGACTTAGCGAAGAACAATGGAGAAGACACAGGAAAGGGTCGGAGTAAGGAGATAACAGTGAAAGGCACTAAGGCAGCCTAATCCTCGAGGGATACAAGCCACCATTCCATAATGCGTTGGCCAAGTCCAAGGAAGAATAGGATACCTGTCTCTCTGCTGAATGGGCAGGACAGACCCACCATCGGACCCCAGACTGCGCACATCTCTTAATACATACCGTAATACCCGTACGGTTTGAGTCATGGATCGTCCGGGTCCGTATTTTTGTCCCGGTAACACCGTCCATACATGCACAGCGCACTTACTCTATTGAGCGAACCCAACGTCATAAAACCCCAGACGGAACCCACTCCTCGACTCACTTACTTCCTACCAGAGACCAAAAACACTCTTCGTTTATATCTATTTATTTATTATTCCCGAATCCCTTCGCCATTGATTTTTACTCATCTTCAGATCATCGAATTATTTATTCCTGATTATCAATCCTTTCCCTCCACCCAACGCCTACCTATAACTATAGTAAGTTACCAGTTCCGGCCCACCCGCATACTACACCATCAGCTACAAGTTTCCTTGGACCATCGTCCTGGACACCCAAGCCTTCCTTAATTACTGGTTCGACTTTCGTCATTGGATAAAATTCCAACTAATCAGAAAATCCGATAAGGTTTTAGGACGCTCACCCTTCCCACGGATACAGATCAACTGAGCCCCCCCGACCACCTGTCCCTATTGGCCTCCATCCGCCGGTACTTCCAGAGACTTCGATTTTAACTGCATCAATCTCTTCTTTTAACTCCGAGCCAAACCCTCTTCCCAATCATCTGCTCGCACCCTTCCCCAAGGCCGACGGGCCAGTCGACTACTATTTAAACTCCGGGCTCCCCAGTGGCAAACCTTCTGGGCCACTGACGACCAATCGTGATTATGTACATGCAGCCCGCTGTACGTAAAGGCCTCATCATTGAACCGGCATCGGCGCCATTTGTCAACTATCAGGATCCCATTTGCGTACAAGACGATCTGGTCTTCCCGGATTTCTCCCAAGAGGCTTCGCTGCAGTGCATTGACCAGCAGCAGCCACGACTACAATCCCCTTTTCAGTACCATCCGCACTTCCAGTTTGTCTCTCCGCCATCTTCCGCGCCTTCGTCGCCGTCTTCGTCACCGGCCTCTTCCATCTCCCACCTTCCCGTCTCCACGGCCATTGCCGCGGACTACCCTTCTGCCGTCTTCGACGGCAACTCTCTCGAAGCTCCTTCGATGACACCTGCATCTTCTTACAACCCTTCATATCACTTCCAACCCTCAGCTTCACCACCAGTGTCTCAACCTTATTTACACCAATATCCACATCAGTATCTCTTCAACAGCAGTCCAATGTTAACACAGCAACCTGTCGCGAACAACCCCGCTTGGGAAGGAAACCTGCTATTAAACCCAGCTCGCATTCCGAACAACGTCTCCCGCACAGCACAGTACCCCCAGAATTCGCACCCGAAAACGTCATCCAGCTCATCTTCAAGCAGATCAGCGCCGGCGGGCAGCTCATACCAAAGGAGCTCTAACGGTGTCCCTGTGTCGAAGCCTCTACCCACCCCTGTTCAGACCCCCGTACAGAACTCCTTCTTGAGTACCACTTTCCAGAACTACGATCCATCGTCGCATGATGGTAGTCATCCTGAAGCAGAGATTTCTATGAGACGGGCTATAGTGGAGCAGCAACAGAAGCAACACCAACAGCAACCGTCAAGCGACTACTCTCTGCCAGCTTCGGTATCTAGCGTGAGCCACAACTCACCGGTCACTCCACAGACGAACATCGAAGAACTCGACGACGCGTCGAAGTCGATGGTCCATGGTGAGAAATATCCTGTGATAGAAACGTGGATGGATGACTACTTACACCTCGATTTCCTTCCAGACTACAGTGTCAACAACGGAAACAACATGTCGGTTGGAATCCCCAAGCTCAATCGCACCATCTCGGACATTTATCAAGACGAGCTCTATAACCCCATGATGCCCATGCCACAGGTTTCTAAGCCAACTACGAACAACCAGCAGAACCTCTTGACTCCCTACCGAAATGTCTTTGCGGATCGGCTCCAAGCTGCCAACCAAGGTCATATGTCTGCACGCTCCCAATCGCCCACGTCAGGCATCAACCGGGGGCGTTCTCCCTTCCGGCAGAACTCTCCTTTGGCTGCTGAATATAACAACGCCGCCCTCCAACAGCCCCAGATGGCGACTAGCATTCCTGTGTCCCACAGCGCAGTCAATGCTGGCCAGTCGCAAGGAGGCCAGGGGGAGTCAAACACGATGTCGCCCAAGGATGCATTGTTGGATTTCCACGAAGGCGAGGAAAACGACCTGTCGCTGTTCCAACCCAATCAGTCCGACTTCAACCTTAGTGAGGCGCTGGGACTACGCCGCGATAGCTCTTCGTCGTTCCCACAAGCGCAGAACTTTACGTCGATGGAATCGTTTCCCAGCCAGTATACTACGCAAGGTGGAATGAACCAGCAATATCCATTTACCCAGCAGCAACAAGACCGTCAGCAGCCACCCCAGCAAAACGACCTCCTGCACCAGACCCCCGAGTTCCCTGCGTCTCTCCCGAACTTCGACTCGACCGGGAGTGATGTGCTTCCCAGCACCGAAATTCCCTCCCCACAGGCTCAGTCGAAGGTATCGATTCACCCTGTCACTGAGCGGATTACTCGGCCGGAAAATACTTCCGCCGATAGTGGAACCTACACCTGCACCTATCACGGCTGCACTTTACGTTTCGAGACGCCGGCTAAGCTCCAGAAGCACAAGCGCGAGGCCCACCGCCAGACGACTCCAGGAGGTCACCTTGTCGGTCGTGATACTTCGTCTCGCAACTCGCAGGCAGGCCCCCACAAATGTGAGCGGATTAATCCGTCCACAGGGAAGCCGTGCAATTCGATTTTCTCCCGGCCTTACGATCTCACACGGCACGAAGACACGATCCACAATGCGCGCAAGCAAAAGGTTCGCTGTCACCTGTGCACGGAAGAGAAAACATTCTCACGCAATGATGCGCTCACCCGGCATATGCGTGTGGTGCATCCGGAAGTCGATTGGCCAGGCAAGCAGAGACGGAAGGGCAGGGACTAAAGCCGCAGAAGAGGGAAACTGAAGAGGGGGATGTATGACCCTCTCCCCATCGAGTATGGGTGACAACATCCAATCGCGAAGCGGCGAATGAGATGACCTGTTGAATACGACTTTTCAACAATGCGACAACGCTGTTTCCACCCACTCAATGTTTTCATGACTTGGGATGACGACGGAAAATGTCTGACGTCATGGACTAATCCCAAAAGGGAAAGGACTCGATGACCCTTCCGGATCGTCAGTCATACTTTCCGTTTATGACCTATGGCTTGCTTTCCTTGCAGCCTAAATCAGCAGTGATGACATCATAAGAATACGGACGAGGATATGACGTATCCCCGCAACCTTCACTGATCGATCTCATCAGTTTTGGTTTTATTTTTTTATTATGACGCACATGTTCTCTTATTCCTTTATGCCTTTTTTTATCATTTGTTGGCATGGGTGTTTATGAATTCAGACTGCAGGTTCTTCTTTTTGATTTCGTGGCATTACGGGGGTTATAGATTTCCTAACTTTGGTTAATATTTTGGGTGGTTTACAATGTTCGCATCAAAAGAAGCAAATTCTGTCCATATGGGGTTTTTTCGAGCCGAGATTGCCATTTTTTGCTAATTTTTATTACCTGGATGGATCTTCAAGCATGCCGCGTTATGAATCTTCCTGTTACGATGTACTATATTTACTTCTGTACGATTCTATGTTATGATGTCCAGCATGTTTTTGGCTTGCTTTGCTCTCATTTTGATCTGCATTGGTTTCAGCTTGGGTCTGGTGGGATGATGTACAAATTGTCTACTAGGAAACTGGTTTGTATAGTATTATGAAATTGTACATTAGCTAGTACTTAATGCGACAGCACTGTCTGATTTGAGCTTCCTTCGCCTTACATACTAAAGACATAGGAGATACCAAAGCAACCCAAGATCAAGCATCGAATATATTACTACTAGCAAAATATCGGCCGTGTCCATAATGATTGACTTGTGCGTATGTTGAAGTTCTGCAGACTACTTGGGATCTCATTCGCCAATTGATTGATCTCCCCCACAATATTAGCTGCAGGCCGATCAAGCCATTAATTATTGTCCTACAATGTGTGTACTCCGTAGGGAGGGGATCCATGTTCCAGTACTCCGTAGGAGGTGGAGTTCGGTGGGTAAGTTGTCTACAGAGTGCGGATTACAGGACTTGAATTAGGATATCCGTCGGTATCGACCTGTACGGAGGAGTATTCCGAGTATTCCATGTTTACCTACGCTGTATTTAGTATTTCTTCCGTATTGTTGATAGTGTGGCTGGCCGTTGGTATTATTTTGAGAATCAAATATGAGGTTAGATTTTGAAATCGCATATATTTCACACTTAAATACGTGAAACTACCTAGGTAGTTAGAAAGATTGGAAAGTCGAGTCCAAAAATAGGCGGTACATAGCTACAATAAGTAGGCCGTATCTATAGGTAAGTTTTATCGGTATGTTTGTATGGGGTATGGATAGCCGTTTTCGAACGTAAATTATTACATGCAAGGAAGATCATGATGCCATTGTGCATACTCGAACGAGGCTTGTCAGTTATTTCCATGATTTTAGCTGTCGTTCTACTCCTCCGTCTGGACGAGTACGGAGTACGGAGTATGGAGTACAGAGTAGTATACTTGTAGCTACTCACACCTATCTATCTTCTATCCACTATCGACTTTCCACCATCCACTGGTAGCTACGAAGTAGCCCGAGTCCGTTCGCCTAATTATGTATTACTAGGAAGAAATTGCAGTATTTCTATCGCTGGTATTCATATATACCTGTCTATCTACATAACTGAGTCGCTCTCGAATCTAAGTAGGTAGATGGATACGTTAGTGTAAGAAACCGTTGAGACAGTCCCAAACAGTTTAGATCTTGGATCCATGGTTCGGGTCGTTTGACATCTGCGGCATGTGAGGATTTTCCGGTTTTAATCCTGTCTGTCTCACTGTGCTGCATTTACGGAGTGTTCCGCACTTTACTTCCAAGATGGGTCCAACTAACTAGTTAGTAGGGGATCAGCTCATTTAGGGATGGACTAACGAGCTTAGGTGGCTGTTTGCTTACACAGTATGAAATACCCGATGTATGTCCTACGCTGTACGGAGTACGGAGTACCTCTAACTATACAGAGTACACACTGTACATACCTACTCTGGGCTGTACGCACTATGAGACAGTGGACTCGTGGAGTCGAGTCGAGTCAAATCCCCAGAGTCGTATCCATCTTAATTATGGAGTATACTCCGTACACTCACAAGTACGGAGTAGAGAGGAAGTATTGGACACGGTGGCATCTACCTACGTCCTTAGTACTCTAGGAGTAGGACCTAGGTATTATTCCCCCACGCTGCCTATCAGAAACCGTTGGATTCACTTTTGTGTCTTGGTGTCTTGGACTTATTAGTTCCCGAGTCTAGTAGGAGTACGAAAATATAGGTACGAAGTATGTACTCCATTTGTGGCTTGAATGAAATTGTTGTCACTTCTCAGGGGCTGATTGTGCCTACCCATACCAGGCGGCAGGTTTTCATCATACGCAAGAGGTAAACTACGTATGTAAATAGGTTAGTCAATTCTAAGGTAGCATTCGAATTATCTAAAGATACTACCTACACAATCAGTCCTCGCGACTGGTCGCCGGGAGCTCCCGCCCCGGGTCCCCGTCCATCTCATGCACCCCTAGGTCATCCTGCAGCTGCGCGGGTGGCATGGTTTGTCCATCTTTCCCCGGTAACTCGGCCCTGCCGTACCGGTTCCGCCAGACGGCGCCCATCGACATGTCCGGGCTTCCTGTCCCCGCCATCGCTCCTCGCTGGGCTACTTGTTTCTTTTTCCGGAGAAGGATGAAGAAGACCAGTGCGAATATCGCAGCGGCGCCTGCGACGGAGCCGACAACTGCGCCGGCGATGGCACCCCCGCTGATGCTATTGTCCTTAGACTCCCAGGCGTCGGTGGGGGATTTCATGGGCTGATGGAAGATATTGGCGATTTGGGGGGTGTTGAATCCGTGTTCGGGGGTGTTCATGTTGGCATTTCCGTCCGCACTTGTTAAAGTGTTAGTCTATGGGTCTAGTAAATAACCCAGTGTCAAAGATTGGTGTCGTCACAATGGTGATGGGTGTGATATGAATGAGGATCCACTTACTCTCCTCCAATGACCTTATACACTGTATCCGGAACTTGGTAGGCAGGTGCATAGGCATTATACACACTGCCCCATTTCGACGAACCCGATGTGGACATGTCGAAGATTGCAACACCCTTTTCCTCCCAGTCACAGTACGACGCAAGGTCGCTGCTGGTGGTACCCCCGACTGTAAGCATCTGTCGGTTGGCAACTAAGTGACAGGTGTGTCCGTATCGAGGTGAGGTGCCCTGGTAGATTTTTGTCCATGTGAATGAGGGTATAGACAACACGTATATATCATCGTATGCCTCATTGGCGCCTTTGCCGCCATACATGTAAATATTATGACTCGAGTTATCCTTCGCCGACGCCGAAACTAAGCAGAAATCCGTCCGTCCACTAGGTATGTCTCCCGAGGCTTTCTGTGCATACCACGTCCCGTTCGAGTTGTCATTTGCGAGGGAAGATACATCGAGAAAATCGATTTGGTCAAAGGTCACCTGAAATAACGCGGAAAGTTAGTCTTCAGCTATCGTCCAAGTCAATTTCGACGGCTTTGCGGTCCCGATGGTATCAACATACATAAGTTCCGTCGTTCGAATCGCTGCTATCACTGGAGGGCTTTGTGACTCCTCCAACAGCCACCAGCACTCCACTAGATCCAACATTCGAAAGATATGTCATACCACCCTTGACCCGAGGCGAGTCTCTCAATGAGTCAGTTGACACATTTGTAGCTGATTTTGATTTCATATCGATGACAATCAGCCCATCGAGGTAGCGTTCAAAGTTATCAATTTTTGCCAGTCTGTTGCTTGTCCCGTTGTTGATGAGCCCATTGAGGTAGAATGCGAGTCCCTGGTCCGGTGCTTCAGCGTAAGCCCCTCCTGCCGGTCGATATTGCACACTCAGTGTCACATCATATTGATCCCACTTGGTGTCAGGCACACTGTAGGACCATAATGCATACTGCGGTGAGGCCGGCGGCTGGAATCCCGGGAAACTTGTGTTCAGGAAGGATGTGGTTCCACCGTAGAGGTAAATGTTCGGATCACTGGCCGGTCCTGAAAACAATGCGCCACGAACAACCAACGGCGGCTCCGTGCCTGTCTGGGGGTTTGTTGTCTTGTTCACAGTAGTAATAGAGATATTAAGCTTCCAGTCCCAGGATGTTCGCATGTCAACTTCGATCAGTTCCGTATCTATGTCTGGTCAGCGTCTTTGTGCAATGCAAAACCACTCAGGACCACGTACTATAGCCGAGAATTCGTGATTTTTGATGTCTTGAGAAAGTTTCGACCCCTCCATCGATATACAATGTTCCATTTTTGACGACAGCTATCCATGATCAAAACTGTTCATTTTGTCCATTTGTGAAGATGTCGCTGCTACTCACATTGATGGTTCAGCCTCATGCAAAAGTCATCAATGATGTCAATTCCAGGAGCAGAGGCTCCCAGCGCGACCGACACCATGATTGAGCCTGCTGTGACTAGCGAAACAAGCATCTTGCAGATGTCCGAGGGATCTGGGGTCACGAAATGCAGAAGATATCAGGGGGAAATAAAACAAACAGGGAAAGGGGGTCCGCAGGTTAAGAACATGTTTGTTCGACGCGCAGTTGGACTCTGCCGTGCTTTGCTGCAGGTCGCTAGGGTCCTACACGGGGACAAAACATAGAGGAAAGAAAACATTAAGGGTGAGACAGCCGATAGTGCAGGATGATGCAGATCCCATTCAAAGTGTGCTTTTGTTTGACACGCCCCTCTCCCACCGTGTCTGCCCACGCTCCATAGCTGGCCCTTGACGGAGGACGAACGCTATCTCGCTGAAATACGAACTATGGTTGGAGAATCATCCTGTGGACATTTCGCTATCCGCCTTGTGCGCATTAAGTAGTGTATCAATCAGGCTAGGGAAGTTGACGATCCACACCAGATATAGTAGCTGAGCATCAGATTCCCTGCACTGGAACTCCTCCACTCTCCCATACAGTATTCGGTTTGTGTCACTGTGACTGGGATGGCTCGGTGCGTATGACAACTGTAGCAATGATAGTCAGAGGCTGGGATGCTTGATTGGCGAAATCGGGATGCACTAAGGCAGCGCTGATTTGGGGCCAAAAAAAAAAAAAAAAAAAAACATCTGAATTCAGCTTGAGTGGCATGGCCCGGCATGATCGAACCGCAAGGATCAATAAGGGAACGATATACTTTCATTCCTGCCGAGAAGGAGGTATAATATGAGCGCTTGTATTCTGAGGAAACACACTTGTGTAGTTAGGGGCATACCGACCGCGTTTTAAGTCGTTGAAATGGCACAAATTATTAGGACAGACATGCGGAATATGGGTTGGCTCGTCTTGCATGCAAGCCATAAACTTAGTGCTGAGTACAAAATGAGTCGGCTATTCCAGCACAGGTTAAAATCCTGGCTGTCGTCAAGGACTTGGCTTTGGACGCGGCTACCCATTTCTATAAAGCCTATGGTCACCCCTTGCAAGTATCATCACGGCTATAGAAAGCGTGCTTTTGCAGATTCTGATGCTAGGTCCGTGGAATCGGGTTGGGTGTGCAAATTCGAGGCCAAAAATAGTAGTATAACGTAATCCATGGAAGCAGTAGTTAGTTAGTTAGCTGAAGATGTCTGTTGCAACTTGTAGGGAACCCATCATCAGTGCTGCGACTACCAATCAAAGGCGAAACTCATGGCCCCTTGAGGGCCCGTATTGCGGCCAATCAGGATCTTGGTGTCATGTATGAAAGACTGCGAAGGGAAGGTCGCGTAGAAATTAGAAAGTAGTCAAGAGAATGTGTAAGTAGGTGTGGACATCAGCTCTCTTCTTGGATGACATAGGTCGGGTTTGGCCTCTTATTAAGGAGAGAACAATCAGCTGGGCAGGAGTGTCGGGGCTATGATGCTAAACAATGCAATGGAAAGAGGAGAAGAGGCTCAAACCCGTCTTCCTTTCCCTTCTGTTCAGTATCATTGTTCATGGTCTTTTCTACTCCGTATATGGTTTCTGGTTCTTCAAGTGCCTGCCGATTCCCCACGGATCCATCTGGTATCACTCCACGGATACCTTACCCTTTCGGCAATGAATGGATTTTGATGCTCCGGTTGCAATTATTGTCTTTATAGTTATTCATTTTGCAGGAAGGCCGCCCTTGATCAGCCTTGTCGCGTGTCATATTTCCAGCGTTTTACTATATTCGCGTGCAGCAAACATGGCGAGTACTTCGACTCCGCCTGCAAGCATACCCATTACACAAGGACACGCACTTCTGATGACATTGAATCATTCCTTTACTCGGTATATGATAGGTACTGCTTTTACTTTTCGCGTGGGGAGTCCAGAGGTGTTTTGGTCAATTTTTCCCGATCGGTAATGGATTAATGACGGGTTAGGTGAGGATTCAAGGCCGTCCGGATTGGCCGCTAAACCAGCGACTGTCAGGGTTCAACTTGTGCCCTTGCAGGAGGACAGGTGAGCTGACCTCAGTACATATAAAAACATAACGCAACCCCTACGTGTCCCCAGATAATAACCTGGGCAGGGAAAAAAAACTATATGTACTCCAATCTACAGTCATGTCGCGCGTCCTAATGCCTAACTTTGCCCTATAATACTGGAGATAATATGACATTTCCAACGGGTCTTTTGTAGTGTGGTAAATACAATACAGAGTACCTGGATCAGGTAAGCGCACCTGTATCGCTGAAGTTGAACCCCTGGGTAGGCTGAACCCCCAGCTAAGTTGAACGTTCCCTTTTGGGCTGAATGGCGTGTATGAGCAGTAAATACTTGAGTCTCAGTGAAAATACAAGGACCCGCATAATGGCGTAATGACTCCGTCTTTGATATAGATAGATAATGTATGGACATTTACTCTGTAGGAGATTATCAGTTGGTGTGTAAGGATTACGTGACTTCCGGTTCTCACATACTTGCCTTGAAGTATTATACGCAGTAGGAGACAACATAGCAACAAATGCTCCGTTCTGTGTCCTTTCTATGTAATTTCTGTGGAGTATTCGATGTATTCTTTGGTCTAATCTTGTTCAGCCTTCCCAGCTACTCGGTTATGTTTTTTCGATGTTGTTCTTCTTCATCTCCAGTGATGTAACTAAGTGGTCCGGGTTATTATATATATTCATTCCCTATGTCATGACTACACTACCATCTACCCACATACAAGGAAGCACACCAACAACATACTGCGAAATGGACTGCATCACTAGCAAGCAATTCAGATACACCTAGACGTAGTCATATAGTACTCTATCTTCTCGCACGGCTTTACATGGTTACTCAAAGCACATGGTATAGAGTGGATATCGGTATATCTGTCACCAAAACCACGCCTATCGTCTAGTTCCACGTACGCGCGCTACACGTCCACCATCGCGCGTGCTTCAATCAACCCCACACACCGAGAGCAATATAATAAAATGCATCGCTTGGGTATAAATCGAAGAATATCTCCCAAGTCCACCATCATAAACAGACCGACATGTATCCACGTAGACACCAAAGCAATTGAACTAGAGATACCTCGATACGCAACTTCCATTACTGACACGATTTTTATAAGCGTTCGTATTCATACCCGATCGCGCAATTAAAAGACACGATACTTTCAGGGCGTGGCACCAGCCAGAAGCATAAAGGCCGCTATGATACAGAAATCAAACCACGAACACTAGCAGACCCGTAGTGGACGCGTAATAGTAAAATAAAATACGTTAAAAGCAAACCCAGAGACCCATGACACTTGTAATGAAAAGATCAAGAACACCCCAACGTCCCATTCATACCATGAACCAATCCGAAAAAGCAACCCGTCGCGTCACTGCTGCGGAGGGACATTTGACGCGCCGACCGCGCAGGATGGCTAGAAGGAAAAGCAGAAAAAAGAAAGCATTTAACCACCGAAACCGTACAGAGTACCTATCAGAGTTGTTAGAAACATGTCACAGGACAAGCGAAGTCGTAGCATGGAACACTTACGGCCTTGTCTCTTGAGAGCGTAGACGACGTCGAGGGAAGTGACTGTCTTTCTCTTGGCGTGCTCAGTGTAGGTAACGGCATCACGGATGACACCCTCGAGGAAGGTCTTCAGGACACCACGGGTCTCCTCGTAGATCATGGCAGAGATACGCTTGACACCACCACGACGCGCGAGACGGCGGATAGCGGGCTTGGTGATACCCTGGATGTTGTCACGCAAAATCTTGCGGTGGCGCTTGGCACCGCCCTTTCCGAGACCCTTGCCACCTTTTCCACCTATATACATGAACGCGTCAGTGATTGTTGACCAGATAAACCACCGCGCCTGCCCCTTTAGGGCAGGAAGGAGTTGACTTACGTCCAGTCATATTGACTGTTGTTAATTAAAGATTGTGAAGTTAAAGGGAGATTTAAGGTTGTTTTGGGGGGTGGAGTAATTAGTCGTTATTGGATGAGAGATTGGATAGATGGAAAGGGAAAGATGGGAAGAGCTCCCATGGGACGGGCGATATTTGTATACAGAAGAGAAGAGCGTGGGGAGACTGTTGAGAATCACACTCGGGTGGGCAGATCAGCCAATCAGAGCACAGGATCTAGAGAGCGGGAGTGATCTGCTAGTAACGTGACCTAGAGGCAATGATCCGCTGGTGCAGGCTTGATCTTCGTGGAATAGCACCCAACCACGAAAATCCCCCCTTGAACAATGTCAAGTACGTTCCTGGGAATGCATACAATTGCTCTGATCTGCCGGATTGAAGTTCATTCCTCACCTGGGGTTGGGATCAAGAAGTGGCAGGGTGGCATTCTAGATTCGTGATCCTGCGTTCCCATTGGCTGATGTGGGATGTCTCGCTTAGCGCAGCGCTCGGACCAACAAAAGCAGCCAAGTTTGATTTTCCCAGCAAAAATGAGCCCCCGAAATCAGCGGTTATGGTGTGCTGCTTTCCGAGCACTTTTTTGATCAAATGGAAATGGCGCTAAGGCCACCCAGCTTGCTGGCAACCGCACCCAGATCAACCACCCGCCCTCTCGCTTAGTACAAATACCTTCCCCCACCCACCTCCTCCATCCTTCTTTCATCTCCTCATCCGCCGCCCACTTCATCAACACCCTCATCAAACTTTTATCATCAACGTCATTTTTCTATCTCAAACTCGACTAATTCCATCAATTTACATCTACTAAAATGGCTAGAACCAAGCAGACTGCCCGTAAGTCTTAACCTCATTGTACTTCCTCTAGTGTCGCTGGCTCGCCATGGTTGCTACCCCTGGCGGGTACCCTATGCTTGTATCAACATCCACTGACCTTCACTCAATAGGTAAGTCCACTGGTGGCAAGGCTCCCCGTAAGCAGCTCGCCTCCAAGGCTGCCCGTAAGGCTGCCCCCTCCACCGGAGGTGTCAAGAAGCCTCACCGTTACAAGCCCGGTAAGTCATTAACCTCTAGTGGCAAATTGCCGCGATGCATAAACTAACGGATCGGCAAAGGTACCGTCGCCCTGCGTGAAATTCGTCGCTACCAGAAGTCCACTGAGCTCTTGATCCGCAAGCTCCCCTTCCAGCGTCTGGTCCGTGAAATTGCCCAGGACTTCAAGTCGGATCTTCGCTTCCAGTCCTCCGCCATCGGTGCTCTCCAGGAGTCCGTCGAGGCCTACCTTGTCTCCCTCTTCGAAGACACCAACCTGTGCGCCATCCACGCCAAGCGTGTCACCATCCAATCCAAGGACATCCAGCTTGCCCGTCGTCTCCGTGGCGAGCGCTCTTAGATAATTTTTCTAATGAGTCGATTCTGTTACTGGTTGGCTCCTGGGATGGCGATAATGGGGTTCTTTTTTCTGTTTCTTTCATGACTACTGGCGATACATGACGGGTTTTTCGAATATCAATGGGTTTCCGGCTATGGGTTTTCAGTTTTTCTTGCTGCACAATAAATAGTAGGCTGCCTAGTTAGCGGCTGGGTGGATTGGGTTTCAAGGATGCATCCGAACATGTACATTACCGAGATTTTACTCAAGTGGTCTCCCTATGGAGTCGCCACCGGATGGCATTGACATGAAATGCAGTATCTATGACAAGTATCCAAACCCAGTATTTCCAGCTTCCCCGTGAAATCTCCAAGTAGAGAAGTCTGTCCTTTTAGTCTACTGCAGTTCAGCGGTCGCATGTTTCATTTTATGGCTTGTATGGACTCGCTGAATAGTAGTATTAGACCGGGTGTCCTCATGCGTCTTTCACAAGCGTCTTCAACTGCGTCCATCTAGTTTATAGCAAATAGGACGTAGATTTCAGTGGTGTCATACGGATGACGCGCACTGCGGTTACCGAGAAATGGACATGTGGCCTAAACCTAACCAGGCCTAAACCTAGCCAACATGCATGTACACTGTGGTTGTCATGCTGCATCGGCCTTATCTGAGTTCATGCAGAATTGAAAATCTGCCAGCGACAGTAGATGATGAAATCAGGGTTCTCCTGATACGAGGCTATATGTAACCCCTCTTTAGTTACCGTAGGGCATTGGCTAAGAATCTCATCCGTCTGAACCTAACCTGGCCAAAATCATCCATTTCAAACATAATAAAAGAGGGGAAAAAAAAAAAAAAAAAAAAAAAAATCTCGGACAAGTCCGATTACTATCTACTGAATCAATAATCCTATTCTACTAAATACAAATTGTCTCACAGTCGAAAGGATCACCGGCATTCCGAGTTAGCTAAACACTTGCAATATTTTTTTCTGTCTCGGTCACCGGAGAGAGGAAACCTTACAGTCAGGAAGGGGATGTTTCCTACTGTTGCTTAGCGTGCTCCGTAGGGTGGGATTAAATACTGTATCTTGTTTTAATTTTTATTTTTAAGAAGGGGTTCAAATTAAGGAGACTAGAGTGAGGATTAGTCATGGGTTTTGAAATTTAGATTAGTTAGTTGAGTTAGACGAAGGGGTTTGTAAGATGTTTGGATTTTTACCTCGGTTGGTTGGAGTGATTACTGATCTATTAATTGGGATGGATAAAGTGTATGAAATAATAAAAATTGAGAAATGCGAATTTGAGGACTGTGATAGGGGAAACTGGTATTGTTTAATAATTAGAATTTGGTTTTATTTTGTAGTTGTTGATATATCTGGTGATCGCCATTGGAGCGAAATATATCTTTGACTTAAATTGATGACGATTTTAACTACTGTAGTGAATCTATAGACTACAACTATGGAGGAGAGTTGGAATTGTATATAAGATTTAGATACTATATCAAGAATTGGCCATGTTAATTCGCAGTTAGAGTGCTGGCATTGCATTATAGTCTGGAATACCACTATATAGCCACATCGAGATGCAGGTTAGTTACAAGCCTTGCCTACAGTATAAGTAGGACCTGTAAGTTTCGGTGATATTGGGTGAATGAGTAAAATCATGCGAAAAATATGGAGTATTGATTAATGATACTTGTTTTTGATTATTTAGTCGCTCATACAAACTCTGATCTAATCTGAACATGAGTCACGCAGTATCTAAGCACACCCGGTGGTCATAGCGGACTCCGATAGATCGGGTTTCTGGTGATACTGGTCAACCGGGAAGGATTGGGTGACATGGCATAAAGGCGATGATATCATAAATAGCTACACATAATAATTACCAAGCCATGAATGATCAATAGATGTGCCAGTATTTGTTCAAGCATCAGTCGGATCACCCTAGCGCTTGGCGGCAGTTGGTGGCGCAGAATACCTGGTGACTTCTGCATGCGGAGGAGCCTCACTTGAGAGAAGACTGGGGACAATAATGCCAATGTGTCTTGCCATCTTTTTACAAGTGCGGAATAACCTGATGTAGTCCAGAGTCATTCGTCACATCGATGTAACAGCCTTATAACGCCCGGAGATAACAAAGCATCGAATGTGGATCGAGGGAGATGCCGTCCCAGCCGGATGCGAGGATGACTAACCAGATCTAGACATTGCTTGCATCATTGAAGACAAATCTTCAGCCACCAGTACATTAAAGACTTCCGATTACAAACCTATCTCCAAAGCTCATAAAAATTTCTCCTGATTGGAACATTTTTGGATGAGCCAAATAATCTTGACTACCGAGCCAATCTCCTCTGATCTTTAATTCTCTTGAATTGATGGACAAGCCCACATCCCATGGGCCCGTCGACAAATTAGACAAATCAAAAACCGCGAATGGTTGCCACGAGGCAGGCAGTCTTGCCATGGAACCCCGTTCTTGAATACCCACATCGGCTGAGCCCGATAAGTCTCGACGCCGAGGAGGAGGCTTAATGCTGTGCATAAACCTGGAGTAATGCTTGGATATTGGCATATGGACCCCCTTGCCTACCCAGTTGGGTAGATGGCCCCTCCTCCTGATTGCTCTAGTTCTGGAACCGGCATGGATCCGAGGCGCAGTGCTTTAGAAATGTTATGGAAGTAGCCACGGTTAAAAAAATAAGATAAAAAAATCGACGTATTAATGAAAATATAAATAATAAAAGAAAAATCTCCCCTCGAGGTTGTTCCCTCTTGTAGTCATTATCGATCAAACCTTCTGATATCAATATACAGCACGCCTGCTGCTTTCGGCAACCACGAACTGACGAATCTTTATATAGTCCGATTTTGACATAGCACCTGTTTGATTCTATCAGTCACTACTACCACCGTTTTAAATCCGATCAATATCTAATCTACCCACGCGCCAATTTCCTTATATACATTCTTGTCGAAGCTTTCTATCGGCCGTCACGACATCTGATCGCTGGCCATGGCCGAGAAAGAGGACTATGGGCCCTCGAAGACTGAGGCGCCAGCAAGCAACAAAATCCCATATTGGCGTTTGGTCGTTGACCAGGGTGTGGTGACCCAAGAGGTTATTGATTTCCCATATCCCGGTTCTGGAACGGAGGAGGACCCATATGCTATTACCTGGATCCCCAATGACCCGCGGAATCCCTTGCTTTTTGGCCCTTTTATGAAATGGTTTATTACGATGATTGTGGCCATCGCAACTCTCGCAGTCGCGCTGGTGTCATCTGCTTATACTGGCGGTGTTACAGAGATCAAGAGGGAGTTCCATATTGGTAATGAGGTTGCTACCCTTGGGGTCTCTCTTTTCGTCTTGGGTTTTGCAGTTGGTATGTCCTCATTTCAACCGGTTTCATACCTAATGCTCTCGCGACTAACAAGGCTATAGGTCCCTTACTCTGGGCTCCTCTCAGTGAAATGTTTGGTCGTCAGGTCGTCTTCTTCGGCACATACCTCGCACTTACTGCCTTCAACTGTGGCGGTGCTGGCTCCCAGAACATCCAAACACTCATTATCCTTCGCTTTTTTGCTGGTTCCTTCGGCTCTTCGCCATTCACGAATGCCGGTGGCGTCATCGCTGATATGTTCTCTGCGAAAGAGAGAGGTGTTGCGATGAGTATGTTTGCAGCAGCTCCTTTTCTGGGTACGTACTATTCTATCGGCGGCGATTTATTGGGGGGCGCTTAATTCGAACTGACTTTTCTATAGGTCCTGTTCTTGGCCCGATTATTGGTGGATTCCTGGGAATGAATGCTGGATGGCGCTGGGTGCTGGGATTTTTGGGTGCCTTTTCCGGCTTTGTTTGGATCCTTGGCTCCCTCCTTGTTCCTGAGACGTATGCGCCGGTGCTTCTCCGTCGTCGTGCCGAGAGGCTTTCCAAGATCACTGGTAAGGTGTACCAAAGTAAAATGGACCAGGATCAGGGCCGGACCACCCTCAAGAGTGCATTTCGTACCGCATTGTCGCGTCCATGGATATTGCTGTTCAAGGAGCCGATTGTGTTTTTGCTGTCCCTATATATGGTAAGAATAATATCTTCCCCTTTAGATATACCTCCCAGGTATTGGACGCTAATCGTTCTAGGCAATTATATATGGTACATTGTATATGTTATTCGGTGCCTACCCCATTGTTTTCCAGTTGCATCGCGGCTGGAACCAGGGAATTGGAAGCCTTCCGTTCTTGGGTATCATGATTGGTATGATGGCCGCTGTGGCTTACAGTATTCTGGACAACAAGCGGTATATCAAGGTTGAAGCAAAATATGGCGGTTTTGCGCCCCCGGAAGCTCGTCTGCCGCCGTGCTTGATTGCTTCGATTACTATCCCCGTGGGATTGTTCTGGTTTGCCTGGACAAACTATCCTTCTATCCACTGGATAGTCAGCATTCTTGCAGGAGCCCCTTTTGGATTTGGCATGGTTTTGGTGTTCTTGGGAATCATGAGCTACCTGATCGACACATACACAATCTTTGCAGCGTCCGTTCTGGCAGCCAACTCCGTGCTGAGGTCGGTCTTTGGTGCCGTCTTCCCTCTTTTTACCACCTACATGTATAACGATTTGGGTATCCACTGGGCCTCGTCTATTCCAGCATTCCTGGCTCTTGCTTGCGTACCTTTCCCCTTCTTGTTTTACAAGTATGGTCCAGCAATCCGGACTCGTTGCAAATACGCAGCCCAATCGGATGCGTTCATGCGCAAGATGCTACAGCAGTTGAAGGAGCAAGCCGGTCCCGATCCCGAACCTGAGAAAGAGGAAGAAAATTACGACCGCACTGAGGCACCGGCCCCTGACTTTTCTGACCATAGCGACGAATCCGATTCGAATGTCGAAGAGCTTCCCACAATACACCAGATTCGCAGCAAGGCCTCTGCGCGTACGGTTGCCTCTGCCAGATCGGTGTATGAGGGGAATCCGTACGTTATTGACCGAGTCAATACTCACGACTCCTTCAAATAGGTTACAATTTTCTCGCACGATACCACTTTTATTTTTTATATACTCTGCACGCCACCGTCGATTACACGGATAATTTTTAGTATCTATTGACCTCTTCTACCGCCACTATCATAGACACACCAGGTGCCCATGTGAGATACAATTGATTGAAGAAAAGTTTCTTTGTATTTCTATTTTTATTTTTGGGCGGATTCCATGTTACCCTTGCATTGTATTGCGCCTTTCTAGACGGCCGTTCCATGTTGATATACCCTGCGTGATATTGCATTATTGCAGTTTGGTTTTATAGCACGATAGAGGATGGAGTTGAAGGATGAATACTCATATACAAAGATATTGTTTAGTGCCATTGGATTTGGGTTGTAAGATTGATGCCTATAGCCTAGATTCTTGAAATATTTTGTTATATTATTGCGAACATTAGGGTAAGCCCATAGCCACTGTTTCCCCCCCGGAAGTATTATCATTGCATATTGTATCTCTTATAAAGACCAGTAAATGGATAGTAACGAGTTCGATTCTATGGCTAATGAGTGACATGGACATAAACATGGATTAAGCGACCGGAAAGCTATTATTAAACACAGTGCACGTTGCTTCTATTACTATTATCAAAAAGTAGTACATTGCAACTAAACAGTCATGACAAACAGGGCGAACAAATGAATGATGACTATGATGATATCATGCGAATTTATCTATCTAGGTGACTGACCAACGGACGATAAAAAGGAAAACACAAGTCATGGATATTTCTCGTGTAGTGAGAGTGGCATTACGTGACTGCAGCCGAGACTGGCCAGCCACAAATCTTCAGTAATATTGCCGGGAGTGGTTGTTCTTCTCTACGCATAGCTTTTGAGCGGTCCTAACATTGAAGTAGAGACACATGTTGGATGCGGGCCACCAATTTATCTTCTACCCATGTATGAGCTAGGTTCCACAGATGATTTAGCAGTAACTACAACGGCAAAAAGGCTACCGTTTCTTCTCCAAACACCAGGCACAACCGTGTCTCTTCCGTCGTCACCCAGAGTTAGTCTGTAGCTCCATGTTTATCTCACAGCAGAACACCTAAAAACTGGGTTAGTTATATAAAAACTTATATAACTGTTAAGACGCAAGTTCTATACCTATAACAAGAAAGTTATATACCTTGAAAAGATAGGTTACTATCGAATCCCCCCAGGATGGCCGCTTGTTAGATTAAACAGGTAGTTCTGAGCGTCCATATTAATAGTGTACTTTTCGACTTCAGATCCACATAGTTTTGCCACAACCGTGTGAAACTCGTCTTCGCTGTAGAATAGGCTGATTGGTGGTGGATTTGGTTTGTGTGATAAAGTTAATAAATGGGCTGTCTGGGAAAAAAAAGTAACTGGTGTCTAATAATCCTTTAAATTATATGGCAAGCCCATTGATGGGCGGTATATGAAGAAAAAAGACATAGATTTATCTTTTCCCTAAGAGGACCTGAGAATTCTTTAACAATACCGTTCCAAAATACAGTGTTTCCATATGAACCTTGTGCTTCGTCTACGATATCACAGTGCCGGTGGTAAAGATATTTTATTCCTCCCTTAACATTATATATTTGCACCTAATAGCCTGAGCAAAATTCGCCCAAGGATCCTCGGCCGAAAGTTTATCAAGTCTTTTGTTCCCAAGCCCCAAGCCAAAATACTGTTCTTTCTTGCTGGTGTAAACAATCCCTCAACAGCTGTGAGAGTGCTGTCTTTCCACTTGCTGGTGTGTCGTGTACATGGGCAATTTTTAATACTGTTCTATCCTGACTGTATACCTCTTGCTTGTTAAGCTGTGGAGATCCCGCTGGCATCATCGTTAGCTATGGCTATTATATAGTAGGTTAAAATACTGGATCTTACCTCGCGAAATATAGATTTGCTTTTAGTATCAACTATCATCTGGGCCAATTGTGCAAGGTCTATATTAGGGCCAACAGGAATGCCAGCTCTTTTAAAGACTTCCGGCCCGCCGGCAGCGTATAAGAATGCATTCCCGTGGACTTTAGCATTCAAAACTTCTTAGTATCATCATCGTCGAGAGGGACATCCAAATACTTCTGGATCCACCCAAGAAGTACAATTGCCTTCCACTATTTAATTTCTTGACTAGAGTGGTAAGCGGGATCTGATGACTGCCTTGACAACTTTTTGAGGCGGCGATCAGGGGACTGGCTATGTCACTAGAGCAACTGCAAATGCTGGCGGTCATAGGAATACACTGTTTGATCAGGTGTACGTAGACTGTTGACAGGCATCTGACTATCGGTGGAGGTGGAGAGAGCTTGGAAAGAGTTGTAGGTGAGCGGAGGGATATCAACTGGCGCAGAGCTCAGATGGGGATTCAGGGTGTAGACTGGTTGCTGTACTATCTTAGGGCTCGAAATGGCAAACGGGAGCGGATGCAAGGATGCTAGTCATAATGAGGAAGGAATGGGATGGAAGGGAAGGAAAGGGGAAAAGAGTGAAGGGTGAAGGTTGGAGGTGGGAATATGGCATGAATGACGTTGGTTCTGTTAAGCTTGATATAGCCTGAAATGATAGTCGACGCGAGTAGGCAGTTTTCCATATATATATATTTTTCCATGATTTCTTCCACAAACAGAATAATTTCAACGGTCTAGAAGTAGAAATAGATAGTTATTTATTAGTATAACGACTTATATTAATACTCCAGCCACTGTAATGTCTTGGGATGTTCTGGACAAACTGCTTCCGCTCTAGGTTTTAATGCTCCTGCCCGTCTCGCTTAATAGATTGTAACCGACCCCCTCCACACATGTCTCTGGAGTCGGTTACAGTATTTTCTCGGAATATTTATAACAAAAAGATACTATTCTCTAGCATGCTACAATTTCTTGTCTTCGTATTGATCTGCTGCCTACTCGTTGGTTGTGCCGACTGGTTGGTTGAATATGTTAGCTAGTAAGTGTGTGTCCCTAATACGCTCCCTTTCCCAGCCAATACTGGGCCATGTGCGCATTGGGCAGCGAAGCAAGTCAGCTAGAAGACAAATTATTCCAGGATCATGAACAGCTACTATCTATAGGTTATTTGGTTGTATGAGGGACAATTGTACAGCATATATGGCACTGTTGCCATATTAGTTGTGAGGCAATACTGCTCATTCAAGATACTGTATACCAACCAAACCCATAGCCAATATAGCAAGGAGGTGAAGATGAAGCAGTATCTCTGCTGATTACTCTGCGCCAACTAATTCCTTGTCCAATATAGACCTGTATCCCGGCCAACTGCTCTTAAAATCCGGTAAACATTGATGTGATGTATTACTATTTCCCTGTTGTTACTCCTGTTGGCTCAATCAATGAAAACGAGATATATCAGTATCCTCGACCAAGGGGCAAAGTCGAACTTTGTATATGAAAACTTGACTGCTCTCAATTTCCAACTTCCGCAACTAAATATGAATGTTCGACTGAGGACAATAGTATCTATGGAGCGTGTTATGCCCAGAACTCTACCCATCTTTTTTTGGCGTTGGCAATGGCAATTTCTGAAAACTTGTATCCATCTTACTTTGAATGTATGGATGATTCCTTAGCTTCAACTTCACACACAACTATCTCAGTCATAAGGCAATTCTGCTTGCTCTGGACAGACTCTGCGCACCAACCAATTCCTTGTCCAGTGCCCTAAGGAGCACACTCGGTACAGCTCTAGGTTCAGCGAACGCTAGTCTGAGAGTAGTCGGTGGCAGATCAATATCTTTTATCAATTACTCTGCATCAACCATTCCTATGTCTGACGGAAGTGAAGTCAAACTCTGTATTCGACAGATCCCATCGTTGGACCATGCATGGCGCTGCTGCCTCATGAGATGAGGCCATGCTGGTTACCTAAAATCCTATACGTCAGCCAAGTCCATGTCTGTATGGAGGTAAATCTTAGCAAAATTGTCCCTGACTATGATGCCAGCCAGGATACGCATTAGCCTCTTCAACCAATTCCCAGCGTAGTTGAAGCAGGTCACAACATTACAAGAGGGCTTTCTCTAGTTCAAGGGTCGGATCTTGCTAGGGGTTCTTCCTTGCTGCATGGAGCACAGTCTCTATTGACGCAATTTGTTCGGCATTCTTTGGTAGACAGAAAACTGTAGGATGCTATCTATGAATTATCACTTCCTAATATTGCGCCAAACAACTCAGCTTGGTGCATCTCCGCGTCCTAATGCACTCCTTTCTACCAATTAATATTTGGCGAAGCGCACGTTGCTGGAGGCGAAGAAGGTCAGCTGGAATGCATATCATCCACATTTAGTGAACACAAGTCACAGTGATGTTCTAATGTCTTCAACCAGCCTCTCTGTGCCAATCAATACCATGTTCCCTGCCAGACACGGACCAAGAGGCAAAACTGGACTACCCATTGACTGTTCGATATTCACGGAACACTGATCATGGTAATGTCCTCGGCTAGTTCTTCTGTGCCTAGTTTTAAGCCCAATGCAGGAGATGAAGTCAACCCCTGTATACAACCAGTCTGGACCTCCAAACCTGTAAACACAAAAAGAGGAAGCCATTCACACCAAAGCTATAGCAGCAGTATCCATGGCGTTGTGATATCCTAATATCCTTAGAAGCCCCTTCTTCTGTAGCAGGCCCTGGGCTCTTGGAATTTCCCAACCAGTATATTCTAAACGTCGCACACATGTTGCTTTAGATGGCTTGATTTTAACCGACATGAAACAATGAAGTGGGTGCAGGAGTGATGACTCTATGGGATGCAAAATTGGTTGTATGCAACCCATTCCAAGCATCTAATCACTATCTATTGTTACCAAGATTCAAGAGCATAAGTAGATAACCATACCATCTGTGAGATCAAAGCACATTTGATCTAACAAAATTACTACATACAAGAGCACAAAGGGGGGAGGGGGGGGACGCGATGTGCAGGATCAATAGCAAAAACGCCTCATCAAAGTCTCTCAGACATTGAGGGGGAAACAAAGAGCGGGAAGAAGTTGCAGCAGTGCTGGAGGGCAATTTTATAGAGCACGCACGGAGGCTCCAAGGAGCGAGTGGACACTTTTCCCGAATAGGAATACGATACTATTTTCAGTAGTTCGTCATCCATAAAAGTTGGTAGTAGTGCCGATCTAATGGTGGATGACTCTTACAACTTTACAAGATCCTTTCTTTGTTTCCTTTCTTTCTCCCCCCCCCCCCCTCTCCTTTTCTTAGGTTTCATCTTTTTTGTCTTTTTGCGTCTGATGCGATCATTCTTTATTCTCTCTCTTTGATAATATTGTCTCGACGCTGTTGCTGGCCTACGGCGTTTCTGCCTTTTAGATCTCCTGCGACCGCCGCGTCTTCGACTTGAAATATAGAGGGCATGCGAAATGAAGCACGTACCATTGTTTCAGATCACAAGACGAACAACCATTTCTCCCCGGTCTCCATATCCTTCCCGACTCCGATCACGAAGATATCAGTCTTCTGGAACGCCACCGAAGCAAGAACCGATTCCTGAGAGAAGCGCACCGGCCCAATCAAACGTCCAGTCTACACCCTCGCCTCCCACCATTTCGGGCACGCGATCGCTGCTCCAGATTGTTTCTGATGGCCCTCTTGGGAGACTTGCACAATCATACTCACGCATCCAAAAGAGGCGACCGTATGCCACACAATTATGCAGTTCAATTACCGTGTACCTGTGTGGTGATTTGAGCGCGCAACTGCTGTTTCCATCAGACAACAACGCAGTTAAGAACAAATCCACCGAGGGATCGCAGTCGGGAAAGGAAAACGCAGATGTGGGAATTAGTCGGGGAGGCTATGATCCGTGGAGAACTCTGCGACATTTGACTGTAGGCGCGGGGTCGAGTATTCCGGCGTATAACTGGTAATACTATCCACACTCCAAATCTATCAGTGTTGAGCGATCATGTACTAACGGGTTGCTTCTCTTACCAGGTTCATGTTCCTCCATAACAACTTCAATTTCGCCTCCAAATTTCTTTCCATCCTCACCAAAGTTTCCGTGCAGCAGGCTGTCTTCACCCCCATTTTCAACACCTATTTCTTCAGCGTCCACTCACTTCTGTCCGGAGCTACTTTGGACGAGACTTGGGAACGCTTGAAGAAGGCTCTTCCTGTCAGCATTACCAACAGCGTTAAGCTTTGGCCCGCCGTCACTGCATTCAGCTTGATGTACGTGCCGCCGCACTTCTGGAACATATTTACTGGGTGCATCGCTGTGGGCTGGCAGACGTATCTTAGCTGGTTGAACCAGAAGGCTGCACAAGAAGTTGAGGCTGCCGAATTGGTTACTGCAGAGATGTCAAAAGTTGGCCTTGATTCGCAAGCGGGCGCAATAAAGGCATGATGATGTCTTTCCTTACTTGAGTTTTATATTTTTCTCTTCAGCACTTCTGGTACATAAATTTGGGGCACTTTGGTGATTTCCGGGGTAGATTATAGATGAGCATGTCTTTGGTAAAGTGTACATACATTGCAATACCAGGTAGACTATACAATTAGACCATGACATTCAAAACAGAGGATGATTAAACCATGCGATCCAGCCAGCGAGGATGTTGCGATGCGGATGCGCAAGCCAATCTGATCGAGTGCATTTCGCATTGTCGAGCGGATCCCCACCGGTTCTCTCTCCACTACGACACACCACATGGAATGAATGAGATGATTTCTCCCTCTGAGCTGCAGGCATGTCCTGCCCACCACCTCCGCAGACTCTAACACTTGATATTGTCAACGACAGCAGCGATTACGGATCCGACTTTACTCCGGATGAAGAGGAGATTCTGAATGAGCTACTCGTGAGAGTTGACCCGGAACGCGCTACGGAAGTGGACGCGACAATAGCGACCACCGCCCCCGCTCAACCTCCTCTACAGTCGACAATTACTACTACTACTGTCGTTCAAGATATCGAAAATTATAATGAGGTTCCGTCCACTGGGCGGCCCCCGCGGGTGTTGGGGCGACAGAAGCCTGCATGGCAGATTGCGAGGACTCAGTCGGGTCCACCTGCTGCAGGCAGTAGCAGTAGGCCAGACCAGATCCCAGGTTACAGTAGTACCACGTTTGGTAATATTTCCCGATTACTTTTAAAAAGGGTTATGTGGTTTTCATCCCCCCCCGGCTGGGATTATTGGCTTTAGATGATTGCGCTGACATCTGACGGCGAAGCGTTTAGTCGAGCATCCCGATTCCACTGAAGGTCGTACGAGAGATCGTGAGAGACACGTAGCCCGAGAGAAGGAGTGGATAAATGATTCCGAGACAGTCGGGTCTCGTTCTCCGCTGGAACGATTCCGACGGCCGCCCAACAAGGCTTTCTCCGTTACTGATTTGGTCTCCCCTGCCTGGTGCGAACTGCAATATTGGTATACCTTGACGAAACATGGGAGGAAAAGAAGAACACCTGCGATGAAGCTGGGGAGTACCATACACAAGTCACTGGAGGACGAGATCTACACTACAGTACCGGTGGAGATCACGACGAAAGAGGACGCCTTGGCCCTGAGGATCTGGAATGTGATACAGGGGCTTCGCACATTGAGAGAGTATGGGATCACGCGAGAGTTGGAGGTCTGGGGCATTGTTAATGGGGAGCTGGTGAGCGGGGTCATCGATCAGCTTTCTTACGTGTGTCCCGACTCGGAACTCGAGGCCACAGCTGCATCATATTACGCTGATGTGGAAGCGTCGAGGGCTGTTTTGCCCGAGTATCAAATGTCGCTGACGGACTATCTTCTCTCACCGTCACAGGGTGGGAAGCGACTTTCTGATATGAGCTGGGATGACGAGAATCTACAGGGCTCGGATAACTCGTTCATCTCTGACCGTCAGTCCTCCGCGGAGGTCTTCAATTTACCTAGGATCTACATGACAGATATCAAGACGAGGGGTTCCAGTCGCTCGATTCCCACTGTCAAGAGCACGTCTTTTCGGCCTACGCTGCTCCAGCTCCAAATGTATTACCACATGCTTAATCGCCTTGTTACTACCGACGAGGTCTCCATCGAAATTCTGGCGTCGCGCTACGGCCTGGATCCCCATCGCACTTTCACTGATGCATTTATAACGGAAGTGGGTGGTCTAAATGATCAGTTTTTTGACGCTCTATCGTCACAGGAATTTGACCGTGACCATATTCCCACCTCGGAAGATGCTCTCGTGCGACGACTGTCTTCCCAGCACTCTGCAGATGCAGACTCAGCAGACTCAGCCGCCTCTGCAAGCCAGGACTCGACCGGCGTGCTCCTCACAAATAGAAACCTGGCTAGTCTCTGGAGGTTCATGAAGGACCAGCTGCGGCTCACATTTATACCACAACCCCTGCAATCGTCATCCGTCTTGGTGGCACCATCAATCCCCTCTGAATTCCAGCCTCATATGCTCGAGTCCTACCCTACCGTGCTCTCCCCCCTCCTTACCGCTCGATATCTTTCTTCCACACCGGTAGACGAATCGAAATCGCGAGCGCTGGGTAGTCGGTCGTTTCTGTTCGACCCCATAACCATGACATCTTATCTCTCCGATCAGATGGAGTGGTGGCGCGGTGAGCGAGAACCCCGTGGCGTGGAAATCATGGAGGCCTGGAAATGCCGAATATGTGAATTCAACGACGAGTGCTCTTGGCGTCAAGAGAAAGAATGGGCCTTTGCGAGACGCTGGAGGGGTCGGAAATCGTCTGATTCGGCTACTGCTTAGAATCTAGTTTTGGGGTTTAACATTGGCGCAGACTTGCATAGTTACCTGTATTAATACACCGTGCGGTTTCTAGATGCAGCATTTTGATACATGGGAGGATCTGGTGTGCTGTCTATTCAGATGATTCCTTTGCATAGGTATTCCACCCATGGAGAAATCTGGGAGCGGCTGCAGATTTTGACATACGCCCGGAAGATATATAAAACCCAAGCGATTAATTCATGAACGCCGGACATAGTCTACTATCATTCATTGATATGAATTTATACCCGAAGAAGTAGCCATCAATCATGAAAACGGGATTTCCATCTAACAAAATTAAAAAGGATAACTTCGCATTTCATCTTCCTTCTCTAGATCCAACCCACAGGAGACCTGCTCCTGATGTTTCCGATCCAAATACTCCAACAGCACCTCCTCATACTTCTCCCTCCCTTTATATCTAGAGACATCCTCTCCCCAACTCCGTATTGCGGAAGCCAACCTCCCAGGTACATACGGCTCAGCAACGATACCGGTGATGGGTTCAAAATAAGTCCGGATGGTGAACACCACAGCACCAGACCTCGGCAACCGTCTTAACGACTGTCTCTCCGAGCGGAAATAATGATTCTCTATAGCCCGGTTCTTCTCCGCCGTATTCCACGATACCTCGACCGAGTCCTCGCATCCGATACTTGACGACCAAGGCAAGTTATCATCCACCTGGATGAAATAGTTATTTCGGAGTACGGGATCTTCCGGTCGAATCCGTCGGAAGAAATTCATCATTCCCTTTTCGAGTTTCTCTTTGTATCCGGGAACGTCGCCGGATGTGTGGATGTCTGACAGGCACATGCTGAATTTGTCTTCGAGACGCCAGAAACCGGCTAGGAGGATGGATCCTGCGAGGAGGTGGTATTCACCGTCCGGGCCTTCGATCATCAGTGCCAGGTCGTCTTGTATGAGACGGGCGGCTGTCGTCATTGGGTCTTCGGGGAGTGGACGCTGCGTGATGTTGAAAGACTCGTTGGTGATGAGGTTGTCGAGACCTGTTGGTGTTTTACAGAACATGCTCGGGTATCGTTCGGGGAGGTAGGATGCTCTTTATTATGTTGGTATGTGTGTGCGTGTGAAGTTAACAATGGGGGGGGGAGGAGGACTTACAGTTCCTCTAGTAGTTCGATTGCACCGTCCATGGCTTCGGGTGCTGTGCGACAGCATTTTGCACCGCGGTCTTTGATGCGTTGGGCTTTGTCGGCGTGGTAGCGGAGGTAGTGGTTGTCGAGTTCTATATTTTGGTGAGATTGGGTTTGATATGTGAGGGAGAGATATATACCGATCCATTCATCCCATTTCATACTTCGTAGTCCCATGGTAATGAAGTATTTTCTATTAGCAGGTTAGCGGACTCGTTGGTTTACTGTTCACGTTCATATATATACACGTACGGTCCGTATCTGAAGGGTCGGTATGGAATTGGCTTTGTCGTATATACATTCCAATCTGGAAAAGGAGTGGCAGGAGGTCGCTGGAAGTCGGATGGAATCCATTCTTGATTCGGGGGTTATTGTCAGTTGAATCCGTGTAGTTTCATGCAAGATTCATCTGGACTAAGAAGGGGATCTATACCTCCGGGTTTTCGGGTGACCCTTTTGAGTTTTGTGGATGCGGAGGATTTCTCCTCGAGGTCTGGTGTTGAACGTCTTGTTACTCCCGTCGTACGGGTCTTTTTGGACTTCTTTTGAAGAATATGTCGGATGGACCAGATGCAGATTGTTGCTAGGAGAACAGCCGCGGACACATCTTTGATGTGGTAGGGATTGATATGAGATGGGCACAGGACCATGGTTGTCCTGTTTTAATGTCTGTCGGTGGTATATGTCGATGACGATATGATCGTGGAGATCAGAAGGGAGGGGTGCTTTCTTTATCAGGATCGGATTAAGCCATGATGTGGCGGTTCGGATGCATATAATACACCGATCGTCTACATCGGAAAGCCACAAAGATTGCCATATCGGTCGATCAGATGCGACCGCCGAATACGAAGTGGCAGCGATTGGACTGGAATATGCAGGGCTCTCTTGGATCGAGGTGCAGACCAGGGATTTTTTATCTGGATTAGGAAAGGCGTTCGTGCTAGACTTGCAAGGGCGCATGCCGCATACAAACAGAGAAGTTCCACGATCACATCCATTATTATCTATTTACACGAATGTACTCCGCACATGGTCAATCTTTACGGGCGTGCCGTTGTAGTAGACAGAACTGTCCCCATTTGCGGCGGAACCGATCTGGGATGATTGGTATATCGGGAACCCAGACCAACCGGCCCAGAATGCCTGTCTGCGAGGTGTCCAGGAAGCTATGACAGGAAAGGGGTTTCCACTGCGATTCGTCGTGCAGATAATCGGGTTCCAGCTCGGTTGCCGCACGTCCAGGGAAGGACGAGTCCACTAGGAAAGAACACTGAGAGATGTCCACCTAGCCACCGGATTAACTCAAGAGATAAGAAGGAGTGGGTGATGTTGTTATCTTACATATTTCCCAGGATCTTCCTCATTGAGATCGTTCATGCCCGAGGGAATCTGCGATGTTCCCTCTAGAAGCGAAGGCAGGTTCGTGCTGTCAGGAAACTGTCCGGGGAGCAAACCGCGGAACTCGCTCCGTATGAACTTGGGCCGCATGCCGTTCGGCAGGAAGAATGACGATGGGAATCGGTACCACTCCTTGCCGAGGCACACCGAATCGCCCGCTTGACCAATCCCTGGTTCCTCCAATGGCGCAAACACGTTCAAAGGAGCATTGTAGGCGGTGATAATGCCAATGGTTCGTAGCAACCCGGCATTGATGGAGGCAAGAACTACAGCCATGACAGCAGCCAGTTTGAGCTTTGCTGGCACCCGCCCAATAATCTCCTCGGGGTTGCCGGACCCTATGTAGGAGAGAACCATGTGGAATGAAATAGACGCGTTGAGGGCCAGAAAAGGATAGGCGGGATACATGAACCTTTCCTCCTTGTGCGGTTGCAGTGTGAAGATTGTAAACCACAGGTAAAAGGGCGTGATGAGAGTGACGGTGCGAAAAAGGGTCTCCTTGGAGGTCGTATGCTGTCGAAATGCAGCCTGAAGAATCAGAAGCGGTGCCGCACTCATGGCGAATACGAACCAGATGTTGAAGTTCAGCAATAAGTTCTTGATATAGAATGTCCACGGTTCGGTTCCGAAGATGTCTGGTCCCTTGCCCTCTCCCCCGAAGATGTTATAGGCAACGATATTCCATGGTACGATGGTAAGTTTCCGGAGAAAAGCATAGTCGGTGCCGATTTCCACAGCCTGGAGCTCATTAGCATGGAGTCGATGGCTTCGCAACACGTCGAGGGGTGCATACCAAAATTACTAGACATCTCAGAACCCCGTTGAGAATGCTGAAAAATACGGTCCACAAAGATCCGGAAATAAAGCCGATGACGACGTCTTCCAGGAGAAGAGGAAGGATTAATGCTCCGACAAACGGCCAGCCGACAATCGCACCCAGTCCAAACCACATGATTCCCTGTGCCGTCTTCTGACCCGCTCTCCAGTCCAAAAATGCCGTAAGACCTAGCATGGACATGTACATGGCAAAACTGGACGGAAGAAATGAGGCGGATGCGTGGAACATGCCCGGGCTGAACGCAACGATCATGAGGAAGAGAAGGCCGATCCTGGGACTCAGGGTTCGACAGATGGCTGAGTATAGCCGTGTCTGACAAGCAGCGCAGCACACGGCTAGGAAGCAACGGATGGCATAGAATTGAGAGAATTTGGAACCAAGAGCAAACGAGCTTATCTTCCCAGCGATAGCATGGATGGTGATGTAGAGCCAACTACGAACTGAATAGACCGGCGAATACTCCCACGTCTGTAGCCCATATCCATGGTCGAGATAATGCGTAGGCTCCCAAAAATTGAAAACTTCATCACAGTCCTGAATCGGGGCGAGAAAAGCCGCAATGGCATTGGAAACGAGGCACACGTAAAGCGTTGTGTTCAGAGGAAGGTAAAAGGGTGCTGTTGGGGGACTGCGACGGATGGAAGTTAGCGGTTTGGCCGTGATACTATGAGGTCAGAGTCTCTACCGCTGTTTGGTACGTGGAGTTGCACGTCTTGTCGGTATTGAGGGGACCTCAAGGTTCCTCCTGGCAGAAGCCATTGTGCATAGTGTCTCTAGAGAGCGAATTGCATCATATACTGCTGCTGGTGGACATGAAATTAAGCTCAACGCGAACATCATAAATGTTGTCCGGTGACCGCAACGGCACGTGTGGCAGTTCCTAAAAAAAAAAAGTTCCAGTACGATCGCTCAATCTGAAAAAATTCCATATCCACACGACACCAAATTTTTTGATCTTTTTGACTTTTTTGGTACTCTCTCTTTGGAGACTTTTCTTCAAGGTCCCCAGTGAGCTCATAATGAGTAACCAGCGACCTCTTGTTCATTCTCAGGACATTCAGATGGATGCCAATGGAGGCCCGCCAGTGAAGCGACCCTGCATGAATGATACGCCGCCCATCGCATTGACTCCCGTTGACGATGGAAGTGATTTCTACAATACGCCCTTGGTTGCAGGAACACCGGTGACTACGAATAATAACGAGAACCAAGAAATCTTGGCTTCAAATCAGACCAGTGGTCCAACTACATCCCACGCATCGGCGACATTAATCCCAGGCTTGAATCTTGTCAACAATACCCTCACAGACCTGCGCTCGGCGAATAGCGAGATGAGCCCTCTTCAGTCCACTTCCAACCAGAGTGGGGAGGGCGTCGGTCTCCAGAATGGCATCCAGCCAACCACCGCACAGCATCAACCAGAGACAACACCTCAATTCAACACAAAGCCTTCCACGGAAGGTAATGACGCAATGGATATAGAGCAGAAAGGTGGACAACACAATCATGATGAGTTGACGGACTTGAAACCTGAGGTGAACCTGAATGAGAATGGCGATGTAAGCGGAACAGGCAATGCTCCTGCTGCAGATGTTACCGGGAAGGACCAGGTTGAAGAGGTGCACCCCGAATGGGAGATTGACTCTTCCCCGTACGAGTCGTCGTCCGATAGTTCCACCACCGATTCATCTGATGACAGCGACGATGAGGACGAAGATTATCCTATTCTTAGCCCGGAGGAGCAGGCGCGCATTTTGATGCAGGCGGAAATGGGCTCCGACGATGAAGGGGAGGGAAAAGGCAAATCGGGTGGTCATGTCAGAACGGCAAATGAACTACTGGAGGAGGCCCTTCCGATCCCCGAAATTACCGTCACTCCTGAAATGAAGGTTGTGCTCTTGGGCCAAGTGGAGGCTATCGTAGAGAATACTGTCCTTATCGCCGCCAACATCTCCGGTGAATACCAGGTGCTTGAAGGTGGCTCTCTACTTTGCTCCGAAGATAGGAGTATTATTGGCGTTGTTTCTGAAACTCTGGGGAGGGTGGAGAATCCATTGTATACTGTGCGATATCCCGACGTTGCTGCCATTGAAGCACACGGTATTTCCAAAGGGAAACAAATCTACTACGTTGAAGAACACTCTACCTTCGTCTTCACTCAGCCTCTTAAAGGGTTGAAGGGAAGTGATGCTTCAAACTTCCATGACGAAGAGATTGCCGAGGACGAGGTGGAGTTCTCTGACGACGAAGCTGAAGCTGAGTACAAGCGGAAACTGAAACAGAAACGGCAGGAAAGGAAGGAGGCTAAGAATGAGGGTGGCCCGGCGAGAGCCAGACGGGGCATACCCGGCCCTTCCAAGCTCAATCAGAGCGAGCTCAACTATGAGGATAATGCCGCTGAAGATGGGTACACCCCACTTGCACGCCCGAAGAACCTGCATGAAATGATGGGCCACCAGGAGGCGCCTGTCGAGAGCGACGATTCTCAGAGTAGAGGCGCTGGTTTCCGTGGTGGTCGAGGTCGAGGCAAAGGCTCTGAACGTGGACGAGGAGGCCGTGGCCGGGGAGGACCCAGAACTTCTCAACACCATGATGACCAGTCATATCATCAACTGCAACGCTCCGATTCTCAGCCTCAGCCTTCTCACTACAATGCTCAGTCCTACCAGCAGAGCCAGCAAGGCTCCTATAATATGCCTCAGCAATTGCCTACTTATCCATCCTTCCAGCCCCAGGCCCAGCCACAGCCCCAACAGCAACAACAGCAGCAGCCGCAACAACAGCAACAGCCATTTGGCCAAGGTGTACTTCCTTTCAATTTCCAAATGCCATTCCTACAGGCCTACCAACAACCAAATCCATACCAGCAATTCCCCCCCAACGCCCATATTAACCCACTATTTTTGGCAGCCTTGCAACAGCAGCAGCAGCAACAACAATATCAGCAATCGCAACAGGGCTCTGGGCAACAACAGCAGGCGCAAAATCCAACGATGAATTTTGACCAGGTCAAGGCTCAGTTGGAACTCCTGCGGCAACTAAGTAACGGCAACCAAGGGCCTCCTCGTTCATAATAAAATATTGATACCATTCTTTGTTTCTATATTAGTTTACGGTAAGACTTTGGGTCTTAGGCACTATGGATGGGTTTGCATTTGGAGGAGTCGGGTGTCTGCTATTTAAAAGTTCACATTGTGCCAAAATTAGTCATGATCTTCTGTTTTGATATTTATAGAGTACGAAAGCATCGTCCAGGATATGAACCAAATATTATTATGAGTATTATACATGATATGTATTGTGAATAGCCAGCGTACATTGAACATGTGTTCTTATGGCTCGGTTTGCTTCGTGCTCTTTGCGAGAGTCCAGAAATTCTCCAACTTTGCTCGGGCTAATGTATCCTTCGCTTGGGAGTCGGTCTCACAGACTCGAGCGCCCAGCCATTTGCGGAAAGCTCGAGCCTTGACTTGGCCTTCCCACAAAAGATTACAAGTGTTGGCACTGAGATCTTTTAGGTCGCCTGTATGCTCATCTTCAGCAGCCAGCCAAGACACTTGAGCTTCGCGGTTACCCTCACGTACGACGTTCGGTCCCGCATTTTCTGTCCAATCGATCCGGTTCAGCATGAGCTTTCTGTAGTTGTTGATCGAGTGGGAGCCCCCCTCAACAATCACGACATTGAATCGAGGATGCATGACACAGACACCAGTCAAAGCGTTCTGCTCTGCGTTCTTGCTGATCTTGAAACGGTTCCGCCCATTGGCAAGACAGTCAATCTTATATACGGACATGATGATCCCCCTTTCGGCATCCTTCTCCTGTTGCCTAGCAAGCTTTTCCCGGCGTTCCTCCTTGGTCAGTTTACGTTCTTCATTGTCTGCTTCGTGATTAGCACGGCGCTCTGCAATTTCTCGGGTCACGCGTGCTTCAACGGCGGTTGGATCTTTGACTGCTTGTTCACCAAGAACGCGCATGAGATTAGACTTCTTGACTTTAGGTGGAGGTGCTGGCTCAAGTCCCAGGCGGATTTTGGCCTGTTTTTCTTTGAGATCAGCCATTCGCCGCTGGCGACGAATCTTGGCTTGCTCTTTAGGCGTGAGATACATGGGCTTCTGTTCTGGCATATGTTTGTCCTGAGGGGGATCAAGGAGAACAGGATGCTGGACGTAGAGAGTTACTATAGAGTCGGGGGTGTCAATCTTGAGGTTGCCTTCGTCTTCAATGGCCGAATAGTCCTCTCCATTGACCAAACCTTCATCCCACCATTCAATCGCTGGTGGGGCGGGGACAAGGAAAGCCTTTTCAACATCCAAGTCTTCATCCAGACCAGCCTGTCGTGCTCGTTCTGCAATTCGCTTCTTCATGGCTTCCAATTGAGCTTGCCGACGCAAAGCAGCCGCCTGCTGTATATACTTCCCCTTTTGGTTGAACAGCAACTGGCGCGAATGTCGGGGCCTTGCAACAGTTGCTTTCGGGCCCAGATTTGGATCGTAGTAAGGGTTACTCTTGATTTCTTCCAGAGAAGGCCCAGAGAGATCAAGACCCGCGCGATCTTGCCTTCCACCAGCCATAGGAGACTCTGTTCGACGTTTCGATTGTGCTGACTGCCGACCCTTACCCCCGCGAAAATCAACCGTGTCCGAAAGTAGAGCTGGATGCAGGCCCACATCCAAACCACCTCGAGCTCGTGACGAACCATCATCATCATCAAATGGCGGCGGCTGAGGGGTCGGTATTGGTGCCGAGGATCGTTCCTGCACTGCCGTGTTGGCTCTTCCGGTAGCTGCTGCCACTCGAGCTTTCATCTGTTCTAATCTAGACATTGCTGGACTAGCAGCGGGCGGGGTAGGAGTTGGGCTTGAAGAGGTGGGTGTAAGGGTCGAAGATCCTCCTCTCGCAGCCTGCAATCTAGCGCGCACAGCTTCTGCTTTTGCTCTCGCTTCGGCCACCATCTTTTCAATATCAACCTTACCTGTGGCAGGCGCCCCTTGGGCAGGTAAAGGAGAGCCATTGTTGGAACGAGATCTTTTCTTTGTATTATTGTCTTCTTCCGCGGGATGAGGCCGCTTCAGCCCTGACACGTCCATGTTTTTTTGGAGGCCAAAAAAATGCTCCACTCACCCACTAAATCCAGCAGAGAAACCCACAGTTCGTGGAAAAGTGATACAAGAAACAAGAACCACAAGTAAAAGTGACGGATGACGGTAGAGAGGGGACTCCAACCAGGGGATTATCAAAATGACAAACAGCTTCGCGAGACAAGTGAGTTGGAACGGAACGGACATCACGGGATGACCCGGCGTGGATCGGGGAGCGGTGTCGCGCGGCAGAAAAAAAAAAGTTGGGTGCACTTTTTCGCAGAGCGGACCAAACCGGCCGTTCTTTCTCCAGGCCAGCAGCCCACAAGCACAGCGTCTCTCGTCGCTCAAGGAGCTGCAGGAAAACATGGCGAACTTCGCACGTCCTGTGGCCTCCACAATTACGGGGATTGACTTTGGTGTCTACAATAATGCAGATATCAAAGCTATCTCTGTAAAGCGAATCCACAATACTCCGACGTTGGATACCTTCAACAATCCTGTGCCTGGTGGATTATACGATCCAGCTTTGGGTGCCTGGGGTGATCATGTGTACGTTCACTCTTCTTGCACTTCTTCTTCTTCTTCTTCTTTTTTTGCCCTTTTTTAAATATGAAAACTGACCGGATTTAGCTGCACGACTTGTCGCTTGAACTCTTGGTCATGTACTGGACATCCGGGACATATCGAGCTTCCAGTTCATGTTTACAATGTTACGCATTTTGATCAGTTGTACCGTTTGCTTAGAGCGCAATGTGCTTATTGCCATCGCTTTCAGTTGTCTCGAATGCAAATCAATGCGTACACCTGCAAATTGCGACTCTTGCAATACGGCTTAGTCGACGAGGCGGCAGTGATCGACTCAATGAGCGAGAAAAAGGGAAGTCACAAAAAGAGCGGAAAAAATGGCAACGATTCTGGCAGCGAGGATGACGACGAGGACGAAGATGATTTGATTGCTCGCAGAAACAGTTTCGTTAAAAAGAGTATTCGGGAAGCGCAAGCTGCGGGTAAACTGGTAGGCCTTATGTCGGGCATGAAGAACCCAATTGCTGCAGAAGAGAGACGTACTTTGGTGAAAGAGTTCTTTAAAGAAGTCGTTGCGGTGAAGAAATGTACAAACTGCAAAGGGTATGTATTCCTTGCTCCTGCATGATTTCTTGGGAAGAATGAAATTTACTGACGTATGACAGTGTTTCACCAGGTTTTCGAAGGGATCGGTATTCGAAAATTTTCCGAAAACCTTTACCCGAGAAGGCAAGGCTTGCTATGGTACAGGGCGGATTCCAAGCACCGAATTCCTTGGTTCTTGTTCAACAGGCCAAAAGATTCAACGCCAAAGAGAAGAAGGCGCTTGCTGACGGAATCTCTGATAATGTAAGTACCACATCAGAGACCCATGGGGCAGAGGAAGAAGTCGCACGTGGAAATGCCGTTATAGCAGAGGAAGAGAGAAAGAGGCAAGGTGCTGGTGACGGTGGGCAGTATATGCCCTCCCCGGAGGCCCATGCCGCAATTACTTTGCTTTTTGAGAAAGAAGGAGAGATCTTGCATCTCCTTTACAACTCTCGACCGATATCGAAGAAGGAATCACAAGCTAGCGCAGATATGTTCTTTATCAAGAGCATCCTGGTCCCGCCAAACAAGTATCGCCCGGCCGCTCCACAGGGACCGGGTGAGATCATGGAGGCACAGCAGAACCAACCTTTCACGCAAGTCTTGAAGAACTGCGACATCATCAATCAGATCAGCAAGGAAAGACAGGAATCAGGCGCTAATTCTCTGAATCGTGTGCGGGACTATCGCGATCTACTTCATGCCATTGTTCAGCTGCAGGATACTGTCAACGGCCTGATTGATCGCGATAGAAGTGGAATCTCGGGACCAGCGGCAGCTTCTGCCCCGAACGGTATTAAGCAGATTCTAGAAAAGAAGGAGGGATTGTTCAGAAAGAACATGATGGGAAAGCGTGTCAACTTTGCTGCCCGAAGTGTCATTTCTCCCGATCCTAACATCGAAACCAACGAGATTGGAGTTCCGCTTGTTTTTGCGAAGAAGCTGACGTATCCGGAGCCTGTCACGAACCATAATTTTTGGGAGTTGAAACAGGCAGTGATCAATGGCCCAGATAAATACCCGGGTGCTACTGCGATCGAGAATGAAATGGGACAGATCACGAACCTCAAATTCAAGAGTCTTGATGAGCGGACGGCGCTCGCTAACCAGCTGTTGGCACCCTCGAACTGGAGGATGAAAGGAGCGCGCAATAAAAAGGTCTATCGCCATCTGACGACTGGAGATGTTGTTCTGATGAACCGTCAACCCACGCTCCACAAACCTTCTATCATGGGTCATAGAGCTCGCGTTCTACCTAATGAGAAAGTTATTCGCATGCACTACGCCAACTGCAACACGTACAACGCTGATTTCGACGGCGATGAAATGAACATGCATTTCCCCCAAAACGAACTTGCCCGGTCAGAGGCCATGATGCTTGCAGATGCAGACCACCAATATCTTGTCGCGACATCGGGTAAACCACTTAGAGGTTTGATTCAGGATCACATCTCAATGGGAACGTGGTTTACATGCCGCGACAGCTTCTTCGATGAGGATGATTATCATCAGCTTTTGTATAACTGCCTGAGACCGGAAAATTCCCATACTATCTCGGAGAGGATTCAGGTAGTAGGCCCGGCGGTGCTTCGACCGAAGTGCTTATGGACAGGAAAGCAAATAATTACAACAATTATGAAAAATATCATGCCACCAGGAAGAGCTGGTCTAAATATGAAGAGCAAGTCATCGACTCCCGGAGACCGGTGGGGTGAGGGCAGTGAAGAAGGGAATGTTATCTTCAAAGATGGCGAGATGCTATGTGGTATCCTTGACAAGAAACAGATGGGACCTACTGCTGGTGGTCTTATTGATTCTATTCATGAGATCTACGGACATACCATTGCTGGAAGATTAATTGGTATTCTTGGACGACTCTTGAACAGATTCCTGAACATGCGTGCATTTACTTGCGGTATCGACGACCTTCGTTTGACTAAGGAGGGTGATCGCGTTCGTAAAGAGGTTCTTAGCAAGGCCGCCGGTATTGGTCGTGAGGTTGCTCTTAAATATGTGACTCTGGACAATACCATCGTACCCGACCAGGACACTGAACTGCGGCGGCGCTTGGAAGACGTGCTTAGGGATGATGAGAAGCAAGCGGGTTTGGATAGTGTTTCGAACGCCCGAACAGCAACTCTGTCAACTGAGATCACAAAGGCATGTCTTCCGGGAGGATTGGTCAAACCTTTCCCATTTAATCAAATGCAGTCGATGACAATTTCTGGTGCTAAAGGTTCAGGCGTTAACGCAAACCTGATTTCTTGCAACCTAGGTCAACAGGTTTTGGAAGGCCGACGTGTACCTGTTATGATTAGTGGCAAGACCCTGCCATCTTTTAGAGCTTTCGACACGAATCCTATGGCTGGTGGCTATGTTTGCGGTCGTTTCTTGACCGGTATTAAACCACAGGAATACTACTTCCACGCCATGGCTGGTCGTGAAGGTCTTATTGATACAGCTGTGAAGACGTCCAGATCTGGCTACTTGCAGCGTTGTTTGATTAAGGGCATGGAAGGCTTGAGAGCTGAGTATGACACTTCAGTTCGAGAAGCTTCTGACGGGTCTATTATCCAATTTCTTTATGGAGAAGATGGCCTGGACATCACAAAACAGGTCCATCTTAAAGATTTTGATTTCCTGGCCTCAAACTACAAGTCCATTATGGCTCAAGTAAATTTGACAAGCGACTTCCGCAGTTTGGAGAAGGAAGAGGTTACCAGCTGGCATAAGGAAGCCATGAAAAAGGTGCGCAAGACTGGCAAGCTTGATGCTATGGACCCGGTAATATCGCGCTATCCCCCTGGTGGAAATCTGGGTAGTACTTCGGAGCACTTCTCACAGGCGCTTAAGAAGGTATGTATAGTTACCCTGGCTGGTCTGTTGCCCCATTGCACAGATGTGGCTAACGAAATGTTGCAGTATGAGGATACCAATCCGGATAAACTCTTGAAAGACAAGAAGAAAGAAATCGAGGGTGTTATCAGCAAGAAGGCATTTAATACCTTGATGAGCATGAAGTATATGAAATCCGTTGTCGACCCTGGCGAAGCAGTTGGAATTGTTGCTGGCCAGTCGATTGGAGAACCATCTACTCAGATGACTTTGAACACTTTCCATTTGGCTGGACACTCGGCCAAGAACGTGACCCTGGGTATTCCTCGACTGCGTGAAATTGTGATGACGGCTAGCGCCAATATTATGACCCCGACGATGACCTTGATTCTGAACGAGGAACTGTCCAAGGAGCATTCTGAACGATTCGCCAAGGCAATTAGCAAGCTCAGCCTTGCGGAAGTCATTGACAAGGTCCAGGTCCAAGAGAGAATATCTTCCGGTAGTACGAAGGCGAAGGTATACAATATTGAAATTACATTCTTCCCGCCCGAGGAGTACACTGCAGAGTATGCGATTAACACCAAGGACATACAAAACACATTGCAGACCAAATTCATCCCGAAGCTTGTTAAGCTTACTAAAGCGGAGCTTAGGAAAAGGGTTGACGAAAAGACATTGAAGAACTATTCTACTGCCCAGCCTGAAATTGGTGTCTCTGTTGGCACTGTCCAGGAAGCCCCTCGTGGAGCCGACAATGCTGATGAAGATCAAGCTGATGATGACGACGAGGATGAAGATGATGCCAAACGCGCGCTGGGTGCCCAAAATCGCTCAAACCAGGTCTCTTACGAGGGTCCCGAGGAGGAGGAGACTGAAATGGTCCGACAGTTAGACGCCTCCGATGATAGCGATGACGAAGACGGCAATGCAGGCCAGAAGCGAACGCGTGATATTGAAATGGGTGATGCTTCTGATGAAGAAGATGAAGGAGCGAAAGATAGCAAGTTGCGGGAAGATGATGTAAAGGGCCGGTATGCTGAAGTTACCAAATTCAACTTCAACCCTAGCAAGGGAGCTTCGTGTACCATTCAGCTACAGTACGACATCTCGACTCCCAAGCTCCTTATCCTGCCTCTGGTCGAAGACGCCGCTCGCAGCGCAGTCATTCAATCTATCCCTGGCCTTGGCAACTGCACGTTTGTGGAAGCGGACAAGGTCAAGGGCGATCCTGCATGTGTTATTACCGACGGTGTCAACTTGCTTGCCATGCGTGACTACCAGGACATTATCAAGCCTCATTCTCTCTACACCAACTCGATCTACCACATGCTTGCCCTCTATGGTGTGGAAGCTGCTCGCGCGACCATCGTCCGAGAAATGTCCGACGTCTTTGAGGGTCATAGCATTTCCGTCGACAATCGCCATCTTAATCTAATTGGTGACGTGATGACCCAGTCTGGTGGCTTCAGGGGCTTTAACCGCAACGGTCTGGTCAAGGATAGCTCATCGCCTTTGGCCAAGATGAGTTTCGAAACGACTGTCGGCTACCTCCGGGAAGCTGTGATTGAGAGGGACTTCGATAATCTGAAGAGTCCTAGTAGCAGAATTGTCGCTGGTCGTGCTGGAACCGTTGGAACCGGTGCTTTCGATGTTCTCGCCCCCGTGGCATAGTCGTGGCGTGACCTATGTATTTCTTCATCAGTTTGTATATGCTCGCGATCTGTAGTGTGTATCTACCATGCATTTTCTTTATTGTTTGATGTGTCCAATGACTCTGGAGTTCTGTCACAGCGGAATTAAGAAAAAGCCTTGTGTGTTTTGATGTTATATAGCATTCATACTACTGTGCAGAGAAAATAGATTCCTTTTCTTTTACAAAAATTTTGCAAAAATATATATATTGACCTAAATTTTGAAACACCAGGCCACCGTGGTATCATATACTGTAGAACGGACTATTTCCATGAAAGCAGGTACGCAACTCCAAAAGAAGCTAAAGTGGAGAATGAAGAGCATATTTATTTCAGTGGAAGAATTATTATGCTCCCTCTGCATCTAGCATCATGAGGTCTTCATCAATGTTATCATCAAATTCGTCCGCACCAGCGGCCACACCGTTGCGAACACCGTTCGCCATATGTTCATTGGCGAGTGTTTCTCGCCGTACCCGTTCTTCCTCCAGCTTTTGCTTTTCTCGATGTTTTTCTAAGTCAGCTAAGCTCCAAGTTGAAATCCCTTCCTGGTCTTTCGCCTTGAAAGGCTGGGCCATGGTACGTAGGAAATTCTTCGCTGTGGCGACGGCCATGTCTGTGCTGAGATTGGTCTCACTTTCTAGCATCGCCTGACTGATCCATTTGGGGAGTTGCGTTCGCTTTTTCTGGAATCGCCTATCGGCGAGAACCATGACGCCGTAGTCGTCTTTACCGCGAAGGACACGGCCCAGACACTGAGCGGCATGCCTCATAGCGTCAAAAGACAGAAAATCGTTTTCTCTGATGCGGTAATTCTCTCGAAGGAATTCGAGACGAGCCTTCAATATGCGGGATTCTGTGTACTGGAACGGAACCCCGATACACAACACGGCACGTCCGTAGTGGTGATCGAAATCGATACCTTCGGAGACTTTCCCTCGTGCCACACAAAATAGAATGGCGCCTCGCCCATTGCAGCATGCTGTTCGATACGTCTCTAATGCGAGTGACGACTCCTGCGCGTCAGGAGTTTCAACAAGAATTAATTTATAATTCCATATCGAGTCTAGAATACCCATGCCTTGCCACATGCTGATGATAGACTCCATGTATAGATATGAGGGGAAAAAGACGACAATTCCGTCGGGCGTAATGCGGGAAAATTCGAGGACGATATTGCCATAATTCCGAACGACGCCTGGGTCATTGCGAATCTGGAACGACGAAGAGATTTGCGCCTGATCCGATCCACGAGTAACAATCATAGGTAAGAAAGACCGACGCGCCAGTGTCATACTGTATGATTCCTGCATAACGGCGGTGAATCCAAGCATTTTCGGGTACATCTCAAGGGGAGATAAGGTTCCAGAAGTAATGATGACCGAGCTAAAACGATCGAACACGGGCTTGATGGCAATGGCAGCATCTAGACAGGTAAAATGCAATATGGGATTCGGCACAGTGGCCGCCTCAGACTCGAACGGTTCTAGGATCAGGAGAAAGCCTTTGTCATAAGTTGAGACTAGAGTTGCAAACGTTGCTACTTCCTGAAGTGGTTGATAATCTTCTATGTTAATAAGTTCTAGGGTCCGTACGAGGGACGTTAGGCGTTCAGCACAAAATCGAAGTGGTTTCCGCTCGATGTAGGTCAGGTCTTTAACGTGAGTAAGGAACGAGGGAGGTGTTTCGGATATGGTATGGGTGACCTTCATTCGAGTCTTGAGGTATTCGATGAATCTTTTGAGAAAGGAGATAAAGTGTTCCGCTCGACGTATGTTCCCTGGAACAGCTTCCTTGAGCAGATCATCTGGCAGGACGGGGTTTGAAATGAATTGATCCTCTTCTCGCGCTTGTTCTGCCTCCTTTAACCCCTCAACAAGCTTCGAATACTCATTTTGAAGTTTCTCCGCATCGGAGCTTTTCATTTCGCTTATTTTGCGTTCCAAATTGCTTGCCCCCCTCGTAGCCTTGCGCAAAGAATCTTCTGTTATATCGATACTGAGGGATTCGATGCAGACGTTGTCAATGTTGTGAGCTTCATCAAAAACCACTATGCAGTCTTTCGAAAATTCCTTTGATACTCTCTCCGCAATCTTTGGGTCGAGGAGATAGTGGTATGAGTAAATTATAACGTTACAAAAGGGCATCTAGTGAAGCATGTTAGCATGGCCAACCATACGTCACTATCCGTGTTGAAGAAATTCACCATTCGTCGTGCTGAGAAATAGGGACATTGCTTGTGCTCTTCGCCGTATTTGAGTAGCCCGTCGAGTGTGAAGACACCGGGAGGCACGAGGTTGTGGGGTTCGAGAAGATCAAGATTCTATGAAATAAGCTATAGCTCGTCCCAACCATGTACAGTCCAATCCCACATACCTCGTGGTAGATGCAAAGCTCAACATCTTCGCCTTTCTCTTTCTTTTCTTTGACAAATCCCGCTGTTAAGCTCCGACACCTCGCATCGACCACTGTGCCACTCTTCTCTCTTTTGACTGACGGATGAAGACACAGGTTCTTCCGACTGGTAAGACCTAGAGCACGAAAAATCCTCCTCGTACCCAATTTGTTGAGAACGAAATTTCATTAACGCCTTCAACTCTGCCAAAGCCTTTTCGATTTCCGACATCGTACGAGAGCAATAGATGAGCTTCCTATGCTCCGGATAGTGTAGCTGGTAGGCAACAATCAATGACAACAAGGAAACGGTCTTTCCGGTACCCGAAGGCATCTCCAGAACGGCACGACCCCCAGCATCGAGGGTCTTTTTGAGGTCGCACATGTAGGCATATTGCTCGGGATATATACGAGGGTACGGGAAGAGAACGGGGAGGTCACTGGAGGGAAAACCAAGGCTGTTAGGAAGTCTGATGGGCTGCAGTTTAATAACTAAATACTCACTCAATGAAAAACTTCATTGTGACGGGCGAACGTGGTGTTCCAGACTGGACAGCAGCTGCGAGAGGAAGCTCTCACTTGTAGGGCGCGGCCAGATTCGCGCCGCATTTGCCCGTTCAGGCGATCGATGACACCAGATCACGTGACATTCCCGATAGAGACGCCGATTATCTATCAAGCCGCTTTGAGCATTCGAAAAGTGTACAATTCTCTGAGCCACAGTTGACGGGGCTCTTTGCGATGAACGCCCCTCCAGATTGGTTAATTCTTTTACAGTAACTGGGAGCCACTGAATCTTTGACCTTCGTTCGAAAACACCCCTCAATTATCCACTCATTTGGTCAAGTAGCTATCCCACTTACCCCACATTATTATGAGTAAAAAGTTCAAATCCCAGGCGTCAAGCAGTCGTGCTGCTGCTGGTGCTTTTGGCACATTTGGAGGCTTCTCGGGTTCCTTTTCGACCGAGGGGAAGGAACCATCTTCCCTTACTTTTGTTTCGGAGCCGCCTGACCTTTCGCGCATATCAGAGGCGCAAATAGCAATTGCCTTCAAGAACTTCTTAAAAAAGGACGAGGTCACGAGAACACGATCATTAGATGACCTGAACGACCATGTTTCTGGTATAGAAAGCCAGAATGGAACTCTCGATGATGGGTTCTTGGAGGCTTGGGTGAGTGCCTATTTTTCACCGCGCAGAATGGAGCAATAAGTTAAGTTAGGCTCATTGCATGGCAGGTAAAAATATATCCCCGGGCATCGATCGACCTCTCCCGTAGAGTGAGGCAGACATCTCATTCTATCCAGGGATCAGTTTCGTCCCTGGTAGGGAAGCGGATTGCCCGCTTTTTGCCCAAGGCCGTCGGGCCATGGCTTGCGGGAATCTATGACAATGACAGACCAGTGCATCTCTCGGCTTTAGAGTCATTCACGCGGGTGTTTTCGACAGATGAGAAGAGGAAAAACGTGTGGAAGATATACCAGACTTCGATTCTCGATTTTGTAGACGACGTCATTCTTCAACAAACCCCCCAAACTTTGAGTGATGAACGAACAGTAAAGCCGGATGATGCGGAGGCGAAGTATGCTCGCGTCGTAGGGACTGGAATTTTGCTATTCAACCGAATTATAGGTATGCCTGCCCCTTGCGTCCCGCCGAAGCTGTCATATCTTACCATCGATATAGGCAATTCAACCCACGAAGATCTTGAAAAAGATCTGACCACTGTCAAAAATCTGCTCACTAGCAAATCACTGTGGGCTCTGTGCTATCATGAAGACCCCTTTGTTCGCAGATCCATATATACACTGATTCGCTCTGCAGTTGCCAAGTGGCCTGAGGAGCTTGATTGGAAATTCGTAAGCGCAGCCTTGGTTGGAAAGTCGTTACACGCTTCGCAATTAGGCTCGTCCTCGGAGCTATCCGAATCTATATTACAAGTAACATTTGCAAGACCGCAAATATGGACTGATGATTATTCTGGGAAGTCTTCCTCGTCGAAGAGATTACTTCAGTATATACAAAAAGGCTCACAAGGAGGCGCAAGTTCATTTTGGACAAATCTATATCAGTTACTGCAGATAGTCCCACTACAAATCCTGCCAAAGAACGATTCACAACCTGTCGGTGAAGCCAGTATCGGGCTATCAAGTGCGATCTCTCTGGCAGAGTCATTCCAAGAAGGGCTGAATTCAAGAGATGAGCCTCGACAAAACAGAGGAGTTGCCTGGAAGGCTTATGTTGATACTGGCATGTGGCTTGCCAATCTGTTACCTGCAGATGATAAAGGCAAATTCCTACGCGAACGGTTGTCTCCTATATTGCTACAACATGTCAGACCGGAGCACGAAGGGTCTCAATGGTCACTCCCTGCCCAATCAGCTGAAAATATTTGCACTGATTATGTTATCGGTTTGATCTCACACGGCCACGAAAGTGAAATGGAAAGGTTATGGGCAGAACTATCTGAAAAGTTACTTGAAACCGTTAAACTATCTTCTCCTGAACAATCGAAGGACTTCAGATCATCACAGGATGAGGTATGCTCTCAGGCCAAACGTTTCTTTGCTTTGGACACGGTGATTCTTTCGCGGGCCGCTGGGACAGATGGTGAGAAGCAGGTGTCTTCTCTTTTTGAGAAGACGAATATGCCACTACTTGACAGTTGCCTGCAAGTCCTCCAGACTCGAAATGGCAAACCATATGGAGCGGCTGCGGTGGTCGAAGAAATGGTCAACAACGTTCCACAGATTGCTCAAACCTCTCAAGCTCTGGTAGATTTCGTCAAAGATGACGCCCCAGAGTTTCTGTTCTCGCCATCTGCGGACCACCTTATTTCAATTATCTTATCATGTCGTTCTTGGGATGGGTTTGGCTCGAGCTTTGAGAAGATCATAGAAAGGGTGGCAAAATCAGAACCAGAGTCCTCGAATGCGCATGCCGTTCAAAAGTTACTTTCCACTATCAACTTCAACGAGATGGATGGGAAAAGCGTGCTTGGCTCATTGATCATGCGTGCCCTAGAACAGGCCTGTAAAGGGAGCAGCCTGCATTGGTCGATTGTCATTGCTGTTCTCCAGAACCAGACGTCTCATGGAGAAATGACTGATTTAATATTTCTGTCAATAATAGATGCCTTGTCTGAGGAAAGCAAATCTTTTCATACGCTGCAAGGACTTTCTCAGGTTGCCAACTCTGTTCCAACCGCTCTCAGGGGCTTTCAAAGCGGACCACACGGCTCCAAATTGACTGGAAAGTTGCATTTCCTTGCTGAATCCCCCTCAGAAGATGTAGGAAGTTTTGCGGAGTCATTGATCAAGGCCCTGAAAAAATCGGTTGTTGGTGAAACAAGTGCCCGGTCGAGTCTTGAGATTCTCCAGCACAACTTTGATTTTGCCAATGACGAGTCTCTCTCGTAAGTGAAGAACAAAATAGAGAAAGGGTGATTACTAACTCTAGTAAAAGGATCGAATCTCTACTCAGGATCGCAGAAGAGCTGTTGCAAAGTGCTAAATCTGAGGATATCGGTCAGCTAGCAAAGGATATTCTACCTGCACGCCAGACTTGGGAAAAAGCTCTCAGCCCTTTCCTCGAGCTCCCTCCTCGGCGATCAACTGCAGTCACAAACCCTCTGGGGGGGACTGTGTATCTTGTGGATCGTGAGTTGTCGGACGACTTTTGGAGACTCTACGAGAGCGTCCCACGCGATTCGAGCCAATGTTCGTCGGCCTTCCGACTGACCTACTTTACCACCAAAATCCTCTCTTTGTTTGACTTCTCCAGACATCTCGGCACGGACCAGCTTGAAACCCTCTTTTACAACCTTCCTCTTGCTATCCAGTTGATTGACGATGACTTAAGTATCGAAAACTGTAATGGAATAACTGGATTAGTGCTTCCTGAGCAACGAAAAGAGTACATGGAAATTGTCAATGATGGTCGAAAGTTGATAAGAGAGTGGGTTCATTCAAAAGAAGCGTTTGCCTCTACGGTCACCCAGTTTTGGGAGAGTAAGCTTGAAGGGCTTAAAGGGACTTCGCCTTTGGACTATCGGATCGGAGAAGCCTTCGTCAAAACCCTGGCTAGTGTTGATTCATCAAACAAATCCAAATCTCCCGATGAGCTTGCCGACTTATGTAAAAGTGTCCGGACAGCAAACACCATTCGTACAGCTTCTTGGGTAGCGGTTTTGCGGCAATCAATTCTTACCACACCTTCCGGGACGCGGCTTTGCAACGAGCTTGTTGCAGACTCCACGGGTCTAAAGCCCGAGGATGAGAGAGGAGACGGTTTGTAGCAGATAATTGCTTATGGCTTTCCGCTAATATATATGTAGGTCTCCGAAAGTTGTCGTTGCTGAACCTTCTGTTGGGGGCGGAGGAAAATGCTGCTGCTTCCATCCCAACCCAACGCTTGGTCTTCTTGGTCAAACATCTTATACAGTGTCTTCAGTCCGAGCGTGCAACTCTCAATGTCAAGGCTGAAATCTTACAAAGCTTGACATTTGTCCTTCCCTGTATTCAAGAGATGTACGGCTCCCACTGGCAAGAGTGTGTGGAGATCCTCAGCAGCATCTGGCAAGACACAAATGGCAGCGACGAAGCTTTGCCCGTGCTCCTGTCTTCATTCAGACTTCTTGGCTGCTTGAAGTCGATCGTAGGCAATGAAGAAAGCAACGATGATATGAAAGATGTTTGGTCAGATCAGAAAGCAGTACTATGCAATAAGTTGACATCAACTTTGCGAAAATTTGGTTAGTCCATACCCATGCTCCATGCGATCATGTCAGTCACTAACAATGAAGACTCTTCGACCACTTTTCACCAACCTCGTGATGTCACCGTTGACCTTCTGTGCCGTCTACTTAACGTCATACCGACTGAAAGCCTTGAGAATGTGAACAAGGTTTTCCCTCTTTTGACGGCACACAGTCAAGCCGTCCAACGGGCTGCGTACACCATTCTCCATCGATATATTCCTAACGTGCAAGAGCAAATGTCATTTGACGTGGCATTATCTAAGTCGACAGTGAGGTTACCAGATGAACTCATGTCCCTGCTACTTGAAGCACCAACTATAGCCTCGATATCCCTTTCCTATGACGACGATAGAACTTGGGCGAATATCCGATCATATCTTTTAAGCTGGAAAGTGGTGTTTGACCACTTTGTCAATGCGGTGTGTTTGGTGCCACAGCTATTTTAAACAGAACCAAAATTCCGCTGACTATTGACCAGTCTCTTACTGTTCAAGAAAATTACGTATTTAGCATCAAGGAAAATGACACACTGGGTCCACTGCTGGAGTTCATGTTTGACTTCCTCCAAGGCTCCCAAGGCAAAATGGTGGAGGCGTCTAGATTCGATATTCGCACCTTCGAACTGGATCGATCCGAGTCTTACGAAAGGGAGACAGAATGGCTTCTTGTCCATCTGTACTATTTGTGCTTGAGGCATGTAGCAAATATGACCAAGGGTTGGTGGATTGATGCGAAAAAGCGCATCAAAGGGCCAGTGGAGACCTGGACTGAAAAATACGTAAGTTGGACTGGTTCTACTGTTTCTCCGAATGAAAGAACTGATCAAACCTTTAGATTTCACCGTTGGTCATTGAAGACTCTCTGCGAGGAGTCTCGGAGTGGATGTCAACCCAAGACCCTGATGAAGAACGCGCATTGACGGTGAAGATATCCCATAAGACTGCGGAGATCATCGCTAGTATCCCTGTCGACGAGGAATCACCCCCTGTTGCCTTGTCCATATCTCTGCCGCCCGCATACCCACTACATCCGGCTGTGGTCGTGGGCCGAAGCCGGGTGCTGGTGGATGAGAAGAAGTGGAAGAACTGGCTGCTTGTCATCCAGGGGGTGATCATGTTTTCCAATGGCAGCCTGGTGGATGGACTACTAGCCTTCCGGAAGAATGTTCAAGGAGCATTGAAGGGACAGAGTGAATGTGCCATTTGCTATTCGGTGATTTCCACGGACATGCAGACACCAAACAAGCGATGCGCCACTTGCAAGAACACGTTCCACTCCGTCTGTCTCTACCGATGGTTCAAGAGCAGCAACCAGAGTACGTGTCCATTGTGCCGGAACAACTTTGTCTATGTTTAGGGCGATAGATATAGAGCGGTAGTGTATAGTAATGAAGTGATGCTGCAAGTCAACTGAAGTACGTAGGTAGTAGTTTCAAACTTGTCATTCTCATGCAAATAGGAGGCGTTGGACTGCGTAGAACACTACGAGACTAGTAAATAGGGAGTTAATTAGCCCTTACATAAGTAAACGGGGAGCTTAGTCTTAAGATCGCATGGCATCTTATAAAAGCTCTTTTAAAAAACAAAACCATATACTACCGAAGAAGGCACCCTACGCAAGGACCTTATTAAGAAGAAACTAAGTAGCCTAACTACTACTACGCTTAAAAGCTCGAAGCTACAGCGCGTAAGAACGGAGGACTCAATCTCCTTTACAAAAGTCTCATCATCAATCCCTCTTTGTAATTTTGAAGTGCTTCGAATTCTGCCTTCGGAGTATCTTGGTTCTAGCCATCATGACTACCCTGCCGAGTCCCCGAAGTGCCAGGAGCTGCGGGCTGCGTTACGTGTGCGCCCATAAACCATGTTGCAAGTTTCTTGCACATGCACAGTACTTGATCTATATCAACCGAAGATACCCAAAATCAGTCTCCAGCCCATGAATTTAAACGTGAACTCTCGCTCGAGACTTGGCTTTTGCACTCCATACCCTGCCGCCTTGCTGTCAGATCCTAGTGGCAGCTTTGATCAGAAGGCAGAGATAGAATATTATGATTTTGATACCTTTGAAAATGCCCGACAACGGGCCCGCCTTTCATTATTTTGAACGTTATATCCCCAACTACATTTTCCTGGGAAAATACGAGGAGAGTGGCGTCCCAGGGTCTCCTGTCAGAAAACCGGCCCTTTTTTTGTCCCTCTCAAATTCTCCCATCATACACATTGGACTTGGCTTCTAACGCAAGAGTCAGCATTGGCGATGTGCCTTGCGTAGGCCTATTCCAGCATACCTATCCTCAGTTTGGAACAACATGCGCTCTTCGGGTCTAGGGTATCCGCAAGCGAAAGCCATCATTTATAACAATCTTAACACCACAGACAGTCACATGCTTCGAGGTAATGGTTGCCCTAAGCTTGATTATAGCGCAACGAAGGCGAGCCCGCTTCATTCAGCATATGACTGCGCCGGTATTTCTAGCCCACTTCCCAGTCCCTGAATAGGTTTCTAATTAAGATCCTACAGGCTTTTCTCTTCTCTTTCATGGGATTCCAGCATGCTCCACTGTTCGACGCATACTTTGACTGCAGCACTCTGGTGGTGTGTCCGACCAAGGTCTTTGATCTTCGCAAGGATGAGGTGGTTTTCAAAAAATTTGCGCAGTGGTATTTTAGAAAGCCAACTGGAAATACTAAGGCATTTTAGTAGCTGTGCTTGAGGCTTTCTCTGAAAGATGTTTCCTGTTTTGGTGGCATATATCGGGATCGGAATTTCGGATCGGGCTTTCTGCTTGGGCGTTTTTTATATTTCTCTTTTCTACTTATTTTTCGGAGCTCTGCTTATGGAATTTATATTCTTATCCGCTGGATAAGTTACAATCAGGTCAGTAATTTCAGTGCCTGTTTTTATTTGGACGGGCAAAGAAGGTGAAGTTGGGTGAGGTTAGTACCTTAAGGCATTGGAGGTGGAGTAAATTGCATACTGTATTATACAGGTAATTTGATACATTTGGTATGCGGAATTACGCCATCAGCCAAACCATCACACAGCCAAAGCTTCCTCCCGCCGTAAGATTCGACTTGAGGACATGTCGGCTTCGCAGATCCCAAACCTCAACACTCTCCGTCGAGGCGGTGGCCGTGGTCGTTCCGGGGGTCGTGGACTTTCTCGAGATGGTGCTGGACCCAGGCCCAGTGCAGGCAAAGACCGAGTGGTACAGGGCACCGACAATGACGCCAGTGTTTCCCGGTTGAGTGCGGTGGGCGTTGGTTATCTGGAAGATCCGTTTGCCAGGGGATTAACACCGCCTGGTTTGGAGACCAGACGGTTGCCCATAATTAATAGAGGTGCAACCTCCCCCTTGTGGATGCTCTGTATACCGGACGATTAACATCAGTCATAGGGACCTACGTCCGTACGGCCGCAATCGACCAGCTCGTCCATCGGTTCCTCTCCCAAACCCCCGAACAGAAGAAGCAGATTATTTCTTTAGGAGCTGGCTCCGACACCCGGGCCTTCCGACTGCTGTCGATGCAGCCGCGGCCGGATCTGATCTATCACGAGATTGATTTCGCGGTCAACACAGCCGCCAAGATTAGGTTTATTCGCTCGACGCCTCGGCTCCAACAAATGCTGGGAATTGGACGACCGGAAGATGTCACGATATCCGACGCAGGGGATGCGCTACATTCGACGGTCTATCACCTCCACCCACTCGACCTACGATTCTTGAAGCGCTCGCCGGATACAACAGAAGCACCGGATGCTGATCAACGACCTTACTTGCGGGAAGTCGAGGCGACGCTCCCTACACTCCTGATATCCGAATGCTGTTTGGTCTATCTCTCACCCAGCGAAGCCGCCGATGTGGTCGGCTTTTTCACACAAACTCTGTTTCCCAGCCATGTCCCGCTCGGCTTGGTCCTATATGAGCCGATCCGTCCCGACGACGCCTTCGGTCGTACCATGGTATCCAACCTTGCGACGCGAGGCATCCACCTGCAAACTCTGCACCAGTATGCGTCGTTAGGGGCGCAGCGACAACGGCTGCAGGATCAGGGGTTTGACGGGGGCCAAGCCGCGGCGGACGTGCATTTCATCTGGGAACGGTGGGTGAGCGACGCGGAGAAGGAACGAGTAGCGGGGCTAGAAATGCTGGACGAGATAGAAGAGTGGAACTTGCTAGCGCAACATTACTGCATTGCATGGGCATGGCGAGGAAGAATCGGAGGAGGGTTTGAGGGATGGAGGGATTTTGATAGCCAAGAGAGGGGGAATTAGTGATTGAAGCCTTGGCTTTTTTTGTTCCCCGTCCTTAGGCATTTTCACCAAGTGATATGCCCTGGTATGGGGTCTACCCTTATACCATCACATAAGCATGCACTACCACATAACTAAGTTACTCCGTACTGGGTACGGAACTCGCACGGTCAGAATTGGAGCTGCGGATTTCTGGGACCGATCTGACGTGACTATTGCTACCCCAATGGACCTCCCCGATCGAGTAAGTCTTTACTATACCTAAGACTAGGGACTACTACTAGTACGACAGAGAGACAGATAGGCAAGGGTAGTCTTCTCAAGAATACCAAGCCTTGGTATGAACTCGGCGAACAGAAATTTTGGACCATCGACTAATGGTATGCCCCCCTTTTTTTTTTCCTTGTGCGACGTGGCAGTCAAATTCGGTTGTTTTGCCGACATGACATTACTGATCACGTTGCAGATGGCCATCTAAGTTCTGACTTGTTGAATATTGGATAGTAATCGACGCCAATCAGAAGGCCACTCACACCATATATTGGCAAAAGGAGAACAACCCTGATCTCCCTCCGTCCAATCATAATGCCTATCAAGCTTATCCATCGGATCAAGTGGGGCTATGGGTCTTGAATAGTCAGGGCTTCTGGCCATTGATTGGTTGAACCCCTCACTATGTCCCCAGCGACTCTCCCGAATTGAGCAAAACGGGTCCAAATAGCCTCGAGGCCGTCCCAATCAGGGAATCCCGTGAGCAAGTAGTAGGGAGATGGTACTCAGTAAGGCTTGGGGAGATGTACCTTCTCGGTGAGTGCCTGCCTACTCCGTACTTGGTGAGTAGAAGTATTTCCACCTGGCCTGCCTTCTACCTTCTCTTTTCTTTCTTTCGTTTCTCGAGGGTGTGATCCGTCGCTGTGGCCGTTCTTTTCCATCGGGCCGTCCATTCATTCATTCATTCATTCATTCATTCATTCATTCATTCATTCATTCATTGCTTCGTGACTCCTTCACACTCTCGTTTGGGATCTATCTGACCCTAGTCTTTCGTTTTATTGTGGCATTCCTCGATCACCAAGGATCCATTCATTCGCCACAAATATATACCAATCGATACATACAGTCCTTCGTTGGATCATATTTCTATAGATATATCACAAGTCGTGCACATAACTGCTACCATGAAGCTCACCATGATCTCACGCGTGGCAGCGTTTGGCCTCTTCGTCGCTGTGGAAGCAGTCAAGCATGGCCATCTTCACAATTTGCGCCATCACCATTCTGCCACCGAAACCGAAATCGACACACCCCTGGAGAAGAGAGGAGGTTCCTGTGAATTCCCCTCGGATGCAGGATTGGTTTCTATCACTCCAAAGATGATGAACGGCGGCTGGGCTATGAGCCCCGATCAGCCCTGTAAGCCGGGAAGCTACTGTCCCTATGCTTGTCCCCCGGGCCAGGTGTCGATGCAGTGGGATCCAAAGGCGACGTCGTACAGCTACCCGATGTCGATGGTAAGCACTATGAGTTCTATGAACGGTACCAATATTGACAAGATGACTAGAACGGCGGTCTATACTGCGACAAAGACGGCAAAATCAAGAAACCATTCCCGGATCGCCCATACTGCAAGGACGGCACGGGTGCGGTGGGTGTGCGCAACAAGTGCAAAGGAGGCGATGTCTCGTTCTGTCAGACCGTTCTGCCTGGAAACGAGGCCATGTTGATCCCGACCCTGGTGCAGGAAATGGCGACTCTCGCCGTGCCGGATCCCAGCTACTGGGTTGAGACTGCTGCCCAGTAAGTGGTGGAGAAGTCTCCATTTCTGTTCACCTTGCTGATTTGGAACATTAGTTTCTATATCAACCCGCCAGGCTATGGCACCGAGGACGCCTGTGTTTGGGGCACGTCGTCCAACCCGATTGGCAACTGGTCGCCATATGTAGCGGGTGCGAATACAGACAGTGATGGCAGCACATTTCTTAAGATTGGGTGGAACCCGATTTATCTGGAGCCGGCAACGCCGTTCCGCAACGAGGTGCCTGAGTTTGGTGTTGAAATCGAGTGCGAAGGCGACGGCTGCAATGGACTGCCCTGCAAGATCGATCCCTCCGTCAATAAAGTCAACGAGATGATCGGTAGTAAGGGGGATGGGGCCGGAGGTGCCTCCTTCTGTGTGGTGACAGTGCCGAAGGGCGGGAAGGCTCACATTGTCGTGTTTGATAAAGGTGGTAGCGGCGGCGGTGGTGGAGGTGGATATCCTTCCTCTTCCTCATCTACTGTGTCGGTTTCCACCAGTTCAAGCACCATCCTGAGCAGCAGCACTACTTCCACGACTATCAACAGTAGCACAACCGACTCTAGCAGCACATTCGTTCCATCGACTGCCACATCTACCCCATCCACTACACTCACGACATCTACCATCAGCACACCACCTCCATCACCCACCTCGTCTATGGTTATCTCGACATCCACGCCAGAACCCACTCTGATGCCCTTGCCCAGCCGAACTCCAAGCTCGAGCGCAGTATCAAACCGCTGGCCCGTGAAACAAGCAGGCTATGTTCAGTCATCTCAAGTGATAGTTGAGACGAAAGTCTCTGCATACGCGGGCTCGAAGGAAGAACCTACGGCGACATCGGTCCCGATGAACTCCAACGGCGGCTCTGGTCTGGAGATGTCGCAGTTGGGATTGATCATTGCGGTGATTGCGGCGATATGGTAGGTATTGAGGTAGTCACCGAGACATTTTTCACTTTTTACATTCTTGATATTTTTCATTCTTGATATATTTCATTCTTTATATTATTTTTATTCGACTGGGAAAATTTCCATTCTTTTGACGATTGATGGATTGTATATTGATGATTTGATTTCGGTTATGATGGGTGGATCGAGTGCGTTATTTATTAATTATATATTCAACATAACTTCTTAATTCTTAATCACCTGCCTATATCCAGTAATATAGACGCAGTTCGGGACTGGCTGCCAAACAGAGTATATTGTGGGTCCCGAATCGACAACTGCCTAGCACGTGCCCAAACATGACATTGCATCATCCATCACTCAATAACTACAAACTACTTCGTACACTACCAGGACAGCAGCAAATAAGAGAATCACAATTGAAATGCCCCCCTCACCACAAACAGTACGTTCCCCATATCTCTACTCCTAACAAAATATAGTCACTAACTAACACAGACCAAACTAACTTCCACCCTCCACCTCCTCACCCCGCGTCTACGCCTCTTGCAGAAGAAATCCACCGCCAGCTCTGTGGTACAACGTCGCGAACTCGCCCACCTGCTGTCCGAGGGCCGCGAAGCGAGCGCCCGCATCCGTGTCGAAAATGTCATCGCTACCGATATTTTGGTGGAAGTGCTGGAGATGGTCGAGCTGTATTGCGAGCTACTCCTGGCGCGAGCCAACGTCGTAGATCAGGCCGCGTTCGGCGAGAAGGGAGTCCAGGCTAGGAATCGTGCACGAGAGGTAGCAGTCTCCGAGATGAAAAAACATCAAAGTCAATCTTCCCCCCACCGTGCATCTGGACAGAGTAGCCAAGGACAAGGTCGGGGATCGGGGTTTTCATTTTGGCCGTTTGGAATGAGTAAATCACCCTCTTCTCCATCTACCACTACTGGTGTTACGAAACCTACGGAAGGGAAACGAGAAGGAGATGATTACGATGAGATAAGAGGAGGGGACGAAATAGAGAGCAATTATATCGACTCCGCGTTAGACGAAGCTGCCGCGGCGATATTCTACTCCTGGCCTCGATTCCCGTACGACGTGCGCGAACTCACCATCCTGCGCGGATTACTTGCCGATCGATGGGGGAAGGATTTCATGGCTTTAGCGGCGGATAACAAGTTTCCCGCCAGCGAGGGAGTTAAGGTCCCCGAACGATTGGTGAAGGGATTACGAGCGAAACCACCAAGTACTGAGCTGGTGGATAGCTATCTGAGGGAGATTGCACGGGCGTATGGGGTTTCATGGGGACAGGAGGCCGAGGGGGATCTGGGACAGGCGCCGGAGGAATTCAATGATGGTGATCAAGAAGATGGAAATCAAGGACAGCATGATGGAGGGGATAATACAGGGGATTTACCATCTACAGCTGAAAAAATGCAGAGACGGATATCCGACGCAGCGGAGTTGAACCGGGTGACGCCGCCGAGGGGTCTACAGACGGGGAAAAGCCCCGTGAGTGTGGCGCCACCGGGACCAAGATCAGATAATCCCAATCCACGCGTGAAGGTACCGGATGGAAACGGAAATGGCCAGGAGACGGGGAAGACGTCGGAGATGAGTCCCGCGCATACCAAGTCCAAGAAGAGTGATGCGATTCCCGAGTTGGATGAGTTAACTCGACGATTTGCGGCGCTGAGAAAGTAATCTAGCTTGTGCATTCGTCCGGCTTTGAATATGACTTATGATGACGATTGTCTATGACGAGTTGATTGATCTATGTATTATGTATATACCAGGTAGTTTCTATCGAGTGCTTTGTCTTCATCATACATGGAGTTAGTCCAGTCCATATCTAGAAAAGAGAATGAAAATATCGAAGCTATGCAAGCAATGCTAAAGAAGAGAGTAAATCAACCCGGGCACCACCATGCATGCGTTCCCATATATACATGTACAGGGTGAGTGAAGGATGCGCCATGAAATAGATCGAATATACCATAGTGGAAACCGCCAATCAATGACGAAAGTCCTCTTCTTCTCCCGCAAGGAGAATCTCATGACCGGATCCCTCGTATACGAAGATGGCCGAAATGCATCCCAATATGGATACCAGAGCGATCAACCACCAGGCAAATCCGACCATGCCGATATCCAAACCGTATCCGTACCAGGATCCTGAGAAGATAGGGCCCACGGTACGGAAAGCCGATGACACCGATTGGCCGATTCCGTGAATCGTACCTAGGACCGACGGATGTGGAGAGCAGTTGTTGAGTAAGATGATCGAGGTGGGAAGTGTGAATGTGCGAGCCGTAACTTGTAGGAATAGAACGATGATGATGGAAAACCACACCCATCCGCCGTTGGCCTGTCCAGGGGGTGGGGTGCTGGAAGGGGCAAGGGACATGTAAGGTGCAAACGCATAGGCTAGAGGAAAGAGGGTCAGGAAGTACTGGTAGCTCTTGGCCGTGCCTAGGCGGCTGTTGATGGAGGGATAGATGGTGAACTGCAGTAGCATGCCTATGATCCCCAGAATCGCCGTGGCGAATCCCACGCTCTGAGGCAACATGCCCAACCCTCCCGTAAAAATGAAAGGCAGAGTTCGAGCAGGACGGGCAGGGTCATTGGAGTCGTAGCGAGGTGTGGAGAGGAAAAGCAGCCAGAGGTTGTTGAATGCACTGGCCTGGTCAGCAACGTCACTGCCATATATTCAGCATGCAAACCTACCCCATCTGGAAGTCAAAGAAAGCCTGAGCTAGCAGTGTGCACAGTACATTCTTCGTCCACAGTCTCTGGAAAGGAAGAATGCGAGTGTGCCGAACAGGTTTTTTGGCTTTCTCTTCGAGTTCGTAGCCTTCGGCAGGGCCCCGTCGATGGTTCAATAGAGGGCCCTCTTCATCATAGTCGGCGGAGGGCAATTTATGATAAAGATGTGAAGACGACGGAACCACCGACCTGGCGACGCGGGCGAAGATCCTCTTCATAAACACGCCCAAGCCGGGCTTCCCTTTGCAAGTTTCAAGAGTCTGACCGCGCATAAGCAACGCGCCAGTAAAATCCAATGCGGACATATACCTACCTCTTCCAAGCCTGTTGCCACGCAAGCTGCAGTAAACGAGAGAAAAATGGCGTTGACCAACATGGGTAAGGCATATGGGTACCGGATAAGCCATTGCACACCGGTATGGCCTCCAAAAGAAGAATCCGGGCCGAACAATCGGGGATAACTCTTAACGGGATCCGCAAGCATACCACCCATGACTGTGAACCCGTTAGCCGACTACCACTTCACGTACCGTGCCAATACCTCCTTACTTGGCCCAAACAAGGAAGCGACATTGAATCCAATCGGCAGGATTAAAAATGCCCGGGAATGGTATTTCTTTTCCTTCACATTTTCCGCGACCATCGTCCGGATAATGCCTACTGTACCGTTGATTGCACCGCCAAATGAACGCCAGAACACGGCCTGCGCGAACGACGTCGAGAAGGCAACCCCAAGACATGAGACCGCGGTACCCAGAAGACCAACCAGCAAGACAAACTTCCGCCCTCCCCATTCTGCGTCGGCCACTCGGCCCCAGGGAATAGCGGTGGCAAATTGCGCAGCGGTGAAAGCGCCCTGTAGGATGCCGGCCTGTGTCGATATGTCGGCGTCGGAGAGGTTCTGATCGAAAGATTTCAGCTGATAGAACATGTACGCCTGCAGGGAGGCGATCTGAAGGAAGTCAAAGACGCGACTGAGACTGAGCAACGCCAGCTGTTTCTTCCGGGGCAGGGACATCCAGGTCACAGGGGCTGGACGGGGCGTTGGAGGCCTGGCCGAGAGCTCAGGAGGCGACATGATGACTGCAGGGTGATTTTGCGAACGATTGCGCACATGTCTCGAGAGTTCCATGGAGGTAGTCCTCAAAGCTATGGCGGCGTCGTCTTCCTCGTTGTATCGGATAAAGGAGTCCTCGGACATGTCCCCGAGAGAGAGGTTCGATTCGTGACGACTGCGCTGCTGTGTAGAGGAGACTTCGAGTTTACCGTGACTGCATGCCCAAGAAGTGGCCCGGGTGTGACGCGCATCCCGGGATCTGCTGTTGGTGGGGTTGGACGCAGAGTTGGAGGGATGTAAGGCCGGAGTTGGAGAGGGAAAATAATCGTCCGTAGAAGATTGATGACTAGTTTCTTGGGATGCCGTTCGTGGAACAGGCATCGAAGGTTGAAGTAAAAGAGGATAGTTAAGAACGAATGATATTAATCGGTCCAGGAGGGGAAATGAATGAGGGATGGAATTGGACCGGAAGATGCAAACGACCGACAAAGTAAAAAAGAACGATCGATGGATAAATGATGATAGATAGAATCTAGAGACGAAGTAATGTCTACTGAGTATAAAAGAGGAAGAGAGAGGAAGACGAGGATCAGGAGGTGTATGTTACGATGATAGTGCCTGTTATGTATGTACATGTACATCATTCCTGCGTATTTAGAGTAGGCGCTAGGCGATCAGCAAGGTTGCGTACGACGGCTGCCACTTACATGGTCTTGGCAATGGAGTCTGGCTTGCCCGCCGACGTAATCTTGGTACGTAAATTACCATTCTTCATGACAGATACTACTCCGAATGTCCTCCGTGCAGTATCTCAATCTCGCCCCGGAAAGTTTACACGGAGTCCAACGGAGGATCATTCAATCCTGTAGTCGAGTTCAGAATACATACGACTACACTTACGTCTCTCTACTTCTTCATAGACGGGATTCTGTCTATGGCAAGTAATGGGGTGGTTGATGCATCCCGTCCATCTATCGTCGCCAATGCCACCGTGGTCGGTCTTCCGTCTTAAGTGCGGACTTCTGTCCGTTTAGTAATAATTTATCATCATCATCCCAGTCAGAGTCTCTGACGGCTTTCCTTCCTTAGCCTGGCACGGTATATCCGCAACACAACCCCCACCACACCGCGACGATCATCGCTCCAAGGCGGGGCCCGCGCATCTTACGCGATCTATAACCTACTGTCTAAAACAAAACTAGAAGCAAAAGGAGAACCTTTACCGTAGGTCTCTTTTTAGGGCTGCGACGTCTCGGGTCATGTCTTGCCGGACCTACGTCACTGCCAGCCTCCGGATTTTCGGATGTAGCCCAGGAGACGGTGTTGCTCTCTACCGGAGGAATTGCGAGAAGTTGAAATTCATGTTCTGGAATGTTGGATTAGCCCCATGTAGCTCCAGATGATCGAACAACCTCCCCGGAGATCTTACAAATGATACACGTATGGCGTGACGTAGTCTATATTGTCCTTGCATGTATAGGGAAAACAAGCATACCTGTATCCATGAATCCAGGTGAAGAAACTTTAACAGAACACAATTTCCCCTTACCCATCCCTATTCATTCATAAATGATTCAGTCAAATCACTTTATTGTATGATAACAGAATCTTGCCTATGAGGCTTCTGTGGGTCGATATGATCTGAGGGACGGTATTAGTTTATCTCTTGCCCATGCACCTTTCACTGGCAATGATATTCCAAAGTGTAACTGTCTAGCCAGTCTAACTTGACCCCACTATAAAACGCACCAAAGCACAGAAGAATCCCCATCCGCGAAGAGTATACGTAGTTGACTACGTAGGCCACCAGCGCTAGTGTATGCTCCGGCAGCGCTTGGTCAGCATTTCCATCTAGTTATCTGTGCCAAAGTACTGTGCTTACACATCTGTATTAATACTGCATATACTGTAATATATATACTGTAAATAAATGTAGGTTTGAGTGCTCAGAATGTATGGTTAGCAGTATGCCATCGAAATAAATTAAGCGGACGGTGACCGGCAACTCCGAGTCTCCGACAAGCCTTTCTAAGCCCGAGGCTAACGCTGCCAAGGGGCCCGCCGCCACGTCACGACGGGGACAAGCGCGGTGGACCGCTGCTCACTTGGTCGGGGAATGCACCTACGGAGTGCTCCATACGTACTTGTGGCTGCTCTTTCTCGTCCTCATTTAGGAGATTTACAGATGTTACAGAGCACAGAGAATATGACCCCTTTCTAGATTGGTTCCTTGCTTTTTACCTCCAGATCAGAAGTGCATACCGTTCATAGTGGCTGTGTACATCGGATAAATTGTATCCATACAATATGCTGACCGAATAATGGATTACATCGGTGTCAATATTTTAGGATGCCAATTAGCAAATAGGAGACGATATACAGTATCAATAATTAGACTTACCTACCTCTGGCCTGTAATATTCATTGTTTCCGATCACTATGCAGCCATTCATAAACAGTCTTACTGTCATTGGGCTGCATACAGTTGATATTTAAGTATATTGGAAACGGCTTCGGCATGTTGAACTTCGGAAAATTATGAATATTTAGTACGGAGGTAGTACAAAACAAAACTATATTTACAGCCACAGTAGCAGTTAATAATCCTTTAGCTCCAGCCACGGTAGCGTTGGTTACACGCACATAAGATCCCTGGAATACTTCTTAGGCAACAGTAACCTAAGAGAGTGTTCCTTCTTGAAAACAGACACAACAATCAGTATGGAAATCAATGTGGACATGTAGCAGATATGCCCAGCCATCACAAATAAATAAACCAAATATCAGTTGTGCCCAGCACACTCTGTAACATTAACCCAAAATAGAACTTGGCATAACCCTCCCTTTTATCGCGAAAATCTCTTGAACATTATGGTAGCAGCCAAGCCAGTGGCCAAGATTGCCCCACCAATAGTGAGAGCCTGCAGAGTTGCATTCATCATCTGATGCCTATTGCGAGTACGACAGCGCTGGAAGAAGTCGGCCATGTCATTGCCGCGGGGAAAAGGGGTATCGGGAACCTCTTCACCCAGGAACTCGCACAGCGGGCCCCAGCCATCACTAATCTTGTATTCCAACAAGCGCTCCGGGGGAACCAAGCTACGCACCTCCGCCACGTGGTCTTCGTAGACCTGTTTTCCCTTGGTGAGGAAATCACCCCGGAAGAAAGTCTGGAAGAACTTGTTCAGCATGGGGTAATACATGCTGGCCGCCCAGCTAAAGTTGGAAATGAAGCGGTGCTCGGGGTCGGATACACGCCACCATACGGTCTTCATAACGGATCTGTAGAATCTTAAATTAGGGGCTGGCTTGAGGGAATCGCCGATATAGAACGTACGCATGCCACGAATCCACATCACGAGTGGTTAGGATGATCTTAGCATTGGGGTAGGCTTCAATTAGCTCTTTGGCAAACGCACATGCAGGCCAGTCACAGACAGCCTGGAGCAGCAGTTAGCTAGCGTTCATAATGTTTCTGGCTGGGAATCTCGAGATATACCTGGCAGTCCCCCAGAAGCTGATCCCATTCCTTTCGTCCGAACTCGCCCACGCCATTATATTTAGCAATCAGAGCATCGTGCCACATTAAGCAATCTGGAGGGTTCTCAACGCTGGCGGACATCATGTGGTAGCATTTCAGATATCCAAGACGCTCCAACGCCTTGCGGAGGGCTTCTCTGTTGTCAGCCTTACATTCAGTCTTGGACATTCAAGCTCGGACATACATGCAGTTCCCGTTCTTCCTACGCCAAGCGCCAGCACCTTCATAGGCACTGTTCGGTGACATCTGCGTCGATCGATGCAAGTGTCACTTGTAAAGATATCAGTAATGGGTTGAGGGGAAAGGTTATCCGAGTGGATCAGTGACATAGTGAATGACTAGAGTAGGAGACCATTCAGGATAACAAGCCAGGAAGTATTAAACTCATTAAGAGGGCAGAAAAGAAGTATGAACTCCAACAAAGTATCCAACGAGAGAGTGGATTGGGGACGAGGAGAGTAAAGACTGGAGAGAACACGCAATAAATGTCCTATGCTAAGTAGAGAAGTCTGGGAACACGCTCCTGTCAAAAAGTTGATCTACTAATTAATTAGTAACGAAAGATAAACAAGTTTCCATGACGCGAAGATGACGGCCAAACCCAATGCAGCAGTGAGTACTATCCTGATGGATATCCATGGTAAGAGTAGTGGGTAAGAGCGGTTGATTAAGAACAACCATGGTAATACACTGTAACCATTACTTAATGCTATTTTTCCTTCGTTTTCCTTATTTCCCCTCTTCGATTTGGAAATCTTTATTCCCCTGGCGGGTCTTCGCCGACGTTCTGGACAACCAAAAAAGTCGTAGTCCAAAAACCATCATTCTGGCTGACGTTGTGGACGATGATTAAGGGGACGACGGGTACTTGCCATTTACTCCATGAAAATCACAAGAGTCATCGGCCATCTGGAGCTGAATCGCACGCCATGACGACGCTCCTGATTTCGCTTCCCCCATCCCAGGACGCCGGTGCAAGGAATTAATGGAACATATGTGCGACACCCAGTGATTTGCTGATCGCTGGAGCTCCGGTGCGTAGTGAGGCCTGAGGCCACAGGTGACTCGGCTGGGACCGTGCATGGCCGCCGTTTGATTGGTGGACATTATATGGACCACGCAGACTATACTTTCTCAGCTTAGCTGAAACAGATCTTCATATTATATTTGTCAAATTTTGAGAACCGCTTCCTTTTCTTGCCCTTCTTGCCCATTCTTTTAGTAATTTATCCAGGTCGCTACCTAGGGAAGAGTTGGTGGTTTGAATCATGTATCGGGTTCATTGATGCGCTGAGTTTCATCGGAAAGGCCTCTCTGGTCTCTTGAGATACCCAAGCATCCACGATGTAGTAGACGTGGGCATGGACTTCACCCGATATAGCCAACAATGTATAAGCTTAGCGGCAGTCAAGTCATTCTGGCTCCATTTCTGACTGCCCCGCAAATATCAATGCAGCTTGTCCCTCCTTTTTGAAATCCGTGCCGTGATTGTAGACGTGGGTGTAGTGGATGAACATTCAGTCCAGTCTCGAGGCTATCAATCTATCATTATCATTAATCAGCCGGAGCAAACATTCGCACAAGACTGGTGACAAACCTATCTCCAGGTCTCCGCTTTGATGCATAGCACCACAACCTTACATGCCTCCGCACACATGAAGGACACGGAACAAAATCCTACCCTCTCAGCAAGAGGTCGATAATCCATAGCGCGAGGAACAGCCTCCGACGGGGATCGACTCGTTTCCCGAGTTCTGTGCATCGGTCCCGTTGACGTATCCTAGCCAAGACGGCTTATAACGGACATGGAGCCGGGAGACAGACCTACGGGGTAACAACTCTCATCCTTTGATGACGATCTTCTTTCGTTCTGTTTGTTATGACGGAGGACTAGTGTTACCGATCGCTTGTTGAGTGTGACACACCGACGAGCTCTGTGCCTAGATACTCCAGGTCATAGATACATGCGGGTAATCGTATGTATCCGTCAGAATAAATGCGTATCATGACTGAAAGGGACAATCTGGCATCATTCCCAAGGTGAGTAGTATTCTAATTGACCCGCAGAGAGCGGTATTCCTAGCTGGGGTGTCCGACCAGGTGAGGGGCTGATAGACAGGCCTGTTGGAAGTCCCGTAACAGCTACTTGTACAAAACAAATCAAGACTTGGAAGACAATAGAAAAACGAGAAGGTTCTCCTCGATGGAGTCAACATTACAACAAATTCAGCACGCGCGATAGCGTCACCTGGCCCTTTTAAAGAGCCAGCTGCCAAGAGATGTTGTCAGCATCGTGCTGTAACTCGCAATCAGTGCCTTCGATCACATCACTGCGAACTATGTCGACTCCGGTTTAACCTCTCCTTTACCAAGCCCAAGGGTTCCGAGTGCTCTAAAGAAGCCACAGTCGACGTTTGTATCCCGTCTTGAGCTTAAATATCCCCGAATAAGCTATGTCAGAGGTAGACGGTGGTTTAATCTAATAGTTTTGCATCTGGCAGTGGTTTTGGTTATAGATCTACCTAGGCAACCGTATTTTTCTGAGAATACAGAATACTATGCGGTGGAATTCCTTACTAAGAGCCTTGATCATCCTAATAAGACGTCGAAAGAACTTGAATACCAGTCTTTGGTTCCTTTCTTTGGTCAATATAAACCAAGGTAGAAACAATTGCAATCGACATACAAAACAAAATCGCGAGTGGGGTTTCCCAAACGTATAGTATCAACCATGAATCCAGAACTCCGAGTGAGTGCCATAATCCCGTGGCCACTCAATGCAATGAGGTTCGGCAATAGAAATCAATCCTTCCTGTATCCCACCAGGCGGACATGTCTCATTCCAGTTTATCCAAATGTTCCAACCTTGTTAAAACAACCTGTTTACTTGTCTCTTCAATTTCGCCTGCAAGGAAAACCTCATCTAGAATTGCATACACCTGCACCGAGTTCGTCAGTGTTATTCAAAACATGTCGCATAGTAGGTACCCTGAGCTACCACCCAGAATACATCCAAAACGGGAAATATCAAAATACCTGGGTCCCAACGCACCTTGTAGAAGTTGAAAACTAGATCCAATTCGCACACATTCCCGAAGAACTGGTCCAGCACTTCAACAAAGAAATGGATCGCTTCGAGATACGCCAACTCATTGTCGGTAGCATCGACGCCGGCACAGAAGAATAGTCCCGCATATCTCCGATACACAATTTTTGTACTCCGTTTGAATTCGACAAAATTCGACTGGTATTTCTGGTCTCTGGGTGCCACCAGACGATGGACCTAGATAGATCCGTTAATTCATCCTGTTCTCCGTACGGCCGATTGATCTTGTCGCAAACGGAACCGAGGGGAACGAACTTCGCCTTTGAGTTTCACTTTCTCCTCATCCTGTAAAAAGGAATCTATTAGCATATTATAGAGTGATAAAGAAAGGCAGGAGTGACCTACGCTGTAAGGCGCATACCATTTCGCAAGGCGCGTCTTACCCCTATTTGTCGATTAGCATCGTGGCGATCGGGTGATGGTATAGATACGCTCACTGGCGGTTCTGAACTAGTATAAAGGAGAGAACCATCCCGCCTCAATGACCAGCGATATGCCGATAGGACTTAGGTCGTCGAGAAGTCATCTGCGGTTCTCCACCTCCTGTCTTGGATGAGAGCAGTGGGCTAGATTCGGGGTTCTGCCGGTTATCACCGCCTTGGTACCTTTGATTTGATGTGCTAATAAATTAGGAACTTATTTTTATTATTTATTTTCTCTTTGCAAGAGAATCTTTCGGTTTTTTTATTGTTTGAGACTCCCGAATATGAATGCTAAAGTTTGGCAATGGCTTTCCTTGAGTTGTCATAAACTCAGTCTGCTTCCCGAGTAACTAGCCACATACTCCTAGCAAACGAGTCGCATCTGTAGAAACGCCATCACCTCCCAGGTGACCGTAATATGAACCGTGGCCACTCAGGCCATTGCACCCTCACACTCTCCATTTGAGTTGCAAACATATCTAAACAGCCACTCCCTTACATCTTCGTTGCTATGCCAGTTTACCTACTCTACGGATTTCGCTGGCCTCGTGCCGGCTTCACAGGAATCCGAGTCTACATCGTTTTGCATAATCTGGAAGAAGCGACAGCAGAATATCTTCAACAGCCATTAACCACACAGCTCCTCGTCGAGTCATTCAACAAGACGGAACCGAGTATCGTGTCCCGTCTCCCCGACATGCAATTCATCGAGCAGTACGACCCGGATGATACGAGTGAGGAGGCTGTTAGCAAATCTCACGCGTATGTCGCAGCTAAGGTGATCACGATGCCTGATGTTGGTAGCCCAGGGGCTTGTCTTAGCTTTGATGCCGAGGAGCTAGTCAAGGACTCGGGGCTGGATCAGGACGCCTCGGAAGCGTTAGCGGAAATGCGCGATAAATATGCTGCGGGGGAGAAGATCGGATGGTATATTGTGTACAATGGAGACCCGGAGAGGTATTTCCCTCCAGATGAAGATGAAGAGGATGATCATAGCATGTACGATGATCATGAGGAGGTGGAAGTGAATGGAAGCGAACGTGGCACTTCGTCCCGACCGCCGTCTACCCCTACTGTAGGTGCTGGATTTGTTTATGTTGCTACTGTTGTCCTTGCTGAAAGTGCGTTAACATTCTTGGATATGTTTTTAGGCGATACTGACTCGTCTCTTCTCCAAAAAATCACACTGAGATGGGTATATGATGATATATGGCTACACGATATATGTTGTATGTTGGTTTGGAAGTTTATGAATTAGCAACACATGGCGTCTTGGTTATATGTGTCTTTTGTGATTTATTATCATAAGTGAAAAGTTTACATTAGTGACTGGATCCATATCCCTTCTGCCAATTCGCGTCAAAAGTCGCTTGATCAACAGCGAATCGACGGATGTAATCCCTTTCCAAGTCATGCGCCCTCCTGCCCAGCAACACAAGGCTGTGTAGTGGTTGTCCCATATCCACCTCACTTAATTCCTTCAAGGTACCTGCGACCAAATTCTGGTCGGGCGCTCCAACGCGCGCCGCTCCGACAGCAAGGCTATCTGGTCCGAAAACCCCCTCTTTGCGCTCTTCCTCAGTCTCCAGCATCTGGCCTGCGCACTGCGCAACTGTCATGTAGCGCGGGGGTTCGTAGATCAAGCGTCCTCGGGCCATATTTTCCAGTGACTGTTCCTTCACCTTAATATCGAGAAGGACGAGTGTGTGTAAACCCAACTGAACATTTTCTTTGACTCGATCGTAGTAGGAAGAGGGCTTCCAGGTCTCCGTAAAGAAGACCATGCTGACAGTTTGTCCAAAGTTGTAGAGCTGCAGTCCTGTGCAGCCAATGCCTGACATGATTGATGCGTTGGGGATGACCTTGGACTCGATGCCCAATTCACGAGCTCGCAGAACGAGATCGGTATGCGTTGTGGCGCTTGAATACTCATCAGATCACTAAACAGACACGGATCTCCTCAAAGGACCTACCCAAACGGATCACCAACCACTAGAAACGCAATATCCACCTTGTCTGCTCCAGCAAGGATATCATCGCTGCCAGTTTCGACTAGTTCTCTGTCGGCCTCAATCACAGGACGTCCATAAAAAGCTTCCTACTGAATCAATTCATCCAAGTTAAAAATTTTCCTGATAAAAAACAAAATAATACATAGCCCTGTAGCCGAAGACACTCACTAGCTTGTCTTTGTTCACGAGGAGAATACTTGTGTATGCTTCGAGGTAGACCCGCTCGGCCTTTTTGACCACCTCCAAGCCTCTGACCGTGATGTCCTTCTCATCAGCAAGACCCAGTCCCACAAGATAGAGCATTCTGACGTTTGACGGCAAAACAATGTTTCAATTGGCAAATTATCAAAGTCAAAAAGTTTCCGTTATCACCCCACCAAAGTGAGCGGAAAGACGGAAATGGGAGAAACAATAGATCCGGATAAGATCACGGGGATGCCTCCACCAGCCAGGAACCTTCCATTATCTTTCGTGACCTAGTACTTCTCGCCTCTCACACAACTGTCATTAATTTGGGAGGAGTGGTGCTGTCTAGACATCATTCACTGAGATTTGCATGAACTATCTGTTATTGGAATATGAGGAATTGTTCTTAATTCCATCAATATGTCTACTGATCGCACCCCCAAGTATCGGCAGGAGATCCAGCAGGTAAGCATGCTGAGTCCCTTGATCGTATCTATTGTCTAGCTTTGTGATTTTGGGTCTGGGCTATTGCTGCACATATTTTTTGATTCTCAGCTCTTGTCTATGCTTGAATGTCATGAACAGTAGAATGGCATGCTCTCAGTATGCTCGTATGTGACTGGGCTGGAACATAATATGCTTGACATGGCTTTGTTTTGACCCCTCTCTTTACTGCTTCACCTGTCTGGCATATTCAAGTAATTCATTCACTCTTACCCCTCCTCTTGCCCATCTCTTATTTCCTCATGTCTTGTTTCTCTGACCCTCCATTCAATCTATGCATCTTTCTCTCCTTGTCTATAAGTAGGAAGAGCAATGGTGTCTGAACAAAGGAGATTATTTGGGCTTGTGACCCCTGATCACTCAGACTCACAATCAGAGCCTGGACTTCCAAGTGATGAGGATGCCACTCTTCCAGCCTACAGTGACTGTGGGGAAGAAGACATGATCATAGACTGGGATTCATTGTATCGCGAGGGTTATATCAAGTTTGACAAGCATATTTTGGCAGCTGCAGCAAGGGAAGCTGGGAATGTGGAAGACACCCAGAAATTTGGAGAAGAAAGCGTCGACGCACACGAGGAGACAGATGAAAGGTTCAGAGCCAGACTTACTAACCTATTGCGGCAGATGATGTTCGTCTCTGGAGAGACTGCCGAACCGTCTGTCGAAACCACTACCCTGATCGAAGAGATTGTGCGCCAGCAGGTTGTTGAAATTGTATGAACTCGCTTGGTCTAACTGAATATTGTAGGCTAACCTTTCCCTCTACAGCTTGTCCGCAGCACTGCACTGGCCACCCGCAGAGGAGTCAGGTCCATTTCAACTGACGATTTGATCTTCCTGATTCGTCACGACAAAGCCAAAGTTTCTCGTCTTAAGACCTTCCTTTCTTGGAAAGATGTCCGCAAGAATGTCAAAGACTCTGATGATAAAGGCGGTGGTGCCGATGCCGCCGATTTTGCTGGTGCTGATGACCCAATCGCTGGAGGTGTCGTCGCTGGCCCCCAGGATGTCGCTTCCAAACCTAAGAACAAGAGGGCCCGAGTTGGTCTTGCCTGGGATGTGAACAGCTTCTATTCTATGCAGGTGCCCGAGAGAGAGGACGAGGAAGATGAAGAAGAGGAAGAACAGAACTATGCCACTCTCCAGCGTCTGGCTGCTGCAGACGAGCGTACCAAGAACATGACTAAGGAGGAATATGTGTTCTGGTCTGAATGTCGCCAGGCCTCGTTCACCTACCGCAAGAGCAAGCGTTTCAGGGAGTGGGCCGGATTTGGCATCGTGACCGAGTCCAAGCCAAATGATGATATTGTCGATATTCTTGGGTTCCTTACCTTCGAGATTGTCCAGACATTGACGGAAGAGGCTCTCAAGGTTAAAGAGCGCGAGGACCGCGAGAAGAACCGTCGCGGAGGAGCAGAGAATGGAACTGGCGAAAACACCAAGAAGCGTAAGCGCGAAACCGGACTTTTTGACCCCCCTGAGGAGGGCCGTACTCCTGTGGAACCAAGACATATCCGCGAGGCGTATCGCAAGCTCCAGGCTACTCCAAACAAGCAAATTGCGATGCTTCTCCACAATGGACGCATGCCCCCTCGTATGCCATTGAGACTGGTAAGTTGTCGATAGAATTCTACACGAATATGACTGACACCTCGTAGATTTAATGGCAGAGACTCTTGCGCCTTTGTATAAATTTTTAATTACGAGACACGGCTTATGATTGCACGATACAATTAGTTTTCGAGGGAGGATATTTTACATCATAACGGTTAAGCGCTACAGGGTATTAAGGATTCATTGTGCTGTAACAAAGTGTGCTTGATATTGGTGTTATGTATTGGAGACAAGCGACAGGAATAATAAGGAACTGTAATACCATAGCCATATTTTCGTGCGCACTCGATATTAGGTTCAGTTATTGAAGCAGTTCCAGGATAAGGAGAACTCATCAACATAATATACCGTCATACATTTTGTCAAGATATTTAGACTGACCGTTGAGATTACTAAGATAAGACGAAGGGCAAATTGGCCCTTGCCCCAGCTAGCATAAAGGCATCTTAATGACACAGCATCTTAAAACAGCGACCGGTTTGTTTGCTCTGGCCTTTAGGGTCGCAGAAGATCTCCGGTCCCCGGCTTTCCACGCCGTCATCGTCCTAGAAGAAGTAAAGAAGCTTCCCAATGTCCAGTTAGAAGAGCTTAGGTTTATTAGTCAGGATACCTACCTCAGGGTGACGAAGGTGGTCTTCTTGGGATTTAGCGTCAGAAGACGCGGGAAATAAAGATTATCAAGGAACCAAATCAACTATTTCTTTCAGTTTTGGCATCACTGTTATCCTCTTCGACATTCTCTGAGGGAGGCTGAGCGGATATAGGTTGAGCGTTGGTTGTCACTTTTGCCCTTTTTGCTTGTTCGGCATGTGGGACGACGACTGAAGGTGATTAGGACTTGATTTTTTGGTTTCCAGGAATCTGATATATTCTCTGCGTGGCCCTGATCATCGTCTATAAAGTATTCATGGGCTACATTCGGGTTCCTCTCTGCCTGGTCCAGGAATGTCACCCATGTAATCTGATGTAGGTACTTTCTACGTCCTCTTTTCTGACCCAGGTGTCATTCTCCGGCCCATATCCCACATTAGCGACTAACTCGGAGGTGGCAACGATCAAGTACCGTGAGTGAGCTCAACCATGTATGTATCTCCTTGTTCGCTGACTTATTTGAGTCCAGTACAACACCACCCCAATTCCCAAGATTCTCGACTGGGATGACAACTAGTCCCAAGGACCAAACCGATGACCATGTGAGCTGGACGGTTTGCATCCCGTGTAGTCGTGTATTGACCTGATATTCCTAGGGCCTGATCTTAGCTCGTACTGTGGTGATTTGATTGATATGGGATTATCACGCCTCCCACCTGATGATGCCCCCGGAGACCGACGCCGCTATCAGGGATCTCCTCAATCAGCTAGCCAATGATCCTCATATTCTGGAGACCTCTCCCCCGACATTATTCCATCCTGATCTTCATAAAAGAAACATTCGTTTCCCAAGACGACCCCACTATCGTGGCAGGAATCATCAACTGTCAAGGCACCAACATCGAGCAGCATTCTACTATGCCGATGAGTCTCCTGATTTCGCATCTCCCGTAGGGGATGATAATATGGCAATCTCTGTGCAAGCTTTCGACGCCTGCATGAAGGGCCTGGTCCTAAATTAATACGGCCAGGGCCCTCGATGATAGCCTATTGCGAATGTTCCGATATTGTTACTGGACCTGGAAAGGTGGCGCCGCTGTTTTTTAACATGAATTGATAGAACTTGCCAAGTGCTGGACAGAGGTGGGTGTGTCTGGCCCGTGTCCGTATGTTTTGGCTACGGCGGAGCAAAGGCAGAGTATGAAAGGTAGTTCCGATACTTTGAGGACGCGGCTAGTCTTAAACTGGTTGACCTTACTCGTGATGGTTGGGTTCCGAGTAATGTTTGGAACGAGATAAGTATAGCACATGCCACTGTATTAGAACATTCACCGCAGGAGGTTCGAGTATCGGAGGATCCATCTTTACTCCAGATGATCGGATATCTATGTGACCTTTTGATCTCCCAGGTAGAGAGGATAGAGCAGGTGATGACCACGGAAAACAGTCGTATAGGCTGTGACATTGCCCGTACAACAATATTAGTGGGATATCCCAGAAGTTCTCACAAGCGAAAGAGAGATAAATTTGATGTGCAGTAGTATGCAAGCTCTTGCAGACCAGACCAGCTGGTCGAGAGGGGAAAAAAAAAGAAAAAACAATGATGACCCCAATGTTGACGGTATGTACAATTTCTTCCGCATAAACATTCATCTATATCCCACACATACACTTTTTGTAGACCAGGAAGTATCATGATCTCGCCGACTATGGCAACTCCTGCACCACAGCTGATGCCGGCAGTTCCCTAGCCGCCGGCTCCCTTGCCGGGATTTCCTCCGGGGCTTTGGTATCGCCGTCACCGGCGTTACCACCGACAACCATCCCTTGGTCGTAGCTTGACCATGAAGTTGGAGATTGCTTCGCGCGTGAAGAAGCAGACAAGCTGATACAATGATAATAATCCCCGCGACGGCAGCACCAACCCCGATTCCTGCTTTGGCACCCGTGGATAGCGAGCTACGCGAGATGGTGTTGGATGTAGTCGCTAATGTTGTTGCACTTCCTGTTAGAGTTGTACTTGTTATCATAGTAGCTGAATTTGTTGGAATTGAAGTCGGTCTAAGTCGATAACCTAGTCAACATAGACGGAAGATCAAACGTCGCATCGTCGCAGCAATCACGCTGTCCCAGCCAACCTGAATTGCGATGACAGCAGAAACTCGTCAACGCGTCGCTAACAAGCCCAGACATAGAACCGCCATCGGAACTCGCTTCTATCGTTAAATCAAGCCACGCATTGTACTCCCAGGGGAGGGGAAGTCAAACAGGAAGTACACGCCGTGGAGCAGGAACCAAAGCTCCGATTCTGACAGGGAAAGGTACGACTGTTGGGGTGGTTATTGAAGTCGCGACAGAGACCGTCATCAGGACATATGTCTTTGGATGAACAGCAAGAGGCGGAATTGGGACATTCGGTGTCCTTGGTAGCGATGTCGCCGTTGCGATAGTAGCATGTTGCGTATGCTGCGGGATCAAGAAGAAGGGGTGGAACTTTCCCATGATTCTCTGCAAGGGAATCCCATTGGGAAGAAATATCGATCACTCTTAGGGGCCATGTTTTCAGGAGACTGATTATCTACGCGCCGTCATTCGCAAGCGTGCGACTAATGTCGACCCTGGTCAGGTCGGCGCGAGGCCAGACAGTGGTTTGAAGCTGATTGATTCATTGTGTGGACCACTATTGTTGATGGGGTCATCCACCATGCGATACAGTAGTGTTTACAGCACCTGAATGGACTCATTGAAGAAATATCCTGATGACTGTCAGGACTAACCACCGTAGTTAAATGGTATATTTGTGATGACGTAACAAAATGTCTTGGCGATCGCGAAATTTGCCCAAAACATGCAGCAAATCGTCCACTAATCAGATCGAGAGCAGTACAGCGGCGAAGATGGATACACAGGGCCGGTAGGACCTCCTCTATCCCTTGCATTCATCGCGTACTAACTAATTTCCCCAGTTTATCCCCCAGGACAGACGCCATCATTCAACAGGCCTGCGATGTCTATTTCCGACACTCCCACAACAAGCCCTACGCCTTCTTCAATGAAGAAGTCTTCCACCGCAGACTGGCCCTCAACCAGATCCCTCTCTACCTCCGCTTGGCCGTGATTGCCACCGCCGCTAGATACACCTCTCTGTCGCAATGGAAGGAACGAAAGCAAAGGACCATTGACGAGTACGTGCGGTACTCGTGGTCACTGATCCTGGCGATGCCAGATACCCCGGAGAATACGGCGAATGTGGCTCTGGTGCAGGCTCTGGCGCTCCTGGCAATTCTGGATACAACCGGTGAGTGAGTGCATGAGGGAGTGTGTGCATGCTGAGACCTAGAGAGAGAGAGAGCGTATGCTGAGATGGACAGCCGGTCGACGACGTAGTGCCTGGTTGAAAATCGGAATGGCGGTTCGGATCAGTCAAGACTTGCGTATGACGCTGGAGCCGACGTTGGAACTCTCGGTTGCGGAGAGGGACGAACGCAGGAGACTCTTCTGGTCGCTGTTTCTCCTGGATCGATTCATCTGTTGCTCGTTTCATCGCCCGTCGGCCATCAAGGACGCCGACTGCCATCTAGGGCTGCCGGCGGACGATGGACTGGATATGCTCAGTCTGCCCGTCACATTAAAGTCATTGCTGGATAAACGGACGCGAAGTCGCTCGCTTCAACCGGGAATCTTCGGGCTCAGTGTCGGACTGTCGGCGGTTCTCGGCCACACGATCGACGAAATGATGAATAAAGAGCCCGGGATGGAAGACGAGCCTTGGCTGCCCGACTCGCCGTATTCCAGTATCAACAGGGACCTCGAGTTCTTGCGGGAATTGGCCTCCAGACATGGCTCTGTCCTGACTGCCCTGCGACAACATCCTCTCGATGGGACGCAGGGTCGCGATGGGGAGCGAACCGCCCAAATGGTGCTGATCTATACGCTTTATCATCTCAACCACTGTCTTCTTAGCCATCCGTTACTATTGGGTTCCAAAATCGAACTCCTGCAACCAAAAGTGCCATTGTCGTGGATGAAGGAAGCACAGGCCCGATGTTTCACGCATGCCCGCTCCTTGACCACTTTACTGATCAACGCCAAAGCTGCCGGGTACATGCCGGTACCTTCGTTCTACAGCTACTGTATCTTGGTGGCAGGGACCATTCTCGCCCTGCACGCGTGCAGCGATGAAGTAGTGCCCCATCAGGAGTCCGAGGGTTATCTTCAAAGCTCCTTGACCTATCTCGGCGAGGTGTCTGAACTATGGGAAAACGCACACATTATGGTGAGATATATATCCAACACCTATCAATTTAATGCTTATAAACCCATAATACAGGCCACCGCATTGAGGTCTTTCATCGCCCGCAGCGCACGCTATAGCGATATTCTCCTCCAAGACCAACCACATATCCAGTCCCTCGGCCACGAAGAATTCATCATTCTCCGATCAGTGATCGATTACTGGGCCATGATGGATCCCCGGGATCCGTTTTCTAGCCTGAATCCGAATAGAGATCCCTCTGCCATTTCGCCAGAGGGGTCGTCTGGTTCGAGTAAACCCGGTGATGACACCATAAATCCGCATACGCTGTTCCAACATGCGGGATTGTCTCCTATGCCGTCGGAGCACGGCGAAAGCCTGATCCAGTGGGATTGGGATGGTGAGTCTACGATGGACGCCTAGCACGCAGCCTTGACAGATGTAGGATTCATATTTAGATTACGAGTTATGTTATACGACCGCCTGTTATCATTCTGTCTTCGAGTTATCCATCTCTCCAGATATATTGAAAGTATAAAATCTAGCAATTTATATATACCTTGTATGGAGAAATGTGGCTGCATTGTTCTAAACATAAAAGCCAGGTATCTACATCAGAATACAACCAATCGTTGACAACATAGGGCCTAGTAGAAAGGGATATCCTCAATCCAAACCCCAAGTTTGAACCACATATAATCGTCAATACGAGTCGACCCATCTGGCTCCACATGATCCCCTTGTATGTCTTCCATATCCTGTTAAATGGCGGATTTTCAGCAACTCAACAGAAGGCGGTTCGAGATCTTGTTCTGGACTGGGATACAGTGTACGAGTGACAGGCGGCTCTGGAGCCCGAAATAAGTGGTCTGTTTGTATGCGGTCAATCCTGTAGATGTCGGAGTTGATATGTTCACAAGCAATCTGAAAATCACCAAATAATCGATCTAGCTCATGAGTCAAGATAAGCGCATTGCTTGGTCGATCAGCATGCCTGTTAATAAGATGAATGGTGCTTGGGTTAAACATTGTAAGAATTCGATGGTATATCTTCGTAAACTCTTGGAAAGGACTGTGAGCAGAATATCGGAGGTAGGCTTCACCATGGCTACTTACTAGTCTCTGGTCCCCCTCTGTTTCAGTAGACGACATGGCAGAGTGCGGAATGATATGCGCGACATCCAGATATACTAGCTTGTTTCTCTCTTGATGTAACGACTACCCATTGTTATCTCGCACATGGATTGGGTTCAATTTGTATCACTTATCAGTCTCCGGTGTATCGAACTTCGGGAAACAACGCATTGATAGCAGTCACACAAATGGCAGTCCTGTCGTAAAATAGAGACACGTCCTGCGGCGTCGATTTCTGGCTCGGCGAGTTGGGGATCAGAAAGTGATGCTGGAGCGGGTTGGGGAGTCTTTGCGGCCGATGCTTTTACTATACAAGGAGTGCCAGTGCTCTCTGTGCTCTGTGTGTTGTTGAATAGGATAGTGACGATGTATATACTACCCCAGACCTATTATCTGGAAGATGAAGTATTCCGACCGAAAATGTATAAACTATAGCTAGAAGGGCGATAGGACGAATTCCCTGTCATTGGGCGGGCCGCCTTTGGCAAGCCTACAGTATATCAGTATCGTCTCCTTTGGGATGTACTCCATATCCACTCCTGGTTGAGTGGAAGAAGAAATCAGCAGTTGAAGGGTGTGAATTCTGGAAGTTCCATGACTTTTATCATGCTCAGATCGAAGAGATCAAGCTATCCGTGGATGGCTGGGGGTAAAACACCCTTATTCTATACCACAAATATCAGGTAGCGGTATACGGTCTAGGAGTTGTGATGGTTATAGAAGGATCCTCCTATTAGACCAGAATATTGTAGCTTACTGCCTTATTATAGACTATGATATCTCATGAAACCCGAGAAGTGGCGGTGTATATCTGGGTCCTAATCCGTGTCTCTACATCGAGATGATAATAATATTATACAGTTTGCCAAGGTGGGTCTCTGCTGGTTGTGTGGAGTAGTCCAAGATAATAAACTTACAGTATATTTAGCCTACTCGGATAGCGGTGTATGGTGTGTAATGACATTGACAGTGCTCCAGGCCACCTACTCTGTCCTAGTTAATAACTTGAAGATAGGTATAACTACCAAGAACTGTCATTCCGGGTTCTGGTGGGATACTAGAGATCGTGGGTTTCTTAAGTTCGACCGAAGTACACCAGTAGTACTTCGGGTCAGAACGACAGAAAGCTGCCCCTGAATCTCACAATATTGATCGAGCTGACAGTTGAGGAAGGGTGGTGGTGAAGTTGACAAGAAGCAAAGAAAAAAACCTTGTCGGGCTAGAAACTGGCGTGGGGCCGAAGAAGTTAGTTAATATGGTGGGTTGAATGGAATATATCATTAAAATATCCATTGATCAAACACTGCCCCAAAATCCACCATATCCAGAACTCTCATATCATCCGAGACATCAAACACAGACGACATTTCCGGCATCTCTGGCTCCGGCCCAGACGAAACCGGCCGAGGTTCCAGGATCTCATCGATGATGCTGGAGACCACTTTACTGGCGCGACCAAACAGTTCATGGTTGGCGATACCCGGCCGCGCCATCGCATCCAGATGCGAGACAAACACGCTCAGGTCGCGGATCAGTCGTGACCGGGACCCCGTATACGGGATGGGATGGCCAGTTCGTGCTTGGTTCTGTAGTGCTTTGATGAGGACTCCGGCACTTGGGAAGCCGTAGAGAAGGACCTTCTTTGATCAGTCATATTTATTAAGAGAGGAGAAAGGAGGGACAACCGTCCATATAAAATCGCGCTGAATATCAAAGATATGCTCCCGTTGAATACCATAAGAGAGGACGGTGGAGAGAATGGTAGAGCTAACGTCCAACAAAGCGGATTGGGCCTCCGGGTCATGCTGCACGAGGAGTCGCTGGATGAGAAATTCGTTATACAGATACGCGAGATACGACACGGATAGCATCAGACAGATGCCCAGGGAGAGTCCCTCGTCCCAGCAGCCCGGGGTATAACGCATATGAACCGGTAATGAGTTCCATGACTGGTGACAGCGAATGGAAATGTCCCTGTACAGATGAGCATCACGTAGAATACTTAATACCGACAACATACCTTAACTGGTCGGCAGTTTCTCTAGTCATTCCCTGTAAAGACAGTTCCAAGGTCTCTTCTCGGAACGTGCTGATCAAAAACCGCATTCGGATCCAGGAAGCCCGGTGGAAGCCGTTCTGAACGTTCCATCCACTGCCATTTATGTATCTCGATGCCAGCTCGAACTCCGAAGGGCTTCCCACCAAGTCCGCGTCACTGATGTCAATCGGGAGTCTGCAGTCCGAATGTCGGCGTGATATTCTCGGTGGTCGTCCAAGAAAGGTCGCAACGCTTTTATCTAGTTGATAAGCCGCCGCGAAAACCCGTCGACGCGACTCGAGAAGGAAAACCGGGAGCTGGCTCAACTGCTGAGAGTCTCGATGGATGCCGAGCTCAAACATATATGTGGATAAATCACCCAGTCTATGCCACTTGCCAGGGCCTGCCGTCTCGTCAGCACATCTCCTTAATGTATCTAGACCTGCCATCTCTGCGTGCTTACTTGAATCCCCATGTACAATGCTGACCAATAGCAGATTCTCATACATCAACCAGATGGTCAGGTCATTAACCGGGGTGAGGATCTTGCAGATCTGAATCACAGCGTCGCTTGCCGCCATCATCTTCTGGGCGAATTTCCTCCGTACAGTATAGTCCGGAACCCTGTCGCGAGTAAGCGAGAACATTGACGTCCGACCCGCAATGGCATAGATCACCCCGATGATCTCCAGCCGGAGACGCAATCCGGTAAACAATTCATGGAAACGAGCCCCCTCGATGGTCGGTGGAACCTGGAATGAATTGGCTGTATTCGCAAGCACAGTCGTAGCCAGGTTGTTAGGATATCCAAGCCGGTTCCACTCCTCGACGTCCCCTCGGAGCTGGGCCATCGGATTCAGAACCAGCGGAGCAGGGATGACAGCTGCTTGACTAAGTCTGTAATACTCATCGACGAGTTGCTCAATCGGGGAGAACTCCCTTAGAAGGTTCAATACCGCAATGGTCTGATGCACCCAGTAGGACGACAAGCCAGGCAAAGACGCGATACATTCTCCATCTTGGTGCGGTACGTCGCTGGGGCTGGTCACAAACTCTCGGTCCTCTTCAAAGGAGGCAACAAAGCTCGTTGGGCCCAGATAACCCAAGGGGAGTGCCGTATCTGTGGCTGCGGTGCAAAAGGACTGTTCTGTCTGTTCGTTGGTTCCTTCCACGCTGGAAGACGTCGTCGCGGCTGGTGTGTGTGTCACCCGTGATGGCAATGAATTGGGACTAGCACCGGGATTGGAATTAGGTGGCTGATCTTTCTCATCGATCGTACCTCTCGTCGACCGCGTGAGAGGCGCTGGATGATAGAAACAGCGACTGTCAGTCTTGCGTCTCTGACAGCGCGAGCACACGGGGAGGCCATGGTCGCATCGCACTTTATCCTTGCGGCAGGGCTCGCAGGATGCAGGTTTCCCATTACGACGCCGGGAGGACATTCTGGAAACCGGATTCTGACATTCCTAGAAAAGAATGGGCGTGGATGTTGATGGTGAATGTCGAATAGCATCGGATCTCAGTTCGGAGTTCGGAGTTGTCGGAGTAAGACGAAGGACGGACTCCGTTTTTTTTTTCCTGATTAGGCATCCTAGATGACACAAGTGTTCAAATAAAACTAGTATTATTGGATATTATAAAAACAGGATGTCATATTGCAGGGGAAATTTGTGCCCATCCAATTCAATTAGTAACTTCGTAATGATGTAGTAGCCCTAGAGTGGGGACTAGAAACTAAGGGATTATAGTCAAACGGATCATAGCATAAGCCACTGCCAGGTCTCGATGGCTGTTTAAAACTACGTAAGGGGAGTTGGTAAACAGATTAGCCGTCTAAGTGAGAAGCAGGATTGCCATAGCACGACGCTTAATGGTATGGGAATGGAATGATAGTTAATGTGCTATCCTGGCTATTTAGTATGTGTAATCTGCGCTGATTGGAGGATTCATAATGTCATCCGTGACAGGTACTCCTAGGTAGCGCACACCGAGATTCCACAAGAAATAGACACATAGAAAAATCAGCCCGTGGATGAACACTGTAGAAATGTCAGACAGCTCCAAGCAATGTTAACGCTGACACGCATAAGACAACCCGAACAGACCTTCGTATCCAACGGACTGCACAAGTTCCAGACGGCCTTGTCTTTTCAACCAGGCGGGAACAAGGTCTACCTGGCACGTCCTGCCCTGAATCACCAAACAACCGCCTCTTTCTCGCGGACATTCGAGATGCCGCCGTCTGCGCTCCATAATCCGCCGTATCCTCCAGTTGCAGAACGACTCATCCGTCCGGAAGGAGCATTTCTCCATCGGGCATTCCAGCTTTCGCTCGAAGCGCTCTACCAGCCAGTCGACTTTCAGATGAACTCCAGTGTAAACAAGGGTATAGAAGTGGTGGCAGGTATGTTTTAGTGCCAGGGCATCGGGATATGAGAGATACGAAGATATGTGCAAATGAAGCTCTGTTGGTAAACGCATGAGGTCGAATTCACAGAGGGTGTTGGGTTCTTCACCCAAGGCAAGTGTCGTCATGGTCAAGAGCTTGTGGAACGAAACAACACACCCAATATGACAGCAATGCGAATGAATCGGAATGCGACCAGGAAAGCCCCTGGCCCCGAACCCTTAGGTATGTACTATCCAGCCATTCAACACTGTATAATAAACAAGTGCAGGCTGTTGCCCAGTCACTGAGTGTAACACCCTTAGAACGGAACAGCGTGGCCCTTATATAAAATAGGCAACGAAGGAGAGCTATTTTAAACACTGTAGAACCTTACGAGATTCAGCCTCGTGAAAGCGGGTTTTCGTCATCCATTAGGCCCACGACTCAAGTGATGATGAAACGACCCATAACAGCTGCAGAATTTCAGATAGGAGCGTCGAGGAGAGATTAACAGACATGGGAATGGGCCATCACCCGATCACAAACCAGCCACCTAGTCTCAACTCTAGCACAGTAGTTGTTCTATGAGGCTGTGTTTGAATGGTGGGGCTCTTAGACATGCCAGGGAGCGCGATGATTGATCGATGAAAGGTGTCTCACCGCCTGCCGCTTTTAGCGGCACTTCTTTATCGCCTCAAGACCTCCCGAACAACAGCTTCAACTGTACCAGTATTGCAGCTCGAGATTCAGAGTACATCTTCCACTATCCGCACATTCACACTACATATTTCTAGTAGAAAGTCTCCACCATGTCGGGGAACCAATCCGCAGTCCCATCCGACACCGCATTCCGCAAGACCTGGGACCGAGAAGAGTACAGCAAAAAGGCCGCCGACGATGAAGCCAAAAGAAAAGAGGAATCAAAGGCACGCTACGAGGCGAAACTTCTAGGCAAGAAATGGCATGCGCCGGTAGACTACAGCTCCCTAGAAGCCACGACGTCCCGAAAACAACGACTCGATGTCGCCTCGATGGTGGGCAAGACCACAATTGTCTCGTCGGGGTCCGCGGTCGGCAAGAGGGGTCGAGGCGCAGGGTTCTACTGCTCGGACTGTGATCTTACCTTCAAAGACAACCTGCAGCTGGTGGAACATTTGAACAGCAAACAGCACTTGATTGCGACGGGTCAGAGTGGCGAAGTGACTCGGGCTAGTGTGGAAGATGTGCGAGAACGGCTGCGAATGCTCGCCCATCAGAAGCGACAGCGGGAGGAAGAAGATCGACGGGGACAGCTGGACCTTGGGGAACGGTTGAAGGAACGAGAAGAACAAGAGGCGAAAGAAAGAGAGGAGAAGAGGCGGAAGAGGAACGAGAAGCGACGGAAAGGTGGGGAGAATGGGATCAAGCAGGAAGAGAGTTGGGAGGGTCGATTGGGGATCATCGCATAGTCTGGAGATGGTGGATATATGGGCTGTCATGGGCTGGTGTGCTCCTACGGATTAGAATGTTGTATATAGTGTATATACCCATGGCGTTTTGGTTTCTCTAAACTGGGCATAGTTCTTCTAGATCGACCGATTCGAAGTTCAAATAGCATGAAAAAAAAGGCTTGCTCATATGTCGCACTGCTATTCCGACCAGATTGTTCCTAGATATTATAATAACACAAATAATGATTATCCAACGCCATCCCCCAAGACCCATGCTCCTAAGGTTCCATGTAGAATTTAGTTAAAAGACCCATTCTCAGTCCACGCACTCAATTCCCTCCAGAACATGCATCGCTCGTGCCCCTTCCCTTTCAAATTGCCCAACAAGTCTCTCACATTCACGTTTGAGTCTCTCCTCTCCATTTTTGGCATTCCACATGATCCACTGTTCGACGCTCATCTTCTTTTCCGGGCTTGTCAAATCTCCTTTCATACTGACCAAGGGGGACGCAATATCGACATTCTCCTTGTCGATATTCCCGGCCAAAAGAATTTTGTCGATGTCGACGGGCCTCCACGGGTAAGATGTGTTGAGGGCCTCTATGTTCGGATCCCGCTTTGATGGTGAAGGGGTGCTGGGTGCCAGTGGAACTCGGATAACTGGCTGCTTGGACGGCGATGTTAGAATGGGACGGGGCGCAGAAACTCTCATGGATGGTGGACGATTTTCAGCATCAGACGATTGAGGCGAGAGAGATGGGGTGCTTTTGGAAGCAGAGGGAAGCGGCGACACAGGATCATTATCGTCCTTCGTAGTATCTTCTACCGCAACGTGGGTATCGGAGTCGCGCGACTCTGCAATCGACCTGGCAAACTGCTTTTCTTCAGGGATATCACTGTATCGCTCGGCTGTCTTGGGGGGCACTCTGGACGACCTGCAACTGGTAGCCTCTGGACTGGGTTCTTGTTCTTGCATTTCTTGCATCTCATTTTGTCGTTCGATGTGCATGCCTTCAGAGCCAACTGGTTCAGTAGCATGCTTCTCGGTCTTTTTTGGCTTCTTGCCCTTCTCCGCTGAGTTCTTCTTCTTCTGCTTCGTGCCCTTGTCATCCGGCTTGGCCGGGGGGTTCTCCGGAATTACGTTGCGAATCTCCACAGATACAAAAGACTCGTGTCGAACAGATTCAGCATCGTTGCCCTTGCCTTCTTTTGTTTCGGACTCACCATTAGGATCTGCGGATCGTCGGGTTATTTGCTCAGAACTCTTCGAGCCTCCTGATCTTTGTCGCTTCACCGGCTCTTCCGTTGACATCGTTTGCGATACCTTAGTGACCGGTGGCATCGCTGTCTCAGGCTCTTGACTGGGATGCATGGCCTCCGGTTGATGGGCTACGGCAACCGATGACTCTGGGGTTTCCTTCTTCTTTTTAGACTTGGCCTTTTTGGCAGGCTTCTGCACCTCCTCGTCATTTGACTTTTCTAAGTCAAGGCCAACGAGATCCGCTTCAAGGCCTGCTTCAATACCTGCGTCCAGCTCAGAGTCCTGGGGTACACGTGACTTTGATGTGGTTTTCGCGGCGGAAGACTCAGTAGAGGCTTTACGCCCTTTAGATGTTTTCTTCTTGGTAGCTCCGCGGCCCCTGCTTGACTCTTCTTCCTGGGGGATTTCATCCTGATGGGTATCCACAATCACTACATCGTTCTGATTGTTATTATTTTGAATGCTCTCGCGTGAGTTCTTGGCTTTCTTTTTGGTTGGGGCCTCAGAGTGTTCGGTTTCCTGGGTGTTAACGGCAGCCGCCTCATCTTTATCCGTAGCAACTTCACCACTTGCCCTCTTTTTACCTCTAGTGGTTCGTTTCGGCTGTGTATACTCCATGGCGTCGACATCCATTTCCGCGCCGACTTCCTCGACCTCCTCCTTTTTAGCCCTTGTTTTCGCTTTGGCCTTAGACTTCTTCGTGCCTTTTGACTTGGTAGTAGATTGGGACACTTCACTTTGATCAATCTGGTCAATATCTGAAACAGGAGTCTCAGAAACAGTAGACTGCGTGGACAAACGGGATGCCTTGGATCCGCGAGGCTTCTTCGATCGCGATCCCTTCGTCTTTTTTCCAGGTGGCTGGGCAAACACAAAGAATGAACAGTCGGACGAACGCCGATAATGTTCATCACTGAAGGGTCAGTGAAATAGGAAACGGAAAGAGCGATTGATTAGTACTTACAAAGGGTCGTCCTTGGGCTCCCATCCGTCAAGAGACAGTTTACAATACGCGCAGCTGGCTAGATCGTTACTATCTTCCGTCGGACAGAAATACCACCCGCCATCTACCATCTGCCACGCCATCGCCATCAGTAAGCATGAACATCCAGTTGTTATTGCATGGGACAGAAACAGACGCTACCTTTTCTGACTGACACACCCAACCTCGCTTCCCATCGTGCGGCCACAGCTCACCAAAGGTAGCCAGCCTCGCTTGTCTTATTACATCACTTGTTGGATCTTCGATCTCCGCGGGGTTGGAGCTATGTTGTTGGATGTCCATCATAACTGCCCACCCGCAGTCTGGAGAATGCTTCAAATGTTCGGCTATAGGGCTGTCCTCTTCCTCCCACCCATCGAGCGCTCTGCGACAAAGAAAACATGTTGTATTATCCGGGTTGGTTTCGTAGGGATTATAGAAGAAGCCCGCATGCGCCAGCTAGATCAGTAATCGATTAGCAGCGGTGATTTTTTCGCCCTTCACATCTTCCAGAACCATACCTCGGCAGGCGAAGGCCTACGATGAGGCCAAGTAATTGGCTTTACTGTCTTTGCGCTCGATCCCCTCCGTTTCTCTGGGAGCAACACCCGATCGAAGCTGGCCAAGCGGGCACCAAACGTCTCCATTTCTTGGGTCATTGGGGCAGGATTATGAGAATCATCGGGGAGAATATTCACAGTTAGTAGACAGTTGTATATAACTCGAACAGGTCTCAATTCAAGCTTGGGGGACGGCCTGTGCACGGTTGCTATCCAGGAGTGCGCTCTGTTTACCAGCCTTGTTTGGGTCCTTCTTTTGGAACGCGGGCGCGGAGGAACGTCTTCACGTGACTGTGGCTAATAATCTGGTATGGCGCAGTGCGTTGGCCTCGCTCTTCGGCGGTTTGTTTTCGAAGGCCGAGAACGCCTCTCTACCCGAGCGTATTTCGGGAGTACGTCAGACCCGTTGTTTCCTCGTTGGCTGTTGGGATATCCCGCAGTCCCGTTCTTACTCCAGTTCTCTTCGCCATAATTCATTCTCTGGAAATCATGATATGAACTGCGATCTAATGGTCCCCTGATTCGTCTCTCTATTACAGCTCTCGCTGTGCGATCCCTTCCCTCCGTTCCTTTTTCCTGCGGAGCCGCTACGATGCGCGAAGCTAAGGTAAGAAAAACTCATAAATTTGTCCAATGTAGTGGGACATTCCGTCAGGGTACTAACCGGTATTTACTCAAGGCTCTCCTTTTAAGCTCGTCCTTGACTTCTTCCTGTATGCGTCTACGTTCGAGCTACCTGTTTCTGTCGCGATCCTCTCACATTCCGATCTCTCTTCTCCCCGTTTCTATCCAGTCGTCAGGGAGAATATGCTGCGACCTTACCTTCGCCACTAGAAAGCGCTTCTTCTCTAGTGGGAAGTATGAATTGTATCCAACTTCTGATGGCCATCGGCCTTCCTCGGTGCCTTCAACAGTCTCCTTCTCTACCTCTCCTCAAGTTTCCGACCCCGGAGATTGGGAGGTGAACCCGAATCTGAAAATCTCTGCATTTTCAGAGCTCCCTTCCAAAGACTTTGGGGTCAATCAGCACATGATAATCAATCAAGAATTTAAAGAGGCGTTGCGCCAAATTCTCTGGCAATTCCGGGCTCCAATTCGGTATGCATTTGCCTACGGTTCGGGAGTCTTCTCCCAGTCTGGTAGTGCACCGGGTTCGAGTGAATGCCACCCATCCGCACCAGCAGCGATCAAAAACATGCAGCAGGGGAAAGGGAAAATGATAGATTTTATTTTTGGAGTCTCATATTCCCAACACTGGCATTCACTGAATCTTAGTCAGCACCGCGATCATTATTCTGGATTGGGCTCTCTTGGTTCTTACGTGGTCTCACAGACGCAGGACAAGCTCGGCGCAGGCGTATACTTTAACCCCTATGTTACGGTCAACGGTACTTTGATCAAATATGGTGTCGTAAACCTGGATACGTTATGCCAGGACCTTAGTCAATGGGACACTCTGTACCTGGCTGGGCGGTTGCATAAGCCAGTCAAAATACTCCGAGATCATCCGAGGGTGCGACTCGCAAACCAGATGAACTTGTTGGCTGCTGTACGAGTAGCTTTGCTACTGCTCCCTGAGCAATTCAGTGAGTTCCAGCTCTACAGCACCATTGCCGCAATCAGCTACATGGGTGACATTCGCATGTCACTGCCAGCGGAAGATCCTCGTAAGGTCAATAATATTGTCTCGGGACAAATGGCACATTTCCGGCGCCTCTATGCTCCCCTCATCGAGAATCTGCCCAACGTCACTTTCAACGACAAGCGCTGCATCCAGGAGGATTGGATTGATGACCCTGATGTTAATGCGATGCTAACGCAAGACATGGACCCTGTAAAGCGCGGTAATATGGTTCGCCGGCTTCCGGAGTCATTCCGGGAGAAACTATACTTCCAATATCAGGCCCGTTATGAGATTCCGCGTGCGCAGTTTGACGAGATGATGAAGAAGAGCAATGACAATGACCCGGAGCTGGTGCGTCGGAGACAAGGCGGTGCATTCGAACAGCGCATTGCAAAGGATGCGAATCTTACGAGTGAAGTGCAGACCTCGATCAAGAAAACCATCCTGTGGCCCAGCTCTGTACAGACGGCCAAGGGGCTTATTACCTCTGGGATAAGCCGAACGTGGCGTTACTTGCGAGAAAAGCAGGACAAGCACAACAAGTCGGGGAAACATGCTATTGCCGCACAGGAGTCGCCGACACCTAAACAACAATAGAACTGAAGTGTGGCTGGTTCACGGACAGCTGTGAAGGCATAAGCAGCTTAAGCATTCTATGGCGTATCATGGTGCTGCTGATTCTTTCATGTAAATGTAGGAAATATGTGTGAAAATTGCATTCGCGATTGTTATATATTAGGGGCATAATACAGCCCACAGAGTACATAGAATAGCATACAGTCATGTTGATTAGGTCCACAATAACGGTAGTATCAAAACTCTTGCTCGTTACGATTCTAGTCTTTCTTGTGAGACTGTTTCTGAATTAGTGAGTTAGATATTATAGTTAAGATCAATAATTCCGATAACCTCCTGGTATACTTGGGTGGGAGACATCCGCACTTCCGACACCGATTTCGGTGATCGTTGGCATTTCCCCGCCGCTCCCCACCAACATTTCCTCCCTTTGCAAAGAACTCCTTCCCATCTTCTATCCTGTCCAAAATGGCCGCAAGACAGTCGCCATTTGATCTATCGAAATGTGCGCGCAAGAATATCCTGCAATTGCATCCCTACCGCTGCGCAAGGGAGTAGGTTTACCCTCCATACTCCATGGATGGCGTTGAGTCATGGGAACTAACGAGTCAGTGACTACAAAGACGATGGGACGAATGTCCTGCTAGATGCGAACGAGAATGCATATGGCCCTGGACTTGCTCTGAACTCCCAGGGCGCACTTCTGACAGACGATGCGACCGGATCCTCCAAACCTGAGATTGATCTGCTGGGATTGAACAGATACCCGGACCCGTGAGTCATTCGTCCCAGCTTCTACCACCAGGATGTCACTAAATCCAAGACCAATTAGCCACCAAGTTGAATTGAAGAAGCTGTTCTGTCAATACCGCAACACCCACCACCACACTCCGAAGACCCTACAACCCGAGAATCTCTTTGTCGGCGTCGGCTCCGATGAGGCCATCGATGCGCTATTGAGATGTTTCTGCATTCCGGGGAAGGATAAGATCCTGACTTGTCCTCCTACGTATGGCATGTATGCGGTCAGTGCAGAGGTGAATGACGTGGAAATCGTCAAGGTGCCTCTAGATGTCAACAATGGCTTCCAGCTCCAACCGGACAAGATCAACGAGACGCTTGCGGCAGATGCGTCCATCAAGATGGCGTACATCTGCTCCCCGGGGAACCCCACAGCCAACCTAATCCGCAAGTCCGACATCCAGAAGGTCCTGGAGCACCCAACGTGGAACGGAGTGGTCGTGGTGGACGAGGCTTACATCGACTTTGCGCCGGAGGGTTCTAGCCTTGCCGAGTGGGTGACCGAGTGGCCGAATCTAGTCGTGATGCAGACCTTGAGCAAGGCGTTTGGACTGGCCGGGATTCGTCTTGGCGTTGCATTTACGAGTTCCCCCATCGCAACGCTCTTGAATAGCCTAAAGGCGCCTTACAACATCTCCAGTCCAACTAGTACCCTTGCTACGGCAGCGCTTTCACCGGCCAGTATGGCGGTGATGCGCAGTTACCGGGAACAAATCATCGCACAGCGGGAGCGACTCATCGCGGAGCTCCCTAAGATTCCGGGGGTGGGTCGATTCCGCGGGGGACAGGAGTCCAACTTTGTCCTGGTTGAATTGTTGGACAAGCCCGCCCGTGACGGGGGAAAGCCCAGCAATGAGGTTGCATTGGCGGCGTACGAGATGATGGCTGAGAAAGGGGGGGTGGTGGTGCGGTTCCGGGGCAAGGAACTGGGGTGCCTAGGATGCCTGCGGATTACAGTGGGGACGGAGCAAGAGGTGTCCAAGTTCCTGCAGGAACTGCGCGTGGTGCTTGAGGGTCTCAGGGGGTAGACAAGAACTAGAGTCATCTCTTTCGTTGGTCGAGTTTCACACTATTGAGTATTTTTGTTGTTTCATCATTGGATTCTTACGAGAACTGTGTAGACTCGGTATTACCGGATCGGATCAAGGCGGCGGAATCCATACTCCGGTATGGTTATCAGGAGAAACAAAAGATAACTAAAGAATTTGTTTCTTTTTCTTTGTTTCTGACAATCGCGCTGCCTACCTAAGTAGGTAGGCACTGGGGCCAAGATAACGAGCTGCATGTGAGTGGTTCTTTTTATCTCCCCTGTCTAGTCTCTCGCAAATAGGAGCATCTCTGTTGATAACCGGAATATCATAAAGATACACTCCAAAGGTACACTGCGGCATACTCTATTTTGTACCACTCGCTCGCTTACCGTTCCCCATCCAGGCCTTCATCCCCGGACAATTTCTTGGGACCAGAATGGATAATTCGTATCGGCCCAGCCAACCATCGCGAGTCCTAAACGCCGTGGTTGACACCAACTGGGGTTCTTCCCACCTATCGTGGTCTTGGCCTGGCTCGACCCTGGTCTGGAGTGATCAATCCCCCCTCTCTTTTACTCCATACTAACGATGGCTTTAAATCAATGCCGTCCCCAGATAACGCTCCAACGCTCCCCGACGCCAACCTCTCCTGGCGGCGTTATCTCCCGATTCTAGCAGCATCGATTGGACGCCTTGACCCTTGGCGACCGTGCCGGCTGTATCAGCGGTATTGGCCCGCAGCTTGCATTTAATTAATTTACGTGGTTATTATCGTCTCGTCTCACTGGAGATGGGACGGTGACAGGCTCCACTCCCTCGGCTATCTCCACCCATGAGTTAGTGAGTTAGGTAGGTGCTCACTATGATGCCACTTGGAATATTAGCGTATGTGATGGTCTCTCAGAACGGCGGTGTATCTGGCTCCAACCTGTTTTGACTTTCCATACTCTTGGTCAAATATACACTGTCGCCACTGTCGCTCCGGCTCTCCCAAGTCGTTCTTTTGCTGTGTCTGGCACTGCCACCGCTGGACTCTCGCCCCCAGAACCGTCCTCCCGATCACCATCATCACCATTATCTGCATCGCCTCCCCACCGGCCTCGTGCCTCGTGATCATCCGCCTGGTTCGTCGGGTCCCTGTAAATATTCGTCTCCCCCACATTCTGCGGGCGGACGACTCCGGGGTCAGGCACGTGCATATACGTCGCGCTCTATCAGAAACGATGTGAGTGCTTCGAAAGGCAGCACATTGTCGGAATCTCTCCCGGGAGTAGTGCACCGTGTATTGCTATTCGATATCTCGAATCATCCTGGCCCCTCTGCGGAGGTGGTGCAGCGGCCATGAGTTTCCAGGCGACGATGACCCCCCGTGGGATCTATTCCGATATCCCTCCCGATATGAGGACCAAGCTGGACAACAATCCCACGCTCTTGGTGAGCTGGTGGGCCACCGCATTCTCGCTGGCAATCATCGTGACCCGAGTGTGCGGTCGCTATGTCCGGATTGAGCGCTTCTTCCGGGAGGACAAGGTGATGATGGCCAGCATCATTCCCTTATTAGCACGCATGGCATTCGTGCATGTCATTCTGATCTGGGGCACCAACAATACGAAGACCGAGGGCTTGACGTCCGAAGAAATTCGCCATCGAATCATCGGTAGCAGATTGGTTCTGGCGGGTCGAATCTTCTACGCAATCTTGTGAGACAAGAGCCCATCCCTTCTCGGCTAATGATGAACGGCTAACGCTATATCCTTCGCATAGCATCTGGACGGCCAAGTTCACCGTGTGCGAGTTCCTCAAGCGTGTTGCTGGCATGATCTGGCGACGGTCTCTGCGGATTTTCCTCCAGTTCATCTACTATTTCCTAGCATCCACACTCATCGCCGTGGTGATCGCTACACTGGCTGAGTGCCAACCATTTGACCATTACTGGCAAGTCGAGCCAGATCCGGGACCTCAGTGTCGCTTGGGCTATGCCAATTTAATTACGATGGGCGCATGCGACGTGATCACCGATCTGCTTCTCGTGGCCTTCCCGATCCCCTTGATTGTGATGACCAACATGCCGATGAAGCGCAAAGCATCCCTGGTCATACTGTTTGCCTTGTCCCTGATCCTGGTCGGAATCACCTGCTACCGTGTGCCATCAGTCATCTGGCACGACGGGTCTCAACAGTATCGATCTCTCCTGGCCTCGCTGGAGATCCTTGCTGCGACGGCCGTCTCCAACGCCGTAGTGATCGGCTCCTTTGTGCGCGACAAAGGCGTCAAAAAGGCCAAATATAAAAAGGCTCAAGGATCCGCCTCTGTCAGCGAGAGCATGGATCACAGCTCCGTGCGCCGGGCAACCATCACGCACCACCAATGGGGCAGCGACTCGGACCTCGCAGGCGACCTGGGAATCCGTCTCGATCCCCAACTCTACTCAGAGAATCAAGCCCCTCGTCCAGCCCCAATCGCCGACCCTTACCAGCCCTTCTCAGCCCACACAGGCACCCTGAACCCCAACTGGTCCTTCCAAGGCCAATCCCTTCCCACCGACGACGATCACACCTCCACAACGGGCAGCCTTGACACAAGAGTCAGCCCCCATGAATATATCGAAACCACCAGGACCCGACGCACCACCGCAGGTAATTCATCAACTCACCACCGACTCTCACCTGGTAAGGTCTCATTTTTCGATGTCGGTGGTCTTCTCGACCTGTCCCCGTCTTCCTCGAGCCATCATATCCCCCAGCACGAACCAGCAGCTAACCAACTCCCGGACCTCACTCCCCAATCTACAAACGCCTCCAGTGGCAGTAGAGCCTTCCTTCAAGACGTCGGTGGTCTTTTGTCCCCACCGAATCTCATCTCTTCGCCTTCATCGTCCCCTTCGACGCCGAATTTCTCTCGACCAGGGGGGCTTCGAACTTACCCCGGTCGGCGAAGGGGCTCATCTACCGTGCATTTCGACGATCGTACACCGGATTCTCCTGTCCCGCCATATCAGGCACAACCGGATATCTGGACGCCGATTCCCGAGGGTAGTGACGATGTGGAATTGCAGGATGTCGGTGGTCTTTTGTCTCGGAATTCTTGAGTTAGTCTTCTGGACTGTTATGATTGATGGTATGTTTGTGTATAGTAATTGGATTGGATTGGATATTTGGCAGCGAGGGAGTTGGTTGGGACCCTGTATTGATAAGTAGTATATAATGTTGTATTCGAGTATATAATGAATGAATCAAGTTGCATCCAATGTCACTCGTATCGAGTTTCAAGTCTATAGTCAAGGAACAAGAATAATACAAGAGTTAATGATTTTGAGCGATACTCAAATACAAACAATAGGTTAATAAACCAATCATCCATAACCATAGAATACTTGACAAGACACCCACAAAATAAATGTCTTCTTTTTTTCGCCCTTACGCCATGCTGCCCCATAATGCCTTGAATCGGACATCCTCCTTCCTTTTTTTTTTTTTTTTTGTTTCTCAATCTGGACTTATTTTGTACACCCGGGTAATTGCTGAGCCCAAATTTATAGTGTGGTCCATAAATCTGCATTGACACTACCGGCATTAAATTACCCAGCGATAACTGGCATACCGACCGGCAGTTTCACTCTTCCGAATAATCTTGACGACTTGACCGCGACGCAAACCCAGGTATCGAGCCACGGGATCCGACACCTGGACCCGCGGCAACTGCGATTCCTTCAGACGATACCGTTCCAGCAATCGGGCCTTCTCCTCGGGACTCAGTAGGACGTGTTTCGGCACCAGTTCGTGCCGGGTGATGTTGACCAGCAAATCCTGCTCCTGGAAATGCTCGCAGATGCGACCGGGAATGCCACTGAGGAGACGTACGGCGGAGGGCGAGATGGGGGTCTGCGTGATGAAGATACCCGTGTGAAAGTTGTTCTCATCGACGAAGTGATTGAACGCTCGGACTTGCTTCGTGCCAACGCCAGTCGAGTCGGAGCAAAATTCAACGTACACGGTGCCGCAGTCGGGCTGGGGGTCGCGGTTGGATTTGCTCGGCAGAGGGGTGTATTTCGCTTGCATAGCTTCTGTGGGTCGAGCGCTAATCTTCATCTTGTTTCGGCTGGACACATACGATGTGGTTAGAATAGGGAAATCAGGGATATGGAGGGAATGTCGTACTCAGGATATCCAAGCGGATCGGAATATTTTTGTTTGAACTCCTCCAGAGATAGTTGAACTTCTTCCTCGGTGACCTCGTAGCCCTGCCATACTGTCAGCTCAGCTTCTCAATTTTAAACTGCACAAACTGAAAACTATCACCTACTCGGTCCTGTAACATCTCAAATACTGTCCTCCATGTGCGCCAGAGCCGGGTCATCTCGCGGTCGGCGTCCACGGAGCCAGCAGCATAGTCCTCATCCATGGCTTAAAGAGGCGCACAAGGCGCTGTCGCAGGGCCGTACAATAAAAGTGAGAGGAGAACTAGCCAAATTGATAGGAAAAAGGGCGTGGGCGAAAGAAGAAAAACAGGATGTTGAAGCGAACGAAAGCAAGTTGATAGTGAAGAACACAAGTCGAAAAATCGGCGGACCAGCGCTAACTGCGCCAACGGGTTCGGGTTAAGCGCCGCCGAGCAACAGAAGTCAAGAGAAAAGGCCAGACCAGTTTAGCCTCGTTGTCTTTTTCCTGTCTGTCCTCTTCTCTCTTATTCTTCCCCCTTCTCTTCCCCCGCTCATCGGGCCTCTTTTTTTTTCTGGATTGACCCCTCCAATTCAATCCTTTTTCTCTCGTTCTTCCCCCTGACACCATGGCCGCCGACGCCAAATCCACTCCTGCCACGGAGTCCAAAGTGAAACCCACCAAGCCGAACGAGGAGGCCTTCAAGGTCGAACTCGCCCAGGCCGAGAAGGAACATGCCGCCGTGCAGGAGAAATTGGTGAGTATGAATTGGATCAATTCCTTGCTTTCCCTTGAGATTGGCGTAAATGTGGTGGATTACTTTTCCACCCCAACCAAGGTCTATGATGACACTGTACCTGGCGAAGGGAGAAGATTATCCTTCCCTCATGTCCCATCTCATGCCCCTGATCTTCCTACTGTATTAACTAATACTGACTACGCTAACTCTTTGAAGACCCAAATCAAGGCCAAGATCGAAGCCGCCAAGCCCAACAACCAGGACTCGCCGTCGGCAAAGAGACAGCAGGAACTCCGCGCGGAGCTGTCGTCGATCCGTCAGAAGCAGCAGGGGTTCAAGTCCTCCCGGTCCAGTACCCAGGAGAAGATCAATGCCCTCGACGCGACCCTCAAGGCCCGCATCGCGGAGCAGAACAACTCCCGCACCCGCATGTCCTTCAAGAACGTCGAGGAGATCGACCGGGAGATTGCTCGTCTGGAGAAGCAGGTTGACTCGGGTACCTTGCGCTTGGTGGATGAGCGCAAGGCGCTCTCGGATGCGTCGAACCTGCGCAAGCAGCGCAAGAACTTTGCCGGTCTGGAGGAGGCCCAGAAAGTGATCAACGACTTCAAGGCGCAGATCACCACCCTCAAGAAGACGCTTGATAACCCCGAGTCCAAGGCGCTGAGCGACAAGTACTCGGAGATCCAGAAGGAGCTGGACGCGATCAAGGCGGAGCAGGACAGCGCGTTCAAGAACCTGAACTCGCTGCGGGACGAGCGCACGAAGCTGCACAGCGAACAGCAGAAGAAGTGGACCGCCATCCGGGAGATCAAGGACGCCTACTACAAGAACCGCAAGGCTTACAAGGAGTACGAGGACGAGGCCTGGAAGATCCGCCGCGAGAAGCAGAAGGCGCAGCGGGATGCCTTTGAGCGCGAGAAGAAGAAGAAGGTGGCCGACAAGAAGCTCGAGGAGGCTTCGCGCCTTGCCTACACGGACGAGATTCTCACCGCGCAGGGTCTCATCCGCCACTTCAACCCCTCGTATGACTTCTCCACACTGGGCCTGGATGACAAGAAGGACCAAGGATCCAGCTTCCGCGCCGAGGTTGGTCGGACTGTGGATGACTCGAACTTGAAGGGAATGAAGGTGCTGAAGAAGGAGGACCGCGAGGATGACTACTTTGTGGGCAGCGGGGGCAAGAAGGGGAAGAAGGGAAAGAAGGGCACTGCCGCCAACAGCGCGGCCGTGGCGCCGGTGGAGAAGTTCAACCTCAACGTTGGTGTGATCGAGGACTTCGCCAAGGTCAAGATCGACCCTCCGATGAACCAAAGCGATGTGCCGGCCACAGTTGACAAGCTGGCGGCCAAGATCAGCGAATGGAAGAAGAACCAGGCTGCGAAGACTGAGGAGGTGAGTGATACCGGTGCTACAAATGTATCTGTATACTGACGGTGCGACAGAACATCAAGAAGGCGCAGGAGGAGATTGACCGCCTCGAGGAGGAGTCGACTGCGGCAGAGGCCAACGGACGGGCAACCGATGCGGCGAAAAAGCCGGCTCAAAAGAATAGTAGCGTCAACGGCACGGTGTCGGCGGAGGCTGAGCTGAAGCAGGAGAATGATGCGGCGGCGGACGTGGGCGAGGAACTGCAGAAGGCGTCCATTGAGGACCAGCCCTGAGGATAGATATATAGGTACAGTAGATGATACATATTGCATCAGCGAAGAGACTTTAGAAGACTAAAGTTGTGGTTTTGGTTAAGCATGCGATTGCTATCTCATGTCTGCAGGCTGGATGTCATGCGGGTTTCGTTTCTTCTGTGTATTCCGTTCTCAGTATTTCTTTATTTGAGGCTAGCATGCTAGAATTGTCTAAAAAAAAGTTCTATTTATAACTACTTGCTTTACAGGGTAGAAGACTATGAGAACGACTGATTAAGTAGTAAATCACACAAACTAGACTATAGATACAGCTGTCCTTTCTTGTCTACAGTGCGCTGTCTATAGATCTATATCTATAAAAGGGTAGAATTCTTCTTTCATGGCCGAAACAAGAATACGTATTCGGAAGGTTAACTCTGAAATTTTCCAGACAAGACCGATGAATAATCCGTCCGTCGGACTCTTCTCTCCTCACTCATCTCATCTTCGCTCCGATTCTCCTCCGACTCTCTCCTCTTCATCGCAAAATGTCTTACAACAAGCCTGTGCGTCTTCCCAGCCTTAATACTGTGACGCTCCATACTAATTATCTACCTCTAGGACGGTCCTCCTCCCTCCTATCCACCCCCGGTCCACGACGCGGGTCCTTACCAGCCTCCACCTCCCGGCGGCACCTCGCAAGACTACTACAACCAAGGCGGATACTACGGTCCTCCACAGGATGCGTACGGGGCTCCTCCACCAGGAAACTACGGCTCTCCCCCACCGCAGGGCCAGGGAGGATACTACGGATCGCCGCCTCCCCAACAACCGATGTATTATCCACCGCAGCAACCGTATCCGCCGCAACAGGGGTACTATGCCGATGAACGCGGCGGGCGCGGCGGGTCCACGGGCGGAGGAATCTGTGCGGGTATTATGGCTGCGTTGGCTTGTTGTTGCTGTTTAGATATTTTGTTCTAGGGATTCGTATGTTCCTAGGGTGGGAAGGTGTTGGGCGTGTTTGCTTGACTTGAATTGATGGGATTTGACGTGCTTGTAACTGGTGTGCTTATTTCATTATGATTCATGAAGTCGTATATCGTAATCATACATCGTTTATACTGAAAGAAAGCCTGGAAGAAAGAAAGAAATCCGGAAATTAAACCCTCGAACTCCACTCACTATCCTCGTACTGATCCCTTCGATACCCACTTCTCCGCGATTGTCGTCGCGGCGGCATCGAATCCGACTCTTCCTCCAATACCTCGACCGTGTCGCCCTCGTCGCTGCGCGAGAGCACCGACTCGTCCAAGATTCGATCGGTGTTACGACGACCGCCACGGTAGGACCCAGACCCTTCCTCAACTTCGACGATGTCCTCGCGCCGACGACGGCGCGGCGCAGCAGAGATCTCGGTGCTGCTGGGCGTGGATGTTTCTGTTTCGCTGCTGAATCGTCGGCCGGAACTCAGCGCCAGATAGATCAGGTAGAGCAGGAAGATGAAGCCGAGGACGCTGCCGAGGATGATGCCGGCGACGGTGCCGGGGGTGGGGGAGTCAAGATGGCCGTAGGAGGCGGGGATGGAGATTGCTGAATATTTCATTTTTTTTCTATCTTTGTTTATGGTGGTATTATATATTAGATATTAGGTAGGAGATGGAATATCATGGACAGGAGATAGAATAGAAGATCATAAATGGTAGATGAAAGAATGAGGTTGGTGTGGTTATTGGGTGGCTGGGAGAGTACAATGACAGTGGATAAGGATAATTACATTGATGTATATCAACTCCACTAACCCAATCAGTTGTATAATATTCATCAATATCAATTTAACTATATTCATCATTCCGAAGAAACATCCCCATCCCATTCCCCGTCTCCTGTCTCCCCAACCGCGTCATATCCAACAAATGATACGTCGAGAGAATCATCTCCACGCCACGATCCGTAGTATCATACGTATGATACACCTCCTCCCCATCTTTATAGAACGCACTGAACCCAAAATACCCATTCCGGGGCTTCCAGGTGATCGTCTCGCCGTCCGCTTCGGCACGCTCCCACTCCCGATGCGTCTTCGCTGAACTCACAAACGGAAAATTCCATCCCAGGCGCTTTGCATACGAAGTGATCCGCTCGACGGATGCTGTTGCCGCCGCCACGAAGCTCGTATCCCGACTCCAGAGATGGTGCAGATCCGGCACGTGGTCCATGCAGAATGAGCAGCCGGTGCAGCCTTCGTCCCCGTGCGGCGGTCCCAGCATGAAGTGGTACAGGATGAGCTGACGACGGCCAGCGAAGAGCTCCGGGAGTGTCTGTTCGCCGGACTCTGTGTCGAATTTGAAGCGTGAGGGGTTGGTGATATGCACCATGGGGAGAGTGCGACGGGCGGCCGCTAGAGAGGATAGGAGTCGTGTGGCTTCTTTCTCGCGCGCGAGGAGATCCATGCGTGCTTTTTGGTATTCTTCTGCTTGGTTGTCCATCTTGTCTTACTCGCTTAATTTGCTAATGATCTTGATGGGATTGATAATTATCGGGAGATGTCGCTGACTATCGGTAGATTATTCAGCCATGACCGATCAACCATGGCTTAATTCGCCTGTTCAGGTATAACTAACTGAAGTACAAAAAGACTCCTGGCTTTAACAACTGCGGTCTACTCTTCGAGCAATGGACATCGTTTATCATTGCCATATAGGGTTCCAGCTAGTACAACTAATCGGACTGAATGACTTCTTGCGCCAATTTATTATGTGTCGACAATTATGGTAATATTGATTATTCAGCACCTTTCTTAGTCAAATGTTGTTGATGATCCAACATCATCGGATCGCGTATATTTCCTACATTAGTTAGTTTGCATTCTTCATTTGTTTACCTCGCCTTTATAAATGCGAGATGTTTTGGTAGTTTAGTTGAATCAGAGACCTAATTCAATGAAGGATCGATACTTGCGAATACGCGTAATTTTATGGTTGACATTATGCTGCTTTGACAATTTTTGGTAAGTATACATAATTATAATAGCAGTAAGCTCCTGTAGAATCGACTACCTAAAGGCTGCGTATGAATAGTCTGGCAATCAATAGCGATATACATGAGACAACCTCGGATCCTGCAATAGAACTTGGCAAATCAGCCGGAAGACAGCAGCATCTACAGAAGAGCTTTAGGACAACCGCCCTCTAGACAACCATCTGGCTTGATATGTCGCGTATTAAAACCTAGATTCTTTCCAAAATATTACATTACTTTATTGAACTATGAGTCATATCTATCAGGGCTTCAATATGCTGTTTCAGATTGACAGATTGACAGACGTTATGTATCAATGCTATGTTTTCTGAGGATACTTGCAAGTATGGGCAGGTTCTGTTAGACCAAATGCTTGATCGGCCTGGGTTTCGTATACTCAAATCAAAGAGGCCCAGAGATCAACAAGCCTCTCTACGCAATGATTCGACTTATGACGCATAAAGAAAATCTATTCCAATATGGTCCGCCAAAGAAAATTTAAGTCTTTGATCTGCTTATGGGTTTCAAAACACTTAACCTGAGAGCCCATCAGTAAAGTCAGACCTGACTTGTGCGCGATTTCATTCTGTTGCAAGTGATTCTGGAACTGTGAAATTACGGGTGATGCATTCGCCTATAAAATCCTCGATATCCTGTAAAAGCTCGTCAGGCTGCTCCAATGCTGGGAAATGAGCACCCTATAGAAACAAACATTAGCTAATCCGATCGGGCCTAAGAATGTCACAATTTGGATTACGCCACGAGGGGAACTGACTTTGTTTCTTTGTCGAAACCAAACTAAGTTGGACAACCCGTCTAACCAGGATTTCGGTGTAGGGATTAAATCCATGAGAAACGATGAAAACCCGAGAGGTTTCTGGAAAGGCGGAGGGTGGTGCCGAATCAAGGTAGGGTCAATGGTTCGATAAGGGTACAGACCCCGTGGAAAAGTTGACGTAAACCAGTATAAAGTGACAGATCCTAGGATCGTATCGAGAGGAAGACTGACATCGCTCCATTCCAGAAACTTTTCTGCAATCCTAGAGCATGGCTATGAGTCGGGGATGTCATAAACTAGAATAGATCATAGGTATTCACGTACCAGGCTAGAAGAGACAATGGGTTGCTAGACAGAACAAATCCAATAGTGCTTGGCCGAGTAATATGCTCCGCCGAATATGCATATCCAGTTTGTAGAAACAACTTGATCCTATTCAATCTCTCGCGACTGTCCTCGCTTATACCCTCCGTGTCATCTGCAGGTGGATTCCCTGCCAAGGTATTAACTGTAACATAGTTAAATCAAGTCCGAGGATGCGATTAGCTGCTTACGGTGTGCTGCTTTGCACTCAGGGTATTGCATGGCCAGAATCAGTGCTAAGACCGACCCTATGTCACCACCTTGCGCTATGTAGCCGCTGCCAAAGCCTAGAGTAACCATTAAGTTGTGAATGACTCGAGCCGCATCATCGATGGTAAATTCGCTGTCCTCTGGTATTGTCGACATGGCATATCCAGGTATGGAAGGGACAATGATGTGGTATGGTAGATCTGCCGGAAGATACTTATTGGCTAGGCGCGAGAGAATTGGTAGATAGTCCATAAAACTCCCTAGATACGTACTATTAATTAAAGGTTCTAGATCAGAGGGCATGGTCCTTACCGGGCCAACCATGCATTAAGACGATAGGAGCAGCATCAGGTTGTTCTGAAAAGAGGGCAGTAAAATGCATCATAATATCACGATCATGTCCGTCTTTTATAGATATTGTGTAATTTGGAAATGAGTTGACATGTTGCTCGATAAGTCGCCAGTTGAACTTGCTTCGCCAGTAATCCCTAGCATTGGCCAACCAATTATAGCTAACTCCAAAGCGGCCGTCATTTTGTTGATTTTCCCATGTTTTCGGCCCAATTTTCGCCAATTCTAGAAGCCTTCTGAGCTCCTCGATCTCATAATCTGGAATCCTTAGTGTGAAGGGCTCCGGTTGCACCTGGGCATTTGGTGGGAGGGTGCCATATGGCTTTGTCGTTTTATAATGGACAGATGACATGATGACCCAAGTTAATGTCAGAACTATATGAATTTATATGAAAGCTTGAATATTCTTTGTATTCGTTGTGATATGTGCTCTCTTTACCCTTCTCTTTCTGAGGGCACGGCTTATATAGCCACGTCACTATATAATTTCACATGATGTCCCAGTAACTAGCTTTATTCTGAAAGTTAAGACGTAGATTTCTCCAGTCGGAACAGTTATTCCACATCCGAATTAATGTTTGGTACTGTCCCGATTTTGGACATGATGACGTTTGTCAACCATTACTATAACAAATGAACCTTCTCCCTGAAAGTGGATCTGACTTATAATAATACGTACAGAGTGTGTGTCCAGCGGAATCGGAATCTCTACCATCCGCCTCGGCCGGCTCAAAAAGATCGCTCCACCGCCGCTCAGTGGAGACTAAAAATGCTTAATACTCTGTATTATGTGATTACGAATTTCTTTCAACGTAGATATAGGGGTTGTCGATTAAGTATCGCTCTATTCTTATATCTTATATTATTCTTATACCTATGTATACTTATCTTAAATTAATATCTTAATCTAATGATACTTTTCTAGATAAATATGAAATGAATTCGATTAATACTAATAAAGGTAATAATGCTAAAGGACAACCTGAAGGTACAAATAATGAAAAGAATTTTAATCCATGTCTTGCTTACCAGAACGGTCCACAATTTCATCGATAACTGTAGACGAATAAGTTAATCCTCTTCCAAATTTCCAACGATAACTGCAAACTTGCTGCGTTCATCAATCCAGTGCATCATCTCATGCAAGAAGGTCCCACCAGTGCTGTTCACAAGATCGATAGATTCTCCCTCGGGGATCTTTTGCGTTCCACTGACCAAGTCCATCAAAGAGTCTTTCGCCGAGGCTCGATCACAGATTATGGTCAGTCCGTATTTATTGAACGTTGTTCCCATAGATATAATGTCCGGGCAAAGATGCCCCCTGGTTTGCCATCTTTTGTCTTGACGCTCTGGTCTCAGCGCAAGATTTTCCAAGCCTTATTCCAGTAATTTAGCACTTGCTAGAGGTAATAATAGGATAGGAATGCAAATTAACCAGTTAAAGGGCGCCAATTAGGAATGCCAGACCTGCTTGGTTTCCTACACACTATACTAGATCTTTTAATAATTATTAAAATAGCAACCAACCCTTTTAAATATGTCCTGTGATGGTTTGGTTGTCTCTGGGCTAGTAGAGATAAAACCACTTGACCATATAAAAAGGTACAAGACATCAGTCGCATCTAGCGCCCTATATAGGAGCGAAGGCCATGCCTGAGCAATACATTGGTTTCAACCCTTGACATTTGTACAAGTAACTATCCAGACCAAAAAAAGTAAGCAGGTGGAGCGCCGTGGTACAGTAATTTATGTGCTGGACAAGATATAGGACAGTTAAATGCGCGTGGCAGAGGGAGGTGGATCAGCGGAGTTAGACTGGTAATATTAAAAGGAGATAGTTAACCATAATATTCTATCAAGTGCCTTGGCTAGTACCACCGCGAGTAAAAGAAGTTCGCGAAAAAAATATATTAGCATGTAGCTTAGCCAAGGTTAGAAGTTAAGTACAAAGCTTATAAAGGAACTTGGGTTTGGGATATTGTTTTACTTAAGGACTAAAAGGACCTTTAACTTTTTCTACTAACGGGTAGCAGGAAATATACCTACTAAAATATGGGGCAACTTAATATCTGTTGAATACGTGATATGGATGTTGGTGGACAGGAATCATGTGACTAGATCGGGTAAAACCCCCGCGGACCATGCTAACAAAAAATCAAGATAAATAAAAGAGGAGCCCAACCAGCTCAACAGGAGAGGGCGGACCTCGCGCAAATAGCTTAACCGTTTTTGGAGGTCATGTGATGTGCCGCCGACAGTTTGTGACTGGTAGAACTACATACTGTAATACTGTAATATGAGCCTCTGGGTTCTTGGGGGATTGTTGGGTAACACATGGCTACCCAAAAAAGCAACATGGCGAGGTCTAAATAATATGCACTGTTAGAAGTGGCAGCCTTATAAGCAGCTACTGTGCTAGGCATACAAGGCAGCTCCTATGACTACAAATAGCTGTATTTGCCATTATGTAGTTTTGCATAACATCGCACTTGCGCCTCGGATGCAGTAGGGCACCATTGTATTCACATAACAACATGGGAAACCTAGTTACATAGGGAAAAACCATGTTATGGTGCATAAAAACCGCTCATACCCCATTCTCAAGGTGTTAAAACCGTGAACAGAAAAATACCAAGAGACTAAAACAAGACGCAACCTTCAGTCCTTGGGTGCTGTTACTGAACAATTTATATTGCTGATCCACAGTTTTAAGCTCTTTGTTTACCTTAGTGAGCCTCTTGAAAATCAAATGCCCTGTTCTAAAAGTTAGACAAAATCTACCATTTGGGGGGGGAAATGGGGGGTTCCTACTGTTCTTCAGGGTCACCAATACAATAATCAGGACGCCCAGTTCCGGCATCCTGGCACTTGCCCGGCCTGCAAGTGGCCTTCCAAATCACATAATCTTCATCATCTGTACAGTAGAAAAGCGACTCAAGGACATGATGGCTATTTGTCGGCTTCCCTTCTCTCAAGAGTGCTTCGTTAATTTGTTCATGGTAGTTGCCTATTAAACCTTTAGTATATACTATTTTTAAGACATTTAACAAGTTTATAACTGCTTACCACGTCTGAGGAGAACAGCTCCACAGTAAGTTTGTCCTGGAACACAGGAAATAGCCATAGCACTGGAGGCCGCAGCAAGAACTGAGACAACGGTGGTGGTCTTCATCGTGAGAGAAATTATTTAGGTGGTAACAGATGGGAAGGAGTGGTTTACAACTTAATTCTCAGGTGTTTCTAGGGCTTTATATATTCTTGTCTTTAGCTGAGGATGGCTCTTCAGGTGCTCATGCATGGGACGAGGAGCCCACTTCTCGTGGATCCACCATTAAGTGGCTGGCTAAGAATATCTAGTCCCAAGAGAAATATGGACCAGCAAGGATCTTTGTGCTGCGGTCGCTTAATTAGAATTGTGATTCATTACCCCTGCTCTTCCTCGTCTATACAGTGAAGTGGTCTAGTCTCTATTCCCTGTAGTCCCTAACATTAATTGCTCAAATATTTTGAGTCGCCTATGTCCACTATTGGCTACCTTTCATATATCTGTTGTTACTTTGGGACCGTATTTTTTCTCTTAGGAACGCCGTTTATGTCTCTAATTCATACTGGATATGCAGTACTACGTCTACCAGACAAACTCTGTTGTCTATCCCTTGAAGCTAACTCTCAGTCCGTAGGATGTTGTCCCTGCTAGGACATAGGAGTTCATAATAGCAGTGTGTACTAATATGCTAGTATCCAAACTAATGCATTCTTTTACTAGTTCTGGATCGATCCTCCGCAGCCTGGGTTCTCATGGATGGGCTACTACTATAATACTAACGCATCTCCTCACCTGAGATAACAAATTGAGAAATGGACATTGCACTTTGCCCAGTCTCTCCAAGGAATGGACTAGATTAATTTCAATAGTTGTTTAATGCTGCATTACTCAGGTAGACAATGTTCAAATTAGTATTCACAATCAGCCAGCTCAACTCTGCATGCAGCCAGCCTAATTTCCTAGCTGGCAGGCTGCATAAGGCAGCCATGCATACCAATTTCCGTTTTCTTAGCTGAATGAGTAGTGATAATTAGTCTTCTCAGCTGGTATAGTTTGTGCTCTAACCGCCCTTATAGTGCAGCAGTTTACCCCTTAGTACATGTTCTTACACGATCTAATGTACCCGGTCAGCTATGATGTCTGTTCTAATTGCCCATCCTGTAAATATTATCTGTACGCTATTTGATATTTTTTTTTTTCTCTTCTAGCCTCCTCTCTTAAGTAATCTGTATTAGTTTCAAAGTCTTTATTCATTGTATGGATTGGCAGTGGGTAATATATATCCTACAGTTTCTAGCATTAGAAATATTCTTTATTGACATAACATACTTTGTACAAGTTGCAGCATTAAGCCAGACCAGAATCCTGAGGATTTGTGAAGAAATGACTCCTTTAATCAGATTCCCAGGAAATCATTAGCATTGCACATCTTACAGTATTTAGACACCTTCATAAGTCACTATTTTCACCGACCTGTTTCTGACGAACAGATTTCTGGTATGGTGCTGGGACTATTGCATTTTTGCTGATTGGAGGATGTTGACAATATTGGACACCTATTAATCTATTCTAATGAATATAGATCAAGCAGCAAAATAATTCCCGCTGGCGAATGTGGAATTTTGTATTACACAGTTCCATTTGACCAGCAGGGTCTCTGCAAACTCTGGACTTAAGTAGCCAGCCACTCCCATAGTTTAGTGTGGCTTGAAGGAAAATTTCTACACCCTCTCTATTGCGTAGGTGTAAAATATTAGAAATTACTATGCATTGTAGATCGCACTGATCTCTAAAATTAGTACGGCATCAAGCAAGCGGAAATAATATCTAATATGGCAGGTAGAATAAAAATGCAGCGAGCAATGACTCCAATTTCAAATTTTTGTGTGCTCGGCACCTCCTCATCTATAGTATATGCAGGCTGAGGGGGAAGGGGGTACTCTTCTCTTCCTTAGGAATAGTATCATACACACTTCACTACTCCCGATCTTCAAGTAGGTTGTGTTGGGACAGGTCAGCTGCAATGACGTGGAGCTGTCGGTGATCGATCAGGCCTTTCTAGTCTTCAGCCACCTCAACAGCGGCATTCAGGAAATCGTGGTGGAAACCTTCAATATCATTTCAGAGGAGCTTACCCGCTACGCCGAGCGCATCAATTTCAATTTTTCCAGTGCCAACCGCTCCGACCTGCAAGAGAGGTTCCAGATCGTTGGTTACTTGGTGTCAGGTGTCTAGGCCTATTTGGGATGCCACGTGCTCGATCGGGAGGTCGCGTCAGATGGGGCTTTAAATACACACAAAATATCGGATGAGTGACCCGGCATCGTGCAAAGAAACAGCGTCTTTTACCTAGACCCCTAGTTAAAAGCTTGGAAAGACGAACAATGAGTTAGACAATGTCGGGAATATCTCTAATAAACGACTTTTTCAAGCAACTGAAGGGTTTATATGTGGGCGGAGAACATTTTCTAAGATTGGAATTCATAAGCAAATGTATCTTTTCTTTTTTATTGCTTACTTAAAAAGAGCTTTTACTAATAGATCCTCAATTTCTACTAGGATTAAGGATGATCATTCTATTTCCCTTCTCACAAAAGACCAGACTACTAATTTAAGTCTTCCTAAAATACATCTTTCTGTCAAGGGTTGAACACAATGTATTGCTCAGACATGGCCTTCGCTCCTATATAGGTTATTAGATGCGACTGACCTATCGATCAGTCGTCTTGTACCATTTATAAGTTCATGTGGTTTTATCTCTACTAGCCCAGAGACAACCAAACCATCACACTTTCCCGGGCAAACTCCCTTCGATCCTTCCATAACCTCCCTCTAGCTACGTTGTTATATATTCCAACCGAGACTTCCTCCATATCTTTGCCTCTTTCCAGCTTGCTGGAGAGGATGTCCTTCAGTGTGTGGATGGCATTTGTTGCTAGAAGCGATGCCTCGGTTGCCATTGTATCGGTGTCCCTATTAGCACAATTGCCATCTTGGCCACTTTCGGGGATCGCGAGGATCTTGTTGGCTTGGATGCCGAATACAGTGCCGAAAAGGGCAAATAATGAGAAGATAAGGAATACACCTCGTCTAGGTCGCTCCATGTTGATGACAGTATGGTATCAAAGAAAGAAAAACATAACAATGTGTGAATCTAATGATTCTTTACAGACAACAGACAATACTACGAGCTACATATAGGTATAAAAGACAGACTTCAATCTCCCCTGCCATTGAACCTGTATACCAACCGACGCTATTCTGCAGCGATGCACCGATGTTGAATTGCCAGAAACCAGACTAGATCAGGCTATTCTGCCTTTATATCAAAACTTATGTAATACTCTGAACGCAATCTGGGGCCTTGTCAGAGACAGCAGTTTCAGGTAATTACCCCTGAGCCATCAACCCGATGGACAAAGTCTGCACTGGACCTGCATGTGCCCATTTCCAGAGCCTGCTGGTGCCTAGCACTTGGACGTCAGCAGAAGAACAGTGATCACTGTATTTAGATCTACAGGTCTTGCGGTGGAATATTGAAGATAGCGTGCTGACTAGGAAACAGAGATGATACTTATGGTCTTTAACAAGGACTCATCGGCATGGGGAGGCGGAATGAAATATACAGATCCTGTTATTTATATCCATCTCTTTTAATAATCGTAATGATATTTTGTATATATTCCCCATAGAACATAGAATACAGTATAAGTAATTAGCTTTTGATTGATCTTCTTATATAGAGCGGATATAATAATCAGGAAGAGAACGACTATGAAGTCGAAAAGAATCCCAGATATTATACACATCGATACCGACTCCTCTCTCGAATCCTCTTCCCAAACGCAATCAACCCAAACGGAATCGGCACACACAACAGACTCAATAGTCCCACGAAACTCGTTGCCCACGCCACTCCCCAAGCATTATACATCGGCCGCACCGCGAGGGGAAACACCGCCCCGAGCAGACTGCGCAGGATGACCGAGCTGGCCAGCGCACTGGCCGAGTAGATCGTGTACGCGTCTGTCACGTAGGTCAGCAGCGAGATGAAAATGGTTTGGTATGCGAAGCCGAAGAGCAGCCCCGATGACATCGGTAAGGCCCAGGGAATGGACGGTCGAGAGGACCACGCCAGCCATAATAATGAGACGGTCAGTCCAATGCCGCCGATGCAGGAGATGGGCAGTCGGTGCAGTTCTGGGCTGTTTGTCCATTGTTGACCGGCTTTTTTGGCTCGTTCGTAGTAGGTGTCGTAGGCGAGGGCAGAGAATGCGGTGCTGGAAGCTCCGATCCCAACTATAAATGTATATAAATATCCCTCTATAGATACATAGATGATGGAAGGATGACTTACCAGGTAAAAAAGCCAACGAAGTCGTCTGAATACTCAAATGATACACCCCTATACCAAATTAATATATAACCGGACAGATGGAAGAAGACGAGTACCCCCAAAAATAATCGGATATGCCTGCAAATAAAAAAACACAAACGAATACGCCAACGCGATAAACAACGCCGTGCAGGAAATAATCGGTTCCAAGACCAGCATGGCTAGAGGACGCTGCAGGATACGGACCATGTCCATCTTCTCCTGCGCCAGAGAGACATCTAGGCCTTGACTGCGCAGACGAGTAGCTTCGCGTTTGAGGAGGACCGGAGCGAATGTTTCTTTTTTCGTCAGTACTATATAGTTATATGTCTTATATTATGCCGAGGAGGAATACCAGGGACAAAAACCAAACCCACAAAGGTACAACCTGCAAAGATCAACTCGATCCAAAATGTCCAGCGCCAGTTATGCGGAGAGGCGAAGCCGGATATAATAGGGCCCAGGATGGGACCGAAACTGCTAGCCTATAATTATTATATATATCTTCCTTTATATATGTATAGAGTGGGAGAAAAAGAAGAAGGGAGAAATACCGACATGTACAACAACATCGCCCTTCCTCTCGATCTCCTCTCCTCGAAAAGATCCGCATAGATGCCTCCCACGACGGTCTGTGGCGCCGATCCCATACTCCCACAGAGGAAGCGAAAGACCAAAAGCACCGGCCAGTTGGGCGCCAGGGCACATCCCAGCGTGGACAGCACAAAGACCCCAAATGTAGACAGCAGAACGAGTCGACGACCGACGGTCTCGCTGAGCGGACTGAAGACCAGCGGGCCCACCGTGTATCCGACCAGAAAGAGGGAGGTCGGTAGACTGGTCTGTGGACCGTCGGATAGGTGGAATTCGGGACGCAGATAGGGGATGGCATTGCTGGGGAGAGAGGCACTCAGTCCGCTGTTCATGACGGTGAATAGAGCTACCAGGGCGATGGGGATCTTGCGCGAGAGAGACCAGCAGGAAGGGTTCTGGGGGGAATGGGGGGTGAATTTGAGGGTGCCTTGCAGTTGGTAGCCGGGGGAGATCGACATGATTAATTAATATTATATATTATATTATAGATTTTATAATTGTATATACTAAGAATCTATAGATCCAAGGTATTCTATTTATACCGTGAGTCAAATCTCAAATCCGTATACAAACCCACGGCGCCGCTCCGGCCCCGATCATTGCAGAACCCGGTCCGGCCCCGATGACCGGTTGCAGGTCTGCATGCCTAACAGCTTCAGTATACGATGGGAGTTATGATGGCATCGCCGGTAGGAAATCAAACACGTCCGTCTGTCCCTCCTCGAAGAGTCCAAACGAATCAGCCATCGTCCAGTTCATTCCATTCCCGTTCGCTGTCCCCGTAGAAGGCTCGTCCACCGTCTCCTCCAACTCTGGTTGATTCGTCTCCGGTTGGTCTGTAGGCAGACTGGCATAACGCACAAAGATGGACACTGTGCGATGGATATCCGGATACGGAGGCTGCTTGATAAACTCGCTGATCTGTTGCGCGCGATGCAGCAGCAGTGTCTGGTCGATCAGCGAGGGTCGCCAGCGGGCGATGCGCACGGCAAAAGTGGCTATATTATACATTCAATGATAAAACTTATACATAGAATAGAGGTATACATACTAACAAAAGCAATGGTCAAGGCCGGATACGTTGGTGCCCATGTCAATTGACATCGATAGGCCGTCTCCTGCACCAGCAGCGCTAGCTGGTTCATAATCACCTCGACGAGAGACTTCCACAGGCTGTCGCACTCCCATGTCGAGTCGAGTTTCTGGATGCGTGCGATAGAAGCGCACAGGACGTAGATTTTGGCGTAGTTCAGCATCAGCTTGAGGCTGCAGCGTTGGAAGGCCCCGGCATGGAAGCCATTATCTATCTTCTTTATAAGCATCCAATCTTATATAGACGTATCCTGTAGGTGTAATTACGATCGTGGATTTCATCCCATGACGTCCACCAACTCTGTAGACGTACCATCACTGCCGGTAACTCCACGGCCGTGAGATGATCCACCGACGAGCTCTCGATTATCAATCGCGACCTCGCCCGCAGCTGATGCAGCTCAATAATGCAGACATTGCGCATATCGCTGGGCAGCGACAGCGGATACTCGAGGAACTGTCGCAGCTTGACCATATCCACTTCGCTGAGTCGCGACTTTCGTCCCGTCCCGGACGCCACGTCCAGCTCCAGCGTGAAGCTGATCAGCCAGGTGCGCGTCTGCCACACAAGCATACGGTCCTCCAGCGACGCCGAGATGTAGCTGCGCGGCATCTCCGTTTGCGCCAGTAGTCGATCCAGCGACTTCTCTAGTCCGGAGTCCAGCGCCGTGCGGAGAATTAACGCGGTTGAGAACCACGTTTTCTCCGAGTACGCCGCCAGCAGGATCATCCCCTGCACCGTTTCCAGCTTCGTCGGCCGCTCGAAGAAGCTATCCTCTGCCAGTCGCTGCGCCTCGTCCTGCAGCACGCGCTGCAGGTGTCCGTCACCGCGGAACTCAGGCACCGCCCGACTAGCCAGGTACAAAACCACGGAGAAGCAGAATGGCGACCGGCTGCGGATAGAGTCGAACGTGTCGCGGATGGGATCGAACAAAGGTAGGAAATTCTTACTGCCCGTCATGAACCGTTCGTAGATGCTGCGTGCCTGTTCTTCGGCCAGGAGTCCACGCTCCACCACGTCGCTCTTGAGATCCGCCGATGATGATGACGATTCCCCCACGAAGATATCCTCCGTCGATGCCCCAAGGTTCACTGAGATCGAGTGCATCACTGACTGTGGCGCGATCATCTCCTGCGGACTGAACTGCTGCATCTCCAGCCCCGGTCGGCTGTTTCGTCGCGAGCCCGACGTCGGTGACGTCTCGCTGGCAGCGGGTGAACGGCCAGACGAACTAGAAGAGAGTGCATCGAGGGGACCATATCTCCTGTCTGTTCGTCAGTACGATGATAATGGGATGGCGGGATGATGTTCGATGGTCTTACGGATGGTCGGGTGAGCGTCGCTGAATCGCATCCACCAGACACTCGTGGCCGCCGGATTTGCAACGCGAACACGGCGATCGCTGACGGGCGTCGCAGCGCATCTTGAGTTTGCGACACCGTCGACATGCTTTAAAGAACCGTGGTGGTTGCGGGCGGAGAAATACAGACTGTGACTCGTGCTCCATGATGGAGAGTTGATGAAAGTAGTCTGAGTAGGAGGAGAGCGATGGGGTGAACTAATATTAGGCTTAGTGTCGGAGAAGGACCGATCTATGGATTACATGAAGACTACCAAAAAGTGATGGACAGAATACCAGAATATTTACAACAGATTAATATCCTCCCCGAGCCTGGTACTTGGGCTGCTCTGCCGCTTTGATCTCGTCCATCCCTGTCAGCACCGGCGTCGTCTTAGCCATCTCTATATCCAACTTTGCCCCCTCCGACTCCATCGCCCATAGACTCACGGCGATCCAGTTGGTCCCGCGGTAGTTCAGGATCCCCTCTGGAACCGGATAGCTGGTCTGTGGTCCGATGTTGCTGATGTATTTGCCGTACTGGTATCCGTTGACGTAGAGCTGCACCCGGTAGGCCGGAGCCGTGCTGTTAGCAAAGTTGAAGTACAGCGGCACGTCCCAGCCCCTAGGGATGTCGAGATCGAACGCAGCGGAATAGAACCCGATTCCGGGTTTCGAAAAACCGTCGAACGGACTGCCGGATTTCCACCCCTTGCTGGGCGGCTGCGGCAGGTGGTAGCCTTGACGCTCGGCGTAGAGTCCGCCTTCGTTCAGCGGCCCTCGCGTCTTGTCCACGTAGTCCTCGCCTCCCAGGTTGCCCGTCAGCTTCCAGGTGACATCTACGGCATCGTGCCCGGAAAGCTTGTAGTTGAGGATCCCGCGCGGGTTCTTCATCTCGTCTGTGCCAACGGTCCAATCCTCGTCCAGACCCATAGTGTCCACGACGACGATGATCACATACGACTTGCCGGGCTCCAGTTTAGGCATTTTATACGTTGCGTTGTAGTCTTTGTACTTGTTAAGCCCGGCCCAGGAGCCCAAATGTGTCCCATTCAGCCATACAGCGCTTCCAAAGGCTGACCCCCCCTGCGTCTGGATGAAGAATTCACTTTCGTCGCCGTTGGCTACAAACTGGCCGCGATACACGAGATACCCTGTGTGGAAGCCATAATCCGACGAGTAGAGCGACGTCGGCGTATCGAGCGGACGATATGTATTCTTGGTCTTCAAGTCCGCCGCAGGCCAGGTAGAGTCGTCATAGGACGACTGGAGCTCTGGTAGAGTATCCAAATATTTCCAATCCAAGTCCTTGAGGGTTGGGAGCGCAATCTTAGGGGCGTCGTACTTGACCTCCGTGGACCAGATGCCGTTCTTGTCCACTGATTTGTTTGTTTTCTTTCCGTTGATGAACAGGTTCTTCGCATTGCTAGGTGCTCCAATCACCTCAACCGTTGTGGTGGCATTGAAATCGGCCGTCAGGTGAAGATCGCTGCCCTTGAGGTAAGCCGTTCGAACGATGTATCCTGCCTTGACGATGATAGACGAAGCAATGTTCTTCTGTGTGCTGTAGCCTGGGGACGTGCCCTCTGCAGGAAGCTGGGGCACCCAGTAGTCATAAGCCGAGTTCCTGTCTAAACGCTGATCAGAACCATGCCGGTGCACATTCAATGACGCGCTCACCAAGAAGGAACACGCGCAAGTCGCCAACCTGGACGATGCGACGAGTAGATGATACGTCCCAGCCAATCACAGTTGCCTTTCCGATCTGCTTCGAGGCGATTCCTGACTGGGGTCCTTCGATCACCTTTACATCTGATCGGCCCGACACAGCCAGTTCATGGTGCTCCTCAGGCCCGCCGTACAAAAGTAGGGTTTTGGTGTTGCCGAATTTCTTCCAGGTGAAAACTTCGGCCGTCGAGTAGAGGACGTTGATGCCAGAAACGTTGTAATCAACAACGTGCACCTTGGAATCCCGCCCACTAAGAGTAAGGGTCCCATCGAGCTGAGGAACGGTCAGAGTGCCAGCACTAGTCGGGAGCCTCAGCCTGTACGAGACAGACTGCTGGCTACGGTAATCAGTATGTCTGACCACAAAATACGACCCCGTGCCATCGCCGATCAAGGGAGTCACGGCCACAGCAGCAGTGTCCGTGTAGACTCCAGTCGTGAGGTTCCCTGGAGTGGCCAGCAGGTACGACGGGGATGATTTCATAAAATTGCCAATCAGCTTGAGTTCACTGTACTTTTCTCTGGTGATATTGCGACTCTCCGTTAGTGGCGAACCATAGTCATAGGATGTATAACCTCCAGGATGTCCGAGGTTTCCCCAGTTGGTTCCACCAAACATCTGCACAAGTTAGACACATCCATGGCATGTGAAGTACCGTCATACCATATATAAGTTCAGAATAGCAACCCCAAAGCTTAGATCATTTTTATAGAATACTCTTTCAAATTCATGGTTCACAAGAGCGGCGCAGGCGGCAAGGCCTGGTCCTCCCCATGGATCATATGCACCAGCTTGGAACTATACAGAATTAACTTTCAACTGCGCTTACATTTTCAGTCTCTTACCTCTAGAATTGAATATGGCGTTGATGGGCTCTGCTCGAGATGGGTTGCATACCAACCAGTCGGTAGGGCACCTTCAGGCCATACGGTTGGGTTGGCCTGTTTATGTTAGAAGATACCTGACTTCTGGAAGGAGACATACGCAGTCGAATTGAAGTCTAGAGTCTATTAGTCCATTATATCATGATAAGACGTGTGCAACAGGCATACTTACGGGTAACTGTCATGACCATAGATATCCACCTCGCCTATTCCAGTGCCCGGAGCATTGTGCCCTCCGGCAAAGGCATCGTTGCTAATCATGGGGACAACGATGCCCGCCTTGCGGGCCTGGTCAATGACATACTGGAAGTATTCTCCGTCAGGAAATTTCACACCGCAACATGCCTGGCTATATTCATTTTCAGGTTGATAGAGAATCACCGGTCCCCCATTCGTGATCTGAGCTTTAGCAATGGTAGCGCCAATATTGGCTATATAACTAGTCAAGTACGTGAGTAACAAGTAATTCTCTCCCAACAATCTCATACTTATCGGTAGCCTCCAAGTAGGCCTTGTCGGGGGTCCGAAGGGTGCCATTGACCCGCTGCAACCAGCCAGGAAAACCACCGCCAGAGACTTCTGCATTGATATATGGACCCGGACGAACAATGATATAAATTCCAGCTTCTTTCGCAGCATCGAAGAAGGGCTCCGGGGAAAAAATCCCATCTGCTCTATAGTCGCCTGGCTTTCCTTCCAGCAGTGCCCAATCAAAATAGACTGAGGCGGTGTTAAAGCCAAGGGCCTTGATTTTCTGGAAGAGATCAATCCAGAGTGAGGGCACTGGAAGTCTTGACGGAGGTCAGGCAGGAGTAATTAAAATAAATGGGTAGAATAACTGGGTTGAATACCTAAACAAATGAACTTCGCCACTGAAAATCATAATCCGCTCTCCATTGATGAAGAGAGATTTCTCGTCCCATGTAACCTGTGGAATCAGTCTCTCTGAAGCCACGACCAATCTTAGCGCACGTACATGTTTCTGCATCAAATCCCGCTGCACTGGATCCGAATGTTCTGTGATGGTGAAACCATTGAGCTTGTGCTTAATGGAAGCCCCTGCTGCCTGTGCGGTCAGCAAAGCAATAGCACAAACTGACAATAGTCTCATGGTGTTAACGTGGAGGCACCCCAGGTCTAATTATCGAGTGCAAATCACCCCGGCCTAGACAAGGGATTCCCATCTATTTATGCTTCCATACCCCGCATGGTCCAGGAATCATCGCGTCATCCGATGGGGTTCCTGGCCAGACCACGACTCACAGAGCATCATTGACGGCATGCATGAGGAGAAGTGGGACCATCCAAGCGGGAATTCGGTCAATGTCCGACAATTATCATCCCAATAGCGCTAAGAATGACCGAGAATAGATGGAATTGGTTGGGATGCAAGGGAGGCCGATCCCTCCTAGCGCCGGTGATCACGGCGGGAATTTCTCCACCGTTAAACTTGTGATGATCTCGTGGAGGGATATAGCGTGGAAAATTACCCGGTTCAGAAACTGTCCAGAATGAGGATTGTCGTGAGATCCTTACAGATGGAGAAAATACCTGTGTCACGAGTGCTGGCCTGAATTAGGCTGCCTGGCTCAGGCATTCAGTCACCAATGCGGCTCTTCAATCATATTCCTAGATGCGAGGTGGGAGGGCAAGATACAAGAATTGCCAAGTTCACTGAAAGTAAGTGACTCTGTATTGGTAGTTCTAACTAACAAGAAGTGCAGGTGTATTTCTCTAATATCTCCCATCCTCCACTGCATCTGGATAGCCATTGTTGCAGGCGCAATAAATGCGCGAGTGAGGAACGGGTGCGCAACGAGGTGCAAGTTAGGGCTTGGCACGCCATCATCCATTCCTATATTTGTTCACTTATATTATGAAATTTAATATAACATCTGATAGTGTGATGGGTTTGGAACCAATAATGCTCTATTCCCTGTCTTGCCGTCAGTAGAGCGTGCATCCACTTTATCAGGAAATTTTAAAGGCATTCTACCGAGATTATGATCTATTGTATGGAAGAGAACGGGAAAATCCCATTATTCAGTCAACCTACCCTGAAGTGGGATTATAATGAAATTGACAAGCGCTGTCCTTCTGTTTACATTGTAGAGACTAAGAAGTCAGTATATAAAAGCACGGATACTATCATTTAACGATAAAGAAATTACTAAGGAGAATATATGCATAGCATAATGCAACAAAGGCCCGAATGGAATCATCCCATTATAGATAGCTTTGTTCATTATTACTACTCTTTGTTAACGATCAGGTCACCATATCCCAAAACTATATAAACCACGAAAAACATGCCCTATCTACTCTCTATCATCGTTTCAATCCAATCTACTACATGTATTTTACAACATTCTTCACAGTTCTCAGCTCCCAACGTCAAGACAATCCACTCCATACCACTTAACAACTTAAGTGAGACAGCCCAAAATGTTCACAGCAGGGATCTCATGCCTTCCACCTGAGCTGGTTCTTAGGTGTGCTCAATACATGGACCTAGTAACCCTGTGTCAGTCCTCACAGACATGCAAAGGTTTCACTAACACACTCCAAGATGAGCAGAAAAAGGCCAAAGAACATGTTGTCCCGCTCCACGAAATCTACGACAGGTGCATCATCCTCCGGGAGCCGCCAGAGGAGGACGATGATGACGACGACGACTGCTACGATATCAATGACAAGAGTACATACGAGCCCTACCCCAACGATTTCGACCACGAATTCCTTCGCACATACCCAACGCCCAAAATAGAACTGGCTGCCAAAACCGGACGAGTCGGAGCCCTCAAGGACTTCCTGGACGCTGAGGTGGACCCGAACTCTCGCAGCCTGGTCAGCATGCCCATTTTCAACGTCGCTCTTTTGAATAACCAGCTCGAGGCCGCGCAGCAGCTTCTATCGTATCATGCTGACGCATCACCTAGGAACATGATGTATCCATATCAGTTCGGTGCGGTATACTACTGTGCTAGATCCTGCGACCCAGACCCGGATCTTGCTCCGGAACATATGATCTGTGAGCTGATCAAAGCCGGGGCGAAGATCAACATGACAGACTTCCAGACCATTTGCGAGAAGGAACAAGGCCGTATGGATATCATGAAGATTCTCGAAGTGGCGGAGCAGCAGCATGGACTGCCTAGTGTCGGGGGCCTGCGAAGCTTCAACAGCAGAAACACGATCCTGCATCTGGGATGTATCTCGACCGAACTGACCAATTTTATCGCCAGTACGTGGTCAGATGCTCTCAATGTGCAGAACTACAGGATCGAACGGCGCTGCATGTGGCTCTGGAAACTCTAAGCAAGAATACTGGCCCCGCGATGTGCTTGATTAGCAAGGGCATCGACGTCAGAGCCACCGATGATCTCGGCAAGCAGGGACTCTACCTTGCTATTCAGTATTATGGACATGAAGATGTCGTGCGTCAGCAGCTAAGTAGGGCAGAGGTAAAGGTCAATACTAACGACCTTCACCTGAGGGAACCGCTGGTTCTCGCCTGGCAATTTGAGCAACTCAGGATTGTGGAGTTGCTTCTCCGGGATCCCAGGACACATGCCCCCTCGAGTTTTGCGTGGTCCGCAGAGAGATATGCAAAGCAGACTGCGGCATCTCAAATCCTTGAGGACATTGCGAAATTGGTTAAGGATCGGTCGCTCCGGTAAGTGCTCTCTTGTATGTGGCTTTTATTATTGTTTTGGTTCCTCTGTTAGTTCTTGTTTCGGTTCTTATGTCGGTTCTTATGTAGGTGCTTTGCTAGTTATTCGTGGATTTGAGCATCATTAGTTTGTTTGCATCCTTAAGTAACATATGCTTTTAAATGTCAATCTGGGTATTATTAGTGGAATATCTCGAAGATAGAAGATAAACTGGTCAAGTTGAACATCAAACTTTTATTCGGTATGCATATATTACACTCTATATGTATCAGACAGTAGTATTAGCCTGGTCCTCCTCATCTCCTGCCTTAGAAGTCTCCCGCATGTCGACCTTCTTCTGCTCGTCCTCTCCCAGCGCGATATTCTCACGCTGGATCGCCGCTTCCTCCGGCGTATCCTGCTCGCTCACGACTGGCGTCTCCGGCGTGGATGTTGAAGCTGCGTGCTTCTGGGTGATATTCACCAACGGCGGGTCCTCGTTGAACAACCGTAAGAGCATAGCCCGGCGTTCCTCTTTGGGTAGCATCAAGTTGATAGAATGTAGAGATCTCCAGAGAGGGAGGACCATTCGCTCACTGAACTTAATTAGTAAACCCATAAAATGTGCACGAAACAAGATCTTCAGCATACCTTAATCCATCTTCTGTTCCATCTGCTTCAATGTACAATATACTACAGCCCATGGAAATGTCCCTCACGCGCTCGCCAATCTCTCCGAGTTCCTTCCATCCGTCATTGTCCACCTTGGGAAACATCTCCACGAGAATCTTCCTTAGAGTCGACTTCCGAGTCAAAGTGACGGCTCTCGTAGGGCTCAGCATCGGCTCGAGCACCCGCAGACCGTCGGTCTGAATACGCCAACGGCACACATCCATGCGCTGCACATCCTGCTTGACAAACAACTTGACACCGCAATGCGTGATCTTCATTCCCTGTCCTTCATTGGCGGTGAGGATATCACGGGCCAACGCACTGGTGTAGTAGATCGTCCGGGTTGGGAGTGCCTGTGCATTGCGCACCATGAACCGGTCTCGTGGGAATCGGTCAGAGATTTCATAGAACTGGAAAATCTGTTCAAGTTCCTCGTGGCTGGGATCCAGGTATTTGTAGGGCTCTTCAATAGGCTGGCCTGGTTTCCGCTTCTGCGGAGCTTGGGCAGGAAGCTCGCTCTTCGCCACCGGCTGGGAAGTGTCTTGAGGCGCAGGTGTAGAAGCGGGGTCCGATGTATCCATACTATCGGGTTCAGGCACCGGAGGAGGACGATGGATAGGGCGGTCACCCAGAACAACTTCGGTGCCATCCTCGAGTTTGGCCCTCTTGGTTGGGAGCTCATCTTCCATGCTCTCTGCGTCTCTCTTCGCTGGGGAGATTTGGTTGGTAGCGGAGTATGGAGGCTGGTGAGTAGACTCCGCGACAGTTGCGTTCTTGCTCGCCTCCTCTTCGGCTGCTTGGTCGGGAGTCACCAGGTCGTCCAATGCATCAATCTTCTCCAAGGGCTGTCCGTTTCCATGCTTTTGTTTGAATTCAATTTCTTCCACAAGCGCTCCAATGGAGCACTTGGGAACGACCTTCGAAGCATCCTCAGGTTTGGCCCGAATTTCAGACGTCTTTTCCAGGACCGTGATGAAGAATCCACCGGTGTCCTGCAGATGAGGATAGATACGGATACACCTCTCAAGAGGGAGGTCAGCATTCTCGTCAGTGGGAGGGAACATGCCCTCGGCAATTCTGCCGAGGCCAGTGATGCCGTCCTGCTCTCTCTTGTCTTCAATTTCCTTCCAATTATTCCACATCCGGCCTTCGCGGTCCATAACCTTCCAAGTCTTCAAGCCGGCGACTCGCTTCAGGCCAGGCAACTCGTTGCTGCAATCGATAATCTTGACATTAGCCGAGCCACCACACCTGGCGATTGCGCTGCTGACAACAGCTTCGTTTTCGATAGGGTTCATGCTGCAGGTAGAGTAGACGACCCGTCCGCCAACCTTCAGCATCTGCAATGCACGGACGAGGATCCGCACCTGCGTGGCATGGAGGCCTATCGCGTTATTCGGATTCCAGTCTCTCCAGACGCCGATGTTCTTTCTAGCAGTCCCATCACCAGTGCACGGTACATCCGCGAGGATGCGGTCGAACTTCAGATATCGGCCCTGGGCTTTCTTTCCATCGGCCGTGGGGAGTGGGGGAAGCTTGATCGAAGGATACATGGTAGCATCATGATTCGTGACAATCAAGTTGGGAGAGCTGAGTCGCTTCATCTGATGAATAAGCATGTGCGCACGACGGTAGTCGGCGTCATTGGCAATGAGAAGTCCAGTGGTTCTTCCATCGTCGTCAAGACCCTCCGGCCCTAAAGGCTCTGGTCCCGCGGTTCCATCCTTCAACTTCTTAGACATGTCCTGCATCGCTTCCTCCTCGCCAGCATGGAGAAGTTCCATGAGCTGCGCGGACTTACTGCCCGGAGCGGCGCACATGTCCAGCACGGTCATACCGGGCCTAACATCAATCAAGAGTGGGGGAATCATGCTGACAACCTCCTGTCGACTGATATTACCAACATCGGTCTCCGCGACAAGGAATTTCTGGAACGATGCGAAGGGAGCAAAACGTCGAACGACATGCTTGGGGGTCGTCATCCACCATGCAAGCTGATCGGGGTACCAAGGCACTGGGCGTGGCGGCTCAACCATATTACCTTCATACTTGATGGAGGTGATCTCAGGAATAAAATGATCCTGGAGTTTCTTTTGAACGGCAAGAGCATGTCTTCGAAGAAATCAGTCAGTACGCGGGAACAATCCTAACCGCTGTGCGATCTGGAAGTCAATGACATACCCTCGCGAGCCCGTAAAGCGGAAGCTGTTGGGCAAATCCCTTCGCAGAGTCTCCCAGAAAGCTTCTCTCTCCTCTTCAGGGATGAAGCCCTGTCTATTGTAGTAATCCTCCAGTTTCGCATTGGTCTTAGGAACGTCCTGCCAGTTCTGGCGCACTCCGCCAGCTTGGCCGCCCTGCGACAAATCCGTCAGCTAGTGAATGGCGCAATCGAACGGACAATAACTTAGGGGAGAGGCAAATTGAGTATGGGTATGCTCTTACTTTCTTACCACGTTTGCCTTTACCCATTGCGAGGAGGAATTGGAGGGCCGAAAGAGCAGAGCTGCAGTGATTGGGGGAACAATTATTCTCTATCACAGCGATCAAAATCCCACATCGGAACTTCTCTCGGCCCGGACATGGTTAGATAATCCAATCTTCTTTCTCCGATTCAGGACGATTTGATTTGATATCTTCGTATAATTCTCAATGAAAAGACATCTCAGTCAGATGTCAATTATATTCATGGCATACGGTCTCGTATTCATTCTGCATAGCAAGAAATAAACTTCCTAACAGATCCTCCGCCAAATACTGTCATCCCTCAGTAGCATGCACTTGAACTGGCATTCTGACATTTACAACGCCTCAAGGCTTAATGCCTGGAGGACCCTAGCGCGACATTCGCCAAATCCAAACCATCTGCTCGTCTTGGGATGGTAACACCATCCCTCAAAGACGACCTCGTCCCCATCCTCTAGGAATTCAATTCCCTCATTTTTCAATACAGACATCTTATTCTTGGGCATCATTCTCTCTAATAGACATGCAAGGCCGGCTTTCTCTCCCTCCGGGCTCTGTCGCTATATTCCCATTCCTGTCAGCTACTGATCTTGGTCTGGGGGAATCAACATACATTACTGGACAATGTCCCAGTTCCAAGGATATCCCCCGTGGATAGACCTTCACCGGCACTGGCGAGATAAGTAAGTTGTTGATAGGGCGTCCAATACAACTCGTTGAGGTTGGTGGATGTCACATGGTACACTTTATCGTTTCCTAGTATGGCCAACAGGATTAGTATGAGCTCGTGACAGGCACTGGTAATTCTATCGTACTCAAGATCTTTGCGGAAAGCTCGATTTTAAATATCTCTGACTCGGCTGAGTCCTTCCAGGTAAGATGTGGCAGCGGCGAGGGATTCTGCTGGGTTACTCTCGGACATGCGACTGGCTCTAGTGCCTCCATTGTAACAATCCATGGTGAGATGGTCGTCCCAAACCCTTTGCTGTGGAATGGTCCGAGTGGAGGCATTTCAAACTTTTGAATATCCCTGGCGGACCAGTCATTCAAGAGGACGAATCCAAAGATATGCTCTTTGGCATGCCGGATGTCTAGGACCTGACCTGCCGGGATAGCCTTGGATAAGAAAACCCCCATCTCCAGCTCAAAGTCGAGCCTTTGGCTTGGAGACCAGGTTGGCTGGGACGATGGTCCAGATTCTTGAACAACACCCCAGGGCCGTCGGATCGGTTGGCCCGATATTCTCAAGCTCGAGGTGCGGCCGTTGTAGCATGTGGGGATGCAATACCAGTTAGGGCTGACTTGCCCGCCGGCGACTTCTGAGCACTATTGAATCTAATTTCAGCATCCTATCAAAGTGGGAGTATAAGGAGAAATATATGAGTATGTTCACATTTTGTGCATGTTCAAGAGAGCAGTAGAAATCAGTGTAATTCGCCGTAGCCATAGGCAGGTGGTTTGCCACTTGATACAGAGGAATAAAATACTTTTGGTGCGATTCTTCACTGATATCTCCAGACAAGTATTCAATAATTCGTTTCCTCACTTCCACTTGGACGGGTCTCGGTAGAGCAGCAAAAGTATTTAGATTCGTCTGAGAGAATGCTCAACTGTTAGCATTTCATCCGCGGGGAATATCACAGTACGCTCAAGTACCTGCGTGAATACATGGTCCTTAAATCCAGATATTGATTTGAAAAATCCATCGGATTCTAGTTTGCTCAAATCGATAGCATATTCCCCAAACGCCGTGGCGCATCTGCGACTAGGATTATCACCTGTGCTGATAACGCCATACGGGATATTGTCCAAAGTGAAAGGCGTAGTTTTGACCAAGGAAGTCATTCTGTCACTGAAGTAGTATTTGGTATAGAGTAAGTGTGAATAGAGAGTGATAAATGGATTCCCACCCGAAGGAGGTGCAATAGAAAGCTGACCTTCCTCGGAGTATTTATAGTTCATACGATGTTACACCCCGCCCCGTGATCGGACACTGCAACGAAGTACTTTTAGTTAGGGTAGAATACTCCAAGAGTCAAGGGTTTCTCTGGTATTACCAGAATGCTGATGAAGCTGTCTCCTCTCTGTGAATTCACCTCTGTGAATTCACCTGAGGGTTGTTGATGGATCCCAGCGTCCCTCGTCCTCATTCATAAGCCTTACATCATTCTCTCTGCGGGGTAATCACCACAAATCAGCGTGTGAGGGATATGCTACTTTTATTCCTTGTACTCCGTCACCAGCTAGTAGTTAAAAGATACCATTCTTCACTATTTCCCCAGGTATCAGAAGTTTCCTAAAATATCAGAGTGAATGGATTCCCTGGCTAATTATTACGTCCTCTTGCCTCTCTTTCTTTCTCTATCTTCTACTTAAATTTGCTCTCCAGGCCTTCAAATAAATATTATCTAAAGAATTTCTGACATAATAGACCTCTCGCCCAATAGATATACACTTCCCAACCCGATTCCCCTTGCCCTATGAAGAAAAGATCAAAGAGCTCTATGCATCATTCGCGGCTGCTACCGTGCAATGGAATTGTCAGAATAACAGAAGATTTATCTGGCCTAACTAGGGCCGATACCCTTTTTAAAGCAGTGGAATTTCATTGATAGGAACTTATCATGGCCCGAATGGGGTAGATGATACCGATTGGGAAGCGGAGAGTGAAAATCAGATGACCTCAGGCAAAACGTTGCAGGTTCCACTCAGTGAGCCGGTCTGCGGTCTGCCGATTTCCATCGCAATGGAATATGTATAAAACGAGGCTTCCCCGCGGACCAGTCCTCCTCTGCTACAGGGCAAATCATTGGTGTTGGTATACCGCAATTATTAAGCCCTCTGTGGCTACGACCATTGCATGTGACCACACCGAGAGAGACCCCTCTCCTGTTCGTAAACAGTCTTGTCACACCGGCCAACATACACCCATTGCCTATTCCCCCTGGCACAGAATATGCCACATCAAGTCCTCCACTTAAAACTACTGTATCACGAACCTGCAAGATCCAGGAGTTCTTCGCCACGCACTAACTCCGAGTACTAGGAGTGAAAAATACGGAGACGGGGGACTTGGAAGGGTAGATTGAGAGGTATTTGCAGTGACTACAGGCCTGCCACTACCTATCACGGGTCTAGCTGGGCGATAGATCCTGTCTAACTCACGGACTACCATCACAGGATACGAGAGAAGTATGATGCGACATGTAAACGCATATTTTTCATACCCTGGCCCTTGAGCTTTCTCGAAGATAGTGACAGAAAGTCCTTCTGAAACCATGAGCGTTGACACCGCATAACCCCTCTTCCTCTTTCCTTTCTTCCTTTTAAATCCCTTCGCTTCTACTTCGTTCACTATCACTTGCTCGTCCAAAGCGAGCATTGCTTCGCTACTATCCTTTCTATGTCCGACTCTCTCAACATTCGCATCCCCCCCCCCTTTTTTTTTACCAGAATGCCTGGCCTTAAGGCCAGGGGAGAAACTGGGAGAACTGGGTGGAGACGAAAACCTCTAATGGTGACCCTTTCCACAATACACATAAACCATGTCACAATTTAGCAGAAAGATGTACAATTTGTCTAAGAGCTATTACTTATTGTGCATGTCTGAATATGGCATATCCTGTATGTTGGTTGAGGAGGAAGAAAGTGTAAGCCAATCAGTTATCTATGGTTTTTGTTTCTGTGGATAGCTCGCTATGTAGAATATACTCCACCAGGCTTTACCCTTAAAAGGCATCCATCCTCCTTAATTAGTAGTATAGAATCTATTGTAGTACTTACTGTGCAGACTGCGAATATCTTGGTTGTATCTCCAATTATCGGTGAGGGTCTTACAGTCGCAGATGCAGCAGTATGGACAGGGCGGCATTGGGCTTAATAGTTCTCCCTAATATGAATATCCGTCTAGCATGAAATTAGATTAACTAGATAGAAGAATCGTGGTTCAATATGACCGGGATAGAGTAGTACAGGGTAGGATTACTATAGTCATACTTAGCATATGACAAGAGTATTTTGGAAAAGTGATCAGTCAAAGTGGGTCAACTGTCGGTGCTATTTGTTGTATTCGGTAGATGTACAATGAAAAATAATGAATATTTCATCGGATCATAGGGAATATGATAGCATGGTTGGAGGAACATATGGCGCGCAGCAAAGGGAGACTGCAGAGGCATCCCAAGAAAATGGTGACCAAGAAGTGGGTCCTGGAAAGGGGTTCGATGACCCGGCATTGGGGACTGGGATGCGGATATCTGGCAGCAGATGAATGAAGGGTCGTCGTTATTTTCCATGTTTTCTCCGGGGCACGAGGGGTGATAGACCCCGTTGGTTTCTAGATAAGGATAGAGGCTCACGATCTGGTCGCATGCTCAGGCTGTGTGTGTTCCTTCGTTGCTGTTTGTTGCCTGCTTCCGTGGTTACACTGCCCCATATATTAGTTTCAAGCGCTGCCGGAGTTCACCTTTCGATAATCCTAATCTGTTGCAGAACTGCTTTTTTAAGGAAATTTAAGCCTGCTATGTGGTGATATTAGATTATTCATTCAACCAAAGTGGACAAAATCACGTGTTTTCAAAAATTTCATATTGCCACTTCCCGCATGCATGCACAATTTCTGATTAGTAATGTAGCTGAATTCTGCAGTGTTGTTCAGGCCGATAAGCGCCCCAGTCGCGCGGACGAGGAAGTGGAATATCTTAAAAAAGAGCATGGTATAGTGGAGGAACTAGGGGGATTAGTGCGTGACAGTTGTATGGATAACTATTATCTTAAGTCCTTGTTTAAAGAGTGTTGTGGATCTACAGTAGGTCAGAGGAATTGGCATTGAATAGAGAGAACTAAGCCATTGAATTGGATGAGCGAACTTAGTATACAGGAATTTCGTCTGTGGGAAGAAATATATGCGCGAGGACTTCGCCGATCCTATATTCATAACACTCCCCTTTATTCAACTAAGCAGAGCAACGCGCAGCTAGTTGAATGTTGTATATCTATCACACTCCCCTTTGCTCTATACAGGGACCTTCTTCATTGGGATGCCACACAGGCCATTTTAGATACCACACGGGCTTTACTCCGGCCACACAGGACTTTCTTTCGGATGCCACAAAGGACTTATACCGGCCACACAGGACTTTTATAAACAGGCCACGCAGGCCCTCTAGGCAGACCAGACAAATCTCCTAGGCCACACAGGACTTTCGGAGGCACAACATGCCCGGCCACGCAGGCCTTGATACTATGCATCAGCTTGCAGGGGTGCCCAGCTTGCATCTCACTGAGGAAATCCATCCCACTGACAGATCACTATTTTCTATGATCTTGGATGCCCTCTCTCCAGCATAGTATCCATTTTCCAGGGCAACTATCCAGGGACACCTCCCTAGTAATGAATGCTTGAATTTTCACCACTATCAGAATTGGAGATTTCAAGCTCTGCAATTGCTTTGCTAGCTTGGCTTTCTCCCTCTTCATCTTGGTGAGTTTCTTGGACCGTGACTCCTTGTCTTGATCAGATTTCTCAGGACAGTCCCTTGCATAATGACCATATTTTCCACATCTATAATATTTAATCTTGGCTTTTTCCTTCGCACGATTCACATTTTCACCAAGGAAATTGGTGTCCGGAGCAGGCAAGGTCGGTTCAGCTGTTTTAAGGGACTCGATAACTTGAAGGATACATTTTGAAGCATGGGAGTTTGTTGAAAGGTTTCGTACTGCGAGAATGAAGTTCTGGACCGTGTCTTCGTAATCCTGATGTTACATCGATGGGGCCAGTCCTGCCATGCCCTTGCGAGTGGCACTCTATTCTAACCAGATACGAAAATCTCCTGTGTGTCTGCTTTCGTGGATAAGAGCGGCGACAGGGTGAGACCTCACTGACTGCGCTCCATGACTCAACTCGAAGGCCCAGTGGTTGGATAGATCCTTACCTGGAAAGTGAGTCCCTTTGTCCATCAAGGTTGCCCTGTGACCAGGCAGCAAACGAGGGTACCGACCAATCGGGCTGCCCGGGGCGACTTTCGACCACATCGCCTGTTCGCCCGACGCCGCGGTCTTAGCTGTATAAAGAAGCAGGCTCCCTACCAGGCTAAGCGCTGAGATCCAGCACCGAACCTCACCACGCCTCTGCTCAGCACGCGAGTCGTATATCCTTGCCCGCTAGTAGCAGCCAGGATCAAGCCCGCTGCTTCCCAACATATTAATATCTTCATTTCCCAGAGGATTAGCGCCTGCCACCTTCCCCTTTACACTCACCAAATGCCCTTCCAGTATTCCTGCGTGAGTTTCAAAGGTACGAAATCCCCTTCCTCCTATCTTTCTCTCTTGATCAGCCCTCTTCTGCTCTTTATTTTTTTTTTTTCTCTCTAGGCTAACTACACCACTCTATAAGATCATCGCCTGATCTAACTCCAACATGAAACCCCTCACCTACCTCTCCCTCCTCCTCGGCATCTCCGCAACCACCGCCCTCGCCGCTCTCCGCCCAGACGCAGCCCCCGACGAGGTCGCCGCGGCGAAAGCCGAGTGCGGGTCCCTGGGCGTGATGAGGATCGACCCAGCAGAGCTGCCCGAGGGCGTTACGATGTCCGACGTCCGCATGTGCGCCGACCACCCCCTCGGCCCCGGGGCGTACCCGGGTCCGGGTCCTGGGGCTTTCGCCAGGTTCCGTCGGTTCTTGCCGAGTTGGGTGTTTTGAGAGGACGGCCCGGGAGCTGGGTCGAGGCCCTGTAGGTAGTCCGGCATGCAGGCTTCTTCTGCTCACGCGCGGGCTAGTTTTTCATACCCGGTCTGGTTGCCTGCGCTGTGCGGTGGGAGCAGCCGTTTGGGAATGGAACTCTTGGAAATGTATAGTGTCGTTTAATGTTGATTTTAGAACAAGCTTGATTGATATAGTCTAGCTGGAGGATAATATTCAGATATCACAACGTATAAAATTCAACAATAATAACATTCTAGCAATTTCCATTAAGTAATAGATTAACTATTTCTATATCGGCCTAGTAATCACTCGCCCGCGCAGTGTATATAGAAGGGTTGGTCCGCTGTTCCAGGGAACAGACATTGAACCGTTCATCCATAAGGAAGTGAGAGAGCTAGATATTTCTATTTCATGGTGCGTTGCAGCTACTCCTCCTCGTCTTTGCTGCCGGGCCTTGGATCGAAGCCGTACAGGATCACAATAGCAGGGCGATCTACGCTGCTCCCCGCGATAATATCGATACTGATTTCCTGGCATATAATAAGTAAACCGCCACCCGAAAAAGCGATTTAAACATACTTCTCACACTTACATATCCTTACCTCTTTCCAACAGCTCGGAACAAATCTTTATTATACACTAGGAGAGCTAATAATACGCCCAGGAGAGAGAAAACAATAACGTAATGCTAACAAAGGCAACAGGTAATATTTTTATGTACAATAATTAGGTCTATTTTTGCTCGCCTTGCTTTGTTCACAGTGCTTGATCCAGAGGCCAATGTCGGCAACAAACCTGCGCGCCGCGCCAATTTCACGCCCTGTTTAACAAAGAAATCTGGGTTTTCGCCACAGATTTGCTTCAGATCAAGACAGTTGTCTAACGCTATATCACGAGCTTTCTTGATATTTTCCTTAAAGCTCTCGGTACCCACACGTGATAGATGCCAATCAGTATATTCCTCGACCGCGACTTCAAGTAGCCAGGGAATATCAATGGGATCAAGAGGACTGGCTGGGGTTATTCTTGGAGTTGACTCGGCGCCACAGGAGGAAGTTATCAAAGGTTAAGATGACTGTGTCGGGAAAATATAAATATTTATTTGTAGGAGCATTAATACAGTTGCGGTGTTTGGGGATTTGTTTTGTTTTAACACTCGCTGATCCTTTTCTGCATACAGTTGTTTGCGCACGTTGTTAGAAATGTTATTATGGGAGTCTATGACTCCTCCTTGCTCGGCATATTTAACAAGGGCTCTCAAGTGATGTGTTCTGGGTCGGTAATGCTTTTTCCCTTCAGGGTCCTGCCAGTAGTACTGACCCTTATGCTGACAAGGTGGCCCAGGGCATCACATTTTCCGATACACGTCTCGCCAAACCGAAGGCTGTTCCCGAGGAGACTTTGGCATTAATTTGGTCATCTCGATCACGGAGCATTCTGTTTGTTACTGAGGAAGTTCCTCTTTTGTCAGTGTTCCTTGGCAGGGGGTAGGTGTCCTCCATATAATTAATAAAAATAGAAATCCTCAGATTTTTGTGGCACTTGCGAAGCAGATTTTGCCACATTTGGAGCTGCTTATTTATAGCTGTCCAGTTAATATCTGTCTTCTCGAAGTGTTTTGTAAGATCACGCTGTGAGCGGTCGTTTACACAAACCACAACCGAAGTATCGTCCGGCTTCACATGCAAATTATAGTTTACTTTCTGACGCAGCACACGTTCAGCCTTCTGTTTAATCTGCCGCCAATATGAACCGGGTTTTAAAACTAAATCTTGTTCTGTATTCTTTGCCAGGACCCGGTTGTTATATATACAACCAGTTAGCAAGCTCTAGATATAGGGGATGAGCATATTCTCGGACCTATTTTTACAGCACTGTCTAAGCCAAGGAGGATGTTTGAACACGTCAGGGTGGTGTGTTCGAAGCCAGACGCGATTAAATGCGCGAGGTTGTTCAGGATCTGCGAGTGTTAACCGGGGTCTGCTATTTTTTCATGCCTATAGCTTACTTGGGACATGATTGATGACAGTTGGTGCTCGTTGACACGGAGATTCGCCAGGTGCTCCAGAGTGAGTGGAAGATTATCTACTCGGGCGTAGAGTCGGGCATCGTCCCAGTAGTACTTTTTCACGGACAGGATGTTTTCGTGCCGAATCTGTTGAAAAGCATGCAAGGCTTTGTCCGCAACTTTAATAGAATATTCTCGTATCGCTTTAACTCGGGATGGACGGGTTCTAGACACGCATATTATAACTGGCCCGGCAAGTTCGCATGTAAAGGCATGCTGAAATGTATCCCAAGGAGACTTATTTTCTCGCATGATCAGTGGGGAAGATGTGTGACGCGACTTCAGAACCTTGGAAAGTACAAGGTTTTTGGGATAACCCTAAACGACTTTCCCTGGTTGCTTAAGTCGGGGGCCATGATTTCTGGATTTTTCATTACCCTGCGACTTGTCGTTCGACTAGAAATGCTTACCCAACCGATCATTACAACGCTTATCAGACAATAGACAGACTAAAGAGTGACACTGGGCCTCCCGACCTGCGGGATCAAGCTGCTAGATATTTTTTTCCTTCAGGGGGGGTGTTCGCAGAAATTGCAATGCGAACGAGGTTAATGTCCGGAAAGGTGCTCTATTGTAGACCTAAGGGAAATTCTTAAATGTCCAACCAAAGGGGAAGGAAAGACCTTTGTTTCGGGCCTGCTGCCTTGCGGTCATGTCATTGGCACTCAGCCGGTGATCCGCTGAGGTAGCTGGGACTCCCAGACCGGCTGAGCCCTCAGGGACATGTTCCCCGAGTCCAGTGGATCGGGTTAAGTATTATCTGCGTGGTGTTAGAGCGGGTATAAAAGGGGCATTGTGTCCTCAAAAATTAATGGTTAGAATCCAACCCGCTTGTTCTTTACTAGCGTTGGATGCGTTAATGTTTACGGATACCGAGCTGCAAGTTAGTAGGGAGCGAAGCTGGAAATACTTAGGACCGGCTAGAATCAAGCTGCAGCAAATTACCCCTTATTCTTCCATTTCCCGGGAACTAAACTTGCCGTACCCCAATCATGTCGAGCGACTGTGCACTATCTTTCGTAAAGAGGGTTGCCGCCGGTTAGATATGCGAAATTATGTTACTGCTATTATTGCAAGGCGGCTCCTGAGCGAGGCCCTCACCCGAGCGGGGTTGAGCGCCGATACCTTGGCGATCAATCCACATAGCCAATATCCTGAACTGGATTTTCCGGGCAAAGTCCAGTGCCTCCACGGTCAACACCGCTTGAAAGCTGGAGAAGAGGTTTTAAATCGGGGCGACTAATGGTGGATTGTTGATCTATATATAGATGGTAATTTATTATGCTCCTGGTCCTTTACCTTGTAAACTTGGTCAGTTGCGGGGCATACTAACGCTTCCTTAACGCTTAGACATTAGCCATAATCTGCAGACAACCTTAGTGGAAGAATATTCCAATGAACATGTTCCATCTGACGGCGAGATATATTGTAAAGTTCGCCAATACCAATATAAGGCCAACGCACGCTTCGAGAACCGATAGATAGCCCGCCTGTTGAGTAACAAAGCCAAGTAACTCCGCCAGCTTTCCTCCAACGTAACTGTTCGAGCCGCCTTTGATAGCTTGCTGATGATCCCGGCACTGCTACAGCAAGGCATGATGCTCGGCTCTCTCCCACGGGCACTGGCGGTGGACATTCCCGAGGTAAGCCGTCTCTCTACAATCTCCCCCTTGTTAGGATGCTTAGACCCACAGGTAATGGTCAATGCCCTGGAGAGCCTCAAACAATATTTGTCTTACCTCTTCAAGGGCGATCGTGCCAGTATGCTAAAACTGTATGCCTATATAGTGGAAAAATTGCAGCTTCTGGCCCCGGGTCTCTCCGCGAAGGAGACAAGGACGGTACGGGGCTTGGTGCTCAGCAGCGAGGTGTTTCCGAATTTCAGCGATTCCGAACGTAGGTCTATCCGGAAAAGATTATGTGAACCATAAAAATTACGCGTATTCGCAAGTATCGATCCTTCATTGAATTAGGTCTCTGATTCAACTAAACTATCAAAACATCTCGCATTTATAAAGGCGAGGTAAACAAATAAAGAATACAAACTAACTAATGTAGGAAATATACACGATCTGATAAAGTTAGATTATCAACAATATTTAACCGAGAAAGGTGCTAAATAATTAATATTACTATAATTGTTAACACACCCCCTCAGCAGCTTGCAAGGTTATGGATAGTTGAATATCGCATAAAACCAAAATATTGCCTAACTAGACAAGGATAAGGCTTTTCACATTGGTTAAACCAAGCATCTTGACAAATTCTTGGTGTCTTTGAGCCGATAAAGCCTTTGTTATCCCATTAGCGGGTATCTTGGCAGTTGGAACCCATTCGATTTTGATGCCTTTATTTTAAACCTCCTGACGCAGCTATATTCCATAAATATTAACATGGCGCAATTTGGTACGTAGCTAAGGCTTTTCCTTGGTTAACAACTTAATTATCTGGCAATTATCGCATTTAATTAAGATATTATACTTAGAATTAAACTTAATTATATTAAACTGTCAAGGGCTAAACCTCTATAACCTAATAACTAGGGTGGATACAAAAGGAATCGTCGAAGAGGAAAGAGAAGAGGAAACAGCGATGAGACGATTGCGAAGTAAGGGGGGGGAAGTCACATGATAGAGTGTACTAATCAATATACTAATCATGTGGCAGGCGAGGAGAAAGGAAACACGAGGGCTGAGGGCCCGAGTAGGCTGAGGGGCTCTAGCCCCTTACATAAACATGCACTTCCACCAGTATAATATCTTTGCAGCTGCTGAAATAGCAAGAAGCTTAGCTTTGGTAGTGGAAGTGGTCACCGTACGCTGTTTTAATACCTTTTAATTAATTAGTCCGCCGTAGAGCATACAAAGGAATCCCTCGGTGCTTTTGTAGTTATAATAATCAGCAAATAAAGCATCGCTTGTATAAATAAAGATATTGTTTTATTTAATTAAACTCTTCTAATTAGCGGAATACTTAATAGCGTAAAAACACGTAGAATAAAAATATATAATTACTTAATTAATGGCTTTAAAATACGCATTTAACGGATTTGTTATAAATTTAGCAAGTTTATTAACGGGACGCTTAATATCCGGCCTGGTAATAGTTGCTAGGTAGAGTGTGGATCCTATCTTCTGTTAATAATAATAAATTTGACCATCTGTAGCCTGTTCCTAATTAGGCAAGTACTGACAGCTTGACTCCATGGGTGTCTTGGGATACCGACTTAAATTATTTAAGTAATATTAAGCGGCTATTTGGTTAATATATGCGTCTTGGTATAGCTATAACTTTTTTTCTGTACGATCTTGAATAACGCGAATTCCTAGGAACCATTTAATTTATCCTATATCTCGCAGTTCATAGCATTTTTCGAGAGCTCTTTTTACATGGTTTGCTTGTTCTCTTGCTTGCGAATTTAGCAAGTTGACGATAATAATATCATTAATATAAAACATTATAAATAAATACTAATTCGAGAAGAGATATTAATCCTTATTAATTGGTTAAAGCCCAAAGCCTTTTAGTGTTATAAACAGATCCTTAAACTATAAACGTGGTGATCTTCGTAGTCTATATAACACTTAATTAAGCTTTTATATCTTACCTGGGACCTAATATCCCTGTGGCATTTTTATATACACTTCTTTATCCAACGATGTGTTTAAAAACATGTTAATAGTGTTATACTGCGTAGTATTAAGATTAAATACTGCAACCAACGCCATAATTATTTGGAATGTTTTCGCGGCCAACATGGTAAATCTTTTCTTTTTATCCGAGATTGCTTAAAGATTTCCTTGGACATAGATTCGTGCCTTGCACTTAATAAGATATCTATTTTTATTAAATTTATAGGCAAAAACCTATTTTAACAGAATAATTCCTTTACTCGTGCCTCTAACTGTTCCACCACTGTTGCAGTACCCCTTTTATCAAGCTTATAAATTTTTTTTGCTATAGCTATTATAAAGCTATCTTTTAACACATGTTTTAGCATCTCTGTCTATAATTTTAGATGAGAGGGTAGATTATCCCTATAAATTCGGCGTTGCGGAGTGTGTTGTGTTATTCTAATAGTAAATGCACTTAGTACGCTATTAACGTAATCGGTAAGCGAGCGCCGCATGAAAGCGAGCGCTGCACCTCTCTATTCCATATAAAATGACACTTTTTGAGAGTCTAATATCTCAACAATAAAGCACCTAGAGGGCATAAAATTTAATATACAGTATAATATAATAACGTATATATATATATTAAGCAGAGAAATTTTAGGAATGAATATTTCTCCAGATAAGATAAATTACAACTGTATTTTTTATATTTTTAGTTGTCCTAGTATTTAAAGCCAAGAAAGCTATTTAAAAACATGAAAATACCTTTTAGAATCCATATATATGTTATTGTCTTATAAAGATGTTCTATATCTACTGGTGGTTGAGATATTAAGGTTTCAAAGAGTGCCATTTTATATGGCGTACAGAAGTGCGGCGCTCGCTTTCATGCGGCGCTCGCTTACCGATTACGTTATATAGTGTAAATATTACGTAATTAGGATTATTTTTCTTTTTCCGTGCTCGTTTTCCTTTAATAATGTTTTCTGAATTAACCTCTTTTTTAGGTTAATATATTTACCTATTTTTAGTATTTTCAGGCACATCCCCACCCCCTGAGGTTGATAAGGAATTTAATAAGTTAAAAAGTAATTAACTAGGTAAATCTGGCTCTGTTTTAACATCTTCTTGCTCGCTGTAATATTTAAAGTGACCTGGTATTTGACGTTTATCTGGATTAGGCGTTGGATCAGGGGTTAGATTAGGTGTGGGCTATTAAATTATTTTATTCCTACTTGGCTTTTCTCGCAATTTTTCTTTTTTCGTGAGATTCGGACTTTCCTAAATATTATCCAGAATATTAAAAAATACTTGTTTTAGAACTGATTCTGATAATTTCAGCACATCAAGCACTTGAGCAGGTGGTTCGGGTGTAGTTTTTTAAATTAGATTATTAAGAAATAGCTTAGTGGGATTATAAAAACAAGATTTATTAAAGCTAACATCCCTAGCTTTAATAACCTTTCGCTGCTTTGGTCGCTAAATATACTATATATTAGACGCCTTGTATCCCACAAGATAGCTGATAAACGCGCGTGGAGCTATTTTTTATGTTTTTATAAAATCCTGATCTTGTATATACACACGACAACCGAATAAATACATGTTTAAAAGATCTGGAGGAGTACTATAAAGCAGTTTGTATAGTGTTTTCTAGTTAAGGATTTGTATTAGTAAGTAATTAATAATATAGATAGCACTTTGCATTGCTTCCGGCTATAATTCTTAAGGTAATTTCGCCTTAATAATAAAAGCTTGTGATCTAAAAATAATAATTACTCCGGCATGTTTAAAAGGACTATTTTACTTAGGTTATCCTCGTACCGATATCTTATGGCTGATCCTATTTAAATACCTGAAATTAGTAATCTTGTTGCCTAACATTTGTTCGTTGTTTAAGTAATAAATTTAAACTATTATATTCCAGCAATTTTTAACAAAGTTTATAAAATAAATAATTATATTTCTAACACTGCTTTTACAAGGGCATGTATATATAAAGTGCATCTAGGTGTACTTATTATAAAAATAGTAAGCCCAATAATTACTATTATACGCAGGAGTTATCTATATTAGGTTAAAATAAACCTGTTTAAACGGCTTACTCGCGCACATAAACAGGCGTCGTGAGATTTAACAAGGCGCAGATAATAAACAACATGTCTTGCACTTAGTGTTTGGATTAGAAATATTAATTTTAACTCCGTTGACTGTATCCGGTAAGTGCTAAATTTCTTTGTTACTAAAATAACCTATTTATTAATACCATATTTCTATATCTCCATGTAAACTTAACAGCTTGGCTGACCTCTTAATCGCGTAAACAGCGTGATCATAATCTGGTGGATTGTTTTTAACAATAAAAAGGTTTTTAATAACCTATAATTAACAAATAACGCGTTTATCACTTCGCCGAATAATCTAATTAAGCTTATTATTCTATTAACAACCTGCTTTTTTTATTCGTGTGTATAACAAAATATTGGTGTGGAAACCCAGCATGTATATAATATTATTAAATTAAATACTATTATTTTTATTTAGATAAAGAATAATAGTTCCCGTGCCTTCTATGTTTATTATGTTTTGTCCAGCGCGCAAGATACCACGATCTCTGTATTAAAAGTTGGTAAATCGGGATAGCTTATTACAAACATAAATTATTATGCCTGTGTTGAGAATAATACTATTTTGTAGGTAATAAGGCATTTTTTTAGTAAAGGTAGCATGCTAAATTAATATCACAATTTGCTTTAATAATATATTTTCCTTGTATTTTAATATAAATTCTATTATTATCTTTAACACATATTACAATTTTAAATGTGGACTATTAAGGATTTTATTAAACTTAGCCTAAATTTTAACATTAGGTAACTATTCTGGTGGTTGTTTTAACTTAATAATATAAGGGCAATCCTTAAATTAATACTTTTCTTTGCAAAGACATGTGTTCTTCCTTTTATTATTTTTTTAGTTGTTAAATTATCCCTTTAATGTTGCGAATAACACCTCTAATTTTAATTGTTGTATTGCCGCTGTGTCTGCAATATATCCTCGGTATAGTACTAATATCTTTGGTAGTATAATTAACTTATCTTCCTGTAATAAATTAAATTATTGATCGGCCCATAAATGCGAGTATTGCGAAATTGCTGTTAAAAAGTAGTGTATAGCATGTTAACCCATTACCTTAGGTAAATCTGCAGATAAGCAGTTATAATATGCTAATTTAAACATGGCTAACCATTGGTCTAAACTACCACTTTTAATAGGAGAATTTCATGCTTTCTTATATCGTGCGTATATTATGCGGGCCTCTTGCTTTAATATTAGTGCTAATTGTAAGGGGCTAGAGCCCCTCAGCCTACTCGGGCCCTCAGCCCTCGTGTTTCCTTTCTCCCTCGCCTGCCACATGATTAGTATATTGATTAGTACACTCTATCATGTGACTTCCCCCTTCTTCGCAATCGTCTCATCGCTGTTTCCTCTTCTCTTTCCTCTTCGACGATTCCTTTTGTATCCACCCTAGTTATTAGGTTATAGAGGTTTAGCCCTTGACATTAGGAATCGTCCTTGTCTGCCTGTCTGCCCGCTCGCCTGCCCGCTTGTCCGCCCGCTCGCCTGCCTGCCTGCTCGCCCGCCCGCCCGCCTGCCTGCCTCCGCCAGTCTATGGGAATATCTTTACGATGTCCGACCCGAATCCACTCCTCCTGCTTGTGCAGCAGCTCCAGCAAGAGCTCCAAAACCAGCGCCTTGATATTCAAAACCAGCGTAATGAAATACAGCAACTACGTGCGGACCTTGATGCTTCCCGAACAGATGTCCACCAGCTTCGTACGCAGCTTCTTTCCGTCCAGACACCCAGATCCCGCCTGCCAGATCCGCCTCGCTTTAACGGTAAACCATACACGCTTCGCACATGGCTCCCGTCAATTAAAGCAAAACTTCGATCAGACCAGCTCGTAGGAGCTGATGCTTTGACTATGTATGGGATCGACTAGAACAGTCTCAGCAAGCTTCTGTCCTGCACCTCCGCCAATCTGCCGAAGAAAACCAGCTATGGGATCCTGAAGTTATTTTCTCTTTTTTCAGCGTCTATGCCATAACCCACGGGAACAGCAGGAGGCTATTCAGCGCTTTACTTCTATACAACAGAGGGATGACGAATCGCTTATCGCCTACCTTGCTCGTTTTGAACGACTTTCATATGAAGCCAATGTAAACTCATGGCCAGATATATCACGTGTTACCACGCTACACCGGGGGCTACGGCCTAATCTCCGTCGAATACTAGAAGACTCGAATAATTCTCTCTTTGATCTTCCCTATAATGAATATATTGAACTTGTCCAGAGTACCGATCGGCGTACCCGTCCTAGTCCAAAATCAGCCCCGAAACCAGCTTTGACCCCGAATACAGACCCAATGGATACTGATCCGGTCCGAGTCAACTCAGTTAAAATAAACCCCAATCCTGTTCATGTTGGCTCTGTGAGAGTAGCCCGAGCTGCTTCGCCTGTTTTATCTGATTCTTCTCATGAATCCACCACCTCTGACCGCCGCCGTTTCCGACTTGCGAATAATTTATGCCTTTACTGCGGTTCTAATGATCATTGGATCGCAGACTGCGATGCCCGCTCTACTTTGTCTGATACTTCCGAGAAACCTCCGAAAAAGCTTACAGCCCGCGCCAGCAACCCGCCTCGCTATTAGGCCTCCTTCGGAGGCCTTATATAGGAAGGGGGAGTAGTGTAAGGGGCTAGAGCCCCTCAGCCTACTCGGGCCCTCAGCCCTCGTGTTTCCTTTCTCCTCGCCTGCCACATGATTAGTATATTGATTAGTACACTCTATCATGTGACTTCCCCCTTACTTCGCAATCGTCTCATCGCTGTTTCCTCTTTCTCTTTCCTCTTCGACGATTCCTTTTTGTATCCACCCTAGTTATTAGGTTATAGAGGTTTAGCCCTTGACACTAATTGTTGCTTTAATAACTTTAAAATATAAAATGTTAATTCCTTCCCATATAAATAATACACGAGTAATGGACCAACTAATCCTAGTATAGTCTTGTAAACAACTAAAAATCCTTGTTTTACCTTATTATATTTATTCTTTTTAAGGGTATACAGCTGCATTTCCATTTTTATTTATTATCTGGCTTCTTTGGCTTCGTCGGAATCTTCGGTTTCTCTAGAATTACCGGTAATTCCTCTTCTGGCGTATCAGGATTAATATAATCCCAAACATCGCGTGATTTCGCCGTGGATTAAATAAGGCTATACCAGGCGCGCCAATTATCTCTCGTTTTTAAGATAATAGAGACCTTCGTGGCAGCGCTGTTTGTCCCCATTTTAATTTAATATAAGTTCTCGGATTAGTGAGTAGCTTTAATGCAACGTGGTTATATAGCTTAGTAAGAAGTTTTGAATAGCTTCTTCTTAAATCAGGCGATTAGACTTGATTAAGCAATTTAGTAATAAGCCGGGCTACCGGGCTTATAACTGTGAACCATAAAAATTACGCGTATTCGCAAGTATCGATCCTTTATTAAATTAGGTCTCTGATTCAACTAAACTATCAAAACATCTCGCATTTATAAAGGCGAGGTAAACAAATGAAGAATGCAAACTAACTAATGTAGGAAATATACGCGATCCGATGATGTTGGATCATCAGGGCTTGTAGCTCGGCGTGGTCTAAAAAAACCTCGGCGTGGGCTAAAATTCTGCCCCGAGACTCACCGCTCTTTTTTAGACCACGCTGAGCTTATGCCAAGAATAAACTCATCATGGTCTAAATGATTAGTCAGTATTCTTAGGCCACGATGAGATTTTCAAAAGATTTTTAGACCACGCTGAGCATATGCACTAGGGCTTAATTACTATAATTGGTAAGGTGTAGCCCTAAGGATATTTTGTACTACACAATACAGAGTATCCACTCTGCATATACTCTGTATAGGTTGACCAAACCACAACAATGGCTGGTACCGAAGTTCGGGAAAGAGTGGTAGAATGGATCAACAATATCCCAATCCAGGTATGTGTATATATGTTTATTATATACTGGGTATATACAAACCCTATACTAATATACCCAATTATCAGAACGAGGTGCAGGAATCTCATAGAGATGATTCTAGTAGTATAATTAGTACTAGGTCTACTCCGTCAGATCCAGGAGATGATATACAGGAACAAGAATCTTTTACACCAATAGTAATGGGCCTACAGCGGGTTAGTGTATATCTAATATATACATAATATATACTAAGTCTATGTTAGGAAGCAGCTACTTCAGATGGTGTTGTCGTTGCGCGAAATGCCAGTCATAAGATTAAGGTTAAAGAGATTCAAGAACATCTTTTAATACCTGAATATCCAGCAACAGCAGCAGAAGGTATTCTTCATTTTATTCATGACTGCAATCCATTTCCATCCTCAAGGAATCCAAATGATTTCTCTGAGGAAGAAATAAATAATATTTTTACACGGCTTATGTCAAAGGTATGTAGAGTATATATCTGTTCTATACTATACTAATACTTTAAATAGATTCAGTTTGCAAAAAACCATACAGGGGCTGCAAAGCTCGTCAAAATGGATCTTCTAAACAAGCTTGATGATAACGGACAACACAAGGCTTGGCATAGATCTTATATATGTGGTTCGGTAAAGGCCTGTGAGCGGGTCTATGATCATATGCTAAGTATATCACGGGCATATGACCGGGTTAATCTTGATTTACTTAATGAACAGCGCTTACGTTACGCCGAACCCTTTTATCCTCAAGCAATTGATCAACTAATCAAAAAGAAACTGAAGATGTCTTCTATGCTTTTATGAAATGTTGGTGGCAGGATGGAGGTCCTTGTGAATATCAAGGTATCAAGACATGTGGTGAAACACCACCGGTAATGTTTTATCGAAATCAGGTATGCTTTAGGTACATTACTCATATATTATATATACTAATTAACCCAGAATATTTTCTTGGTTGCCCCAAGAATTCAGATATTAACCTTGGCATTATGCTCATCCAGTTCGACGATTTGCTCAGATTGATAAGACTTATCTTCAAGTTCTTATGGAACATGGAACAGGCCCAAAAATAGAAGAATGTGATTTCATTGCTCAGCCAACATCCCGAAGAAGATGGTGTAGTAAGTATATTTCTAGTTTTATATATATATATATATATGCTAAGTATAGGATTAATCTAGCTCGAGCAATACTCACCATACCGGCAGGCTTTACATTCCAAAGTGTAAGGTTAAATTTGACTTGTACATTCCAACATCCTGGCAACGGTTTCCTTTCTTAATTTTGATTTGTCGATTAAATCATATTCATTTTCCACCACCTCCAACACGATTACCTAAAGATATTGCAGATGAGGTGGTCCAAATGATCTCCCAGCATAATATCCTTGACCTAACTGCAAGTAAGTATATTTACTCTATATATACAGCATATACTAAGTATCTACTCTATTTAGGACGGTTCATGATCTCTCCACAGTTCACTGATATATATGATCGATTTGGTCCCTCAACACTACGTGTATTACATCAAAGTCTTAATATTCAAGATAGGGTTCAAGCTTTGATCCGAAAACAGAGACTCTTAACTTATCCTGAAGGAACTGATATTGCTGGTATGACAATAGCTACTGCTTTTAGGTATATGCTCAGCTGATACTAGGGGTATTACGTGAATACGCCTTCGACCAATTAAAAGGGACGACCAGCAATGGATACGTGATGTCCATTTCTTTGATCCACGGCATTTTCTTATTATATGCTGTACATATGCTCAGGCGAAGGCGTTTATTAATATCAAGCATATTGAGATGGACCTCTCATTCAAAATGGTTAATGGCAAGACGAATGTCTTCTCAATTTCTGGGTGGAATCCATATGTGCGAAGTATGTATCTAGTATATTTTTTTAATATTGCTCACTAACTTGCAAGTTACTAGGAATCAATACCTTTGCATATGCTTTTCTTAATCTCGAAACACGCGATGCATATGCTGTAATGTTCTCAAAGCTATTTAAGATACTTGGAAATGTGGCTCGCTCACCTATACGGTTTCCCCATATTCAACATGGTGAGAATGAGATCTGGACTATAACTATCGATATGTGTAAGAAGCAAGCACCAGGTATGTAATAAACAGAATATATGCCCGGTATTTGCACCCTGTTAAGTATATTAGGTCTTGGAGATTATTTGCATACGCTAGACACATCCCGAGAGTGGTCTGAGCACCTTCCCTATGTGATTATATTCTGCCAAACTCACTTAAAGCGTAATTTTCGCTTAAAGTATAAGGACCACCCTGCAGAGCACCTACTTAACAGCCTTTTAGAAGCACCGTCCAAACCTGATTTGCTTGAGCGTATGGACTACATATGCAATACATATCCTGAGACTAAATCCTGGCTAGAGGGAAAGAAACGGCCGTGGATCTTAAGTGCACTGACCCCGGAACAATCAAAGATACAGATTGAACACTGGACATATGCTCGGAAACATACCGGAATTAGTGAAAGTAGTCATTTTCAAGATAATCAAGGTGTTGGCCGGAAGCAGTCACTCCTGGCAGCTGTTTTAAAGTAAAGTATATCCAAGGTAGATGCGGAGCATAGTTAATAATATACTAACTATATACTTAGATTGCGAAGGTTTACATTTGAGGCCTTTACTCAGAATAAGATACAGATTAAGGAGGGTATTCCACCTTCATGGAAAATCCAAACGAACGTTCAAAGGCGCACTAAGATTATTCGAAAGCAAAGTATGTTAAACTAAAGGGCTGGAGCCTGTTTAATTTCTCTAGCTAATTACTATATTATCCCTATTGCCCTTATTGTCCCTACTGTCCCTATTGTCCCTATTGTCCCTATTGTCCCTATTGTCCCTATTGCCCCTATGGTTCAACATGAACAGTGTATATGCTGTTTACATACCAGGCTAATACTATGCATAGATCAACAGCAAAAAGGCAGCGAACCGCCGGCAGAAGAAGCCACACTTGCCATGGAATCCAGGGAATCCATATGATACACCTCTTCAAAATACAGACGGAGTGGCCATGCAGGACACTGATTCCCTATCAGTATCTAGCCTTAACACATGCTCGTCTTATGCCGGGCATGTACCTGCAAGTCAACGAACACACCCACTTACACTGTACAGAGTGTTGGTAGATAGGTTATCGAGACCCCTGTTAGATCACCCGCTGTGTATATGCCAAACATAGACCCTTTAGAAGAGCGTTTAAAGGAGCTTGAGGGACTTAAGCGACGAAGAGATATGGTTGAGCGAATTGAGGAGCTTGAGGAAGAGGTAGAGGGGAAAGAAGAAGAAAAAAGGGAAACCCCTGCAAGTGCAGAGCATACACCTAGTAGATGTATAGTATGTTAAAAAAGCCATTTCAATTCCCTAAACGATGGCTAGACTAGTATTTGCTCTACTTATTCCTAGACTCCATAATTTATCTCTAAAAACCAACCGTGCATATGCCCTACGCAGTCTCCGGCACGACTCGGCAGCATCTTCTTGCGCGCGCCGGCTGCTTCCGGCTACCGGTGGCTACAAGTTCTCAGCAGATGTTTAGTATAAGGGGGATGTGCTATACTTACCCTTGTGACCCTTCTTCGGTGGAGCACGCTTGCGCTTGGGGGCAGACGGTGGGGTAGGTGGCTAGAGGGTAGTGGGGAGATTTGGCTGCATATACTCAGTATATTATAAAGAGCTTAGGTTCCAGGGGCACATGCCTTGTGACCAGAGACCTTACCCAGCCTCTAGGAAATATTAGCATACGCAGGGAATACGTAGAGTAAATACCCGGATCACATACAGGACGATGGAACTCAGTCCCAAACTGCTGAGCAAAGTCGTTATCTTCCTGGCTAGTGGTTCTTAGTTATATACTATGCATATAATACAGATATGCTCTACTCACGCCAGCTGCTCGAGGAAGTTACAGTAATCCTGAATAATACCGTACATAGGACCCTCACTAGCATACGTTAGCCCTACGCCCAACGTACACATATATATATGCGGAGGGGAGGACATACCCAGGCTCCTTCACGTAACGGGCAGTTCTCCATCCTCTGCTAAGGATCCATCGCTTTAAAGCGCTGTCAATTATTAGCATATGCTCAAGAGAAGCTACGTATCCACTAACTTTTCGCCCGCAATGCGCTCAGCCTGGGGAATGTTGGTGCGGAAGGGATTAAGAGCTATGAATCCTTAGCATCTGCTAGACCTATACAAGGAATAGACAACTCACTGGCACCGGGATGGGCGTTCCGGATGTGGCGGACGAGCTATGGAATAGGTAGCATATACAACGATGTGCTAAAAAACACGACCTACAGCAATCTAGAGAAGGACGGGCTGGCCACAATTTGGTTGCCATTGACTGCGATGTCGCATCTGCGAGGTTGTAGCCCATGCTTAGCATGTGCCAGGCATGTTAATTACTTACCATGCTATTAATACCTGACAGTCTTGAACCAGGAGTTGGGGCATCTGTAAATAATTAGCATATGCTGCACATCTGTGGGGGCCCCATACTCTCGTTGTCCGCGGTGGTCACAGGTGTGCGGGGGTCCGGGTGTGGGCGCCAAGTGGGGTTTGGGTTCGGGATGGGACCTGCATATGTTAAGCACATGTTGTGAATATATTAAGTAGATACTCACCGTGGAAGTAACCGTAGTCGGGGTGGGGGTTCACCGCCCCAGCGACCTCTGGATTGTCAAAGTCTTCACGCGAAAGCTGCATTCTCTGCATATTATGGTATATGCTGAGAACAAGGCCCCTAAAGAACTAAAATCATCAGTGTATTCGCATGCAAAAAAAGAGAAATTGGGTCACAGATTGGTAGTATATGCACTGGGTATGCAGAAAAGAAAGGGTCACACAAATGGTTGTAATTATATACTCTGGGCATACAGAAAGGAAAGGGGAGAAGGAGAGGTTTCAAGTCTTCCGGTCAAGGTATATACGCGGTATATGCCAAGAAGGGACATGCGATACTCACTTAAGAAGGGGAGTTTAAAGAGAGAAGAAGAGAGAAAGAATGAAGAGAAAAAAAATTAGGTCTTCTAGTTCCAAAATAAATGCAAACGCGGCCAACATTTTTATTACACGAATTTGGGTGTAGGATCATTCACAGTGTGTTGCAAAATCTGCCTCTATTGTTTGATATAGTGAATATGTTGATTATATATATTGATGATGCAATGAATAATCTCACGCAGTTTAATATTTTGAGCATATGCTCAGCATATGCACCGACCGGGGACTGACGCTAGGCCAAAAAGGTCAGCGTGGTCAAGCTACGCTGAAGGGATTCAACATGGTCTAAAAGGTACGGAAAATTTAATTTTAGACCACGCTGAGCCCATGCCAAGAAAAGGCTCACCGTGGTCTAAAAAGGCGGTGGCGGAGGTGGCAGAATTTTAGCCCACGCCGAGGTTTTTTTAGACCACGGCGAGCTGGCACCCGGGATCATCAACAACATTTAACCGAGAAAGGTGCTGAATAATCAATATTACCATAATTGTCGACAGATTAAAAAAAACCAAGTGTATTATACCCACACTCTATACTTTCTTCCAGGACATGTGATATCTTGAGGGGTGCGCCAACGGGATAAAACAGCTAGTTACCCTAGGCAAGCATGCCCCAATAATTAAAACTGCTTTATTTTCCATCCATTTCCCCGACCTTAACAACAGGCTATCACCTATTCAGACAACCGAAACCAGCTTTCGGTGCTGTTCGGTTTCTCCGACCCACGCAAGAGAGCTTGCCTATCGACAGCTCTGGTTGTTTGCCATGCGCCACTATCCCGGGCTGGGTAAACCGCCGGGGGGTAACCATCTCGTCGCCAAACAGCGCTGTGAAGACTTTGACCAGAAAAGGATACACAACATGGCAGTTCTCGCGCTGAAACTTGGGTTTAAGTCACCGCAAATCGAGAAGCTTGTTGATAAATCTCCCGATACCCAAATCACACGGGCTGTACTGTTTAAAGCCTGTAGACCAGATCAATATCAGTACAATACTGGCATTTTTAATTCTCTTGTCCGGCAAGTAATAAACTGTTTCGCTCGGGCAACTCCCATTAACCACCAGTTGACATCTGAGCGAGTATCAGAACAGGTCAAACCGAGGGATCGGTGTGGGCTTCCACGCAGAAAAGCCCAGATAGTCGACAGCCGTTTCCTTTTCCTCGACGAGATACACGGTGAACAGCCACCTGAGGAGGAGTTGTCCGCGTTCTCTGTGAGATAATCAGCGTACTTCTTTTTCTTCAGCACGTTATCGTGCTCGCTACCTGGTAGTTCGACAAAGGCCGACACTATGGCAGCAGGCTCCATTCCCTCCGCACCGCCTGTGTCTCCACTATTTGTTCCGGTCGACGGCCAGTCTCCTGGACCCATAGTGAGCGATGTCGTTCGGCCTGAGACCCAGGGCCATAGCCAACGTGAGCGACAACATTAACAGGAAGGACGCATCGAGAGGTACCGTCGTAAGCAAGAAAGGCGGGAAAGAAAAGCCCGACGACGAGGATGGCAGGAACGTTTACTTCACGGAACAAGGACTGAGCAGCAACAACACGTAGGAGAGAATCGAACGCCTATGTCTGGTGTCGATATAGCAATGGAAACAGCCAGCAACGTCGAGCCTGGAATAGTCTCACCAGATCCGATGAATCTGCATGATAAAGCAAACGAACCCAGAGAACAAAGCAACGGTATGGCATATAACTCGCCGATCACGGAAAGTGATTGCCAGGGAAGCGGGCCCTGCGTTGAATACAGTAGTGGCATGGCAAGGACGGGCAATAATAAGCAGTCAATGCTGGTCCAAGAACGAGGTGAACACGGAAGCCCGGAGATGGATTCGTATAAAAGGGCAAGTTGGGACCGGTGGACAGAGTTTTCTACAGAGGAACGGAGCACAGAGCAGGGACCAACTATGAGGCAGATAGGTAGGGAAGGACAAGGGAAATCCGAGAGGCGGCAATTAATTAGCGATGGAGGCACAGAAAAGGACGAGGATGGTGAAAAGAAAGTGGACTACTTAGGGGAAAAACTTAAGCATAAACTTGCTCGATTGTAGCAGGACGCTAATAAACAAGGGGCGACGAATTAAACTAGCTACAAGAGGTCCCAGCAGGAAGAGCAGAGGGCCCTAGTGGAAGAGGGGCCTAGATAAAGTGTAGAACATGGAGCTGCTAAATACAGTCCTAACTTGCATGGCATGCAAATTATTCAAAATGCGGGAAGCTATGAGCGTTGTTTGTTTACCGCTCATTTTCTCTTCCTTTCTTCCCTTCAACGATTCCTTCTTGTACATAACCTATCTTATAGGTTCTATGTGTTCAGCCCTTGACAGAAAAATATGATTACTATAGAATAATATTCAATTATCCCTGCGTAGGTTATAATAAAACAATGAAGAAACAATACTTTCGAAGCCCTCTTTATTTTTGTATTGTGTTTGTTAATTTTTTATTGATAGCTTTGGATATCCGCAGGTTTCTCTGGGCCCTCAAAATTAGTATCTTTTTTTTTTATTTTCCTTGATCTCAATCATATCTTGCAGACGATACTTGCACCGTCTCCACCTCTGGCTTTTTCAACCCAAGTCGAAATCGATCCACACGGGACATATTCTCCAATACCAGCGTGTCGACCCGAAGGACACTTTCGCGATAGAGGGTCTGGGATTTCCAGTCATAGGAACACAACAGCGCTCGCTGCATTCCTCCTTCTCTACCGCAGAGCAGCATTGCCACTGGCGGACGGACAGCCCGAAATAGGGTGACGGTCAAGGTATTGGTATCAACTAACGTAAAGAGTTTGACCCCTCCATAGCGAGAGTTCCGGGCAGCAGAGACAAATTCAGAAGTGGAGTTTGTCTGCGTTGGGTCTTGCCCAACACACTCACCTCTGTGATCCTCATGCAGCGAGAGGTCGCTGCAATATGGACTCCATTTCAACCGGCCAAGGTTCAGACCAAAGATGAGAGACTCAATCTCACCAATGTTCAGATATCCCTCGAAACCGAACAGCCATGGCTGAGCCGCCCACGTCTTGCCAACGTAAAGAGAGCACAGGAGATATGGAGAAATAAATATGACTATAATCGCGAGTCCTGTAAATATCCAACCTATTGCTGTCACAACAGCGAGGTTCCCTCCTTTAGACTTGCTTGAAGCTAGAAGTATGATTCCTATCACTAGCCAGCCAGGGGTACCGCGAAGGACAACCCTTGCCACCCAGCGTTTTATAGTGTTCCGCATCAATAGATTGACTGGCGCGAAGGACTTCCAACGGATCGGGGCGCCGAAGGCACCGCTCAAGATCACAGTGTCTTCGCCTCCAAGGCCAACAACTTGGCAATTAGGCTCAATGTCCCACAAGTTACCGCCCCAGAAATCATCTATTTGATGCCAAGGTTGGTCGATGTTGCGGGGAAGCATGCATATCAGTCTTTCAATTAGCTGGTTACTATCGTTGGCGAAGGATAATCGACAAAATGCTTCAAAAGCCGTGTCATTCTCATTGACCTTTGGGCGACGTCGCAACAACCCCATCAAGGCGTATGACAGGTCTCCATTATAGAATGCTATGGTCTCACGATTTGGAAGGCATTGTAATGCAATTGAAACAAGTTCCAGAGGGCTGAGTATTATCGAACCCTCGTAGTGATCAATCAGCTGTCTTGAAACCGGGGCATCCCCCCAGGCTTCAATAGAGAAGTCTCGCTTGGACAGTTTTCGGAAAGAACTAGGATCACAGCCACGCATGTATATTGAGATATGCTGGCTTGACGGGCTCAGAAGAACCTCCGGGAAGGTCCACATCCGACTGCCCAGATGCTGGAGCATTTCTCTTTCGTTTACGCTGGAATGATGAGCAGAAACAGGAGGTCCAATGACCACCACAAGGGAATGGGCGCCTCGGACAACGTCGCTGATCCGGTAGACATCTTCCGATTGCTCTTCATCATCGGGCATGCAGCTGCAGGCGATCCAGTAAGCAGCGACGCCAGCGGTCCGGGCTGCAACTTGCGCAATACGATGGAGTTCTTCCAAATCTGTGTCCGACTCGAATTGCTCCGTGGTATAACATATGAATACATAGTCAACACTTCCATGCACTGCCTCCCACGTACTGACATCTATGATCTCAATCTCTTGCTCGCCCCTCAACAAGCACAATCGTCTCGGTCGAAGAGGTCGCTCTGTTATGCCGTTTGCCACTGTGCGATTGGTAGACAACACACTGGCCCTCGATGTCTGGACCTCATGGAGATTACTTGGGACTGTGGAATAACCCCAGTAATGATACTTGAATTGTTCGTAACGGCCGTTGTTTCTCTTCTCGCCACCAAGATCGGCTGGTATGAATAACTAAGCAGTTGATATTAGACCCAGGCATACGACTGGTATCGGAACACTTACCAGAGCCGCAATGATTAGACAGGCTGGAAACCATCCCAAGCACACATGACTCCACGACGCATCTGGGCGATCCTCAAGAATATCTCCCAAAAGCCAATAGACGACTCTAAGCATCACCGGGGTACACCTTTGGACCTTCTTTCGTGCCCAAGTCGAGTTTGGTGGACCGTCCCATACCTCCTCGGAAGCTTGCACGACTAGCTTTGTGAGTCTCCCATCAGTAGCACTCAGGTAGCGATCATCCTCAGGCCCAATCCATACACGTCCGAGGCTGTCTCTGTGGCGGTATGAACCTGAGAACGGGTATATTCTTCCTGGTGGACGAATCCAAGAATATTCGTCTGATGATGAAAAGATGTTCAGATATTCTTCGAGATAGGTTAGATTCTTGTTAGGGTTAGCATTATGTCTTAAACATATGGAAAATCTCATCCTAGCAACAGTGTTGTGCAAATAGTGATCAGATCCGAAGTTCGGATGCTGAAGACTCAAAATTTTTGGTATTAAATACTTCCCAAAAAGCTATGACAATGGATAGAAAAACCTACCAAGGACAAGGCACCAGAGCCGTGGCCACTTTCACCAGGATCAGCTCGTCCAGCTTCAAGATTTGGTGGCATGTCTTGATCCCGGCTTTGACGAGGACAGAGGTTATGCGTTCTCCTTAAGATATTGTGAGTGAACGAAGACTCGATTTTAACGGCAAAGAAACGAATATTAAGACCTATAACTATTCGGCTGAGGCTTGTAGGCAATTATGCGAAGAATTCCGGTAAATCATGCCCTCCAAGAAGGCTCGTATAAGTGCACTCGTTCAGTGGATCCTATTTCACCTCCACCTTTCCCCCTTTTTATGATATTATTGATTGACGATTTATTACTCATTGTCAAAAGGGCATGTGGCACGTCCTGTTACAGCCTCGTGAACCAGAATTCACGACTACGGATGGATCTACCCTTATTTTTTTGTTGGGCGAATTTGCTTAGTATGCAAGAATTGAATAATGACTTTTGTTGGGTCAGCCTTGCGGTGGAATCATACTTCTATTGGCTCAACTACTGCAGGTTCATGGGACAATTTCGAGGGGGAAGCTAGTAAGTAGCCTTGCTGAGGAGGTGCGTCCATTCGCCTTGTCTCAAGATGGCCGGATGGCCCGGAATCCTTGTCATAATGATAGGCAGTGTCAGCCTCGCTAGACTCAACTTTGCCTCCTCCGCAGTTGAGGTAGAGTTTGTCTTCTGAGGCATACACTACTTCGAATAGCTGGGGGTGGAATTTTGTCTCTCAAAGTCCCACATCTCCAAGACTGTAAATAAAACATGGATTTTGTCGTATTTACTAAATCTAACCGGACGGTACAGCATCTGTAGGCCATTGCCTGCGAGAGAAGTGAAGACAAGAAATGGTGCAACCATATGGAGGCGGCGAACAAATCATGGGGTGCGGAGGGGAAGCCGTGCATGAAGTTCTGCACGTCACCTCTTTCGCCACTGCAGTATACTAACTCCTGTCTAGATAAGTACCAGGCACCATTGCACAAAAATCGCCATTGGACTGGCCCTGGCTGATATTACGATTGGTAGGTTCCCTAGCGGGATGGGTTGACTGGGCTGGAGTGCGGTGGATGTGTCCAAATATCGCTCTCGTGACCAACCTAAATGGATAGGCGAAGGTAGAAAGTGAGCAGATTTGATATAGTTGGATTGACCTCAATTTACTATTAAGATCGAGCGTGGATTTGGATGTCCCGTACCACTGTTTATATTCCTCAAGCTCTTTTCTACTGAATGCCTAGCTTAACCGGAATAAATCATTGGAAAACCCACTGGACGTATGGCAAATTAAGATCCGCATCGTTGCAGGAGGCGCTTCAAAATGGATGCTATGGGCCTGAGCACGGCCATACTAGCTGTATTAGTGCCTGCAGTGAAAATGAGGGTTGCCCTGGTGGATTGGGGGATCTCTGGGACTGGTGGGTTCCCTTTTCTCTACTCTCGTACATTTCACCCCCAGTATGTATTCATTAGGTATCAGGCTTTGCATACTTTCAAACTTAAGACTCTTGCTCCCACCTAGCCAAGACTCTACTCAAGGCTGTGTCAGGAGATCGTTTAAATTACACATGCAGCCTTCAACCGTCACCACAAGGCTGGCTCCCAAGATATCTCAAAAGTTCTGGCTCTAGTTAATCCTAGACTGTTTCCTATATATCCCACACCGTATATCTTTATCCTGATACTTTAAATAAGTTAATTTCTCATTTTGCCTTGGGCAGCCTGCAGATTTCACTTCACCATACATCATCCATCACAGACATGTTTCTGCAAAGTCTTCAAAGAAGAGTATTATCACGGGACGGCTACAATAGACCAGAGAAAAGTCACATGCTTATTCTGGTTTTTAATATGATAACCGATGTTGCATTTCTCACCTTCCTTATATCTGCATGTTTAATCAGAAAGCCGAGACACAACCCAAGGGTGATTCCGTTCAAACCTCTCTTATACTCTATTTTGAGCAATATAATGTGAGTATGAGCAGACCAAACGATGAACCACAACGTCCGCATACTGGTGAAAATTTTGATTAATGGGCCATGCAGATCAAGATCTCTTACAGTCTACACATGGTTTACAGTTGTTCTCCCGAGAGCATATGCGCCAGTGAATCTTGACATTTTAAATTTAGTCGACTCCATTTTCTGGCTTCTTGGTCTCATATTCGTAACAAAAGTATTATTCTGGATTATCGATACCTACATTGCACGAAGTCGGACTGGGAACGAGACGCCGACCCTTACATCAACCGTGCGCAGAGGTGTTTTGATCATCCTATTAATAATTTCTCTTGCAGAAGTTGCTATCTCAATTATTTATTTGATTCGATGCTGGTACGACGACTGTAGTGCTCGGAACAGAATTGAACTCGACCAAAAGAGGGTAAGTGCCGCAAGAGCTGTGCTGTTTATAGCCGCATCCCTAGGGATCTTGTGCAAGATATTCTTCTTCATTTGGCGACGTAAATCCTTGGGAAGCCTTTCCAAGGTAAGTCCTATCAATATCACGGATTTGCCATGAATTACTGATGGATATTAGGCCGGGATAACTTCTCTCACAGTTGGAAGCTTCTTTTTCTTATTATACAATGTATGTCTCGCAGTTGATGCCTTTAAAGGGATCTTCGTCGTCGAAAGCGGTACAAGATATCCGATTTCATACGCCGAATTTTTGGCTATAATAACTACCATCTGCACTATTGGGATATACACTGGGATTATCCACTGTTGTATGCAGTGGCATAAAATTTGTGCCACGTTTTAGAATCCTATAGTTCAAGGAAGTGCTTTTATAAGGGATGGGAGGACACGACGCTATCTAGCATCTAATGAGGGGATTCATGAGGAACTAGTAGTCCACTTTCGACACCAGTAGGGGACAAGTATTGCATATGTATCTACGATACATGAATTTATGCTGGGGGGTGATGCGAGAAGGGTGGTAGCATGGCTTTAGCGTTGTGAATACTTCCATTTCCCTTCTCTCTGCCTATTGGTGTATTTACTCCATTCGCTACAAACTCCAGTAGCTTCTGGGAGCTGTTCCGTCAAACAAATGCATTAATGCCTGCATTTTAGTATTGATAGTCTTTATATCTACCAATATACTTCAAAATCTATATTTCCATCCCCATCTCCAAAGGTCCAACGAATTATTAAATCTCCTCGACGGCATCCCCTTGATGGAAACACGCCATAACAGAACCACCAGCAAAGTCAGGGGGATCGACACCAACCAAAAGATCCAGAAACTCTGAGACATGCGGACTGTGGACGAGTCGAAATTGAAGAACTGGCTTCCAAATATGGTCTTGATGGTCAGCATGAGTTTCCAGATTGGCTTGGGAATATACTCACAGATATTGTTGACATTGGTAAGAAAACTAGTGTCATGAACGCGATAGTTGCCATGGAATTACTATCTGCTTGCATGATCCGATTTCCATCTTGAGTGACAAGGTGGAAGGACTATTACAATGTGATCTTATTAATGTGACCTGAATCCGGGTCAATAAAGTGATTCGAGCTTACCAGCGCTATAATATTCTGCATCCGTTTCTCAAGGCTATTCAGGCGTAGGCCAATGGACTGGAACTGTGTTTCGACGTGTGTTAGCATTGCCTGTGCCATTATAGTTGCATGACGGTCTCGGTCAGGAACAATTTTGAGGATGCTTCGATGGTGCGCAGAAAGATTCTTCACAGTGAGAGTAACGGCCTCCATACTCTCCTGGAGGAACAAGATATGCTTGGAGACATTATGCAACCCTGTGAAGGATTCCCTATCGCTACCAGTGGTTAGGGTGTTCTGAATGATCAGTGGAGTTCTATTTAAACGGGGATTGCAAAATACCAATTCAATATGCCGAAAGACATCCATAACATCCCAAACAGTATTATCCATTTGTAGAGACAACTCTTCCAGAATAATGGCAAAGAGACTATATGTGTCATGAATGACGCTGCTTGATATTGATTGTGGTGGAATTTGTTGTAGACGTTCTTCCAGTGAGAGTGATGCTCCAAAACAAAGAAGGGTGACTTCCGGATCGCGATTCGAGCCCACTGCCCATCGGAGAAAATATCCAGACCGTATCCAAGTCGAGTCTCCGTGCTGGAGCTGCGGTGCTCCTGGTCTGGGATCGGAGATCCATGCACGACCAAGAGCATCTCGAGTGATGGTGATGTTTTTGCACAGATAGTGGAACCAAGCGCCTTAGACCACAAGTTAATTCTTTATACACACGCGAACGATACTTCCCACTTGCCTACAATTGTAGCCATTTACATCATCCATTGCCCCAAATGAGTGTGTTACCGATCGCAGCCTTCCCGTAAGGAATGCAGATGGTGTATCATAGTGCTCGAATAGCCAGATGACACTTTCCGCAGCGTCACTGGTAGGCAGGTCTAATGGCGAGAAGCTAAGTTATATTAGCTTAAAAGCATTCTTTACGGAGCAAAGAAGCCAACATTATCCGCAGTAAAGGTACAGGCAATTGAGCCAGCTCAGCCACGGTCGCGTTTCGCGAGATTGATCGGTAGCTTCCTGCTTGGCCCGTTAACTGCGAACCCATGACAGTGCACAGTCCAAATGATATGTATTTACCATCTAGTTCCTGTACCCAATCGATGACATGGACTTTCGGAGGATGCGAAGGAGAAGAGGGCTTGCTCGAAGCTGCACGTTTGAATGCGTCGAACACTGACGGGTCCCGAAAGATAGAGGACATATCTACTCAGTAATATTGTCAAATACGCCTAATAGATGCCACAGACAGAAGGCTTCCCTGGTGGCAAGAATGAATCCCACCGTTCATGCCCAAGACAGCCTTGCGGCTTTGCTGGCATTTTAACAATACAGCAGCCTCGCTGCAGATCACATTGCTAGTTTAGTGTGTCAAGGAGATCTGTGCCCAGCTTAACTGCCGATAGGCTCCAACTCTTAAAAAAAATGATGTCCTGCCTTCGGCTCCCTCCTCATTCAAGACATCTTTCGAATGTTGTGTTTGTGAGAGGTATTAAATCTACCTTTCTGCCGGTTATATCCTACTGAGCTTCGGCAGTCGCATCTTTACCTTGCTTTCCCCCGATTCCCCATAATGCAGCATAGCAAGGTATATACATTCCCTAGATAAATGAACACAATCTCCTATCTAACTCAGTCAGGATCTTAAACCCAAACGACACGGAGGCAGCTATGTCCCGTCAGAAGCGAAATATCAACCCCGGTCCGAGTCCCGTTCCGTTGGAGATTCTGAGGCGCCTATCAATCACACCTCTGCCAGACAAGCCAGTAATTTGCACTTCCAACGTGGTAGGCATGGAGGGAGTTATGTTCCTGGTAAGGGCAAGGAAACACTGAGTGTCTCGGATAGCAAGAAGGATCATCATTAGAAGAAAGCACAAGTATCTTATCTTGTATCCTATACCAGGGATAACGCATCCTAATCCGTATGCAATTTGGAGATGATTTGCACATACCGTACAGTATCTAAGCGTTGACTTGACACCTATAGTTCTTGGACAAAAGTCTATGTAATTTCCCGCAACCACCAAAATGTATATAATAATCGGAAGCCTGGACACCTTGAAAAGATGGAATCCTGATCATAACGAGCCAACTCCCTCCTCTGGGATCACTCTGTGGCCGGGCAACCTGTCTTACAGAGGGTGGCCAGATTTGAGTATCAAAGTCTGTGGACCCGAGAGTGTTTCTGCCGTCTATTTAGAGCCGTTGTAAGCAACTCTGGAAATCCAGAGATCATTACGACTAACACTTTGAGGCGGGGACTTGCCAATAGGCTAGACAGTAAGTTTTAACCTGGTTGTTATTTTAGGGTAGCATAAATCTAGCTATTGTCTGTAGCAACCGTCGCAGAAAGGAGCCAGATCCTCACCCAAAAGGGTCCCAATATTTTTGGGAGAACTTAGACAGTACATCGGCGCTAAGCAGCATAGATGCGTTCCATGCGCCTCGACCACATTGAATACCTTAAAATACCGTGCCATAGAATATCCTGGCAGTGCTGCACGGTCACTTCTGGAAGCCTCTGTTCAAGCTCTTGCAAGTCTTTGTTTTGTCAAATCGCAAGCTGGGAGTGCCGAAGAAGACGACAAATTTGCTATTAAACTCAGAAAGAAGCAAGTGAAAGTCTTGAAAACTCGTCTCTACAACACGGAGTTAGCTAAATACCGAGAAGAGTGGATTCAAAGCCGTGTAGAGACACATGTTAAGTCAGGAGGAAAGGCTTCGGAAGGTATTGTGTATAGCTATGTTACACACTGTCTTTTCAAGGCACAGCCTGATCGTGGGCTTCCTGCTGAGATGATGCCGTCGGACAAGCTCCTCTCTTATCATGAGACGCTCTCTATGGCTACGGGCAGTCCGGTAAGAGTTCAATTATGGATAGAAAAATACCATCGTATTCAGTCTCCTGACATGTACGCTCGGACCTGCTGGTTGTGGGAATATACGGTCTGGAAAATCAAGTGCCATGGGAAATGTGGCAGGAGCATTTGTATGGCAATGAGGGGACCTTCAATTTGGATTATAAGCGGGGTGGCGGAAAGTGATAGTGGCCAGCAGGAGTGTGAATGCAAAGCGGGATGTAAAGTGGGAGCGACATTCATAGCGATGAAGCCACTTAATTGCCTCTGCTGCTATTGATTAAGGAGTTGTAGTAACTAAACGCAATCACTTGCTTGAGGGGAGGATGCTGAGTCAAGTTTGAAGACCCTTTTCATTTTGTCAGGGAAAAGAACTGCAAGGCCTCGAGGTTTCGACATGATATATCCCTCTCTGTGGCAGGTTCCGGGGTGCTGGGTTACAGTGAAAAAGTGGCGAGGTTAATTCAGAAAACGCCAATGTTGTCTAACACACCTTAGCTAATTGGACCGTTTTAGCTGAAATATTCTAGAATCTGTGTCCTATTTGTGCAGCTAAAAGTCAGAATGTAAGGTTATATCTAGCTGTCCGAGGCTACGGGAATGCTCTGGAACGAAGACCAAACTTATCTACTTTTCATAGATTCTGAAAATCAGAACCTCCACGTACGACAGCGTGTGTCACCTGTAGAGCAGACTGTACCACATACGCACACATCCACGTTCCTCTTCTGCCTTCATCGTTCCAGTTCCATAGCATGCGTAGCGCACGTCTTCCAGCTCATCGACTGCTAAGCCTTCGGGATGATGGCATGACTCCCGTTTGGGAATAATCTGCAAAATTGGGTAAAATCCCACCAGTTAATTGTTAATTGTTAATTAACAGCTAAGGGCAACTTCCTATGAAGCCGGGTCACGATCTCTGCATAATCGTCCTCCTCATCAGGGCTGATCAGACCGTGGCGAATGAAGAAATCCAGCATTACACAGCCACAGGATGGCTTGAATTTGCCGCTCAACAACGCCTCCTTCACCTGCCCTACATCCATGACATGGAACGCGTAGATATCCCCATCCACCGGACTGAGTTTCACCTCGGGTCCCACCTCGAGATCATAGACAAAGAGCACCCCAGGGTTAATAAGTCCCGGCTGACCTCCCGACCTTTCATCACTGACATTAATCCAAGTGACTGTTCCTGCAGCCCACACAGGCATCCCACGGAGATCCATCCCAGCCTCCTCTGATGCCTCGCGTGCGAGACACTCGAACGGCTTTTCTCCCGCCGCCATACCCCCAGCGACGGTATTATCCAACAATCCCGGATATGCCGATTTGTTTGGACTCCGCTGCGGCACCCAGAACTTCATCTCCGATCCTATCCGAGTATACACCGTCATGTGTACCCCGCGGCCGATAATCCCAAACATCGAAAACGCAGAACGGTCAATCCCGACGGGAAACCGGGCCCCAACAACGGGAAATACTTCATTCCTAGGTTTCCCCAGCTTAGGAAAGACGCCTTTTTCACGTGCAATTGCTACCTGTTTCTCGATGATTGCACTGCATTTTTCCCAGTTGTTGCCCTCAGGTCGGAGGTGAACCTCCTTCTTCTCTGGGGTCGAGATCACCCGGAATTCAGATGTCCATGGCATATTTTTCACCACTGATTCGACCATCAAGCCGTGCGGCCTGGGGTCTTCGGGGAGGAAGAATTTCCACACAGAATTAGTATATTGTTGTTTGTATGCCGATTCCACATCTTCGGCGTAGGGGAAACTATGGCGGATCAGTCGGGCCCATACGCTCCAGTATTTAGATGCCGAAAGCAGCCTTACTTATCGCAGTCTCTCACGACATCGAGCCATGGTCTCATGGTGGCGGACGAATAGGCGTTGCTCGACATTAGGTTTTGGAGTTAGCTGTTGACGTCCCGGGGAATTTGAGGGGGAAATAATATCCAGGAAGAACACTTTTTGCGGAGCTTCACGTGGCAAGAAAATATACCATGCAGGCTTACTTAGATTTGCAATGCATGATGCGATTCTAAGGGACGATATCTATAAAACTATAACAGCAAAATATATGCAATGCTTCTCTTTGAATGGTAGTATTTATTCATGCGGTATTTCCTTATATATGATAATATATTCATACCGCATAATGATAATTGTTATGATCATTCTTAGGGCAGGATATACCAGCTACACGCTGGTAGCCTACTAGGGACCTGGAGAATAACGATATCAATTGTATTGACTGCGTGGCCAACGCGCACCAACGTGGTCTCTCACTAATTACTATCTAAAGGAATGGAGGTGATTCAGGAGGATGACACTGAGTGCTCGCCAAAGCGCTAGGAGTAATCGGATCCCGAACCCCAGATACTTCTAGCTTGATAGGAACATTGAAGAGCACCAACGTGACGGCAATCCCTGATTCCGTCACACAAGTTAACCTGAATGTTGCTCTATTTACGATACGTGCATGTTTAGCAGTGTCTCTTTACGGCTTGTTCACTCAACCCCAGTATTGACGCACGGCGCACACCCCCAGATTAGATGGTTATATTGTACCGTTACGTACCTTGTTAACGAAATTGTGCCTAGAGAGCTTGGGATTTTTTATTGTTATTATTACTGTTGCTCGTACTATTGTTACTATTCTGTTTACTTTAATTTGCCAAGACTGCTGGCTATATAAAGATAAATTGGGCCTACATCGGTGTATTTGACTTGCGAATTGACCTTTCGTATGTACAGTCACATAACGAAAGTCTAAAGTTACGTTATAAAATTTCCCCGCAGCTATTTCTTTTACGCCCGGACCAGTAAGACATTGTTCTTTCGAGTGCACAGGTCGCGCGTAGGTGGGGCAAAAGTCGTGTCAGGTCCTAGTCCGAATTAGGTGAGATCATGTGATTGCTTTAGCTGACACGACCTATTCCCCACCTGACACGACCTTTCTTTTTAATACAATACAACTTTCTCCATCTCTTTCTTCCACTCCGTTGCCCTGCTGTCCTTCGACACTGGATATAATACTGTAAGAATAAGCCTCTTACTAGTATGTAACTGATCAGAACCTAATTATTTATTGGTTAGCCTAAATAACGTGCCTACCGGACTAACATAAAGGATGGCAAAGTTACCTTGTCACTCTGGAATAAGGTAAGTTATATACTAGTTTTAGACTAGTATATAGCTAGTTAATAACTACTTGGCTACTAATTAGACTTAAGCTATCACTAAATATCTACTACTAGTTAGCAACTAGTATTAAACCAGTTGCTAACTAGTTATAACTTCTTACCTTATTAATTTTCAAAACCTCCTGAGCATTAAATTTATCGTTGGAGATCTCTGCATCCGAGAATTCTTTATCAGAGTAGACTTGGTTAACAAGGGGACTAGAAGCAGCTATTCTGACTAGTCAGCTACTAGCTAGAAACTAGTTATATATAGTCTGAAATTCAGAAAAATTAAAGACAAATAAATTGTAAAGAGATAACTAGTGTGTATTTATAGGCCCACCTAACATGACTCTTAAGTAAGGCACGTGACTTTGCGTGACCTTTACTAATCGCCTAATTAGGACTAGAGACCTGGCACGACCTTTGCCCCACCTCAAGGTGACCTGATTCCTGCGTTCTGACCGCCTACTTGATTCGAGCCACTTCACTACGAGAAGGGAACGAAAGGTCGACTGGAACAAAAACACCAGAATTCCATCGCCTACAGAACAAATTCTCTTGCCCCCAACATGGGTCGCTATTAATTTACTATCATATATAATTCCCTGCAATGAGTTTGGTGAATGGCTTAGCCAGAGGCCATGCGGGGACATTGAGTCCGCGCCGGAGGAAGAGGGCAGTCATTTCGTGCCTGGAGTGCCACCGACGGAAGCAGAAGGTATGGCGCCACTGCTTTGAAGTTTGTTCGTTGCTAAGGCCGCTTGATTTGCCAGTGTGATCGGGGCTGGCCCTGTCAGCACTGCCGGAAGCGAGGCAAGCATGTAAGGCGCCCATGGCCGCCCAATCTGTGATGGGTGCAAAAGTCTAATGAGCAGTAGACGCTCTGCTCCTATGAAGGCGCTGAGCCACCGGGCCGTTCACTGCCTGAGAGTTCATCGAATACGGAACACTCAACGGGATCGAGCATCTTTGCACCGACTCTGGATATTGATCGCCGCCGAGGGGAAAATAGGTCGGCACTAAGCTGCAGTCATGGCGAGGACCTGCTAGCACGGGATTTTGGGTACTCAACCAACAATCGCCACAGCACGCTCGGGGTGTTGCACACCATTGGGTCGCCCGGCGCGTACGAGTCTCCTTGCACGAACCCAGTCGAATCTTCAAGCGAACAACCCGAAGACATGTCCTTGAAATATCGAAGCTTGGTGCGTCAGCTGCCCACCAGGGCGCACATTGATATCCTTCTAGAGACCTTTTTCGACGGGGTAAATTGGCATTACGACGTGGTTGACGAAATCACCTTTCGGGACCAACTGGATGTTTGGGCGCAAGTACCCTATTCGACATTGCAAAAGGGGCCGGTTGTGTTGGAGCCGGACATTCGTGTTTTCCCCGCGCTGTTATTCCAAGTTCTCGCGCAGACGTTGCTATACCACCCCTCCGATGACGAGAGGCTGGAAGCATTGAAATATGGCACTGGAATGACTCTCCTCGACGTTGCCAAAGAACTTAGCGCTGCGGGCAATGAGGTGCTGGAGCTTCTCGGTAAGCGAGGTGGGACTATCGGGACGGTGCAGGCGGGCCTGCTGAGAGCTGCATTCTTGAAGAGCAGTGGGCAGGTGGTGGAGGCCTGGCATACATTGGGCAGTGCTATTCGTGATGCGCAAGAGTTGGGGCTCCATACGAGCGAATGCCTCGCAGAGTCCGCACGGGCTCGCCCGGGCACGGAGTCTCAGGTCGCGTGGGACCGTGAACGTCGAAGCCGGATCTGGTTGCTACTTCATATTTGGGACTTTCATATGGCAGTGGTGCTGGGCAGACCCAGTTTGACTACTGCGCCAAACGACAAGTTCTCATTCCCCCGAGATATTTGCCAACGACAGAGGGGAGTCCTTCCCACCGAGAGGGCTGACCAGGACCCGCCTACTCCGTTCTCGGTGATTCTCGCTGGCTACCAGGCAGCCTATCGATACCTTCCCACAATTCATACAATTCAAACTGGCGGCGCCAGAGTGGAAGATTATGGCACTGTCGACCAAGTCCATAAGGAGATTACCAAAAACATACGGTCACTCCCGGCGTGGTGCCGTCCTGATCATCCTGACATGCGATTCGATCTCCTCCCAAATTGCACCTGGCTGCCGGCAGCGCGCGAAGCGTTGTTGTCGCTAGTCTACTTTGTCCTTCTTGCTCTCCACCGGCCGTATATTTTCACCCATGCTGAAAGTCGCTCTAGGGCGTTGCGGGCTGGTCTGGAAATCCTTCGTTCACAAGCCCGGCTGTTCTATTTAAGCCAGCCTCGCGACTTCAAGGTGTTCAACATGGTCTATGCTTCGTTGGACGCAATTGTGTTAATTACCGCAATCTACCTGATGTTTCCCACAGAGAATACCGAAATTCTGGACAGTTCACTCAGCGGCATCGAATGGGGCCTGGGGAGACTCGCTGTGCTGGGGGATTACAACAAGATGGCGAAATCGGCGCATGGAGTGGTTTTGAACCTGTATGGGCGTCTTCGAAGTCGTATCGCGGGGGCGCAGCAACCACATCCTCCGATTGCAGCGGTACAAACACCAGGGCCTGATCCGTGGAGCGCAAATGTTGGGCGCGGTGACTTTGGCCCCAGGGTCGATCCTGTATGGAGCAACCATGTTGTTCCGGACCATACGTGGGACTTTGCACCGGAGGCCGTGCCACCGCCTCATCCGATGCAAGACCTTTTTATTGATCATTTATCAAGTGGTGACATTGTCGCTCCAGATGCCTCGATTGACCCACTGCTAACCGGCGGGGCCGTGGACATGACTGCCGACTCACTTCATTTTGCTGGCACTTATGCGGACGATAGTTTTTGGAGCTTTATGAACTCCTTGGTCCCTTGATTCTTCCCCGTAGGAAGCTGAAACGGCCACGATACAGCCATGCAAGATGGAAGATAGTTGACGTGAAACGGGCTATGCTCGTGGTTCTACTTGATGTTGTGATGGTACGGTGACGACTAACAGCGAGGGTTGAATACAATCGATGTGACGGCCGAACAACTTAATCAAATTAGCACTATGTTAACAACAATTTCAAGCGTGGGGAAAGGAAGAAAATAGTGGCGAAGTAAACAAGTACAATGAATGTAACCAAACAGTCACGTGGTATCCGTCACAATCGGGAGGGGCAAAATAATGATGCTATGAATGTGTTACGCGAAACGAGGAGCTTACGCATATTGAATATCCGTAAATCCAGCGGATACATGCTGGCCAGCCTGTTATGCCTAGGCACTGTACAGAAGGAAGACCGACGATATCATCGACACTAGCGAAATCCAGGTCGGCCACTTCCTTCTATTTGATGGCGGCGATCTCTCCCACGTTTCGGTCGACACAGTCCGGCTTTGTGAGCTTGCTTACTCCAGACGCCGTCGAGTAGCCAAAATTGTCGAAATCGCTCATTACCACATAGCGATTCTCGAAAGCCTTCTGCGTCCACGGGCCGTTCCAGGACCAGACTACGGGACCCGGAAGACCAGCCAGAGATCCCGTCGTAGCGTCCGCGGCGTTGGGGTCCACGTGGGGCGGGTAGACCACATTACCAGCCTGGTCATAGCGCTCCGCTGCCTGTCTAGCCCACTCTAGATGCGCTTGATAGAGAGCCCATCCCTGCTCCGGTGTGGGCATCTTGAGAGAGGCGATGTCAGCACCGGGGTCGATGGAGACGCAGCCCGCGGAGATCATTCACATGTCGGTCTCCTGGTCGCGATAGTATCCCGTCACGGAAGCGACTCCCACCACTGGACCGTCGTAGGAGGCTATGCCAAAGGATTGTGAGCCGCCTTGGCAGATGAGCACCAGGAAAAGGTAGACTAATCCGGCGAGAGCATCTTCATTCTTCATTTTCGGATTCTCCAAGAGCCGAGACTGGCTGGTACTCTCCCCGACCGTTTGGGGATCGAAAGTAAGGGCGGCATACCCTTCATCCCCCAAACGTGTTCCATACTGGAATGGCGCCTGCTTCTTGATAAAGAAATAAGGGCCTGTGATCACAACTCCGGGGTCTCTGGGTATATTCGAGGGGCAGAAAAGCACTACAATAATTGCTTCTATTCGGGACAGTCACTGTACTGCAATTCGCGATGTTTACATAGCTGAGACCATTGCTATCTAAGGTTTCCACATGCGGCATTTCCTTCTCGTGACATCACGCTCAGCCACCTGAGGAATAAGTGCTTTTAGAGGCTACAGCCGCGAGGACTAATTCCTCTGGATGAGATGTCTCGCATATCACACTGTTAATCATATAACAGGTTGTAGTTGAAGGAACTGCGGTAATGGTCAAGCCATTCTTATTGGTAAAAACAATATTGGTATAAGCGTCCTCTGGGATCGATGGTTTAAAACCTGCTTTCGTCTGACCTATTGCCTCATAGATTCGTATATATAATGCAGCTGCCTTCGAGATATCTATCTAACCTAGGCGATCCTGCACTTCTCGCGATATTGATTAGTAGATTCGGATAGCCAAAGCTTCATTCTTCATCTGCCAGATTGCTGAATTGAGCTCCTCGTGGATCAAAATCGACTCCGCGTTTATAATACGGGCGTCTTTAAGCAGATCCTCTTTCCAATCTGCAAAATTGGAAATCTTCAGAGATCTTAGTTTATTTTGAAGCTTTCGACCAACATCCTTCCGCATGGCGCTGGCTGCCTGTATTATACTCGCGCGGCCGGCGTTCATCCTCGCTTAGTGGCGGTAGAGCTGTTGACGTGGGCTTCAGATTTGGAGTAGGCTTACTTTAAATGGCGATTGACTGCGTTGAATTAGCTCCATTATTTGCTGCATTTGAGTTTGCATTTGACTCTGTAGTTGAGGCTGCAGTTGAGTTTGGAAATCCTTAAATTGATCCCGTGACACGTATTCCATGCGATCCTCCTCCTCCTCAGACTCAGTATCTCGTGGTGGTGGTCGTGTCATCGCAGGAGAGGATGGGCCAGGTGTACTGTACGGAGATTCATCCCTAGCAGGCGCTTTTCCCTTCTTCAGGCCCATTTAATTGAAATTATTATCAATTCCGTGAGAGGCAATTGACAAAACAGATGGTTTACGTAATATCAGCGCTAAAAGGAAGACAGAGAGGCTCTCATAACCTGTTCGCTAGACACGATTCTCTTCAATTTAAGGGGCTCGGGCGAGCTGACTATAGATGGGTGACTAGACTACGTGAGGCCACGTGACCATACCGAATACGGTAGATCCCTGACAGCTCCACCCTTATCGCCGATAGCAATGTGGGGCGATAGCCGAGCTCACGGACCTGTCACAAATTTAGTTTTGATCATGTCAGATATACGGCTAGTCCCGAAGAGGAAATAGAGTACGATTGGTAGAAAGGTCTTATTTGAATGAATTGAGCTGGTTGGGCTCTTCTTGACTATTCTCTTGGTTATTCTTGATTATTATTTTGTTGTGTGCTCCGCGGGGGTTTTACCCCGATCTAGTCACATGATTCTGGTCCATTGACAGATCATTTGGTCATATCAGTCCGCCGTAGTACATGTGATGGGGTGCACATGGTCTGTTTGGATTGTTTGTATCTAGTTTTATTTACTTCTCCGCACCGCCCCCTCACCACCTTTCTTCCTTCCTGCGCATGAAATTTTCGTTGAGATAGCACCAATTTCATCAAATTGCTTGGCCGTCACAGTACATTTCTTTACCTATCCGACCTGCAGCCGCCTGATTAGCAAGCAGTTACTCCATCAGGTTACCCGGTCGCAGACAAATTCAGTCAGAATGGCCCCGGTTACTCGATCACAGGCCAAAAGGATGAACCCTACAGCACTTGCGAACTTTCCAACAGAGATTTTGCAACTAATTTTTAGATGGTTTTGCTTGCACTGCTACGGAAAGTATTTTCTATCAGTTCAGCCATATGTATACCTGCACAGCACTCAGCAACATAACAACAAGCTATCCTGGTACTCCTTGGAGCATCATACTTTATTCTCACTATGTTTAGTCTCCAGGCGCTTTTGCAGCATTGCTCAGACTATTTTATACCATAAGTTTGTCCTTGGATACGGTGACTCGTGGCTTTCGAGACTTACTTCTTTTATGCGGGTGGTGACACAGCGACAAAACCTGGCCGCACTTGTAAAGAGGATTGATATCCACCCATACTTGGTGGGATTTATCAACAATACGGAGACTACTAAGTCAAGTGGTGATCTAGTTACCATGTTACTTGCTGCGTCGCCTAACCTAGAACACTGTAGCCTTCAAGTCCACACGCCTCCAACTGAAAGGCTTTACTTGTCAAATTTATACGCAGCCGACATTTCGCGCCTACCTCTTAAGACGATTGATATTTCTCTGTATGCCTCAGCAAGTCGGTCATGCTATTACCTGCTTAGACTGGACATGCAAGTACTTACTATTTTAAAATTATCTACATACCTAGAGACGCTTAATCTCCACATGTGCGGTGGTATTAAGTGTTAGGATTTGTTTCCTTTCCTGCTAAATCTTAAGACCCTTCGTATTACTTACAGCAGACTTAGTGATGGAGATCTTAAAGGCCTTTTTTTTCTTGCAACAGTCTGCACACTTTTGTGTACGAGGCTATTGGTTATCCTATGCAAACCAGACAACGTTGCCCTATGTTTAATGGCAGAGATCACTTCCAGCCATCTAATGCTGTGAAATATCTCAGCCGCCACTGCGTAACCCTAAAATCACTGCACCTCGACCTTCGACTGCGGGATTGGTCTACTAGGACTAATAGTGAAAATATCTTTAGCTTTCAAGACTTTACTGCGCTGGAACACTTGTTTTTTAACCCAAGCGAGTTATACAGGTGGCCATTAGCAGGTTCGCCTACAGATTCCCGGCTCCTGGTCCAGCTTCTTCCCCCTAACATCGTATCACTATATCTTGCTGGTCCTATCAGCCATGCCCTTCCACCTTGGTAAAAGCCTGCTCAGCCTTGTGGACTCCGCATCACAGGGGCAATTCCCAGCCTGAAGCAGGTTAGATGCGATGCGGAACAGAGACTAGATAATAAATATACTATAAGCACCATATTCGCGGCCGCCGGGATTAGTTTTGGTTACAACAGTTGGCCACAAAGCAAGGCTACACTTAGAAAAAAGTGACAAGCGATCACTTTATTCTCCTTCGGAGCTATATATTTTCAATAACCATAATAATGAATCTTTAGTGCCCATTGCCGTTACTATCAGAGGATTATTATTATTATTCTTCCATATTATAGAGCATTTTTCAGTCAGAGACTATGCATGCTCTACCTACCACCCCTGGGTGGTAGGATTTGAACTAACAAACAGATACGTACATAGTGGGTAAAACAAACATGAATAAGCAGTATGACATTCTAGGAGTGGGGGGGACCTTATAAAAAGGGGTTAAACCATGTGAAATTCCAACTCTTTTAACTATTTTTGCTCTGTTTTCCTTTTTTTCTATTGTTTTTGACATTTTTGTTTTAAGGATCCAGGAGCCACTTTCTAGTGGCGATCCCGGTTTCCTTTAAGTAATTTAACCTAGTTGCTCTTGCCCTGCTTTCTTTGTAAACAGATAAGGCAAATTTCGGTCTTTTTTGTCTAGGGTCTCTATAGACCCTTTTCTAATATCCCTAAATGCCTGGCACTGAAAAAGTAGGTGGTGCGGAGTTTGGCGCTTGTTGCTGCAGCACGATGTGCATATATCACTATCATAGTTAGGTGTTCGAACTAAATAGGATCTAAAATACCCATGCCCTAGCTTTAGCTGGATAATGGTTGACCAGGTCTGCTTGGGAAGCTTTAGGGGCTTGGTTTCCATGAAGCTATGGAGTTAAAGCCTTTATATTGATTACTTTTCTTAGCGTTTTCCTATGTTTTATCCCAATCCTCAAGGCATTTCGCTTTAAGCTCTCTTTTAAGATGGCTAACTAAAATAGGGTATTTATAATATTTACTTGTCCATTCTGCGCCATATTTCTGCTTCGTCGCTTTGGCTTACAAAAATTCCCTGATGGCCTGGAACCCATTGGACATGAATATTGATATTCTTATCCCTGATTCTAGTTGCCCATTTGCAGATTCTTTGGTATGGTTCGTAGCTGGTGTCTGCTGATTGAAGTCTTTTTAGGGCTGCTTGGCTGTCCGAGAAGATATGGATATCTAGAGTTGGAATTTGGATAGTCTTGTACGCATGTTTTAAAGCTTTTTGAATAGCAAATAATTCTGCATCGTAGAGACCTCATATTCATGTCCTAGATTCCATGCCCATGCCTTTTGATTTCGAGGATTATTATGTAGGAGGAAGATTCCTGCTCCGTTTTGACCACTCTGCAGCTGGGATCCATCTGAATAGAAGATAATTTTGTGGTTATCTCTATTTGCAAGCCATTGAGATATTAGCGCTTTGTGTTCCTGCGCTGCTTGCTCTTTTGGTTTGTTAGAGATATCTATATCTATCATTTGGCTCAGTGTTTGGGACCAGGGTGGTGAGATTCGATCTAGTGTCTGAAAGGTGCCTTTCCACTGCTTAATAAAGAACAGTGCTAGAAGTCGAATTAACTGGCTAGGGTATTTTCTCTTTCTTTCTCTAGGGTGGTAGTCAGGGTCTTCTAGGTCTGGCAGTCTGGGTTTCTCATTCCAGTCTAAAAATTTTGGTTTGTTACTGGAGAATTCCCCTGGGTTCAGCATAAAGGTGGTGGGTAATCTGGTCTGAATTGGATGCGATTTTATAAAATAGGCAGTTCTAAGAATGTAGTTTCTGCAGATTTTATTAAATCTAACCGCTGGTGGGGGTAGGGAGGCTTCTATTTCCATAGCCTGTATAGGCGATGTTTTAAAAGTCCCTAGAATCTTTCTCAAAGCCGTGTTTTGCAGTTTCTGGTAGTGATCTACCAAGTACTGTTGGCCTTTCCACCATAAAGGGACTCCATAATCTGCAATAGAGGAAACGCATGCTATATAAAGTTGTCTTATAGCTTGGAAGCTTAGCCCCTTTTCTGTATTTGAGAGCCTCGCTATTTGGTGAAATGCCCTAGTTGCAGCTGCAACTCGTATTTGCACGTGTTCTTTAAAAAGGAGTTTAGAATCTATATAGATTCCTAGCCATTTTACCATAGGGCTTGGTTTAACTATGATATTATTATCTAGTTTAACCTGGGTGTCTTGGTTTTCTTGGTCTGGTTGTTTAGAGCTAAAGTGAATAAGCTCTATTTTATCCTGGTCAAACTGGATATGGATCTTTGGCTCCTTTTTAAACATGGCGTTGGCTACCAGCTCTATTTGCCTGCAGTTATTCTCTAGGCTATTAGAGCTAATAGTAAGGCATATATCATCCTACTATCAGAGGAGGATTATGAGGATCTTTAGGAATTTTGGCTTTTCCTGGAAACACGGTGAGACATGGGACGACGAGGGAACTAAATTAATAACTGGTATATTTAAGATTTAGGTAGTATGTATTTAACTGAATGAAACTAACTTTTGGTTCTATAAAAATTCTGGGGCTGAACCCGTAGAACCTATTAGTGCCTTCCAGTGCCCCCCACCGCCTTCGGGATGGGGGTTGCACCACACTGGTAGCCCAATTCACACAGGAAACCCAAATTTCCCACCATCCATATTCTTGATGTTATTCCCATCCACCCACCATGCCAGAAGCTTCAAAAATAGACGAATCACGTGTTATTAAGGCCTGTGAAGCTGCCTATGCTGGGAAAAAAAAAAAAAAAACCTAATTTATCGAAGATTGCGCGGGGATATGGCGTCCCGTACGAGACACTGCGTGGCCGGGTTCGCCAGGGAAAACAGGCTCGTAGCGCCCAAAAACCTGTCAACAAGGCTCTTAATAATACACACAGTAAGATGTGGCTATATCACTTTAAAGAGAGACTACCGGCACACTTAAAATTAGGCCCTGTGGTTTAGAAGACAAAGGATAAACTTGTATTAATGCTGAGGATATTAGATATTTACAGCATTGGTATAATTCTGTTTAGGCTATATTTTATAGCTATTTGCTGTAAACCTACACCTTTCTTGGTTGCAAAACCCTCTATTAATAATAGCATATTCTCGAACTCTATTTTTAATGGCGCTGGTCGTAGTAATAAAATTTGGGCTATTTATTGTGCTTTTTTCCATCAAGGACTTCGTGTCAAGGGCTGAACTCGTAGAACCTACAGATAGGTTATGTACAAGAAGGAATCGTTGAAGGAGGGAAGAAAGGAAGAGGAAAATGAGCGGTAAACAAACAAGATGGGGAGTCACGTGACAGGGATCGAGGGCCAATGGCCCAAAGGGGCCAACAGGGACAGTAGGGACAGTAGGGACAGTAGGGACAGTAGGGACAATAGGGACAATAGGGACAATAGGGACAACAGAGACAATAGGGACAACGGGGACATTAGGGACAACAGGGATAATAGGGACATTGGCCCGAGAGGTCAAACGGGCTCTAGCCCTTTACACTTCGTCTATCACTACCTCTCTTCTTGGGCATATTAGGTCTGCAGGAGTTGCCAGGAGTTTCCAGGAGTCGCCAGGAGTCAGCAAGAATTACAACCTCAGTAATCTCAATCTTAGTTATGAATTTCAGGGTAGGTATAAAGCGGTTGTGAACTGGTTGGTAACCGGTTAGTAACTGGTTCCTAAGTAGTTTTGTATCATCATCCTTACAAAGTCTTCGGCGGATCTCCTCACAAATGTAAAGGGCTGGAGCCCGTTTACCTTCTCGGGCCTATGGTCCCTGTTGTCCTATTGTCCCTACTGTCCCCACGAACCCTACAAGCCCTGTGGCCCCATTGCCCCTCGACGACCTACACCATGTGACATCTCCGTCTATTTGTTTACTGCCCATTTTCCACTTTCTTTCTTCTTTTTAACGATTCATTTTTGTACGTAGCCTATCTTATAGGTCCTACGGGTTCAGCCCCTGACATCAGGAATCACAGTATCTCAACCAACTGAGTCTCTTGCATTCCTATCTAAGGTGCTCAACTAACTAAAGCCTTCAGGGGCTGAATCCACACGGAGTACTCCGAACCGCTAAGCCGGGTGGATTATACATAGTATTTCCATAACAGTATGTGGTGATGTAGTTATGGGAGAGGAAGAATTAGAACCGTAAGTGGTAAGCAAGCGGTAGAGGGTCTTTCGAGAAATTTAGCTTTGATCATTTGGCCATATCAGTCCGCCGTAGTACACTTGTTTACCTATCCGACCTGCAGCCGCCTGCTCTGCGAGATGTCCAGATCATATCCGTCTAATTGGCATGTTGATGGGAGATGCGACGCTAGGTCGGTGAGCCATGCGCTGAAAGGGAGTTAGATTGCCTTGCGATAAAGGAATATACGTGTCATACCCCGTTCCGGTGCCAATATCAGCGATTTTGAGATCTTTGTTGATTATGTCGATATCAGGGTGTAGTAAAAACCCAAACATCTGCGTCCATAGTGCATGCTGCAGATTGAGTCTGCGGGCGACTGTTAGATTTAACCCATTGGTCACGAGCCTGAAAACTTACCTGGAGACATCGACATAGTCTCTGCTCAGCAGATACTGATCATCCAGGACTGTTGAAACCATATTGCAAGACGTCTTCCTACCGATTTAAACCAAAGACTGCAATTTTAAGTATTTCCATATGAAATCAGGGCCGTTGGTGCACGGAGAAAGGGATTGATGATTAATGAAATGCAATGCAACCTGAATAAGAAAGCGACTAGTGCTGACAGTCAGCGTGCCGATCAGACCCACAACTGTTGGGGTTCAAATTGTCCAAATTGTCAAAATTGGCCCCTCGGCTGAGGTTTTAGGCACTGTGGATATCCGCAGTTCGTATGGAGTAGGACTGTAGGACAGAGATATCCAGGGATATTCGGCTCCGAAAGTTCAACCTTTCGCACGTTAGTGTGAAGGGGCCGAATATTTATCTGCTGTACAGCCAACCGGAACTATTCTCATTCCCGACTAATCTCAGCGTGAATACCTAGGCTAATAGGGTCCGAAAGACCTTTAGTCTGGCTGACAAATGTTGGATATTCTGTGTTTGATCTAAACTTGGTGTAAAAGCAACCCTCCCTCCTCGTGCATCTGCAAACCCTAAATCCTTATATCTTATATCATCACATCCCAACTCAACTCACCATTCAGCATGGCCGCCGTCAAACCCGCCGTCGTGCTCGTCCACGGCGCCTGGCACACCCCGCCCAACTACCGTCGCTACATCGACGCCCTGATGAACCAGGGATTCCCCGTCCACTGCCCCGCGCTCCCCTCCTGCAGCGCTACCCGACCGCCACCCGCCAGCTATGAGGACGATGTGGCTGCCGTCCGCCGCACCGTGCAGTCCCTCGTCATGGCCAGCCAGAAGGTCATCATGCTCATGCACTCCTACGGGGGGGCAATCGGCACCGACGCTATTAGGGAGCTGACGGTGCCTGAGCGTCGCGCGAAGAACCTCCCCGGCGGTGTTATCCACCTGACGTACCTGTGCGCCTATATCCTGCGGCCTGGCAACACCATACTCAGCGTCGTCCAGGAATCCGGTATGATGCACCTGTGGCCGCAGTTTGTCGAGAACGCCGACGATGGCTCCACGTTCCCAGTTGACCCAGTGTTGTTGTTCCTGGGTGGCGTCGAGAAGAGCCTGATCGACGAGGCTCTACCGCATCTTGTGCGCTCCCCGCAGTCGGCCTTTACCACCCCGACTTCTGGGGATGCATGGCGGGTAATTCCTGCTACGTATGTCCTGACGCAGGAGGATTACTCGGTGCCGAGGGTGTATCAGGATTTGATGGTTAAGAAGGTTAAGGATAACGGTATACAGATGCGGTTGTTAGATTATAAGTCGTGTCATAGTATATTTTTGACGATGCAGGAGGAGATGGTGAAGCTGGTGCAGGAGTGCGCAGACGATGAGCGCAATCCTCATCCTTTGTAGAGATCGCCATGAGGGTGCGATTGGTGGAAAATTGTGAGAGTTTCGGATTTTCTTAAGCGAGCAGTTACTCCATCAGCTACTCCTTTATTTTATGGGCGTACTTCATACACCCTCCATCAGGTTACCCGGTCGCAGGCCACACATTCAGTCAGGATGGCCCCGGTTACTCGATCACAGGCCAAAAGCATAAACACTACAGTACTTGCAAACTTTCCAACAGAGATTTTACAACTTATATTCGGCTGGTTTTGCTTGCACTGCCGCGGAAAGTATCTTCTGTTAATTCAGCCGCATGCTTACGTGCGCGGCACTCAGCAGCAGGACAACGAGCCATCCTGGTACTCCCTGGAGCGTCATACTTTATTCTCACTATGTTTAGTCTCCAGGCGCTTTTGCAGCATTGCTCAGGCCATTTTGTACCATGAGTTTGTCCCTGGATACAGCGACTCGTGGCGCTCAACTATTTATTCGTGGAATAGCCGACTTACATCTTTTTTACGAGTGGTGGCACAGCGACGAGACCTTGCTGCATTAGTAAAGAGGATTTATATCCACCCATTCTTATTAAATTCTATTAGTGTAGACGAGGCTCGGGATACACTAAAGGAGGTTACACATGCACTGGGAATTATAACACATCAGCAACTATCACCATCAGATATTAGTCTGATTACTATTTTAATTATTGGGTTACCTAATCTAGAACATTGCAGCCTTCAAGTTGAAATACCTGCTCTTCAGGAGAATATCTGCTTGTCTATTCTGAATCGGGCCGGTATTTTACACCTGCCACTGAGGACTATTGATATTTCTCTGCGTGCCGCGGCAATACAGTCAGAATATTTCCTTCTTAACCTAGTGATGTGCGGGAGTGGTATTTTTAAAGTGTCCACGAGCCTAGAGACGCTTAATCTTCACATGTGCGGTGGTATCTGGGATCAGGCCCCTTTTCCTTCCCTACCAAATCTTAAGAACCTTCGCATTACTTACAGCAGACTCAGCGAGAAGGATCTTAAAGCCATTCTTTCTTGTTGCAACGGTCTATGCACCTTTGTCTATGAGGCTGCTGATCCTTGCTCTATTCCTAATAGCAGAGATCATTTTCACGCATCTAGTATTATAAAATATCTCAGTTATTACCATGAAACCCTTAAATCACTGAAACTTGATCTTCGACGCCTGCGTTGGTCCCCTGTTTCTAACGGCCAAAATACCCAGGCTGCCTTCAGCTTTCAAGCCTTCACTGCGCTGGAACACTTGTTTCTTAATTCAAGCGAGCTATATAGCTGTTTCCTGACAGAGTCACCCGCAGAGTCCCTCCTGGTCCAGCGTCTTCCCCCAAGTATTACAACACTACGACTTGCTGGCCATATCGGCTATGGCCTTCCACACCTGGCAAAGGGCCTGCTCGCCCTCGCGGATGCTGCCTTGCAGGGGCAATTCCCCAGGCTAGAGCAGGTTAGATGCGATGCAGAACAGAATCTAGATGAACATCATGTGAGCACCATGTTTTCTGCTGCCGGGGTCGATTTTGGTTACAGCCGTTGGCCACTAGGCGAGGCTACACTTAGAGACAGTGACGTGCCACCACTATCTACTCCTTCTCCACATTTGCCGTTGCCATCAGATACGGATAGTGATCTATAATCGCTAGGAATTTTGGCTCCTCCTGGAAGCACGGTTGTCAGGGCCTACGCCGAACCTTGCCTGAGGCACCAAAACGTTAGACACTGTTGATCCCACAACATAGAGATTTTCCCACATTTCCTGTACAATAGAATTCCTTCCTTCCTTCTCTGCGTTTAATGTTTCGTTAGATAACCACCTTAGATGTAATATATCCATCTTACCAAGGTGTGCAGGATCATCACACTGTGACACGTGGAACAAGAAAACCCGAATTAGTTAGGTACTATTTGTTTAACTTAATAAACCATACCGGGCTTTAGAAGGAGTATATACCTAAGAGCTATACTGTAGACACTCAAATATAAGCTATTTTAAAAAGCTCCTCTATCCTTTGGCTTATATCCGCTATACCAATACACAGCGTTAACCCATGTAGCTAGATAGTCAAAGTCAGTCAGATAAATCAAGCGTGTTGTCCGGTAAATATAAAGAAACTTACCCGTAGCATATATAGCAAAAGCCACTGCATCATTTTCCGCTCCCTTCCGATTTCCTTCGTTATCAAACCCGGTTACCCCCTTAGCGATTTGTGCCATGCACCTAGGGTTAGTCGACAAATCTTCGACCTTTTTACCTTCCTCATCTCTGCACTGCACATCAACTGGTAATATATTAGATATATAGTTTACTTGGAAATTTTGAGATCTGTTCCCAGAACGGTCAAGATAGAGGAACCGAGAAAGGAAAATGCTCACTGAGTGCGTTATTCTGACCAGTAAATGCAAAGGCATGCATTGACTCATGGATTACAGTTTGTACAAGGAAGTCAGATAGCCACTTAGTAAGCCGGAGGTCAGGGCCAGTAAAGTCAGGCTCAGCCAGTAATCTACTAGCAGCCTTCTCTGGTCGTCAGTCGGGCTTTTGTTGATGTCGACATGCAAGTTACGGCCAAGCTCATACAGCTCTGCAGTGACCAGCGTGACGCAGACCATGTCTTTTATTGCAGTCTCACCTGTTGCGGGCCTGGCCGCTATACAGGCCGCTCTTGTGTCATGAAGTAAACGGAAATTTGAGAGCAGACTCGGCGACGCGACCTCGCTCCCGGATGTCAGCATCTGGGAGGTGCGACAATGTTCAGTAGACAGGAACACAACAATCTCTAATTCCACAGCTCAGGAGCTCGATACCCCTCCGGGCAGGCATCTACTGGCTCGCGCCACCAAAATACTGCACTAATAGGAAGGTTGTTTCGGGTGACACCTGCTAGTCCCTGGGGCCAAGGCATGTGGTATTACACTCGACCAGCTCTACAAGTACAACTCCAAGGACATGTTCTCTCGCCTGCAGATTGGGCTCAAGTGTCTGCTGCACAGACGGGTTTCTAAAGCCGCAACCTTATAATAATGACACCTGTTACACATACACGACGCGTTCAGGCCATACATGATACGACATCAGTCTTGCCCAGAGCCTGACAGTCGATGATTTGAATAATGTTGTGGAATTCAAGGGAAGTGATGCGCTGGGAGCTACTCTATCAGCTACAGGCCAACATCTAGCCTAAATAGGAAATAGATGTCATTCAGTAGAAACACCAGGAAACGCTGAATCTCAACCAACTGAGCCTTCTAAGCGGTTCCCTATATTCTCATTGAGGTGTTCAACTCTCGATGTTAGATGCTCATCTGTCAACCAAAGTGGGCCAATATATGACCCATTATTCAACGTCTGCTCGGTCCAACTTTATTCTTTTGTTTTCACCTTTTTATTCAATTCTCCCAGATAGATTCAGATAGTTAGAGTCCTTATCCTTTTCAATGCAGATCTATATTCTTATATGATCGGTGATACTAGCTCATACCTGTATTCAGCTGACCGACACCTAACTCTTGTTGGACTTCCCTGCTAGTTAAATGTATTCCGCACTACTTTCTAACATCCTTGTATCTCCAGAAAGATCTTGTACTGCGCCTTCCAGCTGCTCACGCTTGTCCCGTCTAGCTTCTCTATGCTAAATGTGGCGATCGTCTGCGGTACTACTATGCTAAAAGCAGGGTTCTCTGTGTCGCGGACGTCAATTCGCTCTGAAGCTAACAGGGTATATTTCAGGTATTAGGAGCTCCGCGGTGTTCTTTTTAGGGCTTCTACCCTCTTTAGGTTTCTATCTAGGAATTCACCTGGCAGTGGGATCGCCACGGCATCCTTACCGGTATTCGATGCGGCGCTCAGGTCGGCACTTAACTCTTCGGTGTTCTCACGACTCGGTATAAGTCTCCTTGTCCTACAGTCTCGCACCGGGGACATTCGTTGGATCCGGTTCGGCTTTTGGCGTGGTTGGATAACCCAATCAGGGAGCGGTAGGTAGGATGTACGGTCATAGCCACCTTTAACAAGTTTAGGGGCTAAACACGTGTTATAGCTTCAATTCTTCTAAATGAGGCAAGGTAGCCATTCTTGCATGATTCCCCGAGGTGCTAGGTCTGTTGGATAGACCAGACATAGCAAACCCGGGCTTATAATCTATGTTATGAACTATGATTATTCGCTCAGGGGAGGAATAGGTGGCAGAAAAACACTATACCAGCTACACGCCGGTAGCCTACTAGGGACTTGGACAAGAACAATATTAACTGTATTGACTGCGCGGCCAGCGCACTCACCAACGTGCCCTATCTCACTTATTGCTATTTAATGGGATGGAGGTGATTCAGAGTGATATAACACTGAGCGCTCACCAAGGCGCTAGGAGTAATCAGATCTCGAATCCCAGATATTTCTCTATCAATAATCTCTAGCTAAATCCATTGCCAGCGTTAGTCGAATCTTTACAACACATTCCCATCCTAGCCGTCTAGACTTTCTCAACTTGCTCCTCAAATGTCATTCCACCTTGTTCCTTCTTTCCAGGTACGCTCATTCGTCTCATGATACCAGTGTCGGTGACAAGGCTCCTCCCATTTCCCCGTGTCCTTTCCTTGCGAAGCTCTTTCGAGAGCTTCACGGGTCCCTTTTCCGGATTTGTGAAGAGGAAATCAATTTCCTCCAGCGTAAATTGAGCTGTCTCCGGATAACAAAATATACCAGAGGAACGAAGGCAAAGTTAGTGCACATGAAAATCAAATACGCCTTCCATTGGAGGCGATTAATAATCACAGGTGTAATCATGACAACGAAGAAGTTCTATTTTGTCCTGGTCAGGATTGAAGTATGTCTACCGCAGGAAACGCACTCACCCAGATCCAATTCGAGGAAATGCCCACGGCCGTTCCCTTGGCTCTGGCATGAAGAGGTAAAATCTCCGGAACATAGCACCACGGAATACAGTTCACCGAGGCGCCAAATATCAACATGTAAATGAAGAAGAACGCAATGGAGGCTGAGGCAGTGGCATGCTCTTTGTCGGTACCTTTAAAACTGAGAAGAATTGCCACCATCATCATGCATATGCCCAGACCGAATGAGCCCCAGATCATGGGTGTTCTTCGACCAACGCGATCCACAAAGAACGTGGGAAACAAGCTACCCACTACGAACATGATCTGTACGCATCCTCCAATGATGAGCGAGAGGTTCTTGCTCAGTCCGACGTTATTGCTGAGGACGGTGGGGATAAAGTATCTTCGTCTATTAGCGAGATGTAGACAGCAGAGTGGGATGCCACGTACACGATCAGATTGATACCGCCGACCTGGTTCATGAATTGCATTCCGTAGGCAAGCAAACTGCTCTATATTAGCGGGGACGGTAATCAGTGCATGATGTATACTCACACTCTGTGGCCTGTGGAAACTTCATCTCGCTTCAGAATATTTCTGATTCGGTCAGCAACTAACAGCAAGTAGCACCGGAGTACAAGAACAGCACTGTACCTCCATTTGTACTCTCCATGTTTCGTTTCAACAGCAAGAGCTTCTAGAATCTCCGCCTGCTCGGCCAAAATCTTCGGATCATCTTTTGGTCGACCATAAACATCACTTAAAATTTGCAACGCCTGGTCGTTCCGTCCCTCCTTGTAGCAATATCTGGGAGATTCCGGAAGACCGAACACAAGCACGATGACCACCTAGGACAGATCAGGCAACCAGTCTTTCCATTCAACACCGAGAAGAGAACTTACAAAGGCGAATATCATCTGACACGCGATTGGAAGTCTCCAAGCAATCTGACCTCCAACAAAGCTCATTCCATAATCAAAAAAGTAGCTGCAACAATCATAAATAACGAATATGCAAGCCAGCCGAACAATTCTCACCTGATCACAATCCCCACGCCAACTAGCAACGGCTCGCTGCAGACAAGCTTACCGCGTTTCGAGGCCTCACATAGCTCGGATTGATACATAGGCACCGTCGACGTTTCAATGCCTGTACCGATGCCTGTAACAAATCGACCGACCATGAGATGCGGAACGGAGAAGGCAGACGCTTGCAATGTGGCTCCAATCTAGCCTTTCATTAGGAACTGATTTTGCAAAAATAAAAAAGTAAAAAAAGCGCCACGGACAACTTACAGTCACCCAAACCATAGCTAGCCACATGGCTCTCCGTCTCCCGAGCCAATCGCCAATGATGAAGTTCACAATGCAACCCGTGAAGCATCCCAGGTTATATATCGAGACGATAATCCCCATTAGACTATCTCTTGGATGGTTCATAGTACCAAGGAAGTCATCATTTTCCACAATCCCTGAAAAGACTCCTTGGTCGTATCCTGCTCGATTCAGCGCTGATTAGGACACCAAAAATAACAAGAAATCAAGTGAACTATCCGCACCGAAAAGAATAAAAGCCATCCCACAGGCTGCCCAAATCGCAGCCTGGAGGATAACCCCCGTGCCAAATATGTTAATCTTCACCATTCTGAACCCTGACCAGATGTACTTCTCAATACATTAAAAAAGAAAATATTGAAAACAAAAAAAAAAAAGTTAACCAAGACGGTTATCAGCAAAAGACCGGATATATAGCTGCCCCCCAAATCAGGATCCCGTGTACCTCCATGCGGTTCGAATCACCAAATCCGGGGTTCCACATGCCCTAGCTGACCCAATCCGGCAATTGGAGCCTGTTACCCCAGGCTGTAGGGTTACCCCGCATGGCCCTAACCCCAAATAGGCTCAACCCCGGGGGAGGATCGACTGGGAAAAGCCAATATCTGCCAATTAACGTCCCCAGTGGTTAGCCGTCTACCTGCCCAGAAATGGGATGAAGTGTTTCATGAATCATGGCTGCTAAGATCGTGTCGGTCGATATTTTTCGTGTAGCGTTTGTCCAGGGAACACTTTCTAAATTTGAGTCCAAATCAAGAGAGTATCAGAGGTCTTGGTTTATCCTTGGCGATGTTTTACCCTGGAGAATAGGCTTAATGGGAAGGCCTGATTCACGAAGGTCAGAGGGTTATCTGCCTTACGCCACTCGCTGGACCACACACATGATCTCCAATGCATCCTAACCTCTGACGGATAGGATCACGATACACTCTCCCCTAGTAGGCGGTTCAAGTTACCGGATAATGTACCATGTTCTACAATTTCCCCCCAATCGTCGTCGATTTCTTCTTCTATGCGCCTACAGTTGGCTCCTCTGCATCCACCACCAATACCTTGATGCTGCCATTTTTGGTATCGGAGTACAAGTGAAGCGCATCCATCGCCCTTTCCCACGGTAATACGTGCGATACCAGTTTCTTCAGATCCAGGATCCCTCCGCTTAGATATGCACTCTCTTTGGCCTCGGTGTCACGGTACCGGTTGATAAACTTCAGATCGATCTATCAATCACCGTCAGTGGATTGGTTCACTAGAGTACGGATGACTCGCCCACCTCTGCTAGTGAGAAATGCATAAGAGGTAGGTCATTTATGATTGCCCGTCCCACATTAATACCACCACAGTCCGCCTCGCCGTGCAGTGTATGCCGCTATGCAGAGAATACTCTCCACGCCGGTGCATTCTAATACTGCCTCGGGTGCAACGTATTCTCCCTCACCGAACAGTGTTCGAATTGCTGTCGCATTGCTCTAGGCGTCTAATGAAGTGTCCATCTTGTAGGTCTGGTAGGATGGAACCAATTCTTTAGCAAAAGCCAATCAGTGTGGTTCAAGATCCATGATGACAATAGGATGGGCTCCAGAGGCACGCGCAGCTGCCAATGCGATCAGTCCGACGAGACCAGCACCACAGACTACCACTCCTTTTCCAAGGGTCAATCCTTCGGTACGAATACCATGCATGACCACAGAAAGAGGCTCAAGTAGAGCGCCTTCGGCGTAGCTGACATTATCGGGGAGCCTGGTTGGGTCATGCTTATTAGAAAAAGACATGGGCAAATATTTGTCCACTGTCACAACATACTTGTGAAGCCATTTCGCCGGATGGACTTGGTAGCACTGCATCGTGCCATGATAAGGGTATACACCGGCAAACTGCGCGTCCTCGCAGAGATTATAGCGGCCGTCGTTGCGCAGAAAGCAATTCTCACGGGGTACACATGGCTCAACTGCAACCCTATCACCTATAGACTCAATCTCCAATCTCACATAACTGCCAACTTTATAGCCTCTGCGTTCCTGTCTTGACTATTGCTCGGCTTGTGGGTAGTGGTGTATTTTAACTCTGGCATGTTGAAAACATGTAGGAAGGCATTAGACCTAATAACTAATCTCTGGCTTTGACATGTTTAATATAATCCAATCCACTGTATGTTTGCAGTAGTTGTAAGACGATCCTGAGTGCCAGATAACCCAGATTAGTACAAGTTGACTCCCACATTGCAATCCCGTATTGAATTAAATGATATGATGCTAAATATGCAAAACAATTGATAAGCTGTATGTGGATGTCTATACCCTTTGTAAGGTTAACTAGCCGGGGTTGTGAAATGGACTAGGCTCTGAAAAAAAAAATAAAGGAATGCCAAGGGATGATACCAGTTTCGATTCGTGCTAACTAACTATATCTGTCATGACTCTGTCTCGCAATCCAATCTCTTCTTTATTATTGAATATACTAGGTAGCTGCGACGAGAATATCACGCATGAAGAAGGAAAACAGTCAGGCGGGATACATGTCAATATGTCGGTGAGCGGTACGGCTGCCTATAACTATGGACCAAGTATGCAGGTCTGCAGTCAGGCCGTGACATTAAGAGCTTTAAAGCAGCTTAATATTCAACTAAAAACTCCTCCACCACCAGGCAGTCGATCAACCAATTCAGCACCCAAAACACTATATAATTCTCAGCAATTGAAAAAGCAAGCATCTGTAATAAAATGGAGGCTTAAAGCATGTACATAAAGCCCCCAAGCCTCTTTAGAAACGCGGTTAGACAAGATTATCAAGGTCATAAAATAGCTCTAAATAAAGCTATTCTTGCGCAAGAAGTGGGGGAACATGGAGCTGCAAATGAGACAAGACATCAAAAGGAAAAGCAATCTAAGCGACAGATAGCTACTGCAGAGGACTTTTCTACAAAAGAATCCCACGAGTATATACAGCATCGGAATGAGGTCCAAGAAGTTCATTTAACCCACGCCGAGGTTTTTTAGACCACGGTAAGCTGGCACCCTTCAAAATACTATAAGTTAACTAATACTCCGTACTTACATAATAAATAGTCGCGTTCTTCACCTCTCATGACGTTCGTTAACCTAGCGAGTGTACATATAAACAGTACCCGAGTGACATCCAAAGAATATTGCATATCCTTCCTTATACATAGTTCGTCGTATTTTTCTCCCTTTCTTTCTTTTTTGTTTCTGTTGGTGGACTGCGTTCAGCACTAATTCTAAATAATATCAGGATCCCCATGCAACCTTCTGTGGCGTCAACCAGTTAGTGCTTAGCTGAATTCTATTATTATTAAGTATATGGTAGTAGTTATTTAACCACATAGCTAGAACTAAGAGTATTTTTATCTAAATTGTCATCGAAGCAGAGGACTTCGCAGACATTGGAGTAGTAAGCATAGTGCTTCGTATTTACAGGCATAATCAAGCGAACTATCAAAAACTAGTGAATTTACATGCAGTGAAGAGTCTACCTAGTTTTTTTAGTAGCTGTTTTTCCGAAAGTATAGCTAAGTTTGGCGTGTGCGCAAGTAAACGGTCGTCAGCCGCCTGGTTCTAGATCTTGACAGACCCGGTGTTAGGTGTGGTGCGTCACCTAACATTACGGTGCGCTACTATATAAAGTGCTCAGGAATACCTGATCCCATTGGGATCATATAGCAGTCTTTTAGTCCAGTGGAATAGTCAAGATCCTGAGCCTGGCTATAACAGTTTAGCACCAGGTTTGGGGCCTCTTAATAAGAGTTAAAAAAAATACGTTGGGATAGATAGGGGCACTATGCAGAGATTTAGTCCAGTTTTGACCAACTGATCCGTTATATCATTGGAGAGCCCATTATTATCTGTAGGCGTTGTGGCAAGGAATATTGACCATCCAAACCATACATAAAATGGCACAAATTCCCTTCGGAGACACTGGAATAGGAATATATACTAAAAAGGGTTCCAGGTAGCCAAGGAGCTAAGTATATAGCGCTTGATGCAGAATATAGTATATATTAAGTAAAATTCTCTCCGGTTCAGCCCGGCGGCTTTTGTGGTTGTCCTGCCTCTTTGGGTACAAGGCAGATTTGAGAGTGATAGAGAAACATCGGAATTCGGGATCCGACGAATCCTAGCACCTTGGTGAGCGCTCAGCATCATCCTCCTGAATCACCTCCATACCTTTAGATAGTCCCATCCGTCCCATCGGTACCTGAGCGTCCCGCATATCCATGTAAGCTTCCTCGTCTCCCCGGGGCGCATATCGCTTAGCAAGAGTCTTTGTATACGGTCAATTCTGGCACCACAGTGTTCAGCCGGACTCCCTTCGCTGCATATACAACGGCAGTTGCCTTGGTAAATTGCAGGGGGCCGCCTTTCCTGCGGCCCACCGTGGTTCTGAGAGTGCAGATTACTGGCTATGGCTAGCCCACCTGCTCTAACTGGAAAGATAAGACTTCTCTCGCTGATTTATAGTTATTCTTCCGCTTTTCTCTTGTACTACTGCGTTATTTGTGGAGCCCTCGGACTGTGATTACCCTGACTTCGACGCCGCGTTCAGCTCAACGCAGTGACGTGATGTTTATGTGGTTTGCGTCATTTTGCATGCAGACCAGACCGTATTGGAATGAGATATGGCGCGGGGTTACGGCTGGGAAGCTACCATATTCTCGCTCACCATGAGGGCGCCCATTTTATCTTCTTCCTTTCCTCCTTATATTTAGTATTCTTGATATAGGACTCAATATGATCGACCTGATATGCCTGTCATCGCATCATACCTGAACATCGACGACCTAATTTGCTGAAATAATATTTATGATATCTAGAAAACAAGGTGATTGATTCGAGAGACCAACAACCAACCGACTTCCACGACACTATATCCAAAAAAGCCTTGCCTAATTTTCTCACTTCTCCATGCTCTGTTCAATAGTTTCCATGGTGATTGCGGTCTGCAGGGCCATCTGACGGATGCCTGTGCTCAATACCTCACTGACCTCTTTAAATCGACGTTTCCACCTCTGCCATGCTTCAAGAGATAATCCATCACAGCCGTGCTCATTACCACTCGTGGAAAGTATTTGTCGATAGAGGTATCGGCCACTGCGTGTTACCCACTCTATAGCAACTCTAACACTACAATCAAGTTCCGGGCCATCTGCAGGCTCGTCTAATGCATCACGTAGCGCTCAAACTGCGAAAGAGGTCCACAGTACTGCATCGAGGTTCAATAGGCGCGCCGCAAACGAATTAAGATTTATCCATCGATCTACCTCCTCGGTATTACTGAGATCGCCGTAGTATGCGGGAGCTAATCAGCATAGATGGGGACCGTCAGCTGTGTCAAGCCTACAAGACCTGCGGTATAAATGGACTGATTCCTTTCTCTCCGGTAACAGGAACCCAAGAACAACGTACAAATCCATGCCTCTCTCATACTGGGTCCGAAAATAGGGAGATCGGCCCAAACCTGCTGGGGTTCCTGCCGTGTGCGTATTAGCTTCACTTGCAAAAGAGCTCCAATACCGCAACAATGCACCCACTTCCCAGATTTCCACCGTTATTGGCACTAGAAAGGTGAGAGATCGGATGAGCTCTACCAGTCGATCCTGTGAAGGGTGGTTATGCGGGACCTGCTTGGCTACATGTGTAAAAATGCCCCAGGTGCTCCATAGAAATCTTTCCACGTCGTCGCTATAATTGATATTAGAGTCACTGGTGCGCCTCGTAGGAATCAGGTCATTAATATTTTGAGCAACAGCAGCCGGGGATTTGACATCGGCGGATTGGAGGTACTCCTGGATAATGGTAAAAAGCTCTAGTTCAGATTGACCAGGGTTGTCAGTCGCGTAGGATTCTAGGTGCAAGGAAGGAACTTTCATGGCGACACTGAGTGGATGCCGTCTAGAGATTGATTAAGAAGGAGCAAGGGTTGGGGTTCGGCCTTAAATAGGCCTTAGTCCGCGGTAGAGTATCAGAACACAGCATATACTCTTAGGAGCCGTTATATGTCGAGAAAAGAGTTTAGCTGCCAAGAACATGTGGATGGGAATGGATACTGCAGGGAGATATCGGCTATTATCCTTTCTACGGACTAGTGGTTATGTACATGTGCTGGTGGCCTTCAGCTATGAGGAGGACCTTGACAAATGTTTCCCCAATATTCCATCACTACTGTCGAACAATGTTTGGGTGAATCAGGGACAACTTGACCCACATCCAGGAAGGCAAGATTAGATTTTGCGTGGTGGCGTGATGTTTATTATTCTGTTTGAGATATGTAGTACGTGGGGCGTAGTATAAGCAAGGCTCCTGATTTATCCATCGTAATTAACTTTACTCTCCAACTTTAAATATATGTAGTTCTAGAATTAATAGGCCTCGCTAGGGACTGCGCGTTCCCCATCGTAGTCCAGTAATTAGTCGCCAAGACATGGGTTTCGTCCTCACCCGTCCATCCTTGGGTGGGTACAACGAGGTCGCGGGTAATTAACCAGCAGGTACTCGAAAATATCAAACACAAATACATGTGTACATAAAAGTAATTTATCTGAATGAATCAGCAGTTTTATACATTCCAAAGTGTCCTAATTGGGAAAATTATGCAAAAACTGGGCCTCGGCGGGTACCCGCGGGGTTTTGGACTTGGGTTTTAGTCCTGACCCCATTATGTGGGCGGCTATTGGCGAGGTCTAGACTTGATGCTGTGAACCAGCACAGTAACGCACCTGTTACAGAACAGGATCAGTTCAGGGATTTATACCCATTATCGTCATACGTTATCATGGCAGTAGTCTCCACTTCCAAGCAGCTAAAACGGAGAATTTCCTGAGTTGGTTTGCCTATACTCTGTATAATTGGGCGCATCGCTTCCGAAGATTATTACAGAACTGGACGCATACAGTTTTCTTAATACTGTTACTGCGTTTCTCTCTGTTCGTTCTACAAATATTCTAGCCTCCAACCACTTGTGGAAGAGTGGGGATGGATATTGTTTCGAGAAAAAAAAAATGAAGAAGTTGGCCAGTATTGTGGCTTAAGAAGGCTCCTATATCCTTCTCTGTTGATTGTAATTTATCACACCACTGTTATGTTGTCCGAAAGAAGAGTCATCTTTCTTTTCTTTGCTATGGGTCCATTTCTTGCAGAATGGTGGTTCTAGCTACAACAAACTCAACCCACACAATTCAGGGGGCTGATCAATTCGTGTCAAATTTAAGATTTAGGGTCACCACTGCATCGGGAACCAGAGCATGTTCCGTTGTAACCACCTTTGTTGCTAATCATTTACACATATTCTAGCGTTCCTTCTTCTCTAACATATACAGAAACCAGCAAAGAGTCCCCACATCGCCTCATTTTCCCTTTGATAGCAACATCTAGTGCTAATTAAATAATTTCGTGGCTCGGCAATCCACAACGATTCATTCCAACTAGGGGCTGCCTGGAATAAGATGCCACACTCCCATGATCAAGAATTAAACTGTCTTGGTCTGCATATATGGTTGGGCTTTGATCTGTACCTAGAAGCTAAGTTGGCAATGTGCGCCCCGTTATGCAAACGGCTGAAGGCCTTCCAGAACCTTCTTATTGTTTCATTACTCTATTATTCCCATGTGAAAGGCAAAGTTCGAACATTTTGCCAAGACTGCTTGTCTGATCTTTAATTTCAGGTTGAAGAAACGGTTTTGCTTGGCAGAAGGCAGCAGTGTCAAGCTGTTCTGGCATGAAACCGGTTCTTGACACATCGAACGATTCCAGTTACTTCATGTCCCCAGTGAGTTTGAGCTGCATCTCGTGGTTGCAACTGTTCATAACCCGGATAGGCAAAACAGAGTGAGGCACAGAAATATAAATTCAATTAGCCTTGTACTTTCAACGTAACCATGCAGAGCAATGATCATGATAAGAAGATGATTTGCAACTTCGTACTGGTATTGTATAAACACTGAGCAGCTTTGAAAGAAGAATAATTAAGATAATCACTCATCTCTTAACGCCTTTAAGCACTATGATTCCGCTTGGTCCATGCTAGGTGTCCAAGGCGGGATGTTCTTGGCTCAGGCCCTGTCAGAGTATGCACATACTAGCTTGAATTGCATTGAGGTGTCTGGAAAATATCGTTGGTGTCCTGCGGTTTGTTCTAGATGAGATGGATTTGCAGATATGAATTCTCCAGCGACACACCACCACCTTCCAGTAATAAGCCCTTCAAGATTCTTCCTGGGCCTTGCCAGTATCCGGCAAGCACAGGTTTTATGTTCCTGGACTTATCTGGACTAGGTCGTTGTTTATCCAGAACCGAGTCATGGCGCATTGCATGCAGTATCATAATGACAAAATGCGTCCTTTCTCTTGTAATCAAACTAGCATTGAATAGAGATAGCTAGATAATCTTCTGGTTCTAGATTTTATGTTTCTGATACGGCGACTGCACCATCTTCTTGCCTCGTGTGATTACCCTTGCATGGCGAAGAGAAGTGACATGGTGTCATTCAGTGGTATGAGAGAGCTACTCAATGAAATATCTACCCCACCCTCTTCAACATCTCAGGCAATACGGCTGAGGTTACAAGTGAAACATATACTAAAGAAGAATATAGCTGCTTTAGCACGTACTAAACCTTAGCACGTACTAAACCTTGGCACGTATCCACCAGAATTTCTACATGTCATGAGATACTACAACCATGTTTGCTAGCTTGATAGCCATTCCATCAAAGGGGCCTGATACAAATCCCGAATGTGGCGACAACCTTGGCAATTGACGTGGCATGTAGTTGTTCTTGGTCTTGGGGCCAGATCCTGCATAGAACAGATGAATCTAGAAGGGACTCCGACGTGTACGCAATGCCGTCCTTCGTATGATTGATGGGTCACGGAGCCCTACATTCCTTGTCGGAGTATCCAGATACCGCATCATCAAATCTACATCAGCTCTGGACGTATACCAGGATAGAAAATGGCTTGGCAAAGGAGATAAATAGTGCCTCTGCCCCTTCCCCAGGTCTCAGCATCTCTTTCTATTCTTCTAAGTACAGTATTTTGAGATAACCCTTATGCACCCAAAATGTTACTTTTTCGTTTCGCAGCACTTTTCGGAATTGCCACTGGGCTTCCTCGTCCCGATGCAGCTCCCGATTTATCAGTGATCGAACGTCAACCTCCCTGCAGTGATGGTGCTTCCTGTACCCTGAGCAGTGGGCCTTTCTTGGCAGATACGCAGCTGCAGGGAGTACACGAAAAGCGTCAGGCATACTCTGACGACGTCGATAGTGTTACCGTAACCTTGCATGTGTCTGACTCCTATTTTGCCGGAACGGATTTCCGTATCTTCTTTGCCTTTGGTGATGCCGAAAGCACTTTTGGAAGTTTTTGGAGCCAGATATCGACCATCTGGGATTTTAAGGACCGTGGGGTTCACCAACACAATAATATACTTAAGGTGTTTGATGGACCATCCAGAGGGGACCGTGCAGATGTAAAGTTCGATTTGAAAAAAGGATTTGGTAAGGACCGTGTTTCTATATCCGACCTACGCAACATTAGCCTTGCCGTCCTGCCACCGTCCAAAGATTCAATCGGCGAGCAGGTGTCGGCGGATTGGGGGACCGTGTTTGAAGGAGGATTCAAAATTCAAGGTTAGGGTTAGCTTTCAAGCGATATCTTTCGTGTTTACTAACACACCGCGCGACTCTCAGAAATCACCATTACCGCACATCACGCCGCCTTAAATCGCGACTTTAAGAACAAACAGTTCAGTGACTTGAACAAATGGCTTAACCCTACTAAGCTCCGGTGGGTCAAGGATAGTGGTGAGATTGTTTGGAAGGGAGAACTTGAACTAGAAAAATGGCTCGATCAGGATCAGAAGCCTTTAAGCATTGATGAGCCCAGCCGTGGGGAGGGCACCTGTCCCCGGTTCTCTGGAAAAGGCGCACGTATTGGTAAACGACAAAACAATGATAACAATCAGGAAGAGGAGTGGGATGTTTGGGGAGCATTTGAAGAGGCCCAAAAGCATCTTGAGGCCAATACTCAAGTAGGACGTGAGTGGGCTTCCCAGCCTACTCAAGTGCTGAACTAACTGGACCTTTTTGTACTTAGGGAACCGTTACCCACACCGATTCAGAAATTACGAAAGGCTGGCAATCCCAGATGAATTTCGGAACCAGCCACTCCAGGAGTTTCCGATCCTACGAGGGCAAAGACGGTATTCGGGGACCGAATCCCCGGGGGCGATGCGTGTGATGTTAGTTATAGCTCCCTTTCCAGTACAGGTGCCCTGATATTCTGACATATATATTCTAGCCTCGCTCAGGTGGGTAATAACTGGATGCTCGCTGGCGTTATGAGACATCCAACGGGAGGTGGAAATAGGTTTGAATTGTGTCGCGAATGGGGGAATGCGTATATGGCACAATGCTGGCCGAACGGACTAGAAACTCTCCAACATCTTGATTATCCTGGGTGCGATCGTCCTTAAGGATTGTTTTCCCAAGAGTGCGGTTCACAACGTCTTCTTCTCAACGGAGTAGTGGAAGAAAGTGTCATGATATATTACCTTGATAGTGGGGCGTCTTTTACAAGACGATCCCACTATGAATGCATTGTGCTCTATTGGATGTAAACAGGGTGGACAATTCGCGGGCTTCCTTCGGTGTGCCGTTTGTAAGGTTAATGAAGGTGTTACGAGTCAGGGATTATAATGTCGGGGTGAGAGTTTCTTTCACTAAAGAATTATTGAAAAGGCAGACAGTGATAAGATCGCTGATAAGTGCATCGTATATGATCATTGCGTAGCTGGCACATTTCTCGACCAGGGGTTTCGCTTTTTCTGGAGATCGGTTCCACACAGTGGTCTTGTAGTTGTGAGATAGGTAATGCGAGGCATGTGCTGTGCCCATGGACCGAGCCCAATAAATTTATTTTTCCAGCAACTAGAAGCTCCGGAGCTGTATACAAGCATCCGTCTCCTCTACGTGGGTAGCAGAACTCGCTATCTGACAAGGCTCGTTACCGACCTCCGAAGGAGGAGATTTCAAAGCCTTGGATCACTCAGGGGAGGATGGTCCACCGATGATGAGAGATTTCTTCCGGTTTATACCAGGATCTACGGACAGAGGATGCGATGACAAGATGGAAATCCTTAATCAATGGCTTAAGGAGACTCGGGAACGAGTTGGTGCCGCCGTGACAGCGTACAGTAACCACCAAGTGAACAAAAACTATCAATTTTTGTTTATCTCCTGGCTGGGAAATTTTTGGTCCTCTAATAACCCTGATCCCCTCAAGAGTGAAGCTAGATGGCTGAACATGAACAGTACGTGCAAAAGTAGGTCTGCCCAAGGCCAACCATCACTAACCAAGAGGATTCATTCCAATAATAGGGCATATGGACGCCGTCCGGGCCTTTATTAATAGGGATAGCGTCTCGGGAGTCGCCGAAAATCCCTACTTGTTCTGCGGTGATGGATCTGCTCAGCATTACGATTGCAACTCCGCGGTAGAAGGTCCAGATGATCAGCCGATCAAGGGCCGTGAGAACCCCCCCATATAAAACAATCAACGACATAGCAACGAGTTCAGAAAACTATAATGGATAACAAAGAAGTGGACCGACAGCCACATTGGATTTCCTTGCTTAACGGATACGTCTTTGACACTGCCAAGAAAAGTCTCTGCGAGGGTAACACTCGCTTTGCAGCGACAACCTCCGGACATAGACTTAAGCTTGACCAATATTTATATGTCCCTTAGCATTTACATCAACCACAGTGCATTCTGTCGATAAATTGATAGATAACATCAAGAGCTATCCCGATCCCGCCAAGGACGCAGAGAACCTTGAAATCATGCCGAAGCAAATCGGGCAGACTTGCAGGTGTGCAAGACCCAATATCATCTGCTCAGTCCCTAAGAAATGCTCTGAATACTGCTGATTATACTCGCTCCAGGCTCTGCTTGCTGCCCTTGTTGCCTAGCCACTGCTCTCATAATGGACAGGTTCGAACCATGCTGGCTTCTTTGCGCAGAACCCACTGGGTCTCGCGGGTTAGTTTGTCTGCCCTTCGGTTAGTGGTTAACCCACGCTGACCGTGGCGCAGCTAGTATCTACTGCGTGGTCGACAACATCGATGGCAGATGGGTAAATCAACGTGGATCACGGCTTCTTTGGATCTCGTCTGATTGTTATCTCAACATCTCTGATTCCAGTCATAATAAAATGGTGCTGCAAGGGATGAAGGGTCAACTGATCTACCTGGACATTTTCGATAATTGAGTGATGACTATTCAATGTGAGCATGTATGAATGGTTTGTGTGAGGGAGCCTTGGTTTAGATTTGCGGAGAATATGCATGAATTGTGGTGGATATTTATATACTCTAAGCCTTTATTTCCATGCCAACAAAAAGAAGTGGATTACTAGTCAATGGTGAAACTGCCAGTCTCCATCTCCCATATTCACACACAAGACTCCCATTGTGACGGCCAAGCAACTTGAAATTGGTGCTATCTAACGAAAATTTCAAACATGGGGAGGAGGAAGAACGGTGGTGAGGGGACTATGCGGGGAAATAAACAAAGCTAGATAAAAACAATGCAAACAGGCTACTTGGTGAGTTCCTCACAGTAACTTTTATAATAAGTGAAAATTATAGTGACGAGATACTGCCAGAGACACCGGTGAGTTGTCGCTAGGACCGCTATAGTACCTGCAACTTAAGCCCTGCTTGTAGCTGCAGCTATTGGGATATTTGCAAGCATAGTCTGCACAATATATCTACGCTGCGTGGTACCTGTACGGCATCTTGAAGAGATTTTCTGAATGAAAATTATTTACTTTCAAATGATGTTCGAGAGTGGTGGATGAAGATTTTGGAGATAAAAATGAAAACCAAAGATTCTTTGGCCTTCTTATATTTGTTGTCTGCCTGGCCTACTAACGGTGGCTGTGGTTGCGCTGCAGCACAGAGAGAAAGGTTTGCATTATACCCTATTACAGCTCCTCAGGGGGCCCTTCCAAGGTCGTCAACGGCCACAGGGTCAGATGATCAGTAGTTACATGAAAAGATTCATATCTTTGATGCGCCATGATTCCAGTCTCCAATCCGTGTTTTCCCGTTTTGTTTGCACCTTTAGATCCGTCTGTCCTTTCTGTAGTAGTCTTGGAGTGTCCTCTTGCCAGTTATTTCCCGCCTTGTACTTGTGTATTCCCGACTTAGCCCGACATAGCACTGTTTTCGTACCAATTTGACCATCCATCCCGATCACCCCTGGCCCTTAACGCCAATTGACAGTTGTATTCGATCCTCCGATCAGTGTGACGTGTCGCTGATCCGTCTGCAGCTTAGTGTGGGAAAAGTAGGAAATATACAGTCCTATAGACGTTAGCATCCACACCTCCTGGTCCTGCCCTCCGTGTTGCTCGTGTTGTCGTCTGATCGCAGCATAGATATTAACTAACATTTATTTCTCTTTTTTGCGTCCACCCTGGACGCAAAACAGAACCAACAATTTAATCCATGATCCTCCTCTGTCCTACAATTTGGAATAATAATATCCGCATTAAAAACTGTAAGCCCGAAAACAACTGACTCAGAGGGAGAAAGAAGAAAGAAAAGAAAAGAACAGCCTTATCTAACCGCCTATGTTACAACCCCGGTAGGAGTTGCGGAGGAGCACTTACCAAGTTCGGGCTGCGGCACAGTTATTGCACATACTTGTTGCTTTTACTATACTACCCTTCCAAGAACCAACACTTCCACACCCACTCCGACGAGCTACCTAGTTGGTATAGTGCTTGAGAATTTCCTAAGCTCTGCTTCCCGGTCTCGTATAACATGGTAAAAGTTGGAAGTTAATCATGCATTATTATTATTTATTATCAAGCTGTATACTTACTTCGCTACTGACTGAGAATACTGCTAAAAATGAAAAATAAGTGTATTGATTTTTTGGTTTCGTTTCAAAATCGTCAGGGAGTATCAACTTTTCTTAGCCGTCTTCTCTTCCTTTGATTGTGCCTACAAGAAGAGAAGGCAAAAGGGAAAAAAGCCCATGAAACCCTGTCAATAACAAATGCATGAAATCAAAAGAGATTGGGAGGAAAAACGTGTGGACAGGCATCTCATCAGTTTAGTTATCACTTGACCAAGTCCAGACGGGATTTGGTTTGTCACATGCCTTGGGTTCAGCTTGCCTTATTTCTCGAGCCGTGTGTGATTAAATTCTACCTATAAGATGGGGAGGAGCCTGCCCAGATTTACTAACAAAGGGCTAATGCCAAGCTATCACACCCTCACCAGAATGTCGGGTCCCGGACTGTAGTATCCTAGTTGGAGGAGGCCGCTGGCATTGCACTAGTACGCAAGGAATAGTATCTTTCGTCGCAACAGGGTACTTTTCCATAATGTCGGATTTAGGAGTTTGCGCCCCCTGCCAACTTGTCAGGCTACAGGCACGGGAGTGACGAATCGGACTCTACGGAGTCTCGCATTTAATTCAGTCTTTTATAGGCGGACATATCGGCATTATCTAAGCACTGAACTATATGTATAAATACTTTGATTGACATGCGAGGAGGCGTGGTTATCTTATTCAGAGCCTATACAAACGCCGACTTCACAAGCAGAATCTAGTAACCTTTTTGCACAGAATTACACACAAACAAAGTCCTATCTCTCAATAATGTATTCATTTTTAATTGCAGTGCTGGGTCTGATAGCAACATCATCGCTCGCGGCTCCCAAGGTACTTGCTCAGTCGGGGAGCAGTGCTTGGGAGGCCATGAACAAAATGAAAATGGACCCTAAGGGATATTTTCATATCGCTAACGACGGAGTGGCACGATCGTATGATGGGAACGATATTGTTATCGATTATGTTCCCTTGTCCAACGACCAACTTATGCAACTGCTCTCGAACCTACCAGAGCCATGGCAGAAGGAACTGGATCATTTACACTCTATATTTGACGGCGTCGACGGACTTCAAGTTGTGGATGAGAATCAGTTGCTCAACCCTCCTGCTTGGCTTCGGCGTATCGTGGATCGTGAGGCACCTCGTTCTCGAAACCCTAAGCGCGATGTCGAATCTCTCCTAGAGGCCAGAGACTGGTACTGCGTGGGCCAACCTTGCACCGACTCTAGCGCTTGCCAAATGCTTGGCTGCTCAGGTTGTGCATATGTTGATGAAATCATGCCGGGAGGAGGAGGGGTTTGCCGTCCCTAGTCAAAAGCAGAGGTGTCAGATCTGCGCAAGCTGTCTAAACGACCTGCACAAAAGGTAGACGCTGGATCTTGGGGGTGTGAAAGGTTAAATATATCATATTGTCAAGATTGAAATGGGGTATATGCTTCAAGGCCGCTTATATTGTGGATATCTTTGATAATTCACAGCTATACAACACACTTAATATAACATAAAAGAAATGTCTCCCAAGTTCTGTTTAGACCTCGGCAGGTCCCATGGAACTAGCACAAAGTCAGTCCCAGGCCCCAGGTTCCATGGTCCCATGGACTGTCAGGTGCTGAACCGGTAGAATCTATAGGAAAAGTTATGTACAAATAGGAATTGTTGAAGAAGGGAATAAGAGGAAAATGAGCAGTAAACAAACAAGGTGGAAAGTCACGTGGCATGGATCGAGGGCCAATGTGCCAAAGGGGCCAGCAGGGCCAAAAGGGCCAGTAGGGACAGTAGGGACAGTAGGGACAGTAGGGGCAATAGGGACAACAGGGACAATAGGGACATTGGCTCGAGAGGTCAAATGGCTCCAGCCCTTTACATGGACACCTTATTTCTGCCTGATTTTGTATATTCACCTAAAAATGATGAATAAATTGCTAAGTAATTATATTAACTTACTGTTTTTTACAACTGATTTGGTTATTTTATAGATCAAACTTCCACTCATACTCCTCAGGAAATTTTAAGAAATACGCCCGTACCCTGAATCCGGAAAGTAAAGACTCCAGCGAGAGTATATAGTGTGAACCACCTGTAATAAGAGAACGTCTATGATAAGAATATATATTTCTCTGTTGGTTATCCCACAGCAGTAGCAAATACACCACCCGCAGCCACGCAATGCTTTTAAGTGTGTATACACACTAAATATTAGGGAGCCTTTATGTGGATGTACAATTAACCCGTTGGGAAAGGGGTTTATAGTACGCACGTGTGAGGCATTTTCCTCTCTGTATTAGTGTTGAATTATTTAGGGGGTCTGAAGTGATTGTATTCAGAAGGATTTTCTGCCCAACCCCTCTATGAGAGATATTGGGTATATATTTCACATGATGTCCCAATCTGGACTAGTTTATTCTGATAATTAGCTGTATTAGGTCTAGTATCGGCTTCCCCTCACCACGCCCAAGGGATGTCTCCACCTATTGACTACACTCTCAAAACTATTATACAATAATACAATCAAGAGTTTCATCATATCACAAACAGATCACTTAAATCATGTCTTGCATAGTAAGAGTATTCCTCACAGCTTGCATCTGTACGATACTAACACCGCAAAAGAAAGATGAAGAGGCATCGCAGACCTGGCCATCCCTCAAACACTCACCATCGCTCCAAGGCATCACCCACCTTGCGAGCGATGGAGTGTACCGCAGTTTTAGCTCGAGTGGCGAGGTAGTAGATTATAAGCAATTGAGCCTGGCAGAAATTACAGCGATGCTGGAATTCTTTGGAAAACATATTGACTCAGAGTCTTCCGAGAAGGCTAAGAAGAAATTTCATGGTGTGGATGGCAGAAATGTGACTGATTTGGACCAACTGCTTCATCCAGGACCAGAACTGCGTCCATTTAAGATTCAAGAAGTAAAGATCACACAATTTTACTACTTCCTTCTATCCGTCCGTCTCGCCCTTGTTTCTATGTCCATTTAGTAGCCGACTAAGCCCGCTGCGTAATTTCGGCTGAGGACGATCCTATCTGCTACAGCAGAGCCAGGGCCAGTATAAGTGGTGCCGTACACATTCAGGCTTATTACTGCTACGTAGTACATGATTTAAAAGCAATAAAGCTTATATTGCTAATTTGACCCTTCGCTGTAATGTAATATAGACTTGGGGCTAAGTCAATTATGTGCCGCTATGCTACATTAATTCTGTGCCTTAATTATATGCTGCTATGTGTCAGATAGGGTCTGCTAATCCTGCCTTAGATAGAGATCTTAAGGTATTCTTTATTTTTCTTTAATTTAACCAGGGTGAAAAATTATTAGCCCCTTCTCTAGCTCCAACACCTTAAGGCCCCAAGTCCCGAAACTTTCTCCCCTTCTGGGTTCGGATCATATCAGGCCGGCCCGTCGCGGCCCAGACAAAATGTAAGAGGCACCCTTATCCTGTGAATGCAATAGGTATCCATGAAATGGGGGTTGGATTGATTTGCGAGTATCCAAGCACGTCGTTATGGCTGCAGTAAGAAATAGCAAAAGTGGAAAGATCTCATGACACTGCTCCTGGACTGACAAGGAGATTGGATCCAGATGATAGAAGATGTGGTTATGGCCGCAGCACGGAATTTACGTGGAAGTTGAAGATATGGTGTATAGCTGGTGTATAGCTATCGACTTGGCAAGCATGCGGGGTTTTTAACCCCTGAGACTTCCCCCTTTTCCTGTAACTATTCGGCCAAGATACTGCTCAATCTACGACTTGTCTCCTTTCAAATGCTATCTTTTCCCTGAATCCATAACAAAATTTATTGACTCTCTTGACTAATTTACATGAAGGCATTTTCGGGAGGTCGGTATTTGGTAAGCGGTAATCTCGACAGTTCTTCAGATAGAAAAGGATGCCCTTGAGCTTGTCTCCCATGAGACTTATTTACCTCTAATTTCTGGAAGCGATATTGCCTTTAGTATAAGATTAACTGCAAGATATCCACCGCTCACTACCCCCAGACCGACAGATAGAGATTTTGATTAAACATTTAAAAAAATATCTCAGAGCCTTTATTAATTTTGCTTAAAATAACTGGGCCAATTTTATCCCTAACACGCAGTTCGCGGCTAATAACTATATATCTAAAGCAACTGGTGTGACGGCCAAGCAATTTGATGAAATTGGTGCTATCTCAACGAAAATTTCTTGCGTAGGGAGGAGGAAGAAAGGTGGTGAGGGGGCGGTGCAGAGAAGTAAATAAAACTAGATACAAACAATGCAAACAGACCATGTGCACCGTCACAGAGCCCACTTGCCACTTTGATGCGTGCTTACCTCCTTGCATGAGATGAATCGACTTCTCGTCGAGCATAGTGTCGCCCGTACACCAAATGAAATAGCTAATAATTATGAGAGAGAAAGGGAGCAACTGCGTCGCATGTGTGAGCTTCAAGTATTCTAATGTGTATTTGGTGCCTGCAGACTATTATAGTTGAACGGGACACATATTTTTTTTTTTTTTTTTTAAATATACAGTCAGTTGCTTACTGTAAAGGTTAGCTTCTCTGTGTCTCTTTTCATGTCAATTTGGTCGGAAGCTCCTTAAACAGAATGCTAAAGCTCCTTTCACTACTATAACACATTAATAATATAATTTTAGGAATAAAATTTCATATCTTATTACATAACCTATGGATTTGCTACACTACTATTTAATATATGATAGCCGCTCTAACAGGTTACTTAATCTCTACCCATGCTGACCTAACTGATCTGCGAAGCTTAGCATGGGTAGGTGGGGGCCCAAGCTTTTTTTACCCATGTTTTTACCCACACCAAGCTGAGGAGGATTGCTCTATTGCTTAGTTATTATATAGATAAAGATCTAACTAATGACTAGTTATCCGGGCGCCAGGCCTCGTCTAATATCACGACAAGTATGCATCGCTTCAGATAATGGGCGCTAAATCAGGCAAGGTAAATTGTTTCGCAGGGTCAGAATAAATTTCAAAGTTTAATTGTTGATAAATCACAGGGACAAGACCACACAGACATTTATTCAACAACACAAACTACATACATTAAAGATTGTTTGCCAGTTCATCTAAGTTAATAAACGATAGTAGTAAATCCCAGCCAGAATGCATGTAACACATGTACTCGCTCTTAATTCTGTCTCTTCTTTTTAGGTCTCCAAAGACGCCACCGCGCATGGCCCGATGTGCCTCTAATTGTTTATCCATGACCGGAAATCCATTTTTATTTCTTTTGAAGAGATGGAACCTTCCCTGTGGGCCTGTATAGTTTATAAAAATTCAACAGACTCCTCCATTTTCGAAGACTTCATTGAAGGGGCACTGCATCATTGTGGGAAATGGCCGGAGCTGAAGTTCGTTCATGTTATGGATAATGCCACCTTTCATTGCTCAGAAAGAGTTGAACAATTGTGTTTGCAAGTAAAGATTAAGCTAATATATTTCCTCCTACTCACCAGGTCTGGACCCTAATGAAGAGCTCTTCGCTGGGACTAAAGCTTTTACTTGGCAGTATTGGCGCTCCAACGAGGACAATTTGTCATGGGCTGAACCCATAGAACCTACAAGATAGGTTATGTACAAGAAGGAATCGTTGAATAAGGGAAGAAAGGAAGAGGAAACAAGCGGTAAACAAACAAGGTGGGAAGTCACGTGACATGGATCGAGGGCCAATGGGCCAAAAGGGTCAGTAGGGACAGTAGGGACAATAAGGACAATAGGGACAACGGGGACAATAGGGACAATAGGGACAACGGGGACAATAGGGACAATAGGGACAACGGGGACAGTAGGGACAACAGGGATAATAGGGACATTGGCCCGAGAGGTCAAACGGGCTCTAGCCCTTTACACAATTTTGACCAAAGCTTCGATATGTTCCTTGAGTGGTGTGTTAATACTGTGGGCAAAAGAAGACACAGTACAGAGTGACATTTTCGGAACTCAGATCACCGCTCTCTGGCCCACAGTCTTCCTCTGGCACGCATCTCGAGCCATCCGTCAGTCCCTTATCACCATCGCTTTCCGATGCCTGCAACGTGCGGATTAACTAATTTCCGATCCAGCTAATTATATCCATGTTCTACGGAGATTGCTTCACTGCTTGGACGCGGTCATACTGGACATTCTCTCCTGAGTCCTGACATTAGCTTGGCCAAAGTTACTCAAACAAACATTTTACAATTGAGGGTATCTCAACATGATTTTAGGAAATGTCCCGGGACTCACCATAACTCGACGATAATGGACCCTTGTGATTACAGATGCAATGTTGCTTTTTGGGATGCGGGGTAGCTGGCTGACGTGGTTAGTGGATTTTATATATTGCCTAAAGGCTGATCTCAACTTGGGCTCGGATCTAGATATAAGCATGATTTCAGACTCTGCACTAATATCATGACTCCAACAGCATCCTTTGCCGGCCATAATGCTGGATTCCAGGTTGGTCAAAACACTGGTCAGATCCACAATTACTTCAACCAGACCGATGATTCGAAGGTTAGTGAGTTGTTTAAAGTCCCTGAAAAGGTCAAGAAATAATTTATTTAATAGCAAGGATTGACATTTTCTCTCGAACCTTAGGCCACTAATCCTGAGCTTGATAAGAAGCGAATCGAAGAAGAAAAGGGTGGCCTTCTTCAAGACTCATACCGCTGGGTGCTCAACCATGAAGATTTTCAAAGGTGGAGGGATGTTCCTGACGGTCAGTTGCTGTGGATCAAGGGTGATCCTGGAAAGGGCAAGACAATGTTGATCTGCGGGATTATTGATGAGCTTTCTAAGACCATCGAAGACAATATCAATATTGCCTACTTTTTCTGCCAAGCCAACAACAGTCGAATCAACAGTGCTACAGCAGTTCTGCGAGGACTTATTTATATGCTCGGGAAGCAACAGCCTTCACTTTACACCTATATTCCTACAAGGTTCCTTGACAACGAGAATGGGTGGTTCGAACTCTGTGACGTTTTTCGGGATATACTCAAGGATTCGGCCATTAGAAGCACTTACCTAATAATTGACGCACTCGATGAGTGCACAATCGATCAAGAAAGGCTTCTTAGATTTCTTAAAGAACACTCATCAAGTCATCCACGGGTGAAATGGATTGTGTCGAGCCGTAACTGGCCAAGCATTGAGAAATATCTCGACAGTACAACCGGAATCAGACTTCAGCTTGAGCTCAATGAACACAATTTATCTGCTGCTGTTGACCTCTTTGTCAAGTACAAAGTGGATGAATTATCGAAGAGGAACAAATACCGTATGGAAAAAAGAAAGATTGTTAAGGATCACTTAACAGCAAATGCAAAAGGGACCTTTCTCTGGGTAGCCTTGGTTTGCAAGCAATTAGAAAATGTTCCAGAAAGACATCTACAGAAAAAGCTCAAAGAATTTCCTCCCGGGCTCGATGAGTTCTATCAGCGAATGTTCTGTATTATTAGTAGCCTAAATGATGACGCTGAGCTTTGCATGTCTTTACTTGGAATTATCACGACTGTCTATCGACCGATTACATTAGACGAGTTACTGTCCTATCTCAAATCACAAGACGAAATCACTGGCGATGGTGAGCTGCAGGATATTGTAAGGCTTTGTGGCTCTTTTCTCGTTCTTCGAGAACGCACAATCTCCTTGGTGCATCAGTCCGCTCAAGACTTTCTCCTAAATCGGGTATCTCAAAAAATTTATCCTAATGGAGCCCAAGAGATACACTATTCTATCTTCTCGCAGTCTTTGCAAGCCCTTCACACAACATTGCGACGCGATATATACAACCTCGGTGATCCCGCATTTCCTATGAGTCAGGTTAAACCGCCAGACCCGGACCCTCTAGCTACAGTGCGATATGCATGTGTATACTGGGTAGATCATCTTTATAACTATTTTCGGAGCAAGGAGAATGAACCACTTGAGGATGCTACTTTGCTTGAAGATTTCTTATGTCAGGACTTGGTTTATTGGCTTGAAGCTCTTAGCCTGTCGAGAAGCCTATCAGAAGGAGCTGTGTTGATGCTGAAGCTTGAAGGGTTGTTAAAGGTCGGTATCCTCAAATACCCATATGGAACTACTCTAACTTAACTATAGACAAGAACACAGAATAAACAGTTAACTGACAGGGTTCAAGATGCATACCGATTCATTCTCTATCATAAAGCAATGATAGAGAAATATCCACTCCAAGTACACAGTTCAGCATTAGTCTTTAGCCCTCGGAGCAGCATAACAAGGAATCAATATGAGCAACCAGACTGGATAATTGGTATAGCAAATCTTGAAGAAAGCTGGGGTGCTTGCCTGCAGACCCTCGAGGGCCATAATGGTTCGGTCAACTCTGTAGTCTTCTCGCCTGACTCCCAGCGGCTCGCCTCTGCCTCCAGCGACGAGACCGTCAAGGTGTGGGATACCAGCAGCGGGCAGTGCCTGCACACCCTGGAGGGTTATAATAGTTCGGTCAACTCTGTAGTCTTCTCGCCTGACTCCCAGCAGCTCACCTCTACCTCCTTCGACGAGACCGTTAAGGTGTGGGATGCCAGCAGCGGGCAGTGCCTGCACACCCTGGAGGGTCATAATGGTTTGGTTAGCTCTGTAGTCTTCTCGCCTGACTCCCAGCGGCTCGCCTCTGCCTCCGTCGACGAGACCGTCAAGGTGTGGGATTCCAGCAGCGGGCAGTGCCTGAACACCCTGGAGGGTCATAATGGTTCGGTTATTTCTGTAGTTTTCTCGCCTGACTCCCAGTGGCTCGCCTCTGCCTCCGGCGACGAGACGGTTAAGGTGTGGGATACCAGCAGCGGGCAGTGCCTGCACACCCTGGAGGGTCATAATGGTTGGTTAGCTCTGTAGTCTTCTCGCCTGACTCCCAGGGCTCGCCTCTGCCTCCGCGACGAGACGTCAAGGTTGGGATACCAGCACGGGCAGTGCCTGCACACCCTGGAGGGTCATAATGGTTGGGTCAGCTCTGTAGTCTTCTCGCCTAACTCCCAGCGGCTCGCCTCTGCCTCCTTCGACAAGACCGTCAAGGTGTGGGATTCCAGCAGCGGGCAGTGCCTGAACACCCTGGAGGGTCATAATGGTTCGGTTATTTCTGTAGTTTTCTCGCCTGACTCCCAGTGGCTCGCCTCTGCCTCCGGCGACGAGACGGTCAAGGTGTGGGATACCAGCAGCGGGCAGTGCCTGCACACCCTGGAGGGTCATAATGGTTGTCAGCTCTGTAGTCTTCTCGCCTGACTCCCAGCGGCTCGCCTCTGCCTCCAGCGACCAGACTGTTAAGGTGTGGGATGCCAGCAGCGGGCAGTGCCTGCACATCCTCGAAGGTCATAATGGTTCAGTCTACTCTGTGGTCTTCTCTCCTGACTCACAGCAGCTCGCCTCTGCCTCCTACGACGAGACTGCTAAGGTGTGGGATTCCAGCAGCGGGCAATGCCTGCACACCCTCGACGGTAGTGGCATCATATCTATAAAATTTGACGTCATGAACTCATACCTTGAAACTAATAGAGGCAGGATCAGATTATCTTTACATTCAGGATCGATACCCTCTGAAGCAGATCCTGAAGCACTGTGTTCTCAAGGGATTGGTATAAGCTCTGATAGCACTTGGATCACATGGAATTCAGCGAATCTGCTGCGGTTGCCATCAGTATACGAAATATCGACCTACGCCGTGGCACAGTCATGTGTTTGTATAGGTAATGCATCGGGACGAGTCCTTATACTTAACTTTAACTGTGAGAAGCTTGTCCTTGCTGGAAAGTAATATATATATATATATATATACGAATTACACATTACACTGTGTAAAGAATTTTCCTTACATATTCTCCCCTCTTTTATCTTCCGATCTCCTTACAAAAGGAGGGTATGGGATCAAGGTGATGTTTATACCAACAGTTATTACCACCGCACCATTGGCACGATAAGAACAGGATATATTACCAGATTCCGAGATGCTCAGTCTGCCGAGGTGGCCTGGAACAACACCGAGTGGTTACATAGCAGACCTGGGAAACGACAATAAAGTAGTAAAACCTCGATTTGGTATTATAGTTTACTGAGTCCCGACGGAAGACTTCGACCTGGAAGGGAATAATAAACAAGGAATGGAGAAAATCATGGACAAAAATAAACTTACTAAAAGAGGTTTGCAGGTTGAGGATATCGCATGGCTGAAGAAGAAAGATAGGACTGGGCAGAGCTGGTTCAATGGGTATCTGGCTGAATTTACCAGAGGCAGCAGAATGGATCATTAACAATGGACTTTTTAGTAGGCTAAAGATATACTCTATTAGGAGTGTTGAACCATACTGTACCGAGTTGACCAGAAGCAGTGCCGTTGTTGCCAGCAATTTGGACACTTGTCCTAGTCGTGCAAGGAGCGAGTAAAATGCGGATATTGGGCGGGCGAACACGACTAGTGCTATTGTTTCCCAGGAATAAGACCTAGATGCTCAGACTGCAATGGTAAACAACCTACAGGGGACCGGACGTGCGAGGCGCCTCTAAACCCCAGATTATCCCAATAATATCGAACCTCCGAATCCTACAATTAAACATTATGAAATCCAGTGTGACGGCCAAACAATTTGATGAAATTGGTGCTATCTCAACGAGAATTTCATGCGTAGGGAGGAGAAAGAAAGGTGGTGAGGGGGCGGTGCGGAGAAGTAAATAAAACTAGATACAAACAATCCAAACAGACCATGTGCACCGTCACATCCAGGGCCGGGATAGAAGCCCTAATCAACGACTACCAAAGCCAGAATCTGGATATACTTCTAATTTAGGAGCCACTGATAACCGCACATCGCACCTATATTAACCATAGCGCATAGCGACTCTATCGACTAATATACACCGATAAATTAACTCGATCCCGCAGTCTCTATAAACAGGAGGGTTTCTACATCGTCACATCACCAACTGCGACCATCTGGATGTCGTGGCCATTAAGATCTGGACACCAGAAATCTAATACCTTATTTTTTTGACATATATCCAACTAATAGCACTTTACCAAGAGGTCGAAGCCACCAGCACCCAAAAAGTCCTAGATAAAATCCAAGCGACCATCCAGCAATATTTAAGAAAATAATCGGACAACCAAACTTAACTTAGCGGGTGATTTTAACCGCCACCACCCTGCATGGAGCCATCGCCCGGTATATCACCGTTTTGCGGAACATGCGGAAGACAACTGGCAGAGAAACAGGGACCTAGCATGGCGCTGGCAGCGCACGGAGTTATCTTAAGCATCGCCTTTGTCGCCCTCTTCCCCTGCTTCGCCATTTCAATCCACATCTCGTACGCCAAGACAGTCCCACGGATCCACTCTCCGCTCCAACTTGTCAGTGTCGCTTTTGCCAATACCGGAGTGGGACTAGGAATTTATTTTGGTGTCACCGCGAATAAAATAGGCTCGTGCCATTCAATCATCGGTCTGTTAGTCATGGGCTTCCTCACCTTGTTTCAACTGCTTATGGGCCTGGTTCAGCATATTCATTTCCAGAGGACAGGCGGGAAGAGTCTCTTTACGTATATGCATCGTTGGCTGGGGAGGTTGATAATTGTCCTGGGGATCGTGAACGGAGGAATTGGGTTTTTGGCCACCAAAGATCAGGGTGATGCTGCACCGGCAGGGGCTATTGTTGTGTACTCGGTTGTTGCGGGTGTGGTTGGTGTGGCGTATACCCTTGTTGAGGTCATTCTTCCAGTTCGATCCAAAGCCCACGATGCGCAGAAGGGGTTTTCACCGAGTAAGCTAGCAATGGGATTAAGCTCACAAAGTGTTGATATTAATGGCCACGATATAACTAAACAATCACGCTCTATAATAACCTGTCTGAGATTAGTCTTAACATTAATGTAGCCGTGACCTAACCTAGTGTAAGCCAACATTTGTTTTATTATAATTAAGAAGTGCTCGCAGAGTATGCCCCCTATTAAACTGTCCAGCAGCGTAACTGAACTCGTTTATCTTAGCCAAGAAGATTTGCACGGCTTGGAACAAAAGTTAGATAGAATGAAATATATACAATCCTCAGGATAACAGTGCTCCACCAGCTGTTAATATCTCAGACCGATAACCACAAAAATCCTATTAGCCGGAAGGCTTGGCTGCATATTAAACTACTCGAACATGAATCTGCCAAACCTACGACTTGACACGGTTCCCAGGTTGCACCGTGGATTATTTATAGAGCTTGCTTGTGTAGATGTGTTGCCTTAAGAGGGGGCAAGTGTGATTCCAATATAATATATATTAGTGCTTATTATACCCGTAAGTTTCAGACTTTGTTGCAAGAGCACAGCTAAGTAATAGAGCACAGTGTATCTCTGAACAGACAAATTATTTAAATCCAACCTTCCTCTCTTAAATAAACTCTGGGTCAGTCAGTTCCTTACCAAAATCAAAGATGTCAGAACCTATTCCACAGAACATAATTGATCAAGAGTTTCAAAAGATCAAAGATCTTAGAGAAGTGAGCCTAAATAATGATATAAAATTATATCTTTGAATCTCAGGAATCCTTTAAAACGCAGCCCACATTAAACCCACGGGGCCTCTGGCAAACGACCCTCCTACATTGGGCAGCGGCAGCAGACTGCACCAATATTGTGCAATACCTTGTGAAAAACGGTGCCAATGTTAATATAAAAGACAAAAATAAAAGAAAACCTCTATTCTAGGCTGCCGAGAATTGTGCATTTCAAACTGTGGTTACCTTGGTGCAGAATAGTACAGATGTTAATGCCGAAGATAAAAGCTGGGGGACGCATTTGTTAACATTGATCGAAGCCGGTTCAACAAATACTCTGTCTAAAAAGCAGGATTACTTGAAAATCATTGGATACCTCGAAGAAATGGGAGCACAATACGAGCTCAAGCATTCGTGGTGGGAAAGAACAGTTTGGGCTATTTAGGAGGAAATGCTAAACCTATGGCAGTTGCACCGATTTTGTCGATTGCGTCGATTTTTTAGAGTTAGAAGGGCTTAGATTACTCTCGGTGAAGGTTGCTGAGGTGGTAATAGTGGTGGATTATACCCTGACCTTCTGCTGGTCTCCTACACTAACCCGTGCGGTATTTCCATACAATAGCATATTATTGTACATTATATAGCATACAATATTGCAAGCTAGCTATTATGGTCCCTAATATTAAGATCTGAGGCAGTCTTAGAGCATAGTACCGTCAAAACAACTAACCGCACAAAGAAATATTTTATTGCATACTTGTGGCAGGCTGCATACGCAGTATGTACAGGCATATACAAACAGCTTAGCTGGAATAAAGTACCACGTGCAACCTCACTATAATAGGTCTTTTAATACAGCCTGTGTACCTCAAATACGACGCTGTCCTCCTGGTGCAGTGGTTTTCTCAGTTAAAGTTTCCGGGCTGGGTGGGCCATAACACATATGTCACTGCCAAATCAAACCAAGCTCTTTTTTTCAAAAAAGAAGTCCACAGGACCAGAGCCGCCGGTTGGGTTGTATCTGATATCGGGGGATTTACGGGGGTATGTTCGACATAGACTTAGTAGTACCAGACGGAGACCGAAGGAGTATATACTTCACAAGAGATGAACTTGCAGGATATGTAATTCTCTTGACTTTGTTCCACTTGATGAGATCTCTATGTGTATATGGGAATAGACTAGGGATCTACACTTTGCAGTGATTGGACGATTTTGATTATATCTTAGCATTTGATCAGAGTGCAGGCGTTTTTCTGGATAGTGAATGGTTGGTATACAGTCGACGACGCAAATTTCTCTAGTATTTCTCACCCAACGCTTGTTGGTAAAGCTTTCAATATCTCCTATCATGTGCCAGCATATCTGTATATGTGGAGCTTATGGCTTATATCTCTGGTACTTTACATAGACGTTGGATATTTTCTACGCTCGTTGCAGCATCATCGCCAACTTGCACACTGCAAACGCATTACCGAAGCCAGGGGGAATGTCTCGCAGATCTAGCACTGTGCAAGGACCGTTCTATTTAACAGAGCCATACCCCTCCGCTACGCGCAACCGGCCAGAGCCAGGCGATTTACCAGCCCGAACAGTAAGCCCGCCTGCTCAAGGAGATATTCTCTTCTCCCCTGCCAACGGCCGACCTCAGCGAGCGGATTCGAATACCGTCCTATTGCACTCCTTAACAACATTGAAAAGGTTATGGAGACCGTTATCGCTAACCGCATGGGATTCCTTACCGAGCACTGCCTGCTCCCCGACAATCATTTCGGTGGCCAGCGCGGTCAGGGGACTGAAACAGCACTGCACACAGTTACGGAAATCGTTCTTTCTACATGGAAGCAAGGCCTCATCGCCAAACTCTCTTCCTTAACATCTCTGGGACCTTCGACAACGTTTCCCACGCACGGCTGCTACAGAATCTGCGCAAGCGCAGGGTCCCTGAAGCGATCGTTCGGTGGATTGCCTCCTTCCTGCGTGATAGATATACGGCGCTCGCGCTCCCTGAGTACGCCGCGGGAGAACATGTCCACCGGCATCGCTTAAGATCCCCTTCGTTCCCCATTCTTTATCTGCTTTAAACCCTGATTTAATGGGTGACGGTAGCACCTGCAATAGCGGTTACATCGACGACACCACGATGCTTGCAGTGCGTCCTTCTGAAGAGAACTGCGGTTGTCTCGAAAGAAGTGTCCAGTCCTGCCTCCAGTGGGCCCAAAACGCACGCCTTAGTCTTTGCCCCGGAGAAATTCGCTTTAGTCCACTTTAATTGTCCAGATGCACGCGATTCCTCCACCCCTGAGACCGATAATATGATTCCTAGGCCAGGCGTCCAAGTCAACGACACTGTGCGTCGTCCCCAGTAGGAGGCAAAACTACTGGGCGTGGTGCTAGATCGGCATTTCAACTTCGACATCCATCTTGATAAGGTAGAGAAGGCCTCCAATGGCTTCAGGTGATTTCATCTCTCGGACGTTCAAAATGGAGCCTTGCCGTCAAGGAGAAACGCATGTGCATTGCTCCGCTGGCCGTACACGGCTCGTCTGTCTGGCAGCATCCACGTCTCCATGGCCGGAAGAACGTGCACGATATACAAGTTCATGTTCTGACAGCCATCCAGAGACGAGCCGGACACATTGTAACAAGTACATCTCAAAGAGTGAGCTGTGGCACTGGACCTCCCGTCTCGCGCCAGGTGTATATGGGCCGCGAAACCACCGACACAGTGCCTGCTGCAGAGCTTGCAGGCATCGTCTAGGCCCAGCCTTGTGACGACCCGCGCTTCTATGAAGCCCTGGAGGTGTATACCGACAACCGAAGTGCGCTCCGCTCTCTGCGACGCCCGTCACAAACATCCGGCCAGTACCTGGTCCGGGAAATCGTCACCCTTCTGGAGGAACGCGCAGAGGGGTGGGACAGCGTTCTACTGGATCCCCGGCGCATATGGGAATCCTCGAAAATGAATTTGCCGACAACCAGGCCAAATGGGGTTTTTGTGCAGATCCAGGAGGAGGCCGCGGTCGAGGAGCAGCCAGCATTGGAACTGGAGCTGGGCGGTGTGGCGGCCGCCAGGGACTGGTCCGTGAGGTTGTAGGCGATGCAGGCCGATTGGCAGAGTGATAAGGTGAATTCCGAAAGTAGGACGATAGAACTCACCAACGTGGGGTGCGGGTATTTGCAGGATTCGATGGATTGGCTGGCATCGTGGAGCGGCTGGGTCAAGGACGGGATGAGGCTGAAGAAGAATGTGGGTTGAGACTTTTGGGGGAGGAGGGACAGGAGGGATTGGATGTGGTGGGGACAAGGACAGGTTATGCCACTTGTAGCTTCATTTATCCCAGTGGGTTGCGATGGGGATGGACTGAGATTAATCGATGATTAGAAATAATTCACGTCAATCGATGGACTGCGAGAGAGCGTTTATGTAATTGATTTATATGTGAGACGTATGTGACGACCGAACAACGTAATCAAATTAGTGCTATCTTAACGAGAATTTCAAGCGTAAAGAGGGAAAAGAAAGTGGTGAGGGTGGTGTGGAGATGTAAACAAACCCTGTTCTTTAAAAAAAAAAAAGACAAAATGTAATATACAGTACATAATACTAAGTATACTAGTTATACATACAATACATACAAAGGGAGGGAAAGGAAAATCCAGCAGAATGAATTCAAAAAAGAAAACACCGATACAACTGCCTCTACCCAAATATCCACATCCCATCTATCTCCATGGACTCTTTACTACGTATATCTTCCATAACTATCCTCTACTCTGTGTTACAAAACAAGAGATTGTTTGTGGAGGCTTCATATAGCGAAGCAAACAAATCTGGTGTTTTAGCTAAACATGTATCTGGTCTGACCTCTACATACTTCTCTACCTCCTCCTTATTCAGGCAATCGAATGTCATTAATTTGTATTGCAGATATTATCGATCTAGGTCGTGTTCCATCATTTTCTTCCCCGCGTCTTTCTTCCATAGTTTTTCCGGTCCGGTTACTGATAAAATAGAGGCCTAGATCGAAAACATCCTCGTCAGCCTTGCGCAAGAACAAGGCATAACCGTTTTGGTCAGAGCTTTTAAGCCGCTGCCCAGGAACACATTTAAGGATCCATGATTCATTCTTAAATGATCCTGGGTAGATTTCCAATATGAACTTTGCACCCGCTCTGCCTCTCGAGGTGTTTGACCTGATATTCTCCTACTTCAAAGATGACGATAAGGGCCTATGGTACCGTCTGAGTCTGATCAACCATAACTGGTATGCTGCAGTGACTCCAAGACTCTATCACACGTTCAAGAACAATGGCGACTACAGTGAGAGAGAGCGACTCTGGCAGTTTCTCCAAACCGTCATTGCTTCTCCGGAGCTTGCGGCCCATGTCAAGACGGTGGACCTTCAGCATTGCCTGAAGTATACAGGACCGAAGAGCTTTTGTCTCGCACAGTTTTTATGTTCTAAGTACCAACATACTATCCAGCAGGGAATTGCACGATCGGGGCTCTCAGATCTCCAGGAAAGTCCCCTCAAGCATGCCCTTCTAAATGATGATAGGAGACCCCTTGTTGCTATGATTCTGGCCTTTCTGCCCGCTCTTGAAACTCTCTACATGCATGTCTCCGAACCCGATCCATATCTTCGGGCTATCTTCCCCTATCTTTCCCTGCATTCCCTGAATGGTCCAGGGTCTAACTTGAAGGTCTTCCAGCAGCTCAAACCGCTGTTTCTTGCAGCGGACGAACAGGCTTCAGGGGGTAAAGATCCTATTCGAATAGACGGTGACATACCATTCGTCTACTTTCCCGCGCTGCATGAGTTGAATCTTTTACATGTCAATCTAAATCCCCATGTATTTTCTAGGACGACAAGAATACATCATCCGAACGGGGTTTCCCCGCTCCTATCCAACGTGAGCATTGTCCTCCACAAGGACACAAAACTCGAGGGATTCATGGGCTTCCTCGAATGTATTCCTCACTTGATCAATTTCTCGGTCAGTTTCAGTAATACCCCGGACTCCGAGTGGGCTCCCTACGGCAGAATCGCGCTTTGGAAGCGACTATCTAGATTTGAAAGCTCCCTTCGATCTCTTGATCTCTATGGTATGGGTGAGCCATCGCTCCAGCCAGATACAGACAAGTTCTGCGCGCCAGTGTGGAAATTCTCCGAATTGAAATCACTCTACATTGAGCCTACAGTGCTAGCAGGCAACTGCGTGGATCATAAGCCTCCCGTTCAGCTGATGCATCATCTTCCGGGCGGGTTGAAGCATCTCGGGTTTTACGGCTATAAAAAAGTACGTGGTGATAATCATTCGTCAGTCTCTAGTTTGGAGAGTCAGCTTGAACAATGTGCAATGATGTCATGTCCACCAGAGAGAATCAGTGTTCAGGCGGTTGGTATATCCCTACCCATCCTAAAATTACAGACGGCGTGCAGACAAAAAGGCATTCCTTTAACAAGAAAGCGCCTGGGCCAAGGAGGGTTATATTCGGAATTTGCCCGGTCCAGCTTCAGACACAGCAGGCCGTACCACCCCGGAATGCAGCAGGCCCTCTTGGACATTGCTGGGCATTTGCCACGACAGTAGGCCCATCAATATATGGGTCACTTGTATGTTGCCAATTTGAATATTGGTGATATCTGAAGTAGTACGGAATACATATGGAGGATAATCTGCAATGGCAAGTCGGCCTCTCATGAGCAAGGCGACAACGCAACAGCAATCGATGTGTCCGCGGACGAAACGGTGCGGGATTCTGGTCTCTCTCCCTAGCTGCTATGCTGCGGGGAGAAGATGTTGTCCAGTGAGCCTACAAGTCAGAATAAATGCAATTTGAGGGAACATGAATACTTGTACTCTATGGATAGCATGAGACAGGAAGGTAGAGCAATCACGTTGCAAGAAAGTCGTAATATTTGATAATCTCATTGCATTTAGACAGTACGGAGTGAAACACGCGTCCATGGATGGAGATGCCTAACTGTTTTCAACAAAGTCAAGAAAGAGTTGTGGTGGGGGTCGGAGGCAGCAGAAGGTCATTCGTTGGTGCCTGTGCCTGGATGCCTAGTCCTTAGATAACTAGCCCGGTGGTGGGGGAAATAAACTACGCACTTTTTAGTTTTTAGCACGCCAAGAGTCCTGAAAAAGTACCATTTCAGCCTGCTAACTGTCGAGAAACTCTGGTACAGAGTAGAACAGGGCCAATCCATCCAGGAGATCAAGCTGATCCTCGTATTCTCAAATGTACCCAAGCACCCAAATTCAGTCAACCCAACTCTCCAGCCTTGGAACGTCGGCTAGGATACGAGCCAACACGTAGTCTAACTTACTTTTTTCGGTCGATCATTACTCACTAGAAACGTCCACTTTCTGTACTACGCAAGGCTAGCGAAAACAAACTCAGCAGAGCCGTCTGTATGTCAAATAAAATTAAATGAAACAAAAACCCTGAACGGAGTGTGATGACACTGATAAAGATTATCAGTCTCGTGTTCCGCCACAATGACTAGCCCAGCTCTTGTCATGTTTAGCGTTCCCATCTGGTCCCCCTGAGTATCGAATCGTGGTCCTCGTCCTGAGACTCTGAGTCGAGGCTGTCTTTACCCTGGGTTTGACTCTTTGGCCCCATTCTTGTCGATTTAGTGTCCGTCTAGGGGTGCAAAAAAAAAAAAAAAAAAAAAAAAAAAAAAAAAAAAATGATAAAAAAACATAGTTAAAATCCATATTATTTAAACCACACTTTCTTCCCAATGGGCTGATCTTTATTCATCCAATTTTCTTTCTCTCTCTCTTACTTTTTTAACTATCTATCTCACTTATACTCTCCTTAATACTACTTGCAATTCTATCACAATGGGTACCCCCGCACAAGAACAACAACAAGAACAAAGCCGTGAATGGTCCAATTCATTATGGGGTTGCTGTTCTCCCGCTGGAACATGTACCTCTCTCCTTTCTACGCCCTCAAAGTGCCAGGCTAATAAATCTGATAGGTTTCACCGCGTGTTGCTGTCCCTGTCTTCTCTTTGGAAAGACGCAATCGCGAATGGAAGATCCTGCCCTCAAGGAGTATAGCCATATGAATGGAGACGTATGTCGTATCCTGCCCTACCAGACAATACATGTCCTATAGTTTGTTCATGGAGGAATACAAGAACACTCATAACATATGTTAACAATCTCTAGTGCTGCCTCTTCACCCTCGCAGGCTACTTTGGTCTCAGTGGCATTCTCCTCATGTTGAAGCGCGGTGAAATGCGCAAGCGATTCGGCATCGAAGGGAACGGTTGCACGGATTGTCTGGTGGCGTGCTGCTGTACGTGCTGCGCCCTGGTGCAGCATGAGAAAGAAGTCGAGGCCCAGTCGGAGAAGATGCTGGCCGGAGGATATCAGGCTCCTGCGGCTATGGCGTATCCATCCTAGGTAGCGGGCTACTAGGACTGTCTCGCTCTCTTTGCCTGTGCTATTATTATCACTCCCACGTGTTGGATATTCCGGTGTATGGGATACTCCGATGTATTGGATATTCCGGGCCAGAGTGTAGTTGTGTTAATACGAAGTAGAGTCAGAATACATCTACTTAGAAAATACAGTTTTGATATATCAGCGACAGTTGATACTGTACAAGACACGCTACCTCAACTACCCCTCTTCTATCTATTAATCACCAAACATAACAAGCAAATCCATAACTCTGAGACGCGATATTCGGGGATCACAATCGACCGTTTACACAGTGTTGCGGCTCATGTCCGCACGAATCCGGTTGTAGTCCAGGATTCCCTCAACGCTGCCCACAGCGCTCATGGCGATATCTTGATCCCAGATGCGACGCATGGCGAATTCCATCACGTCCTTCTCGGTGATCCGTCCAATCGTGCGCTCGATGTCCTCGGCGCTCAGACGGCGCCCGGTGGTGATGATCTGGCGGCCAATGTCCTCGGCAACGGCAGTGGTGCCGTCCAGGGACAGGAGGATGGAGGCCTTGAGCTGAGCCTTAGCACGCTCCACCTCGGCGGAAGAAACGTTGAAGCAAATGCGAGACCATTCACGGAGAGTGAAGTGGATCAGGTCGTCAAGGCGGGTCAGGTTCTCTGAAACCATGTAGATACCCCAGAGACTAAACATTTCCATCTAGTCAGCCATATGGCCCCAAACCGACGACCAGAAAAGGGGGGAAACTCACCCGGTATCGCTGTAGCTGGTCGAGAAGCTCATGAAGCTGTTGGCAAGACCATGATGCTCAACAACAGAGCTGAGCTTGCTGCCGAGGTAGGGGGAGTTACCCATGGCACGGTCCCAGTTGCCGACAATAGCCTGGGCGACGAGACCAGTGAAGTAGTCATCATCCTTCCAGCTGACACCCTCAATGGCGAGAGCAATGTGGGCAGAAGGGAGAGTGTCGTCACGGAGACGGACCTCGGATCCGATGAATTCGGGGGTACGCTTCTGCTCGGCAGTGAGAGCCTGGGCCGCAGAGCCAGCAGGCTTGCTGGGGAGGGAACCGAAGTGCTCTTCGGCCAGACGGACGAGCTGCTCATGGGGGATACCACCAGCACCAACCAGGACCATGCGGTCGGCGGTGTAGTTAGTCTTGATGTAGTCAACCAGGTTGTCCCGGTTGATGGTCTGGATGTTCTCCTTGGGGCCCAGGATCGTACGACCGAGGGGCTGGTTCTGGTAAGCAGTGGCGTGGAGGTGATCGAAGACAACCTCCTCCAGCTGCTTGTCAACCTCCTCCTGCTCCCGGAGGATCACATCACGCTCCCGCTCAATAGCACTGGGCTCCAGCTTCGAGTTCTGAAGGATGTCGGCAAGGATGTCAACGGTCTTGGGAACATCGCTGTTGAAGGACTTGGCATAGTAGACGGTGTTTTCTCTCTGCAAATATGGTTAGTGGAGGACCAGACTTTGCTCTCCATCGAATTCCGAGTCGTACCGATGTGTAGGCGTTGAGGTGACCACCCATGTTCTCAATCTCGAGTTCCAATTGGTGCTGGGTCCTCTTGTTGGTGCCCTGGAGTGATATTTTTTGTCAGCTACCTTCTGGGAAGAACGAACGCCTTCCAAAGGACGTACCTTGAAAGCAAGGTGCTCGAGGAAGTGCGCGGTTCCGTTGGTCTTGTCAGTCTCTGCCCGGCTACCAGCATCGATCCAGACGCCAACGGTCGAGGTCTGCGCCCATGGGGAGTGCTCAGTGGCGATCTAAAATGGATTAGCGAGTGAGCGATGCAATTGAGATTACCCATTGCTCATACCGTGAACCCGTTGGAGAGGGTAGTCGACTGGGTGGTGGACGGCAGGGCAACCGGGGAGGCAAAACCACGCTTCACGGGCTGGACAGCCTTCAAGGCAGCCCGACTCCGGAGAGCCTGGTTAAAACTGAATGCTAGGCGCCGGGAGGCCATTGTGCCAGAGGAAAAAGTGGGTGTAGAGGGAAGGGGAGGTATGGAGCAAAGATGCAACCTGGAGATGCGAGGTTGAAGTTCGGGAGTCAAATTGTTCGCCTGCCCGTCAGCCAATCACATGACCCGCTTTTCCAAACCTCTGCTTTCGATCCCGACTGTTTCCTAGCTTTAGCGCTTTTTACTGCGTACTTCAGTCTGCGTCTGCTAGGCTTGTCTATTTCCAATTTCCCTCATTATTTCACCAAGGGATATATAAATGAATAACAATAATAATACCATGTTAATTACTCAAATCTCTGCGCAAACTGTCGGATATTCTCCTCCATGGGAATATCCTCCGAAAACCCCAATTTCAACGCCAGCGCCGGGTTGAAATGCGGTGTCCACGTCTGAACAATCCGATCAATGTCCGCATCAAACTTCTCTTCAACTAACGCCCGTCGTTCTGCTCCCCCGATCTTCTCCAATGCATCCAACATCTCCTGCACACTGACCTTCAATCCCGGCAAATTGACCGACCTAGAGTCGCCAAACGCCTCCTTGGGAATCCCTCTCGCATGGAGCAGATTCCGAACCACCGTGTACGGCGAGCAGATCCAAAGTTCTGTCGTCTTGCTTACAGGGAGAATTGCCTTCTTTCCATTGAATGGCTCGCGAATAATATCGCTTGCAAAACTACTGGCGGCTTGTGTAGGCTTTCCCGCTCGAACTGTCACCGTTGGGAGACGGACAGATCTACCATCTAGGAATCCCCGTCGGGAGTAATCATTAAGTAGTGTCTCCACGATAAGCTTCTGCGATCCGTATGAAGATAAAGGAGCGGGCGGGAAGTTTGTCTCGTCGATGACCAAGCCAGGAGGAGCCAGCCCGTATACTGCCAAGCTGGACGTAAATACAACCTTGACCCCAGGCATAGTAGTACGCAATCGATCCAGGATGTACCGGGTTGAATCAAGATTCACTCGGATGCCTAGCTCGAAGTTGGCTTCGGAGCCGCTAGACATGATCCCGTGAAGAAGGTAGACGGTGTCGAACCGGTGGGTTGAGTTGAATATCTCATCAACAACACTAGGAGCCGTGAGATCGGCCTCTATGCATTCCACGCGCGATGCATGTTGTGTCGCTGAGGCGGGAATGTCAGGCTTGACAATGTCTGTCAGCGTCACTGTAATATTGGGGGAACTCAAAAGAAGGGCAGTAGCTAGTTCCTGCCCCACGTAGCCGTTTGCGCCTGTGATGATTATCGACATGGTGGCTGTAGCAAGGTGGGGATCTCAGAAAAGAACTCAAATGATATTAACAGCCTGAGGGTGTTGGGTCAATGTTTCGACTTCCCATGCGAGTCTCCGAGCCCATTAAATAGTCAGATTCATCCCGAATGACTGCGGGGCCACGTCAAGTGGGAATCTCCCCCACCTTCAGGTTTACAGATGGCCTATGATCCATCATTCCCCAAGATTCTCAGTCATCTTGCACTGACTGACCTGCAACACCGCAACAATTCCGATGGGACACGCAAGTCGGAGAGTAATCCGATTGCCGAGCTACGGCGGAAGTCCGAAAGGTTCCAATCTCTTCCGCTTTTCACTAGGCGATCTCTATTCATACGGATACTGGAATCAAGAGAAAAGAAACCGCGTACCTGGAATATTTTCTGACTCAAACACAAATACATTTATAAGAAAAAAACCTCGAGAAGGGCACAAAAAGAAAGCATGTCAACATATCACGGAACACTTGACGCCAGAAAAGAGCACAGATGAATTAAGACATAAACCAGAGATCAAACGACCATTTTTCTTCATGCAGAACGCTTGTAGATACCAGCAACTATACAGTGGTCACGTTCGAAAGGTTCCAGGGTCAGCTGTTCCTTGGGCTTGATCTTCTCCTCTCTCATCTTCTGGACCTCGCGAGCGAACACCACCTCGGGCTTAGCCGTACTGTCAATACAGTTGGCCTTGATACTAACGATGACACCACCCTCGGCCTTGAGGAAGAGATGTGCGTTGAGACCCACGATACGGGCCTGGTCGGGCTGGGCAACGTCGGCGAAGATGACATCGACCATGGGCACAAGCATACGGTAGCGAAGGGGATGTCTGGCATCCTCGACGATGGGGATGACATTCGTGCGGTGGGTGGCCATGCCGATAAGGTCACGGCCGGAACGATGAGAGAACTCAACGGCGTAGACGTTTCCAGTAGGTCCGACGATATCAGCAACGTGACTGACCGAGGTACCGCTGGCGGATCCAAGATACAGGACCTTAGCACCAGGCTTCATGTAGATATCATCCAGACCACCCAGGATACCAGCAGCAAGCTTGGAACGGAAGGGGTTCCAGACACGGTATTCGGTCTTGGTCACAGTGCCATCTTCCTCGGCGGGGGACTCGACAGAAATGCGCTTCTCTCCGTAGACAGCCTCTCCGGGGGTCAAGTTCTTGGTGACGAGCAGATCTTCCTTACCACCACGGGCAACGAAGACACCGGCGTGACGGTGGGGTTCCTACAACACAACCCCATGTTAGTATTCCTGTGGTATTTGCAACACCCAGGTATTGACAACACTTACAATGATGACCTTAGCACCACCTTTGGCGCCTTGAGCTCCGCCGCGACCGCCGCCGCGACCACCACGGCCACGAGCTCCTCCACGAGGGCCTCCACGACCACCACCGCGGCCACCACCACGGCCACCGCCGCGAGAAGCACTTCCGAGTCCGCCTACAGATGGGGAACAAATTTAAGTTAGCAACCTCCGATTTCTCTTCAGGACACCACAGGCTTGATGTATATCGCAGGGGTCGCCGTCACAGCACGAGAGATCTGGCAAGAAGCACATGCACAGATATCATGACCAAATTTGGAACGACAAAGCTGGATACCGATAGGCCTGCTTACGGTCCCAAGCAGGACTAATTGGTGAACAAACCTCGACCACCACGACCACCACCTCCACCACGGGGGGCACCACGTCCACCGCGACCAGGAGGTCCACCACGTCCTCTAGGGGCACCGAAGGCCATTATGTTATGTGAATCGAATTTGATTGAAAGGGTGTGGGATTAAAGTACTCTCGGTTGCTACACTGGCAACGGAGAACAGTATTTTGAGGGAAAAAAAAAAATCGTTACAGGGAATTGATTTGTTCGGTTGCGGCAGGGCCGTGAATCGCAAGTACCACAGATACTTGACGAAACAGTTTTTGTTAAAAAAAAAAAAAAAAAAAAATATCGCGCCCACACTGCTTATCAGTGTTCGGTCGAGGCCGTGCTGCTCGTCGTTGTTGCGGTCGAGATTTTTCAAAGAGAGTCGGGGATCTTTGAAAATCAGAATGCGCTAAGCCACATCCAGACTAGTGCAATTATGCCGGGATAGCGAGATCACCTGACTTGTCCAAGCCCTGCTCCAATTGGCTCCTGTCATCTGTCGATGCAATAGTGACTGCCATTAGGTACGTGAGATTTCACGGATCGGGACTTGCAAGGGTGGAAGATACTAATAACTGGATATAGTATTTGTGAATCATGTTTGTCATGCCAAGCCATCTCTACATCCTAACAATGTACAGGTGGTAACTGAAAACGCCGAATATATATCCCGTGAAACGCTGCATAACCCCAAATACACTGCGGCTGATTACTTCCCAAAAAAATAATAATTTGCCGCATACTGAACAGTAAATTCCGACGGCACGTCCTTGCATGTCTTTGGTGGTTGCCCTGCTGCTGTGTCTACCCGATAGACACTCCTGTAGCGGCCAACCGTTCCATTGATGGCAGAAAGATAGAGCCATGCAACGGCTCCATTGCCACCCTTTATCGCACCGGAAGGTGCGTCAATTCCAGCCACCTTCTTTGTATATGCAATTCCGCGTCGCGTCGATGGAGTATCAAGATTAAAGACAGGCGTTGGTCCCTTGAAGTAGTGGTGCCCTAATAGATCGATATTTGCTGGCGGAAGAGGACCTGCCTCACTGTCTGGTAGCTGCATCTTGTACACTATGCCCGGTAGTATCTCCATCATGTCCGGGTAGCTTGCTGCAATGCAGGTGGCATTATATAAACGAGCAACAGCGCCAACAGCTTCAGGGGCTGAGTCGGAGGTCGAGGATGCACAGCTATAGTTCTACCTTATCGTCAGCTTGGGTTCAAAAGATATGGGGGCCTTCCGCTCCTTGACATACCTGTGTGCCACGACCTACTGCAACATAGAGAGGCTTCTGACCAGAAGGGGAGGGCAACTCCGAAGCAAACGAGGGTAGCTTGATTTTGGATGTATCACACGTTGTTGAAGGACTGAAGAGATCTGTAGCCTTCTCAATGTGCTTGCTCACTCTTCCAAGGAACTCCGCCATATCATCGGAATAGTCGTATGCGTGGTCAAAGAAAGTCGGTGCCGCATTAGACATTGCTACCAGACAAGTAGCAACTAGTAGAATTGGACGCATGCTGGACGCTCTATCCTATCCCACAGACAACCACCGGCAGCAGAGGAATGTATCTTGGCAAGAAAACTCAATATATCAAGGAAAACAATAAGCCAAGTAAAGTCCGTCTATGACACCAATGAAAATCCCCCTATTATTCAACGAAAATAGAAGAGAAACCAACAAGTCTTTCGTCTTAGCAGATCGAAGAAGAAGGGAGAGCAAAAGAGGGCGGGTAAGTGGTGGCAGAGAGGAGCTGAGATATAACGCAGGATGCCCCCAGTTGGAAGAGCTCATATATTAATACCAAAGACACATCACGCCTATCCATGGTAGCAATCAGTATGGATTCAAATTATAGAAACCGCTATCTTGCATTCGAAACCCGAAATGTGCGAAGTATAAACAGCACGAAATCCCTGATGCCGCCAGTGCAAGACATAAAAGATCGCATATATTATTGGATGTTGGTATGCGCTGGCTGGAATCCTCCAGGCTTCACGGCATATCTCCATGTCGGTGTACTACACGAAACATACAGGTTTTAGCCAGCGGTTGATACTCCTGAAGAATAGCCCTGCTGATACGATGATTGGTGCGCTGACTAGCGTAGTTTGGTTGTACCTTAGGGAATGCCAGTGGAGAAGACTAGAAAACACCCATTCGCTTAGGCTGCGTTGGAATACCCCGATTGCTGTCGAGATCTAATAATAACCATGACGGCGCTTGGGGATTACCGATGGTGGTTAGCGTGCAGAAGAGAATCTCGGGGGTTTTACACCCCCCTGGTTGGAACTAAGATCGTATGCCTTGGTGAGAAGTGGGGCTGGGTATTAATAGTACACAACCGGGCATTGAGCTCATTCTATAATATTGCCCGTCAAGCAAATGAGGTTGATCCCAACTCCTAGAAGGAAGCTGTGAGGTAAACCACATATAGGAGTTTTTTTACCGTAAAAGGCAAAACAGTTGCACAGCAAGCGCCCGGGTGGTCTAGTGGTATGATTCTCGCTTAGGGATAACCCCAAGCACATATGCGAGAGGTCCCGCGTTCGATCCGCGGCTCGGGCCATTTCACTTTTTGTTTTTACCAAACTCTCACACTCTCCGTATTCTACATCTATTTATTTATTTATTTTTAATATTTCTAGAGGCGTCTTCTCTGAAATATGTAGCAGTTATGTCTCTGTTCCTCCTTGTAAATCTCTTGTTCGTCGTTGTGGACAATATTTTGTCGAATGTGCATTAATTCAAAAGAATCTCAGGCAGCGTTAGCAAGGCTGTTGGTATTTGTAGAGATGGTTATATGCATGGCTCTCAAGCCTGGTTCCTAATAGAAGCACCGAGCCAACAAAAATTGCTACAGTGACAATGCAAAATCAAGTATATATTCTGTACAGGTACATTAATAATATAAAAGAAAGTGAATCATAACCATAACAATCAAACGCCTATCAGAAAGACTGGCCAAACCCTCCAGAGTGATACAATGCATCGTGCCACATTCACCCGGCATGATTGAAACCTTCTTGCTGCCAATCATCCCCGTGTACCTGCTCTCCACTGCTATAGCCACTACCACTTCCAGCTCCAGTCCCACCAACCACAGCAGCGGTCGCCAAATTCGCGCTATGTTTTTCTATGTCCATGGCGCTCATCACGTACAACATGCTGAAGAGAAGTATGTGGATCGCAAGGCAATACCCAGCAAAGAGGTTGCGACTGGTTCGATTGGCGAGGATAATTCGCGTGAGAGAGAAGACAATTCGTTCAGGTAAACTCATTCGCTTATATGCACGCGTCGACTCACGACCTCGGAACGCGGCAAATGGAGAGATTTGCGCCTCATAAGCAGACTGGTAGCGGTCAAGTGAATGCCCTGACGGTGTATCTGTAGAGAGGTGAACAGAGGATGCACTCGGCCTACTACCATAGGCAGATGCAGATGTTGACGCCCCAGGACCACGGTTATACGTTGACACATAACGTGTCTTCTCATAGAGGCTGAGGTTATCCTTCTGGAGAGATGAAATCTCCTGCCTCAGGGACTTGACTGTGTCGTACATCTGTGACAGTTCTTCTTCCAACTCAGTATTCTTCTTTTTAAACCGATCCCGCTGTGCCTGTATCATGGGCATGATGCCAGAGCCGCCTCCAACAGGCTCACCTGCCCGGATTAAATCCATTGTGTTAGCAGAATTTGCCGACTGCTCGAAGCCTGAAATGATGGACGATGTGGGCGACACCCCTCCCCTTCGAGATGAGTGATACTTCGAGGTGTAGGTGCCGGCAACTGACATGGCCGCCGACGGGAAGGAATTTGCAGCTTCTTGCTGTACGTTGAGGAGATCATTCTCCAACGTTGTTGAGAGCTTCTGGGATTTTTCTAATTCTCCCTTAGTGGTGGAAAGGTCTTCGCGAAGAGTTTCAAGTTGCCCTTGAAGGTCACGATGTGACACCCGAAGAAGAGTGAGCTCATCAGTAAGTTTCTTGTTTCTGGCCAACAGGAGCTGCTCCAAAGAGTTGTTATTCGAACCCTCTTTGGGCTTGGCAGCGGCGCCGTTGGGAGCATTCGTAGTATCCATCAGATCCCCAACATCGTCATCACCCGCCGAGAATTCAATAGACTTGGCAGAAAATAAAAATTAATATCTATCAGATATTCCTGTGTAGGACCACTTACCTTAATCATCTCCAGCTCGCGGCGGATGTCTTCATAATCAGCCACTTTATCCAACCTTGTTCGTAGCTCGTCCCTCTCAGAAGTGACTATAGCGTGCTGTCTCTCTGACTGGGATATCCTAGACTCCCACAAATGTCGCTCAGAATCTTTATCAAACCGTGCTGCGTCTAATTTACGCAGCAAGGATGAGTTTTCTGATTGGAGGCGAAGGTATGCGGGATCGTCTTCGACGGACGTAGTCTGCTCTGGCCGCGAGTGCGATACTGCCTGAGCCAGCTCAAGCATCAACTGTTCATTGCGCGCCTCTACCTCTGCTAGTCTGAGGCTAGCCTTTTCCAAATCGGCAGACACCAGCTCTAATTCTGCAGCAGTAGCACCCTCGTGCGAGCCGTTACCGCTATCATCCTCCTGGCCAAGGCGTTGCGATACCTCATAGCTTGCCTTTAGCTCCTTCAACAGACGTTCTTGATTATCGACCTTTTCTTCCAGGCCCTTTTCTTTTGCGGTCCAGTTATTGGACTTCTCCGACAACACAGCGGACCACGAATTCTCAATCTCTTTAATTTTCGCCTCTTGGTTCTCCTCCAATCTCCTCTTCGCAGCCCGTTCCTCTTGCAGTCGCTTTTCCGTATCCTCTAGTTGGGAGGTAAGTCGGTCCACAGATCCTTGTAATTGATCCCGCTCGGAAGTCAATCTAGGAACTGTCTCTTCGGAATGAACGAGGGAATCCACCGATGTCTCAAGAAGCGGGTAAGGGTCGGGAGCTTCGGATAGGGACGAGTATAGCTGGAGGAAGGCAGATGACGATGATTTACCCTGGTTTGTCAAGAGGTCGATGAATCCCTGGTAGGCTACCAGTGAGAGTGTCAGCTTGCGCAGCGGAATGTTCCGGATATAGAGTGCAAACCTTTGAGGAGTCCTTTGTATTCAGTAAGTTTAGCCGCATCATCGAGTTTTCGAAAATCTTTCGTCTTCTGGGCCAAGTCTTTCCTCTGGACGAGTGCATCACGCTGCTGGGAGACGATGTCTGAAGCGGTGCCATCCAATTTCGCGATGGTGTTGGTTAGGTCGATTCCTAATCAGAATTAGATGGATCTTACCATATCACACCACGATAATGGATCGCTTCAGGAAACATACCTCTCCAGGCCGCAATAGCACGTTGGAACTTGTTCGCACCCTCGGGGAGCTTTCCGGTGTTGTCCTTTTCGGAGTCGTGTCCACCTTCCGGCATCATACCCTCCGTGATATGAAACGAATCCATTCTTGGATATTAAAAGATTTTGCCTCCCAGTCTAGAACACTCAGAACAGCAACCCCCATCGAAAGAAAAGAGCCAAGGACCTTCAGTACCACAACAGAGAAAGAACCACTCGACCAGGCCACTTCATGCGATACGGAGGCCGAAGGTCGGGCCGAGGATGTTCCGACCGCGTAAGCTGTCAGTCTACTGTGATTAGAAAAAAGTACTCTGCCACTCTGCTTTTACTCCACAGCAGGATCATACCCTTCTTACCGCTCATGCGAGAGAGTCTCTTATCTATTATATTGACAATGGTTAAAGAGAGAGGGAAGCAGAATGCTGATATGCGGACTTCCTCTATAGCAAATGGATATATTCGCTGAGCTAGTCGACAGCAGGATCACTGGAAAGTTGGAAGTCTTCTGATGAATTCTTTTCTCTTCGAAGAGGATTTTGCATGACTACTCAAGGTAGCCTTGTGGTACTACATCTATGCTATACACTACGTTATCAATACCTATACCTAGCTATTGCTTTCATGCTTGCCAGCCACCCTCTGTAGGTTCGGGGGCATTAACTTAGACTTAATGGCTCTCGTATGTGCTGTTTGCAGACATTATGGTACATTCATAGGCCACGGGGTAGGTACTGGAGACATCAGCACAGTGGTGGGATGTTGTCACCGATTGCCTTCTCTCCTGAAACATTCATGACTAGGCTTATCAAGTCAAATATTTAATGAGAAAGGCAAGCCCTCTTCCTCGATGGTCTAACGGTCATGATTTCCGCTTGTCATCTCAGAGGAGAACAAGCGCGGGAGACCTGGGTTCGACTCCCAGTCGGGGAGAAACTTTTTAGCTTTCAGATTGGTGTGGTATTTAATTATTATTTATTATATCTATCTATCCTCTGGGATGCACTTTTTTTTAACCCCTTTTTGTAGAATAATAAATAGATCGTATCAAATATTGTCAAGGTCGAGCACGCCCGAGCCCAGTCTGAGGGGGTAGTAATGTCAAGGGTTGAACCCAATATAATGCTCAATCAAGCATGGCCTTCGCTCCTATATAGGGCGCTAGATGCGACTGATCGGAGATCAGTCATCTTGTACCTTTTTATATGGTCAAGTGGCTTTATCTCTACTAGCGCAGAGACAACCAAACCATCACAAGTAGTCTTCCGAATGCTGACAGACAGAACCAACACCTGTATGGACAACACACTAGGTGGGGACTAAATATACTTAGAAATATTAATTAGTCAATAAATACATTGTTGCTATACCTTGGTGCAGTAAAACCCGGTTAAATGCAATCATTTTAGACCGCCTTTCCGGATGCATTTAGAGGAGTATTGCATATATCAAGTTGCAATACAAAAATATATATTTTTTTTAATTTTTTCAAACATTCAATATATTATACTCAAAAAAAAAAAGACCGAATATCACTTTGATACTGCCTTTCACCCTTCTTTTGCAATAGAACCCCTTCATGACGCTGCAAAAGTTGAATAAGATCCCGATTTCCATCATTTTGTTGCTCTTCAAAGAGACGAAGCTTATATAAAGCGCCCAAAGCGTCAGAAACAGTTATCCGTGGTAGAACTTGGTATTCTTCATCATTTTCATCTGAATCAACCTCATTATCTGCACCATACTGAGCTATAATAAACTTATCTAAGTCAGATAAGTCGTCAGTAATAGCTTCACTGGCTGGATTCAAAAACTGGTTGATATTCATAAGGTCCTGTATATTATTCGTGGACTTCAAATGCTCAAGACCTTTTTGAATATCCGAAAGAAGCTTTATATCATGAATATCTTCATGATCTTCAGCAAAAAAAGCCTTTTTAAAGCAGTTTTGAATAGCTTTGTCAGGGATATCAATATTCCACGCCTGAATTGCCCAACGAATGGCATGTACAAGCGTCATTGTGGCCACTGGATCAAAGCCACGGTCAAATTCCATCATCATATAAAGTAGCCATTGTCTTTTCCAGTATGTTTTCCAAGTATAAATAATTCCTTGGTCAAGCGGCTGGTATTTGGCGGTTGAATTGGCTGGAAGCCATATAATTAAAGTGTTTTGAAGCTGCATTTCAATCTTTTCAACAGCTGACTCATGTGCAGAAAAATTATCAAGCAAAAGAACCACTTTTCTACCAGTCATCTTTGTATCAAACCAGCGAAGAAATTCTTCAAAGATATTGGTGGTCATCCAGGCCTTTTTATTATGCCTCCAAATACAACCTAAATTCTCAATTTTTATACCAGATGCAGCAAAAGATTTAGGCCTTTTTGCAGTGCCAATAATCCAAAGAGGAAGACGTTCAGACCCATCAGAATTAGCACATGCTAATACACTAATCCGTGCTTTATTCTTTTTCCTTCCTGGAAGACTTCGCGTTGTAAGACTGGTATCCGGAAGCAATCTCCAATATAAGCCGGTTTCATCTGCATTGTAAATATCACAAGGATTGTATTTTGAAAGCGCTTGCCGAATTTTAACCATTTGTGACTCTGTATCGGTTGAAACGCTGGCTAATTCTCCATGTTTTTTATTTGAACGAATATTATGACGGCCTTGAAAGCCACGGAGCCAGCCATTACTAAACTGAGGCATTTTGCTTCAGGATAGAAAAGAGGCCAAAATTGACGAGCTTTTTCCCGTATAATCTCTTGTGATATAGCTATCTGGTATTCTGCACGCTTAGCCTACTCATAAAGCCCCTTTTATAGCTCTGGCCAGTGTTCTATTCGAGTCCGTTTATAGTCTAGCATGTGATCTTCGATTTCGTGGTCAAGGAAAGCAAATTTTGAGGAGAGCGTTCGAAAGATGGTGGAAGGATCAACCCGGCGTCGATATATCTCTTCATATCAAGGGCTGAACCCGTAGAGCCTATGAGATAGGTTATGTACAAAAAGGAATCGTTGAAGAAGGGAAGAAAGGAAGAGGAAAATGAGCGGTAAACAAACAATGTGTAAAGGTCACGTGATATGGATCGAAGGCCGATAGACCAAAGGTGCCAACAGGGCCAAAAGGGACAATAGGGACAGTAGGGACAATAGGGAAAACAGGGATAATAGGGACATTGGCCCGAGAGGTCAAATGGGCTCCAGCCCTTTACACTTCAAACCACTTTTGAAGTGCTAAATTATTTAGATATGGCTTTAATTTGTGTTGAGCTCGTAGAGCAGCGCGTTGGCGGTTGGTCATTGATAGCTTTGGCATCGTGGAAGGGAGGAGGTTGAAATAGCGCTATATAAGATTAAAATTAGCCTTGTTGGCACTCTTATAAATGCAATTTTATATGAGGAAGATGAAGCTCGATTGCATCTTGTAGATAATGGAGTATAATGCAATTTTTTTACGGGAAATCAAATTGGCCACCGTGGCCATTTGCATTTAGTGGAGGATTGCAAATAAGGAGGTTGCATTTAACCGGGTTATACTGGTGTACTGGCCTGCCTGCTCTATATTGTCCTGTTTGTAAGACACTATACTTGGCAACCTACATACTACAAGCTTCTTTCACACAATTTAACCTAAGAAGAGGTTAAAAAAAGAACAATAAACTCCAAAAGAAATCTCCCCGACTGGGAGTCGAACCCAGGTCTCCCGCGCTTGTTCTCAAGCGAGTGACAAGCGGAAATCATGACCGTTAGACCATCGAGGAAAGGAGGTATCATTGTTTTTAACATTTGATATCATGAAGCACAGCTACTTAGATAAGTGTTGAGCTGTTTTAGCTACCCCAGCTCTGATACCCCCCGAAAGGCATGCCCGGACACTTCGCTAACCATATGACTTCCACAAAAATTATTTCAAAGCAATGGGAGCACACACTCGACCGAAACATCTCTGCGGTAGCATTATTTTGGTTTTCCTAGATGGTAGCTTTCAAGAAAACACCGCCACTTAATCTCATTCGATATGTCGAAGAATGCAGCTTGAGCATTTTGAACCCTCGCTGTGAGCTGTGTAATATATTTATATCTATTAATACCCTACTAGAGCCTTGTTATAAGGATACCTTGAATAAGCTATAGTCTGCTACATCATATCGAGTATATCAGACCCACCATGGTTTTTTCGTATGGCCAGAAGTGTTACGGAGACCTTTAGGTTTACGGGTTTTCTCCAGCAACCAGAATCACAATTGCTGAAGGAGAACCTCAGATAGCAAGTCGCCACTAAGGACCTAATGCAGAGAATGCCTTAATTCACATACCACCAAGTCATCCTGAAAAAACAGATACAGAGTGGAGGACCTAATAGTTCACCCTTCCCTACATCTAGAAACAATTGATATTTCCTATTGCTTTCTGTGCCATGTAGGCGGCTAACCGGGAGTATAGAACTTTCCCCGGGAGAAACCAAGATACTGTCAATATTCTAGAGAGTTATGCTGGCCACGTAGTCATGTTCCCAACTGAAATTTTTTTTTTTTTTTTTTTTTTGGATTTTGATTCCAATATCGAAGTCACAACAAAGGTGTTCATCTCATGGAAATGGACGGGGACTGATCGACTCATATAGCAAAGAAGCACACAGGCAAAATCAGCCTCTACCAAAGAATGCCAACTAGTACTCCTCATCAGGAGGGAACGAAAATGAAATTAAATATAACAAAACTAAAAAGACTAACTTCTCCCCGACTGGGAGTCGAACCCAGGTCTCCCGCGCTCGTTCTCAATCGAGTGACAAGCGGAAATCATGACCGTTAGACCATCGAGGACTTCTGGAGCTCAAGAAAGAATTCGGATATTATGAACCAAAAGATAACTAAGAACTTGGAACTTCGCTTGTTTATTCATATGCTTCATCTTTGCTCCATAGGAATGCTCTTGGTCTTATAATTAGAGGAGAGGGAAGTTCCAAACAACCTATTCAGCAAACAGCTGTAATAGTTAAGGCTGCTGTGTTGACGTAGCAGATGACTCAGCAAGCTTGCCTCAGGCGAAGCTCTCCGGACCTTCCCTCCGCATCCGCAGGAACCATACCATCTCGCATGAGACACCAGAGCTGGCCTCACAATGGTGTCTGAGGACGACGGCGCTGGTCCCCGCAAAAGGCGGAGGATCACCCCTCCTAAAGCAGCTCCTTATATGCTCCGACCACTACTTGACCAAGTACCTCTAACGCCCGACGATCCCAACGATGACATCCACATCACCAGTGTCGAGTATTGGAGTGAGCGTCGCCTCTTCGCAACTATTTAGTTTGTCCCCCGATAGTGCTAACATTGACCACCGCCAGATGACAACCTGTATATCGGAACCTCTACTGCCGAGATATTACACTTTGTTTGCCTTCCTTCAGACCCTTCGGACAACGCAAACGAGTCATCCTTCATTCTAGCCTCAAGACTCCCCATTCCTTTCTCTCGGACCGCGACAACCCCCCTCAAGCCTCAAGGAGTTCAGCAAATTGTTCTTCTTCCAGCCGTGAACAAGGCATGTGTGCTCTGCAATGGGACCGTTACCTTCTATATGCTACCAGAGCTCAGCCCCGCGTTCAGTAACACCAAAGTCAACAACTGTCACTGGATTGGAGGTCTTGATCTAAACGCGGTCCCTGATGATCATGGAGTTCCAGTGATTATGGTCGCTACCCAGAATAAAATCATGCTAGTGCAGCTAGGCGACAGAGCGCGGTGTATAAGAAACATCGAGTTTCCCGGATGCTTAGAGGCATCACGCCGAGGGATAATCGCCTGTGCCGCAGATGGACACAATTACTCATTGCTCGATGTGGAACATCAGCAGAAGATACCCCTTTTTCCCATATCCTTTTTAAATGAGGCCTTCGAACCCGGCCGTGTGGAAGATATGCCGTCGTCTTCACCACATCCGTTTCCCAATTCTCTTCCGACCGAGGGCCACTCACGTAACAGAAGTTCCAGTTTAAATACACTAGCGGGTATGCTGCAGCCGAACCACCAAGCAATCTCGCAAGATCGGTCAAGCTCCGTAACACCTGAGCTCTCTCCTGATTCTGGGACTCCAAGCCGATCTCGTTCAAGAGAGCGAGACACGAGTCCTTCCCCTAGAATATCTTCTGAAAATGCGGCTCGTACTTCTTCCAGCCCTAGTGATGACCTGAAACCGCTCCCTCCTCTACCAAAACAGCCTTCAACGCAGCTGAAACCTCATGTTCTTTCCCCAACTCCATCCGAATTCTTATTGGTAAGGGGCACGGATACAACAGAGCCGGGCGTTGGGATGTTTGTCAATATGGATGGTGATGTAGACCGCGGCACTATTACTTTCCATAGGTATCCAGAATCAATCGTCATCGACAAAGGCGACGAGAATAATTTGATCAACCCATCCGATGATACCCGCGACGAACTTATACTTGCAGTCATTGGAACGAAGCAGGACGGAAAACCACACAAATTCATCGAAGTGCAGCTGTGGGATGCAGATCCAGGTGAAGCTGAAGAACACAAAAGCTGGGTAGAGATACCGTTCACCCACAGTACACCGTCACCCCCGGTTGGTCTCTGCCATACCATGAGCCCTAGTCAACTTGAAATAGGTGAACTGGGTAGGGTAATGCAAATGGTTCGCTTTAAGACGCCATCACTATCTCCTCATGTCCCGGCAACTGACCCGAGGACTCAAGCGTCTATAGAGCAGCTCCAGAAAGAGAAGGAATTATTTGAGCCTCAGGAGCTGACCGACTTAGACGGATCAAAGAAAGGAGATACATCAGGGCGCAGCTGGGAAGCGGAGCGAAATGCTGAAGAGAGAAAGATCGCCCGTCATTTAGGGAAATCTCAAAGCAGCCTTGTTATGTGGGCAGGTAGCACAATATGGCGAGTGGTCAAAAATCCATTAACAGCCCAGCTTGACGAAGCGCTGCAGAACGCCCAAGAACTAGTTGACGGTGGGCATAGGGCCTTGAATCGAAACGCTATCACGGATATCATTGATTTTGTTCGGGATGCAGAACCCAGGTCAGAAGCGGAGTTTCTGGGATTGAACTATATAAAGCAGAAGGCGAGCATGTTGCTCTTTGGCGACCTTATCTTCATGGATTCCAAATCCCGACATGAGTCGACCATCCAGGCCACGGAAAATGCGCTTGTAACTGGAAGTTTAGACCCTCGGCTAGCTTTGTTACTGGTTCCTCTCCTTCGCTGCGAGGTCTTACAGGGCCCTCAGGGAATTTGGGTCCATGCTGGGCTCGCAGAGATTGCGGAAGCCTACGTCCAAATGAAGGAAAGGGAGGAAAACATGATAAGTTCTACTGCATTTGACAGCGACATCATGGATATGGTCAAGCGTTTCCTGTTTTCATGGCAACAGAAGCGAGGGTATGAAAGCATTACAGATAAAACTTATATCTTTGACAGCGTTGACGGGGCCCTATTGCATCTGCTTTTAGAGCAAGACTCAAACATGACAACAGAGCGTTACCCTTCCTCTCCAGTTCGAGCAGAGCTAAACCGACTAGTTGACGGCTGGAAAGGTAATTTTGAACGGGCAGTTACACTGCTGGAAAACTACAAGCGACTTTTTGTCCTCAGTCGTCTGTATCAAAGCCAGAAAATGTCCCGAAATGTGCTCAAGACATGGCGGCGGATCATCGAAGGTGAGAATGATTCTGGTGGCGAGGTCTCTCCTGCAGGCATCGAGGCACAGATGCGCCGGTACTTGGTGAAGATCAAAGACGCGCAGCTTGTGGAGGAGTACGGATCCTGGCTAGCCCAGCGGAACCCCTATCTTGGGATTCAGGTTTTTGCAGATCATGCAAGCCGGGTCAAACTAGAGCCCGCGGGCGTTGTTGGCTTGCTCAAGGAGCGGGCTCCCAACGCGGTTCAAGAGTATCTGGAGCATCTTGTCTTTTCGAAAAATGTGAGTAAACCACCAGACTTATATATATCTCTTCTATCTAACTCCTAGTGTCTCAGTTAATGCAATATGCGGACGACCTTCTGTCCTATTATCTTGATACCGTGCTCTCCGTCCTAGAGTCCTCGCCGGCTGCGCGAGCGTCACTTACAGAATCATACTCTACTTATCGCGCCCTACAACCACCCAAACCAACTTACATGAACTTCATCACCGAAAACACACCCTCCGAGCCGTGGTGGCAGTCCCGTCTACGACTCCTTCAGCTTCTTGGCGGCGGCAGTAGCAGTCAATTCTCTTCCACGCCTACACCTACCCTCACGTACTCTATCCCAGCTGTTCTTGCGCGAATCGAACCTTTCCAGAACGAACTAGTTTCGGAATCCGTTATTCTCGATGGGCTGCAGGGCCGCCACCGTGAAGCTCTGCGTCTCCTCACCCATGGCCTCGGTGACTATGACTCTGCGGTACGATACTGTCTTTTAGGGGGCCCGCGAAGCACCAGCGCTACGGGTGCGCTGACTGAGTTCGCTGAGCATTCGCTCCAATCCGAACTTTTCGGATACCTGCTCGACGAATTCCTGCGGATAGAAGACATGTCGGAGCGTCTGGATCGAACTAGCGACCTTCTCGCTCGGTTCGCATCGTGGTTCGACGTCAGTGAAGTCCTCCGGCTTATCCCCGATGACTGGAGTGTCGACATCCTGAGCGGCTTCCTTGCCCATGTTTTCCGGATGCTAGTGACGCAGTCTCGCGAGACACGGATCGAACGGGCTCTCAGCGCGAGTCTGAACCTACGAGTTGGCGCGGAGTACATCGAAGGAGTGGAGAAGGTCGGAGGCTGGGTGGAGGATGGAGATGGAGTACGCCAACTGAAGGCGCCTCCTTCGGGAACAGTCGAGGGGAGCGACTTTGGGGATATGGTTGAAGCAGGGGATATGAATCGTTAATTGTACCAAGACGGACATGATTAATACCATTGGCAGTACATACATATATGATGAATATAACGAGATGCAATACGAAGACTCCTACATGTATGCACATATAACAGCAGCACCTGACCGGCCAGGTCACTCTCCCGATGCAATCAATTAATCTAATCTGGCTCTACACCGGCAGGCTGTTCACAATCCTCACATTCCGGCCCGATTTATCCAATGCCAGCTTAGAATTCTTGGCCCGCAATTCACTCCTCTCGGACTCAAGAGGCTAGAACAAAGCCATGAGTGCGAATGGCATGGTCTTCTGGACACTATATTTCTGAGCGTATTCGGGCCCGGCACGACGTATATCCACCACAAGGAATCCTTAACGCCAAAAGAGCATTGGATAGCCCCGTGGGTAGCTCTTCGGCTTCGTGTGTGGAAGGGTCGGAGGACTGTGCCTCCGGTGGATCCGGGCGGTTTGGGATGGTCGATTGAGTCAATTAGGATGGACAGGCTGCGGATGTCGGAGAGGTGGATGGATTCCTTTAGTTGTCTTTCTTTTCTTTTCTTTTCTTTTTTTTTCTCTATGTGTGTGCGTGTGCCTTGGTATGTTCAAAAGGATGGTGGGACGACATACCTGTCGCACATCAGAGCATATCTAACCCATGTCCGTGAGAAAGCGTACACAGGCCATCCATTCCACTGAGTCTTGTTTCGCGTGCGAAATCATGTAAATGGGGGACTTAGATGCTCTAGCATGAATTTCATGCGTTTGTCCTCGCAGAGGGAGTTTATTCGGATCGTATTCTCGGTATATTATCAACCTTGAGGTCTTTCATCAGCGGGATCTGAGCCCTCTATGGATCCATTGTAGCAAACAATACTAGATAGATATCTATAACTATCTGATGAGAAGTTGGAAGACAGAAGAGGTAGTACACCGAAAGACCCGTATATAGATAATTAATGGTCTAATAATACGCTAACCCGCTCAGTGCACAACAGCATCACATTGAACCACCAAACAGCTATATAATAACTAACTAGGCACGGATATATTTATGGAAGTAGAGGCTGGGAATATCTGCCGAACCACCTGTTAAAAAAAAGATAATGGGATAATTCGCGGCGATATGGTTCAAGGTCTTCGAGTTGTCACCCAGCAGTATTAGTCTATAAATGGAAAGAAACCATTACAAATCAAGGTGCCGTAGTGTAATGGTTATCATGCGACGTTGTGGTTATCCCGCAGTCCCGTCTCGATCTGGGTTCGATTCCCAGCGGCGCCATAGGCGACCGAGACTTGATTTGTCTTTTTTACTTCCTACTTATTTTTTGTAATTATGGTTTTATGGTGAATTGTATTTCTTTTTTGCTAGAAAGGATGAAAGAGAGGAATATTAAATGTATGTATAGTAAATTTTATCTCTAGACAAGAGACTATACGACTGCACACGTATCAGCGTTCGTAAATTCTGATGTATGCAATAACTATCCAATAAATGTGACAGACTGCCAGGATATCTAAACACGCTCAAGCCAATATCGATCATAGATACAAGAACATTCCCATAACCGGCCGCACCCATGCTCCACAATCATCACAACAATGGTATACAGTTCGAAAGAATTAATATCACCCTCAAGCTTTTACCAATTTCCGATCACGATCTAACTCCTGCTCGCACTCACGGTCCACCGTCTCCTGTCCGCCCCCTTTAACTGCGGCCGCCACTCGTGCATGGTGATCGACTGTGTCCAGAATAGCCTGCATCAGTCGCTGATTTGCGTCTGGATCGTCATCTTCCGCCATCTGATCGTTATGGCGGTGGATAGCCAGGCGCCGCTCCTGGCCTAACGAGGCGCTTCCCTGAACCTCGCTCATGGCCCGACGAGGGGAAGGTTCCCTCCCCAACGGAGTCCCGTGGTTCGGGCCCGCCGTTGGAGCGGATTCTCGACGCGGGTTGAAGTCATGGCCTCCCTCACGCTCTACTCGGGGCCGCTCGGGCGCCAGGATCATTGCGCTCGATGTTGTGGTAGGTGCTGTCGATACGGACGTCGGGATGGAGGCTGAAGCCGGGGCTCCTATGGAGGGATCCTTCGAATGGGGATCCTCTGCACGCTCTCTGGAGCTCCGTTCGATCCGGGACTCCCTTAGCTCTTCCTCCCTGACATCTTTCCAGGAACATTTAGCATGCTTTTTAGTGCAGCCCATGCACGCTGTTAGGTTCTTCAAACAATCCATGTGCAGTCGCCGACAGCGATCGCACGGGGGAAGAATGCGCTCCCCTCGCTGAAGCTCCTCCATGCGCGCGACCATCTCCATCTTGTACGGCCCACCGTCATCCTTCTCGTGATGATGGGACTTGGGTGGTGGGAGCAATGAGGACGGAGTGCTGGGAATTGCAACTGTGGTGGGCGCCGGGGTAAACAGAGCATACTCCGCAGCATCCGACACACGCGGCCTAGGACGGGATGACTGACGGTTAGTCGATCCCGGCGTTTCGTCTACGCTGCGAGCCTGTCGGTCTTGAGTGGTGAAGAATTTCTTCATGAGCTCCGCGCGTGTTGTCGGAGATGCGCCCTTAATCGATGTACCGTTGATGATGGTAATGTTGTCCGTATTTGAGTGAGAAAACATGAATTGCGACGACAGTGCACTGTCCTCGGTTGGAGGGTCTCCACCCGCGGGTCGGGCAGCATTAACTGCAACGAATCCGGTAGAAGGAGAGTGGGCACTGGAATGGCTGCCGCTGTTCAAGGGGTGTTGACTGCCATTGGCATCGCGCCAAGTCGGGCTGATGGAGCGGTGTTGCTGTTGCTGTGAATGCAGACTCGTATCATTTTCTCGGCGGGTGACAATGGCAGTTCGGCGATTTTTGAGTCGATGATTGAGCTGCCTGGCTCGGGCCGACACTAACAAGAGGATTCAGGTGAGCGCTTGCTTCCTTGGTCATAGGCTGGTATGAGAGCATACCTTGGTCGGCAACCTGGATGATTTGCTGGAGGTTTTTCTCCAAAATTTCCAAAGCGCCCAATTCCTTCTCTTCATCTTCGATGATTGGCTGAGGAGGGATCATCTTCTGTGGCATCCCGGAAGCGATTAGGACGAAATCCTCCTCACTGATTTCCACGCGACATTGCTTGGTGTAGAACTGGCAGACTCGCACCCCATTGCGAGTCTTTTCCAAATTGAACTGTTCCGGTTTGCTCTTGGCAAACTCTACCACGTCTAGCCAGGTGATGTTCGGTGAGTCCTTGCCATGCGACTTGAGCACCCGTGGAGGCCCATCGAACAAGCGCTCGAAACGCTTGATCAAGATCGGACCCAGGGGACAAGCGCCGAGGTTGCCCGCAATACTCTCGTGACGATGTAGGACGCCATCGTATTCGCCAATCAAGTGGATAATAGAGGGCATTGTGTCATCCACCGAGACCAGAGGAAGGTTATCTGGATATTGGCGCGCAAGGTAGTTGATCTGTAGGTGATTCGAATGGGTTTTGGGAACTTTGGATGCAATAGGGGGGAAATCGCCGGATGGAGATCGCGGCCGTTTACTGGACGGCTCTGTCGCCGCGGGTTGGGAATCCATGGCGACGTCTGGATATGCGGTAGGGAAGGCGACGAAGGGGTCCAACAGATTTGCGGCGAAAGTCATCAAATCCCGCAGTGGGAAACGAGAAACCGTGCAGGAGGCGAGGGGATTAGAGGAGAGGTATCAGGAAGATTGAATGAGCGATGGGGGAGGGGTGTGGATCGAAGATGGGCTGCCGATGGCGGAGCGTACGGTGTAAGGCTCCAGAAATGCGGGTTTAGAATCAGCCACTGGACAAAGCGAAATGGATCGGGTTAGGTAATAAAGGTACCCCAACGACAAAAATTGGGGGTGAGTAGGGGAGGGAAGGGGAGAGAGGAAGCCGAGAGATGGGAGGAAAGAAGAAACAGAACACGACCAGATCCAAAGCCACAAATGGAAGAGAAAGGGAAGAGAACGAGGAAGGACACGAGAAAAGATGGGAGATGGGAGGGGGCGGGCGAGGCGACAGAAGGAGGAGAGGAACTGAGACGGCAGAGTTAGTCCCAGGCGGACGCGCTTTTTTAGCTAAACCGTTGGGCAGGTTTAACCGGCTAGTCCGAGATAAGTATGCCATTCATTCCATTACTTAGTTTGAGATGGGTTGCGATGGCAGACCCATGGCCTGTGTCATAGGAAACTGACTGGTTGCTCTGAATTTGTCGGACTCCTGAGCCAGGGAATAAGGAAAGGCACAAATCAGAAGAATACAGATATTATTTTGTTACCTAGTATTTTTATTTTACTAGTACTATGATACTGGCAATCTACGACTATTAAATTCATAATTTTATTTTATTTCATTTTATAATAATTTTAGTCACAAGCCAATGACCATCCTGTCTGACGGAAGTGATGATGCGGATGGCGGAACGGGCGCTCAGCTCCTCCTCCAGTCTCGGAGGAGGGGGGGGGGGGAATGGAATGGATGCATGATTCCCGGCGCGGGATTGGTTCCCTTCGCTGGGGCCGGGACCATACTACGTACTAACACAAGCCCGTAGTAGTAACTCCTACGGAAGCAAGTAAATATTCTCTCACCCTGAACGAGAATAGTAAATTATCCACCATCAACAAGATCAGCATGTCTGACACTACCTATCTGACTTTGTTCCGGCAGGACTATCCTTTCTTTGGCAGAGGGCGGAGTCCCGCCGGCCTATTCCGCCGGCATTTCGGTGTGCCCCGGGATCTCGGAAGCGTCATGTCACGTTTATACCAGGTGTATCTTACCAATTCTTACCGCTGTTCGACCATCGCCGGGTTCCTTAAATAGGCAGAGTACCTAGATTGCCCGATACCTAGTTGATCATGGTGTGTGTCTTATCAGGAGTTGTTCTCTTGATAGGAAGTCCCATATTACCTAATGATCCTCGATCAGCCGGTGTGTGTGTACAGCTGGCGACGGTCCATCAGAGTATCGTCGTTCGTTACCAAACCTAACTGGTCCCTTGCGGATGGGTTCGGCGGTAGGATAGATGACGACCTCCTGGACCGGGCCCTGTGTGGGTGTTGGAGGAAATGACAATCAAGGACTGATAGGTATTCTGCAATTTCTTATTGGGAGAGGCGCATCCAGCCGCTGCATCAGACAGCACCACGACCGGGCTACCACCCCTTAGTATGTACATACCAGTATCATTGGATCTTCCTCCCACCTAGTAGTAATCATAAACTTTCCAAGGCCGGAGAACTCAAGTCGCGCTCCGCCCGGCGTCGCGTTGTTGCCTAAGGATGTCTCAATTAGGAAAAGGCCGAATCTGGCCGGTCTCTCCACCGGGGTTCCAGCTACCAAAAGCGGTCTGGTATGGTATGGTTACAACGGCGGTGTGACAGTACTCCGTAAGGTACGTAAGGTATGTTAGATCTTCTTGTTATCGGAGATTTTTTTTTTTTTTTGTTTTTGGAGGGAACTCTCAGATTTCTCGCTGACTACGGCCACCGAATTGCAGCGTCAAACTGCAACTGAGCGATTCTCCCCTTCCTGTACCCCTCCAGAAAAAAATCCCTCATACTGTCCACCCCTTCTCGTCCTGTTGTTACCTAACCGGCCTTACCTCATCCATTCATTCCCTTCGAGCCAACCAGACCGTCTTTCCTAATCCCTCATTTTCCTGTCTTGACTTTTGTGCTGTCTTGATTACTGCTTACATAACTCACGACAGTCGCCCCAGTTTTATTTTACTGGGCTGTAGCTTATTTTTCGTTCTTTTATTGATTATTATTAGTCGTATTTTTTTTTTTTTAAAAATACCCCATAATCCCTACAGGCATGTCCGAGCGAGGTTCATTCCGAGGAGGCCGTGGCCGCGGTGGTTACGACAGAGGTGGTCGTGGCACCAAAAGTGGCGGTGCTGGTGGCGGTGCACAGCAGCAACAACAGCAGGAAAAGCCCAAAAAGGAAAACATCCTTGATCTCACCAAGTATATGGACAAGGAGGTTCGGGTTAAGTTCAATGGCGGAAGAGAGGGTTCGTCTAGCCATCCTTTGGTTCATTCAGTTTGCGTCCTTCCCTAACCAATCCTGATAGTCACTGGTTTGCTCAAGGGCTATGATCAACTTATGAACCTGGTCCTGGACGACGTTAAAGAATCCATGCGGGGTATGTGAATTCCAGACATAGCTTATCCCAAGAAGGAGCGGTCAGGCTAACCTCGGATGTAGATGATGAGGGCAATGACAACACTCGTTCGCTTGGGTTGATTGTTGCCCGTGGTACTTTGATTGTGCTGATTTCCCCCGCCGATGGTAGCGAGGAGATCGCCAATCCTTTCGTGCAACCGGAGGAGTAGAGAGGAATATTCCAATTGTTTGGCTAGAGCCTAATAGCCTAGACTCGAGGTCTTCGTGGACTACGGATGGAAAAGGCTGAGATGATCCCTAGAGAAATTCTTTCTTACTCTTGTTTCTTCCGACCCATTTTCTGTCGGATGGCTCTTCATCTTTGTACTTCGTGTCCAGAGTTATGTGAGCCATACTGGTGTCGGCAGTCTCTGTGTGTTTGTTTCCTAGTGGTTGTCGGATTGAGTTGGAGATGGAAGCCAGGTATGGTATTGATTCCGTGCTGTGGCTTCGTACAAGATTCAAGCTTGAATTTAAAAAATAATAATGAATCATGAGTCATGATATTCTCTTCTTTCTTAGAGCCTAGCAATTCTGGGAAACGTCCACTGAGCTGATATACCGGTGCTCGACTAACGAGAGGGATGCCACATCGGATTGTTTTATACTCTACCTGTGACATCATGGCGATATAATTGTCCAAATTGTGGACGTGACGACTCAGTTCCGTCAATCGACTTGTCTCGAACTTCTTCTCAATGGCTCCATCTCATCTTACCATGATCTAAACACTTGTATTGATAATGATTCTTTCTTGAAGCCTCGAATCATTCCCTTTTCATTCCCATATTCTGAAGCAATGCTCTAACTACACCAGACGATAACCAGCTGATTTGTAAACTATGAAACGCGTATATCACCTCTGGCTGGGGATGATTTCGCTGTGCTCGGCCCTGGTCGCTCCAACTCAACAGTTGATCCTGAGGGCCCCCAAAGACAACGACGTCCTTCCTTCAATCTCCCCTCTCGGGGAGCAGCAACACGACCACCATAAACAACCGGACACCGTTTCCACTCAACTGGTGGACAAGTTCGATAACCCCCGGGGGGATTCAAGCCAGCCCACAAGCCCACCACACGACCTGTTATCCAAGAAAACTATTTACGAGCTTATCACCACCAGCAAACATACCACAATTCTAGCGAAGATCGTCAACGACGACAAGGGCCTGATCCAACTGCTGAACTCCACAAAGACAAACCATACCCTCTTTGCCCCCAACGACCATGCATTCCATGGCAAGACTCCAGACATGTCCAAGGACGTCCTCAGAGACACCATTCTATACCATGTAGTCCCGGGGGTATATCCTGCCACAAGTATCTTCCATCATCGTACCTTGTCTACCGCGCACGAGGAACCGCTCTTGAATAGTCTCCCGCAGCGACTCACCGTCCGTCTAGGCTGGAGAGGTATCTCGCTGAATTATCAGAGTCGAATAATTGCCATTGACATTGTAGGTTCCCTCTTCATCATCCATCCCATATACCCTGCATCCCACTTATTTTGATGTCTAAATACTAAAGAACACAGTGTGCTTCCAACGGCATCATCCACACCATCAACCACGTCCTCACCCCCCCTCCCCGAATTCTCAAAAATATCGAATCCACCCCAGTCCAATTCAGCACCTTCACATTAGGTCTCCTACGAACGAACCTCCTTTCCACACTGGACACTGAAAACGTGACTTCCCATCCGGGCGGGACCATCTTTGCACCGTCAAACCAAGCCTTCGGACGGCTCGGCGCCCGAACAACCGCCTACCTGTTCTCCCCCGCGGGGGAGGGTCTCCTGCGCGCGTTACTGAAGTATCATATTGTGCCGGGAAGGACGCTCTACTCCGACGTAGTGTATACCGCTGCGCGTGAGATTCAGCCTTTCGGGACAGAGGGGTCGACTCATCTTAATTTGCCGACGATGTTGCACGATGGGGAGCTCGGTGTGGATGTTGTGAGGATTGGGCCGTATGCGTCGTTGTCGGTGAATGGGCGGAGAAGGGTGGTGTTTCCTGATGTTTTGGCGAGGGATGGGAATCTGTTTGTTGTGGACCGGGTGTTGATTCCCCCGAAGGAAGTGGATTGTGAGGTGCTGGGTTGGACGGAGGAGCAGGACGATGATGATGAGGGGATAATATTAGAGGATCTGATAAGTAGACTGGAGTGTTACACGGGGGAGATAAAGAGGTATGAGTTGTAATGATTGAGGGACTTTAGTATTACATCTACTCGTAAATAACAGATATCCTAAATTGTTATAATAATCAATTGCATCTGTATCTCATTGTATATTGCATCTCCTGTCTCAGGCAGAATACAGCCAAGTGCTGAGCTATATTTAAGATTTGTCAACCCCTGCAATGTATAACCAGTAGACGACTCAGCACCTAAACAAATTTCAAGTTGTCCATATTTCCTAAAATATCAACATTCAGGGTGTAGACGGCTCCATATCTTTCTCGTATTCCGGCACCTATATCCCATTGGGTTGTTGCCCCTTAACATATATAAAAAACCTCTCCTGGGTCTCCTGGGAGAGAGAAACGCTCAAAATGCTTTGCCACTTGTCGACAAAGTTTCTGGCGCTCAGTGGAGCCTCCGAGACGGCTTTAGAAGCGCCTGAAATGATGACTCAAGAGCCTTCTTCAGCTCCTTGTAGCTGACAATAAAGCAACTCTGCTCATCACGGCTCACTAATGCGATCTTCTCGTCCGTCCCTGCGTCCAACTTATTCAGACATGTGAGCACGTGCCCCATGTCAACGACAGGGTCTCCCTGAGCATCCACCTGGTGGAAAACGTAATCCCGAAATATTTTCAGGAAATACCGCTCCCCATTCTCGGACCATTGCCTATCATGCTCATATTCAGGCCGCTCGTTCACGAGATTCAATTTGGTCAACAATCTCACGAGACGGCCGTTCTCAAGTTCTCGACTCAAATCTGAAGTCAGTTCGTCGTCAAGGTGGAGAGCAGAGTCAAAGGTCGACATCAACTGCGATGAGATACCAGTAATAAAAATGTCAATGTTGCGGTCCTGATCCTTCTGCATGCCGTTGAGCAACCAGAACACCGAATTCTTAAGCTGGGGACTGTAGGCACGTGTAAAGTGTTCCATGGCTTTGGTCGGGTTGTGCATTACGTTCGGTGAATTAGCCCCCAACGTTACAATAAGCTGTCCGAAGTTGACTAGATCCTGGCGTTGGAGGTCTCCGACGGAGCGTTGGCTGTCGTACTGGACCACGTCCAGAATAGCGCAAGCGTTGATGCGAATGCGATTTCTGCCGGTCAGGAGAATCTTGCTGGGTTCAATGACCCTTGCAGCAAGCCCGTTACTATGAATCGCTTTGAGACCATTGGCAATCTGGGTCATGTAGCCCCACAGGACCTGCTCCGGTATATGCGCATTGTGACGACCTTGAAACCTTGCTCCCGAACCAAGATGCTGTTCTGCAAGCGTTTTAGAAAGTGGGTGATAGTCAGTAACGAAGATTAACGAGCTGTCCTGGAAGCTTCGACTGGTGAAGGCATCGTGAACTGTAACAACACTGCCGTTGCATACTCGTTTCCAAGCCTGAACTGACCGGATGGCTTTCTCGTTTGTCAATCGAAAGCCTAAATAGTGTTAGAGTTCTACAACCGTTCACACAAACATGAAAAGAAATCGAACCTTCCAGTCGTCGCAGAGCATAGAAATTACCATCTTTACTGGATTGCGCTTTGTAAACCCAGCTGGGAAACCCAAAAATTGCAGCATTTTTCTGGTGATTCAAATCCAGAGGGACAAGAGAATGGAAGTAATCTACTTGCGCTGGTAGTTGGGTATCTACCCTGGGAGTTAGCTTTAGGTAACTGGCAAAGCACATTCATGTCAACATACTGGGTAAAATTTGTAGCGTAGCTGCTGTTTTTTTCTGTAGTTCCTCTCGGAATTCATTTGGGAGGAAAAGATCATGAACATTCCGCTGATAGCCCAGGGTATTTTGGCTATGGGGACCTATGGGGGCGTATAGATGATATTGGACCTTCGGAATGGTTGTGTAAGCTGACACATACGAACCACTCCATCAAGCGACTTACCGGTTGCTGGAAGCCAGACTGCCCAGCAAAAAATGCGGCTCCCCCTAGAGCAGCAGCCGCGGCTGCAGTATCATGCGGGAAGGCGTTTGCTTGAACGGAACTAACAGCACTGGCTGCGGAAAGGGGATTTGGGGCAGTCACAAAAGGATCAAAAGGACTTGCTGCAGGGACACTGCCGTTTCCATTTCCTTGCAGCGAGGCCTGAAATCCCGAGTCAGTAAAAGATCGATCAACATTGATATTGAATTTGAAGTTTGAAGCCTTGTCTGCAGGGGAATGGATTGGTAAGAAAAGTGAAGAGTAAAGTGATCAGCAAACAGCCTCAGGTAGGCAGAGCATATACTGCCTAACACACTGTTCGCAAGAAACAGGATAGTGTGCGCGGAGTAAATGTCATTGTTGTACAAACGCGGGGCAATGAATTTGTGGGTTTCATCCCCAAAAAAAGTGACATACCAGGTGACTGGTGTCGAAGGCCTGAGGAACAAATTCCTGTACTTCGGCTACAGACCAGTCAGGGGACATTGTTTCTTGTCGAGCAGACGGCGTGCTCGTGTTGGATCCTTCTCCCTGTCAGTGGACAGTCTTGAACTAGCAAAGAGGGTATCAAACATACGGGAAGATATATTTCGAGGCTGGAAGGGGGCCGCGTTTGCGGCTTTCGGGGATATAGTGGTGACTTTCTTCGTTGTTGCGGAAGAGGTGGTCGGAGAGGATCCATTGGAAGACAAAAGCGAAGGTGTAAAGCTCGGGGAGTCGACATTCAGGCGTCTTTTGTTGCTACCGCCGTTGGTGCTTCCATGTTAGCTACCATCTCTCAAAACGATAATGGCCAAATACGGCGCGTAATAAGGACCATTTGGCAGATTGGGCTCGCGAACCTGTCTTGGTATGCTGCATTAACTTTATGCGGATCGTGATTAAAAGCGCATCCTGCAAGAACGGTCGCAAGGTCAGATCCGGTCTGTATTTACAAATCCATATAAGGGTGGTAAGATATCGCTGTACCTTTATCTTCATACCGGCATCGACCATAGATGGTCACATTTCGGCATAATGTGTCTTTCGCATTCTCTAAATGGGACGAGGAAATATTGTCAGCTTTCGCTAAGCCATATTATGCCTTACGAACTTGGAAGATCCAGGCACTGGACTCAGCAGATGGAAAGCACCGTAACCAGCGACACTCACCTCGTGATTTGATTTTTGGTGACCCCGTTCCACGACGGGGGTCATCCAGAGGCGGCTTCCCAGTAGAAGTCATAATAATCTTTCTCCACTAAAATGGCGCGTTGTCAAGGTAGAAGAATCTCCATTGAATCAAGACAGAGAAAGACTGGGCGACCGAATGTGCCTAGAGGAAACCACATTCCTTTATTGAAAGCGGTTCGTATCACAATCCTGGAGAGAGATGTAGGTCCACGGATGACCGGTGAGGCGTGCGAAACTGCCGAAATACCACCCCCCTCGACACGTCAAATGGTCAGCCAAATCAGACAACCGACTGGTAATCCAGCACGCGGAAACAGATGCCTCGACGACACCTTCATGCCACGGATGGAGGGAAGGGGAGGCGACGAAACGACATGAGGATAAAAAGCCCGCGGAGGGGGAGGGGAGAGCTCGAAACGGACTGGGCGGTCTGTCTCGACTTCCGTAGTGACGCTCGGGCCACGTTGGTAGCCGCAGGCAGCAGGCGCGCGTCTGGCGCTTCGGCGATGACGGAGCTCGAGGGTAAGAGGACAGGTCACTGGAGATTAAACGTTCCGTGGACATCCTTCGCGTGTATGGCCTGGACAAGGGTTGGGGTAGCCTAATTCTCGGTCCGTTTACGCATCTTGGCCGCTTCCATTCTTTGGGTTTATTTTTTTTTTTTTTATGGATTGACAAGTGGAATAATAATGTCCTCATCTGGGCTGGATATCGCAGAACTCTCGGACAGCGAGAGGTCTGCCCTCGAAACGTATACAACAGTGACAGGCCAGGAGCCGTCCGAAGCCATTCCATTACTGCGTCGCTGCCAGTGGAATGTTCAGGTATGTGTGACAATACCAGACCCGATAGACACGCCTGATGTGTATGCTGATACAATGACGTCTAGATTGCCATCTCCAAGTTTTTCGATGGGGAAGGTCCGGACCCCGTTGAGGAAGCTCGCGCAGTTCTTGACAATACTCCCCCTCCTCGATCCAACCGCCAGACGCAAAACCTCATGAGAGATGACCTCCGTGCACAGTTGGCCCCGACCATTCGTGCCGCTGACCCAGCTCTTCGAGTCGTGACTCAACCTGAAGAACAGCCCGTCTACCGCCCGCCTCTTCTGCTAGCTTTATTGTTTACACCGGTTAATCTCCTGTATCGGTTAATATGCAGTTCTTTCCGTTTCTTTGGGGCTTTATTCCCTTTTTTGCCCCGATTTTTTAATACGACCGCAAATTCTGCTCTCCAAGGGGCTAGGAGGAACACCAATGGGCGTAGAGCCTTGGGGCCTAAGGATACGGCTGCTAGATTCATCCGGGAGTTCGAGGAAGAGTATGGCACGAACTCGCTTGGGTTCCTGGAAAATGGATATAACATGGTTCTTGAAAAGGCCCACCAGGACCTCAAATTCCTTCTGGTGGTTCTTCTTGCCCCTGAACATGACGACACCAACGGCTGGGTGCGAGATACACTGCTTTCACGCGAAGTGGTCGAATTTGTCAATGATCCACAGAATGATGTACTGATTTGGGGAGGCAACGTTCAGGATTCGGAGGCGTACCAAGTAGCCAACTCTCTCCGATGCACCAAATTCCCTTTTGCAGCAGCCATCGTGCATACTCCCAATGTATCTTCGACGGCCATGTCGGTTGTGACTAGGATTTCTGGGACTACGTCTCCACCAGAGTTTGTGGAGAAACTTCGGTCTGCGATTTCTCAATACAAGGAACCCCTTGAACGAATCGGCGCTTCGAGAGCAGAGCAACAGGCTTCCCGCAGTCTCCGGGAACAACAGGATTCGGCCTACGAACGTTCGCTAGCGATTGATAGGGAACGTGCACGACAGAGACGGGAAGCGGAAGCAGCTAGGCAGCGGGAGGAGCAAGAGGCCGCTGAACGCCAAGCGGCCGAGGAGAAGCGGATACATGATCAGGATCAATGGAAGCGATGGCGGGTACAGACCATACCTGATGAGCCCGGCCCGGAGGTGAAGGATGCGGTCCGTATCAGCATTCGACTGCCTTCAGGAGAGCGAGTGATCCGCAAGTTCGGACCTGACGCGGACATCGAAGAGCTCTATGCGTTCGTTGAGTGTTACGATATCCTGCAGGAATCTCAAGAGAGGGACACGGATGTTGAAAAGCCCAGTGGTTTTGAGCATGAATATCAATTCCGACTTGTGTCGCCAATGCCCCGGACCGTACACGAAATCGACGCGGGTCGTTCCATCCGGGATCAGATTGGCCGTGGAGGTAATGTGCTTGTTGAACCGATTGACGAGGAGAGCGACGAAGAGGAAGAAGATGCGTAGGGTGTGGCATGTATAATACTTATATTTGTTATGGGTTGCGGTCTGTGGCCACGTTGGAAAGCTCAATGGACATCATACGGGCGTTGATTTTAGTATTATGACGGTAATGACATCAGTTGATACATGCTCAAGCGGGCACGGAAATCTATCGCATATTCTACTAGTTTATATAGGATGCGACGACGGTATAGATAACTGTGGAAGGGATATAGTAGATAAGGTGTATTAAACACACGATGAGTTCCAACATTACTCATCGTGTCTCAGGTAGACTAATTGTCTGACATATGATGACTTATATGATGAGTATCTCTAAAGTCTGAACTTTCGCAGGCACACTGGGGCTGCAGGTCTTGGTTAACTACTCCGAAAGACACTAGGCAGGCTTCTGAAATCTGAAGATCGCCGGGGTTAGCAGTATTCCACTCGCTTAAATCCATGATTGATAGTCTATGGTCGGTTCCCCATCAACAATTGGAAGTTGGAGGGGATTCACCGCCACAGTGGAGATGATCCTTCAAATCCCAAGACGGACTTATCAACGTTGTGGATGTCTTTGGAAAGATAAATAAGTGGGAAACTCCCCGGAATGCAAGGTCAGCTATACGTATGTCTCACCAACTCTACTAAGTACAGCATGGCATTATTCTCTCGGAACATTCTAGTCATCGGTGCTGGAGAACTGGGCTACGAAGTCCTGCGTTTCCTGACCCAGCACCCAAACTGCCACGGTGCGACTCTGTCGGTGTTGTTGCGTCCAGCAAGCGTTTCCTCAGAGAATCCCTCAAAACAGAAGGAGCTGGACCGACTTCGACAAATGGGTGTTCACATTGTACTGGGCGATATTGTCGAAAGTGAGGAGCAAATCTTGTCGAGAAAATTGTGAAGAAGCCCTTCCGGAGAACCGTCCTCACGACCGAAGACGCACAGAATGCCCTCGTGCAAGACCCGGAGAATTCTTTACTGAAGTACCAGATTGTTTTTGGCCAGGGTCGTGGAGTTTCCTGGGACTTGTCGACGACATGGAACCACCAGCGGGGAATACGCGCAACGACGGCAGAAGATTGGGCCAAGGACAACCTGGCGTGAGGTCTACTTTCAAGGCCGACAATATCATGACATACCATGGGGGTATTGGAGTTCTCAATCTGATCTGGGCCAATGGATTATCTACTGAAGGGTCAATCGCTTCAAGTATAGTTTGATGCGTACTTCAATGGCTATACTTCAACACTCTAGACCAAATGCCAATGGCACCTCCGAGTCTGAATCACTAGTTGTGTGACATTTGGACCCAATAGATAATATACATGGACAGAGATAATACAGTCATGCCTCTCTGTTCCTACCACACCAATATAAATTATACAGAAATGCGGATCTGGACATAGAGCTGACTAGGCTATGAATTACTAGTTTAATACTCCGCAAACGTTGCCAGAGTATGTGATTATTCTCATACACTTCTTATAATGTACTCTGTACCACCATGTATGCGGATCCTTGGCAACCCGGGAGTACAATGAAATAGCCTTCATGCACAGTTTACAGTCTCTGACCTGCATATTGGTAAATCTCCGAAATCACCAGCCATTCACTAGTTCTGTAGCCAACAGCCTGTATTGAAATTACCATTTCTTCGACATATTACTCTGCACGTAGAGCCTATATAAATACTGTAAAGGAAGACACTGTTAATAGCGAAATTTTTTAACAATCGCTGCAGCACATCTGTATACCGGGAATTTACCAAATGCAGGTTAGATCTTATTTTCCTCCTCCTTGTCTAGCCGCCACAATGACGTATGGAGTAGATCGCCTGCATTCCTGCCTAGATACTTATTAGGATGACCACATGCACGGCTTTCCATATTAATACACAGACACAAAAATGCAGTGTTTTAGGATACCACAACAGACCCCAGACATAGATGTGGGGACCAAGACATTTTCTCTGCAGATACCTGCAGTTTTGAGGAATAGGTGCTCTCGGTATTGAAGAGTTGAGGGGAGTTGGCTATTCAAATACTAGTAGTTCGGCATTGATCGTACTGTACATCATGCATCCCCATGGATGGCTGCATTTTTCTCCTGTATAGGGGAAGTACAGAAATTTAAATCATGCCTAACAACAAGCAGTTGGTCCCGGCTGGGATTTTTAGGATCATAATTCGGAATTACTACTACCACCGGAGTATGTGGAGTCGATCTGCCGAAGGGATAAGACCCTTCCATAGTCTCGGGTATGCGCTCTGCAGTACGTATATTGTATACGTATTCCCTGGATAATTAGTGATGTAATGGGGAATTTCCAAGGAAACCTAGAATTACACACCCCAAGTTGATCCAAATTGGCGGGGAGAATCAATGCATAGGCATAGTTAATTAAGTTATCTAGTCAATATCATTCATACTGAGTCATGAAGCTTCTGGATGCAAGTGGATCTCGGATCTGAGCGTCTCCGATACGTACCATAAAAGGGGCTGCACAGGCGAGCCTCCCGGATTCGGATCCCGTGCGTGCCGCCCCACTGGGTGCATGTGCCATGTTCTAGTCCCTGATACTACAGGGTCGGCTAACCATGTTGGGTAACCGAACATTGTTCGCCACTGTTGACTACAATCTGATGGTTGGAGGCCTGAATATCAACCTATCACGGGTGGAAGAAGCGTGGCTCATCTGGGCTCCAATTTTTTTTTTTTTTTTTTTTTTCCCTTTCAGACCACCTTTTGTAGGAACAATGGAATATTGATGGACTACCGAAACCTGTACGGAGTAATAATGGAATTATAATAAATGTTGTAATCCCTTGCATTCTCAGGTACCTCTACCACGTACTCCGTCCCGGCGGTTACGTCGTAGGTATGTAGTTTGTATAAGTGGTTTAGAGAATTGTACCTAAATCTACTCAATCTAGCCTTCTTTATTACCAGCCAAATTGACTCCTTCGGATCTACTGTGAGTGGTCAGCTTTGGGTGGAAAGAGGTATACCCGTCAGCGGAATTCGCAACGTGAATCATCCGCCCCCAGACAACATGCTACGTACATTTCGTCGCCTGGTCAATATGTAGACTAGTCGGTCGTTTAAGCCCGCGTACCATACAATACACCCGGAGACAAAAAGGCCCGTATGAGATGTCTGGGTCCGGATTCCTGGAATCCCTGCTCCCGATTCGTGCCTGAGGGTTGTTGCCCTTTCTGATTGGCCTAACTTAAATAAACATTGACGTCCATTTCTGGGACTGGCGGGTCCCTTGTTTTATGATTTTTCCAGAGCCTGGAAACATTACAAGCCCTGTACAGACGGGTCTATCAACTTGGGCTTTTCCGGCCTTATTCTACTCATCGAAATCCTTCGATCCTCCTGCATCTCGATTCTCACTCTCCTTAATCGTTGCAGGCTACTTCTTTATATATAATATTTTTTCCTTCCCCACCTCAAATCTTGTACTTTATCCTTCTCTCTCTCTTTTCTGCCTAGATTGTTTTTAATATACCCTCGGGGACTATACGTCTCGTGACCTCTTAACGATGTCTCTTTTAGGGACGATAAATCCTAATCTTAATCCAAGCCGCTCGGTAGGAGCTCGAGGGTCCCAGAATCCTGACGAGAACGAAGTGCAAGCAGGAATATCCCATGGAGTCGAAGAGATCGACGATGAACCACAGCCGCACACAGGAAACGATGACACCAAGAAATCCAAGACGCTGCCACATTCGGGCAGCCTGAGCACGGCGGAAACGGCCTTGGAGAAGGGTAGCGATGATGGCAGCAGTGTGGACGAAGAGGTAGACGAGGAAATCACTCGCCTGGCGCAACGGTTAACTCGCAACTCGACCAGGTTCTCCGCAAGCGGGAACCTGGAGAACCCGTTCTTGGAGACGAAGGAGGAGTCGACATTGAATCCGCACAGCCCCAACTTTAAGTCGAAGCATTGGATGAAGAACTTGCTCGCCCTCGCGTCCCGTGATGCAGATGGAGCGCCTAGGCGTGAAGCGGGTGTTGCTTTCCGGAATCTCAGTGTGCATGGGTTTGGTAGTCCGACTGACTATCAGAAGGACGTCTTCAACTCCATTTTGGAAATCAGCACCCTTTTCCGCGCCATCACTGGATCCGGCAAACAGAAAATCCAGATCCTTCGTGACTTCGATGGCCTCGTCAAGAGCGGCGAGATGTTGGTTGTCCTGGGACGGCCAGGAAGGTAGGGAGGATATTGATGATTACTATTGTCGCATCTTACTAACCTTTTGGGCTAGTGGTTGTTCTACCTTTTTGAAGACTCTCGCCGGTGAAATGAATGGAATCCACACAGATCCCAATTCCGAGTTGAATTACCAGGGTATTCCAGCGGAAAAAATGCGCAAACAGTTCCGGGGCGAAGCTATATATACAGCTGAAACAGACGTTCATTTCCCCCAGCTTACTGTTGGTGACACGTTGAAGTTTGCTGCGCTGGCTCGCTGCCCCCGAAACCGTATCGAAGGCGTTTCGAAGGAACAGTATGCGGTACACATGCGAGACGCCGTGATGGCAATGCTCGGCCTTACGCATACGATCAACACAAGAGTTGGTAATGATTTCGTCCGTGGTGTCAGTGGTGGTGAGCGCAAGCGTGTCAGTATCGCCGAAGCGACGCTTAGTGGAAGTCCTCTTCAGTGCTGGGATAACAGTACACGTGGCCTGGATAGTGCAAACGCCCTGGAATTCTGCAAGACATTGAACTTGATGACCAAATATGCTGGTGTCACTGTTGCTGTCGCTATTTATCAGGCTTCCCAGAGCGCATATGATGTCTTCGATAAAGTTACTGTTTTATATGAAGGCAGGCAGATCTATTTCGGCCGCACGGATGAGGCCAGAGACTTTTTTACCTCCATGGGTTTCGAGTGCCCTGATCGTCAAACGACTGCGGATTTCCTGACCTCTCTGACCAGCCCATCGGAGCGCGTCGTGAAGAAAGGCTATGAAGGCAAAGTTCCACGCACCCCTGACGAGTTTGCCGCGGCCTGGAAGAACAGTGACGCATACCAGAAGTTGATGAGAGAGATTGACGAGTACAACCAGCAATACCCAGTTGGTGGCGAGTCGCTTGGGAAGTTCGTTGAATCCCGCAAAGCCATGCAGGCCAGAAATCAGTAAGTGCATTCACGCTACCAAGCCGAATCTTCAGATTCTGATATTTGAGCAGACGAGTCGGTTCTCCGTACACGGTCTCCCTTTGGGAACAGATTAAACTATGCATGATCCGTGGCTTCCAGCGTCTTAAGGGCGATGCTAGTTTGACCTTGTCCCAGTTGATTGGAAACTTCATCATGTCACTTATCATCGGAAGTGTCTTCTTCCAAATGAAGTCGGACACGTCTAGTTTCTTTTCTCGCGGAGCGTTGCTCTTCTTCGCTGTGTTACTCAACGCATTCGGAAGTGCGCTCGAGGTGTGTTTACCAGTGCTTGCCTATATACTTGCTTTAAGCAAGGCACGGAAACGGTCTAACTTGATAAACATCTAGATCTTGACCTTGTACGCCCAACGCCCTATTGTCGAGAAACAATCCCGCTATGCCATGTATCATCCATTCGCGGAAGCTATTGCTTCGATGCTTTGTGACATGCCGTACAAGATCCTTAATGCTATTATTTTCAACATCACGCTTTATTTTATGACTGGTCTTCGTCAAGAAGCGGGCGCATTTTTTGTGTTCATCCTTTTTTCATTTATCACAACCTTGACCATGTCCATGCTGTTCCGTACGATGGCCTCTTCCTCTAGGACACTCTCACAGGCTTTGGTGCCCGCCGCCATTCTTATTCTAGGTTTGGTTATCTATACTGGTTTCACCATTCCTACGAGAAACATGCTGGGTTGGTCGCGATGGATGAATTATATTAACCCAATCGCCTATGGGTTTGAGAGCTTGATGGTCAACGAATTCCATGGCCGAGTCTTCCCTTGCTCTCCAAATGAATTTGTTCCATCTGGTGATGGATATACCGATCGGGCCTACCAGGTCTGCTCTCAAGTTGGAGCCATTGCTGGTCAAACCGAGATTGATGGGACTACCTTTCTCGCCGAAAGTTACCAATATTATGCAAGCCACAAGTGGAGGAATCTGGGTATTATGTTTGGTTTTATGTTCTTCTTCATGTTTACTCATCTTGCTACCACGGAGTTTATCTCGGAGGCCAAGTCCAAGGGTGAAGTTTTGCTTTTCCGCCGTGGTCACGTTTCCCATGCTGCCGATGATGTTGAGATGAGCAACCAAGTGAATGCCTCGGAGAAGACAGATGAATCCGGCAGTGAATTATCTGCCGCCATTCAGAGACAGGAAGCTATTTTCCACTGGCAGGATGTGTGCTACGACATTAAGATTAAGAATGAGCCTCGGCGCATTCTTGACCATGTTGACGGCTGGGTGAAACCTGGCACATGTACTGCTCTCATGGTAAGTCTGTATTATAGCGGTCTACTTCATTGCGTGTTTTGCTAACCCCATGCAGGGTGTTTCTGGTGCTGGTAAAACAACACTTCTAGACGTCCTTGCAACCCGTGTCACTATGGGTGTTGTTAGTGGTGAGATGTTGGTTGACGGCCGTCCTCGCGATCAGTCTTTCCAGCGGAAAACGGGTTATGTTCAGCAACAGGATCTTCACCTTCACACTACTACTGTGCGAGAGGCACTGCGCTTCAGCGCTATTCTGCGCCAGCCCGCCCATGTCAGTCGCCAGGAAAAGCTCGATTACGTCGAGGAGGTTATCAAGTTGCTTGGTATGGAAGGGTACGCTGATGCGGTTGTTGGTGTCCCCGGTGAAGGTACTTGGTCCTTCTTTCACGCCACCCTTATCATAGATTCGTGTCTAACAATATACAGGTCTTAATGTTGAACAACGGAAGCGTCTTACGATCGGAGTTGAATTGGCGGCAAAGCCTCAGCTCCTCCTATTCCTTGATGAGCCCACTTCAGGTCTTGACAGTCAAACTTCCTGGTCCATTCTTGATCTTATCGATACTTTGACCAAGCATGGCCAGGCTATCCTTTGCACTATTCACCAGCCTTCGGCAATGCTCTTCCAACGTTTTGATCGCCTCTTGTTTCTTGCCAAGGGTGGAAAGACTGTGTACTTCGGTGAAATTGGCGACAAGTCATCTACTCTTGCCAGTTATTTCGAGAGAAATGGAGCACCGAAATTGCCAGCTGACGCCAATCCTGCTGAATGGATGCTTGAAGTTATTGGTGCCGCTCCCGGATCCCACAGTGATATTGACTGGCCTGCTGTCTGGCGTGACAGTCCTGAGCACCAAGGGGTTCTTGACCACCTCGCCGAATTGAAGTCTACCCTTTCACAGAAACCGGCTGATCACTCCGAGGCCGATCCCGGCAGCTACAACGAGTTTGCCGCTCCTTTCACAGTGCAGCTATATGAGTGCTTGGTCCGCGTGTTCTCTCAGTACTGGCGCACTCCAGTGTACCTCTACTCCAAGGCCATCCTCTGTATTCTTACCGCTCTGTACATTGGATTCTCTTTCTTCCGCGCGCAGAACAGCAAGCAGGGTCTTCAGAACCAGATGTTCAGTATTTTTATGCTGATGACCATCTTCGGTAACCTTGTGCAGCAAATCATGCCCAACTTCTGTACCCAGCGTTCGTTGTATGAAGCTCGCGAGCGGCCTTCCAAGACATACTCCTGGCAGGCATTTATGACCGCCAATATTATTGTTGAGCTCCCATGGAACGCATTGATGAGCGTCTTTATCTATGTCTGCTGGTACTACCCTATTGGTCTTTACCGGAACGCTGAACCCAATGATGCCGTTACTGAACGTGGCGCACTAATGTGGCTACTTATTCTAACCTTCCTCCTTTTCACCTCAACATTCGCACACATGATCATCGCAGGTATCGAGCTTGCCGAGACCGGTGGAAACCTCGCCAACCTGTTCTTTTCCCTGTGCTTAATCTTCTGCGGTGTCCTGGCGACACCTGAAGTGCTCCCTGGTTTTTGGATCTTCATGTATCGCGTCTCGCCATTTACCTATCTAGTTTCGGCAATGCTATCAACCGGTGTCTCTGGCACGAAAGCTATCTGCGAGACCGTTGAATACCTGCATTTCTCGCCGCCGCCCAACTCCACCTGTGCCGATTACATGTCCAACTACATCGACAAAGTGGGCGGATATCTAGATAACCCCAGCGCCACCAGTGACTGCGCATTCTGTGTTATCGACAAAACGGACACGTATTTGGCTCAGGTGCACAGTCATTATTCCGACGCATGGCGCAATTTTGGCCTCATGTGGGTCTATATTATTTTTAATATCTGCGGAGCGGTGTTCATCTACTGGCTTGCTCGTGTGCCCAAGGGCAAGAGAACTAAGAACTAGGGAGTCTTAGTCCATGGTATACTATACTATTTTGTGTGCTGTGCAAGTACTTCTGGTTATATATGGATAGAATATTTATCATTTCCTCTCCCCCTTTACCTGTTTATATAAAGTTCAAGTTGTTTAAACCTTTTTTTTTTCTCCCTTCGCTGCTCCTATTTAATGTTTTGATTTTGCCGAGTTAGATCGATCGAGCTTACTGTTATTTTTTATTCATCAGAAAAGCTTGATTAGTTATATTTGGAAACCGGTTCCTATCCGAATCTACCCGTGAAATACCCCTGTTTCACTTGCCTTTTCCAGTTTACTTCCTTTTTAACTTTCTCTCTTTTTGAGTTTCACCTTTCCTGTTCCGTTTTTCTTATTTTTCCATCTTGAAGTCACTTGGCGATAGAATAATTAGAGAGTCGATGGAAACCTAGACAATTTGCAAGAATATTGATCTTTTCATATTTTATTTTTATTTATTTTTTTGAATCAGTATTATTCGTATCTAATGAAAAAGGAGTGTATTTCGCTGCATGAAAATGTACATGATAGCATGGAAAATAAAACCATCCTGCTTTGCATGCAGTATTAACTGCCTGAAAACATCTGGGTTATCCGAGGCGTGTGTTCCTGTTCCAAAGTAAACCAGTTCAGATCATGCACTTCTCATATACCTGAATGATGCAAGATTATAATGGAGACAGAGAGTAAGTATATACTGTACATCCAAGAAGAAAAAGTAAAAAAGTAGTAGTAGAGAAGTGGTAGTAGAAGAGAAGAGAAGAGAAGAGAAGAGAAGAGAAGAGAAGAGAAGAGAAAAGAAGAGAAGAAAGGGGAATTCTAAACAAGTATTGAACGAGGGGAAGAAAATATTCTATGCTCAGTAGTAACGAGAAGAGGGAAATAAGCATGGATAAGTATAAGAGCTTCAGCTTTTTTCTTTGTTTTTGTCTTGTGCTCTCACCAAGTGAACGCCTCTTCGACAAAATCCACTACCGCCCCTTTGCCGATGTTGTCACGAGCGGCTGCACGCACTTCATCTGAAAAACCGCCAGACCCACAGGCCGACACCACGGTGGCGCCTACTCGTTGTGGGAGGACCTCATCCATGACAACTTGCGGCCGACACCGACCGGGGAACATCTGGACGGTGGCGCTGGGGGAAACAATTTCGCGACTGCTCTTGGGCTTGGAAACGAAGAGTTTGACGGTAAGCATCTCGCGACGGCCAGGAAGACGCAGGACCTGGTCCATCCATTCCCGCACCCAGGCCAGATGCTCCGTGTTGCGGACAGACCAGATGAGGTAGATCTTTTGAGTGGCTACGCGTCCCTCTGCGGCGCGAATGATCAGATCTCGAACACTTAACATGTGGTGCGTGATGCCGACGCCACCTGAGAACAGAACGACGGTGCCATAGCTTCCCAAGTTGACTACATGAGACGCGTACGGTCCCTCGATGAAGCCGGTAGTGTAAAGGACCTGGTTCGGCGCAGCAAGAGCTCGGTTGTATAATTTCCTTGTCATCCCTTGTCGAGCAGCAACAATGAGTGACACAGAGGTTGGCTCCTTGTTCTCAGGCATGTAGCGGTCGAGATTGACTAGAGGTTGCTTTTCGAGAAGTGAGGGGCTCATGGAGGAACCCGTAGTGGGTGTCTTAACAGGCGAGTCCATGGGTCCGGACGTTGTCACGCAGCTGCTGGGCTCAACCCAGGCTATGGAGAATGGGTGGGACATCCACTGGGAGATGCTTGGAATGTATGCGTACACATGGCCACCGGGTTTGACATGGACGCGTTTTGGTAGGTGGAAGGTCACTCTGCAAGCCTCGCCGGCAAGAGCTTCAACAACAACCCTCGTGGACCCTTTTTTGGCGGAAACATTGAGATACAGTAGTCGCGCAACCCGGGCCAAACGGTCAAGTAGCCACAGGACACCAACCGCAATTATCCATGGTCTTTGAGGCAGAGCGTCCAAATCAATGTGGAGATAGACACCAAGAAAAGCCAGAAATGCTCCCAGTTGATGGAGGTGTAGAAAAGTTTCGTAGAACGCATGCCGAAGAGGAGACAGAGAGTGGAGCATAAGAAAAACGGTTGCAAGTGTTCCGACAAGCCCCAGGCGAAAAAGGGCACATGGCATAGACGGTCATACATATCCTCGGCACTCACTTCATCAGCAGCGTTTATTGCCCAGGCTACTGTATGCACTACACTCTCAATTGCCACTAACCGACCCAGCCATCGATGAAAGAGGTTGTAGGTGTCGAAGCTGATGTGCAAAATTGGAATTAGTGGGTTGTTGCGGCCAGCCAGAATAAACAGAGGGACCATGTTCAAGAGAGCCATCACCCCTGATCGTCCGCGGAGTTCAGCAAGGAGGGCTGCTTTGTTGTTCACAGAATAGTCTAGAATAACACAATAAGCAAACTGGCTTGCCACATATAGGAATATCAGAACTGAATGAAATCTGCTTGGTAAAGTGCCGACATTGACAGCAGTTGAGAGCTGGATTTCCCTGTTGTGCCTTTTCCTGCCCAGTGGTGAATAAAGGACATGTTTCTTGAGGTTTGTCCATAGCGCTGATTCCTCGATACTCCAGTAAGCCTGTTGTCTCCTGCTTGCTGCCAAGGAACTGATGTGACGAAGATAAGCGTGGCTGATTTGAGCGACTCGGCCGCAGAAAACCGCGACAGCGACAATCAATACAGACGAGAAAATAATGCGCGTGAATAGAATGTCTCGAGGAACATTGACTCCGCCTAGCCCTCTTGAATATTCGTAAATGTAGGTGGCATTCCCTCCATAGTCTCCTCGTGGAGCGATGAGCCGGTGGGGGTCATCCATTGGATATTAATGACTCCTTGGTCGAAGGCAAGACGTCGTGGGCGAAAGATTATGATAGTTTGGGACAAAGCGACGGAATCGTGATGGTATGATGAGATAGGACAACGTGGCAGGTATCCAAGCGACGAGGATCTAAGAATGCTAGACGGCTAGCAGGGAAACGACCGGAATGCTGATGCTAGCGCTGGAAGATACACAACTGAGCAAAGACAGGAGGGCTAATGCCCACTTTGGGAGAGTCAGGCAGAGTTCAGACAGTGTTTCCTTTCTGAACAATGGAAGAACTTTTGTTTGCTTTGATCTGCTTTGTCGATCTGTTCAAATGGTCCTGACAACGGCAGTCAATACCAACAAAGCCAAGAGATGGACACCACAGTAAGACTCAGTCGATTTGATGGTGTGGGACTTGTTAGAACTCGAGATCGATTGCGAGTTCTCAACAAGGTCGACGACCAGCCTTCTAGTATCCAACACTTACGTCCACTCTGGTGCATGCATGGTCGTACGCAGAAGAATGAAGCAAGGGGCTTAGTCGACGCTCAGCGTCTCGATGAAAGAAAGGAGCGAAGTACAGCTTTCAAAGCGACAAAATCAAAATGAAAAGTAAAAAAAAAAAAAAAATAAAAAATTATAATCAAAGGTGAGAGGAACAAGGCTGTTGATAGCAAAAACAACACTTCCTTGGTACTATGGGTGGTTAAATGAATGAATCAGAGGCCTCAAGATGGGAAACAATAGTGACCAACAAAGAGAGATGATTGAACGGAGCAAGCCTGACAATATCCTGGAAAGCAAAACCCTTAAAGCTTTGACAAACAATAAGTGAATTGAAGTGAATGAATGGTATGATGTCAAAGCAAAGGGGGCAAATCTCAGAGCCAGCTGAATAAGGGAGAAGTTCAAGGAATGAATGATAGGGCAGAGGAGAGAGGGCAAGAGAGAGAAAAGAAAAGACAAAACAAGGACCTCGAGTGAAGATCCATGGAGCAGCATGAACCTTAAAAGGCTACGGAAAAGGGATACTCGGTACGGCGGATCTATGCATCCAAAAATTCATGGAATATGGTGTGGTTCCCTGGAGGAGTTCCTCTTCGGCGCCAAGGCGGGCGTCTGGGACCTGCCCCTCGCCTATCGGTGCTGCTGGTTGGCAAGCTGACAGAGAATCGGTGTTTCCAATACTGAGGGTCGAACCTGTTAGCTCGGGATCGGTGTTTCTTGGCTAAAAATAATACATCCATAAGTCTTGGACCTCCCAGGCGTTCTGTATGGGTCTCTCATTTTTTGGCCTATGAGCCAGTCTTTTCAGTTCCTGAGAAAGTGCTGAGGAAGCGCTCGGTACGCGCGCGCCCAGGGCACCCGTTCTGCAGCCATCTCGTACCAACGAACTTCGCCACTGTCAAAGTGGCCATCTCGAGTTGCATTGGGCGTGGAGTTGCATTCTTCGTGTTTCATGTTGGGACGTTTGACTACACATCTTGGCTTATTACTCGTAGCTACGCACACTGACCCACCGAGAAGTGAGAGGGGTGGAAGTGTGCAGGCACAAGAAATGTACAAATGCTGACCAACTTCGCTTAATGACTGATTCTCACTGTTGGGTGTGCCCTGATCGAGAATGAAACAATAGTTGCTTTTTTAGCCCTGGGGCAGGTGGGTGGTTAGGTAACTCGAGTTGGTGCAGGAAAATTTTCCCGGCGGAAGTTGGCCGGTCACATGGCAGATCACGGGTCTCGGTGGGTGCTTTTTTAATGTGCCCTGATATTGGATGGATATCCTACTAGTTACCCACTGGTTTCTTAGGTTTTATTTCCCATGGTACTGGTGCATATTGCTAGTATATTGCTAGTATATTGTGGTTATATTGCTACTATATTGCCTGGCCAGTTTTTGTGCAACCGTATCTTTTCCAGCCACAACGCCCGGGCTAGATGCATGTAGCGTTTCATTCGCGAAAAGGATTTGACAATGTTGGCATGGATTTCTCGGCGCTTAGTCTGAGAGATGCCTGCCGAGCGCCTTGGTGGAAATGAGAGAGTAATCAATCCAGAACGGGGACTAAAAACATGATACGAAAAGCTAAGGCACATATGGCCTGACTGCTCGGACCATTTTTTCTGCTTCTTGTCAGGATAGTTCAGCCTTGGGGGATCATTCGCGGAATATCAGAGTTCCGAGACCTAAAACAACGAAATCATAATATTTTATCTGGCTATCTATTCGTTCTTCATTATGATACAGGAGTCGACGACGGCTACTGAATCTTCATCGTCCCATCCAACCGCCATCGACACAAATCACTTCACCTGAAACGTAGCTACTGGCCTGACTGGCCAGGAATACGACCACTCCCTTGAAGTCTTCGGGCTTACCCCATCTGCCAGCAGGGATTCGGGCCATGATGCCCGCATTGCGGTTATTGTCATTGATCAAGGCCTCGTTCATATCGGTCGCGATGTATCCGGGGGCGATCGCATTGACGTTGATCCCCTTGGATATCCACTCATTGGAAAGAGCCTTGGTCAATTGTGAAACGCCGCCCTTGGATGCTGCATATGCTGGCACGGTGATGCCACCCTGGAACGATAGGAGCGATGCGACATTGATGATGGAACCACGTCGTCCGGATGGGAATTCGGAAGCATCCCGATCAAGAAGATAAGCTCCAAACTCACGACACAAAGTGAAGACAGACGTCAAGTTAACTTGCAGGACCTAAGTCACCCCACGCTCACGGTCAGTTTTCCGTCCGGATGAAACGAGCGCCCCTCCCCCCATCTGCTTTTAAGGCAACGGAAGCCGAGTGGGGGGAGGGCAAGAAAGGGCCTGCCACTTTCACTCACCTCATCCCAGTCCTCATCTGGGAATTTCTCACTCGGATGTCGCCTCTGGATACCGGCACAGTTAAGCAGAATCTCTGGTTTGATGCCCTGACTCGTCAAAGCCGGAATAATCCCTTTGATTGCATCTCGATTGGACAATTCTGCCACGTGGATCCAAGCCTCTCGACCGATGCGATTTATAATCTCATCGCGGGTTGATGTGTTGGACTCGTCTCTCTGTTGGCCTCATTAGCCTGTGCTATATACCAACTCATCCCATCGCCTAGCTCTAGACAACATACCTGGATCAAGACAATGTTAGCACCTGCCTCGGCAAGTGCAAGAGCCATAGCCTGGCCAATGCCTCTTGTCCCTCCAGTGACGATGGCGGTCTTGCCGCTGAGCGAAAAGAGCGATGGAGCTGTTGCCGACATTGTAAAGTGATATCTTTGTACAGGTTGTAAAACGGGAATCCCTGGATGTATTCTCTCCTAGTACCACTGTAGACACCAGTAGTCTTTTATGAAGGTTTACCTTTTACTACCTACCATACGGATAAATAAGAGAAGCACTTCCTCACGTGCGGGGCAATAGCCTGCATTTCCAAAATCAGATGATTCCATTGCCGACAGGGTTCAAAGGCCGACACCCGGCAATTGAACCATAGTCGGCTGATATCCGAATTCCACGTGACTTGTATAGGCATTGTATCAAGATGCTGGTTACCATACATTTCATATGGACGAGGGGTGCTTTTGTATACAATATCCAGATTACCTAGTGTATAGTCAGTTAGATATGAAGTTGCAGATTGCTGATATGTATGCATGCACCAGTCAGCTACCAATGAGCTCCTGAGGTTATATTACTTTGATTTACCCGGCAGTCTCCTCCAGCTAATATGCTACATGTGCAGCATGACTCCATAGTAATGCTTCGCTGAATAATGACATGGTACTTTATCTTGATCTGATAGATTATATAGTTGCTGATGCGTGAGTATTTAAGGTACTTGTGTATCGAGTGTAGATCTATATATCCCACCCATAATAGAGATGGAAAGCCTATCCATACTACTGTTTATACAGACACACAACTTTGCTCTTCTATTTTTGCCTAAAACCAATCCTCAGAAAAGAACCTAAACTACCAGCTGACGAAGGAACTGCCTTCCTAATCTCAGATATACTAATTCATCCATTCTAACGACGATGAGGTTATTGACAATACAGGTAACTACCTGTATATACAGGCTGAGTAATACGTCATGGGTCATAAATCTACAGCATCCGTGGAATCCTTCTCCCCACGCTCGATCACCAACCGTTGGGCTATCAATTTGGAATTCGAAGCTTAGGATTAGCGTGCATTTTCCTACACATCTTTACATAAAGTCAACAAGTGTGGGGAAAATTCGATGGGCCAAACCTTTTCAAGATAACATGACCTCCCCCAGCTAAAGACGAGACAAACAGAAGCCAAAAAAAAAAAAGAAAAAAAAAACTTAACATCGCAATCTCTTCGTCTGGATTTGACTCCGACTTGTCTACTTTTATTCATTCCATCGTGTTGACATTGTAACAGTCGCTTGACACTCTTTGCCCTCTGACTCTCCAAGCCCCAAACGCGTTCCTGCGCCAAGACCAGCGGGCAGCCAACATTGCAGTGGACGAAAATGTCCTTTCTGCAGCGTGCTTTTACTTAGCTGTGGATTGAGTTAGCTTCAATTTGCAGATGACGATGGATCCGGATGAACAATCGTTGCTGGGTGATACCCCGACGTCGAAGCCCAAATCTCGCTCGGATCACTTGATGAAGCGCGTGTCGAGAGCATGTTTGCATTGTAGACAGCGCAAGTCAAAATGCGATTTGTGAGTTTGCGTATGCAGATCAGGACAACGATCTGACATTCCCCTTGATTTAAGTTTTATTTCCTTTCACTTAGACATCGTGCCTAATTGTGACATGGCAGGGACAGTAGTGGCAGTCCAGGGGTACCACCCTGCCAGCGGTGTATCCGAGATGGTCGTGAATGTGTCCTGGGTAGCTCGAATCGAGGTGGCCGTCGCATTCGCAAAAACAAAATGAAAAACTTTACTCCAAACACCAGCCTGGCCACTCCGAGAGATTCAACGCTGGAATCAACCAGTCCGGCTAATTCTGACAACCGACAGAGTGCAAAGAACTCCTATCCTGGTCCGGTTGTTTTTGCGCCTCCCAACCCCCCAAGGACAGCTTCAGTATCGGTGGAAGAGGAAGATGCAGCATCTATTGGCTCTGTACCGCGGAACCCGTCCGATGCGTGGCAGTGTCTAACTGGAATCGCCAAAGGAGGCGCGGACGATCCCAGCCCCGAGATGGTCGCTGACCCTCTGCGAACCGGCACCACTGGATTCCCTTCATATAATGTTCTTCAAAACAGTGCTGGATCTGAATTCCAGCCAACCAGTGGTATCAAAGCATACAGACTGGTGCAAACACGCTCTTTAGATCCAGGAACAGTGTGGCAGCTTGTGGCTCGCTATGCGGAGAACTTCCACCCGTATCTCCCCTTGGTGCCTCGGAAATATTTTGAACGCAGCGCCTTGGATGCATTTGCTACCAACGAGAAACATCTGCTGACTGCGGTACTGACGATTGCATCGAAGGACCTGGTTGAACGACCCGAAATTCACGAGTACTGCTCCAAGTACATGCACGAGCTGATCTCCGGGATCGCTGCTGGGATAGATTGTGATGTGGAGGCTGTGGAGGCTCTCCTTCTCCTTGCCGAGTGGGAACCACAGGGCCTTCGACCTCGTATCGAGCGCGTGGGTCGGGGAGAAGAAGACCGAGCTGCCTGGATGCACATCGGCCTTGCCTTACGGTCAGGTTACTTCCTTGGATTGGACCGGACATCATTTCGAGGCGATTCGGGAGATACCGAGACGGAGGCACGTCGAAGGCTGGCTTGGACGAGCTGCTATATCTCCGACCGACTCATTTCTGTTCGCATTGGACGTGCCTTTTTGGTCTCGAGGGCCAGGGCCGATGACAGGTCTCGTCAGTCAAGATTTCCCTTCATTACAGCCCATCAAAGATGGGGATGAAGACTATGCCCGAATCTTCCAAGCGACTTTGGACCTTACTCAGCTCTATGGAAACGTTCACGATGTACTATACTCAGGAATGCGGACCAGCAATCAGATGATGCTCATGGGAGATTATGTGAAATACGTGGATGATTTCCGTTTAGCTATACTGCGATGGAAGTCTCTCTGGGGCTCACTACCTTGTAGGTCGACTTGTCAAACTATGAACATGATGAATAGACTGACTCTATTCAGGTTCTACGCCAATGCAAGTAACTTTGCAATTGTCATACGAATATCTGCGACTCTACACCAACGCATTCGCATTTCAGGCAGCAATATCTCAGTCATTAGTATCTAAGACAAAGAATGATGACCAGTCGCAAAGGGAGCATTTGCGGGCAACGTTCAACAATGTGGCATCCATGCAGGACGCCCGATTTATTTACGAATCTGTAGATGCTGCCAAAGCATACCTGACCATTCTTGTGGACATGGTCCATCCTGAAAAGCATCTACATTTTATGCCTCTGAGATTCTACCTGTACGGCATCTATGCCGCTGTTTTCTTATACAAGGTACGGGCTTCTATCAACTCGTTGACTGGGGATCCTGACAGGAACACTAGGCTCGTTCATTTGGTGTCATGCCGCATTCAGAGGAACTGAACGTACGGAATATGGTCACCCGAACGACCGAAATCCTAAAGAGAGCTAGTGCTGGGCCCGACGATATCGGATCGCGCTACTCTCGGCTTCTGGAGCTACTGTGGCAGTCTAAATCAGCACCGACATCGTCACCGGCGGGAACACACCAGGGCAGCGATCTCCGAATGCAGAGCAACCCTCTTCAGCATCGCATGCAGGAACAGACCAACTATGTGCACTTTAGCCCTGCTAATGACTTCTCTTGGCTAGATCTGGAGGCGGTTGGGGATTATGTTTCCGGCGACCAAATCTCTAGCACCAACACCCTCGCGTTTGATACCCTACAAAACCCTGATCTGTACCAGGATCGTTCGCAACCATGGCAGATTCCTACATGGTCTGGGGATATGAGCAGCAATCTTCTGTTCTAAGGTTGTGGGCCTCGAAGCCAGCATTCGCCGTTGCCCCCACATCCGTATGCGGGGTTGTGTGGGGGATCTATTCTCACTCGGAATTTTGTCCGACGCCATTCTTCGGTTGCCGAAGTTGGGAAGCTCGTGGAATTTACTATCCTTCTGCTTCTTATACCCTATCAGTGACACCACCCGATAGACTCTCGAAATAATGTCCCATCTGAACGATATTCGTGGCCGTTTGGCCTTGATCACCGGGGCCTCAGGCGGGTAAGCCGTCTATGGGATGATTTACCTGTGTCATGACGATGAAAGTAACATGTTCGCTAGGATTGGAGCAGCCTGTGCTCGCCAACTTGCTGACAGAGGGGTTCATCTAGCCTTGACATACTCGTCCAATTTGGCTACAATCACCGCCCTAGTGGAAGAACTCCAATCCAAGCATGTTGGTACCAATACGCTGCGCATTTCCATCCATCAAGTGGATGTAGCCTCTGCCGAGCAGATACAAGACATGTTTGTGCAGATCGACAAGGAACACGGCCAGCGACCGGACATCCTCGTCTCCAATGCGGGACACGGCAAACGCATCCCGCAGGTCTGGGACATCCCAGTTGAGGAGTTCGACTACACCATCAATGTGAACCTTCGGGCTTCGTTCATCCTAGTCAAGGGTGTGGTCGAGCATATGAAGAACCAACAATGGGGACGGATCGTATTCATGTCCTCGATTGCTGGATACGGGGGCGGAATCAACGGATGTCGTAAGCTGACTTATTCCCTTTTCTACCTCTCCTATTTTCAGCTCTCTATAAGCCAAGGTTTCTACATGACTATGAAGAGAAAGACTAACAGTCAATAACAGACTACGCCGCCTCCAAAGGCGGAATGACAGGCATGATGAGAAACCTCTCGACTCGACTAGCGGAGCATAACATCAGCGTCAACGACGTGGCACCCGCCATGATCGGGGACACTGGTATGATTCCCAACGCGCAGACGATCCCCGACGTAGCGGCGGGCATTCCTCTCGGTCGACTCGGGGTTCCAGAGGAAGTCGCCAATGTGGTGACTATGCTTGTGACGACCGGTTACATGACGGGACAGAGCCTACTGCTGGCCGGAGGGTTGAAATAGATTTTATAATCAGTTGCGAATGGTTTAAGACATTGAATTTATGATTCTTTCAGACGAGCTCTCCTATCAATTTTATGAGATATAGCCGTGTACTATCTGTATTTTCAGTTCGTTAACATCACCAGGATGTAGATCCTCATCTAGTTACTCTTTACTATACACAACAGATAAGACCCTCGGGTACTGTGTAACCATTTTGAACCCGGGTATTTCCCACATCAATAACAACAACAAAAACGAGAGACGGAGGAGAACGAAGAACAATATCCTAACTTTCAATCACCACCTTCACCACCGGCCTCCCACTCTCATCGACCCCACGCCCAGCTAACTGGAATGCACGATCTCCCTTATCCAGAGCCAACCGATGCGTAACGACCCGTTCCTCAACGCGATCGAACTTCCCACTCGCCATGAGCGCAATCGCAGCCGGATACGCATATCCATCGTACCTAAAAACCCCAATAATATCAACCTCACGCAGCGCAGCAGCCCCGACAGGAAGAGTCTGGATGGGATTTCCCATCCCGATCTGCACGAGGACGGAGCCCGGCGCGGCAGCATAGATACCTGCCTGAACGCAGGCAGGAACCCCAGTACAGTCGTAGACGCGGACGAAGCCGGACGATACGCCGTGCGATGTCTTCAACGAGGTCGCGAGACGTTGGGCATTTTCCAGCGCGTAGGACGTTTGTTCAGCCTGAGGAGCATCCCTAGCAGGGGGAGGATGGGCAGGATCCGCCCTGGGAATGAGCGTGGTTTTGAGACCGAGATTAAGCGAGTCAGCGATAGCCAGTCGCGCAGGGTCAATATCAGCCACCACTATGGAAGAGAAATTCTCCGACGTGGCCAGCGCAGCAGCAAGGAGGAGACCCACGGCGCCGGCGCCAAAGATCAAAGCCGCAGCGGAATCGCCTAGCGACTCGGCCAGTTTCACCTCGCTCTGGGTGGGTGGTCGCGAACGTCGAATAGCATGTAGACAGACAGCTAGGGGCTCGACCAGTGCGCCGCCGGTATAGGAGACCGAGTCGGGCAGCTTATGACACATGTCTGCTGGATGGTTGGTGAGTTCCATGAGGGTTCCGTCGAGGTGAGGGAAGATTTTGGCGCTGCTGCGGAATTTCATCTCCGGGCAGATGTTGTAGCGGCCTTGTTGGCAGAGAGTGCATTTGCGACAGGGTAGACCGACTTCCAGAGCGACTCGGTCGCCGACCTGGAGATTGGTTACGTCGTTTCCGACGGCTGTGACAATGCCGGAGGATTCGTGGCCCAGACACATGGGTTCGCGCACGACGAAATCGCCATTGCGTCCGTGGTTGTAGTAGTGTAGATCGGATCCGCAGAGACCAGTGGCGCGGATGGCGATTTGTACTTCGGAGTTGGTGGGTGGGTTGACAGGTCGTGATTCCTAGGGATGTTAGTGATATTATATAATAGAATGTACTTTCTGGGTTTAATATTCATACCAGTTGAAGGTCTTTGGCGCCATGAAGCACCAGTGCTGAGGCATTGGATGTAGTGGTAGCCATTGGAGCGGTGGCAGAGAACTAGGAGAGAGGAGAATTAATGAGACAGCGTCATCATAGTGTTAGCTCAAGAATTGGATATATATGAGCATCGGAAAAGGGACGTGGGGTCGTGAACAGACCGATTCCCTCGCGTCGGGAATTGAAGTCAATAGCCGACGATGGACAGTATTGACGTTGGGAAAGTGTCGCAGTAAAGGTAAAGTGGCGGTCGGGCATTTGAATGCATTCTGTATATTCAATGGAGAGACTCTGGATGCACCTGTATATTGTATTACTTAGTATTATAGAATCTAACGTAGAATTAATACATGTTTACATGTAGTGATATGTGGGCGCATCCCACTCATACATAGCGATGTACCTTGAAGTATCCGAAACATCGGGGTAATGCCGAGTCCCCCCACGCCGAATGGGGGTATCGTCCTCATCGCAACCATCGTCAGTCCCAGTATTTCCAGACAAACGATTTTAAATGATCTGTACTCGGACATTCTCTTTTACTATTACCTACATCTTCCGTCCTTCCACTTAATTCAACACCATTCCTCTCCCCTGCTTCTTGCTTTCTTCCTCCCTCCATATAGTTGAACTCCGCGCTCTGACATCATGCCCTCCGCATTGCTGATCGGCGAAATCACCCATGCCCGCAAGGAGTGGGAGGATCTCTCGTCTATTCTGACTCTCAAGGTGAGGCGATTCCTGTCTATTGTCGAACGTAATGTCCAATATTCTAATGATGCGTGAATGTAGGAATTCCCCTCGGGGACTCGTGAGGATTTCATCCGCAATTGCAAAGACGGACAATACGACGATGTGCTGGTTATTTATCGGTCCAATGTATCCACCAAGGTAATTACCCTACATGGAGATTAAATTATCACTTTGGTTTTCTTGTGATAGTAACGCTTTGTTCAGTTCACCGGCCCTTTCGACGCGGAAATGCTCTCCGTTCTTCCCAAGTCCCTAAAGTACATCTGTCATAACGGCGCTGGATACGATAACATTGATATTGCCGGGTGCACGCAAAATGGTATCTAGGATCATAGAAACCGAACCAAGTCACTACTAACATACCCAGGAATTTTGGTGTCTAGCACACCCATCGTTGTCGCCGCTGCGACTGCGGACGTGGCCATATTTTTAATGATTGGTGCTTTGCGACAGGCCTATGTGCCATTGGCTGCTTTGCGAGCCGGTAAGTACAGTGATCTTGGATAAGCGAGACCAGACCAGATCAACGATCGTTAATAGCGACGACAGGTAAATGGCAGGGACAGACGACCTTGGGCCGTGATCCTCGGGGAAAGGTGCTTGGTATTCTTGGTATGGGTGGTATTGGCAGGGTAAGTTCCAGAAAAAAAAACAAACACTTAATACCGTTATAATCCCACTGACTTGGTCAGGAAATGGCCGTCCGCGCCAAAGCCCTCGGCATGAAGATCCACTATCATAACCGGTCGCGACTGTCGGCGGAACTAGAAGGGGACGCCACATACGTGTCATTCGATGAGTTGCTAGCCTCCTCGGATGTTCTGAGTCTAAACCTCGCCTTGAACGCGAATACCCGTCATATCATCGGAGAGAAAGAATTCCAGAAGATGAAGGATGGAGTGGTCCTGGTCAACACAGCGCGGGGCGCATTGATTGATGAAAAGGCGCTGGTGGCTGCGCTGGAATCGGGCAAGGTAAGTCAGCTCGAGCTTCCTAGTAAGGAGTCTATCTAATATGAACAGGTCATGTCGGCCGGTCTGGACGTCTATGAAAATGAGCCTGTGGTGGAGCCTGGGCTGGTCAGTAACCCCCGAGTGATGTTGTTGCCACACATAGGAACCATGACCTACGAGACGCAGAGGGATATGGAGCTGTTGGTGCTGGATAACCTGCGCTCAGCGGTGGAGAAGGGGGAGATGATCACATTAGTACCAGAACAGAAGAAATAGAGAACAGATGTAGATAGAGGTGGTAGATACACGGTACGAATAATACAATAGATATTGACCTGTCCTGAATAGTCCTGAATAATTTTGATATCTTGCTATACGTCCACATAATCTATACAAGTAGCTACTATACTTGATATATAATGTACAAACCATCTAGTACTCCATAGCGTGATCAACTTTTGTTAGTAATGTGATATTCCGGTTCATTGTTAATATAAATCATATGTGATATGATCTTAATTTCGCCCCATCGACTATAGCAGCGTGTGGTCCTGATGTTTAAAGACGTCTCCGATCGGTTGCACTTCCTGGAAAAGATCGTCCATAGTCTTTATACCGATTCCATCCAAGCCCTGAAGAGTCACGGCTTAACATCCGAATACAGCCTAACATGGTCACCCTTATATGTACCAAAAATTATATAATAGTGCACAATCAGTCAAACCAAGCAGAGAGTATTCAATGATATTGATCTGCAAAGAGGTATCATATAAACCAACGTATATGGAGTACAGTTTCAATAAATCACGGTAGAAAAGCATTCGATGTGATCTTGCAATGATAAAGAGTATTGACAGAGGACTTTGTGGCTTTGTGGGGAATAGAAACGCTTTGAAAAAAAGGTACTCCAAAAATAGCAATAGGCACTACATACTCAAGTTGTTCGCTGGATAGGTCGTTGCGTGTCATTCCACCATTCGTTCGCTGTCCCGCCCATCTGCTGGCTCTCCGCATGACCTGGGCTCATGGTAGAACCTAAGTTGTCCGCGAAAGGGTTCTGAACTTGGAAATCCTCGGATCGATACTCATGCGATCTGGAAGTATTGCCTGTCGATGGTGGGATCCCGGCTGCTGGATCCATCATCGGAACAGCGGGCGCTAGGTTCGGCGCCGTCGAGGACGGAGGACTCTGTGCCTGCCATTGCGATGCAGGTGGCGGGGGAGGAACTGGTCGTAGTGCGCCCGACACTGATGCCTCGTCCGACGAAGGGGGCGATTGGCTACCTGCTTGTCCCAAGGCTTTGCGCGCGTTAAGAAGGGCATGCTGGTGTTTTGACAGAGCTGCAGATAGCTCGTCGTTTGTCTCAATCAACGTCATAAGTGTATCCTCGTCCGGCGCCGGGTTTGTCGAGTGTATGTAGTTTTCCATGGCACGAGACGCCACCCGACACCGGTCGGAAAACTCCTTGATGAGCTCGTTTTCCAGGATTTCCGTAGGCGGAGTCGATTGGACAAACTGGATAAGGAGCTTCGCCGACGTCTTCGCTTCAGAGACACGTGCGACTAACTCATCGGGGGGCGGAAGTGATGAGCTATTCTGGCGAACGTTAAAGTAATTCGGGCGTTGATTCTGCCATTGCGGCGAAGGCTGTGACCTCCAAGAGATCTGCATGTAGAAAGAACCGTTAGCGCTGACATTTGGGAGGCTCCGATGGTATCATCAACGGAAGATTGAATCCATACACCACTGTTGGTTCTTGTGAGCTTAGTCTTCTCTTTCCGCCACATTTGTAGGAGCACCGCCAGATCCTCATCCCATTGTCGCTGCGTCTCCAACGTGTCGAGCGTGTCTCGGAGGAAGTATTGCACATTGGGGTCCTTGCCCTGACGAAGAAGATCCTTCACAGTCGCGGCAAACTTGGCATCGAGGTTGCGCGTAAAGGTATACCCGGGGTTGTCAATGAGGATCCGAATCAGCATGATCGCATTGTATTGCATGTTGGCCGGCGCCACGGCGGATGTGTCGGATAGTATTTTGCGAATCCGATGCGCGGCTTCGCGGGCGGCATTGGGACTGGACTCGGCGCTTTCGACGATACCAGGAAGGTGAACATATTCGGTGCTTTGCTGTTTTCCACAGGGCATTCCATTAGTCTCCATCTGTAGGTCGGAATATAGGCACAAAACTTCCGGGTTCCCTATACGTACCGAATTGCCAGGACCTGCGCCAGCTTCGCAAAAGGCATTCTATTCATGCACGCCAAAATGTCAGTCCGATAATATGTTCCGAGTCCATGGATACACATTTGCGACAGGAAACACACCACTTCTCTTAGGATAATGCCCTCCGGAGAGTCCGCGGGGTATATCGGGGGGCTGTCTAGCGAGGAGGACGCTGTTCCTGGCGATGAGTAACCAGCTGATTGATTAGATATCGCAGAAACCAGGACAACACCTACTGGATCTCTTGTTGAAGGAGCCCAATATACGCTTCATGATGTCGACAAACCAAGAGAAAGACAATGGACAAGGATAGCTACCAGATGAGCAGATAGAAAAATAGTACCAGGAGGGAGAGTCGTGGTTAGGCAGTTTGTTGGTTTCTTTCTTAGTGAGATAAACACGCTTAGGTAAGGCAGCGCCGGTGGCAAGACGCTTCACAGCGACACGCAAGCCTTTTTATCCCTTTCTCTGGAACGCCCCAGAGGTGACGCTGGTGAAAAGAATTACTCATGGCGCGTAATTCTAGGCAGGCCAACTCCATTTGTCAAGAATGATGATGCCTTGGGATATGCGGCGATTTCGACAAGCTAGGGGCGTTGGCACATACGTATACATATACATACGCCTGATCCATACTGGTGTTTAAGATTAAGCTTACATCGTCATCAGTTCCTACGGTTGCTGGATCCCTCTAATCTCTGGTTCAATCGATTCGTAGAGACCCATTAAGCTCGGGGAAGACCAAGTCTGTCAGTGCAGATCTGCCTGTACGCTGTGGCCCAGCTCCAAGCAGCACAGCCACTCTTGGCCAAAGCTATCATTTGTTGAATAATATTCAACCGGCCTACAACAGCCAGTGGAGATAAGACTCGTCACCGGAAACAACTTGTAGGCTCGTACGCGGACAGGCAGTCTACCATAGTAGATCAAGAGATACGCTACGATCGAGTGATGTACAATTCCTGGCCCAGTTGAGGATCATCGAATAGGCAAAGGATAGCAACACCCGTTAATTGTTGGCCAACTTCAGGAAGAAAAAAATCCATAACCCATTCATAAAACAACGCTCCATAGTATTTCGAAGTATGTGGGAATATGCCTGGGTCAGGCTGCACCCCAGTAATCGCATTCGATGATCGTCGAGATCCGTTTGTCCGGCGTGGTCAAAACGCTCTCCTTCCTGATTCATGAGGCGAAAACAGAGGATGCAGAACAAACGGTCATGGGTAGGAACACATCATATCAACAGTTAAGGATCTAGAAACGTCATCCGCGCCCGTTCGTTTTGAAATTTTTTTCCTTTGGATAAAAAGATTTAATTTGTTTTGTATTCCTTCCGTGACAAGGTATTTGTTCCGTACAACAGAAAACTCCGGCTTTCCCATTCATTTTCCGACTACTTTACTACTCCTCCGGCACCCACAGACCGCTTATGCCTGGATGGCACGGCGGATCTCAGCACCACGCTGACGGGAGCTGAGGCGGACTTCCTGCTTGGCAACGGGACCCTTCTGGACGACCTCCTCGCCCTCAGTGAGGATCAGCTCGATGTGGCAGGGGTTGGTCATGTAGGGGTTGATCTAGGTTTCCACAGTCAGTACCCCAACGAGGCGAATGTCACTGGACGGAAGAGGATCCACATACACGACCGTGGGCACGGTAGGTACGTCTGCGGCCCTTGGGAGCCTGGTTGACCTGGATGTGCTTGACAATGAGGTTGCCAGTATCGAGACCCTTGGTGTCGGCGTTGGCCTCGGCGTTCTTCAGGAGGTCAGTGAGGAACTGGGCGGACTTGATGGGCCAGCGGGCCTTGCTGACACCCCACTGCTTGCCTGTATAGTGAAAACAGATTGTCAGCGGTCTTGCTTCTTCTGCGCCTGTTTCTTTTGATATCCTATCCTTCGCCCCCATTTTTTCCCACTCATTGCGCTTCTGTCCATATGATGCCATCGTTTCGTCGCAAGTTCCACTTTTCGCATCGATTTCCAATCCGTTCTCTCCTTCCAACATATCCAACTGTAAAGAAACTTTCACCACTCACCCTGAGCGCAGCGGCCAGTGCTGCCAGCGTACCTCCGCATGGGGACAGCCTCGGCCTTGTTCGAGACATTGTCGAGGAAAGTGAGGGCCCTCTGTAGCTTCATACCGCTGATCTATTTTCCAAGTCAGTTCCACTCATTGCACGATGAGTGTCTGACACTCACACTATGAGCAACTTCACGAGTATTCTTGAAAGACACTCGCAGATAAGAGCCCCGGGCGCGGGCGCTCTTCGCGGCCGGAATGTCCTGAGCAGCGTAGCGGACCTAAAAAAGAGAAACACGGAATCAGAAAAAAGGCCATAATAACGCTTTCAATTATACGAAGACGCGCAAAAGAATTTGAATATAATCGTGTTTTCATACCATTTTGATGTTTGCCGGGCGTGAAATTTGTCGTCAGAGGTCGTGGGCAGAATTAGTGTCGATATTTCCATTTTGTGTGATTTTCTAAGCGAGCGGGAAAAACGCTTGACCGCCTCCGGTCAGCTGACAGCGCCGACGACCAACACAGATAAAGTAGACAGCATACTACTTTTTTTTAATTTTTTATTATTGTCTTGAGATATAGCAATTCAAGAGTTTCACATTGCAAGCTAAAAAATAATCTACAGCGTAATGGATATACGTAGTACGGGTCCCTAATACAAGCAGTTTGTCTTCTTCCGCACTACCTTCATTTCCTTAGGTAGGATCGAAGAGAACCCGCTACTGGAAACGTCGGCGGCTCCCCTCACGCCACTGCGCTATGCAACATCCACCGCATTTGTAGAGATTCCCATGAAGGAAGTGGAAGAGTAATTGGGACGTTTGTCCAGAAAACAAGGATATCCCCTAGCAGATTTTCTTGTCCGAAATACAGTCATAGCTCGGGTTATTTTGCGTTCCGTCAAGGTCGCTGGGAAGGGACGGGCAAGACACAAGGTCTGTATGATCCATGATACCGGAATGGAACTGCGAAGTGTTCTCATACCTGCTTTATTTGTGTATGATCCTAGATGTTATAGCTAGGCAAGAATCACAACTTTCAGGCAGGAAAGTCAAATATATAACCGTGATCTGGATACGTAGTAGATAACGAGGCATAAGAAAGGAAGGGTTCTGATTCAGATAGTCGACACCTTGATATCAGCCGGTAGATATAAAGCATGCTATAGTAATAATATACTATGAAGAGCAGCCAAACTATTTGTGGGCAGCGTCTATATTGCAATTGAGCCATTTCCCCACTTCGCTATAAAATGTTGTATGCTTCGTCGGAAGATTCGGTGTTTGCAACTAGATCCTTGATTTCTTCAATTAACACCGTCGTATTCTTTGAATTCGGAGTTAAACTAGTTCTGTAAGGAGAGATTCATATCTCCCTTGTAGCATTGTATAGTTATTTCTCTACTCTCAACAACATCATCGACACAAGAATTCATTTGGGAGGTTGAGGCTGCGTCAACCTCTTTTCCCTTATCTGGCAAAAGAGGATTGAGAGAGGCTTTTTCAGTGTAGGACTGATCTCTTGGTCCTCGATCAGGAGACAGGCTGAAAACAATCAAGGAAAAAGAAACGGGGATGTTTTAAGGTTGATTGTGTCCTTGGACAGGAGAAAAGAGAATGGGAATTAGTTCGTGGGTTTTTGATTAAGATGTGTATTCAAAAGAGGTAGCTGTGACGATACTCACCTTTATATCACCCCTTCTCTTCCTTTCCTGCTTTTCATTTGTTTCTTACCTTTCTGAGAGATTAAGACAGTAATGTCTTAGCCTCCTTATTATGTTTATGCTTAGTTTTTGCCTCAATTTCACCTTTCTATGAACTTCCTGTAGCCTCACTTGCAGATGGCTATGCTTAGGACATGCAGCAAGCCTCCTATTTCTTCTATTTTAGTACTACTATATGGTTATTATCTCCCTTCTCTACTACTAAGTGTAGGTTATCTAGCACTAACAGCTCCATATTCTTCTGCGTCTCATAGAGATAGCTCCAATGCTGTGCAACGGAGGAAATCAGGCAAGCCTGCGTGTAAGAGAAGAAAAAGGCAGATTGCTTCCCTTGTATGCCAGATCTAGAGTTCCCTAACTCGTGCCGTGCCTCTCACCGGAGAACGCGCGATAAAACCCGCTGGCACATGAAGACAGACAGACCACTAACCCCAGACAGACTGTGATAGACAGAACCTGTAGTTTCATATTTATTAGACGGAATGGAGAAAGGAGAGCTTCGGAGTATAGGTTTAGCTCGACTTCAATAAGCCTGCAGTGGAACCTGGCCAGTTAAACCCCAGGGTAATAACTTCTTTGACACTTTCTCTGGTCCCCAACCATCTCATTCTTTAAACTTTCATTTATTTGACTCCTGGTATACTGGTATACCCGTTTTTCTCTATCTTTCACGTCTTATTCTTGGCATCCCATCTACTGCAGAAAATGAAGTAAACTGGTTCCATCCTCGCCCTCGCCGGTCTGCTCTCCCTGGCTCATTGTCATAGCTTCGTCACCAGCCCGAAGCCCCGTGCACCTGGGTCAGCCATGGAGTTCGCCTGCGGTCAGCGGGTCAAGTTCAACCAGCAGTCCGATAACTATGGCAACTTTCAGGGCGAACTCTAGATCGCTAGTGGGTAGAATGACTGCAAGGGCTACAAGTTCGCCGATAATAAGGACAACGTCTACTCGTACTCTGCCGCCAGAAGATCAACTTCAAAGTCGATCTCCGTGCCCCTCATACCGGTGTTGCCAATGTCTCTGTTGTTGATACAGCCTCCAATACTATCATCGGTACTCCTCTGAAGTCCTGGGATGAGTACGCCTCCACTGCCACCAGCGTGAAGGACAACCAGACTAGTTTCAGCGTGGCTACGCCCGATGAGCTTGGCAATAAATGCTCTAAGACTGGGGCCTGTGTGCTCCAGTGGTACTGGTTCGCCGAATAAATTGACCAGACCTACGAGTCTTGTGTTGACTTCACCCTGGACGGCTCAGCGTCGGGCTCTAGCTCCTCAGTTACTTGTACCGTTCCCGTCGCTGTCACTACTCCTAGCACGGCCCCGACCACTCTGGTCACCAGCGTGAAGCAAGTCCCTACCTTTGCTGCCACATCTGTCCATTCCGGGACTGGACCGCCAAGGAGCAGCTCAGCTTCCTGGGCAGCCTCTTTAAGGGCCCCCTCCGGCAGGTCCGGTAACTGGTCGTCTCATGCCGATTTGCATATCTATATGGGATTCATGGTGCATAATAATAAGGCGTATTGAACTAGAAATATAAATTTGGTTGTGTTTGGCTTTCGTTGTAGAATTGCATTGCATGTCCGTGATGTTTTTCTCGGGAAAACTCCCGTCATAAGAGTTAGGGCTGTCAGTGCACAATATGACTAATCTAAATTGTGCATTGTCGTATGAACCAATCAGGAAAAGAAGCGCAACACGGGATCTCTATCATTTCTCTCTCATCTTTCTCAACAACATTTCCAAGTTGATATCAGTCTCAGCCATGGAGGACAGCCATTTCCGTTACAGTGCCTCTCATCAACCCTCTCCCTTCTCCCCGAACACACATCCTCTCCCCCGAGACCGATCCGCCTCAATGCTCTCCTACAACGAGGCCACTTCCACCGCCCTCGAACCGCATGCTCCGCAGCATCGTAACGGCACCACCAGCGACGAAGAAGGCCAACCTCCCCCGCGATACACCCGCGAGAATGACCCTTTCCGACTAGCCTCCAAGCTGAAGACAGCCGAAGAGATCCGCCAGATCCAGCCACAAGCCAACATGGCGCGTAAACGAGACAGTTGCACCCCCGCTACCATCATCCGACGGACCAAGACCCCCAAGGAAGCACTAGCCCGGACACTCGCATCCAAACAGCAACTCCAGGGCTTCTACGAGTCTCAGAACGAGAACATCGAACGCATGCTCAAACCCGTCGAGGAACACGTTCGCGCCGCGCGCGAAATCAACACAAACAATCAACTCAAATACAAGATCGCCGTGTACGGCAGCTTCATCGCGAACGTCATCCTCTCTATCCTGCAACTCTACGGCGCCATTGCATCGGGTTCCCTCTCCCTCTTCACTACCATGGCGGACGCCGTCTTCGATCCCATGTCCAACCTTACTCTGCTGGTGTGCAACAAGGCCGTTAATCGCGTCGATCCGCGGAAGTTCCCAGCGGGGAAAGCCCGGATCGAAACAGCGGGTAACATCTGTTTCTGCTTCCTTATGACTGCCGTCTCGTTCATCCTTATCGCTTTCTCCATCCGCGAGCTAGCAGAGGGTTCCCAGTCTGAGACGGGCCAGTTTCATCTCCCGTCTGTTATTGCTGTTGTTGTCGCGTTCTGTACGAAGCTCGGTCTCTTCGTTTACTGCTTTGCGCTGCGGAATCAGGTGTCTCAGATTCGTATCCTCTGGGAAGACCATCGGAATGATCTGCTCATCAACGGATTCGGTATCCTTACCTCTGTCGGTGGAAGTAAACTCCGCTGGTGGATTGATCCCATGGGCGCTGTCATTCTTTCTGTTCTTATTAGTTGTCTCTGGCTTCATACCGCTTATCATGAGTTTCAGCTTCTTATCGGTGTCACCGCCGATACGAAGATGCAGCAGTTGATTACGTATATCTGTAAGTCCCTACTGCATTTGTATAAAAAGAAGGGAGGAAAGACGAAGAAAGAAGAATAGGGGAAAGAGAAGAGAGAGAAAGCTAACGATCAAAGCAATGACCCACTCCCCCTTCATCACCGCCATCGATACCGTCCGCGCATATACCTCCGGTCCTCGCCTTCTCGTCGAAGTCGACGTCGTCATGGACCCTAATGACTCCCTGCGTGCGACGCACGACGTCGCCGAGGAATTGCAGATGAAGCTTGAGTCTCTGCCTGATGTCGAGAGGGCTTATGTCCACGTGGATTACGAGACTACGCACAAGCCTGAGCATTTCCTGAAGAAGGAGCTGTAATTGTAATCTACTGAAGTTCAACAGGCATTATATAGAGCTTTATGCTTGTTACTATGAACGATATTATATATATGCTGATATTACGATGTTAGAAATAGACAATCTCAAATCAATGTTTTTATATCTAATAACGAAGTGGTATCCGCAAACAGACCTCCCACGTACTACTATACCCTGAATGACATACAACCTAGAACCACTGTTATAGCCATGACTCTTCATAATCAATTCCACAAGACCAATGTAAGACGATAGGATATGTATGTTATGTATGTACGAGCGTCACCTAAAAGAAAAGTGTGACTGACCAAGACACCCAACGAAATAAGACAAGAAATGAAAGTACTCTGCGAATTCAAAATCAATCACGACTGCTCGAATAGAGCAATCGTGGAGCAAAAGTTACTCTCGTTCTCATTCTGAGGCACCAGACCCCTACCGTCCGACGAGGTGATCATGTTGGTACTGGCCTTTGTGCTAAGCCCGTAAAGGTGAACATCCGAGCAATCCACCTCAACCATGTTCTCCTGGCAGGACTCGGTATCCAGACAGCTTTGGCCGTAGTTATCGAAGAAGCTGTACAAACCAGCGCCATAGACGTAGGTCTGCGACGAGTTCATGATGCGGAGACCCCAGGCCTTGCGACAGGAATCGGTGGTGCAGGAGGAGAAGTCAGGGTCCTTCCACTTCGGTTGCGATTTGAACGGGGTGAGCGCGTTGGGGTTGGACTGGTAGTACGGCGTCTCGGACTGAATCAGGCCCATGAATACGTTCTGAGCGTTGGTGATCTGGTAGTTGTACAGCTGATTATGCTCGGAGGCAGTTCCGTACAGCCACACGGGCTTCTGACTCTCGATCAGGACACCCCGGCCGTTGTACACATTGATCTGGTTGTGGTCGGGGAGGTCCAGTTCGTGATCGGCGGTCCAGAACCAGGCGTTTTCAATGTAGGCACTGGCCTTCTCGGTTAAATGCAACAACATGAAGGCACCAACGCACTCCTCGTTTGGAGTGGTGGTCTGCTTAGGCGTCTTGGCACACTTATCGCTCTGCAGCTCGGTGCCAGCGGAACCCCCAATGCGGAAGTGAACATCCCACATGCCAACGGAGCCCTGGGTGGCTTCAGCGACGTTCCATTGCATCAGGATAGCACCGGGAGCAGGCCCCTTGGTCTGGACGGCAAGATCGGTGATCTCGACGGAGCCGGTGTCGCCTGCCTCGCCGATCTGGAGCATGGGGATGGGGTTCTCTTCATCACCGAACTTGGCGCCATGCGCCATGAGTACGGGCCAGATTTCACCCGTGATCTTTATGTTCTTGGGAACCTTGATCGTGTCGGTGATAATGTATGAACCATGATCGAAGTAGACAATCTGGTCCTCGCTGACGCTGTCAAGTACCTTTTGGATGGCTGCGGTGTCGTCGGTCGAGCCGTCTCCCTTAGCACCTGCAGACCGGACGCTCACAAACGAGGATGCCGCATAGTTCTCGTACAGAGGCTTGGAGCGCTCGAAGATCTTGCCACCGGCTGTCAGACCACTAGGCTTCGCTTGAGAGGGTAGAGAAGTCTGTAAACGGGTCTTGGTGACAGCCCTGCTCGAGCACTGGGCAGGCCCATGAGAACTGACCGGCGTGGGCCTATGCGAAGATGGCGGGTGGATGAGCGGGATAGACGTCCTAGTGGTTGTACCCGACAGGGCAGGAGTACTGGACGGGGATACCGATGATGGAGTCCCGGGCGGTTTGGTGGCAGAAGGTTCGAAGCCGGGCATACTCAAGGTCCCGTGGAAGGACGGGAAGACTATGGACTGAGAAGCCTGCGACACAGCCGTATTTGCTGTAGTTTGGGGGCCTTGGGCCATATTCGTTGTCGAGGGAGCACAGACGGAGTCAGAGTAACCCGAATCACAGGCTGTGACGGTCTCATAAACGGTCTCAGTCACCACTTCCACTGGCGCAGCACGCTTGTTGAGAGAGCCGGAAGGAGTATAGCTGTTGCCTTGGACCCAGTTTGACACCACAGACCCTCCCTCAAGGATAGTACGGCCGTCGATGCTCGCCACAGCCGCCTGGGAACCGCTGAAATCCACATTGTCCAGGACCAAGGCACCACCACCGATCGGAATACTGTTCTCGGTGAAGGCCGTAACAACACCCGTCGGCGTGTTGGTGAGTGTGCTGTCCAGGATCAGGACAGATCCAACGGTCTGGTTCTGAGGGGAATTAGACATATTGAGACCGACTTCGCAGTTATTGATAGACAGCGACTTGAAGGTCCATGCCCAGTTCCAGTTCATGAAGATGGCCGTATTGCAGTCATTAAAGGTCAAGTTGCGCGTGGTGAACTGCTGGTTGCCCAGGAACACGCCGTAGTTGCCGCCATTAAACACGAGGTCAGACATGAAACCACCGGAACCATTGTCCATGAAGATACCCTGCTGTTTGTTGGCCCCGCCACCGCCCTTGATCATCTCAAAGCGGATATTTTGCAGGCTCGTGGCCTGGCCGACCTGCCAGTGGATCCCTGCCCCCGCACCTTGTGGCATTGCAGTCAGATCAATAACAAAATTGCGAATCGCCCGGAAAAAATTGTTCTGGTTGGTGTACCAGTTCGAGCCATCGTTTTCGTATGGGTCCGCATCAATGACTGCCATCCCTGTGAAACCCGCAGCGGCCTTGATCACCGGAAGATCCAAGGCATCGCCCACCATCTGCGTATAGTAGTACTGAACGATGGGTTTCGAGACGACGTAGGTCCCAGGAGGGAAGTACACCAACGCCGGGGTCACTGTTGAGGAGTCACAGCCCTTGCCGCAGCGATTGCCCGATGAGATGGCATTGTTAATTGCTTCGGTATCGTCCGCGGAGCCATCACCTATTCGACATCAGTCGACTTGGTCTCTCCCAGCCCCGACAGGAATGGGAGTGGACATACCTTTAGCACCGAAATCTCGTACGTTCCGGTAAACTTGATAGTCAGTGCTGTTGCCGAAAGCCACTACCCCCCCTGGCGCTTGATATTAGCCACCCAGAAGTCGGAGTCTGCGGCGGCAGCCACCTGGTCGGTGGCTTGCAGCGTTTGTGGTGTGGGAATGGCGTTGACCCAGGCCACGAGCAGAATAAGCTGGGTAACCCATAGCATGGTTGCCATGCGTAGAGAAGCCATCTTCAAGATGACGAATGTGATATCACTGAGCCAGCAGAGATCAAGAAAAAAAAAGGTGCCACAATATGAATGTCGCAGCTAAATGGTACTTCAGCAGCCAGCACTGAAGGTATATAGATTGGGTGATTAGGCAGACACTGCCCGTTGCTGTGTTGTGCAGGAAGATCAACTCGGGTCACACGTCGGAGTCAGAAGGTGCGAGGCACAAGTCACAACAGAAGGGAGTCGAGGAAGAGAAAGGTCAAGTGCCCTAATCCCAGTAACAATAATGATTCCCTGGGAGGCTAAAATAATCAACGCAGGAATGAATGGACAAGTGAATAAACAAACTAATAAAGGAGCGCAACACCCGAAACACAACGCTGGCAGCAATCAACAAATGAATAGATGAATGAGCGAATGAATGAATAAAGGAAGAGAAAGGATAGTGGGAGAGGACAATGAGCAGCAATGTATAGCACCACAAGACCACCCACTACTGCCCACTGATTAACCTATGGCTGTAATTAAAGGTGATGATTATGAAGTCCTTCTGATACCATTGAATGATACCGTACGGTAATTGTCTGTAGGGTTTACCTCCCACCAATCAAACACCACACTCAGTGTGCAGATCCCCCCCCCCGCGCGAGCCAATCGCGTCAACAATCACCAAGCCTCAGCCGAGGCGTGAAACGCTTGGGATCAGGGGTGAAACGAATGAAAGCGGCCTAAATGATGGTCAATGTCGGATGATTGGACAAAGTTTGAAAAAGAGGGCACATGAAAAGGTCATACTTGTATCAGATGGTGTAGTCCTCAGATCAATGAGTGGCAAAGGGTTGGGGAGAGGAAAGCCTGGACCACGCTCTGCGGAGAATAAGGAGGGAGAGAGAGAGAGAGAGAGAGAGAGGAAGAGAAGGAAAAGAGACTTATCAGGAGAATGTGATTTATTGGGCGCAATCCGATTATATACATCAGCTGTACGGCTAGGGCCTTGATCAACATATTCTTCCTTCTCAGCAATGCCTGCTGGAGATCTCGAGAAGAACAAACAAGAAAAAAAAAGAAACCCCGGTCTGATTATCATACCAATAGTCCGAACGCCATGCATCGTCCACCCGGAACTTGGAAGAGCATTGCGACTGACGAATTGGTGGGCTTGGGTCTGGAATCCTGGCCTTGCCTGGGGAACGGGATGAGACAAACAGAAACCGTTTGGAAAAAGTATCATCCGACCACTGAGCAATGGAAGTGCGTGAGAGCCATCGCAACGGACAACGATAAAAGATAACCTAGCATTCTTCAGGCCACTGAGGCCAACAACCAGCCGATTTGGGGTCTGGGCAGTAATGTTAAGGTCGGCATCTAACCCGATCCCACTAACCTGTTCCGGTGCGGTGCCTTGACGCTGTACATTGTATTATTGAAACTATGGCCAATACCCATGTCATGTAAGTAGAGTAATCGTAAAGTATCCGTCCTTAGCTGCAGGATGTATGCACACCAACATGGCTGTACGCGTGTAAGAAAGCGGGATGTGACCCACTGGCATATCTAGGGGTGTTACTATGGAGTACAATATATGGGTCTCGACTACAGAGTAACAGGTACCTAGTATCTCAAGATCATCATGAGTCTGACCTACCTACAATAAATACCAGCACCCAGTTCGGAGTACCTAGTACCAGATATAATATAAGTATAACCTAGGCGCTACCGTCACCGTTTTTCTTTCGCACAATTCATACAGCAGAGACTGTACTAAGTCTGACCACTTGATGATCCAGATGACCCGCTCGATACTTAGCTCCGTAACCTACCAGGAGACAAAGGCCTCTCTTAAAGACGACTAGTGAAGGTAATCAGCCGCGTCCGATGATTGAATTTCATGCAGTATGCACCTTCTCAAAACCACCGCTCATTCGTCAATCTCTCTTGGCCCTGGTTTGTTTTTTGTGAAGAATGTTGCGGCAAATAGATCAACTAGGCGGCACTCATCCCTTGGCACTTCCGGTATCCGACGATGTCGATCGCCAAGTCTGCTCGAGGTCATCTGCACTGGGTTACTACGCAGTACATCGGGGTGTCTGTCACGTTCAGCATTCAGAGCAGTTCCCTAAAATAAAGAAAATAATAATGATAATAAAAAAAGCTATAGTGCATGTTTCAGAAAGAAGGGAAGGAAAACCCATTCTCTTTTTCTAACCCTGCACGTCCTCGGTCTTAAATTCATGGAACTCGGCTCTCTCCTCATGATCCAGACTGGCTGAGTCCAGGTTCCCGAGCGGATCGGACCGCCAACTATCCTTGGTTAAGGACACAAATTTCGCGAAATCTCGCGAGACGAGAACACAGCTCATTCCTTCCTCAATGCGCTGCCTATCGCACACGCGAATCGACGAACTCCTTCCACCAATTTATCTTCGTGCTCCCAGGCAAAACAAAGTCGGACGCCACGGTCAAAGTCATCGGGACCAGCCGATGGGTCACCCTGAACCTGGAACAAATTGCCTGTCGCCACTCTCACCTTCTTTTCCTTCAATGCCACGGCGGCCAGCTCAATCGCGCGCAATGGGGCCGGCAGTTGAACCCAGATGAAGTATCCACCAGCCACTTCCGATGCGGAGGGTAGGGTGACCCCCAAGGGGAGCAGGTATTCACGAATGGCCCCCATCAGTCGGTGATATCGGTCAGCGTACATCGGCCTGAGGGACTTCTCCAGGTACTGCGGGAAAACTCCCGTGGGGAACAGCTGATCGATGATAACGGCTGCAAGCTGAGATGGGGCACCTCCAGACCGACTCGAGCCTCTGGTTAATCACTTCGGGTTAGCTTTCCGCGTACCAACCATGGCTGTTCCGTTTGCAGGTCAGGGAAAGACATACGCTTGGGAGATGCCGAAGGCCATTTTCTCCGTGCCTTCCGCCCATCCAGTTCGGGCTCCGGGGCCGATCAGCTTGCTGAAACTTCCGTTACTTACCGCGTTGCCCCATTCGTCCTTGGGGCCGCCGTCTAAATAACGATCCACATCGACAAGACGCGGGAGAGCGGCTCTGTTCGGCTGAGCGAGGGACTTGTTGGGGTCTGGGGACCATTGCAGAAAATCATAAACATCGTCCGTTACGATCAAGGCATCAAATTCTCGGGCCAGCTGAACTAACTCCTTCCGGTCCGATAGGGACATGGTCAGAGTTGACGGGTTGGAAAAGGTAGGTGTCGCATAGATGAGATGTTTGTAGATCTTTCCCCATGGCCGGGTTGGTTTGTGGTTCTTTAGATGATCAGTTTAGGTTCGGTAAATGAGAATAGAAAGGGAGGCAATCGGATTCCTTTAATTCTGGGGAAAGCGATCAAGGGCAGAATCTACCGTACAGGCTTGGAATTGCCTTCAGCGCTCGCTTTCTCCTCCGCTGCGATCAACTCCCGACGGAGATACGCCAAATCCAAACCCAACTCGTCCATCGGAATTCCTCGCATGCGACCTGTGAACCCGGCATCATCCATGATCCGACATGCCAGGAAATACGTGGGTGCCACCATCCAGACATTTCGGGTATAGATGGGATCGGTAAAGACCTGCAGGATGCAGGCCAAGTTCTGACTGGCGCCGCCCGTGATGCAGATACGATCGAGGGAAATGGGATCGCGGGGCTGATAGAATGACGTCAGCCACTGAGCGATATGTTGTCGCAGCGGCCCATAACCTTCATCGGGGCCATACCGCAAGGCTTGTTTGCTGATATCCGGCGACCCCATGACCGCGGCGGAGGCCTCAGCCAGGGCGGTCATGGGTAATAAGCCGGGGTTTGGATGACCACGGAAAAGGTCGATTATATCCTGTCCAAAGGAGCCCATTTTTGTTGCGGCGCGAAGAGGAAGTTGATCTGTGAGTCGAAAGGACAACCCAATTTGGTTCTAAGGGCAGTGAATCCAGAGGCGCTTCACGGTCATTCGTGACTAAATTTATAGTTGCATTTTACCTAGGCCACTACTCATATATTATCTCCTGGGCCCCCTGCGAGAGCTGCACAGTCTGCATCAATCTTCCTAGAATGGACGTGAGAAGGTCGATTGGTATGTAAGAATGCTGGGTACTTCACGCACGATTGGTGAATGGGAGTCCCGATCATTGTTGTCGGAAAAGCAGTAAATCCATCTCCGAACCAGGCAGCCAGGGATGGCTGACTCGCGATTATCTCTGCTCCAAACACTGCAAAATCTTTCAAAATCATTGGTCAGAAGTCAGAAAAAAAAGACTCGTCATTTCCATGGCCAATAAATACCCACTACTGAATGGTGCCAACGTAACACGTCAAACTGGAAACATCATGCACCTACGTATGTATGTCTAGAAAGCGTGGCGGTACTCCGCTCCGAAGTACGTACTTGGGGCAGTTAGGTACCTTTTGTAGCAAGATGTGGCCTGCGCACGTCCAGTGGTTGGCTGCTATTCTTAGCGCGTCTCCTCCTGTTCTTCCTTCTTCCTTCCCGGCCAACTTAATGGCTTCTTCCCCCCTCTTCCCGTGGAGGATGGATTAGGTTGGGTTGGTTGAACACCACCCCCCGCTCGGCTTGACGTACTCCGTAGATTAGAGACGGGAGGTTAACTATGTAGTTGGATTTAGGTAATAGTAATAATGGAAATATAGCCAACTAAGTCGAAATTGGTTGGGAGTAGCGAGAGAGGGGAAGTGGGCAGTATAGTAACGATCCGAATATATAATTTTCTGTTTACTCCTGAATCGGATGTTATCCAGTCATCGGGTATATAGTATATATGTGTGTATGAAATATATATGGGAGGACTATACGGAGTATAGACAACAATTATTAAGAAACTTTTGATTATTGAATTTGCATGAGAACCGAACCCGGTGTAAAAAAATTAATTGCTTTAGTGAAAGACCTGGGATTGAGATGGCCTGATGGCTTCGTGGCCCTAAGGAATTGTGTGCGTGGTAGAAAACTATTACGCTATAGAAAGCGGAAGTGACAGAATTAATTACTGGATTTCTGGTCCAATGCATCTTTGTTTACTTTCTCCTATACCCATCTGTGTCCCCTACAAAGGACTTTTAGGAGGATAACTCTGATCATCACTATGCCCATAATCTGACCACTAGTTATTGATATTCAGCTACATGTTTGCAGCCCATGTTACTGATCCCACCCTAGCTCATGTCTATCAACGCTTATGTGTGGCATATAACTTGTCGAAAAGTATGGATTCCACCAGCCCAGTTCAAACCGGGTGATTCGCTTTTCCTTTCCGTACTGGACGGATTGTGGTCATGGGCCCTCCCAACACTTCGTTTGAATTCGAAAAGATCTTCGATAGGCTGAAAGAAACAACCAGGACCATAACCCATACAAGCCTTGCACTTATGGATGCTTAAAAGTCAAATTCACAGAAAACTTGCCCATCCCGCGCGCATCCTGGGACGCTGTATAGGAGAATCTCCATATATACTTATACCGCCCGGGTGACCGTTGGTAAGTGGATGAAGAAGCCTGGTTGTTCTTGGTCACCTCAAAGCCAACTGCCAGTACCAAGTCTGGTTACAGAAAGAGGACTTTTGGAATTAGGCTCGCACCTTGCAGCCGGTGCAAGAAGATGGATTGCTCAACCCTATTTTTAGAATGGGCATTACAGAATGAAGAATTCTGTTGGTTTTGGAAGATAGCTAAATGCAAAGTGAATTAGAAAACTGTTTCTTGCGCTAGTCCACTATATGGAGACTATATAGAGTACTGTAAAAAGACTGGGCAGTGGTAGTAAGAAAGCGGACCGAGGAGGCAGAATAGAAGGATTCAATCGGCCCGCTAGTTAAATAGTCTCGTACGTATACCGGAGAAGGTGCGTAGGCTGTGTCTAAAATATGCGTGTACTTTACAGAGTTTAAAAATATCTAAATAATGACGTGAGATACTGGAAGTAGGCATAATAGTCCGAATGCATATTGGATACCTGGGTAACGGAGTCCTCCGGACGGAGACTATTTTCTGAGTACAGCAAATAGACCAGGGTCCAACGCACATACAGGGATGCATGACACCCACATCTGATAGGCAGCTACCAAAAGGGTTAATACCAAATAAAACCTCAATCCAGATTTTCCTTATTCTGTAGACTGGCTATTTCATCCAGAACCCAGCCAGTATTTAAATCCATTTAATTCAATCAATATCGACGGCTCCGGGATCTACTCTGTATATTGGAATATGATGGAAGGGGATTCCAGACACAGCCGTGACAGGATGATGATGCCTTGCATGTAGTATCCATCCGGTGATTCCTGAGACCTGAGGCCCAGCCATGGTGGGTGCTTGGCTCCAATGACGAGGATGTTAACAGATGATTCTGCCTTGGGAGAGAGGCGGAAAGGGACCCGAATTGGCGAAACAAAGAGGAAAAAAAAAAAAAAAAATAAAAAATAAAAGAACAGCACACACCACACGCTTAGCCTTTCAAGTTTCGACCCATATCGGCACTGGGGGCAACAAATGAGGCTATCAGCATCGCCATGCGGTTCTGAATCCGTTACTGTTAGCCTCCTGAGCCCAAAAAACCCACACAGCCTCTGCCCACTTGCTAGAATGGGGTTGGTCTGTTGTCCTTCCGTCCGTACTCCGAAGGGGGAAAAAAAAGGCAGGATGACAGCAATTGTTTTGAGATCAATTTAGAGAATAAAGAAAATAGAATAAAGAAAATAGACAGTAGAGATAGATAGAAAGAAAGGATAAGCAAGAGGTTCTGACAAGAATGAGACTGTCTCAGTAGTTTAGTATTTTGTGAGCATCATAAGAACAAGGTGATTATTCTCTTATCCTCTGAAACCCATCATTTCTTCCGATCTGATTGATTTGACAGACGGAGTCGTCTCTGATTCTGATTCTGATTCTTATCCTGATTCTGATTCTGATTCCTTACAACACGAAACCCATGGATGAGCGAGTTACATGAATCGATCGCGATGGATTGAATTTTCTGGGCTCCACCCGCTTGGTTTAAAAATAATCCTTCAATCCGCATTCACACCAGTCACGCAGGAGAAGAGTCTAAGCTACGCCAGAAGGACGCCAGAACAAGACAATTTTTTAATATTATGATATTATCTTATTGAAAAAAATAAAAAAAACGGAACAGAAAAAAAACCACGCCTTTTCTCTCTCTCTTTCTCTCTCTCTCTCTTCCATTTCTGTCACTTTCTCTCCTTCTTCTCCCCCAGTACTCCGTACAGTCAAATCCACTTCCCCCCATCCGACCAACCGACACTGCCTCTCTCTTTTTCGGCTTCGTTATTCTACTGTTTTGGCCTCTCTCTCTCTCTCTCTCCCCCTCTCCTCTCTTTTCCTCTCTTTCCTCCATTCTTTGGATCCCTCCTGCCGATCCATTCCCCAATCTAGCCTGCCAACCAACCATTGCCGGTGACCCATTCACGCTTCCGTCTACTTTCAGCGACGGGGAATTCCTCGTCCATTCGGCCCAGAAGGGTTTCGCATGGTTGGTCGTCTGGCATTCTTTCTTACCTCACTTCTTCGTCTCTCTCACTGCCTACGATTGACTCCCTACGCGTGACCGTGACCGTGATCTATTCCTCTGTCGTGGCTTCACCCGCTTATCGACTTCCTCCCCCCTCGCCCCCGTCTTTTCTCATCCCAAGGAGCTCAGAAGATGTTGTCCGCTCCGGTGAAATCGGCCAAGCGGATATCTTCGCTCTTTTCACTGGGATCCAATAAGGATACCTCCATCCCTTCGTCACCAGGATCGCCCGTTTTTTCGAAACCCTCACCCGACCAGCTACCTCAGGATGCGCTTCGAAGCAGTTCCCGAATCAGCCGGTTCGCCTCCAACCCTCATGTCGTTGACCACACGGAGCCGCTCCCCCTGTCGCCAAATCCCAACGACAACTATGATCTCGACACGCCTTTACCCCCACCCCCTTCCCTTCTCGCGGTCAATCAGGATCTCGCCAACAGTGCTTCGAACTCGCCCGATACGGGAAGACCGCAGAGCCGGGGTCGTCTGAGGAGTTCGAGCAGGCCCTCCAGCTCGGCGGGGCTGTTCGTACCCGGTTCGGGGCCAGACTCGCGCCCCGGAACCCCCTCCAAGAGACGAAGCTGGCTACCGGGACGTGCGCGGGCAAGTTCAGTGGACACCAGACCGTCAGCGAACTCTCAGCTGCCCAGTGCATGGATTGCCGGACTGGACCAGAAAATCCTATACGATCTGGGGCCCCTGGCGAGAGGGGAGCAGGTACGTAATTGCGTGATTTCGAGCAATGTGGACTCTTGTTCTCCCTTTCTCTTCTCTCATGAATGTGTCCTTTGGGACCGCACGTCGCTAAGCATGTCCAACTAACAGGTCCCGGAACTGTGGAATGAAAATGGCGACACCTATGTGTACCTGTTCCCTCAAAACACCGGTCGACCCGCTTCCTTCAAGGTCCATTCCAATGTCTTTGCCGAATCGCCCGCTCTCAACTTCCTGGCACGGGGATCGGATCCCCGAGCCCCCAGCATTCTTGAGCACCAGGCCCGGACTTTGTCGTTAGGAGATCCGGTGATTGGCCATGCATCACCGCTGTTGTCTCCCGAAGATGACCTAGCCGACGATGATAATGACAGCACGGGTAGTAGGCGACTGGCCTTGGTGGAGGATGACGGGCAGGACGAGTACCAGGAGCTTCACCTATATCTACCAGTCCCCGTGACCTCCGACATGTCCCAGCCCCATACGCGCCTCTCGCATGAGGACACGGAAACCCTGCTCTTGTTCCGCAATCTGTTTGCTTTCTTGTTGGGACAGTCCCTGATTGCTACTCCGAGATCGCCGTCCCTCTTCACCATCTTCATGGATGTCGCTACGCTCCTGTCCCGGTTTGAATTCACCAACTTTGACGGGTCCAATTTTGGCGAGACGGTCACCACCAGCTTTGGTAATTACTGCGATGAATTACACCTGGCAGACGTCCGGAAAAGCCGAGAAAAAACCATTGAAGCCATCGTGCTGGGAGAGCGGCTGCGTTACTTCCCGCTTTACCTGGAAGGCTTTGTCCATGGCGTAGGCAAACTGGACGAATTGAAGCAGCTAAGGAGCCCTAAATATAGCCTGATTAGCGCCGTGAGCCAGAAGCGGATGGAACGGGGTTACATTGACCTTGACACACGACTCCGAGTCCTGTACAGCAAGCTCGATGATTTCGACTTCCCGTCGGTGTTTTCGGGGTTTGCCAACTCGGCCACGTCGGTTGAAAGTAAAGTGATCCGCTTCAAGGCGTGGAAGGCTGCGTTTATGGAGTTCCGACGCTTCGTCATGCAGTTCTACCGACAGAAGTATGGCTCCTGGCCGCCCAAGGCGCGGTCCAAGAAGAATCAATTCGAGGAAAGTGGCCTCAACCGCCAGGTATTGAAAGAACTGTACGACGACTTCGCCAATCTCTACGACATGTTGGTCGATCGCTCCGCCCTGACGACTCGGACGGTGGACATGGCTGCCGAAGCCCCCGAGGGGGCGGACCATGACGAGACGGCGATGATGAACCGGGCGCTTCGGCAAGTTATGAGCGAGTACGACCGCAGCACGCCGCCCGTTCAACCCCCTATTCCGTTCGACATCCCCCAGATCCCCTCCCTGCAATCGATTCACCGGAAGCCCCTGGACGCCAAGAAGGAGGCTAAGTTGAAGACGAAGAAGCTGAAGGATGCGGATATAAATGCTGTCCTTATGGGCTCCTACACCCGCGAGAGCCTGAGACCGACGCCATTCATCGAAGCGTTCATGCAGTTCGAACGGCGATCTGCTCATGGGAAGAACATTACCGAAATCATGGACCTCCGGTGCGGGCAGTGGATCCTGATGTACTGTGTCATCCAGGCTTTGCCGTTGCTCGTAGTAGACGTCCAGGATGTCAAGTACGTGGATGGGGTGGAGAATTTCCTCTGCATTGCTCCTCGCGGCGGTGCGCCCTGGACGCACAACGACAGTAAAACGGCTCGTAGCTGGTTCGGGGTGGCCGGCGGAGCAGGCGTGGTCAGTCTTCCGTCCGACGTGGTCATCAACGGCGTGGAAGGGATCTACCGTCGCAGTCACTGCTGGCGGGTTGCGGAGCAGTGGGCCGAGAAAGATGCCATCCTGGCACCGCCGACCATCGACGACCCCTACGACAATGAGTCGTCGTTGTCCTCGCCGTATCAGGCTCAGCAGTCGTCGGCGGGTTCGTCTTCCGAACACCAGCAGCAATACGGCCAGCCACCACAACCCCCCACACCTCTTCTGTCCCCTGGAGGTGGTCTCACGCCGCCCCCGGCTATCCCTCGCAATCTATCGCCGGCTGCGGGTCGCCGTCCTGAACACCGAATGTCGATCAACCCGGGCCTTGAAGCCTTGCCATTGCCTGCGGGTGTTGCACCAATTGACCCTCCAACGAGACCTATCAGCCGACTGAATCCTAACATGAGTTTCGATGACATCCTCAAGCAAGTTCCCAACCAGAAGAAGCGATAGGCCTGTGCATACTTCTTGGCCGGCCCTGGCGTCTGCTTTATTTTTTTTTTTTTTTTTTTTGCGTTTTGTCTGTTCCTTTGCATCCTTCCAGGGCCCACGACTTGTTTCTTCCTGCATCTTTGCATTAGTGGTTCCATGCTCATCTAGCTGTTATGATTCGTCATCCTTGCATTGAGATTTTGCTCTATCTCGCCCCTTTTGTTTGTACTTGCATCCTGGGCGCGCACACAATTTTACAAGGACTAAAAAGGCGGAAATGGCGTCAATGCAAGACTATTGGAATTTTGAGAGAAGAAGAAGTGGAAGGAAAAAGAAATAATATTCCGTCAACAGAGCGTGCATGGTGTTACTTCCTTTTTTTTTTTTTTTTTTTTTTTTTTTTTTTTTTTTTTTTGCCTAGATTTTGGAGGCTCGGTGGGCATGAATTTTGAATATCTGTCTCTCACTCCCTTTTGCATTGTCTCTTTTCCGCATCCACCTTCATCGCCTCCTTTTCCTTTTCCTCCATTCGACGTGGGAAGTGTCTGACCTAGACCGCTTGTGAAGAGTCTGATTTGATGTTATTTACTACGAGTCGGATAGAGATAATAAGCCCATGCTGGGCTGATAATATAATTGAAAACCTCCTACCGTGGAGATTTCGCATAGCCAATATGAGAGTGATTCTTGTTTAAATGACCTGAGATTCTTGATTATTAAGTCCATCGAAGGATTCCCGCACGTCCAGTTGAACCGTCTTCTTCCTCTTCCTCTCTTCCACGATCTCCTTTCATCATGCCTCTCCATCCATAAAGAAAGAACACAGAAAGACAAAGAAAAACGAGAATCCCCAGCAAGAGAACTCGAAAGAAAAAGAATATGAAGGGAAAATCAATGAAAACCACCCTCAACGATGGAGGCTCTGTGTCCCACCGCCAGTGCGGCACAGCCTTGCTGATCACACACTTGCAGAGTAAGCCATGCAGCTAACAAAGACCGGCTGAATTCTTATCTGATCGGCCTAGTATTAGATTCTTCGCTGAATTCTCACTGCATGAGATTTTTCACCCTTTTTTTCTCCACCCCTTTCTCTCTCGTTCCCTCCACTGGAGTCTGTCTTCCTGTCTAGTTTAGCTTTTGCCGAGCACTCAGTAATGAGGCCTTGCCCATAGTAGGACAATCGATCGGGGACTGTTATTATTTTATTATTATTTTATTCAATTTAATCTGGCCCATGGGAGCATGTCCCGATCACGGTCCAGCGTTGCGAGCGACGGCCACGACCGTTTAGAACCGCGCTTATTGCGCGCTGTCGAGCACGACGATGTCGAAACGCTGAGGCAAGTTGTCAACTTAGCACGTGAGAATGGGCAGTTTAGCGACAATTTCCTCCGCGTCGGACTCATGCGCGGTTGCGACCGCGACAAGATCGCCGCCACGCAGTATCTGCTCGGTCTGGGGGCAAAGACCGACGTCCATGGGAAGCGGCTCTCGCCGCTGCTGCGTGCAGTCGAGCGAAATCATCCGCGCATTGTACGCCTCCTGCTGGATCATGGGGCATCACCCGAAACGACAGATAAGAAAGGTCGTACGGCGCTGATGACAGCTGCGTGGAGGAACCACTGGCATATCCTGCAGCTTCTCATTGCGCGCGGTGCCGATGTCAATGCGAAGGATCATAAGAAGAGGAATGTGCTGCATAATCTGGCCGCGGATAAACAGTGCGACTGGGGAGAAGACGTCGTGGAGCTCCTACTGCAGACGACGTGTCAGGTGGACGGCGCGAACGGGCAGGATGGATTGGGCCGGACGCCGCTGCACTGGGCCTGCGCGACAGGCAAACGGCGGTTTGCTGAGATGCTGCTGACTCGGCCTCAGGGTCCGATTGTCAACGTGGATGCTGTCGAGTCGCGCAACAAGACGGCGCTGCATCTGGCCATCGCCCACGGCCGCGATGATATCGTCCAGCTCCTACTTCAGCACCGCGCTGACATTGATTCCCGCAGCGACGGCGGCTGGACCGCGTTGCATTATGCCTGTGATAAGGGGTTCGAGGGGATTGTGCGCCTGCTGCTGCATGCTGGAGCTAAGATCAACAGCCAGCTGTTGACCGGCGTTACGCCATTGCATCTCGCGGCACAGGCAGGCCACACCGAGGTGGTGCAATGTCTCCTGGAGCGACCGGATCTGAAGCGACGAATCCGCGACAACTTCGGGAGCACGCCGTTCTTGCGAGCGGCGCAGTTCCGCCGGAAAGACATCGTGTTGCTTCTGGCGCCGTTCAATAACGTCGATGCGCTGTCGGTGGATGCGCGAGGCGCGTGCGAGGGATTCGAGGCCACCATCGTCGACTTTGGGAACTTCCACAATGAGAACCGCGTGCAGAAGATGTCTGTGTTCAACCTGCTCTTCGGACGCGACGCCGAGAATCCGCGCAAACAGGCTGTCATCACTGTCCCGGAGGACAGCAAGGTCACCGATTTCCGATGGATCCATCTGCCGGCCAACAACATGGCGTGGGTGGAGGCGTTGCTGACCAAGACGTTCATCGAGGAGGGAGCGCACGATGTCGATAGCTTCAAGGGCCTGGAACGGTCATTTCGGTATCAGCATCGCGGCCAACGAACACATTCCCATTTCATGCGCCCGCTGTGCCAGAGCACGCCGCGAGCGCCTCGGGGGCGCTCCGAGGACCACAGCACGGAGGAGTCCGTCGTGGGAGACCAGCCACCGCAGATTCTCATCAACGGAGAAGTGTCGGAGACGCCCAACAGCCCTGGTGCAAGCCAGAGAGGTAGGAAACCGAAGAAGCACGGGATCGAGCGGACCGATTCCTATTCCCAGGACGATAGCAAAGGCTCGCAAGGCAAGAAAACGAACCGCACGACGAAACGGGGGAAGAATCCGGGGCTACCGACCAAGTCGAATGCGAAGACTTCGGCGAACGAGAAGCACCGCTCACCGCTGTCATTGTGCAAGGATCCGGTGACCTGGAACGTGTGTATGTTCATGCCATATCTGCATTTCGAGACGGCCGAAGGGAGACAGAAAATGCAGGAGGCGATCCAGCGAGCCGAAACGCTGAATTTCCCGTCGATGGGCACCAGTCGATCGCCCACACGAGACGAGATGCTTATCCGCGCGCATCTGGCGTCGTCGTCATCGACATCGCTACATGTGCGCCGCACACTGGACCAATTCTTCTATCCGAATATCGACACGCAGATCCGCGACCAGGACCAGGTGGTGTACCGGTATCAGACGAAGGGACAGGGCCGCGAGCGGTACTGGAAGGAGCCGAAGATCTTCATGGTGGACCAGCTGTGGATGTGGATTCTGGGGACGAATCTGATCGTGACCAGCTTCCCACAACGATGGGAGCAGCCCAAGAACGACCCCCTCAACGTGCTGGACGGCATCATCGAGGACATCAACTCCAAGACGCGCGAGCCTGTGCGCTCCATCTACGACCTGGCCATCACCATCACCAATCGCTGCTCCGGCGTCTTCGACCGCCACCGCATGGGCGACGAGGAGTACCAGTTCCTAGACATGTTTGAATCGTCGATCGGCATCGCCACGGACCGCGAGACCGTGCTCTTCAGCAGGTTCAACCGTGCATCCGCCCAGGCGTCTAGCTGGCTTAAGAGCCATCGCAAGCTCAGTCGATATGCCGCCGCCAGCAGCCAGGGGGAGGCTACGGCCATGGAGACCGATACCACCATCCTGGACATGACGGAGGAAAAAGACGGAGAACAGCCGCTGTTCGTGGACAACCTGCTAGACATCGGACAGGAGACGGACCTCCTGTCCGAAGCCAAAGACATCCGGGACGAGCTGAACATGATCCGCACAGTACTACAGCACCAGCAACACGTCCTGTCGGATCTACAAGAAGTAACCTGGGACATCCACCACGGCCAGCATCGACTGCAGCACGAGGCCCGCAAACGATTCAAGGAGCAGCAGCGCACGATCGACATGCACCTGAAGGACATCGACCGCATGGACAAGCAAGCAGAACGCATCTACTCCTCCATCACGGACCTACTGGATCTGAAACAGAAACACGCCAACGCATTCGAGGCGCGGTTCGCGCGCGATCAAGCAGCAGGAACCACCCGACAGGGCAAGACTATCATGGTCTTCACCGTTGTCACGATTGTCTTCCTCCCGCTGTCGTTCATCAGCTCTTTTTTCACCATCAATCTCAACCAATTCCCGCGCGCCGCCGACGGCGATCCCCAGCTGGACTTGTCCTACGTCGCTAAGTATACCTTTGGGATTGGGTTTGGTATTTCCATCCCCTTGATTCTGCTCGCTTTGTCAGTCGATGATATCGGGGATGGATGTCAGGAGGCAGTTCGACGCGTGCGTCGGTGGATGTTGCGAAGGAGGAAGTTCACGTCGAATGGAGAGGACGAGAGGGCGTTGGAGATAGAAAAATTGCTTCATATGAGTACTGACAGCAGATTTACTAGGAGTTTGTTGCCGGTGTCGAGGGGGGAGAGGAAGGATTGGTATTAATGAGTGATGCATGTAATGATATGAATGACAGCCTGATATTCCATGCAATAAGTATATAGAGCATTACCATATGATAGAATATAAGCACCGAAAAGAACGCTGAGGCAATCTACAGCTATGCTCAATATACTATCATTCTTCTCATATGCAATAATAAGAATAATATTGACCGACATCAGATCATTGATCAACTTAGAATGCAAATATCCACCCAAAATGGTCATATATGTCGCTGTATACGAAATTGAAGATCGATTTGCGCGTCCTGCAGCGATGAAATGTAGCAGTCTGATATACGAGGCTGTGATGGACCGAACAGGAAAATATCATGAATTACCTTACATATATGCAAGTTGCAAGATGCCTGATCAGCGGAACTAACTCTGAAACCTGAGATCTGCCATTCAATAAAATAAAAGATTCAACATCCGTCATTTGAAAACTCCAGCGTCAACTAAAACGATATTTATATTCCATATAGAGTAATAAGTTGTATGGATCTGGTGTTCGTCGCTGTATAAATAACCCTCTCCTACATGATTTCTTTCTCAATAACATATATCCATCCACTCTACAACCACGTTCAATTACAAATACAAATACTACTTGCCCTTTTACTTTTGCCAATGAAGTTTATTCTCGTTCTTGCCCCCTCCTGCTGTCGCCATGGCTGACGACTGGCCACCTTGTCACCGTAGGGGGAATATCTGTCGCATTGGGAATCAAGGTTCCGGCTATTGTTGCAATAATTACAAGTGTTTACATCAGAAGGGGTCTGATTTGTGGGTATGTTTTTTGTCTTTTCTTTTCTTTTGGTTCTGTAAGGAAAAGGCTAATCTAATCTGTTGGATTAGAGATGTCAGTGACTGATGCGATGATGGCTGGAGTTTATCAGACGATTAGGTTTGATAGGGTTTGGATGGAAGAAGGATGTAGCTAGAATGAGGACGGACGTTGCATTGTGTAGTTACTAGACTGACACTCTTTTTCTTGGTGCTTTTGTGGTTCAGGTGTGTAGTAGCTCAAGATGTAGTGGTTGTTTGTAGTATTCTGGTATCAGTGACAATCTGTGGGATGTGGAGGACGTATATTTTGTATAGGTTTCTGCATGTATTTTGAGAATCAGGCAGAAGTACGTATTGAGAAATCTATACTGAAAGAGGGAACCTAACTAGAGAGAGGAGTTTACAGACTGACTTTACATTATTATACATTCAGGCTCAGCATCTGTACAACGAACCGAATTTTAGTCCAGTCGAAAAAAGGATGCTCCATCAGTTCGCTCGCGGGTTTTTCTCTCCTCAGGGACCCGAAAAAGCATTATCTTGACAAAGGATATGAATTGTTCCCTCCCTCTCTCCTCTACAGGGATCGCATCGGCAAGCTTTCGACCGGAGATCAAGTCACCATACAAGAAGTTGGTTGCGTGATTGTTGGCAAGGTCGAGTAATATATACTGGATATACATCCCATCTGGATCAAAAAAGGGCCGCCGAAATATATTTTGCACTTGAACAGACTTGACTATCTTGTTTTTTGATACATTCCGGCCATTTATACCGGGGTCGTGTCGTGACTAGTTCCTGGGGAGGAGGACAAATCTAGTTGATTATCTCTGCAAGATGGGCTCTGGCGTCGTAATGGCCTTGGGCATTGTGGATCCGTTGGAAGAGCTCTTTGCCTTGGATAAGGTCCCAGAGCTTCTAGGCATTAGACAATGACTGAGCCAATTAGAATATAAAGTTATCGCCCAAAGAGTATAGCTCCAACACACCAGAGTACCCAAACATCGTTGGTCCAGCTGAGAATTCATAAAGTCCTCCAACACCGCTGGATCTTGAAATATAACCATGATATTCCCAAGTTTCAAATCTACCAGGTGTTAAGACCGCCAAGGTCTATGGCCAGAGAAGTACACACCAGTGTGGACTACCCGACATATTGTATGAAGGTAATCCCAGACCTACAAGAGGATACCAATATAGGTCTTGACGAGCCGAGGGGGAATGGTCATATTTTTTAAGCGCCTGTGAAACAGTCACGGTGGCTCCCTCACGGCTCATAAAACCAGACATAGCTGTTTCCTTCTGGGCCAGGCACTTCAAATCATTCCGACGATGTTCGAAACAGAGCCCAGCCACGATGAGAAGGGTCTGTCTTCATAAAATGCTCCTCGATTTCCCGTTCCTCATCCGCTGTACACCTGTTGTCATTGGCGATTTTCAGTGCCAGGAAGCTTTCCGGGTCCAATCGGGATCTAGCTCGTCCATTAGCCTGTGCTAGAGATAGATCGTCCAAGTAGCTGTACCCCCTCATATCACGGGCAAACCAGACGGTCGAGGACACTCCCGATCCCACCTTGAACAGGACTTGATAGCTATTGGCGAGGACCTCCCCCGGCTTCGCGGGGTAGTATCTCCTGGAGTCACATCCAGTTCGTGTAATCGAGGTCCTGGAGAAGGGAGGGGAAGAGGTCTTCTGCGAAAGACGGACCGTGTGTTTGTCTGTCGGATCGCCATCCTACTTCTGTCGAACTGATGACGTTTGGCGCAGGAAACGAGAGTCGCGACCGTGACGATTCATGCGTGGTCATTGTGTCATGTGACTGGTTCTTCACGATGATTTCGAAACAGCCCATCTCTTCATCCTCGTTCATCGAAGAATTGGGCCTGGAGGATAAGATTCAACCCAGATTCCCCACGGATTATTGGCATACCGATCAATTCTCTAGATAACTTCCCATGTGATGGATGCACGCTGCCTGTTTCTGCGCCTAGTCAGAATTGTCCCGAATTTTTATCGAATTTCTTCTCCAGCTTCACATGTCCCCATCTACCCTACTGAAGAACAGAAATTGCTTTAGGGTCCGGATTCGGACTGCTCCGGGAATTCGGGGTGAATCTCAACAATAACAGTCCAGCCAGATAGAGTGCCATGGTTCTCTTCGTCTATCTCACGCTAATGTCCGTCCCATGTGGATCGCAGAATCCACTTACAAGTCCCGATGAAGGACCGGACGAACCCGACGAAGAATCAAAGGAGTGGATACTCGGAATATCTGACAAGATTTGGTTCCGTACTAGAATCGAGATCCGCCGTCCACCGGATATGAGGTCATAATTGTTCAACCAGAGTGCCAACCATGGCTTGGACTACAAATGCTGCTGGAGTGTCCCACAATATCCTTATAGCCCTTGACTCAATAACTGACTAGACGGATTGACTAGCATAAGGCCATGCAGTGCGCATCTCTTAGGAGGCGGGTCATATCGACTCGTGCCTTCCTATATACTACTAGAGGTTTCGCAACGCAGGTGCAGCAGAATTCGACTGCTATCCCCAACAGTGACTCCAAAGAAAGGGTTGTTATTCTCGGCTCCGGCTGGGGCGGATACTCGTTGTCACGTAAACTGGCCTCACGATCCTTCTCACCCCTTATTATCTCGCCCCGTTCATATTTTGTGTTCACACCGCTACTGACAGACACGGCGAGTGGCTCGTTGGATTTTTCAAATATCGTGGAGCCGGTGCGCGACCCCCATTCCCAGGTGGATTTTATCCAGGCGGCGGCCCGAGGCGTCGATTTCAACAAGAAGACGGTGTTGTGTGAAGCGACGGTGGTGAAAAGAGGCGTCACCGAGACGCCCCGTACCTATGAGGATGAACAAGTGGGCGAGCCAGGGTGGCAGCAAGGCGAGCGGTTCGAGGTGCCCTACGACAAGCTTGTGATCGCTGTGGGTGCCGTCAGCAGGACGTTCAACACCCCCGGGGTGCGTCACAACGCCATGTTCTTCAAGGACATTGGCGATGCGCGCCGGGTCAAGCGTCGGGTACGCGAGTGCTTCGAACTGGCCGTGCTGCCCACGACCTCCCCGGAAATGCGCCAGTGGCTGTTGCATTTCGCCATTGTCGGCGCCGGTCCCACGGGCACCGAACTAGCCGCGTCATTGCGCGATTTCATGCACGCCGACTTGATGCGTCTGTATCCCAGCCTACGCGGACTGCCACGCATAACATTGTATGACGTGGCACCAACTGTGCTTTCAATGTTCGACGAGACGCTGTCGCAGTACGCGATGGAGACGATGAAGAAGGAGGGCATCGAGATCAAGACGTCGCATCATGTGCAGGATCTGCGCTGGGGGGCCCCTGCCGAGGACCCACCGTATCGCATGGATCCCAAACGGTGTCTGACGCTGACGACGAAGGAGGAAGGGCAAGTGGGCGTGGGAATGTGCGTTTGGACCACGGGCAACGCGATGAACCCGTTAGTGCGCCAGTCGCTACACGAGGTGGCAACATTTCCCCAGGCCTCGGCGACGATAAAGGACAGCAGCAGCGGCAGCAGTAGCGGCAGCGACTCTTCCAACACCGTATGGCATGTTAAGAAAGCTCCGCGGGTCGGCGCACTGCTGGTGGACGGCCATCTACGCGTGCAGCTCGAGAAAGACAACGGCACGACGGCGGTACTGCAGGACGTGTTTGCCCTGGGCGACAACGCAATGTGTGAGAGCGGGGCACCGCCAGCGACGGCGCAGGCGACATTTCAGCAGGCCAAATGGCTTGCGAAGCGGCTGAACCGGGGCGACCTCGAGCGGAGTGCCCCGTTTTCCTTCCGCAATATGGGCATGATGGCGTACATCGGGAACGCAAATGCCCTGATGCAAATCCCACATGAGAGCCGCGAGGGATACCTGCCTGAGGGACTGACAGGGCGCATGGCGTGGATCGTGTGGAGTTCGGCGTATATGACGATGAGCATTAGTTGGCGCAATAAGTTGCGAGTTGGGTTTCGCTGGTTGCTAAACAAACTCTTTGGGCGCGACATATCTCGATATTGACTTTCTATCCATGCATATATTATCATTTATATTGTAGAGCACTCTTTAGAGTAGCAATGTAAGCCTTGATTGTGGCTGGTTGTCTGGAACTTCCGGAAGCGGATAATCCGACGCTTTTCACTTCCGTATCTTCGCTCTTATTTGTCTTCACGTCGTTCACTTCTCTCCATCCTCCACCATGGCATCCAGTACATCTCCCATCCCATCCCCATTGATATTGATCATTAAATTAACACTCGCAGATCCTCCACTCCGCCGCAGTTGCATCTTCTGTCGAACGCGGAAAATCCGTTGCTCCGGTGGCCACATCTGCGCCGCCTGTCGCGAGCGGAACCTGGACTGCGTCTACAGCCCTGAAGCACGCAAAGGTCGACCCCGGCGCAGAGGACTACCGACTTCGTCAGCCAGTCCTCATGTCAAACAGAGCTCCCCCAGTGGGAGGGCTCGGGAGCCGGACTACCTACACACACTGGGCGACGACCTTGAACAGCGGTTTCAAGCCTACTTCATCAGTAACCCGGGATCGCAGTCCAATCTGTTCCAGAATTCCATCGCTTCGTTCTATCGCCGGGCGCGTCCGACCACGACGGGCCCCCCACGTCGGCTCGACTACGCGGGTTTGCTGTCGTGGATGAGCCACGAGATGGTGGAGATGCTGTTGCTGCGTCTGGGCCATCTAGGCTGCGAGCGGCCATCCGAGATGACGACGGCCACGCGCGACGCCTTCATTACGGCTCTGGCGGCCGACACAAGTGCCTGCATGTTCGAGTCGACGCCGCCACAGAAAAACCCGTTGGCGGCCCTGGGGACGCAGCGCATTCTTCAGTGGGTAGATCTCTGGTTCTACACGCATCCACTGTCGTCACTGGTTTCCAAGACCCTTTTGGTCAGTCGTATCCGGGACGAGACGGTGGACGAGGCCCTCCTGGCGCTCCTCCTTGGTGACGCATGCGATTTCTATCGCGCACAGGTGCCCTCCTCGGATGATGTGAGCAGCAGCAACGCGGACCCCGAGATTTTCTTCCGATGGGCTGCCACGCAGCTGCAGCAGCGATCGGCCACCCCCCGTTGCTGTCCACCGCGCAGGCAATGCTGCTCATGGCCTGGCGTGGGCTCTGCATCGGCCACGCACGCCGCGCCACCTGTCTGGTCGGCTACGCTTGTCGTATGGTGGCGCGGCTGCACGAGCGGTGGCAGCGCGACGGGCGACGCGATGACGAGCGGAAGCTGAACGGGGTGACACTGAGCGCCGTGGAGCAGGAGATCTTGCAGAACGTCTACTGGGTGTGCCTGTCGACGACGACCTGGGCCTTCCTGCAGATCGACCAGCCCTTCTCGCTGTTCGTGCCGGACGAGACCCCGGCGTTTCCCTGCGTCGATGAGACCTCGTCCGCGCTGCTGCGGCTCGACCGGGCCTCTGACCACCTCAGTACGCTGCCGGCGCAGGTGCTCGCCTTGCGACAACTGTGGCCGCTCAGCCAAATCAGCAGCACCGTCGCCCACATCTACACCCTCTACCTGAACGCGCCGCCGGACGCGGGCCAGTCGTCCACCACCCCCCCTGGCAAACGCGACACATTCACCAGCTGCACCGACTGCTGCAATCGCGCGGGGACTTCTCAGCGCTGACGCGCGAGATCCGCGGCATCCTCATGCAGGCCATCCGCGCCGTGGAGACGGAGGTCCCAGAGGGCTCCCCGCGGTCGCAGCTGTTGATCGCTTACCACACCATTGCCATCCACCTGCTGTTTCCCGCGGCCGGCACGATAGTCTCGTTGCCGGAGATCGACACCTTCTGGCAGTCCGCCTCTGCCATTCTCGCCCTGCAGCCCCCGCCTGGAGGTGGCCCTAAAGATGCGTTCGCCCTCGCACTTGACGCCTGTAGCCGCGCCCTGGCGCACCTCTACCACCAACACTCCTCCGCGGGGGGACGGTGGCGACCCCCTGCGTTTGGCTGACTACGCGCAGCAACTTCGCCAGGTTTGCCACGTGGTGGAGGGACCGGGGGCGGTGCTGCGACCAGTCAAGAAGCGACTAAAGGGCGTGCAACTGGCGGACCAGCAGATCGGGTCACCACCGTCACTGCCATCGCTGCCATCGCTGTCGCTGGACTGGACGTCGCCGGGCGAGGGGGATCTCTGGCCATCGGGATTGGAGGTGATGGATCTGGGATTCTTTGGAGAGGACGACTCGCGAGACGAGGCGATCCTGGGATTTCCGGGACTGGAGATGGGGAAATACGGGATGAATGCGAACCTGGATATGTATTGAACCTGTGACCTATGCTAATGCACCAAAATCCTACCAAATATAACAACAAAAGAAAAGATAAAGAGAGAAAGAGAGGAAAAAAAAAAAAAATCAACTGGTCAAGCTCACAACCCCCCGATAGCGTCTCTCCTGCACGAGACTCGCAAACATCCACCCTCCGACATCCGCCCTACTGATTACATATCCCACTGCCGGATGACTGTCATCGCCGACGCGCAATTTCTCTACGCCCTGCTGCTCGCCATCCGTCAGCAGACTGGGTCGCACGATGGTATAATCGCTGATGGCGCGGTCGGGGTCGTCCTTCTCCGTCTCTTGTCGAACCAGGGTCTCCATGACCTTCTTGTCCTCGTGCGGCACCTTCAAGAGCCAGTGATACAGTGGGATCATGGCCAGGGGGATGTCGCGCGTGCGACTGATACCGGTGGTACTGACGACCACGAGATGGGGTTTCCGGTCCGAGGGCGTAGCGGTGCGTGCGCCGACGGTGCGAGTGGCATCGAGGATGGCGCGCATCGCCTCCTGGCAGATATGCGGGTTATCTAGTGTCGGACGCAGGGGATTATCGAAACGAATCTGGCCGCCGATGCCGCAGACGATCAGGTCGACGAGGTATCCCTCGGGGGTCGACAGGGTGTCTTGTACAGCGGGGGCATCGGCGATGGAACCCTGGATGATGCGCAGATTGGCGGCGGAGGCGAGTGTAGCTGGGAGGAGATCTTTGAGTTTTTGAGGGGAGCGAACCACTGTTGATATTAGCATCGATCTATCTATCTTTCTGTAGAGCGCGGGGGTACTTACGGGCGGAACAGCGATGACCAGCTTCAAGGGAGGGAATGAGACAGGCGAGGGTGCAACCGCCGGTGGCGCCGAAGAACGCGATAGACTGCATTATAATTGAATAGAGATGAGATGGAGTAATGTGATGAATAAGATGGAGGAATAAACTGGTGAGATGATGATGTTTTATATGTCGGATTTATTTGAAGTCTCCGTCGGCGCGCGGAGAGTTCCATTTCAGCCTGAGGCAGCGATATGCAACGAGGCCGATTCTCTAAACTCTCCGTTGATTTATACGGATGATTCTTTTATTCTTTATTATTATCATTGCAATTCCTCCGTATTATTATCCTTATTGTAATGATAATTTTTCTGATATTCTGTTCTCTCGATACGCACGTGTCGAGGCTGTCCTCTTGGCAAATGAGTCGTGCATCTCATCGTCTCTTGTTCTCCATCCATCAAGAATTCATCAATTCATCAAGACTTCATCAAGAACTCTTTAATTCATCAAGAACTGCAATTTATTCATCATTTCTATCTCTGATAGGAAAGGGAGACCCAGAGGATATGTGTCTAATATACCAGTATGTCCCTAGACTGTCAACCATCACCCTTACTGACCTGAATTTTAGGCACAGCATCAAGATGAACTTCAAAATCGAGACCTTCTCTTTTCCTCGACCAAGCACTTTAATTTCCTCACTCCAATCATCTGCCATCGATATTTTTAGCCCCTGATCCATCCATTCCTCTCAACCAACAACTAACCCTGGTGGATCAGCACTAGCTCTGCTCCGCCCCAGGGTTTCAGATTGCGGATCGGTCCCTGACACGAAGTTAGTTGCCTTGCCCCTGAGATTCTATTCATCTCTCCATTTCTTCACCCGTTCTCTCCATTCCTTATTCTATCTCTGCCATCTATCTCTCCCACCTCTACCCTGGTGATGGACAATGCAGCTCTTCCATCTCCTGTTTGTCCTCCCTCTCGTCTCCGCCGTCAATTTCATCGCCGCCGACTCCCTCATCCAATGTGGTTCCAATGACAAATTCTCCGTCAGCAAATTCTCCGTCCTCTTCACCCCCGACAATACAACCCTCGCTGTCGGCATCGTCGGCCATACCGCCATCCATGGCAAGGTCGACCTGCAGGTCGACCTCATCGTCTATGGCTACAAGGCCTTGACCCAGCATCTCGATCCCTGCAAGAGTAAGGACCTCCAGGGCTTCTGTCCCATGAGCCCCGGCGATCTCAAGCTTGAGTCCGCCAAGATTCCCATCCCAAAGGATGTTATGTCCAAGATCCCCAACATCGCCTTCACTGTCCCCGACCTGGACGCCCGCGTACGCATCAATGTCAATGATCAACAGACGGGCGACAACATCGCCTGCGTCGAGACTCAGCTCTCCAACAGCAAGACCGTCTACCAGGTCGGCGTCTCCTGGACCGTAGCCATCATCACCGGCCTGGGCCTGTTCATGTCCGCCGTCTACTCCATGCTAGGCCACTCGCAGACCGCCACCCACGTCGCCTTCAGTTCGCTTTCCTTCCTGACCTTCATGCAGGCCCAGGCCATGGTCGGCATGAGCGCCGTGCACATGCCCCCCATCGTTCAGGCCTGGACCCAGAACTTCCAGTGGAGCATGGGTATCATCCACCTCGGCATTCTGCAGCGCCTCTGCACCTGGTTCCAGCGCGCCACCGGCGGCACGCCCACCACCTTGCTCTCCGACCTGTCCCACACCTCCGTCATCGTGCAGAAGCGGTCCTTGACCTCGCTGCTGTTGCCGCGTGCGGACGACAGCAGCAACGGCCAACAGGTCACCGTGCGCGGCATCGAGCGCGTCGGCTTCAACCTCAAGATCGAGCCCAGCAACATCTTCATGACCAGCTACTTCTTCTACTACTTCGTCGTCGTCGTCATCCTGATCGTCACCATGCTGGTCAAGCTGGCCTGGAAGTTCTTGGGCCCGCGCATGAACGCCCGCCTTTCACTGACCGCCGGCTGGTCCACACTGACGCGGGGCACGCTCTTCCGTCTGATGTTCGTTGGCTACACGCAGATGTGCGTGCTGTTTCTCTGGGAGCTGACGCACCACGACTCGGGCGCCGAGATGGCCCTGGCCATTTCCATGTGGCTGCTGACCTCTCTGGCCCTGGGCTGGACCACCTTCAAGATCTTCCAGCGCGCGCGCCGCTCCCTCGACATGCACAACAGCGCCGCCTACACCCTCTACTCCGACCCGGCCTGCTTAAACAACTGGGGATTCCTGTACATCTACTACCGCGCCACCGCCTACTACTTCCTCGTGCCCATGCTGGCTTACACCGTCGTCAAGGGCATGGTGATTGCCTTCGCCCAGTCCGCCCCCGTCGCCCAGACCGCCGTCATCCTCGTCATCGAAGCCGTCATGCTGGTCACCGTCAGCGTGATGCGTCCCTACATGGACAAGGGCATGAACATCTACGGCATCGCTGCCGCCGCCATCAACTTCCTCAACGCCGTCTTCCTACTCATCTTCAGCAACGTGTTCCACCAGCCGGGCCTCATGACCGGCATCATGGGCGTCATCTTCTTTGTCTACAACGCCATCTTCGCCATCGTCTTGCTTTTCTGGATCCTCCTGGGTCTCTACCACGCCGTGCGCCTCAAGGAGCCCGACTCGCGCTACCAGGTTCTCGGCGACGACCGTAACTCCTTTATCCGCACCAACCAGCCCATGACCACCGAGATGGACGCCCTGGGCAAGAGCGCCCGCGGCGACCTGCGGTTCCAGTCCTTGGGGGATGATGATTGGAGTCCTATGCGGGAGAAGGGTCATCTGGGACCGTCGAATCCATATGCTATGGGCGGAGGGCGGTCGCAGACCGACGTGGTCGATCTTTCGGTACCGTTGGTACCGAGTACAGAGTACGCAAGACGTCCAGGAATGATCTAATATTATTCACTCTTTCTCCTCCTTTCATTATTTATTCTATATTGTCTCTCTTTTCTTTCTTTCCCCCATCCTTCCTTCTTTTTCACTTCTTTGTATATAAAATGATGCATTTCATGATATTTTGGCGTTTATACATTAATGTATGATTCTTAAGCATTCATTCTGTATAATACCATAACTGAGTTCCGGCATTCCATCCATTTACTCTCACATGGTGAAGTAACTAATAACTTTGGAACCGTTCATACCACATAATATTAGAGAGACTGTCTCTTTGAATAGAATAACCACAATGGCACAAATTAAATTAAATAGAATGATTAATTATTCCGCCTCGCTAGAAAATACGAGCCAACCCCGCCTTTAGCCCTGCACCATCCCTGAATTAATCAAATATAGTAATCATTTCCATAATGAACTCAAATTCATCTCCAAACCCACAATGCGAAACGCATAAACAAATAAATGAGTAAAAAAACCCATGACCGACCCCCTCTCCATCGCAGGCACCGCCATCGGCGTAATATCCTTCGGCCTGCAAGTCCGCCAGGAAATCACAACATATTGTCGAGCATGGCGGGGCACATATCAAGAGATTCAAGATGTGGCGAACAAGGCCGACGGACTGGAAGCGCCGCTGCAGACGCTCCGAGAAATAATCAAGGACATGAAGGTGACCGACCCGGATATCGCGAACGATCTCCGCGAGAAACTCGGCACTCTCCGCGAAGGCATCCAGCGCGTGCATGCGTCCATTGAGAAGTGGAAGCCGGATAGAGATCCGGATGGGTTCGCGGACAAGATTCGTGCGCAAGCGAAGAGAGCAGTTTATCCGTTTCGAAAGGATGTGTTGCGCGATTTGGCGAGGGAGTTGGATGGGATTCAGGTTGGTTTGCATACTACTTTGCATGTGTACGTTGTTGGATATCTTGTTGTTTTGGACTGAATGAGGGCTAACATTATCTAGATTTTCGGCACAGAATACGCGTCTGATTCCATCGTTGATGGTGATGCAGACCAAATTACTCCGTGAGGTCCAGGAAATGGTAGGTCTCTATCTATCAATACCCTGATCGAATCTAATTCGTCTAGCATCTGGAACTACAGCACACTTCCAAGGCGTCACCTCCGCCGCCAGAGTTACTCCAATCCTGGTGCAAACAATCGGAGATTGTCGTCCCTGGCCATCAATCACAGCAGACCAAGAAGTACAGCTATCACAGTCGTCTCTTGGGTCTTACCATCGCGGCGTCTTTCTCGCTGACGAGAGGTGCCGGGGGTTTCTCCATTGCTCCCACTCTGACCTTCCAGGTGCCCATGTCCCCAAACAGTCCCGGGTTTCGGACGCTCTATTTATATGGCTTTATGGGAAAGTCTCAGCCTCCGGCCCAGTTCGTGGACAATACAATCGAGCTGCTGAAGTATCTCTTCGTGGAGCGGGTAGTATCGCCTTCAGATATGACCGTGAACGGAGGGTCTCTCCTGGACGTATGTTCCCTTCTTTAATGTACTTGTTCTATTTGAGCTAACGGGTACAGGCGGCTTGTTTCGCCTTTTATTCCTGTTCCAGTTGGCACGCCAATGCTTATGCTGAGTTCTCGCGGTTGTTCATGTTCTTGCTCAATAACGGGGCCTTGCCGGACACATCGCACACCCGAGCCAGAACCGGCTTGGACAGCTTTGTCGGGGCTGGTGCGCTCGGCGAGGAGGAGTTTCAGTTGCTTTCGCTTTTGATCCAGCGTGGCGGGTTTTTGACAATTGAGGCAGTCTTTGGATCCTCGTTGAGTAAAGCCAATGTGCGCCGCGTACTCTCTGAGAATGAGGAAGGTATTTACATCTTACCGTCCAAGGCTAGGAGGTTCTTATATTGACAACGCCGCATCACTAGCGGTCGCCATTCCTGACATTGCGAAATTTATCATTGAAGAGTCCGCCGAAGACTTACGGAATGTGCTCCGATCAGGCGAAGCGTCGGCCAACGATTGTATCGGGAGCACAACGCCAGTTCGGCTCGCTGTCGGCTGGAGTAAAGGCTTACAAATCCTTGTGGAAGCAGGAGCTGATCTGAACATGAAGCTCAACGATTTGTCCCCACTGGGGATAGCAATTCGTGGAGGCCACTACCAGTCGGCCAAGGTACTGCTTCAAGCGGGCTGCTCATTAAGTCTGGACGACATATGCCGAAATGAATCAGTCGATGACCCGGACGACATGAGCTCGCTTCTTATCTCTGAACTCGCATCCCGGCGCAAAAGATTGCTGAAACTCGCACAAGCCCACATGTCTCCAGAACAGCTTCTCCAAATTGGCGTGGGAAATGATTCTTCGGTTCCCGACGCCAGCGCATCACGCATGTACGCCGCGCTGGTTGCCCAAGGCGCACGCGTTGATCCATCCCTCAAAGTCTCCGGGCCTCCATGCTCGGTATATCATAGCATCTATATGCGGACCCGCACCCTGGATCTTCTGTACAAAGCGGGCTTCGACAATGTTGAATTGTGCGACTCTTTGGGTCGAACACCCCTGATGATCATCGATAAACGTACCGCATTCGCACAGAGAAGAGCCAGATGGCTTATTCGCAAAGGTGCGGACCCCAATCGGATAGCCCCTGGGACCAGTGCGACAGTCTTCCACCTCCTGGGTACCTGCTTACCCAGCACATTGTATCCGGAAGTCCTGCAACCGTTTATTTTGAATTTTCAAACTTATGATTCTGAAAGGAAACACGAGAATCCTCTTCAATTCTTTGACTTCATCTTCCAAGCGCCGAATCGAGACAAATGTGTCTGCGCTTGCTCGCCAGGCGGATGTACGCCTTTCTCCGTGGCGGTACGCCGGCTCCTTCAGAATCCACCCCGATACTACCAGAGGGGTGGTGCCAATCGATTTCCGGATCACCTTGACTTCTTCATCAGCCGGACTGACCGCAGTGAGGAGGTCGATCGGGCTGTCATCCGGCTCATGACGTTTGACGCACTTGACCTGAAACATACCTGTTGTCGCAGAAGCGATAGCATGACGAGGGATGACACAATTGTGTATCTGGAGGAGGTCGAAGTGGACGAGATTCGCGACGAAGAGCAACTGTTGCTAGAGGATTTTGAACGCCTCTGTACTGAACTCACGGCCGAGCACGTGGAGCTCTGCCTTCCCATCATGGAATTTTTGCAGGTCCCCTGGCATAAACGCATCCTGGAATATCTATCCCACCTGGACCCCTACGACGAGGAGCATGTGCGAGAAACTCGAGGCATTGGGTTGAATATCGAGATAGGAGAACGCGTGCCGGATCGAGTGTCTCTCCTTGTGGGCTCGATAGGATGAAAGTATTGGTTGCTAGAATAGAAATACATGAGAATATCCATTGACAGTGCAGCTCACGATTTCTGACACAGTATTGATGTCACATATCTTTCAGCAGGTCGAGAACATGTTTCAGGCTCCGTGCGGAAGCGTTTGCTTGCTCAGCAAGGTTTCTATATAAGCATTTTCAATCAGTGTTTAATCGTACCATCAGGGGTCCCATTTAGAACTATCTTATGCATCTTCCACTCAAGAGTAAAGTTGCAGGGCTTGTGCTATGCCCTGTTTGACGAGGAAGCTGACTTGGAACAGAGACGGGGATAATTCGAGTTCTCTACAATTGAAAACAGACTCTTAATACCGTCGCATAAACTCTTGTACACTTACAACTTAACAAACCCGAAGTATTGCAAATCAAGGACAAACGTAAGTTTGCATCTATCTTTAGTACTGGCAGCCGAAGCACATGCAAGGGATACGACTGAAGCTCCGCTAGCGAGCAGAGCTTGAAGTGCTGGGTATCATACGAGAGGCTGCCATCCGCGTTGAGATTAAGATCCCTGACCTTGATGGAAAGGCGTTCCATCTGCTCAGCGTCTAAGTAAACAGTGGTGGCTGTGTCCCTCAGCGAATGCAGATTTTCCTCTAGGATGGAGTGTGCCACTTCCCGCGATTCTTTGTACTGTCACTCTACATCTTGCTCCTTTCTCAAGAAGCCAGGCTTGAACGGTTGTGTTAGGGTATCCGAATAGGAGTCCAAGCTGTACAGACCGGATACCTTGAGCGAGGGGAGTGAGAGGAAGGGTTTGGACAGATGGTGAGTAGTAGATTGTTACTGTGGTATGTCTGAATAGATATGTTGATGCCAGAAGAGAAAACAATATTCGCACCTGGCTAGGCTATATGCCTTGGTACCAGATACTCCAAACCATGAGGAAAAGACTTTACAACGCGAAGATACAACTACATCGAGTGTCCTTCCAATAGGTGTAGGACACCAGTGAAAGCAATTCTGGCAATATCCTTGCCCTAAACAAAAAAGATCTACTGACAGGTTGTTTTACTTTCTATATATATATGTTCTGGGTCTGAAGGAAGGCTTAATCTTATGTAGCTTAACTATTGAAACGTACAGCTATGCATACGGTTCATAAATAAGCCCCTATCAAACATTAGAAAGTCAAGGAAGTAGCAGGACTGATAACAGTTACATGCAGGTCTGTAGCTTCTAGTCTTCAGCACGCTACTCCAGAACACCCCACGTTTACAGTGGTGAGTATATAATTATGCAGGTAGCAAGTCTCAAGGCTTGAAGAATAAGTAAACTTCTCCGATCCTCGATTCCCAGGCTCGCTCATTTCTCATTCAGATATCTCTCAGTTGCTTTTTGCGTCTCTCTTATGCAAACTAGCGAAACATTAGTCAGCCGCATCGTTATCTCACAAGATCCGGATGAGGTTTTTATCAACTTTGCATCATCCGACGTATCGCACCTACTTGCAGCTGGGAGTAAAGGACGAGAGGGCGCGCCATAAGATGAAAACATTCAGGCCTTGGAAGATAGCCAGCGCAGCGCAAATGGAACAACTAGCGACTATTGTTGCGGTGATAATCTTGGCTGTGTAGAAAGGGAGCTCTCGTGGATGATTGTTGTGTATGGGAAGCAAGTTCGGCTCTTTCCGGGTTTGAGTGGTATACTCTGGACATTTCTCATATTTATCTCTGAGTTTCCTTAGTTTTTCTCATATTTTTTGTCACTTTCCCATGGGTTTCAAATGGTTTGCTTGTCGGTAGACCAGATGACCTTCGATTTGCAGGCGGGTTTAAGGGTTAACCCCATCCATGTGAATCCGCGCGGATTCACACGTATCTTTAGATACTCCTTTTCGGTTGCTAGAATGTATTAAAAAGAATAAAAGAAAGAAGTAAAAGAAATGAAATGTTGTACAATCTGACTCAGCAGGCCGACTACCGAGGTCTAATTTCCCCGCAATATTCAATCGAGGACTATTTCTACTCTATCTTCTCCATTTCATCTCACTCCAACAGGGTGCTGAATCCATCATGTCAAATCCAAGCTATCCGGAAATTGCGCAACGCAAACAAGCCCAGCTCAATTCTCGGATTCCCGCAGAATGGAAACTGCCGGCGTCGGCAATCCCTCCCGGGATGCTATCCATCCCAGACTCCCTCACCAATGTAAAGGAGTATCAACGGGTGAATGTGATGGCCATTCCGCGAACCTGTGGCCTTCTCACGGAAAAAGAGCTGGCGATCACCGAAAATTATGATATCCGAGCCCTCCTGGACAAAATCGCGGGGAAGAGGCTCTCGAGTGAAGAGGTCGTCAGGGCATTCAGTAAGGTATTCTGAATTCTCACCATTGTCGATACCGTATACAAGAGCATACATACTGAACACATCTAGAGAGCGGCCATTGCCCATCAACTTACCCGCTGCTTGACCGAGCCACTCTTCGAGCGCGCTCTATATCAAGCCAAAGAACTAGACCTGCATCTTCAACGGTCTGGAAAACCAATCGGTCCGCTCCACGGACTGCCCGTCTCCATTAAGGACACCTTCCATGTCAAAGATGTGGACTCGACCATGGGCCTTGCCGCTCTTGCCTTCCAGCCGGCCACGGAGGACTCCCCACTGGTCAAGCTGCTCGAGTCCTTGGGAGCCGTGATCATTGCCAAGACCAACGTTCCCCAGACAGTGGGCACGTTGGACAGCTGCAACCATCTTTTCGGTCGCACGTTGAACCCGCTGAATCGCCAGCTCACAGCTGGAGGAAGTTCCGGTGGAGAAGGGGCCCTAGTAGCCTTACGGGGAACCATGGTCGGATTCGGCACGGACATCGGAGGTAGTATCCGTGTGCCTGCCATGTGTAATGGTATTTATGGGTTCAAGCCCAGTGTAGGTCGTGTCCCGTACCGTGGACAGGAAGCCGGCCATGTGCCGGCCAAAATGCGCATTTCCCTACAGGCGGTAGCGGGCCCCCTGGCGCGGTCGGTGGCAGACCTCGGTGCAATCATGGGGGAGGTGGTACCGCGGGCAGAGCTGTTCGGGGAGGACTGTATCCCCGGTCAGTGGCAGGGCGAGTTTCCCTCGCTGCAGCTACCAGAGACTCAGGCTCGCAACGTGACCATTGGAGTCCTGCGGTCGGACGGCATCGTCGAACCCCTGCCTCCTATTGCCAAAGTCCTGGACGAAGTAGCCCGGACGTTGAGACGCACTCCCGGCGTCAAGGTGGTGGAGATCCCGGTGCCACCGGCTCTCGCCAAGTGCCAGGGCCTCGCGGGGCGGTTGATGGGTGTTGACGGAGGCAATAGCATGATGGATCTTCTCGAAAGTACCGGTGAACCGCTGATTCCATGGCTCCAGGGACGGACCAAGCGCGGGAAAGAACTGACGCTGACACAGCTGGGTCAGCTGCAGGCGCAGCGGTCTGTCGTTGAACGGGAGTTGCTGAAGATGTGGACGCTGGATGGTGTAACAGGACGGCGTATTGATGCGATCATCCATCCTGTGGCACCGCATCCAGTGCCGGAAATCGACCGCTATAACGCTGTCGGGTATACATCCAGCTTTAACTTGTTAGATTACCCGGCGGGAGCCATCCCGGTGCGTCCGTTCAACGAGTCGGATCTAGAGACTGGAAAGGAGATGACCGCGCCTGTGATCGGGAGCTGGGACAAGGCAAATCGGATGCTGTGTACGCTGGCCAAGTTGTATTCGCTGATAAGAGCTGACCTGGACAGGGAACGAGAATACCGTCGATCGTCGAGTATATCTAGACTCACCACTAAGTATCCAAGTTATCACTCCCAAGCTGCATGACTACGACCTCTTCCGTGCCATGGAAATTATTGACCGGGCCGTCAGGGCGGATAACCCCAGTGCCAAACTGTAGTACTATACGAGTCTAAAATTGACAATCCGAGGGGCCGAGTCGTGATACAGAGGTTTCCAAGAAGAATAGTAGGGGAGGAGTATACCACGGAGTAGATCGATGCAGGGCAAAAGCATTTGGTATGCTTCCAATGCTTCAAGCAATACATTGATTTTAATAGGTAAATAGATACAAAGATGTTGCACATGAAGGGTGGTAAACATTGCACTAAGCCTGATTTACATAGCTTGAAGTGAGGGTTACCTCCTATTATTATGGTCACTTGACATTCTGCACAACGTTCTCCATGCTCTTGTGTATATGGAAAACAGATAACATGTCTCACCACTGGCTGGCCTGCCATCCCTCTGAACTGGCTGCCCGCACAACTTCTTCAAATATTCATCAAATTCGACCATCGAAATGGCCACAAGATCGTTAATTTTTTATTATAAAAACAAGTGACAAAATAGTGCGTGCAATTCAGGGTTTAAAACCAGGCTAAATTCAGTCTATTTGGGCTGCGGCTAAGCTCCAGTGAGTTGTATATTTCCACTAGGTCCACACTGAGCTTCACCCACCAACTCTTTCCACGATCATAACTTTAAGCTCTTACCTGAATCACATGCGGCGTAGAAAATTATTTACGTGGGATGAGCTTTTGATGGAGCAGGCCAACCTACTGTGATGGAAATCAATCCTCCCTTCGTACCTTGATTCCCGTGTAAAATCATCAACGTCTATACGGAAAGGCACTTGAGAATCAAAAATCAAAAAGAGAAACTAGAACCGATGGAGGTAACATGGATAAACCAATCCAAGATACAGCGCAGTTTTGTAGCAAATGTACAATATACCAACACTATAGCAATATTTATCCACACCTAGTTCATCTAGTTCGTCTACAACTTCCCCTTCAAATTGTTCCCCCCATCCGTAATAACCACCGCGCCATTCAGATGGCTCGCTGCCCGACTCGACAAAAACACCACCAGACCGGCGATGTCCTCCGGTCTGCCGAGTCTCTTGTTCGGCGAATTTGCCTCCAGCTTCTTCAGCCCACCCTGCATGTCTATCATGCCATTAGCCATCTTGGACGGGTAGATGCCCGGGGCAATCGCATTTGTCAGGATGTGTCGGGGACCGAGATCAACGGCGAGATTCTTCGCCAGATGGATAACGGCGGCTTTGGAAGCCGAGTAACTGAATGTGGCGTTCTCGCCCAGACCACCAAGCGTCACGCCCGCCGTTGAACCGGTGATCAGCACGCGCGAGGGATCGTCCCGGGTGGCTTTTACTGAGAGGAGAGGGGTGAATCTGTACTATTAGCTTTCGTCGACAATAAAGGAGAGAAAAAAAAAAGGAAGAAAAAGAAAGAAAAAGAAGGGGGGGGGGAAGAATCACTTCTGAATCAAATAGAAAACACTCTTCACATTCAAATCCATCACCTTGGAGAACATAGCCTCCGGATGGGTATCGAATTTCTCCCCCCACGTGGCCCCCGCATTGGCGAACAAAATATCAACATGATCCGTCGTCTTCTTAACCTCCGCCACTAGTTGATCCAACTCGGACATACGCGAATTATCCGCGGGCACGGAGATCGCCTGCGCGCCAGGTCTTTTATTGGGAAGGGCATTGAGAGCCGCGACGGCTTCGTCGCATGCTTTGGCTTTGCGGGATGTGATATAGACTTTGGAGCAGCCGGCTTGGAGGAGACTATTACTCTAGGTTAGAAGTTGTGTAACTTGATTCTGCAAGTCTGCGAAGTACTACCCGCTTGCTGCGTGCAGCCCCAAACCTCTAGATCCACCGGTTACGACGGCGACTTTGCCATCGAGGGAAAAGATGGATTCGAAATTGTCGAGCTGGACTTGATCAGCGGCGGACATTGTAATCGTGTGGATTGAAGGACTCTTCGGTAGTTAGAGATGTTAGTCTGCTCTTTATCGAAATAAAATAGCTCCTGAGGAGACTCCGTAGAGTGGGGCCGAGGCCGAGGTCAACACTAACCCCGCAGTTTGATTATAAAAATGAGTATTGCGTCTTCCTACTGATGCTTTCTGTAGTTACAGCCCATATATGTATTTCTACACACCCAATTTACCTATGAAGCTGCAGGTCGATTGTGCAGGTGCTGTGACACTCGCACCAAGGCATGTGATTAGTGACGCAGCTGTAGGTACCCGATTGCAGAGCTCCTGTATTCTCCATGCTCTGAATCATCACTCTTCACCTCAACCAATTGCACTATCTCCATCTTCGAGATTTGCCATATTTACGGCCAATATATCTGATTGAACAGTCACCGGTACACTGGACAGGACCCCCAGTCTGATACAACCACTGAACACGCCTGTGAGAACAGTCAAGGCACGCTCGCTAGACTATAGACATCAAATTACGAGAGGATGTGTTTGATTGTCCTGATGAGTTTCTAGGATCGACTATAATCTCCCGGGGTGGATCACTGCTTGTTCTGCTTGTTCTTGTCCATGTGTTTGCTACTTCGATATTGGGGTCTAATCTGAGCAAGGTCAAATAACTTAACAGTCGATATGCGAAACTGTCTATATAAGCATCCTACTATATATTTATAATCAAGATGAGTCACCAGCACACAGAATAAGAGCACAATATTACTCGTGGTTCTGAATGACCTGATCGGCCAATAGAAATATGCTCAAATGCGCGCATCAGGGTCTACCGTGATGCGGGGGTATAATATCTCTTCTTTATTATTCTATCTTCTCTTTCTCTTTCTCTTTCTCTTTCCCTTTCTTCTCTTTCTCTTTCTCTTTCTCTTTCTCTTTCTCTTTCTCTCTCTCTCTCTCTCTCCAGTATATCCAGAGTCAAGGGTATCTAAGACAGGATCTACAAAATGGCACACCAATTTTCGCTCCCTCCCCTTCCCTACGCCTACGATGTATGTCCATCTGCCCACCCTTGAGATAAAAGAGCTAATAATATAGGCACTGGAACCCATCATCTCCAAACAAATCATGCAACTCCATCACCAAAAACACCATCAAACGTACATCACAAACCTGAACGCCGCTCTCGCCGCACAAGAACAAGCCCACGCCAGCGCTGACATCGACATCCGCCACCTCATCACCCTCCAACAGAAGATCAAATTCCACGGCGGCGGACACATCAACCATTCTCTGTTCTGGAAGAACCTGGCGCCGTACGGGTCCGCAGACACGGATCTTTCGCGTGCGGCGCCGACATTGAAGGCCGCTATCGAGACGCAGTGGGGTGACGTGCGTGCGTTCATGGATGCGTTTGCAGCGACACTGCTGGGTCTCCAGGGTAGTGGTTGGGGATGGTTATGTCGAGGTTCGGATGGGCGGTTGGAAATTGTTCAGACTAAGGATCAGGATCCGGTCGTGGATAAGGTGCCGGTTTTGGGGGTGGATATGTGGGAACATGCTTATTATCTTCAGGTCCTCTTTCCGTCTCTCCTCTTTGATGACTGTGGCTAATATATCTATATAGTACTTGAATAATAAAGCATCATATGTTGACGGAATCTGGAAAGTCATCAACTGGGCCACGGCAGAGGAACGATTTAAGAATGGGATTGAGAGCTTCTCCTTGAAGTTGTAACTCCCGCATATCTACAATATCTACACGGCTAGCGAGTGTTTGTTGGAACAATGGATTGAGACGAGTAAACTGCTAACTCACCTTCGTGCCCGTATGGTGTGTTCTAGAGCTCGTATACCAGTGGATGAGGTCATCGAGTACATGAGGTGAGAGAGAGAGCAGATAGCCATGCAAATAAGTCAACCCGGATGCGAAATATAAGCGCTTAGACGGCCATATGCATGAGATAATCTAGTATAAACAATAATTAACAATGCCTTATGCTCTGACTTTGAATTGGAGTAGATCTCGTAGTGTATAGAGAGTTGGAGATTAGTATACACTGTAGGGTTGACTTCCAGTCATACACTGGTATTCACCGCAGGAAGTGGGTAGATATACTGAATTTCACATGTTTTTAGACATCCGTTTGACTACTACAAAGACATTATTGTATGCAAACTGCTTTACATATAAAAATGTAGCTTCAGAAGTTGCTAGAGGAGAGGTGGTTCCCCGCACCCAGCGCCCCTGGAAACCGGGTATATTTTCCTCTTCCAACCACCCTGAACGCTCATGATGAAGAAGTCGATGATTACTCGCCGAGTTGGGGCACAATGGTCCTCAGCCAAAATCTGATTGTAGGATCTCCCTGTGCGTGAACAGGCTATTTAATATGGTCTCATTCCTCATCTGAAGAACCCAGCAAGCAGCGACAACGACTCATTCAGGAGTTTCTCGAGATGGAAGAGGTTCCTGAAAGCTGGGAAATTTTTGAAGATCCCCCTCCACGTCTACCAACCGATGAAGAAATTGATGTCATTCTTCGGCCCTGGCGGTCTGATAATAACATTCGTTGGAAAGCAAGATGGATACTCCGTGACAAATACCCTGTTATTCTTCGCACATATTACAATTCAGAAGATGATGCCGATGTCAGAATAAATGAATGGACTAAAGGTGACGATATGTTCCAAGGTAGCGAGCATTGGGCAATGCTCAACGATTCGGAGTTTTTTAATTTGGCTCTAACTGGCAGAGTATATACGACATTTTGCCAGAGATGGCTGGTCCTATGCATCCCTGGAAACGGTCTGTTTCAGAGGACAAGATTGTCTACTTTAGAGAAAAGTTTAAGGAATTCCTGTCTTCATGGAAGCAGGAGGAGCCGAATATGTGGAAGGAGGATCAAGAGAGGTTTATCGAGGATACTGCGCTTGGTCTACAGACATGCTTTATTCAGTCGATGCTTCTTATAATGGATAGAGAGGCATTTGAAACTAATAAGCCCCGGTTACTTTTCTTGGATGGCTATCGGAAAATTATTCGCGAAGGCCGTCTTGATCTAAATGAGCAGCGTATTTCTGAAATAGCTGTATGCTATGAGCGTAATATTGAAATTCCGGAGGAGGTCGTTGTTGGGGAGAAGTATAAAATATATGGAGAGATAGGGAAGGGTTTGTATCGGTTAACTAATGAGGATTTTGCGGATCCTTAATTGGTGATATCCAGATACGTCAAGCTACGAACAGGTATTTCGGAAATCAAATCGTGCTTAAAAAGGGTGGTTGCTCCTGTCCACTGAAGGGATTTATTATAGACTATCTAATTATTGTTGAGAAAAATCGACCCTGTAAGGTTCCCCGAAAGGCCTAATGTTCCTAATATTATCAAATAGCGGAACACCCATGGGTTGTATGCTGGTACGTAGAGCGTTGGTTTCCCCAAATGTCAATTTTCTGACAGGTTGTAAGATGACGAATAAAAAATACCGCCATAAAAGTGTTGGATGTCAAGCTGATTTTGCAAGCCACTGTACATATAGGTACATATAAACCAAGCAATAATTATAAATGCTACGCAACGCAACGCTCCCCAATGAAAAGATTAATCAAACCCTACAATCCCCATTCCCATCCTCCTTCCCTCCACCATGACAGTAACCTGTCTCCCAACGATTCCCACATCCGAGACCCCCAGATCCAATCTCTGCGGTAACTGTGCCTGCAGCTGTGTACTCGTACTGTCCAGTCCATTCGGAACCGGATTGACCTTAACTTGAAATCGATACAAAGGAGGATGAATTATGGATGAGGTAAGGTCTCCGTGTTTTCTACTCTATTAGCCCACATATATCAAAAAGAAAGAAGCAAGAACTAGGGGAGGAAGAAAGACATACTCAATCCAAACATCAACGCCCTGCGACGCACGCAGGAAATCAAAAGTCGCGGCATCGGCGATTCGAAACACCGTTGTTGTCGTATCCCCATCTTTGAAAGAAAGCGAATACGGCGCCATAGGACTGTCTGGTGTGCAGGGGTATATAATGGCGATGCGGTTGCCGGTGCTGGGCCTGGATGGTCCGCACATCTCTTTTTTCTTTCTTTCTTTCTTTCTTATATATATATTATAATTTATCTGGGTTATGGTCTTGTGTAGAGGGACGTGGTTGATGGAATAAATGGAGTTAGAGATTTTCTGTATTAAATAATATATTAGAAAGATGAATGTATTATGATATAGCAAGATGAATATTTATGATGTAGAGCAAGATGGGCTATTATGATATAAAGCAAGACGATGTATTATGGTATAAAGGTGATATATTAGGTAAAGAGAACTCAAGTATACCCCTATTCCAAGGCATCATGCTCAAATTCGCGCAAATCGACGCACCACTACTTCTACTAGAGAGTCAATTTGAGAATGATGATCATGCTGACACTGACAGTATCCATTGCAGAGATCTATCGATCTATCGAATGAATTTACGAATACTCGAAGGATCTACAGCTAGCTGCTGCCTGTCTATCCCCTATGTACCCTAAACGGATGCGCTTCGGTATTAAAAACAAACTGATTACCATCACCCTTTTGCACCTGCCATTCCTCATCTATAAAGTTATAAATGTCAGCACATCTCTCCAGTTCCATCCACAGATCGCCTACCGGAAGAATGCGTCAGGTACGCATATTTCATCACCTCCGCAAAGAGGAAGCTCTCCTGGTTATCATATCGGCCACCGCCATCCTTGGCGTTCACGTCCATCAGCCCCGCAAACCCCGAGTCGGTGCGACAGTACTTTTTGATCGACACGAAGGCATTCCACACCCACTCCCGGTACTGCCTTCGTTAGTACATTTCCTTGTTTGCTCTGTGGGACGTCCTACCTTCTCCTCACCGGTGATGCGCCAGGCATAGTAGAAACTCTCAATGACCTCCGGTCGCAGGATGTAGGCGCCGCTGCTGATGTAGAAGCCCGCCCGTTCATACAGCCCCCTCTGGTCCTCGGGCACGTTGGTCGGGCTCCAACTAAAGCTCTCGGGCCCGATCCCAGTCAGGGTCTCGTTGTACGTCGCGTGGCATCCGTTGACCAGTTTCAGGCCGAAATCGATGAAATCCTCGCGATCCAGCACGGTGCCACCCAGCAGGAAGTTGCCCCCATCAAAGCAGGTCAGGTGCTGCGAGCTCAGGCCCAGATTCCCATTGTTGTACGACGCCAAAAAGGTCAGATCAGGCCGGGTCTCGGAGTTGGACGCCAGGTGCTCGATAGTCGACTTGGCCGCTGCGATCCAGCGCTCCTTGTACTTGCCGAACCGCTTAGGATCGTACACATACATCTTAATCAGATACTCATAGAACGAGTCGGCGCCACCGTTCCAGCTGACCTGAGCATTGGCAAACTTCCCGGTGCGGATGTCGATGCTGCTTCCCACCAACCCCGGGAATGGCTGGGCTTCCTTGGGCTGGGGGTCCAAGAGATGCGATTCCGCCTTTTGGCTGAGATTGGCATACTCGTCGTCGCCGGTCAGGTCCGACAGACGCGTCCATTCAAGAACCAGAGTTCCGGTCACCGCCAGACCGTTGGTCTTGGCGTGATCATTGTCGTGCGACGTGATGTTGATATTGTTATAGGGGACCCCTGAGGGGGTGTCAAAGGCAAACTTGAGAACGTCGGCAAGGTTCTTGGACTGGGTCAAGAGGGTCTCGATCTTCTTCTCGTCCTTGACCAGGTCGGATGCAGGACCTTTCAGCAGGTCATATCCGGATAACATTCCCCCCAGGTACCGAATGGTGGTCTCGAACAAGCTGACCATATCGTCGGTCTTGGAGTAGTCGATCTTGGCGATGTGGTCTAGGATCTGGTTCACAATGGTCGCATTACGCATGATAATGGCCGTGGACAGGGCGTCCACAGCAGATGCGCCCCAGCCATTGCGAGAGTTGCCATAGCCGTTGGAGAGGGGGTGTAGTTCGTCGTTGGGGAAGGCATATTTGTAGTAGCCATCCCAAGCGTGCACGAAGGATTCCTCGATGATGTCGGCGCGGGACTGAGACTCCTCGGGTTTCAGGAGAGGCTGCTCGTTCAGGAGATTCGGATAGGCAACGGAAGGTGTGGCGAAGGCCACAGCCGTCAGGGGAAGAAGGGAGCGAAAAAGCATGACGGAAATATATCAGGGCTTCCCGGACGTATAAATAATAGAAATACTCCTCTGGAGTCGTCCTCTTCGATAAAGATAAGTATAAGCGAATGAAGGAACAGTACAGCCAATCTAGACAAGCGAGCGACAGCCTGACGGAGCAGACGGGTCAAGATCAATTAATATATATAAAAGGAGGGGCGACTCTAGACGAAGGAGCGAACTAAGGAGCGAACTAAAAGAAAGTTGAGTGTCGCGTGGGGAAGAGAGAATTCGAATGAATTCACGCGCATTTTGTTTAATTAATAAATATAGGCTGAGTCAGCCAGGCACGGAGAGAGCAAGGGGAAGAACCTCTTGATTCGGAGGAATCTCGACAAATCCTCTCAACTCGTCCTGACGATCGCGACAGATCATCCTCCCCCATTCCAACACCCCTACCAACTAGTAGTGATTGTCCTCCACTAGTTGATCCTCATTGGGGAAAACCTAAAGAGTGGTCTGGTTCCTCTCATCTGCCGGTCATTCAGCGGGGCGAGTGGGGAAAACGGGCTCGAATTCCAGAGATCACAAAATCTTCTGTATTGGGTTGACTGGAGTGGTGAAATCCACGGAATAGGCTATATCTCAATGTTCGTCTGACTTGTTCATTACAGATATTATATCAGAACCATCAGACGACCCCGTCAGGCACGCACCAATGACTCGTCCGCCAACGCCGGAATCTTCGGGAACCTCAACGGAGCGTTCCAAGTCAACTCAAACAGTCGAGTTTATTACCAACTATGCCAGTGGATTGCATATTCCTTAAACTTTACCCCTCTTCTTTCTTTATTCCGAGGGAGGATCACACTAAATGTCTAGACCGCAGGAACGTGATTTCCCGTTGTATAAATCCTACGACAGCCGTGTCTCAGAGTACTTATGCCTAATATTCTACCAAATAACCTCCTCTGGTTGAGGAATTCATAGATCCTAATGGAGAGTATTTCAACTTTGGCGTCTTCCATGGCCCTCCAGTTTATAAAACCGCAGGCAAAGGCAAGATCATTTTGATGGCCTTTCTCGTGCTGAAGTCAAATGAACTGATTCTGTTGAATTGTTCTAGATAATGTCAATTCTAGTCGCCGTCTATTTCTATTATACGGAGTAGGTCCGACGACCTTATATTTATTAACCATCAAGGTTGACCTCATTCTAACATTGTGGCATTCCCCACCGAACCCACAGTAACCGAGTGGCCCATTCAGCTTTCGCAGTGTTTCCCATTCCAGCTTGGTCCGGCACCATCACATCAATCACCTCTGCTAAACAGTCGCGAAACCATCGCTAAATCATCGTCCCTATGCCAAGCCATCGCTGCATCCTCCTTGGATCCTTGGGCAGCAGCTATCGCGGGATTAAATGCCTGTTGGTCAGGATGTCAGGACAACAAACTGTGCTAAATATCACGGAAATCAGCCACTACAATGAGCCCAGGGAGACATCGACCATGAAGAACGTCGGTTCCAGGCATATTCAACGTCACCTCAGCTCATGGACACCATTCTCTGAATGAGGTCAGGATCAACATCCCTGCTTTCCTCGCCCCATGTAGATCCATAATAGCGAAATTACTACGATGGAGCCGCATCCGAACGATCTCGTGTTCTGCTGTCCGAAATTCCGACCGACTTTATAACTGTCGACCTCGCCCCTACTCGTCCATATCCAACGGCTCTGAAATGCCCCCGACTATGCGATCGTTGCCACTCCTGCTACTTGCCTTGCAAGGACTCTTTCAATCAGCCAACGCCGATACGCGGATATGCCGCTTTCCAGGCGGAAAGGTGACCGACGATGTCCCCTGCACCTCGAATCAAAACACCCACTGCTGCTCTCCGAGTTCTATCTGCCTGGATAATGGGTATTGTTACAATATAGCCCGCCAGCCGTTCGGTATTTCTCGTGGAACCTGTACCGACGAGTCCTGGGGAAAGAACTGCCCTCAAGAATGCATTGATGGTATGTATCCTTTTCGTTACCTTTAACTTGCTCCTTTTATTAAATTTTTAGTCTGTCTCACTGACTTCTCTGCAACTAGCCGACAAGAAAACGAATAAAGGTTCCCCTATCGTTGCTTTCACAACCCAGGGTGACGACCAGCTCTATTGCTGTGGGGGACTAAGTTGGGATGCGAATAAAAAGGCAATGGACTGTGCCGGCGGTGCTGATCCTTTCACCTTGGATTCAGCAAGGGCTATTCTCGGTGTAGCCGCTCTCACTAACACCACGTTGGACACCGAGAATTATTACACGGCTGGGGTCAATGCCTCTCAGGTATCCGTAGCCAAACACTGTGACAATAGCGGCAACGACGGCAAGAACGGCACAGATGGCAGTAATGGCGACAGTGATAGTAAAGGGGGCAACAATGGTACCTGTAGTACCGATGGGAGCAACGGAAACAAAGATGACTCCAAGGAGAAGACAGCCATAGGCGCCGGCGTGGGTGTTCCACTGGGGATCATTGCGCTAGGGTCTTTGGCATTTGCATTTTTGCAAAATCGACAGTTCAGAAGGTTGAAGGCTCAGTCACAATATGCAACCCAAGAGGGAATGATGGGTTCTTTGTTTCCCATGGGCCACATGGGCCACATGGGCCAAATGACTCATGTGGAAGTCGGGCATCAGACATATCCCGCGGAGTTGGATAACCCTCCGAGAGAGTTGATGGGGACATCTAAATGATGGTCTATTCAGTTGATATGAGCTTGATTGCTCTTATTTTGGTGAAAAAAATTGCTGTTCTATAGATAGAATATAATGGTAGGTAGTAGTAGTAGTGGACTTTCTTCCTACAGCCCTCCCTGTCTTGATATTCATCGCCCATTTTCTTGAGCATATCATGATCAGTTTGTATCAATCTCTTTCTCCCTCCCTCTCTTTCTGTGTATATATATATATATATATATTAGAAGAAAAAGAAGCATGTCTATAGTTATCACCGCAGCGGCTGAGTCATCCACAATCAAGTGATCGTCTTCCATCATGAGCAACTAAATGACCTGAATGTCTGAGAATTTAACCTGTCAGAGCATAAGTAAGCAATTATAATTGACAGATAGAAGATATTTCCAGTGTACATCTCCCCTGTCACAATTTATCCCATCCCAATCCCCTCTCTATCCACTCATTCGATGGTATTGTTAATCCAAGGCCCCAGCCACGTGCCCGTGCGGGGCACAACGAAATTCGCAATGATTCATTCATTCATTTATTGTGTCATTCTTCCTCGCCCAACAACCGTTTGGGCTGTAAATTCACCTCTGTCTCCTCCTGAGGATCTTCTCGTCTGTCATCCCACCAGCCGAGATTGGTTCTGTCCGCCCTTCTCACCATGGCTACCCCCTTTCTCGTCTCGCTGGACCCATCCTCCCCCGCCTCCGGCCTCTCGCTCAACCAGATCGCCTACTTCGGCCGCGTGCTGGTCAAGGCCTCCACTCTCACCCAAGCCGAACAATTCCTTCGTACCTATTTCCGTCTCCTCGATGTCTACGTCGACGCGACCTCCATTGCCTCCCCTGGTGATCTCGTCGATGTCCTGAACGCCGGAGCTGTTAAGATCTTTATCTCCCTCGACCAATTGACTGCCCTCTCCCACGAACAGTCCGTCCCGTCGTCCCGCATTGTCGTATACACCTCTTCAGACAGTCAGGTAGACGCCTTCCGATCATGGGTGGGCGACAACGCCGAGCGTAAGGAGGCCGGTCTCTGCACTGACTCGGCCGCAATCAAAGCCCTGGCCGATAAACTGGGAGTGGACTTGGAAGCTCAGAATATCTACCGAACATACTCCGGCCCAGTCACAGAGGATACGTTGAAGGAGACTCTAACCCAAGGCGCGGTCAGCGTTGTATCTTCCCAGGCTTTGACTCTGGACCGCAGCGAGGCCGACGGCAAGATCGCTGCCGCTTCCCTTATCGCGGCACGTGCGGTGGCCGATGGCAACGGCCTGTATGCTACTACAGTGACCGACGAGAGGGGAGCCTGCTTGGGTCTGGTCTGGAGCAGTGACGAGAGTATCTTCGAGGCCCTTCGCACCGGTACGGGTGTCTACCAGAGCCGGAAGCGGGGTCTGTGGTACAAGGGCCAGTCGAGTGGAGATGTGCAAGAGTTGATCCGGGTGGGATTTGATTGTGACAGCGATTGCTTGGTGTTCACTGTCAAGCAGATCGGTAGGGGTAAGTGATGTCATCCCTTCTGCAGCGCCATGATTACATTGACTAATGCCGGTCGGTATCGATCAGGCTTCTGCCACCTGGGTACAGCCAGTTGCTTCGGGCCGTACCATGGTCTCTCGCGCCTGCAGAAAACGCTCGAGGCCCGGAAAGCCGATTCCCCTGCGGGCTCCTATACTGCGCGCCTTTTCAACGAACCCAAGCTCATCCAGGCCAAGATCATGGAAGAGGCTGACGAATTGTGCCGTGCCAACACCAAGGAAGAAATCGCTTTCGAAGCCGCCGATCTCCTCTACTTTGCCCTGACCCGCTGCGTCGCAGCCGGCGTCAGTCTCGAGGATGTGGAGAGGAACCTGGATCTCAAGAGCCTAAAAGTCAAGCGGAGAAAGGGCGACGCTAAAGGCCCCTGGGCGGAGAAGGCCGGTATTGCCCCCACTGCTCCAGCTGCGCCGGCTCCAGACAGTCAGCCCCCCGCTAAGGAAGAAGACAACCGTATCGAAATGACTCGCGTTGTTACCGCCTCCACGCCGGTTGAGGTTGTCAAGGAACACCTCCACCGGCCGTCCCAGAAGTCTAACGATACCATCGTTGGTCTTGTCCGCCCAATCATCCAGGACGTTCGCGAGAATGGCGATGCAGCAGTGCTCAAGTATACCCACAAGTTCGAGAGGGCGACGTCCTTGACATCTCCCGTGCTCCGCGCTCCGTTCGCACCGGAGCTGATGAAGCTGTCTCCGGAAACGCAGGAGGCGCTCGACGTCAGTATCGGCAATATCGCCAAGTTCCACGACGCTCAGAAGGGGAACAACGAAGTTTTACAAGTGGAAACCATGCCGGGTGTGGTCTGCTCCCGCTTCTCTCGGCCCATTGAACGTGTCGGTCTATACATCCCAGGTGGTACCGCGGTTCTGCCTTCGACCGCCATGATGTTGGGTGTTCCCGCTATGGTGGCTGGCTGCAAGAAAATCATCTTAGCGTCGCCGCCCCGTTCCGATGGCAGCATCTCCCCCGAGATTGTGTACGTCGCGCACAAGGTGGGCGCTGAAAGTATTGTGTTGGCGGGAGGCGCCCAGGCGGTTGCGGCCATGGCATACGGCACTGAGAGTGTGAGCAAAGTTGACAAGATCCTGGGCCCCGGCAACCAGTTCGTGACCGCGGCCAAGATGCTGGTCGCCAATGATACCTCGGCGGGCGTCAGCATTGATATGCCAGCCGGGCCCAGTGAGGTGCTAGTGGTGGCCGATGAGCACGCCAACCCGGCATTCGTGGCCTCGGATCTGCTGAGCCAGGCCGAGCACGGCGTCGACTCGCAGGTCATTCTCATCGCGGTCAGCCTCAGCGAGCAGCAACTTCAGGCTATTGAAAATGAGGTCGACGCACAGGCTAAAGCTCTTCCCCGAATGGATATTGTCAAAGGATCTCTGGAGCACTCGGTCACATTTGTGGTCCGGGATCTGGCCGAGGCGATGGCACTCAGCAACGAGTACGCTCCCGAACATCTGATCCTCCAGATCCAGAATGCGGAGGCTGCGGTAAAGCATGTGCAGAATGCAGGAAGTGTCTTCATCGGCCAGTGGACCCCGGAAAGCGTGGGCGACTACTCGGCGGGTGTGAACCATTCTTTGCGTAAGTGAACGGCCCTATATAGTATATGATATGGAAAAGCTAACCTGGGATGCAGCCACCTATGGGTATGCCAAACAGTACTCGGGAGTGAACCTGGGATCGTTCCTGAAGCACATCACCAGCTCGAATCTAACCTCGGACGGCTTGCTGAGATTGTCGAGCACTGTCGAGCAATTGGCTGGGGTGGAAGGGCTGGATGCCCACAAGAGGGCTGTTAGCATTCGTGTTGCTCACATGAAGCAGTGATTGGTTTCCATTAATTGTTACCGCGCGATATCTCTTTCCTAGGACATGGTTTATGTGAAGATTCCCGATTAATAAATGAATTGCAATCAAAATTTCGGTTTATGCAAAAAACCAAGCAATAATCAACGGTGGTATCCTTCCGTAAGCTTTATACAAGTACAGTATACACAAAACCCGAACTTTTCCCGGCCAGTTACAGAAATGAAAAGCAGCAAATGCGGTCTAGTAGAAACAAAATTATCATCAATCGTAGGGTGAGCCGGCGAGATCACTTCTTGCGCTCTCGGATCTTCCACTTGATCCCATCCTTGTTCGTCCCTCCTACCGAGTTGTCCATTCGAGCACGCTGCAAATCCAACTCGCGAGCCGCCGCCGTGATATCCGTATACTGCTTCTGGAGCGCTGCCAGCTTGTTCTGACGTGCCTCTGCCGCTCGTTTCTTCGTTTTGCGCATCCGACGCTCTTCCATCAGAGCCTGACGCTGCGCTTCGATTTGTTTCCGGGATTTTTTCTGTTGCTGCTGCTGCTGACCAAAAGAATCGTCCTCTTCTTCATCATCATCCTCCTCCTCACGGAGCCTCTTCTTCTTCAATTTCTTCTGCTCCCGCTGATCATCCGCAAAGATCGTCTTCTTCGACTTCCGGGTATTCACCTCTTCCACCTCGAAATCAAAATCAAAACCATCATCCTCATCGCCATCCTCACCCGCCTTCTTCCGACCATTCACATCTTTCTCTCCAAAAATCTGTTGCAATCCATCCTGCAACCGAACCTCCTGCTCCAACTTCTCCATCTGTCGACGCACACGCTCACCTACCGTACGCAGGTATCCCGCATCCTGCGTCTTCAACAGCTTGATCGCATCATGGCTCAATCCTGCGGCCGATGCGCGATTCCCTGCCCCGTGTTTGCCCTGTCGCTGCGATTGCGAGGACATCATGCCAAACGCGAATTCATCGGGATTGCGGTCGCGGACTTTTTCTTCCAGACGTTTGAGTTTGGCTTTTTTGACATTGTAGTCTTTGGCTCGGAGGGAGTAATCCTATGTTACATTATATTATTTATTAGTATCTTTCTTATATCTGTATGTCTAGACGACTGTTGGCCTGTCGGTAGGTCTAGAGATAGATACCTTGTGTTTCTCGAGAATACCCCATTTTTCTCTTCCCTGAAGTTGACCACGTTCGCGATGGTTCCGTCGTTGGACGGCATTGCGCATAGAGGACATGGCGTTGAATTTATCTGGTATAAATTTTGTAAAGTTCGATATGAGAGAGAGAGAGAGATGGTGGATAAATAAAATCGGCGGTTGAAAAAGTTCGGAGTCGGGCTAGTCGAACTTCATCCCGCCCGCTTCTTCTTGGGACTTGAACTCCCGACTTGGATTCCTCAGACTGCCAGAGATTCAGCCAATTGCTCCATACAGCGGACTATAATTGTGATCAATATCTATTGTGTTTAATATTCTATTATTCTTGTTATTTTCTCAATTTGTGACCTCATCCTGATTCATCCACAGCACAGATGCAATATACGAGCTAGACAACACATCCAATTCCATAAAACCTCCAACCCGCAGGAAACACCAAAAGAAAGAAGAAAGAAGGATAATAAAGAAGGGAGAAGAAAATGTCCGAGTCCTCCCCAAAATACAACCTACGCAACCCCCTCCCCCTCTCCGCCACCCAAGAAGCAGAAGTCAAGCAACTATACTACAAGCGCGTCCGGGGACACTGTGCTCCTGAAATCAAAGGTTTGTCTACTCCCCTCTTCGTCTTGGTCATCCTCTTCTGCTTTTTTATGTCAGAATGTAAATAACACTGAATAGCCTTCGCCGAATGCGCCGTCAACCGCACCGTTACTGCCACCTGGGTATGTCGAACACAACGACTCGCCATGAACTCGTGTATGGTTGCGCATGCGAAGCCGGAAGAGGAGGACCGGGCACGAGAAGAATGGTTCGCGACGCATGATGAGAGACGACGCGCGAAACAGGAGGAATTGGTCAAGGTGGAGAAGAGGAGAGAGGAGGTGATTCGTATGATGAGGGAGGATGACAAGAAGAAGGCGGAGAGGTAGGCTCTTCTCTTTTCTACTTATCTTCTTTTCTTGTGTTATCTTCTTGTCGTCTTGTCATGGTTTCCATGATCTTGTGGATATTGGCTACGTGTATGTGGTCCACTGGTGATGGCGTTGGTGTTGTTTTACTTAGCATTGGGGTGCTGCTGCATTTTGATATTATCCATGTATGTATGTACTTGTACAGTAGACCATCTCACTCTGTTTTTTTTCTATTTCATCCTCTCAATCAAGTATATGTTTTATTATACGCGCCAAACTCCCATTCGCCTGAACAAATGATATCTTATCAAACATCCGTCATAGTCTTATCCCCGTCTTCATCTCCCTCACCCATGGCCGTATCTTCCCCAAAGATATCCTCCATCTTTCCATCCTCACCATCTTCATCTTCATCTTCATCTTCTCCGTCCTGTCCCGCTGCAAGACCCATGGTATCTCCCCCCTTCGCTGCTCCCTCCCCCTCCCCCTCCCCCTCTTCCTCCCCTTCACTCTCCCACTCATCCTTCATATTCCACCCCACCCCAGTCAAACAGAACCTCTCAGGGGGCAATCTCATCCCACCCATAAGGACACTCTGATTCGCGGGCGGCTTCTGCTGCTGTCCCGCATCGAACCCCCTAGTCGCCCCGGGGAGCGCCACGCGGTTCCTCTCTGCCGCCACATCCATGAGAAACTCCTTGGGCAATCCCGTCTGGAACTGATAGTGCAATCGAGATGCGATACTCAGTCGCAACGCCTGCAACGTCACACTGTTCACTTCCGTGCCGCGACCCGTGGTCCCATCTGTCGATCCCGCGTACCCTTCTGTCGCTAGATGGACCGCATCTTGCAGCACGCTGGACGTGTATCGGTATGCGAAGTCGAGGAGTTGTAGCGGTACTCGCTCCTGATACGCCGCCACGCCCAGCGAGGCCAGAAGCATGTGTATCAGTCGGACATCGCGCGGACGGCGAGACTTGCCGCTGTCTTTTAGAGATGTTGAGGGGATTTGTGTCGGTTGGAAGTTTGGGGCGCTGGTGGTGGTTGACGGTCCTGCGGCTGCGGCTGTTGCTGTTGCTGTGGCTGTGGCTGTTGCATTGGCGGATGCCGTTGCGGCGGTGGAGGTGGATTGTTGTTGTTGGGAGGCTGTGGTCGGTTCGGCAGGGGGTGTGAGAGGTTGGGTCGATGGTGCGCCGCCTGGTTGGGATTGGTTTGGTGAGGCCATGCTGAGATATGGATGGTCTCGATGACTGCGACGTTGCGCCGGCAGCTAGCTAGGTAGGGATGAATTGAAATGAGTCCCTGAGATTGAGCGATTACAGTGTCGAGTGTGTTTATTTGAGCATTTTCAGATGGGCCGGCATGGACGGAATGTCGGATCAGCAATGGACGTGTCGCTTCCGATCAAATGGCAGGTCCGTCGAGAATGAATGGATTAAACTGACTTGAAGCCGAAGTCCGCATGGAGCGGCTTTCTTCCGGGCGCGCTAGCCGTCTTCGGTAATTCTGTCAGATGCCATACAAGAGAAAGAGATAGAGCAAAGAGACGCTCAACAAGCATGCTAGTAGACCTGAGAATAAGAATATATACCATATACTGTCTACTGTCTACAGTCTATCCCAACTGTGCTCATGGAACCATCTCGTCTGTACAGAACCATACCAAACGCTCAAACATGAATTCAACAAAGTCAGACAAGCTATGCAAACCAGTACAACGCCAACGATGCATGATAAAAAGAACAACGCGATGCAGCAGAGTATTCCAGATGCTGGTAAGTCATTCGCCTCGACGCTGGGCCAGGTGGCGGGTATCCTTGGCTGCGGCAAAGGCCACGCCGAAATCACATATTTCGGGCAAATTGTTCAAGAGTTCCCCCATCTCCGGAAACTATCGGGTCTTCCTCGGTGGAGAGCGTGTCGCATTAGAAAGTCGTAATGTCTCAGCCTTATCATCCTCTGCCCCCTCCCTTTCATCAATGCTCTGGCCATCAACAAGGCTGGACTGGTCAATGGAGACCTGCGAGACAAAGCTGGCCGCAAGATCCTCCTCCATTACCTCTTCGTCGACTTCGCTGCCTTCCTCGTCGCTCAGCTCACCATCATAATCTTCAACCTCCTCCTCGTCTTCATATTCGTCCTCGCTGTCCGTGCTGGAGAAATCGGCAAGATCCGGAGGAGGCTCCCGCCAGTATGTGAAATCAGTATACTCCTCGCCGCCTGCCTGCACCAACAAGCTCGTGGGAGGGAAAAAGTGGTCCAGAAGTTCTCCCATCGATACGTAGCTGCTCTTGTATTTGTTCAGGCTCAGGAGGTCAAGAGACACCTCCGCGTTGGAGTTGATTGTGAAAATCCGAGTCGATGGAATATTCACCGACCGGTAACTCAGCGCGTCCGTCAACCGATTGCCAAACCCGGCATAAAACGGGTTCTCTTTCCCATTGAAAAGACCCAGGATATCCCGCAAACACGCCATCTTGAATACCTCCGGCTTCCTCAGATAGATCTCCCGCCGAAGTGCTGCCATTGTACGGTCAGGGCTCATAATAACAGGCCCCTTGGGCAGTCGATATCCATCCTGGCAAACACCGTAGAGATAGGCCCGAGTGGTATCCGCCTGGCCGACGGACCGGCTGGTAAGATACATAATGTTATAACCATTGTTCACGATATCAGTATACAGCTTTGCCACTCCAGCGTGCGTCCAGTCGCGACCGATCATGTTCAACACATGGCCTAGTGCATCCGATCTGCATATCCAATATTAGTTCCAAATGCTGAAAATACTCATTTCTTGGCAACGCTTACTTGGTGATGGTCCCATCAATGTCCGAAATGACAATGGGAATATTTCCGCTCCACAGATACATGGTAGCAGTGCACGTGGCTTTATTGACACTGAACGACAACTCATTCGCGCCGGGCTTCAGATTCAAGGCCTTAAGCTGATCGCTTGTCAAGCGCAGAGTCTTAGCATAGTTGCGAGCAACCTCACCGGGCGTTGGGGACTGTGGAGGGGTGGGAAATCCCGGTTGGACGTCCGATTGTGTACGATAATGTCGACTTGCCAAGGGGGACTCTCTAAGAGACTGGTCACTGTCACTGTGATATCCAGGATCCGATATAGCATTTTCACTCATAGCAGAGCTGGGTCTCATTGAGTGGAACGTGGCACGACGGTCAGCGGCCTCCTTCGCCTCTTCGCTGCTGTATATCCACAGGTTACCATGCTCATCAGCCCCGATGAGAGCTCCAATATCATAATTCCCCTCCAGTTCCTCCGCGAGAATCTTACGTGCAACAACTTCCGCACGCAAAGCGTCTTCCTCGTTGCTTTTGTAACCAGTCATGTCGAGCATGAGATCACCTGTCTCGGTAACATGGGAAGGGATATTGGACCCGGATAACTTCTTTGACAGGGAGACAGCACGAGAAAATGCCTCCTCAGTTGACAACGGAGGCGGGCTTCGAGAACGTGTGGATTGGCTAGAATCATTCCCGGGAGGGGTTAAGCCAGTTTCCTGCGCACCATAAACATGATCGGCAACACTGGGGCCACCGGTAGAGTCGGCCTTGCCTAGAAGAACTTTGTCCGCAGCAGTGTGATCAAAACTCGCCGGCTCGTCACCAAATGAACTATGACGGGGCCAGCCCAGGCTGGAATCGTCCGGCGATCGCGACAGCGGCGTGATAGTACCTATTTATATCCACACGTTAATAAAGTGGGAAGGAACCGTATATAAAATTAAGCTAGTATAGTTTACCATACCTAGATCACTAGATGCCCGCGTCGCTCTTGATAATATGGGTAAGCTAGAGGATGTTTTCGCATCATGATTGCCACTGGACGATGACCGTTCGAGGTCCAAATATTCCGGCTCCTGTAAAGAAGACGGAAGGTTCTCTTCGCTACGCATTTTAGGACTTGCAGTCGGCGATACCAATGGAGATGTTTGCAACGATGCGGGGATCTCATCCGTTGTCTCAAAGACGAAGAAGGCCTCCCCACCTTCCCCCAACTTCATCGAGTAATCTTGTTTCATTCCATTGACTTTGAACTCCACCTGTTTTAACCATCACTGTCAGACAGAGTGTATCACCCACTGTCAACTATGGAAGTACTGTACCTTCTTTTCGTACGGACGGAGCAAGGAGAACTTGCCGAAGCGAACATGGAAAGGTGAACAGGCAAGAGTGCCTACATCCCGAGTAAGTCAGATATCGATCTGAATGGGAGATTATCCGAGAATAGTTACCATCTTCCTGCTCAATAACGATTACATCAATGGCTCCGCTCAAGGTGGCCGGGTTGATCGAATTCCAGGTCTTGGAGACGGAGCCACTAATACTTCGAACGTACTGCATCCCGCCAAATAGACGAGGTCGGAATAGTCTGAACGATACGTAGGAAGGAAAACTGTGAAAGAATAGAAGGGAAATGTGGGGAGACGAGAAGTCGGATGTGCAAAAGTAGCCGCCTACATACGGCCCATGTGACAGAGCCCAATGCTAGACATGACCAGAATAAATGCAAATTAAGAGGCGCGAACACCGAAACGAGAGTCAGACGAAATACCCAAGAACAAGGCCAAGCGAGTGGAGTGAGATAATATCAGCAAGATGGACAAGGAGAGAAATTCAGAGGCGACTATGTAACTAAAAAATAAGGAGGAGCAGATCCGTCTCGTATGCCAGGAGTCGTTGAGTTCAATCCTCAACAGCCCAACTGTTGGATCATCCAATCTTTCTTTGCTTCCTCGGCTTCCGAGGGCGCTAAGGCGGTGTGCCCTCATATAACTGCTGACTCAGTCCTGACTTAGCTCCATGTCACCTGACATCTGCCCCACCTGTGACTTCCGCGGGCCGTGTTGGAGATGCGAATCGAAGGCGCACGACGAAGCTTCTTTGTTTCTTTCTTCTCCGTCCCCATGGGTATCCAACGCTGGAATGTATGAGCCATTGTATCTATCATTTGACGCCTACCCCAGTGTGGTCCCCCGTGTGAGGGTACGAGGCGTCATGGCTCTCTTCCTGGCCGTCACCATTCTCTGGGCCTTGATCTGGTAAGTGCCCTGGTCGCCTCTGGCCTCTTTTCCTCTCCAGTATATCTAACTGTACCGCTATCAAGGCTATTGTATCGTGCTTGGCAGGTGTGTCAGACGTCCAATGATGTTCTGGTGGAAAAACTGGGGTTGGATATTCCTCCGCCGCCAGAGGTCACCCTTGAAGAAATCAATGCCCGTGAAATTCGCATCGCCTGGAAACTGCCTGAATTCCATAATTCTATTCACAAGCATATCATTCAGGTGAATGGTATTAAAGGTACGGTTTCCTTTTCTTTCTTTCTTTTATTTATTCTTTTTAAAAAATAGATATCCATATATTGAGGACCATGCTTCCACATGCCCGAATTTAACACTGATTGCCATTGCTAGTGGGTGAGTCGAAACGAGCGGAAACTGCAGTGGAAATCTTGGACCTGATCCCGGGAAATATCTATCACATCTGTGTCCTCTCCGTCAGTGCGGCCAATTTCCAAACCCCAAGTAGCATCATCCACGTGCGCACGAAATCTCTTCCGATGTCCCAAGCGCAACAGAATGTTCCCGTCAGCGGTCCCTCGATTCGAGCATCAATTCCGCGGCCAGCTGCCGGATTCACAGCGCCATCAGCACCCATCATGGCTCGCGAGCACAGTGGGGGGCAGTTACAATCGAAACGGACCTCAGCTGGACGGAAACAGTCTCCGGCAGCCAGCGGTGCCGAGTCGTCGCACAGCCAGTTAGAGGAGCTACAGAAAAACATGGTTAGCGGTGACCGGGATGAGACTCTTGAGAAACTTGCGGACAGGTTGAAGAATTTGCAACATGAGAATGAAACTGTCGAGAAACAGACCACCGATGAGGAGGCGGAACACACTGCGCTGTTAAAGGAGCTTGAAAAACAGCGTGATGACTTACGGAAACGAGTGAAAGAGAAAGATGAAGCTAGCGGGGATTTGAAGAAACATGTGTACAGGCTGGAAAGCGTCAATCGTACAGTGCAGAGCGAGAAGGCAAAACGTGAGCGACTACTGCAACAAAAAGAGTCCGAACGGAAGAAGCGCAAGGATGATATCGTTCGTTGGCAGGAACGGATGGCACGGATGACTGCCGATACAGACAATGCGAGAGAGGAGAAAGCTCGCCTGGAGAAGGAAGGCAAGGCTCGTGCGGACGAAGTGCGGGAGAAAATTGCCCAGCAGCAGGCGGAGATGAAGGTCGTCGATGATGAGATCCAGGACAAGGGCGGCCGCGTCAAAAAGCTGGAGGAAGAGAGGAAGGATCACCAAGGGCCAGATAGTGAGGATGGGAGGGAACTGGACCGAATTGACAATGAGAGAGCTCGGCAGTGGGAGATCAAATTAAGCAACTTACATGCACGATATGCTACACTTGTGGGCCTTCATGCGCAGGCTCAGCAGCAGTACCAGGAGGCGCAGGAGCGTCTGAAATGGTTGACGACGCAACGACCTGGTAGCACGGGGCCATTTTCATTGCCAGCTCTCGATCTAGATCTATCTAATACCGCCACTATCCGTCCTCGTCATCATCGCAGTTCACTCAATAGTAACGTTTCGTCGCCTATGAACTTTCCTACACTGGACAGCTCATTTTCAGGGGGGGTCAACTACCACCCTCCCTCAACCAACTCCCCCACATTTGGGCCGGGTTCCACGTTTTTCAACATCAATAATGGCATGACTCTCCCGAGTCTTTCGAGCCAACCCGATCCGCTTCGTTTAGACTCGGATATCTCGTTTAGCAATCCACAAATGAGCCCACGTGCCGATGCGCTGCTGCCATCGGACCTTCTGGGGGACGAAGAGTCTCCAGAATTACCACGACCCATAGTTCGTCCCCGATTCCAAGAGCTGGAATCGTCGGGCGCCCAACTTGAAGGTTTCTCCCATGGTCCACCATCGCCAGACTCATCTGGAAGCCGACCAGCAAGCATCTTTGCCAGCCCAAATGATAAGCAAACTCAGGAGGCAGATTCCCAACCCGTGGAATTAGGAGATGCAGAGGAGGCTCCGAAGAGCGCATCGCGGAGGCTTTCAGGTCTCTTCAATTTCCATCGACCTCGTGGTAAGACCCTTGCGGATGAGCCCCCTCTGTTGGGCACTTTGAAACCAGGACAGAGCCAATCCTTTCCGCGGAACCTTGATGAAATGGACCCTATCGGAGCTAGGCGTCGTCGGCTGAGCTACACTGGTAATTGGGCCAACCCAATATCACTAATTCCTAGGAGCAACACAACCAGTGTCACGAATGACAGTTCTTCTGATCACCTACCATCCAGACGGGCAGCCTTTTCGAGTATCTTCTCTCCTAGCCGGTTCGGATTTGGCAGCGGAAGCAACTTGGCCAAGTCCAACGAAACCTCGGACCTCAACACTGGCTACAATCAGTTCAGCCCTAGACACGATCCGATTGACCCATCCTCGATTCTTGGCACTGTCCGTCGCGGTTCACTGTCGCCTAGGCCCTCGTCTACTTTTTCGTTCGATAACCAGCTCCCGCATCCTTCGACGGACAATCGCCATTTTGGCTGGCCGTCCACGGAGAAGTCGGATCACCGAAGTCTACTCGGGTTTGACTGGACTTCGCCGTCTAGCTGGTCGCGTGTGCATTCGCGCCGCCCCTCCACCCAGTATGGCTCCTCCAGTCATCTCCCTCTAGCACTTACGGGGGAACCTGAGCTTCCCCAGGACCCGTTTGAAAGACAGGGTCGACCACTTCAAGCTCCCATTGGTACACGACCTTCTTCGTCCCATCGGCCCGCTACTCCGAAATTGAACCCCACGGCCCCTTCCTTTAAAACCATTTTTGGTGGAAAGAGGTCCGATAAGGACAAAGAGAAAGAGAGGGCCAAGGACCAGGATCTCGATGCTTCGTTTGACTTTTTAATGGATGACGGCTCCCCATCCGAGTCTCACGCATCCAAGGAGTCTCGATCCTTGTCTATATTTACGGGAGATTCTCACGAGTCTCTAGAGCGCTTGCCGTCTGCAGCCTCCGCGGATAATAGCAGTTCGAAGGAGTCCTTCATTCGCAAGATCACACGAAAGGGTAGTTCAGGCAAGTTCAGCTCGTGGAAGGACCGCTCAGGATTATTTTTTAAGAAAGGCGATGCGACTCAAGGCGACATTGACGAGGATGGGAACGCCGAATCCCTGCTTGCCAAAAGTGTGGATAGCACCATCTCCAGTGCTCCCTCCGCAGACAAGTCGACCCGAAGCAGCCTTGGTTTCTTTAGTCGAAAGTCTAGAAAGTCCGACAAGGCCGCCAGTGAGACGAGTGAGTGGGTTAGCGAACGAGCTAGCGAACGAGCCAGCGAAATAGGCGATGAGGAAATCCCAGAGGAAGTCGATAATGCAGCGTGATGTACCTGGATGGGGTATCTTTTGATTTGTTTCATGGCCTATGTATATCTGAATTATAGATCCTTTGCTTCAGGGAAGGTTTGCCCATCCCTGCACTCGTCCATCCTTTTCCGCCTTCTTGGATTGTCTTTATTCTTTTAAGCATTGGAGACTATCACGCAACTCTAGAGTCCTGGATAGCGTGCATTCTCATTGTTCTGGAAATAATCAATGTGGGAGCCTTCGGTCGGTCATTGCAGATTTTTATTCATCGCTGCGTAGATTGTTTGTATAGAATAGTCCATTCGTAGAAGGGAAGTACAGTAAATCTGAAAGGTGGTCCGCGTCGGTTAGGCGGTTGCCGCACAACTTGAATTCCACGCGAATTGGGTCTCCTGCCCCTCTCCTCGGATCCATGCCAACGCTGGCGTAGAGTACGTTCGTATCGCTAGAGAAATGGCAAATTCTAAGTATATCACCCTTGAGCTTTCCTCATCGTGCTCCGTGTGTCGGCGGACGGACTAGCTGACGTACAACCTCAGATATGAATATGTGAAAGCATTCGAACAACCGGACGCGCTGCTCCCCAGTACCTGGATTGTCGTCCGCATCGATGGTAGAGGCTTTCACAAGTCAGTTATTATTCCTTTCCTTCGTTCACTTTACCTCTTAGGGCATTTCCCATGCGTTGAGCTATCATCCACATTCCTTCTCATTGGTCAGCGCTAACATTCGGATCAAGACTCAGTGATCGCTATGGCTTCAAGAAGCCCAACGATCGCCGTGCACTCGACCTGATGAATGCGGCGGCGGTGGAAGTCATGAAAGAGCTTCCGGATTTGTGTATTGCCTACGGGGTCAGCGATGAGTATAGGTCGGTTCTCAACTACACCCTCCCCTACGGAGTGTGGCTATATTCCCCTATGATATTGACCGATATCAGCTTTGTCTTCCATCCCAGTTGTCAGTTATTCGAACGAAGGAGCGGGTATATCCTCCTTCTCGAGACAGGTAGAGATCGAAGCGCTGATCTGTGGATAGCAAACTCGTGACAACTATTGTGTCGACATTTACGGCCCATTATGTATATCTATGGAGCAAGTATTTTCCCGATACACCTCTACAGCCACCATATCTACCTTCGTTCGATGGGAGAGCAGTCATATATCCTTCAATACAGAATCTGCGGGATTATATGAGCTGGAGGCAGGTGGACTGTAAGTCAAGCGTTCTGGTGTGTTTTCGCCAAGAAGCAGTTGCTAACGACCTCGACAGGTCATATTAACAATCTCTATAATACGACGTTTTGGACGATGGTCCAGCAGGGCGGAATGAGTAACACGGATGCTGAGAGAGAGTTACAGGTGAGTTTCTACCAATATTATGTATATTATCCCTTGCACGGGCGTGGTCCTAACATAAACAGGGTACTGTCTCTTCAGATAAGAACGAGATTCTGTTCAAGAGATTCGGAATAAATTACAATAACGAAGAGGAGATCTACAAAAAGGGCAGCGTGCTCTATCGTCAAGTGAGCCATGATTCTTTATGTTTGTAGCAACACTGGAACTCACTCAATACACAGTATCAATTGGAGGATACCCGGTCAAGCACAGGGCATCAAGTGGAAACAGAAGAAGAGACTGCACCAGTGCAGGAACAGATCTCAAAGTCACAACAAGAAAAGCTTCGCAAACTGCGACAAAAAGCTCAGGTGGTTATCGACCATGTCGATATCATCAAAGATGAATTCTGGCAACGAAGGCTGTGGATTCTGTCGGGAAAGCCTGGGAAATTGCCAGTATAACAATAAACATGTTATGAGTTACGCATAAACTGAATGATCAAACTCATAGTTCTTGGTAGATGTTATCATTTTTTTATCTAAACCACAGTCGCCGTACCAAATGGGTATCTATAAGTCTGTAATACGGGCACACTAACGTGAATGTACGTCGCCAAATACTCGAAATCACGGATTATAACGGTCATCATGAAGCGCTCAAACTCGCACTGTCCTTTTTTCATCTTTGGACTTTTTCGACTTCGATTTGGTGTTCTCCTCGGTTGTAGATGCTTTCTGCTTCTTCCGCTTCTTGTCCTTCTTCAACAGATCCTTTGGATCGGTCGAATCACCCTGTCCACTCAATTCTATCGAACCCTGCTCCATCGAGATCGGTGTGGGATAGTCCTCCTCCGGGTTATGTTCTTTCTTCTCCCGTTTCATTTCCTTGCAAGACGAACGATCCTCAATCTTTCGCTTCTCCTTCTCCTTCTTTCTATTCTTCTCCTTCCGTAGACGCCGCTCCTCCTTGCTTTCCTTAATCTCATCCGTACCGTTCTTCACTTTCTCAATCTTCCTACGACGCTTCTTCTCCTCCTTACGCGCCCTCTTGACCTCTCTCAGCTCCTCCGACTCCTCCCCATCCACACTGCTACTCTCCTTCTTCCTCTTGCTCGCCGATTTCTCCACAGCTTCATCCGCGTTCTTCATTGCACTCTTGTCCCCCTCCCCAAGCGTACCGGGGACCACCTCCCCCCTCACAAAGAACCGATAAAGCTCACTCGTCAATGCATTAGGCGCCGGGCCACCACCCCGCGCTCCGGCATTGTTCGCCTGTCCCACTCCCTTCAGCGCATCCTCGAACCCGCGCAACCACCATTGATTTGTCGGGTCCTTGGTCGTTTTCTTTCCCACGCCCTCGTTGCCCTGGCGTCGCGCCACAAGAATCGGTTTCGTAAGACCTAGGCCGGCGTGCGTGCCGGGTCGGCGGTTGGGGTTCAGCGGATTGCCTGGTCCGGACCAGCCGTGTCGGAGTAAGTAGGCTTGGGCGTCCATTATACTGGGTATATGACTGGGTTTTAGTGGCGGCGTGGGATGTGCGTGAGGGGTTTTTCGTTTCTCGAGATGAGAGAAGCAAACGTTAAGTAGATCGCGCTAGGTAGACCAGCGGTTTTTTGGCCCGGCTGGTTAAAAAAAAAAAAAAAAAAGCCTCTAATTCATGATTTGTTGCCACCCTGCAGGATGCAAATATTAAATAAAGAGGGTAACCAGGTCGCGGAGCGAAAAACAAAATCAGATGAAAAAAAGGAAAAAGAAGGGAAAATAGAAAGAAAAGTCCATCAACCGGTGGTGGTTGGTTGACGGAAGAAAATGAACTTTAATTTGTCCCCAGAAAGCCTGCACATAAATGTTACTGTATCTCGAATATATTCTACGGTAGTACCAATCTTTTCAAGAGAACAGTCGCGTGGTCTAATGGTTATGATATCTCGTTCACAGTGAGTGAGCATTCTCCCTACTAGCTAGGCAGTTCCGAGATGGTTCCCGGTTCGATCCCGGGCGCGACTATTTTTGTTTCCAATCTTTCTTTGGCTTTCGATTTTTGACTTTGTGCTCGAAAATGTATTTTTGGTCCTATTTTCTCGGTCTGTAGGAATAGATAGTTTTGAGGAAGATAGATTACGAGCTTCCAATTAAGTGGCTTGTTGTGGATAACTTTCGTCACTCGGAAGTATATATAATTCAATTAAAAGATCATTTTGAGTCAGCCACAGATAAGTCACCCAATCCTAGTACGGATTAAATCGTCCTTTGTCTCTACCTTTCTTTGCCTTTGGCCGTGGTGTCTTGGTCGATGATTCCTCCATCTCCATTTTATCATCGTCTGGCTTCCAGGCGCGAACGAAGCCATCCTCGCCGCAAGTAAATACCGATTGGGACTGGATCGTACCATTAGCTGTTATCCAACAAGTACCTATACTCTACAGTAGCCATGAAACATACCTGCTCATCCAAGTACACTGATCGTACAATCTCCTCGCCATGGCCACCTGGAAGACGCCATAGATTCTCCTGGTCGAAGTGCCAAGATGGATTCGAGACAAGTGGAACCAAGTCCAAGCGGCGATCGCTTGGGTGCCATTAGCTACAAAGAAACCATCACTGCGACAGAAATACGCGCCGGATTTAGCTTGATCTTACCTGGTACTGCCGGCGGCAACGTAGGGACCCTGACTGCCAATGCATAGCTGGGCGATATATTCACAGCCCAGTGGTTGTCTCAGGTCCCCGAACTGCACAGGATCGGGTTCCTGTGTCTGCTCGTCTGGATCCGTTGCTGGATGAATTGAGAAGACCTCGTCGTGGCTCAGCGCGTAGATTGTCCTCTCCGTTAGGAAACCAGCATGGTGCACGGAGCCGTGATTGATGACTTGCACCAGTGCATCATCTTCATCTGTGATGGTAGTGTTGTAAATGTTGACTAAACCATCAGTACTTCCGGATAGTAGAAGGTTTGTTTGTGTTGGGTGGAATTGAAGCTACAATCGAGTCCGTCCCCACCCCGATCATGGTTAGCAATGGGGTGAAACTATGGATATCTGCAGATAGATGCAAAAGGGTAGCGCGAACCTCGGTTACGTCGTCATTATGGCTTTCAACATACTGAAGTTGGCACTGCCCGGGTGATCTGACATCCCTGTTGCGTCAGTTAGCAGCTCGTGAAGTCAAAAATTAGCGGAGGGAACATGGAGGCGGCGCAGTCATGTTGACCACGAATGGGCAATACATGTCTCACCCCAACGGATGACCGGGAAAAGCCACAACATACCAGATTGAGACAACGGCTTGGGACGAAACCAGCTCAGTACCAGCAACAAGGCTGTTAGTTGCGGTACGGCACGCTATGGATAATACGGGGGCTTGGTTCACTGCGGCAGAAGAGTTAGCATGCAATCATCGGATGCCGTGCATTCTACTAAGAAAATAAACTTCGAGTGTTGGACAACAACTCATCACAAACATGCATGATCGCAATTCATCCCAGAAAGTATGGAAACTGAAGGGGAGGAGAGAAAACAAAAGGCCAAGGGTAAAAAAAAAAAAGGCAGATACTTACATGTTTCCATTGCTACCACCACTGCTGCATTTTTGCCCTTTCGTAAATCCCAGAGCTTCACTTTTCCATCCCTGCCACCCGTAGCGAGCAACTGCTGGCCAACATCATACGATTTCAATGATGTAACACCCTCGTGAGTGTTCGCAGCCACTACAGATACATGATTGAGACCAGCAGCATCGAACATACGGAGAGAGTCATCGGAAGAGATAGCAGCGAATGAACCTGGGGATGACGCCGCAATAGAATAGATGTAACTACCCTCCGCAAGGGCCAGCGATGAAGAGGCCGTGGTTTTTAGCGTATGCATGGCTAGACTGTGGTCGCCTAACAAAAATTTCAAGCGTGCTGTCTTAGTGTGAACCACCAACCCGGAAGACTAGACACGAGCCACAGATCGATACACAACCCCTGGTAGTAGTGAACTAATACGGGCTCTACTTGGAGGTCACAGCCCTGACACTGTTTGTCCCCGAGAGTGATGTCCTGTGGCTGATGGGGAATTCAATATCAACCCGGGTGTTGGCGGAAAAGTTCCCCAGCCTTAACTGATTCTCTAATTTGGGTGTTTGTAATAGGGACGGAGTTCGTAGGAATGATGGAACTATATGGATCCAAAAGAGTAATTAAAAAAATAACTAAATGAACAATGAAGACTGACAGCTGATAACCCCAAATCGGCAGCTATTCCGTTTCCTGCTCCCCGTTGATACTTTTGATGTTCGAAGCGGTGGATGCCAAGATTTTTTTTTTTTTTTTTTTTGAGAAAGCCTGTTCCTCAGCCGCACTGCCTGAATCCTGGGGCTCACAAACCACCAACTCAGAAGAGGAGCCTTTGTATCAATGCTGCGCACTTCTAGAAATGACGGGGCTGTGTCTTTTTGGGACCTTTCGTTTCTTTTTCCTTTTATTTATTTATTTATCTAATAAAATAATACAACTTTTTTTCGTTTAAAGAAAGAATTAAGTTACCATGCTATATTACTATGATCTTCATGCTTCCAACCTCCCAAATACTCACGTATCACGACAGCCTGGAAAATGCTCATCAGGCGAGCAGGGATCCATATCCGGGAATGCATCTAACTAAAGTTGATAGGGACGACATAACTTGCTCCTTACGAAGTCTAAGGGGCACTATGACCCGTCTAGACTTTGGAACTGCAAACCTTCAAGGCTTTCGTTCTCAGGCCTGGACTCTCACCCGTGGATTACCTCCACGCATCCCCACTTTAGCCTGAGACAAGAAGCCGTTGCAAAAATCGACACATGCGCTGCAGGAATCGCCTGGACACCACGAGTATGCCCAGGAGAGCCTTGCTACTTGCAGATCTACTAGGCATGGTGGTAAATGTTACATGAGTCAGACGATCATTGATTCATTGTCCGTATCAGTCAGGGAATCGATGCAGGGATGGTAAAGAATGTTTCTGTTAATCGCTGCCGGTTGCCTCACAAGAGATAATAAGTATTATAGAAATCGTGGTCGAAGCTTTGCTGTAGCAGAACTAGGAGGCTAATAAGAACCGAATAATGCAGGTTATTATGCGTGACCTTGAACACTAGGGCTAATTACTCCTGGTCTGGTCAGCTGATGGGGTGTGTCCTTTACTAAGTATGAATCGAAGCCTGAAGTGGCCATCGGATTGGTTGACGGTGGGAGGAGTCTGCTCCGAGCAGGTATTTGCAGCGGTACAGCCGGGTGGAGCTTCCGTAAAAAAGAGCAGGCGAATTGGTAGGACCTTTTTATTGCCCCCATGGCTAAAGGGCACCTAATTAGGTGCATATGCACTGCCGCAAAACGGTCCGGAGCTACTTCGACTCTCCCTCAGAGAGGAGCCAGGGCCGCACTGTTGCCTCTAAAGGTGAATGATCCCAGCAAACGTGACCAATGACAGGCACGGAGGGCAATCCTAGCCCACCGATGAAGTGGTGGCATCCTTCCATTATGGGCGACCAATAATTCGCTTCTGTTGCGAGGGCTGCAGGCAGATTGGTCCCTCCGTATGCGACCGGCGCAGTAGCATCTCTGTACCTGCTCATGGCGAAGTTAGTGGCTTCCTCGGACTCTAGCTGGTATCCTAGCCCAAAGAATATAAAACTTGGAAGGTTTTGCATGATCTAATCCGTGATACCAGATCCCTTGATTACCCCTTTCCTATCCCATCCTGTCTTTTATTCCTGGTTTATTTTACAGCGTTGTGCGACGTGTCTGTCGAGAGGAGGGACTGTTTACTGATTACCCGATCCAATGTTCTCATTAGATACTATGGAGAACCTAGACCGGGCGCAAGATTAGCCTCGATTAGAGCATGTTCGTGTTGGTTGACTTGTCACGGCGCCGTGTCCCTAAGGACCAAACGACACGCCGTAATATCTTCTGGTCGGCGTCAAACATGGGTGCATTCTCTCCTGCGAGTTATTTATGACCCGGGGCAATTCATGATACTTTTGCGACGTATTACCAGGCGACAATCCGGTTGAAACGGGACGGGAGGGGCTGCGTTGGGTAGAAAGCGCTTATTCATGATCGAAGATATGGTACCGAGCTTTTGTGGTGCAGGAGAGAATGAGGGGCTTCATAATAATAGTAACTAAAACCCAATAAATCGTATTCTCAGCTGGTTCAAGATTTCCCCCAAGGGAAGGGAGACCATGGTTGAGAAGTACTAGAGGAAAGGCGAGACGTGGGCGAATTAAAGACGGCAAGAGTTGTGTGGTAGATATATCCGATGGGGAGGTACAGGGCACAAGTCGGGAGGTGGATACAACCGGCCTTGAGAGGAGCAGGAGCTGTAGTTAGAATTCGTGGGCGACACAGCGGCCCAGGTCAGCTGCAGGAATTGATACACAGAGCCTTCTTTGGTAGGGGAGAGGGCACGTAGAGAGTGAGTGATTATTGTTGCTGAAAATTCTGGCTGTTGTTGTTGTCGCTGTCGTTGTAATCGTTGTCAGCCATGGAGAAGGATCAACTCTAAAATGGAGTATTAGGTAAGGCCTCATCCTTAGACCGGACGATGGGGGGCACTTGTGGTCCAGTAATCCTCGAGAGGTGACAGGGATGTTGGGAGTTATACTAATTAATGGCTTAGTATGGCTAGACGCGATCAGAATGGGCAGCGCTTCCTAAGTGGAGAGAATGGAACCCGACAAGGATCCCTTTAATTATGACGATGCCTGCTACTATTCCACAATCCACATACGTCAACGTCGAGAGCCAGACAGACAGAGAGCTAGCTAGCTAGCTAGGTAGATATATACTTGGGTACTTGATTCTATAGTAGCCATAACATTCCAATGGAACGGTACATACGTGTTTTTCAACGCCATAATCATTGACTCAGCAGTGGTGCTCCGTACTCGCTGTGTGCGGTATAAACGAATGGATATGTTTTTTTTTTTTTTTTTTTTTTTTTGACCCTGTCGCATAGGAGACGGAGACACACTGGAGACGCAGGCCGTAGCCTGTCAGCCACGGAAGACAGAAGGATGTACGGAGCAAAGATAGTCTTATGCACTATCGCCTGACCCAGGAATCTGGGAAGCGGTGAAACGATCAACCAGGTCATAAACACAAATCACAAGGCCGCAGGGACCTCAAAATGCTCCAACACGAGACGGACTGAGGGGTATTATCTATTTACAGCAAGTACAGAATAGTAATATATCCACAGGGACTCCGTAGACAGATTATGGCGACGCACCATCCGAACTGATAAGTCCTAGACCAAAAGGGGTTTCGGCGCAAAGTTACTTTGTAGAGACAGCGCTGTCAATCGTCAACTGAAGATCCCACCACCCCCGCTGACTGGCCTTGGTTGTGTTGGAGGATTCCAGCAGCCGTCGTAATGTCACCATCTAAAGTTACTTGGAGATCGACTAGCCATGTTGGTGAACTGGTGTAGTAATCCGAATCGTCCTCTGGATCCCTGGATATCACCTTGGGGAACGTTGTGAGACCGTGTCACCTCCCACGGCACCAACCCACTCGGTGGCAATGATGGAGTACGGAAAGCTAGGGGGGAGGCATTTCCTCGTGGCTCATGGCTGAATGAGAATGGAGCCCTTTGAATGAAGCCAGGCCATTCACGGGTCCATAATACGAAACGAACCGATCCACTCTGAATCGGCTGCACGCAATGCCGTGGTTAGTGACTCTGCGGAAATGGAGGGTTGGGGGGCCAGTTCTGGTTTGCTTCTCGGGCGCTACGGAGGAACGCTCGAAGAGGAGCCACGCCCGAAGCTTCGAATCCTGCAACCACTGTGCTGGGTACCGCTGCCTGACGCTGACGCTTGCGTGCCTGAAAATGCGGGCAGCAACAGGTAGGCCAACCGGGGGAATGTTACGTTATACGTTAGTGGCCCAAGGAAAATCCGTAGGGAAAGTCAAAGGGTAGTAGACAAAGGCGGAAAAAGAAAAAAAAGCCCGAGTCATCTAATTAAGTGTGGGAGGCGGTCCGCGTCCCGCCCGGAAGTCACTTTCATAGTTGGCTTTTGGTTGGACCCATCGAACTAGATTTTTTTTTGGGTCTTCTTTTCTCCATTGTTCTTATTTACACAGTAGTATTTTACCCCCCAAAAAAAAAAAAAAAAAAAAAAAAAAAAAAAAAAAAAGGAAGGGAAGTGGCACAACCAACCCAACGCTGGTAAGAGAGTGACACTCTGTAGTTGAATTTAGGAATCTCCTTTTTCTTTCTTTCTTGAATTTAATTTTTAATTAACTAATTTTTTTTTTTTTTTTTTTTTTTATTGTTTCTATGTCTTTTTCTGCTCTCTCTAAAATTGCATACATACGCAAAATCTCGTTTTCTCTCTCTCTATATATGTCCCAAGAAATGCCGCTCTGCTCACCCGTCCAAAATTAAGAAGAAATTAAGAAACACCAAGATTATCCATTATGTACTCCATTTTTACAATCAACCAGGTGTTAACAGGCAAAATCCTCCGTATAGCACATGCTGCGTGTTGCCAGTGAGCAATTAGCCTCACCTCTGGTGATATGACAACTCACCATTGATTAGCCGGGATAAGTAAATCAATTCTTGGGGACAAAGTCAAATCGTTTAATTTATTTCTTCGAAAGGTTATTGCTGCTGACTCGACCAAAGTCGATACCGTCCAATCCTTTACCGCCACTTTATTCTTGAACCATAATTGGATACTGTGAAATGGTGCGAGGGCCCGAATACTTGGGTCGATGATTTGTTGGCTGTTTTCCCTCCCCTTCCAAATAATAAATAAATAAATTGAAGGGGAAAAAAGAAAAGAAGGGCGTACAACATCGTCCCAAGGATTGCGTAGGGACACAACGCCCGCGGAATAGCTCGGTGCATCTGGGAGTATCCATAGACATCCATGGTGCTAGTGCATTTATCCCTTGGTACTCCGTACATGGTTCATACATTATGTACATATACTTTTTCCATAGTTCATCTCCATGTGCTTTCTCCCGTCCATACATACATACTGGCTATACTAGCGTTCTCCGTATCCGGTCCCGCCCTGCTAAATGATCCGAGCTGCTACTACTACCTCAGGAGGAGGTCGACGTAATTGAATGCTACACATATCATCTGCACAGGATTTCTACTCAGATCAACCAGAATAGCCGCTAGAAGTTGATCCATGTAGGCACTATCAAGCGACGGACAAGCACTGAACCATGGTTGTTGGAGGGGCACCGATGAGTCTATTGAGCCAATGAACCGGACGAATCTATAGCCCCAGTATGGGCCATACCACGCTAAGTCAACTGAATGATGGATATCGTGCTATCCCGAGATGACCCTTTGAGGCAAATCCCCTCTTTTTGTCCCCTCCCGGCATCAAACCATTCGGGGAAACGCAGCTTCAGCGCCGCAGGGCCTTCCAACCGCCCCGCCTGCCTCGCGCGCCCGTGGACCCAACGGGGACAAGACAGCGGCTGCAGCAACCTTAAAGGAAAGCCATCCATGATGCTAGTAATAATAACTTATAATAATAATAAATAATAATAATAAAAATGACAATAATAATAATAACCATTATTATTATTATTCTTATTTATTATTTCTTAAAGTGTTATTCCCGACGAACAACCTTCTCGCCTTCCCCTCGACCACCGTCTTTGACTTCCTCCTCACTTTGGGGATCTACTCTTCCTCTTGCCTTGGAGGTCAGGGCGTCTTTGTTAATTGCTGGATCGTCTTTCGATCCATGGCCAGTAGCACTGACATTCTTCTCCTGTCATTGCTGTTGCGTGCCGTGACCGCTACTTTTTTTCTGTGGTTTTCCGGCTTCCATTATCGCGGGGGAGACAGCTGGGTGTCCTTTTATTTTATTTTGATCTTTTTTTTATTTTTTCATTCCGGCCCCCCTTGATTTTTTTTTTTTTTTTTTTTTTTTTTTTTGCTCTGGAAAGCTTCTCATATGGCCAAGGGTATTTCGTGGCCTCCTGCACATCCTTGAAATTTATGCTCTACTTTATTTTCCCCCTGGACTCTCACGAGTCGTCTTGCTCTATGTTTTGCTTGACATCTGATATATACACTATATATTTGTTCCAGCGACTTTTGCGATACTGACATCAGCCCGTCACCTTCATCAGCTACCCCCCACTTAACCCCCCCAGAAAAAACCGTGGTTAATTTCACTCCCGACGACCTAGTCTCTGATCTTGCCTCATCGCTCCTGATGTTCGAAAGCGGGCCAGTTGAACCGCGACCTCTCACGATGGCATCCCCATCTCTGAATCACTTTTACTCCCAACCGGCAGAACCTAGCCGTTCGAGGAATAACTCGGACGCAATGGGCATCTACATGATCACCGATAGGGAGCCTACGAGAGCAGATTCGTGTGATCGTAGCTCTTGGAACCCCAATGGTTCTCCCAGCATGAACTCTTCCTATAGCAAGTACATCTCTCTAATCTCTTAAATCTTACCTTTTCCCCCACTTGCCGTTCCCCCCCCGCAACGGTGTCAATTAATTTCACTGAGATTGCTGTTATTGGACGACTAATGTGTGGAACCTTGGCCCTTCTTTGTCTATATAGGAGCTTCGAGAAACAGCATTTCTATGAAGAGAACGGACGGATGTATCATGCCTTTCGCCGAGGAGTGTACCCCCTTCCGTGCGATGAACAGGAACAGGATCGCCTCGATATATTCCATAAACTATTCACCGTAGCCAGGGTGTCGGATGGGTTGATTTATGCTCCTCATCCGAAAAATGGCCGATTTTTAGACTTGGGATGTGGAACTGGGATCTGGTCGATCGACGTGGCCAACAAATACCCGGAGGCATTTGTTGTTGGAGTAGATCTGGCTCCCATACAACCGCCGAACCACCCACCTAACTGCGAATTCTACGCACCGTTTGATTTCGAGAGCCCCTGGGCCGTGGGGGAGGAGTCGTGGGATCTGATCCATTTGCAGATGGGCAGCGGTAGTGTTTTAGGGTGGCCGAATCTATACCGGAGAGTCTTTTCGCATCTGCGAGCTGGCGCGTGGTTCGAGCAGGTGGAAATTGATTTTGAACCTCGATGCGATGATCGGCCATTGGACGGGTTGGCTTTGCGTCAATGGTACCAGCTGCTGAAGCAAGCCACGCAAGACAGCATGCGCCCTATAGCTCATAGCTCTCGCGAAACCATTAGAGACCTGCAAGAGGCGGGATTTACCGAAATCGATCATCAGATGGTGGGACTGCCCTTGAATCCTTGGCATCAGGATGAACACGAGAGGAAAGTTGCCCGTTGGTATAATTTGGCTATCTCGGAGAGCATCGAGTCACTTAGTCTTGCCCCGTTTAGTCGAGTTTATGGCTGGGATTTGGACAAGGTCCGGCGCATCTCTGCCGAGGTCAAATCAGAAGCTTTCAACAAGGAAATCCACGCCTATAACATCTTACATATTTACCAAGCGCGAAAGCCATTGAACAGCTGATCCATCACCCTGCAAAAAGCGCGAGATTCGGATTGACCAGCTTTGTCCATATTCACCCACTACTCGCGGCCGAATGCTGGGATGACGAGTGGATGCAAAGCTAACTCGACAACAATCCCGATGATTTTTCATACGTGTCCTAGGTGAAGACGTGTAGACTTCTGCGGTTAAAGATTGATTGCAACAGCACCATTTCATCGCCTTTTTACGGCAGCGTTACTCCCCAGTCTCGTGTCGTATTTGCAGACATGATGAGATGAGGAGGGAGTTTAAACAGATTGATTCCCTCTCTCAGTGAGTGCACTGTAATACTCGATAAGAGTGCTGGGGGTTGGCAAATGTTTGCGTAAGAATGGCTGAATGGCATTGAAATGGCTCCTTGTTCATTCTCTAATGTGCTTCTGAGGACATGATAGTACTTTGTGCTATGTCCACGAAGTCCTGCACGTGAGATATCGTGGTCTGTGTCGGGGCCATTAAACTGGAGACATTCAGCCTAGACTGGGTGGCGTCGATTCTTACGACAAATTTTTATGCGAAGTTTCAATGAGAGCAATCAAAACCAAGAACTTTAGAGGCAAGGAAAAAGTAGGCTGCACCCTTGCATCACATATCGTCAAGACAGACGTGACCAACGCCAATAGATCGGGGACCCAATGTCCATGAATGAGATGGATCTTGGCGGCACCAGATATTGCTCCAGGCTGCCTCCTGCCTACTACCTACTCTTGGGGGTTAAAACTTTCCTGCTGGCTGTTGTATATTCAGACCAGTTTTGTGTGTTTACTGGAACCATACTATGTATTATTCTTGAAAGATTTCAGATATACAATGCTGAATATTCTTGTATTCGACATTCCTAATGCACTCCATCCAACCCAGTGCGAATAATCCGTAATGAAGCGTAAGATACAATGGCCGTAGGAAAGTAGATAGGTAAAGTAAATACATACGTGTACAGATTTGACTTCGCCAGAAACGCCCAAAATGTCTTCTAAGACAGCCCAACCTCCCAATGAACGTATGCTTCGAATACGAAAGAAGAACCCACAAAGAAGAAGTGATTTATGTCGATCATCGTCGTCGGCCCCTTTGCCCTCTTGTGGTACCATTTCGACCACTAGCAGAGTCTTTGTCGCCGTCGTTCAACTCACGACCAGCGCCGGGGCTACGCCGTCGCATTGTACCTGGCCCCACAGTGACAATGTCTTCCTCACTTTCACTATCTGAGATATCGAGGAGAACAGGCATACGGAACGATTCCATGTCGTCGTCCGCGCCGCTTTTGTGCGGTTCGATGGTGAGTACATCTGGAACTTCATCCTCTTGGTCTAGACGACGCTTGTGAATCTCTTCGGCAGGATGGACGTCGAATTCATCTTCGCGTTCAACATATTCGACGTTCTCTTCGACCTCGCCGAAATCAGGTGCTAGAGCAGACCATTTTTGCGGCGTGACAATGGACCAAGTATAAATGTATCCGGATTCTAAGCCACAGGCTACCACCATTGGTCGGGAGGGGTGCCATTCAACGACCCCGAGTTCTTCGCGGGGTCCTTCGAGGATCTTTACCAGTGAGCCGTGACTTCGTTCCCAGACGTAGATGTCCGGGTTCATGAAGGTAGATGCGGTAACGAATTCACTGGTGGACGAGAAGGTGACGTGGTTCCAGCTCAGTCGGTTGACCACGTCTTGGAATTTATGTTCTACTTGTAGCTTGATGTTAGCGGGTTCGAGATCGATGCCCAGCTGGGAGAGATCGGGCATGAGGATCGTGCGGATCACCCGATCGGAGCTGTTGATTAAGAGGTCTCGACCGTTCCTGGCCAGACGAATCAAAATCACAACACCATTGCAGAGTCGAGTGGAGTGGATCGTAGTGCAGGTCTGCGTTTCGATGATGTTGATCCACCCTTTTGATGTCCCCGCTATGATATGGTTTCCCAATGCAGTGAAGATGGTCACGCATGTCGAATGCTTTGCATCTTGAGCCGCTTGCTTTGCGGCGACGGCAGGATCAACTTCTTCGGACTCAGGTGGCGGTGGCCGATAGGGAGCGGAGGGTAGGATGCGTTTGATGGGCTTGGGAGATGAGACGTCGACGAGAACGGGTTGATCTTCGAACAGGGAGGCCACAAATAACAAGCTGCAGAGAGAAAAATTATTAGTATGTGGCATCTCACAACAGCAGTGTAAGGGTAGGAGGGATGAAGAAAACTTACTGATTGTAAGGATGTAGCTCGGCAATGTACACTGGAGCTTCAAATCGGACTGTGCGCACTCGGGAACCATCTTGGAGGTCCCACAGAATACATTTCCAATCCTGTGAGGAACTTAGAAGATACCTGCCATCCCTAGACCAACTTTGTACACATCGAATAAGCCAGTGCTTATTTGCGCTGTAGGATAAGACTAAAGTACCTTAGGGATTGGATCTGTCTGGTATGGCCCCGTAATTTCCGGGCCACTCCATTCGTCTCAATGTCGAAGATCACCACAGTGCCATCTACCTGGCTATGGTCAATATTTATCTGGGGATGGCGTCATGCCTATTGCAAGGGAACGAACTCGACCGGAGGCTAAATAATCTCCTTTGCGATTGAAGCGTAGACACGTCGCATGGCCGCTTCCTGCAGTTGTTAGTGGTTGCGCACTAATTACTAAGGGAAATATGGGAACGGACTTAGTTTCTCTGATAAGGTGTCTGGGTAGTCCTGAGCTAGGACAAAGGGATCAATGAGTGACAGATTCATTGCGCCGAATCAACTGCTTTGCGCCCAGAAAACAGGTGATAGAAAGGTAACACTAATGTCAAAAGATATAGAGAAGAGAAAAGATAGAAAAATTCACTGTAGATTCCCAGCCCAGAAGAGAGGGCAGGATAAATGGCTGCGAACAGTCATCCAGTACACTGATGCACGACAGCTTGCCTACAGGCGGGGAGATTCACAGCTGACAAAGTGAATATGAATATTAGATCTTGGAGGCTGGAAGCCGGGGCTTGGGGGCGGTAAGGGCCACTTTAAACAGTGACTGGTTTTTCCCCACCGCCTGGCCAAATATTGCAAGGGTTGGCTTAGACTAGAATATGCCAAGACATGAGTTTTAGTGCTAGTGATTTATAGTTGCCACCACGCTAGTCCTGGATTGCGGCTCAGAAAACTCGTGCCCCATCGCCGACTGACCTGACGTTCAACCATCTCCCTTTCATCACCTCGACACGCTGCTTTCCCATCGCCCAACACCCTCGACCATCGCGTTTGGCATCGCGATATCAACTACTGAGTTGGACGATTCGCCCAGATCGATCGTGGTCCTTTTTTCTTCACCATTTTTCGAGTTCACGAAGTCGGTGGATAAGGTCGCAGGCGCCCTCGTGGCAAGGGCTGCCAAAGGCCTCAGCCGGCCAGCTACTTGCAAAACCTTTCGCTGTCGCTTCTGTACGTCTGAGGGTTAATAGACTACGACTGTCTAAGCTGGAATTTTGCGGTTCGCGCGATTTTTGTACTTGCGATACGTGAACTGTACCCGCCTGATCTCTCAAGGAACACATTTCCGTCTCTACCGTCACCATGTCGAACGTTTACTTTCCATACTCCAAGGCGCCTTTGCGCACTATTAAGGAAATTCAGTTTGGTCTTTTCTCCCCAGAAGAGATCAAGCGGATGAGTGTTGTGCATGTGGAGTACCCGGAGACTATGGTAAGTCTCTTTGTTCCGGTTTCCGGTCGGAGACCATATGGAATGCTAATAGGGATGGAAAAAAATAGGATGATCAGAGACAACGGCCACGGACAAAGGGTCTGAATGATCCTCGCCTCGGAACAATCGATCGGCAATGGAATTGCGAGACTTGTGAGGAAGGTCAGAAAGAATGTCCTGGACATTTTGGACATATCGAACTCGCCACTCCAGTTTTCCATATCGGTACGTTACCAGTTTATAATATGTGTTGGATGCCACTGCTGACATTTTTCCTTTAGGTTTTTTGACTAAAATCAAGAAGCTACTTGAGACGGTCTGCCACAACTGTGGAAAGATCAAAGCTAACACGGTTAGTCATCCCTTATGGGATGGCAAATCTTCAGATGGCAACGTTGCTGACCTAGAATCAGTCCGACCCAAAGTTCCTTGAAGCCATTCGTATAAGAGACCCGAAGCGACGATTCGACCACATCTGGCGCCTGTCCAAGGATGTCCTGATTTGCGAAGCCGATCCTCCTCCCGAAGAAGACGAACCGTTTTCGAAAGAGAGTTCTAAGCCTATGAGATCCCATGGTGGGTGTGGCAATGCCCAGCCGACAATTCGCAAAGAAGGAATTACCTTAGTTGGAACATGGAAGCCCAACAAGAGCATGATGGAGGACGACATGGATATGCAGCAGCCGGAGAAGAAGACCATCACCCCTCAAGTGGCCCTGAACGTTTTTCGCAATATTTCCCATGAAGATGTTCGCATCATGGGGCTGAGCAATGACTATGCGCGTCCCGAGTGGATGGTTATTACTGTTTTGCCCGTCCCACCCCCTCCTGTCCGTCCCAGCGTGCTTGTGGGAGGCAGCACTAGTGGCCAGCGTGGTGAGGATGACTTGACATACAAGTTGGCTGAAATTGTCCGAGCAAACCAGAATGTCCAGCGCTGCGAGCAGGAAGGTGCTCCGGAGCACGTTGTTCGCGAATTCGAGTCACTATTGCAGTACCATGTCGCCACTTACATGGACAACGACATTGCTGGCCAACCAAAGGCTATGCAAAAGTCGAACCGACCAGTGAAGGCTATTCGTAGCCGTCTGAAGGGTAAGGAGGGTCGTCTGAGACAAAACTTGATGGGTAAACGTGTGGATTTTTCGGCACGTACGGTCATTACTGGTGATCCCAATTTGTCCCTCGACGAGGTCGGTGTTCCGAAGAGCATTGCACGAACCTTGACATACCCCGAAGTTGTAACCCCTTACAACATCGAGAAGCTGCAGCAGCTTGTCTTGAATGGTCCCAATGAGCACCCTGGCGCGAGATATATCGTCAGAGATAATGGCGAGCGCATTGATTTGCGTCACGCTAAAAGAGCGGGTGGTCAGCAGTTACTATACGGCTGGAAAGTTGAACGTCATGTAATGGACGGCGATGTGATTCTTTTTAATCGGCAGCCCTCCCTGCACAAAGAGTCTATGATGGGCCATCGTGTGCGCGTAATGCCTTACTCGACGTTTCGACTGAACTTGTCTGTCACGACTCCCTATAATGCAGATTTCGATGGTGACGAAATGAACCTGCACGTCCCACAGAGTGAGGAATCTCGAGCGGAACTCAGTCAGCTCGCACTGGTTCCATGTAACATCGTGTCTCCTCAGCGAAATGGACCACTGATGGGTATCGTGCAGGATACACTCTGTGGTATCTATAAGGTTTGCCGTCGCGATGCGTTCCTGACCAAGGAGCAAGTAATGAACATCATGTTGTGGGTACCTGACTGGGATGGCGTTATTCCACCTCCGGCAATTTTGAAACCTAGGCCCAGGTGGACTGGAAAACAAATGATCAGCATGGCACTTCCTTCCGGCCTCAACCTCTTACGTGTTGACAAAGATAACTCCCCGCTTTCAGAGAAGTTCTCCCCTCTGAATGATGGTGGCCTCCTTATTCATGGTGGTCAACTGATGTATGGAATGTTTTCCAAGAAAACTGTTGGCGCTAGTGGTGGAGGTGTTATCCATACTATCTTTAATGAGTATGGGCAGGATACTGCTGTCGCCTTCTTCAATGGTGCTCAGACCATTGTCAACTACTGGCTGCTACACAATGGTTTTAGCATTGGTATTGGTGACACCATTCCAGACGCACTAACGATCCAGAGAATTGAAAACTGTGTGCGTGTAAGGAAGCAGGAGGTCGAGTCGATTACTGCAAGTGCCACAGAGAACACGCTTGAGCCGTTACCTGGTATGAATGTGCGAGAAACTTTTGAGAGTAAGGTCTCGCGTGCTCTTAACAATGCTCGTGACGAGGCCGGTAGCGAGACCGAAAAGAGCTTGAAGGATTTGAACAATGCGATTCAAATGGCCCGTTCCGGATCAAAGGGTTCAACCATCAATATTTCCCAGATGACTGCTGTGGTGGGTCAACAGTCTGTCGAGGGCAAGCGTATTCCTTTCGGATTCAAGTATCGTACATTGCCGCACTTTACGAAGGATGACTACTCTCCGGAGTCCCGGGGTTTCGTGGAAAACTCATATCTACGTGGTCTGACTCCGACGGAGTTCTTCTTCCACGCTATGGCTGGTCGTGAGGGTCTTATCGATACTGCTGTCAAAACCGCCGAAACTGGATACATTCAGCGAAAGTTGGTCAAGGCCCTGGAAGAGGTTATGGTTAAATATGATGGTACTGTCCGCAACAGTCTGGGGGATATCATACAGTTTATCTACGGCGAAGACGGCCTCGACGGTGCTCATATCGAGAACCAGCGAGTTGATATTATCAGGTGCTCTGATGACAAGTTCAGGGATCGGTTCCGTGTTGATCTCATGGACCCTGAGAGTAGCCTTGGACCCGAGGTCCTGGAGCAGGCCAATGAAATTGCTGGTGACGTGGAGGTCCAGAGATATCTGGACGAAGAGTGGGAAGAGCTTCTGAAAGATCGGGCTTTCCTCCGCTCGGTCGTCAAGGAAGACGAGGAGATGATGCAGCTTCCGATTAATGTGCAGAGAATCCTTGAGACTGCTAGGACTACATTCCGGATCCGTGAAGGGACAATCAGTGATTTACATCCGGCGGAGGTCATTCCTCAAGTACAATCTTTGCTGGATCGGTTGCTGGTTGTGCGTGGCGATGACGATATTTCAAAAGAAGCCCAGGAGAATGCGACACTACTGTTCAAGGCGCAGCTTCGGAGTCGTCTTGCGTTCCGCAGACTCGTCACAGAGTACTCGATGAACAAACTTGCATTCCAGCATGTTATTGGAGCCATTGAGAGTCGGTTTGCTAAAGCTGGTGCTAACCCCGGTGAAATGGTTGGCGTTTTGGCTGCTCAGTCGATTGGTGAACCAGCTACACAGATGACTCTGAACACTTTCCATTTTGCTGGTGTCTCATCGAAGAACGTCACCCTTGGTGTTCCTCGTCTAAAAGAAATTCTAAACGTTGCTACAAACATCAAGACACCATCCATGACCGTTTATCAGGAGCCCGTGAGGTCACATGATAAGGAGGGTGCTAAACAATTGCGAAGTGCTGTGGAGCACACAAGCTTACGATCAGTTACGGAGGCCACTGAGATTTACTATGACCCCGACATCCAGACTACTGTTATTGAGAATGATAGGGATATGGTAGAGTCCTATTTCATCATTCCCGAAGATGTTGCAGATGATTCGGCTCGGCAATCTAAGTGGCTGCTTCGTATTATCCTGAGTCGACCGAAACTCCTTGACAAGGGTCTTACTGTGCAGGATGTCGCTGCCAAGATCAAACAGGCATATCCAAAAGATATTGCCGTTATTTTCAGCGATAACAACGCTGATGAGCAAGTCATTCGTATTCGTCAGATTCAAGACAACAAAGACGACGAGGATGACGACGATGTCGAATACGACGTTACACTGAAGAAACTAGAGCAGCATCTTTTGGATACGCTCACTCTTCGAGGAGTGCCAGGCGTGGAGCGTGCATTTATCAACGAGAAGAGCAAGATTCGGGTCCTTGATGATGGCTCGTTATTTGCGAGCAAGACTGATCCACTCTGCAAGGAATGGGTCCTCGAAACTAGTGGATCTTCCCTTGGCGAAGTTTTGGCAATTCCTGGTGTTGATGCTTCCCGCACCTATTCCAACCAATTTATCGAAGTGTTTGAGGTCTTTGGTATCGAGGCCGCCCGTACAGCTGTTCTTCGCGAATTGACGCAGGTGCTTGCCTTTGATGGTTCGTATGTGAACCACCGTCATTTGGCGTTGCTGGTTGATGTCATGACTGTCCGAGGTTACTTGACCCCGGTTACTCGTCATGGTATCAATCGTGCTGACAACGGCGCACTTATGCGGTGTTCTTTCGAGGAAACGGTGGAGATCTTGTTGGAGGCAGCTGCCTTTGGTGAACTTGATGACTGCCGCGGTGTTTCCGAAAACTTGATTCTGGGACAAATGGCACCTGCCGGTACTGGAGAATTTGACATCTATCTTGATCAGAACATGCTCAATACCGTTGTGTCTAATAACGCTCGATTCGGCGTGATGGGCGCTATCGGCGCCAAAGATGCGATCATCTCGGATGGTGCCGCCACTCAATATGACACTGGCTCTCCCATGCAAGAGAGCGCCTATATTGGTACACCTGATCCAGACTCGAACTTCTCTCCTATTCGGCAGGCAGGTGCTGAGACACCTGGTGGTTTTACCGAGTACCAGCCTACCGTTGGTTTCGGGGGTGGGTTTAGTCCGGCGCCTACAAGCCCAGCTGGCTATTCTCCCAGCAGTCCCTTCAGTGCGAACCCGACATCCCCTGGCTATTCGCCTACGTCTAGTTACTCCCCAACGTCCCCTGGTATGGGCATTACCAGTCCTCGTTTCATGACGTCCCCCGGATTTTCTCCTGCCAGCCCAACGTTTGCACCGACCTCGCCCGCCTACTCCCCTACGTCACCAGCGTATGGACAGGCGTCACCAACCTCACCGTCGTACTCCCCGACTTCTCCAGGATTCTCCCCTACGTCGCCGAACTACAGCCCGACCTCGCCAAGTTTCAGTCCTACCTCACCGGCGTTTAGTCCGACATCTCCAAGCTATAGCCCCACTAGCCCTGCTATTGGTGGTGCCGGTCGACATCTGTCTCCCACCTCACCAACGTCTCCCAAATACACACCTACTTCGCCTGGGTGGTCTCCCACGAGTCCCCAGACGTACTCTCCCACATCCCCCAACTTTGCCGGCTCGCCGACTTCTCCCGGCGGACCAACGTCCCCTGGCTACAGTCCAACGTCGCCGGCCTTCAGCCCTTCGTGAGTATCTCATTTCGAGACCCATGGGACATGAAATGCTAACATCTCCTCTAGGTCACCCCGTCAGTGAGAACTTTCGTGGCTGGCTAACTTGTGGAAATTGCTGTATCAATGTACTATCACGTTCTTTTCCGGACACCCACTAGAAAACAAACGAAAAAAGAAAAGAGAACACATTTTGCATCTTACTCTGCGGAATTGGTTGGTTATTTCTTCCTACTATTTGGGCATGTGTAGCCTTTCCCCCTTTCTCCCTGAATGTACGTTTTTCACGTTTTAGCCCCATGGGTTTATTCTCTTATTAAGTCTTTGACCCCCCGTGCCGAAATTGCGAAAGAATTTGCTGGCTGGTGGTGCATGTTTCATTTTCCGTCAGAACATTGAAATACCAAGCGTTTTAGAATTTGAAAGCCACATGAACTACCTAATTCTCTCGTATGTGAGACAGAGGTACATTGGTCTGCTTGATCGTTGTTGATCCTCCGTGTCTGCATCGAGGGTATTGCTATTCGAGTGTATTAATGATGTGGTTTTCTTTTCTTTTCTTTTCCCTTTTCCTTTCATTTCCTGTACACATGTTGCACCAATGGGGTTATGGATTGAAAAGACGAAATTATTCTAAAAAAAAAAAAGGCATAAAAAAAAAAAAACTTACTAGGAAAGTGCTTCTTCTAAATCTTGTAGACAGTCACCTGGTGATTACTCATCCGCCAAGAAATAATCGGGGAAATGAAACTCCGCTTGGACAGGTGGCCCGTTCGGCATGTGCTTGCTGGAACCACTAAGCAGGCACCTCGATCCCCACCTACTTATAAGGCACAACTTCCAGCATCCGATGACGTTCTGATTGAGGCTCGAGTCGCCATGTGCCTCGCATTGCTGAATTCTACAGAATTCTGTCAGACATGATGAGGAACCTATGGATATGGCGTTGTCTGCCCTTGGTGTTTCGTGAGTGTCTGCTAGCTTGACTGATCACGCGATGGAGGCTGACATTGCTTGCTCATTATCCAGTGTTACTGCAGGCGTTTGTGGTGGAATCCAAGGGCCAGTCCGACCTACCGTCTGCAGATACTGCTCGCGAATCTCATCAGAGGTCAGCTCATGATGATACTCAACCCGGGAATGGTGAGATACCCGGCTCGATTCTTGAGAATACCTATCCACAATGGACTGACACTGACATGCCTACTTGCGATTAGAGCATGTAAATGCAGCTCTTACGATTCTTCAAGACTCTAAAATCTCCGTCATCACTCCCGAAAAGCCGTCCGGTCTCGTGGGGTACGGCTTGCTTTATGCTCAGCAGGTTTTCCGGATTTTGTTTTTGAATGGCCCGCATATCGACAATGCTGGTCGACGAAAACTCCACCCAAATGTTGCCAAAGCCGTGAATGAACTCAGAATTGCTGCGGAGGAGGACCAAAACCCCGATGCGATGTTTTTACTGGCGGAGATGAATTTCCACGGCAATTTCACTCACCCGCGAGATTTCAAACAGGCTTTCTATTGGTATCAGAGCCTCGCATCGTTGAATGGAAATAACACGGCGCAGTATATGCTTGGTTTTATGTATGCGACAGGTATCGGTGGTGGAATTGAACGCGACCAAGCCAAGGCTATGCTGTACCATACCTTTGCCGCCGAAGCAGGAAACACGAGGTCGGAGATGACGCTTGCATATCGAAACCACGTAGGAATCGGGACACCTAGGAATTGTGACGAAGCCACTTATTATTATAAGAAGGTGGCTGATAAAGCCATCCAATACTACCGATCTGGCCCACCTGGCGGCCATAGCATGATTCGGGAGTCATATCGCTGGGCAGATGAAGAGGGTGGTGTGTATGGTGAGGGTGCCAGTGTATCCAGCTCCGGACCAAACGCACTTCGCGATTCGTCACACGCCGGCACTGACGCTAGCTTGGAAGACTTATTGGAGTATGTGGACCTCATGTCCCGAAAAGGTGAGCTGAAGGCTACATTTAGCTTAGGAAAGATGCACTATGATGGTGCACGAGGTTTGCCCAGGAATTTTCGGAAGGCGATGAAGTATTTCAAACAGGTTACAAAGCGCTATTGGAATAAAGATGGGTCTGTCAACCCGAATCACCCACCTGGGATTGAGAAATTGGCCTCAAAAGCGGCAGGCCATATCGGCTTGATGTACCTACGTGGTGAAGGCGTCGAGCAGAATTTTGCTACGGCGGGCAATTGGTTCAAACTTGGGGTAGCTAACGGCGATGCGCTCTGCCAACATGAGCTCGGGATAATGTATCTACATGGATATGGTGTGACGCAGGATGCGTTCAAGGCTGCGGCGTACTTCAAAGCCGCCGCCGAACAAGATCTTCCGGCTGCTGAAACGAGATTAGGTGCTCTGTTTCTGGATCAAGGTGATATTCCGACAGCTACGCGGTACTTCGAGTTAGCTGCACGTTGGGGGTGGATGGAAGCTTTCTATTATTTGGCCGAATTATCGAATAACGGTGTTGGCCGGCAACGACACTGTGGGATGGCAGCTTCGTATTACAAGATGGTTGCAGAGCGGGCGGAGGTGGTTCACTCCTCTTTTGCTGAATCCAACACCGCATATGAGAATGGTGACAAGGAGCGAGCACTTGTCGCAGCCATGATGGCTGCCGAACAGGGGTACGAAAATGCACAGTCTAACGTGGCATTTTTGCTGGACGAGCAGCGGTCCATGTTGACTCTTGATTCGGTTGTTCCTGGGCTCAGAAAGACCAGGTCGCCTTTGCTTCAAAATGCCGCATTAGCTCTTATCTACTGGACCCGTTCAGCCAAACAGACGAATATTGACTCTTTGATTAAGATGGGTGACTATTATCTCAGTGGAATTGGTACTGCTGCAGATGCCGAGAAAGCGTCGACCTGTTACCATACCGCAGCCGAAGCTCACTACAGCGCGCAGGCGTACTGGAATCTCGGCTGGATGCATGAAAATGGCGTTGCCGTGGATCAGGATTTCCATATGGCAAAGCGATATTATGACCTAGCACTAGAGACTAGCTCTGAGTCTTACCTACCAGTGAAGCTGAGTCTCCTGAAGCTCCGCATGCGAAGTTACTGGAATAGGATTACGAACGGAAAGATCAATCCTATCCAGGATGACGAAGGTAAGAATTCTCTTCATGATCCCTTAGTTATCCTTGCAATGCCAGGAGCTGCCCCTGATGATGAGTATAGAGCCTAGGCCTCGTCGGACATTTAAAGAGTGGGTTGCAGCCTTCATCGAAAACGACGAACAAATGTACAAGGGTGCAGAAGAGGACGAGGAGGGTATTTTATCCCATGGAACGGATTCTCGACACCTCGATGATCGCCATGAAGATGGCTATTATGATGACTTGGAACTCGATATTGATGAGAGCATCCTGGAAGGTCTTATCATTGTGGCATTGGCAGCGACCTTGCTCGTGCTAGTGTACTTGAGGCAACAACGAAACAGGCAAAGACAGAACGAGAATGCAGGCGCCAATCCCGCGGCCCCGGCAAATGGGAATGATCGAGGGTTCTTCCCCCGTCCTGGAGAACCGGGCTTTGCTCAATGGGTGGCTGGCGGCGTAGGACATTAGTTTGCCTCTGTTACCCGGAGCACTATTAGAATTTTGTTTGTACATGATGTATTTTAGATAACTTGCATTTGAATATCATGCCTAATAGCGAGCACAAAAAGCAATCTTGATTGAGAGGTCGCCCGAGCCCCTTGAATTGAAGAGGATTGTGCCTCGCGAACAACTTGGGTTCCCAATTCTGATCGGCAAGGGTTTGTGCTGTTTGTTCTATTTTCTTTTACTACATTTGTGTCATACAGAAATGCAGATAAAATACCACAATTATGGCTCTCCTAGGTACAGCTCTATGCTTTTTGGATCGCCGAATGGTAATTTTCTATTGAGAGTTTGTTTTCTAGCACAGCAAAATAAGTTGATATCTATGTCATCGGCCACCTCCATCCTCTTCTTTTTCCGTTTCCTTTTCCTTTTCCTTACTCCATAACCTTAGTATTCTTCTTGCCGGCACCGAATAAAGTGATGTTCTTCATTAATTTCAACCTCCTTTCGCAGAGTATGTTCCCATTCACGCTATAAACAAGTAGTAAAATTGAAGAATCCTAGAAGGTATATATACAAGTACATTATATCTAGTTCTTTTACGTACGTCTACTAATACTTATCCGAATAAGGAAGCTTATTGTGCCCTTATAGCCCTTATAGTCTACTGACTACCCTTGGTCAAAATTAACAGGGCGAGGGAACTATGCTTATTTTATTAACTCCAACCGGATGGTAAACTGCAAGCTATGTTCCAGTAGAGAGCCAGATAGAGGAGTTTACTACTGTTAGGGAACCATGGCATCATAGCATCCAGATCCTGGACACTCTGGCCTAGCAATAAAAAGTATCTGGACTTATCCGCTTTAAAAGTCATATGGACATGTATCAACTCGGTCGAATATATCCTTATTAAAGGTTGATTCATAGTCTGGCTTGAGACCCACTATGCTTTTTCCCCCCTCTAGCCATGCTATTATATTCCACACCCATAATCTTCTGTTCCAGCATCTGCTCGAGATTTTCTATTAACGTGATCCGAAAAACCCATTATTCGTTTGCTATATAACCCTCCTGAACATCTGTTGGATATATTAGTGCAATAAAGAGGTTCCTTAAACTCTTAAATCCACAAGTGAACAAACCCGAGCATACTCCTTAAAGACTGTTGTTTTCTGACCTTTAGTTATTCCAGGCTGTGTTGAAAACCTCGGGGGAAGCTATGTCGTGAGGTGCTAGGATAGCGGTGACTAGATAGTATATTGTAACTATCGTGTGATTTAGTATCGCTTGGTGAGTATATTCATCTATCTACATGAGAGCGTAGACAAAACGCTTCCTTATGTCTACGTGTCCCTTAGCCCCTGAGTGTGATATAACTATCAGATCGCTGCGGGACTAGAATATCCGAAGGTGCCTTAGGCATCCTGATTTCCAACAGGCTGGAATAAAAGATGATAGCCTTCATTCACATGATCCATGCAAATTATCAGAGTTAGTTTAGGAAGATACGAGATAGTAGATAGCGAACTCTGATAAGTAGAAGAGTAGAGGGGAGATAGTCTATTTCAAATGGAGGGAAAGTAATTTCAAGCGAACTTAAATAGCGTATAGTATAATCTGTAGAGTGGTGCCAAGAGAATGCTACCTGTTTCCCTTGTTGTTTTCACTGAGATAGCTAATATTTATGAGCCTTGCCATATATAGTTTAATGCCTTAGGTGTCTGTCACACGCTATCGATAAGCGGCCTGTAAAGTCCACCAAAAGATCCATGGAATCTTTGCTCTCATCTACACTCCCTGGACGCCATGCCCTTCTAGACTTGTCCACGTATAGGACAATGAGACAAGAACAAAAGTTTGACGTCTCATGATGATGGGGTCAGCTAGCCTCAATGGAAAACGCCGCCGTGCTGAGCACGCTGCCTCGGCGCTTTCAAAGCCATTTAAATCTCCCCTTCGGCGGCCACCGCAGACTTCAGGGACCAAAGAGGAAGCATTGCGCGCAACCGAGAAAAATATTTCTACTGTGGGATCCGTGCCTGAGGCCATCGATCGCAGCACGAAAGCGGAGCAAACGCGATCCACACTCTCGACACCCATCCCTTCATGTACAACAGTTGGTTCGCTATCTAGCAATTCGTCGTCGTTGCACTCACAGACTCGCAAAAGAAAAAGCCTTGCCGATTGTTTGACTCCCTCCAAAAAGCCATTATTGTTTGATCCGGAGATTCAGGAGCTTCAAAAGCAAGAAAGGGCACTGCAATCTCGCCTTTCTGCCCTGCGTTCCGAGCTCGATACAGCGCGGCAGGCTCTGCGCGTCGAGTCTTCAGATAAACATGCAGAGCTCGAGAATTTGATCACAAAATGGAAGAGTGTTAGTCAGAACGCAGCCGAAGAAGTCTTCGCTGGAGCACAGGAACGCGTCTCCCGATTCGGTGGGATGAAGGCTTGGAGGGAGCAGACGAAGAGCAGTGGCTCGAGGTGGGAACAGGAAGAAATGGAGTCGTGGTATGGTAATGCACAAGTAGAAGGGGCTGATTTAGATGACGACGAGCTGGAATCTCGAAAGGCTGAGATGTTGGATCAATACGAGGTTTCCCGGAAAGAGTTCGAGACGACCCAGCGGGGCGATTCCGTGGAAGAGGAGGTTTGTTTGATCTTCTCATTTTTAGAAGAACTCGAAAGGAATGACGCTAACGAGATTTTGTGCCAAATTCCTAGGAATTCACTATGGACTTCATGCTGAAAACTCTCAATATCGAAGCGAAGATGATCGGATACGATAAGTATGGTCAAAAATGGATTAAAGATTGATTGAGGCTTGATTTACGACCCCATTATGTTGCTATTATGCTGTGTATGATTATCACTTTCCTTTGTCCGGATGCTCTGATAGGCAGCTCGTGTATATCACTTTGTTGATAATACATTACAAGCTTCAGGCTAGTTCCCCCGCTTTAACCCCGATCCATGTGGGTCGCTTGACCCTTATCTCCAACTTACATGGAGTCATGGAGCGATCTTTCTCTTTCCTCTCCCACTCGGCTTCTCTTCCCTCTTCGCCAATTTCACCTGCATAACCGACGACTTGACTTATGCCTTTGAGTCCTAGACTCCCGAGATCTCTAGCCTGTGCTCGATGCTTTCGCCTGAAGCGTAAATGCGACCACGCGAAGCCGACATGTGGAGAGTGCAGGCGAAGAGGAACAGAATGCCTGCCCATGAAATCCTGCAAAGATGGTGAAGACATCACAGTCCCTCTTAGATATCTGAAACAGTTAGAATGCAGAATTGCGGAGCTGGAGGGTCAATTAGGTGATGCAGCAAAGACATCTTCCCAAGTACGACATATCGGGATCCAAACGGACCCAATTGATAGCCCTAATGCCGATCCGCCTCTTCACAGCTTCGACAACATAGATATACTAAGTAATGTCACTGTGGAGATGGACCACATCCCTCAACATATTCCTTCGGAGTCAAGCTATTACCCACCCTTAGCATTGGAGCATCCATCGAGATTTGCGCCGGTCTCTGATTCTCGTTGGGCAGCACACCGTCTAGAGGGTCCTCTTATATCAAGGCTTGCATACGAAGTGTATCCTAATCAGACGGGCATGGGGCATTCTCTACGTACGAATACTGAGCCTTTCCCTGTTCTTCCTGCCAGTGATGGATCACCTTTCTTCGAGGAGGTTTACACTGATCTCTATTTCTCCGTCATGCATTGGGTATGGCCATTCCTTGACTGTAGTACTTGGAGGGCCTGGCATAGTGAATGGACTCATGGAAATGAAGTAGAGCAATGGAAAGGGTTCTTCATACAAATGGTTTATGGCATCGGGGCTTTGTTATATAATGCGCTCCATATTAACCAGGGCCATTCCGAACGTGCGGCAGATCTCTATACTTCTGCATTAACTTACTATCCCTATGTTATGGGACATTCATCCGCGATTCTTCAAATACAAGCATCTATCCTCATGATACTCTATTCCCTCCACTGTCCCTCGTCGGAAGAGATTGCAATGTCCGTGTCCTCAATTGTTCCGTTCTGCACTGCTACAGTGACCGAATTACGAAAGCACGCTTCATCCAGCATTGAAGATGGAGCCGACGATACACCAGAAATATGTGAAGTACTCACTGAACCTTTGTTTATTACTTGCTTTATGCTGAATGAGATTATGGTTTCTGGATGGGAGAGACCAGTTTCCGACGCTTACAAAGCCATTGATGACGATGTATGACTACCTTTAACAAAAGTAAGATATATCGGAGCTGATAGAATGATAGTTGTCGACTCTGAGCAACGAAATGCCTTCGTCTTCTAGCACAAGCACTGCGCTAAGGCACCTGTTTAGCTTGCGCAAAATTCAAGCGAAAATTCGCCGATGTTGGGATGGATCTCCTGGAAACCAGGCATCGAACGATGCCCTTCTGAAGTCGGCATTGGATACGTGGCGAAAAGATATACCTAGATATAGTATCGAAGATAACCCAAGCACCTATCTCCATCCCCTGTGGATGGCAAACTTATATGACTACAGTGTGATAATTCTGATGCACGAGAAACGACACCGTCTCCAACATGAGGACGTCGAAGATGTCCTTTCCGCCATCATCGAGGTTTGTCTCAATTTCAGACGCCTCCAGGACGAAGGTCAAGTGATGTGTTATACCTGGTCCGCGGTAAGTTTTAATTTTGGTGCAGTGCGTGACAGTGCACACTAACATGCCTATCAAAGCTGGTCTTCCAATTTATGGCTGGGATTATGCTACTGTACATATTCTGGGTGACACCTCAAGACGTTGAATCAGTACGACCAGCCTTTGATGCGTCCTGTGCCTATGAAAGCACCCTCTCCCACTTTGCAGAGCGTTGGGAAGATGCTACCCCCTATGCCAAAGTCTTCAGCTTTCTCTTTCGGCAATATACTTGGCTTCCCAAGGAACCCTCGGAGCAATTGGGCCTAGACTGTACGCTGGATGAGTTCGAGGATTGCCTGAAGCAGTTAAGGAAACAATACCTGCATAAGGGAGTTCTGGGTATGATTGAGGATATGGCATACCAACGGTCGGCCAGTTCAAATGGCGGTTTTCAACAGCATGTACAGTAGTAAATAAATGCCACGTCATGTACATTATCATAATCCATGTATTCTACAACAAAAGCAACTTGCCAGCCACCCGACCAGTGTTTGTCTGGGCCACCACAACCACAATTGTCTGGACGAGAGCAGGACTCGACCAACGTGTCCACTTGCTGTCACGCGCCGACATGGGGTATCTGGCTGTCAGACTCCACACGTCTTCGTCGATGGTCGCCTCAATGGGGCTACCATTGACATAGCACGTTAGCTTTTTTAGTATTTCATTGCGATCTAAATGTAAGACTCCTTGGATATCAAGATGCACAGTTGTATCCTGGATGTTTTTGAGCTGATTTTTAACCTCAATTCGAGGCGTTTCCAATAGGGCCTTGCTTGATGTAAGATGACTCGACCCAGATAGATCGATTAGATCAGAGTCTAACTGAGGCACGAGAGGTGGCAGCTGGCGATTTTTTGTCTCCTTCTCAAACGCGTACGCATATCGAAGGAGGTTGTTGTCGTCGTACGCCTTACCGGCAAAGGTCAAGTTGACCGGCATTCTCGTGTCCTCCATTAATCCCATAGGAACTGACACGGTGGGAATGCCTAGGTGACGAATTCCCCGATTCCCGTTAGAATACTTGACACCGTTCCGCCAGGCGTACAGAGAAGATTCAGGATCCATATCTGCACGAGCACTTCCTACGTCGCCATTTGCGGGGAAAACTACCGCATCTAGGGTATGGAGGTCCATCCATTGCTCAAAGGTTTCTTTTCGGGCATTTTCTAGGGCGTTCAGAGCTTGTCTCATTCCCGGGATCTCATAAATAGAGTTGGGCTTGTTCTTAGGGTACTCCACCATCTCGTGCCATCTGAGTGTGTTGGTTGCATCAGGTGTCCCAGGTAGTGAGCCTGGAGCAAGGGGAAAGATTGTGTCGGGGTTTACGCAGGTGAGAGATTGGAGACCCGGTTGGTTGTTGTATGCCAGGAAGTCATCCCAGCTATGTGCAACGACCTGGCATCTTTCCATTGAATGCCAGCCTTCCGGAAGACCCTTGACATTCACTTGCTCTCCTAGGCTCGCCCTAGATTCATATGTTGTAACTAAGGGAAAGTCGTCTACTTCTATCACTGTGGCACCGCACGCTTCCAATGACGCCTTTGTGGCCTTCCAGAGCATAATCACAGAGGGTCTGGTGCACACGTTGTCAGGGAGAATATCTGCACCACCGATATACATCGAGGGCACACCTAACCTTTTCCCGCGAAGAGACTTCACGTCTTCTAATTCCTTGAAAACACGGGGTCGGAGGGTATCAACTGGGGGCAAGGAGATGATTTTCTGTTCGTTCCAGAAGTCTCCAGAAGGGGTCTTATCGATAACTGCAAGGACATCGAGGACGTGAAATAGGTCGGACATGGTTCGAGTGTGAGGCACTAGGACGTCACAGGTTGGGTATAAAGGCCATACTCCACGGAGAGGCAACAGGCCCCTTGATGGCGTGTAAGCAATGATTGCATTGTTGGAAGCAGGTGATCTTCCAGAAGACACAGTCTCGCTTCCCAAACTAAAGGCGCAAAAGTTTGCCGTGGTGGCCGTGGCGGATCCATTTGAAGATCCAGACGCATATGCTGCTGTCAAGTAATCCAAGTTGTACGGGCTTTCGGCGCGCCCATACGAGCCACGCTGCATGCCCCCATAGGCCATAGCCGGCATGTTGGTCCTACCCAGAAGAACAGCCCCGGCATTTTTAAGGGCCTGGACACATGCAGCATCTTCAGTGGCCACAAGATTTTCAAACGCTGGAGAGCCGCTAGCAACGGTCATTCCTTTCACTTTAATACTATCCTTCACGAGATAAGGAATCCCTTCCAGAGGCCTCGCAGGCAAGCCAGAGGCGCGTCGAGCATCGGAAGCGGTAGCTTCTTCAATAACCGAGGGATTAAGAATAGGAATGGCGCTTAGCTTGAGACCGGTGGCGTCATATACGCTTATACGTCGAAGATATCGTGCGACCAGCTCAACGCTTGTAATTATCCTTGAGTCCAAGGCTTGCTTGAGCTCAGAAATGGTGGCATCAATAAGACTGAGCGTCTGGGGCGCCTCTGGCAATGCCTCAATAATGAATAAATTCTGTTAGCATCCTGCTTATCGTAATCGTTGGAGTCAAAGCTTACAGGATCCATGATGGGGATTCAATGAGTTGTTGCTTCGATTGCGAACTCGTTTAATTGTCTACACTGCGTATGCAACATGTGAGTGGGGTTATTAGGTTTATATGTTCGTCTTTCTCAAGCCTCTGCAACCTCCTCTCTTCGCTTCTTCCCATCAAGAAGCACTAGCAACTCCACTCAAATTAATCCACAGTCCACCAGCGTCTGGAGCAGCGGACTAAAGTCCGCCTTGTTAGTGCGGCAACACTAATGCGTCTCACGAGCGGGCCAAAGTCCGCTATCGGCTCGTGCGGAGTTACGACAATTAGATACTGGGATACGGGGAAGGATCGCTGCCAAGAGATAACGCTATCTCATATCTGGTCGGGGAACTCACGAAGCAAGGACATAAAACCAAAACCATGTTAACCTCACGTCCAGGGGTGAGGAAAACGCCCCTAGTCCTCAAGTTCTGCCCTTGATAAAGTGGATAGGCTTCTCCACTTGGTCTTTCAGCATGCCTGATTCCAAAGACGCCAAAGCGGATGCATACAGCAAAGTCAGTGTTGAGAGAAAAGATGATATCACATCTGGAGAAATCCGAGACATTGGGGCCAATCTGTATGCCGAAGCCGACCAGCTGTCGCCTGAGGAGCTTGAACGCGAAGGTATCGAAGTTCGCAAACTCCTCGACTGGCGTATTCTACCCATGGTAGGTGATTCCATGGCGGGGGATTCCCTTTCTCCACGGATGACTGACAAGTGGGCACTTAGCTGTATGTGACATATGTCATACAATACTTGGGTCAGCATATCACAAATCGAAGACGTGTGCCCTCGCTGATCGTTATGGAATACAGACAAGCTGTCTCTCAACTATGCCTCCGCGTATAGCCTTATCCCGGATCTCGGCTTGGAGGGTCAAAGATACTCCTGGGTTGCGGCTATCTTCAACTTTGGATATTTGTTCTGGGCAATTGTAAGTGAGCGAGGGAGGGGAGAGAAAACCATTGAAACATAGGCTAATATAACTTCTCTCTAGCCCTCCAACCTTATAATTCAACGCCTGCCACTGGCAAAATACATGGGTTCGGTACTCTTAATCTGGGCAGCTATTGTCATTGCACATATTGGAGCCAAGAATTACGCAGGTATTCTGGTGTTGCGATTTCTCTTGGGGATGGCAGAGGCTTGTGTCAGCCCTTGTAGTAAGCTACTTGACCGGCAGCCAAGTACATGGAACAACATATCTAATGAAGAACAGTGATGAACTTTACATCTATGTTCTACAAGCGCTCTGAACAGCCTCTGCGGATGAGCCTGTGGCTCTCTGGAAATGGAATGGCGACCATGGTGGGAGCACTTTTGGGGTTCGGGCTAGGCCACACCGATAACTCCAGCCTCCGAAGTTGGCAACTAATTTTTCTCACAATCGGGTTGCTTAATTTCGTCACAGGATGCTTATTTCTCTGTCTCATGCCTGACTCCCCGAGTACGGCAAAGTTTCTCACCCACCGACAACGTGTGGTGGCGGTCCAACGAGTATCGGAGAATATGATCGGAGTCAAGACGAAACAAATCAAGCTACAACAAGCCATCGAGATCCTCTACGATATCAAGGTCTTCTCCTATATTGGCATCGGACTCGGCTGTGGCGTCATCAACGGCGGAGTGTCTAACTTCGCATCATCTTTGATCAAGGGCTACGGATTTAGCGGTATCTACGCGACACTTCTCCAGCTACCCACCGGGGCGATTGAGGCCATTGTGGTGCCCATCTGCGGCCTGATCTCAACATACGTCCGCGACTCGCGCTGCATAGTCCTTGCAGTTGTCTGTCTCATTCCATTTGGCGGCCTCCTCGGCATTCGCTTCACCGATATCCAACACCGATGGACTCTGGTGGGCTGCACCTGGCTGCAGTATATCATCGGCGCCCCGGTGATCGTATCCTGGAATCTACTCTCCACTAACGTAGCCGGACACACAAAGCGCTCCTTTGCCAATGGATTCTGGTTCACGATGTATGCGGGCGGTAATGTGGCTGGCGCTAATATATTTTTTGATCATGAAGCACCCCGATACTACTCCGCCCTTATGGGTCTCCTCATCTGCTATGCAGGAATGATCGTTCTATCGGCAATTGCGTACGTGGCAATGAAAATTGAGAATATCCGTAGGGATCGTCGTATGTCGGCAGAGGAGAACCTTGATGGGCGTAATGAGGCCGCCGTGCTGGATGGATTCAAGGATATGACAGATATGGAGTCGAAGCATTTTCGGTATGCTCTTTGATTTGGTCAGATTATTTTGGTTTACTTAGATGATTATGATAATGCGAGGTGGTTAATACTGTTATTAGATGCCCTGGTTTAACATTTTTATTGAATATTCAAAATAAATAGTAGTCAAATATTTCTCATTTTGCTAGAACCAACTTAATAATTCTGTTCTTTTTTTTTTTTTCCTCGCTTTACTCTTGACTGCCTTGTTTATCTTCGTTTTCAGCCCGTTGACTGAGACTAATCGGCAAAGTTCGAAGAAACAACTGGTACGTAGCAATGGTTCTTTCACTTCTATCATCTGTCTCCGCCTAGCTTGCAATGATTCACTCTTTCTCTTATCCTTCTCTTAACATTTGTAATCTACACCTCTCCTCTTCCTCTCTCCCCTCTTGATACTTCTAAGTGATATCTCCCTCTCCTCGCTCATTCTTTGTCAATCAGAACATCCTCTTGAATATCTGAACGCCTCCATTTCTCCTCTCTAATCCAGACGCTAGATCTGTCAATATTTCAGAGACTATCTGACTAATTGGTGACCTTCATCACTTTTTACTCTAGTGAAACTGTATGAAAAACTGTCTACGGAATTTCAACTCGACACGACGAACGTCTGCTGTCTATGGAGTAAAGATCCCGTTATGAAGCCTATACTAAAAGAATACACTACGATCAGGAAGAAGATTAGGGAAATGTCAATTTCAGAAGCACAAAGCTAGAACCAGCCGTCAATCCTGGAGTGGACTAATTACACTCCTCTCCAAGCTGTCATCGCAAACCCAGATTTGCTACGCGAACATCATCGCCAGGAGTGCGCATCATATTTCTCGGAGTGTCGCAATGACAGTAAAGAAAGAATGGAGCGAGAGAGTCCAGGCGCATTCTGCGGTCGGAGCTGTTGGGTTAGGCACGAAGCTTTGTGAATGATCAACAACAAAATGCATCTTCAGCAGCATCAGTTGAAAACCTACCGCTGTCTGCTCTGCCAGTTTTCGGCTCTATTCGGCTGTTATCTCAAGCTTTCCATCTCAAATGTTTTACCGTCACGTCGCCTGGACCAGCGCCAATGTGCACTGGTGTCATTCAGGATCAGACTAGGATGCACTCTGCATCTTCAGAATAGTCGCACAGATTCATGCAGGATTGTATGAGAATTATGGAGAGCGAACATGGGTTGGATCTTCTGGACGAGCGACTCAGCTCGTATGAACCGGCAGGCAAACCTCGTAATGTCTTCTCTTTCCTATATAAATTTATTGTAGTGGAATTAGATGCCCTTTTAAATTCTAAGATACTCGTATAGAATATAGAACGGTACTAGTAGTTCTCGTAACTACAGGCAGTCTAATAATGTACACTACTGTCTCTTTTTTACCATACTTAATTCTTATCTTTCGTTCTAATAGGGAGCTGATACAGCCACTCCTGCCACACCAATACCTTCCTATTTTAATTTAGTTTATCCAAAACAACTCTAGTTTAGAGAACACACTACACGACTTTAAAGTTGCCTCAGGCCACCTACCAGCTTGGCACGGTCCGAAAATAATATTGCGAATTATGTGACTATATTGCTGAGCTAGACTATTTTAGGACAAGCCAAATAGGAATGTAGGGGTGTGGCAGGAGCGACATGCTGTATCGGCTCCCTTCTAAAACAAGTATACATAATTCCTAGAATGAGAGCAACGCGGGGCCGATTGGTTGACTATGCCCCTGATGGATAAAGCCTGTAGAAGCCTTTGGGCCTGCTGATTTACATTACAAGAACAAAAATATTCTCCCTTGCATTGCAGACGAATGACATTCTGAGGCTTGACATATAGGAGTGACAATACATAGTCCTGCTTGTCCAATGCAGGCAAGGGGTGGTATGCTCGTCAACCAGGGGAATGGAAGCAATGCAACAACTCTTTTGCCCTTGGAATCAATGTAACATAAACATTGCTCCGGATGATGGGCTGAAACTATAAAAGAGCCCTTGATGTACAAAGAGTGGTGTCTGAATATCACTCTATATCTACCTATCTGTATTCCATTAGTTGACTATTACTCGTTTATGCCCTATTCTTGAACACTACTACTACTTCTGCCACAATGCAGCTTAGCACTCTTATCTTCTCCATTGCCAGTGCCGCGTTCTTTAGCGGTGCAATTGCCAAGGAGTCCGGCTGCTACGAGATTAAAAACTTCGGACACCAGAAAAATAACTGCGATGATTGCCATGAAGGGTTCCATTTTGTCCCAAGCGGCGTTGACTGTAATCCTTATGTCCAGTGCTGCATTGGAGCCTGCTGTCCACATCATTGAGTGAATAGACAAGTGGGTTCTAGAGATCTATGCATGTACCTTTAAAGATGGAAGGCTAATTCAATTATATTCCATGTCTCCAGGCGTCTATAGTCAGACAAATTAACCAGGGAGAGGAAATTACTGAAGAGGATGGGTTCCCTGGCGTGTGCTTCCTGCTGAGATGGTTAGGGTTAGGTCAAATTTCTTATATGCTGTATGCTAGCAGGAGTGCTGTCTAGTTTATCGTGAATGTTAATTGTCGGTGTCGTCTCAACCCTCTGGCGTGTCATAGTAGTTGGAACGATGCCCTCAATTCCCAGTATTGCCATCTATCCTATATACCTTAACCATTGGTGTTGTAGAAAGCAAATAAAGGTATGAAATCTGTAAACTTCATAACATCGTTGAAGGTATAAAAAGTTTCCCTCCGTTAAGCAATTGGTCCAAAAAATCCGCCATGCCTGTAAAGCCAACACTTTCAAACAAGAAGTAAAAGAAAATATAAAAGCCATAATCTTGTGATTTCATAGGGAGCCAGCTTGGGAAGAAGTTCGGTTGCTCCTGATGAGATCTCGTCATCTTCGTCTCCGTACGAATGTCCAGTGGATGATGATCTCGCTCCGGATATTGCCGAAGCGATTCGGTTGAGTCTTCTGGATGAGGGGCCGGGGGTCGTTTGATTCTGCCCCCTCTATTCCCATCAAGTACTCCAAAGGGTATCAACAAAGCCACGGGGGTTTCTCGCCATCGGCGGATGACATTGCCGAGAGTAGCCGCCAACAGGAGCTGGATGACTTGGAGTTTGCGATTCAATTGAGCTTGGCGGACAGCCAGGCACCTGAGCAACAGGTCCCTGACGAACAGGAGGAATTTCCTTCCTTTCCAGGAGGGTCGACTTCTCCTAGCAGAGGCAAAGGGAAGGGCCGAGCTGTGTAGTTATATTATGCTTTGCTTTGCTTTGGGTTAGTTTCGTCGTCTTTCTTGCTGTTTAGTGTTTTGACTCTTCCACAATACATATATCATTCAGACAATTTTTTAGCTCCCTAATGACCTTCATTGATCCGAGGCTCTGTAATCTCATGCTATGATGCGTACGAGCGCATTGAACATGTGGACTATAACGCTCATTCACTAATTCTTAGCGAGGCTAGACAACGCCCAATACCCAGCACTTAGTCGGAATACATTCTAGTGATAGACACCAACCACACCACTCGGATAGTACAGCATCAATCTATTGGGAACGTGCGGTAATCAATCCAAAATTGCATAAGCGATAAATTATATCATGAAGGGGATTGTGCAAGTCCATTAAACCCCTAATCCGAAATGTATACAAGCAAAGCAGCCGCATAACTAGTTGAGCAGAGTTAGGTACACGACAACCCAGAGAGAGACAAGGAGGGACCACTTACGTAGATGCAGCAATCATAATTTCATGCTCACGACAATTTGTTGTCATCGCCATGATGGTCGCTGCGGCAGCGGTGCATACAACAATGACGACCAGCATTTTCCGTTTTTTTTCCAAGTAGGAGAGAACAACAATCGGTGTCAGAAGGACAACGAAGGTGAGTATCGTGATCATAGCCCGAAACGTCGTCTGGACCATATTATCGTCGAAGGTATACAGAGTCCCTTGCTGGGGAAGCTCGATTCTCCTCCCCCCTGCTGCCGTCTATGAAGATTGTCAGCCATGAGGATGTTGGTCATGCTTTTCTCGGAGGTACCCTACTCACCTTGGTGAAAAACCGCCATGTCAGACGTTCTACAAGCCTGTACATCCGGTTCTTTGGGATTCGATCTCGATCTAAGGACACAAAGTCCGCATCATCGGCATCGTCCCCTGTGAGTAGCCGCTGTATCGGCGTATCGGCCTTTGCCACATTAACTATGTACTGACGGAGGTCCGATATGGAGATCTTCTCGGCTTGATGAAGCCCTGAAAGCTGCGAATACTGCAGAAGGGCTGCATCTAGAAGAACATCAGTGACTGGATATTGACAGGAGGGCCGTGACTGACTGTATCGGTGCAGCTTTTCGGCAACTAACTCGCCCGTAGAAACAGCGTCGGAGCTGCCAGACGCCTTAGCCTGGACGAATTTCTTCTCCAACTCGAAAATTTCGGCCTGCATCTTGAGAAGTATCTCAAGGTTCAACGTTGAGAATCGCCGAAATAACAAAAACGACTTGTCCTGGGCCATAAACGTCGCGAGCTTATCATAAACATCATCGCCATCGTGGCCGATCAACGGGGACACCGGCTGCGTCTGTGGCCCGTTATTTCCGCCCAGGGTCTCGTTGACTGACACGGTAGCAAGTGGCCTCGAGCTCTGTGCTCCGCCATGATCTCCAGAGGTCACGGGCAAAATTGGCCCAGGAGAGGGAATGTTCGTCGTGGGGACGGTTGTGCTGTAGCTGGTTCGAGCGCCGTAGGTGCGGTCCCCCTTCCGACGAAGGACCGCTTGTGTCCTTCCATGTACCAGACAATGAGCTTCAAACTCGACTCTTTAGTTGGTCAGCAAGGTGCTTTCATGAGATGCGCATGGCCGATGGGGCTCCTCTACTCGTCGCGGAATGTCCGATGAGGACAATGATGACAGACCAGATTGTCTGGCATCGTGCTGTTTTGAACACTTCTATTGCTCCTGGAGGAAGGTGAGAGAACGTCTCAGGACTAGAGCACTGCTTTGGATCATTAAATACACTTGGCATTTTGAAGCGGGGGACTCAGTCTCAGCCGCGCTCGTATCAAAGCCATGAGCCGGGCTAGTCAGCCTCATTTAGGAACTGCCGTGGGCACAGCCACTGTGTCTTTCCATATTTCAGTGCCTCCGAGTCCCCGCGTCTTGGCTCAACAAACATGCAAGTGTCCGGATCCTCCAGCACAATGGAATGCGCACATTGCCAGAAGACGTTCCAGGAAAGGTATGTCCGGGACTGCAAACAGTGAGGCCCACCGTATACTTATCTTGTACTGCAGTGGCCCCTTCAATGAGCATTGCGAAGAGCATAAGAAAGTACAACGTAAGCTTCAGCGTCCAGCAACGCGAACGTATGGAGCCCGTTATAAGCCCGGTCAACATGCGCCGCTCCAGCATTCAACGACGAAACAGTCCTCTAGAACTTCAGATTGCGGCGAGGAGTCAGAAGAGGAAGCACGCCGTGCGAAGGAGAGCGAAGATAATACTGCATCGGGCTTAGACCCGCGGATCGAGTTCATCATAGAGCGATTCGCGCCATATGATGGGATGGGCATGGCACAAGACCGTCCTACAGACCGCGAATACTCGTGCCCTGACTGTGACTTCAAATTTCGAACGTTGTATGTATCTGATGCAAGATCATATGCTGAAGCGACTGGTTCACTCACGCCTCCCTTGTAGGAAAGATCGCGACGAACATCGCCTATCCCGATTCTGTCGAGGATGCCACGTCAAGGCCTTTGTCATATTGAATGATCAGTGGGTTTACCATAACAGACAGCTAATGCGTCTCGATTGCAGTTGTACTGACTCAGTCCAGCTCTAAGCCCACTGGATATAGGATTGAGAATGTGCTACTCCCTCTTGACTGGAAGCTGTACAAATGGGAGAGCGTGTGCAAGAAGTGCGGGCAAAGCTTTCCCTCTGACGCGGATATGAAACAGCACGAGCTCACACGTACGTCCCGCATGCAAGGAATAGTTAGAAACCCTGGCCTGCCGAGTTAACATGACTGTCAGATCCGATCAAGCCATCGAGATGTCTTCATTGTAGCAAAGTTTTCAGCACTCCGTACGTTGTCCCAATCTCCTGCAGTGCCAGTGTTTAATCTTTCTCAAGCTATGAACTGGAAGACCACTACGAGTGGCATGATGATATGGAGTACCGCATGCAGCGCGACAACGCCCTCAGGAACGCCGCTCCCAGTGACACTGACAGGGACTATGGTCTGATTTTGTACCGAGCTTTGGGTACTTCGCTGACTTTGACATGATAGACGAGATTTATATACCGACGAAGACTACGGATCTTGGCCACGGCATTCTGCATTGTCCCGATGGCCATCCTCATCGCCTCCCACCGCGTGGCGACCGTCAGATTGTGGGACTAAGTTTTATAAGCGCCGAGGACATTGAAAATCGTATATAGTCTCTATATAATGTGGACTGGATACGACACGGTTGCTAACGTCCATAGATTACGCTCCTCAAGGGAAGTTCAAGATTCCGGACGGCGGCTACCTGTCAGTTCCTCCATGGGTGTCCGATAGCATGATAGACGAGGCGATGGAGAGTAAGTCTAGTCTCAGAGGGCCTATTGAATATTGTTTCCTAATAAGCGCACGTTAGAACTGCACTTGGGGCGCGAGCAGCAAGACAAAATGCGCATTCCGCTAAAGACAAGCGAAGACGAAGACCACTCTGCAATTGTTATGGTGAAAGGTCACGGAAGACCTGGAGCAGGGCAGGTCACCGATGCATCCGGCAGAGTCAGATGGTTGGAAGGTGACGGATATGGTCAGCTTATGCAGTTCCTTGTAGGCGGAAATGAGTATGCCAGCTATATGAAAAAAGCAATCGCTTTGCAGGCAGACAGTGACATCAAAGGCGCATTGCACTTTTACCTCATGGCATTGAATGAGGCATCGACAAAAGCCCGGATTGAGAAAGACATGGATGAATACATTGCCTTGACAAGCGTCGGGGGTTGCTATACCCGGTTGCATGATTTCGACAACACAGTCGACTACAACATCCGCGCACTCTGCCTGGCGGAAAGGCTACTTGGGAAAGACAACCCTAACCTCTTTTTGAGGATAAATGACCTTGCAGTGGCCTACGAGGAACATGGATTGCTTCACGAGGCTCACCATCTCTATCTTCGTTCCTTATCTGGGAAAATGAGAAACCTCGGGGAAAGCAACGCGAGTACTCTGATGACAATGCAGGAGTTAGGAAACATAAAGCGGCTTCTGAATAATCTACAGGAAGCCCAACTTCTGCTCGAGAGGGCATATCTCGGATACGAGAATCTGCAAGACCCAAATGAAGAGATGGCATGCGGCACTCTCTTCAATATCACTGCTGTCTACAAAGAAATCGGTCTGGTCAATGAAGCAAAGGCACTTCTGGAACAGACGATTCCCCGTATGCAGCAGGAACTTGGTTTGGCAAACCAAATCACCGCTGGCTCCATTTACAATTTCATCCTCATGGAACAGACTTTCATTCCAGCAGCAATACTTGCGATGATACAACAGATCCAGGAGAAGCGGTATGAAACCGGCCGGCCCGTTTTGGAGTTGCTCGCGCGACATTACTACAATACGCATCAGATTCGAAAGGCAGTTGGGCTAATGAGAACTCTCGCGGAATGGGAGGGAATGGATATAGACCAATCTATGTCATATCTCAGTCTGGCTGGAGCGTGTTACTCGCTTCTGGATGACTTTGACGAATCTTGCGAGATGTACGAATTGATGCACGAAAGAGCGGCTCTCACTGTCCAGTCACAGAGACAGGCTCTTCGTGACAATGTTAGAATGTGTATTTGGAATATTCGCTCGAGACAGCAGCAGCTCCTGGACGAACGACTGGCATGGGGACTGGATGAACCGCGGCCGTGTGTATGCAAAAAGCAAACGACGCGATTGTGCTCAGGCAAGTGCTACACGTTCTCCGCATCATATCTCCCATCGACTAACCACTTTCTATCCTGTATCAGTTTGCGGGCTTATGCACTTCTGCACGCCAGCATGCGAAAATGACCACGCCCATGAGTGCCGTCCAACGGTCACACCCAAGCAACAACGCAAGGGAACTTTCGAGACCGGCTCCGTACCATCATCCTTAGAAAAGCATCTTTTAAGGCTCTTCGCCCAGGACCCAATATTTGCCAGAAAGCCAAAGCCCCTGAGGGCAGAACAAATTTTCCTGAATCCCGAGGGCTTCGCGACCTTCCGGATCTGGATGGACCCTACCAAGCTCATCTCGTTCAGCTTCCCTCCATCAGCTGATCTTCGATGCTGGATAGTAGAGTCCGATGGAACTAAAGTATTTTGGACTACCCAGGAGAAATGTTCTGATTGCTATTTCTACAAGGATATGGGGAAAAGGTATCTAGTTGTTGCACCAGGCGCTGACATGATGACCAGGATTGTTAAGCATTATAGACGGGATACCGGGATGGGTGAAGATGCGTGCCAGGTTCCGGGAAGAGATATTCAAGAATACTTGCAGGTCAACGAGGGACGTGGTGGTGGGACAGCTATGCTGGCGCTTGTTATGGTCTTATGGGAGCAGTGAGACTATATATACCTCTGATTTTTCGTGTATGAGGGAGGAAGTGTGCCTTGGCTTATAGCCGTGGGTCTATTCCAAGGAGATGAGTAATCGTCGGCTGTATAGTTATATGTTAGGAGTGATATATTATATCTTTTTTCAGTAACCGAAGTCCCTTTCTTGTGGTATATCTTGGTTGGCTTGCTTCTTTGCTCCTCCTGGTATGCTAGAAGGCCACCACTTATCTGCAGTGGAACCTACTCAACCATCTTTGCTGCCACATGCAAGACTGGTAACTAGAAATCTGGTTAATGACACTACAGAGACTCTTCTCGTCGAGTTTACCGCCGCACATCTCCAAGTTACCTCCTCTGTAGACTGTATGGTTCGAGTCTCCTACATTGATCTGATGCCGGCCGCTCCAGATCCGTTCTCACCCCAGCCCAATCCCATGGTGACCGGACGGGTCAAAAGGAGACCCTCGGCGGCTAATGCCAATCGCCCATTTGTTAAATGAGGATCTCATGTTGCGGCATCAGCCTAATGCAGCAAGGCTGACTTTGGGTATGCTCGAAAGTACAGCGCTAGTCTATACAAGTTTAGTGTAATCATCTACTTTTGCGGCGCAGGTCAGACATAAACCCCCTCTCCCCCCCCCTTCTCGTTCTACTTGGACGATTCCTACAATCACTCGGACAGTTACGGCTCTGGAACATCATAAAAGTTCAATTCGATGGTCAACATGGCCAAAGGGGTGCTGAACAGGTACGCCCTGGAGGAGAACGGGATCACATTCAATCGGGAAGTAGTTGGATCGACTGGGCTGCGCAAGATATTGGGTAAGCAAGCCGAGATTCTTGCTACACGCCTCCTTGATTTTCGCAGGTTTGCGCCTCAAGAACGGGCGAAGGTACTAGGAATCCGATTCTTCTAAACGGCAATGTTGCTTACTTTCGAATTCAAATAGACTCTGTGTTGTTACGCCCAGAAGATTGTCGTAGCCTCAGAATCGCGCTGGATGGACTTTGTGAAGACACTCTTTGAGCCAATGATAACGCGAGCGCGCAACTTTGAAGGCGCAACTACGATTGGGATTAGGGAATTCGAAAAGTCTCTTCGAGTGTCAGTGACGTTTTATAACCGCAACGCTCGACTTATTAATTTCTAACCACTTCTCGTGCAGCGACGCGGGAGGTGACTATATCTGGGATGCTGCTGACTCCGTGCGGTCGGCAACAGCGCCGTGGGATGCACAAATGCTCACACGACCGAAGCCCGATCTTTTTATATCCCTTCCAACCATCCAGGCGCATAGAGCACCCAGAGGATTCGCACGGGAGCCCGTTCTAGGGACTTTCCGGGCCGATAGATTACAGTTGCTGGAGGAGACGAGGGGCGTGGTATCTAGCCCACTGAAACTCATTGGGGACAGAATAGTAGAAGCAAAGGATTGCCTTTGTTTCCCATGTGTGGTCCTTGAAGCGAAGCATCACAAGGTCAGCCAGGCAGAAGTGGAAAAATGTCATTGTCAGGCTGCGAACGGTGCTGCAAGCGCACTTGCTTTGCTTAATAATCTTACTATCGATTGCCTTGAATCCGGTGTCAAGACAGACATGCGGCCCGTGGTGATCATCACTCTGAACGGGCAGCGAACACGTCTTTGGATAGCAGGGATCAAACAGAGAAGAATCCTTCAAGGGGATGATTCAAACGACAGGGACTACGACGTGCGAGAGTGGACCAGGGTAAGATATGTATGTCTCCAAACCCCTTCACGCCGTCTTATAATTGAAGAGCAACAAACATGAAAGGACTGACCGTTATCAGCATATGCAGTGTATTTGGAAGGGGGATGTGCACTTTGAAGAGTCGATGATGGAGCTTATATGCATCATCGACAGCCTGGAAAAATGGATCATTGATGATTTTCGTCCATGGGTATCAGGTAACTTGGACAGACACTATCGAGAGATGGACCTGGAAGTTGAATATTATGGAGCGGGAGACTACAGCTCCGACGAAGAGGAGGCTAGTAATGACCGTGAGTATAGCGCCTCGGAGACCTGTGAGGAGTACGAGGCAACGGAGGACGGGGAAACGGATGAGGAAGAGAAGAAATGGGATAAGGACTGGATAGTCCCGGAAAGCGAGGATTCCGAATCTGAACTGGACTCCGACAATGAAGATTATGATGAGTATGTGCAGGATCTAGCTAGAGCGGACAGTCTCATGGCGGAGGTATGTGTCTGTCTTCCGCTTTCTCCTCGTCGCCTGAAGGAACTAACCTCGTCAGCTCTCACTGAACGATTCCGCTAGGTTGGCTAGGGGTGTCCACCGGTTCATCGAAGTGCGGAGGGAGTTAGAAGTATAGCGAAGTTGTTTGATGCAGTACCGTAACTTAGAATTTCCTGGTTAGATTGTCACTTTCTGCTGCTTCGAGGTACTCTATGCTCGTTCCTGGACGACGGAAGACTCGCTCATGCGGAGATCCAGAATTATCCGCTGTCGCATGGGCAAGTGAGTAGTTTCAAGTGTCAAGCCCGGAGGGAAGATAACAAGAATTTGAGGCTATCCTCAGCATAAGGACAGTGACCTTATTCTGGACGTCTCAGTTTGTATAGCAGGGTTTACCTTATGGGTGGATGAATCTAGCCTTATTAAACACGGAGGAATCTCCACGAGACGTATAAAACCTCTGTTAAATTGATGAATCGTGAGTTTTTTGGGACTTTGACTTGGAATATATGAACTTTTTCTAGAAAAAAGAAAAAAGAACGAATTGATGTTCCCTAACAACCTATCTCATGATCTAACTGTACGAGTGGACTATGATTTGTATGTAAAGGATAATAAATCTTTGAATTTAATATAGACAAGCAAACTAGTTCTTTATTCCTATTCCTTTGAATATACTGATCGAATATCTGATCAATTGTCTTGGCACTTTCCTTGGGGATCCTCTTCTGGTCATTCTCATAGCAACGTAGGTCACTCCAAACCGGGTCTTGTAGCCTTCCGCCCATTCAAAGTTACTGCATCATCCATAGGTTAGCACAGTGGGATCAACCTGTATCCACAAAATAGACTTACTCCATTAAACTCCAGCCCATGTAAGCTCGTACATTGACACCGTCCAATGTATACGCATCCGCCATAGCCCCGATATAGTCCCTAAAATATTTGGTCCGGAATTCGTCCTTGAGCAGCTGACCCAAGGGCAGATCGTTCTCTCCTTTCAGACTCGTGCCGTTCTCGGTCACGTAGATCTTTGGATGGCTGTATCGATCGCTGAGCCATTTCAATAGCTTCCGGAACCCAATGGCACTGGGTCGAAGCCAGGGAGATTGCGTCTCTGGACCGATAAACGCCCCATTCTTGTTTTGTAACAAAATCTCCAAGTTCCCCGCCGTGTCGTTTGGGTCGGGCTCGCCTGTTTTCGCCTTGATGAAGTTGGCACAGTAGTGATTCATCCCATAGAAGTCGTTGCTTCTGTGTACGAGGGCAATATCTTCTGGTGTCCACTTGGGCAGTCGGTCCCCTAGTTGTTTGACCATGCTGTCGGGGTATTTTCCGTGGTAGATGGGCTCGGCGAACCAGGAAATGGCAAATTCAATCTTCCTGTCACACGCTTCGACATCTGTCGGGTTTTCTGGATCCCATGGCTCGGCCCAGTCACCTGGGTAAGATGGTCAGAATTCAATCTAAGGGCTTGGATACGAGAAATATCTCACCGTTTAGAGTGATACCGATCTCACCACCATCGGTAGCCTTGAACTAATCCCTATATATTTTGACAGCCTTTCCATGTGCCACGAGTAGATTGTGTCCGACAATCCAAGGTTCTGTCGAGCCATCGCCCACAGGGTTCCGCGAGCGGTCACTTGTTCTACCCGGAGCAAACTATCCCACGTTGTACCCAAGGACACTGCTGCACCAGGATTCGTTGAAGGTGATCCAATGTTTTACTTTGGGACCGAACGCTTTGGGGGGGATGCGGGCATAGTGGGCGAAGTCCGCAACAAACTCATCTTTATTGGGAAGACCGCCATACCGCTTCTCAAGTTCATCGGGAAGATCCCGATACTATGCGCGCGGCATGCAAGTCATCAACAAACTTGATATAATGCTGCAACCATTTTTCATTGATAGGATCGTTTCGACCACCGAGAGGGATAATCCGAGACCTAGAAGTGCTATGGTAAGTACGCATGAAGTTTCTACTAAGGTACGGCTGTTTTCACCATGGGATTGAGAAGCGGTAGGCATTCGCACCGCATTCTTTCAGCAAGGCAATGTCCTCGTGGGTGCGATGATACGAGTCACAAGCCACGTCCCCGGTAACACCACCTGCTATTTTTCCAGGAATCTTGCAGAAGGTGTCCCAGATGGACGGGCCCCGTCCATCTTCCTCCACGGCCCCTTCGATTTGGTAACTGTTCGGTAGAAGGTCCTGTTAGCCTACCAAAGTGGTACTCAAACACAGCGGTGAATAGATCCGACTAACCTGGCCGTTGCGAACCCCCAGAGGAAATCTGACGGAAGAGTAGATGTCGTTGTGGGATCCATGGCCACTGGTGTTGAGAAGCGTGTGTGAAAGTGAATTTATCTTCTTAACTGACACGTAGAAATAAGGAGACCATTGGGTTCTCCAACATCTGTTCCCTCGAACAAACCCAGGCCAACATCGTGGAGGACATCGTGGAGGTGGATGGCCGATATTTTACTCCTCTCTGACTCTGACGTCTCTCCGCAGAGGATCGAATGATGGAGGGGAAGCGGGGTACAGACACAACAATCAATAGCAGGAGTAAGATAGCAACGGGAAATTGAATGGAACGGCACTTCATTGACAGGCGAGACGACGAATTAATACGGACACCAACCGTTCCTGGCGGGGCAAATGCCGTTGGCCTGGATTGGGAATAGTCGGGCCACAAGATTCCTATATATTTGATAGTTATCCAAGGAGGAATTCATGGAGGTTTCTTTATAATAGGAATTGGTGATTCTGCAATTGGATCTAAGAAAACCCCATCAAAATCTTTGTAAACTCTCTATGACTATGATCGATGTGTTGCTTGGCTCCCATAAACCCCTTTCCTTTCATCCAAGAGCAACGCCATGACAGATACAGATATAGACAGACTATCAATGAATATATCAAACACACAGAAACAAAAAAAAAAAAAAAAAAAAAACCATAATATCGTAAATTTCTCTTAAAACATCCCCGAAATTATCCGTGCATTCCCCACAGCTCATGACATTTCCATGGCTTCGATGTCATCTGCCTCTAGATCATCCGCCTCCTCGGCCATAGTGCCTGGGACAGCCAACTGTGGAGGCTTGGAATCTCGACCTGGGCCAAGAGCGTCGGATCCAAGCGCTCCCACCAATTCTAACTCGGGCCCGGCAATAACGCGACCCTCCATATCAACCACCTCACATAGCTGGATCAAACTCTGTCGACTGAGAGACTTGAAACCGTCGGTCCGCACAACCCGACCCCAGTTGCTGAGACAGAATTGGGCGGCCCGGCGCATCAGCCATCCCTCATTTGTCCGACCGGCTCGTTCCCAAATGATCGCTGCGTTCTCTACATCCAGCTCGCGGCTCAATCGGTTGACACATAAAAGGCGCAATTTGGGCATGTCGTATAGATTCGCCATGACGAGCATGCCCGCGACGTCAATGATGTCAGGGCAATGCTCCGGATGACCCGAAATGCTGTCCGTATACAAATAGTAGAGGAACGCGCGGACCACAGTGTAAGGCTCGGGAATGTGCATTCTCTTGGAATGATACTCGGCCATTTGCGCGGAATAGAGCCGTTTAAAATGACCCCATCTCAGCTGCAAAATGATCCGGTGCACGTGGATTGGAGGGGAGGTGGGTACGCCAGGAGAAAGGAAGGCTGGCTGTGATCCTGGCAGAGCAGCAAAATCCCCCAGGTCATCTGATTCCACTTGGTCATCTGCGTTGGCGGTGACTATGAAATCCGCACCACTGCCCGATTCTGGTGCTTGGTCAAACACAGCCAGGAGGTCGGAACCTAGGCTGGACAAAAATAGAGGCTCCGGCCCTTCAGACAGCTGTGCTCTACTCTGATCAGGCGAGAGAGCTGTCATTTCATTTCCCAGTAGGCCATACCTCTCCAAGTCGATGCATAATACATCGCTCATATGATTCTCATCACCAGTGCCTGGAGTAGCGCCAACATCGAGATTGCAGCCAAGAAGCCACGCCTTCGTACCACTGGCATTGACAGTACAGTAATGCCATCGATAGCCGGGCTTGAAGATTTCCTGGCCATCTGCTAATCTTTGCCAGCGTAAGGAATCAAGCTCCAAGGATGAAAGATTACACTCGTAAGTGCGCACTGTTTCTGACGGAGTGATCAGATCGAGGAGAACCCCTGATGCATAGGCGTGGAAGTGGGTCCCAGAGAACAGTGCCGGTACGTGGGGACCAGACGTGAATCGAAGACAAGATATGGCACCTGGAGCAATCGGCTTCCGCCGGTTGGAATTGCGAACTTGGACGCTTCCCGAATTTGCCGCATAGCTACTGGACCGGCCAGGCAGCTGCTGTGATGGACTACTAAACACTCCGTCTGGACTATGAGTTATCCTGCTAAGTGTCGCGGGGGGGAATCCACGGTACCTTGCGAAGCAGTCATTCCAAGCGATGGAATGCCTTTGAGGTCGAGCCACCAAATGTCTGTCGTGCGCTCCATATCTGGATCCAGGCCCCCCAAATATCCAAAGGCGACCACCCCAGACCCAGGCGATATGATCAAATCGGGCGGTAAATCTCCACGTACGAGACCATGTCCAAGTCCTGAGGTCGAGGTACGACAGTTCATCGAGGATGACGTTGTTCTCTCCGGTGACACCCCCTATGATGAAAAGCTTTTCATCGTAGATAACGGCAGCATGGCGAGCCCTTCCTCGCGGTATCGGTCCACGGATTTCCGGCTGGCTCCAAGTGGAAGTGGGGATGTCCAGGATAACTACATCTGAAAGATATTCGCGGTGTTCATTCTCTCCACCAAAAACAACAAGCTTATCACCTTGGTAAAGAGTGGCAGTGTGCCCTAAGATGGTTGAAAAGAGAATACAAGGATTAGCGTGAATGAACGAATCGCTTTTTTCAACAACGTTAGGGATAGCAGGACCTACCCATACGCACCCCCGGGATATCTCCATAGTTATCCACAAGCTCCCATCGTAGAGTATTCAAATTTAGTCTGAGGACATGATTATAGACTGTTTCTGGATGTTAGAACCAGGAACTATTTGGGGTCGCACACATATATGGGACAGGCAAGCTATAGACCTTCATCTGTATACTGATCGAACCCACCAAAAGCGTAGATTTGATCGTTGTTGCAATATGTCACTGAAGCATTGACCAGGCATGCCGGAACATGACCTTGTGCCTTCCTTATACTGGGACGGTAGTCGGTGCTACCCCGGCGACCGCTTGCACTAGTGGGCATGAGGAATGCGCGGTCCAGGTTTTGCAGATCGGAAGAAAGGGGAGTCATCGGGTGTGAGACTCTCCCAGACCAGATAGAGGGTGGGTCCGAGTGGAATTGTGAGACCACCGAAGCGTTACTATTCCGGGCAGTAGTGGATGTTGGTTGCCGCGCCATCAGGGGGCCCGAAAGGAGAATGCCAGCAGGACAGACAAGTTATCGAAAGGCACAGGCGTTTAAGACAGGAGGAATGACGATAAACAATTTTTGGAAGACAAAGATGCAAATGTCTTCACATGATAGCCAGCAACACAAAGCACTTCCGATCTTTGCCGGTTCAGCCGCCGTGGCGAAGAAAAAAAAAAAAAAGAGAAGGACCGGAGCCAAGACCGATCGACACCAGAAAAAGAAAGAGCCTCATGTCAGGTGGCAACCTAGCCAGATGTGGTTAGCGCACCCGTACCTCAGGTAACCGTTGCCATGGGAAAAAATGATGGAACTATACCCTCTATTTATTCCCCCAGCTCGGTCGCCTCCCATCCACTCTCTTTCTTCTCTCTTCATCGCTTTCTGTTCTCGTGGTATATACTATTTTCTGCATATTGTATTGGCCTTATTTGGCCCCAGCTTCTTCTACTGAGCTCTTTATATTGCTGCATCTTAAGTCCTTACTTGGTCTGGAATCTGTTCCATCGAATGTCTGACACTGATTCCACAAAGAAAACCTGAAAGTCTCTCTTGTCTCTTTCCTTCTTGCTCCCATTTCATTCTCACCTGCCGGTATATTGGTTTTTTGGGTAGCGAGCCTTATCACATATCATGGCTACTCCCACCGTGTCAACTCCGGTGAAAACCCATCATGGGATCTTCTCTAGCAAGACTGCCGGTGGTCGCATGCCTCTAACACCATCGCCCCGTCCTCGTACTGGCAGTATGGCCTCCAACCACTCATCTCCATTCACTCCCCCTCGCCAGGCGACAGAAGCAGGCAGGGATCAAAACCGGACTATCTATGGCGGCAACCTTTCCTCATACTTTGCCAAATCTATACCTAAGTCTTCCCGAGCCTACCGCGAGTCTCCCAAATCCAACATCGCTCGTATTCGCAAATCGCCTCGTCATTTGGAGGTGGGTGTTTCTGACTGGTCATTGACCGGTACTGGACCCTCATCGAGCCAAACTCCGTCCAAGGAGAGACTGCGTAAAGAGACCCGGACGAGATCTGGAAAGACGACTGTTCGTATTGCACACAATGCCGGAGACCGGTTCATCCCCAACCGTTCTGCAAGTGAGGGGCTGGCCACAGCGGGAACAGCCAAACCGGAAGAGAACCACAGGCCTAAGTCTAGCAGCAACGAGGGCTCGGCTGTTCTCGCCAGTGCTGCTAGTGCCTTTGATATTGGTGGTCGTGGAGCCGACGATGATATCACTGCAGCTCTGGAGAACCTGGGTTTGGAGGATAGCGAGACGTCAACGACTTCGTATACCAGACCAGCACCAGATGCGGTTGCTTATGAGTCGTCCTTGGCTGATGCATGTGGCGTAAATCTGAATACACGCATCCTGGCCTTCAAGCCACCGCCACCAGAGTCCTCCAAGCCGATCGATCTGAGGGCGCAGTATAATCGTCCCCTGAAGCCTAGCAAATCCCAGTCTGCTCAATTCCGCAGAAGGGTTCAAACGGCGCCGGAGCGTGTTCTGGATGCACCTGGTCTTCTCGATGATTACTACCTCAATTTGCTGGACTGGAGTTCTGGCAACCAAGTCGCCATCGGCCTTGAGCGTAATGTTTACGTGTGGTCCGCTGACTCTGGGTCTGTGAGTTGCTTACTGGAAACCTCACCCGATACGTATGTCAGCAGCGTCAAGTGGAGTGGCGATGGTGCTTACGTCGGTGTTGGCTTGGGAACTGGCGAAGTACAAATCTGGGATGTTGAAGAAGGCAGCAAGCTTCGGAGCATGTTTGGGCACGACTCGCGTGTGGGCGTCATGGGGTGGTCGAAGCATACTCTGTCTACAGGTGCACGCAGTGGCTTGGTATTTAACCACGATGTCCGCATTGCCCAACACAAGGTAGCTGAACTAGTCTCCCACACTTCTGAAGTCTGCGGTCTCGAGTGGAGACCGGATGGTTCGCAGATTGCCACTGGTGGAAACGACAATTTGGTCAACATCTGGGATGCCCGATCGCTCAGCGCACCCAAGTTCACCAAGACCAACCACCGTGCCGCCGTCAAGGCTCTTAGCTGGTGCCCCTGGCAGCTGAACTTGCTCGCCACTGGTGGAGGTTCATATGATCGACACATTCACTTCTGGAACACGACCACCGGGGCTCGGACCAACAGTATTGATACTGGCTCACAGGTCACCAGCTTGCGGTGGAGCAACCACTATCGAGAAATTGTCAGCTCCAGCGGATTCCCTGACAACTCCTTGAGCATCTGGAGCTACCCAACCCTGGTGCGCAATGTGGAGATTCCAGCTCATGAGACCCGTGTGCTGCACAGCTGTCTCAGTCCTGATGGTCAGTTACTGGCGACAGCAGCCGCTGATGAGAGCCTGAAGTTCTGGAAGGTCTTTGAGCGCAAGCCTGGTACCAGTGCCTCAGCCTCGCGGGAGGGTGGTGTTGGCAGTAAAGCCCAGATGGCGAAGTCTATGACCATTCGGTAGGCTCGAGCGCTCCTGGGAGGGAAGTCGTAATTTATTAAATTTGTTTCGGGAATGTTTTGACCTTGGGGATATCGCATTACTCGGATTCTGATCTCTATCTATCTTGGACAGGGCGTTTTCGGGAGGAGTAATGGCAGTCGGCGTTGTATTTATTGAATATGATAGTACACAGTAACACAGAGCGTGATTCTTGTACAGGAATTCTAATAACATGGCGTTTTATTGGCCAGGGGAAGGACCATAGCACGATCTCTTTTATACTGACTAGATAAAGAAATCAACTTCTTTCTATGGCTGAAGTTAATGCGGGAGGTGACTAAGCGGGCGGTAGCAGGACGATTTCGCCGGGAGAGAGCGACTTTCACTTCAACCGAATCCCTCTGGCTCGCCTTGTCGGACTCCCTCTCCTTCCACCCTACGTATCTCCCTTGATCAGCGCCTGTTTCACGCCTGTTCACATCCGCTTTCAATCTATAGGCTAGGACAGAGTCACTATCTACAGATCCCCCTCCCACACTAGGGTCGGTAGACTGTCGCAATTCGCCCGTGGCAATCAACCGCTGCGCCGAGGATCTCTTCGCTCGTGACCACCACCTTTTCGGACTGGATAGGTTTCTCAATCAGTTTTATTGTTTATTTCTGAGACAGAACGGAGATCTCATCTGTCTCTCGTTTCTCTTTCACCTTTCCTCCACGAAAACCCTCTACGAGCCCTGGACCTAGCAACCATGTCAAACCAGCAGGTGGTGAGTGCTACCTTCCAAACTCGCCACGGGCGACATTTTGGTGATTGGGACTGTGGTTCCGTGGTCTTTTTTCTTTTGCCTACCTCTTTATTCTAGTTTCGATTTCATTCAGCAGGCTCTCTTTGTCAGGACGTTGGCTCATACCAGGTGAAATCACCTCACAGGGCACGGTTTTCGATCGCGTCATCCAGGAAGTCTGCGATGCGTCTCAAGTGGATTTCGAGGAGAGCGGAGTGGACCAGCAGACGCTGGCTGATTTGCGCAATGTAAGTTGAGATGAATGCGTGGTGGTGTTGAAGTCCTTTCTCTCTTGCCTTGCCTTTCTTTTTCCCTCTCCCTTGGGCTAAAGCGGGGTCTGAGAGTTGCGGGAGGCGGCAACGGGCAAACCGCCTTTCTGGGGGAACCGCCTGCTTTTGAGTCTCTTTTATATTCGCCCGCATTTACCCGCCCCTTAGTCTGCCGCCAAGCCTACCTCAACTCTCCCTTCCTGACTGACTGTCTGTTTGTTGCGCAGAGCTGGCAGAAAAAGCTATCATCTTTGGGAGTCGCTCATTTCCCCTGGGATCCTCCCCCACCACAGCCGGCCCCTTCTCAGAACCAAAATCAGATTCTCCCTCCCACTGCGACCGTACCTTCTAATGCCCCTCGACCTACTCCCTCCTCCCAAACCCAACACCCACAACAACATGTCCCACCTCCACAATCAATGCCGCAGTCCATGCCAGGTACTGTCCCCCCATTGCAGGCTCCGACTCCCGTCGGAGCTGCCCCCAGTGGTATGACCCAGACACCTCAGATTAAGACAGAACCCGGCGTCGCTGGACATTCGGGCTTGCCTCCATTGAGTAACATGATGCCGGCAAATACTCCGAACCCACAATCCGCACGAGAACGTGCTGCCAGTATGCTTCACCAGAGGTATGGTGCAGCGGCGGCCAACTCCGTCAGTCAACTGCAGGCCCAATCGCAGGGTGCTTTGGGACTGCCGGGTCAGTCCCGTCCCCAGGCCATGCCGCAGGTATCAAATGGCCAGGGCCCACAGATCAAGCAAGAGCCAGGATACCCCCATATTCCTCAGACTCCCGTAAATAATACCCAGACCGACGGTGCTAACGACGATGCACTATCTGAATGGAAGGCAGAAGTGGCGCGAAGGCGAGAGGCCGCTGAGCGTCAGGGTGGCGAGGGCGACAGACTCCTTCGAGATCACCTAAGACGAAATATGCTTCGATTAGAGGGAGGCGGTCTCATGTTACCTTTGGATGAGCACCAGAAACGACACAGAGATTCTTCGCATAGCTTTACCTCTCATCTGGACGCCGGAGTGCTCGATGAGGCTGTGATTTCCAACGTTCAGTCGACTGAGGCATCTACATCTATCTCCAAGACCCCTCGAGCCCAGTTTGACGGCCCCGGGGGGGACGACGAGAAAGAGGAAGATGATGAAGATGCCATCAATTCGGACCTGGACGATCCTGATGACCTGGTCGCCGAGGATCATGACGCGGAAGATTCCGTTGGTCAGGTCATGCTTTGTACATACGATAAAGTCCAAAGGGTGAAAAACAAGTGGAAATGCACTTTGAAGGACGGCATCTTGACGACAGGCGGTAAAGAGTGAGTGTCTAATCCCATAGGGCCTATTCTGATGGTATCAGAGCATTTGCTAATGTTAATAGATATGTTTTTCACAAGGGCCAGGGTGAATTCGAATGGTAGATATGATATAACTGTCACCATCGTTGGTTCATATACAGGCACTTTATTTTCTCTGTTTTCATTCGCATTTCAATGTTCCCTGTCCCAATGACTTCGTCTTTGGATCTGTAAAAACTTGTTGATTTGTGTCACGTTTCATAAACAAGGAAACCCCGTTTATTCTCCCATGAGTTGACGCGAGCTGAAATACACTCAGTCAATAATTTTGTTCCATTAAGTACCATGCCAGGATGTCTATGCCCCAGGACTTTGATTTTCTTCATGTTCCCTTGCAGCTTTGGATGCACATGGCGCTTATTCAGGACGGTTTGACTTTCTCTCTTTTTTTTTTTTTTCCCCGGAAAGTGTACTAGAATAATCCAATGAACGAAACCCGATTTGTCTTAGTATTTCGACTACCATAATAATATAGCTTTTACTAAGATAGCCTTCTGATTTGGATAGAGTGCGAAAACTTGAAGGACGGACATCGATGTCTTTTCTCGACAAATCTCATGTTTCCCTTCCCTACAAATAACGGCTGTCCTAAACTTCACAAAGTAGTACTCGACTTATATGATTTGTCGTCCAGTATCTATACTAGAGACATCCGGAGCTTCTTTAATTTTAGTACCTGTAGGTAGAGGGAAGGGATGCCAGTTGTATAGAACTGGAAGCTGCGGTCATCACGCACGTCTATACCTAACTTTTAGCTGGGATGTCGACAGTTACGACAATACTAAGCAGAAGGTAGGCCCTGAACCAAAATCAAGGTAGATATATGAAGAATAATGTATTGTCCAAACTTTTTTTCCTTTTCAACTGAGAAGTAAGCTGAAGCCATGGGAATCAAACACAGCTAAATAAATCTATCAACAAGTCCAAAATATGTGCAGCCATACCAACTCCCGATTTCTCCGACAGCACCGTAAGCAAAGGGCAGCAAAGCGCAAGAAAAAAAAAAGAGGAAAATCAACTAAAAACCAAAGAGACAGCAGTAACAGAAACACCTTTGAAACATCTATCTTCAGGACGCCGAGATCTTTTCATTTTCACTCTTCTTGGGAGTACACCCACGCCTAGGCAATGCTCACACTTGCCCAATCGATTGTCCCCACTTTCCTTGCATCTAGCCTGACCGAGTTCCAACCATTGATATGGTACTTTTGAACCCATGCCTCTCAAAAACCCCAAGAACTTGTTCTTCAGTCCCGATTACTCCCGGTTGTAGACAGTTCCGAGGGAAGGGGAAGGGGAATTTAAACGTATTAAGCAATGTAGAACGGGCAACGCACTCGAAACCAGACGTTTGCATATCCCAAAACAATGTCAGACAAACAGGCATGAAATAGAAGAGGGGAAAGTAAAACAGAATGAGAAAAAAAAAAAAAAAAAAAAAAAGAGATTGGTAAAAAGCTCATATCAAGAAATGTATGAGTTCATAAATGACAAGTCATTTAAAGTCTCCCGGGTCTTGAAAAGGACTGATCTATTACCGAGCCAAAGCACGGGGATCCAAAAAAAAAAAACCGCGATTGACAGAACGTTCATGCCGAATTTAACTCCAAGCCACCAAACCGGTTCATTAATCGTGCGTCGCGACGAGGCCGTGAATAAAAAATATCGTCGAGTCGAATTATGTTGGAGGGAGAAGAAGTATAAATAGCTCGTCTGTTTGATAAGGAGACTATAGAAGCCCTTCCTCACCAATGCCAGGTAGGCCAGCTCCGGCAACGTTGATATTCTGTCCCTGCATGACTCCGCCACCAAATGCCATGTTCCGGCCAGCAGCAAGTTGGAAGTCAGGATTACATGGTGGAGAGTGCGATTTATGATACTTGAGGCCATTCAAATTCTTATAACGTTTGCCGCAAACTTCGCAGCGGTATGGTTTTTCTTTCTCCATACCGAGAGTGCCCGGGTATGGGGTCGATGTTTCTGGGTTGACAATTGAAAAGGTTCCGTCTGCGTTATCATGTAATTGTTGATTGTTGTGACCATGCTGACAGAGACGGTAAGCTATAAAGAAGTTAAGTACGTGGCGCGGTGACTTACAGCCTTGTGGTATTTCAACCCATTTTGGTTTTTGTATGCCTTTTCGCATCCAATGACAGGGCATCTGAAAGGCTTGGGCTCTTCATTTGGGAGCAAGGCCGTGGTATCGGGAACACCAGCCAACAGCTGCTGTTCACGAATTCGTCGAGCAATATCGCTATTAGGGCCGTATTGCGCACCACTAAGCTTGAAATGAGCATTAGGAGTGCTGATTCCTCCTGTTGGACTAAATAATCGTTTCGCTGGTTCATCGATACACAGATCCACCATATCGTTGTTAGCACCAGCGAACCTAGAGAACTGAGACTGGGCCTGCATCATTGGGTTGTTCTGCATCGACATATCGCCAAATGGACTGATCATACCGTCCTCGAGTTCTGCTGGAGTTCCCGGTGTAGACGAATCTGGTGTAGTTCGGAATTGGGAGTTCTGAAGTGGGTTGGCCATCAACGTGGGGGTATTTACGGAGGAAACGGTGGGGTTATTCTGAAGTGATAGGGGGCGTGCGGAAGCCACTGGTGTGCCGGGTTGCGAGCCTTTGAATCCCTGGTGGCTCGGTAGCATCGACAGGTTCAGCTGCGGAACTGTCTGGTTGGAGTTTCCAAACCCTCCCTGGTTGTTATCTTGCGAGGCACTAGAGAACAAATGTGAGGATGCGTCATCGGCATCACCCATCGGATCATCTAGTTCCATGTCGTCGATGGTATCCATATCCGAGTGTGGCTGCATTGGCTGGTTCTGGCTTAGTTTGCGCTGCATGTCCATGGACCTGTCCGGCTGCAGCCCGCGATTTTGGTTATTATTCTGCTGGCTCTGCTGTTGGGCGATCGCCGCAGCAGCCAAAGCAGCTCGACCATCCGCTTGACTCGGGCGGTGTCCCTGATGCGGGGACTTTGTGGCATGGGCTTCTTCATAATGTTGCAGTAAATCATGAAGGGTTGGCAGGGTCACATTACAGCACTGGAAATCTTTCATAAAATTTGCTTCCAGCTTAGGGAGATATGACGATGAATGAAACGAAGGTGACTGAATATGGAAGGGGGAAGTGCCGGTCATAAGGATACTAGGGAATTTGCCCACTATTAGTCTCCGTGACTAGATTCGCGTAGCATAGTTGGCGCAAATGGAATGTCGCTAAAATTCCTTGGACTAAGAGATCGTATACTCACTCGTCGCGTATCCAACTCCCAACAGAGATGCCACCCCAGCTCATCCCACCAACCAAGCTTCCAGCTAGGGACTCTCGACGCGGCTTGTCGCGACTGGCTCCAGATACCGAAATAGGTTTCGTGCCATTCCCCCAATGTGCAGGTGCTGCACCGATGGAGTCCTTTCGTGGAGGAGGGGCCTTGAATACACTGAGACCAACGCCATTTGCGTGGGCTATGCTACCTGTTCGTTCTCCATTACCAGCTCTCTGCAGGGCCGACGTTAGATTTGATGCCTGCTGTCCCGGGGGAGAGACAGAGGTTTGGCGGGTGGCGATGTCAATCGGAGCGGCTGCGCCGGTCATGGTTGCAGAGGTGGAGGATGTTAAAGAAAGGACAATCGTGAAGTTTCAAGAAGAGAAGGGATAAAATGCCGAAGTCGATGGACGGCGAGTGGCGGTCAAATCGTAAATGAATTTCAAAGGCGACCCAAGATGTTTTCCCTATCCAGTCCGCGCAACAGTACGCCAGACCTGAAAGGAGAGCGGTTACAGGATGGGGTCGACTCCCGACTAGAAGCGCGATTCTGATCTTCGATCGAAGGGAAGTGGTGAAGAGAAAGAGGACTCTGCGTCACTTCGGACGACTCGGGCATGAAAGAGTGGTGGTGGTTTTGGGTTCAGGGAGTGTCCGCCTCGGATGTTGTCCCACTTTGCTGCGGAAACCCTGACGGATTCGGGAAAGGTGGCGGCACGTAACAATATAATACCGATCGGATCAAGCACTGGGAGAAATCATGGACGGGGAGTAAGTAGTGCAGCTCTAAGAGGATGATGGTTGGAAGATATCCAACAGGGTCTGAGTAAGAGATGCAGAGGACGAGGCAACGGACGGAGGTGATGAGTACTCGAAGTAGAAGGACGGTCCAAGTGTACTAATTAATTAGTTAATTTACGAGCGACCTCCGAGAGCATGGAACATCAGCAGCACCGGTATTACCATGTATTACGGCAACAACGATATGGACTGTACCGTACGTTTAGTACCTCCCTACTTACCTAATCGATAGACTCTCCGGCAACTCTTGAAACGTCGGGGAGGACTAAATTAGTCAAACCGCCTCCCAACGGTATAATTTCGGTCCATATCTGAAAGGGCAGGGCTGTCTAATTACAGGGTTCAACCACCTCTTTTACGTCGTATGTATGTCTTAAAAGAGATCCATGGAAGGTCGGGTTCTTGGCGAACTACACACGACTTTCAGTTGGTGGGACCGTTAGTAGTGGTGGATTTGACACCGCTTGCAGACTAGTGGATTCACTAGTGTTTCCTCGAAAAATCGATGATGATGATGGAAGGTGGGCGATGGTCTTTCCTTTCCGTAGCAGGCGTCATCTTGTGCGCATCATACAATACATACGGTATGTATGTATGTATGTATGTATCCGTCTGGTATCATTAGGTCAACGCCGAGAGTAGGTATAATATGCGTGTACCGAGTACGTGTTCATTTGCTACTACTACTGCGTTGTTCTTGCAACGTTGGCACTGATCCCTTCGTTGTCATTATTATTCGTCAGTGAGTCTGACTCGACTGATGACTCGATTGTCTCCCTTTGAGTTGGCGGTACGGCATCTTTTTCAGACTCATCGGCTTATGCAGCCGATGGGCGAGTCATCCATGGTTCACATGGATATCTTACTACTCCTGACTTCCAATCGACGGGGTTTCGTATTCTCGACCCTTTTTGATCGGTACGTACGTATACTCCGCAACCTTATAGGCATGATAGGGGGAGATTTTATCTACAGGAGTAGCGAACTAGAGTACAGTAGACAGTCTGTAGACATGCGGTGCACACTCGCAGGAGCCCCCAAATATTACCCACACTGCCCCAAAATTGAGCGCACGACTGTTGAGTTCGATCTTCAGGGACTTGAGGAGACTGGAACATGAGAGAAATGTATACTGCAGGAGCCCCTTGTCTTTGGGATCAAAACGCTGCATCAAATGTCGAGGCTAGAGTTTCGGGTTGTTCAGCATGCACTCGACATTCTGATGTATCATCCCGCTTCATCGAGATTTTATATAATATTTCGCGATAGCTGGCCTAGTTATTCCAGATGACATCAACAGATGGAGGGGTTGTGGTTTAACCACGTAGGTGGTAAAGAAATTGGCGGTCTGGGCAAAGAACGGAGACAACATGGTCGGCACTATTTCGAGGCTAGCTAAGACAACATACACAAAGGTATCTGTACTTGTCATTGACTTGTATTAAATAGAACGGGGATGTGGCTGTTGTATAAGGAGAAAGCCCCTCAAAATTTAGATAGTTTAGATAAGAGAGATACCGACGTAAGAATGACTCTCTACCTATATAAACGATGATCAATTATAACTATTACTTACGAATAACACATAGCCCCCTTTATTCTCACCAATTATAATGTAACCATACTGGAATGTCGGTTGTCTTGGCTTTCGCGCTAGAAACACGGCAGAAGGATTTGGTATGGTAGTAGTGCGCTTGTATGCACCGCTCTACCCGCTTGAAATATTGGTCCTCTCTACTAGCTAGAAAGGTTAAGCAGGACTAAACAGTAAATGGTCCAACGTAGATTGGCTTTTATTACTATAGTTATGCAAAGTTAATCGTATTGGCGACGGATAATCATTGAGCCGCCACTCTCAGAGAATACTATTAATATATTCGAAGCTGAAACATCCTCGGCTGGGTTAGAACCTAATTTCTAATACCCATCGCCGGTGGGTTTTCTAGTGGGTTAAAACACTCCAATAGGTTGGCCATGATACTCTTACGTGAAGGAAAGGAGAAGTATTGGAAAGTAAACGGCCCGTACGGAGTCCGAGTCTACTATGTATCAGTATCATAAACACCTCCGTACAGACGGATACATCTAGAAGTTCTTTTCAAAGTTATCACAGAAATGAAAGGTGTTGAAGTATACGGCGGAATCGCGGGTCGCAATACGCAACATGTGCTTTTGTCTCTTTACACTTAAAGTAAGTATTGCTGTTAGATCTAAACGCCGACACGGAAGAATACTGGAGGGGTGGATCTCATCTCAGGGGCATATATACCTGTCCATCCACCTGTGTCTAGTTGCATATGACGTGCGAAGTACAGTCTTGCCTCCTCCTGGGGATACATCAGATATACAGGTAGTCGAAAAGATCTGTCCATAAAGACCCATCCACTGTCTTGTGATCCTTGTGCATACGCCAAGATGCAATTGAGTTCTATGCCTTCCTACTATTGGCTTTTCCTTCCCCTGATCGACAAACAAATGAAATTAAGCAGCATCTGTCTGTTTTTTAGTCTTTGGGTTATTGTTCTTCGTGATATGAGGTGATTTATGTCTACTCCGTACAGTTGACTCCCACTACAAAGTAACATCATAGAGCGTGGCATTTGGATCAGAAACCGCGCCTTTCAACATCGCAGTCATCTTTTAATTGCCCTTATTTTTCACTATCTTATGCCCATGGAGGTAGCTCATCCTAGTTACCTGACGATAATACCGCTATCACAAATATTGATTACCAGCTCGTCTATCCTACTACTTGAATATCTAGCTCCTATTGTCGAAGTCTCGCCACTCGGCTTGGATCATGTCCAGATATTTTGCATCGAATCTGCACTGACTTGAGCAAGATGGGATCAGCATGAGTTTCTTTGCTTAGATTTTATAATATCTTGTTTCTCGGAGTCCTCTTTTCTCTTTAATACTAGCTCTTGTTCAAACAGAGAGTGAATGCTACAACTGTGAAGAAAAGAGAAGTAGATACCTTTAAGAGTACTTCGTAAAATCTGATTATTTTTACATACTCGCGGAACAACTAATTGTTAAAAGCAGTAAAGTGGCATTTGGGGCTTGGTACTGTCTTAGAGTAGTTCATGGATTAGATACTTTCTGTTAAATCAGCCCATAGTAGTTGCATTTGAGGTACTAAATACAAGGTCTTCGAGGGGCTCAACTTACGATTTGTTTACTTGGCTCTGCTATATGTTCACGTACAAATAATAAAGATGAAGAATATAAGAAATTTCTTTTGACAGTTTAGTACATTAAACAAGTACTATATACCACAATTATAGAACAACTTCAGGCAGAGCAAAATACAATTATACTGCGTTGAGCTACCTCAACAAGAAGGTCAGTCATAGGAACGCAAACATGAAACACGTCAGACGTTAGTACACCTGTACAAGAGATAATAGTGAAGTTGGGTATTCAATGAGCACAAAGTGGTATAGTGGTGGCATCGAATGGTATGGTTAGTATTTTCAGGAGCATGGTCCAGTGGTGCTATCTTCCTTGTGGCCTGGTATCTCACAAGAGTTAAGAGTAAAAACATAATCATTTCAGCTCTTCTTTTTTCCCTCCTACCTTTTTGCACATTATGATTACGGTACTTAAGCTGCCACGGCTAAACAAATGGCTTCGCAAGACCACCACCCGACCGAGCAACCGGTACACTTATATCAAAAATGGGCTACCGGCGAATAGGTGCCATTATCACAGGTATGTTGTTACCTATACATATACATAACTCCAACATCTCCGCGTCTCTGAACATCCACCGCAGGATAGGTGCACGTAGACTCTAACATAGTCGCACTCCCTTGTGATCCCGCCATTTACGGCGGCGACAAAACTAGGATTTTATAAACTTTGAAGTCATATGCAGCCGCCGGCTGGGATACAGGCGCTCCTGTTATCGTGAAGATCCGCCGTCCCGGTAGGCAACCCTTACGTGGTACAGGGGATAGAGGTTTCTTCACCCAAACGACGGCACTGAGTCCGATTCCATTGAATATCGGAGCCGGGTTTCTGGATAACCTTTTCTGTTCTATTGTCTTTTAGGGGCCGAGGGAAATGACGTTGTCGGATATCGATAACCTCTGCCGTGAATTCGTTTGTGCTGCTTTCTTTATTGCCGGTTGTGGGTTTCCGGGTGTTCAGTTGCAGGGAGCACATGGGTATTTGATTGGCAGGTGGACATGCTACTTTTTTGATCTATTCAAGCGCCAGAGAAACTCCTGTACTCGTTTCATGACCGATCAGTTCTTGAGTTCCAAGGTATACATTGTTCTTTCGCACTGGGCCAAGATTTCAACTGACTCGGCTTTGGATAGACAAATCAACACTGATGAACATGTAGCTCCGCTGAACGACGAGCAAAATTCATACTTGATACTTTGGTCGCAGTTTGGAAGGCCGTTCCGTCTACATTCTGCATTGGCATGAAACTGAATTCAGTAAGCGAAGTTGCTGAGTTCGAAGATAAATGACCCAAGTTGGATTACGCCGCCGAAAAGGTATAAACTTTCTTGAGATTAGCGGTGGAGGTTATGAGGAACCCAAATTAAACGGGGAGTATTTTTTTTTTTTTTTTTCTTTTTGTTTTTGATATATTTGCTGAACTCGGTCTTTCTAGTTTGTGGGTGTTAGGGATCAAGACATATCAACAGGATCCAGAACCCCTTCCCAGAACCATTCTTTCGTGACTTTGCCGTTGAGGATCCCAACCTCATCGTCATGCTGACAGGCAGGCTTTGCAGTCGCTCTGGGGCTGTCTCTGCCATTAGAGAAAGATTGTGTGAACTTGTTGGGATTGGGCGTCCAGCGGCCATCAATCCGAGCTTCGCTCGGATGCTGTTAGATGAGACTGTGCCGGATGAAGAAGCATGACTATTCCTAAGCCAGGTTACTCCGCCAGCAATGCTCAAATTCTTTTCTGTAAATTTCTTGGAGTCTGTTTTGAGACAGTGATCATTTCCTGTTTTTCAAGGCCTACATCGATACTGAAAGGCATTAAACGCATGCCTTCGGATCCACATAGACGATGAAGTGCTTTTTCTTTGTCGTAGCGGTAGTAATCATTCGTGACTCATTGAAATGAAAAGCGGCCTACTGATATGATCGATGTCATCTCTCTCCTTGTCATTTAGACGTATACCGGCAGAGAATTAGATGATGCCTGTACTGTCTGTTATAGGCTAGTTGCCAGCGCAAGGAAACAGCGAAAGACATACGAACACAGTGCCTGCACGGATCAACCTCAAAGAGATATACCAATCGTATGTCATGCAGTTTGTTGGATCACTTCCCGCAATTAAGTCATTTATTCTACCTCTGAACGAGTACTGGAAAGTTGCATCGTTGCATTATCGATTTTAAGCTAGTCCAATAAGTAATGAACCAAAACTTGCCTGAGTCCTGACGTGGTTTTTGCACAGCCTCTTTCGCTATTGAAAAGGCTAGTATAGCTCACAGCGTCTTCAAGAATATCATCTCTCTGTGAAGTGTGAGTATACCAACTGAGCATTTTGTAGGCTCACCTCAACATACCTGTTGCTGTGTAGCTGCCTACTCGAATGAATATGTATAGGGGTCAATATACGGTGACTTATAGAGACTTGAACCAGAGGAATATATATACCATCTTCCGCCCAAATCAGGTCAGCAATTTTTTGCGGCAAATCCCAGACGCTCTGGCATAGACTGAGGGTAACGGAGCAGCAAATGTTCCATGTGGCTGAAACCAATGTCCCGGCTATACGTTCTATAGAAAGCAAGCTCCTCCCCTTCTTTCAGGAATTCACTGGAGGCTAAGTCTCCGAAATGCTTGTCCCTATGAATCCGGACTTGGGGGGTTGCAAAACTGCCTTCATTCCTGACTATCTTCTCATCAATTGGCAAGGAGTAAGTGTACATTCGAATCCTTGTATTCTTTGAAAAAGAGAGAGATGCTACCCGTTTCGCGAGAGGGAATATGTACGAAGCACAGAGTAACATCCTATGGAATATACGTATCACATCTGGCCTTGAGTGCCACCAACCTGGACATGACCGGCCACTCAGCGACAATCGACTGATTGCACTTCTTCAACTCCCATGCAGCTAACAAGCATTCTCATAATGCTTAATTATGGATCCGGTTGAAGAATTTATTGTCCAGTGTTATTATCATCGCCTTATCCTATCATAACCGATGATTAGATTTGTCAAATCTGGTATTCACCCCGTTGCAAAACTCTACAGAAACTTCTGCCCCAACTCCCCAGACGCAGGTGGCAAAGATGAAGTGAGGAGTCTTCGGGCAAAAGGGCCAGAAAATAGGGAACAAAGGCTTCCATTCCCCTCCTCTCTGCGGAGAGGCTGTGATACATCATATCGAATCCCTCTGACGCCGAAGGAAGGTGTGCATATGATTGACCTCTAGAAGTGCATAGTTGACTGTACCACTACTCTGTGGAATTTAAATAAAGGATAAAATGGACTACAGTAGGACGGTTCGCCCATACTCTGCTCGCTTTCATAGGGTGTTTGGCAGAAGTATCGCAACGGAAGTAGTGAGTCAAAAGAATGCTGGTGGATTTTGGGTTTGGATGATACCCATGTTTGCATTGAGTTGTGGCTTGATTTAGTAACACCGAGGAATAACCTTTCTATGATGCATTTACCCGTGGATGGAGCGTGCGTGGTAAGTGCCATATGGGGTTGTGTCTAAGTTAGGGTTGGAATCTACAGCTTTATGGTGGTGATAGGTGTGCTGCTGCTTGGGGTTGTTTTTGGAGCTTATCCTTTGAAGCTGGAAGGGTCAATGATGATAGTTCTGCCTGAGTATCAATCTCAAGACCATGATTCAAAATATTCTAGGTCCCTGGATGAACCATAATATATAGTGGCAATGGCAGAATTTAATACAAGACGGCCAATCTATCGACCAGGAGTTTATTATTGCGGAAAATAAAATCCGGGGCTGGAAATTTGTACTCTACCGTACCTATTGACCCGCCAAGATGCTAGACCGCCTGGCACGCCACACCTAGATGTGCCACTGTATGCAAACTATGCAAAGTTCAGGTTTCGCCGCATTTCGTGGGGTGCATCTCGAAATTTTTGGTGGGAGAAAATATACAAACCTGATCACAAGTACAGTCATTGCTCTTTGTCTGGTTACGACGGAGGAACTGATTGCTACTCATATCACATACTTTACTACTAGTCCATTTGGAAAAGAGGCGGTGCTTTCCTTGCAGAACAGTGGTATTGGCCATGGTCTCCGACATCACCCAAGCGGATCCGCTGGATGAAGAACCTACTGCGCCTACACGTGAGCCTCTGAATGTCGCTGCAGAAGGTGCGGAAGAGCCTCCGCCAAAGAAAGCCAAATTAGACGAAAGTACTCCTCCCAAGGACGAGAACGTCAGCAGGGCCCCTCAGCGCATGCGGGGCTTCGCCGCAGTCAAACCAGAGTATGTGTGGATTGATTAGGAGTATACCATTTCTAACATCCGAGTTTCTGACTATATGCTAGGTTCGTTGTCCAACAATTGCCGAATACCAATTCCAATTCCGCTCAGAACGCGGACAACGCTACAGAGGCTGCAGCTCATCGTGACAACCGGGATGGGGATAAGAGGGAAAATAAGAAGAAGAAGAAGAAAAATACCGGACAGAATACAGGTCGCACATTTGGAAAGTCTCAAGATGCAAAAACCTTGTGTCCAAGCAGGACCTTCGCACCAGAATTCTCTCCAGGAGAGTGCAGGTTTAATGATTTTTGTCGCCACGAACATGACCTGCGCACCTACCTGAAGGAGCACAAGCGGGAGGATCTGGCGACCTTCAATGGACTCTGTCCTGTCTGGGAATCTAGAGGGAAATGTTATTCAGGTTGGAAATGTCGCTTTGTTGGCTCTCACATGACTGAACGAGAGACCGATGATGGGAGGAAAGAACTAGTTTTGATCGAGGATGAGGTGCGCAAGAAGAAGACACAGCCGATTGTTCCTCATGCAACAGAAGAAGGTATTACAAATATTGCATCGCTGGCCGATAAATTCGCGTTAGCAAGAAAGAGGGCTATGACACCACTGGCCGATGCATATAACGATTGGTTAGAAAAAACTTCGAGAGAGCTAGAAAAGAATATCCACGGTCGGAACCGACAAGGCCAGGTGGTAGCCGAGGGTAACGGTGATGTCAAGGAGCAGAGGGAAGAAAACAGGGCCTGTTACACCGAGCCTCCATTTTTACCATCAGAGAAACGCCGGCTATATTTTGGGCCGGAGACTCCTGCTTTGGCACCCTTGACGACACAAGGCAATCTCCCTTTTCGGCGGCTGTGCACTGAGTTCGGTGCACAATTAACCTACTCTGAGATGGCAGTGAGTATGCCATTGATCCAAGGCGTTAAATCTGAATGGGCCTTAATGAGAGCCCACGAAACAGAAATGGTTCCCCCAACTGTGTCTTTAAAAGATAACATAGTGGAAGGGTATGATAACTCTAAAGATATCAGATTTGGCGCTCAGATTTCGGCGAACAAGACTTGGCAAGCTCTCAAGGCCGCTGAAGTACTATCCCGTTGTACTCCAAATCTACGCGTCATTGATTTGAATTGCGGCTGCCCCATCGACCTTGTATGCCGCGATGGAGCTGGGTCTGCTCTTCTGGAACATCCATCGAAGTTGGAAAGAATGGTACGTGGTATGAATGCTGTTTCACAAGAGATCCCCATTAGTGTCAAGATCCGTATGGGAACCAAAGACAGTTCACCGAACGCTACAAAGCTGGTGGAACGTCTAATCCTCGGTGGATATGAATCATCCCTCCTCGATGCTGGTCCCTGTGGCGTAGCAGCCATCACTCTTCACGGACGGAGCAAGCAACAGAGGTATACCAGACAAGCAGACTGGGGATATATTTCTGAGTGTGCTGCTCTTATCAAGCGGTTGAATGAAACAAAGGATGAAATCACAGATACTGTTCGCGAGCCAGATGCACGGACACAGCCAAATGGCGGAAAGGTTTTCTTCCTGGGGAATGGCGACTGCTTCTCGCATTCTGACTACGACGATCACATTAACAACTCCGGGGTTGATAGTGTCATGGTTGGCCGAGGAGCCTTGATCAAGCCCTGGATTTTCGAGGAGATCCAGACTGGCCAATATCTCGACAAGTCCGCATCCGAGCGTCTGTCATTCGTTGAGAAGTTTGCCAAATATGGACTGGAAGCATGGGGATCAGATGAGTATGGCGTTGGCACGACCAGACGCTTTCTCCTCGAATGGCTGAGCTTCACATATCGGTATGTACCGATCGGGCTTCTCGAACATCTTCCACCAAACATTCAGGACCGGCCGCCTGTTTGGCGAGGCAGGAACGATTTAGAGACTCTCATGGGCAGTCCCAACTACAAGGACTGGATTAAGATTACGTAAGTCTCTCCTAAGAGGTATATATCATGCAATGATTGCTAATGAATTGGTCAACAGGGAAATGTTTCTTGGTCCAGCACATAAAGATTTCAAATTCGAGCCGAAGCACAAGTCCAACGCATATGAAGAGGCGGAAGGATGAGGAGGTCAGCACGAGATATCCCCATAGACAGGAATGTACAACCATTGAACGATAGTTATTATACCTTATGAGAACGTGCTCCGTAACCCTGACTGAAAATGGCTGCCTAGTAAAGTAGTATAAATGTCTTGGCACATGGTCTGTGCGTTACTGAAGGCATATAGTCACGTGTCAGCTACCAGCTCCAGGCAATAATGACGTCTTTCTCGCACCCAACCTGCAAAAAAGAACACCTCACCTCTGATTGTCTCGCACCGCCGCCCTGACTTCATTCCTGCCGTGACCCATCTTACTTTGGTTACAAAGCTTTTGTGTATCAATCTTAATCCTATTTTAATCCCACTGGATCCCCTGGAGCTGTCTTTCGCCCCTTACAACCTTTGTTTACATTTCCAGACTCCCCCACCAACACACCTCATAAGGGTTTCGATTATACCTGATAAGAACATTCGTTGAGTCAAACGGGCACAATGACACTGTACTATAGTCTTGTAAGTTCCGTTCTCAAATTTTCAATTTAGCTTTTGCATGTCGACCGTCGGGAATGCATTGGCGCCTACCAAATTCGACTCGCACCACACACGACACGTCCTTCAGCCTAATATAGATATTGTATGAGAACCCTAATCTCATTGTTTCTGCAGGTATTTTGCCTCTTAGTTTTCGAGATGGCGGTCTTCATGGGCCTCATCCTCCCGCTTCCTTTTACCGTCAAGCGAAAGCTCTTTACGTTCATTTCGGAAAGCCCGGTTGTCGCCAAACTCCAGTATGGTCTCAAGGTAAGCTCCCAGTGCCTTTTTTGACTTGCCATTTTCGGGTTCTGACTATTTTTTGAGATTACTTTTATTTTCATCCTGATTCTTTTCATCGACAGTGTCAACCGGGTGTACCGTGTGCAGCTTGAGCTGGCCTCTTTCCATAAGGAAGGTGGCGGTATGGCGTAAGTCCTCTCTTTGTTCCATTCTACTTTTATTGTGTCTCTTGTGGGTTTAGTACTAACAAATTTATGATTAACCAGAGCTGCTGCCCTCGGTACCGATCGCATGGAAATACAGGCACGCAAATTCTATTCTCAGCGTAACATGTATCTCTGTGGCTTCACCCTCTTCCTCTCTCTGATTCTTAACCGCACCTACACCATGATCCTGGAAGTGCTCCGCCTTGAAGAGAAGGTCAAGCTCCTCGAGAGCGAGAAGAAGTCCGGGGCCAAGCAGGCCGTGGAAGCTGGTGAGGTTGCACGACTGAAGAAGCAGCTGGAGGGCAAGGACCGTGACCTAGAGACCCTGAAGAAGCAGTGTGAGGGGCTTACTCGTGAGTATCACAGCCTGGGTGACAAGGTCGCTGGTGAGAAAGATGCGACCTCCAAGAAAGACCTATAAAGCATCGCTTGGGACCTAACGATTTCGGGACCTCGTCGTTCTGAACCTTAAGTGAATGTCCGTGCCCCAATGGACTAGCATAGGGCTAGGACTGGTAGTGTTTCTAGTAGGAGATTGGACATGTCATGCCTATTGCCTTGACTTGTCTGATGTGATCCAATATTTGAAGGATGTTCGGGTTGCATGATATTGAAAGTCTTATAATGGAATATCAATCTCTGTTATTTCAGTTCGGTCCATTATAGGTGTAGATGATTGGCTGCGTTTCTTGTTTAATTTGTTCTTGTTCCTCTCCGTCATATGCAATGTTGTCCATACAAATACTCAGTGTCCTGCTGTGAATGAACCAATGAACACAAACCCCACAATGACATTGACAGACTTCAGCCTGATCCTCAACCAAAGGACACTGATTATCAAACGAAGCCAATAAATACTCTCCAACAATATCTTCCTCATTGACAACAATCCACAGGATACAACCCACCATACTAGGTAACGACCTTCGCGCCCAATTTCCACGAGCTACCATCCGTATCATCCGACACCCTGGTCCAGACACTACCGGGATGCTCCATTGGCTTATGGAAGAGATAAACCTTGTGTCCGACAGTGATAGCCCCCAGCTTTGTACCAGGATAGTATTTCGCCACCTGGACTGGGTCACCGTCCTTGTAGTTCAGGATCTGATACGGCGCGAGCTTCGACACGTAGAAGACGAAGGGTTTGTCCGGGACAGACGAGTTCGCCGCGGCGATGGGGGTGTTGATCTCCACTTGTTCTTTCTTGATGATGTCTGTGTGGTCTAGGAGGGAGTTAGCCGTACGTAGTAGGGTTTAGGTAGGTAGGTAGAGGGACATACCGCTCCACGTATCGTAGCCGCCGAGATACTCAGATACAGCACCTTCGTGGTCCTGGAAATACAGATGGGTGGTGGGATTGGTCAGGTTAGTCGCAATTTGGGTTCCAGGGAGTGCAGAGGCCGGTTTCTCAGGTAGGATCTTCTGGTATCTCCATTTGAACTTGCTTTCGGCGCCACTGCGGATTTCAGCGATTTCAGGGCCGCCATTTTCCTGGTTGAGCCTTTTTTTTTTTTTTTGTCAACTGGGTTGTGTCCGGACAAAGAGAGAGACCCAAGCTTACTTCTCGAAAAAGACCCACTGGTGTGCGCCGGCAGGATTGTCATGGCAGATTCCACTGGAGAGACGGGATGTCTCGATTGGGGCTTTCTTGATATCGTCCTCAAGGGTGCGCTCTTCCCAGTTCTTATTGTCGAGGGGAGATTTGACCAGTTCGTGCAGGGTTCCCTGGTCATCGAGGTAGATGACGTGAATCTGTAAACAAATCAGTCATTCCGTCATCGGTGATACTGAGTCAGCTGTGCCTTCAAACCGAGGATTTGCCTTGCGAGGTACCATCATGCTTCACGTAGTATGCTGTGATGGGAGAGCCACCGAGATTGAGCTTGGTGGCGACAGCGCTGGGAGTTTCGGTCCAGATGGATCCGTCCGCGGAGGTCACTTCGCGGAGTTCGCCTGACTCATTTTGGTAGTAAAGGTAGATTTGGGAGCCGTCTGTCGCGGCTGCGTAGTCACTGGTTGTCAAGGCACCCATGGTGTAGATAGTTTGTGTGGTTAGTGATTGCTGTGCTAGAGAAGATTTGAATGTTGGATGGATGCTTGATAGACGGGATGGAAGGGGGTATTTATCTTCATTTCAGGGTAGTGAGAATAGTTCATATTTGATTCGAATTTGCTGGGTCATCATGAACAATTCCTTGATCCCCTCCATTCTCAAGGAATTACGTGGCTCTTTCAGCCGTAGACATCTCCAGCCAGCCATATAATGCAGCATGACCACTATAGGCAAGTATAACCCGAGGGTGAGCTGAATAGACCCTTGACAAAGCGCATGAACTTACCGCTTGGTCAGTAAAGTAAACTAGAAGAGACTTTCATGCAACTCACCTCTATAAAATTTGAAGGAGGAACAATGACCACCATTGGCCGGACATCTCTGATGGCATCAAAACCGAATTTCTGTATACGGTCATCCACACCAGAAGTCCAGAACTGAAAGAAGGCCCAGCCTCGAAGCCAAAGATCTAGTTTTCTCGCAATGGCTGGCTCATAGAATTAACAGCGCCAACTTGACAGTACACTCCCCTGCTATGCACTGCATCTAGGCCAAAGTGGCTTGCCTTGAATAGGAAGGAGAAGAAGAAGAATGGGCGTTATTTTCCCTCTGTGGCACCGCTAATGATGGCCCTGGGCGGAATCTGCACGCTAATGCAAGACATTCTTACGGTCTTATGTACAACCTGTATCGTCTTTTTCCCTGTTCTTGTACGCAGTAAACTACAAAGGCTCAGGTCATGCGATGTAAATCGATGGGGATGCATGATTTGTTAATGTGTGGATTTCGCAGGATGTGGAGAAGATACAAGTTGGAGAGGATGCAAATAGAGAACAGCCCATGAATGCAAATACTTGTATTGATTCAACTAGGTGGCAAATTTACCAAAGGAAGCTCAAATCCGGTTGTTAAAATGTGTTGCGTTCTGTATAGTAAATATGGATACGGTGTATATCCAAGCAGAAGAATGAGTTTCTTGAACTCAGTCACAGGAGTAGTCTAAACGGAGATATATCACGGCTTAGGAAGATGATTATGGCTGCAGATTCGAGTACCTGCTCTAGAAAAACAGAGAATCAGCCATCCTTCACCTCCAGAGCCAAGGCCCTTGAGAAAAGTATGAAGTCGTTAGAAGAGCTCCTGCCAAATTGAACGTACAGTTTCGGTAATTGGCAACCTGTATTTGTTCAATGCTTTTGTCTTTCCACGGAGTATTTAATAAATCTACTTTATAGAAGTTTCTTATTCCCTAAATGCATAGAATGGCCGAGGAGATGCTCACTAAGATGCAGTCACGCGATCCTGGAGAAATAGATTAATAAACGTGAGATAGTAGTCAAACCACAAACCATCAGCTTTCATATTCTTATTTTGGCCAGTGAAGAAGGTCAGGTGTTGTTAATATAATCTCAGTTGTGGTCGGCATGCACCTTTAGCTTTCCGCTTTTAGCTAGCTTGCCCTAATTTCGCGCCACACAGCGTGATATATGTATATGATGTCTGACGCTTATCAATCATAGCTCAAGAAAATATAGCTAAAGCTAGTTAAATAGGAAGCTCAATGTGCTCCGTCCCTTGTTGCTTCAAACATAACGTAGCCACGTTAATATTGAGACGGACGAATATACTCACGAATCACTTGCGCATAGCATTCCCTCTGGAGAAAGGACAACCTAGGCTGGGAAAACAATAAATACGTCTTCTGAGTCCATGGAAGCATAGAAGTCTTATTATAATACACACTTGTTTTCTTCTTTCCTTCCCCTGCGTGTAGTAAGGCATTCTTTATTATATCATATGTCACTTTTTCTACGTTTGTAGGCATCTCCTCGCATGTGAGATGGAATACTAGGTTTCTAGATAATATTTTTTAAGATAAGAAAAGAATAAACTTATTCTATCGATGATAATAAGAGAAAACTGGGACTGACCAGCAGAATTGCTTCTAATTAACTGGTTAGTCAGACAAGACTCTTCAAATCATGGACCATGAAATCATTGTTTCAAGGAGGAATCTACCTACATTTGTAAGGTCAAGCAAGCATTGTTAATCAAGTGCTTAACTTATATTCATTTTGCTCGTCCTTCCGTTCCATCCTTATGATGTCAGTATCTTTATTTGATCCAGGGATATCTTTTACCAAGATTCTATATAAAGGACATAGAATCACAAGAGCCACTATAATTGTCTGTCGTCCTACGTATAAAGTTTGTTGGATGTCTGTGCTAGGTAAAATTAATTTTAATACAAAGTTCGGATACTGCATCTTGGTATGTTTATAGCGTAGTAAGTTTGCATTATAACTCCCATATGCAGTTGGCAATACAAGTAGTGGAAGCATAGTACAACAGCTATGTTAACATATATACATACTAAAGGAGGTTGCTTTAATACGCCTTGTGGTTTACAATAAGCCCCACAGAATTCCCGTCTAGTGGAATAGGCAGTTCAGTCTGTCCATTCTGCTGTCATGGCGCTAAACAAGCCTTATATAGCACGAGCAGAGTAAGCCACTAGCTCTATATCTCAGCCCATCTGCTGACATTACAGCCAAAAATGCTGGAAAGGCTTGTCTAGATGCGATGCGCCCCGTTGTATAATATAGCCCTTATAAATTCAACCAGCCAGCGCTAGCTCAAGTCACGCAATGTATAAAATAATGAAATACTCAATGGAGCTATTTCTCAGCTGGCTAAACACTAAAGGAAGTGGGGGTCATTGCGTCTACTTGGCCCTAGCTTATCAGCTAATCTATCAGAAGTCGGAGTAGGCGGAAAGTAGAGACGAATCAACGAGTGGCTTCTTTAGTTGATTTGGCCCCATGCTGTATAAGGCTTTGCAGTAAGCAGGGACGGAGTAGCTAACTAATGTTAGGATTAAAATTGGCCAGAGCTTCACATAGACGTAATACCGTCCGTAATTGCATTGGTCATAGCTCTGCATGATTTGCTTCAATTATCGGTGGATAATTGAGACCGTAAGGCTTTACCACTTTTTGAATCTTTAACGTACTATATTGGAGAATATTCATTGTTGAGTGCAATTTTTTTTTAGATCATAGCTATCCTTCCTGTAGAGTGTTCATCAATATTTTGGGGATCAAAGTTTAGCTGGTGATACAACCAAGCTCTAGGATTCTGCCAACTCGACAGAATAGCTGGATGCATGATAGCATAGTAGAATCTGCTTGGCTGTGCCAGTCATCAATTTATTAATTGTCCTATTTCTGTCGACCACGACCTTGTAGGATGATACCCTTGTTTGAGCTTGATAACCAAGGCTGATGATCCACTATCCTAAGGAACAAGCCATGCCATGATGACAATGCTGGCAATCGCCGGGTGTCCAACTGGGATGTCAGCCTCAACCGTTGCATAAAGCTGCATGCATAGACATGCCAATCTGAAACAGACTGGGGCTGAGCGTTTATTTTTAGGCCCCCTGAAGAAGAAGAACGCGGTGGAAGAGCACGTCTGGCATGAGGCTGAAAAGATGCGTTTTCCAGACAAGTCAGGTGACACACGTGACCATCTGAATCAGCGCGCAGCATCGCCCAAACGACACTTCAACAGGACGCGATATGACAGTCCGGCCATGCCACGGTTCCAAGTCAAATACACGAACGTCGGGAGGTCCATTGCGCGTCTCACTTGATCCTGATTTCGATGGCGGACCCTTTGAGAGCCCGTTTCCCCGACAGGCGGCGTTTTCACCGCTTTAGGTTTACTGACCCAGTACTCTGGGTCACCAAGTCTTTCGGCTCTGCATCGGGTGATGGCACAGCTCTGCGGCGCTGTGCGGCGTAATCCCCCAGCAGAGAACTGGCAGGCTGAAATGGAACCCTTAATGATCTGCCTAGGACCTCCTGTGCCGCCAGATCCCTCCCCCTCAAGATAGGGGACCCAACGAAAGGGGTTTCATTCCATATCATTATTCTATTCTAACCTAGCACCCAACACTTCGTTGATCCCCTGCGGCTCTTATTGGCTTATTTCTAAAGCTCTAGTGAGCTGCCATCCATGGAACGACTCGACAAAGGCAACCTATCTTTTTCATTTGATTTCCTTGTTCTTTCCCACCTTGTTTTCGCACCCGTCTCAAAAAAAAAAAAAAAAAACTTGCTACGTGCTCTCTCCTCCTGCAGTCGATCCGCAGGAGGTTGCACCAAAATTATCCCCGCATCTCTCTCCTTTCCAAAAAGCCGTCGAATTTGTTTTTGCCGGGGTGGAAGAAACGCCACCTGCCTGTCACTGCGGCCATGTGGCTCACATGCGGACACGGCCACGGCTACCATGGTTTCAACCCCGAAAGAGGGTCTAGAGACGGACTTAACTTCCACTATGGCGTCTGTCCTGAAACTTTGCCGCGACAGTGTATTTTTGAATCCACAGACCTCGACGATCCTGATTTTGAAACGGTGAATCGATCACCTTTGGTGGTGAGCCCAGCCAACTCATCCTCACTAATATACGCGCGGGACCCTCCCTTCTCCCCTGTCCATGAGTCAGTTCCCCATTGAATTCCCGCGTTCTCCGTTGGCTCCTGTCAGCGAGGATCGCCACCGGATACCTGACGTCTGTGCCCCCGGTTCTGTATCTGATTTGACGGTTTGATATCAGATGATGAGAGTTGTCTGCGGTGCTAATGCAACTGCTGATGTACACTGCTAATCATATCTTGTCCAGGGCCGGAAAAAAGAAAATTCGTCCCTACCAATGTAATTAAAAAAAAAAAAAAAATTGTAGTAGGGTTGTATAAGCGATTGGGGGACTACCCACACACACACGCACGCACCAGATAACGCGTTCCCCGGGATTGTCAGAAAAATTCCTAATGAATTGGGCACGTATCCTCTACTACCCCCCCTTTCTCTATTTGGAAAAGACTTGGGGGAGGGATTTTTTATGCACCACGCCAGCGCCATACGTAGGTCCGCTTCGAGGTTTAAGTCAGTCTCCTTTGCCACAAGAATCTTAACCAAATCATCTCAGGAATGGCGAGATCACGAAGAGATGAGGAGTTTCCATAGACAATAAAAATAAGGTCTCCAGTAAACAAGAGAAAGTTTCGCTGCTTTTATTTTATTTTTGTTTTTTTCCCTCCCTCCGAAACGGTTCCATCCTTGGGTCCCTTCGCCGTCGCTTCCGTCTGGAAGTCTTCAGAGAATTAACTGTAACTGCTAGGTGGTAGATAGCTATATAGATGTAGAGATTAACATTATAGGGTGGTGATCTTCACTTTTTCTAGTGCATAGCGGTGCAGCGCACCAATATCCACAACAACCCCGGACAGATGGCCCATGCATGTGTAACTGTAACCGGTTCGATGGGTTCCGAACACACGGAGAGACGTCACTATTATCTGAGGAAGATGTTGTCGCACGAGGAGATCCGCTGTTGTCTCCGGTTTATAGGAATAGGGTTGGAGACAGAAATACGACGGACAATGGGAGAGACAATAAAGGACCGAAAAGATGGTAACATTAAACTAAAGCTATCCTGCAAAATATTTGACGCCTGGACAAGCGGCGCACAATATAATCTTGACTATTATATGCGCCAGGAAACCAGATTTCGCCGAAGAGATGAATGTCCCAAAAATCGTCGGGCTCTGGGACAGGAGACGAAGAATAAGAACCAACATAAAAAAAAAAAAGGCAAAACCAAAACTTCAAGACATAAAAGGCATTAAACTGAAGACAAGACAAGATAAAAACGAAACTATGCAATGCAACGAAATGCATATGCTATGGGGTAGTTAGAAACTTTCGCAAATAAAAGACATTTTTTTTTCCTGTCCACAACGTTTCCCTTCGTCTTGGTCACTCCATTCCTGCGGATAATTCTCGTTTGAATACATGGAAGCGGTCAAGAAAACAGAGCTAGGGAAGAGATAATTGCCGACTGGGGAATTGCTATGAAGCCGCACTTGGTGATTGTCCTCAGCTGAAAGCACATAGTTCTCGAAGTTCCGTCGATCGATCATAGCCACAAAATTCTTCCCCTGGTGTCTTCTCCCCGGTGCCAGTCAGCATTATCCCTTGCTTTTTGACTCTAGTTGCTGTACATGCGTTACTCACCTCGCTCTGGACTATCTAGCCTCCATGAACAGGGCAGTTATAGCCCTCTCGTCGGCGGACTTGCTGTCGCACACCGGTGCAAGAAGTACCCCTCTTTGCACAGTAGACGACATCACCTTCGGGGTGGGTGCAGCCACAGTCATACTTGTAGAAGTACTGGGAGCACATTTTGGCAAAAGTTGAGTGGTTTTTGAAGTTTGTGAAGAGAGGGTGTGTTCAAGTGGAGGTAAAGAAGAGCGAATCGGCTCAGCGAACAATTTGATAAAGCTCAGTCGATAGGGAAGATTTCAAGCTCCGAAGGAGATTCTTTTGGAGTGAGAACTGGAGAGAGAACTGTTGCGATGATGTTCTGATCTTTCGCTGGGTCAAAGAAGCCTTTAAATAAGAATCTCCCGGCCCATGGATCAATCCAGAGTGATAGATTGACTGCGGTCGACTGTGCCGCAATAACACCATCTACAAAAATTATTAAATGAATATACAAGGCCCTCCCCCCCCCCCTCCCCAACCAAAAAAAAAAGAAAATAATATTAAAAAAACGTAGTAAGAAAAAAAAAAGAATTAAGTAAAATAAAGAATTGTATGCAAGACCCAAAACCAAAGTAGCAAGATGAGTCAAGGAAATTCAAACTACACATGCACGTTGTTTTCCCCCCCAGCCCTCTTTCCCAAAAGTTGCATAGTATATTGCGCCGTAAAAGTTGGTGACTCGATCTACATCATACTCAAATGAAAAGGGCCCAACGGACGATTCACACAGCAAATCGAAGCTCACTACCTCTCAAACGCTACTGCACAACACATCCCCAACAACAGGGGAATAATTGCGGTTATGCGGATCACCTGCGAGCGTAGTGTCCCTCCCGGGTTGGCCAGGGATTCCTTTCCCTGGCAGGTGAATGAGGAAGCGCGATAATTACAGTCATAGGCAGAGTATGATGGCAACCGCCTGCCCTGAGCTTCATTAGACTCCCGCAGATTCATCACGGGAAACTTGACATCATCGTTAAGTCTATTGCGGCATTCGTCTGGACAAAGAGGCTCGTCACATACAGAAGAGCAAAAGCCAAGGAGTATGCTATCAAATCAGTTGCCGATGCCAGCCAACAGTGTTCACACCCAGTAAGGTCATGCCGCAATAGAACGCTGCTCGAACGGCGCATCTGACGGACGTCACGCAAGCAGAGTATCCGACCCTGGGACCCTGTTAGGCATATTCTTATCATGTGCCCCCTTTGTCCTTAAATGGAGGGGACAAGGATGGTGGAGTGGAACAGTCCAATGCGATCGTCCCGATATCAGTTAGGTACTGCCGACGGGCCTTTCTCGGGCCCGTTGTTTGCGTCCCTAGTAGGTGTCGACGGGAAAGTCTGTGGTGTAGGTTAGCTCGTGGGCCACCTGCCCCAGTCAGGGGTGCCGCAGCAGCTCTTAGGCAGGTCTCTGTCCCGCACCGACAACCGATCAAGCACCTCAATAGAGTTCAGCCCAAGGCATAATAGAGGGTCCCATGGCAATGCTCTATGGGGGCACGAAAACCGAATCTGCAAGAGCTACACTGCCATCACATATTTCTGGATTCGCTGTCCTGGAATTCCGACCAATGTACGGAGCTCAAGACGTAAACGCAGTTGGTGACATCTGCAAGTCATAAAGTCATAAATTCATGAGCGATTTTTGGAATTTGGGATTATTAGCTCACTTTTCCCTGGGGGGAATATGCATGGCAACGGAAAGCCATTTTGGGCTCGAACTAAGCGAGAGTATGCAATTCCTTGCCATGGCAAGAAAGCCCCGTTGGAATGATAGTAATGGCAGAGAGTTTCTCTATAGTATAGTCAACTAACTTAGTGTCCGGCAGTGCAAGCAATCTCCACCTATCGATCTGGCATTGACTTCCGCAACAGCTCGGATGTCGGGCGCCCCCCGACGGTGACAATGGATTTAAGGTGTCGGCACAGCACCTGCGGCGCTATAGTCCTGAGCAGGAAGCAATCCTCTCTAGCTAACAGCATACCCCATTCACATTTCAGCCGCCGACCGTCCGCGCCACGGCCGAACGGTCGAGCATCACGGCGCGAAGAATGGGGGCGCTAACAGGGCGACAATCGACAGGTCACAGCGTGGTGGCACGGCCTTCATCTAGCCGCCGTTGGGTCACCAGAGAAACCGGAGCGGGCCACGAGGAGCTAGCTCTCTGGAGCCGACGGTGACTGAACGACTTTCTTGGGAACTCAAAACAATGTTTGTTGATGCTGGAAGAGGCTCTGGTCACGTGACATGGCCAGTGCTGCGGCCGCTTCTTTTTTTGGCGGTTTTATTTTTGGTGCGTTTCGCCTTTTCTGCCTTACGCTGGAGCGATCGCTGACGGCATTGCCTCCCTGGTCCACGGTCTGATTGGCGTGCTATCTACGGAATCAGTCTCAGGGCCATGGTTATATAGACCCCGCAGCCTGGCAGGATCAATAGCATGAGATGAGATGTGATGTGATGAGATGTTATGCGATGCGACCAATTCTGGGGTTTTGGCCCCAGGTCACCGCCGTTGAACCAACAAGAAGTTCCCTGGCTTGTCTCACATTTTCTTTAACAAAGTCTCTCCGGTATCTAAAACAGTGCCCCTGGGGAACCATGCTGCCAAGTGGACCGAGAATGGCTCATTGGGGTCATGTGGACGGAGACTTCTAGGGAAGGAAAAGGCAGGAATGCTGGAAACTCACCCCATACAGAGTACAGGAACCTATTACTTACATAGTTTGGCGATAACTCCTATTCCATGGTGGGGGAGGAAAACAGTGGTCCACCCAGTTTCACCCATTATGGGGTTGCTGATTATTATGTCGAATAACTAACTAGTTAGCGGCACGTTTCTTGGCTCTCCTTCCTGGTTGCGGATCATCCGAGGCTGAATTATCGGGTCTCGTCGGCCCAAATGCTTGTACGAGGGACAACAGCTCTGCTTGCGCAACCAATGAATGCCTTTCGCTTGGCAGGTCCAGGAATGTTTTCTGAATGTTGGACTCTACAACCAGTCCGGGGTGAGATTTATCAGAGCCAAGAGATGCACAGGAAGGGGGGTTCTTCCAATAATGACATTCTAGGGCCCCGCCCTGTCTGATATGAGTTCACAAAACATGTGAATTACGAAAAACAGACCTCTTTGATCCACTGAATTGGATGCCTGAAGTCTCTTTCTGTAGGTGGACTGGATACAGTTGATCGACATCCCTCCCGGATTCATCCATTGAATTCCCGTTGCCCCTCTTCTTACGGGCGATGTATGCTTGGCTGTTTCCCTCACATGTATAAATAGGTAACCGAATCCAACCGAGAAAATGCTCTTGATCGTTCTCCCAACATCTTCTGTTCCTTCCTGAGATCGATAGACTTTGAAGTTTCTCTCCTAGACTGTCTCCCGTGGAAGCTTACTCTCGTCACAATGTATGCCAGCACACCCACCCACAAGTTCCTCGTTCTGGCCCCTATCCAGTCTGGTCCTATCTCGATAGAAACCGCCTCCCAATCTCAATATGGGGACCGACCTTCCTCGACGCGCGAGCGTTCAAGCAGTCAAACTTCCACTGATTCGCAGTTGGGTGACGTGTTATCCCCCCTACCTAGTGGTTTCTTGTATCTTGGCCATGATTCCACGAGCTCCAGAAACTAGATCCTGAGGCACCAGCACCGCACCACACTGCATGGATCGTGCAGGACGCGATCACCTCAGCTTATCTACTTCGGCTTCAGAGTGCTCTAAGCGGACCGAGGGATTTGATTTAATGTTCTTTGTTCTTGTTTCTTTGGATGAGGTGCAGTGATGCCAATGGCGCTCTGCCTCCCCCTCTCTATCTCTTTTATTTTTATTTTTTGTCATCCAGCATGTCATGAATATGATACCACAGTCCAGCTGCCGGAGGAAAGGGGCATGAATGCTTGCCAAGAGAAGAGTTGATATTTGCCAAGTCTTGTGCAATCAGATAAATGCAGCTTACGTTCCACGCCAAGCATGATAGACTAGCAGATCGACTTTGGTCTGACTGCCAAGCATCCCTTGGATGTATTCTGGGATTACAGAGCACTTTGTTTTAATACTGGATAAGTATGTAGGACATAGACTTGTACTCCTTTATACCGAATACCGATGGTAAAATCTGATATCTCGTATCCGTACGATAATATCACTTTTAAGAATGAATGTCCTTACAAGTATATCTTTGTCTATCCATATATCCTCCTAGTTATTCATATATCAAACAGCAGGTATAGATATTCAGAGACATCTAGATCCCAGGTACATAACCCTTACCTTTCCATATTGATATATATCCCATTCCATCCCTATATCAGAATCTAGATCATCACCTGTCATCTCATTCCAGATCAACAAAGTTATTCCAACCCTTGCATCAACGCCACCTACCGTCCGTCCAGACTATCCTGGAATCCTGGAATCCGCTGATAAGGATTACGCCGTGCCTGTATCTACCCAGTCCGCGCCCTACCTATTATTATTAACAGTTAACACGCTTAATATGTATCCCGAGTCTTGGCCCTACCGCAGAAATCGTACAGTGCCAAGATTTTGTCCTGGTCATGGGACCTCCTTCGGTCCTTTCTTATCATCTTATCTTATTGTCAGCGTGCTGTGTTGTCCTGTTTCTCGTCTCGTTCCACGTAATCAATGCGAATACCCGTCTTACATACAAGGTTGTTGAGTTCTTCGTTGGTTGGGTTTGAATAGTGGTATTACATCCGTTCGTCCTTGAGTAATTGTCGACGTGGTCTATACCTCCGTCTCTACAGAGCGCTATCTATGGACTATCTGTCCGCTTATGGTAGATCGTCTTGGCTGGAATCTTGGCTCGCTTTAGTTCTTCAGTGCAAAAGTCGGTTGGACCGAGCCAATGATCTGTTTCTGACTAGACTTGGGTTGGTATGGACATGGGATTCTTGACTGTAAGAGCTGTCTCTTCTGAATTGATGGTCACGGGATCACTCCAAATCCCGTCTTGTCTACAGGTATAGTCTGATCGGAATCCCTTCTGTACGCCCGAGTTATGCTGTATAAAGTTTCAATCACCAATGCAAGATATAAACCAACTACAACTGTAAACTTGTGATCCGCTGTCAACCAACATACATATCAAACGCTGCTCGCTGCTGAATCAATCAAACAGGATTTCTAGAGACAATGACACAGGAAGTCCGGGGCGACATCCAATGACCAATAAACATATTAAATTACCCTCAAATAGACCTGGTCCATATGATATCAAAAGCGCTTCTTTCAAAGAACCACGGTACGGTAGAAATAGAAGGCATTAACAAAACAAGGCAGGGTCAATTTACAGTCAAGGTTATAGTAACAAGGGAGAAAAAAAAATATGAAATTTGGACAAAGGAAATAAAGAAAAAGTTTATTCTCAACAAAGGAAAATAAAAAGAGAAAAAAAAAAAAAGGGTAAAAAAAAAGATAAAAAACACCCACGCTTGTAGATATGGATATGCATGCGGGAAGAAACAGATGCTGGTACAATACGAGGACAAACCGAAAGCTGCAAGCAACAGAAGGGGACGAAAGCTGCGTGGGTATCACGGGGTATCCAAATAACTTGCTCTTTCAATGTTGGAATCCTAATAAGAGTCTGGCCGACTCGGATCCTCTGTCCAGTGAAAGCGCCGGTAATAACGGGTCTCGGTTCATCCATTTGGCGGCGGTAGAAGCCGAGACTTGCGTGGACGCCGCAGCGCCTGGATCAAAAGATCCACCAGGCCTAGATATCAAATCCCGAAACATAAGGCGTGGAGTCGCCGGACCAGATCTGCTTGGCTAGATTGCTTCCTCCATGTGATCAACTGCGGTAGGCGGTCCACCACCAAAAAGTGATATACTTCATCTGGTCGAATTGGCCGAAGAATTAAAATAAGTTGAACGAAAAATTAACCGGGGGTGGAACTGAATGTCCCCATCTACCGATCATCTCCCGCCCTTGATTTGGCCCGACGACGGAAAAAGTCCATAACCTTTCTGGCAGCACCAGAGCTGCCGGGATGGTGTGACAGATCCCGTTCGGACTCGTAGGCATCTGCAAATTTCCTATGATTCTTCTGCAGCACACCCGCTCCTCTTGCCGGCCGGCCAACTTGTACCGACTGGCGAGAGGGGTTTTCATACGCACCACTGTACTCATCGTAGTAGTTAGGTGCCGAACGGTTGGCATATTGATTCCGGTAGTAGTGGTCGTTGTCGTTCGGATACACCTGCTCGGCCGATGCGCTGTAAGATGTCGGTTGCTGGGTACCGGAGTGGTTGCCATGAAGCACTGCGAACTGCTGATCAATGTGAGTCTGGTAATTGACGGGGTCATCTTGCATGATGACCTCGTCTCCGGGACCACCGTCTGGCATTATTCCTATTGCGTCTTGCGTGCCGTAACTCGTAGCACGTGCACGAGGCCGTATTGCCCCCGCCGATGAGTTTGGCTGCACCCGGTTGTCGGAAGACCGATCGGCTTGCGACTCATCGTCTGGGGTTTGCGACCGACTTGACGACGAAAACCCTTTCAAGGAAAAGGACGGCGGCAAAAGAGAGAACCGACGCGGCCTGCTCTCACCACCCATCTCGCTCATCTTCCGGTTGTAGCCATACTGGATTGAGCGGCGCGAATCCACGGACGCCCTACCATCGTCTCCTGCATACGGATCTCGCATGCTGGTGGGAGGATAGCGCTTGCCGCTTTTCTGACGCGAACCAACCGCCTGGTTTCCACGCCCACCAAAAATTGAGCCAGACCGTCCGAACAACTTCTCTCCTATACTAGAGACAGTATTTGACCTCTTGTGACCCTTGGGAGCTTCTTGACGAGGTGTCGTGTTGAATTTTGGCGGCAGCTGCTGAGTACTTGGACGGCCAATTGACAGAGAGTTCTGTTGGGAATGGTCCTGAGGGATAGGCGCCGAAATCACGTACTGCTTGCTCTTTGGTTGCGCCAACCGACCTTGAGCATTGGTCGCCGCCACAGTCGGCGCTACAGGTTGTCCGTAAGAACCCCGTGATGGCAAACGTCCGGTTTTGAACGAGGCCATAGAGGCACCAGTGGCTGGTCGGGTGGCATGGGGAGGAAGCATAGCCGATGTCCCCGTGAGCGCCGTCGTGTCCGAAGTCGAGCGAGGAAGATGTGCTACTGGTGGTGCTGCCCCAGATGCCTTGGAATCTTCTGTCTGTAGGTTTGAGACTGCTGGTGCCTCTTGCGCGAACATGTTGTTCTCAGATACGCTGTTTGACCTAGCCCTAGTGGCGGGAGCTTCCACGACTCCTGACGAGCTTGCGATAGTTGCGTCAAGCTCGGCAGGCGTTTCGCCTCTTGTTGTCTGAGATTGAGGAGCAACGTATTCAACCTGAACTGTACGCCTCTTAGTGTCCCGAGAGGTCTTAGACTTGTCCGTAGCTTGTTCTTGAGAGACATCCCCGGAATGATGAACAAGTCCTCCCAGTGAAGGGATTGAAGTTTGGTAAGAGGTTTTGGGAGGCTCTCTAACCGACGCACTTCGTGCAAGCGATGGGGCTTCTTTGCGAGTTTCTGTAAAAACTAGGTCAGCAATGAAGCCGGAGGCACTCATTAAGGGACTGGTACCAAGGGGAACCGTCTTTGCTGCGACATTGGTAACCTTTGTCGTGCTACTGGTGATATGCGACACAATATGAGAATACTCGCTGAGCCAGCTGTGCCGTGCAACCTCGAAAAGATCCGCTCTTTTTCGCGGGTCCGGCACTAATATCCGTCTCAGAAGATCACGCGCATGTGGAGTGACATATTCAGGAAACGTCAGCGGAGTCGTAACGATGTACTTATAAAGCAGGTTGATGTTGTCGCCGTCAGGATTTGCTGGATCATCGTCAAAGGGCAAATAGCCGGCCAGCATGGCATACTATAGAGAGAGAGAGAGAGAGACAGAACGTTAGCTACCATAGTTCGCAGGACTACAATCAAGGCCGCTAGATAATACTCACAAGAATAACGCCACAGCTCCAGACATCAACTTTTCGCCCTGTATACAGCGAATCGCTGACTACCAGCTCGGGGGCAGCATAACATGGACTGCCGCAACTTGTTTGCATCAGGTCGCCTGGACGTAAGCCCTTAGCATTAGTCTTGTCAAGGCGCATCCTTTTCACAAAATCCTTGTTCGTGAGGTTGTATTCAATCTCATCACTCAATTCATCCAACGGATCAAACGTATTCGCAAAGCCGAAATCGGTGATTATGATGTTGCGATTCCGGTCCAAAAGTAAGTTTTCGAGCTTCAGGTCGCGGTGAACGATACCTTTTCTGTGGAGGTAACCGACGCCGGAGACAAGTTGTGCAAATAGTCGCCGGGCAGCATTGTCTTTAAGGTATCGATTATTCAAAATATGGTCGAAGAGCTCACCGCCAGATGCGTATTCCATTATTATACCAATGTGCCGGTCCGTCTCCACCATTTCATGTAGCCGAACAATGTTCGGATGAGAAAGATCTCGCAAGATTGAGATCTCCCGATAGATCTTGGGTAACCGGCTAGGATTCGATCCCAGGGTCTCTCTCCGGATGAGTTTGATAGCGACTTGAATGCTGCCGTCTCGTTTCCACCCTAATTTGACCTTCCCAAATTCACCCTCCCCGAGCGTTTGTCCCAGAATATACTGACCAAAAGTTGTTTCTTTGCGCTTGACGGTATTTTCGGTGTAGTCATGTCGGCTCCGCAGCCCGCCGCGACCTCCATCATCCACACCGTCACTGCCAACCAGACCAAGCCCTGACGAAGGCATGCTCTCGACTGGAGGTGATACCGACGTGCCTGCCTGTCGGACTTGTTCCCGCTCGATATCTACCGAAGGGTCACTCACTAACACTTGGTTGATCACGGTACTCGACTCCTTAACTAGGGTCCCCTGCCCAGGAAACGCCTCCATGCGTTCCCCCGAGTGCGAGGGTGCGTCGAAAGATGAAGCAGCCTGATCCCGGGCACTTGCCCCATCCACTCCTGTTGGCGGGTCGTCGGACGGTTTCACAGCTTGCCGGCGCGTACGGGAGTCGTCACCTCTCCTCTCACGGTGGTTAGCGCTTCGTTCATCGCTCCTATTCTTTCCATGGCGGGAATTTGATACTTTCTCGGTCGAACCGCGATGGCTTCGATGGGTCGAAGAAGTTCTTGGCGGTGGGACGGGCGGTTCACCTAGAAGGTCAGGATACATGGGCGATCTGTTCCCGCTTTGGGCCGACGAAGGCACCGCTGAGGTGAAGGCTGGAGATGCATGGGTGGTGCGTGGCAGCGACTGCGATTGGAGGTCGCTCATAGCCGAAGAAGCTGTCGGGACCGGGACAGAAGATGGCTGTTGAAGACTTAGTGAATTGCTCAGAGTGGCGCCGTGTGGGTCGGTTGATGGTTGCAGTCGCTGCGTCGACCCAGACGATCGTTCGGAGTTTTGATGCGCATGGCTGAGCTGCGAAGGCGATACGGGTTCTCGATGGGTAGGTAGGATAAAAGTGGCGGGAGTGTACTGAGGGACGGCTTGGATACCAGTAGACATACCTTCGTTTGGTGAAGGCGCAGCGAAGCCTGGGACTGGCTGCGTACGGTCCGAGACAGCCTCTTCAGGCACGCGTGATAGAATTGAGCGGTGGACAAATTGCGATGAGCGATAAGAAATCCAATGCGTAAAATCTCTCCAGAAGACGATTCAAATGCTCAATTGTAATGTCTTTTAAAGTTTATTTTTATTTTTATTTTTATTTTTTATTTTTGTTGGAGACGATCGCTGGGCTGGCAAGTCTCACCGGTCGGGCAGCTGCTGTTTCAAAGTCAGAGGGTCAGAGAGTCATTGCGACCACCGATAAGGGGCGTGAAAGGGTAGCCACTGACGACTGACGAAACAATCAAACAGGCTACCGTGACAGAGGCAGTGATTGATGATATATCAAGGACACCGGGTCAAAAAGAAAATCCAGGAGATTAATAAAGAAAGGAAACCAAAAGGACGCGTGGAGACAAGCAAGCGATCGCTTGTTGTTTTTTCCCTTTTTCTATCTTTCTCTTTCTCTCGCGTGTTCCCGTCGAGCTTTAGGGAGTTCTCACGTATCTCCAACCGAGCCAGGTGAATGGGAGCAAGTCTGCACTGCAGAATCGCCTCCCGTGACGTGACCTCCCTCCACAGAGTATCGGATACCCAGTTGGGTAATTATGGGTTGAGGGGAAGGTATGCGGCTCGAAAGAATGTGAGACTTGGAGGATCGGAGTGACGAGACCGACAAACGCGGGCGGGAAGGAGAACAGCCTCGGGAGACGCGCCTCAAAAACCACCACGAGCCACTTCGGTTTTTATTTTTTTATTTTTTTTTTAAACAAATTATTATTATTATTAATTGGCTGGGGAAAGACTGGGACCTGAGTGCGAATTCAAGAATTTCTTCATCCCAAAACTCCACCGGCTCAACACTGATGAATCAATTGACGGATGTAGGCCGCGACGAGGAGCATGATCGATTTGGAGGGGATGAGTAAAGTAAAGTAAATTGAAGAAGCAAGAGGGGCGGTGGGAGAGCGGACAGGGGCGGCGCAGGGGAGAAAAAGAGAGCCAGCGGGAACTCAAAGAAGGAACGGGAGAGAGGGTGAAAAAAAAATAATTGGCACCCAAGGGAGGAGGGAGGAAGAAAGGGCTGGGGGAGGAAAGAAAGAGGAGGAAAGAAGGAAAGAAGCAAAGTAAAAGAGGAGAAAAATGAAGTTAAAAACAGAAACGAAAAAAGGGAACGGGAAAGACTTGATGAAAGAGGATGAAGCAGATGGAGAAGCCAGGGAGAGGAAACTCAGGAAAGAGGAGAGAGAGAGAGGAGAAAGCACGAATACTACCACTCAGTACGACAACGAACTAAGCTCCCTAACAGGACTGGTTGCTGTGCTGGCTGGGGGGAATCGGCGGGTCGCCGGACAATTAACCATTCAATCGCAATACAAAAATTAGTTTAGTTTAGTTCTGCTACGTACTCCTAAACCATGATGAGCTGCAATGACCGAGGAGAGGAATATTAATAGTAAACCGCCCCAGGCTGTTAGAACTGCCTTCCCCCAGCATTGTCAACGAACAATGCCTGAGATCTTTCTTCCTACGAGGACAACGATATCCATGGATGTGTACGGAAGGGCTCCGGAAATATGACAGCTGGGAATAAGCTATTAATACTACAGAGCACCAAAAGCTAATAATAAAATCGCCTCAGTCGTATCTCCCAAAATATCTCCCAAAAGGGGATTTACAGGACCTCAACGTGTCCCCGATGTCCCTTGCCTACGGCGAGATGCCACAGCTCAATCCTTGATGGCAGGAATCGTTGGTCATTACAGAGTACTACGTAAGAGATTGGAGAGATTCCGATGAGAGAGATCTGACAGCATGTCTGGGGATGTTAAGATCTTATTGTGGAGAACACCCTACGGAGTATGCATATGGATTCGGCAGAAAGCTCCATCCACAGATATCAACAACATCCTACATCGGACACGGACATCTTAATTGCATTGCATTCTATGTGCAATCGTACAGGTGGGAAATGGTGGCCCCATTGCCAAGTCATCAGGGGCAATGGATGGAACCATTGTTTCATCGCCCGAGACGGCAGGCTGCTGGAGCTACTACTTACTAGTTACTATGTAGACTGGGGCAGGCGATCTTCATATGGAAATTAATTCAACTATTTTCTCGATCCCTTATTGGCCATTCATTCGGAAGAAAAGAGGATTCGTCGCTTACCAGGAACGCATTGGGTCAACATCCATTCCCTCGATCAAGATCCATCGCCTGGATACGGGGCTCACGTCGGGACTTCCTATGTAAGTGATTAAACTATGTGTACCTTCATAGTGGCTGCCCAGTTTAAGGATGATTGGGAATGACCGCCCCTTCCATTTCCCCAGCTCCACCCTATCCACGCTGCTACAGAGACCAGAACCATGGTTCCCAAGTTTCCATGCACTAACCAGTGTTGCTCAACCACGGCATCCAAAATAGGTAAATTCTTTGTTCTACCGACAGAACTCTACGACCTTGTTGAAGCTGCTTTATTCTCCATCTCTCAGCTATTCCACTGACGCACTGTACAGTATGATTGGATGACTGTGGATATTATTGGTGCTCTTGTTTTCCTTGCTGTAAATTACATATTTTATATGTTGTGAAAATCCTGTTACAGTTAAACATGTTTGGGTAGGGGTATATTATTTAGTAGGAATATTCTGATAAGATTACTGGGTTATGTCATTACCTGCCCTCTTCTGTGTGTTAATATTTAAATTGCTTAATGCTAATTTCTGGCTAGATTCGACAGAGTATGTTTACTGATGAATACAGTTTAATTGGTATTATAGACAGTGACTTAGTTATGTATTCCTTGGTTTATGACTAATTTGCGAATAACTCGCCCTGCGAATTTAGCAATTCACCATCCATAGTCTGGGTAACCTTTAAGATTTTAAAATAATTTAAATATGCATCTTTTGAGTGGCCCTCTTGTGATTATTTTACCTTTCAACATCATCACTAACCACTATCAATTAGCATGATACGATTCCCGGACATCCAATATCTGGTCATGTGGAATTATCCCCCTGCGTTTTCGTCTCTTGCAAAGCTACCTTTCTTTATTAAGTGTCCTTGGCCTGCCACGGTATCAGGGTATTTTTTTGTTCTTAACGGCACATCCGGAATCTTTAAGATTTACCTATTTAGCCTCAAGTCTGCCGAGGTAGATAGAGATGTGTCAATACATCAAAAGATATACCCGAGGTATCTGCGGCCGGACACCCTGTTTAGTTCAATGGGATTCCATTAGTAGATGTTGTCAATCATATCTGTAGTGAACTTGATACCTAGTTGCAAAGGAGGTCGGAACCTAAAAATCTGCCAGCCAGAAACCTTAACAACGAGCAAGTCCTGGGCTCTTCTCTCTCCCAAAGATTCCTTCGGCCCCCGGTCTTTGGGAAGAAGATCAGATTATCCGTTCCATCAGAGTCATTGTAAGGAACTATGCTCTTACTATCTATGCACTGACCGAAAATGATAATACAATAGTCGATGCTCCCAAGTGTCGCAACTTCGCTTTTAAGAAGTCACTCAAAATGAGCGCGGTGTGCGATCTCAACTGGATACGATCCTAGCCTTTACATATTACAATCTTGTGCATGATGGCGACGTCTCTGAAAAGTCTCGGCAATGTTCATGCAACATGAAATATTGGGACAGTTTTCCAGGATGACACTAATTTACGGCTCATTAAAGCCCATGGCTTTTTAGTGATCGAGTGGTATTGTCTTGAGATGAAATCAAGCTTGAACAGGCAATGAAGTTTCACCATCGATACTACCCCTTGTCTAGTTTGGCAGATTACACTTTCTGGTACAGTCGATGCTCAGAAGGCATTGTACAACCTGAATTTTGCCTCAATTTTATCTTCGCAGAACAGATCTAGACACATTCCCCTTTTTTGTCTTATTCCGTTAAGTAATGGGCCTTTCCAGATTAGCATGGTTTTGTTAATGCTACGAGGGAATCAATCCAAGGTGGTATTATAGGTATAAGCGGGCCTAGCCCCAAGCTTATTTCCGACGTGCAATACTGTAAAAGTAACGATAGTTTCATACTAAATAAGTACAGATACATGCGCGTTTCAACCTATCTCGGCTTCCGAACTAGCTTGTGATGATGATGCTTGAAATAAAGACAATCAATTCGTACTGAATTCGGATTGAGGTTTCTATTGTATCCAGTATCTTCACCTTGGTAGCGGCATTATTCCCGGAATCTCAATAAGAATAAGTTCTATATACTGGTTTAGATATTTTATAAAAATGAACTCCGGGATTAACCAATACCGTTGTACATATTAACTACGGTAAACAGCTGTAGGAACACATGTAAGGACTCAAGTATTACAGCATCTGAAAGAGTCGAGTATGACCATGTTACTTATCATGGGGAGGTGCATTTCAATTCTGTCGGGTGGCATGTTTCGAAATATTCCCTGGATCAACCACTTTCGTAGTCCGTTTTCATGGTCTCTTATTTGTTTAACATTTACTTCCTCGTTCAAGTCTAAGATCTGTTGTCGATATGGGCAAAATCCTCTTCACGAGCAGGTCATTAAAGCATACCACCAGAGTAAGTCACTCTTTTCACGTACTTATCATATCGTGCTTTGCTAACAAGCATAGGATATCCATTCAACTTGACTTCTACAAACTTCAGCATTCTGAGCCTTGTCGATTAGCAGAGAGACATCAACTAGGCCGTGGATAAAAATGAAGTTCCTGTGCGCACCCCATGGCAGCAAAGTGGGCTAATACTGCAAGAAAGAGGAGGGACTACTTACAATCCCTGTAAGATATATAAGGAAGAGGGGGTTTTTTGTTCGTGTGCTGCTACACCAGTGCTTTAGCATGTGGCTCCACACCAGGTTTCTTGTGCTTCCTGTGTGTGGAATGGCAGAGGGTCCAAGTGTTTGTTCCGCGAAGACGAGCCTGGGCGCGACCAGTCAATGACTTCTAGTAAGTTCCTATTTTTTGAAGTTTATTTGCAGATTGCTAACAGAAACAGGGCCATGTTAGAGCAGGGAACTATCTGCTTATCATTAAGAAAGGTCCTCGAGTTCGCTATTTGTCTTCGAACTCAAAGTTCATTTGGATCTGTCGATATCACCTAGAGGATAGGTATGCATGGGCATGGTTCTCAATTCCTGCATGATAAAGAAAGGACAACAACAACAACAAAAAAAAGGGTAATAAAATAGAATTATATTCTACGGAGTAGTTATGCACCAGTTCAATAGTTACAAATGGTATGCATAAGTCTCATGCACTGTAATATACTGGAAAGTGGGGAAAGAGGAGAAATTTCGGGACTGACAGTTTGGAGGTTGGGGTCTACCAACGTACGTCATTAAATTGAACTACGATTTCACACTGAATGCCATTAGATCAGGAGATTCTCGGCCATTGCGAGTGATGACGCTTTGGATTTTCGACTTGTCTTTTCCCGGAGTGTTTTGGTTTGGGGCAATATACCGCTACCTAACATATCGTTTCTATATCACCGCAGTGGCATTGTTTGTAACCGTCCACAAACCCCCATGGGAATTTCCAATAGTATCCAGCCAAAATTCCAACCTGAAGGAGTCCCTTAGAAGTTTTTAAGTTTATGTGGGTACACGATGCAGTTGTTATTCTAAGAAAGACCTATTCGCTCTGTAGGATATAGACCTTCGTGCGACCCAACTATTTCAACTCCAGTAACACAAGTCCAGCAACGTCTCACAACTCAATTTCCCTGCGTAGCACCACAGCTGGATAGGTAGGGGGAATTCCAATATCAACTAGTAAGGTAAAGTAAGAACTCAAAGGGTTGGATGAGGCTGTCACTTGCTCCCAATAATAATAACAATGTCTCGGGTAGCTCCGTCAAGTGTCCCCCGTTCGCTCTTTAGTTAGAACTAGGATTGATTGGTGTAAGGGCTGATAGTGTCGATTGGGTTGGTTGTTTAGTTGAGCTATAACCTTCTGGCCCTCCTAGCAGGATGATATTTCTCCCAGCGTCCAGAAGAGGGCGCGTAGGGCAAGCATGGGGCTCAAGATTGATACTTTATTAACGCAAGTACTCCGTAGGCACAGTGCATCTCCAATGCTTCAATCGACTCAATATGCAAGGGAAATCAATTACCGCGATCTATATTAAAGCTCGGGATATATGGAGTTTTCTCCTTCAGTAAATGCGGAAAGAGTTTTAAACACCTTGCAGAAGATGCAAACCTAAACTGAATATACTTAGTTCAAATTGGTCGTGGTGTGATAATAATATTCAACAGGGCCCATGTTTAGCCAGGACGATAGTTTCAAGGTGTAAGCCCTGGAGTTCCAATCAAGTGAATGTGCCTGCCATTCGTGCATCCTGATTATTCGACAAGGCTAACAATACCTAGGGTAGTCGATCTTTCGTGTTGCCTTTCAGCCTTGTCATCTGCATCTCGTGACTTGCCGCCGTTCCAACGTCCCCCGAAGTAGCCTTCGACTGTTTGAAAATCGTGTGATCCAACGGTCAGAGTATCACATTGACAGATGAACTCAAATTCTCTTGACCTTCTTCTAGCGTTAAATGGAGGGGATCCTGCGCCCGTTGCGTTGGAAATCAGAGACGTCGACGGTCCTTACCCCCTATCTAGGGTGGCCCGTAAGTGCTCCGTCATTTGCTTACTCAAGAGAACACAATGAGTTTCGGTGGACAAATTTCGGAACAGTCGCCTGGAATGACTGCAATACCACGACAAAACTAGCAAGTTTTATGCAGACATCGCTTTTCTTTGAGCTACTGGCTGCATTCTTGAATCATGAGATTGTTCCAAGCGACTTCATACGAGATGGTTTCATCAACCTTAACACGGACAAAATGGACAGACATTTTCGGAGATGGCGCTCGACCCTCTCGCAACTGTCACGCTCGGCGCAGAACCAAGCGCAAGAGCTTACGCGGACCTTGATTGGATTTGCCCAGTACAATAGTGACCTCTTTGAGGAAGTGGCAGACCATCTGGGCGAGGATGAGATTTTTGACCGGATCTCACTATCTGTAAAACTGCTAATCAATTTCTTGAGTGAGATTTCAGATGATAGCTTCTCCCTAATTGGCCCTCCTCCGTCTGGAATCTCGAACAGTTGGCTTCGTAACGTAGTATCACGAAGCATGCACTGGCACAAAACCAACCTGTTCTGGCTCCAATCGGATGATCACCATGAACTCCTCCAGGATCGTCTTGACAGGATGAGCGAGGCCAATCTTAAGAATCATCTGTATGGCCGGTCAAATCGGTTCCTACCGTTTCCTCTCGGCGTAGATCAAGGAGGTCGGGCTGCAAGGCTGATGTACAATCTTTTTGTGAATAACGGCTGGTGTCCGCACCGAGCCCTGCAGCTGTGTCGATCTTACGATTACCTTGTGCTCAATAGCCTGGTTGGTCTGATACGACGTCCACCCTCTGTGGAAAACCATGCACAATGCCTCGAGATGCGCCGGTGCTGTTCACACAATCTCGTTTTGGATGGTCTAGACGATTATCCATTTGCTCATGACAGCCATGGAGCTGAACAACAGTGTCCTTTTGTTCATGTCCCGATAAACCAACTGATTGATATCATTGATTCGAGATCTATTCCATTGATATCTCTCAGCCGAGAAGGCGACCTGGATATTCAAGTTGTCCGATGTACACCATTTATGTCCTACACTGCTATCTCGCATGTATGGTCGGACGGCATGGGCAATCCCCAGTCGAATTCTCTACCGCAATGTCAGCTCTTGCGGTTAAGAAGACTCATAGCGGAGACATATAACATTGAAAACGACCCCCTCTACGATAACAGTACCGCTTCATCGATAGAACGAAATTTCATAGCCTGGGAGCTGAGAAAGTCGCATGCCCAAAGCAGCTATCGCAAAGTCGACAAGAAACGCATCTACTTCTGGATGGACACCCTCTGCATCCCGACAACGAGCAGTTCACGATCTGCCCAGCGGAACAAGGCTTTAAAATTCATGGCGATGAAGCACATCACTCCCATTTTTGCAAGTGCGACCAATACGCTTGTACTCGAGAAGCAAATCCAGTCGGTCCGGTTTCCAGACCCGAGGGACGTCAGCGGAGATGAAATAGCAGCGCTCGTTCTCAGCTCCAAATGGATGCTACGGGGCTGGACCCTGGAAGAAGGGTCTTTATCCGCACAGGTTGTCTATCATATAGCCGGCAAGCCATATGAGATGGCTACTACGCTGCACCATCAGCTCCCCCGACCGGCAAACCAACACTCTCCGGCGGAACGGGCCAACATCATCTGTCGTCGGAAGGTACCACTCATTCTGAAAAGATCTCTGTTAGAGGAGAAGCTACATATGATGCTAGCAACCCACAGAAAAGCATTCTATCTAAGCAAGGAACTCCGAGTTCCACAGTTTGTTTGGGCATGGAACTCCCTCCTGGAGCGTTCCACGACGAAGGCAGAAGACGGGCCTCTTATCCTTGCGAATATTCTGGATTATAACGTTGCAGCTTTCAAAAATGTGCCATCCGCCGCAAGGCTGAAACTGTTGATCCAGAGTTGTGATGAACTCCCTCTGTCAGTGTTGTACAACACCTCAGGCGAGCGGCTGTCCATTCCAGGCCATCCGGAGCTCGGATGGATACCCTGCTCTATTGACGGCGATCATCTCAATGTTGGCGGTGCATTACGCCGAATAAATACCGGACCGTCTTGTAATAAGATCACCTACTCTATTGATTTTTCTGACTGCGACGTGAGGTCCCTGGTGGCCCTGCGGACCCAACCTCTAGCACCTCTACACGAATGCCAAACATTCTTGGTGCAATATAGGACACATCCGAATGAAGGATACCACGAATACATAGTCCAGTCTCATTCCACAGAACGAGGGGAATCTCCACGAGAGGTCGAGCACTACGGCATTTGTATTGCGATCGATATATCAATCGGCACATCTTGCCGCCGAGGAATGACCGGCAGAGGCGTTAGATTTCGCATTGAGTCTGAAAGTAGAAACTCAATAATCCTACAATACCAGACACCACTAACCGTTTGGACACGGGAGCAATGGAAATTGAGAACTGGACAGGAACCGGCCAATCTCCCCTGCTTCAGCATGGAACATGTACCTTCTTCGCAGCGCCTCCTTCTCCAATACGGTAAGAACCCAACTTAATCTCTACGAAAAATCCATGCAATAATCAGTTTTCCATGACCTAGAAGTACCGCTCTGGGGCAAGCCAATCCATCGTAGACCGATGCTCAACACACAGCCTTACTTCGCCTTGATTCCAGCGATGACCGTGTCTTTAGTCGCGCTCTTCGCGGCTATATACATTTTCTCCAGCGTGTTCATCGCTATCCGTGACGCCCTCGGTATGAGACCCTTCGTGGCGCCGCTTGGGAAAACAGCTATTTCTTTGTTTGCGTCTCCTATAGCCTTTTTTGTGATGGCTCCAATTCGGCGGAGACTGGCTGTATACGAGTACTTACGATGGCTGAGGAGTTTCGACGAGGGCGAGGGGAATGAAGAGAGTCAAAGGTCTAGAGTAGGTGTTTTTCGTCCAATCCGGGAGTTTTTCCAGCCAGAAAGACCCGAGAATCGAGGGATTGCGCAGGTGAATATCAGTCTACTGCCATTGTACAGCAGGGAACGGGGGGTGTATTTAGAGTAGCGGTATATAGCATAACGAACAGAAAATATTCACACTTCTGTGGAGACAAACATTGTGAAAAAAAAACACGCCAATCACAGCCGAAGCAGGCAGGATTCAATGCAGCCCCAGTAACCCGTGCAGTTGAGGCTGACATCTTCCCGTCTCCAACTTCACTTTCTTTTCTCTATCTTATTTCACCTTGCCTACTCCATTCTTATTATTCTCTCCACCCATGGCTCCTGTCTCATTCTCCCTGTTCGCCCGCAACTTCAACCTCAGTACCACGCCTCCGCTCTTCACCAACCAGCTAAACAACCCCACAGACATCTTCTCTGTGCTGCTGATCCTCGGCGGCGATGTTGTGAATCGCGCCATTGCGCAATTGGCGGGGCCACGAGTGACTCCAGTAGCATTTTCATTCGGTATTCATATCCCCCGCTCTCATCACATGGACACATACATATTTGCATATACATTAACAAATAAACAAAAAAAAAAAAACAAAAAACAAAAAACAAACTAACATGCCTCCTCCCACCCTGTCCAGGCTGGGTGGCCTACATCATGACCGCATTGGTAACAGTTATCGGCGAACACAGACTGATGCCACTCCCCGACAGTCCATGTCACGTCATCAATGGGAAAACCGGCTATGTGCGGACGAACCGCAGCTGGATTCTGGGACGCATGATGCGAGACTACGAAGTATGGATGGACTTGCGTATCCGACGGCACGTACAGGACATGCTCACTCGACGATGGGACAAGATGCGCGAAGAAGCGGAACGACACCGACCCGGGAGTGGGAAGATGATTGCGCGCCCGAAGCGTGCCGGTCTCTGTGTTTCTGTTTACCGGGCGGAGAGGGCGCAGATTGGTCGCCATGCGTACGACTGGTTGTGGTATTTGGGATTGGTGACGGCCGGAGTGCAGTTGGGGATAGCGGCAATTCCGCTGGGGGTGGAGGGAGATTGGAGTGTGATGTTGGTGACTGGAGCGGGGATCGGGTTGTCGATTGCGACGGGAAGTTTGAGACAGTGGTCGAGGGAGAAATGGGCCTGTCGCGGCGAGACGAGGAAGACGGTGGTGTTGACGAGGGGAAATGGTAGTCAGCATGCGATTGTGATCGTGGGCGATGGGAAGGGGTTGGATTTGGAGGATTTGGCCGCGGGGCCTGGCGAAATGGAGGATACGAAGCTCTCCCGGATGACGCAGGCCGTGGTGACGGTGTTGGCAGTGTTGTGGACGTTGTTGTTGATTCTCGCGGCTGGGTCAACCATGCATACATGGTTTCTCCTGGCGGTTGGCGCAGTGGGTATCGCGGAGAATATCCTGGTCGCCGGGTCGCCCAGGATGCCGGCAGCTTATGGCGTGCACTTGGCTTTCCAGGAGGTCATTGGGGAGGCGAAGGTGATGGATACGCTGTTCGCGGTCGAGAAGGCGTATCCTCACGTGGGACGCAGTATGTTAGATACATTCTTCCCGGGGAAGTTAAGGTCAAAAGAACTGGCTCGTTGGGAAGAGCTGGGTCAGTTGGCTGATGCTATGGAAAAATCACTAAAGGAGTAAACCTATGTGAACGCGATGGTGATTCTCATACATCCACAGACAGGCAAAGAGAGATTTTATATTCATGTTCATGTCAGTTCATGTCTATGGATGGAGTATAAAATCCAAGAAGGGGATAAAATCGTCAAAATCGTCAAAATCCCAAAAAGGAACATCCCAAAACAGTCACCTATCATATCCAAATGATTCAAATCCATCAAACGAATTCAGCAAGGGGAAATCACAAGGCAAAGAGAAGGACCTAGGAAACCGTCTAACGCTTCCCCCCCGACATGCCGCTTCCACCGAGAGACACGGTGTCTGGGGCGCCGTATGCTGGCGGTGGTGTTGGGTTTGGCGACCGCCGTCTCATAACGGGATCACGGCTTGAACTTGGTGTACCAGATGGAACCTCGCCGCCGTCTCCTGTCCCGACGACTACCTGCTTGCCATCACGCATGCGACCTACCACCATGCCTTTAGCCACCGACTTCAGCACGGCTTTGCGGCTCACTCCGGTGGCATCGATGTAGACCAGCCCGACATTCTTCACGCCTCCCGTCAAATCGGTGGCAACGGAGCCCGCTTCCGCGCCATAGCGATGTCCGATCATCGTACTGGCGGCCGACGAGCCGGTAATCAAGACGTTTCGTGCGCTCTGTTCAATGCCGTCCACCAGGGTCGAAAAGGCAATCATGGACTTGTTCAGCATTCCGGGTTTGTATTCGGTGCCGTTCCCGGATTTGTCGACGCCCTTGTTCTTCTCATTCTCCTTGCGGCGGGCCAGAGAGGCCCCGAAGTTCTGAGCATACTTGCCCACCTGGCCCACGGTCCGCGCGGAAAGGCCGGCCGCGGTGTGGGAGAAATCACCGATTTTCCGCACCCTGGTGTGCGTGGTATCGGAGAAAGCCATGGGTTTGGGGTTAGGCTTAGTCTTCTTTGTGAAAGTATCAGCTCCAGTGGCCATAGCACTGGCCAGGTACGTCGATCCGGTCACTAGCAGTCGGGAAGCCATGGCGGACGTCTGAACGATGGTCGAGCCCTTGTACGCTGGATGACGAGCCATCTGCAGGTATTCTTCGGATACATTGCTGACACTGATCTGGTTCCCTTCCCCTTCGCTAGGGAGTTGAACTTCCACTGGCCCTGTATAATAAAATGGACTATCAGTCATGCCTGAGAATATTCGCAACAAGAGGACCTACGCTTCGAGCCAGGTTTCACTCCCGGTTTTTCAACCACGTCATATCCCTCCATCTCACCCACAACGCTGCCATTTTCCTCGTCCACGAGCACAATCCGGCCATGTGGATCAGGCTGAGTCGCACTGCCGGAGGAGACGTAGCCCTCTCCAGGGGCAAAGTTGGCCGGATTGTACGGAGCATGGCTCTTGGGTGTTGGTGGAGGCGCGTGCTCCAGGAATGCGGTGCATTGAGCTAGGATAGTCTCAAAGGTATCCACATCCTCCTGAGTCACCTTATCAGGGCCTGATCCGATGCCGGGGAATTGAATCCGGATGAAAGCGCCCGCATCGGGGCCTAGATCCCAGCGGGGGATTAGGAAGCTGCTCGGAGGTTGGTGGTAAATCTGGGTGGTGGCCGGAAGGGCCAGGTCCAGCTCAGGCGGCAGATGCAGATGAAGATAGAAATCCTCTTCGGGTGTGGCATCCGGGGAATTCTGTGGCACAGAGGCGTTTGTCGGTACCATCAGAAGAGACAGAGTCTGGGGCCCGGACGGCGTAAGATCGGATTCCTCGCCATTTTGCAGGTGGAATGCCTTGATGTTATTTATGCTATACAGCAGCCGGGGATCTTGAGCGGGGGATGCCATTGCCGACTGGGCCAGTGGATGAGAGCCAGGGAAATAATAAACCGATAAATTAATCGATAATGAAGGAAGTATAAATATGTAGAATTCGGAATAAAAACAAATCCAGCAGTCGATAATATATCAGTTAGACAAGGTGGGGCGATGACGCTGCGGGGGAAACAATCGGGCTTTCACAACTGCCAGCAGCCGTCTGTCCACAGAGTAGAAAAGAGTAGCAAAGAAAAGGGAAGAAGACAAAGCCTCTGGGGATCTGCACACAATAAATAAATATTCGTCACCCGTAATTGCACTGATATCAGAGCTCAAACAGAGGCAAGCAGTCCCTGGTCTGTGATTGGCCCGCTGTGTAACTGCGCCACAGTCTCAGACCAAAGCAACGCCACAATTTCCCGGCGGGGCAGACGTGGCTGAACACATCCCGAATGGTAATTACAAGCCAGATCCATGAGGCAACAAAGGCGACATATCCCAACAATCATCGGTCGCTGTTGAACGCTCCGCAAGATTCCTCCTGTACTACATCATGTGAGTATCTAGGAGACAAAGGGAGAGAGCCACGGGGACCAACAGCGGCTACGCTGCTATTTAAATCCTACCAATCCAGGCCGTACCTGATAATTTCTCCGGATTAGCGGCGCTTGAGTCCATCACTTACTCTACGGGGCCTTACTCTACGGGGCAATTCGAACATGGCACGTTTCCAGATCCTGTCAGATCTTCATCTAGAAAACCCTTGCGCATACGATGCATTTGACGTGCCTCCCCAGGCGCCGTACCTAGCGCTCCTGGGAGACATCGGCAACGTCAGAGATGAGGGTCTCTTTCTTTTCCTAGAAGTCCAGCTTCGGAAATTCCAAATCGTTTTCTTCCTCCTAGGAAATCATGAGCCGTACCATTTCAGTTGGACGACCGCCAGAGAACGAGTCGTGAGCTTTGAGCAGACTATTCGGCAGAGACGAGCCCAAAAGGAACAGACAGACTCCCAGCCTCTAGGACAGTTCGTGTTCCTGGATCGGAGACGTTATGATCTCTCGTCCGATGTGACGGTGCTGGGATGTACATTGCACTCTCATGTTCCTCCGGCCCAAGTGGAGCGCGTCAGCTACTCGCTCAACGACTTCTACCACATTAATAATTGGACCGTGGAGGAACACAATGCCGCCCATGATGCTGATCGATCGTGGCTGAATACACAGGTTTCAAGCATCGAGAAATCAGAACCGAATCGCAAGATTGTCATTTTTAGCCATCATAGTCCGACGGAGGCCGAGTCGGCGGTCGACCCTGCCCATGCCAATAGTTCCATCTCGTCGGGGTTCGCGACGGACATGACAAAGGACCCGTGCTGGAAGAGTTTTCAGGTGCAACTGTGGGCATCTGGCCATACCCATTACAACTTTGACTTTACGGATGAGAAGACAGGCATGCGGGTGATGGCGAACCAGAGAGGATACTACTTTGCTCAGGCGAAGGGGTTTGATGTGGAGAAGGTTGTCGAAATCTGACAGACAAGATAGTCACTAGAACGATAGAATGATGAATACCACATGGATTTATGATTTTATCCTGTCTTCAATTTTATTATCTCATATCTGGTTTGGTTGGGACTTCCCCAGACGCATTGAGCGATAGCCGCGGTTAACCGAGGCCCATGGGCGGGCGTCCTTGTGATTCACCCCATCTCACTTTCCTTCCACTCTTCCTCCTCTCTTTCGATTCTTCCTCTCCCCTCACTCCGTTGTTTCTTGAACCCAAACTTGTGATTAGCCCAACTCTATACTTCAAACTCCTCGCTATGGCGTCTATCACTCGTGCGTTGCGGCCTTTGTCCCGCACTACTCCCTCCGTTCGCCTTGCCACAAGACGGCCTTTGCCATCCCGGCTACCCCGGAGGTATTTTACTTGACACTATTTGGATCATGGGTCGATTGGATCCCATGATGAAATGATAAACCGCTATTCTCATTGCTAACGCTTCTCTTGTCTACTTACCAGCGCCGCACCCGCATTCTCGACGACCTCCCACCAGCGTGATATCGACCTGTCCCAACTCACCCCGACCCCAATCACGCTCATGTCCGAGACCGAGACGTTCCTAGCGGAGTCCGTCTCCAAGTTTGCTCAGGAGCAAATTGCCCCCAAGGTCCGCGACATGGATGAGGCGGAGACCATGGATCACTCCATTGTGGACCAACTGTTCGAGCAAGGTCTGATGGGCATTGAGCTCCCGGAGGAATACGGCGGTGCCGGAATGAACTTTACGTCTGCGATTGTGGCCATCGAAGAACTGGCCCGGGTGGACCCCAGTGTCAGCGTGATGGTTGACGTGCACAATACGCTCGTGAACACGGCCATCTTGAAATATGGCGATGCTCAAGCGCGACGGACCTGGCTGCCCAAGCTGACTACGGGAACCGTTGGATCGTTCTGCTTGTCCGAGCCGGCGTCTGGGTCGGATGCTTTTGCGTTGAAGACCAAGGCTGAAAAGACCGCCGACGGGTACAAGTTGAACGGATCCAAGATGTGGATCACCAACGCCATGGAATCCGGCATCTTCATTGTCTTTGCGAACCTCAATCCCAGCGCGGGATACAAGGGCATCACTGCCTTCATCATTGAGAAGGGTACCCCTGGCTTCTCCATTGCCAAGAAGGAGAAGAAGCTGGGCATCCGGGCGAGTAGCACGTGCGTGCTGAACTTCGATGACGTCGAGATCCCCAAGTGCAACCTGTTGGGTGAGGAAGGCCAGGGTTATAAGTATGCCATCAGCGTGTTGAATGAGGGGCGTATTGGTATTGCTGCTCAGATGACCGGTCTGGCCCTGGGCGCATGGGAGAACGCTGCCAGGTATGATACCTACTCTTGGAATGCAGATTTCTATTTGCGTCCCTTATCCCTTCTACTTTTCAAACCAATCTCTCTATTGCTCTTACTCATATTCATCATAGATACGTCTGGAACGACCGTCGCCAATTCGGCCAGCTGATCGGAAATTTCCAAGGCATGCAGCATCAAATTGCCCAGGCCTACACCGAAATTGCCGCCGCGCGGGCTCTCGTCTACAATGCGGCTCGCAAGAAAGAAGCCGGCCAGGATTTCGTCCAGGACGCCGCTATGGCCAAGCTTTATGCCTCACAGGTGGCGGGCCGCGTGTCTGGCTCCGCAGTGGAGTGGATGGGCGGCATGGGTTTCGTGCGTGAAGGCATCGCCGAGAAGATGTTCCGCGACAGCAAGATTGGCGCCATCTACGAAGGAACGAGCAATATCCAACTGCAGACCATCGCTAAGCTTCTGCAGAAAGAGTACACCCGGTGAGCTGGAAAGGATGGTTGTTCATTTTGTTTCAATTGATGTCTCACGTAACTAAGTTAGCGGCGTAAGCGATAAATCAGGGGCCAAGCCCACCACCCGACCTTGAGATTGGATTTGGATATGATTTCCTTTTTCTTTCCTTGTTTCTTTCTTGCTTTTTTTTTTGAGGTTGACATGTGCAGGATGCCTAACGATCATTTGTAAGATAATAGAATAACGGTCAACATAGAAAAGCGAACTAGACTTTCCATGGATCTTAAAAGTCAATCGTTCGACTTGGATTGTCAAGGACTATTATCTGTTAGGACTGCTGTGCGCTCTCCCTTCGTTGTGCCAGCGATCAAGAAGTAGACAGGTATTTGATCGCACGTTCGGTCTTTAATTTCCCATCACTTGTTGACATATCACTTGACGATTTCGTTCAACGGACTCTATCATCTTCTCAAGTCTTGGTATATCCGTATATTCGATATCGTTTATCCCTTGTCCTTTATCCGGTTGCCCAGACCTAGATTAGCTCTTTTTGAGGCTAGGAATTGTGGACAGGCAGGACGAGACGCATTGACCGTTTCAATTCTCTTAGCTCTCAATCGCGTGTCTAGATCTTTATTGGCCAGCGTTATCGTACTCTCATATCGAGAGGAGACAGATATGAATAGGGGGACGGTCGACTTAGGGGATGGATGATAGAAACATCTAGCACAGAGAATATTACATTGGGACTAATGAAAATTGTCAATCAGCTAGGACATTCTACGCTTCACAAGGTAGGGAAGAGTAGGGAAGACATACCCTCTCTGAAACGAGATAAATCGAACCGAATGGTCTCAGAAAGCACATTTATGGATGCTTCCGAAGGATCATAGTTATGAAGATAAAGAGACATTCACCATCGAGGGATTCTCATTTTTCGAACAGAAGTTCAAGACCGATGTACCCAATTATAATTGTACTCGTTTCTTGGAGGCTGCTGCTCCGTACTCGGATGCTGCTGGTACTGAGGCGTAGCATGAAGCACAGGATAACCACTGGTCTCCCTCTCTGCCAGAACGGTCGGTACAGAGATCGATCGCTGGCCAGCGGCGTACGGGATTGCCTGTTGCGGATTGTGATTGTGACTGTGGCTGATTTCGTCGGGATGTGCATGAGGGGAACTCCCCTGTGCGTAGAGGTGCGAATATGACTGGAACGCTGGATCGGGGGGGTGTCCACTAACTGGAGCGTTGTATGCAACACGCGATGCTGGAGCTGGTATCGCGCTACGGGTCCGGATTTGGCCATCGAATATATAAGGCTCTACTCGACTCGAGTAATCTGCGTCCGAGGAGTCACAGATGGATGGGGACCGAGTTGAACCGTACTGTTGCCAGTCATGCGGGACGGATACTTGACTGGACGTTGAGAGAACTGAGGGTGCTCTTGATACTGGATTCACTCCTAAAGACTCGGCATACTGGGACGATGGGAGCATGTTATACCCTGAGGAGCTGCCGGATGAGCCTTCTGTCACCGAGAAAGATATAAAAGAAAAAGAGCATCAGTAGATTGAACTCGAACTCAAAGTCAGGAAAGTCGGAAACCAAAGAAGTGAGATTTGATCGCTTACCGATGTTAGAATACCCTTGTCCACTTGTCACCATTGCCAGTTGCTGTTTCAATGACCTGATTTCATTCTCCAGAGCGACGTTCCGTCGAACAACGTCATCATACCGGTCTCCTTTGGATTGCAGCTCTGCCACCTGATGCTCGAGACGCTCGATATGTTCTTTGGTCCGCTGACGGATGGTTCTTTGAGCCTCTCGGTCGTTGGCCCGCTTTCGCTCCAATTGTTCGGCAGAGAGTGAAGTGACCTTACGCGTTCCAGCCCGAGATTCTCGCTTCTTGGAGGACTGAGAGGGGTCTGAATTGGTGCTCATGATGCACTCGAGCGGGAGCCCGCTCGGAGGATTTCAGTAGACAAGGCAATAGAACAAGTCCTTCGAAGGATAGGAATCATGGGCGTCGAAACGAGCGTGATGCATACCAGATATACGTGGGTCACAGAGGATAACCAAAGAGTCACTTTCTCAATATGAGACTATAGTCGTTTCCATGTGCGTGTGGGTTACACTAGAAGCCGCAATATATGCCAGTGGGGATGGCACAACTTCACTTGATATAAGCTATAACGTGTGGATAAAGAAGTTGGAAATCGTCATGAAGCGTGAAGACTATGGAGAGGCCCACGAAATGATCCAGTCTGGAGGACCAGCCGCAGGAGACTCATATAGGCCAGGTCTCCATCGGAGTTAGGCACGAAGAAGGCCCATTAGTAAAAAAAAAAAAAAAAAGGTACACCCCAAAAAATCTCTTTCTAGATTGTCGAGACCAGCGCCGAGACTACACCGGAGTTATTCCTAACATTATTCTACCAACGGATCCTCTGGCTCTGCAACACGCCAATAGACACTCTTTAGTGACAGAAGCGCGGTGGGAAGGGGGCCGACTATGGGCTTGCGCTTTTACTCCAAGAAGCTACTTCTATGGGTCTGCGCTATGTGCACATTCCGACCCTCCCGGGCTACAGAACTGCTCTAAGGGGGTTGTCGCCGGCATCTTACTCTTAGATCGGTGTTTGGTTCAACAGTGTCCAGGGGTAAAGGGGGGCTGTAATACTAGTGAGCCAATCCAGTCATGTGGCGGGCCTGCATCGGTGTATCAAAGAGAGACTGGCGCGGCTGTCATCGTCCTAGAAACCATGGCAGGCTGAAATTTTATCGCGGAATGTACTCCATACAGATGTAGAACAGTGTCTATGATCCGGTGGACCCTGGGACTTGAAGGCCACATGGTAAGCTAAATCAAACACTCTCAAACTCATATGATTGATTTCCTTCCTCCAACAACATATTCTAGTCGACAATTGGGATATATTCGGTTCGAGAACCCAACGGACTGATGGCTCGGTACTTGGCCGTTTCGCACTAGAAAGGAAAAAAAAAAAAAAAAAGGAGAGAGAAAGAAAAAGTAAGGGAGGGAGAAGAAGCAAAAAGAATGGAAAAAGAAAGAAAAAACGGGCCAGGACCACAAATGCAAGCCATGGAAATTGTGTGAAAAGTGTTGGGATCTCAAAGCCCACTAGACCACCAGAATTCGAAGGTGATCATCGGCTGTTTCTTCTTTAGGATGGGTTGATTTCCAGGATCTACTAGCTTTTGGCGATGGCAAGATAAACACGCGGCTCTCCATCGTAAGATTCAGCAAATTGCATGTCACTATTGGTACGGTCCAATCCCCTATGCCTAAGTTGGCTAACAGTGTTCCAGTGTTCCAGTGGCAATTGTATCCGATCTGGAAGGGAGTCAGCATTTAGAATCATGGGCGATACCGGCCACGAGGTAAGGTAGATCGACTCCACCAGGAGTGTTTGCCGGACAAACTACGATTCGTGGGTGGAGGCGGAACAAAGCGAAAGTCCATAAATATCAACCATGGAATATAGGTTATTGGAGCCAACAAGATCTCGGGAGATAGCCGCGCTGTGTCGGGAAGGACGAAGATTTTGAATCCGAGGTACGGACCCATAGAATCAGGGAATAAAAAAAGAAAAAGAAGAGAGAGAGAGAGAGAGAGAGAACAGGCCGATACAGAGAACGAAGAAATGGTCTGACTGATGTGTGAACGGAAACGACGGAGAGGCTGGCTGATGCATGACGCACGAAGTTCCTACCATGGTTAGTGGTTCATCTTGAGATCCAGAGATCCCACCTTTATTCTGCCTTTGTTTTTCCTTTTCGTCCTTTGTTCCCTCCATCGTTTTGGCCTTAAAAGTCTCTGTACGTTTCTTCTCTGATGGCCGAGAACCACAGAACAAACGACCAGCAAAATATATCTGCTGGCTTTTCTAGCCCTGAGAAAGGGTTGCAGACCTGGGGATTCTCGAATACTTTAAATGTACCGGGTTTGATGCCTAACAAACCCTGAAGATTAATAATAGTAATAATATACTCTAGTATAGGTCAAGAACAACAACACCCAACCTTCAAAAGTTGGTACTAGGCCTGTGCGGTGGATCTGGTGGCGACTGAACATGGTGCTGATTTCTGAGACCATCAACATGGGGAAGGAAAGAGTCGTGTGCGTTTCTAGAAATTGTGGAAGGTCGTCTGTCCACGGTCAACTACCTATTGATAATAAGTCTGGGTCTTAAGGCAAACTGTCGCCCACAGCGCTTTGAATATTATTATCACAACCGATCACCCATCTCTTCGACGTGCTGAGCTGAAAGCAGGTGTAGCATCAAATCCAGGGTCAATTCACAGCAGCCTCATATACCGGGATAACAACCACATTGCAGAAAAAGCTGGTGATAATGCAATCTAATAATGGGTTCCTAGTCCGTAGTTTTGGAATATGGGCTCGATGCGCCCACAGAGCTTAGGCAGCTGTTTCTCGCGCAATTTCACTGCGGCACACGGCAATTAGATAGTCTGATACCCATCGTATCCTTGGTTAGCGCCCTTCCCTGGTTCGTATTTGGAGCATCTCTATGGGGGTATCTTGTCTTTTCACCAACGGCGACTGTGGTAGATCCAATAATAGCAGCAGGGCCTCTAGCCGAGGGATGACGTTAGTCAACCAGATCCGATAGATCAGATCGAAGAACAAGTCAAGAATCAGATCCTTCCTTACCGGTGTTTCTTGGCAGCGAAAGGAAGGACAAAGATGACGACCACGAGGGGAAGATTGGCTGGGACTTGCCGAAGGCGCGGGGGAAATGAAGCCGAGGAGAGTTGGATGGCGATGTATTGCCATTACGGTACCAGTCACGTCACTCCCATATTGAAGGACAGTTCGATACGTACGCACCGCACTGCCGCCCAATTGGTGCGATTTCCACGTTGCATCATTTGAGCTTCACATACTCTACGGTACTCTACCAGGCCAGCTGGGAAGAGCTGGGCTGTCTCTGGACGGATCAACCGAAAATTTCCACACTAGGCCATAGTACCAGTCAAGATGAACCAGAGCTACAAAGCTCGAAAAGAGGCTTTCGTGTCGAACCTCGAGGGAGGAAGTATTCTAGAGGTTATTGCTGTCACTTTGGTAGCACCAGTGAGTGACCACGCGCCCCCAATTGCTCGACCTCGCCCTGGTTAACATTACCCATCTTTGCCTATCACTAGGCTTCGGTTTTCTTGTGGTCGGTGCTCCAGTCCCGTCTATCCTTCTTTACGCCCTACAGTGCCGCGGCGCTTGTCACCGATTTCTTGCTGAACGTTTTGGCAATTCTCTTTGCAACTACACTCTACTCCTCCACGCCATGGACCCTGAATATCCTTTTAGTATCTCCGGCTCTCCTGCTGCTGGTGACCTCGACGCCGCCCCGCACCCAGCAGAAGGCGAAACCACCTCGTCCATCTACTGTAGCTGACAAGACCTCGAACCATGCGACCGACGATTCCGGATCCCTTCCAATCCATCCCTTTCTCACAACCTACCGCGCTGCAATGATGATTGTCACATGCGTCGCTATATTAGCTGTTGATTTCCCCGTCTTTCCCAGACGGTTCGCCAAGGTGGAAAACTGGGGTACCTCGCTCATGGATTTGGGTGTTGGTTCTTTTGTCTTTTCAGGGGGAGTGGTTTCTGCCCGCTCCTTACTCAAAGGTCGAAAAGACCCCTCTACTAAGCCACCTCTGGTGCAGAGATTGGCCGGCTCCATGCGACATTCAATCCCTCTGCTGGTGCTGGGGTTGATACGATTGTATAGCGTCAAAGGCCTCGATTATGCCGAACATGTGACGGAATACGGTGTCCATTGGAATTTCTTTTTTACATTGGGACTTCTGCCGCCATTTGTGGAGATCTTCGATGGCTTGGCTAACTTTGTCCCCTCGTATGAGCTTCTTGCCCTGGGGGTTGTGACCGTGTATCAGGTGGCACTTGAGTCTACTGATCTGAAGAGCTATATTCTTGTTACCCCGCGCGGCCCAGACCTACTCTCTAAGAACCGCGAGGGGGTTTTCTCCTTCTTGGGATATCTGGCAATATTTCTGGCGGGTCGTGCGGTTGGTGTTCGTATCATTCCACGCGGGACGTCCCCTTCGAAATCGCCGCAGCAAGCTCGAAAGGGCTTGCTTGTAAGCTTAGCGGTCCAGGTAATTGTCTGGACCGGGCTTTTCATATTGAACTCCACGTATGTCTTGGGATATGGGGCCAATATCCCGGTCTCCCGTCGGCTGGCCAACATGCCGTACGTTCTCTGGGTGTCTGCGTTTAATATCGGGCAGCTTTTCATGTTCTGCGCTCTAGAGACGATGTTCTTTCCCTTTGTCTACCGGGCATCCGGGAAAAGCGGGGAAGCAGAAAGGATGTCCTTCGCAACCAGTCGCATTATGACTGCGTATAACAAGAATGGACTGGCAGTCTTCCTAGTGGCGAACCTCTTGACAGGCACGGTTAACCTGAGCGTTCCTACGCTTGATGTCAGTCTCCCACAAAGTATGGCAATTCTTATTGCATACGCCGCCATCACCACCAGTATTGCCCTGGGGATGCTAAAGGCGAACATCAAGCTGGTCCTATGAAAGAGTTCATATGGGTGTAATTAGATTAGTGTATAATATAAAGTCACCATAGATCAGATATGGGGAATATCTGGGGAAGTAAGTTGAACCGAGGCTTATCAGGTGACTCCCCCCACAAGTAGACTGCACTCTCCAATGTTTCACTTCGCATATCTCTTACTCGACTAGAGCCTATGCAATGGGTGCCAACAATGACAAACCTCAGTTCTTTCACTATCCCGAAGTCCGCCAAGGGCCGTCCGTTCCGTATCAAAATGAGGACCAGTTGATTCCCGTCCTTCGCGGCACTCCTTTAGCTATTGGTGCTTCCCTGTAAGCCTGGAGCTCTGGACAACCTTAACCATGAAATCCGGTGAATCCACTGACATTTTGCTCTCTGTCTCATTCCAGTATTCATTCCGTGGGCTTTATCCAAAGCTATTTCTGGCGTAATGCCGGCTTTGATGTCGTTCGCCAAGTTCCACATCTCCAACAGTATTCCGCCCGCTACGACCCCACGGTAATTCCTATCGTCGATTCCAAGTCCTCGTCTCCCGCCGAGCTCCCGGTGCCTAGGGAAAGGCGTAAAGGCCCAACTGGGTACTACACCTCTGCCGATTACCATACCCTCTACAAGTCGGGAGAACTGACTCCGATCGCTGTCGCCGAAGCTCTCCTACCCCTGATCCGTCGCGATGCGAAGCCACCGGGCAGACACTCAATTGCGTTCTTAGAGACGCAAGTGGACAGAGTCCGCGCGGCTGCAGAGGCCTCCACAAAGAGATACAAGGATGGAACCCCCCTGGGTCCCTTAGATGGCGTGCCCGTGGCGATCAAAGACGAAGTACATATCGAAGGATATCGGCGAACGCTCGGGACCACGTTGGACTTCAAGGACGGATATGACGGCACGTCTTGGTGTGTCAGGAAATGGGAAGAGGCTGGGGCCATCATAATCGGCAAGACAACCATGCATGAGCTTGGTCTCGGTGAGCATTCCAATCGTCTGGACCAATGCCAAACTGCTGACGGACACTCCCCGGAATAGACACCAACAATAACAATCCCAACTATGGCACTCCCCGGAACCCCAACAATCGTAACTACTACTGCGGAGGTTCCTCGGGCGGATCCGGATACGCCGTGAGTGCGGGTCTGGTGCCCATTGCCCTGGGTGCAGACGGCGGCGGTTCGATCCGCATTCCATCCTCGTTCTGTGGCGTCTGGGGTCTAAAAACATCCCACGGCCGTATCAGTGCCAGTCCGACCGTGTCCCTTGCCTCGACGGTGGGTGTGTTAGGGCCCATCGCAGCCAGCATCGATGACCTTGCTCTCGCGTACCGCGTGATGGGCGCTCCGCCCCCCGCCGACGAGGATCCCATGTCAGCCATGTTTCCGAGCCCTCTAGCCGGTGTTTCATCTTCCGAACCCCATCGGCCCAGGAATAACAAGACCATCGGTGTCGTTCGCGAGTGGATCGACCGAGCCGAACCTGCCGTTCGCACGGTCTTTGACAGGGCAATCGAGTTCTACCGCCAGCAACGGCAGTACACTGTCATTGACATCGACATCCCCTACCTCCCCGAAGGTCAGCGCGCCCATGTCCTAACCATCATGTCCGAGATCGCCTCGGGGGTATCCCCGCACCAGATCCGCCATCTCACTGCCCCCAACAAGGTTCTCGTCTCGGTGGGCATGTGGCAGATCACAGGCCAGGACTTCCTCGCTGCCCAGCGGCTCCGGAGTCTCCTCATGTGCCATCTGGCCCATCTCTTCCAGACTCATCCGGGTCTTTTGATTCTCACCCCAACCACGCCGATCCCCGGCTGGAAGATCGGCGGCGATGCGGACCTCTCGCGCGGCCTCTCGGACGGGAAGTCTTCTGTCCGCAATATGGAGTATGTATGGCTGGCGAATTTCACCGGCTGTCCTGCCATCAGCTGTCCCGCCGGATATGCGCAGGACGGCAACCGGGTGCCTATTGGCGTGATGGCCATGGGCGAATGGGGTACGGAGGAGGATTTGATTGCTTTTGCTAGAGATGGAGAAGCAATCTTGGATCTGCCGGAAAATCAGCCCTCCGTCGCCAACCAGTCGGAGCAATCATCTGGCTTGAACGTTCCACAGGGCGAAGACTCCCGGTGGGAAGATGTTATTGCAAAGGCAATGCCGTAGGCTCGCTCAAACGACCGACAATAGTGGCCCAGTACTGTCTTTTCGAATGCCAATGCTCTAGGCGTCCCTACTTTCCATGGGAACTTGGGTATCACTGTCATTCACGAATACGGTTTTCTTCTTTCCCCCTTGATCTGTCGTGCCTTTCCTGGTTCTCGATAGTTTTACATATAATGCGGACCGCAACTAGTATAATAATACTTCGCCATTCAACCACGTAAGCCAAAATAATTCATGACATGAAACGATCGACTGCCTTTCCACCAGGCATAGTTTGAGAAAGCTTGATCGACAGATGTTCAGTCAAGAGAGCCGCCATGCCCCCAAAGCATGAATCAAAATAGAGTATGCAAAATGAAGCCAAAAAAAGGCACTCCGTTATATCAGAATGCTCGTACCACCGCCCTGGGCCATCCTAAAGTCGCATCCCAAGTTTGCTCTCTTGGCGGCCTGCCGTATTTGACTTAGGATCCGTAGCTGTGTATAGACCGAATGTTGCATATCATCCTTCACATGGATGATATGGACTGTCAGGCCTTTCAAAGGGTTTTCTTCTGCTGGCGGAGAAGGCGGCTTGGGAAGAATCGCCGCAGCCCGCGTAGCCTGTAAATGAGTCCCACTGGTCTTCGTTTCAGTTGATTCATTGTTTGAGGTGGATGGTGATGCCATCAAGAATCCTTCTGAACTCCCATCGCTCTCCGAGCGTTTACGTTTCCGTTCTGGTCTGGATTTCTCATTCTCGACATAGTTGGCCAAGACCTTTAACTCTGCCACCAAGTGTCGTGGGCAAAGATGGCCGTATAAGGCCTCGTCAGGAACTGAATCATCAAGTGAGCACTCGATGAAAATAGCACGCAAATTGCCGGACACAAATTTCGGTGCGGCCGACGACCACACACGTTGGTTACGCGGTTCAAGTGAAACCGTGTCTGGCTCAACGTCACCAAAAATGATGATTTCTTTCCCTGACTTGTTCTCGCGAATGAAAAACGCAGAGCTGCCAACCGTCGCAGAGCCATCCCCGTGTCTAGGAGAGGGTGCTGGAGTAATTTTCTCGGAAGTGAACCTGGCAGGTTCCTATTCAGTCAGTTCACCAATGCGTTGGGGGCGGTTGATCTTACGTTGATTGCAAACCCGATGCTGGAGCTGGCGATTCCTTTTCCAACAGCGAATGACGGCGCATGTCGGGCTTGCACCTTCCATGGCTAACAGCAAAACATCGAGCCGTTAATCCAGCACAGATCTCGACGTAATCATTCTCATCATCATGGCCTTTGGACGAACTACCGCTGTCAGACAGGCGTTGTAAGGCAATGAGGCCTGCTCCATTATTCTCATTAGTAAGATTGGGCCACAATACTCCGTTGAACACGTGGGTTTTCAAAGCATCGATAACCGATGGTAAAGCAGCCACAGGTTTGGGGCCTCTGGAGAGCTCTAGAATTGCAGAGTTTATAACAAGCCCCGAGATATGGTCAAAGTGAGGGTGCGTGATTAGAATGCGTCCAATAATCTCTCGCAAAATGTGCGCTGCGTTCGCGCTGTGGTTGTCGGAAGGAAAATCGACACCGGAAAATGGTGAAAAGTGAAGATTATCTTCCAGAGTAGACCTTATTCCACTTAAAAAGGTACCGGCATCGACTGCAACTACTGAGTCGCGTTGCCATTTCGTTGCTGTTGAGCGAACCAATAGCCCCATGGTATTGTCTTCAAATGGACCCCCAGACGCTCCCTTTTGAGACATGTCAGCCACAGAGTTTCAAATAGCAGTTTCCGAAAATCGACAGACGCTGGTTGGCTGAAGACGCCGAACAGCCAACCTTTGTGCATACGGATTCAGAAACATGGGGAATAACGGGAGGATACATGATAAAACCCATATGGAAAGGAACGCAGCAAGTCTAACAAGAGTGTAGGAGAACGCGACCAGCTCAAACCTACCAAGATAATCACCTCCATGTCCCAAGTTTTTTTAGTTGGATCTGCTAGTGTCTTCAAAGTTGATAACCGGTCAGTCTTTATTTCCGTCTCCCCATGCCATGACCTAGGTTTTCTAGGTAGATTCATCTTGTGGGTTGATACAGGCAAGGCAGCCTGTCGGACAACTCGTCGGTTAGAGACCCGGAATTCTTTGTTCAGCTGGAAAATAGAGTATATTACTGTCTCCCTGTCGCGTAAGCAATCTTCTAATAAGAGATGTCTCGTATGAGGTATAGGATACTGGGATAGTTGGATAGCTGGATACTGGAATACTTGCGGGAATCAATGGGATGGTTTGCACCTCTCTTCTTAAGCAGATCTTGTGGCACCTTCCCTTAGAACAACAGCTATATTTTTTACTCCGTTCCCTGTCTATCACAGGGAGGGAAAGAACACCAGAGCAGGTAGGGCCCAAAGAAGGTACGACTGTCACACATTGTCAAAGGACGGCACGATCAGTGTATAAGCAGGGCAAGTGATTGATTGCTTGGACCCTACAGAAGAAGCGGCTGGGCACAGGGAGCAGAAGCGGTCTTACCCTGGAAACTTTCTCTTTTGTGTCACCACAGAAAAAAAAAATCAACGAGGATTGTCGAGAAGAATCGGAATTCTAGAATCAATGGAAGGTGTGGATCAGATGTGTTGATGAATACTGAAACAAGACATTTGGATCCCCCCAGGATTCAAACAAGTTCCCATAATATATTTTAATATGAAAAGAAGATATTTCTGGGCCCCTGCACAGTATAAAACTTTCACTTACGCATGCATTTATTCATTCAGCCATTCATTCGCGCAGATTTGTCCAGCGCAACTATATGGAGGTGGCGCAGCCAGTGGCGATGGTAGTTGAAGCAAGGGTCCTTTTTTCTTATTTTTATTGCTTTTGTAAGAAAAGTGCAGAGTAAAGAATCAATCTAGGAAACAACAGCAGAGAACCAAATATGAATATGAATTATGAATCTCTCAGAGAGGAAAGATGGATAAACAGCGAACAAAGGAACTCAGTTACCTGCTTATCAGCAAGATCTAACAGGATCGCGCTAGTTATATTAACTAACGGGGGCAAAGTAGGTAAGCACCAAGTAAGCCACCAATATGTACTGTAGAAAGACAAGACAAGAAACCTTGAACAACTCGAGACCGTCGAACCGAAAGAACAAAAGAAGCAGACAGACAAAGAAACCTTCCGCCAGTGTGGGGAAAAGCAGTTAGACGCTGCGGGAAAAAACGTCATGATCTTCCTATCATTCCACTTTCCCCCGCGGTTGGATTCTCCGACGAAACTCAACAAAAAGACCTCACTTATGGAAGAAATGAGCACGTTCTTGTGTACAGTCAACTTCGGTCGTCATGATTGAAAAGAAGCATCCGGAATTGATCACAATGAGATGGCTGGTGCAACGTGATACAATGGCTGGTTACTCCCATAGGTACTAAGTAGGTAGTAGGAAGGAATAGGAACTGACAGAACCTAGTATTCTAAACCCTGGCATGGTCCTCGTTTTAGTGTCCCGAATCCATATCGTCAATATTTACTTTCCTCTCACGAACGGTCACTGGACGTGGAGGAATCATTATACAGATGTTGTCCTGTTGGCTGTATAAGTCTACTGGGAGTCGGAAACAAACAATATCGTCTGCAAAGGATATAAGAAAGCAGTGTGATTTGAGGAACCAAAAATGACATATGGATCACGGGTGGAGGGAAGGATATGATTTATTATCAAATATGAACGACCTAAACCTTACCATACAAGATTTACATAGGCTCAATACTTTTAGGTTCGATAATTAAATATACCACTGGCCAGGACCATCAGAAAGCGGTATAAATCATGAGGCATGGACCGAAGCTTCAACTAGCAGATAAGTAAATATACAGATGTTAATGTAGGAGCAAGCGCAACTCAAATACCGTGGGCAAGTCCTGATAAAGCATGGTCATACTCATTCTGCATTGAAAACAATATAGATGGAAAGAAACGCATGCATGGTATTAATCCTTAGCATAGAAAGGGATATCAATCGTTGAGGCTTCCAGACTCGGGTTTTCACTCTGGAATGCGCCATTTTCCAAACGCCATGAAGTTCGAATCGATGTGTTGCTGGGATATTGAAGACCGCAGAGGGGTATATCAGTCGCCCTCTGGTCAAACTGTAAAAGAGGGGGAGACAATAAACAAACAAAACAAAAACCTGTCCCTATATACGTAAAGCGTGATATCGCTGCCACTCCCTTGTGGCATAGCCCATGAAAGTTCAACCGCAAAAGTCCGCACGTTAGAACGCCCACCCAAGCCGCTAAAATCGATGACAAATGGTATCAACATGCTTGAAGGCTTGGTGGCCTAAAAACAGAAACATAACAGATAAGCCTCCCAAAGAGCCGAAATGAGTCAAGAGAAAGGAGATGTTGGAATGCACGAGCAACTCAGTGATGCTCATCCGTTCTACTTTCGTCATGGTTGCCAACGGCTACATCATAGCTAGGTATAGGCGGTTGGTCTTGCGCCGACATATCCTCGCTACCCTGCCGGCTACCATCCGGACTCGAATATTCTGGTGGCGGCCCCTGGTCGACATCTTGTGTATTCAACAATGGGGCCTGCTCCCCGTCCCCACCATTTGGCCGGCTAGAGCCTTCTCCGGAATCTTCGTTTGAAGAAACATGGGCGAGTTGTGCGAGAGATATATCGGTCGGGGAGTGAACTGGGCCAGGACTGGCGGACGGCGCAATCCGAAGGGTTGAGCTTGTCCGTGCGTTACCGGCATCCTGATAAACTCGGTGGGAAATCTGAGCAGCGCTTTCCCGACCAGACTCAAGAAGAATACTACCTTGCTCACTCCCATATGGCGGCGGAGGGGCTAGACTGCCAGTCATTGGTGCAAGACCCCATTTCTTGACATTCGCTTCGATAAACACAAATCCCATTTGACCAAAGTTAACGTGCACGGTGCAGGGTCCGTTCGCACCGACTGTGGGGAAGAAATTCTGAGCCTTCTGCCCATGGACAGCATCCTCTAGTTTCTTTCCATTGCGAGTGAAGAAAATTGTACCCGAGCGAGGTCGGTATCCGATTCCAAGTACATCTCCCTGGGTAAGCTGCGGGCCATAAGGTGAGGATAAGAACGGTTGGTTGTATCTCCGATGACCCGTAGATTGATAGGCAACAGATGTTTTGTGGAAACCTGCAGGGGGAGAAGAAAGGAAATTAACGATTTGGCAAGTCAACAACAACCAACCCATCCAAACACCGGACATACCTGGTAACCTGAATAGAGGATAAGGCTTCGTCGTCATACCGATACTTATAAGGGTCGATTCAGGCTTATCAAATATCTTCGCTTCCCAGTAGTAAACGTCGTTCTGCTTTGGAACTGGCAAATTGGTTTGAACGCTGCATTCAGAATCGTAAAACTCGATCTCCGTCCGGCCCTCAACAAAGCAGTTGGCAATCTCCAATTCCGGTTGAAACTCCCAGGCCGACACGCCCTTCTCCTGGATCGCCAGGAATTGTGATAGTGATATATCGGTTTGCATCGACTCGGGCGGGTTGGCCTCGATGAATGCTAGATATTGCAAGTTAATGATCATCAAATCAATACTCCAAGACTCTTAATCCCATATTCCCAACAGCTAGCTGGTAGCTCACCTTTGGCCCTCAAATACTCCGACCGCGACAGATCATCCATAGTTTCCAAGGCTTCCGACTCTTCCCGCAAAAAGGCCTGCTCATCGTCAAACTCACCCGGCCGCCCAATGCGATCCAGGATGATTCTCCCACGGCGAGTATATTTAAAAAAGAAGAAAACCGCTAGGACAACCACCGCGACTGCCGCCGAGCCAAAAGCAGAGAGAACACCGATCAAAATCCCCTTGCCGGTCGAGTTGCCACTGACCCGGGCCAGACCGCCATCTTGATTCTGGGCTGACATTGACAATAGAACTTGTTCAATATTAGAGGCAACCAGTTCAGGATCGGCGACGGGGTGCGCGGGTTCTACGGTCGGCTTCCCCGACGAAGTGCTTATCAGGGAAGTGGTGAGGGTCGAGGGAGCATCCCACAGGGCATCAGGCCCCGATGCCTCAGGTCCCCGCATCGTTCATTGACTGTATTCAAAGCGTGACGTCGGTAAATCCACTATCTATCGGTGTATGGATTACGTGGAAACGGGAAAGGACAGACAGGATGAAAAGACCGCAACGGAGAAGAGAGATGGGAGTGCAAAGGAGAAGGAAGAGTGGGCGATGATAAAAGAAGATGGGAGAGAAGGGAGAGTTGGGCGAGGGAGAACGTGTAAATGACGGGACGAGACGGGACGAAACAGTACCTACGTATCAGTTTCATGTGGAGAGGCGCAGCGGCGGGACTTCCGCGTTCAGATACTAGAAAGGAGCAAATGCAAGCTTGTCAAAATTTGAGTCACTGTCATGGGTAGAATTGGGTTGCCTGCAAATTTTGGAAATAAGAGTTCCACATCCTAGATAGCTCTGGCTATGAAATGAATATTATTCCCCCTTTATATGTGCCTGACTGCCGGGTGTCCGACAATCAGATGATGCTGGTGGTGACGATTGCGATGACGAAAGGGCGGCATCCAGACTGCCTATCCGGGCAACGTTGATACACAATACTGTACAAACCAGTACAATACCCAACAAGTACCTCATACTGCCTAGTTAGGTAAAGAGTCTACTCTTCTATCCCAGGCTGCCTTGTAATCCATCCCAGTTTCCTTTTCATCCTCCTTTGCGCCTCCTTGCTTCCTTTATAGAATTTGTTTTTATCGAATCTTTTTTTTTTGCTGTCTTCATTTATAACTCGTTATAAATCAAGTATATGCCTGATCGTACATCGTGAAAAATGGGTGTCCGCCGCTGTGTGCCTTCAACTATTCTCCGTCCCGAAGACATCTGCGATATCCGCATTACCACTACTGGCAATGAATTCGATAAATATCCAGGTATGGCTGGAACTCAACCCCCTTGATTTATTTCCTTCTTTCTGCGTGGATTCATACAACCTTGCTGGGGAAAGACTCCAGAAGTTAACCACCACGGTTGGTCTCAGCCAAGTCCCATGCGCGCAAGACAGCGCTGAAGCTCGAGGAATCCGCTGGCCTTATTTACCTCGCCGGCCAACCCACAATCAATTGGGGTGATTCGGACCAACCGCGAACATTTCGCCAGAGGCGATACTTCTACTATATCACTGGAGTAGACGAAGCCGATTGCTACGTGACCTACGATATCCAAAATGACCTCTTGACACTCTACGTTCCGGACTTTGACCTGCATCGCGCAATATGGATGGGGCCGACCCTGACAGTGGAGGAGGCACAACAACGTTACGATGTGGACCGCGTTCGTTATTATGCGTCCTTACCAGGCGATATCCAGGCATGGGCCAACAAGTATAACGACTCCAGCCCTATCTACATCCTCCATGATACCCAGAAGCCCAACATACCAACCAACAAGAACCTCCGCTTAGATGATGCACGACTGCTTCCTGCGATGAATCTGGCCCGGATGGTCAAAGACGAATACGAGATTCGGATGATTCGTCATGCTAACCGGATATCTGGGCTGGCGCATCGCAAGATCCTAGAGGACATACACCTAATGAGCAATGAGACGGAGATCGAGGGCTCGTTCTTGGACACGTGTGTATCACACGGCGCAAAGCATCAGTCTTATGAAATAATTGCCGGCTCTGGGGAAAATGCAGCCGTCCTGCATTACGTGAAGAATGACGATCCCCTCGAAGGAAGACAGCTGGTCTGTCTGGACGCGGGTGCAGAGTGGAATTGCTATGCCAGTGACGTGACCCGAACGATTCCCCTGGGACGAGATTGGCCCAGTGAGCGCGCCAGAGACATCTACCACATAGTAGAGGATATACAAGAGCAGTGTATAAGATTTGCACTCGTGGGCCGGAGCTTTTCCATGCTACAGCAAATGGCCAGATTCTACACAGTGAAAGGACTATGGCGACTGGGGATTCTACAAGGTGGCAATTTAGATGAAATCTGCAAATCGGGGGCGGCCAGTGTCTTCTTTCCTCATGGACTAGGTCATCATGTGGGACTGGAAGTCCACGATGTGACTGCAAAATCCAACACGGCGCTAGACCAGAGTACCATATGCCTAGGCGGCTTTGGCTCTGTGCCTGCCGATTACAGCCAAGAGGAAAACATGCATTCGAATTCCGAGGCGTTTGAGGACGGAATGGTGATCACTGTTGAACCTGGGATCTACTTTTCCCGACTGGCTCTGGAGAATGCATGCAAGCAGCCGTTGGCGAGGTACATTAATTTCGAAGAAGCAGAAAAGTATATCTCCGTGGGAGGTGTACGTATTGAAGACGACATCTTGATTACTCGCGATGGACCCGAAAACCTGACCACGGCACCAAAGGGGGAGGAAATGATGGAGATCATCCGTCGCGGGTTCGACAGTACTTAATAATCAATTCTGCTCCAGTAGAACCTCATGTCATGAATACACGCGGTATCCACATTATCCAGTATAAATAACACTGACAATATTGCTAAAGCATAATTCGGATACAGACATAGTGTTCTTGAGTATGTTTACGTGACCTTTTATAGTTTGGCACAGTGAAGAAATCTCTCGAAATAACCGCATAGCTTGACGCATAGTTAAATAGAGTGAAAATATACCCAGATCCCCATACCCTGTCCCTAGACTTTTTTGAAACAGAAACGAAGATCCTTCTCACAGAAACATCTATTGAAAACACGTATTTAAACCAAATCTAGTCAGAATATAATACACCAAGGTAGTCACGGACTGGGCATCTATTTGGAGATCTCAACACCACCAGTGGCGCCCAAGACACGCTTGATGTCACCGTAAATGGCGAACTGACCGGCGGTCAAAGTACCAACCATGAACAGACGAGCACCAATACCGGCATAGCTGCCACGGAAGCCAAGCTCCTTGCCGATCTTGATCAGACGAGAGACGGTGCCCTCACCAGGCTCACCAGGGGTCTTGTTGATCTTGGAGAGCATGGTGTCAGCGGGCTGGGAGACAAGGGCAGCAGCAAAACCAGCAATGAGACCAGAGCCAAGGTTGATAGCGGTCTTGGAGCCGTCGGTGAGGGTGTCCTTGTCAAAATTGCGGTAGATGGCCTCAGAGACCTTCTCGAAAACGACGAACTTGGCCATGGTGTAGGGGACCCTGACAAATGCAAGTTAGAGATTGAAAAATCCGGCCTGGATATCGGACAGAACTTACTGCTTGAAGAGAATGGGACCGAATCCAGAGTAGAAAGCACCGACACCCTCGTTCTTGAGGATCTTACCGAAACCGCTCATGAGACCGGTAGCGAAGGTTGGCTGAGAGACGAGACGGATACGGGTGGCTTCCAGAGGGCAAAGGGCGATATCAGCGAAGAATTCGGCGGCAGCAGAAGAGGCGAGGTAGACAGCGGTTCTGTTGTTAGAGGCGGTCTCGAGGCCGAGGTTGTTGATGCACTGCTGCTTGAAGAATTCATAACCACCGAACTTGAAAGCACCCTGGAGGAAGTAACCGGCAGCGGTAGGACCGAAACCAGTCAGGAGAGCGCCAGCACCCTCGTTGGCAATGACCTGCCTGAATCCGCCGATCATACCACGGTTATAGGTGGCGGGATCAAGCTGGATTCTGGTCTTCACGCTGAACGATAAAAGAACGAGTCAGCAAAACGGGACTGTGGGCGACATTTTAGAGGTGCGCGAGCGGAACCATGCGCGTTCGAGAATACAGACGTAGAAAAGGCCAGACGACTTACACATCGACAGGAGTGAGAGCGCCGTGAGTGACGGAGCAGCAGACAGCACCAGCGAAGGCGAATCTGGAATAGAGCTGGAGACCGCTGAGCTGGGGAGTAGCAGCAGCGGCAGGCTTAGGGGCCTCCGCAGGAGGAGTGTTCGTGGCGGACATTATTAGAGTGTGTATATATGCTTCAAACACTAAGAAAGGAAGAAGGGGGTAGGATGGAGAGGAGAGTGGGGGGTATTGGGGGGTGGAAGAGTGAAGCAATTGAAGCTTTGCAGAGTTTGGGATAGAAAGAAAATGAGGATTTGAAAGGGATGGCTCGGCATAAGTGGCACTAGCCGCACCGAACCCGAAAACTTTTCGCGGCCAATGCGGGTGACTTGGCTTGCCACCGACATCTCCGATTGTCCGCAAGAACCTCAGGAGAGTTTATAGGACAACGTGTCTGAAAAGAATGAAGTGTTTGGTCTTCCATGGTCACAGAAACCCTCCAATCTAGTTCTTAGATTTCCATAATGTGTACGGAGTATTTTCCCTTCTATAGACATACGATATGTGTCTTTGGACCGATTTGCTCTACGGTCGCACGTCTTTTTTTCCCTTTGTCCCTTGATCCACTACGGAGTAGAACTGATGTGCAATAGAGCATTGACATCATCTGAGATCTTGACATTGAGATACGACTAAACTGCTTCCATCTATAGTGGCATTGGTGGCTTTTAAATGACGCCGCCTCAGGCTCGAACGAAGCTGTATTTGTACGGAGTATACCGGCAAAAGATCACCCACTTCACCGAATTTAGGTGTGGCAAGACAGCCACTGGTTCCCATATGATATCATATCTATTGCATGTTGCTCATAATTTCTTCGCACAAAGACTTTTCTTGAATCCTCGGGTAAGAAACTTTGGGTCTTGTTGTGTTTCTTCTGATTGGCGGATGGCCTTCCCAGCACTTATCTTTAGACCAAAGGACAAATATACCCTTCTTATTATCACGAATTAAGCACTTGCTATAAATTTACAGATTGCACTGACGGTCTGACTTATTATGCATCACACGGCTGATCGGTTTTCACAAGGTGCGCAATGTACGGCACTATGTACGACCAAAAACAGAACATACCTACTTTGGGGTTCCAGCTAAGGATATATGGAGTATCTACGGAGTACGGAGTAGTAGGTTCTGCCTCTTGAGGCGATCGGGTCACCGCTTCACTTAATTCTGTGCCTTGCAGGCTCATTAAAAGCCACCACGGCAAGAAACCGGTCATGCAGAACGCGCCAGATGCATATATTTCTTTAACTTTAATGTCTCACGACGCGTACTCGCGTTCATGTTTTTCTCCATATCCCGATCATACTGCCAAAAAAAAAAAAATAAAAAAAAAAAAGACTTTGAAGCTTAATCCATAAACCTTTGACCTATAGCCTTCAATGTTGGACATTCTCCGCTGCTTTCGTCCCAAGAAGAGACAGGAACAGCAGAAATGGAGGAGGATTGAACGTAGGCATAGTTATTTCCTCGTCTAGGATTATGGAGCTTGTTGCCTGATATATTAACATAAAATATAACAGAAGAGGCAGAACATCTGGAAATGCTCCCATCATGGGATGGTCCAGATAACACACTCATGATGCAAGCGTTTGAGTGGCACATCCCCAATGACCAAGGACACTGGCGACGTCTTAAGCAAGCCCTGCCAGATCTTAAGGCTATTGGCATCGATAATCTATGGATCCCTCCGGGATGTAAAGCCATGCATCCTGCAGGCAATGGTTACGATATCTACGACCTATACGATCTAGGGGAATTTGATCAAAAAGGGTCAAGAGCGACAAAATGGGGTACTAAGGAAGAGCTTCAATCGCTTGCAGTTTGCGCACAGCATCACGAAATCGGTATATATTGGGATGCTGTTCTTAACCATAAAGCTGGTGCAGATTCCACAGAGCGGTTCATGGCTGTCAAGGTTGACCCTCAACGCACGTTTGCTTCTATTTTGATTCGTACATGTCATGTAGCTAACTGGAAGGATAGAACGAAACGTGGAAATATCACCCCCTAAGACGGTCGAAGGCTGGGTCGGCTTCGATTTCCCAGGCCGTGGTGGCTTGTATAGCCCTATGAAGTATCATTCGCGCCACTTTAGTGGGGTGGACTGGGACCAAAGGCGCAGGAAAAACGCGATATATAAGATTGTCGGGCCCAACAAAGACTGGGCCAATGATGTTAGCAAAGAGAATGGAAATTATGACTATCTAATGTTTGCTGATCTGGACCATTCTGACCCAGATGTTCAAAAGGATATTCTGGATTGGGCGATATGGATTGGGTCTCAATTGCGTCTCCGCGGCATGAGACTGGACGCGGTCAAGCATTACTCGGCCAGTTTCCAAGCTCGCTTCATTGACCACCTTCGGGAAGCCTTTGGTCCGAATTATTTTATAGTGGGGGAATACTGGAAGGGAGAAGTTGAACCTCTCCTGGAATATCTCGATATAACAAATCACCGGATTTCGTTATTTGACGCCCCGTTGGTTGAACGCTTCTCGAGCGTATCTCGAACGAGGTATGGTGATCTCCGCGGCATATTTGACGGTACTTTAGTTAAGACTCAACCTGCACATGCAGTAGTAAGTTTGTCCACTAAATGGTTTATTTCAAAATTATGCTAATAATATAGACGTTTGTTATGAATCACGACACGGTAAGTATAATCTGAGCTCTTGTTACAGGCCCATTAATCGGCAGATAGCAACCAGGGCAATCTCTAGAGGTGAGAAATATGCTTATATGCTTCTACACTTCTAACAAGTGTGGACAGGCACCAATTGCACCGTTCTTTAAGCCCCTAGCTTATGCACTGATTCTACTCCGGGAAAAGGGATATCCTTGCGTGTTTTATGGTGACCTCTATGGTATAGGAGCTGACGTCGAGCATCCAATGACTCCTTCCTGCTTGGGTCGACTCCCGATCCTCACACAAGCTCGCAAGCTTTATGCATATGGGGAACAGCACGATTATTTTGACCGGCCCAATTGTGTCGGTTCGTCGATTACTCGCTTGATACAATTTGGCGTTTCTTTTCTAATCATAGCAGGCTTCGTTCGATATGGAAACTTTCATCACCCGTCCGGTCTCGCATGTATCATGAGCAATGCTGATGCATCCAAGAAACGCATGTATGTCGGTCGATGGCATGCCAAAGAAAGATGGACCGATCTTCTGGAGTGGCATACCAAGACAGTCGTCATCGACAAAACAGGATATGGGGTATTTCCAGTTGCTGCGATGAGTGTTGGAGTGTGGGTGAATTCTGCAGCAAAAGGGAGGGAGTGTCTGCATAGGCATTTGTATGTTTTCTTGTGCATCTGTTCAGTTTAATCCATCACCGGAAAGTCACCATTTTACTAATGATATGACAACAGTAATGAGAAAATTTACGAACAATGATCTCTATTTTCGCCTCATGTTCTGCTACGTATAATTGAATTCAGATTTTTAGCGTATATGAAGGCTTCAATGCCCATATCATTAACTAGTATAAATTATCTTTACTCATAGATATACATGTAGCTTGGCACACCTATGTTCATTGCTAGTTACTAACTACTCTGATTGTAGACTAGGACCACGTGGGGGCAGAAACACAATCCACACCGGCCTGCATAGCTGAAAACGATCTCTTTACCCTCTATACTCAGCATTGTTGAATCTCCTAAAGTTTGTAGTGGGGACACGACGGTTTATTCTCTCATCCCTAGCAATGGATTATTTCTATTCTTCTGAATTCCCTCTTCATGTGCAAGATTTGATGGCCCAGAACCGCGTGCCGGGTCTTGCCATTGCGATTGCCCAAAATGATCAGATCGCCTCAGAGGGCTATGGCCAGGCATCTATTAATCCACCAACGCGATGTACAGCAGACACACTCTTCGACATTGCCTCGTCTGCCAAATCGATGACTGCAGCTGCAGTCGCTTTGCTGGTCGATGACGACGAAACCTATCCCGAGGTGCAATACAACTCTACAATGTCCAGTCTACTGCCCGACGATTTCGTACTACCCAGCGTTCAACACACAGAAGGCGTCACGGTGGAGGATATCTTAAGTCATAGGACAGGCATAGCTCCGTAATCACGACGTCCCATTTCCGGAGTCATGCCACCACTCTCTGATTCTTGATTACAGCCATGATAATTCATATATGAGCCCGCGAGCGACACACCCAGACAATGCACGTTCCATCACTCGAAATCTACGAAACCTGACTCTGGCTGCTCCACTCCGTGCCAAATACCTATATAACAACATGATGTACACTGTTGCAACGCATCTGGTCGAAGTAAAAAGCGGACTCCCATTCGCCGACTTCCTCCATCAGCATTTTTTCCGCCCGCTCAACATGCAATCAACTAGTCTACAGCGTGAGGGCGCTCGGGCGAAGGGACTCCAGGATCGCATAGCGACAGGATACATTTGGAGCAAGGAAACCTCCATGTACCATGGATTCCAGAGCCCAGATTGCCCAGAAGGTCAAGGTGCGGGATCGATTATCACCAGCGTGAATGACTTCATCAGATGGGTAAAGGCTCTGGTGAATCGCGAAAACCCTATCAATGAACATGTATACCAAGGCCTTGTCCGCATGAGGACCTTGATGAACCCGGATGCGAGAAGACTGAAGCCATTTACATCGCCAGCTGTGTACGCAGCAGGTATGGAAGTGTATTACTACAGGGGACATATGGTCAGTGGGCACAATGGTGTAATCCCGGGATTTGCGAGTCGCTTTTTCTTCCTCCCTGAGTTCAAATTTGGCGCTGTTATCTTGAGTAATTCGGCTGGGGGAGGGCCTGTCGCTACTATATTGACTCGAGAACTGATCGATCGAGTTCTTGGAGTCTCTGACACTGAGCGTTCGCGTCGAAATCAAGGTAATACCACCACACTCAGTGCCAACGTTAAGTCTCAAACAGATCAACCAAAGCATAAAGCAACAAGGACGACGAGAAAAAAAGACAAGGTTCAACAACTGCGTGCGTCCGTTATCAGCCATCCGCAACCGCAGGAAACGCCGCTCGATGCCTATATGGGCAGGTATTGGAATTCTGGTTATCACTTTTTATCGGTGGATGTGAAAGATGAGAAGCTCTTCATCGATGCCACGGATCGCTCGATGGGGTTTTCGCTTACCTTTGAACACGTGTCCGGGGGAACAAAGTATATTGCGCATTTAGAGGATTTCTTAGAAGGGGGTGATGATCTAGTTCCAGCCAAGTTTATATTTGAGGATGGCCAAGCGGTCCGATTGGGACTGCATTTGGAGAAGTCCTTGAAGGACATGATTTGGTTTGAGAGAGTCGCGCATTCAACTAGACAGTCATAAATCTAGTAATTTATCTGAACTTTATCTTTTATTCAATACCTACTTTACTTTATATTCTAAACAGCATCTCAAAACACTACGGACCAAGACCAAACCGTTTAGTATATATGTATCTTCGGGCCATTGATCGTACCATTAGTATACCACACAAGATTGGCAATAATGAGGGATTTGTTTGCTGATTCTGTATTATGACACGCCTGCCATAATACCGCACGTTCAACAGTGCTATCGAGGTGCAAGCCCTCAAGAAAGGCACTTTTCTGCTACCCACACGCCCGACGACCTGACTGCGCAGTGAATGACAAATACTAACCTAGTTGACTCAAACAGGTTGGTGTCTTTGACATCATACCTGGACGATGAATAGAAGACATCGATCAACAAACCCAGGTTTTCCAAATACAAGAGGCTCAGTTTCAGATAGGACTACTATTTACGGATACCCATTCCAACACAGTCAGTCTCTCTGGATGATCTATATAAGATGCATAAATATGATGACAGAAGCGGAGACAAACGCGCTACAGCGGCCAATCGACAAACCGATCGAATGAGACTCGATTCTCACAAGTCTACAAGATACTAGTTTCACACCAATTCAGTTCTACCCCTGCAAGATGTCCGATCATGGCGACAGACAGACATCACCAACAGCGTCCTCTCCCACGGTTGGATACGGGAATAAATATAGATATCTGCCGGTCTGCACCATCAGCAATGAGGAGATATTGATCTTGGTATATTTATATCTGTCCGGAGGCTGAGAGGAATGTGGCTGAGTGCTGATCTTTAATTTTTTTATAATTTCTAATTATTTTCTTCAGCGAGGGGAAAGCAACCCCACTCTAAGTCCGATGGACTAATCAATAAATGCAAAGACTCACAGCTGCCATGGGGGCCATTTCGTCTCCTGAAACCTGCACAAATGAAGGTGGCTGGACGATGGTGATCGTCTTCTTGTCTCTGTAGGCAACATTCATTCCATGATATAGTCTCGACACAAAGTGTTATAATACCATATAATATTCGCTTATTCTCATCGCGCTTGTTCAACCTTGTCACTCCAGCTTATCCACTGTTTATGGCGATTGCTAGCTGATTACGGAGAAGCTCCTGCTGACACCCCATCCTGATACCGACTTTAATTACTACTTCTGTCTACTTATTTATTTCGGACTTCCCCGGCGGGCCATTATCCCTTTTGGATGTGCATCTCTCTCTCATTTTCCTGCTTTTTCTCCCATTAGTTGCGGCTCGACATCATGTCCTCCCCGTTGCTATACCAGGTTCAGGATCTAGCCTGGGAGCCTCAGGAACCGCCACAGCTACCCATCCGAGAACCCGTGCGATCGCCATGGAAATTCCTCGCGTCACTCTCATCGAATCTACTGATCCTAGGGTATGTGCCTGCTCTATGTCTGCCTAGTACCTCCCATCAGCTGACACGGTTGACTTGGTGCGCAGGTTCTTGGTGATTCCGCTAGCATTTAAAAGTCCGACTCAAGAGCCCGCGAGCAAAGTGGATTCAGTGGTGGCCGCCGCAGTGTTAATTGGGATTGCGGATGCGCTAACGTTGATCCTGATCTGCTTCCAATATGATAAACGACAGTACTTAGTGCATTCAATATTCCTGTATGCTTCGACCGTCCATTCCTTGTTTTCCGGATTGATTCATCAGTTGATCGCGCCCGATCTAACACAATACAGGCCCGGTTTGACCTCCAACTTGATCGGACTATTCAATGTCATCCTTAATATTGTGTGTCGGGATCTGCTACCTATTGGCCAAGTCGAGGCCGCCAGCATGGGCGTCGCCTGTGCCTTTGCATTTCTCCATGCTTTCGGCGCTTTGTGGGTGTACGGGCGCATGGTTGCTGAAGAAATTCGAGTGCCCGGGTCCAAACATGTTTTGTTGACCGAAGAAGAGATGCAGCGACAGCAACTTCTTCGGCTTCTCCAGGAAAATAAGAAGAGCCCGAGGCCCAAGGTCACGCGGAAGACTTTTCAGGTCAAAGTCCCAGAGCGTATCAATCCTGGCAAAGGATGGGATACTTTTACTCCACCTCCTCGCGAAGAAGGTTATTTTGATGATTACGCCCGCAGGAGATAATAGACCGACCAAAGGTAGCCTTGCGAACTAATACTTTCTCACCACCCAGCTTCGAAAATGCTGATTAATAAATTTATTTTATCCCATGACTGGAACTGTCGTCATTGACAGTTGCGACATACGCTTGCATTGTTACACGTGCAAGACCCCAAACAAGAGACATCTGGCATAATATGCCGAGGATTGTCCCTATCTTAGCAGATAGCGTGCTAGACACGCCCTGCCTCGATACGACCGAACATCCAATGGATTTTCCTAGTTTATTTCACATGCGACTCGGTTCGCATCCACCACGAGCCGTGGGACCCCCGATACTCCGTACATATCTATCCCGGGGAATCGGCAGTTGAACGGGCAGGGATCATAAAACAGTGGTTTATCTAGCATCATACTTCTTAGGACCAACCATGACAGTAATAGCAGTAATAGTAATGTCAATAATGCACACTTTGTGCAAAAGACCCTCCTGGGATTACTTTCATTTATGACCGTGTAATACAAATCGGTGCCGCCCGATCCTTGGAACGCACCTCGGCAATTACCCGAACTGGCAACCCCGGGCGCATCTACGTGTATTGCTCCTTTTCGACGTCCTCGATCCTCTTCTCCAACCTGTTCGAACATCGAACGGCTCATTGCTGCTTTCTCTAGACCAGGGACGATAATGGCGAAACGAATGAGTACACTTCTTGAACCTCCCGCTCTGGATTCTTCCAAGGCCGCGATCGAGAATGTTCTGGAGTTGACTCCTGTGGTAGACGTAGGACCTGTACGTCTTTCTTCCTCCCTTGCATCTCTCACGAGTGTTCTAACATCATTCCCATTGCTGACAGGATGTCTTCACCAATACACGTACGCTTTGGCACCCTCCCGGGGCTAGGGGCATCTACGGCGGAACGGCTATTGCCCAGTCCCTGTCTGCGGCAATGCTGACGGTTCCGTCGGATTTTGCGGTTCACAGCATGCATTGTTACTTTGTCCTGGCCGGCGATTCCGAAATCCCCATTCTATACCATGTTGAACGAGTGCGCGACGGGAGAAGCTTTATCACACGGACAGTACAAGCTAGGCAGCGCGGGCGACCCATCTTCACCACCACGCTGAGCTTTAGCAAAGCCAACAGCGGAGGGAAGAAGAAACTGGAACATGCGGCACCCATGCCCCCTATCTCACTGCCGGAGGAACCGGGCCCAGGCGAGAAGAGCAAGTTTGAACAAGGTGGTGGCGGACCGTTCGAGTCGCAGAGGGCTGGGATTGTAAATCGTATGTATCAGTATCGGCCTGGAATACGTCGCAACTTCCTTTGACTAAGATTTCCCAGGGAACTTGAATCCGGAAGACAAGCGCGCCCGACGTCTCATTCGAGTACGAGGGAAAATTTCCGAGGCCGGAGGCCATCAGGCTCACCTTTCGGCCCTTGCGTATATGACCGACAGCTATTTCGTAGGGACTGTTGCTCTAGTCCATGACATTCCGCGATTCACCTCGCCGGCAGAGCTTAATAAGGTGCTGAATGCGCTCAAGAACCCATCTGATCTAGACGACGATGACATCTCGCGGGTCCTGAAGGAGCTAAAAGAAGAAGAAGCGGCGGAATTGAAGCGTCGTTTGGAGGGAGCGCTCAGCAAAGCTACGGACGAGCAGAAGAAGACAGACCACAAGGAAGTCGGGATGATGGTCAGTCTTGACCATTCGATTTATTTTCACAACCCTTGGGCTTTCCGAGCGGACGAATGGATCCTCACCGAGATGGAGAGCCCATGGGCTGGAGAGGGTCGGGGACTGGTAGTGCAAAAACTGTGGTCCAAGGATGGAATCTTGATTGCCACGTGCACGCAAGAGGTATGTCAATGCCGTTTTCCAGACGATTAGACGAGTCCGTTGCTAATGCAGGTTGAACAGGGTGTCGTGAGACTGAAACAGGATGAGCCTCCTCGCTCGAAAATATAGACAATCTTCAGAGTCGACGATAGAAGTATTTTTTTTTTTTTACTTGGTCATACTTTACTAATTCCTAGCCATAGATGAAAGCAGGCCTGTCGAGCAAACTGGTTTCTTGTTTCTTTTCATTTGGGATTTGTACATATCGGTCTCTTGAGAACTTTTCCCTGTCTCTACTTCCAGACTTGATCTCTTGGGTCACCATATTAATGTACATAGATGGATACTTTGCCGCATGGATTTACTTTGTCAACTAATCACCAACACTGGATCCATAATCTGGACTATCTGCATACATGGTCATCGTGGAGACACATTAGAACACGTATAGAGAAACACAAGGACAAGAAAAGACAGAGCCAACCGACCAACAAACCAAACAAACAATACAGAACAAAATAAAATCAACAGTACAAATCCGCGATGAAATCAGAAAACCGCCCACCCATTTTGTTGCCCCAGCCGGAGAATGCGATAGATAATGCTACAAAAGTCCCCTTCTTATCTCCGCCTTAAATACTTACACCTCCATCTTCTCCTCGTCGGGTCGCTGCAACTGGCTCTTTTTTTTCTCACAGAACTCCAGGGCTTTGGCACCCCAGACTCCTCTCCCCTTATACTCTCCCACGTATTCCGGCCAACTCTTGATCTCCTTCGCCAGGTTCTCTAGCTCCTGCATCGGCAACTCCTCCAACGTGGTAAGGAAAGTCTTGACACCGAAGACAATAGCCCCCGTACGGAGAAGTCGACGAAAGGTCTGACGCTCGCGACGAATGACAATATCCTGGGGAGAGGGGTCCTGATTCTCCTCGGACAGGGTGGTAGGACGATAGAGTATCTCAAATAGGTCTTCGTCGGGTCGTTTCACCTCCACGAAGTAGTTGGATCGTTCCATTGGAGATGACGGCGTGAGACGAGTCAAGAACCTTTGGGTTGAGAATTAGCGACTCTGTCTCTCCTTGTTGCGAGACTGGGTTGGATCGACTCACTTGCTGACGGAATTGGCGACCTGTTGATGCCACAATGGGACCGGATTATGAAGTCGCGAGATTGTCCATCCAATTCGCTCCTGTACCGTCCACCCTACGGGGAAGAGACTCGCACTGGCGGCTCTACAGTAATTGTCGGTTAGTCGTTTCGTTTCGTTTCGTTTCGTTTCGTTTCGAATCATCATGGGCAGGGATTCGAGAAGTGCAACCCAACTCACAGGTAGTACTCGTCATCCGCATTCTTCATTAATATACTCAGGTCCTCCATGGTCAGTCGCACGGCGATTTCCAGTGGATCGACGTCCCTATTCTGTCCGCCAAAGACGAAGGTCTCCCCAGTCATTTTGTTATAGACGGTCGACTCGTCGCCGGATTTTTTCCTTTCGAACATGTTCGAGAAACGTTGACAGAGAAAATCAACTACTTCTTCCAATGCTTCTAGACACGCTTCGTAGGACTCGGGCAGACATTGAAGGACCTTGTTTTTTTCCTGCTGCAGCAATTGACCCCGGATCTGATGCTCGTCCATATAGTTCTTGTCGATGGTGAGCCAATTCTGGACGTCCAGCTTACGAACGTCCATCATGACCCTGTATCTTTCCCGTCCCTTGATGGGCTGGGCCGGGTACGGAGCCATGCGCTTGAGGTCATTGCAGTTTGCGCTGGGCGTACGATTTCTAGACCATGACGACCGATATTTGACTATGATAAGAGAGAGAAGGGAAAACGCAAGTATAATGCATGACAAGCTATACATCGCCCTATACGTTTTGGCCGCAATTCAATCACGAAAGGACTACAAAATAAGAAGGGAGGAAAAGAGGAGGAAAATGCAACTTAAAATGAAAGAAACAACAAGGAAAAGTAACAAAGAAAAGAAAAAAGAAAAAAGACTGGTTCCCAAGAAGCTTTTTTACGGTCTCACACTCATTCGAAATGCCGCCACAGACCAGATGCGAAGGGTTAAATCAACCAGACCAACATGGCGAACCTACATTTCCCCCTTCGGAGACAGGGCAATTACTCGACATATATTTATTTATTGGGAACGAAGATCCTCGGGGGTCAGGCGATTAGCTACCAGCACTTCAAGTCTCTGTCTCTTTCTACATTCCGGATTCAGGAAGCTGGGATCTTCTCTGATACGTTCGTCACTTTCCCCGCAAAACACCGCAATTCGCCGCCCCCAAAAAGAAACGAAGGACCTGACAGTGACAGCATCCACATGATCCAGCTGAGATGAGATGCTCAGCTTTCAATCCCATCGAGCTCCACTGAGGAGAACTCTAAGTGGGTAAGGTAAAGAAGCGTGTAGGTAGGAGGTCTCCCTGTACCAAGACACGGTGCCATTGAAGCTAATGGATGGATTCCGAGCATGTACGTTCTAACTTAATCCTAGTAAAATCGTCAGGTGCTATCTGTCCGTGCGCGATACCAAATAATAATAATAATAATAAATAATTCCCAAAAAAAAAAAAAAAAAAAGATCTCGTGAGCGATCCACCCCAAGTCTGGAGATAGTTTGCCCTGTTCAACAGTTCCTGCGGTTCCGTTCCAGCGGTATTCGTCTTTTTGTTTCCGGCGCAGACGCGGGAAATCCCCAGAAGGGTTTAACGGTACTCCAAAAGGACATTGCAAACAGACTAAAGAAATAACGCACTTTGGTATGCGACAGTCTTGTGGATGCCCAGTTTAAGATCTTGCCGTGGAATTTCCATACAGACAGACAAAAGAGGCAGACCGGCAGGAAGGCAGACAGACAGACCAACAATACATCGTCAGCATTTTATCAACCACACTCTGTACGACAGAAGGGATAATTGACACACAACGCGTGGGATGCTGCGTGGGTCAATCCCAAATCGGCAAGACGGCCGTGACACAACTCAGGCCATACTTGCGGAGTAGTCTACGGAGTATGTCTACAGTAAAGAAGTCATCAGGCGGCTATGGAATTCGACTGTGCTCCCAGTGATCCAGGTACTAAACCGATTCCCACGGGACGTAGGGAGTTCGATTAGGGGCTGACGTGCTGGCCTGCTGGCCAATACCCATTCCGGTCATTACGACTGGTCGGTTGAGTCTGGCCTTGACCCAGACTAGGTTAATGAAAGAAGGTACAGAGTTGACACTGACGTACTAAGAGTCTAGGAGGCGTCCTGGTAGTCAATCAGTTGCCGCGAAGCCAACGGGTGGCCTAGGTAGGCACTATGAGAACGACTAAGACCACTAGGGAGCGAACGAGCGGCTAGTTGAAAATCAAAAGAACAACCCGGCAGACGATCCACCAGCGGCCGAGTCCAGAATTGGCCTTGAAAAACCGGTTGTACGATAACTCCACTCTTTCAGGCAGAGACTCTTCATCTGGGGCTGTTTTTTTTGCGCTACAACCGCCCAGGAGGCGGAAAGCGCGCTTGCCGCTGTGATCATTATCTACTGTTGTTTCAACCAAGAATGCATGTTTTTTTTAAAAAAATAATAATAATAGTAATATAATTATTATTATTACTATTATCCACCTTTCAATCGGCTCCTTGCAAAACATAATTGCTTTTTTTGATTCTCGAATCCTTACTCCGTACTCCAAGTTGACCCCTTGTACTTGTGCTTGTGGGTGGTTTGGTTTATTTATTTTTTTTTTTTTTGTTCCGGCCTGTCTCAGTCGCGATCGTTAATTTCTGACCTACAGAAAGAAAGAAAATCCTCCGAGTGACGACTATGTGTGACAGCTATGACCTCACTGTTGAATCCAACCCCGTCCAATGCAAAACACAGATTCTATACTGAGTTCTAATGCCTACTCTACTGTCTACGTCAATTCTATCACTTCACTTCACATATCAATACAAAAAGGGTATATATTATAATTACAGAGTATTGAGCGAATCGAATTGCCACTCCCAATCCACAAAAAAATAAAAAAAATAAAATAAAATAAAAGGGAAAAACAGTGCGTACCCACTATAATTAGTACCAATTACTCAGTATACCAATTACCAACCGAGTAGCGTCTTATGATCTTACCGAGATGCGAGAGTCTACCTATAGTTTAGACACTAACTCCCCGAGTCGGACGAGAGGAAGTTGGTTAACAAAGCAAAAGAGGAGAAACTAGAAAAATGGGTCCTTTTCTTAGGACTTCACTCAATATTATGCCGATATTTACTCCATAGAGCACCCGGGAGAGGGGAAGGAAAAAGTCCTAGATCGATGGTGCACGGACTATGGAGTTAGTTCGTCTTGTCTAGACCTAGGAGCTAGTAGTCAGAGGGAGTACCTAGGTATTGTAGTTATAGCTGGTAGCAAGGCAGATAGATAGGACTTTAGTTCCTGGCCTGGACTATCCTGACGGCACTCCACTCCTAGGACTTACCCATGCAGGTGGTTGGTGATTAAATTGGAGTGAGTAGGAGTAAGTTACTTTTTAGACAGGGAGGATCATCAGACTGGGCTTTGGACTTTGGATTGCCGCATATTTTTATGTACATATCTATTTTTGTTTACTCTCTTTTCTCTAGATATAGAATGCACAACCATGACAGGACAATATTATGTATATATTCTTTGTATAGTGTATAAACATAAGATAACAACCAGATCGAACAGACAGACAGACACACGAGATAATGAGATAGTTAAACTAAACCAAGCAAGACAGGAAACAGAATAAAGAATGATGCAGATTCTGATCTCGACCATGACATCCCAACATAGATCATGTACGTACATATTACATGACCCCTCATCTTATTTGCTCCTTCGACCTTATTTACTTACCCGGTGGGTTGGGTGTGGACGAAAGTATCTCTATTCAGTGCGGATGGTGAATGGTTACACGAAATAGTTACATACTGACTGGAATCAAGTATGTAACACACACTGAAGAACACCGGTCTGGATTAACTTCTGCAGGTCTGTTGATTGTTATTCCAATTAGGACTTGTTCTCAAGTTCAACTGCCTCTGCTCTTCGTTCACCTGAACCATCATCATGGGCAGCTGCATCCCCTCTAAATAGAGTCCGCAAAGCAGTCAAGTCAGAATCCAGATATTTAGCCTTTATTTGGATTAATAATATTGTCATGCTCATATGAAAGGTATCCAATAAACAACTATAAAATCCCAAATGATGTGCTGCGTCGAAATCACGCCGAAGATATCAAAATACTGCCGGTGGCAATGGCTCGAAATGACAAGAAGAATTTAAAACGCCCATCCAATGTAATGTCGGCCCACTGGTTTGACCTCAAGTATGCAAGTCTGCCTTGCAGCGATCCTCCAGCCGGTGCCTTTTCGTCTGCGATTGTTACCTGTCGGAACCGCAAGAGGTAATCCGGGGACCAAACTATCGGAACTTGGCCCGGCAGCGCCCCATTACCTCACCCTGGCAAACCAATTCTGCGCTGAATTCACTGCCATCAAGAGTGAGATAGATATCAAAGTAGACCCGGTAGAACGTCCCTTGAGGCGTGTCCATGCGCTCGAAGTCAGTCTCCAGGTTCTTGCGGGACAGATCGGACGTTAGGGTCACAACTTCTTTGATTCCTACATGCAAAAAGTCAGCAAATTTTTTCAATCAAACACAACCCGTGGGAATAACTCACGAGGATCCTTTGTATATTCCGGGCAAACATCCTCGTCACATGCGTACAAGATATCTTCGTACATTAGGGTCGCCCCCGGAGCAACCTGCCGGAAAAAGCTGACCTTGACAGGTTCGCCGATCTTGACTCGCTCACCCTTCTGCACAAAGATCTGCCGCGTGTACTTGCACCGATCTCTACCGTCCAGACTTGGCACACGGTATTGTTCGGGGTGGTAGCCCTCTTTGAACGGCTGCAGCGTCGCCATGAGGTAGTGTCGACGCGCAACACGGTGCGTGATCACTCGCTCAGTAATACCGGCCGTCACGGCGCCTTTGACGATCGCAGCGACCGAGTCCATGGGCCGTACCACCTTGGTCTGGTACTGCGGTGGCACATGGAGCTTGATCTGTTGGAAAAGATATTCAGACGCACCAAATCCTCCCACCACAAGTACGTTCTACATACCATTAGTTAATCAGGGAGGGAAAGCACTATTTGCAAATCCGAACTTACCTGTAGTGATCGGTTCTGAGCCTGAATGGCGATGATCTGATTTCGAACCAGTTCAAGAATGCGGTTGACGACCGGTTCAAAGCATTGAAGAATCTCCTCGTTCGTGAAAGTCATGTAACCCTCTTCGATGCCGGCATCTGGGAAATCTGCCTCGATACCGACGTCTACCGCCCATTTCTGTCCATTGTTGCGGAAATCCGCCTTGATCCGATTCTCAAAGTCCATGATGCACTTCGCGTACACCTTTCCAGCTGTCCGAGAGCCATCGGGCAGCTTCATCTTTCGAATCTTTGCCCGGAGAATATTGCTGAAGTTTCGGTTGAGCGCCGTCGAGCCACAAGAGTCGCCGGATCCTGCCGTGCATTCAGCCACGCTGAAAGGCTGTTCCTCCTCGACTTCGTAGGCGATCAGATCCACGGTGCCTCCACCGCAGTCGACGATGAGGATAGCGTCACCGACCTTGAGGTTCAGCAATCCAGTCTTCGCGCAGAAAAGGGCAGCCGCTTCCGGCTCGGAGATCAACGTGAGGCGGTTGTCGTTCTCGTCCCGCAAGAATCCAGCCTGGAGGGCCGCTGCACGTGTCGCCGCCTTGCCTGCGTCGTTCCAGATCGCTGGCACGGTGAGGTAGTAGCGGATGTTGCGCTCTTCTCGGGTGAACACCTCACCGAGGGTCTTTTGCAGCTGGTTGCGCATTGCCTGACGCAACTTGAAGAGATAGTCGGCAGCGACGTCGATCTCTGACTTGCCCGGCGGTAGGGGTGGCAAGTTGATGGGATCGATATAAGTATTGCCGGAGAGCATGAGCTGCAGCTTGAACCATTCCACCTTCTGCACCCCTTGCTTCGGGTAGCCAGTGGGGGCCAGGGCATCAGCGATGTCCGGGCCCCATCCCACCACCTTCTGATATTGATCGTAGTATAGGACCGTAGGGATCTAGATGATAAACAATGACTTAAATCAGCACCAGTCCAGACGGTCACGCAGTCCTTACGCATACGGAGGCACCGACCTTCTGTTTGGTGTGAGTTCCTGCTCCCGGCCATTCAGTGATGATGTCTTCCCTTGCTTCGTTGTTGGTCGCGAAGGCAAAAGCTACACCAGAGAACGTCGTGCCAAAATCAATACCGACGATAAGTTGGGCCTTACTGCGGCCGGCACCTTCGACTTCCACGGCGGGATTACGGACGCCATACTGCGGTTGGGCCATTCCCGGAGCCATGCCAGGCGCAACCGGCTGCTGCAGACCGTACCCCGGGGGTGCGCCCATAGGCTGGACGGGGGCTTGCGTGTATTGCAGGTTGGTGTTGAGTGGCGGAGGGTGGTGCGCCAGCTGCTGAGCCGGCGGCATTGGACTGGTGGGCCGACCACCGTACGTGTAACTTGGCGGACGACCCAAGGGGTTGTTTTGGTTGTTCATGGGGAGACTCGTGGTCGACGAACTGTGGCCGGAGGGAGGGGAGCTGGGAGCGATTGATGATGGGGCGGCGACAAGCGTATTACTCGACGGGTTGGAGGAAGGTTGTGGTTGTGGCACGGGGCTGACCGAGTTCTTGTTGCGTTTCGTCCCAAAAGTGAACGATTTAAACCGTGAGCTCATCAGGTCCATATAGATGACCACGATGGAGGCCAACGGGAAGAAGAGCACGAGCGATAAAGGGAGAGGGAGGTTTGGGAGGGAGTGAAGAGTAGAAAATACGAAGAGGAAAGGAAAACAGCGAGAGACAGAGTAAGAGACACGAAGGAAGGAAAAGTGGGCAGTGCCTTGACGTTTCGGTCGTGATGAGACGCTTAGTTCGCTTGGTCTGCCCGATGGTCGACGGGGGGCGGGGAAAGGGAAAAACACGGAAGAAACACGAGGAGAGAGAATGTCAGAAACTGGCGAATGTCAGTTGTTCACTGGAAGATGAAAACACTCCAGCATTCCGTGACGACAAGGACGAGACGAACCGATCGATAAGTCCCGAAGGAGGAGACAAGGAAACGAAGAGCGGTGGGATCCGGCGTGGAATGAATGAAGGAACCAACAACGCCTGGAACCTGTTGGTTGTCTGCTTGAGGGTTCTGGATTTCCACTTCCTGACTAAAAGGACACTCGAAACGTTTTTTCCTTCTTTGTTTGCAGGAACTGGATGTAGAGTGAGTGAATCTTACGCAGTCAGACATTTATTTCATCTCCATGCACTACCATTGCACGGGAACCATGGATGCACTCCCGTCGCGTATCATCTGGTACGGTACGGTACGGTGCGATACCTAATCAAAATACGGTATGGTACCATTCCACATGGAGTTCATCGCGGGGGCACTTGGGTGGGGATTAGATTTATCATCAGGATTCCCTCCCTGCTGTTGAGCTGGGATTTTTCTTAGCTCTCGGTCATCTCGGCTCAGAAAAGACAATTTCTGTGACAATGGTTATCTAGATTGAGGACCGTACGACGAAACCATTTTTTCATCCTCAGAAAAACCCTATCATGGTTGTTTAACAACTAGTAGAGATCGACAACGACGGGGAAAGAGAGCCAGTGCCTGAAAGGAGACCCATGGGACAAGGCTCGACCTGACCAGAGCTGACCCGGATCTCTTTGTTGGAGTGCGGCTGAAGTTGGTACCGTACGGGTCCATACCGTATGGTAAATCCCCGCCCGTCCGTACGAGGCTGAGGCTCAGGCAACAAGGCGCAAGTTCTATACTTAGAAGGACCCTGTAATTGTCGAGGATAACAGGCAACCTTAATCCTCCCCGAATCCTCTGCGGGTATGTATGTATGCATGCATTTAGGGCCCTGGATCTAGATAGTACTGTTCTATATTTATGCTTGCTTCTTCCGTGCTACCCAATGGGATGGCTTGTACAGTGGCTGCAGCATACTCTCCCGATCTTGGATGTAGCCACATAAAAGCCGCTCCTCTACTGCCTGTCGCTTCTCCAGCGTAAATCCCATTCGTTCCACGAGACTGAACACCTCTGTCTCCGTCAGCTCCACATTACCAGGCTCCCCGATGCCCTGTGGATGGTCACCGTCCTGGTGTTCGCGGTTGCTCCCATCCTCAAAATGCCAGAGAAGGGGCCCGACGTTGATCCAAATTCCATTGGGCTTGAGACAGTGTCGGATGGTCTCGATGTATCGGATCAGATTGGGGGCCGTGTCGATGAAGAATACCGTGGCCACGGCATCAAATGCCTCCCGGTTAGATGGCTGATTGTAGAGGACCACAAAGTCCGCCGCCGACATGCTCATCGTCCCAAAGGGCGTCGCAGGATTGGCCTGTGCTTCCATCATCGCAGCGCCAGGATGTCGGTCGGGAATTGTCACTTTCTGTAGCTGCTGGTCCCGGGAGACGAGGTTCGAGAAATGTAATGCAAAAGGGTACAGGTCATGCTGGTGGGGACCCCGACTGTGATTCAGTATCCAGTTGCTGGCCAGCAACTGATGGTATGAGATCTCGTTGCCCTCGGCCGCAAAGCCAGCCTGACAGATTTCAAACACCAATCTCCCTAGCCCGGCGCCAGGCACCAACACCCGAGGCTCTGCCTCTGAGGCATTTCGCTTGCCAAACTCGTCCCGCAGGTCTTGCAGCACGGGATCGTAGCAAACCTCCCTCTCTGCTTTGCCTTCGGAGCTCCAGTCCCGGTAGAACTGGCGAATAGTCGAGTGCGCCTTGTTGACATCAGACGGCGTTGCTGTTCCGTGCCAGTTTTGACGCGGATCGGCCGCATCGGGGTTGGCTGGGATGCCAAAGGAGGCAAGCCCTGTGGCCAGAATAGCATCTGCGATCTCCGCGTTGACATCGATGGCATCGTCTACGCGGCTGAAATTGTCCAAGATGTTGAACGGCGGCTCTGCCAGCATTTGCCAGTGGGAAGATGGGAGCGCATAGAAGGCCTGCCGCCGACGATGTGTTGTGTTCATGTGAGCCGTTCTTCGATATTGCCTGGTAGATTTTAGTTTCACAAATGCGATTGAACTCGTTGACTTGCATGCAGTAATAGTAATATGAACAGAACAGAAATAGAAGGCAGGAAGTCAAGCCAAGGGATATATCAATCCACCATGATGACTCCAATGTCGTCATATCCATAGCCAGGAAAAGAGAGCCGGAGAAGTAACCCACTTGTCACGAATTCATACACACCTATACGAATTAAGGGCAGCAAAAAGCACCCGTCGTTCTTCAGGGTCATCTAGGGGATCGAAATCCCCGGCCCAGCTGCGAGTCTCTTCCAAATTGTCATGTTGTATTTCCGATGCCATGGCTAGAATGAACCCGTCTTGCACCGTCACCTCATGCAAATGATAATTATGACGAGGACAAACAGTTCCTGTGTAACATGATCGATGCGCAGAGAACGTGGTTTTGCAGCGGATGTGAGAGGGAACGGTGGATCCGCTTTTTGGCGGGGAAACCAAAGTCAAGTTCAAATGATTCGATCGCTCGAGGTCGACTCTTTCGCTTCAGACCGTCTACTTTCCAGTATCACGAACATTCCGATTTCGACAGTGCTTTTGATAATTATCATATCCTCCACCCGGCCTTTATTTTAATTTATCCCTCTATTCAAGAAGGAAGGGAGAAGAGGATAATGACAACAGCATCACAGGCCGTACCACTTCAAACCGACCCTGACCACATGACATCTCATCTCCAACCTCATCCTCAAGAGATATCATTCCCCCTGCCTAAGGCTCTTCATACGACAGCGCACATCCATCTAACGATACTGGATACATGTGCCACGGTGTTTCTCGCCACGTCGACCCCCGGAGACTCGGGAGGGACGCTGAAACCCATGGGAAGTTTCGTTTATGCCATGCCTGATGTAAGTAGCAATACGAATATGTCCCTATAGATTATAATAGCGGAATAAGCGTCAAGGGAAATAAATACCTTAGTAGGGTTGGCAATTCTGAAACTATAGTCAGATTGGCTACATACCTTACTAACTTGGCAATTTGTGGTCTTGACCTTGGCCTTGACTTTGGCCTGCGATCCAATACTATAGCATGATTATACTTATGTTGTTTTTTCCTCTTTTTTCGTAAAATGATGATTCAATATGCTTACAGACTCAGCGCACCAATTCACGCTCAGCCATCTCCACAACGCTATACAACTCGCCCTCTGTGGAATACACCACGCGCGTCGCCAAAATCCTCGCTCGTCGCATGGGGATCCCTGTCTACGTAGGCTGTAGCCTCGACCCGACGGCTCTAGGTCTCACCGTGGAAGAGGAGATGGAGGGGTTGGCCAAGATAGTGGATGTGATTATGGCGCGTTGGGAGCGAAAGAATTAGGTCCTTCGTTTTTTCTTTCTTCTTATTTGCAGCAATAGGCTTGTGCTGTTTGGTATATGACTATCTAGGACGCTGATGGTGTTTGGAATCGGATGGGATCGGTTGTGACTGGAGATTGTTTTATTTGCATTTCCCTGCCCCTTCACACTTAGGATTAATTAATTTGCAACTCAACTGCGCCACACTAGTATATGATTGTTGTTACTCCGTAATGAGATCGGGGCTTGTCCGTCCGTTTTTACAGTCGTTTTGTTCACTCTTATGAATGTAACATCGTGTATAGCTAACTTTATCAATCTATGAAATAAGTACCATTGCAACGACAAACTGGAGGACAATAACAACTCCTCTATTCTATGAGTGAATGCCATGGCAGATCCAATAAAATAAATAAAATAAAATAAATAAATAAAAATAGACCGAGACCTACACCCGAGCTTCCGAAAGACCTTGCACCCCTCCCCCTCCCCTGTTAGTGCCACCTAGCCACGAACTCCGGTTGGACGGTTATATAAAGCTTGCATGATGGAGAAATGTGTCGGTCACCCGATGTTACTCGGTACGATTGCGCGCAGGCAGATAACAATGATTGAAACACGTCTATACTACATAGACTCCACTGGGATCCTTGATCGTGGTTTCATCCTAGCCTATCCTATCCTATCTATTTTAGCCAGGAGATGAGGTGGTATCTGACTAGGTAAGAAGAAACTAGCGAAGGCGAAGAGCCAGTCCTGGTCCAAGATTCGGCTACGCGTCCCGCAGCTTATGGGTGTATTCGTCTCTGCCTCGGAATCCAACCCGAGAATGGACCCAAAGTGGAGCGTTTGTGTCCTGGACTTGGCTTTGATCGTCGTATATATGTGCGCGTAATTACTCCGTGCTCCGTGAGCTGGGAAGATCCTAGATATGTCACATGGGCCAGCTCGTACGCATTCCTGAGGTACTCTGTGTCTATATACCCCGGCTATTAACTTGATACAATATCCTCTAGGTATCATCTGGTTGTCCCTGTTCCGACGCCAAGGTACTTGCGGACACTAGCCAAACTGATGTCATTTTGCTTTCTGTACCTGCCTCCCGGTCCATGGGCAAGTGACATTACCCATTCGGAGTCCTTAGCTCGATTCAGAGGGATGGTTAGTCTTGCAGGGACCGAGTCATACCGTGTACAGTTCCGACCCATTCAATGGGGGCCATTGATAAATGAGTGTGCCAGGTTGACAGGATGTATCGTCCAGTACTCTATACAATACATACCATATCTGCGACTGTAATCAGATAAATTGAGCCTATCGTCCAATGCAACTTTGGATATTGATCAGGACCGCCCAGACAAGGATGATGAGATACCACCACCAAAGTGCCACGGACTTTGAAACAGGTCAATGCATGGCCCACGTGGACCGTTGCGTCCAAATAACATCGATGTCGTAAGCATCATTGGACTGTCGCCCATCCTGATCATCGAGGCTGACAAGAGGGGAACGGGAAGTCGGACCAGTCAGATGTTGAGGGTCTGGAATCATCAACACGAGACAGACCCTGTGCTATACATACTCCGTAGTGAGATTGGAGGGGTATGGCCCATGCACGGAACTGGCCGAGGATAGTACTAGGGGATTAGGTAGGCCCCGACCGTAACCTAGGTACGGAGTAATAAGGAGGTCGAATATCTTGAATTTCCCATCGGAGCTTCACGTCTGTCCGTCTTTGCGCCGGCTATTGACTAGTTAGCTCTAGCTCAACGCTAATGCTCAGTTCTGACCGATCACCACGTAATCGACAGGAAGATCAAGATCAATCGAAATCCCCTACCACCAGAAAGCCGCTCATGTCACCTTGGATAAGGTAGAATGGGGTGTGGCAGCGGACTGTCACGGGAAGAACCACATGGGGCCGGAATCCGTGCTGATCCAATAAAGAGGGTATGTCCGACTGGGCATCTTTCCCGTGCGACTACGCGCTTCAGCCGTTTCTTTCCTAGCAGAAGGTGAGTCCAGTCCCACCTGGAAAGAGATCTGATACCCATGCTAAGGGATAAGCCAGGCGCCGAAGAAGGCAGCTGGTCAGGACATTCAGTCCTGACTTAGGCGATGGAATTGAATGGAGACGAGCACGACGATGTTTCAAGTTTTAATTCTCCCCCACTCGTTGTTTTTAATCAAACTGACATCTTGCAGGAGTTGATCCCAATAATCTTCAAGACATTAACATAATCGAATGGGCTCGAAGTGTAGAGCCTCTCGAGGCAAATCAGTTCCTCGTATTGTACTGATGGCGCAATGCTAGATAGTCAGATCAACAATGTGATAGCAAAAAATAGCCCGCGACTATGCTACCTGATCACATTGATCGCTCACCGGTGTGGGGGAGTCAAAAATATCCATTCTTTTCCTTCCAGGCCATCCCAGCAATTATTCCGCATCGAGTAGTCTGCGTCTACGCCTAGAAGTGGTAACTACGGAGCATTTCCGTAATCATGCAATCAAGATTCAGAATCGAATCGTCGGAATCCTTCGGCTGATAGTCAAATTGCGGCGTGATATTATGGTTTCTGCGTACTGCGTAATTGCGACAGCCTCGACTGGGGCTCTTTTTCTTATTTCTTTTTTCGTCTTTTATTTTCTTTTTCTTTCTCGTTTATGCATGATGGGTCGGGAAGGCACGGATTAGGCCAAGGATAACAGCTAGGACGGGAGGAGAGGGTAGTATTATTAGTATTTATTTTTAGTGGCAGTTTACAATCGATGGCAGAAGACGCAGGGATCTATCTTCCGTGGCCTGGAGGCTGGAACTTGCAGGGTGCAGATATCCGTAGGCACATATGGTGTACCGTAGATAGACTAGTTAACTACTGTAGTAGCAACTGAAGCACGAGGAGCTCGGGCCCAGATCCTTTGCCCTATTTTACGATCGAAAATGGAAATTGACGGATGACTGGGTTGTTAGTCTTTAGTCGGTGCATCCGATGATCTGACAAGGATGACAAGGATGAGGGGCGCCAGCCAACAATCCGAAAATTACCCCCCCATTCTGATTGATGGGAAAACACAAGGATGGCGTCTGTGTGTCCTTGTAAATATAGAACTCTGAGGGAAGAATGGCATGCCAGCCAGCCACAGGTCGATATCACGACCATGACAAGCCACTAATGTACATACCAGACAAAGTAGTGACCGACTTCGACAGAGTAAATAATGCCGGTTAGGCCAGACCGAAAGCAAATGCATCAAGGGAGGAACCTTACTCTTGATCGACACAGCCACCAGCACGAGGCCTGCAATCTTCGCATGAGGAGGAGGGGAATGGCCGCCTTGATTGGAATCGGATTTGATGGACAGGCCAATAATAATAGTCTTATTCCTTCCCTTTCGAGGAAGGCAGAGCCCGGAGGTACTCCGGGCCTAGCAGGACTTCTGACTCCGTAGTGTCCGTCTTCCGGCCGCCAAATGGACTGTCGGGTAAAACACGGACGAAGTCTTGGGCCAGCGAAAATCTCCGGGCGAAACAAAAAATGGCGGATTTGCTTGGGTTCAACGACTTGGCTCGACGGACAATAGGGATTTCATCACGAGCTAAACGTCATCTATTAGTAGTTAGCAGGGTGAGAAGATTTTCCATGGCCTCTTCTTCGTTTATTTCATTATTTCAGGTATAATTTTTTTTAGTTTCATTTTAGTTTAAAATGCATTTTGGTTTCCCTCTCACCGTCTGGTCTCCGGTTGGCAGTAGCCACTCTCCGCGATCCGTAACCATTCACCATGACCCAAGTCCCAAGTTCATCGCCAGTCCGCTCACGCGCTAACCCTCACGTTCTCTACCTTACCGTCCCGGTTGTCCGCCCGAGATGGGCTCTTTCTTAGGCTCTGGCCAATCATGGAGAAACTCCAAGGGATCGTCACAACGATCCTAATGACGCTTTTTTTTTCTTGGCCCTTTTTGGTTGCCCCTTTTATCATGATGCAATGACATTAATGGCCACCTTGGCACTGGTAGATGAGGTAGGATGTACACGGTGTCAAAACACTCTGTAATCTGTATATCCTAATCCGTACGACTAGATTTGTCGCCAAGCTGAATAGGATCCATTGTAAGGTTCAGGGGAGAGTAAGCGCCGCCAGCGGGCACAGGTAATATCGGTGAAGAGAATAAATAAAATAAGTAAATCAATATGGGCAATCCAATCAGGCTATGAATCTGGAACAAGAACAATCTTAAGATAAAAGCAAAATTTGAGTTTCCATGTTCCCGTAAGCCAGTCAAAGAAAAAAATAAAATAAAATAAACAAAAGTAACAGAAAAAAAGAAAAAAAAAACCAACCTGTCGGCTCTTCACTACAGGCCCCATGCACCACTTACGTTTGCCGTGGCGATCAGCGAGCGAACCATTGCTCACCAGAATGGGTTGGAGGGAAAGTAGGCAATTACGGATACTTTTGATGGGATGCCAACAACATGAACAACCGAGTTTAGCGTCAGAGAATCGAGCTCCCAAGGCTGTCAGGAGAATAGCCACTCTTTGCCTCAGTATGGGACAATCCGAAAAGCCACACCGGTTGGATCTTTGAGCTCAACCTCAACCGACCCTCTTTTGTTTAATGGTGGGACGGTGGATCGTGGGGAGAACAACTGACAATTACTGTACGCTGCCACTGCCGATCTCGGGATACTGTCAACGTTAGCAGGAGGTCTGACCTCCCATCCACGTTGAGATGGTCCCAGTCCAGTCCAACAAGGAAATGTGAATACGGGAGTAATAGTGGCCAGTCAATGACGGTGGGAGAGAAAGGTAGATAGTTAGATGTTCTATGTATAGCACACATGTATACTCTGTATTCCGTACCTATAGCCTATAGGTACTAGTGGTGTGCCTGTCAAGGGTAGCCGAATAAAACGCACCCAGACCAAACGTTTCTTTACCAGGGTTCGACTGTACTGATCTCGGAAAGGCAGTCCGACATGAGTTTAGCTTAACGCTATGAAGGATTATGACAAACCTTAGTCTCGACTCGACCACCGAAGCAATAGTCGAGAAAGGAGATGGGAGAAGCCCATGGTCGACATCAACATTGGGTTGCCTCTGATTGAATCGGAGAATACTGAAAACATGGTGGGAACAGCAGGTGTTCTGTAGGCAACTAGTAACTACGATATCTTTATGGGATTCCATTATTTTATTTGTTGGCCAAGAAAAAAAAAGACCAAAGAGAAAAAAAAAAAAAAAAGATGCCCAACTCACTCAAGCTCAACTAAACCCAAAGGATATCGGCAGAAGATTCCTAAGTATATGCTTCTGCAGTAAGCTCATTTACGAATCCCCACCCTTCTCGATCCGATTTGGGTTCGAACCGGCGTTGTTTCAGCCATGTTTTTTGGCTAACGAGCCGGGGTCAGCCGAGAGGCTTTCGGAGTCGTTTCCTGGGCTGAAGGTAGTTAGGTCGACCCTGAAAGGAGGGGAGAGCTGAGTGGGTTTTGGTGGGAAGATGAAAGAAGAGAAAGTAAAAATAGAGAGAAAGGTACGGTCGAGATGGTACGGAGTAATATACAGCGTAGAGAGGGTACATTTATCACTGCGATGGAAGATTAATCCATGGATGATTGGATACTCTCATGAGTGACTCTTCGTCCCTTTGAACTCTTCGTATTAGTCGTGGATATCCCATCGTTGTCCGACTCCGTCTTCTTCTTCTTCCTTTTTCTATTAAATACTGCCTGTTTATTTATTACTCAGGCTCCTCCATTCACCTGGCCCGGTTTGCCCCTTCTATCTTGCCCCTCCTGGGTGACCATTTTCATCATTTTCCAGGTTCTAACGTAAGAGAGCGAGGAAGATATCGCCATTTTGATCTTGCTTTGTCTCTCTCCAGCTTTTATTATTTTATTTCTTTTTTTCCCCTTGCAAGAATAAAAATCACTCAATTCACCAGTGGAGACCTGATCGTGGATGAATTTACCTAGCCTCAGCCACCGTCCTCCATCTGTCCGCATGTCAATACCTCCTCCATTGATCGCCCCAACTCTAATCGCGATTGACTGATTGATTACCTACTCACTACGCACTAACTACGCTGTCTCTTGTCTTGTCTTCGCCGCTTCTCCGAAATTGCTCCCATTCGCCACCAGTTCCAGGAATCATTGTTTCCTGGGGACGGGTTTCCCCTGTTGCTGTCTATCTATCTGTTCCATTGGTTTGTTGATCGACTGTCTTTTTCTTCTAATATAGTCGGGTCTACGAGGCGTCGGAACTAGTATTGTGCCCCCAGCTCACCGTTCCCATCGTTGGGGAATCGGTTTCTTGTTCCTTCTCTCCTCATCTTTTCTTCCTCTTCTACTTCTCCCACTGTCTTCGCTCCTTTTCAGTGGTTTGTGGCGGAACCGGTTGGTTTCACTCCTTTCCAACTCGACACCCTACAACCGCAATTTCTTCCGTGTATGAGCTCGGACTCTATCCCTCGTCATGCAGTCCCATTACTTTCGCTCCTCGACGAGTCAATACCAGGCGGGTGGTCCGTATGAGTTACCTCCTGTGCAATCGGTGACTTCGTCGTCCGGTCCTTTCCAGCAGGGTCCTCCGGCTGCTCTACTTTCTGCTCCACCGAGCAGACCCGAGAGCGGACTGAGGATGGCCCATCTACTGCAACCGTTGGCACAGCAGATGCCCAGCCCTCATCCCCCTCATCCGCCTTCCTCTTCTTCCTACTCACGCTCCTATGAGTCGAGTGGCTCTCCGGCAGAGGCTATCTCTATGCTCCCGGATGCACCGCCACTCAATGGACTTGGATCTGGTCCCTCGGGTCTACTTCAACCCGGCGCAGGGCTGCAACAGCAGCAGCAGCAACCCTTGCAACAGAAGAGGGCATACCGTCAACGAAGGAAGGATCCGAGTTGCGATGCTTGTCGTGAGCGCAAAGTTAAGGTTGTATCTGTCCCCAATCCCTGCTACCCTGGCTTGGCACTTGTGATTAACCTTCGACCCATTTACTAGTGTGACGCTTCCGAGTCATCCAGTTGCACGGAATGCACAAACCGCAAAGTGCGCTGCCAGTTTACCAAGGAGACCAACCGGCGCATGTCCTCCATAAAGTTTGTTCCATGACTATCCCACTAGAGGGCCATCCCGTACTGATTATCCTATAGACAAGTGCAAGACCTAGAGAAGCAGCTGCTATCGACCAAACAGCAGTTAAACCAGTTGCGATCGGGAATGCTCAGGCCCGACAGCCTGATGGATCTTGATATTGACGGAGCAGGGCAGCCCCAACTGAAGCTGCCGGATATCGCATTATGTCGACCTCACCACCGGTCAAAGGTTCCTATTGCACAGGATCTCTCCAAGGCCCGTGCCAACCTGCGCAAATATGGCAGGGAAATTATGCACGTGCCCAACCCCTATCGCCAGCAGGGTCCAAGGTCGTTGTTAACCTCGGACCCGCCGCCGCTGCCATCGAAAGACCTTGCAGATCGTCTTCTCGCGCAATATTATGCGTGCATTCATTCCGTACTGCCTGTAGTTCATTGGCCGAGCTTTAGAGACGACTATGAGAAGGTTTACCGTGCTGGCTCTGTTGTGGGGATGCCACGGGAGTGGGTGTCCGTCTTATTCGGAATATTGGCTTGCGGCTATCTTCACACGTTGGAGAAGAATCGGGAGCAGGAAGGCAAACGGTTTATCAAGATTTCCTGCAGGGTGATCGACGTGTGGCAGGACAACTTCTCCCTGGATCAAGCGCGCGCCGCCTTGTTGGTCAGCATATTCCTGTACGAAGCCAATTCGAAGTCGGCTAGCTGGGTGTGGATTGGTTCTGCCGTGAGAGTAGCTCAAGAAATTGGGCTACATGTTGAATCCGGACCATGGCCTGCCATTGAAGGGGAAATGCGAAGACGAGTGTGGTGGGGGATGTATGCTTGGGATAGGTGAGTGGTCCTGACTCCGCGGTTTGTGACTGGCGCTTATTATTTCTCTCACAGACTTCTGGCTTTGGAAATGGGAAAGCCGGTTTTGATCAATGATCAAGACTGCGATGTTGACCTCCCCTGCGTTGTCGACGAGCAATACATCTCCGATGATGGCGGTGTTATGCCTGAAAGCCAGCGAACAACCTCGCTCCTTGCTACAATCCATGTTGTCCGATCAGTTGGGCAGTTGACACGAATACTGAAAGCACCTAACATCAGCACAGCAACTATCGATACTTTTGAGCGACATTTCAACGCTTGCCTCGTCACATTTCCCTCGGAATATCACCCGAAATCCGACCAAGCTCTCGATCCCCGATCGCTTGCCCCGATTATCTACCTCCAAAACGCCCGACTCACCCTTCACCGTCATAATATCTCCCCGTTTTGTCCCCCCGAAGTGCGTTCCTCTGCACTGGACTATTGTGTTTCTACATCCCAAGATACAGTGCGATTGCTTTCGCGCGCTATGCGGTATCTTGCCGGCTCTAACCTTGGACACGGAGCTCCAGGGAATAGTGAGGACTGGCGCCCATTATTCGCGTCATCCGCAGGCACCACGATATGCACCCATATCTGGCGCTGTGCACTTATGCTGCTGTTTCGCCAGGATTTCGCTTCCGCGTTGGTATGTGTTCAGGCTGGAGCTGCAGTTGGGGACTCCCGCTCGCTCAACGCAGCCTGTGGACGGTATCTTGCTTTCTTCTTGAAGTGCCTTCTCGACCGATATCGCCGCAGGGATGGGCTCGAGCGCGACGAGGAGATGATGGCCTATGTCTCCGGCGATTTGCAAGGCAGCTCGGACGGCAGCTGGGTGTGGGAAGGCAGTAAAACAGGTTCCCAGTTAGATGCGATGTCGTCTAATATCGGCAGTCCAGTCTCACATGGACAATCTGAGTACAAAGACAGCATGTCTACTGAAGAAGCCGAGCCCTGGGACAGTTGGGACTGGGTCGAACAGACGGTTCGATACCTCCATAAGAAACAGCAGGAGCAACCACTAAAGGAGTATGATATAACGCATGACCCATCCGTCAACACGCCAACGGAGTCCACATATCTCAGCCCGGAGTCTGCCAGTGGACATAACGACTCCTCTCCCCGACGGTCCAGTTCGTCCCATTCGCGAATGACGATCGCGAGCATCATCTAATAGCAAAATTCGAGCCTATCTGACGTCGAATTCTCCTCCAATTATGTTATCGCGCACGATTTCTTTGCCATGGGATGCATCGAAAAGGCCTGCGACAGCTTTATTGAGCGGCTCACTTCGTAGCAAGAGCACTGTGCGGATACCGACGTGCTGAATACATTCCCAACGCCCCAAATGGATTGATTGTATTTGTAGTGATACCCAAGCCATAGGATAAGGGCTGGCAGAGCATGTTGACACGAGGTCATGTATTACGATCAAATTATTGATGACCATTTCAATGTTTACTACGCTGTATATAGTACTGTGACAGAAAGAGTATGAATGCAGGAAGGCATTGCCTAAGATTTAATAAATTAAACCCCAGAATCATTGATACGTGAATTTTTCAGTTCTATGATCTATTTGCCCACCCTTCATACTTTGGTGGAACCCAACCGACAACCTTGAACCCCCGGATATCACAAAATCAAATCTCTCACCCGCTAAACAAACCCTAGAGATACAGGGAACTCAAGTTTCCAGGTTAATACTCCGACCAAACCGCGCGTACAGCGCGACCTTTAACTGCTGCATCTCGTCGCGCAAATCGCCCAGATTATCCTCCAAACTCGAGACCTCGGAATCAATCTGCTCCGTGGAAGTTGCGAGAAGAGTCTGTGCTTCTTCCAAAGGGAGTTGAAAGAATGAGTCTCCGATTTTATACCTGTATCTGTTAGACATAACTCTACACATACATCCCCACTAAGAAAGGAGGGAATAGGAATAGAAATAAAATGAACGAGGAATGGAACTTACGGAACCAATTCATCCTCATCAGCTAGTTCCAATTCCGTTGAAACTTCCTCTAGATCTTCTTTATCTTTCTGTATGGAATTAGCTTTAGCGTCGCTCTGAATAGGTACCCCCAGCCCAACATGAGCTCGACCTATATATATAAAAAGGAAAGAGCCGATATGACTCGAAGAGAGGAAGGAAATAAAAAAAAACAAACCTGCTTCGCCTTCAACTGCTCCTCCAGTACGGATTCTCGCTGATGCAGTCGACTGAACCGATTGATCTTCTCTTGGTCCTCGCGACGAACCTCGTTATCCTCGCCGCCGCCAACGGCGACTTCATCGTCTTTGGACAGCTGCAGCTGTTAACAATAAACACTACGGGTAGGGAGAAGAGGGAGTACCATGCGATGTTGCATCATTTTGGCGCGATTGTGCTGGTCATATACAGCGGTGGGGGGGAATTTGGATGTTTTCGTGATTGATTAGTCATCAGGATGTGGTGGTTGTTAGGTGTCATGTGATCTTCTTTTGGTCTGGTTTTATAGATTCATATTCATTCATGTATGTTTTCATTGTGTTTTCTTTATTTTCATGAAAGAATGGAGATAGTCATTACTGTGTGTGCTTTACTAGGAACTAGTGTCTTTAATAGCGATACAGTAGGTGTTGTATATTCCCATGGGTTGTTCAACAATTCTACAGAGAAAAAACAAATTAAAAAAAAAAAAGCAAGAAAGAATGCAAGAAAAAGCGGAAGGAAGCCTGGATTAGTAGGTTTTATTATTGGAGTGTAACTAGATGAAACGTCATGAATTATAAATAATATCAATCCAGGTCGGGTGACATCATCATCCTCCCCATGTGTCAAAGTAACTTAATTCTTCCAGTTTAACAAGAGCCAGTAACGGGGTTTTTTACTCTTTTCTTCTCATCGTCGATATCACATTTTGAAACTGGAAATATCCTCGTGGACGAGCAAGAACATCGCAGCGGATTTATAGTCATCCAGGAGGTGCCTCGGAGAAAACCAACATCCCGAACCGGTGGCATCGCGAGCTGTCCAATATCGACCAATCTTCCATACCAACCATTCCGTCCCAGCCTCAAAGCTCTACTGGCTGCCTACGTCTTTACCGTGAACCCACGACACCCAGTCCCGGATCCGACAACCACTCTGTTCATTCTATTCTCTACTCTTTCTTTTTTCGACTCCGCTCCTTACTCGGTCGCCGCTGTACCGTACGCCAGTCCGGGTTCGGCCAGCAACAACCTCCCACCAGTTAACAACGCAACGCTCATTTCTCTCCTTTCCATCATGCGAATAGCCCCCCCTGCCTTCACTGTTCTTCTCTCGTCCGCCCTCTCCGGTCTCGTCTCCGCCAGCGGTTTCGACTGCAAAGGCATTAAAATCGAGGGATTTAAATACGACCTCAGCCCCTTAGGCGGAGTCCACACATTATGGCACGTTAACGAAACAGAAACTTACACCGTGAATACCACCTACGTGTTGAACATATGTAGTACCCTTCGGGGGGCTGCCAACAGGGATGACATGAAATGCGGCACTTCCAAAAACAGTACGTGACCTGAATTACAAATTTCTACCTACCGCATACTACACATCTCTCCTGTCTGTTTATATTCTGTATCAGAGCCGGGAAAAAAAAAAAGAATAAAATAAAATAAAATTCCTTACTAACTTCCATCTCCGCCGGTAGTCTGCGGTTTCGAAATCAAACACCCTCGGGACGACTCCGGGAATTCTCACCAAGGGTTCCCCATAGCAGGACTCGATCCCGTGGGCCATGGCTCCAAGGAAGCGGAAATCACCCGTCTAAAGAAAGATGATCCTGAGCGGGAGGGTCTCCGACTGACAATGTCCGGGGGAGAGTACCGCTACCAGGACAACAAGAAGAAAAAGACGAATGCGGTCATCGAGTTCCAATGCGATCCCGACCGGTCGGGATTGGAGGGTCTTGGGACGACAAAAGAAGGAGCAGATAAGGAAGAGAACAAGGGACGACGAGACGGCGATCGGTCGCCTAGTCTTGAATTCAAGAGTTTCGATATGTCCGAAGCTGACGACATGTACGTTCTCAGGCTGGATTGGAAGACTCGCTATGCATGCGACAATTATAAGGGCGATGATAATAGTGATTCATCCGGCCACTGGGGATTTTTCACGTGGTTGATTATCATGTAGGTTGTCCATGGGAATGCCCTTTACTTTTTCAGGGGTTGGATATATGATTTATGCTAATGAATATAGCTTCTTCATGTGCGCCGCCGCCTACCTTATCTTCGGCTCCTGGTTGAACTACAACCGCTACGGAGCCCGCGGTTGGGATCTGCTGCCTCACGGTGATACCCTCCGTGATATTCCGTACATCTTCCAGGATTGGCTGCGTCGGGTCATCAACACGCTGCAAGGGACAGGGTCCAGAGGGGGGTACAGTGCAGTGTAGACTCTGCACTTGGGCTATTCTTTTGGTTTTTCGTATTTTGTTTTTGCTTCTTTTTTTTTTTTTTTTTTTCCATGATTTATGTTTTGGACCATATATTTACCGTTGAATGAGCGAAAGATTGCTACGGTCTTTCGTTTTTATGCCGTCAGTTTGGATACAGTCACATTGTATGAATGGAATGTTTTTCTTTGGGTTGTTTATCGTGGATAATAGAGGGAAAGAATGATCTCAGTATATATTTATACCCAGGAATTGTCGAGAGGTCCTACGGTGAAACGACAGAGCAAGGCAGCAGCAATCAATCAATTCATTACAGGCAGTCATGACAATCAAGACAATCTGACAATCTCCCAACATGCAATCTCAACAGACTTCCAATCAACAATCAAGAATAATCATCAAGGGTCAAATGGCGTCATCAGGACTAATATCCCATCATCAGAAGCGGTGAGCTGAACTTATAAAGGGGTGTATTCCTTAATTTCCCGTCTGCTTTCCTTCCCCTCATTTCCTTTCCATTTCTTTCTCCTCTTCTTTCGACCCAGGCTTACACTTTCATGGCAAATTGCTTCATGTAAAGATAATCCGCCATGTTCTGGTCCACGGTACTACGGATCAAGGCGGCGCCTTCAGGACCATATTTCTTACACCATTCGATGTCGAATTCTTCCTCTGTTTTGGCTGGTCGTTTCTAATATTGATCCATTAGTATCGGGTGCTATCCTTTGGGGTTCTCATTCATTGGTCTTGATTCATCTGAACCAAGTAGAAAAGTGCTGAAACTCACATGTTGTCGTGCCTCCAATCCCTTCGACTCGATGGCATCGTTGTGGAACCCTCTCCATTTCTCAAAGGCCTCGTTGACGAACCGATGGTCGGCCTCATTATCCCAGTCCAACATGCCCGGATCATAATCCAGGCCGACGCTACGACAGAACGCCTCGAGCATCTGGCCCGGATTGTCCAGCATGTCGTCTGCGTCAATCACGCAGATCTCCGTGCTCGACTCGTGCGCATCCCCGATGCCACTGACCACCGGCTTGAGTCGGTGATCGATCTCGTCGGCGTCTTCCTCTCGCGTGGCAATATGCGGGCCAATCAGCCGCACGCTACGCAGGTAGTCGAAGGTGCGCCGCACCTCGTCATACCCTGCCTCAGCTGGGTCATAATAATAGAACCCAGTGATCTTGTCCAGCGGCGGGATCGTGCAGCGGTAGTACGACGGCACGCTGTAGTGCGGATCGCGGATAAGGAAGGCAAAATGGAACCTGGACAACAGTTCCTGTGGCATCACGGTGGGATTGCCCGGTTCAGGTTCCGTGTCGTACGGGAGTGTGCTGGCCGGCTTTTGTGTTGCCGCTGCGTGCACCCCGTTCGCGACCGGGCTTTCTTCTGCCTCCATGCCGTGAGCCGAGTGGCCGTTGGTGTGAGTGATGGTGTTGTCACCGTTGTGGACACCACCGTTGTGGACAACACCATTCACACCTCCGACCGGGTGATCTACGGGGACAGACTGCTCGGTACCCACTCCACGCTTGATCCTGTTCAAGGATGGCGCGAGGCTGGCGGGTTTGCCGTCTGGAGGAAGGAGATAGTGGATGATGTCCTTGATGAAGACTCTCTTGCCCTGCGATCCGGTAAGTATTTCCCCTGAACACGACGACGATGAAAGCAAAATGATCGGATGAAGATAGATAGGGGGATATCCGGCGGAAGGCCATTCAGATCCGACACAATCAAGGGAGTAGCAGAGAAAGCGAGAGAAACATAGTGTGGGATCGTGTCACGTAGTGGGATAGTAGATCATTTTCTTTTTCAAGAAATGAAGAAAAGACCATAGACACGAGGTGATGCATCTAGGACTTCCCGATGCCATTTACGATCCATCTGATTAGGACGGATAGAAACATGGGATTACGAACAGAAGGGAGAGAGATAAAAAAGAACCAAGGAAAAAAAAGGCAAGAAAGGTCGGACCTCAGAAGCTTCACGCTCGATTCTATCCATCACCGTACGATAAGTGGACTGGCTGAAGCCGCTGTCCAGACGTGCCTGTTCGTCGGCGGCAAATCTGGTGCCCAACCTCTCGGGGCCATAGTAGAAGGCATCGCCAAACGGCTCATGGATACACTGGATCGTATCCCGACGGGTCATGAAGACCTGATGGATCAGCAAGGTGGTTTTATTTCATAGAGATGGCGAGGTTACTCGTTCAAAAGCTGTGGAACAGGCTCGTGGATGAGTCGCCACAAAGACGGGCTTTGGGGACATGATGGGAAATGTCTCTTTCTATCGAAATAGAGCAACAAATCTATTCAATGGTCTAAATTGCTCCCCTCGAAGAGGGAGTCGTAAGAATTAAAATAAGTCGATGAGAATATCGCAGACCAGGAGTTGGGAGCAGTTCGCGAACCACCAGGGAGTTTCACCGCCGGTGTAGCAGCTACTGACAGCCTAGCTCCTTAGTTGTCCTTCAATCGATCGATCGATCAATTGGAATCTACCGGAGTAGATATTGCAAGAAGAATTAATATCAATTCACAGGGGACAGGAACAGCTGAGGAAGTTGAGGGATTTTATTTTATTTTAAGAAAAGAAAATCCCTCATCCCAGAAGTAAGTCGGTCAAGTGTTTAAAACGCCGAGGAGAAAAGCAACGTCAGAGGGAAAAAAAAAAAAAAGGTAGGTGTTTATGAGGGGGGATACCAAAAAAAAAAAAAAAAAAAAAAAAAAAAAAAAACCCAAACGTTAGATTGATGGCAGGCTCCTCCGTGGTTTCGCACGATCCGAGATAAGCAGGTCCTACGAGGGTTTGACTGGTCCAGAACCACTCCAATCCCTCTCCTTTTCCTTCTCTGAGACTTTGTGCAGCAGAACTCAGTCAACAAAAGCAGGACACCCCACGGTGGGCAAATGGGCAACTGCTGTAGCCTCTAAAGAGGCGACGATGTACATGCCATCCCCATCCACGATGAAGACTAGGATTGGGATCTACAGGCCGTCACCACCCTCTTCTCCTCCTTGGATCCTTCTGAGGGTCTATTTCAGACTTCTCATTGGCCATAGGAGTCTGGGCTATGACCCAAGTGGATTCCAGTACCTGAACCATGGCCACATGCTTTGAGAGGGAGTGGAATAGAGGCGTGGGTGGTTTAGGATACTGAATGGTGGAGATCCCTGATTGTAAGAAATCCAACCGGGACGTTTATCCGTTTCCACTTTGACGTCATGCACGGGCTGGCCTGACCATATCCTGGAGGAGGATCGGAGAGGAGACGACGATGGTGATGGTGATGGTGGGAGTACCTGTTCATGGGATCAGCCCAGATTCAATGCAGGCGAATCAGCCATGTGCATCGGAATTCTGCTTTCTCTCGTTCGTGGAGGGACAATGGAATGATACTACCCTGTTAGTCAGTCAATCTTGTTACTCTGCTAGTTCGGAGCCCACAGACCAATGTTAGACACGGATGCCCGTTGATGGCTGCAGCTGGTCGATTTGTCAATTGTGCAATTAATTTCTTCTGATTCTTAAAATCGTCTGTGAGCTGTTGTGTGGGGGTTGGGCCCAGGCGGTGTGGCACCAGATAACGAGGCCATCCACACGTCTTCAGGCAATCAGGCAACAAGGCATACACATCGACGAGAAGGTCAAGTAAAAGATCATGTGATTTACATTCCACACCCACCGCAGATGATCGACTCTCCCATTCTTCCTCAATCTGATATATCCATATATATGTACTATTGATCAGAAACACGACCATTTCAGACAATATCTCCGTATCCTGCCTACTCGATTGTGCGATCTCCATGTTGTTAGACCGTATTCGGTATATTCACGTGATCTATCCTAGTCACCCATCTAGATAGTTAGTCAGCTAGCCCGAGGCCGTTGAATTGAAGACTGTGCCTCGCGAACACAAGTGTCATATCACGTGATGCCATGCCACAAGAAAATGCGGATGCTTCTCGAAGGCGGTGGAAGGCCCTCGTGTCGTCATGGCACTTCTCGCTGCCCAACAGTTTTCTGCTATATCTATCCAGCCGGTGTCTTCTGAACGGGGCATCGTGATTCGGATCTGACACTAGCGAACTAATATTGAACTGTGACCACTTGTGGTCTTTACTTGACTTCTGAATTCTCCATCCTTCACCTCTCCATCCGCATTATCCTTCCCTCTCACGTACCGCTACAGAGCCTACTTTTCTACCATGAACGGGGCTCAATTCACAGATAGGGCCAACAAGGCCTTACTGGATTCCAACACTTTAGCCGAACAATATTCGCACCTTCAAATTCTTCCCCTTCATCTTGCAGTGGCGCTTCTCAATCCCGCTCCGGATGAGTCGAAAGACCAGGAAGCCCCCTCCCACCCTTCTCACGATTCCGCTTCCGCTCCCCTCTTCCGTCAGGTCGTCGAACGCGCTCATGGCGACCCTCAGCTATTGGACCGAGCACTCATGAAGATGCTCGTCCGTTTGCCCAGTCAGGACCCGCCCCCCGAGACCGTTAGCATCTCGCCGGCGCTTGCCAAGGTCGTCCGTGCCGCCACCGACTTGTCCAAGACACAGAAAGACAGTTTCGTGGCCATTGACCACCTGATTTTAGCTATTGCCCAGGATTCGCAGGTCCAGCGGGCGCTGGCAGATTCCAATATTCCGAATGTCAAACTCATCGATAGCGCAGTACAGCAGATTCGGGGGTCCAAGCGTGTGGACTCCAAGACGGCGGATTCGGAGACTGAAAACGAAAACCTCAAGAAGTTTACCATTGATATGACCTCGCTGGCTCGCGAGGGTAAGGTCGACCCCGTCATTGGTCGTGAGGAGGAAATCCGTCGGGTCATCCGGATCCTGAGCCGTCGGACGAAGAACAACCCCGTGCTCATCGGCGAGCCGGGTGTTGGAAAGACCACAATCGTGGAGGGATTGGCTCGTCGGATCGTCAATGCCGATGTGCCGGCGAACCTCGCCCAGTGCAAGTTGCTTTCCCTGGATGTCGGATCGCTAGTCGCGGGAAGCAAGTACCGCGGTGAATTCGAAGAGCGAATGAAGGGTGTTCTCAAGGAGATCGAAGAGTCCCGAGATACTATTGTGCTGTTCGTCGATGAGATCCACCTTCTCATGGGGGCAGGATCTAGTGGCGAAGGTGGCATGGATGCCGCTAATCTGCTCAAACCCATGCTCGCTCGCGGTCAGTTGCATTGTATCGGCGCTACCACGCTGGGCGAATACCGCAAGTACATCGAGAAAGACCAGGCCTTCGAAAGACGATTCCAACAGGTCTTAGTCAAGGAGCCTTCCGTTAACGAGACTATTTCCATCCTTCGTGGCTTGAAGGAGAGGTATGAGGTACACCACAACGTCAATATCCTCGATGGTGCCATTGTCTCCGCGGCTACTCTAGCAGCGCGGTATCTGACGGCCCGACGACTTCCCGATTCGGCCGTTGATCTGATCGATGAGGCCGCGGCGGCCGTGCGAGTGACTCGGGAATCCGAACCAGAGGCACTGGATAACCTCGAGAGAAAGCACCGCCAACTCCAGATTGAAATCCATGCGCTTGAACGCGAGACCGATGAGGCGTCTAAAGCCCGCTTGGAGGCTGCCAAGCAGGAAGCGGCCAATGTGGCGGAGGAACTACGACCCATGCGCGAGAAGTACGAAAACGAGAAGCAGCGCAGCAAGTCTATCCAAGATGCTAAGATCAAGCTCGATTCCCTCAAGATCAAGCGAGACGAAGCCGAGCGTTCTGGCGATACGCAGACAGCGGCCGACTTGGAGTACTATGCCATCCCAGAGACCAAGAACCTCATCGAGAGACTCGAGGAGGATCGGGCGCGGGCGGACGCCGAAAATCGCGCTCGTGCAGGCGACGCTGGGGAGGCCTTGCTTGCCGACTCAGTCGGACCCGACCAGATCAATGAGATCGTTGCCAGATGGACCGGAATTCCTGTGACCCGACTCAAGACCACCGAGAAGGACAAACTGTTGAAGATGGAAAAGGACCTGGGCAAGGTTGTGGTGGGGCAGAAGGAAGCTGTGACGTCGGTATCCAACGCCATCCGGCTTCAACGGTCTGGCCTCAGCAACCCCAACTCGCCTCCAAGCTTCCTCTTCTGCGGACCGTCAGGAACGGGCAAGACCTTGTTGACCAAGGCCCTGGCGGAGTTCCTTTTCGACGACCCTAAGGCGATGATCCGATTCGACATGTCCGAATATCAGGAACGACACTCGCTAAGCCGAATGATCGGTGCTCCCCCAGGGTACGTCGGACACGATGCCGGAGGCCAACTCACTGAAAGCCTCCGGCGGCGCCCCTTCTCCATCCTCCTGTTCGACGAAGTCGAGAAGGCGGCCAAGGAAGTGCTCACCGTCCTCCTCCAGCTCATGGACGACGGCCGTATTACCGACGGACAAGGCAGGGTCGTCGATGCTCGGAACTGCATCGTGGTCATGACCTCAAACCTGGGTGCCGAGTATCTGTCCCGCCCGACCACTAAGGACGGGCGTATCGACACACAGACGCGCGAGCTGATTATGCGTGCCCTGCGCGACTACTTCCTGCCGGAGTTCCTCAACCGGATCTCCAGCATCGTCATCTTCAACCGACTCACCAAGCGCGAAATCCGCAAGATCGTCGATCTGCGTCTCGGCGAAATCCAGCGTCGTCTGGAACAAAACGGCCGCAACGTCACCATCGAATGCAGCGAAGAAGTCAAAGACTACCTCGGCGAGTCAGGGTACTCACCCGCGTACGGCGCTCGTCCGCTGGCCCGGATCATCGAACGCGAGGTGCTCAACCGTCTGGCCATACTTATCCTACGGGGCAGTATTGTCGACGGCGAGGTGGCTCGCGTGGTGATGCGCGATGGTCGCATCGACGTCCTGCCGAACCATGAGATTGCCGTCGATGAAGACCAAGACATGATGGATGAAGATGACGACGCATTAGCGGAGATGGAAGACGGCAGTGGCGGTATGGATTTGTATGAATAAATCAAAAGTGATTCATTACTGGATGATTGATGATGGTACGATTTGGCGTTTTGAAATTGGGAGTTCTTTGTTGTCCTATTGATTTAGCTTGCATTTATGTACAGTCAGCTGTTGAGAATAGCTTCAGACGCCCCATCTACTTTGGCCATCGATCTACACTAAAATTAAACTAGCTAGATATATTATAATTAGCGTGAATATCTGTTTCTTATTTTATGAAACCATTGGACAATTCCCCTCTGACAAACTCCAGAGCCATTTAGTGTTCATATCTGTAACTAGCATAAGACAGTAGAATCCTGTCAAATACGTTAAATTAACTCCAGTTCTAGGAAATAGCTAGAATATACAGCTCGAGTATGTAGATGAATAACCGGATTATCTATCTCTTCCGATCAACAGGTGGTGTTTAACTTAAATTGTTCGGTATTCAATTGATCCGTAGAATGGAATCATTGAAGCCAAACTTCAGGAATATTTGTAATAGCCTGGATGGAATAGGACTCTACGGAGTACTCCTTTCTTTCCATGCACTTATCTCTTAGCGTCTAGTGACACGGTAGACTCAGATGTAGATCTCTAGTACATACGTATGCATATCGACGATCTCATCGTAATCGTGGTGGCCATGGAATATCTCCTCCTTATCTCCATTCGGCTTGCACCCGGAGATTACTATTCATATCAACCTTTTAAGTTGCTCGTAGAAGATGCTAAGATAATAAGGATTCTCACCGAAGCGAATCTTGTCCACTTGTCAGGCTTTATATTGTACTATGAGAATATATACGGATAGGATTTTCACTTCTCCATGTACATAATAAAAATATTAATAGAAGAGTTTTGGTAAGAGTACTAGGGTAAATTGATCATATCCAATCAGGCGGTCTCATCCCACGCTCCACCGTGACCGTCATCTCTTTTCTGATCATTCACCGGATCCAGAGTGGAATCCGACATCACATTCTGCGGCTTGGAGATACCGCTGTCCGTGTAGTCGTGCAGATGGAATTCTCTCGGCTGTGGAAGGCTCGGCCGGGAACGTCGAGACAGGCGCTCTGGTCTTCCCGAGGTTGGATTGGTACTGCTTCGGCGCTCCTTCCGACCAGTCAGTCCAGATCTTGAGGGCGGGCAGTACGTCGCGCAGGAGGGGCCAGGGGATTGGCAGGTTGATCACCAGCACGGCCTCCGTCACTTCGCGGAAATAGCAGTTCATGTAGACGTAGGAGATCAGGGACGGCACGAGGCAGTAGATTTTGTGCAGGATGGGGGCGACGATGACGAAGATGCCCATCCCGAAGATGGCCATCAGGATCACCTCCTGCCTAAGCCGTGTCGCACCTGTACCAGGAGTGGGAGTTCGATCAGCAGCACGAAGATATCGGCGGAGATAAGAGATATGCAGCCCTGGAGGATTTCATAGTATTCATTGGCGGAGCATTGTGAGTTCGGTGTTGGAGCCGCCCAGTAGTTCGACAGCGGTCGGCAGAGGAACAGCGACAATTCCACGGCAATGAACCCCAGAGCAAGGTAGACGGTGAGATAATCGACTCATTTCCTTTGTCGTAGACAATACTAGAGAGACAGTGAGCCGAGTGTCGTACGCAGCGGGGGGAACGCGACAAACAGACATCTTCCCGGAGATAAAATATAAGGGACTCAACGCATAAACAGGAGCCGTAGGTCCGTCCGCTCATGATGGGGGATCTCGAGGGAGAATCCAGAAAAAAAAAAAGTTGACCTAAGATTTCTCTGTAACTTAGTTGCATATCCGACTAATTCTAGTTCGTCGAAACTGCCACCCTGTCACACCAGCAAAGGATTAGTATCCTTAGGCACAGTGTTCAATGGATGCCATACCGTCATACCAATACGGTTACCTTCTTCCCAGTATCCTAACAAGCTTCGGGTTCCACCCGTATCAGTCCCTCACAGGCTCACGATGATAAGGCGGATTCTACTGAAGCTCCCCCTTTCGGTAACGGCTTCTCCACCTCTCCCTGCTCTTTGCCGGTTGGGATAGCTTCGTCTGGCCAGTCAGCGCACTCGTAGACCCCGACAGAGCAGTAAGAGGGCCATGACCGCTAGTGATTGGTGTGGCGAACATCCTAGTCGCCCATGGCCCTCTGTGGCCCCCACCACCTCTAGGGATTGTTACGCTGAGGTTCAATGCAGGCAAGGTCAGAGGTCTGTGCCACAGTCTGCAAGGGAGGAAAGGTCATCAACGGTGCCATCCACAGGTACCTCCTCCTCATCCGAAGATGGACGTAATTCTCGGCTGATTTTACTAGCTCGTCTCGTCATCTCTGCTTCTTAAAGCTATAGTATCACTTCTAGTACTGTACTACTCCTTCCCACACTTTCATCTCACCGTATAGAATATTGTTCGAAACGTCCCTCCCCTTGTCTCTTCTTTGATCTCGCTCGGATTCAGATGGCACCGACAGAAGCCCCAGAAAAGGTAGAGCCCATCGAGCCTTCCACCGAAGATCGGGTTTCGGTCGAACTCGTCAATGCATCCGGCCATCGCCAGGAACTCGAACGGAACTTCAGTCTCCTCAGCATCTGTGCCGTCGCAGTGACGACGGGAAACACATGGATTGCTCAGGGAGGCAGCGTGGTACGTTCTCAAGAAAAGAGTATGAGGACCTGTGCTGACCAAGACGTAGGTGACTGCGTTGAGTAATGGGGGTCCATCAGGGGTCATTTATGAATTGTATGATACATACTACGGATCTTGCATCGGCCCATTTCATACATGGATGCTAACGACATCTAGCATAGCGGTTTCGGTCTGTTACTGGCTAGTTGCTGCATCAATTGCTGAGCTGGCATCCGGAATGCCTTCTGCTAGTGGTGGTGCGTGTCACTCTATCGAAGCGCCACTGTCCAGTAAAGCTAATGTCAGTCTAGTCTACCACTGGGCCTCGATCACTGCGGGGAAATATGGCCGTGTGTGTGGCTTTTTCGCCGGTTTCTGGAACTGTCTCGCCTGGATCCTAGGAGCTGCCTCCATGTCGGCCATCCTGGGCCAACAGACCGTCTCCATGTACGCTTTGATGCATCCGGGCTTTCAAACACAATCTTGGCACGTGTTTGTGAGCTTCATCATCTGCACCTGGCTGTGCTGCTGCATCGTGCTTTTTTTTAACCGCCTCCTCCCCCATATCGGCAATATGGGCATGTTCTTCATTCTGGCTGGCGTGCTGATCACGATCATTGTCTGCGCCGTCATGCCCCATGTCAATGGCACAGGATACGCTTCTGGTGCCGACGTCTGGGGCACATGGAAAAACCAGACCGGATACTCGAGCAATGGCTTTGTGTTTGCCGCGGGGATGCTCAATGGAGCTTACAGTGTGGGCACGCCAGACTGCTCGACGCATCTGGCAGAGGAAATCCCTAGGTAGGTTCAGACTACCTTGCCAGCTCGTTAAGTCTAACGACTGTAGACCGAGTCGAAATATCCCCAAAGCGGTCCTGGCTCAAATGAGTATCGGCTTTATCACGGGGTCCCTCTATATGATTGCTGTCTTCTATGCAATCATCGATCTTGACGCGGTCCTGAACAGTAAATACACATTCCCCCTTGCCGAGATCTACCGCCAGGCCACGGGCTCAAGTGCGGGATCTCTGGGGTTATTGATTGTAGTTTTCTTGCCCACGGTCATCACCTGCGCTGGATGCTATATCACGGCGGGTCGGACTCTCTGGACTATGTCCCGCGACAGAGCAACCCCGTTCTGTGGCTGGCTGTCTCAGATCAACCCCCGCATGCACAACCCGTTCAACGCCACGTTGGTGTGCGGCGTGCTGATCACCATTCTGGCCTGCATCTACGTCGGATCAACCACCGCTTTCAACGCCTTCATCGGCTGCTTTGTGCAGCTCTCCAGCCTCTCCTACTGTGCCGCCATCCTCCCGCATATTCTGACTCGTCGGTCTTCGTTCACGCCGGGGTACTTTTGGATGGGACCCGTCGGCTACATCGTCAATATCCTGAGCTTTATTTATATCCTTGCCTTTGTGATAATTTTCTGCTTTCCGGCCACCCTGCCCACGGATGCAGCCTCCATGAACTACGCCAGTCTGATGACGGGCGGGTTGTCGATCTCCGTGGCCTTGTGGTGGCTGTTCCGCATGCGGTCCTACGAAGGGCCGAAGTTTGTTCCATTAACAGATAAAGTGTTGATGGACGATGCAAAATAGGGTTGTACTTGATTCAACTGCACATAATGACAGAGAATATAAAAAGTGAGGGGATATAAACATGTATGGCTTGGATTTTACATAATATGCGGGTGCACTCGGTATACATATGTCGATATCAACCAGAATAATATAATAGAAACATATAATATTGTTAATGAGAACAGCCTGCACTGTACTAGTCCGGAATTCATAGCCCTGCATCTCTCGGTGATACCATGCCTATACCGCTATAAGTAAGCTTCATTTTCTACAAACCTGTCTCCTAGGACATTCTACTCCAATATTTATTTCTTAGTCCTGAACATCAATATTGGGTATATCCAGAAGCGTTACAACCTTGTTTTTTCAAATCGATCTATATTCTTCCTCTATTGTAGGGAACATATACCCTGCTCAGGAACGTCTCTAAATATAGGAGTACATACTGATGCAGAGACTGCATAAATATGACGAGAGGGATATACAATATTTCAATAAAACCAGTAGGGCATCTCGTGATTAGGACTTTTCAGATGCATGTGGAATAACATCAGGCAAACTTACTGCTCCTAAGATGGTATTCTGAGCGCCATAATACTATCAAAGCAATACAGGGCTAACTAATTGCACACAGTCGTCTCACTGCTATTATTGCCTCAACTGAAATAGAACTTCTAAGAACAGTTGAATCCCGAAGTCGTAAGCTGGTTCTGCCTGTCAATATGCTCTAATTTAACCCAAAGAGAGGGTGTTACTCAATGGATTGATTGAATCTTTGCCAACAGAAACCTCAAAAACTGTCTCTGCACCAAAATTAGCGGGATATTAATTATAAAGTTAAATCGAATGTGGGACCAGCCCCATAAATATAGAGTTATGAACTAGCTATTGGTCGGTCCACTCGGAGATATTGTATGTACTTGTAAAGTGGAGACTGTCTTGTAATTACTGTCCGGTTGCCTGCCTTCATGAACCCCAGGATCTATAGACAACGATTCAGTCAAGTAGTGGAATACACAATATAAGGAATGTGTTTTTTTGGCTGTTTGTGACCTACTAGCTGTAAATATTGTTCCGTCCTACCTATTAAATGTCCTTGAGTCTAGGGCCCAGAACACAATGGAGCACCTAGCATCTGGCCAAATGGATGAGAGTACTATATATGAGAGATGCAATCTGAAAGGTTTTAGAAAATCTATTAAACAATGTATTGACCGATCGATTGAGGCATGAAAATTCATTACCTAACGGATTTGCAGATACTTCCAGTGTTTTAGCTCAGGTAAAGAGCTTTACTGGAGATGTATTGTGCTCTCCGAGCAACTGCACTCAATAGCCACTGTTGGTCATTTTTTCGACCGTCCCACTGAATCATCACCCTATTGACTTGAAAAAACTGGTGGAGCATCCGTAAACTCCTACCTGATTTACGGGGAACCTTTGCTTTGCTAACCATGGAGATATACATGGCATAATCGTGCTTCTACCATAGTAGGTAAGTTTTTATGTTTCCAATGTCTCTGTTCCCCCATATAGCATTAACTTTGTACTACCCTGGGCCAGCCCTGCTATCTTCGTATGGACAAGATCGTTATATAATTACTTATTAGTTATGGCCACAAGGATCGCGTGGGCCATGGAGTAATATGGTATACTACTAAACACCCACCTCGGTGGCCGCAAGGGTATCTTAGTTGATTACGCTATTCAGCTGATCCTTGATCAGGTCCACCAAGCGTGGGGACAAGGTAGATAACTTAGCATGATCCTTCTTAATATCACAGGCGTGTACGATAATGTCTCGCACCTGCGGCTAATCTGGAATCTCTGGAAAGCGCGGCTGGGACGCCTCGCGCTGTGGCTCTGGTCCTTTCTCACCAACCAACAAACACGGATTTAAATACCCGGCTTCCTAAGCACCCTGTTTGATACCAGCACCGGGATCCCGCAGGGATCCCCTATCTCACCCATCCTTTACCTCCTTTACAATCACCCCCTGCTGCGCACCCGTTTCCTAGCTGAACCCGACGGCTGTACGGAGGCCTTCGGCTGGGTAAATAATATGGCAGCCATTGCGGAATCTGACTCCTACGCTACGAATGTAAAGCTTCTAGAAAAGGTCCTAATTAAGGCCCAGCGCTGAGCAGATTAACATGCGTCTAAATTTGACCCCGCCAAGTTCGAGCTTATTTATTTCCGCAATCCGCACGAAGAAATCAAGGAATATACGGCGTTTTCCTCGAACCTAATAATATCTGGGAGGTCCCTATTAAACCGCGCGGAAACGACAACATGCCCCTGACTATTCCACGGAACTAATCCTGCGCCCCAATTCTGCAAAGTATCTTGGCGTGTGGCTGGACAAGCACCTTAGGTTTAATATCTACCGCGAAAAGATGCTCGCACGCGCCAACAGCTTGCTGGAGACACTAAAGAGCATCTCAGGATCCACCTGGGGTGGCTCGCTGACTGCAATGCGCAAGATCTACCGCGCAGTGGTTATTCCCCAACTCCTGTACAGAGTGGCGGTATGGTATAGCCCAGCAACCAGGCGCATACCCGCCCAGAGTTCAACAAGATTATTGACCAGTTCACCAAGATCCAAAAACGCGCGGCAATTATTATCAGCGGAGCATTTAAAGGCACTGCTGCAGTGGCCCTGGACGCAGAACTCCACCTGCTCCCGATTCGCCTGCAAATGCAAAAAACTATCGAGGAAACGGCCATTCGGATACAAACGGGTCCAGTGTTTGCGTGTCCCGAAGGCTTAAGATTAGACAGACAACGGAGGCGATAACGCGCGGTGGTAAAACACTGCTAGAGGCACTAAAGTGGGCAAAAAATGCAGTCCTTGCACCAACAGCGCACCGCAAGACTGCAGAAAAGTGGGAGACCCGGAAAGCCTTTGTTTTAGCACCGTGGGAGGACCCGATCCGATGTATTATTAAACTACATAAGAAGGTAATAAACAGTTACGATACTCTGCCGCACCAGCTCTGCAGAGCACTTTATTGCCTTCACGGACGGGAGTGGCCACAGCGGGCACGTAGGTGCCTCGGCCGTTAGTTTCCGCAACAGTGGCCTAGTATAATAAAAATACTTAGGCACCGACAATAACACTACTGTATACACCGCAGAACTAACAGGCATGGGAATAGCTCTATCCAAAGTCCCTACACGCGCCGCGGCCGTCACGGTCTTTGCAGACAGCCAGGCAGCGATCCAAGCCGTGGACAACCCGGGACGTCCCTCGGGACAATACTAACTGGAAGTAATATACAACCAACCAAGCACGGCGACTCCGCCTCCGGGATCTAGCCCCGGAGATCACAATACGGTGGATCCCCGCACACTTCAGGGTCCCCGGAAACGAGGCTGCCGACGAGGCCGCCAAGAACACTGCAGCTGACATGGGCAAACAATTCGGTAGAGGAATTATACGGCTAGCAGCTGTAGCCAAGCGCGCGGTGCGCCAACATATCCAGACATATTAGAAGAAGCAGTGGGAGACAGAAAAACAAGCCAAGCCAACACAGCGGCTAATCAAGGCCCCGAACAAGTCTACAGTTAAGCTCTACAGCGGCTTACCAAAGCTGTACGCGTCTGTGATTATGCAGATGCAAACAATAAGGATTGGCTTAGCGCACTTCCTTTGTGTATACCTGCATTCGCGGACTATCTTTCTTATGTGGGCTTATGGGTTTATATTTATGGCGTTGAAGGACCTCGAGTTCTTGCTCCATTGGTGAAGCGCCTGCATAGCTAAACGCTTCAAAGTTGGGCTGCAACAGGTTAATAGAACTTTGAATTGAATTGAATTGAATTGATCGGATAGTCCTAAGGCCAAGACCCAACAGAGAAGTAAACTTAAGAAGACATTGCTCAGAAAAGCCGCCCAGTGCAGTATCGAGTGCGAATCCGATGTATTCGTGATGATACGGGTCAAAAGAACCGGCCAACGGTATATTTTTAATTCATCTCCAACGGAAGAGTGGCTTCCGTCTATGCCAGAGCTGGTAAGTGGCAGCTTTTGCAGGCACAATGATGGAATCTAACGAAGATAGAGCGGATACTATCCGACACCGATCACAAAGACTTTGGAGGATGTTGTACCTCGACACAAGGATTACCCGGATTCAGATGGACAGGACAATCCGAAATGTGTTGGTTTGGCAGTGAAAGGAGCTGTTTAGTCTCTACCATCTTGTTCGAACTGCGGCCTCCAAATCTACCCAGACCTTTATATTTGCTCATATACGTACTTGAAGACCCAGCATAAGCGCCTGACAAGTATAACCAATAAAGTAGCATGCCTGAGTTGCTTAGGCGATATCGAAATTAGCCCGCTGCTCGAAGAATTGACTACACGTACCCAATACTCCGGAGGTCATAATCCTATACTCTACCACGGACGCAAATAGGCACAATACATGGTTGATGGAGCAATACCAGAATGAGGGAACCACCTGAACTCTCGAAGCTGATGAGCTTTAGGTGGATTTCACACTAGGAGAAAAGATCGTACAAACAGTGGAACAGCTAATTGGAAGTACAGTACACCCACTTAATTCAAAGAAGATATCCCAACAGCGCCTATGACTTGAGGAGCTTTTGAGGAGTAAACTACTTATTCACGAGAGAAATAAGCCATGACAGGTTGGCATATGCACAACAGCATATCTTTTGATCTTCTTGACTCTCTCTTCCCCTAACTCTTCGCGAGCTCTGAGGCCTTTCTCGTTTAGTCTATCAATATCTTCCGTCGCGAGCCGCTGCGGATTGAGAAGAGAAGGTTCTCAGTAAATCTCGGGTGGTATGACAGCAAGAAACATTCGATGAAAGCTCACTTACACGGTCTATACTCCATTCAGCAAGTGCTTCGCTGAGTGTGTGGCGTTCGTTGTACTCCGGGTCTTCCTCTAGGGGCAAATAGCTTGTGATGTTCCATTCAACAGCAGGATTGTCATCTTCTAGCGATGTAGTCAGAATGTCTAGCATCCAATATTTGTTAGTTGATATTATCATAATAACGAGATCGGAGTGAGCAAGAAGGAAGTGGATAGAAGAAAGAAAAAATATTTAGATACCCGGGCGGGTGGAGAAGGACGTACTTGAAAGAGAGCGCTCCACTTGTAAACGCCGTGTTGTTTGTTCTCTTCTCTTCTCCCAAATATCGTCTGCTTTGCGCCACTCGTCTCCTTCGACCATTTCAGTTTGGTGGGTTGTCGCTGTTAGCCCAGCTATATCAGTCTCTTGACCACTGTCGTCGGACCGCTTTGTAATGGTTTTATCCTCCCGGATGATGGTCGAAGTGTCACCGCCCTTCGAGTCGGGTGGGTTGGATACTGGATCGGAAGCAGACCGCATATGATTACCAAGAAGGCCGATTCGGACCTTCCACCTCTGAATATACTCCTCTAGAATACACTGTGCCCCGTGGTCGGGGATATACCTGGTTCTATCATATTCGAACCGCGCTAGGTAGTGAGGTGATGACAGGTCAAGAAGCTCTTCGAGGCATTTGACATGATAATAATCTATATGGTAATCCCATGTTAAAAAGAAAGGGGAACGGCATTATTGCATTGATGTGCGGTTACCTGGATTTCTGTAATAATTATGGTTTCCTGGGGTCACGGCAATTCTGTATTCACCGGGAAGGATTCTATCCGTGCAACTGCCAAGTTGACACTTCGCTCCATTGTTAGAGGGCGGTGCCTCCTGGAGCATGAAGATAGGATAGTGCGACAAAATTTCCACATTGCGTGAATAAGGTTCGAATCGTGGCCTTAGGTAGTTCCTGAATACTTGAGCCTCTTTTCTGATATCTTCTCGCCGTCTTTCCTCTGGTGAAAGTGCCCTCCGACGTGCTTCTTCTGCATCTATGCACTGCCAAACTCCATTCCAATACTCGCGTTCCTCATCAGTGCCGATAGAGTCATCCTCTCGCCCCATAAAACGGGCAATATTTTGTCTTCGACGCTTTGTCTGGGCCTCGGCGTTTGAAGCTGTCGTCTTCCTGGCTCTTTTGGGCTGTGACGCGGATGGTCTGATTGGGGATTGCGCTGCTGGTGCAGGATTCGGCGCCATTATTTGGGGTGATAATCTCGCATCTCGGGTGCTGTTGTTTGGGATGTCTCTGCTGCGCTCGATTTCGGGATCTGTTGGATTCAGAAGGTCGGAAGTAGTAGAAGAGCCTGTTTGGTTGTTGGCCGGCTTGGCTTGCTTCTGCCTGTGTTGTGATGGTGTTTTACTTCCCTGCTCACCACGATGGTGTGCAGAAGGAGGTTGTGGAGAGACTATAGTCACCCCGTAAGTCTTTGGGTCGATGGGAGAGTACTCCATTTTTGTTTAATGGAAGAGAATGCTTGAGTATTTTAGTACAGGACAAAGGGTTGCTGCATGAAATAGGTTGGAAGGCTACCATAACAGTGAGCCAGGGGAAACTGGCCCTCATTCGGATCTTCTTGGGACACGTGCAAGGCACCCACGCGTTTGAAGTTCTGTTCGAATTTTGACTAAGCAAGTCATGGAGTCAGCCTTGTATCTGCCTCACACCTGCAGGGGTCGTGCAATTTGGGGGCCAATCCCCTCGGCGATCCCGGAAATAGATTGGATATCCATAGCCGCTCGCTCGACATTAAGACCAGCTAGTCATGGGTAGTGTTATTTGGGAGGAAAGAGCAGGTTTAAGACTGGATGACGACAGTAATATGTAAGCCTCTCCCCTAGATAGCCATCGTTTCGACATATAGCCGGCTTTTTGGCGAGGTGGTCACAAAGGGTGTCCAGGCATGATAGGGCTGATGCTTACGGAGTAGTTGTTGGCGGGCCGGGGTTAGGAGTGACTTGGCACAACGACATGCGGGCTGTCACGGAGTATTTGACATGGATGTTCTGTAATAAGTTGTCGTCTACTTTCTCACTAAGTGCCTACTGAATGAAGTCCGCTCGTTCTAGTAGTTCCTAAATCACTCTCTTTTTGTTTATTTCCCTCGATGGCCGTCTGCCTAACGTTTTTAATCAATGTTTTACTACGTGCCTGTGCTTGGCATAGTGCTTTGTTCTTGTGACCCGCTGCTTTGCCTCCGATGTATTTTTGATCTCTACTTGGTGCTATCGACGTTAGAGTGCCTTATGGCCGCTAGTGCTGCGCCCTATAACTATTTAATAGCGAAAATGTTTCTCGAAACTCTAGCCTAACCGCTCGTCTCCTGCTAGCTTATCACAATGCTTTCGCCGTGGAAAAAGGCGACGAAAATGACGACCCCTCAAGAAGCTGTCTAGTGACAAGAGAACTTGGAGTGGAATGGGCGGTTATGATTAGATCATTGAAACTCTTCCGAATGGTCATATCCGAACGACATCTAATGTCGAATGTTAAACTAAATTTATACTTAAAAGTCCAAACCAGTTTCTATACACTATGCCTAAATATTAGACTTGCTACCAATGCATACGTGGTTAATGTCTAATAGACTGTATGATACAAAGAATGAAATTCTATAGATACAATTGAGATATTCACAGAACATAACTCTTTCTCAGTATCTACCCTCAAAAAAAAAAAAAAAAAAATAGACCACGCTACTAGACACTAGCAAGTCATAGAATCATCAGAAGAGGGAGACAAATGTACCTCCAGTCTAGGAACACTTCCAGCGGACCGTTGGTTCCGCTGCACCCGGAGACGTAGTTGACAGTCAACAGACTTTGAAATGGACTGATCCCCATTTTCCACACCCTCCACCGGTGACTGATAAAGATGATCGTATGCCCTGGCCCACAATTATGAATTTCATAACCTCTCAATTGAAAACGATCTGGAGGAATGGGGATATCCTGAACTTACGCTACCATTTGCATGCCTGTCATTTCGCAGTTTTTGTGCTGAACAATGACACCGCAGCCGAATTCGGCATTCTTACCATCGGTATAGTACGTTCCCGATTGGAGTTAGAGTCCTTGGTGCTGCATGACACGATTAGCACATTGTGTCCAGCGAAGGGAAGGGAAGGGAACGGAAGGGAACGGACTGGTACCCATAGAGTATGTCATCTTTCAAGAAACCCATACCGCAGAATTTTCAGAAGTGGGGGGATGTTTTGCATATACCCAACCCTTTACAGACTTCTGGTGCAGTCGACGAGGTTGAGTTGGTAGAAGTGAGTTCCTCGGTCGTCGTTGGACTTGTCAATTTGGATGCGGTCTTCGAATCCCACTCAGAGAGTTTACTCAAAATACTTACCGCTATGGATGACCGTTTGGCTCTATCCGCAGTTGGGCTGGGGAACAACCCCTCTGTAAGGTTCGTAGAGGGTCAATTGCCAGAGAGATTGGTGGCGGTAGTGGTGGGTTTGGCAGAGCAAACGGTGATGGTCATGCGGCGTCGTGAACGCGCCCAGCGATCGAAGACCGCATGTCGCAGCTGCAAGTGGGTTCAATGGTCCCTAATCCACCCAGAGCTCTTCTAACAAACAAAATCGGGTGCAGAGCACGCCGTGTTAGTGGGTGAGATCTTAGGCGAGTTCTATGAATGCTCATCAACCGGCCCGTCTTATGATGTGTATGACCTGTCCCGCCTGCCTTGGTCCGGCACTGGCAGACGGCAAGTGCTGGCCGAAGACATCGGATGAGCGTGGGTGCTTCTCGTACTTCCAAAATTACGCAGCTCCCACACTCTGGAACCTTTTTGATTCCGTACCATAAAAAGCTTGCTCTACAAATGAGCCACTGAATTGACGGTTTCCCATGCCGCGGTGGCGGTGGGTGCCATCCATCAGGATATCGAGATATATGGAATGTCACTACTAGCTAATCTATTGAATCCCTAACAGTCTTGTCGGTCATTCTCCCTCTTAACTCTGCGTGCCTTCTGGGATCATCGGCTACAGGACGTGTTCTTACTCTGCTGTTTAGTTTTCATTCTCCGGGAATTGCTTCGTGGGCAGTATGACAGCGCATCCAGGCATCCCCAGATTGGTCTACGAATTATGAAAGAACTTAAGGCTGTGAGACAGCTTGTCCTCGGAATGTCAGGGGAACGGCCTATCGAGGATTGCTTAGTCTCGGCGTTGTGAAGCTGGGCATCCAATTAATATACTTTAGGGTTGAAGGGCCACTGCTGAGTCTTGATGGAGCATTTTCATCACATGGCTCAGGCCGATGCTCAATGGGTCTTGCAAAATCTCCATGAGGTACGCCACGTGTTGGATTGTGTGTTGAGCAGACATCTCCTGTCCCTCACGCAAACTCTGCCCACGTCCCAGGCCGAGGTAGCATCGAACTACAACGTACTGCTCTTGAAATAACAGCCAATTATTTCACACCTGAATCACTATTCCCGGCATTTAGAGTCTTCTATTTATCCGCCCACCTCAAAGGAGCGCAGAGGATTGAGTATCATCCGACTCACATTGAAGACGACCAGTCTCGGACCACAACAATGTCTGAATCTCCATTACGATGCTATCATACCCAGTGACACGCCTGAATACCCGGAAACTTGATCCCTCGTGGAAGATATCATGGACAGGTTGCCCGTGCGACCCACTATAGTTTTTGATAGTGGTATTATAACCCACTTTTGTATGTGGCGTTCGGGTGCCTTAATTATGCTGTTTGCTGGAGAGCAATCCGGTTGCTCCGATGTTGGGCACACTTGGAGGGGCCGTACGATTCAAAATGGGCTACTCTCTTAGCTGAGTATCTCATAAAGGTTGAATTAATGAAAGAGGGCCCAACCATGGCGTGCATGTCTCGAGTCTATCCAAAGGACAATCCGGACCTGAAAACCGGAGAATCGCAGATTTCTGGAGACGTCGACAATTGACGGCGTTCTAGAAGACCCTTTCTCCATGGATGATGGACTGAAAATCAATCAGTGTTTCGCAAGTTGTCTTGCTGTTCAATGTATTGCGTTGACTCGCATTACGGGATGGTGAGTGGCCCGTATAGCGACGAGCGACAACCACCGGTGATGGGTATGTTAGCGCCATGAGCTTCAATTTCCTATATATTAAGGCCATGCTTTTAGAAATAGAGCTGGCAACCACAGTACTACCTTGTTATCCTTAACTCTGCTTCTAGCTTTCGAACAGGGTGAGATGTGGCTATCGTCACATCAACATTGCTTCAGTCCACGCAATGAGCGTGAGATCGGGATGGAATTAAGGCTTCTGGAGTAAATATCAATAGAATCTGGACAGCTTCAAATTCTGAAACAGCATTGGAAAGTGCAGTATCCCAGAGAGGCTTTCTTGCTGTAGAAACGTAAATCTGTGGCATTTGTATGCCAAAACTGGCAATAGTAGTAGAATATCACGTGATAACGCGTCTCCGTATGTGGTCGCGTCTCCCCAGCCAAGTTGCTCGTTTCTCTCCAACGTCCACTCACCATCTCACGCGATGGTGTTCAAGCCGTTCAAGCCTCCTTTGATAAGGAAACCATCCCTACCGGCCACTTCGACCTCAATTCCGTCTAAAAATCTTCCAGAAAGTGATGTTCCTCCGGCAAAGAAACAACGCGTGAATCCAGAATGCGCAACTGATGACCGAAAGCCTTTGGTGCAAGTGAAAAACATTGGGAGGATGTCCGATGATAAGAGCAATGGAGCGGACGCGACTGGCGAAAAATATTTCAATGTGTTATGGTATGGCTAGCCGTCTTTTTTTCTTTTCTTCCCATTCTTATCCAGCTCTAAATAACTTTTGGCAGGCGCAAGCCTACCACTAAGAAGAACAAAACCTGGGATGGTGATGGAATTCTTTGCACAAGAGGTGGCTATGCCTATTTGCAAGACATCTCTGGAAGGGACATGGGCAGAGCAATACATGGTTCGTATCTCGAACCAGGTGTTATGATTTCGATCGGAGGGAAAGAAGTTGAGGTAGATTCGGAAATTTCAAGAAAGGAATATCTATCTGGCAAAGAGTTACTAGGGACAAAGGAGACTCCAACCCCGCCATCGCCGCCAAAGAAAACGTTTGTCCCTGTTGTGAGTAGCCGACACGATACTTCAAAATCTGCCGTGTCTTGGAAACAGGCCCCTAGCAAGGGAACCCACACAGCGACTATTGCGAACCTTGCTTCTTCGAAGCCCAAATTAAAAAGTAGTGCATATAAAAATTCTCTGTTGGAAAGCACAGTTGTACCTCAGATGTCAACGGATCAACCGACCCCGCGTCATGACCCCAACCAACCAGGAGCACTGGTGATGAAACGGCCAGAATCTGTACCCCGTGGAAAGCGGATTGTTGACGTCGTTGTCGATCCTATAATATGCAAGCATCTGCGGCCACATCAACGTGAGGGAGTGAAATTCCTCTATGAGTGCGTAATGGGGATGAGATCATTCAATGGTGAGGGTGCTATACTAGCGGATGATATGGGGCTCGGTAAAACTTTGCAGACAATAACGCTTCTATGGACACTTTTAAAACAGAACCCGGTTTATGAAGCTGGCCCTGTGATTAAGAAAGCTCTCATTGTATGCCCAGTGACTCTTATCAACAACTGGAGGAAGGAATTCCGCAAATGGCTTGGGAACGAACGAATTGGTGTTTTTGTTTTTGACGACAGAAGGAAACGACTGACTGATTTTACAATGGGCAGAGCTTACAGTATCATGATTATGGGTTATGAAAAATTGAGAACGGTCCAAGAGGGGCTAGCCAGAGGTGCTGGGGTCGATATTATCATCGCAGATGAGGGCCACAGGTTGAAAACACTTCAGAACAAAAGTGGCCAAGCAATACAGTCACTAAACACAACGAAAAGAATTATCTTGTCAGGTACTCCGATCCAGAATGACCTGAAGGAATTTTTTGCGGCGGTAGATTTGGTAAATCCCGGAGTCCTGGGTACTTTCAAGACATTTATCCGGGAGTTCGAAGGCCCAATCGTGAGAAGCAGACAGCCAGAAGCAACCAGAAAGGATATAGAGAAAGGTGAAGTAAGGAGTGATGAACTACGGGAGCTTACTTCGAAGTTCATGCTACGCAGAACAGCTGATATTCTGGCCAAATACCTTCCTCCGAAGTCAGAGTATGTGTTGTTTTGTAATCCAACTCGAACCCAAGCTACTATATACCAAAACGTGCTTGTATCCCCGGTATTTCAGAGCGTCCTAGGCAGCTCAGAAAATGCTCTGCATCTTATAACGATCCTTAAGAAATTATGCAATAGTCCTTCTCTTCTCTCACCCAAGAACCAGGAGGAAAACTCCAACGACACAGTTGCCGCATTGTTATCTTCTCTTCCGCCAAATCTGCTACGGCATTTTTCGCCGTCTTCCAGTGCCAAAATCCGAGTGCTAGATCAACTCTTATATACCCTACATACGAAAACGTCAGAAAAGATTGTCCTTGTTTCAAACTATACCTCCACGCTGAATTTATTAGCCAGCCTTCTCACATCCCTCTCTCTTCCATTCCTCCGTCTAGACGGCTCAACACCGGCTCAGAAACGCCAATCTCTGGTTGAGGACTTCAATCGTCTTCCAACAAATCTGTGCTTTGCATTCCTGCTGTCCGCGAAGGCAGGAGGCACAGGACTCAATCTGATAGGGGCCAGTCGGCTTGTACTATTCGATGTAGACTGGAATCCAGCCACTGACATCCAAGCTATGGCTCGAATCCACCGCGATGGCCAGAAACGCCCATGTCGAATATACCGCATCCTACTCAAAGGCAGTCTGGAGGAAAAAATATGGCAACGCCAGGTGACAAAGCTCGGGCTTGCTGACAGCGTCATGGAGAACAAAGACACTGTGGCCCAGTTCTCCCGGGATGAACTGAAGGACCTCTTCCGTCTAGATCAGGAAAGCCAATGCCAAACCCACGATTTACTAAACTGCGACTGCCAAGGAACGGGACAACTCGTTACGCACTCTGATGATGACTCAAAAGAAGTCTCTGATACTGACAAATCCTCTGCGGAAGGAGATGAGGAAGACTTCCCGGACCTCCCAGCCCTCATTAAAGCCTCCCAGCTCGACATTGAGAAGCAAGAGCGCTCAATCAGAGCCTGGACCTCCGCTGCGCGTACCCGCTCCACACGGCCTTCGAGCTTCGAGAACCCCAACGAGGCCGGAAACAATAAACAGAAACTCAAAATACAACAATCGCTATCTCAGTACGTGCATATCGACTCGAAACTTCTTTCCGTCTCCACGGACAAAAGTGGAGACGTCCCTCAAGCCCTCGATGATGATATTCTTCTCTCAGTATTGAGAGAGGAAGGTAATCGAGTTGATTTTGTCTTTAAGAAATCCGGCGCGGCTGAAATTAAAGACAACAATAGCTCGTCGTCACCGATTGTGATTGACTAACTTTCAACTTTTATGGGGCACTTCATTGGCATATTCTTTATTTACAAAATGGGTTCGGAGATTATGTTTGAACTTTGGTATTGCATTGCATGTACATACATATGGCCATCCTTATTCATGTGGCTAGATTGATGATCTTGATAGAATTTAGACCTTGTGCCATCATTCTTTTACAAGATATAACATTAAACAAATTATTCCGGGTATTGAAAGAGGCAGAAATAGGTAAAACTGAAGACACTTGCTATTTACTATATATTTATTTCAATTTGAAAGTGGCAGCATAACATTCCTTGCATCATGGATACACATACATATCGTCTTTCACATAGGGGTTAAGGTCATGGTAAGTGAAGAAAGAAAAGAAGATCATGGAAGACAAAAACTGGCCTGCGTATGGGCATGCATAAATAAACAGTTACAACGGACAAAGGAGATAGTCAGAATAGTTGGCACGTGACATGAAGTTAAATAAAGGGGATATACGAGAATTGGGCAAAGGAGAAAGGATGAATGGAAAAAAAGAAGGAAAAGAAAATGGGGAAATTTGAGAACTTGGAAATATTTAATCATCAGAAATAAAAAGAAGAGTCCCCGCTGAGGACTGTACTAGTATCGGAGCTTGCCTACAAGCCCAAAGGTATATGCAGCTTCAGCTTCGCTCTTCATCTGGATCATGTATATTCTGGAGAACCCGCCAGTGACGCCGCCTTTCTTCGGCATAGCACCGCCTGCAGACTCTTCCCACACGGAGACAGCGATCCCAGTTCTTGCCACACGCTCGAACGAGCTTTCAGGCAAGCAGACGTCAAGAAGCACCTCGTCACGCATCTTGCCGCGGATGAGAATACGCTTTTCAGATTCCAAGCCCCGATGAGGCGACACGGTTACAGAGCCGGGTGGGCTTCCGTCGGTCCCTTCAGCTGCATCGTTTGAATCGACTTGTCCAGTCATTGCTATCTCGGGATTGGAGGATTCCCGAGTCGATGGCATGATAGTCAACCTTGCTGCACCCATGTCGCGCCACTTGGTTTGAGTCTCGCGCACGTAGAGCCGGATCTTGGCATTCGAGAGGCCAATACCATCGACACCTTTAATGGCCGCTGCAATCCTACCAAGACCTGAGCTGGGTGAATGGTTTGAGCCAGAGCCTGCGGAGCTTGAGTACAAGCTATCTTCATTTTTAAGACTGCGAGAAGTGACAGAGGACCGCGAAATACTGAACATCTTGCTTCCCGCCCCAAAGCGCTTCAGCGCCGAGAACGCACTGCTCATGGTCCCTACGCTACTCTCGGAATTGTCGGCGAGGGACCGAGGTGAAGCTGAAGCACGGTAGCTCCTCCTGCGACGTGGCCAGCCGAACAAACCTCCAGACTTGTTGGGACGATCAACAGGGATCGGCTGGTCGGCAAGAGGGCCTCTTGCATTTTGCAAAGCTATGTAAGTCGGGTTATTGATGCGTGCATGGTTAATGAGTCCGTAAAGGGCTTCGCATTCATCTGCGTTCTTGGACCGGAACATGATGTTATTGCTCCAGGTGACTTTCGATCTTTCAGTTGGAGGAGAACGGATGCTAATATCAATGGCTGTACCACGCCGGATGGGCACCAGTGGTGTGAGCTCTAGTGCAACTACCGGTCGAGCTTTCTTCAAGAATATGCCCTCCTCTGCAGCGGCTGCATCCTTCATCTCATAAGCCTCGACAAGACCAGGGCTGACAATTAACTTGCAGTCATCGGGAAAAACACTATCCCAGGAGCCTTTATCCGACCACGCAAAGACGGAGGCAACAGCAGTGGTTGACTTTTCAGGCTGCGGAGGAACTGTTCTATAACCACCCTGAGATGCGGAGTTAGATGGAGACAGAGAGCTAGGTACAGGTGTAATGAACGAAGCCTGCACTGCCAGTTTAGAGGTATCGTGATCCTTGACTGGGGGGAGGTCGTCCTCCGATTCATCATCCGAGCTATCGGATGCGGTGCAGTCTGAATCCGAATACAAGTCGTAGCGCCGGACAGTAGAAGTCTCGGAATCAGAATAAGAGTCGGACGCCGTAGACGGCTCATATTCATGCTTTAATGGGGAAGAGCCGCGGCGACGAGGCCGGGCGCCGCTTGGGCTAAGAACAGGAGTGTTGAGAAGACTGGATCCTGAAGTAGAGCTGGGGGAACGAGAGTGTGGTGGTGGCGCAGGAGGTTCTTCCCCATTATTTTGATCGATAGAGTCCGAGTTCGACCGGGAGTGGCTCTTGTTCTTCCTTGTAGGACTCTCCGGCGAGCTTTGCAGATCCAGTGGGGCATATTCCTCATCTGACAGGGACTCTATAGACTCAGTAATGTACGACTGGCTACTTTCTTGTCGGATCTTTGGGATCAGAGGCAGATTCATGGATGGGACGGATGACACCCTTGGAGAGCTTTCGGGGACATCCGTTGTCGGGGTTTGAGGCGGATATTGTTTTTCCTGTGGTTTCTTCTGTAGCTCAACGCTGTTGGCATCATCATGTTGCCGGCGAGGAGTGGAAGGAGCCAAGTCATGTTCCGGAATGGAGTCTTTTGGCAAGCTAGGACTCGAGGGAGCGCTCTCATCGTTTCGTGCTGCGATTCTCTTCGCTTTAGATCGCTTGAGGCCGGCAGGCGATCGGTCATCGCCAGTCGCAATCTTTCGAGGGTCCCTAGCATGAAGAATGGAGGACTGGGGTTGTGGCGAAGGCTTTGTAGAAGACTGCTGGTCCGTCACAGCATGGTTCGACTCTCGAGTAATTTCTGTTTGAGCGGATATTTGAGACTCGTTAGCCAAAGAGCCCACGGTACTTGGATCAGATAATTGCTCTTGAGCCGAGGAGCGTCGTAGGGTACGAGTGGTCACTTTTTCCCCAATAGGAACGTCCATAGTCGTAGGGCTCGTAGGGACCTTCTGGGTCGAGGAATCATCATTGCACGTAGCTGTTTGTGCTCGTTGCCGTTGTCTCGCGCGTTCGATGAAGCTCTGGCTCCGACAAATAACAGGTGGGACGGGATTGAGTCCTAACATTTGGATCCATTCGAAACCAACGTCCTCTTCATCGATTCGGAGTGATAGGAGTTCTTGCCATGGTTTCGCTGGTCCGGGAGCACTGCGCAACATGACCACAATCTCCCCCTTTGCATCACCGTTACGAGCAGAGACATGGGCTGTATCTATCGGGGGGAACAGAAGCCATCGATCGGAATGATCAATCTCGCAGATCAGCAAGTCCCCTCCGGTTCTGTTGTCTGCGTCGTATTCTCTCAGCAGTAGCTCCGCACGGCAATCTATGACTTGGCCGCTCGAATGATATAACGATAAGTTGAAGAAGTCTCGAGCCCGAACTCGACGGCCTTTCTCAATCTTAACATCCGTAAGTGGCCCCAGCGTAGCAGGGTCCCGAGCTCTGGTGGCATCGATACAGGCAGCCGATTCATCCTCCAGTCTGGCTCGTTCATCGCGCGCTCGGCGGCGAGCATCGGTGACAAGGCTTTGGTATGCCGTAGCTACTTCCTCGGCCTTTGGCGAGGGTTGAAGTATATTGATCCCCTTGAAAGTTTTCGCCAAGTATTTCAGACGGATCAAGGGGCGTTTTAGCAGATATGCAACGTCAACCTTCTCACCATCTGCGTCCACCACGTCTCCGTTTTCATCCCGGGCCATTCCTTCATCCAAGCTCTTAGTATCCGCGTTCTCTGTGCCCTCTCCTTCCTCAAGAGGAGCCAGATTAACAACAACATCCTTAAAGCCTAATCTCCATGCTTTCAGATATTCGCGGTATACCCTTTGTGCTCCTTGGGCCCAGCTGAGCAAGGAATCCACGTTGTCTTCGGGGACTCGTTTATGCAGCGTTTTCAATCGCTCAACCGCCACGCCCATGTCCACTATTGGTTTGGTAAAATTGAGTTCATCTTTGGTGTCCATGGACGGTCGAAACAGGCCAGCAGCAATGGCCGAGTCTGATTTTGAAAGAACACATGTGAGAAGCACCGGTATCACACCACCAACTAATGTCTTGAGCTCGCGCATGTATTTGACTTCATCTGCCGATAGCTCTTTGAGGAGGTCTGGAATGGTCGCCGTTGCAATACGGCTCTTATTCGTCCTGATGCTCCGAGCGGACCGGAGACTCCTACTCCTTCCATTTGGAGCAGAAAGGACGGATATCAGATCATCATGGGTGGTAAGGCGTCTCTTCAACTGCGTAGAGACCACAGGGAGTGAGTTGGGATCAAATTGGTCCCTTTCCTCCTGATCCCCTTCAGCGGCCGCCGTCGACAACTGCTCCTTTGAGGGCAGCTCAGAAAGAGGTGCTTGAGAATGCTTATCGCCAGTATTGCTCATAGACTCCACAGACGCAATAGTGGACAATGTATGGAGACCTGTGCTAGGCATTTGTCGTTTCCGGTTAAGCGGAACGGGGGAACTGTTGCCTGATACCTCGGAGCCATCTGAGAAAAGATGAGTCTCTGTATCTGTCTCTTCCTTCTGAATGTTGGCTTTCTCACGATTCGTATTTGATTTGACACTGGGAGATGACCGGCTAGACTTGTGCTCGTTCGGTCTCTTCCTGCTAGAGGACTCCCTCGAGACCACCTTCTCGTCTACCGGCCGCCTCTCATTCTCACTAGCAGACAAATCCTCCTTGCTTTTCACGTGCTTTTTGTTGGTGCTTTTCCGGCACACTTTGCCCTCTATGTCCGTATCGACCGCACGATCATGGTTCTGCTCTCGTTTTGGAGACTGTTTCGTCCTATTGGCCCTAGTGTTCAAAGGTGCAGGGACTTCCACGTCCAGACCCATATCGTCCATAAACGGGTCAGACATGTCCGTCAACCATGCCTCAATCTTCGCGCCACGGTTAATATTAGGAGTCGGCTTAGGGGGTTCTGGCTTGCCGAACATCTTCCGCGATTCGTCCAGCATGTGTCCAAATATACCGCCCTTGGGGGGTTTCAGAGGAGCACGATTTTTCGGCAGATTTGGGCCTTTCGCTCGTCTTCGTGACAGCTCTGAGAAATCGGCATCGCTACCCCCCCACTCCGTATCATCTTCCATTGTACCTTCTTTTTTCCCAGTGCTTTCGGAGGGTTCTGATTTAGCCACCAGCTGCGACTTCCCTGCGCTCGTGGGTCGCGAGGCACCTTTGGAGAAGTCATTATGCGAAGTAACTTCCTCTTCGATCTTGCTGGTAATGACTGAGTCGGCGTCTCGAGACACTCTAGACTTTCTCCGGTCCCTACTCGGTAACTCTGAGGTTGTGCCAATTTTTTCCGTACTACGAGACGTCAAGGGCGATCGACCTTTGTCACTTCCCTTGCCCGCAGCCTGTGCCGGATCGTTTACCGTATATTCAGCGATACGCCTGGGTGTTGGTAGTTTCGGCGGAGGGATCTGGGTTGTAGAGCTCCGATTCAGCCTCCAGTGCTCATCGCTAATAACTCGTTTCCGGGGGGTGCTTTTACTGCGCTTGCGAGTGGTAGAGCTTGCGATGGGTGCCTTTTCCTTGGTGATCTTGGGGATTGATTCGGCGATCGAATTCTCGTCTTCGTCATCATAGTAGACCTCGTCGGCAGTGATCACTCCTCCACCCTGTTGTTGCCATCTGCGGACCTTCGCTCGCACCGAGTTAGTGTCATAAACTCCCAGTGGCTGTCCGATATCCAACGGTTTCTGTTTGGCTGGAGTCGATTTGGTGCTACCCCCGTGATTGGAGGGGCGATGCGGAGGGGCGGGAGACGGCATCGATGTCTGTGATGATGATGGAAGAAAGCTATTAGCATGGTTCGGGGGGACAGCAGGGGTTATCCGAGACAACAATCATAGCTGGTAGAGGGGATTTATTTTTGAAGACAAGTAGGCTTTGTTGTTGTTGTCCCGGCGGAGATAGAATGTATGTCATGCCTGTTTGTTTACAGTGTGGACGAGAATAACTTAGCAAGGAAATAAAACGAACTCACGATCACTTCAGAGGGACGATTCGAACCAGTCTTCTAGAGGACACAAGGACGCCGAAGCAAAGGGAGGGAAAACAACAAAATTAAAATAAAATAAAATAAACACTGACGATCCGACCGAACAGGCGGTAAGGAATGGCCAGGAAATGAATCAATCAACAATGGCAAGAATGAACGAATGAATTCTGGATAGATATGACGGAAGACGAGATCAACAGGTCAGACGAGCTCAGCTTTCAGAGTCATTCATAATCCTCAATCACATCACATGCACAAAACCAACCCAAACTGCCGTCTTCTGACAAAGAGAGAATCATCCACGGTCAGCGTCGTCATGAATGCTATACTTACTCGGTCTAGTCCCGATGCAGTTTCATGTCGACGCTGCCGGGGAAACGAGCAATCAACACAGCCTCTCGTTGGATGTTTTCTGGGCGCTCTTCGGCTATTTTAAGGACTGAAGAGATTCGATACTCTAACGGAGTTATGTACTTTCTAACTTTCTCTGTCCGTGCCACTCGATCACTGTCACGTCGATTTCCGGGAAAATGCTTGTTGGGCTGATTCGTGATCGCATCCTTTTTACTGGCTTCCTCTGTCTCCAGCTCCATCAGAGGCCCAGAACATGCAGGAATTAGCAAATGGCTTCAGTCCAGATATCCATCGGATAATTAATCATTTTCATTCTGGACTTTGATTGTAACGATGACTGAGTCGATCGTCGCATGGGCCACGATCCACTCTCTACGCGTCACAAAGGATGGGCCCGAAGATGCCATCCACCTTGACTGGCTCCCACAGTTGGTATATTTGCAAACTATATATCTGGCCAGAATTTCCCGCACATCTCTTTAACATCTGAAGTGGACTCGGGGTACTTCTCGTCCGCTGTACCTTAATGCGTTTTACGTTGCGCCGACGTTTCCCTCAGGCTCTTAAATGCATGGGATGTCGTCCTCATACTCAGTGAAAAATAATCTAGGCCCCGTGTCAGTGGAATGTCCACTGGATCGCACCTCAAACGGGGGACTTACAAAGTGGAACCAAGATCCAGATAAAATTCATGAAGAAATAGTATATCCAGAAATAATAGGGCTCCGGTCGACTATATGGACGATGATGGACGTAATGGTCATAGAGACTAGTAGCATAATAAAGTGAATCGCCATATAGGTGACTCATACAAGCTGTAAGCTGTAGTGGATGACGCAGGGAACTCTGCGTAAAAATCGAGTACGCAACGAGAAAACATAGTGGACCCCAGAGCAGCTGTTCAACCGTCTTAATCAATGGGGTTGCAGACGTCCTTAAATGGCCCGGGGTCATATACATACAACGGTCATCGTCTCCATGCATAACACCAGGGTATCTGACGTCATGTATCTTGAATCAGACAGGGAATATTCTTTCCACAGTTGTCCAAAGAAGTCTTGGGCAGGAGCCATGCGGTCATGGTGGGTTATGAAATAACCCTCAAAAAAGCAATGAAGACTGCCCGCTAAACAACCCCAGAAAGTACAGTGTTAGTTTTTCCACGACTGGTCCAAATATACTGCGGAGATCCCTACATAGAACAAACCACAGAATGGCGATCCTATCGGCTCGACTCAAACCCGGTCGCAGAAAGCTAACCAGGCCTAACGTGGTTCCTAGCAAGGCAGCCGCGCCAACACTGGCGGTGGTAAGAAGGGACAAAAGAGACGTGTTATTGGCCACATATCCATGGATGGGGGCGTCCAGTGGGTAGTACGGATGGAGGAGGGCCGTCTTGACAGGCATGGTAGCAAAAGGTAGTGGAGAAGCTAGAGCTGTTGGAGCTGCCAAAGAGAGCATGGAGAGAAGAAGATGATTCCAGCCAGTGCAGCGGAAACCCGTCAACAACGCTTGTGCCAAGACTGGCTACGCTGATCATCGAGGCTGGAATCTCCGCAGATGATTCTCTGATTGCCTGATCATATCATAAAAAGTACTCCAGTACCCTCTATGTCTTCTGAACCAGATGAGCGAGATCCTGTGGGGTCTGGAGCGCAATGTCTCTCGTATCCAAGTCCTCCATTGGCCTCGAATGCTACTAGCTACTGTAAATGGATGAAGGCAGTGGCCCAAAGAGGCTAAATGCGCTCCCTGGCATGTCCTAACCTGCAACGGCTAGCGCGTTGGCCTTAGGCAATGTCGATCTCCCCCAAGTTGCGTGTCTCAAGACTCTCTCAGCATTGTCTCGCTCTCCATCGGAATCAAGGTCCTCACTCCCTCTCAATGCTGCTGCCCCAGTGATCCCGATCGTGTATTTATCACTCCATGGAGTCCTGGGTGTTAGTCTATTCTGTGAACTGCGAAAATGGCACCTGGTTCTTCACGGAGGAAGCCCTTGGGGCTTGATGTACCCCGCACATCTGCTTTCGAGTCGCCGCCTCCTATAGCGGCTCTCTTTGTAATTCGGTTTGATATCAAGGCCGGGTGGGTTCATCGCACCTGAAGAAGGGAGGTTTTTCGGACTGCTGACTTAAAGTAACCCGGTAGATATGTGATATCCTGGAAACGGACGGCCCCCGGAGGTAAGTCGAACCGCTGCTGTCGCTGTATGACCGCCCATGCTGACTTACCATCAATTATCAGTTGAACTCGAAGGGATTGTTGAGTACAAGTCGCTTCCATCCGGTCTACACAATATTTCAGAGGATCTAGTGTAAGATTGAACACCTCGCTGCCGTTCGCTTTTCCCATTGTATTAATTATTGTCGCGTAGGTATTTCGTGCACGAACAATATGCTGGCATCAGTGCATTTGTTAATCAGCCTGCGGAAGAAGCAGAGCGAAATGCAAAGATGTTTGCCGTAGGAGTCCTGGTTCCACTGAGTTGTGGGAGACTAGGCAAAAGTTGGAGACATGCTCCAAAACTCAAGGAACTGGCGCTGTGAGTAATTCTCCGACCATAATATTCTCTTCCTCTGGCACATCTGATATAAGAGCACTCTCTGCAGGAACTATGCCCAGGACATGTCGGAAACACAACCACTATCCGATTACTGGACGACCTATGAGATCCACGACGGCGATTCATCAGGCCTTCCGCCACCGGACTCTCCTGTTGAATCACCGCTCAACGTCCGACTAAGAGCTCATGGAGAGCGATCAGATAATGGCAACCGCCGCAGTCGCGCATTTAGCGATGCCATTGTGTTGGAAACCCCCAGGCCGGGCCTGACACCGTTCCATCCGGCTTCGTCGCTCCCCGATTTTCTCGACTGCTTCGGTCCTCTGTTGTTTCCTTTGTATAGGGCAGCTTTGTTGCGCAAGAGGATTCTTTTCATGGGGGAAGTGCCAGTCTACATGCCCTGCAACTATGGTAAGAATTCCCCAGTTTACGCGTGGCGCAACATCTGCTGACAGAGAATCAGTATATGATCTGTCTCTCTTAGCCTCGCTACCCAATTCTCTTCTCCCCTTACTTCCATCGAACAGGTTGCCAAGTCTACGGCCTCGGCCCCTCTTTAATGTCGGCATCCATGACATACCATACCTGACTAGTTTTGTGGGCGCTTCGCCTGACTCCGACCGGGATGCTACCTGGATTGCCTGCAGCACGGACACTGTCCTCACCATGAAATCCGAGTTATTCGATGTTCTTGTCACCCTTCCACCCCCTCATTCCAAAAACGCAGCAGAGAAAGTATACCCGAAGATCTCCGTTTTACCCACTACAACGGCACAGCATAACTCCTCCCAGGCTGTTCATCTGAAAGCAACGCAACGAGACGCACGTCGTTACTCAACCCTCCGCAAGGGCTTACAGCAAGTTTCTCGAGACGAAGACACCCAATCCGGAGACGACGACGACGACGACGACGAATCAGACGCTGCATCGACATTTTCATCAAGCTCCATCGTTGAACCCCTCTCATGGGCCAGACTAGCATACACCTCCTTCATTTGGTGGGCATCAGCCGGTGAAAAGCGCGACGGATTATCTGAAGAAGAGGAAGAAGAACACCAGATCAAACAAGACACACGGCTACTGGCGAGTGTGGAGAGTCTCCCTAGTCCACCATCGGGCTCCTTAGGCCGGAGGACCATGCCACCCGGGGACCCAGTCCAACAACCTCCCGAAATCGCTTTAGTGGCGTACTTCCGTCGCCTAACGACGCAAATATTCGTGGCCCTTTCCGATGTAATCGTCCGACACGATAGTCGAGACGCAGCTAACAGCGGCGAGCTAAACGATGACGATGAAATCCCGTACGAAGACGACCCAGATGACGGTCTCCAGCCCTCGGCTACTATCGGTCGCCGGTCAACACAGGAAGATGACTCGACATCTCCTTTGCTCCAGAGAAGTGCTTTCCCTGACCCCGACTTGTCTCGTAGGGATGACAAACCCATCAAAATCACCACCGAAGATATGACCGAGATGGGACTTGATGTTTGGAGCGCTGCGGACCGCATTTTCGTCGAGGAGCTTGTCCAGACCTGGTGGGGTCGCAAGGCGTGTGTCGACAGCGCTCGTATCAGATGCTGTGGGATTTCAATTCTGTAAATAAACGGTACTATTTGCACTGGGTATGGACATGTCGGGTATTTATGCTTTGATCATTCTTGGATATCTATAGAGCTAAACTAGTAAAGTGTTCAATTAGATCAACATTATGTGTATCTCACCAGTCTAAGTGTGAGGGGAAAAAAAGTTGTGAGCCAATATATGTATGATATGCTTCATGATTGTCAATTATGTCCTGTTAACCATTTAATAACACCGAAAAGTGAATCTATGTACAAAGAATAGAAAGACAAAGGAAACGGAAGTGATCGAAAAAGATAGTCAAGGCCATATGAGCCAATGCTTGTATGCTAAAAAATGGAGATGGAGAATAGCCAAAAACTAATCGCAGAAATGCATATTCAAGCGCACAAAAGGGGCATTAAGATAGAGAGGCAGAGAATAGAAAAATGAATGATTGAAAGCAAGAGAAACTCTAACTAAGCAAAAATAACATTAAACTCCCCTAAACTATACCAAAGTGCAACGCCATTCCGCTTGAACAACAGGGTATCAGAAATCGTCAGGTCAATAGTCAAAAATACCTGGAGAAAAGAATTTCTCGTATTCAAAAGCATCCAAGTTACTTATATAGTAAGAGTTACCGATGCGTCATCCGGACCGGTGCGCTTAAATCCCGTCGACTCCTGATATCACCATTGTCGCTCCTTCTGTTTGCATTTTGGACACCGGGGATACGATGAGTCATCCGACCTGGTGCGGCGCTCGTATCAGCAGCGCGAAGGGTGCTTTCGGTTGCACTGACGGATCTCTTCATTGTATTAGTCCGACCTCTGCGTGCTCTGATCTGTGCCAGTGCTTCTTCCCGACTAATCGGAGTTCCGGGAACAGCAGCAAGCTGGTTTGGCAGTGACCCTTCAGCTCTTAAGGGAACCTTTCTGAGATTATCACCGTTCATTGAATCTCTATTGGAGCTGTTCTGTATCACTGGTTGATCATCCAAAGGCTCATGGCCAATAGCGGGTGAAAGACGGGCATCGGAAGCAGGAGACGTTTCTGGAGATGCTGGTTGCCCAGATTCCAAGGCTATTTCTTCTTGGTTGGTTTCGTATTTTGCAAGAGGACTTGTCGGCTGGCGCTGAGCAGTACCGGCGGGCGACATTTGAGGAATGGCAGGTTGTTTTTTCACAGACCCTCTTACTGGGGATGGAATCGTATGGAAAGTTCCGGTGATAGGCGAGAAGGTAATAAGAGGCTCCTCCGCAGCCTCGTCAATTGTTTCCACTTGCACTCCTTCAGTAGGTTCAGTTGTTTCACTGGATGTTTCCTGGGAAGGTTGAGGGTGGACTGCAACATTGTGTTCAGCAGCCTGGTATTCACGAACTTCTTTCATGGAAGGAGCTTTTTCTTTCTCCTTAGTTGCAAGCTTTGTACTCTGAGGTTGTGTAGTGTGGTATTTATGGACCTTCTTCTCCTGCTCTTCCACGATCCGACACGAACACCGTTTGAATTGGCATTCCATCCGCAAGAACTCCGTTAAATCTTCCGCATTTGTTCTTAGCCGTTTTTCCACCCGGAGAGTCTCTTGCAGTTGACGGATTATCAATTGATTATTGTCACGCTTGGGTGGCTCCTGAACTTCTTGTTGTGGTTTCACATCTGAAAGTCTTGGTTTCTTTGGAGGCGTACACTGCGTAGAAGCATCCTTTGACTCTGGGGCACACGATTCGGCCATTTCCTCCACTGATCGTTTCGATCTCTGAGGGGCGGGCGACCGAAGGAACGCAAGATCCCCTTCTACTAATGACATTCTCCCAGCGTCCTGTCTGCGCATCGCCTGGGCTCGAGTTTTGAGAGTGAGTGAATTATTTTTGGCTTCCACAGCACGCAGCTGTCCCTTGACTTCCTCGAGTTCCTCTGTGATGCCGGCAATCGCGTACGCTCGTTCAAAAGCTTCCTGTTTTGCTTTTTCCTTAGCCTTTCGCTCCGATTCAACCTCATCTTTTAATCCTTTGTTCTCGGTTCTCGCTTGTTTCAGTTCCTCTTGGGTTTTCACCAGCGTTGACCCCGCGCGAAAAGCTTCTTTTCTTGCCTTTCTAATCTCCTTTTCAAACAAGGTTCGTTCGTGGGCTTTACGTTCCTTGGACGCCTGTAATTCTTCCAACAATGATTCTAGCCGTTCACTTATCCGACGCTCCCGAGACTGCGCTTCAGAAAGCTGAGCAGAAACACTAGCTAGCGCAGATTCCGCTTCCTCACGTCCAAGAATAGCCCTTTGTAGGGCTGCTGTACCTCCGCCAGGTGGTGGTGGTGCAGCCACGGGACTGCCTGTTCGCGAAAGATTGTTCAAAAATGCGACCTTAGCCTGTACATCTGAGGAGCCCCTTGCACTCTTGCGCGGAGAGTTGAATATGTCCGAAGCTGACAACGTTGAATGGAGCGGTGGCTGTTGATTTATCCGATCGGGGGATAGAGGATTGAGTGCCTTGGATGGGCTGGACAGCAGCCTTGACGGCGAATCCATGGCCCAGACGGTGTCAAAAAAAATTTATACTCGTAGAATGAGGAAGCCGACAATCCAAGCATAACAACCACTGCAGAAAAACTCCAAGAGGAGAGCAATATCTGTTGCAAATCCCACCGTTGTGTTCGGTTGATCTATCGGTGACGCACTCATAACATTCGCCAGTTTCCAATGTTTGTTGCTTCCAAACGGGTGCCGTGACTGTTGCCCCAGACAACACTCCTTACCATATATGGTAAGGTGAATCACGTGCGTCAGCTGTCAACGCTATTCCCAAAGTAGGACGAATGGTCTGCGCATGGGCTTTATGCCATATAGGCCTGAGGTGTCGAGCAGCATTCCTCACTCTCGTGGAGAGCTTAAACGTCACCTTTTAGTCCTTAACATGTATGTGTTCCAGGCTAGACTCTGTTCCTGCTTTCCGAATCGGCTTATTTCTCCAGCAGCCTCAATATGCGACCTTGCGTAGTACTCATGAAAGTTTAGAACATGCATGAGATCATTACTCTCCAACTCGGCCAGAGGGCCAATTACTTGGCGACTCATTTCTGGAACCTGCAGGTAAGTGCGGGTGTAGCCTCATTTCCCCTAAGCTGATTGTGCAGGTGACATTTTTCTGATTTTTGAGAAAGGAGTCATACTTCACATACGGCAATGAAGGCGAGTCTCCCATTGACCACGATGTCCATTTTCGTCCCGGTGTGGGAGCAGATGGGAATGAAACGTACACACCTAGAACATTGATCTATGATTTGAAGGGTGGCTTTGGCACTCTTCGCAAGTATAACGCACTCTACGAACTAAGTGAAGATCTAACTCCAGGTCATGGACTATGGTAAGGCGTTCCGTACCTAATTTCTTCTCCAGAAGCGGCATATTCAGACCTATTCTGTTGCCTAGGGTATAATGCTCATGAACTTCGCCGTTTGTTTAGGGATGGAAAAGAGGTTATTCAGCAGCAGGCTGTGATACCCCTCAGTGATTACCAGAAAAACCTTGACGAAGGCCTGCCCGCCCCTCCGCTTTCGCCAGAAACAGTGCGGTACTGGTCTGATTACAATCGGCTGTTTTATCATCCCCGCTCCATAGTTCAACTGAATGATTACGAGTTAAATTCCAGGACTATGCCATTTGAAGACTGGAGTGTTGGCGAAGACCTGTTCAATGATCTTGACAAAGAGCATGACTTACTTGATCGAGACGCGAGGCCGTTCGCAGAGGAGTGTGATCAGCTGCGTGCACTTCAAATTTTCACAGGATCCGATGATGCTTGGGGTGGCTTCTCTTCAAAGTATGTAGACAGACTGCGAGATGAATACGGCAAAAAAGCTATCTGGGTCTGGGCCATCGAGGGTGTTTCAAAAGTAAATAGAGTGAGATCTTCCTTTCCAGTGACTAGGCTGCAAGCTAACATTTACTGAATCCAGCAAGTACAACATAAACGGGACATGAATAAGGCCCGAACCATATGCAATATTTCCCCTCAATCCTCCTTGTATACACCGATTAAAGACCCGCTGAGTCATGTCCCCAGCTCCATACACTTTTATCCCCACTCGCAATGGCAGTCTTCTGCGCTGATATGCTCTGCGGTGGAAACGGCGACACTTCCGAGTCGTCTTCGTCCATACCACGACTTTGAGTCTTCATTAGCAGGCGATGACGGTATCCACAATATATTCGAGCTGCAGTCTACTATCATCTCGAGTGAGGCCAAGGAAGATGAACTATCGAAGGTCCAGAAAGAGTATGATCTCGACTTTACGTATGATAGTCCGAAGGGCAATAAATCACATATTTTCAACCAAGTTCAAGTTCGACGAGGAGTTGATGATGCACGAGAGGGTGATTCTTCTGGAAAAGACCTTAGCATGCTCCGACGAGAACGCGCTTTTAATTCCGAACCAAGCATTCAGAGGTCAGTGTTCCCATAGCTACGAGCCTCCGGTCTACGCTCACGTCTCTGACAGTTTTTGTACATCCCTACAATTTCCCATTTTGGACAGTTTCCCGCGCGACATGTTCCCGGTGACAGAGCCAGAAGGAAAGATTAATGTCCTTGCAACGCTAACGGCTTCTTCGCGGACTGCGGAGGAAATCAAAGGCATGGAGACAGGTGCAGGACGGATTATTGGAATCGATGAACGGGAAACTATTGTGAATGGGCTAGGCGATATCCGTGAGACTTATGAAACAGGATGGACGAGCGACTTGGAATTTGATGACGATTAGAATTGATTTTTGTTGTTTCCTTTGTTTTCTCAATACCAAAAAGTGCCATTCTAATATAACTATTCATTTTCAAAATGCGCCAAATACATATCTACGCGGAATTTATGGTTAGATCGTGGAACAGAACCTATGCAGAGAATATATAGTGGCTACTGTCCCCAATTCAGGTGCAATGACCACAACAGCAGATCTGGTGCTTTCACTGACATCTAACTAACATCTAACATCAACCCAAAAGACATAGAGTGGTAGTAGTCAAGAGGTGCTGCAGATCATGACGATCTACGCAAATGGTGCAAACATGCCATACCGGGGGATGTTTGCATCGCCTCCAGTCAAACGTGTCCTCTCCCGGCCAAAACTTCTTTAAGTCAATTCGGCTTTTGTCCATTGCAAGCTCATTACTCATGCTTACTGCCAGGTGGCCAGTATTTCAGTGCATGGTTGTGATCCGGATGGCACTGCTATCTTAACCCTTCTTTGTATGGCTCTTCCTACTTCGGGCCCTGCCTTATTTGCCACTCGCTAACTCCGACTGTTTTATAGTTTATGACAACTAGCTTTTCCTCTGAACCGTGTGTGTCCTGGAGCTTATGATCGTCGCTTGTCTATATAGGTGACTTTTTGCTCCTCGGAATACATCGTTTTGTCCAAGGTCCGTTTCTTATTTGCCCACAGTGATTGTATAGACATTGGACATAGCCGCTGTTCCCTCGTTAGAGTACGCGCCTAGGTTTTTAGCGTGTGGCGTCTGACTTGATGCTTCTACTAGGAATATATAGATAATGGCTTCCAGTCGCCAACAACGGAGCAAATCTCCGTTGCGTCTTCTCTCGTCCTCTCCAGCCCTGTCCTTCCTGATCTTCCCTTTCCTCCTTTTCTTTCTCAGCTTTCCTGCACCTACCGCCGCCGTAGGCTCCGCCATTATCGGTATCGATGTAGGTACCGAGTACCTCAAAGCTGCACTTGTCAAACCTGGAATCCCGCTTGAAATCGTTCTCACCAAAGATTCGAAGCGCAAAGAGTCGGCTGCTGTTGCGTTCAAACCTACCCGACAAGGCAATGCCCCGTTCCCCGAGAGATTCTATGGTGGGGACGCTCTTGCTCTGGCTGCTCGTTTCCCCGACGATGTTTACGTGAACCTGAAGACGCTCCTGGGACTTCCGTTCGAGAATGGGGAGTCTGAGGTGATCAAGTCATACCATAACCGGTATCCTGCTTTGAAAATGGAGGGTGTAAGTGAGCGAGGCACCGTGGGGCTGCGCAGCAACAGACTTGGCGAGGCAGAGAGGAAGGATGCTTTTCTTGTTGAAGAGCTTTTGGCCATGCAGCTAAAGCAGATCAAGGCTAACGCTGATGAATTGGCTGGCAAAGGTTCGGATATCAAGGACGTTGTGATAACGTATCCTTCATTCTACACCGCCGAGGAAAAGAGAAGTTTGCAGTTGGCGGCAGAGCTGGCAGGTCTTAGCGTCGAAGCCTTTGTTACAGATGGCCTTGCTGTTGGGTTGAACTATGCAACCAGCCGTACGTTCCCGAGTGTCTCGGACGGCCAAAAGCCTGAGTACCATATCGTATTTGATATGGGTGCGGGTTCCACCACCGCCAGCGTTTTACGCTTTCAGAGTCGTACTGTTAAAGATGTGGGACGATTCAACAAGACTGTCCAGGAGATCCATGTCTTGGGTGAGGGATGGGACAGGACTCTCGGAGGTGATTCTTTGAACGACCTCATCGTCAAGGATATGGTGGCGAGTTTTGCCGAAGATAAGAAATTGAAAGGTCGTGTTGCCCCTGCAGACATCGAAGCACATGGCAAAACCATGGCAAGGATCTGGAAGGATGCCGAGAAGATCCGGCAAGTCCTAAGTGCCAACACAGAAACGGGAGCTTCTTTCGAAAGTCTGTACGAAGAGGATCTCAACTTCAAATATCGCATTACGCGCTCCAAATTTGAGGAGCTTGCTGCACAGCATATTGCCAGACTTGGAACACCACTGCAGCAGGCTTTGACGGCCGCTGGATTGCAACTTAGTGATGTCGACTCCGTTATTCTTCATGGTGGAGCTATTCGCACTCCGTTTGTCCAGAAAGAACTGGAACGGGTTTGTGGCTCCAAGATTCGAACAAGTGTTAACGCAGATGAGGCTGCTGTTTTTGGTGCTGCCTTCAAGGGTGCATCTCTTAGTCCTAGCTTCAGGGTGAAGGACATCCGGGCAAATGATGCCTCCAGTTATTCAGTAGTGCTGAAATGGCCTTCTGAGAAGAAGGAAAGGCAGCAGAAGCTATTCACTTCCACCTCCCAGGTGGGTCCTGAGAAGCAGATTACCGTAAAGAATCTGGAGGACTTTGAGTTTAGCTTCTTCCATCAGGTCCCAGTTGGCGATGAGTTTGTGGAGTCGCCAATCCTAGGTGTAAAGACTCAAAATCTTACTGCTTCTGTCGCCAAACTCCAAGAAAGTTTCGGTTGCACAGCGGCCAACATTACCACCCAAATCTCTATCCGACTCAGCCCCGTCGATGGACTCCCGGAGGTTGTCAGTGGCTCTGTGAGCTGCGAGGTTGAGGATACGAAGAAAGGAAGCGTCGTTGATGGTGTTAAGGATTTCTTCGGCCTGGGATCGAAGAAGGACTCACAGCAGCCCTTAGGAGAGGACGGGGAGGCTAAGGAATCAATTACTTTGGAGGTGGAAGAGGCCCAACCTTCTACAACATCCTCAGCTGATGAAGCCGCTTCCACTTCTGCAAAAGAAACCAAGAAGTCTACTCCCCAGACCAAACTAGAGTCCATCCCCATCAGCTTAGCTCCGTCCCCTTCGGGAATTCCTGCACCCTCTTTGGCCGAGCTCACTCGTATCAAAGGCCGCCTTAATGCATTCGATGCGTCGGACCGTGATCGTATTTTGCGCGAGGAAGCTCTGAATGAGCTGGAGTCGTTTATCTACCGGACCCGGGATCTGGTTGATGATGAGGAGTTTGTTACTGTGGTCAAGGCAGACCAGCTGGCTACTCTGAAGGAGAAGGCTGCTACAGCTAGTAGCTGGCTTGATGAAGACGGTGCTGATGCCACGACATCGGAATTCAAAGATAGGCTGAAATCTCTGAAAGCCATCGTCAACCCTGCGCTACAGAGGAAGAACGAGAATTCCGTCCGTCCTGCTCGTGTTGAGATGTTGCAAGAGGCACTGAAAAATGCCAAGACGATAATGGATGTCATGCAGAAGCAGATTGAGCAGGATGAGGAGCTCTACTCTTCGAGTGCTTCCAGTGCTTCGTCCACCAGCGATGTCGAAACTTCGACCACTACCCCCAGTGCGTCGACACCGACCACTGATTCCTCTGCGGATCTCGAGGAAGACCCATACTCAACCTCCACCATAACTACATCTACTCCCAAGTCTCAGCCCACAGGGCCAAAATACTCCATCTTCCATCCGACCGACCTTGCCATTCTCACCAACACGTACGAATCAACCAACACCTGGTTCGAGACTCAGCTCGCAGCTCAGGAGAAACTAACTGCGTCCGACAACCCGGTACTTGTTATAGCGGATATCGACGTCCGTCTCAAGGAACTACAGCGGAGCATGAACCGGGTTTACGGGAAGATGGGCGCCGCGGCAGCGAGGTCTGGAAAGGTTCCCAAAGACCAGTCATCCAAAAAGGACGACAAGAAGGAGAAAACGGAGAGGCCCAAGAAAGAAAAAGAGCCTGAGAAAGAAAAAGACCAGAAGAAGGATAACTACATTAAGGACGAACTGTAGCCATGCATCCCTTTACGATTATGCAGGCCGAACAGTAGAGTTGTACATGAGCATTCTGTTCTCTTCTTTTTCTCTTTTGCTTGCGCTTCTCATGTTGTCGTCTGACCCCGATAGAATCTTTCTGAGACTTGCTCTGCCTCAAAAGACATTTTCTGCAGCCATTTTTCTCTCCCCCCTTGTTAACGACCATGATACATTTCATTCTTTGTTCGGCTCCTATATTGTATGTAAACTAGATAGAGATTATGTCATGCTCTCAAAGAGTAGATATAATGATACAACCCTTGTCCGTCGTTACCATTCTATTCATAAAAGTACTATTAAAACTGCAGTTGAACATATACAACTAGCCATATGTTGGCACGAAGAATATAAGAAACGTGTCAAGGTGCCGGGTATTCTAAACAACCGCCTCGTGTAATATCGCAATGCCCATAACGCCTCCGTAAATATACAAAGAGAAATCAAGACTGATACACAGAAAGAAAAGAGAAAGTTCCCAATTTGCTCAGCAAATTAAAATTCTGTAGTGAGCAATCGCCGAAACCAGTCCGTGATAGTATCATGTAATCCGAGGCCCAGAAAGACTAGGTTGAACAGATCCAGGTCATTCAGAGTAAAAAGATTTAGACACCACCATTTCGGTTTCATAGTCGCTTTCTCGACTCGCAACATAGTCCATATCGACTTCCTCGCGCCGTCGAAGGAACAATGGCTCCTCGAAATCATCAATGTCCATGGTCTTGTGTCTGTGCATGGCAACGAACTGCCGTCGTTCCTGTCCCAGCTTCGGGGAAAGAATAGTTCGCCCAACAACCGAGCCCACTCCTGCTGTATGGGTTCCTCCCATGACACTGAGCCAATTATTTGTCGATGGAGTAAGGAAGCCATCGCAACCGCCGTCCGATTCATCTGCATAGTCGGAATCATAGGACCGTTTCTGGACAGTGGGCAGCGTGGAAAACGAAGTAGCAGATTCCTGACTGCTGGGTGGGAGAGAGAAAGTATCACCATCGTCTGTGGCGAGTTTATTGGAGTCCATCATACCATCGGATGGCATATGGTGTGGTTGGATCGCAGAACCGCCCGTCTTCGATATGCCGCAGAATGGAGCAAGTTCTGCCCAAGCGCTCGAGCTGTGTCGGACGGGTTTGGTTTCCTGCGAAGGAAAGATAAATTTCTCTTCAGCTTTGGCAGCATGAGTTTTATATCCTTCTGTGACCGATTTGCGAACGCGCATGCCAACGGAAAGAAGAGAGGCCTGGACCTTTGCGGGAACAGTAGGGGTCGGAGAATAGGTCGTTGCGGAATAGTGGTTGTGAGACAGAGAAGAATCACAGGCACGTGAAGAGCCAGAAAAGAAGGTAGTTATCGGTGGTTGAAAACGCCTGCGTTTGGAGGATAGGTCGTTGTTTTTTGGCGTGGATTGGGGAGAGGAAGACATTGTGCTGCACGTGAGGGAATGTTGATTGGAAAAGTCAACGATGTTCCTGTTGATCCCTTGCTTCTATTTTTCTTTTTCTTTTTTGTCTCAACAATCTAGTCCGTAGGGATATTAAGGAATGACTTGAGTGACTGTACAGTGTTGGTATGTGAGGAAGGAGGAGGACAAAGAGTGGAAAGCAAGAGGCTGGGAGGCGCTTACGGAAACGCGACACGAGGTGACGCGCATATGCACATGCCAAGCCAATTTAACCTCTTTGGGCCACGGTTAGGGCGTAGGGCTATCAAACTATGGATAGATACAGTCAACTTGCAATGATGTATAGATTAGAGACCATGTAAAATGAATTAACTTGAGTTGCATTACATGCTGTCAATCATCTAAATGGCTAAATGAACGCCTTCAGCTTTTATAAGACAAACTGTGAACTATCTATATACCACTTACGTCCAAGTTTACCCAATATTTCCTCTCCGTCCCCCACGTTTCTGGCGCTCTTGATGTGCCTTCAACACGTTGCGGGTCTGCACTAGACTTCTCTTGCCCTTACTTTTTGCTTTACCCAAGGTCATCATAAAATTTTTCCTGCGCGCCTTCTCTTTGTTAGTGGTACTCTTGCCTTGTGCCTCTTTACGCTCCTTGCGCTTCGCTGTCACACTCTTAAAATCAGACCGATCTGTCTTGCCTTCCTTGGCATGTGCAATCCGCTCTTCGCGAGTGGCCTTTCCGGCAGATAGGGCAGCCAATCCTTCAATCTCTTCTGCTGTCAGAGGATCATCCGTGTGCCGAGTAGCATTCGAGGCTTGCCCACGACGAGGCTTAGGGCCCGACACAATCGCATTGACCGCAGCTTCGGTGCGAAGTTCTTGAAGCTTGGCCAGATCGGCTGGCGTGAGGATACGAGTAGTTGCAAGGTTCTGTTTCGGAGCCTCAGGTTTGTCTGCTTCAATTTCCGGATTGGCCTTCTCCCCATTGTCGTCGTCACCTTGCTTAGCCTTCTTTGTAGGAGGGCCGTCTTTTTCATCATCCGAGTCGCTTAGATCAATTTCAACATCACTCTGCACATTGATCCATTCGCCAGAATCATCGCTATCATCGTCGTCTTCAACGTTCCAAGCATCCCACTCCGCTTCGTCATCCTCCTCGTCATCTTCCGCGTCAGAAGGCAGACCCTTCTCAGCCCTTCTTTTCTTACGCTCTTCCTCCTTCCAGTTCTCGAGAAGCTCCAAACCCTCAATTCCACCAGTTTCCTGCTCTCCAAATCGCTTTTCCTTCTTCTCCCCTGAGCGGAGACCCATGGATGCCTCTTTCCCGCGATCACGTCTCTTTAGCATCTCCGGGTTAATCTCTCTGAAAAGACTCAGCAATCCTCGCGCTCCCATCACAACACCCTTGTCTTTACTTTTCCTGTACATGACAAGGTCTTGTAGCAAGGTCTCGTTCATTGCAAGGGGCTGTCGCGCGCAGATTTCTCTGATGGCGTTGAGGCCGGCAGTGGCGACTTCTGACGCTGAAGCTTCGGATACGAATTCATTCGCGATTTTTTGAACAAGGGGTTCAAGATCATCCGGGGGAACCAAATCATGCGAAGCCTGTGCAAGTGATGCCAAAAATGATGTGACGGACGGTTGCCGTGGAGTGAGGTACTTCTGGAAATAAGAGTAGAGATGCATGATGTGTAGCTTGTGCAATCCAACAAGACGAGAGACGAGCTGAAGCACCTGAAGCTTCTGCTCTAGGTTTAGCTTTGACTTGGTATTCTGTAGATGCTTCGAGAACAGAGATTCCGCATAGCCCTGGGGATCGTGAAGAAGGTGTAGTGCCGAGAAATTCAGAGGATGGGGTTGATTCTTCTTGCGCTCCTTTTTTTTGACTGTTGCTTTTGCCTTTTCGATCGCCTTGGACTTCTTTTTGGTCTTTTTATTTATGCCAACCTGGTGCTTCACCCGGCCGAGATCAATGGCCTCGTCGTCACTACTTTCGTCCTCCATCTCTTCGCGCTCCTTATCTCCACCAAGGAAAAAGCGAACTCCACCAATGATGACCTTTTCATTATCAGCCAAACTGGCCTCTTTCATGACTTCAACGGCTTTGGCATCTGTCCAGATCTGCCGCTTCCATAGCTCACGAGTGAGCTTGATAGCCCACAAGCCCTTGGATGAGGTCCGGTCAGAGGATACCAGATTGAAGAGTACCGTCTGCATGGTCCGGTTGAGCTTATGGTTTGTCGTTTTGGAATTGGATGTGCGAAGGTCCATGAGGATCTTCTGGAATATCAGCGCTCGTAGTGTTTTACTAGGCGTGGAAATGAGAATTGGGAATAATGTCTGCAGCAATCTGAGAGAAGGAATGCTAGTTAGCAGAAAATTCACAACTAATGCAAAGTTGATCTTACATACGTCGCTGAATCAAGAAGATCCTTCTTCCTCAGAAGTACCAGGCTTCCTACGATTTTCTCCCGCAATTCTGGTTCCAACACTAGGTGGTGCTGCGACAAAATGTCCATGAGTTGCTGAGGAAACTCTTTGGTAATATCTGGATAGCAGTCGGCCACATGAGCTATAAAGTCAATCAATTCTCGCAGCGAAATAATGCCTGTATCAGCAGCTGACGATGGTGCCGCCATGAAAATTTCTCGGTGGCTCTCATATTGATAATGCTGCGCGCGGAAATCTTCCACGTACGACCTAACCAGAGCACACGACTATCAGCACCGAAACTGGATGACAAAGACGAAACTCATCGCGCTCGCTTATCTTACTTTGGATCCCTTCGAATTTTATGCTGGAGATTAGGCCTGTAAAGGGTGAAAGAGACGTTAGTATCAAGTGAAATCTTCGTCTGGAAATTCTGGTTGCGCTCATTAAGGGAAGTTGAGATGGACTCACAAGTCGGCTTCGACCTTTTCCAAGGCCCCCAACTTCCTCTTCACCATTGTGTCGGAGAAGTTTTCCAAAGATCCGACAAATGCGGTAGAGATGGAGAGGAGATAAACAGGTGAAGGTTGGGAGAGTCTTGCTGAGCTTCGGCCGTATTTTTTTTTTTTTTTTTTCTCCCGGCGGCCTATCGATAAGCGGTGGAATTCTCACTCAGATCCAGCAATTCCACCTACATTGTCTACTTTCAGCGAAGGTCCCATTAAGTTGCAAGGAGCACTCGGTTTATTTACTGTCGAAATTGTTTACAAGTCCTAACAGTCGTAGTTTTGGCACTATCTCGGCGAGATCTGTCGAAGTCCAGGACAAATACCTACTTTAATGACAACGGAAGACCCTCCAAAGAACAAGAGATATCTTTTTCATGTAAAAAAATTAAAAAAGGTGCCGACTTAAAAGCCTGAGGTCTTCATGATCGCATCTCAACTACTATAGAAGAAAGCCGTTCGATTTTTCCTCTTTCTTTTTGGATGTTGCTCCCTCCCGTTGACTGTCTTCAGGTATGTACAGTCGCGCAGATGCATGCAAATCGACTGAATCCTTATAAACCCCCCGTCCACTCCAGTACACATAAAACCAGGACCAAACGGAGAATACGCCCAACATTACCCCTTTACCGGTTGCTCTTGGCAACACGCTCGAGCTCGTCCTTCTTCTTGATGGCATACGAGTTCGAGCTGCCCTTGGCAGCGTTGATCAGCTCTTCAGCCAAGCACTCAGCAATACTCTTGATGTTACGGAAAGCAGCCTCACGGGCACCGATGGTCAAGAGGGCAATGGACTGGTTGACACGGCGAAGAGGGGACACATCAACGGCCTGGCGACGGACGGTACCGGCGGAACCGATACGGGTGCTGTCTTCACGGGGACCGCAGTTGACGATGGCATCGACGGCGACCTGGAGGGGATTCTGGTCGGTCATGATGTGGATCTATGATTCGAGCTGTCAGTCTTCCAATTCCTGTCCAGTGCACTAGGGTGTATGTAAGAAAAGACGTACAATCTCGAAAGCGTGGGCAACAATGCGGACGGCCATGAGCTTCTTGCCACTGTTGCGGCCGTTCATCATGAGGGAGTTGGTCAGGCGCTCAATGATGGGGCACTGAGCCTTGCGGAAACGCTTGGCGGCATAACGACCAGCGGAGTGAGGAAGGTAGACAGGGGAGCGGATCTGGATGTAGTCGCTGTACGTATATTCCTGGTCAGCTCATCTGATTCTGTGTATTCGTTGGTGTCCTTGTGTGCTCGTCCGTGGCCCCTCGTCGCAAATCATATCAATCTCTCCCCATTAAAACAGAGCATCAAACCACCGACTCTTTCCTTGCACTCCATAAAATCGCATAGAATTGGAAGTCACCTACGTCAAGGAGATATCCCTGATCTCAACATCCTCGTAGCTCCACTTGTTGAAGAGCTTCACGGATCCCATCTCCGCGATAGCCTCCTTGGGGAGCACCTGGAAAGCTCCGACGGGGTTTTCGACCTCGACTTCCCCGTGATCAGACATGATGGACGCCGTATGCACCTGTTGTCGAGGGAGGGCTTCGTAAAAAGGTGACGGACGGTGTCGTTGGTTGATCCTGCAATGTCGACGATAGCAGTCGGTCGGCTGAAATGTGTCGCTGGGCTCAAGGAAATTCAGGTGCGCCTCGCTTAGTTGTGGGTGGGGTTAGGGCAGGATTTGGCCCAATGGTGCATTGTCAGTCATGTGATAATTTGGCCAGTCGCTCCGGCGTGGCTAAACCTCATTTGGACAACTACAGTCCGAGTTACTTATTAAACGATTGAGGGTCTCGGTTTATCAAGATTCAAGAGTTCAGATGCAGTTATTCTTAGATCTATAATGGACCCCCTATTCTATTACCCCCAACACTCACTGAACGTATTGTATGTCGGTCCTGTAACATGCCTCAAGTAGGACAAATCCCCTCTGTGTCCTTTTGACAAATAGGTTTGGTGTAAGAACAAGAAGAAAATAACTAAAAAAGAAACTCCTGTTTATATAGATATGTTCCATATTGATTAGACAACCTTCCCTTCTAGAGGATACCTCAACCACTCCTTTTGGTAATTTACAGCTCTCCTATCGGTAGGATTAAACAAATCCTCCACTTGTGATATCGGGGAACACTTACTGTGGCTGCGGAACTTGTCGGAGTCCCATGATTGGCCCTACGCCTGATTGTGGGATGACCGCCCTAGCCACAACGGCATGTGACGTTGTGGCTCTGGCTGCAATAAGCGCGGAGACACAGACAACTTGAGATTACCACCTTTCCAACCATTCGATCGCAAAGGGCCGCACGAATCGGGGAATATTTCAGGTCCCCAGTGCCCTACGATAACGGCCCAACGATCTTGCGATGAGGATCATTTCGTTCTTTGTATTTTCTTTCATGCGCACTTGACCGAAAGCCCCTCAGAATGTCCAGGCCCAGCGCTTCCGTGAACATGGCCGAACACCCCGAAATCCAATCCGCTTTGCGAGAGCTGGACAAGGAATTGGAGGTATGACAGAACGGCATTGCCCACATCTGATGCCTGGACGCTAAAGGTCATTTGACTAACGATTTCTGCTCTACATAGGAGGGCGACATTACGGAGAAAGGGTAAGTGACCTTTTATTCAGATCGGTAGAAGAGGCAAAGCGTCGGGATGGATAGTGTGAAGCAGGATAAATGCCAGCTTTAGTTTAACCTGCAAATAAGCCATTGTCTACCGCGCTATCTCCGCGGGTTACTGTGTCTAACTGGACGAAAGGTATCAAAAACGACGCACCCTTATCCTATCCCAGTTCTTTGGGCCTAACATGGCCCTCGATTTCAATACTTCCAGCACAGGGGCCCCATCTTCAACTTTTTCCAGCGCAAGCAATGTTCCACAAGCAGTTCTTAATGTCCGACCGCCAACGGCGGAGTCTACCGGTCAAGATTTGAATTCACAATCGCCCCTCCCTAGTGATCGTGGTAATCTGCAGGGCAGCGGAAGCTTCGATCACGATCGGAGGGTGAGTCAGGTGTCCACTGATTGTGATAGCGCATATCTTCAGAGTCTTGATCGATTTCCGTCGTCCCCCTCTTACGACTCTCTTTTCCTCCCGAAACCACAACCAGCCGCTGCCGGACTGGAGGACTCCAGGACTGCAACGCTCATGAGCCAAAATTATGCGTTCAACCCTGGCATCCAACATGATAACATGGAGGAATCTACTGGGGGTTATGAAGATTATGAGGACAATGACATAACACCAGGCATAGTCACACAACAGTCGACCATGCTCGACTCTCAACAAGGATACTTCTCAGACTTTGCAGGGCAGCAGCAAGATGATTATAGAGATAGCTATGGTGGTGGCGACGGTGGGTTTCATCGGTATTCTCAGTCGGATACATTCTCGCCAACTGCAAACATGGCGCCACCACTGATCCCTGCTTCAGAGCTTCCTCATGGTCCAACTATCAACCATCTGACTCCCTTAGAACCTCGTGAGATTCCGTTCGCTGTCAATGACCCACATGATAAGAATACGCCAATGTCTAACTTTGACAACCTCCCTACTGTTCTGCGATACCGTGCTCGGGTGCATGCGAAACAGGCCGCTTACTGGGTGTTAGATCAAAAAGGCAAGGAAATTGCCTCCATAACTTGGGATAAGCTTGCAAGCCGTGCCGAGAAGGTGGCACAGGTCATCCGTGATAAAAGTAACCTTTACCGTGGTGACCGCGTGGCTTTGATTTATCGAGACTCCGAGATCATTGAATTTGCCGTCGCTCTTATGGGCTGTTTCATCGCCGGGGTTGTCGCTGTCCCAATCAATAGCTTGGAGGACTATCAGAGCCTTAATTTGGTTCTTACTTCAACCCAAGCACATCTTGCGCTGACGACCGAGAACAATCTTAAGAACTTCCAAAGGGATATTACCACGCAGAAACTCAATTGGCCGAGAGGAGTGGAGTGGTGGAAGACCAACGAATTTGGCAGTTACCATCCGAAGAGGAAAGATGATACGCCACCCTTGGTTGTCCCAGACTTAGCCTATATTGAGTTTGCACGAGCTCCCACAGGCGACTTGCGTGGTGTCGTCATGAGCCATCGAACTATTATGCACCAAATGGCTTGTTTGAGTGCGGTGGTCTCGACTGTTCCTAATTCTTCAGGTTCTTCCAGACCGCGTGGCGAAACCCTCATTAGCTATCTGGATCCTAGGCAAGGCATCGGCATGATCCTAGGTATTCTTCTTACAGTATATGGCGGCCACACTTCAGTTTGGCTTGAAGATCGAGCAGTCGAAACTCCAGGACTTTATGCCCATTTGATCACGAAATACAGAGCGACACTCATGGCTGCAGACTATCCTGGATTAAAGATCGCTGCCTACAACTACCAGCAAGACCCCATGGCTACTCGACATTACAAAAAGAACTCCGAGCCCAATTTTGGGAGTGTAAAGCTTTGCCTAATAGACTCTCTCACGGTCGACGCTGAGTTCCACGAAATTCTCGCGGATAGGTGGCTAAGGCCCATGAGAAACCCCAGAGCTAGAGAGATTGTTGCTCCAATGCTATGTTTACCGGAACATGGTGGTATGGTAATCAGCGTCCGAGATTGGCTTGGCGGTGAAGAACGTATGGGTTGTCCTTTGACCCATGAAATGGATCCAAATGAGCGCGAGGATTCGAAGAAAGAGGAAAAGCAATCTGAAAAGTCTCACAATAGTGGATTCGGAAGCAGTCTCTTGGGGGGTGGGTCACTGGCACCCGCCCCCAAGGAGCACTCAAAGAATGAGCTTGGAGAGGTACTCCTTGACAAAGAATCTCTGAAAAGCAACGAGGTCGTAGTCTTGGCTATGGGTGAGGATGCTAGAAAGTTTGCTGGGACCATCCCAAATGCTGTGCGCGTCGGTTCGTTCGGGTTCCCTATCCCAGATGCAACTCTTGCTGTTGTGGACCCTGAGACCAATCTATTATGCACCCCCAATGTGATTGGCGAGATTTGGGTTGACTCTCCCTCTCTCTCTGGAGGATTCTGGGCATTACCAAAACATACAGATGCAATCTTCCATGCACGACCTTACAAGTTTGAAGATGCCAATCCAACTCCTGTTTTAGTCGAGCCAGAGTTTTTGCGAACTGGCCTTCTTGGCTGTGTGATTGAGGGAAAGGTATTTGTGCTGGGCCTTTATGAGGACCGTCTTCGCCAGAAAGTTGAGTGGGTCGAGCATGGACAGGAGAATGCTGAACATCGTTATTTCTTTGTCCAACATTTGATCGTCAGTATATTGAAGAACGTGCCTAAGATACATGACTGCACCGCCTTCGATGTTTTTGTCAACGAAGAGCATCTCCCGATTGTTGTTCTAGAATCCTATGCAGCATCAACAGCACCCACGACCTCGGGTGGTCCTCCACGGCAGTTGGATTCCGTTCTTCTCGAATCACTGGCAGAGAGGTGTATGGAGGTGTTATATCAAGAACACCATCTGCGGGTCTACTGCGTCCTACTCACTGCTCCCAATACTCTTCCTCGTGTTACCAAAAACGGGAGACAAGAGATTGGTAATATGCTTTGTCGCAAAGACTTTGATGCCGGTGCCCTGCCTTGTGTGCACGTCAAGTTTGGCGTTGAGAGGTCGGTAATGAATCTTCCAGTGGGCGTCGACCCGGTTGGGGGCATCTGGTCTCCCCTGGCCTTAATGTCGAGACAGGAGATGCTTGCTATTCAGGAGAAGCAGTATTCGGGTGTGGATTATCGTGAAGTGGTCATGGATGATCGTACGTCCACGCCCTTAAACAACTTCTCAACTATTGTAGACGTTCTCCAATGGCGTGTATCTCGACAAGCGGAGGAGCTGGCCTTCTGCTCTATTGACGGCCGTGGAAAGGAAGGGAAAGGCATTACATGGAAGAAATTCGACTTGAAAGTTTCTGCCGTTGCGACCTACCTACGAAACAAAGTCAAGGTCCGCCCAGGCGATCACTTGGTTTTAATGTATACCCACTCGGAAGACTATGTCTACGCAGTTCATGCCTGCTTCTGTCTAGGGGTGGTTGTGATCCCATTGCCACCTATAGATCAAAACCGCCTTTCAGAAGATGCGCCTGCTTTTCTGCATGTCATCAATGATTTCCATGTGAAGGCGATCATTGTCAACAGCGATGTAGACCATGTTATGCGACAAAAGCTTGTTTCACAGCACATCAAGCAATCTGCCCAGGTCCTTCGGATAGGTGTCCCGGCTATTTACAATACCACCAAGCCCTCAAAGCAGTCTCATGGCTGCCGGGAAATGGGCTATACGGCAAAGGACACATGGCTGCAAAACAAGCACCCTGCTTTGATCTGGACGTATTGGACGCCCGATCAAAGAAGGATATCCGTCCACATCGGCCATGATACGATCATGGGGATGTGCAAAGTGCAAAAGGAGACCTGCCAGATGACCAGTTCGAGACCAGTACTAGGTAGTGTGCGTAGCACTCTAGGCCTCGGCTTCCTTCACACATGCTTGATGGGAATATATGCCGGTAAATCAACGAAAATGCACCTAGAATGTTCATCTTTGGCTGACAGAGTATCTAGGGGCACCGACATACCTTGTATCACCTGTTGATTTTGCGCAAAATCCTATGACACTCTTCGTCGCTCTTTCGCGGTATAAAATCAAGGATACTTATGCCACTAGCCAGATGTTGGACTATGCCATGACTGCAATGGCCGCAAAAGGCTTCCAGCTCCAAGAACTCAAGAACTTGATGATTTCCGCCGAGGGGCGACCACGTGTCGATATTTGTGAGTTACCTAACTCCTTTGCATAGTGAAAGGTATTCTCTAACTTAAACGCTGCAGATCAAAAGGTCCGCTTGCATTTTGCTTCGGCTAGTTTGGACCGCACCGCAATCAATATTGTGTATTCTCACGTTCTCAATCCCATGGTTGCTACGAGATCATATATGTGCATTGAGCCAGTCGAACTCTGGCTTGATCTTCGATCTTTACGCCGCGGGCTCGTCTATCCCGTAGACCCAGATACGGACCCCACAGCCCTTGGTGTCCAAGATTCTGGAATGGTCCCAGTAAATACTCAAATAGCGATAGTGAACCCAGAGACTTGCACCTTATGCCATGTTGGAGAATATGGAGAGATCTGGGTCCAGTCTGATGCTTGTGCCAAATCATTCTATGGCTCTAAACAGGAATTCGATCAGGAGCGTTTCAATGGCCGAATAATGGACGGAGATCCCAGTGTTGCTTACGTGCGAACGGGTGATCTGGGCTTCCTCCATTCAGTTACCCGACCGATTGGACCGGGAGGTCAGCCGGTAGAAATGCAGGTACTGTTTGTGCTTGGAGGAATTGGGGAAACTTTTGAAGTCAATGGACTCAATCACTTTCCTATGGATATTGAGAACTCCGTTGAAAGATGCCACCGAAATATCGTATCCGGTGGATGGTGAGTAGCCAATCCTGTACATGTGGTCTTGTGTGTATCTATTAATGCTGTTGCCACAGTGCTGTCTTTCAAGCGGGTGGTCTGATCGTCGTCGTCGTTGAGGTAACAAGAAAGGCTTATTTGGCATCTCTCGTGCCCGTTATAGTTGACTCCATCCTCAATGAGCACCAAGTCGTTGCTGACATCGTGGCCTTCGTTTCGCAAGGAGACTTCCCTCGGTCTCGCTTAGGTGAGAAGCAGCGTGGTAAGGTTCTGGCAACCTGGATTACCAGAAAGCTGCGAACGATTGCCCAATTTAGCATTCGTGACATGGAGGGATCTGAGAACCCCTATGCGGACGGGCCACAGCATCGCGTCAGCAGAAGCTCTAAGCCAGGAAGCGTGATGGGCAATAGCACTCGACGATCTACTGTGGTTCCGGAGAATGACGTGCCCGCTGTTCCTCGGTCCCCTGCTCCAGCACTAGCAGAACATCCGGAGGTAACCATTGACTCGTACCAGGCCGTTCAGGACCCGGGTGATGGATCGATGCTCAACAGTCCCATTGCCGTGCCTGAATCGGCGCCCTCTATTCCGCAGATCGCGGAACCAATGCGGCCAGCAACCTCTTCCAGCACGGGAAACGTACCAACGCCAAATGATGTTCCCGTAGCAATCGGAAATCCGGATTTCGGCTTCGATTTCGGTGATTTCGCCCACTCAACCTCTACGGCGCCTCCATTGGCCGGATCCAACGGCCCTGTTGCTGTGACTGAAGCTCTACCTTACAGGCCTGCCACGGAGCAAGGATCAATTTCTGGCCAACAGCAATCTAGTGCAAAGCCACGACCGTTCTCGTACGAGCAGCCACTGGACGATGTCACTGGAGGATGGCCCCAAGAAGCTTTGATGTACCAGTCGACACTGGGAACAGATGATACGCATGGCCAGAGTGGAAATAGCTACAATACGAGTAGCGAAACGATGAAGCAAGGTCATTATGGTTATTGAAAAAGAAGGGCGCATATCCATTTTCTTCAACAGATCTAAATCTCCTATATAGCCGCTTGTTATGTGGGTCAAATCATTGGCAGGTTACTCTCGCATCATGTTTGGCTATCGTATGTGTTTAGAGTGCATTCCCCCTTTTCATTTTACTATTGTCTTGACTTATCCCCAAATTCTTTGTTTTGTTCTTGCATTTGGCATGTTTTTGTTGATTCCCTTGGTTTCACTCTGCATTACACATTACCCATCCATTGCACTACCCTGCCTGCTATTTGAATCCCATTTCTACTGTCTTGTCTGTCTTCTTACCATTCCCTATAATGAACGAACGACATGTTATTGTCTGTACATACCCCCATCCAAAGCATGCGTGTAATTAGAAAATCACAAACCCATTATTGTCATTCTAGAGCTTTTTTTCCCCTTCCCTGGAAAGGTTTGTTTGGGTTATCGCATCTTAAGAGATCTATCCCATATTGGGTTCGTTGCTTAGATGGTGGATATATATCCGAGGAATGAATCTTATATTTATTTTTTGAAAGTCTTCAAGGGAGTACAGATGGTATTACACAAACAATTTACACGGAAATAGACCTACTAACTGATTTAGTTATGTACTTGTGGAACTATATATATCCTAGAAATAATTGTTGGTTGAGCCAGAACAACATGACTTGGAAATCATTTATTTTCTCAATTATTATTAACGAATAAATAAAGATTCTTGTATCCTGTCATTCTGTACATGTGTGATTTTAATTATTCCAGAATTTTTGGCCCTTTTTTATAATCTGTTAAATTCTGAAGCCTGTTCTCTCAACTCCCTTCCACAAAGATGCCATCAAAATATAAACTCCTATAATACCAGAAAAAAAAAAGGATCCAGAATTTTTGCTACACTTCTTGTCATCTACATATTCTCAGCTTGTTGCGTCAGTGCTTCCACATTGACCCTGGGTGCGGCACTGCCGTTGGTGGCCTTGGCTGCAAGAATAGCTGGCTCGTTGGCAGAGTGCAGATCGTCCAGAGCTTTCAGGTCTTCGGCAGTGAGGTCATTAGAGCGATGGGGACGGAATGGTGCAGGGGATCCGGCGCGGCTGGTGAGGAACTGTGGAGCGGAGGTCATTAGTGGAGGGAGCACACAAATGGGCTCGGATCGAATTGATCCCGAGAAGATTCAGGAACTTACAGAGCTAGCAGCACTCAACAAGGCGATCAAGCTGGCTTGGACCACATCCTGGTGGATACCGACACCCCAGACCTGTTCCTTGCTGCCGGCCGCAGTGCACTGAATATACGTTGCGGCCTTCACGTCTTTACCCAAACCGATTGAGTGTTCCTTGTAGTCAACGACATCGAGATCGATGCCCAACTTGGACAAAGCGTGGGCCAGGGAGGAAATAGCACCAGCGCCCACACCTGTGATGGCGTGCTGGATACCGTCGATCTCGACGATACCGGTAAAGCGACGCCTGAGGTTCCTGGTGTTGAGCGCTTTGCCGGGCTCTGGCGGTGCAGGGGAGGTCGATCGATCCGCAGTAATGTTGTAGTCGACCAGGTTGAAGCGGGGGTTTGATTTGAGGTGGTATGCCTCTTCGAAGAGACTGACGATTTCGCTGGAGCGTAGCTCCCGGTTGGCTTCTTCTGTCCGCTTCTGGACGACCTTGCTGAACTCGACTTGGAGGGCGCGTGGGAGATCCAGCTCCAAACTGCGCAAGATAACCCAAGCAGCACCGCCCTTGCCGCTCTGAGAGTTGACACGGATAACAGCCTCGTAGGTCCTTCCAATATCCTGAGGATCCAGGGGAAGGTAGGGGATCTCCCATTGGGCCTCGTCCGTAACTCCGGTATCTTCCCGCACCTTGAATCCCTTCTTGATAGCGTCCTGGTGGCTACCACTGAAGGCGCAGACAACCAGCTGGCCACCGTAAGGCCAGCGCTCATTAACAGGAATCTTGTTGCTTTCTTCAACCACCTTGATAACGGAATTAATATCCGAAAAGTCTACCTTGGGGCTGATACCCTGTGTGTATAGGTTGAGTGCCAGAGTCACCAGATCTACATTTCCGGTTCTCTCGCCATTTCCGAACAAGGTTCCTTCGACACGCTGTGCACCGGCCATCTGAGCCAACTCAGCCGCTGCGACGGCGCAACCGCGGTCGTTGTGAGGGTGTACGGATACCACATACTTCTCCCTCTCCGATACGTGTCGGCAGAAGTATTCGATCTGATCAGCGAACACGTTGGGAGTCGACATTTCAACGGTGGCTGGCAGGTTGAAGATGATGGGGTCCTCCTCGGTCGGCCCCCAAGCCTCCTTGACCGCCTCGCAGACCTGTGCGGCGAATTCGGGCTCGGTATCAGAGAAGGTCTCGGGGGAGAATTCAAAATGCCACTGGGTACCAGCGGTCGAGGGGTCATCCTTGGTGATGGAGCGAGCGTACTTGGTACAGCGGACGGCCATTTCCAAACTCTTCTGCTTGTCCATGTTGAAAACGATGCGACGAAAGCATGGGCTGGTAGCTAGGTATATGTGCAGGATAGCTTTCTTGGCTCCCTTGAGGGAGTCGACTGTGCGACGGATGAGATCCTCACGACAGGGGGACAGAACCTGTAGCCAAACATCATCCGGGGTGAGTCCGGGAGTCTCGACAAGGCGGCGGGTGAAGTCAAAATCCGTCTGAGAGGCCGAAGGGAAGGAAACCTCGATCTCCTTATACCCGATATCTACCAACATATTGAAGAAGCGAAGCTTTTGCTCACAATCCTAGATTGTAGACGAAGTGGTGAGCACGGAGAAATTGCAGCGTGCTGGGAAGCAGAGCATCTTACCATGGGATCCGGCAAGCTCTGATTGCCATCTCTTAGATCGGTGGCCAGCCACCGAGGGGGCTTTTCGATGACTTTATCGGGCCATTGACGATCAGGAAGACGAAGTGGTTTGAACGGCTTGTACTTCGTCGAGGGATCTTTGAGCCTTCACGCAAGAACAACGGTTAGCGGGGCGGTGGCACGATAACGGGGAAGCAAGGAGGGGCAATCACGGGGAAGGGCCTTACATAGGCATGGTAAGGATGGTGGGGGGATCCACAGGAAGACAGGCGACGAGGGGAGGGGGAGAGGAAAAGATGGGGGAGAATACTGCCTCTCTGCGACTGAGAATGGATTGGGATGCAAGATGGACGAAAGGAGAGTGAAGAATAGGAATGTGAGCTACTGCCAGTATTTAAGATGAAGAACAAATGGAAGTGACTCAATGAGCATGATTTCACTTTTTCTTTGCGGCCGACAGCGGACGCCGTTGCGGCACCTGATTTGGTACCAGTACTTGGCCCGACCCGACATGATAGGCCAAAAGGCACGCTTGTGCATGTACAGCTACCATTCGGACAGGGCAGATATTTCGGTGGCAGCACCAGTCACATTGGTCCAATTACGCATCAGAGGAGAGTGACAGAAGAGCGATGACAATGCAGATCTTCGGCACTCGCTACTGACGTCCAAAGGTCGCCGACTGAACGTCATGTTAAACAGTAATTCAACCTTGGTGCATTCGCCGACACCGGAGCCCTGGCTGCCACAGCCGGTGCACGAGTGCCATGCCGCGCCGACGGTAGCCGAGAAAATGGGCCTACATGGATTCTGATCGAACATTGTGATGATTCAACAAGTTCTATCCCTCTCTCTATCTATCTACACAGTACATGCAAGTGAAATGCTCCACATCAGTTCCTCTTCTTCTCGTTCTTCTTACCGCCCTTTTTACTCATCGACTTCCCTTGTTTCGGTCCCTCTCGGACAGCCTTGCCCTTCTTCCACCCAGCATTTCCTTCTAGTCGCTGCCGAGTGTCATCAAGCCGTTTCTTGTCCTTGTTGCTAAGCCTCTGCTTGTCCTTCTTCTTCCCTGACTCCGGTCCATTGAGTTGCGTTGCCCCCAATTTGCGCGCCGCCTGCTTGTCCCGTTCGCTTTCGAACCATGTCCGCTTCGGCCGCGACATTATTTCTGCTCCGTGCTTCATTATGTTTTCGCCCTTTTTCACCTGCATCTCCGCCTGTGCGAGCTGCTTTTCCATCTTCTCCTCGGCAAGCACGGCATCAATCTCATCCTCCATTGCCTCAGCCTTTGCAGCCCAGTCGTCGGCAACGGCAGGGTCAACCACCCGACTGGCCACCTTGGCGCCTTGTGCTTTGCTGGCTTTCACGGCCACCTTTACCACCTTGCGGTCCGGTTCGGCAGCAATTGTGCATGCCCGGCCCGAACGACCGGCACGGGCCGTTCGTCCCACGCGATGCAGGTAGATCTCATGACTCTGCGGCGCTTCGTAGTTGATGACCGTCTCGACTCCCTTGATATCGAGACCACGTGACGCCAGATCGGTGGCCAGTAGGAAAGCCACCTTTCCATCACGGAAATTCTCCACGCTTGTAATACGCTGTAGTGGATTCTCGTCAGCTACTGTAGACCTGAATCAGGGGGCCGTACGATGACAGTGGGGGTTTACCTGTTCCTGGCTCATGCTACCGTGGAGCTCGGCCGCTTTGAGCCCAAGTAGTCCAAAAACGATCCGAACGCGATGCGCCTCGCGCTTCTGTCGGAAGAATACAATGACTCGCCCGGTATAGATCTCCTTGCACAGATAGAGCAAATATCCCAATCGCTTATCTTCCCGTCCTGGTCGTAGTCGCACGAATTCTTGAACGAGGTTCGCAGCGGTATTCTTTTTGGAGTCGGCCATGAGGCGTACAGGTCGGTTGAGTCCGACTCGGATGAGTTTATCCACCGTATCGGTCATGGTCGCCGAAAACAACATTGTCTGCCGAGATTTGGGAATGGTCGTCAGTATTTCATTAAGTTCGTCTGCAAATCCATCCTCCAACATCCTATCGGCCTCGTCCAAAACCAAAATCTCGAGGGTATCAACGGTGAAGCTAGCCGAGTTGCGCATATGGTCGATGAAACGACCGGGGGTAGCGATAATCACATCGGGACGTTTCTTCAAGATATTCTCCTGCTCTCGGAGGCTGAAACCACCGACCAGCTGACAGAAGGTGATATCGGTGTAGGTGGCTAGTTTCGTAGCCACATTGTAACACTGCACAGCCAATTCACGGGTAGGCATTAGAATGGCAACACGGCTAGTGGGCATCTTTCGTGGACGAAAGAGCAAACGCTCCAGGATGGGGACAACGAAGGCAGCTGTCTTTCCGGAACCGGTAACAGCGCTACCAACGATGTCCTTACCAAGGAGGGCCATGGGGATAGTCTTCCGTTGGATGGGAGTCGGGTTAGTGAAGTTGACGGAGGCCAAACCACGCAGGATTGGTCGAGAGAGGTTGAACTCTTGGAACGATGTTTTCGATACGTCCATCGAGGACTGCTCATTAGTTTTCTCTTCCGGGGCAAAGAAAGCCTTGCGCTTCTCCTGTTCCTCGGCATCCACCTCAGAGTCATTATCTGAGACGTCGTCCGGGTGATTGACGGGAGTTGCAACAGAATCATTATCAGAGGCAGCCTCATCGTCATCATCTTCCTCATCCTCGTCGCCTTCGCCCTCTTTGTCATCACCGCTACCTGACTCTTCTCCTCCGGACTCCTCGCTTTCCCCTTCGCCATCAGCTCCCATACCAAATCCATCCTCGGCTAGTAGCTCGTCATCCTTGAAGTCAACCGACATTCCCCCATCCGATTCGTCTTCCTCACCTTCGCTCTCGCTCTCAGGTTCCTTTTTCTTCTGCTTCTTTTGCGCCTGGGTCTCTTTCTTCTCCTTTCGCCGAGAAATAATATCATCAATATCCACTCCTTTCTTATCCCCGTTCTTGGTTGCACTCTCACGAGCATCACCGGTAGCCCATCCATCGAAACCTTCGGTGACTGTATTCGCAACACCACCCACATCAAATTCGAAATCCGGATTCAGTACGCCATCATCGTCGCCGCCACTCTCTTCTTCCTCGGACTCTTCCTCCTCGGGCTCTTCCTCCAGCTTCTCCTCCTTATTCGACTTGCCGTTCTTCAATTGCTTCTTTTGTTGTTTCTGTTTCTTGTTCTTTCCAGACGTAGTCTCCGCTGCTTCCCTCTTGCGCTTCTTCGCACCGGCTAATGTTGTGTCTTCATCACCGTTCTCGTTAATGTTCTCGAAGTTATCATTTTCGTCGTCAGAGATAGTAAGCACGAAATCATCGTCATCTCTAGAGCTTCGCTTTTTGGCTGCTGATCTGGGAGCCATATTTAGCGAGTCTATCAAGCAATTGATGGTGTCCCCGTTTAGGTCTCTTCGAAAAAATTTTTATACGAAAAATGGATCCCAAGAGATGAGAAAACTAAATGAACAAGAAAACCCTCGTGAAATTTCCTCCTAGCAGTCTCCCGCAGCTGTTTCTTCATGTACTTCGGCGAAGAGAAAAGCGAAAAAAAAGTTCAAACTGCGGAGGCGGTGAAGAATTACCAGGCAGAAATAAATCGGAGAGTATTCTAGTGGGCTTAATTGGTGGAACCGTGCCATAAGGATCCGTTCTTGATTAATTCAGTCTAGCCTAAACTGTACTTCAATCACTGCAGAAAGCAAGAGACTCCCTCACCCAGATCATTTGTCGTCATCAGGTGCTTCTTTTTTTTTTTTTTTTTTTTTTTTTCCTTGCCTACTTTCTCATTTGAATACTGTAACTATATGAAAAAGGAGGTCAAGAGATGCAAAATCCTTAGTGGAAATAGAAAAGGGAAAGAAATACGGAAGCCAATTATCATCGGACCCTCCACATACAAAAGAGAATGCTTCTAGAAAGCACCGAGATCTGGACTGGGAAGTTGCTCAGTCAGCTCATGAAAGGACTTTCCGTGACAGCCAGATGGCAGTCCTTTATCATACTATGCTTTGTATACCAAATTCCTACTCTCAAGATGCCGTATGTGCAAAACTAGTTCCGATAAGATCGTTCCTTCGAGTCATTATGGCGAACTTAGTACTCGAATCGGCTGCTTGGATTGTATCCGATATTGCGGACGAGGTAACTGACGTCGAGGCTAGTAAAATTTAGCCAACTTAATCAATACGGGATGACAAACAGAAAACAATAATAAAAGAACTTACAAATGGTCGAATTTGACCCTCGCTCCTTGCAGCACACCCTGCTCTTCGAACTCATATTTTTGAGCTAACCAGTCCATGACCCATTGGTATTTAGTGCGTTCCTCATTTCGATAGCTAAGGGTAAAGATAAGACGAGCAAGTCGGCGACGGCCTCCCGACTGGTATCTAGGTCGATCCTCAAAACTGGAGTCGAAAATATACCCAAATTTGGGAATGTAGGTAGGATCGCACACTTCCAAGAGCTTGTCGGTGAGACATCTTCCAATGCCCCGACATCGGTTGTCGGGTCTGACAAAAACCTTAAGCTCCGCTGTGTATCGACCGCTGGTTTTGTCGCCCATGAAATCAGTTGCCAAAGCATAGCCTACGACCTTCTCTGCGGTATCATCCCGGACTGTACCGGTTCTGCGCTCAGCAGCAACTACGAAGGGTAGGTTCTGATCTCTGGAGTCATTGATCCACTGGCGAACGTCTCCCGCCTCGCAGTCTTTAATGTCAGTACTAACAGTCGAATTGCTAGCATACCAATTGATAATCCGAAGAAGCTCCGGGACGTCGTGAAGTTCGACGGGCCGGAGATAGATGTTCGCTTTAGGCGAGTGAGGACTCCGCTCCAGTGGCATATTCATGGCTTGGATGTAAGCCTGCCGGTTAATCTCCCTACGAGTTCGTTCTTCTGCCTCTTGCTTTCTGACATGCATCACCCAGTTGTGGCAATATCCCTCCGCGGTCTCATGAGAGTGACGAAGTATTGTTTCATCTTCCTTGTCGTGGCAGGTCCGATGGTCGTCCAAGTCGGGAATAAACATGGTACGTACGCCATCTGCATGCGCAGTTCCATCGAAAAAGGCCTGGTGATAAATATCAACATGGCAGCAAGTCTGTGTTGTACCGTCAAGCCATCGGCGAAACCAATCGCGAAACGCCTCCAAGCTCGAGTAGGCGCGAGGACGATATTCCCAATCAGCATAGATGGCATCAGACCATTTGTTGTCAGGGCGCAGTGTCGTTTCAGTATTACCGATAGTGGTCGTGGGCTGAAGACCATGTTGTGCCAGCTGATCTCGAATACGCTCCTGTTCAGGAGTCGGATTCGATGAGAAGTACAGCTCCCCATCTTTTATTATCGGAAAGATGTCAGGGTTCTGGATGTACGCTTCCCACTGGACTACGGACTTATCGGGACCAGGTTCGATTGTTTCGTTGGAAGACAGGCCCACCGAAGAAGGGAAGTTCGGTTCTTCATTAACGGTATTCCCCGCAAGACGACGCTTTGTGATAATCTGGTAGAATTCCGAGTTTGGATCAGTTCCTGGTCCATCTCTGCATTTGATGAGAGCGTCTGGGTTCGCCGTGGGAAAGTCCAGGTCTTTGAAGCGATTCAAATGTGCCTGGCAAACGATTTGCTCTCGGAGTCGCTGCAATTCCTCCAAAGCATCTTGTTTCGCCTTGTCTGGGGGTTTGGAATAACTGCCATCTACTGGCCGTTTGCTAGACTCCCCCCCATTTGCTGCGTGGTTGCTGTTTGTGGCTTGGATCCTCGATCGCTTGTGCTTCATAGAGACTTTGGGGCTCTCAAATCTTTTGTGGAGTTTCTGCTCGTAAAAGCGCTGAGGGAACTCAGCTTGGCTTTGGGGTTTTTTGTTTTCTCGAAATCTGTTCCCACGCGCAAGCATGATCTCATCCGAATCAGTATCAGACATTTTGACGTCACTGGCTGCCTTTTGCTCTATTGAATCATCAGCTAGTCCTATCGCAAATTTTGAAATCCGTCTCAGTACGGGTTCTTACGGCGCGAGGGCGTGTTCTGTGCGATATTCGAAGATGGAGCTTCAGGAGATGCAGGTCTGATTTCTTCCCTCAACTTGGAAAGCTTCGATACAGAAGTGGCCAGTTGGGTCTTGGACAAAGAAGACTGAGGTACTCCTGCAGGTTGTTGTTTGGATTCACTGCGCCCAGAGGTGGTGTGACTAGTGGGAAATCGCCTGGGAAATCGCAGTGATGGTTTTCTTAAGTGGGGTGCAATGTAAAGAGCAATCGACGGTCCACCCAACCTCACACGAGGCCTTGTAGGTGGTGTAGGTTGGATATGTGAATTCACTTTCTGACTCGCCTCGTTGTCCTCGGGTAAGTTTGATTTCGAAGCCAAAGGTTTCACTGGGTTGGGTTGGGAGATAGAACTCCAATGGCTTGGGTTTATGGCAGGCAGTTTCACGCTAGCGGTCACTCTGACATCTGTTTCCATAGTCGATCGTTCAGGCTCTGGCACATCTGGGTCCTGCATTGTGGCAAGTGCTTTGTTCAATGCTATCCCTGGGGAATAATTTCTGGAGAGACCACTGGTATTACTGGAAGATGCAGACCTGTAGTTATAGGGAAAATTGGTTTGAGTGTATAGGTATTCCTTTGCAGCTTTTAATCTGTTCCAAAGATCAGAGCTATCAGGTAGGCTTAAAGTGCTCGATGTTGCCATGCCTATTTGCAACGTAGGAGTTTAACCCGGTTAATGTGAACGTCCTGCCCTATTTGCATGTGAGCGACCATACCATCCACACTTAGTATGTCTGGATAGGTTTACCTAAGAACAAATAAAGGCATATGGGTTGCAGACAGGAGAACAGAAGAAATAGGTATAAAGAGACAAGAGAAAAAAGAGTTCTATTATGGTGGGCAGACGGATAGATAATCCTAGGTTTTAGACTGTTTCTGCCTGCCTTCCATAAATTCAAAACAGCTTAAGGTCCGTGAATGCCTTGAATTTGATATTTGGCCGCCACATCATATCCAGTAGCGAAAGCAATAAACAGTTAACGGGGCCATTTTATATTCTGCATGCCAATTATTTAGCAGTATTATAGCCTAGATCCCGATATATGTTTGCGTACTAAGGATCAAACTGTGACCTATTGGCGTTCTGTGTGAGGTGCGCTTTCTTAGCGGGAGAGATATCGGCGTCTCCCAGTATAGAACTGCGCAGTGGGTTCTTACCCTTCCATATCACAGCCAACCACATCTCGTGAACACTCCACAAGCAAAAATGCTCTCGATCCTGAGAAAGGCTCGCCTCAAGGATAAGGAGCTAAGAATTTTGATGCTGTACATTCCCTAGAAATTATATGACGTTGGGAGACCCACAGGCTGACCGCAATTCGACTTCAGTGGCCTGGACAATGCTGGCAAGACGACGATCGTTAAGCAGGTTATGAACGAGGACGTCACCACAGTGAGTCCTACCTTAGGTTTTATCATCAAAACTATAGATTTTCAAGGGTATTGTCCAATTTATAAATCAATGCCGTGGCTCACATTGAATTAAATGCTGACGCAAGCGCAGATATCGACTGAATATTTGTAGGGTCATCTACAGGTGTCGTTACAGTTCCACGCTAATGTCTAGATACCAGGGGACGTGGGAGGGCAAAAAACTCTTCGATCGTACTGGAAAAACTATTTCGAAAAAACCGATACATTGGTCTGGGTTGTGGATGCGACGGACCGTCTAAGAGTCGACGACTGTCGCGATGAGCTTGCTGGGCTCCTCCTGGAGGATGTACGCTTTGCTAGCCCCACCCGATGAAAAGTTCTGTCGAGGATTCCGGGCTAACTGTGTACTTTCTGCAGCGACTTATGGGCGCGAGTCTTTTGGTCTTTTTAAATAAAACTGATATTGAAGGGTGCATGACGCAAAACGAAGTTCGGCAGGTGAGATTTTATTTTTATTTTATTTTTTTGGTTTTTTGTTTTCCTGGTTGTCTCCAATACCCGCCGGGGGTCAGCTTTGGTATGCTGAAGCTCTGCGACCACTGACTCTTTATAGCGACTTTGCTTGGATTCAATAAAAACGCATAAATGGACTATTTTACCTTGCAGTGCAATGACAGGAAAAAATCTCAACGAAGGATTGGAATGGGTCGTACAAGATGCGAAGGACAGACTCTTCCTCTATTAAGTATGGCGATTTTATGTAGTTTGTACATAACTGATGGTCAATAACAATGCAATATGACAAGCGATCTTATATAACTATGCTATCTGATGTCTGAATTTATATAAGAAGCTCTTAATGGTCTCATTCACTTCATTTATTAGACCTCGTACTTTTATTTTTTTTTTTTTTTTTTTTTTTTTTTTTTTTTTTTTTTTTTTTTTTTTTTTTTTTTTTTTTGCAAATCAGAAACAATTATACAGAGCAGCCATGTTCCTCTCTCTCAAGAAAAAAAAGTTTGTCCCTATCTTTCGATGATACAACTTTAATAAGCTTCTACCTCAGTAAGGCATGCCTTGTTCTGGCCTTTAACGATATCCCAATTGTCAGCCATTGCAGACAGTGAGGGGCTATTTTAAGTATATTCAAGGCAAATATGGAGCAACAAACGGAGGATACTAATAAGTAGAGATATATTCCCTCCAAATAATACTAGTAGAACATGGCAGGTGTAAGATAATGTGCAGGAGGTAAAGAGGACAATGATTGGCAACCTATAATCCCAAAAACTAAGGAATAGTGAATGCAAATATCCTTAGCTATAACTCTACTTGTCATCCTTTCGTATCCAGTCCATTAACGAACATGTGTGGTGTACCAATCAGCGAAAAAAATTTTAGTTTTGTGACTGAGGTTGACACTAACGGGATATTTTCCATACGCAACCTACAGACACTTTGGCAAGTGAACTGTAACGTCAGATATTGTTTCTTCTTCGAAGGTCCTTACTCGAATATATATGCCATCCACCGCTGTACTCCAAAGAGGCTAGCTTCCTTAGAGATTCATTGGTACAAGGGGGAGCCTCTCAGGTCGCCACACATGGTCATGTCTTACATATACATGGGGGTGTGATTGAGAAATCTTGGCGATTTTCTTGTCGTCTAGTTGGATATTGTTTAACGAACAGGCTTCAGTATCCTTTATGGTTGACTGGTCTGAGATGTGAAGATATGTCACTATTCGAGGTCTAGGTGGATAAACATCCACACTCTACACTCGACTGTGACAGTGAGGGCCTTGTTCGGAGCATACGTCACTCTTGTTTTTGGTAGCTTGGAAGCGATCGAGTGGTGGCTGTGCTCCGAGGGACTTCGTACAGAGGCCATGTCACTGACAGTGAGTGATGATAATTCGTGGTTCTATGTGGAGCCGGATCACCTGATCCATGGTTCAGCCGCACATGGATGCCCGAGGCAGGAAAATCATAATAAACGATGGCGAATTGCTCTGTCCTGGACAAAGTTGCTCTTCATTCTGCTAATCAACTAGATCGGTTTAGTTTGGCCTAGTTTAGTACCAGCCTACGTAGGGCAAGTAAGGCAGATCATTAATTATTGCCATTATTCCGATTATTACGGCTCTATTATCCTTCGGCTCCACTGGCGGCGAACTCGGCCCAAGGTTTAAGGCGGAGAATCCCAGCAGGATCTCGACGTGTTTCTTGATCCTCCATTGCTTGCAAGGGACACTTTAGTTGGTCTCGGCAATCTACAACGACACCTACAACTTCGTAGTCGTAGTTGTCTGTTAGTACCTACTGCCGGGCGATCTTCAATTGTTACAATCATTGCCCCTCGTTAGGTTCTCGCCAAATTCAATCCCCACAGTTCTTGGTGCTTGTTTGTTTTTGGGTTGTGTTTGGTTGATACTTGCTTCGCCCTGTTTCGCTTTCTTATTCTCACATCATTTTTCTTTTTTTCCCATTTCTTCTGTTTCTTTACTTGAGCCCTCCTTTGTTTCTTTTCTTTTTTTTCTTTTTCTTTCCCTTTTTCCGATTTGTGACAGGTCAAGTGCCAAGGGAGCCATGACTTCCACATCCAATACCGAGGGCACTGAAGATGTTAATGATTTCCTCCTTCGCATCCGGGAACTAGGAGAAAAGCGTGACAAGGAGGACGAAGAACGCACGAAGAAGTTGGAGGAAGAAATCTTGAAAGGGCGACGGGAAAGACAGGCGAGAAGAGCTGGTATTGTGGCCTCCCTTGTGTTTGTGTTCTTCCCGGTCGCGGTTGTCATAACTCAACGGACAGCTGCGCTCGTCCAAGAGATGCAGTACCAGAAGCTGATCTTGCCTCTTCTTTGGGAATCAATGTAGAGCGGGCCCGGTCGATTTCTCCGACGAAGGACTCCCCTCTGTCGGATCCCGCTCGCTTTAGCATGCCACCTGCCACTTCTAGCCAGCGAGTGATCGATCCGCCAGAACAACTCGAGCCAACTTGTTACGCACCTGAACGTGAGACTACACCTAAATCGTATTACCTCCGGGACGACGAATCAGTTACTACTGCTGGTAGCCGAAGAGGGTCGAGGGTAGAAGGAAACGAAATCGACACGTCCCCGAGGACATCTCCTTTGCGGAGTAGAGCTGGGACCTTATCCTGGCAGCAACGGCCGACATCGCGAGATCTTGGTAGTAGTAGGTCTTTCTTTTCTGGTTCCTCTGCTCGCGAAAACCGCTGGAGGGCGATGTCCACGACTTCAAATGACGAACCTGTGACGCCTCAGAGTCCGAGTGCGCGGTCTCCCTCGGCTAAAGAAACTCCATCGTTAAACCGAGCAGAACGTAACCTCCCTTCTCCAACGTGCATGAAAACTACGGAAGATGGCCTGCATGAAACCTCCTTGGATTTGAACACCGAAGAGCCAAGGCCCGATAAGGAAAGCAATACAGAACCGGAAAAGGAAACCAACCTTCAAGACATTCCTGAATCTCGGTCACGGTCGCCATCAAGAGCAAGCTCGATATTCGCAGACAGCACTGTGAGCCATCGATACTCAAGTGTATCTTCCATGTCGACGGCAACTGGTCTTGGCTCTCCAGTTCCTTTATCGAGCGCACAGAAATTGGAGCCTCCGAAAGTCGAGCAATCTCCAGAGGATCAGACGACGTCCCCTATCTTGCCCAGGCGACTCTCTCCTGAGCGTTCAACGTCGCCAACGAAGGGTCTCGGAGGCTTTGTCCAAAGTGCCATGATGAAACGATCGGATAGTGTTTCAAAACGGTGGAGCGCTCAGCTCCCGTCGGGACTTGCACGGGGAAACACAATCGCCGGCAGTCGCAATAGTTTTGCCGCGTTTAGTAGTAGGGATTGTTTCTCTACTATGTCGGCCTCTAGACTGAGCAGGGAAGGCCCCCTATTACCGACCCACCGACCGAGCTCTAGCCACAGCGAAGCAACAGTCGTTCATAACACAAAGGACAACGAGCGCCAGGTGATGCCTTCTGGGCCCAGCAGTAACTTCAATACGCTGTCAGATGAAAGCCCCAGTAGGCTGCCTCTCGCCCTTAACAGTAATTCTTCCATTACATTGGACAGTGAACGCCCAGCCACGCCTCCTCTTTCCGGTGGCAGTAACACTACACGGCCTATCGAATCACCCGGCAGACCTCCCCTTTCTGTTCATGCACGATCTACTATTTCGGTTGGAAATGATGTAGGTTCAGAGACGGGCTCGCAGCTTCCCACAAGCCCTGCGGTTTCGAGAACTATAGATCCTAAGCGATGGAGTCCAACCAAATCTACCTGGTTGGAGAGCGCGCTGAATAGGCCAGAGTCTCCAAGACACAAAAAGCAACCTTCACAACAACTGTCTTGGACTAGAGATCGGCAATCAAAGGGTAGTGTCGATTTGGGCCGGAAGAATAGCTTCAAGGAAGTTACTCCCGTAGGTCTAATGCGGACTACTGCTCCTGGTGGTCATTCAAAGAGTTCAAGTGTCTCCGGAATCCCTGACATCTTCACTTCTCAGGACTCCAATGAGTCTAAAGATGAGCCAGAAAACAATAAAGCTTCAGAGACTCAAGATAGCAACGCATCTGCTGGGGACAAAACTTCGAGCACTTCTACAGATGTAGGTGTCGAACTGCAAAGCACAGAGGATGATTCCACCAAACGCTCACAAGCACCACCGTCCCTTCTCCTCACCCAGAAAAGGGTTGATTCGCCTCTCTCGTCTCCTCACGTCCCTCTGCTGAACAGACCGAAACCTAAATCTCCTGTAATAGATTTCCGAGCCAACCTCCGACGACGAGAGGTTGTCAAAGATGAGTCACGCAAGGAAGAGCCGGAATTCAAGAATATCTTTGGAAAGCTGAAGAAAACGGAGACTTCAAATTATGTCGCGCCCGACAAGCTCAAGGAAAACATACTGAGAGGCAAAGCGTCACTCAGCACGACCGGCGGACCAAAGAAATCGCAACGGGTTGACGAGCTGAAAGAAAGTATTTTGAAACAGAAGGAAGCCATGAAAGCGGGCGGGGGCTCGTTGAGACGGAATACTGCCGGGGAATTGGACGCTCCTCCCACTGCTGTGCCAGAAGCCATCGCAAAACGGAAGAATTTGACCAAGTCCAGCAGTGTCAATAATGATCTCTCCCTAGATACACCAACTTCGCCTTCCCCCGAAGAATCTGAGACGCCGCAGATTTCACAAGATACTCAACCCTCACCCCTACCCTTTCAAGAGCAAATGGACTGGGATAGATATCCCGTTACGCAAGTTGCAACTGCGGAAGAACCAAAGCCTGATACAAATTATACTCAAACCGAGACTGCGGAACCTGGGCCTTTCAACAGCGAAAAGAACGACCAAAGCGCGGGGGATCGAGTGGAAAACAAAATTGACAAATCGATATTGGATAAAAACCAGGAAATTTCAGGAGAGAAAGCCATCAAACCGGTGCGTGCTTTGCCATCGGACACTGTTGCGGAGGCAATAAATACGCCCGCTGCGAATGAAGACCCCTCTGCTAAAGGTAAACTTGCAGGGCGAATAAATCCTGCCTTAGCGGGCCTCTTATCTCGAGGTCCACCCGTTGCAGTGAATGGGTCGGGGAAAACGCTCCCAACGAATGCCTCTAAAGAGAATGGTACAGACTTGTCTAAGCATACCGCGCCACTTACGCATGCAACAAAAAACCGTGCGAGAGGCCCGAAGAGGCGACTACCGAAGGCTACCACAACAAAGGCTCCAGAGTCTAACCCCGAAGACAATATAAAACCTCAGGAAGAGTCCCCCCAGCCCTCTATTAGTAGCAAGGGCCCAGAAGCCAGCAGTTCTTCGTATTCCAGCGGCTGGCCACTTCCTGATGGAGACATTGCTACGCCAATTTCTTCAGAAAAAGGGTTGACTCAGCTTTCACCCTCAACCATGAACAAGCCCACGGAATTTAAAAGGACTATTCCAAGCACGTGTGAAAGAGACATTAAGACAAAATCTGAGGGCCACGACTCAGACACTTCTCCGAGATTAAATAAATGCATTCCATACCTCCAAAAAACACCTGTCGAAAACCTGGACAGTCTGGAAGGCTCTCCGTCAAGCAGACCAACTCCCCCGTCGAAATCTACCGCCCCCTCGACGCCCATTGTCGGTCAGGCGCGAGGCTCGCAGATCCAATACTCGTCACCATCCCCATCCCCTTTGAGGACAAGCTTCAAAGAAAACCAGATCTACCCACCGCCATCCCCTTACCGGAAGACGACTAGTGGCATTGGATTTCCCTGGTCAAAGGACTCATCCCCGCGAGACAAAGCCTTGCCATCGCCCCCTGTTCCCCCCAAGAATAACCAACCCGCTGATCAGCTTTCGTCACCGAGATCTTCGGCCTCACTTGTTCCCCAGGCCGGTGAATCGTTGGAGGCTATTTCCGCTTTCTTCAAGACGTTCCCGAGCTCCAGCAACCGTGTGGACATTGACCCGCAGTTAATGCTAGAAAGTAAACCTGACAACCAGAAAATCAGGACACTGAAGAAGCAGATGTGGGAGATCACAGGAGACGGCAAGCGACAGGATCTTCCAGTACACCAAGAATACATTCTCTATGAGGGGAGCATGTATTTGTGTGTACACTTGTTCGAAGCAGACGGCAGCATACGGTCTGAAACATATCTTTGGTGCGGTGATGATGTTTCCGACTCCGCAATCGACGATGCGCAGGCGTTTTCACGGAAGGTGGCCAGGGAAAATGGCTGCAAGCTTGAAATCATCAAGCAGGGCAAGGAAACCTCCCGCTTTATCCAAGCCCTTGGTGGCATACTCATCACACGCCGTGGTTCCAGCTCCCGGTCCAGTTCTTCTGCAATTTTTATGCTCTGCGGACGGAAGCATCTGGGCCAGATGGTATTCGACGAGGTGGATTTCTCGCGCCGTAACCTGTGCACGGGCTATCCTTTTGTGATTTCTGCCATGTTTGGCAAACTGTATCTGTGGAAGGGCAAAGGCAGTACTGCGGAAGAGATCGGAGCAGCCCGTCTCATTGGCATGGACCTTGGCCTCACTGGCGAGTTCGAAGAGGTGGGTGAGGGAGAAGAACCCGAAAGTTTTTTCGAGGTGTTCCCTCCATATGCGGAAACCGGTGATTACATGGACGCGCACTATTGGCGGCTGAAGCCCAACCATGACCATTTTCGCCTACGGCTCCTCCGTGTAGACCACGAGCTTGGCCAGCGATCAGGATTCTGGTTACGGCGATCAGGCTCGTCGTCGCCCGTGATCCGACCCAACGATACAGTCCAGGAAGTTGAGCCTTTCCGTCAGAAAGATATCACTGGGAAAGGAATCTTCGTTCTCGACGTCTTCTTTGAGATCTACGTGTAAGTGCTTCCTCTATCGAGATTGTCTTGATTTTCGTAGCCAACTAACTCTTGGTGTAGAATTGTTGGTGAACAGGCATCGAATCGACCAGCTGAGTTTGCCTCCGCCGTGGTCTTTGCCCACGAATATGGCATCCTTGCTGCATCCCTCCAGGATCGACCATTCATCCCTAAGAGTTATGTCTCGGTTGGAGGACTCCCGGATTCCTGTCGCAGTGCGTTCCGTAAATGGGAACCACGTTTACCGTCGACACCTCCTCCACGAGTCTTTCCTTTAAATGCTGCTATTGAAGCCATTCGAACTTGAGCCATTCATTTTGATCATTCGGTTATCTCGTTCTTCATAATTTTTTTTAATTGTCAATAGATTAAATGCATCTGGATTGTGCATATAGCTGGCTTGTACAGAGATGGTGGTCAATAAGGACCAACGACAGGATGGAACAGGAAAGAAGCATGATCCAAGGAGCCTTGAGATAGAGCGAATATCTACTGCATGTCTCACTGGAGTTTTTTCTTTGTTTTTTCAATAGGGATGGGTACTTTCCTTTGTTTTGAATGTATGATATTCAGGAATACGGATAGATCTCTAACACGTCAGACAAGTGGTTACATTTTGCTAAAACTTCAAACTGCGCGGCATGGAATGCTCTTGTGAATACTATAGAATCTGATCTTGGAATTCTCGAGCCTTCTTTCCTGTGTGTCTCATCTTTCACTTTTTCTCTTCTGCACATATGCGATCTTATCGTCGGTCCGACCGGCCCACACGACATCCGTCGCCGCCCTTACATCATCCGCTTTTTTTCTAGATGGGAATTAATTTTTGCATCGTACGATCAAACAATCAATCAGTCAGTCAGTTACCCCTCCATCAACAGCAATATTCCCCCCCATTGGGGCGACTATCCTGGTCCTCCCTTCTGGACATCTTTCGATTATAAATATACACACAAACAAACAATATGCCTTGATTGGTCCACCCCACCATGCAGAACCTTGACGACTCCGTCCTCCGAGAGCTCTCGCGGCTCGACCCCGCGGTACCTTTCCGCGCATACCCCAATCATCTCCATCACACGTGGGCCAGGACCTTCTTCTCGCGACCTGAACTGTATATACGACCGCAGTCGATTGCCGAGATCCAGAAAGTGGTGACGCTTGCCCGTCGATGTCGTCGTCGTCTGATCACCGTCGGCAGTGGCCACTCGCCGTCCGATTTGACCTGCACGTCGGCTTGGATGATCAATCTAGACGGTTTCGCCCGGGTGCTGGGCCTCTCGCGTGAGACGGGGATGGTGACGGTTGAGGCAGGAATCAGACTAAGGGATCTCGGTACATATCTGGAGGAGTTTGGGCTGACATTGTCCAATTTGGGGAGCATTGACGACCAGTCGCTCGCGGGAGTCATCACTACTGGAACTCACGGGAGCTCCTTGCGACATGGGTTGATTTCTGAGTGCATCACATCGCTTACCTTGATGCTGGCTAATGGTCAGTTGGTGCGCTGCAGCGCCACCAATAACGCATCTCTTTTCCGAGCGGCTCTCATCTCTCTAGGTGCGCTGGGCATCATCGTCGAGATCACCTTCAAAGCGGAGCCAACGTTCAAGATCGCCTGGCGACAGACTAGACGCTCGCTTTCCAGCGTCCTGGCTGAATGGTCAGCGGGGCTCTGGACCTCTCACGAGTTTGTCCGGGTGTGGTGGATGCCGTATCAGCAGAGTGCCATTGTCTGGCATGCTGATAAAACTGATCTGCCTCTCAAAGCCCCACCAGCAAACTTCTATGGAGAGTGGTTTGGATACCATGTCTACCATAACTTGCTTGCACTCTCGAATTATTTCCCTCGGATTCTTCCGTGGGTGGAGTGGTTGGTCTTTGGATTGCAGTACGGATTCAAACCTGAGTCCATGGTTACAGAGGCGGTGGAGCCGGCCCGTGAAGGTCTGCTGATGAACTGTCTCTACTCACAGTTTGTCAACGAGTGGGCACTGCCATTGGAGAAGGGTCCCGAGGCCATCATCCGTCTGTCTGCGTGGTTAAATGGAGACATGGAGACCGCGCAGATCCCGCTGCCGGTAGATGGGGTGTGGGTGCATTGTCCTATCGAGGTTAGAGTTTCAGACACGACGCACAGCCGGAACCCTCGCCCTTTTCTTGACCCGACGTCTGCGGATGGTCCAACGTTGTATCTCAATGCGACGCTTTATCGACCATATCTCCGGGATCCCCCGTGTAGGGATCGGTATTACGAGGCGTTCGAGTGGCTTATGCGAGAAATGGACGCAAAACCACATTGGGCAAAGAATTTCAACACGACGGGCCCGCAAGAGCTACGAGAGATGTACGGCAAGGACATGGACGACTGGTTAACAGTGCGGCAAGAAGTCGACCCTGATGGCATGTTCCTTGGCGAATGGCATCATCGCAATCTTGCTCTGCTCGGTGCAGAGAATGGATCAGTCTATGTAAAGCCGGCCATTCTGCCTTTACTGGAGCACGAGAAGGCCCGTCTCAAAGCGGATGTTCGCGGAGCCGGGGATGGGATAGAATGGATTGGAGACAGGCGATGGCTGGTGAACACAGGGAACCAGGATTTTTCATCCAGTGGAGAGAAGAGCGGCCATCTTGTCTCGGAGGGGGCGAATGCCAGCTCTCCCACGACGGCAACGAGCGAGGAAAGTTTTGACCTTCTGGCTGCTGGTGAGGCTAGCATCATTCTTCCAGATGACCGCCTGTAGCCTGATGGTATTTGTCCGAATACAATCTCATAAGGCAACAAAGGGAAAATTCTTGTTTATTTTTTATTTTTTTTTTCCCGATGTCCCCAAGTGGCAGAATAGACGGTTCAGATGTGGCCACCAATACACGTTACGTTGTTTCGTTTCTTATTATGGATATTAATTCTCTTGTCCCCAGTTCCGTGGTTTTTTACTTTTTCCTGATTAGCCATTATTGTTTGCTTCAAGTCAGGATTAGGCTCGGCTTCCAGTGAGCACCAACGGAACCATGATTACTCCGATCCTCGCCGGTTTTTGTCATTGGATCGACAATTCGGGCGATTTATATTATTTATCAGGTCTCTCTATTGCCCAGGTTGTCGTCAGGCCTAACAGCCAGGGCTTATCAGGGCACTATATTTGGCGGTTAGCCTTTGGAGGACCGGTTGTCCGCTGGAGATACCATGTACTGTACATAGTGCACAATGTCATGTATATCCCAAGTGTCACGGTGGCTGTGTTCCTTGCACTTTGAAAGCAAAGCAGACGGCAAAGTAATAACACAAGGCATTGTTATGCGGCATAGATTTGGCTAAAATGGTATGTCCACTGAAACTGTCGGCGAGATGATTCAAGGCTCCTCCATCGTACGGCAAGTATGTATGTACATGCACAGAGACTTTCTGCCTGATTTATGTAGGGAAGACTGGCTGTATGCATTGATAATCTTTTAAGCATCAGCACTGTCATCCCCACACGTCCCGTACATGCCGGGGGGGTTATGCTATGAACTTACTTAGATTCAATGGACACTAAGTTCCAATCTAGCATTGTGCCCCAGACTAGACATGAAGCTCATGGACTCTTCTCATTGCTAGCCTCTTGACTTCCTCGTGAGCCCTGTGTAAGTAAAGAAATTACGTCGGTTTATGTCATAATATGCAAAGAATGCCAGGATGGGGCGGCTTGGGAGACGAAGAAGGATCTGATGGCTTACAAGGTGACATCAGAAGACCCTTTCTTTTCTGTAACCATTCAATGCATGAGGAGGAAAGAGAGCGTGGGAGAGACGGAGAGAGAGAAGAGAGAAAGAAGGCCGACGAGGGATGAATTATCCCGTGAGACACCATTGGCTCGACTTTCCTCTGCCGACCCAATCTTTTTCTCTCTTCTCTTCACCATTACCATCGTCCAGCATCATTATCTTCTTTCCAGTCACTACGTTGGTGAAACCCCCTAGAAAAAAATACGGGATACTGAACGAGAGGAGAATGAATTTAGAGCAAGGGGCAAGGATTCCAACGGAAGGGTGAAGGAGAGCATGGAGGAGCGAGAAGAACAGCAGAAGACAGAATAAGAGCTATTTCAGCTGCGATTCTTCTCGAACATGCTGCATATCTGATTATCCTTTGGGGAGAAACAGTAGCCACTACACACTATGTACTCTGATTCATCCTCGAGGGGATCAGATCGGCGAAGAGATGCCTTTCATAGCCCCTCCTCCGTCTCTCAAGATTCCCCGCAGGTGGACGGACCTATTTTCCCTGCACGCACAGCCTCCATTGGCTATAGAGAGGCTCGTCAAGGTCCCTCGGCGCAAGTGTGTGAGAGAGGGGGGTATTGTTGTCCTAGCCCTGGCACTTAGTACCTGTGCTAAAGAGGGGATTGAAGGAAGCCCATCCCTGCTCTGCCATATCGATTGATCCAAAGTGACATGCGCCCTGAGAAGCGAGAAACTACAGATTTTTTGCCTTTTTAGGCTTGGCTATATTCAAGGACGTGCGACTAGACCCCATATACTAGTGCGTTCTTTATGGACCCAAACATGCATAAATATATACGAAGTCAAGACTTCTGTACAACCTCTTTCTGTGCACCCCAGACAAATTCGTGTCTATTAGGTTAAGTGTTCCGTCATGTACAATGGATTTCTTCCCATCCGGAGGGCCACTAGCCCTGCAAATACTTTTCCCAACGAACACAGAAGGACTGTTCAACCTCATCGCTCCATCAGGCGATAGCTTAGGGCCAACACCAACAAGATCGACTCCTTTTCCACTCTGCGTCTTGCACGACAGCGATCCCCTGTCGTTGATACTTCAGGGATGTGACTCTTAGGGGCAAGAGCCAATCAGCACGCCCAGTCAATGCTCCCTGGACGCATCACTCCAGTATCTTTGGAATTCTGTGTGACGAAATCTTGGTAGGGAAATTAAGAACACTGCTGAACTCGATCCGATCTTGCCGCGGTGGTTATCTGACAGAGATTCTCGAGGGGCATATTCGTGCAGCTCCAAACCTAATGGTGATGACTTGTATACCACAGTATCGTACAAGACTGAACTTGACAACATGTAACGAAACCCGTCTATTGGATCAGCAGTAACTTGGCGTGGCGCTGGGTCAAGAGGAGGCACGCGCTCACCCTCTGCATACGATAGTCCCAAATGTGATGGTGACGGTTCATCCGTGCGCCAATGACAGCTGTTCAAGCAACCGATAGGCGCCCAAGGGGCACAAGCTGATTCCTTCACCGATTCGAAATACATTGATCCTGCAGCACATGCTCTATGCCTTGGACGTGCCTTTCCTGTATTCGGTGATGTGATGCAAGCATCACAACAGATTAAGAAAACAAATTCTGTCCTCCTTCCCCGAACAACTACAGGATGAGACCTGCAGACCTGCACGGCCGCTTCGATTACGGGGAGCGACAGTCACTGACAACGCGCTCTAGCTTGTGTGATTTGGATGTTTTACTCTGCGTTTCGCTGCCCAAAAGACCGGGGTCATGTCATGGCTGCTGCCGATGGACAGCGCTATGGTAATGTCTTTCGCGGTGACGGCTCGGACCGTCGACAGCCATGACCTCTACCGTGTCGTGGCCAGCGAAGCTGGTCATCTGTATCGGGGAAGGAGGGAAAAAAAGAGCTCAATGAGCCAGTTTCTACCGCGGGCCCCCCTCCCTGATGTACCTCCAGGCTGCCACCGCCACAAAGGTCCGAGGGACGTCGAGCGACCGTACCGGTTGATATTGTGACAGAGCGCGATCCACGTCACCAACAGTGTACATTGGTGTACATCAAGGTGGGGAAAGATTGCCGTGTATATATGCGGGGCATTTGGGAGACAGTCGCTTTTCTTGATAAACATAATATCAGCAGGTCGAATATGACTTGAGGGTTGATCTCTCAGCCTCTTCACCCCTTACCAATCTCTGGTACTCCCCACCTGCTTGCTTCTCTTGAGCCTGCTCATCTACCCCTCCCCCTCCTTGGATTATTACTACTTTTTTATATATATACTATATTTGTTTTTGCGTTTGTTTTTGCGTTTGTTTTTTTTTTTATTTTTATTTTTTTATTTTTTTTCCACAAAAAACGACCTGCTTTCCTGGCAGCGTGTGCTAGATTGGTCAGAGCAGTTGCTCCTGTCTTCTGAGCTCGTTAATCACCAAAACGTGCAATTGCTTTCTCCATTTTGCTTGTTGTATTTGTCATATCGTGAGATCATCCTCTCAGCAGAATGCTGCGACAACCAAAGCTTCGTCCCAAATCCCACATTCCGGGTTTCCCAGATGCCATGTATGACCTGGCAGCAGTATCGTCCTTGTCCCAGTTCGAATCTCGCGCAGGGATCGGAGACGAGAAGCAGGAGCAGCGGGTCTTTCGCGTCAAGCGCAAACATGTTTTGAAAGCGTGTGATCGTTGCAGGGTCAAGAAAACCAAGGTTGGTGAAGCTGTGGAAATACCTGGATCTTTATTCTTTCTTGCATCTCTTGGGGCTCCGTTATGAGATTCAATGGCCAGCCATACTCATTCATATCAGTGTGATGGGAAGCAACCATGCAACCGCTGTTCGGCCTATAATCACCCTTGCCTGTTCCGAGAGAGGAAAGCAACGCAGACGAAAGTATACTCCCGGGGGTAAGATTGTTCAAACGGTTCCTTGCGTTGAACGAACCATGGCTAACAAGTCCCTCATGTCTCCTCAGATTCGTTGAGATGTTGGAGTCGCATCATTCACTGGTCGTGAAAGCACTGCAAAAGCTGTACAAGCTTTGCTTAAACAAGGAAGGATTTCCAGGAGAGCCCCTCGTGGAAGCCCCTGACGGCCATCCTCTTACGCATGCGATCCTGGACCGTTTAGGACTGATCAAGCAGGCCGAGGAGAATCCAGAGGAACCGGATGAGGACACTGAAGAACTTCAGTATCTGCGATTTTTGTCCACCTCCACTGACTGCAGCGCTACGACAGACCCGTCCCCAGAGCCTACAACTCCACCCGAGCCTTCGTCCAGCAACTACAGCCCCACTAAGCTTTCCCCTAAGGTTGGTGATGCCTGGAAGTGGGACTTTCAGCACGTTCACCCGGTCAACCACCCAGGGCAGTATTCAAGCTACCCTTCTTTCCACGGCATGCCCATGCCACGGCCAACGGTGATGCCAATCGGCCCTAGGGCCGAGCCCAAATGCGCAGACGCCATACATCCAGGACTAGACTCTGAGCATCCATATTTCTACTATACGGGCAGCAACTGCCATGGAGAGTCAAAGGGCCGCCTCCATTCGGATGTGGCTACCGAACCGGGACGCCAACAGATAGCAGCAGCCGCCAACATGCCCGTTGGTATCCTTGGAGACTATAACCTACATGTACAGGAACAGCATCAGACCCTCTATTCTAGTCTGGAGCCGAACTGGCATTTCCCTTGTGGATAGCCCCGGCCAACTATCCATTTTCCATACACTCATCATTCTCTATTCTTGTCTTCTTGTTTCCGGTATCACATACACAGGAGCCCACCACTCCCTACAAACCACCTTCATTCGTCCCTGCCTATATGGCGTATACATACCCATTTCATGATTTGAAATCTGTTCGTCCCCAGATACATACCTGTATCAAATACGCGCGTAGTGAATACCTCTCTGTCTCGAGACAAGCAGCTTTACTCTGCTGACCCGACCAGGGTCAAGGTATTGCTCTACGATTTCTTTATTTTCATTACCGTGTCTTCGATAACTTGCCTACATATATATAGCCAAAAATCCGCAAGGGTTTCCACCCTCGTTCTCGCTGTATTCAGTATGGACACTCTTCTCTGACCTCTTTGTTTGTCTGTGTCCTTTATATATTGTCTTGGAGCTATTTCTACTACAGCTTCCAATCAAGCAAGGCATAAACAGACAGGAAATAGATTAAAATCGAAGCTACGCTTACAACCTATGGGCCATTGAGGGTATCAATAAAAAAAGGTCCACAGTGGAAGAAAACACAGAGAGACAATTTTGAATATGAATAGCCTAAAAGGACAACCCTGATGATAATCTAGTTCAATGCATAAGCCTAATAAAAAAAAAAGGGGGGGGGGAGAAAATAAAACCCCTTCAAAAGGAATGATAAAAATTTATACTGAAATCGAAATCCGTTACAAGAGAAATAAAGAATTATAAATGAAAATTATAAAATAGATGCACTGCACAAATACAAGGCCAAAAGACATGTATGCATGGAACAAGGGAATCATTTCATGACCGACTGCATTCTCTCTCTCTTTCACCATCATCCGTTCCGTCCCAAATACTTATCCATATAGTCTAGCTATTGCTTGCTTTGGTTGAATCATAGATCATCCGATTATGGTCATTTAGGGATCGTGTGATAGTACCAGGTGTTTGAGAGTTTTGTTTCGCTCACTTTTCTTAACCTTTATTTGGTCTCTTTTTCCTCTCTTATTTATCATATCCATTTCAACGGTTTACCAACTATCGCTCTCGCCGTTTAGTCATCAACATCTGTTTCTGTGTTGGTATCGCTTGTATCACCGGCATCTCCATCAGTGTCACTTTCATCGTCGCTGGAATCATCATCGGGCTTTTTGCTCTTTTTGGTTTGTCCGCCCTTCAGCGCTTGCATTTGGCCAGCGAGGGAATCTAATAGAAGTCAATTATTATGCCAAAGAGGAAGCTTTATATATTAACGGGGGAAGTTTACCTTCTTCAGGATCGCTAATATCATCTTCCACGTCCAGGGCAGCTGCCTTGGCGGGATCGTCAATGTGCAAAGTAACTTCCATCTTGGTGTCGAGACCAAGGTAGCTGTCGCAGAGCATGTTCATGGCAAACGTAAAGTCGCCGACCTGTGGGGGGGCCTGGAATTGCATCTTGAGAGTCTGGACGTTGAAAGTAGGCTTTCCGGCCTCGTCGAACAAAGGTTTATCAAAGGTAGTGAAAGTGAAGGGGGGAACGGCCATCTTGCCTTGCTTGGGATCGGTTAAGAAGATATGCCATCTGGGAGAGTGATCGCGCGCCAGGTACGGGGCATGCGCCAAAGGTGGTTGAACGGAGTCCAATTTCTTGTCGCCTTTCTGGCCATTGGCACCCTTCATATTCCCCTTCTTTCGGCCCATGAGAGCATCGAGATCGTCCTCATCCGGGTCCAGATCCTCCAGATCCGCTTGGCTGGGCTCTGGGACATTGGTGTAACCCGGGGGAATGAAGCGCGCTTTGACGACCAGCTGGACCAGACTGCTTGGTGTAATGACCTTTTCGCCCACAACCTTGAAAAATGCCTTGGAGACTTCAAGAACGGGGAGTTGCTTGGCGACGGAAACAGCGGTTGCATATTGCTTTTCGGACAGAAGACCGGCGCGAACAGTGAGGCTACGACGCTTTTCTTCCGGAAGACCCATAAACTTTTGTACGTTATAGTGACTCTTAGCATCATCGCCTTCGATAGACTTTACAACCTTTTCTGTAAAGTAGGGCAGTTGCAGAAGCGGAGACGCGCCCGGGGCAACGGCTTGAATCAGGTGCTGTGATGTCTTGAAAGCACCCAAAATTGGACGAACGATACCGAACGCGAGCGCAATAGCAGTGAACGACTCGTTAAGGGCCAGCGCCGTGGGAGCTATTGCGTACTTCTCTATGGACGCAAGAGTATTAGTCGATCAAAACTAGTATTAAGCAGTCAGAAAGTGACTTACCTCCGTTAAGAGTAGTATCGTCCAAGTCAACCCGGCCCAAGTACGCCCACAGCAATGCCAGTGCCTTGCGTCTGGTAGAATCATCAAGTTCCTGAAGGTTCTTGCGGTCCTGGGTGGAGAGAACCGAGGCGTCGTCCGCCAACACCTTCTTTTCAAGTTTTGCTAGGCCGGCTTCCGCCTGCGATCCCTTCAGCGTCTCCTTGAACTCGTCGCCAGAAGATAGAGCGCTAACGATTGCGCCATCGACCATGTCCTCCTTGTACTCCCGAAAAATATTTCCTGCGCTAGCCACTAGGACTCTTTCCTTCGTGTAGCGTTGCGAGCCATACCACCACCGACCAACGATGTACGGGAGAAGAACACCAAGCAGGCCGCCATAAACCAACAACACGAATTTCCCATTCCCTTCCGTGACAATAAACTGGGGAAGTGCAATGCCAATGCTGAAGCTTTGCTTGCCATCGGGGTGGCCGTATTGAATATAGTTGTTACGAACTTCCTCATCGGTCAACGCCTTGTAGGCCTTGGTGAGTTCGACGAAGCGCTCATTCAGAGTATCAATAGTCTCGTTTTTGGCGGGATCCGGTCGGACCTTGTCCGGATGGTAGATAAGGGAGAGACGTTTGTAATGCCTGGAAATGGCTTTCTCATCGGCGCTCTGTAATTAGAGCCTTCATTAGTAAAAGTCCGGGACATGAAGGAGGACAACCAAAAGGACATGACAAGAGGGAAAAGAGCATACCCTTGAAATGCCCAGGATATCATAGGGATCCCATATTTTCGGCGCCGTTCTCGCCGTCACCATGATCAGATAAACCATCCATGCCATGACCGCATATCCTAGGATGACAGTGACTATGCGCTTAATCCGGCGCTCCTTCCGCAGGCGTTTCCGCTTCTGCGCCTCGACGAGGTCGCCATGTTCGGGCTTAAAGTCCGATTTTATTCGAGGGGCGGTGTTCTCGAGCTCTGCAGATGTATTTCCGAGCGTTAGATACCGAACAAACATTATGCGAAACAAATACACTCACCCTTGCTCGGCTTGAGGAGGTTATATGTTAAAGGGAGCGTGACGAGACCAGAAATGGTCAAGATGAAGAATGGGAAGAATTGCCCCTAAACATGACTGTTAGTTCACATGTTCCGCGCCAACCACGTTCTGTTGAAAGAATCCAACCTTGTCATCATAATTGTAGTCTTGAGACATGATGAAGTTGATTCACAGCAGTGCTCAATCGCCCGCGATGGGCAGATTTCTAGCGGACGGAGAGTAGCAGTAGTAAAACGTCGGAGATAGAAAGCACGGAGATCGATAGTTCCCGCAGGGGATAATAAATGCTCTAAAAACCAGATCAGGAGGCCTTTCCCATGGGCATGTTATGTTGTCTTCAACAGTGGCAAAACAGGATGGGAGACAGAAGAGAAGACCAGCCAGCATGCAGCATCTCCAGGTTGGAAGTATTATTATCGTATTGGAAGTTCTGATCGACCGTGTCCTTTACGAGAGATGAAGGTCCCCACCGCCTGCCTCTTTTGGGTTTAGTACTCTTGCCATAAAATTGAGGCCCCCCAGGGGTGTTTGTTCTCATTTTCTTTCTTTCTGAATTAGTTTACTCTCGTCTACCCTAGAGATCCTACACTCGGATTTGAAGATATCCACTACAGCGTCATGTGGATGTGAAAAATATATATGTATTTGATTGCACAACGTGGATGGTACTAACATGTACTCCGTACTGCTACTACTGAACTATTTTCCTGAGCTGAACGGGGGGCATCAGGCAAAGTCCGAGGTTCATTCATCCAAAACCAACCCGGTCATCTCATTTCCACTGAAACAAAATTTTCCATAACGTGGCATGTTCGCTCATAGACTTTTGTCATTTTTTCCTTTGTCGGTCATCGGCAGTAGATCCCGCGAAACTGACGGGACGAGATTCCAACGTGCATTCGATGGCGGAAATGCCGTTCAGAACCCGCCTCTTGTGCGGGGAATTCAAGCGTCGGAGATCAATAGAAGACCAAACGCGAACTCAACCCACCCAAGTGGACTGGGACTTTCAACATGGCCTCGCCATCGCAAGCCGCGGGATTTCTCTGTACCAGGTATCACATGGCCAAGTCTTATAGACCAATCCAATGTCCATAGAGGACATCTTCATTGCTGCAAGTCGGCGACATGGGAGAACCCATGGAAACTGGTACCCCAACAGTTTTCGGCAAGTGGGATATTCTCGTCTGCGCATGTCGATGATGATGCGGATGGGTGCCATCTGGCATCCAACAGTGGATATGTCCATTTGTTTGTTTTTTTTCTGTAATTGAAAAAGCCCCCCTTCAACTTTTATCTTCCGTTTTCTGGACAAGGAAAAAAAGAAAAACTTCTCATCAAATAGAGGCAGCCAAGCTAAAGTCACCCAGGCAATGGTGTCAAACATTGTGAACTAGAACCATGAGTCAGTTTATGGGATTCTCATATCTCCAGTGGAGGAATGAAGCACTCACGAGTCGATATAGTCAAGCCCACCAAAGTACTCAAGCATGCGATAGCAAAGGCCGACATCATCCCCCGGTACACCACCAAAAACGCGATACCTCTCTGCTTCCAGTTCGACGGCCTCTAGCCGCGAAGTGCGATCACGTTTCTGCCATATCATATACCCATTGTGCCAGGTTGGGGCGGGGTATATCGGTATGGCGTCTAGTGAGTCATAGGCGGCAATGACCGTATGGGAGGTAGCTGGATTCAGACAGCTGGCCGAAAGTGAAGCAGGCTCGACGGAGGAGATATCGATGCTGCGATTGCGGGATCGTGGTCGTGTACGACGTCTGTTGTGCCTCTGGCCCATTCTCTGTCTTGCTAACTTGGGGCGGACGCAGAACCTCTTTTCTTTTTTTGTTTTTTTTTTGTCCCTCTTCAATCAAACGAAGGGAGTGGGAGGCGTCAAACACAACTTTTTGAATATATGAGAAACGTAACGGCGTTAAAAACGTCAAGATGTAAAGATGGGAGTGACCATCACCCCCTTGACAGGATGAGATGAGGTAGGGAGAGAACAAGCTCCTCGGAAGGCCAGCACCGGGCACGACAGAGGTATATATACAACAGACGTTACGACATGTCCGGGATGAGTTGGCTGCTGTGGTGTGACTCACTATGGCCCAATAAGGTTACGGAGCCAAAGAAAAAAACAGGAGAGAAAAATCTCATTCATCCGAAAGTGGATCCACCCCTTTTCGGGGAGGCACAACTCCACCGTCTGCAGTCTAGAAGCAGGAATACCTCACCCAGGAGGAGAATGGTGAGAAATGGTCTCATGGAGTTCAGGGATTGCGTTGGTTTCTCATTATGTCGTGCTACCTGAGTCATCCGGGTCGTCCTTTTTTTCTCCTTCTTTCAGTTCAGGGTCCTTCCTTTTTAGTACTTTACCCATTGCAAAGATTTCACAATATTTTCGTCGCCTGAATTCTAAATCCAAAGGATCCTGGAGAAATATCCCATCCTTGAACGACTAAAGGGACATCGCTGGCTTGTTCCCCTGTCATGTACGGTGGATGCGAATTTTTAACTCTCGGGACTAGATTCAATTACAGGGATCTATGCATGTAGATCAGGAGACGTTGGAAAATCCATTATTACTCTTCAAAAAAAAAAAAAAAAAAAAAAAAAAAAAAAAAAAAAAAAAGAGAGAGAGAGAGAAAAGATTAAAAAAGTGGTATGACGCTGAATTCTCGTCCGTCCCGAAAGCATGACGAATAACAGCCCATGCCGTGATTTACCGGATGCTGCCGTACGGACCGATCGGCGCTAGGACAACACATCCTCTTAATAATAGGAAAGAAATAGTTAACTACGTAGTTAAGAAGAATATGAGAAGAAATTTTCGTAGCTAGGCAGTGATGAGAAAATACTGATGTAACCAGGAGACCCAAATAACTTCTAGCAGTACCAGGACCGGTGGATCCCATTCGGAGGGAGAGAGCGATACTCCGACCTCCCTTGTCGGTATGATTTAATATTTAATGAATTAGGGTTAGTTAGTTACGTCGGATTTAGCTGATGTAAGGGGCAATCATTGATTGTTCCCATTTAATTTAGGGTTTGAGAGGTCCAGCTCCAGCCTGTTCTGGATGTTTCTGATTCTGCATTCTGGGATAGACCTAGTCAATTGACCCCGTTCTTTGATGCTATTTATTTCGTAATGCGGGCGATGCCTTTGTACATACCATTGCAAGAGTGGGTTGCGCAACGGGAACAAGTCTACTCTAAGTCTCTAACAGCAATTCGTTTCGGGACAACAATGCTATCAACAATAGGTACTCCGTAGTAGGCAACCAATAATTCGCTCAAACCTAACAGGCCTTGTGCATGATGCCACCTTCCCGAAGGAGTATCCCACCGGTGCTGAGTCTGTACTCTGTACACCTCTCCTCAAACAATAGTGGCACTGCATCTTGCATTGCCAATGTAAGGACATTTGGAGTTCTTCGGCAGGGCCCATTCCACCATTCAGCGTGCATCGTCTGTCGTTTCATGCTTGTTGCCCTTGGGCTGTGTGACGTGGTACCGCGGAATCTGGGCCAAAACCACGATTTTTTTTTAATTCGTTTTGCCACTTTTAGAGGTCCGGGCGAGGTTGCGAATACTATTCCAATTCCGGCGGGTACGCCTTATGCCATGCTGTCATTCAAGACATCTAGAACGTCCTTATTAGCTCCGTAGCTTCTAGGTAGAACAATTTAAGTGCATGCAAACAAGGGTCTTGGAGCAAGTCCTAACAAAGGATACTTTTACAGTAGGTAATATTAGAGGTTGTAGAGGATGTTCGAAGAATATATCAATAAATAAAGTACTAAAGTCAGATTTACTATAATAATACGGTAAAGAGAATTTGCAGCTTTTATGTTTGAAAAACTTCTCACAGAAACAAGTGTCTTAATACTATACCAGCTCTTTATTGATGGACCCGGTCTGTACCGAAATATGTCTGGGGGGGAACAGGGAGCAGGCGCCAACCAGTCTTAATACCTTTGCTGGCATTGTGGCACCTAGTAATGCGTGCGTCGAATGACGACGACGATACACGGCAAATTGAGCCACATGAGGACAGAGAAGAGGACAGGGCGAAACATAATTGTACGTATTATCAAACTAGAGATTTAGAGCGGCACTTATATCAAAGCATCCTACATATCAAGGCTAACATTCAAGAGTACTGAATTTCATATAGCAACCCAGCTTGCCTTATTCGGGTCCAAACAGAAGCTAGTGCAAAATAAAAAAGACACTTTCAAGTTCCCTGAAGAAGCATCAGCTTCCTACCATTGCTAGTTGTAACAGGGCCCAGATCCCCGAAATAATGGTAAGCAAGGTGTCTTTCCCAATTCGAAAATTGGCTTTTCCTCTACATCCAACCACCCAGGTCTTATAATCTCTGATTAAAAACCACGGACATGTCAAAGTCAATCCACAAATCCTTTTAGAATCAAGATCAAAGACTATCTTGTTTCTTGGTTGAGAATCAAGATGAACTCTATTCCCCCGCATTAGAGAAGTCCATGGATCTTCCCGCTGTTAGCTCATGTCTCGGGGCAGATCTCCCGCTAGCCGGCTACATACTGCAGATAGATGATCGCATATGATGGGTGCTTTTCCTCGGAGAAGAAGCCCAGAAATGGGAACTGTATCGTTGTCATCGATACTTTTCATAGTACCGTAGAATTCTGTGTCAGTCCATAGGCCCATGGGCCCTTCTGGGCCTTCAGCTGGCACTTACGGAGGCTTCTCTCGTTTTTGATGTATCCATTTATATATTTCTAAAGTATAATCTTGGTTACGATGCTATGGTTTGTTAGCTTGGGACCATCTCGATAGAATTACCATGGATATCTACTTAGGGACATAAGTATGTCCTCGGATTATCACTAATAGGACAAGGGATATTCAATGAGACAATTCTACCAAGAGAGGAAAGACTAACATTTCTGGTCCAGTCGACGCTCTTGTTGATGTAAATCAACCTCAGGCAGACTGAAGATTCGAAAGTATGAAATAGACTGCATTCGAAAATCATGACCTGGAGTTGGTTTGTTTTACACTTTGCTATTCTCTCCAGCTCCAGGCTAGTAAAGGTTTCCCGGACCAGACCGGAGGCCGGGAAAGTAGTAGAATCCCCGTTGCTTCGCTATGGATATCGAGAAGAATTCGTTTAACGTAAACATCAAAGTCATCAACACCGTGGCAGTCTGCGACCTTTTTTACTTGCGGACTGCTCGACCTTTCTTCGTTTGATTCGCCAGCCGTCGATTCTTCGTGCGTGCAGTGTCCGAAATGCATTGACGGCTCAAGAGTGTTTAGAAACTGTGCATTGGCGATGGGCACTTGCAAGATTTCAACACAAGGCATGGAGAGTACATCCGAACGTTCATCATTTGAATTGCCATGCTGAACGCAAGGCTGAAAAGAGGATTATTGCCAGTCCATTAGCTCGACAGCATCTCCCCATTCCCCTGTGACAAGGTAATTGATTCTATTCCAAGCTTTGCTGCGTAGCTTGGGGTTTTGACAGGAGATTTTTCTTGCACTGCAGCCGTTCTATCCGCGATCGAAGAGGCTCAGCTGGCCGAGACGCCTAGCGAGCGGAGAGGTTTTCTTTCGCCTAGGCTTTTTGAATATTGGAAGTTGTAGTTGTTAACTAATAACTCTTTCCAGAGGGCTTCGCTTAGTTCTTTGAAATGTTCCTGTTTTTCTTAACGCAGTCTGTATGCTGCTCCCATAGCGGACATGGTGGAGTCAAATCGACTGGGTGCAGAATCGACGGTCGTTTGCTGTCAGGGTGGTATGGTGGTATCCATTTCATTTCCTACAGGCGGACGATCGAATACCGTGTGGAAGTTCAAGACCAGTGGAGCACCTGTGACACCAGAGGAATCTACCGTGATTATCTGAGCCGGATAGGGCTGCTGGGCGGCGACCAGCTGCTATTTTTTGATCACAGTCTTCTGTCAGGTCCGATTGATGGTGCCGCCAGGTTCATCGTTAACATCATCATCCGGTCTAATGTCAGAGTCTGAATCATCCAGTTTGTGCCGACCATTGCCGAAGAAGACGAGGAGGACAATCCTAGTTTTCCCTTGAGAGTTCTCAAACCACCATCAGGCATCTTGCCGCAGTTGTGTGATTGACTCCGAGACCCCAGTCTCAATTACCAGAGTTGGCCAGCCGTCAGGTCTACCTCCTACGTGCTGTCGTGTGGGAGGCCAAATGCATTCGTCAGGCTCCTTACCCTTGCTACCATAGGCTGCTGTGTGGATCGTGGACTTGCCAAACATCATGTCAGTTCTGGGAACGCCAATTGCGCGACAGATGACATCGATTTCGTGTGCTAATGCAGACGTGTAGCTGTCGTGCTGTGCTGTAGGACCACCTTGATTAGGGCGGCAGTGCCTTCTCACAGGAATCGGTACTCGATGCCATCCGACCAGTCCTATTCTGCGTCCAGCTGCTGGTGAACACCGTCTGACATTCCAAGAATCTTACCATCCCCATGGTTCACATTCAAGGTATCAAGGACCTGCTTGGCAGCAACTCTCAGCTGTTGGAAGCAGTGGAAATGAACTTGAACATAGTCTCTAGGCAGGCCATTCATGACACTACAGGAGCCTGTTGTCTGCCAGATTTGAGACATTGTGTCGCTATTTTAGCGGTTTACCTGACTAATTGTCATGGCTGTACTTGATTTGATTCCTTCCGGCCGGCTCCGTACGTCCCACATAGAAGTCTCTTTTCTATAGAAATCAGTGGGTTGAGCGGGGGTTCTTGGCACGGGGGCTGGGAAGATATTCTATAGTTCTATCATGTTAGTGGATTTGTGGGCAGTAAAGAGAAGAATAGACTCACGGAATGGTTGTTACTTAAAACACGCCGAGGGTTGGGCTATGCACGTGGAAGTTTTAGAGGGTGTCTTACCTCTAGGCTGTCTTTGGGATTCTTTCTTCTCTACCTACGAGGGTTCACGTCCCAATAAATGTTTGTCCGTCGATAATAAATCTGCAGGTAAAAAAGATGAGTCGATATGCCATCCCAAAGTTCAATAAAGCCTTTCACCCAGTTTCCAGAGATAAAAGACCACTTTAGTGGAACAACAGCATTGACGTTAGTTAGAGGCTTCCCCGTGAGAGATGGGCCTGTCACCTGGTGGATTTGAAATATTGTGCCGGTATTCCAGAGACTCACCTGGCTAATTACTGACCTTAGTCGCTTTTTAATCTAGTGGATTGTATTGAAACATTGTAGCTGCTGGGCCATTGTTATTAGCACCGGGCAGAAAAGGAGGGTGACGAGTGGGAAAGGCCACATTTATATCGGGCAAATGAAGGAATCACTTAGGAATACATGGTCTCACTTAATCTAGTTTAAGTACATGTAGTGTGAATAAAGTAGCAGACAAGTGAATCCTAACCATATGACTTTCGTATATATTGAAATTAAGGAAGAATGGCGTAAATAGTTACTCCAGTTATACTAAAACCTATCATCAGTCCCTATCAATATTACTAAGAACAACATCTGACTCCCCATATTGATTATATTCCAGTCTTCCATTGAGCTCCGTAGATATCCCTTATTTGGGTGTACACGGAGTTGAGAGTTCCTGGAAAGACAGCATACTATAAAACATAGCAACAGCTGGGTTGCTAAAGTGATTTGTCGCAATACCTGAAATATTGTATTCCAGTCAATGGTCTTATGTTTCAAGACATGGCGAATATAGTATGCATTCAGCTGGTCCTAAGAGTGTATTCGGTGAATATATCCAGGTGAATAAGAATGCAGACTGTCACTGATTCTCGAAGATACAAGCTGTCTTCACCATAGCATCTAGTTTATTGCCCTATGGGATAGTATGGAAAGTAGTTGAATGTCTGTGAAGGAATATCTATTTCTGCCGATAGTTAATCTTTTGAAGCATCTGTTCTGCTCAAAATCTACGCTCCTACAGCTCACCAGGGAAAAGAAAACGAAAGAAAGCTTTCAGAATTTTATATAAGGATCTTCCGTGAGATATCCTATTCCATCGAGAATAAGGAAGGCCACAAGCAGCCGAATTAACTCTTCAAGAAATTTTCAACCCTGAAGACCACTGTTCTGAGAATCTAGAAGACTACTAAACCATATGGAGCAAGCCCAACAGTACTTGGAACTAAGAAAAGGGAACACACTTTCTTCAACAGAGAAAGTCTGCCTCTTCCGTCTGTTGGATGGTGAGGTATGAATGCGGCGTGGCCTCTAGACCATTGGTTTAAAAACACCTCCTCCATGTCAGTATCACCGTGCAGTACCTATGATTGAATGATGTACCTGCCTTATACGCTCTCATGTCGCAAGACAGCATCCTCAATTTACGCAAAAGGTGCAAGTTCATTTCAGTGATTGATGCGCCTAAGTTTTTCTATCAATGGAGCATCTGCTTTTGTAGTCTATATTGACGATATCATGTTAGCTTCGCAAAACTTTGAAGATCTCATCTTTCATCTCGAAAGTGTCTTCGATAAGCTGAAAGAATTGAAACATCATGTTGTCTCCAAAGAATTCATATGTCGACTTTCCGCCTGTGGCTTTTAGGAGAGCATGTAGATGCATTCGGGATGTCTATACTGGATAAAAGAATCGAGGATATCCAAGCTCTGAGGTTCTCGAAGACTTTAAGAGAGTTAGAATACTACATCGGTATGTCGGGATACTTAGGGTACTATGAACACTTCGCACAAAATAGGGCTCCTTTAGAGAGAAGAAGGCTGAGCTTTCGAAGGGAGCACCTCAAAAACAATGGTCTCGGCAAACAGCCTACCTCAAACCTTTCGCATGGGGAATACAGCACAGTATTCGGGATTTTGTCAGCCGGAGGGACCAACTGTTGCAGGCTCGACAGCCCTTATTGGACTCTCGCAGGAGCCATCCGCGTGTGGCTCGAGAGATACCAACTGAGAAAGGGCGTCGATTGCGGGACACGTCAATTCTTACATATCCTTGACCTTGTGAGAATTGTCTAATCCAGTATCGCGAATTTTTGCTTTCTTGTTTTATAGCACGCGGCCTTCGGTGAAGCCAGTCCTACAAAGGAGTAATATCCTAATGATAGTTTCAGCAGTTGGAGAGTTAAATGCACTGTTAAGTCTTGACTGTAGCTTTCATTCCCCTTCTGAACGCCACCTTATTAAAGGTAAACTACATATGAAAAGATTCTAGGGGGAAAGTAGCAGTGATAAAAATCATAGTGTAGTTTGGTTAACTAGTTAGTTAGCTCAACGTTCTAAGGGCTGATATAATCAGCTGACTAAGGATAGCTAATGTCCCATTTGTCTTTATCGCGGATTGATAATCAGGGACCTTTTTCTCCTGGACGAGCTGAAGTTATTCTATCTGGCGTTATTGCGCTCATCTGGCTTTATTCCCGCATGTAGATTCCTCGTGCACCCTAGCTCGCCATTCCTATTATGATCTAACCTGCGACCTTTTGCGATGTCTCCATACCGTGGACTCTTTCGAGTCCTGTCCCTCGTCGTCGCCATCCTTTCCATTCTAGTGTCAGCAGAACATACATCGAATTGGGCTGTTCTTGTTTCGACCTCGCGTTTTTGGTTTAATTACCGCCATCTTGCCAATGTCCTCTCCCTGTATCGCACCGTCAAGCGGTTAGGGATCCCCGACTCCCAAATCATCCTTATGCTCCCCGACGATATGGCCTGCAACCCCCGAAATGCATTCCCAGGAACGGTTTACAGCAATGCGGACCGCGCAGTGGATCTTTATGGAGATAACATCGAGGTGGATTATCGGGGCTACGAAGTGACGGTGGAGAATTTCATCCGCCTTTTGACCGATCGGTTAGACGACGATGTACCGCGCAGCAAACGCCTAGGGTCCGATGCAGGAAGTAACGTACTTGTATACATGACTGGACATGGGGGGGATCAGTTCCTGAAATTCCAGGACTCCGAGGAAATCGGTGCTTGGGACCTGGCCGACGCGTTCGGTCAGATGTGGGAAAAGAAGCGTTATCATGAACTATTGTTCATGATCGATACCTGCCAGGCCAACACCATGTACACCCATTTTTACTCGCCGAATATAGTTGCGACCGGATCTAGTGAGCTGGACCAATCCTCCTACTCTCATCACGCCGACAACGACGTCGGCGTTGCGGTCATTGATCGCTGGACGTACTATGTGCTTGAATTCCTTGAGACCCAGGTGACGAGCGCCAACTCAAAGTTAACGCTTGGTGATTTATTTGACTCATATGATGAATCCAAAATTCATTCTCAGCCAGGGGTGCGATGGGACCTCTTTCCAGGCGGCGAACAGGAGGGACGCTTACGCACCGTTGTGGACTTCTTCGGCAACGTCCAGAATGTTGAGGTCGAAAATAGTACTGCGAGCGACCCGGGCTCATTGAAGGAGGACCTCATTGAAATTGCTCGATTGGTAGAGAAATGGCGCCTACGGGATCGAGAATACCTCTCTCAGCACAACGATTCTGTTGATGGGAACAACGCCAGTGTTCCATCTTTTAATGCCGGAACAGAAAATTCATACTCAGTTCAGCTCCAGAAAAAGAATGTTGTGCCCGCAAAATTAACTGAAGAGACTATCTGGGAGAAGCGATTTATTGGTGCCACTGTTTTAGGCGTTTGTGCTGCTGTTTGGCTCACCGGGTTGTTCTTGGGCGGGTCCTCAGTTTGATCAAGGACGTAGCCGCAGTGGACTACTTACTCTACTATTTTGTTGTTTTTTTTAGGACTTCTTGCATTGTTGTTTTCTTCATTCAGGAGCCAGTGTACAGCGCAACCGTAGCATGATGCGGTTTGTATAGATACCAAATTTCAGGCTATAATCAGAAGCAGTTATCATTTTCACTCTTTATATAAAGATAATTCTATGTCTTCCACTTCTTTTCCTGCCTGGACTCTTGGTAGCCATGAGATTCAGTGGAAATTCTTTAGAGGGGTCTTGACTAAAACCGATAATGGCATAGTGTTTTTTACCCTAATGTCTTTAATATATCTGATCATCTTCGTTGCATAATTTCTTGCTGACCATTGACTGCACATAGACTTAAGTTTCCAGGATCCGTATGTGAGAAGCATTAAGTGGTAAGTAGTTATTTTATTACTATGGTCATTTGAATAACTTAGCTCCTATGTATCCTTACCCAAGCAGTTGCCAGAGAGCTTTTTAAAACAATCAAATCTGGACCCACATTATAAGGTTGGCTGTATTGGTCTGTGCATGATTTGGTTGTGATCATGTGATCCTTCACACAATCAATCGAATATCGATAGTGTCGACCGATAAAATCCCTCTTATGCGATATTAGTTCTATAGAATTCCTGAGGACTTAAGGCTACCAATATGGCGTGCATTAACTCTAATCTGAACAAAAGGAGCGAGAAGAATATACAATATGAAGGTTCTGATGTACCAATTACTGATATCAACCGTTTCCCGTCTAATACTTGCTATTATTCATCTCACTAGTCACTTTGATCGTGAACCGATTTCACTCAGGATTGATATCTCCGAAATTTTTGAAAAATACCCATTCCCTATATTAGCTCCTGATTTGACGGGAGTATATCCGCTTCATAAATTTCTACCTGTCCAATGTTGGGGTCTGTGAAGTCTCCTCGGGGGTAACAGGTCAAGGAAATAAATGTTGTCAGATATGACAAATCCAGACCGTTGATAAACTCCCCAGGAAATTATGGTGATCCCTGATCTTGTCTCCTGGATTGATGTGACAAATGATATTGCTCGTCGACGGTATTAGTGGGTTTAGGTAGGAAGATTGTGTAAGTTTGGAATGGAGAAACTAGTAAGGTTATAGAAGTTTGTGATATGGAGGGAGGGTTTTACTCTCATGCAATTGCCAGGGTACGGCATGCGGTTACCTATGGATAAATCAGAAGACTTTGTACACCAGATATACCACCCTGAACATTTTTTTAGATGCAGACCCTTGTATAGCCTTGCAGATTCGAATGGCTGCAGAATGAAGTGGAATGGACAGCCAAGCACCGACTAAAGAGAAGAAAAGAATGAAGACAAATACAAATCCACTTGAGATGATTCGAGGCTTGGCGAGGGACTCCGCACGTGCCGGCGACGCGTCGGGATTTCGCGACGGGTTGCTTTTGCTCTGTCTACCATTGCACTGGACGCTCTGCATTGTTTGTTTGCTTACTGGAGTACGGCCTTGCGGAGGTGTCCTAGTATTTGCTCCTGTTTTATCTTATGGTTTTAGATCGTCTTGTGTTTTTCGTTTTGTTTCCTTTTATTCCCTTGTTCAGCGGTGTTTGTTCCTCCCTTGGTAGGCCATGTATCTACCGCGCCAGCTAATATCGCATCTCTACCTCCAACTACTCCAATCGCACCACCCACTGTCGCCGCCCGTGCTAATCCTCGTGGCTCTGGAGCCCGATGCTCTCTGTGCTTGTCGAATCCTCACTTCCCTGCTAAAACGCGACTATATCCCTCATAAGATCCAACCCGTTGCCGGATATGGTGACCTCACCCGTGCTGGGGAAGAGCTGGTTAAGCCCATGCAGACCACAAATGGTGGTAGTGGTGGGGTAGTGGTCTGCTTGGGTGTGGGAGGCCTGGTAGACCTCAGTGAGATTCTCTGTTTATGTAATCCAGAGGAGGAGGTCGAGGACATGGGAGGAGTCGAAGTTTGGGTCTTTGACGCGAGACGGCCTTGGAATCTGGCCAATGTATTTGGGGGCGAGATTTCGACAGGGCCAGCTTCAGTTGAAACGGATGCCACTGTGCGGCGAAACACGCGTGGTGTGGACAAGGGGTGCATTACCCCTTCTTTTAGAGCGGGGAAAGGAGGGATCATTGTCTACGACGATGGGGATATTATGGAGGAGATGACCAGGGAACGGGAGGCCTACTGTGCACTCCTGGAAATGCCAGAGGTGGATGATGACGGGGAAGAAGACGACGAATCTGCCAGTGAAGGCGAGGCTGATGACCCCTCCAGCTCAGAGTCCAGAAAGCGCAAATCATGGTCACGGGAGGACGATGATGAAGAATTCAAAGACGACGATGGGCCGCCCCGTCAGCGGAGAAGGAGTAATTCGGTGCGTTTGCCTTGCCAGTTTCGTTCTTGAAGCACGTACTGACCCTACGTTTGTCTATAGGGGTCTTTCATTGCTTCGTCCCCAACCAGTAGGCGGAGGACTGCTCACGACTCCTCGAACTCGTCGCGCTCCGTTACTCCGACCTCAGAACCCTCTTCACCTACGCAGCCGAAGCAGCCTTCGGCCCGTTCACTGAGGCGGCGGCTCCTCCGAATGAAAAGAAAGCATGAAGGCGTGTTACAGACATATTACTCCTCAGGCACTTCCTACTCGGAGCCTATATCCTCCCTGGTATATTCGCTTGCATCTGAATTAGGTCGAGAAGACAACGATCTGCTTTGGCTGGCCATTGTAGGTGCATCTAGCTTGGAGTTGAGTGGGCGTACGATGTCTGGTGTTGGGATCTCCAGTGCGTCCGAATCGGGAGGCTCAGCAGGCTGGGGAGGTGAGAGGGGCGAGCGAATACGCCAAATACTCCGAGATGAAGTCCACCGGCTAAATCCCCCCGACCCTTACGAACGAGATCGCGACATCAGGGGGGAAATCAACGGGGTGATTCCGACCGCTGCCAAATCACCTACCGACAAATCAATCCGGCTGTCCCCAGAACCTCGCTTTATCCTCGTACGGCACTGGTCTCTGTATGAGAGCATGCTTCATAGCCCCTACTTAGCGTCGCGGCTGCATGTCTGGACTGAGAATGGCAAGAAACGACTACATAAGCTCTTGGCAAAGATGGGAATCAGTTTGAGCCAGTGCCACCAAAACTATACACACATGGATATGGAACTGAAACGAGTGCTACGCCAGCGCTTGCTCAAATATGCGCCTATGTACGGCCTGGATGGGTTAGTTCCTCCGGAGGCATCTGGACATGCTGCCTCCCGGGAGGGATGGGGGTTTGTACGGTGCTGGGGTTGGAAGGCCTGCCTCTCGGCTACAGATGTCGGTGTCATTGTGGGTGCCATGCTCGAAGTTGGACCAGAAGAGGCCCCTGGTTCTTGGGATTCAAGGCGCATCTCTCGGCCACGAAGTGCACCCGAGCCTCACCAGTCCGAAGGATCAACCAAATCGGATCTAGCCAGTCTCCTGCCTCGGTTCTGGAGTGCATACGACGCTCTATCTCTTACATCGGAGTCCCCTACGCTTCTGCTAGCGGCGCTTCCTCTTGCTCAGCATCTTTATCGTGCCATCCTCCGCACCGGTACATCATTGCTTTCGAAACATCAAATTCGGCATCTGCGAGCCTTCCGAATTGCTGTTGTCAAAGAAGGGCCCGACGTCAAGCTGTTTACGAACCCGGGAGCATTGACCAAACTAGCCCTGTGGATTGCCGAGGCTATCAAGGTCCAGGAACGCGAGCGAGGTGATTCCGTTAAGATTGGACGGAAACGGGCTGCCGGTACCCCTCTCGTCCTGGCTGGGCTTGATGAGGACCGGGGACTGTATGTCGTGGTTGGCACTGGTGGAGGCGGAGGGGTGGTTGACTTCGCTGCTTTGTCCAAGCGTCGGGAAGAGCGTCGAAAGAAGAAGGAAGCCAAAGACAAGAAGCGGAAGGAGAAGGAAGAACGACGAGAGAAACGCGCAGCCGAAAGGGCTGAGAGGGAAGAAGACGATGATGAACGAGAAGATACTGAAGAGGAAGAATCGTCCGAATCCGAGTCCGAGTCCGAATCTGAAGATGAGCAAGATTCCCGTGGTAATACGTATCTCCTCCGAAATCGATTCGGAATCGCGTTCCAAGAAGTTGTACAGGAGACCAATACTCGAGTCCGCATTGATAGTTTCGAACATTGTGTAGTCGAAGTACAGAAGGAAGATCTCGGTGGATTTCTCGAAGCCCTAAGCTTCCGCAGTGTCGTGGGTTGAATCAGACATGATGAGGTATACATGCGTCCTATGATTCTTTCCGTCTCCATGGACGCGTCTTTTACTTTCTCTCCGTTTTGCTTTTATCTGCGTCCCGCATGGCTTTTTCCAGGATAGATCGATAAGTTCGGTTCATCGTTCTAGCCTATATTTTTCTTTTGTTTCACTTTTCGATCTCTCGAACAATGCGTGGATGAGGTTTGAGGGGTGCAAGGACATGGATGGCTTTTGTGTTTTATTCTTCAACGGTATAAAAAGATGGATATGCGTAACGACTGCTTGGGATCTATTGTGGCCATACTCTTTTCTTTCTTTTCCTTTCTCCCTCTCTATCTCACTCTTTTTGGATTCGCCTGAGCTTCAGCATCTATACTCTGGACCATAATGATCGGGTTGCATGCATATTCCCCACACATGTCACGGCGCTTGAGGTGTTTCTTCCATGGGTTGAGTGTTTGTGTGCTGCCATGTTTGATTTTTTTGTGGATAGCATGAAGCGCATTGGATAATGGAGATTGATTGATCAACAGATCCTCCTTCCTTACATTGTGGCGTTCGGCCTTCTTTCCGATGCCCCCCGCATCGCGTCTGATCAGGTGGGGGGAGTTAAACAGTCTTTCGGCCTCACTTGGTACTTTTAAACTAGCCATATCATTAGTCTGGTTGGTCCCTCGTATCATCCAATTTATCCCTTTCCCTAATGATGGCTGTCCCTCGAGAGTATCCGCCTCTCCCTCGCCAGCCCACGCTAGCTCAACTGCCCCCCGAATACCCCACGGACGCCCAAGATCAGATCTCCCAGCTTCTCTCCAGCTCCAGACCTAACAGTCTTGTCGTCCTCGACGATGACCCGACCGGCACGCAGACATGCCATGACATTTCGGTCCTCACCGTGTGGGATATCCCTACTCTGACCGAAGAATTTCTCCAGGACTCACGCGGATTTTTTATCCTCACCAACTCCCGTGCTCTACCCCCAGTAGAAGCCGAAAAATTGATCCGTGGGATCTGCGAAAATGTCTTCCAAGCTGCCAAGGCAACTGGCCAGACAGTCGATATCGTTCTGCGTGGCGACAGCACCTTACGAGGTCACTTCCCTCTCGAGGCTGACGTTGCGCAGTCAGTGTTTGGGGAAACCGACGCATGGATCCTAGCCCCGTTTTTCTTCCAGGGCGGGAGGTTCACCATCGACGACGTGCATTACGTAGCGGAGGGAGACTATTTGGTGCCTGCGGGTGCGACCCAGTTTGCTCGGGATGCGACATTTGGGTATAAGAGCTCGAACCTGCGAGACTACGTGAAAGAGAAAGCTCCTGGGCGATTCAACCCGGAACAATTGCACTCGGTAACCGTTGGGGAGATTCGGACTGGAGGTCCCGAGGCCGTCTATGACAAACTTATGACCGTGCCCAAGGGAGGTGTGGTCATCATCAATGCGGCGGCTGAATCGGACATGCATGTCTTCGTGGCGGGATTGCTACTAGGTTTGTTTTGTCCCTATCCCAGATGAACTCCTTGTCCGAAAGAACCCCTGAAAACTAATCTAGACAATGGTATCAGCGGAAGCAAAAGGAAAGCAATACCTCTACCGCACCGGAGCAGCATTCGTATCAACCCGTCTCGGAATCCGCTCTAAACCCCCGGTCTCGGCGCGCGAGCTTCATCTCCCTACGCAGCGCACCACCGGCGGTCTAATCCTCGCAGGCTCCTACGTTCCAAAGACCACAGCACAATTGAAAGCGCTGACGGAGCGACGTGGTAGCGCCCCAGGAACAGGGGATGCGAATCTCGCCGTCATCGAAGCCAACGTCGGGGAATTGATTAGTGCTTCCTCGGAAAGCGTCGAGGAAGCTATCCTCGACCGGATCGTCAACGATGCCGAATCCTACCTCCAATCCGGAAAAGATACCTTGATCATGACCAGTCGTAAGCTGATCACTGGTGACGATGAGCTGTCTTCGTTGGAGATTGGATCAAAAGTCGCGGAGACGTTGGTGAATGTTTTGCGGCGGATTGAGGTACGGCCGAGGTATATTATTGCTAAGGTGAGTGGTCTCCTTTCTTTCTTTCATCCTGACTTTTTTTTTTTCATTTTTATTTTCAGGCAGAAATGGCCAGGTTCAATACTGACTTGATTTGACTAGGGTGGAATCACCTCCTCAGATGCTGCAACTAAAGGACTAAATGTGAAACGAGCTCTAATAGTCGGACAAGCCGTGCCTGGCGTGCCATTATGGAGATGCGACGAGCCAGCCTCTCGACATCGCGGGGTGCCTTTTGTGGTCTTTCCGGGGAATGTTGGGGAAGATATCACATTGTGTGAGTTGGTGGAGGCTTGGAGTTAGAGATCCCTCGGATAAGGACATGTATATACATAATATATTAAACCTATACGAGTCCCAATATACGTATTCTATCGAACTACGATCTACGAGAAAGCTCAGATCACGGTGGTGCGTGGCCCGTTGGCCACAAAACGAGTACCTTCATTGGACTAATCCTAACTGGCACATACACCAGAACTAACTGGACAAGCCAGGGGATATGTATGTACACCTGCAAGTGTAGACCAAAAAACCTCCGCGGGGGGTGGATGGATGCATGGATGGATGCAATAGATCAATCAACCACAAACGGGTGATATAGATGTGCCTCCTAGACGGTACCACGGATGCCTCTAGTAGATCCGCTTGCCAAGAGAATGAGAATTGAAGAAGAATAGAATGACCGATGCGTATGGAATCAAGAGACAATGAGAGAAAATAAGGAAAATAAACCAACCTTGAACTCCGGACCACAGTTGTATGGACTCATCGCAGATGGCGAGTCGCTAGATCAACAGCGTGTTTAGCCAGAATCAGCTGGGGGGATTTTAATTCATTACTACACATTCATCCAATCAGACGGCAATTCCTGACGGTGCTGTGGTTGCCTGCGTCTTGCACGATATAATGGGGACCGGCCCCGACTCGATGGTTGGTACAGCCTAGAATATGTGGGTACTCAGGCAGGTGTCGCTGTGTTTGAAAACCCATTGGCAGGAATCTGACGTTTCGCCACTGGCTGCGATGGATCCTGTAGAATAGACGGTTGATATCAGTTATACCTAGATACCAGACCCCGGAAAGTGTCACGTCATAGTCGCAGCCTCGAATTCCGTATGGGCGGTTCGCTGCTCGTGATCCACTCTGGCCTTTTTGCGAGCACTTACGTCAAGCTGTTCAATGCCTCGTTTCTGGGCGCTTGTTTCGGTCTTCTTGATGACCTTCTTCTTTGGACGGGCAGGTCGCGTCTCCCCCGGCTGGAAGACGTCGTCGGGCAGATCGAAGCTATTTCAAGCGGCGCTAGTCAGGAGGTGATGGTCTGTATCGGTGTGCGGTGGAAGACAAAACTTACTTGCGCACGTGGGTGATCGCCAAATCATTGATGCCAGGCTGGTACCCGGGCCATGAAGTGCATGTGGATTTGAATATTTGGGCATCGGCCGAGATATCTAACGACCGAGATGCGCCTGCCAAATTTAGAGGAATCATGGCGAAGAGGTGACAAACATACCTGGTTCCAGCGGCTTCAACTCCAATCCAATGTAATACGTTGTGGTATACATAGTCAAGGCCCCACCGTTAGCTTTCTCGACCGTTTCTGTGACTTCCCTCATCTCGATACCGTTTTCAGCTGCGGCCTGATGAGCAGCGTCTTTGGTCTCATCAGTTGTCTCTGTCCTGGTGCCTTTATCTTGATATTTGGTGGAACCGTTCTTAACAGCTTCTGCTTCTTCGTCATTGTTAACAATGTGAACCCTTTCGAACCCCTTCGGGAACGGGTGGGACACAGCAATGGTTTGCTTCCTATCCAAAGCTCCCACTAAGTGCCTAAGTTTAGATTCAACGAGGCCTGACCAAACGGACTCTGCTTCCTTCGTTTTACTGGACGCAGTAATGCTGAGGTAATATTTGTAGTCGCGAGTAAAGAACGTATGTCGTGCGAACAGGTCATTCCACGTCTGCTGCTTCAAAAATATCCTGTCGACGATGTCACCGCCGCGTTGAAGTTCACGGAGGATAACAGTTTTCGTTGACAGTGAGACGTTATGGGTCGCGCACATAGATGGGTAGGCCGGGGTGATAATAGGCATCAAATGAAATCGATCGCCATGGTACAACTATAATCCAAGTTAGCGAGTGGTAGGACCAGGGTATCATTCAACGCTCTCCTACCTGTGGATTCCAAACTTTGATCTGGAGAGGGCCCTCTTCGATTGGCTTTAACAGCACCGGTTGAGGCCAGGCCCATTTGGTCATGATCCGAAAGAATTTCCCGACAATCACGGAGCCAGTTGCTTGGGGATACAGCTGGCAGACTCTTGCGACTAGCATGGCCCAAGCAACACCGCCCGGGAACCCTACAATATTAGAGTAAATAGCTCGACCTGTTCCCGTCGCGGGGGTATTAGCGCTTTCTTCGCCTAAAAAGCTCGGTGGAAGAAGATCCTTACGTTGTGCCCACAATTTGATGGCACGTAGTGCAAAACGAAAAGTCTTTTGCTGAGGTACAAGCTCCAAGATCTCGTCAGTTACACGAGTTCCATTCAGCGAACGCACCTCCCGCTCATCTAGCCCCCTTAGATAGTCGTTATTCTTCAAGTCGAGGTTGAGAGGGACCGAAGGGATGATCAAGCGCGCAAAGATCAAGTCGATACTGATGCCAGACAATTCCAGCTTTATGATCGGCACGAAGGCATCTGGAACGGGGGTCATCTTCTCAATAGCGCCTTGAGGGGACAGTTTTTCCAGAACGGGGGGGAAGTCTGCAAAGAAATCGTCGATGACGACATGCTTCGGTCCAACCACCAAAGTATCGATATCCGACCCTATCATCCAGACGACGTCAATGTTACCTGCACAACGTATAGCAAGCCACCAGCGACTTACCCGGTCCATACACGCCCAGCCGATAGCTTCCATAAGTGAAGATCTTGCCACCCGCTGCCTCGACTGCGGCAGGGGACAGTCCTTTCTTGCGGCTTACAACCTTGACAAACTCAACAGTTACACGCTGAAGGAGTTGTAAGACTTGCTTTCTAGATGGCCGACATGGTTAGCGTCGATGGACGAGGCACGGGGAAAATCGACGTGATTCTTCTCCCACCTTTGCTCGGTCTCCGCCGGACTTTCGAAATTATTCTGCAGCTTCAATTCCCCAATCAAATCATCATTTGCGGCAAGTTCATCTGGAGTAGGTAGTGCGGTAGATATAGGAGGGGTGACACCCCACTGTCGACCTGTTGATGCTGCCATTCTATTGTCGAGCTAGTCTAATACAGAATCATGCGGTTGCGCCTGAGCAGTGCGGTAGTAGACAACGGTAGGAAACCTGGCAACGAATGGATTCAAGGATGAGGGGGAAAGAAAATGAAAACCTGTCAATTCAACAAAGGAAAGCCGTAGGGGAAGAAATAAAATGCAAAGGAAAACCAGAGAAAAGGAAGGAGTTCGATGGTCGAGAGCTTAGAGAGGTTGATAATCCGCGGGTAGTCGAAGAAAGACGGATAGCCGTTGCTGACTCATTATGGTCACATGATCACCTCCGATTCGATTTATGACAGTCCTCTATCCTCTACTGCGTATTCAGATGAACGCTGTCCATACAGATCACATTGTTCCTATATATTTGGTATCTAACCAATTACAGATCGGATTGCCCCTGGAAGAATTCAGACAACCGCTCGTCGATCCACTTAACGTCCTCCTTGCTCTCCCCAGGGCCACCGGCCCAGTCTGCACGATATCGGTTAGAATGAAGCCACTAAATTGACAGAAGTGATACTCACGGCCCCATATCGAGGGAATCACACTGAGTGAGCCAATCCCCGGCTTCATGCATGCAACCTCATACTCGGAATCCTCCGGACTGCGGGAAGACCGGTCAGCTTCTGGTCTTAAGCGAGTCGGATCTACTTACGGGAAATAGAGGTCTGTCTTTCCAGGCATGACCAATGTTTTGGCTCGAATGGAAGCCATGGCTTTCTTAAAATCGCCATCATATGGGGCTTGGTTGGCCACGTTGGCGTTCTGCCAGGTTTGGATCATCACCAATAGATTCTCCGGATCTTTATCCATCAGCTGCTGCCACACAGACACGCATATATATATTGGATGTATATTGAACCGAGAAAGTGGAGGATTGGGATGCTCACCCTTCGACAGAGCCCATTTTTCCCAGAAATTCTGTAGGAAGTCTTCCAAATCTTTGAAGCCCAACGCAGTCTGATACAACTTCTCTCGATAAAAGGCTTGACTGAAGCCCCTACAAAAACAAGTCCGTTAGTGGTTTGGTACCAGTGGTCATGACCAGACATTCCTTACCAACCCGCGTAGCCTCTCCCAAAAGCCTTCAGACCAATCTCCTTTTGTTTGGAACTCCATCCTCTCCAGGTGTGATTTCCATCCAGGACGCCAATCTCACTGGACCCAGCTGACGGGATATGCTTCGCCGCCAACAAGGCACTCTTGACCCCCTCCAAGAACACCTCATTATGGAGGGACACGCGAGCGGCTCCACAAAAGGGGACGACAAAATCCATAAAATCCGGATACTGGGTAGCCCATTGGTAGCTCTGCGCGGCGCCCATTGACCATCCAAGCACGGCGTGCAGATGCGTGATGTGCAGATGCTGCGTGATCAGGGTGTACTGGGCGCGGACATTATCGTAGCAGGTTACCTTGGGAAACGGGTCTGCGCTGGGATGGTTGGAGGGTGAAGTCGACTGGCCATTTCCGAACAGAGCGGGGATGACAATGAAGTACTTCCTCGGGCTGAGGGTCTTGTCGTCTCCGAGTAGCCATAGATTATCCGCGATCGCTGGATCTGATTAGCTAGCTTTCTGGCAGTTATTTTATTTTATAGGGGCGTTGCATCCTTTTAGTCTACGTACCTCCCGAGAACCACGTAGGATAAACAATGGCGGGGGAGGTGGGAACCCCAAAGGTCTTGTATGCGAGATGGGCGTCGACCAGTTTCTCCCCGTTTTGGAGCTCCCAGTCTCCCAGCTTGAAAATCTCATAATCGGACGTCATTTTGGAGGACTGTCAAGAGGAGGATGTGTGAAGACAAGGACGGGGGATATCCAGAGGAAAGAGGGGAGAGAGGGACCAAAGAGTCCGGTATTTATGTAGGATTCCCATGGTCGCCTGACGGAAATCAGAAATCTTATCCATATTCGAATCTGCGGATTGGTCCGTCCTTTGCTAGCTTGGATACATTAGCATTTCCTTATCTGGGATAGAGAAAGGATGAAGATGGTTAGATGGATAGATGGGATGAAGCGAGAGCGGAGATAGCTGTGATGCTGTATCATCATTTCAAATAGATACAATACGATAACTATATTCTAGTCACTTATCTAACTGGCTAGTTGTTAAGTTTTTCTTATTCTTTCAAAGATGCCTTTGTCCATCCAGTCTTCCAGTAGAAAAGCACTTCCCCACTTCCTTTGTATAGTCGAAGCACTCAAAGACTTCACTAATCCCAACCGGGCAAGCTATCAAACCCTCCCTCCATAAATTCCCCCAGAACCCCGCACGCTCGGATACAAAACACCAGTCCTGATCATCTTGGCGTCCCAGACGCTAACTAACCCACTCGTTTGACCACTCCAGAAACACGTCATGGTAAAAAAACCTCGGGGGATCCGACGAGACCGTCATTGTCACAGTTGTAGAGCTCAAGGCATTCGATGTGACCTCAACCGGCCACAATGCCATGCCTGTGTGCAGGGCCAGCGGACGTGTTCCTATCCTCCAAGGGTCTTATGGGTGAGAGAGAAGAAGAACACTGCTTCGGCTTCGTCGTCATCCTCGTCTCCTGGGGTCTCGACAGGTGCAGGAGCATCGGTGCTTACAGCCCAAAAGCAAGACAACGAGTCAGTCGGGGGGACGCCAAAACACTCCGTCGGTCTATACAGCTTTGTTGACCTCCTGGATGACTGCTACCGCTACATCCAAGACTCGCAACGGGTGTTCCCCGAGGAAGCCATCCAGCTTGTCGCACGCACGCTGGAGTTTGCACGCTCACGTATCCACGGTGCCAAGCAGGGAGGCATGGCTGACGCATTCTCCCTCTCTTCCATCCAACGGCAGATGGCGGTTTTAATGGGACTCGAGCAAGTCGTGGAATCGGCCCATCCGCTCGCGCTCTTTGGCATTGCCACCTTCGCCATCTTTGAGGTCTGCAGCGGGCCCTTTGGGCGATGGCACTGCCACCTGCACGGTGCACGCTCTCTTCTTGATTTGCACTGTCACAACCGTGTTTGTCTCGAGAGCCTGGGCCGGAAGATCTCTGGCCTCGTGGATGTATTGGGATACATGTTGTGGTTCGATGTCACAGGGGCTCTGGTCCAGGGCAGTCCGTTGATCTTCGACGATTGGCACCGGGAAACGCTCCAGACCAGCTTCTTGGACTCGGTGGGTTGTCCACTGGAGACCTTTGAGCTCTTCGTCCATCTGGCCCAATCGAAGTGCCGTAACGTCGACGTCGTAGACCTTAGTTGGCGGGCGATGGAGCAGACCCTGCAGGTGCAATCGAGTGACTGGAAATCGGACCAAGGTCTTGCTGCTGTAGTCTACCGATACACGGCGGTCATTTTGACCTTTAGTCGTATGCAGACCGTCTCGGGGACTGTTCGGTCCTCTCAGGTTTTATCATCCATAGTCGACCGCGTATGCGACGCAGTAGTGCAAATGAACCCCCAGTCCAAATTCTACGTTCACCTGGCGAGCCCGGTCTACTTGACGGGGATGCATGCAAGGACAAAGGCACAGTGTGCCGTGGTGCGGTCCTACTGGAGGAATTGTCGGTTGGGAGACTTTCCTCGGTATCCTGATGGACAGGAACAGTGCGAGAGAATATGGAGGGACAATCGGGTGATTAGATAGCCAGCCAGTTAGCCAGCCAGTTACCTAGCTTGGCGTAGGACTTGTAGGACTGCAGATGATTATCTGGACAGCAAGTGGACGCATTGGAGGAAGGGCTTTTTCCCGAAGAGGAAAGCAATCTATCAGCAGCTCCTGAGTATGAGGACTACCCCTGTTACTCGAGTACATGGATCCTGATACTATATAATCCCAGTTGTAATCATGGGTGAACGACCTTCCCTTCATGACCATGAAGTAGTACGTACTATTTCCCCCATCATGGAAGTTATCAACCCATCGTTCGAAGACCTCGCAGCGCAAAAGCGTGCCCAACAACTGTCTCTGATCCCCCCCGAATGGCGGCTGGAGTATATCCCGTCGGTGGACTCGACCCCCAATGTGCTAAGATATCTCCGTGAGAACCTCACTCCGATTGAAAGGTCCCTCACGGAGGAGACCGACATCAACATTCTCCTGGCCAAACTTCATTCCCAAGCGCTGTCATCTCTGGAGCTGACGCGCGCTTTCGCCAAGCGAGCGGCATTGGCTCACCAACTCACCAACTGCTGTACTGAGATCTTCTTCGACGAGGCTTTTACCACGGCGAAGCAGCTGGATGAGTACCTGGCCACGACGGGACGCACGGCAGGACCATTGCATGGGTTGCCAGTGTCAATTAAGGATGTGTTATCGGTGAAAGGCATGGATACTTCAATTGGTAGGACACTCTCCAGCCCGTCAGAATGCTCCCCCACGAAGAGACTGATGATGATCGGACTAGGATGGGTTGGTCTGATCAACAACCCTGCTCCGGCGGACAAGTCGGTGGCTAAAACGCTGCGTCGCCTGGGTGCAGTGCTCTACGTCAAGACCAATCTGCCGCAGTCGATGATGATGTCGGACTCGTATAATCATGTTTACGGCCAGTGCGTGCACCCCCTCAATCGCAGGCTGATCTCCGGGGGCAGCTCGGGTGGCGAGTCTGCGCTGGTGAGTGCCCGAGGCAGCGTGCTGGGGATTGGAACCGACTTAGGAGGTTCGATTCGAATTCCTGCCAGTGTGTGTGGCATGTATGGACTGTGTCCGAGTCAGGGGAGACATCCGTATGAGCGAGGAAGGTAAGAAAAAGGGCAACTCTATCCTGCTGAAGGGATACTCATCGTCTCTCGCCCATCTAGTGCTCAGCAGGATATTGTGCGCTCCGTGGCCGGCCCAATGAGCAACAGTCTAGCGACCATTGAGCGATACATGGAGGCATTGCCATGGGCGTCTTCGTGGACGATCGACCCGCACGTAGTTCCGGTCCCATGGCGCACCAACCTGGCCTCGATCGGCAATAAACGTCTCAAAGTCGGGTTTGTAATTGACGACGGGATGGTGAAGGTTCAGCCTCCGATTGCGAGAGCGGTGCGAGAGATTGTAGACTCACTACGAGCTGCCGGGCACGAAGGTACGCTTCATCCATATCGGAACTGACGGACACAGGAGATGAGACACCGCTGATCGGAAGTTCCAGTGTTCGAATGGGATGCCTCCTCTCACGGCTACGCATACTTGCTCTGGCTAAAAGCCATCTTATCTGATGGAGGAGAGGGATGTCGCACGAAGATAGAATTGAGTGGTGAACCACTCATTCAGGGGATGCTTGTTGGCACACAGGCGGATCTTCTCACAACTTCGCAGACACACCAGGTGCGAGACACATTCACTGATTTGGCAATGTTAGCATTATAGCTTACCCAATTTCAATTTATTGTCCTTCTCAGCTTCATGCGGACAAATACGCCTACGAGACCTCCTATCTAGATCGCTGGACCTCGTCGGGAGTTGACGCGCTCATCATGCCAGCTTCGACCTGGGTGGGCTATGAACCGTGGACCTGGGTCCGGGGCAGCCAGTACGTAGGGTATACGAGCATCTGGAACTTTTTAGGATATGCTGCCATGGCTGTTCCAGTCACCGTCGCCTCCAAAGAGAAAGATTCGCCAGATCAGGAATGGCATAGCCATGTCCCCAGGAATGACAGTGATCGATTCACAAAGGAGCAGTGTAAGTGAACTGGGAGACCTATCTCTGAGCGATTCTTGTTACTGATGAACGGAATGTAGATGATATTGACCTTGTGGATGGTATGCCTGTTGGTGTTCAGGTGGTTGGCGGACGGTTTGGAGAAGAAATGTGTGTTGCGGTGTCCAAGATCATTGAACAGACCATGGGAGCAGGCAATCTGGTAGCGTCAAAGTTGTGAATGGATCTTTTTATCTCTTCGCACTGAAGTGGTAATTTTCTCTATCATGCCATATCCCATGCATGATGTGTCAACTTGGAAATGTAGGGTCCTATGTAATTCTATAACAAGCTATGCTCTGATAGAGCCAAGTATACAGGGCCATAGAGGGTAGGAACGGGATTGCCATCTACTCAACATACAGAGGCTATAATACTGGGCACTTAACTTGAAGGTGTTTTCGAGATGCAGTTTATAGTCGATGCCTTCTACACCACACAGCAACTGTCTTTTCTATCCAAGATTCTCTGCCCTCTATGGAAGTTCGATAAAATGAAAAAACTTGCGTTGTGGCGGGCTTCTTTTCCTTTCTCTCTTTGCTATATTTTCTCAGAAACACTCTATACTTCTAAGTTTCCTACGTTGTCTTTTAACCGTCTCCTTTCGTGGTTTCGCTTCCTCCTTCCACAGGCCGTGGTCGACGTCCTGCAATCACTTTGGCTCTTCGTGCAAGTTCGCTATGTAACACCAGAAGACAAAATACATTGGTTTCATGCTGTCTCATTGCCATCGCGGGCCCAATGATAATTCTGGATTGCCAACGCCTTACATGCGTTCTTCCCAGCAGGAAGGCCAACATGCCTATTTTCGTGCATGGCACGAGGTCTATGATTAGGTGACAATGATTGCCGGGTCGCCACGGGAGAAATGACGGCAGACAATCCTGACAATCTCTGGTTCTCTAGTGTGTGTAGTCCCTGGACCTTCTTGTCAACCTCACATGCAGAATGAGCGTTTTTCTGTTTGTTCCTCACTCCCTACCCTTGGGTTTTTCTTCTCCTTGGCAATGCTTCGATGAGTCCAAATCTGCCTCGAGAACGGACAAAGTTAGTGCGAGGGATTTCTCCATCGTAGAATTAACACCGCCCACGTATTTCTCAGGCATAACTTGCTTCGTACTCGTCCTCTCCGTCCGGAGTGTCAAACAATGTTGGGGCTTCGTAATGCCACCCGTCCAGGAAAATGCGGCAGATGAGTGGATGATGCACGAATAGCCTAAGGGAAACGTCGAGATCTTCCTTCTCCAAGACATCGTCTAAAAACCGGAGCCCCAGGAACGTTCGGAAGATATACTGGAAGACCTGCAAGGGGAGGCAGAGTCGGGTACTCCTCCCCATAGTGATTTCGCTGGCCGGATGACGAGCGCATAACATCAAGAAATAGATTCATAAACCGGGAACACGGATGCCATGAAGATTTCTCCGTCTCTTGGGGTAGGGGCTCTTTGAGCAGAAGAGCCTGGTGTGCATTCTGAGGATTGGCTGTCAAAGCGAGGATTTCAGGGTGGAATGACACTAAGCGTACAACCGTCACTTTTCTGCTGGGTTATTCGTATTTTCATCGCCTTTCTTGAAGAGGGAATCACCAGCCTGGTTTAAGAGAGTCATAGACGATAACAGACATTGCACCATCTTCGCGTGTACTTTGGCATGGTTCCCGTCGAGGTTATCTGCAGTTGCGTCCTCGGGATAAATGTCTAGTAGCAGGGGTCAATGTTCGTTTTGTTGCCTCAGAAAATCCGCCAGCTACTTGTAGATAGGGTCTTGGCCATCGTAAGCCTCGCAGTTAAAGACGGGGCACTTGAGTAGATAGGCTATTTCTTCGCTTTTCATTAGAGGTTCATCCAGATCGTTGAGTCACTTGTCGCAATCCTCCAAATAGTGCCCAGGATAGTCACCTTTATTCGATAGAGCTAAAGGCTCCTGATATGCCCGACACAAGACCGCATCCATCAGCAATGATTGATACATGGAGCGACGGAAATTGTCTTTCCAGGTGAGCCATTCTGGAGGTGTTTTTTCAGAATTAGCCTTCCTGATGTAGTAAAGACAGTCTTGGCCCCATTCGATATTGTGCAGGCAGATACCTTCAATGCGTCTGATCAAGTATTTCCAGTCAAGGGCTTGTCGCACATCATCAGGAGATGATTCCTGAGCATCTACACTCAATGAATCGAGCGGGAAAGGGCGCGAATTGTCCCATCTGGAAGTGTCCCACCACAATTCTTGTTGCGCGTACCTAAAAGTGAAAAATGAATTTAATGATATTCTAGCAGGCGGGGATACATATAAAAAGATCAATTACTGCCATCACAGCATCACTGGATATCGCGCGGTCCCAGCCGGCCTAAGACGGAGTACACGTTGGAGGAATAGACGAAGTGGAGCCGTTTTCATGTTGGAGAGAGGGCGATCGACTGAGATATAGTATCGCAGCTTTGAAGGATCAGAAGAAGACAATCGGTCGGAATAGAGGTAAGGGAAGGCGTTGTGAAGATGTCTGGAGGGAGGTATATGGAGAAGAAACAAACGAACAGCTGGAGATGTGGGGGGAGGTTCTGGAGTATGTTTATTGACCATAATGTTAGGGCTGGGACTCAGGGCTCTTGGCTTTCCCTAACGTCAAGATGGCTAATTTTCTTGCTATCCCCCTCGCTCTTTTAGTTGATCTGTGTTTCCTTTTCCTTTGAATTTTACAGTTTAAGCATCCCATTTTGTGCCCTCCTTGCTCCATGTGAGCCGTCCTAACTTGGTAGGTCTCCGTCGAAGCAAATGCTGTCACCCCCCGTTTTCGTGTATACTGGATCTTGTCAGTGGAATCAGTCATCACATACTGACGGTTCTCATCGATATTGGCCAATACTGTATAGCAACATCAATGCACAGGCGTTGGCCACTTGCCCCGCTACCTGTCTTCTCGTGGCTCACTGAATTCCTAGAGCGTCACAATCGTCCGATTGTGCGGGCGCACTACCATGCAGTTGTGATTCATACCGTTCTAGCCTTCGGATATCTGTGTGACGATCTGGTAGACAATCACTTAACTTCCAAACTTCCAGAGATTTGGCTCCCCAGTTTCCAGAAAGGCCATGGTCCATTTGATGACGACATTTATAGTGATCGAAGATGCGGAACACCGACGGTACCGAGTACGTCCGTGGAGTTACTTCCTCCTCCAAACTGCAGATACTGAGCATTCTCTAGTCAAATCCACTCTATTCCTAGCCGTACAACATGACCATCGCCTCGAAATAATATAGCTTCCGATCTATGGTATGACGCCTCATGCAAAACAAATGCCATAGGACAATGATTCATTTAGAAGCCCAGTCACCATTCGCTCGATAATATAAGATTGCCTATGGGATTGAAATGAGGATATTTGGAACAACCTTCCCTACCAAGCCAGATGAGACCATGGAAGAGATGAGAACGTGCTGTCGTTTCTGGGGGGACTCCTCGCCTCATTCGCTATGTTTACCATCAGGTCTGGTAGCTGGGAGAGATAAGAGTGATCGGTGATTGGAAAAGTGGTACTGTGCAGAATATTTCCCTCGTACTTGAGTTATAAGGAATTTTTAAGGAGAGGATATACCTAAAACAGTAGCCCTAGGCTAGTTAATGAACTCACGAGTCTGCTCACAATAGTGTATTGGTTGGCTTTTCTTATATATAGGATCATAATAGTTCAGATTCATCTAGATGGTTATGGTTATATGAGTATTTAGATTTCGTTTATTTATCTAAGCATCTGAGCTTTTTTCTTCATTCTAACCTTGTAGCTACTTCTATTTATTTCAATTAACTACTACAAAAACTCCTTAAAAAAGTATCAACATACCCGAGCAGCCCTTTTCAAAGTGGAATATCGCAATATAGATGTAGCCTGTGGTGATGTTCTGATGTTCTCGTATCTATTCCATTGCCTGATGCTTGTCTCACTGTCAATCCCTACTTCTTCAAGTACTTATTCAGTAGTCAAGTTAGTACTCCTACATCCACAAGACATCCACTGAAGAAATCAACCACATATTTGCGTACTTCCCAGTAGTTATGAGAGCCATCCCGCTGACAAATGATTGATGATCGGCCAGGTATCGATCGCCAGTGGGGGTATTGCCACACACTCGCCCCCATCAAAACTGCAGATACGCGGTGAGGGCTAGTATCCACTCTACCAGGCCGTGCGTGGAATTACGGACCAGCTTCGGATGCGGTTTAAATGGCCCGTCATCGTCAACCGACATGATGTGGAAACTATCAATAAGGTGCCATCTTCGCCTTACATGCATCGCTCTCTGTTATTTCGCGCGGCACACTTTCATAGACAATCTCTGCCCTCATTGTGAGTTTCTTCCCCTCCGTTTGATAGCTGAAGCGTGAGGCTTGGAATATCGACAAGATCTTGGTCGGAACAATCCCGATGTTGATTCCACGCCACATGCGAGTAAGCATACTGCTAACAATGATGAAGCCGTTACAGAGCCTCCATCTTCCCAGTTAGTCTTCCACCTTGTCGCTTCATTAGCCACACAACGACAATGTTTAAAGTGAGAGACGATTTTGACAAGATCCAGGCCTCGCGGCCGGATTTCAAGCATGGCATTGAGGTCACCTTCTCAAAGCCGCCAAACCCCACCTGGAAACAAGGCGATGGCGCAAACGATGGTGGCGAGAGCTTGAAGAAAGGCCACGTTGAAATTGACCCATACGAAGAAGGGCGACCGAGTGCATCTAACTACAAGTTTCTGATCTCCGGAATGGTCCCTCGACCGATTGCGCTGATCAGCACGAAAGCGAAGGATGGACAGTCGACCAACCTGGCACCTTTCAGCTATTCACAGGTCATCAACCACGATCCTCCTCTCTTCGTGGCGGGCCTGACTGGATCTCTTGAGAGGCCCAAAGACACGCTGAAGAACCTCGCTGAGACCAAGGAGTGTGTCATTAACATCATCTCGGAGCATTTTGTCGAAGCCGCTAATGCGACCGCAATCAATGCACCATATGGCCTTTCCGAGTGGGAGGTGTCAGGGCTGCACCAAGCACCTAGTTCCGTCGTTCAAGCCGCCCGGGTGAAGGAGTCGGTGTTGGCAATTGAAGGGAAACTGGTTGAAATCAAAGAATTCGAGAGCCGGCAGTCTCCGGGAAAGAAAACTGGAGTGCTGGCCATTATTGAGGGAGTCCGATTCTGGGCAAGAGAAGACGCCATCAACGAGGACAAGAGCATTGTGAACCTGAAGGTATTGAAACCGATCAGTCGGTTAGGTGGTATACAATATGGACGAACCACGGAAGCGATCGAGTTACCGAGACCGCAGTTTTAGACATGACATATAGATCGTAAAATAGAGAATAATTATGAATCGGATCGCTTTGCTATAAATACACAAGCAATCATATGCCGGTAGAACATCTGATATCGTTGTATCTCAGTGTGGTAGCAGTCGAATCCCCTACTACGACCGGACTTAACACCGACCCTCGGTCGCACTACTAGACGTGGAGAACGAATGGTCTGGTCTTTGTGTGCCAACGACTGGACCACAGGCGATTGAATCCACCGCAAGTTTCTCCGGACCTCCGGAGAAAGCAGCCACAATTTCCTTCCCCAGAAGTCCAGACTCCACGTTCCCGATATGATGTGATCGCCTGGTGTTTGGGACAAAAATACCGGGGAGAAGCTCACGAAGGGAAAGCTAGGACCTGCAGGAACCACTCTTTTAGTCAGATTTTTGGTCATGCGAAAGTACACAATTTTCTTGTACTTTCCCCGTTTCAGCTGGCAAAGGATTCTGGAGAACGGCCGGATGTGATTCCAGAAACATGGATCGTAATCATATACTCCCCCGAAGAGCGTCACATGAGCATCCCATGACCCAGTCACTGGTTTTGGGGGCGGAACAACCAATCTTCTTTTTTTATTTTGTTTTTTATTTTTTATTTTTTTTGTTTCATTCGTTTAATCTCTATCCTGTCTCTCTTTTTTAGAGTCTCTCTTGTTTCTCAATTGTATTCACGTACGGAAAATTTCCGAATCCTCCAAAGACCCAGTTGGAACCAGAATTGAACGTAGTCGGTGGATAAAGAAGCGCCGAAGAAGCAAAGCAAATGGAGCATCACTACTCCGTAAATTACGCTGGGCGGTCAGAGTCCGACTAGGAAAAGGGCTTGGGCCCGTTCGTGGCTTTCCGGCCGATATTGCGATTCGCTGGCATTCATGACTTCCTGACCTCCTGCTTTGCCTGTCTCCCCTATCTGACGGCGTTCTGGCAAGAATTATTATGATCCAGATTATTATTATTTTGGTCTATCAAATCAGAGTTGCATAACTTACCAGAAAAAAAAAAAAAAACAATTAAGTCCTTCCCCTCACCTCCCACTCCCTCTCCCTTCTTGGTCCATCCGATCTTCACACCGGCCACGACGTGGGATTCCTCTTGTCCATGGATTTTTCTCTCCGCTGGGTGCTTCTCTCCAAAGCTATTCCATATCGCCGTTCTCTCCGATCTCCGTTACCCTCCTTGGCCACTTCCTTCGGTCGTATTACCGGGAACGTTCGATCGCCGTAGACAGCATCAACGAGAGAGCCGCCCAATGTGTTGTGAGCACGGATGACCACTTGCTCGCAATGAGCCTCCCTTCTCCCCAGAAGAACGCCGCCAGTAGTGTTCCTCCCCCAAGACAAATCCGTTTCGTCTCGACCGATGGTCAACCCCAGACTAAACGGCGACGAGTGAACGCGGCGTAAGCTTCCTCCTACTGGATCCTTCCTTGACCCCAAGTTTACTTATCCTGGACAGATGTCGGACATGTCGCAAGCGCAAAATACGATGCTCAGGTGAACAACCAGGTAGGACGAAGCGGATGTTTCTATCCATAGTGACCGATCTTTTGTTACTGATCGATACTTTCTACTAGTGTGCAAAACCTGCTCTGACTACAACCACATCTGCCTGGGATATAGCGAGCCTCCCTCTCATCTCCGATCACAATCCGATGCCGCTTCCCGTAATGCAAACCTCCCCTCCATCTCTGGTCCAAGTGAAGTTCCCAACTCGCGCGCACCGATCAAAGTGGAGAGTCGCTCCCCAGACTCTCCTCAGCCCACCACGGTGCCATGCGGTGACAGCCTTGATAAGCCCTCCGAAGTCTCGCGGCCATCGGATGCGAAAGATGCCTCTTTGACAAGGGATACATCGTCGCGAACCACGAAAGAGTCCGAACAACAGGCCGCCGGTGAGAGTCCAGAAAGTAGTATGTTGCGCACCTTTTCATTCGGCCTTTTATCCTCATGGCGAGTCTTGTTATGTTTTCCCGAGCTCATTGGATGCTAGGTCGGACGTCTCTTAGCTCCGGTGTTCGTACCCATGTTCCATATTTCAGATATTTTGGACCGACAGCCATTGTTCCTGGCTTTAAACAAATGGTATATATCCTTCTACTATATCTGAACACCAGCGCTAATTATACGCAGGTTGTCCAGGTCCGTGGCTCACGCAAGAGTAACCCATCCATTTCATCCGGTATGTGCTTCCGAATATCACGCGTAACCCCTTGGCGACCGTTGACTACGATGGACATCATACATCCCCTCAGCTCTCTAACTGACATCATCTGCTATATTTATAGAGTCGCTATCACCTCTCCGAAGCCCAAAATTCGATGTCTCATTAAACCCTTTAAATTCCGCAACTGAAAGCCGTGATGCAAACACCATTCCGTTTTATGATCGAGATGACTCTTTACCAGTAAGCAACCTCGTGACTCACCTTTGCGACCTCTTCTTTACACATCTGGGATGCAATTTCCCCTTCCTCCAACGAGAGAGGTTTCTTCGCGATTTGAAGGACAAAAAAGTCGATACCATGCTTGTCGATGCAGTCTGTGCTCTATCGGCCAGATTTTCTCCTCATCCGTTATTGAGCCCCGCCCAGGCTCCCCCGATTGATGGCTCAGCACCCCCACCCGACATAAGGAAGTCTGATCGTGGCCATTCGTTTGCCCACAGAGCGATGGGTGCCCTCGTCGACTCTCTCTCATGTCCAACATTATCCGTTGTTCAAGCATGTCTGTTGTTGGCTTATGAGGAGTTTGGCTCCAACCATGATAGTGGCCTGTGGATGTACCTGGGCATCTCCATCCGAATGGCCCAGGATCTTGGGATGCAGAAGGTCCAAGGGCTAAAATATAGCTATGGGCAAAGTGGCGTAACGCCAAACGCAGTTATGTCCGGGCAAGCTGGAAAGCTGAGGGAGGAGCAATATGATGATCCTCAGGTCTCTCAAAGCCCGGCCAAGGAGGCACAGAGCGTTGATCATCAACGTGCTTGGGAAAGGGAAAGAGTGGACACCTTTTGGAGCATTTTCTTTCTCGACAGAGTGATATCATCAGGCACCGGGAGGCCAGTAACTTTGCGTGATGAAGACATAGAGCTGTGTTTTCCTCTTCAGTCAGAATCTCTGCTTCCCAACGGTTGGCCTGCACCATTTCCGCCGCTTATTCGCATAATACACCTGTATGGAAGGGTGACGGATTTGATAAATGGAATCCAAGACGTAAATCACGTCACAACGGAGACTCTGAAAAGACTAGCTGGAATGGAGAGTGACCTGACAGGTATTCATCCCTGTGGTTGTATTTTTTTTTTTTTTTTTTTTTTTTTTTTTTTTTTTTTTTTTTTTAGCGTACATGCCGCTCATTCTGATCATTTTCAGGTATCTACCAGCGCTTGTCCCCTAGGCTTCATTTTAACGCGGCCAACTTTCAAGCGTATGTGAAGGCAAAGGAAGGAACCAATTTTATTCTCCTCCATTTTGTAAGCATGCCTCTTCTATCATACGATTGTCTATGATGCTCATATTCATAGTGGTTCCATACTTTAATAGTCCTCCTCCATCAACCCACTCTCCTGAATTCCTTTGGCGGGACCATACAGCATCTTTATCCGAACAGTCGAGAGCTGTCGATGTCGTCTGCTAAGACTATTGCAGATATTCTGTCATTCTCCGAGTTGGTGGATGGGAAAAGCTTTATTGGAAACCCCTTCACCAGTCAGCCAATGTACATTGCTGCGTGTGCATTTCTTATGGAGAGTGCATATTACACGTCACCCTCGTCAAGGTCCGGTTCTCCCCCCAGTCAACCCTTACTGGCCAATCAAACCAGTGGCTTTGTTATGCCCAATTTGGACCCCTCTGGTGGAACAGACCGAAAACCGACTGCAAAGCATATTCTTCTGGCGTCCGCCGCTAAAGAGAATTATCAGCGATGCTACAAAGCACTCAAGGCACTTGAGACGTATTGGGAGGGAACAAAGTACATCCTTACAGTTCTAGATCAGAAGGCTAAGGGAATCGTCGATCCCCTTTTATATACCGTGGAAGAGATGGAAAGCACAGCCGACGTGTCTCCGGTCCAGTCTCTTGCAGCATCCAATTGGCGACGATCGGGTTCTATGGGCACTGCAACTGGCCCAGAGGGATCAGGAATGGCTGTAGATTCCTCGTCGGACAGGAAATGTTCCCCAAAAATCGACCCCAGTCAAGGTAAGATTATTTTCTAGGACGATCGTCTAGTATTGGTGGCATGCTGACTCGCTCTTTGTTCCAGCAATCGGCTGGGCCCTTACTGGAGCGACCAACTCCTCCCAGCCTAACCTGAGCTTGCTTTACCAGATGCCTGCAACACAGGTAGATTCGGCACCCAACCGGCCTGCTTACTCCTCCCAATACAGCCACAGTTATCCCACGTTACCTATACAGTCCGGTAGTAATCAGAGCCCGAATTCATATTCTCAATCGCTCGAGCCGGCTCGAACGACGTCCGCAACGTCGAACCCGTCTATTGCAGCGGGGTCGGCCAAGTTCTCCCCATTGCCGTCTGCACGAGTCTCCACTTCCGATGCGAATCTCCTTTTAGGCCTGAACAATTCATATTCTACATCTCGTCCTCCAGCATCTCAGGCCGCGTATCCTCCAAACGTCCCTTCATCGCGACTCGAGACGCAGTCCTCTTCGTATAGTTACAACCTTCCGTCGGCGCCAAGTGAGCAACATCCAAGCGGTGGGCACATAAGCTCAAGAGTTCCGGAATTTCACCCATCAGCAGGCGCCCACGGCGATGTGATGATAGGAAGTCAGGATATTGATATGGCCAGTCTTCAGCATCAAGATCAACTGCCGTTCGCCTTTAACGGGGAGATTCTGCCTTGGTTAGAGTACCTTCCTCAAGATGTCCTCAATTATTTCGGGGAACACCAAAACTACACTCTGATGAGTCCTGATGACAGTGCCCCGCGGCCGCCTCAGTAGAGCTTGTTTTTTCGTATATAGCTCAAGAGTCTACGTGCCCATGTCCAGCGATGTGTCGTGCTTTTGTTATGATTAAGAAGGTATCTTCGGCGTCACGGTCTCTGTTACGGAAATTAGAGCGAGTCCAGGGTTTTCCTTTATTTCTATTTTTATTTACTTATTTTTTATTTATTTCGGACTGACCTTTCCCGACTCATTCATTGTCCTTACTGATATCCTCGTTGAGATTTTATTCTTTTTTCGTTCCGCAGAAGGGTCGGGTTCCCTCATTCGCATGCTGCCTTCTCCGTTTTATGGTTGTCTCGCGAAAGCATCTTACGGTCTCATATTGATTTGCATGATTGGGGGAAGTTTTTATCTTGCAAACTGGTGTCATGTATATTATAGTATGCACCCATAGACTGGGTCTTTATGACGGCTTGATTCTTCCGGTGCTTAGTACTTCCTGCTTCCTGGGATCTGGGCAGATGAGCATCGGTGTAATGTATTAGTCTATTTTATTTATCTGGTTTTTCCATCTTGTCCTAGGATCCTTGCAGGGTGGATGAGAAGGACTCTCATCCACCCTCCTTCCTAGATGACTCCGAGGCCGAGGACAAAGCCGCGAGAAAAGGGTAGAGAAGATATCTTAAATACGCCCTCGTCGACGGTTCGAGGTTGCTGGCATGTATATCTCCCCCAAAGCAACTCGTCCTATGCTTGTCTCCTCCACTCAGACATGATGGCATCTTTTCAGAGCGAAACTCATCCAGAGCCAGACAGGCGAGCTTAATAGACCTCCATCGCAGACGCCTGGAATAACGGGATATGATACTCCCCCCAATTGGGGTATGCAGGCATGGACGCAAGTAGCACGCTCTTTTTTCCTATTTTTCAACTCCTGGTATGTGTACCATTACCTCTTTTCCCAAATGCCGTTTTCCTCCTGATCATCATCACCATAACAGGGGTACGGTGAATACCTTTGGAGATTTCCAGACTTCTTACGAAACCGACCTTCTGCGTCACGAATCTCACTCTAATATCTCATGGATTGGAGCCATCCAGGCCTTTCTGCTGTCGCTTGTTGGGGTCATTACCGGACCACTCTACGATGCCGATTACTTTCGCGCGTTGATCGTGACAGATGCTGCGTTGATTGTTATCGGCTTCATGGCTTTAAGCCTCTGCACCCAGTACTGGCAAGTGGTCCTTGCCCATGCCCTCTCCATCAGTCTCGGGTATGGATGTCTCTATATACTATCGGTGGCGATTCTCCCGCAGCACTTCTCCTCAAGGAAAGCCATTGCGGCCGGTATTGCCGCATCGGGGAGTAGGTTTGGAGGCATGTTGTATCCAATTGTATTCCGACAACTGCAGCCCCAGATCGGGTTTGCATAGGTGACACGCGTACTTGGTTTCACGGTTCTGGCAACGTCGTTATTTTCAATCAGTGTGATGCGTGTGCAGCATACTACCAGCCAGAGACGTCTACTGATTGCGCCGTCTGCATTCAAAGAACCACCCTAATGTTATTCTACGATGTTCTTCGGATATATCCGTTTCTTCTGCCCCATTTTCTACATCCAATCCTACGGGATCGAGAAGAACCTAATGGGTGAGAACCTGGCGTTCTATCTGGTAGCAATGCTCAACGCCGCCTCCATGCCAGACCGTATCATTCTGGGCCTTCTGGGACAGTTCCTTGGACTTCTCAACCTTTTCCTGATCAGCACCATGTTGTAGCAGAACGATTTTAGTGGGTTGGATTGCTGTGGACACCTCGAATGGCTTGATCGTTTTGTCTGTTCTTTATGGGTTCTTCTCCGGCGCTTTCGTCTCGCTTCCCGCTGTGGCTCTGACCAGTCTCATTGCGGACCTTCGAACTCTGAGCACGCAAATGGGCATGTGTTCAGTCCTTTGTGGCTTCGGGGTCTCTCTGTGGAGTGCTAATTGCTGGGGCGATCCTTGATAGCACGCACTCGTACCTCGAGGTTCAGTTGTATTCGGGACTTGCGATTTATATTACTGGGATTCTGCTTTGCTTCTCTCGGATCTTCAAGGTGGGGACTAGATTGATGGAAGGCACGATAATTACGTGTTCTGCCATGAGGATATTTAATTCAAATAGACATATATGGAGATTTTATACTTTTATTGGCCAGCACTATATCAAAAATTCTATAATGACATCATACCTGGGTTGCTCCGAGCTCCGAATCGAATCCGAGCACCGACAGTAACCAATCCGAGACAAAGGCCATCCATACTACTTAAGTACTTATTAATTCACGTTCATTTCTGAGCCTCGAATCGAATTGTTTTGATTTTTGCAGTCACTGATTCTTCGCTGGAGACATAGAGACGCTAACTTAGTCCTTTTCCAGTGGTATTCGCTTCGAGACGTGTCTAATTCCTTTCTCTCATCTAGATCCTCCTGTTGACAGCGATAAATGATCAAGCACTCCAACTCATCATTTTACTCTATTCAGATCTCAGATATGCCTCCTAACCGTCGTAGAAACGGCCGAAAACCAGGCTGTCAGCCATGTCGGAAGCGAAAACTAGCATGCGATCATATAGTTCCCGCATGTAAAGGGTGCCAGAAACATTCGGTAACATGTATCTCGAGAAGCCCTCCGTGCAAGCAAGGAAAAAAAAAAAAAAAAACAGAGCTACTGCGCATCTGGGAGTTTCACACCGATGAACCAGTCTCCTCGTATACTACTGCACCACATTCTCTACCCAGCGTCCATGAAGCTACCAGTAATGATCGCTACGGAAATCCGCCGCAGCCTACAGCAGTCATCGACGAGTCGACGGAGTATCTTGGCCCAATGAACTTTATCTTGGCCTTCATGGAGCATAGCGAGCATTTCGAAGTCGTTCATGCTCTGAATGGCTAACAGAATGGAGGGCACATCGGTCGGTCATCGGCTTCCTTGCTGCGAAACCAATGATTTGGCTCCAGTCTCCCATAACTTGCACCTGGGTATTTTGGTTCTGCGAGATATACCAGACGAATGGAGCTGTAATTTCCTTTTCTCCGAGCACATCAATCCGAACGACGGATGGATCAGACGCGCTGGACGAGCCGTGTCAGATGTCATGTGGAATACATTCCGAACGTCGCTGAATAAACAGCCCTCGGGGAAGCTGGTTGGCCTCTCACGTCTTATATCCAGGAACAGCTCCGTGCCTCTTGTTGTGGAAGAGGATCCTCAACGCTGGGTTCCGTCTTTTAGTGGAGAGAATCTGCGCTGGGAGGCGCTCGGTATTCTGTTTACTTACTGGGCGTTCGGGGCAATATCCTCGTCTCCGGAGAGCGAGGTCGTCTCGCGATTCAATAGCGAACATTATCCAGTTAGGGATCTAAAACAACTCATGGTGAGGGTGAAGAATTGCGCATCGCTTTGTATTGGTCTCTGCAAATATCTTTCGTCTAACGTTCTCCTGGTGTATCTGCTTTATAGGCACAATATCCGGGAATCTATCATCAATGGAGATAAGAGTACGTATCTGCCGTGTTTGTCTTCTATTAGACTCGTGATAGCGGCACATGATACTTACAATGGCAAGTTTCTCCTGTTGGAGACAACATGGGTATCTAGTCGCGGTTACCATATCTATTGGACTCCACAGAGAGTTGCCGAGCGATGTAGAGAAGACCACGAAACAGTGTGGGATGAGACGAAGGGTCTATGCAGCTGTGTTTAAAATTGACAAGGTTCTGTCAACGTTCAGGGGAAGACCACCACTGCTGAGTCGGGTTTACTCATCAGTGACGAAGACTTGTTGTCTGGGAGATGGGACAAACGAGTAGCTCTCTTGGATGTAAACTGATGGAGATGGCCGCATATATTCAGTGATTGTTCTACGAGCCCGCACAATGTTCGCAATGATCCGCGATGAGATCTTGGGATTAATTGAAGTAACAAGCAGTTCTCTGCCAGAATCTGATGTAGAACAAACATTGTATGCTGCTCTCTGTCTCTCCTCTTATGTCACTCACACAGTATAGGCGATTGAAAGAGAGGGCCTCTTGGGGGTATTTACTCGTAATTGCCCGCATGCATTGTATACAGAGTTAGCGACCTCGACGGATTCAATGTCCCTGGAGGCGATCTCTACGCCCGTATCCTTGTGCGATTGGTTTCTTATTGAAAGACTTTTGACCCGACGAAAGGTCGTCAATGAGCAGAATCTCGTTGGCACCAGTCGGGAAATGCTGGGTCTGACTCTGACATTCTGGAAGCACAAAGATCGCTTTAACGGGCTACACAGTGACTTTGAATGGCTGGTAAGCAACCATATCCCTCTCAGAGATCTCTCTGTCTCTCTTTGACATTATTCTAATTAACTCAGGCGATGCCATACGCTGTCCCTTCCGTGCAATCCTTTGTCTCGAGCTCCTTCGTCAAGAAGGCAATACAGAAACTTATTCCATCCGACTCCCGCGATCCGAAATCATCCAGTATCCTAGTTTGCTGATTGGTTTCCTGGACTGGGTCAGACCCATCTCATCATCTAGTGATCTGAATGATTTCATCACAAGGATTTTGGGCTGTGTTCTGAATCGAATTCTCGATGTGCCTGCTCTCACAAGGCCGATTCAGAACCCAGCGCTGGATTCCACTGTTTACAGTGAGGGTTTTGAGTGTCCGCAGTATCCTCATCTAAAGCTCATGCACACCTTTGACTGGATTGACTGGGATGTATCTGATTTTTCAGTTAACATTATAAGGATAAAGACATACGCATTCTGTGCTCGTATAAACCAATTGTCAATCTTGGCGCATGTAACCATGTTGCCCAGCACAACCAGGCGGTGAGCATCACCAACAACAGATCAACATCATCGTCGTATCTATAGTTCATCCCTCATTGCCATGAGTTTGAGTGGGATTACCAAGCGTAACAATTACATCCAAGGCAATGAGACGACTATGAATCCAGTTTGATACTGGTCTCGTTCACATTCCACTCGCTCCCTTTATCGTTCAACGGTTCAACCAACGGGACCCGAGCCAAGGAACTTAACATTTTTCCCCACATATTTGTCCCAAATTATTCCTATTTCTATTTACTGTTTCTCTAGGCTGGGTCGACCCAGAATCTAGAACCGATTCTCTAACAGAGTCCTTCCAATGGAGGAGACATTCCATGTCTCCAAGTTGACCGACGTCGTAGATTCGACGTATTCCCCTACCAAAGAGATCTATCCGCATCCCGATGGAGAAACAGAGCACTTAGTGCATGTGCTCAACTGCGGATACAATTCCTCTGAGTCGTCCACGCAGCCATCATCAAACGATATATTAGGCGTCGATCTCGACGACAACGACAATGGCGACCGACCCCAGGGACTGAATTCCCATTCCCGAGCGTCCAGTCGCTCCTCGGTTTCTTCATTGCCCATGTCAGTCCTCACCAATCAGATGGATACGATAAAACCGGCGATTGCGCACGAAGCACACGAACATATGTTCTGGGATGATCAGTACACAAGAGTACGGGGACAGGGACAGATGAAGCATATCCATACAATTCGGCAGCGCGAGGCGGCGTTTCGCAAACCGAGTTCTGTCAGAGCGATGCAGATGCATACAGAGGATGAAGGTGATGATGATTACTTGACACCGCCGAGACGACGAGGAGGACCCCGGACGTCGGATACCTCTGTGCGGTCATCTGGGTCGTCGCCGCTGAAGACATACCCGTATTACTCTCCCATGGTGTCTACAGGGAAACCGAAGGTGAAAAAGGAATATCCACTTGTGCTTTTGCATTGTACCCTGCTTCCCCCGTCTCTGCCTGTGCCGGGGCTAATGGGGCTTCCGGATCCGAAAATCCTGAAAGAGGTGCTGCCGTTGGAGTATTGGAGACGTTGGAAGCGGTTGGAGGAGAAGGTTGGATCGGGGATGCTGCGCGATCGTGGGGTGCTGATTTCCCATCCGGAGGATATGTATGACTTGTTGGAGGAGCGACTGCTAGAGAGCTTAGAGCTGCAGCGCCCACGGCTCGATCATGGTCATTTTGTAGGACATGACGAGACGGATTCCGAGAGAGAAGACCAGGCGAGTAGAGAGGAGAGCGAAACGGATGGCGAGCAGGGTGAAGAATGTCCCGACTGCGGTGGGCGGATCCTCAGACCGAACAATCTTAGTAGGAAATGGGAGATCAGGGTCTTTGCAGCCAACGGGTTGATGAGAGCCGGAGCCTGGGCTGCAGCCTGGAAGGAGATGGAGAAGGTGGACGTCGAGGTTGGTCTGTGGCTGCCGCCAGAAATCAGGAGAGAGTTAGAGAAAAGGTTGTTGGACAATGAGAAACCATCGTCGAGAAATCAGACAGGAATGATACAGCTCTTCGAACCTATCAACGAGACGGAGAGTCAGCCACGTTCATTGCATCAACAGACACCACCTTTGTCAAATGATGTCCAAATTCCCTGTGCTTCCAAGAGGTCTTCATCCCCGGTCCAGCAGAATGGACCATTTTATCGTCACAAACCCGAAATGGAGATCGCCATCCAGACCCTTCTGGTGAACTACGTCCGCGTCCTGGCCAGTGACCGGCGCAACGTTGCCATCGCTTTTCTCAGCATTCTTGTAGCCTTTTTCGCCATTGGCTCAGGACACAACTCTCCAGCATCAGATCTGCGTCCCTTTCCCCAGGATATGCTGCACCCTTCTCCCCCTTCATCTATCTCTCCGATACCAAGCTCATCTGTGGACTGGATGACCCCAGCCATTTCTGAAGTACCAATTCTAAACTCCTCGCCGATCTCCATCGAAACTGTCTCCTCATCCGCGAGCGTCATGGATCCCACGACTTCTGCTACTTCCCTTGATGCACAAGAAACCCCCCTTACTATGAGTGAACCCCGGACCCCTGAGCCTCCCCAAATCGCCTCCCTTTCCGAGGAAAAGGAAAATGCACATGCATCAGACAGTGCGGTATTCCCACCCGCAGAGCACAGCATAGAGACGACAGAACCAATAGCATCCGAAACCATGGAGCTAGAACCAACCCCTGAAAATGAGAATGACGATAATATCGAGGAATTGCCGGTACAGAATGATGACGAAATGGATGAGCAATTGATTGATTGATTGATATAATATGAGGAGGATCCAATTCACGACCGATATGAAACCATTAGCCAGTTTGTTACTGATACGTGAGTTAAGAGATTCTGGTAGTTTTGAATATCACCATTCTTAACTTCACTGGTACAGATAGATTTCCTTTTTAATACTTTATATATGTTTGTATACCTATCATTGAGAATTAATCACTTTTCATAGGTCAAGGCACCAGCACCTATAGTCAAGTTTATCTGTCAGTTGTATGCACGCGGTGTCTGTTTGTTCAAAAAAGGACGGTCACTTTTTGAACCACGTACCTGATTATGATATATCCAGTCCATCTGAAGGGAGACATCGTGATAAAGAGATGGTGGTCTGAAGGTATATATAATAGGACATCAGATAGGGTGAACACGAACTCAACTGACTTCCTTTCTCTATTCGACTTACTGTGGTCGATTTGTACATGTACTGTGTTCTATTTTCTATATGTTGGTCTCGTGGGTATATGGACGGGTTAGGTTAGTAGATCAGAAGTCTGTCTGGGACAGAACTTCGCTCTATATACTAGATTTGCTGAGGCTATAAACAAGATGTAGATCCTTTGAACTTCAGTGGGACTATGGAGGATGCTATCCTGTATACTACATTGGGAGTCTATAGTGTTCTACGATGAAGATAATATGCTTATGATGTAGGTGAGTTGATTCATTCTAATAGCTTTGCCTGCAAGAATACTACCACCTGGGTTCATCTTCCTGCAACCAGTTTAAGAAAGAAATATTCAACAAATCCCAGCTACATCCACTGGTGAATGATCAGCACAAACAGATAGAAAAAGAGGTATGACTCGCCTCATTGTAAAGTCGCGGCGGACGGTCACTGTCTCCTGCGGTTGGTCCGGCCAACAACTCTTGCGATTTCATTCACCTGGTAGGATCAGGCACCGGCTTTCATAATTTTGTGTTTCTTCTCTCGTTTCATTGAGCTTACTTTCTTTTTCTTTTTCCTTCTTCCTTTCACCTTTCACCTTCGCTTCCACTTTGACCGTGCATTCTTTACTCCACAGTAACAACCAACGTTGAATCTCCTTCGAATACCTTCGTCTTGTTCGAACACTTGATAGTTAAACCATTGAGCAAGTTTGACCCCTCTAGGGCATTTAGTGAAATCAATTAATCATCTACAGACAACCCTCACCATCGAGATGTCTCAAGTGACTCAGTACCAGTCTCTGTCGCCCTCCCGCTTGCTTCTGCTTCCCAGGGAATTACTTAATGGTATTTTTGCCAAGGTAAGCCACTTATCGTTGTAATTCTCCTGTCTTGGCTAATCAGACAAAGACTGGATTCGACGGCCTCATTAGTCTGTCGAGGGTGTGTAAGATGTTCCACGAAGTGGCAGCGTCTGTGCTGTACCGTTTCATGTACTATGGCCACCACGCCGATAGTGCTGTCATGACCCACCGTTCGCTGGAACAATTCGTTGCCATGACCAACACCATTCTCACAAGTGACTATAACTATGGCCGCTTCGTAAAGGACCTCGTTCTGGGTAGCGAGTACTCGGCGGAAGTAGCCGGTCATCGTGTCAATTCTGTCAAGAAAGAAGCATATTCGCATGACAGTGGACGGTTTCTCGTTACCCTTATGGCGGCACTATTGCACAAAACTAGGACCTTGCTCCACTTCAAGTAAGCAATCTTATCTGTATCCAGGAGTTCTCGCTAACATACCTGCCCTTGAGATGGGACATCCCGGTCGAGGTCACTCCATCCCTGTTCAAGGCCCTCGGGAGGGTGCCACATCTCCAGGTACTGCATATTCGTTTCCCACCACCACTCCGTCTGAAAATTGCCACCGAGGTAGTCACCCCTTCAAACTATCCGACGCATCCACATCACCATCTTCAGCCGGGCCAGGCGTTCCCTCATGGGCCCCTGCACATCTCCCCCGACGATGATATCCGTTTTCTCAGAGACCTTGAGGCACTCAAGGACCCTCGCAATTTCTCTCTCTTTTCCAATCTCCAGGAGTTATCGGCTCTTGATATCGGTATCCTGGGGTACGTTCCAGAGATTGCGAAGTGCATTTCAAGGTCTTCTTCCACGCTGCGAAGTTTGAAACTGTCCTTCTCTGATGAACGCGCGGTGAAGGCTCGGAGAAAGGCTGAAAATGCCAATGCAGCCCCCAGTGGGAATGCCTTCGCTTTGGCGGCCAGAACCTTGCCACTGGATCCTGCTGCACACAGGGAACTCAAGATCCAAGAGAGGACATTGTCAACTATTTTCGGCTTGAAAATCTCAGCGCCTCAGGAACGCGTGAATAGAGTGCTTGGTAATTACTTCCATGCGGAAGATCAATCCACAGTCCTTAAGGCAGAAGTTCAAAACAACCGAGATCATGCATTTGTCACAGCGGCCCGCCAGATAGCACAAGCGATGCCCCTGCTCATGATCCCCAACCCCGAATCATCACTGGTTGCGCAGGTGCTACTCAAGATGGATAAAGCCTGCAGTATGTTTCTTAGTCAGGGTCCAAACAGCTTCCCTACGGCCAATGCAGACTCCTCCCACGCTGCTCTCCCGTCGGGCTCTGTGCTTCCTGAAATATCCGGTTCAACAAGCACTGCCGTCCCAGCATCTGCACTGACTGATCACACCACCAACGTCGACATTAAGCATCCTGATATGCTCGACGAAGGTGAGGATCAGGTGTTCACAGATGCTGGAGATGCCAGTGCGGGGATCAGTAGTACAAGGCCTTCTCGAAATGAGAGAGCGGAGACACAATCCACCCTTCCCAAAGTCAGAGAAAAAGCGGTGCGTGACGAAAACAGATCGAATGAACGATCTCGGGCGCAAACAATCAGAGAATACATCCATAGCGCTCATGGCTTGCCACTTGACTTTTTGTCCATCCATCAGATTCCCGTGGACGCTGTTGTGTTAACTCGCGGAGTCAACGTGACGAATCTTAAGCACCTCGCCCTGCTGAATGTTGGCCCGCAGGGTCCGATCTGGGCCGCATTGAAGAAACACAACAGCGAAAACGCCCTCGAGCTAGAATCGATCCACACCGACCAAGTATCCAAAACCTTTCTTTCTTTCGTCCATAGCCTGGATGAGGTCACGGAGCTATTCATTATCGAACGCAGTCCCAAGGCCAAAGTCCCAACCATGCAGCCAAAGACGGATGTCGGCATTGCGGACATCAGGCGACACATCCTCAAGAAACACATCTGTAGTCTTGAGCGTCTGGTCATACGGAACGACGCTGACGACAGTTGGGTTGTGGACACACGCACTGCCCGCCTCATCACCACCTATGGATACGGTCTTTCGGAACTTGGAATTGGCATTACCCCTACCAGTTTCGTAAGTGCTTCTGACTTTTCCATATAGTGGATGATTAACACAACCTGCAGCACGATATCATCCGAGAGATCGGTGGCTTCACTAGTCTAATCGCCCTGCAGCTCTTTTTGCATTGTCGCGACATGTGTAACAGCATGATTAACGAGCTGCACTGCTCCGTATTCGACAACATCTCTCATTATCCCCAGTTGGTCATCGAGTACGTGGGCATGTGTTATGGCATCCACGGCATCGCATCAAACTCTATCATAGAGGTTAACTCTGAAGACGAAGAAGACGAACCGAACTCACTTCGCTCCTCAGATCCTCGTGCTGAGACCCCTATGTCAGATAACGAGGAGGACATCCCCGCTTCTGTTCAGGGATCCCCAAGCCAGGTAGCCCAGACTGGGGGGGCCAACAGAGAAGGACCTGGAATAACCGCAAGAGAAAAAATTCGATCGTGTGATCTGACTAATATCAAGATGTGGGAGGCAGCGATGTGGAATTTCAAGCTGTGACACGAGGTTCATCACAACGCGTTCGCTTGCGCGGTTATTTACAAGCCCAGAGTCGCGGTCTGATTCTGATTCAAATTGGAATTGCTGTAAGATTTTTGCTCACTGCTTTTCATTACCTCACACTAGTATTCATTTTTTCTATTCCCAGCTCAAATTTGGTTCACTTGTCCCCCTGGGTGGGATTGTTTCTTACACATGGAGATTTATGTCTGGATAATTGGTGATAAGATATCTTGGGCCAGTGGCCTCCTTTATAAGGACATGGGGCTATAGGTGAAATATATGCATCTAGCAGACTAAGCATTAGCAAAGGACGAATGTTATTTCACGTTCTAGAGCAGAAGAGCATTTGAAGTATAGATCCGATTCTATCATATGCTAAGCACTTAGTCATCATATGTCACGCCGCCCGGAGATATGAATCCCCGCCACTGTTCTTTCAAATAAAACAGACTGTCAAGGCTCACGAAAGACGCACAAGATGGCAGGCAAGAAAGGAGGTGAGAACACCAAAAAGGCGGCTGGCAATGCCCGCGTACGTACAGCCCTATTCCTGAAATTTATACCAGACACTATCAATTGTCAACTACTCAACAGCTTGACCACGCCCCCACTTCACCAACGCAATTATATATGAGCATGCAACCAGACTAATAGTGCACAAACAAATAGAAGGCAGAAGCCGCAGCCAACAAGAAGGCAGCTGAAGATTCCAAGCGTGCCGCAGAGGAAGACAAGGCCTGGCAGAAAGGAGCTAAAAACAACTCCAAGAAGTGCGCCAACCCCGCCATATACCTTTCCTCAAATTTGCTTCCGAGTGACAGTTGACTCATGCTATCCTGAATAACTACAGGGAAGATGCAGAAGCCAAGAAAGCCGAAGCAGCACGTAAAAAAGCCGAACGGGATGCCATGCTCGCCGCCGAAGAGGCCTCTCAACCGTCCAAGGGCAAGGGCAACGCTAAACAAGCGCAGAAGAAGACCCGCGGTCTGGACCTGGCGCAGCTCGATGACGAGCCTGCGTCTCGGAAGGGATCCACGCTTAATGCTTCTGGTATCGATAATGCTTTAGATGCACTGTCGTTGACCAGCAAGGATTCGTCCAAGATAGATCGACACCCAGAGCGGCGATACAAGGCGGCCTATGCAGCGTACGAGGCACGGCGCATGCCCGAGATTGAGCAGGAGAACCCGGGGTTGAGGAGACAGCAACGGATCGAGCTAGTGAAGAAGGAGTTTGACAAGAGCGAGGAGAACCCGTTCAACCAGGCGCATGTGGCATTTGATGCGTCTCGCGAGGAGCTGGCTAATGTAAGAGAGGCAGAGAGAAGGAAGGTGGAAGCCAGGTTGGGGAAATGATCTCAGTATTCAGGGTTACTGTTCTTTTGCGAGATTCTGGTAACTCCCAAGGTGCTCGACCATCGTGTCTGGAGAACGTTGATATACCCAGCTTTCTTTTGTGTTTGATCTTGATTTTCTGGATGGCCTGATGGGATAGGATGTGGATATATTGCCATCTCTCCGGATTAAATATAGAGAAGTTAGATATTCGCTATCTGTCGGGCTCCACTGCCAGGACTTTGGACAGCCAAATTGACCTTCCTAAACTACGTCTGTTCGAGCTAAACACAAAATAGTATAGAAAATTTGGTGTATTCACATTGGTCTTCAAGCACAAGTGTCACTGCCGAGACTAAAATTGGTATCATGCAATCTAATATCCAATACAGGATGAAGAAAATAGAAAAGAGCACCAGCACCCATGTCTAAAGTGGAACAAAAAGAATAAGACCGGGTTTGGGACTGATGTGAGATCCGTACTACCCCATGACGGCTCGCACATCCCACACAAACAAGTTCTCGTCCCATCCCACGCTCGCGCACCAACCTTCACTACCAAACAGGCACCAGTCGAGTCCCGTCACAAACTCAGTGTGATGTCCCATCCGGCCCAACTCTGCACCCATAACCGGACTCGGTCCTGCGTGCAAGATGTCGATGTCTCCGACTACTCCTGCGGGTGACTGGTCAGTCCAAGCACGACAAGTCATGTCATAACCGCCACTGAGAAGCACGTTGGAGAGATGTGGTGACCAAGAAATCTTGCGAATGCCGTAATCGTGTCCAACCATGACGGCTTGAGGACCCTGCTGAGGAGCACGGATATCGAACGTGCGAATGGTGCGATCCACACCGGCTGTTGCCAGGACCGACGGACGGTATTTGTTCCAATCATGTGTCAAAGCTTCAGATGGAGGACAGGCGGCCGGCGGGACACCCGGGACACCAGGGACGGAAGACGCCGGGGCCGCATGAATAGGGATTTGCATGACGAGGTGGTTGGAGGCCGAGGCCGGAGTGCGAAGGTCAAAGAGGCGGAGATAAGAATCGGAGGCCACGCAAGAAACAATATCGGGCGAGTGTGGCGAGAAAGCCGCGGAATATGTACAGCTGTGGGTTGGAAGAGTGACAAGGGAGTGAGGACGATGAGGAGACCAGACGCGCACAGTGCCGTCCCAACTGCTGGAGCAGAAGCGATCCTTGACAACAAGATTCCAGTTGACACTTAAGACCTCGCGGTTGTGCTCTTTCCAGTTCTGAATGGGGAAATCATTTAGGTTACAGTCGAACAGCTTTATGCTACCGTCACCAGAGGCAACGAGGGCCTGGCTTTCATGGATCTCGGACCAGGCAAGGTCATAGAGCGAATCTTGGGTGGTGAACCTGGAGACAGAGAGAGACTGGTCAGCCTAGGGGGCAATGGGGAAGGCGATGGCAGTCCATACGATTTCAAGGGCGCAATCCCATTCGGAGTGAGTTCCAGGACGAAGAGTCGTCCATTTCCTACCAGCCCAAAATTGGACGACGCGGCGACCGCAAGCCGATTGTCGAAGAATGGGGAGTACTTGACCGCACAGCCGTGGTAACCCTCAGTGCGGTAACGAAGCATGGTTTTCTAGGATGGGGAGGGGGGGGGGAGGAGAGAAAGACCATGCAAAAGACAGAAAGAGAGGAGACGGTTGAACTTGTCTAGACCAGATCCATCACCAGAGGAGATCCAGAAAGATTGCGGAAAGCCAAAACAAGCGAGGAAGTCCCGGGGCTGGAGTGCCTGAGGCGAGAATGCGGGGAGACAAGCCGAGGTTGAGCGTGACCAGCTATTACGTCATTATCTATATAGAGTCAGAGAGTCTCTGAAGGCAGTATCTTCAATATCCCTATATCAAAGGAGGAACTGGGGCTAACTCCAGCGCACAATGATAGATAGAATGCTGCAATTCATGGAGTCTTTCCCATAAGGACCCATTATAGCAAGTATACAAAGAGGTAGCTTGCGAGGCTATGTGGCCTCCAAAACTGCCTATCTTCTTTGATGATTCAATGGACAGCAGAGCAAACAGAACAGTATTTAACAATGTACTATACAGAGCAAAAAAATGACACACAGGTCACCTCATCTGTTTATTTCGAGACCATTTGATTATGACATCAACAATCGTTTCCGGCCATCGTCTGTCACAATGAGGACAGTATCCAAACAAGAGCTCATTTGAAAGACAAATCACAAGGCTAAACACGATGCACATCTGAAGGATCTTAAATGAAAATCATGCCTACAGTCAATCTTCCAACTACTCGGCCGCCTTCGAGCTCCTTGAAACTGAGGTGAATCGACTCGGCGACCAACCCGGCTTGCGTTCCCTCCCCCACAATCCCGATCGAGATTCCCTCATTCTCTCTTGCGGTCCCATAATTTACCGCACGAAGTTTGCCCCGGGATCCAATCGTCTCCTCCGGATCTTCCTACATGCGCTCACCGAGACCCTATCGGCTCTTGCGCGCTGTCTCCTCGGGTCGCAGAAGGAATTTCATGCTTTGAAAAAACATACGCATCCAGACTGTCCAGTATTAAGGAACTAGGCGAGAGAGCTAGCGAGCGGGCCAGTGAGAGGGCTGTTCGAGAAGCTTTCCGCGAGTGGAAAATTACTCGAATTACCAGTTCCGTTGAGGATATGTCTAGCCGTGGACGATGTAGTGTTGGCCTCTTTAACAAAGAGACTGGATGCTGCTGAATCAGAAAACGATGCCAACAATTAGCAATTTCCAGTCAATGTCGTTGAGGAGAATTTCCCGGACGTGCCACGGAGGAATTCAAATCCAGCTAGGGCGACATATCCCAGGAGTGCGATTGTGGTGCTGTTATAGGTAGTTGAAGTGTAGGATGGGTTGCGTCAGGGAAAGGGTCTCGCGGAGTACCATCAGCCAGGTCAGGTATACATTGGGGACCATCAGTGGGAGCTGCAGTCGAATGTACTATAGAGGAGATCATGCGTGTATATGGCGTGCATGGCCATAACCGTTGATATATTTTGAATGATACTCCTTGTGGCCAAGCTGTCACTAGGAGTTGATGAACTCCCACACCAATCCATCAAAATCAGGGACACCTGTCATTCCAAATAAGTCTTCGAATGAAGTATCACCAAAGAGCTGCAGCGTTTCCGGGTCATCCATTAGCGACCCTGGGAGTATCTCAGAGTCATTAGATCCAGGGAGATTCACTGCCGAATTTAGAGAATCTCGTTGCTCTCCGTCATCAGGATCCATGCGCATTTGTGTCTGAGGAGCAGGGAGTTGTTGAGTATCACTTCTGGGGCGGCCACTCGAACGAAGGCGTGAAGTACTCGGAGGTCCTGCAGCGCATCTGCTTTTCACCAGACGTTTCATCGTAACCCCGGATATCTCTTCAACACAGTTTCTGACTCGCTGTGCCTCAAGCCAATACTCGCCAATGCTGCTAAGTATGTTGAGGGATGAGGTAAGGTTCGCAGACAGCTCATCAATGTGAGCATTTGCGGCAATTTCAGGTAACTTCCAGATGCTATGTAGCACAACAAGTGTTCCCAGGAAAATAGAATGGACAACTAGTCGGCTATACTGCAAACAGTCGTTCTTATATAAATCTCGGAAGCTTTCGAGTAGTCCCATCGCATGGCGGTAACACAGGACTGAGGATTGCTCAGATGGCTGTGGAATGGCTGGACTAGGCCGCAGCACAAGAATCATCATCTCGTGGTATTTCACCTCGCAGAGCTTAGCACTCATGCTGTTATCGCTCGGAGAGACCTCTGATTTCCAGGTTCGTAACCTTTCCAGCATCTCCTGTTGCCAACCGAAGATATCCCGCACTGGCGGGTAAGCGTATGCCGGTGGATCCCGAGATATACTATGCATAATGTATTTAATCTCCGAATTCAGACGAGCAGCTTTAAACAAGTGTATTCCAAATGAGATATGCGAGAGCGGTTGGTCTATAGCTCTTTCAATGGGATTTTCTTTTATCAGTTCGTAATCTGCAACATCCATAGGAAGCTTTGCACGTCAGTTAGTCATGTATAAGGAGGCTTGGCTGTCGTGCTACTCACTCGCAAATCGCACGCTTCGTCCCTGATGCCGACCGGCCGTCCCATCATCGTAGCTATAGTTCGATCAAAAGTGTAAACTACCCAGAAAACTCTTGTCCTCATCTCCTGTTCAAAGAGAGATATCTGCAGAGAAGGCGTGTTGCGCACGTCGCGCTGTAGGCCCAGATCGATCAGTGATGCTAGGCATTGATAGTTGAGGTTCCAAATATTGATGCCACAAGACGGGTTATGCAGTGCATAAATCATGAGCAGCAGCAGAGATTGAAGGCCCACCAATGATCCGTCAGGACAGAACTGATTAAAATATTGCATTGCCATAGAGTAGAATCCTTCGGAAGGAAGGCGGACCTTAGATCTCCGCGAAAGGTCCGAGGCTGCGATTGCTAAGACCATGTATACTTGAAATGCCACTGCTGGGGACACTTGTTCAGACCCATAGATCTGTTCAACATACCCCATATGGGAAGGCTGGTGCAGGAATGGATAGCTAACATGTATAGTCTGGAAGTACTTGGACGAAAGTTCCATGGTACTTTGCCGTCGTGGGGGCAATGAGGCCGGCGCATTCAGAAGTTCCGCCACTAAGGAGATGGGGTCACCTGAAGCTGAGCCTGTAGAGTCATTCGCTAAATGCCTCCGCTGTTGATTCCGGCCAGCATTTGAGAAGACAAGATTGGCAAAGAAATACCCGCTAGATGGTCCAATGTAGCGCGGCTCGCTTCCTGGTGAAAGCGAGACCAGGCCAACCTCATGTGCTTGACGAGATTCCATTCGTGGAAAAGCACGCAGCGGATGAGCTGAGACATTTAGATTTTGGGACCTGTCTTGTTCTATACCATGTTCAACGTCCATAGTGTGCTCTTGCTCTGGGCTAAGAATATGGTTCTCGTCACGATCCTCGTCGAATACGATCGGCTCATCTACATGGGGTTCCTCGAGACTAGGGCCTTGAGTAAGGTCCACATTGGGACAGCTCTCTTGAACCATGGATTCTAGCCACTTAATCCGTTTCTCCATTTTCGCGATGTACCTGTATTGTGATCAGATCAGATTAAGCGACATGTTCAACAGGGTAGGACATACGAGCGGTTAACCACCTGTTTTCCATCATTGATACAAGGAACGCTGGCCTTCTGACATGATCCGCAGCGTGGAGTTTGTCCATCACACTGGTGTAGTATACCTGTTAGAAAAGATTCTGAAGAGTGTCAACTGCACAGAAACGTACACGGATCTTCCGTCGTTGGCAGCGACGGCAGGCGGCGCGGTTCCGATTCTTTCTCAACAGCTCCATGGCAGATGGATTAACAGATTATTCTATCCGACTGCATTTCGCATCTGAAGATTATCGGTTGAATTGTTATTGAATATTTGGGAAGAGAGAACGGCTGCGAAGAGAGGCACACGGTTGAAAATGGAAAGAAATTGGCGACGACAAACGGAGTTTTTCCGTCGGCTTCGGATGTCACCCGCCTGTTTTCCATCATACTCGTTTATTCAGAAATGCCCATTATTGCAGCACATCGGATTATAATAATTTCTATGATTTTCATAGCGTTATTCGCTACTCCAAGCAGAGAAAGGACTGCAACAGGTGGTACGATTTGATCCTGTCGGATGTCAAATATTAGCTGTCACAGACAGTAGGTTTGAGTTCGCACAATACAGCTATGCCTGCGATAAAAATTCTAGGAAATAAAGGTTCAGGATGCATATGTCCCGTTCTATAAATTAACCCTCTCTCTCCTTTCTGAACATAGATATGTGAAGCTTTTTTTTCAGATGGCCTAGATATGTATCTGCACATACTCCTGATTGGTCACTTCCAGATCAATCACGTGTAGTTGCTCTCCACCGTTGTTATACGAATATCTCTTCATTGTAATCGCTGGAAACCACACTCATCGACTAATGGCTTCTTCTCTATGCAGACGGTCTTCCCGATGGACCGTTTTGTATCCAGAAAAAGGCCACGGCCCAGCTCACTGGCTGCGCTGCCGCCGTTACCATCAAACACGCATACGTCGCTTTCCGAGGAAGACTCAACGGATGTGAAATTGGCACAGCTCGTATCGCTTTTTCCAGGAACGCCTCAGGATACGCTTATTGATATTCTTGTATCCTGTGGCGGTTCGGTAGAGACGGCCTCTTCCACTATCTCAGCGCAATTTGAGTCCGGCCCACCTAAGAAACGAGCAGTACTAGGGGCACCAGCGATCCAAACATCACTAACGTCTCATGTCCTTACATCTGAGAAGACACCATCGATATCCAAAAGTCCTCTCACTAAGAAGGGGAGGACCATTCATCTCTTTTCCCCTGAAGATATTGCCGCTCATACCCCATGTACTATTATCCACAATTTTCTGCCGTCACAGCAGGCAAATGCACTCCTTCTGGAGCTCCTGGGCGAATCAAAATATTTCTCCAGGTATAAGTTCCAATTATTCGAGCGAACAGTGGAAAGCCCACATTCAGCCAGTGTATATGTCTCTACGCCCGAAGAATTCAGGCAACACACATCCGACTATACTTATGGAGGCACCTTCCGCTCCAACGTGCGGCAGGTCACTCCTAACATGCGCGCAGTCTCTACTAAAGTCCAACGCGCGGTGAATGACGCTATCCAGGAACGAATCCGGTCATCCTATCCAAATGGGCAAAAGCTGAAGTACCAATCACCAAGGGAATGGATTCCCAATGCTGCGTTTGTGAATTGCTACGATGGCCCAGCAGAATGTGTTGGGTATCACTCGGATGAGCTGACCTATCTGGGTCCCCGAGCTATTATTGGCAGTCTGAGCCTGGGTGTGGAACGAGAATTCCGAGTCCGGAGGATTGTACCGTACGATGATATTGAGCAGTATGAGGAAGAAACCTCCCATTCCCCTGAATCAGCATTGTTGTCGGAATCCAATCGATCCCGAAAAGCTGCCGGCGCTCGGGCCGATGCTCAAGGCCAGATCTCGATACACCTACCACACAATTCTCTTCTGGTAATGCATGCCGAAATGCAAGAAGAATGGAAGCATTCCATTGCCTCTGCACAAACCATCTCACCACATCCATTGTCAGGAAACCGCCGTATCAACATCACTTACCGTTGGTATCGAGACTCTCTCCATCCACGAAACATACCTCGATGCCATTGTGGTGAACATACAATCCTGCGATGTGCTCAGCGCAAACGTGAATCGAAGGGTAGATATATGTGGATGTGCTATACCGGGTTTGCGCCTGGGAAAAAGGGGTGTGGCTTCTTTCAATGGGCCGAGTTTGATGATGATGGCGAGCCTCTCTGGAAGAATAAATTTGAGGACAATGCCCCTGCATTGAAAAACTTCGTCGATAAGTAGTACAAGAATTGTACTTGGCGTTCAAGCAACAGCCGAAGTCACCGCCAGCATGATATGTCAGAGACATCGGTGTTATTTCAAGTGTCACCAACTAGATCACCAACTAGACATCTTAATGTCAGACAAGGTCTTGGATGATTCTTCTTATTCTTGCATCTTTGGGCTAGGAAGCCAAGATACCTCTTCTCGCTTGTGCACTCGCCAAGAATCTTCACAGTATAGTAGTCGAAATCATAGAACGAACAGCAGCAAGGCAAGTTCGGTCTTCTGGACATACACACAATGCGTACACGAACTAGGATATTATCGGTTTTGACATGGTTATTTTGGAGTAAGTCATGGTCTCTGGAAGTGTGCTTGCTCAATAGGCAGTTCGAGATGGTGATATGGTCTTGTAGCAGTGAGCCCTCTAGAGTTTGGCTTCCCAGATGTGAGCAGCTCTTTGCAATTTGATTGATAGGCTGGCCACACTACTGCTACATCAGGGCTAAGCCCCGTACATTTTTTGGTGATACTGCCTCATACCACAATAAATATCTGGAGGTTTGAAAGCTGATGTCCAGATATCAAGCCTCTTTCACTAATGGCATTGCTCGATCGATATAAAGAGCACCCATGGACTGCTAATTAAGGACTCCTGTTAGGGTACTTGTCGCCAAACCTACCAGGCTTCTTGTTGGCTGGGTGTGCATGTGTACTATTAATTCTATAATTTCGTCATGTGTAGCAAAGCTTATGTCCAAGAAACGGGCCGTCAAGTATCATCGAGGATTGATAATTTGGACCAGTATATACAGTATTCGGCAAAATCATAAAAATATCCGTATGATACAAGCTTGGTAACACTAGTCGTTGAGCTTATGAGAAAGAAAAGCCTGTTGTCTCCCTCCATACTGGATGATATGTGTGTTGGCATATATCGCTGTGATCAGGAAGTTGCAAACCCGACCAGGTTCTTTCCAACAATCTTGCAGTAGTCAATAACTCCCAAGCCTTATTCGCGGAATTTTATATATATATTTGTTATCATTTCCTCTGCCGATGGGTATAGTCTTTGCCGCTGGACGCAACACAGGGCTTTCCAAAACCTATATTACCGAATGAATAACCTTGTGTAAAGCAGTGGTAAGGCCTCAATAATGGTGTACGACTGTCCAGAATCATTGACACTTCGCCCTCTTTCCTTTATTTATTTATTTTTTTTTTTTTACCCCCATTCTTTGAAAGGTAAAATAGCCACGGGGGGTGCGCATTCACACATATGCGATTGTAGGAAATAGTATATCCATTCGCAGCCTATCTCAGCCCCTTTTTTACGCCTTTTGGCCTCATCCGTGTACCTGTCCTACATTTTGTAAGTTGGTCATTCATCACAAGATGACATGCTTATCTCACTCACCTATTTGGATAAGGTATTCTCATGTACCCGAAGACAAGCATGCACGGGATGCTAATAGACCAAGGATCGCTGATCTTCGTCAAACAGTCTCTCTTTCCTCAACAGGTTCCCGCCACATAGAAGCTTGGGAGCAATCAGTTGCCTCACAAGAGGTGGTAGGTGTGGGATCCGTTCGCCTTTTACGGCGTTTTATACGCGATTTGAGACAAGAGGTGCATTTAACATGAGAACCGGAGCTCCAAAATTCCGAGCAAGCCAGAGCTGCAGCAAAAACGCATCCGATGACGAGTATCGGGACGAGGACCAACGCAAGCACAATGATCGAGGTCTTGTATTGAGTATACAGACGTTTAGACATACTTGCTGGGAAATTATGCAGAGTGGGTGGTCAGGCATAGAAAGATCAGTAAAAATAATACTATAAGCTTTGAATATAGAGGACACAGAGTAGCCGTCGAACTTTCCATGCGGTTTTTGTCGCCCGACGGTAGTGAGTGTGGCATTCGAGGGAAAGAGCCACCTGCAAGGGCCAAGTACAGTAGGTTAATCCATTTCGGTTGGATGATTATGCCATAAATGAAAGCCAATCCAAACTATTGGCCATTGAAATTAACGCTGAATCGGCTATGCATCGAATAATTGGTATAACAATAGGCAGAAAATCCGTACTATTGAAGCGCTTTCTCCGTCGCTGGCATTATCATTTCTTTAATTGATGACAACTTGGCATCGTCCAACCGAGAAAAACGAATCTAGGAGCTCTAGATTAGCAACGAAAACAAGGGAACTACACTAGAACTTGACTACTGATCGCAATTCATACGGAAAGGAAATTTAATCATACCATGTCCTCTGTTCCCCCTCGAGCAGAGTTTCCAAACAGAGTCGAGTCCGACTGACTGGCCTCAATCTCATGTTGGACCCGCTTTGCCCAAATTCCATCCCAATGCCAGTCGCCGGGAAGCCGAGCCTGCGGACTTCCTCGTTTAGGATTATAGCTCACACCAGAGTTATTGATATCCTTTCGGTGGGCTTTCCATGCATGCCAAGCACTTGGATTCCCAGCAGCTTCTATTGGCAAAGAGTCGAGAACCGTTTCGTTATCAAACGTAGATCGGATATAGTTCAACAAAACCGATACTGGAACAGAACTCGGTTTTTCTATAGGTTTAGAGAACCGTGAGACGTCAGGTTCCTCTCCCTTATTGACATCCACTTCATTCTCTAATTGCGACGTAGGCGAAGAAGGGTCCTCTCCGGCCTTATCCTTGTTTGCTGCAGCCTCCTCACCAACACTTGAGCCATGCACGCTTACCGCAGTCGATGAGGCATTTGAATTGGTACCGTTACTCTTGTTCCGGCCAAACCAGTGGGGAAATCCATGGCGAAGGCTGAAGCCACCGGGGGGTAAGCGCTCTTCGTCTGTCGCGCTCACTGGGTCTTCGCTAGAAGCATTTGTACTGAAGGTATAAGTAGTGAGGGGCACAATCAGCGGATGGAAGACATCGGTGGCAAAGGTGACCAAGGGTGGGAGATCAGGATAGGAAGAAGGGAAATGAATTTGGAAGCGGAGGATGGCCGTGGCATAGGGACCTAGACAAGATGATCAGCTTCCTGCCACTTCGATGGCTTTTTTCCGAACAATCTCTGGGGAAAGAATAGCATACCCGAACGGACAAAGATGACACCAATCCACAGAGTAGGATCATTCGGGGTCATGCTCACATATGTACCAGGAGGGGCTGCATGTTGTAGACTTGCGCTGTATTCGGACAGTTAACACCACAGTCGACCGTCCATCGGTGACAAGAACAGCCCGACTCACAACTCCAAAAACAGTTGATGCTTGCGCAGAGCAGGAATATTCGGTAACTGGGTTGTCGACATTGTGCGGAGAGGCAACAGACAGCCAGTATAATTAATCGCACGTCGAGTTTCTCACTCGCGCGTTGAGGAAGGGAGACTCCGACTCAGCTAAGCCAAACTAGTCCAGTTTAAGTCCGCTATCTCCGGGAGTAGTATATGCCTAAGGCAGAAACTGTACACTGCATGATATAGTAGAAAAGCAACGGCTGAAAGTTAAGAATTCTTTCGTATAATACATTGATTGCATAAGGTCTAGTCTTGTGGCGACCACTTCAGAGGCACCGTCAAAGCATTTCATCATGAAACCACTCATCTAACCAAGCGCCAGAACTAAAATCTAAAAAAGAATAAATGCCCTATCGACCGTAGATATTCCAATAGTCATGAGGGCCACGGTGTGTCAATAGTCCCCCCGGGAGAACTGCATGGACACCCTTTCCAACTCAGAGTTTGGTCGGATGAGGCCCATGATCATCATTCCTTCACCAACGCCTTCGTAAATGCCACCGGCAACGCTTTCTATCCACCAGGCGGCCAGATTCGACACTGTTGTGCCCAATTGTCCCTCACGCAAACTGAGTGTGCAAGAGCCCAGAGTAAAACCACCTTTGGTCAAACTGTCTGCAGCGTTGGCAGTTGCAGCAATAGTTCGCTCCGTAATGTGGTGGGACCGTTCGAATTGATAGAGCTTCCGTAGGAGTAGTTTAATATACGGCATCAGAAACTGAAGTATGATGAAGAGCCAAATGATACCTGATGACAGCAATCGATGAAGATATGACCTCCCATGTTGATACCTTGCTGAGGATTGCTGATTGGGAAAACCTGCTGCATGAGGAGCCATCTCGGCCGTCGGTAGGGTAAATTTGACTTTATCAGGAAGGTTACGTCTAATTCTCGCAGACTCTTCAGAAGTTAAATCCTTCGGAGCAGCATCAAGAAGATAGCCCAGAGCATTTATGTACAACGACCGCACCAAGCGTCTGTCACAGTGTGACTGTTGAGCTTCGTATGCTGCATTCTGCAGGAAGTTCAGCGCTGCACGAGAAGGTCAGCAACAAAATGTATTCTTCAACAGAAGCGCAAAACGAAGTCGACGCTACATATAAAGCAATAACATACCTGGGTGAACTCGATTCCACCGTACCCCAGAAACCACCTCATGCTTTGATGTTACGGGCCTCAAAGTTCCTCCAGCACCGGTATCCTCTGGGGCAAATTCGTCTTTGTTATTCATTGGGCTTCCGAAGATCGAACAGTCACCTGAACCTTGGCTGACAACAGTACTACTAGTGGTGGTAGCCGTAGCAGGGCGCTGACTATCAGAGGTATCGTATCTGGCCGTGTAGTATTCCAAATCCGATTCAGAATAGGACGATACCATAGGCCGGGTGCTGATCTCTTTCCCACCAATGTCCGTACTTGTTGTTGAGCTAGAAATATCGTCAAATGTGCCGGAGCGATCAGTGGATTGATATAGATGAGGGATGCGTCGTCTAATGGATGCTGAAATAACAGGTGCGAGGACTTTCAGCCCTGGAAGATAGAAGGTGACGTCTCCCCATTCTCTGCATTTGTTGTTCATCTTATCAATCTTTCTGGGTAGAAAACGAAAGGTGGGTGAGGAGGGGTAATGCAGGCGGTAGTAATGCGTATATCTGACGCAGCGGATCTACTAGATAGATAACGGTATGTAGCTCCGTAGTGATGACAATAGTGGCTTAGTGCTTCCCAAAACGTAAACATTAAGGAATGATCAGGTGCAATCTGACATTGTATATAGTGTGCAAAACCCTGCGACGGATATATCCATAACGGATAGAAGAGAACTGACACAGTAGTTGACAAGGGAAAGAAATTAAAAAGCACAGAAAAAAGGAGCACCTGCGGGGGCGAAGAAAAACGGCCGAGCATCACATGTCAGTCATAACCACCCCACGTGGTTCTTTCCTTATCATTCTCAATCGGCCTGTCAAACGGCCCGAGTCTACGCCCTGACACTACGACACTACGCCCTTCGCAAGAACATGACTAGGTAAGATGTATTTGCAAATGACTAACTCAATACATTCTATCACGCTAGGTATAAGAAGGGGCAAACAGTTCTTTCAAATCCCATAGACTCTCATAACACATCCATACCTATAAACAAAAGAAAATCAGATAGAGGAGAAAACTTTCAATTTATTCTGTCCATAACGCTTCCTCTATATCAATTTTTAAAAATTAACTTTTACCTTCCATATCAAGCTTCACCCTTACCAGGGTAGTGCGGTCCCTCAGGCATTGCAACACCTTGAATGGGAACAGCGTCAGTCATCAAAGCCTCTACTTGCTTCGGGGGACTGGGAATAGAAATCGGGGCAACATGTGACGTCGAAATAGCCCCTACATCTTCCGCCGGTTCAAATTCGCCTCCATGCCCATCATTCCCTCCATAGTCCAACCCTTGTAAACCCTCAAGGTCCAGCTCACCATAGTTATCATTCAAGCGCTGCAAGAACACAGGGTCGAACCCCATTTGAATAAATGGATCGACAGATCCGCTCAAAGGTGTCGAAAAGGATGAAGGCCCGGCAGACAAGCAGCTTCCCCAATCGGTGGACAACCCTGATTGGGGTGCCGGGGGGATCATCCCAGCACTACCCGTATAGCTACCAGCCGAGCTCCCGGGGATGCTTGCGGCAACCGAAGACTGACCTGTTCCTGGTAAGGCCGGGCTTTGGAAGCCAGATCCAAAGTTGATAGGGCTGAAAGGTCGCTGATGACGCAAGGACCTTGCCGACAAGTTGGTCTCGAGAGGAGGTCGTCGTAAGCCCCCATCAGCAGCAAATGGAGGTCGCATGCCCAGATTTGCAAATTGGATATGCTCCGAGTTCGGAACAGCCTCGATGCCTGTATCCCGCTTGAGAATGCTAAGCCAGACAGGGTTATCAGCACAAGTTTGGTTCCAGCGGTCATCAGTCCCATATATGATTAGACGGGCTCGATCCTGTAACATCTGATCCGTCGGGATAGTGCCCAGCGCTCTCTCATTGTGAATGTAGGCAGTTAATTCTCGCTTGAGGCGATAAAAACAATTGGCATCGTCCGGTACATCAAGATTTGGTATCTGTCCTTGGGATTGGGATGTCGTAAAAGGGTCCAAAGTGTTACGCTCGTTGCCATTAAGATACGGTGGCATGGCGTTTTCTACCAGGCTCTGAACAAGAGGGTCAAAACCCCAGTCACCCTGCCATTGAGTCATATCGGCACCATTCTTGAAATGAGCAGCAAGATGGTCAGTTCGGCCTTTCCAAGTCGTGAGGATCGATCCGCAAAACCCGCATCGAGATCGTATCTCGCAGGTGTTACTTCGCCATTTGTCCATGGAAGAATGAAACTTCACGTTATGCATTAGTCTCAAGTGCTGGTTAAGGTGGTCCTTCCTGTAAAACGTCCGCTCAGTAGGAGTCTTCTCCTGGCAGCAGCTATAATTGTGTGATTCGAGATGATCATTGTCTGGGTTAATCGCCATGCAGAATACACAGCGGTTTGCACCATCAATGAAGGCCACGCCCCCAAAGGGCGAGCAAGTCCACTTCTCAAGGGCTAAGTGCAATGACTTTTCATGCCGCTGCCAGTCATATTTGGTTTGGAAAGAGTCAGCACAGAAAGTACATTGAAAGATTCGAGCCGATTGGGCTTTTTGTTGATTGAAAATGTTCGTAGGTGCAGAGGGCTTGCGGCGACGACGACGACGCTCTTTCCGATCCATCGAGCCAAAGGAGCCAAGGGAGGAACGATGGGAAAACGCAGATGCAAAAGAGAGGTCAGATATGGAGGAGTGACTTGCTGAGCGACTTGTCTCTAAGCTACTAATGGATGGAGTATGAATCGCATTGGAGTTGGCATGGCTTGAGTCATTACTAGACCCAGCCTTCCGAGAATGGGAGGACACGTGACCTGTCTGGGACGATCGCTGTCGGACAGAGTCCAGTGATGTGTTGACAAGGGCACGAAGAATATCAGACGTAGCAGCAGGTTCGTTTTCAGGAGGTGAGTACTTCCAACGTTCCAGCGGAGTCATGAGCGTGTGATCCACAGGGGGGGCTGTTGCCTAGGAATATCAATAGCCCCGGGAACAGGAGAATTGCTGCGTGGAGCAGGACGAACTTTACCACGCCGCCTGGCATTAGCAAGCCAATCATTGATTTGGGTCCGTTTCAGTCCTGTACGCTGCTTCAATTCATCTTTCTCCCGGTCATTGGGGTACGGATGGTCGCTATGCTCCTGGAGCCATGCTTTAAGGACCCGGACCGCCTCGCGCGAAAGCCGTGAACTGCTCTTCCGCGTCCGGGAGTCGGTTTCCTCGGAAAATCCGATGCCGGAGAACGACTTGAGCGCCTTTTTTCCCGTAAGGCCACCAGTTGGGATATCGAAGTTTTCATTGATCGTGTCTAGAGTGTCCAGAAACTTGCCAGGTGCTTTGGCATGAGTGAAACTGCATTTTCGGTAGAGGGAGATGCAACAAGTGCAGCCATTTTGCATGACACCTCTCTTCGCAACGAAGCAATCCAAGCCCATGTGTCGGCAAAAAATCGCAGGGCTCATTGGCACGAGACATGGGGTGGATTTCATCCAGGGTAGGATCAGATGCATCTTGCATTGGTTGCTTTGTAACATTCTGTTCTACAGTTTTGCTTGAGAACTCCAGGGGTTGACCCATGCAAAGCGACTCATAGTTTGCAACGGCATCATTTTCGTCGAGCTCGATGTTATCCGAAGCCACATCATCTTCCCTCATATAAGATCCACACGATGCCTCATCAAAGTCGAAGTACTCCATTTTCACATAAATACTTCGATTTGGCTCAGGTGCGAATCAACGAGAAACGGCCTCGTTTCCGTTCAGAAAGGTCAGGAAATATTTGCAGTCAAAGTCGCGTCAAAGAGGGGCTGAAAAGCAGCCTCACAAGAAGACTATTGTGGAGGGGAAATTGGTAAATGAACAGAAGGGTGGATTGGCGGGTGGACATGTCAGATTCCAAGAAAAAGGATAGCTTTTTTCGTCTGGGGTATCAAAAGCATGCCGGAACAGCACATGAGCCTTGGTAGTACTCCGTACCTTCCAGTGGATCGTGGAGCAGATTTCGTCTAACGGCCCTTTAGAGGCAGCTACTTGGAGAAATCTATGGACGGGAAACTGTCGTATTGTCAGCCCAAACGGCACCACCAATGATCATGTGGCTGTGAACAGCATGGAGAATCATATTCAGCTGTCTGATCCTATCGGGAGCGCAGTGCCGTTCAACCAAGAATGGATAAAAATATTGGGTAGTACGGAGTGTCCGGAGAAGGCTCTCCAGTCCGGTTCGTCGGCTGCGAAAATCGAAGACTGGGAAGGTGGAACTAAGCCAAAGCCCCAGTCACGTTGGCTGCCATTGCTGCACGCCCTTTCAATGACAGCACTATGCCTTATCGGGGTAGGCAGATCGGCGCGGGGAGGAGAACACGACCTGTCTAGCCGGATTTGGCAGGGATGAATCACACTCCGTCCAACGATATCGGCGATTGAGAAACCCATTATCATTGTAGATATGGAAAGTGAGACCAATTGATCCATGTCCACGTATAAAACTAAAACCTTAGAATGCGACCCACATGTCGGACTGCTGGCTCGTGTTCAATTCCCATGTCCCATATTATAAATTGTCTGATCATCTAATACGCTCGGACGCGATGCCAAGTGTGGAGTAGATAGTCTTTGGCCTCTAGCAGTTATCTCAACTTGCATCCGAACTCGGATCTTATCGATGATGGCATGTGACTCTGACCATGCCAGCCAGTAGGTGTTCAGTGGTAATTTAAGGGTACAGGGCACATTTTATTCCCGAGCACTCTGTGGCAGCTGACGAAGGGGAAAATAAATGGTGTAAAAATTAAATCATAAAAATGGATGAAATATTTTTTTATACCTCCGATAGGGGGAATCGAACCCCCGGCTGCCGTGTGAGAGACGGCGATGTTAGCCACTACACCATATCGGATTGTTGGCGGAAAGCTTTTTCGAGACTGGCTACTTAACTGAAAACAACGGGGTTGCGAACTATCAACACCAAGATTCCTGACCATCAACTACTCTGTTCATCATTTCAACATATCTTGCCCCTATATAATTGTTCTCTTCACTTAATCATCTTGCTTCCTTCCTTTTCTTTCCGGTTGATATACATGTTCCGTAGGACTGGTCATATGAATGGAGCTCAATGCATATGTATATTTTTTCTCACGACCCTTTAATGAAACTGTCACTTCCCAAATTTCTGGTTAAACTCATCTGTCACCCTCCTTGTCGTGCCAGTTATGTCAAATCCGAATGACAGCAGATGGATACAGAATAATTCTTCAGCGACAGTCGTACAACGCTGCCATCAGTGGCCGTCGCTTGCTCAATTTGTTGCCTAACGTATTTCTCAACGTCTCCAAGATCCCAGGGCTTCTTTTTCCGAAAAATCACCAGCATGCTATTCGAATCATATTTGACGCCACCATATAATTCCACCCAGAATTCTACCCCCAAGTCATTGGTCGCTTTCTCTATCTGGCTACCGACAAGTCCTAAAACTGGGATACCTTTGGAGATCCAATCATAACTGCCTTGGCAAGTTCATAGTTCCGACACATCATCCATACAGCACCCCATGGGATTTAACGTGATGAAGAGGAATGCCCTCCCGATCCGAAAAAACCCCTGAAGTGCACCCACTTGATAGATGGTCATCGTGGGGAGCTCTTCCGAAGGTAGCTTATCTCCCGTCGTCCAGAACCCTGGAGATCCGGTAGTCTAGGGTGAGCCCCAATCCGAACATTATGGGCTTTACGGCTTCGGATTGTCTCCATCATGATCAAAGGATCGCTACCATGGAATTCATATGCAATGTTTGCAATGTTGATCACGGGAAGAAGCTCTAGATCAAGGTTACAGGTCTAGTTCCCCTACTGCGAGCGGTGTCGGCTGCATGCCAACTGTTGACAATTCGGCAGCTGGTAAAGTGGAAAACGAAAGAAAACGAAGAAATGACCTACAGCTCCCGCCGTATCGCAATTAATCAACGCTTTTTGCTGCTTGGGTGCCATTTTAGTTTCCGGGTCGTTTCGCTGCTCGAAAGAATTTTAATAAATCAAAAAGAATGCCACAGCGGCCGAGTAAGGCAAATAAGGGGAAAGTGAACAAGGCAGCAGTGAAGTCTATCGCAGATGAAGGCGAGGAGGGGGTCCTAGGCACTTATCAAGAATGAAGAGCCTGGGATTGTTGACTCTGCGTTCTACCCCGACTCTCCAATTGCGGATCACCGTGCAACTCCAAAGCTTGATATACCGAAGACCTGACTCGCGCCACTGCCTTTCAGTTATTGCCCTATCATTGGGTCATAGCACTGAGAGCCCATGGTGCCCAACTTGAAATAAGAGCATTATGTCTTGACCATTTATCTTGTAAGATCTTGAGATTTGTGAAACACACGGCGTTCCTCTCAGCTGCGTTCCTTTCTCACAATGGAACCTCTCAGAACGCCGCTGATCGCCAACCGCGATCAGATTGCGGTCAGGATTCTGAAAATAACCAAATAAGGACGGCACTGTTTCATGCGTCGTTTAGTCGCATCGGCTGCGTAGAAAAAGTGGCGACTAAATTCTGCCTAAGAAAGCTTAACATCCAGACAATCTCCGTATATACCGAACCGGATACAGCTTTTACTCAAGCCCACCTAGGAGCTAAAGGCTTTCTTCTGTCGGGGTCACCTTCAAAAGCGTATATCAATTGGTCAGTTTCTCGATTTACCACTCGTTTCAGTTCTAACATTAGAAAAAAGTGATCACGTAGTTGAGATTGCCAAACGAATTAGGTGGATGCTATCATCCCAGGGTACGGGTTTCTATCGGAGAATTCAAACTTTGCAAGTGCTGTTGCCGATGCTGGCATGGTTTTCGTCAGCCCATCGCCTGAAAGAATTGAAGCTTTCGGCTTCAAGCACACCGCACGAGACCTTGCCCAAAGGTCGGAGTACCTGTCGTGCCTGGCTCACGAGTACTGCTCACCATGAAGACGAAGCAGTAGAAGTGGCCAGGAATTTAGGATTTCCGGTATATCCTAATTCCGCTATACATATCAAGACTAGGCTGACATGCATCCTAGCTAATGCTTAAAGCAACAGCTGGTGGTGGCAGGATGGGCTTATTTACATGTCATTCCGAGAGAGAGGTTCGCGGGTCGTTTCTCACGGTTAGATCCCGGGGAGAGGCACTATTCAAAAAACACTGGAATGTCTACCGAACGATATTATCCATCTAGCCATCACACTGAAGTTCAAATATTCGGCGATGGGGATGGCAAGGCTATATCGATCGGCGAACGTGAATGCTCTATCCAGAGGCGACATCAGAAGGTGATTGAATAATTCCCAAGTCCCTTTGTTGTTAAAACACCTGGTCTAAGGGAAAAGTCTATGCGATGCTGCTATTCGTCTAGCGGAGTCAGTTCAATATGGCTCGGCTGGGACAGTGGAATATATGTTGGATTTATCTGCCATTGATGTCATATCCGGCGGTGCCTACACACACATCGAGGATTACCGACCCTGGGAAGAGGCTTCTGTCACTCTGGGACCATGGATCCATTAGCATCCCAGATTGCAAATGCCCTTGTCGGTAATCTAGCTGGCCGTGAAGCGTTGGAGATTACGCTGAGTGGACCGGAACTTTGCTTTTAGGGCCGGCTATTATTTCAATATGCGGTGTACCTATTGACGCCAAACTGGATGGTGCTCCTTCCGAATATGCTCAAGAGTTAAAGTCACAGCAGGACAGCAGTTGAAAATTGGCAAGACTACTAGAAATGGATGTAGATCCTACCTCACCATCTTCGGGGGCTTCTTGAATGTTGCCGAAGGGTTTGGATCGAAGTCTACCTCCCCGATGGTTGGGATTGAAGGCTACCAGGGCGGACAGCTTGCACCTGGGGTTCTTCTGTCAATTTCTAATTGAACCCCGGATGTTGATGACAATCTGCACCTACCAGATCACTTAATACCTCGATACTCAGACCATTGGGAACTCTTGGCAATGCCGGGGCCGTACGATGAGGGGCGTTTGACTCCAGGGAGCATTGATATGCTATATAAAACAGACTGGACGATCTCCCATAATGCAGCCAGAGGTGGATTCGTCTGCTTGGGCCCAACCCCAACTGGGCTCGCTCTTATGGAGGAGAAGGTGGTGCACATCCTTCCAACTAAATCGAGTACGGATATGCAATAGGATCTCTTAACTGGACTGGAGATGGCCCTGTCATCTTACCGCAAGACGGCCCGGATTTTGGTGGATTTATTAGCAGCGATGCGATTGTATATGTCGATTTATGGAAGCTAGGCCAAGTGAAAGCAGGCGATAATTGAAATATAAGGCTACTACTGTGGAAGATGCCCTGGGAGCCCGCAACTATATGGAAAGATACATACGCGAGGTTGTCGAGTGCTGTTATAAAGGCAATTTCAATGGTGCAATAACAATTACGGATCGCTTGACTTCCGAGTTGACAGAAAAGGCTCGCGGTTCTGGTATGATTCATCAGATCCAAGAGGAGGGAAGCCAGCCACTCGTGTCATACCAACAGGTAAGTCTGGAGACAAATAAAAGAATAAAAGAAAAGTAAAAACAGAGCATATGAAGGACGAAATCACCCAGGAATTATCTGACAACTTTTATTAGGCATGGAGCATTTGAATCATCGGTGCAGGGTCACAGCACTCAAGAAGGTTCTCAACGAAGACAATGAAGACATTACATTTTCAAACGGACTGGTTTCAAGGGTTGGATGTGGAAACTGTAAGATTTCATCTGTTCTCTCTAATCGTGGAACGCCAGACTAAATTTGGTTAATGCCATACTACGATGGCACGAAGATCAGAAGAAGCTTATCAATTGCATCTGTGAACTGGAGAATAAGCTTGGTGACTTCAGCAAAGCAAACATGCCTAGCGGGCTATTCAAGCTACCTCTGACATTCGAGAGCAAGCGACAAAAAGATAGTATAACCGGTACATGGAGACGCAGCGTCCCTATGCCCTCTATCTCCCCGACAATATGGAATTCGTGGCAAAGAACAATGCCTTTACGGAAGAGCTCGAGAATATTTACCTGACTGCCAGCCTAATGGTGGCATCCGTCAGGTTCTTCACAGCTCTCCATCTTGCCTGTTGATCCACGACAGCGAATGAACTGCCCGAAGATGAACCCTAGTAGAGTCTACACCCCCGTGGGCTCTGTGTCATGGGGCGGTAGTTGCATGGCGTGGGTTTAAGCCAAGAATACCTAATGCCTTATACATGTATCTATTTACAAAAGCTTACTAACTCCAAATGCACCAGCTTGTACAGTGTCGATTCCCCGGGTGGATATCAAATGACAGGAATGACCATTCCCGGCATCGATATCCTGGGATCTAAGGGTTGCAGCGGCGATAAACCCTGGCTCTTCGAAGAATTTGACCAGATTACATTTTATCGCGTCTCCGAAAGCAGTACGAGAAACAACTCGCACTCTTCAACAGCGGCACATACGAATACCAAGGGGAAGAGGTTATTTTCGCCATGGCAGAACAAAATAGACTCCTGCGTGACACGAAGGAAGAAGTGGCATCGATCCGAACACGTAAGCGACAGGCACAGACAGAGATAGACAAGCTCGAAGTAGAGTTGCTTGCATGCTGGGTGAAGCAGAAGGCCGAGAAAGGAATCCCAATGGATACAATCGAAAATTTACTCAATGGTGAGAACCTCCCCTTTCCTACATTGCCCCTCTTTAAAAGAGAAATTAACCGATATCTGTGTTTATTATTAGATGCCGATATCCTTCCCATCGACGCAGCTTTGAACGCCATCGTTTGGAAAGTTGAAATAAAACACAGTAACAAACTCAGAGGAGAACCAAGTCGTCATCATCTTGGAAGCAATGAAACTCGAGATCGCCATGCGAGCTGAACTGCCGGTCGCAGGATCAACTGTAGAAAAGATACTGGTTCAGCCAGGAGATTCCATAGAAGCTGGTAAACCACAAAGTGGTATTGGTGTGGGAAGGCCGATTGTTTGCGGAAATTTGATCCATGTGCCTAACATATTATACCAAGCTGTCCATGTAGTTAGTGATAAGGTAGTAATGATAAGCTCAAGCATGTGTCTATTCCCTGGAATACTGTAAGATGCACTGCTCAATTTCACATATAATGAGTTCATCATGAATCTGTTTATTTACCATGATATCAATCACATGATCCAATAAGGGGCGATAGCTCAGTTGGGAGAGCGCACGACTGAAGTCCACTTCATTCAGCCTGACCAGGTAATCGTGAGGTCACCGGTTCAATCCCGGTTCGTCCCATTATTCATTTTTTTTTTAATTATTTTCCCAAATGATTATTGATGATCATGTATGATGTATGTTCGTTCCTTTTTCCCTGGATCAACTAACTAATGTTTAATCAATTATTTATTATTATATTTGTTACATATAATATGATTCTATTTTCTGATTTAGTGGTATCTTAATGCAACTCTTCGCCGGAGATTTGAGAATACTTGAATGAGGGTAAGTACATTTATGGAGTACGAACAAGACCAGACAAAAACAGATATACTTTTCAGTACAATATGGTAGGGTATTGTGCTCGAAAACCTAAGAAAAAAAAACTGTCTATCCCCACCAAAAACTAACGCTAACTCCAGCCTTCAAACCACGGACATAATGCCACCATCCTACGGGAATATAAAGACTCTCTCCCTCCCTCAGTATAGTCTCAACGTAGTCTGCCTGCTGAAACCCTGGCCACATGGCCTCCCATTGCTCGGATTCGGCCGGGGAGAGTTCAATGGCTGCTAGGTCGACTTGCGATGTGTTGGACATGTCAATGAGTTGCGGTTCCTGGTCGTTTCCTGATGTTTGCTGTTCGGGTTGTGGTTGGTTTAGACTAAAATGGGCGTTGCTTCCTTCTGGCGACGAGGACGTATGAACAGCTTCCATTCCTTTGGGGTAGATTTGTGAGGCTGGAGTGTGTGGAGAGTAGAGTCGAACGTATTTGGTTCCTGCCACTTGTACCAGAATGTTATGATATGGGTCGTGATGAAGAGGCGATATAGTCCACGATGGTCCGATCCAGGTGTTAATGATCGGATCGCTTGGGAGTCCCAGCTCTGAGTCCGAATGACAAGATTCCGTGTCTCCAACGTGCTGTTCTGGATCGAGATTGGTAGACATGCCTTCTGAATCGGCATCCCTACTCTGTTTTTCCTGCTCCCGGCGCTTCTTCAAGTAGACTGGGGTGCCGGGTTCCGGCCCCGGTGGATCAATATAACAATAGTCGGGGATGGAAATATCCTTCCGCAAGGCGGGAATTTGGGACAGCAGGTCATGTTGCGCCATATACCCGGTCTGGACGTCAATATCTCCGTTGCCATCACGTTCCTCCCTCCAGATGTACTGATCGACAAATTCACCGAATTCCATTATTCGTTGGCCCCATCCCTCGTCTGTGTAAGACCTGCCTATTTCCACAGGAACGAGCCGTCGGCCACCAATAGTGCGTTTAAACCAGTAGTCCCGCGAATTCCACGGCCGTGTCGACATGGCAGGCCAGTGCTCCACCGCCTCAGTTATTACCAGGGGTGTCTTGACGTGATGAATATGGTATTCGATTGCGCTAAAGGAGGGCGTAGAAACACGAGAAACTGGGTACTTTATCTCGGGGGCTGGAATAGAATCCGGAGGAAAAAGGGGAGGAGAAAACTTCCTGCGTTTCGCAGCGCGATGCAAAGGGTCCGACATATCATTGTTTTCGCTGAGGGTTTCGAGGTCGGTAGGAGAGGTCGCACGGTCTTTCGGAGACGAAATTGCACGCTGCAGAGCATCAAGGAGAGATTCCGTGAGCGTCTCACGAAGAGGAGCACCGGTCATAATCAACGCCTTATCGAGAAGATGTATTGTCGGTGACAACCATGAAGCACTTGGGTCCACCTTCAATCCTTCCTCGTTGTCGCGTTCCTGCACCTGATTGAGATCGGCAATCAAGCTGGAAAACCATGAGAGCCGGTTAGCACTTTCATCATTGAGCTTGCTGTCGCGTAATAAGCCACAGTTAAGGCAGATATTGAGACAGGCCTTGGCGATGCTCGCGTCAGTGTAGAGTCGTCGCCAGCACGTTTCCACATCCTTGAAGGGAAACACGCGTAACCGAGCATCTGCAATTTGGAGTGCTTTTTCTGGAGTGTTCAGCACCAGCTCGCGATGAGATTTAAGATCGTGGTTGAGACACTGCAGAATCGGGTCGTTGGAGGCTGGGTCGGCGATGGTGGAAAGCGCGAGCGCAACGAGCTCTTGGAGGCGGACCATGGCCCCAAGATGATAATGGCATGGATTCGGGAATCCTATGAATGATGGATAACTTTAAGTGGAGTAAGTGGCTTAGCAGTGGAGTTGGTGGGGGACCGTTGGTTTTGTCACTCCATTGTGGTGCTGTTGTTATTGTCTTTTTTCTCCTTTTTTGGCCTTTGCGACGACGTCATACGGAAGACTTCTGACTGACAGCCTACTCGTAAACAACACGTAAACATGACTCTACTTTTATCAATTAGCCTTATAGTTATATTCACTTGGTCAGTTGTTTGCTTTTTTGGTGTCTATACAGATATATCACTAAAAGTGTCTTTCGGCCCCTATCATAGGAAATGGCATGAACCGGTGGAAGATCGCCTTATGGTTAAACTGCTCTCTCAAAACATGTATATTTGTGATAGTTAGATAGATCATTTTATCCAGCATGGGATGACCAGTCATGCTATCCTAGGATTCAAAGTGCAAAAATACTATACATTGTCAAGCATTGCTCCAACAATCGCCACAAGTATACAAGAAACATGGAAATACAGAGAATATGTCGCATATAGTCAGCTGTTTGTACCTGTCACCTCTCGTCACTTTTAAGGAATCTCAGGGTCGAGACAATCAAGTCGTCCCAAGCGCTAAGAAGTCGTGGTTTTAAATCAACCCAGAAGTTCCATCACGAGCTTTGGAATATGGCCCACGCCTTCGCCCCTTATAGCGCTCACAGGAATCGCGCAGATGTTTTCCCTCCAGGCATCCGTGTGGCCTCCGGGATGTTCAACTTGCTCTTTCTCAACAGAACTGAGGTACTCACGTAACTTCTTATACGGCTCTTGAGTTTCAGGCAGATCAGCTTTGGTAGCCACGACAAACCATGGCTTTGTGTGAATTGGAGGGAGGGTAAGAGAGGGGAGGCTTCTCTTACTCATCACCAATTCATCGTCTTGGGAGTGAAGCTCCGGCAGACCGGCAGCTGGTGGAATCCAAGCTAAAGGATCTTCTTCATCTTGCGAAATTGGCTCCGTATCGCGTATCCGCTCATATTCTCGGAGCTCATACCAGAGATTCTGAAGTCCCTTAACCGGATCTCCTGCACTGAGATCTACCACAAAGGCCAAAATTCCAGCCCGCTCGATATGTCGCAGGAACCCTAGCCCCAAGCCACGATCAAGATGTGCATCCTCAACCAATCCGGGAATGTCTGCAATGGTAAAGTTTGTTCGCGCGACTTTTCCCTTATATTCAACCAAGGGCCTGCCTTTGTGGTCATCAATGACAACTGTGCCGATATTGGGGGAGAGTGTGGTGAATTCCCAGTTTCCTATCCGGGTGCGACTATTGGTCAAGGAGCGAAGCAGAGTACTTTTGCCAGCATTGGGCTTCCCGACCAGTCCAACGTCTGCAAGCAGTTTCAATTCAAATTCCAATTCTAGACGCATCCCGCCTTCGCCCCTCGATGCAAACTTGGGCCTGTTGATGGAACGGGACACCCAATGTGGATTTCCCAGCCCCCCGACTCCCCCTGCCGCCAGCAAAATTGGTTTATCCATGTGCTTGGAAAAGTCGAGGTGCACAGGTGCTTTTGGTTCCATCGCAGAAATATGTTGACGCCGGGGTGGATTCCTTGGGAATGCAGTTGTCAAGAAATCGGATGGATTTGCCCCGGGGTAGAGCACCCAACGGTTTTGATGTGCAGAAGGTAGGCCGATGTCGTTATGCTCATCGACGTCCATCTTGCGTCGTTTTAGGCGAGCTTGTTCCTCGGCAACAGGGTCGTACCTATCCACCTCACGAACTACAGTCCCGACGGGGACCTGTATCAAGACGTCCTGGCCCCGCTTGCCACCTTGGCTCTTGCCCTGTCCATTTTTGCCACGACCGGCCTTGATGATACCCCGGCGAGCAAGCTTATGCAGGCTGGTAAGGCCTTCGACGGCCTGGATATAAATGCTCCCGCCGCTGCCGCCGTCACCACCATTAGGTGGACCCTCCTCAATATATTTTTCTCGAAGAAACGACACGCATCCATTTCCACCCGAACCAGCATACATTATCGAGCGACACTTATCCTGGAATATGAATCGAGAATAGTCATCAGCGGGGGGGTTTAGATGCGACAGCTCGGAAGAAAGATTAGAAATGGGAGGGTCCCCTGGCTCCTTGGGTTCAGAGTCAGTGCTATACCAACGACATTTTCCAAGCATCCCAATAGGCCTGTTTCCAATCGAGCGTAAAAAAACACTCCGTTGTAGGAGAGAGAATGAAAGCATGAGACCTGATCGTTGTGTCGTCATTCTGTAACACGAGCTAGGGAACGCTCATCCTGGGACGAGTGATTGTACGTGTAGATATGGGAAAATCAAATAAACAAATTAACCTACAACCGTTTCCCTTCTAATTCATGAGGGCTGGTGGGCAAATTGTAGCAGCAGACGATTTGAAGCTGGCAGATGTTGCAACGCTATCATGTACACGTGATCTTATCAGCACATGATGATATGATGATATGATGATAGATATATTGATGCCTTAGAAAAATGGCACAAAGTATATAGAACTTCAGTATATCATACCCTATGCATGCATAGAATCTGATTTAATGATAGTACTTGGTTAACTTATATTATATATATAAATAGTACAGTAGTATATAAGCTTCTAAGTAAGATAAGGCCATCTAATTGTAAGATCTATGTGCTAACAGAATGATTGTTGATTAGTATCTTTACTAGTAGAGAAATTTAAAGCCCTGATTAATGGTAGATGTAGGGCGCTATCTTTTTACCTCTATTTTGCTATTTTTACTACTAATCGGTACTCTATGGACCATAAAGCCTACAAGTAAACAGATGCAATATTGACAAAACAGCTCCAACACCCTTCCGGTAGTATAGTAGGCAGTGACTTCTAGGTTACAGCCAAAGGCTTAGAATGGAATAAAACACTTATATTGTACGGTTTACTATTAGCAATCATAGCATAGCAGCTTTTCCTGTTACATTAGATCGATCCAAACTTTAAACAGCCTCCTCCCACTGGTTCGGCTATAAAGACCCAATTGTACAAGTGACGCCCATACGATGCGAATAGAAACAGAAACAGACAACGTTATTTAAAAAGAAGTTAGTGTCCTTGTTCTAGAACTGAGGTTGTCCCAGTGCTTTCTAGGATACCAATCCAATGTCATACGGGCAAAAGTAGCCGACACACATATATTTCTAGAGTTTCTCACTTTCATTCAAACGGAAAGACAGCATTAGTAGCAGAGGCAAGAAGAAAAACCTTGCAAACTGCATACGCACACCGGAGAAGTAGCCTATGCTGTCCGAGAGACAGATGCAAGGAGCCAATCCGGCACAACCACCAGCCAACCCCGACGTTTCTGTGTCTACGTTAATATCCGAGTATGTCTCATTTGGATCGAGTTAAGCATCCGACATATCATTGCGTGGATTGCACCCAATCATGTAGAAGCTGCACGATGCCGTGGCATGCTGAAGATCAGGAAATATGAAGCAGGTTCCAACGAGGATCATCCATGTTGCATCTGCAGAAGGGTGATTCAAAACTGTCGACGTATAATGGTGTGTTTATTGTGTCTTGAATTTTTGAGTCAAGCGGTCAAAGTTTTTTTTTTTTTTTTTTTTTTTTTTTTTTGCCCGGAGTGTGTTCGGAAACAATGCCGGAGGCGACTGTACATACATGCTGTATACTTGCTCATATAGTAGTATTATTATGGATCGAGAAGAACAGTAGTATTATCTTCCTTGGATACCTTTGTAATATTACACAATGAGAGGTTAGAATGCTATCAAGACCGTACTGTTGGATGTATGTACACGAAGGACCTTGTCTCAGAATGATTATGGATTGCAAAGTAACCTGCAGCCACAGAGGACTGCAGCATAAACCATACACGAAGACAATATCCTTTGTTTTTTGTTGCTCTACATGTAGCAAACATGAAGCTATGGAGCAAAAATGAGATGTCTATAATACTATTTTCATCTTAACCCTATCTGTCCATATTGGACCTGTCATATGTCATACACTGACGCTGGGGCCAACAAAAAAAAAAAAAAAAAAAGGGGGTCGCCACCTGAAAAGCTATCTAAATATCGATGTATTTAGTCTAAAAAAAGAAAAGAAAAAAAATTCTCGTCACATATTGGCTATTGGATACGGTGGGCCCTCGCTAAGCAATAAACATGAGTGATGGTGACACATCAATTGCACCAATTATCAGAACCGGAGATAATAGGCTGGCTTTCCTTGAGGATTTCTCACCATGAAGCTAGAGGTAAATTTTGACCAAAGGCGTGCACTTAGTCTGTCAAAGTCTGCATTGCACAGCTCGGAAGTGACGGGTGCAAAATCACACGATCCTGGACCAATACTGTGGGAAATATTCCTCTTTCTTTGCTCCCTTGCCCCCAGAATCTGTACTTTTGACAGGCATGGGGCCCAGACCGGGCCAGACCATTCTCCGCGGAAGGTCAACAGACGCCCCATCTCTCTGATCCGAGCTTACGCTAGTTTATCGACCGCCTCATCTTGGATATCTATGCAGGAAGTCATTTCCAGATCCAGAACAGAGTAGTGCTCCAAAAGATCCATGAGAATCGTTGGGTCTAGACTTGACAAAGGCTTAGAACGGACTTGAATCGGCGCTGTGTTAGACATCGAACCATGGTAGCTACCAAGGAACTTCTCTATTCCTACGCCGTAATGTCGTGCCCAGTTCCAGCCACACATGCGACAGCACAGTAAGGACCTAGGATTATTTGTGCTAGTCCAGTCCAGACCAATACACTTGGCAACTGTTGTCACCGCCAAAAGACCGCGACATCCGAAGCTAGGGTAAGGCGGTAGACGCATGTGGGCAAAGAATGTAGGTTTCATGTAGGACAGTCAGTACGAATGGAGGACCACGAAGCCGATAATATCGTTCTCTCGGGACGATTGACAAAGAGGAACCGACGTCCAATTATGATAAATGCCCGATACTTGAAAGACTGGGCGACAAGCATCAACCGATTTTTTTTTTCTTGAGCCCTTTGTTTGTGTTACTTCGAGATTCCTTTATAGGCAAATGGTACACTATACGATAACAGCTTGTACTACAAATCCCTTGCACAGCACATGAGGATCAGGTGCCACATTGTAGACTTGCCTGTGTGACATGAGTCCGTCAATAATCAACTAATGGATTGGTATGCATTCCATGATGCATGTTAGGTGGGTCTATTATATGTTTCCATCTACTTAAGTGCTGATGTGTCCTGGGATCGTAAAGTACGAACCACCTGGTATATCTACGAAGCATGTAAGCATATGTCATGCATGGCATACACAGACCCAGCCAGCTGGAATCAACATAAATCCCTGATAAATAGAATGCTCCACAGGGCTACCAGCAAGCGACAGCAACGGAGACTGGGGACATCTACAGAGTAGAAAGACTTCAAAATCAGATTGGTCAGGTCTGGGCCGTCTTCTGCATGTATGGAGTTCTCTAGATTTAAATTGCTCCAGTTTTTCACAGGCCGACAGGCCAATATCGAGCCCTGATGTCTTAACCATACGGAGTAGTATTTATTTACGCCGGAGTGGACATGCTTTGCTTTATTTTATTTTATTTTATTTTTGGTTTCGAATGGTAGTGGAGATATTCTCATTGTGGCTCGATCATACAAAACCTCTAGTGTATTATTGATCTAAAACTGTGAGAGACTGTGTGAGCAACAATGCCGTACTGAAGCAGCTTGCCGACACGCCAGCCTTGTATCTGCCAATAAAATTTTATATCGACATTCGTTATGCTGGATTCTCATCAAGATGCCTAATCACATCTGTTAAGACTCCTGTAAGATAGACAGAACTTTGTAAAGTTCCACATTTGAGTATGTTCACAATAAATTGCGCCACAGATACGTTCAGCCCGTGTAGATAATTAGTTCTATCAACACAATGAGCAAATGGGAGGTGTTCCTACTCGTACTACTCCGTATGGGATGGGAAAATGGAGGATAGTTCAGCTGAGCTTCACTGATCAGCTCCATACAGATTCCGAGGTCTTGTTCCATGTTCCTGTTCCGCCTGCAGCTCACATGATTAAACAAGCAGGCAGGTACGTACAGAACCTTGTGGGACTACTCCGTACCTTAGCTGCAGTAAGCCCTAAGAAGTAGTGCGAGTGTATTTTTGTACTTCGTACTCCAAGCATGATACCTATTTTTGTCCTCCCTTTATCATACTCTCTATAGTTGAAGGCTCAACATATAGGACACAAAACTCCGCATATATGTGTTAATAAAAGAAAAAGAAAATAATAGTTGATAGTAAGGGCTAGTAGTAAATGGAAAGAAAAGTGAATTCTAAACAGAGTTTTAAAACTGAACAACCAGATACTAGACCCAACTCTCCCTCCACTTTCCAGGAGTCAATTGTTATCCGTCACCGTGGCGCCGGATTGCATTCCGCCGGGGAAGATGTTTAGTACTGTACTTAGCGCAAGTTGTTCCTGGGGTCCTCTCCTGTCTTGAAGTTGCCACCAGGAGAACCAAGCCCCATAAACTCCATACACATGTAATATAAACCTTACTCCGAACTCAGATCTATACAGCACTTAGTGTTGTTACTTGGATTGATCTTGGCGTGTTTTCCTCTGTTTTCCATACTAACTTTTCCTTCCCTAATGGGTGATGGCTGGTTGTTTTGTTCCACCTGTATCGAGCACTATAGCCAAGTTGATCTCCACAACACATACTTTTAGTTTTCCCCCTTGAGTTGTGGAGAAAGGGGGTCTGCCTCGTTGTCATTTTGGACACGCCATACATAAGTACCATCCATTGGGTCGTACTTTACGTCCCAAGCACTCCCTCAGAGCCAGTGTAGAACAGTCTAGCGAATGAAGCAACGAGGAGCCACTGTAGGAATAGCCGAGTCCTCATGTTTCACATTATGTTAGATTAAACCAACTAATCTACTAGATAAAGGGTTCAATTGGCCCGCGGGACTCTATCCGCTCCCGTCATACAAAGCTGTGGGTTCGTACCCGACCTAGTACCAAGGTACGGAGCGCACCCCAATTGTTCGCTAATTCTTTGACTCATTTCAGTCTGCCACCACAAGACCTGATTCCTGTTGTGTCGCAGATTGAGTAAATAAATTTTTAATTTTTATTGTTTTGCGTTACTCAAACAGGAGACTGTTTATTACATCCCTAGATAAAAATTATGTGTGGAGTAGATTATTAATATTAGCGAAGTTGAGGTATAGTTACCGAGTATGTACTCTGTACTCCGTAAGGAGTTACCATCCATTTCATGACATGCTGCACTTATGCCATAAAATAGCATAAAATAGTGTTTGTCGACCCAATAAAACAATGATGGTGTTAAGTAAGCTTGATTGACGAGGGGTCCTGGCGAATGACCTTCAGGGATGTCACAAAATCGAGTCCAGTTCTGATCCGCCACAACCGCACTCGCATTTATCTTTCTTACCTATTTAGCTACAGAGTATAGATATTAACTTACTGATCATTTATTATCTAATGGACCGAAACGCCCTGTTTGCTAGTGTCCCATGCATAGTGGAGCATTCTGTATCTTTCTAGAATAATTCGGTGCTGATACTGTAGGTGTAATAGATGCCTATTATTAACTTGGAGCACGTCAGTACCAAGTACGTATTAACTATGAAACATACGGAGTTTGTCTACTCTGTACGGGTACATCCCCACCATCAGGACAATTGACGGATGCCCGTGGCAGGTTTATAGACCATTAGAGAAAATATTTAAACAATTTAGTTGCTTGTTCGCTTTTATTTTATTTTACTCTATTTATTTATTTATTTACTTATTTATTTTTGATAGGAGGTACTAAAATGTATGGCGGGAAATATAGCCAACGTCATATGTAAACCTTTGATCTCAGTTCCGACAATTTGGTGCAGAAGCTGCATTGTTAGGGTGACCCACAAAGTACATAATCTCCAGTCAACAAGGATTAGATGGCTTGCACCTTGAGAAGCTGATGAATCGATTTTGCCGTATGGTTCCGACGGAGGCGCAGTGGGGGCTCAACATTAATATTCTGTAAAGTGTAATCTCGATTCTCTTTTATGTGTTTAGGAAAAGTAGCAAAAGGATGTACGAAGTAGTCAAGAGTCAGAAAGATGACGGAAAACAGGAGGAATGACTCAGTGAGCAGGCTACATGGAGATAGATCGTTGCACCAGATTATATGGCAACGTCATAATCATACTACGTACTCTGTAGATTATGCATATATTGGCAGTGTTCAACCAGAACTTATAACAGTATATTTCTTTAGTTACAACAATATAACACCTAGGGGGCTGTACATAACTAAGCAGATAATCTGATACTGCCTCGTGTGTGTGGCATGCCGAAGGTCATGTCTCTATGGGCCGTGTTACAGGACATGTTTGGCAGGCAGCAATGCACTACATCGGACATATGCTGCGAGGGCAAATTCTATAGCTCGCTGTTTAGCAACCACCATAGACAAAAAGGGTGAAACTTCCTGCCCCCCAAAAAGGAGCTGTTAATTTGCCTTTTCGTCGAATGTAATCTTCCAGCTGTAAAGTGGAGAAGAACCCTTCGCGAAGACTGCCGCTAGCCATCCACTGTTGTGGCTGTGTATCAGATCGGGTACGGGTTGTTCTCACCGTATGTCTACTTTGCTCTGCAAGGTTGACAAGGGCTCGTCTTTGACAAACTCCGAGGCAAGTATGATCCAAGGCTGGTTGCATCAGGAAATTTGATTTCTGCCCAATCTAACAGGATAAACTGCTATTGCTTGACCTGTGACCATGGCGAGCTGCAAAATAAACACACACAGACAATACAAGCCAGCAGGAGCAATGGTCAGGATCAGATGTTGTCAACCCAGTCCCACATTCTTCCACGGAAGCTGCAAGCCCCTCCTTTCGCTTCTTCACCGCTTACAGTCGGTGTTGCCATTCTAGCTCTGATTGCCCTCCCCACTCCAGAGAGCCAGGTACTTACCTGCTGGCTGGATACCAACCGGGGCAAGGCTGTTCTGCCAACAATGCACCGGAAGTGATGATGATTACCAGCCCCAAAGTCCGACAATATTGTTGAGACCAGGCCAGACCGTCTCATGATTTTCCAACCAACCCAAACAATTCTGCAAACATCCTACTGTATTAGAATGGTAATACCAAGGTACTGCTATGTATCTACTCCTAGAAAGACATGTTCACATGACCACCCCTTTAGTGCATACATCGTTAGGCACATTGCAATGACATTTCACCGGTCTCTAGGTTTCCTCCGAAACGTCCGAATGGATATCACGATGGACACGATATCAACAATCCAAGCTAGAGGGCATTTTCGGCCGGTTATACTCCCAACCCTGCCCTCTACTACCGCATCCCGCACTTTCGACCGGAAAGCGTCATATCGACACCGCCAGATCATCTACTGGTCATACCCAAGGTACTAGGTAGGTATCGCCTAAAGCTTTCTTGGGTCATCCGCCAATGCTCGGAACCCTAGGAAATTCTACTTCCGCCTGTCAAATATTGCAAAGGCAAGCAATTTAAATCGTGTCTATCTGTATTTCATGCATAGGCAGAACAATTAACCGGCACGTCATTACGGAGGCTACGGATCGGGATTCTCAAGGAAACAAAGGTATTGGTCTCAACCTGATACTTCTCCTTCATTCCATACAGCAAGGCAGTGCCAGCATGTTATCAAACTATTGTTTGCTTTTAGAAGTGGGATGATCTGAAGTGTCATTTAGGTTGCATCCTTCCGCGTGGGAACCATGGGTAAGAGTACGGAGGGTTTAACATACTGCCTGTTTAAGCAAATATGTAGGCGGATACCTGGTAGTATTGACATACAGCAATGTTGGAGCAAAGAAACCACCCTGCTTCCTTTCCCCCCTCGTCCCAAAATAGCTGTTAGCGCCGACTTTAACTACCTGTCATTGATGTCAAAGTACGATGACGTCGTAGGCCTCCAATCCCCCGCTCAGGATAATATTGTCCACTCTTCCTGCAGGCCTCCTTTGTTGGCGCGCTTGCCATTGAGTCAGCTTACTGTTGGCCTTTATTGTCCTATTAAATTCAATTTAAGTGTTTTAGGATATCGTAAGGGCCAAGAGATCACCTGCAGTTTTTGATTTTCCTTTCCTTCTCTCCCCCCCCTTTTCGGGTCTCTCACGTGGCCTATTCCATAGATCCGTGCTGTACTAAACCAGACACTGTGAGATCTATGGCACGATACTGGTATATTACTCTTTGCAGTATACCTAGGTGGAGAGTTTCTCACGGAGTACGGAGTACTGCTGACTTTAACCAGTGTGTATCTCAGTACATGCGTGCATGGAGAGAGGAAAACTGATGCCAATATCGTGGGCCTTCCTCCTGCGCCCGCTCTTAGCGCCTCCATAAATGGGCGGAACGGTTTTTGCGGTGCCTTTGTTCTTGTTACCGACTTTTGGGATGGACAGGATCAAAGCCGACCAATAATCGTCATCGGCAAAAAAGGCCAACGGTTTGAATCACAGTACCTACCTACACTGGAAGAACTACAACACCGTACTACGCAAATCGCCTCAAAGGAAGCTTTTTTTTTCGACAGTTGGTTCGTACGACAGTTGGGTATGAGTTCATTGTTTCCATACCGTATCTACGTGCCCTATAGGTGCCTATCTGGTAGGTTGACCACTTCGTTATGCCTGAACAATTATCAGGAGACTCTAGGGTGAGTCGGAATGACGTCAGGAGTTCAGGAAGCATTTTATTAAAATTAATTACTTTGTGTTTATTTTTATAATAGCTTTATCTACTTGCTTGCCCTCAGGGAAAATCAGGGAGAGAAAGGGATTCTAGTGCTTTGAAAGAGTACTAGCAGCATTTATATTGGGTTTAATTCTTATTAACCTTGCCTAATTATTATCACTGTACTATGACAGCAGAACTAAAAGAGAAGAAAATAGAGTTTGTACTGCAGCAGCAGGGACCACTTACATTATTATTTGCTGCATCACTGCTTGACCTCCTCGCTTCGATCCTTTCTTCAAGAGTCAAGCCATCCAACCCTTGTTGGTCATCCCTCCGGCGATTTTTTAGTTCTGTATTAGTACGATACGAAAGTAAAGTAGGTTTTTTTTTTTTACTTTTTTTTTTTTTGGCTTCGGAAGCAAAGCCAATAAATCGCAATAGTACTTATTAATTAGGACAAAATAAAGGATTATGCCCCATGAGCTGAATTTCCGACGACCAGAAATAGAGAGATAAAGAAACCTAGGTAGTCATGCTACATGCGGCTAACATATACATATCGGGTACCTAAGAGTGCCATTTGCTTACGTTAGTATTAAGTGCTCCATACTACGTATCTTCCTAGGTACCAGTACGAGGTTCGCTCGATCTTGGTATGTTACCAGTTTGTATGAACCTTTCTCCCTTTTTGATGGGGTGATCCCGCTAGATGTCAATCAGTTTTTTTTTCTCTCCGATCAACCCGTTTTCGGCCCAGTTGAGGCGGGCGACAAAAATAATAGTGTCTTTCTCATCGTATGGAGTAGGGGTTGGTTGTCGACTGCTCACCTCAATCGGCTCTAATCCATAGAAATTAGACCCACTTTTGCTTGATGGTGATGACTCTTTCTGTCACCCTCCTTGTTGCTACCTATCTGCTCATTGTACGGATACTCCGTACATCGCTTCTTTTCTTTCTCCTCCTTTAAACTGGATCATCATTAATTAGGAATTACAGTTAGCAGGGCAGATATTCAGTCCCTTGGCTTGATTCGCGAATCTGGAATGCTCTGCCCTTAAGTAGCTCTAATCCGTATATACCTGCGTAGGGAATACACCGTATATTATCACATTCAGGTTGTTTTTATTTCTATTTGTATCCCCTATTTCCCCTTAACCCCCCTCCTCCCCCTCCTCCCCCTCTCTCTGTCATCAATCATTGCTAATTCCAAGTACATGTCATAAAGTGATGGTGTTGCTGTTGGCATTGTGGTCTTTGTTCAGCAGCTGCCCTTGTCTACTTACCGACCTGATTAATACATCTGTGTATTGTGTATTATCGGAATCAATCTCCTTTCTACCTATCTTAACTGAACTGTCAAACCCCCCCCCCCCCAAAAAAAAAGGCGCGTGGAACCGATCAAGTTTTCTAGAATCCCACAGCTGTGGGACCAGCTTGCATTTGGAGCAGGAGTATATGTAGCTGAAAACGCCAGCCGATACAAATTAGAAATCCGTAGTCCATACATTGACTGTAGTTTGCGTCCATTTCCTGTGTTGGGGGCGGGACACCCCAAAGAAAAGTGGACTTGGGACTGTTAGATCTATCATCTCACTAAACCAGACTTCTGGAAAGCCGATCATCCTTGCCTTATGGGCCTTTTTAGCGCGCTTCTAGATACACACCTTTCAATGTTCCCCGAGACCCGGTGCTCAGGTCTTATGGGTCTGCTGGTTAATCTGTGGCGGCGGCTCTGTAACTGGGGCATTTCGTCTCTCTCTATCTCTTTGGTTTTTTTTTTTTTTTTTTTAAAAAAAAAATTCTTTTTTTCCCTTTATTTTTGGGCCACCTGTGGATGGCTACCTGAAAGGAGGAGTCAGGAGAGTGGTCTGACAGTAGGAAGTCTACTGATTGATACATTTCCGACCTGAATCTGATCTTCCCATTGGATCGCTTTTATTTGATTCGTTGAAAATAATTATCAGGGCCAGTTATTATTCTTATTGGGAAAATTAGGACTGATTTTCGTGTCCTGTAAAGAGTCGACCGTCATACCGCTCTTATGCGGATGGGTATTCGGACTGTTTCCCTTCCATACAGGAGGAGGGTGTGTATGGACAGTACTCGTCCCCATCCATGGATGTACCTAAACTAAACTAATCTACCTAAAAATGATGTATGGAGAGGCCTGGTAACTGCTCCCTCTGTTCTGCTATTGGCTCCACCCCCTTTCAAGTCCTTTATTTTATTTTATTTATTTTTCTGGGTGGTTCTCCCTTCCGGTCTAATTTGTGTATTCTATCTGGTTGGAAAATACGATTTTATCATCATCATTTTTTTTTGTAAATTTTTTTTTTTTTTTTTTTTTTTTTTTTTTTTTTTTTTTTTTTTTTTTTTTTTTTTTTTTTTTTGAAATCATCATCACCACCAATGTGGATCCTGTTATTCCTGGACTGTTTGCTGTAGACTGCATCCTGCACTCTTTTGTACAGCTGTAACCGAAATGGGCTCCATTATGTCGTCCCAGATGTTGAACGGTTGATGTTTTAGTCTTTGGCCTGATCACATATCCAGTCTATCCACTTCAAATACTTCAGTTAATTCCCCTTCCCGTCCGGATCCTCCTTGTGGGATTCTTCTGTCTCTCTCATTTTTATTTTTATTTTTTAAATACACATCTTCATTATTTAAATATAAACTTCTTGCTTTTACTCCGTGCCTTCCTTCCTGTTTACCCATCCTGCTTCCAGCTCTTAACTATAGCCACCCCATTCTATTTCAAATAGTCCACCCATCGTCAGCTCATTCTATCTGCACCTTCCTTAGAACCAATTGTTCTTGAACATTCTGTCTACCACTTCGTCTCTTCTCTTTCTGTTTACTTGGACTTGGGGGGATTTTCTGTATTTATTTTCCTGGTCAAGATTTGCTGCTCCAGTTCCACTACCCCGGCATCGTCTCGCCTTTTCGGGGAACAGAAGCCAGAACTGCAGAAAAGAAGGGGGTAAAGAAACCAGCCGAAAGGGAAGAAAATATAAAAAAAAATTTTCCTTTCTCAAGAAGGATCTCCTGAGATCAACATACGACAGGGGGAGAAATGCTGAAACCCCTTTGACAAAAACGTCCTTCCATAACGATCTTATCGTTGCATTCCCTCCCTTGAGGATTAACGGAGAATTTGCAACGGAACGACACATTCCTTTCGACCAACGTCCTCCTTCCAATCTTCTAGCATAGAAGAAATTTGTCATCTTCCCTTATTTGTCTAGAAGAACGTCAGCCCTGTCATTTTGAGATATTTCTCAATCGACAATATGTTCAAATGGCCGTCATGTATTCGAGGCCGCCAGCATAGTGATAGCGGCCGTGATTGGTCCGCTTTTCCTATACGCCAACTCTTTGTGCTGGGTATGTTTTCAAACTTCTAATTTCAAGGATAGGTGCATACTGTGTACACAATTTTGACTTGTTTGCCTTTTTTTTTTTTTTTTGTTTTTTTCCCTTTCCCAATATTAGCCCCTTTCACTGACCCCTTTTTTTGCCTCTCATCGCTATTGTATTAGTAGTACGTTGACTGACAGTTCGACAAGCATTATGCCGCATCTGCGAGCCAATTGCGTTCATGTCCATTTTTCCATATGTCTATCACATGGTTGAATCATTCCACGTGACAGACAATGACCGCAAGATCGCCCTTTATGCTGGGATGATCACATCTGCATTCACATTTGCGGAATTCTCGGCGGGGATGTTCTGGGGTCGAATGAGTGACAAGATTGGCCGGAAACCAGTTTTGGTCATGGGTCTGATTGGAACCGCCATTAGCATGATTGTATTCGGATTTGCTCCCAATCTTCCGACAGCCATGATTGCCCGAGCCTTGGGAGGTCTACTGAATGGAAATATTGGTGTGCTCCAGACGACTGTGGCGGAGATCGTGACTGTCAAGGAACACCAGCCCCGGGCTTACTCGATAATGCCATTTGTTTGGTGCCTAGGATCGATCATTGGGCCCGCCCTGGGTGGTGCGCTGGCACAGCCCTGTGACAGCTATCCCTGGTTGTTCCAGCGCGGCACTATCTTCGATAGTTTCCCATTCCTGCTGCCCAACGTCGTCTGTGTTGTCATCCTGATGTTCGGAATTGTCGTTGGCCTGTTGTTCTTGGAGGAGACCCATCCAGAGAGGAAATATCGTCGTGACCCCGGATTAGAATTGGGCCATTGGTTGGTCGGAAAATTCTGGGAACAAAGTGTACAGCTTCCCAAGGACACAGACGTCAAGTCGGATTTGGCCGGAACCAATTACTTTGATCTTCCTCCACCGGAATACAGGAGCACGGAATCCTCGCCTCGCTTGCCTCCGATGAAGGAACCGGATAATTTGTCTGAGGATGATGACATCGAAGATCAGATGAAGGAGAACCAATGCGGAACACCAAAGGCGTTTACGAAGCAGGTCATATTCAACATCGTCGCCTATGGAATTCTTGCATAGTATGTTCACTTTGCACACTTCACCCAGATGAGATTTCTATACACTGACATCCCCATAGCCATAGTGTCTCCTTCGACCAGCTGATGCCCGTTTTCCTGAGCACCCCCAAGTCGGACGAAGATGTCGTTCTGCCCTTCAAGTTTACTGGAGGCCTAGGACTTCCCACCAAGACGATCGGTTTCATGCTTGCGGTGCAAGGTGTTTATTCTATGATTGCCCAGCTCTGGCTATTCCCCCTTGTTGTCCGGAATTTTGGGACGCTGCGGACGTTCCGCTTCGTTTTACTGGTGTGGCCGCCACTTTATTTGGTGGTTCCCTATCTTATTCTTTTGCCCGAACGACTCCAGACAACCGCTGTGTACTTCGCCTTGATCTGCAAAATTACGTTCCATGTCATTGCTTTCCCTGCTACCGCAATACTGCTTGCTAATGCTGCACCTTCTTCCAAAGTCCTGGGTTCTATCAATGGTGCTGCTGCCTCGACGGCAAGTTTGAGTCGGGCCTTTGGCCCAACTGTGACTGGTTTACTTCACTCGAAAGGCCTCGAAAGTGGGTACTCCGTGTTGGCATGGTGGGCCTGTGGCATCGTCTGCGTTATTGGAGCCATCGAAAGTTTGTGGATGGAGGAAAGCGAGATGCAGCAGGAATGTGAAAAAGAACCAGAGGGACGTCTAAATGCGAGACGAGATGATCTGCGGGGCTCATTCACTGCGGGCAAGGAAGAAGCCACCCCAGAAGAAGTACGGCGATTGCTTTCTTCGGCGCGGACCAGTGTCGACAGTGCTGAAATCCCTGATGTGGATATGACACTGGCCGACCCCCAGTCGGAACACGAATGACATGTACTTCGACATTACGCCACCTTTCTATCGACTTATCCTAAGGTATTTTTTTTAGTACTACGTTTCAACCCCGCGTTTTGTTCATTTTTACGCGCTTTTTAGCTTCTTTTCGTCTCTGTCTTTCCCTTTGTCCTTTCCATTTTATGGCGGCGTGCCTTTCTCACTTGCTTTTAATCGGGCTGTCTTTCTTCTGTTCTTTTTATGTTTTAGATCATGATTCAAGACATGGTGCTGGCGCAGTTTATAGACTGGATGCATTTGCAGAAAAAGAATCATACGGGCGGCACATCTTTGTTATTTGGGTTATTCATGTGGGCATTGTTAGGCATATTTGATTTCATCTGCATATGGGAGGTTTTTTGTCTTATCATTATATCCAACTCACTTGAGAGCGAAATCAATTCATGGAGAATATGGAAGGAGTATCACTGTGATCTGTGTTTGTTCCATTCTGTCTTCGGCTCTAAATTCCGCATCTGGGAAGTACCTTTGCACACCGTCATGACCAAACTGTCGATTAAAAGCATCCGCACCCGCAACAGCCCACCTGGTAGAACATGGGTGCGTGTCAGAGCAAAAAGCCAAGCCTTAATGCATGCCACTTGGACGTCATAACGTAGTGCGGGGTTCCAGCAACCGGGCCTGTTGAGAATCCCTGTCCGGAGGATCGATATCATCGGGGTGATATTGAAATCTGGGAATGGAGTAGTTACATGGCAGCGGAGGGAAGCTTCAGTGCATATTTGATGCGATATTTCCAGAGATGACTTCTACCGATCAATATGTTGTACCTTAGGTACGATAAATGCACCACTTTCGGGTGAGTGATGACAAACCAAAGCTTATCAGTAGCCAATAATCACTGCCATATTATTACCGAGTCAGGTGATCTGATACCGTATTGTACCTCACGTCCCATGGTTTACTTCGGCTCGAAGTTCCTGCTAGTATGTACTGTACGAGCCAAGCATCGCGAGCCATTGGAATTTCCTTGAGGCCCGATCGCGCACCTTTTTCTGTACAATTTTCGCGAGCTTCGCCCTTGCATCCCCACAATTCTCCGGCACGGATGATTGAGCTACAGAGTACGTGCGTGCTCTCGGCAGTTCATCCAGCTTACACAGCCCTTACACCCATACTAGCCTGCGAACTAACTGCCTAGGTCCTGGTTTCCCCAGTGTCAGTCAGTCATTCAAGACTCCACCAATTTGTCCCATCTGATTTTCCTTGTCTCATCGTTTTTCTTCAATTGACTCGGACCGTTCGTTCAGCTTCGCCCTGGAGACTTCTGTGGCAGTGGTGACAGATCCCCTCCGTCATGGGCTGTGATTGTGCCCTGCCCTCTAGACATAATCGCCTATCACTTCCGAGACTAAAAAAGCCCGCGGATAGGGATATTACAGAGGAGTCAGTTTCCCGGCCGTCGTCTTTTGTCCTTAATCAAAACGAAATACTCGACCGGGAAACAGGGAGAGAAAACCACTATAGCGCATGACTTAACATGAATGCTGATTCGTCTCTGGGTCCACGGTATACGACCTCCCCGCATCTCTTGACTTGCAGCAGTTCTCCATCGTTGAGACAGGGTCGCATGTGTCCACTTTCTGTTGTCCAGGCGCCTTTCCCGTTATGCTGAACCCTGCTTCCCCGGTCTCGCCAACCTCCCTAGGGAGGAAACGACCACACCCCCCTGCGGAATCCGCTTCGACTCAACCAGACCTGTTGTCGACACAACCATCGCTGCACTCATCCCACGATGCGCCTGTGAATCTTGCCTCCGCCCCCTCTGTCTCGAATTCCTCCTCGTTCCGCAATGTCTCGGCCTGTAACCGTTGTCGGCTGCGCAAAAACCGCTGCGATCAACGGCTCCCCCGGTGTCAGTCCTGCGAAAAGGCCGGTGTGCGTTGTGTTGGCTATGACCCCATAACCAAACGAGAGATCCCCCGCAGCTATGTGTATTTCCTCGAGGCTCGCGTGGCGTACCTCGAAAAGGTTTTGTTGGACAAGAAGATTGAATTCAAAGACCCGGTGGCTTTTGATGAAGAAGCCGCTATCAAATTGGAAGCAGGATACGAGCCTGCCCATGCTCGAATCGTTGGCTCGGATCCGTCGGTGAATTCGGAACTGCCAACCACCGATACAACTGGAAGATTGGTGCGCGTGAAAGGGGAGAAGGATGATTCGGCCTCAAAATCGGACGGTAATTCCGAGAATGTACATGATTCTGAAACCAACAGAGATCATGAACAAGACCATTGGCGGATACATAACCTCGTGTCCAACATTGGCATGGTTTCGGTACAGGGTACCTCGGATCCACGGTATCTTGGGTCAACATCTGGGATCTCCTTCGCTCGCGTGGTTTTTGCCGCAGTAAAAAGCTCCGTCGCCGGCAATGTCTCGGAGCGTGGCCCAATGCGCCCTCACGAACGATTACCCCATAGTGCCACCGGTACAGCGGGAAGTACTATGCGGGATTCCTTCTTCGGCCTGCAAACGCGACCGATGATGAAATGTGCCACCTTTCCGGATCGAGATCTGGCCGAAAAGCTGGTCAACCTGTATTTCGAGCACGCGAATCCGCAAATTCCCATCCTCCATCGCGCTGATTTCATGGAACTGCTGGACCGTACGTATTCAGTCGATGAAAAGAGTCGCTCGTCCCGCAGTCTCTATACCCTTAATATCGTGTTTGCCATTGGTGCTGGCATCATTTTCGAGGATAAGTCCCCCGGTGAAGAGAAGTCGGATGGCCATGAGCATTCATCCGCATCGTCCACTGCGAAGAGGCCCCGGCTGTCAAGCCATCAGTACCAACCGGAGGAGTACCATGCATCGGCGATCATCCACCTCGAGTCCTTCCTAGGCGCCTCCTCGTCCAGCGATGGGTTCGGTGCTTTAGAGGAACTGCAGGCTGTGCTTCTTCTTGCTAGTTTTGCCTTGCTACGCCCTGTTGCGCCTGGACTATGGTACATTGTCGGAGTTGCCATGCGACTGGCCGTCGATCTTGGCCTCCATTATGAGGACGGCGCAGGCATTGATTCACATGGAGGCGAAAGACTAAGTCGTCCACATGGTAACAGCGATGAAAATCCCAAGGTGCTCATTGATGACCGTGAGCGCGGACGCCGAGAATGGGTTCGTGACCTTCGCCGTCGATTGTGGTGGTGTGTATATAGCTTTGACCGTTTAGTGAGTTGCTGCGTTGGCCGCCCCTTCGGGATCAGCGATCAGGCCATCAGCACCGAGTTTCCGTCTTTATCCGAGGACAAATATATTACCAAGACGGGTATGGTGACACCCCCAGAGGGTGCTTCGAGCTACAAGCACGCGGCGCACCATTACTTTAAATTGAGAGTAATGCAGTCCGAAATCCAGGATGTTCTTCAACATCAACAAGCGCGCTTTGCAAGGCAGAGGGCCCCTTATGCCTCAAGACGATTCGTGCGCTCGGATCTCTCATCTCCTTTTCTTCAAGGCTTTGACTCTTTCCGCTCCTGGCGTAAAGATGTCCATCGGCGACTTACAGAATGGCAACAGAGCGCGCCCACCCGGCGTGAAACAGGCGTGCAGTTCTCCGTTGAATTCCTCGAGCTGAATTACTGGCAAGCCGTCATTATGTTGTACCAACAGAGCCTAACAGTCCCCGCAGAATTAGCGGATGAAGTAACCCCGGCTGAGGACGTATCCAGCCCGTCGTTCTCCAACGTCGACGAAGCTGATGACGAAGATGATATTTACTATAAGGTGGCAGAGGCCGGTCAAAAGGTCATTCGGATCTATCGTCAAATGCACCGTGTACGGTTAGTGAATTACACTTACTTGGCTACACACCATATCTTCATGGCGGGCATCTCATTCTTATATGCGATTTGGCATTCTCCTTTGGTCCGAAGCCGCTTGGTACGTCCTCTATTCTATACACTCTTCTGAGCCTACTACTAACTGTCCCGGCAGACCCTTGATGAAGTAGATTTTACAGTCCTGGCAGCCACGTCCGTCCTTGGGGACTTGATGCACAAGTGCCCACCTGCCGAGTCTTGTCGAGATGCCTTTGAGCGTATGAGCAAAGCCACCGTTCAGATGTGCTTATCGACCACCGGTTTCGGGTCCCAGGTAGATCTGACTCGAATGCAAACCACTACACCTGCGTCTCAACGCGCAACGTATAATAATCGATCTAGACAGTATGGAGTATACACAATAGATAGTCGCCAGCGGCCTTCACATGGACCCGCCCGGCGAACGACGCAGACACGCCAGTCCCGCCCATTACCACGGTTTGACATGAATCTTGGGGACCTATTTAGCGACAATAATCCCGCTCCAGAAAGACCAGGCAACGGTCCAAGGAAGCCCATGCAGACCTACCCCGGCCGGCCAGAATATCCCGAAGCATCGACTTCGAGCTTCACCACCTCGGGACGGTCTGCCCGACAGCCTCACCGTTCACCAACTATGGAATTATATGGTAGCTACGAGAGCCCCGTCTCACCGCAGACGCAGCAGCAGTATTTTTATGGCAGCTCTCCGCAGCAAAGTGGATCGCCAGGCAGCGTTGTCGCTAATTCCGTCCATCAGCAACTCCCGGCTGCGGACCAAGACAATCCGCTAGGAATCAGCCTCGATTTCCTGGACTTTGATTCTACAGGTGCCGAAGGACAGGTTTCACTCGGTTCTGATGATGTATCCGAATATAACCTGCAGGCTGTACCTTCTTTGGGACATGGCGTAGGTCACAGTGTTGGAATCGATCTCGGATTTGGCATGGCGGTCGACTTCCAGCACGACTGGAGCGAAAATGCCAACTATGATATTCTGGAAGGATATTTTTTTGGCGGATCTGGTGGCGGACCATCTGATGATGCTTAGCAAACGATGGTTGATCTGTAGTCTTAAACTGGTGGTTGGCAGAACGTCCTTATTCTCTTTCTTCCCATATTCCCCCTTCTCTTCCTTTATCCATTACTCTTTTTCTTGCCTTCCTCCAGGTCTTCAAATGTTCCGGTTACTAAAAGGGATGGACGAAATGATTTTATGATGCAACTTGTTTATGTTTTGTTTCTCTACTTCTTTCTTGCGAATTACCTTCTTTCTTGAAGAGGAGCAGGTCCTATATATATACATATATGTCGATCGAATCCTGTATATGTTGTCGCGCATATACACATAGTTACTATTGTTTGTTTGCTTACTGATTGTTGCGATGATTCTTGTTTTGGATATCCACTCTGTCAAGGCTCATCAACGTACAATGAAAGAATAATATTCCCATATGTGTATCACTTGGACATACTCGAAGACAGGTCATAGGACTATGAATCTCAATCACTGCGCGACTGAGTTATAGCAGGATGTGCGGAAGAGTTAATTAATGATTTAATATTCACATAATAGTGTTAACATGATAGAATTGATGTGAAGTAACCGATATGGGAATAAACTCTCACTTAAGTTAATAACCAGATAGTTACTTATAGAATATAAGGTCGTCATATTTTCCATATGACGTTTCCTTTTTTTCCCCCTTCTTTTCTTACAGTATACCAAGCTCGACCCTGTAATTCATCTGTTATTCCTCTTTTCAAAATACTACCTCAGCATGTCCCTCTGATATATAACCAAAATATAAATTGGCACTTAATCTGGCTTGATATCTAGCACTATCCTAATCAATTATTATTCTTATGATATACCTTTTATACCCTTTTAAAGAAGTATAGCTACGACAAACTCCAATAGCTGGGAACATGGATCGAAACGTTCCCAAAATTCAAGAGCGCGGTATTCAAACTCGAGAATGCTAAATAGACAGACTCGACGGTTTTAATTTTTGAAGCAAGCTGACACATACTTTACATATGCGGAACACCAGGACTTCAACTCATCTGCCGGGACTGGGACACAAGCATGTCTGTATAACAATTGCTATCCCTATCCCTACTTTTGAGGCCACCATAGTAGTCAGTACTTCTCAGTACATGATTTCCTTATATCGCTGATCGGTTGAGTATTCGCATTCGATAATGGACCTTGCTAAGCAGAAAATTATCCTTTAGGGCAGGGTCCTCTGTCTGATTTGTTGGAAAAGTCTTGAAAGAAGACAGGGCCGGCGAGAGGAATCCACAAGCGCTTAGGTAGCTAAGTTGCTGATGGTTAGACAAGGCAAAACGTACCTGTGGCTTCTCTTGGCTTTAGATACAAGACCTACTCAGAACAAGCCGATCCTCGCTAGTTAGTCTGCATTCATGGAAGAGAGCATCCCCGTTTACAAATGTGCTGACGATGGATACATGACTACTATATTGCTGCCACAAACAGAGAGACAAGAGACATAAACAGACTACAGGTGGGAGGCACACACCTGGCAGTCCATACTAGACTGGATATTTGCTTCCACACAGGTATATATCACCCAGGTCTAGGCCCAACAACATACCAAATGGGGAGGCGATCTAGGCTTTTCGGGCTTCCACACGTTAAATTCGACATATTTGAATAATCTTTCGCTGTATATAGTATTATATTTGTATTAGTACGATACCTGATACATCCTCAACAGGCTTCAAAAGCCATTCGTCTTGGATAATTTCTACTGACGTAGTTCGAATATCAGGATCCCAGGTTAGAATATTTTTGAATAAACCTCAGAAACATGTTTTTTGCCTCTCCCGGAGGAATAGTCACAAACTTCAAAGGATGTCTGAGGGATTGGAGGGTTGGATGCCCAGTTCCCCGTTGTGAAACTGTCAGATGATGGTATAGAGAATGGCCTGTCTATCAATTCAGGAAGGAATCTAGCGTACCTTGGTCATTAAAATAAATTGAAAAAAGAGGGCTTTGCTTTATTATCTCAAGCGGTGAGGGCCCAAGTTAACTGATATACTGGACCAAGGCCAGTGGAAGAACGTGCTGGCTGTTGGTTCGGTCTATAGCATCAAAGAGATTTTTACCTTCCAAAATCTCGAGTGTCTGAGTATATCAACCAGCAGGTTATATTGTTTCAATAGCACCTCTGGTGCACGATACAGATCAGACATCCACCAGTCCCAGTTGCCAGGTTCTGAGGGCCGCATCTGCCCAAAGTCCGTGAGCATGGGGATATCTGACAGCTCCAACATGGTCGCTCGTCATTGGCAAACAGGAACGTCATGGTATATGATTGGGGTGGTCGATTCTTGGGATTTTTGCTGCTCGACATTTTTAATACCGATCATCTTCAATTTCCGTCAATTATTCTGGGGTAAAATATCTAGAATCTAATTTAGTGGATGATTCATTTGAACACCGTCACATCGAACAGACGTGCCAGTATGCATAACTCTGCAGGTTGCCTGGAGCCAAGTTACGGACGGGTAGCCAGTGTATCAGAGACTTGACGAGAAGCTTCCGTAATATAGCATTGGGAAAAATTTCTTGCAAAGTGCGAATGCTAGGTCCCTGGGGCTTTGAAACAATACAGTAATGAGACCCTGAAGCACCGTCGATCTCGAAGATGTCATGACTCAGGCGTGTGAAATCCAGTCTCGGGAGGTCAGCTTCCTGGGCGAATTTGCCCAAATGTCGCAGCATAGTACCTTCATTGAAATCTGGCGCTCCTTCGGTGCCATCCCTAATACAGATTTTTAGGGATACATATTGCTTCAACCTGTACTAGGGCCAGGTGAAGACCTTGACTCAATCGGATGGCTACCGCTCATCCCAACGAAGCCAAACAGTAGGGTATGCCCCATAACCAAGTTTCGCAATAACACGGTGCTGATTCTTGAATATTTCGCCAAGTCTAACCGGGTAGTAATGTTGACGATAGAAGGAAGCGTTTGCTCTTCGATTCGTTGAGCGGCCTCACTGTTGCGTCTTGTGATGATATCGCCAGAATGTCGGAGAAACTCGAGCACCACGCGATCGAGTGCGTAAGGAGTGGAGGAAAGAGACCATGACACGCATCTCAACAGCTGTCAGAGAGAAAAGGACAAATACTGTCCAGGTGTGTGTGTTGAGGTATACAAGAATGAGTTGTGTTTACATACTATTTTTGGTTCTGCCACAGTTTGCTCCTATACAGATACATAACAGACCTTGCAGCATAACTCATATACTCAGACTTACCAACACTCCATCATGCATCTGAGGGCTCAACCCACCATCACAAGCCACGACGTTGGCAATACATGTAGAATGGGATAATTGGGCAGCAAATCGGCGCTTGAGTTGTTCCCGCAACCACCAAACAAAAACAAAAAATTCCGGGATCAACTAACCCATTCGATGCCCGCCACGCACCTGGTCCTGGCCTACGATTGCAACACGGCTCTCTTTTCTTTTTATTTCTTTCTTGTTGTTTTTCTTTTTTCTGTTTGAAGCTATTCTCCTTCAAAAGATAAGGAGCTGTGCAGGAACTAAAGGTCAGGTCTACGCGTCTGAGCTGTAAGAGCTGATCCTCTGCAAGTCCTTCAATTACGATTCGAACGTCTTCGATCGGTCATATCCTGACTTGTCTGGCATTCTCCTGGCGTCCCATCCTCAGTTCTACACCGTCGTTGTACCTGTCTTACGCCGTTATCGTTCACTCCGTTTGTCAGCGTCCCTTGATCGGGCAGATCATGTCCTCTCGTTCCTCAAGCAAGTTCGTCCTTTGCCCGCAGGGTTGTTAGGCAATATTCCGAGTGGCCAAGCGTCGACAAATGCCATCGCAAATACCCGATATTCGATTCGATCGGTGTTCCTGACAAGTATACTGGTATCTGTGTACCGCCTGCAAAGCGCGTCTACGTGTGGGCTAGATTCGAAGCTGGGCAAACTCCTCCCTTCACTATTTGTTTGACTTGTCCTTTGGTTCATCTTTGATCGTTATTCTATCCCTGCCTCACTTGCGTCTCAGTTCTCCACTCCAAGTATTCGTTGCCCCGACTGGACATTTGCGCCTTCTCCGTTGATCAGATCGTTCGCCGACACCGCGGTTGTCTTGCTTCTGATAGCAGGTCATGTGGAAGACTAGGATCTGGTGCAACTATAGTGCTACCAATTTAGTTGGCGATACATAGTGCCCCGAGCCTACAGTATTCGTTGAAAATGGTCAAAGCAGATGTTCATAGGGATTACTATGCGGACCTGGGTCTTACGCCTAGCGCAGAGTCAGAAGATATAAAAAAGCAGTTCAGAAAACTAGGTAGGGTCATATCGTTGAATTTGGGGTGTATGGGACATGGTTGACGGTGGTTAGCTCTCAAATATCATCCGGATCGAAACCAGGGTAGAGAGCTGGAATTTATTGCCAAGTTCCAGGCCATCCAGGCTGCCAATGAAATCCTCAGTGATCCGCAACAGCGGCTGAAATACGACACAGATCGGCTGCGCGCTGGGTATGGGAAGCTCTATGGGCCTCCCAAACCCAACACGGCTCGAAAAACTGCTCCAAGCAACTACCCTTCCACACCAACGGGGAAATCTCCGAACGCGAAACAACCGTTTTCTGCGCGTCCTCAGTCTTTCCACGGCGGTCCATCTACTGGTGCACAGCGGTATGCTAGCTATGCCCGAGCGGCTCCGAAGCAACCATGGGAGAAGGTGCGGGATGAGGGACAAACCCGTGCTGATGCATACCGCGGATTTCAAGAAATGAAAGGAAACTCAATGCCTGGTTGGAACCAGTTCGATCCCCGCACAGGAAGATCGGCATATTCTGGAGCTACGCCTCGGCCTCATGCTACATCTGCTGGCCAACGACCCAAGTCCGCCTATGAATACTTCAAAACCTCTCCCAAACCGGCGACAGAAGCTGGCCGTGCTCAATCTACCCGAAAGAAGCAAGGGTTTGCCCCGCGAGCTGCTGGTGGAGACGAGCCTATGGCTTCCAACACATCCTCCTACTCCAATATTCCCCGAGGCGAGCGTGCCCAGACCAACAATCACTTCTTTGGCTCTGCCCCGTCCCCAACCGCAAGGAAGGCAGCCGCAGGATTTCAGAATCGAGCGGAGACTCCAAGCACTCCGGAGTTTGAACGGACAAGCAGCAAGTACGCCAGCACCGGAGGCGAGAAGACCTATTTTTCAAGCACCGGGTTCGCGCGGTCTTCGAGCGTGCGCGAGTCGCCCGAGAGCCCAAAACCATATCCACGGACGAATCCTCCTAGCCCGACGCCTCCAGATCCTGGTAGGCATAGAAGTGCCAGCCCCAAACTGAAAACGGACAGAAACCGGAATTACTCCTCCACAAGCTCAAGTGATGATGAATACGAGAATACCTATCCCACACAAAAACCTAAAGCAGTCCCGAAGAGCAGGCTTCACCCCTATCAAAAGTACTCCCCCCATCAAAAGTACCCCGACCTTCATGCACAACAGCAAGGGGGCTCTGCAACTGAAGGCCATGATTCCGGCAATGCAGCTTCACCTGCAAGTATATTCGGTACTAACGGCCAGGAGCCTTTCGGATCGTATGAGTTACCCTTTGCCCTTGGCTCTGACCTGGAATCCTGAACTGATCATGTTGTTTAGCACTGAAGCCTCCAGGCCTAGCGGTGCACATCAGACGGAGGCGTTCAAAAGTAGTAGTCATGATGAGCTAAGGAAGCCGTTCATCGCAAATAATTGGGGAGGATCCGACTTCTTCAAGCCAAATCTATCTGACAAAGACCAGCCCCAATCAACAACTAGGCCGAGCAGTCGGGGCCGGGCCGCAAGAAGAAACGGCCAAAGCGGAACAGGCAATTCGGCGGGTATGCCCACTCATGACTCGTTACGTTCAGGATCTTCCTCTCAACAATATACCCCTTTTGCCAAAGCAAGTTTTCATGCGCATGGCTGGGCCGAGAAATTAAGAGACATGCCTTGGGTTATGCTGACGGAGGACGGATCCAAGAAGGAACATTCGGCGGCCAACGTTCAGCGTCCCCGAAGCCCTCGAAAGCAAAATAATCGGCCAGGAGCTAAAGTACGATCTACACCGCAACCAGCAAGTGTCTCCACAGAAGCTGAGGAGGGAAAGCCAACGGTTGACGGAGCTCCCAAACCGAAATCTGCCAAGACGAGGTTAGATGATGGCGAAGCCATGGATCTTGATGATGATCCCCCTGCAAATGGCACGCACGCAGGCACAGAGCCGAAAAATGCCGCCGATACTCTAAAGGAGAATCCTGAACCGAAACATGGGCCAGCTTCAAGTGGCCCTAGTAAAGAGGAAGCTGAAGACTCGAAGAGCCGGCTATTTGACTTGAAGAACCTACGAAACACAGCCCCATTCACACCTTCAAGCACTGGCGGCATCGAAGATTTGCAGGATATCTACGCGACCCTTCCCTTCGAATCTCGTGCCAGGGCTTCCAGAACAACAATGACCGACATTCGCCCTCGGGAACTCAATTGTCCCAATCCACCAAAGCGTCCGGAGCCACCGCAACTCGTACCTGTCAGTGTGGGATCCCAGCAAGTGGGACTCCAACGGGCTGCATGGGGCCGGTATGTTTTAGAGATGAACACATACATGCAGGAGTGGAACACTTTTAACCACCGCATATTAAATCACTTCAATGCGCGTCAGGAGGCCATTAAGACGGGGATGGCACCGAACTGGATTAGCGCTGTCGGGGATTCGACGCGCATCAAAGTCGATGACCAGAGTGAACAGGAGGGTCGACGAGATGCAAAGGACGATGATGACGATGAAAATGATGACAGGATAGTGGCAGGTAGCGGTAAAGGTGGTTACAGTGCCTATCTGCGCGGATTGGAAGAAGACGCGAAGGTACTGAAGCACTGGGAGGTTGCGCGGGAGTTGCACCGGGAATGCATCTTAAAGCTGGGACAGACGCGAGAATGGATTTTAGATGGTGGTAGGCTCATCTGACCACGGCGAGGGAACTGGTTGCATGGAAAAGGCGTTGGTACATGGGGTTGTTGGGACTGGGCTTGTTGTTCTATTCTGGGCGCATTAAAGAGGGTGGCCAAGTGGTTTTTATGTAACAACATCGATCTCCCTAGTATCTATCGGTATGCTTGCATATAATGAATCAATATTAGTCAGGCAGTCAGGCAGTCAGGCAATTAGGCAACTAGATTATTCGTGATCCCTTAGGCCCTAGCCCCAAGCCCCAAGCCCTATGTCATCCGGCTCCTCCGCCTTAGGCCGCCACCTTCCCAATATGGAGGCACCCCCTCCAACAACAACCGTGACAAGACAGGACAGTGCGAACCTGAGGACGGGGCCACTACTGGCTTCCGGGAAGCGTAGTACGATACGAATCGGTACGGCTGGCTGAGTCACGACATGATGTTCCGCTATATAGACTTTTGCCTGCGTCGACTTCCCTCCGTTTCCTTTTCCCGCTTTTGGATCTTTGACGGTCGCGAGGTTTTCGCCGCTGCTCCATTCATTTCACCTTTGGCTCAGGCTAGTCAATTGCTCCTTGCGAGTTTGATTTGGCTTTGGTTTCCTTTGGGTCAATCCTAACTTATTTTGTTTCCCCGGGATTTTATCTGTTCAATCTATATCGACATTCTGTGGACCCCGCCTTTTCGCAACGACAAGAGCCTTTTTTTTTTTTTTTTTTTTGTTTGAGGTCTACTGACAGGCTTCTATTACGAAGAACCACGGATTGAGAGATATTCACCTGTTTCTCTATTAATCATGGGTATAACAATCGTTCTGGGCAGCCAGTGGGGTGACGAAGGTGGGGAAATGAAGCCATTGCTAATTGATTAATCCTGTCTGCATTGCTGGAGAATACCGACGCTAACTACAATTTAATTCAATTACAGGCAAGGGGAAGATCACGGATATGCTTTCACAGCAGGCTACTCTCTGCTGTCGTGCCGCTGGCGGTCATAGTGAGTCATACCCTCCACTATGGCAGACTTCTTTCTTATATACTTATCTGGGTGCAGATGCGGGTCATACAATTGTCCATGGCTCTAAGACTTATGATTTTCACATCCTCCCCTCGGGCTTGATCTCCCCTGTATGCGTTAACCTCATCGGCGCGGGAACCGTTGTGCATGTCCCCAGCTTTTTTAGGGAATTGGCCTCTCTTGAGGAGAAGGGTCTGGAGAATGCTAGAAAGCGTGTTTTTATCTCCGACCGTGCTCATGTCTGTTTCGACCTGCACTCCGTTGTGGATGGCCTGGAGGAGGCCAGGCTGGGTGGCCGCAAGGTTGGCACCACAGGCAAGGGTATTGGTCCTTGCTACAGCGACAAGGCTTCTAGACGGGGTGTTCGTGTTGGTGAGATCTTGGATGAGACTGTCTTTGAGCGCAAATTGCGCTCACTGCACGCTGGTTACCTTGCCCGCTTTGGCGAATTGGAGTATAATGTTGAGGATGAGATTACGCGGTTCAAGGTGAAACATAACTCCCGTCCAGCCCTCACCCCGGCTGTCTCAATAGCAATATTAACGAAACTAGGAATATCGGAAACTCCTTGGTCCATACATTGTCGATCAGTTGGCCTTCCTTCAAAAATACAAGGACTCCTCCAACACTCTCATCGAAGGTGCTAATGCGCTTATGCTTGATCTGGACCATGGCACTTACCCCTTTGTGACTTCGTCATCCACCGGCTTGGGAGGAGCCGTTCAGGCCCTCTCTCTGAACCCCACAAGCATTAAGTCGGTCGTTGGTGTAGTGAAAGCCTACACCACTCGCGTGGGCTCCGGTCCCTTCCCGAGTGAACAGCTCAACGAAGTTGGCGAGAAGTTGCAGGAAGTTGGCCGTGAATTCGGCGTCACCACCGGCCGCCGTCGTCGATGCGGTTGGCTCGATTTGGTTATTTGCCGCTATTCTCAAGCGATCAATCATTATACTGCATTGAACTTGACCAAACTGGATGTCCTAGATGGCTTTGACGAGATCAAGGTCGGTGTTGCCTATATCCTCCCGGACGGCACCCGCATGGAGAGTGCCATTCCCGCCGATGCCGATGTCTTGGACAAGGTCCAGGTCGAATACGTTACTCTTCCTGGCTGGAAGAGCAACACCATGGGAGTCAAGAAGTATGGGGATCTCCCACCTAATGCACGTGCATACATCGAGTTCATTGAGCGTGAACTGGGAGGTGTCCCTGTGAAATGGATTGGCACTGGCCCTGCTAGAGATGACATGATTTGCCGTGAGTAAAAAAAGAGTCCTTCAAATCCTGCTGTCGTGGGGGAGATAGACAGGTAAAGAAAACCATACAATTATGCATTCATAGAACGAGAGAAAACCAAGGTAGGTTGGTTCCTCTTTTCCCCTAATCCCCGATTTTTTTGTTTTTTTTTTTTATTGCCTTCTTTTCTATTTTTCGGTTCAATATCCTGATAACCCATTGAAACCTGGGCATTATTTTGTATATTGGATTATGTGATTTTTATTTGATGTGAAGATCTCTCTATGGACGAACTAAACGACCCAGTAGATGGTCGATGGCTGGATGTGCAGACGAATAGAATACAGTTTCTCTATCCTGATTGACAACTTTTTTTCATTATTTTTTTTTACTTTGACTTTTCTTCCTGTGTCTTACTTTGTCTCCTGTATAGCTTTCTAATTTTGAGGATCTGTATAACCTCTCTACCGGACTCCTTTCTCTACGGACTAATGCTCTATATTAGCTAGCAGAATAAATAGGTAGAATGATTAGATTGGTAGGTATGGAGTAATAATTCCAACTGCTACGAACTGATCTCATCATGTTTTGTTGTATACTCAGCCATAGTTTTTAACCGTATATCTTGACAACCAAATAAATACCATAAATGTTGAGAATGAGAATGAGAAACAAAAGTACAGATATCGATGTATATACATAGCTATACACACATACAAATTCACTGCAGTAGTCCAAACCGGCCTTAGATCAGTCACACCAAGTTAAAAATACAACACGAAGGAAGAGAAATTCTTAGTGTCAGTGACGCCCAGAGTACAGTACAGAAAAAGAGTTCCCCGAATATTTGGATCAGTATTAACAGATATACATAGCATGGAAAAAATTCGATTCCAGAGAGAAGATAGTTTGTTTGATAGAGTAACGCCGCCCAATGCAATTGAGATTACCCTGATTTTAAATTTATTTGTGCTTTTTGAATAAATTCCCCTTTTGATATATTTTTTACTCACTTTTTTTTTTTGTTCCTGTTGTTGTGGCTCTGATTCCGCTTGTCATTCTCGTGAAGATGGAAGGAAGGAATTCCATCCTTAGGGGAGGTTGTAGGTTTTTCTATTAACAGAGGTTTGGTATGGTCTAATAATGTCTGTCTCGACGACCATAGCCCGAGCGGTTATAAGAATCGCGAGCATCTCGGCGACGGTCATAGGAATCACGAGCATTCCCGCGGCGGTCGTGGCCGTGGCGGTCGTATCCTTGATCCCTTCTGTCCCTGCTGAATCCTCCGGGTCGCCCGCCTACTTGGAATTCGCGACGGCCTCGGGCTTTGGGTCTGGGTCTGTTAAGAGCCAGGTTTTGTGCAAGACGCGGGGGGATAGCTGGGGCCTCCGGTAGATAGTACCCGTGAATGGCGAGATCATTCATGTATTCAATCATAGTCTGAGTACTGTCGAAATTGCCGACCATAGTGCCCAGTTGGGAAATGTATGCATCCTCCCTCAAGTGGGAGGGTACGTTCTCCATGGCATCCTTTACCTGGGCAATAGTCTCTGCCGCAGCTGGAGGAACGTCCGCGGACTCGTTGGACATATCGATGGCAGCAGTGGCCAGGGAAGTCATGTCGTTCTCAATGGGCAGGCCGGCAAGCTTGCGCTTAAACATGCGACCCTCCTGGTTGTGGATGAGGGACCACCCTTCGCCGGACTTATTGGCACGCCCGGTACGTCCTAGCCGGTGGATATAGGATTCCCGATCGCGAGCGATTCCAATCTGGAGAACGTGCGTAACGTCCGGGAAGTCCATACCGCGCGCCGTTACATCGGAAGAGAAGAGGATGGCGGATTCATCTTTCCGGAAGCTGTTGGCAAATTGAGATCTACGGGCCTGGCTAAGACGCGAATGGAGCTCGTACATGGGCATTTTACCCAGGGGATGTCCACTCCTATATTGCCCGGGCTCGTTGAGTAGCTTTCGGAACACTTCGTAGGTGAGATTGACCTGCTTGTTGGAGTTGAAGTATACGATTGCCTTGAATGGACGGCCCTTCGCTTGGGACAGATAGTTCTTGACCAGCTCCAGAATGGCCGGCAAGGCATTTTGGAACCCATCGAGATGAACGACCTTTTGGGGCACCGAAAGGTGGGTTGGAGTTTCATCCTCCTTGACCATGCGAAGGAACTTGAGATCGGGCTTCATGGTCTGGCGCACCATGTCCATGACGTCCGAGGGCACGGTGGCTGAGAACAAGAGCGTCTGTCGGTCGACCTCGTTGGGGTCAGGAAGCAATTTTTGGATGTCCCTGATCGCTTCGGAGAAACCGTCATCGAGCAAGCGGTCCGCTTCATCTAGTACCAGAGTCGACAACTTGGGAGCGTTGACGCCGGATCTGGGGTCGGACAGAAGGTCCTGGAGACGGCCTGGAGTGCCAACAAGGAGGTGGCAGCCCTGCTGACGCATGTTTTGTAGGTGTTGGCGTTTCTGCGTACCACCCACGGCCGTTTGTACCACCAGACCAGTACCGTGTGCCAAGCGTTTGGCTTCTACTGCGATTTGCTCTGCGAGTTCTCGGGTCGGGGAGATGATAATGGCGCGGATATCAATCGTGGGACGAAAACGTCGAGACTGGGGTTTTTGCACTAAACCTGGATCCTCGAGCATTTTCTGTATGACAGGAAGGAGAAAGGCAAGCGTTTTGCCGGTTCCGGTCTTAGCCTGGGCCAAACTGCCATAGAATTCATGTTAGCACCTTTTTCATCTCAGTAGGGGTGGGAACAAACTAACACATCGTGACCTGACAGGGTATGTTCGATGGTCATTTTCTGAACATCCGTCATGCGAAGAATACCCATCTTCTTAATAATAGTCTGGATGACTTTGGGATGAACCATTCCCCTATCTGCTAGCTGCGAATACAGATTCAACTCCTCTTGTGTTGTTTCGGGGACATCTTGCTGGGCTTCCGCAGAGGCAGAGAAACGTGGAGCGGAGACATGGTACAGCGACCTAGGGACAGATTGAACTGATGCGATGGATGAAGGATGCCATTGGAATGATCGAGATGTGAAGTTGGTCGAAAGGGACCGGAGAGTCGAGGCTCGCAGCGCCTGACTGACGCCATAACGGCGCAAAGCGCTGAGCATGATCTAATGTGAAAAGGGGGAGGAAAGGGGGAAAACTCGATTCACACTCTATAGACAAATGAGTATACCAGAAATAACAATCACAAACACAATGATATGAATGATATTAATCAAGAACCCAACTGTAAATACAATGCTAGAGAAAGACGCGGAGATGGAAAAATTACTTTTCGGCACTGATAAGACAAAGGGGAAAAGTTAATCCGGAGGCAAAAAAAAAAAATACCAGAGATGAAGAAATATGAAATTCAAGAGATCAGGATGGAGGTCTTTTCCCTGTGCCGTAGTAAACCTGGATTGTTTTCCATTCAGATCTACTCCAGTGAATTGACAGAGATCGAGAGTTATGGATGTGCGTTTCTTACGCAGGATGGAAAGTGGCCTGAGGCAACAAGGCCATAAATTGCCTCGGGTCAGCATTCTTTGACAGGAGAAGAAATATCCAACAATTTGTTTGGATTGCATCTCTATGGAATATCAACATCCTCTCAAGTCCCTTTTCACTTACTGACGTTCGCTAATAAAGATTTTCTTAAAAAAAGGGGAAACGGACTTACAAACTATCCGATATCACCCCGATTTCTCAGCATTTTCCAAACTACTAATTAGTTGGAGCAATTAATGATTATTCGATCTCCCGAGCAGCACGCAATTATTCCACATTTATACCGGAGAACCCTGGGATAAGCCTTCTATTTCCTGGTCCCGTCCCGCTGCTTTTAGCAACATCTCCGGGTTCCCAATGGACTAACCGGTTCTCTTGCCACAACAGTGGCTTTATCCCGAGACTCTTATGATTTCTGAATAACTCTACCTCTCTCTGGTCCACTCTGGAGCCAAATTTCTCCCATCTGGTTCCAAGTCTATGGATCTGGTTCTGGTTCTGGAAGTTACCTAGGCATCTGGCGGTTTGGCCACTCTCTTCCTCCAGAATCTATCGTCACGGCCCAGCTGGCTGCTGGAATTTCGGTTTTGACCCGCTTCGATGTGGAAGTGTAATAGAGACTGATTTCATCATTACAAATCCAATGTTGATCCTATCCCACTGTTTCCTATATATAATGCACCCTTAAAGTTCGGCATTGTTGCATTTATCTACTTACTATAGATATCTATATTCTATAATCGGACTTAGAATCTTTCATCATGTCCCAGAATCTGGCACTCTACTACAAGAAAATCCCTCAGGGATACCCCGTCCCCGGGGAGGACATCGCCCTCGAGCCCGTTCCCTACGATGCCAATACACCTGCTCCCGATAACGGTGTGGTCCTACAGTCCCTCTATGCTAGCTTCGACCCCTATATGCGTGGGCGCATGCGTAGCCCCGAAATCAAATCATACTCGCCTGCCTACGAACTCAACACACCGATTCCAACTGCCGTCATTGCCAAGGTGCTCCGCTCCAACAATGACAAATACAAGGAGGGGGACACCGTTCTCGGCTTTGTCCCCATCCAGCAGTATATCGCTCTGGACGCCAAGCAGATCGCCTTCATCCGTCCTCTGGAGAACCCTCTGGGTATTGAGGATATCCGCAACTTCCTGGGTGCCTTGGGTATGCCGGGCCTGACTGCCTACTCGTCCCTATACGATATCGGAAAGCCCCAGAAGGGTGAGACGATTTTTGTTTCAGCGGCAAGTGGTGCCGTCGGCCAGCTGGTTGGACAGCTGGCGAAGCATGATGGTCTCAAGGTCATCGGCAGTGTCGGTTCGGACGAGAAGCTAGAATACATCATCAAGGAGCTGGGCTTCGACGGTGGATTCAACTATAAGAAGGAGAAGCCCGCAGATGCCCTGTCTCGTCTGGCCCCCAATGGGATCGATATCTACTATGAGAACGTTGGAGGAGAGCATTTAGAGGCAGCCCTGGAGGCCATCAACGACTTCGGCCGCATCGTTGTTTGCGGCATGATCTCCCAATACAACTCGGCTCCCTACCCTATCACGGGTATAGACAAAGTGCTTCGCAAGCGCTTGACTATGCGCGGATTCATCGTCAGTGATGCGGGAATGGGCGACAAGTACACCAAGGAGCACCAGGAGAAAGTCCAGAAGTTGATCAAGGAGGGCACCTTCAAGACCCGGCTCCACGAGACGGTGGGTATCGAGAATGCCGCCGAGGGGCTTGTGGGTATTTTCTATGGAAAGAACATGGGCAAAGCGATTTTGAAGTTCTAGTTGGATCATTGACCTGCATTATATGTATATCTTGGACTGGAATTGGCATGAGGCGCAATAATATCGTTCTGCATGATTAGTGTTATACATTGTTCTTCATGGATTCCGGCAAAACTAGGCCGTGTGACCGAGGCAACTGTGCAACCAACACAGCTCAGCTGCGACAAAACGTTACTATCTTGTAGTTACTAGGCAAGTGCGCTTAGCACAAATAGGTAACTCCGCTAAGTTCGCAAGAAAGCTCTCTCTATTTGTCGTGGTTAGCCACGAATTTGGAACGATCACTGCTGATGATGGATGGATTGTTGGATACTATCAAGGGGTAGTAAGCAAACATTGACTGGGAATTGTACTCGCTGCCCTTATTTTGTATTTAATGTATGAAGTCCATTAGGAAAAACAAACGTTATACTTGTAGGAACCCTTCCTCCATAATATCTGGGTCATATCATAGTATATTAACAACAGCCCAGCAAGGGAAGGCGTCGCTTTTCGTCATTACAGTTTTCGGATTAGTATCATAATAACTAAATCTCAAGGTATAAGAAGGGATCTCTTTGCTACCTTCACCAATTCTTACTTCCGTTTCAGGACTTATCATGTTCAACCTTTATTGAACTATTTCATCACTAAGTCCGATCACAAAGCCTCTAATCGCACAGAAACCATGGCCAACATCTCTGATATCCGTAAGGCGATATTCGAAAATAACAAGCCAACGGACTATCATTAAAGTACCTACCGCAAGTCTGGATCCTTAAGGCTACCGTGCCTCAGCAGACTTAGTTGTCAACGAGGTTTTCCCTGACTGGGATTCTCTTTCTCGCCATAAAAGTGTGGAGTGAACGCACCTATAGAGCCATGGACATCTATCATCAAGATTACTAGTTTTACATAGCACAAAAGACCAAAACTATTCTCCCAGTCTATGTTCTTTGGCAGCATAGGAAAAGGGGCTGGTCGACTGTAAGATGGCCTCAAGAGGATAAGTCTATTGCTGCGAAATTAGCGGATCTTCATAATGTCAATGATTTTAATGACGCAACACCTTTTCTAGAAAATCACAATTCACATATTGTACACGATAATCCCCGTGAGTTTCATGTGTGGGGTGCTACGGTGTTGTCAGCCGAGCCCACATTATTACTCGCTGCTTCATGGAATGAAGGTGACATTTGACCGAATATTCGTGACTTTATAGCATGGATCTACCCTGAGATTTGACAAATGGACAAGTGGACCATGACCGTGCGCATACAGTCAAAAGCCTGCACATGCCTAAGACCAAGCTGGATGCTTTTCCATACCCATCTACCCACGGGGATCCCACCACTGTTAATATAATAGTCGAAGTGGCCCTGTTACTGGTAATCTCGATTGGGAAGCTTCTAGTTATTTTCCCGTCTGGTGGGAATATGCTTGTGCTGGGATTGGTCAAAGTCCGGAAGACCAGGAGTAGAAGACTATGTTGCAGAGATATATGCCTGGTTACCGCGGAGCTTTGAATATTTGTTATGATTATTATTCTTTATCGATGGATATGTTAAATGAACGAACGACCGCATTCCTCAAGGAGAAGGATGGGCAATCCGCAGAAAAATGCCCTCTCTACTGCTGGCATTCCACAATTTTGGGCACGTCGCAAACTGTTGGTTGCCGGTGCGAGGCGAATCTGCGGGCAGGCGGTCCTGGATACATCCCATAAGCGCTCAGGCCTCAAATTTGGCAGGAACTCGTCTCACTGTATGCAAGCCATGCTGTGATCACGAAGTAAGTTACAGCTTCTATTCTGAAAATAGCAGACAACCCCGGACTCCGATACCTATTTAGTTAGCTGCACTCAGTTGAATGCAGCTTGTAGGAAGGTTGTATTAAATAGCTGGGGGGGGGGAATATATTAGGAGTCCGTTCTGCTATAAAAGGATCGCTTAACAAAGTAGAATAAAAAGTAACTATTGCCGGGGTATCGGCCAATTTCGGCTGGGCGGAGAGAAACGGACCAATCACCTGATCTGTAATGTGATGACTGCATTCCCGGTCGGACTCCCGAGGTAGCGTTCTGACCTGACTTGAACTTCACGCCGTGCTTTGTGTTGAGACAATCTCCTCTCCACGCCTCGCCTTCCCACCGGTCTCGACAATGGCCTCGATTGTGCGCCAGTCTCCCTTCCTTCGGCAGACTTGCCTCTCTGCCTTCCGTTCGCCGCTGGCGACCCGGAATGTCTCGCAGGTCGTGGCCTTCCACGCCTCTGCGAAGAAGCAGATCTTGCCCCCATTGCCTCGTGAGTGAACCCTCCTTTGGCTGTCTGATGATTTGTGATGGGATTGGTGCTCGCAGTATTAAGTGTGGCGGGAATTCAAACAACTAGACGCCTATGCTGACGAGTAGTGGAAACAGAGGTCATCCACGGATCAAGTACGTACATTTTGCACCCAGGTTGATTCAAGATTCGAAGGGAATGCCGGAACGCGGTCCCCAAATACCTGATTCAGTACCATTGCGCATGAGGATAAAGGGTGGTGATATTAATATTCATGAACTATTTTAGCGAACGATGCTGCTCCCATCCCCAAGCCTCACCCTTCGGAGGGTAGCTACCACTGGACTTTCGAGAGGTCTGTCGACTCTTTCCTTGACTGGTCGCAGCGAGTCGAAAATTTGACATTGACCTCTAACATAGACTTGTCTCCGCTGGACTGATCCCTCTTACCTTCGCCCCTTTTATCGGTGGCTCTCTCAACCCCGTCATGGATGCAGTTCTCTGCTCCCTTATCGTTGTGCACTCTCATATCGGATTCCAGTAAGTTCCATATGCTCGCATACCGTATGTGCTCTATAAGATTACTCACGCCCAGCAGGGCTTGCATCATCGATTACTTCCCTGGCCGCCGTGTCCCCAAGACCCTGACGTTCCTGAACTGGCTCCTACGTGGCTTCACTCTCACCACCGCTGTGGGTCTGTATGAGTTCGAGACAAATGACGTTGGCATTACGGAGGCTATCAAGCGGGTGTGGAAGGCGTAAATACGAACCATTGATATCCTTCGCTTTTTCCTAGTTTTCCTCTTATCTCTCTTGGAACCGATGTTTCTCCTGTTCAGGCGTTTGCCTCTGTACATGTTGTTTCTATGTTGAGTCTGCCAACTATTAGAGCTCTTTTGTATCGGGCCATAAGATATGTATCTGTAGATCTCTCTTTCGAGTATATGACCGTATTTTCTCCATGTATCAGATCCAAAGCCATACCACTGTCTATCCATAAACATCAAAAAAAAAAAAACCTAGATATCCAGAAAACCTTTATTCCTCGTCCTCCGACCCATCCTCATGATTCAACAACCGATCATCATCATCAGCCCTCGTCACGACCCTCTCTATCAACTTCAACGCCGACCGTAACGGCAATCCCACCACGTTATCAAAACTCCCCTGCACACTCTCTACCAACACCGACCCGATCCCCTGCAATCCATACCCCCCGGCTTTATCCACTCCCTCCCTGGTGCGCACATACGCCATGAGCAACTCATCCGAGACATCCGCCCCAAACCGCACCGTCGACTCCTCCACCGCCGACTCCAACACATACCCAGGCTGACGCGCACTCGCCATTGGCGCCATCGCCACCATCGCAGTGTACACTTTATGTTCCCCGGCGTCTCGCAGCGCCTTCAACATCGCTATGTGCTGCGCCTCAGATCGGGGCTTCTCCAGAATACTCCCAGACACGGTATCCACGACGACCGTGTCGGCCGCGAAGATCAGTGCCGGCTCGCCTTTCTCTTCGTTTTGGATCTCCGCTTCGTATACGGTTTGTGCCTTTCGTGTCGCGGTCGACAAGACGTACTCGAATGGTGGAAGGGACTTCGGGAAGTCTTCCGGTGCGTTGGACGGGATTACCTCGATGTCTGGGAGACCTAGTAGGGAGAGGATTTGGCGTCGGCGAGGTGAGGCAGATGCAAGGATTACTCGTTTGCGTCGTAGGTCGTCCAGGATGGGGAGGTTTAGTGGGGGTGGTCGCGGAAGGGGACGTTCATTGGTGTCGAGGGGTGGTTTGGTGTCTGTCATGGTTTTGATTTATTTGGTTTGGTTTTTTTTATTATTGGGTTGGTAGGTTCTGTGTTGTTTTTGGTGAGTTGTAGTAAAGTATTAAAACTTGGGGTTTAGTTTAGTCAAGGTGGTGACTCAATCGTTTACACGGTGATATACGAGAGGCGGTGGACCAGGGCAGATACGGCAGATGAAGAACTAATGGATGGTTCCTCTGCATCTGCACGGCTGCTGGATCCTGGATAATAGCGTTGTGCTTTGTACATGGTTTGTGCTACCCTATTGCGATTGTTCCATTTGGGTGGTTGTATGTGTGGTATATATTCTATAACTACGATTTACATATACTTTGCTGTCGAAGCACTATATTGGATATGCATCCAAATTACCAGGACTAATAATATTTGATGTAAACGTCGAGTTCATTATTTTGAGTCGTCGATCCAATGCAAGGGCTAAAATACCCTGATGAATCATATACATGATTAGAATACCTTATCCTGTAGTCAATCCAAAGCTCCCAAACACCAAGCTAGAAAATGCCATGCTGAAGTAACCTCCTCTGTAGATTCAACCAGATAGCCATAACCAATGCCCCAAATTGCCCAGCACTATCAAGAAGTAAGCAAGTGAGAGAGCATGGCGGCAACATAGTACTGACAATCCATGTATAACAGTAAGATCCAAAAAAACCTAAACCACCTCCCCTGTCGCTCTCTTTGCCGCTCGAAACAATTATAACGTCCACACAAGTCGCATGGAACCATATTGTCAACATCGTAATCAGGTCCGATCGGGATCGGGCCTCGGTTGGCTCATTCCTGTTGGCGCTTCTATGCCGCTGATTGGACGCCTGTCACCTTGTTTGAAAGGTATCGTCAATGCGACCGCCCCTGCGCTCGATCTCCGCAATCAACTCCTGTCTCTCCTGTAGTTTGAGATGGATAAAATCCACCGTTTTCTTGAGTACGATGCTTTCGCTCCGGCCTTGGCCTTCCAGGCCCGGGACCAGCTCTGTGAGACGGTCGAAGCCCTCGCGGATTGCGGCCCGGCGCTTCTGCTCCGACGCGATGTGGTTGTTTTTCTTTTCTTGCTCCGTCAGACGGGGCTTGTCCTTGTCTTGGGAGGCGCTGGAGGACGCGACCTGTTTGGACGCGGCGGCGGCGGTCGGAGTGGTTGAAGAGCGATCATCCCGGTCGTCTGGATTCGTGGCAGGAACGGGCGAGTACGAGGCCTCCGACGAGCTGGATGTGAGGGAAGCAGGGGGCTGAGCAGAGGGCATGGTGGGTGGTGTCGAGAGAGGTTGGTTTTAGAGTAGGGGGAAAGTGAAGTATTCAGTATTCAATATTCAATATTCAATAATATGGGGTACGGGGAAAGCGGAGGGGAAGTGTGGCTTTTTCATGTGACAGAGGGGCTGCTGTTCGTGGGAAGGAATGGAGTTTTAAAGGCTTAGCAGGGATGGACTGGGGAATCGAAACGACCGAAACCAAGAGAACAAAGACCGGATGACACCCACACGGGGAAATGTCAAAGAAATAGTAGAAAAGGACCGACAATTCAGCAAAGCCCCCCTGATAAGGTTGGATGGTTTGAACTACCAGGGGATCCTTAAATCCCACACTTTTCTTCGGGGTCCAACACTAAATTCGGTCTAGAGAGCCTTAATTATCAGGAATCCCAGCCAACCAGCTTCTGCGGGGAAGTGGACAGTCATTGCTGACTAAGTAATTATGTAATCGAAGACCAGGATCACCCAAGATATCAATGACGCAATGGTTCCATGACACTTTCCATCATCTCCGTTGTCTGCTGAGTGCGTTTCTCTCCCCATTCCGACCATTGACCGGTCAATCTTCACCCCTATCCTTGCTTGGCACTTCTACGACATCCTGGATTCTATCCACAATTAAATCAACTCGACTGGTCCATTGCCGATGATTTCCTAGTCAGGAAGTTCTGTCTAGAAGTACGGAGTACGGGCAAAGAGTTGGAGCAAAGCAGAGCCTAATATGGCAAGTTCCGAGCCCCTCCACGGTTACTGTCTCTGCGGTCGTAATCAATACCAGATTCACATCCCTGAAGATATGACCGAACACGCACAGATCTACTTTGACAGCAGCCGGGACAACCGTAGGTACTACCAACAACCCCACTATACGATGAAGCAGCTCTAGCTAATGGTACTCTTCTATCTTCTTGGTTCTTTAGGAAGATTCCATGGAACCCCTCTCACTGCATGGCTCCGAGTCCCTCTATCCTGGTATCAGTCGCACACGCAATCGTATTTTCCCGATGAAACACACGGCACCATTCGGCGCGTCTTCTCGCCTCACCATGCGCCGCACACGCAGCGTGTTTTCTGTGGATTCTGTGGCACCCCTCTTACATACTGGAGCGAAATGCCCCGGGAGGAAGGTGAATACATGTCAGTGACCATCGGCAGTCTTGACGCCGACGATCAACGAATACTAGAAGACCTGGATTTACTCCCTGAGTCTGTTTCTTCGGAGGAGGAAGAATCGGCAGATGAGGCGCATGTGAGTGTAGCTCCAGCTCCAGCGTCTGCGTCAAAGGCAGCCCGGCGTGTCTCGTCTTCGTCTTCTACTGTCGTTGTGCCGTCTTCGGGCAGCGAAGGGGGCTTCTCCCAGACTTATCGCGAGGGTAATATGGGGGGAATCCCGTGGTTTGAGGAGATGATTGAAGGAAGTCGGTTGGGCCGGGTGATGAGGGCTAGACGCGGAATGGGGATGAGTAATGATCAGTCTACGACGATAGAGTGGGAGGTTAGCGAGTGGACGAACGATGATACTGGTATGGTGCAAGTTGGACAGTCCCGTAGTGGATCTGGGAAACGGAAGCGTGGACAGCCAATATAGAAGAGATTTAGTCATACAAATGGGGCTCGAGGTTTTGGAACGAGGTTAATGTAAAATGGGGCTAGATAGCTATGGTAATATAAAATGGAATCCCAATTCGGATTATGGAATAATATGGGAGTTGGAATCCTTGTGCAGGATGGTATATTACATCACTGCTTGAACTGTGATACATGTTTCTAGACAAATTCCCTAACATGAATTCCCTTTTAATTCCCTTTTAATTCCCTTTTAACTCCCTTTTAACTCCCTTTAATTCCCCAGCTTGATCTAGAGGAGTCTGCACCAATGAGCGCACGCAGCGCAAACAACGCTAGCAGACATGATGCTCTCAGACAGACCTGATTTCCTAAATGGGGATCGCCTCGCTTAGGGTGTCCTGTTGCCATAGAGTGAAGGAGATCTTTGTCTGCTTTCGCTCTCGTAACACCGTGATCAATCAGTTTTCTTCTGTTTCTTCTTCTTTAGAGCTATCCTACTACTTTCTACCTCTAAGAAGCTTTGCATCTTGACGTATAATCAGGAAATTATCTGTGCAGACAGTCATATCATTCCTGAGTGTTTCGGCTGAAAATAAGGCTTCTGTTTCTTACAAAGACTCTGTTTGTTTCTTTTCGTTGGAGAGTGCTCACGGTTCTTGTCTAGAGTGGTGAGTACCAATCAGGGTCTGCTTTTCTTTCGGGTAGGCGTCCGACATGTCAACCATATTTGAGAGGTATACATACTGATATCGAGATCTGTCATGCCATAACTTGAAGGTTGTCTAGTCTAGTGGCTCACCAGGCTGTCATGTATGAAATGGCGCCTAAAAGTCCAGCTGTGACTCCTTCAGGCATGAAGACCAAGACGAGCGGACCAAATTTGAAGGGTATTCTAAAGCGCAGAGATGTCTCCGAGCCCATCCCCGGGGGTGCGAAACGACGACAGATACATACCAAGTCGTCCGCGCCAACCCTGAAATCTCACAATGTAACTGGCTCCTTCCCTGAGACCTCGGGGCGGCACCAGTTACTGAACAAGTTTTCTGCCCCTGGCTTCAAAAGCAAGCGCTCTGAGCCATATCTGACAAAAAGTGTCACCTTAACGTCCTCGTTGCGGGAAAGAGGCGCACCACGCTCTCCGCTTGTTCCACCACAAGTCCCAGGGCTCCGAAAGGAGACATCCAGCTGGACAGTTGGGGCCACTGATAAGAACCCATCTGCCCCCCGCTTCATGGCTTTCGAGAAGGCAAAAGAGATCAAGCCCGTGCGCTACAGACCATGTCCAAAGACTACCGAGTTCAAGATGCCCACGATCATCGGGTGCAAGCCAAGTAGACTGAGGGCTGTGGAACTCGCGGCGAAACGGGAGACAAGATCCGAGAGAATCCTCAAGGCAGTCAGGGACCCTCGCGGCATGGTAGTAAAGAAATGCAAAGGTGTGATGAGAAACTGTACGCAAATGAGGGTGCTGAAGAGAGTACACGGGTGCCTCAACACAGCCAAGCTGGGTGGCTCAAAGCGAACTAAACAAGTTGAGGTCTGTCAGAATCTAGTCAACATTTGCAGGGGAAGGGTATGATGATGCTGACTGGATTTCGTGCTATAGTACAAGCCGATCTATCGGTTGAGGCAAATCAGAAGGGCTTCAGTGTTCCTCAGCTTACCCAAACCTCAGCGGCCGCTTTCAGTTGCCAGTGTACGTAGAAGATCAAGGTATGACATTCATCTTCGACCTATTTTGCTTACAGAGGAACAGGTCGAAGACGCAGTCCTGGGTAACCGACGAAGATTCTCCACCGTGGCTACATTCAGTAAAAGTGCCTCTGCGTCTGCATTCTCATTGCTGAATTCAGGGAATGGCCAAGGCACCGAGGCCCAAGGGAAGTCAGTGAATGAAGTGGAGGATGACGACCGCAAAGTGCGAGCGTCTTTGATTCCCTACCGCGAGTGGCTAGTGTTTTTGCAAGGCAACACAAACCCATACAACGAGGACGAAGAGAGCCAGAAGCCCACCCCCCCAGAAACCCCTGTCCCCGACCAAACACATGTTCGTCCTCTGTTTTCCCTCTCTGAAGACGCTTTTCGCAACTCTCCCCCTTCACCTCCCACTTCCGAAGATCCCCTAGACTCTCCATCCCCAACCCCTTCTGAAGTTACAATTACTCCTGCAAACGCTCATCATTTCCTCAAAATGTCTCCTAGCACCGCATCGAGTTCCCACGACCCATTTGTGGACTTCCCACAAACGGTTAGAGAGGAAAAAGGCGACGGGAAGCCATGCGCTTCTCACACCGGTAAGCCTCCCCCTACTAGCCCTGAGCAGTGTCTGGGCCTGCGTTATATGGTTCCTGGCAATCAGCCAGCCTCAGCGAGGCTGTTAGGGTCTGCGTTGGTTACAACAGGCTGAAAAGTCCCGAGTGTTTCAGGACTTCCCACGTTGTGACCCCAGAGCAACCCGTTGACACTTCGACAGTTTCCATCGAATCAGCCGCTCACGAAGCAGGCCGTAGCTCTTCTTCTAGCGAGGAAGAAGCACACACCTTGCAGCCACTGCGTTACCGACCTGGATGCGAGACAGGTACGTCTCCCGGTGGCTTCTTCTCTCTGAGCCAAGGGCTGACATGACATAGCGGGCGTCGATCCAGCTCCCAATGTATCCCAGCCGGCGAGGGACACAAAGACTCAGACCTACAGTCGGGTGCTTCGTGGTCCTGCTCATTTGCAGGCACAAGTGCCAGCTCTGGCTGGGCACAAAGGAGCGAGAGCTACACCAGAGCCTCGTAGCTCCATTCCCGTGGCCATCCGTAAACATAGTGTTGAACAAATGCCCAACTCACAGAACGAGCCTGGAGATACCTTCTCGGGAGGCATACGAATGGTTGAAAAGCCAAGAGGGCCGCGTCCGCATCAGAAGAAAACTGCCCAGAAAGAACCAATCAGCAAGACCGAGAGGGCTGAATCCATTTCATCGTCCTCTGTAAGTGATTGGGACTTCAACGACGAGCCTAAACGGCCTACCAATGTGTACACCGGGGAATATCGCCAGCGAGATAAACCGCACCACGGGCCTACGCTCAAAATCGCACCCTCTGCAGAGAAAATAATCATGGGTGCGGCGAGCGAGGGAAGCGACTATGTCGTTACCCAGCGCTCCAACCCGGCCCTGGTCGAGTATTCTGATACCCCCAAACGTCTGCAGAAAAAACAGAACACTGACAAAGAGGTTGCCGACGCTTCTCCCCAAAGCCCAGACTCTTCTGAGAGAACCCCTCTGGCCCGGAACTTTTGTCGACCCCAGATCTCGCTGGAAGGTTTCTCTAGAAGGGACTTCAGTGGCCGAGAATTAGCTATTCAGCGGAAAGCTCTTCACAGCCCCAGCTCTCCAAGTCTGTCTAGAAGCCCGGCACACTCGAGTCCTGGCCCCGGACCATCCGTGCCCAGTATCCCAGCCGAACATCGGGCCAGTGATAAAGGATCAGTGTCGGCTACGCCCCCCAAGTCGCCATTGAGAGCACTTGCGCCAGACTCGCATGGAGGTGGGGGCTCTGGTCCAGGGAGTGTTACTACCACCGTGCGACGATTCCCTCCACGGACGTCGTCCCTTCAAGCCGTGGCAGATTTCCCAATTCATTCAGAGACCGCGAGTCCCGCTGACGCTGATCACAAGCGGGATGTTACTTTTGATGACATTGTGCCTAAGCATCCTGGTGGTAAAGTCCAGGTCGCTCCAAGTGGGACTGGGGATCGACTCGTGGATTCTAGGAGTACTCGCGTGCTCGATAGCTTTCGCAGCATCTTCAAATCCAGGAGCACCACGGAGAAAGGACGTGGACGCCAGAATGAGAATGAGCCTCCTGGAGCAGCGAGCAAGGACACCACTGCTGACAGCGCGAAGCCGACCAAAGATGTCGATGATGGTAAGAGTATGAAGGCCAAGGCTAAAGGCTGGGCTCGCACCACGCGCAGCTCTATATCCCCCGAGACGCAGACCACAGAGGATGTCCGCACACCGTCCTTTGCGCGGCCCACCAAATCGACTCGTACCAAAGCTGCATCCAACTCTCGACTACAGACCCCCCTTCAGCCAGACGGTCGTATCCGCCGAGCGGCAGCGGCAGCAGCAGCGTCCACCGGTAGCCCTAAGCGGTCCAGCGGTGCATATCGACGCTCGCACGTCTTGATGCCACAGCGCATCTCGACACCCTCTCGGCCCATTGGGTCCGCTCACGCTATTGCGATGGTCATGAAGGATGAAGCGCAGGATTTATCGCGAAAGCTGGATGACATCCCCATCTGTATCACTGATCTCTGCAGCAAGGCGCGTGACGCGGACACGCCGGTGAAAAGGGAGAAATACCTCAAAGTAAGGCTCATTGATCGACCCAGTTTGATCTCCGTACTCGATTTCTCGAAACTAACACTGTTTGCAGTTGGCACTCACTCTGCAGCAGCAGTTCAGCGACTACGGAGCGGCGGAAAAGGAAGCCGTTGAGGCGGAAGTTTTGATGGAGAAGAAACGGGGAGAGAAATGCGTTGCGGAAAACTGCCTGTTCGAGCATTTCTCGCACATCCTCGCGGTGATGGAGGAGGATTAACTCACTTGGACTTCAAAGGTGAAGTATTTCGCGAGGTTTTTCTTATTTTCCTTTCGTTTTAGCTTTCTTTACATTTTTCTAGTTTTCTTTATTTCATTTTGACTTTATTTCTGCTTCTCTTTTCTTGTCTTTCGTTCTTTTTTTATTTAAATTTCTTTAATAATAATAATAATAATAATAATAATAATAAATAACAACAACAACAATAATAATAATAACCTTGTAAAATAAATAATCTATAAAAAAATGTCTGTCGGAGTCACAATCGGTGTATTCTCTTCTCTTTTTTTTCAGTACAGCGCTATCCTAGACAACGACAACTTCTGGGCGACCAAGACAGAGCCAAAAGAAACGAAATAAATAAAATAAGAGAGAGAGAGAGAGAGAGAGAGAGAGAGAGATAATATTTATTCGGGCTATAAGAGTGATTATCTTGAGATGATATTCCCCCACCGAAGAACAGAATCACTTCAATCCAACTTGAGTTCTATTATCTTCCAGACTCCATCCACTCATCTCTGACGAGACCTCTCGTACTAACAGACAATGGCTAGACAGGCTTCATTGCGACTGAAAGAAAGGCCATGATCCATCAGTTCGCCATATCCTTTTAGAAACAGAAGATGGTGGCTGTCCTTCCTCTTTCCAACGAAGGGCTCTACCCATTCTCTTACCTTCTCCAGATACCTTCCTTCTCTTTTCCTCACCAGGATAGCCATATCTCTACCACTCATTCATTTCATTTGCTTATCTGTTATATATCTGTATAGCCTACATAGGATGAAACAAACCAGCAATAGTCGAAATCAATCCTCTGGCACCAGGACAAGCAGCCATCCTCAAGGCCCTGTACCACAACAGGCCCAGATAACCCGACATGACAATCCACCAAGAACGGTTTCTCGAATAGAGCTACAATATACTCACCAGCACTTAGGCTTACTATCTTCCGGCTATCAATCTTCCAGCTATCAATCTCACGCCATTCCTCCACCTTCCTTCCCGTCTCAGCGAGGACCAGCGTCCAGACATCCTTCCCAACATTTGAACATACAAGCCCCTGGCCATCGATATCAAGTCTCTCCTCCACCTCCATATGAGGCTCGGCAAGATACCACGGCGCTGGTTCCTACCCAGCTTTCGAGCATACAAACCGCTGTCCAATCGTACGCCATTCCACCACCTCCATACCAGTCTCATCGAGGATCGCAATCGGGGCATTCTTCCCAACATTTAAACATACAAGCCTCTGATCAGCGATATCAAGTCACTCCTCCACCTCCATACGAGGCTCAGAACGATACCCCGGTGCTGGTTCCTACCCAGATTTCGAGCATACAAACCGCTGCCCATCAATCGCACGCAACTCCTCCACCACCCTACAAGCCTCCGGAGCAACCAGTGTCTGGGCATCTCTCCCAAAGCTCGAACATGCAAACTCCTGACCATGTATCTCATGCCACTCCTCCGTCTCCATACCAGCCGCTGGTTCCTTCCCAACTTTTGAACATGAGACCTCACGACTCTCGACCTCACGCCAATGCATACACTGATCTTCCTCCACCCACTCCATCCCCGCCTCAGATAGTGCCTGGATCTCCTCCTCGAACTCCTTCCTTCCTACCTCAATCAACGCCAGAATTGCCTCCCCCAACTGCTCCTGTCCTGTCTCATGCAGTACCTGTGTCTTCCTACAGACAGGCGAACATACGGCCCTCCGACCATCGACCTCGCGCCAGGCGACCTCGTAGCAGGCGATCCCAGACTCCTGCATTGATGGCTCTCTTTCCAACCGGCCAGCGCCTGACAATGACAGCGGTTAGTTGGGTTCTATTTATGGGTTTCAGAGACTTGCCTTTGGCCATGCTAACGGATATATTTGCTTGCCGGAAAGATGGATGCTCCACCTGACACCCACGCTTCTAACGTGGAATCACTTGTTCATAGGGAACACGAACCAAAGAATAGAGCTCAAAGTAATGGACTACAACATGGGAGTCAGTTGCGTGGGGACGCACCAGAGTTTGTTCCCCATGGAGCTGGCGACCGTGACGAATCCACCACAGCATTTGAAGAGCCTGACGAGAATCACCAGGAGGCACAGGAGGAGTCCACCATAGCCGTTGAAGTCTCTGACGAGAATCATCAAGATGCGCAGGAATTCACCTGGCTAGTTGTCGATGGTAGTATGCATTAGCGGTGGGTCGCTGAGTTAGCTCGCTTTGTTGTGAGATATTACTATTTTCCAGCGCTCACGTTGCTTTACTTCTCGTGTGTCGTGACCATTATTGTCAGACTTTGATTACCCTTACAGCACTAGCCATATATTAGTGTTGTCTTGGTGATGTCAATCTGAGACCAAGTAGCTAATGAATACCTCATGAAGGATTGAGAGTATGCCATGTAGGGAGTAAGATGTACAGGAACAAAATGGACTTCACTGTCTACTATATTTCCTGTTCCTTCTACTGTATCCACAGATGGGCCCACTAGAATTATTTAGTATCCCGTAGCGTAACCCGAAGTGCGATCTTAGTGCGAACTGATGGCGAACCATTCTATTCCCGAAGATCCCGAATGTGGGCCAGCACTATGTCTATATTCTTGCTTTTTCGTACTCGGCCTCATCATCACCCCAACACATCGGCGTTTGTGCTATAAATACAGAGTACTAAGCATACGGGATGTAAGGCTGAAAGATTTGCAGGGATGTTTGCTCGTATTTTTTCCCCATCTGACAGCGCTCTCGCTGTACTCTCTTCCCAAACGAGCGTAATGGCCAACCTCCTGCGTCGAACTATCGTCAACTCAACCGAGACAAGTTTCCCTGTACGAGAGACAATTTCGGTATTCGTATCGCGAGGCCAGTCACTCAGTTGATCTTCCATCTCATTGGACCTGTTCTACGCCACAGTGTTCCTGAATTTGACTTGTCATTCCACTCTTGTTAGGAATGCTTCAAGGTGTCCAGTCATGGATGGACAAGGGGTGGTCCGATAGGATATGGCCTCGGTCAAGTTTTCAGCCAGTCCATCCGGTACTGTCCAAGATCTCGCTCACACAGAAGTATAAATACTGACCGACGACAGCGGTTGGTATGGTTTGTTAGGCCAGTCAGTTTCTAGTTTCGTTTCGTCGCAAATTTCCAGAATGAATACCCTTCGCTATAGGCTCGTATGGCTGACAGCTCTGCTACTCTCGCTGGCACCATGGGCAAATGCAAATGGCCAGCAAGTCAATGCCACCCGGAACACGGTGCGCTACAATCTCACGCTTACCTGGGACGATTGGGCGCCTGCTGGGACTTCTCGAAAGATGATTCTCACTAATGGTCAATTCCCAGGACCGGAGTTACGTTTGCAACAGGGTGATGATGTTGAGGTCTTGGTGGTGAACAATCTCCCTGATCCTGCTACGATTCATTTCCATGGTAAACTGCTTCTTCAGTATTCTCTGATATATGACTTGGTATCTGATTTCTTCTCTGTAGGAATTGAACAGATCAACACTCCTTGGTCTGACGGAACCCCGGGTCTATCTCAGAAAAACATTGCGCCTGGTGGTCGATTCCTCTACAAGTGGCATGCCGCTCAGTATGGAAGCTACATCTATCATGCTCACAGCAGAGGGCAGATGGACGATGGGCTTTACGGTGCCATCTACATCCAGCCGAACGACAACGTGGAAAAGCCCTTTGGCCAGATCACCGATAACAAGGGAGAGATAAATGCCATGCACGAGGCGGAGAAGAAGTCTGCGCCAGTTGTCTTGTCAGACTGGCGTCAATTGACCTCGGAGGAGATATGGCATGCCGAGGAGGAAATGGGACGTGATGCAATGTGTGCCAATGCCCTCCTGGTCAATGGGAAAGGCTCCGTAAGCTGCCTGAGTCGACAGGCCCTGGATACGGCCACTACACCCGAGCAAAGGAAGGTGTTGGGCAATACAAGCTTTACCGACATAGGGTATGAAGACTTCCAGCTAAAGAGTGTGGTTTAAATCAGTGGAATTGACCGCTTTAGGTGTCTACCGCCAACAAATGCGCTCGCACAAGGGAACTTCCCCCATAACCTCAGCGCTATTCCTCCTTCAGTGTTCTCTGGCTGCACTCCATCCCATGGGTCAACGGAGAAACTGCTTGTCGACCAGGCTGCTCAGTATGTAAGCTACGATTTGATCAGCGCGGCCGGTATATCAGTGATTACTTTTTCCATCGATGAACACCCCATGTACGTCTACGCCGTCGATGGGCGATATGTTGTACCGAACTTGGTCGATGCGCTTACCGTCCCCAATGGGGCTCGCTATTCCGTCATGGTGAAGCTGGATAAACCGGCCGGTGACTACACTGTTCGGGTAGTAAATACTGGCGTCAACCAAATTCTCAACACAACTGCTATCATGTCATATAAAACCTCCCAGAAGACTCAACAGCAGCCTTCGACTCCTTGCATTGACATCACGGGGAGACCATCAACCAACTGCAAGGTTTTGGACGAAGGCACCATTGTTCCCTTCCCTGTTGAGGTGCCGGCTAAGGAGGTGGCCCAGACGCACGTTCTGAACATCGATCACTACCATGCATCCTACCTCTGGACCATGGGCAACTCCAGCTATCCCCTTAGCCTCGAGGAATCCTCTCCACTCTTGTTTGACCCCTCTGCGGCGAAAACCGATCTCAGTATCAAAACACTCAACGGCACGTGGGTCGACCTGGTCTTCCACGTGGTCAGCTCGCTCCAACCTCCTCACCCAATCCACAAGCATTCCAACAAGTTCTTTGTGATCGGCCAAGGCAACGGCGCATGGAAATACTCCTCCGTGGCGGAAGCAATGAAGGTGATCCCGGAGAGTTTCAACCTCAAGAACCCGCAGATTCGTGATACGTTTGTCACCCCTCCGGCCGCAACTGGACCTACCTGGTTGGTTATTCGGTATCAAGTAATCAACCCCGGGGCATTCTTCCTGCATTGTCACCTCCAGATCCATCTCAGTGGGGGGATGGGGCTAGCGTTACTGGACGGGGTGGATCACTGGCCGGAGATTCCAGTGGAGTACCAGGGAGACAATGCGGGGTTTCCTCCGAAGGAGTTGTCATCGGAATAAGGGGGATGCTATAGTATCATATTGTTGCAGTGCAGATGTATATACACCAATGTTCTTGTTCATACGATAGAATAGAATATTACTTTAGAGTGAAGAGACATGAGTAGTTAACGTTAACTAGTTACGTTAACTTAGAGGATGTCATGACTAAGCCATTAGTCAACACATGCCCCACGTAGCCTAGCCCCCTGGAATGAAGTCCCATGCCCCCTCAGCTGTCTTTCCCCTGTTCTCCTCTTCCCCAGACACAGTGACGAGCCTCCATCAGTCCTTCTTGTCGATGTGGCCGATGGGCTTGGATATCATCTCGCTAGATGGAATTCATGCATGCTGAATCTTGTACTTTAACCATCTGCAGGTTGGCGCCAGAGGACTGAGTGATTACTGCTGCTATTACTTCTACTTCTACTTCTAACTAGATAGTCGCGGTGGCTGACTCGCATTGGTTACCCGTTCGAGCATCCGAAACCCCTCACTCCCCCATTCTGATATACTCAACCCCGGCTGTGTAACTCCTCATTGAGCGGTTGTCTAACATGGTTTTCTGCGGGAAGCCGAGCAAAGGCTGCGGCGAATGCCGATCTCGAAAGATCCGTTGCGATCAGGCCCGACCCGCCTGTTCGCAATGCACCAAGGGCAACCGTGCATGCTCTGGATACAGAGACGAACTGTCTCTGATGTTTCGCGATGAAAGTCAGCAAGTAGTGCGCAAGGCCAAAACTGGGGCCACCGGTCGCCGCTCTAGAAAGATTGCCCGTCGCAATGTTTCCCCGCCCGGGAGTAGTAGTCCCCAGTCTGGCACTGGCCCATCGTCGATGCCAAGTGACGTGTCTAATGCCTCCAATCCGCAGCTGTCGCCGATGACCGTGGAACAGCTGACTCCACAGTCTATGGGCCCTGAGTTCCCACCGTCGTACCAGTTCACCCGCGATGAAGCCGTCTGCTACTTTCTCCGCTTTCATGGTTGGCCCGGGGTTTTTCGCAAGTCCGCGGAGTCGCCGAAATTTGTCGCGCAGCCGGTGATTTCTCCGAGCCAGCAAGCGATGAGGGCGGCCATAGTTTCGGTAGGGACGGCGATGCTCTCGCGGCTCCGGCAATCCACGGAATTAAAAATAACCGCCGAGAAGGAATATTGCCATGCGCTCAGCCTTTTGACTACGGCAGTAGCGGAGGAGGAGGAGGCCAAGACGAACCCAACGCTTGCTGCGGTATTGTTACTGGCGATCTTCGAGGTATGAGATGCTTGCTGAATGCTTCTTAATTCTGTCGATGAATAGCGAAAAAAATAAATAAATAAATAAATAAAACCAAGCGCTAACCCCAAATAGGTCATCACTAGTAGAACACTACAAAATATTAAGAAGTGGACCAGTCATATCTACGGTGCTGCCGCACTGCTTGAATTGCGAGGCACAGAGCAGCTTCAGGACGAAGATGGACTCAAGCTTTTTGTGCAGTTAAGGTTTCAAGTTGTACGTCGGATACTCTTTGGGGTTTCCCTTCCATTCTGCGATTAACAAGTCTGTCGTAGATCATCAGCTGTCTCCAAAAGAGTGTCCGTGTACCTCCGCCGGTTCTCGAGTGCCCCAAGATTGCCATGTTTTTACGCCCAAAAGTTGAGGCGTACGGCGACCGCCTGATTAGCATCGCCGGTAGACTGTCGAATCTTCGGGCCGATATTAACACGAAGGTCTTGACGGATCAGGGGGAAATTCTGTCCGCCGCATACAACATCGAGGCCGAACTGATGTCATGGACCGCGGCTCTTCCACCGGAATTTCTCTACACGACGATCGAAGACCCTTCTCCCGATCTCTTGTTCGACAAGGTGGGTTGCAGCCTTGCACCATTTAACGGTCGATATCACGTCTACAGTGATCTCTGGGTCAGCCACACCTGGAATCAATACCGATGCGCCCGGATTATTGTTAGTGAGATCATTCTGGGTTGTCTCCGACGAATCACCATCAATTCGGCGGCGGCAGCTGTATCAAATGAATTCCGAAGCCATTGTACCAGACTTCGCAACACCACTCGCCAGCTAGCCACGGACATATGCTGCAGCGTTCCGTTTCATTTTGGAGCGGGAAATATGAACACGAAACCTCTCGGCAGCATCCCTTTGGGGCAGAGCTATATCGGGGGGCTGATCCTCCTCTGGCCATTGATCCTGGCCGGGGCAACGGAACGCAAACGTCATCCGCTACGGAGCTGGGTGATCGAGTGCCTCTTTATTATCGGACACAGCATGGGCATCGACCAGGCTCTGCTTCTAATTGACATATTAGAGACCGAAGTAGGCGTATTTGACGGGGTGGAGGATGGCGAGGACGGCGTTTTTTTCCGGGAGTCTGGCGGCACGACGGAGGGCAATCAAGTTTTGACAGGGACTTGGGGGCCTTGATATGATTATTGTTGATATACCATTTAGTATATATATACATGTATAACGCAAATTTACGAATGCTGTGGATAACTTTGTGTCTGGTGCAGGAGCCACCATTACAGCTATTCAGCAGTCTTTACAGTGGCTTTCCACAACTAGTATTAAACCATGGATCTCACATCAAGTAAATATACGAAAACTTCTTGTTTCTCATGACGTATAATATCGTCTTAAATAGACCATCCTTACCTATTAGACATTATTTAGCGTAAACAAGATATTCCCACAGGGTGCGGTGGTGTGGACTCCCCTCCGGGTACCCATGCTCAACACTCGTAAGTATGAGTATCGGTAGATCAGCTCCGCGATCCTCGACTAATGTGTGTAGATCTCATCAATATGGTATGCTATAGCTGTATGTTCTTACCTCCTTGATTCACCATGAACTTCTGTTTATCATTTGGATTCCTTTGAAGTTACTGCCCACAAGAAACATATTCTCCTTATCTTCGAAGCTGCGCAAATAAGCCTGCGTGACATAAGGTTAATTTTCTGATGGAATGGGTTCGATCAAGTCTTCATCAGGGATACTATTATTCATATCAGAAGACTCACTCGTACCACACGGTGAAGTTGCTGCAATCGAAATGCCACAACGGAGTGGATTTTAGCATCTCAGACTTTCGACATCGGTGTTGGAAGGGCTTCTTGCTCAATTCATAGAACACCTTTGGCTTCGCTCGTAACCAGGGAATGCCCATTTAACCATCCATTCCAAGTTTAGCACCTCATCAGCGGTCAGTTGGTCCTCCAGCCAGAATGACAGCATTTGGCGCATCAATTAGAAACGCAACTTTCTTGTTTTCATCAATCTCATCTCCCAGTTTGCGTATCCGTTTCTGGACACCAGTTTCAAATGAATATTGGCTGGGGCGTTAGAGGGCGACGGGTTCTCCGTCACATCATGTTACTGGGACTGTCTCAGGCTCACTGTATTTTTTATATAATTGCTTGATAGAAAAGTCATCAAAATTTGACGGGAGCTTGATTAAAACGGTGCTTAAATGAATTCCTGAACCACGGATGTCCTTAGTATTAGCCTACTGGTGTCAGAGCATGTAAAGATGCTGTTGTTCAAACCTCCATGAACGTGGCCTTGTGAATGAGTGTGAGCAACTTCAAGAGATAAAAGACGGCTAAAGAGATCTCTCTAAGATTGCATTGTGCAGGAGTTACCGTGTAGCACGAATGTTTTCCATTAGGACCTTGCACTTCGAACTCATCCAGTAGTACATACAGGTACTAAAGCACGCCGGGGGTGTACAAGTAAAGATGACAGTGTAGCAGACAGAGCTTTAAGGACCTTTGTCTCGCGTGGAAGAGAGTCCGCTATGTTGACGTTAACAGCAATATATTTCTTCTGATAAGCGTCTCGGGCAAGCCAAACGGTCGAGTAGCCACAAAAACCAAGTTTATCTGCAATATGATATCGGTCATGTAGCATGTCTCCGACCATAATAGATGCTAACCCCCCACTCTTGTAGCCGTGCACAATCAAAACGAAGCAATGCGGTCGAGACTACAAAGCTGATAATGGAGAAACGAGCTACTTTTCACAGCTTCCACTCTCTCCGAATTTGCCTTGTGGCTCCGATTTGGTCATGAGCAGCGACGAACTTCCAACACCTGGAGACTTGCTTTTACGGGAGAGGAGCTGCTCACCCCACCCCTGGTGGATGAACTCAGGACCGTCATAAATTGCCCGCCCCAATTGATCAACGGTTAGGGGCCGCGGAGATCACCATACCAAATTATTGTGTTCCCATTCAGGCTTGCTCAGTGGGGAAGACCCTCCCGAATTACACCACCTATATTATGGACGAAAATATGATACCCCTACCCATTGGCTATCCAGGTGAGATTTGCATTGGAGGGTGCAGTTACAATTTGATACTTGACCAACGACGAGCTGACCGGGTCAAAATATGTAGCCTCTAACGACTACTTGTCCCGAGGTTGGACGCAAATCCAGCGGACGGGTTATCGAGGACGACTGGCAAGAGACGGCTTGTTGTATTTCGAAGGCCGAATCGGAAATGACACGATCATCAACCTGAGAGAAATACGTGTGGAGTTGGAAGATGTCCAGAGCGTCATACTCCGACAGGCAAACGGTGTTCTTGAGCAGGTTCTGGTTTCAGTGCGCGGTAATTCTGAGATCCTAATCGCCCATGTAGTATTCTCGGGAGGGAACGAGAGTCTCGATCGAAAGTCGTTCTTGAAGAATCTGCACTCCAGCTTCCAGTATATGCGACCGGCTCTCATCACTCCCCTTCGATCAAGTCCCTCAGTGCGCATTCCAAAGTAGATCGACGCGCAATTGCACAGCTCCCCTTGCCGCGGAATAGTCAGGGAACCTACGATAGCCAAGATCAGCTTCTGACACATGCCCAGGAGGGGCTCAGAGCAGTCTGGGACGAAGTACTTCCCAATGAACTGGTCGATATGGCAGGTGCACGGCCAAATCTCGCGTTCTTTGACACAGGAGGAAACTCATTACTTCTGATCAAGCTTCAAAGATCTGACTAGACGGCGTTTTTCAGTTGCCCTGCCACTGGCAGATCTGTATGAAGCCAATACTCTGGAGCTTATGGCGGAACAGATCCAGACTTCAAATCGTAATACATCCATAGGCTGGAGTCAAGAAACGTCTGTTGCCGATTTGGCTCTGACATCGATACCTATGAAGCTTTCTGAAGTGAAGAAGAGCGGCATCTTTATCATTATGGCCGGCGCCACAGGAACTCTTGACTCTAGATTACTGGCGCAGCTGGTCGACGACGCTCGAGTCTCACAGATACATTGCATTGCAGTACGACAACAATTGGATAGCCCCGACGAATTGGCCAAGGTATCTTATCACACAGATGACCTCAGTCAACCATACCTTGGGCTGTCAAAGAGCGTATTTGAACAACTGCTAACGTCGACGTCGTTCTGCACATTGGTGCGGATCGCTCCTCCTGGGACAACTATCTAGTTATACGATGGCCACACGTCAATTCCACCAACGCTCTTATTACTTAGGCCGCTCCTCGGAGAGCTCCAATCCACTATATGTCCTCTGGTGGTTTATTTTTCGCCAATCCGGCTGTTGGGATGGAAGATCCTCCAGAGCAGCCTCACATGTCGTGTGTCAATTCACCTCCTGATGATGGGACTAATGGGTACGTCGCATACAAATGGGCCAGTAAAAAGATCCTAGAGAGGGCGGCCGAGCAATTCAGCCTCCTCATGACTGTCCATCGTCTCATGCCGATCGCATCTATGACCATGTTTCAAGACAAGCAAGAAAAAGCACTGGCAGATTTGCGCGCGATAACCCAGGCCCAAGGGATCCATAACGTGTCTTCTGACATGCGCGGCCACATGGATCTTATGAAAGCGGATGAGCTCGCGACAAATATGATGGCAACCATCTTCCACACAGCTGGGGCCACCAGGCCTTCACCTCCCTCTGCTGCAGAGGCCGCACCCCGTCAACATTTGCCAGTCTCCTACGGTCATCATCAGAGCTCTGTGCGTCTCACAGTGTATGACCTGGAGGGTGTCTTGGAGCAGAGCTCGGGTGTAGAAGAAGGAGCGAAAAGTATATCAAGGCCTAAAAGGATTGGGCTTGTGAAAGCAGCTGGTTTCTCGTACATTATTGCTTCCCAGGACTTTCGACTTGTGGACATAACGGCCGAAGGTGGTACTGACGGAACTCTGTGTCTTGGCGGTGATACCACAGACGTATGCAGGATCTACTGTAGGATCTATCTTCGAAAAATTTAAGATTATAGATTCTCTAAAATAAACAGAGTAATGTAGATTAAGAAAGCGAGGAACCGTCGTCCTACGATTGCCAGCTAGGGTCCTGTTGGCACCAGCGACGTGCGATATTGCTCGCAGGCAGTGTAAGACAGAAGACAGCAGGAGCATGTGATGATACCCTATGTCCTAATCCAACCCAATATCTAGAAATATTCACATGATCGTGTTTTACTTTATTGGGCCTTAGCTCCAAAAAAGCCCTACAGGCTTGCATACTTTGTATAAATTCTAGTCACATGACTCTACTACGCAGCGTACATTGAATCCCCCAGCCACGAAATGACATCATAAAAATTTCATGAAAAAATACCAGGCTTATCATATCAGAAACCATGGAAATGTATTCCATGCTCACACAGAGCCGGAAATCGGCATACATCCAAGGCCTTTTGAATCTGCACTACAGGGCTGTGCAGGGCAAATGCCCAGACTGCGCCTTCGGTTAGTTACCGGTAGGCTCGGCGATCGTATCCGGTACTACCTGCACGTATGTTAATACTTATGTTAACTAGGAGGATTTGATTTTAAGGTTCATTTCAACATACATATATACATAGATTGTATGTAAACCCTACGTTGGGGCAGTGCTGTTTGGGACGTTCCATGGTTTATTCATGTGGGGTATACAGAGTTGGATTCCGCCTTGTTGATTCGATATCAGTATCTTTCTGACTTTCTTTCTTTCTTTCGGGTTTGCTTTTTTACTGTTCTTCTTGTGCTTCGTTTATAGGGTATAATAGATGGATGGATATGGTGGGGTTTCTGCCTTGGTTCTGCCTTGGTCAAATCACTGTGATGATGGAGTGGAGCGTCTCGACCTATTTATATATCGATCTTGTGGTTCCCGTGTTGATGCAGTATCGCCTATACGTCTCGCAATTATAATTTTCCCATCAATCACCCATCCATTACATAGTTCCTACGTCGTTGGAAGTCCTCCCTACCTGTTTTGAACTGATTTCTCGTTCAAATTTGGAGGGACTTGCGTAACAGCTTGCATCGACAACAATACCATTGTGACCAAGACTAAATATTGTCATTTCGTCATCGACGGCGTACGCCATGGGCCACAGACATTCGCAACTCGAAGCGACACCCGTCAAGAACCGGAGATTGTCCTCGAGAGGTCTTGGGAGGGAGAAAGGGCCTGTGAAACCTGCGTCTGCTGCATCTAGTGATTTGTGGTCTCCTCCATCATATGATTCACATTTTGCGCCTAGGCCCCCAGTACTAGCGCCTGACGATTCCGCCTACGCATTCCTGGGAGAATTCGACACCATATTCGTCGTGGATGACAGTAGTAGTATGACTGGTCGTCGGTGGAAGGAGGCAGAGGATGCCATTGCGGCCATCGCTCCCGTCTGTACACGTTATGACCAGGATGGTATTGATATCTACTTTCTGAATCATCGGCGGGAAGCTACGAGGGCAACTACCGGGGCGTACATGAACATCACGACTGCAGACGATGTGCGGGAGATTTTCAACAGTGTTCATCCACGAGGACCAACTCCCTTCGGGAAACGACTCCATGATATCCTGACCTTGTATCTACGGCGTGTGGACATGATGGAGGCGACAGGAATTGGAGGTTGTTCGATGGACCCGTTTCAGGTGGTGAAACCGTTGAATATTATCGCCATCACTGACGGAGCGTTCACGGACGATGCAGAGAGTGTCATCGTGGATGTCGCCCGAAGGTTGGATGACTGTCGGGCTGCGCCATGGCAGGTGGGCATTCAGTTCTTTCAAATCGGTGATGACGCGCAGGCACAGTCATATCTGCAGGCGCTGGACGATGAATTGGGTAGATTGACGCGCCATGATCACCTTCGTGACATTGTCGACACAGTGCCATGGAGAGGCAGGTCCGGCCAGACCCTGAGTGCGGAGGGGATTTTGAAATGCGTCCTTGGTGCCGTGAATCGAAAGTATGACAAATGTGATCAGTTTCGCTGATTTGCATCTTCTACCCTCTCAGTAGTTGTTGCGTTCTTGCTTCGCCCTCCGTTCATTTCCTCTTATCTCATTAGGATTTGTTTCAGGCGTTCTTTATTGGGTCTCGATTTCACTGGGAGAAAATGGCAAGGTGCAGGGCCGGTTAGTCGATAGTTAAGATTGGTGAGTTAGCACTCATGGTTGTTACAGGTACGGGATATGCTAGTCTGTCACAGCAAGCGCCGTGGTTGCCGCCCCGACAGTATTCGAGTCAGGGATGAGGATCAACGTACGTGGTGTGATTTGCTTGCTAAAATAAAACATCCTTGATTAGAGAGTTTTAATCCTAGTTTTCTGTTTGTACTACCAGTCACGCCTTACATTATAACGTAATACCGACATGAGAGCGTCGTGTTCACTCTTAACTCGTGGGCAAGCGCTATGCCAAGATATCGAATCGGGAATATGGAGGCGAGGTTTACTCGGATCTCAAAGGTTGGAAAGGAACCCAGGCGCTAAGAAGAAGAATGGTCTGGTCCAGCCGCCCCTTGACTGTCAAGGGCTGATCGGGGATCACCGGTTGCCCAAGTAATTCGGGGGATTAATTGACTTGAGCTAAGGTAAGGTGGTTATTATCATGATGTGATGATTTGACCATTCCCTAGTCCTTGTCATTCCCTGACTCGTCAACAGACGCGCTGTGGTCAGTAAAAGATTGGCTTTGACAAATCACTCCATGTCGTTAATCCATGTGATATCAGAAGTTCTGGGCTCCGTCCTGGGAAATTTGACGACTGGAACATCTTTTCGAACCCCAATCAATGTACTGTATGTCCTTGGTTGCCTGGAAGATTGGGGCGAGACAACGGCACGTGGATCTCACGTGGCTGCCTGGAGATCGACGGGAGAATTGATCGATTTTTGGGAACAGCAAATAGTGTCAAAAGGGACTGCTTGACTGACTCGATCGTACCGGCTTTTACTATTTTCCTGATTCTCGTCTATTGTCCTCCACTAGGGGCCTTTTCCTGAGTACTGGACAGAAGTACAGGGTATCCAACCCTTGCACTGTAGTTGACAAGGATGTACTCCATCTACGAGCACTCTGTAAGATCGTCGCCAACCATGACTATTTTTTTTTTTTAATTTTTAATTACATATCTTCTACCAAGCAACGGCGTCTTTGCCAAGCAACGAATCAGCTCGGGCTTTGCTGCATGGCTGGCTGTAGTTCTGATCCGTCACTTCTGAGAGACTCTCTCACCTCCACTACGGTACATTAGTCCCCTTCACTACTTTGGCTCGCCAGCTCTAGTCCCCGCTCAGTGGATGATCAAATCTCCCAGAACCATGATCGGATCTGATCGCGTCTTCGTGCGATTTTTTTCCACCAGTTCGGGCCACAGCCATGAAACGTCGACCTTTCCTCCTTGACCTACAGGGTTTGCGCCCATTGTGACGTGGTTGTTGTAATTCTCTTGTAGATTTACGTGAAGCGCGCTGTCATATTGTCTATCAATTCTCATTCATGACAAGGTACTCTTCCTCTGATCGATTTGTATTATAACTGCAGAGTATATATTACCTATCTTTTGCGCAAGGGTCTTCAGTTTTGCCCGCATCTTTTTTCTCTTCTTTCTTTTCTTTTTGGCCTCCCAAACTGTCTTGATCCTCTCTCAACCTACTTGCATCCATAGCCTTTCCACGTCTGGAATCATACAAGAGGCGCATTTCGAAACATCCGACATATGCAGCAAGCGCTGAGGTTCCTCCACTTCTCGCTCTCGACCCTGTCTATCCGCCTTGTCGGTGCTTCCTGCCCGGTATCATCCAGTCTCATTGGCCCTCCATTACCTTTGGCCTATCTTACCTGGGCGTATCCAAATTTAACTACTGTGCCGCTGCGGCTACTGAATCAATGATTTCCAGGAGTCCTGGTGATTGTCTGTCTCAGAATCTTTCGATTTGTTATGGATATCTGCCTTTACTTTGAGCCTTTGTTCATGAGCTCACTTATATTCCCAGCCAAAGTGCCCTGAGGCCACCGGGGATTCATCCTTTCAATTTCATTGAAAATTTCTTAACAACGAGGCGCTTTAGCCCTCCAGGCGTTCTTTACTATTCTCAAGATCTACTTCTGTGCAGGCTGGTTCGTGGCTCATCTTTTAGTCTTGTCTTCTTAAGCACTATATAACAATACTGGCCACCCCCTCTTTAGCTCTTTTATTTGCGAACCTTGCTTTGTTGCCACCAATTAGCGATAAAACCCTTCCTTATTTGTATTATTTATCATTCTCGGCTGTGGTCAAGACTTTTTCTGCAATCATGGCTTCAACCACATTGATGACTTTTCTACTGTGAGTAACGTTCCTGGGCAAACAGTTGTGGAACGTTTCACTAATGGAACATGCTCAGCTGCGTCGGCCCTCATGTCAAGTCAGTTAAATTATTAGGATCATGGGATAACTTCTCCAAGACATATTATATGGAGAGGGACAGGCGTATTGGCTCAGGCCACTGGAGGGGCTGCCATACATTTACCGATATAATATGTGATGGATCGCCAAACCACATGGGCCTGCCACGCTCTGGTGGGCTCAAAATGGGAGGAACATACTGGTATTATGTTCGTATCCTTGTTCCTCATCAATTGACAGGAATGCGTGGCTAACCGCGCGGGACAGTACTTGCTAGATGACGACATAGAATACTACAACGAGGCAGAGCCAGTGACATCGCAATGCCCTCTTCTTCCCGGACAGCCTGTCAATGTGCTTCATGTTCCTATCATTCTACCTGATACACGTCCAACCCATACTGGTGAGAGAATCTCCAATTCTCGGAAAACAGATCAGCGAACCATGAATCCGGATGACAAGTATATGAATCCTCGGCGTCCTCCTAAACCAAAACTTCCTCGCCTTCAGACGTCTCCTCCGCTGTTACAGCACGCAGCTTGGACTTTTAACTCCTCCCCATTGGGAGTTGTAACCAGCAAATGTTCCTCTCAACCTGGTAGCGCCACACCTGTTGTTAGGAACCATGACATTTCCAAGGGTCTAAGCTGCAAAGCCTCTCGGTCTGTGTCTCCTCCAAGATCTAGAGGTCTACGAGCGGCATTCCGGCACTGGAACGCTTCCTCACCCGAACTTGGTGCCTCAAATGATCAGGATGATCACAATATACCTCCCTTTGTGGCTCATGACTACACATCGTCACACAGCGATGGCTACGAGTATGGAGTAAGGCCTCATTCACAAAGTGGCTCGAAGAAACCCATGAATCGTACAGAAAAAGGCCCGGACGACCTTCACTGTTGGCCAACACCTACTGGAATTAGTAACGACTCAAAATTGTCCGTCCAGGAGCGGCGTGCTTTAAATCCGACTGATATAGACCTCACGCCACGCAGAAACCCTTTAACTCTACAAACGACGGCCGAAATGACTACTCCTCGCAGTCAGCGCACCTTCAAACCCCATTCCCAAATGGTCAAGAAATCGACTGTTGGTTACTATCCATTCTTGACTGCGGCAACCTTGTCTATGCCATCGGAACCTGATGCTACAACACCCACTCCGTTCACTTTCAGGGAGAAGAGACTCCCAACTCTCCCCAACACACCTTCATCAGTTATGGACGAGGCGCTGCGCATCATTGACGAGAGGGAACAAGCACTCGATGCCGAGAATATGGGTAGTCATTTCTCCGATTTTAGTCCCACAGAGGGCTCTATTGCCAGCAGCTCCCCATGCGAAAGAAGCCGCTTTTCTGAATGGAGCACGGATACAGAATTGATCTCGCCCGCGTCCATGATGTCCTCCTTGACGGTCAACAATGATTCACAGTCCCCCATTCCTGACCAAATGGCGGTTCCAGACCTATTGGATCACAACGCAACGACCGAGTCCAGTGATCCAGACACCCCTCATCTAACAATGAATTCTAAATCCTCACATACTTCACTTAGTGGTGATCCTTATTTTGATTTACCACGCCCTCGCCTAACAGTTTCCTTATCTCCATCCAATCTGGATGTCCCGGGCCTCTGTATCCATGACGAAGATCCTGTGGAAACCAACACCAAACGACATGCAGCTTTCTTTGGAGAAATAGAATCAGTAGAAGTACTCGGACTCACCAGGAGCCCCGAACCTACTGCAATGCACTTTCCCGAAGCGGTCAAAGAAAATATGCTCTCAGTTTGTGATGAACCACAGGGTCCTACCATTGGTGAGGAACATTATCGCTCCAGGAGAGCGACAGTTGCAAGTCAGTCGGTAACGATGCAAGAGATGATGGATGAATTGGGTTACTTGAAGGACATAATCCAGTTGGGAACCACGGGAGATATTTAAAGCGCTGTGCAGATGTGCTATTCGTATTTAATAGCTAGTCATATTAGATATACTATAGGCATCCTTGTACCATAGAAATGAAATTAACGGCACGAGTGAATTCGAATTTTCCTGAAAGAGTCTGACTTCCAAACATAAAAAAAAAAAAAAAAACCGACTGGAGTGCCGTCCATGAGAGTCGAACGGCTTTATCAATATGCACTGCACTGGTTTAGGTGCAACGAACGACCCACCTGCCAAGAATTCCCGCAATCCCATCTTCCATCTTGGGCCCAGACAAGGAACAAGACAGCCATAAACCCGTGTCCGTTCACCTTCGATTAATTCCCAGAGAATGGACTAGAGACGGACTGTAAGTCATGGCTGAGGATAGTTCTCGGCCCCGAACACTAGGCCATGGACCGCAGCTCTCGCCTGTCGCAGGGAAATTATTGCCGACAAAATGCAAGGAAAACACACTGGCCTATTGTCCTACGATGGACCTTATTGCCCTAGTGACTGAGGATGACGAATTGCACGTCTTTCGCCTCAATGGGCAGAAAGTCGTCGGAGGCTTGTTTAAAGGAGATCCGTATTTGGATGAAGATGATGGCCGCGGTGAGATTCGAAGGTTGATGTGGAAAGACAATGGTGAGCTCATGTCTGCATCTTTTGAGAGATTTGATTTCTTCCTTGACATCCACATAGTACCAGTATCTGGGATCCGAATAACTGGGGTTTAGGTCATTTTCTTGCTGTCGCTTGCGCGGATAACACCATCCGCGTCATCAGCTCATACAGTGGCAAAACTGTCCACCAGTATCCTGCATATCAACCGCCGGATGGCTCTGATCAGTCTGTTAAAGTGACCTGTCTGGGATGGGGCGTGAACTTCACCGATAGTAAGGCTGCACAGCGGAGTCTTCAAGACGGCGCTGGGCATATCACCCTTGAGGATTTGTTGACACCAGATGTTCATCCATCTAAAGTTGCTGCCGTTCTCAAAGCGGACTTACCAAGGGAGCTCGCACTGCTGGACATTGAAAGTTCGCTACCTAAACTAAGCACTCTACCCGCGACGGGGGGCGAGTAAGCTATATCATTGCCTTCTGGTCTGAGACAGCCTCTAACGCTAGTGATTGTAGTGATGATGTGTTTAGCTCTCGAGCATCTATCGATGCCATGTTTCGCCCCACGGCAAACACCGGTGATGCCGTGGATGTCTTGCTGGTCGGACTGGATAATGGGACTGTTCATTTGCGCATCTTCGACTGCTTTGAAATTGGCTCTTTTGAAGTTGGAGGGTCTATCAAGAACTCCAGCTCATGCAAAATTTTCCAACACGCTTCGCATCCCTTGAGTTCGACACATGCGTTACTAGCATCGACGACTCCGACGGAAGATGCTTCCAGTTATTTGTATCTTGTTACATTGGATCTTCGTTTTATTACAAGATCGGGGAGATATCTCTCTCTCCTTGCTTACAAAACAACGCAGCTTCAAAACCTGCTTCGGTATATCGGCCAGGTGCAGAGGCAAATTGAACTTGAGTGGAAAAATGCCCAGGAGCTGCCTACAAGATATATGCGGAGTATAAACGAGGATCTACAGGAGAAATGTCATTGCGACTTTGTCACGGCTGCGTATCACCTAGTCGTCACTGGGGATTGTTTTGCGCCATTGAAAGAGTTTTTAGTGGATATTGTTGGAGAAAGGGTTCGTATCATTACTGACTCATGACTCTGATCATAATGGCTGGTAAAACGCTGATCGGGCTAAATAGGGACATAAGCGATGGGAGAAAGCTGTCGCAAGCGGCTACGAAAATGTGCGCCGCTTGGTACATGAGTGTCTTCTTCCGGCCTTGGAAAGGTGTCAAGTACAGCTCAGCCGGCTCATCGGACTTTCCAAATTCCACAAACTGAGCGAGGTTTTGGGCTTGGAGACATCTGATTTGAATGCAATCGTTGAGACGATGGACTGTCTTCAGCTTTTAGCTCACAACATTCTGATCCACACTAACGATGAAATTGGCCAGTTCAACTCATTCTCGAGATGGCTTCGCCATGAGATAGACATGCAAAGCGCAGAGCCAATGTCGCAGACACTAGAAGAATTGATGGAAAAGACAGACATGATCGAATACCCTCAGACCTTGAAATATATCAGAGGAGCTCTAACTAAGAGCAAACTTCGGAATTATATTCAGCAACTACCTATGGTTGGAGTACCAAAGCCAGCATCTGCTGCCACGGATAAATGGGTGCCTACAGGGCACGACAGATCCTTCTACGACACTTTCAAGAAATTACTTGAGCAGCAAAATCAATGTCCGGATGATGTAGATCCCGCGAAACTTCCCAAGATCAATGATCTAACTAAGCGCCTAAAGTTGCAATTTGAGAAGGTCTTTGGACAAATTGCATTGACACAACGGAGAGGCATCCTTCATCGATCGCCACTTGCTCTCCACTCCGATTGTGATCAGAATGTAATAGATATGACGATGCACTATGAGGTAGGAATACCGCAATCATGTGTATGTGGCATTTCTGCTTATCAGGTTTCCAGGATATTGAGGACCAGAGTTTGTGTGTGATATATGTGGCCACCCGGTCGACTGATTCCATCAGTAAGAGTGAGCAGGGCCCCCTAGTCATTGTTAAGAAGTTGATACTGACAGTCTTTCAGTGTATCTGTATCGCCTGGTTTTAGATTCTGCAAATGGGGTTAGCTCCCCCCGAAGCACTTCCATAGGGGCTGTCGATCTGCAAGAAGGAGATATTCGTCAGATCCAGTTCGTGGAGGACAACACTCTTATGCTGCTTTGGTCTGATAGTCGTATGCTACCCTTTCTGCCTTGGCCCAGTCTAGGGTTCTTGTCGTTGCTAATGCTGCTGTATAGGAGGGTCCTTCTCTCTTCTGCACTTCACCTTCCAGCCTGTGGCCCCAGGAAAAGTTGATGCAGCTGCCGATTCCGTTTCACCTTTGCCCATTGAGTTTCATGACTACGATAGTGGCCAAACCTCACTGAGACCTATCACAGCCACGACGCTGGATCTTGCTTCGCCTGGGTCGGCCTCTACAGAGCTCATTAAGCATAGATTCGCCGTGTCTGGACACAAAGGAAAACCGGCTAGGATCGAGACTAATGGACGACGCGGCCGTCGGGCGGTCTGCGTGCTGTACAGTGACGCCATACAGTACGACGTACTGGACCTGGACGCTGAGATGGCTGAAGAAGAAGATGAGGATGACGATGAGGTGGGTGGTGAATAGAACCGGTTAGCGTAGCTAGGCTGGTGTGGGTAGCTATTGCATTCGATCCAGTTGGATTCGAAGAGATTCGCTGCGGGGGCGAGGGCTTGTCGCTACCAATCTAAGTACCTCAGGTGTCACATTGCTTCAAGCCTGGGATCTGTTCTGTTGTTGCTTGTTAGAGTACCTAGCACTAGTAGTACCTCTTGCCATTGTTCGGATAGAGTGCTTAATGTTTACTCCCAACACTCTCTTTTTATAGGTGTGTTTGTTTCTTCTATTCTATTTTATTAGGCCCTGTGTTCTTGTCCATTGCTGGAGAAAGGGTTTATTTATGCGATGGGGTTGAATGGTCGCCGGGGACACGACTGGGTAGCGGGAGGTTCTTCAAGCAGCAAAATCAAAACAATCAAGTGGCGGGCGCAACGAGAGAGGGGCAAAACAATGAATTTGGATGAATAATGCCCTCATAAGTTACACTGTATTTACAATACATGTCCGGTGAGGACACCTCACGTGTCCACCCGGGGCAAGACTCAAAGTACTGTGTTGAGTTGCGTGCGATAGGTGCCCTCCTCTCATATCTAAGTACTCGCCTCCCAAGGGAGCAATCTGATAGATAGACAGTAAACCCTGACGATCTGACAGTGCCAGCTACTAGTCAAATTTCTTTGTCGTAGATGCAGTTCCGACGACGCCGTCGCCTTTCCCTTTTGGGCTGACGCCGGCCGGGTCACGTGATGCATGACTAAACCACTGGTAGCAGGCCAATTAGCGGCCGGCGAAGGGCACGGCTCCGCTGGGCAGTTGGGTGCCTCAGGCTGTCTAACTGCTCTTCTCGCACTCATTCTTGCTGCTGCACCGCGAAGGAATCGCCCTCACGGCATTATTGATTTCTTCTTTCTTCTTCCTTGCCTCTCTCCATCTTCTGGCTTCCCCTCTGTCTAGATTCTATTTTCTGTTTGCTGTTGGATCTCTGCTTTCAAATCTGCACCGCAGACTCTCTATTTTTTCCCCTCCTGTCTCCTGGTAAGACAGACTTTGGGGTTGATTTTTTGCTGGAGTCCACCAACGCCGCCTATTTCTCTCGTGCAACCTCCCAGATAGACCTGGTGCATGCCTCGTCATATATCCACAAAAACAACCTTCCGTCCCAACACAGAAAATACCTAATCTACCCTAACACTCTTTTTTAAGGCGGGGGACATCTTCATAAACTACCTGGATTTTCACTCGGTTTTAATTAAGCCTGAGATTCTTTTTCCTTTATTTTTTTTCTTCCTTTTTTTTCCTCTCCCATTTCTCTCTTTCCCTTCGGTTGTCACAGTGGTCGGTTTCCCGCCTTAAGGCAACATGAACGTCACCCAGGTGTTGGAGAGCACTCTGTCGCCAGGTATCGCAATGATCTCCTTTTGTAGTTAAAATTACATCTGATTACTGACGGGTGTTGTCGCTGTGATTTATAGATGCGACGGCACGTGCAAATGCTGAGCAGCAACTTATTCATGCGGCGGAAGTCGACTTCGTACGTCCCCATCCGAGCTCTCCCCTAGCTGGTCTACTTCATCACGGATATATGGGGATTTTATATGCTAATTGAGGCCTTTTGATCTCTCCAGGCCCAATATCTCATCACTCTCGCCCAAGAGTTGGCGAACGAAAACACTGCGTCCCACATCAGAACGGCTGCCGGTCTTGCTTTGAAGAACGCTTTCACGTTTAGGGATCTTGCTCGGCTACGTGAGGTGCAAGGAAAATGGCTTCAGCAGATCAGCCCCGAAATCAAGGCACAGGTGAAGGAGTTGGCTCTCAAAACACTCAACTCCAAGGATGGTCGAGCCGGCCAGTCAGCCGCTCAGTTCATTGTCTCCATCGCAGCCATCGAACTCCCACGGAACGAGTGGCCCGATCTTATGAATATTCTTGTTCAGAATGTCGCTAGTGGCTCCGATCAACTGAAGCAGGCCTCGCTAATTACGATCGGTTTCATCTGCGAGTCTCAGGACGGCGAGCTGCGGGAGAGTCTGACCGCACACTCCAACGCCATACTGACTGCCGTTGTCCAGGGCGCACGTCGTGAAGAGTCCAACTTGGACATTCGCAATGCCGCTATCAAGGCACTCAGCGACTCCGTAGATTTTGTGCGGTCGAATATGGACAACGAAGGCGAGCGGAATTACATTATGCAGGTGGTCTGCGAAGCTACGCAGGCTGACGATCTTCGCATCCAATCTGGAGCATTCGGATGCCTGAACCGTATCATGGCGCTGTACTATGAAAAAATGCGCTTTTACATGGAAAAGGCCTTGTTTGGCTTGAGCGTTATGGGCATGAAGAGTGAAGAGGAGGATGTCTCCAAGCTTGCTATTGAGTTTTGGTGCACAGTCTGTGAAGAGGAAATTGCTATTGAGGATGACAACGCTGCGGTGCGTGTACATCTCGATTTGCATCACTGTGAAAAGTTGAATAATGTGGCTGACAATTTCTGTTTTCATTTAGGCTCAGGAGGAGGGAGTGGCTGAAATGCGCCCATTCTTTGGATTTGCTCGCGTCGCTTGCAGAGAAGTCGTCCCGGTTCTTCTGCAGGCTATGTGCAGGCAGGACGAGGATTCTACCGACGACGAGTACAATGTCTCTCGAGCCGCTTATCAGGCTTTGCAGCTTTACGCTCAGTGTGTTCAGGGCGACGTTATTCCCCCTGTGCTCGCATTCATCGAGGAGAATATCCGTCATGAAGACTGGCGCCATAGGGATGCTGCAGTGGCCGCCTTCGGCGCTATCATGGACGGACCCGACCCCAAAATCCTTGAACCCCTGATTAAACAAGCCTTGAGTGTCCTTGTTGGCATGATGGAGGACAGTTCTATCCAGGTCCGCGATTCGGCGGCCTATGCCCTTGGTCGCGTATGCGACTTCTGCTCTGAGACTCTAGACCCTGACGTGCATTTACAACCTCTCATTACTTGCCTCTTCAACGGCCTTGCCAGTACCCCGAAGATTGCGAGCTCCTGCTGTTGGGCCTTGATGAACGTTGCCGATCGATTTGCCGGTGACGTTGGCGCGCAGACAAACCCTCTGTCGAAGCACTTCGAGGAAAGCGTGAAGTCACTTCTTACGCTGACCGAAAGGTATGTCTATGGTTTGATCCTTCGGGGCTATTTGCACGTCGAGGCGGTCGACTTCTTTTATTGCGATTCGATCTAACGACAAGCAGACAAGATGCGGACAACCAACTACGTACGGCTGGATACGAAGTCCTAAACTCCTTCGTGACCAATGCCGCCAACGACAGTCTTCCGATGGTCGCCAATCTCTCGAACGTTATTCTCCAGCGATTGGAGCATACTATCCCTATGCAACAGCAAGTGGTCAATGTCGAGGATCGCATCACTTTAGAGGAGATGCAAACGAGCTTGACTAGCGTACTTCTGGTAAGACCTAAACTATATGAACGTTGATTGCATTCTTGCTGACAGCAACAGGCCATTGTTCAACGGCTTGAAACCGAAATTAAGCCACAGGCCGACCGCATAATGCACGTGGCGCTTCAGATTTTGAGCACTGTTCCCCCCAAGTCCAGCGTTCCCGATGTGGTTTTCGCCACTGTGGGTGCCATTGCTGGCGCTTTGGAGGAAGAGTTTATTAAATATATGGACTCTTTCACTCCATTCCTCTACAACGCTCTCGGCAACCAAGAGGAGCCTGCTCTGTGCTCAATGGCCATCGGTTTGGTCAGTGATATCGCCCGGGCTTTGAATGAGAAGGTCCAACCTTACTGCGATACGTTCATGAATTTCTTGCTTGAAAATTTGAGGGTAGGCATACGCACCAAATTTATTACCCTGAAGGCCGTTCGCTAATACTCCCGATAGAGCTCGACGAACCAGCTGAAGCCTGCCATCCTAGAGACCTTTGGAGACATCGCTCAGGCCATTGGAACACAGTTTGACACCTATCTGACTGTCGTTGCTCAAGTTCTTCAACAAGCATCGACTGTGACCGCCAGTCCAGATGTCAACATGGAGATGCTGGACTACATAATTTCGCTTCGTGAGGGCATCATGGATGCTTGGGGTGGCATCCTTCTCGCGTACAAGGGCAAGCCACAGAGTAAGTGATATTTTTGCACAGGCCTATTTTTCTGGTGTTCTAATCCCGTTTTAGTCACCCAACTTCAAGCTCATGTTGAAGCCATCTTTCAGTTGCTCCACACAGTGTCCCAGGATCCTTCCCGTACTGAGGGGTTGATGAGAGCATCTATGGGTGTCCTTGGGTATGTCTAGCACTATGACTTGTTGCTCGCGATTCACTTTATGCTAATCCCTCTCTAGTGATCTCTCGGATGCGTTCCCTAATGGGGAGTTTGCCGCGTTCTTCCGCAATGACTGGGTGACTAGCTTGGTCACTGAGACACGAAAGAACAGAGAGTTCGGCCCACGTACAATTGAAACTGCCCGGTGGACTCGTGAGCAGGTCAAGCGCCAAATTAGCTTGTCCACCGCGGCTGCCATGGCCTAAGCGAATGGCCCTTAGCTGTTGCCTAATCATCGATTGACTTTTCGAGATCATCGCCCCTTGGATCCTGACACCGGTGTTTTTGTTGGTGCATCCGAGGAAGCGGCGCCGTGACTTTGGGGTCATTCCATTGCTGGGGATGGGAATTTTACTACAGTGGGCGAGCTGAATGCTGTGCCACCGTTTTGGCCATTGCCAATCTCCGAGCCCCATGGTTTGAGCGATTCGCAGCGTCAAAAAGACTGGCTACTTGTCTTTTCCTTTGTGCGACTCCAAAACCCTCAACTTTCACTCCGCTAACTACGATGTCTTGTCCCCTTTCGCCCTTTTCACCCCTTTCTTCCTGTTCCCCATACCCACACCCTACCCCTATCATTACCTTCCACCAGACCCTGTGAACCATGTTTATTCATGGAAAAATCCCCTCTATTATGACTCACAGATGCATGCTGTTATTTCTTCATTGGCACCACTTTTTCTTCCTTTTCTTCTTCCTATTATTACTAACACTTACTGAGTCTCCCCGCCTTTCATTTTGTCCATTCACATCCGTTTTAATTAGACTAAGACCATTATAGCCCTTTGTCCCTTCAAACTCATGTATGCCCCGAAGTCATGTAATGCCTTTGAAAGAAACACTTGTCATGAATTTTTTTTGACCCCTCATTCCACGTATAATCCACATCCGTGACCCAAAAGAGCTTGTATAGAGAGAATGATAGAACTTCAAGTAGGTGCGGATTCCCACTGGATATTGGGTGCTCCCACACGTAGAGAGAGACGGACATATACAGCTACAACTTGATGACTCATGCGTGGAAGTTCAGTAGTTGATGCCTGACGCTTAAGAAGTCTCTGATATCTGCACGTGATCCGATAAGGGCAAGGGGTGGAAAACCCTAAGCTCGCACATCTGCCGAGAAGCCTCACCAGATTTTCCCCCGAGCTTTGCAGACTTCTCAACCCATCCACATCTATCCAGCCTTGTCGGTACGACCTTCGAGGTATGTTTTACTCGCGATTTCTCCCCCTTTTGCAGTCTCTCAGCTAGTCTGGGAGAGCAATCACTCTGGGACACTGGTCTGGCAATTATGGGCAGGCCAGGGGTGAACCAGGTGATACGCATCTCTCAATACGGCACGGGCTGAAGAACCCTTGATGGACTCGAAAAGGGGCACTCTTTGCGCTCGAAGACTACTGGTGGCTGACTCTTGGACCCCGAATCCTCTCTCTGTCGACCGTCGATTGGACGGCGAGCAGGAGGATGTTGGGTCGTCGAATTTAGATACCTCATTTCGTGTGAAAATTTTTTGATTTGAGAATCTCGATCTCCAACCTTCAAAATGGTCAAGACTTCCGTCCTCAACGATGCGCTTAATGCTATGAACAACGCCGAGAAGGCCGGCAAGCGCCAGGTCTTGATCCGCCCTAGCTCCAAAGTCATCGTCAAGTTCCTGAGTGTCATGCAAAAGCACGGTATGTTTCCTTTTTTCTTTTCTTTGTTTATTGTCTGGCCTTTTTTTTTTGGTTATGTTTTTGTCATTTCTTGTCACGCTGGTCAAACCAGCATTCGGGTTGATAACTAGGCGGCGATTTCGATCTTAAACCACTTCACGACGTCCGCCCTTTAAGTACCCGATATATTAAATTTGTTTCTTTGTAAACATGGCGGAGATCTTACATGTTTCCGAGCCCTTTTGTTTCGTGTTTGGCAACTTTTAAATCTTCGCTACATCTGACTGACATAACCTCTCTTCAGGCTACATTGGCGAGTTCGAGGAGGTCGATGATCACCGTTCCGGCAAGATCGTCATCCAGCTCAACGGCCGTCTCAACAAGTGTGGTGTTATCAACCCCCGCTACCCCGTCCAGCTCCGTGACCTCGAGAAGTGGGCTGTCCAGCTCCTTCCCTCTCGTCAATTTGGTTTCGTCGTCCTGACTACGTCCGCTGGTATCATGGACCATGAGGAGGCCCGTCGCAAGCACGTTGCTGGCAAGATCCTCGGTTTCTTCTACTAGACGACGCACACAAAAGTTCTTGTCATCTTTCGTGCGTCGGAGTTGGTAGGACTTGGGTCTGATTTCGGGCGAGGAATGTTCTCAATGGCAAGCCATGTCTAGGCGAGGAGTTGAGTTTCTACCCCGGCAGAAACGCCATAGATAGTTTGAGTGAATCTTGCTCATGTCCAATCCAAGCCCCTCGTTCCGATCACGATCTTTTTCGTCTGTTTTAATGGCGTAGATGCTAGTAAATTTTGACCGTAGACTGCTTCGGTCCTTCGATAACGGACCGAGGCTCCTGGCTGACCGCTTTCGATTATTCTGTTCGGCAACTACTAACTTATCTTCATGGAATTGTAGACAAGTACACAACTCATGAACCTTGCTATAGATTCCCTTCACATCCATATCTGGTAGTCTTTTAACATACCTACATAAAATGCCTCTAGATACAATATATCTCACTCGCCATGGCGTAAGAAGCCTTCCTTATTTCCCACATGCTATCCTACTGACTCAATGTCTACGAACAGCACCGTCTAAACTGGACCATCGACCATAAAACCGGGACATACATTTCCCACTTCCCAACACCCACGGGGAATCCGGCAGATCCCACTCTAACTTCTCATGGAGTCCGTCAATCCCTGGAGCTCGCAGCCCACGTATCCAGTCCTTCATTCCACCCAAAGCCTTTTCGCGTCTACTCCAGTCCCTTCTACCGATGTCTCCAGACAATCCAGCCCACTGTGGAAGCGTTGAAGGAGAAACAGCAGAATCTTGCGAGTGGAGATATTGAAGTCGACGCAGATTTCGACGTTCGAATTGAGAATGGAATTGGGTAGGTAGTGCACATCTTCCTCTTACCCTTCCTAATATACGTTAAACTGGATCCATACTAACACAGCCTCCCCTTTACTCTACAGAGAATGGTTCGGCCCAACTACATTCTTCCATCACCCATCACCATCCACCTCATCCGTCCTGCAGACCCATTTCCCAGGCATCTTTGCTTCGGAACACACATACACATACACATACACTCCGCACATTATCCCGTCCACACGGGGCGAGACCATCGCCCAACTACACGATCGTCTAGCCGCCACCCTCGCTGCAATCATCGCAGACGTGGATATCGAGATCGCCGCCGCAGAAGCTTCCCTCCCTCCGGGGGCCCAGCGCACCAGCAAAGCCATTTTGATCTGCTCTCATGCCGCGCCGCTGATTGCCATCGGACGTGCTTTGACGGGACGGATGCCTGCCGATAGTGGCGAAGAGGATTTTAATGTGTTTACGGCGGGGTTGAGTACGTTTACACGGAGGACATTGCCGACAACAGCTTCGACAGCGGCGGTGGAGGGGGAAGGGTTAGGTTCTGTACGAGGTGATCCGCTTTCGTTGCTGGCCCCCGGAACGCAAGTTGCTCGACCGGATACGACGGTGCCGGATTGGCAGGGTGGGAAAGGAGTCGGGGGTGGATGGGACTGTGTTTCGAATGGGGATTGTAGCTTTTTGAGGGACGGTGCTGAGAGGGGATGGTATGTTGATGGTTTCGGTTTCTCTTAGGGGTGTGGTGTTTGTTTGGATGAGGCTAATTTCTTTTTCAATTCTAGGCACTTCAATGGTGAAGAGTCATTTGATACAGGTCCTATGGCGCCGTCGTCGGCGTTGCCTACCTCGAGTCAGGATACGTTGGTCGAGCGTTCGGGATTTACGAAACTATAAGTGGATGATGGAAGTATAAGGCGAGGATGATACACATACATAGATGTGGACGGGGCTCATACGTCAGCATTGTATAGAGCTACGAGTTAGAAGTCGAAACGCAGAAAACCTCAAGGTATAACCAAGGTTGAATATCCAATAAATCATCTCAGATGTAGAATATGCTATGCTAATTCCGAACGCTCACTTCTAACGCCAACACATGTACGATATATTGTCATCTTATTAGGGATATTTCCCGAAGTCTGTTCAGCTGGTGGTGTTTGACCACTGGCGCAGGAAGAGGACTGGATCATTGTTCTCATTGCTCTGGCTGCTCTGGCTGTTGCTGCGCCGGTGTGCCTTCATCATTTGCGGCTTCTTCACGGCGACGACGTTCCTCTTCTTCCCGCGCGCGCTCTGCATTTCGCGCCGCCTCGGCCGCATTGCGCACTTCCACGTGCCGTTCGCCAACCCCGGGCACTAAGCTGGCAATGAACAGCGCGAGAGACCGCTCGACTCTCCGGAGATTGTGACGCAACTCAGAGACGAGAGAGGGTTGACCCCGGTTTCCAGCCTCTGTGGGTGGGTTCGCGAGGTTCGGTACTACTCCCATGTTCCCAGTGCCTGCGGGGAAATGGACGAGACCTTCAAGATGCTGTTGAACGGGGGTGACAATCATCCGGTACAGCTGCTGCGGGATACCAGTCTCCGAGAGGAGAGATGCGAGGACAGCTAACGAGACAAACAGGACCCGGGACCATGTACCAGGCTCACTGAACATGTAGCAGAAGAAATACAATCGCACAAATAACCAGAGCCGTCTGATACTCCGGCTGAGACTGAATCCCTCGTGATTGGCGCCTGCTCGCTGGTTGAGGATGGCCTGGCGGACGGCATTGCCCATAGCTGCTGCGTTCGGGTTAGGGTGTGCCCCGGTTGGATGGCCCGGGGGGTTATTCAACGCTGTCTGGGATGCGTGTGCGGCGCGAAGAGCTTCGAGAGAGGCCTGGATGGTCTCTTCGCCTCTTGGAGAAGTGACAATGCCTTGAAACCCATCCGGCGACGAAAGAAGGTACAGAGGGGCCTGAGAAGCCTCCACATTTCCCGGAGTGGTAGCGGGGCTCGGCCGTTGCAGAGTTGCCGATGGGAATCTCGACTGCATGACCCGCAGCTGGTCGGCACGAGTGTAGATGTTGAAGACCCGAGTTAGCATGGACTCAATGGAACTATCCCGTTCAGAATGGGGGTTTCGATACTGTTCGTCGAGGATCTGGAGCAACTGCGATCGTAGTCGAATGATGTGATCGATAGGAGGCGCAATCCCTCGATTGAGTTGGTCCTCGCATAACGTGATCTGCGGCTGGATGAGGTGCAGGCGCAGCCTCGACTCGTCGGGTAGTTGAGGACTGAGCGGTACTGGATTTGACATGGGCAACTGAACTGGAGGAGTCGGTAGGCTGTGGGTCGTCTGCTGCCATGCAACGTCGCGTGACGATGTTGTACCTCTTCGTAGTTCAATCTGTCGACGGATCTCTTCGATGTTTTGTCGAATAGTCTGACCAATCTCTGTTTCATTCTGCGCTGCAGGAGTCGTTGAGCCTCGGTATCTCAGTTCCTGGGTGGTTTGCGTATAGTTCGCCGGCGCCAATCGGCCAGGAAGGAAAGGAGGCTGGGTGTTCACTCCAGTTGGCAGTGGTTGAGTGGGAGCGGGGGGAAGAACGAGATGCATGGAGTACTCGGATCCCTGGACCATAGTGCTCTCATTAGTGAATTCAGTTTGAAATGCTTAGAGTCAGAAACACTCACTGGTGTTAAGTCTAGCACGCTCTGCAGCGACACGCCATCATTGGCCAACGGTTTCCCCCGATAAATCAACCGCTGAGTCTCCGGAGCGGGGTGATTTGGCACAAACTGCGAGATGTGGGTTTTCAGGCCTGCGACCGTGGTAGAGGGAGTGAGGTCCTTGAAAGTAAAGCGATTCGGCGGCGGCAGCGAGGGACAGAGCACATGCAGAACAAACCCCTGGGGACTTTTTGTGCTGACGTCCGTTGGCGGGATTGTGGGGTCTGTCATTGGAGAGGGACTGGAAGCCATCTTCTCGCGAAAGGATCTCCAGCAACTGCAGTGAAAAAGGACTGCGGGTCGATGACGACGTGTCCAGAAGAGGAAGAAGATGAAGCCACCAACGTCTATTCTGCCGGGCGGTGGGGAGGCGCGTGACATGAAGCCGAAAACACACGATTTGAGAGAATCGAAATTATATAATTTCACCTGCGCCGCCGATCGTCCTCGCGGTCTGTGATCTGGTTTTATTGGTTAAGCGCGCTTCCCCTCTCCTGGCATGTCCTTCATGCTGTAGTCCTGCTCGACTACATAATGGCCCTGTGCCTCCCCACTCGTTCTGCGTCTTTTCGCCGGAACTTGGCTGCCTCCCACGCTTGGATAGAAATGGTGGCCTTCAGGACGACCGGTCAGCGTAAGACCGGTGCCAGATATTTCTCCAAGTCATGGAAAAATGCTCATGACCAACAGCAACAGCAATATCAGGAGAACTCCGCCCCGAAGGGTTTCTTTGGTTCCCGTCTCCGCTTTGCTCTGCGAAACACCAAGGTCGAATGGTATCCGATCCCCGTAGCTCTAGGGATCGGTCTTCTCGGTCTCCTGCAATTCTACAAATACCAGCGGGCGGAACGGGAGCGCCTCGAGAGAGAAGCCGAAGAAGAGTCGTTTGAGTTCAGTAAACCACCTCCCCGTCACCGGATTCGACCCAGTGGACCATGGCAGGTTCAAATCATGTCCACCTTGCCGCTCAAGGCAATTTCCCGCTTATGGGGTCGCTTCAATGAGCTGGAGCTCCCTTATTATCTTCGTGTTCCCGGGTTTAAACTTTACTCGTGGGTGTTCGGCGTCAACCTGGACGAGGTTGCCGAACCTGATCTGCACATATACCCGAACTTGGCCGCCTTCTTCTATCGCAAGCTGAAGCCCGGCGTACGTCCTCTGGACCCCGATCCTCATGCCGTTCTCTCCCCGTCGGATGGCCAGATCCTCCAGTTTGGCCTCATCGATCGGGGTGAGGTCGAACAGGTGAAAGGTGTCACTTATAGTTTGGACGCCCTCCTGGGAGCCGCTACTCCGTCCCACGCCGACCACGCCAAGAAGTTTATGGATCATCAGAAAGAGCCGTCTCCACGGGACGCAGCGAACATGCTGGCAGACGAGGAGTTTGCCCGCATGAATGGCATCTCCTATACACTACCGACCCTCTTCGCCGGTGACCAAGGCGGTCCACGGAAACGGTCGGCCTCCTTGGATGCGTCGACTACGTCCCAGGCGCTTTCGGAAGCCCAAGTGAAGGCGGACCTTGCCCGCGGCGACGGTACCCCTTGGTATACGCCCAAGCCGACGTCGAACAATGCGCTGTACTACGTGGTCATCTACCTTGCGCCCGGCGATTATCATCGGTTCCACTCCCCCGTGCCGTGGGTGGTGGAGAGCCGTCGGCACTTTGCGGGCGAGCTTTACTCAGTCTCCCCTTATTTACAGCGACACCTTCCAGGCCTCTTCACCCTCAATGAACGAGTGGTGCTGCTGGGACGCTGGCGCTGGGGATTCTTCAGCTACACGCCGGTCGGAGCTACCAACGTGGGCTCGATCAAGGTGAATTTCGACTCCGAGCTGCGCACCAACAGTCTCACCACCGATACCGCCGCCGATATGGCTGCTGCCCTTGCCGCCAAGCGAGGCGAGCAGTACCCGGGCTTTGTCGAGGCCACCTATCTTCATGCTAGCCGGACCCTCAGAGGGCACCCGCTGCAGCGGGGCGAGGAGATGGGCGGGTTTCAGCTAGGCAGCTCCATCGTGCTGGTGTTCGAGGCGCCGATGGGCACGCGAAAGTCCTTTGATGTGGGATGGGACGAAGGAAAGAGAGAAAAGGGATGGAACTGGAGCATCGAAAAGGGTCAACGTATCAAGGTTGGCGAGAAGCTAGGATACGTGGACGTAGAAAATTAGAGGACAGAAGAACAAGGGAGGTGATATCTGATTTCATACAGGCGTCCGACGGGACCTTCAACAAGATTTCTGTGAATTCAACCTTAGCAGCTTGACCTGATTGGCGTTGCATTGTTGTTGTTATTTTCACTGAATCTCTCTATACTGGTTTCTATTACTATTGAGGCCTTTGTACCATATAGTTTAATTCATTCCTTCCAGCTAACCAGCTGGACTGCAGATATCCATCTGCTAGACATAATATACATAATATCCTCTAGATTGTGAACCTATCCAGAAAATCTACAGAAATTCTCTAGAACAATTACTCACGTGATAACGCGAGCTCAACTCCGCGGCGACAAAACAGGGAAGAAAAGATGGAAATGAACCCGCGACTCCAAATAAACAAACAAACAATTAATCTTCAGCGACAGACCCAATTAAACCAGAAATGAAGCGAATCTAAGCAGAGCTAATTAAACCAGCCAAACAACCCAACCCAACCCAACCTCCACAATACTTTACCATACCATGCCTCGTCATCTCCAACAACCACATCTCCGCAACAACCACCACAACCGGACAGAACCAACAACTTCAGAACCACGTCCTCGCTCAGGACTAGGACTAGTCCAAGCGACAACCACGTCGCAGTTCCAGACCCCTCCCTCCCGAAACATAAACATAAACATTCCCCAGTTACATCCGTCGTCCGGAGCGTTGGAGACCGCGGACACGATGCATCCTGCTGCTGCTGCGCAAGCGGCAATCTTCTCGCTCTTTGGACGGGGCGTGTCGGGACGACAGCGTGCACCGGTCACGGATATTCATCCGGCCGAGGAGGACGAGGAGGGATTATATGAAGAGGCGGAGGAAGAGATAGAAATAGAAGATGAGGATGAGGGGGATGAGGATGATGAGGAAGATAGTCAGTACGGGGAGATAGATGAACGAGGATACGCGCACCATCGACGACGAAGAAGACGGGAACGAGAACATGTTCCTCTTGATGCGGAGGCGAATGAGATTGATATCGATATCTCCGGGGATGATATGGATGGATTAGGAGAGGATGATTTAGAGGATGATTTAGAAGAGGATGAGATGATGCAGGATCAAGGTATTCTTTTCCCTCATAAGTTAAGGAATGAATCACTGGATATCGAGCCACCTAACTAACTACTTATTATATTATATAGATCGTTCCCCCTCCCCATTACCCACCAACCTACGTGAAATTTCCTCCCTCGCATCATGGACAGTCTCAACGCACAAACCAGGCTGCGGCGTCGCGGCACTACGACATCCTTCGCCGACGCAGTACTGGCAATCGGACGGGCCACAACCGCACACGCTCACACTGCACTTCTTTAAGCTGGTCGCGGTGGTCAAAATCCGCGTGTACCTGGACTGCGAGATGGATGAGAGCTATACGCCGACGAAGATGACGTTTCTGGCGGGGATGGGCGGGAATGATCTGGTGGAGTTCGCCGTCTGGGAGGGCGAGGGACCATGCGGATGGGTCGATGTGTCGCTGGAGGGTGTGGGCGGACGAGACGGTGGATGGGTGTGCAAGAGACGAAAGAGACGCGTGCGGAAGGGCGAGAAATCGAGGTCGATGCGGTATGCGACGAGTGGGTGTGAAGAAGATAAGGAGGAAGATGGGGAGGAGGATGGCGATGAGATCCCGGCCGACGATGACGACGACGATGATGATGAGGATGACCCATACGCGGGCAATGTGCTCAAGGCGATGGTGATCCAGATGCGGGTAATTGAGAACCACCAGAACGGGAAGGACACGCACGTCCGCGGATTCCAGGTGTTTGCGCGCGACGATGAGCGTCGACGTATGGGCAATGCGCCGTCGGCCTCGGCGGATAGTCGGGTTCGCAGACACAGTGCACGCAAGTCCCTGCGTGGCGGCGCCAACGATGACGGGACGGAGGGCCACGAGGCGGCGGGCGATCTGGATCGGGGCAAGGTGGTCGGGTTAGAAGCACCGGATTGGATGGGGGAACCGGTGATTCGATAAAGAGCGGTGCTTTGTCTTCGTTTCTACGAACTCTGTATGATATTCGTAATTGCTCGAGGGTTGCGAGCCTTATGTTTTCTCGATATGGACGGATGGAGTTGATAGTCGGAGTTTCGTTTATGAGATAGATACCCATAGTCTCCAATTGCAGCTAAAGTAGCCGAATTCTAATACTGATAATAGATTTTATGAAGGTCGTTTGCCCAGTCCACGGTGTATTAAAGGGGCAGTCAATTATTACATTGGATTTTAAGTGGCCCGGAATAGAAATGCTATCACGCATGAATACCTCAAACTCGTCCCTTTTCCCATCAAACTTCAGTCTATGCTAACAGAGTCTCCAACTCGGCGGCCACCGCATCTCCAACTTCGCTGGTGGTCGACTTGCCGCCAATATCACCTGTTCGGACACCGGACTCGATCACATTGCGCACAGCCGCCTCAATGGCGCGGGCCTCGTCGAACAAGCCAAACGAATACTGGAACATCAGGGAGACGGATAGAATAGCAGCGATGGGGTTCACAATGCCTTTGCCGGCGATGTCGGGAGCAGAGCCTGGGGATGTTCATCAGTCACACAAGTTCCCACAATGATACAACGGGTAGGTCACATACCGTGGATCGGTTCGTAGATACCGTTCACCTTGCTCTTTCCGTCGGGGATGCCGCTCAAACTGGCGCTGGGGAGCAGACCTAGAGAGCCTGGGATGACACTGGCTTCGTCGCTGATGATATCACCGAACAGATTGCTGGTGATGATGATGCCGTTGAGCTTGCGGGGCTCCTTGACCATGATCATGGCGGCGGAGTCGATGAGCTGGTGCTCGATCTTCAGCTGCGGGAACTCCTTGGCCATGACCTCGGACACAGTCTTGCGCCACAGTCGACTCGTCGCCAGGACGTTGGCCTTGTCCAAGCTCCAAACGGGGAGGGGCGGGTTGTGTTGCAGGGCCAGATGGGCGCCTAGGCGGGTGATCCGCTCGATCTCCGTGCGCGAGTAGGGCTCTGTGTCAAGGGCGAAGCCGCTGCCGTCATCTTCTTTCCGTTCGCCAAAGTAGATACCGCCCGTCAGTTCACGGATGATGTTGAAGTCGACGCCGCGGCAGATGTCAGCTCTCAGCGGCGAGCTCTCGACCAGCGAGGGCGCGGCGAAATTGCAAGGACGCAGATTGCCAAAGGTGGCCATCTCCTTGCGCAGTTTGAGGATTCCTTGTTCGGGACGGACAGCACCGGTACCCCATTTCTATTATAGAATTAGCCGACTGTGTCGAAGACTGGAAGGCGGGGATAGGAATTGTACTGGTCCGCCAATGGCACCCAGGAGGACAGCATCGGCATTCTTAGCAGCACTCAAGGCCTCATCAGTTAAGGGCGATCCGGTCGCATCGATCGAAGCCTGGAGAGGAGATCGGTCAGCAACGGTCTCTATCTGCAAGAGCAGGATAGCCCCAGAGTACTCACCCCGCCTAGTAGGTGATCTTGCAGGTTGAACGAGACATCACGTTTCTTCTCTACGGTTCGGAGAACCTATATTAATTAGCCTCTGCTAAATACACCCGGTTGAGGCGCCATGCACAGCCTGGTCAACAGAGTAAGGGATAGCTACGCCCACATACTTTGACTGCTTCTGCGGTGACCTGCACATGGACTGTCAGTATCTCGATAAACACTTCAGCAGACACAGCCACTTACTTCGGGACCACAATGGTCTCCGCCAAAAACGACGATGTTGTAGGCCGGCATGATAGGGGAATCAAAGGTGAGAAAAGGGACTATCGACAGGAAGGAGAGGATGCCACTGTCGGGTATATATAACCTTCGTCAAGGCGGATCTCGTTGCCCATCGCGCCGACACCGGAGCAGCTCGTGACCGCCAGTAGCCGTCCTTAGTCAGCGCCATGGGTGGATTATGACAGATGCAACGAATCGATTAAAAAATAGTTAAGGATAAGGAGCACGCAACTAGATAGACATGGAGAGAAGAAAGAAGTAAAGGGAAAGAAGAAGAAAAAGAAAGACATTCGTCAAAACAAGTTGTTGATCCAGACATCGGCCATTCATTTATATGTCTGTCCAGCACGGTCTGACAGACCGACAATTCCACAATTTCCCCCAATTGACACCTTTTCAGATACAGATACAGAAAAGAGAAGAACGGATAAAAAAAGGACCAGTCTTCCCAGTCCCAAAGAATGAACCAAAGCACCAGAGCCATGCACAGGAATAATGATGCTATCGAGAAAAACAAGGGGGGCAGAATCAGATGCATAGAAAAATCAGGCCAACAGCATGTACCCCAGGATTAAATGCTGCTGCACGAAAATATCAACAATGAAAGGACTAAAGAAATTCAGTCACTGTGATTCGCACAGCTTGTAGCCCATCGGCACTGGGAAGGACTAGTGCCTCTTTCCACGCAAGGAGGCCTTACGGTTGGCAATGTCTCCCTCGACCAACCAATTACTGGCCTTCACGAGCTGCACCACGTTGATAATCTGCTTGAGTGCCATGACAGGAGCCGAGACTCCGGTGATCACCCAGGGCCAGAAACTGTCAATCTTGTTGGCCCGTGCCAACTCCAAGGCTCCGGCACTCCAGGGGCTTTCAAACAGGCCAGTGGGGGCCGGCTGCGCTGGGCTTCCGGGGACAGGCTGAAGAAGGGAAGGCGAAAGCGTGGGGGAGGAGAAAGAAAGAAGATAGAGACCAATGAAGAAAGCCTCGTTGAGGGCACAGCAGATAAACAGGACCGTCTGCGGGGTGGTCAGCACTCACACAATCACCCACAATTGAAGTCGAAATCGGAGAAGCCTACCCTACTGTGGTAGTACTGATACAAAATCCAGCTCCTGCTGGCTTCGACTTTCTTGTGACTCTGGCTTGAGCCTCCCATGCTGAGGGTGGCATACATGTGCATGTAATGGCTTGCCATGTCCAAAGCAATCAAGCCCTGGAAGATAATGGCCCACCGGGGCCAGGCGGAGCTCAGGAAGACCAGAAGACACGCGGTGGTACAGCGATCGGTTACCATGTCGAGCACCGCACCAAAGGTGGTGGACTGGCTGAAATATCGCGCCGCGTATCCATCCAACGCATCCAGCAAACACGACACACTGTACAGGAGGGAACAGGTACGAGGATGAAGGGGCATATAGTAGAGGGAAGCGATAGCCAACACGACCCGTAGGTATCCTGAGTAGCAGCATCATGTTAGCACTACGATAAGACACGTTGTCATATCGAGTGAGCAGGGAAATCTCGTACCGATAAGATTCGGGGCAAACAGGTATACATTCTCTTCCTTTCCAGCTGTTGCCGACTTGCTTCTCTTCGGTGACTTCTGCGCTGTGCCATTGCTGACAGGAGTCTCGCTCTCATCCGACTGCGCGGCAGCCACAGCTGCTTTTTGCCTTCTTGTTCTAGCGCTCATTTTGCTTTCCACAAGTGACATGCAAATGTTGGAGAGGGGGGGTAGAATTTAAAAAATAAAAGAAAAGAAAATAAAATAAAACAAAAGGATTGAACGGAGTAGTCTCAATAACAGAGTTTCACAACAAGTTCAACTAAGGGATAGCGGAGGCAGGTATTATCCGAGAGGGTCCACGGGCAAACAGCGGGTCGAAGGTGGTTCAACAATTGAACAAAGAATGGAATCGGTGGATCTAGTAAGAACCTCGGACAGTTAGTTAGCTTTCTCAAGAATGACGACCGAGGATGCGGCTAGAGAATAATGTCGGGGTGGTGGTGAGAGCTTGAGGGAGCTTGCTTCTCACTCTTTTTTTTCCCCTTCCCAAACACGTATCGATTCCTATATCCTACTCGCTAGAATATCCCAACGACGAGCCTCTTTCCTCCGGGGAAAAAGACCGAGGAGGTTCAAGGATCAGAAGAACACCGGATCGCGGATGAAATAGTCCAAATCTAACAAGACATAAGAGGTGAACGAGGAAGAAGGAATTGGATGATTTAGCCGTTTTGGGCGATAAGGAGTTTGATAAGCATCAGACCGGCGACGATCGATGCAAGAAGAGACCAGAAGAACGTAATCCGGAGATCAAGGGATTGTGATTGTTCAATATTGGGCGGGACTCTCGGAAGGGCTGAAGGCGAATCTTAATCCATCTCCAAAAAGCAATGCACATCATCTCGCTTGGGGTTGGTACTTTCTCTTTCCTGTTCTGGCTTTCTTCCCTCAGTTTTGCCGGGAGTTGTGCTCTTACAGCCACAAATTCAAACAAAGAAAATAAAATATAAATACAGTGTAGAATAAGGTAATGGATAAGGAGAACTGATTAATTAAAAGCTGCTATTTGTATATATACAACGCTCTCAACCCCAAGGTTCCATAGGAATCGTGATATCTTATTATATTTACAATTATCCACAGATAGAGAAAAGACAAAAAAAATGTAAAATATAAAATAACAAGGTGATATACTGAGAATAAAGAATCTCAAAGTTCTCATCGCCGTGACCTGCGCGGATCAGTCGCTTCTTGTCGACGCCACTCCCTCGACTCCTTGGTGCCCATACTTCCCAGTCCTCCTTCTAGCCGTCTTTCCCAACCACCCAGACGCACAACGAGACAGGTAGCATTGTCTCCTTCCTTGGCTACTTCAGTTGCAAATCGGACCACCTCCCGCGACCCTTCGTCGGGGGTTTTGGCTTCCTTAATGATATCGACCACCTCTTGATCAGGGAGCGTCCCACTGATCCCGTCCGACATGAGCACCAGGAACGAAAATTCCGCCGGTGCCATTTCAACCCGTCGCAGCTCGGGTTCGGCAGACACGCCAATTCGCTTCGACTGTACATCCCCAAAGGCGCGGGTATTGGCAAGCCCGCTCATGCGCTCCTCGCCAAAGGAATCAGTGACAAATGTGGCGGCATATCGCCGCAGCCGGTTGGCCTCGATGGGCGACGACGGATGGTGATTCGAGGTGATGGGGATCGCCTCGCCGGTTTCCGTTGAGCATAACAGGATCCTCGTGTCGCCCACATGCGACACCAGCAAACTTGACGGGGCGGAGGGATGCCAAAAAAAGGCGTCGCGGTTGGGGTAGAAATGAGGGCAACGCTGGCCGTACTGCCACCTTTGAACCGCGAAAAGCCGCTGAACTTCAACGGCTGGACGGGACGGGGACCATACAAGATGTTGTCCTGATACAGAGGCTGCCCAATCTGGTCCAATTCATCGTCATGCCTCGCAGCCTGTGCCGATACAAAGTCCAGATCGGCGCGCAAGAACGCGTACTCTAGTACTTCTTCAATAGTAGCCCCTTTGTCCTCGCTGGACTTCCCATGCGCATCGGGTCCAACATGCGAGAAGGAAGCGGGCACAAACCTCTTAAAGTACCCTCCCACAAGGGACTTCCAATCTCGTACTAGAGTCTTTTCCAGCTCACCAATCTGCTTGGAATTTGCTCCCTGAACGATTGGTAGATTCCCAGGCGATGGGTTCGCATCCTCGGGATAGTAGCCCTCCCGATCCTTCTTCAGACTAGACCGCAGCTCGAATGCCGAGACCGTATCCTGGATATATTCATGGAGCACATCCTTCAAGAAGGCGCTACATTCGGATCCGCCATGACCGTCGAAGATTCCAAAGTAGAAAACCTGCGGGTCCCCATTCGCGGTCTCCGCCCCTTGGTTCTCATTCTGCGGAGAGGCATCTTTTGCGCCCGGTCGTTTGATAGTCAACGAAGCAGGGGGGGCGTTTCGCAAAGGCTGGGATGTCGATAACTCCGGCTTGATAAGTATCTTCGTTGGAGGGACGAGTGCCTCGGGAGGTGGAGACACCGAAATGGTGCTTTGCGCTGCGAAGTGGGATGCGGACGGTCGTGGTCTCTCTGTTCACCAACGCCTGGAAAGAGGTTGGGGATTGCGTTGTCTTCCCCGTATGGGGCATGGAAGCCGAGCGAGGAAGCTTGTGGAAGGAGCTCAGCGGGCTTCTTGGGTCTGGGTGAAGCGAGGACGACGGTAGCCGTGTCACGAAGTAATCGTGGAACTCTCGTCGTCGGGGTCGAACATTAGCCCACCTCCCATGACAGGATTTATACCGGCGTTTCGACAACCCAATGCAGGCTAAACCATCAAGACAAGTCAGCAAATACGGTCAAGGTGCCCAGTTCAGAACGCGACCAGATCTGTAATTGAGGTACGGAAAATTCGGAGATAAGGAACATACGGTGACAGTTGGTCAAGGTCCGGACTAGGACAGTGACCCGCTTCGCAGGAGACAGATTCATGAATATCGAGGCATTGAAAAAGTAGTAGAACTAAGAATAAGAGGGAAGGGGATCAGAGAGCCAAGGAGAGGCCCATGGTTGGATGATGTTGAGGGGAAAAAATATTAAAAAAAAAAAAGAAGTGAATGAATGTCCTGCAGCGGGGGGCGATGGGATTGCGGCCCGAGCGTATGCGACGAGGGGGAAAAGCAAACCCGACAGATCCAGGCTCTCTCGAGTTCGCAGGGCATGATGGGAAGTATTGTACTTTGATTATTCCATTTATTTGCACTTATTATGAGGAGTCTAGGTTGAGGCCAGAAGTGCCACCTACTTGTACAGCTACAGCTATAGGTACAGCAGGCTAACAATGTACCTCGTGTCTATCATCCGTGACCCCTGTCGTTTTGGCCGCAAGGTGTGTTGCTGACTCAGCGATAGATTGCTGCGGAACTAATGATGAATAAATATTGAATGAGAGGGAAATGGTAGAACTCCGAAGGAGTAGGTCAAGGAGACACTCTTAGACAGCTCAGAAGTTGTGGGCCCTGAGTCCACAAGTTCCTGGCAGGAGAGAAGACAACATTCCCCTTACGCAGGTGCGCTTCGTGGTCTGCAAGAAGGTTGTTAATCGTCCATTACCTCTTCGAACGAGGACAAGATAATAGTTATCCATACAAATGTCACGTGCCAATCCCTCTAGTTCCTCTACTACAATATAAATAGTTCAAATCAATTAATTAAAATAGCTTAAATTTAACTAAAGAATTAGCCAACCCGGAAAACATCCCTTACAGCACTTTGCCACAGTACAGAGTCACCTTACAGTCCCTATATACTGGCTGATCATCGCCACCTGAAGTCATTGGCGCTGCGGGCGACGATCTGAGCCGTCAAACTATTGACAGTCAGGTAGACCATGACCCAAGTACGGAGTGCCGTCGTGAAGCTTACTTATAGATATTTTTCCAAAATAGCCTTCCAGAATAGGTGAGCTGGGCCTTCCCCAGTTCCAGTCCTCTCCATACTCCCAGCCCTTACAAGCCGTTATCCAGTCCATGGAACGAGCTGCAACAGCAAAGGACCATACTGAGCAACCGACCGCGTTGAAAGCACATACAGTACGGAGTACATCCAGTCACCGTGGCGCTGCATAGTCCACATCTGGAACGAGTTATTATCGTTGTTCAGCACTTCGTATCAAGATGCGAGAAGATATTGCAGACACCCCGCTGGACAATGGAGGGAGTCCCATTCGTGCATAGGAAACTGCGCGCAGTTCGCAGATGAGGAATTCGCACTGGAGGTGACGGTAGAGTTTCACAGAGGGATCTGATCATCATGATGGAGACGCTGAGAACCATCACTGAGTTTGCTGGAGCTGAGGACACAACTCTCCTCCATCTGTTGTTGCTACTGTTGCTGCTGCTTCGCCCTGCTCTGTCGTGGAGTATCTGCACGACTGACCCATTGGCCGTGGTGATCGCCCACGGTCGCCTCATAAATACTTCCTGCTGGATGCTGGCTACGGAGCCAACCAATGGATGGAGGATCGGTGGTGACACTGAGTCTGCTGGCCGCCAATGGCGTCGTGCAACCGCGTTGCGTCTCACGCAGCAGCAGCGATTCCTCCGGTGATAATCCGTACTGATTCAACGTATGAGTGTCGAGGCGCGAGCAGTCGTTCATTGAACGCAGATTAGTAGGACAGAGAATAATGACAGACTGGAGAAACCGGCTTGGTTGTATAAGAGATTGGCTAGAGGAGGTATACAATTACTACTCCCAAGCATTAAATTTGACCAATAACAATGTTTCCTTTTTATTCTTTCTTTCTGATACCTCTCAGTAGACTCATGGATATTAACCCACCTCCCTCTGATACTCAACGTGGACGCAACAAAACCCCCCCCAAAAAAACCACCCTCACCTCCGCCGGTCGCACGGCATGATTCCGAATCCTCGTTATCGGCGACACGCCCAATTTGACACGGAAGTCTTGATTCTTCAACCCCGTCGGATCCCCTCGAATATACCGATCGTGGTTGATCATCGTGGTGGGCTCGAACGACTCGTTCGGCTCGGGAAAGTCGAAATGATACTCCAACGGCGCCACCTGCATATCGATGGCCAGCGACTGCGCCTCGCGCACGATGTTTCCCAGCTCCTGCCATGCCGTCGACGATGTCTCGAATGAGTCACAGCAGAGCGGGCCCACGTACTGCCACAGTTTGGCGACGTGAGCGCTGCATTTTTCCTGGTAGAAGGTTTGGAAGCCGGGATGGTCGATTACGTCTTTGGTGCGAGAGACGGTGGCGAGGATTGCGAGTTGACGCATCAGTGGAGTATCTATCATATGTCTTTACGTTAGCTGCATTTTCATCATCAGTATTGTATATGGTGGAGAAAACAAACTGGCACTTCGAAGATCCACCTCCAACGAATCATACAGTCTCGCCACGCTGATCTTCAAGATTTCCTGCACCAAATAATAATTAAGCGCCTTGGCCACGAGGTAATACCGAGTGCTGGTGTCACCCAACAGTGCTGACACCTGCGACCGATCCGCCAAAGCAATAAGATATTCCTTTTTCTGCGCATCCAGTCGACTATCCTTGCGGATCTGAGGCACATTGGCATGCGTATAGCCCCAGATCTCCGTGCGCTGGTACAGGTTGCGGAACCGGATCGAGAGCGTGGAAATCGTAGTGTCGGTGTCAAATAGTGCGCAGATATGGGGACAGTTGCATCCTTCCTTCGGTTGGTTTGTAGAATTAGGTCCAGGACTAGGAGCGAATGGATCGGGACTCTCGGACAGAGAAAACCGAGGTGGAGGTCGATCGAAGATACTCGACCCCGGGGAGAGCCCCGACTGAGGGGTGAATGGGGAGGCGACTAGGCTGGGACCAGGATGTTGCGGCGTCAAGGGGAATAACGGTATGATGGGAACGGCACGATGCACTCGAGGGTCGGAGATGACCTTGCTCTGGTGGCTGATGGTGCGTTTCTGCTTCTGTACCAATTCCTCCAGTTCGGCAATCTGGAGGTGCAGTTCCTGGATAGCCTGCGTACATTCGTCCAGCATCTTCTGCAGTTCTCCGGCTGGGACGGGGGAGTCGCTGGTCACTGAGGGGCCAGGAGAGCCTGGGACAGATTCCATCGTAGGTTCAAGGGTAAGAGGAGAAGAGAAAGAAGAAGCAAAGAAGGGAAGGAGAGGAAACGCGTACAAAGGTACAAGAGCCAACACAAGGAGCAGATATCTGCAGGTGCAAGAACAAGATCTAACAACATTCACCAAGCCAGTAAAGCCAGTGACTACGGGACCAACTCTAGAAGTTACGTCCATTATGCAAATCTCAATCACTACAATTCAGCTAATCAAACATATACAATACCTATAAACAGATCAAGCCTCGCATGCACTGTCAATGCACAAGAAAGAAGGCACCTACCAGGGGTAGCCAGCGGCAGCGTTGTCAAGCAGATCGTATCTATCAGATAGAATACCTACCCAGTCTAGATCGCCTTCGTTCGGGAGAACAAGCTGCTGTAAACTGCGTCGACAACCGGCTGGGCTGTGATCTGTTTGCCTCCAAAGAACCGTCCGTTCAGCCCTTTGATGGCGTTTTCGCCGCCCTGGACGCGGTCGAACTTGAGGTAGATATCGCCTTGCGAGTTCGGATCTAGTGCAATGTGAACAACATGGCCATATTTTTCTTCGCACTCAGCGCGGACGTCATCCTCCAGTTCCTTAATCCAGATTTCGCCCTCCTCCCTAGTATTTGTTAGCCTCAGCATTCCACATTCGACCATAACAAAAAAAGAACCTACTCGGAAGGATCAAACATATTGCGTAGCAACACACATCGACTCGCCATGTTCACGTTGACTGGCAGTGGTTTGCTTTCCGTTTTGGGGCGCAGAATCTTCTGTTTGTCGTCGGCGGCTGGCTCTGACGGTTCATCTGTTCTTGCAAGTTTCCTCATCAATGCGTCCCTACTATAGTTGTTGAAGTTCACACCGGCAACGTCTGTATCATCAAGCGCACTGGCTCCCGCTCCCTTCTCCGAGTCCCGGCCTCCCGCACGGTCGAAGTTGTTAGTGCCGCCGGCTTGCACGCCACGGCCTCCATGGCCTGAGAATGACGACCCCTGGAAATTCTGTTGGTTTGCACCTTGGCTCTGCAAGCGTTGCGCGGTTGACTCGGGGGTAAACTTATCGTTGCCAAGGCCAACGCGGATGGCTCGACCAGCAAGGTCAAATCCATTCATCTTTTCCAAGGCTTCCCGAGCCTGGTTAGGATCGCGGAACCTGCGGTGGTCAGCCATAAGGTTAAACAAAAGAATAGAATAGAAAGGAAGGAGGAGAAGGAAGAAAGAAAGAAAGACATACTGCACAAATCCATACCCCCGGCTCCTCCCAGTTTCATCCTTTTGCAACTGCACAAATTCAAGTTCGCCAAACGGCTCAAACACATTCTGGAGGTCACTTTCAGTGATGCTGAAATGAATATTACCCACATACAACCTGTGAAAAGGGGCAGCGTGATTTTGGCCACTGCTGGCTTCGGGGTTGCGAGCCTGACGGTTCTTCTCCGCTTCGGTCAACTGCGCGATAATGGGAATTCCTAGAAGCTTTTGTCCTGTAAGCTGGATAGCAGGGGCGACGGAGTCCTCGTTCTTAAATTCGACGTAGCCGACACTGAAAGTCGTTAGCTTCGCAGCAAATAAATAAATAAAAAAAAAAAGGCACTTACCCCTTAGACCTTCCACTGACACGGTCCTTGACAATCTGCGCCTCTTTAACCGGTCCGACCTTCTCAAAGAATGCGATTAACTCCTTCGTTCTCAGCCGGGCCGCGAGCTGCTGCACAAAGATGGTACGCCGGTCACGTTCATCCTCATTCAACTCGGGGGTTCTCTCCCGACTTTTACTAGGGCTGCGTCGGCGATTCTCCCGGTCCCGGCGAGAGCGTCGGTCCTCGTCCCGCTCTTCGCGACGGGAACGGCCAGAGGGTCGATAGTAGCGGTCATCATAGGGGGAGCGAGATCGAGTGCGGGCGCGTCCACCTCCGCGGTAGAAGTCACCCCCGGAACGGTTTTCATCCCCATACCGGTCGCGACGAGACCGACGGCGTTCACTATCGCGGCTCCTGCTCCTCTTTCTGCTTCTATGGCTTCCGTTAGCACTGCCACGTTCGCTTCTCGGGCTCCTCAAGTCTTCATCTCCATCGCCATCTCGCTCGCGACGCCGTTCGCGGCTGCGGTCACGACGCTTGCGATCTTTGTCTCGTGAGCGATCACGGCGGTCACTGTTGTCGGCTTTGGACTGGTCGTCTTGGTCGCGGGGGGGTTCCTGAGAGGGAGCAGCTGTGGACTCGAGTAGAGCCTCAACATCGAGACCTGACATATTGGTGATCTGCTGATAATCCCTATTCCCTGGGGAAACAAAAACAAAAAAAAAAAAAAAAAAAAAAAAACTGAATAGAAAGGGGAAAGGAGATCGCGTGGAGAGAGGATTTAGGTCACTTTGGCTTCGTTAGACTGGGTGACTGTAGTAGAGTCGTGACTTGAGCGAACCCTTCTATTTGATCTTTTTTTTTTTTTCTTTTTACTCCAGCTTTTCTTTAATTTTACAGAAGTAATGAAAGACTTATCAAGAGTGAGGTAAAGAGTTGGATATGACGGACGACTTCGCTGGAGAAGAACAGTAGTGGATGCTGCCCCGTTCTTATCCACCTCGAGGTGAAGTGAAAAGCAATTTAGGTCACGTGATTCTTGGCATTTGCCTCCATATTGTTTAACTTTTTTCCACCCTTGGGAGCCATACTTTAAGGCACAGGCTTGTGCCTATTAACAGAATTGGGATAACCTCTAGGAGATAAGCTCATTATGTATTAAGTAATGTAGTTATATACAGTCATGTAGATGCTAATTTGAGTTCAACGATGTCGCCAACACTCCAGGATTCATCAAGTCCTGCGACACTGGTTCATGATCCCAAGAACAAAAGTACTGTAGATGAAACCGATCCCTAAAACAAAGTGTACATATCCTGTCACTCTCTCAAGGAGCATAATAACCCACGATCCCAGTGTAACATCGTTGTTTGTGAGATACAATCAATGTTGAGCATAAGAGGAAAAGCGGGAGGCAATGCTTATAGAATAGGCTGGTAAGCCCCCTCATTGAGACTTTCCGCCTTTTCGAGACGGCATTTCAAGCTCCGTGCCAAAGACTCGATCCCAGAAACGGCTCGTGACACCAAATCCGTTGTCGAAGTCAGCAAAGTGGTGCAGAAGGTGATATTTTTTGAGCTCCTTGTAGTACAAAGGTAGGCTAGAAAACAGTCACAATCAGCAATGGGCCAGGGGATGTGAGAGATCGCATTACACTTACTTTCGATGATGGAGAAAGTAGTGGGTCAAGTCGTAACAAATGTAACCGAATACACCACCACAATATATTGACACAGCAGCGTACCAGTTGTAGAAGAAGATTGTATGTGCCAGCTTCCAGAACGGCGAGGCGAGAATAATGAATAGAGCCGGCGGCATCACCAGTCGATACTTGTCCATGGGCAGGTAGTGGTGAATTCCATGTAGAAGGAAATGGAGGGTTAGCCCCACGCGGTTATCAGGTAGGTATCTGGACATTGTTAGAAATGCATCAAAGACATGTGCATTGGGGACTATCATACTTATCAAGGTGAAACAAGAACCGATGGAGGAAGTATTCAATAAGTGTCCAGAGGAAAAGGCCGGAGACCCAATAAGTAGCAGCCGTTGTTCCCAGTCCAGAGAACCCGAGAATAGTCCCGTAAGTGACCGGAGGGAGCCACACAATCGGCACCACATACCAGGCCGTCTTGCTGAGAGGCTCCAGGAAATTACCAAACAGAGGGGCGGATTCTCCTCCTCTGTAGTGACGCGGACGATGAATCTGTTGCAAGTAGAACTCCTTGCTGAAGCCGCTGTTCCAAAGCTGCATGAGGAGTGGCCTATTGAGATCCAGGAACTTATGGGTCTGGAAATCTTTGGTGTAGTCTGTCTCGACCGACAAATCTTCCTCCCGAGACATACCTGTCGAGGCAAACACAGGCCGCGATGCCTCCGCTGATCCATTCATAGCTGCATCGCTGGAATTGGAGGCAACGAACCCGACCAGACTTTCCTCAAGAATTTCGTAGGCTGCCTCGGAATGCTCATGGGACACCGAATCTCGCAGGATTTCTTTCACATCTTTGCCCGCATATTCCAGGACCAAGTCACCACCCCCAGGATGATCATCCACGAAAGAGGTGACATCGTAAACTCTAGAGCCGAGTGTCACATAACAAGATTTCGGTGTGTTATGGGACTCAACCTCGGCAGGGGAGAACGTTGGCAAGGTTCTTCGAGACATCGGTATTTAGTTTCCCAAGTATAGCGCGAGAGGCGGAGGATGGGCGTACAAATGCGGGAAATGTAGTTGGACGGATCAGTGCTGAGAAAACGTAATAAATGGGGGGGAAGGGAAGAGTGGCGTGAGCCTCAAAGCACCTAGGGGAGTTGGCGGGTCCGATGGCTCCGAAGGGGAAAATTTCGTTGCAACAGGAACGAGCCGTCAGCGGTTTATCGGACATCCGCTTCAAACTACGGGATGGGCGGCGGAGAGTTGGCAAACGGAAACTCGGCCACTCCAGTAATTGTTTGGCCAAAGACCACGTAGAAATCACACAGCAAGCAGTGGGAGAGATTGTATTAAGGTTGTGAAATGCTGAGTGAGATATGCTGCAGATGCCTCGAGGGTGACTGAGCGGCGCTTAACTACTTTGGGCCCAACCCCTGATTAGTTGTCCATCAGCCTACGGAGTATTCTTTAGAGAATCAAAAAGTAAGAGCAAAGGCCGTAACGCCGTATGCATAACAGAGTGCTCCGGAGTATTTCAGTTCCCCGATAAGGCTAGCCAGGGAAGAAAGAAGACGTTGGGTAGCATGCTGCGTTATAATATCATTTGATAATGCCTGGTGGAATGATTCCCTGTTGGCAAGAACATGTGATGCTCAACCTTCTCATTACGAGATGACTAACACTCTTATACTGCAGGATCCGCTATTGAGGAGATCTTGGTTTCAGACACGGTAGCACTTAGCAGCGGGAAGTACTCCGTAGGTACTATACAAAAACATTGTCCCTAACTAAAGGATGCTCAAACTATGGTTGAGGATTTACATTTCCCGTGGACCACTTTTTTGGTTTCCGCGTATTGACACTTGATTTCTCCAGTCACCATATACTCCGTACTTGGATGTTAAATCAAATTCCTATTGGCTTAACTATGCATGCCCTTTGCCTTTCCCTGTCTTTCACTTCATGGCCCTCATCCTGGTATCTCCAATCCATTCTTGTCCCTAATCTCTTTACCACTATGTAATAAGATTGGATCATAGTTACCCACCTTATACATAGTGCTTTAGGTTTGGCCTTTAAGGAGGACCACTCATCCGGAAGAACTCGATTCTGAGACTGAATGGAGTACACTGATCGCATTGACCAATGGACAGAATACCAGCTGGAACAGTTATCGATCTACGTACGCCTCGGACCTGTATATAGCAGTCCAGGCGATTGCTTGTTGGATTTGATGGAGTAGGGCTGAAGGTCCATTTAATTGCACTGGGGATACAGCACTACCAACCTATCTACTACGTGAGGGTGGTACAGTATCATCAGCTGATCTAGATGAGAGATTATTTCGGCGAAGTAAAGGGGGAGAAGAAAATCCTTGGACTACACCACACACGGTTAGCACATAGTTTGGTTTGGACGACGGGAGTACTCCGTCGAACGACACCGTTTTTTTTAATTCAACAGCCACGCACAATCATCATCAGTGGTACTCGTATGTACATACTTCTTTTGATCAGATCCCTCAGTGGGGGGATCTACCCAAATTCCAAGCTCCACCTTGGGTCACGTCTTGGTGCGCCATCAAGGACGAGGAGGTAGTTACTCCGTACACATGATCATTAATCAGTCCGTGGTGCCTCCCATTGACGCTGGGACCGACGCATCGACCAGTTGAGCCGGTATCAGATCAGGATCGGGGGAGGGGCAACTAAAAGTGATCTTGTGAATCGCAAGTTGGTGAAGACAACATGCTTATTTTTTTCTTTTTCTTTTTTTTTCTGGTCGTGGCTAGACGGGCATTTATTGGGGCGTGGCGTTAATCAACTACGCATCCGGGCTGACGATGGCTCCGTGACCCTAAAGCATGAAGATGGAGTCATGATTGCAGAGGCAGTAGGCAACTCCGTCTGGCCTGGGAACGGTGTTTGTTGGCAGTGAATTTTTATCTTTTATTTTTTATTTTTATTTTTTATTTTTATTTAAATTTTATTTTTATTTATTTTTTGTTTTGATGGTTTCGGTTTTACGGATACCCTACCCCTCTTTCAAGGGCGGACGAGGGAAAGAAACCCTCCTGTCGACGATCGATGTCATTGTATCAACGTCGATATTCTAAGATATTGCAACGATAATACATCATACTGAACTTAACTTTATGGAGGGGAAGAATCCCCTCGAGATGCCATCGTCGTTTCGCCTGCGAGGTCTTGCATTTTATGACGACGCACAGTTGGAGCCCGGAGGAAGCATTCCGAAACAAGTGGGAATCCGATCGGCAAGTCACTGTGAAGATTCATTCATTCCTAGGCAAGACTACTGAAGAACTAAGGAGGACTAATGTATGCGGCCTATTTAATGGGACGCACATTGCTGGATGATTACTTAATCCGTCGGCGAAAAAACACCAGAACACAAGATTAATTTTGATGAACTGGCTTTAGGGTGTTGACCCCTTTCCGATCGATTCTACTACATACATACATACATACGTACGGACGGAATTTTCCTGTATCCATCGGTCCCCCTTCATCTACGTCTCTTGAGTTGGTGGGGAGATAAAAACAACCACACCTCCGCGCTTTTAATCTTTTAATGTCCCTTGGGTTGCGAGATCGGGTCGAACTAACTGTCAAAAAAGTGGGGAGTTTCAACCTGCTGTCAGTCATTGGATCTCGGCCATTCTCCTCAGTCTGGGACGGAGTTTCCTTTAGCCCCAGTCTAGCTCCCTCAAATCCGTCAACCTTTTCCCTGCTTATCTTTCCCTCTTAAGCTTATACGGTCAAGAGCGAGCGACCAGAGGTACCTATTTAAGGGGAAATATAATTAAGAGGAAAAAAAAAAAAAAAAGAGAGAGAGAGCGAAAAGAACGAAAATAAACTCAAACACCATCCCCCCTCTCTCCTCTCTCGTCTCTCCCCTCCCCTCTCTTCCTCCCTTCGACTGGAAGCCCGCTCCTTCTTCCACCACCCCCTTTCGCTTCATACAATATGGACACAACGACACCCCCGTCCCTTCCGGGGAATCGTATCAATGTCTACTTACAGACCCTAATCAAAGTCAAAAAGGGTTTACCATTCGGTCAACCCGTGTGTGTGTCACCTTCCCATACTATTAACACCACCGAAGGCCTCCTACACCTCGCAGCCCTGATCGGCCCACATATTGCCATTCTACAAGTCCATGCGGACATCATCGATGATTGGAGTTACGAAACGGCTTGCCAACTGACCTCCTTGTCTCAAAAATATGGGTTTTTGTTGTGGGAGAGTAGCCGGCTCCTCAATGCCAGCATTGATGTCATCGGTAGAATTCAAATGGAAACGCGAGAAATGCGGAATGAGATGATGGATCTGATTCGGAAGACATACACAAGAGGGATTGTGAAGACGGCATCGTGGTCCCCGATGGCCTCGGCCTGGTCGTCGGGTGTGCCGATTAACAATCAAGAGGCCGACTTGTTGATCCCAACCCTGAGAACGGCGGCTCGAGAAGCGGTCTCCCACACCCTGAAAACCATTCAAACGGAGATTACAACAGAGCGCCCGTTGTGCAGGCCCGAATCAGGAGCATCGGCGGACGAAAACGCCGCGGTATCTGCTCGGAAACAATCGACCATCTCCCTAACTCAGACGATCACTCAGCATACCGAGGACGTACCGCAAGACTCGCTCGAGGAGAAACGGAGGGTACCATCCATTCCAGAGTGCGGCGAGTCGACGCCATGCTCTGCAGAGGCCGGGATCCCGCCCCCACCCATCTACGCCCGGGGTCTGGTGTTGGTTCTCCCATCGATGACCCAAACATTATTCAAGCCGGAATATCGACGGACCAGTATAGCGGCTGCCCGCGCCAACCAAGACTTTGTACTGGGTTTCATCAGTCCTGACCCGTGGCAAGTAACTTCAAAGAAAGAAGACATGTTTGAAGACATCCCCGACGAAGACGACGATACGGCCCCAGGGCCATATTCGACGAACGAGGAGAACCCCCTGCCGTGTCTGAGCGTCTACTCGATCATTCCCTATCAACTGGGTGTCATGGATGGCAAAATCATCGACGAAGTCGAGGAAGATGAAGACGGGAAAGCGGTCGCCCCGTCGCCCTCTCAAGTCGAGCCCAACAATCCGATAGCAAGGCGGATCTTCTATATAGTGGAGCAGGCGTTGAAGAGTCGAGATGGGACCGACGAAGTCAACACGAATCCATACACGAACACAAAGGTGATGAACGGTCGCAAGCTCCTGCACTGCCCGATCATAGCGATACCATAAAATTCCCTCCCCGGATCTTTTTTGTCATGCTTAGCTACATTTCTCTGCCGTCTCGTCATGCATTCTAGATTTCCATTGCCATCTACCATTTTCATTTTGTCTTCTCGCCTGCGTACACGAAGTTCGTGTCCCGTCATATCCCTGAGCAAGGAATGAATCGTTCGTTGTGTTGTCATCAATTGCGCCTGTATGCAAAACAAGAGGTGATGCTCAGATGATGCATTCATATTTTCACGTTAGATAGACAGCTGGTCAGTTCTGTCTCATATAATAGCCAGGTATAATATCTATGGGTTTTAAAACATAACGAGACCAATTCATCATGGTCAAGATCGGTTGACGTGTTGTAGATAATCTGCTGATCCCGACCAGTATATCTCGGGTAGACACGGGGTACGACCAGGATCAGTTGAGGATACTCCGTAGCCCGACGAGGTTAACAGGGATATGTTGCATATTGACGATCCGCCCGGGTACATCGCACTTATGCAAGGTAGAAGCTTAGTATTGACCAGCAGTCCAGGGCCCCGGCCCTTCACAACAACTTTACTATAACCTCTCAAACCGGAACCTCTCCTTGCATATATGCCTGCCAGGGGACTGAGTCTAGTGGAATGGATAAAATGAGACATTGACGATCATCTTATCAACTGTCTGTGCTCTTAGAGTTAGCGTCACTCACCCCATGCATAATTCAAAGGTACTTACAACTCCGTACCTACTGGGACACGAGAAGATAGATACCCGGACAGAATGTGCAGTGATGTATTTTCATGGGCGCAAAGACACGGTGGAGTCGTGGATATGCATGGTACTTGACTAGCGTCTGATTGATTCCCACGATGCTTGAGACACACAGACAAGAATTATACAAACTCGAGTATTGCTGCATCGCCGGGGTAACCGATCTCAGGTATAGACAACCATCCCCAGGGGGGGGTACGAAATATAAATACACACCTGTGATGCGTTTAGTTCTGAGCTTGAATACATCATCCCATCAACTGGTTGCTGTCTACCACAAGTAATAAAACGAGCTTGTTCTGAGCAGACAGGATACACCTCACCTTCGACCCAGCAGTCAGTCCATCATGAAGCTCCAATATTTGATCAGTATCGTCGCTCTTGCTTTGACCGCGCAGGCAAGTAGCAACAGTACCAACGTTTCTAGCACTGTGAGTGAGCCTGTCTTGTTTTATGCTCCATAAAAGTGTCTGGATGCTTACGTCCATAGCATTGGAGAGACACTGCCTTGAGACACCATCCACGCAGTTGGTTGAATGCCACGGCTAAGGATGTATCGAAGATTGATAAACGAAATGCGACTGTCTTCCACGGCCTTAATAACAGTGAGTCATTGTACTGGACTCGCTGGTCCTGCGTCAGATGCAACTAACGCATATATCTCTGCAGATACATTGCATCAATAGCTATCACAACGGCGCTGGAGGATGGCACTGGAATGACGAATTTGATTGATTGATACTATAACCAGTAGTTATTTTATAAATGTAATGAAGGACAGGGCATGACGGGGTAATTTTGGGGGGTTATAATTGAAAATTCTAATCGACATGAATACATGTACCATGCTGAAGCCATAAAAACTTCTATAAAATATGAATCGAGAGACAGATTGTAGTTCTCCAGATGTCCATGGAGATGGTCACATGATGCATCGCCAATCGGGCATTGCCGTGCATCTGGAAAAAACCCCGCCATCACCGTCCCCAACTCGTTGTCTTGATCAGATTTAGCAAAATCGATTGTACATATAGCATACCGAGTGAAGTATTGCCTTCATGTCCTCCGAAAATTCCTCTGAAATCTTCGTGGAAAGCGACCTGATTGCCGTGATCTTTCATGGGCTGAAATAATCCACCTAGATGGATGCAGACTATCCTCCATTACCACATTCTGGGGAATCCAGAGCCTTCTCTCAGCCTCTGTCTCTGCGTGAACTAGCAGATAGTTCCCTATCTCCTTGTCTGGGCACTACCAATGATGCTCAAGTAGAGTTATACCCATGCACACACCTACAGGTCGCTGTGACAGCCATTTTGGAACATGGTGATGTGATTCTTGAGTATATCAGTCCGGATCACCTCTCGGAATCAGCCAAGCCCTATATTTATCGTTGGCAGGTGTCTAGCGAGGCTCTTGCACAGAACAGTCCCTATTTCAAAGCCCTGCTTGATCCCAACAAGTTCTCCGAAGGCAGACTCTTCATGAAACAGAAAACAGAGCATCGAGGGACAGCCACTGACATAGACGACGATGCGTCGAACCATCCACACCCTGACTCTGATGGCGAATCAGTGTGGAAGGACTTGCCAACAGTTCGATTACCAAGTGGTCATATTTCTCCAAAACTTGGAGTAGATGCCATTGGAACGTTTCTTCGAATCCTATCATTCGGCTCGTTTGATGAGGAAAAACAAAGGATTTTTGATTTGGAAATCAAATTCCAGCGTCCCTCTCTAGTTGCAAGGGTAGTGCAATTGGCAGATGCTTTTAATTCTCCGCATGTCGTCCGCGAAGCCTTACAAAGGTCCGCCTATGTCTATGGGAGGAAGCACTCGTTTCTCAAATTCGATGACTCCATGCTGAAGCTGGCTGAGGACCGTATCCGACAATCAATTTTTATAGCGAGATTTCTGGACGACCGCACAGTTTTCCAGATTCTAACACATACCCTGATCATTCTGGGGTCGAAGTCCTGGATAATGGGTCTTGAGCAGCTGATATCTCCACCTGCTTTTCCATGGTGGTATCTTCCGGACGGTTTAGAAGGTAGGATTACTCTTTCCAGCTCCTTTGCCCTTGTTTCTTTCTTCCCCTTCCCCCTCCCTTGTTTTTTTTTTTTTTGCCCCTGTCTTTTCTTTTTTTAATTTCAGATAGAACTACACCATTCCTCCCTATCCTATAAACATACACCTATCGCATATTAGAATACTAATCAGCCATCCCACAAATAGAAGAAATATACTATCGACGCCAATGTATCCTAAATACCATCACAGACCTACAAGCATATTTCCTGCGCGCCTTCGGTGCCCTAGAAGAGCCGGAAACAGAGCCCGCCACCCCAAAGGGACCAGGACGCGCCATTACATCATCTCGACCATACCAATGTCGATGCGGCTACGGCAATTCCAGTGCATGTGACATGTTCCATCTAGGCCAAATGACTCGGTTTTTCGCATTACGCACCAAGACCATATTTCTAGGTTCGAGCCTGATTGACCCAGAGTTTGATCTGGAAATTTTATCCGACGGTGTCGGAAACGTATCCGACCGGGCCCAGGCTCAGGCTCAGACTCAGTCAGTTGGCAACGGGGAACTACCACCCTCCACCGACATCACGGCCGTGATCGCCTCTCTTCGACAGTGTCCTGACTACCAGATCGATACAAACCATACCGGCTGCGGGGTCCGACGTCGGTTTATCCCGCCTCTGGATTGCATCGAGGGGCTAGTGGGTGATAGGAGAGGATTAGTGGGGATCGCATTGAAGCACTGGGATGCAAAAAAGTGGCCTCTTGCGTCGGGATCGTGGGCAAATGCGTCTCTTCGGAGAGCACTGGTAATTGATGTTCATTTTTCTAAAATAAGTGCAGTTCCTCGAATGTCGCCTGGAAGGTCTCTTAGTGGTTCTCAAGAAGAGAATGCTCGTTTGCTTTTTACAGCGAAGAAACGGAGCTGGGAGGCTTGACCTTATGCCGGGTTTATTACTGCTATGAAATATTTATCATGAGCCTTACGATTTACTGGGAATTATCCTTCTACGGTCATTTCTATTCATTTGAAACGCTTCGCATACCATATTTAGGCTAAACTAAACCAGCGATTGTCTTTTATTTTACTGAGTCCTCCAGATTCACGCTCTCATCTACTCTTTCCTAGAGGTTTATTCAATACATTGACTAGCATAATTACTACCAATTTATTCTACAGACCCGGGGACAGAGAAATCTCTGGAGAATTATATTCAGACGAATATTCCTGTAGTGAATATTGACAGATTTAGAACGCCTGAGATATCCTTGGGACTTTAGCCTTGTCGGTGTAAAAGTATATTTAAGAGATATGGACCACTGCCTATTTTTCTCTTCCCCTTCTTAGTCCACCTAGGCAATCTAAACAAGCTTCTGTCCATAGAAATGTATGCTTTGTGATACCAATTAGAGCTCACAAAGATCCCTTGGCTTTTTTTTGTGTCCGAACGATATTTTCCCAAGCATGATGCAACACTTCTTATCCTACTAACAGTTAACCCCATCTGTCACTGTCTTCAACCTACTTTTTACAACATCTAAGTACATATTCCTGCGAGGCCTGTTGCTTGAAATTGTATCAAAAGAATTAAGGATTCTGTGGTCATTCAAGAAGACCACATCTTTACGGGTTCTTGGAATCAACAAGGCGCTCCTCAGCGAACGGCGTATTACTGTTCTTATTCTTCTTTTTGGAGATATATCGAGCCTGCTAGTCAAACGAGAGTCATTGTGTCTTATATGTGTATCATTTCCAGGTATATACTGATATCTTACGCTGAATCTATCCAAGTCCCGCTGCGGGTTTGATTTGAGAATTCTAGCCCGGGATTACATAGTTCACCCCAACTGGGATATCAAGACCCTTAAGAGTTACATTAGTTACCCCTCGGTAGTGTTATTAGGACAGCGAGTTGATGTCCTAGGTCTGACTACTCTAGACGAGAAACTACAAGTCATCCACAACCTACCCTTTCCAAGCACTTTGAAGCAGGTGGGGTCGTATCTAGGTATGGCCTGCTGTTTTCGCCACTTTATCCATCGCTACGCAACCAAGGCCAACCGCTCGTCGATCTTCGACCTTAAAACCATACATTCTACTTCTGGAATCCCAGTCGGTGGCATGAAAGAGCACACAGGTCGTATACCTAGAGTATATCTCTGTGGTAGACTATCATCAGGCACCTATTCCATTAGTATGCTTTGTTAGGAATCAATGTCCGCAGGAAAAAGGAAGGAAATCACCAACCGTTGCGCAGCGGCGATGGGTGAGTTGCCACTTTTTGAGCCATTCTGGACCATGGGAAATATACTTCATAGGTTGTTTGCAACGGGGGATAGCTATATTGTGGCTAGATGAGGTTTTACTGTACTCCTATGCTCCGATTTGGTAGTCTTTGCACTAAGCCTATTTGGAACTAGAACCCAGTCCGTAGACCAATCAGCAGTCTGTTAGAAAATTAAGAACTTTATTTTGAGATTCCCCTCCTACCATATTTGGTTTAGTGTTCAATGAGTGTCTTTACCTTAATTACATAGTACTTTTCCATTAGTTATTTTAGAATGGCTTAGTGTGGCACGCTAATTCTTTAGCGCGGTGTCTGATCACAGTACGGGAGCACTACTACTCCGTACAGTAACAGACAAAATTTTGATTTAAATACCTAAATAATCAATTCAGCTAGTCAAGAGCTCTGAATGAAGCCTTTCAGTATTTCGTATACCCACATAAATGGTAGGCGGTAGGGGGTGAAGCGGGCGGTCTGGTTGGGGGGAATTTCAAACATTTTTCATCCCACTGTATAACCGTGTTTTACACTGGTTAACTGTATTACATAAGGATGTCGGGTCGGGGTGGTCCCGCAAACGCGCAGCCAGACCTAAATAGGTTCAGCGTAAGGCATACATGTCTGGACATGAAATCGTGAATGTCTCCAAAGTGCAGACATAGTGACATTACCTAGTTACATACAATCATTTCCCTGGATAGCTACTATTAGTAGAATAGGTAATTCTATTCAAGTCGAATCCAGTGCAATGCACAGTTCAAAACTCCCATATACCCTCCAGAGAATCAACATGAGCCGGCCACACCAACAATTCTCTTCAAAGACGGGTTTCAGCGCCGAAATCGCTCCAATCACCGAGGTTTCTTGCCTCTTTCTCATCCGAATGAAGCATACCGGTCGGCATCACCTTGATCCCATTCCTAAATGGGGCATCGGGAAACTCCATGAAAAGGTACGCCATATATCAATGTATATATTTAGATAATGCGCAGTTGATGGAAGTTCTTTACGCTCTGAAGTGGACATTAAGGGAAAGGATTAAAAAAGAAGAAATCTCAATGAGGTCTTCGATCAGATATATAAAAATCATCGTACTCCGATACATCTGCCAACCCCCAAAAGTTTACCCAAATATAGTATTTAAGTATGTCCCTGTACGGATCACCTATCAAATCTTCCTGCAGAAGCAGACCCACGGAATTAGCATGGCACCTCCATTATAGAGAATAGAACCGTTTCACTTGGTTTTTGGCAAGGTATAGAGCCAAGGACTGGCGGTTAACTGGATACCTACCTACCAGACTAACTGGGAGCCTTCGAGAACTAAACTCGGAAATGGGGAAATAGGATCCTTTCTGGCTTGGTTCAGGGTAAGGTCTAGATCCAAGACTCTGGCTATTAATTGGATATCCTCCATACTTATTGGGAACTCTTATAAAGCGAAACAAGGAGATAACAGGATACCTCCATTTGGAAGGAGTCTCGTCGGTAGTGGAAATGCAAAGAAGAAAACGGTGCATTGATTGGCCCGTTCGCGATTCTCATGTACATGCCGAATCTCGTCAAGACCTACTTTCAAATGTTCGAAGAACTGGGGAAGATCCAGGGCCTGCCGGCCAGGGCCCGGGGTACTGCCATCTTGGCCAGGGGAGTGTCTTTCACGCCAAATACGAACGTCACGCGCATATTGCCGTGGTTGTAGTCGTGGACCTCAGTGAGACTCAGATTAAGTCGATTGCGGCCGGAGTCAAACTGACAGGTGAACATGCTCTCGATCAGCCAGCTGGTGGCGTTTGATGTGGCACAGGGCGGGCGGGGAGTCGCGAACCGCTGACGGAGGAGAATTGGAGCAGGGCAGGGAGGACGCTGGGGAAAGTCAGAGCGGTGTGTCTCATGCAATATGTGGCGATATAATATATATCTGTGTGCTTTCAAGTGGGATGGATGCCCTGGCACCTTGAGTGGCATATATATAGATATTAGATTTTTATACAGGAATAACTTCAACAGTATATTGTTGGTTGCTAAAGATGTAGATTGGATACAAACATTAGTATACGATCCGACTATACTAGTCAATAGGCCTCTGAGAGAACTGTAATGTAAAAGAAAAATAATCGTTCTAGTTCATCTACTATAGTAAATCACCTTTAGGAGGCATTTGAATGCGTGTAACAATGGTCTCGTGTCTAGCGCGAAACGAATAACGATACCTAAAGAACGGAGGGTAAGCCACAGAGGCTAGAGATTTAGTAATACACCGCAATGTTGATCGGGCCTTACCATCACTGAACAGCGTGCGGATAATTAAGCTTTGTGCCCCCCCAAGTAGTCCCAGATTGAGTCCATGTCTATGTCACTGGGAAGGGACGGATCCTCGAACAGACCGATGCCCGGGTCGTAGTAAAATGCCTCATCGGTATACGAATTATGCGGAGCAGGCTCTTCACTCTGCATGCAATCTTGTGTGGTTGTCGTTTCCGCCGCGGGAGGGAAGGCCACAGTGTTGGAGGTGCTTGGAAGTTGTCTTGGTGGCATATAAGTAGGGTTAATCTGAGTAGCCGAACTCCATGGGGTTACTCGCTCGGGCGGGTCGACAGTGCTGTCCGCCGTGAAATTAGAGCCGGGATTATTGGGAGAGGCTAGTTTGGCGATCTCAATATCAATAGGCCAGTCGAGTCGCTGCAAGAAATAGTCGCAAATGCTGCGGACCTTCCCGGAGATCGTGTTGGCTTTTGACAAAACAGACAACCACTCCATTGACTTCTTTATAGCTCTCGAGATCATTGGGCCCCTGTGAGGAGCATGCTCGAACTTAATATTGGCTTCAATAAGAAGGATCACGGTGGCTTGCATAAGGAAGTGTAGTATGCACCACCATGGGGAGACCATATATAGTGATGCCGTATCAGGGGGCTCAGGCAGAAGCCGAATTACATGGCATGCGGACTCGACACAATCCATGGCGATTCTTTCTTTTTCATTTCGGTCTGCATCAGACGCGTCCCACTGCCGAAGACACGGTTTTGCGATCCTGCTCTTGGTACTGTAATACATAATAGAGAGACACATCCTCTCAGCCCCATAATTTGGGGAGGGAGTTGCGGACGTAAAATCGTAAGGCTTGGGCAGCTTCATAACCCAAGCCTCCACTTCAACTGATAACTCATCTATGGCAAACCTTACGGTTAACCAAGATAAGGCTGCCGTTTCGGAGCCGTAGAGCATGCTCGTTGCTTTTTTGGCAATCAATGCCAGCTTTGCAATCTGTAGGAAATATAAAGAACCACATGGGGGTACAAGGCTATGGCTGCTATAGCTTAAAGATTTCCGCTTGGCGTCAATGGCCTCCTTTGAGGATGTTTCTCTCGGTTTTTCTGGTTGGTCGGGGTTATGTGTTGAACGGCTCATTAGACGCACTACCTCGTCTTTGTGAAAATCAACCTCATCGTATGGAATAGGCAAAGGAGCTGTGAGCATGCAGTCTGGTATGCAAGAAGGTCGTCCTGTCATAGTGCAGAGATGGCTCTCAAGCGTGTACAGAGACCACCAAAGACGATATCTTACTTCCTTGGAGCTGTCAGGGACACTACTCCCCACGTTCCGTAGATGTAGCCCAAGGGCCAAAGCTTGGCGCACAGCGTTACCACAGAAGATCCATGCCCTAGAATGAATGACACGTGAGTGACCGAGGCCTTCTCTGCAATGGGCAGGAAATTTGAACCTACCGATTAATATGACCGAGAGCCATAAGGTAGAAAGATGCTAGCCCTCCAACCTGCAGTCCTTGTAGATCAGGGGTATTCAAAAGCTGATCATCTATGCTGAGAGCTTTGGCTCGTAGAAAGTATGCATTGTGATTGGAATTGTCGCTGCCCCATCCGCCTCCATAGACCAGGTAGGTATATCTCGATGCAATAGCAAAAGTCAGATTCAACACTGCAAGCCACTTGTTCCCAGGTTTCATGGATGGGTTGTTCATAAAGGAATGAAACTGATCTGTAAATGTTGAGACTCCAAGGATAGGAAAAGAAGGATGTACCGCAGAAAAGTACGTGTTGAAAAGACTGACGGCAACTTCATGGGACGGCAGGGCAAACATGTCAAGATCTTCCATAGGACTGATTTCTACATCGTCAAAATGGTAGTTAAACCAAGCAATCGGTTGGTGTATGTGGCGTGCGTTTGGGGATGACAAAGAATTAGGGTTAGATTGGCTGTCCTTGGATAGCCGGGTAATCTCTTTGTCAAGCATATGCATCCAGTATATTTCCGAACTCTGACCAATATATCCCGACGACCGTGTGAACTCATCTTTACCGAAATCCTCTTCGGTATAATCCGCCGTACGAGTTATAGCAGTATGTTTGCTAGAAGAAGGCGGCGTAGGGGACGGTTCCTGCATTAAAGTAATGAGGGGGGGGTATCTGCATATGCGGACTACATCACATTCATACCTCAGTCTGAGAACGTCTCACGACCTCTTCAACAGCGAGTCCGTGCCAACTGCCCACTGTTCGGAGCGCTCTCTCATAGTCACTGATTTTTGACTCTAGGTTGACCATCTGTCTTTGAAAAATAATCATGGGCGTTAGTACCACTTGATACAAGCGGGTGTCCTCGAGCCCAACCTCTTCGATTTCTCCTTTTTGCTGTCTGTATAGGAGCATGGCATTCCAGCTTCCAGGCAGTTCAAACAACCACTTGTATCACCAGAGCATTTTGTTTTCCTCCCTCTGCAGAATTCACATGCTCGACTAACATGCCGGCGTTGGGATTTCCCAGACACCCCATAGCCAGAGGCACCTGGCTCTACCAGCCTAGGTATGGCCATCTTGCCCTGCGGGCCCATATAAGGCTCTCGATTGCCTGACAGGCCCATTGAATTAATCTATGTTGAAGATAAGTTTGATGTTTGGATCAGGAAAAAAAGAATGATGGGGAGACAAGTTACTCTATGATTAATATCGCTGCGGTTTGTGCCCGAAGAAGGCAGATTGGGTAGAGCAGATGGTCGCTTCCCAGTATGGTATTGTAGGTGTGCCATTATGTGGGAAAACCGTGGAAGGGGCTATGAAGGGCCAGTATCCCTGACCTATGCGCAGCGAAAACATCAATAGCGGGTGGTGAAGATGACAGTCGAGGTTTATATAGTGATGCCAATGGGGCGGGCTCGAAAATAGTATTTTGGGTGTCATCATTCATGCTGCTTGTAGTTAGGCTAGACAAGATTAGAACTCATAGGTCATGTCGCCACACTGAACGTGGTAGACCAGCGCTAGTTTTCTGGAATACAATCTCATCGACGCCTGTCCGAAAATATAAAGAAGCCTCAATAATGAAATAAGAATTAAACTGACGGAATGAAAAGGCGTGGACGCTGGGGGTATCAGAACCGGGGATCCTGTTGAAGATTGAGGACCTGAAACGTAGCATTGCATGGTGTTCTAGACACATCAAAGCATTATAATTACTGGCAGATTGAGTTACTCTCCACAAATCGCGCGCGTTTGTTCGCCATTACTTCATCCAAATGGGTGGCCTCGGGGACCTGGATCCCTAAAGGGGCACTGAGAAGCTGGTGTGATATCAGATTGGTGAACACTCTGTCCTTATTGGTCTAAGGGTTGTGTCATAGCTTTCTGAACCCAAGTCTATGATATAAATCAGGTACGCCTCATAGATTGTTGGGAGGGGAAGTGGAGTGAGTTCGAGCCTGAATCTAGAACCCGTCCTCCTACCTTATGGATATAGACTGCGGACATATTAGGTGTGGCTAAGCTGCGCATGACTCTGCTCCCATGGTAGAGTTTCATCTTTTTCTTCATCTTTTTTTCTTTTCTTTTCTTTTCTTTTCTTTTCTTTTCTTTTCTTTCTTTCTTTCTTTCTTTCTTTCTTCTTTTCTTTTCTTTTCTTTTCAATTTTTTTCAAATTTTTTTTTTTTTCATGTGAACACACTAAGGCGGGTTGGCGTAGATGTTCCTTGGTAGGAAGACCCTGTGGGTAGTGCAATTGGTGAATAATACACGACCGATACCTTTGAGGTCTTCTATTTCCCATGGTCCGCCTTAGGATGGGCGAGGAGAAGTGTCTATATTGACGTCGTTATTTGATGATAGCTAGATGACCTAGTCTCGATGGCACCAGATGCATGTGTTAGGCAACATTGCTGACGCCGAAGAAATCAAGCGAAGACGGGATGAACAGGTGACTTGCTTTCTTGGTCACACCCAATAGAAAATCTCTCATTCCTTGATGCTGGGGTTAGAACTGGTATATGGACAAAAGACCTCTGGAAGAAAAGGAAAGAAAAGAAAAAGAAAAGCTTGGATTTGAGGAAATAAAATCGACAATCACACATATGGCCTTGTTTAACGGAAAGAAAAAAGAAAAAAAAAAATAAATATAAATAAATAAATAAACACTTTGTAGTACCTCCAAGGGCGATCCGAACGTCATTAGTACTCTATACACCAAAGACAAATTACTCAATAAGATAACTCTCTGCAATAGTCTTCACATCCTTGGAGAACCCAGTACTTTCCCCTTCCTCTAGCAACGAAACGTCGGTCACATCCACCTCCACAAAAGGATTGGCCTTGGCGAATCGTACATTCATGGGGAAAAACTCATTCTCGTCTCCGTCGCCCACTGATTCGAACTCGAAGCTACCAGACGCGTTACTTTCGTCCACTGTACCGATGTTCCAGTCCAAACTGTCTCCCGACACTTCGTAAACGGCGTCAAAGCTCGATACAGCGGGTTCCGCCGCACCGTATGGGATGGTGACGACAACATCGCGAAGGGTATCCGTGCCGGTAAGCTCGTATTCGACGGTAACGGTTGTTGAATCTGAGCCCTTATTCACCCAAACGGTGAAGGAGATGGGGAGAATGTCGACGTTATCGGATCCAGAGCTGGTAACACGCCAGCGCAGAACACCAATCGAATTATTCGCCGGGAATCGTTTGGAGGTGTCCTTCAACTGGATGGCTGAAGAGTTGCTAAATACAGCCTTGTCAACATTTGGGTGCGTGCGGAACTGGGCGCCGTGCGTTGGATTGGCCAGGAGGTCGAGTTTGAGCTTGGTAAGCGATGGATCGGTGATGCGGAGCTGGAGGTCACCCTTCACTTCGAAGGATTTTAGGGCACCTTCTCGAGTAAGCGAAGCAGAAATCGTTTCCGCGATGGTGACATGGATAGGCTCTCGGTCTGTGGAGAGAGAGGCACGGGCGGAGGGCACTTTATCGGCGACCGGGGTGGAAGCCTGCGGAGTCACCAAGGGGGTCGACTCTTCCCCTTCAGGACCCAAGTCACCGCGCACTCTTTCGTAGATATCTGTAGTCTTCGATTTCTTGCCTAGCTGCATGCCCTTTCCACGGGTTGGCAATGGCCTGGGGAATGTGGCTATCAGCCCCCATATGGTACCACGAAAAGGACGGATAGCAAGGAAAGCACGTACCTGGCAAACGACTTCTTCTTCTCCGCTTCGTAGCTATCATAGGTATCAGGCACGGCGGGACGTGCAGGGGGCGTGTAAACAGGGTAGGATGGGGCCCTGGGAGCTGCAGCACGACCGGTTCGAGCTGCCTCCTTCCGTTGCATCTCCAGTTGCTTGGCCTTTCTCTTGCGTTCCTCGCTGGCTTCGAGCTCTTTGTTCTACAGAGTAGCGAAACCAAGAAGTCAGTCACTTGTCAAGAATGTGGTCAGATGGAGAGACACATACCCTTTCAATGATCTCCTGGATTCGTTCTTCGTGACTTTCCATCTCCAAGAACGTCTTAATCTGCGAAAGCGACAGATTCTCCCGGTATCCTAGTGTCACCAGTTCGTCAAACGCGCTGAGAAGCTCAAAAGCATTGCGCAAGATTTCTCGTTCATCTAGACTCTTACAGATGCTAGTGGTGACTTGTGCAAAGAGGTGGAGGCTGTCAATGTCTTGCAAGATGTTTGATTGACGGTTTGTGATCAGAACGATGTATAGCTCGTCGAGGGGCTGGTAAACGAAGCGGACGTTGTCTTGCTCGACAGTAGTGTGCTGTGTACCGGAGTCCGCCAATTTCGGAAACGATGCAAGTAGAGCTTCGATCCTGGAGCGAGCAATTTCTCGGAACTGACGCGAAAGCACTGCCTTGCCCCCGCGGGTGCATATCGACGCTGCGAGGACAACCTGTTTATTTGTGTGTGATGGTGAGCAGGGGAGCTGTCAGTCAGCCATCAGAAAAAACCCTGACGTACCATGGCTATTTAGTAACGTTCAATGAATTTAGGTAGAGATGAGCAAATAGCGCCGCTATTCGGTGGGAATGATGGTTCGAATGCGTGGATGCCAGATATTCCAACTCCGGAGTCGCTTGCTGTTCTCTTTGTCCCCGTTGGTCCGTGCGCCGCGCTACCCCCTCGCTTACCGCAGCACAAGAAGCTTCATTCACTGCCAGCAACAACGCTTCTTCTGGTCGAGATTCATCCCCTTTTCTCTCTCCCTGAGCCTAACATCACTATTGACCAAAGTGCCCAGATATATGGTACTTATCTAGGTAGTCTATTCAGATAGTATTGGTCCAATTTTTTTTTTTTTCTTCTCGGATCAGACGGCCGACAAGCTGATTCGAATCCGTCGCCACCGACACAGGAACCTTTGTCACGCAGTGCTTTGTTCTTCTCAAACCGTTCATGCCATGACAACGGCACCCTCGATGGCGTTTTCCACCATGGAGCTTCCTGCTCTTGATGATACAATGGAGATGGCGTCCCCTTATCAAGGACACGCTGATGATTTTGACATCGATCTAGATGTGATGGAGGACCAGACTTCAAATGCAGACAGAGATATGATGGGTGCTGATGACCTCCCCGAGGCCACCGATAGAGCAGGATACGACGAAGATGGACCAAACGACGCAGATATGGCCGACGACGTAGTGGAGCCAACCATGGCCGATGCAGACGAGCAAGACCCGGAGACGAGTTATAGCATCGAGATGCACTATGGGCCAGAGAAAACCTACGAGGCGGAAATGTTAGAAGATGATTACGAGGAGGACATCGATGCTCCCGTCTCCGATTCCCAGGAAGAAGCTCCCCCGTCCTTTGAACATGTAAATAACCAAGTTGAACAAATTGGGCCGGTGGCGGAGAAAGACAAGGTTATTGCAGAAGACAACAATAGGCTCACTGAGGAGCCTCCAGTTGAAATACCAGTTGAACCCTCTGTTGAGCTAGGCCACACTCAACATGAAGACCTTGGGCCACAGCATGCACACCAGGATGATGAGAATTTTGACCAAGGATCCAAGACGATTCAGTCCGAAACGGCTAAAATTTCCGAAGGGAGCCACCATGATACTAACCAAACAGAGCAAACAGATTTCCAGGAAGCAGATCCTACAACACTTGAATACGATAACACGGCTCCCGAACAGTACGAAAATGATAATGTCGACGAAGTCCAACCATCGGTTGGAGAACATCAGGAGCCCGAAGATGAGAAAGTTGAATACAAAGAAGTTTATGAAGCCAGTGAAGAAGTCGAGCATGAGCATGATACTCATGATCATGTTTCTGCGTTGTATACGGTGAAGGTCTACTATCAGGAAAATGAGATTTCTTTATTCCCTCCTCGGGAAGGTGATTCTTCGGAAACTTTTTTCCTCGAAGACGAGAATCTTGCCTATGAACCTTTTGGGAAACTCTTTGGTTCTTGCCGTGAAGTGCTTCGCGAGCATGTTGAAGACAACGAAATCTTGATTATTGACATTGAGGCGCTGAATTTACAACTAACCGAGGCAAGTTTCTCCCCGTTGCAATCGTTAATAGAAATGCTAACTGTTTCTCAGGATTCCTCGCACATATCGAAAGTGACTTTGTATCAGATGATCGAACTGTATCTGCGATTGTGCCATAATGACGGAATTGATGAGCCGGAAGCTCTCTATCTTACGCTTAGTACTAAACCGACTATTGCCGCTGAAGTATCCGATCTTCTTGCAGCTGCCAATCAAGGAAAGGGCCTGTCTGAGATCCATTCGTGGGATGACTATCAGGAAGTAGAAGCGGCTTCTCCGGATAATTTCCAAGAAAGTAACCACGACGAAGGCCAGGAAAGGCTGCAGCATAATGTCCCGGAAGTTGAAGATACGCATCAGTCTGAGGCACAAGAAGTTTCTCACGAGAACCCTAGTGTTCATTCCCCGGATGCTGTGGAGAGTCACAAGGGTGAACAAGAACTCGACTCTGGAGCTGAGCCCACTCCTGGCAAATCCGAAATTGCCGAAGAGAATGTTGTAGCGGAAGTTACCGGATCCGAAACTCTAGAAGCCCACAATGAAGAGCCCCATGATGACAGAGCGTATGGTTCTGAGCAGAGCACAGAATCAACCGGCACTATTTCTCCAATGCCTACAGCTGATGTGATAGGCGCACAGCAGTATGATGATGGGATTACTAATATTCCTCATGAGAACCCGACCGATCATGTTGCTCACGGTGATCATCAAGAGAATGAGGACATTGGCGACGAAGGTAGTCTGGAAGTCGACCCGGCGGTTTCTGCAAAACCTGAAGACCTCCAAGAAGCACAGCATGATGCTATTAATGAAGTCCATGATAATAATGCCCCGGATCCTGTTGTGTGTGAATTTCACAAGGAGTTATCGGATGAGGATTATGAGTCTACTCATCCTGAAGACAACCCAGGGATCACCCAGGACCATGATGACTATACTAAGGAGACATTACCCGAGGATGATGGTGGCCCTGCACCTGAAGATTCTGAGCCTGCATTGGATAGCATTACCTCGGGTATCCCAGCTCAACCTCCTACGGAGCTAGCGGATGACTCACTAGATATCGCAGAGGGCCTGCCGAAGAGTCCTGCCGAAGGCGCCATATTGAACAAGAATGTCGAAGCAACTATCAATCCCTTTGCCCAAGCGGATGAGGAAGCAGAGCACGCCACGTCGGTAGAGCTTCCCAAGGACGAAACCGAGGAGTTGACGTTCGATGACGAGGAAGAATTTTTGGACTTGGGCATTGCAGATGAATTCGACTTCGCGGATGAAGAACCAGCCATGCAATCACCTGCACCTGCGCCCACCAAGCGGCAACGTGAACCAGAAGACGAAGTTGAACTGGTTGAAAGTCCCACTCCGGATGCCAAACGTTCCCGGTCCTCATGATCTCCTCGTTGACCTAATTACTTATTTTCCATCCGGCCTTTGTCCCCAACTCCCTCTTCACACATTGTCCCGATATCTCATAGCTGCATCTAACGTATCCAGCATTTCTATACGCTGGTGCCGATTGTTCTTTTTGGCCAGTTGTTAAACTTCACTAATCGGGATCTGAACCTCAGTCTATCCACAGTGGTTGGACAAATCTCACAGGCACGCTCCGCTAAGACTAGGTACGTATCTTCTACATCCCTTCCAATCATTTCTAGCATGCAGTATACCCCAATGTGTACCTTGTATGCATCACCTTGGCCCGACCAGGTGCAGTTTGTAAGTCTAGGTTTGTACTTTATGGCTCCCATGGGCCTACACGCTTTTTTTTTTTCACTCCCATATTTCCTTTTTTGCCCCTTGAACGATACCAAGTATGGCGATTTCTCGGTGTTCGGGGAGTGCTTTACCTATGTCTTTCCGATGTATGTTCGATACCAAAAAGAAAAGCGCTATATCCCAGAGAAGCATTTAGCGCCGGCGTGATGGTTGATTTAATTGTCCTGTCTTCTTGCCTGATCTTGGGCAGTGTCCATACGACACATTGATTTCGTTCTATCTGTGCGATGTGGATTTGCTTTCAGCCAGTGGCGAGAAGTTGCACCACGACCCAGCAGAGATAGGTGATGGGGCTGGTGACTGGGGGGCTGTTTTGCTGAGGGACAGGGCATTAGCTTACTGGTGTAATGGAGTCGTGATAGTAATATACTTTGACCCCTTGTTTAGCTGGAAGTTCTAGAGTTTTTGTAACTAGAAGATATGTTCGCGCGTATACCATTTGTACTGTTGGGCTGTCGGTATCACATGGTCATGGAGTTCGGCAGGCGGTACAGAGTAAATAGGTATCACGCGAACAAAGTCAAGAGATCATATCAATCAATCCCATTGAACCACGCGCGCCGTTCCAGTGATCGAACACCGGATCAGGCCGGCACGAAAGTCATGGACTAATTAATTAATTTTCGATGCGACGACACGAGAGGATATGCGCTGGCTTACGATCGATTAGTCCGATGACTCCGTAGATATTGCATTATGTGTCTGTGGATTCGGAGTGCTGTGTACGGAGTACGGAGTACAGTATGTACTGTACAGACGGAGAACGGAACAAGAAGAATCCCAGGGCTAGACCCAACCGAATTGACTAGCTAGCGAAAGAAATTAGCTGGGGATGGTTTTATTCTCAGCAGATTTGACGGAGACTGAAACGACGATCAGACAAGGTCGAAGAGGCCAGCCAGAACCACACTGTTGGGGTATGATTGGCCCCGGCGAATTGGCCAACGTTGCCTTTGTTGTCAGGCATTCTTTGCTTTTTTTGCAACAGTACGGAATGCAATGATAATATACGGAGGAAGTAGAAGTGGCAAGTTGTATAGATGGAGTATAGGTTTACAACATAGATCTTCCAGTCATTCATTGTCATCGTCAAATCGCCCGATCCATGTCTCAGGATTCCAACGCCGGGGATACCATCAGACATTGCCTATTCTTAGTACCAGCCCTCTCTCTATTGATACATTGATTCATTTCACCATCCACTCAAGGTGCTGGTTTTTTATTTTTTATTTTTTATTTTTTTTAAATCCTTTCTTCTTACTATCAAATACACAATTCTACATTGATTTCCCCTAATCCACAGGCTTATTCTTGTGTTCTGATTATTTAGTCACCGGCAATCCACCAACCACTTACGCGTCCAGAACAAGCCGGTTCCGTTCAAGAGGAAAAAAACCCCACCGCACGAGGGCAGGCAACTAGCCATCCTCTAAAGCCAATTCGCTTTTACAGGCGCTTTCTGGTTTCCAAGCGAGTCACCGACGACAGTCTCTCCCTCTCCTTCTCTCTCCTACCTGCAGGATCGCTTTCGTCCCTGAACCCTACCTACCTAATTAGTTCCTTTACCTGAGTGACTGGCCTTCGAATTGTTGGAGCCCTCCCGATGCTTGGCTAGCCCTTCCATTGGTTCAGCCTCCCCTTGTTCATTCCCCGACCAGCGCCTACGACCACCACCTACCTATTTTGCCTCCCCCTGTGACACTCGTTTCTTCTACTTGAAACTCCCCTCCTACTATATCACTCGCTAGCATTGGAGGTCTTACGGTAGCAGGAGCAATCAGCTCCTGGAGGACGCCAGGATGATTTCGGATAAGTATGTATTGTTTTCCCTCGAACGAGGGGTCTCAAGGACAGGTCACTAATCGCTCTCCGCGATCTACAGATATGTTGGCCTAGTGTTGGCCATTGTGTCCACAATGGCGATTGGTAGGTATTCTCGTCGCCCGATTCACTAGAGCAGTCTAGTAACCATTTCCTAGGTACAAGTTTTGTTATTACCAAAAAGGTTCGTCCGCCTTGACCTCCGATCACCAGTCGCCGGTGCCTTCTATACAAATCCCCCGTCTTCACCTTCGCCCTGCAGGAAATACTGATCGGTGTCATATAGGGCTTAATGCATGCCTCCGAGAGACATGGCTTTGAAGGAGAAGGGTTTTCGTATTTAAAGAGTCCCATATGGTGGGCTGGTGTGATCACTTGTATGGCTAATTCCTCCTTTACTCCGGACGCGAAAGAGGCCACTGACAATGGACCACAGTGGGTTTGGGCGAGGTTGCTAATTTTGCTGCGTATGCCTTTGCGCCTGCAATTCTCGTGACTCCGTTAGGCGCGCTGAGCGTGTTGATCGGGTACGGAAATTCATCGCTGTCTGGTCATTCGGGCATGACTTTGCTGACAACCATCCCCACAGGGCAGTCCTCGGCTCCTATTTTCTTAACGAACGACTTGGCACATTGGGCAAGCTGGGCTGTGCCATGTGCTTGCTCGGTTCCGTTGTCATAGTGCTTCATGCACCGCCCGACAAGGAAGTTACGACAATCAACGAAATCCTGGCGTATGCGCTCCATCCAGGTACGTGCCAATACCATTATTGTCATTCATTCTACCTAGCGCGCAATGCTGACCTCCATTGCTCGAAGGGTTTTTGGTCTACTGCCTCGCGGTGGCCATCTTTTCCACTGTCATGATCTACCGAGTTGCACCCATCTACGGAAAAAGGAACCCCCTCATCTACATCTCGATCTGCTCCACCGTCGGTTCCGTGTCAGTCATGTCCGTCAAGGCCTTTGGTATCGCGGTGAAGCTCACCCTCGGCGGCAATAACCAATTTACGACTGCGTCGACCTACGTGTTCATGATCGTTACGACCTTCTGCATCTTGACGCAGATGAATTATTTCAATAAAGCTTTGAATCAGTTTTCTACCTCGATGTAAGTAGCTACTTGTATCGTGTGCGCGCAAAGGGATACCCTGAGAAGCTGACAAGCATGCATCAGTGTCAACCCTCTCTACTATGTGACCTTCACCACGGCAACCCTGTGTGCCTCTTTTATTCTATTCAGGGGCTTTAATACTACGGACGCTGTAAACACCATCTCTTTGCTTTGCGGTTTCTTGATAATCTTCTCCGGAGTCTACCTATTGAACCTCTCCCGACATGACCCAGATGGGCGACACCTGCTGAACGGCAAGCTGGATGACGAAGGAGTTCCCACGGATGGAATTGCAAGCTTCCAGACTCGTCGCTCCATGCAAGCCCGCCGGAGCAACGAGCCTCATCGCCGGAGCTCCTCGAGCATCGCCTATCTTAACGGACATGGAGATCGGGAAGGGCTCATTCGATCCTATGACGTCGAACACCAAGCGTTCGGATTGTCCGAATTAGCTGAAGAGAGTGATGGAGAACCTGGGCCTACGTACAAAAGAAGCGTTGATATAGAGCGCTCTTCACAGACACTAAATAAGCATGACGAGCGGTAGTCATCTCAGGATACCGACTTGCGATGCTGTCATTTTTTCCTTTTTATTCCCTGTTTCTTTTAAATTATACTTTTTTCCTTTTTGTTTTTTTATTTTAACGAAAGCTAGCCGCTGTTACGTATGTTTTTTTTTTTTTTTTTCCTGCTCCTCTGATGGCATAAACCTCCCCTATCCATGATTCGTTTGTCTTTTAAGGTCAGCATGATTTGTTTACCTCTTTTTTTTTTTTTTTTTTGGATGGACTGTACTATTATATTCTCCCTAAGCGCAAAGAAAATGCCAGGACGAGGAACAATGGATGCCCATGAATGAATTGGATGTGGAATTGGATTGGATTGTTTGGTATCTCGCTGTACCCTTGATCGGGGGCTAGACGCAGGCGCAAATAGCCTACTGCCAAATCAGAACTGTACATACGCAAGAGTGTCAATTTTGGGATAGATTTCATGTGTCATTATTTCTTGGGATATTCCTAGTACATCGCGACCTCCATAATAGAGACGAATCTCGATTGACCGCTGGGGAAGTGGGGTTCTTGACCCATCCGATGGAAGTCACTTGCATCCGGGATCAGCTGAAACACCTACTCGTGGTCTTCCCTGCGCATCAACCCGCTTAACCTCGGGAATAATATGATGCAGTCGCAGGTACTGTTCAAACTATTCCGGGCTTTCCACTGTACGGGTCAGAGATTATTCCTGCGCTGGACCTCTGTCCCCTTAGTGTTCTGCCAAATTGGCCGCGACGCTCTCCCCACCTCTCAAAACCGATGCCGGCGATATGCCCGGTTTGTTGCGAAAGTTCATCATCTTCGCAGCCGTCGACGGGCTCATCCTCCAGTCTCATGGAAATGGGTTGCGCCATAACGGTAATAGCGAGCCCTCGTCCATTAAAATTGATTACAAGACCAGCAAAATCTCCTTCCCGGCACCCACGTCGGAACAGTACGAGCGAGACGCGATCTTGGAATCTTATGGTCTAGTCGGTAGGTTTCCGCTCGCACATAGACATTTCAGACAGGGATAAAAAAAAAGCCAAAAAAAGAGCAATATTGAATTGAATATTATTTCTCATTATTTTGGCGGACGTATTGGCTAACTAGGTGAGTCTGATTCTAAATTGAAGGGCTCCTGTCTGTCGCCTCACATTCGTTCCTCATTTCTATAACGCAACGCCAGCAAGTGGCGCAGATCCAAGGGAAGCCGATCTACTCAGTCACCGATGTGGCTCTGATTCCCACGTCATCGCAGGTAGACGCTCGCTGCGCGATTGTGCAGGCCAAAGAGCATCTTCTACAAGAGGAGGCTGGCGAGGATGACACCACTTCGGAGGAGAGCCTTTCGGACGCAGAGTCAGAAGGGGGTGTCACCGATATCAGCAGCATACCCTCCTCCCCGGTCCGAGAAACATTTCATATTAGAAGCCACAGCGTCAACAGTATCGCTGAAGATGTAATCGGGAAGAAGGCTCGGTTCGGGCGGTTTGCGGTAAATTGGCTGTCGAGGAAGACCTTGGGATTGCCTGGCCTCGGTACAGTAAGTCAGGATGCAGAAGTTCTTGTGGGAAATACGACGGATTCGAACAAGGAGCGCCCGGGGATTTCGTATAGCAAAGAGGAAAGCGCAGTAACCTCGGGTCCGGAAGCTAATGATACTGAGCGTTCAGCGCCGGAGGCTCCAGGAGAGCAGTCGCCTTCTGATCCGACGGTCGGACTGCTACCGAAACTTCTGCGGTATACCAAACTGATCTTTGCGTCACATAATTTCTTCTTTGCATATGATCACGATTTGACCAGGCCATTTGGTGTTCAAGAGTCATCACGCAAAGACCATCTACCTCTTCACAAAGCAGTAGATGAACTGGTAAGGGGAATCTGTAAATGAGCTTTGATGTGTTGAGCTCACGACTGATTGAATCCAGTATTTTTGGAATAAGCATCTCATCAATCCTGTCATAGCAATCGATGCCCACAACTTCGTGCTACCTCTCATCCAAGGATTTGTGGGCCAGAGAGAGTTCACTGTGGAAGCTACACCCGAGCATCCACCGACTCAGATAGTTGACTCGGCCAAAGAGCGCGTGGAAGGTCATATTTTAGGCGATAAACAAGAGCCCAATGTGTTTGATACTGACGCTCAGAGACGAAACTTCCTCCTTACGTTGATTTCCCGACGGTCAGTGAGGCGTCCTGGTCTGCGCTATCTGCGGCGTGGTGTCGACGACGACGGCAATACAGCCAACTGCGTGGAAACAGAACAGATTCTCTCGACTCCAGATTGGGATCCCTCGAGTTCGGTCTATTCCTACCTCCAACTGCGTGGGTCGGCTCCATTGTACTTCTCCCAGTCGCCCTATGCTTTTAAGCCAGTTCCAGTCCTACATCACTCTGTGGACACCAACCGATTTGCATTTGAACGACACTTTCGCAATCTACGTCGCCGATACGGGAAAGTCCAGGCCGTTTCCCTCATTGACAAGAAGGGTGGCGAACTGAAGTTGGGAGAACAGTACGAGAAATACGCGCAGGCCTTGAATGAAGCCGGAGGGATTGATGGCGAACCGCTCAGCGTAGAGTGGTTCGATTTCCACAATGAATGCCGGGGGATGAAATTCGAAAATGTAAGCCGGCTTGTTGATCGGCTGGAGAGTACCTTGAACGACTATGGCGATACTATAGTCCAAAACCATGCCATCCTCCAAAGCCAGAAAGGTATTATCCGCACCAACTGTATGGATTGTTTAGATCGAACGGGTGTTGCGCAGTGTGCCTTTGGGCAATGGGCCTTGGAGCGGGAATTGAAGCACGAAGGCATTGATATTGATTTTCGTGGCGACTCGTCCACTCAGTGGTTCAACACGCTCTGGGCGGATAATGGCGACGCCATCTCGAAACAATACTCTTCGACAGCAGCGCTCAAAGGGGACTTCACGCGGACCCGCAAGCGGGACTATCGTGGCGCGCTGAACGACCTGGGTCTAACACTGTCCCGATACTACAACAACATTGTCAACGACTATTTCTCCCAGGCCTGTATCGACTACATGCTCGGGAACGTTTCCACGGGAGTATTCCTGGAGTTCGCCACGGAGATGCAGACCGCCGACCCGGGGATCTCAGTGCAAAAGCTGCGCCAAAACGCCATCGACACGAGTTGTCGCATCGTGATCAGTGGTCCCTCGGAGGAATTCCTAGGCGGCTGGGCCATGCTGACCCCACGGGAACCCAACACCTTACGAACACTCCCCTTCGAGGAGGCCGTCCTCCTTCTAACCGACGCAGCAATCTACAGCTGCCGCTTTGACTGGACAATCGACAAGGTCCTATCCTTTGAACGGATTGACCTACGCTCCGTCACACGAATCCAGCACGGTACATACATCACATCGACCCTGACAGACGCACAGACCGACGAGCGCCGCAACGTCGGACTTGTCATCGGGTACCGCGACGGGGACACGAACGCACTTCGTGTGAACACGCGGTCCCTGCAGAGCAGCGTAGATGCCAAAACCCTCGAGAGCACCGCCCACTCCAGCAGCGAATGGGATCTGTATTCGTGGTTCAAAGAGGCTCTGGGACCCCGGACGCGATTCCTTGCGTTCAAGACGCTACCATTGTCCAACTCCGCCACGCAGACTCAGAATGCGAAGGCTTGTACGGCGGCAGTCGGCGAGATGGACTTTGTGCGCGCTGTCTGTGAGGAGATTGATCGTGCGATTAGGGCAGGCGAGAGGGGGAGTTCGAGTCAGGATGAGGGACGAAAGTCTGTCGTAGAAACGTCGGAGATAGTGTCCTTGGAGGATGCGAAGAAGCAAACGGGGTATTTGGAGCACTTGGTATATGATATTAAGAAGATGGTCTGGGCGTAGATACTTGCTGGGCTGATAGCTTCTGGGATACAATCCTAATGAGGATATACATGATTACAAGTGAGAAGAATATGTTTGATACCTGGACAGTAGATATCAACGACGTACATAAACAGACTTTTTAATTTAAGCTATATACGATTATCATACAATACACAACACTACCTGCAAAAATAATATACACCACTGAAATTCCCCAAACGGTATCCATCAAGTTCCATTTCTACCCGACATCCTCATCGCCGGCACCACAGCCCGTCTCAAAACAGTCTGCACATCGTCCTCAAACCCCCAATCACCCAACCACTCCTCCATACGCCAACCCTCCCGAAAGTGCCTGGCCAAATGATCGGCCCTCTCATCCCACGATGCCAGCGCCGTACCGCAGAATCCACAACGACTGCGCACTCGGTCCCGACAGGAGGATCTCCAGGCGTCGAGGTCCGGAACGGGCAGTTTCGTGCAGCCGTGGAATTTCCGGAGATGCTGCCAGAGGTGATCTTTTCGCGGGAAGGATCGTTGGCTGCGGGGCGTTTCTGAGCAGACGTGGAAGTCGTGTTCGGAGGTGTGTGTGGGGGAGGGGTGATTGCAGAAGTGGCAGGATTCGGATTCAGGTCCAGACCTAGATCCCGATTCAGGTTTGTGTTTGGGCTCGTGCCTGGATGTGGATGCAGATGTGGATTTGGAAGGTTCGAGGAGGTATGGTTCGAGGTCGAATAGACTCGGGGTGCAGATCCAGACGTCGAGGGGGAGATGGATGCTGGATTCGTGACGGGTCCAGTCGTTTTTCTTCTTGAAGGACCGTGGACAAAAAGTGCATTGGTATGAAGGGGTGGAGGAGGGTGGACGGAGTCGAGAGGATGAGGAGCGATGACGTAGATGTGATGGACGTCGGGGGAATGGGAGTGGGACGCCTCCGTCGGATTGGTGGCTCCATGTGGAAGAGACGCTATCAGATGAGGCGTCCGATCGTTTGCTACCGAAGCCGCCATCGGCCGACGAGTCCAGGTGTGATGAGGTTGAGGTTTGGGATTCGGGTTCGGGTTCGGCGAAGTTAATGAATGAGAATAACTCGTCGTGAGACGAGGGATCCCAGTCGTCGGGTCCTGCCGAGGAGATGGCGTCGCGGATGGCTGATTCGGGCACGGGGTCGTCTTCCGGGGGAGACGCCTGCCATCGTTCCAAGGGGGTCATGGAGGTCCATGACATGATGGGCATAGGGGACCCGGCACGGTGGGTGCGCACGGGGAGAGATGAGCCATTGAGAGAGGGTTGTTGTTGTATCCGTTTTTGTTTCTGACGTCTCCGCGCATTGGCAAACCAGGTGGAGATGCGTTGTCTTGAGAACCCTGTTTCATGCATCAGTTGTGCCTTCTCGTCTTCCGTGGGATACGGGCGGGCCTGGTTCTGGAGGAACCAAGCCCGCAGTACTCGTGTTCCCTTTCTGACGAATTGCTTGGATTCGAGCTCGCGTGGCTTGGTTTCGTCCGGAATAGTGGGTGGGCGGTATTCACATCCAGCAGGGATATCTTCACATATCTCACGGAGACCGTGAAGATGGCCCAGAACAGGGGACAAGGTCTCGAAGCCGGATGCCTTACGCTTTTCACCCTGGGCGAGGCTGCACTCGCGGAAGAGGGCGACGCAGCTGGAACATGAGGTGACAGGGTTGGGATTCGCCGCTGTGGTACGGATAATGAGACACTGTAGACGGTGTCTGCGACAGTATGTGCATGGGTTAGGAGGGCAGTAGGCACCATCCAACCACTGAGAGACGTCGGTGAGAGGCCTCTGGAATAGGCTATGAGCAACATCGACACCAGGATTGGTGTCCAACGGCTGCATGGGCAGGCCCTCAAGCGGCTGCGGAATTGTCGTGGCCGTCATCCATGGTTGAGAAGCCCATTGTACCTCTTGGGGCCGTATTCAGCAGAAGAAGTAGTAACACTGGCACTAGCAGTAGTAGTAGTACTGTTGTATAGTTCAGGGTGGTATAGTCCGTCCCAGTCAAGAAGCAGCTCTTCTCCGGTCCAGCTGTTGACGTCGTTCAAGTCTGGAATAACGCTGCCACCTGAAGGACCGGCTTGAAGACCAAGACTCAGCGGGGTTTGTAAGGGATCCCAATGCAAGCGATCATTCTCCATGGCGACAGTGCAGAGAAAGAGAAATCAATTAATCATCGTCGATGTCGACAGAAGGCACGTTGATGACTCAGCGAATTGTTGCCTAACTAACCTGGCTCAGCCAATCAACGCTATCTTCATTTTGTATTCAATCCATCTAAGTACTATGTACTATAGATACAATCTTCCATCAACCCCATCTCCCTCTATGTATCCATCTACTGGCCCTTTTTCCGAATATCCTTCCATCCCATTCCCCATGCAGATGCAAGTCCAATCCCTGAAAGTCCCACCGCAAGATAGAACACACGGCCCACACTTGTGGCATAAGCCGTCAATGTCCCTGCTAATGCCGTTGTCGATGTTACTACATCTCGCACAGAAGAAGCCCCGGCTCCAATGACCGTCTCAGGATCGATTCCTGGTGCATACCAGGGGATCTCCGTTCGAAGACTGGCGGAGAAGATCACATTGGCGATCACTAGGAACACAGCACCACCGAGAGTCTGACAGAACATGAGAAGAGCCATGGCAACGGGGATTTGCGCGGGTGACAGGGTGTTTTGAACGGCGACGATGGGCTGTGTGGATTGTCGGTCAGAGCATACTGGGTGATTGGGAAGATGGACTCATCCACGCATACCACTTGAAACCCAAGACCGCGGCCGGTCCCAATTAGGATCTGATAACCGATCCATTTGCCTGTCGAGGTGGATGGGGTGAACGTCGAGATGAGTCCGTTCCCAATGGCGGTGATTACACTAGAAGCTACAGCCCATGGGAGGTAATAGCCCAGCTTGCAACTGTATTGGAGAAAGAAGAGGAGGGGTTAGCTGTCGAGTGAGAAACTTTAAAGATGTAAGACTCACCCAGTGCTCCGCAGATTACCGTTCCTACTAGCTGGCTTAGAACGGTGGGCAGGAGGTCGACTCCACTCAATGTAGGTGATACTCCCTTCACAGCTTGGAAGTACATCGGCAAGAAATAGGAGGTGCATAGTGTCATGCCTATGAGCGACGTCTGATTTACACAACTCGTCCAGACAATCCGCTGTCGAAGCATAGGTAGAGGGGTCATTGCTTGGCCACCCTGGCGGCTTTCCCAGTAAAGGAAGATCAGAAAGGTCACACCAGCTCCACAGAAGAGTCCGATGATCATGGAGCTGTTCCAGGCATATTCGTTACCGCCGTACTCCAGTGCCAGAAGTAATTGGATTGCGGAGGGTGCCAGGAGCGCAAATCCAACGAGGTCAAGCTTGGATGGCAATGTGGCAAGAACAGAAAGCAGGGATGTTTTGACTACCGGCTCGGGGATGTTCAGAAAGAGTAGAAAGCCAGCGACAACAGCGCCGATAGGGAGGTTTATGTAGAAACCTACATCATTTCAGCCCGATGCTATATCGAATGGGTATGGGCTAATTGACATACACAATCTCCATGTGACATGTTCTGTGAACGCTCCTCCGAGCAAAGGCCCAATGACAAGGCCCATCTGGGCGACTATTCATATGTAAGTTAAAGCCAATGCTTGGGTTCGAAGATAACTAACTGCCCATCATGATCCCCATGTGCACTAGTATACGACCGCTGATGTCAGTCCCTGTCTTCCATAGCTACTGAGAACACTCACTTGGCCTTTTTTCCAGCGGAGTAGAATTTGCCAGAATAGACAAAGCTCCGTTGTTCAAGCCTGAAGCTCCCATGCCAGCCACTGCTCGTCCAACAATGAGCATCTTGGAAGAGTTGGCAATTCCACACAGCAGAGAACCTAGCTCAAATATGGCCACACAGGAAAGGTACATCCACTGCGCAACAAAATCAGCCTGGAAAGACAGAAATGATGGGGCCAGGTCAAACACGGTGCACACTACCTACCTTTGAGGGAAAAGATGCATAGAGTTTTCCAGATAGGGGTTGTAATGAAGCACTAAAATGATTAACCATGGCCCTAACCTCCTGACGGTGATCGCCTTACCAGGCCAACTGATATGCACTGCCGTACCATCCCAGGTCGGGGAGCGAATGGAATTGACTTGTAATTTGAGGAATGGCCTGCCAACCGATCAACAATGGTTCATGGGTTTCGCTGATCCTCGTACGGGTGACCGTTTGCCCTTACAGTCGCAATAATTGACTGATCTAACAAAGTGAGAAATGTCATCAGCGTGACAGCCGATATGAGCATAAGCACCTTCACTCCGGTGGCATAGTTATTGTCTATGACTTTATCCTGTTTTACACCATCCGTGGAAGATTGGAGACCCCGCCTTGTTTCCAGTTGAAGTTCCACCGTCTGCTTTTCGGGGTCTTGACTAGACTCGGTCATGATTTCGAAGGGATAGCCGCAGTGTCAATCTTGAAAATGAGCTCTCGAATGCACAATGAGCTGATCAGGAACCTGCTAAATGGGTTTTGCACGTTATATACTATGATTTCCAGCCCCTAAAATAATTCTGCGGCGGGGTTGATGGCTCTCTCGATCCGAAGTCCGTCGGATTCTGTTCAGCACTGCTCAGCAATCCAACGGTGAATGAGCATCCATTAGTAAACAGATACGCTGATTAATGTGATCAAGTATTAGGGGCCCATTGTAGTTACCACTATCGCTATCAGACGGTCTTACTAGCCATTCTCGGGTCATACAGGGTACTGCATCTAGGGCTCCATTGGGTATCTAATATCATACATTAACCGCCTAATCTAGCACATCGTCCGCGCAGATCGCTACTACATTGTAGCCAATAACTCCGTCAACCAAGCATCATTTGCAAAATCCATGGGGAACTTCAGTGCGTCCTCCTTCTGCTCTTTCTCAATTGTGTGAGTAGCGAAAGGGGCAATGTTGCCAGCTTGCGGGTCTGGAGTCATGGACGAACGAGCATCAATTATCTCCTTCATGATTTTCACAAATGCCACCACTTTATCAAAGATACTATCGTCAGGAGAATCACAGATGCATTCCGCTGACACTTGTTCAAGTTTTTGGGCCAAAGTCTGGAGCACCTCCGACATGTCGATGGTGGTTCTAACAAGCTCTCTGTTCCAACCGGGCTCTTTCAACGTCGACAGCTTGTGCAGAATAAAAAGAAAGTGTGTCAGCGCAGGGAATAGAGGAAACGGCCCCCTCCCATAGTCGGCGGCTGGGAGAGCGGACGTGATATCGAACCACGACTTGACAGCTTCGAGGCATTTATACAGACCTTCAATGCGTGTAAGTTCAGGGGCTAGTTGGTCAGACGATGTGGAACTACCACAGAGACTATTTTCCCATATAATTAGCTGAGTGTGCGAAACGCTGAGTCGGATCGCGTGTGGAACTGTCACTCGTGTTATTACTGAGATACTAAACACATGTGGGCGAATCTTACTGTCATGCTTTCCCCTGGAGGAAATATCACGCTGTGTCTCCTGCAGTTCGGAATCCAGAGCTCGCATGAGGAATATGGGTGGCGGTTCTGGAGAATGAAAGGAATGATCATGGCGCGAGAGCTGGCCCGCCTTATCAGCAATCAACCGGGTCCGGATGAGTAGCACAAGAATTGTGTCCTGGGAATACTCGGGCTTGTCAGCCATTATTTGAAGTGATTCCGCCATATGGGATGTCCAACGTAACCCATCGATTCTCTGCTTATATCCCACAATTCTACATAGCTTCTCAGTCGGCAGTCCAGAATGAAGGGGAGATGACCCTACGTTGATGTGACGTAGTAGCAGCCGAGCACTGCTCGCCGTTCTTCCATTGTTCGAACCCTTGCACCCGGTGATTTGAGACCAAGCGAAACAAAAAAACCACATATCTGCATGGGGCATTTGAAACCACTTAGATGTATCTGACCGGGGTCAACGGGCCGCTGGTTTTGATCCGCGGTGATGGATTTGTTGAGACCCAGATCGAAGACCAAGGCCTGCGCCAGCTGACTGAAGAGCGAGAAATATGATTTGTAGTTTTGCATGGAGGGATTGGCCCTATGAACGAATAAGACCCCGGCTCCATACATCATGAAGCGGTTCCAACAGTGACCCACATTCCAAGGTAGACCAACAGTCCCAGCAGTAAGTCGAGAGATCTCTCATTCGCAAGCAACATTCTCTGCGAAACAGTCTCCCTCACGCGGAATCCAAGGACCTTCTGCTGGGTCGTCGACAAAGATAAGACGGCCTTGATACACAGCCAGAGGAAAGGTTGGGATTTCTCAAACTCCTGGACCGTGATGTGTGGTGATACGTAAACAAAGGGGAACACGGTCGCACAGTAGGTACGAAATCGATTCAGGACGTCCTCTGCTTGCAACGACACTACTTGCGACGACTGCAGGTAGGCGTCTGGGACCGATGGCGATTGATAGAATGAAGAGGCATTGGGTATCGTTGACATGGGGGGGATGATAACCTATAATCCAAAGGTGTCGGCTGTGAGGCCATACTCTGGTCTTTACCTAGCAGAGAGACGAGGCTATCAATTCGGGCCTCCAACTGCGCCGTTTTAGATTCCCTCGGGCGTTTGGGATTCCGTTTACGAACGCTCGCAGATGGGCGACAGTCTTTTCGTAACCGGTGACATCTAGAGCCATTTAGTTTGATCATCCAGTACCCAAGCTTTTCTAAGGGGAGGAACCTCTCGCAGCTTCCACCGGCATTCCGAACCATGCATTTACACTTGGCACGGACACAGTTCGCGCAGGTTTGGCCATACGCGGCCGGTTTGAGGGACACTACAGCTGGATCGGAATTCATGGGCTCGGATTATCTTCAAATAATTACAGGTCCAACGGAAATGGACGGCTGTAGAAATCGCCTGGAGGATCATCTGCATGGAGAGGAAAAAAACGAAGGATGGAAATCCGTCGGGATTCGGAGAGCCGTTTTTAACACTGGCAGGGATTTGATCGCTTAATTGGCGTGTAATTGTTGCCTAAAACTGAAAAACACCGCAGCTTGTAGCTCATTTATAGTGAGATATCTTTTGTATGACTGTTGCCGTCGCTTATATCGGCACCTACAGTCGATCAACACAACTCTTTCGGCTTCATCATGTCTTCTGCTCCTCCACCGGTTACCAACAAGGCCCCTATTGTTCCCCAGCACCCAGTCGTGAGCCAAACAGGGCTGCCGGGAGCTTTCATGGTCGAGCTGCTCATCTTCAACGGTGCTCCATTCAAAGACCACTGGGCATACTGGGTGCGGTCGCTCACCGATCGTGACATCGGCGTTGAGATACACGCGACCGGCTGACGTGAGGAATGGCTTCGAGTTCCAGATCAAGCGCAGCTATGATCTGAGCTATCCAGGCACCGGCCCACGAAGAGAATCCCGCTGCAATGGGTCGACGGGAGACACTTTGAGGAGAAAGTTATGTTAAATAGCGCAGAGTTCAAGCTTGATGACATACCAGTTTGTACATTTGAGGCGAGTGCGTACAAGGTCAAAGTTCCTGGGAAGACTTTGAATGCATTCCATGAAGGAGCATCGACGAGAAGCAGAAAGAGGATCACGCTGAGGGACTGTCAAACATGGATTGTTGAGTCCGCCGATCAGCTCGTTCAGGACCAGATCTTTCGTCAAGAAATGGCGGACTAACTTCATGCGATTGAGCAGTGATTCATCAAATACTTGCTTGTGCTATGCCACCCCACATCACTATTTGGGCCAGAAAGGATTGAATTGTGCCGCAGATGTAGTTCTTGCTCTCTAGTGCAAAGCATTGCCTGTATAGGTCTTCCACATACGATTCCACGCCTCATATCAAACTTCAAATCTACAAGTACAGCTTTGTCATCGACACAACACTTCAATCAACTTCGTGTATATCCTCTCGTGCTGCCGGATACTCTCCACCTCTACCCACTCCTCTTTGCTATGCAATCCCTCGCCCTTTGGACCAAGCACAATAGCCGGGATCCCAACCTCGTCCAACAAAGCAGCGTCACACCAAAACGGCACAATACCAAGCTTCGGGCGGCTCCCCAGGACAGTCTCCGCACAGGCAAGCGCCTGTTTGACCAGAGGGTGCTCTACCGCCAGTTTCTGCGTCGGACGAGACATGGTAATGCGAGGCTCCGCGAAGCGGAAAAGAGGATTCTCACGGGCAACGCTCTCCAACATCGTCGAGACGTCACTCAGAATCGACTCGTCTGACTGACATGGAATTGTGCGGAATTCCACCGTCACGGTGCATGTAGCCGGATATGACGATGGCTCTTCACCACCTCGGATCAATCCACAGTGCAGAGATGCCGACCCCAGAGTATCGTCCACGGGTAATTGTTGCTGGTACTGTTCAAGGGCGCGGAAGAACCAGCTGGTAGATAGAATCGCATCGACGCCTTTTACTGGATCAGACCCATGAGCTGCTACTCCCAGGATATCGACTTCCACCCATAAGAATCCCTTGTGGGCCGTGACGATCTTCCCCATCGTGGGTTCAGGGACAACCGCTGCATCAGCTCTCCATCCTGCGGCGAGAAGATCGCGCGTCCCCCGCGAGGCATCTTCCTCGTCAGAAACAGCGGCCACAATCACATCGCCACGAGGGATTTTGCCAGTCGCTTTGATCGCAGATACCGAGGCCAGGGCAGCCGCCAGGCCCCCCTTCATATCGAGACTGCCTCTGCCCAGCACCACTTGTCGACCGTTCTTCTCGCCCAAAGCCCCAGAAAGGGGGTCTTTCCCATAGCTGGCTAGACTGACCGTGTCTACATGGCCATTAAACATCAACGACCGGCCTCCACCGGCCCCGCGTAGGACGCCCACAATCGACGGTCGTCCCGAAACGGTTTCAAGACGGTGATACTCGATGTCCCGATGGGCGAACCAAGCTGCCAGATAATCAGCGATTCCGACTTCGCCCGCCCCATCCGTCATAGTCAGAGATGGATTGGAGGAGTTGATCCTGGTGAGCACCTGAGTCAGCTCGACAGGATCATCCACGGAGACATCCATAGGAGGTGTGTATGGCCGGGGACCCTCGGTCCCGAGAAGGACCAGAACGGAGTCCTTGTCTAACAGTGAGCCAGTCTTGTCCGCAGAAAGTCGCCGGAGCGCAGCCAGCGATGCACCACCACAGGGCCCAGCGGCGACCGACCGGGCACTCAGATACTGCAGTGCACAGTGTGTCTCATACGACGACACCGTAATGCAGGCGTCCACACAGCGCTGCATGTCGGGCCACGCAGTCGTTGAGACCGTCCCGCAGTTCATACCTTCCATGATAGTCGAGGAAGTTGTTACGGTCGTTTCCTGCCCGGCTTGCAGGCTGGAGTACAGAGAAGGCGCTGTGTCTGGTTCCACCGCGACGACTGATATAGGTGGCTCCCTTGATTTGCCGTATCGGATCACAGCGTGAGCTAGACTGCCCACACCCACCGGGACCATCATGAGACTGCACCGGAGGGATTGATGGGCTAACTGCTCCTCAATTTCGGTCATCATTGTGGAATACCCCTCCACAATCCACGAGGGAACCTCCTCGTAACCCTTAAACGCCGTATCCTGGATCAAAATCCCTCCTTCGGTGATACGAGCAGCGTCCGCTGCTTCCTGCACCGCTTGATCGTAGTCCCCATGGACCACGGTTACACTCGCACCCTCACTGCCGATTAGCGCCTGCGTGGAATCGACCATATGCTGAGGCACGAAGATGCGTGCCTGTATACCCAACCACTGTGCGATGAACGCCACTGCTCGTCCATGGTTCCCTTCTGTCGCTGCGAACAGTGTGATCTTCTTCTCTCCCTGTAATGCCGACAATAGACCCTTGACCCCCACTGTGGATGACAATCCCAGATGCTGGGCGATAGCCCGATAGCAACCCCACGACGCCCCTAGGACTTTAAACGCCGGCAACCCCAACCGATTGCTCTCGTCTTTGACGAACACTGCACGAACACCCAATTCATGAGCCAATTCTGGCAGAGGAATCAGGAGAGTGGGTGCATAATCTGGCAGAGACTGGTGGAATGCTTCAAGACCGTCGACCTGGAGCGAGTCGCAATGTGTGTTCGCTGCGGCAGAGTTGAAATAGATAGGGCGACGAGCTGCCATGGTAATGTTGATGATCACATTTAGGGAATTAGGATTGTCCGTCGGGTGTCGACTGGCCTTTATTCTGGAATTCTGGTGCTCATTAATGGTCCACCTGGCCTTCCGAGGACATCTATGCGCCTTCCAGTGACATGGACATTGTCGGACATGGTTTCGGCTTTTTTATTTTTTTTTTTCAAAAAATAAAACAAAATAAAATAAATATAACAAAATAATACAATAATAGAAAAATGAAAAATGAAATTAGCGTTAAAAGTAAATAGTAAAATAAAATAACGAAAGAAGGAAGGAAGGAAAATGGTTTTATTCACCGCTATTAATTATTCTCAATTCAACTGAGAAGTCTCAAGGTAGTCAGTCATTATAGGTGGTATGCATACAAGTATGCACTAAATAGCTAAAGAATCAACAAATGCCTGAACCACATTGATTGGGTATTCTCCTTCTGGAGACGCGATGGAATAAGCTGGATTTCTTTTATTCAAGAATTGAATCGATGGAATTGGTAGCGATATTTAAGCACCTTGCGATGATATCAATTGGAGAAAACTACAATGATGGCTCTCGATTTGTTGAAAAACAAAACAAAAGAGAGGGCGAAGAGATGAGAATAGAACAGAATAAAAAGAAGCGAATCATTAGTAAAAGGTTAAATTAAAATATGCCAGAGTCGAATACAGTCCTATCCTGTCTTCCTTACTACTGTCCTCCTACCCAGACTGTCGTAAATTAAATAGATCAAAATAAAATCAAATATTATGCAATCTCCCCGAATCCAAGTATTACAAAATCATAGGTATTCGAGTCTGGAGAAAAGGATGTGCCACTACAACGTCTTCTTGACCTCTGCTGCCACGTAGCAGCGATCATCTTTACCCTCGACCTCTTTGACGAGTTGTTCCATTTCTTTCACCTGCTTGCGGATCTCTTCATTTTTCATCCGCTTTTCACGGTCAAAGAGCTCTGGATTCGGCTTCCGGTAGCTTCCCCCAATGCGATCCCAGAGGGTCGTGAACTGTCCGTAGTTGTAGTTGAAGTAGTAATGGTGGATGGTGTGGCATGCAGATCCGTTCACTACCGGCGAATCTAGGGCGTATTCTCCATCATCTGCTCCTAGTCAGCCAGGGGGATCAATCCCAAGTCCCACCTGGGGGAGAGTGATCCGGTGGAGATCAGGTCACTCACGAATCATCACCGTCCAGATCGTCACGAAGACAAAAAGGATCAAGTAAGCTCCCTTCTGCAGGGGAAACAGGAACGGATACAGATGGTAGGGGAAACTCTGGCTAAACCCATCCAAGGGATGAAACGCATAGCTAGCATAGGGGGTTGAGATGATCCACTTGTGGTGGGCTTTGTGCAGATGCTTGTAGACCCAAGGGTGGTGCAAACCACGGTGGATAAAGTAGATGCCGAAATCGGTGAAGGTGATGAACAGTGGAAATTGGAGATAGGTATACAGCGGGAAGGGACCTTCGTCGGCGAAGTCATACAGCTTCGAGTACCCTCGTACCTCTGCTACAAAGCACAGGGCCGTCAGAACGGCCATTCCCGGCATGGATTTCATCGCCTGCTTGATCTCCAGGCTGATTTGGTTTCGGAGGAACTTGGGATGATTCATGATGCGTTTGTCGTAGACGAAACAGTATGACAGAGTTGAGGTGATAAAATAGAGAATGACACCGAACGCCCTAATCCGGGGGAAATTCTGCACCATCAGTCATTGCATCGGGCATTGTTCAAAGGAAAGAGGGGGCTAGATGCCGACCATGCAACGAGAAACAGACTCAGTCCCTGCCGGAAGATATTATCCCTCGGCCAGCTGCTTTGGACCGCCCACTGGGATGGAGTGACCTCGACATATCTATTGATATTCTGGTTCAGAGCACCAAATTCGGTTTTGTTGAGAGACAAATGATTATGAAGTAGTTTGCCCGCAGGTTTGGGAAAGACGCTGGCGTAGAGTCGGTCGAGTACCAACGTGTCAAACACATCTAAAAGCACGTCCATGATGTCGACATTGCCTGAACCATGAGAGATCGAAGGGTATAAGGAGAGGATCAAGAAACTGTGATGAATAAATGGTACGAAAGTCCGTTAAAAACGCAGGGCGAATAGATTTGCTGGCCCTGACACGTGAGGCCGGAAACACGAGTTCCGCAGCGATGGGGGATGGGTTGATATACGATATACGGTGTGCCTGCAAAAACAACAGGCGATAGATTCATCCCCAGTCCTAAGTCCAACTGTCCAACAGCATCTCTACCCGGTCGGTGGATCCCCCTAGGTTGGTCGATGGGGTCCGACTCACCAACTGCTTGTTTATTTTTATTAATCTCCCGTGTCTTCGGGGTACTGGGCAGTGGACGCATCCCGAACGGTTCATTCCAGAATAACAACATCTGATCAGCAAGACTTTGCTCAGAAGTTCCCTCTTGGGGGATCAGAGCAGTGGATGGTCAGAGCTCTGTTCATGGTCAGAGCTCTGTTCATGGTCAGGACATGTCAGATGGGCATAGACAGTATAGTTCTTCTATGACTCCTATGAACCTTTATTGACCTGCAATCTACCCATCAGCGTCTAAGACCCCTTCAAGTTGTTAAATGCATCCCAGCAAGTCCAGGTGCTGCATTTCTCTGGTAGTCCAGCCCTGAAATTTTTCGATTACTGCCGGATTAGCATCCAACTGGGCTAATGCTCAGCCTGTGCAGAGAGGATAATGCAAATACCGTTACAACTCGAGCAAATATATCACTGTATCATTCCATTCAACTGAGGAATTCGACGCTTAAGCTTCAAATGGATGACAGCTGATCTACAACTTATATCTGTCTCATCAACTAAATCTCTCGCTCAGGTAGTTGATCGAAAACCAGCCCTAAACCTCTACGAATGGAAAATTCGATACTTTTGCAACAACAATTAGATGGTCACTTCCAGGGCATGGTACCAGGATTCTGTCAATAGTGTTTATCATTCTCCCTCTCAAGATGAAGGCGATACGTGTAATTCGTAAGCGGCGACATGCACGTGACTAGATACAGAGCGGCGTTGGTTGATACCTGAAGAGGCAGGTGTATGATACGCGTCTGTATTTTACAGCATCACATCATCATTGTGAGGAGGAAGAGAAAGAACAAACGAAGAATAAAGGATTCAACCATATTCCCTAAGTCATAACCTCTCCTATTATTGTTCTTATTCTTCTTCTTCTTTTTTATCTTTTCCATCTTCGTTGTCTTATCCCGTTGGCTCTGTTCCTAGACGTCCTTCTGTCTCGTATTGTATTGACCATTTCCTCGTCAATTCGGGCGTTTTGGCCAACCGCCCACTTACTGACTGCTTTGCCATCCTGTCTGTCCCCTTTTCATTCCTGATTTTTATTGTTATTTTTGATGTTCCTGACGTTGAATTAATTGATTGACTGGTTTGATTGATTTTATTTTTTATTTTTATTTCTTCTCCTTTTCCTTTTTCCTTCGGGAAAACCCCCTCCCCCCCAAGAAGTGAGAGCAAGACCAAAAAAAAAAAAAAAATTGAGTCGCTGCCCAGAGAAGAACGGCGGGGTTTCTCGTGCGACGCACATCCACACACTCTCCCCCCGGCGCTTTTCCCTTTCGCACCACTACAGCTCCCCCCCCCGGTATCTCCTCCTGTCTGCACGATGGACTGGCACCCTCAGGATGAGCCATTGAGGCAGCTGGCCTGCTGTCTTCGTGACTCCTTGAATCCTTATGACCGTAATGCTCAGAAACAGGCCGAACAGGTGCGTTGAACTTAAGTCGGAGGCATTGCTTTCCCTCGTCCTCGTCCCTCTTTCATCTCCTCCCTTTCTATGGATTCCCTCCCTATGGTCTCTATCATCGAAGCGTATGACTACCTCGGACTAACTTGGAGTCTGTTCCCTCGCGGTGTAGATGCTAGTACAAGCAACCTCCGCGCCCGATTATGTTAACTATATCACCTACTTGTTCAGTACTCCGCAGAGTCCTGCGGTGGTGGCCTTTGATGAGAGCACTTGGAACATGGTTCGTTTCGCTGCGGCGATGAACCTGAAGACGAAAATCCGCGTGGCATACAACACCGTCGCCCAGCCCTGCCTGTCGTTCATCCGGTCGGCGACCCTCCAAGGACTTCGCGACGAGAACTCCCAGGTGCGAAACTCGGCCGGAAGTATTATCACGGAGCTGGTTCAACAAGCGGGACTACTGGCATGGCCCGAAGTTCTCCACGAGCTGTTGAATCTGGTGGACAATCCCTCGAAGGAGCACCCAGTCCTGGCGCAGGAGGCTGCCATGTCGGCCCTCGCAAAGGTCTGCGAGGACAACCGCAAGATCCTCGAGCGCGACTACCAAGGCCATTGCCCCCTCGACGTCATCATCCCGAAACTGCTGGAGTTCACGTCGAGCGAAAGCGCCAACGTCCGCGCCACAGCCCTCAAGACCATCCACATCTTCCTTCCACACCGGCCGCAGGCGTTGGTGGCGTCGATGGATCTCTTCTTGTCACAGTTGTTCCAGCTCGCCAACGACTCTAATACGGATGTGCGCCGCACAGTATGCCTGACTTTTGCCCAGCTCGTGGATTTTGCCCCGGAGAAACTCATCCCGCACATTGGAGGACTGGTCGACTACATCATTATGCAGCAGCATGACCCGAAAGATCCCGAACTCGCCCTTGACGCCGCCGAGTTTTGGCTCGTAGCCGGAGAGCAGGTGAAGTTACAACAGCCGTTGGCCCCGTATATGCCCAGGATCGTCCCCGTGCTGCTTCAAAGTATGGTCTATGACGAAGATGAGGCTCTCCGCCTGGACAAGGAGGGAGAGGACGCCGAGGTGGAAGACCGTGCCGAAGACCTCAAACCTCAGTTCGCAAAATCCAAGGGCTCCCGATTAGATTCGTCCAAGGCGGATGGGCAAGCCAACGGCAACGCGCGTGCCGAGGCTGAGGATGACGACGACCTCAGCGAGGGCGAAATTGAGGACTCTGAATTTGGAGACGATCCAGAGGACGAATGGACTTTGCGCAAGTGCTCCGCTGCCGCCTTGGACATCTTTTCAAACGTCTATCACCAACCGATCTTCGAGGTCATTCTGCCGTATTTGAAGGAGACCCTGCGCCATGAGCAGTGGCCCCAGCGGGAAGCGGCCGTCCTCACCCTGGGCGCGGTCGCAGATGGATGCATGGATGCTGTCACCCCCCATCTTCCGGAGCTTGTCCCCTACCTCATCTCGCTCTTGAACGATCCGCAGCCCGTTGTGCGACAAATCACCTGCTGGTGTCTAGGCCGGTATTCCGAATGGGCGTCGCACCTGGACAATCCGTCAGAGAGAGCCAGTTTCTTCGAGCCGATGATGGATGGAATCCTGCGTCGAATGTTGGACAACAACAAGAAGGTACAAGAGGCAGCGGCGTCTGCGTTCGCCAGTCTTGAGGAGAAATCAGATGTCAACTTGGTCCCATACTGTGAGCCGATTCTCCGACAGTTCGTGCAGTGCTTCGGGAAGTACAAAGACCGAAACATGTACATCCTGTACGACTGTGTCCAGACCCTAGCCGAGTGCGTCATGGGAGAGCTAGCGAAGCCCCACCTTGTTGATATCCTCATGACCGCACTCATCGACCGCTACAACAAGGTCTCGGATCAGTCTCGAGAGCTCTTCCCGCTGCTGGAATGTCTTGGGTATGTCGCTGCTGCCTACGGTGACGCGTTCGCTCCTTTCGCTCCTCCTCTCTTCCAGCGGTGCACCAAGATCATCTATGGGAATCTGCAGGAATACATCGCATCGGTCAATAACCAGGGCATCGAGGAACCGGACAAGGATTTCTTGGTCACCAGCCTGGACTTGCTGAGTGCCATCATCCAGGCCATTGATCCGCAGAAGAGCGGCGAGCTAGTGGCCAACTCGCAGCCTCGTTTCTTTGACCTGCTCTGCTTTTGCATGGAGGACCCAAACTATGAAGTTCGTCAATCGTCGTACGCACTGCTGGGCGACTGTGCCATCAACATTTTCCCTCAGCTCGAACCATTTATCCCTAATATCATACCCACGTTGATCAAGCAGCTTGACCTAGACCTGATCCGGGACGACGAACGGTACACGGGCTTCAGCGTGTTGAATAATGCGTGTTGGTCGTGCGGAGAGATTGCGGTCAACGAGAAGGCGGCGTTGTCACCGTACTTGGACAAACTTTATCACGGCTTGCTTATCATCCTCAACAACGAGGAAATCATTGACTCGGTCAATGAGAACGCCGCAATGGCTTTGGGACGCCTGGGGATCTGCTGCTCGGATCAGCTGGCCCCTCGTCTCAGCTCTTATGCCGCGGTTTTCCTGAAGTCGATGAGCAAGATCGACTTCACGCGGGAGAAGGCATCCGCCTTTTTGGGCTTCAATCAGGTTGTCATGAAAAACCCGCAGGCGATGGAATCCAGCCTTGGTCAATACTTTCAGGCAATTGCCTCGTTTCCCAGCAAGTCGCTCAGTCAAGAGGACTACCGTGACATCCAGAGCTCATTCCAGCAGGTAAGACTTGTTAATTCTACGTGTGGCCGGTGAGAGGGGCAGCACTGACAACGAAGTAGGTGCTGCAAGGCTACAAAAATATGATACCCAACTTTGATTCCTTCCTCTCGCAGCTTCCGCCCAATGTTGCTCAGAAGCTTCGTTCTGTATATCAAGTTTAGATCTATATCCGGCATTGTTAGTGGTTCATGATGACAAAATCCATGGCGAAAGGCGCACTAAAATTGCTATTTTATTTTCCCTTGAAGTTCTGATGCCTCATTTTTGACCCAATGTCTAAATGAATTCTATTGGATGACGTGGTCAACTGATGATTTCCTTGATCTTTTTTCCCCTGCATGGCGTGTTCGTCTTATTTTTTCTTATTTCTCATCTTTTTTTTTTTTTTTTTTTGCCCTGTGCGGATCTCCTGTCAGGAATTGCATAGAGCAAGGCCTAAGGACTGGAAGCGTCGAGTATGTAGGAAGCAGGGAAGATACTCCTTGAGGGCTATATACAATCGACGAGGGAAGGACGCCATGACGCGATGCATAATGGACTGATTCATGATGGACGAGGATTTCTGTATCATTTGGTAGATAGACTACGCAAACAAAAAAAAATCATATAGTTTAGATAGATCAGCGGGGCGACTACTCCAATTTTCTTTTACTCTTTTTCTTTTCTTTTTCAATTCTTTTTTTTATGCCCCTTCCATTCCTCCAAACGTGATCAGGCTAAAGCTACCCTTCTCAACGTCTTCCCCCTGAGGGCCCAACAAAAACAGAAACAGATCAAGGTAAAGATGCTAAGTATAGACAACGTTTAATCTCAGTGACTCGGGATCATCTCCAGTCAGCCGCACATCACCCCTGAATCTCTGCACTCTACCCATGTCTGCATCCTCACAGCCAACAGGTCAGGATTTGCTAGGCAGGAAAGAGATAAATAGTTAGATTAGATTAGTTAGTCAATCAGTCTGGAAACTGGAGAGAATAGTTCCAAAATTATATCCGGACCCCACGCGAGACCCACCAAGGATAGCGTCGGCAAGAAGTTAGCGATCAAAGCAATCATCGATCAATCGCGATATGGCACCCATCCAGGAAGGACGCGTGGGGGGGATGTATGAGAGTGAATTGACCACCAAATAGTAGCGTGTGTTTGTGCTACTGTCCAGGATGACTTTAGAATTATAGATAAAAAAAGATGAAACGGCCGATCTGGTTGTCAAGACCCTTAGTCTGTGGTTTAGTTTTGCCGACCTTCTTGGGACTTTGCTTATAGAGGTTAGTGTGTGTTCTGGAGAATGTACTTTGAGGGCCCAGTTACAGAGTAAATTGACTGAGTAAGGTAGGTAGGAAGGTAGAAGCCACTAGGCAACGAACTAGGCACTTCCAGAGGTAGGGGTATGTGCAAGACCACACAGCCTAGTTGGGTTCCCCTTTCGGCTGCATCAGTCCATCAAGTGCTTAGACAGGTAAGTCGGCAGAGACTGAGTGGAGAGTCCAGGAAGAGACTAACTATCTCTGGGGAAGAGGGTAGTAGAGCTGACGAATCAACAGTATCGTCCCAGTGGAAATGAATGATGCTTCTGTTGCTTTTTTCCCTCCTCCCCCCGCGCACGTCCCTGGGGAAAAAAGAGGGAGAGGGTGGGCTCGTCAAGAGAGCCATCTTGGGTAAGGCGTGGCTTGGCAAAATTCGGAACGGAAGCTGGTGAGGCTCCGGGAGGCGTTTCACATGGAGATTCTTCCATTACGCGGTCGACTTTACCCGCGACATAAGGATCGGTATGGATCCGTATGGACTAGGACGAAACGGTCTAGTATGGTAAGTTAAGTTTCCTTTGTTTGTTTGCTTTGTATGTATGATCCGCCTCCGAGTCCGACTCCGTGCGCTTACTTTTTCCCCGTTGAATGAATTAATGTGACTTGCCTGTTGAAACCTGAGGGATGGAAATGACTTCATGACTGCTCCAGACGATCGACGGGGATATTTTTATAAAGTTTAAAGCTCCAAACTTACATTTAAGTTCATTTATTTCCTGCGTCCACACTGGCTCAGACCTACTCAGAGCAGTTAACTAGTGGGTAAGTAGTCACCATCGTCCATAGCTTACCTCATGGACCAAATGTGGTAACCACCATCGCCATCCTGATAGGACCTGCAACAACCAGGACTACGGCGTATAGTACCGAAGCGAAAATCACCGCATCCAATAAGTCCATCTGAGGGATCAGTCCTTGACCTTATAGATTGGCCTACTCCTTCTTCATACGCACCGCACGTCAGACAGTCAGCAACATTCCTCTGCAGTAATAATGAAGGCAGAACCGGTAGATTGCGCTATTAGTCGAACCATTCCGATAGCCTAATTGACAGCCTAACAAGTGGACCGGGTCCGGGTGATTCATCTTCCCGAGAATCATCTATCCATTAATGCCGTCAGTCGTTCTACCGTTCTATGAATATACAAGGAACTTTTTAAGTACGTAGTAAATACATCCATGCTGAAGGAAAGAAGATGGATAGTAAGGGTAAACTAATATGGTGACTCACGGAACCTACCATAGTTCCGTCTTCAGTTGATTGGGTTCTGACATGCCTCTCTGATGATTGTTTGGCATGGTTTTCTCATCGGGCGACGGGAAGTGACAAGGAGATTCATCCTTCGTCCACATGGCCCGCCAAACGACCAGGATGGCCATGTGCGACCTAAATAGCAAATAGCACTAAGTATGGATATAGACTGCTAATCCTTCGATTGGTATGGACTCGGCTGGAAAGAGGGGAAGGATTGATTTACCTCTTTCCCGACCGAGTAATGAACAGGCCTGTTGCCCTTTTCGGTCGATAGATCAGTGTTCTACCAATTAAGGTTACCACGAACCCAAACAAAGTTGACAGAGGAAAAACAAGCGGTGACCTCATCTGGATAGTCAGCTGCACTAACCCACATCCGGTGCCATCTCGCGAGAACCTTCTTGGCAAAAGGGAATTAGTCTGTGCAGGGATACCCAGGATGGCTTCCCATTGGCCGGCAGCCTTACGATCGTGCAGTACTATCGAATGCGGAGAATGACTGACCCAACCTGATTGGGTGCCATCGCACTGGCCGGTCGGGTATCTCCGCCATACCGAATAGGGGTTAATCAAGGCCAGTCTGGGTCAGCCCCGATCTGGCTACCAACTCTGCATCGATGTAGGGGGCAAAGTTGCCTATCTGCCAGTCTTCGGTTGGGACACACTCTATTTTGCCCTAGCTTTCTCCCTCTCACTCAATGGGAAATTGCTTCTTACAGTTTACTGAGTTAGTTTTATTGGACAAAAATAATCGTCCAGCCATGTACTGTCTGCTGCGGCGACGAAGGCCAAGGTGCTAACCACTTTAGTTGAGCAATATGGTATATGATACCAGCCAAGCCTCTAAGCATATTGACCTTACATCTTGTACAGGGATCCCAAGCCACTCCTTGTCAAAATCGTCACATGGCAACCTTTAGTACTGTAGGTGATGTAGGGGGGCAAGTCCTTCGCTTCTCACTACATCCCAGTCAGGGATGATACACACCCCAGAAAACGTGGCATGAGGCTTTTGTGTGACAACGCATGCAGACTTTCTTGCTGATGCAGGTTGGCAGCCTGGGAACTGCTGTCAGACGGCCATCAGGCAGCATGCACACACGGACGCGGCTACACATGACATGATGTGATTCCTAATATCGCTTACCATCGAGGCCAGGCCGCGTCGTCCAGGTTGAACAGCGCAGCTCATTAACCAGGGACTATAGTTGATCATTCAACGGCTTGGCAACCTTTCTTGTGACCATGGGTCTGGCCCCTAGGAGATACAGAGTAGATCAATAGCCTTGATATCTATAGTAGCTTTGTCTAAACCCCTGGACACTTACCTGTCTAGGTAACTCAGTATTCGTCAAAGATTCTGATCGCCTCGACTGTCCAATCAGATCCAACAAGAGCAAAGTGGTGGGTGGTCTTTTTTTTTTGTTGTTTTCTTTTTAAAGGTTTTTGCTGTGTTTAGTCCAAATTTACCTTCTATGGCGCATTAGCACACCTAAGCCCCCTTTTCTTTGGACCATCAATTAGTTTGATTATCACTATGACTATTGATTAACCTCATCACTAGCTTTCGGTTGTTCATCTCCCTCTCCGGTGAACCAACTGCAGTTGACCGGTAATAAGGACTTCTCTTAGTTCAAATTAGCGAGTCTGGCTGAGAAGGACACAGTTTCATCAGGTCGGCTGGAAATTTGTAAGAGCGGCTGAAACTGTACTACCCTCCCTCGACACCCTGTTCCGTGATTCCTCGGTAGCTACACAGTTGTATCTTCCTCCGATGGAACACTGGTTAGCACCGGGAAAGTTATGCTTACTCAGTACTCCATATATAGTTAGTTACTAGATCCCAGACGAGTGGACCAGGTCATCTTCACAACTCTGTGCCCCGTAGTTTGTAGGGTTCGATGCCCCACTACCCTCATCGGTAACCATTACTTCAAAGGGAGAAAAAGCCTAGAAGATACATACTTAAAGTTCCCACGGCAAGATCCAACATTTCCATGTAATGGGAGAGATACATCACCGAGGCTAGGTTAGTATCTCACTGCAACTAAGTCCATGAGTTTATACTTTCCAGCCTTGTTCCCGAAACATTTGGCGTTTTCGGGGTAGTGTTCTTACTTTGCTTTTTCTCTAATAGTAGGTATTAGTCGGTGGGGTATTGGCTTTGGGGGTACTCTGTATGGCATGGTGCTTTATCTGGGTTATTTTTATTCTGATGATGGTTTCTTTTCGCTCGTACCTACCTATCTAGGGAGGTACCTTGCCTAGGTACTAAGTATGGACGCTTACGATACTTGAAGCAGCGTTACACAAGGCTTGGGCTGCGACAACTGAACAAGTGAACCCCTGGTCGGGATGCAAACCCCTCCTTTCGCATCCTGTGTTTAAACAAGTTGTCCGTAGTTGTCTGTTGATAAACATGATTGAGATTCGGACTAAGGACAGACATCGGTTGTTATGACCTGATCCTGATTCCTAGGAATCAGGATCAGAAGAAGATAGTGAACTTAGAACTACGGAGTAGTACTCCGTAGGACAAGTCAAGTATAGCTAGGTTAGCTTATCTTTCATATTTAATCCTAACGTAACCATTTCTTATCCACCTGATAAAATTGGCCGATGGGAATCAGAAAAAAAAATAGTCCACTTATTCTACCTTAGTGTCGGGTAAAAACGGCGCACGGTGATAGGTACTCCGGATACAAAGACAGTTGAATCCACCAGGGGCAGGAAGTGGGAAAGTTTCCGTCAGGGTCTATCCCAGTGAGCAATAAGGTTGTTACATGTCCATGAGTTGGCCCTCTTAGCGTCGTTTCATTGATTTTTAGTTTGGCATGGTCACCGGATGGCGTCTCTTAGTTGATAGATTAATTTTTTTTTTACTTGTTTGTTTTTTTACATGCGCCCTTTAAATAAGTTGCACAATATCGGCAATCTGCCTTCCAAGGCACCCTTCGTGGGGAACGGACTCCTCTTTCCGTTATCACATGAAAATTAAACCATCCTCGATAAATAAGAGAGATGTGCCACGAGGGAAGTTAACAAGGACATTCGTCAGACAGACGAATAGGGAGGGATTGATGAATCTTACTCTTAGTCTTACACCCCTTAACACATCCATGTGCATGCTAGATCCCCCAGACCCTGGCTTGCCTTGCATGGTGGTGGTTTCGTCGATTTGCTCGTCCCATATAACCACAACCGTCATAGGGCCAGCGAAAATGGGCCAGTGGAATAATTTCCTTTGAATCTCACTTGTGGGCCTCGGGGACGGGGCGAAGGATTACTCTAGGGGTTAGACGATCACCCTGACCAAGAGGGGGAAGATCCGCGGACTTTCGAATCTGTTTTTGGTATAGAGCAAGAGGAATGGAATAATGTATTAGTACTATTTTTTTTTAAATAAAAAAAAAAAAGATCCTTTTTGCTCAGTGGAATGTGTCAAGATCTACTCCGTACTTAGAGTATATTGCAGGTGACCTTATACTGGAACTGATACTCTAGAATAGACTGTGAACAGTGAAACGGTAATAGATCCATATTCTATCAGCTAAACCCAACATAGGTAGCGGTATACACTTCCTGTACTCCGAAGTACATATAGAAATATAATACAGAGTACATCTGGACATATTCTTGACAAACACTAAGATGCAGTCAAGCGCCTGTCTACTGTGTGTCATCAAAACATGTACCGACCTGCTAGTGGCAGTCAGGAACCACAGGACAGAAATGGCGCCGCTGGCTCGGTTATGGAGCAAGATGTGCAGAGAACTCGCCTTGCCTCAAAGGGCAAGTATTCGGCTCAACCCCATCGCCGTCGGTTGGACTGAAGCTAGCCACATCTATGGAGTAAGAGTTCAAGATTCCGCTCCTACCACGGGCTTGGCATGGCCATTGGCGTTTCGGGAATGGGATGATATGATCCAGATGTTGCGCCCTCCGCTTAACATTTCACTGGGGGTATGAGTCAACCTGGATTAGAAATCTCAAACATACTTAATAACAGCATCGCGCTACTGCCACTAATTCACAGGGACCAGTCGGATTACAGTCGGAATAGGGTCGGGATAGGAAGAATAAGCCCAGCTCTATCAAATTAAACAAAAAGCCGAGATCTGCGAAATCTCCATAGTCCATCATCATATCTGGTACTGGAAGACTGGTACACACTACGAAGTACTACTCCATTCAGAGGCTTAGACTCTCCCCAACCCTTGTGAGCTCAGGGAAATAAGATGGGGAAGGTTTGGTTTGTCCCACACTGTCGGTGTGGAATGATCAGATGGCAACGAAATGAACCCCAAGTTCCAGCTGAAGTAGAAAGAAAGAGTTTTTTTAAAAAAAAAAAAAAAAAAATAAATAAATAAAAAGTAAAAAAGAAAAAAAAAAAAAAAAAAAAAAAAAAAAAGAGGATCCTGCCGCCCGTCAAGTTAGACTCCTCCGCCTTTTTTACAAACCATGGTCCAAACATCCTTGGAAGAGCAACAAAAAGGAAAACGAAAAAGGAAAGAAGGTGGGAGGGATGGGTGGTGGTTGTGCTGCCATGTGGCTCAGAATGAGGGTTATTTTTATTAGAATTTTGCCCCTGCGTCGCTCTGATTGGACACATCCCGGATCGGGGTCCAAGATGGCCCCGGTCCAGCTGAGTAGAGGGGGGCTAATCCAGACCAGCTCAAACCCAGACCATTCCCAGTTGGGTTATTGAAGAAATACATCCAGCAGGGCGTTATACTCTGTACTCCGTAAAGTACTTACCTTACTACGGAGTAATTGAGTAATATTCTCTCACTCTCTAAATCCTAATCCTAATTAATAAAATGACAATAATCAATTCCTTTTTATTATAATTTTTATTATTCCCGACAGAGGAGGCTTAAAATCATGATCACTCCATCCATGATCCATCCACCAGTGTGCTACTAGTCCAACTACTAATAATACTACTATTATGGTTCCCCGTCCTCTCCCTCGTCCTTCCTCTCTTGTGCTTGCGGTCCCTTTCCCCACTGCCAGAGACGCGCTACTATCATCCTAGTATTCTTCGGTCGATTTCCCTCACCTACTCCATACATTTTCTTTTTGAGGATTTCTACACAGTACATTCCTCGACGATCTGCGTCTGACCGGTCGTCTCGTGGCGCTCTAACAGGTCCCCAGAAGATTCACGTTAGTGGCTTTAATTTTGATTGACTTTTTTGTTTTTTTAATTTTATTTTTTAATTTTTGTGTTTTAATTTTTTTTAATTCTGACTTTTTATTTTTATCTATTTTTTTTTTTTTTTATTATTATTTTAAGGATCATGATTGATTGCTCCCATTTGATTATCTTATATTACATTCTTGGATCTGATTCTATTTCTTCCCGTCCATTGTTCCTTTTTCCTGGGCCTATTTTCCCCTTCTTATTATCTGACGCTCCTCTAAATCCTTCAGCTGAAAAAGTGGCTGCATGCATTAATACCGGCCTACTGGTTTGACCTAGAGTTTTGACCCAGCACCTCTTATACTCGTCCACTTCCTCCGGTTCCTGCCTGACTCTTGCCTATCATTCTCGAATTAAAATTATTATAATCCCCCGAGCTGCTCCAGTCCCTTACCGTTTTCTCGTATTCCCCACGTGCATCCGTTCTTCATCTCCTTCCCTCTTCTTCCCTCCGCTTTGGGGCTGCGGCTCGAGGTTATTTTTGGATTCTGCATTTCTTGGGCCACCGACTGCCTATATACTCCCCTCCGCTCCTCTGCATTCCCCTCTCCATCCTCCTCTGTTCCCCTCCTCGATACCCTCCCTCAAGTCCTAGACCATCTATTGTCTCTTCATCTTCGTCTATTATTCGCTATCTTTGATATCTTCCCCTCCTTACTTCGCTACCGTGGGTAGCTGTGACTCTTCTTTTGAATCTAACTTCCTACATTCGATCCTTATTTCCTACACATTATACATAATGGCTGGTCCAGGTGGTGGTCCTCCCCGCAAGAGCCATACCAAGTCCCGTTTCGGATGCAAAACGTGCAAGAGACGTCATATCCGATGTGACGAGAGTTTCCCACAGTGGTATGTACCCCTCTAGACAGTATTTGCCATGGGAAGAATGTCCTATCCTGACCCTCGGTGCAGCCGGAATTGCACCAAGCACAACTGTCGTTGCGATTATATGGACGACGCCACTGTCCGTGACGAATCGACCGCCAACCGCAAAGTCCCCGACCTTCTTATGTCTGCTGAGATTGAAATGGAAATCAAGAACTGGCACATTACCGGCGTTCCTCCCTTCCCCGAAATGGTGCACTTTCCGCGCAGCGGTTGGAGTCGGCTATCTCGAATCGACCTTCGGCTCATCCACCATATCATTGGCCTCTCGATTGATCTTCACCGTCGCGGCTTCAGCAACTGTACCATCTGGGCTCAGAAGATGCTATCGTAAGACGAGCAGACAATCTTTTTACTTCTTTGGCAGGCGTACTGATGATTGCGCAGCTTTCTCACCATCGCTCTCTCCCACGACTTTGTGATGAGCTCGATTTTAGCGTTGTCCGCTTCACATCTCGCCTGGATCACTCGAAATAAGGAAACCAAACAGTTGGCCTATCACCATCGGGGTGTTGCCATTCAGGGACTGCACAAGGCTATCGGAGCCTTTTCGAGGACGAATTGCGAGGCGATCCTAGCCGCATCTATTCTCCTCTCCTGGCAGGCTTCGGAATGGTAAGTTTTGGTCCATGGTTGAAATGGCGCCCAAAGCTGACAATTATTCCAGGCAGAGTTGGGCGTCTTTACAGCAAGGTCTTACCACGGTTCTCAATTCGATGCCCCCCATGTGGAAGCAGGAGTCGGAATTGGCCATATTTCTGGAGAGCCAGAGGTATCTGGGATGCACCAACACCCCCATGATGACCGGTTATCATTTCCAAACGGAGGACCTGGTCAGCCTCGATCAAACCATCATGGCCCTTCAAAGCGTGCAGAAGCGCGTCGCCCATAACCCCGAACACTACCGCCGAATTGGAGAGCTCCTTGAGTTTGTGCGCCATTTCCAGAGAGACCTTCTATCGCAGACACCTGAGCAGGCTTTCGAGCGCATGCAGCCGCTACGCAGATGGCTATTCTGGCTGCCACCGGCTATGCTCCGTGGTGGAGACGCTGATTTCGCAGCCCTCTCGATTATCGCCCAGTTTTTCGGAATCGGAGTGACCCTGGACAGCCTCTTCCCTGACCTGGGGGGTGCTTATCTTGGCCCACTGTCGGTTGCGCCAATCGAGGAAATCTACCGGGCTATTACCACACGGAGCGCAGCGGACCCATTTAATCCTGACCTGCAAGTGGCCTCGTCCCTCATGGAGCTGCCGCTACATATCGTTTCCAAGTACAAGAGCCGCCTTCAGTGGTCGCCGCGGACCTCGATCGATTATTCTCCAGCTCCACCGAGTCCATATCAAAGTATTCAGGACTACCGCCTCGCATCTTCGTCCTCTCCGTCCTCCACATCGGCTACCTACGCCCCTTACACCCCGCCACTGCAGTCTCCGCCAGCTATGACGATTGCCAATTCCCCATTTGACGTGACGGGGACCTACGTGACAGCTCCAGGCACTCAGGCCCTATATCCACCGTCACCTCGATTACTGTCCGATCCGCGAGAGGACCTGTCTGACTATAGCCACGACGGCTCCCTCCAGCATTCGCCCGCCTTTGCTCCCCCGTACATCGACGATGTTGTGTGCGGAGGGGTGGATGGGATAGGACTGAATCTGGAAATTTATGAGGAACCCCATCCGATTGTTGGAGGATTCAACGGGCCGGAGCCTGTGTGGACTGGAAGCATCTGCACGTAGGCATTCTCTTCTCTTATTCTTTACTTCTCTACTTCTCTTCTCTACTTCTCCTCTTCTCTACTTCTCTTCTCTGCTTCTTCTCTACTTTTTCCTATTTTTTTCCTTTTTTTTTTTTTTTTTTTTTTTTTTTTTTTTTTTTTTTTTCCTCCGATGTCTATTTATATACCAGTGATCGAAAAAGGCATTTTATTGGGTTTAAGTTTGAACTGCATTTAGTTACACGGCGAATAGAAGGATGGGGGCTGTTTTGGATGGCACGGTGGATTCGTGGCATTCTGTGATATAGTTGTTTTTTTTGTTTGTTTTTTTTTTTTTTTTGAGTTATCTGCATTTTGACACTCGTTATGATACCGGGCGGATCGAAAAGATCCCCAAGCAGGAATGAAGCCAATGAGCGCATGGATTGATACCAGGATCACAAAAACTATATAGCTGAATTATATAGTATATACCCTCGCTGTACCCACTCTTTCAAAATAAAAATAAAAATAATAAATAGATAATATTATTATTGTTAGTGTTATCATTATCCCACATTCCAACGCGGGGAGAGGGGCAAAAGGATATAAATAGTCCTTAACCATAGACATGAAACGAATGATCGACCTTCAGGGAACATCCTTATATCCAACATAACATACCACCCAACCTGCCACACTTCCTGCAAGGTATGCATGGCCATATGGGGGCCATATGGGGGCCATATGAGGGCCATGTTCACCACGTGCGGGCGGATATATATTTAGAATCCTGCACACGAGCAAGCTAGGTAGTCAGAACTTTAGTTCCCATCCAGACTGGGAAGGACGATCAGGGACTCAATCCAATAAGAGAGGGTGGGATACGAGGAGTGCATTGACCCACGAGGTGACAGGGTATTTCATTTCCGTCAAAGACAGCCTATTGTGGTGTACGTAGATTAGGATCGTGAATGTTAGTGACGCGATATACAGTACGTAAACATACTAGGTACCTATGTAGTACGGTAAGTACATACAAATCCACCATCACGTGGATCAAACTGACGCTTAATAACAGTTGGGATGAAGGAGATCTTGGCTACCAGACTAGACTGGGGCTCGTATTCGGTATTCTGTCTTCATTTCTTTGATATCCACGTCGTATCTGTTGACCTCCGGTTACCCAGTCTATCCGATTCCGAGGACTGAGTTAGATTAGACTGTTAACTGTTAGCTGTTATGGAAATTATACTAGGAGTGTATCCTGCAGGATTGATCCAGTTGTTCTATTATTGGATCTCTTGCCATCCCATGTTCTATCGTCAAGTATCTCATGTCAACGATTAACTACTTAGTAATACAGAATGATAGGATAACGTATTCGGCAAGCGAGCGGGCCATGAAAGCGAGCGGGCCACCTTGTTGCATATAAAATATGACTTTTCGATTCTTAATAACTCCACAGATATTATTAGTACACATAAAATCCTAAGTCCCGCGGAATAAATATCGTTTTACACTATATATATTTTATTTATAATTTTATTATTTTTTCCCACTCTATAATACGGAAATATGATAAATACAATTGAATGTATTGTAATATAATAAAAGAACCAGAAAAAATATAGGCTTTCCAGTCCACTATATGTATATTTAGTATAATAATAGTGTATATCATATATTTAAGGCCCTCTCGATATGTTGTGGTTGAGATATTAGGTCCTAAAAAGCCCTATATTATATGCAATACGAGGTGGCCGACTCGCTTTCATGGCTGGCTCGCTTACCGAATACGTTAGAATGGATGATGTATAACTAATAAATAACTATGATAGCTTATATAACAACTTAGTCAGCACCACGTCAAACCAACTCTCCTTACCACCATGATCACCACTCATCAATCAAAATGGCCGAAACCGGCGGCTGGAACACGATTGAATCAGACGAGGTATATTCGTATTCATATTATACCCCATGACCAACTACTCTATGACAGATAGAACTAACAAAACAAGGGAGTATTCACAGCCCTGATCGAAAACCTCGGCGTCAAAGATGTCCAATTCGAAGAACTCATCTCACTAGATGCAGACACGATCCGATCTCTAAGGTACCCTTCTCCCCATCTTATTTCCTTGGTTACTTCGTTACTTCGTAACTAACTAGAAATAGTCCCGTATACGGCGTCATCTTCCTATTCAAATGGCTCCGATCACACCAGAGTAGCACGAGCTCGGACGCGCCCGCAGATGGGACATACGACGCTGGAGCCTCCGAAGCGGGGGTATTTTTCGCGGCGCAGACGATCCAGAACGCATGCGGGACGCAGGCGATTCTCTCAGTTCTTTTGAACCAGGACGGGGCGGATAAGGAAGGGGTTGACATTGGTGCCGAACTGCGCTCATTCAAGGAATTCACGGCGGGATTCCCAGCTGAGCTGCGTGGTGAGGCACTTTCGAATTCAGAGACGGTTCGGACGGCGCATAACGCGTTTGCGAAAGCGAGTCCGTTTGTGGATGAGACGACCCGGAGTGCGCACGACAATGACGACGGGGACGTCTACCATTTTATAGCGTATACGCCTGTCAACGGGAAGTTGTATGAGTTGGATGGGTTGCAGCCTTATCCGATTAGTCATGGGCAGTGTGACACGGAGGAGTTCCCTGAGAAGGTGATTGAAGTGTTGCAGAGACGGATTGCGCGGTTTCCCGAGGGTGAGACAAGGTTTAATTTAATGGCGGTGGTGAAGGATTTGAGGGTCAGGGCGAAGGAGATGGGAGATGCGGAGCTGTTGGAGCGCGAGGAGAGGAAACGTAAGGCTTGGGCTTGGGAGAATACCTTGCGTCGGTCGAATTTTGTCGGCTTCATTGGGGAGATGTTGAAGGGGGTGGTAGGTACGAAGGATAGAGAGGGTAAGTTCAAGGAGTGGGTGGATACTGCGCAGACGGAGACGCAACGGAAGTTGATGAGACGTTCTTGATTCTGCGAATCTTCAAAGATGTACAGTCTCACTACGATTAATACTAACTAAGTACATGCGAGCTTAAATCCCCCATAACCGGTATTTCTATGTACATCATTAGTTCGTGAGATAATTGCGCCGTATCCATGCTATCGAATCCTGTTGAAGGAAAAAGAAAGGCATCATCATCATCATTTTCATCACCGGCCACCTCAGTCCATTCTTGAATACCCCATCAGTTAGTACTCGATGATACGAGTTTTAACCTGCTCCACCATGGCGGCGGGAAGCTCGTCCTCGCGCATCAGGTTCATCGACAGCAGATCCGCCCAGAAGAACAAGGCTCGGTCTTGTGCATATGCAAGATAGTCGAACTCGTCCGTCTCGGACTCGGGTTCGGTTGCAGAGGACCCGGTTGAGTGGGTACCCTCTGTCTCCGTCGACGCCGAGTCATCGAAACCATTTGCTGCCGCTTCATCCGCTGCGATGCCCTCTTCCATCCCCGGTGCTTTTGCCTGCACAATTCCCCATGCCACCCACTGCGCGGAGTTGATCACTCGCCAGAGTCTCATCTGCTTCATCAGTGACTGAATCTCCTTCTCTGTACTGATCTCATGCGCCTTCTCGATTTCGGCCTGGCTTGGAGCATCCACGTCTGGCTCATCATCCAAGCTCAGAGGCGCCATGGATGTACTGGTTGAAGACATCCCACGCATGAGGGGAGTGATGGAGGGAGAATACTGTCCCGCCAATCCAGGCCGATGAGTCAAGTAAGCGCTGATAAAGCGACGCTGCTCCTCCAATCTTGGGAAATCTTTGACGCTACATGCCCAAGGTCGTTCTACGTCATGATAGTTGTAGCACCACTCAGTCTGTAGCAATTAATACCTAGCTTAGCCTGAACGGCATGGAGATTCGGAAACTCACGAAGTGGTTGGCGAATTCAAATCCAGGGGTGTTCGCCGAAGCATACTCGAAGTCAATAACCACCAACTGTTTGTGCTCGTTTTCGGGGCGAAGGAGCGGCGATTCTGAGCTAGGTTCCATCCGGAGAAGGTTGCCGTATTGGGTCTACTCGGTCAATCAGACACGTCTATCACTCTCATCCCAGAGGAACTCACATCGTTATGCGCAAAAACCAATTCTCGCTTGATCTCATCCATACCCCCATGACTGGAGACAAGCCACTTCCGGTAGTTTTCAACGGCCCTTCTAAACGTAGGCCATGGGACTCCACATACAAAACCCCGCCGCCGCCAGGGCTCGGAGGCCGCTTTTGTCTCGTTCTGCTTAGAACAGATCTCCTTGTCCAACCAGTTGGTGACCTTCTCGCAGCGATCAACCCATTTATCCCAGTTCCTAAATACCATCGGGCCGCCCTCCCTCTCTTCTTCCAGCAGATCAATGCCCTCGTGGAGCTCTCTCATACGCTTGGCGATCTGTTTCATGGTTCCGGGGTCCCGGAGATCTTTCGGGGTCAAGGGACGAGCATTGAAATATTCCTCAAACCGCCCATTTTTGAATGTTCCTAGCACTTTGGGACCGATATTCTTCCGCCCGAGACGACGAAGGATCTGTAGCTCATTATCTCGATCAATCAAGTGATCTACTTGCGGACCGTAAATTCGAAGTAAAAGCTTTCTAGAAACGAGGTGAGATGATATCCGTGGTTATATGCGACCAACAGACTTACGATGCGGGCTTTCTAGGCACGAGAGTGTATGACCCATCGTCGGCCTTCGGGGTAGGAATGTTCTGCGGCGGAGTGACCACATACACTGCATTAGTCAACGCCCCGCTAAGTCGAACAACTTCAATATCCCCGGCATATTCCGTCGGAATCTTGCGCCATCCCCTAAGCTGTAGTGTATGCGTCAAGCGCAGGATTTCACTTTTGAACCCCATCCACGCTTCCCGGTCCTTGGCCCGTCGGGTGTTGGCGCCATTTTCACTCTCATCAGCCTCCGCGCTGCCACCGCTATAAGCAAGGGTCTTCGAATTATCCAGCATTGCGTCAACACCAGGTGTCGCGGAATCTAGGTCTGGGTAGTCGGATTCCGAAGCGGAACTTCTCCGGAGTCCCTTCGGTTGGTGGCGCCGACGGACCGGGCGTCGGTCAGGCTGTTCAGGTCCGTTACCCAAGCTGCATGAGGCAGCATATTTAAGGAGGATTTTCTCTAATTGGTCCAGGGCTAGCGTGCGTTCGGAGCTGTGAGAAGTGGTCTTCTCCAAATGGTGATCATCCACGACGACCTCGTCATCCTCATCGTCCCCATCGCTCCCAGTACCGTCGACTTGGCCGAGTGTTTTCGCCCTGGACGCTCTCCGTCTCGATTGTTCGCGCTGCAGCCACTCATATACCTGGTAGAAGAGGTTGTTCTGGGGATCATCATCACCTTTTTTAATGATTTTGTCTTTCTCGTCCCAGGATACAGGTTCCGTGGTGACGCTTGACGTCTGGCTATTCCACGCCAAAGTGTGATATATTGGCGGTCGTGCCGTTGCTTTCTTGCTCAGAGACAGGCGGTGCTTGCGAGGAGTGTTCCCTTCCGCCGCGGGAGTATCATTGCTAAGTCCGTTGCCGGGTCGGATTCTCTGGAAAGAAAGGTCTAACCCGGTGCCCAAAATTGGCCGCAGTCCTTTTCGCAATTGATCAGAATCCATTGACGCTATGACATATGAAAAGGAAGTACGTGGGGGGACGGAAAGAATGAAGGGGAAGAGGTTGTGGAGATGACGGTGGTATGGAGATTAGGTGATTAGAAGGTTGTTGCAATGGGCCATCCGATCATCTGATCCAGTGCGGACCTCGGGAAATCCTACTCAGGCTACAGGGTAAAGAAAAAAGGGGGGCAGGATAGGAGGACCGGGGAACACAAGAAAGGGAATAATCAAGCTAAAATCGTTCCTCAACCTACCTTCAATGTCAGGACCAGAGAGATCATTCTGGTGAGTGAAGGAGGGCATGTCCAGACGCACAATAGGCGGGACTAAGGGAGAATCCCAGATTGGATGCAGACCAAGCCAACTTGGCTAGAAGACACTGGACAGGACACGTCGGGGTTATAAGGAACTGGAACGGTGACCCGCAACAGGACACTTGGACCAGGAATAGAGGGAGGCCCCTGAGCAACTGTGTGGATAGAATTTGCTTGACCGAGAGCGAACGGGGAGAAAAGCCCAATTGCTTTGGACAAAAAAAAGGAGCCAAAGGACGGCTAAGTGGGGTGGCCGATAATAGTGGTCCAGAAAGGCAGCGGTCGGAATCCCCCCAACAAGACGATGTCCACCAATCGAGCGGAACAGGAGACAGCCAGGATACTGACAAGACGTAGAAATAAGACTTGGGAAGATTAACAGAGCAGAGCAGATGCAGAAGCAACAGGAAAGACGATGATGAGGCCAGGATGTGGAGTGGCGATGACCGTTACTTCTGTTGGTCTTTCTTATCAGCGGTGTGCTCAGGTGACCTGGTGTGGCCAATCCGGAAACCAGTCACGGGCCAACGCATGGAGCCCCTTTTGGCTTTAAAATCATTAAGGCTTTGCTCGCTTGATCTTTCATCTTTTCTCTTTCCTAAATTCTTTACTCGTATCCTCAGCAGTGGCTTGACAGATGGGCCACTGTGCAGCCTAATCTGTCATGTTTGCCCCTCCCCCCCTGGGTGGACCAGGGTGGGAATTCCCGTGATAAGCCATCAGGAGTACGCCGGAAGTTCCCTGGTTGGTTGTACATGATAACCCATATTAACGGGGGTTGATAGACAAACAGACAGATAAATAGCTTGGATGATAGGTGAATAGGTAGATAGAAATGGATAGACAGGAGGCAATCCTTGGGTCGAAACTTGCCAACCTTTGGCCATCCATCCCGTTAGTTGGGAACGGGATCAGGTACAGTCATCCACATGTCGCTTGGGAGAAACAAAACCAGCCTCTAGCTTGGTTTGTACTGCGAAGTTATCATCATTAACTTTCATCTACCTTCATCCCCACCATTCATTCATAGAGGTCAGACGGTCAGAAGTAAATGGTACACATTTCAGTTGTCGCGCAGGAGCCATACTCATCACAATGAGCATCATGATAGAGAGTAGCAGTACAGGCTGGTGTTTGTCGCACAGGGAACTTCATATTATTTGGTCTCCTCATACTGGATGTCAGGCTGCAATGGGTAGTGGTGAGTAGTCGTCGTCGTTGCCGTCGTCGAAGAGGAGGAGGGGTGAAGGATTTATTTCTGGTTTCGTCCGGAAAAGAGGGGAAGGCGGCCTGACGCTGCACGTCCTCCGTGGCACATGACCAGAGCTGCGTCACAGATAATCCATGCAGGTTGACGCATTCCAGTCGTGGGGGTTGCATTTTCTGGTGGGATTCACATAGTCAAGAATGGTTCCAGGGCGATTGGTGAGGAGATAGATTTCTTGACAGTGGTACGCCTATTTACATTCACCCCGGATAAGCTCTTTGAACCCGCTGTGGGGAAAGTGCCAGTCTACTGTACACATTTTTAGTGATACGTCACGCTCCAGACCTGATATCCCTCATCCGATGCCGGGAATTTCTGCCCTTCGACCGGCGTGGAATCCGAATACTGCAAGGAATACCCATTTCCGTTCCCCAGGAATGTGATCTTGACGTCTGCCGCGTCCTCGCCACGATCAGCCGCTAGCAACGCTCCCTTGGGTCCAAGCCATTTCCCATCCAGGGCGCTGGAGATATGGAAAACCTGGCTCTCCTCATCATCAGAATAATGAATCACCCACCGCTGTTTCTTATCGCGGTGGTCTGGCTGGGCAGGAGTACTGCTGATCTGAGTAGCGTTGCCCGCGTTGGTAAGCGCATTGCCGGATTTCTCAAAGACCAGGTATCGGCCTTCAGTCAAGTAGCCCACACATTCCTTGTATCCGTCTTCGAACCACAGAGCCTCAGTTACGTTGTCTTGCTTTCCATAAGGTACGGGGGGGCGTTGGACGGGATGCAGTGCTTTACACTTGACGACGCCCACGTATTTGCCAAAGGCCTTGGGGGGTTCCTCCACGTTGGGGAGGTTAGGGATGCTGGTGTCAGGCTGATTAATAAATATTAGCTATACTGATCGTGGGATTCATGGTCATGGCAGAACATACATGGTCCAGGTCCAACGCATTGACAAGGTTGGACATGTGTTCCCGGCGCCAGTGGACCATTTCGTCGGTCTGGATGTTTTTATATCCTCTAGCTGTCAGCCATTCTTCAAGGAAGAGGATCTGTGAATTATGGTCGGCACGTTCGGTGAAAACTCGATTGCCTCGGGTCCACGGCGACACCATGTAGAAGGGAACTCGGACGCCTTAGGTTGAATGTGATCGTCAGCAGGTGTATGTCGATTTACAAGGTACTGAGAAGCTCACCAGGCCCAACATAGATCTTTCCGAACTTCCCGTATGGATCTTTCATCCACTCTCCCGGTGTATCCTCCGGGGAGTGGAACGGCACCACGTGGTCTCCAAATCCACCAGATTCTAATTATCAGGTTAGTTTCAACCAATACAAAGAACGGTGGAGATCTGTACCATCGTAACTAATAATCAACAGAGTAGATGAATACTTCGGGCTTTTCACGACCGCATCCACAACCTGTTTTTGGAGCCATGCACCCTCTTTCGGCATATAAGGCGGATGCTCCGACAATTCTGGTGGACCAACAATGAAGCTGACTTCTGGGAGGGTTCCATTTTTGGCCGCCTCATAAAATGCGTCAATCCCCAGATATGCCATTCCCTTCTTTGCGAGAGGGGAAGACGAGGATGCGTTCTGATACTGCTCAAACCAAGCCAACGGGTTATCGTCAAAGTTGTCTTTATCTTGGTATATCTGCCACGAGACGCCAGCCTCCTCGTAGTACTCGAAGATGGTTTTCCATTTCAACGGGTAGCAGTTAATCTTATTACTGTCGCAGCCTGGTTGTCTTTGATGAGTGAGGTAACGATTTCATTCCAGCTTCGGTTCTCACCTGGAGTTTCATTGTTGTCAATGTAAACCCCTCCCTGGTGCGGACTTTGGGGTCCCCCCGGCACATTGACAGAGCCACTCACCAGAGTGACACGGTTAGGATTGGTGGAAGTTACTTGCGATTCCTTGAGAATAGTCAGTATGAAGCTCGGGCCAAGATCCGAAACAACAGCACCGACCTGATACATATCACCCATTGTCCAGCCTTCAGCAAGGGCAAACTGGTAAGGAATATCGTTTCGTTTAAGGTAACCCCAGCTCCATGGAGTGTTATTTCGTGCCCAATTGGTATTCAACCCGTGGTTCAGGGCGCCCTGATTCTCCTCGTAGCCATTGCTCCCCGCTACCATACACTGGATGGCATCGTTCCAATATCCGCCTTTATAGCCCAAGTACCAGGGAAGAAGGGTCTTTGCATCGGTGGACATATCAGGATCGACTTTCCTGGTCGGAGTACACTACTTATTAGCGATTTAGTTCATCTCTTTAAAGGCCAATTGAAACTAACTGATGCCACACAGGTAGCCCATCATCATTAATCTGCACATTGGGGTCATTAAAACCTCGAATTCCAGCCATGGTACCAAAATACTACACATTATCTCAGCAAATAACTCAAAAGCGAACGCAGATCCTCCGAATACATACATTATTGAAAGACCGGTTCTCCTGCATGAAGATTACCACATGTTCAATATCCTTCAGGGAACCGGCGACGATTGGCCTAGCCCCGAGGAGCACGATCAAGGCAATCTTCAGCAGCGTGGACATGGTGTAACCAGCTTCTTTTTCCTTTTTCGAACAAGAATTAAATCTCCGATGTAGGCGCCCGAAGTTTCAAGCGTGAACGACGTCCCGAAAGAGCGGCGGAGCAGATGGTTTATGTATGGGTCGGTTACATAGTATGCAGGTATCCTGCAAGTAGTATCACCGTTGTAACAATGATAACAGCCTGCTGATTTAGTCAACAATATGCACTTACTCCATACGACACGGCATGAAGAATCGTGACATGCATGGTAGATTGGATTCGATGAGCCATTGAGATTCCAGAAAAAGGCAACGGGTCTGTGTAAGCGAACTCAAGAGTGGAACCAATTTGTCCAGCCAGGCATATACATGCTTCGAGACATGCAGGAGAACAAGACCATTCATTGTGAACCGCGGCGGAAATGTGGAACGCACGACGGCACGTGCTGGATGGTTGGTACCTGAACGGTAGGTGCCACCCATGAGTCCTAATGGGTAATGAGTCGGTGTCCTAGCTTAGTTCCACTGCAGATCAGCGCGGTTAATGTAACCTTCTCCGCCCCTCAGACAACGTGTAGATAAATACATTCGTAATGGAAATAGGTAGATCAGGGACGGAAGTAAAGGGGCCGGTTCTTTTCCTTGGACAATCTGAAAGTTTTATTGGAAAAGGGTGTAGACGATGGAAAGACAGACCAGTCGTCGAAGAAAACACCTGCAGGTCAATGAACAGTCCAAAACTGGGCAATCGCGGTCCGATACGCGGCAAAAGGAATCGGCGGCAAAGCATGAAAAACATAGATCCTATAGACTTCTGCTCTACCCACTTGTGGTGTGTTTCTTGATTGGGCTTGTGTTCCTGTATCAATCCAGCACCCCAGATCCTATTCTCTCCGTCCTCTCTCGACCACGCAACCATCGCCAGGATGCGTCTCCACGAGCACACGATCCCGATGCATTCCGCCCACGAATAGAGCTTCATCCAGAGGATCATGTATACCGCGATCCGAGGACCCAGCATTACGACTGGGTGGTCACGTCAGACCTTTTGCGTCCTGACGGTGTTCTAAAGCAAGTATACCTCATCAACGGTGCGCATTCCTACACCATTTCAATAATCACCTCTAGTTGATGCCATAAAAGGTCTCCTCCCAGGTCCAACAATCGAAGCGCGGTCAGGTGACAGACTTGTCGTCAAGGTCAAAAACACCCTAGATATACCCATCTCCATCCACTGGCATGGCATACATATCAGCAGTGTGTTTACCCCCGACCTCCTAATATAATATGAAACCCGTGGACTAACCTGGCAGATTCAATGGACGGCGTCCCCTCGGTCACTCAATGCGCTATCTCCCCATGGTCAACGTTCACTTATAATTTCACATTACCCAGTTATCAAAGTGGTACTTTCTGGTATCACGCCCATTCCGGCGTCATCAGGGGGGACGGGCTCTACGGGGGATTAGTCGTGCATGAGCCTGTTCCTAAGCCAACTGTCCGTGGCCTTATGGCCCGGGACAGCGCGGACATTCAGTCCAGCTACGACAGAGAGTTTCTCTTTCTCATTGGAGACTGGTACCATCAACCTGCGGAGGAGATTCTGGCTTGGTTTATGAGCATAGCATCTTTTGGGAATGAGGTACGTACAATTTCCTTTCCCGTGAACGCGACACATATAGAACGGAGCTCACAGATTATAGCCCGTGCCAGACTCATTGCTTGTTAATGGAGTCGGCGCATTCAACTGCTCCATGGCTGTGCCTGCACAGCCGGTAGATTGCATTCAACAGGAACTCAACCTTTCCTATCTAGATACAGATATCGAGCCGGGGTATAAGCTACGTATTGTTAACACAGGGTATGCACAACTCCATTGTATCTATTTAATCAGGCATCCATCCCCGACTAACAAAATATGTGCACATAGCTCCCTGGCAGGATTCACCCTGTCATTTGAAAACCATCAAATCTGTTTGATCCAAGTCGACAGCATCGATACCAAACCACAAGAACCGACCTCAGCTGCGGGAATCCTCTACCCCGGCCAGCGCATGGACGTCATCCTCCTACCCAAGAGCCACAACAACACCCAGTCATCCATGACAATCCACCTAGATCAAGAGTAAGTATCTTGCACTTATGATCCAAAATACCCAACTATGCTCACAAAATCAGATGTTTCAACCAGCCCAACCCCGCCTTGACACATATCCAAGCCATCCCCATGTCCTCCTTCCACAGTAACCGTCAAGAAACACCACAAACCATCGAACGCTTCATCGACTTATCCCAAACCCCGTCTTCGGAAACAATCCTCTCCCATCTTCCTAAAAAACCACACGATACCCACGTCGTCTACACCAAGATCCAAAAACTCTCCATCAACCATAACATCCCCAATGGATTCTTCAACCACACCTCCTGGTTCCCACAACGACACCCCCCAATCCCACTGAACGCGCTGTCTCGTGAGAAATGGGATAATAACCAGTTCTATATCGTCACTGGGGATAACGCAACATGGGTAGACATTGTCGTGAATAATCTAGATGAAGGGGGCCATCCATTCCATCTTGTAAATTGATTCCCTTTCATTTCTTTCGACTATAACTCTCACCACATGTTTCATACTACAACAGGCTAACATCCGTAGCACGGTCACCATTTCTATATTCTTCGTGTTCATGAAGCGTCCATCGGATGGGGCTCATTTAATCCCTTTGTGGAATTGGCTGCTGCAGATTCGAACTCTGATCCTGGTGATGGGGGATACGATTACTCCCAAGCAATGCTTCGAGACACAGTGTATATTCCTAGTCGGGGTCATGCGGTTCTGCGGTTCCGAGCAGATAACCCCGGGGTGTGGATGTTCCATTGTCATATCTTGTGGCATTTGGCGAGTGGGATGGCAATGATTGTGGATGTGGGCAGCACATCCAATATATTTGAGCCGTCGGTGGAACATTGTGCAACTCCTGTTTAGCTTCTACCACATATATAGATATGTCTTGCCTAGCCTGAGAAGTGCAGGTAGACAGCAGCCAGTTAACAAACAAAAAATATATAACAAGAAAGACCATAAGGAAGAAACAACAACAACCCCTGGGGACAAAATACAAAGGGAAAAAAAATCCCCCGAACCAGAATCGAACTGGTGACTTTTCGGTTACAAGGAAATCCATTACAGCCGAACGCCATGAACCAACTAGACCATCGGGGGTATAGATGCTGTGGAGCTGCATTATGTCATTATAAGCGCGGGTCAAATCACAAACTCTAAAGAGGTTTAGGTTAGAAAATAACGGAAAAAAAAAGATGCTCCCCCGAACCAGAATCGAACTGGTGACTTTTCGGTTACACGGAAATCCATTACAGCCGAACGCCATAAACCAACTAGACCATCGGGGGCTAAGCTGATTGGTTGGCCAAGGCTTTTTTGACATCATAAAGGAGTAGTCTAGAATTGGGCATTGAGCACATATATATATTGAAAGCTTTAAATTGTACGTAACATCCAATACCAGCTAGTTCACTTCGGAATCTTGTATAGCGCAAGTTTGGGTGACATGAGAAACCTATGCCTTTATTATTTCTATACCTGTGGCCGTCTATAGAGGTCAAAAGGCAAGAAGCTTCAACCAGGATATATATACACTTAGGTTAAATTGGAGGACAGTATGGAAGTTCTATAATTGCACATTGCTAACTACACGAGCAATTTCCTCACATACCATGTATGTGGTCAATACTCCCCAGGACAGCGCCATGACAAACACCATACCTCGTCCTTATATTCGTTATACAGAGAATTTGTGACATCAGAACAGACAATATCAGTCGCCTCAAGATGGTCTTATCAAGATACCGAGGAAGTGGAGGACTAGTAGCTGCATTGACGGGTCAAAACAGGATACATCAGTGCACCATCAATCCCTCTATAAGTACAGGTTTAGCTACTCGGCGCCAGCGCCAGCGCCAGCGAGCGGTCGGCCCCACACGCGTCCCCCAACCAGTTGCAAACCAACCTGGGAGGCTATCACAAGATGTATGACAAAGAATATATCGTACGGAGGTCGATCAGAAAAAATCGAAGAAAAAATGCCCATCTAACCGGATTAAGATGGCAGAGACATCGTCGAGGGATCATCAAGGAGAGGGCTGCCAGGAACGGCGTCCAATGCAACCGCATGTAAAGCAGGTTTATCACCGTCTTGGGGTACGTCGCCATTGCGGCGTGTAAGTTGCTCCTTGACCCAATCTGCAACCTCCTTGTCTTCAGTAGTGGAAAACGAGGAGTCTTCCGTTGTCTCCTCTGATACAGACGGCGCATCTGACGTGGGTGGCTGCATGAGGGGGGCAAGCCAGGGATGTCGCAGTAGCACACCGTACGAGGGGCGATTGCTAGGGGTTTTATCCAAACATGCGCGAACAAAAGCATGCGCCTCATCGGAATAGCCGGATTCAGGTAGAGTCGGGGGGTCACCATGAACAATAGCCTATCAAAATGGGGTTAGAATCTGTGGCATTGGAAATGAGGGACGGCGAGAAGGAATTGGTAGGCACTTACATGCAATTGGCTGAATATGTTGTTGAAGGTCTCTGGCGGATATGGATAGCGACCCATAGCACACTCGATGATGGTTAACCCCAAACTCCAGACATCGCTCTGAACGCTATACGTTCCACCACTCGATCCAGACTGCTGCACACCACCCCCCGCAATCCGCTCAGGGGCCATGTAACTCTGACAACCAATATTTGTCTTCGCAATACTAGCAACGAGGTTTCCGCTGACGCCAAAATCGCAAATTTTGATCTGGCCGCGGGTGTTGACAAGGATATTTGTGGGCTTGACGTCGCGGTGAATGATGTTGTGATCGTCCTTGAGAGACTTTAGGCCCATGACGGTGGACAACGTTACTTTTCGGAGGATACTCTCAGGGACTCCGCTCTTATAAAGTTTGTCAATCGAGCCGCCATCCATGTACTCGACACATATGTAAACCGCGCCCTCCTGGAAAAAGGCGCCATAAAAATCAATGATGAATGGCGAAACACACCGGTGAAGGATTTCCAGCTCCATGATGATCTGCGCGAACTTGCCTTCGTCCAGCTCAAGGCGGATCTCCTTCATCGCCATTATGACACCCGAAAGATTGTCCTTAGGAATCTGTGAATCCGAAGTATCTTCCGGCCCCAGCGGACGACTGACGATCCCTCTCAATCCCATGCCTGGTTTGCGCATATGTGGCCGGCTGTGACGAACCTTGTATACGGTCCCGTAGTTACCCTTCCCCAATTCATCCAAGCGATCCACCTCGTCTAACGAGATCTTGAAACTATGTCCCGACGAGAATTCTATCCCACCTCCGTGAAGGATAGCCTTGTTCTTGAAGCGTAGGGTTCCCGCCTTGGTATCGATATATTCTGAATATTTACTAAACGCGGACTCAGTCGGGGCCCCCGTACCATTCGCAGACGGTCGGCCAGCAGACGCGTCACTGGGCCCTGTGGCATCGGATAACTTCAGCCCCGGTTTCATGCGTTTGGCGGCCAGTCCGCCTGGCCTTGGCGAGTTTGAGCCGAGAGAGGCCCCCGGGACCGAAGAAGAGGACGCCCAGTTTTTAGCACCGGGTCGAGCAACGGGTGGGAGGCGTCCTGCCATTGCTCCTGCTAAAGAGCCGTTCGCACCTGCAAAGGATGGGTTCGAGACAGGGGGCGACCTGGCAGCATCGGGGGATTGGGGAATTGCTCCGGTGGAGGAAGCATGCGGCAGAGTAGGAGGGGGGGCCCCTTGTCTAGAGAGCGAGAAGGCCTTCATCTTTGCCAGAATATCCTGGTTCAGCCCTCCTTGTGCCGCACTGCTCATTGAAGCTGGGGGGCGCTGGGGGGTCCGGTCGCCCCGTCGAGCTGCACTCAACTGACCCAGATGTGTCGAGGACGCGGTGATACCGGACGAGGCATCGCGGGTTGAACGCAGGGAAGGAATCGACGGAGGAGTAGTAACGGAGGGAGAGAGGTCATCATCCGTGGTATCGGACCTGCTGTCCAAGTCGGGTTTCGACGAGGATAGTTCCGCAACGATCTCCCTTTTGGAGCCCATTGTCGACCACTTGTAGAAATCAATTGTTGCGGCTGTCGTCTCCAAATGCCCTCAAGCAGTCTCGCACTGCCACTGTTTCTCGACCATAAAAAAGGAAGGCAGTGGGGTGGGGGCAGACAGTGGTAGCTCGGTCGGAAGCCGACAAACTAAAGAAAAAGTAGGTCAGGCCAAAAGGAATAGTCTTGTCACGTCGCAGACAAGACAAAATAAGAGGGGAGAGAGAAAGAGATGGCTCGTTAGGGAAGGCAGAAGCGTTTAGTAGTTCCCCCGGGGGGGGATGAAGATGGTTTGCTCTGGGCGGCGTGGGGCACGATTTAAGCCATTACCAGGAACAAAATGGGCTGCGAGCTGAATCGGCAGCTTCTTATCCGTCCAAGCACAAGGGAGTGTGGAGTGTCTGAGGGAGGGGGGGGAAAAAAAAAAAAAAGAAGAAGAAGAAGTACAGGACAGAAAAGGAAGATCTAAATGCCACAAGTAGGAAGAGCAAACAAAGGTGAAGATCGGAAGGAGGACGAGAGAAAATGGACCTAAGGATGGGGAAGCGATGGTGGGGAGGCGTATAGCACTTTTTATTGATTTAATTCACGCATGCGAGTTGGTGCCCTATCATGATCATGGCTCCATTCCCATTGGGTTCTGCCTATTATTATCATTATTATTATTATTATTATTAACTATTATTATTATTCCGCCCATCCTTACTATAGCATACAGGCATCTGACTTCTACTTTGAGTTACTAATATAAAAAAAGTCAAACTAGAGTCTCTTAGGTAATCTACTTCCTCTGGTCTGATCGGGACGAGAGACCATCCAATCGCAAGCCTTGGCCCTCCTCGACCTTCCCAAGTCATGAATCAATCAATCATGGATCAATCTGGATCTGGATCGGATCGGATCAGTCTGGAAGAGAATTCCCGTCGGTGCCTCTTGCGGTTTGTTCGGTCCTTCAAATGATCGACGCCCACTCCCACCGGCCGTGCATGGAAGATTCATAGGTATCAAGTGGCGACCTTTGCCACCCAATTTGGCCAATCGATCGGCTGTGTAGTTAACTATCGACATGTATATTGGTTCATAAATATTATGCTAAATTTATTATATACTTATACTTCCACAGTTCGGATATATTCCACCTACTTGGTCAACCAACCCATTACGTAGTTATGAAACTTTGAAGGATAGGTAAGCTCTCTTCACCACCGGATCTATACGGCATTGCAGAAGGGTGCCAAGACAAACAATGGGCAGTAATTTGGAGCACCCAAGGAGATCTGACTTCGCCGATGGAGTCGATGCCGTCCATACTCCCTGACACGCAATCTACTGGGGCCAAATCAAGTATTCGATGTGACAGCAAACGTACCCTCAATTAGAATAAACTTCCCAGTTCGATCTGGGATGTTGTTGAAACTAACCTTGTTAGACCCGGTGAAGTCATCCAAATAGCCATGATGCGAGCTGTATAAATAGCGTCATTGTTGCCTGTGTACCTCAGATATACCCCCGAAGTGGAATGTTCCCATAGAAAGAAGTTCCTGCTATTAGAAGATATATATCCCATATCATCTTTCGGGGGGTGAGTACATTATCACCTCATTTAATGCCTGCCATTTGAAAAATGCAATGGAGGGTATAGGGTCGATTGATTGGAAATGCAAGGTCACTGTGTCCGGATCGATGGGACAAGTACACAGATAAACATGTTATACTTGGAGATGCTACCAAGGAGAATAAGCTCCCACCTCAAGCTAGGCTGCCACAGCAGGCAGGAGCTCAAGTCTTCAAGTACTTGCTACGTGAAATATTGTGTTCTTGGGTACAGAGGATAAATAAACAAGAAATAAGCACAAGGACCCGGTATATTGTACCCACATGGGTAGGTTAGTCTATTAGAAATTTTCTATCGTTGATCGATTGACTTTTTTTTTTTCTTAATTTCTGGCTGCTGCCATTGGGCAGTTCAGTTATCTCGGACAGACAGCACGGAAGTACTAGTAAGAACTTAAGAGGAGCTAGGCCTCAGTCCACTCTTGGGCGACAACTGCGATATGAAAACAGACCAGATAGGAATAGATTCATCAACATTAGTGGATGCTCCCACTGTGGCGTTCTCGTCATTCAGTCTCACTGTGTTGTTGAAACATGGTGACTAGCGAAACTGAGAGTAGGGTGACTTGGCCTGTTTCAAGATATCCAGAGAGTTAATCCAGCCCAACTTAAGAGATGGAAAGTTCAACAGCTAAGACGGGAAAATCATGCTGAAAAAAAAGAAAAAAAGATATTGCCGTATATGTACTTGTTGAGTAGTCCTGAGCAAAGCCGCCTGTCTCGCACTTGGTCGAAAACGAAACCAGACAAAGTTGGATCCGTTCTGGGACGGGCTTGGCGCCAGTGCTTGCGCCTATGGGAGGCCTAGAAGCTGCCATGTCGCCATCACCATCCATCATCCATCATCCTTCTCCATGAAGCAAGGTAGCACTACCATTCGATTCAACACTGCCACGGTCCAAGAGTTGACATGGTTCTGAGAATGGACTGCCAATTCCTCTGCCTTGTCCCACTCAGCCTCTTTCTTTCCCTTCTCGGTCGCAATCCTCTTCCCCGTCCTTCCGCAGTTCCAACCTTAACTGATTTTGGATCTTAGCAGGGGTTTTTTTATCCTGACGTCTTGTCGCCAGCTATATTCTTTCTTCCCCGTTTCCTTTTCTTTTTTTTACCCTCAATTCGCATCCCCTCAGACCACGTCTTCCCTGTCTTATGGCCATTTTTACTACGCCCCGGTCCCTTCAAAATGCCTACTCAGTGGTACCCCGTCAGTTCATGACGCAGTCCCACATGGACGTCTCTCCCGCCCTCTTCCAGAATTCCCCCCCTTCCAGACATCCACCCTTCTTGAGCCTTGTCCTTCTTGTCTTTGAGGCGGTCCTCGAAGTCATCTGTGTCAGTCTGCCAGGGTATATCGCTGCGAAACAAGGCCTGTTTGATGCAGACGCTCAGAAAATCGTCGCCAATCTCAATGTCACACTATTTACGCCATGTTTGAGTATGTCGTGGGCTACTCTTCCAGCAGAGAATTCTTGCTAACCAGGAGAACCATAGTCTTCACGAAGCTGGGGTCACAGCTGACTGCGGATAAACTCACCGATCTAGCCATCATTCCTTTGATTTTCATCGTCCAAACCCTTGTATCCTACATCTGCGCTTTCGTGGTAGCTCGATGCTTCCGCTTCAAGAAACGCGCGGCCAACTTTGTTACGGCCATGGCGGTGAGTGACTGGGTATATATGCATCCCTATCCTTAGAACCGTTCGACTGACTGTTTTCTTTGGACAGGTGTTCGGCAATTCGAACTCTCTTCCGATCTCCCTCGTAATGTCACTTGCGCAGACATTGAAAGGCCTCCACTGGGACCGGGTGCCCAATGATAACGATGATGAGGTGGCGGCCCGAGGGATTCTCTACCTACTGATTTTCCAGCAACTTGGCCAGCTCGTGCGCTGGAGCTGGGGTTACCACGTTCTTCTCGCCCCTAAAGAACGGTACTTGGAAGAGGCTGAGGGGGAACAAGGGCCAGCAAGCATTGAACAGGGCCTGGAGAGATATAGCGACAATCCGGAGCTGATACACCCGGATGAGCCATTGATCAGAACTGGAAGCTCCGAGGATGGTTTGAGTGGTTCGTCCACTGGAGATGAGGATTCTAGCGAGTTCCATTCTGGCGAACAAACGCCAGTCACAGTACGCACCTACTCGTTTACCAAACTGCCCCCCGACCAGGGGGGCCATGAAAGCCATCCCCCCTTGCCTGAAGCCCCGCCACATGTGCCTTTCTTGCCCCGGCAGAGCACACAAGGAAACATGCACTGTTTTCCCAGTGTTAAGATGCCGTCCCAAGAAGACGAACATAAAGCAGGGTTCACTGTGCGCGTTAGGTCTTACACGCGTCGCCTTAGTGGTTGCGTCACCAGCAACTGCGGGGGTTTTGCCACAAAGGCATTTCAAAAACTGCCCACCAGGGCCCAAAAATTAGTGTTAGTGACCTGGATGGGCACACGAAGGTTTCTCTGTGGTGCTTGGCAGTTCATGAACACACCGCTTTGGGCAATGCTTGCCGCAATTGTGGTCGCGTCCGTTCCGTCGTTGCAACAGTTGTTTTTCGAAGAAGGCACTTTTGTGCAAAACTCGGTGACTCGAGCGATCAACCAGAACGGCCAGGTTGCCGTGCCCTTGATCCTCGTGGTTCTCGGTGCCAATCTAGAGAGGAACACCTTGCCTGAGGAGGCATTGGAAGATATGGAGCACCCCAGTGAGGAGCGAAGGTTGATAATCGCATCTCTGGTGGCGCGTATGCTGCTCCCGACTCTGATTATGGCCCCGTTGCTTGCCATCGTAGCGAAATACGTCCCCGTGAGCATCTTAGACGACCCCATTTTCGTCATCGTCTGTTTCCTGCTCACTGGTGCGCCATCCGCCCTTCAACTGGCCCAAATTTGCCAGATCAATAATGTGTATGTTGGGGCGATGTCGAAGCTATTGTTCCAAAGCTATGTTGTTTGGTACGTTCATTCAAGAGACATGAGTATGGATGATTGCTGATTTCTATAGGATTCTTCCTTCCACGCTTATTCTTGTAATGTGTGCACTGGAGGTGGTAGAATGGGCCTCCGCTTAAATGCAGTGCGGGGTTCCAATCTAGGGTCAGGCGGAATGAATCAGGACAGGGAAACAAAAAGAATAGGTCTATGAACAAAACATATTAATGTAATGCGTAATTATAATTATAGCAAGCACCCACTGGGGTACTGGGCATGGTGCTAAGTACATGCTATGCTAAACTGTGCTATTTCCTTCCACATACCAGAGGTCTACCTTGTCTATGTAGGATGCTGTTGCCCAGCCATATAGGCACTGTGATTGAGTGCTGCTACTTTGTTACATCTTCACTTGAGCCTTCACATTAGGTAGCACTCCAACACCATGTCACTTGACTACCTTACTCCCTACTACGGTAGCTAGAATTATATCTCCTTCTACTGGGCCCTAGTAGCTTTTTGAACATGCGGTGCCCGTGATAAGGGTCGCTTTGCATATTTCTATGTAATAAATTGTGCTGCTATAGGAATATCTCGACCCTACTCTCCTTCCAGTCTTGGTATATTTTATATACCGGGTACTTACTACACTCTATTTGTAAAAGATCTTTTTAGGGTAATTTTTTTTTTTTAGGTACATTATGTCTGGTTAATGACTGTGCGATTGGATATTATTAGTCCCTTCTTGCCTTTCATGTATATATTCTAATGTACTGTTTGAACCAAAACCTCAGTACATGATACATCGACTCATTTAAATCCCCAAGGATGCCCAGATATAACAGTTCAACTCCATGGTAGTACAACGAATACCATATCTCACTAATATATATCGCTGAATCAAAAACATAGTATTAGTTGGTTACTTGAAAACCAAGCATATAGATACGACAATTGCACTCTTCCTCATGTAGCATAACAGTCTGGCTGAGAACCAGCCAACCCCCGATGGTCTAGTTGGTTCATGGCGTTCGGCTGTAATGGATTTCCTTGTAACCGAAAAGTCACCAGTTCGATTCTGGTTCGGGGGATTTTTTTGGTCTATCTCTGTTTAACCAATCTATTTTAAGATCTTGCCTATAGTTCTATGAAATAAAATTACACATAACATACCCCCGATGGTCTAGTTGGTTTATGGCGTTCGGCTGTAATGGATTTCCGTGTAACCGAAAAGTCACCAGTTCGATTCTGGTTCGGGGGATAAGTTTTTTCCTGGTTTCCTTTTTGACCGGGCTTGGCTGTATTCTGTAGAAGGGCAAGATTGAAAAATGGATGAAAGTCTGTGTGGGTCACAAGTAAACTGGGCTATGATTGCCTAACTCCTCTGTGCAGATTAACCTTTGCATAATTAAGCAACAATGTGTTGTGGTATGAAGTATGTGAGAGTGTTTGAAGTCCCTGAAATTCAGAAACATTGGCTTTCCTTAGTGCCAGCATTCTATGTATAGAGAGAGTGTGTGAATAGACAAGAATGAATGCTCTTGAGCACAACCCATCACTTCATAAATGTCATAAAGTCTTGAGGTTTATAGGAATCCAATACTTCCAGATTGGCAGAATTGTTTCCTATTTCTATTACCTCCTATTGCGAGGACAAGTCTACTTAGTCTGCTTGGGTTGTGACTATATATGATTGGTTTTTACAGGGGGGAGATTGCGACGGGTCACCTCAGTTGTGGAGTTATAAATATAAAATCAATAAGAGTCTCATATATCAAAAGTCAGTGTGGCCGAGTGGTTAAGGCGATAGACTAGAAATCTATTACGTTCGCGTGCACAGGTTCGAGTCCTGTCGCTGACGATATTTCCTTTTGTATTTTTTTTATTGCATTTGTTTATTTTTTATTTATTTTTGCTCGGTGGAGGCCGAGGAAGAGATATGGAGTGACTTAGAGGCTGGCGTGACTTAAAAACTAGTTGTCAGACTCGATGTGCTTGAAACTGTGAAGGTTTGGTTGTGCCTAACCGCCAGTCTAGAAGAAGTAAAACTATAAAAGGTACAAGATGACTCAGTCCGTCGAAACATCATTCGCATCTAGCGCCCTACATAACTAATTAGTAGCGAAGGCTTTAGTCAGAGAAATATACTAGTTAAGTTAGTTACTGTGTACGCAGTACACATCTATGTATTATGTAATAAATTGTACAAAGAATATCCTAGTCCAGAAATACACTTCTCCCAAAACCCTTTAATAACTCTCCAGTACCTTTCCGGATCCTGACTCACAAGCGCGAAATGTCCTGACCTGTAAACCTCTCCAAAACACTTTGTACTCTACCTCATTCGCTTCTAGCGCATGGGCCTCCACATACTTGTGTCCCATAAATGGATCCGTCTTGGAATAAATGTACAATCGCACAGCAGGCACAGGATTTGTCCCGGGGGTGTTCACCACATATCTCCCCCGTGCCGGAAGCGATTCCCTACGCTGGAGAAGCGGCCACACTCCCATGAGGAAAGTCACCATGAGTGTCGAGATCATGTGGGCCATAAGACGCCGGAGAAAGCTGAATTCCATGACAAAAGCCGCTGTCCAGTGGGGGAATTCACAGAAGAAGGACACGCCGCTAGGTGTGGAGTCTAGGATTAGAGCGTGCAATGGGAGGGGAGGAGGACCATTCGGATAAAGATCTAGCCAGATGGAGCAGACCACTTCGAGATTGATACCACCGCTATTGGAGAAAACGTGCATGAGGACCCTTTTGATCCTTACTCTTTGCTTGTTGGTCTTTCCTAGGGTTGAGCGTGTCCTGCAGATGTCTGGGCTCGATGGTGGTGGATGCTCCGGGTAGACGTAGGAAAGGGTGTTGCTCCTCTGTAAAAATGTCCCTGACAAGTGATTTTCACCTTGGAACTTGGGTACAGAATATGGTAGCCGTGGACGTATTTCTGGATAAGCCGCATGGATGTATCGGCCTAGGTAGAGAGGGAGCAGGGGGATAGGAACTGACGTGTTTTTGATTCGGAGGTAGGATTTGAGATTCGTAGATGTAGATGTTCTCGGAGAATTTGCGCAACGGAGGGACCGGGCTGGATGCCATGGTATTGGCTATGATAAATATTGAGGCTGTATGAATCGCTATCTAACACAGCAGTGATCAAGAGAGGAATTAAGAAAACAAACAAATGAGAAAACGAGAGTCTGAAAAAAAGACTCGTTATCCTCAAATGAAGGGTTTCCTTTTTAGGGAAAAGATTAATATTTAGAGTACTTGAAGATGGTCATTATCGATGCGTATTGCTGGCAGATGAATGCTGTTCTCCCACCGGAATGAAATGAGGAAACTTATATCTCGAGTAACAATAGGGGGACATTTTTGGAAGAGATTTACGAGAACATGCTTGCATAGTTATTGGGTATTCGACGGCCATGGTACAGTAAACGAAGAGGCGGAAATGAGTAGGTCAATACCTTGGTGTGGAGCTAACAGACGAGTCTTTATCTGTTTGTATGTGCTCGTGTTTATAACTGGATGATATAGTTAAAGAACTGATAGGTTTTTCCATGTGATGCTACTGAGTACTGTCTATATCATCTTTCTCATATGTCTGATAGGCCATTTGGATAGGTGTTGCTCAAGAAAGAACTCCAGGAGACATGTAGTACTGTTGAGGCGTTACTGCATGTAAAATGAGCAGACTATATTTGAGGAATTTATGTGTTATTACTGTAAAATCTTGTAATAGATTTTAGTAGTAATAACAGTACTTGCAGAGGCAAGAAGAATTCTGTCAATACTCCAAAAATGCTTGTTATCTAGGCAAAGATAAAGTAGTTTGTAATTTCTAGTAAGCACGAATATCTCAACTCCAATGGAATGCCCTGAATGGCTCCGAGTTTTCGCATACTAAATGTCCAGGTCCCTACTAGGTCCCGAAGAACGGTTCCGCCAAGAGTTGGAAAACCACTATAGTTTGCTTTCTACCTCTGGACGAGAGCAACTAACGATCTATCACGAGCCAGAACAATCTGTAGAAACGTCCATTCATCTGTCCATCAATCACTCATTCCATCCATTGCATGTTTACAGATACTTTGTCGCACGATGAATCTACCTCAGCCCTACAAGGCGATGGGATCTCCACATCGCCAAGCCGACGATTCCGGAGGAATTGATGGAATTGAAACCAGGAAGCGCCGGCATTCCTACGAGGTGAACCACATAGTCCTGCAGCAGCGGTGAGTGGTTCGGTTGGGGTCGGCTTTTTGAAAATGGGGGTTAGACTCAGACACGTACAACTCATAGACCACGGAGGGGGTCCGTTTCCAGATGGACAGACCACACCGCACGATTGATAGGACGAGAGGGAGAAGAAGCAGTAGGAGTATCGAAGGAGATGGACTTTGTGGAGGCCGTTAGTCGTATTTCGTCGGATGAGATGCTCACTGAGTCTTACAGGGAAGGGAGTGGTAAGATGTGGTCTCCCATTGTTGGCTGGGAGTTTAGGACATCCTCGTTATATTCGATATTACTCTGGAGTAGAGTACTAAAGTCGAAGGAAGAGAAGTATAATCGGATGAGTCTCTCCCTCCTACGAACGAACGGAATAATATCCCAGCTCTTTAACCAGATTTCATTTCCCAGCCAAGACGGGTCAATTCTGTTGCCTGGACTTGGGCTTCATATCGACCAAAGAGGATGACTCATGTGGACCAGTTTGTCGGACATTGGCCCATCCACAAATCATATCATATTCATACTATACTATGCATCCAAACATCAATTCCGGTCCACTCTTCCCCCCTGATCAACCCCTCCCATTTAGGTCAGCCCTATCTATAGTTAGTTACATGCACTATTAGTCAGGAGAAACCAGGCGTTGCAACGTTCCTTTTATTTCACCATCTCCCTCGGGCTTTAATCCCTAGATTCCTACACATGCGGAGCACAGGTCTCACCCAATGCAACAGCCATCCTCATATATGCCCACGTCCGTCGAATCTGGTTCTCATCACTACGGATTCCATTGATGACCTATCTTTCCCCTATCATGGGCTGAATGGACCATCGCTCTTTTCACTGTACTCTGTTAATGACTCCAGAATCAATGGGAACCAAATGTATCCTATCGAGATGAAGAGCCCCCGATACACCTTCTTCACCTCGCAAACGCAGGAAGCCCATGTCTTCTCCACATGGGAAGACATTCTCAACTCGAAGGTCCTCTCCCACCTGACGGTAAGCATAAAGGTCCCCGGGGCCCCCGTCTGGTGGCTGGACATTCGCGATGCCACGCAACGAGACGTGGCGGTGGTGTCGCAGGCGCTGTCGATCCATCCGCTTACGGCGGAGGATATCGCTACGCGCGAGACCAGAGAGAAAGTCGAGGTGTTTCGTAACTATTATTTGATTTCGTTCCAGACGCTGGTGTCTTTTGTGAATGATGATAGTGAATCTGTCGATGCAGGAACAGGACAAGGACAAGGATGTATCCGCTCGTCCACTGCGTCGTCCATTCCCTACTCAGCAGAATTCTACATCCTCGTTTTTAACGGTGGCACGGTGACATTTTCCCCTAGTGGATGTGGCCACATGGCACGTGTGCAGGATCGGATTCGTCGATTGCACGATCCGTCTATTTTAAGTAGTGACTGGATCTGTTATGCTCTGATGTATTCCCCCTACCTTCTTTTCCTCTATTTACGTGTACAAAGTTGACAGAATAAAGTGATGACATAGTCGACAGCTTCGAACCCCACCGCCAAGCAGCGGAATACGAATCTGAAGCGATTGAAGACCAAGTCTTCATTGCACGGGTCGATGACGTGAAGTCGTTGATTCCGCGAGTGGACAAGCTCCGCAAGAAGATCACGCATCTGACGCGTTGTCTCAGCGGAAAGGTAGACGTACTGAACGGGTTCGTTAAGCGGTGTCAGGCGAAAGATAAGAGTCCCGTGTTCCCTGATGGCGAGTTCATCCTGTATCTGGGCGACGTGCAGGATCATCTGGTGACCACGTTGCAGAGTCTGATGCATTTCGATGAGATCGTGAGTCGCTCGCAGTCGAACTGTCTGGCGCAGCTGAGCGCAAATAACCTGCGGTTGAGTCTCAATATTAATTCTGTCTTGAGTAAAGTGACCGTGTTGGCGACTATCTTTGTGCCGATGCATATGATGACAGGCTTGTTTGGGATGAACGTCAATGTGCCGGGACAGGAGGTAGATGGGTTGGGGTGGTTTTTTGGGATCATCGGGGGAATGTTGTCTTTTATGGTTATTGCTTGTTCGGTGGCTTATAAGTATAAGTTGCTGTGACCCTCTCTTACATGGGGTTATATCTATAATTATAAGCGACTGTGTCTATAAATAAAGTGTCGTTATACAAAAGCGCCACAATTTTGAGTATATCGCATCGTAGGTAAAATTAGCAATATTATTGAATCTATATAGGTACTAGAGGGTCCACTATGCAACATCTTTGATAGTCAGCTATTTGACACAGTCAACTGCAAGCTCGGCAGTCAATCTATAGTTAGGAAGGCATAGTAATCTACATCCCAAACTTTCCCCCCTTTGGAACAGAGAGATGCGTACATCCCTCCCAGTCGCACGTATTCTACTCTATTAGCATCATCATCTACACTTAAAGAGAAAAAAGAGAGAAAGACTTTACCTTATACACCTCCGTCCCCCACCAGGAAAACCTCTTCGCCGCTCCACTATAAAAAATAGCAAAAAAGATAACGACTCCTGCGATCGACACAGACGAGTCCAACGCCGCACTCAACACGAAATTGTACTTGTACCACCAACCATGGACGTGTCTGCGCAGGAAATACCCAAATGTGAGACCCACGACGGCCCAGCTACCGTAGTTGGTGCCCGTTGCCGGAGGAAGGTAGTTCAATCCGCCCAGAAAGAGCGGGACGTGAACACGTCGCCATAGGGAACGCGGGTAGCGACGCTGCAGGAGGTAAATAGGGACGGGCAGGACAGCACCGATGATGAAGAAGAATAGGAGAGAGCCATAGCCTACCTGGCTGGTGAAGTAGCGTTGAGGTCCCACGGCGCCCCAGATCAAACTGGTGTTGAAGTGTGTGCGTGAGTACGGACATGAAAATCCGTTCACGGCGTCCGCGGTGCATACACCGTGGATGTGGTTCAGTGCCCAGGTTAGGACTCCCATCGAGCTGAGGGTGCCGGCTATCATGCCGACGCATTGAACGAGGAAGAGGCTGCGAGGGGGGATCTACAGGGGTTAGAGTGAGGAAGAGGTTGTGGGGAACGGATACAAGGTACATACGTGGCTATACTGACAGAGTTTCATGTCTTCTGCGAAGTAGAGTCCCTTGATGGTGGAGGTGTACCCGATGTCGAAGAACCAGATGTTGGCGAGAACTTTGCCCTCGAAGACGAACCCGGCCACGATGCGACAGAAGATATCGATGTTGATCTTCAGGTTTGAGGAGCCGTAGACCAAGGCCAGCTGCGGCAGTCAGTGATCACATTTTGCGAGATATCGAGACAAGGATGAAGAAATTTACCGGACCGAAGAAGATTAAAGCCACGGCCCAAGCTAGTAGAACGCCGTACCATCGGATCTCAGTTTCCCAGTATTCAACGGCGAAGATGGTCATGAACAGTGCAAGAATGCATGTGATTAGATACCACCAACTGGGGACATCTGCCCTGTTCTGCTTATTTCCCGTGGCCTTTCCTTTCCATGAATGGGCGATCAGATTGGGAATGCTGCGCGCTGCAGTGGCGAGGGCGGGGCGCTTCTCGAGCAGAATCCAGACAAGAAGGGAGCTCAAAGTTGCAAAGGATAAACCGAACATATTCAACGCATAGACGATGGGCATGTAGACCGGAGAGTACGCCTTATACCTCTCCAGATCCAGTTTATATCCCGTGGCGGCACTGACAATCTTGGCTACTTTATAGGTCGCCCCGGTATTATCGTAAACTGAACAAAGTATTAGCACACGTCCGAAAAATGCGGGAATCTACTTACCGGACGAGCTCTGGAAGGGCAAATGCCCCGAATTCCAGATATTAGTATAGTAGCAAGCCACCGCTACGACCCAAATCCAAAACGCTAAGGAAACGAAGACATTCAGGATGGCCCAGGAGGGAATAAGAAGAGGCGAGCCGACGTAGGAGATTTGGCTCCCTTTTATTATCAGTGATCGACTCGACAGGACATCTTTTGATAGGATTCTTACAATCTAGAGTCAAGGGCAACAGGCCCATGCCTGTCTTCATTCCAAACAGCTGGTTCACGACCTTGCTTTTTGGATTTATCCAGCAGGGGAAGGTAAAATAACTCAGGGCTGGGAATATAAAATCCGGAAACCAATACCAGCAGAAGGAGATGCAAAAGGCGACGGTGAAGAAGGCATAGCGAGAGATCTTCCACGTGGTGGCGCTATTTATCGAGGTCAACGAGAGATATCAAAAGATGGTATCGAGTGCTTCAAGCTACTTACAATTGCTGCTGCTTGCCTATGTGATGCAGGGTAGCTGCCAGAGAGGTTGTACCCAACACTCCTGGCCAGATGAGCTCACGAGGCTGCACAACCACCGAGCGAAACAAGCCAGAAAGACAAAACCCCGTGAGGAATGTTCCCAATGTGATCAGGATCTTGAATCCCCATCCGGTCTTCAGTCCATAGAACATCTCCTGTTCGGTCAAGACATCAGCGCCGAGCCGAACGTAGATGCTCAGGTTGGACATGATGTAGATCAGGATGTGTTCCTGGGAGAAACATTGAGCTATTGGTCTATATGTTGGGGGGGTATTCAAGGCAAACCTTTTGGTTAAACCTCCCTGGATTCAAATTGAACCTCCATCGCCCTAGCGGAACATCCCAGTTCGGGATGAGCTTCTCCCATAGTCTTCCGAACGGGTAAGCCAGCAGCAGCACCACCGACGAGGAGATCGTGATCGAAGGGACCCGGAGAGTGTACAACGTGTTCAAACCGCTGGCGATCAGACAGAATGCGATTCCCAAAACCCACATTCGCAGCGTGAGCACTGGTTCTGTAGGATCATCTTCCTGGATCCCTATACCGGCTGCCCGCAAGACATCGGATTGTGAGTCTGCCACGATACAGGGGATTGTGGTTAGTCTTGAACATCACCATCGAGTAGAGATCTCACCGTCGTCACTCTTTTCCGAAGAAGGGATATGGGATTCACGGCTTGTGGTTTCAATTACCGGCTTCGAATTGACGCCCATTGTGCCTGCAGTCTGTACTTTACTACTGGAAGGAGACAAACAGGGGGATATCAGATCAGATATACCCCATCAGATAAGATCCTGACCGGCAGGACGATTCCTTCCGAAAACCGCGCTGGCACCGGGATCCGAGTAGTTACATGCTGTGGATCCTGTTCCAAACTTCCTCATCGGCCTCTGTCCGGTCTACTAGCCCTACAAGGCGATAAGCGTCTGCAGCGGAGGATGGACGCGAGAGGAGATTGGCACGAATTGTGTCTGCCTAATTCTAGTCCCTGTTGCCCCTGTCTTTGTATATTAACTCTGCAGCACAGCGTTGTTTGCGAAGCTTGGTTGTTCAGTTTCAGACATAATACGGTGAGAGAAGAATAGGAAACATTCCTTGCCTATGGATGAAAAGCAGGAGCGAATGCATTATAAGGAGAGCTACAATTGTAGACTATTCACGACGGGATTTATCTCGCCAAAACCCGGTACAGCCCGTACGGAGGACTCGAGTCGTATGTGTCCAGGAACGCCAAATGGGTCCTTGCCCCTCTTTGTTGGACCATTGCTTGCTCCCAGTGTCAACTTGGCATTAAACGGGCATAAGGCTAAGCTTCATCTGTGGGTTCTCGGTTCGGAGCCAGAATCGGCGGCGACTATTGGATTTAATGACCAGCTGTGGACCCGACAGGCAGTCAGGATGGAATCGGAAAGACGATCAGAAAGAAGGAATATTAGAACAGAGACAATTATACTCAGTCGATTATCTTATCTGATATTACTTCGACTCCTGGATTGGTTGGAAACATCAGATGTTGAAAATCAAGAAATTGGTTTGCCTTATAGGGCTACGTGGACCCGTCAGGACACGAAGCTTTGCCTCCACTTCTTAGCGGAATCGGTGGTTGGAGAGAGACCGTCGTTCGCTTTCTTTGAGCTCGTATGGCGGTGGGACAAATCGGCTGGATTTCTATGACAAAAAGAATTTACTACAGCCTTGCATTATCCTAGTACCGGACGAGCATGTCCGGAGCAATTCGTTCATATCGTTAATTATCTGAGTGGTAGACCTTATAGCTTACATTTCACTTTTATATTATCTTTTTAAGCCATCCATTGATGGAGCTTTCGCATAGAATTTAATCCTAATATCGGCTCTCTTTTCTATTAAAAGCCTACATCCTTATAAACTTACGTATTCAACAAACCAGGGATTAATTAATCTAATCTATCCCCGCCTTATTAAAATTGCCTCATGGACAACTGTACCAAGTTAATCTCGGCAATAAGCTACTTTAGAAATGCTAGAAATGGCATACAGAATTCTCTTCCGAAGCAACAAATGCTCTAAATTGCTTATTTGTTATGATTCTTGCGCACAGTAAATATCCTCTACTCCCTAAACTAGTTTATAAGTAATTAAATGGTTCCGAGACTAGTCAAGTTTTGTTTGATATTCAAACGACCTACTCTACAATATCTGCTTCGTCCATGAGATCTCAATTCCTGCTGAACAAATATAAAAATTATATGAGCTTGTAGCCTAGTACATGCCACTCCATCCACCGAACTGTATACCACAAATATCACCTGCAGATTAAACAGATCATAAACTCCTCTCATCTTCCTACTTCAATCTCGCACTTTACTACCTATGACCAAAATCACGCGGGGAAAATTTCTCCAAGTGCAGGAATCCCCACGAACGGGAGCGCAGATAATTGACTCTCTGAACAGAAGTAATAATTCAATCTGTTGCTTCTATATCAGATTACGGTCTATATATAATATAGACTTGCTGTAAGTCTAAATAATAATTTTCAGTGAACTTACTTGCAGATCAAATGCTATATTCCAGACAAGTCAGAAAGATAGACGTCATCACCCACATCGTACTCGTCAAATACAAACCCTTCACTACATGGAACGAATTCGAAAAAGCATTTCGAGGCGTTTCTCTCGCTGAAACAGAATTGCGTCAAGACAGATACAGGGCGTCCGTATATGAGGAGCTTGAAAGCAGGTATCTAACCTCCTATTTCTCCCTCTCGTATATGGTTTGAGATCAATCTATGGTTGACATTATTGTTATTATTTTTATCCACTCGTCGGGCAAGAATCAAAGCTGGGAAAACCTCGTAAAGGCCTGACACATGGTTTTATCCTGGAATTTGAAAAAGCGGATCTGGATTACTATCAGACCAAGGATCTGGTGCATTTGGAGTTTTCGAGGAATGTGACACCCCTGATGTATTTTTTTTTTTGCTTTCGTAGATTGACCTCGTCTAATCTTTCCCTCTTGTTTTTTCAGCGAGGATTCAGTAGTGATAGATAATCATCAGCCATATATACCCGAAAACGCAAATTTAACCAGGTAAACAACAGACATCAAAAACGGCATCCTCTTTTGTCCTCCGGCCGAAAAACCCACAATCAGAGCAAAAGCCTTCAACAACAGCTGTCATTGTAGCTCCTGCACTTGGATAGTATAGATCTCCAAACCAGAACATATCCTCTGCCACTGTGAAACGTGTCGAAAACTCGGTGGCGGTCCGTATTCCATAAACCAGATCATCCACAAGGTACGTATTGCATGTCCTACGTCTCACTAGAGCTATGTCCTACAGTGTAACCGCTGAGCTTACTCGACAAGATATAGGGCCAATTGTGTCTCCTCGCCGGATCTCCTGGTTGCTACACGTATACTGGCGCCTCGGGAAACTCGGTCGTTGTTACTTCTGTCCTACCTGTACGTCTCACATTTATCACCACCAGACGGTCATGGAAGAAAGGATCATTGTTCGGACGATTCTCCTTGATGGGGGTCAGAGTATGATGCCTAGCGGGGAGATCTTCGCGGAGGGGAAGTTGTGTGGGTAGATGGATTGCGACAGGTGTTGGAGAATAACACGTAGGAGGGTTATGTGGTTGATTTTTTGTTTTTGCACTAGATGGTAGGTATTCAGGGTTAAATAGAGATAGAAGGTAGACCGATATTGATGTTTGGATATTTCACACCTTGTTTTTCTTCACATCGATTTGCTATCTCACCTTGATATGAGATGGTTAGAATGTGCCAGATCTGATAGTAAGACTGCATTTGCTCATTTTTGAAGGACTGATGGATCACTCACAGAGAGGATAGGTACGGTGTGTCTACAGATTTCAGTAACCATACTATCCAATTTCCATTCAAGCCTGAGGGGTCCAGTCAAGCCTGAGGGGTCCAGTCAAGGTGGAAATGGACCCCTCAGGCTGAGACTGACGGATCCGTAGTCCAAGATCCGTCATTAATCTCCCGATCTTAGCGCGTTTCATCGACTCATGTCACTGAAGACTCAGTGTTGGCCCTTGGCACGAAGGCAGTAGAGGGAGCGGGCGTTTCAGAAAGCGCCATGTCATTTCTGGCCAAGTTTGCATGTTTCAAGTTATCCTGCAGCCTGGGATATTACTATCTTACCTATCCGTAGGGAAGATAGAGTGTTGGGTTGCATCTCTGTCTAGCTGCAGGAGAGGGACGTATGTAATATTGCACTGCCATTGGGTGCCCAGTCTGAATTTTTTTCAGGAGCATGTCATTAAACGGATGTGATGGGATGGATTTCAGGCCTCCAAACGATTAGTTAGTTATGCTAGAGCTTATGTAAGAGAATAGTTCCATTGTTAATGGTACTTAACTGAATATCTGAATATCTGAGTACATTCGAAAACAGATAAATATAGGTGAAACCAACAAAGAATGTTGGGTCATATAACTAATGACCAGGTACATACAACACAAAAGAAATTGCAAGGATAGACTGTAGGTCAACCTCCTGGGGTATTTATGTAAAGACAAAAACTAACAAAAAAAAAAAAGTGAACCATCAAGGTAAGATATATATCTGCATTTCCATGTGATGCAGTGTATTCTCGGTAGTTGCATGCGATAAATGCCAACGTACATTGCAAATAGCGGGAGAACAAACAAATATAATACCCATCCTGTTCCAGACAGGCGGGCTGCGATCATTTGAACTCGAATTGTTGTCAATGTCCTTCTGAATCCTTCATAATCAGTGTTTCCTATACATTGCGAGGAATCTGATTAACTAGACGCAGTTTGTACCGGTCGGGATTCATCCTTCGCCCCCATTCCATCCTGACAAGAACGGATTGAGAGACGGCAGCTATTGTAGTGTCTTCTATTGTTGGAATGGGTTGGAATACAAGGAAAGGTGATCGATACGGCCGGATGAATCGAGTTGGTGAGGAAGTCTGGGTGGGGCAAGGAAATTCCGTCATCGTGGTCACGATTCCGGATGGGGTACTGAACAAGTATTCGACTCCGGAATACAGAGTAAGTGGTTGGTATTCAGCAGAAGCTGGGGTAGAGAAATGATGTTTGTTTTGCGTGCCGGATCCAGCAGATCAATTGATGTAGACCATGACCGCGAACGAGATCAGGCAGAAGCAAAGAGGAATGTAGACCTTCCGATCCATCGCTGGGTTCGGGCGGGTCGAGGGAAGCGAGCGGGAAGATTTGGAACGCGAGGATGATTTCGCTGATTTGTGTACCATATTCTAGAATGAGCAAACTGTATAGATGTCAGGGTGAAAAAGGAGAGTAAGATTGATGAGGGGAGAGAAGGAGGGGATTCAACGTGGCAGCAGATGATCGCCCAACATGGCAGTGTTCCCAACATTTAGTCAATCAATCAATCGTCACACTGCGCCCACGGTTGCAGGGAACACTCGGGGAAAGGTTTCCCCAGCAGCCGATCTCAGCATGGGATTATGTCATTGTCAACAAACAAGAGCAACCACTGAGTGTGTCACGTGGTCGGCCGCACGGGACAAGTTGTTTTGGGCACGATGTCACCCCCACGAGCGTTCGAATCCCATAGGGACCAACTAGCAATATTCGCCTATTCGCCTATCGCCTATCTTCCCCTCTTTTCTTTTAGTCATAGCTGCTCCTCTTGATACTCCAACGTAGTTCACGAACTAGCTGGTTTGTACACCATGGGATTTTTTTTATTAAACAAAGGAAAATGATCTGGGGAATAAACCCTGGGCAAATTTCCTGTCTGGTTACATTGCAGACAGCAGTGTCTTATCCACAATATTAAATTAAATCTTTGTCTCAGATGGATCATGGCAGGCTGCCACGCAATCATGTCTTGTCTTATCTTGTCTTGTTCTCAAAGCAATTGACGGAGGTGATGCAATGTTCCTCCGGATACTCAGATCCGAAAGTCCCAAAAAGAAGATAAGGCAACATATCAAAATTTCTCTCCGTCGAAGGTCCGACTTCTAGTGTAGCTCTAACTCTGGTTCGGGACTTCCCAGGCAGGCGATAGTGGGGGCACCCCATCTGCCACTCATTTTCATTGACTCAATTGTATCCTCCACAATCGATAGTCAAAGAAAGCGCGGTTGTAGTTGACGATTCTATTCTTCGGATTTCTCTTTTGATCATTCGGGATGAGACTTTGTCTCTTGTCTTTTTTTAGCTCTTTGGTTTGGGTTTATTTTTATTCCCATGTTTGTGGGAGAAATCTCTCATTTGAACCATGTACTGGGGCCAATTCTTCCGTGGTTACTCTCTCATTTTTTTTTCCAATTCCAATTGTAGAAAATTCTTGGATCGGACAGTGTACCTACCACCAGAGTCCTTGCTGCTTCTCTGGATACTGATGGCCTCATTTTCATGTAATAGGAACGGTTTTGTTCGCTTGTGCGCTGCTCACCTGACCCACGGGTCCCGTGCAGTCTCGGCCGCACACGTAAACCTTCGCAAATCCGCGATTTTCATCCTCGCAGCCGTCCCGTTATTTTGGCTTTCTCACAGGAAGGAAGTCCCTGCATTATTGTTATGCTGACATGGACAGCCCGCAGACAGCCTATCTTCCTGCAACATTTCTCTGACACGATCAACAGCGGATCGAGTCAAACGATGTGACCTGCACTCATCTGCAATCGCTTAATGGTGGCAGCTACTGCCTTGGCATTGTGACCCTTTGATTTCTTGTCCCTTCGCCCCCTCCATCTCCAACCACCCACAACCCCCCCCTTCTCCCTCCTTGTCAAGGAGGACTAAAACAGAGTAGTACATACAGGCATACTGAAAATAAACGAAAACATGCATTCGTGTGACTGCAACCTAACCATGGTCGGAGTAGACTTTGGCTCCATTTAGGCGGACTTAAACAAACGCATGCGGGCGAAAAAGACACAACAGGCACAAGCTTTTCTGCACTCGGGTTCCGCTGCCAGTCGATGTGGTGCTTCCCCGGCCGCTCAGGTTAAAAAAATGATGGCCACTGGTGGAGACGTAGCTGCATGGCGCGGACAAATCCTCCTATCATCATGGATAGGGACTTCGCCATCTCTGGGTCCGTCCCCAGTTGGGGCTCCACTGGATCGGGGTCGGCTACTCACTTATCCATCCGGTCAGTCAATCATATTGTCTAACCACACCCGGGTTGTGATGACGCTGGCCTCTCAGCGCCCAGTTCCTACCTGGATAAACTCTCCCTGTTGAACCAGGGGAGGACCAACGACTGCGCCGCCAATAATACTAGGTCATTGGGGCTGGAAACTTCCTGCTCCATTTTAATTCACGGCGCAAGTGCTCAGGGGACAATACCTACCCAATATATATTAACTGGACTGACGCCTTCCTTAATTCACCACCTTCTCCCCGTTTCCAAGCAACGAGGTCATCGTTACCTAGGCGGTCGCTCTTTTTTGTGTGCGCCCTCTTTCTGTCTCTTTATCTCGCCATCTTTGTTACTGTTACTATAGAACAAGCCTGGCTATTTATTTAATAGGCCCCCTCTTTTTTTTTCCAGCCTACCTTTTTCCACACTCGTTCTTGTATAGAGCAGTGTTCGTCGGCCTTGTCGACCCCTCATAAATCATAATGTATTTCAAGTATGCAGCGGCGGCACTGACCGCAGTGCTTCCTCTCACCTCTGCACAGACTTTCTCGGACTGCAACCCCATGCAGAGTATGTTCACCCTCCCATCGAGTCGAGCTATTCCTTGTCGGTGGCTAATATCCTCTGTAGAGACCTGCGACCCCGTCAAGGGTCTGGACACCAGTACTTATTCTGTGGATTTCACCACGGGTGGTGATGCCAACTTGGCTAAATGGAAGACCGCTGCCGGAAAGATTAATTTTGGAAATGATGGCGCCGAGTTCACCATCAACAAGAAGGGTGATGCCCCCACTATCGATACCGACTTCAATATCTTCTACGGTAAAGTCGAAGTTGTCATGAAGGCTGCGCCTGGAACGGGCATTGTGAGCAGCATTGTCCTGGAGTCCGATGTCCTGGACGAGATCGACTGGGTATGTCCCTTTCACTTCCCTCCCGATTCTCCTGCATCGTGCAAATGCCGGGCGAGAAGCATCACCAACCTAACTTGGGCGCCAACAGGAAGCACTCGGTGGAGATACCACTCAAATCCAGACCAACTACTTTGGTAAGGGCGATACTTCGTCCTATGACCGTGCCACCTTTGAGGCCGTGGCCACCCCCCAGAATACCTTCCACACTTACACCGTTGACTGGCATGAAAACCAAATGACCTGGGCTATCGACGGCAATGTCGTGCGCACTCTCACCTTTGATCAGGCCAAGGGCGGCACTCGCTATCCCCAGACCCCCATGCGCCTGAGACTTGGCTCCTGGGCTGGTGGAGACCCGGATAACGCCCCGGGTACTATTGAGTGGGCTGGAGGCAAAACTGACTACAATGGTGCTCCCTACACTATGTACGTCAAGTCCGTTAAGATCACCAACTACAACCCCGCCGAGTCCTACACCTACACGAACAAGAATGGCGACTCCGCTAGCATCAAAAAGGGAGGTGCCAAGAGCCCCGACACTTCATCGGCTGGCAGCACCAGCAGCACCAACACTCCTTCTACCACCGAGTCTGCCACTGGCTCTGCGACCACAGGTGCTGCTACCACCACAGGTACTACTCTCACAAAGTCCGGCACCAAGCCTAGCGGCTCTCAAACCGAGACGAGCACTGCCGGTTCTAGCTCGGCCACTGGCACTGGTGGCTCTGGCTCCGGCTCCGGCTCGGCCTCCGGTACTGCTGGCTCTGGCAGCCAACCCACGGGGGGTTCTGGCTCTGGTTCCGGCTCTGGTTCCGGCTCCGGCTCCGGTGGTGCTGCTGGTTCTAGCAGTGCTGGCCTCATTCCCACTGGCAACCCATCGCCTTCCGGCTCTGTCTCCGGTGCCAGCCCTACCCCTAGCTTGCACCTAGGAGCGGCTACTTCTATTGTGGGCTCTCCGATGGTCTTGGCCATCCTGGCTTTGTCGACCATCATGCTGCAGCTGTAAGCGAGTTGACCAAAGTAATGTTTTGGAGGTGGTAGGGGGTTTGGTGACAACTCCGGCTGGACTGTGATGAGGGAGCTCGATTGACTTCGCTCCCCTGGCTTCTTTGTATTGTTAACATTTGTAGTTTTTAGTACATAAAGACATGGCTCAATTTGAGCTGCGGTGGCTCGCATGCGACATCCATTTTGGGTTGTTTTACTCGTGCTGTTCCTTTGGGCCTGTGCTTTGATTACACCGTGCTGGTTTGCGGCGAAGGATGATGGATATGCTATTTATGGGAAAGGATGATCGCCTGCGCGCACGCCTGGATTGATTTGCAACGATAATATTAATTACACTTGAATACCATTCACTCATTGACTCATTCATGTCATTTGCATTCATATCATTCTTGTATGCATCGTAGCGGCTGCTATTTTAAAAACTAAACTGCAATCCCTCTCCCCCCAGCGCTAGGAAAAGGGGTTATCATTTCTGTTCATGTAAGACATTACTCGGCCACAATGGTCGAATCAAAGGGGTTTTCTCCTTTGCAGCGCTTGCAGCCGGTGAGACAGGTTTCGGACCACCTCCGCTACGGCATGATGTTCGCTGGCAGCGACCTGGAAGTGGCTCGTTATTGGGGGATCTGAGCACGGGCGAGCGTTTTCTTGGCGAGCGCGACGCAAAAACCAGGGCAGTTTCTCAGGGAGGATCGACTCGATGAGATTTTGGACCTGATTTGACGGCTGGGACACGGACGCCGACGTGGGTGGGTTCTGTCTCGCGACAATATCCCCGATGGATTGCAAGTGATCTTCGAGCGTGGCGAGGTCACTCGAGAGTGAGTCCGCCTTGGACTGCATGCGTGCCGTCAACTGCTCGAGATAATGTTCCCGCCTGGACATCTGCGTCGAAAGCCGCGCATCACGGACATTGGGGTCGGCGATGGTTTTTACCCCGCCACCGCCGCTGCCGCTGCTGGTAGCGATCAGATTGTCGAGTGCAGAGCGGATGTCAGCCCTGAGCGAGTCGAACTTCTTGGTGGCGGCGCGCGTAGCTTGCCAGCAGCCGTCGAATTCCAGGTCCAATTCGTGTCGCGGGCGACCAGGATGGGCTTGTAGGAGTCCCGTCTGAATGTCTCGTAGGTGTGATTCGCTTTGTTTCAGCGATCCGTTCAGCGGCGCCATCTCATGCAGTGTCGCATTAAGTAGCGTCTCTAGGCGCGTCTGCGACGACAGGACCGAGGTTGACCGTCGTGCGGCGACTTGCTGCTGAACGGGCGATGGGTAAAGGGGGGGATGCAGCTCGCTGGGTATAAATTTGATATCGCTTCTATAGAGCAGAGGGGTTGGTATTGTTGAACTAGTTCTGGCAGCACCAGCATGTGCGAGATGGCTGCGAAGAGAAGGATATTGATTACGCTGCGTATGGCCGGTTCCAGCCATGCCGATCTAGAGGCCGTTCGATCGTCATCGTCTTTTCGATGGGCTCCTCCCCGCCGTGATGTGGTATTATCATTATCATTATCATTATTGTGACCTTGGGATACGTCTGAGGACGATGGCTTGTGTCTGTTGTCTCTCTGGCTCTCACGAGGTAGATGTCGGTGTTTGAGTGTCGATCGTACGTTCGGCGCAACCCAGGAGGCTTCGGAAACTGGAGTCTCGTAGATCGACGGCATGATCAGCTCAGGTCCTGATATGGTTGAGGCGGAGGTGGTCATGTATTCACGTCCGCTTCCGAGATTTTCTTTGTTCTTGTTGCTTTTTTCTTTGTGAAGCTGATCATGACCTAGCGTGTGACACGCGATGTCAGATTTTTGGTCCTCTCCATGTCTGTTTGTAGAAGAAGAGGTTGCTACGACCCAGGAGTCACCCAGGATGACGCTATTAGTCGACATTAGTCTGAGAGTGAGAGAAGAAAGCTAGATGCTAGTTTGTAAACAATGAATTCGGTAGATGGGTAAGAACGCGGGAGTCGAGACACTACCAGTCGGTCCACAACCTGGACGCGAGGGGGACTTCCTAGCTTTATGCTCTGGAAGTCTCGTGCGTCACGTCGATAGAACGAATGTATATACGAATGGATATGAGACTCTTATTCAGTTGATTCTATTCCAACGCGGGGAAGAATCACGGGAATGATCGATCCCAATCGGGCCGATCAGCCTCCGCGTGACGCAGCAAAAATCCCCTGCGCGTGAAGTCTCCCAACCGCATTCATTCATCATGCGTCGACTACATCCACCTCTACGTCAGTCGTCCCTGTTCCGACCGTCCAGCTTTAGCAGAAGTCCGTTTTCGCGACGACAATGGCTGTCATCGACTGCCTCGCGACACTGTTCGTGCTCCGACCCGTCGTCTGAACAACCTGCCTCCCACGACTATCGAGTATTGGGCACGGCACAAGACCTCTTTACCACCTCCCTGTACAGCCCCGGATCCCCTCTATTCCTCCCCAATGGTGCCCATGTCATCAACAAGCTCATCTCGTTCCTACGTACACAATACCTCCAATACGGATTCCGTGAAGTCCTGACCCCAACCATCTACAAGCGTTCCCTGTGGGAGGTCTCGGGCCACTGGCAGAACTACAAAGATGACATGTACGAGGTCCGCGGGCGTGGAGCGACCGGCGAATCTGACGGAGAAACCGGCGAGAACGAATCGTACGGACTGAAACCTATGAATTGTCCCGGCCACTGTCTCCTATTTAAGTCGCAAAATCATTCCTATCGAGAACTCCCCATCCGATACGCCGATTTCAGCCCCCTCCATCGAAACGAGGTCTCAGGTTCTCTGAGCGGGTTGACCCGTGTGCGTCGATTCCACCAGGACGACGGGCACATCTTCTGCCGACCGCAGCAGATCAAAGGAGAGATCGCGTCGGCGCTGGGGTTTGTAGACCTGGTGATGACAACCTTTGGACTGGGTCCGTATCGTCTAGCCCTCTCTACGAGACCGGAGAAGGATTTCATCGGGAGCTTGGACCTGTGGAATAGCGCCGAGGCTCAACTGCGCGAGGCGTTGGAGAACAGCGGGAGAGAGTGGGCCATGAACGAGGGTGACGGAGCATTCTACGGCCCCAAGATCGATATCCAGCTGCAGGACCAGACAGGCAAATACCATCAGCTGTCGACAATTCAGCTGGATATGAATCTGCCCCAGAGGTTTGGACTAGAGTATCAAGTGGCCGAGGGAGAAGAGGACTATAACCCGGCGACTCCAGGACGGGCGACGCCTGTGCTAATCCACCGGGCGAATTTTGGCTCCTTGGAACGGTTCCTCGCGCTGCTGATCGAACAGTATGCCGGGCGATGGCCGTTCTGGCTATCGCCGCGTCAAGGCATTATCCTCACCGTCAACCAGGATGAATCGGTCGTGCGGCTGGCGCACGACGCGGCGGCGAAGATCTCGGGGTTTCGTGTGCTGCAGTATGATCAGAATAGGGATGCGCCGCCGCAGCCGTTGTCCGCCGTCGACTCGACGTTCCTGATCGATGTGGACGCGGGCAGTCAGACGCTAGGGAAGAAGATCCAGCGCGCTAAGCAGATGAAATATAACTTCATTTTCATCCTGGGTCCAAAAGATGTTGCTGAATCTCGCATCACGATGGACTTAACCGGCCAGATGCAGAGCAGCCCGGCTGGGAGTACCCAGAACCTGCACGATGTGATTACCCGCCGATTAGGAGAGCAGGCGCTACAGAAACCCAGGGCGATTCCATTAAAGGTCGATGCCGTGCATGATCTTCTGGTTGAATTGGAGAAGCGGTTTGTATGACACGATTCCATATAATAGAGGGATGAACTTGGAAATGTACTTATTAGAGAAAAACGAATAATCATATGATTGCTAGAAGCATGTGGCATTGATGCTATCATGGCTCGTTCAAATCGTTAATCATTGTCAATTACGAATCTTCATTCACCTCAGTCTTTCTCTACCAGTCAGGATAAGGTCTTCGGCTGCTCCATTACTTGAATACCCAAATGCTGCGGGGTCAATGCTATTCGGCCCGAAGAAGTGGGCGAAGATTCCATGTGGCATTTGCCTGTAGAAACCTCGCTTTGCGATGATATTCACTCCGGGAAATTCTGGGCGGGTATTCGGGGTTCGTGAAGAGGTCTATGGCCCGGCCAGATGTAGATGACGCTGGCACTGGTTGTACGTCGCTATGGGTCCGCTGCTTTTCCAGCAGTCGTACAGGGGTCGGTAGAGAGGTACACAGTGGCGATGTGATATTGATATACATACAAATATGGATTTCTAATGATACATTTCCCTTGGATTATTGTAGGGCATGGAGGACAATGTGTGCCTAATTCTTACAAGAGTAAACAGACACGTGATTATCAGATGACAGGACCACGCTTTTCCCCTTTCGTTCATAGTCTGCCTAAGGTGGAATTCCTTACAAGTTGGTGGCGGAGAAGGACTCTCTCAGACCACCAACTCAGCGGTAGTTATCGAGTCTATTTAATATCCAGAGTTTCCTCATGGCCACCCTCAGCGCTGTGTTGTTGATTGATCTGGTACACTGCAGGTGAAGCCTCTCTGGAATGGGCGACCCCAAACAGGGCCATTTCTGTGCCACTGATGCACGAAACGACAGCAATCAGAACCCCGTCAATGGTATCCCTGGAGGACTAGGTCAAATTTGCGCCTCCTACGATCTAGGCGGCGGCGTCAGCCTGGGTGATTCATTCGTCATACATTCTATCGCTGCCTTCTCCCCAGGCCGGAGCCATAGGGATGACGCGACCCTTGATGCTGAACTCGCAGCAGCAGCTTTAACAGTCACAGAAGTACTACCAGTATGTATCACTATGGAAAATGTGTCCACCGGGACTTTTTCATCACTACCATACCCGTCACATAACGTCCTCGACAAATCAAGAAAAACTCATCCCCTTGACAACCCACCATGGTTCTTAGTCAACGCAGTAGCGTCACGAAAACATTGCGTTCTAGGCCAGAATAGCATCGTGGAATCACTGCTTATGGTTCTTCGTCAACCATGGTGTGTGCTTGAGATCTGCTGCTGCGAGACACATATCATCACCGCTGTTTATAAATTTGTAACGACTGCCGATAAGGCTTACACTGGGATTTACACTGTCGCTATCAGACTATTGTCTTATGAAATGATGAAAAGGTCTGCGGCGGGTAGTTCTAAAGGCCTTGGGCACGCAATTTTCTGGCCGCATAAATCCTGGGATTATTGGCTGGCGCACAATACTACTCTGGCTAATATCAGGACGCTTTACACAAACCTCTTTTTCCATGGGCGCCAATCTCGTAACCCATTTTGGTTATGCCTGGTTGTTGTTTGCGCTATGTTTCTGGATGCTTCCTTCTCTGACCTGGCGAGGTGTTTGTATGACGATGCGCAATATCATACCGCGTTGGCAAACCGTCGATGGAAAACATCATCTTATATACTACCCCACGATGCCTGCAATTCAGCAACTGCTCCCGGGGGTGAATGCCGGACTGCCGTTAAAATTGACGAACTTGCTTATTCGAACACGAGACTTAGAAGATCCCTGAGCGACAGTAATTTACACCGCAGGACTAACGGCCCGAACGAATCATTCAACTGGCCAAACTCTACTGCCTCGAGCAATTCCTCATCTTACTACCATCGTCTGGTTCTACTTCACGTACGGATTCTGAAGAATATGAGAGAGACGTTTGTATGATTTTAGGAATGACTTCTAGAGTACCCCAATAATAATATTATAACCTGCACACCTTAAGCATTATGAGCCTCCAAGCTGGATTCGCCCTCCTTTCCCGAATCCAAGGAGTATTTGAGAGCCCTTTCTATCTCCTTTTCTATTCTCGATGCCAAAGCGAGCTGCTTTTGGTCCGCCGGGGCTTCCTTGTCCCGTTCTTCCACTTGTCGGATAAACACTGCTAATTTCTTGCGCAATTGTTGATTGCGTGTACCCACGTCCACCATGGAATCCTCCCATTCTTCTTGCATGTTACCGATATCCTTCAGTGCTTCCTGCATGTATTGGAACACATCCATTGGTGGGAGAAGCTCCAGATTAATCCAGTCGATCCCCTTCAGTCGACAGGGGCGTCTGCTCTCTAGCGTCGCTCGGATAATGGCTTCAGTTCTTGTTTTACTCCCGGTGATTATACTCATATGAATGTTGCCTTTGGCTTTCACTTGCAGGGTACGTGAGACCCGAGTGGCCAAAATCTCAGCCAGAGAAGAGTAGACAAGAACTCCAAGGAAGCCTAGCTGCATATAACTCTGCATATTCACCATACACGCCAAGGAGCAAAATGCGGACAACGTGCCTGTGGTAATCCAAAACCAATGCAGGCAATTCTGCCATAATGTCCCTTCATATTTCCATTTCGATCGAGCCCATTTTTCAAGCTGATCCTGTTGGCCCTTGAAGATGACGGTTCCACCTACTTTCCGTTCGTGGATGGCATATCTCATGCGTCCATCCTCCTTGATATCCGGCCGATCTTTCTCGACCATCCTGTTGAACGAGATGAGCACGGTCCCTATCCAATGGCACCAGTACAGAAAGAACAAGGTTGTCGCCCACATATCGGCCACTAAAACTCCTATCACCAATCCGGCTATCATCATGAGTCCATTTAACAGCCCAATGAGGTCCAATGTCAGTGTTCCGATCCACCAACGTACTGAGCCTATGGTATCCTTGACTCTTCGTTTTCTAATATTCATGTCCTCGTAAATCTGACCCACATAAACCACTGCAAAGTCGTTATCCGGGTTTTTTGATGCTTTAAACGAGATGATGGTGTTCAGCCAAAAATTACTCGAGTCCAGCGGCAGTTCGCGAAACACGGAACCCGAGATATCCGAGCGGATAGACAGCAAAGTAGAGACTTTCGTGCACATGGAAACTGCCGGAGGGTTTGATTTCACTTCCTCTGTGAGATGCTCGACGAGCATTTTCAGCGGTGCCAGGGTACCTCCGATCATCATGGTATGTGGCCATGTGAAGACCCCGTAGTCGTACTGGGTGTAAAGCATGGCGGCACTGTTATCAGCCCGGGGGTTATGGAGGACCGCGGCGACACCGAGTGGGTCGAAGGTCACCTCGGTATCTTCTTTGAGGCTTGCTTCGGGGTCAGTGGACGAGAGGGGAAGCTTGGATCGGGCTTCGACTACCGTGGTAAGGGCTGCCACGCCCAGTGTGCGCATGGCGGACTTGAAAGGAGACATGGGCAGTGTCTCTATCTTTCGTAGTTTGGGTCAACACCCACGTGTCTGTAGAAGATATGATCCGTATAAAGCTTGATTTTATTCGATATCTTATTCCTATGTTGTTCCACGAACCCACCGTACAGTGAATGCCCTTATAAGCACTCCCACTACTTGTTGCTAATGGTGTGTGCTTTTAGTTCAGCATACTGACAAGATAGTCAACATTCAACCAAGTTAAAAAAGCGTACGCGTGGCCCTACGTAGCCAGCATGATTCCCTGAAACATTGTCAAATACGCCGGTGGATAGAGGAACGCAGAGATCAGAAAACAATCGAACATGCCAGAGATAATCATAAGGAAAGAAGGTAAGTCATCCTCAGGGTTCTTTTCCCAAGATTTATTTTTCTCCCTTTGCTTTTTCTGCATTATCTGCGTCAGCCGCAGCTCTCGTCCTGAGAGGGGCCGAGAGGATGACACGCCAACACCATGGCGCTGATCCTTGCGAGACGGGATCTAGCTCCATGCAGACTATCTGTCGAGTTCTCGTGAATATGGAGTATTGTATGGATTATTCACAATTGATCCCCAACCTCTTAATTTCTCCGCTCACTCCATAGAATGCCCTGAAAGTGAACTGTAGGCTAGCGAGTCAGTGCAGTAAATACTTGTATAGAATCCCTGACGGCTTCTGCATATTTCCACTCTTTTAAGTAGACGGTAGAGGAATGATCTCCATACGTGGCCGGGTGAAATACCAGGACGAGTAATATATAAAGGACGATACTTCTGTTTCGTGGTGAAGAAACATAAGCTAGTTTGACTTGATTCATATTGGTATAAAAGGTGCTATAGGTGGACATACAAATTTAATCCAATTTGTATCGCTTTCAGCCTCTTGACGTCAAATTTTCGAGGAACAACACTGCCGTCTGGCTGTGCTTCCCCGCAGTGACATCGCGAGAGGATTGTTCATATAGAGCCCCAGGTGCTTGACACAATCCACGTAGTATGTTAAGCCAATAAAGCAGTATGAAGAGAATCAGGAGATGTAGCAGATGTATGGGAGAAGAGCCACCCATATAGCCATGCAGAGCAAGCCAATTCAGTACTATAAAAGTATGTCAATAAAATCAGACATAATTACCTGAACAGAGCTCACGTGGACGGACTGCCATCCGACCTCTTTGTATAGATGGTCGCCGATAAATGATGGAAAGTCGGAAAAATATTTATCAGCTCAGGATAATGAAATTAACTTTGACTGTTAAATTATTAATTCTAAATTAACTAGGCTGTGGCCTATGCTGATCACGGCACTTGCGCCATATAGTTATGATAAGTAATGGTCCGATCTCACCCTAGAGCATCTGGCTATTATTCGACTAAGCTTAATAGCAGCCAGTTATTATTTATTAAGTAATAATCCCGGCATTTTTGCCACCGTCACGGGACTCGCCCCTTATTCATCCGACATGCGCCTGTTGATTCGCCCATCGTTTAACTTGCCTCAAAACTATTCTCCTGCATTTGGCTCGAGTTTGAGTTCTTGGTCCGGGCCTTTCTTTGGGCTCTTGTCTGCGATCCAAAATATGGAAAAAAAAAAAAAAAAAAAAAGAGAGAGAGAGAGAGAGAGTGAAGAGCTAGACAAGAGCTTCCGAACCTCTTCTCTCTTGAGGCCCCACGATTCTCCCACCCGAATTCCTTCTGGGAAAAAGTGTTCCCCTCCTCCAATTGCGTTTTACTGGTCTGGCCCACCAGTGCATTGCTCTTTCTTCGCCCCCCTCACGCCCCTCCCCTGTCTTCTTCTTTACCTTTCCTGTGTCAATGTGAATTCATCTCATGGCGGGTGTCGTCGTTTTTGTTCGGCCCTTCTCCGTCCTCGTGGATCCTGCCCCCTTTCAAGTTCATGGTAGTATCCAATTCTTCTGACATGGCTGAGGTGCCAACGAAGACGCCTCTGCCTCGGAAAAGCGCGTTCTCGTGCGAGGCTTGTCGTAAGCGCAAGGTGGGTTTCTTCCTTCATTCGGATGGATTCCGAGCTTACTCCAGCAAGGGATCTCCTTCGCTAAAATGCTTGTCTACTAATCTCATGTTAATGATTAGGTCAAATGTAACGGTGTCAGCCCGTCATGTTCACGATGTGCTGCGCGCGGAGAAGTATGCGTCTATAGCTTGTGAGTCTAATTTGAATCCCTCCCCTCCATAAGCCTCTCCTGCAGGTTGCGGATGCTCCCGCCTTGCAGCCCTTTGTCGATCACTAGTTCTGACGACCCGATATTAGAGCACCAACGTTATCGTATACTAAACAGCTGGAGGCTCGAGTAGCTCAGCTGGAAGATGCCCTTATAAAACTACGGGGTCAACCGACCCCCTTCGAGGCAGAGGTGCGGAAAGGAAGCTCTCCTGTGTCCACAGGGGAGAGCAGTGCAAGTCCCAGACTACGGACACGGGTAAAGGAGGAAGATGAAAACACTGGGGATCTTGCCAGGGATTTTGAGGGTTTGAACGTTGAACATGACGGCCGTGTATCCTTCCATGGACCGACTAGCTTGTTTCAGCTTCCAAGTGGCGCTCTGAATGAAGCCTCAAACACCTCTCAGCTTGGCATGCAACAAGATGCCCGAAAGGAGAGGCTCATCAATAATGCTTGGCGAGAGAGGGCTTTTGAACAGATGGCCTCGATGCCGGTAAGTTTGAGATTCGATGATTTCATGATTTGAAATAGTGTTCTTATCTTTATCCCACCTGCAGGAGCCATTTCAATATCTTCTTGATTCCCACTGGTGTTGGATCCAGCCACTCTTCAACTTTGTCTATCGGCCTACGTTTACTCGTTTGTATCCCCTCCCCCACCTCGGCCCTGCAATTGCTTCGAGAGGTGTGCTGACTAGAAATTAGGCGATATGAAGGTCAATGGCCCTTACTATTCCGAGGCTCTGCTAAATGCTATTCTCTCTCATTCGGTACGGTGGTGTAAGACGGAACCCAAGATTGGTCCAACCTTGGACTCTTTTGATGGCGGCGCGCAGTTTTCACATCGTGCCGTGTATGGTCTATACGACTCGCTGAAGGCCGGTCATGTTGGAATCCCGACCATTCAGACGCTACTTCTCCTGAGTGCCCAGGAGTGTGGCCGTGGAAACCGATCCCAAGCCTGGCTATATAGTGGAATGGCTTTTCGAATGCTGGATGATCTAGGAATATCGATCGACAGCCGTAAGTATTCCGATTCTGCCCACCTGAGCGACGAGGACATCGAGGTCCGGAACAGGCTTTTCTGGAGCTGCTATTTCTGGGATAAAGTCGTCTCACTCTACTTTGGTCGATCTCCCGTAATGCAGCAGTCGCGCGTCAGCCCTCCGAGGACCATACTGGACGATACTGCAGAGATTGAGATCTGGGCCCCTCACGGGGTTGTGTTCCCAGACAATGCCCATTACCCTCCGACCCAGGCGCATTCTACGTCCTGTTTTATGCGCATGTGTGGCTTGGCAGAGGTTCTTAATGAAATTCTGATTCACATCTATGACCCTATCCGGCAGGTTTCGGAGGCGGAGTTTTATGGTTGTGTTCAGGATCAAGCAAGAAATTTGGTCGAGTGGTGGGAGGAATTGCCGGACTACCTGAAACTGGTGCCTACCGAGCTTCCTCCTTACTCCCCTCCTAGCCATATAGTAATCTTGAAGTATGTGCCGTCCCGTAGTTATACTATCTTGATCCAGTTTGTACTCACCATTTCTGTCTTCTCTGCAGTTGCTTATATCACACAATTAATATCTTACTGCACCGCCCGATCCTCTGCTCGAAAACAACCCGGGAATCCTACGACAAAAGCCATCTGGTTCAATGCATTACATCTGCGACGTCTATCCTATCCCTCTTCGACCTCTACCGCCGCACTTTCGGAGATAGCCATGTTGTCCTCTCCCTTGCCTACAGTGTTTACACTGCAGCTTCTATTTTCCTACTTGAAATCCAAGCCCTGAAATATGCCGCTCCGGGGACTCTCGACAAACTCAAGTTTTGCATCTTCGCCCTGGAACGGGTTAAAGTTTCCAATCCTGGTATGTATATCGTGCAATTCTGGTTCCATTTCCATTGCGAGAGCGTCTGCTAATCAGCCTTCACTTGTCTCTAGTTATCACCACAGCTCTAAGTCTTATCTACCAAGAACTTCAAAAGCTGCAAATCGACATCCACATCTTCATTCCTCCCACGCAGCATGACCATTCTCAACCTCAACATCGGCTTTCTCACCCGTCATCGCGTCACAACGACACCCCGTCCTCCCAACAGGGACAGCAACAGCAGCCAATGAACCTCCATACTACTTCGCGCCATGTTTCCCCTCTACAGCTGCAGCCTACAGATCCTTCCATCGGACCGTCCATTCCAACCGCAGGCGTTAGCTCCGCAAATATGGTCCCTGGGTATACTTTCCAACAGTTCACCACAGACTTCGACCTTTCACAATCCAGCGTTCCACCAATGGCTGCAACGCATGTTCTAGGTGGAATGCCGAATGCAGTGATGACTCTTGATGACCCAGGCGCGTACGATATCACGCCCGAAGTTTTTGAAGCGTTCTCGTACGCGGAACCTATCACGACCAATATGACGCCGGCGTTTGGTTCTCGGTTAGGATAGATTAGGTGTGTTGTAGAAAATAAATAATTTAAAAGTTAAAAGAACTTCAGGACGGAATCTGCTTTATAATTACTCAATTTCTGTCATGTATGGGTGGAAACGCTAATTAGCTTAGATATAAACCATGTAACCTCTTTCAACCGTAGCAAATCGCAGATAGGTTATGTATCGAACATATGACATAAAACAGGTATATATAATAGAGTTATTTATCCCCTCTTTTAAGCCCTTATCTATGAATTATGTACCTTGTACACATGATGGTGTAAGACATTTATGAAAAAAAAAAAAAAAAAATAAGGGGAACACCGCGAATATTAAGACTGCCAAGCTGATTTCGGAGTCTCTAAGTCAGGCTGAGTACTAGTCGAGTGAGTAGCGTTGGAATGAGATGACGGATAAGGGGAATAGTCCGGCCTGAGCCGTGCTTTCCAACGGAGATACCACGGGCCTTCAAAGAGCTCTCCCATACGCTCGATGGGCACACCCTTCGTCTCAGGCATCCAGATGCCCAGGATGACGAGACCCAGGAAACAAATGACGGCCCAGAAAAGATAGGCACCCCAGACATTAAAGGAGACAAACATGTTGGGTGTGACGCGGACCACGGCAAACTGGAAAAACCAATGCAGCGACATGCTGAGGGCATAGTTGATATTGCGAATGCGCGTGGGGAAGATCTCCGTCCCGTAGAGGTACGGCATGGTGCATAGGCCGATGGACCAGCCCACGGCGTAGATGAAAACAGAGGCAATGGCTGCATCCGAGGCGGATCTATTGTGGCTTGAACCGGGCTGCAGACCCATGTAGATACCCATGTAGATATGAGCTGCGAGCTGTAATGTGAGGCCGGAGAGGGTGCAGCGACGTCGGCCGAAGTAATCAATCAGACCCCACGTGAAGGCCATGGTGAAGACCAACTTGACAATACCGTATGCGCCCGAGGAGATAAGCGAAGTGGAGTTCCCCGTCACACCGGCATACTGGAAAATAGTGGAAATGTAAAAGGTGATGCCGTTGCCGCCAGTCCACTGCCCAATGGTCTGCATGGCCATTAGGAGCCAGAATCTCTGGCGATAATTGGGGTTAATCTGCGTCTCTTTGAAGGCCGACCAGTAGGAAACGGAAGCCAGGTCCGCGGCCTTGGTGCGCACCTGCTCATTAATGATTGCGAATTCCTCTTTGATGGCGGGATCGTTGATATCTTTACCGCGGAGACGAGCCAAGACAGAACGACCCTCCTCGTGTCGTTGTTTCGAGGCTAGGTATCTGGGTGTTTCAGGTAGAATAAAGGACGTAAAAAATGCGATGCCCACGGGGATCAGGGGAATGGCCTGCACCAGTCGATATTGAGTTCGAGTGGGAGCCATGTGCAAGCTTGCGCCATAGTTGATAAAGAATCCTATGAAAGAAGGCAGCCTAATTAGTTCTCTACTAGTCATGCAGGGTGTGGAGAAGCTAAATCATCATCAGGTGAGATTGGGGTAATACCTAGGGCCAAAATAGCTAACAGAATCACCATATACACGCTAACTACTAGACCCCTGGTCTTCGCGGGTGCTAGTCAAGCAATGTCAGCAAATGGATTGTGATGTGTCCACGTTAGGCTACTGTACCGATCTCCGATAAATACAACGGCGTAACCACTGTCAGGGCTCCGGCCCCTAGTCCGCTCCAGATCCTTGCAAAGAGCAACAATCCATAGATCCCAGAGGAGAACACCTGGATGAACATGCCGCTTGCCCATACCACGCAGGACAATCTCCAGGAGTGCAGGCGACCCAGACGATCGTTCAAGTATAGGGCAAACAAGGCGCCAAAGGCCGCTCCCAGAACATTGAAGGAGGTGATGTTGGCCTTGCGGTTGGCCAGGCCAGACTTATCATGAGTCCAGTTGGATTCGACGAGGTTGAAGTCGGCAGCGAACGAGGGTAGTTTCACACTGGCACTATAGCCACCTTCGTCATAACCTGCAGGGGAACACGAGGCTTGTCAGTGATCTGATAGATAACGGGATGGTATTGACTCGAGGGGATCACATTCTCTTCTTACCTTTGGGGATGCTGCCACATGCAATGATGAAGATTACCATCGCATAGTAAGGATTCGTGGTCCACTGTGACCAGTCCCATTTCGGTCCTCTGAGCATGATGCAAAAGGGAAGGAGGAGTGCGGAGAGGTAATCTCCGCACAGTATCTAAAATAGAACAAAATCTGGGGAAGCTGACCTCCGATCGTGAACGACGACAACAATGGCAGGGGTGAGATGCCTAGGAATCCCGCGATGGAGAAAAGTTGTTAAAGCGAGCGAGGGGGCGTGACCTGGGGCTCGGTCAACTTCCGTTATTTTTGCTCTTTTTTTTTTTTTTTTTTTTTGGGTTCAACAAACCCTCGCATGTCGCCACCTGCTAACCTGTGGTCTCCTATCTCCTCATGCTGCAGAACATCGTATCAGGCTTATCGCATTGCATTTGATTGCTGGGCCATGGCTATCGTTGGGGTGTAATTATAATTAAATACCCTTGTCTTCATTCAAGTCCGATCGTGTGGGTTTCAGTAGGTCCGGCGGTTGGTTCCGCTGCCAATCCACTTTAAATTGCTCTCCTGTTACTAACATTCAAATTTAATTAGAGATCTGACTGCATTTCAATACAGATTCAATTGGTCTTCCATGACCAATTTATTATTAGTTGTATCCTAATCCTTCTTGATCCTGCATTCCTGGCTGTACTTTCCTATCCCTTCCTCCAGCCCTGATCTCACTTCCGGACAACCTCCGCTTCCTCCGTCATGGCCTCTGGCAGGATTGTGCGTCGAGTACAATGATTGTTGAGTGACTTGTGGGTCAGCAGTGGATATATATATATATATTTACCCGCCTCCAATTAACCGATGTGCCTGTCCTCCGGTAAGGGATTCAGGAAGGTGTTAAGGCTGGAGAATCCTACTGTAATTCAATCATTCGCGGTTCAGTGCCGATTTCCTTTTCGGCCATACTCCGTACTTGAAACCATGACATCGTTGTGGCCCAGTCTGAGAGGAAGAGTCTTCGGACTGCCCTCAGGTATTTCTGTGAGTTGTTCCCGGCTAGATCCCCCTGCACGGTTGTATATGTATATCTGTTGTTGGGAGTCTTGGGGACCTGCATGCTTTCTATACATTAGTCTTCTTATTTCTTGTTGTTGCGTTGCTGCAATGGCTCAGTCGTCTTTATCTGGCGTGCTTACATCTGTCAAGCCCATAACTAGTCTTCTGGGGAGTCCGCTTCGACTTTCATTGAACTCATCCTTACAAAACCGAGAGCACCCTATCTACCCCAAGGATACCCGATTCCGGGGACCACTAGAGCCTCTTCCCCTGAAGCAGAGAATTCCTCCGCGAACATGGGATACTCATATGCACGTCGTGGAACCGCAGCGTTATCCAGTCTCTGCGGCAGCAATCTATCAGCCCTCACCACACACACTTGACGAGGCCATAGCATTTGAATCTTCGCTTGGGATTGAAAACTTTGTGCTTGTTCAACCGTCGATATATGGAACCGACAATTCTTGTCTCTTGGAAGCCTTACGACAAGTCGGATCCTCTCACGGCCGAGGGGTGGTGGTCATTGACCCGGCCACCATAGAGGCTGACACTCTGACTGAATGGCACTCACTGGGAGTGCGTGGCGTTCGGGTGAACTTGAAGTCCGTGGGCAAGGTGCTGAGCGAGCAGGAGTTGACCGAGACCTTAATGCAGCACGCCGAAGTGGTGCGGCCTCTGGATTGGATCATCCAAGTCTATATCTCCCTGGACATGGTCCCCATGCTGGAGCGCATTGCGCCGCAACTTGGGGTCAAAGTCTGTATCGACCACTTTGGTGCACCGAATCTCCTCTCATTGACACAAACGGGAGAGAAGTCGTTCGATCCATACTCTCTCCGGGGGTTTTCATCTCTGATTTCACTCCTCCGCGGTGGAGATACTTATGTCAAAATCTCCGCCCCCTATCGGTTTACCAACGACAAGGAGATGCGCGATCTGGAGACGATCATTCGAGAGTTCCTACGGGAAGCGCCGGACCGAGTTCTCTACGCGACCGACTGGCCGCACACCCGATTCTCCGCGGTTGACATCGAGCCATTTACAGAGCTATGTCTACGACTATGCGGTGACGTACCCGGACTAGCCGAGCGTGTCTTCCGACAGAATGCAGAAGACTTGATGGATGGGAGGAGGCGTTAAGGATCCATATTATGAAGCGAGACAACAATAACGACTTACGATAGTAGAATATAATTATTGACTAATGAAACGAAACTTAAAAAGGGAATGAGTGTGTGTATCCCGCGGAAAAAATTGCATTACCTCCCCAATCCGCTTCGGAACCTGGCCGAGATTGGGACAAGTAAACAAGAGTGGGTTCGCCCAAGTCCGCGACTTGGCCGAAGATCGGTACAAATGGAGACACAATTGATATGATGCTTGAAGTCAATCTCATTGCTACAGCAGGGACTTGGTTGGTTTACCCTGATGTCTATTTCCATCTAGACCACGCCAAGCCTCGGATTCCCTCCGCATCTCCATGATGATATGATATATCCATCTTCGCATATTTATGTATTTCAATTGCCTAATCCATCCTCAACAACCCCGTCCCCGCTAGTCAGCATTCACAACTGCCTCCGCTGTGCACACAACTTGCGCTCCCTGCAGACACATCACATAAGTATACCTACTTCCTAGGCAAGACCTGAGGAGAAAGAGGAAACCACTTACAATAGTGTAGCAGCACTTGGGCGTATTCCCATCGGGACAAATCTCCCGTACATCTTTCTTCATTTCCGTGCCTAGTGATCATCATATCAGTACAATCCAGTAGGGAAGTATTCAACCCCGTCGAAACCACGACCAAGGTCAGAAGAGGGGTCCAGTCATGAAAGAGGACAGGATGAAAAAAATAAACGCACAATCGATGCCCCCTTTGGCAATATCATTGCCCCGCATATCATGGTATCCATTGCAGCAGTAAGCATTTTGGATGAATCCGGTCTTATCCTGCCCCATGAGACAGTAATAAGACTTCGCAGTGGCCAGAGTCACTGTTGTGGCGAGGGTGAGGAGTGTTGAGAAATGCATTTTGATCTTCCTCACTCTTCTTATTCTTCTTCTTGCCCCTTTTATCCTATTTTATTTTAAAGATGGAATCCAAGGAGGTGGTACGAACGATAGAAACCAAACCTGAATGGATAATAATGGCGTGACGGAAAGAAAAGACGGGACTGGGAAACGAGTCCCCTCATATAATTAATAGGAGAAAGGAGAAAAGGGATCGACTAGACTGGAAAGCTTGGAATGGGGATGTTAGCTAGGGGTGGCAAGGGTAAACGTGCGCCTGGAAAGGTATGCTCAGAAGGTAGATCGTGCTGATACTGTAAGTGCATGCACCTGGCTGGTCCTTGATGACGAGTTGTTCCTTTTATCCCTTGCTGGATGACGGCAAATGGCAGGTTTGCATTGCATTACCTGGTTGTGTTTCATATAGCTGTCTAGTATTTGGTATACATGTATGCTAAGAACGTTACGTGTTCTGCATTGCGTAGAACTGTTTCAGGGCTTGTGATCTCTAGACAAACATGGCCTGTGCAAGTACATATACTGTGTTTTAGAGCACTACGCATTGCTAGGTCTGGTAGTGGGATAGATGGACAAACTTTCCTATCTCCGAGTGCCTTTATCCCTTCATCCCTTGATCTACTTAGTCTACAGTGTGTCGAGTGTTTCACTACGCGTATCATGAGTTTTTTTTTTTTGGTTCGTAAGATTTACTAAACTCCTTCACATTCTGCCAAACACGAATAGGCTTTCAATTTACCACTGTAGGAAGTCAACTCCAACACCCTAGTCCAATTTCACTTCACTCGGCTCAGTAAGTGCCACCTTGACCGGGATGGTCTTCTTGCTGTGGACGCTGTTGTCCTTAACGTTTGACACCGAAGTATCTGTCTGTCCCAACAAAGTAACGACTTCGACATTCACATCCACCTCGCGTTCAAACTTCCCCTTGACGTACAGCGTATCGTGACGATACTCGAACTGCACTTCTAGCGTGGCGTCCTGCTCCAGCGAATCTCCGTCGTCCAAGTAGAGACTGCCTGAGGCAGTTCTATCGAGTCCAGGAGCGATGAGGAGCTCAAAACTCTTCGTGCGCAATTCGGCCGTGGTCATGGCACTGGATGATCGAATAGGGACGATGCTGCCTCCACGGATATGGATGGGAATATGGGTGATGCCAATATTTTCGAGTGTCTTGTTGGCTCCCTGTCCGCGAACGGGCGCACCTGTGTACCAGTCATAGAAGATGTCGTTGGGGAAGTATGCGTTGACCGAGGTCTTGTTCTCGTCGGTTACAGGGCTGATCAGGATGGAATCACCGTAGAAGAACTGCAGATCATTCGAGAACGTGTTCTTGTCCTCGGGGTATAGATAGAACAAGGGCTGCAGGAACGGTTCCCCCGTCTTGCTCTGTCGATGGAACTGAGTATAAATGTAATCGAGAAGTTGGTATCGGATCCCAATAGCCTTGCGGGCGGACTCGGCCACGCTGGGCCAGAGGTAAAATTCCTGTGGAATGGATCCGAGCTCGTTGTGATTGCGGAAGAAAGTGTAGAATGCACCTAGAGAGGCCCATCGCGCGCAGAGCTCTTCTGTCGTGTTGCCACCGAACCCGCATACATCGGCCCCAACCATGGGAAGTTGGAACATCGATGCAAAGGAAAGGATCTGTGGAATGGAGAACCGGTACTGGCTCCACTGGCTGAGGTTGTCACCGAGCCTGGAGCCTTGTCATTAGTAGTCTGATTCGTCATCGTAGTAACTGGCATGTATGCTTACCAGTGGCCGACATGTGCTCCAGCTCCTGCAAATGTACTACGGGTAATAATCAAGGGTCTCACGTCAGGTCGTCGATGTTCCATGGCAACACGAGAAGCAGAGCTCATCACTGGCATGTGTTAGATCCTCAAGAAGGAACTTCAATATAGGTGTGTGAGTTGACATACTCGTGCCATACAAGTTGTGCGTGTCGTACTCGGCGTATCCCTCACCGGCATGGATAACATTAGTGTTGATTGTCTTGTTGCTGAGAGACCCTGCCACATTCTGAATATTGTAGGGTGGGTTGATGAGATCACGTCCAGGCAGGCCGACTTTCTCCCCTTTGCCTGAGGATGCTCTCTTCACTGATCGCTTTGATGAAGAGGGCTGGAAAGAAGCAGGGAATCCAGGCAGTGGGCGCGGGCTGCTTGGCCGAACAGGCGGTGCTGCCGGTGGGAGGTCATTGTCCACAGCGTATTGTTCTGGATTCTCGCAAGGATATGGGCAAAAGTTGGAGGCTTCATTCATATCAATCCACAAACCGTCAATATCAACACCAGTTTCGGCATCGAAGAACTTTACGAATTCTCCCGTCCAGTAATCTTGGATGTCCGGATGGAACCAGTCCGGGAATGCTGTCACTCCGGGCCACACAGCGCCTAGACAATCCTTTAGTTGGTTCCTAAAATGGCATAGTTTCTACGAATTCGAACCAACCTTTATAGAGACTTTCATTCTGAGTCTGGAGGAATACACCTTGGTCCATACCCCTTTCGGAAGCCGCATTTTCTAGAGAGATGCATCATTAATATTGTCCGTGGCACGTAGTTGACTAGAAAATATGTATCACTTACCGCTTGTGCTCACGGCGGGATCGACCATGACAATATAATGCTGGTTACGCTCATGTAAATGACTGATAAACTCGCGCATTTTGGTGAGAGGGAATCTTTCGGAATCGAGTGTAAACACCTTTCTGCGGTCCATGTAGTCAATGTCAGTCCACATTGTTTCCAGTGGGATGTTTGTCTGGCTGTAATTATAGACCACTTCGGCGACTTGGTATACATCACGGTAGCCGTATTTACATTGATGGAACTACCAACGGTCAGTTCGAGGGCCCAAAAAATGAAAGCGACCTAATGTACTTACACCAAAAGACCAGTAGCTTTGCATGGCTGGAAGGCCCACGACTTTCGAATACTCGATGCTGGCCTCCTTTGGAGTAGCTCCGGTGAAAATGTAAAAGTCCAAAACGCCTCCCAAAATGTTGTACTCAAGGTATTGCTTTCCATCTCTGGTCTTGCTGATGTTGATGTCCATGCCGTTGGAATTCAGCAAGAAAACTCCATGGGTGCCAGATTTACCACGATGATCGTAGTACACGGGATGGCTGCCGTATAAATTGGTGTTCTCGCCAGTCCCATAGGCATCTCGGTTCCAAAGTGTGCGAGTATAGTTGTTCGTGGGCAGACGCAAAGGGTCGCTGTGCTCTCCAAGTCCATACAAATACGGGTCTTTGGGAAGGTATGTGCGAAGATTCAGATATTGAGACTCAAAGACTAGATTGGCTGCAGAGGTGTCAAAAAGCACCTCATCCCCTCTGGAGACAGTAAAAGAGAAAGGCTCCTCTTCGTAATCAAAGCTTAGCTTAGAAGAGCGCTTTCCAGAGTCACCGTGGCTATCTACACGAGGCAATACCGATTCCGGGACTTGGTAGACCTGCTCATCGGCATCATAAATCATAACATGGAGACGCTCATCTGGCCATATGATTGATTAACGCGTCGTTCTGTTTTCAAATGCAATGCATGTATTCTGTATTCCTTACCGGTTTGGTATTCGACCAGAAGCTTCAGATCTTTCAAGTCCGAGCCGTATACATTGCAAGGGTTGCCCGCAAGAGTCAGGTCCGCGGTCAAGGAATTGTCTTTTTCATGGACGTTGGATGCCTTGTAACCGGGGCATTGTGGTCTGTGATCGGGAGACCCAATGACCGCGGCCCCTACAAGGGGTGCGAGAAGTAAAAGAGATCCCAGCATACTCAGTTGAGATGAAGGGGTGTCGTCGATAAAACACGATCTAACTTCCTCCAACGTAGAAGAAGCTGCTATTTATGCACCTCTGTAACCGGACGTGCTGCACGTAAATACGTGTGCAGCATATTGCCAAAGCACACGAACGTCAAGTGGCGTTTTGTGGTATGGACGGTCTCCGCAACATGAAGAGAATGGACCGTGATCAATATAGCGCGGCTATTGGTTGGATCGGCGGCCGACAAGGGATAGCCTCCATCTGCTGCAGTGTACGAATTGAGGTTACACTGGCAGCACAATGGGGCTAGATCAATAGATGGTGCCGACGCTATTGCAAATAGCGGGGATTTTCAGGATCTGATGGATAAGTACTCCGTAATCTCGGTCAAATATCGGAAGTCGTACCAGTGCCCAGTCGTTTCCAAGACGGTAGTCGCGGATCTTGCCCTATTTGGGTGTTCATAACAGTCAACATGCTGCAACTTGAACCAAATACCATATTTATTGATGTTTTCAAAATTTCCGAGAACAATCGGGAAGGGTGGCGATGTTAGACAACCGAAGCGAAAGATCAAGTATGCAAGTTGTTTGTGGCCTGGCACTTGCGCGTGGGATGCCGACTCCGCGTTACTAACTATCAATATGGCTGGCCTTAAGGAGCCAGTACTTAGTACTCCGTATAGCCCGTAGGACCAACACTGATCAAAGAGAGAACCATGACATCGTCGCCAACTTATCGCTTGCTGTTAAACCAAAATTCTACCTGTAGTACTTGTTTATCGGAATCGCGGACACACTATTATCGACAAGTAATTCGCCTTATTAGTTTTGCTCCTTAGTTCGGTGGAAGTAGGAAACTACTACACATTTCCGGCAATGTTAATGTCTTCTCTCAAGAAGCTGAATGTTCCTTTGCCGACGTTGACACTGATCCTACCGCAAGGACTATCAGCTGGAACACTGGTGACACCATACTCCAGCCACGCATCATCGTGGAACTAATTTCATCAGCTCGGTGAGCCATAACTCTTTGGCATTAGGCAGAAAAACTTCTAAAGATACAAGAGTTGTCAAACTAGGTAATTCAATAAACAAGTACCAGGGGGCAATCTAGCTTACTACCAACAAGTTAGCTTGGCTATACTCCATGAATGCAACTTCCAGCGGTGACTCGGAACAAAATGATAGTCTCATTTAGTTTCCTGCTAGAGATAACAATTCCTTTTATCTCATCTTTTGGGGATAGCGCTTCTGTTTAGGAAAACTACTATAATTGTCCAATTGTCGAATTGTCAGTTTTCCAGTATCCTGCTTTATTCAACGACAATAGGAACATACTCTGCTCACTTGTTAAAATTGTGGAACAAAGGTACGCAAGCTTATACAACTGCGGAGATGACCTCATTGGGGAAATCCCAGGGATCTTGCGGTCTTGTACAAAATGATGGCCGTACCGACGCAAGCTCGAGTTTGAAAGAGATCCGAGATAAAAGGCAGTCTGTCAGGTGATTCTAGTGACACAGCATCGGTCATACACAGTTCTAAGCTCTAATTGCTTGATGCAATTCTTTTCGATATATCTTTTCATCCAGTAGTTATTTCTCATACAGTTTTCCATTACAAGTGAAGAAACCAATTTCACACTACACATCATATATTCTGAACTAAAGTAGCTTTTTTTTTAAAAAAGGATGCAGACCGCCCGTGATGGTGGCAGTGCTGTGGGTACAGGTTTTCAGCAACGCCTCTGTAGCACACAACAAGCGGCACCAAAATACCCCCTATGATGCAGAATACAGTAAAATAAATGAGGTTCGTAGACCTTGATGTCTTAGACATTATCAAGCTCTAAACCACTTAACCTGTCAACCAGATTGGCTGTCTCGACCCCGGCGAACCACTGATGGAGAATGTCGGCTCTCGATCCGATCGCCGGTGACTTAATATAGATCAAACCACGGGTTCTAAGACATCCTAGTTCCAACCGTCTAAAACCGCCTAACAATATGCTCGATATGTGGAGACTGACGAAACAATCGGTTTCCGAGGAGCCCGTCTGTCCCTTGATATATTTCCGCCGCTGTTACGTTCTTCGCTGATTGAACGATTCGTCAACATCGTTCGGATTCCGAAGATCATGAAATTCACATCAGCAGCATTCCTCTTGGGTACCCTGCTCTCGGTCAGCAGCTCTGCCCAGGCAGTCTCCCACTGGCTCTACAGCAGTGAGGTGGACAAGGCCGCCCAGTCTCTCCTCGACCGGCCCGACATTGGAGGTGTCCAAAGCCTCTACAGCTGGAGGTCTCTCGAGCCGCGAAAAGACCATTACGATTTCTCGGCCATTGCCCGCGATGTCAACATCACCGCATCCAAAGGCAAGCAGCTATGGATTCAAATCCAGGACCGGTCTTTCAGCATCGCCCGCGATCCTGTACCAGACTACCTCCACCATCCGATCTACAACAATGGCAGCGTACCCCAGTGCGACGGGGACGACTGCGAACACAACTTCATACCCGGTGGATGGGCTACAGCACAATGGAACCCCCATGTGCGGGCTCGCTTCCAGCGTCTCCTAAAGGCTTTGGCGTCTAGATTTGACGGCCAAGTCTATGGTATCAACCTCCCCGAGACTGCGATTGAAGTCCAGTCCAACAATACCCGCACAAACTTCACCTGCCAGGGGTACTTTGAGGGGGAGCTTGACAATGCACGCTATGCGGCCAGCGTGTTCAATCACTCCTACGCGGTGCAATATGTGAACTTCTGGCCGTGTGGATGGAACAACCAAAATGGGTACCTGCGCCGCTCGTTCGAGTTTTTCGCTGAGCATGGTATTGGCGTTGGAGGTCCTGATAATATCCCTTATAAGAAAACCATGGAGAAGAATGCGTATCCGTACATGTCGGAGTATCGAGATCGGGTTCCGATTAATGTGGTTGCTGTACAGGAACCGGATCTTGCTGCTATCAACCCCAATACGAGCAAGCCTTTCACCAAGGATGAGTTTACAGACTTTGCAGTAAATCGCTTGGGGGTGAAGATTATCTTTTGGGCTCTATCTGCTCCGTGGTTGAGCCAGTAAGTTGGTGGTTTAGAGCCGTGTATTAAACCGGATCCGCTCCTTGGTGACAATATATGGCGACCTATACTATATAATTTTGTGATCACAGATACTGTGACTGGGGCGAACCTTTTTTTCTTTTGGATACATGTGTGTGTATAATTAACTTTCAATTGGAGCTGCCTGGAGTGAGAGGTGATTCAAAATAATAAATTAATTATGCAATGAGTCTGCCAATCAATGTACGCGCCAACCATATCGATGACATTTTACTGCAGAGTGTAATTGCCTTTTTCTTTTCTTTTTTTTTTGGCCCCACGGCCCTCAATCAAGCCTATAAATTCACCTTGTCCTCGCAGCTATAACTACGCGCGGGATGAGAAAATGAAACAAATGAGATTATCCAGTCCGTCAAATTCAAACCAAAAATTATAAATGGGAATAGACTTCTACCGGAATCTCTATAGCTCCCACAGACATGAATCTCTAAATAATAATAATAAAGTCATAAAAATTACATGGCAGTGTCATTATATAATGAAACCAAAATAGGAAAGAATCACAAGGCGACCAGTCGCCTTTAAATGCCTCGGACAGATATCTTTGTAGCTAACGACGAGTCTAGATCTTCTGACCAGCCGAAGCAGCCTTAACATCTTCTTCGGAGCTCATGATCTGGACCTTGATTGCTCCTGTCTTGGGGTCTGAGGCGGTTTCAAACGCTTTGATGGCATCTTCCAAGGTGTAGCGGTGCGTGACGAGCTTCTTAAGGTTAATGACTCCGTTCTCCACCAGGCGAATGGCACGGGGCCAGGTATTAGAGTAGCGGTACTGATACTGCAGATCGATCTCTTGAGTACTAAGACGCATAAATGGGATCTTCATCTCATTTTTACCCACGCCAATCACAAAGACCTTGCCCCCAAACTTGACGCTCCAAATCGCGGATGCGACACTGCTCTCCACACCAGTGCACTCCAGCGCCAGGCGGGGCCTAAGGGCATCAGGACCAGAGCCCTTTCCGTCGTTGAACGTTTTCACAATGCCACTTGCATTCTCCTCCGCGGAAAGACCAATCTGCACTTTGTAAGTGCGAACATCGGGAGCCAGTGACTTGGCAAATTCCAGCCGTCCCTCATCAATGTCCGTGATGACGATCGGGCATGCCCCGGCGGCGCGGGCACTGAGAAGAGTGATGAGACCAATGGGGCCAGCACCAGTAATCAGACATGGGTCACCCAGTCGAAGTCCGCTGCGTTCGATCGCGGCCAGAGACACACTGAGAGGTTCTAGGAGTGCACCATCTTCGTAGCTCATGTCGCCAATCTTGTGGCACCAAATAGCGGGATGGTTGACATAGCGCCGCAGCAAACCATCGACGGGAGGAGTGGAAAGAAAGCGGACCTTTTCGCACCCGTTGTAGCGACCGGTCAAGCAGGGTTCGCAAGCATTGCAGATAATGTTGGGTTCGATGGCAACGCGATCGCCAGGCTTCAGGTGGGTGACATCGGGGGCGACGGCGATCACTTGGCCGGCAGACTCGTGGCCCAAGATGTGGTCTCCGGTGACCACCATAGGACCAATGCAACCCGCATGCCAGAAGTGGACGTCGGATCTGTGGGCGGCATCAAAGATTAGAGATCACGAATACGGCGTACCTAGACGATTATGATAGAGGACATACCCGCAAATTCCTGTGCTTCGGACCTCGACTGTCACCTCTCCAGCCTTCAATCCTTGGCCACTCTTGACTTGATCGAGAGAAGGAGTTACTTCTGAGACCCACAGGTCATGTTTTGTGTTGGTGAAGACACCGATATTTGGCTTGTCGACAAGAGTTGTGCTAGTCATTCCGTCTGAATCTGGCTGGAATACTGGGGATACTCGGGGAGGATATAGTGGCCAGTGAGGGGAAGAGAAGGAGTAGAAAAGAGGAGGGCCAAGGAGGGGTTGAAAGGAAGGATCTCCCAAGCTTTAATAGTTGTACCTCCAAAGCCGTTTGGAAAATGGGAGGGATTGAAAAGATTTTCCAGTGCTCAAACGTGACCAGTCACTAAGGATCTGATCACGCACGGCAGACGGCCAACACATGATTGCATCGTACGCTTTGCTTGCAATGGGGTGTGGGACTATTTATCCGGGCAATAGCCCCGGGCGCGCGGAGATTCTGGTTCTGGGGCAGAGGGTTTGGCCCCACTCTGGTTCATAGAACACTTCACTTCTCGGAGAAATCAACCACATCCCCGTCGATAGGATCTGGATAACCCTGGTACTGGTGTATATTACTAGCATTTTGTCTTTATTGCCTACGTATGATTGTTTGATAAGGCCAAGATAGTAACACGTTAAAGGATAATTGTTGCAGTAGCATTAAGGGCGAACTATTCCCAGGAAAGTTTTCAAGATTTTCAAAGAATATTAGAATTATTTACAGAGCGCTTCAATGGTAGTTGAGTCGACGTATATCTATGCATACAAAGAGCTGAAACTTTATTGCTTCAACTGTCTAATTAAAAACTGTCGAGAAAATTTACCCTAAGCTCCTGCTCGGTTAATTACAATTCTTACGAAAGCATTTATTCAGAGCCCACAATCTTGTTTCTCTTGCCAATTACCTGACCGCTCCAGGCACCGGACCGTTACTTTTCCCAATTCCAACCCTACTTCTAGAATCATTGGTTCTGGCTCCAGGCTCATATCCAGGCTTCAGTGTGAATTTTGCCTAGAGTGGTAATTCTCCGGTGGTTATAAGCCTTCCTTGGTGGAGAATCCGAGGCATGGGTTCCACCCGGACAAGATGACTCGCCGATGATGTTGAGCGTAGCTCGTAACTAATGAAAGAGAAAAGTATCATGGACCGTTAAACCAATGATTAGACTATAGGGTAACGGGTAACTGAAATACTTATCCTAAGAGCACTGAAACATGTAGTCGAGAGACCAACAAAAAAAAAAAAAAAAAAAATAGGTGGTGTCCGTCAAGGCCATGCCTCCGCCGATGCGTCTCGTGGTCAAGCAGTTCATTGCAGTAGTCATGATGACATTCATCCAGATGCAATATTCCAACCCACAGAGCAGAAACGAATATTAGTCCAAAAAATTGAAAATTGCCTATACTACATCTGTATTCGACGGGCTCATATAGCAGGCTCGTTTCTTTTGGGTTGAGTCTGTAGCATAGCGCTAACATTAGTAGCCGATTTGCTCGAACCTACCCACCAAATATGAGTTAAAAACGACTTTTGAAGGGAAGATAGCACAAAGTTACATGTACGCAAAAGAACAGACTAGTATTATATGCCTAGGTGTCTGAGCAGGCCTTGACGACCGGAGGCAGTTTGGACGGGAGATTAACCATACCTAAGGCGACAACGGTGGAGGATAAGGAAACCGATCTGGCGATTTGCCTTAATTATGGCTTTCACATAAAGAGAGAAATACCAACATAGCTTCTACGGGTGGCTAAAAATCATTCATGGCAAGGAGTCCTGCCATCATGTCCTAGGGCTGTTCTTTATTGTCCTGCTCAAAATTTGCCTGGGTTCGAAGCCATTTCTAAAATGGAAAGGAGTAATAATAATCTTCCGGTGTAAAGGGCTGGAGCCCGTTTGACCTCTCGGGCCAATGTCCCTATTGTCCCTATTGTCCCTACTGTCCCTACTGTCCCCTTTTGCCCCATTGGCCCTCGATCCATGTCACGTGTCTTCCACCCTGTTTGTTTACCGCTCATTTCCCTCTTCCTTTCTTCCTTTCTTCAACGGTTCCTTATTGTACATAACCTATCCCGTAGGTTCTACGGGTTCAGCCCCTGACTTGCAGAAACATTTCTTGTATGGTATTTACTGGTAAAGCGACAGAAAAATTACAGTTCAGTTATCCCAGACTGTCTTTTTAAATAGAGATTAGAAAATAAGAGAGTACATCAAACGCAAAGGAGGGTTAGTCTATAGGTACAGAGAACCCAATAAAAGGAACCTGCCCATCACTATAGCCAAGAGCAAGGATACCATCTTTAATAGCTGAAGAACAACTAGTGGCGATACTCAGAAGGGAGCCACAGTGCTTTTTGACCTCCAACAATCACCCAGTGGTTTACCAAAGATATTTGAGGGACACAGGTATGTGAAGTTGGGATGCAATTATCCTTGCGCTCATCGAGCGTCTGGCGTTCCAGGCGGGTCTTGGCGTCCCAGAGCTTGATGGTCTTATCGCCGGAGCCTGAGACCATTGTTTGACCGTTCGGGGAGAAGGCCGCCGACCCAACTGAACTTGTATGGCCCTTGAGCGTCTGATGTCTAGGCCGGTCTGGCATCCCAGAGCTTGATGGTCTTATCGCGGGGGCCTGAGGCCACTGTTTGACCGTCCGGGGAGAAGGCACCGACCTAACCCAATGTGAATGGCCCTCGAGTGTTTGTAAATCTGCACTCCAGAAGTCTTCTATTCGTGGTACTATACATATCCACCTAGGAATCTTTTTTTCAAATGTTCTTCTAATAATAGACTTTCTGGGAGAGAATATTAGTCCAGAACAATAATGTTGAAGTGGAGAAGCATTTGCAATTTGCATGTTTTTAAGAATAAATTGTCTTGCATCGTGTAAAAAGTCCACTATGTCCGAGGCTGTGTTACTCTAAAATTTCTGTTTTAGTGTATAAAAGTAGTAGATTACCCAGACACTTAACCCTATGGCTAACTGCAAAGTGTTTATAATATAAATAGTCTCTGGGATCAACCCCATTAGACTCATTGCTTCCAACCAATGGAGAAAATGGATTTTTAAAAAAGGAAGAACCTCAGTATTATTAAGCAACTTGCTTTGTTCCAGATGAGTTGTCCAGTAGTGACAGGAGTATGGTAGTTTAACGGGTAATATCTGCACGCTGCATTCCATTCCATAACTTGACATAATTGGCGTCTGACCAGGACGACTAGCGATTCAGGGGTGGGTACTATTGAACTTGCAGCCCAAGCCTCCAAGTCCAGCATTGCTGGTACTAACTGGGATAAGCTTACGTGGATCTTCTTCTGAGAAGCACTCATTAGACACTAACTCCTGCAGCATTGCATGATCTTCACAGATCGGATCACCTCGGTCCGCCAGGCGTTTGGTCGATCCTAGAGAAGTTTTACACCAACTACTGGCCGCTAGCGCACCACTTAAAACACCTTAAATACATAAAACGCGGCTGTTTGAAGACCGTAGGTAGACACATATGCCTCATATACTTAGATTAGGTCTTTCGCGACAGCCAGCAGTGGCCGGCGCCGAGGTGATTATATTGATAGTAGTGACGAACTGATAAGCAACATAGATTTTGTTTGAGGTAAGAGTTCATAATGCGAAGGCAATGTAAAGCTATTCTCCTGTGCATATCCTCCTCTTCTATATGGAAGATGCCTTTCGTGTTAACAAGAAAATCTCGAAATGATAAATGTAGAATGCGGACTGGGGTATCTAGATCCTCCGGAACATTAAGAACTGAGTGTAGCATGCTTCATAGGTTGTTGATATCTTTTTTTGACATATCAAGAAGCTGCCCAAGAGCATTGATCGAGAGTGGGGTAGCAAGAATAATAACAGTCCCAATAATATCTAGGAACTGTTTTACAAGTTCCCTTGACTCATCCTCGTCGTTATTAATAAGGAGCTGATGTAATACAGGTAGGTATATCTTCTCCATCTGGGATACAGATGTGGCAGATTTTGATTGGTGAAATTTTGCAAGACGCCGTTCTGGAGATAGATTTCCTTCTCCAGCAAAACGACACACTATTGTAGAAGAACGTATTGATGAAATTAACTCACGAGCCATGCGATGAATACTCATCCCAGGTCCCATTGCGTTGGATGGCAGTCATTGGTACCGGAGCTTGGCATTCCTTGCCTTTCTGGCAGGAAGGGACGAACGTGGTTGCTGTATTTTCCTGTGGTTTAATATGGTTAGATATATCAGAACAAAGATACGTTTACATACCTAGAGGACCGGGATTTGTAATACTGAGCTTTTGAAATCCCCCTTCCCTTACCGTACCAACATCTTGCGGAGAACCAAACCCCCCCCCCCCCCTTACCGCCAAAATGGCGGATTTTTCGAAGTTTGTAAGTGGAAATTGGTTACAAACTGGGTATGAATTAATTTAAATTGGTTTAGCCTCCGTACCAGATTTACAAGAAGAGTGTTGCGGCGGGAGAGCTGTCACTGCCTCCATATGACTTGGTGAGTGACTGCGACCGTGGGTCAAGGGACTGGCAGAGGAGTGATAACTAAGTCCAACTGCTTACTAACTGGTTCATAACCAGTTTGGTGACTATATCAAATTCTACCCTGGTGAGCTGTTCTGTCGGGTGCCTGGTTGTACGAAGAGTACGGTAAGTATTAGCTAATTCCTCACTGGTTAATGACTAATTGCTAACTGGTTGTTAACTAATTAGCATCAATACTTCTCCCTCCCGAACCTCAAGAAGCACGTCGAAAGTCATGAAGGGTATATTGTCTACAAGGGAACCGTGGGCGGCCGGATCCCCCAGAAGGAGATTGATACTGCAGCTGGTAAGTAAACAGCGGACTGGATATAAACCGATTTATAACTAGTTTATAACTGGTTAGCATGGTATACGAAGATTACTACAGTTGAAGAGTCGTCCTCGAGTGCTGTCTTCTCCCCCGCTTCCTCCCGGGCCCCCTCTGCTGCAGTGTCCCCCGCTGCATCCCGTCCCTCCACCCGTGGCCTCGCGACTCCCGGCCCTGCCTCCGCTCCCCGCCCCCCGCGAGCGTCTCGTCCCCAAGTTGAAGAGTAAGAAACTAGCTTTTATTTAATTACCAACCAGTTATCACCCGGTTGCTAACTGATTAAAACAGGACTGCCGATGATGTTGAGTGGATTAAGCCTCCTTTGCCGTTGGGAAGGAATAACGCTGTAAGTATCACAGCCAGTTTATAACCAGTTAGGAACCGGTTTGGAATTGATTAGCAATTAGTTAAAGTACGGGGAGATGCGCCGGTATGCCAAGACTGTGGACCAGGATGTGCCCTGTGAAGGGTGCCAACCCAGCGGCCGTCGTGAGTATAATCAGTTCCTAATTGATTACCAACTAGTTAACCATCAGTTAGGATGCCCAGTGAAGCGAGCCTCCTGCGAGGTATTTAGTTTATTTCAGCATGATTAGAGAAGTCATGTGATTTAAGGAGTTTTTAAATAAGCCTTAGGCAGTCGTTAATTAATTTACAACTGGTTAGGAACTAGTTGTATTTTGTTTTATCCGTAACTCCAATTCTTGTGCATCATTCGCAAGTCGGAGCTGTCGTATCTCCTCTTCCTGCCGTGCAACCTCAAGCCGTAGCTTTTTATGGCGTAGTTCTTGTTCAATTGGGTCAACCTGCTCTTTCCGCTTTGATTGAGCCTCGAGTTCCTGGATCCGTAGGCTTAATGTATGATTCTGAGAAGATAATTCCTGAAGCTGGCTAGACTGAATAGCATGTTGCCGCAATGATTGACTGATTAGATACTGGTTAGCAATCAGTTTACAAATAATTAGTAACTAGTTATAAACTATACCTAGACTGCCTTCGTGCCTGTGAGACTGACCTCACCCTAGAACGACCTCGAGAACTTGTACTTGAGCCTGTTTGTGAATTAAGCCTTGATAATTGATCATCTTGGGCTTCAGCAGTATTTATAAGACTATTACTTTGTAGCCCTTGCTCACTTTGCATTCGGCGTACTAGTAATATTATAAATAATTAGTAATTAAATATATAGTAATAAAAACCAATTCAAGCTCTTACATTCACGCTGTCTTTGTTTATAGTAGCGGTTTGACAGGCCATTATTTTGATATGTATGTCGTATCCCAAAGTTCTCACGGTTATAATAGCGATCCATATCCTGGGTGTCGAGCTTATAGCCACTATATTAATTAGCAACTGGTTAACAACTGGTTATTAACTAGTTATTAGCCTTATACTTACGTTTCTACCGCAGACACAACTGTTAGGTATTTCCCCCATACATAGCTTTTTTGATGAGTTTGCTCTCCTGCATTAGTATTTGCACGAATTTGTGTAAATACTTTATATGGGATAAGTGAGCAAAAGGGGTTTAGTCCTGCTGCTATAACTGGATCATCCTTATGTACTGCCCATTCAGCAACTTGAGGCCTTTCATTTGCTATAATTAGTTAGTAACCAGTATATAACCAGTAGGTAATTATTTAATACTTACTCTTGAGCAAATCAATTAACTCATAGTATTCCTCAAGAGACTGGCATGTTAAAAGACTTGCCATTCGCTGCCATTCGCCTCGTCCCCGATGGTTGGTACCTATTACCTTGTCAATGCCACGATAAAAGTGTACACGGCAAAATATAAGGATATTGCGAAGCTGCCACTCGGGAGTATGTGTTGGGAGATGACCTTGAGGGTCAACACTTAGAAGATATTTTCCAAGTCCTAATTAATTCCGAACTAGTTAGTAACCAATTGCAAACTAATTAAAAGCTAGTTACCTTTTTGTTGCCCCTCATCCATATCTGCGACAATTGCCTGTATGCCATCACCATTATGATGATGTCGAAACTTAATTTTTTTTCCAGTAACTTGCTTAATAATTTGAAAAGCATGTTTAAAAACCTCAAAATAAGCCTCCTCATCTTGACGGTTAGTAAACGCGCGAAGAAGTGTAGCAACTATATAATATTTATTAGTAAATAGTAAATTAATAAATTCCCAACCGGTTACTAGCCAGTTAGTAATTAGTTAATTATAAATTCAAACTTACTCTTGCCACTATGCCCTGGTAGCTGGGTTGCGAATACAATTTCCTTAAGGCCACCACATCGTAATCGCTTGAATGACATATCAACCTCAAATGATTCTAGCTTATAGAGCAGCTCAAGCTGCTCCTTTCGTGCACAAATAATCAAGGTTCGATTATCATCACGGTAAATATACCGTACATAGTCCTAATCAGTTGTTAATTAGTTAGTAATATGTTAGTAACCAGTTATTAATCAGTCCTAACCTGGAGTTTCTCGTTTCTCAAGACCTGGTACTGAAGTCCATGGAGGTCTCGGCCAGCAGGGTAAAGGAGAAGCTGATTCCTTTTAATCTCAGCAGCAAGGCTATCCAAATTACTGAAGCTTGGATGCAGTTGAGCTAAGCCTTGTTGATTATATTCATGGAGTAACCTCTCCAGTTCTGGGCTCTTTAAAAATGTGGCTAAACTAGTTAGTAACCAGTTTCTAATTAGTTTATAAATAATTACTTACTTAATGTCAGTTCAGGGTTCTGTAACTTTTGGATAATCTCTCGAATCTGCCTCATTATCTTTTCAGGCTTTTTGGTTGGGGGTGGTGGAGGATGATAATGTTCCCCATGTGATGTAAAGATAAAAAATGGGCATGCAGCAAGGTCAACAGGTATTAGTGTATGAAATGTAACACCACATTTAAGATGCTCCATTGATCCTTGACCATTAGGATGATCAACTCCTAGAAATCGGTTAGTAACCAGTCAATAACCAATTAGGAACCAGTTATTAATTAGTTATCGGTTTTTTAACATACCACAAGTACTACTTGTCTGTGTAGCTGCTTTTATAACTGCACATTCAGTGAAGTTATAATTTGCCTCATTTTTATACAGCTGCTCAAGGTATTCAAGGTCAACATTTGTATACTCAGTAAAATTCTGAAAGTAATGTTGACGAGGCTGCTCTGCAGGATTATAGTGAATGCATCGAACAAATTTCTGGAACTGTCCAGAAATATTCTAATTAGTTAGAAACTGGTTAGTAACTGGTTAACTAGTAGTATAATTTAACTCTTACTGGGGTTTGAAACTGCCCAAAGATCGGTCGACAACCCTCCTTAAAGCCTGGACAAGAGACTTGTGTTTGGAATAGTTTATGATGTGACAGGAATATCCTATTAATATATAGTTAGTTAGCAACCAGCCCGTAACCAGTTAGTAACTAGTTAGTAACCGATTGAGATAAATCTTACGAGTTTGCCTGACTTTGTCGAGGATGGTCTAAATGATCAGAGATACCTTGGCGATAAGTTTTTAACTTATCCCAAAGTTCATTATCCACCTTTGAATGATGTAGGTTGCGAATATATTGTGGTGTTTTTTCACACACTTTAACCCCTCGGCAAATATATTTACGATGATATACTTGACAACCAAGAAACCGACTAGTCACAACCTTTACTTTAGATGGCTGTGCTTTCGCATATTGAATCTAGATACTAATTAGAATTAACTTATTAAATATAAATAAAATAATAACTATACATACACTTGTAATCATGTCATTTACTGCAGTTGGATCATTCTCAAGCAGTGAAATAACAAATGCATGTCCAGATTGCTTTGTGGAAGGATAATCAGGCAGAATGTGTGCATATTCAATATCTGAAACCATCAAGGGTTTATTAGTACCAGAGGTGAGAAGTGCAAGGGCCTATAAGAGGTTTTAGTAATTTTCTAACTAATTACTTGCCAATTACCAACCAGTTACCAACCAGTTACCAACCAGTTACCAACCAGGAACTGGTTGGTAATAAGTTATTAGAAATCCATACCTGTCCCTGTTCCTCATCCACATCCTCATCTTCCGTGCAATCTTCTAGCTCTATGATATCCATAACATTTTCCTTTCAATACTAGTTAGTACATTACTAATCAGTTACTAACCAGCTACAAACTGGTTGTTAATTAGTTAATAATATGCTCTTACATTTCTGTTATTTTCACTTGCAGATTCCATTTCTTCAATAGTATCAGAGGTGAGCTGACCAAGCTCAGAGCTTAACTCAAGAGAAGAGTCCATTTGTAACTAGTTTCTAACCAGTTTGTAACTTGGTGAGTTTACTGTGATCGTGGTAAAATATTTTAGAAGGTAAGTTGGTATTGGTTCTTCAGTTTCTGCAAGCGGTAATTATAATCCCGAGCCTCTAAGCGAGCGCACAGACTGCTCTAGCTCAAGATTTCGCTAGCGCTAGGCCCGCCCCACATAGGCGCTCAAACTCTGCGGTTCGGCCCTACCTACTTTAGGCTTCCGCTCCATGAAACGAGAGGCACTGACACTGGACACCACGAGAAGATAGAAATCCATCGTCCCAACTGCTTGACGATAGCAGTTATTCCAGCGTGCACGCCAGGGGCTATCATGAGTTATATGATCCTACTGCGACCTAGGACTGAATTACTTCCCATTCCTAGCATTAATTTTTATACTAATTAAATTATTCTCTATTCGCAGTTCTGGTGGATTGACATACGGACTTAACTCCCCTCTTTGGAGGGGCCATCATCTGGCTGATCTCCGAAGTACGTAGCCTGTGAGGGTGGAGTTGGCCAATAGGAATTCCATTATATAGCGTGATTTAGAATTTGCGTCCCGAATTGAGTGGGGTTTCCTCTTTGTAGCGGCGCCACAGGGCGCTTTTGTTGATATCATATTTTCAAGAAGTTGCAGGCACATCCTGTAATCTTCGATCCGTAAGTGCTTGTTCGATACGAGCGTTGCGGTCCATTTTTAGTTGAGATGAAAAAGAAGAGTTGTCGTGGCAAAATTATTGCAGCATGCATCCGGTTGTGCAACCATTACGTTAAACACGAGCTGTTTCGGTTACAGTACATAAATTTAGGTCTGCAGCGCAATTGGTCTCCATTGCAACCTCATGCTACCTGGTGGCTGCCTGACCATACTAAGCTAATGCTACGTCTGCCGAGCTGTGCATGTGCGCAGTCGTTGTGCAGGCAGTGTCGCTGTGGCCGGGCGCTCGTTTCGCCGCTTCCGGAATATCTACTCACCGCTAGCAGAATTGACCATACTCGGAAGAATTTATTGTTGGGGGCTTTGAGTCGACTGTCGTGTAGCAAAGAGATATTTAATCGCTTGGTAGATCTGACGATCTCAGAAGAGCTTGCAACAGATAGTGAATTCGCCTCCGGAGCTTTAGTGTTCTAACAAATATTTGTTGAAATACAGACTACCTCGGAATGATACCAAATTGATTCCTAAAATGCTTGGGTGAGTTGATCTATATAAGAGGGCCCGCAACTATGCAAATAGTGCAGCGCTAGAGGAGGCACCGATGGAGCGCTAGACATACGAGCAAAGTTTACTCCCGCATCAGCTACTATATCCAGCTAAGCCCAAATTCCAGTGAATGTAATCTGCTGTTAATCACTTGCAAATCTTGGTTTAGCCTGAAGTGGAAGCATAGATTGTGATGCGTCGATTACAAAAGCCAACAGACTTTACTAGCTTCCGCTGATCCTTCAGCTGGTATTAAGGAATATCTGAAATAATTTGAAGACAGCTGAAGTAGCGCAAAATGTGCTGCACAGTGGTATAAGTCTTAGATAGTCCACGTATATATTCTGTTATTCTGCCATTCTGCAAGTCAGTGGAAGATTTTTGGAAGAATCGTCTTATGGCTTTTATTCTCTATAACATATTCCGTCATCCTTGAACTTAAAACAAATTATATTAATTACCTTGGTTCTTTATTTCCGCCCCAATAAGCTGCAATTTTGGCACATATAATGTAGCATGGCATCTACACAGCAAAAATTTCCTAATGACCCTATATTTACTCAATTTCGCCGACTCTCCACGGAAAAACCTGGAGATTTCATCCACGATGACCACCACGGAATCGATGCAGGATATGGCCATTTAATAAGGGATATTAAGCATCTATGTCATGTGTTGCAAGAGCATCTTCCAAGATCTTCGTTCAACGAGAATGGCACTTTTCATGAACCTGCTACGTCTATCGCGTTCCATGCATTAAGTGGATATTGCTTCATTGTGAGTTTCTTCGCCATTGCGGCTCTAGGAGGTGTCTGCGTACCATTAGGTAAAGAAGCCCATAAGTCTATTGAGGGTAGCTTAAGACTAACAAGTCCACCTAGCAAATGGCCTTACCCCGGATGAAGCGCTATACATTTTGAACAAAACAAAGGCAACACACATCCTAGTAGATGAGAGTACTTTCGAAAATATTACAGCGGTTAGGGATCATGCTGTAAACCAAGCAGGCCAAGAGTTGAACATTATCACTATTACAAGGGCAGACTCGGAATCAGACGCAACGTATACACCGGAATTAGAGATCAATGATGAGCTAACGTTCTCACCAACAATGGGATGCCTGGTACTCTTTACTTCAGGGACAACAGGGCCACCTAAAGGAGTCGTTCTCCCTCGCCGGACGTTTTATCTCAAGCCAGGTGAGTTTGACCCTACGGTCCTCTATCTGGCTTCCAGCCCCGTACATTGGGTAGGAGGTACGGGTCTTATCGACAGTGTACTTAATGGAGAGGGTTTACATATAATCAAGTTTGGTTCTGGGCCAGACAGGTTCTGGGAGATTTTAAGAGAGGGCAAGATTACAGAAATGAGCGTGTCTCCGACACTGTTAAGGGAACTAAAGGCTTACTACATTGAAAACATCAGCGAACTCCCAGCTGAAGATCGAGACAAATATATTAATGGAGCTCGAAGCCTACAGGCGGTGTACACGAGTGGTTCAACGCTTCATCCTTCTACTCAACAATTCTTTGCAGATCTTACCGGTATGCCTATCATAAATGCGTTCGGGATAACTGAGATGGGCGGAGGGTTAATGCTCACTCCATCGGGATCGGCCTTTGTGGAAGTTAGTATCTGATTCTAATTCCCCGTTCTAGAGATTGCTAATTTCTATGCAGGGCTATGTTGGTAAGCTGATTCCAGGGGTAACTGTAAAACTGTCAAATGGTGATCATGGAGAAATTCTCGCCAAAAGTCCAAACATGTTCACACAGTATGAATACCCCTTTCACTTACTTTCCTTTTTGTTACTTTTTCTCTTTCTAATTTTGCTCCATTAATCGGAGAGGGCTGTTAACTTACGCACTCATAGCTATATTGGCGACGAAGAAGCTACATGTGCAGCATTTGACGATGAAGGGTTTTACAAAACAGGGGACCATGCTCACCGTGTTGGTGACGACTACTATTTCGATGGTAGGGTTTCATGCGACTGTACGTCTATCCCTATTGTCTACGGAACCTATCTAACAACAGGCGTCAAGGGATTCGATTCCACGAGTATACGATATCTGTCCTAGAAGTCGAGCACTGTCTGATGGATCTTCCCTATATTTCTGAGTCACATGTACTTCCGGTCCTGGATCGTGAGGCGGGGGGACAGGTGGCTGCACTTGTTAGACTTCGAAAGCAGGATACATACAGAGATAGAAGTGAAGTCGTCTCCCTGCGGACGATACGTGCAGAGCTTGCTGCCTCTGGTATGGTTTCATACAAGTTGCCTACGTTGTTACGTGTACTCCAGGATGGGGAACAAGTCCCCTTAACTGCCTCTGGTAAAGTGATGAAGAAGGAATGCCTCCGGAATTATTTCAACGTATCTGGATACTTGCCAGAGCCGTATGCTATGGATGGAGTGGAATACTGGGGGAATAAACTCGATTTGGACACTTCATCACGTCTTTTTGACTGGGGAGGTCTATGACATGTTTGTCCATGCTGTGGGCAACGCCAATTTTCACTGGTTTGAAATTCTTAATATTAGGGTTTACAACTGGATTCTATAATTTAGTATACAGTTATGACAAGTGAAATTGCAATGAAGTTGTGCCGGTTGTGGGGAACATGTTAGGTTTTAATTGTCCGCCGAATTAATTTCTCACTTTGCCAGACACTTTTCGACACCATTGTTAAAGTTGACCTGTGGATGCATGTCTGATTGTAATCTTATAAGCCCCTAGAGGAATATAGTGGGAAGGTGTAAAGGGTTGGAGCACGTTTGACCTCTCGGGCCATTTAGCCCGTTGTCCCTATAGTTCCCGTTGACCCCGACGATTTACATCACGTGACCCTTTGACTATTTGTTTTCCTGTCCTTTCCTTCTTCCAACGATTCCTTTTTGTACGTACATAGCCTATTTTATAGGTTCTACGGGTTCGGCCCCTGATAGAAGGGTTCGCTGGTGAACATTTTAGTAATTGAAGTATGACAGCTAACGGTAGGTGGACAGTCATTGCGAGGGCCTCTTAATTATAATTAATCTTAACAACTGAATTGTAAGTCAAGTTTACAAGAAAGAGTAATTTTTCATGCCCTGTTTTCCTTGATGCTGTGATGGCAATTGCTATGTCATTTTGCAGCCGATCGGCAAACTCAACCACCGACAGCTTACATGTTAGCTTTAGAGACACCGACAATTGGTAAAAAAAAATGCGTTCGATAACTTCAAAGTTTATATATACTACGTATTAAAAAGTCGTTTACTTGACCTTATCAAGGCGGCAAAGGTTCAAAACGTAAGTATAGTTATTGGTTATTTTATTCGACATAGTACAGTCTCAAGAACTTCTCAAATACTTAACACTTCCCTGGAGCTAGAACTATCGTATACGAATTTTGGACCTTTTATGTTAACGAAAATGACTTCCACAGATCGTTAGTTAATGCAATGAGTCCAGTCCACAAAATTTAAGACTTTTCTGCCGGTCGTACTCCGCACGAATCCATCAAAGTCGGACAGGTATATTAACTCAAACAGATCTTCATTAAAGTCAAACACCATAAAGAAATGTTTGATCTTCCTGGTGAGCTCTTGCTCGTTAATGAAATCCCCGTCACGGTGCGGTGCTCGCAGAATCCGAACCTCCAACAATACGTCCATATCATTATCCTCTTTATGGCGAAGTATAACCTGCCACTGTAGGATACCCCATGCTTCCGTTCGCATGAGAGCCTGAATGCCCTGGAACTCGAAGTATTCACCGTACCAATCAAAGCTAATTCGCCTATCACGTCCATAAATGCGGACTACTTTGTAATACTGAGCTTCTTCTTCTAGCAAATCTCCGTGGACCTTTTGTGGTAATGGATGAACGGAAGCCAAGTCACCGCACACATAGCGGACGAGCGGATTGCGCAGTCTCTGTAATGATGTTTGTACGAGGATCCCTTTCTCGCCGTCGGGGACGCAAGGGGCGGACTCTACGTGGTTAGCATCTGCATCTTCATCTTCGATATACAACGGAAAGACTTCTAGCAACATTGTCCGAGTGTCGAAAATAAAATCTGCGTAGTTTTCGGCAGTGTGTCCGGTTAGTGATGGGATGGAAACGGCCCACGGCCCAGCCTCGGCACTACCAATAACGGAATAGATAAGGACATCCCCAAAGACAGAGTTAATGAATCTTTGTTGTGCCAATGTCATTGGTTCGGATGTGTAAAGGAATTTGGTCAGGCGTATGGAGCCCTTCTGACTTGTATCTAGTGCGGCGACGTACTTTGCAAGCTGGACCACTTGCCCGGCATCACCAGCGACAACATTTACTCGATAATGTACAATTGCATCGATCATAGCTTGGTGCGCCATTTCCGGACCAGCACAAAGCACCGAAGCCCCAGCATGTTCGCATATCTCGGTCGTTAGGTCCAGTGCTCTGATATCAGTACGCATTCAATGGTCATTGACCGCTCTACACATCGCTTGCAAAATAAGCAGACACACCTGTAAAAACTGCCTGAAACATGCATAGACAACACCCAGTCCCCAGGTTCAATCACCCGGAACGCCCGCATCAGGGCTCCAATCGTAGCGCGTTGTTGGCGATTTTCACCCGAATCCGTTGCAAAGACCATTGGTGGCCCTCCGGATCCACCACCGGTTGTACTGATATACGTATTTTGTCGATAGCCATTATGGGGGTTTGTGTCGGCCGTGAGTCGCGCAATCTCCTGATACCTGATCAATCAGAGCATTAGCGCAAAGCAACAAGGGACTTGCAGTGAAATATGGGGGATGGTCGTACAATGTACTTTTTTTAGTTAAAGGAAAGGATTTCAGATCCACGCTAATTCCATCATTCTTGGAGGCTGCCAAAACAGAAGGAAGGTCCTCACGCGTTGGGGGATACTTTGTGTCTGAGTAAAATGGGTGAACCTTTGCAATTGCAAGGATATCAGACAGAGTATAATATTTCGCCATCGTATAGGGACCCGAAGGAGCTGGAGGTGGATGATTCTGTCAGTAGTGAATGTTTACTGGGTGGCTACCATCCTATTAATGCTTTATACTACGGGCTATACCCCATAATTACCTCCGGAGTCGGAGCATAACAACGGCCGACAGGGGTATTCCGTTCGAAATACATTTTACTAGGATTTGCATTGCCTATTTTTGAGTCATTCTCCGGGCCTCATTCGACCATTTGTGTATGCCCATGCCACTTGTACCTGCCGTGTTTATTCCCACGTATTTAAATGTGTAATTGAAGTACAGGAATGCCCGGCTGGGATAACGCCATCATCAGCAACCCGATCCACACTGCATTGCGTCGAATTGTGCTATCGATAATTTGCTTACTGGGTAGACAAATTTCTCAGCTGAGAGAACAGCCCAATCGGACCCACTTTGTTGCATTCAGCCAATTCTTTACACACTCTCTCACTTTACCACAGAGCTTCTACTGTTCCCTCTGTCCTTCAGATGAGATGAGCAAGTGTGCTACTTCTTATTATGAAATCCACCAACACGAAACACTTGTATGAACCAGACAAACTATCTCATAGTCCTTCCCGCATCAGCGCGAAAATCCCTTGGGCCTCTACGTATGTGCAGTAATGGAAACAGTCGGTATGATGGTGGAAATCGGGCGGGGTTAGTCGAGAGTGAATCGACGAATGGGTACTTAGTATGCCGCATCCAGTGTGAATAGCCTCGACAAATGTACTGCCACCGGCAATCATGGTCTTGGTCTACCACACTCCCTTGAGCTGGCCACCTTGTCGGTCGGATAAGTGGTAGCCTGACTTCATACGATAAAGTTAACACGAGAACTCAAAAGATGAGCGTATCCAGCCTAATCAATTAAATTTTGTTAGAGTTTGCACAATGAAAATGGCTGGATGAGAGCTTATTCGGCGGTATGTGCTAATGTCGACTTCCAAGTGTGCCACAATAGTGTTTTAGTAGAATTGCATCCTGCCAGTGCCCAATAAATACAGTTCGTCTGTTCGAGCCGGCTGTATGAAGGGCGATCCACATGATGAGTCTCCAAATATCGGGCTTTGGACCTGGTAAAAAAGGGCCCCATTCCTACTCCCGGTATTTTCCATAAATTCATTTCTCTATTCATTTCTCTCGCGGGACAAACAGCTAATTTCATGTCCCTCACGAGCTTGGCTCGGATATTCAGCAGCAAGCACAGACATGAGTTCCTCAAATTTTAGCCGATACAAGTTGGTGTTCTGCCACACGGGATGCTCGCAGCAAGAGTACATCCGCATATTGCGACACCTTCATAAACAAAGTATGGAGGTGAAGTTCCGCAATCTCTCCCTGTTTTTGGAGGAGTCCCTCAAGGCCATCCATACGGAGGCCAGACGTCTCAGTACTTCACCAGATCATCGGCTGCCGCGCTTTAATTCCATCCTTGCTTTGGCAGCCAGCGAACCATCATCCTGTCTCACTTTATCCATGGCCGTCCAAAGGGCCTTGACACTAGTCTCACAAATTGGAACATATATTAGGTGAGAAATTGCACGTGGAATGTCTATACATGTACTGGGGGAGTTTGTCATCAAGCCATACAACTAACGGCTCTATACGACGTGTTAGCTACTATGAAACACATAGCAATGAGTTTGAGTTTGGAAGCAATACAGAAAATACAATACTGAGCGGTTATGGTATGGGTATGCTGGCAGCGGCAGCGATCGCAGGCGCAAAATCAGTCGCATATCTGGCCTCCGTCGGAGCAGAGTACGTGAAAGTCGCTTTTCGACTAGGCATAGTCACGCAGGGGCAAATTAGGGCATTCGGAGCTGGTGAATACGAGCGTCATTTGGGGGTGCAAACCTGGGTATGTTCCGCTGTAGATGGAACGTCAGCAGAGGATGTTCAAAGAGAGTTAGATATGTGCAAGTCAGAATTGGTTTGTCCTCACATCTCTTACATCAGTGGTATCCCAAAGACTAAGATATTTGACAGGAGGGCAGTGGAATCCACGTGAGTGCTCTTGAGGATGACACTCTCTGTGTCATAGGACCCCCGCTGCTTTTACAGGAGACAATATCCAGATCCATACACTCAGATCTCTGAAACTCTCACACAGCTGCTTCTAGTATTGCGCCATTCTATCTGGACATGAAGGGAGCTTACAGGACTTTGTGACGGGCGACCTTGCTTATGATTTGTGCGGATCTTCGTCAAGTATTACACTGCTCTCCTTTCAAACTGGGAAGAAATTACAACTACACTGGGTTGATGTTCTCAACGAAATTACCAGCGGCATGATAGAATGCAATACTAGCGTTGATTTCCTCAGACAAAGCATTCGCTCTCTTCTTGTAGAGTGGGAAGCTACTGACTGCTCCGTGATACTCTTTGGGGATTCGGCTCTATCGGACCAGCTGCTCCTGGGCTTTCAGGCTGAATGTCGTATTCTACGACTTCATCGTATAGACTTAACTGACTCTGGCCATCCTGGCTTCCATCAAGAGGCTTCAAGGTCTCCGCAATCCGCCAAGCTCGCCATTGTCGGCATGGGGTGTCGATTTCCGGGAGGAGCAAACAATCTCGCGCTATTCTGGGACCTGCTTCAAGCTGGACGTGATGTTCACACCACGATTCCACCAGACCGGTTTGATCTGAAGACTCACTATGATCCAACAGGACAGGTAGAAAATGCTTCCCCCACACAGTTTGGGAATTTCATTGATACTCCAGGATTCTTTGATGCCGCATTTTTTAACATGTCCCCTCGTGAAGTAAGCTGTCCTCACGAACTATTTCAAATCATGCACTGACGGAGTGGGATGAAGGCGCGTGAGACCGATCCACAGCACCGTTTAGCTTTGGTGACCGCCTACGAGGCGCTCGAAATGGCCGGCTACGTCAATGGCCGGACACCAGCCAGCGATGGAAAACGAGTGGCGGTGTTCTACGGTCAGGCTGGAGATGATTGGAGGGAGCTGAATGCCAGCCAGAAGATTGGACCTTATGCAGTATCCGGCGGGGAGAGATCGTTTGCGAATGGGAGAATTAGTTACTTCTTTAACTTTGCTGGCCCTAGCTACAACATAGACGCTGCATGCTCTAGCAGTCTGGCTGCAGTCCATATGGCCTGTGAAGCACTCAGGTCGGGAAAGGTTGATACTGTGGTTGCTGGTGGGTTGTCCATCCTAACTCATCCAGACAAGTTTGCTGGACTCGGTAAATCAGGATTTCTATCTTCAAGTGGCCAGTGCAAGGTGTGGGACAAGGATGCGGACGGTTACTGTCGAGCGGACGGTATAGGGTCGATCGTGATTAAGAGGCTGGAAGACGCGGTTGACGATAATGACCGGATCCTTGCCACCATCCTGTCTACAGCTACCAATCACTGTGCGAATGCAATCTCGATCACCCATCCCCATGTCGGAGCTCAAAAGGATCTGTATACAGAGCTAATGCTTGATGTCGGTATTAACCCACTGGATGTAGGCTATGTCGAGCTCCACGGCACCGGTACTCAGGCGGGTGATCCGGTAGAGGCGGAATCAGTGAAGGCTATATTCGCACCGGTGGGCTGCCGACCAGCGCATCAACGGCTGTATCTTGGCTCAGTAAAGTGCAATATCGGTCACTCTGAAGCTGCGGCTGGGATTGCATCCCTGATCAAGGTGATTCTAATGTATCAACACCATCGGATCCCGCCGCATGTGGGAATCCGCTGCGAAGCGAATCCTGCCCTCCCACAGGATCTTGAGACGTGCAATGTCGGAGTGTGTCTGCAGGAAACCCTGTGGTCAAAAGTAGACGGGGAGAAGCGCTACGCGGTAGTGAATAATTTTGGCGCACATGCGGGAAACAGCGCCGTGCTCCTTGAGGATGCTCCGGAAATGGCCAGGGTCGGCGAAGATCCGCGACAGGTATACGTGGTGGCTATATCAGCTAAGAGCAGAGCATCACTCAGCGGGAATATTCAAGCCCTAGTCGAGTACATGGAACGTCATCCTGACGTACTGCTCGGGGATCTTTCCTATACTACATGTGCCAGGCGCACGCATTATAAGTTCCGCATTGCAGCTGCTGTGACAAGCTACCAAGAGCTTCAAATCTCCCTGAAGCTCCACCTGGGAAAGGTTGACAAGGTTAAACAGATACGGACGGAACCACCCGGGGTTGTATTTGCTTTCACAGGACAAAGCGAATCGTATGTCGGGATTAGTGCGCAGTTGTTTGACAAATTTCCATTCTACCGCACACAGATTCTTCAGCTGAGTTCCGTTGTGCAAAGCTTCGGGTTCCCTTCTATCATCCCAGTTGTTACTGGTGCGATTGACTGCCAGCTTCCGGATCATAGATCCATAATCCAAGCACAGCTAGCCATTTTTGTTATAGAGCTTGCCTTGGCTCGGCTATGGCGGCACTTGGGTGTTAAACCTATTGCTGTCGTGGGTCACAGCCTCGGAGAGTATGCTGCTCTCGTAGTTGCAGGTGTTCTCTCAGCGGGCGATGCTATCTGGCTGGTTGGAAAGCGAGCTGAATGCCTGCTAGATACTTGCGAAGTAGGCTCATTTCAGATGCTTGCGATCCAGGCAACCTATCCGGAGATACAGAAGATCTGCGATGGAGAAAACTATGATATATCTTGTCTCAATGGGAAGAGGAGTATGGTGATCAGCGCAGCACGGGAAACTATCCAGATTATCTGTGCACGTCTACAGCGTGAAGGAATCCGATTTAAAGTACTCGACATCCCATTTGCTTTTCATAGCAGACAAATGGAACGGGCGCTGCCCGAATTTAGGAAGATTTCCAGATCAATTGAGTTTCATCCTCCAGCTATAACGGTCCTATCGCCACTCCTCGGAGAATGTATCCTAGCCGGGTGCTCTGTCACTCCGGGGTATTTACTTCGTGCGTTGAGGGAGCCGGTGGACTTTATCAGCTCGATTAGTGCGGGTCGGCGTCTGGGTGTAGTGACTCCGAACACTATCTGGATAGACATCGGCCCCCACCCAATCTGCGGAGAACACATCCGGAGGGACAATCCCGACGTCACCACTGTGTCGTCGCTGTACCGAGGGGAAGATGATTTTGTTGTTATGGCCAAGAGTATGGCGAAGATTCACTGCACGGGGGTGCGTGTTCGCTGGGATGAGTACTTCCGACCATATGAGAAGGCTCATTTTCTTTTACATTTGCCTAGCTATCGCTGGGACGAGAAGAACTATTGGATTCCTTACGAGTCTACATGGACTTTGGACAAGGCACGCAGCGGCAACGCAGCGAGTGAGAGTCTCCTAACTACGAGTCGAGGGCTCCAGACGTCCCTGATCCACCGAATCTCATTGGAAGAAATCCACGGCTCCAGAGGACGGGTGCATGCTATCTCTAACATGGCGTATCCCGATTTTCGCCACGCATTACTGGCGCATAAAGTAAACGGATGCGGAGTCACGGCCGCGGTATGAGATGCGAGATCTGCTGGTTTTAATACTGTTTTTGACCAATCTATAGGGAATCTGGAGCGACATGTGTTGGAATATTGGCAAGTATCTTTATAGGCGCATGATACCGGGCGACCACGAGGTGCCGATGAACGTAACCAAACTGGAGGTCCTGGAGGCTCAGGTCGCCTACAATAACCCGAGCACAACGCAGTTACTGCAGATTGAAGCCGTTCTAGATACTATGACAATGAACATGGGGGTACAGTTTTACAATGTATCGGAGCAAGGATCTCGGAGCGAGAGATACTTCGCATCCGCGACTGTCGCGTTTGAGAGTCTTGCCAGCTGGAGGGCTGAATGGCGAGAGGTCTCAAGCGTAATCAAGAAAAGAATCGAATCCTTGACTAAGAAAGGTGAAAACGGCGAAGCGAATCTTCTCACTGGAGCCCTGGTGTATTCCTTAATGAAACGCGGCTTTGTGGACATCGGTGAACGGGACCGTGGAATCCAGAGTTTTATATTCGACGGCTATGAAGCATGTGCAGCAATACAACTAGATTCATACCGACACGGCGTTTGGCACACTCCGCCTCATTGGGTAGAAAGCTTGACTCAGGTGGCCTCGATTATAATGAACATCAGTGAGGCATCGGACGTGGAGAATTATTATTATGTTTCTCCTTACTACGAAAGTTTCCGGTTGGCTGAGCAGCCTATTCCCGGCGCCAAGTACACCAGTTATACCAGCATATCTCCCATGCAGACGGACGGTAATTACGAAGGAGATGTTTATATCTTACGAGAAAGTGAGATCATTGGTATGGTTCGGGGAATCAGGTTCAGACGGGTTCCAAGATTCCTCAAATCTGAGCTCTTTGTTGCACCGGACATAAGCAGCACCCTTCCATGTGCGGAACCCCAGCAATCACATGTCAGTTCCAGTTCCAAGCCAGATGCAACCGATACGGTTGCCAAATGGGCTTTACCTTTCCTGACCCTCGTGTCGGAGGAAACGGGTCAGGGTATAGGTGAGCTAAAGGATGAATTGACACTTGTCGAACTTGGTATCGACTCGCTCATGGCTCTGATTATTTGCGCTAAGAGCCGTTCTATTTTGAATCTAGAGATTCCTCAAGGGCTCTTTCTCTCCTGTGATACATTTGGTGAACTGAAAAAATGTGTGGCTAAACAATGGAGTGCATGATATGCGGACTTGCTGCCATCAAGTGATGTTGACCCCTGCGAGGCACAAAAATAAAAATAAAACATTGCAGCAAAGAAAAGACAGAAACACATTTCTAATTTTCTAGTGTGCTGGGGAAAGCTGACGGTGCTGTGCGGCCATTCTTTAGCTAGACCATGCTGCAGGCCATCGCGTTTCTTTCTGTCAACATAGAATTGGGCGTATTTTATTCAACTATTCGTCCTGATTCATAATAATATGACTATCTAGATCCGTAGTAAAGGTCTGATCTTCTAAACTACGCATATTTTGCCTGTTTATATGTGTATGGTGAATCGCTTGACCCGCTGAATAATCACCACACGAATAACTATGTTGAAAATCAGCGAAAAAAGCGTAATCTTCCGAACAGAGGTATAAGTTATCGACATTATATGTACTATACTTGATTATCTGACTACTCTTAACCGGATTACCGTAGCAAGTACCTAAATTATTAGCTTACCAAATCTGACCTCGGCAGTGTTGCTAGATCCTGGCCATGGGTGATTCACTTTACCTGCCGTTATGGTTACTGGCCTTTCTCAGTAACCTCAGGTGCTTCTTGAGCAACCGGGATGCCACCCCAGCAATCATTGTCTCTGATCTAATCATTCAAGGCTACAGTGTCCCATCTGGGTTTCCTTCGCGTTTCAGATGCGTCTTCGCTCCAATACCAGGGCAGCGACTACGAGAGCGACTCAGAGGAAATACATGAATAATTTATTATACTGCCTTCCATTATCACAGCTAACAGCATTTTCGATGAACCAGCTTGTTATAAAAATCTTTCGACTATTCACAGCCGCAGTCGTGCTATATCCATCTTATATCGACCCACAAGTAGTGCAAGGAAAGTGGCAAGGCCCGAGAGTGCTACTACCAGCACAAATACATCTTTCAGACCCCCAAGGTAAGCAGCGCGAAATCCTGTACTTGACTCTGAATCGGTATCTTGTCCACTCAAAAGACCTCCTGTGAGTATCTGGTTCGGGCTCGCATTGGCAACAGATGCCATTTCCAAGTTTCGCTTGACCTTGTCGAGGAATATGGTCTGCCCTGTTTGCATGAAGATCGAAGCCCCCAGACACTTAAAGAACAAAGTCATGGATGTCATAGTCGACATGTCCGACGCATCCACAGTGGCCTTGTTCATAATGATCGGTACCTGGAGTGAAGCTCCAATCCCGATCCCTGCCAAAATCTGGTACGGAATCCAGAGTTTCGGCGGCGTTACAAGATCCAGGGTGTATAGTAACCCGGCTCCTACACTGATTAGTATTGCACCAACCAACAGAAACGGCGTTGGGTAGCCAGTAATCCCGAGCCCTATCGCTCCAATTACTGCCATAACGCCAGCTGATACGATCAACGGCAGGGTTCGTATCCCCGAGTCCTCAGCTGAGTTACCCTTTACTGTCTGGAAGTAGATGGGCATGTAATACAGGAGCATGAAAAATGCGCCCGCCACTAGAAAAATAAAAACGAGATTAATAGCGACTTCTTTTTTTCAGAAGTAATCGACGGGGAATCATCGCCCGATCATCCCAGAAGAGCTCATTCGTAATGAATAGCCCCGCAAGAATTGGAAATCCAATCAGACACCCAATCACATCCTTGTTATGCCAGGACTTGCCGACTCCCCATTCGAGACCGAGTAGGAAACAGAGTAATGCACCTGTTAATGTAATGATTCCCAGTATATCGAGCTGGAAGATTATCTCTTTTCCTGACGTTTTCATATTCGCAGGTGGAGAGGGTGACCGAAACAAGAAGAGGATGACGGCAAATGTAGCTCCACCAATAGGTAAATTGATCCAGAAGCACCATCTCCAAGTTACGTTACTAGTAAACTCTCCTCCAATAACGGGGCCGGCAAAGCTGGCGAGTAGGAATGCCAGACCAGTGATGCCAATCAGCATGGGACGTCTCCTTGGAGGGACGCAGACCCCGAGAATAGTATAGATCCCCGACCCAATTCCTGATCCGCCTACTCCTGCGATGGCCCTGCCGATAATAAGTGTTGGGGAGTTGTGGGAAAGAGCACAAAGCAGAGATCCTAACTCGAACGTGAGTAGGCTGAGGAGGTAGGTCCATTTAATATTGAAAAATCCGTACAATTTCCCCCATGGTGCTTGAGTTACAGCACTGCCCAGAAGAAATGCAGCCCCATACCAGCCAACATCAGCCGTAGATTTGAATTCGTCCGTGATCTGAGGAATAGCGGTTGAGATAATAGTCGTATCCAGGGAAACGAGGAACATTGCCACAGCGAGGCAAAGTACAATCACATGTAGTAGCACCCCATCTATGTATTCTTCTGTTGGATCAGGATTTATGTCGGTATCTGGTTGGTTGACTTCTTTGTTTTCTGCAGTGGAGACTTGCTTTCACCTTGTGACATTGCTGTGGTTCGTGGTCTTAGCGCCGTCAAATCACTTGAATTTAAAAACATCTTGTGGTCTTGCCCTGCGATGGAGAATGAGTAAGAAAAAGGTTAAGAGATGGGCTAGATTTTGCGTTTGTATATGTCGCCTCAGAGGAGTTGGAGCACCTTTTGCCAGGGTATTCGTCCCTCTAGTTACAGGCCCACCATTATTTTGTTTTTGGACACTATTTCTTCGAGCGAGTAATTCCGTCACACAGCGCACTAATCAAGAACGGACTTTTACAAAAGTAATATAGATAAGAATAATAACAATAACATAAGTAAGATCTGCATTATATATCACCAAGGAATAGTCTCATGAGACCCGCCCAATGAACAGCCTATCCTTTCCTGTCTAACAAAAAAAAAAAAAAGAAGAAGATTGCAATGATCATCCTTGACTTGCCCGTTTGCGATGTACCCCGTGCAACCATAAGTAGGAAGGAAAAACTTTACTGCTTTACTGTGATCACAAAAGGAGTGCCCAAGTATACTGGACCCACACGCCCCGGTCCGAAAGTTTGTTTGGCGTGCAAGGGGTGGCTAAGGTTTCTCGAGAAGCTAAAGGTGAGAATCTTTTATGGTTTGAGCTATATGCGGAACCACAAGTCAATATGGTCTATTGTAATAATATGCAGCTACCAGGGATGGTTTCGGCTAGTAGGGGTTTGCTTCCAGAAATGAAGACTAGTATGGAGTGGGCATATTCATCTGCCAAAAATATGGCGATTTGTTTCCAATAGAAATTCTTGAGCCCAAGATAGAATTGCAGAAGGCGCTATTGGTATGCAGGATCGTAGGATATGAACATAGCCGATCAGGAGGCATGCACTAGGATACCTCAGAACCAATGTCTCGCTTCAGGCCGGTCGGATTTTTAGTACCTGAAAAGGCTCTTATATACTGCGTCTGACGAATCACATAACAAGGTGGCCATGCATACAGAGTAGCAGTTTATATCATCGCACTGTATGATCGCATATTGCCAATTTCTTGAGGAAAACTGTACCTTTCAGAGTGCTTTGCTTTTTCTACATGGTCACCTGTGGAGTATTCTAGTTCCACTACAGCCAGTTTATTGGAGATCGACATTTACCGAAAATTGGGGAGGTTCCTTTATAGATTATTATGGTATTAGTTTGGAACCGCCTGGATCAGGGGAGGCAGACATTGTTGATGGAAGAAAGATGCAGAGAAAGATGGACATATTCTGAAAGGATTTTACTGTTTGCATGGGAACATGTGTGGGCTTCATAAGAATATGATGCATGCATCACCTGTATCCTACTCATTTCCGGTGCTCGGTATGTAGAGGAGGTGCCCTTCCCCTGCATTCAATGCCCCATTGTATAGATTAGACTTTTATTGACTGGAAGGTCTAGGTTCTACATGAAAATAGTGCAGCCATTGGACTTACTTCAGCTAGCCCAAATGCTTACTTAAATGGCAATTTCTGGGGTTAAATATCTGCTGGACACCAACCCATTCAATAAGCAATTAACTACTTTTGTCCAAACCCATCTTCTACCTTTGAGTATCATGAACCACGTGAGATCTATGCCCGGGGATACATCTATGCCTTTGCATATAGAGGCTTGCGATGCCACCAAGCGTGCTGGCACTTACGCATTACGCCAGGTGCGGGAGGATGGCCACTGGTATGGTGAGATGAAATGCAATGCCACTATTACAGCGGAATAAGTTTTCCTCGCGCAAGCCTTAGGGTTCAGCATCGAGACAGACCAGGACGATCTCGTCAAGTATTTCCTGTCCGAGCAAAACAGAGACGGTTCATGGAGCATTGCATATGATTACCCGGGAGATGCTTCCACAACTGCCGAAGCATACTTCGCCTTGTGTCTGTTGGGCCTTGACGCAACCACCAAGCGATGCGCCCTGCACGCGAGTTCATCCTCTCGAAAGGTGGCATAGCGAAGGTGCGCGTTTTTACTCGAATGTTTTTCGCTTGCTTTGGGCTTTTCCCTTGGTCCGCGGTGCCCGAGTTGCCAGCTGAGTTGATCTTGCTCCCTGCAACCGCCCCGATGAGCATCTATCGGCTGGCAAGCTGGGCCAGGGCAACAGTGGTACCAATGCTGGTCATTCGACATCATCGTCCCATATATACTTTGCCAAATGGAACGTCGCCATCTAATGATTACTTGGACAAGCTTTGGGTCAATCCAGCAGATAAAATGGTTCCATATGCCCCTTCTCTATGGTCTTTATGGCGTGATGATCTTACAGCATTTGGGTTTACTGTGTCGATAATATTCTGAAAGCCTTAGGTGGCCTGCGGTGGTTCCCTCTGAGAAAAGTTGCGCTTCGACAATGTGTGGCTTGGATTCTTGAACACCAGGAGCCTGAAGGCGATATCGGAGGCATCTTTCCTCCCTTGCATGCTGGGTTGTTTGCACTCATACTGGAGGGTTATGACCTCGAGTCTAGCCCTGTACGTCGAGGCATCGATGCTCTCCAAAACACCTACGCCTGGAGAGACAGCGCTGGTTTGAGAATACAAGGCTGTATCTCGCCAATATGGGATACCATTCTTATGACTATTGGCCTCATCGACTCTAGTCTACCGGTTGCAAGCTCCCTCGTTACGCGATCATCACAATACCTTAAGGCCCGCCAACAGCTAGGACGACAGGGCGATTGGAGTGTATAATGGAAACGTTTCACCCGGCGGGTTTAGCTTGAGTACTTCAATTCGTGGTATCCGGATATTGACGACACTGCTGCGGCAATCCTAGCGATGGTGAAGCAGGATCCAAATCTGTTCGATCTAAGCCCCATATTATCCGCAGTTCATGGATCCTCGGATTGCAGAATAGTGACGGTGGATGGGCAGCATTCGACCGCGAGAACAATTATTTGTTCCTAAACAAAATCCCGTTTAGTGACATGGATAGTTTCTGCGACCCATCCACCGCAGATGTAACTGGGCGTGTCCTTGAATGTTTTGGCCTGTTAGTCAAGACGGGCGCCGTACTATCTAAGAATGGTAAAAACCCAATTCCTCAATTATTCATTGAGAGAATGTCCTCGGCCACTGAGCGTGCAATTGATTTTCTGTCAACGGAGCAAGATTCTGATGGGCCATGGCACGGTCGCTGGGGCTCGAACTACATTTATGGAACCAGTACGGTACTTTGCGGGTTGGTTTACCACCTGGAAGGTTGGGATGATACGTATCCTGTAATGGAAAAGAAACACAAAGCCGACACTCATGCCGCCCTTGACTGGCTCAAAAGAGTTCAAAATCCTGACGGTGGGTGGGGCGAGCGCCTCGAAACATATAACGATCCTAGCCTCGCTGGCAATGGGCCATCTACAGCATCGCAGACGGCCTGGGCATTGATGGCCCTGCCTGCATATTTACCACCTACAGATTCATCAATCACTCGGGGTATTCAATATCTTTCACAGACGCAGATTAAAGAGGGGGAACTTACTGGGTCATGGAAAGAGGATCACTACACCGGTACCGGCTTCCCGAACCATTCTAACTTTGCTATACCTTATACTCTCAATACTTTCCCATGATGGCCTTGGGTCGGTACACTAGTCTATCCGGATATAGACCGCTAGAATATCTGGAAAGCACAGTGGAAGGAGACCATACTACCGACTGTTGATGAGTAGGGTTTAGGCGACCTGATGTCCGACATTGTTTTAGTATCCAATGTCTTGGGCTCAGTAGCTATGTGGATCAGGCTGGTTTTCCATCGCGGGTATTACTAAGCAAATCAATCCATTCTCCGATGGATTAGTTATTGTCATGTACGGCTAGTCCCGAAGAGGAAATAGAGTACGATTGGTAAATAGGTCTTATTTGACTGAATTGAGCTGGTTGGGCTCTTCTTGATCTTGGTTATTCTTGATGATTATTTTTATTGCGTGCTCCGCGGGGGTTTTACCCCGATCCAGTCACATGATTCTGGTCCACCAACGGCCATATTATTTGACAGTTATATGGCAGGTTACACTGTAGGTCCTGTGAATCGTTCAAAATCTCGGAAGACTCGTCCTGGGTCTTGGCACAACCGACAATTCTTTCGATCTTTTAGATACTGTATCCCTTCCTATGAGAATTTGAACAAGGTCGCCCCACCTGTGTACTCTGGATAGAGCGACACCTATAACAGCCCCCGAAGTAGCCCTTTTCGGCCGCCTTCTAGCCGTCACATCGTTAAACGGAGTATTTATCATGTTATTTAGAAGTAAAAGACTAATTCGTAACCATAGGACCCTAAATAAGTTAGGGGTGTAAAGAAATGGTATGAGCCAGACACAAGTGAATGCTGTATAGGAACACAAGAATGGTGTGAAAAAGTTGGATATATACATCTAAGTGAACATCTCTGTTTGGATCCAAGACTTAACAAGAGATAAGGCGAAGATGGCTAAGTCGTCTCTAAGGTTTGTTTCAGGTTTACTGTCTCCTGTAGTCTCCTATATTTGTCTTTAATTTCATATTGTACTTTGCATCTTTAGTTCGTGGTTGTATTGATATTGTAATCATCTAGTTATTTCATAAGGGCTGAGATAATATGACGTTATTAGTTCTTTTGGCTAAGAATTTAACTAAAAGAGAGAAAGTGACGGCCATGATTGTTCTAGCATGAACTCGAGGTTGTTGAGTCCGCCCGTAGGTGATTATATCCAGTTTCTACAGTTCACGAAAGATCGATATGGGATAGGATAAATATAAAGTTAATAGCTATCTACAGATTCTCCTTGGATATTGAGATAAATCTGGGTAAATGTATCAATTGCTAAATAGATTATTAGCCCTTTAGTGCTTAGCTATTTTTTTCCGCTTCTGTTTGATATACTGTTGCATTACTAGGTGCGTACTAATGTCTAGATCTTAACTGTCTTGTGATATCAGCCAATGCTCCAAAACTATTATTCCCAGGAAGATATTTTCTAGAGACATAAATTGGCTCAGTGTTATGGTGACTCGGTCCGTTCTTAATTATCAAACACGTTTGCTATATATATTTACGCGAAACATGTTACAAGCTCAAAACGTCTCCCTAGATGAGGAAAAAGCGTAGTACCTTAGCGAGCTTGCCAATAAAGTATATCTCCGAGCCCATGTATCTTCTATAAACGTCAAGTGTAGACAGCAGCATATGCATCCGAGGAATGCATGGAGAAAATTAAGAGATGCAGTATCAATAAAGTCGCACAACTCTATACAGCCTACCGGCCTGGTTTATATCACAAGAGCAAATCTGTCTATGGCCAGGACCATTCCTGAAATTACTTCCACCCAAATGCTAGATCCTTGTTCCATCCTACCTGTGAGTTTGAAAAAGGGTACTATAATGTCCATGCATGGGCTCATGTTCGAAAATGTTAATACATGTACAACTTATTGACACACATGCCTTGATTGACAGGGTTTTATGTTGTTAGCACATCCTTGATTAATATTACAGGACAGAGGTGCGAGGGGTTGAAGCTCTGGTAGCATGTGAAGGTGTGTACGTAGAAGGATGGCAGTGTTGTTAAAAGTAAGAAATAAAGTAATTATAGAATGGGTATATATCCCTATGCCTCTCAGAGTAGTATTTAAAGCAACTGTATTGACTAACCAGAACAAGAAGCCAAAGATAGCAACTTGGAATGGTTTGGGATTGATTATAGAGGTCGGATATGCAACTCTACCTCCGAATGAACACCGATCAGTGTTATCACGTGATCAATGGGTGGGCATTTTCCCTGAACTTCCCGAACGTCAAATCTCAGATTCTGGTCCTGTAATTGCGCGACGAACCAGTGTCTCTGGCCCTTGACCACTCTGCCATTGGACTTTTTTGTCCTTTACCTGCGACTTCCAAAAAGTCATTCTCTCCTTTTATCCCCTTTTCCTTTCGAGTGGTCTTCAAGATGCCCGCAACAGCGTCCCGTGCTGTGCTCCGGCAATCGCAGTTCCTGGCCCGAAGGGCCGCTGTCAGGAACGCTTCCTCCACGTCCGAAGCTGCCTCCAAGGCTAGTGAGGCTGCATCTTCAGCGGCTTCTAAGGCGTCTGAGGGTCTTTCTCGCGTCTCTTCGTCCGCTGGTCCGGCGCTCACCAATGCTGCCAACGCCCTGAGGAAGATCGGTGGAAGGACCGGAAAAGTCATCTCCTTTGTCGACTGTAAGATGATATATTCCCTGTGCTTTATTGAAGTCCTCATTTTCTTAGCTTAAAAAGAGGAGACCTTGGATGTGGTCAATTGTGATCACTTCCCCTGCGCTCCTTGACGGATCCACAATCCGCCAACTCTATAGATGCCGCTGTATATCAGAATGTTGCTAACGATTCTTGATGTTTTTTAGCCATGATACCCCCTACCGTCTACTACGCGAAGGTCGGACTTGAACTCGGCAAGTTGGTTTTCCGCGGACAGAACATGACACCCCCGTAAGCACCTTCAACGTATCACCTACTAAGACGACCTCTACTGATGCCGTCCAGGAGCCTGGCCACCTTCCAATTATATTTCCAGCCTCTGACTAATGCTTTCCGCAACCCTGCCGCACTCAAAAGCCTCAAATTCTCCCCCCAAGATATCTTGACTCGTGTTCGCAGTGCCAACAAGAAGGAGATTGCTTTGGCAGGCGTTACTGCTGCGGAGGTTATTGGATTTTTCACCGTTGGTGAGATGATCGGAAGAATGAACATTGTTGGCTACAAGGGGCACCCTGAGCATCATGGTGACCACTAGGTCAATCGCAAAAATTCATGCTCTAGCTGTCTTTCTTTGATTTCCTTTATGTGCGCGCTGTACTATTGTATGATAGACGATGGAATTTAACTGTTGTCTGAGGTAAACCCCCGACTTTGGGAGACTATCTTCTGGTCTTTTTTTTTGGTGTCGACATCGTGCTTCCGCGGTTTTCTCTACAGAGATGAGTTTCATTGTTTAGATAATTATCGTTAGAGGGTGTCGGAGGTTGTTATAGATGCTGTTCCCTATAGTGGAGAGAAATAGACGACTTTATTAGAGACAGGCCATTAAGTATCTGACTGCCTTGAAAGATTTGTGGATAAGTACATGGGTGCTGCTGGTAGGTGTACACACCTACCTAGTATTGACCTCACATAGTAGACGGATAAGAGTATTGTTGGCAAAAAAAAAATTCCAAAATTTATATTGTACTTATGAGTTTTAAATACTTCCACTGATCGCATGATCGCTGTAGTTCCTTTTCAGTGCAACATTCCTGCAAATAAAATGTTGGGTTGGATCCTTGCCTCTGATTGGCCCGTGCGGGAAAGAGTTTCTGCGTCGGACTTTTTTCTTTTCTTTGATAATTGAAATGTTCAACAACCACAACAAGGCATTCAATTCTCCAGATTCGGAGTTGCTGCTTGTCTAACGGTGTACTTTCGCATGGTCTTCTACCTTTTCTGTGCCTAAGTATGGATGCTTTCAAGCTGTTAACAAGGTCCACCAATCTCAAGCCTGGTGCGACCCCGTCTTCAGTACCGAAGCTCCCTTCCACGGGCAAGGCTCAAACTCCCCAGCTTTTTCATAATGCCGATGCTGAGAAGCTCGTCGCAGAGAAAAACCAAGGGAAAAAAAGGAAGAGGGACCACGTAAGGGTTGAACCAGAATCTGATGATGACGATGCTGTGAATCTTGACTTTTTTGGTTCCGCTAAAAGCTTTTCGGAGGAAAAGGCAGCGAAGAAGGAAAATAAGTCATCTAACCAGGACGATGCGTCTGAGCCAGAGGAAGAAGAGCCTATGGATGAAGTCCAGCGTCGAACTATCTTAAATGCACACAAGATTAAAGTGACAGATCTGCGGGATCTTGAAGAGATTCAGCCGGTGCATGTGCCAAACGAGGAGCCGAAGAAAAAGAAGAAGAAGAAGCAAAAGGAGGAGATTTCTCAATCTCTTACTAAAAAAGAACAAAAGAAGGCTCGTCGACTATTTCCGCAGCCACTTGTGTCGTTTCAGGAGCTACGGACAAAGTACAGGATTTCTCGGCGGCTTTCGGAGAATATCGCTGAACAAGGCTTCTCTGTTCCTACGGAGGTGCAGCTGGGGACTCTCCCTCTACTTTTAGGAGAGCCTAGTACTGTCCAGAAGTTGGAGACTGGTGAGGCTGTGGAACCAGATCTCTTGGTCGTTGCGCCAACTGGTAGTGGTAAAACACTGTCATTTTTGATCCCAGTAATCAACAAGATTGTGCGTCATCACCATGAGCAGCAGACAGAACGGGGAATCTTTGCTATCGTTGTTGCACCTACCAAGGAGCTTGCTGGACAGATTGTTAACGAGGGGAGGAAACTGGTTATGGGAACTGGGGTAAAGATAACGCTGATGAAGAAGGGCATGCGGGTGGTGGATCACGATGATGGGCACGAAGATGATGTCCTGAACGAAGACAGTCCTGAAGATTCAGACTCGGAGGACGATGGAACTGCTACCGAAAAGAAGAGCAAGGGTAAGGCTGCCATAACCAAGAGTGACATTCTTGTCACCACTCCATTACTTCTGGTCAACACACTTTCCGCAAATGGGACCAAACATATGGCCTCCCTGCCTCTGGTCAGAAATCTCATTTTGGATGAAGCGGATGTTCTTTTGGATCCCCTCTTCCGCGAGCAGACCCTCGATATCTGGCGTTCTTGCACACATCCAGGACTTCGGGTGGGTCTTTGGTCGGCTACTATGGGATCAAATATTGAAGATCTCGCAAAGTCATTGATTAAAGAGCGCAAAGAAGCATCTAATCAGATGGAGTCGTACCCGTTGATCCGTCTCGTCGTTGGCTTGAAGGATTCCGCTATTCCCAACATAAAGCATAAGTTAGTTTACGCTGCAACGGAGCAAGGAAAACTCCTGGGTCTCAGACAACTTCTTCGCCCCACAGCAGCAACAGACTCGGATGTGCGCCTTCGCCCACCGTTCTTGATATTCACCCAAACGATTCCAAGAGCTGTAGCGCTACAATCTGAATTACGCTACGATATCCCTCCGGAAGCAGGTGGCTCTTCCCGAATAGCAGTCCTCCATTCTGAAATGTCTGATACCCAGCGCTCTGAGATCATGAAAGGATTCCGCAAAGGCGAAATCTGGATCCTAGTCACGACTGATCTTTTAGCGCGCGGCGTTGATTTCCGGGGCATCAACGGCGTTGTTAATTACGATATTCCGAATTCCGCTGCGGTCTATGTTCACCGAGTTGGAAGAACTGGCAGAGCTGGACGTGAAGGTGGTGTTGCAGTCACATACTACACCAAAGAAGATATCCCATACGTTAAAAGCATTGCCAACATCATCGATGTTAGTGAAAAACTACGAGGAGAAGAGGGTGAGAAGTCAGTACAGAAATGGCTGTTGGATTCACTACCGGATCTCAGCAAGAAGAACAAGAAAGAACTGAAGAAACATGGTGTTAAGGCCAGACAGACGAACCCCAAGGTTTCTGATGGGAAGAATCAACTGGCAAGAATTAGCACAAAGAGCGGTTTTGAGCGGCGAATGGAGAACAAAAAGAAAGGCGCTATAGCAGCCAGCCGCAACAGGAAAGCCATAACCCAGCCAGCCGTAGAGTCTGACAATGACGGCGGCAGCTGGGATGGTCTAGACGATTAAAGATCAACCGATCCTTCTACACGCTAAGGGGCCAGGAGTTCCGCTATTATATATCCTGTACAAAAAGAAAGAATTACGATTCCCAATACAGCACTGTTGAATATTAGGTAAACCATGAGTTGTCATTTTTCTTGTCGTCCTGCGCAGTTTGAATTAGCTGAAGTGTCTTAAAAATGTTCAAGGTTTGCTTCTTGTTCATCAAGCAGTCTGTAGCACCATAGTTCTCTTCAAAACAATTGGCGCATATGCATTGTCCAGTTTGCCTTGCTCTTCCAAAACTCTTTCCAGGTCATCCTTGTCCCGATCAAAATAGACTACCCAAGCCCTATTATCTTCCTGCACAGCAACAAACTTTCGGTTCTCCTCGAGCGTGATTGTTTCTTCGTCATCTGCCCAGTCCCAAGGTCCCACGACATGTTCAGCACTGGCAGTGCGATTGCCACACTTGAGCCCATGCGTATTCTTATCCGCGTATATCCAATGCAACAACGGTGGACTGTCCGTCACAGTAGTGACAAGTCCTAGACCCCGGCCAAGATGTTTCATATGCTCTAGCTCAGGATACTCGACGTAGAACGCCTGTGACGTATGCGACGGGGTCTCCCGGTTCGACGGGTCAGGATCATCAATATAAATCTATTGGATTCAAATCAAGTCAGTTATGTCTGCATCAACACCGGAATCATTGGAAATGTGCAGTTTGATTTTCTTTTGTCTCTCCACCCCATATCACATCGCAATAGTGCAGACCATTTCATCCCGTAAGACAACGCGTTTCCCTTGTACCTCACTGTCTTCTTGCGTTTCGCCGGCGCTTTCGACGTCAATGTTAAACCTCCTCATGCGACGCTCATCTTCCCTACGCTGATTTGCTTTGCGTTGCTCACTTGCCGCCAAGGAGACGCCTGTTACTGTTGGGAAGGCGGCTATTGCTAGAAGCCCTAAGACCATTTTTGGAGTTGATCGGTTAGGTAATATACTGATTGTAAAATTAGTATATGTTCAGAAAAGAATATGAAATGGCGTGTATTCTTTGATTTGTATAGTTAAACTTCCGGTTTCTTCTGAGTGTTTATTTTGAAAACATCAGGCCCTGTATGGTACCTTAAATGACAGGTGATAGCGACAGGTTACGTCATAGGACTTTCCGCACGTGAGCAACGCAGGACCTCCATGTCTTTGCCGTTACCACTCATCTCATTCACCTCAGTGTATGTGAACATCGATTTGATCTTGAAAATTTATAACTACAAGCATATTTTCAAATAACCTATCATTGAGAGTCTATACTAACAATGCCAGCCCATCACTGCTATATAGTAGCGTCTGTCTAGTCTATCGATGTTGGTTGTTATGTGCTATATCATCGCTCGTTATCGTGGGTTGTCGTGACATCGTGAATCTTGATCATAGATGATCTACTGATGGAGGGCCGTGGTCAACTAGAGCTTCTCGCTCCACCCCCAAATTGACCACCAACACCGGACTTCGAGTGCTGTCCCATCCGCCTTCTCCCAATCATCGTACCCTATCTCCTCTCCCTCATCGACCACCGCCAGGCCAATATCTGTCATCCGCTGCCGAAATTCTTCGATCTGCGGAAGATATGCTTCACGCAGCGGCATTTCTGCGACAACGCGCGCATCGAGTCCACGACTGAGCCAGCGACTGATTGTATCCGCCAGCCATTTTGGATGCTTTGGCGAGTATAAGGGATCGGCAGCCAGAATAAGATCATACTTTTGATCTTGATTTGGAAGTGGCTCAGGCGGAGTCGACCAGTCCAGTACACCTGTTGTGACTTGTGCCGTGGCATTCGTAAGCAGCTCCACGTTTAGGGCCACATTATGTGAAAGGTTGGGAACAATGGCAGGAAGATCGGTGAGATGAACTGAGACGGACTTGCCGTGTATGGCTGCAAATGCGAGTCCTACAAGTCCAGTCCCGGAGCCCAACTCCAATACCCGAAGAGTTCGATCGGCCTTGTAAGTCGTTGATGTGGACGGGACGAGCGGCGGCGTGGATTCAAGTACCGAGTGAAGCCGTTGAGAGAGGAGATATGAAGAGACCCAAGTTTTCATCCCCAGATTATCAGCAGTCAAGGATGGTTCATGCAGGGTCAGTGTGAACTCTTCTCCAGAGAGACTGGGGACTGTAAAGATACGGGACATGGCAGGCATTGCTATTGAAAAACAAGAGGTTAGGGTATGAAGACACGCGAGAAACGGGCGAATACAGGTATATTCCAGCTTACCGGTTCGACCAGACCGCTCGCTGAGTCGAGCAGCTGTGGCATCCCATACTGCCTCCCGGAGTTCATCGGTATCTAGCCATGAAAGCGGGCTAGAGATGATCGATGTTAGATAACGGGTTACGCCAGCCGGATGAACGGTTCGGCCCTTCACCGCTTCGTGGGCTTTGAAGCCAAAACTCCGTGGTTTAATCGCTAGAAGATCGAGGGCTCGAAGGATTTCGGTGCCGGATGGTTTGGTATGAATCTGAGGCAGGTCGAACACTGAGGGGCCTGTCAATTCCCTATCTCTCTTATCTATTAGGGAGGTGGTAGAAGGAATATACAGACCATGGAGAGGCTCGTCCGGTTCCGCGCTTATCATGTTGAATTGCCTGTTCCGGAAACCAAGTTCGACTTTAGTATAATGATCCTAGTCCAAGACAGTAGGAACAAGGCCTGCTCCTATATAACAACTGTACCTGTGGCAAAACGGGAAAATGGGGGTTATACGGTCCAGATGCAAAAAAAAGTCGTGATTGCCAAAAAAGGAAAGGCTGGTGTGAAAATGTTCCGCGGATCGGATCCGCTCCGACCCAAAGATAAGGCACGGGATTGTACCTTTTTTATCATTCGCTCAAAGGAAATGGAGAAAATAAAGAGATTTATCATTATACTACGGAGTTTAGGACAACGGAACCTTCCTTCGAAACGAACTCCCAACTCCAGTTGTACCGGAACTCCCCGCAATAATTACTATAAGACAGATCCCCTTCACCCTAACGTAGACTTGAAGCCTTGGTATGCTTGCTCGATGTCAAAAGCCAGCTCCCTGGCTTGTTCTTCGCTCAGCTCTTCAGTCGCACGCATCTGATTCAATGCGATCAGCCACTGGATGATCTTACCCCGGTTCTCGAATTCCCCATCCGTCACCTTGTTGACCGACTGGATGACTTCGGAGAGCAATGGGTGTAGAGCATCCTTAGAGACCATATTCAATTTCAGCGCATCCAAAAATGTAATAAAGTTCTCCGTGGCTGTCAATATAAGACTGCCTGAAGCACCGCCAGCAGACCCTGCAGCAGCAGAGCCCAGATTCGCCGCAGGTGTACTGTGGGAGGCTTGTTCGACTGTCGCAGGGAGACCAATACGAAGGCGTTCCGTGGCACGGGGGCATTCCAGCTAAAAGCACACGAAGATAGTGAGTTTGATGGCTCGAGAGAAAGAGTAAAGAGAAGACACTTACACTCCATGTCCGTTTGAAGGTCTCCAAATCGGCGAACTCCTTCGCGACGGCATCATCACCTAGACTGGACTTGTACTGCTTCAATAGTCGCGTGCACGTTTCCGTATACTCGGCTTCTGTTACCACATCTCTAATGTAGGCCTTTTCCAATCCATCCAGGGTGACAATAATGCTATAGATCTCTGCCAAAGACTCGTAAAGATCGCGCTCCGCGGAGCTAGATGCTAATTTGACTTCCTGGCGAAGCAGCAGTTAGCCAGCTGCCCTGCAAAGCAGGCCTGACACACCGGTGTACCTCATCGAGATTGATGGACGCCGATAACGCTGGATTTGGTGTATAACTGTACGGAGTAGGGGCATAGGCCAGAGGACGCTGGGCATACATAACTGCAACAAATCTTCTAATCGCGAGGAATGGTGGTTTCGGTGATGTTGAGTCTGAGGGGAAAGGCGGTGGCCCGATTAGGTAGATCGGCGCCGCCATTTTCTGCCGACAATCTTTCCGATTTTTTTCCCCCAAAAAACTTTCACCTGGTGATAACACTCTTCTCGATTGATTTCCACCCCCATTTTATTCCATTTGATCCTTAACCGCACGGTCGGAGTAGGGTACGTGGCACAATGGCCGGAAGTCAAAAGAAGTCCACCAAAAAGTTCGAGAAAAAACATTTGAAAGACGTCCTCGAACGACGAAAGTCAGTTGCGAAGATCAAACAGCGGAACCATCTCAAAGACAAGCGCAAGGCTGAAAATGCCAAGGTACGGGCGGAAAGAGAGGATGAGGCGGAGGAAGACTCAGAGCAGGCAAAGAAGCAGAATGCCTTTGCGGAAATGAACGTCGACGATTTCTTCGCGGGCGGATTCGATATTGCCGATGCCGATGCCGATGCCAACAAGGGGAAGAAGGCCCAGAAGAAGGACGTCACTCCTAAGACTGGAAAGCGCAAGCGCTCTGAGGAACAGAATGGCGAAGATGAATCTTCTGCGGCTTCAGGTAGCGATGACGAAGACGGTGCTGCATCCCACGACGACGAAGATGGTACCTCGGACATCAGTGGACATGATGATTTCGCGGCACATAAGGATCAGCTCGAAGCTTTGAAGGAAAAGGACCCGGAATTCTACAAGTACTTGCAGGAGAATGATGCTGAACTGCTTGACTTCAGCGACCATGGTGATCTTGCCGAAGTCGACGAGCTAAGTGAAGGAGAGGACGAAGGACCCGCTAAAAAGAAAAAGAAGGCGGCCAAGCAAGAGGAAGAGGAGGAGAAGGAAGAGGAAAATGCAGTGGACAACACGCTAACCATCGCCATGGTTAAGAAGTGGCAGAAGTTGATGGAAGAACAGAACTCTATTAGAGCCATGCGACAAGCCGTTCTTGCTTTCCGTGCTGCAGCCTATATCAATGAGGCTGAGGGTCAAGAGCAGAAATATTCCATTTCAGACTCGAATGTCTACCACCAAGTTCTCGTAACCGCGCTTAGCACTGTTCCGAGGGTTCTCTCGCATCATCTTCCAGTCAAGGAGACTTCTTCCGGCAAAATCAAGTTGTCTCTCGATTCGAAGAAATTTAAGACCCTTACATCCCTCATCAAGTCACATACATCATCCGTTCACCAGCTACTTACGAATCTGTCCGACGAGCAAACACTAAAGCTGACTCTTTCTTCTATCGAGCCTATGCTTCCTTATCTTCTACAGTTCAGGAAACTACTCAAAGTGCTAGTCAAGACTATTGTTAACATTTGGGCCGATGTGTCTACCGCGGAAGCTACTCGGATCACGGCTTTCCTTCTATTGCGGCGATTGGTGATGATTGGTGATGCTGGAATCAAGGAATCGGTACTCAAGGCATCCTACGAGGGTGTCGTGAAGGGCAGTCGGAACACGACCGTGCACACTCTTCCGGGCGTGAACCTGATGAAAAACTCAGCTGCGGAGCTCTGGGGCATCGACCAAAATGTATCCTACACCACCGGGTTTAACTTCATCCGTCAACTTGCCATTCATCTCCGAAGCAGCATCACCAACACTTCCAAAGAATCTTACAAGACCATTTACAATTGGCAATATGTGCACTCTCTTGACTTCTGGTCCCGTGTACTCTCCCAGCACTGCGATGGGCTTGTCGAAGCCAAGGCTGGAAGACAATCCGCCATGCGACCTCTCATCTACCCCGTTGTCCAGATCACCATCGGTGCGATGCGACTCATTCCCACGGCCCAATACTTTCCTCTCCGTTTTCAAATGATCCGATCCCTCCTTCGTCTCTCCCGAGCCACGGGTACTTACATCCCCCTGGCCTCCGCGCTTGTTGAAGTTCTCACTCTTACTGAGATGCGCAAACCTCCGAAATCCAGCACCCTCAAGCAACTCGATTTCAACACCACTATCCGCGCTCCGAAATCATACATCCGCACCCGCGTGTATCAGGACGGAGTCGGTGAACAAGTTGCTGAACTCCTATCTGAGTTCTTCCTCCTGTGGACTAAGCATATTGCTTTCCCCGAGCTCTCCGTTCCCATCATTGTTTCCCTCAAGCGATGGCTGAAGCAAGCCAGCTCACGCTCCGGAGGGAATAAGAACGCCAAGGTTAACCAGATGATCCTACTTCTGGTGCAGAAGGTCGAGGCTAATGCCCGCTGGATCGAGCAGCGTAGGCTCAGCGTCTCATATACCCCCAGAAATCGGGCAGAAGTGGAGACCTTCCTGAAGGATGTCGACTGGGAGTCGACTCCGCTCGGTGCGTTTGTGAAGTCGCAGCGGAAGCTGCGAGAAGAGAGAGCTATACTCGTCGAGAAATCTAGACGCGAAGAAGAGAGACGAAGAGCTGAGGAGAAGGAAGCCGATAAGGAGGAGCTGATGGATGGGGCAGCTAGTGATGACGATGACGATGATGGAAGTGATGAGGATGATAATGAGGAGGTGGGTTCCTCAGGTGAAGAGGGAGAGGAAGAGGAAGAAGATGGTGAAGATGAAGATGACATTGAAATGGAAGAGGCCTAAACCTATCTCTTTCATACCGGTTTTCTCTTTTTTCCTTTCCCTTTGTACTATCGAAGACTTTTATTCCCTGTCTCCTATCCCGGCTGTTGTTATGGGATATGGTTTTGTTTCATTTTCTGAAGTCAATAAAAAGTTCAATATTCATGATTAAGAGTGGGTTGTTGCTAAAGATTTGCATTTCCATATGCATATGTACTTGATTTTCTTGAGACCTCTTGTTTTCCCTTTTCATTTTAATGCTCACCCCCAGTCTAGTTTCTACGTAATAGTAGTCTAGTAGATATTAGTGAAGGTTTACTGGGTATATTTTATAAAGTAGTTGGACACCGAGCGGCGCGCCGCTCACCGCTCTTCCTAAAATATTCAAACGTCTCAGTATTTGAAGCCTTTTTATCTTGATTATTATTAATATTTTATTAATATTACCAAAATGAGTGCCATTCCAATGGATAAGAGAATAAAAATGGCTGTTAATATATAAAATAATAACCAATTTTTATCTAAAACTACCTGTGCCAAGGTATTTAAAGTCTCTTCACGAACTTTTCTTTATTAACTTAAAGGAAGAAGTAACCGCAATAATATTATTACTAATAGCTAGAAATTATCCAATCTTGAAAAGGATATATTAAAAAGATGGATTATTAATATAGCTAATTATAGTCTGCCTTAACAGATCTCCCAAATTTAATATTTTACTAGTCTTTTAATATCTGCATGTTAAAAGACTTTGTTGTTATCCCTGGCCTTTATCTCTAATTTAGTTAGTAGTAAATAGGTTACTTAATTTATTTCCTGCTATAATAATATTAAATTAAAATATAATTATTAATATAACTACTAGCAGGTGAAGTGTGAAGATCCACAGGTTATTTAAAACTAGTTTTAATTAGTTTAAAATACTATATAAAAATATAGCATTTTAAAATAAAATATTTATAATATAAACAAAACTGGCTTCTAAATAGGTGTAATATTAATAGCTAAAGTTATTTATAGTATAAAAACACACAGATCTAATACTAGATTAATCTAACCAGGTAATAGAGAATAGGTTATATTAATTGTAGCTGTTAAAGCAAGTGGTTAGGTTTTACCCCCCCAGATTATTTTTACTAGAAAAAAATATTAATCTTAGTAGTATTCTGTTCTACCTAAAGATTATTAACTAAGTCTTAGTGAGAATGGCTGGACTAATAATAATCTGGGACTTAAATAGCTACAAGAAGTTTTTAACAAGCATACAAGATCCCGCACTGTTGGTTAATATCGTGTAAAGGGTTAGAGCCCGTTTGACCTCTCGGGCCAATGTCCCTATTATCCCTATTGTCCCTACTGTCCCCGTTGTCCCTATTGTCCTTATTGTCCCTACTGTCCCTACTGTCCCTACTGACCCTTTTGGCCCATTGGCCCTCGATCCATGTCACCTGACTTCCCACCTTGTTTGTTTACCCCTTGTTTCCTCTTCCTTTCTTCCTTTCTTCCCTTCTTCAACGATTCCTTCTTGTACATAACCTATCTTGTAGGTTCTATGGGTTCAGCCCATGACATATCGATTACTTATTTTGGATGGCCACAGGAGCCATGTAACTGCTGAATTTGATTAATACTGCATAGAAAATTTAATTATTCCACTTTATATGCCTCCTTATTTATCTCACCTTTTTTAACCACTTGATATTAGCTGTTTTGCACTTTTAAAGCGCTTTTATGGTCAAAAAGTGCAAGAAATAATAAATAGTGGTATAAAAACTATTAATAAGGTAGATTTTTTATTTATTTATTTATTAGTTTACTTAAAAGCAATATTATTAGTAAATATATTAAGTAGATTTAAGGCTACTAGCCTTATTCCTTTTAATTCTTTAATAGTAATATTAAAATTAAAAATTAAGTTAAAAATACTAACTTTATCTTTTTTTTTAGGTAGTAACTAGTTATTTTACTTGGGAAAAACACCTTATAATCTTTACTAATTAAATTAATAAAAAAAGCAACTTTTTAAGATTTAAAACTAAGGCTTTTTTCTATTAATTGCTAATACTTTGCTTAAAAAAGCTATAAAAGGTAATAAAATTACTATATAGTAAATATCTTTGTTAAAAAATAAATTTTATTAATATTAGGCAGGTGATGAGTACTAAAAGCAAAAAAAGGAAAAGCCTAGACAGTTTATTTAAAATAAAGGTAGTTTAACTGCTAATACAGCATATTAAATAATTAGCGAGAAGGAGGCAAAGATTCAGGCCAAGGCCCAGGCACCTAGGCAGCGAAGGCCTCCCACATGAGTAATTAAATATTCAGGGCATAATTAATTAAAATTCCTACCAGATAGTTCTACTGCGTATTTTTTATAATATATTTCATTTGTATAGAGATAAATGTATGAATATTATCTAAAGTAAGATGGAGGTAAGGGAGAGCCGGAGCGGTGAGCGGCGCGCCGCTCGGTGTCTTGCGCCGCTCGGTGTCCAACTACTTTACCGCTTTTTGCTCACTAAGCAGATCTGAGCACCTGAGCAGCCTTGAGCAGCCCTGAGCTGATCACTGGCCTCTGTCCAATTAATCTACTTTTGCCAAGTGCTGTACCCTAACGTTCGCTGAACCTATCCATATTACTCCGTAGTGCCTTCCACAGTGCCCCAACCACCTTCGGCTAGGGGTTACACCACACCGGTAGAATAATTCACACCGATAGAACGAAATTGATACTATTCCCATTATCTACCGGCTTTCACCCTGAGTATCTACCCAAAAAACCTGATTATCTTGTAGTGCTGCCACTGCTACATCGGACATATAGAATTCTCCCCTGTAGATTGAAGGTCAAGTACGGTACTAATATTAGCTATTGGCCTTGAAGGAAAGATTAGCTCAGAGCATGCATGCTTTATATGTAGATAGGTTGGCGTGATTCTGAAGGAAATGATCTGAAAGCCACCCGACATACTAGGAAAGTTAGTCGAGGGAGTTTGGATCCAGTAGTTAACTTACCAGTCGAACTCAAATCAATTTCCATAAATGCAAATTAAACTTCCCAATCAATCGCTACAGAGGTGGTCGGACCTAGCACTGTGTATTAGAATCATGTATCTTCACAGTGTATCTTTAGCGAAGAAGCCGTGAATTCCAGCTCCAAGCAAGTTATGTTTACTCTGAACTTTTTCGAATAACTATAAATAAAAATTAAAGCTTATCGGCCTGTGTGTTCCTAATATGAACTTCATAGTGAAGCAAGCCTCCTTCTCAAAGTTTCTTTTTCTAAAGATTCAAATATCGGCAAAATCATAGCTGTACTCTATAACGCCAGCAGTATATCATGCCAATTGCTCATAGACCATGCGTACGAACAAAGTTAGAATGTGGAGAACAAGGCTTCCTGTCCACTCAATTATAACTTAGTTAAGTCAACGGCAGAATCAAGACAACTTGAACCCTCCCGGTACAAGACTCTGAAAGACACAATCAGGATCATATTCACTCTGCACCTTCTTCAGTCGCTGTGCGCTTTTGGTTCCATAGTGCCCAATGACTTCCTGATCCCAACTCGCATCATTCATAAATATGTATGGGACATAAACTGCTTTACGCTGTGCATCTTCCTCAATCGTATCTAACAACGATCGTGTCGCATTGTGCACTGTACCGTCGTCGGTGGGCTTGTGCCAGCCAGCATCCAGGACGAACCAAGTTTGGGCCTCGTTTCGCAGGCCAAGCGCGTTTCCGCCGCGCTCATGCCCGGCAGCTACAGCGCTGGGCGGAATCGGCTGGACACCCAGTGCGAGCGTTCCAGACTGCAGAGATTTTATTGTCTCTACTTCCGTCGCCGAGATAAACATCTCTGAGATATCTTCGTAAAGCGATGAACTTGGTGTAAAGCTTGTTGCGAACCAGTCCCATCTATACATGGTTAGCCAAATATCCACAGAAGCCTGTCAGATTAGGAGGCACTGGTAAAGACACACCGAGGAGTGGGTGGAATCATCTGCCCGCTCATCATCTGTGTTAATGTTTGGACCTTAGTTTCATCTTTTAGGGTCGGGATCGAGGCAAACGCCGCAAAGGCAGCGGGATTTTCTTCAGGTTGGAGATAGACCATGTTTAGGACAGCGCCGACGGTTTCTTTACTGGTAAAGGCCTGTAACATAAAATTTGCATACGGGTCATTGGTAGGGTTAGACTGAAACTCGTGAGCTGCAACAAGAAGTCGTGGGAGCTGGTCCAGCGAGTAGAGCTTGGCACCGCCCCAAACCATATGAATTGGGTACGTGCATAGTGTGAATCTAGTTACAATGCCTATCCCCAGTTCATCAGCCAGAGCTCGTAGCTCAAGATGGGATGGACACCAAACCGAAATTGTTTGCGCCGCCTTTGAGTGCCCAAAAGAGATTTGGGTGAGAAGTTGTGTTGGCGTTGATGAGTGTCCCATTGGCAAGGACGACTTGAAAATTGGCCACATTGTCACAGGCAAGACCATAGAGATTCGAAAGGTAAGAGAGTCCTCCTAGTATTTTTCATTAGTTTCGTGCGATTTGTTTGGGGATTTTCGTGCTTGCCTCCTAGAATGAGGCCTCCCACCCCGACATCCAGCACTCTGCCCCCGACAACGGTGACATTATACTCATCGAGTTGAGTATAGACATCCTTCCATCTCAGCCCCGCTCCGACCTCAGCTACACCCTCCTCGGCGTGGTAAGTGACTTGGTCGAAACCGGCGAGGTTGATCAAGACGCCCGTATTAATGTTTGCCGCCATTGGGGAAGGCATGTGGCCCCCAGAGCGAATAGCAAAATGAACGCTCTGGGAAGATAGAGCACGAACTATTTCCTGGAGAGTGCCCACGTCAACGGGTTTGACTATGCAGGTAGGCTTTCCCTGAGCAGTTTCTGACCAGTTTTCTGTGGATTGAGAATCATAATGGGGATTTGATGGGAGGAATGTGATTGTTGGATATTGTTGGCTGAATTGGAAGCAGATATGTTGTGCGGATTGTTCTGTTGTGTCGGACAAAACTAGTAAGGGAAAGAAGAGACTGAGAATTATCCCACACCCAACTGGGAGGAAACTACCCAATGCCATTTTATTGTGCTTTGAGGTGCTGAAATGTCTCTTCTCTTTTTTAGTTTCGCTTGACTGGCCTGCCTGTTCGAGTTAAAAATCTTTTTAATTCCTACCAGTCTAATCACTATATACATATTTTTCTACCATGAACGATTCAGCCCTGCATAATATTTATTTGGTTAGCCGCATAAGATTGAGACCCATTTCCCTAAAATGGAAGACGTTGCATCGATACCATCTCTGACCTGCATATTCCCTCCGTATTGAGCATTCAGTAACAGGTTTACTGTTAACTTTGAACGGTCATGTTGGAACTTTCGATAATACAAGATGAAGAAGAAAGGGGGAATACGTTTAGAGGAGCGGTAGGAGATTACGGCGTAATATCAGATGATTCTATTTACATTTAGCTCTCAACCATCATCTAGGGTTCTCTTCATCCCCGTGACATCAGCACTGTCGATCACTTTCTTCGTTTCCCTCAACAGACCCGCTAATTGAACTTCATTCAATCTCATTCAACCTCAACTGTCTGTCCGATTTGCATTAATCTGACAACAGCATGTAGCACAGTTTCACCATATTCGTCGACAATCTGGGCCTCTCTTCCTCACTGGCCCAGCAGTGTGGCTGGGAGGGGAATCTGATATTACTGCCACTCTTTCCTATCAGGAGATCTCCTAGGCAGCTGCAAATCAAGATCGCGTTCCGTCTGCTTTCCATATTCTTTGGGCTTCTCATCGTGAATTACCTGGGCAAAGTATCTGCATTTGACACCCCCTGGTAAGTGTTTCCTCTTTACCTCTGGGCCGAGCGGGTAATGGTTAGAGAGGCGTCCTAAGTTCGGCCATCTGTTCCGATTTTCCATCCTTTATTGTCCTCCCAAAGTCCATAGATGATGTCTCTATTGTTCTTATGGTCATACAGTCTCTTCACATTACATTCTCTATCCGCAGTAGTGGCCATTCACTGAACGCCGGCTGGTCCAGCACAGGTTAGCCAGGTCTTTTGTTCGATCTCAGGAAACTTAACCAGATTACTGTCAGTGAATACAAACAGATTGTGAGTGTGGGAGCCGGTGCGCTGTGGAGCGATGTCTACATGACTTTAGATCCTTATAGGATCAGCGTTATTGGCGGTCGCATTCCATCAGCCGGGGGCGGTGGCTTGACACTCAGGTGCGTCGAATTCTGAGATATTCTTACGATAAAGAGTACTGAGTCATCTGTCATCAGGCGGCTTTTTCATTTCTCAGGCCAATATGGCCTTGCTGCAGAAAACACCAAGAACTTTGAGGTATATAAATATCCCTCACCGTGATGATAACGGTACCATTGCCAGCGCGAATCCGAGGAGAAATCCGATCTATTCTGAGCACTGAGGGGAGGAGGAGCCAACTTTGGTGAGATCACGGAAGCAATCGTAGAGCCTGCTGAAACTAACTGTATCGAGCATTGTCACCGTCCGTTTCGACCTCTACAGCATCCCTTGCACAACATTGGTATCAAGTCGGTGTATATGCGACCGAACAGATCCATTCTATTTTTGAAGCCTTTACAAGATGGCAGATTGATTACTCTGATGTCAAGGCCACCGTAGCTTTGATCGTTGGCCTAGATAGTGTCACGCTGGACTTGATATACTCTGAGTCTCCTCCCGAGAAACCGGCCTGCTTCGCCTCATTCAACATACTTGCAATTATTTACGCTGTGCCAGCTACCAATAGCACATTTCTAGCTCTAACACAGATTATGGGCGCCGCTGCCACTAGTGGTCCTGCTCAATAAGATCCCGTCAGATCATGTCCATTTCCTTTGGTACTCGAAATAACATGACTGTGTAAAGGTTGCAACACCATGACTACCGTACCGCCATCTCTAAGAATAACACCAATCTGTACAGAGGCATATACAGTTTCAGGGAAGAGAAAGCACTCGCAGTAAAAGAGTCCACCAGAGCCAACCAAACCTTTGTCCTTCAGCCAATCTCCGCTTCTATGGCTCAGTATGGGATTGAGAAAGGCGGAAATTCCCTAGGCCTGCAATAGGAAATGTAAGTATCCTGCTTCTAGAAATCCCTATGGACTAGGAGCTAAAATAACCTGCAATAGAGCGGACTACTCTCGTCGACTGGGAACGCACTAGTGATGACGCAGTTGTCAGAGAGGTGTCGATCGCCACCACGCAAGAGTGGAAGGAATTAGGGCAAGAGCGTGGATTGTATGACCCGTTCGTGTACATGAACGATGCATCAAGAGACCCGGATCGGCTGCTGTCGTATGGCCAGGAGAAACTGGCTAAACTGAAGGCTGTCGCATCCAAGTACAACCCGTCGCAGGTTTTTCAAAATCTGCAGAATGCTGGCTTTCTGCTTTCCAGGGTTTGAATGGCATCACCAAGCAACACACGTTAAGTTCTCTTTAGATTACGGGGGGCTTCCAAAATAAATTAGGTGATGCGTCTGGCTTCCGACGTTGCGGATTTGTTTTTGTCCCTCATGGCCCAATGCTTTTAGAAGGTCACCTGGTCTCTAGAACAATTGTCTATAATAGTACTGAATGTAAGAGATTACATATTCTAAAATAGTTAAGCTAGATACATTCGGGCGAAAGTTGAAATAGACATCTGATACCACCACTCTTATCATCAAGCACTGCATGTAAACTCTAGGTGAAACATGGCATGGGCTTCTCAGACTGTCCCCACAGGCATTTTCTCAATACCCCAAGCACGCGACTGTTCACGTCTTAGAGCGGCATCCTCTTCTTCTGCCCATGCGAGATTCTCATTAGGCAGCATGATAGCCAGGTCAATGGCAACCGGAAGACCTCTATGACGTCCTCGCAGAGTAACAGCTGCGAGAATCAACTTGCTTATGGGATGCCATGCGCCGCAGAAGGAACAATTCATGCCAGGGTAACCAACACTAACGCCCACACAACCGTAAGCACTGACAACTTCGAAGATGATATTGAAAGTCGAGTAGCCTACGGGGTCACGATTGAAGTTAGGCGATTCGGCAATGGCAATAAAGAGCACCGCCAGAGCTATCCACCAGATATCATGGCTGAGCTGGGACCGCACCTGCTGGTGGACAAAGTAGCTTCGAGACAACTCCTTTGTAGGAGTATCAGGTCGGCTGAGGATGCGACGTCTGACTAGACGCATAAAAGTGCTTGAAGATCCAGATGCTTCCAACGGTTCATCATGGGCATAGATGCCCAGAGAACGCTCTTCGTAGACGTTTGTATTTCTAGAATGGCCTTAGAGGTGTGTGCTACTATGCGGATGGAATCTGAACAAACCTCATTGTTACAAGCACTGGGTATGCCGAGACATACTACAATACTTGTTAGCTAATAATAGCATGGGGCAAACAGATAATGGATTAAAAGGGGGAGAAAGAGGGAGCCCATATAGACCAAATGAGCAACTAACCATCATAAGGACTGCCAAAAGGGTTAGAAGCCAACATTATCAGATAGTGAAATATTGAGGCAGATTCTTACCATACAAAACAAGCAAGCCTTGACGAAGACTGGCAATAGTGACGACATAAAATCCTCCAGCACGCACGGCTTCATACTACGCATTAGTGAGAGTCAAATATATATATGTATATATAATATGGAGAACTCAGAAGAACGCACCTAAAGCTTGGAATAACCCATCCAAAATTCGATACCCCGTCGGTAATTTCTCAATTTCCTTGTTGCCAATTGCAAGCAATTCAAAGCCGGCCCAGTCGATGCCGTTCAAAAAAATAATGGTTCCTAGTAAGTACCATGTATGTCGAGATGGGAAAAGGTTCGTGTATACCTGGTGTCTCAATCAGCAGGAGCATTACCAAACAAAAAATCTCATTTCACATACTCTTCGAGGGTGTTGCAAAATGAAATCCAGGGTTGTCTTAAATGTCTCCCATTCGGATCGGTTCGGGATCAGGCGTCTCATAGCCCAGATGATAAATCTCAGAAAACAAGGATATAGCGTGTTCCCAGCAAGGGTTAGCATTCCCATTGTGATAAGCGGATATGCGCTGCGGATATCGTCAGTCTTAGTGGTTGGTTTCTTAGAACAGTCAAGTTACCTTGTTTGCAGAGCAGTCATATTTGCATCCAACAGAGACATTCCGCTGTTAACGAAAGCAGACACAGAGAAAAAGGCACCAGTCCAGAAAGGTGAAAGCCCATTATTCCGGGCGATATCTGGATGGTTAGCTGCTAACCAAACGCCCATTCCCAATATGCCAAGAATCAGGAACATCAGCCAGTAAACTGGCACTATTACTGATAAAAAGGAAATTGCTCTGTACTCAACTCCGCCGAGTTTTTCCCGCTCGTCTGGGGTAAGACCATGGAACTGAGAGTTCCGAGAAATTCGGCCCCCCGATGCGAAATATGTTTTAGTTCCTTGAATAATGCCTTTCAGGCCGGACAAGTCATTCTCGTTCAGATCCTTCGGTAGAGAGGCACTTGGAGGAACATCTCTTGGGTGGTTATTCAAGTCTGGCCGGGCTCCTACGCCTACCATAGGAAATACTCGATGAGATTGGTGGTGCAGACGTGCACACATATGACAGATGGTTATTTGGTCGTCCTTTATCCACCGAATATGGCTATCATTCGTCGGGCTGGTAGGAGTCTCTACAGAATTGGCAGCAACCATGGCTGGGACCTTGTTGTCTTGAGAGGCATCTGAAGTTGGTGGCTGTTGGTGTTTCACATCAGTGGCTGCTTCATTCACCTTTGTTGACGGAGTATCAATGGCATAAAGTTCATGGAAACACTTTCTTCGTTCCCGCTGTTCTGAGATACCCTTAAATTTCAATTGGAAGGCTCTCTTTCTGACAAAAATTACGGTGCTCGATATAAGAATAGCGTGTCCTAGCATGAGAAGCACGAAAAGTATGGCTTGTTGAAAGGTATTTAGGGAGGATAAATTCAACTGGTCAAGGATTACTTGGAATATTCAATAATGATACAGGACAAAACTCACAGTGTTTAGTCCAGCTCCCGTCATAGCACTGACACACATGAACAATGCATCAACATAAGGAACACTGCTGGATGGTGCGGCAGTACCCCAGAAGATAGCGCTGCAAAGCAACGGTGTCACAATGAAGTACGCATAGTGAAGCGTTATAAAATTGAATGGAGGAAGCGCCACTATGAGGCACTGGCCGAGAGGCCGCAGCCAACCTCGAGCTATAAATTAATAAATTAGCAATAAGTTAGCTCCTATCAGGGGAAAATAGATCAAGAGTGTTGACAAAGTTGGAAATGGGGGCGGGACGGGTAAGTACCGGTCATCTTTATCCTCAAAGCCGCGTCCAAGCAAGAGATCTATGCTTCGACGGCTTCGGATCTGCAATCGGAAAGTTGCAGTTACAGGATATCGGATAATAGAAAAGGCGAGATCATAGGACCATCGACTTGATTTGTAGCGCGTATGAGAGAGCACACCATTTACCCGCAAGGATTATGAGAAAATGAGATGTTTTTAATCTCGCTTTTATCCGATAGTGCATTGTCTGAGTATGTGTGAGGTCTGGGAATATAGACAGTCGTAAGTGGTGTAAATTAACCACGGATAGCTCTGATGGATTGGACGACGTATACCGTGGGATGCAAATTTTGCTGTTCCCAAATTTATCGTACGTGAGACGAACTGATAGTTGGATGCAGTCGTGGGGAGGCGAGATCAAATCTGTTTCTAGTTGCTAGTATGACTCTTATAGGATAAACGGACAGTAAATGTGTGTTATTCCATTGTAGCGGCTTTTCAAATGCAATAGGACAGGATAAGTTCTTCGAATTTGTTGTCAAAAGCATCGGAGGCGGAGACGAACCGAAGAAAAAGAAGCTGCGGACCAACGATCACCGCCCGCCTTGGCGTCAAGCTTGGTTAAATAGCGCATCCCAATTACCATTCGCACCTACTTCTTCTTTTCATGGACATTGACAGATCGACCAGCCTCACTTTGCCTTCCGTTATATGGTGGGAATTTACCGCACGATGTTCCTATCACCTCCCCTCATTCACCTCTTCGCTCCGAACCCAATGCCCACTCTTACCACCCTTCTTTTCCAGCAGCTGCACGCTGCCGACCACCATCCCTTTGTCTACAGCTTTCAACATGTCATACACCGTCAATGCAGCCCCCATGGTGGCTGTCATTGCCTCCATCTCCACTCCAGTTCGTCCGAGGCAGCTTACCGTTGCCAAGATTCGCATTGCCCCGTGTTTCATAGATCCACCAGTCACGGAGGGCAATGGGTCAACCAGTTTGACGTCTAACTCAACTCCTGTAATCCCAATCCCTGGATGGCATAGTGGGACAATATCCGGCGTCTTCTTGGCAGCCATAATACCAGCGATACGAGCAACGCTGAACACGTCTCCCTTCCGAGTGCCCCGCCCCTCTCGAAGTAGCTCCCACGGACGTGGGTTAGAGAAGCTCACTAGGCAGCTGGCGGTTGCGAGTCTCTCGGTAACTGGCTTTTGACTGATTTTCGTCATGTGGACATTCTGTGACGTATTAAGGTGCGGAAGATCGGGATCAGATTCGGTAGGGAGAGAAGTCACATCCTTCTCCTTCTGCGAGTTGCAGATTTGTGTCTTGAAGAACGCACGGCTATGGTTATGGTTATAAGCACGCACTTGCGATGCGAAGGGCGTAGCTCGTAGTTGAATGTAGGTCGGAATATTTGGCCGTGGAGTCCGCCTAAGAGGCATTATTGACCCTCTTCCTGATATCACCGAATTCATCATGGACGCATCATCTAACATCTCCTATTAGTATCATCATAAGCCGGCAAGAGGACTTCCAGATACAATCAGATCACGGTTTGGCAGAATCAACGCCTACTTATAGTCCAGTGGAAGAGAAACCATTAAATTAAATGCGTAGATTTCATCACTCGTGACAATTGTTCGCCAGGAAATCGACCATAAAAATGAGGAGGGGGCCGCGCCTACCCACCAATAAGTATCATGGGCCTATTCTTCATGTTCTCCAGTTCACCGATGCCAGCATGCTTTGCCTTCTTCCGTTTAACCGCCATGCCAATGATATCAAGAAGCGCCTGTTCCCTCTGATTCACTACACCACTCTCATCAACGACGCGAGCGGCCGGATCCGCCGCTTCAAGGAGTCGCAACTCTTTTAGTCTAGCCTCATCAATTGGTTCGCCATTGTTTTCGCTTCGGATAATGTCGCGCAAAGACACCTCGGAGTTCCCAAACAAGCATACTTTGAGGTTACCATCACAGGTAATACGCAGCCGATTGCAGGTGCCACAGAAATTATGCGTCATGCTGGTAATAAAGCCGACCCGGCCCTCAAATCCAGGGACCTGATAGGTCTTGCTAGTGTCATTTTTATGATCAGCCACTTTCTTCAAGCCAGGATACTTTGTTCGGATAAGAGCGAGCATCTCCTGATAAGACACCATCTTCTTCTGGTTCCACTTATTGCCATCAAAAGGCATGTATTCGATGAAACGCACTTCGATGGGACTTTCACGCCCCATTTCCACAAATGGGATGATTTCCCGCTCATTTAGTCCACGCATCACGACACAGTTGATCTTCAATTTGATTCCTGCACCATGCCTGTTCAATTCCAAGACCTTGTCAATACTTTGCATCACTGCTTCGAAGCCTTTTCTTCTCGTCATTATTTGGAACTGAAACGGATCCAAAGTATCAAGACTGAGGTTTATCCCAGTCAGCCCAGCCTCCACCATCGGCTCAAGTTTGCGGTGTAATGAGATTCCATTTGTCGTTAGACAAAGCTCTCTGAGACCGTTGCGCCGTAGGTCACCGATTGATTGCATTAAAGGGATGATGTCTTTCCGCACAGTCGGCTCTCCACCCGTCAGCCGAATTTTCGTTACGCCTTGTGAGACAAAAAGAGAGGAGAGGTAGACAATCTCGGGAGAGGTGAGAAGACGAGCCGGTGGAGAGAGTTGCACTCCTTCTTCCGGCATACAGTATAGACAACGAAGGTTGCACCGTTCGGTAACGCTTATTCTAAGATAATCATGCTGGCGATTGAAGGTGTCTGTTAAAAATTCGGAAAACGGCTTCGCGGATTTCAGCGCAGACCATCGTGGCGACGAGAGCTTCCTAGTGGCGTTAGGGTCGGGAAAATATGCAGAAGGCGAGCTCTCGGCATCGTGATTCTCAACCCCGCGCGAGGTCGAACTTGTACTGTGAGTCCGAAAAGCGAAGGGCGCTGCCCTCTTAGCAATCGGCGTCGCGAAGCTAGAAATCCGGGGAAGGGAAACACGTGAAAAGCGCCGGGCTTCGATGCCTCGCCTGAGCCGTAGAAACTCGGTCATCGTCAGCAGGGGCTCTGCTCAGCGGTGGCTAGCAAATTCCTGTATACTGCATTCCCCAGGTGAGCATGGAGTTAATATATATATATATGCGAAGGGCGTGGCGAGCATTCTGCTCATAAGTGGGGACAAAAAGGTCCAGGAGGGCAAGCTTATCAATAATTAATCCCCAATATTATTCGCCCGTCAACTATTACGCCTCGGAGGGCGCCGCCCGATGACTCATCCGTCGACACGACATCGAGTATGTGGATCTAACAGAAGCCTATAACATGAATACATTGCATAATTCCTTTAACAAAGTAGGTAGAGCACGCATGCTGTTGTTGAGATCTCATATTCTTAACTGGGCATTACCCTGGGTTGGTGGGGAAGCAAGAAGAGTGCCTGCGTTGAGCTTATCGTATACTCCAAATTGTAGTCTACGGAAACCTAACCATCTTCTAGATTCCCATCTTGGTGTATTATGGGTCTCTGCTGCGCCGAATAATATGATGAGAATATCACTTAATATTTTTTGACTCTATCCCCACCAAAGCCCTTAACCTGAAGGCTTCTAGCTACATGCTTACCCTAAAGTAGGCATCATCTTCCGGACTCGCTTCACGAGACTCTGTTCAAACTGTTCTACCCCTTCCTGCTGCTCGTGGAGCTTTCCTGATTTCAGGACGTAGACGGTGCGTCTTCTGTTCTGAATTTCCTTCTCTTCACCATCAGCGCCCTCGAATTCGTCCCCCAAGATGTGCTCCTCGTCTCGCTTTCCTTCTATCACAGAACGCACAAGGAACCGGTCATGGGATATCAAGAGAATCGCGCCATTGAAAGTTGACAAAGCAGATGCAAGAGATGTGACAGTATGGAAGTCCAAATGAGTTGTAATTTCGTCCAGAACGAGCAAGTGTGGAGAGTTCCAGATTATCTTCGCTAACGACAAGCGTACCTAGGAGAAATGATGGTTTAGTTATCATCCAGAAGTTTTTATCATCTTTCAAATACTCACAAGTTGACCTCCTGATAGCCGAAAAATTGGCACATCGGACACAACTTTGCCTTGCAGTCCTAGGCTTGCCAGCAAGCCTCTGATTTCACCTTCATTTAACTTCCCTTCCACTTCTTTCAACATTAAGCTCAATGCTGTTAGGTTCTGATCAGCTTGCCCCTCGTTCTGGAGATCTTCTACTGAGTGTTGTGCGTAGTAGCCAAGTTTCAGTCTCGAATGGTTCGAAATCTTTCCTTTGCTTGACAGCATGTTCCCAGTCAGGAGACGAACCAAGGTCGATTTGCCACATCCATTAAGACCCATTATGCCAACCCTATCCCCCATGTGCATAACAAGATCAATTCCATTCAGTACAGGGGCATCATTTTGTTTATATCGAAAGACGATTCCTTCCAAAGAGATAAGAGGACCAGGGAATCTCAGCTCCGTAGCATCAGGCAGGACAATCAAGACACCTTTTTCATCTGTAGGTACTTCAATTTCTGCACGGGCAGATGAATGCCAGCCGCCACGGTCGCGGCTCAGTTTAAAGCGTCCCCCGTTTGCGCTCACCTGCAAACCCGTGCGATCCTCGATTCTCTTCTGCCGCGACTTGGCCATGCGCAGTTTATTGTCATCGTTTGTTTTCTTCCCTACCTTCATTGTTTCACGAATGGTTGCTTCCATATGAGCTTTCTGGCGCTCTTGCGCTTCCTTCATTCGGCCAAGGTACAGCTTTTGCTCTTCAAGGTCTTTTTCATATGCTGACAGATTTCCTTTGAAATAAGAAAGCTTCTGGTCCCGTAAGATAGCGATTTCCTCGCAAACAGCATTCACAAAGTCCCTATCATGAGAGACAAGCACCATTGTTGTCCGAGATGTATTACGCATCTGTTTCAGATAATTCTCCAACCACACCACCCCCAGCAAATCCAAGAAGTTTGTTGGTTCATCAAGGATCATGATATCCGGATTTTGTATTAATACACTTGCCAACATGCATCGCATACGCCAACCACCGGAAAGTGTCAAGAATGGCTTGCTGAATGCAGATTCCTGGAAACCTAGACCTATCAAGATTTGACGAGCCTGTTGTTCCGTATCTACCAGATTCATCTAATTGTGTTAAACTTAAGCAATGGCCAGCCATGTCCTAGCTCTCAACTTACAGCATCAAATTGGGATTGCAAGTCCTGTAACATCTCCACCGCAGCTTGTGTATCTTTCTGTACTGCCTCGCCATCGATTGGCTCTTGTTGATCCAACCTAAAAGTCTTAGAGAAGGCAATGCGCGTTCACAAAAATGAAACTTACAGTTTTAGTGAATCCTGGTGTTTCGATTCTACAGACTTTAAATCTTTTCTTGCTTGTAGACCCCTCACCCCACTTTTCAAGCTTGCGTTCTTCTGAGCAAGAAATAATTGCTTCTCAACCATATCGTGTCGAACCCTGCGGATTGCGTTGACGGGCTGTAATGGGTCATCTGTCTCAAAGCTTTTAGATAGCACTAACAACACATCAGATAATTATTCTTTTATCCTTATCTTATGAAGGCAAAACCCACGGTTTATCTTTTCGGCAACATCATTTTTGTGCCGATCACTGCTCATAGCGTATTCCAGGACTGTTTTGTGTTTATTTTCATTGTTTCCACTCTCCCGCTCCTCAAAACACCCCTGTTCTGCTGAATCGGTCTGCTGCAATATGGCTATACGAGTTGGATGTGGTATTCCAGGGACAAGCTTATCAGCCATCGCTCGAAGCAATGCTACAATTCTATGAGCCATTCCTCTTCTTTGCAATTGTTGAAGTATGTGCCAACAACCCTCAACTGGAACCAAATTGCTTACTTGACTTTCCTGTGCCATTCCGGCCTATTAAGCCATAATGCACACCGGCTTTAAGACGCAAGTGCCCATCTGATATAAGTTCTCTTGTATCCGCCTTAGCTTTTGTTTTCCCTTTGAGTTTTGGCTTAGAGGCGTCGTCAGTTTTGTCTTGTGCAGACGAAACGGCGATTGTGAGTCCTTCAACGTCGATCTAGAGGAATTGCCCGTAAACGGTATCAGCTTTGAAAGCATTTTGGGTACCGTGTGTAAATTAAACTCACCTCCTGTGATGGCTTATCATCTAATAGATGAAAACGCGTCTGCTTGCAAGTCGCAATGATGGTAGGTACAGTCATACTTGTTTGATGTATTAGTTGAGTTGATGTTGTAGTTGAGCATGCAAATATAATGGATAGTATAAATCTATTAAAGCAATTACATTCATAAAAAACGTCTCAATTGTAGTAGAATTCGTGGCTTGTCCCTTTTAAGAAAAAAAGTATCGCACTACCTATAACACAAAGTAAGGACAATGTAGGATCAGCCAATTTTGGTATCCTACGGGCACTCGATTAGGAAACAAGCCGCACGCGAGATGACCTTTGTGTTTCCACAGAACACATTGAGTCACATTGCATTGTGGTGGATTAATAGCTAGTTGTGCCAATATGTTCATTAATCGATGAGTCGGGGTCCCAAAGAGGAATAGCCGATAATTTAGGCCTGAGGAATCCACTCTGGAAGTTTTGGGTCGGTCACTAAATGCGCCAGAGAATCAAGGCAACTGAGTGGTTTTTATGGGACTAATAAATTCAATGACTCATCAGTGAGTCAAAGCAATTTATGCTAACATAATGCACTTCGACCACCTCAATACCTCAACAAATGCAGGTATATACTATAAATAAAGTTTATTGCTGTATATTTATACACCTTAAAGGCATAATTATTTGTTTTCCTACATTTTTCCAAAGCTTAATTACTGTACTAACAAAAATTTGTAATCTCGGTAATTTAGAGATCTAGCCTGGATAAAGAGCTGAGAGTAAAATATATGAATAATCTATATGATACTACAGTAATTTGTACGGTATATCCTCTCCTGATATTCTGGTGCTGAGTTAATGAGATGGTCGATAGTGCTATTTTATATTCAAATAAAGTGGCGGCTCGGTAGAATCGGCGGCTCGGTGGTTGAAGATCTAAGTAGCTATGTTACTAGCTGGCTAAAACTAGCATAGTGGTACATGGTGTAGAATAATACAACAGGAGCTTGGCGATCTGTTGCAACAAATTGAATTTGAAACCTTGCAGCTCTGCTATTGTAGGAATTTATCTCCTGGATATTATCGTCAAGTAAAACAAAGTACATTGTTTTTATTACACCCTCAGACCGAACATTATTGGAGTGATGGTGGATGTGCAGACTGTCACAGGCTAAACTTGTAACATACTATATATATAGGGCGCTAGATGCGACTGATCTTCGATCAGTCGTCTTGTACCTTTTTATATGGTCAAGTGGTTTTATCTCTACTAGCGCAGAGACAACCAAACCATCACACAGGCAGCATTTTTCAGTTTATTTCAGAATCAAGTATTATATAGAGTAGTTTATAGATTAAACGGCTGCAAATTTTACAATGCTATCTACTCGCTATATTATATTGCTAAATGTATACATACAAATTCTAATACTAGAGTTCAAACTTCCAAATAATAAATCGCCCATACGGTTAAGGATATTGGCCAAATTATAATAGATTATGGTTATTACCACCATCAAGGTGCTACTCTATGTAATCCATACAAGCCCTGACAAACCCTGACAAGCATTTTCCTCTGCTCTACGATATAACATGTAGGATATAATAGATATTGTTCAATTGTAAGGCGGCGTTGTATGAAGGGTCTACAACAAGTTGCTTGTCATATAATAGTTATAGAGGACAGGATATTTACTTACGTACTCTAATTTCCTTTTAGAAGCTGTTAATGGCAGTAGCTTGGTTCAGTCACCGATACAGGATCGTCGGGCCTGCTTTAAAATGCCACAAATCATATTACATCGTGGCCTGTTGGTATGACCGCATAGGCTGCCAGACATAGAAAAGATGCATTGCAAACCATGGGAAAGCCCAAAGAGAATCCAACGCAGCGATTGGGATTAACGAAAGAAAAAGGCGTTCCATGTGCTTAGTTAGCCCCAGACCACCAAATAATGGTTGTTGCATCACTTGGTATCGAATCTCGACGTCAGCCGACACCATGATGACCTCATCTCCCCGCATTCCATCCCTATAAATGAAATGGATCTCTCAATCCAAGAATGCCAACCACAACACAAGTGCACGTACTCCCAAGTTTAAAATACCTGAAGACATAGCAATATGACCTCAAAATTCAATTCCGGAAAGTTTGCCACCCGCCCAAAGGACGAGGCTGAGGATATTACCGGCCAGAGCGATCAAAGCAATCAGCAAGGAGATTCTAGCAGTAAGGATCCTAGTGATTGGAAGCAGGTAGGTTTGAATTGACCATGTCATTATTGATTATATTGTATCCTAATGATTTTTTTCAGCGTGACTCTGCCTCCGAGGAAAGCCAGGCCTCAAGTGAAACCACCCAACCCGGAGATCCTTTACTTCGTGGAGCTGCCCCGAGGATGCCGGGCAGTTCGAAATACCACTTTACTCACGATCAGTTATCTCACCCAGATGAGTAACCTTAGGCACCTGAGTAGTAACATTCTCTTTGTGATGAACTATGATGATATGATCTGAATATGTTGAGATTGTCTTGAAAATACTTAAGTGTTTTGCATGGTACATTAAACAGTATATAATTGAAAATGTTTAAAATTGTGATATCATTATGGGTATAGATTATTCCGATGTTTTAGTAACTAGCCGTCTTAGGAATTTTGTACGGAGTATAGAGTACTGTTGAGATATGGATACTCTAGAATTAAGATCAGTAATAGAATATGGTGTTCTTTTAAGTATGCGTCACATTCCTTGGTCATCTCTATTAACCTATCGTTCATAGTGCAGCAATACGACGCACTTTATAAAATACAAATTCTTAATTGTTTACACTTTGTACTTTCTACGGCACTTAATAGTATTCCGTAGTGGGGTGAAGTATTGATTTAGGATCATTGCCACAGTGTCTTTACTTTTAGTGTCAACTAGCAATGGTAATCAGTACGCATAGGAAAATAGGCAGCAACATATACTTAAAATAGAATTTTAAGGTCGAGTAAATTTCTTTTGCAGAGAATTTGCAATAGCTACAAACTACCTTGGGCAAAGCACTAGAAGCTTTAGGCATGTGTATTTAGTGCATATGTATATCTTTCTCACCAGTAATTATTATTTGTAGCAGCCTTGACAGCCATGTCGATGAACATAGTACATATAAACCAGCCATTCTGCTTAAATATAAAAAGGATAGAAGAATGTGGTGAAATTTTTTCTTCATTTTTAGATTCTGCATTCTCATGTTTTTTTGGTTAGATAATATCCTACGAAAACCAGAGCAAGTTCTACATATGTCCGATTATCCATTATGAGTTTCCTAGATAAGAATGGCTACATAAATATGATAATACTCAACAGCCAAGTAAATGGTTTTTGCGCGGCCATTATTTGGAGAACTAAACACAGGGCTTTTCGGGCTCTAGATTTTCAAGTCGTACAGAATGAACAACAGCATAACTACTCCATAATTTGTGTAACTATCTAAGCTAAGAGATTGCTGTATATTCTCTAACCTGCTTTTCCTAGCTGCTGGTTCTAGACTTGTGTCTATCAGTCAAATTATCCATAGTCTCTCTGTAGGAATTTGGTACAAAAGCCCATCATCATAAAATTTACCATGTTCCTTCAGCCAGAATACATATCTGTAGATGACTCTAATATAGTGTATATTGTGAAGACTTTGGGACAGATGCTGCATGGATTAAGCTATAAGTGGGTGATTCGTCCACGCCTGACTCTACCTACATCCCAGGTACCGTAATACATGAATAACATCCATAAGGGACCCACTCAGCTTTACGGCTCTATTCGAACACTAGCTGTGTACTGTATATACCCACAGTCGGCATTCGTTCAGCCATGTACTGCCGACATACTGTGTCTTGGATGTGGCGTTCTTGTAGTGCATGATGGCAGTACTCGGTGCTCTATCAACAGACTTTTCGACCCTCTTGGCCAGACACATCAAAATGAGCCGTCCCTTCCAAACCTTTCAAAATGGATTGAATGAGCACTCCAACAGGATCCATTTTTTGTAGCTCAGCTAACTAAACGACTGAATTAATGCCTCAAATAAGACTTGTAAAGATGTAAGAAGGTTCCTAGTATGATCCAGGGGCGATGTTGCAGAATACTAATTTAGTGCAGGTCACCATCTAACTTAAAGAGAGATTTTCAGGCAAGCAGAGACCGGCTCACGGAGTGCCTTCTCCTAGTAAGACTTGGTCAGTACGCAACCCTAGCAGCCAATAGGAGTCCAGCCTCAAAGCACAATTAGGGCATGGAGACGCTACCGGGATGGACTTGGAGTACAGAAAGAGGGGCCTCTGCAACTTGCATGGTGGCTATGCCACAACTTCCAAGAACTTAGTGAGACCTTACTTAAATAAGCGCCAAGCTTTGTTTACGGTGGTAGACCCGCGATGGCGTTACCCACAGAACCCACACGGAATCCCGCCCGGTTGAGAAGGATTGGAGGATAGTCTGGGTTGAGTGGTCGGGAATTATTAACCCACGTCCTTCAACTCCATAGAATGGTATGATTTGTAGGGAAAGGGGGTAGATGCTGGTTTGGGCCGTGCTTGAAAATTACACAGGTAGTTGATTCCCTTAATTTATACCGTATGAAACACTGGAATGTTGCTCCACCCACCTACAGACAGTGGACTAACAGTAACCTGGACTCGAAACATTCCAGAATCAAAACAAAGTATAGGCATGATAGAGCATTTCCTACCGGAAACCCATACGGATATCCCATTCTTTTTCTGTAGGAATATAAGAATCCATCCTACAGAGTATTGTACAAGCACTGCAAACAGCAAAACACAACAGTTCTTATTATTGGCCTGTTGATAACCACTAACATCATGCTGGAAAAGTCTCGGCGATTCAGGAGGGCCACAGTAGCATATAGGACGACTGTTGGGCGACTATTGGACAATTGTTGCCCTTGAATAATATGCTACCCGTCTTACATTGTACTTCTATAGGAAAAGTGGTAGCCTACCGAGGCATTATAGATGAATAAATAGCCAACCGTCAGCTGGGAGAAGCAGGTCTGAAATGGCAAAACACCACATTAAAGGCATGACTGGAATTGCAGACCGTCAACATTGGCATTGGGCATCTAGGGGGCGGCTCATCTACCATTCTTGCATAAAGCATATTGGCTATGATATTAAAAAGAGTAAATAAATACATAATGCTAAGGCACTTGGAGTAGTACTCCGCAGTTATCTTCTAGTAGTTTTTTCGCAATAGGTGCATACAACAACAGCAACAACCTGGGATAGAATTAAACTAGATACCTAAAGATCGGTAATAAAATACCAGATCTTATCCACTATCTCTTGATACTTTCTGCCTGCTACTATATACCCAGAAGTCTCAATTCTCAACTCAAAATAGTAGTACTTTGATCCGTGAGTTCCGTAGGGGGCTAGAGGTCCCAAAGCCCTACCAGGGCTCACTAGTGGCCAATCACAAATGAGTTCTTGGAGGGGATTGTATGCTGAGTCAGCGGGAGGACGCGCAAGCCTCTACCTGATTTCTATTCCTGGCGTGGAGAACTTCCCACTTGTCTTTTCGGTTCCCCTGGCTCTCCTACTCGAGACTTACGGGCGCGAACTCCATTCACCCGCCCTTCTCCTTGTTGTTCCCATCTTTCGCTCCTCATTAACCAACCCATCCACCCACCTACCTATCCACCCACTCATCCATCCATCCATACCATCAATACTATTCATACACATCGACCATCGATTCCACACCGACTACGTGCCCTTTTCTGAATTTCTGGCTGTCCTGTCGTGTGGTGTCTTGAATACATTTCCTATCCCATCCCGTCAACCCACCCCCTAGTCTCTCGCTATTGTATTGTCCTATCTCCCTCCCTATCTTTCATCCGTATCGCGCGTGGCCATAATCCTTTTACAACTTCATTGCTCTGTCACTGAACGACTTTCATCTGAAAGGATATTAAGAGGTGGATTTTTCCAACAATGGCGACCCTAGCGGAGCATCCGATTGTCGCTCCATCGAATTACGACCAAGATATTGATACTTTCATCAACCTCGATCAGCTTACCTATACATCCTCAGAGCCATCAAGGCCAAAGGCTACCCTAGCCAGTCAGCCCGCAATTCCTAGCACGGAATTTGGTGCTTCCGATGGCCGAAGTGCCAGCTTTGCCTCAAACAGTCAATCCCCGATCGCTTTCCAAGGTCCTAGCCATCAGTATGACGAACACAAGCAACAGACAGGTCTTCCCCCGGGGGCCTTGGCTCAGGCAATGACCTTTAATCACATGAATGGCATGGGACTTGGTGGTGCAAGTTCGGGCTTTGCTGTGAATGGAGACATGTATGCCAATGCCAATTCTCAATTTAAGCGGGAAGATGCTCCTCTGGACTTCAATTCTGTTCCTGTCCGGAACACTACGGAAATGGACTTAGAGTCCGACAACATGGGCACTGTTCCTACTTACTTCTTCTCTCAGAACCCCAACAAGAATCAATTCGTCGATCCAAGCGCCTTGGGCGGCCAAGATGTTTCTGCTGGCCCATCCACCCAGGTCGGCCGCATGTATCCCGGAATGCACCAGCAGCAAGCTGCAATGGCAAAGGCAGCTCAGCAGCAGAAACATCATGACATGGCCCGACAACATCAGTTACAACAGCAACAACAGCAGCAACAGCGTCGCTTGTCGGAGCAAATTGCACCGGGGACTCAACATGTCCAATCCCGCAATACAAACCCTGTCGTGGAGGAACGTATTTCACGCCTACTTCAGCAGATGAGACAAAACACTATGAGTCCCCAGGAAGAGACTCCCTCTCCGTCTATCCTTCCCCATATGGCCAAGTCGAAAAAGGAAGAACAAGATATGGATGAAGACGAGAGGCTCCTCGCCAGTGAAGAAGGAAAGAAGCTCAGCAGCAAGGAACGTCGTCAGCTTCGCAACAAGGTGTCTGCGCGTGCCTTTCGATCGCGAAGAAAGGGTATGCATCTCTTTTCGTGTCATTTAATGCTGTAATACTGACTTGATATAGAATATATTGGCCAGCTGGAAAGTGAAGTTGCTGCTAGGACCAACGAAGCCCATGAACTCCGCCTTCAAAATCGTGCTCTTTATGAAGAAAATGCTCGCTTGACTGATCTTGCACACATGCTTCTATCGTCTCCAAACTTCTCTCAGTTCTTGGATGAACAGGGAATTCATGGCTTACCCACGTCAAGCCAACCCCAGCCGCAGTCGCAGCAACAACCGCAGCAGCCACAAACTCAACCACAGCAACAATCATCGATGGCACAACCGCCCGTGCAGCCATCTATCCCCAAGGAAGCTAGTTCAAACCACGGCCCCCAAGACTACCCGATGCAGCAGACTCCCCAGGTCGGCATGGTCATGGTTCCCAATCAAGGGCTGGACGTCTCTGCAATGGGTCTCAATAATGGTGGCTGGAACTCTGGTATTGACATGAACTACGGAAACACACCCGTTTTTGCTGTCCTGGAAGTTCCTGAGCCATCTATCGTCGACTCGGAAATTCTGTCAGGAAAGAGTTCGCCCCTTGGAGTATGCCTCCCAGAAGTGACAAGTAACAAGGATGAAGCACCTGTGCTAGAATTCTCGCCAGTAATTGAAACCCCAAAGGAGCCTGTCGGGGTTGAAAGCCAGGATATTCAAATTGACGAAACCGATCCTGCATTCGCGCTGTTTTCTGACCTACCCGTTTCGTTTGCGCCTGCAGAACCGTCGACCACGTCCTTTGGTGGTCTTGATTCCGATAAGTCTGCGCCTGCTTTCGAGCTAGTCGTGGAGGACGAAGCCAAGGCTGCAGCCCAACGTTTTGCTCGCTTGTGCCACGACATGGAAGCGTCCTTCCAACGTGTTTCCATGCTTACTTCGCATCTTTTGTGATTCCCTTTCAGATAACGAGCAAATTATTTCAGCCTGTAAAGTTTCTATTGTCGTGTTTTTTGAAGTGTTCTAGATACCTGAACATGAGTCTTCCGTGTAGACACAGATGCCTTTCCTTTGTTCATGAGCCTGTTACTATAAACCGCGTTTCGATATGATTCTTTCATTTTTTATTTTTATTTTTATTTTTTTTTCCTCTGTTCAGGGGTTATGTGGGTTGGGTTTTCATTGTACTTTCCAGGGCTGGGATTTCTGGGATTTTATTTGGGAACTTGGGTAGGGGTTTTTTCCTTTTTTATTCTCTTTTATAGGCTTTCTGAAGCCAAATGAAATCTAGGTGCAGCAAATACCATGAAATTGTCGCAAAAAATTCAGTAGGGGGGATGACCGTAGTAATTGGCCAGTGCGACTGTTTGTCGCGAGTGATGACTCCACATCGGGAGAACATTTCTCAACTTGACTACTTAGCTACTTTACTCCTGCTGACAACGTGGCTTATCTGGACATCATGGATGCTTGCTGAGTGTTCCCTTTCTACCAAAAACATTTCTGTCTCATAGTCAAGTTGGCTTCCCTTCACTTGATCTGCGGGCTTCCAAGCAAAGCCTTTTGCGGAATCGTAGCCCCTTCTTCGGTCCGCCGCGCTTCAATTTCTGCGCGATCTCGAGGCTATTGGGACCCTCTAAGGAAAAGGTCTACGCCGAAGCATTCTTCATCCGAAATTCATAAACTCAGAAGCTCCAAACAGCGAACTTCTAGTTCTAGAGACACCCTTCCATATCCTCTATCCATCCTCCGTCAGTCACGGGTCCTCCACACGCCCAGACCGGGGCAATATCCATTGAATCCGGAGACTCACATTATACGGACTCCAAAACTTAGCTCTGCGCGTGGGAAAAGCTACTTGCTATATAATCCTTCCACATACAAGCTTTCAGGTTTCGAATTCTTACCGGCGCCGTCCACGGGAACTCACCCCATGAAGTTTTATTATCAGGTCGTGACGACCCCGACCGCCGATACTCCGGGCACTTCCCTGCTCCTCCACTTTCCAGACAAGCGCTATTTCTTTGGACAGATTTCTGAAGGGACTCAGCGAGCATGCACAGAACGCGGTGTTAGGCTCTCATTTCTCACTGATATTTTCATCACGGGTCGTATAGAATGGCAGAATACTGGTGGTTTGATTGGAACGATCCTTACCCAGGCCGATGGAAGTGCTACCTCGAGTAGTGCACTGGAAACTACCGCTCGTGAGAAAGCTGAGCGCCGGACTCAAGCGGATAACAAGAAACCAGGCGCGTCACCCAAACAGGAACATGGTGTGCCTTATGCAGTGCACGATGGAGAAGTGGTAGTGCAACGAGGGAGTTTTACGCTTCATGGGGCTAGGAACTTGACACACACCTTAGCCACTGCCCGAAGATTCGTTTTTCGAAGGGGCATGCCGGTTTTCACAAGGGAATATGATTCTGAGAGCGTGCCTAACGGCGCCTCGGTGGATGTGAATGACCCTTTCCAACAGCCCTCCTGGTCGGACAACAATATTAAAGTATGGGCCATGCCTGTCAGTCCTTCCTCGGTGGCCCAGGGAAATGATGCTCCACAGCGTCCCAGGAAAAGAAGCCTCGACGAATTCCAAGAGAACAATATTGATACTTCTGGGGATATAGATCAGCGCACTCGGGATCAGATCACGAGGCAAGCTATTGTTACTGACATGTTTAACTCCTCATGGCGCATGGATGCATTAGTGGAAACCCGTTTAGCCGATGTTAAGATGCCTGCAGTGATGTTTGTCCGCAATCCGGAGACTAAGTCTCTCGAAGAATATAAGGGACCTGCTCCAGGAAGCAATACACCTCTTCCTAACATCAAGGTCTTTGTACGACAACCTTGGCCTGGCGCAACTGTTGAGAAAATTCCTCCCACATCTTGGAGCCGTGAGGCCGTTTCGTATGTCGTGCGAAACCACGATATTAGAGGCAAATTTGACCCAGCGAAGGCTCAGGAACTCAAGGTCCGCAAAGGTGGAGATTATGGGAAACTAACAAAGGGCGAGAGCGTGCTCTCAGAAGACCAAAAAGTTATTACACCTGAGATGGTTCTAGGGCCCCCACGGCTTGGGAAGGGAATAGCAATTATTGATTTGCCTACGCCTGATTATGTTGAGAACTTGGTCAATCGGCCGGAGTGGAATTCGCCTTCCGTGACAACAAACCTCGAAGCGTTTGTCTGGATTCTTGGTCCAGGTGTTGGGGATCACCCTCAACTTCGCAAGTTCATTGCAAGGATGTCTCATTGCAAGCACACTGTGTCCGGTACTGACTATACCCCAAATTACCTAGCCCTAGCAAGTGTTGCGTGTTCGTCGATCCGGATGGCACAATTAAGACGCGAAAATCATCCAGTTCCTGTCCATGACAACGTGACCCTTCCACAACCAGGCACATCTACGGATAAATCGAAGGCCGCAACGGAAAAAACCGAGACATTGCCATTTGAACCACTAGAACCTGGGCTAATCATTAATATGGAACCTAAGTTTGAGTTTAACCGTTCCGAAGTTGTACGGCCCTTTAATGCGGCGGAAGTAGTGCAGCAAAAAATGCCGGCCGCAGTTGAAAAGCGCATGAACACGATTGGTAAACGTGTGAAGAAACATGAATTTCAGCAAAAACTGGATCACTTCCTGCACAACCTCCCTGGGTCCAACGTGGAAATTATAACTTTAGGGACGGGGTCATCTTCACCATCCAAGTACCGCAATGTCTCGAGTACACTTGTCAACGTGCCTGGATATGGCTACTATTTGTTTGACTGTGGCGAGTCTACCTTGGGCCAGCTTAAGCGCGTGTTTGGGCATGAAAAATTGCGAGAGGTCTTGCGGAACTTGCGGTTAGTCTGGATTAGCCATCTTCACGCGGACCACCATCTTGGTACTGCGTCGCTTATTAAAGCGTGGTTTCAAGAGAACTACCCCCACGGAATTCCTAGGACGGACAATATTGTGACCGACATGTCTAAGATTCTTAAGGAGAAACGTTTGTTCTTAGTGTCCGAGGAAATGATGATTAGATGGCTAGAAGAATACGCAGGTGTTGAGGACTATGGTTTCAGCAAGCTTATTCCCGTGACTGCGTCTCCTTTCATATCAGACAATAAAATTCAGACAAGGTTCTCCTATCGCCACTGCTGCGGCGACGGCTCGTACCCAGAATATGAATCTGAAAATGGAAGCCCCCAGACCACAGCTCTAGCTTTCGACGAAAAAACGTCTCCCTTAGCACCACTTCTTCGCGAAGCTACTGGGCTTTCTGATCTTCTGACTACTAAAGTGAGTCACTGCAAGGGCGCCATGGCGGTCTCCCTTGTCTTCTCAGATGGTTTCAAGATCTCATTCTCAGGTGATTGCCGACCTTCTCCAGCCTTTGCCGCAATTGGCCACGGATCAACGGTTCTCATCCACGAAGCCACCTTCCACGATAACATGAAAGGATCGGCTATTGCCAAAAGGCATTCCACGACAGTAGAAGCCCTTGAAGTTGGCCGTTTGATGGAAGCTCGGGCTATCATTCTCACCCATTTCAGCCAACGCTATCAGAAATTCACACATGTTGAGCGGGAGAAAACTTCACTCCCTACGAAGCAAGAAGAGACAATCGTCCAACCGCCTGAGCATCCGGATATTCCAGACGAAGAGCCAGACACAATTGAAGGCCAGGGCTCTGTGCCACCACTGCAATTTGACAGCAACTATGCAGTGAAAGAAAGGCCAAGATTGAATGTTCCCGTAGTCGGGGCCTTTGACTACATGCACATCCGCGTTGGCGATATGCCATATACACAGGCCTACGCTCCTGCCATAGATAAATTATACCAAATTACTGAACGAGCTTCAGCAGAGGAGACGGAAAAGCGCAAACTGGAACTAGAAAAACAGGCTGCTATAGTGATGGAGAAGAAAGCTCTCAAGCACGCGAGACGTCTAAAACTGGAGAATAAGGCTGCTGCCCCAGACACTACGAACGAAAACATGGAAATCGATGAAATGAAACCTCCAAAACACTCGGCCTGGAGCGCCAGCGAGAGCGAAAGTGGCTGGAGCACCAGTGGTGATGAGAAAGAAATTAGGATCCGTCGCCGAAGCACCCCTCGAAAGCAGGAGTCGAAGTAAAGCCTACAGCAACTCCGGGCTAATTTGAATATGGGGCAACAGCCAAACCAGTCTCTAATTTTTATCATGAGTATACCAAAACATTGTTACACGTTGATTATCCAGCCGTGTTCGGTTTTTACTGCGCTACTATCCACTGCGTGCGAGGAGGTTGTCCTGAGCAAGGTCACGATAGCGCGTAAGCAACGAGCTCAACAATATATATATACCGCGCTTGCCTTCTGTGGTTTCTTTTCAAATTGAAAATATACGAGCATGGGATATGTGCAAATTACCAATCCATAACTCTGTATTCTCTTACTGTTGTCCTCACATTACACATTTTTCGGTTTCTATAGGATTGTTATGTCCCCCATTTTGTCACTAGAGACTATTATTGCTTTGATCTGGGTAGTCGATAAGCATCCAGGGCGTTGATTGTTCTTTCCAAAAAACAATGTATATTTATGAATTATTTATTTCACCCCTTTTCTGAGCGCCTTTCCCCCTTCTTTTTTTATGTATATTTTCCCCAAGGAATTAATACAAAAAATAGAGAGATTACACTATAGGTTTGGCATTTATATCTTCCTTAAAAGCCAGCGGGTGCCTTCTCCTTATCATTCTTACCATAAAGTCCCTCATCGAGGTTCTGTACACATTCACCCTTCCAGTTTTTAGGGGTAAATTTGTCGACAATCTCCTTAAATGCATCCAATGTGCAGAACGTGTCGTCACCACGGAGATGATTCTGGAGCTTAGCAGCACAGCCAGGGATACGAACTGGACTGTCATTATAACGAATACGGACGTAGTACTGCTTCAGCGTCTGCCGAGTGGATTCGGGGAGCGATGTCAAGGGAGTACGAGCAGTTTCAGATTGAGGGGGCGGTATGTCACCCGAAGATGAAGAACCAGTTAGGAATGAGAAGAATCCGGACTTTTTCGTGGCAATGGGTGGACTGGCGAACTCTTCCAGTATCACTCCTGCGTCGCTGTTTCGGCTAGCCTTGGAGAAGAGCTCAATGGCAATGGATGAGGTGAATGGAGGCCAGTTTCCATCAAACGATCCAGTGCTATTTAGGATCGCGGCCAAGGTTGTGTCATGGCATCCGCTAAGGGCAAACTTAATCGCCTTTCCTTGTTCGGTGGAGGACCCGGATGCTGAGGTTTCGCTGCGCCAGCCACCCTCTACAGCTGTGCTGACCATACGATCGACCACATCGCCCATTAGGCTTCCGATACCGAGCTTCCTGTACTCAGTGCTTTCACTGTACCCGGAGAACCATTCGTCAACGGCGATCTTGTTTAGATGTTGTCTGATTTTGTTGTCGTAGAATTCAGATGGGAGTTTCGTCGCTGGTCCATGAGCAAGAGTCGCGTTTATTGTGTCTGCAATTCCAGAAAGACGTGGACGAGAATCAACGGCAACCTTCGGAGAGTTTTCCGGCATCCATTTAGACAGTAGGCTATTAATGTAGTTCATTTCGTCGGTATCGTTCCCTGGAGCGTTAAAACAAAATGGTAAGTATCTGATACGTTCATTTTCATATTGCACGAAAGGAACAACGTACATCGGAGTGCAGCCCTATCTGCGAAAAGCTTGGATAGTTGCCTGAAGCGACGACAATTTCCCTCATTTGGGAAAAGTGTCTCATCCGATACAGAGCGAGCAACAATCACTGGGGGAGGGAAATCCTGTGTGCGCGCACTAGCAGGGTACATGCCCCAGAAAGCTTGTTGGAGAGACTCGAGGGCGCGGGGAATTGGCGTAGTGCGGAGATACATGTCCTCTGTGTCGGACTTTACTCTGGGCATGAATCCGAGTTGATCAACATATAGATGTCTCAGGCGCTGGCCGAGCTCAAAGGTTGTTTCTCGACCTTTATCTGTCAATTCGCCATGTTGACTGCATCGGTCAGCAACGTCCATGTCCCATTCTTATGTTGCGCCAGCTCAAACTTGCCAGATGCCCTCTGTGTCTCCGGTAGCTCCCACTGCAACAACGGATGCATCGTTGTCTCCAAAAGCTTCCATTTTTCTGCGCCATTGGAAACCGTTCCATGAGGAAAGGTCTTGATTACTGGCGGCCATTTGGATCATCCGGCGGGCTGCACCGCAATACGGCCAATCTTTGTGGCGAGGAAGCACAGGTTAGAGAAGTACATTCGTGGGAAAATTGGCAAGACTAAGGGATAATTTACATGGGACAAGGCCTGCCTTCACGTTATTAGCATGCTTCAATCAATCAAGCCTGGGCGAGCGTGTTCTGAGGTACATTTTGGAAACGCGAAGATACAGGAGTGCGTTCACCTGGGAATTAATCGTCTAATTAATAACGAAGTAAAGTAGACGGAGGTAGAAAGGTCTAACCATGGCGGAGAAACTGTGTGAAATTGATTAGCTTTTGCCCAATTAGACTGCTAAAGCAATAGACAATGGAAGACATACCACCTGGACCAATTGCAACTTCAAGTCCCGAGGATAGAGCTTCTCAAGCTCCTCCTTGGAGTACGGGTCACGCGGAATAAGCGTCGTCATCTGGAGAATGGTGTCTGCACCGAAAACGAGAAACAGTGAGCCTTTCTCTTTCGAAAAGGAGGGAATGCAACTGGATCCCCATTGCCTCCAGTCCAGCGTTTGGTGATGACGCCAGAAGGCGGTGTAGCCGTACGCAGCCAATCAGATAGGGTGGACTATGTCACCTGGCTCAACGCATTCCCCATGGGCCGGCCACGTGATCATGGAGGAGGATGGAATCCCCCGAATCATCAAGAATTGCGGCGAGATGTCAGCCCCTTACATAATAACTCCCGCGGAAGCTGGCCGTGGGCTTACTGTACAGGATTATGTTTGTCTTTGAAAGATTCCTGTCTTTTTTGAATTGGCGCTAATATGTACATGTGGTCGAGCACACCAAGGCACCTGCCTCTCTTACACCATCCAATATCCTTGTTAACTATGCATTCTTTTCAACCCTCCGAGGGAACCCTCCCTCTACCCAGCCCTCCGGATCCCATTTATCACGAATATTCATGAGTTGTCGAGCATTCTTATCAGTCCAGTATCATGCGAAACGCAGCGAGAAATCTGATTCACCTGAATATCCTCCGACAGAATTGCACCTGAAACCTTCTGTGATCGTTGCAGCCACCCTTTACACTGTTAATCGTCACTTCCCTTCTCCCATGTGGCGTAGATAGCGAAATAATGATCGGAATGCATGCTGAGTGCCATATCAGGCAGGTCTTATCTACTCCAAGGTCGCATGGAAGTCCAGAAGAGGGTGGTTTTGGGGTGAGGAAGTGTGAAGCACGCCTCTAGGAGACTGGATACGTCTGCATTATTCTTCGGGAATGCATTTTCCGTACAGTACCGATGGCCCTTGGGAAATACCCCGCCCAGGCCTTTATAGAAGTTATCCACGCTCGCTTTAGTGCAAAAAAAATTCCTCTAATGTTCCTTGGGGTCTAGCGTCTTGGATTGGCTAGAGAGCTGCTGCAGCATCCTCCTCGGCGTCCTTCATACAGGTAAAATTAATAGCGAAGTCCATTTCACCATCCTGGAAGCGACTGAGTGCAGTAATTTCTGTGTCTGTGTCTAGTGTTTCCGCAATATCCAGAGCCCAGTTGATGCCTAGCGGTATAGGCTTCTGGGGTACACGTAAATTGACGACCGAGTCTCCCCTGGATATTAGATCAAGCGCATGTGGAATTTTGCAACCAGACCCGGAAATGCTGTTTCTTCCAGTAAGGAATGCGCAGGGTATACTTCTGACAGATGAGTACTCGGCCGGTCCAGCACCTCGAGAGGCCCAATAGAGATCTACATTCTTCATTTGCATTGCAGTGGATCAACCCGCCTTCCGCTGTGACAGCATCCACAGTTCTAGAAATGCAATGGCGCTTGTCAGTTTTATATGCTGAGAGAATCAGTGGGACAGCATGCACGGCAGTTCCACCCCATCCCACCCTGGAGCAAGAAGCCTCCCAATCAACACTAGAACAGAGTCCCCCGGGGAACATTGGTCTATAAGTGCTGAGATGATCAACGAGCTCCTGTCTGTGATGCCAGTGGTCGCCTTCGCAATTCTTTTCTCTGCAACAACCTCTATTTCCTTTCAATAGCTGAAGTCCACTTGGATTGAGTTCTCCTGCAAGCTCTACACTGGGATAGAATGACCTCACCCGCGTACTGCAACCTTGCATTTAAGTTGAACTGCCAGTTTCATGGCCTCAACGACATCATGCTTGGATGCTTATCAATGGGTATATCTGAAGATGCCGCTCATTGACAGCATCATGGAGTCGTACGACCTCGTACTGTTGGGTGTCTGATGTGTTTCGCCAGATAATAAGATTGTTCTTTATATGCTAGTGAGTAGTCCAATCCTGAGGTCTCTGTCTTTGTTAGAATCACAAATAGATTGTCGAGGCCTGAAATGTCGGTGAGAAGCACAACCTTCCCAAGAGGAACAGCTTAAAGTTTATGTACCCAAAGAATAAGTGGCTACCAAAGCTGGAAGTGGTATTAGACTAACAAACAAGCTCAAACATTTAATCAATAATCTAATTTGCTATTTAAGGTGATCCAGATGTGGTGAAATCGTAGCGTCAAGTTAGTCGTACGGGGTTTTATGGAATTTAAATATCCATCAATACGTTGCATGCAAGACTGGCGTGCTTTGAGGACAGATATAAATATTGTTTCTGTTTCTGGGCCAAGGGGTTCGAAATTCTCCCCTCCTACCTTCCTAGAGAAAGAATTGGGACCAAAACTATCCAGAGCATTGGTTTCCTGGAATTCAAGGACCTGCACACTAGAGATAGAGATGTACCAAGAAATGACGAGAAAGGACGCAGATGTATACACCCTTGACGCCAACTGACAACATCCGTTTTTGGGGGAGCCAGTCGAAGGCTGTGGTGTGTTGAATAAGATGGTCTAATGCAGCACGTTTCCGAAAAAGGAAGCGCACAAAGGCGGAAATGCTCCCCCACACGCCGCCAAGCCAACTCGGGTCTGACTGATCGCCCGAACACACTGCATCTTTCCACTCCCATCCATCAATCATATCTTGTTGGGATATCTGAAGCTTTATTGGTAGTATTCTGGCTCAGCTCCTCATTGCCAGCCAGCAGCGCCAGAAACCCACCAAGCGAGTGTAATATCATACCTGCAGCTGTTGTTCCCATTTCGTTTCCTCTGCCTAACAAAGGTCATCCCCCACATCCTTCCGGGGTAGTATACAACAACCTCATGTGTATGATATAAACCTGGGGAGTTGTCTCTTCTGCTGTGACTTCAAGTATTTCTGGCTATATCATTGTATTTCAACAATGATGTTCTGGGTTTGCTGAGCTGCAGTCCTCTAATTCCTGCTTCAGGTTCAGGCTCGGTACCAAAGGCCACACTTAAGAAATCCTTTATGGATATAGATATTTCCTCTGTGTGAACAAGTCTCTGGATCCTGGGTTGCACAGTACTTGCGCCAAAGTGAATGATCTGTGATTTTAGCTATTTCACTTCTCCGCGTTGTGATTCCTCACTTTGTCAACGCCCTGGTTACACCTTGAACCTTGTCTTTTCCAGTTTGGACACCTTCCTCACAGTTCACATAGGATAAGTGTTATTGGTATGTATTTTATCTTGTGTGGCTTATTGTTGCTACGCAGAGTAGTTTGCTTATTACTTTATAGAGGTGTCGAAACCGTTCTGCTGTGCTCACAGTACCTAGTCCCTTGTTTGAATATTTACCTGGCTTTTCGTACAGCCTTGACCCCATGGAGGTAAGAGAAATTATTTTTTTTTTTTTATCCTTCCAATGATCTTGGATTATGTCACTTGTCGGTGTTTTCACAGTACTGAATACCCCCATCTATTGTTGGCCAACAAGTTAATTCTGCCACTTCTGCTATGCTTTCCCTTCAATCAAGACGAGAGCAATCTGTTTGGATAAGCTTTCGGACCAAAGCTGTGAGATTAAGTCTTTCGTGGATACTGGTGCCTATCTGCAGTTATGGCACGGCTGGATGCTTAATGAATGCTGTGATTCTTCTTAAATGGCAGCTTGAAAGGGTGTGGTGTTTGCTTTAATGTTGCTCAACGGATCTGTTTATTGCAGTCTTCTGGTGCAAATTTTGCTTGGTGGAAATGTCCATTCTGCCTTAATTCCACTGTTAGTCTGGAGCCATTCGGAACGTTCTACAACCTTCATGGCAGACAGAAATGATGCAAAGCCCTGCAAAGAACCCTGCCCCCAAAATGATCTTTCTTAAAGCCTCCATTCCTCATTCCCTCTGTATCTTTCTCCAGCACCTGGACCCTTTCTTCAAGATGTCCATACTGTCACCCCGCCTGCGTCGCTGGATCGACCCCGGCCCCGAGAGACACTCCTTCTCAAGCACTGCTATTCTACACGGAAGACCTGCAATCTGGAAAACAAGAGCTGAGCTAAGGCTTGAGGATATCTTACAGGTTGCAAATCAGTCATCCGGACCGCCTGCGCAGGCGAGGGCGGGTCATGTTGCTCCCAACAAGCCTCAGGACACTAAGCCCCGTCTTCTTTTGATGGGACTTCGTCGGTAAAGCTCATCATAATTTGCCTGCAAATAGGAAGAAGCTGACAAGATGTAGGAGTGGCAAGTCTTCCATCGCCAGTGTTGTATTTCACAAGATGCCTCCCAATGAGACACTCTTCTTGGAATCAACCACTCGTATCCAGAAGGACTCCATCCAGTAAGTACGGCTACGTTCTGTTCTTAGGCCTCTGTATAACGACTGTTTCTAGTTCTTTCATGGACTTCCAGGTCTGGGATTTCCCAGGCCAGTTAGAGTATTTCGAACCGTCCTTCGATCTAGAAGATATCTTTGGAAGTCTTGGTGCACTCGTTTGGGTCATTGACGCCCAGGATGACTACTTGGACTCTGTCGCACGACTTAACCGTACTATCCTGACAGTCCAGCAGTGTTATCCGAACATTAATATTGAAGTTTTTATTCATAAAGTTGATGGACTCTCTGACGAGTACCGCACCGACACTTTTCAGGACATCGTGCAGCTCATTTCTGACGAATTAAGTGATGCTGGATATGAGAATGCCCCTGTTCATTACTACCTTACTTCTATCTACGACTACTCCGTTTTTGAGGCCTTCAGTAAAGTGATTCAAAAACTAATTCCCAACCTCTCCACTCTCGAAAATCTGATCAACACACTGGCCAACAACTGTGGATTCGAGAAGACTTATCTATTTGATGTTCTGAGCAAGATATATATTGCCTCTGACACTCGTCCAGTTGATATGTCGTGCTATGAGATGTGCTCTGATTATATCGACGTCATTGTGGATATATCAGAACTGTATTCGTGGGACCATCCAGACCGCAAATCAAAGGGGGACCAGACCCGAGAGGCGGAGAGTCATGTTGTCTTGCATGATGAAACTATGATCCACTTGATTGAAATGAACAAGTATGTTCTCACTAAATCCCATTTCTACAGGAGATATGCTAACCTGTACTAGATACCTTTGCCTTGTTTCTGTCATCAGAAACCCCGAAGCCAAAGAGAAGAAGGGCTTGATCGATATGAACTGCCGTACCTTTCAGGAAGCTCTCAATGATGTTTTCTCACGCAGCTGGGAGCAGGAGCAGGAGCAGGAGCAGAACTCCGCGCGCGATGAACAGGAGCCAAACCGCTGATTTCCTGTTCACGTTGCGATATTTGTCGAGTCCCGTTATTTAGTAATGTGCTAGTAGACGATTTGTCTGGGCCATACGCACCTCGAGTTGCAGGTTATTATCCTGACTCTAGAGTCGTGGAAATCTGTTGACCCTGGCAAGCCCAAATCTTCCTTAATACTTTTAGGATTGAGTATTTTTGTTTCGATAATGCGAGCCTATTTAAGCACGACATACTCAAAAGCATTAATCAAATCCCTATTTCTATTTCTGCTTTTCATTGACCATGTGAAAATGCCATTTGTACTTAACAGACAGCCATTAACATAAGGCAACAATAGAGGGCCCATTTTGCACCCTACCCCTTAAGATCATCACATTGACTTTTCTCTTCTTCTTTTCTTGCAGCTTGCACCAATAGTATTGATATAGCTGCAACTATGTGAAAGGAGACAGGATTTTGTTGCCAATATTATTTCTTTACGCGATCTTCCAGTGAAATGGTAAGCAGCAAGCTCCGTGTCACCACTTCTAAGTAAAAATGAAATCCACGCACCTCATCCTACAATCTTAATGATGAACATCATTTTCCACATCCGTAGCTTCCAGGCTAGCCGTCGACAAGAATTTTCTAGACATGCTCTTTGGACAAATACTTCCTTGGATGTCTGAGAGATTGTTTAGCGATCATGTCTGGAACAGCTTTACGTTGTTTTTTCTTGTTAGAGCTGTTGCAAACTGGTTGCTTAAGTAGTCAGAAATTCATATCGAGTTGTGATTGCTATCTAAGGTATAATGCAGATTTACCGGATGATACCCATACTCGTATTTTCTATTTCAGTATCTATTAGTTCTGTCTGTTTGACTGGGAGTAATATATACTAGATAAACTATATAAAAGTGGTGGTACAGAGTACAATGTGGTATATGCATCCCAGTTTGCAGGTTTAAACAAAAGATTGCGGGAGGTACGATCCTACCATAAACTCCGCATTAATAATAAGACCGACCGACCGTCCTGAATAAAATGATATAATCAATCGTTCAGTAAATATAACACTACTCCATGATAGATCACTCTATACGTCGGAGCAGAAAGCGCGCGGTAAAAAAAAGGTAATGGCTATCGTCTACAAAGAACCTCAATATTAATCAATCAGTCTCGCCGCCACTAAACCTCATCACATCCCAGACACCATGTCAGACCTACGCCAAAGACTGACCAAATCTGACCAAACAAAGGCGAAGAACAACACTCCAACTCCGCGGCGACGCGGTGTAGACACGAAGTCAAATGGTATTGGTATCCTCGATATCATCCGCTTGTTGGTCACACTGGCGGCAGCATCCTGCGGGCTTTCGTATTATATAACCTCATCGGAGTCACTGCTATGGGGTTATCGGCCTTGGTTTACCAGGTGGCCGGTATTAATGCGATACCTAGTAAGTACCAATCCAACAAAGACTGGATCGTTTCCCCTTGTTTTTAAGAATGGGACTCCCGCCGCTGGATTAGTTTGGCTATCCCACTGACAACGGTCGGATTACTAGCAAGGACCTCTACTTCTAACACCGGAACAACTCACCCCCTACGACGGCTCGGACCCTTCCCTTCCCATCTATCTCGCTGTTAATGGTTCCATATTCGATGTCTCTGCCAACCCATTGGTCTATGGCCCCGGCGGCAGCTACAATTTCTTCACAGGAAGGGACGCAACGCGTGCGTTTGTCACGGGCTGCTTCCAGGAGGATTTAACGTCGGATATGACGGGAGTCGAGGAGATGTTCATGCCTGTCGATGATCCGGAGGAAGATAAGACATTGAGTAGTGGCGAGAAGAAGACCCGACGGGAGCAGGACGTGAGGCTCGCGAGGACAAAGGTGCAGAAGCACGTTCAGCATTGGGAGAATTTCTTCCGTAATCATAAGAAGTATTTTGAGGTCGGGAAAGTGGTGGGATTGGAATCTCTGCCGAAGGAAAAGAGGGAGCTTTGTGAACCCGCGAGAAAGCAGCGGCCTAAGAGGAAGGATATGAAGTAAGGTAAACGGGGCAACTGAGCTTATTATAAGAGTACATACGGCAACACCTTTGGTGAGAGCTACTTGTACATGGACATTATCTACGTAAAAGAGTCCCAGTGGCGTGGCACCATACAAAGAATATCATCCTACTTGCTCTGAAACATATGGACCAGATTCTAGGTTAGTTTTAATCAATTTACTCGACACGTTCTGTAGCGCGATTTATTCGTTCACTCCGAAATTGATTGATTCGAATCACTATACATCATTCGCCCAGCCAAACTTCCGAATTTTGAGAGATATCATTCGTAGCAAAGGAAAAGGACCGCGAGAAAAAACTGAAGAGGAAATGTTTACTCGGCGGTGACGGCACGGGCTACAGACCAACCGGTTAGAACCACTGTTACAGCCTCGTTGGATTCTAGTCCTTTGGAAGGGCAACATACTGTAGATGTTCATCTTGGAGTGGCCGACAACCTTCTTGATCTGACCCTTCTCCTCAAGGTCAGCAAGAGCCTTACGGGCCAAGCTGCCGTTGATCTTCAGACGATCGACGAGGGTAGCGACGGTGATGAGACGGTAGGACTGGACATCCTTGTTGAGTCTCTCGATAGTCTGCTTCTCGAGGACGACGGCGTGCTGGGCCTTGTCCTTGACTAGACGGGGTAAAAAGAAACATCAGTCACAGGTCCTTCGAAAATCCAGATTCATGTTCATCTAAATGCCCTTTCCCTTTGCGACAGAGAAATTTCATGTTCTTTAATGGGGAGAGGATCGTTGACCGAGAGGACGATGGGAGTAATGGTGGTGATTTGCATACCCTTGCCCTTGGACCACTTCTTGCGTGCGGGAGCCTATTTTTTCTAAGTATTAGTATTCTTCGACCATGCCTGACGTTGGTATGTCTGTTTATAATATTCATCACTCACCATCTTGACTGTCTGATGTGGTTGTTCGACGGATGAGAGCTGTCGCGACAGAACAACGGCTAGAATGTTGCGAGGCCAAGTGCGAAATTCGAGTGGGGAGGGTAGAGTCACGTGCTTTCGAACCCTAAGCCCTGGTTCCTTTTTTTATGGCAGTTGCTCGGTTAGCATTTGCGGATCATGCCGCGTCATTGGTCAACGGGAACTACAGTAGGCTCTGCCTCAGGCATTTATGGTACAAGATGCTTGAAGAGGATCATCATTCGTGATGTTTACTTCCTTGGGTCTTCTTTGGATGGTATAAATGTATTCTTCCAACACACATGTCAGGGTTTCGCTCAGATAACTGCTATCATTCGGCTTAAAGCATATTACAGTTCGCTCGTAATTAAGTTATCCCAATATCATCAGCTCGTGACTGCTCCATAGCTCCCAGAATGTCCCTTCAAGTTGCTGCTAACAGTGTTAAGAACCTTGAACTGCGAAATACCATTCTCCTCTTCTATATAGCCAAGCATGTAGTCATCTGCTGACCCGAACCAGAATATCGATACGCCCTTCTGGCTTGAGGACAACCATCTCACGTCATACCGCCCAGCATCGCTCCGCGAGGCCGGAATACGAATTATCGATGGTTGTCTGTCCAGTGACCAATGTCTAACAGAAGCAGTCGCACTGTTCGTGGTGGTGATGAGCAATTCTGGTTTTGAGGGATGCCATACTGCCTGTCTCACTGCATGCTCATGAACAAGTGCTGATACAAGGACCGTAGAAGATTCCAGGGCCCATATCCAAAGAATATTGGGCCGCGTTTGGTCTACAGTACACAGGAGATCCCCTGCAGAACTATATGTCAAGATAGATACCCCCCGAGGGGGGCCAGATGTTTCAGCTAACACACTGAATGCAGAAGAGCCCGATGATTCGCCGTACTCAAGGGTACCATCTGCAGTTGCATAGCGCTCACGCCAAATACTGGGTGAATGATTACCAGGTTGGAAGATATGTGATAATGTGGTCGAGCATGAAAACTGCACTCGTAATTCAGCATATGGTAAACGAGGTAGTCAAACAATAAGGGAATAATTCATACTGTTTTGCTTGTAAGAAGATCGACAGTCCCATCAACCTTGCCGATGGCCAGAAATTCCGACGCCCCGCTGCGATTAGCAACAGGGCTCCATTCTATACTTTTCACACCAAGGTCGAAAGAACTATCACCTCCTGGTGGGCCAGTGTATGTTCTAAAAAATTGACCATCGGCAGTATATATGAACACCCTTGTTCCAGCACTCGCAGCGTCCCAGACAGCTATCCATCGACCATCTGGGCTCCATTTCATACCTTGAGCGTCTACTGTTGGCAAACTTGCTCGGCCTATCAGCTCGTAGGAACGGAAATCATGGATTGTTAATAAGTCAGTTGCATCTGGTTTCAATAATATCGCAAATTGCCTTGTCTTCGGACGGTATCCGAAGCCATTGTAATGTGAGAATTTAGGGGACTTGATAACCTGGCTGCGGCCCGTATCCAGGCCATGTACAGAAACTTTCGTATTCCAAGCATGAAAGACTATGACCTCATTTTCATCACCGCCGAAGTCGATATTTGTAGCTCCTGCTTCAATGCTGTCGATCTCCGCATGTAACTGCATTGGATCTAGTTGCCAAACAAGGATACGTGTATCGCTAGCATATAGCACACGCCGCCTTGAAAGGTCTTGGCTTTCATGAATATGCGCATCCGTAGATGGGTCGTGGTACGCCCGTGAGAATTTCAAGAATTTGGACGGATTTTCTTTGATCTTGACGATTTGTACATCTTTGAACCCAGACGAAGTCGGATTGAGATGGAAAATAAGCTCTTTTGCATTCAGCTGAGAAACCAGTTCGCCATACTCAGATAGATATATCGACGAAGATACTATATGCTTAATTAGCATCATGTTGGATGGGATTCAGGCATGTGTAAATTTACCTCCAACTCCACTGGCGGAATCCATTGTTGCTTATCGTCGTATGTAGCAGGCTTCAGTGACTATTGTCGGGAAGATAGTGATGCTTGGAGTCATGAGGATTTAGATTCATGCATATTCTATGATATCATATATTTTTGGGTTGTAAGAGATCATTCCCAAACAGCCTCCACAATTAAGACAACCCATTGAGATGACCCTTTCACTGCAAATAGCAGCTGTTGTTGCGGAGGCCTCGTTTTTGCCAAGGCGTGGATCGTTCTTGCTTATTAATGGTATTAAGAGTCATGTGACATGTGCCTTATTGAGGTGATGGGTTGTTGTACGCTAGTCTACCTTCAGGAGTCATGTTGAACCCCGGCTCTGGAACAACTATGTTCCGTGCCTGAGTGGGGATCTTGGATGTAGCCCCTTGACACTTACCTTTTATAGCCCTGTAATGTCTTTCAGACCACAGCATCTATTTCAGTATCAATACAGAAAAGAAAGCTATTTTTAAGCAGCTTTTTAAAACTAAAACCTTTTTTTCTTCGATTCTTTTGTTCTAACTCCACATGTACATATCTTTCCATTTTCTATGTGTTTTGATGTATTTGGTGGTTTAAATAATGTTGAAGCAATTATATATTTTCACGCTGGGTGGAGTCGAACGGAAATATTCACCCTAGAACTGTGGCAAAGAGGTAAGGCTGCAATTATAAAAAGGCCTTCAGCTTTGAAAGCGGTCAAAATGAGCCGTTTCCTAGTGGATAGTAAAGGAGCAAGGGCTGCAGTTACAGAACGCAAATATTAGGACATGGAGAATGAAATAAAAAAAAGAAAAAGAAAAAGGAATGTAAAAGGAAAGAGAAGAAACACCAACATTCATGGGGAAGGTAGATCTAGAACCGCGCCGGGACCCGTACGATTACCACTGTCGTCCACTGGCGCAGTCTTGTCTTCGATCCAACGACAAATATCCAGCATCGTCGCTGCCAACCTGCAGACACTGCCCTGGGAGATCCGTTAGCCCTTTGGTGCAACAAACCACAGGTCAGTCCTTCGGCATTGATCAAGAATGAGCCCGAGTCGCCAGCTGTGGAAAAAAACACCCTGGACTCTCTCTGTATCTAGGCCGCGGCCCTCTTCGCAGATGATCGTCTCTTCGGTGACCCTCTCGGTCACCCGAATGACCTGTCCTTGGTCCTAACAGATCCTTTCCGAATCACTCCATCGAACATGCACAGAAAGTCCTTTGCAAATGCCCGCTGTGAGACTTTGCAATACCATTTTCCAGGTACGAGAGCACCGAATTCGTCTAATAGTGCACCTTCAGGAAATGGGAAAACTGCCCATTCCGGTACTCTGCTGGCTGCTTTGATTTGGGAACCTGCGGCATCACATTAAGAAGCTGGCTAGGATCGTTTTTGAGCACGGAATCATAATTCTCGAGAAAGGCCCAGTCAGATATATGGTTATCCTTGATGCCCAAACCTGAGAACACAAGCACTCGACCAAGTATAAGTGGCATTGAATTCATCACACTCATCTTGCTGTTGAGGGACTTCAATTGGCCATGATGCATCTCGATGAGTCTCACGATAGGTGGCGAAACTTGGGCTCACCAAGAATCGCGATCTCCATGGAGAGAGAGAAAGGTTCTGGGATCGTAAAGAGGGGAATCGGTGAGGAATAGAGAGGGAGGAAGAGATAAAGAGAGGAGAGAGAAAGAGAGCAAAGAAAAATTTTTATCCAAGGTTTATTAACCACTCTTCCTCTTACTATTATTCTCTTATATACTGGTCATGATTAAGGCATTAGTAAAGGTTGACTTATGATGGTTGATATAATTACCTCATAACATGATATAAAGCTCGCATTTGGATATGAACCTTCTAGTCAAAATGGCGTAAAGTTTTAAGTCGGAAAGATTAAAGATAGCAAATAGGTAAAAACGAGCTCTAAAGAATACTTCTGGCAGAAATTTAATATCAGAATCATTTTGCGGATACTTGCAATAAGTTTAGGGGCTACTGTGGCATAGCTTTGCCCCAAGGATCATGCAAAATTCTTACAAGGCAAGGAGGGTGCCATGACACTATGGGGGACCTAGTAGAAGTTAGCTTATAGCGTTAAGTGTTGGATGGAAAAAAATACATAGCAATCTCTAAGATATAAACTATAAAGAGGGACAACCATTAAATCATACTGATACCAATACCACCAATTAGTTAAGTAATCATGAACAGGGCATAACTAACTATTGCGGTCTGCAGGACGGATCCAAGGGTGAGAAATAGCAATGGCTGCGACGATAGAGTCCGAGCAGTCTTATCCATACCTGAATAAGAGTACCAAGAATGGTGCTTATTGCAGTTATGAAACCCTTCCAAAAAACCAGAGCCCGGATTACCAGGAGCCACTTCCTTAAATCGCTTAGAAACTGGTCCATCATCTGCATTATTATGATTAATATAAAATATCAGACGTGCTTAACACGTGGTGAAGCTTCCTTATCTTCACAGTCCTGTGTTGCACCATCACCTATAATATTATACTGATTATACTAGGATGTTTGTAGCTTGTGAAGCAGGGTCTTTAGTATTCTGTCTTCTCTTCTCTGCTTATCTGTATATGTCTCAAAAAAACATGGTCTTCAATCTTCAGAATTATCTGCTGTGCAAGCTTCAATATTGCATGGAAATATATGTAGGATATAGGTTGATGCCATTCTTTTATGTTTGCTTTGATATTGCAGTACTCTTATCTTTATAATTGTTCTGGTTGATCTTCATAGGGTCCTTTGTACACTGGCTTGATTTTTACTATATATGCAATGGTTGGACCTGGTACAGATCTAATCTCCTCTGGGTAGGCGTCAAAAGAAACTCCTGTAGATAGCTTGATATCGAAGTGCTTCTTATTTACATTGCCAACCAGAGATATATTGAAATACTCTCTACCCAACTGTCTAAAAGATAGTAAGTAGGTTGGCTCTTACTATTGGAGTGTATTAGATATCTTGTTTTGACAATTACTATCATATTTTTCTCCTTCGTTCGCATTTGCTTCTTGTTTCATACGTAACCGATATTCATCGGAAAAAAAGGACGGGACAATATAATTCCTTCCCGAGATAATCGCCATCAAAAAAAAGTGGCCCGCAACTTTATCACTATTGCAAAACTGCGAGCATTTGAATGTCCTTGGGTCTTTCTCAATCAGCAAAATTGGGGTCCTTCACTCTCTTGCTCGGTTGCTTGGGTGGCACTCACCCAAACACTGTCGCTCAAATTTTGTGAAAATGGCTGTCTCAGATGTGCCCGCTTCGCAAAGTCATGCACAGGCGCAATCTGTGTCATCAGTCTCAAATTCAGAACCTAAGCAGAAGCTACTAGGGAGGGCATTCTACGAGAGTTTGGGAAGTCCGAAATATATTGTCGCCCCCATGGTAGATCGCTCAGAATTCGTAAGTACGGTGAATATCTTATAAGTGCTTTTACACCCATATACTAATCGCCGAGTGAAAGGCATGGCGCATGCTAACTCGCTCGTTCATGTCATCCGACGACCAAAGACCACTGCTTTCTTACTCTCCCATGTACCATGCACGCTTGTTCCGCGAACAAACTACCGTCCGTTTTCAGCATTTCCGCCCCACGCGCGATACCGATAGCACTCCTTACCTAGATGGAAATCCTAACCTTGACCGGCCTCTTTTCGTCCAATTCTGCGCAAATGACCCAGAGGACCTATTGGAGGCTGCACGTCATGTGGAACCATACTGTGATGCCGTTGATCTGAACCTTGGATGTCCACAGGGGATTGCAAAGAAGGGCCATTATGGAGCATTCCTTCAGGAGGACTGGGATCTTATTTATAAGTTAATCAATCGACTACACACGAATCTTTCAATACCAGTTACGGCCAAATTTCGAATTCTGGAAACTAAGGAGAAGACTTTGGAATATGCAAAGATGATTCTCTCGGCTGGGGCAAGTATCATCACACTCCACGGCCGCAGGAGAGAGCAAAAAGGACACAACACAGGCTTGGCTGATTGGAGCTATATCCGTTATATCCGAGACAACCTACCCCCAGAGACAGTGATATTTGCCAATGGAAACAACCTGAACCATGACGACTTGGAACGTTGCCTTGAAGCAACAGGTGCGGATGGAGTGATGAGCGCGGAAGGAAACTTGTCGGACCCCTCGATTTTTAGTAAACCTCCTCCAATAGGTCGCGAGACAAGGGAATATTGGCGAGATAGGAATGGCAAAGGTGGATATCGGATAGACGCAGTTCTTCGACGGTATCTGGACGTCATTTACAAATATGTCCTTGAGCAACCTATTCCAGAGAGGAAACCTCTCTACCTCCCATCAGATCCAGTGGAAGATACATCAGAAGCAGTCTCTGATACTTCTCCTGATGGAGCGGAGGATGGGCCGCCTAAGAAGAAGCAAAAGCGGGACAAGACAAAGACAAAGAGACCGAACTCCCCCAGCCTTGTCGTGATGCAAGGACACCTCTTCCAGCTCCTTCGTCCTATGGTTGCAAATCACACGAACGTTCGAGATGCCCTTGCTCGTTCAAAGCCCGGTGATATGTCAGCATTCGAGCACGTTTTGTCACTTGTAGAAAAAGCAATCAAAGAGGGTCTTCAAGAATACGAGCAATTCCCAGAGCGCTTTGAGGGGCCTCCTAGTCAAGAGCTGACAGGGTCCAAGGCGACAATCGCCGAATATGGTAGGCCTTGGTGGATTTGTCAACCACATGTTCGACCCTTGCCAGAAGAAGCCATGGAGCTCGGAGCGCTTACAGCTAAGAAAAAGAACGGCGTAAGGGAACAAAAATCTTGTGCGGAAGCGCCTTCAGAGAAGAACACCCCTCCCGAAACTAGTGTTACTCCTCAAGACCCAACTTCAGCTACAGCAACCCCAGATGCTTTGGTTAGCGGCTGAAGTCAGCTAGCGTATTTTTTTGTCTTGACGGCGGGGAGCAGAACATTTCAGAATAGCGCCATATATACTAACAGGGGGTGTTGCATTTATAGATAGATACCTTGTTGCTAGACATTGCCTAACCCATGATAATCCATAGTACATACATACATAGAACTTACGTTAGTCATGCATAAACTTCAGAATAATAGCTGCCTCCATACGCCCAAAAAATACTTATCTTCCTAAGCAAATACCAGGAGAATATAATATAACAACCCATTAAAGCATCATCTGCACCCACTGGTATCTTCAAAGTGAACAAACATAAACCCGCAACCATAGAACTCCAAGCCAGTCCCCAAATGTTTCACGACCAGGCTGATGTAAGATAGAATAACTAAAAGTCCAAAACTAGCTGTGGAGCCATCTTCTCAAGATCTTCGACCTATAAATTTACATATCAGTATCCCAGACCTATAAGCGAAGATCCCCTCCACCACAACGAAATTGAAAATTAGGGGGGCAAACCTCCAAAAACCCATCTCCAATAGACCCCCCGCCACCAGTCGCCTCGACCCTCTCATAGGCAGCTCTCGCCAAAGCCTCTCTCACAAAAACATCCACGTATTTCGCAACGACGGCATTCGCATCCTTTGCGATCTTGGTTTTCCCGTTCTGGAAATGGCTATGTAGCAACCTTGTAAGGAGTTTCGATGGAATCGTAGGATCGCTTGTAGTCACATCATCCGGTTGTTCGGCATGGGTAATCTCTGCAAGAATATAATCGGGCTCTTCTGAGATCGAACGCTCGCGACTTAGGCTGCTTGAATTAGAGATAGAGTCGGAGCCTGATTCTGACTGATCATCGGTTTCTGGGCTTTCTGAGACGAGTCGTTTGTCCTTGCTAGTGATCTTCGAGGGGCGCGAGGTCTTAGATGAGGACGCTGAGGGTTTTTTCTGTTGCGATTTCGCGGTGGGTTTAGATTTGGGTTTGGTTGATAGTCCCGCCGCGCCTGCGGGTTGCGAAGGGCCAGCGACAGGAGATGTCTGTCGACGTGGGACCTTAAAAGGCTGTTGCCTTAGGTTTTGAGGTTGGCGTTTTGCGGGTGGCATAGTTGGCGAGTATCGCTTAGGGACAGCCGTTTTTGAGAGAAATGAATTCGTTATCAGTCGAGGATGACACGGCTCGCGACGCGTAGTCAGGTGATCAATATATCTTCATCCTCTCCCACTGTCAAATACTCTGTACTAAAAGTACAGTAGAGCGTTTCCATTCAATCGTATCAATTTGGATATTTATAGTTTACGATTGATTCCAATGACATAATAATGTCCTTAACATTTCTATCTCAAGCCGTCCATAGTATTTCATAGAAGCAGTCATAATCAGGCTGATGTCGAGAGTTCAGAGATTTAGCTGGCTAATTAGTGGCCTTGGTCGCTTTCTAGTCCTGTGGGATTTTATTGTGATCCTGGGAGTCGCCCAATTTTAAAGAGATGTCAGGGCACCAAACTCTCGCTGAGGGAACTGTCTAGATCCGAATGCACAGCTCTCCAAATTTGGCCCAGAGGTGATAACTGCCTCTAGTTGCAAAAGTTTAGAATTACGTTTTATGGATATGCATTGCTAAGCGGCATATTCTGGGCTTTTTGAGTCTTCAACACGGGAGTTCTTCACTATGTCATTATATTAGTCAAGTTGGGGAAGATGACCGCCCTCCTGGCTGGCATAAAATTACAAACTACAGTTTTGAGAAAGGGGCCAGCTTAACAGAAGATTCTGGTTTGGGTAAGCCACAGGAATAGGAGCCGGATGCGCATCTTGAACTGATCATTTCTGTGCTTAGCAGACACATTACTGGTGCTACGCAAGACAAAATTCAAGGGCGTATCGGCTTTATTAGTGCAACAAGCTGATTCCCTGTGAATTAAGCAAAACTGTATCAATACTTTTAAAGTTTTCTGACGTGAGCTAATAAGGGCCTGATAGCGACAGATTCCGCTGACAGAGTTGTATCACACCAAAGTCCAGGTCTTAGTAACAAACTAGGAAGTCTGGAGATGATGTTTGATTATCCCCGTCGAGGGCTTCCACATGTTGCTATGGTGGGAAAGAGGACCATTAAGAAGGGTGCATGAGACGGAGAATTAGTGCGTCATGAATTATTTAGTACATGGCCAATACAAAGGAGATTTGCTATGCAGAGGGTATCTTTAAGGCAAGCCAGCCCCTGCCTGAGAGTCCTCCACATTATTCTCATATATCTATCACAGCAAAATACTAATGTAAAACATGACCATGGGTTTAGATTTTGCTTGTTTCCTTCATGGCACCGCAGCACATCACATCTTGCAGGAATACAGTAATAATAGAACCCATCTAGTCATGGCATGTAGCCCAAAATACTCATTTTGAAAGGAACCAAACAGCAATAAAAATGCGTCAATTCTCGCCCTCGGGACGGACAACAGTAACATCCAGACCCGTCTTTTCCAACACATTCCGCGAGAGCTCCCAATCTACTTTGAAAAGACCAGAATTGAATCGACACGACCAGAGCGCGCTAATAGGAATCTCCTGAGAACCCCTTTCAGACTGAAGTTGACGAAGCTGACTTTTCATATCGGTGACAGCAAGCTCAGTATTCCTCAGGATAGTTTCGGGGGGACTAACACTTTTCCCCGTCTTTCGAGATGTGAACAGACAGATTATCCAATGTTTCTTGACGTTGGCCTTTCCTACATAATCCTTCTCCTGTGGAGGGATGATGAGGGCCGTTCCCTCGGGGAGACGAAGTCTTGTTGATCCCTCGTTCCCCGAGTTATCGTGGGTAGTGGAAACATTGTTGTATTCGGCAGATGCATTTAGCCTCCGACAGTGTGATTGGTAAATCTTAAATGCAGCAGGATACTAATGGACCCTGTGAGCACTGGGCTTGAGAGAGGAGGTCAATGGAAGAGCTTATCCAACTTACCTTTGCCTTGAAGACGGCTGCGATACCCGCTCCCCAGGAGCCAAGGCAGTTACATGAGTCTTGTAGATAGAAGCAAGAGTCAGTCTTGTTCTCTGTACGACTCGATCAATGGAGACACGTACGGATTAATGCTGCTCCATTTGGGGCGTCGAAGAGATCGCCTTCGATTTCCTTGATGTTACTTGGGCGGTCAACTGACTTCGCATTCTCCATGTTTATTTGGATCTTGGCCGTTTCCATTCCAAACCACCACGTGAGATTCTGTTCTTAGATTGAGCTCACTTCCAAGCGATATTATTATAAGTTAATAAGAAAAAAGAAAAATTTTAAGTGAAGCGTATTGACGGAAAAACATTTAAGTACACAGAGAGCTAAGGAAAGAAGAACCAGAAAATGATTACGACGTTTAACGAGGCTTCCGTTTAACTCGACCAGAGGCAGTAACTACCGAGCTAACGTTTCCTCTAACTCTAATAATTGGCATAACATTTTTGTACTGAATATTCGGCTATTATACTGATGAGTCACCGAGATATCTATGGTAAATTTCTGTATAATTGTAACTATTCACATTCATCCATTAGTATTATTAGATTCTCCTTCAAGCATTTACATCCATCCATATCAACCAAGGGTTTCAACGGTTCTCGTACTTATTATTGGTAAATTTAATCTTCTAGGTTAAAGCTTGACTGCTTCATCTAAACTCCCCTCTTTTGCTGAAGTGAGGAGCTAGCTCAAAGTATCGATACAGGCTTATTCTGACCACTCAAAGCTCGAGGAGACAAGACACCTGCCCCGAACACTCCCACCCCTTGCGTAGGACTGGAGGATTCTATCGCACATCTTGACTCGCTGGACCTGCGACCAGTAACAAGAAATGAGCAAGAATACCTACATGACTGTTGTTTAGAAAGAGATGTCCATGGGTGTGTTGTTAATGGAGTATAGAGCAGAACATCCCCAAACAGACCCCCTGGGACAAACAAGTGCCCGTCATGCTTTGCATATTATCCCATTTGCACTCGGCCATTTTGACAATGAAGGTACCGAATTTCAGAAATCTCAGCAAATACATATTGCTACTTTCCCAGAGTTCATGCATGACTAAACTTCACACCCGCTGGCATTAACCGACTGGATAATGTTATGATGATTGGTGCTCGCATGCATACCGAATTTTGAGAGCTCAATTTATTCTCTAGTTAAGGAACACCGTCAACCAGTATTATCTGAAGGCTTTCCCAAATTTGCGGACACTCTGTTACTGCCAGAGTATAAGTTTATCATCATAGCTAGCCATGATGGAAGTTACCTACTACCTAATCCCAGTTCCTTGCCTTACATGCTGCGATTGGGAATATTCTGCTTGCAAGTGGTAGAGGGGAGAAGATTGAGAAACTTCCACAAGACTTTGATGCTGGTAGCGTGTAACTCAAACCAGACGGAAGTGCAAATATTGGAGATTTGCTGTCTGTTAGTAGCCTGGCATTCTTATCTGCAATAGCAAGACGAAGGCAGGATGCTATAGGTAGACTCTCAGAAAAGCCATGGCCCAGGCTTGGCTCACAAAACCTGCCCCTTCAGCAGGATACCAGTGCTATACACATTAAGAAGATTATCGATAGTAAATTGCTAATACTAGTCAAGATAATCCAAAGATTCTTAATGTTCTACATTCTATGATAAAAATAAGGAGAAGCAAAAAGAAATTTTCCTCCGATAGGGGGAATCGAACCCCCGGCTGCCGTGTGAGAGACGGCGATGTTAGCCACTACACCATATCGGATTACTGTTTGAAAGTTTTCAAAAAAATTATTGATAAATGATTCAGTAAGATATGAGACAAAAAGGGAAAAAAAAAAAGGGGGGAGAGAGGGAGAAGAGTGAAGAAGACAATGAGGAGGAGGAATAATGAAAGGAAGACAAACAGAAATAAATAAATGAAGTACAGAATGAGATTTACAGCATGTTCATTCTGGCGCGGTTTTGATCTAATGGTCGGCATTTCGCGTCAAGGACCGTACTACCAACTATTTCATCTCCCCCGCAACGCGTCTCGTGCGGTGAAGCTGACCTTCCTCTTAACTGAAAATGCTTGATAGTTTTCAATTCGCATCGAGATGAACGACGTGACGAATTCTATGCTCGCTGAGCATTTCAGCTACACGCCTCTGGTTAGCGTTTTCCAGGGCTCATGCGCCTGCCCCTCGCTTTCAGTTTCTCATGGCTAACTGGATCGTAGTCCCTCATAGATGATGTTATCAACTCGATCAACAATTTGATATACCAGGCTATTTCCAGTCTCGAGACTGGCCTTCTTTCTACTCCACCAGAGCGCTTGGGCTTTTCGCATGCAAGCAATGGCACCACTATACCTGACACAGATGAAAATGGGAACGTTGTTTACCCTGAAGCAAGGTTAGAGATAGAAAACGGATTACACCAATTGGAAACCCTTCTCGAAGCGACTGTCGATAAGGCATTTGATAAATTCGAAATCATAGTGCTACGAAACACATTCAGGGTGGAGGAAGATCTCTTAGGATGGATTCGGCTGAAGCACTATGAGGTACGAAAATAGGCTTGACCATAAATTGAACATGATGCTCACCAGTCTTTCTTTGCCATGCAGAATCTTAACCTTAATCCTCCTCCGGACGCACCTACTCCTGAGACAGTCCAGGCTCAACGCAAAAAACTACAGGAAACTAAGAAGCTTAATCGTGCGCTGAAAATGGAATGCGCTCGGAACGAAGCGATCATCTCCCAGCTACGTTCAATTTTGTCGACTGTGCGATCGGCGGACACAACAGCTGCTAAAAGCGAGGATGAAGCTGAAGCTCCTGTACCATCTGGTAGCAGAGACTTAGACTTATCATTCTTGACGTCCAGCCCTGCCGCGCAAAAATTGCGGGTTGGTGTCGCTGCCGGATTTAACGCCAAACACACCCCCATCACAACGAACACCACTTTCATCCTATCCCAGATCCCTGCCTTGAAGGGGATGCTCACACAACTACGACCGAAACTGGTCACTTTGCCTAAGTCCGTGGATACAGAGAAGGAATCTAGAGCCGATGAGAGAAGGGATTACATTGAAAGCAGGATTAGGCTGCATCTTGAGCGAGCCGGACAGCTTGCGGTGGGCAGTGACGGTAATCCTGTCATCGCGGGGCGGAAGATCGATATCGCTGAAGCGCAAGCACTTGAGGCTGTAACGAGCATGCTTAGCCAAGGCGATAAGAAGTCCGAATAAAGACCAGGTCGGCATCAAAGAAAACGAAGAAGTCAATTTTTCCACGGTCATTTTGGATCCAACATAGATTGGTACACCTATTAACAGGGGACTACGTGGACCAGGTAATGCTCCACGTCTCCTGGTTCCTTCTAAATGGGACCACGTCCACTTTATCTGATTGGAAAATGACCGCGATCTTTTCGTCTTTCTTTTCGAGGGTGATGAATTCCTTCTGCTCCTTCTCAAGGCCGTAAAACTCTCGACCAAATCTACTCATAAAACCTTCCACAATCTCGGGGGTAATATCCTCCTCCTTCAGAACGCCATTTTCACAAGCTTGTTCGAAAGCATCGATAACGACTTGGGTAGTGTATGGCTGAGTGAACACACCCGCTGCGATCTTATCACCTCCCCGTTTGGAAGCTGCTGGGTGAGGCGCACTGTCAGAACCAAAGAAAAACTTGGGGTTGCCAGACGCCGCCGCTCGCAGGAGGGCGTCACGATCGGCGGGAGTCTTGGCGACGGGTTTGCAGAAACAGAATGGATCTCCCGCCCAGTGATCAACAACTATAGACAAATGATGCGCTGTGAGCGTGGCAGCCACTGTTGGACCGCATTTTTTGACGGCTTCTACTGCAGCGGCAGTAGTGCAATGTTCCAAGATGATTCGAAGCTTCGGGAAACGTTCATGCAGTTGCCGTAATGTGGGGAGGAAACGTTCTTCTGCCGAGAGGACTGTCACGTCGCCCGTTGAGGGCACTTCTCCATGGAGGTTTAGGATCATGTCTTGACGTTCCATCTCCTCGAAGACATGATAGAATGCAGTATAGTCCACCACGCCGGAGGAGGAATTAGTTGTTACACCGGCGGGATAGCTTTTGACACCGGTGATGCCTCGTTTTTTGGCTTCGATGATGGTTTCAGGAGTCACATCCTCGTGGAGGTACAATGACATGAGGAAGTTTACGTTTGGCTCAATGGCCTGTAGGCGCTTCTTGTAATCGAGGGCACGGTCGACGGTAACCACGGGTGGCACAAGGTTTGGCTAGAATTTGTTAATTAAGGCCCTTCAATAGTAATTTGAAACTCTCCTTAGGAGCAAGATCCTACCATGACATAAACAGTGTTTACTCCACCTTGTCTGATAGTGGGTGTCACTAGTTCCATCATATCGCCATCGCGAAGGTGGACTTTACTTGAATATTAGCATTTCATTCTCGACAAGGTATTGTTAAAGGAAATTGACTGATTGCACAATGGCAACCTCGTACCGTGAAAGTCTGCCGCGGCGGGGAGTTTGATTCCCTGGAGCTTTGACAATGACATGATGAAACTAGGCCAGATTATACTCCTAGAAAAGAAAAAGGTGTGTTAGGTCTAGAGGATGGATTGAACTGCTCAGCAAATCCTAGTTATCCCCAACGATTGCAGAGACAGTTGTGACTGCTAAGCAGGAAGTAAATCCTTCTTTCGCCCTTTTCCCCCGCCAATTTTCTGTCACCGTGGGTTGGTTGTCTGGTTTCTGATTGGCCGGGTGGTTGGATGATGTCACCGGATCTGCCTCTTTTCATCTCTCAATTTTTCAAGTTCTCGACACTGGCCAAGTGGAAAATAAAATAAAATAAACGACTGCTGTGATCTCTCTCTTTAGGGTATTAGATAATAAAATGGGGCAATTCTACAATATTTATCGGCAATTCTGATATTGTGCTCCGTCAAATCTTTTCACCCAGTAGGCGAGTGAGCCACGATCGAAAGTACTGACGAGCAGCGAGCAGCTGGTGCTTGGTATAGCTACCTAATGTTTATCGGATATTTGTATCCACAATGACGCAAATCTCTAGGACCGAAAGGACAGACCACGAAGGAGAAAGATGAATCTCACTCCATATACAATGTACTAACTATTGGTCCTTTGCATTGTGTTCAAGACTACACTAGGATATCTCAAGTTAACGGTTCCAAAAGGGAATAACTAATTTTTTATAAAGACTTTAAGGGGGTAGAGAAAACACTGGACTTGATTCAACTGCCTAACTTACTCACATCATCCAGGCCTACACTATGTATGGACTGTCCAGACAATAAATGACCATCGCAAGCGAAGTTGCAGGGATTAGAAGAATGTCCATGATATGATGATGGATAAAAACGATCCTATTTGTTTGATGGAAACGCCTGCCCCTAATTCTAAGCGCCCGGGGTGACAAGGTTTAGCTAAGCCAACTTGAAGGTTATACTCCCTGGAGCAGTTTTTCAAGGCCTCAGCGCCCAGACTGCAACCCGAGAAACAGGGATTGGCAGCAAACCAGCGCCTAAGCAGATACACCTGCAGGTTGACGATCTGATTGGCTTTCCGAAAATATAAAATTCTTGGAAATGATATTTTTGGAGTTGCGTGGTTTGACAAATGTTGACCTCAATGCTGTACTCCTTTATCATTTGGCTCTTTTACTTCCCTTATATGGCTGTCCGTTTCCTTCTCTACCTCAGTTTATTCTTTCGTTAGCTTAATCGCAAACTTGACCTAGTCCGTCTGGAAGACTGCTCCAAAGCGCATTCATTTATGAAATGATTGTTTGAGTTTGATAGCATACTTCATATCAGAACGGTGGGCTGACTGGAAGCAAAATTGAACTTCTTTCTTCTTTACGTTCCTTTCAATATCAATTTTGCCATTAAGAATGGATTCTGGATCCTCAACGGCAGGGTCTTATCTTGCATCTTGCGCCTCTGATGAAGAAGAGTTGGCATTCCTGAAACGAGTTCGCTATCTTCGTGGGATTCGACTTGCGCTTGCTGTTACTATATCCAGTTTTGCGATTTCCGTCATTAGTTGCGAAGCAGTTCCATTGCTACATTATAAGAGATCATCTCCATTCGAACAGATCGGATTATTTTTGTGGCCTCAGAACTTTGATCTACGCCCGACAATTGCATTGCTATCCTGTGGTTGTGTGATTGCATTGCAAAGTATCCTGTACATTATCACTACGATTCTTCCTTCAGTTAGTTGGTCCATAACATGCACTTCCTGGCTATAGGCATTTAACTGACTTACCCAGCCTCGTTCACATATTAGACTTCTCAACGTCGTCGCTGCTATCGTTGCTATCTCCGGTTTTATTGCTGCACTGGTTAGTGTCATTTTTGTCATTTATTTACCGGGATCGTCGTATCCAAAGGGGTTCACTGAGAATGAGACACTTCACTCTTGGACATGCAAGTGGAAGACCATACGTGGTACACCTTCAACCAACCCAAATAATGCACCAGCTACCCCCCCTGCTCATTTTGCTCGGGACTGCCGGACTGCAAGAGCGGGTTTTATATTAATGGCACTCTTAATTGGTTTGGAGGTTGTCATGGGTATTGTCGTGTGCGTCGGGGTTTGGTTTGAAAGAAATGTTTCGAAGCAGCGGGGCAAGGATAAGTCTCAGTTAGGGAAAGTGAAAATAATCCCCAAGTACCCCGGGACATGATGGACCTAATGGGGCTTTTCGATTGACGCTATGTGGACAAATTCTCGAACCCTTGAGGTTGAGACTGACTGCTGCTGAGCAGTAGTATGTAATGTCATGCTACATTTCGGTTTTGCTTTTATTTCCATATTCTTCCTATATGTATTCATTCTTCCTATGTCTAATATAATCCACATCCATTGTTTCTCCCTGTAAATGGATAGTTGCCTCAATAGCAACAATACTGTTCATTCGGAGCTGGGAACCACGAGCGGGCGCCGGCCCACCAACATCCTCGGCTCTCCACAGATTAGTCGTGCATGCCAACCATCCCCTAGATATAAATGACCCACAGCCACTCGCACCCGGAAACCAATCATTCTACTTACCCACCCCAGCACGTCATACCAAGTATATTATCCTAACAAAAATGGGCAAGAAAATTGAATGCTATATCGATTGCGGTACGACGTCCGAATACACATGGTACGGGCGCCGTTTTTTGATTACTGATAGCCTATTGGATATATAGTGTCGCCCTATAGTTTCTACGCATTCACATACTTACAGAAGAATGCTGCTGCATTAGCGGATTTGGGAGTCGAGATCGAGTATGTCATCCGGTGTATATGTGCCTTGATATAGTTGCTGATTTTATCCACTTAGGTATATTCCTGTCTTCTTAGGTGGCATCAACGTAGGGAGTGGTTAGAACTACCTAGACACCACCATTCAGATTCCCATCAGGGAAAGGGAAGAGTCATCTAATGCAACTATATAGGAAATAAGCCGCCATGGACGCTTCCTGCAAAAGCTGTATATGCGGAATTTGACGGCAAAAGAGCACAAAAGTACTTCGGACATGACTTCAAAGTCCCCTCGTTCTTTCCGATTCTTTCACTTTTGGTATCCTACTTCCCATTCTTTCTTCTTCTTCTCATCCTTGCATTCTTGAATTTCCCTAATCATATATACTATTGAAGCCGGAACTGACAGTTCTCAGCCCCAACGAGTCCTAACACATATCAAACAACACTATTCCAAAGAGATATTCGAAGCTGCCTACCAGCATTGCTTTGAAACAATGTGGAACGGCCAACTGGATATCTCCAAGCCAGAGAACCTAGCTGTGGCACTGGAGAAGACCTTCTCGTCCAAGAAGGAAGTCGAGGAGATTCTCTCAGCCGCGACAAGCCCAAAGATCAAGGCTGATCTGTCCGCAGTGACCGACAAAGTCGTGAAAGAGATGGGCGCCTTTGGGTGTCCATGGTTCTGGGTTACCAATGGCGAAGGAAAGGGGGAACCGTTCTTTGGGAGTGATCGCTTCCATTATATGTGGGCTTACTTGGATCTGCCATTTGAAGACTTGAAGTTGAAGGCGAAGATTTAATGGTCATTACGTTTTACACTGGGAATGATTATATATGGTTGATTTGTTACTTGAGTATATAGAAATGGCTTTTTCAGAAGCCTTTGTAGTACATGATTGAGGAGCTTCTTTCACGGGTCAATGGCAATATGATACGCTATAAAAATAGGCGTGTATAGTTAACTACTATAGCTTCGATCGCATCTTAGTGCTATCCATTCGCATCCCTTCGTCTTCCTGCTCTGCTACTTCCAGAATGGGTAGCTCCTTTGGCATGATTCTCCGGGGTTTGGTCCCAGGTACAACGGAGTATTTAGAGAAATCAGACACACCACAGTGCTCGCGCAGAAAATCCTCATCGAGTGCGAGAATGCCGTTAACAGTCTTCGCTGGGGTATTCAGAATGCCCAAGACAGCATCAGAGAAGACGGTCTGCGATATGTCAATATGGCTCATGCACGTTGTAGAAAGAAGACAACTGACTGGCTTTCGGAGGTCTGACTTGAAGCTAGGACCACGATTTGCAGCGGTCGCCTCTGTGGCAGCGGATTCGATGCTCTATAATACGCAGTCAGAACTTGACATCTATAAGCAGTTCGATTTAGCTATGCGACATACCGTGGCGGGCCACAGGCTTGTAATAGCCATGTTCTCGTGGCCTCCTCTAATAAAGTCCATTGCGAGGCCACGGGTGAGAACGCTCATTGCAACCTTACCTACAAATTGTCAGTTCGTAATAACCTTTGGACGATAGGCGAACCTGGCGGATTTTGGTAGATAATATCATACCCATTGCATACGCTGTCTTCCCACGGAAGAACCTGGAATAGATGGGCGGCGACACGACCACGATGCGACCCTTCCAGCCATTCTTCTCAAACTCGGGGAGCGCTGCCTGCACACTCGCATACAATCCTTCGGGATTGACAAGCTGCATGAGTTTGAACCGTTTAGTAGGAGTATTCGCCACCGAAGACCACCAGATCGCGCCAGAGTTGTAGACTAAGACATCAAGCCGCCCCGTAAGGCGAACCGTTTCCTTTACCATATTCTCGACCTGGGACACATTTCGGACATCGACTTGAATTGAGAATGCTCTGCCACCGGCTTCCTTGATCTCGCGTTCCACTGTATTGATGGTTGATTCCGATGAGTTTCGGTCGGGTGGGAAAGGGGCCGTCCTATCTACATTGGAGGCGGTTTTGGCAGCTACAACAACTGGAACATTGTTAGTTATCTAATATTTATTCCTGACATCTTCTGGGCCCATAATGTTACCTGTGTAATCGTTCTTCGCCAGGTCTACAGCGATCTGTCGGCCAATACCCCGCGACGCGCCCACTACTAGGGCGACTGACTTGGTTGAAGTCATTGGTGTAATTGTTTACCTTGGTATAATGGTCAACAAGAAAACATCAGTCACATCTTCAAGGAGCTTGGGAGGAATGCTGCGCAATTATACATGGTTAATGAGGCTTGATATCTTGGACTTCTAATCAACCTCGGCTATTGATGTTATTTTGTCATCTGTCCTTGTATTGCACAAGATGGGCCGACCCGAGCTCAGCCATGAGCTATTTCCCCGATCATGAATGATCAAATCACACTTATCCTAGAGTCATGGTTATTCTCCTCTAGGACCGCAGTTTGCCTCGGTGCTGTCCATGTTCTGGATCGCGCTCACTGATTGGCCTCCTGGATGATATAATCCGACAACAGCTCCCTTCCACACCGCCTTGGCAGAACCTTACTTTTTGCCGCTACGCTTATCTCTTGCTGCTTCCCCTTGTTTTCTCACAAAGCTCCGTGATATTATATCTATATCCCAGTCAGCATGGCACCTGAATGTGAAACGGTGCTCGACTTTGATCTCGAGAATGAACAGTATGATTCCGCAGAAGATGAAGATTTCCAACTCGACGCCGCCCAAGATGATGATGTTACTTCTTCCGATAGCGATAATGAAACCGTGGGACCAGCGAACAAGAAGCGCAAACGTGGAAAAAAGGAGACGGAGCTGCAAGACGATGAACTAGGCTCTGGTGATGAAGCGATGATCCAAAAGGCGAAAGCAAGGAAAGAGAGAAAAAGGAAAGGGAAGAAATCGAATGACAACGATACCGCTCAAGATGACGACGATATTGACTTTGACGATGATGATGACGAGGGTGGTCCTGGAGGATTTGTTCGGACACGAGCTATGAAGTTGCGAGCGTACGTTTTACGCTTGTCTAGGGGTTGATATTCGTAATGCTAATTTCTTTGTACAGACAGGAGGAGCGAAAACCTCTTGCCAAAATCGACGGGGCAACAGTCGATGTTGATGCATTATGGGCAAGGATGAATGCGCCCGATACAGACTTTGGACTATACCCTTCGCGGAACGACACGAAAGAGGATCTTCTGGTGAACGGAGAAAAGAAGGATACAGAGATGCAAGATACACCCTCGGCAGAGCCAGAGGGGAAGCAAAATCGAACCAAGTATCCGGAAGATATGGTCAAAATAAAACGTACCTACAAGTTTGCGGGCGAAACGATCACCGAGGAGAAGGTCGTCCCCAAGGATTCGGCAGAGGCCAAAATTTATTTGTCAAACGGGAACGATGCGGAGACCGTGACTGCTGAAGAAATGGAGAATCTACATGCTAAAACCGCTTTTAAGCTTCGCAGACCTCTTCGCAAGATTTCGCGCTTTGACCCTAACCCGACTGGAAGCATCAAGAAGAGCTGGGAGAAGCAACCAGCTGCAGAAACATCCGTCTCAGAGGAGAATGCCGGTGGTCCCAAAATTAATACTGTCGAGAAGTCAAGACTGGATTGGGCTGCGTACGTGGACAAAGCCGGTATCAAAGATGAGCTTAATGTACACAGCAAAGCCAAAGAAGGTTTCCTTGGACGTATGGATTTTCTGGATCGTGTGGGTGCCAAAAAAGACGAAGAAAGGAGAAACGCTCGCTTGAGAGGGATGTGAATTGTTTATTTATATCCTTCTTTTCCTTTACGTATGCTGTGCTATGCGGTTTCAATACCCGACTGACTTCATTATATCTGTCGGAATTTCGCAACCAATGCTGGCAAGCTACAGCTAAGACATGAGTGCTCAGCACCTGCTCATATAAGCAGCCCGACTTCTCCGCCAGAGCAAGATTTGACTTGTAGGCGAAATAACCCGGAGCCCAGCCTCCAGGCATCTGTTTTATCTATTACCTGTGGTAATAGCAGACCTTTATTCGCACCAATTCCACTGCCTATGCAGCCTCCCGCATAGGAGTGAGACTTGTCAGACGGTGGATATTAATAGCGAACTCACTCCAGGAGTGATATAGAAGGTTCCGCTGTCCCTGTCTCCAGACTTCGGAGCTTTTACTGGCGCTTGGTTATGATTCTTAATACGCCTGTGTTCTGAAAACAGCCATGTCGTTAATGCGTCTCAACCTATCAAGTACTTCAGCCATGACCTCTGATCATAATATGTATGTACAGAATGAACCGCAAACAGAATCAGAGCAAATGCATATTTTTCCGTCAAATCTATGTGTGCTGTCATTTCAGTGCTTGCAGCTTAGATCAAGCGAGCAACCCGATTCATTCTCTTTCTCTGCAAAACAGAAGCTGTCTCGTTGTTGCCTTTCGGCTTGGTAAGGTACTTGATACCCGAAGAAGGGCAGTTAGAGTTCGATACTATAAGGATTAGCAAATTAACTTCTTACTCTAGCAACTACGTTCCGATGGACTCACGTGGCTCAGCTGGCTCATACTTGCCATTTATCAAATTACCCTTGACGTTGAAGAAGTACCAGGCCTGGTTCAGAGCCCCTTTGTCGCAGCTGACCGATGGCTTATGGCCTCCATTGATCTTAGCAAGAGCCGACTCGATCTCACTCAGCTGATAGGTCTTGGAACCGGGGGTGATTCCAGCATCGGCGAGGGCCTAATGACATGAAAGTTAGCGTTGAGGAAATAGGAGACGCAATTTCTCACGCAATAACTATCATCATAACCATACTTTATAAGTATCAAGACCCTTGAAAAGCTCCACAGCCTTGGCCAAGTAGTCGCCCACCTCCTGCTGAGGGGTATAGTCAGTGTAACAGCTGGGTTCGATGGTGTTGATGCAAGTTCCTATTTGCTAAATGTTAGGGTATGACAGTTTCGCTTCCCGTCAAATGAAGCGTACCGTGCTTGTTCCACTCATGCTCCCAGAAAGTCTCGTCATCGCCTTTATAGTCGGGCCAGTATGTTTTCATGTAGGACAGAAGCTCGTCCCGACCTTGTTCCTGGAGGATAGCAGTAATATTGGAGTATTCTCTCGACTTGTCGCAAAATTGTTCGTATGTGCCGTCGCAATTGTCGGGCCTGGGACCGTTAGCGTCTTTCTCCCTCTTTCTTTTGTTGTCTTTTTTTATTAACACGCGATGATATCAACATAGCATACCAAAGTCCATGGAGGGTCCAGGAATTAGAAGGACCGGTCGCAGGGTTTGTGTCCCAGAACTGAGTGAGGAGGAGAGCGCCCCCCGGAGAATTGAAGCAGCAAGAGTCTGGCTCTGCTGACGAGTTGTGACAACTGAGGGGGGTATCGCTTGGGCAAGACTTAAGGCCAGCCAGGGCGCCCGAGGCAAATTGCATAGCGCTGAGGGCAAGCATGCCCATTGAAGGCAGAGATGGAACGTGAGGAGGCATTATGAAATGAAGACTTTGAATTTGATGACACAAGCACGGGGCTGGAGCCGATGACCGGGAAAGAGAAGCAACCGTTGAGAGAAAAAGCAGACTTTATACTGCGGGCGACTGGATGCCCCAGGCTCGGAGGACTATCAACCAACAACTCATGGATGGTGGCACATGTCCTGATAAGAGCCCGCTGATTTGACGGAGCGGCCACTTCAGACGGGAGAGATCAAGAGAGCCAACAGATCGGATAACGCCGTCGAGACCCGCCCGTATCCTGATCCAGTTTAGCCAGTCACGAGCTGATAGCCAGACACCGGGCGTGGCCAATGGTGACGGGCAATGCTAACTTCCATCAGCCCCAGGCGATGATCCCGTCGGGGGGCCTTCGGGGTAAGGCTCAGGGACAGGCCAACAGACAGTCGTTAAAGATGCTAATGAAGATCGCGGGCCACGCTCTCAGCACTAGCTATCAGAACGTTGCATCGGTTGGCTGGTTAATTCGTATTCTACTTCTTCGTCTGTTTGAAGAATATATTTACCACTTTTCTGCAAATACTCAATTAGTCTCTCTTTAATTTGTTTGAGTATGAATCAATACGGATGACCAATATCCTATCGGACAGACAGGCAGAGGAAAACACCCAAAAAAAAGTGGCATTTTCTATATAAATCACGTCTTTAAAAACAGATCAGCTAGCATTGGCCAAGATTGTCAGTTGCCATAATTATATATTGCTTAACCATACACAAGGCCTACTGGGGAGAAACCTGCAAATCCTATCGCTGCGCATGTACCGTGGAGACACCAACTATTTCTTTCATTCATCGCCTGTGACGGTTCTATCTCAAGCTGGAATTTACGAATTTTTGCTCCTCTTACTTTAGAAGAGCATCCTATCGCAGGAATTTTATTGCCAAGAACAAGCAAATAAAATCCTATTTCGCAGGAAACTATAGCCTATGGACGTAAAAGCAAGAATGATTGCAAATAAAATTGGAAAGTATGGACTGATTGTCAGCTATAGACTCCTGGCCACATTTGGTTGATACAATACAATTTTGTCAATCGATCTCCTTCAAGCCAGCTTAAGAGTAAGTTGGAAGGACCTGAGGAGCGGCTATCTGCGGGAAGTCTGCGAAAGCCATGCTGGCCAAAAGACTTGCATCGACAAACCATTTACGATAGACCTCCCTTTTCTGTAGTTCCCGTAGTTTCCATTATGGTAAGCCACCTGGATTCTGATATGGTGCTCACTCATCCTTCCTTTCTTAGGTGTAGATGGGTCTGACTCATAGGATCCGATAGCGGGCCTAGAGACTATATAAGAACAACCGGCCTATCCCGAGTTCATAGACCCCTAAATAGCATCGAGCGACGGTACACTCCACAGAACTCAGTTCTACATTGTCGATATTGATATCTATCCGTTGTTGTCTGCAAGCTAATAAACCGCGATTGGTTATTGCCCCCGATACCCTCACATTACATCGGCAGTCCATCATGGACGCAAGCAATTCAAAATTTCGCATTGTCTCTGTGCAAAACGAGGATCAGCTGAATGCAGCTAAAGCCTTATTCATAGCCTACACTAAATGGCTAGGCATTGATCTCACATTCCAAAACTTTGCTTCGGAACTACAAGCCCTTCCTGGCAAATACTGCGTCCCTCAGGGAGAGCTGCTACTAGCATATAGCACGAACGGAGAGAAAGCTCTAGGATGTGTGGCTGTTCGCCCTCTTAGCCATAACGACAGGTCTGAAAACCAACATGGGTCCCAGGAGCAGGGAGGCTGTTGTGAAATGAAGCGGTTGTACGTCTCCCCCGAGGCCCGAGGGCTGGGACTGGGCAAGGCATTGATCGATACTATCGTTAAGCGAGCAAAAGAACTCGGTTATAGAGAGATGAGACTCGACACTCTTCCTTTTATGGCGGGGGCTATCCAGCTGTACAAGCGGGTAGGATTCGTTGAAATCCCTCCATATTATGAAACACCTCTGGAGGGGACGCTTTTTCTCAGTCTGGACCTTACATGAATATGGACTTGATCGCAGTCTGTCAGTTCCGCTCGAACCGAGGAGATTGTCGAGGAAATCCAGACGAGACGGAATTATTATATCGAGAATAGAGTCTACAATTGTCAAATTGGCTCTGCCACTTCGTACCTGTCCAAAGCAAACGGGACACAGCATTGTACAATCTTGGCATTAATCGTTATGATCATGTACCAATAATGTAACAAATAAATAGATTCATTTCAATAAGTTACTTCAACAGATATAGCAGAGTCATTATCCATTGACCTGAAATAGCTGACCTCGTAAGTCTGCTATATCGGAACAAGGGATACCCCTGCATTATCAATATCAGTCGCCTCCACAAACTCAGACTGTTGAGCTTGAAATTTGGAATAAGGCACTCATCGGCAGGATCTCCTGCATCATGCCAGAAGAAAGTGTCATCACTGTTTGAAGGCGATTCGAAAGGTGAAGGTAATCACAGCCAACATCAAGTGTGCTCAACGTGCATATAATAAGCTTATAGTCCGATCAAAAGAAATAATATAGGATCTGCAAAGGGCATACATAAATGCAGTTTGGCATAGGTTATTGTATTGTTGACCACGACGGACTTCGAGGCGCATTGGTGTCACAATGGAAATTTTGCTAGTGAGTAACATGGGCTTTTAACGGGCTTGTAGCTCGGCGTGGTCTAAAAAAACCTCGGCGTGGTCTAAAAAGGCGGTGGCGGAGGTGGCAGAATTTTAGCCCACGCCGAGGTTTTTTTAGACCACGCCGAGCTGGCACCCGGCTCTTAACATAACGGCTAACTAAACAAGCAGGTCACGTAATCGAACGGGTCAGCACTTCCGATTTTGTGTTCCACAACATTGACGAGGTTTAACCACCCACCATGCTACCAAAAGTGCTTAAAAACCAGAAGGTTTAGTTAATAGGAGAAAAATATATACTAACTATATATGTGTTAAAGAACCAAGAAATTTGCAATATTCGTGAAGCTGCACGTGTTTTCAATAGTCCTAAGACTACGCTTTAATGGTGTGTAGTGTCAAGGGCTAAACCTCTATAACCTAATAACTAGGGTGGATACAAAAGGAATCGTCGAAGAGGAAAGAGAAGAGGAAACAGCGATGAGACGATTGCGAAGTAAGGGGGGGGAAGTCACATGATAGAGTGTACTAATCAATATACTAATCATGTGGCAGGCGAGGAGAAAGGAAACACGAGGGCTGAGGGCCCGAGTAGGCTGAGGGGCTCTAGCCCCTTACATGTAGAGGGGCATGCTTTTCACACTGAATCACTCATAAATGTTTATAAACTGACCCAATAATGAGGATTTATTAATGCGCTGGATTTTGTTATTTTATTAGCATGGAGTAGCCCCTCAGCCTGCTCATATGTCAGAAATAGCTAATATCTTGCTTGCTAAGTGTGGTTCTTCAGCTGCACCTACTACTGTTAGTGAAAAATGGGTGTATAACCTTATTTGACATAGAGATAAGCTAAAATCACGCTATTCTCGCTGGTATAACTATCAGAGTGCTAAATGCGACGATCATAAGCGTATACGCCACTAGTTTGACCGTGTCCAGATTACTATAATATAGTATAGTACTGCAACGGAATAATTTTAATAAAACTGGCTTTGCAATGGGCTTAGTACTACAGCTAAATTAGTTACTGAAGCTAATATACATAGAAAGCCACTTCTGTCAGGGCCGAAGTCGAACCCTGCCTGAGGCAGCAAGACTGCTTTATTCACTGTTGATCCCACAGCATTTCCCACAGTTCCTGTACGATAGAATTCTTCGTTTCTTTCTTCCTTCTCTACGTTTGATGTTTTGTTGGATCGCCACTTTGTATACAATTCATACATTTTTCCAAGGTAAACAGGATCATCACAAAGTACAGCCAGGTCGGGACTTGTTACCTTTATTAAATAAGATAGTTTAAATATTCCACAGCTTCCACTGCCGAGCCGTCCATTTTTCACGTATTTTTCATGATTTTCTTCAACAAACAGAATAAATTCAACTATCTAGTAGAAGCAGTAGAGTACGAATAGAATAAGATTATAGTGTAAAGGGCTAGAGCCCGTTTGACCTCTCGGGCCAATGTCCCTATTATCCCTGTTGTCCCTATTGTCCCCGTTGTCCCTATTGTCCCTACTGCCCCTACTGCCCCTACGACTGTCCCCTTTGGCCCATTGGCCCTTGATCCATGTCACGTGACTCCCACCTTGTTTGTTTACCGCTCATTTTCCTCTTCCTTTCCTCCTTTCTTCCCTTCAACGATTCCCTCTTGTACATAACCTATCTTGTAGGTTCTATGGGTTCAGCCCTTGACATATAGTATTCTATAAAATAATGGTTGAAGAGATCTCGGCACTATCACTACGGTTCAGGCAAATGGGGGGAAGAAGTACACTATATCAGCCACAAGCACATAACCTACTAAAAGGACCGTATTTGATAGTGTATATATTGCCTTGATCACTATCTCTTGAACGCACTCCCTTTCTATGAATAGGGGCAGGCCTTCAGGGGAAATCCCGCGCAGGGTGCCGAGGCGCTAGGCGCTCGGGTCCATATATTTCCATATCAATAGTGATTTATTATAACTATGTACAGAAATTGTGAGTTTCTTAAGTAACAGAGGTAGGTAGGAAGAGTAGAAGAACCTATAGAAGTGACAGTATTATCTAGCATACTTTACTACACTCCAGGGGGTGCGATGCTCATATATATACTGTACAGGTTTATACTAATAAGTAGCTATGTGTTTCTACTTCCAGATAGTTGACTTTATTCTCTTTGTCGAAGAGACCATGAAAAAGATGTGAAAAAAGGACACATCGGCCGTGGAATAACGTAACCGGCAAGCGAGCCGGACACCGCACCTGATCGGTGAAAAGAAAGCTGTTCAAAACACCCAAATAAATGCTTTTTTTATATGAAGCCAATTACTGACAAGATTAGGACATTGCCTCCGTGCATGACCCCGATTATGACAATTAGAACACTGCGGTGGCGCCTTTACGTGCCGTTCAACTGTAGATGGCCCTGGATATACCAGGATAGTATCTTGAGCTTCTTGGAACCCATTCCGATGCTGTATATACTCCTGGGCTTCTTCTGTAGATAGTCCATCTGCAGTAGCCATCTGTCGCTTGGATTACCTTTTTTTTCTTTGACTTTTGTTTCATTTCTCCCCCGTAGGTCCTTCATTTCTTTAGCAAGATGAGCTGTCTCATTTAGAGCCTTCGTGCCATTTAATAATCTTATTTAATCGCGCTTTAAAAGAAGATAAGGGGCTTTGTGTACGTGCTCTAAGCTGCTTTTTTTGCTGCATAAGATTATGAGGTGTTTTAGACACTGAATTGGTTGAACGACTGCTAGTGTTGTGGGGGTTTTTATGAATACTAAGCTGTTTAAGAGCTTTTTCTGAATTAAATGGTATTAAGCCAGGTGCAGAAAAGCCATTTTTAATATTCCTCTCTTTTAAAGCCTCAGTATGGGCTTTGGGATAGGCTTCGAAAAAATCAAGTTTGTCAATACGGTTCAAACCAAGCCGTGCCTTATTCTCAACCAGACAAGCGTACGAGCGTTTTAATGGCCCAAAGCAACCAACATTAAGTGGCTGAAAAAGAAGTGATAAGTGTGCTGGCATGCAGATTGGTATAATATCATTCTCACTGCAGATATGATCAAATTGAGGAGTTAAATGGCTTCCATTATCATCAAGAATTCGCAAGCGATATCGTCCAGTTGTACGGCCAGTTGTAGCAGGAATAAAAAGCTTTAAAGCCAGCGCAGTCCAATTTCATCAGTAGTTCATCCATTCTCACTAACTTCAATTCTCCAGTTATTTGGTAAGTTCTTACGGAGTATACCAACCCTCTATATGGACCTTTCCCTTGAATATAATGCAAGGTGGAAGTGCCCATACTGTAGAGTTGACACACTCAACAGAGGTAACCCATTCTCGATGTCCTGGCTGCACTAAAATTGGCTTTCCATGCACATTATCTCTGGTAACTACTTTAGCAGTAGCTACCATGCCCATTGCAAAACCAGTTTCATCAAAATTGTAGATATCTTCTTGTGCAATAATATGATGCATTATAATGTCTTGTACATGAACAAACCACTCGCTAATAAGCCTAGGATTCTCACATTTAGCGCGCTAGTGATTCTATCATCGAGAATATCTTGATTTAAGCTCATCACACCATTTGACAAAGTTGTATACCTATTTATCACCAACAGTCTGAACGGGTGTGGTACCACGTTTAGCAAGAATATTGGCGATTTCTGCACGTGAGATGGTCGGGAGGGGCTCCAAGTCGATTTAATGATAATATCCATTGTATAATCGATTTCTATTCATTATGATTCATTTTATAATTATTTGTGCGTAATTCATGGTGAAATGTAGTGCCTTTGAGTTGGTCATGCAATGTTGAGCATGGAATACTATGTACTCATGCAAATTCACGAATATTGCTGATTTCTCGATTTTTTAAAGCATATATTGCTCGTAGCTACCTGTCTTCCTGCTCAGCTAATATTTTTGAATTTTGACACGCTTTTGGAGGCATGGTAAGTGGTTGAATTGGTTACATGGTTTGTATGAAGCACAAGTGGAAGGTGTCCGTCCGACTCGCTTTCCGGTTAATAACTATGTTACGTCAGTGTACTTAACTATGTAATATTTTGGTCCAAATTTCGTTAGTTATAGCCTTGAACAGATTAGTAATTTCTCATATGTTTAAGCATATTCTATGTACATAAAGCGGGTGATCCTCCCGGAAGATCAATGTCCGTCTCGTGTACTGTATCCTAATAAGTACACATTTACAAAACACCACAAACGCACAGGATAAAAGACTCCAGGATATGGGCTCATGACCCAATTGGCCACAGGTCATCATCTCACAACCCCACGACCTTCACATAGCAGCCCACCTCCCAACAAAAACAAGGGGGTGAGGGGAAGGAAAAACTAAAAAAAAAAATAAAAACAAAAATAAAGGACGATCGAAATGCCAAAGCCATGTATAAAAAAAAAAAGTCACGTTCAACCAAATCAAGCTCTAAAAGATGCAGGAAGCTCTAATTGACTCGACTGGATCCAGATAGCTACTAGACACGCGGCTTATGATATCATCTGCCGGAACGGCTAAAAAAGCAGTGTAACCGGCTCACCGGTATTGGGATTTGCATTATAATTTGCTGCGTTCCTAATAGATCTGAAATAAGTAGCAATGTGGATGATCGTGCATCGGGTCCAGCGGAGCTGCCAGTTGCGGGAACATCCCTTCAGTCGGTGAGGGGGTTTCCCTCACACTTAACATACATAAGTACCTCCAGTAGTTATTAACGAATTATTTTTTTTTTTTTTTTACTGGGTAAAGCGGCCTATATGTAGGTAGGTTATATGTAGGTAGGTACCTAGAGACCCATGTCGTGCCAGGTGGGCGAGTATGTATGTGTTTTCATTACATGATTAGGGAGGGGGTTATCCATTGACCCTGGGGAATTGAATTCCGAGGTGAGGGGGTTGGATGGTACTTGGTAGGTGGTAGATGGTATGCATTGTAACTCTTCAGTGCAGGGAACTGCTAAATTGCGTGGCTTGAAGTAGGCTATCTGTTGGGGAAATGAAATGTTGTGTAGAATATTATAACTAACTTTGTAATTTCTTTATTATCATTTTGCAGGATAATGAAACCGGAGAAAGATATTATTATAGTGGACAGTAGGTAGTTTAATGTATCATATGCACAGAGACCTGGATCTAGGAATACTTGTGATCTTCACAGTAACTGAGGCCCGAAGAAACTTTAACTAGGCGACTTGATCTGCAGGGCCATTTTCGGTAAGTTGCAGTGAGCCCGTCTAGGTATTGGATCATACCAAAGTGAGGCTAGATAAATGATTGCTTAATCTTGGTGTGGAGGATAAGCAAAAACCTGCCCATTCGACCGTCCCAATGCATCGTTTGGGCTCTCTGGAGATAAATAGTTTAGCCATACACTACCTAGTTGAGAGAAATTATTACATTCCATACTCGCAGAAGATCTATGCGCACGCTGTATTAGTACATGATTGTAGAATGCCTTACTAGCATCTGACTACTCAACTTAGGTTCCCTTATTATTTATGAACAACTATTCTAGGTATATAGTGTAAATCTTTAAATTCCCTACCTACTTCGGTATTGGCTGGATATGGGAAATTACGTATTAATTACCTAATATTAAATACGCCATGCCTAGCTAGCTTTTCAGAATTTCTAGAGATATGTAAGTAATTGGCAGCTGAGCGAATAACTTGAACACGAGCCTCTCCCAGTGACGGAAAGACCTATCTAATTTGCAGTTGGACTTGGGCCAAATTGGTACTGTCATACTTCTGCCCCACTTGGTCGCAGATCATCTGTGCTTCCCCGTAATTTCAGACCTTATGGGTGATATAATAAAGAGACTACCATCTGCCTGGAATGTACAGTACAACGTCCAAAAGTTTGGCTTGTGAAACCTCTGGAAATTATTACCCTAGGTCTATGGTTTGCGACGACCTGCATAGCAGATGTACGGAACTGTGGGCCGGAGAGGGGGGTGATGTAATCGGTGTGTACACAGTAGTATCAAATACGTACACATATTAAGCCTTAGGAAACCATGACCATGATACCTGGCCAGCCAGGATTCAGGATATTTCCCAAGTGGGGGAGTCTGTGTGACGTTCAAAGTATGTACAGGAAAGCCGCAGGGTGTATGGAGGTACGCGCCATAATCACAATCTAAAATGTGATCTTACTTGCGTGGTGATTGAACCATTGGTATACGTTTTTTTGACTAGGAAGTCTAGATGTCCACTATCACTAGGGAACAATGTTATGCCAATATATAAGAAAAAATACTAACAAGAAAATATTGTGTTGGGCAGTGTACGCAAAAACAGTGGGAGCTAGAGCGATAAGCCATGAGTCTTGGTATCTGGAACGGTGGCCCCGTTAAGCTCATCTGAAATCCAGGTTTCTGGGATCCGTGGTAGAAATAGGATCGATTGACTGTGTCATTGCACCGATGACAGTTCATGGTCCATGTCAACTAGGGTTTTTATGGCCGGACCCGGGAAGATGGATTGGTAGGTGTCTAATGACAGACTAACAATATTTACGACCTCGGGACTGGGATGACTGGGGGAGTGTATTCCACATACCTCCAGCTGCCAGGAGCAAGTCGCATTGGCCAACCTTTAGTACACTTCTTGGAACAGTGGAGTTCCACCAATTGGGGCATTGCCATTGGACTGGAATGTGGATTAGTGTAGAATTGCAGCGCTAAGTGGGACCAGATCGGCGGCGGACTGAGCACCAGGCGAACGACTAGGGTATGCATGTTCTCTACTTTTGGTACATTGTACATATGCGACATATGGAGGATTCATGATGATACATCTTGAGCACCATGGCCCCATGGGGAGAGGAGAGGGCCTACATCTGCACAATCAGTCAAGAGCCGAGTCGACGATGAGTTCGTTTGCATGAATTTAGTAGCACAAAAACGATCTTGTCATATGTTCTGGCATCGCGATCTCCACGAAGTGATCGCCGTGTGACCTGAGCCCAACCTTTTCGTTGTATCTGCCATCTCCGCGTCTAAGCGTCGATCTGATCAGAACAGCAGGTATGTCAGAAACCACACCATCAACGGGAAAATGAACTCTAGAATCTAGCATCGATTGGCAGTCCTATGGAACGGGCTATCATACCCTCTAATCCATCTCAGGTTTTCAAATAGCACATTGACCTAACACTATTATTTTATATAGTTCTGGATAGTCAGTAGATCCATCAAATCAGTAAGACAGCGTGGTGACACTCGATCGTACAAGGCCTCCATTCCATTTAGGCCCTCCAGGTAAGCAATATTATCCATCATTGGCCAAAAAGCCTTTTAAACAAAAGAAAGGAAAAGAGTAAAAAGAATAATAAAACTGCTCGACATGTAATAGGATGTTTTACAAAAACGAAACGCCGCGAAGCGCCGACCAGGGTCTGTCCAGACCTGTGTCTGTGCCCATCTAGAAGGAAATTGGCGCGCCATTATGCCAAGGGGTATCATATTCCGATCCACCCAGATTATCTCTTCAAAATTATTTTTCAATCGTCCCAACCGTCAACGCTCAACTCCCGAGTATCGGGGAGAGGGTCTTCCAATTTTGACCCATAGATCGGACGGCCATCAGGTGTGAGCTGTCCGCGGAAATCGGGGTCATAGTCCGGGCTAGTCTCATCCAATGTGGCGACATACCGGTTGCGACCACCGCGTTTGCTATGGGTTTTGGTGTAGTGAGCATTAAGATTGTCGCTGCGAGAGAATGCCCGGTGACAACCAGGAACCCAGCAGACATGTGGCTTCTCCTTGGAATGGCTTTTCATGTGTCGCTTCAGGTGCTCTTGTCTTTTGAATCGTCCCTTGCAACCAGGCTCTTTGCACTTGAACTGAACTTGTTTGATGATAGATGGCAGATTTTCTAAAGTAAGACTTTGTTTGGACGACTGCTTTCTAGCAACCTTCCTGGACATCTGACGGTGAGGCCGTTGGAGTCCATCGTGGTATACCGGTGACTGCTGGAAATCATCAAGATAGTCACCGGCGCAACCTGAAAGACGGCTCATAGGAGTATCTGTACCAGAAGCAGTGCCCAAGGAGCATGACCGAATAGGTGTCGTTGGAGTGTGCGACTTCAAAGTGTTCATCGACGTCGAGTAGTCAGAGTATGAGGGGGGCGGGGTCACTGGTCCTACTTGGGACGGAGCGATGGTTTGTGGAATTGACTCCGCTGGCTGGGCCATCCAGGGTATCATGTTGTTCATAGACATCGACGTCGACACACGCTCCGGCTGGTGGAAGATGGACCGAGACAAACATGGATTGGTCGCGGATTCTGGTAGGTACGGCACAGTATGATGACGGTAGGTGTTCCGGGCCATTGACGGGTATTGATGCATAACAGGAGGGTATGGTAGTCCATGTGTTCCCGACTCATATGTTTTTGGCGCATCAGATGGGATCCAAAACTGCTCGACATTTTCGTCATACCCAGATATAAAGTCTGGCATAGGCATCCGTTCTTGTGCGTCCATGTTGCCATAAGGCAGCCCGACGGGCTCATTGGATGACATCCCAGGTAAGCGAAAGGTGTTCCGCATTGGCGTTGAGCCGGTATTACGATCAAAAGTTTGCCCCGGGTATGAACCACCCTCCTGCCAAACGGGCGAGGCTAATGAGCCTTGGCTATAGAGACTTGTGGGGGTGGGAGTCGGTGAATCCAAAGGCGAGAAGCTAGAGCTCATTGATGGGCATTCGTTGGAACCCAGAGAGGAGCAGTCAACTTCAACGGTAAGACGATCAGCAATGTTACCATGAGTTCTCATATCTTCGGTGTCCTCAGTGTCACGGTCTTTCCGAGGTGCTTCGACTTTTCCACCTGTCAGTACACTGTTCAGTACCCTTGAATCGAATAGTTTTAGGGATTAGGAGGCTATGTGTAGTGAATGAATGAAGGGTGCAGAATATGCGCTGAGGATTGTAACACAAGGAAATGATAGTTCAGCGAATGTTATCGAGTGGGATTAGGTACGTAATGAGAGACGGCAGCCCCAAGAAGGGAAAGAGAAAAGCGAAATGTAAGAGAGAGTAAGATGGTTGGACTACGAAGGGCTGTTGTGTATAGCACAATCAATGAAAAGAACGAAGGATAGTGGACATGGATGCGAATTAGAGGAAAGGGAAAGAGAGAAAGAAGGATGGAAGGTGAGGTTGGGGAATGGAGGAGGGCAGACGAGGTCAAATAAACAGAACTTCAAGGCCATATAAGTCGGAAGGGAAGGCAGGGTCGATCACACTTACAGCTAGAAGCCATTTCTAGTTCCCGCAAAGGAGAGTCAAGTCGAGAGACAAGAGTCAAAAAGAGAGAGGCGCGTCGCGTGCCCTTGGAGGTCCAAGCAAGGCCAGGAATGTAGACTATAGAGTTCCTAGAGTAACGGAGGGCGAATCGCTGGTAGGATTTCCTATATTCGTGTGGCCGGGGTTGAGAAAGCCGTTTCCTAGGAGGCGCGAATGTCTCTGGATAAAAGACAAGGACGAGGTGCTTAGAGAGTGGCGGAAAGTCAAGATCAACGAGAGGGCGGATGGGAGGAGTCGATAATCCGCCCTTAGACGCGGTCGACTTGGTCCTTGTGGACGGAAAGAGGATGTGGATAGAAGATGGGGATGGTCTCAGTTGTAATCAGATAGGGATGTAGTGGTAGGATAGAAAGGACCAGCAAGGGGATGGACAATGGGGAATCGAGGAGATGCAAGTGCTAAAGATGTCTTAGGGATTGCTTGACACCCAAGATAAACTATAATTTTGTTTTTGGATAGGGTTGTAGAAGTAGCAATCAGGCGGTTGGTCTCGAAGCCTAAGTAAGAGAGCGAGGATTATGATTGTCTCAGTGACTACCCAGAAAGAATAGGCGCTGTGATTTTATTCTCGTTCTTTCTCTCCATGACTGGATGTGGAGGGAGGGGAGGAAGGAGGTTTAAAATCATGATTGTGCTATTATAGGCTTACTCTTTTGGGTGGATGATTGGAGGTCAAGCAAGCAGGGTAGGGAAAAAAAAAGAGCTTGTTCCTACAGAATGGAGGGGGGATTAAAAAAAAAAAATAATAATTAAAATTATTAAAATAATTAAAATACCTAAAATTAAAAGGACTGAAAAAGAAAAAGAAAAAGAAAAAAAGAAAATACGGAAAAGAAAATAAAATCCCCTTCCTGTCGAATAAACCTCATCGGCCGACCTATCCCCCTCACATTGTGTCCGTGCCTTATTTTCATTTTTATTTATTTTATCATTATTTGCTTCACACATTAAACTGGCTTCTTGTATGATGATGGTTTTATTTAATTCCATATTATTTCTTCATGTATTCCCTGGAGTTGGTGTGCCATAATATGACTCTCACGTAGCAGAGGGTGGCTCACAGAGAAACAGAAATACTTCATACTTGGGTACTTAGGTGGATAAAATTAACCAATCCGATTAGCTTCCCCTCCATCGACACGATCAGTTCGTCAACCAGAAAAAGAAACGAGTGGCTGCATGAAGTGGATGGGGTGGGAAGAAAGAAAACGACGTGGAATGTTCTTAACGTCAGAGGTCAAGATACCACCGGGCCTGGGTCTCGCCTCCCCACTAGGCACTAGGTAGGAAGTAGGTAGGTAGGCCTACCTAGGGGTAAACAATACCCAGTAATAAAACTAAACCTTAACAGCCCATGGGAAGGATCGTCATCGTTGACCTTCCAGATTCCTGGGGCCTTTCCCCGGTATCAGAGTACCTATGGCCACCACCAACCAACTGCTGGTCGGGACTTAGGCTATCGAAAGTAAAACAGCCGGCAAATACCATTTGATGTTATCAGAAATCGTTTCCCACTACTGCGTTACGTACGTATGATTGTCTGTCCCTACGATTGCCGAATCGCAGGAACAGGACCCTGAATGATCGGCACAATTGGGGGGTCTCCTCCATGTGGAGAAGGAGTTTTTTGGGATCCTTCTGCAAATAACTATATGAACAGATAAGAAGGGGGTAAGGGAAAATTATTATGACTATTGTCCTAATAAAAGCCTAGTATGAAGTACATAGGCAAAGGGGAAAGTAAAAGAGATTATTTTCCAATTTCGAATCTTAATCTGGTACTACCATAGCAAATCCTAGTAGGCCGCCAATTTCGTGGAAATAAACCGGTAGCAGGGACTTGCTTCTTACCACCATCCTTCCTCCGTCCATGATCTTCATTCAAGCCTTGGTTCCCTCGATGGCATGCTTGGCAGTGGGTGCAGTGATCAGGTACTGTGCACCCAGCTCTGACGCCACGAAAGTCCCTGGTCAAGAGGGGACTGCCTTCCAGCCCCAATGCCATCACCTAGGCCTCTGCCAAGATGCCTATGACTAGACAAACCATGCAGTATAAAATTGCGAATATGGTATGTGCTATGAGTAATTAAAAGGGTATTCGGGAGACTGATCTTATCCAAGCAGAACTAAACCCAGCAGGCGGATGATAAAGAAAACATAAAAATTAACCATGGTAATAGGAGTAGTAGAAATAATAATAATAATAGTAGTAGTAGTAATAACAATAGTCACAAGACAGTGATAGCCTATTATCCCATTCAAAAACAGACAATCAATACATACCCACTAGTTTAACCACTGTTGTCCTAAGGATCGATCGGGAGGCGCCAGCGTGGGGAGATTTCTATCTTTCCATGGATCAGTTCCAATAGATCATCGATTTGGCCACCCATTGATCAATATTCTGTACGAACTACGAAGATGTATGCCGGTAGTCGAAGTAGGTAGTCAATCAGGCCCTTCAATGACCAGAGAGGATCGTGTTTGGACTGTACGAGCCTGGCTCTGGCTGCAGGGCAATAAGTTCTTGACACAGGCAGAACTCCGAATCTGGATTCCATGAAGAACGTCCGTTGTTGCTACTACCGTTATTGTTATCCTCCGGCTATCGACAATCTGAAGCAATTCAACTAGATCGTGGGAGTAATCGGTCGTTACACATGGCCCTCCTTTCGTTCCATGGCTCTCTACCTTTTGCCGCTCGTTCCTCCTCCCTTTATCCTCCTCCCTCTCAGTCTCTCTTTTTATTTTATTTATTTAATTTAATTGTATTTTATTCTATATATATATGTCCTTGAACCTTTTCTTTCCCCATAAGGTGAAACAGAAAAAGATACACAAGGACAAATAACAGCCTTCCCAAAATTGCCTCGGCCTCAGAACAATAATGGCCACCTCCCAAGTCAAACTCAGAATATACACCGAGTACATACATACAGTGGAGTGGTTGGATTGCACATACATCCGGGCCCACCTAAAACCAAAAGAATCAGGTACACGGAAGGCCCAGCTTAGCTTCTTTCTCTCTAGTACCTAGATAACGTTCATGGTGTGGATTATGTGCTAAATGCGGAAGCTTCTCCATTCCCCCCATTTCTGGATCGACTACATATGTTTTAGGTATGCGGTGGAGGTTGTTTGGGCTGGCGATCACTGATCAGACGCAAATCATCCGCCAAGGCTTACTACTTAGGATGTATGTCGTCTAACAATGGATCGACGAGTCGCTGGTCGGGACGCTGCTTAGTTTCTGCAGGTTTGAAATTCGCTCTCCATTGTCGGCCACCCGTCGCACCTATAGCAAGCCTTTCGGATTTCCAACTTTGTCAGATACCAGCAGCCACTCGGCCCCTTCATCCAGGAACGCTCCGACTAGGCCTAGCCCACCGTCTTTGCTCTTGCTGGAATGTGGAGCACCTTTGCTCTTCTCGATATGATAGGATCCCACACTGTGGGCACGTACACCATCCCGAACGTCGTCGTCGACAATCCCGTCGTTATTGGAAGTATGGCCGTGAGTTCATCCTCCGCCGTTTCGAGCTCCATTCGGCCGTCAGTGGCCAATTTTCCCTCTAATAGCCCATTCTCAACGGTCGCTGGATCTGCGAGCAGGTGGACTGCGCACCGTCATTTCTCTGGCTATTTGGCCACCTCTCCACACCTCCATGGGTGAGTGTGGTCCAAGTCTCTGATCTGTCACGCGTCAGTCGGTGCTTCAATCCCCGGTATGAGGGGCCACTCATTCGTCATGCGAGAATGAGGCCTTAAGATTCGACAAGTCAACTGATTGGAGGAGTTACCAAATTTCTAAAGCCCCGCAGATTGAAATGGTATCAACTCAACTCACCAAGACATTGTTCGAGCTACCGCTAAGCTCAGCGGCAACCCCTTTATTTGCCTGTATCTTCTGAGCATCATGGACATTCCATCACGGACATTGTTCCCACTGGCCCCTCATCCTACTAAAAAACCACCCCACTTTCTGTAGTGTATCCATCAACCTTCTCTCAGGAACAGAAGTATTTGTCTAAAGTGTTACTGTGACAGGAAGCTTCTCTTAATTACCACGGTCGGATCTCATTCATGTTGCGTCTCTAACTGATCGTCACCGCTATGTCACGTTCAGATTCAAGATCTTCGCTACTCGAGGAATCGAAAATGCATGGAACAACCAGAGCGTCTTAGTGCATGTAGAATTAAGAGCAGATAAGAATAATGCGGTGTGTTCGCGCTCTAGATCCTTTTCGTTTTTGCTTTCTTAAGATTCCGAAAATCCTCATTCTACGGGGTTTGGATTACCCGGACTGATTACGGCGTGGATCAAAGCGAAACATTTCTGACTTTACTCCGTACTATTGAGGAATTGTGAGCTCTCGTTCGGATATCAAGATACGTACGGATACTAGTGGCCCCGATGACGGGTCGCGATGGACTTAGAAGCCAACAAAGTTTGTGGGTGTGGCACTAATGGACGGCAGGTGTTTGGCGATTTTGACAGCTCCCCTATCCAAAGTTCGGAGTTTCCACTAAGGTTTCACTACCTGGTCCATACTTAGAAGCTGTGTATTAACAATGTACAACTCACCCACAGTGTCATCTTGCTCCCTAAGCGTACAACAACCGAGAGACCATGGGTTACCCCCTCCCTCAGTGGTCTTTATCGGTGTCAATCTGGCTGCCTTCTAGGCCTGGGATCCGATTTCCGTCAACAACAGACACATCTGTTGGATAGATTACTAGCCATATACCATGTCGGTATGCAATATTTATTTAATTCTACCTATCCACTGTTCCATACGCAGAACCGCGTCAGTGCTTTGCCACAGCAAATGGCTTAGAATTCTAAGCCACACCCCTGCGAAGCCACTTGTGATTTATCATCCCCGAGAGCTTTCCAGAAAATACCTCCATCTTTACCTCTATAGCCTCAACAGTTCCCTTTGACAGATGTGATTCATTACGTTCATCGGCGACCAAATCCGTCGGGGTTCATCAACATAGTTCCCACATAACCCAATCTTGCACTAGCTCAACTACTGTTGGCATGCAGTAGTAGCAGTCATCTGGATTAGTATACTCTCCCCCCCCCGGGTTCCTTCCCCTGCACAATGCGAGTCATGACCATATTTTCAACACGAGGTTTCGTGTTCGTTGTGTATCGGACTGGCTGTTCTTTTTGCTAGATGGATCTCCTTGATTGCCTGGCCTAACCAAACCCCGGATTTTCAATTAAACTCAATCTGGTCCCCTTGATGATTTCGGGGGAAAGTTTCAATAGCAGTGATAAACCATTTAAGGGAAAATGGAACGCTATTACTAGTGTCTTTCCGTCTTTCTCCCTGTCCCTTTTGTTGCCTAGGAATAAAGCGCACTGACAGCGTGCAAGGACCACTACCTCTCCTATGCAGCTGAGCTTACTCCCATACCAAGTTCAAAGCTCCCAATATATCGACTGTTGAAGCTTAAAAAAGAAAAAATAGGGCGGTTTGATGCCCGGTTTCTTTGGGTACGCACCCAAAAGCCAATAGAGCTTCTTCATCCCTCTGTCTACTAGTACGCTGTATCTCAAATTCAAACCCCTGCAGCACGGGCTTGTATCCGGCAAGGAGTAAACCGGGAATTTGGAGCAGCCCCAGATCCTCCCTAGCGTCTCTGTGGTGAAGTAATCTTCTGCACTCCACCAAAGACGATGCCAAGCCCGTTGTCTCGAATCTCCTCATTTGCTTGTTTTGGAGCCTTATATGGATCAATATATTAGTTCTAGGGGAATTGACCTGCCTATATCTCCGGCGCCTTATTGGGATGATTCAAGGTTTTCTGGAATTTCTTGAAGAAACTAGGATGATTATTATCGGCTGCGCTATTGGCTCCTATCAATTTGGCAGGAAATGATCCCCATACGCCCGAGATCCGACTTCGATCGGAAATGGCCATCTTCTAGTGAATATTGATGCTCTTACCATGTGCAGCAACGGCTTTAGGAGGATGAAAATGACCCCTTATCTCCCTGTTTTTCATTTTTTTTAGGTTGTTGATTTGGCTTTCCCCTCGTTTTAAAGTTGTACGGATGAACAGCAAGGATCTTGATACCAGGTACTAAAGATATGCACTCTATATTTGTACCAACGTCTATGACAAATTATGGTAACTTTCGAAAAAGAAATTAAAGGCCAATGAAAAAGAAAAGGCCTCAGCTCGATAACCCGGCTCCTCTAAAACATCGTTTAAAACAATGGCTCTCGTTTCCCCACAGAAGGATACCTTAATGAAAACACTACCGTCTCTTCGAGGGCCTCCATTTGTACGATATAACTACGGGCCTAAAAAGAGAGATCCTCAACCTGCTGCTTATCATACATGATTTGGTGGCATTCTTAGAATAGCAATCTGATAGTATCGTGGACTAAATTGTGGGTATCTACGTGATCGACTTGGGCTACTGGTCTGTATCCAGTTCCCTCTTACTGACTGACCTTATTGGCAATTGGACTCTTACACTTTTGGCCTACGGGAATTAAGAATACATGAGACGAGAGCCTTCTACGCTAAGACCGTTTCTTATTCTCAAAACTAGACAGTAGACACGCGCCAAAGAATCTATATGCTTGTCAGTAATCGAAAAGAAAGATATTAAGACAAACTTCGCTTGTTTTGTAGGTTCGTCGGCGTAATAAATCTGGGAAGGCTTGCCAGGCTGAATAACGGTTTAGGTATTTCATTTTTCAATCTCCGTGTTCTCGTTCTTTCGAGTCTGTTGTACGAGGGATAACGCAGTCGTTTCAGCAGGTGATCTTGAATCAGGGTCTACAACTAGTCACATACTGGGGGCTAGCTCTTGTCTCACCTGCAAGTACCACCCTCCCATGCTTCGCCCTACTACCCTCTTATGCAGGGCACGGCCCATAGTTAACTTCTTTAGGGGCCATGGGGTAGTGGCTGGAAGGAGCAAATCCGAGGTAGGCAGTCCAACCTCTTATTCGAACCCCCTTGCTTCCTCGCTTTCCCCAGTGACCAATTAATAGAACCAAAAGTGGTTCGTGATATCCACTCGCCACTGTATTATCAGTCAATCAATAACGTCGATTTGAGTTGCATTGCATTTGCATTGCATTGGTGTTCTGTCTCATTCCCGACCATGGCAAATAGCGATAATTCTTCCCCGTCGATTCTTCAACCATACTTACTCGTGCACTTACCACTGCCGCATATCCTTCCCTTTTAGTCTACCGTAAGTTTCTGGAGAATTAATAGGGCAGTTGAAGGTAGGTGTCCGCTCGACTTGTCCTTGCGCAACCGCTTGTATAGTGGCATTCCGCATGATGTCATTTTATTGATCCTTAGGGAATTGTATCCCATAATTCCAGATAGGTCTGTCTGTATTGCCAGCGAGCCTGCACGTCAGCCGGCCAGTTGTCCACGCTCAGTAAACTGGGTCACTGACCGCGGAGTGCTGCCTGGATTTAGCAAGCCATCTTGTTCAACCACCCCGATAACGGTGCTACAGCATCTCCCAAACCAGAAGGCCCATCCATTTATCCATCCACGATCACCTCGAACGCTCGGGCGGTAAGCAAAGCAAAGGTCCAAATAAAGTAGTATTGGCGATTCAAAATACTACAACAGCAGCCTAGGCCAAGCCAGCACTCACCAGCCAGTCACTGGCCGGCCGTAGTATTCTCTGTAATAACAGGAATCATACACCCCTAACCAACAACACACTGACCCTCTCCCCTCTTCCCACCATTCACACCATTATCCCAGCTAAAGTTCCATAGTGGTTCGCACTGGAATGCACATCTACATGAGCTCAGGCCAACCAACCAGCTTATGGGTTGGCCCCCTCCTGTTCCAAAAATGTGCCCATGCATACGTTGGTACCCCATCCATGATTCGCCTCGCCGAAGCATACGTATATGCAAGCTGGTATACCCGTGCCCAATCATTCTGGCAGTAATTTTTTAAGTGACCCTGTTTCTGCTACCTAGGTAGTATAACTGATTGGTCAGGAAATGGAGGTTTAAAAAAAGGTAAAAGAAAAAACAAAAGCATATTCGCGTTGGACGGAAAATGACACTTTGACCTCTTCTACATTATCCGGATATCCATACTTGTGCATATACATACATGCCTAGTTTGATTACGCTGCACGTACCTATGTATGCACTGGAGATCATGTAGATCATGATAGGATCCGGTGGGTTCGCTTTTTCTTTCTCTTCTTTTCCTTTCCGGGAGAGAGAAAGGGGTGGGGGGAATATCATAATTTCTTCTTAGTATTTTGAAGGCAATTGTAATATCATGGTCGTAGCGCTGAACATAGATTCACGAGATTAAACTGGATTATAGATATTTCCCATACATAACATATTAACCCAAATAGAGTATCTATATTTTAACACGGATATCGTACAGTAGCGTTGCCAGCTTTCCATCTTTTGTCCAGTGTAAATGAATCTATCTTTGTAGACAACGAACACCGATATTCAAAAACAGTACTGTACATAGAAACAGCCACTACTAATGCACGGCATGTAAAGAGAGCCACCACGAACCTCTATATATTGACAAGAATAAATAATAAAAGATATAAAGACTTTGGTTATAGGTGACTTCAGTTTTCATATCCGGTGTTAATTCCAGCTGGGAAAGATATATGCTGGATTCTCAATAATGGCCTGGAAAATTATATATTACTACGCAAATTGCCGTTCTATTCTCTCTCCAGTTGAGGGAGTGGTAATATCTTGTGGATCTTGTAAATTAGACTGGGGTAGCCTCAACGGACCTATGTAAGTTTGGTGCAGAGATATAATTGGAGTATGTCTACGTTGCAAATAAATTAAGAACCACAACAAGGTGTAGCAAAGAAATAAGAATCGGCAAGACTCATTTCATGGACATGGTAGCATAATATTGATACTGCAATTATTACTATTGCTTTCGCTCTTATTCCTCCAAATTCTACCACGGAGGTCCTAACCCAAACCACAATACAATTAAAATAGAAAGAATTCATATTGAACAGCATCTAGCAACATAAAGCACACCAAGGGAACACCTGTACAGAATGGTATCAAGTCGATTCCTTGCTCCCCTAACATCAAACCGTCCCTGTCCCAATAGTTACAATTGCAAAGCGAAACCAGAAGAAAAAACGGCACTAATTTAAACCAATGTCAAGCAACGCCAGCCGGTTTTATCTCGCCAGTTCCATATACAGTCTCCAAATAAAGTAAACAGTAATTCTCAGAGGGTAGTTTCTGCTTGGATGGTCGAAGTAAATAGACCTGCTGTCCGGTTCTCATTCAATACGAAACCCCTAGAAAATACATATAGAAATAAATAAAAGGCGTAATACGAAATGAGGTATCACAGGCAACCTATTTTCCCATTCCGTTCTGCATCATGTTTTGCTGTTGCTGTTGCTGCTGCTGTTGCATCACTTGAGCTTGTACGGCAGCAACCTGTGAGGCCCGTTGTTGCTGAGCAGCACTACGCTCTTGCCGAATAAGTTCATGAACCCAGGCTTTCGCATTTCGTTCAAGCCCAGCATTATATTGCTGCGCAAGCTGCGGGGGATACTGGGTAGGTGGGCCATAGTCCGCCATCAAACGAGTAGTCATTTCCTGCCTTAAACGCAACAAGCGCTGTTGATAAAGTTGGGTGTATCGCTGGGCCATCGCGCCCGGCGCCATATTAACCCCCTGCATGTTTTGTGGAAGATGGCCACCATTGGCTTGAGCAGCTGCCATCAACATCTGTTGCTGTTGGGCGTTCATTTGAGGGGCCCCCTGGTGCATCTGACCCTGTTGGCCCTGTTGTCCCTGTTGGCCCTGTGGCTGTTGTTGACCCTGAGGTTGTTGCTGTTGCTGATGTGACTGCTGCTGCTGCTGCTGTTGCTGCTGCTGTGCCATCTGTAGTTGAGCAAGTTGAGCTCGCATCAGCTGAGACTGATATGCCTGAGGATTTTGAATCTTTTGCTGTTGGGGCTGGTGGTTTTGCTGCTGAGCCTGCAGCATTTGTTGTTGATGAGACTGGATGTTCTGTTGTGCATGTACGTTGGCCTGCAATTGAGCAAATTGTTGTGGCGTGAGCTGCCCATGCCCAAGATGTCCTTGCTGTGCAAGTAGTTGTTGTCGTTGTTGCATCAGCATCTGCTGCTGGTGAGGCGTAAGGCCCATGCCACCGCTCATTTGCGGAGTTCCTGCCACGGCCTGATTCATCACGGGAGTAGCGGCCATTGTCGACCGGTTCGGGCTTGCATGACTCATGCGCTGCGTGGGAGTAACGTTTCGCATAATAGGAGTGGCATGTGACAGAGCTGGCGTTCCCTGTGCCATTTGGGGTGTTCCGTGCCGACTTTGCCCCTGTTGACTCCTTGACGGCGCCATTGGATGGCTCATAACATTGGGATGGGCATGTTGCAATGCGGATGGAGGCCTTGGAGGGCTCCCAGCGCCCTGCATGGAGGATGTCATGCTCATCGGGACACCCGCCTGCGTTCCAATAGTACTGCCAACCAGAGGTGATGACGTATTGTGAGGCGTTTGATTACGAACAACTGGTGACGACTGTGGACCCTGGCTGACTCCATTAGCTTGAGCCATAACATGTCGATTCTGCTGTTGTGCTGCCAGCTGTGCCTGAGCTTGTTGTTGTGCTGCAAGATGTTGCCTTCGGGCTTCTTCCTTGGCATGCTCCTCGGCTTGGCGTTGCTCCAGAGCACGGCGCCTTTCTCTTTCTTGTTCCTGTTGCTGCCTCTTGGCCATTTCTTGCTTAAGTTTAATTTCATGTTCGCGTTTGGCCTTCTCCTCGTGTTGCATCCGAATGTTCTCGAGTGTCTTAAAGCGCGAAAATCGTGGCTCGAAAGGCGCACCACCTCCAGTATCATCCACAACTGCAGATTTAGGACCTCCCGTACCACCAGAAGTAGCCGGCTCCAATCGCTCATCCATGATAAGCATGAATCGTTCTTCCTCGGCTGCCAAGGCCTCGTCAGCAGCAAGCTCCGCCACCGTTCGTTTCCTCCTCTTCGGCGAAGGCGGCGGGTTGTTATTTAGAGGACTCTCCATATATTTAAGCAAATCTTGTACAGCATCGAAGCTTTCAACGGGCTCCAAAAATAGAGGTGGTGCCAATGCTCTCGTCAGCTTGGCTTCGCATTCAAGGAGATCCTGCGGCTCAACCAGCATTTTTTGTCTCTTTGCAACATGGCCGCGCTCAGGCTGATGTGATGTCCCTCCGGGAGACGGCGGGGCCATAGAAGTAGATCCTTGAACACGAGAAGCTGGGTTCGGTGTTGATGGTTTTGGTGCCTTTGGATCAGGCGTAGTCGCAAGCAGTGTCAGCTCCGCCTGTAGTGAGCGAGGAGTTGGATGGAGGACAGTTGTGAAGACTCGAGGTTTAGGAGGCTGTTTTTGTTGAGTAGAGCTAGACTCATTTTCTTCGGTCTGATTCCGGGAGTCGTCGAATTGCTCTCCGTTGGTCTTCACATCCGACTGACTTCCCACTGTGGCCTCCTTGGAGACCGGCTTTTCAGTCGTCAATTGGTTCTGTTTTGGATATGGCACATAGGCTGAAGGAGTGACATGCTCGTTGTAATTATGAATCGAGAAAGGGGTGTTGTTTTCATTCGACGATGGAGTGGTCGATTTCCTGGTCTGTGCCGACACTGACTTGTGGTCGACCACACGAACGATAAGACAGCCTAAACATGGAAACAAAACATTACTAAATGCCACAAATCCCATGGCTTCGAGCTAGCAGGAATATTTACCGTCGTAAAATCGCACATTGGCCCGCAGCAGCTCTTCCATCATATCATGGGGGACAGTGCCAGCACGAATATGTTCGATGATCACTTTCATCTCAGAATTGTATGGGAAGCTTCCATCTTGTTGTTCAAACCGGAAATGAGTCGGATGGAGATGTACGATTAGGGACGGAGGTGACTTTGCAAACTTCTTGAGGATATGGGATGTCGTTTGTACTAGCAAATAAATTTTCCGTTAGAAAATAGGAAATTCGGACGGGAAGGCTTTAGAGCTCACCAAATGGCTCAGGAGAGGATGCGACGGCACAGCGATCATTCTCCGTCGACAAATTCCTGGCCAATGACCTTTGCAATCGAGCAGATTGTTCGCCAGGCTTTTGCGCATCCTTCTTGGATCGGTTCAAGGGACCCTTATTCGGGGCGCCACTCGCATCAGCTGCGCCGCTCGTGACTGGACCACCGGTAGAGCCTGTCAATGTGGATTGGCTTTGGCCCGGAAGGCGTTTAGATGTGGACTGTGGAGAGGTCAAGGACTGTTGAGACTTAACCCCATTGACCCCGGGTTGAACGAAAGGCGGGGGCGGCAGCTTCATCTTGGGGGGATGAGACGTGGGCTTAGAGATCGCAGTTGCCATGTTATCGTCAGCACCGCGCATGCGACACGACTACGGCCAACGGCCTAGAGGCGCGATTCCTCGGGATAGAAATCCGATAATGACAGGAGGAAGCCGTGTTCCGGAAATCGACGATGATATAACCGGAGCGCGAGACATGTGGGGAGCGGAGGGCGGAGCAGCGCAGCAACGAGGAGGCCGGAGTCAGTGCGGAAACTTGCACGAAGTCCGGAGCCGTTACAGACAAAAGAAGCCGGTGTCCATCGAAGGGACGCCTGCGAGGAAAGCAGGGGAGATTCGGCGAGGTTGATCGATCGGTTGACGGAGGTGGCTCTTCAAAGGGAGTTTGTCGACGCCAAGCCGCGATGGACGTAAATGAGGTCGAGTCACATGATAACTGCATCGGGTTAGTCCTTCCATCCCTGGCGGCGAATGAATAATGAAATAGTATTGAGAACGAATATTCACATAGTTGGTGGTTTATTGAGGTGGTATGAGACAATAGGACTCGAGACATCTATGAATAGAACTGTACATGTATATTCACCCCATACAGAGCTCTCCCTGTAAATCTTATTCTCCGAAGATACGAGTAAATTTCACTACAGCAACCAGGTGTCACTTATCAGTATGTTTGAAGACAGTAACACCTTCAGATGAATACAATGCGAATCCGATTCTCCTTCAGTCCTACTCTATTGTAACCACAGGGTCATTCATTGATAAAAAGCCAAGATGATCATCCCGCATTCAGATGAAACTTGGGGTTAATTTCTGCCAAGGACAATGTCGTCATTCAATATGCACAACAGAAACATCACAAGTTGTGGGCACAATCATAAGAAAAAGGGGAATCAAGAAATAAGAAAGCAATGGGGAGAAAAATACACATATAAACCCTTCGAAAGCCATACAATCGACCGCCTCCATAGAACCCTGGCGCATCCCACCTTCTAGTCAAAGCCAGATACCCTACGTCGCCAGTCATCTCCTGTACGGAGCGCATCGACAACATCGATACGTTTGCCGATTCCAGTAGTTCCTTCCCTCTGCCACCAAGGGTCACCTTTATCCGCAAGAGTCGATTCATCCTCGCTGTCGACTAGTCCGCCTCGGCCGCCCTCATCACCCACGACGACAACAACTTGCCTAACCCATCCGGAAATATGGTGCACTGCATCTCCTTCTTTTCCCGCCAAAGACTCTTGGACATATACAATGTCAGGAGAGATATGTCGTACAAGGTGCACGTATCCTGTAGGGGTGTTGAACGGCATGATTGCGTTGGACTTCTCTACAATCGCTTGAGCCTGCGTATACATAGTCTTGAAGAGAGGCGTTATGCCTTCAGAATCATCCGCGGCTTGAGCACCTGGTGAAGGGAGTTCACCGGGAGATGCAGCCTCTTCGGGTGCGATATTTGAGTACGACGAAGTAACGGAGAGGGTAGGATGCGATCCATTACCCTGAGAAGGAGCATGTTTCAAGCCTGGTGAATAGATCATAACAAATATCTTAGCCATATCCGGGTTGACATGTTCAGGAAGATGCGACAGGATAGACTATCAAACATTGTCAGTGTCTTTCAATCCACGCAAACTTTTATTTGAGACGAGACATACCACGTAGTCGGACGTAAATTCTTCGGACTCGAGGTGTGAGGCTTCGGATGACACAACAATTGCCACAGTTTTCTTCCTTTTGTCAAGATGTGAAGGGCCACCAACTGCGCTGTGGCCGGGGAGGGCACCTTTCATAGCTGGGGCCGGCATATCCGGTTGCCCTCTGCGGCTGGTTCGATTTTCCACTTCTTCGGACCACCGTGAATGATCCTCGTAGTCTACCCTGTCCTCTTCTCGAATAGATGTTAAAGCACCACCCACAAATGCTCCTGCCGCGGCCACGCCGGCTGCAACTCGTTTGCTGGCACCGTCGAAGATCTGTTGGGGGCTGGGAGTGCGTCGCAAAGCCCCCTGCATCCGAGCCATCATACCAGCATCATCCGGGTGATCACCATGAATATCTGTCGCTGTCGTTCCAGCATAGTCTTCATCATACGTGCCGCGCGAAAGTCCCTCCCCGCTAGCACCGGGCGCTGGGAATCTTTCGTCGTCCCGGGGGTAATCACCGTCGTTATCATCATCTTCGCTCCGTTCGCTCCATATCCACGCTGCAACGCTGACAGTCGCAATACCTACAGTCAAGGCCAGGGGAACCCAGTATCCCAGGAATGTTCGCCTACCAGTCGAGCTGAAGCCAGTACCGGCTCCGACCCGCCGACGACGAGCATCCTGGGAATAAGGGAAAGACATTGCGGTCACTGAAGTCAATTAGAAGTAGCGCATAGAAACAAAGCAGTCGCCGTATATTCCAAAACACATTTCAAGTCGGCTCGAGCAGAGTGGGAGTTTGATTGTGGAAGAAGAGTAAGGAAAGGAGTGCGCAGCACAGGCTGGGCCTCGGAGGAGCCGAGAAACATGTGGCTGGAGATGCTCCCGCCCGTCTGTTTACCCGCGGTGTTTACGATTTACAGTATTGGCCGGGGTCAACCGCGCTGTTTGCATTGTTTGCTTGTATTCGCCGGTAAATATCCTTCGTGACTATTAGTGGCGGACCACCTGACCACCCACCGCCTTTCCGCCGGTGGGTGGTCGGCGGCCTACAGGCATTTTCACCCTAGAGGCAGATTTTTAAAATATTATCTTTTTGAAGCCATACAAACCACCCAACATGACTAAATTATCTGAAATTCATGATGGGCGTGTAGATGAAGCCGTCCGAGCTGCCCAGCAAATTAAAAAACCAAATATCGCTAAAATAGCGCGAGAATTCGGAGTTCCTTACCGCACGCTATACGGCCGCATCCACGATCATAAAAGTCTCGAAATGGTCGCCCCCTACAAATAAGGCGCTTGATCAATATCAGGAGACTGCCTTAGTCCAGTGGATTGCTAAAATGCGAGATCTTTATCTTCCCGTTACAATTACGCTTCTTATTAACTTTGCAAATCAAACATTAAAGCGGGTTGGATCCCTACGACGCGTCGATCGATCCTGGGCGTATCGCTTCGCTAAAGGCTTCCTCCTGACCTCCAACTTCGTCCAGAGATACAGAAAACGAAAGAAAAGAAGCGAATAGAAGCAGAGAATGTTGGAGAGCTTCAGTTTTGGTATAATCAGCTCGCAAATTTGCTTCGCGGGGTCCCCGATTATCTCGTGTATAACTTTGACGAGTGTGGATTTCAACCAGGCGAAGGAAAGAATCAAAAAGTGCTAGGGACAAAAGGAAAGAGGCCTCGCGATAATCCTAAAGCAGAGCATGCAGAGAATATAACTGCGCTTGAGTGTATTGCTGCAGATGGCTGGGTTATGACTCCGTTCTTTATTTTTAAAGGCCAAAAATTTATGGAGCGTTGGTACGATGATAAAGACATTCCAGAGGATTATTATACCGCGGTCTCTGATAAAGGCTATATTAATGATAAACTAATGATTGAATGGCTTCATCGATTCCATGAAGAGACCAAGAATCGTAAAAAAAAAGGGGAGAAACGTGTTCTTCTCTTTGACGGTCATACTTCTCATAAAACGCTCGAATTTATTCAACTCTGCGAGACCTACGAGATTCTTCCTTTCTGCTTTAAACCTCATACAACTCACCTCTGCCAACCGCTTGATGGAAAGCCCTTTCTTACATATAAAACACATTTTCGTAATGCGAATAATCTCATCGCGCAGTGGTGTGGGGTGCCGGGAGATAAATCGACTTTTTTACGAGATATCGCGGCCGTACGAGACAAGACTTTTAAGCAACGAATTATTCGCAACTCGTTTAAAGAACGCGGAATCTTCCCTCCAGATGGGTCCTCTATAATTAAAGCAATTGAGCAAACTTTACCGCCGATTCCAGAGATCTCCGCGCCCGATCTACGCGCGTACGGAGAGACTACGCCTCCTCCGAATCCTCTCTTTTAAGCGTTGAAAACACGCCTCCAAAACCGCTAAGCAAGTTGAAAAGAATCAGAAGAAGCTGCTTCATCTACTGGATAGCGTACAGATTAATCCTCGCGTTGAGCGCTGCTTGGAGCGCATATTTTATCAACAGAAACTTCAGTCGGAACAACTTAATATAATGAACTCTACTCTAGAGCGAATTGAAGCGGTTCAGGCACCTCGCCGCCGCCGCAGGGCTACTAAACGAGAGGTTCCACGCCTTGGAGATAGTGGTATACTACGCGTACGGGATGCAAATCGCTCTATTGCAGGTAGGAGAGCCAAAGAGGCGTTAAAAAGAAGAAGAAAGCGGATAAGGCATTTAAAGAGGCGTACGGCTTCGCCCCCCCCACGCCCCTGCTGCGGAAGATCAAAATCCTGTCTCCCATAGTGAAATGGCAGAGGAATCGGGTAGTCAGGTTTTTATTATGGATTCTACAGGTTCTAGGTGTTGAATTACGAATTGCTTCAAAAAATCTGCCTCTAGGGTGAAAATGCCTGTAGGCCGCCGACCACCCACCGGCGAAAGGCGGTGGGTGGTCAGGTGGTCCGCCACTAATACCCCTTACTTCATAGTAAAACGCGAACTGAGGCTGAGTCATATATCCTATCGGCACGTGATTATAGGATGTTTGTTGATAGTTTCAGGTTGCTGGGAAGATGACTTTGTGTTTCTCGTTTATTACTTATATACTATGGATGGTATTGAAATAATGCGCTAGACCGTACCTATCTGACGTCTCATCCCATCATTCGGCACTGGAGACGCCTTGTAATGATACCCTTCCCCTCTACTTTGTAAGCCGCGCCCTTCTTCTACACACATTCCAGCGTGGATTAAGTGCTTGCAAGGTACTACAATAACTAGGTACAACAGCTCGGAATTCCAATTCATTGCCATACCTCACTCTGTGCCCGTGCTCCAACAAGCTTCCAAGCTCTCATTCTATGTACGCCATGCGTCTTTCAACACCTTCAATTGTGAACTTGAGGAATTTCACAATGCGCTCATCCCGAAACCGAATCGCCCAATAGCGTGATATCCTTTGGACTGGAAAAAGTAGATGTCCACATTGCGATTGAAGCCTCTGTGCCCAACAAATTTCCATGGTCTAGTTGAATGCGCCAAACATAGCCCTTGTTACTCCTCCCGCTAGTCAGGCGCCGCTTGAGGCTGTCATATCGCAGAAACACCCATCTTACCTTCCTTCCTGCCCCTTTTGCGTCATATCTGATGCCTTGTAGTTGGGTTAAGTGTTTAATTCACGTTAGCTCCCATCTAGTGGATGGGGATAAAAAAATAATCCCCAAAGAAAAGACATCGAAGAGATTGAAATAATTTTCAGTAAAACTCTTTTCAATTATTCTTGAATGGTTCGTTTCCTTGATCCATGGCACATACATATACGCTTTTGATTATTCCGAAAATAAGTCATCCCCACGAAGAACAATCGAATAGAAGATTAAATATCCTCAACCCAGAGTGCCAGAAACACATCATAAGCTATTGAAAATGGGCTTGAATTAAAACAAGAAAAATGGTAGAGCCTTCACCTCCTGATGTTGATATCCTGCCGCTGAATCTGTTCAGTCCATCAAACAAGCGGTTTTCGAAAACAGCGATATAAGAGTTGAAGCTGCAATGCAAAATATCCGGGGTGATTTTACACCAAATACATACTGTATAGCGAACTCAGTGGTGCTGATTACATGTGTAAATTCAATCGTCGCTTAAAAACAAGCTGTGAGAATTTGTCGTCTTTTTCTTCCATGCGAACATGTTACTGCGATGAACTATCCGGAGTCAAATATATTGGTTGGCCTTTGCACTATTTCGCAACTGGCCGCTTGCGTTTGTGGCTTCGAGATGGGGTGTGGCTGTTTAGGTTGGCTTCAGCCGAATCCAGAGATCTACTGGGGTGTTCCGGTGTCATGATCATGGGGGCCTGTACTGAATGAGAAGAAACAGGTTCTCGGTTTCCCAACAGACCTAGTTCGATCTGCTTCTTGTCATTAGTTGGAGTTTTACCTTTCCACTTTCTCATAGTATACTCGGCCATAGGTGAGGAGGTTGAACTGCTAGAGTCCTCTGAATTAGGATAATTATGATGGTCCACTCTCTCCGGGGTCCGAGGCATTGGTACTGGGGTCATGAATACCCTATCAGGCCTTTCAAACTTAGGAAACAGATTGAGAGCATTGTAAGTATATTGGCGAGAGATGGACTGTCTCTTGCTCTCTTCTGATACCTGGGGTGCCTGGCCGGTCTGCTTATTGGCAGCAATTGCAGCTGAGAGTAACTGATTGTGAGAGCCGCGTCTAAGAGAGTTTGAAGTACCTGGCCGAAAATCCTGGTGAGAATTATGGAAGACCGGACTAATGCTCATATTGTGAGGCATCTCCATTGGAGAAACCATGGGGTTGTTGTATCCAAATTGATGATGATCAGTTTGGTGCTTGGTTTTTGCTTCCGGGGTCAGAGGTGTTTGCATAGTATTTCCTGCTGAGCGAAAAATGTCTGAATGGATAAAAGTGGCTTGCTGGTGACCGTTTGGTGCCCTAGTAATATCTCCAGCCGTCATGTATGCCCCCATTGTCTGGGCCAATTCGGGGTTCACTGTTAAGCCAAAGAGAGTATTAGGTTCTCTGAAGTTTTGTGAATCAGCGCCTTTTGATGCTATTGATATAGTAGAACCCTGTGTCCCATTTAGTGACGTCTCACATTCCGAGGGGTGTATCCAGTCAGATACATTTTCACAAAAAGAGATCATGCTAGAATAGTGCTCAGCTGCCTGGCCAGGACTCAGAATCATTTGTGTACTCAAAACATTATCTAGTGACAGAGGGGTTTTGATTCCAAATTGGTCTCCTAACTGGCCCGATGGTACTTTTTGCCTCAAACTCACAGGACTTTCCCTAGTGCTGGATGCTTTTGTCGAGCGAGAGTCAGATATTTTATCGCTAGAGTATTGTGAAGTGGCGTAGTACGATGGGTCTCTTTCTTGTTTATTCTTCATAGCACCCGTGGCTAATGGTAGGAAGCCCGTCATAGAGGAAGACACAAAGAAAGAGCCGCTGGAAGGGCGGAAATCCTTCGGTGATTCTTTCAGAGTCCAGTAATTGGTGGGGTCTATTCGCTTTTCCCAAGCAAGCTCGAGATCGAATTCATAGCCTGGATTCAATGCATGACATTTGCACCCACCAGCTAACTGGTGTACTAGCTGCTCCATCGACAAGATGTAATTGTCTCTCTGAATATTGCAAATTCCTGGCTGACCCCACCGTCTGTGGTCTCCTCGAGAATAAAAGCACGCAACTCTGTCTAAAAAACCGTACTCGTATGCGGACGCATCGAGAATAAATTCAAGATTTTGTATAGTCAATATGAGTCGCTTCGCATTCTCTATGTTCTTTCGGCACGGATGGTCTGGCTGTTGCTGGCATAGCCAGCAGGTATAGTCGACAAGAGACGCTGTTGCAGTATCTTCGCTATGGGTGCCTACACCCTTAAACGGGCAGGTCAGGTATGAGACAATGAGATGGCTGCAAGCATACCAAAAAACAATCATCTGACACATAGTGACAATATGTTGCTAGTGTGATAGGCTTATACACAGTACAGAATGCAAGACCAGATGTAATAAAGTGAAGTTGGCAATAATCTCCAATGCGTTTATTAGTCTGGAATAAATCTCTGCGACAAAGTAAATGCTGATGGTCTGAGAGGAGGGAAAAGAAAAAAGTTAAATGCCGTCGTTGTCGGAGCTGCTGGCAACAGTGGTCTGTATTCACTCTCACAGAGAGATTCCAACAACACAGTGAAGTGATTTAAGTGCTTCAAACAGAGAGCCAGGTATACATAATTTAAAAGCTCAAACAGCAGCAGGAGGAACCTGTCCTAGACAGAGTCTTAGCAGAAGGAGTTACACTATTTCATAGAGCAAAAAAATGATAAAGATACAGATAGGGCTAGGCACCTGCCTTATCGAGTCATGTTGACGCTATTAATACTATTAATATATACATCGATATTACTTGATGGCCAACATCGCTTTAATTCAATGCATTTATGAACTCTGTAGAATTCTAATATGCAATAATCACATCTATATTACCCAAATACTTCGCCTATCTGTAGGAAGTAGGATTAGAACAGCCATAAGGTTTTATTTTTTGTTCTCTCCTTTAATGAAGAGGCTTTATTGTATACTTCTGATATGCAGAGGAGCACGGTCAATTTTATATTCTTATTCCTTATATAGAGTTCATCACTGCATTGAAGGAGTTAGAAATGGTATAATTTCATGAAATCACCCCTACTAAATTAACTATCAGTTTATAACAGCTAAATATTTATTGGCTTCAATCTCAAAATGCACGTGCAAGGGCAGTTAGCATGCTGACCTGTATACGATATTTATAGATCTGTTTCATCCAGAAAGTAAAGGATCTACAAATAACCCTTACAAGGGAAAGACTCGTCGATTGCGTATAATCAGTCTGCAATATTAACCAGCTTACTTCAAGCTGATTTGCTAGTTGAACTCAACGTTTAAGGTATCATGAGGCTGCAATGATTGCGAAACAATTGTCAAGAATATACTCAAAGAAATCTGTGCTTGGTTGTGTATGTTCGCGGATAGCAAATTTTATATTCTGTCATGGCTGGACTTGATGCCTATTAGCTAATTGGAAGGTTTATGTTATGCGTGGCTTTGGCGACTTTAGGTATCACTGCATAAACTATTTTTGGTTGAAGATATTCAGTTGCCTTCTGAGTGCTGAAGTAATAAACTTAACCATTTAATTATGCATTTATATATGCAAACAACAACTTCTACTTGGAATCAAGAATGTCACTTACATTAGGCACTCTGTATCAGAAATAGTTATCCGATTCTCAGTGAATAGCCATTGATATACACTCTGTATTGTGGACCACAAGGGTGGGTCGAGGTTGGGTCTACCATGCAGAATGCCCAGTATCTACTCCGTAGTACGGAGTATTCCGAAAGCATACACTATGGTTCCTTGGCTCGCCAAACGTGATATTATAACTTGCAGCAACACAAAAAAAAGAAAAGAAAAGAAAAGCATGTGATTAGATAGTAGGAAGTAGACAAAAGTCTAGATGTCCTTGCCCAGCACTACTTTAATAGCATCCCGAAAACATAGCAAGTCCACTTGAGACTTTATCAACAGCTAGCTTATCGGCAAAATTATCTCCGGTGGATCTGCATCAGCCGCCCCCTCCTGGCGCTTTTGTCTTCGGTCGCGACCCCGCTTGGTGGCTTTCCGGTTGCAGCGTCATGCAGAAACCCACTAATTGAGGGCCTGGAAACTTTACCAAATACCAACTATTTTGCTATCCAAATAACACCAATCGGAGATCGAGAAAGGTGGTTCTGGCTGACGTTACTGATGGAGTGAATGGGACAATAGGGGCTTGTGAATGGAGGGTGATGCCGCTGCTAGTAGGAATGGACCTCGGGAGCAGTCATATGATCAGTATTCATCCATATATGAGGGACTTGTTAGTACTTCTCGACTACGCTTGCTTCGTGGCCGACCCGTGCATACCTAGTTATGAAATACAAGGATTAATCCAACTGTCCGTCCGGACACACGGGTTATTCCAAGCCAATGTGCGGAGTAAAGCAAAGTTGTATCGGTGTTTGATGTTGGCCTAGCCCTGCTGCCTGCAATGCATAGTGAACTGTCCGGTCTGATCGGTGAGATATTACTGTACTAGATATGTATGGATTAAAGAGATCTTAATCTGAACAACATTTGCGGGCTAGCCAAAGAGTAGATGTATTGCGTCTAGCATGTATTCCTGGAATTGCTTTATTGGGTTGTGCATATTTTTGCAAAAATTGCGATGTACTGTATTCATCTTATCGCACTCTGGATGGAACTGTAGTGTTCTTTTAGCATACCAATTGGTCAAGCCACCAATGCGGGGAGAAATGTATCTTCTGCCTAAAGCCTGTTGAGGGCAATGAATTGATTCGCATAGTTCAGGTCAATGATTAACTAAGGTGCGAAATTCCTAGTGCAAATACTGAAATTACTTATACTGTTGTAATAATTAGTTCGTACGTGGAGTGCTTATTTCTAAATCCAGCTGTGGTAATAGTAATGTTGACAAGTATACTTATGGCCGTCTATCAGACCATTCTTACTACCCCATATTGCTTGAAGAAGTCCCGGATCCAAGTGAATTCAATTAACAAATAGGTAGTAGTCTGCTGTACTCCACATTTTCATTTCCCCAGATAACTATCTTGTACACGGTACATATAATACGCGACATTCCATGTTATTCATTACTCCGACAAGGATTATGATCGGCTTTTATTGGATCCTAGGCACTCTCCGAGTAAGATGTTAGCCTGCTCGGTTCCAGCCCCCATGGCTCCATAGAGAGTAGGTACCTGGGAGGGGTAAGCATTGTCAACCCAGCGAACATGTCAGTGGTCCGTTGTATATATTAACCGCCAAAAATTTATTGAGCAACCTGTCGTCCTTATTAATAATTAATCTGTTTGAATAAAAGTACTCTATACAGGGATTAGATTTCGACACATGCCACCTCGACAAAACCCGGGTTTCCTACGGAGTAAATAATTATCCTTAGAGGACGTGCAGTCCGTTCAGGTTAATCAATCACGCACGGGCTCCAATTACTTTTTCCTTTCCCTTTTAACACAGTCAGGAACATGTTGTACTGTGCTCCATACATAATGGTATAATCATAGGTATCATAACACTATGCTGAGCTTGAATCCTGCTTGAATCATTTATAATAGTTTTATGAAGAAAAGATAGTACCCGTAGTTGCTAGATAAATGCATTGGAAGCTACGTACTATTACCCGAGGGATTTCAGCAAAAGAGAAATATTAAGAGATACTCTTGCACATATATTATATCCATGCTTATGACACATAGACAACAAATACTAAACACTCAGGAAATATCTGGTTAATTTAAGCCCTTCCCCTTAAGAAGCGTTCAACTGCGAATCGCCGTTGGGGTACTGTGCAAGTAACATGTGGCAGTGTGGCTGTATTAGTCTTGTACCATACATACACATAGTTTGGTACGCATCAGATGGTGTAATCTCCGTGCCTAATTCCTCCAACCGAAAGCCTCCCAGAAAAGAGCAGGTTTCATCTCCCACTGGTTTCTACTATCAATGTCCGACCAAAATAAATAAAACTCCACATCCACGGATTGTCGTCTTTGGCCTTTATAATTATACTAAAACTAGCTAAACCATGGATAATGGCACGGTGTTTGTAAGAGTATCTAACTCAGTCCGCATCATACGAGAAATTAAGGTACTTGATCTCCTCGGTATGCGTGTTGCAACATATTAACTTATGAGAACCAGTTTCATATGCCCAACTACGGAGTATATTTTATTAGTCACTGTTTTTCGGTCTCCCCACTCTCCTGGTTCCGTTTAAGTAGGAGGAAAATACCTAACCTCCGATTGCGGGGCATTCGCATGACTTTGTTCCATGGTCTCTATCTACCCTAGATGACTTTATTCAGTAGATACTGTAGATACTCTTCCAATGATAAGGCCTTCCATGGCCCGACTTTTTGAAGAAAAAATCGCCTGGCGCTGTTGAACTACCTCGTCTGTGATAAAGGTGCTCAACATGGTCGGAAAATCTTTTAAGAGTTACACTACTCCGTATGTAGATAGAGAGTTTTCTTTCTATACGAACGGCAGGTTGTGGAGAAAAGGGTTGCCAAGCAATTGAAGGAAGCCTGAAACTTGATCGATAAAAATCAATGATATGCACCCGCCACTGACTGTCAGGTTGAGTGACGCGGTTGGAGAGCAAACCCCCGAATCAAATGCTGGATTGGCGACGTTGTTGTCGATCACGCGGGAACTCCTTACATGGATCTGCGCCGGCCGCGTCTAGCTGCTAGCAGTACTTACCGAGACTCCGCACTGGTGTTAAATTCATATACGCAATGGTCTAATCTGATTAAGGCCATATAAAATGAGGTCAGTGAGCTGTAGAGGTTACAAGCGAAAGCACGACTGTAGAGCGACGTAGCTTCTGAACAGAGTAGGTAGACATTGCTCGTGCTCCCCTCACATTCTATGACCGAGTTAATGGAGGTGGAAAAGCGGAAAACTGAAAAGAGTGGGCCGCACATTATCTAGCCTGCATAGTGCAACCGAGAACCATGGAGTACGAGTGTTAGCATGGTCTGATGTGAAGGAGGGGGGAAAGGGCTCGGTAAGAATCAAATTTTTAATAAGAAAAGGTGGAGGAAGCTTTGGTGAATCCATGATACTATTTATCTCAACACGCACTAACAAAAAAACAAAGTGGTAAGAAGGAAAAAGAGAGAGTGCTTCGAAGGTTAAATCATCTAAATGACGAGGCTATTGAATCCTTTGAAGCTCTCCTCGCTTCGTGTTGCCATGATCTACATGTAGAATCTTGGGGAAGTTTAAATCGCGTGTGTAGGCATGGCGGTTGCTCAACACAGCAAAGACAACAAAATTTTTTTTTCAGTTATTAACACAAAAGACGCTATATTTCAGCTTCCTACGTATTATCCCTGTTCTATCTTTTAGCTTCATCAACTGGAATATGTGCTGCAAGGATATATATATATAATGGCTCCAAGAAAATGGACATGTGCTGGAACCCGAATGAGGGGGTCATTCTTAGATCAGTTATTTAGAGAAGAATTACCATTACATAGTATCCAGAAGTTAACAGTGACAATGCATTACATTTGCATAAAAGCTCGAATTTTGACCTAATAATTAACTGTACGTATGTCTGGAGTACACCAGCCTTGTTCACAACCAGCCAGGCTTTCAATTTTGCCTGCCTTTTTTTTTTTAAAAAAAGAATTTTTTTTTATTTTTTTTGCTTTTCTTAACGCCCTGCCACAATCTACAATAGACGTAGGTGGTAAATTTATACTCACATAGTACACGCCACGACGGATATACATCCCTGTGGACAAAATTAGAATATCTTCTGCGGGGAAAAGCAATAGCGTGCGATTGGTTTATATCAAGATAACTGACATTGTATATACAAACTGTAGTATATTCTCTGCTCTTCGTATATGTTTGCGTTTTCGTTAGGATCGGCTTCGGGTTCGGCAATTTTTCCAGACAGGGAAAGGATTCCACGGTAGAGGGCCGGAAGTGTAAGAGCCTGTGACAACTGACAGTGCGCCATACTAGTTGATTCATGACTCTTTAATATACAAGGTATGACAATTAGGTTCGATGGGACCCATGGAAATCTATCGCGGGAAATTCCCACTGGGCGAGATAGATTGGGATGGATTGGGCCATGGTTGAAATGAAAGAAGCTCCGGTACCTGGAACATGAATGAGACGAACAGAAGCAGAGGAAGAGCTGCCCTAAACTGGCCAGCCTTTCACTTGGACTAGAGATCCATAGCAGTGTAGGCTCTCTATAAGCAGTGAATGAATGAGTGGATGACAAAAGTCTGGAGAAAGAATCTTACTAGTAGCAGTAGCCAAATTATGGAGTTCGGGCAGCATACCCGTAACTAAGCCGCTACCTAAGTGAAATGCCACGCGTTCGGCACATCATTAAGAACTATTTAGTCCCTTGGTATGGAGTACGGAGTAGATTTATAAGATAAAGAAATGAGTTCTTGCTAGACGACTCAATCAGCATCCTCCTTCGCTAGAGAGTAGGGTGCTCCTTGATTAGTGCCTCCACAGATGGGGCACTAGCTATCTCCAGGCGGTTTCTCCGAGCTTCCGTGCGTTGGGTTTCGGAGGTGAATCCTGCTCAGCATTGATCGTTACGGCTAATAGTTTTATTAGTTAACCTTGTGGTCGCAAATCAATGTCTAATTTGCTCAGCAGTTGGCTGGAAATTAGTGAGTAAATGATCCATGGTATTATGCATTCGGAACGTTTTTGGTTAGGGACTCTATCTCTCCATCTTTCTATTTGTCGCATTAGCGTGTAAACGAAAAAAAAAAAAAAAAAGAATTAACTATTCATCATTTTCAAGTTGTCCTGACATACTCGGTGTAGTGATCTTGTGATAAACCACAGGAATGTTCCAAGGCTGGAGGACATAGAGAGATATGTACTCTGTAAATGCGTCACCCCCTAAATCCCACAGCGTCCATGAGTAAAGATGTATTCGTAGACATCTTCAGTTAAATCGAGTTTTCTGGCCGTTCATCACTAATAGCAACGTACTCTGTACATTCCACGCGGATTGAGTGGGTTGGTGTTGTAGTTAGGGGGTCCTTGACCCGCTTTCGTATCTACCTAGTATACTGGTGGTAGTATTATTGGTATCATTACTGAAGTAAAACCGTAGAACGGAGTATCTATGTTGATCTCTTACCTGTACAATGACTTTGCTAGATTTACCCACCTCCACAGGTAACTGCCTACTTACCTAGGTGGGTAAGAGATACTACAGTGTACACGCTGTATACAATTACATACAGTACCGCCCCAAGGTTCCATGTCTTACCTATGAATGGATGAGTGGTTGGCTGATTATGGAGTAGTGCTCCTGCTATTATTATTAGAAGGAGATCCAGGAGAATTTATAGTCACATAGATTAATATAATAATAGTTGTCTAATAGTTTTGCTTTTTTTTTCTATTTTTTCTTTAAGAAACTATTTTTCCCTATTGTACAGCTGTACACAGAACTCCGTACAGATCAAAAACTTTTATTTTCTGGTATGACTTGCAGCTGCAATAATAGTAATCATGGAATAATAATAGCTACTTTTCAATAATTAAGCTCCTGAACATCACCACTTCTGCCAATAATTTTTTTTTCTCTAATTTTCATTACTGTCGATAATTATTATTCTGAGAGGAAATACGATCGATTGAATTTCCCCTCTCGTGGATTTTGTAGCACTTTTCAGATCTTTTCTTTACATTTTCCTTTCCTTTTACTTAGTACTTTTATTTATTTATTAAACCAATTAAGAAAATTAAAGGGGAAGACATTAGAAGGAAAAGTGCTAGAGAAGGAGAGGTGAGCAATTGGTGTGGTGCTCCCATCTCGCCCTTCTCTGGTCCGTCAGTCTCCGCCTGTCAGTCTCCCGTAAAGTGACTAGCATCCATTCCACCCAACCTCACCTCCCCCCATTATCTCCCTATTCCCTTCCCTTTTCTTTCCACGCCTTCAACCCCTCTTGCTCATTCTTCTCTTCTTTTACCTCACGCCCCCCCCCCGGTCCATCTCATCCCATACCCCTGGTCCAGTGAACGGCCTGTCTTCTGGTTCTAACAGAAGATAAGGTGCCATTCTAAGGATCTGGTAACTCCTTTTCTCTTTCTAAACTGTTCGTTTCTGGCTTCTATTTTCTTCCTCCCCTTTTCTTCTTGTTCTTTTAATCCCATTTACCTTAAAAATCAATTTGTACATGGCTCGTCCGCTCTAGAAAGCACCTGCCATCCTGGAGTCTTGGTTCCTGACGTCTCAACCCGTCGCCAGCTCCTTCGATCGTCCGATTCGAGCCTTTCGTTTAGTTTCGACATCATTCATTTCGCATTTACTTGAGCGTGTTTTTAATCATTGTATCTGTATAATCTACCTTTGCATTTATTAGAACAGGTACTGTCACCCAACATATTCTCTCCCTGGGAGGTGCACGCGCACTATTCGTTTAAATCAATCCACAGCCGTCGATCGCTGAACCAATCCTGAAAGTGCGTTGGTCTTCTTGTGCAATCCTAACTGACAACCGCGTGGCACAGGAACTCATCCGTTTTCATTCATCGTTTCTTCTTCTCCTACATTCTCCCTCTCGAGTTACTTCTGGCACTAGACCGATCGATTTTCCTTGACTTGGGTCCTGCGGATTTTAGCGAGTGCACCTGTCAAGATCTTGTCCTACAGACGTCGCCAGCTACGCGTCAGACCCCTCTTCTGTCCGAATATAGGACAAAAGCATCATGGCTGCGTTGGTTCAGACGATTCCTCAACAAAGTGGCACGGTTCCAGTGCTTCAGACTCGCCCATCGTCATCGTCGGGCACTTTCACAACCCCGTCTCAAACGTCGCAACAGCAGAACTCAAGGAATCCGACCATGTCTTGGAACACATACAATACAGTGGGTAGCTCGGGCAGCTACAGAGCAGGCCACCCGGTTGTGGCCCCTTACGCCTTTACCAGCACACCCAACCTCTCCAATTCAGCCAATGTACAGAACCGCCAGTCGTGGTCCCCCAATCTGAGGCCGGAACAACGAACTTCCTCTTCCCCTTCCGTCTCTCAGACGTCTTCTAGTCTCCCCTATGTCGGAGTCAACTCGCGATCGGCCAATCACCTTGCAGCTGGTTCTGTATCCACTTCATCATCCAATTCTTCCATACAGTCACACGTCTCGAAAGACGATACGGCCCTTCCATCAAGGCAGTTGCGTAGTGAAACTCCCCTTCGCCCTCTATCTACTGTCAATCTGCCATCTCCATCGTCATCTTTTATGAACATTTCCTCTCCTACCGTCCGCCCCTCTCCTGATCGTTATCGTCGCGGAAGTCGACGACCCGATAGCATAGCTTGTACACAGCCTACTGCTTCGACGAATGGTGCAGGGTTGTTGACGCGCTCTGTTTCAGGAACCTTGGATGACAGCACATCACAGTCGAGCATAAATAGTGCATCTGTATCGAACACTTCCCTACAGGAACCACGGAATCAAGGCCACAATCGGGTGTCCAGTGCTGATGATACGTCGCGCGGAGAGAAGCCCCAGCCGGAATTGGCCAAGAGATATAGGCGACGAAGCTGGGGAACTATGGATAATGCTGGTCTCATTAACCTACAACTTCATTTACCGACATCGTCGCCGACCCCATCAGCAGGCGGTAATGATTACTTTGATTCGAACCATCGACCACGGTCGGCTCAATCACACCGAGATGTTAGTGGAAGTATTCACTCGGCTCACTCCTCTTCCTCTTCAGTAAGTTCACTCCGTGGAACGCCTCATTAGGGCTCTAACGAATATCGATTAGGTCCGTGAACCAGGACTCACAGAATCCGCGTCTTCTCCCAGCAAAGCTCCTACCAAACTTGAAGAGGCGAAACGTACCCCCAAGCCATCACCGTTATCCCAACCTGTTACTGTAGATTCCACACTCCCAAACCAGCCTACCCAGCCCGAGCAGAAAGAAAAGCCTGATCCGACGGAGAGCGCCGCCACTCAAAGATTGGCTGAGATAAAAAACGAGCCTAGGAGGCTTGGAAAGTCTCGCCTGAGAAGGGCATTCTCATTTGGAAGTGCTTCAGAGCTCCTTAAAGCCTCTGCCCAGACTAGTGCGGGGAAGAGGGAGGCCGTTGCCCTTGAGAACGCTCGAAGGGAACTGCTTCATGAAGAACTGGGCCCAGAGCAGGCAGCCATAGCAGAGCAGCAGGAAGCAAGTGGCCTGGGGGAGAGCATTTACTCACACCACCAAGGTCACTTCTTCAATAACTCCACAGATAATCTGTCTGTATCTTCAACAGCATCCTCTGCGTCAATCATGCTTCGAAAAATGGGCAAGGGAATGAAGCGGTCTACAAGGTCTCTTGTTGGGCTGTTCCGCCCTAAGTCCGTTATAAGCACATCCTCCATGGACGGCGTGCCCGCTGAACCAATGGCGCCCCAGTTATCTGTTGTCAATATTGAAGCTGAAAGGAAGAGTGTGACTGTTAACCCGGACCCACAAGATCTTCCTCGTGGTGGAACTGTCTTTCCGAAGGTAGAACCGAATGCCCTGGAGGCATCGGGTCTTGAAGAGAGCACGATAGACAAGTCGCAATCGCGTAAAAGCATTGTTGGGGGAGCTAGAGAGCGAGCGGAAGTTTTGGCTGCAGTCCGCAAGGGTATTCTGAAGAGTGAGTTGCTCTGCAGTTTTCAGAGTAGATTGCAACTAACAATTACTGCGCTTTAGAAGCACATTCTGATGTCCTGCACAACACATCATTTAACAGAACATCTGAAGGCTGTCAGAACCTTAGCAGCAACGACACTCCTCATTCTAGTGCTCCCAGTACCCCAGAAGATCAAACACGAGCTGGAAATCGGCGTCCGGAGACTGTCAGGATTGCTGGCGATGATGACTTCATATCAGATGTGCGATTTACTGGTGCGGAAAGCAAAAGTTCTCCTATCACCCCGCAGCCAGTAGCTCCGAAGAGCCTTGTCTTCAGCCCCCGGATCCAGTTCCATGAGACTTGGCCGAGCGGGGAGTATGATCGTCGAGGGGACATCGCTACGTGCAACCGCCTGACCCCACTCCTGGCCCAGCAGATCAAAGAAGAGCTGAACAACTTCAAGATGGTTAGTCTCAACCCACGTTTGTGCCCTCTTTCCACCCTGGAAAATCACTGACACTCCATAGGAGATGGAAGTTCATGAGACCTCCAAAATTTATACCCATTTCCTCTAAACGGTTGCATTTCGAACGGCGTTCTTTTACTTAATTCCCGGACGACTTCCGTGTGAATTTCTCTCTGGATGGCTGTTGGATTTATGACTAGTGCAGTACGCAGCCTTGGAGTCAACTTAGTAGTAGACATGCTTTCTCGTGTTAGAGCCGCATTTTGGTTGTGCCTTCAGCTCGATGTCGGGGCTTTGCAAATGCTCGTTTTGATATCCCGAGAATCTTTTATTTCCTGACTCAAGACTTTGACCTTTTTTTTTTTTTTTTTTTCAATATCTCCTATAGGTTACTACGGCGTTGCGGCGATGATCACCGATGTCTCTTGTGGCCTTTTTTTTTTTTTTTTTTTTTTTTTTTTTTTTTTTTTTTTTTTTTTGATTTTTACTGCGTTGAGATTTAATGCGGATTCTACAGCAAATGAAGAGAAAAGATCGAATGTTGGAATTTTCCAAGGCCTTTGACCGTGCCCAGTCATTTGGCTTCGATCTACTTTGCATCCTGACATTGGCCTCGGATCTACTGTGTGTTTTCCTCTCCCTTTCTGTCTTCTTCATTGAGTCTGATCGTGTTATGGCACCTTGCCCTATCTTCTTGTTTTAATTTCTCTTTCCCTCACTATCATCGGGGTTCTCGGTTGACATAGCATTCGAGCCATTTCGTGTTTTCTCGCGTCTTTTTTTTTTTTTGAAAGCGTGGACGTTGGGCACCATCTCCAGGACATCATTCTCAGGGCCTTTTTTTTTTTTTTTGTTTTGTGATTATTTCAGTACGGGCTGTCTTTCTTTTTTTATTGTGGTGTGTCCATCGTACAGCGTTCAGGAATAGGGACATTGTCGTTAATGCCCTGTTCGGTTTATTAGTCAAAGCCTGGGCAGTTAATACAATAAATATCTCGAGGTCTTCCCTTTTTTGTACCTCCTGAATTTGAATTCAAGTGCGTTCAATTGCCTTGTCTCCGTTTCTCTGTTCCTAGCTGTTTGCTACAAACCATAGGGCTGGATGACGACTCTGCCAGTCTTCGCTAATTTTTCACCCTTTCGTCTGATTCAGATGGTACTTGTAGGCTTGCCAGTAGTTCTTAGCATGGCTCTGGTCCAACCTTGATGATGATGGTGATGATGACGCGGAGGGAACAATCTTAATATAGATACGTGGTCGTTGGTCCTGGAGCTGCGAATCATCGAGGAAGGAGTCATTCTAGTCATGGGTATGAAAAGGTCTGATGTTCGCGGCAGGCAGACATCCACGGGCGCGTAAGTCGGCAAAGCTTGTTCTCGGGCGAATTCCGAAGTTATTTCTCCAAGTTCAAAATTTCAGTCCTGATTCTTTGTCAACATGCGTTGGTGTTGCACGGAGAATGACCCAAAGTAATCTCATTCTCCACAGTGTTCTCCATAGAGTCCCTCGGGAAGGGCAAGTTCGGGCCGGGGGTGTTTGAGCCATCTTGGCCCCGGGAGCTCTGGGCGTTGCTTAGAGAATAGATACCACACCATCTCTGTCTTTATAGAGATACTCTGTTGGAAGATCCGTGGTAGGATGGAGATATAGATCCATGTAGCCGCCTTCTGCGGAGGAAATGATTCTCCATAAACAAAAGAGAGAGCGGTAGAGAGAAGAATGAGATCGGCAGATTGCCGACAAGTTCTCTAATTATCGGCCGGCGAAGAAAAACTGAACCCGAAAAGCAACCCCCACGTCCGCCCACGTTGAAATTTTGCGGCGAATCCTCAACGCCCGAGGTTTATTTCCCTTACCTACGCAGTTCCGTCCCAGGATTTTCTGCTTCTGAACGCTGTCCCTCAACTGCCTTTGCAACCCCCACGCTATCCACGCTATCCACGTCCCTCCACAGTCCAACTCCACATCTCTCCTGCCTCACGAGAGAGATCCCTGCTGCCATTGGACTCCTAGCTCCATCCATTATTATTCCTTCTCCAGACCTCCTTCAACTCCGGAGTAGGATCAACTCTTTTTTTCGGCTTCTCCCTGGTCTCTTTCCCCGCCCCCGGGTCCCCCATTGGCAGCTCATCTCCATCTCGACGCAATACTAACGCCACTCTCGGGGTTCTCCACGGCGCCTGCTGTTCCGTGGCTCACCATGTTGCTCTGCTCCTAACCCTCAAAAGGGCTTGCAGTCTCGAATTTTCGGACGGGAGCAGGGAACTTTTCTTCTTCTCTTTCTTCTTCCTCCTTTCCGCTCCTCTCTTCACCCTCAAAAGAGCTAGCCATCCCGAATTGTCGGATAGGAGCAGGGGACCTTTTCTCCCATCCTCCTTTGAGCTCCCTCCCTCATCGTCTTCGCATCTACCCTCCTTTCTCATTTTCCCTGCCCTTCAGAGGACGCCATGATGAATACAAGGAACTCTTACGATGCCAAGGATGACATCGACAAGAGCTCAGTGGACAATGTCGAGGTCGTCCCAAATGCGGTCGCCAACGCTGATAAACCGAACCCGAAGAAAGAGGCCCCAGCCTATGTTGCAGGCCTCTCCCCCGAGGAGCGTGAGAAGGCCGAGCAGGCTCTAGTCCGCAAGATCGATCTCCGACTTCTGCCAATGACAATCATCATGTATATCCTCAATTACTTGGACCGGAACAACATTGTACGTCCTATTCCCGACAGTTTTGACCGTTTGTTTGACTTACCGTCCTGGCTAGGCTGCCGCTCGACTTGCTGGCCTCGAAGATGATCTCAACTTGAAGGACTACCAGTACCAGACCAGCGTCAGTATCTTGTTTGTGGGTTACTTGTTGATGCAGAGTAAGGCCGCTAGCTCCCTTCTCCTCAAGTCTCTGACAACAAGGATCCCTAACCGTTTCAGTCCCTTCCAATCTGCTTCTGAATAAATTGGGAAAGCCTGCCATCTACCTTCCATGCTCGATGATGCTGTGGGGTATTGTTTCCATTTGTACCGCAGCTGCCCAGAATTATGCTGGCCTGGTCGTGATTCGGTTTTTCCTCGGTTTTGTGGAAGCCGCCTACTTTGTATGTGGTTCTTCGGGAACCGTTTGTTTCAGACACTGACTTCCGATAGCCCGGGTGCCTTTACTTTCTCAGTGCTTGGTACACACGGAAGGAGCTCGGCTTCCGAACTGCTGCCCTCTACTCTGGCTCCTTGATTTCCGGAGCCTTTTCGGGCCTTATTGCAGCCGGTATTACGGGAAACATGGATCACAAGCTAGGCCTCCGAGCATGGTGAGCGACTCGGAGACCCGTGATGTTGGGGTATGAAAAGTAACTAACTTGCATCGACGTTTCTTCTAGGCGCTGGCTCTTCATCATTGAAGGTGCAATCACCATCGTGATTGCCGCGATTGCCCTCTTCGTCCTGCCCAATTTTCCTCGGACGACCTCGTGGCTCTCAGAAGAAGAGAAAGAGCTGGCTGTCTGGCGTTTGGAGGAAGATATCGGAGAAGACGACTGGGTCGATAGTGAGCAGCAGTCATTTTTGCACGGCGCGAAGCTGGCTTTCACTGATATCAAGACATACATCCTCGTAAGTGACTGCTCTAATATATATATGTATTGAATCTTTCACAGATCTTTAACCAATACTTTTTAGATGTTGCTCATTCTATGTATGGTCTCCTCCGCCTCGGTGACCAACTTTTTCCCCACCGTGGTGGAGACCCTCAATTATGACAGAATCAAAACGCTACTCCTCACAGCGCCTCCCTACTGTCTGGCCGTCATCTGTGCTTTTGCAAATGCCTGGCACGCTGACCGTACCGGCGAACGGTACTTCCACATCACCGTGCCCCTGTACATCTCGGTTGCTTCCTTCATTATCGCTGCAGCAACCACAAGTATCGCCCCCCCCGTTACCTTGCCATGATGCTCATGGTCCCATCTCTATACACCGGCTATGTCGTAGCCCTAAGTTGGATCTCCAGTACTCTGCCACGTCCCGCGTCCAAGCGTGCGGCAGCCCTGGCGGCTATCAACTGCGTCAGTAACGCTAGCAGCATTTACGCCAGTTACATGTACCCCAACCGCGATGCGCCCAGATTCAGTACGTATCTATCTCCATATCAAAATGGTTAGGAAGATCCCGTGGGACCTGGCTAACAACCTCAGTCACCGCCATGAGCGTCAATTGTGCCACCGCATTCGTCGCGATCTTATCCGCTACGGTGCTCCGATTCATGCTTGTTCGGCTGAACAAGAAACTGGACCGTGGCGAGGAGGTCTCTGGCGCCGTCAAATCGGGCGGGCTTCCTGGTCAGGCCAGCGCCAGAGGTTTCCGGTTCTTGATTTAAGGAACTTTTTGGTATATATTTGTTTTCAATATGGGTTGCATTTCTCAGCCTTGTCACATGTGTTCATGCATACTGTTTTTTTTTGGGAGGATATACTCCCTTTGAGTCTACTGGATAGATAAGATGGGATTTAGATAAGATACGAGTATATGATGTATTGATATGTATTTGAAGTCGACAACAAAAGACATGACATGTTTTTGAGGAAAAATAGACAAAAGGAAATGAATCCACGTGGGCAATTCTAAACCTCACCGAAAAGAATACACGGAAGAATCCAACCTAAGGGATGTAATCAAACAAAGTCTAACCGCTCCTCGCTCCATCCTAGTCGTAGTTGTAGCCCACATCCAACAAGACATCCGCAATATGATTCACTCCCTAACCGACACTAATGCAGGCCCCATGGCCTCACTAGGTAGAACCCCGCCGCGATTGGATTTACCACCCCGTTGCTTAAAAAGGGAAGAGGGGGGTTATTTCGGTGCTTTCTGTATAATGGTAACTTGACGAAAAGCAGGCGAGAGTAGACCCTGACACCCGACTAGCTGGGAGGTGCGTAGAACGAACAAGACACGGAGTAGAGATGTCCTCACGCGAAGTGATACATGAATAATTTGGCTATTAGCCACTAGTGAAGGCTACGATAAGGTACCGTTTTGTAGGGTTGTGGACTCCTTGGTCTAATTGTTGGGTATATTCTAGTCCACCGCGTTCGGCATGGAGGTTGGCAGACGCTGCGTAGGAGGTCGAGTTGGTTGGATTCTCTCCTCTCCTATACTCTACTCTACTCTCCAGTCCTCTTGCCTGTGGTGCTGGTGATACGCTAGGGGGTAGACATGGATGGCTGACCAATTGACATTCTTGTTTACATTCAAGTCCTAGGAGAGGTAGATACGTGAGATCGATTTGAGCCATTTAATAGGCTAAGAAATCATGATCTATAAAGATAGTGATACGTTCCCATCAGGATATGGAATGTTGTATAGTGTTGCGTTGCTGGCTTTTATGCAGAAGACAGAGAGTGACTACGCGGCTTGGATGATTTCTGATCAACGGTAAGATAGACTTCGTATGCGTATGGGCGGGGCAGGCCCGAGATTGAAGCGGAGAAAGGCATAGGTGCCAAAGAGTCAAAGAGTGAGAGTCTGGGGAGATTTGTTCAAACGTCTCGATGCATCGACCCTCGGCTGCTCTGAAGATGTTTCCTTGGGGCAGAGCTTCAGGAATAGGAAGCATCGTTGCAAGGGATTAGAGAAAGAATACGGTTGGCATAAACTGCAGAGGATAAAGTTGGATACTCTAGGTGAGGCGTAGGTTGTGGCTCTGGGAACAGCAATGGTATACTGATGGCGATACGCTGATTAAATATTATCATCCATTCAAGCTAGTAATAACAAATAAATAGCATGGTTCTTCTTTGGTCCCCATGAGCCTGGCTCTATCAAAACCATAGATTTGATATATGTACAGGAAATAGGTTTGCGCTGAGAACAAATCATACTGAAATAAGAAGGTCCGGCGGTAATGAGGACCTAACTATTTCGCAGACAACCTCCAGGATAACTATCTTTTTGTTTAAGATCCCTCCGTGCTCTGATGATCCCACCATGGGCCAATGAATGAAAGCACCACCGAACCCAGGTAGGGCACTCCCAATCTGGCCTGTCCTAAGGCGAAGATAAAGCTTATCGGGTTGGCCATATCGGTTTGGGATAAGTATAGCGGGACGGCATATACGCCATGGGAGGAAAAACTGAAGCCTATCTAGCAATGTCTGCGGCCGCTTCGGTATTCCGGACGGCCCAAAGAGTGCCATGGATTGTATAGGTGTGAGAGTTTTCTATTTGATAGGGTATGGGATATCAATGCCTTCTAGACATCTCTATCCAACACCTGGAAGGGATTTTTACCTTTAGGGTCGACGGCAGGGGAGCCATCGAGTTTGTCCTGCGTGACCTTCTTAGCACCCTTTCTAGGGGTTACGGTGGAGAACCCCTGGTCAGCTTCATTGTTGGAGACACGCGCCTTTTGTTTGGCCGATGCACGGGTCCGAACGGGAGAATCCTGAACGGTATCCTGTTGAGGCTTCTTCACATTGGGTTGCGACTTCTGGACATTGTTGGTAGTCTCATCCTCTGTGGTTTCGCTAGTTTCGCCACTCATCTCGACCGATTTTTGAATTTCGCGGCTCACGCCCTTCAGTGCATCCAATCCGGCTTTCTCTGCTGCGTGCATATGTGTAGGCTTTGGGGGCCCGGGATCCTTGCGGTACAGATAAGACCGCACAAAGAAGCGGACAAAGAGGTATGTGAGGGGAAGAAGGTAAGAGACATTCAGCCAAATCGCAAAAGCCTGGCCGCTTGTATCCGTGCAAGGTACCATGGGCCCAACTGGAGAAGTCCGGGCAGAACTGTTGGCTCCAGGGGTGCTACCCACATTTTTGGCAATGCCTTCAGCTCCTGCGGCACGGAGTGCACGCGTCTTGATCCACGGGAAAAGACCAGCTCCCTCAACCGCCATTTCAGGCTGAACGATGGGGCCGGTCTCCACAGACTGGTTTGGTGGGAGTGTGTAATAAACGAACAGATATGAGGCGGCGATGGTTGTTCCAAAAAGGAATTGAAGAATTTGCATCGAGGTCAAGGACCGTTTGATCACACCGGGAATCCGAACACGGAGGGCCGTCAGAGTGTAATAAGTATACTGCAGGTAAGCAGCGATTATAGTTAGCCAGTTGGTATATGAATTGTCAGCCCAAAATCAGACATACCATCATAGCATGGATTCCAGAGTTGACCAGCGTGAAAATCCAAATGGGAGGAGCGATGTAGCGGATACCCGCCCACATGCACATCATAGCACCGGCATGATGATAAGTCTGCAAAGTCGAGCTTTTCTTGCCCTTGGCAAGGATAATTGCGGTATCCAACACCTCGTAGAACTTAGACAAATAGAAGATCCAGCCTAGATATGCTAGCCCTTCGTTCCACTTGCGGCCCATATCAGTCGGGTCGGGCACCCCGCCCTCGGCCAGCTTGAATTCCGGATTCCTCAATAGCCACTGGTTGGACGATGGGTCGTAGGTAGCTGCGTTGCCGTATCCTCGGGGGCCGTTGATCTTGCACAGCGCGTCAGTGACACCCACCAGACCATTGGGGTCATCGCGGTCTGGCCAAGAGTTGCGGAATGCCACGAACATGCCAGCAAAGGTCCATGCGGAGTAAATGGCCAGGAAGACATTATGAAGAATGACAAAACCTTTGAAGAGCTTCGTTTGACTGATCCCCCAGGGCTTGTATCCACGACTCTTGTTGACGCGATTGAGCAAGACCACGGTGATTGCGTAGACGCTGGCAATAGTGATGGGAACGCGTACGTCTAGAAGCTGGTTGTATAACTGAGGCGGAATGTTAAACGGTTGAGCCCACGTTGGCTCGGAGACCTGTGGAGCAGGTAGGGTAGTTGGGAGTTCGTCTGGGGGGAATTTGAACAAGGAGGCGGACGGTAGGCCAAGGCGAACAATGGCTGGCCCTGACGCAGTATCGACATTAATGTCATACATGATGAGACAGCTGGCCAGAAAGCCAAAGTCTAAAGAGAACCAAGTGAGATCGACAGAATTCGAAATCTGATAAATTATCACCACGCAATCTTTCGCAGAATGGTAGAAGAGTTACAAGAGTCAACAAGAGTCAAAAAAATAAAAAAATAAAAAATAAATGTAATAAAAAAAAATATTAAAAGTAAGACCTGCAATTTATAGAAAGTTCTGATCCAACGCTAGCAATGGCAAGGATGAGGGAGTGAGAAGAAGACGAGAGGAGGACACGGGAGGAGAAGGGGAAAGGAATGAACTCTTAACTATTTGCAGACAAGCAACATTTGAGGCAATTCACCAAGGGTAGAAAAATTATCGACCAGATGTGGTATCATCACTTCCAGGGGAGCTAATAAGGTCCGATCAATGGGAGCAAAGATAATCTGTAGAAGTGGAGCCGCGATTCATTTTGTTGGGAATTCGGTACTCTCTCTGCTCTGCGCTGGGAGGAAGCCTCGGCCCAACAATATGGAGGTGAGCCTGTGAGCTACTAGGTACCAAAATTTCGCGGCCCGTGGAAGATTTAATTCTTCAATCAAGAATTCCTGACGTCTTGGATTGATTTGCCGTATTCAGGGAACTAGGGGTAGTTTCATCTCTTGGTCATTTGGTCATTTTGGTGCCATGGATAGATCTGTTCTGTTAGGAAGGTGGGAGGCCCGAAGTAGGGTATTTCAGACGGTAATAAACGTCAGTCTGATTCAGGTGCAGAATTGCAGCCAGCAAATACCGGCATCATTCAAGGTTGAAACCTGCTTTGGCCGATAGATTGCCTTATCGCTTATCAGTTACGTTTTAACAGACTGGTGGAACCCAAATCCGTCGTATCGCGGGCTGACTCAGCATCCGCTGACTCGTAGGGGAGCTGGATGAGAAGCCTCAGGCTCCCGTCAAGAATACTCATACATAGTTCATACTCCGTGCAAGAGTTCTCAACCATAGGCATCCAACCAGATACGTCATTATCATAGACATAGAGTGCTTCGGTCAGTCGCTCAACATACAATGTAGGCACAGTTGCAGGATTATCCCTTGCGTCTTCCCCCCCCAACGAACTCAGCGCATCGGTTGGTACAACATAGCGTTATCTGTGCTACAAAAACTTGGAGAACTTGTGATTAGCGACAAAACTTTCAGTTCGCACCTGTCAACGTATCGGTATCGATCAACCTCTTGGGAGCGTTGACCAAGCTGATGTACTCCGGCGTAGGATCCGATTACGACTTTTCTTCGGTGATAAACATGCTCTCCAGAGAATGGTAAAACTAACAGAATCAAGCTCCTGGTGATGGCAGCTGATGATGTCTTTTTAGTATTGAGCTGAATGTAGATCACCCAGTATGTCACTGGATCTTCAGCTACACGTTTAATATTTGAATGGTGTGTATATTTTGAGCTGCCATTGGTGAATCTTAACATACAATACATGTTCAATGACAAATTTGGCCACGTCAAGATGGCGTATTGAGATTGAGAGAATTAATAAGAGTAATATGAAGTATTCAAGGAGACTGTGTATGCTCCACTGTGGCCCCTTGATGACTGAAGATGCATCCTTAATGCAGATTGGCACTATCAATTACTTCATCGGATGCATGTCTCAGTCCAGCGTGTCACACTCGAGGACTAAGGGTTCTGGCCAAGATCAGGGGAGCTCTGTATCAGGGTGGCAATGCGTGTATGTGCATCAACCCAGTTTATTGACTAGGGTCTGTTACTGTTTTTCCTATAGATTTAGGTATAGTGCATAGATCTAGGAACGTGGTTTGGTTCAGCCAGTTCAGTGCATAACTAGACTTGGCATCGAGCGCTAAGCCAAGGCTGTGGGATGAGGTGAGACGTTCTTGTGTTGGAGAGAAACAATAAACTGGGCTAGTGAGGTCAAAAGCATACACGAACCTATGGTAAAAGGTATCCAAGACATTGCCACTTAGCCCGACGTCGAAAGCAAGGTAAAATGCTTGTTCAGTAAAAGGGATGGCTGTAACCAAAACTGGGATGGGATTGCAACCAAGTCAGAATACTTAGACAATTCATAAGGCATGGGCATAAAGACGGCGCATATTTGCGTTCTAGTATGCATATGCCTGTCTGATAGTATGTACATGCATACATATATTATTCCACGAGATCTGCTGTATGTAATATCTTCTGTCACTTGAGTGCTATCTGGCAGCCTTGTTGAAATTTTTCCGACGATCCTGGTTAGGCTGCAATAAAAATAATTTCATTGTATGCAGAACAATGTAAAGTAGAATGGTTTTCTTTTGACCCCTGAGCAGTGCATAGTGCCTTCCGTGGGTGCCATTTGACTTACTATTAATAAAAATAGAGAGTTGAAAATAATAATAATAATAATAATAATAATAATAATAATAATAGAGAATGGTTTCAGCTATGAGTATCAAGGGCCAAATACCCCTATGGGAAGCATCAACGGAGTATATATTCCCTCCGACAAAGCCACGCCCTCCTTATCCTGACATCAGAGTGGAAAATCGCCCCTGACGCTAAGGGGCGCTTCGTCTAGTGATCTCCCTCATAGTCTCGTCTCTCACTGGCGGCCATCAAGGACATGTCGTATTCGACCCATAAACTTCCCAGCCTGGTATCCTGCGTTTCATATCGACGGGCCCTCCAAATCACCGTGCCCGATGGTGATCTCCACCTGCTAGCTGTACGCTAGGCACGGTGGAATTTACGGATTGCATATAATGAGCTACTGCGACGCGTCGAGAACAATGCACACTACTCCATCCCGTACAACACCCTCACAATGGGAATCAAAAATCGCTTTGTTCAGTTTCTGGCCCTCGGGCTTGCAGCCACCGCTGCCTTTGCTCAGAGCAACAACCACAAGTCTCCCAGCCGTACCTCTTTCACTCATCCGGGGGTATTACTCGACTCCGCCCAGATGAAGTTCATTGCGACAAAAGTCTCCAATGGTGAGAAGCCATGGGCTCCTGCATACTCGGCTATGATGAAGGACCACCAGTTTGCGTCGCGCACTAAGCCCTCCCCGGTTGCTACCGTCGAATGCGGCCCAACCTCCACGCCTGATGTCGGCTGCCACCAAGAACGAGAGGATGCCCTCGCAGCCTACCTGAATGCCCTTGCCTGGGTAGTCACTGGTACTAAGTCATACGCTGAACGCGCTATCGAGTTCATGAATGGCTGGGCAGGTACCATTAAGGCGCATACGAACTCCAATGCCCCGCTGCAGACGGCTTGGTCGGCGGCTACCTGGGCCCGGGTCGGAGAGATCATCCGCTATACAAATGCCGGGTGGAAAGACCAGGATATCGAGAAATTTGAAACCATGTTGCGCGATGTCTATCTACCCGAGATAATCGATGGTGCACCTAGAAAGAACGGAAACTGGGAGCTTGGTAAGATAATTTGTAATGAATATGCTCAGAATTGCTGATACTGATTTGGACCTCTTGTTCACAAATAGTCATGATGGAAGCGGCCATTGGGATTTCCGTCTTCACTGATAACCAAACAAGTTACGACCTCGCAATGGACAAGTTTCTCAAGCGGGTTCCTGCCTATATCTACCTCACCAAGTTAGAAACCTTTACTACAGCTCTTTGTGATCGTATGTAGCAGCCAACTAACAGTTATACATCCAGGGACGGGGAGCTCCCCAAAACTGTCTCAGAGGACAAACTCCATGGATCCTCTGCCATAATCAAATTTTGGAACGGTCTCTCTGTCTTCAAGCAAAATGGCCTCTCGCAGGAGACCTGCCGTGACTTTGCCCACACTGGATATGGGATCTCCTCTATCTCCCATGTCGCCGAGACATCCCGAATTCAAGGGCGTGATCTGTTCAAGGAAGAAACCGGGGTGCGACTTCAGCATGCACTAGAATTCCACACCAAGTATGAGTTGGAGGGATCCTTGCCGGACGATATCTGCGATGGCAAGATCGGACGGACCTTGGATGATGGTATGCTTTTTTTATTCCTTGTTAGCTTCAGCGATTCCTGACTGATGATTGTGTAGTGACCGAGGTGGGCTTCAATGCCCTTTCTTTTCGGCTAAATCACTCGCTACCCAACACGGAGAAATATACATTGAAGCATCGACCAGCTGGAACGAATCAGCTTTTCCAAGGATGGGAGACTCTCACCCATGCAGAGAATAATGCTTAAGATGAGATGTTGGAGGTTGTAACGTAAAAGCGGGTTATTGCCGCGAGTGCACTAGTAATAATGTGAATGCATATCTGTGAGCTTGTATACAACTGCCCAGCCTATTTTTGGAAAGGCTGGCTATGACTAATGACAGTGCAGGTAGTTATCTAAGAGAACAACGCGAGCTATGTAATGATACAGCTGCGGTACAATCAAGGGTCTACAGACCATAAGAAGAATTCAGCTAAAGAAAAATCACTGAACTATAGCTTCGTTCAGCGAGGCTTAGTTCCCATTGGGACTGGTGGAGGTGTAGGAGATGGGGCTGCGACTGGGGTAGATCGCATCCCAGCCTTCTTGGGAGGTGGGGGAGGTGGGGCTTTCCTTTGGGTTAAAGACTCTGAACTAGCGTTGGAAGCTTCCTGGTTAGCATTCGGGTGTGGAGGTATGGGTGGTGGTGCTTGATTCGCCCGAGGCTTATCGTCGAAAAAGCTGTTTACTCTTTGGCTGATCCCGTACTTTTGGTTGATCCCATTGAGTTTCTGTTTTCCAGATTCAATCTTATCACTGTGTTTCTCACGGAAGTCGCTGATAATAGATGTAGCACTGCGATTGTCCGGCGCTGGAACGGGAGATTGTGATGGGTGTTCATTGGTGTATGAGTTCCCCCGGACCGGCGGGGATGGAGCTTGCTGAGGGGAGGATGTATTGGTTCTCATCTGCGCAAAGCGCGATTGCAGCTCATTAACTGGAACATGACCGGCTGAGTTAGCAGTACTTGGGGAGACAGTTCCTGAAGGATTGCCGTCTCTTCTCCATTGGTTGCCTCCATTCCCAATTCCAAGAGCGGGCACTGAAACTCCAGCCTGAGTGAGTCGAGACGTAGCGGACTGGTTTAAATGCCCCTCCAAGGGTTGCTGAGCTGCCGGATTGGGAGAATAGCTAGGAGGCGGAGAAGGGGCACGTGACGATGGTGTGGAATTGGTCCGAAGAGGAACTCGAGGGGGAACGCTTGGTCTGGGCTTAGAGTTCGTCAAAGACGTAGATTCCACCGGGGAGTCCATACGTCTCACAGGAGGGGGGGGCAGAGTACTGGGGTCTACGCCCGTCCGATTGGCACGAAACGGTAGCGGAGGGGGGGCCGGCTTCTCTTGCTGGGCTTCCGCTTGCTCTTGCTCCTGCTGCTGAGCAGTCCGATGGTTGATCTGATCTCGGGATAGTGGAGCACCCAAACCTCTCCTATCTGGTGTAGTCTCGTTTGGAAGTGCGGCGGCGCCGTGGTATTTGACATGCTTCGGTGGTGGCCCAAAAGCTGACGGATCTTTGAGCGAAGAAAGGGGTCGGGAAACATGTTCCTCGCGTTCGCTTTCCTTGTCTTTCCCCTTACCCATCCATCCTGCCTGTAAGATAAAAGTAAATGTCAGTAGATGCACTCTACCAGGTGTGCTAGTTGTCACAGGAGTTTAAACGGACCACTTGGTTGATGCCTTTGAAATCGCCTCGCCAACTTTCCTTTCCCCCCTGACGGCTCTTAGGGTGCCAGCCCTCTTTAAAGACCTTGCCCATTCCACTCATTGTCACTGTGTGCCACTATGGAGCAGATTTTCTTGCAAATTTTAGTCGATACCAAGCAAGGATAGGACGCCGATCAGACAGGGGTGAAGGTGCGACGTTCGCAATCATCAGTCAGCCCCTCATTGCTAATGTTGGTGAGTTAACTAGCCTTATTTGGTTAGCGTGAACCTTACTTATTCTCGATATCTGGGAAGCACGTGATGATAACAATCATATTTGGCTTGAGATAAGTCCCACTTGCTACTGTGATGCTATATTTGGATCAAACAAAGACTGTGTGAAGTTGTCTCACGTGTTACGCATTACACACCATGAAGCAAGTCTTCATTGGTCATTGGCCCCATTTGACACCTGATGGGACTGGGGTTCTTTCCAGAACTAGTGTGGCTAATCTATGAAGTGTCGTCAGGATTTCCATAGGAGCCTGGCTGGCTGCTCCACTGGCCCAACTCAGTACTCGTGGCTTTCTCTTGAAAACACCCGGACAGGGTTGCGCTATTCCGCAGTCAATACAGGGTAAACTGTATGTTCCCCCAAAATCATGGACGTCAACATGGACATACACAGTATCATTGATACGAAGTCATTGCTCATCAAAAATGGCTCCCATAAGGGAACTGAATCCGATAAATACTTCTAGCTTCTAGATCACGGCTGCCTTTTGCTTTGTTTTGACACCAGAGCCTTAGGTTCTAGAGTATAATGACGCTTCCAACACCAGGTAAGTCAGTAACTACGTCAGTGTATATGAGGCGGGATTCTGCAAAGACACACCTACTAGCTACGCCGTTACTGGTCATTTCTTATGGACAGCAGAGTCCCGGTCACATACCAGGAATTTGAGGAAGATCACAACATATTATTTGGACTGCCCTTGACTAAAGCCAGTCTCGCTCAAAGTTCGTTTGCTTGTCAGGCCTAAAAGTATCACATGCTGCTTCCAAACCCTTGCAGCCAGAGTGTATAGAGAGATTGACCTGCAGAAAATGCTATTGTTGTCTTTCATTAAATTGATTTCTGGATTAACTTCTTGGAGTCCCTTTCAGCTGACACCAGGTGTTAACTATAGCAAGGTATCCGATAAGTACGACTCTGCTATGCGGAGCTGCGCTCTGGATTAACTACACAGTGGTTGTTTACATTCCGATGAAAACTCCACACATCATGTGGCATTATTTTTGGGTCGGGGATGTTGCTTCCATCGTTCTTCGTAAGCACTATTTATAGCTTCTACGCTAGTTTCAGTCACTGCTTTATACTCGAACACTTGGTGATCTTCCTTTAAGGTGGGGGCTTTTAGTTTAGTTTCCGTCCAAGTAATTAAGTCACCAGCCTATATACGAGGAACTTAACACCGGTAAATAGTTAGTGTAGAGAATATGGGGTTTCAGAAACGAAGCTATTTAGCCCTTGTCATTATTCCCCGCAGCCGCCAACGTTTTGGCTAAAAATTAAGAGACCCTGCTGCACGCTACTCCTAGTAGAATCTGCATGTGCACTAAGTGCTAAGGGGCCACGCTTCGTATTTTGGCGCAATCCTTATCCTTGCTGATTGGTAGCTGGTAACCCTCACTGTTGGCTCAATAGATTAAATGTTAGGTGTTGGAAGCCGCTGCGCCATCGAGTTAGACGCTATTGCCCATTTATGGTTATTCCCAACTGTTCTTTAGTATGTTGTGTCCTTTCGTTCCCTTCTAAAGAAAATAGTGACCCGCCTAATTACCTTCCTTCCAAAGTGCACAGCTGACCATGCAAAACAGTCATGATTTCAGCCAGTGGCATAAATCTATCTTGATTTAATAATCATCGTTCTTCAGACATTCAACTATACTTATAGATAACGTGGTAGGTGGATTGGCCTATATGTCACTTTTACTCTTATGCTAAGAAGCTTGGTAGTTGATCCACATCAAATTGAAGAGAAAAGACATTACGGTTCATACGCGGGGCTGTCATCAAAGGCAGTACATCAACAGAAGTATTGCACCTGTTCACAAATAAAGCCTCTATACCCCTCCATTTGAAATTACACAAATATGGGTGACTACTGGAAATGGGACGGCATGCCAACTGTCACCTGGGATATAGATGGGAACCCCCATCCTATAACATACAATTCTCAACCAACATACACAGACGAAAGCAACAAGTATGCAACTACATATTACCATACTACACCTACAACAGAAATCCAGCAGTCCAAGTCCACAGACGATGCAACGGCTACGCACCAATCTCTAACCACAACTGCACATCAGTCCACAACTACGACCACCATCTCAGCAACAACCAGTGACTCGACACTACCAACCGAGGCCTTTTCTGCTGATACCGGAGGAGCAGGGTTGCCCACAAAAACTAAGGTTGCCATAGCCGTACCTGTTTCCTTGGTAGGAGCGGCTATTCTATTCGCATTGCTGTTCGTCTTTCTCAGACGTCGGAAAAAGAGCCGCCATGCCCAGTCAAGACCCTACGTTGATTTAGGCTCAACAGGCATGAATGTACCGTCACATACTGCAATCGCTTGGGCCTCCAGATCCCCTGTTGCGCCATCCTTTCCCGAATCGACACACCGCCAATCTGTGACACAGAGCAATCATACTTCCCTACATGATATCAATACGCAGGCTAGAAGCCAACATGCACAGGTCTCAGATATTGGAGCCGGATTCACCAATTCAGATAGGAACGGTAGAATTGCAGGGAACCATGAGCGGAATAGCAGTATAAGCGAGCAGCAAATGTTGAGAGATGATAGTCCTCGGTCACCATTCGACACTGCATTGGATGATGCCGTGTCAGAGATCTCGAGAGGAAGTGGGAGGCGAATCCATGGGCATTATCGGGGCCTTAGTGATAGATCGTCTGTCTCGTCTTTTAGTGGTGATGAGCGTGAACACGGGCGCTCACGAGGATAAGGGGCTGGGCTGGGGGTGTGTTTTATTGCGTTTTACTCCGTACTAAGTAATGTATTTTATATTTTATGCTTTAATGAACAATTCACAGTCGAGGTATGGTAGTGTTGTATGCCATGAGCCATCGATCTCCGCATACTCCTGTTGAATGGAAAGTACGTAGAGACCCGTAGCATAGAGTGCACAATGACTTAGATATCACACCGACTCTCTGGTAAGCTTATGATTTGAATGTCCACAGAGATGGGATGGTCAGAGCTGCATCTGTTCCCCACGGCGGTCAATGGACGGCGCGCGTTACGGAAACAGGAGGCTGTCCAATATGAGACAGGCAGATGGGGACCTATCTTACCTAAACAGAAGCTACTGCTGCGAAGGAGCGCTGTATTAGTTTATTCCACATCTCGAATTGTCATCTGATGTAGTAGAAGGGATAATTGCCCCTCTCTCCCTCTTTTCCCGCATCCTTTCGTCCGTCGCTCATGTCATTCTCTTCAAGATCTCCCATGCTATGATGCTATGGTAATAGAATGCAGTCAACGATGCGGACAATTAGTAGATCATGTACGGGACCATTGATGGGGAATACATAGATACTAGGATGGGAAAGAGAAAGAAGTGACGAAGTTGAATGTCCAACACTGACAGGATACGCATCTTTTTACCATGCACGAAAAGATTCTCTAGCATTGATGGGGTTTTTGTATACAATGACCTCGCTATAGACACAGCACAGGAGTGCCCGTATGCAGTTCCAACTGGATACGAATGTACAGTTACAGAATCAAATGATTTTATAGAGTACGCGGGGCCGCAGACGAGATAAGTAACTGTAAAAGTGCACATGTTAGCGGACATCTTGAACGTTTTATTCCTGCGGCCGTCCGTGCCTCGGAAGAATTTCCCTCTGCTACAGTACTCCATACCCAACTAGAGGTAGCCTTCGGACTGGGAAGAGTGGTAGAGTGTCACAATAACCGGTGCTTGCTAGTGGCGAGAGTCTTCTGCTCAGCCAAAGCCCTCTGGATTTCTGTTCCGTTTGATCATCTTCTTCCTGCTTAGAACTAGGCACGATCGATCAGCAATCATATCTCGCGCCCAGATCCAAGGCAGTGATGCAGTTTAGCAAACCTTTCATTGCATACAAGCGACTTGACCGGGCTGGAGTTGCTGCATACGATGAATTAGCAGTTCGATTGAGCAGAAGATATGGCCATTGAATTAAAATAGGACCGACTAGGTTCACTGTTGGCATCGAATCGATGTTACGAGACGGGGATGTCTGCAAAGCTTTGCAAAATTAGGATACTAGCAACTACTATCTTCCAGTACATACGGAAAGTGTATCTTTTGGGAGTTTTGAAATGGCATAGAACACAGCATCTATGTTCAATATACGCAGGCAAATAACTCTTTTCATATACACTTGTCTTATTTTATAAGGTCTTATAAGATCATGCCCTTCCTCCGTATTCGGGTGTGTATGTTTTGACCTTCCCCTTCATTAGTTCTCTCAGTGCCATAGTAGCATACTGACTGGCCCCAAGCTGAAACTTGAGAACAACGGCGACCTTGTCACCAGGCTGCGAAAATTCCGCAGCAGCTGCGCCTTCTTCCTTGCCATTCAGCTTGTCCAGGTCCGTTTGAATGAACTGCTCGTCGTCCCTCGAATACAGCTTCACCTCACAGGAGTAGTCCGGTCCCATTCGGCTGAGAAGTTTACGATAGCTCCCACTTAGACTGATATCTTTCCACTGCCGGCGCATACTGTATGGGTCAAGACCACCCCCTTTCTCACTGCCCATGAACTGTTTGTACCAGTCGGCCATCGCATTGGCAGGGTACAGAACATCGAATCCAGGGAGGGGAAGCACGACGTCGAAAATAGTATATTTGTCGCTAGCAGCCTCTTCGGCAGTCAGGGCTCGTGCGCGTGTAAAGCCAACGTAGGAGCTGTCTGTCGCTCCAGGGGCAATGATCACCTCGCCATCAGCATCGACATCACTAAAAGCACCGGCGGCAGTGTCAGAAGCGTCTTCTTTGTCGTGATGTTCGTGGATCAGCACAAGATCTCCCTCTACGACTTTGTCGCCGTAGAGGCGCCAGCGCTCACCGGCGGCAAAGTTCCACACCCGTGACTGGTACGCGTGCACGTACATCAACCGTAGGTTTCGAGGGATGACTTGCAACGCTCCACGATAATCGTTTCGGGAACGACTAAGGTGCCGTATCAAGTTGGATTCCGCCGAAAACTTTCGAGGTAATTTATCCAAGGCTTCACTGCACTGGTTACTGGTTTCGAAAATCTTGATTGCCTCTGCACGAGCCTTGTCATCGGCACTAATCAAAGCAGTGCAATTTTCCCCTGCTTCCGCAGCAGCTAGAGTATCAGGGCTGTAATGAAGAATAGCATCGCAGGCGCCCTTGAAATCACTTTGAAGCATTTTCAATCCAACTGTGTCCGTCCGTGTCGCAAAGGTTCCAAAACGCTGCAGGCCGTAGTAATTGAAGTAACCTCGTTCACGAAGATTTCGTAGGGCCGAGCTTACCAGCTCAGTAGCTTCTGCAACAGCTGCTTCGCCACTTCCAACATCGATGCCTGGTATGTCACATTCGCGAAGCGTGACGACGAACTCATTTCCATTGAGATCGCCAAGCTCAAGACCATGCTGACGATGCTCAAAATCACCGATAGTCGCATTGCGCAGATAGGCATTGAGCTTAACGAGTTGGCCAATTTGCACGCGATGCGCACAAGCCCTCTGCACTGTTACTCCGCGGCGATCTTTAGTGCCCGCAAACTGGAAGTTCTTCGCATTCATCCTCAGCTGGCGCGCAATAAATGAAATGATTTCCATGGTATCCTTGTTTTCCTTATAGATTGTGAAATGTAGATAAGGGCCTCCAAGCTCATCCCAGTTGACCCGACCACGGTCCCGTCCGGGGCCTGCAGGCCCAGCCTGCGCACTGCGTTTATTTCTGTTTGCGGCGGCTGAGATAATCATTGTACCATCGCTATCTGTTGAGGACTCCAGTTGTGAATTGAAAATACGACGAATCGCTTGGTGCATCTTGATACGCAGATCGCGATCGGTGACAACGAGGGTTGGGATTTTGCCAAGGTCGCTTGGTCGTGATTTCGGCTGGGCTTGAGCACGTTTGTGCAGCGAAACAATCCTGTGTGTAGAATGTTCGCCAAAAAGTGAGTCCAAGAGCGTCTTGTCTTCCTCCGCAAGTTGAAACTCATTCTCGGGTGCGTTCTTCGTGTTGGGCGCATCATCCTTCGCTGTTGTAGGCTCTGGATTCTCCTTATTCTCCGTTGGAACTTCTGATGCATGGTTCACATCCTTATTCGGGGTAGCGCTCGGAGTGATCACATTCCGCAGGTGTAAAACTTCGCCTGAAGGAGCGATCTCGTTAACAAGGAAGTCGGTGTACCTAAATGACAGTCAATTAGTTTGGTTTTTCGCTTCCATCTTGAGGAAAGTACCTTTTCTTCAGAAGGCCCGAGAATCCCTCGCTTTCCGCACTCACAAACTGCGTGATTCCCACCTCGACTTCTTTCGATGCCTGAGCATCGCTCTCAGAGATTTTGGCGGAGTCGGCTTCAGCAGCAGCCCCATCGACAGCAGGAAGGACGGCTTCGTCAGCTGGAGAATCACTGCTGGTCTTCAATCGCTTACGCGGCGATTCATTAACTTCGACTCCTTCCATTGTGGCTAAGAGGGCAGGGAAAACTATTTTGAGTCGAAATCGGGCGACGCAGCAATATTGCGGACTGAGATCGAAAGCTACTAGGTAGCTTTACGATGTCCAAAGAGGTATAGCGTAGCCCTAACCCTATTTCCATTTTAGTATATATGTTATTAAGCTACTCCGTACCGAGTAGAGTTGGGTAGGAATGTTTTTCATTTCATGAAAGAAAAAGGCTGTTTGAAACGCTAATTTCTACGCTACTTGAGTATAGGAGTAGTATCATAAGATAGTGGTTTGAATGAATATGCATATTTTGAATTCGAATATATATACAGTATATTTGCATAACTTCTACTACCTATTGCCAGATAGTTTCACAGCTCTGACTAGTAATTTTCTTAGCCTCATATTGTGAGCCCAATTAAGCACGCCAAGATAGCTCCACAGAACCTTGGCCTTGTCAATAGAGTTCTAACCTTCTTGGTACCATCAAGAAAAAGTAGAATTGAGGCGTGACATCTCACCCCAGTAAGTATCTAGACCTCGTCCAAAATCGTTATTCATAATATTCCAAAAGTACTACGGGATATATATAATAATTAATCTATCTTGACTATCCAAACCAAGATACCCAGCCACCTTTCTTCCAAGGCTTCCAGGTCCCGCCAAAGCGATGGTTCACACACGCATGTTGGCTGCTAAAACCCTCAGAGCCACTATGCCTCTGCCCGTTTCCCCACACACTAACGGGCAATACGCACAACCCACCCATGGGATCTTTCGTGGCCTCAGAGGCGTCCACACAAAGAGTCTCTCTAATACCAAAGAAAGGGGCCCATGTCACTCTTCGTTGGGTTGAACCGGTTGGTTTTAAGGCAAGATCCCCTATTCCCTTGTCCGAGCTCAAAGATAAATCCACCAGTTTGTGCGTTGAAGGGAGTGTCCGCGAGAGGGTGTCCAGCACAGCATCTGTAAACATTCCGGGTCCGCTAACTTCTAAGATCGTTTTCTCGTTGTATCTTGTGCCCCATATGAAGTTTCCTTTCTTGATGTGCTTTTTCGTATGCGACAGGGTCCTGACAATTGCCTCTCGAAGTATCGGACTGAAGCGACGGGGAGCATATAGGGTGTATTGAATGAATTCGTAGCTCCTGCTCCAACGCCATTGGCGCATCAGCTGCGGGGATGCCTTAGGCTCATCGATCTCGATTCCCAAAACCAGAGAAATGTTGGGGTTATTCTTATGATCTTCCGAAAACAGAGGTTCCAGGGCCGGGCAATCCTTAATCGTCTTTCTCGGGAATACATCCAAATCCGCGTAGAATCCGCCATGATACCATAGCAAGAGATATCGAAGAAGGTCTGCACGAAGGACGTCGTACGAATAGGACATGTACAGATCTCGCAGGCCCGGCACAGTTGAGAATACATCGTTGATAAATGCGATGGCTTTGGCGGTGGTTACTAGCTGTTGGTTTTCATAAAAAATAAATTAGAGTAATATATTTCGACAGACAGGCTGCAAACGCTCACCGAGTATTTCCATTCATCATTGCGCTCCTCAAAGGCGATCGAATCCTTCCCCCTAACCTGATGTGCCGCATGCTCTCCTAACATAACCTGCCATATCCTTTCTTGAGCTACATTATCACCTCCGCTTTCTTGCAGCGCAATGTGCTCAATGTCGTACAATGCCTCTGATACCCTCTCCTCGTATTCTAGATCAGGATCATCCCGAAAAGGTGAGTGATAAAGAAATCGGGGAGTATCTTGCACGTCATATTTGGGAGTTGTCTTCCCAGCTTGTTTTGTTTTTGGAGGGGAAGGAAGACGGTAAAAAAGAGCAAAGACAAATATAACTAGAACGAAGAGGAAGAGGCGTCGAGAGCTGATGGTGCGAACGATAAGTTTCCTCTGCCGCCTGATGAACATGGCAAGCTATGGGGTAGAAGGGGGAAGGGAAGACCAGGTGAGAAAGGGACCAGAGGGCATTATTGCTTGCCATTGTCGCAGTCACGTTTGGGGGCTTGAGAGACATTGTGCTAAGTCCAGACACCAATCAACAGAGAAAATAAAGTTACCCATGTCTCTTGGAACCCCAGTAAGAAAGGATCATCCATATAGCATATCCCTAATAGCAATGTCGGCAAATCGTATGCATGTGTTCAGATAATCAAGTTGGGAACCGTGCTAGAAATTGAGTGGATCACCACCCAAAAAAATGGAGATTGTCCGCACTAGCAGAGCCTTTAAAACAAATAGGACCTAAGTAGGTAGCGAACCCTGAAAATCATTTTTATTGGTGCCGTGCACTAGTCAGATGCGAAGCTTTTTTTTTTGGCGGCCTACTAACAGCTTTCCAAGGGGCTCAAAGAATCTCTTTTTGCTAACTGTTCTTTTGCCACTCAAAATTGTTCAACATACAGAGTAGAATTCTTTGAAGATTACTAACACAAGAATGCACCCTGCCCTCCGAAATCTCAAGGAGAAATTACATAATGTCCCCATAACCAGTAGCAAAATGGAGCAAACCAATGCCATTGTTCCATAAATACGATTGTTCCTATGTGATGGAAATATGTATTATATCACTACTGAAGCTCGCCTTTGGTAGTGGTACATTCCCATTCTGGATGAATGACAAACAACAATGTATAACAAGAAATAGGTAAGATCAATTGCTGGAGATATCCACCAGCTTGTATATAAAAATGCCTTCATTCCCAGGCTCCTGTATAGTCTCTACTTCTACAATCTTCACAACCCCTTACTGGCGACTCCTATATCGACAAATACAGGCCTGTATAGGCCAATTGAACTGAATACTCTAGTATCACCCCTCAGCCAAATACCTCTCACAAAACACACAAAGGCCAAGATGGATGTTGACCCGACTCGAGACCAGGAGCGCAAGCAATGCCTTCAAGCGGCAGGCCTTGAACTGTCATCGAAGAATGTGACCGAGGCGGATGACTATGTGACCGTCTGGTTTAACCTGGATCCTAAGACGGATATGGAAAAGGTGAGCCATGTCATCGCGAGCTCGCACCAAGAGATCATGCGGCGCCAAGCGACCAAGGATTGGGCGAACCCGACCCTTATCTACAAGTTCTCCTACACCTGCACTCATCGTGATATCGCTTCTTTCGCTGAACTGGGTGTCAAGGTGTGTATTGAACTTGAGAATCCCTGAGTGTCGATTCTATATTTTCGTTTATTTGAGCTTCGAGTTTTGCTAGTCTAAAGGTCAGCTGGTTGTCACCATGGCTAGGATCTAGGGTGTGAGTTACTATTCCGTATACTGTTTCTTGGAGTACTTTGGGAAAGCATAAAATAGGGGGAAAAAAGAGAGGGGAGATTGCTTAAGTAGGTATCAGGGGGAGTTTCAACAGACTGTTAATGCAAATGTTTTGTTTTCCGACGACTCTGTAGATCCGGTAAGTAAAATATTTCCTATCCATCCTTACACATTAATCGAGTCAAATATAATATTGTTCAAATAAGCTTGTAGGAGGAAGTAGTCTTCATAAACCACGGAAGTAATAATATACTTCATACGATCTATCATTGCCCTGAGGCTCAAATCTATGTTTAAGTACATATAGTATGCCCAAACCTATTATAATATCACAAAAGTCGTGCACAATCTCATCTTGATTCTATCCACTTTTGAAACATGTGACAACATCCCATAAAAGAATTTCAGATATGAGTTGTTCAATTACTAACAGATAGCTTTTCTGGAATATGCCGGATGAAATGGTGTAGGATCTGGTGTTCTATCCTGGAGTTAATCATTAAATCAATCATGATAGGGTATTCAATCCTCCATGCGGCTCCGCAGAGCCAGTGAATCCGTAGGTTGGTTGCCACCACCCTCCCAGGCTGCCTTGATAGCTCGCACTGTGTCCCAGACTTCCTGCCGGGCTTCTTGACGGCCCTTCCCTGCACTAAGCAGTTCTTCATAAGGAGTATGCGTGTGCCTAATGTGCGCCTCGACTGCCAGGATGGCCTTGCGTTCATCTGTCTTGGTAGCTGTGCGTCCTACCCGGCCAGAGCCTTTCAGGAATGCGTGGTTGAGTACAGCTTCCAGCGAGTCTCCAGGCATTAGCGGGAAGTGGCTGCGTAGAAGTTGTCGCGAATACATTAGGACTTTTTCATCGCGGAGTTTGACGGCGTTCGCACGAGAGTCTGCTGTCGCAGCAGCAGATTGAAGGACGGTGGAGTAGATATCAGAAGGCACACGCAGGCCAATGGGCCATTTCCCTGTAGTATTCTGCACTTGATCAGACCATCTCGTAAAAGTCTCTGAGAGGAAATGTACTTCTTACATAAACAACATATACCGTATGTTGAGACTCCTTTGTCTTGCTTCGGCAGTGACGGGTGATGTAGACGTCTCCCTTGGGCACGAAGACGTAGTTTTCGGGGATTGGTTCTCGTTCAAAGCAGTTCTAACAGACCACCTGGTCAGCGTATTGTATCCAGCTGTGTAATAAGCCGAAGGGCCATAAATAGTCGGCTTTTAAATCCCTAAAAATACACATACCTCTTCAAACGGCTCAGTCGAAGGGGGAATCAAGCCAAATTTAGAATATTTCCAAGCTTGTCGGCCTCCATTACGCCCTGCATTTCTATTGTGTCCACTTCTTTTCGAAATACCATTTGCGCGGGTTAGAATCGACCGAGGAGAACCTAGGGTTGTTGGTTGTCGTGTTGTACGGCTCTTTCTGTGACCAGCCAATTTTCTAGACGATTTTCTCCGTGAACTGTTTGTGGTTGATGCCATTTTGGTTTGGGCTGAAAACTTGGAAGATGCACCATGAAGAGTTAAACATTTATAAGTTCAGTTGAAAAAAAAACCCATACAGGCATATTCACAATGAAAAATGTTGGACCTGGACAAGGAATCGGATGTTGCTATTTACATTCACGACCCGACAATAAGCAATTGAAAGTAAAGAGGGGAAATGGTACAAATAACCTAGATGTGGACCCATAATGTAAGGCTAGACACTTGTCTATGTCTCTCTAGCAGTCCATTTCCAATTTAAAGACTCGTAACTGGAGCAAACGTGTATGCATGTAATAATTGCTCTGCTCACATTGGTATTTTCTGCCCAAACTGCATCATTCCAATCCGATTTGGCGGTCAGAAGCAATTAGTAAATGGCGGGGTTGTGGCTAGTACAGTGGCTGTGCTACTGTCTACAAAAATATACAGCCTAATTATTTCTTCCTTTCCTTGTACAACATCCTTTCTTCAGGCACTTAGCTGTTGGATCACCACTGGCCACTACTCCTTCTACTACTAACCGCAGACATTAGGATGGCTAAATAATTTAGGAATTCTTCGCTCTACTCAGCACGTCTTTTCCCTACTTTCTAGGCCAACCACTCTAATAGAGCCTACAAACGATGATGACTGGCCCCAGGAATACCTTATTTTCCGACTTCCGGGTCTCAAGAGCCATATTTCGCAAGACCACTGCTGAAAGAGCGAGTGATTATAGATGTTTACAACTTCAGCCAGTATTTCTTCAAAATCCAACCTCTTCATTACACTACACCTGATTTAAACAGCCAAGAGGGAAGTCACCAGGCCGATTAATGAGGAAAGGTTTTGGTTCCTGTCCTACTAGAAGAAAAGACAAGCACCCCCGACTTTTCTGGTTTTGGTATGCGATATGCTGAGATGTACTGGGCTGTACAAGTTTGGCTTTTAAATAATCGAACAGCATCCATCCCCTTACCTTCAACTACTGGACCTTATTGAGTTCTGCAGGCTCGGTAGCCCCTCCGGCAGTACCTAAGCCCCCTCATATGGTCAAATAATAGCTAGATGGGGATATGAAATGTTGGACTCATAAATATCGCCACCATTACAGCTAGAGACTGAAGATTCTATAACAACGGCCGCGAAGACGATCACGACATCATGTCAAACTTGAGTGACTGCCTGTATTGAACCTGACTGTATCTAGGCATCATGATGCCATGTTGTGGTCGAGCGGGCTTCCCATACATTTCTCAGACAGGGACATTGATGCAGACGAATCACAGTTCCCAGAAAGCCATTGTTTGCACGGAGTACATACCCCGGTGCTCCTGCACCTAGCTATTGTGCAAATCTGTATGTAGCCTTGCTGTGAAACCCGTATCCCTGGTGTTTCGACTATTCTCAGACAAACTGTGGGACAGAAGGAAGACATTCGCCGTGTCGACCACTTCTGTATGGGGTGTCTTACTGTATGTCCTGCGAAATTTACGTTCGAAATGGAGACCAACGGGGAGTCCATTTAATTGGCATTGCAGCCTGTAATGTCGTAATTAAGACGAAGATTAATAATAGGCCACACTATAAGACACCATAAGCATGATAGAGTTGAGTTCAATATACCTCTATGAAAATGATACGGTTAATTAAGCGTCACATCCTATAATCGCCAGATTTGTTAATCTAGGCTGCACAGGGTGCCTGGCAAGCCAACACTTAGGAACTGATTCAGTCTAGTAGGTAGAAAGTAAACAATGCACCAATATTGCGGCAAGCGCAAATTTGTGTTTATAACTTCTGGATCTACCCGTACTCTATATTTCATACCCAATTTATTGGGGGGTTGGGGCGTTTTAAGGCAGGAGAGAAAGCTCCAGTGGGTACTACGGAGTATACCTGGCATCCTTAGCGTGGAATACGGATGCGAGATGATGAATGTGTAAGTAGAAGGATAGTAGGTGCTCTATCCCGCTCTTGGAAGGTGATACTCCTTGCTCCCTTTCCCAACTTTAAAAACCAGGCAGGTTGAGGAGAAACTCCAGGGATTTGCCCAAGTGGCAGCGACACTATGTCAGGGGCTTTGAGGATTATTAGGGTCTTGTAGCTACTAAGGATGTGCGTCCTGCGGCATTAAGTACACAGCAGGGTCACTGGTTTAATGCAGGTCCCATTTGCTCGCGTGCATGACTGGCTTTGACTGTTTAATATGGGGATAGCATGCGACGAAAAAGACCGATCGTAGGGAGAGGGTGTTGATCCTAGTAACAAGAAGGTAGCTAGGTGCAGACAATCAGCAACTGCTCATAGTCATCACAACCTCGGAAATAAACAGAGAGGCTACCCATGGGTATTACTCCGGGGTAACTAAGGAATTTAAATAATTAATTAATGGCCATCTCAAACAGGCTGGACCTTCTACTACAAGGATCCCCTTTCCGGGACACTGGGCCAATGGCAATTGACAGGTCGACATGCCCAAGACAGTCTAAGTCTAGACTTAGCCTCACATCCGATCATCCTCGCCCAAGTACTGGGCGGTCGGCCGCGATCCCCACCCAGATAGGCAATAGCCGTGTAGGACGGACTGGCAAGTAGGTCGTAATCTCAGGATGCAGCTGAGTATATGATTCGTAATAAAACATCCGATGAGAATAACGGTTTGATCTGGAGAAGACGTTGTTGCTTCGTTTTTTGTCAAGAGCGTGACTGCCCACAATAGCGGATAGCGGATGCCACACCAAGAAACAGAAACTTCGTCCGCCGAGCCCCGTGTTGTTAAAATACGGTTCCAAAGAGTCGACTACCTTAGTATACACTTCATACAAGGTGTCATCATTATCTCCGCGAGGGGTAAAGAAACCCGATCGAAGTGTGAGCTGAAAAAAGGGCCCTTGGCTGGGGCTAAATGGACTACTGGCTTAACGAGAAGGAGAATTTGGCTAGCTAGTACTTCGTATCCTTGAGGCTGTGACGAGTCGGGGACAGACACAGTAAGAGAAACCCCAGGAAGAGATTAAACCAAGGCTGGTGATTTGCTAATCCAGTTGCTGCAGGGCAGTCTCGTTGCTCGTCAAATCCGGCCTAGATCGACGGTCTTGTAAGGAGTCTTTATCCTATTCGAACTTTATGCGGTTTTCTCATTCTATCTAGGGAGCCGTAGACTCACTTCCTTTATTTACATCCGGCAATGAACCTGTTAAGCCCCGGGAGGGAAAACCGACGAGGAGACGGGCTGCAACCAAGGGTCAGCCAACAAATAGATCGTGCTACTAGAGATGACGATGGAGACAGGTGATCCACAGAAATGGGCCGCTGTTCCTTGTCCTGGAGTAACTGATGCTCGGGGGAATATACCGATGAACGGAGTATTAGATGCATTTTATGGATAATTAACTAATCGATCAGTAAGTGATCAGTCAACTTCCATGGGGAACTGAAACGGCGAAGCTCAAAATCTTTAGTTTCTACTTTGAGTTGGTGGTACTTGTACTCCATCTTTTGTATCTTGGCGTCATTTTGGTACAGTTCTTACATAATATATCGGATCAAAAACTAGTTAACCTAATTAACTACTGTAACTACTTACCTAGTGTTATTAAGTTTAGTATGTACACAGTAGATACTGAACGGAGTATGTAGTGTATGAAAATGGACAGAATTCGATTAATCCCTTGTCAACTTTGCGATATTTTTCTTCTCAATTTCTTGTAGCTGCCTAGACATTAGGATATTATCGCTCGACCATTGTCCCTTGGTCTGTCAAGTAGAATGTTGTTCTATTCGTTTATGCCCTGGGTACTTGATTTGTCTCCACCAAAACGAGGCACCAACCTTAAGGTGGAAGTGGACGATGATCGGGCTAAGGCTTCTGATTTGATTAATAGCACGCCTGTTTTCTGGTAAATTATTCTTGCTATGTGCTATTTTTACAGCAGACCCAGATCTTGCTCAAATTTCAATTTTTTTTTTTTTTTTTTACTTACATCCGCTGATCCACTGATTGGGAGCTATTAATTTTTTTTTTTTTTAAAAAAAAACAGTCAAATCATTACTAAATTACAAACAGAGGAAAAGGAAAACACAAAAAAACCCCCCTCCTGCACCACTTTTTAACCTCAGCAGAACTCTTCTCCTTCCTTTTCTCTGTCAGCCTTTCTTTGAATTTGCCTCTTCGGTCAAAGGAAGAATAAAGGAACTCAAACTCGTCGACACTAAACGCATTCCTCCGCCTCTCCCTTTGTTCAGGAGAGCTCCGTTGGAACCTTCCTGCCAACCTTTGATCCCTCGATCACTTTCTGGCACCTCCCTCCCACGCCTTTCTCTCCCTCGAAACACAACCCTTTCTCATGACCTTTCTGGTCTTCTAAATAGTAATACTATAGGACTATGCACTGAACTTTTATTTCTTCTTGGACTTTTTTTTTTTTTTTTTTTTTTCTTTCCTTCAGGGGTTCAATCGCTTAAATCGGTCTCTCTGCCTATCCTCTTGGACTTCAATGAAACCTGTGGAGGCGCTGTACATTCATCGGCTCATCGATCCGCATCGGACCCCTCCCCTCGAACATTCCTGACGGCTCCCAAGTATCTGGACGTGCTCCCACTAGAGAGGGTTGCCTGGCAGCTTGCGTTGAATGGTTGCTAGGATCATACCGTTGCTGACATGAGTTGGGATCATCCTGTCCACAGGTATGTTGGTCAATCTAGTAGATTCCTATCTCGCCTAGCCCAGGCGGAGTTGGTTTCTACAAAGCTTTGCCTTCGAAGCCCCTACTTGATACCGCTCAAGTTTTCAATTTACCTGTCTCGTTTTCACTTATGCTTCAGTCCGTGCTTATTCTTTTAATTGATCGAATCTGGCAATTGACCTGGTTTATGCTTGGTCTCCTCCGTGTTTGAAGATGATACTGACAGAGCCATCTATCATGCTTAGCTTCAGCTATCCGAACGTTGAACCTCAGACCCCAACGAGGACTCCTCCCGCAGCAGTTTTTGGCGATTCTGCCCTTCAAACCCCCAAACTTGAATCCAGCTTTTTTGACCCTCGAGTCACTTGGGATACCTCGGATCCATATGCCTCGAGTCCAGAGTTCCTTAGAACCCCTCAAAAGTTTGGCTTAAATACACGGTCAAACAGTAACTTGCGCTTGCCCGACACAAGCTCAGACCGAGTCGGAGGGCAAGAAGTCCCAGACTTGAGCGGTGCAAAGGTATTGGATCAACAGACTAATACAGCAAAACGCATCTATTCGTCAAAACCAAATGAGAATCTGGGAGAAGATGGCCCTCGGACTGTGGATTCTGCCAAGTCCGCTGCTTCAATGCAGACTCCTCCGCCGAGCAGCGCTTCGAGAAGAAAGGTGACAGAGTTTCAAGGCCTCGGTGGTACGGGTCGACGGCTATCAGCTTCTAGTGTCGTTGGTGATCACCTAGAGACACCTAGTCGACTGATGGGTGCATCTCCCCGCCTATTCGGAGATCTTCAAACTTCCCCAGACCCTTTCCAGCTGGCGTCGATTGATCCGTCTGCATCGCCTCTCTTTCCCCAACGAGGGTTGTTCTGGGACCATGATCCTGAGCACCAAAGTGGCAGAACGACCTCGTCAGAGAACAATGCCAACCTGTTTCATTCCACCCCTCCAGCTGCATTCCATGCCAATCAAAATTTTATGCACGACTCTCATGTTCCCCAGTTACCCTCGATCGAGGGCAACTTGGAGCTCCCGGAGCTCAACAACAATGTGTATGGCCTCTCTTCCGCCACGGATGCAGCCCTTTTCCCTGCCCCTTTCTCGACCTCACCCCGACTCCCGATGGCGAAAGCAGAGGACCCTGCCATGTTTCTAAGCTCCCCTGCCCGACGATTCGGTGGCCCTCAACCAACTCCGGATAAGCAACTGTTTTCAAGACCGACTCGACAACCATACCACCACCAGACAGAAGAATCCAAACGAGAAGAACTTCGTCGTGCTCAAAGCGTGAATTGTCATCTTCCTGGATATGACGAATGTGATGATGATGATTACACCCCTCGACAAGCACGGCCCACCCTGACTCGCAGTCTAACCCACAGTGCGGTGACATCCTCATATCGTCCGGGACTGACTGGCCTAATGGCTTCCGCCAAGGGGATCCGAAAAAGTCCGTCTAAGGGACGGTCGTCTCCGACCAAACCTCTACGTCAACCATTGCCGCGGACTAGCTCAACAAGTGTTTCTGGCTTTCCCAGGCGTTCCCAATCTGTGGTTCTGAAAATTGGCAAAGACGGTCGAGCGAAGGCGGAAATGCAGACCGTTGCCGAGACTTCAACAGGCTTGACAGATCCTGTCATGGGAATGGAATTGGACGGTTCTACGACCGAAAGTGAGTATGATTCGACAGAGTTTTCGGAATATCCGATGGTACCCAACCGAAACCCTTCTTTTACCTTCTCCGACGTCGGTAGACCTATGCTGGCCCGCAGCGACTCCGGTTCCCGACCTCAGTCAAAGGGTTCGTACACATCCACTGCGGCTTCATCCCACTCGGGCCGGATGTCTCCTTGGAGAGGCGTATCTCGTGGAAGTGTTCGGAGACCACAATGCAGGCCAGGCGCCGAGGAATGGAAACAAACGCCTAAACGGCAGTCGATGATTAATTACGACCTATCATACCGCAGCGCCAGTTCTATTCCAGGACCCCTTGCCGACCCTGAAGAAGATAGTGGTGATGCACAGCATGCTCTGCGGAAGGTGCTACAGGAGAGAGGCCGGATTCCCAGACCTCATACCGTAGGCTACGGTCCGCGGGCCAACCGACCCTCACGATCTTTGGCTCACCTTCGGTCATCCCCACCACGGTTTGGTATTGAGCTTGATCTTAACACCCGAGACGCTAATACATCGCCCACGACCATGACGGATCCCGACCTGGCCACACCGAGCACCGACCGATATAGCAATCCCAGCAATGGCACTCGGTGCATTTGTAACTCTATGGATAATGGTGGCCACTTGATGATTCAATGGTATGGCTGGCCCCCTAGCTATTTGCATGACCGATATCGATCTGACCCAAGCGACAGTGAATCATGCAGCCACTGGCTACACACCAAATGTGTCGGGCTGGAGCGAGCCAACCTGCCGTCGGTGTATGTCTGTATGTTCTGTGCACAGACGCCCACTCGTCGGAATCGAGTTCGAGCTCCTCTAAGTGGTGTTGGGCATGCACCGACGTCACCTTTGGCACACAAGTCTTACAGATTCCGATGATAAGTTACAATGTGCACACTGGGCACCATGAGAACTCAGAAATGTAGCTGCTCCTGCCACTTGTGCATAGATAATGACTACGACATGCCGGGTTTTGCTTCCTACATCCAGTCTGGGGAAGTAGAGATCCTTTCACTCATTCTGTTTCCTTCATGTCCCTTTTCTTTTACCTCTACATGGTTTTCCTTTGTTTGTGCAATATTCTCTAGACATACCCCTTCGACTGTTTTGAAATATGCATTTATGTACCTAGCGAGTGCAGGAGGGTTATATTGTGCATCACTAGTGTGATAGCCCGCGCTGCGGCATCATATCTTAATTATTGAAGTAGCTGGCAGGGCAAAGAAGCCCACTTGTTACCTATTGATAAACTTGCATATCTGCATTTAATTTAGATCTGGTATTTGATATTATTCCTTGCGCCGTCCGGCTACAGTGGCTACAATTGTGCGCCATCGCTGACAAGGCGGTGAAGATCCTGTTCGGACAATCAGGAATTGGCGGCCTCCAATTGGCGGACCAAAAGTCTTATCAGCTCACCGCCTCCGATAGCACGTGTGGTTCCTGTGATTGATTTTCGCTTTGTGTCGGCGGTCTTTCTGCCTTTCCCCTGGCGTTTCTGGAGCAGTGTCGCACCGACGTACCCCCTCCTCTCTTTCCCTCTCCCCTCCCCCTCTAGACCTTATTCCCTCTCTCTATGTCCGCTTCACTCCCCGGGAATCGGGATCTGCCTCCCTCCCAATATGACCTGAATACATATTGGGGCCGCGTTCGCCATGCGGCAGATCTCGCCGACCCAAGGTGAGTCAGTTTGTCTTAGGAAGGCACAGCCGGCTGTGCTCTACTATGAGAACTTTGAGGATGAGAAAGCTAACGATATCTCTGTAGAATGATGTTTGTTTCTCCTTCAGGTCTGGAGCAGGCTAAAAGCCTCGTTTCCTTATACAAGCAGAGCCATGTCCCCGCGATGACGCCCGACTTGTGGCACGCGAAAAAGGTGGTAGATTCCACCTTACATCCAGGTGTGTTCCGCAAATAGTTCTATAATTTCTACTATGATGAGGATTGACAAGTATATTTGAACAGATACGGGCGAACCCGTCTTCCTTCCTTTCCGCATGTCATGCTACGTTCTTACGAACCTGGTGGTAACAGCTGGTATGCTTACCCCAGGCTTGCAGGTATGGACTCGGCCATTTCCGGTATTGAAGGAGAAATATAAATAACTGATTACCCGGGTGTAGGCCACCGGTACGCTCATGTGGCAGATTGCCAATCAATCGCTGAACGTCGCCATTAACAACGCCAACGCCAACAAGTCCACCCCTCTGTCCGTCTCCCAGATGGCCAAATCGTACTTGATGGCCGTGTCCGCGTCGTGCTCGGTTGCACTGGGTCTGAATGCCCTCGTCCCGCGCTTGAAGAGCGTGTCGCCGAACACGAGGCTCATTCTGGGCCGCCTGGTTCCTTTCGCCGCTGTGGCTAGCGCCAGTGCCCTCAACGTGTTCCTGATGCGTGGCGAAGAAATTCGTCAGGGCATTGATGTATATCCTGTCCTGTCAGAGGAGGAGAAGAAGAAGCGCGAGGAAACTGGTGAACCGGTGCAGAGTCTCGGCAAGAGCAAAAAGGCAGCAACCCTGGCAGTTGGTGAAACGGCCATCAGCCGTGTTCTCAACGCCACGCCTATCATGGTCGTACCCCCCTTGGTTCTGGTTCAGCTAGAGAAGACAGCTTGGTTGAAGGCGCGGCCGCGCATGATCCTCCCCCTGAACCTGGGCCTGATTCTTGGGACCTCATTATTTGCGCTGCCATTGGCCTTGGGAGCATTTCCACAGCGACAGGCCATTAGCGCGCAATCTCTCGAGGAGGAGTTCTGGAAACGGGGAGGTAAGGATGGGAAGGTGGAGTTCAACCGAGGAATTTAAAAAGGGTCGTTGTTTTGTTATTGTCTCGTATGTTGGAGACCGAAGGGAGTTATTGATTGTATTGTACATACTTAGACTTGTCAGGTTTAATGGATCGGGCAAGATCTAAAGAAAAGGTTTGTTTAAGATAGATCTAGACTTAGATTACAAGTTACACAAATTCAATGCTACTAAATTATTAAGAAGCAGTTACGAAGCATCGTAATCGAACCACCTTTACACAAAGAAAGAGGTGAGCAGATTAGAATAGCCAACCAATTATTTCAAACGACTTAACGCGAATGGCCCAAAAATGTCGACCGGGAGTAAGCTCGAGTTCCAACATATCGACGCATCCATACGGAATGAATGACTCACAATCCTAGCTAGATATGGACTAACATTGTATTTCCCTTAATCCATAACTATAAGGTCCCTGCATCCCCCCATCCTGAACCCCTGTCCCAGAATCTTACCAAAAGAGAAAAAAAAAAAAAAAAAAAAAAAAAAAAAAAAAAAAAAAAAAAAAAAAAAAAAAGATATCCACATTCCCGCAGCCGTTCCAAACAGCCGGTTATCAATCATCCCGATGCGGGCAGAAGTCCAGGCCCAAGATGTATTCGAGATTCGTGGCCGAGAAGATGCTATGAAATATAGGTAGGTAGTTAGTTAGTACTTCCATCATAAATCAAACCAATCCATCCCTATCGATCATGGCATATGTACTAATTATATATGAAGGTATCAAACACGCTCCTGATGCAGACCTCGAATCTACCCGGGCGTGACTCGCCCGCTTCAATCACTTCGAGAACCCGGATCTTCTTACTCTTGATACGATGTCGCCAATTAGATATGCTATTCTGGAACTCTATCCCAGGTAGATAACTTCTCTCTACATCCATAGCAGGAGTAGGGATAGGAGTAGGGACAGGATGGAAGTACTCAGCACCGTACTAGTCACTTGATGCTAAGCATATTGCAGTGGCGAGGGCTCCTAAGCAAAATCATCGACAGGGCAGGCATTCTCCTTGCCCGGTCGTATATCCCAGACACAGATCCATCCTTGCTATGTTGGAAATCGGGTACGGATTCCATCCCAATGTGTGGGGGAAGGGGTATGTGACTGAGACGGTGAAGGGGTGTAACCGCATGTGGGAGAAGGAAGGGTTAGGGAAGCAACGATGTTGAGGCTGCGATGGATAGTGAGAATGAGGCCAGTATGAGGGTGTTGGAGAAGTTTGGATTTGAAGTCACTGGGGCGTTTTTGGGTGACTTTGGGAGGAAAATTTGGAGTTTGAATATCGTGAAGTAGTATAATTCTATGGGTATAGGTCCGGAGATGCTTGCGTCACATATACGTACATCGCATATATCTAATGTGAGAGTTTATCTGGCGCTGTTGCATGTTTAGAACATGACTTGTAGTTGTGTTCACGGTTCTATACCAGATATACATGATGTATGTTGGCGTTTAAAAATGGGAAGAGCTTTATGTACTGGCCAAAACTCTGCAGAGCAGCCAGGAGGGATTGATTTGGGGCCGATAGTTAATTAGTGACTAGTTAACTAATCGATACTCGCATTGATATACTTAATCATATGGCTTATTTGGCCTGATCCAGTTGTTGCCGATCAACTGTCCTCTTTTCTAGGTAGCTCTTAGTTTCGTCAGCTTCCTCATCTCCGCCGTTAGTTTCCATCTCTATTCTCGCCATAGCTGGCCATGGTTATCTATTTTTTTTTTCTTCTGCTGGGCTAGTCAATCCATCGCTGTCATTATGAACAAGTGGAAGTACAGACTATAGATTGCTTCACCGATTGTACAAAGAATGGCAATATTGTATCTTCCCCAAACAGAGTTAGATACGACTGTAGCCGATTCCGTTGATAGCCGTGGAATGGCCAATTCCGTCAAACATGTTCAAGTCTCTCTCTTGAAATTCGATGAGATTTATGAGGAAGTTTCCTCGTGAATATTTTGATAGAGATGAGCAGAGCTGAGCAGGGTGTAGATCCGTAGCCAGAAGCTAATAAATGAGGAGTATAACACTGTGCCCAAAACATGTAAGCCTCTCAAGGCATTGATGCCGGTGACAGGCCTACTTGATACTTGCTTAGGAGCGATGTGTACTATGTTTATAGACTGCGGTGCTTAGGTAATGGATAGAGTGGCCGCAAGGTGCTAGGAGTGTTACTGGGAGGAACATACCTGAATGGAAACGAATGTTATCAGGAGAAGTTGGGCCTAGCCGCTCGTTCAAGCCTCTTCCTGGGATGTACGGAGTATATTATAGCAATTGGCTCGGGATGTGGCGCTCATGGACAGCACATTTGAGCGTCTATGCGGGGGACATATTTAGCGGGTTTTTCCTTCCATTCATAGAGTTGCCCCTGTTGAAAAAGCTCCCAGGCCTATAGCAGTTATCGTCGTCAGCTATAAGAGTATTACTTTGATATAGCATTCGTAAAACGGCGAGATATTCTGAAAGGAATGGCTTATGCTCGAACTCCCACGTTCCAGATGCCAACTTTCTGGACCCAGGCCATTTGCACTAGAACCTCAGGCGCCCGGCATATGTATGGTTGTATGTCCCCACAATAAGTACTTGACCCAAAGCGAGCTTCACCAAAATCGCATAAAATAGGACGGCAATATTGCTTTGGAATTCCAAGTTTAGGAGAAGAAGAGATCACCCGCTCTCCAGCAATTTTCGGGGGCTAGGATTAGATATCTTGTCCTTCTCAAAATCAGCTAAGATTAAGCTACCTTCAACACTAAGCGTAATAATCTTTTCTTGTATACCTAGTACAGATCAATTCAGAAGAAGACTTTGGGATGACGACAGGGTCAACATACCAGTATGGACCACGTAAGCTTGTGTGGACGAAATCAAGTGCAGGAAGGATATGTATCAAAGTTGGTTTAAATAGCTCTTTAGGAAGAACTTTGGCTTTGGCTCGATTTTGAATATCAAAAAGGCTCATGCCCAAACCAGGATGGACAAGACACGGATAGAGACCTTCAGGAGAACTGATTTGAAAGCCATCCAGCTCTGTAAGGACAAGAAGAGCACAAGTATGCTTTGTTTTGACGCCATTGAGGTGCTTGTAGACTTGCATTTCTCTCAGTCCTTTAGTAAAATCATGTTCGCACACCCTTAATGTGACGTAAACTTGTAGCCTAATATAAACTAACACTCGCTACAAATGCTTTCCCAAGGCTGAATAAACTTACTGTGCATCACTGCAAAGCCATACAGTAGAATATGCCCCAAAGCTCAATTTTCCAATCACTTTGTATCTCGATGGAAAAACTTCAATGTTTACAGGGTAGAAACGACCTTGCGTGTGCCATAGAAGCGTTTCATCGACCTTGTTGTTTGGATCGAGAAAAGAGCATTGGCTTGAGAAAAGTGCCGTACTGGCAAAGCATGGCGTCAAGAAAAGGGAAGTCTAGGCATTCGGCGGACAGATGGAACAACATTGCCATAGTGTGCAGATTGTTGAAGAATAGAGATAGGAAAAATATGACCTCCTCGTGGTTGCAGCTGAGTCGGGGTCCATCTTTTGGTAGCGCAAGTGAATCAGAAAGCTTGAGTGGCTTGTGTACACGTCTCGACTTACATATTGATTTGTTTAGATACACAAATTACTCTATAAATATAAATATTAGTAGAACAATATATATAACTATCTAGTATGTATTATGTAGAGCACATGCGGACTGGAAACTGGCTATATTCTGTGCACATGCTTTAGTACCGTATTCCAACCTATATACTCCATTAAATATTAAGACGGAATCTCTTCTGTAAGCTTCGGAGAGTGCTGAATGGCTGTCGTTCAATACCTTCTGTAGGCTTCACAAAAGGATTTAAAGGCAACGCTAAAACAGCAAACTCCAAAGGCTCAGATTTGGTTGTACCATCGCAAGAACCACAAGAAGAATTACAAGACTGTATTATGGCGAAATTCGGCCGAAATGATGATATATAGTCATAAACTAATGAGAAGGGCTGTTGTGAGGAAGGCTCTCGAACCCCGGCTTGCCATTTTGCAGAATACTATCAAGTGCATTTATTTATATACAATACATTGAGATACTTTAAATAGTATTTTTTTTTTTTTTTTTCCCGGAGAAAATACTCAGATATATTTAAAATACAGTAAACCGTACATTGTGTTATATATTGCAATTTGTTAGCATATCCCACTCGACTAAATACTAATTAATTAGCACTTCGTCTGGATTGATATTCAGTACTATTTGCTACTACTACTCAAAAGCTTGAAAATCTGAAGTATATATTAACTCTAGCCTCTTTACTAATTCTAGGATGCCTTAGGCCCTCCAGTATTATAGCTGCTGAGGTATTAATAACGTAAATGTCTATTTATAACTATAGGATACAGGCGTGTCCCGCTCGCCCAGGAATCACGTTCTATATTTATATATATATAGATTGATTTAGCCACATCCTTCCCTATTTAAGAACTTAGGAGCCGTCAGTTATCGGATTCTTAGACCTCAAACTTGTACCTTGCATCGGTATTCGACATATGCAGATCTACATAGACAATACGATGAGCTCATATTAGAGGAGGCTTTCGGCACGGAATGATCGACTCGAATCTCTCCGCCAACTCAAGAAGCTGCTTATCTTGCCATGGCCTCCCCATCAGTTCGTGGCCAATGTGGACTTCCAGTGGAGCAGTAAACGTCGGGGGACTGAACCCAGCTGTTTATATTAGACTAAGAAACGCTCCAAGCCAGCTGGACAGTAGATACTCAGAAATACTCACCCGGTATATAAATAGCGGGCATCCTGTCAAAGCTGCCAAAATCCCATTTCGGCCGGGTTGAACCATCGACTTCACCGATGCAACTAGCTGTCATTGACGCGGATATACAATAACAGAGAGCCCGTACCCTTGAAAACACGGGGTGGCGGATGTCTTAAGGGCCTTGATCTTGCCTATCCTGGCACGGTACTCTGAGCCGGTGGTCATATATTCTCCGCCTTGCAGCGTCATCCAGAAGACCGGAGTCATTGCTTCCGCGAGGTATTCCCCACTAGCAGCAATGGACAATAAAATCTGATGCGCAGTGGATGAAATAGTAGAGGATTGCAGGAAACTATTGCAAGCGCCGTCCGAAACTCATATACCTGCGTGTCTGCCTTTGAGCGTAGCAGAGCAGAGCAATTTCCCGGTCAGGATGGTGAGGCAGCGGGATGAATTGGACGTTCAAATTAGCAGAGGTGACTTTGTTCATTGATAGCTCGATAGTCTTGATGACAATTTCGTCGGACTCACCGTCCTTGCTATCGGCCCCGCGACGTCCTGTGTCATTGACAACGGCATGATCCCTCTTTTGGAGACTTGTCTGTACGTCGGCCGAAACTCTGTGGCTGCACACGCCGATGCCGGTGACTGCAACGAGTTTACCGTATCCCCACCACATCCAATAAGACCTAAGTTGGCTGCTGCCGTGCCGCCTGATGAGCTACTAGGTGTGCGGTTGTAGGGGTTCAAGGACTGGCCGCCGAGTGAAGAGACAGTGACACCCTCGAGTGAGAGTTCATGTAGATTCGCCTTAGCCAACATAGTGGCTCCAGCGGAGAGGATCTTCTGGACGATGAAGGCGTCGGTGGTGGAATACGTGACCAAATGACAGGGACTCCGTGGAGTGGAAGGAGGTGCTCCATGATGCTTGTATCCTTTTGGTAGGCTTCGTGGATTGTATTGAGGTTCACCGTGACGGGAGCCCGCAGGGTGGGATCGTAGTAAGCAATGCGAGATAAGCAAGCAGAAATAGCCTGCACGCAGGTGGTGCGGCCATGACGGAGAGCGACGTGATAGTCGGAAATAGTGAGCTCCATAAAGGAAGAGATATTGGGAAGGATGGAGGTGGAGCAGCCGAGAATTTGATACCGTTGTAGTGGCCGTCGTTCGACACTAAAGGGCGCACACAATGCAATCAGTATAATGTTAATATTCGGGGAAATCCCTGCACTCATACACGCATACACCCGTACCCAGGCGTATATGTGCAGATATTCATCCCTCTAAATCGGCTCCTATACAGTTTATATATTTCTTGTCAAGGTATATGCAGCCGGACTCGACATCATCATATTCGAGCTTCGATATTGATTGTCACAGAAACGGTCATCTCTGGGATCGATAATTCTCTGCATGTCCTGATGCTTGATGGGTTCATCACCTACAAAAGGGTGACGCAAGAAACAACGAGGTATATAATTCGCACTAATCCGGACCACCCAGTATGACTCCAGGCCCTAGAAGTGGTTTTACCACGGCAGGAATGAAATGCAGTATAAGACAAGATAAACTAGGCAGATATGCAAATAGAAACGTCTCAAAAATATCACCAGCGCTCCCATAATAAAAGATGATAAGATCCGAGTATGTAAAGATGAACCGCACCAATGGCAGTCAGAACGAGAAAAATGTAGAAGATGAGTAAGAAACCGTAAGAGAATCCGACATGCCACAACAGACCAACTCGGGACAATAAGGGTCGACGAATCCCCGAAAGAGAAGGAGTCACTCTGTAGTCAATGGCCCACTATTTCAATCAATGTCCTGTCCTCCTTTTCTGGGGTTGCTTTTAACAACTTGCTTTGTAGCCATTTTGTCGATTATGTGCATGCGGCACCAAACGAATACCCTAGAAATGCATCAAACTCCGTACACCTTGCCCGTTAAGGGCATTCGACTCCAGTTCGCAGGGGACTTTATCGCCCCCATTATTACAAATCCCACCGTCATCATATGGCAACGCATATTATTGCCATCTTGATGCATATTATCCAAGAGAACAACTCATTCTATCGTAACTGTGTCTGATCCATACATGGATATTCGGCAGCCATCGAGGCAAATGGGTCCGACGACCAAGAGATATAGAGAATCAGAGATCGTGAAACGAGTAAGGACAAATATAATCGTTATGCCTTCCAAGGTCAGGCAAGGCACATCAGCGACGTTGGGTGTTGCGCTGCAACTGTTCCCCGATCCGCAGGGCTTCCGTGCCATCATCGACCAGAGATTCCTTGAACCAGGGATGCTTAAGAGCTTCCTTGGCTGTGATGCGGCTTTTTGGGTCATAAACAAAGATGCGTTGTAAAAGGTCTAGGAATAGCTGGTGGAATTTGTTATTGGTAGGAATAAATTCCTGTCGATTGACGTTAGCGGTCACGTTATGCTCGGTGATATAGAGGAATTCAATGGACGCACTGTCAGCTGCTTCATCGCTCTCACATACTTCCGCGATGCACGTGTAGTTTCCTCGTTAGGATAGTCAAGTCGGTTCCGGATAAAATACCTAGGTTGTCGGTCAGCATACGTGACAAGGAAGAGAAGCTGGATAAAACAAAAACGCTCCAGTGACATACTTGGCTGACTGGTTTTGGCTCCCACTTCGACCACCCTGCATCACCTGCCTCACGAGTCGGGTATCAATCCTGTCCCCAATGACAGCTTCCATCATTGCAAGATGCTCAAGATTATCATGGGTTTGGAAAAGTGCATCGCCGGTGAAAAACTCGACGAGGATGCAGCCGATACTCCAAATATCACAGGGAAAACTCCAGCCAAGATTTAATATAATCTCTGGCGCCCGATAATGTCGGGTGGATACGACGGACGAGTGATACTCATCATCGAAAGTAGCCGAGCCAAAATCGATCAAGCGGATTTCACTGTCCAAAAGCACACGTCTCTGACGTGCACTCCGAGAGATGGCATGAGAAGAGGATGGAATGGTCCGGTTGTACGTAAATGTTTGATACGCATTGTTGACGAGAAGGATATTCTCAGGCTTCAGGTCGGTGTGGATGAGGTTAAGATCGTGGAGGACTGAGCAGGATCAGTATTAGCCCGCAACCTTTGGGTCTGTACATCTCTGAAACCACTCACAGGCAACACTAGTGAAAAGCTGTCGGGCAAAATTTTGAATCTGACTGCTTGGGAAGGGAACGAAGCCGTTGCCTTTCAAGAAATCAAAGACACTTTGCCCCAACAGATCAGTGACGATGCAAATATGACTGCGGTAGTCGAAACAGTCCCGCAGATGGATGCACTTGTTCCGGTTCTGTTTATCATTCGATGCCAGAGTTGATAGCACCCGGAGTTCAATCCGGGACGCATCACGGTATTTCTGGATAGATCGGATGATCTTCACTGCGCAGCGAGTCTTGCGATGTTTATCATACGCTTCCACTACCTTTCCAAATGTTCCTTGTCCTAGGAGCTTGATGATTGTGTCTTTTAAGATGTGAGCGTTATTTTCCAACGTAATATATGCCCTAGGCCACTTACATCGGTCTGTTAATTGAGTATTCGGATTCACAATATAATGCCCATCATCGTCGTCAAATTTCTCGGATCTGCTGGAATACTGTGGAATGGTGAGGAAATGGCTCCGTAGCCCACAGAAGTTTCAGGAGTCATATACACTTACATCCCGAACAACCGGCACCGGCACGTCCTTGGCTTTGATAGGTGGCTTGGGAGGGGGGATGTAGCTCAAAAACGCATCCCCAGCGTTTTCCAACTCCCGTCGTTTCTGCTCATCGCGAACAGTCTTGCGGGTCGTCACCCGCTTCCTCTTCTGACCAACGTTGGCATCTTCGTAAAAGATGCCATTGCTGGCACCCGAACTGCCCTGGGAGAGGGAGGTGGGCGCAGTGGTATGTAGGGACGCTGTCCGGTCTGTTGAGAGCGAGGCGGCCGATGAATCATCACCGTAATGATGAGGGTTGATTGAGTATGAGGGACGGTCATAGTATCCTACGTCGTAGGCTGTTTCGATTCCCGTGCGCCGTTTCTTACCCGCAGGGTGAGGCACATTGCCGTTGGAGACCGTCACGGCCGAGGACGTCGCATAGCCACGAGAGGAGCCCTTGGCTTGCTCTGGCGGAGGAGTGTCATCAATGACAATAACCTCCTTTGGAATGCCATTCTTGTAAAACTCGCCCCAGTCCGGTTTTTTCCGCCTCCCATTCTGTGCCGATGTCACCGTGGCGACATCGTTGTGGATCGAAGACATTGTCGTCGTCGTCATCGTAGCAGTCGTCGCTGTGGCTGCGACCTTCGGAGATTGAGCGTAGGGAAGAGTAGCGGTTGAAGAGTTGACGGCGTAAGGATAAGCGGCGGTGGCCAGGCGAGAGGTTCCTGCGGCAGACGTGGTCGGATACGATACATTTGGTTGGTAGGTTTGATGATGGGGGTAACCGTAGTGTTGTTGGTGATGGGTAGGATGGGTCGCCGTGGCCGTTGAAGGTGTCGACATGATGAATCGAGATACCTATCCGGTTGGAGGACCGCAGAAGGAGAGAGGGAGGGAGGGAGGGAGAGAGAGTAAAGAGTGCGGAGAGAGAAGGCTTAACGTCAGTCGGATCGCAGGAGGCCGTCGGATCATCAATCAATCGATCTACTGAAAGAGACAGGGGACTCGAGGTACCAGGCCGCAAACCTGGGAATTCTCGTGTTGGCCCCGGTCGATTAGGAAGAAACAAACGGAATTCACGACCAGGAGAGAGAAGGAGAAAAATACAAGGGCAAAATAAGGACTCGAACAAAAAAATTCAAAAAGGAAAAGGAGACGGGGAAGAGGGAAGGAAAGTTCAGGCGTGGGGATAACAATAACGACAGGCAGTCAGAAACAGTCGGTCGGAAGGACAGTACGGTAGGATTTCAGGTATGTCTCATTTGCTTTGAACAGATAGTAATGACCGCACCATTGAGTTGGAAGGCGAACATGGAGAGGAGGAGCAGGAGGCGGCGGCGAGAAACGACAACCAATTCCGAGTACTTGGTTCGCGGAGGGTTTTTGGGACCGAGGAAAAGAAAGCGAGAAAAGTTTCCCGAAGATAGAGGGAAGGGGATGCGACAGGCGATTGGAAAGAATGGATCACGTAGCGATAAAACCGAAGCAATTGATCTCAGGGTGATTGGATTCGACGAGACTCCGTCTAGAATGACGCTCGCTCGTGGAGGGTTCGGTTACGACGACAACCTACAAGGACCGCACAATTTCGTCGGGGTGGCCCTGCCAATAATAATGCACGAGAACGGACGAGATGGGATGGGGTTTATTCTCTACGACGATCCAGGACTCTCTACTGCGTATAGTCCTTTGTCTAACTTACCAAGAAGCCAAGGGCATGGCTAAATAATAAAAATAAGATGACTGACTGCTCCCTGGTTTCCGTTCGCGCGCCGATCGCAAGGCTCATCGAATAACTAATTAATCCAGCTCCGGGGGCAAAACAACGGAGGAATGGGTGGAAAGGAGTCTAGGTCGGGTTTAATTCCACTGTGTGAATGGACCCGGGGTGGTTTCACCTAGGCTTCATTCTGACTCTTCTTCTGACCATCTTTATTTTATTTTATTTTTATCATTTTCCTTAATCCCTAATTTTGGGAGGTGAAAATGAAATTTCAATGTAATTCGGGCCCTTCCCCGCGGATGAGGATTCCATAGCAAACCACACTGTGGCAAAGTCTGAAGCGTAGAAGGCTCTCGTCGTCCACCGGACCATGTCATCCATTCCAGAATCAGTTCGATTCCTTACAGGCAGTCTGTAGTAGCACACATCATCCACATACATACATACCACGGACATACAAGGCGCATACGGGGAACATCCAGCAGAAAGTGCCTCCTCCCCGGCAATCCATACATGCTCCGTACATTGTACCGATACTCCACTTATTGTCTCTTGTCAGGCCCAATCAACGCCGTGGAACCCCTCCGCTTCTACCTGTGGTTCTCCCCTTGACTTTCCTGCCCACTGACATCATCAGAGCCCTTAACGTCTCGCTGCGTGTAGAATAGGATCATGTCTTTCCACCCATCTCTGTCCTATCTTCGCAGGGGTTCTATTTGACATCACAGACATGGGAGGCTAGATTTTTGTTTGTGCAGGTCGGTTGATTGGCGCCTATAGCAATTAGGGTTGCGTTTGGTGATACAGTGGCTCTGCGCGTCTGGCGCGTAAATCCTGCCGTACATTAATCTCGGGGACTAGCCTGACATGGTTAGTGTCGATGACTACGGCTACGTTGTCAGACTTAGTTGTTACCCATTCCCTGTTGGAATTACTATATTCCGTACACTCTGCATCTACCTACCTACATGAATGGATCGATGGAGATGCAAACGGAGAGCAATAATGCACAACATTGGTCAAGGTTTAAATTTCCTTCCTTACCTCACATAATGGGTATAAGTAAGGTTAAAAATGGACTTTCTCGGCAGAAAGCACTCCCCAGGTCCCACACATCCCACATTCATTAAAAAAAAAAAAAAAAAAAAAAAAGATGGCAATAAACAGAAAGAAAAGTAAAATTGGAACCAGGATGAACAGTAGATGAATGCAGTTGTCCCCAACCTGATTTGAAAAAATGCTTGCAGTATTAATAAAAAGAACATTCACGAAGTGAAGCTCAAGGAGTACCAGAGAGACCGCAACGCCAATGACCACGGTCCTGCGCAGTAACCGTGTGGGAATGGAAAGACCCGACCTACTTACTCTTCAAGTAGCAGGTGATAGGTTGAAAGAAAAAGCTGGGACTAATCCGCTTTAGTCGGCTCGGTCCTCCTTAATATCTTTGGAATAGGCTTTTTGCACATGTCGGGTGCCTCTTCCGTCAAGCTCCAGCATAAATAATATGTCCCGAACCTGGACTCCTGCCCCTATTTCCCTGTCCTCCCGCCACGTCCCTAGTCGTTTGGTGGGAATAGCTGCGGGTTCCCCTGGGCGCCCAACCTTGTCAGAGCTAGCACTGGGAGTGGCTGTATTGACACGAGATGGAGTGGAAAAGCCACTGCCCGTAGGCGGTTCTCGTTTCAGCCATGAATATGACTTTTTCGTTCCAAACATGCGTCCAGTTATCATGCTGTTTGTGGCAAGCCGCGCTGTTTCCACGGACTGCTGGTGTTGTTGGGCCTCGCTTGCTTTGGCGTCTATGAGCTTCTTGGCTTCCTTTTTGGAGAGCCCTCTCCTATCAATATTTGGAGCTCTCTCGCTGGCTGTCGGCGTAGAGGGACTGGAACCAGGAATATCGACTAACTCTGACCTGCCGGCACCGCCCTCTCCCAAAATAGCGCTGGCACTACGCTTGGCACGCTTCGCAGCACGGCTTTCTTCGCCAGAGTTGTCCTTGTCCATAAGTATGCGGCACTTTTCCGGAAGAGACCTTGCGGTCTGCTGTTCGGTTGATGAGTGGGGTCCTGCGTTAAATTTGTCAGCGTGGTATCCAAAATTAGCCACGGAAGCATCAGCATACTTTTGAGAGGAGTCTCTGGACTTCCTTTACTCCCGTTAGTAACGTTGGAGGCCAAGTCATTCCATTCTACAGGGACATTTCCATGCGAGTGTTCGCGACGGCTTCTTGCAAGCGACGAAGAGTAGTCAATCACGGCCCTCAATCTTTCCTCACAAGAGATCGACATCAGATTCAGTATATCCACTAATGGGGCCCCCTCCTGATTAAGGATTGTCTGGCCAGTGCGCACAATAGATGAACCATCAGGCCCTGTGACTTCGATCGGTTGCGGACGACCAGGAACTGGATGGAACAAGCCTTCCGCGGGTATGCGGACACCCAGCTCAAACCCACGCCTCTGTAGTTTTTGCTCCAGTACCTTTGTAAACAGGAATGGCTCCTGTAAGTGATATTGTGCACGGCGGGCTGCTTCGCTATCTTCCCGGCTTGGTTCATTTGAATCTTTGAAAGGAGGAGGTGGCTGCGATGATGGTTTGGTGCTAAAGGATTCCTGGGTTGCTGGTGGTTTGAACGGAGAGGGTTCGCTGAAGCTGGGCTGTGATGACACCGTTCCAGCTGTGGAGGCTTGAGAGGTGAACGAAGTATTTACAGGAGGCTGTGGCTGTTGCTGAGGAGGTAGTGGTGGTTGCTGCTGGTGAGGTCGAGGTGCTTGCTGAGCCTGCACTCCAGGGCCGGAATAGCTGCTGGTGAGAAATGCTTCTTCCTCCCTAACATCAATACCAGATGAGGCCAAAACATCGGTAAGTTCTGCAGCATCCGTCGCCTTTTCAACGGGTCGAGAAGGAGGGCCCATCGTTCCAGGAGGTGGGGGTTGAGATGCAGGCGTCTGCACCATTCCGTTCACATTCATTCCATTGACTGGAGTAGCTGGTTGGCTTTGCGGAAGTTGTAGAGTGCCAAAACTCGGCGAGGCGTAGGGTGATTGTGGAAGAGGAGAGAGGCGTCGTTTGGGAGGTGGAGGAACGCCACCTCCATTCACTGGCGAAGGGGCCCCCGGCGAGGGTGAGGACCCAGGCGGGGAGAAAGACTGAGAAAACTGCTGTGGTTGGGTCTGCGCCATGGTGGTCGAATTTCTTTATGATTATGATCAGATTCTGTCAAGCTTGCCGGGACAAGGGTGCCGGCGCGTGAACTGTAAAATGGAGCGGATTGCTCGAACCGCCGCCACCACTAGTGTAATCATCTCAAAACATTGCTTTTGGCATAATATCAGAATCTGACTCCACTAGGGATGCCCTAGCGATCGAAAGTCGTGTGCGCAGTGAATGGACTGGGGTTTACCTTATAATTTCACAGATGGAAAGGGAGCTTTTCGACGAGGTTTGCTTGAGATCACCCGAGGTCACGTGTTGATTAAGTAAGTCACCGATGTTGTAACTAACTGCCTTTCTTTCATCCCAGCACTGTTGTTGCAATCAGCCTGAGGATAACTATGAACGGGTAACATCTGTCGGACTGCTACTTAGGGTGTTTCCCCAAGGTCCTCGATCTTTGAATTGAGCTATATACGGGTTATTCAGTTTACTGTGCTCTGTATCTACCATGGCCTGCCGAAATCGTGCAAATTGAGATGCGCAAGAAATAGGATCACACCGCGCACGATTTACTTCCGTACCACTTATTCGAACACTGCCGATCAGATTTGTGATTTTGCAGGAGCTTTGACGATTGGGACTGTACCCAGTTTGCGCCTTTGTATTTTATCTAATTATTTTTCAATATGGCGACAAAGCGAAAGGCGTCGGCCTTGACTGCCGCTGTTGACGAAGAGCCGGTCGATCCGTCAGACGAGGTGGCTTTTTACTGCCTGGGGGGTGGAAATGAAGTCGGTCGCTCATGTCACATCATCCAGTATAAAGGAAAGACAGTCATGGTGCGCAATTCAGCTCTAGTTTTTGCTCTCTTCGAATAGCTCTGACCAAATCTGCTTTTAGCTTGACGCTGGCATGCATCCTGCGAAAGAAGGGTTCTCTGCACTTCCATTCTTTGACGAGTTTGACTTGAGCACGGTTGATATTTTGTTGATCAGTCAGTATGTTGGATACCCCTCCCTTTCGTTTTCCATCATCTACATTCGTCTATGGTCGTCTCTTGGTTCCGAACGAGTCTCGGGGTTTTGAGACATGAAGACCAATACTTAGCTCTGTTGTTTCTCGTGGATTGGGTTTCAGAGACACGGAACCCTTTGCTATCCATGTATACCAGAAAACGCAATGCAATGCATACTAGTTATATATCTTGTGTTCTGTCGCAGTATCTCTAGTTGCATTGGTCTCACGTCTCAATTCCCGCCAACTCCTCTTTGTTCAATATCCTCCATTTAAGCAGACAGCTAACATGCCCTCTCTACTATCTAGCTTTCACGTCGACCATTCCTCTGCGCTGCCTTACGTTCTCAGCAAGACAAATTTCAAAGGACGAGTTTTCATGACACACGCGACGAAAGCCATATACAAGTGGCTTATCCAGGACAATGTACGAGTCAGCAATACCGCCTCGTCTTCAGATCAGCGCACTACCCTGTACACGGAACATGATCATCTTTCTACGCTTCCACTGATCGAAACAATTGATTTCAACACAACCCATACTATCAACAGTATACGCATTACTCCATTCCCCGCTGGCCACGTCCTTGGTGCTGCCATGTTCTTGGTTTCGATAGCTGGTCTGAACATTCTTTTCACAGGAGACTATTCCCGGGAGGAAGACCGACATCTTATCCCAGCTGAGGTTCCGAAAGGCATAAAGATTGATGTGCTGATCACAGAGTCAACGTTTGGAATTTCGTCAAACCCACCACGCTTGGAGCGGGAGGCGGCTCTCATGAAATCAATAACGGGAGTGCTGAATCGTGGCGGCAGAGTCTTAATGCCGGTATTTGCCCTTGGCCGAGCCCAAGAGCTACTGCTTATTTTGGATGAATACTGGGAGACACACCCTGAACTACAAAAGGTGCCCATTTATTACATTGGAAATACCGCACGAAGATGCATGGTGGTATACCAGACTTATATCGGTGCGATGAATGATAATATCAAGCGACTCTTCCGACAACGTATGGCAGAAGCGGAAGCCAGTGGCGATAAAAGTGTCAGTGTAGGCCCTTGGGACTTCAAATATGTCAGAAGCTTGCGAAGTCTTGAACGCTTCGATGATGTAGGGGGATGTGTTATGTTGGCTTCACCTGGTATGCTTCAGACCGGAACCAGCAGGGAACTGCTGGAGCGGTGGGCTCCAAATGAGCGTAATGGAGTTGTCATGACAGGTTACAGCGTTGAGGGTACTATGGCAAAGCAGCTCTTAAACGAACCCGAACAAATTCCTGCGGTAATGTCACGAGCAGCAGCTGGCCCGGCGAGGAGAGCAGTTGCTGGCACCGACGAGGAGCAAAAAGTGATGATACCGAGAAGGTGTACTGTTGACGAAGTCAGCTTTGCTGCTCATGTGGATGGAGTCGAGAATCGCAACTTTATCGAGGAAGTCGCTGCGCCTGTTGTGGTATGTAGCGCTTGCATTTTACCCAATATACCCAGTTACTAATTTTTCAGTAGATCCTTGTGCACGGCGAAAAGCACCAAATGATGCGACTGAAGTCTAAACTACTCAGCCTTAATGCAGACAAGACTGTGAAAGTAAAGGTCTACACACCAGCAAATTGTGACGAAGTTCGAATCCCATTCAAAAAGGACAAAATCGCGAAAGTCGTGGGCAAACTGGCCCAAATTGCCCCTTCCTCTAATGAAGATGACAGTAGCCTCATGTCGGGTGTCCTTGTTCAGAATGGATTTGACCTATCATTGATGGCGCCGGATGACCTTCGCGAGTATGCTGGTTTAACGACAACAACCATAACGTGCAAGCAACATATAACTCTCAGCTCTGCAAGTATGGACTTGATCAAGTGGGCACTAGAGGGCACCTTTGGTGCCATAGAAGAAATTGGTAGCCAGAAAGACAATAGAAAGGAAGACTCAATGGATGACAGCCGTGAGGATAAACAACAGCTAAAAGAAGAGCCTGCTGATGAAGAGATCCCAATTGAAGAGAAAAAGAGTTATCTTGTTATGGGATGTGTGATTATACGTTATCACCCTCGCACTCGTGAAGTCGAGCTCGAGTGGGAAGGGAATATGATGAATGATGGGGTCGCTGACGCCGTAATGGCAGTACTCCTCACTGTTGAGAGTTGTCCTGCGTCCGTGAAGCGTAAGCTGGCACCCTTTGTCTCTTTTCTAACTGCTACATGCTAACTGTGCCTATCAGAATCTGCCAAGCAAGGCCATAATCACCGCCATCACAATAGCGATTTGGTACTCCCCAACCCTCACTCCCACGTCGGACCAGAGGAGCGTTTCGCCCGTCTTTTGATGATGCTTGAAGCTCAATTTGGTTCAAATATATCCCCTGTTGAACGTCCACGTCTACCAAATCGACCTTCTAACGGCGTTGCCAAAAATGAAACTGATTCCGGAGAGAAAACGGCGGAAGTAAAAGAGGATGAAGATGATGAGGAAATTGCGGAAGCCGAAGCTGCCGAGCTTGCTCGTCTCCAGGCTTTGGGAATTCCAGTCCCTGGGCTAGAAATTAAAGTCGACAAACATGTGGCGCGTGTGTGGCTGGAGTACCTTGAGGTCGAGTGCGCAAATGCCGTTATGAGGGACAGGGTTCGCGTGGTGATCGAGCGAGCCGTGGAAACAGTCGCAAGCATGTGGACAGAGAGCCCCCCTTCGGCTATTCTGACGAATGGAGACGCAACCGAGTACGCACAAGAGGCACCGGTCCCTAAGGGTACGGAGATTGATGCCAAGGCATGATGTGCTTATTCAGTTACTGTATATTTAACAAATAGTTAACTTATCATTGGGGATTACTAAGGCTGGCATTCTGGGTCCACAAGCGGAGATTGTTTAGTTACGTTCAGCAGTACAACAAATGGATATGAATCTGACAAACGGCGGCGCTTTCTCTAATTTCATTGCATAGTTAAATTCGCCTATAATGTATGATGTGCTGTAAATCACACTTAAGTTGCTGTTTAAATACTCTTCATAACTGCCAACTTCACCTAGCAGTCGTGATGTTAGCAAAAACACGCTCAATAACCTTACCAGATATTTGCACAATGATATCAATCTCTTCCTTTGTCACGTTATAAGGAGGAGCAAGAATAACATGATCTCCCTGCGTTCCCTCCACCGTGCCCGACGCAGCATAAAGCGAGATCCCATACATTGGGTCCAGACCTGTCTCTTGTATCTGGAACGCGACATTCACCAGGGGAGAGAAAGGCTCCTTGGTGGCTTTATCCTTGACAAATTCAATCTATAGCAACAATTTAGCAACGAGACTAGTCCCCCATACGGGGTTTTCAACTTTAGTAGAAACTCACCCCCCAGAACAAACCCTTCCCTCTAATATCTCCCACATTTGGATGAGCCTCCAATCGACTCCTCAGCCGGCCCTCAAGATACGCCCCCATATTGCGTACATTCTCGAGAAGATTCTGCTCCTCGATGACCTTCTGCACCGCCAATGCAGCCGCACAGGAAACAGGATGACCCTGATAGGTATGGCCGTGTCGGAAAACGCCCGTTCCCTTGTCCAGGGCTTGCACAATGTTCTCGCCAATCAATACCCCAGAGACAGGAGCATACCCGCCTCCCAGTGCCTTTCCGATGGTCTGTAGATCTGGAACAACGTCTTCCTGTTCCCATGCGTGTAGGGCCCCGCAGCGACCCATGCCGCACATCACTTCGTCGAGGATGAACAGCGCGCCGTGTTTCTCGCACACGGCCTTCATAGCTGGGAAGTAGCCCGGTACTGCGGGGACGGCGCCCATAGCCTTAGAGTATCCGGTTTAGCGGTATCAATGATAAGGGGGAAGGGACCTGATTCAAGGAACAATTGGAACACATACCGCCCCAACAATAGGTTCAGCAATGAACGCGCAGACATTCTCCGATCCCACGCGCTGGAATTCAGCTTCCAACTCTGCTGCAAGTCGAGCAACATACTCTGCGTCGGATTCGCCATCTTTCTTGCCCCGGTATGCATAGCAAGGTGACACGTGCGACGTGTTCTGGGAAAGCAATGGCTCAAATGGCTGACGACGGATGACATGACCTCCTGCAGCTAAAGCACCCAGAGTAATCCCGTGATATGATGGCGATCGGGCGATAAATCTGGTGCGTTGAGGTTGCGGTGTCGGAAGCTCAAGATAATACTGGCGTGCGAGCTTCAGTGCTGCTTCTACTGCCTCTGAACCTATTTTCGTTCGTTTAGGGTTAGAGTTCAGCTTATTTCCGCAGCATGGTGAGAGACATACCCGAGCTAACAATGTATAGTTTGGACAACTTCCCTCCCGTCGAATCAGTGAGAAATTGCGCTAGTTCTTCTGTCACCTCAGTGCTGAAGAATGCTGAGTGGCAGTATGACAACTGATTGATCTGGTTGATCACAGCCTGATTGACTTGCTCATGGCCGTGACCTAGACAGGATACTGCCGCACCACCGGTTGAGTCAAGAAACATGGTGCCATCTTCGAGGAAGATATAGCTTCCTTTACCACCGACCGCTTTCTTGGGGACAAAGCGGGTGTTACGGTGGAGGACTGCGCTTCGCGGGGTAGAATCTGTTACAAAGTGAGATCATGACTGTAACTATCGAGGTAACTATGCGTACGTGTCTCGGCCATGGTGCCTCCGAAATAGATGGATATAGGGAATTGGTATGGATGTCAGGTGTAGAGCAAATTATAACAGTCTTGAAATAGCATATGCTGACAGACAGCCGTCGCCCAGCCGACCAAGCGCGTATATATACCTCTTGCCCTATTACCTCCACTTGCATATACGACGTGGTGCGGCGGAATCGGGATGCCGCTATAGAGAACCCGAGCAAATGGTTGGCCCTGGTCGCCGACCTCGGTTATTGCTTTGAGTCATGCGGGGAATGGTTCCGCCCTATATTGTAGATCCATAAAGAGGTGAATGTGTATCGTATGGTCTGACCAAACAATATAAATGTAGTGTGTTGCAATCATGTCGAACTTGCTATCGATTGTTCCATTCTGTCGCACAAAGTATGAAGATTGTCTTGTCTAGCAGCTAAGCACTACAGAGCCGAACCAGGTGATACTATTCTGGGCGTTGTGTTGGACGGGGGCGATCGCTTGGATGGCTCGTAGAGAACTAATCCTGGAGCGGCTGTCTGACAACGGCTGAACGACGAGCGATATATGGGTATAGGTATAGATCTTGGTTTCCCCAGCGACAGGAGGTAAGTACATAGACAAGTAAGGTCCCATGTATATACACTGCAGAGGGCTGAATCCACACTAGCAACAGACGCCTTATTTTTACCGCGAAAGCACTAGTCGCATTTTTCATTCCAGATTATTGAATTTAATTGCTGTAGAGCGAGGACTTGTGCATTCCCCCTGTGGCTAGCTTTGCCTCTTTGGCCTTCCGATACGCTGTCTTGTAACTAATCGTGCGACTGACGAAATAGTTAGCCAACACCCTTCTTCTATTGCAACGACAGAGCAGCAAATTGAACCTTCCTCCGGTGTTCCCAATCTTTGCCAGGGTTTTTCGCCAAACCCCAACCTCTCTAACAATGGCTCAGCCATCTTAACGCACGTTGTGGTGTGTCTTCTCTGATAATCTCAATACTCTTCGCCATAGATTGTATCATTAATGTTGATACTGTTGACAATGTTAAAAAGAAGATTTGGACGGACAGCCGGCACAAGACCGCTCAGATAAATTACTGGGAGTTCGATCTTTACAGCCCTATCAGCTCAATCAATGGCAATCTTATAGCGGAGAATCTTGTACATCTACATACACGCCGACTGGTCGCAACCGACTTCCCCCAATCTAACCACCTAGATATTGATATTATTATTATACAACCACAAGAACAGCAGCAATCTACAGCTACTCAAGGTACAATACCACATCTTGTACTATATGTTATAGACTTAGCTAACGCTAACGCCAGCGCCAAATTCTCCAGAACTTAACAAGCACCAAGTTATATGCACTCGAGATGAAACAATGTTAAAACTTGCAGAAATTGTGGATTCGCAAAGTGTGGCACACCAGAAAGTGGAAAGTCAGTACTCTTACTTCTGCTGAGGTGTTGGAAATCAGGATGCCTAAGGCAACCTCGGATATCCTAGGTCCCGTAGTGATCTGATATATCACACTCAGGGGCTAAGGAACACGTAGATATAAGGAAGCGTTAGTCTACGTTCGCTCTAGAAAGGAGAACTCACCATGCGATACTAGATCGCACGATAGCACAATATGCACTATCCAGTCTCTGCAATCCTAGCACCTCACAACATACCTTCTTCCCCTAGAGAATCCAACATGAGGGACTATTATGGCCGGCAAGGAAGGACAGTATTTTGGCTTAGGGTGTGGAAACAAAGCCTTGATGAGCTTTATTATGGGAATCCTTGGATAAATTTCGCTCTGATTATTGTGCGCAGTTACCTGATGTTAAAAAGGAAACAAGATATCTTCGCTGACGGTAAAGTTATTATCCTAGATAAAGCACAAGGGTTATATGGAGACACTGCATTCTGGAACTACATTGTTAGAAGTATCCGGAGTAGGATTGGGTATAGGATAAAGCTATGTTTTTCAGCGTATACGGTAGCCCATCAGCGGGCATGCCATACAACAAAAGAATTATAGGACGCCAGTAGACTTCAGTCCTACAAATCGTGTCTCATTAACCCCATCATTCAAACCAGGTTCGTGGCCTATAGGTCTATCCTACAACAAGGACTAGTTTGAAGTGGTCATAATAACATTACGTTCTGATCAACTCGTTGAAAAGTACACTGTTGACGGAGACGCTCCGAAGTATATATTTAATCTAAACAAACAGCCGTCCCGGGGCCGTAAGTTCGATTCTGGATTATCTTTTCCAGGTACGTAACATTCTTGTTATGGCCATGCTCTGTTTAGCGAAACCTATCTGGAGTTAGATGTACCGCTCTGAGGTGAAACATGGAGTTATTTTTACCTTAACAGAGAGCTATGTGGTGCAAGCCTTGGTAAATAATAGTAATGTCCTCAGCACTCTTGCAGAAACTGTTATTGCTTGATCTTTTCCTTCTGAAGATAAATATACACCAGAAGCTATGAACATCCTTAGCAAAGTGCTAGAGGATAGATATATTCTGATGAGTGAGATAAAGATACAAGACATTAGTATAAACATGGCTCGATCCACAGGGCAATTAAAAGATGGCACTAGGCAGTTATATAGTATCAGTATTCTTCCATCACGCGTACATAAAACTAACATTCCGTAATGTATAGCTTTTATGTTCTATTCAAACATATTTTAAGTATATTGAGTACATAATTGGCAAAACGGAACTAAGTTCCGGAAAATGCCTACAATTCAAAGTTTGTGCAAGAAGGCCCTTGAGTAGTTTTCAAAGAAAAGCCTTCAGCATTGCATGCAAAGCAAATTGTTAACTGCAGGGAAACTGCGACCATTAGAGGCTCAATATCAGGATGAGTTAACTGTACAGGGCGTTCAATGCTGTAGTAGGTCGAGGCGTGCCAATCTCCAGCAAATGGCCCTGGAGGAGTGATAGCTAGTCGACTTTTGGATTCCATAAAAGCAGTGGGGGATCGAGTTATTTAGGGACCATAGCCAAGTTACTGAGCATTGCGATCAATTTAAGGAGGGTGGATGATACTGTCCATGGATTCAAGCCGGTATGCTTGAGCATTGGATAATAATTAACTGTGCGATGTCTTTGCCAGCCAATGGTATGTAGTCTCTCGTGGTGCTTAATTATATATTTTTAATTCCTGTCATGCCGCTCACATTTTTATAGAGCACTTAGAGCCGAAACTGTGGCGTGCTGTCTTCGAAAGTGATTATTCCCAGCTGCTGCTATTGGATCATGTTGTGAACTCAGGGGAAATGGGGGGTAGGGAGCTATTCTATCAGCTACAGGCCAACTAGCCTAATTAGGAAGTAGATGTCATTCAGTGGAAACACCAGGAATCACAGTATCTCAACCAACTGAGTCTCTTGCATTCCTATCTGGGTGCTCAACTAACTAAAGGATTGAGGGGTAGAATGGATCGGTAGATATTTCCACACTGCCAAGTCGGGCGGATTAGGTATAGTGTTTCCGTAACAGATCATAAGAACAGTCATTTGGTAGGCCCTACTGTTTAGTAAATTGAGGACCAGCGTTGTCCTGTACCATTGTCCTTTGGGCGCTCGATCTCGTCAACCTCAGGCCCAGCTGCACAGAGTATTTAGCAAGACCTTGAAAGGTGCATACAGACTATACACGTACGGAGTACTCCATGCACACGTACTCTTATGGTATAAATAATGCGGGGTTAACTATAAGATCTGCTTAATGTAACAGCAGAATCCTATGTATTGTGTTTTCCCTGTGCTAGGTAGCGCTGATGTGGGCTGTGGTTTTGAGGAAGATAAACAGGATGCAAATTATGAAGGAGGGGGCAAGTATAGCTTCGTGTCCCAGCATGGAGTCGTCGTAATCTAACACTTTAGGTGACCAGATATATCCTTGTCCCGATGGCGTATATTGGTGATATAGCTTGCAGGAAATGAGCTCCACCAGCCATCCCTCAGGCCAACCATGCGATCGATATGCGTTGATCAGTGCAGCTACCTTGCTGTGGTTGCCACGGGAATTTCAGCTGAGCAAATGCGCTGTCAGGCAGTTCCTTTCCAGTGCATCAAAAAGAATATCTAAAGTGGCTATAACAACGCCTCCATATATTATATTTCTGCTTTTTATTTTCCCACGGCGCCACCACGCAGCCTGCCCCAGCCTTTGTGAAACTGACTTCCAGTTTGAAAATAGATACTTACCTCGTCAAAGACATAGCTGCATGCGGTATTTTAATGTCTCTCCTTACCTACTTTGCCCTAGGCTTAATTGGCCTCTATGTCGTGAAATACTTCCTTCCAGTTGCTCGCAGAAAGGATTTCCCATCGTTGCCACCAGGTCCCCCATCGAAGCCTATCATCGGCAACTTACTGGACCTGCCTCCAGCCGATTCGCAGGACTGGCAGCATTGGCTAAAACATAAAGAACTCTATGGTATGGAGATATCTGCCGGAAGGTTACCACGGAATCAATGGGATTAATCGGCGTCCACTCGGCCAGGTCCCATCAGCTCGGTCACGATATTCGGCCAGACCCTCATCATTATAAATGCGCATCACATAGCAGTTGAGCTCATGGAAAAACGATCGGCACTACACTCTTCGCGACCATATCTACCAATCGCCGAAATGTTCGAGGCCCCATATAATTTCATTTCCCAACCGCATGATAAAACAGCATCTGACCACCTCACAGAACTGGATGGAAGGATACGCTCGGCCTTCTGCCAAACTCTGGCCGCTTCCGGGCGTATCGCAAAGCTGCCCATCGAGAGATGGGTACCGCCACGGCAGTCTCTAAGTACAATGGCATTCTGGATGCTGAGTCCCATCGGTTCTTACTCCGAGCGCTTCGTGAACCTGAAAGTCTCATTGGACATATACGGAAGTAAGCTCTCTCTTCCTCCTTCCCTCAGCCTTCCCGGAAGTCTACTAAAAGATTTCTTGCAAATTTAGAGAGTCGGGTGCCGTTATCTTAAAAATTGCATACGGTTATACCATCGAACCGCATGCAAGTGACCCTCTGGTCGACCTTGTGGACGAAGCCATGGACGACTTCTCTCAACTTGTGCTTCCTGGAGCTTGGCTGGTAAACTTTGTTCCCTTGCGTAAGAAGTGTAAGCCTCTTTCGTACGACATAAACTAATCAACTGGACAGTGAATAACCTACCAGAGTGGTTTCCCGGTGGCGGTTTTAAACGGACTGCGAAGGCCTACAAAGAACGGGTAATGGCCATGAACGACGCTCCATATGAATTTGTGAAAAGACAAATGGCACGCCAAGAGCATTCGCCCTCTTTCGTGTCCAACCTGCTAGAGCAGAGCAATGTAGAACCGGGCTCTGAAGAGGAGATTGTGGTGAAGTGGACGGCTGGTGCGCTTTACGGTGGAGGGGCTGATACCGTGAGTTTTTCCTGCCTATTCGCCTGACAACGAGGTCGATCTACTGGATAGTGTTTCACTGGCTAAACGGATATGACAGACCGTCTCTGCTCTTACCTGCTTTTTCATGGCCATGACATTATATCCCCACATCCAGAAGAAGGCGCAGGAGGAAATCGACCAAGTAGTGGGCACAAGTCGCTTGCCGAATCTCGAAGACCGTGACAAGCTGCCTTACATTGATGCGCTGGTCCAGGAAGTCCTCCGATGGCACCCTGTCACACCACTTGGAGTGACCCATGCGTCCACCCAAGATGATATCTATAATGGCTATCTCATTCCCAAAGGCTCGATCATTGTTCCAAACATTTGGTAAGTTCCATCAACCTCCCCTAAGTCCACACAGAAGGCAAACCACTTATCTCGGAGAACTTTAGGGCTTTCACCCATGACCCAAGTCTATACCGTAGCCCGATGGATTTCAACCCAGAACGCTTCCTTAGCGCGGACGGACATACGCCTGAATATGATCCACGTTTGCTTGCGTTTGGATTTGGACGTCGTATCTGCCCAGGACGACTGTTGGCTGATGCGAACATTTATCTGACTATAGCTCGATCTCTGGCTGTGTTCAACATCACGAAAGCTGTGATAGATGGGCAGGAAGCTCCTGTTAATCCCAAGTTCCTGACGGGAATTATTAGCCATCCCGCTCCATTCGACCTCAGCATTAAGGTGCGCGGTTCGAGACATAAGGAACTTATACAGGAAGTTGAAAAGGAGCACCCATGGGGAGAAAGCCATGCAGCGGAGATTTCATTCCACATAAAGTAGGCTGATAAGCTGCGGTGGGTGGAATCAATCTTGTGATGTGGTACGGTCAAGGTGATATTCAGCTGTTTTTTCTGGCTTATTAGGGCTAGCTTTGCCTTCTAAAACCTCAGCTCTAGATCAGAAATCGTACCTGAGATATCATTGTCGGACTATGGTGTTCTCTTGTCCCTTTGGCTTTCAGCAAACTCTGATACTTCAAGACTAGCTGGATATTGGAATCAAGAACTGATTAGCCCTATTGTAGCCGACTGCTGGTTCTGTGGAAGATATAATATCTAAATGTCACTTTCAGGCTAGCAGAAGCTGCTTGAGATCAATAAATGATAAACCAATGCGCACAAGATCCAACAAGCCTGTACTACCAACCTAGTTAAGTATATATTGTAGTTGTGGACAATTGCTCCTGGGAACAATAGATTAAAGTATCATACACGAAGACATAATCAGTGAGCTCGGAAGTACAGGTGCGAAGCATCTTACGATAAATATCTGGTTAAATTATGTTAAATAGCTGTTCCATGTGCATTATTGTATCCCACATAGATAACAATATAAAATGCCTTTAAATGTTAAATACAATTTTAAGATTTGCTAAATGTACGCATAGCCTTTTGGTCGAGTTGCCTTCACTTAGAGTAACTTCAACAGGAAATACTGCTTAGCATTTATATTAACATGGAGAGGTGAGTATATACATTGCAGCCACCATACTTCATCAGGGAGGAAGAACCTTCAAGGCAAAACCAAAAAAAAAAGAAAAAGAAAAAAGAAAATCTGTACGTATATTCTTTCTCTCCGTCTTTTTTTTCTTTCTTTTTTTTTTTTTTCTGGGTCAATGATCGCAATTAAATGGTGGAGAGATCTCTCCGTGGTCAAGCAGGCGGTAGCTCTCCAACGGCCACCAAACCCGATTCTGCACAGAAAGGCCAGACTTACGGTTCCAACCTCGACCTCCGCCAACAGATAGGTAACCACCAAATTCATTCGATCCTACCCCCCGACCTCCGTTTCACGCTCGGCTTTTCCGAATTCAAATTCGAAATTGAGGATCTTAATCGCGTGAAAAAACACCATGTCTCGAAACGCGCGGGTTGAGGAAGTGTACGACTCTGATCCAGAAGAAGTGGCTCCCTCCGACTTTAACAATGAATCCATCCTGTCCGCGGCAAATATACCTGCTCCTGGTTCATCTTCGATACCGATGAGACCCGCCCCTGAACCGCAGCGTGAAATTCCCAAACATTACCAATGTCTTTATCCCGTCTACTTTGACAAGGCGCGGTCGCGCGTAGGGGGTCGAAAAGTGGGTGCAGAGCATGCTGTTCACAACCCCTTAGGGAGGGATATTGTGGATGCGGCGCAGATGCTAGGACTAAAGGTGGGATTCGAACCGGAGAAGTTTCACCCGAAGGACTGGGCAAATCCAGGACGAGTGCGTGTGCTCTTGAAAGATGAGAACGGGAAATTGGCAAACCCGAAGATTAAAAACAGTGAGTCAACATCTCCCGTCTTAATTTTTGTCTTACTTGGTCCTTTACGTTGCTTCCAAGCCCGTGTTGCTCTAACCATAGGGTTTAACGTGTCTAGAGCATCATCTCTACATTCTCGTGGCTCAATATCTCAAAGCCCACCCGACGACCGAAGAATCCCCGTACCGTTTGAGAATCAGAGGACTTCCAATGCCGGAGAAACTGCCCCCCGCTCCTCCTGCTCCCCGTGGTTGGAAAATTGGGAGTATCCTACCGATACACTCCCCGGCTTACAGTGGTGGTGGAGTCAGCGACAACCCGCTCAAAGATGCCATGGCCGAGATGCAGAATATGCAAGGTATGCCCGGAATGCCTCAGATTCCTGGAATGCCTGGAATGGCAGGGATGATGGGTGAGCCATCTGGAGGCAGCAGCAGCGAAAAGAAAAAGAAAGACAAGAAGAAGGGAAAGGCTTAAAGTGGTAGATGAGATGGCGATACAAAGCACTATCAGCTCTTTTTTTTTTTTTTTTTTTTTTTTTTTTTTTTTTTTTCGCTGTCAATGTGTCATGTGCGTTTCTAGTTGCATTGCATGGGCGTGAGGGCGTTTGTTGATTTACACCTATAGAAGGCATATTACTGTTCTCTGATATCACGTTGGAATCGAAGATGTATTTTACGACTTGTGCTATATCTCTGACATGACTGAGGTTATGGGAATATTTGCATATTAGACTGTGGCATATTGATGCAACCCGTCTTGTAGATAGTAGGACTTAAAAATTTCTCTATTATTGTTGTTGACTTGTACACGAAGAATGAAATGGACGCATGACCCCATTCTTTAAGTGACACGAGAAGCTCGGAATTATGCTACAGGTTTATCAATGAAGGCAAACTTTATTATTGGTGGAAAAGGTCGATCATTGATAATGCCGACCTTATCCCAGACACGAACTTGTTCAGGACAAGAAAATCCATTCCTTAACCAATATCCGACCTGAAAACTACAGTGACATGCAAATCGGTTCTGTCTCCGTTTTCTGTACAGCTGTCTGACCCAGTTTGATCCGTGCTCAATCTAATCCTCCATGAACCGACCGTTTGATTTCGCCAACGGCATCAACGACCCCGCCACCACTGCGACCGCACGGCCATGAATACGAGCCCAACAAATGGAGACCCTGGCCATGGGGCTTCACATACAGGATCGAACGCTCAGCTTCGATTCAATAATGATTCTGCATCTGTAACTGCTAGCATTCGTGCGCCATCGTCCAAGTCCTCGGTCGGGAAAGGAACCGGCCGCCAGATCACACGGAATCGCGCCAGCTACAGTTGTCACACCTGCCGGAGGCGGAAGGTCAAATGCGACAAGGTACATGATGGATTTTACATTGTATGTGGGCTGTGTGAAGTGCTAATGTCCGTCAGGTACACCCCGTGTGCGGAAATTGCGTAAAAGCCGGAAGCGAATGCGTCTACGACGCGATGCCCCAGAAAGACGAGCTGCGCAGTGGTCAAACAAAAGACGGGCATCGCGTTAAGCGACGCAGGGAGTCATCACGACCAGTGGAGGACGATATCGATGGATTGCAGTCGGTGTATAGCCATCTAAGACAAGCTAGGTCTTCGGAACAGAAAGCAGGATCGAATGGGATCGAGGCCCGGCTGGATAAGCTTACATCAATGATCGAGCGTCTAAGTAAGACGAATCAACCGTTGGATCCGGCAGAGAGGCAGTTACTGGCACAGAACGCTCAACTGGAGTCTGCGAAAAGGGAGGTCCGACAAATTAATGGTCGGCCATTGAAATCATCCGGCAATTCTCGCCCCGACAGTCCCCGCCGTGCAACTGAATCGAGTGGTGATGAGTTTCCTATTCCGTCGGGCCATGCTACTGACTTGGTAGATCCTGTGGGTAGTCTGAATCTCGGTCACCTGAGCTTGGAGGATGGAGGCAGGTCAAGGTATGTCCTTGCATTACTATTGCGCTGGGTTTGCTTGGGTCTAATTGAGAATTAGATATGTGGGGACCACCTATTGGGCTTATATATCAAATGAGGTATTTCACAGGAAATGTATCCGTATTTGTATGCAGCGCGATTGCTGATGGAGATCCAAGATCAACGAACTCAATCAATTACTGCGAGACCAGAATCGCTCGCACAATGACTCCGCGGCTAATGAGAGCTCCGTCGATGACTCGATGTCTGACCCAACGGCGCGGACACCAGGTAGCCAATGGAAGTTTGGCAGTAGTCCTCGCGGGGTAGGCGCGGGGAGCAGAATGTCTACCGGTGAAGCCTTTCAGAAATCGGTGCTATTTCCTTCGAGTGAATCACCATCTGTGATGGAGAAGGTTGTCGAGCCAGAAATGCTGGAACATGTGCCAAACAAACGCCAAAGCCATATCTTATATCAAGGATTCATGTCCGGGATTCACGCCATTAGCCCGGTGATCCATCCCCCGACGATTTTGAAATTATACAATGCCTTTTGGAACTGGTACGATTACAGTAGTTATTCTGGCGAACCTTGTCCGGATCCATCATTCATACCGCTGCTATACGCCATTTGGTATGGTGGATCAATCACCGTATCGATACGTACCATCAAGGCCGAGTTCAACATTTCTTCACGGTCCGCACTTTCGCAGACATTCAATGACGAAGTTACACGATGGTTGACCAAAATATCGTTCCCTCGCAGCCCGTCATTGCAGGGCCTGGCTGCATATCTTTTGGTCCAAACGATACTTTCAAAGGAGGAAGAGCCTCTCACAAGCAGCTTGTTTGTAAGCCTGGCTATGAGGGTGGCGCAAACGATGGGACTGCATCGTGATCCTGCCAAATTTGGCATCCAGGCTCATGAAGCAGAATACCGCCGACGCATATGGTGGCATATTGTGCATATGGACGGTGTTGTTGCCATGTCCAGTGGACTTCCTCCTTTGGTCAGCGATGAAAATTTCTGGGATGTGCGCGAAGCTAGTGAAGTGAAGGATACTCTACTGGGCACTACAACAGCAGAACATTACGAAAAACTAGTCGCTGCGGGCATGCAGCCGCGCGACAATCCCGATGACCCAACTGTCTGTGGCGGACCTTCCCTAGTGAACGTGTATTACCTATTAGCCCGAGGCAAATACGTCATGGCCTGTGAGCGACTCCTCCGTGAGAATTATTTTCTCAATGGCTAATAGTTTGAATATAGGTGCTGTTCGGCGAATATTGAAGATCCAGCTAGGCATTAAACCCATAACCCGAAGGGACATGGAAGAACTTCGATCAATTCTTCTTGATCTCCAACTTCAGCTGAATTCTATAATAAACCGCATTCCTGAGTCGACGGCTACCCACAGTTCTCCAGATAGCTCGTTCAAATCCGCACAATCTCCGGTGGAAGCTAATTCTAGTGATGCCGAGCTCCCTGGGATAGGGCCTGGAGGTTGCCTAGAACAATACCACACGCCTGTTCTTGTAGCCTTCCATAAATGGGCGAGGATACTTCTTTCGCTGTTTATTGATAAAGTGAGTTCTTGGAACCGTGGTGTGCTTAAGCATGGTTATACTAAGTCGATCTCATATAAGGCCTTCTGTGTTGCCTACCAACCATTTCTTAAGAATGCTAAGAGCCGCATATGGCCGGCTGCTAGACAAAGGTATGGTTGAATCTGCTTGCTTTTCAATGGTTGGAAATTTCTAATATACGCAGTGCCCTTCGTCACTGTCATGGTTTCATGGAGAAATTCATCTCCCTTGCCTCCGACCCTGAATTCCAGCCGTTTCATTGGAGTTGGCCCGGTAACCACCAGCCAATGCATGCTGCCATGATAATGCTTATTGACCTCTACGAACGACCGTCGAGCCCTGAGGCCCCGAAGTCTCGGGCATTTATCGACAAAATCTTCTCACTTACCGGCCCCGACGGAGGCGTGGTCGGGGGTGAAGATGGCATCTCGACCCAACGACCTCTGAAAGACGGAGGCCGCGAAGCTTGGGATATGATTCGCAGGCTACGCCTGAACGCATGGCAGAAGGCTGGTTTAGATCCGCAAAAGCTATGGACTGAACAGGCACAAGAGCAGGCTGGCGTCGCCTCTGCGCCTGATGAATACCCTTGTGCCAGCGACCCCTACTATGCTAACAATGCAGGCTCTCCTTCTGTTACCCCGATGTCGTCGCGGCGGCAGCTATCTGATTTCTCGAAACTGTTCTACAACATGACCCGTTCTCATTTGCTTCCTAACCCCGTGTCTACTCTGCGACCCAGCCCTCTTCGATATGAGGTACCTCCTCCTGCCGGCCCAACTTCCGTCCCAGCAACTCCTGCCGCGGCCCCTACGCCGCAATTCGCCAAATCTCCTGTGACGAATTCTTATCCTGTTGATAACGTTCTTGTGGGGTCTCCTATAACTCCTTCCGGAATCATTCCACCATTCAATGCTGCTATTCCAAACCCCCAGTCAGGCACTACCCCATCACCGTCAACTCTCCTCCCCTTCATGGACATAACCTCCCCATCCAGCCAGCCCCTGGCCGTCCCAACACCTCCGTCAATGGTAGATCCGAATTTGAACTTTGACTGGGACCAATGGGACGCTGTCTTCGGCCAGCATCTTCCTGTGGTAGATGAGCTCATGGAGCTAGATCCAGTTACGGGATTTGAATTTGGAGACCTTGGAAATACGAATCCCACTGGTGGAAGCCAAGGTGCTGCTAGCATGCCAGGGGGTGAGGTGGGAATACATGATGTTCGTGGCCCTGACTGGGTTGGCTATTGTTAAACTCTCCTCCCGTGATTCTCTTGGATTTGTATATTCTACTGGGGCTGGTTAGCTCGACACCAGCTGCGGGGTTGTTGTATTCTAATTATATATCCTATGCATTTCTTGTACATAGTATTCAACTACTGAACGACTATACAATATTGACGCAACTATTATATTTGGTTACGTATGACCGACGCACGGGATACCAAAAAATAATCTCGACGTAAGGCACGTGAATTCTATTTTTTCAGCATTCCAGGTTCCCCACGAGTGACAGCGCAAAACGTGAACGATGAGCTAGATATCCTAATAGGGTGATTGAGAGACGTAACAGCTATGGGATTCATGAGGCGTGACTCTGATCAAGCAAGATACAGAGATTGCGATACGAAGGAGCTAGGATATGAAAAAAAAACAGGTAGGGTGGCCAGTGAGATCAAGTGTATATCTTCAAGTGACGATACTCCCTGTCCTGCTCTGAATTAATATGCTTGCAAACTCTGATCCATAATTCTTTAATTCATGAGATGTTTTCGGCAACAATTCTAGAATTTACACCTTGGTCTCCTCAAGGCCGTGCTTCCAGAGAGTGGCGTAGGGGGTGACACCGTCCTCACGGAAGTCAATGAGAATGTGCCTGTAGTAGCGCGTTAGCGATGTGATCAAAAATGGATACGAAAATAATCCAGGAAGAGGTACGTACATAGCATCACCATCCATAGACTGGCCCATGAGAACATCATAGTTATCGTAGTTGGCAAGAAGCTTCTTGACACCAGCGGGGGCGTTGGACTTGAACTCGTCGATGGTTTCGGCAGGAGCTCCCTTCTCAGTGAGCTTGGTGAGGACCTTCTTCATGTAGGCTGTAAGGCAGATGATGTTAGCTATCGCAGAAGCTAAGATTAATTGCTTTGGAATATTTGGAGTCGGAACATACTCTTAAGGTGAGCCTTGAAGGCATCCTTGGAGGGCTTCATGCCCTCCTCGGTCTTGAGCCAGACGAGACGGAACTGGTCCTCGATGTCGTGGACCATGACGGACTCACCCTCACCGGCCTCCTCATCACCACCCTCAGCAGAGGGGTTGGCACCCTCCAGCTCGAAGTCCTCGTTCACTTTCTTGAGGTACTTGCGGCAATCGCACTGGTAGAAAACCTTGTCGACCTCCTGGATCTTGAAGGTGTCGGCGAGCACTTCATCTCCAGAGACGATATCCTACGTATTAGAAAGAAGTATGTTAGTTGACAGTCATGTAACATATCATATGTACAAGAATGGGTAGATTATTGAGCGGTTTTCCTGTCATTCTGATTGACATGAAAGAGGCGGGGTAGGCATGCAGCCCACCAAGGAAGTGAAGAAAAGTAGATACCTTATAAATGATCATTTTGATGGTATGAAGGAGAATAGATCCCACGAAGAGGTCAGAGAGAATGAGACGAGGATAGGGGGGTTGAAACAGAAGCTGGAGAATGAAGAAAAGGAAGAGAAAGGAAAGATCCGCTAAAGAGGAGAAATTTTGAAGATTATTTAGTGGCGCCCGTTTGTTTTCTCACGTTTTGGTGGGGGAAGTTTTTTCTTTTTCTTTTTTTTTTTTTTTCCTTCCCGCTTTTTCTCCTCGGGTTTTCTGAGGGGCAAATAGAACGCTAGTCCTGTTCGAGTCTGGCCTGGTCGTCTGGCTATGGCGGTTTTTGTCTTGCAGCTTAAGGAATCAGGTAATAGTGTTGCTTGACTGGCATTTGGTTGGTGGCAAAATAGTAAGTTTAAGGGGGCCCAATTGATTCCAGGGAAAGTCAGATATCGAGGACATGGATGCTGGTCATGTAGTTTTGCGAAGTTCCACTCTCTCTTGCTGGGGCATCAGGGATGGATGCCTGAAGGGATAGGCCACTGAACTGGATGGAGATCACGGAGAATCTGTGTAGTAAATTAAATACAATACATTACCCATCCGCACCTCAGAATTTGGGGAAGGAACGGCGCATATTACCGACGTCGAACAAAACCATACATCCAGCGTCTTGATCGATCAGATTAATCGGCCGGCATTGCCTTCCTGTGGTGCCACTTCTTCACCTAACTTCATCCAACCCATCCATCTTTTTTCTATTTCCTCCTTTCTCTTTGGATATTAATTTCCTGCTACTGCCGACACTCCTTTCCTTATTTCTTGACTGCTTTTTTTTTTTTTTTTTTTTTTTTTTTCCCCGCAGAACGCCCGTTCCTTGTAGAACCCCATTGCCTCCCCTTGCCTGATTAATCATCGTGCGATCGGTTTCTCAGCTGGGCATCTCGTCCCCTTATTCTGGATCGCACTCACAAAGGTTCCAGCATTGCCAGTCCACATACAGCTTCTCTTCTATATATTCATTGAAGGCGTGGTTTTGTAGCAACTGTACCAGCCAACCTGGACCTTTGTCACTACTGAAACCTACAGATGCACTGAATCCTCTTGAAGCACCTTGCGCCTTCACTTTTATTTCTACAGACTTTGATAGTCTGCCATACTCAGAATGGCGGCAAACGTTTCGGTTCTACATGACCTTCCGCCTCTTCCGACCTACACCCTTACGCCCCGACCTCCCGTCTGGGCCCCTATCCCCGATAATATCTTGTCGCTGATCCTACCAATAATTGCCTACTGGGCGTTGTCTATGATCTATCATTTCATTGATATAAATGATATCTTTCCACAATACCGGTTGCACACCCCGGCCGAAGTTTTAAAACGCAACCATGTATCTCGTTGGGAAGTGGTGAGGGATGTCCTTTTACAGCAAGTCATTCAGACCATCGCCGGCTTTGCGGTATCATACCTTGATTCCCCAGAATATATTGGAAAGGAAGAATATGAAGTTGCAGTATGGGCCCGCCGGATTCGAGTGTTACAGCGCGCCCTTCCTCGTCTAATGGCTTTATTTGGGATCGATACTTTGGGATTAGGGAGAAATATGTCCGAGAACGGCTACACAATACTTGCAGGAATTCTAGCCGGTGGCCGATATCCGGGACTCACTCAATCTGTTGTCCTGGAGAATGGGTCAGAGAGCGTGGTCCCTGCATTTGCTGGCTGGGAGTTGGCAACTGCGAACTTCATCTATTGGTACTTCATTCCAGCTCTGCAGTTTATCTGGGGTTTATGCGTTGTTGATACCTGGCAATACTTCCTTCATCGGGCAATGCATTTGAACCGCTGGTTATATGGTGAGTGTTCATCCCGTATCTCACGGATTTGGCTGTTAGCTATTCGGTTTCTGATCGGTTATGACAGTCACGTTCCATTCGCGCCACCATCGCCTCTACGTCCCATATGCGTTCGGTGCTCTCTACAACCATCCAGTGGAAGGATTCCTTCTCGACACGGCTGGTACTGGTGTTGCGTTCTTGACTGCGCAAATGACCAACCGCCAAGCTATGTGGTTTTTCACCTTCTCTACTGTCAAAACTGTTGATGACCACTGTGGATACGCGTTTCCTTGGGATCCGTTGCAAAAGCTCACATCCAACAATGCGGCCTACCATGATATCCATCATCAAAGTTGGGGCATTAAGACAAACTTCTCTCAGCCGTTTTTCATCATCTGGGATCGTCTACTTGGAACTCAATGGAAAGGAGATGTAAAACTCCGTTACGAGCGATCACGGGAGTCTGCCCAGAAAATGTTGGATGATGAAGCGGCTTTCGCTACTGGCACGACGGAAGAAACTGCGGCCTCCATTATTTCTCCGGATGAGTCTGCAGACTCCAATACCCGGACTCGTATTCGAAGAAAGACTGTGACTCTCTCCCCACGAGTCGACAGCCTGAAAGGCTCCAAGCATGGTGTTGCTAGTAGCGTTCTGTAAAAAGACTCAGTACACGCACCCTTCTGTGCTGAAATATTTTGTACTGCTAATAATTTCTTTTCTTTTCTCATTCTCTTTTGCCCCCCTGAGCCCCCTGTTACAGTGGCATAGCCGCAGGACAGCTCCATGCCTCTGCAGGACTATTTTTTTATTATTATTATTTTTACGCTGTTCACTACTCTGTGTTAATAATTGTGTGCTATGATTATAGGGTACGACAACCTTCACTTCTTCAATTGTTTAATATCTACCTACACTTTGCATGAGAATGGACTTGGCCAATCATCAATACCGTTTTTATTCCTTTCAATTCCGGCGATTTTATGTATTTATTTTAGTTTTCTCCTATTCTATTCTCCCACAAAGCTAAATGATACGCAAAGCTGTTAAGTGACAAAGGAAATCAAACATAGACAGTGGGAATGTTGTGACGGCAGCCTGGAAACCTTAGTGAGAGGTTGAAGGTGCAATGTAAGCCCAAGTTGATTTACTTCCCCCCCCCTCTTTTTTTTTTTTTTTTTTTTTTTTTGATCAACGTTGTTTACGTTTATGCAGAGTAACTTCCCTGGGGTTGGCTTCCTTGGGTTTGGATAGGGCAACCGCGTCTGCACAAACGAGACTCCATGTGGTATCCCCAGGTCCTGCTGCAGGATCTGAATCGTCCTCATAGTCGGACTCAGAATATGCCAACTCCACTCGTGGGCTAAGCAACTGTTGGTAATCGATTGCAATGCGCTCTGCAGTTCCGCTATTTCCGGGCACCGTGTGTTTAAGTCCCTTAGATATACTTTGCAATGGACATAGCCCGTGGATAATCTTCTTCCAGTCCACCTGAAGGGAAGGGATGCACCTGCTCCCACGTTCGACAGAAGCAGACGCTGATACACGCTTTTGTTTTGTGTCAAGCGACGGTTGAGCACGAGACTTGCCTTCCTCCGTGGCTGATGACGGACGGGGCGGGAGCTCCTTGCTTTTGCGTGCTTCATGCTTGACTGGCTTGGTGACGGTGTCAAGTGCGGGAAATTGCTGACGCCCACTCTTCCTGATAGAGAGGGGGTTAACAGGAGGCAGCTTATCATTTTCCTCTATCAAGAGGTGGTAGGATGCGCTGTCCACGTCTTCTTCACTTGGCAGAGCGGCGTAAGTGCCAATAATTTCATCTATAAGTGAGTCACACTCCACCGGATTGGCTAATGAGGTTTCATGGAAATTGTCGACCTCCGTGGGGATGAAATCACTAGTCGCTGCGTCGTTGTTCCGGTCCCAGAAGACAAGGATAGTGTGCCTCTTTGCACCGTTGTCATCCCCGTCCGGATTATCGTTGGGCTCTATTTTCTTGAAATATTTGATAGCTTCCTTTCTCGCTGCTTTCAAGTCATATGCTACCTGACCACTCACATAAAATATCTCGGTAGTAAGGCGTCTATGAGTGCAGATACCCCCGTCGACAAATCGAAGTAGCCTTGGGGCTCGGTGGCTTTTTTTCGTCCTAGTTCGACTTAGAAGCGTTGTACGAAGATTCTGCAGCCACATAGGCGTGTCTATAATTTGCGCCAGCAGGCATGCCTCACATTTATCCTCGTCAGTATGGACAGTGACTGCTCCTAGACTATTGATTGGGAACGATGTATTCCACAATATCTGTCGGATATCGTGGAGACCGGTCAACAATTCCCTAAGACACTCATTGAGTTTGTCATAGTACCTGTCGAGGAATTTCAAATGACCGCCGACTTCACGCTTCAGAAGAACCGAAATATGATTTATGATATACGGATTTAATCCCTTGTGTGGCTCACAGAGAAAGGCAGGGCAGATGACATCATTGGGAACCATTCGAATGAAGGCAGACCTGCGGAGGACTGCTGGAAGATTTTTGATTGCCTCTTTGACTCCGTCGTCTGGTGCGGTGGGTCGTCCCATATGGCTGATATTGTCTACGTTCAGGGCACCAATTAGCATGTCCATTTCGGTCTTTGTGAGATCATTTATTGTCACAGGATACCTCTGTTTAATTGAACGGACCAATGCTTTCTGCACCTTGTTCGCCTTCGTCGCCATGTTGCTGGCCATGTTGCTGGATGTTGCTGGATGTTGCTACTAGGCGCCTCAATTATGGCTGCCACGGTTCGAGGAGAGCTTGGACTGGAATAATGGACAGAAAAATGTTGGTGAAGGGGGTAGAATTCTGCGATAAAGGGGACTGGGCGGGGGCATAAACTGACCTTATATAGGTACAGATGAAGCCGCCCCTTATCTTTGTCTTCAAACTACTAGGGACTTGCCCCTACCAACAATATCATTGTCTACATCAATGGGCTTAGTAATTGATAACTGGACAAAGACGCTGCTATTCAATAGACTGCGTTCTGTCGTATCGTGTCAATGTAAAGAACTGCAATATTGGATTTTCTTTGTTAAACATCGCTTTTGAACTCGCCTTTGAGCATTGTGTACTTACTCACAAAGGCAAAGACAGCCTTCTCCAACCGGATAACTCACAGACAAACGTGTGCAACTAGAACTGTTATTCTCTGCCCCCTTCTGATAGGCCATGTGAAGGATTTTGATATCGTTCCGCAGTGGTCGGGACTAATGTTGAATATTAAGTAACTCTAAGGCAATTAAGTGGAATGCTGAGCCACGAAAATTCATTCTAGACAATGGTTTACATATTTTAGGCCGATGAAACTTATAGATCGCCACAAGCAATTACTCCTGTTGCAAACAGATAGGCTATTAGGCATTGTATGTGTCCTTGGAATTAAGATTGGGTCATACATAGACACACTTGCCAAAGTTAAAGCTCTGAGCAGTGGAATGCATTTAGGCATGGCTTAGGTTACGCTCTTGCGCGGACAGAAGAAGACCGGTGCTCCTTCCGAAGATGGCGGCATCAGGAATGGAATGAACACCCTAGGAAGATAATTCTTCGCTTCGTAGCCCAAAGCCATCGAACTTAGTTTCACACATCCTCACAACCCATTCCCATTGCTGTGTCCTTTAGCCCGACCTAATCATGGAGAATGCGATAATCCGTCGGACTAAACTCCTTAAAGACTGGGAAGAATCACCATTGCCTTATACAGCATCTCCATGGTTGCTGCTCTGGGACGATATCAAACTCTTTTTTTCCCAAGCACGGTGGCTTCCGTATATATACTATCCATTCCAACCATGCTTGTCCGGCGAAATGGACGAACTGTATCCCTCATGGGCTAATGTGAAACTCATGCTGGTTCATTGTTTCTTGTTTGCATATCAGCTCGGCTTCTTTTTATCACTGTTTATCTTCACAATGCTTGGTGTTCCTGCCTTGTGGATTGGCATTTATATTGCATTAGCCTTGAAATTCAATTCTATAATATGCAGTCGAGCCTTGAATAGGAACTCAATCCTATACTACCCGAACACTTCTTTGGCGCTCACAAAGAAAGTTTTGGGGGAGCGTTGGATCTTTATCAATGGGATCGCTGTAGGGCAAGTTGATTACATTTATTTTGCATATATTCATGTGAGATGGAAGATAATAGAGAAGCTCTCATCCACATCTACTGCTTCGCTATTTGAGTCTTGCTGTCACTGTCTATGACATGTTACTGACGCACCATGACTCACAGATCTCACTGGATGCAAAATAGCGTTGATAAACTCACTGAAATATTTGGCAGAAGGGTGATGGGTATCCATAGTCCCACGTATGTTCGCCCAAATTCTTTGAGGTCGAATACGAGTAATACTAAATTTGAATAGCTCCGGGATGGTCTTCGACGTCATCAAATGCTTAGTTCAAAGGAACTTTTGCTACGCAACCGAGGATGCGAGAGAAGCCTATGAGATAGTCAGAACTTCAATGCTGGATAGTAATGTCACGAAGATAGTCCTCATTCTCCACAGTCAGGGGTGCATAGCAGGAAGTCTTATGATCGACTGGCTTACAGCGGAGATGTCTCTACATCAGTTGGAAAAGTTAGAGATCTATACCTTTGGCAACGCGGCAAACCACTTCAATGATCCACACAAGATGATTCCAGATATAGAAGGAACTGACAGTTCAGATACTGTGAACTTTGAGAAGAATTCACATGGAGCAGTTTCTCAGGATTCCAACGCACTGCATACTGCTGATGTAAGTTAATTCGCTGGGATTTCTTGTCCCTGGTATACACTAAATTGCCTACAGGGGCAAATCCAAACGGCGGTAAATGTTGTGACTGGCGGGCAATCTCCAGGATCTTCTCTAACTCCCCCCAAAACACCTATTCGCCTGATGCCCTATATTGAACATTATGTGAACACTGGGGATTTTGTATGTCGGTGGGGTGTGATGCACTTTGCTCAAATTCCAAACCGTTTCCTCGGACATGTGCTCTACAATGAAGCTTGGGGACACTTATTTATCCAACATTATCTCGATCGATGGTTTTTAGGGCCACCCCCCGACCAGGGTGAGCTCCCGGAGGAGGAGTTAGTTCTGGTCGACCCTTCTGATACTGACGTAGAGAACGAACTGGAAAAAGAGACCTTCAGATTCTCCCGTCTGTGGAGGTATCGAGGCGGTGATTCACCGGCCAACTGAATACTTCTTGCATTTTTACTGCTTTGCGGTCAGAATGTATTTCACACTCGCAGATATCTGTTCGCGATGCATACTTGTTGTACTCGACATGTCTACCAGCATTTTTATCGGATGTACTTAACTAGTTAGCTAGGAGGTAGCATAACTAACTAAACTAACGTAATACTGTGCTGTGTAGTTAGTTGAATAGTAGTTAGTTAAGATCATACTGGCCGTATTTCTGATTCAACCCGCACGCACGTGACCTTGGTGGATCCATTATGATTCTGTTATTATAGTAATTAGGCTGGTTGGTTAACTAAGTAAGTTAGAATTTAATGTGATGACTAAGAGATCAGATAAGCGGCTCCACATAACTTAACTAGTTAAGCCCAAAGAATTGTTTCAGCCCAAAGAATTGTGTAGAATTTGTCTTCCCCGCGAAACCCATCGCCCCTTCGAAGCTAAGTGAACAATGAACAGGCTGCCGGTTTTTGCTACCATTAGCGCACAATAGAAATAGCTGTCGGAGAACCCCATGTTGTAAATGTGAGTTTTACAGAAATCCTGGGACTAGTCCATCTGGAAGGACAAGGCTATCACCTTACGCCATGGAGTACATCCCAGGAATCTCTCAGTATCCTCTTGCTGCTTCAACATGGCGAGCCGCCGAAAGGGCGGTCATTGCGTCCCCCAACAGTGGCCGCATACAGAGGTTAGTCTCTGCTTACTGGCCCCATAAACACAGCAGTTGCTAAGTTTATGTCTCAGGGAAATATGGGAGTACCGAACCCAGAAGCTCTCGGCTTTCATAGCCGCGGGGGATCTTCATCTCGCAATGTTGTTGTTGTCATGCATGATTGGTCTTGTTTCCATGAGTCTACGCCATGGAGCACGTTTCTGCAAGTCAAAGCGCGGACCCCATTCGGACGTTGTTGGAGATGACAGTGCTGAGATTGTCACCTCCATCCCTTTTGCATTAATGCATATAGCCGCATCTGTAGCAGCATGCTGCCTCAGCTGTGTAGAAATATGGTATGGAGCGAGCTGGAAGCGAGCTCTTTTATTGAGTTATGCAGTGCTTTTAGGACTAGCTCGACTCTGTGTGAGGGATCAGGGCTATCGAACTCATCTTTGTCGTCATATCAATAATATTTATTTGGTCACATTGGTGCTTTGCTGTATACAAGAATTGCTACCAATGATAATTATTGGTGCAACGTACCGCCCAAGAGGCACCGCATCTGCGTTGGTAGCTTGCCTCGCTGCCGTGGTGATCATCGAACTCGGTACGCCTCGACCACGTCGTGGTGTTTTCCCAACTGATGTGGAGATCGAGGAACGGAGAATTGTGGACGAGACGTCTCCAGAGGAGACATGTTCTCTCTTCTCGTACTACTGCTCATATGAGTGGATCACATATGTGATTCTGCGCGGCTGTCGAAGGGATTTGACGATGGATGACCTGCCTCCATTGCCTTCCTATGACGAGCCATCTAAATGGTTGAAGAAGATTAAGAGACAGCGCCTCAGAGGAGGGAAAACATTTCGAACCCTGTGCAGATTGCTTAAAACGGAAATCAAGAGAATGATGTTCTGGTCGGCCGTTACGGCGGTGGCTGAGTTTGTTGCACCGTACGCCATGTTGCGATTGCTCGCGTACTTGGAAGATCCCGTCTCTGCTGTGGTGCACCCTGGGTGCTGGATCTGTCTTCTTTTTGCTGGCCCTATGATGCGATCACTTTGCTATCAACAGTATATTTTTACAGCCACGCGGCTTCTCGTACGCGTCAATGTTTCTCTTGTTCAGGAGATATATGAAACTGCTATGCGGTCATACATATATGATGATTCTATAGACCGCTCTGACAAGGGAAACAAGGGCTCATCAAAGGGGGCGTCCAAGTCTGGCCAAGCCAATTTAACCAGTCTGATGTCGTACGATGTCGATGCCATTTACAACTCTCGAGACATATTCTATGTTTCCACTGCGGGTCCAGTTTCTATTACGATTGCCCTGGTATTCCTCTATCGGATGATTGGGTGGTCGTCATTGATTGGTGTCCTGGCACTTCTGTTCTTAACTCCTCTCCCAGCATTGGCATCCCGTAGGGTCTCTAGAATCCAGCGGTCTGTTATGCAAGCTACCGATGCCCGGCTTGCTAAGATTTCCGAGTATCTGAACTCCATACGCACTTTGAAATATTTTGGTTGGGAACATGCTGCAATGGATTCAATCAATGATGTTCGGGGTGTTGAGCAACGCCGTCTCTGGAGACGGAGTACTTATATGGCAGCCATTTCAATGGCTGGAGACTTACTCCCAATGGTAAGTTTGTTGGTGATGTTTTCCGCCGTAGTCTTGTTCACCGACCTTCCGCTGAGGGCACCGGTTGCTTTTACTTCGTTGTCAATCATGGAAACTTTGCGTGTTCAATTCGTCTGGCTCTCAACCGTGAGCAGATTTTCTGCCCAGGGCGCGGAGTCCCTCCGGCGAGTTGACCGGTTTTTTGACATGGCGAGTGAAATCAAGCGACATCCCGATGGGCCGTTGGAGTTGAAGAACGCAACATTCAAGCGCACACCGATTGCTGCATTTAGGTTGCAGAATGTGTCTGTATGCTTCAAGCCACGCGCACTCAATGTAGTGACAGGCCCAACAGGAAGTGGCAAGACTTCCCTGCTTCTCTCTCTTTTGGGCGAAACTGTCCTGGAGTCTGGAACTGCTTCCTGTGCCCGGGATGTTGCCTATGTGCCTCAAGTACCTTGGCTTCAGAACGATACTATACGCCAGAATATCTTGTTCTATAGTCCCTTCGATGAGGCTCGTTACAACCGTGTCATCCAAGCGAGCGGGTTGACGCAGGATCTTCAGCAACTCCCAGCTGCAGACCTTACCGTGGTGGGTGAAAGGGGAACAACGCTCTCAGGTGGCCAGAAACAACGAGTTTCTTTAGCAAGGGCTTTATATTCATACTCAAGTACGCTTCTACTAGATGATATATTCTCGGCACTAGACACCCACACCACGACGTTGGTTTATGAAAGGTGTTTCCGTGCAAGGCTTCTCTTAGATAGAACTGTTGTACTTGTCACACGGTATCCGCCTGCTGTACAGGATGCTGAACTGGTGGTTCGCCTAGAGCATGGCAAGGTGGTTTCTATCAAAGCCGGTACAAGTGCCCGGCAACCTCTCATACCCACACCATGCAGTACTCCTGAAACAGGAACGAGCTACTCGACACCTCTCAATGAACAGCAAAGGGTAGAGCTGGATGAGATTCTTTCGGAATCCACGGCAATTTTGGTCCCGACCATTGCTGATGCACAAACCGCGTCCAAGGGTCAACACATGGCTAAAGAAACATCAGCCACTGGACGTGTACCTCGCGCTTTATGTAAGTTCTCTACCGGGCTATGCTGTCCTACAGTGCTAATATAGCGTACAGTCTTCCAGTACATGGTTCTATTTGGTGGGCCATTATACGCGCCCTTGGTCATACTGGTGACTATTGCAGTGCAATTTGCGTATTTCGGTATTACATACTGGCTCTCTATCTGGACGGGAGCCTATGAAGAATACGAAAACCCGAATGCCTTGTTCTACTTGGTGATATATGCCACGTCAATTGCCACTTATCTTCTGCTGCAGCTCACGAATAACCTCGTATATCAATATGGAAGCTGGGTTGCTGCCAAAAAGATGCATAAAAAATTGGTCACTGCGCTGTTGTCTGCTCCGATTACCTGGTTTGACGAGAATCCAATCGGACGTGCAATAAACCGCTTCGGGAACGATACTCGGTCGATGGATACAACACTCGTTAATTGGTTGCGCATGTCGATAGAGAATGGACTGCGCTTTTTGTTCCGGATTGCCAGTGTTGCATCCATCATGCCTATATTTGCACTCCCTGCTGCGGTGATCTGCACGGCTGGATTCGTCATTGGAGAGATGTACACCCGCGCCCAGGTTTCCATCAAACGGCTATGCTCCGTGAATTACTCACCTGTGTTCTCACACTTCACCGATTCCCTCGCCGGCTTGAGTGTGATCCGGGCTAGACACGGAATGGGCGATATCTTCCAACGTCTCCTGGCCGAAAAGCTGGCCGTGCATGCGCGGTCCGCAGAGGCGCAGTACAACTGCAACCGCTGGGTCTCCGTCCGGTCAGACTTTTGCGCCGCCTCCGTAGCTGCCTCCGCGGGATGTGTGGCATGCTTCTGGGCCGGTTCAGCGGGACTCGTTGGGTTTTCGCTGACCAATGCCATTGGGCTCAGCCAGACGATTTTAACGTTGGTACGATCAATGAATGAGCTCGAGGTAGAGCTCAACTCGTTCCAGCGCATGCGCGAGTATGCAGATATTGAGCCTGAAGAACGAGCCCTCGACAAGCAAGCCATGCTCCAGGCGGTACCAGCAAGCTGGCCCACACAGGGGCGGGTTGAATTCCACAACGTCACTGCGCGTTACCTGCCAGATGGGCCGGACGTTTTACGCGGAGTCTCGTTTGTCGCGAACCCCGGCGAACGGGTCGGCATCGTGGGGCGAACCGGCAGTGGTAAAAGCACCTTGGGACTCTCTCTACTTCGTTTCGTCGACATCGTGGGAGGACGAGTGACGATTGATGGAGTGGACATCAGCACGATCCTACTGAAGCGTCTGCGCACGAGCGTTACGCTTATTCCTCAGGAACCCGTTCTATTCTCGGGTGACGTGCATTCCAACCTCGACCCGTTCGGCGAATCCAGCGACACCGAACTGCAACATGCTTTATCGGCATGCACATCTATCCGCGTCGCAGAGGGCAACCATGAAGAACATGCAGAGGGCAAGACCACACATCCTCTCACATTGGATACGCTCGTTGCCGCCAACGGAGAAAACTTTAGCCAAGGACAGCGACAGGTGCTCAGTCTGGCTCGAGCCATGTGTCGGCGGTCCAAAGTCGTGCTGCTAGACGAGGCGACTGCTTCTGTGGATCATGAGACAGACATGCACATGCAGCGGGTTTTGCGATCTATGTTTCCTGATTGCACCATCATAGCGATTGCACATCGACTGCGGACTATTATGGATTATGACCGGGTTCTTGTAATGGCCGATGGGGAGATCGTAGAGTACGTTTTCTATCTTCTGTCGTCCTTCTGTCTGGCCTCTGGTCCTGCTTACCGATTTGACTGGCATACTAATTTCATACTAGGAGCGATTCGCCCACCAACCTGGTCAAGAAGCGGGGAATTTTCTGGGATATGCTACGGAACACGGGGGAATATGATGAGCTGATTGAGATGATCGAGGAATCAGAGCTTTGAACGATAATGAGACCATGATAGACGGACGATAGATTACAGATAGATATCTAGTTACTTTAGCAGATAGATTCGAATGAACTGAACATAAATAGTGAACGTAGCCGGTGACAAGGTAATTTGTGGGCCAGGCACGGTAGGTATGTATAACCTAACTTAGATGAGTTGGATAGAACTGTGTATGTTCCCACCAATGACTTCATTATATAACTCCGGTCCAATGGCAGGTCCGGCTGTTAGCTTAACGCATGCACTAAAATCACCATTCTCCATCCATGACAGCGAGAAACTAGTATGGCTCCTTGGCAGCGATTAGGAGCCTTAGCGAGAGACCAGCGTGGCGTTGCACCGTTTAATTATCAACCTGAGCAAGCATCCTGAGGTTTGCTGGCTCCAGTATCTGTATCCTCAGCTCTCTATGCGCAGTTGTGTCCTGCTGCGTGGACATGATGGGTCCCCGTATCTCTGTCGTACTGCCCTTAATGGGCACCCTTGGTAGGTTCATTTCACCCACTCCAATTTTTGAAGAGAATGAATCGCTAAGCCTGTCATACCAGCTATGGCCCAAGAGTGTCATTTCCCACGGCATAACTTCATCGCGACCCGCCAGTCTGAGCTGGACTTTTTGTCGCAAAACTGCACCACGCTGGTTGGCAATCTCCTGATAGGGGCCAATTTTTCGGGGCCGCTTCGTCTGCCCCATATCACCAATATCACTGGAAATATCCGCGCCGACGAGGAAAATCCCGAGGCAACGACGGAGATGTCGTCGATTGAGATGCCGGATCTCGAGTATCTCGGTGGGTCGATGTCCTTGGTAGAGACCCCTAGAGTACGGAACGTGTCTATGCCTCGGCTGGTATCCTTAACCAGTCTGTCGTTGGCACAACCGGAGGACTCTGTGGTGGACTTTTCGTCGCTGAGGAATGTCAATTATTCGATGAGTTTGAGCGGGAATTACACGAGGTTGGCAGTAGTCTTATTATCCAATCTTGTGCCGATTAAAGTGCTAACTAGACCAACAAAGGATGTCATTTAATGCATTGCACACAGTCAACTCAACACTGCAACTCAGCACTGTCAAAAAAGGCCATAATCCCGGCAGGTCGAAGTACGCCCTCGATCTGAGTCGGACTTTTGACTCGCTGGAACTAGTAGGGGGGGGGATCTTTGTGTATGGCGCAGCAACCAAGTCCGTCACGACATCCATATCCCTATGCCCATACTTACCATGTGCACAACTAAACATATCCAGTATATCATTTCGTCGACTGTCTTCCGCCGGATTAAGTCGCAGCGGCCTTTATGCAATCAACATTGATCTGGACAAAACCCCTACAGAAATCAACTTTCCGAGACTAACCTTCCTGGCTGGTAGAGTGAGCATGGCGGGGCATTTCACAAGGTCTACCTATCTCCCTCTTCTATGTTTATGTTTACACTGTTAACGATCCAATTCCAGTGTCCATATGCCTTCTCTACGCTATCCAGCTGCAGACGTAATCCTTAACGCTAGGAGTCCACTCAACCTGACCCTCCCGTTCGTGAACGCCAGTGAAATCCACCTATCTGGGAGTCTTGAAAGGTCTTCCCCCTCTTTTCCCTTCTTCTTTCTGTCTTTAATGTATATACTTACTATGTATAGCGTATCTCTTCCAAACCTCAAATCCTTCAAAGATCTAGCAATCAACTCCGACCTCCATTTAGACTGTGCTGCATTGACCGAGTCTGCGAAACACATCTTGAACGGGACAGTCCGATGTGTTTCGAGCGGTGAGGCGAGCAGTGAGTCCAATGACAAGGGGTTATCGACAGGCGAGAAGGTAGCTATTGGGGTTGTGGTTGGCGTGGTGGGTCTTGGGATCGTGATGCTGGGGAGTCTACTGTGGATTCGCAGGCAGGGGAAGAAGAGGAAGGGTGTGGTTGTGAATACGGTGGAAATGAATCCAAGGGAGCCGCCTCCACCGTATACTTCTTAATGCGTTTAATATCAGGGGTTTGTTGGTAATATGTACGGTAGGGATTGTAGTGTTTAATATTGTGTATAAATAGTCTAATCAATATCAGTCTACGGAATACTATAAATACAATTCTATATACCGCGTTCCAAAACGCACATTCTTCTCCCTGCGCAAACCTGCCCAGGTTCTCTCTCCTGGATAGCGAGTCTATCAATTACTCGCAAAGATCGGCTGGGGCATGCGATCGACCGTACGGCTAGCACGGGATGTCTCACGCTATGCTTGTTCTTGCTGTACCTCCAACGTCTCTACGACTTATGATTGATGGATTATAGATTCCAATGGTAGGTTGAGCGCACAGCCGCGTTGAAAATAACCTATAGTGATTGGAACGATGCATGCCGTGAGCGTCCTGTGGAACAACACATCGCACAACAGAGTGCATCCCGTTGCGGCTCAGCTGTCATTTGAATCTGTCTGGATAGCTTCGAGGTCGCTGGCTCGCGAGGAACACATCTGTGTCTGGTATATGAACCGATGCGGGAACCGCCTTGGATTTTGAGAGATGGTTCAAGCGTCGACGATTACCTCTTCCTATCGCTAAAACGTACTTGTTATTTCTTCTGGTTGGGTTGGATTACTTGCAAAGTCTACACCATGGCACAGCACAGTGGCCGGACGTGATAGAAACCTAAGACGTTTGTCGAAACGCGCGACAGTATTCAGTGGATCGTGTTTTGACTAAAGTGGGTATTCCTCCTGATCTAGGTTGAGTGTCTGTTTGCTTATCGAGATTAACATAGGCAAATTCCTTTACGAGGATTTCACCCCGGCTCGAAAACTGGAAGATTCAATATTGTCCATTGAGGAAGAGAAGATGCTCTTGTCATTTTGCGGGATATGCTCAAGCAGTGTCGGGAGGAGAGCAAGACAGCTCGTGAGTTGGCAGAGCATCCCTTCTTGATATTGGGAGTTTAGTCAAGATGGATAGCTTGCGTCCTACTTTATCTATTGTACTCTTCTCTGGACGGAAATAATTAAATGTATGGTAGTTAGTTAGTCACTTAAAATTAGTCACAGACACTGTGACTTGGCGCTCGTATTCAGAGCCATTGTGCTTCATTCCAAATTTCAATATACCACCACTACTTATAGCAATCATCATGGACGACATAAATGCATATACGCCACACCTATCATGATAATCCACTCTAAGTAGAATAGAGCCACGAATACCAGAACCCCCCGATATCTCTACCCTGAATCTGAACCCCGAATTAATCCAAAGCGTCCACACCCATCTCCTTGACGAGAATCTCCCATCGTACCATCATCTCATGCTGCCCATCCTCCAAGATACGTATGTCAACCAAGATACACCTGTAAATAAATCTTAAGCCAAACTAAATAAACTCAGGCAATAGCGTCCTTGCCCAAGGGCCTTTCGACCACAGCATCATATACATCATTTCCATCTTGAACATAATCAACATCAACAAAACATCTCCCGCAATCTTCCTCACTTCATCCCGTATAACCGCATATACATTCAAGAATATCACTAAGCTAGTTGCCTCATCCATGTCCTCTATCCGAATTGTCGCATGTTATAGCAGAATTTAGTAGATGCTTGCAGTGATTGGAGAATCTTTGTCATACTGTCAGGGTTGCTTCTAGCATCTGTACAACTTAATCATGGATATCAATATGCAATCTTAAACACCCAAACATACTGGTCCCCCTGAGCCACCTCCTCACTAACTTCCAATACTACATTTCCATTGTCCATCCGTCTACTGGGAACCACACCCCCATGCATAGCTCCCCCAACCACGGTAACTTCATCCCCCTCAACCCACGGAACAGGATACCTTAGAACAATCTCCCTACTAGGCCTCCCCAAACAATGGATGTAAAAAGCATCCTCACTAACCACAAATCTCAGAGCCCCATCCTCCGCCGTCACAAACCAGTACTTCGTCCCAAAAACCGCCTCTGCATGACTCCGAATCCACTTCCCTGCCTGTCGCAGATTTCTCTGTTCCACCTCGAGAATACTCCCGTTCGCCATTGGCCCAATATCAAGCAGGAAGTTCCCATTCTTACTCACAATATCCACCAAGCTAGTGACAATCTCGCTAGCATTCATGTAACTCGCCAGCGGCGTCGCCCCGTTGTACCCATAGCTGTACGGGTCCATCCCCAGACTACTTTCCCATTTGCGCGCTTGCACGGAGCCGTACCGTGCGTATTCGGGCGTGTCAAAGTCGCCCGGTAGTCCACAGCGCGCGTTCATGGCTACTTGGTGGCTCTGCTGCGATGCGTAGTTGAACCACCAGGCGGCGAATTCCGTCGTGCGGTTCGGTCCGCCAATGTCGCACCACATTATAGAGGTGTTCATCGCTGCGAGTGTGTGCATCTCTGGGAGGATCTTGTCGCTCACATAGTCGGATACGGGTATGTAGCCGGTATATGGCAGGGAGGTGTTTGTGAATGGGTTAGTCGCGTTGCCTTTAGTTGTTAGTTTCCTATAGTCGAATGATATAGGTACAGGGTCTGGTGATACCTCCTGGCCATGATCCAAACCCATACTTCCTGTAGTCAGGATGAAACCACTCCGGGAGCGAGTAATACACCGCACGATGTAAATGAGGCTGATATGTCGCTGCAGCGTCGAAGAGTTCCTTTGGCTGCTCAGTACTAGCTACCAAGGTATTGATAGACTTACTTGGAGCAGGTTCCGATGAGGGGGTTGTACCACAGAGGTCCGCTCTGTGACATGGGCCGGGAGATCGAAGATGGCATATCCGTCATGATGCTTGCTCACTTGTACAAAATACTTTGCTCCTGCGTCGGCAAAGAGATCCACCCATTCCCTTGGGTCCCATGCGTCTGCCGTGAAGTTTTGGAAGAAATCATCGTATACAATATCTGGTCCGTAGGTCTTGAGATGATGCTCATATGTTGCGACGGCAGTATTAGGGCCTTGGTTCAGGTTCCACCAGTACCTGTCATCGTTAACGAAAACATATTATGTATCAATATTGTAGACTCACCATTCAGCATAGTTTTCGTTCTTTCCGGAATTCCCCCATCCCGGGACAGCATACGGTCCCCAGTGGATAAATATGCCGTACTTGGCGTCGTTGAACCAATTCGGCGATTCATGCGAATAGATCGACTCGTACGTTGCTTCATAGGGCGCAATCCCATACGTCGCATGGAACGTGTACCTCTCGCTGCGCACGGCATGTCCTGAAATCACCACCGTCGCGGGTCCATCACTCCCAGGTTCAACCCCGTCTTTATTCCTGACTCCAATCTCCACAGTCGCGCGATCCCCTGGCGCAAGTCGATTGATTCGCGCCTCAGTCACAGTCTCCACGCCCGACGAGTCGATTCGTACACGAACAGTATGATTCCGCAGCACCAACTGGCTTCCCACATTAGTTACCACTACTTCTACAATCTGTGCATTCCGTGACCTATCCATTATCCATTTCCTCGTCGACCGCGCATACTGTACCTCCAGAACCGGCGACTCCAGTTCCATCGCCTCCGTTCGAGCAGGCCACACCGAGATGGCGAAAATATGCAACCTGGTCCCGATCTCTTTCCCTCCTGGCTTGGTTGCCGCCCCCCCAGTCACATTGGGTAGAGTCAGCGAAACCAGCTCCCGCGAGGAATCAACCCAATGCACCGACTGGAAGATATTCGACCGATTATAGTCGACTGCGTCGGGTGTTTGGAAATGCGGGAATACCAAGTCCCCTCCGGCCGGATGGGGCCAACTCCACCAGGCAGGGATGAGGACTTGCGTGGAGCTTGTGCTGCCGTCGGAATAGGTAGCGTTGAGAGTACCAGATGCCATGCCGGACTCGGAGGCAGCGAGGATATGTACGCTGACGTATTTAGATCTGGGGAGATGGATCTCCTGGCCCTGGGAAAGAACGTTATCGTTTCCCGAGGCATGGTAGATCGGGAATGTGTAGTTGGTTCCTGCGTAGATGAATGTACTGGAGGGCATCTGTTGTGCGGGATATGCATCTACAGAGTGAGTATAGTATTACTATCAGAAGACGGTGTATATGGGGAGTGGCTTACTTCCAGAGCCGTCAAAGTTGGCATCTTTTGGTTCTTGGCCAAATGCACGATTGTTGAAATGGGGTTCTAGGTTGATGGGATGGGATGGGACCTGCGGAGTGATTGGTTGGAAGGCATTTTGTGGTTTGAATATCACTGCCTGGGACAGGGGGAGGAGAAGACTGACGATGTAGAGTATGTGCATTGTCATGGTTGCTTGGGTGATTTTAAACTGGCCGAACCAGTATATATATCATTCATAATTGCTTTAATTCTCGTTTGGGGTTCGTGGAATCAATTCTGCCTTCTCTTAGTATAGAGATGTCGATCATGAGGGGAAATAGCCGGCATCAAATATCCGGCATCTTTATACATCCAATCGGTTAGTTATGCTGGTCTTTCTAGGCTAATTTAGATAGGAAATTAAAATATGGCACATAATGCCCTCTAGCCTCTCAAAGTGATGTTCTATCCTCTACACCCATCATCCAATACTGAGTCTAAGTACTATTATATTCTGTAGGGCAATACTAGCTCCTATAAATAAACCAGTCTTGCTTCTCAAAAAAAAATAAATAATCCTATTCGATAAACTCGAAAAAAGTTTCTATCCTAACAGTTATATCAACCTTAGAAGTGAGAGTCTCTGTCTAAGGAGACTATTTATAATATCCTTTAGTCAACACAAAATAAGCTGGCCTAGTTAGCGCATACTGTATTACTTGATTTTCTAGACTCCGCACTTCCCATCAGCCGCCCCATCCAGCTTACCTCGTCCATCCGTCCATATCTTTTAACGATCTACAAGAGATAAAAACGATATACACGATGCCACGAGACACGATGGACGAGAAAGCACGGAGCGAAAGTATGGGCAAGGAGAAGCGAAAACCCGTGCGTCGCGACCCCGAAAAAAGGCGGCAACAGAACATCCGAGCGCAACGTAAATACCGTGAGTGCAGCTTGGATTATACACAGATAGATCGGGGAAGGATCTTGGGGGGAAGGGGAAATACTGATCGAGTGTTCTTTCTAGGAGAGAAGCTCCGTGAGCGAATGGAGAACCTCGAAACGCTTGCAGCATCTCTGACAACCCCGACGACGGGCACAATCCAATCCGAGTCGATCCCTAGCTATGATGTTTCGGACGTATCGATTTCCAATTCATCGACGGCCACTCCCAAGGATTGCCAACACCTTCTTCCACAGTCAGACCATACCACATCAGCACTGAACATCTGGGACTCTACAATACATCTGACACCCCCAGACAATACCATATCGTCACTAACCATCTGGGATCCTACGATTTGGGATTACACGGCACAGCTCCCACATTCAGATATCTCCCCATCAACACTAGCCATCTCAGACTTCACAGAACAATTGCCACCGTCAGAAGCTCCCTTGTCGACACCGAGTGTATGGGTTCCTCCAACACATGTTGATCCTTCCATTCTCGTCCATGATAAACACAATGACGGCCTTAGTCGATGCTGGACGACCACCACCGTCGAATGCGATTGCTCCAGGCCACATTTCCAGGTACAGGTACAAACACATGGTCCTGGCCCATACAGCTCTACCGAGGTCAGGATACTCAGGATTGGACCGGTCGCACCTGCACCCGATCCATATGCCAACCATTTTCGCCTGGAAACGATCTGTACGTTAGCTGCAATGGATACTCTCAGAATGCATGTTGGCATTACGGAGGAGATGATGTGTATCGAGGAATCTCCCTCGCCATTCTATCGGTCGATCAGGGCATCGGCGGACGACACGGTCAAGGAAAACATGATCTGCACAGTGCAGAGGATATTCAAGACCCTCAAACCGGACTTGAGACCAAGCAGTGAACAAATTACTGTCGAGCACCCTCCATACATTGATGTTCTGCCCTTTCGGACGCTGCGGAAGAATCTCATCCTCCACCAGCAAGAGGTGGACGAGGATGAATTTCTCCGCGACGCCGTCACTGGTTTAGTATGTTGGGGAGGGGCAGGCGTTGGGAGGAAGGATCGAGATGCTTCTACTGGATACTCTTCGACTGGTACTCCGTGGGACAACCGCAGCTGGGAGGCAAAGGTGTGGTTTCTGAAGAAGTACTGGTCTCTGCTAGGTGGAGAGGAGGGAGAACTTGTGCGACAAAGCGAATGGTGGCGCAGTATCAGAGGCGAGGATCCGCTGGACATAGAGGCACTAGTATGAAATTATTAATCTACCAATTTGTATATCCTATATCTTCAGCAACTCTAGCACCCTCGATGCGAAGTTCTCCTCGCCAAATGTCGCCTCTAATTTCCGACTTCCTTCTCCAACTCGACGTGCGGTTCCCGCAGAACGCCGAGCGTGTACTCCAAGCTTCTGTCTTCTTCATGGTCACCAACACCTCTCGCTTGGCCTCATGGCTAAGTTTACCAAGCCGTCTCTTCACGAGGAACGCCCGCAGCTGCATCATCTCCCCCGCGAGCTCGGACTCTGACTCCAGAGTCTGAACGCAGTGGACCAGCGTGAAGGAATAACTCCCTTCGACGAGATCCTCGGCGATCTCCTTCGCCTTAGACTAGCCAGCTGAAGCGAGATTCGATAGTCTTCGTGGATCTGGAAGAAGCGTCCAATGAGGCAGCCGAACAGATTCATGTCGCTGTTAGAAATTTTGTCGCCGACGGACTCTTGGTGATCATCATCCGCGTCCACATGCAAAATAGACCGCCCGTCTTCATATCAACCATTTTTGAAACGGCGACGGTCGGGCAGAGTGTGTTGTGCGTTTATCAGAGGTTCCGTTAGCTCTGCCCCACGTGCAGCAGATGCATCTCTTCAACGAAGATACTAAAGTTTTCGGAGTTCTGGAGTTGGGACTTCGCTAGCAACCCAGTTGATAACATAGAACAGCTCCTATATTGACTGACACGGTTGCTCATATAGACTTCACAGTTTGGAGGTTCACCATTCCTCTTTGATGTCAGTCCACTGGAAACGGAATTCTCAACCGGTCTGTCAGAATGAAGCTAGTCCACATTAGGAAATCATGTGATACTAGTCATGACGTGTGTTTACCTGACGTCAGCATAACACACAACAGCCACCCCGAATAAAATGAGAATATTCAAGCTCTCATAGAATTACACCTAGAAATATGACAGGATCTGAGAGAACTTGCGGAAAATGAACTATCCGTACCCGTAGAGCCAGCTGCACTTTCGTTCGTGATTTAGACTTGGCAGGGAAAAGATGAATAAGCTGGCGATCTCCAAGACTAGCAGGGCTAGTAGGATTAGCAAGACAGATGATTGGACACGGATGGGTGTGGATTTGCGGCCCGAAGATCTGGCTGACGTTAGCCATCGATTTAGGTTAGCTACTTTCTGCTGATAAGAGCCATTGTCTTGGTGGGCTAGACCCTTCGTTTGCATGAATCGAACCAAAATAGTTGCCGTGGATCGCGTTATCCACCATGCATTCAGCCCAATGGCCAGAAACAAGAGCAAATGGGGCTGCTGCTTTATCTAGTGTGACGTCTGTATCTTCTGCTCTCCCAGCTCCACACCGTCTACTCCTTATCTTTACTATAAGTATAGTTTGATACATTTGACGGCGCTCATTGGCGCCGTCGAACCAGGACACCCGCAAACATGAATGACAGTCATGGGTCCGGAAGCGCCTCCAGTTCCACTATGGGGAAGAAGGAAGCGGAGGTTCATCAGCTGGCCAGACAGTTCACAGAGCAGAGCACCTATTCCACCGCGGGACAAAACCCTTTTGCTGCGGAGGCAGGATCGGCCCTGGACCCCAATAGCGAACACTTTAATGCTCGGGCGTGGTGCAAGGCCATGCTACAGATGAACACCGAGGACGAGCAGGCACATCCGCTGCAAACCCTGGGAGTCGCCTTTAGCAATCTTAATGTGCACGGTTTCGGTTCTGACACCTATTACCAAAAACGCGTCGGCAACTTCTGGTTAGAGGTGCTTAGTCTGGCAAGGAAAGCGCTCGGCCAAAAGCAGCGCAAAATCCCGATTTTACAGAACTTGGAAGGACTGGTGGAGGCTGGAGAGATGCTGGTGGTTCTTGGACCCCCTGGATCGGGATGCTCGACTTTCTTGAAAACTATTGCTGGAGAGACTCACAGCTTTCATGTCGATAAGAGCTCAAACATCAATTTCCAAGGTATGTCCGATTGACTCAAGAGCAGGGTTCTTTGCTAATTTCCAACAGGTGTGAGCGCAAAACAGATGGCCCACGAGTTTAGAGGCGAAGCCATCTACACCGCGGAGGTCGACGTCCACTTCCCCAAGCTTACTGTTGGAGATACCCTCTACTTTGCTGCGCGCGCCCGAGCACCACGACACATTCCTGGAGGGGTCAGTGTGACCCAGTATGCCAGCCATATGCGAGACGTGATTATAGCCATGTTTGGTCTCAGCCGCACCAAGAACACGATCGTAGGAAACGACTTTATTCGCGGTGTGTCTGGTGGAGAGCGCAAGCGGGTTAGTATCGCCGAAGCTTGCCTTAACAACGCGCCGCTGCAGTGTTGGGATAACTCCACTCGTGGTCTTGATAGTGCGAGTGCCATCGAGTTCTGCAAGACATTGCGCATGCAGACAGACATTAATGGCGCCACAGCCTGTGTCTCTTTGTACCAAGCTCCTCAGGCTGCCTATGTATACTTCGATAAGGTCCTGGTTCTATACGAAGGCCGCGAGATCTACTTCGGTCCCACATACACGGCGAAGCAGTACTTCCTTGATATGGGCTTTGCCTGCCCCGAGCGACAAACCGATGCCAATTTTCTCACCTCTATGACTAGCCACCGCGAGCATGTCGTGCAGCCAGGTTACGAAGACCGTGTACCTCGAACACCCGATGAGTTCGCTGCACGATGGAAGGCCTCACCACAGCGAGCACAGCTTGTGCAAGATATTAAGAAGTATAATACAAAGTTCGCACTGGGTGGTGAATACTTGGACAAGTTCAAGCAGTCTCGGCGAGCTCGGCAAGCCAAGACTCAGCGTGTATTGTCTCCCTACACCCTTTCCTATGCACAACAGGTGAAGCTGTGCCTGTGGCGCGGGTATCAACGATTAAAGGCTGATCCCAGCGTCACAATCTCTTCGTTATTCGGAAATACTATTATGGCTCTCATTATCGCTAGCATCTTCTATAACCTCAAGGTCGACACAAGTACCTTCTTTCAGCGCGGTGCTCTTCTCTTCTTTGCTGTTCTTATGAACGCCCTTGGTTGTGGCCTTGAAATGCTGACTCTGTACGCGCAACGAGGGATCATAGAGAAGCACTCCCGATACGCTCTCTACCACCCATCTGCTGAAGCAATTTCATCGATAATAATGGATTTGCCCTATAAGATTCTCAACGCTATTACTTCCAATATAGTTCTCTACTTCATGACTAACTTAAGGAGAGAACCCGGTGCTTTCTTCTTCTTTGTCTTTACCTCGTTCTTCCTGACTCTGACCATGTCGATGTTCTTCCGGTCTATGGCATCGCTAACAAGATCCCTTGTTCAGGCTCTACCCTTCTCCGCCGTTCTCCTTCTTAGTCTTATTATGTATACCGGGTTTACTATCCCAACAGGGTACATGCTTGGGTGGGCTCGCTGGATTGCCTATATTAATCCTATTAGCTATGGCTTTGAGTCTCTACTAATTAATGAGTTCCACGGCCGCGACTTCCCGTGCATGAACTATGTCCCGTCGGGTCCTGGCTACGCGGATCTCGGGCCTAATAACCGTGTTTGCTCCACCGTCGGATCTGTACCCGGACAATCCTTTGTTAATGGTGATGCCTACATCGAGTCAGCGTATGGCTATACCGCCTCGCACAAGTGGAGAAACATCGGTGTTATATTCGCCTACATGCTCCTGCTCGGGGCTGTCTATCTAGTTGCTACTGACTTCGTCACCGAGAAGAAGTCGAAGGGCGAGGTCCTAGTTTTTCCTCGTGGACACAAAGCTCTGAAGAAGGGCAAGTCAGATGAAGATCTTGAAGGGGGTAGTGGCCGCAGCGTCACTGTGGAGAAGACTGACTCCGGCGGCCTTGCCATGGTCGAACGCCAAACCGCGATCTTCCAATGGAAGGATGTCTGCTTCGATATCAAGATTGGAAAGGAGAATCGCAGGATTCTTGACCACGTTGACGGATGGGTTAAACCGTGGACTTTGACAGCGCTTATGGGCGTCTCTGGTGCTGGAAAGACCACGCTCTTAGATGTCCTGGCTACGCGTACCACTATGGGAGTTATCAGTGGAGAAATGCTTGTCGATGGCAAACCCTGTGATGACTCCTTCCAACGGAAGACCGGCTATGTTCAGCAACAAGATTTGCATTTGAGTACTGCTACAGTGCGCGAGGCGCTTGAATTCTCTGCTCTTCTACGCCAGCCTGCTCACGTTCCTCGTCAAGAAAAGATTAACTACGTGACAGAAGTAATAAAGCTTCTTGCAATGACCGAGTATGCTGACGCTGTTATTGGTGTCCCTGGCGAAGGCCTTAATGTTGAGCAACGTAAACGTCTCACAATCGGGGTAGAGCTTGCGGCTAGGCCGGCTCTGCTTCTTTTCTTGGACGAACCGACCTCAGGGCTTGATTCTCAGACATCCAGGGCTATTGTTGATCTCCTCGATGAACTGAAGAAGAACGGCCAAGCTATTTGTAAGTTTTTGATCGTGCATTCATAATTGTCACTAACGTGTTCCTAGTGTGTACTATCCATCAACCGTCTGCCATGCTGTTCCAGCGCTTCGATCGTCTCCTCCTTCTTCAACCTGGTGGTCGCACCGTCTACTTTGGAGAAGTCGGCCACAACTCGCAAATCATGATTGACTACTTCGTCCGCAACGGTGGCCCTCCATGCCCTCCAGCCGCCAATCCCGCCGAATGGATGCTCGACGTGATCGGTGCCGCTCCTGGATCCCACACTGATATCAACTGGTTCGAGACATGGCGTAACTCCCCCGAATACGCACGAGTCCAAGAGCACCTCGCCGAACTGAAACACGAACACTTCCCACAAACCAACCTGTCCCGCACCACATCCGGCCAAAAGAGCGAAGACAAAGCCAGCTACCGCGAATTCGCCGCTCCCTTCTGGGCCCAGCTCCGCGAAGTCCAAATCCGAGTTTTCCAGCAAATCTGGCGCTCGCCCACTTACATCTACTCCAAGACCGCCCTCTGCGTCTTGACTGCTCTCTTCATCGGCTTCTCTCTCTTCCGCACACCCAACACAATCCAAGGCCTCCAGAACCAAATGTTCGGCATCTTCATGCTATTCACCCTATTCGGCCAACTCATCCAACAAATGATGCCGCATTTCGTTGCCCAGCGCGCACTATACGAAGTCCGCGAACGCCTCTCAAAGACCTACTCCTGGAAAGCCTTCATCATCTCCAACATCGTCGTCGAACTCTCCTGGAACTCGCTCATGTCCGTCCTTATGTTCTTATGCTGGTACTACCCGATCGGTCTGTACCACAACGCCGAACCAACAGGCGCGGTGAACCTGCGGGGCACGCAAATGTGGCTAATGATCTGGACCTTCCTTCTCTTCTCGTCCACCTTTGCGCATTTAATGATCACGGCGTTCGAGGCGACCGAGAACGCCGGAAACCTAGGTAACCTGCTCTTCTTGCTTTGTCTGCTTTTCTGTGGGATTCTGGCGACACCAGATCAGCTCCCAGGGTTCTGGATCTTCATGTACCGCGTTTCGCCATTTACGTACCTGGTCAGCGGGATGTTGTCTGTGGGTTTATCCAATACGAACGTAACCTGCGCAGACAACGAATATCTGCGCTTTGACCCGGTTAATGGGACTTGCGGTGAGTACATGGAGTCGTACATGTCGAATATGGGTGGGTATCTCGAGGACGAAATGGCGACTTCTGGCTGTAGCTTCTGCCCGATCAAGGAGACGAATGTGTTCCTTAGTGGTATTTCGTCGAGTTACTCGGATATCTGGAGGAATTTTGGGCTCATGTGGGTGTTTATTGTTTTTAATATCTTTGCGGCGTGTTTGTTGTACTGGTGGGTTCGTGTTCCGAGGGTAAAGAAGCCAGTCGCTAAGACCTAGTGAGCGTTGTTTGTTCTCTAGTTGTCTTATTTCTTCTAGATTATACGTATTTAATAGGTCCTGCTTGCTCTTCGGTTGCGATGTCTTCGTTAGAATTGAATATACTGAGTCACCGCCCAATATTATCGGAAAGCAGCTTGTGTAGATCAAATTGGAAGTCAAAGAACTTCAAGATTCGCCGCGATAACCGTTCTGAGATTGCGCCATGTGCCTCCCATGCGCATGGCACGACACCCTCGCACAAAACAATCGTTCCTTTATTGCCAAGGTGAGGGCAAGAAAGTGCTTGCCGATTTCGGTAGGGACAGAGGAAGCGTGATCTAGTGGCGGTTGAGCATATGTAGCCTAGATTGTCTACGCAGTACTCTAGGCAGTAATTCTTCAACACATGTGAAGCATTACTTGAAATATCCTCACATCGCCATGATGTCTGCTATTTATGGTGTGAAAGTAATGCCACAGGTCCACTCATTGCAGAATTAGGAAATATTCTGGCGAAAGTGAAGCAGGCTACATCATCTGTTTTGCTGTGAGGAAGCATATATTTGTGCTTGAAAATCTGGGTTAGGCATCAGCAGGGTATGTATGAACATAGCCCTTTCGAGTCATTCCCAGATTGAACGAGGTGCGCGTATCGGTAGTCGACACATCCGCCATCAGCACTGACAAGGCCCTCTGTTCTGTATCAACTGGTCTATGCAATGTAATGCTGAAGTACGTATGGCTTGAGATGACGCAAACATCACTTAGTTTCCTGTCGTCTGCCAAACAACTGCCCTCTGAGGCAACAAGCTTGACCTGGGACGTATCATTCAGTCAATTTGCCTTAAGAGAACTTGCCCAGCGACTGAACCCTCTGGTATCCAATGGAATCAATGCTCTGAGAGCTCCTAATTTCTAAGAAGAGTGACAGCGATTTCCGGAAAGCGTTTAATTCATATTGACTCTAATTGGCATAACTCAAAATCTCTGGTCCATGGTTCGCAAGATATGTGACCGAATAATTTCGCAAAGGGAGGAGAATCCATCTGATCATGTGACGTCATTCTAGAGTCCGGACGGAAAGTTCCAGATGAAGGGTCTAATCAGGCTTATTTAAATAGAGAAATTATTGCCATTGTCATATAATGTCGCACATTTACCGCATAGGACACCTCTCTTCTCAAGTCTTTGAATATTGCATAATAGTTTAATATTGAACATACAGTTACCAAAGAGCAACCAAAATGACCTTAGATCATATAGATCGGATCGAACTGTTCCACATGTGTCGTGGCAAACTAGCCAAAGAGGCATCCAAGAAAGATCCACATCTTTCTGTTGTTGTTGGCCATAGGAACTTATTAGAGGCCTTAATATCAGGTTTGACAGAGAGATGTCAGGCCTACCAAGCGAAATCCATCCTTTTTTACTCATTGGGATATGCTACAAGAGCAGAAACATTACTCATGGGATGTAGAAGGTATCAGATAACCTTTCAGGAAACACCAAGGTTCAGCGGGCAAGTATAAAGACACATAAAATGTTTGGGTAGTTGCTCAATACTCAGAGACTTTGGTGAGAAACAAGATTAGGTTGCTGGTATCTTTTATTGGTATGACTGCCCGATGCAATATAAACTGTTTAAGTTATTACAACAGCAAAATACTATTCCCCGTTATTGTCTTCCCTGCTGCCGGGGTTAGCTAGAGACTGTGTACTATAATGGTCATGCTACGGACCAGAAGGTCAAATTGCTTGCCTGGGTTGATCAGCTCTTGAAATCCGTCACACTGGATTGTCCTGCAATATGCAAGGGTGATAAGGAGGATTGTGCCTGCATAAAACCTTTTTTTTCTTTCGCCTCTTTGGATTGCGTACAGAATCAAACTGGTCTTCAATCACCGATGTTCATCTTGTATATAAACTGGCAAGTTTACAGATGAGTGTAATAATAATTAAACTTCCTCTGAATTACTAAATTGATGTCCATGTCATTAATTATAAACCTAGTACCAACACTTCGTATACTATTTAAGTCCGTGTCTTCCAGAGTCTTCACCGTGTTTCGTCACAAAATCTATTTTCGTTTGAGAAAAAAAACGTCAAGCTTTGGAATTAAAGCAAGTAGAAATCAAACTTGGAAATAGAGAAATGCAGTCAGATAGATCAGTACAATGATAATAAACCACTGACCCTGTACCCATATGCGCAAAGAAAATCAGCTACCTTTATTGAGGATCAACTCTCGTAGACGTTCAAGAGCAACATTGGTTGAGGAACACTGCTGGGTATTTCTCCGTAGAGCCCCAATGTCCTCGTTGTCTTTCTCCCACAGTATCTGGTATAAGATTAGCTGTGTGGGTGAATGAAAGCTTTAAGCAAAAATTTGATCTAACCTAGTAGACATGGGTGTGTTACTGTAGAACTAATGAACATGGTGCAGTATGCCATATACTATATATATTTATGCTTCCATAAGACAAACAATGTATCTTATGTCAGCTGGCCTGATGTCTTATACAGTCAGGAATTAATACCGAGTGCTTTGGTGTATCAACAGATTCTTTGGAACATGTATACTGGTACTTTGCGAATATATAAATCAAATTTAAATGGCGAACTTTCAGAGCAACGCGGAGACATAAAGCCTATGAAAGACAGCTCCCACTTATCGAGGGCAACCCGTTCTCTTTCTGCGCTATCAACCAGATCTTATCTTACTTGCAAGTGCATTTTCGATCTTGACTAAATAAGCATAATCATGCCCAGATAGATCACAGTAGATCAACCAACTAGGTTGAAATAGGAGGCTAGTGGCAGCCAGTTGCAATGTAGCTACCTGTCAGAATGATAGGTGTAATTCTATAAGGGCTTGAATATTCTCTGTATTCATGATTGCGTTATTTTTATGTTGACCCCTTCATCTTAAGAATCAACCATGTCATGACTATTTCACATGATATCCCAATATGGACTAGCTTTTTCTGACACTACCTTATTCAATACGATTCACAAGGTGCTAGTGATGATAATCTAATGCAAATTAGAGATGATGCCCTTGTACTATGATCATATACTATAACGTGCCAATTAGTACTGGTTAATGGAATGCGCCAATGAATAAGGGATGAAACTCCACTTAGAATGTCATAGACTGTTCCGGTAGAGTCGTTGTTAACCATGTGGATCCCACACCCAACCTCGAAGTGGGCTGGTATCAACGGTACCTGTGAATCGTTGGCAAAATCTAGACCGTCGAAGCTCGAAGAATATTGATTATAATTGGTAGACAGCCTTTCCCTAATTGTTTTGAGGTGGGGTAGAGGAGAAATAAGCTTCCCCCGGCTGGCAATCTTCAAAGTTTGATGTGGCCATTTAGATTGAAGTCATGACACGATACGTCGACAAGTACTTTCTACGCAATTCTATTCTTTTCCTTCTCTATCTGTATCACCACAGAACCCATCTGTTACAGCCACATAAATGTCAGTCGTAGGATCATCGATATATTCCTTTTCTAAAACAGATTTCGCTATTTCACTATCCTCAAGGCATCAACTTTTGTCACTTTTGCCTACAATTTAAGCGCTTCTCATGTCGTGCCCGTTTCCACTTGACACGATTCTACCGTCTGGGCTAACCTCGGTTAATTGGCAACAGTCGAGACCTAGTCTCAACGAAGCTCAGAAGAATCTAAAGGAATATCAAGAATCGTTTGACCAGCTCCGATGTATAAAGAGAACAATATATCAAATTAAATTCTCTCAAAATGATGATTCCGGTGCCACATCCGACCTTTCTGTGTCGCGCATGCAGAGCAGCTCGAGATGAGGATAAATAAACACCACGTGTATAGCTTCAATGAAGAATTATCCATATGCGCGCCTATTCGATTAGCGTATGACCTCCCTCCCCCTATTCTCAGTATCTCTCTATCTTTCTCTCCCAATTTTATTTTATTTTTTATTTTATTTTTATTTTTATTTTTGGAGCTGCCCTGACTGTATATCTCAGTCAGGGCAATCTACTAAAGACTTGCTACTGTCGAGGGAAGGAATTATTTCTTAAATTGGCCGTCTTTAAGTAGATCCCCTTAACGACGTGGATGATACCTGTGGAACTATACTTGTGGATAGGCTTTCGAGTGTGAATCAGCACGAGCTGAAGGCCGGACAAGATTTCCATGCTAAGCTTTGGCATTTAGAGCATGTTCAACTAAATGCTGATGGTACTTAGTGATGCTTGATGCTTGGTGCTTGTTTCTTGATCTAATATATATTTCTATCACCAGATTTCAATCACTACCTCAAAATAAATAAAAAAATAACATCAGAACCACACTGATCTTCCATGACCCTATTTCAGCATGGTCTTTTTGATGTCCACCACTGCATTACATAGATTAATATAGCTATGTATTATCAATAATATAATCTTATCTATAGGTAATCAGTGAAAGGACAATCTGCTAAGATGCATAAGAGCTGGAGTGATAATACAACAGAGCACAACTACACATGCCTCAGCACGTATCGGGTTATTGGTTTCCAGAACGTTTCCACATTTGACAATTATTAATACAAGTAAATTTACATCATGATCCTTTCCGTCTGTTGACATCCAGGATATTCTATGTGGCGACTTCTTCCAATCGCATTTTATTTCGTGACGCCAACTATGCGTCAGACTGATCGTGACAACCACATATACAATTAGTGATAGATCTGCAGCCTCTTTTATCTACCCCAAGAACAAAGATGAGAGTGACAGCACGGAGAGAAAGCCGACAGCTCTGGACGATCTCCGAGGTCTATCTGAATGGATGAGTTGCAAGCCACACATGATCTTCCATCTAGTGACTCGTATCTTTCCATTTCAATCCAATGGGTTGAATCTCACACGGCCGAAGCATGCAGTCACAGGTAGCGTTTGAGACCGCGCTGGAATCGCGCTCATCAAGTCCTCGATAACCCCTACGAGTCTAGTGGCCATGATCTAGATATTCGGTGCTTCGAACATCAACTAGCGACCATGACCCGAATTACAGTTCTAGAGTGTGATTCCCCCATAGCTATAGTAAAGGATAGCTAGGATATATAGTCACATATTTGAACAGCTTCTATCCGCTGCTCTTCTAAGGTAAGGCACGCTTCAAATCACCAAGTGGAACGTCGTGGACAATCCAGTCTATCCGACTCCCGAGTCATACGTGCACTCTTTCTAATACGAAGCAGTGTGTGTCCCAAACAACCCGGATAGACGTCTCTGACCGAATGGAGCAGAGCATAGTGCGTTTTCCGATTCCCTCCCTGTCGATAGTTAAATTAACAAATCATATTCAAAAGATGCATCAACAGCAGAAACCAATTGTTGGAATATACTTTGGACATGAAATCGCTGCTCTCCCGCAGGTTGATCTCGTCTTCTTAACCGGGTCCATGGCGAGAGACCTGTCTTCGCGAAGCCATCACGCGACAAGTCGTCCCCGTGAACCTGTAGTTGGGTTCCATGAACGAGATTCCGCCTTTATATAGGTTCCTGAATTTGTAGCAACGCGGTATTGTTCCAGGGTAGCATCATGGATGGTGCATGTTTAACATAAGCGTATATAGCAATGGGCATAAAATGTCCATCTGGACTGTGTTAGGGGGTTCGGCGTACGATGACGTCACCTTAGTAATCTTGGATCAGCCACCACCAGTCATGCCATTCTAGAACCTACCACCACACGCCTTCATCAGGATAAAGACTGGAAAACAAGGAGATAGTCGCTGTGTAGAAGAGGAGTCAAATGACCAGGTTGCGTTTGAAGGAATCCACAGGGACATTCCACGGCTATGATAACCCCTGGTGGTCCATATTCATACCTATATTTACAGCGCGCATGTCTTAACAATCAGCTATACTTTGATATCCCAGGTAGGGAGATTGGTAGTGGTAGAAGGACCTCAGAACCTGAAACTCCTCTGCTGTAGTCCTACCTTCCTGACGTCTAAACCATGTCTTTGGTGCAGCACGTTTCAGCAATCGATGGCGTGGATCGTGAACCAGAACCCGATGGCGACGCAACCTACACCACGGAGGTTGCCTCCAACCTGGACTCCCTGGCTCCCATCCGGCGCAAGATCAGCTATGATATTCTCCCTCAGTCTCATCCGGAGACAGGGGATAAACAAGCGACGCCGGCCTATAAGGTCTCAAATATAAAACGATTTGGTTGGTTATGTGGTTCAGACATTTCTTGTACCGGCCCAATACATTGCTAAGTCTTTCCAGTCCAGGTAGTCATCACGGTTCTAGCTTGTTCGTTCGCTTCGGGAATCGTATTTGGCTTTGCAGCATTGAAACCTATTCTCGTAGAAGAAGGCGTATACCGTAGCCTGTGTACGGAGGAGGAGCTACAACACGATGTGGGGATCTGCCACAAGCAAGATATGAAGTTGGCCTCCACACCCGATTTTTTTAAGGAATTACGAAGCTAATACTCACTCAGATTGAATCTATTCTTCACAATCGGCTCCATTACAGCAAATGTATCAGCTCTCCCGGTCGGGACCATCCTGGACCGCTTTGGTTCTCGCATGTGCGGGTTTGCAGGCTGTTGTGCATTAACCATCGGGTGCTTGCTAATGTCAGCTTCTTTTTCGTGGGCAGGATTCGACGGTTACATTGTCGGCAATTTCTTCCTAGCTCTAGGAGGGACTTTCATTTTCGTCCCCTCATTTCAGATCGCCAATGCCTTTCCCAGGTACATAGGCACGATTGTCGCTCTAGTCACCGGCGCATTTGATGCCTCGGCAGCGATGTACCTATTCTACCGTCTATTATATAAAGTAGATCACCAGACATTTGGACCCAAATGGTTTTACCTGGCTTACCTGACAGTCCCGGCGCTAATTTTCGTCTCCCTACTGATCATCATGCCCACTCACGACTATCAAAGCTCACGTCTGCTCTACGCCAAAATCGAGAAGGCAGAAGATGCTACCCGCGACGTTCATGACTCTGACGAAGAGATTGAGAGTGATGGTGAGCTTCGACGCATTCGAGATGAGCGAGCAGAGCGGCGCCGGGTCAAGATTCGAAAAATCAACAACATCCTGGGCGACGAAAGTGAGCGAAAACAACGGGAGCACCAGGAAGAAGAGCGCCAAGTAATAAGCAGCGTTTGGGGCATTCTTCACGGGCAGCCTGCGCAGAAGCAGATGGTAACGCCCTGGTTTATCTTGATTGCACTTATGACGGTCTTGCAGATGTTGCGGATGAACTATTTCATCGCCACTATTAGATCACAGTATTTATATATGCTGGATTCGGAACTCCAGGCCGAGAGGCTCAACCACTTTTTTGATATTGCACTCCCAGTAGGCGGCGTCATATCCACTCCCTTCATTGGACTGATCCTTGGTCGTCTCAGCGTTCCGGCTACTCTGGCAACCATTGTTCTCTTCACGACCGGTATCGGAGTTCTGAATTCCGTACCGGCAGTGTGGGCTGGCTACATGAACATAGCGCTGTTTGTGCTTCTTCGGCCCTTATATTATTCAGCGATGTCGTGAGTGCTATGAGCATTCCGAATTGAATGCGGTTGCTGACCGTGACTCAGGGACTATGCCACAAAAGTTTTTGGGTTTGCAACTTTTGGTCGCATCTACGGAGCGATAATTTGCGTGTCAGGCCTGGCGAACTTTTCACAGTATGGCCTAGACGCTCTGACTCACGGTCCACTCCAAGGCAACCCCATTCCAGTTAATATTTTTCTGGCGGGGGTAGGGTTTATAGTGGGGACAGCACTCGTAGCCTACGTATATTTTGCCGGAAAGAGCGCAAGGGATCGACAGCACGAGCTGATCCAGGAGGAGGAACGGCGAAGGTTGATTGAAGAGGACTGGGGAGATCTCTGACTTGTTGTGCATCGTTGTAAACAGCACAGATGTTACCTTTGCAAACTATCGATGCTGATATGCAACATAATAGAATCTTCTTTCCGGGCATCAATTTATGATGTTTCTCAGGCTGAAACATAGCATAACCGATGTCAACCTTTCGATCGTAAGACATAGATGGGGAATGGAGAATGCCTAAGCCCCGAAGATCAGACACACTGAGTGAAATTTGGACGAATCGAAATGCTACAGGCTTGCCTGTACCATGACCGAATTGAAATTTATAATATAAATATGCACTATATTTCGAACTTATGGCCAGAACGATTGACGAATATAAGATTCAACCTCAAGATACAATATGGATGAGAAAGGATTTCTTAACGGCATACTATTAAAAAGTAAACGATTTTTTCACGGCAATTATATATGAAGGGAGGGCTTAGACAATACCTGTAGGATAAAAATAGAGAGTGGATTACTATGCGCGGATGGGATATCAGCTTCTCCTGGTCTTATATACCAGGCTGTCTCTTGGAAAATTCAAGATACCTGGCTTTAGGGTTCTAGCCTAATGACCACTGCTTCTTTACATTATTATCTAGTGGCTGGGTAAATAATAGGCTAGAATACGCATAGCTTACTACATTACTGATTGCGAAACAAAAGCAAAGGCAATGGAATTGGTGACTTTAAATTCTTAATAGCTACGGGCCTACGGCTCCTATATTACTTTACTGTAAAGTTTACCAGTATTAGCTTCTGCAATGCAAATGAGATCCTTCTAGCTATCTATCCTCCTTATTTAACACACAGTTTGCGGTCTCTTAATGCCAGCCTTTTTGTCAGAGTCTGAACCTGTAGAACCTATAGGATAGGCTATGTATAAAGAGAATGGCTGAAGAAGGAAAGAAAGAGGAAAAGGTCAGGAGGGTCACGTGTTGTAGGTCATCAAGTGCCAATGGGGCCAAGTGGCCTGTAGCGCCCATAGGCTCAATAGGGACAATAGGGACAATAGGGACAATAGGGACAATAGGGACAATAGGGACAATAGGGACAATAGGGACAATAGGGACAATAGGGATAATAGGGACATTGGCCCGAGAGGCCAAATGGGCTCCAGCCCTTCACAACTAGTGAGATTTAGCTTTGCTTTTAGTTAGCTAGCTGAGAAACCACTACTAAGTACTTAACAACTGGTTAATAAATACTTATATTGTTGTGTTTTGATATCTTTTTTTTCCTCCTTGTTCCGTAACCAGAAGGAAGGGAGAGGAGATATAAAATATTTAATGCACCCGCAATAATTTTACATCAACAGTTTGTAATCACATACTAACTATTTATCAGTAAAAAGGAATATGTAGTAAGTATGAAAATGTAATAGAGGTATAGATGCAATACATATATGAGTGTCATATTATCTAACTGCTTTCTAACTGTTTATTAATTAGTTTGCTGTTGTTCCCGAATTTGCATCCGCTGCCTGATAAGTTCTAGCTCCAATTTATCATTCTGAAGCTGTTTTGACCGAACTTCTTCTTCTTTTCTTCTAACTTCTGCCTCCAAGTCTCGTAGTTCTAATTCTTGACGACGTTGCTCAAGTGTTAAATTATTTTCTGAAGTTACTCGGCGAAAGTTGCGTGATGAGGTTGTCGATCTAAGTAGTTTTAAATTAGTTAGCAACTACTTAGAAGATACCTGAGGAATAATAAAATCCTTACTCATTATCAGCAATCTGAGAAGAGGGTGATATTGATGGACTTTTTGAATTTCCATGTGAAATTTCAAGGTTTTGATTAATACCTTGACTCTCTGGTTCAATTGTTGAAGAGGATCGCTGACGTTTACGGCTTCCTATATTATTAAACTAAGTACTTGCGAAGCGTTTTAAAAATACTTGGAGTAACTTACTTTCATGATTTATATGACGTAAATAATTTGCGTCCATTGTAGAAGCTCGATATGAATGATGAATATTGAACTGCTGAAAATTTTGATATTGAAGTATATTATCTTTATCAAGTTTTGCGGAACTAAAGTAGTTAGTAAATTTTGCTTAGGTGGATAATAAAAAGGGTTGTAAGTACTTTCGAACTGCTTCAAGTAAAGTTAAATACTTTCCAGTAGCACATGGTTTTTGATGTGATTGCTCAGCGGCATTTGTATGATTTCGTAGAAGACTGAAATAATGTGGTTGAATTTTCGAGCAAGATTGATTTAAACCTGCTTTAACAACTGCATTCTTCTTTTGTGTTGCCCAATTCTGGACCGAGGGAGATTCATATTCTAATATGTAGTTAGCAAGTACTTATTAAGTAGTCAGTTACTACTTAAATACTAACTTGTTAGTAGTCCAATCAACTCATCATATTCAGCCTCTGAACGACATTCTAGAAGACTCATCATGCGATTCCAAAGGCCTGATCCTTTATTTTTTGTTCCGATTGCCTTTAAAATCGAGCGTTGAAAATGAACCCGACAGAATATAATAATATGCTGTAATTGCCATATATAATCTCGGTGATAAGGATCAGTTTCAGAAAGATATTGCCCAAGTCCTAAGTATTTAGTAATTAGTTAACAGAGTGCTTAGGAAGTGCTTACCTGTATACTGTTTTGAGTCCATGTTAACAATAATACCATAAATCCCGGATCCATGAATTGGATCGAACAAATTCGGTTTTCCAGACATTTTTTGTATAAGTTGAAATGCACGTTTGAAAAGTAAATAATAACCTTCAGTAGAATCTTCGCTGGTAAAGACTCGAAGTAATGTTATAACTAGTTACTAAGTGGTAAGTAAGTAGTTAAAAAGTACTTGTAATTACTTACTTTTGCATTTATCTGGCATTAACGTTGCAAAAAGAACCTCATTTATCTCTTTAGATCGAATTTTCTTAAAAGACATATCAACTTCAAACGAAGATAGAGCTGACAATAAACGAATCTGATCTTTGAAGGCACAAAATACCATTGTACCTTGGGAATCATGATATTTCTCTTGAATATATTCCTAAGTGCTTTGTTAGTACTAAACAAGTACTTAATAAGTAATTAAAAACTACTTACATTGACCAACGGATCCCGGTTTTGTAGAAAAAGTAGCCCATTAATATCCTGTCCATTTGGATATGAAAGAAGTCGTTGTTTTTGAATAATCGTTGCAATACGGTCCTTGTTACAAAAGCTGGAGTGGATCTCTGCTAATGTAGAAGCATTGTACTGCTGGCAGAATGCCTCTAATTGTGGATTTCGAAGAAATTGTGCTGGTCCCATATAAATATTAAGTAAACAGTTAATAAATGCTTAGAAAGTACTTACCAGTTGTTAAAGCTGGATCTCTTATCTGTTGAATAATGTTTTTCACTCCTTGGAGAATCCGCTCTGGTGGCTTGCTAGGTGGGGGTGGTGGATGTTGATGAATTCCATGTGACGTAAAAAGAATATATGGACATTCATGTATATCCACTGGAACTAAAGCAGTAAAAATAACCTTACAAGGAGTATGTTTTAGTCTCCCTGGTCCTTGGAGGTGATCTCGATCTTATAAATAGTTAATAACTAGTTAATAACTATATAAGAAGTACTTACCACAGTACTTTCGTCGGGATGTTAGTGATTCAAAAACACTACATTCTTCAGTTGCAGGCATAATATTTTGATTGAAAAGATCCTCAAGAAATTGTAGGTCGATTAATGTATGGCCTTGAATAGATCCTCTGTGATGCTTTGTTAGAAATTCATTTGATCCATTACTGCAGCCAATATATGGTGGGTATTCGCCATGAACATCCTATAACTAATTAGTAAGTACTTAACAAGCATTTAGAAAATAATTGAACCAACCATTTGGGTATGCCGCTTAAACACTGGCTTACAAGATGGTAGCTGGTCAATACATGCATGGCCTTTGTTAAAGAATTCTTTTTTTGATCGATAATAGCTAAAGATACTTAGTAGCTGCTTTAGAACTGCTTAAATAATAGTTAAATACCTATATGCATTTCGTTTTGCAGTCTCTGTCTCTAGAATTCGAATATCTTCCTGAGACTTTTGAATTATATTCCAATAATTTTCATCAACAAATGTATGGTGATAAGATCGAAGAAATGAATTTAAATATTCACAGGCATAGATACCAGAGCATTTCCATGTCCATCTTTTAACTAAACAGTTAAAATAAGGGCACGTAACCGGTCGCCTTGGTCCATGCTGTTGTCGCCGTGAATATTGAATCTTTAACCAATTAGTAAGTACTTAAAAAGCAGTTGCAAAGTACTTAGTATTACCTCATGAACAAGCTGCTCCATTTCACTCTGTGTTCGTCCTCTGGACGCAACAACATATGAATATCCATGTACATGACTAGATGGATACTCTGGTAAGTCATCAATATACTCGATTTTAGATGTCTGAAGGGAATTGCTTTTTGAATTTGTAAGTTGTATGGGAATACCCTATTTCCATATTAAGTGGTTAGTAATCAGTTAACAAGTACTTGGCAGAATCTAAATACCTCGACGTCAGGAACACTCTCTGAACTTGAGTCACTTGACGCAAGAACACCATCCAAATCAATAAATTCATGTTGAGGTTCCATAGTAATAAAAATATCAAGTGCTGAAGAACCAGTTAAAATCACTTATAACTTTGGGATGCAAGAAGAAAAGAAAACAGAAATTGAAATTCGGAGGAAATTGATTTCGTATTTAAAAAGGTCGCATGTCGCGTTCTTGTCTTGGCAATCACCTGGATGGGTAAGTGTCACGCTTCCACGTTTTTTGGGTCGTGTGATCTGTGTACACGTGTAATTGGCTGGAAGTTGCTCCCTGTTGATTACTAACAGACTCACAGGTTCAACAGATATTCAATTCATTCAATTCAGCAAGGCAATTCCAGTATTATGTCTCCAGCCTTATCGAAAATGACGTGAAACCCTCCTCCTAATGGCACAAGGAGTAATGCTTCTTTTCGGTGCTTAGGGGCTATCTAGCTTAGAGGAGGGAACGAACCTTGTACGATGACAAAATGCCGCATCCTAGGAGACCTCTTGGGACCAACTTACATCAGAACTTAACTGTTTGTTATGAGAAGCCTCCTTGCGTCGGCCAAAATATGCACGTTGCAAGGCTGGAGAGCAGCTGAAGGGGGGACCTTAGAAAGAGCTGGCTATGTAAAGCTAAGACGAGTCTGTTACATCCGATAGAGAAGCACAGTGTCTTGTATAGGCCCTATAATAATGAATCACAGTAACGCTCTCTTGCTACCTTGACTGTACCTGAGCTCGACCTCTCGCAAAAATGACTTCCTCCGGTCGACTTTCGATTGCCATCGTCGGAGGCGGCTTCGGCGGACTCTATCTTGCTATCAGCCTCCTTCCTAACAAGAACCTCGATGTATCTACGAAACAGTATCCAAATTCGCAGAGGTCGGTGCTGGAGTTGCCCGAGCCCAAATGCCCGGCGTGTACTGACCCTGATTTCTCCCGCCACCGTGCAAGCATTCCTCCACGCAACGGCCAGCCTATCTCCAGAATTTCAAAATATCTGGCTTGATTTCCGGAACGGCAAAGCAGGCGAGAAAGATGGAGAAATACTCAGCAAAGTCAAAAAATAAGACGGGTCAAAAAACGGTCCACAAAGCTAAATTTCTCGACGAACTAATCAAGCTCATTCCGGAGGAAATCGCCCATTCAGCAAGCGGCTTGTTCATATCAATAAATATCCTGTTTCTGCGTCTGGTTTGTATGAACTTGTCTTTGCGGGTGGGACGACTGCAACTGCAGACTGTATCAGCGGGGCAGATGGAGTTCAGAGTTCGGTGAGGAAGTATTTGCTCGGAGAAACTCACCCTGCTGCCGCTGTGGTGTTTACCGGCACAATCGTTACGGTAGCCTAGTTCCGATGGATGTTTCCCGCAGCGCAATCGGTGACTTTGCCTAAATTTCTTATATGTGGTGTGGAGAAGGCATGGTAATAGCTTATCCCACTGATGACGGGGAAATTATGAATGTGGTTGCGACTCGAGATAGGAAGAGAAGTTGGGGCGGGCCCCCAAACACCAAGTCAATTAACGAGGAGACGGTGCGGAAAGATTGTGTGGGCTTGGGGGATTCCCCGGTAAAGTTATTAAGATATACGTCAACTGACCCTTTTTTCCCAGTCAAGCATGATTAACCACTGCATATAATCTATTTAGCTCCTGCAACAGCCAACTACGTGGGCGATCCTAGACCACTTCCCTTAATGTCGCTATGATGGGTGACGCCACCCATGCAACCAGTCCCTTCCAGGGTGCTGGTGCAGGACAGGCAATCGGAGATGCCTTGGTCTTGTTAACTCTCTTTCTGCCGGTTACAACCCAGGCACAGATCAAACCAACACTGACTGCGTACGACAGCGTGAAACGACTGCGGTCCCAGAAAGTTGTTGCCACCAGTCGCGGTGCATTAAAGCTGTTCTGTTTCAACGACGGCTATGTAAAGGGAGACAGACAGCGCTGGAAGAAAACATGGGATGGCCGGATGGACTGGCTTCGGGGAGTTGATTTGCTGAAGCAGGATGAGGAGGCACTTAATGCATATGGAAACAGCATTAAGAGGCAGCCTTCTGCTTCGAAGGGAATGCTCTAAGTGAGCGAATTTCGGGATTATCAGATGAAATTTTGCAGATCAGATGTAGAAGGAAGCAGAGAGTTTTACTTCGAAGTTTAGTTTGGGATATCAGTTGTTTCACAATATCCTGCTATATTATATCAGGTTGGAATGTGCATTATTTTTCCTCTTGTGCTCCAAAAGCAAACAAAGCAATCTGCGTAGATCACTTTCTTTTCTTTTTGCTAGGTGCATAACGGAGGATCAATATTTGAGTGTATCACAAGCACCGGAGCTCTCCGAGTATGGCGCCATGGCCTCCAAACTAGAAGACGCGCCCTTCGCACGCGGCCCTGAAACGATGAAAAGGAGAGAAACGAGGAACTGGACTTGAGTTCTGCCCTCACCTACTTGCCATTATCTAGGCAGGGTTTGTAGATATTTCTATTGTCATATTTCTATCCCTGTATACAATAACAATAAAGGCCATCTGGGACAGTGCACAGACTGAAAAGCCTTCAAAAACCTTTTGAAGCCATTCAAAACCAAGCTCATTTGTAGTCCATACATTCTCACTTAGACTAATCCGAAAATCTAGTGGAATTAAGGAATACCACGAAGCTTGGTGTTTCTTTCCAGTCAGGATAATCTGTGCAGGAAAAACCCAACCAGTGAAATTAACACGGACAATTAAAATCACCCATTCACGATTCCCCGGTTGTAGTTCTTTTGCTCGGCCTTCTCTTGTTTTTGAGCAGCAGATAACTTTTGCAGTTGATACTATACCAATCTGAATGCCTGTCTCATCCATGTTGTAGATATCTTCGTCTAGAATCCCATACTTCTATCGGGTCTATTAAAGAGCTTAAACCAGTTCTTCTCTCGACAAGTTGGATTGTTCGCGACTATTAGAAGATGAGGCGAATATTTAGCGACTGTAGGATAATGACACTGTATTACAGATTCCCTGCAATCTGTAGAGAGTTATGTGGATGCTCCGTTGTTGAAAATACGTAATTGGGTAGAAAATGGGTTGCGGACAGTGAAGTTTCTGATTTCTAGAATGGGTATACAGGAGGCAATCAACGGACTACTTGCCAATAAGTGAAAACAATGTACATATCTGTAGACTTCAATGCTACTTGGTCTTCACCCCTTTCTTCACTTCATTCTCAAGTGTTTCCAATGCCCGTCCATATCTCGATTTCACATCCTGCATGTCTTCCAACTTCACATTCACCCGTTCCACCCTGCTAATACGTGTGATCTTACCGTCCGAACCCTTGGCAATCTCCTGCTCGAACCACCGGCCCTCCCGATGCGCCACCAGTGTCCAGGCAGAGCCTTCCCTGCCAGCTCGTGCCGTTCTTCCAACCCGGTGCACGTACGTGGTGATGCTGGACGGGACGTCGTAGTTCACAACATTGGACAAACACTGCAGGTCGAGACCGCGAGAGGCACGGTCAGTGGCAATGATGATCGAGATTTTGCCTTGGCGGTAAGCTGTAAGCGTTTTGCGAGATGCCGATGACTTATTCGACTTGATGATAGTCCCAATCTGGGTTGCAAGTGAGGTATCAAGCAGAGCGAGCAGCCTAGAGAGTCGCGACGCTGCTTCAGATGATTTAGTGAAAATCAGTACTGTAGTCTGTGCCGGTCGATGCTCTAGTTTATCGACCGTCGCCTCGTCCTCAGAGTCTACCGAACTATCTGACGAATCTGAATCGTCGCTCGAGGATGAAGTGTCGTCGTCGTCGTCGTCTGAATCGTCTGAGCTGGACTCGTTGGAGCTCGTGCCATCAGAGCTACTGTCATCAGAGTTGGAGTCATCAGAGCTCGAATCCTCCGAACTGGAAGTATCCGACTCGGACGTGTCCGAAAGGGAGCGGCTCGATCGCTTATCGACATCAACTTTGATGTGGGAGCGAAGAAGTCGTAGTAGATGAAGTGGCTTCTTCATCCCGTCTCCAACAGGGATCGAGTATTCCTTTAATCTCGGTGGGAGAGTAAATTGTTCATCGGAGCGATCCCCATCCTCAGCTGTTGCCGCTGTCTCTGCTGAACCGACAAGAACAAGTTGAGGATTCGATAGCCGTAGAGTATTCAATTTGGAAATGTCCCGTGTCATTGTCGCGCTGAGAATCACCTTCCTGGGCTCTTTACTCTGTATAGGAAGGCTCAGATCTGATAGCAGCCTTCCGCTGAAGCCGAAGGATTCGACCGCTTTGCGCGCATCCAAAGAGTTCATCACCACATCAACCCACTCCTGAAAGCTTTCATTGAGAAGTCGATCTGCTTCATCAATGACAAGCCACTCGAGGTGCTTTAATGAGAATCCTTTAGTGTAGCGGATGTGGTCCACAAGACGGCCAGGAGTACAAATAAGAATATCAACGTTGGGTTCGGATTTATGGACATATCCAGGAAGCAATTCCCCCTCTTCATCTGCCTCAGAGATTAAGTCTTGCAGACTAAAATTAGTCCAATCTTCGTCGTCTAGTTTGGAAATCTGTCTTTGTTTGAGTGTCTCGGGTCCATATGCTTGATCGATGCGCATTAATGACCGCTGTTCATCCTTAATGGCCACATTTCCCACTGCTGATGCGACCCGCAATCCTGACCCAGCAGCACAAAGCTCGCATGCTTCTCGCGCCTGTTTGACCAGCTCTCGAGTAGGGACTACAATAAGCCCCCTCAATTGGGGCGCTGGCCTTGGCTTCAATGCTGTGACTATCGGCAGGACGTATGACAATGTTTTCCCCGAACCGGTTGCGGCTGAAATACATAAATCTCCGGGATGGTTTCGAGGCCCTTGCAAGAGTAGAGGTATAACTGCTGATTGTACAGCAAATGCTTCTCTATAACCATTGTCTTCGAGAATGCGCAAAAGGTTAGACTCAATTCCTAAATCTGAAAATTTCGTTCTTTCGTCCGCCGACGCTCGTAAAGGGCTGGCCAACCAAGGGGGGAGCGAAGAGTATGTCGGTTTCTCCGTCTGCTCAGGAGCCGCCTTTGGTTGTGGCAGAGGCTCCAAGCCTTGCGCTATGACAGGCTCTGCAGTTATAGGCTCCATATTTCTCTCCTTCTCAGGTTTGTTTGTCTTGGCCGCCTCTTTTACTTTAGTTGATCTTTCAAACTTCGAGAGAATCCTGGCAAATTTATTTTTTGCGGGCTTCGAACCACCTCGTACGTCTGACATAGCATCAACACTCTCTAGCTGTTTGCTATTTTCCGACTCATCATCCCCAGCATCTTTCATCTCAACTATATCCGCATCATATGTAGGCGAGCTGATATAACCTCCTGAGCTTCGTCGTTTGGTCTTCTTTGATTTCTTCTTTGACTTAGTGCTGTCATCGTCTTTGCTTGGAGAAATCGCTTCGCCGCTCCTCTGCGCGACAGGACTTTCTTTCTGGGTACTTTGACTTTTCTTTGGTTTCTTGCTTGGGATGGTAGTCGACGAGGTGGCGCCATCTTGATCTCGTTTTCTCTTGTGCGGTTTCTTTGAGCTCAGCGGGGTAGATGAGCCCTTTTTAGAGGACCCATTAAGCTCTGATGGGTCACCGGCCATTGTCGGGTACTTTTGCGCAACAAAAGCGCGACGCTCAAGCGGTGCAATTGGTATCGATGGTGTGGGAAGAAATATTTCTTTCTAGCGGAGACATTTTCTCGGCAGAACTTTTAGACCGCCATCGCCGCCGCCAGGGTCTGGACCTTTCGGCCGCTCCCAATCAAGCCCCTTCGGCGTTTAATTCCACGGCAGGATGATCTATCCCTGAAAGCAGCGTCTTCTTTTCCTCGGTGATTGTGTCCGATGATGGAAGAGACAAGAGGCACTATCCTATTGAAATTGTTTGGCGTCGCTGCAGTTGAGAACAGCAGCCAATATGCCTTACAATATAGCGTAAGTGCATCGCGTCCTGGTGAATACCAGATCTGACTGTAATCGCAGTATGGTCAGTGACTTTTTCTTCCCACAGCCAGGTTTGTGCTCATGTCTTCCCCGCAATTAACGCCTGATTGCTGAGCTTTACAGGTGGGGTGGAAAGTCATATTTACCAATTGTCAACAGTAAGGATGCCTACGCCTGGGCGATCACTTCCTCGATACTCATCGTGCTCCAGAAACTTATCGATCGCGGCCATAAAGTGATTATTATTACACATGCATACAAGGGACGCACTGGGGTCAGGTATCTTACAAATGGTCTGAAAGTATACCATGTACCTTTCTTTGTTATATATCGCGAAACCACCATGCCGACTGTGTTCTCCTTTTTCCCTATTTTCCGCAATATTATAATTCGGGAGCAGATTCAAATTGTTCATGGACATGGAAGCTTGAGTTGTTTCTGTCATGAAGCCATTCTTCATGCGCGCACCATGGGACTACGGACAGTATTCACCGATCATTCATTGTTTGGATTCGCCGATGCTGGCTCGATTCTTACCAACAAATTACTCAAGTTTGCTTTAAGCGATGTCGACCACGTTATTTGTGTTAGTCATACATGGTAAGGGCGAACTTATGCGACCGATTTAGTCCCTTGATTCTGATTTCTCGATAGCAAAGAAAACACTGTCCTTCGGGCGTCCTTGGATCCGTTGATGGTTTCTGTAATCCCCAACGCAGTGGTAGCGGAGAACTTTCGACCCCCATCATGCACACCTCGCACGAATGATCGATCATCCGGACCATTGCAAGAGCTACAGCCTTCACCAAACCCAATTGGCCCAAATGACACCATCACGATCGTGGTTATTTCACGACTCTTTTACAACAAAGGCACTGACCTCCTCATTGCCGCAATTCCGCGAATCCTGGCTTCTCATCCCAATGTGCGATTTGTCATCGCCGGCTCGGGACCCAAAGCCATTGATCTGGAACAGATGTTGGAACGAAATGTGCTACAGGACAAGGTAGAAATGCTAGGCTCTGTCCGGCATGAAGAAGTCCGCGATGTTATGGTTCGCGGCCACATCTACCTCCATCCTAGCTTGACCGAAGCTTTTGGAACAGTTATAGTGGAGGCGGCCAGTTGCGGTCTTTATGTTGTCTGTACACGCGTTGGTGGTATCCCAGAAGTGCTTCCTCAGCACATGACAACCTATGCGAAACCCGAGGAAGATGATCTTGTCATGGCTACCGGCAAAGCTATAGCGGCTTTGCGCTCCAATAAGGTGCGCACTGATCGATTCCACGATCAAGTGAAGATGATGTATTCCTGGACAGATGTAGCACAGCGAACAGAGCGCGTATACAAAGGTGTCTCCGGTGGAATCAGTCCTGAAGAATTTTATGGATATTATCCCGGCCAAGGCTGGGAAGCAAGTGGTGATCGCGTCCGGAGTTTTGCCCTCATTGACCGTCTCAAACGGTACTACGGTTGCGGCGTATGGGCTGGCAAGTTATTCTGCCTTTGCGTGGTGATCGACTTTTTACTATATGTCTTTTTAGAGATGTGGTTCCCTCGATCAAATATCGACATAGCGCGCAGTTGGCCCAAAAAGCCCCATCAGAAACATGGTAACAATCAACTGCAAAGTGCAAATCGAAGTGATCGAGGTCGATTAGAGTCTACATCATGATCTTCCTCGAGCAAGCTGTCCCGGTCTATCTGAACCCTGCTCTCTCAGTCTTTGGTGGCTGATACTTTTCCCCAAGTTTTTCGAAGCCTAGTGGAAACATGTGCATTGCATGGTAAAGAACAGCCATTCCCTTGTTCATATTCTTTTTTTTCAAATACACTGCACTAGCATCCAGCATTTCATGGCTGGAATCATTGTCTCTGAGTGTGATGCTCATAATTCCACTCCTGTTCAAAGTCTGGGCAGATTCTGGCTCCTTGTCCTCGGCAGCCAGGACGCCTCTATCACCCTCCCCGCCACCTCTGGTTTCATCACGCCCGATTCTGCCGTGCAGTCCCAGCCAACATAAAAAAGGCCCAACGACCTGATGGTCCGGTCCCGGTCCTACCTCTCCCTAGGTCTAGGAAGGTATGGTAGTACCTGTCGCACCGCCTACCCCCACTTTTTGCGGTAGGGGTTCGGCTACACTTCAATGCTGACCACACTTCAATGCCGAAAAATTAAATATACTGAATAAATCAACAAATACTGCCTAATACAAATAATATGAAGGTATACCACGATCCCCTCGTGTATCTAGAAAGAATAGTGCTTCAGATGACTCGTTTTCTGGCTCAGAAGACGGTTGTGTGGGTGATTTATAAATATCTTGACCAATTTGCTTCAAAAGAGCTTCCGCACCGTTGCGAATTTCTTTCTGTGTAGCTTTCCAACGAGACAGTACATTCTCTGCTTTTCTCTTATCAATTTGACGGCATACATGCCAATTATATATAATACCTGGTTTAACCTGCCGGCGAGATCGCGTGGTTGAATTAGATGGCCGTTTCTACGCCTCTCAAGGTTTCATCTAACACTGCCGCAGACATGGCTCCTTTTTCTGCATTGGATAAAGCACCGCGCAAGATACGGTCAATCGTAGGAGAGATCTCTTTTTAATTTGATCGTAATAAAGCAATTTGATGGCAAATTGAATGCAGCACAGGACAGCACAGATAGGAGATAGAAAATGACAAGCATCTCTTTCTTTCACCTCTTGATTGTAGCTGAGGGCTCTGAATAGGTTGAGGCACCGTGACCTCAACCTCTGGAATCTAGGTGTCAGCAGTCATTCGAATGCTCGGCTGCGCTTGCGCGTGTTGTTTTTTTTTTTTTTTCCCTACGCATCTTGTGTGCGTGCCTCTCCCCTTTTCACTAGGAAATCAATACAGTTGATTCCTGGTGTTTCCACAAATGACATCTACTTCCTAATCAGGCTAATAAGCGTATAGTGATGTATAGTTCCCTGCGCAATTCCTTCTCCTGAATCTCAGAACAGCGACCAGGGAACAGCTGCAGACATATCGAGAAACTTGCCTTAATTTAAAGGCGATAGAGAGTGATTTAGGGGCATGGCTTCAGAAATTAGTTCTGCGCTGAAGTAATTGTTTTTTCTTATGTATTATCTGTGGGATTTACAGAACTGGAAGCAGATTCTTGCTTTATCAGCAAAGCACCTGCATAGCTAGACATTTCATAGTCGGGCTCCATTTTAGGTTAATAGAATTTGAATTAAAATTGCATTAGAGTCGATTTTTTCTTAATAATCATTAGATAGTCTGTAATGCTTCCCTCAGCAGACAAGTAATACTTGTTAGATGGGTGTTGTGTGGTACACCATCTAACCAATGCGATACCATCTATATACGGCGCTTAGGGGAGTCTGAACCTTGACAGATTCAGACATAGTGGTCATTTTGGACTGCTGGAAAGTTCAGACCCTAAGCTGAGCGTAACAAGATTACTCTTTGTAGTCAGAGTTTGATTTCCGAATTATCTTGCTGTACCGGGCTATGAATCCGCAAAATCCTCATCAGTTAACTGATACAAACCCTTCCCGATCTCTCCATTAATTTTATACTTCTCCCCAACAGCAAGCTCCTCCGGGATTTCAAAATTCCGCTGATAGCATGCAGGTATATCATTAATATCCATTCCCTCGCCTATTTCAAGGCGCCCCTCCCGAATAATATTCCGGTAGCCATCCAGGAAAAGTAACCAAGGCTTATCGGGCTCAAATGCCTCTCTATCCAAGATTAGAAGCATCGACTGAATAAAGCCTGTCTGTATATTAAGCGCAACATTCTTAAGAAGCCTCTCTTTATCCTCCTTCCACATATTCGGCTTATCCTGCTTTATTAAATATAGCAAACGCTTAAAGACTTCTTGTCTAGAACTTAGATCTTCCTCACCACAATACCATCGCTTTAAGGGGTGCATAGTACCAGCCACCTCTGGTAAAATATCGTATATACGCCGCCAGTTAGAGCTAAAATCGAAAAACTCTGCATCGTTTAGCAAGGCCCAATGTTCTGCACTGCGGAATATATTGTTATCTCTAGTCCATTTACTTATTCTGGCAGCGGCATCATCTTCTGGATTATAATATGTGCGAAGTATAACAGGATATGTACTATCAAACATCCATCTTGCTTTCCAACAAATGTTATTGTTGGAACGCCAGGGCCGAAGAATAACATTAATTTCTTTATCAGTTGGCAGACGTGGAGGGGGGTCTTTAAAAAATTCCCAGGGTTCAGGAACTTCCTCTATCTTGAGAAACTCCTGAATAAGTCGTTGTCGTTGCTGGCTGGGTTCTTCAGATGAGGAATGAGACCAGTTTCTCTACTAAAGTTAGCGACCATATGAAATAGCGCCTGTTCACATAAATAAAGATCCTACAATCAGATATTGTCCAATGATGATTGTGCCCCAAGGAGGTGGATAATCATCGACTTCTTCCTCCATTATGAGCGTTCAGGGCAGTTGGAAGAGGACAAGAAAAGGGGGACGTTAGGTGGCAGGTCCGCGACGGTCGGTGGAGAGCCAATTCCACTAGCTTTCCCGTTGGCTTGACATATCAAGCTCTTAGTCGCCCTGCTGATATGCTCCAACATCATCAAGGCCGGTTCCTGGGTGTCACCCTTGCTGTCCGTCGTGACGAAGCCAGGACTGATCTGACCAAGTCCAGGATGGCACAAGCCAGTGTGGACGTCCTGAGACCGTCCCGTCGAAGTGTCGTTAGCAGCTGTTTTTGTTGACTCCTTACATGGCTTCGCTCCACATTGGGGTTGAGAGCTTAGCTCCTCATCTGGTTCATGGTGTTCGGAGTATAAGAGTTGCTTGGAGGTGCCGAGCCGGCGGATAGGTTTCGGTGTGAAACTCTGGGGCAAAATCGTGCGGCGAAACCTTTTGACTGGGTGGGTGGCGAAGTCATAGTGTCAGAATGGTGCCGTGGACAGTAATAGAGAATCGAAACATACACCTTTAATGGTTGCAGGGGCAGAATTGCCAGCAGTAGGTGGAAACCCTGCTTGGGGCTTTTCTCGGGGTGGGCCTTGTGGATAGTGCTGCTCATGACAATTGAAGTATACCACAGTGGTGATGGTAGAAACCGAAGTAGAGACAGATCCAAAATTTTAATCTGTTGTATGAACTTTCATTCCAAACCTCTACAATAGCATATTTATGTCCTTGGTGAGACAGCCAATGACAACAATGCGAATGATGCCAAGGTATGGTGGCGGAGTTGACTTCATAATCTCCATCTCAAATATACCTTTCCTTGGTAGTCATATCAATCATACACTCAGGAACGTCATTTCTTGATATTCACCCCTGTTCTGATCATACCAGGGAATACTGGAGGCGTTTTCGCGAGAAGTCAACGTCGGTCGCGCAACCATATCAAAGTATCTATGATTTTGGAAACAAACTAAATACGTGTCGTTCGAGCCAGGTGCATCTGTGCAGTTGGCATTAGTTTGATCCATGGACTTAACCAGACCACGATATTGTCTGTAGTGGTATCCGCATATCCGAATGATCAAGCCGCTCAATGCGAAAAGGTTGGATGTCGATTGAAATTATTTATATAATTCTCGAATATACACATTGTAGACCAGTAATAAAATATAGGTATCTTAGCGTACATTAATGTCAAAGAAATAAACTCCCCAGCGCCCAAGATGAGTCTAAAATCAAGACCACCACGAATAGATGTCCGACAGGCAAGGAAAGCCCTAGCCATCGTCGCCAAGTTCTCTAACGACGAGCCATATCACCTCATAAGTGGAGGCCTGGCTTCTTTGTTCCATTTGACTCTAGTTTGCACCCATTCCACGGCTTCCTGAACGCCAGAGCCTAGAAGCGCACTGACTGGCAAGACACGGCTGTCACGTAAGGCACCACCGGTATCTCCTTCGAAGACCTTGCGCACTAATCCCTCCTTGATGCGCACCACTTCTACCGAGTCTTCTCGGTCCTGTTTGTTCGCTAGGACAAGGATAGGTACGCCGGCCACTTCAGAGTGTTGTAAAACGGATTCTAGCACCTGACGACATTCATCCAACCGGCCAAAATCACTGCCTGGCGCATTGATGCCCACCATCTGCTCCGTGAAGGTATTAGAGTCATTTCCAGACTGACCAGAGCCTGAGCTAGATCGTCGATTTGAAGACAAAGGGAGGCGTGTGATGTCGGGATCTTGGCCGACGTCTGAACTGTCGACGACAAAAACGATTGCATGACAGCTAGAGTAGTAGCTTTGCCAGAGGTTTCTCATCGATATCTGACCACCCACGTCCCAGATCTTCAGGTACATGTCTGGTAAGGAAATAGTTGTTACATTCTGGCCAACCGTGGGCACCGTCTTGCCGGGGTTCGGAGAAGGAGCGCCGTCGGGCCGGGGTTGGTAGAGGGCCTTGATCTGTGAGAGGAGCGTAGTCTTTCCAGCGTTATCGAGCCCAAGAAGGAGCACTGAATATTCTAAACTTGGTAGTCAGCGACCATTTGGCGTAATGCAGTCGGAATTTAGCACTCCGTCTTACCTTCTTTACTTGTGGCGTGCATATATAACGACTTGGCCAAATGGTACATAGTAGCGGTCGAAGGTCCTTACCTGCGGAGGCCACCGCCAACTCCACGAACGCTACCTCTGTTGGAATCAGAACCGACGAAGCGAGGAAAAGGACGAGGAAATCATGGCAGCGCCAATGCTCCGAATCCTCTCGGTTTTCACACTTCTTCTCCGGACTTGCTTTGTTCCTGTATGTCTGCCTCTTAGAGGGACAAGGCCAGGTCCACGCGTCAGCTATGTCTATTTTGGGAAAGTAGGGTCGGGGCTTGCCGTTCGCTTAGCCCTAAGCCCTTCTTTCCCAAAAACGGCATACCCCGCAGATGAATGTTAGCTTACATAACCCCCGTCATCTTTTGCCCTTGCAAACCTCGATCCATGGAATTCCCATGCCAATCCTCGTCCACTCACGAGAAAAGGAAAGGGATTAGACTCAACTATGTGGCCACTCCGAGCTAACAGTCCCCGGAGTGAATCCGACGAACGGAGTCGCTAGCTAATACGGAGTACATCTCCCAAGACCACCGAAGTCCCCCGACCCAACCGGTTTCTCTCGATTTCCCCGCTGGTGCGGGCTCAATTTCTTGCTAAGCAGAGCTTGGTTTTGTCAGCGACCCGACCGGTTTGCGGAACCTTCTTTGCCTCGCTTTCCCCAGTAATCCTTTGTGCTTCATCGTACCGGTGACACAGGCTCCATGGCCTTCTATCTGCTCTTCCTTCGTCGGAAGGTTGTAGGCTTGTTTTCCACTGATTGAATCTTTAACTGAAAACTACGCCCCATCGCATGTCTCGTACAGAATGCTCCGCGCTGACTGGGCGGCCGGAGGCAGAGAAATTGCCTTCAATGGAAATTGACACCATTATTATCGGTATGTCGCCATTCCCCCTACCGTATTTGAGACCATTCTCTGCCAATAGGCGTTCATAATCGGCTCCTAATCTTAGACCCTTACAGGGAACGGGCCGTCGGCCATGATCCTGTCTTACATCCTCCATGGTCACCTACCTTATTATTCCTCGAATCCTCCCCATCCTGACCCTCTTCTCCATGCGAAATTGAAGAACGCCCCGGAGCTGCTGGATGCGGACGTAGAGGCGCTGACAGAACATTTTGCTGCCTCTCGGCTCTCGTATTCCACTCAAGCACTCCCTGTAAATGTGCTGCTCGACACCCTGGTTCGTCCTAGTGTCGACGTGGAGGAGCTAGAATGTACGACCAATGTTGAATGGCGATATGTTCCCGAGAAAGCGGTTCCACACCTGGTGTTTGGGAGCACATCCCGGCCTGGGGGCCAATGGAACGACAATGCTATGCCCACGAGCTGGGATATCCAGACATTGAGCTATGCATCCATGCTGTCCTTGCCGGGCTATTCCTTTGCGGAACATTACCGCAAAATTAACGGCAAGGACCTTCCCGCATTCACGCGCCCCAGCAGGCAGGAGACCACCGATTATTTTCGAGCGTACCCTGAGGCCGTGCAAATTAATGATGCCTTCTTATGCCACCAGAGCCTAGAAGGCGTCTCGAGAACGTCGGACGGGTTTTATATTCGTTCTCACGATATTTACTGTAGACACTTGGTTTTAGCCAGTGGCATTTTCACTCAGGTTGTACAGCCTCGTCCAATGTTACAGCCACTAATGTCGCTGGAGCCGACCTCGGCAATCCCATTCCTTATAATTGGGTCGGGTTTCTCCGCTGCAGATGTTATTATTTCAGCACCCAAAGATCAAAAGATCATCCATGTGTTCAAATGGGACCCAGAGAATAGGCCGTCTCCCTTACGTGGCTGTCACCAACAGGCTTATCCTGAATATGCAGGCGTGTATCGGATTATGAAACGTGCTGCTCTTTCCCGTAGCTCGGGTGCAGTGAAGCGTCCCGTCAAAACAAAAAGGAGAATGTCCTGCTCTTTTCTCGAGGACCGGCCCTGGGATCGACTTTATGAAGGGCTCCCCAACACTGAAATCATTGCTGTGGACACTCATAAAGACTCTGCAACTGTTACGTTTCGTCAGACTGATGGCACGACATTCACCCGTATAGTACGCGGCATGGTATATGCAACTGGCCGACGTGGCAGCCTCGGATACTTGGATCATAATCTACTCTCGGAGGTCCTCAGCCATGATGAAGGGGGCGAAATAATACCTATTATTTCGGGTCAGTCTCTGCGAGGCAAAGCATTGCAGGATATGGAAGTCGCGAGAGATGTATTCATCATCGGTAGCTTGACTGGCGATTCACTCATCCGCTTTTCGTATGGCAGTTGTACTCAAACGGCGGGGAAACTCATTGCTTCCAATACTGGGAAAGCTGAAGCCAGGATTAAGACAGTCAGCACGCCTCGATCGCAGGAGTTTTCCCCTAGAGTCATGCATGGCTTGGATGGCCATGATATCTATCCCACGACTGACAAACACATCTACTTGGAAAAGTGTACAACCCATGATACCGTCCCGCAGCTATCTGAAGATTCCAGCCTTTTCGAAAAACTCTGGAGGACTTTCGTAAGCATTTGGAAATGACTTCAGACTAGTTTGAACTGCTACTTATATATATACATTTGTGGAATATTTGAAAGAGGTGAGGCGGTATTTCGCGGTGGATGGGCTTAGTCTTTGCATTTATACACATTGCAGTTATGTAGCGATCCACACCAACTGACCGCAGCAAGTTGGATGACATGATAAACTACTAGACATCCATGCTATTATATTGGCGATTACGTCTGTTGATCCTGGTGGACCATTGGGCCTAAATACCAATGGGCTAAGCAGCGTAGTATATAGCTTATCTTGTTGAATATGACTCTAAAGATCTGCTAAAGGTAAGCATACCCTTTTGATCGAGTCGCCTAGACTTAGGGAAGATCTCAACATATCCTAATTCCGACTGCGGAGTACCTTGATGATACGAGGCGCAGATGAATATGAGGTTATAAATTTCATCATCGTAATTGTGCAGCTTAACGCATGTTATAACATTCTCACCGTCCTGTCTCTACCCCATGATTTGCAACTGGTCATCAGGAGGCCAACGGGTTTGCGCAAAACTCAGGCATCGCTTGATACTCTGTAGATACTTTCGAGTACTCTCGTCACTCAGGATATGGGCTTGCTGATCGCCCTGGTGCAGCTTTTCTCGCGCCGAACGTTCGTGAATACCAACCATGGTTACACCGATGGGCCATGCACTGCAGCTTATTAACCATGTTCCAAGGATAGCGGTGGAGGGTAAAAAGATAGAAGGAATACGTACGCTTTGCCAATGCTCAGCCGGAGATAGGCATCATTTGCATCGACATACCGCCGCAGCTGGGCCTCGTGGACAATTTCCACGATGTGTTCGAGCACAACATCATCTAAATTAACCTTCTCAAACTTCCGAAATAGCGGCTTCAGATTATCCCTCGACTGCACCATTGCGTTGTAGGCCTGTCGCCCTTGGAGACTCTGCTTGACCGTCACGTCACGCTTTGCCAGAGCAAGCTCCCATTCTGAAAGCACCATGTTGAAATACGACGCCAATTGCCGAAACAGGTACTTGCGACCGTCCATATCCTTAGGTACAGTCGTAGAGATCTTCATCTCCACCTCAGGCACGGGCTCCAGCGTGGTCGGAATCGGTCCATCAGATAGCTTCGGTTGCGGCGTAACGGATCGTTGAAGGAGTCGATGATATCGACGTAGACGACCGCGATGTGTCTCTCCAAAGAGACGAGTCGGTTCGTCGAGCTCGCGCAGCTTCTCCACCAGTTCTTCGTCCGGAATATCTTCTCCCTCCTCTGTATCATCTTTCTCTTCCCTTGTCGGCAGTTCAGGTAATCCGAGGCGTTTCCTGCGCTCTCGCTCCCTGGATGCTTCCTCCTCTTCTCTTCGCTTCCGCGACTCCTCTGCTAACCGTCGCTTCTTCTCTTCGCGCTCCTGTCGTCGCTCAGCTTCCTCTTCTTCCAGCTTGCGCTTCTGCGCCTGACGCTCCTCTCGTTCTCGTTGGAGGCGCTCCTGTTCCTCTTGGTAGGCAGAGATACGGGCGGCCTCGAGGTCCCCTCGACGTACGTACTTCTTTTCTTGGGTGTTTGATGAATCTTTCTGTCCCTTCTGGTCTGAGGATGCTGGGCCAGGCGATTTGGCCTTCGAGATTTCCTTGGCCATTAACGCGGCGAAATCCATGGTGATTGCAGGGAATTTGCACGCAGCTAGTTAAAATATGTCGATATAGGATAAATAGCAAATTTTTGAATAGACAAGTAAGTAACAAGGCTCTGGTATCGAACACGCTGAGCCAGAGTGGAATGGGTGGGGAGGGAGAGAAAACAGCTAGAAGAGTGGAACCGGAGAAGATCAGCTTCTTCCAGCGGAGCTTCCACTCGTGACAGACAAGCTTCACCTCACCCGTCCACCGTCAAACTCACTCGTCAGCCATTGCGCTCCCGCTACTCACTACTCGCTATGATATAGCACTCTGTGTTTTCTATTCCACGCTCACTTCACATTTCCTCCTCGAGACTACAACCCGAAAATCAAGAGCCACCCGTAAAATCACCACCAACAAACAACATGGCGGCCCCTCGCGATGCGCCCAAGCCTCAAATCGACCGACAAACCACCACACCATTCCACCTGAAGCTCTTCTATCGCATGAACAGCTTCCATCACCTGGGCGATTTCGCGCCCCCGTCGGCACCATCTTCGTACGGCGGCCCTGTCAGCGGCCCCAATGCCATCCGCACTCGAACTCCTCCCCCGCAGGCTGCTCTTCCTGCCCACCTCCAAATCTACACATGGCAATCCTGCACGCTCCGTGAGCTCTCTCAGCTCCTCACCTCCGCTCTGCCGTCTCTCCTTCCTGACCCGGCCGTCGGCACCAGGCTGTGTTTCCGACTGATCTACCCGGATACCAAGGCGGCGGCTACAATGGGCCCCGACGCGCGAGGCCGCTACGTAAGTAAGGAAATGGGCAGTGTGGTCGTAGGTCCAAGTGATAGTCCCTATCGAGATGAACAGGAGGAAAGAACGAAAAAGAATGGCGCAGGCCCGCGCAATCTTCGACTACAGGGGAATGATGCCGACAAGACGTTGCAAGAAATGCGATTCGTGATTGGGGATTACATCGATTGTGCGATTCTTCCACCGTTGGAGGACGGGTCTGTAGCACCGCCGCCGACGACCGGTCGAGGGCCGATGAGCTCAACGATCGGGGGCGGCATGAGGGCGTTCCGAGAGCCTGGGTTCGGTGGCCGACCGGGTCGTGGAGGACGAGGTGGTGGTGGAGGTGATCGAGGAATGCCGATGGGGGATTGGAAACGAGGAGAAAGGCTCCCTGAGGGAGGACGAAGGGGTTGGGCACCGTACTAGGGAGGTTCTGTTCGTCTTTGGTCGGTTGGCTTCTGTCTGTTCTGTTTTCTTTCGGTTCTTTGATTAAGGGTATTTGACTAGTTGCATGGAGTTATAACCCAGAGAGGTATACCCGGTATTTACTGAGATCAATGACTTCATATGTTTGATTGAATTGTGATTTATTGGCCTTCTAATATGTTTGGTATCTTGTAATTGGGACTTCATGTCGTTGTCAACTATGTGTCTGAGAGCTACAGTATGTGGCCTTTCTATTATAGAAGTCAAAGACGGAAGGGTAAAAAAAAAAGGCTGAATCAAGTGAACAAGTAAACAACACATTCGGTATATTCTAGTAATAGGTACACTCGGCAACGGCATAGACAGGCTCAACCCAACCTGCGCCACAGAGCCCAATGCGACACAGGCAATGCCATCACAACACACACATCGTATAACCTGCCTCCACAGTCGACGGGTCGCCCACTCAATTATTCTTATTCATTACCATTCCACAATGGTATCTCCTTTCCTCTTCCCACGCAGCTCGTATTTACCCTAACATCGGTCAGCAAAGTATTCTGCCCTGTCTGCTCAACTCCAGTAAGAAATACAGACCTCTGTCTTGTATGCGATGTAGCCCAGGGTACCCGGGATCAGAGCCATATAAAGGAACGAAAACCATGCATGGCGCGGCGTCCACCGGAAGTACTTGTAGCGGTTTGCGTTGAGTTCTGTGTTCCAGGAAAATCACCTGTCAGTGTGAGAGTTCAAACCCATCGGGGGTAACTATAAGCTTTTCGCGACATCGACCTGTCTGCGGTGATGCGGATAATCGAGGTCGCACACGGAGGGAGAGAGAACAGTACCGTAGTATTTCTGAAGGGCTGGGTCAAGGATCAGGGCTGTGCATCATGGTGTTAGCTCACGGATTGCATCCAATTGCACCCAGCCATCCGGATACACTTACACTTGCTAGGACCGGCCATGGTTGCGGATGTAGAAATCTAGGCTGATGGCATCCAGTAGGCGGTGCTTCGTGGTGGTGATGAAGTCCGAGATCAGGTCACGTGGGAAGACAGTCTTGGCAAATGAATTGAATGAGTCAGCAGAGGAATGTGATTGGCTGGAGACGGATGCATTGATCGTGCCGCGGCGACAATAGACTCTCCGAAGACACAGACGGAGGAGAACTGCCGACGACGGATAGATATAGACTGTCCGGAATACGAGAGCGATCTGGCCATGGCGCCTTCGATGCTCCAGAGTTCAGAGATGAGGGTCGTGTTCTAACAAATAAAAATGAGTTAGCGCTGGGCTGACCCACTGGTTGTTAATGACGCAGTTCAATAGGTTTCACTGGCTCGGGGATGGAGACCCGAGGTAGCGTTGATCAGGCTCTCTCAACATTATTCTGGAACAAGCATTATCCAGACGATCATTCTTGGACAAGGATATAAGTAGCTGGGACCCTTATGAATTCAGTCACTGATCTACATCGACCTTTCTACGGAGTACTATCGGACAGATTTTGAATTGCACCTGTGTATTCATTCAACTATTTTTCTATACTGTTCCAGCATCGATCAAGATGAACAATATGACAGACAACAACAAAGGCGCCAAAATAACCCTCTACTGGTAAGCAATCTCTCCATTTAATGCGATTAACTTAGCTCACAATGTCAGGCTCAACAAATCCCGCTCCCATCGCATCCTCTGGCTCCTTGAGGAATTGGGTCTATCGTACGAACTCAAGATATTCCAACGAGACTCGGAGATGATGGCTCCTCCGGAGCTCAAAAAGATTCATCCGCTGGGTAAATCGCCGGTAGTCACCATCGAGACAGCCAACTCGGACAAGCCTCTGGTGCTGGCCGAATCCGGCGCCATCACCGAGTACCTCTGCGACCATTTCGGGGGCGACAAGCTTGTTCCGAAGCGGTATGTGGAGGGGAAGGAGGGACATATTGGAGCTGAAAGTGAGGCGTGGGTGCGGTATCGCTATTTCATGCATTATTGCGAGGGGAGTTTGATGCCATTTTTGGTGTTCCAACTGGTGGTGGATAGTAAGTTTATTCCACTATTAATTTGTTTTCGTTCACCATTTGTCATTAGATGAGGGTTGAAACATTGCTCGACTTCAGACTAACTAGCATACAGCTGTCAAAAAAGCCCCCGGGGTTCCCTTCTTTATCAAGCCTATACCCCGTCTCGTTGCTTCTAAGATCGAATCGGTATTTGTTTCCCGCAACCTCTTTGCCAACTTTGACTTTCTAGAGGGGCAGCTTAGAACAGCCCCTAACGGAGGCTCGTTCCTCTGCGGCAAAGAGTTGACTGCTGCGGACATCATGATGAGCTTCCCGGTCATCGCTGCGTCAACGAGAGGTCCGTTGAATGAGAAGTACCCGATGTTAAAGGCATATGCGGACCGTCTTCAGCAGCAGGAGGGTTATAAGCGGGCTGTTGCCAAGGTTGAGGAGGTAAATGGGAAGTTTGAGGCTTCGTTGTGATGGCCTTGTTGAGATTGTGCGATTTGTTATGGTTTTAACATGATATTTGTAGTTTGAGATGTTTATACCCATTACAGAGTTCGTATACCATAGGACTATGCTGGTAAGCTATCAGAAACAATTATTTGTACTATGAACTAGAGAGGACCACTGTACCTTTGCTCATCTTGTCTTTGGAATCATTCTCTCGAAGGGTTACTTCACCTTTTCCGGATCCAATTGAGTGTTTATAACTGTTTTCCAGTTGAGTCAACCAACGTACGTGCTGGCAGTCAACTCTCACCAATTTCTCCCGAAGAACTGACTTTTTATCAATTGTAAGTTCAAAAGTCTCAGGGCCTTCGTAGATCATGCACCTGTTTTACATTCCAAGCTATTTCACTAGAGAGTCAGTCTGTGCTTACCACAGAATATATACAGAGTAGTCCAAAGCCAGAATCATACTCTAACGATCTACAGCCTGAGGCTGACTCCCATAGGAAATAATGCGAACCATATGTCTTCACTCCCCGTCCTTGAAGTCCAGCACCGCGGAATGAGCAGCACTTCTCTATCGAGCCATCAGTCCCGTCTGCGACATCCATCCAAGCACAACGTCAATCTACATACATACCTGGTCCCAAACAACTACCGTCCCTTTCTCCCACGACACACGACACGTGAAATCCAGCGACCGGATATGATAATGCATGAAGCTAAGCAGCATATCTGACTCACTCGGCTTGTACCCAACCACTTGGCGCGCGATGGTTGGATTAACGAATAGGACCGGCTATTTCGAGGCGGGATGGGATATAACAAGTGGATGTTCCGTCTTAACGGCCTCTTTGAGAGCGCGCTCCTGACCCAGTCTTGCTACTTCACCGACGCTCGCGCTTGTGTGCCGGAGGTTTAAGCGATGCAGTCCTTCCCGAAAAGTAGGTGAAAGAGCTTGATACGCCAATGTTAACGACGAGAAAGCCGTGTCGCCTCCTCCGGAGGCAGGCGTTTCAAGCGCCCAGAAGAAGGTAATCCCGGGGGTATTTGGCGTGAAGGTCTATTCGATGTGCCAGAGATCATAGCTTGTTCGCACACCCAGAAGATCGCCGAGGTTTCCACTGCATGGGTCTTAAGATTAATGACTGATGGTTGTTTGCGTTGGAAGGTGCGGACGCTTTTTCGTCTGCGTACACCACTTGGAACTCTGGACCCGCGCCTTGGGGATACCCCATTGTGGGATGCTGTGTTCACTTAGTGTGAGGAATGGAGTGTCCCTGGATATGAAGCTCACCTTGTGCAACGGGCCGAAATGATTCGCGATCTCCTTCTGTGGGTCTGGCCCAATATAGTCGAAATCTTGGTCTCGCTGATGCATTCGTTGCCCATGAGATATTTATCTTTTTCTGTATTGCACGAGCAATATACTCACAAATACAAGCACGCCTCGCTGGGCTGCCAGCAGTGCTACTTGATCCAACCCGCCATAGGTCCGGCTTAGTAGAAGATTTCGAACTTTGGTTCCAATGCGTGGAGTATCGTTCCTCAAGTCGACGTTCGAGAATCTGGGAGCGTAGGATCCGCCCGCAGTCCAGCCTCCTCCGCCTCGAATGCGGGGAGATCGAGAACTGGAGTGAATCCTTCCGGTCCGACGGGTAGATATGCGGGATAGAGTGGTGGTGCAGCCATGGTGATACCAGACTTGATCACAAGAGTTACTTTTGTAGATCGCTTGATGACAGGCTGTCTGTTTCACCACGTAGAATTTATATCCCCACCACGTCCTGTACATTGCTGACCTTAAGTGGGACTGCATGATCGTCTCATCCCGGCTAAGAAAGACGTCAACGCTCACCAGTAAGGAAGTGCATATCGGACCCATTGGAAATCATCCACCATAGAAAAACAACTTCAATCGTGTTCCCCCCGACAGGGTCTTACAAGCTGCAGTAGTACGCACATTAGCGTAGGGTTGAATCGGGTATGTTTCAGTTCTATCGCATAGATATGGCAGTAACGATCGGCTATCACTACCCCAAGCACGTCATATACGCGATCAATTCTCAAGCAGCGTGGGTTTCTTCGGTCATTTAAAATCTCACGGTGTGTGAGTGCGTGTGTTGTTTAAACACACTCGATATTTAAGACGGTCCGGCATTTCCAGCGCTGTGGAGATAAGATGGATTCAACTATCCAAGAAAGAGGACATGCCAGTTGTACTTCCGTTGGCAGATACAATGTCTTTTCCAGGATTCTAAAGAATCCAGAGCGTTTATTCCTTCTCAAGCTAGATCTACTGCTACTCGTCTGGGCATTTGTCGCCGGATTGACCAAGGTGCGTTACTATTCTAATGCGAAATACCTAGAACCTAATGGTAGGTCCAGGACATGGATCAATCGGCAACAACTCAAGCCTTTGTATCTGGGATGAAGGAGTCTCTGGGCCTGTATGGAAACGAACTGGTCGAATTCACCACCTATTTTTCGGTGGGATATGCATTGGCGATCGTCCCGTCGCAGATGATCCAGACGATGGTGCGGCCATCCGTCGTGTTGCCTGTATGCGAAATAATCTGGGGGAGCCTGACTCTTGCGTAAGTCCATACAGTGTCATGTGCATCCTACGGAGTTACTGAAACAACAAAGGACATTCGCTGCGAAGAATGCGCAAACTGTATACGCGATGAGATTCTTTCTTGGCATTTTCGAATCGGTAGAGTATCATAGAGTATCCGTCTCATGGCACATCCATTGTGCTGACAGTCCCAGACTTCATGGCCCGGATTGGTCAGTCTCATGTTCAACTGGTGTAAGTGAGATCCTAATCTGCATCTTAATCTAGGTTAACTTCAGCTGCAGATACACCACCCGAGTTGGGAACGAGACTTGCGATATTCGGTGTCAGCGGTGTTGCTGGCAGCATGTTTTTGGGTATTTTGCAAGCTGCCCTATATAAGAATCTAAACGGTGTATCAGGGCTCCAGGTTTGTTTCATTTTTATCCTATAATCAGGAATCCATCACTAATTCATTATCAGGGATGGCAATGGCTTTTTATTGTCAGGTACGCTCTTAAGCGGTTGATATCTGTCCATACTAACACTCTCAGCGGCTGTATAACCATTTTCTGGGGATGTGTCGGTCTATTTATCATTCCAGATGCGCCGTCAATCACGCGAGCGCTGTGGTTGACTCATGCAGAGCGAGATCTCGCAGTAAAGCGGATGGAAAGGTATCAGACTGAGACATCCAAGTTGATTGACTATAACCGACTGCTTGGGAAGGCCAAGCAAATAGCTCTTAGTCCATTAGCCTGGATGTACTTTGCTGCCTATCTACAATATGCGTGGAGTCAAAGGGCCAACTCCTATTTTCTCCTATATTTGAAAGTATGTGTCTCTGGAATTCATCTTTCCGATGCGACTGACAGCTTGTAGGGACTGACTGGCTCAGACGGCCAACCAGTTTACAGGTTTGACAAGCTAGCCTCTATCCATAAACACTATGTTGATCGGTTCCAGCACCTACACGGTCAACCTGATCCCACTCGGTGGATACGCCATCTCTATCGTCAGCACGGTGTTGCTGAACGCTCTCAGCGACTGGAAACAATGGCGTATGCAGATCTCGATTGCGCCAGCGGTAATTTCGTCTTCAACTATAGCCATATGCCGAGTAGTTAACGCATACCCAGATCTTGCAAATCATCGCCTGTGCCGTCCTTTCAGCATGGCCCAATTCCATACCGACCATCATGACATTTTACTTTCTAACCTTTGCCACGGCAGCATGGGGGTACGTCAATGAACCAGCCAGAAAACATACCAAAACTAACAGCAAACCCTAGCTATGCTCTCCTCGCCTGGATTGGTGAAATTCTACGAAAAGAGCCAGAGGCGCGCTCACTTCTCGTTGGCGCATCTGTCACTTTAGTCTGTATGTGTCCCCGTCATTCAGCAATCTGTCGAAGACAAGATCACAACAGGATCCAAGTTTAACCTCCTCTAGACATCGGACACGCAACAATCCCTCTGCGCGCATGGCAAACATCCGATAGTCCTCGTTACCCAATTGGGTTTCCCCTAGCGATGGCATTCGCCGCAGGGAGTATTGTATCAATCCTTGGGATTTACTTCTATGTGAAAAGGTGTGTACATTTCAGGTTTGATGAATGTTCGCTAAGTGTAAAGAAATACGTATATTCTCGAGTATGGGCTTCAGAGGCCTGTCCAGTCTGAGTCTGATGAGCATAAGCATCGGCGGGAGAGCACTGGGAAGGCTACGCCTAGTACTTTCTCAGATGTATGATCTACGTACATTGGCAAAGGTTTGAATGGCTGAGTCGAGGTGAATATTATTGCTAGAGAAATGATGAACGATCAATTAGTTAATCATTTATTCACCCAATGTTTTATGAACCTGTTGCAGCCTAGCTATTTAAGCGTTGGCTATGTAGGCACCTCTCAGTGAAGTAAGACGAGGCATTAGGGCTGTGTATAAAAACCCACATCAAATATTTCTTCCTATACTCTGGATATTTCATTAGCTCTTGTGAATCAAATGGTGTATACCTCTTGACCTTTAAAGTGTCTGTCATTGGATAGAGCCCATCCAATATCCATTCACTCAACATCCATGTCTATAACTAAAATTTAATTCACAACTACTACAAGGCAACAAAGCTTGATTTCCATTATCATCACTTTCTTCCATCCATTATCCCTCACTTCTCAACATGTCCTGGCCCCCATCCACACAAGAGGGTTACCTCCCCTACTTCCTCCTCTTCGTAAGCTCCCTATAACTTTATCTTCCAATCCTCAACTCACCAAACCCACAGTCCTCTTTCACTGCAATAACCTACAGCCTAGTGACCTACCTCTCACCCATCCTGTGTCTGAAACAATTCTCAGGCCCTCGAGCACCACCGAAAACCACGCTCCTCGCGCACGTCTACGGCGTGAAGAATGTCTATATCGCGCTGATTCGCTTCTACGCGGCGTACAATATCCATAATCGCCCTCTGTATGACCTGGGTATTGCCAGTTTCGCCGGCATACTCTTTCTCTATCTAGGGGAGTGTTTTGTGTGGAGGACGATTCGTTTTAGGGAGGCGGTTATGGCGTTTGTTCCAGTGGGTTTGGCGTTTGTGTGGATGGTTGGGCAGAGGGGGTGGTATGTTGGGGCTTAGAACTCGGGGGTACAGGGGGGGATATGTATCTTATGATACTCTGCTTGATAGATGGGAAGATTCTTTGCTTATTTTTCTCCTTGAATTATTATTGTCTCGATGTCTTTGTGGCTTGTTATGGCGATAATTCTACAGCGCGATTCGTAATGGGGACTGTCAGCTGTGCGAGATAGAAGGAATACTAATATACTAGTCTAATAGTAAACAATGATACTGATTCGAATTCTATACTCAATGTAAACTAGACTAGTGAAATACTACTTGGCTGTCCTGCTGCCCAGATAGCGGATGTGTGATGGTGCACCCAGGCATACGTCATCCATCCTGGGCGCCAATATATATAATGAGCGAGAAGCATCCTTAAACCTTCCTCGTCCACGCTCAAGATTATCCTGTAAAAAGAAACAAAATTAAACCCGAGCAGACAAATAAGCTCGACAACATGAAACTCGCCGTCTTCAGCGCCAAATCCTACGACAAACACTACCTCTCCACCACCCTCCAAGCCCACTACCCAACCCTCTGCGAACTCACCTACCACTCATTTGCACTCTCCTCGGAGACAGTATCCCTCACTTCCGACTGCGACGTCGTATGCGTCTTCGTCAACGACACACTAGACGCCCAAGTTCTCCACGTCCTACACTCACACGGCACCCGCGCCATCCTCCTCCGCTGCGCCGGGTACAATAACATCGACCTTGAAGTCGCCGAGAAGCTAGGATTCTTCGTCGCCCACGTCCCGTCATACTCTCCCGAAGCGGTGGCCGAGTTCGCCGTCGCTTTGATCCAGACCCTGAACCGTAACACGCACCGTGCGTACAACCGCGTACGCGAAGGCAATTTCAACCTCGAAGGGTTCCTCGGCCACACGCTGTGCAGGAAAACAGTGGGCGTGATCGGCGTCGGGAGGATCGGGATGGCGCTGACGAGGATATTTCATGGGTTTGGGTGTCGGTTGGTGGCGTATGATCCCTTTGCTGGGGAAGAGTTTCAAAAATATGGGAGGCTAGTGTCGTTGGAGACTTTGCTGCGAGAGAGTGATATTGTGAGTTTGCATTGTCCGCTGTCGGAGACAACAAGACATATAATGGGGGAGAAGAATTTAGCAAGCATGAAGAAAGGCGCATTGTTGGTGAATACTTCGCGTGGGGCATTAATTGATACCAAGGCGGCGATTCAGGCGCTGAAGAAGGGACATCTGGGCGGGTTGGCGCTGGATGTCTACGAAGAGGAACGGGACTTGTTCTATAATGACCATTCGGCGGAGATTATTCATGATGATACCCTGATGCGGCTGATGACTTTTCCCAATGTGCTGGTTTGTGGACATCAGGCTTTCTTTACGCGGGAGGCGTTGGCGGAGATTGCAGAAGTGACGCTGGGCAATTTGCAGGATTTTGTAAACAGGAGGCCATGTAAGAACTCGCTGGTGCGCGAGGGTCATTTGTTGCTGTCGAGGGATAGCGAACCCGTGCGGCTGTAGTATAGTTATTTAATTGATTGGGGTTGAAAGTCTTATCTGTATAGCAATGATTGAATGTAACTATTGAACGGTTAGTTAGATCCTACACCAGTACATACCCAAGCTAGACAGCAATTACTATGTGCATGATAAACTATCCGTATCTTTAATATAACAAGTTATGTAGACTGGTCCAAGAAATTGAAACAGCGGCTGCAACAGACTCGGCACAAAAATGACACAAGAGTTCCTGCATAATACCCCATACCTGTGAAACATTTGTCTCGATATCAACTAAGCCACCCTGAAGACAAACTCGTGAAACGCTGAGAGGTCTAGAAAAGTAGAAAATAAGTCATACCTGCCCTGCCGATCTATCAAATGCATTGATGAGCAAACCCATGGATCAACGTAATTGTTTGCTCTGATGTTGACTACCAGTGCAAGTACCTGCGAAAGCGCTGGGCAAATCAGGGGAAAAGCAATACGCAGCCAGTTGCTGTCATCTGCATAGGTGACCTATCTTACCGTCAACACTTACTGTGAGCAGGAGATTATGTATAGTTCAGGGGTGCAGCAGTGGCCTGCATATGGGTTCAGCCGAGGATAATCTGAACAAAAAGCCGACTCCCAGCAGACTAGACACAAAAAAAAGAAATAAACCCCAACAGTATAATTCAACACCTGGTACTCCATATTTTTGTATCTTCTGCTCGCCCCAAACTAACAACGATCAACATGCCCAACCGTACTGATGAAGCAAAGTAAATCAGTGGAGCAAACATCACCAACCACCTCCACAAACAATTTACCCAAACGATAAGTAACAGTCCGCGGAGACCTCTAGACCGCCCTCTGACAAGCGCCAAGTGGGCGGCTGCAGATCGAGCCATGGTTCGAAACAGTCTCCGTAAATAGTGGCCGGCGAGGGTTGGAGAAATTTTTTTTTTGGGCCTTCGGGAAGGCTTCGTGGCCTCTTCTGCGAGATTTCTCGATTGGGTTGGATCTACGACGACCCGACCGAAGGTTGAGCAGAGATTGCAAGCTGATACTGGAGGACCATGGCCGAGGAATTGGGGTTCTTACTACAATTGTTTGGATCGTGACTGGCTGTGTTTTATTCATGTGATTTGTTTTTTTGTCATTTTTTCTTTTCCTCGTCGAGGATGAAGTGCTATTTGATACTTCATGTTGATAGGTGATATATGTCTTATTGTCATGTCGTACGGAGCGGCTAACCGACTATCCACGGGATATATCAGTTCGTATCTTTGACGTCAACTGCACTCCATACGTCACGATTGACTCGGTCGTTGAGCTGCAAGCCAAGACAGTCTGCTGCAAACACTGCAGATGACACCTGATCCTATTGTGTATGTACTACATCCGGCCTGGACACCTGATGTTCTGGCGCAGGAACTCACCCAAACTAAGAACATACCCGTATATCCTCGGAAGCACCTCAGCTTTGTTCCTTATCCTTAGTGAATGACCCTGTCTCCTGTATACCCCACTTGTCGGTCAACAACAGGTGGGAATGTCGCGCCCAGCACGGTAGCAATCCATGGCTCCTGTGACACCAGCAATTTAATATTTGGGGTGGACTCTTTGTTCTGTGGATGGTCTGCAGAATAATGAGTTGACTATTGTCAGTGTCCTGGGCAGAGTGGATACTAGTTGAATAGGTAGACTTGAGTTGCATAAACTTCAGCATCGGCCCGATACCAAGAATAATCAGTTGCTAGCTGCATGATTTGCACTCCGTAGGGTTTTGCAAGAGCCTAGATAGCTGCAGACTTCTCCATACTTGATCTAGATTCTCGTCTAAAACGACTGTCTTTATTTTGAGTCTCTTCCTACAGAGTATGTATCGTCTTTTAGCTCTCCAGAACCCTGAAGCATGGTGTAGCAAAAGAAAATGAATAATGACATAAAACATCTCTAAAATGGTCCCAGACTAGATTTTGTCTGATCTCTAACGCAGGATAGTCATAATATTTCGTAAAACGCGTTTCATGCCACTGCACATTCTCAAAGAGAATATCAAACCAACATGTTCCATATATCGGCGAACATAAGGGTGTTTCTTGGCACACTCCTCGGTGGAGTCAGGAGTTCTTCTGTCTGGGTGTCTCAACTATTGTGTGGGGCGTCGAAATGTTTGGATTCGGTACCTGTCGGAGCATGTAGTCCCTGAATTCTAAACCTCGGTTCCTGGGTGTGTTTATCAATCATATTCTCTGATAGAAAGAAGGGTCTCAGTGCCGTGGGAATAGACTTGCCTGCAGGTGGCCTAAGCACCATGTTTTTCCTGCGATCGAGATACTACGGTGGATAAGCGCAATACTTATCGTGCCTAGGCGTCCAAGACTTCCCGATATAGTACTTTTAGCTAATATGAAGTGCCTCGACGGAGTAACATAAATATATCGTACATAATTACTTCATAGATTCCACATGTAGTCCGTATCCGTACTCCGTATGCACATCTATTATGGAATAATCGGAGCATGCATCGCAAATGCAGGGGCCAGACTGCAGTCCGTAGTTCGAGTGACTTTGTTCCCATTGGGGTTTCCAATAACTATCGGATGCGGCTAAGTTTCTTTGTTCTGTATAAGTTTAAATTGCATCGTGCGCTAAACAAAGCCCAGTGTAACCTTAGTAGATTCGGCCTGCCACTTTGGTCTGGACTCGACACGGCGGTGGTCCGGGGATGTATGTACTCAAGTAACCCCCAGCAGTATCTGCGCACATGTCTCACCTACAAGGGACCGACCAAGTGCCCAGTTATTTGCTGAAACTATTTAGACTATATCGTTAGAAGCTTCGAGGATTCCAACTGCCAACTCTCATTTGTTTGTTCCGGAATTGGGTTACTTGGGTTTCTGGAATTGGGGGTGGTCGGTGGATTCTTGCCAACCTGTCAAAAAAAAAAAAAAAAAAAAAAAAAAATAAAATTAGTAACAATATATAAATCCAGGTCCAATAATATGTATCATTAATCAAAGAAAACGGACTACGGAGTCGGATGGCTAGGGGACAGAAGCATCGTGAGGCTATTTACTGCATAGGAAGAAATAACTGCAAACTGCCAACCCACACCAATAACCCACCATAGTCCCTTTTCTCGCCAACGTTGCTGGGAAAGTCTGCTGCCGAGTAACAAGCCAGGGAAAACAAAGTTCAAAAAGTATGCCAAACCTCAACGGCGGAGTTGCACGCCGGAAGCCCTAGCCTGGTTGGGTATAGACATGTCTGAACGCGGAATGAGGAGGTATCCGTTACATAAACCCTCTTGGGCGATTGCCCGAACTTTGCCCTAGTGGCATGGGGAGGCAAAACCTCGGGGTCTGTCCGTGCAGACTAGGGCACTGGCCAATGGCAACGTGTGAGATCCTCAGCATCCAATAAGCGTCCCACGATAACAAGATGTAGTGTCCACCAATCCGACGAGTTCTCGATGGACCCGCCGCTTTGGGAGAGAGCTATACCCTAGCTGATTGGTTTCCACGCCCGACTTAACTAGTCCTTCTCCAGCAGGCAGTTGATCGCCTGGCCTGTCTGCATAGGACAGTCGGTCAAGTGTTGCAAGGGATAGGATGGATTGGGCATACCTACACGGTAAGCACTTGAAGGGTCTAAAGGATATGATACTAGTAAGATGGTCGGCTGTACAGAGTAGTATTACTACACCATTTATTGGAATGGGCATAGGAATAAATGTAGGTCAGAAGCACACATGCAGTATAAAAGTCAAATACCGAGGATCTCGTGAACTCTTCCTTACAGAGTAAGCAGTCTTCTCGGTGAGGCTGGACCCGCGGATCCATGTGGAGTTCCCCGAAAAAGACCCCGTTGCCAATGAGGATCGCGCCAATTCTGCTTAAAGGGGACATGTCGGTCGCGGTCCATTCTGATCGCGGTCATGGACGCGGTAGGCAGTTAATAGTAAACGCAGACTAGAGAAGTCGTTCCAAATCCTGTCCCGCCTATTCGGCTGGTGGGGATTTGGAGATGGACTAGTATAGACAATAGGTAGGTGGGGAGAGGGGGGTTTCGCCTGAAGAGGAAACGAGTCATGCTTCGGGTGAATATATCGTAGTGAAACTAATCACAGTACTAGCCAGGATCATGCCTTGTTCAGAGTGTGAATGTTACAAGAGCCCTCGGTGAGTCCGTGATAGTCAAAAGGAAGTTCGAAGATGGCGGAGTGGGTAAGGGACATCAAAAAGCGGTCAAGGGCGGCAGGGATAGAAGCGTTGTGTTGTCATCATGACTGACTGCTTGGAGAAAGGGATCCCCCTAGAAATGGTTGCATTGCCAATAATAATCGCGGAGGGCACTGCTACTTTACCCGGCCCGGTGTACTTATCAGTGTGACGGACGATAAGTGGTCGTCCTGGAGATCCGATTGTTGTAGATACTATTGTTCCAAATACTATAATATTACTACCGGTGAGGTGGTCAGCGTGACCCTCCTTGCTCCTTACGCAGAGTCAGACCTCATCAGAAGCCTTGATGGTGCTTTGTTTGACTCCCTCTTCAAGATAAGGAAGGAATAGATATAGGAATCCATAGGCGGGTCCCGGGTGACTGCCCACCAACCAGCCGCCATCCTTTCCACCTCGGTAACATGCCGTCCCCAATCCGGTAAGCGTCATGTCTGGAATCAATTCTTCCTTTCATTCTGGATACGAGCATCCTTCAGGGATAAACTCGTTTTTGGGAACGGGAGATCGGGAGTATCAGGATGTCCGGGTGATGAACATTGTATTACCCGGATCACGATAAGCAGGTATGAATCCCTACAATAGGCAGGTGTATGTACTGGACATTATTGTTCCGTACATACAGAGTAGGTGAATTCTCCGTCCACCGTCCACAGTACCACAGCGTAAATTAAACGAGCAACAGCATCATCACCGCAACCCACCGGCCAATCCCTCGCCTGCGATCTGCTCTCCAACGGCCCCACTCGCAGTTGTTTCTTCGGGACTTTCTAGCCTCAACCTACTTTACGCTGTGTCCGCAAATGAATTAATTAATATTATCCTCCTTCCTAGCGCGTTCTCCACCGGCGCATGGCAAAATCGCCCATCCCACCCTGCCGTTTCGTCTCTTTCCTCTGGATGGATTCGAGGACTACTTAATTTAGTCCGCCTCTCCCCGCTATTAGCATTCTGGTCTCTCCTATCTCCTGCCACTGGAAATCGGGGCGAATTCCATTAACCCTGCCAGGTACTATCTTGGTTATACTATCTTGTCGTCACCACCCGTTGCCACTGCCATCGGAGCCATGCGTTGACTGGCTCGGCCATTCCATTCACCTCGCCTCTGCCGTCACTATTATTACCCTACTACCCCGACTATCGCTGCTTTATTGTCCTACTACTTCACTCTACTTTCGGAATCATAACAATAGTGGCTTTCCTGGCCGAACTACTCCCCTCATCTCGCTTGTGGTTGTTACTTCCTGATTCCAACCACTCTCTTTCTTGATCACACTATTATTTCTCATTGCGCCTCACATCTCATTTCGAAATGGCAACTCACGTCGTCACCACCACCAAGACCTCTCCCACCACTTCCGCCCACCAGATTTCCTTATACGGTCATGCGTCTCCTGTGAACTCGACCAATACTACTGCTAATAGCTCTCCTACCTCGCCTCAGCAGCAGTACCTACCACTTCAAACGCGGCAGCTGCGCCCACCCAAGGCTCCCCTCTATGTTCCTGCAGCTCTGCGCCCAACCGAGCGCCCTCAGAAACCGTCTCTCCCGACTCCTCCTCGCAGCGTTCATGGTTCCCTTGATAGCCTGAACGATTGCGAAATCCAAGAGTCCCTTAGTCGTCGTTCTACCATGGAGAGTGTTAGTAGTGGAAGCATTAGCAAGAAGGCGGAGGATGAATGGATGAAGAATGAACACCTCGGTGAGGTCACTGGCCTTCCCACTAGAGATCACTGGAAGGTAAGCTTTTTAATTATTTTATTTTGTCGATTTGAGACACGACCCTTTCCATTCCATGGGGGATATCCTGTGCATTTATATCACCCAATGACGTGAGAGCGGCTGGTGGCTCGCGAATTATTGCGTGATCTTCAATGTGCATCGCCTCTGTGACCTTACATTGGATCAATCTTCCCCTCATCCTGCAATGCTCATAACTCTGACGAATCTGCAACAGGCCGACTCTGCATCCCCCAACTGTGACTCTCCCACATGCCGTTCTTCCTTCGGACTCTTCCTAAGACGTCACCACTGTCGCCATTGTGGTCATGTGTTTTGCTCTTCCCACACTCCCTATTCTGTACCCTTGGACCAAGATGCGCGCTTCCATCCCGAAGGGGTCCAATCCCGTGCTTGCGACCTTTGTTGGATCGCCTACCAGCGCTGGGAGGAGTCTCGTACTGAGCGTCTGTCCAAGATTCAGAGCCAGCTCAACTCTCAACCCCTACAGCCCATCGAGAATCCTACGGAAGAGACTCGGGTAGAGGTAGTCGATCTCTTGCAGGATAGTGACTCCAAGAAGGCACTCGCTGCGGTCCATAGCCAAACCGGCGATATCGCTGCCAGCATTCCCCGCGGGTGGAACTGGAGCACATTTTAAATGACCTGATGGTTTGATTTCGATATTATGCAAATACGTCCCGCTGTCGGGGTCATCCGGCACTGCTTGCATTGCAGCTCTTTCAACATACGCATTCTAGAACATCTTTGTGCTCTTTAATCTGTGCTATCTGAGCTTTTCTATACCAGGTTCAGACCTTTGCTTGGAGTTTGGGTTGGTTTCCTTCATCATAATGGGTTGCAGTTTCATTTTACATTGCGAGTTTCTCCCATACTGCCGCTTTCGAACGTTTTAACGGGCGGGACTGTTTTTCTTGCTTCTTTCTTCCCTGATACTTAGGATACCCCGTCATTGTTGCTTTTCAGCGGCAGACTTGCTTTGTTTGATCTTCTGGCGTTCGGGATGGAGTGCGTTAGGTTAGGTACATCGGCTAATAGAGGTCTGAGAAATTGAATTAATTCTGTCTACGTCTAATCTTCAGCTCTTGTAGCCCACCTCATAGTGCCCATTTCATGTTCTACTAATCGCTTTTCACATGAACCCGCCGCCACATCCCAACATGCTGAATCCCTTCCTCATCCCACCTACCCAGCAAGTCATCCCTCGTAAATCCCATCCGCTCGTATAGTTTTTCTACCTGCACCTGCGCATGCACAAGGACCAAGCCCTTCCACCGCCGAGAACTCCCCTGAGACCTATCTACGTATGCGCGATCAATCTCACTTGCATTTTCCCTCGTCCATGCTAATACTGTCTCCACCAACTCCTTTCCTAGCCCGTACCCTCTGTACTCCGGTAACACCGCTACACGAGTGATCTTGACGCATGGCTCATGCTCCAGATCAAACTCCGGTAGACTGGCTGCCCTTTCCGGCTGCATTAGGACTTCATGCGGTGCGTGTGGTGGTGGCACAAGTCGGATAACCGCCACCGGCTTTTTGGTTGTGTGTGTACTTGCACTTATCTCGGAGTGGTGATAAATCACCCAGTGCCAGCTGTGCGCGTCGTCCGAGTCGATCTCGGCATCCGCGGAGCATTGCTGTTCCGTGACGAATACTGGGAGGCGGACAGCCATGGCGTCGTTGAATATGGCGGGGTTGGTATCCGGTTGCGGGTTGGATGGCGTTGGAAGGGTGAGATTGCGTCCTGGTGGGGGCTGGAGCGATGTGCTGAAGGGTTTCCGTTTGGGTGGTGGCATGTTTGTGGTGTATACTGAGTTCTGTTGGTGGACGTGGGCTGGGTTGATCTGGGTGTGGTTAACGGTATGGTAATTGCGAAGGGGGGTTAGATGTTACCTGTTTGACGGATGAGTATAGTTGACTGATATGCAGATCTGTTTTTGAAAACTGAGTATTTTGTATTGTTTAGGAGACTCTGGTGGGTCCTTGTATATGAAGGGCGTGGATGGAGATGTGGATATAACAGAGTTAGTACAGGCCATTTGCTAATCTAGAGTCAGTACATATCCCATTTTGTATTGGCCGATTTCAGTCCCTATGGTATGATACCCTAAATGTGCAAATAGGCACTACTTTAAGTGTAGTGTCTCTATTCAGTAGATGCGGGCATTTTTTAATTATCCCGATGTCTATTAGTTAACTAGTTAACTATTTTAACTAGTTATTTATCTAATCTGTAGACAAACAGTGCAAACATAATTTTTCATCTCCATCCACTGAAATGATTTCGACTTCTTCTAACATCCTTAACAATGTCCCTCTACTACGACGCTGTCACAGTCCTCACTGCCCCCACATCAACCGGTGGTTCTTTCAAGTCCCGTATCTACAACTCCCGCTCTCTCAAATCCTCGCCTGCACAGCTGTATGCGCTGATAATAGAGGCTTCGAAGTGGGACGTCCTCCTCAAGGAAGTCATTGAAGCAGCGGGAATTTTGAAGGTAGAACCAAAGGTGTGTTTTTAAGTCTAGCGCTGACCAATACATCCCAGTTAAGACAACAGTTAATCTGCTGACTGACCAAGCAATATATAGCTTACTCCACGTCTGGCACTTTTTCTCGTGCACGATCATCTCCTCGCGAAGAATGGCATCGCAGCAGCGGCTTCCCACCCACTTCGTCAGGCGATTGAGCGACATAAAACACGACTGAAGGCCGAATTTACTAAAGCCCGCGTGCGCCGTGGTTGTGCATCTATACCAGACTTAAAGGACGCCGTTCGTCGCGAGAAGGACTCTATAAACGGTGTCTCGGCACTGTATCCCCGCTGGGTGCGCATTAACAATGTCCGGACGGACCTGAATACAGAGCTACAATCGACATTTGCCTCATACCGCAAAGTTGACACTCTTCCCGAGCTTGTAGAGAAGGATGAATTCCGGGTGCGCATCGATCCGCACATTCCGGATCTCGTGGCTGTCGCTCCTGGCGTGGATTTCTCGACGTCGCCAGCATACCGCAACGGTGAGATAATCCTGCAAGATAAAGCGTCTTGCTTCCCTGCGTATCTTTTGCTCGGTGATCAAGAGGTGTGGCAAGGAGATTTAATGGATGGGTGCGCGGCTCCGGGGAATAAAACAACCCACATGGCTTCACTCCTATGTAGGACAAAAAAGTCCCGCAGTCATATATTCTCCATGGATGCCTCGCCTATGCGTGCGAAGACGCTGCAGAAGATGGTCTCTGCTGCTGGTGCCGATCCGCTCGTCTCTGTCCTTCCCGGCCAGGATTTTCTAGCGCTGGATCCTCTGGACCCTCGATTTGAGAATGTTACCGGACTCCTTCTGGACCCCAGCTGCTCCGGAAGTGGGATTATCGGCCGCGACGCAGTCCCAACCCTTGTTCTACCCTCTGGGTCTACTGCGCCCGAGAAACAAAGGCGCGGCAGTCAAGGAAAGAAGCGCAAGCGTCGGCATGATGAACCGGAAGACCGCCAGGAACAAACTGCAGAGGCTTCAGTGGCAGCTAACTCCGATACGGATGAAAACGAGCTCTCTAGCTCACATCTCGATCCGGAGCGTCTAACTAAACTTTCAAACGTCCAAACCCGCATTGTTGAACACGCTCTATCTTTCCCAGCTGCTACCCGCATCACATATAGCACGTGCTCTGTCCATCTAGTCGAGAACGAGGCCGTTGTTTCGCGTATCCTTGCATCCGATGTGGCGAAACGTCGCGGGTGGCGTATTATGCGACGAGATGAGCAGCCTCAGGGATTGAGGGCATGGAAACATCGAGGCGTTCGCACTGAGGAGTCTCGAGCTAGGGATGGTGCCGTTCAGGCCCCCGATATTAAGGTTGACTTATCTGATGAGGAACTGGAAGGCTGTTTGCGCTGTTGGCCGGGTGATGATGAGGGACTAGGAGGGTTTTTCGTGGCTGGGTTTATTCGTGATAAGGAGCTTGCTTGGGACGGGGAAGCTGATGATCCCGGTCGCTTTTCAAACGGGAATGAGGAAGACGAGGAAGATGCCGAGTGGGAGGGGTTCTCGGATTAGATGCAGTTGTACATCTGAGCTGACATGGGAATGAATCATTGGTCCTTGGGATTGTGGTCGAGAGGGGTTTAGGAACAGCTGAAATTCTTTGCTCGCTATATATGCCACAACTCAGAGATTTGTACAAGAATTTCCTCTAATTATTTATTGGACCTATTTTATTTTTGAAGTCTCCAGGTGGAAAAGAGGTGACCAATGAATTACATAGATTAATTTAGGTCTCCCACACATTGTAAACTGAGTATTGCATAGTGGTTTAGGATGTATATCATAAGACATCTTATCCTACTGGACAGTAGAGTAGCAATGGACAGTGTGTTCTCCTACTCTTTCCAGCCTATTCCCTAGTTATTTCCACCCAAATCTACGATCAATGGATTCCATCACATGGAGGAAGAATAAACTCGGCTCATCTTCCCCGCACCCATTGCAGGTCGGCTCCACGTTTCCTAGTCTTTGAGAGAGCCCCCGCAGTTCCTTTCGCAACCACTACTCTTCTGGGTCTAAGGGGAAAGACCGCTGCGGCTCCAGTGAGCTTCCGTTGAATTGGCAGGTGCTCTCCACTTCTTCTGTATATCCCCCAGACCCGGTTTCTTCTCCTTGTTCTTTCTCCTTGTGATATCTCCCACCTCTCTTCCGCCTCTTCATCCCTTTCCTTTAGCTTCATCTTTTACCCTTATTGGCATTGCGAGAATTTTACCTCCCCCCCACCAAACAGCTAAACTCAATGGCTGACCGGGCGAGTGAAGCGTACACGCCACTGGACGTGGCTATTCCTCCCGTTCCCTCCAAGGAAATCTTCTCGGACCTACAATGGACTACCCTTTTGTCCATCGCCGACACGATAATACCTGCCGTCCGCAGTCCCGCAGCGCCTGCCTCGTCGTCCACTAAAGTCATTCCTCAATCCCAGCTTAACGCTGCCATCTCGGCACTGGCAACCACCATCCATGACCCCGATGCAGTTGCGCTTGCGACGCGGTATCTGGAAGAGTACCCGTCCGCCAATCCCGCTTTCCGGGAGGGAATCCAGCGCTTATTTGGTAGCTACGTGCACGAAGAAGGGAGGAATGGAATGAGCTTTATTTTGAATGCACTGAAGTATGTGTTTGCTCCACCGTTAATGCAAGGGGGGTGACGTGTGGGCTAATGCAATCGATCTTTAAGTTCCAAGGCAGGGGCACTAATCCTAACTGGCTCAGTGACCCCGTTTCAAGATCAGCCATTTGAATTCCGTGAAAAGGTCCTACGGGATTGGGAAACCTCTAGGTTAAAGCCACTGCGTGCCACCTATCGGGCTCTGACGGGCATGGTCAAACGGGCATGGACTACGTTCAGCCCGACCTTGTGCCCGGTTCTTGGCTTTCCCCGGGTTCCAGTGCACGGGAAGCCTGCAGATAACTTCAAGTATGAATTTTTGCAGATTCCACCCGGTGCTCAACCCGAGATAATTGAGACGGACGTTGTCGTAGTGGGAAGCGGCTGTGGTGGTAGCGTCGCGGCCAAGAATCTGGCTGAAGCGGGTCATAAAGTCTTGGTCGTAGAGAAGTCTTACCACCACTCGACGAGGCATTTTCCCATGGCTTTTAACGAGGGATTTGTTAGCATGTTCGAGGCTGCCGCTGCCGTGGGGACTGATGATGGCTCTATGGGCATCTTTGCGGGCTCGGTGTGGGGAGGCGGTGGTACTGTGAACTGGTCCGCAAGCCTGCAAACCCAAGGCTACGTTCGTCAAGAATGGGCGAACCTTGGCCTTCCTTTCTTCACCTCATTGGAGTTCCAGAAGAGCCTGGATCGTGTCTGTGAGCGAATGGGCGTCAGCTCGGAACACACCCAGCACAATACGTCAAATCGTGTTCTCCTTGAAGGAGCGCGGAAACTAGGATACGCTGCGAGCCCTGTGCCTCAAAACACGGGAGGTGCTACACATTACTGTGGACACTGTACGTTGGGATGTCGCTCGGCAGAAAAGAAGGGTCCAACGGAGACCTTCCTGGTCGATGCGGCCAATGCAGGAGCCACGTTTGTGGAAGGATTCCGCGTGGACAAAGTCCTCTACACGGAGACGAAAGGTGGAAGAGTCGCCTCCGGGGTGGAAGGAATATGGACTTCCCGGGATGCACACCTAGGTCTCTCCGGTGTCGGTGCAACCAAGCGCAAGGTAATCATTAAAGCCAAGAAGGTGGTCGTCTCCTGTGGAAGTCTCCAAAGCCCTCTTCTCCTGTTGCGCAGTGGGATCAAGAACCCCCAAGTGGGCCGAAATCTCCGTCTTCATCCAGGTAAGTCTTGGTTATCGCAATCAGCTTTGCGCGGTCGGCTGACATGAAAGTTATGCAGTCGTCATAGGGGGTGCTGTCTTTGACGAGGAGATTCGGCCGTGGGAAGGAGGTGCTTTGACAGCCGTAGTCAATGAATTTGAAGATCAGGACGGCCACGGCCATGGTGTCAAAATTGAATGTCTAACGATGATTCCACCCGCATTCCTCCCTGCTTTCCCCTGGAGGGATGGGTTGGATTACAAGCTGTGGGCAGCTAAGCTACCGCGTATGACCGGCTTCATCACGCTCACCAAGGACAAGGGTAGCGGTCGAGTGTACCCTGATCCTGTCGATGGGCGATGCCGCGTCGACTATACCGTTTCTGCCGTTGACCGCAAGCACATAATTGAATCTCTAGTGGCCAGCGTGAAGATTGCCTATATTTCAGGGGCGAAGGAATTCCATACTTCGTGCCGCGAGATGCCACCCTTTATTCGGCCCGCAGAGGCAGCCGATCCAGAAGCAGCGGAGGGCACGAATAATGCCGCCCTTCAGGCATGGATCGCGGAATTGCGTCGCAAGACACTCGATCCGGAGCGGACACTGTTTGCGAGCGCTCACCAGATGGGCAGTTGTCGCATGGGACCATCATCCCGTTCCAGCGTCGTGGATCCCAATTGCCAGGTCTGGGGCACGCGTGGATTGTACGTCGTGGACGCGTCTGTGTTCCCCAGTGCCAGTGGTGTGAATCCCATGGTGACCAACATGGCGATTGCGGATTGGGCGAGTCAGAATATTGCCAAGTCTATGGACATGAGGGCTTCGAGAAGCGACGAGAGCCTGATGGCACGGCTTTGAGATAGCTGACAAGGATGACGATGGATATGACGGTGCAGATTACCCTTGTTGTGGTGTTTATATTGTAAATGTGTCTGTATACCCTAGTTTGTTGTAGGAGCGGTCCTCGTATTCTTACAACTGCGAATTCGTCTATTGTTCCCAGCGTGTTTGTGAAGTCTGTTTGTAGTGGATATTCTCGCTTCAGACGATGATATATATTTACTTTTTTCATGACTCGTATACCTCCTTTTCTTCTCTTACTTTGTTCCTTTCGACTCTTAAGAAGGAGGAGCCTCACGCTTCTCGATGTACTTCTTCTCGCCAAAAGCCTGCTTGACTCCTTCACTCTCGATCACTCGCTCATACCAGGAGATAACAGTGGGATACTTGGCGCGCATTTCCGCATCGATCGACATCGAAACGCCCCAGACCAGCGCCGCGGCCAATGTGATATCAGCGAGACTCAGCTCGTCGGTCGCCACCCACGTACGATCAGCCAGATGTTTCTCTAGATACGCCAGAGCCCTCTCCAGACGAGCCAACGACGCCGTCTCAATCGCCTCATTGTACGGGTGCAGCTTGACGCGCCATAAAGCTAACTTCATCACTGGTTCCAGAACCTCACCGTCCGCGAACGCAATCCACTGTCGGATTTGCGCACGCTTCGTCGTTGTGGATCCTAGCAATTGACCGGCCAAAGGTCCACTCTCCGCCACGTACTGCGTGATCGCATCCGACTCGACCAGCTTCACGCCATCGGGGGTCTCGAAGGCGGGTACCTTGCCCAGTGGGAACTTCGCCAGGAACTCCGGGCTGCGGTTCGTTTGGCCCATTGCGAAATCGGCCATGGCGAGTTCTAGACCGTTGAGGTTGGCGGAGGCTTGGATCTGTTGAGGTTAGAATATTCCTTGTTTTGAGCTGGGATGGGATCGGCTATTCCGAGATGGATCAAGTGACGGACCTTCATGACCCGTGGGTTGTTGGGATAGCTGTAGATGGTGCCGAAGGGGGCCATTTTGATTTCTTGTCTTTTGTCGTGGGAATAGGATTGGATGAGATGAGATGATGGTTAGAGTCGAAGAAGTGAGGGTGAGGGGGTTATGAAGATGAGTTCGAGGTATTCTCTCTCCCGATCGATCGATCTGATTAAATACCTGGCACAGGAGTCCTGTGTCACTCGCCAAGAGGCACCGAGGTTTCTTTCCGCCCTGTAGGATCGGGTTATTAAGGATACGACTGTGTGATTACAAATGCGGTTGATCCACTGCGGGGAGGTGGAAAGGGAAAGGGAAGGAGATCGGCGACATTCTATATGTACTGTAAAATCTTGTAGTCGTCCATGTTTGAATGCCAGTAACTTCTGCCGAGGTGTCTCGAGTAAATCTAATTTGGACCTAGTCATGATAGTTATCCGATGGAAAATGATCTGCTCCAGTAAGCTATGGTCTATGGTCTATCCTGGCCTGGTCAGATTCATCATGTCTGGGTCTGATGTCGCAAAGGAAGGATTTAGGGCTGATCTCTATAGTTGTATTATTATTTAAATTTGAGACTCTGCAAGTCGTAGGGATTTTCAGAACTCTATCGTGGGTATGGAAAGCCCCGTGATGGTGTCAAACCAAGTGGACACATTCGGAAGAATTTCGGAGTATACTAATCCATGGATAGGTGAGTGATATAAAATAAATACCTTGAACTTTAGGCTGCTGTTGTTATTGCTGCGAGATCGATATTCATGTTCTGATTTAAGATTGCATCTTAATTAATAAACTAGAATAAAATGAAAGGATCAATAACCCTCTGGCTACACCATTATCCATCGTAGACATACTTCCATGGGGTCGGGTCTCCAGTCTTTCCAAAGGCTATCAAACAGTTGTGACTCCAAACGTCTCTGTCGGAAATCAATATTCTCACTATCTTTCCATCCCTGTTGATATGCATAATAGTCTCGTGCAGCCACTCGATGTGTCATTCTGTGACGCAACTTGATATTGTTTTCCTTGAGGAAATCGTCGGCACCTTGCTCAGATGTGGCACGGAACAGAACCAACCAGCTGCGTCTCTGATTCCCAAGGAGAACTTTGCATGTTCTCGCTCTTGATAAATGTCGAGGTTTTTGGCGATCTTGTTGACGGTTGCGTTGGCATTGACGTTCATGGTTCATTGGAGGTAGGAATGTGGTGTTATTTATATCGCCTGTGAGATCGATCACGCTCTCGTCAGTCTCGTTGAAATCGGATTTTGCTGGTACCTGAGTCGATATCCATGGGCTCTGGAGGTTGCCGTAGTTGATATCCATGGGTTCCAGGGAGTTAAGGAAGTCTCCACGATTACTATCTCCATCACTGGAGTCATCGTTCCCGGCCTCTCCGTCAATCGAAGGTAGGTTAGAGAGTCTCTCCAGCTCACGATGGCGCTCAAATGGCCTCTTCACGTTCCCGACTAGCGATCATATCCAGCTCCTTCCGTCTTACGTCTTCGACCTCTCTCCTTTTCTCACGGACAGCCATGGCGACAAGTCGATCCGCAACCCCAATTTGATAACTGAACGTGGCAGTGCCACCCTTGTAAGACATGTCCAGTCCAGACTCGACATGTCAAACCCAACCGCCGCTGCGACGGTGTTTTCAGCGATGCCAAAAAAGGTCCATGATATGGCGTATAGCCGACTGACGGAGAAATATTTGCTATCGAAGAAGGTACACATCACCCTCGGTATTTTTCGGACAAAGGTCTCGTTCACGGCACGCTTGAATCAGTCCTTCGTATTTGTAATAAATACCACGCTTCTTCCTCCATACTGCGCTTTGCTTCCGATATCTCAGATCCGCATGGGCGACGTTATATTGGCTCATTAGCTTCTGGGCCACGAAAAAGGCGATCTTGGCTTCTGACTCCGTCGTCGTCTCATGGCCGGTTTTGTTCTGATAGCCCTCGATTCTGTCCAGAATATCTTTATCAACAATATCGAACTTGGACTTATCTTGAGCTAGTTCTTCCACTGTTGCCTTCTGGATGTTGTTTCTTTGATGATCCGAAAAGGTGAAGTATTGTATAGACTTATCACCTATCTTCTCGAGCATCCCCTGTTTTTGACAATGGCAATCGACAAGAACGATATTCAGGTTCCAATTAATGCCAACATCGACTACATTGATAATAACGTCCGCTGGTGGGTCGGTGCGGAGGGAGGACATATGTCCCGAGGTGTGCCACTGCCTTTGATCCGGTTTTGTGGCCACACCACTGGTAGGGCTAGTGTACCTACAGCTATATCCATTCTCCCTTGCTGAAATTATCATGCCCAGTTATATTCACTGACTCTGGGTGGTATGGCAAGAACTGAACCAGATAAGTGGTTCGAAAAATGCGGTCAGGGGAGTGCCAAAACGGCCCTGCGACCATTTTATAGAGCCGAACAAGGCATTATTTAGATGCCAGAGGATACCCGCGACTTTCAAAAATTAGGCTATACTTACTCTGAACTACAGCCGTGGCAGTCCCAGTATCCATTCAATGGCGGGTTTAATGCAGATGCGGACAGGACTTGGCTTTTGCCCTAAGTATGGGGTTTCTCTTTTAGAGGGGCTCTTCATGTTAGAGGGGGTGAGAACGGGATAGGGAAGCCTCTGCCTGAGGGCACGAGAGAGATTGACGGAGGCGTTGCTGGGAATGACTTTGCTCTTAACATTCGCTACTCTAAGTTTCGCGTTCATGTTATATCCTTATGCCTGGCTAACGGGGGCAGATTTGCTTTTGGGGGGCACCCCTTCAATATCAAGATTTTCCTTAAACCAGCAGATGGTAGTGGGCGCCACTTTACGCCTGAAGAACATGTGACCAATATCTACAACTTTTGTAGCCCGGGAGTGGTTAACGACATCGAATTTGCACCAATTGCGCCTTTCCCAGAGGCAAGATGTGCAGGTAACTGTATATCTCCCCGTCGCTTCAATTTTATTCCAGATGGTTGAGGGTGAGAGGCTGAGGTCGCTCAGTAAGAAAGACATTGAGGATGTAATGAAGGGGCTATATTGGCGAGTTACTAAGGGTAGTTAATCTAACATCTCTATGTGAATGACCTTCTTGGGACTTAAAAACTAGGTCAAACATCTAGGCGGGCCAACTAATACCAGAGGAACAATGGGGAAGACTGGACCTTCAAATTCTTGCATCGATGAGTGAAATGAACTACACAAGGATCCTAGCAGCCCCTCGAAGCTGGATAAAGAGCCTGAGGTACTTCCGAGTCTTGGAGTGTTACCTACGTCAGAAGGACCAGAAACACCGTATGATCCTGCAGTCCAGAAGTTCTGCAGGAGCCAGTGCGAGGAGACTCTGCTAGGCCTCCTTGTATGTTCCCCATATATCATAATAAAAGCTTCGCTTACGCCTCTTGTATACGCCTCGGGCTACCAATGAAGCTCGTCACCGAAATTTCATCTGGCGGCTCCATCATTCTGGACTCTTCCTTCTTGGATTTAAGCAAACCTGGCTCCCGGAATCTAATCGTATTCTACTTATACATTTTGACGGGAGTACCGGAACACTCCAAATCGATAATTGATGTTCTTGTGAGCGTCAACATTATTCGCAGGATTTGTAGAATCTAGATCCAGAGCAAACAGGCCAACAGTGGCTGGCAGTCCATGAAGATGCTCAATTTCTCAGACTGGTTCCAAGCATCATCGATCCTTCAACTTAGCGTCTACATCCATGACAGTACCTATGAGCTTTTCCTGAATGGTAATCATATAGGGGTGCCGCAAGGATATGGAAATAAGAACGTTGCACATGTTCAATATGAGGTATCGAAAGAGCCATTTGCACTTTTGCCGGAGTTGAGAATCACAACGCACACGACATAGTGTGTTAGATGTGATTTCTCAAAGTCAGGAAGCCAAGCTCTTAAAGATTGACTATTTTATGAAAAGAAAATAGGGAGCATGACGGTGCATGTGTAAGATAAGATATTACTGCACGAAGAATGTTTGGCATCTACAGTAATTAAAGATCTGAAGCTTAAGTACTGTGAATATTAGTTCAGGACACAAGTCAGTCGCGCGTGGGTGGACCTGGCGCAAATAGCCTAACTGGCTCTATTTTTGTTTTAAACCTGTTCCGGCCACAACTATCTACAAAGTAGCAAATCTAACTTTGATGATCTGCCCCTATTTAGTTTCAAAACCGGTTTGATATTTAGTTATATTCTATACTATTCCAATAAACTAAAATAAAATTACCCAGTTGAACATAATTTATAATGTACAACACTACTATTACTACAAGTTGTGCTGAAGCAATGTCTTGACTTGCTTGGTAACACGTGATGGCAGCAAAACATCAACTTCTTCTCTATCGTTCCCACCACTTCCATTCTTTTCTCATTCACATCTTCTCGTCCTCCATCTCCTCGCACTCCTATCCTACTCGGACTTGTGCCCATGCTCGATATACTTGAATAATTTAACGGCAATATGCCGAATGTCAAAGTAACCGAAAGTTCTAATCGGCCCTGTGATCAGTGCCGTCAGCGCAAATCCCGGTGTGTCCGCGAAGTCGGCACAACCAAATGTGTTCTATGCAATTTCCAAAACCGTGATTGCACATTTCTCCATGGCCCACGGCCGCGCAAACGCAAGAATAGCCAGCCATCCCCAACACTAAGAAATGTGGAATCAGAGTACGCACCTTTACCACTCCAGCGGTGCGTAGTGATATCTAGGCTAATATACCGTCAGATCGCTCTCCCCGTCATCTTCAATGACTTCTCCAGCACGATCAATGCAGGAGACGACAGCCCCGTCCCTTTTGGATGGGTCCTTGGGTCTGGAATTGCACCTGCATTCGGAATACATTGGGCCCACAAGTTATCACGAACCATCTTTGCTCGACCTGAGGCCGTCAGCACTGCATCCGCTCGGAAAACACGAGTGCCGTCCACGACGGGTTGATGAATCCACCGCCTTTATTACCTACCCGGATGAGGATTCGGCTTCCGAAATTCAGCGTATGTCCGATCTAGATAAGATCGAAGCAACCATCCAACCACTAGGCTCAATCCTAGTGAAACTGTATTTCCATATTGTACATCCTACCTTTCCGATCCTTCATAAGGAAGTTTTCCTCGAGAAATATGCTAGGTCCTATCATGAATTCTCGCCGCCACTTCTGGCCGGCGTGTACTTGTTGGCATTGGACTGGCAACTGTTCGATCGAGCTTTGGTGACAGCATCCAGAATACCCGATGCGGCTACGCTTGAGAGTCTAGCTATGCGAGCGATGGAGGATGACCTAAAGAGACCGAAGCTGTCAACTCTACAAGCCGGCCTGCTGCTCTTGCAGCGCGTTCGACGTACACATAACACCCTACTGGCGCAACTAGTGGCCCTGGGCCAAACGTTGGGCATTCACGTCGATTGCAGCGACTGGGCTATTCCGGAATGGGAGAAGGGGTTGCGACGGCGTTTGGCATGGGCCCTGTACATGCAGGACAAGTGGGGCATGCTTGTCCATGGCAGACCGTCCCTTATTCCTGACTGGGTATCTTCAAATAGTGAGAGTATCTGCAATCATGATTGGGATGTTCGTCCGTGTACCTTGGAAGACTTTCCAGAGGCAGTCGTCAATGAAGATGACAGATCCCATGGCAGTGTCGATGCGGAGACAGGCCGTGCATCATTTCTAAAATCTATCGAGCTTGCTAAGATTTTCAGCCAGATACATTCTACACTGTGCTCTGTAGGAGTCACCAAGAAAGGGGGCAAGTTGGACCGCATAGGTGCAGCGGGGGCGATGGCACTTGCGACCCCTCTTGCGCAAAGACTCCAACAGTGGTATACGGTGTTACCAGACGGCCTCAAATTAGAGACTACGGCCCATGTGCGGAGATTGTCTGCTACCGGGGCTTTACATATTTCGTACATGGCAGCAGAGTTGACCATCCATCGTGCTCTGCTGCGGGCTCTTAAACCGGACACTCCACCCAGTCTCCGCTCCACCATACGCACTGCTGCTCGTGCGCGTCTTTTGTCCGCCATGAGCCTTATTGAGGCTCTTCAACCTGAACATACGCAGTCATTCTGGGGGTTTGCTGCGTCGGCACAAATGGCAATGATAGGATCTTTCGCTGGCCTACTTTGGGCCACCAGTGCCGAAGTTGACGAGGCCATCGAGTACGTGAATCAGCTAGAAAGACTACGTTGGGCTTTACAAGTACGCGGATCAGCTGTTCCGTGTGTACGTGAGGCCTTGCGCCTACTTGACGAAGAGGTTGGTGACATTGCAGCAGTCAAAGCTGCTACATACCAAGATTTGGCATGAAGTTTGCAATCCTAGAACACTGCTACTTATCTCACAGTTCAGTAAACATAGCTTGAGGAGAATGGTATGCACAAAAACTGATGCATATTAGTATCGGCTTGTCTTTTGCGCTTGGTTTCAACCTTGCTGCCATCATCAACTCCAATGAAGAACTTCTGCTTATGGCGAGATATTTACCAGCCAGCTCAGTCGGATGCTTATTAAAGTCTAACTACTCGCGGTGCTTTTATACGACACCAATACTAGAGCTTTATTCTCTATAAATGATTATATTATCGTACTATCTACTCTATTATGGCAATATCATCAGTTGGTCTAATGATTTCTCCCTGTTGAACCAGCAACCGTGTACACCTCCCGCTGACTGGTGAACAAATCTTTACTTCCATCTTGTTGGATTCAATCCAGATCTGAAAACCGTCAGTAGTGCTATATAGGTGGGAGGTTAAAGGAGCTCACCAGGGCATCGCCTTCTTGAACGTCATCACCTTCCTGGACAGCACATCGAAAACATCTCCCGGGCAGTTGTGCCTTAACGCACTGTCCAAGGACCGCTTCAGTATTTTCTCGAGGCTCGGATGGCATCAACGAGACTGCATCGCAAGGATTTAGCAGCTCTTCCAAGAAGCTCGCTTGTTGCAAGACATTTTTCCGACGCTCACAAACAGCGTTGATGTCTGAGCTGTTGCTATTCAGCCATTGCTCATATTCATCAACATCCAACTCAGTTGGGATGACTTTAATGAGGTCATGGTATGTCCGTTTCTCTATACAGGAGTTGAGCTCAATCTCCGAAACCGGATAGAATGTGATTTGGTCCAGAAGCGAGAACAGCCACGGTTTCCCTTGTGTCCCTTGCTCTCCAAATCCTGACGTCTTGAACTCATTCCATATCGGGAGAGTACGGCCAACTAGTTGGTACCCGCCGGGAGAATCTGTTGCATAGATGCAGAGATATTGACCTGCAATTCCTACTGCACCACGCGGCGTAAAAGATCTCGAGGGGTTGTATTTTGTCCCAAAAAGCCTGTGTCGTGGATCAAGAGGAATTGCACATGGGGAGCCGAGATACACATCTCCCAGTCCGAGAACCAGAAAGGTACCTGAATAAAGAGGTTCTGATACCTGATCTGGGGTGTCAAGCCCGTTCAGCTCTTGCAGGAAATCGATGTTGCTTGGAAGATAGGGAGCGGATGATCGTATTGTTGATGCATATCGAGAGATGGCTTTGCGGCTCAACTCGTCGTCAAAAACGAGAGGCAAATGGATAGTACGCGAGGGCAGACGAGATGGAATATGTCCTAAGGATTTCTCATGGGAAACCAGCGCGTCTAGAAGATGGGGCAGTGAAGTCCCTGATTCGAAGCGAATATGTAGGCTTCGCACTCCAGGTGTGAGCTCCTGCACCCCAGGAATAGGAGTATCGATGTGTCTGTTGATGAAGCTCAAGATATGAAAGGTCTGGCGCATATTAAATCCATCCTCGTCGCCAAAGTCCAGAATCAGTGCGCGATCACCTGCCTGGCGACACAATATGCGACGACCAGCCTCCCGAATATCTTTAACAACTGGACTCGGCACGCTTTTGGCATTCCCACCTGCCCGGCGATTATCTGGCAGTGGTTCCAGATTCTGGATGGACTGCTCCAAGTCCATTGTTAAGTTTTGCGCTTCTTCAACAGAGATAAGACTGAACTGAAGATAGTCTCCCGGCCTCATCTGTCCTAATTTCCACATCTCGGCTTCGACAACGACGGCAAAAACAACAAAACCCCCAAGGCTTGGTCCATCGGCAGTCAATATCACGGCCTCGTCACCCGTAAAACTGACGCTACCAATAGAATATGGACTGTCGTGGATATTGGATGGATGCAGTCCAGCTTCTCCACCTGTTGAACGAGCCCATTCGGGCTTAGGGCCGTTGAGTCGGATTCCCATTCGATTACTATTATAATGAACTGTCCATTCGCTTGTCAGCAAATCCAACAACCCAGATTGGGTGAAGTAGTCCGGACTGCTATGTGGGCCTGGAGTAACAGCTACTTTCCACTTTCGTGTCTCCCGGGCTGGTAGTGGTGGAGCTGGAGCCTCACGAGAGAAGAGGGCTTCATCGTCACAAACATTTGCAACCAAAGGGAGAAGATCTCCAGCTCGAAGGTTGCGGCCATTGTGTCCTCCCACATGGCCACATGCGAAGGTCGCCCGACTCCCCATGACCAATGGAACCTGAATACCGCCCCGAACTGCAAGATAGGCTCTAGCCCCGTTTGTGGCTGTTCCGATTTCTAGCCGCTGTCCGGGGTGGAGAAGAATTGCTCGACGGCTTTCGGCCTGCATTCCATCGATGTATAGTGGCATATCGGCGCCTACTAGAGCGACGATGCTCGCACAATGAAATATCAGGTTTGGGCCTTGAATAGAGCACTCTATCGCTGCAGCGGTCGCATCATTTCCAACCAAACGATTAGCCAGCCGGAAAGAATAGCTGTCCATTGGCCCAGATGGAGGTATCCCAACATGCCAGAGACCATCACGACCCGGAAAATCCTGCACGGATGTCAGAGATCCAGGTTCAATAACCTCAACAGCAGCTGATTCATAGATAAACCAGTCTAACGACCTGGTAGAGAAGCTACCCGACTGAAAAATTTCGGAGGAAATGATTTGCTGGAGGTACGCAATATTTGTCTCCACTCCAGTGATGGCTGTCTTCGATAGTGCGTCTGCTAACTTTTTAATGGCTGACGGGCGATCCGCAGCATGGACAATGACTTTTGCAATAAGTGGATCATATGAGCTAGAGAGTTGGATTCCAGTTTCTACCCAGGTATCAACACGGACATCGGAGGGGAATTTAACGTCCAGGAGCGTGCCCGGAGAGGGCCGAAAATCTTGAAGGGGGCTTTCGGCGTAGATTCGAACCTCAATAGCAGCGCCGGTGACGGACAAGTCACTGGCTGTCTTCTCGAACAACGCCTCACAATCACCCATCGCAATAGACACCATGCACTTAACAAGATCCAGTCCTGTAACGGCTTCTGTGACGGGGTGCTCTACTTGTAGACGGGTGTTCATTTCCAGAAAGTAGAACTTCTGCGTGTCAACATCAAAGATAAACTCCACTGTGCCAACATTGCGATACTCAACTGTGGATGCCAATGATGCAGCCGCTCGACGCATCTCCGATCGGGTCTCCAGTGACACAAAAGCGGCTGGACTTTCTTCTACAACCTTCTGATTTCGCCGCTGGAGTGAACAGTCGCGTTCCCCGGCACAGAGCACACGGCCGGCACCGTCGCCGAGAACCTGCACCTCAATGTGCCGTGCATTTTTGATGAAATGCTCGATGAAAACACCTTCCTCGCCGAAGTTGGCTTGACCGAGCTGCCGGACACCATCAAATGCCTCCCGTAATGCGTCGGCATTGTCACACCGATGGAGGCCGATCCCACCGCCGCCGGCCGTGCTCTTTACCATCACTGGATATCCGATACGATCCGCTTCTTCGAGAGCTGTATCTAGACTAGACACCAGATCTTCACTACCAGGTACCACTGGCACTCCGGCGGCAATCGCGATTTCTCGAGCTCGATGCTTTAGCCCTAATGCACGCATCTGCTCGGGCGTTGGCCCGATCCAAACAAGCCCGGCGGCCTCCACCGCCGCCGCAAAGTCGGCATTTTCTGCAAGGAAGCCGTATCCTGGAATCACGGCGTGCGCCTCGGCCCGGCTGGCCAGCTGCATTATCTGATCGCCATTCAGATAGGTCTCCGCCACAGTATGCCCCTCTAGTGGTAGGGCAATATCCGCCGCTGTCACATGCGGTGAGCATGAGTCGGCTGTGGCGTAGATGGCCACCGAGACAAGGTCCATCTTTCTCAGGGTTCGAATAATGCGCATGGCAATTTCTCCACGGTTAGCCACAAGCACTCTGGTGATTGGCTGGGTTCCAACGCTACTCGGCGGCGAAGACAAGGTTGGGGATGAACATGAAGTTGAGGATGTTTGGTCGCTGATATAGGCGCGCCAGCCGCCAAATTCGCTGATATTCTTTGCATTCTCCAGGCCTGCTGGCTCGCAAAGAAATCCGTGGACCCAGCAACCATCCTCGAGCTCTATCGACCCGATTCCTAATGGTGCTCTGACTGTTTCCAGAAAACTTCCCATTTCCGACCGTGGCATGTCCCAGACCTCTACCTCTATGCGTTGCCCCCCTTCTGTGACACGTTTCAGCCCCGGCTTTAATGGGGGAAATGTCGTTTGCAGCGCATATAGTTGGTAAGTTGGCGCGGTGGTCGTCACGCTGGTCAGGGTTGCCCCTCTCTTGACCAGGTCACCGTTCAAAGGGAAGCCGGAGAGATGTGCGCCTACGACCGCCAAGGGCATGGTGTCTCTGACCCCTGAAAGAGATCGGTGTTCGGATTCTTGATGTTGTATGTCAGTTGCACCCAGCCGGCGTGTCGTACCAGAGAGCCATCGATGGCCGAGTTCCAGTAGGCGCGGCTCCTCCCACGGTCCTGCGATCATGGTTATGCCAAATGGCAAGCCGTCGTCCCGCCAGCCAGCTGGTATGGCAAGAGCTGTCCAGTCCATGAAGTTGACAAAGTTGGTATAGACTCCCAAACGACTATTCTCCACGATCGGGTCTTTTGCCACTTCCTGTATCGTGGGAAATGTAGGGGAAGTGGGCACCAAAAGTGCGTCGTAACGCCCGAATGCTTTCTCGATTTCTCGGCGTAGCGCCTGTCGACGGTATTCATATTTGAAACCGTCAGACGCTGTGAAATTGTCGGCTTGGAGAATGATCTTTCTGACAACGGGGTCCATCGCCTCGGCCGGTGATGCACGGATGAACTCTTCGATGGCGGCATATCGTTCCGCAACCCATGGGCCTTCGTATAATAAGCTGGCCATGTTGAACAGCAACGTGAAATCAACTTCCTCGCATGTCCACCCCAGCCGTCCGGCTCTTTCCAATGCTTTTTGGTATGCCGCGGCATGCTCAGTGCCACCAAACCACTGAGGGCTAGCACAGATAGCGAGTACCGGTTCTGTGGGCAGTTCCCGGAGGGACTTACATGCGAGGGCCTCGTCTCGTGTCCGCGAGTATGAATCTGCACTATCGTATCCAGCAGATAGGTCAAGAAGCAATTCGGTATCATCCACTGTCAACGCAAAGATGGACACACAGTCCAGGGATCGACAAGCTGGGACCACGCCATGCGTACTCAGCATACCTCTAGTTGGTTTCAATCCAATCACATTATTCAATCCTGCTGGAACCCGACCAGAGCCCGCCGTATCAGTTCCCAGCGCAAACGGCACAATTCCCTTGCTCACCACCACAGCACTGCCTGAGCTACTACCACCGCTGACTCGAAGGGGGTCAAAGGCATTGCTGACCGCCCCGTATGGCGATCGAGTTCCCACAAGCCCGGTCGCAAACTGATCCAAATTCGTCTTCCCGATCAAAATAGCCCCCTGGGCCTTAAGCCGTGCAACAACAGTCGCATCTGACTTTGCTGGCTCGGTAGAAAACGACGGACAAGCCGCAGTGGTTCGGAATTCTACAGCATCGATGTTATCCTTCGCGGCGAAAGGGACGCCAAAAAGCGGAAGATCTTCTCCCTGGGCTCGGAGAGCCGACACCTGATCCCATTGTTCACAGATCTGGGCCGGATCTGCTAGTGATATCCACGCCTTAGATGTTTCGTTGTCTCGTTGTGCCGTTTCAAGAAGAGCTAGCAGTCGATCCGGCCCTGCTGCTCTCTCCTGGATTCTTCGCCATTCTGCTATTGTAAGGGGTGATTCACCCGGGATAATTCCTTGCTGTACCATTGAAAAGACGAGAATATAATATGGCCAATAGTATGAATAACGGAATAGAGTTGATATATATCTAGGTAATAAATAGTATGAGATTACTCGAGCTCCCAGGACAGAACGAACAGAGTAGAGTACAGTAGATATGACAATATTTCAACAGTCCTTTCTATATATACAGTATATGGCAATCCATGCTGGGAATGTAGCAGTCAGACTTGACTTGGGGATGTCATTCTCATTGGAAATTGATTAGAGCTCGTATCTTATCACCGGCCACATCCCCTCGCATCGCCGCCGTCGCCTGGCCATCGGCCCGTCCTTTTTCGCCCGCCGACGGGCTATCGATAGATTCCGTACACTAATCTACTCCTATAACTAGTTAACTAAATATTCCTTATTATTAATGAGTTCAGTGTCCGAGAAACAGGATTTAGAAAATAGTATTCATACTTATTACGGTTGTTTAACTGAAGAATTGGATGGAATAACCGACGTAAAAAAAATCTATATTTATCAGTATTCTTGAATACTTGCTTGTGTATTAATGGACAATCTATGTATATACTTCCTAAATATCTATACAAATAAACTATGTACTTTATCATACTTGTATAGCTATATGACATATTTATGAATTATCGCAAAGAAGTGTATTCTACCAGATTAGTAGGATACAATCGTGGAATTTAATAAAATCTACGTAGGATATGAGTTATCGTTTCGTACTGGCGAATTATTTGAAAGTTGCAGCGAAAATATCCAAGTGCTTAAATCAAGGATAAGGCATCTATTCTGAGATTAGTAGGAGATATATTAAGCTAAGTATCAAATACGCTAGAGCTGGTCGCTTATATCTCACTGTTATGTACTGCAATCGAGTAAATATCTTTTCTTACTCCGGCCTCGGGGGCCGGGGGGGCTCGAACAGCAGTGGGGTAATTAGACCGTTCACATGTGCTATGAGACGGCCATTTCGCGCCCGACAAACTAACGTTTTCAACGGCCGAGTGGCGAACTTATCTCATATTTTTCAATGATTTCTTCAACCACCTATTAATAAATTCAACAATCTAGAAGTAGAAACACATAACTGCTTATTAATTTAACTTCTAGTAACTAGTATATAAAAAATACCCCAGCCACTATAGTGTGGTGAAGTATGCTAAATAGAACTGTTTCTGCCCTAAAGACTGCCGCTCTTACAGCCTCCCACTCTTGTTTAAGAAACTCCGAGTTTTACCGAATATTTACAACACAAAGTTCATATTTTCCAGAACTGTATGATTTCTTGCCTTCTTCTTAGTCTGCTAGCGCTTCTAGATTTGAAAAACATGTGAAAAATGTGCCGCTCGGCCGTTGGATACGTTAGGATTTTCCACGTTGATGTAAGCTCAACCATACCTGTTTGATCCGATAGCAGCATTTTTCTTCGACGGATATTATAGCTGTCTGATTTTGGCTTTGCATACATTTTTGGCATTGAACCCGGTTGATCTTGAATGTTCTGGTTCGGCGACAGCCCTAATAAGCGGACCGTAGATCTACCGTTCAATACACATGTTGTTAACACGGGTTACCATGGAACGCAGTGGATCTGGATGACTAGTCGGCCGGCCGACGTAGTAAAGCCAATGCTGAAGACTCTCGGTCATCGGCCATCGGCATTCTCTACGATGGCCGAACTATATCGTTTGAAGAAACCCCCCCCAAAAAAAACTGATTTCTGGAAAGAACTACTGGGTCTGTATGAGCCAATCCATCAATCAGGTTCGGTCTCTAGAAGTGTGCCCAACATGGCATTGTCCCAAAGTGAGATCCACCAGGCAAGTTATAAGGTCCGTGTTCCTATATTTTCTAGTCAAGACTCAAAAACTTCAACTCATCCTTACCAGTTCTCATACTGCACATCATGCATATGGTACCCGAAGTCGACAATTCGAGGACGTATCCAGAGGGCGGCCTCAATGCGAACCTTGTGGTCCTAGGCAGCTTCAGCGCTATCACCGGCGGCTTAGGATTGATGAACAGTATTGGCATATATCAGGCCTGGATTTCAACACACCAACTTGCCTCACTAAGTGAAGGGCAAATAGGATGGATTTTTGGAATATATAATTTCCTGGTATTCTTCTGCGGAATCCAAATTGGACCCGTTTTCGACGCCAAAGGACCCCGTTTGCTGATGTGGATAGGATCCGCTCTGATCGTCCTCGCATTTATCCTTATGGGATTCTGTCGCGAGTATTGGCATTTCATCGTGGTAATAGGGATCATCGGAGGCATGGGAACGTCCTTCATTTTTATAGTCCCCGTGGCAAGCATTGGCCATTTCTTCTTCCATCGACGAGGAACTGCCACAGGTTTGGCCATGTGCGGAGGCAGCGTCGGCGGAGTTATATTTCCCTTAATACTGGAGAATCTATCACCTCGCCTGGGATTCGCCTGGGCCACTCGAATCGTCGGTCTAATCACCTTGGTCCTGCTGGTCATTGGATGTCTACTTGTCAAAACTCGGCTTCCTCCTAAACCAGCTCCATCGGCCAGAGTCCTTCTTCCGAATCTAACCATCCTCAAGGACCCCCTCTTGGCCTTGACTACATTAGGCGTGTTCTTCATCGAATGGGGATTTTTCATCCCCCTCGAGTACATTGCATCTTACTCCCTGGCAAACGGAATCTCTCGCAGGATGGCTTATCTGATGGTCGTATTTCTCAATGCTGGCTCCTTCCCCGGTCGCTGGCTTCCAGGCATTATCGCTGACAAACTCGGTCGTTTCAACACCTTGATCTTCACTAATATCGTCTGCTTGGTTGCGATACTAGGCGTGTGGATGCCAGCGAACGGGAATCTTATCGCGGTTGTGATCTTCTCGGTGGTATTCGGTTTTGGCAGTGGAAGTAACTTAAGTCTGGTTCCAGTGTGTGTGGGCGAATTGTGTCCCACGGAGGAGTATGGGAGGTTTTATACCACGGTGTATACAATCGTGAGTCTAGGGTAAGTTCGTTCGTTTCTCCGTTCGAATACATGCTGTGAGATAAAGCTAACCGTAAGTAGAGCATTAACAGGCGTTCCTATTGCGGGAGAAATCATCAACAACAGTCAAGGAAAGTACTGGGGATTGATTGCATTTGCAGGTGGTGCCTATGCAGCAGGTTTGGCATGTTTTGTCGCGGTGAAGTTCTTGCAACAGCGGAAGACTAAAAAAAGCGACAGTGAAAGCTCAGGATATGGACTGTGATAGAGATAGAAGTAATGTGTAAAGTAGTAGACAAAAAGTGGAAATTCTACGAAAAAACTCATCAAGTGATATCCTCCTTCCACTTTGGGAACTTGTGTGTCCCTTGGCTACATCTCTATCCATAGCAGGACTAATGCCAAAGCGCGAAACTTTGTCATCCAAGCTAGCAAGCAAACCCATGGCAAAATAGCCAGATAGAGCTCGCAGACAGTGAGCAGGATGCCGTCGGAATGGAGACAAGCAGTAAGGATAAATGCAAGGGGCAGGAGAGGTGGAGCCTGAGATTCCGCGACCACGTAAGAAAAGGCAAGATCTGCTTTTGCTACCGCATTAGTTCTGCGAGGCTTGATTGCTCAAATAGAATTAGTATTCCGCTCTATTGGTCTGGTCAATTCTAAGTAGGGATCTAGTTAGGCAAGTCGTTGATTGATCCTGATACTACGCCATTGTAGGGTTCAAGGCGCAATCGTATGAGCAATGATGGCATGTGCCGTTCTTATACTCTGTGGCTATTCTCTGTTATTTTTCTATTCTCTGAGCATGGTCCAAGTCGGTAACAGATCTCTGTGATCTGTCAATGCAAGGTTCTTGTTATTGAAACTCCGAGGTCTTACCCCTGAAGAATATGACATAGACACTCCTCTAGACCATTCCAAAAATTCTAACTAGCTAATGTCAATCATGTAGACTTATTATCTGTCAAAGTTTGTGCCTTGGAATAGATGTTGTAGTAATATGGATGGCGGTTAATCAAGGGGTGCATGAGGGATGCATACCGTATGTTGGGACACGACGATCAAGTTAACGCAAATAGGTAGAGCCATCCCTTTCTTTCTTTCTTTGGCTGGCTCGAGAGCTCATTGACTACGTAATATGGATAACATATCTGGTATAATTAGGAAAAAGCAATGGCCGTCCTGGCTCGCTGGAAGGGATTCGCAGGCGTATCTTAACTAAGGGACAATATTTACCGACCGTGGTTGGACCACTGCTGGCGGATTCTAATCCAGAATGGACGAAGAAAAGCAGATAAATTCTTCCGCAGAAGTCGGAAGCCACGATGATGTGAAGGTCGCTGTGGGCTGGAAAGGCGATGATGATCCGTGCCATCCTCATAACTGGTCGAAGTTTCGCAAGTGGTTCATCATCAGCCTCACGTCTCTGGCATGCTTTAATAGGTATGAAAGAAACCATATCAAACTACAACCCGTGCTAAATGTGTCCAGCGCGATTGTATCTACCATATTTGCTCCTGGTGTCCCGGATGTTCTCAATGAGTTTAACTCATCCGACGACGCTCTGGCATCTTTCATGGTGACGGTCTATCTTATAGGCTCGGTGATAGGACCGCTAATCTTGCCCCCTATCAGTGAATGCTATGGCCGATTATTGATTACCCATATATCCAATATTGGATTCTTCTTTTCATCGATCCTTTGCGCCTCTGCAGTCAACATGCCCATGCTTATTGTTGCACGGTTCCTCATGGGCATTGCTGCATCAATCCCTAGTACTGTTGGAGGCGGCATTATTGCTGATTTGATGGTTGTTGAGGAGCGCGGTACCGCCTTGACTATCTGGACGATTGGGAACTCGCTTGTAGGTCAAATCACTCTCGACAGAATATCATAGGAACTGGTGTTGACATCTGCCTAGAGTCAAGTTCTTGGTACGGAGAATTATCATTCCGTGGCTTATTTTTAGATCCACAGGCTCATGAAGTCATGCAGGGCCTATTTTCGGAGGATACATAATTTATGGAGCCGGATGGCGCTGGACAGTATGGGTCATAGTGATTATCGTATGCGACTCATCGGCCTCAATGACTATCGTAACAGAGCTAACGCAATCAGGGTGGTGTGGTTATGGTCTTTGCCCTTCTTTTCCAAAGAGAGTCACATGGGCCTACACTTCTTCGACGCGAGGCAATGCGACTTCAGACACTCACGGGTGTTCCGCACCGAGCAAGAACCGACGACGGCCAACCCGCGAACAAGAGAATTAAACGAGCCATTACGCGACCACTCCGAATGTTGATTCAGGCTCCAATAATCAGCATCGCGTCGTGCTACAACTCCGTTTCTTACACTTACATGTACATCTGCATCACGAGCTTCACGCAGGTGTTTGAATCCACGTATGGGTTCAACGCCAGTAACGCAGGACTGGCATATGTCGGACTTGGGCTTGGATCCTGTCTTGCGCAGTTAACAGTGGCGTCTCTCTCAGATCGATATATTCAGCTTCGCAAAAGTCTGAACAAGTCCGTTAAGCCTGAGAACAGACTCTTCACTCTTGTCGCGGGAGTTATGGTTCTCCCGATCGGATTGTTTTGGTACGGCTGGACCGCTTACTACCAGGTTCATTGGATCGCGCCCATTGTTGGCACCAGCTTCGTGGGATTCGGCATCATGTGCGTCCAGCTCAGCGTGCAGCTATATCTGGTGGATGGTTTCAGCTATTACGCGGCCAGTGCAGTGGCCGCCAATCTCGCCGTCAAGTGTACACTTGCCACGGTGGTCCCGCTGGCCGGAAAACCGCTCTATAATCACCTAGGCCTCGGTTGGGGGAATAGTCTTTTGGGGTTTATTGCCGCTGGTTTGATCCCAGCTTCCTTTTTGCTCATGCGCTACGGGGATGGAATTCGGGTACGTGGAAAGTTTGCGGGCGATTTAGGAGATGATTCTTGATGGAATTGCGAGGCTACGTTGGTGAAACTGACATTTGAGTCACCATCCAGATAAAAACTGTGAAGTACTAGATTTCTTTAGCTATACATAATCAATTAACAGGTAGCTTGCTATCATACCTTTATGTTTTAATATTATAGACATAGGAATCAAACCTTCCAGTAAAAGAATACACGGTAGGTTTTTGCTAATTTGGCCAGCTCAATGGACAAAGCATGACCATACATCCAACAATGGAATGCTAAACCGCTTGAAAGAACTCGACTTTCTCTCTTTTTGTAGCCCGATATAAAGAAGTAGTCATAGAGGAAAGGAGGAAAGGATTGTGGATGTGCTCATCCTACCAATTCATGTGCCCCTCTAACTAATCCCCATGGAGACAAGTGTGTGGGGGGGGGGGCTCCGTCGGTCTCTGCGTCGGGCCGAAAGTGCCCACTTAGTGCCGAGTGACCAGCCTCTCATGTTCTAGTCAAGAATCAGCTGATGTCTAATTGGATGTGTGATTATCATGCGACGGACTGCGTCATACGTCGTAGTCTTTTCGAGCGTCTCTACGGCAGAGCCTATACTTGCTCTTCATTTCGATTTCAGACATACGCATGCATATTACAGAGCAGAAACATCAATATGTCTCGTTTCTTCCCTCACACCGAATATGCCGAGGACCAGCCTCTCGCCCGCACTATCCTATTCACACACGTGCTGAATCGTGGATTCCAGGCCGGCACAGCCATCGGTCTACTTAGTTGCGCATCTCAAATTCTGCTTAAAGGCCAACCGATCACAGTCTTGGCCCTCGTTCGCTCAGCAGGAGTGGGCGCTGCCGTTGGCACGGGTTTAGGGGGAATCGCAACGATGATGCGAATGCGGGGACGGGAAGAGATCGAATGGAAAGATCGCAGCTGGGCATTATTGGAGAATAAAGGACAGGTGAAGGTGGATAACTGGAGTCAGCCGGGGATGGTCTTAGGGGCAGCGGCGGTCGCGTTGCGAAAGGCAAAGGCAATGGGGAATGGGGGTTGGCGGGGCATACTGGGAGGCGCTGGGATTGGGTCGTTGATAGGGACGGTGGGAAGTATGGTTTTGGGGGGATAAAGAGACGCCTTTATTGCAGATTTTTTTAGTGATGTATGTGTACTGCAGGGAGATCTTCAATTCTTGTTTGTTTTCATGTATTATTATTTAACCATGGTGGCGTCTACACAGGGAGTAGCTTGTGTTATTGTATGTGACTAATTTTTTGTGACATATTGTATACTAAGACCAATCTATGCCTAGTTCTTTATGCAGGGGGGTAACTATATGGACACGCATATATCAGTCGAAGTATTTTATTCTCATTGATTAACTCCTTTACTACTCATAGACAAGGCATTGCTTGTCTGGTTAGAAGCAAAGGTCCGAATCACAAAAATCCATGCTTTAGGGAAGAAAATACAGCCAATTGGTAAATATTTACAGCTTGTGTCAAACAATGGCAATCCAAGAAGTACTAAGCCTCTAGATGATGAAGAAAGAGTGATAATAAAGTCTGTGTGATTACAATGATGAGCTACATGTCTTTAATCCTGGCTTCCAAAATACTAAATATAATGTATCAGATATAAGTATTTAATCCCCATAGTCCCTGAGGTTCACTTGAATACTATGCACAAACTCATTGTACAATGTGCAGAGGACGCAAGCACATCGAGGAGAAAACGCTTCACCCAGAGTTTCCACCACAGCGCTTGGGACCTAAGATAGCTTCAGACACAGCAAAAATCCTCGACGAAGCTAAAATACCGAACTTCGTATGGGAATGGATAGAACTAGCCCCTATTGGGCTTCCGAGAGCACATGTGGTGAGTGAATCCGGCTCAATATAGAGTCTGTCAAACTAACCAGAAGCAGGAAATCCAATTTATCATCCCGGATATTTTTCTAGTAAAAGCCGCTACGGCTCTTACAGCTGCGAAGCTCAAGATATGTAAGGCCGGTCCTGAATGCCGCCAGATTAATGATATCCCAACATCGGAACCGGACATGCATTTCCACCATCACCCGCATCCGCATGAAGTGATATCATTGATGAAGCAATCGTCCATGGCTTGGAAACTAGATATCACGCTAGAGTCTCCGGCTAAAAATGACCCTGATTTTATGTTGAGCAATGATCCTCGGTTTTCCGGTCATTCAATGCTGTTCAGTCCTATTCCTTCTGGGATGTATCCGTTCAAGATGTTGACGCCAGCGCGGTTGACAGAGTGCTATTTGTTGCTACTTTGTCGAGACGTTGATATCAAAACCGCTGTTATGCTGAAGAACTACTTAGGACATCTTTTATACATCAAAAAGCATGTGCAAGGACCTAAGTGGTTTACAGAGGAGGATATTCACCCTCGCTTTCGACCTTTATGGAGGGAGCTTGATCAGGAGACTCTTTCAACAATTTATGACCAAGTCCGGAAGCTTCGCGTTGAAATTGGAGAGAATGGATTTAAACCATCATCAGGTAAGTTACTGATCCTGAATCGATCCAAATGTGAGCGGAAAATTGATTCGGGCTTAGGTCAAGAAATAAAATATTTGGACCGATTATTGAGTTAGTTATGCTTATTTTATCACTTACTTTTATCTCTAACGCGTATTATGTTGTGTCCGCGTTTCCTACTTCTCTAGTCATTGTCTTGATAAATGTTTTGTACTTTCACCTAGAACATGCACGAATGTTTCATTTTTATGACAGGGTGAATATGTGATACTTTTCAATGATAATTGTAGATGAATGCTATTGTGTTGAGCACATATAAACCCATCCAACCAAAGGGTAAAAAAGGTAGTTAACTAAACACTGAGTCCTTTAAGAATATTGTAGAATAATCCTCCACTTTTTTTGTATCAGACAACAGTGCTAACTCGATTAAAGAACGATTACACACATTAGTAGTGGTGAAGAGTATTGATATCTGTCGCCCCAGTAAGCGTGGTCTACATTTATCTAGATTGCCAGATATATTCCTATTCTTGCTGTAGACATCTCCAGTGTTTTGAAAGCTTCTCTGTTTGACAACTAGGGCATGCTAACCATGTGATTCCCGGGAGAGGCATGTAGCATAAACGCCACCACACGCACTTCAATGACCTCATTGTTTTGCTCCACAACCAACTACCCTTGACAAAGCTTATTCTCCAGCCAAACACAATAAAAACCTGCATCTGCGGTAGTACAAAACAGAAGTGACCCCCTAAAAGAAAGAAATGAACAAACAGAAAGACCCAACCCCAACCCAGAAATTACAATTCATGGACCTACCCACAGAACTCCACATTCTCATCGTCGACTTTCTCTTCTTCCCCGAAACCATCTACCTGAAGATAACCTGCAATTACTTCTACGAGCTTATTCCCGGACTCACACACCGCGGGCTCCTAGAAGCCGAACAGACCGACTTTGCCTCAATTAAAAACATCTACACTTGTCGGTACTGTTTGCGACTGCGCCCGGCGGACGAGTTCGCAGATCGCATGCTTCATCGTCGACGAGGCCGGTACGGTCGCGACGCGTGGAAGCGGTTCTGTGTTGATTGTGGATTGAAGCCGCGTCAGGGGAGTCCGAGATATGGGCCTGGAGCGCAGATCGTCATGAGGGGGATCCTGTTTGTGATTTGTACCAACTGTGGGGAGTTTCGTCCGGGAATGAAGGATTCGCCTGGCATTTCTGGTTCTTCGGAGTGTAGGGCTTGTATGCTTGAAAGGGAAGAGTGGAAAAGATTGGCGGAGATGGATTCTAGCGGCCATCAACATGATCGGTCACAGCTAGATTGAGCTCTGTATTTAATTTCCAGGGCTTCAGTCTCTGTTACGATCCAAGGGAAGTGGTATCGCGTTGCTGTGAGACACTGCGCTGACTGTTACAGGCCCGTATCAATTTTCAGTGACGCGAGCGAAGTACAATCCATAGCTACCGTCGGATTGGAAAATATAAGAAAAGGTATTTTGGTCAATAGAGAGTCAGCACAAGGCTGCTCAGCTTATTTTCTATGATATCCGGCCTTGCAGATATTCTGTCGGCTTATTCTGCAGGAATTGGCCTGTTTCCGGTGTCAGCTTGGGCAATAATTTCATATTTTCGACGTCGTCGATAGAGGCACCATTATGACGGAGAGACATTTTCATTCTTCAAACATCAAGCCCAATCGAGTTGGGATATTTCGACTTCAAACTATCCACAAGCTCCAGTTGATACAAACAGATACAAATTTAGGACTGTCTGCTAGACAACAAAGCAGTTTACATACCTTCGACCGACTACTGTTTAATCATTCCACTCAATTTTTTACTCCCAGTCATTTTGAACAGACTTTGCAAGCTTGTCATTGCTTTTTGCGGAGTTGAAACTCATGAAAGCTGTTCTGCCGCATCATTGTACTTGCTGCTTAGCCTTAGACCTATCCAGCGTCGAAAGTTGTAAGACAGTTGCTATTGTCCCTCAGCCTTCCAAATCCAATGCATTAGACTTAGGGTGCTCCACAGTAAGCGCGATAGGACCCAGTGACTTGGCGATCTCTTCAGCAGATCCTGTTCCCCTGTAGAAGACCCAGCCCTTTTCAATCATATTGCTTCTTCTACTAGAAGTCGATTCGGGTGATAGGTACTAATTATATTGATGTATTCACAGTTTTAAGTGATTAAGGGAAGTTTTGTTCTTTTAATGGCATGTTTTCACGAAAGACGTTGGCTGTTGATCGGGATTTCACCGATCGCAAGACCCCAGTTTAGCTGAAGGTACTATTATAAACATTAATTATTTTGAGCTATCATTGCCAAATACTTGTTGCCTTAATTGAATCAATTGACTATGGTTGGCTAGGGCAGCATATAAGATAATCACATTTTAATTGTAGTGCCTACTTAATCTTCTTGTTACTTACATGCAGTGACTTGTAGCCTCTGCACTTAGTAAAGCACATCCGCAATGCTTTTCCTTGAAATAATTGCTCTTAGAAGTACCAAATCTTCTGTAGTCTGTCTGAAGGCGTCATTCTTGCCAATCTCCTACCCGCATCTTCGCAAAGATGATTTGTCATTTAATTGTCATGTAATGCAATCGCGTCCTTTATCTCGTCCTTCACCTACATATCAATAGCAGGAAGATGTTAATAATCTTGATGGCTATTTCCCAAATAGGTAGCATCCAACTCACATCGGTGATCGATTCTTGACAGTCAATATGAAATCGTTCACAAGCTTGACCATAGGAGCTACTCAGCTGTCCAGCTTGTCAAAGATCGACTAGAGTCATGATATGTTGCTCTTAATATTCTCATAGCCAGCGCCAAGCATTGCTCAGAGAGTAAAATCATGCACGCATTAAGCACCAAAGGAACACCATGAGGGGAGGGCATATGTTCCATTGCTCTTAGATGAGTTCACTATTCACGGACCAAATGGCCGCCATCTGTGTATTGTGAGCAAGGCTGTTGGATGCAGTGTCGCACAATCAAAGGAAGCTAGTATGACTTGGAATTCCAAGTCAATGTGACCAGGGCAATATCAGCTCAACTCCTCCTTGGGTTGGACTATATATTCATTCTTGTGGTATTGTCATGGACGTAGGTTTAGGTGGCAAATTCTTTTTAATAGTTTTAGGGTTTTCGATATGTACACCTACATTCAAACAACATCTTATTCAGAATGCCAGAAATCGAGCTGTCGGCAGATGGAAAGTTATATCATTACCTTGGGGCAACTCAAAAGTTACCCATGCAGCAGCTGGCTAATGGGGTAAGTGGACCTGAAGTATTGTCAGAATAAACAGATATACCAGTACTAGGCACAAATTGAGACAGCGATACCTTTTGTGGTGTAGTGGTATATCTGACAATTAACAGTGTCTTACGTTTATCGAGCATCTACATATATTTATATTAACCATATTAATACTATTCCACCTACATTCCTTTCCACTTTCTACCGGTCCAAAGAGTTGCCCTATTCCTTACCTTATTCCACTACGGCAATCATTCAAGGCAGCACCATATTTGCCTCAACACCCAGGAGGATTAGATGGAATGTTAGGCCCAGTTTCATGGCCTAGCTAAACGCCCGGATATCTGGCATATTATCTAGGCTGATGAAGAGAAGTTATTGAAGTCTAGAACGCCTAGTCAAGAGAACTACCTTCCTCCGCCCGCCAACAGCACTAGGAACACCTCCATTACCAGAAAGCTTCAAGTCTACCACTATATCCTTTCTAAAAGCATCCAAGTTGAACTTTCTGCGCCCAATACACAGTCACAAAGTTAAGGTGCAGAACGCTCAGGGGGTGTGATAAAGGATAAGGCTCGGATTATGCGAGAACATGCTAAATTAGCTGCATTTTTAATAGCCAAATGTGGTACGAACACCAGTTACCTATTCAATCGAACATCTTATTATCTAGCCAATTGGAAGAACCCTAGTTGATGGGTTTCATACCTATATTGCACATAAAGTCATTCGGACAAAAGATGTAATATTTACTGAGGACAATTTTCTGGAGACATGGCAGCAATTCTCGCAGCCATGCAGGATGAATTCCAACGGTTTTCCTTGGAAGAATTTAAGCAGGTAATAAAAATTATAGAAATTTAGAACCTGCGTCCACCGGGGACAGATACTGAAGGTAGCCCTACGGAGCAGGCAGACGATATTCTATATACTGGGCACCTTGATTCAGTTGACTATCTTGCAGGTATTGCAGAGGATCAAGGAAAGAAGCAAGATACTTATCCAACACCTGGGAACACCAAAAGTATCATTCAATCCAGCTTCATTATTTGCATCAGCATTGGGTGAAGAAAGCAATTAAGCTATATCAAAGCATCTCCGACAATGGAAGGCATCATTTCTTGCTGGATGGCTGGTACAACCCATTTGGAAGCTCGGTGATAAAATTATTAAAAAGGCAACCGTGGAACACCTAATAAACCAACCAGGCCAAAACGAAAGTGTACCGTCAAAATTTGCCTCCAGAACCCGTGTGGCACTCGGATCTAAAGGATCACCAATGGAATTTGCTCCAGTTTTCTTGACTTGGAAGCCATCTCGCTCCCGACAGATAAAACGACAGGCTTGTTCAAAATTCATAGAAAGATATTTATTTTCAAGTGCAAAGTCACTATCACAGCTTTTGAAAGAGGATTTGAAGAAGAACAGAAAGGAGTTTACACTTTCAAGGACGCATCAAAGGAATACTAGCTCAGTTTGTCGAACGGGCATACGCAGGCGATTATTCAGCTATAATCAGCTGCACACAATATGTTGAACTGGGAACCAAAAGCCTAAAAGTGTTAAAGCAAACGTCGAAGCGAAAAATACTGTGTTCTCTGTAGGGACCGATTTTACTTCCAAAAACAATCCATCACTGGCTCATATTGGTCTGTATATCTTTTACAGCACTTATTTTATTCAAGGCCTCAAGGAGCTGGATTTCGACAAGATGATGGAGTGTTTTACGGTCTTAGAGAAGCCGAATATTCTTGACACTTAACTAGAAGTTGTTGCCGCATTACGCCTGTCATTCCGCAGGATATGTACACTTGATTCCTTTTTGGACTGGCTGACTCAATATGCTGCATATTGTGTCGACAAACTGCGGTTGCAAGGAGCTTTTTATGATTATCTGGGAGATTCCCCAGCTTTGAGTTTCTAATATCTGGCGGGCAAATTCGCCACTCAGCCGGAGAATCACCCATACCGCAACCGTGGATATCCTATTCAGGAGGGAAGGATAATCTCATTTTTCAAGTTTCCGTGTCAGGAGGATCGTGCTGAAGGGGTTTGGATAATGAGTGCACTGCAGACCCTCTCCTATCACATTGCATGACTGGAAGAACGTAATTGAATATAGTGTATGTGGAGCTTGCAGAAACCGGCATAGGCCATGGCACTTAGTCCCCATATCTATCCTAAGTCTCCATGATAATTCCCGCTAAACTCGTAGCTTATTTCCTGAGGCTGCACAGGTACAGTGGATTGAAATATCAGACAAGATGCAGAGTCTGTTGGCTATTGGCGCAGTCAGTCAATCTAATAAGTAGTCCTATTTTATTCCGTCATGGTGCAGTCAAACTCAGTTAGTGGTAATTAATGCAATCACACAAGTGATACTATTTGATGATTCAGCCAGCCACAGCCACATACCAACGTTCTATTATAGCAAATATACAGTACAGTTGCAGATCCAAAGTGTATTTCCTTGATACACATTTCTCACTCAGTCGAACGAAAATAAAGCCTTAGCGTATATTACGTTATTATGCATAACTAACTAAGAATAGTCAAGAGTATTGACTGATTCCAATTGGTCCAGGTTCTATTTGTAATTGTCCAGCTGATGGGTTAGTTGAAGTTCGGCCATGTTTGTTTTCCCTATCCATTGGCAATAGAACTGACAACAGGTCATTCAAAGTATCTTTAGGCATGCCTGCTGACATCTGGAGATTTCCAACTAAGAGTTCATAACTGAAGACACTGTGCCTACTTAAGCATGGAAGGCATAGGAATTTTGCCTTACATGAACCGTAATTTACCTAGCTGTAATTCAAAATCGCCAGGGTAGAGTAAAATTGTCACATGGTCAACTCCACAAACTACCATTTACTGTGACTGACAGAAAAAAAACCAGGTGGTTGCAGGTGAGTCAGGGTGTGGGCTATGTACACGAAAACTAGTAAGATGGTGCAACAGGAAAATATTGAATACTGTATCATGGTTAAGGACTCACTAACTCATGAATGGCCTTGAAATGTATAATGGTGTGGTACAACAGGAAACTATTGAAGCGTAGCTAGTATATCGGTGATCAAAGCAACTACCTTAAAGTCTATTCACCCATTTTGTTTATTGTCAATGTGTGTTGATCCTGCTCAGGACAAGGAAGCCTAGTCAGGAAATTGATGGAGAGCATTATTAATAGGGATGTGATAAGTTACAGCCACACCCTCTGTCGCTCCTGCCACACCCCTAAACCTAGTTAGGACTAGTAACCATGTGACTAAATATCTTATCAAACAGTAACAACCACCTTGGAGGAAGGGGAAGGGGGAAGTTTAGGCAAGCACCGCAGGTGCTAAGCTTGCAGAGGCGTGCTGAGCTTACAGAGGTATGCTTTGTGAGGATCTAGATCCATCTGCGTGGTGGTGCTGAGCTTTACGACTACGCCACAGCTAAAAAGGCGCAAATCGATAACCATCCCGTCATCGAGCTCAGCGTACTATAGCAAATCAGATTTGTGACATGCTTAGCTTGCAAGTATACGTAGATGCCGAGCTGTCTGAGGTGCCTAGCTGCCTAAGGCAGATTTGAAATAACTAATGTGATTATGTGATTAATCTATGTAGATTATACCAATTTAATTTCTTACTAGAACGAATTAAGTATAGTAGGATGTGGCAGGAGCGACAGTGTATCACGCCGCTATTAATTTTGAGATCACTTATTAGTTGTAAACATCAATGTATAGACCATTTCTAAATTTATTAACTAGAGTTGCCTTTACTGTACCTGTTATGCTTGATTGGTATGGAGCCAGTGAGGTCGTTGAGGGACTGTGGTTCAGCTGAATGATCGCCGTTTGGGCAATCCTATGCACGAAGGTCGATAGTTAGTAATAGCTGAAGTGCTCATTTGAAAGTAAACCCATTCTAAGCATATCATTTACAACAGATAGATATATGTCGACCCTCTTCTCTCCCCCGAGCTCTCTGATACTTTAACTTCAACTGTTCCCACCAGCTTGCCTCCTCCTCACATCCATTTATGCCCAGCATTTCTCCACACGCGTACAAACATCTTACCACTATGCACCCCGTAACCACGATCGTCACTGGACTCGCTCTTCTATCCTCTGTTATTGCAATGGGTAGTCCCGACAAAGCCCCTACTCCTGGGCCGACTCCTACTCCTGGGCTGACTCCTCCTTCTATAAACGTATGTACCTATCTGTTGGGGATACATCCTCTGTCTCCCATCCAATCTACCAAGTATCCAGCTAACAAAATGATGCATGGCAGGTTTACGTCACACTCACCGATGGCATTTCTCAGACCATCACTGTTGAAAATGGTGTCTGCAAGGATGTGAAACCGATGTAACTTCATTCTTTTTTCCCTGGTTTACACGAAAAATTCCACGCTAACCCGTCATTAACAGTGAGGCTACGAACTATGGTATGAATGGTGGAATTTGGTGCCGGTTCTACTCTAGTCCTGCTTGTGCTGGTACTTTCACTGAGAGAAGGGGATCTAGTTGGTTTGATTCCGCTATACGGATTGAGAGTATCAAGTGTGAGCATCTGGTGCTGTGAATGGTGCGATCAGTGGAAACTAAAATATAGTCAGCAGAGGGAAGGAAATGGGAAATTTGGATAATGGTGCTTGTTAGTTTCATTTCGAAGGCTACACGGCTATGTATGTATGGACTGGACATGCGTACTGGACAGACATGTGTCCATAATCGTTGAACATGATTGTGACTTGTGCTCTTTAAAAGTATTAATCTGGGGAACTATTCACCAAGACCTATTCTGAGAGATGCTTGGATGTGTTACTCGATCCCGAGTATGGAGAGTCAAATTCCCATTAACAGCACCACTTCGGCTCCCCTTGCGGAAAACAAATACCCAGGGATCACAAATTCAAGGTCATATTATTATTCCCGCCACAACCGTCAACAAAGATGAGATGTTGATCGAAACAGCGCAACTCTGACATTGAATCCACTTGTATCAGAATCTCACTAGTGCGGGATGTAGGATATCTCTTGGATATACTTAAGCTAGGGTTAATGATAAATTGTTCAAAGTCCTGGTTCTGCTTGCCATCCGCTGATGGTGTTGTTGTTGGTATTCCGAAGATCAGGTCTGAATCAGGGGTATTCCGTGATGACCTTCAGCATCCGTGACTATTCCGACCTTGCATTGTGTGCTTACTTTGATAGCTATACTGATTGCTGACCCGTATATGGTAGAACCCAAGACTGCTGCCTACCAACACACTCTTAGATTGTTTCTCAACTTGTGCAACGCTGGGGGCAGAGCTGCATACTCACCTAAACCTGTCACAAAGATGCCGCAGTTCGTGGGGAAATAAGCTTGGATGTCTCTCCATGTCAATTTTCGGCTCTTTGACCTTCGTAGCGTCCTCTTTTCGCCTGGGGTGAATTTGGGTTACGTCTTTGAAACTCCCTGAAGCCTTGCAGTTGCGACACTACATTGTGCCCTTAACTTGGATCTGGTGAGAGGACCTACGGACGTGAGATCAAATGGTCAAATGAAGAGCTTAAGGACAATTCCTTGTAGCTGAGACATTGTTGGGTCGGCGTACTACTGTCAACGACATTTTTGGAATCATTGGACGGTACCTGGGCAGCCCGAAATGAAGGAGAGTCCTGTGTCGCTGTCTCTTTGTTGGCAGTAGTGTTTATGTATTCCAATACAGTCTCGTCAATTTGCAAGCTATCAAGACGGTATATTATATGAATACCGGCAATTTCTTCATTCTCTTCATCGGAGTGAGTGATAGAATTAGCGGGCAAGATGCTCGGTTCCCTGTCGAACATTGGCCGCCACAGTCTATGGAGCCTTGCCCAAGGATCCTGGGATCGGTAAGCTCCAGATCAGGAGTCGTACGTAGAGAGCTTTAGAGGGAAGGAAACAGGTGAAACTTCAATGGGATCTGCACCTCTCTCGCTGAATTGACCAGCAAGGAATTTCAATTTCGACGTAAACAAAAGGAGGCTCTGGACTGGCCCAGCCTGCTAGATCGGGATTCGTCGCTGTCAGAGTGTACAGCAATGTATATAGAATATTCTTTAATAAATAAACTGGGTTGACTGAGATCGAGTAATTATCCCATAGACGACAAAGCACTGGAAGTGAATGTTGCAGACGTGTATTAAAACTTCAGTGTAGGCTAAAAGTTACGAGGATACAGAGGAAACAATTCTGTGTGCAAAGGGTGGATCATATAATACATTATAAACCAACACTGAGACATTATTATAGCATTTTCTTGGAGCAACTCTTTTACTTTACGTTTCTATACCCAGTTTCAATGGAATCTGCGGACAACGTTACATTGTTACTATAATTACTACTGGGGACCTCTAGGGTTGCAATGAAGACAACAATACGAGATGTGGGCAACTTTATGTCCATGCTACAGGCCAAGTATTAGGACGGTGGGGTTATGCACCTCAACAAATACGATGACTCCATGTATATAGACCCTTCATACCTCCAACCAACTATTCACTACTCCCCTATCAAACAAGGACTTAAATTTAATCGGTCAGCCCCAAAGACAATGTCTGACCTCAAAATCGCCTCCGTTCAGTTCGAAAATGCTTCCGGAGATAAGCAACAAAACCTATCCACCATCGCCCGACTGACCCGGCAAGCCGCGGACAGGGGATGCAAGGTGGTCGCGTTTCATGAATGCTCGATCAGCGGGTACACATTCGCCAGCCGGCTATCCCGGGAGGAGCTTCATTCCGTCGCGGAGGTTGTGCCCGACGGACCGAGCGTTCAATTCCTGGTCCGACTAGCAAAGGAAACTAACACCACTATTCTGGCTGGACTTTTTGAACGGGATGGGGACAATGCATTGTATAACACTTATATCTGCGTTGATGGAAGTGGACTTGTTGCGCGATATCGCAAGATACATCCTTTTATTAGTCGTCATCTTTCGGCCGGCAATGAATACGTGGTGTTTGAGATTCAGGGCTGGAAATGCGGCATTTTGATCTGCTACGATAACAATGTAATCGAGAACGTGCGTGCTACGGCGCTGCTGGGTGCTGAGATTATCTTCATGCCCCATGTTACCATGTGTACTCCTTCGACGCGTCCCGGGGCCGGATTCGTTGACCCGGAGTTGTGGCAGCGGAGGGAGGAGGATCCCACAACGCTGAAAGCGGAGTTCAATGGGCTCAAAGGAAGGGCCTGGCTGATGAAATGGCTTCCTGCTAGGGCATACGACAACGCCGTCTATTGTGTATTCAGTAACCCGATTGGGATGGATGATGACCAGCTGAAGAACGGGTGCTCTATGATTCTGGATCCGTTCGGGGATGTTGTTGATGAATGCACGGAGCTCGGAGAGGGGATGGCCATGGCACTTTGCACGAGACGAAAGTTGACAGATGCTGGCGGTAGTCGATATCGGTTGGCACGGAGGCCCGAACTGTATAGCCAAGTTATTGGACAGACTCATCAGAGTCGCCAGAATGTTTCTTGGTTAGCGCATGATCAGAAGAATTAGTCATGGCTCTGGACGATAGCCCTAGGAGCGCATTGCTGCTTGGTTGGTATCTACTTCATATTGTTTATACGTCAAACTTTGGATTTATCATTTTACGAGATAGACTCCTATAAACCTGTACGCCTCAAAGAGAGTTGAGCACGCTATAGCTCCAGCGACATGGCATTCATGGAAAGTGCCTCTATTATACGCGTTTCTATTGTTTCTAGCAGTTATTAAGGGTTTGGGAAAATTGTGCTGACAACGACTAGTCTGTAGCTTGTCCGTGAAATATAGGAGGAACCGGTGAATGCGGGAGAAGTCATCATATGAATCGAAATATCAACTAATCTAATGCCCTCAGACAGGTCCCCTACATCTTTCTCTGTATAGTTTTAACATTCCTCTCGAAATCCACAGGTCCTTAAACCTGTCATGGTAGCTCCTTCCTCTACAAGTCTATAAACTGGCAGGCGGTTCGTCGTTTCTATGCTCACGCTGTTAAACATCCATTCTTTGTGCTTTTTCCTAGTTTGTTAACGAAGAGCTGATAGAATTAATCAGATGCACTGTACTTTGCGAGGGCAACCACTATCTTTGTTAAGTAGCTTGCTAGAAAGACAAAAGCACTGTCATGTTCTCCCCACTCACCTACCATCCCTTCAAATTCTTCTACACCACTTGGTTCCTCATCACCCTGCCATTTCGTGTTCTGGCCATTCTGATCTACTACCTTCCTTCAATTACCCGCTCGCCCCGAACGTACTCACAAGCAGTGGCCATCAGGCTTAGAAAAATCTGGCTCAAATACGCCACGGCAGTCGAATACCGCACACCCCAGTCCCTTCAGCCCGGCAAGGACAGGAGGCACTACGTGCTCATCCACCCAATCTCAGTTCCTGTGGCCAGATATTTCTATATCGGTGTTCTTGGAGCCAATCCGGCCATCCGCCCTACACTTCTTGCCGGCTTCTGGTATCCATCACCCCCTCAAGGTATGCTCTTGCCACCGGTAGTGCTCCATTTTAACGGCGCATTCGTGCTTGGAGGCGCCCGTCCCGACGATGTAGGCTGGGGTCCCCTCATGCTGAACAAGCGTATGAACTTCCCCGTGCTCGTGCCGGAATACCGACTCTCCAACTCCCGAGATAGGACCACGCGCTTCCCTGCTGCCCTCCAAAATGCCCTCACGGCCTACCTTTACCTTTCACTCTCTCTCCGCGCGCGATACAATGATATTATACTGTCCGGCGACTCAGCGGGCGGGAACCTAGTGATTGCGCTTCTGCGCTATCTTATTGACAGGCGGAGGGGTATCGGGTTGATTGACCTTCCACGACCTCGTTGCGCACTACTCTGGAGTCCGTGGGTCGATTTAAGCATGTCAGGAAGCCAAATCGATCGCCATCGAAATAAATTTACCGACTATATCTTCGGGGGTTACGCAGACTGGGCTGCGCGGTCCTACATCCCTGATGGCTGGGACAGCGAGCATGAATACTATCCTTACATTAGTCCGCTCGGAAATGAGTTCTCCACGAGAGTGCCCATCTTTATTCAGACCGGCACCGCCGAAATTTTTCACGATAGTCATCTCCAGTTTGCGCAGAAAATGAGGGAAAAGGACTGTGAGGTTCATCTCATGCAGATCCATAATGCCCCACACGATACCTTTCATGAGGCTGAGGCTATGGGGTTTCGGGAAGAACAGAAGCGTGTTATTGACCGGGTGGTGACGTTGGTCGAAGATTTCCGTGCGAATTATACTCTTAATTAACTACTAGCTGCTACTACGCTCTGTAGATTAGTTTGTCTCTGCTGTGGGCGTGCTGTCTGCTTAGACGTGGATGTCAGCCGGGCGCCATCAAATTGATGTATTACTAGAAAGTCGTTAAAGAGATATATTGACTATCAATGAAAGAAGCATTACTTCTGAAGATTTGTGCCATTTATATTTTCTGGATGCAATAGTATTCGGAGCTGTTACAGAACGCTGAGTAGCTATACAAGCGGCAATCTGCGCGAGTATATAATATCACAAAAACCCTATCCAACACCGAGACCGTCTCAGGAAATTAAAAGGCATAAAGGAGGTATTCACAGACCATGTACTCCAGATACCTAGTATCTGGGATATAAAGACACCTTATGCAGTTTGTAAAAATAGATAGAGAGCTCTGGAAGGCGCCCAAATAATGCACATGCACGTGTCTGGATACCAAGCATCGTACCAGTCAGTCAATAATACATATATATCAGCTAAACATCAGTTCTCTCCCTATCTCTCCCTCTCTCGTACCTTCTTACTGATTTCTTGTATTCTGTTCTCGTCGAATCATATACCAGCTCACTGCTTATGACCTCGACGACCAGCGTGATGATGAGCACCAGCTAATCGCAACCCTGCCATACTCGACGCTCTTTTGGCTAGTTACGCAGCTTCCAGCAAGGAAGAAGAAAAATATGTCCATTATGAACGGAAAAGGATAAGTAGATTATCCCCAAGTGCAACCGTGTCACTCTATGGCACGTTTCAGTCTCCCATAAAAGCTGCCATCAGCGCCACCTCCTAACCGCCGGGGGGGGGTCCCAGCGGCACTGACGCATAGATATGGCGGACTATTCAGTCTGGTTTATCCATGGCCACCATTTCAAAGACGACGTCTCCAGTTTTAGGATGTATGATCCTCCTGCTCGTGCTCTAATAACTGCGCGAAGTAAAAATGGCATTAGTCACCAGATCTGCCCATTGACTAAGGCAGAGTAGCACGAGCGTCGTTATGGCTTTCCCTGTTTCTGGACAGAGCCTAACATCCCCGGACAACGCTTGCGGATGCAGAACGTTTTGACAACGCTGGAAGTCGTTACAAAAACAGGAAATCAGGAAAATTTCAATCTTCTGCGTGCGGCAGCAGCGGATGAGTCTTCCTGGGTGCAGCCAGCAACAACGGACAAAGATAAAGATGATGATGATGATGATGATGTTGATCGATTCGAAATGCATAACGATAACACTCCCATATCCGTTCTGTCTACATCCTCGCCCGTCCACGAAGCCATTGCCGCCAGTCTTCAGCACATACTTCGTCATCTGCTCTCCACCTGTGGGTATTCACACAAATACCTTCCTTGCGTTGCCGCAATTGTCGCCCTCCCACCACTTTCCTACACCATTGTCCGTTGTGATCTCAATAATGCCGACGTCCAGAGGTGTCTAGTTGATCTACTATCCCGTCCACAGATAGATATTAATCTGCGCACACCCGTCTTTAGTATCCATCCGCTCCACTTTGCCATGGCCTATCATGATCCAGATCTTCTCTCGTGGCTGACGGGTTTCATTCCCGGTGGATCGAGTGCGGCAGGGGTAACGGCACTTGGACATACACTGCTCCATGTTGCTTCAATTCCTCTAACAACCAGTCAGATAATAGCTCGCAATCCAGATGTCGCAGAAGCCTACACTGCGCCCGCACGCTCGACTCCCGCTGGGTTTCCCATCGACTTCCCATTCCGCTCCACATGCAGTTTGTGGCTCCAGAAGAACTGGGTGTCTGGAATCCAAAGCCATTAACCATATCCCAGCAAAATGCCCAAACGGCCACTATTCGGGTGTTGCTGGAATGGGGAGGGATTAACATCAGCGCAAAAGATGTCGATGGCAACACGGATTTACATTACTTGGCCGGCACGTTAAAGGGATCTGACTCCAAGGCAGCGGTGGGGTGAGTAGAATGTTAGTTAAGATATACCGAACTGCGAATTTTTACATATTTTTCACGATTTCTTCAACCACCAGACTAAATTCAACAATCTAGAAGCAGTAACAGTGTCAAGGGTTGAATCGGTAGAACCTATAGATAGGCTATATAAAAAGGCATCGCGGAAGAAGGAAAGAAACCAAAAAAAAAAAGGATAGTAAACAAATAAAAAAGGAGAGTGATGTGTTGACTGCTAGGCCCACGGCGAATTTTTCATATATTTTTTATGATTTCTTGAACAAACATAAAGTAGGCAGTAATTCCACAGTGTTTTATATATAGTTAAGCATGCATAGATTCTAACTGTACTGTACGAAATAAATAGTGGCTATTTTGCAGCATCTTAGTAAACCAACCGGTGCAGTGGGACATTTCACTCCACCTATTTTCCAAAACCGTGCCCAACACCCATCCCTGCCTACTAGCAAACCTGAGGCGCTAGCGCTCGCCATTTTAATACAAGTGATGGGCTCTAACAGATCACACAAAACACCCCTCCCTCCCCAAACTGGATACAATAGAATTAATGCTGAGTGGTATAAGAGCAGGTCTCAACCTCAACCTTGTGATATAGTCCTAACTTTGCCCTCTTCCCCTCCACACAAATCGAGTTGTTCATTGACTAGATAAAATGACAATTTAGATTTTCTAAACAATTTTATAGATTTGGACAGTTTAAATAGAATGCACCCACGATTAAGCATCCACGTTTACGCATAACGACTGTTCCGGCTTTTGAAAGATAGCCGTCCGTACCAGTTGCTGTACAAATGCTTCAATGTCGTTCCACAACAGTTCTGGCTGTTCAAGTGCGGCAAAGTGCCCACCCTACGATGATATTAATGTCGACCAGAATCTAATAGGTCGAAGATTCCAGTAGCATGCTCAACATACCTTGTCATGTCTGCGATAAAACACCAAATTGCCAGTTGTGCGTACCCAACTTGCCGGCGTGGGAGCAATTTCATGCAAAAAGCTAGAGAAACCAAGCGGTTTTTTTATATACCACTCTGGATTTGCATGTGAGCCAATGGAATCTGGTTCAAAGAGCTAGTGTGACAATTAGTCACGTTGTTAACAAAGAGAGTATTTCTTTTGATCTTCATACTTGTCGATAATGATATAAAGAAGACGGTAGCGTCTGTGTTAGCCAATACAAAGTGACTGTCTCTAAGATGGTGTCGAGATCCGGATCCTTTTCAGACCATTCAAGGTATTTTTCACCAATCCTAAATCTATTAGGTACGATTTCCATAAACAGAAAGCGGAATCGTTACTTACCAAGCTAAAAGGCTCAATGGGTTAGTGGAGACCGCAATGCCAACTGTGCTTGGGCGCGTAGCATGCTCTTTCGCATAAGCATTTCCCACGCTCACAAACTTACGGCCTCTTTCGAGACCGATGCGGTCAACATCATCAAGCTCCAGAGGCTCCATACCTGACGGTTCGGCCATGTAACAGAAGTTGACTATAATGCTCAGTTAATAACAGAAACAGTGGAGAATTGTAACATACTGTGAACAGCTAGAAAAACATCGATTAGCGGAAATTGATATTGTTCAACAAGTTAGATCTCCACACACCTTTGCAACTTGCGTGCTTTGCGCCCATAACTCTCGCAGTATCACTTCCTAGGTCTCCACCATGTACAACATATCCGGAGCTGAAGCCCAGATTATCCATGAATATGTCAAGGATACGAGCACCGTCCTCAATTCGGAAATCTTTGTGAACTGGAGGCTTGGACGAGAATGCGTATCCAACAAGGGACGGCACGATTAGGTGATATGGTGCTTCGGATCTGGGTAATTTCTTTCTGATCATATCCAACATCGGCAAAAATTCCAAAAAGCTCCCTATATCAATGTTTCAGCATATAACAATTCCGACGCGTCGATCCAAAATGTGCAAAATACCAGGCCACCCGTGCAAGAGAAGGATCGGTATTGCTTTTTTCTGGTCAGAAAACAATGCAGCAAAATGGATGTCATATTCATTCTTGTCGTTGTCAACCACTGTCGTGATATATTGGGGAAAACTGTTGATGAATTCTTCATTCTTGCGCCTGTTATCGCAGGGATCAATTTCTCGAAGCTCCAAAAGCCCCGCTCAGATCAGCACTGAACCCTCACCAATCGAAATGAGTTTCCCACACATCCTTCGCATTTTTCATCCAAGGGAACGTTACACCATAGCGTCGATCCAGTTGAAGATTCTCAAACGATTCCTGAGGCAGCCGTGAAAGTTCTAGAAGCTTTGACAGATCTTGCAGGGCTGTATCTGGTATAGCAACCTCGAATGGTTGGCATGATTTCCATCCCGGTGAGCACATCTTGAAAATTTAGGTGGCAGGCTGTGTAGACGAGACGGAGGTTATCACAAATCCTCGAAATACAGGAGCTGTAAATAGTCTTCCTTCTAGAAAAAGAGCAAGAAAATAACGGGAAATTTATCTGCGTGTAAGACTGACAGATGACGAAACAAGTAGTAATCAAAGAGATCTCCAAGGTCTGAGAAAGAAGGAACTCCAAATCGTATTACCCCGCCTGCTTGAGGACAGCTGACTGGAAATCTGTATTCCGATTTGCTATACCCGTCACCTCTGACCCACACCGCCTTCGCGGTACCGCGAAGGCGGTGTGGGTCAGAGGTGACGGGTATGTCCAAATCTCTCAGGCTAATTTACCTCGGTCGGTTCGCTCGGACCAGGGACGAGTTCTTAATAAGTCTGATTCCGAAGGCAAATGCCGTAGTTCAAGGCGGCCGGATCAGACTCATCATGCCGATGTCGTTTAATCGCACATAACGTATTATAGGCTACCCTGACCACCCAAAAAAGGAGGAGGTCAGTATCCCTTCGAAAGCGGCTCGCCAATAACCATGAAATGATGAAATGACACGAACTAAATAATATTCGTGTCCACAATTGATATCATCTATAAATCATTTTTCTATCAACACTTTCTCACCTACTATGCGAGGAATGGCAGATAGCTTGCTCGCGAGACGTGGACCAGTTTACAATCAGTTGATTAATAGTATAATTCAGTGGCTTAGCGGCAATGGAGAACATTTCCATCGACATAGACTGTATGCGAAATGACGACCCGCCGCTCGCTAGCGAACTTACATGATGAACGGCAAATTAACGTATTAGCTCACCTTTCATCTTGAGCATCTATCCAAAAAGGCTCATTTCTCTGCTGCGCTGCTACTGCTGCATCTGGTAATATAGAACTCTCGCCTGTAGGTGCCCTGAGTAACGATTAACTATAACATATTCGGTAAGAGAGCCGGACACCTTGCATATTGCATATAAAATATGACTTTTCGATTCTAATAACTCCACAGATATTATTAGTGCACATAAAATCCTAAGTAAGTGGAATAAATATCCTTGTACACAAAGTATATATTTTATTTATAATTTTTTCCACTTATAATACGGAAATATGATAAATACAGTTGCATGTATTGTAATATAAAGAACCAGAAAAAATATAGGCTTCCCAGTCTACTATACGTATATTTAGTATAATAATACTGTATATTGTCGCAGGCTACGCCTGTACATTGCTCGGCTTCGCCTTCGCTGCAATTGGCGCATATGATTGGTCCACTTATTACAGTCACATGACCTCTCATAGTATGAGAACGACGCTTCTTCCCTCTTCCCTTTTTACTTTCTTCCTCCTAGCAATTCCTCTTTGTGTATATCTAGTCGTTAGATAGCAAGGTATTTCGCCCCATTACATGTATCATATATTTAAGGCCCTCTCGATATGTTGTGGTTCAGATATTAGGTCCTGAAATGTCCTATATTGTATGCAATACAAGGTGGCCGACTCGCTTTCATGGGCCGGTCGCTTACCGAATATGTTATAGCTTCTTTCTCTTTTCTGACCTGTATTGACTGATTGGCATCCCTTTGTAATGTATACCAGAGTCTTCGATTTTTGGAATCTCTTTTTTAGTAATTTGTTGCCTTCGGGGGGCTTGCATCTGTCTTATTCTTTCTGCCAACTGTATCGCTTATTATCGCAAGTTCTTTTAATTATTGTATATTTACAATAGTAAAACACACCCTGTAGGGCTTACTGAAGCTTTGGTGTGAGGTTCAGGTAGTAAATATCTTCGAGAACTTCTTCTGGTTTTTTTCACGGTCTTGGACGCTCTTTAGAGGGGTGTTTTCCACACTAGAAGAAAAAGCATTTAAAACGGTATTCATTCACTGTACACACAAAGATCAGGCGCGGAGAGCTTTGGTCTAAGGCGGACGAGCATCTTGAAGCTTTAAAATAATAGCAGAGCTATCTAGAAGGTATACCACTTTTTTTAAATAAATTGCGAATAATTTGCTAGTTAGAGGTCTTGTTTCGCACGCTAATAATATTTATAAGGAAACACTGTACCCTAGCGACCCACTTCCTATTCTCATCCATAGAACGTTGATAAATCTTTCGATTCGCATTCTTAATTGTAAGTATTCATGTAAGGAGACCTGGCGCTTTAACTTGGTAGTAGTTTTATTTGCCCGAACTGTTCAAAATAACTCGATTGTGGTGTTTTTAAATGCGGAGTTTTTATACTCAGTTACTGTATAGCGCGTTAGTCGTTCAAATCGCTGTTCTAGCTTTACAGGGTCCCTAGATGGCTGGGTAGGCGTAGGGAGATAGCGTTTAAACTTCGGCGTATACTCGGAGACGTGATTGGTGCGTTAATTAAGCTTGAAGACAGTATACTAGGAAAGGGTATTCGAAGGTCTACACGTGCATCCGCGCCCATAGGATCGAAGCCAGTAATATTAGGGCATAGGGGTTAGCATCAAGACAACAATTGTTGGATTAAATGGCCAAATTCCACGCTCCGCGAACAGGACACAGGTCGGATGAACATGGGTCCGCCAATGGGATGACACCATTCGATCCGCTGACGTCGGAGTTAAAACATACACTAGAGCCTCCTCCAAACTGTCCGAGCAGCCCAAGGGTGTAGCTGCTGGAGACGCCGTGGTGTTAGTTGGAACGCCAGATAGCGTGGATATTTACAAGGATGGGCAGAAAATTGGCGATTTCAAGGATTTCAAGCCCAACTCTTGCAACACCGAAGGGCGGTGTACGTTGTCTGCCACAGATAGTGCGATGCAACAATTGCAAATTCCTCTATACTATCTATATTATCAAATGGTGAATAATTCTTATGATGGGGGAATTCTCCTGGCCCTTAATCGATCCAGAGAGGAGCAGAGCAAATTTTCAGACACTCAGTGTTCGATTACGTTAAACAAAATAGATATAGGCAAGAAACCCTCTTGCAACGACGTATTGGATTTGGAAGCACCTTAAGTTCTACTCCATACAGTACGAAGTTTGTAGCTGATGGCACCTATCACAACGTAGTCTGTATATGGTATAGTGTAGAATAGTGTTTCTCTTATTTGATTTCCTGTCATTGGCTGATTATTCCCAATTGATGCCCAGTTAAAGTATTAAAATATTAATGCATTAATGTATAAATAGCAGTACCGGAAATAGCCCTGTAGACTGATAAACACACCAACCGTTTATGTGGTGCTAAATTGCATGGGTACTGAATACGAAGAATTGCCCAGCCTAAGCACACTAACATAGTTGGTAGGAGGGCATGTGAGTGGTGGATGGCATCGTATTCCTCACCATAACACAGAAAATACGGACTCCACGCAGATACGAGGATCTGCAGATACTGTTTCCCAAACTCATCGCAGGTGGGAAATGGGGCTTTTGAAAGACCAGAAATAGGCACCAATAAGAGGAGACATTTAAAAGCTATGGTATGCTCAAACCAAGCGTAGGGAACAGGCCAAGGAACTTCAGCCTGCCGAAAAGGGGGAAATGCCAATATACAGGTCACGCCAAGTGCTGCATACTATGTATATTGAGGCGAGTTCTCGTATATCCTGGATCTAGTGTCATTAATCACTTAGAGCTATTGTCAAAGCGGAGTGTACCTAATCCCCTCGCATGGCTCGATGTTACTCAGTAGTAACTATGAGGATTCGGGTATTTAAGTCTTGTCAAGCCCAAGGCTGAACATCCAGTTTCAGCTCACACTTTATTCTCTACCACCTGAAAGAAATAATTCCTCACATACCAATCACAATGAAGTTCTCCGCCATCGCCCTTGCTGCCCTCCTACCCGCTACGGCCCTGAGCGTCGCCTTGCCTGAAGCTGCTGCTGAACCAACAGCTCCCAGCCTTATTTCAGAACTCGATCCCATCCCTGCCGCCGAGATTGACCTCGAAACCAGAGACATCGAGAAGCGTGCTGTCAAGGGAACCGTTGTCACCGACGGTCTCCGTTATCGCACCTGTCCTAGGACTTCCTGTACTGCTGTCGGTCAGTATGCGAAGGGAACTAGGATCAATCTCGTTTGCTATACTCGCGCGAATACTACCCCTGTTAATGGTGACAAGTGAGTATTCCAGAAAGAAATCGGGAGTATAAGTCCACAGACATAGATGACTAACTGCTGTAATAGGGGTTGGGGTAAGCTGACGAACGGTAATTGGGTTGCGTTGGCCTGGGGTAAATATGTTACCTGGGAGAGTGAGTTTTCCATTTTATGGGTATATTGATTGATATAGTAAGACTAATTGATTTTATAGCCTCCCTGCCTGCCTGTTAAGCGTGGCTTGGTGCATGATGAACTATTGTAGTAAATGGAGAGAAAGAGAGGTGCAGGGACGCCTATATCGTTTCCACTGGCTGTGGATGACTTTATTCAGATACCCCGGTCTCTATCAGTCCTGGTCCTGTTCGCTTCAGCGTAACCCGGAAATTATATCAATGCAACTATATAGCGGAAGATATCCTGATCAGTTAGTTATTTATCTCGAATTAACTTGGCTTTGACTCTATTTACGTAGAATAGTAGCTTTTTTTTCCAACTCTATAGCAGTCTATGACATGTGTGTTTTACTGACTTACATTGACTGTTGTTTCATGAAGCTATTAAACCTTAATGCGCAAAGGCAAGTGTAAGAGTTAACAATATAAGGTTGACTGGTTTCTGTCTAGAAATTCAAGGATGCACTGGAAATTCAGTATATCAATATTAACCTCCGTAACCAGATCGAACCGATTCAGCAGCCATCCTAAATTATGCCCGAACATATTCATATACTGTAGAGCATTTCAGGGTAGACCGGACGATCAGTTAGTCTGGAAACCGTGTTGACACTAAAGCTATAAGCTTGCTGCGTTTAAAGAAGTCGTTCATAGCATTATCTGTCTCCATGGACCAAATTGTCCACCACTGGGATGCATCTCAAGTAGCCGATTTATCAGCTCATTTGCCTCCTTTCGTCAGCACTCCAAATCCTGCACCTGTCGCGGGATGATTTCTTGACCCTTGATCGTGCCCCGATAGACACCAGCCAGCTCACTATGAGTGAACGCTACACTGGGCGTGGTCGGGACTTCTGAAGGAGTGGTGACTTGGACAAGCTCGTGCATACGTTAAGGCGCTACTGAAATCGGACAGCGTATCTCGCACAAGCCTCTGTTTGGTCGATGTGCTGCACAGAGGCCACTGACAGTTGCTCTTTGGCATATAATAGTGCCACTGCTGCGGCGTACCTCTGCCAATCGTCGTTCTTGTGCAAATCGGCATAGTCGCATAGCCCACAGACCATCAGACACGGGAAGTTGTAATTATATTAGGAATTCTAATTAACTTCCCCTGACCTCTTAGAACTGCGGAATTAACTTCTATTTTCTGTATAAATCCCTGTTCTGTAGCTCTCGTTTAATATATACTTTTATTCTATCAATTCCCCGAGGATCAGCTTTTTCTGGACAACTTTAGTGGTTAGTTTATTTACAAGTGATTGATTGTATGGAACGAGCCACAATTGCTTCGGAGATTAGTCTCAAGTGATATAATGTGTAGATGACAAGTGCGTTTACCTTCGAGTCAAACCTACTCTGGGCATTTCATATTGAGCTTGCAACGCTGTGTAATACTGAGCATCACAGCGGACTGCTAAAACTTTTATGGCCAGAGTAACAGATACTAAAGGCCCTAAGGAAACCCTAAACGAAATAAGAAAGGAATAATGATAATAAGACACCGGTAACTAAAACTTAGAAAATTCCAGTTTCCAGAACATAACGCGAGCAGATGGACAGAACTGCCACCCACATGTAATAAGACCGGAACGCCATAAACCCATGACCAACCCAAAATAAAAAAAGTAATAGCGCTAAAAGCAAGTATTCCGAAACAATGACTGCTATTCGAGACGAAAGGCAAATCAAAGTATAGTATATAAATAGAATCTCATGCATTTAACATAATGAGATCTAGAACTCTGAAAGGCACAAGATGCCTGCTTTGCTGTGGATAGGATTGGAATATACTCGGCACATGAAAAATATTTCACTCAAGCCTGGCAAGGCTCAGACAGCTTCATGTAATTCCAACAAACTACTTAAAGTTAGAGAAGTCCTATGAGATTATTTTCAGGATGAACCTACTGGTATAACCCATGTCTTCACCAAACATGATTGTCATGAGATCCTCTCCATCTCGAGTTCCCTCATCTGGAGTATATACAACAGCAGTGTTCCCAAGAGCCAGTCCAATAACTGGTGGAAAATTATTCAGTGTAGTGAACTCGGGCTTAATATTAAAACGCTCCGATAGCATAACCTGATGAACGTTGGTGGCTGCATAGTGGCCCATGTGCATAGCACCCCCACAACGTTTAATCCCAGTCCACGAAGCAATATCACCCATAGCAAAGTGGTGGTCTGCGTTTGGGATATTTGTAGGGAATTGCAAGCTATTTCAAAGTTAGTTTATATCCAGTACATTTCAAGAGCTACACATACGATGACCGGATATTCACGTAGCCGTCCTGTGTCAACGCATCCTGCGGCAGATACGACGTCGTAGGAACGGATTTGGAAACGGCATTCATAACATGACCAGCCTTGATCTGCGTGCCATTGGACAAAGTCAGGTTCCATGCCTGCTTCTCTCCTTCTGTTTCTACTGCTGTAGTGTCGATAACCCGCCGGCCCAAAATGACCTCCACGCCTGCCTCGCGGAGCACAGAGGTAACACGGTCTTTGAAGTCGTCTGGTAAAGGCTCTGCAGAAAGCAGCCGATCGCGAGAATGAACAAGCGTAACCTTCTGTTTGGGGTCTAGTTCTTTTAACTCCGCAGCCATCTCAACACCAACCGCACCTATGACAGTGTTAGCTACAGTCAATTACATAGTTTCTGCAGGCCGTATACCTCCACCGATGATTACCACGCCATTTCGGGCACTCCGAATTTCTTCTTGATGGCCCCTCGCCTCCTCAAGAAATTTATGTCTTAGGAGAGATTGCGGAACAGTGGGGAATACCCGACGAAGACCGGAGCTAGCAAGCAGAAAGTCGTAACTTTCCTCTACGGTCTCGTTAGTTTCAAGGTCGAGAATCTGAGCCGATTTTTCCTGGCAATTGACAGAGCTGACACTGCCTCGAAGGAACCGCATGTTTGGTGACTGTAATGCAGGAATATCTTTGAATCGGTTCCATGTTTTGGATGCAAATTTGTCGCATGCCAGCGCTTTGGGGGAGCCAATCAGATGATCTGATAAAACAACGATATTAGTGATAGAGGTTTTACAACAATCGGATTGGTCTGGGTTGCTCACAAAAGCCATCTCTTTCATCCACCACTGTGATTTGAACCGGAACCTGTCTTTGAGGAGGTTTGGAATCTGCATTGGAGTTGAAGCGGGCCAGTCGACCAGCACAAAGATCGATAAGAGCCAAAGCTGCACTCAGTCCTCCGTATGAACCGCCGACGATCAGAACACGGTAGTTACGGATGATAGTGGCAAAGCCTTCGTTGGACGGCATGGTGGACGATTACAGAGGGAAAAGAGTATATACGGTCCAAATAACCTGGAAAAAGTAACCAAAAAAGGAGCAAAATAGAGGAGGCTAATACAATGCAAAAGTAAACAGAAGAATAGAGAATGAGCAGCTCTTTTCAGGAAGCACAATCTAATGAGCACTACACCCGGCGCCCGAAGCCAAGGGGTCAGATTATAACGAGTGGGGCGTACGGCAGTTTTGCTTGGACAGGTGTGGATGCCGTCATTTTAGCAGAATCATAAAGAGTGGAATAACGCTTCTTAAAAAAAGCCAATACTAGAGTTAATTTGTATTCTATAATTGGTGCTGAACTTTGGTCCTTGATGGAGAGCGCATTACATCTACAATGATATTCCTCATTATTGTAAAAGTTTTGGGAGCAATAGTCGTGCGATCCCGGATAGTGGGAGAAGCCGATGTCATCCCCCATCCATGGAAAAGAACAACCCCACCTTGGCCCCATCTTATCAGATGGAAATGCACCGGATTGTGTCGGTGCGGGTAAAGCATCCACAATTGATTGCATAATGAAAATACTTAGTCTGACACACTGACAAGTGAAAAGTGGGGTGGGGACAGATTTTTTTTTTCCCCTAAACTCAAGAGGGTTCCAAACAGGAGAGAAACCAAAGAGGACTTGAAAGGACCAACCATTTTGTGTCCGTGCCCAAGGTTTGTTTTATCTGATCTGAACTAAACAGCCAACACTTCTTTGTAGTGCCCCTCCAACTGCAATAATAAAGTTATCTGATGTGAGACGTACTATGGGCTGCATTGTAGTTTGTACAGAATATTCGATCTGGTTGTGATAGCAGAGATGCGATAATTTAGCAAAACATCCAAGTTATTTCTCCTTTTCGCTTATTTCATATGCACGGGTCATTCATACCTACGGCATTAAATATATGGTAAATGTAAGCTGAATACTAAATAAGCTAATATCTAGAAAACCAGAATGTATTCCTTAATAGTAGTTGACAATTCCTGCTTAAGTTTATGACACCTACATGTTAAATTATTACTATTTTCGTAAGTATAAATTAGGAGCAAGGAAAGCCCTGAAGAAAAGCATTCCATCCTTCTCATATAGAATAGAAGGAATGAATACACCATACTGGGTCCAATAACCAAAGTAGTCTTTCGAAGGACTAAGCAGCTCAATGAAATTCATTTTCAGGTTCGCGGGAACTCTGAAACATTGGCTGCGCTCAAGCCGAAGATTCAATAACCCACACAATCCACAACAAAGCTCCTAGCAGCACCGGAAGAAACTTGGATAGGTGCGGTATTTTTTTTAGTCACAGAATGTAGCTCGACCATGGGCGTCGTTGACTTGACCGGAAGGAAAAATTGTCGCTAGAAAATCACTGCTATTCTGGGAATAGTATTTTTACTCAGTTCCGATAGGTATCGGTATTGTTAGTGAAATACCTGCGGCCTACTTTGAATTCTTTACGATATGGAAGTACAGTGCATACATCGTAGATTTGAGAAACAAAAGCAGTACAGTACATCTCCACCAAGATAATGATCGCGTCAATGGGCCGATCAGGCTGTCAGTACTAGCTCAGGTACACCTTGGATATCGAGGCTTTTGTATACATTATCGGCAGCTTTTGGCCAATGTTGTTGTACACTACATGCAGCCTGCACACTCGTTGGTGTGACTTTGACTCTATTAAGACGTCGTCTGGAATATGCAAGACAAAGGACTTAAACTCCAGCTTACAAGAAAGGAAGTTACAGCCCCTTGAATCGTCTCTCACTACAACCCTACTCAGAGTTCTTCTCCCTACGACCTTTAGATTACACCAACGACTAGTATTCGAAATTGCTTAGCAAATGAATGACTCTCCAGCTGTGAAAGAGCTAGAGTGAAGCCGGGGCCTTCAACTGTATCAGGAATACATGCGCAAATTCTCAAAAACACCAATTAGACAGCAATTCACGCGAGGTCCAATGGGTCCGACCAGCTCGAGTGAGATCTATTCCAGGCTCTGATATGCTATTCTGCGCTTGTTCTACCAAGGTTTGTATTTTGTATTGATAATACATGGTTGCTTTATTGCGGTTCTTGTCATAATGAGTTCTTTTACTGTTCTTATCGAACTCAGAGCCGGACGACTGAGTAATACCTTAGATATACGGAGTACATGTGCAGGGTTCTTTGCTTGTCTGCATTCTATTTCCTTTCGCACAGTACGGAGTAGGTAAGAGGGGCCGAGGAGACCAGGTCTCCCAACTCGAGTTGAGTGAGTTGAGTCTGGGCTGACACCTTCCATGTATTATGTAAGGTATATAAGGCCAGAGCACTCTATATTTTAAGCCGAAAATCGGAGCGCTCACTTATTTATGTTTTATATTTAGCATCGGTCCTTCTCGTCTTAGTCGGGTATTGTAACGGAGTCTTGGCCAGCTGCGGAGACGTTGGCACTCTGCCAGGCACCCGTGTAATTAGATAGGAAGCTGGGATTCTGTCTGATAAGTTGATTATCTAATCTGATTGATAGTCGTCAGCAGCAATGATTTTTCACTGCAGAAGATACAAACTAAAGCCGTGGTGCTATTTCTGATGGTTGTCCTAACTTTCATAATTTGCGAGTGCCGATTTGTAGGTTGTTACGTAGCGATGTTAAACGGATTATCATTTAGATCAGTGTAAAACAACAACTATATCTAGATGACTTTTGTATTCGAATTCTATAAGTCTAGAGCATGAGTGATTGCAAAGGGTATTCTTTTAGGCATGAAAAGATTTATATATGTTCATGAAAAGTCGCAACAGACTCAGGTAGCTTTTTTGCGCTGATAGAGGACCCTTTCTGCAATCTTGCGCAATTCCACCTTCCGCACCTTTCCACTACCCGTCACTGGGATTGTTGCGTCCACACCCTCTTCACCAAAAACAAACACATGCTGTGGTGCTTTGTGGCGACCTAGTGTTTCCCGTGTCCAGGTCCGCAATTCTTCATCGGATGGTCTCTTGCCCTCGTAGCCTGGTGTTACGGCGATAAACGCACCAACGACTTCACCGTATTTGTGGTCTGGGATGCCGATCACGGAGGCGACTTCGATGGCCGGATGAGTTGCCAGCCGCTCTTCAATCTCTAACGGATAGATGTTTTCCCCACCTTCGGTAACAACGGTACCCAAGTCAGTCGATACAGTTCCGTAAATACGACGAGTTCTGCAAATCTGTACTAACCACGAATTATGATGTCTTTGAATCGCCCAGTGATGGTACAGTAGCCTTGTGGATCAAACATGGCTTCATCACCGGTTTTGAGCCATGTGATACCCTCTGCATCAGGGACCAGCGTCTCCGCCGTCTTTTGTGGGTTGTGCCAGTATCCTTTAGTCAACTGGTATCCTGCAATACAAAGCTCTCCACGTACGCCGACTGGAACAATGTGACCCTGCGAATCGATAATCTTTGCTCTCGCATGAGGCATTACTTTACCCACGGTCCTTAGTCGGGTCTCTATAGTGTCAGTGGTGAGCGCATTGAAGCAAGTTGGTGACGCTTCGGTCAGTCCTAATTGTAATCATTGACGATCAGCCGTTGTTTGTACGACGGTATGTTCCTCCTCTGTCGCCACTCACCGTAGCTGCTAGTGTACTGTGTCATGTTCAATTCCTCAAGTAGTCGTTTCATTAAAGGACGCGGGACGGGAGCACCAGCGATGATACCCGTACGTAAGTTGCTTGTATCGAAATTCGGGGGTTTGGGGAGGCTTAGGATCGCCTCGAACATGGTCGGCACACCGTGTAGTGCGGTACACTTTTCGTCTGAGATTGCATGGAGGACCGCAACAGGGTCAAACGTCTCACCAGGAAAGACGATCTTTGACCCATGCGTGACAACGGCCAGCATCCCCAGTACAAGGCCAAAGCAATGAAATAAAGGAGGGGGGCAGCAAAGGATATCAAATGAGGTAAGGTCCATACGGTCGCCAATGAATCTCGAGTTATTGACAAGATTGCTGGAGTCAAACCAAATGTCAGCGTTTTGCAAATTGCCATCACTCACTGTTATAGACCTCTGTTATGAGGCGACAATAGAAATGTTCACTTACTGATGCGTCAACATCGCGGCCTTGGGATTTCCGGTCGAACCACTAGTAAACTGCAAGTTGCAAACATCATCGGGACGCAGCTCAGCTTGTCTATCCAGAAAGACATTTGTTGATAGAGAGGTTCCATGTTGAATTAAACCAGTGTAGGTTCTAAAATTTTGGTATTTCCCCCGCAAAATGATGATCTCCTCTAAAGCTGCAGATGATCCCTTCCGCTTCGGTTGAGGGCCTAATTTTAATAAAACGTCTTCTAACGAACGTCGGCCAATGTGGGAAGTTAAGAACAGTAACCGACAATCTACAATCAGACAAAGTTAGAATAAAAAACTGAGTAGTTGTTCACAACGCGACATACCTGTATGTTCTAGAGCGTAGTATAGCTCTGAGGGCGTATAAGTGTTGTTCAAAACTACCAAGATCGCACCCACGCGGGCAGCCCCAAAAAACACTGCATATGAAAATCAAATTAGACTCGGAAAGAATCCGGTAACATACAGAGTTGGATGAATCCTACCAGAGATATATTGCTCGCAGTTTCCAGCCATAATACCTATACGGTCACCCTTTTGGATTCCCATTGCCAGTAGGCCGCGAGCCACCCGGTCAGCCTCGTCGTTCAGGTCTGCATATGTCCACCGAGCCCCTGTCCAGGGAAATACCAGACACTCGTGATCACCATATTTGAGACTTTGGAGTGTCAGGAGCTCGCCTAAGGTAATGTCGAGTAGTTCTGGCTGAGTAGGTCCATAGACGATAGAGAACTGTTCAACCGCCTGTGGTGGCTGAACATGGGATAAAGTTTGTTGTAAACGCCTGACAGCAGTCATCTTGGTGTATCACAATATATATGAAGGAAACAAACACCAAAGGATACGCCAGCTAGGTGTGGAATCTAATCGCACATAAATACAAAGGACTTGTACCTCGGAATCAATCCTTCTTTTTAGGGCTCATGACACCATGACATTGATTACTCGGTACTCAGTTCCTAATAAAGGAACAGGACCTACGATGGAGACATCCAATTTTTGCCATTGATCATGTTCTCCACTAGCAGGCGCCCCAGTTAGAATCCAACAACGGAGAAGAAGTCAGATAAATGGCTGATGTTAAAGTCAGACCCTGCGCTATACCCCGAATTGTCTTGGAAATTTCGGTTTTCCCGCCCCCAACCAATGGAACAGGAGACAGGAGCATCCTTCCAGTTCCGATATTAAAGCACTTTGACAAAGTGAGACCTTGGGTCATAATCGTTGGTAGAAATTCGATGCAATGGCCAACGGTGGATCTGGATAAATTCTCCAGGTTAGAATCTGGAAACTATCAATCACACCATTTCTGCTTCTAGGCCGGCTGAAATATTTTGTTGGGTCCGAGTGATTGTAGCCCTTCAGAGAATAATGGAACTGCTCTATCCTCTAGCTCAAATTCCGACAAACTTCAAATACCGCTAATTTACCATAAAAAATTACTGTATTAGACAGTTCTCCGTAGGGACTTAGGGTGGAGCACACGGACATTACCTATACAGGCTATTCAGAAAGAATTGTTAGTTAATACCCTGTCTATCACTCGCATTCCGTGCAGATTACTTGAACCTCAGGGGTCACCTTTGCTATAGCATAGCAAACCGCGGGAACTGCTACCTCGCGAACCAAGAACTTCGAGATTATCATGTGCGGCTAGAAAAGGGCGATAGATCAGTATTGAAGGATTTAGGTCCCTGGACGAGGAATGTATCAGTGCTCCACTACGGATCAGATAATTCCCTGTGGCCTCAATCCTGAGTACCTCGTATTTTATTAATCTGTTTTTGGATCTAGTAGTGGCTACCATGGAATCGAACACCCTTATACTGCTCGGACAACAGGTAGGGTGGGATATAAAGGATTTGTGGAACTTGTGATATCTGCCGGTCCAACGGACGAATGCTAAATTGTGGATTCCTTGTTAGATCAAAACATATTGCCGATTTATCTCCGGGCAAGTTGATGCGAGATGGGTTATGCTGGAAATGTTATGGAGTGGTTGGGAAACTAGCCGATTAAAAAAAAAAAAAAAAAGAGGGCCTCTCGTTTCTCAATCTAGATCGAGTAAAGGACACCGACCCGATCTGTCGGTCTCAACTGCCGGCAGCTTGATTGGTAAGTCAAGTTTCAGCCATTTGAAAAGAACCGGCGTTGGGAATACGAACAGATGGAGCCTGCAGTACTTGAAATATGATACCGTAATAATTCATACAGTACGAGTCATAACGGTATGCATCTAATCAGATGATCTAATCAGATAGCTAACTGGGGCCGATTATCGGAGAAATAAAAGCCCCGAATACCCCACTTTTCTCCCGACGGAACTGAAAGGCAGAAAGTCATCCGATTGTTGATTCGCGACAACACCGCTCTAAAAATGCCCACCGCACATCATCACAACTACTAGCAAAAATACTACCGCGGTAGGCCTGCAGTTCTCCCCCACTTGCTGTGCCCTCGGACCAATGACTTCACAATGGGCATTTCGGATCAACCGCAAATTACGACAACTGGATCTGTCTCGGCAGGTCCATCTTTGAAGAAACGTGTGGCTGCAGCCCTTGCAGAAATACCTTAAAACTTCAGTATTTCTCATGTCACAAGTGACATCCATCCCTTTGGTTACGTTCAGGTGCAGAACACTGCTGCTGTCGAGTACGATTCAGTTCACATGTGCGAGACCCCGCACATTCCACAATTCAACCGATGGCAGGCACAATCACGAGCAATGAGGGGCACGGCTCCGTGAGCTCCGCGAACCTGAAGTCTCACCCCCAAATCAACGGCGCACAGCATGACGAGATTCTCCCTGTTACTAAAGTACCGGCTCTGGATACGATTGATCCATATACTGTCCGCCGAGATATTAATATTGTGGTGGTAAATAGCCCCCGGACTGAGCTCATCTGCAGCACAGATATTCTCGATGTGGTCGACGACATCATCCAGGGTTATGCGCGCTTTATCTCGGAATTTGTTGGGCTCGAGGATATTGCTTTTCTTGTTTCTCGTCATGAAGACTTTGGATCTGGATCGACTCCAGCTCGCAATGTCATAGTTGCCTATGTGTTCTCGTCCAAGGAGAGGCAGAGTCTGAATTGTTTAAGCAGCTGCGCCGTGCGCCAACTTGATGAAAGATACTACAACAAAGACGAGATACAATTCTCTTTGGACTTGGGATCAAACTCAGAGCCTGAGAATGGCGAAAAGCAGCATCCCAGTGCCCAAGAACATGTTCGTACTTTCTTGGCTGCGCGTGAATTCCGTACTAAGTTGTTGCCAGCATTTCAATTTATTTATTAGACCTACTGCCGCAAACCGAAGTATCTTGGAAATCGGCTTCTCTTGCCCCAGGCAATTAATTCCCGACCCGGCGGTACACCAGCTGCTGAAGACAATTGCTTCGCACATAGCAAGTTCCTCGAAATTCCTCACCTCCAAGACAGCTCTACCAGAGGCATCAATCATTAATTTCCCGCCACTTATGACACCCCCTCCAATAGACGACAGACACAATGGGGGTGTTGGATATAGTAACTCTCAGCGTTCCCTTCTTCATGCCGCTTTCGAGGGCTGGGCCCGTAGAAAGCCTAATGCGATAGCACTTGATTTTGTACATTCTTTACCTTCAGTATCAGCCTCAGAGCACAGTATTCTCACCTACGCTGCCCTGGATAAAGCCGCGTCAAATGTGGCCATTCACATAAGGGCTCTTGTTTCCGGCAACGAAAAACCAGCGGATTATGGACGCATCATTCCGGTCTATATGACAACGTCACCGGAACTTTATATCTCCTATCTCGGTATCCTAAAGGCTGGTTATGCATTCTCCCCCATCCCTCAAGATGCTCCTGCTCAAAGGGTGCAAGAAATCATTGAAGATATCGGTTCACCGATTATACTTGGAAATGCCCCTGAACCCTTTCCTTGCCCGTGGCAAGTTGATTGTGCGAATAAAATAACCAAGTACACTTGGGTTGATGTGGCAGAGGTATCAAAGTGGAAAGAGTTGCGTGGTGACCAGATTCCACCACGACCCTTTAATAACCCTCTTGAGAAGTTAGACATCCAGGAGAACCAGATTGCCTATCTTCTCTTTACCAGTGGTTCTACTGGGAAACCTAAGGGTGTTCAGGTCAGCCATTTGGCTGTTACCTGCTCTATTAATTCACATGCTACATCGATTCCACTGCCAGGAGACTCCCTTGGTGATTTCCGCTGGTTCCAGTTTGCTTCCCCAACGTTTGATCCATCGCTGATGGAAATATTTGTGACGTTGAGCTGCGGTGCTACACTTTGTTCTGCAGACCGTGGGCTGACATTGATGGACTTAGAAGCAACAATAAACGAGACAAAGGCAACCGTCATGATGGCCACTCCCAGCTTGGCTGCACTTTTACGACCGTCCCGTCTCACTACTCTTCAATCTCTTTGGACAATGGGAGAAAAGCTCAACCGAACAGTCATTGAGAATTTCGCAGCTAAGCCTGACATCAACGGGACGAAGAGCATTGCTGCCGGTCCTTCAAGGATGCTAGTTAACGCCTACGGGCCTACGGAAGGGGCCATTAACTGCACGTTTCTCCCATTTGACTATTCAATTCGGGGCTCGATCATTGGAAAAGAACTTCCCACTTGTGCGATGTTTGTTTTGGAACCCAACAGCAAAGTCCCCAAAATAGTTCCTTCTGGACTCACCGGGGAGCTGGCAATAGGAGGCCCGCAGATTAGCAAAGGCTATTTGAATCGCCCTAAAGAGACTGCAAAATCATTCGTATTCAGCCCTGAGTTCGGCTACCTATACCGTACCGGCGACATGGGGCGTATTGTCTGGGATGAATCCGGTTCTCAAGTCCTTGAATTCCTTGGCCGCATCACCTCCGATCAGGTGAAAATTAGTGGTCGTCGTCTAGAACTGAGTGAAGTGGAGTCTGTACTTGCCACTGTGGATAGAGTTACTGAGGTCGTGGCAGTGGTTTCGAAGCAAGACAATAACTTACAAGGTAGTGAACAGATCGTGGCATGCCTAGTGACAAGTGACAAAAGCGACATAGCAAAGCAGGAAATTATGCACGAAGCGCAGAGAACAGCACAGCGACATCTCTCATCTTATATGTGCCCATCGGCGTACACTTTCTTCCCATCGCTTCCGAAGTCCAGTTCAGGGAAGGTTGATCGCAAGTCAATATCTGCTAAGTTACAACTGTATGAAAATAACGGCCTTCAAGTATTCTCTTCTTCAACGTCGGGACTCTCAAACAGTGTCCAAGTCGATTGGGACGCAACAGATGACGCAGATCTCCTATTATTGCAGCAGCTGGTGGTTACACTCATCTCAGAGACTATTGAAGAAGACGCATGCGAAGTCAAGGCAGGCGCAGACCTTCATTCCCTTGGCATCGATAGTCTTGGAGCGATGCGACTCCTGCAAAAGTTAAGGGATCATTCCATCGGAGGCTTATCAGTGGCCGATGTCTTACAATCTGGGACACCTAAAGCACTAGTTTCAACTATTGCTAGATATCGTCAAGCGAATTGTGATGCATCAACCAACGGTATAGACTCCGACAATTTGGGCGAAACCATTCGTCAGAATCTTGCATCCTTCTCCGACCGCAACCGCCTAATATGTGCAGAGAGACTTTATTTGACACCAGAAAAGATCCAGAACGTCTTGCCAACTACAGCAACACAATCTGGTATGTTAGCAAGCTTTCTGCGCAGCTCTGCCGATAATACCTTTGCCTCCCGCTCTTATATCTATCATTCCGTCCTCCCACTCGAGCCACACGTCGACATTGAACGCCTAAAGATCGCATGGCAAAGTGTAACAGCCTGTTATGATTCCTTCCGAACGGTCTTTTGTTGGCTCGACGATGATATGGCCCCTTTTGCCCAATGTATTCTTGCCGAAGGGGCAGTAGCTGAAGCAAATTGGAATGTTTATTCTGTGTCCCCAGATGATACGTTGGGCGAAGAAGGAACTCTTACCAAGGCACTGCGAAACGCCGACGAGACAATCAGCTTAGATACGCCTCCATGGAGGCTATCCTTAGTCCAATCCGCCGAACGAACCTTGGTAGTACTAAGCATGTTTCACGGAATCTTTGATGGAGGCTCGTTACAGCTACTTCTCGAAGATGTCTCCTCTGTTTACGCAGGGATGCAGGTCGCCAAGCGAACATCTCTAGAATATATTGTCAAGCATCATTTTAATGCTGACCATAATGCAACTTCTCGGTTCTGGGAAAAGCAACTTGAGCAGTATTCGCCGGCGGTCTTCCCATCACTCACCCCATATCGACCTCCCTCAGCGAAGACAACGCAACGCGTGGAAATAATTGCCCAGACAAGTCATATCAGTCTGAAAAGACGATCCAGAAATATCGGTTCAACTCCATTGGCTGTTCTTCAAGCTGCTTGGGGTTCGGTCTTGCTAGCATACACGGGAACTCCGGATCAGGACATCGTGATGGGCAGTGTGGTATCTGGGCGTCTTGATCCTGATTCAGAAATATGCATTGGTCCGACATTTACAACCGTTCCCATCCGCATGGCCATTAATCATATACAAAAAGATCCCAGAGGCCTTTACACAAATAGAGTTGTTGCACGTCATTTGACATCATTGAACACCCAGTCCCTACCGTATTTGCAGCCCCGTTTAGGGTCACTAGTGACAGCGGACGGCCGACTCCCCTACGACACGCTCTTGGCCTATCAAGATTTTAATGCTGGCTCCAGTTCAAGCGGGCTCTGGAGCTTGATCGACCACCCACCAATGGCAAATGATTTTGCGGTGATGATTGAAATCTGGCCCGATGTCGACTCGTCTTTAACTTTCCGCGCCAGCTTCAACAACACACAGCTGGACTCAAGGTCGGCCGAAGATATGCTTAGGTCAATGGCTGACATTGTCGAATACATACTTGGAGACCCAAACGGGGACTTCCTAGATGCCCCGTCGAACATCCAACCTGAGCTAAAGTCAGTATATAATCGCAGAGCCAGCGTTGTTCAAGAAGTATCAGAGAATGCTTTACTTCATTCAAGATTCGAAAACCATGCAGAATCTCACCCTAACGATTTAGCTTTAATATTCAAGGGTGACTTAGAGAACGACAATAGTTCTCTTAATACTTCATGGACCTATTCGGAGCTGAATTCGATTGCCGACGATCTCGCGGAACATCTTCAAATGTGTGGCCTCCTAGCAAATACCCCAGTACCAATCTGTATCGATAAAAGCCCGGCGTTGTATGTGGCCATTTTGGGGATTCTGAAAGCCGGAGGTGCCTGGTGTCCTATTGATACACTGGCCCCTGCACAACGTCGTCATGACCTTATTGCCCGAACAGGTTCAAATGTTCTCCTTGTTTCGTCTGTAGACGGGGCACAACCTGACGACGCTGTACCTAGCGGCGTTGGTGTTGTCGATGTCAGCAAATTCCGAGCATCCACTAAAATAAACGGAGTGATGAAGAAGAGCATGAAAAAACGAACCAATTCAGAAGGTATGGCTTATTTAATCTGGACTAGTGGCACAACAGGAGCTCCAAAGGGTGTCCCAATCAGCCATTCCGCCGCAGTATGCAGTATAAATTCTCTCTGCAGGGATATTCCAGCCAATGCGGATGGCAGCACTGTACGATGCTTGCAGTTTTCACAATACACATTCGACGTGTCAATCCAGGATATCTTTTATACATGGGGACTGGGAGGTGTTCTAATTTCAGCCTCAAGGGAGATAATGCTTGGCTCATTTTCTAAACTTGCAAATCTCACAAAAGCCACCCATGCACACCTAACGCCGGCCTTTGCAGCTGGAGTTCCAAGGAATAGCTGTAAAACACTAAAGGTGGTTACCATGATTGGCGAAAAGCTGACTCACCCCGTTGCCGAGGACTGGGGCACTGATATGCGAGCCTTCAATACTTATGGACCAGCCGAAGTCACTATTGTTTCCACAATAAGGGAGTTCGGGAATGAGCATAATAATATCAAGAGTGCAAACATTGGATGGCCTATGGATACTGTTTCTGTTTATGTGACTAAAAATCAGCGTACAGTGATGAAAAATGCAGTTGGAGAGTTGGCCTTGGGTGGTCCACAACTTTCCCCTGGCTATTTAAACCAAAAAGATGTCACCAAGGCCAAATTCTTATGGAGTGAGGAAGCTTTTCAAACTCTGTACTATACTGGTGACCTAGTACGAATGCTCGCTGACGGATCGCTTGAGTACATAAACCGAGTTGATGACTTGGTTAAACTTGGCGGTATTCGAGTAGAGTTGAGTGAGATCAGTTTCTCTCTCCGTGGATGCCACCCCCAAGCTGAGAATATCGAGACACTCATTCTCAGTCGTCCAGATAGGCCTTCAAAGGTGGTGGTTGTATTCCTTTCTGCATCGGGTGCAGATGGTCCAGCAGATGATGGACAGCTCTTGATCCTCAATGACAAAGCGCTCGAAATTGCTCGTTCCGCTAACGACCAAGCGCAAGCCATTTTGCCCGACTATATGATCCCGTCAGTCTATTTGGTGGTGAGGAGCATTCCGAGAACCCCATCTGCTAAGACCGATCGCCGGGCGCTGCAGGCTGCATATGCCGTTGTTGATATCGAAGCCTGGGAGAGCAGAATGAACCCTGAAAACATTGCTCTTGACCAGATATCAGTGGATCAATCCAGTACAAGTACGACAGCAAATATTATCAGCAAGATAGCTTTACTCGCCAACGTTTCACCTTCAATAATCACAAAGACTAGTCGTCTTGGCAGCCTGGGTATTGATTCCATCCGCGCGATACGTCTAGCCTCTCGCTTGAAGGAGTCCGGCTATCAGCTTTCGGTCGTTGAAGTTCTTAACTGTGTCACCGTTCAAGATCTCGTCAAATTAGCATCCTCGGTAGAAGTCACCAGAGCAGATACGGATGCATTCGATTTGAAAGGATTCAACGATATCTGGCATACACCAGTGTCAGCTAAAGTGCGAGAAGACTTTCTCGCTGTGCCTGCAACTACGATCCAGGAAAGCTTGCTTAGTGAAACAATGGGGACATATAATATGTACTGGAGCAACCATTTCTTCTCTCTTGATCGTTCTGTGGACATTAATAAACTGAGGCATGCCTGGCTCTCTGTCTCCCAAAATACGGAGGCCCTGAGAACTGGATTTGTCCCCGTGGCTGAGGTTACAACTGATAACAAGCTGGGAAGTTCGGAATTTTCGATGTTGCAGCTAATATATAGACTTCCCGACTTCGACTGGGGGTATTGTGAGTGCAGTGAACAAGACTGGATCGAACAGCGTGACAATCGAATCGATGAAATCATGAAAAAACATCAAAATACCTACTTCAAGAATCCACCATGGGCAGTTACTGTGTTCGACAAGAAGGATGAGATGGTAATGGTTTTTACTATTCATCACTCTATTCATGATGGTCCTTCGCTCAGTCTAGTTATGGATGATGTCCTTTCTGCTTATAGTTATAAGCCTCCTTCAAGGCATCAGCTCAGTGATGCCCTTTCCATACTTCTTCCCACGAATGAAAGGTGCAAAGATACCTACAGCTTCTGGTCGTCTGAACTGGAAAAGTTCTCAGAACTTGATGTTCCAGTATGGCCAGATCTGACTGGGATAAGGCTGCAACAAGGCGAGGTCCAAGAACATAGATTCATTGCAGCAGAGTGTCCGTTAACAGAGCCTGCTTCAGAGCTCCAAACTGCTATAGCTCAGTTGGGTGTTTCATCCATCGTTTCAATTATCAGAGCAGCTTGGGGGTTTGTATCAATCAGTTACCTTGGTGTCCCAGCCACTGTGTTTGGGGAAACACTCTCCGACCGTGTTCTGCATCCAGATCTCGAGGATAATATAGGGCCATTGGTATCTGTCGTCCCAATCCCATTTCATCCTGAAGGTAGTGTACGAGAGTTTTTGGCAGAACAGCACCGGCTTTCTATTCAATCATGGAAATATCGTCACATTCATGCTCGCGACGTTCGGAAAATGCTCAAACGACCGCGTGGAGAGCCATTATACCCAGCAGTTTTCAATTTTCATGTAGCTGATGAGGAACCCAAGAGCTCGCCGTCACACATTTGGCATGAGCTGGAGGATCAAATTGGTTTGCATGTTGAACATCCCATGGCTATGAATGTCTTCCAGCGTGCGAATGGCTCTTTGGTGTTGGAGGCTTCTTCAGACATAGCTTTAATGAACAAGGACCAGTTGGCACTTTTTGTCAATCAGATCGATGGCCTTGTCAGCGCGATGTTGAGATTCCCTGATGAACAGGTCTCAAATCTTGTCACCCGTCTTCCAACAAACCTTCGGTCGATCTCAAACAGGCCTGTCAGTGACATAGTCGCAGACTCAGTCAATACCAGTCCGACATATTGGTTAGAACTCTATGCCAAAGAACACCCCGAGTGGACTGCCGTGGAGGTAGCAAACAGTATATCTCCAAGCGGTATTGAAAAGGAAATTATGACATATGGTATGCTAAACACTGAAGCCAACCGCGTCGCTGCGTTTATTGCATCACTTGGTCACAAAAACAGAATGATTGCAGTCTGCTGTGGGCGAAACATCCCTTCCTATCCGGTCATTATTGGCATCTTCAAGTCCGGAAATATCTATTTGCCAATCGATGAAGGGCTTCCAGCCGACCGAAAAGCGTTCCTGATTGAGGATGCCGATTGTCCTCTTCTGTTTACCGAATCGTCATTCTCCCCGTCGTTCTCCCGCGTTCCTGAAACATGCCATATGTTTTGTACCGACGATTTGGAGTTCCAAAGGGCGGTTATGGAGATGCCTCCTGAAAACAGGGACTATCAATCCCACCCGGATGACCTCTCATACCTTCTGTTTACATCGGGATCTACAGGCAAGCCTAAAGGCGTTATGGTTACCAGGGGAAATCTCTCATCGTTTATTGAATCTTACAACAATTTCATTGTAGAAGCCGCTCCGCGCACGTTGAAACTGGGGGGCACAGGGAGACAACTTGCACAAGCTAGTAGGGCCTTTGATCCTCACTTGCTAGAAATGTTCTATCCTTGGCGCCATGGAATGGCGACAGCGACAGCACCCAGGGCGATGATTCTTGACGACCTTCAAGTGACACTTTCCCAATGGGAAATCACTCATGCATGTTTTGTACCTTCATTGGTGGATCAGGCAAACATCCTCCCAGAGCACTGTCCAAATTTGGTATACATGAGTGTTGGGGGTGAAAAAATATCCCAAAAGGTGTTGGATGCGTGGGCCACATCCCATATCACACTTGCCAATGCATACGGTCCGACTGAGGTTACAATTGGCTGTACATTTGCTCACATTGACAGAGACACAAATATGCGGAACATCGGACCACCTTTAACTTCCTGCGTCTGTCATGTCCTTGTCCCTGGCACACAAACATATACTCTCAAAGGCCAGACTGGAGAGCTATGCTTCACAGGGGATATTGTTGCCAAGGGTTACCTTAACAGACCAGATGCAACAGGGTTTGTTTCCGGACCCAATGGTGAACGGATGTATCGGACTGGTGATATAGGGCGCTTAATGGCAGATGATTCTGTCGAGTATCTTGGCCGTGGTGATGACCAGACTAAGATTCGAGGACAAAGACTAGAACTCGGTGAAGTTTCTGAAATTCTTCGTTCGTCCTCAGCAGTTGAGATTGATGTCGTCACAACTGTTGCTAAACACCCCGGCCTTGCAAGAGTACAACTTATTTCTTTCTTCGCAAGATCCGATGCTCGTCAACGTGAAAAGGGTGGAGTAGTCGCATTCATCCAATCTGACTTCACCACTCTGGGTAAAGAGCTCCAAGATATTTGCAAAAAGAAACTCCCCGGGTACATGATCCCTGAGCTCATCTTGCCTATAACATACATCCCGCTTGCACCGATGTCCGGGAAGGCAAATGTCAAGGATCTTCACGCATTGTTTTCTAGTCTTCCACTGCCTGCGATACTTCAGGGAAACAACTCTACCAACATAGATGGTGCTTCCATGACCCGACTTTTGACTGCAGATGAAGGGGCCGTAGTGAATGAAGTCTGTACTGTCATTGCTGCCGATCCCTCGACGATTGGGCCCCTGACCAATATTTTTGAAGTTGGCCTGGACAGTCTGAGTGCTATAGGTCTGTCTATAAAACTCAGAAAAATCGGATACGAAGCTACTGTGGCCCTTGTGATGAGCAACCCAGTCATAGAACAACTTGCGCGTCTTCCTAGGAAATCCTCTTCGCAGGATGCAAATGCTGCCGTGTCAAAAATACGTCAAAGCCTTGTGGAAAAGGAATCATTGTACCATCAAACTATCCCTGCAGGCACTGACGTGTCGCAAGTGGCATCAGTTATGCCCTGCCTGCCGCTTCAAGAAGGTTTGGTGGCCCGTTCTATCAACAATGAAGGCGATCAGCTTTATGTCAATCATGTTGTTCTACAGCTTGAGGACCATATTGATGGTGCGCAGCTGAAATCTGCATGGCAGGCCGTCGCCAGTGACAATGCAATCATGAGAACCGCGTTTGCTCCGTTGGATAAAGAAGTAGTACAAGTGATACTCTCAGCTGATTCTCACACAATCCGTTGGGACGAAGAATCGTATGGGTGCTTGGAAGAATCACTTGAAAAGCAGAAGCTGCGGCAAGGACAAGTTTCTCGTGATATTATCTCAAACATTTCTACGGTTCCTCCAGTTCGATTCCAATTTGCATGTTCATCTAGCAACCGCCCGCTGGCTCTCTTTGTCTCCATTCATCATGCTCTTTATGATGGTGAGTCGTTCTCGATGTTATTAGACGATGTGGCAGCGAGATATGCGAAGGATCCAGTTCCACAAAGAGGTTCACCAGCGACTTTCATAGAGCATATCTACACTCAGGATTCAGAAAAGGCAAAGAGATACTGGACACAGTATCTCAGCGGCTGCCGCTCCACACTTTTCCGGACAGACTTCAATGTCCTGGAAAGTCCAAGATTGGTTTCCAGAACGCTAAGCAACAAGTTGACTGATTTGGAGCGACGTTCAGCAAGCCTTCAAACAACTGTCCCATCCTTGGTCCAAGCGATATTTGCTCTCCTGCTGGCCGATGCAGTAGGAGTCTCTGATGTGACTTATGGACTTGTACTTTCCGGTCGGGCTGTCTCGGTTACTGGAGCAGACTCTGTGATCCTCCCTTGTATCACGACCGTTCCTGGACGGTTAGATACCAATGAGCTGAACACAGTTACTGAAGTAGTTGAATATGTACAGAAATCAACAGTCAGGTCTCTGGAGTTCCAGCACACTTCCTTGAGACATATACAACGCTGGTTAAATTCTGATTCTCCGTTATTCGATTGCCTCTTTTCCTACATCCAAGCTACTACGCCATCGAACCACAACATTTGGCGAGAGCTTGATAGTCAAATGCCGGCGGAGTATCCCCTCGCAGTTGAGGTTGAAGCGAGTTCGACAATGGACACTGTCAATATTAATTGCTATTTTTCTCCCGTATTCAGCTCCTTGCATGGTGGAGAGGAATTCCTTGAGAAGATGGAGGCAGTGCTATCGAGTGTCGTATCAGGCGAAACTCTCTCATTAGACAACTTCAACCTTCCTCAATCAGAAGGGTCTGGCTCACGCTCGCCAATTGCCCAGTGGGATGAAACAACTTGGTCCGTCACAGAGGCCAAAATACGAGACCTCACCGGGGCCTTCTGCGGGCTGGCATTGACGGACGTCTCAAAGGGTGCGTCTTTTATAAGCCTTGGAATTGATTCTGTCACTGCTATACGGTTTTCACGAACGCTACGTGAAGTGGGATTCGCGGTATCGTCATCTGATGTTATGCGCTTCTCCTGTGTGGGCGCATTGGCTATGCATATCGAACAGATTTCCATTGGCCCACAAAATCAATCAAATGGGCACAAGAGCTCCGCCGTTCCATACGATGTCTACAAGAAACATGTTCATCTGCTTAGCGAGAGTGATTCAATCTCTGCAGCATTTGAGTGTACTCCTTTACAGTCGGGAATGATAACGCAGACCATTGGGTCTGCTGGGCAAGTCTATGTCCACCCCCATCCTGTCAGGCTTGCGGAGTCAGTTGACGTTACTCAGCTGAAAACTGCTGTTCATAAAGTAATCCTATCAAATGATATTCTTCGCACCTCCTTTCATCTGATTCCAGAGTTAGCCCATTCCTGGATTGGTGCTGTGCACACATACCCTCCCTTTGAATGGAAAGAGATTAGCCTTCCCTCCGATGCCGACGTGCTGTCTGAGGTAAGCGCCATTGCTTCATTCCGTGAGGAGGCATCATTTGAGGTTCCACCAATCCGAACAGTTTTGGTCAATCAGCCAGATGGCAGACTCCTTGTTATCATCATGCACCATGCCCTTTATGACGGTGCATCTCTGCCATTTTTCTTTGAGGATCTTGCCATTGCCTACGATAATAAAATACTAGCGGAGAGGCCGCAGTTTTCAGAAACTGTTGAATATGTTTTGGCTAAACAAGCGGATTCTTGCGACTTTTGGACCCAGAAATTGTTGGGATATAAGGCCGCCGAGATCCCACAGCTGCCTTCCGATCAGGCATCGGATCGTATGTTTCTTTCGGAACATCGGGTTGACCTCGAGCTGTCCACGACTATTGAATCTTGCAAGGCTATGGAAGTTACTGTGCAGAGTGTTGCTTTGTTAGCATATGCCAAAGTCCTTGCCCATACCATCGGTCAGCGCGATGTTGTGTTTGGACAGGTTCTTGCAGGCCGCTCTTTGCCGACCCCAGGGGCTGAGAAAACCCTTGGGCCATTATTCAATACAGTTGCACAAAGAGTCACCTTTGAGCCGAGGTTTCTAAGCAATAAGGCAATGGCTCTACAGCTACAACTTTTGACGGCAGATGCACAAGTCTACCAGCAAGCCCCACTGAGGGTCATCCAGAATTCCCTAAGACAAGTGAACGAATTCAAGTCCACTTCTCTTTTCGACACACTTTTCGTTTTTCAAAAGAGCGCCGACTTTGCAGGGGGTATTTTGGAGACACAGCAAATTTGGACTCCTTATGAAACTGATGACTACGCCGCACAAGCCGAATATAAACTGAATGTTGAGGTTGATCATGGAAAAGATGGCATCGTCGCCAGGGCATCATGCAATGGCCAATATCTATCCCAAAGTAGTCTTGACAACTTCATTGCTGAATTTGGTGCTGTCTTCCGAGACATAATCGAGCATCCAACGAGGTGTGCGACAGTCATGCCGGAGCGACTTGGTGAATTGCCGCTTAGTCTCTCTGCTCCAGAGCAACAGGTAGATGCATTTGAAGACTCTGACGCACCTGCACACGAAAACATGATTCAGTCAGTACTTGCAGACGTCACTGGGGTTACAGTGGACCACATCAAGCCAAGAACAAGCATCTTCAGCATTGGGTTGGACTCCCTATCAGCAATCCGTATTGCGTCTATATGTCGGTCAAAGGGACTCAAGACCAGTGTTGCTGACATCCTCCAAGGGAATACCCTCCGGGGTATCAGCCAACGAGTCCGACCCATAGAGGAGAGTACTATTAAGCACAAAGGTTCACTTTTCCCAGATTATGAGCGTATAGAGAAGGCAGTGAGCGAGAAGCTTAGCTTGCCGAAGGAAGCCATCGAGGCAATATTGCCTTGTCTTGGAGGCCAATTCTATCACCTTATCAGCTGGTTGAGATCCGGAAGAAAGCTGTTCGAGCCTGCTTGGCCATACTTCAGCTCAGAATGTATCGATAGTGAAAAGCTAGAAGAAGCTTGGTATCAACTTCGTCAAAGGCACCCAATCCTCCGAACCTGCTTTGCAGCCCTCTCGTCGTCAGAAGCTGTTCAAGTTATCATGAAGGAGGCCCTGCGTGATACCGAAACCTTCCAGGTTATCAGCTCTTCATCTCCTATTACTGACGCTGCGAAGGCTCAGGCGAAGGAAGAAGCTTTGAAACCCTCTTCGCTGTTTGTTCCTCCTGTTCGCCTTCGCCTCTTGAAAGCGAGTGACCGAGATGGAATTCTTATCCTTGTCAACCATGCTGCATATGATGCATGGACAATGCCAATGTTTGTGACTGAACTCGAACGTCTCTATCGTGGTCAGCTATTGGACACAAACCCCGATTTTGCATCATTCGTTGATTTCTCGGTCCGTTCCCTTCGTGACATAGACGAGAAGGCTTACTGGGCCGCTGCACTTAGGTTCGGTAACTGCACAGTTATTAAGAACTCTATGGGAAGTAGAGATAGCACTGTCCCCGATCAGTTGTTTGTTGGAGCTTGGGAGAAGGTTAAGAATGTCTCCCAGCTAGAAACTACGTGCCGTTCTGTGGGCCTGAGTCTCCAAACTTTGGTCCTCCTAGCCGTTGCACGTTGCCTTGCTCGAATGACTGGGGTCAAGAATCCGACAATGGGCTTATATCAAGCCGGCCGATCAGGCTCGTTTGCTGGAATTGAGAAACTTACCGGGCCTTGTCTCAATGTGAACCCATTCACTGTTCCCGATGCAATTTCTGACATCGACAACTCCCCCTCGAAACTTTTGAGCAAGGCACAGGCCATTCAAGCCTCCCTGGCCGAACGCGTTTCGTACGAACAAAGCTCACTCTGGGATGTTCTACGGTGGGCTGGGGCTCAGCAACCCGAAAGGCCACTTTTCAACGCCTGGGTCAATTTACTCTGGATGCAGAACGCAGTGCCATCCAGCAACGACATCACATCGGATGTGGATTCACGTGATAGCCACAATCTGTTTTTGCCTCTTCATGTCGGCGTCCCCACAGATTTCATCCCTGTTGAGCCCCCAGCGGGATTGGAATCTACCTCCGTGTCAGCATTGGACACCTCTTCTCTACCGAATGAAAATCTCTACATAGACATTGGGCCTGACCCCAAGACCGACACAATCGGGTTCGGTATCCGTGTGGAGGGTGGTATCCTCTCAGAGGAAGAAGTCGATCAGTTTGTTACTGGGATTGCAAATGAGATCGACATAATTGTTTCTTCCTTGCAGTGATGTGAGCCAATCTAGGGGAAATATATTTGCTTGTTTATGACGGAAATAGCAAACAAAGATAAAACGAGGGAAGCTACAGACTAGGGATTTGATTAACCACGGTGCATATATCCTGTTACATTGTATTTAGAGTGTACGACAGAGCGTTAAGAGAATAGATTTCGTTCCTGTGTTTTCATTGTCTAAATATATGTTGTTGAAGCTGTCGGGTTTAAGCCGGAGTTAACAACATCCCTCACGTCCGGTCTTGGCACGAGTTGCTAAGCTACCTCAGGTAATCCACAGCTTCTCTCCCCGCCGGAACGCAGCGCAAATCGATGTGATGAATTTCTCCCCATCTTAATTGGCCCATATCTCCTCGTTTGGCAGGGCTCTCATCCCCGCCGTGGTTTTACTGCAGCCATTTCGCTCCTCGACTGAGTGCGAGAGAGCCTCGGAGTTCCAAGATGGCTTACGTCGTACCCATCCACAGGGCGAGTAGCATCCGCCACGCCCTGAAGCTGAATTTCCTGGACCCCGAGGAGGAATCTTTGGTTGTTGCGAAAGCGAATCGGCTAGAATTTTACAGCCTTACGCCCGACGGATTAAGTCTCGCTGCATCATGCGCTATCAATGCTCGAGTAACCATGTTGACCCGCCTACCCAAGCCCGCGGATTCCCCTACGGACCACCTCTTCGTCGGCACGGATCAGCAGAAATATTTCACACTGTCGTGGAATAGTTCCACACAGCAGGTTCGGACAGAACGGAATTACGTCGACATTTCGGACCCATCGTCACGCGAGTCACAAACAGGGAATCGGTGCCTGGTTGATCCCAGCGGTCGATTCATGACACTAGAGATCTATGAGGGGTTGGTTGCGGTGGTTCCGATTGTGCAGCTGCCTGGAAAAAGGAGAGGACGGGCGCCTACTTTGCCATCGGGCCCGGATGCCCCTAAGGTGGGGGAGTTGGGGGAGATGACAACCGCTCGGATCGATGAACTCTTTGTGCGGTCCTCCGCATTTCTACATGTTCAGTCAGGGCCACCACGCTTGGCTCTTCTGTACGAGGACAATGAAAAGAAGGTTAAAATGAAGGTCAGGGAGCTGGAATACACGGGTGCCACGGCAAGCACGAGCGCAGACGCAACCCTTGCACATGTAGAGGACTTCGTACAGGAGCTAGACCTTGGAGCTTCTCATCTTATACCAGTGCCGGCACCATTAGGTATGTCATTTCCTCCTAGTATACGCTAATGCACTTTCACCGGAGCCTATTGTGATACTGACGACAGACAGGTGGCCTTCTCATCCTGGGGGAAACATCCATCAAATATATCGATGATGACAACAATGAAATAATATCTCGACTTCTGGAAGAGCCAACCATATTTGTGGCCTGGGAGCAGGTGGATAGCCAGAGATGGTTGCTGGCTGATGACTACGGAAGACTGTTCTTTCTCATGCTCGTCTTAGATTCGAATAATGAAGTACAAGACTGGAAGTTAGACTTCTTAGGGAAAACGTCACGGGCGTCTGCCCTAGTGTATCTTGGAGGTGGCATTATATTTGTGGGATCTCACCAAGGAGATTCCCAGGTTTTGCAAATCGGCAACGGCTCGTTCGAAACTATCCAGACCCTGTCAAACATTGCCCCTATTCTCGACTTCACAATAATGGACCTCGGGAACCGTACCAGTGACAGCCAAATGCACGAATTTTCATCGGGGCAGGCTCGAATCGTCACTGGATCCGGTGCGTTCGACGATGGAACACTGAGAAGTGTGCGAAGTGGAGTTGGCATGGAAGAGCTGGGCGTCCTAGGTGATTTGGAGCACATTACGGACCTGTGGGGTTTGCAAGTTGCAGCTAGCGGCGATTTTCTCGACACGCTTCTTGTCACGTTTGTAGACGAAACGCGGGTCTTCCAATTCAGTGCCGACGGTGAAGTGGAAGAATTGCCACAATTTCTGGGGCTCAGCCTTTCGGAGAACACACTTCTCGCTGCTAACCTGTCTGGAGGGCGGATATTGCAGGTGACCGAACAGAGAGTTCTCTTTGCCGATATGGAGGGTGGGATGGTCATACATGAATGGACGCCGCCAAATAGGCAGGTTATTACTGCTGCCTCTGCGAATGATGACGTACTAGTCTTGGTAATTGGTGGTGAGCATGTGACGGTATTGGATATCAGGAACGAGGTGCAAGTCGTCGCGCAAAAGGATTTCGGGGCAGATATTCAGATCTCCGGCGTCACCCTTCCTTCATCCCCAGGAGAAGTCTGCATTGCTGCGTTCCCCCAATTAGCGAAGGTTTCGGTTCTTAGGCTTCAGGACTTGAGCGAGCTTCACACTACGTCGCTAGGCCCTGCTGGCGAAGCTTTTCCAAGATCTGTGCTGGTCACGAACGTTCTCGTGGACAGCCCGCCGACACTCTTCATCTCCATGGCCGATGGTAGTGTCATTACTTACGCGTTCAACACAAATGATTATTCTATGACGGGTGTCAACAAATTAATTCTTGGATCTGAGCAGCCGACATTTAAAAAGCTGCCCCGGGGTGATGGGCTATACAATGTGTTTGCAACATGCGAGAACCCGAGTTTAATTTATGGCTCCGAGGGTCGCATCGTTTACTCGGCTGTAAACTCAGAAGGCGCATCTCGTATATGTCATTTCAACTCCCTGGCGTATCCTGAATCAATTGCTGTCGCCACTGCACATGAGCTGAAGATCGCTTTGGTCGATAAGGAGCGAACGACCCAAATCCAGACTCTCCCAGTCGGCGCAACTGCCCGCAGAGTTGCTTACTCTTCTTCAGAGAAGGCGTTCGGTATTGGCACTATACAACGGAAGCTGGAACATGGAGCTGAGATAGTCACGAGCCAATTTCTGCTCGCGGACGAGATTCTATTCCGGCGTCTTGACCATTTTGACCTCAGACCGGAGGAACTGGTCGAAAGTGCCATTCGAGCTGAATTCCCCGCGGGCAAAGACGAAAGCGGGCGAGATATCTTCAAGGACCGATTCATTGTTGGGACGACATATATAGACGGTGACGAAGAGGACACCATCCGCGGGCGGATCCTCATATTCGAAGTTGACAACGGTCGTAAATTGGCCATGGTAGCCGAACTTCCTGTTAAAGGGGCTTGCCGTGCCCTGGCTATGTTGGGTAACAAAATAGTGGCCGCACTTGTGAAGACGGTAAGTCTAGCTGCGTGGTATTGGGATGATGACCGAAGATCGCTGACAGCCTTTCCAGGTCGTTATCTATGATGTTGTGAGCAACAATTTTGGGGCAGCAAAGATCGAAAAGTTGGCTAGCTATCGAACATCAACCGCGCCAGTGGATGTGACTGTGGCCGGCAACTTGATTGTCGTCTCCGATCTTATGAAGAGTGTATCCCTCGTGGAATACAAAGAAGGCGAGAACGGTCTGCCTGACTCACTAACAGAGGTAGCTCGTCACTTTCAGACTGTGTGGGCCACATGTGTCGGCTGTATTGGCCCGGACACGTTCCTAGAAAGTGACGCAGAAGGAAACCTTATAGTTCTTCGTCGCAACCTCAGCGGGGTTGAGGAAGATGACAAGCGCCGTCTAGAGGTGACAGGCGAAATCTCCTTGGGAGAAATGATCAATCGCATCAGGCCGGTCAACATTCAACAATTAGCCGGTGTCATAGTTACCCCAAGAGCTTTCCTGGGAACGGTATGTATTAAATTTCAGCCCGTTCTCTTGCCTTGGCCATGATCTGATATGATATCTTCTAAACCCAGGTTGAGGGCTCCATCTACCTCTTTGCCATTATCAATCCTGAACACCAAGACTTCCTGATGCGCCTCCAAGCTACCATGGCCAGTAAGCTTGAATCTCTGGGAGATATGCCATTTAATGAATTCCGAGGGCTCCGCACGATGGTCCGGATATCCAAAGAGCCGTATCGCTTTGTGGATGGGGAGCTGATCGAGCGGTTCTTAACCTGCGAGCCAAGTCTCCAGGAGGAGATCGTGAATGCGGTTGGCGTGACGAACGTGCATGACGTCAAAGTTATGATCGAAGCGCTGCGGCGACTGCATTAGAGCACGGCCACTTTATTTAGCCAGACATCCCTCGTACTACGGGGGTTGCATGCATTGCGATGGTCCAGAAATGACGATTTGGAATCATATGATCAGTTAACGAAGCAAGCCATACTAAGCCGCATAAATAATTTAAGTATGTGTTTTTATGTAGAAGCTTTCAAAGATATTGGCCAATATATCATTTTTCAATGATTTTCTATTCTTTCCATGTAAGGGAGTAATTGAGATAAAACTACCCATCGGTAATACAAGCATGCTAGAAAGATACAGCAGATTAATATAATTTAGTGTCCCAGAAATACTCCCTGCACAGTAACGAGCCAGCTGAAGGTATTTGACTTGGCAAGCAGTCACGAAGAAATAGAACCTCCTTCTTTCTTCGTCTCACCGTCTGCCTTCTTCTCAGCCGATTTCTTCTCGTCTTCAGACTCACTCCAATCCAACAGCTCCATCAGCTGCTCATCGGAAAGATTGTGCGTGCGCTGGCCGGCCTCTTTCTTCATGTTCTTTTTCAGGCGCTTCCGAGCATTCTTCCCCAACTCCGGTACCCCACTAGCAGTCGCAAAATCTTCACCATCGTCGAGCTCGTCGTCCGTATTTTCGACCTCCCCAAGTACCTTTCCGCCAGCCCGTAGCGAATTCGCAGAGACCTTGGCTTTCTTATCACCGCTTGCTCCGGTAGCCTCGGCTTGCGCCCATTTCTTCTCCTCCGCCTTCTTGCGGTCTCGCTCCTGCATCTTGGCGAAGAATTTTTCAATGTACGGCCGAATGATGATGTATCCTGTCACGGAGAGTATGACCTTCGTCCATCGGTTGACTGACACGTCTGCGAACGAGGCGTACAGATTTCCGAAGAATCGGCGGAATATCGTGTCGAAGAAGGTGTAGAGTTGACCGAAAAAGTCGTTAAGGGCATCGGCAACAAACTCACTGGGATCGCTGGCTGGCATTCTGATGTAATGGAGGAATTCGCCGCGGAGGGAATAGTTGTGGGAGATATAGTTAGGAGGGGAGGAGCTAGAAGAAATGTCTCGTAGGGAAGCACTGAGCGGATGAGACCGGTCGGATGGCCCAGCCAGGGAATGCGGAAATTAAAACCAGAGTACAAAGAGTCTAATCTGAGACCTCTACAGTCGTGCGAAAGTCACCATAAATGAGGAGTTTAAAGAGCTTTCTTCACACCTTCTAATAAAGAATTCTGTACCTGGAAAATGGCCGTTTACGGACTAGCGTCATGATATTCCGGAAAATAGTTGTTCCAAGAGCTATCTCCGCGGCCAATCACCCACGGACAAGGCACGTGTTGAGACGTGACGGTGTTGATTGATGGTTTTCTACGCGTGGGCTCTTTTTTGTCTCTGTCGATATTGACTCTCAGTCGAGTCTTCTTCCAGCTACATTTCGCTGATCCAATTCGGCCTATAATTGCTTTATCGGAGAAATGGATCAGAACGAAGAGGTGGCCCTTGAAGAGGTACGAGGAAGTCTTTAACAACCATGTTCACTATATCACATGGCCAGATGCTGAGTACCTGTCTATTTTTTCTAGCGATTGAAGTCGGCTCTCTGGTTATCCATTGGAAAGATTGTCGATGAAGAGACAATTAAACTTGGTATCAACGCCACGCCGCAGTTTATCGGTGCCTTAACGGAGATGGTGTGGGCTCAGATAGGTACGCATTTGAGCCCATCAGAGATATTCTTCTATTCGGTCTTGTCTGTTGTGGCGTTTTTCACTAACCATGTTCCCATCAATAGAAACTGTCAGCCAAGACCTGGAATCTTTTGCAAAGTAAGTCGATTCCTTGCATTTACTGGGCCTAAAGTGCTTAATTTATGAAGTGCTTTTCCTCCCTGGTTTACTCTTTTGCTAATACCCTGTATTGTACTGAGTCCGCTAACACGTTCGGCTTTCCCCATTCAGACATGCCGGCCGCTCCACCATCAGCGTCTCCGATGTAATGCTGCTCGCACGCCGCAACGAGGGCCTGGAATCGATCTTGCGTGCGTTCGTTGATCAGATGCGTGAAGAAGAATCTTGACAAGATGCCATTTCACTTTACATTGGATATCGAGTTCTCCAATTCTCAGATTTTATTTGCGGCTACTTTACGCTTCTATTCAGGATCACAATCCTGTTATTCTGTCTAACCACTCGTCATAGGTCTAGAAGGCTTCTGTGGTGCGGCGTATCACAAAAAGCGGTTGGAACCATTGAAGCTGCTATGGATATATTGCCCATCTAGCCCTATAACGCAACTGGTTCATACCCCACACCAGAGAGGAACCATCACGCACCAAGATTGCAGAGTCGCTTCATGTCTGTCCAGGATCCGTGGCGCATTTCTTTCAAGGCGATTTCTTCCAGGTGAGCCGGGCATTATATGTTACAACTGTATGCATCCAACGAATCATCACTATCTACTCAGACTGAAGACTGAAGTTCGCGATTTGCTTTCAGTATACCCCATATCTATATGCCACTTCATAAATGCTGTAATGAATACTATTCTAGCCAATGAAAGGCCATACGTACAAGGCGAAAATGTTGGCAGCCTATTAGCCAGTATCAACGTCATCTTCGCGTTGGCAGCATATCCTATGTAGTTGGGCCATGGTGAAGCTCTAGCACCTTCAATAGAGTGTTTTGGATAATGATACTCATATCCATGGTTTACCAACGAAGGGTTGCAATGTCTTGCAAAAACGAAGTGACTTGGATGTACTCTTTTTGGCCATGTTCAATGCCGCGGTTGACCTTAGTACTTCTCGGACTGAGCTGAAGACCATGTGAAGTCAGTTCGCTTCTACGGTCGCAGTGACGTTCGGCAGAGAGAATTGAGGAACCTGTTTGTGGCAAAGGCCAGGTCAAGATCGGTTGACTTTGTATATCGTTTTACACCATAAGAACCATGTGCTGATCAGGTCGAGGCTTAATAGATCCGGCTTGCTTTCGTTGGAATATGTGGAACTAGTGAGAACCTCTTACATCTAATGCATAAAAGTGACAGTAATGGACTAATGGTTTCAGATGTACATGAATACACAACAGGGCCTGGGCTGATTCCCCAGAAACACTACAAAATATCCGGTGCCACATATCCGGTGACACTTGGGCACGAATTTTCCGTCATTGTTGAAGAAGTTGGCGAGAGTGTCACAAGTGTTTCCGGGACAGCGAGTAATTGTACGGCCGACCATCTTCGCTTGACAATGCTCATCGTGCAAACTTGGTTGTGAATATTGTTGTGGCATTGGTTTCATAGGCCTATCCGGTATGCCCCTGTCGATCAATAGACAAGCGATTCAAGGCCCTAACGTTTAATATAGTTTATGGCTGAGGGATGGCGACCAAGCTTGTGGCCCAGGAAACACTTCTATCCGCTCCCCAAGAATGTGTCACTTAAGGCTGGGGCATTAGTTGGGTCGTTGGCAGTTGCTTGGCACCATGTCAACATGTTCCCATTCAAACCAAATCAGCATATGTTGCTGTCGGTGGCGGACTCGTGGGAGTTGGCATTGTACAGATCTTAGAGCTGCAGGGCGCTAAGCCCATCACGGTGGCCGAGCCAATTGAACGGCGTCGACAATTTGCGCTGGAGTGTGGAGCAACACACTGTAAATCCCAGAGGAAAGGATGTCACGGAAAAAGTTCGGGGTGTCACCAACGGCGTTGGGATGCACGTTGTCCTCGACTCAGCCGTCGTGGAAAAGGCAATGCGCGCTTGAGGTTAAAGCATGTCGCACTCATGGTTACCATTGTGAATATTGCTGTATGGGAATGGCAACCAGCCGTTCCGGTAACCGAGCTAATGTACAATGAGGTGCAATATACAGGAGCTGCGCTCTACGACGAGGATGCGTTTCAAAATGTTATACGAGCTCTCAGCCATGGTACATCGATGGAATTGGGTCAGATGGCAAATTCTCGTGAAACGGCGTCACTGGTTACATCCCAAATCAATCTGGACGAGGTGGTCGAGAAAGGTTCGAAGCGCGGTATTGCAATGACTGGGACGTACGCTGCAAGATCCTATTAGAGTTACATGCGTCCAAAGGTTGATTGGCGATTCTATTTTTGTCCGTTGGCTGTTGTATCCATGGATGTACATACATCTACCATGTAGCCTTCATTTGGCGCCACTCCGTCCAGGCAGGTGACAGAGGCTGTGCTGTGCTGTGGCTGTGGCTGTGGCTGTGAACTAGATTACATAGTCACTGGGCAGGTTGCCTAAGTAAGTAAACTAATTAACTAACGTACTCCACAAGTGAGCTGCGCAGGCGTATTCCCATACAAAATGGTACTTTTGTAGCTTGGGATAGCTTAACCATTCTGCCACTATATAAATAGAAATTTAATCTGAGGACTTTGTAGTGCTGAATAGAGTGCATAACATTTTTTAAATAGCTAGTACTACTAATTACATCGATATTATAAATTACACAGTATTTCAAGATTGGTATATATGTATCAGAGACCAAAGCAAATTTCTTTTACCAAATATTTACAGTAGCTATTTACATACTCATATCAAATGAATTTCTCTAATATAAACCATAATAATAGAAAAATTGTTAGATATTCCAGGTTAAAAAAGTGCCACTTTGTATGAGAATACTGGTGCAGCTTGACCATTGGAGTAGTACGTTAGGTTAACTAAAACAGATTACCTAACTTTGAACGCGCCATGTGACTCGTCAGGGTCCCCATCCAGATTAGTCATCCTTATATCGTCGGCGAATCAGCAACGAGGACACATCAATGTTGACATCACAGGGTCCCGTCAGAGTAGGACTTCATGTGACTTGGACAAGGAAAGTCGACGATTTTTCGTCCTCCTTAGCTGTTGGACTGCCAATCAAGTGGACCTTACGCTGTCATTACCCGTGGATCGTCATGGAGATTGTCTGTGATGACTCCTTGAAGGGCCTGTGAAAGTATTGCTTCCCCTGGGTTCCACCACTCACGGAGGCATCCAGGGAAAATGCCTCCACGGATCTACCTCTCCTTCGACACCTTGTCCCGTCCCGTGGAACCTGCTCGTCAATGCAATTTTGCTGCCTTTTCTCTCCTGAAACTCTATATCATCTTGACGGGGAAAACTTTGAACTAAGCCCTGCTGCCTCCCTTGGGACTCACTCCTGAATTTCTATTTTATACTAACAGGAACCCTACCTCGAACTCTCTACACGCCGTTCCTCGCGTGCTCCATATATCAATCTCTATATACCAAGAACTTCTACCTGTGCGACAACCACTTGGCTTCTTCCCACCCCTCAGAACAAGAATCCTACCATCGTCAGGATGGTTTTTGGCGGCGTGGTCCTCCGTTTTTCCAATTTAGTCATTCGCGTACTCCAGTTCCTGGACGCCGCAGTCATCCTCGGCATATTTTCATTCTTCCTGGCTGTACTCAGTCGCCATGACCAGAACATCCCTCAGTGGATCAAAGCCACCGAGGGTCTTTCCGGAGCAGCCGCCCTTTATGGACTTCTGGGTATTCTCTTCACTTGCTGCGTGGGAGGTGTTGCCTTCTTCGCCTTTTTGGCCGTTGTTCTCGACGTCTGCTTCGTCGGAGCGATGATCGCCATCGCTGTCATGACCCGCGATGGCACTCAGACGTGCTCCGGTCATGTCAACACTCCCCTAGGTTCGGGAGACAGTGAGGTGGAATCTGCTTCCAGAGTGAAGCTCGGATTCGCCTGTAACCTCGAGAAGGCCACATTTGCGGTTTCTATTATCGGAATGTAGGTATCATTTTTAAGTTTATCCCTTCAAATGCAAGTCATCCTATTGAAACACTCTCTCACACTTCTATCCCCCAACAGCTTTTTCTTCTTGATCTCCATCCTCTTCCAAGTCCTATACGCTCGCCATCACAAGCGCGAGAAACGGTTCGGCCCTTCCCCGGCAAATGGTTATACCTATGGCACCCAGCGTCGGGGATTCTGGCGTCGCAGCAAGAACGTCCCTGATGCTGCTAGCTCGGATGATATTCTCCCGGGTCATCCGACGCCACAGGATGTGGAATTGGGCACCGCCGAAAAACCCGGTCTTTTTGGTCGAATGTTCTCCCGCAAGAAGAGCGCCCGGGATGCGCCACAAGCTCCAGTCAGGAACGGCTACGGTTATGGCAATTCCACGTATACTGCTAACTATTGAGATGGCTGATACGCAATACGATTACCTAACAGTGCGTGGGCACTGATCAATCTATATGAAAACACACGGCAATTACAGAGTCTTGGCGGGTTCTGTCTGACCTTTGGTTTCAATGGACGGAAGGTCTACAGGGATGATTAACGAGCTGGAATTAAGATACCAAGGGAGATACCAAGGGAGCATTGGCATTGGGACTGGAAATTGTTCTGTATATTACTGGGGTGGTGTGAAACGCATTGCCAAAAGCAGCCCTTATCCTTATTTATTTTAATATAATCAATGGTTCTTTTCTCCCCCAATCATGAAGAATATTCAATTGCATAACATGGATCATATTTCTGTAGTACGCCCAGGACAAGACGATATCCATAACAAAACACACCAAAGCAAACCACATAAGACTATGACGAGCCCCGGGCGAATGAACATACCAATCTCCGCTCCAGGCGAAAGACCATAAAAGAAAACAGGAAAACCGAACTAGGCTGTTCCGTAGACGCGTTGCATGAAGCCATGAAGACACTCTGTGCCGGTAGCAACTTCGCCCATATGCACCACCCGGCCATTATCACAAAGCGACCAGGTCTTCCCGTCGGAGGCGCAGACAATGGCGCCATGTTCGCAGGCTTGAACATTTGGGGTTTGTTCCACGGTATCTTGCTGCCGTGGAGTGGCGAGGTCGGAAGCTGGTGTTTGTGCCTTATAGGCTCTCGATGGCGATGGGGTGCCGAAGCTAGAGGCTACCCTACTGCTCGAAGCAACCTTGCTGCTGGAAGCGATTTTGCTGCTGGACGGTCGAGCAGCTGTGCTCATGGCAACATGCGAGCCGCGAATCGACGATGGCGAGACCTCAGCGCTAGACGAGACATCATGGCCGACTCCGCTTGATGCATTGCCAGTCCACATATCAATATCGTTCAAATGGCCCTCACGCAGGAATGGAGCAGTGCCTTGGCAGTTATAGCCCTTTCCAGATAATGAACCCTCCACGGACGTTCCAGGCATCGGGAAATTCACCTCCTCCCCTTCGATGGTAGTGCACTGGCCGGGACCTCCAGTGTTGGCCCGGAATAGCGTAGGAAGGCTATCAAATGCGGCCTCAGTTCCATGAAAATGGTGAGGGCGAGGGTGCTTTGGGCGACGACGGGCAGAGCCTTTGATGGTGACCTGGGCACAGTTCATGTACATCTCGCGATTGCCGATCTTGTTGAACCAACTCCATGCCAGAAGGGCCTCACCGCTCGGTGCATCGCTTGGGATGGTAAATGTGTACTGTTTGGGAATGGGACATCCTCCCAGTATCGAGTGGATGACACGGAAAGACTCGCCCTTGTCATAAGAGAGAGAGATCTGGCACGATCCTCCGCCGTGTACGGCACTCCCCTGCAGTTCTAGGGGATACGACTGGCCAGGGCTGTAGTCGGCTACCGAGTGGAACTCATCTTTTGCGTAACCCTTGCATGGATAATCAGAGCCAGAGCTCGACAGAGGGTTGGTATACGAGTAGTCAACCTGTCCCGTTGCGCCCTTGTTCAGTGGACTGCGGATGGGATACGGGTTGGACATTTGGATGTGGCCACAAGCAGTTGTGACCAGAAAGCCACCAATAATCAACAGGTCCTTCATGGCGATTTGTATGTCCTTCTGTTTGGACTTGTTTCCTGAGTAGTCAGATCAGGTCTCGTAAGGTGAGCTACCCAAGATATAGCCCTGTATGATGACTTACCAGTCCGTCGCGTCAGGGAAGCTTTATGTTGAGGATTTGCAAGTAAAATGCTAATACCAATACACCTTTGGCAATAAGAAGTAACCTGGATCCTTCGCTCAACGGGGCTCTCCTTCAACAGTACCAGAGATTGAAGCAGGCTGGCTACTTGCAAGAAGTAAACACAAAGCAGCCTAGCAAGGGGGAATTCCAACAGACGCCTGGCATCTTATATGTTTGCTTGCTATCACGTCTGTCTTTCTTCATATTCCACCCTGTCGTGACAAGAATGATGGATACCAGATCATCATGTCATAGCATCCAGGAGCAACGCCTCTCTCACCGTGAGGAATGCTGGCGCGCGCCATCTCCAAAGTCATACCATCAGCATGGCTAGTGTATGGACTATGAACATTCCATGGAGATAGCACAGGGTGTAAAGTTCAAGGATATAATTGGGGCCCTCTCTTTTGCTTTTGAAACGCGGTGGTATTAGGACTCTCTAATACTTAGCCACTCTTTCATTCCAGTGGCAGTAGGGATTGGAGATACGTATTACCCATATCCTAAGAAGAGGAGACCATATAGATCAGTCGGTTCTGCGCCATCTAAATTTTAAACTCGAATAGACAGCGGGGTATAGACGAACTCCGTTGACGCTGCTGGTCCTGCTGTGTTAATGTTTAGGGCTCGTAGAGTCCGCACTAGCAGGGCCTGAGGCATACCTAAGCCCCAACGCCAGCGCGTCTCCCTCGGACCTCATTCTGCCCGCTCGCTCACTCTGCCACAGCGAGGATGTGCCACATCACATCAGAAGTCCGTTTTCACAGCTAGATTTGCATCCTCTCTATCCTTTTCTCAATATTCATCTATCCAACTGAATGCCTTTTTGGTTGACCCTCCACAGGAAGCTTGCTGGTCGTGTTCTTCCCTTCCACCATGCCGCGCGTTTCCATGGTCGCCAGGAATCTGTCTCCTATGTCCGCAACCTTTGCCACGTCTTGTCACCCTGGTGGATAATTCGATTAGTTACCGTGGCAAACCAGGTTCCTTCTGTTGCTTTAGCTCATGCCTCTGGTCTCTCTTCGATTTCATTCTTCCCTGCACGCGTTTCTGGAGGAAATGGTGTTCGACCACATTCCTGTGCTAGGCGATCATTGAAGCTTACGAGGCCCTGGATACCTTCATTACCCCAATCGAGGCCATTTTCATTGCGTGCTGTACAACATACAGAATCCCTCGCCATGCCAGTCAGCGAGGTTACGCAACGTGGCGTGCGTGCTCCATTTGTCGATAACCTCGAGAGAGGTGTCGATCAGGGAGACGCGCGCTCAATTGGCCAAAGCCAGGATACTCCTACAGATCTAGAGTCGGATGAGAACGTCCCCATGGAGGCTGGGGAGCTCGAAGACGCCCTAGCGCGTCCTTCCCCTGTAAATAGCAGTTTTCTGCCTCTTCCCTGGAAGGGACGGCTGGGCTACGTGAGTTTTGTCCCGCAGTATGTACTCGGTGTCCAAGTGCTTATGATTGACAGGCTTGTTTGAATACCTATCTGCGATACTCGAATCCCCCGGTTTTCTGCTCCCGCACATGTCGCATTTCTTCTATTCTAGAACATCGCCACCCCCTTCAGGATCCATCGCAACCTCCCCATGCCACTAAGAATCGCCCTGATCGCACACAGCCTCCCGAGGTTGCACGGGGCCAGGCCTATGTTGAATCGCTGGGCCTTACCAATGCCCGTGATGTGGCCAAAATATTACGCTGGAACGACCGATATGGTATCAAATTCATGCGCTTGAGTAGTGAGATGTTCCCTTTTGCGAGCCACCAGGAATATGGATATAAGCTGGCCCCTTTCGCGTCAAGTGTACTAGAGGACACCGGTAAGGTTATCGCGGAGCTCGGTCATCGCGTTAGTGTACACCCTGGTCAGTTCACGCAGCTGGGCTCCCCAAGGCGTGAAGTCGTAGAAAGCTCCGTGCGGGATTTAGAGTACCATTCGGAGATGTTACAGCTCCTCCGCTTGCCACCCCAGCAGGACCGCGATGCGGTCATAATACTCCATATGGGTGGCGTTTTTGGGGACAGGGCAGGTACTCTGGATCGCTTCCGACAGAATTACAATGCCCTGTCGCAAGACATTAAGAACCGGCTGGTTCTGGAGAATGACGATGTGAGTTGGTCAGTGCATGACTTGCTGCCCATCTGCGAAGAACTCAATATTCCACTGGTCCTGGATTTCCATCATCATAATATAAATTTCGATTCAAGGCAGCTGCGGGAGGGCACGTTGGATATTATGCAACTTTTCGATAGGATCAAATCTACCTGGACCCGCAAGAACATTACGCAGAAAATGCACTACTCAGAACCCGTCGCGTCGGCCATCACAAATCGCCAACGCCGAAAACACAGTGACCGTGTGTCCACTCTCCCCCCGTGTGATCCTACCATGGATTTGATGATTGAAGCAAAAGATAAGGAGCAGGCTGTGTTCGAGCTAATGAGGACCTACAAGCTGCCTGGCCATGAACTCATCAACAATATCATCCCGTACGTGCGAGCTGATGAGAATAAACCTTACAAACCCCCGCGAAAATCTACCAAGAAGGATGGGGGCTTTGTTGATCTCGAGGCGCTGGTTCCCCCTGCGCTGACTGTCCCTGACGAGGAGGTCGGAATGGGGGGTCCTGAGGGACGGATTTATTGGCCTCCAGGTATGGAGGAGTGGCTCCGACCGAAAAAGGTCGTGCGTGTCAAATCGACCCAGAGCCCCAGAAAACCTCTTGTGTCAAAGAAGACTGAATCAGCACAGCAGAGCGGGGAGGTCAGCACCATTACCTTAACTATGCCGACTTCGAAAACTCCGTCGCGGAGACCAAGTACAAGGAAGCGGAAAGCTTCCGTGAATCCATCTTCGTCCACTTCCGAAGAACCACAGCCTGAGACTCGCAGTCCTTCTCGGTCGCGGAGCAATGGCACTCGTCGAAGCACCCGGTTGAAGCGGGTGAACTATGTCGAAAGTGAATCTGTGTGATTCCGCAATTATTAACTTGTAGCGAATGCTCTTGCCATTGAAGAATGGCGCATGTCCATGCGTGTGTAAAATCACGCACTTTTGTATAGACATTGATATGACATGGATAGATATTCTCCAAGCGTTGTAAATAATTATAATGATTAGTCCATAGATGTATAATATCATGAAACACCGATCACTCTGAAACCGCATGTCGTCATTAACTCTACATGTGCCAGTGCTGCCTCAGGCCACCTCGCCCGCACTGTGACTCCCGATTCTTTCCCTCCGAATAACGTCGCTCTCTCCACCCTCTCAGTCCTCTTGTTGGAATAATCATCAGAATATTATCATATCATACTATATAGAATCCTGTTTTTGTCGCCCACTACCACTAGAGTGAGATCATGACCTTTAGCTCACTGATGGCCACTCCTTGTCGTGTACACTGGCCACTCTGACAGCACATCCGATAACACCAGGACTATTTTAGACCGTCCTGCCGTCCTACACTAGAGGTGCATCTGCATCGCATCGCCTGCGAGGCTAACTTGACGACCCTGGCTCCCAAACCGCCTCTCCGCAATCGCTGGCGCTTGTTCTTGCCGACTTCCCTAATCACCCGTCAGTCTCTGGGTCGGCCTTTCCCTTCCCTCGTCCATTTCCCCAGTCAACCACGACGCACTCGCCAGGGCAAATTCTCGCTCGTCCTGTGTGTGCTCTTTGGGCCGCACGCGAGCCGCCGCGTCCTGTCGCGCCTCAGGGGTCTTCGCTACGAGACGATCCCTGCCCTCCGCCACCGTGCTCAGGCTAGAGTATACCGAGCAATTGTCCAGCGACAGGCCAGAATTGCCCGACGACACGACGTTGGCAGACGGGGAATCGTTGGTTTCTTCACCGGGAAACGGAGACAGCTGCGGGGGATAGATTCGGGCGCCGGTCGTATCGAAAGCAGGGGATCGTCGCAACGCAGCAGCTCGTTGCAGGGTGGGAGGAACGCAACGAATGCACCACCGACAGCCTTCATGTCGCAATACCTGCCATCATCGTCTTCCGCCCCCGGTGGGCGTCGCAAGAAGGTCTACGAATATTTGAAGGCCGCCAATGAATTACGCCAGTCATACGCTGCGCAGTGGGCGCAGCAGCGGAACGGCCTGCGCGATTATAGTGAGGACTATCTGAACACGCCGGGAGCCTTCCCCGATGTTGACATCGCGAGGTCCGGTGATGAGGAGATGGTGATTTTTCCGAGCTACGCAAGGCGGTTGGTTAAAGCTAGGCATGCTAGACAACGCCGGGGCTCCACTTCAACGATTGATGAGTATCGCGGGGTTTCGGAAGAGGAAGAACTAGGTTTGGGTGAATGGGAGATGGTGGAGGATGAAAATGCCATCGTCGCCGTCGATGTGCGCGGCTGGGTTTATTCGCCTCATCGCGGGCCGATGACTCGAAAACATCGCTTGATGGTTGCACTCGCGCGCAAACTTAGTGGCGTTCCGGCTCCTAGTAATCCCTCGAATGATATCGAAGAGTCGGGGGCTGTATCTGTGGCAGCGACTCCTGGGGGGAAGGACGATGAGTTGGTGGATACGGAGGCCCAATCGATTATCAGAAAGGCTGAGGGAGGGGTAGATTTAGGCCTCGACGGTGGAACGCTACCAGGACGCTCCTCGCAAAGGACAGCGACTTCCACGTCAATGGAGCCGCCTCAGATGAGCAAGGATGAAATCTCCGTGGCGAACGCCCATCTCATGGAGAGACTACGCCCATTCTTAACGAACCCTATGACAGGGATGGCCGTAACTGTCTTCTTCTTCAACGATGGAAATAGTCAGTCCAGAAGAGTCATGACCGACGAGTCCGGCCACTTCGTTCTCCGGGCGGCGCTACCATTTATCCCGACTCATATCCGCGTGCTGGCATCAGAAGACCTGTCGGTCATGAAACCGGTGGAGATTATCGAGCCCTCGGGAGTCAGCTTGATCAGCGATATCGACGATACGGTGAAGCACTCCGCCATCGCTAGCGGAGCTAAGGAGATATTCCGCAACACCTTTGTTCGCGAACTGAGTGAGCTGGCGATTCATGGGGTTCCAGAGTGGTATAATAAGCTGGCCAAAATGGGCGTGGAAGTCCATTATGTCTCCAATGCACCGTGGCAGCTGTATCCCTTGCTTGAGCGCTACTTTAAGCTAGTCGGACTGCCTCCCGGATCTGTGCACTTGAAGCAATACAGTGGCATGTTGCAGGGTATCTTTGAGCCCACAGCAGAAAGAAAGAAGGGCTCTCTAGAGCAAATCTTGCGAGACTTCCCCGAACGCAAGTTCATTCTTATTGGCGATAGTGGAGAGGCAGACCTGGAGGTCTACACCGACATTGTTCTGGCAAATCCTGGGAGGATACTCGGAGTTTTCATTCGCGATGTAACGACCCCTGATCGTAAGAGGTTCTTTGAAAAATCTGTCGACCACCTCGAAACCCCCGCTTCTCGGAGTCGCAGCGCAATTGAGAATTCGGATTCTGTGAGCAATCGGCCCGCGTTGCCACCTCGTCGGCCGCGAGAGTCCTCCGATCCCTCTGCGGACACCAAAAGTCTAGATGAGGCCGATCTGATCGATCTCCGGGACGAAGAAGAGCAAGAGCGTCCTCTAGAAGACATCACAAGACCCTCCAATACACGTACGCCGCCGGCCAAACCATCCAAACCATCATCTTTGCGCGCCGTCTCGATCAACCCCGGTCTCGTCGGTAGCTCATCTTCTCTACCGCAGGAGGCCATAAGACGTAAACCAGTACCTCCTCTGCCACCCCGACGTAACCCCCCAGAAAACCAGAGTGCTTTGCAGCGGGCACCCGAGGAAAACCCCGTTTCTTCCGCGAACTCTCTACCTACGCGCCCCAAAGTGACCAGCGACCGCAACACAGCTGGATCTCCAGCGTTCAATGACGGGCGACCTATCCGCTCAAAACAACCTCCTCCGCCACCACCCCCACCACGTCGGAGCAACACTAGCACGTCCATATCTACCGCAAGTCTCAACCCAACGAACACAAGCGTCAGCCATCCTTCCTCTCAGAAGCAGCAATCATACCCTGCCACCGCAGCAACGGCCGCCACTACCGCCCTGCAGTACGCATCCGGCCGTTTGAGCTGGGCTCCTTCGCCATCCAATATTCTCCGATCCACAGCATCGAATACCACGTTGGGCGGAAATAGTAGCGACAGCGACTCTCAATCCGGGTTAGCCTACCCCAACTCATCGGCCGGCCCCTTGCCCAATAAACGCGAGGAGATATGGCGACGACGCTGGGAACGAGCTCATGATATTCTATCCGACCAAGGGGTCGTTCTGGGCAGTTGGCGCGATGGGAGAGATGCTCAAGATGTCAGCGTATGGTTAGTAGAACAGGCGCTAAAGGAGGCTTGGAGGCCACCTGGCCCATAGACATTCGTGTATATAGACTTGTTTATTTATACATATTCGATTGGACTGTTCCTGTCCCTATTTCTAGACAATATTTGTGCACAGGTATATTCATATTTTCATCGATAAGCAATATAAAATTCTACAGATCCTCTTATACTGGCGACTACCATCAGGTCATCCTTATTGATTTATTTACCTCTCCAGTAGAATTAATGCCATATTTTGATAGGCTGTCAGGTATAAAGGCTAGACAAACCAGCTGCCCCTTATAGAACCAAATAAAAATATAGTCGAGTGGGATACCCAAAAATATGTTGTTAACTATATAACAGCAGTCCCTAAGTCCGTAGTACTGAATATCTGGATTCTCTAGAGTAGTGTAGGAACGGTCCTAGTTGGCTTGTGGCAATTGCTGCTCACTCTCTCTGTCTTCTTTCTAGTCTGGGAATATAAACTTTTGGTCACTAGGTGGTTCGTATATACCTGATCTTCCGGTCAGTTAAACTTTCTTTGTTTTCTAGTCGTAGGAAAGGTCAGGTGTCAATGCTGTTATTTAGTTAGATTCTAGACTGCATCACAAATGGTAATTTGCAATATTCATTTATAGTATAGTTGGTTTAGTTTATATGTACCCATTTGCATAGAACGTACATGAGGCACTGGATTTGATTCAGGCCGAACCACAATGGGTAGGGGAATAACTACTAAACAAAACTGGAAGTAGGATTTTCCTGTAATGTTGTTATTATCACAGATAATAGCTGTAGCATTTTTAAATGCAGTCTTGATATATAGTTAAATTATTGATTCGTTTGAGCCATGAACAGCCATTATATTTATACTAACAAAAACAGTTGATGTACAGACTTTGTTTGGACCAGGTACCTATTTGATTTGTAAATGAACCGGACGTCCACGCGCTCTATAATATAAACATAGGGGAAAAAAGGTAATTTCAAATAGCGAATGCACAAATGGGTATGTATAAACGAATAGATAGCCAACAACACAATTGCTTAACTCCTCTGTATCCCTCTCACGAGGCTATAATGTATTCGGTGCATGACAATAATTGAAAAAAGATAGCGAGAGAATGGGGTAAATAGATGGAGAAGGAAGAGGGAGTGAGGGAGGGAAAAAGGAAAAGAAAAAGAGGGTGGGACGGTGAGAGGGTAAGAGGTCAACGAAGGACTATATAAAGGCACAGCGTTCTCACTGGCCAGGAGATGTCGGGTTACTCGCTGGCCCGGAAAGGAACTCAGGTGGCACCTTGGGGACACGCGGTGAACTCGTTGTTTGAGCGACCGTCCGCTGTTGTGCTCGTACTAGATCACGCTGTCGCTCCTTTTCCCGGGTATTAGCTGTGCCCCCGGTGAGTCGTCTCATGCCGCTACGGATCATGGATTCGAGTGATGATGATCCATCGGTCATGTTGCGTGTTTGTGCGAATGCGTTGGGGATAGAGGACTTATTCGCTGCACGCTCGTCGAATTCATAGATCCCCTCGTCTACTTCGTCATCGGACAGGAAAGCTGATTCACTGAACCCAATTGGTGGGGTGGTGAACTGGGCATTGGAGGAGACTGGAGAGAATAGATTATTGATCGGTGAGGTAACAGAGCGCGTGTGTGACACTGGTCGAAGCCCCTGGTTGGATGCCTGAGTTGTCGAGGACGCTGTCGTTGATTGTGACCCTGCACTGTCGAATCGCAGGTTCGAAGGCCGGGACTCCGCAAGACCGTTGTGGAATGAAGACGATGACGCAGTTCGCGCCAGGGACTTTCGCAGGATCGGTGCTGTTTGTTGATCGTAAAGGCTGGCGCTGGTGTCAACATAGTTACCAGTGAAGCCGCGTAGTGTTGAGTCAGGCAAGCTATCCAGCGCCGGGATGACCGTCTCGGTATCTTCGAAGAAATCATCCAAGCTATCTAGCTTTTGCACTATATCTCCGATATTACCATCCGTCTGCGTATCGATTGACTTCATGGTATCAGCCCGCATAGGGAAGAAAGTGTCGTTATATTCGTCCGCGTGGAACTCGACTTCGGAATTGGCTGTTTCTTGTGCCTCCATACGATCCACTTCTGCACAGGTGTAAAAAACCGCATGCACGTTATGTCTTGTTGTGGTTGACTGAGAAGCAGGCATTGGGATAGACCATCCAGTTGGCTCTGGTATTCCGTAAAGGCTCTGTATCCGCTCATACTCTTTGCGTATGGCTCGAGACGACGACGATGAAGCCATGCTCATTCGAATATGATGACGCTCCATTGGATTTCCCGAGACAGTCATGATGTGGTCCATAACTTGCAGTGCTTGGGGGCAAAGCTCGGTCTGTAGAAGACGCAGGAGAGGAGATATCAAGTCAGGTCCGTGACATGTCACTTCCCCCCGCCGCATGTCAATCTCTGGTATTAACACGCAGAGGATCTTCATGATCTTGATCCGAAACCAATCCGTTGTGTTGGTCAACAAGCCCATGAGGAAGATAAGACTCTGGACATCCTGCCCGGGAAAATAGTAGGAGCGTATCTCAATGATAATATGACTCAGGAAATCATTCTCCGCCTTGTACTGTCCGTTGGCAAATCCGAGCAGCGAGGCTGCAAGACGAGGACATCCTTCGCCTTCGGCGACACGTGCTAGCAATGTAGCACGGGCTAGTGTTTTTGGATCGTCAACGGGGCCATCCTCAGTAGCAGGGTCAAACTCGTGGAGGAAATGAGAAAGGTTTGCCAATATTGTAAAAAGCAATCGGTTACCATCACCAATAAGCTTGTTGTTGGGAAGACCACTTAAACGGTGTAGGACATCAAGTGTTCGGTTGAGAGATTCGGACGACTTCAATCCCTTGTAAATTAGGTTTTGAAGACCATCAAAGCCGCCCTCCCACTTCAGAGGCTGGCCTTTAATAAGATCTGAAACGACAACCGGGTCGCTCATATCTACACGATCCAGGAATTTCTCTAGCATGCCGATGCTTTCAATGAATTCGGTTTCATGGATGGTGTTGAGGCAGGCGCAGGTTGTCCAAAACAGCTGGGGGTATCGCAGGAGGTCTGCAGGTGCCAGAGAACTGATGATGATCTTTAGCGTTGTAAGGATTTCCATCGAGAATGTGCGATAGTCTGCCTCTTCGTCGGCAATGGTGTTGGAAAGCCTAGCGAGCATATCTGCAAGCATCCTAGAGTCCAAAGACATTGATATACAGCGGAATACTTGGAATGAACGGCAAGCGAGATGCCGTACTGGGCATGAAGTTGCCCAGTTTAATGCTTCTTTTGCCCATAAGTCATTAATGCCCTCATACGCTAGGCTGAAGAAATTGACAACTTTGCGAGTGACACTGGACATCGACTGAGGCACGCGACTTCCATCATCGCCCTCTTCTTTGTCATTGTTATCCTCATACTCCCAAACAACCTTTGGGTCACTCTTCCGGATGGATTCAACAAAGTCCTCAATCGACTGTCGAGTTCCAGCAGGCGCATCATCTTCAATCTTGGCCGCAATTAGCTCATGAATAAGGTGAACCAACATTTCTCTTGCTTGCTCTTGCACGGTCAGCGTGTAGTGGTCCCAGAGGATAAGAACTACATGCAGCAGCTTGACCACATCGTCCAGGGGGAGAGTAACAGGGGCGACCATCAAGTCCACAAGGAAAATGAGTGCAATTTGACCGAGGGAGAGACCAGCTTGTTTGTTACCCACTGGGAGCACGGTTCCTAAATCAGCGACATAAGGAAGACTTTTAATGTCGGGTGGTGCGGGGGTGATATCTTTCCTCTCTTGCACCATATTCTTAGGAACGACCTGCATTAAAAAGAACTCGATAACCTTGGACCCAGCAGGGGTCCCTGACAGGAACACGACAACTTGCTTCGCATATTCCACAAAGTTCTGCTCTTTACGCTCCAGGCAAAGGCTGATGATGAAATCGAGCACTAATTGCACATTCCCGCCATGAGGTCCTGTGGCCAGCGCCTGCCATAGAGCTTGAACCTCGTTAGGGAGGATGGTGCTGCATCGGATAGTGATCTCGAAAAGGTTGGCGAGAAGCATGTATGACTTGACCGTTGGTCCACCATTAGGGTCGACCTGCAATTCCATCGTTTGCACCCAGGGGAGAATAGCAGCTACCATGTTCCGTTGGCTATCGGGACGTAGGTTTTTGAAGTGTAGGGAGAACTCGGAAAAGAGGGTGAAAGACACATCAGAATGCTGCCCGGCCAGTCGTTTCGATGTTTCAAACTGCGCTAGTTTATAAACAGCGGTGGTCTTGTCAGAGATACTGATATCAAAGTCTTGAAGCCTAGAGCTTTTCTGTTGTCGTTCTTCAAGGATCCGCAGGAGCTTAGCAGACTTCATCCGTATCTCCCGTTTTTGGCTGCCAAGAGTAACGAGGACTGCCCCCAAAATCCTCCAGAAGCCAAGGGGGTAATCAGTGTGTTCAATCAGTACCTGAGTTACCACCTCGAAGTAGCTTTCCAACGCTTTTGGTCGCTCAGTGACATAGCACATCTCTATTGATCGCTCTAATAGGTACGAGTGCTCTTTGTTGTGGATGATCAAGTTTTTGAGTGCTCGCCTTCCAATGGCATGCCACTTGTCACTAATAGTATTGAAGATGATGTCAATCCACGAAAGCATCCGCCCTACATCAAATTGGAGCACAGCACCACTCTCTGTGGTAATGCTGATTGGTCCCGCCTGCGAATAGTTTAGTAGTTGAATGTGTCCCACAAATTTCAATGCACTACTTACACATAAAGATGCCATTGCACTAAGAGCTGCAGCCCGGAGGTTTTTCTTTTCAATCTCCATCGCTGCTGCGGTATTCCGCATTTCCCCTGTTTCATGCGGATGCGACATGGCAAACTTGCGCATGTTTTCCTCTCTCTGAGAGATCTGGGATTGATTTGGAGAGTAGCCGCACCAATCCTCCATCAGAGAAAATGCAGATTTCCTAGCCTCAAACGGTATCCAGCGCGATGCATCCTTCGTGCGGTTGACGCCTTCGAAAAGCTCCTCCATCAGTCCGCAGTAGTGGAACCGCAGTCGTTGGAATTCCCAATCATTTTGAACTTCGGCATCGCTCAAGAATATCCGCAGGTCCTTTGCATATATGACAAGATTATTGACAATCCAATCGTCATTGTATACTTCAGACTCCTGAAGGAAGTGCGAGGTGAGTTTGTACACGTGTGTTACCTCAGTCCGCAATCGGTCTGTCCTTCGATTGCGTCTTGGACTGCTTGGGGAGCGGTAATGAGAGCCCATCCGTAATTTTGCCTCCTCATTACAGGTAGTCACGGCGTATTGAAGTGACTCAAGTAACGTACGATAAAGATTTTTGTTAATGGATCCCAAAGCCACCACAATAGCATTCCGAATGGATGCCCTTTCAGCCGATAGCAATGGAATCACAAAGGCGAAAAGGCTTCTTGCAGAACTTATCTTATCTTGAGATTGTTGGGCCCCCTTGGACGACTTTCGCGCATGTTGTGCATTTGCTAGCTGGCTCTGGGATTGTGCGCCTACACTGTTGAGCGTCGTGCACGCCATAACCAGATAGAGTTTCCACTGTTCAATTAGAATCTCCGCCGTCATATTATTCCTTCCAAGTGGGCGAGACTGAGTGGCATCCATAGGGGCATAGTAAGGAGGATGCGAGCTCTCTGCAAGGGACGTTATTGTTTTATGCATTTGGACGAGTCTCGCGCAAACAATCTCTCTCCCCAATGTCACAGCGAATGGACAAGTCTCAAAACTAATTCTAATAATATTTGGAAACACCTTTGACCACAGCGTTGAATCATAGGATACCTCGCTGCTACACAGCTCAATTAAAGTATTGTGCGAGGCACTTCGGCGCTTGCCCTTTTGTATACGACTCCTCTCAGCAACCGTTAGCTGTTCGTCGTTAACATCCAGAATCTGCTGGGAATCTGCCTCTAGAATTCTAATTATCCTGGTGTTTTCTTTTCCTAGAGCACTATCGAACTCTGTAATAAGTCGAAGCACAGTGATAGCGAAAGCTCGGACCCTTCGAGATTGTGAGCACAGGAAAAAAAGGCCATGCGATTCTATCTCTTCAACATGTGCAAGAACCGTAGAGAGGTCCAGCTGCAAGGCGCGACTTCCCGAGCCGGCCTTGTCTCCCGAGTCTGCGGCTGCGGATCTAGTCTTTTGCTTGATTTCTTCTATCCAGATCCTGAGCAGTTCAACATAGAGTCGCAAGGTAGATTCAATGTGGCCAGGTCCAAGCATCCCCTCATCTGACATCGTGGAATATCTAGCATCGAAATTGAAGATAAACCTGGCAAAGCCAATGGTGACTTGTTGCGCATGGGATTGTCGCGCAATTACCTTCAAGGATTCGGCTGATGAGACGGCGATATTGGACTGGATATGAGCGGTCCCCGTGCACAAAAGGTTGATCAAGGAGTTGAATGGAATATGATCGGACAAACACCGAGGAAGCGCCTGCACAGCAACATGGAGAAGATCGTAGAAGCCTTGCTTTTGATCGACGGTGCTTAGGTGGTCATCACGTCTACCAAAACTGAATGCTTCTGAGATCGGCGTCTTGGGAGTTGCGCCACCAAATTTCTCGTCCAAGGCAGCCTGCCCTCCAAAGGTGTTGTCGCATAGAAGCGTAATCTTACCAAGTGTTTCGCAAAAACGAATATAATAAGTCTTGACATTGTCACTGAGCCTCGACGTATTCACAGGACGAGATGAGTCATCCCGGTTCTCAAATGAACCGGGAAGACGGGGATCAGTGAGAAATTGAGGCCACTGGGGATTAGTTGAAGCCGAAATATCAGAGAAAGGATTCGGAATTGAACCAGTAGGAAACGGAGGGCACAACTGATCACAGTTCTCTAGGTCTGTCATTATTGCTAGGAATGACCTAATACCTATCACCATTTTTTCCGGTTCCATTTGTTCGATTTTTAGTTCCTTCCCGGAAAGAAAGAGATCTGAATTGATCATGGGGAAGATAATGTTACGAAAGCACACGTCTGGATGCTTGAACCCAATCATTCGCACTAACTGTATTAATGGGTCCGCAACTGCTGGCTCCGTACTAAGATATGTCCTCTTTCCCGCAGGCAATGCTATTCTAGCGACTTCTTCAATCTTCCGGAGAGTAACTGTCGGTGAATCAGAATAACGGAAGAAGTAGGTCCACAGCAAGCGACACATAGCCTGAAGAGCCGGGCCCCTTGTAGGGCGGTCTTTCAGTCTGGTTGGGAGGCTCATGATGACCGATAGCCATTGAGATGAAAAGGTCTCCTTGGACGAAACACAGAGGAGCAGAACGTGGAGGGGAAACGCAGCTGCCCAATGGCGAGGTTTGGTTAGCATTTGGGACAGGCGAGACTGGACCAGGTCCAAGAATTCCTTCCATTTAGGTAACGACAAGTCGCAGCTCGGGTTCGCAGCGACTGGAAGAAGAAGCTTCTCAAAAATAAAACAGTATGACTGTTTTAGCCGCTGTCCATGGGCATTGACGAACAGTCGAGCTAATGAGCGCAAGAAATCACAGGATCGAGGCCAAGAATCCGGCTGCGTTCTAATGCGAACGTGTCTCATCCCCGAAACCAAAAGCTCGGCTTTGGCATCTCCTTCCTTGGACGGACCCCGTAGTGCTTCGTCTTTTTGATATTTGTCAAGTTCGAGTATGAACCGATTCGTTACGCTTGTGAAATTTGTTTCACTCATGATTCCAAGCAGCCGAGAGTAGATCCTCCAATTAGCCATACGAAGTGGTGACGCTGTAATCTGGTCCCGGTCCACAGTTTTGAGTTGGGTGAACACAATGTCCTCTAGGCGATCAGCCATATCATGCGTGATAGAGGCAAGGCTGCTTTGATTGAAGATTTCAATTAGCACTCTGCAGACAAGGTAAACCGACACGGTCGCCCGTCGCTCCGCCAAAACAACATCCTCATGTCTCGAGAGTAAGTTATTACTCGGTGGTACAGGATCCGTTTGTGTTGTCGACTCAGCAGCCATCTGAGGCGGCTCAGTATTCCGACGAATGAGTAGCCCATTCTCCAAGGAGGCGTTCTTTGGCTAGAGGAGGCGGTGAATATCATTAGTCTCAAGGGGACCTCGTTTATAAGAATCAAGAAACATACTTGATTGGCCACCTGTTTGGCCATGCCATTGGCAGCATCACCTTTTGCCTTCCGCCAAAACATGATGGTATCGATCAAAGGCTTCGGCTTTTGTCGTGCAATATGTCCCAGAGCAGAAATCAACTGGTCGAAATTTGTATCAGCTCCCGGTCCGCAAACTTGTTCCACCGGCGCGTCAGACTCTCCCAGTTTCATGATGGCCTGGTTGATCTTATTGTCGGCCTGGCCGACGAACTGGTTCCATTGTTAGCAGCCCTCTTGAGTATACTGAGGTGGAGGCCGTGCTTACAGAATTGAACAGGTGATGCAAGGCATATTCTCCCACAGTTTTTGATTCTGAGTAATGATGCTTTGAATGTGATCGACTATGAGAACGCTCTCTCCATGGCTTGCCACTCGAATTCATCCTTCGGTGGACTACACCTGCCGGGCTGCAACCACTGACCTCATCTGCATCTTGATCCTCGATGGTGCTCAATGTCCCCGGTAAGGTATGGCTTGAGCTGTTGCCTGCAGGGCTTTGGTAACTCCCGTGCATATCAGCTTGTTCCGTCCGCGCAGCCACGACACTGTCTGGTTCTACACCGCCGCCACGGCCAAGAGATGCAATAAGCTCCGGACTCAAAGGGCTTGTCGATGTGGTTGAAGCAGCGAAGCTGGGATTTCGAGAGTGTTGCATCCCATGGACAATCGAAGTCTGTCGGTGATGACCATATGAATTGGAGGGCCGCCGTTCCAGAGGAGCATCGTATCCAGAAGGACTAGGTCGCCCGGTCGATGTTTCGGGGCTTTTTGAATGCGAGTGACCGCGACGATTGTTCTGAGGCTGTAGGGTCGAAGGGGCTAGGGTGGACGGATCGGCCGGTCTACCTCTAACGGCGGAGGTTTCCCGGCTATGAACGGTGGAGGAAGGGGTGCTTCTCGTCACTAAACGTTCTGGTGGGGGTGAGAAGGCATGGTGCGACACAGAACTGGATTCGTCAGGGATGAGGGGCATTGTCGTTGGCTGGCCTGATCCAGCTTTGATCGATGGATATGAAGCCACTAAACATGCAGCAGATTAGCCTTATCCTTGCTCGAATTTCAAAGGTCACAGTTTAGATTAAAAATAATAAAATAAGCTAAAAGAGTAAGGGTGCACGCTGTGGGAAGTGGTAAGATTGGGCTGCCAGAAAGAACTTGAACGACTGACTGGTGGATGGCGTGGTTTTCTTCAAACCAGACTCATTGCATGCTGGGGCTCGCAATAACGGGAGAGAAGGGATAGGATGGCAGCTGTGACATGTTGCCCAGTAGCCCTGAGTGCTACAGTATTGACCGATGAGAGTGGCCGTCTGGAAGGGTGGTTGGATCAGTATGAGTATGAGCTTTGATTAGGTGCAGATGTTTCGTTCGCGACCGGAGAGCACGGGGATCTCTCACCGGCAGGAGAAAATCAATGGCTGGTTTTCATGTACTTACGGTCGGTCTTATTTAGCCTAAAGCCTCATGAGTAGTTCAAGTTTTAACTCGCCTTCTCTTCTTTATCGGGTTTTCTACTTGAACTGATTCAAATCAAAGTTCAGATATAAGCGACCTCGCCACAATGGCTTCTTCATGGCTTCATCTAAGTAGATATAACATCATAGTCCGGGTGGGTTGATGCTAAATTGAGTACGTCTAAAGGATTAATTAACCGACTTATCTAGACTTCCAAACGGAATGTCTTAGAAAAGAGCCCAAATAATATCTAATACAAATGGGCTGTGTGGTGAAATCTGTAAAAGCAAGGTTCTTACTCCAATGTTGCCCCTGAGGCATTCCTTATGTTGAGAAAATGCCAAGGAGCTTACTTTTTGTTCTGATGCTTAAACCTATTGAATACCTCTTTTAAGAATGGATGTGCTGGTGACTGTTTCAAGTCCCACGACGAATGGATGGTTTTGAAGTCTACTCGTCCCAGGAATTTGATGGTATCCCCAACCGGCAGTCATCGGCACTTACTATCACATGCGCTGATCTCACCTCAGCTCCTAGGTTTTTGGTGGAAAGAATGGCACGAGACACGAGTCTTGATGCCACTTCGACAATTGTGTCTTGTTGAATCTAATGCAGAAGAAAATACGAATATCCACTGTCTCCTGCAACGCCCAAAGATATCCCAACATACAGCGGACAAACCTTTCGCTCGGATCCGGGATATTTCTGAGGATCATAGATGACGGTACCAATTCATTGGTCGAACTTCTATGAGGCTTAACGGGTAAGGAGATAGATGCATATTCGTACCAATACCCCTTGACCATGAGTTTCATATAAACCGGTTATCCAAGTCAATGATACTTGTGCGGAATGAAATCCGTGGTCCATCCATCCACTACAGTATAGAACCCAGTGCCAAGTAGTACAGGCAGCACATGGGGACAACAATGAAGGAATATTCGCGGAACGAATACGTAGTTCATCGAAGCAGATGGAAGAATCGTCGGGTGTTACCTGGGGCTGAGAACCTCATCAATTAGCACTTTTACTCTGTATGCAAATGGCATGTAATCCAGGCGGAACTCGGCTAGAAACGCTGCTCGGCAGGGTCTTCCCCATATGATAATGGCCCTGCGAGGTCTCAAAACCTGTCTTCAGACTCCGCGCCACCTCCATACTTTCCCATGTCCAACGAGGGCCGAAGACTCGTTCTGATCCCTCGGGCACATGGTCCGAGTAACTGATTTCCCCCCGCATTCATTATCTTCAGCGTGAGTATACTATATATTAGACAGTTTCTGAACTGTTCCATACCTACGAGTAAGAACGATTCCACCCTTATCTGCTCCACTCCTTGCCACCACTGCACATTTGCTTACGGCCACGTCCGACTCCGATCGTACAAGTGGGAAAGGCCACACTGCAAGATCATTATTGCTTGCTCCCCAGCATCCTCCATATTCCCACTCACTGCCACCTCTCTCTCCCTCCGGTTTCCGGCCCTAAATTATGTGGTCTGTTTAACAGTGGATTCGGCTTCCTAGTCCATTAATCACACCACAGCTCTTCTCTTTGTCCTGATTCTCTTTGTATAATTTTATCTTCTCTCCTTTTTCTTCTTCTTCTATATTGTTTCTGTTTTCTTTTTTTTTTTTCTTTCTTCTTAGGACAAACACTGAAATCATTGTCTTCAAGTACTTTTTGGTCATTAGCCTTGTCCTTGTCGTCCATTTATAGAGATTTGGGTGGTCTTATCGTCACCCCCTCCCTCTCGCCTCGTCTCTCTCGCTTCGATTCCTCTTTCGCAATTGAACCAACAGTTCGACACGCCGTGTTTTTCTATCACTGAGAGACCTCGTCATGGCGCAACTTGACACCCTCGATTTGGTCGTCCTGGTGGCGCTCTTGGTGGGTAGCGTAGCCTACTTCACCAAAGGCACCTACTGGGCGGTCGCGAAAGACCCTTACGCCTCATCCAGTACGTCGATGAATGGTGGGGCCAAGGCAGGGAAATGTCGCGACATCATCGAGAAGATGGAAGAGACCGGCAAGAATTGTGTGATTTTCTATGGCTCGCAAACTGGAACTGCCGAGGACTACGCGTCTAGGCTGGCAAAGGAAGGCTCGCAGCGATTCGGTCTCAAAACTATGGTCGCGGATCTGGAAGACTATGACTATGAGAATCTGGACAAGTTCCCCGAGGATAAGGTTGCTTTCTTCGTCCTGGCAACATACGGTGAAGGTGAACCTACCGATAATGCGGTCGAGTTCTATCAGTTCCTCACCGGTGAGGACGCTGCTTTCGAAAGTGGAGCTACCGTCGACGACAAGCCTCTGTCATCCCTCAAGTATGTCACTTTCGGTCTTGGAAACAACACGTATGAACACTACAATGCCATGGTTCGTAACGTGGACAGCGCTCTCCTGAAGTTCGGTGCCCAGCGTATTGGTTCTGCTGGTGAAGGTGACGATGGGGCTGGTACAATGGAGGAGGATTTCTTGGCCTGGAAAGAACCCATGTGGACTGCACTCTCCGAGACCATGAACTTACAGGAGCGCGACGCTGTGTATGAGCCGGTGTTCAATGTCACGGAGGATGAGACCCAGAGCCCCGACGATGAGAATGTGTACCTCGGTGAACCGACTCAAGGTCATCTCCAAGGCAATCCCAAAGGCCCCTACTCTGCACATAATCCCTATGTCGCTCACATCGCCGAATCTCGTGAACTGTTCACTGTCAAGGACCGTAACTGCCTACACATGGAAATCAGCATCGCGGGAAGCAATCTCACCTATCAAACTGGTGATCACATAGCTGTCTGGCCAACTAATGCTGGTGTTGAGGTAGATAGGTTTATACAGGTTTTTGCTCTTGAAGGGAAGCGCCATTCTGTCATCAACATCAAGGGTATCGATGTGACCGCCAAGGTTCCCATTCCAACCCCGACTACCTACGATGCTGCAGTTCGCTACTACCTGGAAGTCTGTGCCCCTGTTTCCCGTCAGTTCGTTTCCACTCTGGCTGCCTTCGCTCCAGACGATGAGTCCAAGGCGGAGATTGTCCGTTTGGGTGGCGATAAAGACTATTTCCATGAGAAAATCACCAACCGTTGTTTCAACATCGCCCAGGCTCTCCAGAGCATCACATCTAAGCCCTTCTCCGCCGTCCCATTCTCTCTGCTTATCGAGGGACTTACCAAGCTTCAGCCGCGTTACTACTCCATTTCTTCTTCTTCCCTGGTTCAGAAAGACAAGATCAGCATTACTGCCGTTGTGGAGTCGGTTCGCTTGCCTGGCGAGAGTCACTTTGTGAAGGGTGTGACCACGAACTATCTTCTCGCGCTCAAACAAAAGCAAAACGGCGATGCTTCCCCCGACCCTCATGGCTTAACGTACTCGATCACTGGCCCTCGCAACAAGTACGATGGAATTCATGTTCCTGTCCATGTTCGCCACTCCAATTTCAAGCTGCCCTCGGACCCCTCGAGACCTGTGGTCATGGTTGGGCCGGGTACTGGTGTCGCTCCTTTCCGTGGCTTCATTCAAGAGCGTGCTGCTTTGGCAGCTAAAGGTGAGAAAGTCGGCCCTACAGTATTGTTCTTCGGTTGCCGTAAATCCGACGAGGATTTCTTGTACAAGACCGAATGGGAGGTATGTTTACGGATTTATTCTTACCTAGTGCTTTGATGTCAACTTCGCTGCTAACGGTTTATGTTCTCTGTAGACCTTTCAGAAACAGCTTGGTGACTCTCTCAAGATCATCACTGCCTTCTCGCGCGAAACGTCTCAGAAAGTATACGTTCAACATAGGTTGCTGGAGCATGCCGAGCTGGTCAGCGACCTTCTGAAGCAGAAAGCTACATTCTACGTTTGCGGAGACGCCGCCAACATGGCCCGTGAAGTCAACCTAGTGCTTGGGCAAATCATTGCCAAACAGCGTGGCCTCCCTGTCGAGAAGGGTGAGGAGATGGTTAAACACATGCGGAGCAGTGGCAGCTACCAGGAAGATGTCTGGTCATGATCCTCTTTGCATTCTTTGTCTTCTGAATGATATGAGTTCCCGCTCCTCCATCTCTCCATCTTATCATGCCTAGATGATTTTTGCATATATAGTCCGCCGATTTCGTTTAATTCTCCCTTTGTTTTGCCTTTGGCGTGGTTCGTGTATGTCTGGGACTTTTGGGGCCCCTGCATGATCAAATACATTGAGATATGATAACGGGATAGATTACGACAGGCGTCAAAATGTTAAGCAATTTATAGTGAGAATGCAAGCTTCTCTGTACGAAGTCATGTATATCCTCGTTGGTTTATTTTTATTTTTTTAATTCTTTTCTGTTTGATTATTATAATTGTTTCTTCTCTCCCCAATAAAGGGATATTCCAATTTTCTTGATAACCAATGTTTAGCACGACTTTTGAATATATATTGTACCATTCATATACGACATATAGTGGCCCCGCTGTAAGGCACATGTCTGGTCTTAAATGACGCAAGGGAAAGTAAGCGCCAAGGAGTTTTAGAATTGAAATTCAGTAGACGTCAAAAGCCATCTCTCAACTGCAATCATCATCATCTGTTATGAAATCTTGTGTAACATTGAAACAATGAAAGTTCACTGGTCCCTGCAACTTATAGGGGAATGGACACTTCAGCAGCTTACATTTAGTGCATTGTACAACTCATCTATCTTAGTCCCCAGCTGAATTGACTATTTTATTTGTTAACATTAATTATTGTATATAGACTGTTCAGTGCAGAGCAGAACCTGGATTATTTAGCAATATATATTTAATCATATTGCCCGGTGTTTGTATAGTATCTGTGAAAACTGATATATTATATTAGGATAACATTGAAGCAAGTGTGAGGGCTTCCATTCCTGTTTACCAATCTAAGAATTATTGTTGGCCGATGGTGTTTTGGTTCGTTTTACAGTATATGCTGACTTGAAGCAATACGTGTTTAGCCGAAGGAAGCAATTCTGTCGCTGCCAAGGCCATGGAGTAGGCCACAGCTTTCTGTATGGCATCCCACGATCAGAATAGCTCCAATAAACCCAAGAAAGACTTCGATGGAATATGTATCCCGTTCTGTCAGTAAGTTCATCAACAGTGATATTCTTATATAATCGCACATCGGTTCTCCGCGCTCCGCAGCCATTCCGTTTGTGGATTTCCCCGCATAAAGACCGAGCGGAGAGATCGTCCGTTATGCCACTCTATACGCTCTTGCGATGGAAACTCTCGGAAAGCACCGGTTAGGTTGCACCCTCGGTTTTCTCCTGGGCACTGCATCTTATTTACTACCTAGTCTGTCTACCTCATACAACTACCTACTTCTACTGAAAGTGTACTGCTACAATAAATAGTTCTTATACGGAGTACACCTTCCTGAAATCTAGTACCTAATTGCCGTCCCTCCCTTGATTTTGCTGTGGGCAAACGTTTGTTGTGCCAGTCGATCTATTGCAGAAAAAACCCGCCCTTTTCTAAATACTCTGAGACTGTCAAGATGAGAGTGTCGCGTGCTGTAGCTCTCCCACTACGGAGGGCAGGCGCCCCAAAACCATGCCTCTCACGTTCTCTGCCTTCGGCTACAAGGGCCTTCTCTGTCTCTACGCGACGAGATGCTACCTGGGGGTTTATTGGACTGGGACAAATGGGTAAGTGGGATGTGGTATTTCCCATGGTATCCTGATCCAGGGGTTAACGCGTTGGGTGGCTCTGTAGGTTATGCTATGGCAAAGAATCTACGCGCCAAGATCCCTGCTTCCGACACTCTAATAATACGAGACGTGAACGAAGATGCCACCAAACGGTTTGTCCAGGAGACCCAGAAGGCTGCCAGGAGCAGCGGCGCTGGTGATGACACCTCGAAGGTGCTGGTAGCCCAAAACGCGAGGGAGGTCGCGGAGCAGTCGGTAAGTCGAACACACTTCGTCGGTTAAAATTTTCTGTACCGGTCAAGGGCGGGTGGGATTCACCTGAGCTCTTCTTTGATCAAGTGCTGCCTATCAGCGGATGGAATCTCCATAGCGTTGATGTAAATAAACCCGCCGCCAGCGGTTAGGGACGGAAAAGTGCCTGAGTGGGTCCCGTCCGTGTGCTCCAGTTCTGATAATTACCTCTTCTCGCTAGACAGTGATGATAACCAGTCTACCGGAGCCCGAACACGTTAAGAATGTTTTCTACGGCGTTCTTCGGAGTGGTGAGCTCCCTGCCTTGGAGCAAGAGCGGCTTTTCATCGACACATCCACGATAGACCCTGCTTCCTCTAAGGAAATAGCAAATGCAATCCACACGACGAACCAAGGTCGATTTGTCGATGCCCCTATGTCAGGCGGAGTGGTGGGAGCCCGTGCGGGTACACTGTCTTTTATGTTCGGTGCATCGTCTCAGTCTGGCCAACTAGTGGAACGTGTGAACTCTGTCTTGCTTCTCATGGGGAAAAAAGCAATGCACATGGGACCCTCAGGAACCGGCGTTTCCGCGAAGCTCGCCAATAACTACATCCTCGCGATCAATAACATCGCAACAGCCGAGGCCATGAACCTCGGTATGCGGTGGGGTCTCGATCCCAAAGCCCTAGCTGAGTTGGTCAACACCTCAACGGGTCGCTGCTGGCCCATGGAGATTAACAACCCAGTTCCGGGCGTGGTCGAGACCGCACCGGCCTCACGTGGCTACGAGGGTGGATTTGGCGTTGGTCTAATGAACAAAGACCTCCGGCTGGCTCTTGCCGCTGCAAAGGAGTCTGGCTCTCCACTCGCGTTGGGAGACATGGCTCGCAACGTGTATAACGCCGTCGAGGAGGAGCATCGAGGTAAGGATTTCTCCGTGGTATATAAGTGGCTGCAGGACAGGTCATCACAGCAATGAGACGGTAAGGCTGGAAGGGCTACCAGTTTCGGCGTTTCTGTTCGTTTCCACCTTCCTCTAGAGTCCTAACCTTACCTTGGCTGCTTGCAAGTATCATGGTTGCTTGACCTGTCCGTGGCATGGCTCCATTAATGAGGTTGAAAGAGGACATAAATTGTTGATGGAGATTCTCCCAGCATTCGTGAATACCAGAGAGCAAGCTCATTAAATGCAGATAGCTCCTGCATATAACAGCGTTGCATTCACAAAGGCAATTCAGCCTGGTTATCCTTTATACTATGTTTCAATTTTAACAAAGATACCTTGCGCGAGCATGCAGTATTTCCTGCCGCCAGTAGCCATAGACCAGGGTATGTTAGCATCAAACGGCCTCAGGCCCTAACTTCCTGTATCAGCCGGCACCTTCCAGATTGATGAGTCGTGGTTTTAGTTTCTTTCGCGTCACCTTGTTGCCGCAGTTCCTTCCCTTTCTCACAGTGAAGAAAGCTCCTTCCTCTTTTTCTCTGTTGTCTTGGTCAATCCCCCCGTTTCCTCACTTTTTCTCTCTCCTTCGCCTGTCCCCTCTTCCCTCTTACTTTTTTACACTCTCACCATCGTCCTCACATTAGCTTCCGATACCCATCATCCCAGTCCCTTAGATATTCTCTCATCGTCATTACCTTTCTTAGTTTCACTCGTTCTTCCATCGGTTTCCACTGCATCTACTCGTCCGGATATTCGGAGGTCATGTAAGTATCATGGTAGACTTCTCGTGCTTCATACTCAGTATTTTGTGGCAGCCCATCATCTACTTGGCCTCGAGTTCAACTGCGATCGTTGGTGAGTTAGTTGTGCTTCAAGAATGCCACGCATTTGTCGAGTATTCGTGAATGTTTCCCTGTCCTCGACCGGCTTTACAAACCCGTCGTAACGATCACATTTTTCTGTCCATTGGTTTCGGAGCGTTACTCACATGGAGTAGAAATCCAATTTACTGTCGCTGTGTGACGATCATCATGAGTTCCCAGGCTCATCAAAATACCGCATCTGATTCCAGCCAGCCCCCTTCTGGCCAATCTGGACAGTCCTCTCATGATGGCGGCTGTGCTATGTTTGTGAATGGAATTTCCCCAATGCCTCCTGGTAACAATCGGGATGGTAACGGCCCAGCCATAACTCCTTTCTTTGGTCCGCTGAACTTCCAGAACCAGCGTCCTGGGTCCAAATTTAACACTGTCAAGAACCACATGCCGGTACCAGTGCCTTCTGCTCAACGTGCTGCGTACAACAGCCCCCTTGTTCTCCTGCCCAATGGGCCAATGTTCAATGGTGTGGGCTCTGTCTCCCCGTTTACCTCGCCCCCTATGGCCACGCCCGAACAGCTAGGACACATGCCATACATGCCAACCAACATCTACCCGAACATAAACCCGGCCTATCCCATTGTCCCGACGATGCAGGGTTATCCTTTTCCGTACGTCATGAACTGTGATATGCAGGACATGACGGGACAGAAGAGAGCCCCCTGGACCGGAAGTGAAGAACAGAAGGCGACTGCTAGCTCGTCTGCCGATAATAGCAACCAGTCTGACTATTACTCTGGCAGCACCAACCCTACATCGGAGGGTACGAATATCCAAGCCTTCCCCTTCAATCCACTGCCTCAAATGGCTCCAAATTGTGCGCCATTCCAGATGATGAAAACTCCCACTGGCTACATTCTTCAGGATCTCGAGTGTTTGACTCAGCAGGACCCCCCTATTCCACGAGCCGTGCCAGCAATGTGGACCAACTCGTCGGAGATGACACTTGCTAAGTGTCTTGAGAATCGAGAGGGTATTACCAATGTTTACATCCGAGGCTTTCTGCCAGAGACAACCGACGAAGTCCTGCATGCGTACGCTTCTCGTTTCGGGAAAATCGACCGCTGCAAGGCGATTGTAGATTTGGATACCGGCCTTTGCAAAGGGTGTGTAGCTCCTTGGCAACCATGACTGTGTCCCATACTGAAGCCATAAACAGATTTGGCTTTGTTCAGTACTACAACTTTGAATCCTGTGAGAACTGTATTAGGGGGTTCTTTTATCTTGGCTACCAGGCTAGCTTTGCCCAGGTAATGCAAGCGTCCAACTCCGTCAACAGCTCTTTTGACTGATCATATTCAGAAATCTCGCAACTCACGTCTCAAGGATCTCGAGGACAAAACCTCGACTAACATCTACTGCACAAATCTTCCGATTGAGTGGACTGAGGCGGTGGGGATTGTCTCTTCAACTTTTCACTTCCTTGGCTAATGGCTTCATTAAACAATAGGACCTTCGTCATCATTTTGAACCGTACCGTGTTGTCTCCGAGAAAATCAGCCGTGACGAGAAAACTGGAGTAAGCAAGGAAGTTGGTTTTGCTCGGTTAGTTCCTTCATGCGCCCTCTGCTTTTGCTTTCTTCATTCTCTAATATTCATTCATAGATTTGAGACCCGTGAAATTGCTGAGAAGGTTCTGGCTGAATTTCATAACGTTGTAGGACAAGATGGTGTTAAGCTTCTCCTCCGTTTCGCCGACACGAAGGCTCAGAAGTTGCTCAAGCAACAAAGCAACGAACGTCGCGCCTACAGAGCCGGCGAGTACAATTATTCTGTTGAGGTCGTCCAGGGCTCTACTCCGTCGCCTTCCCTTCATCGTCTCCAGCAGGCGGCATCGCACTTGAGTCCTGCCTCTCAGCACAGCTATGTGTCTCCCGTCGGAGTAGGTTCCACCTGGACTCCTGCAACATCTATTTCCCCGTCGTATGTATAGTGCATCAGATGTATCCATCCCAACTGTGTTAACAACGGCAGCAGGTATCCCCTGGGGAAAAATCCAGTGAACAGCATGCGGTTTAACTCCTTATCTTCCAGGAATAGCCCGGGGAACTTGGACAACACTCCTATTCATCGTGGAAGATTGTCGGCGAACCGAAACACTTGGATGAGCAATACTGCGGCTGGTCCAAAGTCCACTCTTCCTATTACGCCTCGTGGTAGCCATCATTCCGGACCAGGCAGCCCTCAGAAAGAAAACATCAAAGCGGAATCCCTGTCGCCCATTTCTTCACGCCGCGAGATTGTGGCTAGTTCCCCACGCTCGGTCGTTTAACCTATCATTGTTTGCTGTATCTGTTCCTGGACTCGTTGGAGTATTTGCATAGCATATTCCAGATCGGTACTATATCGCTATTTCGATCCTGTTATGTTTTGACGGGCATTTGCTGTCAGGACTATTCAGATACAAATTTTTTTACATGTGAGGTTGGTCGACAAGTGTGCTTTACTGTCTTTTGACACTTTTACTGTCTTCAACTAGTCTTGTCAGTGTCAGGACTAAATTTCGTGCACGGGTTATTTGTTCTTCATTTCTGCAATAAGACCCAATGTGGACCGCAGTATGGTATCATTTATAATGAACATTTGTTACTGTTTGGGCCCCACAATAACAACAAAAAAGGAGAAAAAAAGAAAGAGGATGCAACGCTTTTCAAGGGATGGCTATTTTCTGTATCTGTCTAAACTGCATGTTCACATTCATGTTCACGTCTGCCGGGGCAGGCTCTAATAATAACATAGTGAGAATGACGACCGAAATTCAGCCCGTCGTAAATCTAAATCCATTCGAGTAGAGCACACGCCTATATAAGATCTATGGGTTAAGCATCACCATGGAGACAGGGATGAATCAAGCGAGCCTCTATAACAACAGCTGAATGAACTGGAGGGTATTGAGAAAGATTAAGCACCACCGATTTGGCCAAGCGCTTCCCATTCCATGAGGCCATCGTCGCAAAACGGCACGCCATGCTGCCAAAGATTCATGAAAGCTAGCGACGCCCAAGACGTTCCTCAAGATCTTCGGTCAATTCGTAGGCCGGCCGATATTGCACACCCTGCTGGCCACCTTTCGAAGGAGACTCAACCCGGAGCATCGGGTTTGGATGCGTGTCTCCGGTGCCACCCAGACTGGTGTAACCATGATCGTACAGAGGGCAATACCGGAGGTTCAAGTGGCGGATGAAGGCCCAAACCTCCGCGTAATGCCAGTCGATGACGGGATGAATCCGGACGAAATCCGGCCAGCCACTATCGGTACGATCGAAATGGGTCAGGTTGGCGCCATGGGGATCCGTTCGACGGGTTCCGACGAAAATCGCCTTAATATTGGGATTCCGGGACAGATAGTCCTGAAAGCTGGAGCGCAGGGTCGACTGGGGTGGGTCTGTGGTATACTTGATGATATCGAGATGATAAGCATGGGACGACCACAGGACAAAATTCTCCACGTCGGGAAACGGATCAGGCGGTAGGGCATATATGGCCGGAATTGAGGCGAGACCACCTTCCTCTGGGGGCGGGTGGGGATGCAAACCGGCGAGGAAAAGGACGAGCAGTACGAGACAGTCTTTCCCGCCGTTATAAGAGAGGGAGAGTTCGGAGAGGCAGTTGTAGCGGGAGATGGCGGTTGCGATAACGTCTAGGGAAATACGGGTTTGACGTTGTACAGCGGCGAGGAGAGAATCAGGAGGGTGGGATTCACGGAGGAAAGAATGGATTTGGTGATGGCATTGCGCGATGACGGTGGAAAGGGTTGGGCCAGAAGTCGACGATGGTGGCGATGTAATGGGCTGTCCTGCTTTCAATGGGAGGCCGGAGGAGCGTGGAGGTGCTGTTGTTGTTGCTGTTGCTGTTATTGTCTCTTTAAGTGTCTCTATGCTTGGAGACAGCAAATTGGTATTCATGATATGTGCGTTGCCATTGGCACGTGAAAGCCCAGTGTCTGGCGGGGAGCCAGAATCGGTCATATCTGTCTGATTCTAGGGGGTTGTGCGTTTCTCTACCAATGCAGGGTGGAAGGTGGTGGATGATGGTAGACAAGAACCAGGGGAGACAGAACAGGCAGGCGCTGATGGGAACAAATAACAGACGCTAGCCGGGCAAGACAGCCAACAGAATGCCCATGAGAGAGAGGAGGACGCTGGAGAATGTTCTGGCGGACTTGCTGAAATGAAGCCGAATCAAATCGAATCGCCCCGCATCGCCGCTGACCGCCTTCTTATCTCTGACATTTGACAGCCTGGACTTCTGGGGATGGCATCAATACATTGGAGATGGAAGTTCATCAATGCCTGTCTCGATTCGTATATTATATATGTGGTTGAGTTGGTTTATCAGAACTCACAAAACCACACGTAGAGAATACATTAGCCTAACACTTTCAGTTTCTTCTTCTTTTTCTTATCCCCTTCTCCTTTCTTTTGCCCTTTTTGCCAATCTCGCCAGCTGCCAATTCGCTCATCGCGAGTATCCTCCCACGCCTTGTCCTGGTCCCGTTTCCGTTTCCGCTCCGCAATCTCCTCCTCTTCCTTGCGCCTCTCCCGTCCTTCCTCTTGTAAGCGCGCCTTGGCTTGCCTACGTCGACGTGACTCCTCTTCCAGAAGCACCTGTACCGTCTTCTGGCGCCACTCCTTCTTGAATTCGTCCGTTTGCAGCTCAGGCGAGTCCACAGTGTACTTGTGTTCGCGGATCAATAAACGGCGCGCATCGGCAATGCACTCGTCTAGATAGGTACGGGTTTTCTCGTCCATAAGAGTGGAGTGGGCTTTCTTCAGGCGATCGAAGGCATCCGGTGCTGCGGGATTTTTCGTCTTATCCGGATGGATCAAAAGGGACTTTTTGCGATACTGCACTTTGATATCAGATTCTGTCACTCCCGGCTGCAGATCGAGCACGGCGTAGCTAGAATTTGTAAACATGCTTAGTTAGCTGGTATGGCCACGTAGATAGATGACTTTGTCGTAACTACTCACGCATCTAACGAAAAGGCTTTTCTAATGCGATCGATCTCGGCGTCCTATGCTAGGTATTAGTTGATCTTGTACCCGTAGCTCTTTTTCGGCTTGACATTGATGTACCTTGGTAAAGTCCGATGCCTCTCGTTCCAAGGCATCCAAGGCATCTTGCTCATCAGAAGACATTGTGCTCTGCGGGAGATCTGACGCGAGAGGAAGAGAGGATTGTGAATGTCGATTTTGTTCCTGGTTGACTATGCGAATTCCTGATGATAAGAAGGGGGATCTTATCGGTGGATGACTCAGCAGATACCAATCTCACCGCCCGGCAGCTTTTGCTCTGGAAAACAAAAAAAAAAAAAAAAAAACCTCCTGCACTATTCGCATTTCAACGACCATCTAGGCGGGCTCATCATGCCTTCATCGAATGGTCCCCGCCATGCGAAACAATCGAAATCATCCCAACGACCTTCATCTCTAAAACGCAAGCGTACAGAGGAGGGTTTGTCGTCTCTTATTCAGCGAGTGGAAGATCTCGACCTTAAGGAAACCTTCAAGTCCTTCACCGATCTACCTTTGTCCGAACCAACCTCCTCCGGACTTTCATCTTCTCATTATAAAACCCTGACCGATATTCAATCACGAGCAATCAGCCATGCACTAAAAGGTCGGGATATCTTGGGAGCCGCTAAGACAGGAAGCGGCAAGACGCTGGCTTTCCTCGTTCCTGTTCTCGAGAATCTGTACCGCAAAAAATGGGCCGACTACGATGGGCTAGGGGCTCTGATCCTCTCACCGACGCGCGAACTTGCTATTCAAATCTTCGAGGTTCTCCGCAAGGTTGGGCGCTACCATAATTTTTCTGCCGGGTTGGTCATTGGTGGTAAGAGTTTGCGGGAGGAACAGGAGAGACTTGGCAGAATGAACATTCTTGTCTGTACGCCTGGTCGAATGCTACAACATTTGGACCAGACGGCATTGTTTGAAACCAATAACCTGCAGATGCTGGTGTTGGATGAAGCGGATCGCATCTTGGACATGGGCTTCCAAAAGACCGTAGATGCTATTATTGGTCACCTGCCTAAGGAACGCCAAACGCTTCTCTTCAGTGCCACGCAAACTAAGAGAGTGTCGGATTTGGCACGACTGAGCTTACAAGATCCTGAGTATGTGGCTGTGCATGAAACAGCCTCTTCAGCGACCCCCTCTACTCTTCAACAACACTACGTGATTATTCCGGTGCCACAGAAGCTTGATGTTCTATGGAGTTTTATTCGAAGTAACCTGAAAATGAAGGCGATAGTATTCCTTTCGTCGGGGAAACAGGTACGGTTTGTTTACGAGTCCTTCCGACATATGCAGCCGGGTATTCCCTTGATGCATCTTCACGGCCGGCAGAAACAAGGGGGCCGACTTGATATCACGACCAAGTTTTCACAGGCAAAGCATGCCGTTCTTTTTGCCACCGATGTTGCTGCTCGTGGTTTGGACTTTCCAGCTGTCGACTGGGTCATTCAGCTCGATTGTCCCGAAGATGCCGATACGTATATCCACCGAGTTGGGCGGACTGCGCGGTACGAGCGTGATGGCCGTGCAGTGCTATTCTTGGACCCCAGCGAAGAGAAAGGGATGTTGCAACGCCTGGAACAGAAGAAGGTGCAGGTCGAGCGGATTAATATCAAAGCCAACAAACAGCAGAGCGTCAAAAGCCAGCTACAAAATATGTGTTTTAAGGACCCCGAGCTGAAGTACCTGGGCCAGAAGGCATTTATCTCCTATGTCAAGTCGGTCTACGTTCAGAAGGACAAAGAAATCTTCAACCTGAAGGAGCTGAAATTGGAAGACTTTGCGCATAGCCTGGGTCTTCCTGGTGCTCCCCGTATCAAATTCATCAAGGGAGATGACACGAAAGAGCGAAAGAACGCCCCTCGAGCCTCGATATATGCCTCCAGTGATGAAGATTCTAGCGAGGAAGGAGACAAGAAGGCGAAGAAGGATGAGCCGCGGGTTCGGACCAAATACGACCGGATGTTCGAGCGACAGAACCAAGATGTTTTGGCGGGCCACTACTCGAAACTCATCAACGATGATGGAACATTGGTTGATCACACCAAAAATAAGGTTGCCGTTGGCGAGGGTGATGATGATGACGAGTTCTTGTCTGTCAAACGCCGCTACGACGCTGGAGACGACGATCTGGATGTGGGAGGAGATAGTTCGGAGGATGAGGAGGACGAGTCCGACGACAAGAAGGATATTAAAACCGTGCATCTCGATGGGCGAGATCCCCTGTTTGTGGACTCCAACCGCCGGAAGAAAATGCTCAAGTCGAAGAAGAAATTACTCAAGTTCAAGGGCAAAGGTACGAAGCTTGTCTTCGACGACGAGGGCAATGCGCACGAAATGTACGAGATGGAGGACGAAGAACAGTTCAAGGCGCAGGGCGATGCTAAGGATCAAAAGGCACAATTCCTGGCGGAGGAAACCGAGCGGACGCGACAGGCAGATATGGAGGACAAGGAAGTTGCCCGACAGAAACGGCGCGAGAAGAAGGAGAAGCGCAAGGCGCGCGAGCGGGAATTGTTGGCGGAGGAAGAAGCCGAGGAAAGGGTGGAACAGCTTGTTCCCTACGAGAACGAGGACGAGGGACAGTTCTCTCCATCCGAACCAGAAGTCGAAGCACCGCGCCCCAGCAAGAAGCAGAAGGTCCGGGTACAGGAGCCAGACGAGAGCCAGGAAGTGTCCAAGTTCAAAAGAGGCAAACGGTCAACGCCCAAGGAACCCCAAATCCAGACCTTGGAAGATCTGGAGTCGTTGGCCACTGGACTGTTGGGTTAGAATGCTTGTTTACGTGGATCTATTCTTGTCGATGTGTCTCGTTCTTACTAGCGGAGAGTATCTAAAGCATGTCTTTGATTTAGGGTTATTATGTTGCATATGGAACAGTGCATATACATGGGATGATATAAAAAGTATCACGGGATTAAATTGCGCAAACATACTATACTAGATAGAACTTGTATACAGAGTAAGTTGTCCAAGGATGCAGTAGTAAACATAGTCAAAAGACACCTTTCCCAAACCGGAAGTGACGTTGCCTTCTGCAAGCTCCCATGTGAGTGGGCCTCGATGTGATGGAGGGATTGTATGGCGTGAATAATCATCAGTCATCTCTGTACGTAACTTTTTTCAATCACGTCATGCGCTAAAGTGCAAGGATTTCGAATTGCCTCGAGGGCCCTGCGTATGGCTCATCCAGCACTCATTTTTAAGCTCATTTCTGCCCTGGTTTCTGAGAATTTGGTACTTCTGGTTTTGCGGTTGTCCACTGGTTTTTTTCTTTTTTTACTTTTTTTTTTGGGCGAGTGTGTGTGCTACATGCGCTGCGCTGTCACGTGTGAGGATCCACTGATTTTCCTAATCCGGTAATATTATACCCCGAAGGTGAGCTACCTACTGCACGTCGTCGTTGTGCCTCTTCCTTACACGACAATGCGCCAGGATATACGCAGTACTGCAGCGCGACGACCAGTATTCATATCATTGCATAGTGGCTTGCTCTAGGCCTTCATTCGGTTCTCTTTTTCTGTGGGCTTCTTCGGCCATTGATTTCGTCTGAGTGATCGCAAAATGGAGGTCCACGACATCGAGAAGCACTCTGCTGGGAGCCCTCACGAGGCCGAGGATGCGAAATATCCTGGCTTATCCTCAGGTCCATTCCACAACAATGAACAGCGCATAAGTGCGGACAAACTGGCCCGCAAGCTGTCTGCGCGTCAGGTCCAAATGATTGCCATCGGCGGGACGATCGGTACGGGTCTATTTCTGGGAACGGGAAAAGCGCTGGCAACGGGTGGTCCGGCTTCGATGCTCATTGCGTACGCCATCTGTGGTGGAATCGTTTTCGTGACGATGTTGTGCCTGGCTGAAATGGCTGCGTTTATTCCCGTTGCGGGGTCCTTCTGTACATTTGCCGGGTGAGTCAGTTCCTATGCCACATGGGTTTCTGCGAAGTCATCTACTTGTGTTACTAACAGCTTTTTTTTTTTTTCTTTTTTCGTTTCAGTCGCTTTGTTGATGATGCGTTGGGATTTGCTCTTACTTGGAATTACTGGTTCAATGATGCTGTTTCCACAGCTGCCGACGTTATAGCGCTTCAGCTCCTGCTTCAATACTGGACGGATAACTTCCCGGGATGGGCAATCAGTCTGATCTTCCTTGTTGTTGTCATCGGGCTGAATGTCCTGTCTGTGAGAATTTATGGAGAGGTATTGTCGTTCCCGTGTTCGAATTATGGCGCGTGAATCTCTGCTAATGATTCGGTAGATCGAGTATTGGCTCAGCCTTCTAAAAGTAATCACTATAATAGTACGTTCTCTTTGTTCCCTAAAAAAAAAAGAAAGAAAGAAAACTAATACCGTATAGATTTTCATCATCCTGGGCATTGTAGTCAATTGTGGTGGCAACACGGAGCACAGATATCTCGGGGACAAGTATTTCTACGTTGGGGACGCTCCTTTCGTCGGAGGGATCGGGGGATTTGCATCAGTCTTTGTGACCGCTTCGTTCGCCTTGTACGTTCTTTATTGGCGATACCGAGTACTAGGAATCCTGGCTAATACTCACCAGTGGCGGCACAGAATCCATCGCTGTAACCGCAGGCGAGACCAAAGATCCCGACAAGACTATGCCCAAGGTTGTTCGCAATGTCTTCTGGCGAATCATCCTGTTCTATATTGTGTCCATCATCATCATTGGTCTCAACGTGCCATACAACTACCCCAACCTGTCTAAAGGAAACACCGCCACCAGCCCATTTACCATTGTTTTTACCCAAGCCGGCAGTCATGTGGCAGGGAGTTTCATCAACGCTGTGCTCATGACTAGCGTCATCTCCGCTGCGAACCATGCATTGTTCGCCGGTTCCCGACTGCTCTACACTCTTGCTGTGGACGGGTACGCCCCTCCTTTTTTCGGCCACCTGAACCGCTTCCAGATTCCCTGGATAGCTGTTCTAGCAACCTCGGTCATTAGCGGTCTTTGCTTCGGCGCCAGCTATATAGGCGCGGGTCAGCTCTGGTCATGGCTACAAAAGTACGTTAACCACTCTATCAACATTCCTCACAAGAATCCCTCATGCCTGTACTAACCTGGATATTCTTTCTCAGTATTGTCGGCGTCTCCAACCAACTCTCATGGGTCTGTATCGGCGTGGCATCCCTACGTTTCCGCGCCGCCATCCGCCACCAAGGTTTAGAACATCTGCTTCCCTACAAGAACTGGACGTATCCCGTAGGACCAATTATCGCCGTGTGTCTCAATGTCGTCCTCATCCTCGTCCAGGGCTGGTCCTGTTTCAGCCCCCACTTCAAAGCCGTCGACTTCGTCTCATTTTACATCGAAATCCCCATCATGATCGTCATGTTCCTGGCCTGGAAACTGGTGAAAAGAACTCACTTCGTCAAACTCAGCGAAATGGACCTCCTTACAGACAGGTACAACATCGTCCATGACGACGGGCTGGACCCGAATGTCACCGGCGGCGAGTCCGACGATCGTGCAGATGGTCTGCCTTCTCGACGCGAGAAACTCCTTTCTTCCTTCAAGGATGATGAAAAGGGTGTTTGGGTTAAGTTGAAGAGATTCGGCATGTGGCTGTTCTTATAGCCTTTTTTTTTTTTTTTTTTTTTAATCCCCCCGGCCTTATCCTTTGGGGGAGGGAATGGGGGATACATAATGAGTTACGGATTTTGTTTATATATTTTTAGTATTTTATCTGTTACATACTGTGCCTTGGAATTAAGTAATAAAGTCCATGAACATATCGAGACTTACCCCACATATAGGTGCCTATGGTGTCTATGGTATCTATTCTATCTCGTAGTTCTGTACGTAGATTCTGTCTATTCCCATTCAATAATTTGACTCGCGAACAACAAGAGTACTCCATTAACAGAGCGGGAGTCCCATATTTTATAAGCGTTTGCGCTGCTCATGTATCTATATTATGTGCTTTAGAAAGGAGACAGGGACCACAGTATCAGCCTTCAAGAATACATTTGGTTCTTGTTGAAGATCAAGCCAGAAAGAGAGGACATGATGTAGTATCAGTTTTCCCTGGAAAAATATAGTTGATCTAAAGGAAAGGGAATATTTCTATTGAAGAGAATATGGAGGATGTTGAGAGAATGTAGAAGTGAGAGAAACGAAGCCAAACTGAAGAGCTTAGTTGGATCTCTAGATGGATCTCTATAAAGGAACAGGATAAACAATACAAACAATCAAGACAAACCCGAATTATTTTCTCTAGACTCCAAAGTCAGACTGAGACTTAGGCACAATGCCTCTGTTCAAGCAGTTTTACAGAGGATTAATCCCAAAGAATACAATACAATGCTCCCGTTTCCCTTATGCATGCAGCCATCTCAATGAAAGACAACAATTCCCTGACTCCACACACACACACACGCGCACACACACATACAACGCCATCTATGACGGTGAATCCAAATGCTCCATGCTCAAGACCTGAAATGCCTTGCCAAATAAATGCAACACGCCATGCATCAAATGTACACAGAGTATTTTGAGAACCAGAATTTAAAATGAGAGAAGAGGAGAGACAGAGAGAGAGACAAACAGAAGGAAGAGGTCAAATCAATCCAAACCACCGAGGTTCATGTAAATTAAGAATTTTTAGACAAAAGAAATATACACCAGTGTAGGAAGAACGCATGCCAGCATCTGTACATGGTGGGTGCATAACAAACGAAGGGAAAAGGCGAATCACAGGTCTGGGGAAAACTAGGTACAATGTACCAACCATTATCACAAAAGAAAGTATACATTATGATCGTGAATTGTTGTAGATCCGGCTACAAGCATCAAAGGGTCGACAAAAATTCCGGCTCCACTAAAATCAAAAGAATGTGCTAGCCTCGGCAGTGCTCGCAAGTTAGCAGAAGACTATCCTAGCCATTCACCATGTCATCTAGGGCCATCTTTCGTCGTTTTGCAGGCCTTGATTGATTGGTATCAGCCTCAGTTGCCGACTCGCCGTCCCGACAATGAGTGGATGGTGCTCGCGACGAAGGTTGTTGTGCAGTAGGGTCACCGGAACTGAGCCGTCGTGGAACAGTTTCCCCATACCCCATGTCTGACATCCCTTGGCGCATTTGGCTGGCGGGAGAAAGTGGCTCAGGATATCCATGTGGCGGTAGCTGGTGCCGCTGCTCAGCTCCTTCTTCACGGCCGCGTGGTGACCAACCTGGATAAGGATCACTCAACCGATGCGCGTGCGTTCCAGAGCTCGGACTAGCTAGCGTCGGTGGATATATAGGGGGGAGCCGAACTGGAGAATCTAAATAACCTTCACGGGGGTCTCTCGACATAGGCGGCTCCCCCATCGCCAGCCGATTTGCCATTCGGGTACCATCGGTATATGGTGGGATCGGAACCCCGAAGGGTTGCTGATATTGTGGTGGGGATGCAGCAGGATGCAAACCTGGGTTTGCATAAGCGGAAATCGGTCTTCCCATTACCATGTGCATGCGGCTCGCCCCAAGGGCTGGGTTGTAGCCAGCGGGTACGGGGACAAATCCAGGTGGCGAAGCTGTTGACAGAGACTGTGCTGATCCCGAGGAAGAGAACCGTCTATGACCGATATTTCTTTGCATTGTTAGGGCAGGATCGAGGTTCTGAGGATACATCGAAGCTGGTGGCCACCTGTGCGGCTGCATGGCCGAAGTTCGCATTCCTATTGTACCAGGCGGCGGAACGCAAGAAATTTGGAGATCTGTCATGGGGCGGAGCTCACGGGAAGATGTCGCCCTATGCATGACACGTCTTGATTGAGACCCATGTTGCCCTCCCGATGTGGCTGCATTATCTACCTGCGCTGCGTATGTTCTAAGAGAAGCTTCTTCCGCTTTTAACGGGGGTCTCCCCCGTTTCTTGTGCGTAACATCAACGCATGTCGCCTAAGTAAAGGTTTATTAGCCACCTTATCCACTAAATCTTGCCGCTTTATTCAACGGAACGGAGAAAGGATCTAAACACGGCAGAGAAAATCCAGGAGACTTACTTCTTTTCCAGAAAGAACACACCTCCGACAAGGTCGTGCTGGATCACATCCCAGATGTTTCTTCTTGCAGTTCACGCATGCTGATGCGACATGGGCTTTGGTACGCCGAGTAGGTTTCTGAGACAATCCTCGGGCGCTGGTGTCGGGAGAGGACGTCGCAAACGTCGTCTGCGAATAGGTCTGGGTTGAGGATTGTGGAGCACCCTGACCACCTACTGCAGATGGTATATGTGAAATAGAAAAACTGTCGCTGATAGCAAGGGATTGACGCGATAGCTCGTCTCCGGGTGCCGAAACCACATGATGCAATTTGGGCTCGTGAACCGTTGTAGTAGCAGGAGGTCCCAAGGTAAGAACGGGCCCTGTTGTCCCAGCAGAAAGAGTAGCGGATGTTGACGGTGTCGGACTCTCCACCTTTGTCACCGGTTGAGGCAGCTCTGGATGTCCGAGCCGCCGTGTGGTTGTAGACGTTTCCAGCGGGTCTTCTGCTGGGACCGAGTCGGACATAGAGCGAGGGGGAGGAAGATCCCGGAGACTGCACCGTCGAGCATTTGTTGACCTAGTAAAATTTAATGGGAGTCGCTCCGACCCCGGGTCAAACCTGGAATATCCAAATTCAGTGGTGATGAAGGATGAGGGGGGAAGCACTAATGATTGCATCTGGTAATGATAGGTCCCTTGATTGATTGGGACACGGATCACAGGTATGGAAGATGAAACGGATTCGATATTGGAAGTAAAAGCATATCTGGCACAAAGGAATCACTCTATTATTTCCCTCGACGTCGGTGTATGGTTCAGTTACCAGATAACGTTGAAACTCCGCGCTTGTAGTCTAAGAAGGGACCACAGGAGCTTATAATCAAGTCCGTAAACACTCACTATTGGAGGAGTCACAAACTAGGGTCTGATGATCAGCAACGACTACCCAGATCGTGACGGCAGTTTTCCATGGCTTCGATGGTCTCCATCCTGGGATGCTTTATTGCAGCATGGTGGATGATCAATGGAGCCAGAGAACAAGCGCAGAAGGGGGGGAATAGAAAAAAGAAAAAAAACGCACACGCAGGGACCATTTAACACCTTACCTTCTCGGAGGCAAGCAAGTCTCTTTTCTTTTTCTTTTCTTTTCTTTCTTTTCCTTTTTTTTTTTTTTTTTTTTTTTTTTTTTTTTTTTTTTTTTTTAATGTGCTGGAGAAGAGACTCGTGGCTTGCATTAGATGGGTGATTCGGAATGGGCGCCGCTGTCAGTTACACCGTCCTAAAAGGGTTAAACAGTCTCCTGGAGAGGGGTGAGGAGGGGAAAGGGCCAGACAGCATATCCCAAGAAGAAAAGGAAAAGCTGTTTGTGGAGTGTATTTCTGTCTTTTTATTTTATTTTATTTTATTTTTTTGAGACTTTTGGAGACAGACTGCGGTAGTCTAAGCTGATTCCAATCAGGACGCCCACAAGCAAGGCGAAGACTGAGCGACGGATCGACGTCGGCGCCCGCTGCATCCATTGCCAATAGTAGCACGGCAAGGATGGGGAGAGGCGCATTGCGTCCCACTTTGACATGCGCTACCGAATCACAAGGGAACTTGGGGGTTTGTCACCAGGATTTTAAGCTTGTCAACCCAATGGAGTGGGCGGACGGTGTGTCTCTTGTGTATTGTACCCTCCGCATGGGTTATGGACAGTCCAGATTGTATTTTGCTCGTCAAAATCGCCCGGTCTCCAAATCATATTTGACCTTAGAGTTTCATTTTGTTTCGAGTCTCAGTTGGCGTAAACCATAGATGGGAAATTGAAACCTAGAAAAAAAAAAAAAAAAAAAAAAAAAAAAAAAAAAAACGACGGGAAAAAAAAAAAGCAAAGCATGGTCCAAAAAAAAAAAAAAAAAAAAAAAAAAAGCAAACAACGACGGGAGAAAAATAAAGCAAAGCATGGTCCTTATTTGAGGCCCGGCTAATGTACTTACTCATGGCATGGGGCGGTAAACCTTCATGCTGTTCATTTCTCCGTGATAGCCATTTTTCTGTTTTATAATTGGGCGAAATTATATCCAATAGCCTTTTTTTTTTGTCTTTCTAACTTTTGAATTTTATCAGTTCACTTTTGTCACGCTGTGCTGGTATGTAAGTGTAAGAGGTCCTTAGGCAACCCATTTACGGAGTACTTCACGCAGCTTACGGCTTGGGGGAAAAAAAAAAAGTTAACACTCAACGAGGGGAGGATTTTCTGACGCAGTACTTTGTTAGCCTTGACATCAATGCTTGGGTTGTCGGTATTAATCCCCATTTTGTCTGCTTTTAACTCAAGCTCGACGAGCTGTACCCGACGCACGAAACTATATAATGAAACATAATCAACCCATAGGGGTAGACTTGCCAGTTAGCTCAGTCGAACACTATTCTGATGGGTAGCTGGAGCAGCCTCGATAGCCCAAGCAATGGCATAGGAGTCAACAATTCTCCGCGATGGCTCTTTAGTGTATGTACGAGGCCCACCCAACCAAGGAGTGTAAAAACGTACTAAGTACATACCTTGTCTGCTGCGAATCAATTCATTGGTGTTTTATGGTATTAATGTATTGAATGCACCCCATGCTGTTGAGACTTCTGCGGACCGACCTCAAAGATGTCGGTACTTCAAAGTAGACGCATTGCCTACTTGCTATCGACTTGTGGTCTTTTTATCATATGTACTTCGTCCTCTCACTCTCTCCTTTTTTTATACCGCGCTCACTCTCCCGGCACATTAATGGTCCATGTGTATTGTGCTTGCATGCACTTGGCTCGCGTGATTGTATTTTTTTTAAGTTTAAAAAGGATCTAATGGGGTTGACCGTTAGGGGCGATCGCTGCCAATCGTCATGGTCTTTCTCCTATTGCCATACTACGTAGACCAAATAGCAGAAGTGGTCTGGATATAGCACTTGAGTCAAACCACTAGAGAATTGGGGATATATGAAATTCTAACAGTCATCTCGTAGAGTACCAAGACTTGGAGACACTCAAATGTTCGTACTGTCTGGTGAAAGTGAAGGAGAAATTATTACTTGGAACAAGATGTGGCTGCAGCTGTTGCGTCCTGGCTAGTGGAACAAACATGAGTCTAGGTTGATCACCTGAGCCCCGGACAATTTGCGAACATCAGCCAACAATTGTCGATGGTCCGTCCGATAAGAGGGAAGAGGTCCACCGTCGCAGTTCAGCATGGCGTCGAGGGACCAATTGACGGCAGATTAACAACGGCTTTTTAGCAATGTAATGCAATACTCCGTACGGAGTAGTTAAAACGTTATTAGAGCAGTGCATCGGAGATCTTTTTTTTCTTTCTCCCCTCCTTTTTCCTTTTCTTCGATTTGCGGAGCCCAATTGAAATGTTTTCATCCGGTCGGTTTTTACCGACCGAGTCATGATCCTTGATTGAAAGGAAACTTGGGTGAGCCACTTCGGGGAATTATCCGTGCTGCCACCTCTTGGTTCCGACTAGTCTATATCTTGGTTATCACTTGGACTTCATTTTTACAAGGTCAATGGAATGGGGAGAGGGAAAAATCTCAATAAGAGAGATAAATAAAATAAAAGAGCAAGAGAGGCAGCTCTCAAACCAACAGCTAACAAAACGTAACAATTATTAGCCTTGAATAACTATGGAGAGAAATAGGAAAGTAAGAGGATTTGTGGAACATGTCGCACGCGGGGGGGGCAGCAAGGGGTCCATTTGTGATTTACTTGGTCAGGCCCTAAGGGGAGTTTCGAGATAGATGGTTCTTACTTTTTTAGCCCAAGGCAAATAGTTTAGTGCATGCAGGCTTGGGCGGGAGACATCAGCACGATCTACCACCTTAGGGGCCAATAGTTCGAACCACTGTGGTTCGGCAAAGGCCTTGAATCCTAGCCCCTAGGGCACATTCGGAAGAAAGGGATGGGAGGATGAACCAACAGAATACCATAGTGATAGGATCACCGAGCACTGTGATACCATCGACAGAGAAACCGGGATGATGAGAGGAGGGGAAGGACAGAGCGACCGAGATGACGGTACGGGGTGGAAGCAAAAAGCAAAGGAGGATGCGAACTTGTAGATGCTGCACTGGTTTTGGTTTAGTCGGTCAGTCGATCACGCTTAGCCTGTAACGGCTAGGGAACCCGTACTTTCCAGTGATTGGCAGGTTACGGGTATTTGTCAACCTCCGTCGAGGCTCAACCAGACTATCAGGACTCTCTGTACTATCAGTTTCACTACCGACGCCGTGCTGCTGCTGACCGATACGAGCAGTCAGTTGAGTCTATTGGGGCATATCCTAATGAATTATTATTATTGTTATAATCTTCTTCTTCCTTCTTCTTTGGATTATTGATTTCCTTATCGACTGGTTATTTTCCCTTCATCAAACTAGTTCCTTGGATGGATATGGATTCTGCGGGCAAATTCTCTCTTGTCCTGTCAGCCTACCGTTGGTCCGTCAGTGCTTTGTCTCCGGCCAATCCCCTGTTCTCCTTGACGGGTGACGCCGGAAACAAATCTGGTCCAAGCTAATGGAGCACAGGAAAATTCGCCGGCCATGACTGATCTAAAAGTGGCCCATTTCGTAGCACATCCGTTTTTCCCGTCGCACTTGGCGCCGTACTTCCCAATGCGTGGGCTTTGGCTACACAAGATAATCTTCCGAAAGGGGTCCTCCTGAGGAGATCCTGCCCGAAGCTATGTTGTGTGCTGTGTAAGTGTAAGTACACTGCACAGGATGGCTGGTGCTGCCAGCGGTATCACCTAGTCGTATTGAACATGTGAGATTACATTATCACTCAACTCTCGGCCGGGTCTAAGTTCCATTTCCTGTTTCTCTCCTCTTTTCCCCATATATTTTAATTAATTATTGCTTCTTTTCTTTTCTTTTCTTTTTATTTTAAGTTGGCCCTCTTGGCTACCTGCTATTAGGGATATCAACTTCCGGTACGGAGTACATGTGCCAAGTTAGCAATAATTATGCGATATCTCCACTCTTGATCGGTCTGTACAAACACCTCACATTGTGTGAAGTCTCTTGGATAGTACAGAAAGATGTCTCAAATTGTTAATTATGTCTAGGTTTGGTTCTGTTGTCCGAGACACCTGTGCAAAAGACACGCCTTCTCACCCAGTCTGCCCAAAAAAAAAAAAAAAAAAAAAAAAAAAAAAAAAAAAAAAAAAAATCTAGCTCGAGAAATACCATTTTAATGAATGCTCGTGCTAAGAATAAGCAGAATAATTCGGTTCTTATTTTCGAGATATTCTGCACAGCGTGTTTCACCTTGCTTCGCGACTGCCTAACGTGTACATACGTACACAAGCGACGCTTTACGTAAACGAGGATGGAGGAAGATGACCATAGAATAAGACGATCAGAAATGCGTCATGAAACACTGCCATTGAGAAAAATGCTTCCGTTCGTTGATCTCGCATTACGACCGTTCGGAAGTAAACGGCCAATCAATGAATTCTTCGTCGCCAGCAGCGATGTATTCGCGTGATCCTTGAATGCGCCGACATATCCGATCTTGCTGCGAAGGCAGTCGTGGATCAGGCGTTGGTTGACTTGGCAAGACCCTTGGGAGGGATTCCACCAGTATACTAGGTAGGCCAGCGCCAAACGCGTGCTGATTCCATCGGCTACTAGACGTTGGATACCCATGGACGATGCATGACGCCATACAGATCCCACTTTGGACTCCTCGTGACGGCCCATAAGGGCGGGAAACGGCTCTTGCAGCAACGATAGGCCCCGCTACTCTCCCAATGGTTTCCTTCGAATCCTTGAAGCGAGGGCATGGGCAAACGGGCTTGTCTGCTTACCTTGTCTGCTTACGCGAGGGTGGCGCGTCAAAATTTCGAAGTAAAGCCTTATTGGACTCAGGTCGGATGTGGGCTGAGTGGGAAAAAGATTTACTGGATACTGCCATGCGTCGAACCTTCCAGCCAGCCCTGGTAAATCCCAGATCTGTAGGTGGGTGTTCTTGGCAAGTTATCGCAGCAGGACAGGGAAAGGCCTCTATGGCGGGCCGTTGAACTCAGACAACAAGGGATGATCAGTCATCCGCATCGAGTTCCCTCAGTCTTGCTCTTGATCGGGTAATTCTGAGTGAAGGTGTCAGTTCGCTTGAGTGTCGGTGTGGATGTGACCAGTATCAAGGTTTGAGCAGTACTAAGTACAATTTAGGAATGAAGCCTCAGCGGATCGCTTTAACGAATACTGTTATCAGTATTGCTACTATTGCCATTCCTTCCCCAACACAGAACTCGCGGAAATCAACTTCTGAAAAAGTAATTAGAATAGAAATGGAAGCCCGCCCGGATCGGACCGCAAAAAGCCCCTTCACTCCCTCGGCCCATAACTGCCGGGATTCCGGATGGAAGGGGGTACTCAATAATTGATGACGTGGGAAAAAGATTGAGGAGTGAACAATGATTCTTTGCGCCTGTATATCTGGAGTTGTCGCGAGAATATGGCATTGTCCAGAACAACCCCATCAGATGATTGGAAATACTCCTCTCCAGTGGACCATTAGCCACAACCAATGGGGTAACCAGTACTCCATACATACACTCCAACTAAGTATGGAATACGCCTGTATATCGGATGCCTTGTAAGAGAACAGCTCTGGTCTCAGATCGTTACCGACTCTAAGCACTACATGTATACTGCAAGCATAGAGTACCCAAATGTTTTGTTCTATTTCCAGCTATGGAGTACTATTGTGCCACCCCCAAAAGACCCTTCGGTGGATAAACAGCAAAAAGAACAACAGCAGCTGCAATATAAGGATAGAATCCACTCAGGAGCAACAACAAATAGACGCGCCTCCCAATCCATGTCGTCGATCCTCGTCTTATGCAACTTAATCCCGTCAAATGACTAGTTCTTTGACGGGTCCGATCTGCCACGATACATGGGGAAACGGTACAGGGCTGCCACTGCAGCTCTTACCTATCTTCTTAGTGTGGTGAGCATATTTCATATCTACCGGAAGAGCCAAATCTAGCTACGTAAGTATGTAGGTAGATGATTCCAAATAGTGTCTTCAAATAACATAGAACCCAGCCTGCTGGACTAATGTACGATATGTGGTCCGTCCGCCAATCAATCAATCAATCAACAAGTCAGTCAGTCTGTGTCAGTCTGTCAATTAGACTCTTCTTCCAGTCTAAGGTGACGTACGTCCCTACATACGTATGTATGTACGTGATTAGACTAAACTACCTAGAAGGTAAGCTCAGGGCCACATCACATCCAATAGTGGGGACCGAAGTACTCCGTAAAGAACGTACGTTTGTGCTATCTACCAACCTCCTCCTCCCCTCTAGGCCCATAATCAAATCCCATTCACCACGTATGTACTCCGTAAAAGCAGACAATAGGCACCATACCAAAATACCGAGTCCTCCGTGCTACAAACCTGTACATATGCTCACGCAACTCGCATCTAACGCTATCCTACTAAGAACTCCGTACTCCTTAGCACTCTCAGGAGAAGCATCAAAAGAGAGGGAGAAAAAGACAGGGAAAAAAAGAAGAAGAACTCTCCACCGGCCATCCTGCATCAAGCTCATGCACTAGTTTTCTCGGCCCCGAATCCGGGATGGGGAGGGATGTGATGTGATGGCGATGTGATATGTCTTTTATTGAATCCGATATGCGCCTCCGGAGCCAATCGTGCGTTATTTCCTGATGGTTCGATCTCCGTTGTGGCGCCGAGTGGAAAAAAGAAAGAAAAAAGAAAAAAGACGTACCCTAGCAGAACTGGCGTGGGAATGGGTAGTTTGGGTTAGGGTCTGGATTATCCTGATTATCCTGATTAGCCTGAATTTCCTGATTTCCTGATTTCCCTGATATTCTCGCACGTCTTTTTTTTTTTTTTGGTTCCTTTGGGAGGCCTAGAGAAGAACTGGTTTGACTTGCCTGGTGATGGTGTTTGTTCGGTGGGTGAGAGCTATGGTTTACATACTAGAGAATATGACCAGGCGAAGCTACCTTGGTCTAGCTAGAAAAATTGTGTCGTGCTAATATATCCGTAGGATGTACAGGGAACTCTGTCCAGAGACACAATGGTATCAATATATACATTAAACCTAACTCTATCAACATCGCTGCTAGCTGTCTACCTCTTTCGAGATGGCCGAGCATTCTTCTCTCTTCGCTTCTGTTTCAATTTCCGGGCTAAGCGAATATCATCTGTGTTCTTCAATTCACTCTTGCCACCTGCCGCCGCTCCTCCAGCCTTAGAGAATTGTCGCTCCTTCGCGGCTTCGGCCTTCTTCTTCATCTTGTCGTAATCAGCACGTAGAGGATCCGCCGCCTTAGGAGCCTGATCCTTCTTGTGTTTGAACCGTCTCCCTCTCATAGCCGAATTGAGGTCTGCTCCAAGACCGGGGGTCTCCATCTCACCCACCCGAGGCAGCCGGTCGAGCCGTTTGCCTTTCTTCCAGGCGTCGAATCTTCCGCTCCGGAAACTGGCTGCGATTTTGGCTCCACTCTCTCCACGAACCAGACGTGTGCCCTTAGATCCGTCCTCGTCATTTTGCCGTGACACATACTTCTTGTGTCGCTTGTCCCAGCGCACCTGAGTGCGAGGTTCCGCGAATCCGCGGGCACCCTCGTCACCTAGCAGATCCATGGTAGCACTGCGCGATGCCTGCGCGAAGTTGGCATTGGTGCCGGTGTGCACACCATAAGCGCGGTCTTCGGCTAAGTTGGTATTGGTAGGTGTATAAGACATGAAATATTCGGGGTTCTGGTAGGACGCCTTGGTATCTTTCTTCCCTTTGCTACTGGACTGTGAATACGACGAGAACATGACTTCGAGATCGGACTCGGACGCCAGGGACATATTGTCAGCCATCCCTCCAGGAGCGTCCTCATCGGAGTCTGCGCCCTGTTCAACGTCCTCTCCAGCTTGACTAGCATTTGCTTCGTCCAAAAATTCTGACTGTCCATCGGCCTGACAACGTTTCTTCTTTTTCGAATCGAGTGTGGTACGAACGCGCTTAATGGTATCGATCGCTTCTTCGCTTTCATTCTTACCACTGCGCCTGCTGTTCACCTCAAAAATGGTCTCTTGTGGCCTAAAACCTCCAATGACGGCAAGCATTTTCTCGCGTTCCACTTCCATACTGCTTTCCGGATCGTTGAAGAGAGGATGAAGATGCGACCAACTCTCGGAGGACACAACTTGTTTTGCGCGTTTTGCACTCTCAAGAGAGGCCGCATTCCTGGTCCGCATATAAAGTTTCTCTCCTTTGATAGAAATGATGCGTTGAGAGGCGATGTCTGCGTCATCATCCAAAACCCTAGTCACCCACTCGCAGCGTTGGGAGAGACCATCGCGAGGCATGCTCCCAACGACCACATCTTCGGCAAAGTTGACCTGATCGTCGTGATCCCGGCCAACCACAAGCCTTCTTCCGAGGAAGAGCTGTAGATCCAGGAGATACGGGGCATCCGCATCTCGAACGAGACTGTAACTCCAACCTTTCTGGCCGGCTCGAGCCGTTCGACCAACACGGTGAACAAAGATCTTTGGCTGAGATGGGAAGTCGTAATTTATAACATTAGCGAGAATAGGAATATCGATACCTCTAGCCGCAACATCTGTGACCACAAGAATATTGGACGCACCAGTCCTGAAATTCTGCACCTGGATCTTGCGAGCAGTTTGGTCCAAAGAACCGTAGGCGTAAGACACTGCAAATCCAGATTCGCGTAGAAGGGAATACAGATAATCGACGTGGTGCTTTGTCGCCGCAAAGACAATCGTCGAATGTTTGGTTGGAGACTCCTTGGTGTTAACGGACCTTTCAATATCTCGCTTCCGCTTCTTCGGGTTCTTAGAATAATTCTCATCCGCTGATTTCTGTGCTACGCCCGTTGGTCCAACCGGCATCTTGATGACCTCATGGAGGATGTAAAGTAGTGCTCCTTCCTTATCTGCAGACTTGACAGAGAAGAAGACGTTCTCAAGATCGGGAGATATCTTGCTCTCAACATCCAGACGAATAAGAGTTGGTTCCTGTAAACCAGCACGGGCAAATTCCACTAGCGATTTTGGCAGAGTTGCGGAAAAAAGGAGAGTTTGGCGGGTAGGAGGGAGGCCGTGCAAAATTTCCGTCAGCTGAGCAGCAAAGCCCATCTCAAACAGTCTATCGGCTTCATCAAACACTACATAGCGGATACTGGATAGGTCCAAGCCCATCTCAACTTTCAAATGCAAAAAACGTCCGGGAGTTGCAATCACAATGTCCGGGTTTCCGGCCATCATTCCAAACTGTTCTTCCAAACTGTCACCACCGACTAAAAGAACACACTTCAGATCCGTTCCTCGACTTAACTCCTTAACAACCTTTAATGTTTGTAAAGCCAATTCACGAGACGGCGACATAATCAAGCCTCGCGACCCAATCTTAGTGCTGTGGGCCTTCAGCTTCTCGATCATGGGAATAACGAAAGCAGCAGTTTTTCCGGATCCAGTCCGGGCCATGCCAACCACATCCTGGTCATCCATAATCACCGGGATAGTCTTACGCTGAATGGGTGTTGGTACAGAGAAACCTTTCCGAGTGATCGCTTTCAGCAGATTTGCGTTGAGACCCATGGCCTGGAAACCACCACCCTTCTTGACAGTGCGACCCTTCAGATTCGATGCCTTCCGGTTCGCAGAAGCCTGCCTCTCTGCGATAAAGGCCTCATCGCTATCATCATCGTCGTCTCCATTGTTCCCAAGAAAATCAAGTTCCTGAGGCGGGGCCGTCTTCAGTTGTCGCTTAGAAGCGTTCACAGAATTCTCGTTGTCGGAGTCGCTGTCATTTTGAAACAACGCATTTGTGATATCGAATTCATTCTCCGACAGCGCCGGCGATGCCGCGCGGCGAGGCATTTTGACTGAGCTGGGATCAATCAGCTCGAGTCTGTTGATAGAATCCAGTCCATTCGTCACGACTTTTTTTTTTTTGTCTGCAGTCCCAAGGCGGTGAAGGATGAAAGTTGCACCGAGAAGAATGCAAACCAGACAAACACTCAGCGCCCGCGACGCGTCCAACCCATCCCGAAGCGGTAAAATGGCACTGCAAGCAAATGACAGAAGCTTGCCTATGTCACGCTGGACGATTCACTGCAGCATTCTTGCAATTATACCGTTCAAATCATATTTCCAGTAATCAAAGATGGGTAGGTTCGATCTTCAATCTCACAACTACCACCACCGACAACCTTTTCTTCCTGCATGTCTCGCTAATCCTGACTGGTAGATAACTACAACAACTACAGCAATTCTCAATACGGAGGAGGGGGTTCAGGCGGCGGCTTCATGCCAGGCGAGATGAATAGCCCAGCTGGCGGAAAGGTAGGGTAATTTTATTTTCGTTCGTTGACCCTCACGACCAGGCTAACCTTCCCTCCAACCCAACCAGAGCGACTTCAACAACACCACCCTTCGCCCCGTGACAGTCAAACAAGCCCTCGATGCAACGCAACCCTACCCTGAAGCCAACTACCAGATTGACGGCGCCGATGTATCCAGTCTCTGTTTCATCGGACAAGTTCGCAATATCAGCTCCCAAAGCACAAATGTAACATACAAGATCGACGATGGCACAGGAGAGATCGAAGCAAAGCAATGGATTGACTCAACAACCGCCGACAACATGGAAACCGATGACAGAAAGGGACCCAGCAAGCCAGGGAAAGAGCAGGTCGAGCTGAACGGATATGCGAAGGTTTTCGGGAAGCTGAAAATGTTCGGGAATAAACGGTTCGTTGGGGCTCACTCTGTTCGACCGGTGACAGACATCAATGAGGTGCACTGTCATCTTCTCGAGGCTGCCGCTGTGCACCTATTCTTCACCAGGGGCCCTGTCAATGGTCCTGCAGGTGTTGGCGGTGCCGCAGCAGGAGGAAAGGGAGGTGCTGCGGACGCATCTATGGGTGGCGTGGATGACGATGCAGGGAATCGCGCCCTCCCTGCAATGACTCCTGCAGCGCGGAGGATCTTTAACCTACTGAAGATGGAGCCCCAGAATAACGAGGGTCTACATGCTCAGATGATTGCCGCAAAGTTGGGCCTCCCCATGCCCGATGTAGTGCGAGCGGGTGATGAGCTCAATGCTGCGGGATTGATCTTTTCGACGGTGGACGAACAGACCTGGGCGTTATTGGAATATTAAATTATTTTTTTTTTTTTTCCCGATTCCTGCCTATTGTCCATTGGCTTAAAAAAAAAAAAATATATATCTTGCATGTGGAACGGGACAAATAGACATCAACGTTAATCTTGGCAGTTACGTATTTGTTATTCTTATATCCACGACAGATGATGATTCCCACAGCCAATATTTGCGTGTCCTATCGCTTTGTATTGCCATTGCATTAGTGTTTAAAACAGGAAATTTATTCCACTTCAAGCAATGTATTCTTTACCCGTAGCATAAAAACAGATTGAATATATCAGGCAAGAAAATGCAGGAAACACAGGATCATGGCCATATAACTAGATATCGCTGAATCGGGACTCTCATGTCTCTTAAGTCGCAGTATATGATCACGGGCAAAAATCAGAAAACCAATTTAGAGCTACATATGTCACCAGCTATGTGCATGCAAAGACCCACCATCGTACTTATGCCGACGCATTTCGCCTCAAGGCATCCTGGACCGAACGGTCCCAATTTGTTTGCCAGAGAAATATGGCCTCGATCACGGACACCAGAAAAAGGGCAATAGCCACGCCCGACCAAAGGCCAAATAAATGCCATTGGAATCCAAATGCGGTACCAAAGCTAATTGGCATCGCAACGGCGTAGTAGCAGAGAAGCTGGACATAGCCACCAATTTCTTGTCTTCCGATGCCACGAAGAATACCATTGCAATTAGCAGCGAGTGCATCGAAGAGTTGGAATGCTGCACAAAGAGGTAGCACCTGTGCCACGAGTTCGATGACCTCCTCGTCCGACGTGAAAAGTCGCGGGATATAGTTGCGCAATGAAGACAGCAAAAGCATATTAAGCACTCCGACAATCACAGCAAAGCACATTGTCACTTTGGCGGACGTCTTGGCCGCACCAACCAGAGTCGCACCTATCAAGTTTGCAATCCGAGTGCTACCGGATATCGAAACAGGGAACGGGATTTGGAATGTGAGACTAGAGATTGTAGACAGGACTGATTGCGCGGCCAGAGGGGCTGTGCCGAGGTAGGATGATCCTAAGGTCAGAATTTCAAAGGCGAGACACTCAGCCTCAACCATGATCAATCCAGGTAGTGCGAGTCGAATCATCGGGCCCCAATTGCGTAGGGCTTTCAGAGTAAGCCCATTCCAACACTCCGAGCCGTCAATGAAACATACATAGAGAAACAGGAAAAGAGGCATGAGGTTGTCTGTAATCGCAACTGCGATGGGCGCACCAACAAACCCCCAGGCAAATTTCTGGTCTTGTTAGCCTATGATACGGAAAACCTTTTTTTTTTAGGAACTTGGCGATACTTACCCAAACAAATAGCCAATTCATAAATGCATTGAGCGGTGCACAAATAAGCAAAACATAGAGGGATGCTGAAAATAGTCCCTGTGCCTGCACATAACGCTTTCCGCTCTCGAAACACGCATAACCCGGAGCACCTAGAGCAACCACTTTCAAATAAAGCCCAGCCATTTCTGCAACTTCTCTGTCCGGTATTATTCTAAGGAGTATTATGTCTGCGAAGAACCACAACACGGCAATCGGGATAGAAATGAGCCAAAGGAAGAAGACCATCCTCTGCATTTGCAGGCCCACCAACTTCCTTTTTCCAGAGCCATAGGCCTGGGCACATAGCGTATCCAGGCTGGTCGATAGGCCTTGGTAGACTGGATTTCAAACTTATTATTATAGGTTCAATAGAAGCATCAACCATTGGTGTTAAAGACATACCTGCGTATCCGGTGATATTCGCACTCATACTTGCCAAACTGACTGCACCGAGCTCTTTCTTACCTAAATGGCCCAATGTGAAGATACTAGCCACCGTCAAGGAATACTGCAGGATAAATGTAAGCACCAGCGGTGCAGCGTTCTTCCCAATGACCTGCGATTCCCGTTTCCAAGTAGTGTGAATTAATCCGGCCATAACCGCCTCCTCCCATTTACGATCAATCGAGTCGGATTCGGCGGCATTCGAGTCCGCACTACCCCTTCGATCTTCTAGTAAAGATGTAGTTTCCGTTGGGCTTGTACCGGCCCGCCTCTCTTTTGTCCTATCAGTAGTACCCATAACATTGTTATCACTTAGCAGGTTCCTCTCGTCCTCGATTGCTTGTTCGCGCTCTCTTCGGGTTAACCTTTCGTGTTCTGTGCGGTGAGGTACAACCGTGGCATGCGATACTGTCGTGAAGAAGCTAGGTCTTTGGTATGAGCCGGCAAGTGAATGGGGATTCGTTTCTGGCTGGCTATTGATCGCGCGAATTGTAGAGGCCTCGGACGCATCATCGTCGGTGGTAAGTACGGAACCTTCGTCATCCGCATAACTCTCTAGATCTCGGGCAATGGCTGTTTCTGCGAGTGGGGAGCTGGATGTAAACTGGCCCTGCAAAGCCTGCTGCTCTGCTCCACTGAGCGAGCGCCTACTTTTGCCGCCGGCCATGACGCTAATTCACTGTGTAGGGCAAAGGGAGTAGTCTATTACGTGATTGAAGCTAATCACGGAAATTTGCTTAACCACGAATCCTCACATGCCTCTGCCTTGAAAGAAGAGGAAGAGGAAGTGCCTGGATTCCTCAATTATCCAGCAAGAGGATAGGTGAGAAAGAAAGGAAGAAGCGCGAAGCGGGGGCAAGCTAGCTTAGTTCGGGCTTTGGAGACATGATGGAGTTCCCACATTACGGGAACGTTGAGTCAACGTAGCCGAATCTGCATCTGACGACAAGATAGCTTGGTGCTGGAAATAAAGTTGTATGGACCGTTCGAAAAGCAGGGATCCACCGAGCATAGAGCCTGTGACTCACCATCGGTTTGCGCTACTCACATTGCTCCAGCCGACATCGCTCCCTCCTTGCTACTCTCGCAAAGCCCAGTCTGCTGGAGACACCTACTCGACCTGCGTGACACTCAACAATGAATTTGAGCAAGATGACTGTGCAAGAATATCGTGCATTAGGAAAACAAGCCCCCACAATGTCGACCCCACAGCGAAAGGTCAAGGTGTCAAGTGGTGCAGAACCCGACACAGGATTTAGCAGATCCTGATCGACACCTCCACCGTAACGACCAATATCTTTGGATACCCATAATCAAGAGACGTTAAATTCATCCTGAAGTAAACATATGACCATCATTGTCGATTGTACAGAGTATTCTCTCAAAGTGGAAATCAATAGGCGTAGTCAGCATGACATCATTCCCAAATAGGAACAGATTGGTCCATCACGTGTGGTGCTGTCGGATGCTACGCCCAAACCGGCTGGTCAGTCAATGGAGATGCAAGTCAACAACAGACAGCCCCTGTGCTGGTTGCACCCAACCCAAGGACGATATGTATATGTTGTGTATGCTCCTGAAACTACAGTGACAGGTTTCCATCACCATTCCATCACCATTAGCAATCATCATGGCGGCCAACACAAGAGACCCAACTGTCTCCTCTCAGCGGCCGCCATATAACCCACTGGTCAACGTTGCCAACACAAGGCCAGTTCTAGTGGATGAGTGAGTGGATCATTGAAATAATATCTCTAGACAAACTTCCGAGAAGCCTAAGCTAACACGAATGAACAAAACCAAAACCAAAGACATCTACATGACAAGCAGCACATTTTTCTAACCCGCCCGATTTTCGGTGCCTTGTTATTCGAAAATAACACCTCTGATGCTCGTGACCACTGCGCCAATGAACGGACCTTCCTCTCCTGGCTCCGTCTTTCGATGTATCTTGGCGTGGTGTCGCTTGCCATTATCATATCATTCCACTTTCATGGTGAACCGACGGGGCTCGAACGTCGGATGGCACTTCCATTGGGCATCATATTCTGGGTTTTAAGTCTGGCTTCCCTTGTCAATGGGTTTGCGAACTACGTTCGGACGGTCAGGAAATACAGTCGCAAGGCAGCTTTGGTCCAAAGTGGATGGAAAACGCAAATGACCTTCACGGTGGTAGGGGCTGTGATTTTAGGAAGCTGCATCTTGTTCCTGGCCACGGATGCGAAGTCTTCGTCCTAATATAAACGGGATGATGGTATATTTCTCTTTTCTTTCCTTGGGAATCATTAGTCTCATATTAAGTCCATATATCCCAAGACTAGCAGAAGCACAGAGGTATGTATATATGGTGTTTGATTATAGACTAATCGTGGTCAAAATGGAATGATATGCATTAGCTTCAGGTCAAAATCCAAAGAAACAAAAGTATGTAACTGGCTTGTGTCATGGTATATCGTCTCCCGAAAAATAAAAAGAAAGAAAAAGAGCGAATCGAAAGAGTCTCATATCGGCACGGTAGACCGAGCCTGCACTGTCCCAGATCAAAAATTAGATCGGTTAAAAGTTCGATCTCACATCCTGCGAATCTCCTTCTCGCCTTTGTACTTCTCTAATGTCGGAGTACCCAGGTGGTTCCACCATTCAAACAACATGGAGTTACAAATGAGCTTGAACCAGGGTGTGAACTTCAACCCCGGCTGCTCAAACATTTGCTTCAATTCATCAGCCGAAACGAAACGTGTGTCGCGAACTTCGTTCGGGTTAACATCCAAGTCCACATCGGCTTGGATGAAAAGGATATAGTCGACTTGATGCTGTTAACTTGCGGACGATCACTAGGCAAAACGACAGAAAGGACACAGTAAGAACATACTCTCGTGTTCACCCCACTTTCCATCACTAGGGGCCTTGTAGTGTATTCTCGTGAAATACTCGAATTTATCCAGCGGGACTTGTTCTGCCTTAATTCCAAGCTCCTGGTACAATTTCCGCTGAGCAGCCCGCTTCACACCCAACACGGCAGCATCCAGCTCAGCGCCGGTCTCTCCAGGAACTCCCAGAGGATGAGAGCAGCAGGTATTCGTCCACATGTCAGGAAAGGTGATCTTCTCGGTAGCACGCTGTTGAAGAAGCAGACGGTTATTCGAATCAAAAAGAAAGACAGAGAAGGCACGATGAAGAAGTCCCTTGTCAATGTTGGTCATCAGGTGGCCTGTTTGTGTCCACTGTCAGCAGACGGGAAACTGCTTATCTCGGTAGAATCCAATAATAAAATCAAAAGACAATATACGGGAAAACATACATGTCTTCTTACTCGCACTTCCAATAGGCTTATCATCATCATCCAAAACGATACACACCTCTTCCATCAGGCGGACCTGCTCTTCATCGTACCCCGCCAGGTCGCTACTGTCCCGTGCGGAGGGGTTACTATTTGCCGCGGGGAAGATCTCACGAGCCAGGGACGTATCGACATCAGGGAAGAGGGAGGAAACATTTTCCGCCGTGATCCGGGGGGATGCTGTGATGGTGGTAGTAGCGCTCATAGTGGCTGTTGAGATAAGGGGGAGAAGTGGCTGAGTGTTACTGTCTGAAAGCTAGACACTGAGTTTATTGATCTTTCGCTTGTTGGGAGACACTGATAGGGCGGCATCGAATGGCAGAATCATTGCCTGAATACGAAGCGGCTGGGACCTCGATGGATAATCTCACCTAAACCCGATTGGACGCAACGAGCTTTCATTCATAATACACTCTATAATTGATTTGATAACTCTTGAATTGTCACTCGATTGTGTCATCCTGTGTTTAATTTTTATTTACTCCGCGAGAGGGTTCGAATAAAACGAGGCAAGTTGAGAAACACCGGAGTCTCACTGTCCCTTCTTCTTGATGTGCATTGACTAGGGGTCTGTCAGAGGGGTACGGAGTGGGTTAGTTGAGGAGACAGATAGCCTATAATCCCTCTCCATTCTACCCTGGGCATCAGAGATCAAATCATTCAGCACAGATGTACTAAATATTAAGCTTACTGTATACAGTATAACACGCATGTTGAGTTACATGAAGGACCGGATTTGGTCCCGATGCAGAAAGTTACGTCTTCCAATAATGATCACCGAATTATCAATCCTTGTTCTGGTGTGAATCATATGATAAGTTGTAAGGTTACATGCAATATGGGGTAATAGCAAAAATCCGGCCGATATATGCTTCTATAGAAGAGGGAAGAACCTTGCACAGTCCAGTCATTGTAATCCCTCTAGACCAGGATGATGATGAGGGTTCTCCCCTTTATTCCAGGATAGATACGTATCACTCTATGTACAGTACTTTTGTACAGTGACTGCAGATTGAGATAAGAACTATCTAGTCCTAGTTTCAAGCACCTGTCATAAGTACCTGCCTGGAAGGAACCAGTAGTACTACCGTCTGTATGAAATGAGGAGAACTCTAACTATTTTATTTTCTTACATACATACACGAGCAAGCTAATCGTCGTACCATAATAGTGCCACCTATATGCAGAATTTCCGTCCTCCGTACGACAGCACGTTTAGGTAGCAGGTAGCTCTGGGGATGTTAGCCACAGTTCAATTACCGATTATGTACTAATATCATCATTAATTCTGCATATATTTGTACTGCTGAAACAGATGTAACTATCATTAAATATCTGTATTTACTTGATTGACTTAGAAATATCCGGAACGAGTGTCACTGGAGTGAGAGAATACTTCCTTTGAAGACTGGTTTACTAATGATATATTGGCTTGAAATAGAGGATAAAATTTGCTTAAATAGTATTCCGTAGTTTTAACATCATAAGCAAGTGAGAGCAAGTTCCGAGCTTATTAAGTCCAGAGCTTCCAGGCATCTAGCTACAGGATATGGCCCAAGCCCCAACAGAAGACGAAGTTCACTCCTAACATATCGGGCCCGAATCGTAGATTCCAACACAGCATCTGGAATAAATTTATGTCGAGCAAGAGTTTGGTGGTTCATCTCAATCTAATGCATGTACCAGACGCCGGAAAATCTGCAACTTGTTCCTCAGAATACCCTATCCGCTACTGAAGAGACGCTTCTGTTGAGCAAAAATTAAAAATGAGAAGAAAGAAAGAAACAAAAAAAAGTTCTAAAGCTGCATGAAGCACGCACTTGCAAGCCACAAGAGAAATTAGGCTACGTATCCCACCGTCACATCCAAAAGTCCACGCATGCAGCACTGTGTACGGAGTACACACTACGGACATACTCCATACTCCGAAGCTATGTCCGTACACGTACATGTACTCAGAGCGTCCACAGTGACTACCTCTAAGATGATCCTTCCCGGAACCCACCCGGTTAGTCTCGACTTTCTACCAGTATGGAGTACCTTAACTTTAGCACGTATCAAAGTTCAGCATTTTCCATAATTTTTGACAGAAGCTCAAGATCCTGGTTTGATCACGACCTATCAGAGCAGACTAGACTGAAAATCCGTACTAATCATTGACATTCTAAGGCTTTAGCTAATTGCCTTTTCGGATGCGAATTGGTAACAGCTTGCTAAATGAGCGAGGATCCCAACCCATTAATTTCGCAAACTGGACACTCAAAAAATTTTCCGGGTTTGAATTTTTCCGCCGGTTTGCGGACACCAGACCAGGGGTAGCTCCTTCGGATGGAATAGTGCTGGTTCTAGTACGCTCAAGAGAGGGAGGGATTCGCTCCATAGCTTCTCGGATGGGTCCCTTACGATTGGGGTGCCGCTGGTACGGTCGTATATCTGAGACCAGAAAGGAAAGAAGAAAATAAGATAGAAGGGAGAAAAAGAAAGCAAAAGCAAAATCTTAGAGGAGGTATTCCTTGTACTTAAGGACGGAGTAACTACTCTACCTAAGTATTGCGCACTCTGTAGAAAACAAGAAATCCAATGTCCAGGATTATATGATCAACAGTGCATGCAATAACTATTGCATAACTATTCCATACTTCGTACTTTGTCACACGATCTTCGTACGAACCATGATGACTATTGTCATGGTAATAATAAATAATTAAATCACTTCATCCCTTCTCCACTCGGCCTTTGAATGGGGCCAAAAAAAAAAAAAAAAAACCGAGAGTCAAAAGCGCTACGCTCCAACAATAAAACGGATGAGACAAAGCTATCAAAATAACAGCCTATAATAGCTCGAATGGTGAATCTATTCCGTAAATGAATTCAATTCACTAGTTACTGGAGCTTTTCAATTTAAGCTACCCTAATTCGGGGGGCAGTAATTACTCCATACCCTTGCTTAGTAGAGTTATTCCGCGTACTCCGCGGACAGTGTAAGGCTGGCTTCTTGGACTCTTGGCTATACTAAGTAGACTTAGAGCCCCCACTGCTAAGATGGACTTACATAGTCCATTGAGATACTATTAATCATCGAATTTAGATAGGTAACTACCGAGAGTAAAGAGTTAGCAAGACGTTGAAAAAGTCACGTCTTACAGAGCATCTCTGCATGTTTCATTGTTTAGTGTTTAGTGCTGCACTAGTTTATCTTGGCTGTTTCTACGACTACTCATTTCCAAACTAACAGTATAGCTATAGAGCCCCTTCCAGCAAAATTTCCGCCCTTCGACCAAGTGGATGCTATTAGCCTGCAAATGTAATTTGGTAAGGAAAATGGAACATGTGAATCACACCATAACGCCAGAGCCTACTTTAAGTTGTCTGTAATTAGCAGTGCCTTGGTACTGTGTAGGCCTTAAATTAGCGTTCTTGAAGATCAGGCCTCGCGGGAGGCCCAAGTTCCAGTTATCGGAGGCTCTATCGGCGCGTCGCCAAATGAATACGGAGTAACTAAGTGGAATAAAGACAACGGAATGAGAGGGAAGGACAAAGATTGGGATGGATGAATAATGAGTGGTTAGAGAGCCTCGATTAATACCCTTTCAAGTTCATTTGCTGTGCATAGGCCAGCCATGCTCCAAAACTAATTTCTATAACCGCTATGCAGTATCTAACATGTCCAAAACCGCAAAACAATACACAAAGGGTGATTAGAAAGAAAAAAGAGCCTTCCTATCCTTCAAGTACATTGACCTCCATCAAAGTATACATCATTGGTCGTTTTTGATAGCTCCCAAAGGGAGGGGAAAAAAAAAAAAAAAAGGGGGTGGGGTATTCGTCAAAAGTCCGAGAGTCATTCGTACGGTCAACGCAGATATGGCTTGCTCGTAGCTTGCTGTTTCAGAAACCGAATTCGATTCACATCTCTAATTAAGAAGGTTGTATCTTGCTCTCGTGAGTAGAATCTGAAGCTGGACAATGAGCGGCTTGGCTAGCTCCTTTATCCCCTCGGGAGGCATTTGATCTGCGGTGCCGTCGTTGTTGGCAATCGGTCTTGTGTCTGTTGAAGAAGAAGATATTAATATTGACACGAGTCTGTATTGAGAACAAATGGCTTCTGTACCTAGAAAGAGTATCCTGTCGACTGAACCGCTGGTCACACTCATCACAAACGAACTTTCGAATTCCACGGTGTATCTGCTGATTTGTCAGCGAATTTCTCACAAAGGTGCTAAGTCGTTTCACTTACGCTATCAACATGCCTCCTCAGGTCGGTCCTCCTTCCAAACGGCCGCTCACATGTCTCGCAGCGATAGGATTTTCGGCGGCTAGGGTCGTGTTTTTTCATATGTTCGCGGCAGTTCGAGCGTCGGGTGAAGCATGTACCGCAGACAGTACATTCAAGACCGCTTGCAGATAGTATTTTGTAAGGATCATCATTCGGCGTTTCACCATTTTCTTTAGCAAACTTATAGACCACTTCGTAGGGAGCATTGCGAACCGTAGCCCTTTGGCCACGATCTGAGGCACGGTCCACATTGGGGTCCACCTCAACTAATGTGCCATTATTTCCACTGGCTTGCTGAGTATTAGGACAAACATTATCGTTGACCACGAGCCGTGCCATCTGTGCCGCCATAGGAGCCCCAGTAGCGTTATTGGAGTCTGACAGGAAGCCCTGGTCCCAAAATTCATTAGGCTCCTCCTTCACTTTGCACTGACTGTCGGGACGAGCAAGACCATCGACACAAGTCGTGCTTGGCCAAAAGTTTGAACTCTGATTGCCCATCATATCCTGATGCCCTGCAATGTCTATGGGAGGGCCGTACTCGGAAGATGCACTTAGAGTTTGCGATTCGTAGAAACTGAGGGGTGAGGCCGAGACATCGGGGTAATTGCTTAAATTTTCATACTGTGTCGCAGGAGAGAAAGGGCCAACGTCCAGCGTGGCTTCGAGAAGGTTTTCGGGGGGCATTAGAAGGTCAGGCCAGTCGGGTGTCGGCGATGGGTACGCTTCGGGTGGGTAGACCCTTGGCTGTTCAACTAGAGGGCCCATCTCGCAGTGCGAGATCCCAAGACCAGTGGTGGTTTGCGACTGGCCTCCATAATTCGGAACAGTACGCATTGGCGATGAGAAAGATGGAGAGGCATCTAGCATCAAGTGGTCGTCCGACAGTGAGCGAACGAGAGAGGGAGGCGAAGGAAATGACATTGAAGTCGAATCCATCCTTTCTTGAAAAAATAAGAGGTATCAAAACGAAAGGAGATGAGTATCGAAAGCACTGAAGCGAGAGTGGAAGGAAAAGAGGCAGGGGAGAAAATATAGAGTGAGAGAAGAAAAGAAAGTTATGGTTGTTTGAAAATAAGGGTGTTTAAAAAAAAAAAACAAAAAAAAAGATGTTCCTGTTCTCACGAGCTGGGTGAATCTCAACCTCACAGCTTGGTAACCAGTTATAATCAGGCGAAATATACCACATCCCAAGGAAAAGGAAGGGGTTTATAAGAATAATATAAAATAATGACTCAACAGCAATACTGCTGGAAGGGACAAGTAGTGGCGAACATGGACTGTGGCTGAAAATGGAATTGATAGATACGCCATATAACAACGGAGGGGACAGTGCCGCTGTACTGGCACGGTGAAAGAAGAGCAGCAGCCTTGACGCCTGATCTCACAAGGCAGATTCTCCCAGGAAGCAGATGCATGAATGCGGCGGGCGAGAGAGACACAGAGTGAGTAGGTGAAGGAGAGTGGATGATCTAGCTGGGAAGGGCCGGACCGGGTTGACTGCAGGCCATGTCTGCAGCATTGAGATAGGCGCGACAAAGAGAAGTCAACATCCACAATGATTTAGCGCCGGAAGAGTGTGATCAGGTCAAATTATCAGTCCATCAGTCCGTCAAGTCAGAGGTCTCCATCCCTACCAGGGTAGAGCAGGGGGGGGGGGAGGAGGGGAATGAGCATCATCATTGTGGCCTAATGGGTTAGCCTGAGAGATTTCCACAAACCGACAGACCGACGGCAGAGTAAAGACGAAATGATTAAAAATTTTTAAATAAAAAAATTTAAATAAAAAATGATAATAAAAATACAAAATGGAAATCAATCATTCAATCAATCCACCGGGCAAGATCATCTCTGGTCGGGTGGGTGGGCAACAGCAGGAGCCGCAGTAACCCCAGTACGTATCTGGAGAATGGGGGTCGAGGGAGAGAGAATCATGATCCATGGGGGAGGATTGAATGGGCAGATGCATGTCCCTACTTCCCTAGGACTGGGAGGACTGGACCACAGCGTTTCTCCGGCTGGGACCGCACTCCCTTCTCTGATCACCGCCGGCCGGACGACCAGCGCACATTTTTGCTTCGTCCTGGATCAAAGAGGCTTAGTTGAGTCCCGACACTCTGGTACCTTCTTGGCAAATGAGCAGTGCGTGTCGCCTGGTCTGATTGGCAGCCACATGACCCGGGTTTTGAAAAGGAAAAAAAAAAAAAAAGGAAAAAGGAGAGGGGAGACGGGGGAAGAAAGAGAGAGCAAATGGAGAACATATTACCATTCATTTCCCACCAGACAAACAATTGACTTCTTTCAAAGAATAGGGTTCTTTGTCGTCCCATGAAGACTTGTCTGTAGCCCGCCGATTGGAACCTTGATTGTCCACCTTATCCTGTGGTGAGTACACGAGAGGCTACCTATCCCATTGGGAAGAGCCCTAGAGGTCAGTCGTACGAATATCTATTAATAATTGCCATCATATATTGATTCATATAATCAAATTCCAGGAAAAGAAAAGGGAATGGAAACGTCAAAGTCTAATTTAGAAAATAGGAAAATAAAATAATACACAACAAATAAATCAATAATAAATAAAACCGAAAGAAAGGGAAAAAAGCCCCATGCCTACTCCGGAGCAGGATGCTATTGTGGTTGCTCATCACAGGGGCCCCTCGAACGATTCCTCGTTGGGCGACTGGTCAGGGACCGGTCCTCACGCTAAACCTTTAGCTATGGCACCGGCTGTGCAGCAGGTGCGTGTGGTTATGATTTTAGGCAGTGGTCCGTCCCCTTTCCACCACGTTCACTAAACCGAACCACTTCTCCTGTACATTTCTCCCAGAAGGGCTATTGTCATTGGCGTACGTGGTGGATGGCCGCCGTAGCTGCCACTCGCTCCACTTGGGCCCGCAAACGTTCCACTTCGTCGATCATATCTTCTATGTCAACACGCCCGGCCTGCCCCATGCCTAGCCCGCGCATGTCGGGATGGTGGCCCGGTTTAGCGTGTTCCTTAGGTTTCCCAGCACCCAAAGAACGCTCCATTGCGGAGGCATGGAGCGGAGCGCGGTGCGTGGGGAGAACGAGGCCACCCTGAATCGATGTGCGCCGGTCATTCCCCCGTGGTGTAGCCGCCGGGGGAAATCGACTACTACGCCTTGCAAGGGAGCGGCGGCTAGATTCATAGGCCCAGATCAACACAACAAAGGGAAGGTGCGTGGCCCTGAGCAAAATGATACGTACCCGGCGTATGTGCTCTGCAGATAAGAAGAGCCGCAAGGGACGAATACAGAGAAGTGGGATGAGATTCTGTAGTCATCGATGACTCCCCTGCGGTTAGCAATCTAGCCAAACAGTGTGAAGCCAACGGCAGCGTAACGGTGGACTAACCAGGGGGGGCATGAAATAGGTTAGTCTTCGGGAGTTACTACTTTCAAGGACATAGATAGAGAGCCTAATTCCACACGTTCCTTAGACATTACCCAAAAGAAACGGGCGCAAGTCTGTACAGAGTAAATACTAACTGGAAAAGATACTCCTCCCGCGCATGAGCCATAACCTAACAAAAGTTAGCAAACTGGTTGAGAATCAAATGGGGAAATTGTAAACAAGCTCCGTCGCGTACTAGGAACGACCGAACATACTCCTTCTAGACTCATGCTCATCAGAGTGACCAACGACGAGATCAACAGCAAGTTTGTCATGGAAACGAAAATTAACCTGCGAATCATAATATCAGCCTCCGTTGATTATTTTCCCGGTGAGGTAATTAGAAGCTCTGCGCCAAGACGTTGTGGGGTTGAGATGCCCTATGCAGCGTTCAAGTGGCATGGCGCCTACAGGTCTGAGCATCACCCTCGTCGGCAACGGATTTGGAATTCAGGGCATCCAGGACAAAAAAAAAATATACTAAAAAAGACAGTTGGCCACAGTACGTCCAACGCCACTCGCACGATCAAACGTGATCGAAGGAGTATGCGACCAACTTTTCCAAAGTTCCTGTGGCGCAGTAGGGGAAGACTTACATCAACCCATAACCGAAAATTGGGGAAATCTAAGAATTAGCGTGTCAGTCATCTAAACGCGAGAGCCAACCATTTCGACAAAACCCCTGGTTATTTCAATTCAGGCCGCATGACAGCCGCTTAGGGGTTTGGCTTACCTCGTGAGACTTGTCCTAATGTCCAATCAATTCAGCCACCATCAGTTGAAGAACGCTTTCTACCAGATGTAGGAACAACGCACAAAGCCCAAATCATTCGCCCTGCCACGCTTTGTTAGTGGAAAGGGCGGTCGACACCGGGGATTTTACACCGCCATACCCAAAGAACACTTTCACCAAAAATGACATTTGCCGTAGAGAGAGGCGGTCACGGGCGAGCATAGTAAATGTCGTCAAGAACCCTGCACACGTTGGCTTGAGGCTTTTTTCAAGGGTCCTGCCCAACCCTGTGCCACTTACCCAGATACAGGACTACGATCACAGGGATAAACCGGAAAAACGTCTTGGTCTAGTCTCAATCAGCCTTCCTAGACTACCACCCTTCTAACAAGACCGGGCAGGCCGAATGTACCATCTCCTTCAAAACAGGTATCTGTGCATGGAATCAGTCATCTGGCATTCCAGAAGAGGGCTTCTCCATATGGATTATGAGGTGGATCCGAACCAGGCTTCCAAAATAGGAGTTTAAGCTCACAAGTGAGCATATCCTGTCCACCGCGGTCAGATTCTGAAACCAGCGCCTAACGATGATCAACAGGGTCTGGAATTTACCGTGGGACCAAAAATAGAGCCTCTAGGGACAGTATATCAAATGATAGGTCCGTGATGTAATAATTCTCCCGGGCCAGACCGATAACCCCTGGGTCATCCTCCTGTTAGTCCATAAGATAGAGCAGTTTTTCAGCTCGGGCAACACTGTTGTGCCAGCACCAGTTGGAACCAAAGGAGCTGAAAACTTCACAAGGTAGATTCGCAATCAAGAGTGGCTTACTTGCAATGACAAAGGCAACCCCCGTGCCAATGATGCCCATATTCCATAACTTCCAGAAGTCCATCTGATAGAAGAGCATTCCCGCATCAGCCATGTCACTCACCTCATCATATGCAAAGGCAACGATCCATAAATACAACAGCATCTCAAAAATTCCTATGCCATTTGCCTTCCTCTCGACGAGGACGGCATAATACAGCATGAGAAACGAAACAAAAAAGCCGGCTTCGAACGCTTTTCGATAGACCGGCACTCTTAGGCGTGAGTAAAGATCTGATGTTCTACATAGAATGGACATATTAGCAGCTGACAGATATTGACCATGATGTATCCTATCCTACCGCCTGTCAAGAATGTGTGGTCTCTTGGTCGATTGCACACTCAGAGTATCCCAAAATACGATTTCACCGTTCCAGATATTGTTTATGACTCTCTGGACAACTTTTTGGCCCAGAAACTTCTTTGCGTGGGCAATAGTTGCGATTTCAAGTGCGTTCAATCCAAAAAAAATGGAAAACTCCTCAAGCTCCTGTAGTTCTTGAGAAGAGCCGCGAGTGTCCCGGTCTAGAGAAAGGAAGTTTCCTATACGTTTCCCGCCACCAAGAATTTGATAAATAGTAGAGGACGGGGCTTGCAGTAACGGGCTTCTTTCTCCATTTTCTCTTGTGCCTTGTTCACCAGCGGACGTTCCGAAACCCACTGCACCTCTCTCCGCTTGAGAAAGCGTTGCAGTGTTTTGGGTGGGGAATTTCAGGTCCTCCAGCAAGAACTCAATGGTCTCGCGTTGATCCAGATGGCAGAGGAACTGCCAGGCAACATATTCACATGCGTCTCCCCGGCTTTCATTTAGACCCCAGTCGGAATCATCAGTATTACTAAACTCCCACTTCAAGATCCTATGGCAGCCGTTCAGAATTCGCCTTCTCAAAGAAATCAAAGAAGGGCAACAAACATCAAAGCAGAGATAATATAAGGATTATGCGACATATCTGCCAGTGAGTAAATAAGGATCCTGAGGCTCTGGCCATTGGAAGAAGACCTCATTTGATCGAATGAATATGAGACATCAGAAATAGCTAGGGTCAGGTAACTAATGGTAGTAAGTGTTAGATACCTGATATATGCAGGGAGAACACGAGAGGATTACTTGTACAGTTTTCGAACCACGTCAGCAAGTGGCTCGTTGTCATCGATAATAGGCGGCGCGAGATGTCCATTATCAACGTGTGCTGTTGACGACCTCGAAGAATTTGGTCTATTGTAAGACATCTGAACATTTATTCCACTCTCACTGCTGAAGAGAGTAAATAAAACCGGCCAGAGTGCTGCAACTATAAAGAAGAGACGAAAGTTTTAGTGGCCAGCTACAGACTGTTAACTATTCAATGAGGTCTGTGCCGAGTTGGTGAACAAGCTTTCCGCAAGAATGACATCAACGAGCTTATCAGGAGGTTCTTGGCAGAGGGACGAACCACGCAAGTGGTGACGTACTTTTACGCCCAAAAGAGGATATCACCAGCCATTGGAAGTGCCCAGCAGGACTATCGGTGAAACGTAATGTCAGGTTTGTGGAAGTGGGTATCACACCTCTCATATCGGTGCCAGATCGAAACTGAGTCAGTGGATTGATCGGACGAGGGCATCCCGCAGCCCGATCATGACATAATTCTCTACAGTAAGCCAGCTATCATAGCTGCCTTCGAAACTGTAGTCAGATGTTGCTTGTAGCTAGTTGAAAATATAGCATTGACATAGTCTACTAGATGTAAAGTACAGGAAGGTGATATTAAATATATAATGGACTACTCGAAAACACACTCTAAAAGGGCAACTGTTTTTTGGCTTTATGTAGGGACATGATACAGTGGGCCACACCTTCCTACTTTGGTTTAAGATATCCAAAAACAGTATGTAGCTTCTTGGTCACGTGATATAATGTACACGTTGGAGCATATCGCCAAGCATGGGCGCCTGCCCAGTTCGACCTCGCTTAGTCATCATTTATGTAAGCTAGCTCTTACAGAGGTGTGTTCAAAATATTTTTTTGCGCTAGTAATTAGTTCTTCTTGGCGTTAGTCCTGATACAGCGCAATGGCTTGCACCTAGTAATTTATATGGTAAACTCCCTGTAGATTATCTTAATAATAAAAACAAATAACACTCAACAGCTTTCAACAAAAAAAAGCAACTTAAAGCTATCCAGATATTATATTAATCATATTAGCATAATTTTATAATCTTTTTATATTTAATTTTATACCTGCCTGCCTGCCTGCCTGCCTAAACATGGGATCTAATCACCCGATCACTCTCCGATTTCAAGCTCTTTTTTTAATAACTATTAGTGTACCTATCTAGCATGTTAAAACCATGACTGGCCTCTCTCGTGCAGTTATACACTACTGGGTTAAAAAAGCAGCTGAACGAGGATATAATCCAGTGAAAGATGCCCGTATTCTTCTAGAATATATGCAAGATGCTCCTCGATCTGGCCGTCTAAAGGAATTGCTACTGAGATAGAACAATCTATCCTGGATAGTGTTACTAAGGATCATGCTGGAAGAGAAAAAAGCGCTGAGATATTGGTATTTAAGGCTGGTATTTCTACTACTTCTGCATGGCTTATTTTAAAAAAGCATTGTTTTAATTCTGTTAAACCAACTACTAAACCTGGTTTTAATACTGCACAGAAAAAATTACGCCTTAAATTTTGCCTATCCCTTGAAAAAACAATCGAACATGACATCAGAAACCTTATATTTACTGATAAAACCTCAGTATCTCTTGGCCAAAGAAGAGAAGCTGTACGAATCTGGAGAAAGACAGAGGAGTCTTATAAACAGTCTTGTATAAGGCGTCGTTGGAAGGGGAAGTCTGATTTTATGGTTTGGGGATGTTTTTCTTATAATAAGAAGGGTTCTTTACATATTTGGAAGCCAGAAACTGCTCAAGAGAAAAGGAAATCTAAAAAGGAGGTTAATACTTTAAATAAGGAACTAGAACCTCTTTATAAGGAAGAATGGGAACTTGAAACTGCCACGCAAAGAATAAAACTTCGAAACGGCTGTACTCCTGGCTGTTAGCTAAAATAGAAGCACACAAAAAAAACAGGCCTTCTTGTTCGGGAGTCTAAAGGTGGGATAGATTGGTATAGATATTGGAAGGAGATTCTTTTACCAAAGCTTTTTCCTTTTGCTCAGAATTGCATGATTGAGCATCCTGATACTATGATTGTGGAGGATGGAGCACCAGCTTATTGCTATTACTTTCAACACCTTGTGTACAATACTCATGGGATTAAACGGGTTCAATGGCCAGGTAGGTACTTTACAACTACTTAAAAAGTACTTACTAACTATTAAGACAGGCAACTCTCCAGACCTTAATGCAATTGAACCTGCCTGGCCGTAGCTAAAGCGGCGTACAACTTCAAGAGGTGCCCCTCGAGATAAGAAGACTATGGAGAAACACTGGTATAAGGCATGGGATGATCTACCTCAGGAGCAGATCCAGCATTGGATTGAACGCCTAATTCGTCATGTAAAGGAGGTAATAAGATTAAAAGGAGGAAATGAGTATAAAGAAGGCCGTACAGGAACTAATACACGAGAGTGGGAGGGTCATCGGCTCAAGGGGAAACTTTCCAAGCGCCAGGATCTACCAGAGGTGATATGAATAGCTTCAATTTGGTTTCTACTTTATAGAAAGGTTGATTTCGAGCTTGTTCCCATATATTTTACTGTGGTGGGAGGCTTACACAGGCTTACAACGCTGAAATTACTAGCGAAAAAAATATTTTGAACACACCTCTGTAGTAACTAGTAGTTAGCGGCCACCCATTCAATAGAACAAAAGCAATCGCTTCCAACAATACACCTGTCTCAGGCCACATACCAGCTCAGCCTACAGGTTACACTGAGACTACTAGCTGTAAGAGCTTGTAGTTATAACACCTAAGAAATATTATTTGAGAAGGCTTCATTGGTCGAGTATTCTGATACATTTTAGCTATATTAGCCCGGTAAGGATTTGCTGCCCAGATGCAACAGTTGTTTTCATTAAAACCAGATTTTGTGACTCCTCATGGAATTGAAAGCGAAGAGGTTGAATGGGCATCAAAACTAATATTATCGCTGAGCACAATCCCAATCCGGAATAGAATTTTCCAACCGGTCGGGATAGATTTGACGATGGTATCTTCTGGGGCTTGCTTAACTTTTCTAGCCAAGAGCCATATTGAAACCTGATTGTGGTAATTGTCAGTCACAATGAAAGTGATTAGGCTTGGGTGAGCATTTCTAATTCAGTGGATTACGTGGTCCAGGATGCAGTAGCATTCACTCTCGCCTCTTTGCTAATTTAGCTATTTGGCTAAATTCTCTGGAGTTTGCCTTCTGGTCTTGACGAATTCAGGGCTACTCTCGGGTATCTGAATCCTGAGACTGCTGAAGGCTAAGAGAAAACCCATTGCGCGCTATAGGCCCAAAGGGAGGCTTTGCAAAATTGGCGGTACAATATTCAAGCCTATATTGCTATATGGGCGTCACTAGGGACTCCAACTATGGAGTGAGCACACTGCCGGCCAGTGAATGAAATAATCGCAGCATAACTGTTTCAATAATATTAAGACTCCCTTTACCACGGAGCTAACATAGTCCGGAGGTGGAAGTGCTCAAAGCCTTAGAAAGCTCACTAATATTTCGCTATTGTCTCGCCAGATAACATAGGAGTGAAGGGTATTACATGCATTTTGAAGGATTTTGAAGGATTTCTCTGATATGCTGCGAAACACAAGGTATTTTAGGCTTGTCGGCTGACCAACATAGGATCGCCAATATTCCGCATTTTGACTGCCCCCCTGAATGGGTTTAGTTGGCTGTATAAATAGAATGGTGGATGTATATATTTTAATCCCGTTAATTAATAAGATAAGTACTTTTAAATACGTATAGAGGTAAAATAAGCACCTAAAGGAAGCGCACAGATGACATGGGTGGTAGAGAATAAGATGAGTGCTAAGTGCGGGTGTCTTCTGTACAGCCGAAAGTTGATGTTCACCGCCCTGTCATGTGGAATTTCCATCATGTGACCATTCCGGGTTCCCCCAAACGCGTCAACGAACTTCATGTTTCTAACGCAACTTGTTTCTCTCACTTGTCTGAGACACTCAGTGGAGACATTTGCAGGATTTGCTTTGATTTATACCACTTCTACAAATCGTGAGATGAAGACACCTCAGCACCATGGGCCAAGGTTATTCCCTTACAACCCTTTCAGCGGGTTCGGCGGGGATCGATATCCCCGAGCTCTCAGATTTGACGTATGAGAAGTCCATGGGTGGCGGTAGGTTCATGAAAAGCATCCGGGCGAGGCACCAAAATGGTCACGTCTTTGTAAAGGTAATCATGAAACCTTATCCTAGCATGAAGCTAGAGCCATATGTCAAGGCTATACTTAGTAGGTTGACCTCCATCAACTATCGGCTTCTATGGGACCACTCTAATGCCTAATTTTAGGGGAACGCAAATTGCTTGCTGATGTCCCAAATGCTTTAAGCTATCAGAGAATATTGGAGACTAGCACAGGTGGATACCTAGTTCGCCAATACATCCATAGTTCTCTTTACGACCGCATGAGGTATGAACCGGGCGCTCCCAGTCAACAATGATTTTAACATCAGCAGCACCCGCCCATTTCCTGAGGAAATTGAAAAAAAGTGGATTGCGTTCCAGCTACTGTGTGCACTCCGTGATTGTCATTCTTTGGACATCTTTCATGGTGACATCAAGACAGAAAATGTCCTAGTCACTTCATGGAATTGGCTCTACCTTTCAGATTTCTCATCATCTTTCAAACCAACCTTTCTGCCAGAAGACAACCCTGCTGACTTTTCATTCTACTTTGACACATCTGGGCGACGGACCTGCTATCTTGCACCTGAGAGGTTTCTAGAGGCCGGTGAAGAGCCAGGAAGCAGAAATGTCAACTGGGCTATGGATATATTCAGCGCCGGTTGTGTCATCGCCGAGTTATTCCTGGAATCACCAATATTCACATTGAGCCAGATATACAAATATCGGAGAGGCGAATACAGCCCAGAACACAGCCAGTTGATTAAGGTTGAAGACCCTGAAATTCGAGCTTTAATCCTGCACATGATTCAACTTGAGCCGGAGTCGAGATACTCGGCGGAAGAGTATTTGAATTTCTGGAAGAATAAAGCTTTTCCGGAATATTTTTATAGCTTTCTTCATCAGTATATGTCTCTTATGACCGACCCTTCCTCAGGCAGAGCCCAAGTCGAAGCTGAATCAGCCAACAGGGGCGAGGCTGATGACAGGATAGAGCGAGTTTATCTTGACTTTGATAAGATATCTTTTTTTTTGGGCACGTCACCTAGGACCGAAAACAAAAATTCCAGTTATCCTACCTCCAAGCTCACCGGTAACACTTTCCCTATTCATCTTGATTTACCCCATTATGGGCATCAAGTCTCAACATCTCAGCTACAAGCAGACGATGGTGTGTTGATCTTCCTGACACTTGTTGTATCTAATCTTCGCAACACTTCCAAGTCGTCGGCGCGAATCAAGGCTTGTGACATTCTTCTTGCTTTTGCCGAGAGACTGTCGGATGAAGCGAAGTTAGATCGCATTCTTCCATACATAATGATTCTTCTCAGCGATCACACAGATTCTGTAAAGATTGCTGCCATTCGCACTCTCGCACAGCTACTGGAAATGGTCCATGTAGTCTCGCCAGTCAATGCGTATCTCTTCCCGGAGTACATTTTTCCAAGGCTACAGCTCTTTGTTCCTAGTGCCAATTCAAATCCTAGTCCCTTGGTCCGTGCCGCTTATGCGTCTTGCATTGCGTCCCTGGCACAATCTTCACTTCGGTTTTTGGATATGATTCAGGCATTGCGCTCGGATACCCGTCTGTCGGCCCTAATTCCTGCTGGGTCTGAGCCGGGATGGACTGAAGATGCCACATATCATAACCTTTATGATGTCGCACGAGTTGATCTCCTTGACTATTTTGAAGCACACACCAAAGCTCTTTTGACCGATAACGATGCATCCGTTCGTCGAGCCTTCCTTGGCTCTGTCTCCAGTTTATGTGTGTTTTTCGGTAACTTGAAAACCAACGAGGTAATCTTAAGTCACCTGAACACGTATTTAAACGATCGCGATTGGATTTTAAAATGTGCCTTTTTCGAGGCAGTAATTGGTGTTGCTGCTTACGTCGGGAGCACATGTCTGGAGCAGTACATTCTACCTTTAATGATTCAGTCGATGACTGATCCGGAGGAATTTGTTGTGGAAAGAGTACTTCGATCCCTTGCTGCAATGGCTGGTATGGGTCTTTTTCAACGATCAACGACATGGGATTTGCTGCACATTACAGTACGCTTCATGATCCATCCCAATTCGTGGATCCGGGAAGCAGCAGTGACTTTTGTTGTCAATTCGACGAAGTATTTGTCTATGGCCGACAAATACTCTATAGTTACCCCACTTATTCGACCTTTCATCAAGGTTAATATTGTGGATTTCTCTGAGGGTGGCATGCTCGATGCACTTAAAAGACCACTTTCCAGAAGCGTGTATGAATTGGCCTTGGTCTGGGCGGCCAAAACTGAAAAGGGCGTGTTCTGGAAGGCTGCGACTCGTGATGGCATGTTTAACCTAAACGCAGCCGAAGGTGTACTTTCCCGAGGCCAAAAATTTGCAGCTTACTCTTTGGGCGCACAGCCCAAGAATGAGGAAGATGAGCAGTGGCTATCCCGACTGAGGAATATAGGGATGGGTTCGGATGACGAAGCCAAATTTGTCGCTCTCAGAGAATACATTTGGAGAGTATCGTTGCGTCAGGGAAAGAATTTAGATACTGGATTGTCTCCCTTAAACAACGTTATTACTTTGACTCAGTACGACGTCACTCCCCAAACAGTGTTCTTTGACAAAAACCAGAATGTCAGACCACGCAAGGACCCGTTGGACAAAGACAACCCCGAAGACAATGCAGCAGGAGAGCGCAAACCACACACTATTACTGATGCGCTTCTTGATGCTTCAACCACAATAGACAATGCATCAAATAATGGTCGAAAACATTTACGAACGCGAAGTCAATTACAGGAGACGGCAGCCGTTTCAATAACTCCGCGACAGCAAGCTCTAGACACTGTTCGAGTCGCAGAACACCCTGCAGGGTCGTCGCCAATAGCGTCGTCGCCAAGTGCTGCTGCCCCTGGATCAAGGCCCCCGTCACCTCCTAGCTCAGACACCGAACAGAGGATTTCTGGCGACAGGGAAAGCTCAGGGCCAGATACCTCATCCACGCCAACCGACGCAGAAAACCCAATTATAAAGAAATTGGCTACTGGTGTTCAAAGAAAGCCCAGCGCTATAGGCCTACTTAACCGCAAAGAGTCGTTCAAAGCTTTTGCAGAGACAAGTACGAGCTCAGCGAATGCATTTGGCAAAGTGGACATCCCCTCCCAAAGAGAAACATCACAGCCGCCTATCCTTTCTACACCACATGAAAGAATTACCCTCGACCACAAACCGCGGCGCTACCATGCTAATCATTCCTATAGTGGAGACGATCCTGCAATTCTCAAAATGCTTGATTCAGTTTTCGCAGAGAACTATCCCACAGACCTTTTCGACCTCGGCCCCTATGTCAAAGAGATAGACACCAGGCAGCCAATAAAGAACGCTAGTGGCGACGATTTACATAAAGTCTGGAAACCAGTAGGAGAACCGGTCGCCGTTTTTGGAGAACATCGTGGCTCCGTAAATAGGGTTCTACCAGCTCCAGACCACGCATTTTTTATTACTGCCTCAGATGACGGCACTGTAAAAATCTGGGATACAACCCGTCTAGAGAAAAATCTGACACCACGGTCTCGCCAGACATACCGCCATTCTACTGAAGCCAAAGTGAAGACATTGGCCTTTGTTGAAAATACGCACACGTTTATCAGTGGCGCTACTGATGGGAGCATTCACGCTGTCAAGGTCGATTACCACAATGTCAATGAAACCATTCGATACGGAAAACTCCAACTTGTACGCGAGTATCAACTACAGGCGACCGATGACGGAACTGTGGAATACGCTGTCTGGATGGAACACTTCCGAGTAGATGCCCAATCAACGCTCCTCGTCGCAACAAACACATGCCGTGTTCTCGCTTTGGACATGAAGACCATGCTTCCTGTTTATTCGCTGCAAAATCCTGTTCACCATGGGACGCCCACCACATTTTGTTGCGACCGAAAACACAACTGGCTTCTTATAGGCACTACCCATGGCATCCTTGATCTCTGGGACCTTCGCTTCCGTGTACAATTAAAAGCATGGGGACTTACTGGATCCAGTATCATCCATAGGCTCCAGGTTCACCCAACCAAAGGACGTGGGCGATGGGTCTGTGTTTCTTCTAGCGGTAGCCATGGCAACGAAATCACAGTCTGGGATATAGAGAAGGTCCGCTGTCGAGAAGTATACCGCGCAGATTCGCTTGGTATCGGCACCTCAGTCGCTAACGGGAGTCATCTCAGCCCTCACGGCGAAGATACCAAGGCAAAACCGGCGTATGTGAGTCCTAAAGACTATGAGGCGTGGCACGTCGAGGGCGATCGACCCGAAGGGATGCTGAGTCGGTTTGCAACAGAAGGACCGGCGTCCGGCCCTGTTGAACAAGCATCTGGACCCTCCCCATCTAGCGTGCCGGCGGGCATATGCACATTCGCCGTGGGGTTTGACTCTCCCGAAGATGGTAAGGATAATAGTACGCGATGCGGGTTTATAGTTTCCGCGGGGAGTGATCGAAAGATTCGTTTCTGGGACCTGTCCCGGCCAGAATTATCATCAATTGTTAGTGGTCTTGATGCTGTCTCAGACGGCGCAGCGACTGGGAAGCCACGGTACGAGTTGTCACAGCCATGGTCATCTCTCTTAGTGACCACCGAGCATCTACCCAGTTCTGGCGCCAGCTCCGCCGCTACAGGAGCAAGTGGGAAGAGTGCTAGTCGAAAGGGAGGCAGTAGCAGGCTACCTCGCAGTACCGTGATTAGCCTGCAGCAGCAACAGCTGCTGAAATGCCATTTGGATTTTATCCAGGATGTTGCGATGCTGCGAGCTCCGTATGGCATGGTTGTCAGTGTCGATCGCGCCGGGATGGTCTATGTTTTCCAGTGATCCTGGTGAGATACTGTGAATTTGTCGAATCAGGACAGATCAACGAATATCTAATGTAGTATGTTCTGAAATTTCACTGGCCTTAGTTGGGTTGTTTCCTTGTGTAGTTCTCATTCAGTGTCAAGCTCTAACAGTTTGATACTCATCTGTATCGGCTTGCAGATGTTTAAGCAATTAGTGTCACTGCGTGGGTTTTGCATAATCTATTACCTAGTGTTCTTATACAGCCTGATCATCTCCAACGAGGCTCACTGTCCTTTCATGAGGCAAAATAAGCGATCTTCAATGGGCGTCTGAGAACCGTAGATAGTACGTGTAGTTCAGAACTAATAGTAGTACAGAATCTAACTTACACAACTTTACCAGGGTGACTAACCGCTCGGCCCTCCATCCATCTACATAATTATCTATGTATGCAATATCTCTACCAAACCTACACATTATACAATGAAAATATGATTGCTTTAAATCTCTCTATGATAGATCTAAATTATATCATATGACGATATTTAGCCAATCACCTGATTCCTACTACGATTCCGACCCTGGCACTGAATCTGATACTGAACCTGCTGCACTTAATCGGTTTCCCTAGCCCACCTCCTCTATAATTCCGAGCATAGGCGCAAGCAAGACCGAGCGGCACGGCGAGCTCGTGGCGTGGCCGCGGAGGTGGTGGGGCCGGTCCAATTTGTATAAACTGATCTAGAGCATGAAATGCATGTTAGTCAAGTTTTACTGTCTTCTGAGAGATTCAAACCCTTCAGAAGTGGTCGAGCCCCTCCGGGTTAGGGGGCAGATGTGTAGTAGGCAAGGAAGTAACTGTTTTTGGTTTCGAAACCGGCAGAATTCTGTGTATGGGAATAGTGAATGGGCATACAACTAGCACACTATATTTTAGACCGATCTTAGTTGGCTAAACATAACACACGTTATAGGTGCCAGTGTCTCTAAACAAAGTAGTGACGGTCTATATAGGGAGAGTACTGTCGAAAGAGATAGTAGACAAAAAAAATGACAAGGACGGGATTCGAACCCGCGCGATCTCTCATTAGTGTTTCGGAAGTTCCTACTGTGATGGGGGTTAGTAATCAATATACTCAGTAATAAGCTGTCAGTGTTAACTCACAAACTAACGCCATAACCACTCGGCCACCTTGCCTTATACAGGGTTGTTTTACTAATTTGGACTTATCTGGACTTTTTCAATAAATGACAAATAAGGACCGCAGAAGGAAATCTAGGTGTTATTCCAGAATCCAGCATAAGAACAAGTGGAATGGATTTCCGTGCTTTACGATTAATATCGGCAAATATTTAAGTCAGAAAAAATTCCCATTTCCCGACATAAACAACTATACCCATATAGCCTGGATTTTAGTCCACCGTCCACAAAGACCATATGGATTTGTGAGGCAGATTCATAGTTATTAGACACTCGGGTGAGGCTCCAGTCACACAGATACTACAGAGTACAAGAGTGCAATGATATATTGGACAAATCCGGGGCCGGAGGTATGGTAGTATGGTAGCCTGGGGATATTTGGGGGTTAGGAATGAGAAAGTAACGTAAGATGGTGGGATAGAGCTGCTTCTTATCAAGCTTTTTAGGAAGCTTTCCGGTGCCACAGGGGTAGGCGGCGAAGTGGTATTTGGGTGATAATATACTATATTTGGTTGAGAGCTCATGCCCCTATATATATAAATATATTCAGGACAAGCCGGGAGAATACTTGCACTTGGGGCTGAGACTTGAAAGGGATATCTGTCCAGTCTTCTACGCTAATATTATATTTTTTTTTTTTTTTTTTTTTTTTTTCAGCGCCTTGTGAATATGGAATATCATCAAAGCTTTCAATGGCGTTTATATAAAAATGCGCAGCCATTCGGTCGCTATGGTTGGGATTGTTGGACAGGAGTCCGGATATTGTCGCTTACCTGCCCTTTGGTCTTGTATGAGCTAGGCCTCCTATTATTTGGTCTAAGTACAGGATCTTACCAAGGTACCACGGAGATAGGGATAGAATTCATAGAGAACATATTATTGTTATTGTCTCCCGTATACGTAAGAATATTAAGGGGTACATGATTATAACACCTAATATAGTTTATAGACATGTCTGTTTCCTTCTGAGAGTTTGAGACAGCCCAGAACTTTGGAGAAAATTACCTTTATCATAAGTTAGCTGTGGTCAGTGCAAGTCCAGACAATAATGTGGAAAAGGTAAAAATTTATATTTCATAATCAGGAACGTACTTTATATATTTATTGGCTATATAAGGACAGCATCGTCTATGGTATCATTAAGATAGAGAGTAGCTCAGTACTACACTCTTAACCAGTACATGTAATATTGCTCTATAGCTATACAGAATGGGAGTGGTTTCATCTAGTATTTATAACACTAAACCGTAGGATGAATAGTATTGGGTTACTGGTATCGCTGCCCCCGAAGCCTTATGCAGCTTATATCTACTCCGTAAGCTATATCGTCATAATATACAATATAATTACTCTATCAACCAGTTTAAAGCGAGCAAAATCAATCGATGTTGGCTACGGGTGACTCCTGAACATACAAATTCTTGGGGAATAGAGAACACATTGGCAAATTCACGCAATAGTACAGGACATCCCATTGGATAGGTGATTTCACAGTAGCCAAGCTAGGAAGTAAGGCTGCTGTTACGGGCCCCAAGGGCCCTTGTCTTAAACCTGAATGCAAGGGGCGGGTTGCTATAGTTAAAGCCACCACTGAGAATATATCTGGAAGTAAAATTTGGAGAGCAGCAACGCTGGGAAAGGAGCGAACGAACTTTAAATATTGAAACAGTAGTCCTTGGACCCCGTCACATTGTATGTATTAATGTTCTTGTTGCGTGGTTTTGGGAGGGTCCTTTGTCTTTTTACCTTTTTACTCTAGCGATAATCTGTAATAAGTGTACAGTCGAGTATAGAGTACGTCGAGTACAACCAATACTGTGCTGCCTCGTATATGCCAACGCCAACTTTGTACATTATGTATCTGTTAGGTGTGGGTGTGTCACCTAACATTATAGTGAGCTACTATATAAGGGGCTCAGGAATGGATCAGATATAGTGGTCTTTGGTCCAGTGGAATAGTTAAGATCCTGAGGTTGGGGCTATAACAGTATCTATATGACAAGAACTACACTATGCTAGGCTGGATTAATCCAGACCAGATGTTTTGCCCTCGCACAGAACCCAATGTAAAACCTAAGGAATATACTCCACCGGGAAATACTATCTACAACCTGTGCGACAAATAGTCATCACATTGAGTACAGAGCCACAATCACAATATTTACATTAAAACTCATCCGGTCGGTCGGCACCTATAGATTTTTATAGAGAAGAGACTTTGGCACGATTGTGCGTGACATTTTGATGAGGTATGCTGATGAGTGATATCTCTCGATAGCTACAGGAAAGTAAAGTAAGGCTAGATAATTATTGCTGTCTTCAAAGCAAACTTGAATTAAATGAAGTTACACCCAGTTTCAACCAAAGCAAAACCGCCAGATATTCATAGCAAACTGCCACACTTCAAGTGAGTCTTCCGTGATCTGTCTCTTTGCGTCCTCCAGAGGTTCAAATCTCCCTATCCCTGCCAGGAATCTCCACGGAGCTAGCTCTCCTCTTAGATATAAGATATTTTACATGGGAGAAGGTCTAGAAAAGGACTTACAGTTCCTTAGAGTCTCGATTGTAAAGTAGATTCCCGGTGTCGCCAGTCACAAATTCCCAGCCATTTTGACTCTATGCCCTAAGCATGACCATCAGTTTCGAGCCGCTACATTTCACTATTCTGCAAAAGACCACAAGAGCACCTACTCCAAAATACTGTTCAACTGTACTTTGATATTCAAGATCTCCGAGTCACTCAAGTCATAGACTTGGTCCAAAACTGTACCCGGCAACTTGGTCATAGCGATAAGATAGAGATATCCTCCAGGGTATTCCAACTTATGAGTCTGCCTTTCCTCATCGGAACCCCGAAGCAGGGGCGTTCTCGGGTTGTGCTGGCCAATGCATTCTTCAAGAGTACGTACTTATCTGTGAAAAATCCTCCGAGCCGCCTCAACAACATGGTCTTGCTCTTGAGAAGGGGTGATTAAGGTAAGGTTGCGCCTCATTTCAGGCTAGAAAGACAGCATTATATGTAAAAGAATGATTATACATACTAGACATGCATTTTAACCACCACCAGGAGCAAATCGCCTACGCGTTTGACGGCCATGCGCTCGTTGAGTTCATGAATGCATTTTTAGGATAAGAGCTATAGGAGAAGATAAGAGACTTCCTGCATCCGAATTTCTGTCTGCTGAAACTTCAGCAATGTCGCATCTCTAAGCGGTCCTGCCATGGCTACAAGTTGATTGTAGCATATTTGAGGGTTGATGTTACTCGCTTATGAATGGGAAGGTAGCGTCAGGGTTTCTATTGAATTGATTTTCTGCGTAGGTATGATGTTACCCAACAACAGATCTAGGAAACCGTTATAGTTCAATGGAAGGAGCGAAGCCATTTTGTATTCGCTCTCTTAATGTCACAGGCTGAACCTGTAACATACTATATAGGGCGCTAGATGCGACTGATCGAAGATCAGTCGTCTTGTACCTTTTTATATGGTCAAGTGGTTTTATCTCTACTAGCGCAGAGACAACCAAACCATCACACTTAAGCCTTATTCAAGGGATTATTCATCGGTCGATAATGTTGACAAGAGTGCGACTCAACTTTGTGCTATCGTTTTCAATAAACTTTAAGATTGCCTGTCATACTGAATAATTCATATACTTTGGAGAGTTTAGTAAATATGTTTTTTGAATGCTCTTATACTTATAATACACATGAATAAAATATCCAAGTTTATATAGAGTAGTACACAATTCCTAGTTAATAGAACAAAACCTTATCTCCTTTTTCCAGGACATAGGAATGTCTGTACGGAGAATACCCAGAAGAGGTAGTATATATTAGAAGTGGATGTAGGATACGGTGAGTATCTAGTCAAAGAAATTACAGCCAAGGACAGCTTAAAATACAGTATACCATTCCATTATTTGATTTCACGATTGGACGGATCGCCTCCACTGACTATCCCTATCGCGGAACTTGAGCTGAATCCCGTACATTCGATTTGCCCCATAGATGAGCTCCAAATGGGATTCCCGTCGTAGAACCATGGAAACATCCCATCAGTTTCCGTACATTATATTATATTAAATTAAAAATTAATAATTAATATTGTCCGGACAATATAACTAGAAATGCAACGTGCAAAATTGCAGACGTTCCAGTAATTACAGACTGCCGCGAATGTGCGATTAGATACATCATAATTAAGGCCGCTCGATCTGGATGTGGTCCCCATTCCCGTGGGAGTGAGGGGTTAATATGTATGGCAGCGGAGGATTATGTCAATCTTATTTGTCTCGAGATTGGAACGGCAATAACTGGTTGGGTGGCGAGCCTTCAGTTCGAAGGGTACGGAGTAGGCATGGTGGAGCCGGCAGAAGGCAAACGCGTCGAGCAGGTGATTTTTCATGACCACAGTCATAAGAGTATTTGGGTGATACTCAGTCGTTGACTTAACAATCGGTAGAGATGATTAGACCTTCTAGAGTTATGATACTATTAGGGCGGGGAAATCAAACAACAATAAACTTGTTCAATGTTGAGAAATATTCCGAGGGTACCTGCATACACTGTTTAAGTTTTTTTGTCGTACACAGGGGCTCTACGAAATAGGTAGTAAGTTCGGTCGCCTTCATGAGCAATGTAAGACCTACTAAGATAAAGGCCATCCCTTCTGCCAATTTATATTCCACGCTTCTAGAGTATGTTAGCCATCGCAGTCCATCAGCTACTGATCCCCGAAGATATACTTGAAGCATCCTAAGTTCAGATATATTTTTATTATAAACTGTAATTTGTTATTTGTACATTATTAAACAGGAAAGTGTGGATTAACTGTAGAAACTATATTAGTTATTGCAGAGTTTAGCGTAGCATTTATATAGGATATTATGTTGCAGAGTGACTGGTTATATACATTCAAGTGCTTGTATAAAGATTCGGAAATTTTAGAAAATGCAGGCCAGGGATTGAAATACTGATCATCCTCCGCGGGATCCTGTCGCTGCCAGACATTTGTTTGACTGGCTGGCCAGCTTGACACACTCTCTAGGCAAGGGACGGGCTGACAAACTAGATAACATCTATAGGCAAGAATATAGTGGACTGTTTAACGGCAAAGAAGAAAGGGAAGAAGTGAAGAGGAAAAGAGAAAAAGCCAGGTCTGGAGTGAGATTGATTTGATTTCGAGTGATCTTAAATTGTCGCTATCCCTGTCGCGCTGGTCAGGCGGAAACTCAATTCCCGTGCAGATAAGCAGGACCAGAACTTTATTCCAGTCGGCTCGGGCGTATTTGTCCGTACTACGGAAGTTTATCAATCCTAGAAATCGCTCAAGGTCCATCCAAATGACAACTGACAAGAATCTTCAGTTTTGGAGTCATGATATCATGATAGGAAAGGCAGCGGATTCAAAGCGAACCAAGCCGCAATTTTCGGGTTGGGATCGCAACAGGCAGCACAAACGAGTGGGTTGTTATGGGCTCTGCCGTTTGTCAGCATTGTTTTTATCAAGGAGCTACCTAAAGAGTAGGTAACTATGTATGGGCATTGTTGTTTCATCTCCTTGTACGGAGTAGTACGGGTCATACGTGGCAGTCTGTACCTAAGAAACTTTGGCAAGATTTGTCATTTTTCTTTTCTCTCCTGGACTTGCCCACCGAAAAAGAAGACCAGGGCCATAAAAAAAAAAAAAGGCCAAGGCTCGTGGAAGATCCATTATCGCGTGGGACTTCCGAAACATCCATGGAGTTTAGGCCCATTCGGAGTTAGTCACAGCTACTCCTGTCTTACCTAGAGAAATTCAGAGCGCACTTAACTGAGTCCATGATAGATATTTGTTAGGATCATATTATTTATTCTTAGCTTAATAAGGTATCCTATCATAACTATTAGCCTTGCTAGGATCCGTCTAGGGAGGTCCGGCTAGTTCCAGAACGGCAGAAAATTAGAATGCTCACGGGTGAAGAGCTTCCTCCCCGCACTGGCGCAAGGAACCTCCGAGGACTGGCAATCCCTCCCTGGACTAAGTCCACGAAGTCATACAATGGGCTAGTTGGCAACTGCACTGGTGGCTGCGAGGATAATTGACTACCAGAGGTATGGAGTAATGCCATCCATGTCTTTTTCATAACAAACGGATACCTAATATAAATAAGAAAATATATGGCACGCCTACATGCTGCTCATCCCGTCCCTGACTAGCTGCTGCCCACCAGCGCAGGAACAGAACAAACGGCTCCGGCGCTTAGTGCCCCCCATCAGGTACAGTACTTTCTTACGGTACTCCACGTACGGTCCGGTCATGTAATAATAGGAATAATACGCCCTGCTAAGCACCCCCTTTACCTACTCTGTGAGGGAGCTTGCTCTTCAGGGTCAAGATCAACTCCCTAATATTCTCGTTCTCTTCTCTCCTCTTCTCTTCCCTTTCTTCTTCCCTTTCTTCTTCCCTTCTCTCGCTTTCTTTTTCCCCGTCCCTGTCCCTCCCTCCTCCTCTCCCCTCCCGCTTCTGGCTTCGTTCCGTCCTTTCTTCCGCAAAGCAGAGAGACAGCTTCCGCACTCCAGCATATCTTCTGAATCGATTACCTCTTAAAGGCGTGTGGTGGAGTATGGGAGATGCTCATCGTGTCAATTCTCAGGCAGTAGTTGTACACGACTCAATCCATGTCTAATTAACTCCCGTTACAGCGAGCTGCCTTTGATGCTCTTTAACCCTCTTGTATCCGCTTATTCGTCCGTCTTTTATTTACTGCCTGCCACCGTACTCGAGCAGCGCAACAGTTGCTTGCGGATGTCCTTGATCTCCAGCTGGAATATACCCGACATTTTACCACTTTGCGTTTCTTTCTTTTCAGGGGCAGAAACAAAAATAGCTCCTAATACGTCAGGCATTGAGGGCCATCGGTTGACAAGCCAAACACAACGACGTCAAAATCTATATATATCGTACTCAAATCCACTAATCTTGACATTCCTGACCATCCCTGATTATCAACCGCCACTATGGGTCCGTCTTTGAGAGATCACTCGTCCCATACCCGGCCATCCACTCGCGACCGACCGTCGACCCGCGATCAAGGAGAAAATTCGCTGGTCGTTCCTAGCCGCACCTCCTCGCTTCACTCCCGCATCACACAACCTATCCCTTCACAAACCAATACTAAGCCCTCCCAGAGGACGCCCAAAACCCTCACTCATGCCTACATGGTATGCGGTGTGGGCCGTGAGCCCTCACAATGGGTCAAGGCTCCCACCCCTTCGCAGGGAAAGATCGGACATATGAAAGGGGCTGTGGGCCAGTTTTGGTTACCGGAAATCTTGGGGAGCAGCCCCCGCTTGGAACAAGACAATGAGATTGCTAAGTCCTTGCATTCCGCCATGAGGGTGTGTACAATCCAATTAGTTGCAGTTTCGTGCGGAGCACACGAAACATCCGTTGAAAGAGCATTTCAAACTGACAGTATGAACAGGCCTGTTTCCCTCACGACGTTGAGATCTGTACCGGCAAGAGTCAACCCCACTGTGTACATCACGCCTTCGTCTTACAGCAGGATTCTTCCCACACTCTCTACGGAATTGCGCTGCGTGTGTGGTCGCGAGCTGACGACAAGCGTGCCGAAACCATTCGCGAACTCCGCAAGAAGACGGAACCTGATTTCTATGATAACCCCGAAGAAACCTACTGGATCCCGTACTGCTTGAGCTTTCTCTCGAGATATCCCCTCTATGATTTACTGGGCGATTATCTCCGGGGTATGTGGATTCACTGGAACAAAGCCACCAACCTTTTCCACGCGGAGGAGGTATCGCGAATTCTGAGCTTCCCTGCGCCGAGACTGAACGATCTTGTTAGAATTGATATGAAAGATTATGCTCTATGCTATCAGTTCCCATCATCCCCTACAGGTTTCCAAAACTTCTCCATGTGGCCTCTATTCACCTGTTTGTCTATCCCCAACATTGTGGGCGTTGTTGAGGCTGCTGTTTCACCTACCCGCCGTATCATCTTCGTCAGTCACTACCCCGCAATGCTCACCATTGCTGCCGAAACAATCCGGTACTGTGTTCGGATATACGAATGGAGCGGCTTATACGTGCCGGTGGTTCATGCCCGTCATATCAAGGATCTGGTCCAAGAACCTGGCCCTTACATACTTGGCGTCACAGCTGAGTGCCGAACCTTGTTCAATGCCCCCTCCGATGCTTTAGTTGTTGATTTGGACCGCAACTTTGTTCTCACGTCAAGCCCGCCAAATGTTCTCAACCCAGGGCAACGGACAAAATTCATCAACCGGTTGACGCAGTCATTGAACGGGGATGTCTCGCCCTCTGGGGTTCCGAACCATCTCCGATCTGCATATGCTGGTGGCAAGCTGATCCCAGCGGGCCAGATCATTGTGATGAGAGGCGAGGTCGAAAGTATCCAAGAACCGCAGTGGTGGAACCAGGATGCGGTGATGAGCGTCATGGACCATGTGTGCGAGAAATTGGGACGCAACACCGGCATGAAGGCAATCTTTGGAGGCTCTGTGAAGAAGCCCCTGATGACCAAGGTTTCTATGCGCCACCTCAATGAAATCGTGCGGGAGCGGAACCAATATTCGCGGGATGCTATGGAGGCTTGGCAAGACTTCATCAACCTGAAGGGCCGTATGGACACTGAGTTGAGCAAGGTCACCAAGCGTAACAACTTTCTGGTTGAAGAGCTGGAGACATGGAAGCAACAATTTCTCAAATTCCAAGCTTTTGCTGAGCAGCTCACTAAGGAGACCTCGGAGCTTAAGGGCAAGATTGAGAACCACAAGCGTGAGAACCGCCGTCTTACTGGTCTCATTGACCAGCAAAAGGACGACGTAGCCCGCCTCACTCTCCGCCTATCTGGAACGGAGAAGCAGCGGGATGACGCCCTGGAGGCGCTGGTTCTCCAGCAGGAGATTGCGGAAGAGCTGGAGCGCGAGAGGAAGCGCAACCAGAAGGAACTCACATCACTGCAGCATGACAATGCTAATCTCAGTCGGCAGCGTGATGAGGCCCAGCGGGTGGTTCTCCACCTTCGCAGCCTTATCAATGGTCAAACCCACCACATGGAACACATTGTTCGCTCTATTGGTAGCTCTGCTGAGCTTTCCGAGTTGATCAAACAGGAAGCTGCCGAGGAGAAGGCTGCTGAGGAGAAGGCTACCCAGACTGTCAACTCGGGCGAGCAAATTGCAGAACTTAAGGAAGCTAACAGTTCTCGATCTGAAGTTAGTGACTCTGCGAAAGGAGTTTTGAGGGATATGAGCCCAGAACTGGAGCAGCATCTATTGAACCTTGGTAAAGGGAATAACCGTCTCGCTCGTCTAAGCATTACTGATGTGGCAGATCGCTACCTACGGGACAAGACCGATGCGATCTCGGACATCATCCGCAGCATCAGCGATCAGTGTGCCGCTGCTGTGGAGGGTCTCCACCTGGCCCAAGATGCGGAGGATGATATTGAGGAGCCCAGTAAGATCGCTCGGGATGGAAGCCGCCTAGCCCCTGGTGATGAGCAACGCGAGGGCAGCGAGATGGGGGATGGAGACAACTCCCTGCATCCCGATAACAGGCACTCCAGTGTTCCTCCTACACCGGACCTAGTTCATAACCGGTCAAGCACGTCGATGTCAATGGTCAGCAGCTCGACCTTCCCGGAAAGGTCGAGTCAGCAGTATGGGCCCGGCGAGATCCCGACTCGGATAGTCGAAGACGACGATGAGCATGCTCATGACTCAGAAGGCCTTGATGACCAGACTGAGACGGGCACTATTTCCAAGCAGGCGAGTGAGGACCTCATGCGGTCGAGCACTTCCCGACTAGTTGCATGATTGCGCCATCGATTTGATGCTGCAACGCTTAGTTTGGACGACTCTTGACACGACATCTGCTCTCTCAAAACAGATTTCAGAGTTTGAGCGAATTGTGCGATCGCTTTTTCTTTTTGACCTTTTGGACGTTCTATCCTTATAGTTGGATATTCCCACTACTGCTTTTGGGGGTTGTTGGAGACCACTTATTTGACATCTTACTTTTCTTTATCCTTTTATCGAGGAATATTGATCCTTTAGTCTATTTTATTTCTAGGTGGTCGACTGATTACCGTTTTCTTATTTTATCCTCTGTTTGGTACCTTTCTCTTCTCCAAGGCGTTAGATCTTGGCCTCTTGTGGCATCCAACCTAAATCCTCATTCCTTTGACTTTCTTGTCACCCGGATATTCCCTTTGTCTATAGTTTCTGGAATCGGGGCTGCTTTGAAAGCTGCTGCCAAATTGTAAGCTGTTTAAATTGGATATCAGCTCTATCGTAGTGCATAATTCTGCACGTGGATTGGATTAAATGTTGTTATTTTTCATTTCCATTGTATATGTAAGATGACCGACCAAATACTAACAACTACCTATCTCATGTGATCAGGCCAATTTGCCCGGCACGAACGGGTGTCCCGCACTCAGTCCGCCGCAAACAGCCCACGCCTGTCCATTGACATAGCTACTCTCATCACTTCCCAGGAAGAGGGCGACCCGGGCCACCTCATCCGCCACAGCTCCCCGCTGCATAGGGTTCAGCTGTCCGATCTTGCGTTGCGTCCCTCGCTGACGGGCGACGTCGAACATGGCCTGGGTCATGCCCGTCTCGATCAGGCCAGGACATATAGCATTGACGCGGATCGCAGTGCCAGTCAATTGATAGGCGCACGTTTGAGCAATAGACACAACGGCTGCTTTCGAAGCTGAATAGTCGGTGGAGCCTGCGTTAGAACGCAAACCGGCTACCGACGCCGTGCAGATTATCGAACCGGACGGATACTTCTTAGAATCTGATGTATGCTTCATAGCGGGGGCAGCATGTTTCACAGCCAGGAAAACCCTATTCAATATGAGTACTTAATTGCCCAGCCATATGAAAGAAGTTGGGGGGAGGGGAGGGGGTTGATACCCAAGAGTATTCGTTTTCAAGGTCTTCATAAAATCATCTTCCGTTATATCTGTGAAAAGCTTTGGCTGTCCGACAATTCCCGCATTGGCAAAGAAAATATCCAGCCTATTATATTTCTGAATGGCGTCGTCAACGACAGCCTTGACTGCAGCTTCGTCCGCAGCGTCGAATTGACGGCAGTGGGCTTCTACGTCCGGGTAGAGAGACTCGATCTCACGCTTATGCGTGGCTAAGTATGAGTCGGCATAGTCGCAGATGTAGATAGCCTTTGCGCCGTTTTGAGCGTACAGGTGGGCGCTGGCCCGGCCAATTCCGTTAGGGGAGTTGGCGCCTAATCCCTGTTAACAATACTGTTTCGCCATCGCAGAAGATTAGGGTAGTCAAATTGATAGATCACATCTGGAAAGATGAAGGGTCACTGGGTGGGGGGTGTGACTATCTTACCAGTCACAATCACAATTTTGTCTTTGACACGACTAGTACAGATTAGTATAGCCGAACATTTATCGGATATGGGACTACAGCGGATAGACAATAGATAGGAATGAAGAATATGTACGGAGGAAACTAGTGATCAGTACTTACGGCCCCACCGAGTCACCCGCGACCTGTCGAATCTTAGGAATCTCTTCAAAGGTGCCCGCATCAGGAATCCCTTCCACCAGCTGCTTGCTAATGGCCTCAAGGCGGTGTTTAGCTGCTCCGGACATTGTGCAAAGACGCTGACAGTAAGATCTGGGCTATGATATCAAGGTAACGAATAATGGCAGTACCTGTGATGTAACGTAATAAGAGATTAGTTTCCAGTTGCGAGGAAGGATTATAACTAAACACGCAGCATGATGCTGCCTCCGCTGTTTCTTCGAAGCTCGGCTCCTTTTTGTGGAGAACCGAGGTTGTTGTCAGGTGATACATTGGGGGCCTTGGTATTCAGGCTGCAATTTCGATTAGTATAAGGAGACTTGTGCAAGTTCGCTGCTGGTGACGATCCTTCAGATGGTTCTGGGCATTGCCAAGTGGTGAATATTGGGATGTTTAATGTGGTTGGTTCGATGGCAGCCCAATGTGGCCTTTAGGCATCAGTATACAGTTCATCAGTCAGGGGGGATATCTGCATTTCTGAACACATTTTCAGAATAAATAATGTTTAAATATCTAGAACTGAGAATTGACAGTAATTATGGCCTTGTAAAAATTGCGCAAGGCCGATAACCATTGATTTGTTGGAACACGTACAGAGGATGCGCTGGCACAGGGGATCAGCAAGCCTCCGTGTTTATTTAGGCCTGATGTGAGAAAGGCATCTTGGCTAATTTATCCATGTTTCCAGTACTCGGTGGTTGCAAGGGAAGGATATCCTTGTCGATTCTAGAACCATCTAATGTATACTCATCCCTAGTAATTACTGGGAAGAGTCTGCAATCTCATGCAGGGAAATATATCTTATCTTCAGTAGAGGGGAAGGAGCGCTACAAGTTTGCGACCATATTGGCCCTATACATCACCAATGATGGAGCTATTCAGCCTACAACTGAAGTAATGACGATCATCATCACCATAGGTAGTAGCGGACTGTACATCAAGACGTGGTCGACAACTACTGACATCATGCACAGGGCAATCACGTGCTGATCACCTGCGCGCCACACGTCATGGGCCGCCCTGAATTGTAAAATCCAATCCATCCTGTTCCCCTCTCTCCCGGCGCGTTTTTTTTCACGGCTCTTTTTTTTTTTTTTTTTTTTGACTCGAGTTGTCCCTTGAGTAGCATCCGATCTTCCAGTTTCTGTTGCTGTCGGTCCTGGTGGGACTGTTGGTTCTCGTATCTACTGTGAAACCTCCATTACGCCATCCACACAGAAGAAACGAGGCTTGTTAACCCGACCATTCCGTGAAGCTTTTCAGCGGTCTTCCAACTTTATCGCCTCCTGTGCGAGACAACTCCTGATCCAGCAAGCCTTCATGAAGTCCGCGATCGTCAAGTCCTCCGTCCGGCCTGTTCACCGCCCTGCGAGCCATGGCGGAGTACGATATCCGACATCCCTCGCGTCGGTCCTCTTCTCGGACGTCCTCGTCTTCGCGGCATAGCCAGAGGGCTAAGACTGTGCGTACGATGTCTCAGAAACGTGTTTCCGCCTCGTCCAACACCACTACCGACCTGACATCGTTCCCGTCGCTATCCCCTGATCGTTCGCCGGAAGGTTTTCAGGGTCACCCTGCGTTGAACAACGCCCTGTCGAACGCGTTGTTAGATGGCGATAATGGAGATACCACCAGAGACTCGAGTCGTGATCGGAGAGCAGCCCTGGCGAAGCTTACTGGCAGTTTCCCGCAAACCTCTAATCGTGCAGCGTTGTTTGGTGACTCGGTCCCAGTGCGCGACGTTCCGGGCGCGTTACACTTGGCGGACGACCCGCATATCGAGCGACTAATTGCGAGCACGGGGGCAGTCAAGCTGGTTAGACAATTTGCTCGCGACTTGGCTCAACGGGATGCCGAGATCTCGGCATTGCGTCAACGTGCCGATACGAGGGAGAGGGAGCTGAAGAGAATGCTACGTGAGGGCTCGGTTTCGAATCAAGACATTGAGCGTCGGCTTTACGCGCTTGAGAATTCCCCGAATAGGGCGGACCAAGACCTGGACGATGATGGTAACATGGAGCAAGCAGCCAATCATTCCCCTGGTGTCCATGGGCTAATGCAGCAAGCCTTGGCCGACGAAGTAGGGTCCCATAATGGTGACGAGGCTTTGGATTCTGCTCCTCCGGCACAAGCCACCATTCGTCCCCAGCAGCGTTTAGAGAGCGACGCTAGGTCCGGCACTTCAAGCACTGATTCTGGAACTAATCAAAAGAGACAGAGTTCTCGTAGCTGGCAAGATTATATCTTTGGTAGCACCGCAGGCAGCCGAAAAACAAGTCGTGCAAGCAGCATCATGAGTGAAGTTGGGGAAGTTGAGGGGGAAACTCGACGGCAACAGAATATGAGCAACCCTTCAACTCGTCGCAAGGCTCTTGACGAACAGCTCTTCCAGCCACCTGACGGACAGTCTGCACTCGTGGTGGGGGATGGGAAACGCTCTCTGGGTGCAATATCGAACGGCGATGACAGTAGTATTCATTCCCGCAAGTCTTCCAAGTCTATCGCGTCTTGGACAGTTAAGTTGTTTGCAGGAAATCCCCAGGCCTGGAAGGATGGAAATGACACAGACAGTACTCGCTCTACAGCCTCGTCAAATGCTCGGGGGAGAAGCAAGGTAGACCCGTCAACACTCCCGGCGAGTTCAAAAGGAGGCTTGTCGGCTGTGGCGGCATTGAAACGAATCAATAGCAATGCTAGCATACATGGTGCCCCTGGCCGATTCTCAAATGGGCTAGGTGGTATGCCCAGGTCGAATCAGGCTGGTCGGAGGAATGCAGCCACAAGCGCTTCGAATGGGTCAGGCGCTGAGAGTGCTGATAAGAACGCAACTAATCTCGGCCCTGTTGAGATGGATGCTATCCTTCCGATAGAGTCACGACCTCCGACTCTTTCTCACATGTACAACAACTACCAGCCGGGAGAGCTTCTCACCGATCGATTCGGCTTCATTTACGACCAACGTCGAAAGAAAAGACAGAGGGAGGCCAGCGTACTGAAGAACACTGGCAACCAGTTAAGCATGGCAGAAACTCTTAACAGCTTCCGAAGTGATAATTCCGACGGCGAAGGTGCCGATGATGATGAGATCCAGAATCCAATGCACTCTGCTTCGGAGTCCAGGCGTTCCCCCATTTCAGTTTCTCCCGAAGACCCAGAGGCTGGAGGTGTTGCCATCTGGGGATGGCAGGATTACCTGAGAATTGCCACAGGACCGGCCGAATTATTGTCACACACACCCTCTGCTGGCCCAATTGTATCGTTGACCACCGCCGGAGAAACTCCATCTCGTAACTCCGGAGTAAGTCTCGATAAACGCAGCTCTCTTTCTGTTAGCCAAATTACCGAGCCATCGGCATCTACGTCTACGGTTGTTGCGGATCGTCCCGAATTTGCTGGTGTATCCAGCGATGAGCCGATAGTTGCAACGATAAATGCGACGACAAAGGAGAACGAGCCTGTCAAACTGCTCCTTGAACAACTGACAGAACTCCATGACTCCCTGCAGCGGGACAGAACAGTCAGATGGAATGAATTCCTCCGCAAAGTGCGCGCAGAGCGTAGAAAAGAAGGAGAGGCGGCGGCGGCGGCAGCCGCCGCCTCTGATCGTCAATTGCAATCTGTTAACATGCCGGAGGCGTCTCTCACCGATGGCGAAGTGGTGGGCATAGCAGGATTGGGGAACAAGGGCAAGGTTGGTCGTGCAAAGTGGCGCGAGTTCCGGTCTCTTGTCCTCGGTGGAATCCCCGTTGCTCTCCGAGCTAAGATTTGGTCTGAATGCAGTGGCGCAACTTCTATGCGGGTACCTGGCTACTATGACGATCTGGTGAGGGGAACAGGTGGATGCGATCCCGATGCGTCGGTTGTGGCACAAATTGATATGGATATCAACCGGACGCTGACCGATAACGTGTTCTTCCGGAAGGGCCCAGGTGTTACCAAACTCAAGGAAGTTCTTGTTGCATACTCCCGACGTAACCCGGAAGTTGGATACTGTCAAGGCATGAATCTCATTGCGGCGTCCTTACTTCTGATCACACCTACCGCTGAAGATGCCTTCTGGATTTTGACGTCCATGATTGAGATCATTTTACCAGAGCACTATTATGACCATGGCCTCCTAGCTTCTCGAGCCGATCAAGTCGTGCTGCGCCAATATATCTCTCAAGTCTTGCCCAAGTTGGCCATGCACCTGGATACCCTGGGGGTTGAACTGGAAGCGTTAACGTTTCAATGGTTTTTATCCGTATTCACCGACTGTCTGTCCGCAGAGGCACTATACCGTGTCTGGGATGTCGTTCTCTGTCTCAATGTCACCAGTGTAGTGAACAACTCTACCTCCAATCCTCCAGCTCGAGACACCAACGACGCCAACCTTTCCACCGCGAACGATCTGGCCTCGGGCAGTGGTGGTGGCAGCACATTCCTTTTCCAAGTTGCTCTTGCACTCCTCAAACTCAACGAGCAGCAACTTCTCTCAACTTGCTCCACCCCCGCAGAGCTATACACATACATCAACCACCAGATGACCAATCACGCAATTAGCATCGACGGACTCATTCAAGCCAGCGAGGCACTGCGGAACGTGGTCCGTCGCGAGGATGTAGTAGCTCGGAGAGCGGAAGCATTACGAGAAATGCAAGAATTTGGAGGTTATCAATCAAATGCGGACACCAAATGATCATCTCCTTTTTCTTTCTCTCTTTTTCTTAAAAAAAAAAAAAAAAAAAAGAAAAGCAAAACTTTCTATGACTCAATGTTGAAATGCATGATACGCGCTCACTGGTCGGGTTTTTGTTCTTATGTCATGTCATGTCATGTCTATGATACCATATCGTCTGTCTGTCTGTCCTTATATCCTTTTTATCTATAGATCGGATCGGGGTTTTGGGGTGGGGATCTATACTGTTCTCGTTATATCAAATAACCATGCAACGATGTTTATTCCTTCCTTCCTTTTTTTTTTTTTTTTACCATTTTCTTTGTCATTTCCTCTAATACATCTCTTATATACTCATATACCATGTGACTGCATGACTTCCTAGCTGCTAGGATTTATAAAATGAGTTTGACTGAAATTGAGATACCCGGTTGGCGTGGTCCTTTACTTTGATTAGCGAATATGAAGAATATGATTTTCTTTTTTTTACTTTTCCTTTTAATCTCAACAATACATGCTTCCATATGCAATCTCGGTTGTGGTCATGTTTGTACGTCAAGTGAATCGTTGATATAACAGGTCCAATTATCTCGCATTCAATCATGATATTATATAGGAATCAATAAGCTCCAACCTATGTATACGAGGAAGTAATCTGTGTTTTCAGACCCCCCCCTTTTTTTCTTTTTCTTTTTTTTTTTTTTTGCCCTGGCCCTTACATTCTCTTGACCCTTTGCGGGGGTGAATGAATTCAGTATGTTGGCTTCGTGTTGGCTTCTCCTTAACTCGATCGACAGAGTGTTAGACAATAGGGTATCAATAAGGTCGTCAGATATCAACGCTGAAGAAATTAAATGTCGAAGATCAATACCACAGACTCATCCATGTCCAGATTAAGTGAATAGTCAATACCATTGGTCTTTCTCCCCCCCTGGTGCATGGACTGGTTTGCTACATCCAGAATCGACCATTGTCCAAGACAGCCGTAAGGTCGATTTGATCAAGTGTGGGACGTAGTCCGAGATCCATGACATCACGCGCCACAGCCTTGATCTGGCGCATAATTGTCTGGGAAATGGCCCAGGTACGGGCTAGCGACTTGAATACGCCTATGGTCAGAGTGAGTCGATCCCGACTGGGATCGGGCATCTGTCCGGCTTTAACGGAGCAGGCAGCCAGCTGCACGATTGAGCTCATGACTAGGGCACAGATGAAAAATGGAGTGTGCTTCACGACGGGCATCCGGATGGATGCTAGCGATGAGATCTCGCTGGAGGCTTTGACAGCCTTCATAGCATGGGCATGGTGCGAGAATGCGGGAATACTGCAGGGCCCGTGATGGCCACAGATGACTTCGGCAGCCACTGCAGGCGATGATAGCAGATCGGAGCGCGGGAAGTGGAGGTAGATGGCTGCGCCATTGACGATCATCGTCGCCTGGAACATCATCTCATCCACTGAGCCGTCTGGACGTAATAATTCGGCTTTGGATTCTGGGAGGTGGTGGAACCAGCTGGTGATCCGCGCGTCAATGGCCTCGACGTGATCTTGCTGGCCCTCGACCATGTCCTGAATAGCTACAACACGTCCGAGAATGCGGACAGCTTCCACTCGATAAGTGAACGACGAGAAGTCTCGCTCCTCGTCCGCGAACACCCGGTCATCGAACTGCGCAATTGTTGGAGGGACAGGCGGGGCCAACCCATCCTGGTAGATCCTCTCCTCGCAGGGAAGCGGCACCTCAGGTGGCACTAAGCTAGTGCGGAAGGTTTGTTGGACACCAAGTGCGGTTAGCATGCCTTCGATAATGAACAACTCCCACCAGGTACGCCTCAGACTCTCCTCTCGCACTGCATCTCCTTCACCCATTCTGGTAGCGTAGGACTCAGTGTGCAATCCCAGATCAAAGGCCAAGTTAACGGCCATGGCGAGACATTCTCCCGCCTCTGACCGTTCATTGCGTGAATGGAGCACGATAGCCAATAGTACGAGTGCCTGCAGCTTTTCTACAGTGCCTTCTTGTTCCATGGCGGACGATTTCACGGTCGGTCGGTATGGCTCACTGGAAGCGGCTGGGGTAAAGTGAGATCCGATGAACTTGATAACATGTTCAAGGAAGGGAGGGACGTAAGACCGGTATAAAAGACGATGTGGTGGTAGAATTGGATGCGATGGATGGAAGTAGGTGTAATAAATATCGATGAGGTAGCCATCCCCAGGAATGATGGAGGACGAAGAATCAGGTGTTAGAGGATCATTGTTAAATCGGGCCTGTTGCGAAGAGCCGGAGGTGTCCGTCAAACCGGGACTTCCCGAATATCCAGACGACAGGGTTGAGGGAGGAGGTATATATTGTAAGTTGGCCGGGAGGCTCCAGTCAGTTGGAACATTGACCAGCCCAACAGATTGGGGATCAAAGGAAGTCGACAGGTCTGCGGCTAACTGATCGGGAGAAGATGGATTGGCTCGGCGCTTCTTCGAGGGGCCTTTGTAACCTCGGCGCGAAGGGGTGTATTGGCATTCAGAGCCCGTGGCCGCGCAGCGCCCACAGACGGGAGTTTTCCCATCACACTTAAGGTGCTTGTGTCGGCAGAGAAGGCACGCCAAAAGTGAAGGCCCTGAAGCTTTAGAGACGGCTGGGTTTTGGGGGGGAATGAATGGCTCGTTCATTTTGATCAACTCCCAGAGATGATTATCGCTTCAATTCAGTACAGGCCACACATATATCATACAGATGGAGTGAAACACAAAAGTAAAATGGAAGAGAAAAAAAAAAAAAAAATTAAAGGAAACCACCCAGTGCAGATAAATAGGTAGTTGATTGGGATGATGCGTGGGCCAGGCGGGCGGGGGTAAAGGCGGGTTCACCACGGGCCACACGAAAGAAAAGAGTCTAAGGAGTGGAAGACCACAGACGACCCAAAAAGACCAAAGGAGAGACGGATGATGCTGGAAAAAGGAAGGAAAAGGAGATCGTGAAGAGAAGAAAGAACCAATCCAGGTAGATCCGAAAGGTAAAGCAGGAAAAAGAATGGTTTGCCTGTCGGGCCGTTGCAGGCCTGTATTATTAGGTGTCGGTACGGGTCCGTACCCCACCCACAGGATTAGCTCAGCAGACAGTTAGGGTCTCCCAACAGGAGGTTAATGCATTGATTTGGCCTCATGAACGGACAGGAACTGGGTCTTAGTTGCCGATCGTCATCACCGATGGAGACATTTCTACAAACTATATTTTGGGTAGTGTGTAATCACTAGGAGTTAGGTAGTCTGTCAAAACTTGTCAGTTGAAGGGAAACACTTGGTGGAATCTGTTATGGCCCCACCTCAGTCCTTCAGTTGGTCCAAGTGGAGACGACAAGAGATCGCTTCATTCTGTTATCTAAGCTATGATGCATGAAGTAGTTGGCTATAGGCATTCTCGATTAGAAGAACTAAAGATACCGAGTGATATTGGAAGAATAAGTATTTCAATGTGGTATGGGGTCGCTCTCAGGAAGTTCTATGGGATATCCAGCAGGGGTTGAATGGAGGATAACAAGGAGAAGAAGGGGACAGGAAGTGCATTTTCGAGTAATTGGCTACTTACAGTTACACAGACTGTAAGTACGTGGGTATCTCGGCTATCACAACGGTAATGCATATTCAAAGAAAGATATATTAGTGTAGTAGGCTGTTTTGGGGGTGTTAAGCATGCCTCTAGGTATCTGTAGATTACCTGATTCTATCACGAGAGTGCAGATAACACAGAAAAACAAAACAAAAATAATTAAACTGAACTAAAAAGTAAATATATAAAAGCCAACTTCGGAGATAGTTAACAGAAGAGAACCAAATCAGTTTATACAAACAAACTGTTGGTGGCCAGAACGTGGCACCGACGTTGGTGCCATTCCTCAGGTGTCGACATGCATACCTTAGGTGTCACTTTGGTTGATCGAGATCGCTGGCGCTTAACACTAACCACTCCTCCTCGCTCTTAGGATAGGCACTCCATTCTCGTTCCTGCACTACCACAACCAACTGAAATAGGTAACTAAGCACCCTGAACTCTCATCCATCTACATTACATATATACGCAAGAGCCCCATCCAAGATTTGTTGCCCGATGCTGTTTCAACTACTGACCTACGACGTGGCTTCTCCAACTCGTAGTCCCTACCTAGGGTTCGTTGCGACCGATCCTCCGTCCTATCCTAATAATATAACCGACGTCGGCCGATTTCTCGCATTCTTGGTCCATCCAACCTCATCTCCATTTTCCACGTCATCATGATCTCCGACGACGACCTCCACCGTCTCGCCGTGTTCCTCGGTTGCTGCGCCATGATGATGATCGTCCTTTATCATTTCCTCGAAGTAAACGCGAAAGATGACATCCCCGATCAGAAAAGTGCGATCAAGAAGTCTACGAGTGGTTCTGGAACTCTCGCTCCGACTGGTTCGTCTTCGGCAGAGGGCGTATCGGGGAAAGACACATAGATGGGTTTCTTTCGATTTGTTTTTAAGCTCAGTCTGGTTTTAGGTTCACCTACTGCTGTTGTACTTTATATTGTCATTGTTAGTGTGCGCAATTGAAGGAACAAATAACCTGAAGATACTAGCTATGGATCTCCGTGCCATTTGGATTGGAGAGGCTTGATAGAATGGATCGCAAGCGGGTGTATGATATTTGGATGATAGTTCATTAAGGACAGTTTAAAATGATTTAAGGCCCTCATTAAGACGGAAAGTAGTGACAGCTGGACGGGAATATACTACAGAAGGGAATGGAAAAGAAAGACAGCTAAAATCAACTGACTGCCCCTAACGCCATTTCTTTGGGCCGACACCGATCCAATACCATGTAAGCAAGACTGCGAAGCCAATGCATCACGGCAGACGAAATTAGGTACTACGCATAGCTTCCTAGGACTCGGATATCACCTCATAGACGTCCTTCTGCCGACTTATTCTCTCATTGCGTGCCGGCGTGGCCAGTTGACATCCACCCGGATCCAAACCAACACCAATCTGTTCCTTGAGCCTCTGTACTGCTTTCAAGATTTCCCGCGCTTTCTCATATTGGGTGTGGTTTCCATGGACCCGATTGAATGCGCGAATCGAGCTGTAACTGGCTGGAAAGATAAGCGAATCTTCGCTCTGGGGTTGTTTGGACTCCGAAAGGGTCGCGAAGCATGGACATTGGCTGGTACTACCGCCTCCTGTATCACTCATAGATCCAAATCATCAATAACAATCTTTCTTTGGAACAAGGGGAACAAGAAAAAGAAAGCAAAGTAATGCAATCAAAAAGCAACTATCTAAATGCTTTCTCACCCGGTTCAGGCACTCTTGGTCCATCGCCCAATTTCCATGCGATAGGCTCGACATGTTCTTTCTTAACGTGTTTGTAAAGACTTGCAGCGGGCATATTCTCCGACAACGAGCAGTCTTTCCACAAACATGTAATGTTGAAAGAAACATGAACCTTGTAAATGTGCTTCTTGAGCATATCGAGGTTGTGCAGCTCGGCCTGGCAATCTTTCCAATAACATGTGTAAACTGGATAGGAAATAGGCGGCGCAGAGATGGCCACCTCAACCTTTGAATTTGCAGGAGGCCGTCCAGGTGGTCTTCCAGGCGGCCTTTTCCCCAACATTTTCATTGATGGTATTTGTACCCTTGGGGTCGCTACTTTCCGCTGCGGTTGAGGTTGCGTTTGAGGTTGCGTTTGAGGTTGCGATTGAGGTTGCAATTGAGGCTGCGACTGGGGCTTCGATTGAGACGGCGGTTGAGACTGCGGATGGGGTTGTAGTTGGGGCTGCGGTGGTGGAACTAGAAGTGGCTGTTGTGTTGGCGTAGATTGCTGTTGAATTTGCTGCGGCTCCGGAGTCACAGGCACGCTCAGTGGCTGTTGCCGTGGCGTGGAGTTGTTGACAGGCAGGTATGGTAAAGGAGCAGGAGATGACGGGACCGCCGCCCTGAACCCCGACGCAAACGCGCGTGTTTGGACAGAGTCACGTGCTTTCGGATCTGAAGCTTGATCTACCAAATCCCAGCGAAAGGTTTCCAAGTCAGAGGAAATATCGAGGTGTGGGAAAACGTTGCGCAGACGGAACAGATGATGGTTAAGTGCCTTTTCGGTCGGGTGGCGCCCTGCCGCGATTAACACATCCCTCGCAATCGTCTTTGGGTTATAGGTGAATTTCTCTGCAGCATTTGATTCCTCTATAAGACTTGCGATATCCAAGCGGTTTTCAAGATATCCCTTATCTAAGGTATCTCGAAGGGTGAAACTGTTCAATGGCCGATTTCCAAGACGCGATACACCTGCTTCTATGGGAAATTGCTTGGAGACGCCTTGTGGTGTAAAATTGAGGACTGAAGAGTTTCCAGACGCGGGTAACATGCTCTGCTGTACTGGCGCTTGAGTCTCTATGCAACGTCTTTTGGAATCGTGGGTATCATCGAGTCTTTGAATCGGTGCGGGAATAGTTTTTGAGGTGTTTGAACCGATCCGAATGGGGTTTTGAGATTGGCCGGTTTGCAATGTCGCTGAAGGTTTCGGAGGCAGCACAGAAGAGGTTGTTAGGTGACTCTGTACCTGAGATGGAAGATCTGATGCTACTGGAGGATTTCGCATGATGCTGCTCGGGCTCACGAAATTGTGAGGCGGAGCGTACGGGGAGTTGTATTGAATGAAGTGAGGCTGTGATTGAAAGTAAGGTGAAGGATATCCTTGGGAAATCGAAGTCGTTGGGCTTTTATATTCCTGAGCATTGTAATAGGGATCAGGGGGCAGGTAGCCACCAAACCAATAGTGATCAGATTCATTGGCCATGCTTGTCTGCCAACAAGTATATGCACTATGCTATGTCCAGGTTGAGCTAGCCATTGATTGTAATGTAGTATGCATATTTAAAGTTGTTGAACAAAAAGAGAAACTGCACGAGTAATATGATATTATCATATACCTAAGAATGTAAGCTTATCAAGTCATGTGTTCCTTATAAACTGTAAGCATCTAGATGATGCTATGTGCACAATTGTGATGCACGGTCCGATCTTCAAGTGACTTGCGCCATTTCTACCACCTTGATGCTGACCAATAATACCCCCTGCTTCACGGCAGAATCTAGCTATTAGTCCCTTTCTGCCGGGCGGTAAACAGAGCCTGCCAGTCCCGCGAGAGACTGCGCGTCGACCAATCAGCAGTGGAAACCCAACCCTAAGGGGCGTCATGTGACGCACAGTCGGGCGGGCGCACATTTTCGGCTAACAGTCTGAAAGTCCGCCCAAAAGAGTCTTTCGACGACTAACGACGACAACGTTCACCACGACCTTCCCCAGAGGCTCTGCAAAGATGACCGTCATGAACCAGGGTATGTTCTTGAAATATCCCTGCTATATCTGTTGACTTATTGTCTATTTTCGCGCCCTACGTGGTGATTCCTTACAAATCACCCGCCGAAACGAAATGGCTAGATCGATACCGTCTATGATGAGTTGGGAGGGTGCTGATGAACATTTATCACAATAGGAATCGCCTCTTCGCGCCGGAAGTCGCGCAAGGCGCACTTCAGCGCTCCCTCCAGCGTGCGCCGTGTCATCATGAGCGCCCCTCTGAGCAAGGAACTCCGTGAGAAGCACAATGTACGCCTGAACCTTCCCTCTTGAAAATGCCGAAATCCTACCCTGTTTTTACCTTCAACCGTCTTCTACCACAAGCTGTGCAATGGGCCAATGAGGAAGAATTGGGGGAAAGATACACATCAGGACGCATTTTCGAAATACGTTAGCGGGGTTTAAGTTAGTCTGACATTTCCTGGCAGGTCCGCTCCATTCCCATCCACAAGGACGACGAGGTCACCATTGTCCGTGGCTCCAACAAGGGCCGTGAGGGCAAGATCACCAGCGTCTACCGTCTCAAGTGGTGTGTGCACGTCGAGCGTGTTGTCCGCGAGAAGTCCAACGGCCAGAGCGTTCCCCTCGGTATCCACCCCTCGAAGGTCGTCATCACTAAGCTCAAGTTGGACAAGGACCGTGAGCAGCTTCTGGAGCGCATTGCTAAGGGACGTGAGGCGGCCAAGTCTTCTGCTTAAAGGATTGGATTTTTGTTTCTTGTCGCAATATAGGGGTGATGGCGTGGGAGTACATGAGATACTCAAAATGAGAAAAAAAATAAACCTGCTACGATCAGGCTTCCGTCTTACTTTTTAAGGCAGGTGCATACTGTTAATGGAAGAAGAAATGGCCCAAAAAAAAAGAAGCAAAAATTTCTTGAATTTTTTCTTTGTCTTTCGGGCCTCGCTCCTACAGGCTTTCTGTCTGACAGCTGGTTGGCGTCTAATACTTTTCTTCCTCATACCCTGCGCCATAGGTATTCCCATCAGGTTATACCCAATCTTCAGGAATCACTTCTCGATGTTCATAGTGGCCTTATCTGTCACTGCTTTCTAAGGGATTCCCTCAACCCCTATCCCAAACCTGTCTGCCCATCGCAGCCTGACTTCGTCAACAAGCCCCGAAGCTACATTTATGTCGTAGCCCTCCGTTTCTCTCCAATACCCCTCCTCCCCCCAAATCCGACCGCGTCGCCAGGTTATCTCCTCATCAATCTTACACTCATGGTTGAAGAGGTATACGACTGGCGTAGAAGGAATTGCAGAAATCTAGTAATACTAGACACTATTCTGCCTCGCTTGCAGACTCGCACTGAAGCTTTTTTTTTTAGCAAGGATGCTGTGAGTTTGATAGTGAGATACATGCATTTGTAGACATGCACATTGATTTGTCTTCGGGTAGGTAACTTCGATTAGTTTCGGTAATACAGTTGGTAGTATTATTGCATCGTATCAGACTATTTTGTGAGCCTGGGGCTTATCACATGGGAAGGGAATGAACACCCACCCTAAATTGGATTTTGAGCGATGGTGATGGCCTAATCGTATATTTTTCTCTTTATTATATGAAGTTGACGGCAAAATAATTCCAAAGATATCTGATTATTATTGACAGTTAAAAGAACATAGAGAAGCCGGATTATTGATTGAGATACAGCAACCAGTAATTAGTTAATTATATATTTTAATAATCCACAGCCACATCAATCAAATACAGCATCATACTAATAATGTATACTATAAATATCCATAAAAGCATTGCCAATGAACTAAAATGCGATAATTATATACACGGTTGCTGTAAAATACAAAATAAAATGTTAAACTGGGAGAAACAAACACATCATATGAGTAATATCGTAAAAGGTGGAGAGACCGACGGAAAAGCCATGTAAGTACCCCATGAAAGGAATGGACAATAGTAGATCATCAAGCAACTGGTAGTAATAAACATCAATAGAAAACGAACAGGTGACATTTGACAAAACCGCGGACATAATTGAACATCAAGATATCCGGGTGCAAAATACCACTTACTCACTATGCCCGACGCATTTCCCCCAGGCTGGTAATCCACATCCCATACCTATAAAGAGATACAAGAGGAAAATTATCACCACTACCACGAGAACCATTAATTTAATATTCTTCCACCACATGCGTCGTCGCAAGCCCCGACTGCGAAGCCGGAAATCATGCGCATTACCGCCCAGTCGGTCCGTCTTGTCGACTAGAAGATCAATGCGCTCGCCACGCTCTAGCACTCGTTCGATATTCTCCGTCATGATATCCCGTACGCTATCAATTTCCTTGCGGGCGGAGGCGAGTGAGTCCGCTGGTGGGGCGGTATTGTACGTTTGGAGTAGGGAGCGAAGCTCGGTGTTGAAGGCGGCGCAACCGTAGGCTGGAAAGGACGAGAAATCCGTGGTCGAGGGCGGATAGGCGGAGAGGAATTTGCGCTTCATTTCAAGGAGATAAGCAAACGGAATACGGCGGCCTTGCTCGGCAGTTGCCACGACTATATAGCTCAAAGGTGCATAGGAATTTGGCTCCTGTCGGCTTGAATCCTCTGAAGACCCTGTCGGGGAGTCGGCGATGTAGTGCACAAATAGCCGTTCATGGGTGAAGGTGAGCTTTTGAGATTTTTCATGAGTGACCTTGGGAAGGATAATGGAGGCCAGAGACGAAGCAGATGAGGAGGATGATCCGGGGGAGGAATGTTCTGCGAGAATGGTGGTACGGTGTGCTATACAAGAGCTGTCAAAAATATGTTAGCCTGTGTCATATTCCTGGCACAAGCGACGGAGTCGGGAGGGATGAACGCACTAGAGCAGAGAGCTCGTTGGCTTTGATGAAGAGGCCATGGCGGAAATAATAATTAGACCAGCCTTTACTCTGTAACGGCTATATTGTACCCTGCTTGTATTGGCTTGGTTGAATATCTGAAGGTCGGCGAGCTTCCTGACGTCGTCACGCCAAGAACCCCAGTACATATCACGTGACTGAATAAAAGCTACCAAACCATTTCACTTGAGACCTCAACTAGTCTGATATCATCAGAATCATATTATTTCCACTAATTTAAACAGTCATAGGAACCAAGATCATCAAAATAAACATTTCCAGATCTCCAGAATCCTTCTGCATCCTAAATTCCGTCTGTGAAGATGTTTTCGTACGTGGAATCACATACGTCATTGTTACTTTTGTCACTAGGCACACATAAGGATATATCACGCCCACCGGGAGTTGCGCTTAGAGTTAGAGCCGTAGACATGTTTTTCTGAATCTCGGTGACCAGTAAGCCGGCATCCACCTTGCCACCATTAGTCAAAATGACGGGATTGTTGTTTGAATCAACTTGATTGCCTGTCATTATAGAGGTCGGGGTGATGCTATCGATTAATTGGTTGAGATTTTCGATATTCTGTTTCACTTCTTCTAATGTAACAGATCTAACTGACGCGCTTTTCTGGCTTTGGAAGCCTGGTAGTTGGTCGTCCAAGTCAGCGATGCAAGAAATATCGTTCAAGACAAATGAATCAAGGAACACAGCTTTGACAAGATTCATCCAGAAAGTTCTGCTGAATAGACGTGCTGCGAAGCGCATTGTACCATAAGCGTACTTGAAGTCGTCTGTCAGGTTGTGCGAACAGAGGATCGTCGAGCTCGGTATCCACGTTGTTGTACTCGAGCCAATGCAACAAACGTCCAGAGCTTGCAAGGAGTATCGATCTGCGGGCCAAAACCTCCCAGGGCCTGTAATATGTGCTCAATGCCTTTGCGGTGACGAGTTGTAGAGTACTCCAGCGGAAGTCCGGACTCATCAGTATCATCTAGCCCTCCAACAAGAAGCGAGGGTAAATTCCACGGCCCCTGCAATTGTGACCACTCTCTAATGCCACGAGGGCAGCACAGCTCCGTAACAAACACAATACCATCTTCATCCATCAATGGTGGTGTGAGATCAAGAACATATTTGATCTCACAAGGGAGCTTTCCCTGTAGTTTGCGATTCACGATGACACGTCTTCGGGTCTTTGGCTGGAAGAGGTTTTTGAAGTAAGAGGAACATGTGTCCAAAGGCCTTGGCTGTGGATACGATGTGGAATTGTCTCTCTGCAAAGTGGTAAAGCTGACATGGACCTCTGTCGCTCAGGATCAATGTACACTAGTGTGTCTGCGCCGTCGAAAGAAGCAAGTCGGAATAGGGAGCATTTAGACCGTGATGGGAGGTGGAGAGACTCCGAGGTTGTTTTGGAGTAGTCATTTTGTGTAGTTTGGGAAATGCGAAGACATGATGACACTGTATGGGTAAAAGAACAGTCAAATGACTAAATCGAGATGAAGGCTAGCATGGTATCTTAAGTTGACCCTGGGTATATCTATAGGCGTAAAACGAAACTGGATTTTGGAGATACAGGGAAGTGATTTATCTAATCAAAGTATGATGCCAGAAGGCTAGGGATGAAATCATTCAGGAGAAGCATCTTAAACTGACAGCAGGTGAGAAAAGAAGCTGGTGAAGAGGAAGAAGAGGTGAAGGGGATAAGGCTGTAGTGAATGCGACATGTGACTTTGAAGGCGGGCTCTAATCAGAAAAACAAAGAGCCAGTTTCCTGCTCTTTGGTCGAAACCGTGCAAGTCTGGCCAAAAGGATGGGCGTTGGGCCTACGAAGTCGTAAGGGAGGCCCCAGATGGGATTAATAATTTAGGACCAGTTTCTCTAGGAACGCCATACTTTGAACATCGGGGGCAGATGTGGTGCATCATAAGAGACAAAAAGACAAATGCTCGAGGTAAAAATGACACGAATATAACCCACATACTCAGCCTGCCATTACGCCATTCAGGGGTCCAGCAAAGTTCGGCATACCGAAGTAAATTAGTAGAATATCTGATTGAAACATGTATTCAAAGAAACTTGAGGGTATCAATAGCGAACTATATCTAAGTTATATGAAACAACCGCCCAAATAATGTATATGCAACCTCAACGCAACGTAATAAACAACGCAAACCATCTAGTAGATGTACTCTATTAGGGGATACTGATAAAGCCAGTTGTCAACCGTCCATCCCACGTTGTGTATCTGGTAGTTGTGACTCGCTAGATGGACCATCTGACCACCGTTCTTCGCCGCTGATATTGTTGTTGTTCCGCGACACATGGGGTTTCTTTTTCATTTCTTTTCGCTCAACGCGCCTCTGGCCTCGGCTAGTCCCTCCCCGTCGGAGATCTTTCACTTCTTTGATCACTTCGCGGAATCCTTCTTCGATGTTATTCATGCGCGCAAGCACAAGCTTGCTGAGCAGGTCCTGACTACTATGTGAGCTGTCTACCCGGCGCATGCCACCCGTCGCATAGGCAATCTGTGTTGTCAAGCTCGAAGGCACACCTCCAATAAAACCATTCGCAATCGCCTTGTTATCTCCCAGGTCGGAACCCAGTCCCTCTAGGACGGATGTTCGATGGCGTTTTCTATACCCACGACTTGGAACCAAGACGCTGCCAAAATCAGGCACTGACATAGGGCTAGACCGGGTTATGGCGGCGATTCGACTTCCGCCGGTGTCCATACTATGTCTTCTCGGTGTCCATTTGTCAACAGAGGTTGAAAAAGCCCTCACGCCACCATCGGGAGTCTTGGCTCTGGGCCTTAGAGGGATTGACGAGGCGCTGGCCCCTTCGTCATTGTTGTCTGTCAGGACTGGGTTGTACAGAATAGTAGCGACTGAATAATTCCGCGAATGGTGTTTGGCGCGCCGATTCGGGCTAGCTTTCCATGATTTGATCCTTGCCGTCGACGGCCGAGAACTGTAGAATTTCGGCGTTGATTTGCCAGGACTTGTCTCGTCTTTTTGTGAATCACTGACCTGGGATATTGTATTATCACCATTTGATCGTTGCTCATCCACCCATCCGTTCTCGTCGCTCGTGAGCTCATCATCACCCTCCATGCCAGTATGCCGCGAAAGTTGTCTTGTTCTCGTGGAGGTCAAGAATCTTCGGGTACGGCGAGGTGTTGCGGGGGAGGATACAGCATGCACACCATACTCTTCTGGGTTTGATACAGCAGATCGATTGGATTCTGTGAAGTCGCGGAGGCTTCGGGTAAGCCTCTTCCTGAGTGGGTGTTGCAATTTGCGAGGTAATCTCTCTAGCCGGTCCACCTCATCCGAATCTTGCTCGTCAGGGGGGTTGACAAGGTCGGATCCCATGGCTTGCATCCAATTTTTCACAAGATGCGTGCTTGCTCTCTGGTCAAACTCTCGAACAGGGCGTCTATTTGTTCCCTCGTGGGATAGCCGTCGGAATACCTCCTCCAAAGCACGGTCCTTCTGATACGTTGCGACAGACGGCTCTCGGACAAGTCCTGGTGCCTTTGAACTGAAAGCCCTGAAACGACTTTGGCGAGGGCGCAAACGACTAGGGCCTTCGGAACGTATTTGTGGATCCATCAAATCTGTAGGCTCGAAAACTCTAGATCTGAGTATTGTCTTTTCGTAGAAACAGATAGTAAAGAGAATTGGTAGATGAGTGACCTTGATAACCGTGCGATTAATCCGTACGAAATCCCGGAAAGGCATGATGTAGCGGAGCGGAGCAACTAGCCAGGCAAGAATATTGGTCGGTGCCACGTAGGAGAAAAGGGCATCCGACTTGACCATGGAGATTGTGTTGACTGCAAATAAGAACTGGTGTTCCTGGTTGGCATTCTGCACGATTGCCATAAACGAATTGGTGAGAACAGTAATGAGAATCGTGACGACAACGAAATGACAAATGAACAGGAAAATTGTCAGAATGGCCTTTCCCAGCGTGTTGTATTCATCCCAGAGACTCCATGCGGTTGGAGTAAAACCCATAAGCATCTGGAATAAAGCATATGCGACGGATCCAGGAGAATGGTTTTCACCATTGCCAAAGGACAGTGTGAAGGCCACAAAAAAGCCACTACAGGCCACGATGATTAAGAAGAAGACAGCAACTAGGTCAGATGCCATTATTCTGAATGCGATGAGCAGCTGTGAGAAGTAACGGTAGTGGTCTAGAATAGAGAACAGTCGAGGGAATAAAAGAACGGCATTTGCGGCCAGGATATCGTATGCTTGGTTTGCAGCTGCTGATTTGCGGGTGTATGGTAGGATAACACCATATAGACGCAAGCAGTAGTAGCAAAATAGAAGAAACAAAATCCCTAGGTCGAACAGATTCCAGAAGCTCATAAGGTACAAACTGAATCCCTGTTCGTTGAAGCCAACAACCTCATCAAGCAGGAAACCTGCACTCCAGAACCAGAAGACAACTTCTAGGGGAGTTATCTCGACGCGGCGTTCCTGCAAGACTGCCAGAAACAAGAGTAGCAGAACGGCAAATGACAACGTTGAAAGGAACTGTCGATACCGAGGCACTCTCAACCTAGAGAGCTTGAACAAGGAGGCATCCCTCGGGTCATATAACGTAACTGAGCGGCGCAATGCGGATCCCCTGGGGTTAGATTGAGTAGCACGCGTGTTAGATGCAGCGTTGAATATCGTGCCTTCGCTGTGACGGACTTGGGCTGATGAACGATGGAGATGATCGGCAGCGGAGTGAAAGACAACGGTTCCTGCCCATATTGCTTCTAACTGCTGTACTACAAGAGGATGGGATAAGAACCGCTTTGCTTGGGCACGGATAGCTATCTCAAGACAAGAGATACGGGCAACCCCAGCAACCCCTTTACTCCCTTGCGAGGCATACCTGCCTGCAGCCCAATGAGAGGCCTCGGAACTAGTCGAAGCAAGGCCTTGGAGTGGGTAGAATTCATAAGATAAAGCGTCGATCAGCTCTCTTGTGGCATATTCTCTTAATAACTTAACCGCCAGAAGCTCGCTCACTATAGCCCTGGTTTGGCTCGTACCACTATTGCCTGGATTGAGGTGAACTTCCTTGTTAAACTGCAAGCAGTTTGTCATCAAGGCGTACAATGTGGCCCGCGAAAAGTGGAATGCTCTTATCTTTTGCTGGATAGGCTTCACCAGGAACTGAGAAATCTGAGGAGAACGCAATTGATCCCAAGACAATGTGGTTTCGCAGCGGGAGATGATTAGCGATCTAATCGCATGTGTAACGTCATAAACGGGAAGAGAATCTAGCCACTACAATCAGTATGTTCTTTCGAAGATTTTGCTCTCACAGTACCATCCGTACCTAGGTGAGAGGAGGAAAATATAGGAAGCAGAGGGGTGGACTCGAGAGGACCATCTTCTTCCTCACTATCGGCATCGTCGCCTCCATTCTCTGCATCTTCTGTCTCCTCGTAGCCTCCCTCGACATTTTCGTTATACCGTGCTTCGGCACCACGCTGAACGAAAGGCCATGGTGACTGTCGAGATGTGTCTGGCGATGAGAATGGAGAGCGCTCCGCGTACACTCGCCGTTTCTTTGGGCGAAGGAGGGAGGCAAGCATTATGGGGAAATCAAAATTCCTTGTAATTCCCTATCGAACAGTAGTCTGTGAAAGTCAATACATTGTCTTAGAGAAGGGAGCGACGCGTCGTAATTCTCGCTAGATAATAGACTGTTGGGGCGCCATTGAGAGACTGGCGAAGGAAATTGGCGTGGAGAAGGAGACGAAAAATCCGAAAAAGAAGATGAGATGCTACTGAGGGTTGCTGAGGCAATCACTTGCTGGAATAATTCACGCCAGCTCACATGCACCCGCGGAGTCGGTTATGGAGGGGAAACGCGACCAGGTCGAGATTTGATGCAGGGCGATCAGTGCTAGTTTATTGGTAGCGCCTGGTCCTAAACAAAGGCCTGGATCCACAGTAGATATACTAGGTAATGCAAAGAAAGAAATAGCGAGTGCCAATTTGCCACTTTACATCAGGTAAAGATGCTGCAAGATTGGCCAGTAAAAAGAAAGGCCGTTAACAAGCACCGGATTCTAAATAAATCTTCTAAACTGAATCTGCATGCCGCTAACCGTACTGACTTATGCCTATTGGTATTTATTTTTACAGAGGACTATTTTTTTTTACCAAGATGTATCTCCTTACACCTAATGTTTACACCATTGCACCCACACACTACCGGCTTTCCAGAAAAACAAAAAAAAAAAAAAAAAAGAAAGAAAGAAAGAAAAGGAAAATGAAAGAAGTACTGGAATACTTTTCCTTGTTTCTATTTACGGAGCCAATGTTTAGTAAAAAGACGGACCACATATTAGAAAATCTTTATGATGTTAATATAGATTTATATATGGCTTTCATAATATATTCTTTTCTCCTACTCTTTCTTTAATAGTATGATCGATATTTTAGTTTTTACCAAATATTTCTAGTGACGTCTAAGTACAAAAGATATTCATAAATGCATCGCCTCTATAGCTCAAGGATATAGGAGACTCTGAAATTCTGGCACAATTGAATAGGGGATAAAGAAACATAGGAAATAGATGAAGCTAGTTGAAGTTGTGATCATGTAAGAAAGCCTCTCAACACAGGAAAAGACGGTGCCAAAAACACACTTTAAGAAACTCTCGAATACAGGATCCAAAACTAGGCCCCACATAAATGAAATTCTTAGAGAATAGTTAGAAGTTCCTCCTCCTAATCACGACAACTACAATTTCACTTTCCTCAAAGAAAGTCCAGCAAAGCAAAGTAGAGACGGGGATGAGGGAGACGACGTGACCTTCAGATCAGATATGCCTTCTTCTGCAGTCTGGTATCCATTTGACCAACATTTTCTAACTACTACCTAGATATCAACAAAAATAGTTTCTAGATCTGGAAATTCATGTTGGTGTATTAACTTCCGGATTTCTTTGCTGGATCTGTCTACATACAATTGGTGTCCAACGTTGATTTCATAGGTAATCGCTCCAAGAGCAAATATGTCAAGTAGAGTCAAAGTCATCTGAGCACGGCCTAGCATATTGCTTGGAATGTGATACCGCAGCTGAGGTGTTGTCGATCCTAGAGCCACCAAAATCTGCCAGGGCCACGGTGCCATCTTCCTGAATCAAGAAATTATGGCTGCCAAAGTCACTATGAAATAAAATTTTTAGAGTGGACAAATCGTAGGGCCTCGGCAGCTTGCAGAAGCCATCTAGAACGAGTCGGTCACGATCAAATAACAGGCTGGAGAAGAGACTTATTGAGCCCGCTTCTGTGGATGGTTTGCGGGCGCAGAATTGTCTGCCAGGATACTAGCACGTTGATATTGAAACGCAAGCCCGTTTGGGACACCATTTCCCCGTTAATACTTGCCGGAGTATCGCAGAATAAAAGGATGATGGCCAAGTCATTCATAGATGCGCTTTTCTGTAGGTTGCAAATTCTCATGATAGGATGATGGAAAGTTTCCTTAATTACAAACTCGGTGTCGGCTACCTTGATGGCATGTGCAAAACAACCAACATCTGCAAGTTGTATCTGCTTGCAGTCTGCTTTCGGTCTGCTTTTTCTAGAGTTTCTGCCACAAAGGTTGGTAGCATATGGTCACATCGAGCTCATCGACAATAATTTCACAGTTGTCGCATTTGTGTGCAATATCGGAGATACCTAAATCTCGTCAGGCAAGGTACCCAAGAAACATGAGTATGAAACAAACCTGTGGCCTGGGGGATAACTTTACTTGTATCGAGCGTGTGCGTGAGAGCAGTCGTTATTGGACAAGTAGTTCACTTTATCCCGTTCGCTGACGCTAGCACTTCTCACTTGGTGGATTGGTACTTGGAAAATACGGATGAGGACAGTGCTAGGGAACATCTTGTGGGTAATTTTGGAAAAAGCAGTAAGTTAAAGCTATTTTATGTGAAGAGTTTAAACATTCATACAATTATTACCTATAAGATGTTATAAGCAAGCAGATATTAAGCAAGGATTTTATGGTTAGGTATTATTGATTAATTTGTAGCTGAAATGCATCATGCATGATCATAAGATGAGATGACTGGTTTCCAGGTAGCCAATTTACTGGAACCGAACGGATCGGGACCGGCACTCAGCAGCCCTAATCGGAAGGCAGCTGGCTGACCGCCTGCAAATGCTATGGATCGGTGGCAAACCCCTCCATTGGCGCATGTGCAAGGTCCTGCTAAATTGCTTCCTACCTGGGAAAGCTAGGAGGGAAAAATCTGCTATCTGGCTCAAGGATCTGTATTAGGTATAGATAGAGCCATGGAAGAAGCTAGTAAATAATATATTTTCCTATGGATAGATGGTACCAGCATCGAATTGTTATTAGTTATTATTATGGATAAGGTAGGGTAAGAGTGGGGGTAAAAATGGAAGAAAATTTTCTTTCAGGCGGCGCTGAGCGGCAGAATGACCAATGATCCCCGGATCAGTGTGGTCTGAAGACCAATGAGAGAGCTCAACCAGCCCGCCTTTCACAAACTTTTATTTCTGCCATTCCAACGAGATTTCTTTTTTTTCCCTTTCTTCTATATTCCTCCTCCCGTGCAGAAGCAGCAAAAAGGCATTCAGCCTTTCAATTCCCTTGCCAAAAGAGACGTGGAGGCTGCTGATGCTACGGTAGAGTGAATACCTCATCCTACTGTCCGCGAGAGGACCTTCCCTCCCCCCACATTTACTGCAATGTCGCAGCCAGCTGGTCACGAGGAAGCTGCACTTCCTTCCAGCCCCCTGTCTGGAGGGGCCGTGGCTTACAACCAGATCAACAAGGAATTGCAGCCGCTGCCGGCCATGAATCTCAATAATGCTGCCGTGATCCCTCCTGCTTCTTCTCGAGTTCGAGGCGGCAGCGATAGACTGTTTGCCCTCGAGTTAGAGGATGGCACTGTCTACCAGGGCTACAGCTTTGGTGCTGAGAAGAGCATTGCGGGAGAATTGGTCTTCCAGACCGGTATGGTTGGATATCCTGAGTCCATCACTGACCCGTCCTACCGCGGTCAAATTCTGGTCATCACATTCCCCCTTGTGGGCAACTATGGTGTGCCCTCCCGAGAGACCATGGACGAGCTGCTGAAGACGTTGCCGAAGCACTTCGAATCGACCCAAATTCACATCGCGGCTCTTGTTGTTGCAACATATGCTGGAGAGGATTATTCTCATTTCCTTGCCCAGTCGTCCTTGGGACAATGGCTCAAGGAACAGGGTGTTCCTGCCATCCACGGTGTCGACACTCGGGCTCTTACCAAACGCATTCGTCAGAAGGGTAGCATGCTTGGCCGTATGCTGCTCCAGAAGGCCGAGTGTATCAATAACGCGGTAGACTCATTCCCCACGGAGAAGAATAGCTGGAGATCTTTTTTTGAGCAGACTGAATGGGTCGATCCTAATAAAAAGAACCTTGTGGACGAGGGTAAGTAATTGGGCATAATTTTCACCAGGTTTTTCTTTTTCCTCTCTCTAATAGAGTTTATGTTAGTCTCCATTCGGGAACCTAGCCTCTTCTCCCCTCCTCAAAGTGTTGCTCTCAAACACCCTTCCGGCCGGCCAGTCCGCGTTCTCTGCTTAGATGTTGGATTGAAGCTCAACCAGCTACGTTGCTTGCTCTCTCGTGGTGTCGAAATATTGGTTGTGCCTTGGGATTATGATTTCCCCACTCTTGCTGGCAAGGACTACGACGGTCTTTTCATCTCGAACGGTCCTGGTGACCCCGCTACCATGTCCACAACAGTCAAGAATCTGTCCAAGACCCTCCATGAGGGACGCATTCCTGTTTTTGGAATTTGTTTGGGCCATCAGCTTATTTCGCGTGCAGTCGGCGCCCAGACTATAAAGATGAAGTTTGGTAACCGTGGCCACAATATTCCTTGCACCAGCATGGTGACCGGAAAGTGCCATATCACCTCTCAGAACCATGGATATGCTGTTGATGCAACAACTCTGCCCGAAGGCTGGGAGGAACTGTTTGTGAACGCAAATGATGGTAGCAATGAGGGTATTAGGCATGTCAGTCGGCCCTTTTTCAGTGTGCAGTTCCACCCTGAAAGCACCCCTGGCCCTAGGGATACAGAGTTCCTTTTCGATGTGTTCATCAATAGCATCAAGGATACCATTGCTTCAGCTGAAGCTCTTCGCAAGCCTGTGTCCTTCCCTGGTGGTACGAAAGAAGAGAACATCGAGGCATCACCTCGCGTCTCTGTTAAGAAAGTCTTGATTTTGGGAAGTGGTGGTCTGAGTATTGGCCAAGCCGGAGAGTTTGACTATTCTGGAAGTCAAGCTATTAAGGCTCTGAAGGAAGAAGGAATTTACACCATCTTAATCAACCCCAACATCGCCACAATCCAAACGTCTAAGGGTCTCGCAGACAAGGTGTATTTCCTTCCCGTGAACGCAGACTTCGTGCGTAAAGTCATCAAGCACGAGCGCCCGGATGCAATCTACGTAACTTTCGGTGGCCAGACTGCGCTGCAAGTGGGTATCCAGCTCAAGGATGAGTTCGAAAGCCTGGGAGTTAAGGTCCTCGGTACGCCCATCGACACAATCATCACGACTGAAGACCGTGAGCTCTTCGCTCGAAGCATGGAATCGATTAATGAGAAATGTGCCAAGTCTGCATCGGCTTCCAGTTTGGAAGAGGCTTTGCGTGTTGTGGAAGATATTAAATTTCCCGTTATTGTCCGTGCTGCTTATGCTCTTGGAGGTCTCGGCAGTGGTTTCGCTGAGAACATGGATCAGCTAAAGGATCTTTGCACAAAAGCTTTTGCGGCTAGCCCCCAAGTCCTTATTGAGAAGAGTATGAAGGGCTGGAAAGAAATCGAGTACGAAGTTGTCCGAGATGCAAGAGACAACTGCATCACAGTTTGTAACATGGAGAATTTCGACCCTCTTGGTATCCACACTGGCGACTCCATTGTCGTGGCTCCTTCGCAAACCCTTTCGGATGAGGACTATAATATGCTGCGTACCACTGCCGTCAATGTTATTCGCCATCTTGGTGTTGTCGGAGAGTGCAATATTCAGTATGCTCTTAACCCATTTTCAAAGGAATATTGCATTATTGAGGTCAATGCCCGTCTGTCGAGATCATCTGCCCTTGCTTCAAAGGCCACTGGTTACCCTCTTGCTTTCATTGCTGCCAAGCTTGGTTTAGGTATCCCTCTAAACGAAATCAAGAATTCCGTCACCAAGGTCACTTGTGCATGCTTCGAGCCTTCTCTTGACTACTGCGTTGTTAAGATCCCTCGTTGGGATCTTAAGAAGTTCACCCGTGTTTCGACTCAGCTTGGCTCCTCGATGAAGAGTGTCGGGGAGGTCATGAGCATTGGGCGAACATTTGAAGAGGCAATCCAGAAAGCAATTCGTTCCGTGGACTTTAACAACCTTGGCTTTAACGAGACAAACGCCCTCATGTCTATCAAGGGTGAATTGCAGACTCCTTCCGACCAGCGTCTCTTCGCTATTGCCAATGCCATGGCTGCTGGATACAGTGTCGATGACATCTGGAAGCTCACCCAGATTGACAAGTGGTTCCTTAGCAGGCTGAAGGGTCTCAGTGATTTCGGAAAACGCATGGCTAACTACAATGCCACAACTGTGCCCAAGCCGCTTATTCGACAGGCCAAGCAGCTGGGTTTCTCCGACCGCCAACTTGCTACTTTCCTTAGCTCTAACGAGCTTTCAATTAGACGACTGCGTGTTGAGGCGGGCATCATCCCTATTGTCAAGCAGATTGATACAGTTGCAGCTGAGTTTCCCTCAGTAACGAATTATCTGTATCTCACGTACAATGGTTCGGAGCATGACGTTGCTTTTGATGATAAGGGTATTATGGTTTTAGGATCTGGTGTCTACCGGATTGGTTCTTCTGTCGAGTTTGACTGGTGTTCTGTGCGAACTATTCGCACCCTTCGTGAACAGGGTCACAAGACTGTCATGGTAAACTACAACCCTGAAACCGTCAGCACTGACTATGATGAGGCGGATCGGTTGTATTTCGAGAACATTAACTTGGAAACCGTACTGGATATCTATCAGCTGGAATCCTCTAGCGGTGTGGTTATTTCCATGGGTGGCCAGACTCCAAACAACATCGCCCTTCCCCTCCACCGCCTTAATGTCAACATTCTGGGTACTTCGCCGGAAATGATTGATGGTGCTGAGAACCGCTACAAATTCTCCCGGATGCTTGACCGCATCGGTGTTGATCAGCCGTCTTGGAAGGAGCTCACTAGCATTGAAGAAGCTACCGAGTTTTGCAACAAGGTCGGATACCCAGTGCTTGTACGGCCCTCTTATGTGCTCTCAGGAGCCGCCATGAACACAGTCTACTCTCAGCATGATTTGGCTTCCTACCTGAACCAGGCCGCTGAGGTTTCGCGTGAGCATCCTGTTGTTATTACCAAGTACATCGAAAATGCCAAGGAGATTGAGATGGATGCTGTGGCCCTGAACGGAGTCATGGTTGGTCACTTCATCTCGGAGCATGTTGAAAATGCCGGTGTTCACTCTGGTGATGCTACATTGATCCTGCCGCCCCAGGATCTGGATCCTGAGACCGTTCGCCGTATCGAGGAGGCTACTAGGAAGATTGGAAATGCCCTTAATGTCACTGGTCCGTATAACATCCAATTCATTGCCAAGGATAACGACATCAAGGTCATCGAGTGCAATGTCAGAGCTTCTCGATCTTTCCCATTTGTGTCGAAGGTCATGGGTGTTGATCTGATTGAAATGGCAACCAAGGCTATGATCGGCGCTCCATTCGCTGAATACCCTCCTGTGAACATTCCTAAGGACTACGTTGGAGTGAAGGTTCCCCAGTTTTCATTCTCCCGACTTTCGGGAGCCGATCCTGTTTTGGGTGTTGAAATGGCTTCAACCGGAGAAGTGGCTTCATTTGGCCGTGATAAATATGAGGCCTACCTCAAAGCCCTCTTATCCACCGGATTCCGCCTTCCGAAGCGTAACATTTTGTTTTCTATCGGATCTTATAAGGAGAAGTTGGAGATGTTACCCTCAATTCGAAAGTTGCACCAGATCGGGTTCAACCTCTTTGCTACCGCTGGAACGGCCGACTTCCTGAAGGAAAATGGCGTTCCTGTCAAGTACCTGGAAATTCTTCCAGGCGAGGAGGAAGACATTAAATCCGAGTACTCTCTAACTCAGCATTTGGCCAACAATCTTATAGATCTTTACATCAATTTGCCATCGAACAACAGATTCAGACGTCCTGCAAACTATATGAGTAAGGGTTATCGGACACGCCGGATGGCTGTGGACTACCAAACTCCCTTGGTGACAAATGTCAAGAATGCGAAGATCCTGATCGAAGCGATTGCCCGCCATTATGACTTGAACGTGCGTACCATCGACTATCAGACTAGTCACCGCACTATCATTCTCCCTGGACTGATTAATATTGCTGCTTTTGTACCCGACTTGATGAAACTTGGTTCTAAGGATTTTGAACTTATGACTAAGGCTTCGATTGCTGCTGGGTTCAGCATGGTGCGTGTCATGCCTGTAGGTGTTGATGCGTCTGTCACCGACGCTCGTGCCTTGAGGGTTGTCCAACAGAATGCACAGAATGCTGCCTGCGACTTCAACTTCTCCGTGGTGGCAAATTACAACAACTCGGAGCAGATTGGCCAGGTGACTGGAGAAGTGGGATCCCTCTTCATTCCTTTCAACCACCTCTCTGGAAACGTTAGCAAGGTTGCAGCTGTCACCAGCCATTTTGCCTCATGGCCTTCAACTAAGCCTATCGTCACAGACGCCAAATCGACTGATCTCGCATCGGTGTTGCTGTTGGCAAGCCTGCACAATCGCAACATCCACGTCATGAGCGTTACTTCCAAGGAGGACATTGGTCTTATTGCGCTCAGCAAGGAGAAGGGTCTGAAAGTCACTTGTGATGTTTCTATCTTTTGCCTTTTCCTTTCGAGGAGCGACTTCCCGGAATGCAGCTTTTTGCCTTCCGCTGAGGACCAGAAGGCTCTATGGGAACACCTTAGCACCATTGACGTCTTTTCTATTGGCAGTATCCCATTCCAACTTGCTGGTGACAAAGCTTCCCCAGTCGTCGGTATTGCTGAGTCCCTGCCATTGCTCTTTACTGCGGTGTCTGAAGGTCGCTTGACTGTAGACGATATCATTGCTCGGCTTTACGAGAACCCTAAGAGGATCTTTGAGCTCCATGACCAAGCAGATAGCTCGGTTGAGATTGAAATCGATCGTCCTTATCTGTACCAGAGCGCACATTCCTGGTCTCCTTTGAACGGAAAGAACGTGAGAGGCTCTGTCCAGCGTGTTGTCTTCCAAGGAAGGACCTCTTGTCTCGATGGTGAGATCATTCCTGATGCTGTTAAGGGTACGGATATGTCTGGTCACCGGATCGTGCCTGCATCGCCTTCTATCAAAGCCCTGTCGCCCATGGTTCAGGCTGACAGACGGCTATCGATTTCTGGCACGCCTATCCGGCCTGTGCGCAGGACGCTGGATCAAGTGGTAGCGCCAACTGAGCTTGGTCCGCCTTTGTACGCTCCAGTGCCTCAAGCTTCGTCTTCTCTCCTTGAGATGTTGTCGCGGTCCCCATTCAAGCAAAAGCACGTCCTTTCTGTTAAGCAGTTCACCAGAGCTGATCTGCATCTGCTTTTCACCGTGGCCCAAGAAATGCGACTTGGCGTCCAACGGCAGGGTGTTCTCGACATTTTGAAGGGCCGCGTTCTCTGCACTCTCTTCTACGAGCCGTCTACGAGGACTTCAGCCTCTTTTGATACCGCTATGCAGCGTCTGGGAGGTCGGACTGTGATCATTTCGACCGAGCAGTCGTCCACAAAGAAGGGCGAGACTTTGCAGGACACTCTCCGTACCCTTGGTTGCTACGGAGATGCAGTCGTCCTCCGACACCCTGACCCAACCAGTACTGAAACTGCTGCCAAGTTCTCACAAGTCCCAGTGATTAACGGCGGCAATGGTAGCGTTGAACACCCTACCCAAGCCTTCCTTGATCTTTTCACTATCCGTGAGGAACTAGGAACAGTCACCGGCTTGACCATCACCTTCACTGGCGATCTTCGGTACGGACGTACTGTTCACTCGCTCATCAAGCTGCTCCAGTTCTATGATGTTCGGATTCAGCTTGTGGCTCCTAAGGACTTGTCTCTGCCGGAGGACGTCCGTCAGCAAATCCGTGCCTCAGGACAGCTTGTTTTGGAGTCGGAGGAATTGACCCCTGAGATTGTCGCCCGCTCCGACGTTCTGTACTCCACTCGCGTGCAGAAGGAGCGGTTTGCCGATCTTGAGCAGTATGAGCGCCTCAAGAACAGCTTCGTCATCGACAATGCTCTCCTGAAGCATGCCAAGAGCCACATGGTTGTGATGCACCCTCTGCCTAGAAACGCGGAGATTGCCGAGGAGGTCGATTTCGATCAACGGGCGGCTTACTTCCGACAGGTTGGTTTCCCCTCCCGATTTTTGAGTTAAGTAGTCGCGTGTATGCTGACTTTGACCTCACAGATGAGATATGGCCTCTACTGCCGCATGGCTCTGCTTGCATTGATTATGGCGCCTTAGGCCATTCAAGGACTATATTACATATGAGAAGAGGGAGCCCAGAAGGCTTTGTGATATTCGTGTCACTGAAGACCACTTCGACGATGCGTTGTTTGACTTGCGTTTCTGATTTTACCGCTTTCTCCAAAAGTTATGCAGTGTCTATACATATATTGCGTAGGCTTCTCGTGAGGGAAATTAGAATGCCCATGATAGATTAGATGAATTTCCTTTTTTATGAACTCGACGACTCCGTTATGTGTTATGTATGGTTGTACAATGTATTTCCATGTGTTCTATGTGGTGTTTTTGTGGTGTATGTTTTCTATGTTGTGTGTTATGTTCGTTTGATTTTTTTTTTTTTTTTATTACCTTGTCACTTTCTTACTTTGTGCGTGGGCATCCTCTTGGGACTGGCGTTGAAATCTGGGGTTTAGGAAGGAAAAGGATGGGTTGGCTGCCTGGAAGCCTGAAACATGCGATGTCTTCGACTTTATACCCTCATATTTGATGAATAATGACATTGGATGACACTGAAGTACTTAAATTTGTCTGTTTTAATGGATACCATGTCTAATTCTGATACTACATCTCTCCCATCTTATACTGCTATCAATTTACACTTCGCGATCCATCTGGTCTCTATCTTTACTCCGACCAACACGGTATCCTATCTCATTCCCCATCACTTGATCCACGTGCCGATGGCGTGATCTCCACACGATCGGCTACTTTTGGATCAAACATCTCCCTTAGTTCTTGCATAAAACTGACATTAAAATAGAAGAATATTATAAAATACCTTTACTTTTCTTTCCCAAGAGTCCAATTCTGTCCCTATATTGTTTTTTTCCACCTATTTGGAACATACTGCATAAAGCGCCCTTGTGAAGACACGGATGTGATACATGATCACCAGCCCCTCCATTCGTCATCATGGATCCCAAATTGCTCATCAGCAACCTAACATACGCTTCATTCGGCATTGGTGCTCTCCAACTCCAGGCCTAGATAATTGTGCAGTGCGACTTGTTGGTCGCCCTAACTCGCTTGGTCCACCGATAAGGTCCTAACCCCATAAAAATCATCTTCGTATTCAGTCCTGTCGCGCGAACTGCGGGAAAGATGATGTGCTGCTTGCCATGTAGTGTGTCAGCTATCTTTTGGGAGGTTAAATAATCGGCGTGTTCCAGATGTGATCAGAGAAACATCCTTATCAACAACTGTTTGGTCCGAGTATTGTTGATACTATGGCGGAGCTGAACGAGAAGAAGGAGATGGAGTTTCCTTCCACAGAGGGAGAATTGAAGTCTGCATCTTGTGTTGCGAGTACCGTTACAGATGAACACTATGGAATTAATGAGAAAGCCCTACTACGAAAACTGGACCTCCGTTTGCTTCCGCCGTTGACGGTATTGTATCTTCTATCATTTTTGGATCGGAGCAATGGTGTGTACATAACCGTTTTCTTGTCTTGCAAGGGTTTAGACTGACTATTCTCTCGGCAGTTGGCAATGCTCGCCTGGAGGGCCTGACGACTGATATCAACATGAGTGCGCTATGCCTCCCCAATCTAAATGATAGTCACTGCCACTGATATTAGATTTTCGACATAGCTGGAAACCAGTATCTAACAGGGCTAACATTATACTTCATTGGTTATGTGCTATTTGAAATACCGTGCAACATCGTGTTGAAAAAGACAACGCCTCGAATCTGGCTTCCAACTCTCACATTGATCTGGGGTATTGTGGCAACGCTTCTCGGTGTTGTGCAGAACTACGCCGGTTACCTCACGTCACGGACAGGTATGGACTGATTATCCATCAAAAGGGCCAAATACTTATTGTATTAGGGAGCCTGTTCTTAATGGATCATGCGATCCGTTGAGACCGAAAGGCCCCAGTGAGACTTTAGCTCTTGGAATTGCTGAAAGTGGACTTTTCCCCGGAGTCGTTTTCTACTTGTCCATGTGGTATAAACGAAATGAGCGACACTATCGAGTGGCACTTTTTTTCAGCGCTGCATCTCTCGCTGGTGCTTTTGGTGGTATTCTTGCTTGGGTACGCCGCCATGGAGTAAGTTATTATATCTCACTAAAGCCATTCATAGGGTATTGGACACATGCGAGGAGTCGGGGGATATAACGGATGGAGATGGATCTTTATCCTGGTTTGTGCCAATAACAAGGCATGCCATTGCTCTTGCCAACCCGCTGACAAAGTGACCAGGAAGGGCTTGTGACAGTGGTCACGTCTGTTATTGCCTACATTTGGGTGTACAACTATCCTTCAACCGCCGAGTTTCTTTCAAAAAAAGAGCGAGAATATATTCAATTCCGCCTGAAAAACGACAACGACTCCATGCGCGACGAGAAATTCACTTGGTCGGCAGTAGCAGACGCATTCAAAGACCATAAGGTTTGGCTTTATGGGCTTGGGTTTCACACCATGTCTCTCCCGATGTATACTTTGTCTCTTTTCCTGGTGAGAGATCCCAAATGCTCTGCTCTTGTCACGCATACAATTTTAATCGAGAATAGCCAACTATCATCAAGGAGCTGGGTTACACTGCTGCGGAAGCTCAACTACTCTCGGTGCCTCCCTACGCTGTCGCATTCATATTTACCGTCACGGTTGCCATATTTTCAGAACGCACTCAGATCCGCGCGCCATTCATCATGGGATCATCGAGTCTGGCCTGCATTGGCTATATTCTCCTCCTCACCGACCACCGGCCTGGGATATCCTACCTAGGGACCATCTTTGCTGCGGCGGGTATTTACCCCGCTGTCGCTATTGTGCTTTCATGGCCGGCAAACAATGTCTCCGGACAGACTAAGCGTGCCATCGCCAATGCCATGCAGATCTCGATCGGCAATCTCGGAGCCGTTCTGGGGACCCAGCTCTATCGCACGGAGATGAGTCCTCGATATTATGTCGGACATGGATTTTCTCTGGGATATCTCCTGGCAAATATTCTGGTGGTTGGAATTCTGTGGAAGGTCCTGAAATGGGAAAACGCCGAGAAGGCTCAGGTGCGCGAGAGGGAAGGTTTACAAGCCCTGATGGGGGATATTGGTGATGTGGAGGATGATTTCCGAGGAGATAAGGATCCTCGGTGGATATTCCAGACTTAATTGAGGAGCGTAGTGTAGCAGTCTTTTGAACCAGTAAATGACACTTTGGATGAGCTATACTATGGTGATTTATATACATAATTGGGATGAGCAGCCTGAGTGAGGTAGCCTTAATAAAATGCACCACGCTAGAGTTGACTTGTATTTATTTATCCTCGTAACGCTTTTCACCGTCATTTCCCTTTACCCCCCTAGCAAAGAGATAGCACTATCACTAGAACAGGGAACTGTGGTTATTATTCCTTCTGCTCTACTTACAAGGTATAATTTTGGGTGGGGAACAGTCCAGTTAATCCTTTTTTTCTTTCTTTCTTTCTTTTTGAGAAAAGAAATGCCTATGTTTTATCATTACAGGCTTCTAACTCACTGTGCATCTTAGCAAGCCATCTAAATCCCAATATGGAACTCCCAAACTATACAGAGCATGATAAGTTTAGGGCGCCATAGCTATTACTAATTTGTATACCTTTGTAGAAAAAGAGAAAGCTTTTCTCCACAGTTGGATGCTTTCCTGACTATTATATATCCCTACTTGAGTATCTTCATTAAAGCAGCGGCATCTAGAAGGGGAAAATCGCAATAGCTCTAGAAAATTAGGTCCGTATAGGAACATATATACACTCTTATTATATCTGTTGAGTATTGACATCATCCATCAACATACAATGAGTCTTCACTCTCCCTGTGGCACCATACTTCGTCAAGTCCATATCTAGATCCTCCCCAATATCACGGAACCCGCACTTCTTGTAAACCGTATATCCTTTTGACGAAGATTCCAACCACGAGGGCAATCGAAGACGTTTGGCCTCTTCCACCCCGGCGATCAGTAACTTGGTCCCGATACCTCGACCCTGATATTCTGTATGAACCACCAAGACTTGGAGGACTATATCTATCAGCTATTACTCTTGATCAGACAGCACACCCAAACTAACAATCACATATCAAATCAAATTAATAGAAAATTAAGAAAACTACTTACTAACAGCCCCCCTCCCCGAAATCCATCTCTTCCTCTTTTGCGCCACTATACCATGATAATCCAGATACAACTGGGGGGAGATGGCCGTCGACGGCGGAGTAGCATTTCTTTTAAGATTTGCCTGTTCCCCTTTACTATGGGTCTCTCCATCCGGGTAGATAATCCACCAAGTCCAGCCGACAATGCGACCCGAGTCGCCGTCGACGGCTTTCACGAATCGCATGTTGGCGTTCTCGCGGATCATCTGCTCCAGGTCCTTCGCGAAGGGGATGGTGCCTTCCTCCGGGGGACCGTACATGAGTTTGATGAGGACGTCGTTGGCGAAGGCTTCGTTGTGGACTTCTACCATGGTGAGAGCATCTGTTGGGAGGGCGGGAAAGAGGGATATATTGTTATTGTTATTATTGTTGGGGGACATGGTTGATTGGATTGACGATTACCTTTCTGAGATAGGGACTGTTTCCTAGGATGATGGATTTTAGTCAACGATTTCGAGGGTTTATATAGGCAAGAAGAGTGAGGCCGTTTACCTTCCTAATTGGGACGCCGATGAAGCTAGTGTTGGTTCGGGTTACCTTGCAACGTGATGGCTGTTGATTGGTATATGGAGATGTAAGGATGCACCAATTCCATGGCTTGTCTTGTCCTGAACTGAATGGCTTGTGGTACGTCGTGGATTGAATAGGTGATGATTAAAGATGAAATTGAATGATTGGTAAACCACTGTATAGAACTAAATTAATATAATAAACTCAGAGTTAGTGTCCCTGCAGTAGAAGTGCATCATGCAGGATCCCTGACCCCACCTTTCATACAACGGGGACATATATCCATACGGGGACTTTCTGACCAGTTCGGAGGATATTCACTGACAGTCCGCACCAATGGCGAAGATTCACCTCCCCTTTCTCTTTCTTTCCATCTACTACTCCCTCACCATCCTCACTTTTCAACCGTCTTTTCTACAGAAAACAACTGCAAAATGCCATCCTACTACATCCTCAAACCCATAGTTATGCTGCTCCGTTTCCTGAGAAAACTCCTCCCAGCCATCAAGTCCGCCCCGGACGAAATCAGACAGATTCCATCTCGCGAACCCAACCGCACCATCAAGCTACACATCTACCATCCCCCCGATAAAACAGACCCCCAACCAACTCCCGTACTCATCACCTTCTGCGGCAGCGGCTTCGTCATGCCCGGCCACGGCCTCGATGACGCCTACTGCCAACAAATCAGCCGCGAAGCATCCCACACCGTCATCGACGTGCAGTACCGTCTGGCCCCAGAACACCCATGTCCCGCCGCATTGCACGACGCAGCCGACGTACTGGCGTGGGTGCAATCCCACCCAGAACTGTACGACCCCTCACGTATCAGTATCGGCGGGTTCAGCGCGGGGGCTACCATCGCCATATCAACCGCGGCACATACCCCATCGGGAGTCTTGCATGCGTTGATCGCGTTCTACCCCGCCTGCGACATGAGCATTAGCCCGTATAAGAAGAAAGCGCCTGATCAGTCGGGAACACCCCTGCCGCCTTGGTTGCTTGCGTTATTTCGGGCTTGCTATCTGCGAGGGGGCGTGAGTCCCGATGATGCTAGGGTGTCCCCTGTGCGTGCAGAACCGGGTGTCTATCCGAAGAAATGTCTGTTTGTTACTGCCGCGCAGTGTAATATGGCGGTGGAGGCGGAGGACCTGGCAAACAGGATTGGCGAGGTCGAAGGAAAGGAGGTCGTGGTGCAGCGGTTTGAGGGGTGTGGACATGCTTGGGATAAGGTTGCCAAGGTGGGCACTAAGAATTGGGATAAGAAGGTTAGGGCGTATGGGATGGTCGTGGAGTTGTTGCGTTCTTAATCTTCTTGAATTCTTCCCCCTCCACCCCCTTTGGGTTGGGTTGTTGTTCTACCGCAGGAACGGGATAGTAGAGGCGTTGAAAGTTGTATTCAGTCTAATCAGACAGTAATTAACACAGTAATGAACAGGCGCTTTAATGCAGATCATCTTTCCTGTACAGAAACCATCAGAATCAGCTAATACTGACCGTTCCGACTCAGGCACTCTCAGGCCAGTACTTCTGTATAATTGTTTTCTTGTTTACTTTCCCCATTGCGTTGCGTTCGATCCCGTCGACGACCTTCAACACCGTCGGGATCTTGTACGGTGCCATCTCCTGTTTGAGTTGCGTGCGTAGCGTCTGGAGGCCTAGGGGCTCGGTCTGTATTAACAGTTAGTTTTGTATTTCTTCTTTTTTTGTATAGAGAGATAGAACTCACTCCTTCGCGTTGCTTCACAACTGCAGCCACGCGCTGTCCCCATTCCTCATCAGCCAGTCCCACTACAGCAACCTCCTGGATGGCATCCAGTCCCAACAATTTACGCTCCACTTCCAGCGCAGAAATCTTATATCCGCCTGATTTGATCAAGTCGACGGAAGCCCGACCCTGAATAAAATAGGCACCGGAGGCGTCGCGCCTTGCTACATCCCCCGTCTTGAACCATCCGTCCTCGGTGAACTCCTTGGCCGTGGCCTCGGGTCGACCCCAATATTCCCGGAAGACATTATCACCCTTGATCTCGATCATACCGTCCTCATCCACCGACTCGATCACCTGTCCGGTCTCCTTGTCCGTCAATCGCACCTGAACCCCCGGCAGAGGCCAGCCGACGCTGCCGTCGATGCGTTTCTCCAACTCCAGCCCGCAGCTGATCCCCATTCCGATCTCGGTCATTCCGTATCGTTCCAGCAGGGTCTGGCCCGTGATGGCAGCAAACTTGGACTTAATGGGGGTGGGGAGCGCTGCGGAGCCACTGACGACGAGTCGGAGCGCGTTGGCGCCGCTCCTGGCGGCATTCTCATTCACCGTGCCGTGAATGTTGGCCTCGTAGTAGTCGACAAGACGCGAGTAGATGGTCGGCACGGCCATGAACATGGTCGATGATCCTTTATCCTGCCATCGGTCCCATATCACCTTGGGGTCGAACTTGGGGTGCATTTCGACGGTCACGCCGCTGATCAGACTCGCAGCGAGGCCGTTGATGATGCCGTGTATGTGGTGCAGAGGGAGAACGTGGATGAGGTGGTCGGAGGGGCCGTACTCCCACGCTTTGACCAGGCATTTCGCCTGGAACGTGATGGTTTTATGGGTGGTGACGCATCCCTTGGGATTGGAGGTCGTGCCGGATGTGTAGATCATGAGGGCGCGTCGGTCCATGAAGCAGGCCGGGCTGAAGGGAGGCAGCGTTATGGATTGGGGGGTTTCGGCTTGTGTGAAGGGGGTAAGCGACATGAATGGTATGTCTTTGGAGATTCCATCGCGCAACTGTTGGTCGAATTTGTCGAATGATGGGTGTAGAATAACCAGGGAGGGATCCGAATCGCCGATCGTGTAGAGCAATTCAGGGACGGGGTGTGTGGTGCCTTGAATGAGAGGCCCGGGGTTAGCGATGAGTCGGGAGACAAACAGGGTCGGCAACATACAGAGCGGAACACACACTCCCCCGGCGGCCCAGACGGCCCATTGGGTGGCCACGTAGTCATATCCATTGGGAACGAGAAACGCAACGCGCCGTTCGGCTAGATCCGCGGTCTCGGTGAGCTTCAATCTCTCTAGAATCTGCTTCTTCAGCGCGGACGCGTCGGCCAGTAGCTGTCCGAACGTGAAGCGCTGTCCTTTGGTGGCATCGACGATGGCGACCTTCTCGGGATAATCCTGCGCGATTCTCCTTGCCTCGGCAAATATGGGGAGTGAGGGGATCGCCATCAACGACAGGAGGTGATCCGACCTGTTGGATTTGCGATTGCGCAGTAGGTTGGATGTGAGCAAGGGGACGGTGACGAGAGCGGCGAGACTCAGCGCGGACATCCAGGCAACATATTGGCGGTTGGTTTGGGCGGACACAACGGCCATGACGGAGGGGGATGGAAAGTTGGGAAAGAGTTGGGATGAAGGAGTGGAATGAAATGGATTCGATCAGGAGGAGAGAAAGGTGTCAGAATCACCATGAATTAATTCTTGGTCAACCAGTTAGCGACGAACCCACCAAGCTGATGAGGGAGAAGATTGGCGGTAATGAAATTAGGTATACGAGTTGCACCTCGTATGACATCAATTACCTTATGAGTGACAATAACCGTGGAATGATCTCCATCAGGTGTATTCCGTTCCCTTGCCCTTCCACAGAACTGTAATATTGTTCTCAGACATAGGGCTGTGCATGCAGTCATACTCCTGAGCCAGGGGAAGAATACGTGGATGAATGATACGAAAGTGAATGATGGATCTGCTAATAACCTTGGTTTCAGGGATGCCAAGAAAATATATAAAGAATCCAACTAACATAAAATATCCAAGCACCAGAAATACTAATTTATTAAAGTTTAGAAAAAAAAGGACATCCCGATTAGCGGACAACCTTTCGATCTAAACAGAATAAATGCAACTGTTTTGATTCTCTACAGCTGTATACTGCCATTCTCGACACCTAGGATGTGAGATACATTCATATAATTGAAAATTAACATAACCGTAAACTATAGTCTACATGCTCCTGCGTTCTCAACAAATCCGGGGATCGCAAATCCGAAGTGACTCTGACCCCACGCCTCTACTTCTCCCCGCATTGAATTCTCCCAACAATATTCTTTCTCCAGCTCTTTTCTTCTTATTCGAGAATAATCAACATACCTTTTTAAGTTTCTAAGCAATGTATCACCCAAAAAGGACCAGGACTGCCGAATCAGGTGCCTGTTCGCATTGCGTCGAGCAGAAAGAGCGTTGCTACATCGGGGTTAGAGGGATTCCCTGCTCCAATTGTTCCCGGTTGAATCTCCCATGCGATGGCACCGCGACCCATGAGTGAGTCTCACAGTGTCTCCATTCACGCAGATGCCCACAAAATCATAGACATAGTAGTTGGTTGACATGTAGCAGAGTCCAGGCTAAAAGGCGCCTCCCCTCTTGGACTTATTGTACTGGTTGGTGGGAAATCTGCTTCTCCCCCTCAGTTTTAGCTGCTTACGCCCCATCGTAGAGGGGATTTTCGCGGCCCAGATCCGTCGAATGGAACAGAGAGAGTTGCCTCGAAATAGCTCCATCCCGGCCGTGGCAGCAACGGAACCCCTGGACAACTATATCTCAATCGTCCATCAGCTTCTTGGCCCCCAACCCTTGAGCCTACCCGTCTCGATCAATGTCCCGGATTACGTGTCAGGCCTTCCGAATCGTCTGGAGTCGGGTGACCTCCAGTATCTCGAAAACAAGGGGGCTTTGTGTCTTCCTACCGCCAGATTTCGCACGGAACTGCTGAAGAGCTACATCTTATGGGTTCATCCGCAGGTACCTATTTTGCACCTGGAGTCTTTCCTGTGTACGATCGCCAAGAATGATGGCAGCAATAGTATCAGCCTTCTATTATTTCATGCGGTTATGTTTGCTGCCTCTATGTTTGTGGATATCTCGCATATCCACGACGAGGGGTACACGTCGCGCCAGGCAGCTCGCGACGTATTATTTCAACGGGTAAAGGTACGGCTCCCAGCTCTGAAGGTCAATGCCGTATCATTCGTGCATCTAGAGCTGATTACTTAGACTCTCCTAGAACTCCATTGCGAAGACGACCGTCTTTCGACGGTCCAGGCATTACTCTTGCTGATCCATTGGAATGACCTACCCGATGCTGAAAAAGACACCAGACACTGGATGGGTATATGTCTATCGCTGGCGATGTCAATCGGTCTTCATCGTAACCCCGACAGTACCGCTCTAACCCCATCCCAGCGACAGACATGGAGGCGTACATGGTGGAGCGTGTACAATTATGCCCAGCTGACGGCGCATGATTTACTTGCCATGATGCGCATAAAAGAGAATTGTGATGAAAGTCAGCTGTTTGACACGACTATGATCAATCTGGATGACTTCCAGTTCAGTGTATCCTCTCCCGAAGCACGGGCTGTTGTCGACTACTGTGAAGTTATTTGTACGATCGAGTATCAAGTGATACAGGCACAGGTTTTCATCGAAAAGACCAGACTCTGTCAACTGTCGCAGTTCTCACGAGTGTCCAGCCAAGTGAGCAATCTAGTGCATGAAACCAACGGACCTGACGACAAGGTATCTTCCACGAACCCCATTCCGCATCCAGACGAGGCAGAAAAGCTACAGAAATGGCAGCTTCAGCTACCATCTGCCGCTCAGCTTCAGTACCCAGCGGTGATGACCCCTACAGAATGGGAACGAAGCATCTACTTGCATCGGACCTGGCTGCGACTGCTCTACCTGGGATCGGTATACGCAGTGAGCTGCGACATATCTCCGATAGATCAGTGCATTTCTGAAATTACCGATCTCTTCGATGAAATCCACAGTCTGGATTTATCCCAGAACCTTCCATGTTCTTCGACGGTCCTGCTCATTCTGGTGCTAACCTACCACCGACGTGCTCTTGACACGGGAACGGCACGAGTGCAGGCTCTGAGCGCCCGTACAATACATAAATGCTGGAACATGATTCAAAGGATAGGGGAGACGTCTGAACTGGCGACTCGCATAATCGCAGTTAGGGATGCCGCGCGCGATTCTGTGTGGGAACGTCTCTTGAGATTGCTGTCAATAGGGATAAACGCACAGGACGGCATCGATCAAATTGATGATAAAAGTTCGAATAGCCCAAGTTGTAGCAAATAATGCAAATAAATGCTCCATATGGAAATACCTAGAACGTAGCATGAATCCCCTCAAATAATCACGAATCTTATAGTCCAATCTTAATGTGAACATCGTAAACACAATCTTAATAGGAAATGAATGGGAATGAGCTCCTAATAATAGGATCTTGATGCAACCAAGCCAATAGCCTGCACAGTACCTCAGCATAGCTAGAGTCAAACAAAAACCAACGCAACAGGAACATGCCCGCCACCCGAAGCTCCTGTACCTCATTAGATTCCAATGATCACCGATCTTACACCGTTAATCCTCAAACCTAACACGACAGTGCGACGTAGCAGAAAAACCGAGACCATAAAAATCAGTTCCAGTCTGGAGTCCTTCTCCCTTGATATGAGTCTGATCACCATTGGTACAGTGACACTCATTATGCAGATTTACCACTCAGCATCCTATGAGACAACCGTGGCTTCACTTCACCGATCTTATGAGGAGATAAAACCCATTCATGCTTGTAGAAATTTACTTCTTTAGAAAGAGGTGCGATTGTTAAGAGGGAGGGAGGAGAAAGAAGGCATTAAGAATAAAGGAAGCTATGAGACTGCGGGCATAGTGGAAGCCGTAAATTGAATCACAGGCCCATATCATTGTATCGCATCCTCTGAAGTTGATTTAGGTCCCAAGATTCATTCAGATTATTTTTGAGTTGTCATTGTGGTATGGTAGATTTGGTCTATGTGCAGACAAGCTATATATGTTAAGGATTAAACCCTTTATTCCTATATAGGGCGCTAGTAGCAATTGATCTTTCGATCAGTTGTCTTTGTATCTTTTATGGTGGAATGGTTTTACCTCTAGGCTAGTGCCTAGAGACGGCCGACCAGATTGTAACAGAAATACAGACAATAAGTAATTATACTTATACATCAATTATACGAAAAGTTGGGTGATTTAGATTCATCTATAGTGCGTATAAAAACTTGAACAGGGCTCGGGGGTTTTATACCAGACCCTCGGGTCCTAAAAATGCAAACCCGAGCTAACCGCGCTGGCCTTGTGCTTAATACATGGATGGCTCTAGATAAGCTTGTTCCCGGCAAAAAACTTTGTTATCCCAAAAACAAGACAAGCATAACTCTGTTTATGCACAACCTGAGCTGCTACTTATCCCACTTTCTTGTTCCACCAGCCAATCACATATTTGACTCTTATTTTCCGGAACATGGGTCAGCTGATTGGCTCTTTGTGGACACGTGCCCTAAAACAGGCTTCTGAGTGCCTATATTTCAGAGATAACTAGTGGCTAATTAAAGACTTCGGCCCCTTTTTAGTCCAGTGGATTTATATTAATTCTAAGACAGCATTGCAATTATGCCTGCCTTTACTGGCTTGTCCGTGGGTGATCTTCCATTACTAGATAGATTGCATGTATAGCGTAGGCAGTAGTAATGACTCTATCTTCGCTTCTGCTTCGTAGGAACGTGGTAGAAATGTCCACAATAATAGGTCGAGTGCCAGACCGTCAGAATGATAGATAACAAGACATATATATACCCATGTACACCGTTACTTAGGACTATTCCCATAGTAAAGTCTCTTCATTCAGTCAGTCTTTTATTCTTTCTTTTTTGTTTTTCGTTTTCTTTTGCCCTTCTTAAAGTTAATTCTAGTCCCCTATTAGGGCTCAAACATAGTTGGAGATTTTTGCTATGGTCTATCCCTTCGTTCTTTTCGTTCTCCCACTCATCAAGGGTACACTGGCTGCTGTGGAATATCCACCGTTGCCGAAGGACTTGACAACTCCTTACCAGCAACGGCTGGCAATAAACGGACCCAATGGTGAGACTTGAGCGTTCGTCTTCTTCTACAGTAGCAGATTGGCTAACAACCTGGCTTGTAATGCTCACAGCCGTCTCGGTGGGATGGAATACCTACGGCACACTTAGCCAGAGCTGTGTAAAGTATGGTATTTCTGCCGACAATCTCAGCACTCAGGCCTGCTCGACTTCCTCCTCAACATACGACAGCTCTCGGACATATTCTCACACCGTCGTCTTGACCGAATTGAAGCCGGCGACTATCTACTACTACAAGATCGTATCGACTAACTCCAGTGTGGTGGATTTCCTAAGCCCTCGATCTCCGGGAGATCAAACCCCATTCAACTTCGACGTGGTTATAGACCTGGGTGTCTATGGGCGAGATGGATTTACTGTTTCTGATTCCACGAAGAGGGATATAGCCGTCGACCCGGAGCTGAACCACACGACGATTAGTCGTCTAGCAACCACAGAGAATGACTATGAATTTATAATCCATCCGGGAGACTTTGCATATTCAGATGACTGGTTTTTAAGACCCCACAACATTCTGCATGGTAAGGATGCCTATCAGTCCATTCTAGAGCAGTTCTATAACCAGCTTGCTCCTATTTCGAGCCGCTTCCCGTACATGGCAAGCCCAGGCAACCACGAAGCTGCCTGTGGTGAGGTTCCCTTCATAACAGGGCTGTGTCCAGACGGACAGCGCAACTTCACCGATTTCATGCATCGTTTCGCCGATATGATGCCAACGGCATTTCCCTCTAACTCGGCCGACAAGGAAGCACAGATGCAGGCTGAGAAGGCCCGTAGTCTGGCCAAACCACCGTTCTGGTACTCATTCGAGTATGGTATGGTGCACATTGCAATGATCGATACCGAGACAGACTTCCCGGAGGCGCCAGATGGGCAGCATGGGTCGGCTGGTCTAAACGGCGGCCCATTTGGCTCGCCCAACCAACAGCTGGATTTCCTCGAGGCCGATCTCGCGAGCGTCAACCGCACGTTGACTCCCTGGGTGATTGTGGCCGGACACCGTCCCTGGTACACCACCGGATCAGGCCCTTGCAAACCATGCCGGGAGGCGTTTGAGCATATCTTCTACCGGTATGGGGTAGATCTCGGCATCTTCGGCCACGTACATAATTCACAGCGTTTCCTCCCCGTCGTTAACGACACCGCGGATCCGAAAGGCATGAAGGACCCGAAGTCACCTATGTATATTATTGCGGGAGGTGCTGGCAACATCGAGGGCCTTTCCCGCGTGGGAAGCAAGCCTTCGTTTACCGAGTTTGCCTATGACGACGATTTCAGCTACGCGACGATCAAGATTTTGGATAGGAATAACCTACAGGTCGACTTTATACGATCCTCTACCGGGGATGTTCTTGACTCAAGCACCTTGTATAAGAGCCACGATACCTCGTTCGTGGTGCAGTGAGGTGATACCTACCACCTCATTGATATAATTGTCAGATTGTATCTGATATATATTGGCCCGTTGGAGTATCCTAATACTTCTCCCTACTTTAAAATTGGATAAATTCTGGGCTGGGCCATGTAATATATAGATCGTTTGCTTACAGAGGCAAATTTTGCATATCATACTCACTGTTAATAGAGCGTTTACCAATATAGTTTGCAACTGTTACCTGAAAAGTGCTGCTAGGGCAGACTTAGTTAATATACAAAATTGTTGCCTTAATTTTTTGATCCATGTACCATACATGACAGTGTTTAATTCCTTCTCATGTAGGGGACTACAGTAAAATTGATACAAGTCACAATTCCTAGAAACTAAGGTGCTTTACATAGTAAGCGATGGAAAGCCTACCACAGTTTCTCAAAAATGATTAAACTATATTGTAGAGTATATTTGTTCTACCATATTATTCATAGGGTTGCAGAGAACAGATCTGGGACTTTATAGTATTGCCATGCTATGATTTCACTAGCAAACTTCTGTGTTAAACATGTCCATAATCCTAGATACTATTTATGTCCTTTCTCCCAACTCGTTCCATTGACCCCTGCATCGATAGCACTACTTACCCATAAGCAGTGCCATCAGCCACCTGTGCACTTCCCTATCATGCATCATGCACTTCCGTCTTAAATTACTTGACCACGTGCTGCGACTTCAAAGTAGCTGGTTTCCTCTTCCCGCTATACATAGCTCTTATCCAATGGTTCCAAAAGGTGAATAATAGTGAATAATTTATCTGCTTGCACATAGTTGGCATATAATTCTGAATTATTTAATAAATCATATTATGAACCACATACTTTAATATCCTATGGCTGTGATAAATTGTATGATAGACGGTATTACTTCCAGTGACTTTAACGAGCAGGATAATAGGATCACACGGGGACATGTACCCCGAATGATCATTTACAGTTTTGATAGGTGAGAAAGGGTCTGAGTATGTTCTGCGCGAAACCCTCTAGTAGATGTACATAGACTGTAAACGGACGTTCTAATTGGGTGCTGTGTTAGAATGAGCATACTAGTACAGTACATCTGTGTAGTAATATGAACCTCCTTTGTATGTACATAGTACATACATTGGTGATCCATCTAGAATAATTAACGGGGGATTCTTTCTCTATCTCTTGAATATTTGTTTTATAATTTAACCTATTAGATCAGTACGCTAGATTTGTTATTATATTCTTATTAAACACCCGCAATAAGCTAAATTGTGATAGCTATTTGTCTAGTTTCACATATAGCTATCACCCTATCTACTTAAAAGATACCCAGATTAGAACATCTCTATTAGGTCCCAGCATGAATTAATGCCCTTTCTATCTGTAGCCATTGCATACCTAGCGAAATATGATCACAAATCCCCCAGACACTTATAGACCACCTTCATAGCTGCTAGCAACTCCTCATCCTTCACCACAAGAGATAGCCCTAGTCTAGACGCCAACATGGCAGTCATTTCTATGTATATTCCATTCTCAGCAATGGCATCACAGCACATTCCTATAAAACTAGCATCAGTACCCGCCCCATCACCGACAAGTGAAACCATCGCAAATCCAGTCTTAACCTCGACCGGACCCAGGTTGGCTTGACGTATCTCCTCACAGGCTTTTCGTAGCGAGCTCATGTGCCCTGCCATTGCTGAAGGTGATGCGTCCAATTGAGGTGATTCATGTAATGCGAGAGTGACATTACTCATGGATGTATTCGTAAGAAATGTGGAAAGAGAATGGTGACTAAGGATGGTAAAAATTCTTCGCAAAAACACATGGGATGGATGGTTTTTGTTTGAGGTAATACTCAGTAGTGTGACTTGGCGTGTTATAGTGATGGATTTGCGTTTTTGAGATAGATGGTTGTGTAGGATCTTGGAGCTGGTGGGCTCTTTTGCTCGCAGAAAGGATTGTGGATTTCCCGTGAGGAATGGATTCATGAGCTTAATAAACTCTTGATATATGATACTGTTGAACAGGTAAATCATTGAAGTAATATTTTGTTGTGAAAAATAGCGATCGGAATATGTATTCGGCTGATGGAAATCGAATTGGTTGTATTCTCAGTATTCGCTCTCGGTGGCATGAAAATTGCTGTCCTGATGATTAGGGAAATCTATAATTTGCTCCATATCATGAATATAGGCCATGTAGTATCGGATGCCAATGAAGAAATTGTGCAGATATATTTAAGAATATCCCGCAGTAAGGTATTGTCTGCTTTGCTTTGTGGACAACCTCTTTATTGCAACTGCGGAAATGAGTCATTACAGATTCTTTATCGGAGCTTCATGTCTATGTTCATCTAGCTCACATTATTAACCTGTCCCTATAAAATACCACTAGCACTGGAGACAGGAGCAGTTCATAATATCTTGCACCATCAAGCCAACAATATAAGTCGCTGAGTTGTGGTGCATTTATGTTTCATCCCTGGGAAATGAGACAATCCCGGCCGACAATGACGTGCTCGACGCTCGGATTTCGCTCGGTCTTGGATTCCGCGTTTAACCTGCTCACCCTCCGCTATGCTACATTCAGAAACATGGGGAATTATAATTACTTGTTGCACAATAACTAGGCCATGGTTAAAGATACCATTGACTGGTAGTTGTCAGTGGCTACGTAGCCCTTTTCAATTAATTTTATACCATCCAGTCATAACACCATGTCCATAGGTTTGACAGACGCTCACGCTGTGGCATTATCCCTGTCATAGGGTACTGGGCTCCATCAATTCTCTACGAAACATGCTACTGTCCTATTCACTAGATGACTCTGCGATGGCGACATTTACACTTAGAATTAAACTCGCACAGGGACTAGAACGCATATTTCAGCAACTGCATGATCAAAAAGGGGGTTCAGTCTTCGAGACATAATCCCTCATCAGAGTTCTTTAAAATCTATGTAGGACCGCGAAGAGAAGCTTTTTAGTTTTTATTTCCAAGTGTCTACTCACAAGAGGAGCAAAGTATGTCTACCATGTAAGAGGCAGCCAATACTTCCGCCATCCTTCCTCGATATCAGCTTCTCTAAACTTGTCAATACCACCAGACACGCCATACTTGACTTCCTAATCGCCACGCTCTACCCGTTCGGCCCAGCTTACCAAAACTTTGTGGAGCTGCACATCTCGGAAATCGAAGAATCCGCTAAATCCAGTTTGATAGAGATTGTCGTTCACACCTCGTGGTTTCGCCTCATCAGAAGAGGCATCAATGCCCATTCCTTCATTATCACACTCAGTCGAGCCCAGCCGTTTGGTCCCAACTTAAATGGAAGGATCAGACGACAGCTGTATTCAACGTGGTGTTAATCCATTACTGCTTCTTAAATAAAGACCTGTTAGAATACGGATGTCTTTATGACTTTCTGTATCCGGATAGTCCAGCCGACTCCGTTCGACGGCGGGGTGTTGGTTAGCTTTGCGATCCATTTTGGACCCAATCGCACAATAATGGATAATTGTGTCCTATCCGAGGAGGGATGCAGCTGACGCTGGAGAGAATCTGCCCTTTCCTAATAGTAGACGTGCCAAGATGGCTATATTAGCCTCCTATGAGTCAGATTGGCCTGTGGGAGGTTTAAATGCAAAGATTGTTTAATGGATGTTTACATTGTACCTAGCAGGGTAGATATCCACGCACTAAGCTACTCCTACCAGCCAGATAGAAAATTATTTTTCACTCACCTGCTGTCTGTACTGATACAAACTAGCAGGAATGCGAAAACTTGGCATGTCAAGCCGCCTTCGGCCACCTTACCTTAATAAAGGAGTATTTTCCGAGCCCTACTGTCAGCTGCCGGAAAAGCTGGAACCTTTCCGGGATCGGACGGTGGAGCTAAAGGCGAGATATAATAGAGCCGTCCGTGAACTATACAACGAAAGCAGCGACAGCGGAGCCAGCGAATCCTGAGCGGTATAAGAACGAGCGGCAAGTGATTAACCTTGAGCTGCAGTCAACAGGGAAACTGGTGGATACCAAGGTCATAGAGACCCTAGAGCACAAGGGATTCATGCCTCCACAGCATGTGATAGTAATTAACACAATACTAACAATGCCGAGTGCCACTCTTGAAGCGGAGTATGGGCGCCGCATCAACACGGTTAATGCAGTGGCTGCGTTCTGCAGCGTGTCGACTGACCCAATCTCGCCGTCGACCTGTACCCAACGATAACACTTTTTATCCTCCTGCTAAACGGCAACTGCACTCAGTGGACGAGATTGTGATTATTCTGCGTCAAGCAATGGAATCCGTGCGGATTCATTCTCCAGAACACCGACCCACGAAATACTTTCTCTGTATCAATCCTTCGAATCTCTCACTGGAGGACCGGGTGATGGAATTCGCAAACACCCGGTTCACTCACAAGGCATTTTCTACGAAAACATGTTAACACTCCTTGGCCGGCCCTAAGGGGTTGAGTGTAGTGTTTGTGGGTGGGAGTTGCTCCAACAGAAAGTTAATCTTTAAACCGTACGGAGGCTGCCCACGGAACAGTTGTCTGAGGCTGCGCTCAGAAAAGGCTCGCATTGCGATATCAATACACTGAGCTGGCCCCGTGTCATAATACTAGATTCTAGACCGATCATCAATGGAGTGATTTGGAGAGGATCTGTTACAACAAAGGACGGGTTGTTCGAGGCTTAATAGCTTGAATAATGTCGAGCTAAGCAGGAAGTAATAGGGAAACGAAACGCATGGACTGTCTAAGGATGAAGGGGGAGTCTCCTCCTAACGGCTACTTTTACCGTTCTAAAGACCAACGGAATATGTGGATTCAATAGTAAATATATCCATCTCCCATGGGCGGGTTTTGTCAAGGGCTGGCCTAATAAGGTGGAAGTGACGCTGTGTACTGACTATCTTGCCGTAGGTATCTCTTGTATACATTTTTTGGTTCGCCAAACTCAAGCAGGATGGCTATCACCTCCAGCGAAATATTATATCAGTTGCATATATTCAAACACTCAATTCAATATAATAAATCAGCCAGGCATATGGTGGTTATTTGTTCTGACGTCACCGTACTTGGCGCCCAGAGAGAACACTGAAGTTTTGGTCTACGCCCTATATTTGACAAGTCATACTGAACACACGTCCAAGTTTTCTGCGAATTCTCAGAGTATAGCCACTTACATATTTTCGATCATCAATAGACACGGAAAATGAACGACAAGGCGCGGAAAGTTCGACACCAGCTCTTGCAGTTTTACATGAAAGAATGCCGACCTCCTACGGTCGACGAGTTGGCGGCAGAGTCGGGCCTCAATGCGTCGGATATTCATCAGATTCTTGACCAACTTGAGGAACTGCATCATATTGTGAAATACAAGCATGAATCACGCTCTCCAACCCCCATTGCCATGGCTCATCCATTTTCCCATCTGTAAGTCGAGTCGCCTTTATAAAGACCTTCGGAAAGTCCACTGCTAATATGACGTCAGACCAACACCCTTTGTAGTGGTAAGTATTCCTATTCCCAATATTAAAGTGTCTTACTCACAAGAATCCCAGTCCCAGGGAAGTAGGAAATGGTGGGCAAACTGCATGTGGTGTGCAATGGGCCTCGCAGCAATGCTATCCCCACTGGAAACGACCATTACAGTTCGTTCTGGTTCTATCGGCACTGAACTGCAGTTCACTATTCGGGATGACCAAGTTGCCTGTACAGGAGATGGTGACAAGATCGATGTAAAGAACTGCCATGCCCATTTTTCTATCCCACCTGTTAAATGGTGGAAAGATGTGCGCTTTGCCTGTGGAACGATTCAGATTTTTCCATCCAAACAGGAGGCGTTGGAGTGGCCCAAGAAATATGGTTTCTACACTGGGGAGATTATGACTCTGGAAAATTTGTGGCTTTTGTCCAAGGTAGGTGCTGATGGTGATAAAAATGGACAGATGAGCTGACATGAGTAGGCGTGGTATCACGACAAGCATACTTATGAGTATGAAAGGAAGACTCCAGCAGAGGTTGAGACCCTGTTTAACCAGCTGGGGATGTCGTCGGAGTTCTGGAAGTCTAGATAATACTAGATTCTTTAAGACACTTTCAGTAAGATGCTGCTTATGGTTTTAGTCTCAGTACATGAGAGCTGCGGAGAAGGCAATATTCTTTAACTAGCTGATAAGAGTATCTTTCACAGCTTTAGAGAGCCACTGCTGAATTCCTGCCGATATATCGAAACTTGCCCTATTAAATTCTGACTCTTGCTATAGATACATAGATAAAGACCAAACTAATCGAGTCTCTGATAGCTCTTTGAACATAAAAAATCTAAAATATAGACAAATCCAGAAAGTCTATGAATCTGCCTTAACTCCATCCAACAACTTAGCAACAATCCTGCTCTTCCCAGCAACCAAAGCCCCAATATCCTCAAAAGTGGAATTCCCCAGAACCTCGAAAACAGCCACCTCTGCTTCCAGCTTCCATTTGAACCAATTCCTCAGCTCTACTGCCACCAGCGAATCAACCCCGTACAGGTGAATTGCCTTGGACGAATCCAGATTTTCCAGCGGAACACCCAGCGCTTTGCTAAGCCGATGCATAAGACAAGTAGCAATGATATCAGCTGCACCATCGAGAGTACGAATGCCCACCAACTCCTTGACCACGTCCGCAACGGCGTCTTCCTGCACCGTCGAGTCAGAGTCGTGGATATTCCAAGTTCCCCGAAACATAGGTCGAGTCATGAAATTCGGGACTTCTGCGCCGCTGGCTTTAATTTTGGACGGGATATCGATGCCCACGATGACCTGCGATTTGAGGGGAGTGACTGGGATTCCTAAGTCCGGGTTACAGTGGTGTTCGAGCAGAGCGAACATGTCCTTCTGTCTAATTCCGAGTAGATACCCCGTCCCGAGGAGGGCTGTTTTCACTGCGTCATTGTCACGTAACGTCCCGTCGTCCACCATGACGCCGAGATTCAACGTGGTTGCTCTTTCGCCGATCGAGTTGCGGTAGTGAGTGAGTGCGTCCTGATATGCGCATGCGGACGAGTAGTTCACTGATGCCGTACCACCGACTCCACCAGCTACAGAGGAGAACATAATGAAGAAGTCCATTCCTGTCGGGAGGAGCCGATGCAGGTTCCATGTCCCAGAGACTTTGCAGTCGACGGTATCTGTCCAGTCTTGATAGGTCATGTTTCCGAAGATTTTGTTCTGGCCATTCGTTAGTATTGGGTTGGAGATCTCTAGTGTGATGGAGAGAACATACCCTAAGAACCATGGCGGATTGGATGCAGCCCTTGATAGGAGGCATCGTGGTGCTGATCTCATCGATAACGTCCTTCACCGAATTGAACTGCGCAATATTGCACAGTGGCACCTCCACTCGTGTCCCTTGTTTCCGAAGGCTATCGACCAGCTCTCGCGCCTCATCGTTGGAAATACCCGAACGTGACAGCAGGACGAGATTCTTAGCGCCGCGAGCGGCCATCCAGCGTGCTGTGCTTCGCCCAATGCCACCGAGTCCTCCAGCGATTATGTACGTAGCGTGGTCGTTGAATTTCCACGTGCGCTGGAGTTTCAGGTTCGTCTAGAACAGTCAGCAAAGCTACTGGCTGGCGTGGGCTTTCTCCTACCTTAACAATGTCGTCCCGTCTTATCTCAATCACAGTCTTTCCTGTGTTTTTTCCACCCTGGAGATACCTAAACGCTTTTTCTATCTCACCCACCCCATAAACATGGACCGGTTGAGGCGGGGAGATTTTGCCTTCCGCAAGCAACGAGGTGATATTATTTCGTAGTTCCTGAAGCAGTACGGGATGGTACTTCCTCGCCTCGTTGAGGTCAATAGCATGGAACGACGCGTTTCTAGAAAATGGACGCATTGGAAGCTGGCCGTTCGAGAGGATATCCTTCTTTCCGAGTTCGAGGAACCGACCAAATGGTGCAATACACTGCCAACTTTCGACTAGCAAGTCCCCGCTGAGCGAGTTGAGGACGACATCCACTCCTCTGTTAGTGGTCATCCGCTCTATCCCCTTGACGAAGGATGTGTTTCGGCTGTCGAAGATGTGGTCTTCATGAATTTGGTATGTGTTCATGAGTAGCGATTTCTTCTCGTCGGAGCCCACGGTTACGAATATCTCGGCGTCGAACATCTTCGCCACCTGGATAGCCGCCTGTCCAGTTCCGCCAGCTGCGGAGTGGATAAGAATTGACTCTCCTTTCTGGATGTGGGCGACATGGACCAGGGCATAGAAAGCAGTGGTGAAAACGACCGGTAGTGCTGCAGCGTCAACAAAGCTCATGGAGCTGGGGATAAGAATTGCATCGCTTGCCTTGCAGCGAGTATAAGTCTGATAGGAGCCAATGGCACTGGCACAGACCCGATCACCAATTTTCATGTTCCGTACCTCATGGCCCATCTGGCTGACTGTGCCAGAGCATTCGAATCCAAAACTGTTCCCAGGGATACGACCCAAAGCAATAAGACAATCGCGGAAGTTGACACCGCTAGCTTCGACGTTGATCATGATCTCATCGGGCGCCAGCGCCAATTGTACTGCTTCGTCTTCCACAAACTCCAGGGAATCCAGCAGCCCGAGGGATCTGATACTGAGTGTGAGTGCTTTATGGTCGCCAAATTTGGACTCACTGGTCTGCGTGCCCTGCATTAAAGACCCCATCTCCTGGTTCAAGTAGTCAGCCTCGATAAATCGATCGATACAGATATTGCCGTTTCTCTCCACGTATTCCTGTTCGCACTCATCCACCGGCTTAGTGGCAATAGTGTCGAATATCTGAATAATCCGACTGCTAATATGCAGGGGATCTGTTGAGGTAGCCTCTAGAGATAACGAAATATATTTGGAATGTCGCTCCTCCATTCGCAGTCCCCTGAACGCTCCCTGTATTAGAGCGTGATCTGGATGTTCTGGTCGCACTCCACCGCCCATGCACACCCAGAGCATGCCACCCTCTGCTTGAAAAAGTCTCTTAATCTTCTGGTACTGGATTCCGTCCATTGGTCTTAGGAAGCAACCCCCAACCTCCAGAATCACAATGCAGAACCATTGTCCGAGGTCGTCACGCTTGACCGCTTCTTCGAGTGAAAGAGCAATGACCTCTTGAACGCCAGACTCCTTCAATCCAATAGACAGAATATCACAGACCCTCTTTTGTAGAGGAATGGAATCATCAAACACGACCAGCGTCTGTGGTTGTTGCAAAGGACCCGAAAAATCGCCCACCGCAGTCGAGATCAATGCACTATGCTCATGACATATAGTATCATCATAATCCTGCAGGTTCAGATCAATGCCCGAGAACCCAGCCTTCTTGAGAACCGTGTCCCAGACAGAATCCGAAACACCAGCGCTAAATTCACGATACTCATCGGCATATCTCCACCATCCGGGAAGAAGACCAAAGGCAAAATTAGTCCGCACAACTTCTGGATCAGTCAGCTCAAAGAGAGCAAGCTTTCCTCCAGGCTTGAGCAGCTTTCTCGCGTGTTTGACCGTCGTGTCGAGATTCTGCGTAGCATGGAACACATTATCAGCGATGATAAGGTCATAGGCCTCCTCTTCGAATCCCTGAAGAACGGGGTCTTTCTCAATATCGAGTACCGAAAAGGTCACCTTGCCAGAGAAGTTCTCAAACATAGGCGCAGCATCGGAAAAGAACCCCGCCGAGATATCTGTATAGGTATAATGCGAAAAACGAGGAGCGCCAGCACCGGGCTTCCCAGATCCATTTTGCGTCAGACGATCGAGAATATATTTGGTCATGCCTCCTGTACCTGCTCCGATTTCCAAGATCTTGATATTAGGGTGTTTGTGGGCGTAGAGGTCCAAAAATGCAAGGGCTTTTGACAAGCCGTTTGTCGCTTTGTAGAGCTCGCGATAGTAATCCTTGACTAGGGGTGTCTGGAACATGAGTTCCAGCGCTTCCTGAGTACCTGTGAGAATATTATAGATGTTTCGTGATAAGACCGCGTAGAACCTGCCACGTTTATTTTCGTTCTCCAGACGGTTGAGTAACTCGATATATAAATGGTCGTCGTCCAAGTGTGGCTTCACATCCACGCCGCTGTTTGTGGATTCGGTGTCTACCTTCTTTTTCTCGCGTTGCATCCAGGCGAGATATCTCTGATGGTGGGGTGCTAGTTTCTCAATGTCAGCAGGCGTGAGCTGTTTCAATGTTCTCAGGATGCACAGATAGAGTAGTAATTTGACATCATGATCGAGCTGGAAGGGCGACGGCTGAATGGGAAACGTTGTGGTGACTTCGTCATGTAGCTCGTCTCGCGTAAGAAGCTCAATATCAGGACGGTAGTCGAAGTTCCAGCATAACCGACGACTCTGTTCCTCGACTCCGCCCTCCTTTAAAAACTTCCCTTCGAGACCATCCAATACGACAATCGACTGGTGTTCTGAGTCCAGTGCGACGACAGTCGAAATGGTGTTGCCCAATCCAAGGAAGTCGGACTTGTTCCACGCCAGCAATCGAGGCCTGTTGTCATCTGGATAGATTCTGTCGGGCTCTGCAATCCAAAGTCGCTGAATTCCAGCCACAACACTAGGGGAGATATTGGTGCCGCCGTCTGTCATGCTAAGAAGGCCCAGATGGAACAAGCCGTCCAGGGTAGTGGGATGAATGGTATAGTCTGTCTGCTTTAATTTTCTGTACTTGACTTTCCACTGGTTTGGATCGAGTTCGCCAAAGCACTCCTGGTCTTCGTTGTATGCGCCAGTCTTAATGACTTGATGTGCAGGTCCAAATTCGACCCCCTTTTGAGCCAGAAGCCTGTACATGCGATTCATGTCGAGGGGATGAGAGCACGAAGAGCGAATCCGGGCCAGCTCGGATGCGTGTCTTGCGTTTTCTTGATCTACTTCAAGTCCTCTGTCGACTTGTCCCGAGTCTTCGACAAAGGATACGAGAATGCTACCACTGCAGGCTTCAACCCAGGCATCATTCTCGATACAATACAGGCGAAACTCTGACCAGGTCTCCTCTCGGTCCGCAGCCTTATTGCCCGAGCGAAGGTAGAACTCAACTTCTGTCCCGTCCGAGTCCGGAACAATGGTTATAGCTCGAGAGAATGTTATATCCTTGAGCGTGTATCCTGTAATTACCCTGTCTGATCGCGATAGCGATCTCGCGACACTTTTAGCTGCTTCGACCGCCATGACCACCATAGCTGCTGCAGGGAGAATATTCACCCATGCGATAGTATGGTCCCCGATCCATGGGTCCTCGGATAGCTTGATTCGTCTTCTCCATTTTGCCTCCAGTGGATTCCAGTCGGGTACACGCATTCCTAGGAAATCGTTCCGCGGTGCGCCCCTGAATCGATGGCCTTTGCTGACACGGGACTCTCTCCAGTAAGTGTTAGAATGATCGAATTGGTATTCGGGCAGATTTGTCAACGGTAGGAGTGCGGGGGCAGGATGTGTGTTAAGCTCATTAATGGACTTGATGCTAATCTTATGCCCGCGGCAGTGAAGATAACCCAGAGCGTTATATAGCGTGTCAACAGCACTGGAACCTCTTACCAATGAAGAGGCATATCCAACGGTAGTATTATTGCTTATCGCCTTGAGTGTGTCTTTCACCGGACGCTGCAGCGCTGAATGAGGACCAATCTCTAGGACATCATCAACCTGCAAACGGGACTTGTCTTGCACCGCTTGATTGTTCTGCAAGATGCGAAGTGACGCAGCGCTAGATAAGGCTTCCACGAACCTCACAGGAGAGACCATATTCTGAGTCCAGTACTCCTTTTTGCTAACTTCGCTGGGTGTTACGAGGCCTCCTGTGACCGAAGATACCATCTTGATTGGTGACACTGTATTCCTTCGGGACAGCTTCCCCATAGCCTTCGAGTACTCTGTGGCTATGGTGTTCATGTGAGTAGAATGATAGGCAACGCCTACTGCAAGCTTTCGAGCGAAGATGCCATCATTGTCCAGCAGATCTTTAAGTGTATCGATCTGTGGTTCGTCACCAGTTACTGTCACGTTAGACGGACTGTTGATACAGCCGACTGAAACACCAAGGTAGCCAAATTTGGCTTTAATTGCGGAAAAGTAACAGTGTATCTTGGTCTCCGATGTACCAGCAGAGAGCATCCTTCCTTGACTCTTCTTGTCCTTGGCAAGTCGTGATGAAAGAAGTCCTCTGTAGTACGCAACACTAATCGCAGAGCGTCGATCTAGGGCTCCCATGCAGTATCTGACTCTGTTAGATTGCTTTCAGTGTATATAAGAATGACAGTGTCTTACGCAGCCGCGATTTCACCCGATGAGTGGCCAACTACTGTCACTGGTCGAACCCCGACGCTCTCCAAAAGGTCGACCACAGCAATCTGCACCGCCGTGCAAAGTGTCTGACTGAATTCTGGCTCATTGACTTGCGAGTCTTCCTGTGTGCTGGAGAGTTCCTCTGTGTATCAAATTAGCTAAAACCCACAGGAACATAAAAATGGAGGTTATACTGGAAAGACTCCACGGACACCCCAGGGCTTCCAACACTGATGCACTCTGTCTAATGCTTTTCCAATAGACGTCGCATATCTTCAGTTCCCGTCCCATGGCAAACCACTGTGCACCCTGTCCAGTAAAGCAGAACAAAAGACGAGTAATTGATAAAGCCCTGCACGCAGGCGAAAGACTTATCCCCTTTTTCAGGTCTTCATGAGAATTGCAAACCGCATAAGAACGCCACAGCAATGAGCTGCGTCGGTCACTCAATGTGAATGCCAGTTTTGTCAGGTAGTTCTCATCAAAAGAGCCCGGAGCTGTAGCAAGGTACTCGTTGTATGCCTTTTCGATTCGTCCAATGCCCTTCTCATCTTGCGCTGAAAATACTAGGATTTTTGGCGGTGCAGAGCTCTTGTTTTTATCTCTGATAGAACCATTCATGAAAGGTTTCATCTGGTCCTGAGTCATTCCAGAAAACTTCAGATAGTTCTGAGCATCATCCATGACAACGTGCGCATTTGTCCCTCCAAATCCAAACGAATTGATAGAAAGTCGGCGCACTCCATCTGATGGCCAGGGACAGAAATCCATCGGAAACTAAGATTGTTAGCCATACTCCCAGAATATAGATAACCCAAGCATACCACAAGATCGGGATGATTCATCGCAATAGTTTTATTTACTTCTTCAAGCCCTGAAATTGCCGGTATCATCCCCTTCTCCAGCATCAGGATGCTCTTCACGAGACCTGCAATACCACTAGTTCCCTCGAGATGACCAATATTCGACTTGACTGAGCCAATATACAGTGGCCTCTCAGAGGAAATGTTCTCTCCAAAAGCATCAGCAATGGCACCCGCCTCAATAGGATCTATAAAGACCACAGAATTAGCCACTCGGACTGCGAACGCTAATGCGAATGCAATATACATACCTCCAACCGACGTCCCCGTTCCATGTGCCTCGACGTATCGCGTCAGTCGCATGTCCAGCCCAGCCTTCCTATACGTATCTCTGATCAAATCCGCTTGGGCTGACCGACTCGGCTGGACGATTCCCGGTGTCCTACCGTCCTGGTTCGTTCCTGTCGCGCGGACGACGGCGCGAATGACATCGTTGTCTGCGATCGCATCGTCGACGCGCTTCAGAATAATCGCTCCGAAGCCTTCTCCACGGCCATATCCGTTGGCTTTCTCATCAAAGCTCCAGCATCGTCCATCAGGCGATAGGAAACCTTGGTTATTCAGTGACATTGCCATATCGGGGCTCAGGAAAAGATTCGCTCCAGCGACAATTGCCTACATAGTCAGCGCGCCCACCATATATAAGTACATATTTTTTGGAAAAAAAAAAAAAAGACATACAATATCAGCCGCTCCACTGCGCAATCCTTGACAAGCAGTATGAAACGCAACAAGGGTACTCGAGCAAGCAGTATCCATATTAATAGACTCTCCACGCAGATTAAAAAACCAACTGATTCTGTTCGCCAGCATATTCGCAGAGACAGAGCTGGCAGAATACTGCCCTCCAAACTGGGGATCTCGCGTCGAGAAAGCCTTGTAATCATCTCCAAAACTTCCAGTATGCACAGAGGTTCTCGAATAGGCGATCTTCTCGATCGGGATTCCAGCTAATCAGTGAGCATCTACCTATCCTGTAGAATGATGGGGAAAAATACCATTTTCCAGTGCCTTATATGTCGTTTCGAGCAAAATGCGAGATTGGGGATCAATCTCCGCGGCTTCAGCAGGGCCGATGGTGAAAAAAGGCGCATCAAAGGCGCTGACGTCTCCGTCTACGAAATGTGCGCCTTTTAATGGGAACTACGCAACATTAGCCCTTTCATTCTTTATATATCTCCCTGCAGTAGATATAAATAAAATGAATGTAAGACTGACCGAATTCAGCCTTCCGTCGTCAGGATCATAAACCCCTTCGAAATTCAATCGACTCTCGGGAAACGTTGACCACGCCGACCGACCGGTGCTCAATGCCTCCCAGAAAGAATCCACGGATTCAATACCCTGGGGGAATTTGAATGAGAGTCCAATGACGGCAATTGGGACTGAATCCAGCTCTGAGATTTGGTCTTGAGAGCGCCCGTGTGCGCGTTGTTTTTGAGGAACGTCTGTGAGATAAGATTGTGCACGTGTTTTTAACTGTGAAGAAGAGAAAGATTCATCTCGCTGGATGAATTCGCTGGTAAACCAGCTTTTTAGAACCGGTATCATTGTCGGACGACGGGTATAATAATAAAAATATTAGAGTATGTACACTTTAGAATGTGGGCTTATTATCTGTCTTCGAGAGCCTTATCAGAGTATATATATTGAGTAATATATATGATCTACGAATTAAAGCATAGTAGTACACAGCCTCAACCACAGGTCGTACTGGCAGACCGAACGGTAAACCTACTTACTCTGGGCTATCCTTCCTGATTACTTCTTCCCCCCACATTCTATGTGGCTCGTTGTCTTGGTTGATAATGTGCATGATGATGAGGTGGATATGACAATGGGGCCAAAAGCTCTTCCGTGATCATGTAATCCGTACTCTTTGTCAAGATTGTCTCCCTGATAGCTGCAGGTGAGAAGAAAAGGAAGGTAAATACCGAGTAAGCATGGACTTACGTGCATGGTAGGTTACCTGTACTTTCCACATATGTCACGCTAGCCACTACTTAGTATGCACATACGTTAAGAGAAAAATACAGTACCGTATGATACATATTCTGCGTGTATAGACAGTACCAAAACTACATCCTGCCACGCCCACAATACTCGGGGTACCCTGGCAATTGCTTCCCTATCCCTGGTTCCATCCCTACATGGGCTGATCCACGGGCTGGGAACTATATTGGGAATCCCAGGCAACTGAAATGATCCCGCTGGGCTAGTTGATGATTCGTATTGCTTTTATTATGCAGTCAGACGGGGATATCCATAGATCATATTTTCTCAATGGGTTACTGTTGGTTTCCTGAAAACATCCATGGATAATTCTGTATTATACTGGTATATACTAATCTTTGCCTTAACGCAAGGGCAGCAATGCAGAGTAATATCCTAATTAAGCCAATCGTCTCGCAGGCCTCTCCCAAATTAGCACCAAAGCCAACACCTCCGCTGCACAAAATGCCAGAATCATGAGTAACTGCTTATGAAATCCATCCGCAAAGGCTTCTCTCACAAGCTCCTGATCCGACCGAGGCAGTGTGTTCACGTAAGAAGCATTTGCTAGAATCTTAGAGATGACATCCGTAGGTAACTGCGTTCTCAACTGGCTTTTTGCGGTGTTGTTCAGTAGATTCGTGGCGATCGAGACACCCAGCGCGCCACCCAGGATTCGCAACTGGGTTACCCCGCCCATTGCTACGGCTATCCATATGTCTTTAGCTTTATATAATGGAGGAGATGCTAGATACCACTTACATAGAACACTTTTGTCAACGATAAAAGGGACAATGTTCAAGAGAGTAGTTAGACTCAGTCCGACACCCAAGCCAGCGAGGACTTGATAGCCGTATAGTTTAGCAGGGAGGTTAGTATCTACAGGAATGGAATAAAGCAATCCCACTCCAAGAAGTTGCAGGATGGTTGCGGTGCAGAGAACAAAGATGGGTGGCACACGACCGCGGGCCGTTAGGCCGCCTGTCAGGGCTGATCCAAGCGCTATTGTCATCGTGTAGGGAAGGATGCGGACTCCTGAAAGTACGGCGGAGCTGTTGTTGACGTTTTCGAATCGGAGGGGCATCTCCAGGACAAGAGTTACGAATGGAACGCCGGAGAGAATAGCATTCCTATTCGTCTGTTAAGCGTGCGAAGACAAAAATGGAAGGTTGACATACAGATACATTCCCATGAGGACTCGGTTCTTCATGAATGTCCATGGAAATACCGGTTCTCTGGTGGACTTCCGACGGTAGAGAAGCCACTGCCAAGCGAAAAACATGCATAGAAGAACCGCGGCAAGGACCAAACATGTGATCACGAGAGCTGAGCTCCAAGAAAAGGAGATCCCTGCTTCTTCGATAGCCACGATAAGCAGAACGCAAGCGGCAAGGAGAAGGAAGAAACCCGGGTAGTCGACCTGTCCTTTCCAATCGATCTTCTTATGGATCAGAGAGAAAGACTGGGTTTGTGATACGTCCGGGAATGAGACCGGCATTGCCAGTAATACCAGACCCAAGGCAACGAATCCGACAGGGAGGTTGATATAGAATATCCACCGCCATGATGTACCGTCGGTGATCGCACCTCCAAATAACGGTCCCAGGAGAAAACTGAATGCAATGGCCAACGATATAATACCATTGTATGCCCCGTATTTCTCTGGAGTCACCATCTCAGCTACAATTATGGGAGCCATGCTGAAGATCCCAGCACCGCCCACGCCTTGGAAAGCCCGGAACATGATCCTACTAAAAGTCAGCGCATTATACCATAGTTAGTGATTTGATTGATGACTAACAGCTGTATTGTTGACTTCGCTCCTGCACAACCACCCGAGAACACCAGGAAGAGCACCAGGGCAGCAACGAGCATGAGCTTTCGCCCGAAGAAATCGCTCAGTTTGGCCCATATGATCAGGAAACCTACAGGCGGTCAGAATTCCACGCTGCAAAGCAAGGAGTGGGACTTACTGAAGTAGGAAGTTAGGTAACTGGAGACCACCCAGCTACTTTTTTCAAAAGCCTGCAGGTCATTTGCTATGGCAGTGAGTGACGTACTGACAATTGTGATGTCGAGCGCCGAGAGGAAAACACTAAGGCAGAGCCTAGATACTGTCAACTGATATCTTCTAGAATTAGAATCTTTACCGGACGCACCCGATCGTGAGCAATGTCAGTCGCCATCCGGCGAGAGTATCCCCATTGCCCGTGTTGATATTCACTTGTTTCTCCGGCTGTAAATCGCCTGTGGCAGAAAGAGGCGCATCAATTTCCGACTGGGAGGGGCCGGAGTGCTTCTCGACAGCAGTCATTTTCTGGTCGTAGGGTTAATGACTGGTGATGACCCTTGAGTAGTAGTATTATGCCTGGATTCGACCAGCCCGGCCATATATGAAGGCGCGGCTACGGATATAATAACTATCATGGCTCTAATTCTACCGAGGGAAGAGAATGTAGGGAATGTCATCGGCAGATATGAGACATGATGTGGCAGTCTCACATTCTTACCCACGAGGGGAAGCTGGTATTAATGTTTCTTACCGTATTGTCGTACCGTACCTTACTATTTTATCTTCCCCGCTTCAGTGGCTTTTTTATTATCGGTCACTACTATGTATTTCATGTATTTCTGTCCGAAATACATAGTAGTGACTGCAAAGGAAAAGGCTATGAACGCGCGTTGGAGGTTCGGCACCCTGAAATATTATTCTCACTGGTCAACAGTAGTCCATATGGTGCCATACTATGACCACTAAAATTTCATAAAGCGTTGCACTTAATTAGTATCCGCTGATCACACTCACCTGAATTCGTCCCAGCAGCCCGAGCGATGGGGTCTTTCCTGTAGAAGCCTGACGCCCGGAGACCTGCATACAATATTTCTTTGACACAGATAATATCTAACAGAAGGTAATATTCTTGGGCTCTACGCACGACGCACAAAGTTCACACCGCACAGAGCCTCGTGGTTGTATTTAATAAAGTATAATTATGTCATACAAATAAAACAACAAGAAAGCCCCCGACTAACATTTCCTGGGCCTCACCAAAATCCCAGGCGAGTCTCGAGCCTGTGCACCGAGGATATAGTCGCGGCTGACATCGATATCCCTCTCCCTTGACACCTGCGTCACGTCGAAATCGAACTCTCGAAACACCACAGCGAGGATAAGAAAGAGCTCCGCGCGGGCTAGGTTAATCCCAAGACACGATCGGGTCCCGCGGTTAAAAGGGACGAGGTATCGTTCGAGTTTCTTGCCGTTTTCGAGCCAACGTTCCGGTCGGAAGTTGCGCGGTTCCGGGTAGATTTTCGCATTTTCATGCGTAAGGTGCGGTGTCATTCCCACTGTTGAGCCAGCCGGTATCACGTAGCCGTTGCAGTTCAGGGTTTTGTCTGGGAATTGTCGACTGATTCGATGAGTGACTGGATCGCAGAGGCGGAGACCCTCCTGCACCACGGCTGACAGGTAGGGAAGTCGTTCTAGCTCAGGAAGTGAAGGTGGATTTGAGGGGTCAGGAATGGCTGCTTTTAACTCATCATGCAGGCGCTGACGCGCCGATTGGTTGGCAGCGATATGGTAGGCTGTTCCACGGAGAACATATGCTCTATGATAGGTCAGATAGCCATAGCCGAAGGGGAAAAAAGAAATACGGAGGCTCTCATACGTAGTACCAGAACCAGCAGTCATTAGACTAAAAGCTTCGTCACGGAGCCTGTCGCGCTTCAACTCATTCGGTGGCAGTTTGCTTTCTAGGAGCTCGTGGAATACGGTTCGATGTGTGGCAGTCTCGTAGGATTTGTCCTGCCCATGACGTATTGCCTCTACCTGCCGTGAAAGGTCCTTTTTGGATTAGCGATAATTTCGCCTCGATTTAGATTACTTACTCTCCGGAAATCAAGGATATCTGCCATCGCCGGCGCAAGGCGCTTATTCATCCAGTCCTACAGGGTCAGCGTACAATAATTAGACCTATATATCAGACTTACTGGCAAAGAATAACTTAGTCGCATAAGCCACGGAATGTGGATATTCTAACCCCTGTTAGTAAAAAGCAGAAACGCATTTAGATCCAACTGACCAACAAGCTAACTTCCAGAAAACTATCGACATCATCAAAACCTTTGCGCCCGAAGTCTGCCTGAGTAACATTTTCCGGATCCCTTGCGAAGCAGTAATCGTTGATGATATCCAGAGTTACAGCTGCATACATGTACTTCATGTTCATTGTCTCGCCATTCTTACTCGCCTGATCAAGACGCTCACGTAAGATGGCAATAGGGCGTCTCATCTCTGGGACCAAATCGTTGACTGATTTCTTCGAGAAGAAGGGATTGAGTGCACTTCTTCGAATGCGATGAAGTTCATGCGTTTGCGTTCCGATGGCCTAGCCCGTTAGTATCATATTCGACAATAGGGAGAGGAACTAACAGCTGGATAAGGCCCGAACGCCTCCGCAACTTGGATTGGCTTTTCCGCACGACCATTGGTCTGGTTGAATACTTCGTCAAAGTAGTCGGGGTCGTTTATATGGACTTCATCGGGGTTGATTCTGATAACGGGGCCTAAGGGGGTCAGAATTTTCTTATATCCTGTAACTAGAAGGAGACATACCGTATTGATGATGGAGATCATTTAACCTGAAGGTAAACTGACCGCTGAGGTACAGATCAAAGTACCATTCATACAGGTATGTGGCTTTGGCAAGCGGAGGACCGGGAATATGCCGCAGTGGATGGAACCAGACTCGATAAGCGACCAGCGTGGCAATATACACGAGATAGGAACTACCTCCGTATTTGACAAGGAAAATTAATGTATCGAGCATTGTAAAATGGCCGGGTATCGCCCGTACGACGCGGATCCAGTAGGCAATTTTGCAGAGCAATTTGATTGTGAAGCTGGCACCGAGGCACCTGGGATATCAGGACTAGAATGCCGTTGGTGTGCCTTAAATCAGCACATCTTGTGTATTAGTTGCGACAGTGAATAATAACGGAGAACCAACATAGGGGGATATAGTTGAATCCCAGTATAAGATACTCCACTCCGTAAGTAATGAGGCGAAATTAGTCACAGAACCACTTCGAGCTGGCCCTTGGTGATGGAAGTATTACAAATAACGGGCAACATGAGCTGATCGAACTAGGTTAGTGCTTACTCTTAATGTTACATTAGGACTTTATGTGGCTATGGTGTCCACGGTCCGGAAAATCTTAGCAGGGTGGAGATGATAATCAGATGCAACAGCCTAGCCGACTACGGAGAAGCTATTTAATATTCCATATAGATTTGGGGCATTCAGTTTATCACGCCGAGTTATGTGGGAGGTCTTAGACATGGAACGAAGCCGTACCAAGTGAATGTTTTTGGTCTACAGGGCAGTTTCCATAGACTAACTAGATTATCTTTCAGGCCAAATGTCAATTTTTTCGTCACTTTCGTAATTTTTTCACACAGGCTTCAATCCCCCAAACCGCCGAGGCACCAATCCATGTATGGGTGTAACCAATATAGTATGTATAGGTGTATTTATTCGAACGCACTCCAAAGACAATTGGCCTCCACTACGATGTGAAGCCTAAATAATCCTACAGACTAAACGTACAGTCTTAATGATCTATGGTCACGATACAAGATGAGTGTCTATTCCTGAATAGGACAAGCCGAGGAGGCTGTGGGGTGGTACTACACAGTAAGACGGTGACTGGCTCCATAGCATATGATTGGTGGATTTGTGAGCTACCTAAGACTCAACCTCTGATAAGTTTCATTGGATCCAGCGAATCATAGACGACCATAAGAGACATACCTTCCGATCCCTGCCATGTAAGCCGCACTTCTTTGCCCGTCTCTCTCCTCTATCCGTAAATCCCTGTTCTCCAAACGCCCAAGCAATCCGTTTGCTACAACGTCGATTGGTTCCTTTTGTGGAACGCAGGCACTTTGTAACCGACGGTCTTCTTCCACATAAACTCCTTTGCCTCGGCCACTGTGTATGGCACCAAATTTTCCACATCCATTGGCTTGGCGACCAGCCCTTTCGCGCAGATGAACGAAGCGCTGGAACGCGGCTTTTCTCCCTTCGCCAAACCAACAATTGCTTTCGCCCAGTCCTGAAAAAGCTTGCGAGTCTGCGGCGCCTGCCGGAAGAAAAAGAAAAATGTGTGCGGCATGGCTTCGTACTCCTGCAATGTAGCAGACACCCCCTGTGCATGAACTGTCTGTATCAAGAGCTTGGAGGCATCTATTATCTGCTCCTGGCCAGATGCGATCCATATCGGACACGACCCTGTCCAGTCTTCTGACGCAACTGGGCTAGCTAGAGGATGTGCTAGCATGCCTGCTTCACAGTAGAGGTTGGCGCGGGGTGGGTTAGTCGGCCAGGCGGGGCAGGTAGGAAAGCTCTTCTGAAGATAGGGAAGTTTCTCAATAGGCACTGGAAAGATATCACAGAAGGCATTGCGATCGAAGGAGGGGAATGCATTCGTAAGATCGGCCACCGCACTAACCGCTGCCACGCCAGCTGGTACGGCGAGCGGAATGTCCTGTCCGTGGAATGTTACGGACGCGTTCTTCCTTATCAGCCGCAGTAGAATCTGTACTAGACTCAGGGCCAGACAAGCACCCGAACTATCTCCTGCCAACACTATCGAAGATGGCGGGATGGCTTTATGCGGGGATCCTGGAGGTGGTGCCAGGAGAGTGAGGTAGGCCTGGAACACATCCAGTAAGGCAGCAGGAAATGGGTTCTGCGGTGCCAGACGCTGGTGCACCATCAACACCTTAGACCCGGTGGACTGAGCCAACAAACCTGCTGTCTTCCGATAGTTGGACGGAGTGTTTAACCTGTCATCAATCAGTCAAACCAGAACAATGGACTGGATCTGACCCGTACACAAAAGAACCTCCATAGATGTAGAATATTGCCAGAGGGCTTTTGGTCTCCGCCTTGAGCTTTTCGAACTTTTCGTCCTCACCTAGGGGCGGCTCAGGGGCGTCTTTGTTGACATTGCTGCGGAAACCTGTCCACTCGAAAGAAAGAGGAGTTGAATCTGGACGATCGTAGGAGATGTTCTTGTCATTTGCCTCGTCAATAAGGGATATAAGCAAGTCTCGGGAGGTGTCCCTGATCGGTTTGGGGGTTGTGAACTTGCTGACCCAAAGGGGGCCTTTTACAGGATCATCTCTGTTGATTGCGGCTTGCTGGGAGGAGATTGAGGCGGTGTGGGCGCCTTTAAGGTATTCTGCCCTCACTTTCTGAGCAGCGGCTGCGAGGTGGCGAGGATCTTCGAAGTTCATCTTGTAGGCGGCTTTTTAATACTGAATGAAAGAAGGTACTGACTGGGAGAGATATATTGATTACTACAAATAAGTAGGAATTGCAAATCAAGTCATGGGGAGCATGTGACGCTTGCGGGGCAGTAGAGCCGAAACAATGAACTTCTTTTGTGGCGGTACATTTTCACACATGTATGAGCCACTCTCAGGTACAAGGCCTGCCAGCTTTTGATTATTCTGGGCCTGCACCTTCTGAATTGAAGCATCCCTGTCACCCTAGGAACAGAAATTGGGATCACTCTCCGGATATTGCCTAGCAATAGCTGCCTTGCCAAAATTAGGCGGACTCGTTCATATGGTGTCCTTGGCTTCACGCTTGCAGTCTTACACACAACCTAATACTATACTATGAGTGGAAGTTGCATTTTAGTTCCAGCCTATTGTGGACCTAGGCAAATTTCTTTAGCCAACGATGTCACCAACCCCTTGCAAAATTACAGCGAAACATCTCCATACTCTGCACCATTCCTTAAGCACTTATGTAATACAGAGGAGGTTGTGCATATCTTAGTCCACTATTAGCGCGGATACATATGGGACATACTCTGCAAGACACAGCAAATCCTTGTTCATTGGAAGATCGGCGGCGTTGCAATGTCAGCTTATGCGATGCATCCATGGAGGTGACTCCTTGATTCCGAAAAATACCATGGATACAGTTGTCACTTTGCATGGCCTAAATACCAAATTAAGCGATCCAACGGCCTAATTTCCATTTTCAGGCCCATCTCCATGCAGGCTACCATGCAATTTCAGACGATCCAATGAAAAGACAAGTAGGTTGCATTCCATGCCATGCAGTCCGTTAAAAATACCTAATGAGGCTGAGTTTTCACTGTCCATACTCAACGTCATACACGGTACTATGTATAGAGGAGAGCCATTTTCAACGTGTAACCCTAATACTAGGCCCCATTCCTGCTTCTCTTGAACGTATATGGCATTTGCAGCAGCGGATAACTCAGTGTTGACCAAGCTAGGAAACTAACCATTCTTGATCGTAAAAAAAGTCGGTTCACACTGTCCTTTAATGTTCTCTGCAAGGGGGAACAAAACGGCACGATGATACACTCCGACATACCCTGGTTTGGTTGGTCATACCCTGAAGATTGTCCCTAGGATCGCCACTCCCTTAGGCCTAATCACCCGACCGCTTAGGCCCTGTTATTTCTGCAGGGAATAATCTGTTTTGTCTTACTTTAAAAGTTATCATCCTATTTTCCCTGGACTTGATATGACGAAGTGAATGCTATATTAACCTTGGGCAGGATACATGTTAATACTGTCTTTTCGCATATACCAACCGCAGCTGTGATATCGTGCGAAAAGCATCACCATGTCTACGGCGGTCACTGCCCCCATAGCGCCGTATATGTACGGACTCAATAAAGTTGGATATGCGACCTTGGTGGTCAGCATCTTTTTCATGGCCTTATCCGTAGCGTCGGTTGCGCTTCGACTGTGGACGAGACGAATCAAGAACAACAAGCTCGGCATTGACGACTGGCTAATTATTGCCAGCGTATTTGTCTTTTTTGGGTTTTGCGCCGACGTACTGGTCGGAGTGTACACCTACGGCGGCGGACAGGTATATACGGATAAGGTGGAGGGGCAAAAAAAACTCATTCAGTACATGCAGTCAGAATATGCGATTCCAGCTCTCTACGCGGTCAATGTCACGCTGGTCAAAATGTCCATTTTGTTTTTCTATCGTCGCGTCTTCGCCGTCGCTGGATTTCGCCGAATCAACACCTTCGTTATGGCTTTCTGTATGGTTTGGTTCGTCGCCGCGGTGATTGGGGATTTGCTCTACTGTATCCCGATCCAAAGATTCTGGGACCCGAGCGCGGGGGGATCGTGTTTCAATTTCGCGGCATATTTTCTGGCCATGGAACTGGTGGATATGCTTCTTGATGTTGTCATTATCGCTTTGCCGGTGAACACCATTCTGGGGTTGCATTTATCCCTGCGCAAAAGGCTCGCGCTGCTGGGTATCTTCCTGTTGAGTGCATTGTCAGCTCGCCCTACCTACGTCCCGGAAGTGTATACTAACTAATTAACGCAGTGTTGTTATCACCGGTGCAGTTCGAATCGGATACGTATACAAGCCGGGTGATCAACTTCGTATGTCCCGATTTTTCTTGCCATGACCCAAGCTGACTGTTTAGTATCTCTGGCGCAAGCGTCCCTCTGGTCTGTTATCAACCTTGGTGTGGCGATTCTATGCGCCTCGCTGCCCACCTATCGTCCCTTACTCCCCAAATTTGAGTCTTTCGGTAGCATGTTCAGAACTCGATATATAGGCTGGTCTCGTGCTGATTCAAGGACATCTAAATCGGATGGGTCGACCTGCAATACCTATAATCCGCGTTCGGGGTATTACTCTAAGATGGAGGGCGGTACTGGGGCTGTTGTCCCTCTGACGATAATCGCGGCGGAGGAAAGTCATAATGCAAAGCGGGATAGGCTGCCAACCGGTGGGATTCAGGTACAACGTGATGTTGAAGTTGTTTAGCTGTTTTTATATTGACTAATTTGCTTGAACGTATTCTGGTGTACATTCATCAGAGTTCTGGATTACCTGTAATTCAAAACAAATTGACCGTGAGTGTTCAGCCACGTGTGGTACACAGTATTCTATATTAGGGATGATTCAGACTGGACGGATGCGTAGCTCCCTTGTTTCAATACATCCATTCTAGGTGAAGAAATACGATACCATACACAATATCAATACCATACGATTGGCATACATGGAAAAGCCGTGGCAACAACATCCGTAACGCAGGGATCTGCATGCAACGCAGGGGCTAATTCTCGTCACACCGTCCCCGTTAGGCAACCCATGCATGTTCAGACCGTGCCAGCTGCCAGTAGTTAATTTGTTCTCCAATGCATGTCTCGCCTAGTCTGAAGCCATCTGCAGGATATGGCTTAGGACAAACTTCGAGCTGTAAGCACTTACGTATTCCTCCCGTCTAGACGGCCCATGATTAAGCATGTACGTCACGGTCTGTTATCCGACCAACAGGTCAACAACAAGCGACTGGTGGGGAATCAGTGGTACTGCAGTCTCGATACCACGTACCCAGGTTGACCGCAGTAATTTCCCTAGTTAGTTCCGCTATAGATACTAAACCTCTTTGAAGTAGCGAGCGAGGATCAATCTTTCAAGGAATATAAAAATATCTTGGCCGTTTAGAATAACTAGCCAAATTAATTCTCTAAGCCAAGAAGTGGCAGAATATTTAGTGCTTATAGTGGAACTAACTAGGGAAATTACTGAGGTCAGGCAGAGTACAGGGTTGCTTTGCATGGGCTGACACCGGATGAGATAGTTCAGCTCGGAGGTAGGAAAGGCCGATACTCGCTGCTTTTGACCGACTGTTCTTCTTACTCACCTTGTTGTGCTTGTATCTTAAATCTGTCTGCAAATATGGCTTCTTCTTTACGCATCCAGATTCATAACTCTTACGATGGAAATCCTCGACCATTCTATCCAGTCGTGGTCATCGGGGCTGGTGCATCTGGTATTGCTGCTGGATTCCAGTTGAAGGAAAAGTATAATTTTGACCAATTCCGGATTTTCGATCGTCTGTCAGGCATTGGAGGTGAGTTCATTGTATTATTCAATTGAAGAAATAGTCTAAATATTCATGAAGGTACATGGTGGGCAAATAAATATCCCGGAGTGGTAAGTCTCTAATACAGAAGCATTTATATGCAAACTGACAGACCAGGCATGCGATGTGTAAGTCTACTAGTTGCTTCAATCGCACGAACTAACGGGACAGACCGACCCTTTTCTACTCGTTTTCTTTTGCGCCAAATTATACCACCAAAACCATCTTTCCTTCCGGACGCGAGTACGTCGAGTACCTGTACAGCGTGGTCGAGCGTGCCGGAATCGCAGATAAGATCCAGCTGAACACTGAAGTATCCAACGTCGAGTGGATCGAGGAGGACTCCGAATGGGAGCTTCAAATCAACTATATAAATTCCATCGCGAACTCCCGTCTGGATAGAACCGAGACCGTACGAGCTAAAATCGTCATCAGTGCAGTTGGCATCCTAGTTGAGCCGAACGACTGGCCCGCAGATATCAGAGGGCGAGACTCCTTCACCGGCCAGGTAATCCATTCCGCCCGATGGCCCGCTGCTGCCAATCTCGACGGTAAAGACGTCGTCCTGGTAGGTTCTGGCTGCAGCGCAGCGCAGATCGCTCCCGCTCTTCTCCAAACGAACATCAAGTCCCTGACGCAGGTTATGCGCTCGCCACCGTGGCTGGTTCCTCGTGCAGAGGAACCCGGTGGAAAAGAAGCGTATGCAAACTGGGCGCCGCGGATTTATGGTTCTGTGCCTCTACTGGGGTTTTCTATGCGCATGCTGCTTTGCTGGGTGTCGGAGGTGGTTTGGTATACGGCGTTTCAGGGGAAGAATGATAAACTGCGTCAGAAAGAGGAGAGTTTGTCGTTGCAGCATATGCGCTCTATAGCTCCAGAAAAGTACCACTCTATACTGACGCCCAGTTACAGCCTGGGCTGTAAACGACGCGTCTTTGACAACGACTGGCTTCGAAGCATGAGTGATCCCCGCTTTACGCTGGTTAATAAATCGTGGGTTGGCGCTGAGGGAGGGAATATCATGGTCGGAGGAGCAAAGGATTCCGAGGGCTTCTCAGAGACGGATACATACCATGCAGATACTCTGATCCTAGCGACTGGTTTCGATGCCACGCAGTTCCTACAGCCCGTCTCCGTCCTCGGACGTCAGGGACTCTCGCTGCATGGTTTATGGGCTACTCGCGCCGGAGCACACGCGTACATGGGCACTGCGGTAGACGGGTTTCCGAACTTTTTCATGATTATGGGACCGAATACGTTTGCTGGTCATACGTCCGTGATGATGGGGATTGAAAATAGTGTTGAGTATGTGCTTCGATTGATCCAGCCTGTTCTTTCTGGACATATGGAAACAGTTGAGCCTTCGACGGCAGCAGTGCAGAAATGGGTCCACGATATCAGACGAGATATGAAATCTACTGTTTTTGAAGGTTGTAAAAGCTGGTATAATGGTTATGGGGGTTATAACTCGGTCATGTATCCGTATGTCAATTCACCCCCCGCACGCCTTGTACACTATTGTATACTTCGCATTATATCTAACTACGCTATACAGACGCTCCCAGCTAGACTTCTACCTCCGGTGCAAGTTCCCACGATATAGGGACTGGAATCGTACTCTATCCAGAAAGGGTCAGCGTCGACAACTCCGCCGACGTGCTACCAGTGTTCTTTTGGGTGCTATTGCCTTGGCGGCATGCTATGGGGTGATCATGTATGAGGAAGTCGGTCTCTCCGCAGATGCTATGGAATATGTGACGCAGGGGGTGCAGAGGAGTAGGAACTGGATACATAGTGTGTATAGCTGTCTATAGTACTCTGTACGTTTAGTATGATCTTGCTGTTTCTGCATAATTTATTATTGCTAGGTTTGGGCTAGGAGGTATACATGTATTGTTTGCTTGCGCTGTGGCACAAAGACAGTAAAACACCACCTAGAATTATCCATCTGAACAAACGCTTGATTATTAAACTGAAGAAATGGGAAGCCAATGTTGTGTGTTTTCACTACTAGTGATTTCTTTCGGTAGCTGCACTAAGTTAAGTGGATATTTATCCTTTTCATTCAATGAGACAGTAGTATGCTATTATCTGGGAGAAATGGTTAGGTTTAAAGCGAACCTGGTGCTTAAATGATATAAACTATGCTACTACACAATAGCTTGGTTTCCCTCCTCTTATAGAGACAGTTCGTGGCGCAGTTCATGGTAAACCATATCCAACCAATTCCCAGTATCTCCTACCTGAAACCCATAGAACCAATGGAGCAATAGGCAATATAAAAATTTGAAATAGCTACCTTGGCGGCTACCACTGGCATCTGCCCGATAGAGATTGTCCTAGCATTTCTTGAGAAGGGTGCCTGGGATTTGCTGTATTAAGATAAATCTAATATCTTTGATTATATATACATTCAGCAGCTCTGGAAAAGGGACAGATGTTAACTATTTAATAAATATTATGGCTTCAGCTTCTCCTATTACAACCATAAACCCATTTAAAGACTATTGATTTACGAATCTCTAGGATTTTACACCTTCTAACTCGATTAGGACAAAGGTTTCGTGCTCTCTGGATCTAATTAGGTGTAAGAATGGCAGCTTAGACAGAAATAGGGAATAGTTATTCTATGCTGCTGACTGCATAAAAATCTCGCAGAAAAGCCTCTCGCTCTTAGTTTTTTAAGAACCTGATTATACCCTTTCTGGATTCCAAAAACCTTATGTTTCTGTTACTCCTGTAGGCCCTTTGACCGCTTGATTTCAACATACTGCAAGTGAGATATCGTAGGTGAATTTCTATGCCCACCAATGCCAATGTACTTGTCAAGACAAGCCATTCGACCAACTAGAGCCACGGGCTCATAGTGAGCCACTATAGTGATCCAAGTCATATGTAGTTTCAACATAGCCTCCACAAAGCTTGCCTGCTATTGGTCCTGTTCTACTCAGCCATACGCTTTAAGTCATCTAGGTACAAGGGAATTAAATACTGGTCTTCTGAATCCATTAAGCAGCGATCATTCCTTTGTATTTCCCAATGTACAGGGCAGTGTAACTACATTTCAATTGTCGATCCATTTGGGCACCAAGGGATTGTATATCACAATCCACGCATATCCTGGTTAAAGCCCAGTATATGTTGGACTGAATCCGGTTGCCGGATATAAATATGTGATGAGTCCACATGTATAGAAATCAACAAACCGCTACTTGAACCTACCCGGCGCTATATTCAGTAAATCCTTCTATCAGGATGCGCTGCATCTGCATTGACGCAATTGCCCTTCCCACCTCGACTTTTTAAGTTGGCTCTACTTTGCAGACGAGAAAAATAGACTGGATAGTCACCAAGTACACAAACGATCTGTGTCAGAACAATACTGGCAGCTGATCCGATACTGTAAAGAGCGACGCCGAGAGTTTGAACGGGTATCCCGACATCATAGGCCAAGGGGGTTGGTTGTCTTGAACCACAAATGCGGTTTCGCGATCTCGCCTGTGATAGCGTGGATAATGGTTGGTGCTGGCAGTTAGAGTGGGACCAGTGTCTCCGAGTCGGCCAGACTGATCGGATGAAGAGCCAAATTAAGGCCTTCCAAGTCGACAATTACCCGTGCTAGTAATCCTTCCCTGGAAGTGGTTGACGACAGGTACGCTGTCCGGTAGATGGTAGACTGCAGAATATGCCGGTGGATTGACTGACAGGACTTGTAAATGATTTATTCGATGTTCGTTGAGGCTCTATTGAACCCGTTTTGATGGAAGACAAGGGGATATATAGCACGGATTACTTTTTTGTTCGGATATTCTGTAGCATAGCTAGCAGCAAACATCCCCTTATAGGATGGAATCGGTTATCTATGGGCACGGCAGTTAAAGACTACGTTAATAGCGGTGTCTAATCCAACATATCTTATGGCGTTGTTTTTAGTATGCTCAATATATGTCGGAGGGGGCTTCCGTTGGTGGGGGAAGCTTATACGACCATGGAAATGAGACTTAACTGGTTCCACAACAGTCCCTTTTTTGGTCTCCGACATTAGTACACGAGATGTGATTTGCACAGCTGTCCAAAGTTTTACATTGCCAAACGGAGCGATGTAGTCGACGGATGAAGTGGACATTTTTCAAGACACTTATATTCGAGCAGTGGGGAGAGCCATCGAAGACTATACGGGGAAGCAAAGTGCTTATGATGAGGTTCCAATTCCTGGCGCACTCCTCGACAATCTTGAATAGCCGCGCTATTTCTCTCGAACTGCCACTCAATCACAGTGCTTGGAATTCCTCGAAAAGCGCTTCCTCTGGGGATAGCTTGGCTGGAAACGATCTCTGGGCCTGTGCTGAAATTGGATATACGGTAGACAGATAGGAGATCAAAAATCATCCCAAGATAGTGAACATTGACTAAGTGTCTGATATAACTTTACTCTAGAATGGCCTATTCATTATAACTCGAGAATGCATACCGTCTTATCTGCAACCAAAGCGGACCAGTCCACCATCCAAGATACTACCCCATGTAATGTATACATACGTTAAAATTATATTTCCACCACAGGTCCCGAGTAAACCTTCCTGGCGCGAATGAAATAATATAAGAGGCTTAAGATAATAGTGCCTCCGGTCCCTACCACGCTATAATTCATCGACTGCACATCGGCATGGTTATTGGGAGGCCAAAAGCTGAAGAAAGTCGCAATGAGCATGTATACTAAGGAGAACGTATTGATGATGATGCCCCAGATGCCTGGAATATGAAATGGGCCCCAGATCAGCTGAGCCCCTGCCGTGTTTATAATCATTTCTGACCCGGAGCCTTGTCCACTGCGAATACTGTTTCTATTCAATATTCCACCGGTGCAACGGCGGTAGAGGAGGAGACCGGCAACAGCCATGTATGAAAAATAGAGGCCCGATGTGGACATGGATACTAGGCTGTTGAATGCCACGCTGGAGCCAATATTGATTAGATTCAAGAGGCATGAGATGGTGGTAGTCAAAATGACAGTATATGTTGGGATTGCCGTACGCGAGGTTACCTAAGGTAATTAGTGTTTTCCTATTAATAGGGCTCTAGGGCTTACTTGGCTCCATAATTTCCAACCAGGAATTCCCCGATCACGGGAGAAAGACCAGAATTGACGGGATGTTGAGGCAAGCATGCCCACCGAAGTACAGAAACACATTACGATAATAATTGAAGCCATGACTGCTGTGCCTGGTATAGATGATGTTGCCTGTAGGAATATACCTATAAAGGGCAGCCCAGTGGGATCCTGGAGAGCTTTGTCGATATCACCAAGACAGAATAGCAAGGCGAGGAGCATGGCAAATCCGAGTGACCCGTTGATCAGGACAGTGAGCATTAATGACCATGGTACGTAAATAGGAGCGTTGGAAATCTCTTCTGCCATCTAACAAGTAATATGTTAGCACCTTAATATGCCAATTCACAGATCATTCACGTCAGCAAAACCGCGTGCGGTGACATACATGAACCGCAGCATCGCCACCGGCGAATGCAAATACAGGACCAATCAGCCCAATGAAGAACGAGAGACCTTGAGACGGCCATTGGCCTTCGTTTATAAAATGAGTGAAAACTTCCTTGGCAGGTTTATGGTCCGCCATATAGGTCAATGGGATCAGGATAGCAAAGAATCCAAGAATGTGGAGAATTAGAATGGTGCCCTCAAAACGAGGCAAAAGCTTGCCTCCTACACAGTTTACACCGAGGCCAATTAGTGCAGTTGCATAGGAGTATAAAGTCATATGCCATGCTTGTGGGACGTAATCGGAATGGGTAAGTGAAATCATTGCTGCGATATAAGTCCCATTGAGGTAAATGGCGGTGGCATATGTGGCTTGCCATCCAATGACAGTGAGCCAACCTGACATATGTAGTCAGTATCTTCAACCCTTACCAGAAGGGCCAATCCTCTCTAAATTGTCACCATATGGGGAGACTCACCTGTGATATAACTGGAGAGCTTCATGCTCGACTGAGGTGCGAGCATCGAACACCAATGATATTGTCCTCCAGCCGTGGGCGCCCTAGCATGCTGTCAATACAAGCTCGGACAGATTGAATATCTCGCCTGTTGGCGCGATGTGATCTCATACATTGAAGCGAGCTCTGAAAGGACGACAAATGTTGTAGTGATACCAACCCAGACAAAAAGGAAGCCGTATACAGAACCAGCGGGCCCACCACTACAATCGTTATCAGCATCCGTATGGGTTGTCAAGAGTATAATATAAGAATGGCACGTACTTCTGAAACGCCTGTATGAATAATCTGTCAAAATTGCTTCATATTAGCAGATAAAATCACAACTAGAGGGAAATTATGGACAGTAACGTACGCTGTTATACCCTCCCAGGTGATGAGAATGGTGCAACTGAAGCCCAGGATTGACATCAATCCAAAGTTCCTCTAAACCAAACATGAATATCAGAGTTGTTATGGACAATCTCGTGATAGTTCTTACCCGAAGCACAGCGCGCTTCCCCATGCGCGCCAGGTTAACATCATCAATATTCTCCTCGGATGGGTTCTCTATTTCGCGCAGAGACGCGGGTGAGACTTGCTTGAGCTCATGGCGGTTCATGTCGAAGACCCTCGCGATGAGAATATATCCTTAATGATAGAGCATACAAGGACCTATCCCAAGCCGGACAGAGCAATAAAGTGACTAAATTGAAGGGCAGAACTACCAGAATCGACAATTTCGCAACGAGACCCAGGGGGGTTTGTTGGATTTTACCTTGTCACGGCAAAGAGCAGGGAAAACAGGGATGAAAATTCTTTCGGCAACGTCCCCCTCAAATACGGTTGACCACATTATGCCAAGTTACAATTAACAGCAAAGCTGGAAGGTGGGAGGGGAAGTGTTGCTTGTGGACTAATTTCGGATGCGACGTTTAACAAGGATCAGACATAAATGCGTCTTTAGCTGCAGGTCCGTACAGTGGAGAAACCAATCAATCAGATCACTCGGACGGTACACTAGACTCCCCTGGAATGCCCAGGCAGGACCCGGTCAATCTGGAAAGGCTTCCGAGTTCCAGTTCCTGTATGATCAATAAATCAACGTTTAGGCTAGACCAGCGTTGCGATCCTCCGCTGATCTTGTCCCATTCGCAGTCGCCGACGGAGATAAGCGGTTCACAACTTAGTCCCTTCGGGGGATGGCTAGTGTGGCAGTTTCACATCTTGTAACTGACTTGATTATTCCCAGGGACTCCCACTCATTTATTAGTTATCGGCCCTCGTAGTGTCCGCAGGCAGGGGGTTGGATAGTGTCCCAGCGATGTGGTTACGATTCGTGAACCACAAGACATGGTTATCTTTGTTCCTGCTGGCACCATAAGACTCCCTACCACCGCCTCCGGTTCTGTGTGGTGTGTTGCCTTCTCACACTTGACGCGCAATGGGCAGGTTTGCACCAGATAGCTGGGAGCCCGCGGTCAACATTGTGACCTGGTTTCTCATGACGACGGCCACCCTTTGCGTTCTCACTCGACTAGGGACCAAATACTGGATATTCCGGCGGTGGACGACAGATGATTATCTCAGTATTGTCTCGATGGTGTTATGTGTGGCACAGTCCGTGGCTGTGTCAATGGCCATGGCTAATGGATATGGTGAGCATTTTGACGCAGTATCAGGGCTGAAGGTGGACAGCATTTTGAAGGTGAGCTTTTCTCATACCTTATTTATTGCGCTGAATTACCCACATACTATCAGTCACAATACGCTGCAGCTATCCTGTTTCTTACGACCCTGTGTCTTTCGAAATTGGCCCTCATCCACTTTATCTGGAGTGTGACACCAGTTACGTCCGACCGTTATATTGCCATTGGCCTAGAGATCTTTACAATCCTGTGGGCAGTGACGTCTGTTCTCGCTTCTGCATTTCAATGCAGGCCGCCTCGACCGTGGGACTATATAAACGGGCAATGCTTTAGTTTTGTATGCCACGACTTACCCATGAGAATGGAAGATATATGTACCACTAACCCGAGTGCTACAGAGAGCTTGGTGGAACTATCTTTGCATCACGAATATTTTGTCCGAGGCGGGGATTATCACACAGGCCTTCCTAATTATCACTAGGACACAGGCACGTTGGTCAAAGAAGGTGACGCTGGCCAGCATATTTGGGCTTCGAATATTGTGAGTGATACCAAGCAATATCGACTCTACTATTTTATAACTATGAAGAGCTAACTGAGCGATCGAGTGTCATTGTTGCGGTGATCGTTCAACTGATCTACATCAACGAGATGACCATTTCTATAAATCCGAATTCCGCTACGTGGTCGACGATAATATCCACGCAGATTGTTCAGTGCTTGAGCGTCGTAACTGCCTGCTCCCCGCATTTCAAACCGTTCATGGACAGCCTGCAATCTACAGGCATGCGCGTGGATGGAATGACAACCTACAACGTGAATTCCACAAAGCGATATGGCTATGGTCTTTCCTCGCTGCGCAACAGGTCGATCCTGCGTAATAATGAAGACCATGAGCTCGCTCCAATCATTCACGTCAACGGCACACACCAGACGACGGTCACCTCGACGGGAGCCATATCCGAGTGTGATGCAGAGAGTCAATTGAGTCAGACCCATATTATTCGAGAGATTCGGACATACGCTGTGACTGAATCACCCGCAATATGACGAGGAATTTAGAAATATCCCTAGTATATGCTCTCAGATAGCGGTGGGACTAGTCCCAGTGGTCAATTTCTCAACCCCTGTTCAAGGTTACATACATTGTGAAGTATCCCGTGCTGCAGCATTAGCGCGGAGTACACGTTGACAATGCTGGCAATTGTTCCCGATCCTTGCCCTATGCCGTTTTCCATTAGTAAAAAAGGGGACACTAGCATGTGCCAGTTAGTACTGTAACCCGGTTAAACGCAACCATATAGGACTACCTCTTCAGATGTATTTAGAGTAGTATTGCATTTGTCAGAGTATATTGGGATAGGCCCATTCGGCTTATATTATATATAATTTGGTATTTATATAGTGTATTATACTTAACTTATATAATTGGTCAATGAAGTGGACCTGTGTATTTTAAAGTGTGTTTTTACTCCTTAAGTGCAATTTTATGGGAAATCAAGCCACCATAATTGTTTGCATTTAGTGGAGTATTGCAAAGTAAGGAGGTTGCATTTAACCATGTTTTACTGTAATATTCCCATGTTCTTCGCCTTACAACTTGTGGAATACAGGGAAAATGATGCGCAGGGAGCTATTCTATCAGCTATAGGACTTCAGCCATATTATATTAGGAAGTAGATGTCGTTTGGTGGAAACACGAGGAATCGCAGCATCTCGACCAACTGAGCCCTCTAAGCGGTTCCCCATATTCTTATTGATGTGTTCTACTATTTAAAAAATTCAGGAGTAGAATGGATCGTCAGATACTCCGCGCGGACTATAGGTAGTGTTTCAATAACACAACTAGTTCACTAATTTCCCGTTATGAGCCTTCTTCTCATAGTTATTATACGCCATGATGATTAATTCGCAAAAAGAAGCTTTCTTATTAAAGGACAGGAGCGTGACAATTCCTCTGCTGTACAACGTAATTTGGGCTTGACAAGGATCAGAGCACGCAATACTCTCCACCGTCCTATCCTCTCCCCGCTGGGTTAGATAGTGTTGCAGTTCGGAGAGGCAAAGGTAAACAAGTAATTTATAGTACTTCTAGCTTAATTTTACTCTTCTTGCCCAGATTTAGATACATATTATAAGTCGGAGAGGTCTGATCTGACCGTAGAGAAGGTTATTTTATTTTAGTATTTTATTTTAGTAAACCTTGTGCCGGTTAGCGGTGCGTTGGAAACGGCCGCCATTGGACCGTTCTTCTGCCTCCCGCCACCGCCTGCCACCTGTGGGCATACCACTGCCCGTTGTGGTCTAGTGCTTACCATTTGAGGGTTAGTGCGTCTCTCGCCGCTTTTGCATTTTCCCCTTATCCCCTGCCGCCTTACTCGTCCCGCTTAAACCATATATATAAGCTGGATATGTCTCCGTCGAGCAACGGCACACTTTCTCCTTCCTTTTTGCCCCCTCCTATCTCCTTCATCTGATACACTGCCCCCTCTCCCTTTTCAAATGACGCCTCGTTATCATGTCCTTTGTTGGGTTTTGGCTACCCTATGTGCTATCTGATGGTGTCCACTTGCTTAAGGTAGAAGTTGGGCCACTTTGCTCGTGCAGTTAAGATAGTTGTACACGGCACTGCGTGTGGGTTGATCGACTTTTTATAGACACCTCTATTTGCTCTGATTTCTCTTCTTACTAAATCTTATTACTTCCCTCTTCTCGCATAATACTTTCATGTGCAGGACCTCTATGAAGCCCAATATGGAAAAAAGGTAAATTGCCGCTTATCTAGCTACTAGAGACAGTATCTATGTTGTTAGCTTGGTTTTAATTATTTGGATTACCCCCCTTCCTTCTGGAGCCATTACTTGGCTAACTAGGGTCGATTTACTTCTGGTCTCCTGCCTTGTATATTATCTAATAGCAAAATTGCCGCATTTCTTTCACCCGCGTTAATCTCTGCTGATCGGGCCAAGAAAATGCATTTGGCCAGTAGTATATTTAACATGTAAGGCTTTGGAGCTTAAGTTACTAGATGCAGTTGGCACAAGACAACGGCTCTTGGCCTTCAGGCGACATTTTTAGATAAATATGGACACGTTAGCAGCCTAGAAGTGGGATTAAAAACGAGAAGTCTTTGTCTCCTCGCTTCCGATAACAAGGCAGAATCATGTTGTTGACGCTTTAAGGGAAGGTAAAGGCCAATCAAGCCTGTCATATTAAAGATGTTGTATTATCTACACTTTTTTAACTTCACACTTCCTATTTCTATTCCCCAATCACCTCTTGTTGAATAAACCCCTCTTCCTGCAAAATGTTCCTATATTTCTCCTAAACAAATTTAAGCCATGGATTCCTCCTCACACTGGCATATTAGCACTATATAAATCCTTAAATTCTAGCAGTCCAATACTCAAACTCCTTCCCCCCAAGATTCCGGTATAACTCCCTCCAAAGCACTTTACCTACCTTACCATTCCCAAAGATCGTCTCCCTGTGCGGCCACCGGCCGAAGTTTGTATGCATGTTAGTACAAAGACTCGTTTATATATACATTAAGCTTCTAATCTTAAGGGGAGATATCTATGCTACCATTTAATATACCATACCTTGATAAATTTAAGCATGGTATATTACCACATGATCCTGTATTGTACCTTGAATTCGGGCCTAATTTTACTCTATGATTTCCAAGATTTCACTAACATTCCGACTAAGCTGCCTCTTTTCGGGGAGATGCCCCAGGGGATAATATACTACCGCCAAGTATGTCTAGTTCGGACGATGATTTGGAAGAGGTTTTTAGGCTACAAGATATGGAGAGTAATATTCTTATTAACCTGGTAATCCTTACCAATAATAGGCCCTGGGAGGCTCGAGATCTGCACAAACATCTCCAGCAAGATAATAGCCCTACTATTCCAGGGATATTATGTCTAAATCTTGAACATCCACCCACTCTCAGCGATGCACTTGACCTCCGCTGAGGTCCCACTAAAGGATCAGGCGGCCAGGGTGGTAATATTCAAAAAATTAATTGCCCTTACAGCCAAGGCAACCAAAGGTGTCACTCCTCTCACAGCACCGAAGATAACTTATTATTCTTAAATATTTAGAGCGAGAGTTTTCACCGCGGCATACAGCCAAAACCCCGCAAGCAAAGAAAATAATAACAAGCCTTCCAGCCTTTAAAAAGACCACGAGCTTTATCTGCACCGCCTTTTGAGTAAAACTGGCTTTACTACCGTTTGTTCTCACTTTATGTCTGTGTTAGTTGATAAGCGTGCGTAATTTCTTTCTTGGCTGTTAAAAGTATACTACTACCACATAGTATGTCTGACCCTGTCTTTATAACATGTAATAATGGAGATGTGCGGTCAAACAATTGCTTGATAAAACTGTATTAGGGCTCGCAAACTTGGTATGATTGCAACGATGCCTAAGGAAATTCTAGGAAGGGCATGCCATGGTTAGCTGAAGAGGCGGAACTTTTGCTAAAGCTAAGAAGAGACGAGAGGCTACCATGGTTAGAAGTTACAAATTATTCTCAGACCAATATCCGGTCCGAAGTTCTGGCTCAATTCAAGTATACTGGAGTATAGCCCGTAAAAGGACCAGGACAGAATAGTATTGCACAGGGTCCAGGCTAAAAAGAAGACATATCCAAGAAGCTTATCTTCACAGAACACGGTAGAAATAATACATAGCTGACCAGCTGTTTAAGTATCAGACTCCAGCAGACTGATATCTTTGTAGGGTGTCTGAAGGCCCATTGACACCAGTATATTCTCTAAAGTGGCGGGCGAGCAGGAAGTGAATGTTAGCTTCGACAAGGCTATACAGAGAATTGCTGGGGGTTTCTGGCGAGCCCAAGATAGCAATTCCCTTAGGAGCTTTTATTATCTGTTAGTAGCCAGGGTTATGGATGACCACAATGCCCCGTTCGACCAGAGTATCCAGTACCTCTAGAGCAGGAGCCGCTTTCCACTAGTATGGTGCATACTTGGAATGCGTTTGTCGGAGAGATAAGCGATTTCTGTGACATCACTGCGCCTCAGCCGCAAATGACGACAGGAACCGAACCCAAAGTGACCGCAGACGTACCTACTAGTCTTAACGCTGCATTCGATCTTAGAAGACACCAGTTATCTTTCTTGAAGCCAGAGGCATTTGAAGACTCCCCAGTACCAATAACTACAGACCAGCCAGATCAAATTCAACCATTCAACACGCGTCCAAAAGCACCCCCCCCCCCAAAAAAAAAATCAGCCTCCCTCTATAAAGAAAAAGAACCCAGCACCTTATAACTTTTAGGTGGCAGGGTCTGTCTTCGTTGACTTGGCTTTCTCCTCCATGCTAAATTTAGTGTCAAGATCTTTCCGGAGCGGGACTTCTTTTTGAACAATTACCAGCAGAAAAGCCAGCGCCGCAAAAGCCATAGAAACATACCACACAGTCTTGATCGAATCGACATATACCGATACAACCTGTGCATGTGTGACTGGATCCGTGATGGTATCCATAAAGCTTTTTGTAGCACGTTCATACGCCTTCCCGTCTGCAAGTTCTTCCGCAATGACAGGATTGGTAATCCGGTACAGAAGTGTGTTAAAGCGATTGTTGAAAGCAGCTGTTGGGATAGTGGCACCCCAGATAAGGCCAAAGCTTCTGATGAAGGCCCACGTGGAAGTGGAGAGCGCAGTATCCTCTTCGGTGAGAGATGCTTGGACAGCTGGGAGAAGTACCGGGAGTGCGAGTCCCGTACCTGCAGCGCTAGCGAGTTGGTAGCCAACCCATTGTGCTGTTGTGGCCTGGGCTTTCAGCAATGTCAAGAGCCCAAATCCAATTACCATCAGAGCGAATCCCACGTGCTGAATAGGGCGATAGCGGCCGAGTTTTGATAGCAAGCCGCCGGCGGTAATGGCAGCGGGTATCATGAAGAGTATTGTCGGCAGGAGTTCGACGCCTGCACGGCTGGGTGTAACGCCAAGTACCGCTTGAAAATAGACAGGGAGAAAGTACATGACCGAGATTGCGGAAAGACTGTGGAGGAATGTCAAGCCAAAGGCTGTTCCTGACGTTCGATTGGAGAAGAGGTGAAGTGGCATTGTCGGGTTAACACAATATTTGGAGGCCTCGTAGAATACGAAGAGGCCAAAACCTGCAAAGCCCATAACGAGTGGAACGATGACACGAAACGAGGACCATGGGTATTGGCTCCCCGACCACGACAAAGCTATGAGAATAGAGACCATCGAGAGAACAAAGATGACGTTTCCGAGCCAGTCGATGCGTTTCAGTTGCATCATGTAATTTGATGTGTCGTCTGATTTGACCCTGAGGAATGCGAACAAAGTAACCAATGCTGCTCCACCGATAGGAACATTCAGATAAAACACCCAGCGCCACGATGTGTGTTGAACAATTAGTCCACCGAAGAGAGGGCCCAGTGAGGTCCCGAGAGCTATGAGGCCAAACATGATACCCAAGTATCTTCCTCGTTCTCTGAGTGGGAGTAGATCGCATATAATGATCTCGATGAGGACGTTGATCCCACCAGCGCCAATGCCTTGGATTAGTCGTCCGGCGATCAACATATTGATGTTCCTCGCACCACCACAGAGACCACTTCCTAGGGTAAACGTTGCTGTACTGGTGATCATCGGCCATCGGCGACCATAAATATTAGCGACTTGCCCAAATAACGGTTGAAACGCAGTCCTGCGTTTTACCTGTCAGAAAGCGAAATAGAATGTCTGGTGGTGGGAGAACTGAACGTTCTACGTACTGAGTCAAATAGAATCCATTGACAACCCATATATAGAGATCAGCACCACCAAGGTCCGCGGTGATTGTTGGTAGAGCGGTAGATGTGATTGTTGCCTCCAACGACGTCAACAAACCTGACAAGGCGAGAGCCACGATGATGGCAAAGAATCTGACGGACTTCGATGATGCAGCTGGCTGTATCTCCTTGCCAACTCCTCCCTTGTCACCTTCACCGACTGCTGCCTCTTTTGAGGGGCTTTCACCTGCGTTAGTGGGCGCTGTTTGCTCAAGTTCAGCGTCGGCCCTAGTATGGCCCCCAGCAAGCGCTGTAGTGTCGTCGTTGTCCACCGGGACTGTGGGGACCGTGGCGGCGACGGTTGCGGCTGCATTTGAAGTCATATTTCGTGGGGCAGAGTCCAGATGGCTCAAACAATTCGATTTAGGAAAACCCAAAAGGTTTTGTTCAGATATAGAGTCGTCGTGGACCGAAAACAACAAGCGCTCGATTATTAAAAACTACACGTCACGTGCGCACGTCTTGCGAGAAGGGCAGTTCTCCGTTGCTTGTGTATTTCTTCCGAGATGGCGGAGGCGGAGTCAACCAAGCAGCAGGGGCATGGTAGAGTTCAGCCAGAAAATAAGTAAGTACTTTCTATTCACACATTTAATCATTTGACGAGACATCCTTGTAGATAGAACGCAGATAAGGAACACTTGCCTACTAACCCAATTTACAGGTAGTAGCATCGATAACAAATACCACGGGGGCCTTTCCAAGAAGAGCGGCACCGGTATAGGTCAGGGAGTAATCTGCCGTCCCCTCTTAGTCTCACGCAAGACTTAACCGGAAAACTCCTAGTAGTTAAAATCCTTAGACACTCAGAAAAAAGCTCCCGAATCTCAGACTTAAAAAAAAGACTACGCGTATTCGGGGGCCTTATAGCACGTGCAGGGATTCAGTACCTGTACCTATAATACCTAGCGGTCGTAGCCATTTTACTGCGGAGTAGCACACTTTTTGTAGGTACAGGGGTGTTGAACAAATGAGAAAGGACAAAATGAAAGACACAAATGCCATCACCTAAATTTGATTAATATACTTGTCACAACCCTAATGCGTATTGCAAGCTCGCAAAGAGGTTAGTCCCAGGTTCCGTCCAACGGGTGCTGTTCTTTAAGTCGTATCACCCAGTCCATAACCTTTACAGCCAATCAACGCAACGCTTTTCCTCTTCCGACAAGTTTATGCTACTCAGTAAGCATAGAATGTCACCTTGCTTAAAGTTACCGTGCACTAGCTGTAGGTCCAGAAGCTTGAATGAGGTTAAATATTACGCAGTAAAATGCATGGTGATCTTTATCACCAATCTTCGCGTATACGGTATAGATCTGATGTAGCGGCTGCTGTGTAAGGGGTGTGCGGTGCTACCGCTTAAGTCGCTGTCAAAGCCATGTGCCGAGGGCATATGCAACGTGGCACTGTCGTGGTTGGTGGGTTCGCTGGGTTTTGAGTTGTACCCTGTATCGTGGAAACCTCGTGCCAGCTGCGACGTTGAGTGCGTGGAGGGTGATCCAGTCGCACGAAGACTCTTTGAACTGCTTTCCACGTCTCTCTGAACCGCTGGCAAAGATCGTGATGGACGTGGCTAACCGCTTCCACCGCTACTTTCATGGTTACGAGCTTGCTAGCCAACCACGTACGGACGTATTTCATAATTAGGGCGTGGCATACATCAGATGCCACGGCTGCACTAACCACGGTTATCGACGTACGACATCGCTTACTTCCTTCTACGATCGTCCTCTTGTGGATATGCAGTGGGGTTACAATTTCATAAGTACAATGTATGGCGGGTGGCAGGGCTCATTACTGGAACGAGGGAAGATACTAGTGCATATTATGGAATCATACATACTATGTAGAGTGTATTAGAACTCGATATAAAAAAAAAATATGGCTCCGCCTGTAATTTGCCGCTGTGGCCCACCTTTGCGGCCCGAAGTGGATCGAGCATCGATCGATCTTGGCATTGTGACTGGCCTTGAGCCCTTGATGCACGACAACTGCGGAGTATGGAGCTCGCTTGGCTTGGTGCTCCTCTTGCAATTTCACTCGGTATGGGTGGCCATGGCATTAGTCTGCATAGTATGGCTGTTAGCGTGATGACGACAAGGTGGCAGGGCTGGCTTTTGTATGTAATTGTATTCTGACAGGCGCAGTTGGGAGGGGAGATATTCCTCTGGATTGCGTAGCACGGTTCAGCCTGTTGGCAGTCAGCGCTTTATTTTCTGTAAGCACTTGCATATGCAGTAAGCTTTTGATGTAACCCACCGGAGTCATTTTTACTTTTCAAATTTCAGATGTACCTTAAAATATCCCGAGGAAAGGATGCTGGTGGCTTGGGGCATCTGTCAGAGGAACCAGGTGCCAGGTCACCAAAAGAGAAGCCAGTTTCTTGGGCGGCGGCCGAGGCCAGGTATGAACGGAGTGGCGATACGGGTGAGAAGCGGGCATCAGGGGTACTCGTGGGAGTTGGCAAACCCCGCAACTCCATGACAGCTTGTAGAGAATGTAAAGAGTGTCCGAAAAGGACCCCCCTCCCCCCCACGCTAGAAAACCGTATAGCCACCGTACGTTATGCCCCTTTTAGAATATAGTCAATATAAATACGACCTGAATATGACCTGATATATCAGTATTATGGATCTCCTAGAGCCCATAGGTTTTTAGGTGCCTGAAATGGTACTTTTTCGACTTGATAAATACTAGTGTTTCTATTCTCTGTGCGTATCTATCGGCGGAAGCTATTATTAACGGCGTTAGCACCGTCGAACTGCAAATTTGCACTGAACATCGCTGAGATCTGTTGGTTTTCGCCCTCAAATAGGTATGGTTAAAACTCCATCTTAGTTCACTTGATGTCAGTTACGCGCAAGGAGTTACGCCAAGTCATGTGCAACATGATTCTCACGCACACATCGGAACCTTCGCGGTTGCAAAACGCATTCTACTTGCAACCATCTAAGTTGGACGATCCCTTGCGAAATGACAGATGCTGCGGCTTTGTATTACTTTGTGGATAGTAGCGTACCGCATGGCCGTCTTCCGCATGATGTCTGAGAACTATACTAAGGTCTACCATATTAGAAGCTCTAGTTGGCATTCGTTACGCAAGTCAAGACTATTCGAACATGACTGGCTCAAAGATTCTACCCCCTGTTCTGTGCGCCACTCTAACGGCGACAAGGTAATTCGAAACCATCACCATTGTGTCAAAATGCCAGCCTTGTCTTGAATGTCTACCGGAATTTGGAACACAGCAATCTACTTTCCAGTATACTCTTTTTCAGGTTAACCCTCACCCAGGCCAACATGTTTGGATCACAGGCCTTCTCGAATCTTGCAGAACCTGCATTTCCATGTCAGACAGCGAAAAATCGTGCGGAATCCTGTGCATGTTATCAAAGCCGAGACAGAATTCGGGATATCTTACTTCAGGGGCTTCTCCAACGTCATTTTTATAGAAGATCAGCTTCACATGGTGTTTTCAGCCCGGTTCCAGCGTCACCCTCAAAAACTTCATTTTGTATCATGCCCGCAAGTGATCCATGTCCCTGGTTTCACTCCAGACAATCAGGTGTTACTTCGAATCAAACCCGACGCTATAACGGACCGTATGCCAAAATCAGAATGGGAAAAGCTCTAGAAACATTACAAGATTATCCGAAACAAATGGCTTATTATTTCTGATGAGTAGAGAGAACTTGAGCTTTAGTTATTTACCTTTTTCAAACATCGAAAATATCATCCGGAGAGATCCAGCCTTGAGGGAAAAGCCTGGAACAAATTCTTCGGCTGGACAAGAGCCGTATCAATTGTGGCCGACCATCAGGTTCAAGCCTATTCTCTGTAGACTTAGTGAGCAACTGAAAGTATTCTTTGAGCTCTTCAAGTGTTGGGACCAGATGTCCCCATCCGACTGTATAACCTTCAGGCAGGTTCTTCTCGTCGATGAGGCAACCTATCAAGATATGTCAATAGGTACAGGTTGTATATAATGGACAAGAAGCACACTCCTCGTAGTTACGCACCCGTCCCCTATATCTTTCCTTAGACTTCTTCGATGCTCTACTCGTATCCGTTCAGCATCTTTCTGTCAATGGGCACCCGGATCATAACTTCTTGACGTTAATCCATGATGAGAATTTCATTTCTTCTCATGCCGAGAAGCCTTCAATGCGTCGGAGAGTTTCCCCATATTCAGTGGCTACATGCAAAAGGATTACTACAATAATAAAACAGGGAAGAGCAGGGAAGGAGGCTATCGTTGACGGCATATTAAAGCAGAAAAGATTTCTGAAGTGAATGTCTTCAGGGTGAGGGTATGATATAGTTATACTGCATATTTGGCGTGAAGAACCTTTGTCTAAGTAGTCATTAGTTTAAGTTGGCTCCCTCCACTTAAGAAAGGACCTTGTACTATGATATTGAATTAAGCTCATGACACTAAGGACAAAAATAATCACAAACATGGAAGTCACTCCCGCATTTGCGTTGAGTGCATGGGAAAAACTCGGTGGGTAAAAAACCATGCCCGGAGCGAAACAGGATGTTGTTAGTTCTCAAGATCCCGAAGACTTCGTTCTAAAGCCTTTTGAAGCTGACGTGCTTCAACCCGGCGATGGTGAACCTGGGTTGATTCACCTCCCAATCGGAGTAATTCATCGTCCGTGTAATTGCTAACAATTACTGGGTCAAAGACGCCTGGAAGCTTCGCAAGGATATGTCGCTCGATAACCTGACGGCACACGTTGTCGATAAACGTCTTTATCGCTACCTGAAATGATATTAGTCTTGATGCGTAAAGTTGAGTATATCAGTTGGTCCATACTTTATAATAGGCAGCTAGATCAGTCCTCGCGTCCAGACAGGCCTGCTCAGTCATGTCAACAATTACACGATCCTGCAGAGATGTCACTAGTCTGTGAATCTCAGCGGGTGAGTCACTAATATGGAATTCGCCATTCCAATCCTCGTCGATGGCTTCCTTTATGGAGTCTTTCAGATATTTCTTGGCTCGATCGTGCCGTGCTTTTTGAATATTGTCTGTGTAATAATGGTTGTATGTTATTGGATGCAGTATTTCGTCTTGCCACAGTTTTTCAAACTCCTTATTGGCTTCTCGAATATTGTTGTCCAATGTGGTTGTGACTGATTGCATTAGATTCTGACGGACCTTCAGATCTTTAATAACAAATGCCAATGCAGAGTCTACAAATCGAGATACTAAACCCACAACAGCATGCACGTGTTGGCGGCCGATAACTCCCCACCGTCCTGATTGGGCATGGAATAATTCTGTGAGAAGGACATGGTTATGGTTTCCAGGCAATTCTTGCCCTCTCGTCTGATGGAATATCTGTATGCGTTAGGTGAAGCAAGCTATGGAAAAATAACAGATCTTTACCTGTCTAACCCACGAGGTCATTTGTTCATCTGTCACAGGGATTTGACCTTCCTCCACTTTAACCCTGTCTTCCGGATCATCTGACACTACCTTCCTTTTCTCGCCATGCTGCCTCATATAACTGGCAAACTTCTCATTCTCCATGTGAACAGCTGCACGGAGACGAACAAATAGATCCCCACTAACTTGAAAAAAGGCAGCATTACGACCTCCATAAGCACCTTCCACACCATCCTTTACTAAATTGTGAAAGTCACTGCTGATCTGTGTTAAGTATATGCGGGTTTGGCTCGGAGATGATCGTTCAATTCCAAGGTCAACAAGCTCCTCATTGATCTCGTTTAACAAACGACGCACATCTCGACGGACTTTGGGCAGTTCACGCTCAATGTGACTGTCAAGGAGGTCTTGTAAGAATGATCGAAGATTGTCAACTCCTACACGCGACGGATCAAGGCCTTGGCTTTTCCAAGCTCCAGTTGAGAAGAACTCTGACTCTGCCTTACAGCGTTCCGATAACGTAATTCCTTGTTCTAGTTGCGCTGGCGTCGGGTTCTTGAGGAGGAAGAACCCCAAGTTTAACTTTGGGCCATCTAAATTCTTGGCCAGGCGAGCAACACGGGATTCTGTGCCAGCGTTAATAAGGTCCGGTTTGGTGATAATGCCAACAGTTCGAAGTCCGTCTTTGTCAAAGTGGCGAGCTCTTTGAATAATCCCTTGAGTGTCGATATCACTGCTTGCGGGAACCACAGCCAGTATAATTGTCCGCGAATTTTCAAGGTATAAATCCACTAGATCTCGGACACGACGAACATCTTCCTCATTCTCAGACACAGAAATCAAACCGGGCAGGTCAACAATTGTTAAGTGCAGCCTTGTGTTACCAACCAACTCCAAGCGAAGAACATCTTCTGAAAAGGCAGGTGCATCTGGTTCTGTGTCATAACCACGAACCCCCATCAACTTCGCAGCTTCCTCTATGAGACCTGGAAGGTCTGAGAATTCACGGAGGCTATGCTGGAATGCCCTTAGCCTAAGCCTTTCCTCTTCTCCCCGCGAGACATGAGGCAAAATAGTGGCAGTAGCATGTTGCTCTCCCGGCTCGTGGCGGAGGATGATTTCGGTCGCAAATCTGGTGCAGAGACCATCCTGGCGAGGAAAAGGAATCCCGGTGATACCTTCCAGGACAGAACTTTTCCCTGCTCATTGATCACCACAAACTACTAGCTGTGGTAATGCGACATGGTCACCAACCCCGTTGGCGCGAACACGGTCAATTTGATTGAGTCTTTCAGATGTTCTGGATGTCTGAAGACCAAGTCTGTCTCCAACCCAGTCCAAGTTAAGCGAAGCCCAGTCTTTCTCCGAAGGAGTCTCCATAATAGTCATGGAAATTGGCTGAAAGGATTAAAAAAGATCCACAGGATGCGAAAAACTAGCAATAGAAAACGAGGGAGGGTCAGAAAGAGACCTGGCATTCAGTTACTTAAGCATTTAAGCAACTCAGTCAAATTGACTAGGGCAAGGGGTTAGAGACCACGTCGCATTACTGCATCAAACGCTCGCTGTTTACAGGGAGAAAAACAGAAGACCGGAGACGGGTATGAGCATAATTTATTAACAAGAGATTGCGTTCTAGGCAAGGGAACTTACATTCCAGCACCAGCGAACGATAAAGGTTATCTTGAATAGAAAATATTCTCTATACTGATATAATTAATCTTTGTTATTGGTTTATATTTCCAGGGCTTCCATTACCGTCTTTAGAATACTCTCCACCTATTTCGGCTGCTTTTTGGCAACTTTCCTAAAATTTTTGAGACACCGCTCACCAATAAATAGTAGCATAGCATCATTAATACTAATAGAGCTAGCTGTCAACCTTAAAAGCATTAAAAATTACACGATTCTAACATTAGTACTTCTAAGTCAAAGCCCCCACACTACTATAATAGTCCAGCATTGCTTGTTTGGGAGCAAACAGTAGAAGATTTGACTAACTATTAAGAGTCCTTTTGCTCTGTTACCCATAATTAATACTTTCTGCGAGAGTGAAGAGATCCATCTATATTGAAAAGGAAGGTCTCTTAGGTCTCTTAATTATCTGAATCTATCTGAATCTATCTGGGAGAACTAAATAAAAAAGTGAAAACAAAGGAACAAAGTCGGACCGAGCGGATGCTGAATAATGAGTAATATTGGCCTGGCCTACTTGGTCGACACATTTTAAATCAATTCTAAGTCTTCTGGTGCGTATTGTGCTGAAACTGGCATGTACTAATAAATACAGTATTGTTGAATGTCCTTTTTTACCTAATTTATATTTGTATTTCTGCACTGCTTCCTGAGCAAGATATGTAGCACGATTATTGGTTTTGCAAAAATAAAGAAGGCAACAATTGCTGAGGTAGAAGAGCTGTTAGCACTTCTATTTCCAGGACCTTTCCACTCTTTCATGTTATCCATGCAACCAGTCGTGCTCATGAGTCGGTTTTAAAAATCTTAGCGCTTGTCGAGCGGGGCGAAGATTTTAGTTCAATGGAAAAGTATAAGTATCCTAATCCCATTTTTCAGCAGAATACGCCTATCAACCAGCCCTTGCGGTTTTACCGTTAAATTTTAGGGACTACCATATATAAAATGGCACCAAGACTAGCACCATCAAAATCTAGCTTATCTATGATGCTTTACGGGAAGTGAACCGCTAACCAAGTATCAGATCGCTAATGCTGCTGAATGCAGCCGGCAGTTTTCCAACTCCTCAACAACAAAGATACTTCAATGTCCGCTTCATTGCAAAAGTTGATTCTGTTTGAGAGCTACTTTTCATTCCATCCTCATTCCGTAGACTATTCGGCTATAATGTTCGCGCTTTTGATGTTTGTCCGGTAGTGCATTCGTGGTATCAAACCGGTGTCAGGGTGGAAGAAACGAACAAATCCTTCGTAACATGCTAGATCCATTCCACACTCACAGTTGATATCACCGTGACTTGCTCCAATGCATAGGGCGGCCAACGCCATAAGCTTGCGCTCCTCCTGCTTCTCATCCTGATAATCCAAACTTTGGGCAAGTAGCTCCCAATTATCATGACCACTGGGCTTCTCATCACAAGTGCAACCCCAATAGCATGTTTCCAATTTTGCACTCAGCCGGTCATATAGCATCCCATATGGGTCTGCCAAATCGTTGGATGCTGAATAAAACTGCTGAACCAGCTGCAACAGCTCCATCACTTCCGGGGGATTTCCGAACATTCGACCTCGTACGCTTATGGCCTGGTACCGCTCGAATTGCTTAGAGGCGTTGTATCTCCAGTGCTGCAGGTAGTAGCTCACAGTACCGAGGACGAGATCTACCATATCATAGTCCTCGTCGTCTACTGCTCGTTCAGTGGTCAGTAGGATCATATATGCCGCGTCCACCACCTGTTGATCACTGGTGAGACCCCGGACAAGATTGTTTGTCTCTCCGCCTAGGACATCACGTTCATAGTCCTGAATATCGTTAGGCACAATTTGAACCCATGCAGATATATAGCCGCGAGCCGAGCTAAGGGGTTGTCCACAGAGATGCCGTGTGACAGCTTCCCCGCACCGATCACGCATAGCAGCGTACTGTGTCTCGCGGTTCTTGCTATTGTCAGGTTGGTAGGATATTGGAAGCACATTGTCCAGGCGCTCTACTTCGCGCCTGACCATCTCCTTTACATCTCCGACGATCCCGTCGACGAAGAGCTGATGGACATCGCAAGGAGTATGCTGCCACACCCATTTAGCCGCTAGAACCCATGGCAAGTTTCGATTACGCCAGAGCTCACGATTGGCACCATAGTCAACTATGGTAGCAAGATACAAAAGGAGCACCTCCAGATGGTATCCTGGGCGCCAACGGCCGTCTCGAGTCGACAAGGTCGACCACGAACACCACGTGGCCCAGGCTTCAAGGTCACCACGACGAAAATGACCACCAGGCTCGGTGTGACAACAATCTTTATAGTTACCCAAGACACGTGCTCCAGTGTCGCGTTTCACTACTATGCCTGATGTCGTCAACCCCTCCCAGCCGCCTTCACCCCGACCGAAAAACTTTCGTTGATTGCCGTCATTGGCAGCATTCACGCATTTCGGAATAGTTTTGTTAATCATAAGGTATACTTTTTCGATCTCTTCTTCCTTCAACAATCCAAAATCGGAGAACTGGTCATTTCCCTGGCTGGGCTCAGCATCAGCAGTTTCTGACCTTAGTGCATGCTTTCCCCAAAGTCGTCTCAATCGTTTCAGATTTCTACCTTTCGGGGCATCGGAAATCTTAGACTGTGCAGGCTTGGTTTCGGTGATGATTTTGCCGTCGAATGTAACCCAGCTGCCGTAAATGCAATAGAGCCCCGGGGAAAAATACGCACGTCTTCGTCGATTCCATCTCCCAATACATTGGACTCCGTTGTAGTGTCCGTCGCAAGTTATATAATGTCTAGTTGTGCCAATATCCTTTGAGATGGTATCAGTCCAAGAGTGAATAAAGCCTTTACTAGTGCTCTTTTTCGCTGGTCCCCAGGAGGGTACTCGTTCCCCTAGCCATGGCTCACACAGCTCATCATAAATCTGAGCCACCATGCTATCCAAGGATTCAGGAGAATTAAAATCTTCGCAGTCATTGGTTGCAAGCTGTAGAATTAATGAGTGGTACCGTGATTTGATAGAGGATAAGGCCTGATGAATGTGGAGGACGATCCTAGTCCACGCATATAGTCCAAGTCGAATCAGATAGGTCAATGATGGCCTCATGATTCCTTTAAACTTAAGACAAATAAAATGAAATTTAAATTTGCCACTTTTGTAGCCAAAGACTGGTTGGGGCAATTACCATCCTTCTGCCTTCATGCATATTTGTAGAGCCACATGCAATACACAGTGATGAATGTCAAAGGAGTGTGGACTGGCGTCGGCACGAAGAAACTATGGATGAGCGAATGGTGAGCGAATGGTGAGCGAAGAATGAGGTGATTGTTTACAGAAATATTATGATTCGCCGGGGGTGAGCCCTCTTAAAGCGAAACGGCCGAATGAGGCAGGAGGGAGGTGCTCACAGTTTTTTGCACGATAGGTTTACCTATCTATTCAAGCAGGTCATTACGCTAGCACTATAAGTGATCTTATCCAATAATCTTGGTAGCAGAATAAGAACGAGATAAGAATTGTCGACCATAAAATTAGGCGTATTCGCAATTATCGATCCTTCATTGAATTAGGTCTCTGATTCAACTAAACTAAAACATCTCGCGTCTATAAAGGCGAGGTAAAAAAATGAAGAATTCAAACTAATATAGGAAATATACGATATAACTTTAAAATTTACAGCGGCCTTCCATTTAAGCTAACTACTTGATAATTCTGGTTTGCTAAAGTCTAGGCAATGGGAGTTAAAAATAAAATTTTACAGCTTGTTGGTAAAAGTGACTTTGCTGGCGGCTGTACAAGAAGTGTATTCTATCATTTCATATTTATCCACATACGATTCCTTCTACCCTTATTAAGCTTAGCTTGATAGCCTACTTGTTGGTTCAGTTACCATCCACAGAAGGCTAGTGAGCAAAAAAGAATAAGTAAATAAAAAGAGTTGTTCGCATTACATTCAGGTTGGACTCCATAGTCAAGTGAATGCGGAAAACACACAACAGGTGTTGTCTTTGAACCCCCAAAGACATGACATTACAATATTGTCATTCTAGGTAGCAATCTTCACAGAGAGTGTCAGCGCGGTTGCAGATCGCTCGGTACCTTTTTTTCGTTATAGTGGAAGGTTACTGGGTAGTTATCCAATTGGGAGTTTGTGACCCTTTTTGCACTACGTACAGTCAATATATTTTAATCCCCACGATCTCTTTCAACTACTTTACAACCATCTACCCTTTTCTTTACCGCCATGGCAGTTGTCGTGAAGATCGGCGCGAGGTCGGTTTGCAGTGTTCGTTTGTTCGCGCTGTTTGGTACTTTTGGTAGTGGGGGAGGCAGCCAGGCACGGTAGGTGGCGATATCTATTACACCATCGACTATTATCCTTTTCTTTTCCTCTCCATGCTTAGTGTTTTCGTTGCAGGCATCGAATAGAGTTGATTTAATAGCTTTATTTCTGTTGTGGATATAATATAATCAGTCCGGGTTGGTGGAGAGTCCTCCTTGTGGATTCTACCCCTGAATCCTTTAGTTGAACTTTCAAGAGGGCATCTAGAGCGCCTCAGATAGGAATGTAAGAGACTCAGTTGGTTGAGATGCTGTTTGAGATGCTGTGATTCCCGGTATTTCCACATGTAACATCTACTTCGTAATTAGGTTAGTGGTCTACGCGTAGTTAATCTATAGCCTAAAATCTCTCTAATCGTCTGCTTTAGTAACCCGAGGGTAGCGAATATTATTCTCCGGGGGTGCTGTTACTTCCTGCAGTGCTGGGTATTCTGAATTAAGCTTTATAATCTGTCCTATAATGTTGTACAGTGTGCATAATACCTGTATTTTAGGTATATTATCTGTATTTGCACCTCACCTACCCCACTGTTCTTACTGTGCTAATCAACACCACCGCTAGGTATGCCAGGTCCGTGGGGACCTCTTAATATTATACTATAAGTACCACGGCCCAGATGCTGCCACTAACGAATCCTGCCCGATATAAATACAACACCAGAAACATGCCAACAACGCCTGAAACACAATGCCTGCAGTCCGACCTGTTTTAGGCCCCTTAAAGCGGCTCCCGCAGAGGCACCCCAGACATCGCCAAGCACAGAATCAGAGATGAGACTGGCCCAGAGGTAATACCCGGCGTAAAAATATCATTCCCGGGTAAGATAAGTCACAGGTCTTTCCTGTTTAAAAAGGATTGCATAAGCATAGACGACCAGACCAATTACGATGCTAGTCGCTTTGCAGACTAAGCTTGTTACAGACTAGCCACGCTATAAGGCATTGCCTCAGGCGATCCACTGGGCGACAAACAGAACGTGCTGTTGTCAGCCTGATCGGCTGGCTTCCTGGCATCCGGTCTATTTTATCCAGATATTTTTCTGTCCCAAGAACAAACAATTATTGCACAGTGGCGACGGCGACATAGGTTTACGATGCAGTCATCTACAACACGGACGCCGGCCAGCCGAAAGAGTCGTCAAAGGCAGAGGCGGTGGGCACCTAGAGTGAGAACAGGCTGCGTGACCTGCAAGTACGCGGTTCTGCCCATGCCGGTTGAACAGCTGAACTGACATCAATCAGGATTCGCAGAATAAAATGTGATGAGACTAAGCCAAGGTGCGTGGCATAATGTCTTGCTGACCGCCGAGCAATTCCATTATCCAAAGGGGCCAAGTTGACCACGACGGGTAGTTGCCAGAAATGTCGGTCGACAGGACGGACCTGTGACGGCTATGAACAAACTTGGATCGTGCACGAAGAGCGCTTTTCATCTACTCTGCCACAAATGCCGTCCGCATGGGACTTCCTGTCTGAAGATACGGGTGAGAGAGAGAGCTTCGGCTTCTTCTGCTCGGTCACCACCTCTACGTTGGCTGGATTATTTGACTTCGGCTTCTGGTCTCGTAGGCTCTTACAGATATCGCATCATTACCCGGCGCTTTGGCACTGTATGACTGCTCTTGCCAGCATCCATCGCGAGTATGTCACTGAAAGCACGCCACCGAGTCGACCAAGGATTTGGGAGAATCGAAACATTGGGTTTGCATTAAAACAGTCCAACAGGGCCATTCAATCTCTCATGCAGCTGCTCTCAGAGCAGTGTTTGACTGCTCTGGACAGAATGGTTGTACTGACCACCAATATTCTGTTCACCTGTATGTGCAGTCTACAGGGCCGCCAATGGCAGGCCTTTATGCACATCAACAATGGGTTGAAGTTATTCCATCAGTGGGAACTCGGATCGAAACTCATCAGTCAGCCAGAAGACCGTATCGGAGCCGACATGCTACTATTGGTATTTACCAGGCTCGACTCACAAGTTCGCCCATATCTTCTTTGGCAAACCCCTCCCTTAAACTGGGCGGATAGTCAGATAACTCTGTCGTCGACCAAAGCACCATTTACAACTTTGCTCCAGGCATACGTGTCCTTAGAAGTACTGTTCAACGGGGTAATGCGGTTTTTGCTGTGTCCTGATACCTGGAGTCTGAGTCGGCAATCCGTCGTGTCAGCGGAAAAGCTGACGTATCTGCACCGCCTACATGAGTGGGATGCAAAATTAGCCAACCTCTTAAAAGATCTGTTGGAAAGTGATCATGGCAAAGCTATAGATCTGTTAACAATTCGGCGGAAGTTTACTGGACTTCTTCTTGCCACAAACCTAACTCAATGCGAGTTGGCTCATGATGCTTTCCTCAGCGACTATGTGGCCATAATTGAAGCGGTTAGTCGGGTCCTCGGGGATTTAAAAAGTCTAGTGCTGGGGAGGGACCAGAGCGCCGAGCGGCCGACGCATGCAAACTTTGGCCTAGAGACTGGTATCGTCGAGCCTCTGTTCTGGATCGGGGTCCGATGCCGCGAGCCTAAGATCCGACACCAGGCACTCAGACTTTTGCAGCGGTACCCGCGTCGAGAGGGGATCTGTGAGGGCATGTTAGCCGCCAAGATTGTGGCTAAAGTGATCGAGATTGAAGAGACTGGATGCTCGCAAGTAGCCAAAAAAATGTGTTCAACGAGCCCGTGCACCAGTGGACCGTGGATATGTGAAGCTCATCGTGTCAATACATGCGATGTCATCTTGGCTACAGAACGGCAAGTTCGTGTCGTGATACGAACTGTCGAGGACTGGGCGCTATCCCGTCCGGGTACCGAGTTTGTGACTTCTTGGTGGTGATCTGGGGGCTACCTGGAAAGTGGTTGTACTACTTGCCGAGTGCATAGGCCTAAAAACATGTAAAACAGTAAATGGAAGATTGCACCGCCGTTGGAACAAATAGTAGCACACAGCTAACAACTTGATGGGAGGCATTGTGGCCTCTGACTTGAGAAATAAAGTCCATGTACACTGTCAGCCCAGCATCGGCTAAGTCGCATCAGCTATGTCACATCAGCTAAAATTAGCAGTTCGCAGAACTCATGGACGTCCCAGTTGTCGGAACTTTCTTAGATATGAGGGCCTGAGAATTAATGCTCACTTGCGGCAGAAGTAATGTCAATGGCAACTGAAATGTATCTATTTTCTTTTTTTCTTATATTTTTTCAGCGGGCCTCTGACTCTTCAACGTCTATATCTACCGTTTTCAATATGCCTTTCTGGCTCGTTCGGCTGTCAGAAAGCGAAGTCCTATCTCTTCCAGAGTAGTTGCCGTCTATGTCTCCGCAACTAACTTCATTGCTCATCATCCCTGGTTCATGACCTCCCTGCCATCCATGCATCTCATCCAGTTCATTGTATTCCATTCGTGGTAAGCTATCCTCATGGCCGCCATTCTTCCACCCGGACCTCCTGGTGGAACTCCGCATTTGCCTTCTAGACAGATTATAACGATCCGACCTACTCGTCCCTTTGTTATCGCCGCTCATGGCTGAGACAGCCTTTCGCCCGACGTGGCGGAAAAAAAAGACGGGACTGCCGGCAAAGAACTGGCTATGATACCGGCGCTAATCTCGGCAGATCTGAAAGAGACAGATACGTCAGCAGGCATTCTTGTTGGCGACCTTGATGAAACGGAAAATCTTACGTCCAGAGGAATTCCGGGAACCAGTCATACGTCCTATCAAGGGTATGATTCTTCTTTACACTGACGTCAATCCGCATGGCACTCGCAAAACAAGCGCTAATTCAGTGGTCAGCGTATTTCTCCTCGCTCTTGGCTCTGAAGCCATGTCGCATATCCCAGTACTCACAAGAGGCCGGCAGCAAACACGGCTGATATTCCTAGTTTCTGCGTTGTCCGCATATGGAGACTCCAGACAGCAAATATGGGCAGAACCAGCAGCGATACGTCCGAGATAGTGTTGAGGATGGCGGTGGCCAAGATCATCACCCCCACATTTACGCAATGTCCTTTGACGTCAGGGTGCCAGATTTTTTTCTCGAGGGACGCAGGCAAGGATTTCGAGAAGGGTATCGGCGAAATAGAAGGCGGCGTTCAGCCACAGAAGTACATGGATAAACATGTACATCCAGCTCTTTTTAGTCGGGGCGAACACGCGGAGGTATAGCAGTAGGATACTTAGTTTTGTGATAAAGATTAACGGACCGTACATGATTTGCGATGCATTGGCAAGCTACGTAAGAAGTTTAGTTGCGCATCAGCACTATCCACTATATTCTCCTCTTGAATACCCCTACCTGTGCATATTTCACGAGGTCGTCATCAGCAATCTCCGTTTGGTGAACGCCGCTCCCCACTTTATCGGCTTCGAAGGCGATGGCAGCATATCCGATAAACGCAATCTAACAATATCAAACTATTAGTTAACGCTCTCTTTTAATTCCCCTTCCTCTTCCTTTCTATCTCTCTCCGCTGTTCGCGCTAGATGCATATGAATATGGAAGTAGTATGGCTTACCCAAGCGAGAAGACAGGTGTCTAAGGCAAGTTCAAATCAGCGCATTTTCTCTGGTTCCTCAAGAACGCGACACATACAGTCTTCCCAACTCGCAGATCTTCTCAAAAAGAACTTAGTGTACACCCTCATGGCCATCACAAGGGTAGTTGTAGTTAGGCATGCTGACTGGCATACGACGTTCCACGGTCGGAGAGAATTTCGGTAGCTGTAGTCTGGAGGGTCCTGCATGTCTTACTTCGTGAACAGGTTGTCAAGGCAGTAACCTTGTATTGACACGAGCCTCTTTTAATGGCACTCGAAAAGAAAGGAAATGAAAACGCTAAGGAAATGAAAGAAGTAGTTAGAGGCAAAGGGTCTGCGCGTATGCGTGTCCGGGGATAAGAGTGAATGAGAGAGTGAATCAGTGAGAGTCTGGACAAGAACTAAAATCGAGAATCAAAGTAGATCAAGACCACTCATGCCGATGGCCATTGTCGCCATGCTCTGAAGTAATACCTAAAGTACTACTAAGACAACTTGCCATACGTTGGAAGAGTTTGCAGTAAGCCGGGGTGGGTTGCATTGCAGAGGATTAGGCCAGCCAATCCATAGTACATCGAGATTCTACGCCGAGAAAACTGAACGTGCAGGGGTACCCTGAAGGTGTATATTCCAGAGTAGTTTCGATAAAAGCCAGACTGCCTAGATACATTGTAACTACCGAGGATCTGTGAGAAGGAACTTAGTGTTTTCAGTGATGCCATGTATAGTTTGTCCTTGGTCCCGCAGGATGGGGCGGTTAGAGCTCGGTTTACCGCGGAGTTGTTAGACTGGACAAAAGTACTTTCTAGATCAATTTGTTCTTAGCTTTTCTTCGACCCACTACGCTAGGCTCTTTACCCTTGATATACCTCGTGAGGTATATTACCCCCTTTATAATTTTGCCCTTATAGAAATGATATGCCATAGTTTGTAATCTTCGACAAATTCACTTAATCTGTGTAAGTTCCACACTTGAGTTGTTGGCAAAGCCTAGCAAGTGCTATAGTCGATATAAAAAAACACTTAGGCCACACCGAGGTCAAGTTAGACCCCATAGAGCCGTGTCCCGAATCCCGCGCAGCATAGCCCACCATCGAGGGCCTTCCAGGTGGAACCAGTACGTCCTGAGCCCCACTCGGAAGGATTGATAACCCTCCCAAGCTTTTCGCGCTAAGCTTTATAGTGGCTGTAGATCTTTGCGAAATGTTACACTCTCCATCTGGGCCCCCTTTTTTTTTTTTTTTTTTTTTATTTGTTTTCATGATAGTGTTGGAAGGAGGCGGACACCGGTGGCCAAATATGGATCCTTTAAACATGGCACGATTCTTGCAGGCCTGTCCCACATAGCTCTACGCATGCTTCAAGTTTTCCTAAATAGTCTTGAAACGTTGTATGAACAGATGAGCCGTGGGTCTGTTACTGTGCCTGATCGGATACTACTCCGAGTACCCCGTAGCACCAGGGTAATCCAATAGGTATAGGGACCGAGCTCCCAACAGTTCCTCGAGTGCTGCCGTTGCGGATAGCTCAAGATGTTCTGGGGGTTCAATTCTACGGGGAGGAATGGACACAATCGTGTCTAACCTGTAGTAATTTAATCTGTGCTCTATTTACCTCAGTGGGGAAGGGATCTGCCGATATTTTGCCACTAAGAAAGGAAAAAAATAAAATAAAACAAAAACGTCCATGTGCTGCCTGAAATCGCGTGGAAAGGCCTTCTTTAATTTCCATATTAGCAAAGCTTTGCTTCTGGTAGTCCGGACGCGTGAATGCGTTGGCTTCTACCGAGTTTGGCCCAGGCCTCTTCGACATCTCGCTCTACATCGTGGCCATAGCACCAGTCCTGTGTTGCCCGGTCGCTCATGCCGTAGGGGCTTTGCTCCAGTAGCGCCCCATCTACCGAGGGGCGCATTGCAGCGTCTCGGGCTTCCTGTTCCGGGCCATCACAGAGATGAAGAACTCGCCCATTGGCAAGGCTCGCTGCTTGAACCTTTTTCGTGCGAGCGACACGCAGTTTCTCCACTAGCTTGAGGGCGGGCTTAAGATCACGCTTATTAGTTACATAAGATAAGGCTTTGCATAATGTAGCCGCATCCTCAACGGCCATGGTGACGCCTAGGTCAATGAGACGGTTAGCGATTACTCTGATCTTGACAAGGCATGTAGAATACCGGGTTGGGCCTACCCATTGACAAGTAAGGTACCATGGCATGAGCCGCATCCCCAATCAGGATGAATTTCCCAGAGTCCGATGCCCATTTTTCAAGGGGCTCTACTTCGAACAGGGGCCAGTTATGGATCGACTTCTTCTTTTGTACAATCTTCATCAACCTACAGCACACTGTGTTAGTGGTAAATGGCATCTTGGCCTAGATAGGCTCTCTTGTTCGGGCACATTCATACGTCGGGTCCCAGTTGTGAAAGTATGATAACATTTCCTGGGTGAGTTCTTCCTGAGACATGTTGGATGTGTCGCTCGCATCGGGGTGCGACAGTACCAAGTTCAATCGTGTTTTATTGGATATCATGTAGGCCATTGCTGAACAGTTATTTCCCAACCTACTTCTCGTGAGCTCCAAAGTTGTTCCTGGTTATGTGGAAGCAAAGCAAGTCAACAACATACCAGAGGTTCAGGTTAGGATTCGACACAATCCACGCAGTCTCCGGATCTGCCAGCAGATCGGACACCTCGACTATAAGTCGATACGCAGCGACCCCAGTCTTACGGGGACCGCCGGTTTCGGTGGTCCCCAGAAGCTTCGTCCTCGCGAAAGAATTAATTCCTTTTGGGTTCTTGTTAGTTATTCCAGCCATGCATCTGCTAGCTTTGTGGCTACTACCTACCATCGACGGCAACCACAAGGTCTGGTTGTACCACTTCACAGGTTTCAAATGTGATTGTTGGTGTATCCATGTCATAATCAACGACGCGACTGCCGAGTCTGATATTTACCCCCTGTTCGAGAACATGCTGGTAAAGCACATTATGCAGCTCAGCGCGGTGAATCACTAGGTATGGCGCCCCGAATCTCTTTTCAAAATCTGGATTGAATTCCGTTCGAGCGAGGAACTCTCCGTCTCTCCAGCGTCGCATATGCAGCTCGGATGGAAGAGCGGATATCTGCAATAGGCTCTGGTCCACGCCCCAGTTGAGCCAGTAGCGAACACCATTCGGTGACATTTGTACACCGGCACCAATCTATGCATGAGCACATCGTCAATCCGAATCCCTGAAGTTGTAGTTGGGTCGGGCAAAACACCCATGCTTACCTCGGAGAGCTCTGGGGTAGACTCATACACCGTGACCCGGTGCCCATCCTGAGATAGAGCGATGGCGGCTGACAAACCACCAATTCCCGCTCCTACGATCGCGATGTCTAATTTTGCGCTATTGAACTCACGGCTCTTTTAAAGCATATACCCCATCAGCGCACGAACCCTGAGGAAACTGACTAGATGCTGCACTCACTTCGTTGTTTAACTGGGCCATGTTGGCTACTTCTTTATTGTTGAGTTGATGGACGTCTTTGATCAGAAGGAATTGTTCCCAGGTCGATCCGTTCCTCCCTTTCTACTTATATTATCTTATCCATACCCGCCCCACCTTTATAACCAACCCTTGTCGGTCTTGATACCACCACTGCACACTAAATGCTAGCATTGCAACATGGGCCCAGTCCCACAGGCCGTTTTGCGAGGATGAAGTATTGGAGCAAGGTAGACTGTTATGCAATGTACTGGTAGTCGGAGACGCGGTCGGAGACTTTTCTAACATTTGGATACTGGTGAAGCAGGCCTAGACTGAATTCAAAGTAACATTACGTGAATCCTTGTCGTTTTAGAACAGCGATGATCCATGTGGGAAAATTTTTCTTGTTAATATAATTTGTCTGGTTGCTCTCGGGGGGCCCGTCCAAATTGAAGCCTTTCCGGCTGCTCTCAATCCAACATATATTTTCTGCACATTTCCTCCCCCCTTGCAAACAGGACCGTCTGATTCTCTGTTCCTTTTATTTCGTTTTCTTGGGAGCTGGGAACTTTTCGTAGTGCGTCGTCCCTCCTTGATATCCATACCAGGTGCAATAAAATGGCGGGGTTCGAAATGGGTAAGTTGATGTCTTTGTCAATGCGTTTGTCTTCTTGCTATTTTACTTTTGTTTCAGCACTGGGTCTGGATACCGGTCCCTTCTGTGATATACTGATAGCGTGATAGAGTCCGAAGCAGTCGACGTTACGACCAATTCCAACTGTGACAGTGAAGAACTTGCCGAGCGTGTCCCGAGCGTGAATGAGAAGAAGTTGAAGCTCAAGATAGATGCACATGTCTTGCCGATTCTATGCGTTCTGTACTTTTTAGCATTCTTGGATCGGTGAGTACAATATAATTGCGACGGCACATTAGCCGACTCTATCTCTGTCGCTTGTACGCACACATCCTTACTCCGCATCGTTCAAACAGGATCAACATAGGCCATGCAGTCGTCTTTGGACTTGAGGAAGACTTAGGAATGGATCCCAAATCGAACCAGTTCAACACGGCCTTGACAATATTTTTCGTACCCTACGTACTGTTGGAGATCCCATCGAACATGGTTCTGAAGAAATTGCGGCCGCACATTTGGTGTATGTCATTTACGACGACTATCACTATCAACCCCGCTTACGGTGGTATATCACTGACATCTGACTGCAGTGGCAGGATGCATGTTTTGCTTTGGTATCTTGACTATCGCTCAAGGCTTCGGTAAGCTGCCCTCAGTGTTCTTCTAACTTAATCTAGGTATTAACTTGATGTTTCCAAAAGTGAAAAATTACAGCGGCCTTCTTGCGACACGGTTCTTGATCGGTGTGTCCGAATCCGGGATGTTCCCTGGATGTAAGTAGACGTTTGCCCCCTACCATAAGATATATGGTGCAGACAATAGCCCAAGCAACAGAATTAACTTGTGCTTATAGGCTACTACCTCATTGGAATGTGGTACAGGCGGCCCGATGCCCTACGCCGATACACTTACTTCTTCAACTCGACGACTCTTGCGGGAGCCTTCGGAGGGCTGATCGCATACGGCTGTGGTAAGATGCAGGGCATGAGAGGATACGGGGCCTGGCGCTGGCTTTTCATTATCGAGGGTGCCGTAACGTGCTTCGTTGCGGTTCTGGCCTGGTTCCTCATCTCCGACTTTCCAGAGCAGGCGAGCTGGCTCAACGAGAGCGAGCGGCGATGGATGAAGAGGGAACTCAGAGAAGACCACGGGGATGTGACTATTGACAAGCCCATCCGCTTGGGTGATATAATTGAGGTACTGAAAGATTACAAAATCTTCTTGGGCGCCTTGATTTATTTCTCTTTCTTGGTGCCTTCCTACGTATGTATCCATTGCCGGCTCGATAACAGAAAGACCCATGCTCATTGTTATACAGAGCTATGCATACTTTTCACCGACCATCATCCAGTCCTACGGTTACAGCAGTCTCCAGACGCAATTGCACTCCGTCCCACCATTAGCGATGGCCTTCTTCGTCTCTCTTGGGATAGCATTTGCCTCAGATCGACTACGCCACCGCTACCTCTTTATCGTCTTTAACCTGCTGGTCGCCATCGCCGGCGTTGCAATCCTGCTAACAGTCCATGACAAGCCTCGTGTGCAGTACGCTGCGTTGTTCCTCGTTGTCTTCGGTCCGTACTGCGGAATGCCCGTCGCGTTATGCTGGTTCACCATGAACTTGGGTGGCCACCGGCGACGCGCAGTCGGTACCGCTCTGCAGCTCGGTTTTGGTGAGATCGCGGGTATCGTTTCCACCTTCCTGTTCTTGTCTAAGGATGCACCATACTATCATACTGGCTACAGCGTAGCAATCTCCTTCTTCACCCTCGCCGTTTTCTGGTGCTCTTGCTACTTCCTGGTGTGCTGGTCGCAGAATCGCAGTCGTGATCGGCTGATGGCGGAGGGATGTTCCACAGAAAACACAAAGCCTGGGGAGGGCGACCTGGATGTAGCATATCGGTATATGCTGTAGATTGTTGCCGTCGAAGCAAGCAATGGATAGCCATAGGTCTCAGTATAGGAAAGCAAAATTAATATGAAGATAGAAATACGAATATACTTAGTCCAAGCTATCCACCAACCTCCCATAGACTCCAGCTTATTCTACCTCTAAGACAGAATCCAGGGTAACTCGACAGTCTCCTATACACACAGACCGTACCCCGCAGGCCCCTTCACGCGGTTTGAACAGTAAAGCACCTCGACAACGAAGAGCCGCAAAACTTCCAGCAGGGCTAGAATAGTTGCATAGAAGGATCAACGTAAAAGTGTCGGTAATGTAGAGGGTTCAACGTAAGAGAATATAGGACTGCATTTGTGACCAGCCTGAATGGATACACTAATAGTAAGCTTGGGTCTAAGTTATTAAGGACCATTTTCCATCTGGCAGCGGTTTAATCAACCCGAGGTCACAAGTATCTTATTATAGATGGCTATTCCAGTCACCTTCCTAGTAAATTCCTGGGCTTTTATTAATTATAATATCCTGTCTTTATATTTAGCTTCTTACACGATACATCTCTTGCAACTGCCTGTTATAGGATGCTTTATGCCGCTGGCCTATTACTATTATATTAATATAAACAATGCTATGTAATATAGCTTGTATAGTATTTCTAAGTATAGCTTTCTCCAGTTATACTTAGTAGCTCCTAAAAAGGCTTTCAAGGTAGAAACTTGTGACGGCCGAACAACTTGATTTAATTGGTGCTATCTTAACAAGAATTTCAAGCGTGGGGAAAGGAAGAAGGTAGTGGGGGGTCAATTCGACAACTGTGACCTCTATATCAACAGTAATATACTTTATATTTCCAGGTTATGTAGAATAGCAGTATCATTAACCATGGAACATTAGCTATACTGTAACAACTACCGTAGTCGTAGTTATTGATCTGGAAGGCCACACCGTAGTTTGTGAAAAATAAATGGTTGTTTTGTCGGCTTGGTCGAAAAACTGTCTGGAACGTTCTCCTGGATTGAGGGCAAAATGGGAAGGCGGATAACATCGACATGTCTCGAGGGAGTTACATGCGAGGAACCAGGCAGGGTCAGTATTATTTACCACGGTAGTTGGAGATATCAAGATAGATCAAAAGCGTGCCACTATAAAACTATCTCTATGGGCCGCCTTGAGTATGGGCTCTTTATTCATGATCAGTCTTATTCATTTCCCCTTGATCTGGACAGATCTTCCTTGATGGTATGGGTTGAGCACCGACCATGCAAGGGGGAGCGTCATCCGATCCCAGGCAGAATCCCTCCCCATCCACCGCCACTCTTCACGATATCGATGGTCATCCAGAGGCAAAAGTTGTTGAGACTGCAGATACTGGATTATTCCGCGTGGCACAAGGAAGATGTTATACATCCATGCTACTATAATCACCGTCAATCCGGATCGTGATATCATCACGGACGGAGCAGTGCTTGTTCGTGAAAATCGCATCAAAGACATTCAGAAAACCAGTGCTCTTCTTGGAAGATATCCGGACGAGGAACGGTATGACCTTACTGGACACATTATCATCCCGGGTCTTGTGTCAACCCACCTCCATACCATCCAAACATTGTTTCGTGGCACTGCAGACAGTCTAGAGCTCAAATCATGGCTTTGCAAGCGCATCGTGCCTCTGCAAAAAAGTGCCACCGTAGCCGATGCCATGGTCGCAGTTCAATTGAGCGTTGCCGAGCTGCTAAAGTCAGGAACAACCTGCTTTCTGGAGAGCATGGTGAGCGGCTTGGGTATCCATTTCTTCGGATCAACGAGTCTGATATTGGCGCCTCTAGTTCTTCCCTCGTCACGATTTTGATGGCCTTTGCCAGATCGTCCAGGCTAGCCGAATATTTGACAGTTATTACTATTTATTAAACTCGACTCCACTTGACCCACGCTTATTCTTGAAGGGACCACTTAAAGTTATGACCAAAGATCGGGCGAGCAAGGAAAAAAACAAATCCATCAGGCAATTAATACAACTGTTAGAGAGCCCTCTAAGTTCAAGATTGTTGAGGCGGAACTTGCTAATCAGAATAAGTGTGATGAATCTACTTGGCCGGGTAGATTAACCGGTCAGCTAGATAAGATAGTAGAAAAGAGTATCGCTATATCTTATATCAGGATCAGGGTGGGCCCACGATCAGGTTACAGGTCACATAGGCGCGTTCGAATGCCAAGGTGGACCGAAACTAGTCATGCGATGGGGTTAGCGAACCAACCGACTTATACCATACATGTTTTAATGTACTCCCCACTGCCCTCCCTCCGTCGAGGAGTGACTTCCGTGAATTACATAGTGATTCTTTACTTTGTTTTATTCTGCTTGTGAGAATTTTCCGTTGCCGTTCTGGTCGGATATCAATTTCGAAAAGAATAATTGGGCGTCCGAAAGATTATATAACCATATCTCTGCTCGGGAAAATGCTTAGAACTGACAATTACAAGGAGATTCGATTTGACAATAATATAGCGACCAGCGCGGCCGATTATATGAATTGGCTATATAAATATGTTTGAAAGACAGAGTAACGGGAGATTGGCCCCGTCGTAGACTAGAGATAGAAATCTCAACGGCCGGCTTCCCACGTTTGGACCATGGTTGACGAAACGAAGGCAATGCACCATTTTTTGCAAAAGTCACGGTGGCCTAAATATACTCCTCTGGACATCTGGTACCGATCACACGCAATTATGGGGCTCGTTACCCGGCGCATAGGGGTTAATAACCCGATCAGTCGTCGTCTCCGTGCAGCACTGTGTGTACTTCCCATTCATATCGTGGAGACAATCGTCTTGCCCGTAATGGAGGTCCCCATAATTGGCAGGCCAGGTAGCTTGCAGCTTGCAACCAGGAGTCACCTCCTGGTCCATATTGTTCGAGCCGTCAAACTTGGCATAGATGGTCGCTGTGCTGTTCGATCCAGGTCCGGCCTGTACATCTGCAGACGGGTGAGCGTTTGTAGAAACAAATTGATGCTGCTGCTGAAGGCCAGTACTTACTGTAACCAGGGGTATCGGGGCCGACTGGACATCTCGGCGAATCGTTGATCACAATATAGCCAGAGTTCACGAACTACCGCGTCTGTTAGCCGCGTTCCCGTGTCTGTACCCTCCGTCTAGCTCGACTTACAATGTTTGTGCCGTCAGAGTTGTAATTGGGTGTGTAGCAGGGAAACTCCGGGTTTTTCGGGTCACCATTTAGGCCACTTTGCATGTCCATGGCTGATCCCTGACACACACGGATGGAGAAAAATCCTGGGTCTCGAATGTTCGGAGCTTGTTGGCCGAAATCGGTAAAGATGTGATCAGTAACAGCGCTGGAGGTGTAGCTGTTGCCTCCAAACTTTTTAAACCCTCCCACACTGCTTGCCACAATGTCCTCAAGGATGACGCCGCCCCATTGCGAGCCGTCCAGGGTTTTATGATCTCCACCAGGCAAGGCATTTGCTGTGACCGAGCTTGAACCTGGGGTACTGCTGGGCGGCGCACTCAACACAAAGAACCACTGACCATCTTGACAAACATTTGCTTTCACCGCAACATCAGTAGGCAGAACCCTGGAGATATCGCTAGGAAAGCTCTTCCCGCATGCTTCACCACTCGCCCTAGATTGCTGTCAGCATAGCCTACAGAAAGGAACAAGCACTACGAGAGCCGGGAGCCCACCAGATAAAAGGCTTGGAACCGTCCGGCAAATTCTTCCAGGCCGCCTGGATAAGCTGGCCGTAGACCACCTTTTCCACCTGGGGGAGTGTATCAGTGAGTTTCAGCTCGTTAATGATGGGCAACATTGCACCATATTTGATCTGGTTGTATAGATCGGTGGTTGTTCCGTTCTCTCCGTGTCCAGAGAAGATAGAGTCCAAATAATCCGCCTCGATCCCCTGCCACCTGGACATCATTTGGCCGAGGAAGGAGGACAGCCCATTCTGCGCGTCAAGTGGATTGATGCTGAAACAGGTCAGACAACCAGAATTCCTTCCCTATCCCACTCAGGGACAACTCACGCGTTCATGTTTTCTTTGTAGAAAGTACCGGCAGAGCCAATAGAGGTCGCGATCATCTCATGTCCCATGTCAGTGGCGAGAGTCCCCAATTTAAACACTGTCCAAAGATACATTAATTGGTGCAAGATAACATCGACGAGGATTTGTGACATACAGGTATTGAAGAGCAAAGAAGCGCCAAAAGTGGTAATCAATTGAACCACATCAATTGCCATTTTGATGTCGTGGCTGCTATCATGCACAAGAGGGCTAAAAGTGGATGTGAAGACTCCAATCTGGTTGGTGACATTGGCCTGGACAGTTTGAATAGCCTGCCAAATTAAGGCATGCATCTAAATATTGGGAGATCTGATTAGTTCTGTCTTGACTGTAGCAACGAAATTGCAACCCTACCTGGTGAATTCCCACGAAGCCGGTGAGAATTTGAGAGCTAGGTAGCAATTGCCTGTTAGTCACTGTCGACTGAACAAACTAGTACTTAGGACATACCCCGCGGGAATAATTGGATTCTGGCACTGGACCGGCTGCGCACAAGCATTTTCCGAGGAAATATCGAAGCATCGCATTCCTATCGGCCCGTGAAGACGAGAGCTGACAAACTCGGGGAAAGCGCCCACAGGATTCTGCTGCCAAGCATCCAGAGTGGTGGTCCATGCAGCATCTGCCCCAGTGGCATTCCACTGAGTGCTGGGGTCAACCCCCTGTGGCACTTGGCCGCATTTCATGTTCTGCCAGTCATTGGCAGATGTGTTCTTCCACAGGGAAGGCTTGGTGAGAAGGAAGCGGTTGTTACCAATTAGATCCAGGTGTCTATGAGGTGTCGGCAACGGTGACGGTGTCGGGGTCGGCGTAACGGTAATAGCCAGTCCACTGGCTGAGTCGGCAACACAGGCCAGAAGGCCAAGCACTTCGAGGCGCATGTCTAATGACCAAATGAAGGCCTATAACAGTCACTGAGGCACTGAACGAATGAATGGGCAAATGGTACCCGTTAAGAAAGCGGAAATGATAAAAGAGTGAACGAATGGAAGGAGTGATTGGTAAGGAGCGAATTGAAAGATGAGTATCTAGCACAGGGTGAAATCCGCACCAGAGACATGGCGATATTTATATACTCTTGACTGCCTACTATAATCTACTGTCGCCATTCTACCTGAAGCCCTCATGGCATTCTCCTTTGCCGCGTTCTTCTTGGGGGCCACTTATTAGCTAAAGTTAGTATTAGCCAGCCTATCGCTTTGACTTCTTAGTTTGATGGATCAAGGTCAACTAAGTGGAGCAGTCACACGGCTTCTTGTGGCAAATACCTATAATACGGGCTAACAGATCCTGCTGCTACTCCAGAGAAAGGCCCCCGGGTCGGTTACGTAGTATTTGATTGCGATAGAGTCTCACTTGGTGACTAGGTAGGTAGTACTGGGAACCTACGAAGAACTATCAGGAGTATCCTACGGCGAGGTATTCGCCAAACGAGTATATGTACTTGTTGAGGATCGACTTGGCAAGACTTCTCTCTGGGTAACTTTCAACCCCTCCATACTGAATGCTCGCTGACTCACGTATGGTTTGGTGGTTTATCTAACGGCTGCCAGTATACGAAGACTTGATGATCCCAATTACACTAGAAGGGGTTATGAAGTAGCTTGGCAACGATCATTGGGGAACATCAGGCGGTAGGCTAGTCCTATCGGTCCCCGGAGATGTTAATGCTCCGTCTGTGGGGGCCGTCAACATGAAACCGATCCTTTCTCCGGCCGGGTTCCCATACTAATACATTGCCTTGCGATGCAAATGAAACACTCAGGGCTGATCGGCCGGTTCAAACGATGAACGAGACCCAGACTTGCAGATCCTGTTCGCTTAGCGGCAAAGATGTGAGTAGAAACACCATTATGGAAATCGCCAGGCTGTATGGTAGTTTTGAGCACGGATATACTCACGCTATATCGCGACGGTGGCAAGACACTTTATCACTTTTTCCGTGCCTCATTCGTTCTTTTCTCTGTCGACTGGAGAATTGTATATCCTGCTTGTAGCTGTCCAGTCTGCACGATTGGTATCTAGCACACGGCAGCGCTTGGACTTCCCCATACAACTCGACCACTGCAACTTAGGCCTATAAAACTGCTTTGGCCAACACCATTGCACTTCGACGCCATCATTTTCATCTCAAATTGGAAGGCTCTGGCATAGGAGGAGGAGGGCGGGAAGGAGAACCGGCCGGAGAATGGAGCATGACGATCTTCAAATCCCGACTATCGGGCAGAGCTGCTCGATACTCGGTTCCGTTAGTAGGCCGCAGCGGAGTATAGTCTTCGGCTCTCCTCATTGGGGTCGCCCCATAAGATCGGACCCCTAGCTCCGAGACACCCCCGCTTTGAGAACCATGTCCGCACGCGTCAAATTCAACACTTTTGACTATTTTTTAATTATCTTCATCACCACACGTCCAAAATGGCTTCCAATGAAATAAATATAGCACTTGCTATTAGAGTTTATGAAAGTGGAGTTTTTCTTTATTCGGCAAGCAGCTAAAGCCTACAACATTCATCCAGCGACCCTCCACCGAAGGCTCTCTGGTCATCAAAACCAACATATAAGTCTTATCCACCAACAAAGATTAAGTCCTTTACAAGAGGAATTTCGTGTAAATCGGATAATTGAGCAAGATCAACAAGGAATTCCTCCCTCCTTTACCCAAGTTCGAGAAATGGCCCACCGAATTTTGCAAATGCTTGGAGATAGTACCCCTCTTGGAAAGAATTGGTTGTTAAAATCTAAAAAAAGAAATCCACAAGTTGCCTCCATGGTTGGAAGTAGTACAAATGCTTCCTGAATTAAGGATGCACAGCCAGAAAAGATCCAGACATTCTAGAATTCTTTTCCTAAAATCCAAACCAATACGACATCTAACCAGAGAATATACGGAATATGGACGGGCATGGTATTATCTTAGGGGTGTGTACAAACCCCAGCTCTTGGAAAGGCAGGAAAAAATTATACGTATATTTAGTCTCCAGAGAGTAGGGAAATGAGTAATTACAACCAAGACCACACCCACCACCGGGCTCAAGACCCCCAAAAAAAAAAAAAGCAAACCCTGAAGGAAAAGACCCCCAAATATCGTGGTTTTCAGCAGGTAATATCCCAGACTGGCTTATTACAGCTTCAAAAAATGGATGGACTTTAAAAAATATTGCTTTGGAATGGTTGCAGGCCTCCTTTTTACCAGAAACTGAGCCGGAAGGTGGCGTGTGGCGTTTATTACTTCTAGATGGCTATAAAAGTTAGGTAAATGTGCTTTTTTTTAAAAAAAAAATTGCTATTAAAGCAATTTTTATATTATTTTCTTACCTCCTTATTCTTCTCACCTTTTTCAACCTTTGGATTTGGGGATTTTCTCTTCATTAGACGCTCATTATCGGAAGGAGATCAAAAATCTATTGTATCTGGATAATGCACAATCAAGAAGCAAAGATTTGTATAGTGCAACCAAAGGGCCCGAATAGTATAGCTTCTTTATTAAAAAGTGGTTGGAAAGCCACTGGTCTACACCCTGGAATCATTTTAAACGTTTGCAATCCTCCCAGCTCGGGGATATAACTACAAGATTAACCAATCTTAAGACACTAAGTACCAAGCAACCTAAAATTTATTCAGACTATTTTTATATAAACTCCCGAATCTAACAACATGTGTATATAAATATCGAACTCCTTAGGCAAAAGCAAGCGCTCACAAAAATCTCCGACTAGTTCTTTATAAAGCTGGCAAGGCAATTAATTAACTGTGGACACAGAAAGTAGATCAATATACTACTATTTACAAGCAGAAAGCAACAATTGACCGATTATCTGGCCATAAATTAGAAAAAGGGTATCTACAGATCCAAATGTGACGGCCGGACAACTTGATTAATGTTGTAGAACTCAGGGGAAATGGGGCGTAGGGAGCTATTCTATCAGCTACAGGCCAACTAGCCACATTAGGAAGTAGATGTCATTCAGTGGAAACACCAGGAATCACAGTATCTCAACCAACTGAGTCTCTTGCATTCCTATCTAGGTGCTCAACTATCTAAAGGATTCAGGGGTTGAATCGATCGTCAGATACTCCGCACCGCCAAGTCGGGCGGATTATAGTGTTTCCGTAACAATTAAATTGGCGCTATCTTAACAAGAATTTCAAGTGTGGGGAAAGGAAGAAATAGTGGGGCGATGCGGAGAAGTAAATAAGTACAAACAATGCAAACAAAGTCGGGTGATATCCGTCACACAAATACATAGTTTTCTGATATAGAGAACAATCGGAGGGCGTTGGTGGAGGTGGAGGAGAAGAGACATAGATATTAAGACCAGCATGGGAAATTGAACTTGAAAAAAAATCGAATGTAACGTTAAAACAGCCCCTAGAGGACCACCTAGTTGCGTTCCAGTTGGATGTAATATAATTGGGGAAATATGGCCTGAAATGTTGAATTTGGGGTGCGGACATGGTGTCTAAAGCGGGGAGTGTCTCGGAGCTAGGGGTCCGATCTTACCAAGGGTAGAATGCAGCGGTTAACTACCCGCCTTCCCCTGGCCAGTCCTTGTACCTAGAACCCTTTTTACACACCTGGGACGAAAATGAGATCCTCTTGACCACTTCGCTCTCGGACCGGATCTGTATTAGTTGCATACTGCTGATATGGCTGAGGCTTAAGGCTTCCATGGGTCACTAACAAAGCCGCAATACTCAAGAAAGCCTCTCAATGTGCCAATGCAAAGGAGAGGACCGAGCGACATTGTTAGCTGGTACGGGACCCGCGGTCTTTGGGCACCGGGCTCGAAAACGTTCTCCGATATCGCGAGATTGGGAAATAGGATTGGAGGAGAATGTATTCTCGTTGACTAAGCCCAAAAGGAATGATAATGTATTTCACGGGCGAGTCATCCACCTCCGCTCCCGATTTTACCTCCAGGTGAAATTTTAGGACCTTTATCAACAAGACAATCGCATTTCTATATAAAAACTAATTAGGAAATCGATTAGCACATTGCAACCGTTTATTTCCTAGATTAGTGCGGTGGCGCTCGTACGCGCGATCTAACTGCAGAAAGCGTTGGATCTATAGGTATCGCGTCCTGAGCTTCAGAGACGTCTTTCTCGCTCCGAAATCGCTCTAGACCCTCCTGAATAGTAAATCTCTCTGCAATAGCTAGCTGCCGAGGAGATTGTTTCCGCTGTTTCTGCTGTTTCTCATTAAAAGCGCGTAGTTCGCGTATTGCTTCACGCGCAAGAACTACTTCATTTAAAGCTACAGGTCTCATCTTCAAAGGCTTGCTCACAGTTTCCAACTTTCTCGAGTAGGTATGTCATCACCAGCCTCCTTCTAAAACTCAGGCAGATCGTGAAAATACCATGACGATCGCCGCGTGAACGCACTGACAGCGACAACTTTTCGCAGTTTATGATAAAAGCGGGCATTCTGATCAGCTCTCGCACATGCCTGTCGGCAATGATCTGCGCCTCAAACTGTAATCGATGGAGGAATAAACTCGAGTACGCGACGCCCACGGGTCGCAAGTCCAAGCAGCCGCTAGTTGGCGGTGTTGAAGCCTAGTGGGATTGAGGGCCGTGGAATTAGAACCAGTCCGGCCGCGAGGCTGCTGGCCTCCGTCCACTGGCGTCGACCACTATATCTTCGTCCCTCGCCATCGAACCTTAGCCACTGTTCCTGATACGCTTACTCAATCGTCCGTCCCTACTCGATAGTCCGCCCCTACTTTGAGGTCTGTCCGAACCTCACCTCATCCACGTTACTAAGATCTAATGAGTCCATAGATCGCTGTCTAATTCTCCAGTGATATTGACTGGTAGCCCGAATACAATAACAGAATTTCACTAGTAATGTAGGCACGACTCGAGACAATACTTATGCCATTTACTACGTGACAAATATGCTCATGATACAGGAGGTACAAGATAAATAGCGCCCTATGCCTGCTAGTATGAGAGTGCTGGAACATGACCCCTCTCTTGAATTAGCCACAGTCTTGAGACAGTTGTCTTGAGACAGGCCCAGATATGTGACTTCCCTACCAAGTCCACAAACTTCATGTGTTATCGATTCTCTCAAGAACAAGTTCCCACTAGGTGGAACTTTCTGTGAGGACACTCTTGTGAGGAAACTAGGGCCGTAGTCAGAGCACGGCTGTGGCCGAAATAGGGCCGCAGATGTGCGAAGGCCGCAGCCTGGAGAAGGCCATGGCCAGAAGAGGGCCGCTGCCTTGAAGATAGGCAGATGGAAACCGACCTACGTTCCAAGATCGTGAACGCTAATCACCCGAGACGACTAGTACTCACCCCTGGTGAGCACACCAATGCCATGATTCGATAGGATAGACGATAATGAACTGGTGCACAGTACGCCGGTGTTTAGCGTTGACACTAATCAAGTACTTCATCTCTCGATTCCGGATTAGCATCATGGCGTTCAAGGAGTATGCTCGCAATTTCTTCATGCCCATGTTCTGCGGCAATTGCCAGCAACGTCTTGCCCTCAGATAACTTTATATCCGGCATGGCGTGCGTTTTCTGGAGAAACATCTCCATAATATCGAGATGCCCTTTTCAGCGGTCAGACGCAGCAGGCTTTTGAAGTCTAACCTATCCATCCATGCTCTGTTATCTTGTAATAAGAGCTCCACAACTACTTTGTGACCATTCCATATGCTGGTTCACAATGGCCTTCTGCCGTACCTGTCTCCCGAGTTTGGATCCACTGTCTTTCGCAAGTAGCAGAATGACCACTCTACCATGCCCACACCCTGCGGCATAATATAGTGGCGTGCGGTATGCTTTGTCTTTGAAATTTAATTCTCTGTCGTTCGCAATCAATAGTTCAGCTACTCCAACATTCTCGTGCATTGCAGCTAGAGACAGTGGTATCCCATGTATTCGGCCTGGCTGAATCAAGTGGGGTACCCTCTTTTTGGAGATCGAGCCCAGTCCAACATCCCACATCGTTCTCAACGGGCACGCCACGAAAGAAAGGTTTCGGTCCCCAATTTGCTCCTTGCTCTAACGATTTTTCGCCGTTGTTGTATACCCGTGGGCTGCTACCCAGAGTAGGCCGGAGCTCCCGGAGTCTTTCAAGTTTCGCTTGTATAGATGGCTGGATAGCAGCCAGTGGAGACGTTTATTAGCCTGAACAAGCGCATTGACTTCCTTTCGCTCATGCACTCCAATATATCAAGCAGTAATTCACTGGGTAGGTCAAACAAGTGCATTTTCTGTCTCTTAATCGGCAAGCCAGCAGTAAACCCAGAAGCAATACGTAAAACATAGACTCCGGAAGTCTTCAATCTGAATTGGGCGTATCCAGCGAGTGTCCGAGTTTCACAACTAGAAGGGACATTAAAACTAATGTAACTACCAACAACAAATCAGTGATACATTGGGTCGCATCCAACGCTTCAGATGGCAGAGACATTGTCATTACTGCAAAAAACAAGGGATTTAAATGGAAGGGAGCTAAGAGGTAGGGGCACTTTTTATATCTCCTTTCTTATGCCTGAGGAAACCATGGTCCTTCATCCGAACAGTTTAGTGCTTCCGCCTGATACCAGTAACAGACTCGCGAAGGAAGAGCAATTGGATGGGAGTCAACTACGGTCAGAGTGTTGTCATCAGCGCTATGCCGAACGCAAGACCGTTCTAAACTTGCACACATGCAGGTGGCTGCAACAATATAGCAAATGCATGCACGGCCTAGATAAGCACTTGGTTGGCTGTTATTACTCCCAAAGGACGTCATCGCACGTCAGACACCCCATATCCAGTGCAGAATATCTGTGTCAGAGTCATACTTCAGCTTTATATACAATTCAAACGGTTCATTCTCGGTGCTCCCGGTGGTGAAATAGCACTGTTTAACTTTCAGAGACTTGGTATATTCATGTTCAAAGCAGATATTGCTTTAAGGGATGGGAATGGGATACACCACTGGGTATCATAATTCTAAACGATATGACAACGGCACGCAGTGCTCTTCATTGATATCGTAATGCTAAATCACTAAATATAGAAGTTGATTAGATGTTCCGGCTGTGTTGGAGTCTGCCCCGTTGGCTATATAAAACAGAGAACTCACAAGTCGGGTTTTCTTCTTCACTCCTTATCACTACCACCTGATTACTCTTGCTCATACTTTATCATGTCTTATACTTTCAACATCTGTAATGTTGTCATTTACCTACGCACAGAACAGGCAGCAGAGGCACATATTCGTCAAAAGCCCCCTCAAGATAGCATTGAGCCCGAGAGCCAGCGCTCCGAGGGACATTACTCGGAGACAAGCAGAGATGAGATGATCTTTCTGGATCTATTAAATAGGCATTAACAGGTTAATAGCAATCTAAACAGAGATTGAGACCATGCATAATGGTCTTCCAAGTGACTAACATAAGTACTGTGAAAAAGTCTTCAAGATAATGGTAAGAGATGATCCCGATTGTCAGGGCCTACGCTGGCCAAGGCACCAAGTCTACTTTATTCACAGTTGATCCCACAATGTAGTGATTTCCCACATTTCCTGTACGATAGAATTCTTCCTTCCTTCCTTCCTTCTCTACGTTTGATGTTTCGTTAGATCGCCACCTTAGATAGAATCCATCCATTTTACCAAGGTGTATAGGATCATCACACCGATAATCGGAGCACAGATGTTAATATCTTGCAGAAATCTCGCAATTAAGACATATCTCTGTGTAACGAACTCACCAAGCAGCCTGTTTGCATTGTTCGTATCTAGCTTTGTTTATCTCCCCGCATAGTCCCCGCACCACCTTTCTTCCTCCTCCCCACGTTTGAAATTTTCGTTAGACAGCACCAATTTCATCAAGTTGCTTGGCCGTCACACTAGGATCAGGCAATTCGCCACGTCATGGACAGGGGTTCGGCTTATGATAGGTACCGGAATGAGAGAAATAGCCGCTGAATCCGTCTCAACTATTTTACAATTAGCTAGTAAATGGTACCACCATAATCACATGGCGTTGTCAGGCTACCTGTAAGACTCAATTTCCCGAGTAAAACAGGACGGTAATCTACAAGGTTTGCATGTCGCCATATGTACTAATATCGTACCCCTAGTTTGGGAAGCCAAACCAGGATTTATATATGGTGACGTATTATTCCGACTCGTTTGTTAGGATGGTATGATATTTAAAAGTCGCTGTAGAATTAGGAACTTGCGTAGGCCATTTTCTTTGTCCACAAGGTATTTTGTACTTTCTATCGAAGTACAGTCAAACCTCGTTTAGTCGATGCCCCACTTAGTACAATTTCGCGTTTAGACGATAGAAATCTATAGCACCGATTCTCTCTTTTATATGTAAAATCCCCCCAGAAAGACGATATTCGCAGTTAGTCGATATTATTTTCCTGAAAGTGGAGTACGGTCAGGGGTAGTGGGGACGTGCGAGGTTGGCACCAAGCTGTCATTCCAAAATAATAAGCACTAACGAACTTGGTGCTTATTATTTGAGTGGTACGGGTCGGACAATCCCGACAAGGCTGCTTGTTGGATGCTTGTGGCTTGAAAACATCTAACAGCCGCACCAGATCATCATCATCGATGGACAAGAAGCAACTGCAGATCAATTCGTACCAAGTCTAGGGTACGCTTGAGTAGGTGTGTTACCATGCAGAGCTTCCCACGAAGACGCAAGGTTTCTTCCTGTATCCCATGCTACACCCGAAAACAAAAGGTATATAGCCATCGCACCGCAAGGATGGCCAGTCTCGATCTGAATTCGCCTAATGTTGTGTTGCAGTGTAATCGCCAATATCCATGCAATCATTGCACTCGACGTCGGCGACCAGAAGGCTGTGCCTATTATCCATCGGAGGCCACACAACATGGCAGCCCGACGCTGCAGACGGCCAATCGCCATGAGGATACAGAGCAAAGTGGGTCTCGCCAGTCGAACGACAGTCTTGGGACTGAGCTATCAGACAATATGTCTCAGCTGAGAGAAATTGGAAACCCAACAATCTCGTCGATCGCGGAAATATTTGGCTATTCAGAAGATAGTAAATCCAACACCATGGGCCTTATACAGAGAGTGAGTTAATCCATAGTCTCTAGCAAATGAAAACAGGAGCTAACTAATTACAGTTACGGCTACGCGAACAAGAAGAGCAAAATTGGAAATGCCGACTTTTGCCACATGAAGTTTCCGCTCAGGTTCAACAGAGCCTGCGGAGGATGCCGGACCGCCCCATCCTGGATTTCCTGGTGAGGTTCTTTGTGGCTGAGGTGAATTGGTAGGTTAGGGGGCAAGATAGCCTCTTTTCCAGTGTCTGCATGGCTTTTAAGGATACCTTGCTAAAGGGTCACAATACTTTTTTTAGGATAAACCAGCTCGTTCATCCGCCCTGGTTTCTTGAGCAATACCAACTCTGGTGGGCTATGAAAAGTCCATCATCCGAATTTGAGATCGAGTTGGCTGTTCTTATTCTAAGAGTCTGTTCCTATGCGTCCCAGTTCCTGCCATCCCCATCTTATACCATCGAAAGTATTTGGGGTATGCTCCTGTCAGATATTCAGAACACATGCGACGACATTGCTGGCCATCTAGCAGAGATTTGCACTAGCCTAAACCCAAGGGGCTCGCTGCTCCGCGTGCAGCACCTAGCTTTTGCCGGATTTAAGTCGCATTGTGAAGGGGGGGGGAAATGCTTTCAGTGATGCACTTAGTTGCGCTATTCAAGTGGCGCAAAAAATTGGAATTGACCGAAACGACACAGCCTTGGTGTATAACATGAACGAATTAGAGAAAGAAATGCGGCGTAGGATTTTTTGCAATCTTTATATATGGGATAGGTACGAGAAGCATATAGTGGATTTTTTAGCCGCTTTCCTACTAACCTAATATGTAGCCTTCTATCCAGGCAATTGGACCGAATTTCCATCTTACCTACTTCCTTATGTCCTGCTAACATGCCCCGGATGCGCCTCGCCGCTGACATTAATGATGCTGACGCGCCCGACGGATTTACAGAGCGTGTTCTCCAGGTCCGCCTGGCCGACTTCTGGAAAATCAACAGTGTTAAATTAGGCTCCGAGCATGATGTGATTTTAGCAGAGGAGAGGTATGAAAAGTTATGCCGTGAATTTTTAGCCACACTACCATCTGCGAGCCAAATAAGCAGTGGGATGGAAGTCTTCCAAATCTTCCCCTCCAGAGAGAAATCTTACACATATCTATCTATGGTTCCCTCTGTTACAACTTCCGGCCAGCCCTCCAGCAGGAGCCAAGCCAAGTTCAATGTCTCCCAAAGTACAAACAAGCCTTACTAATATCACAAAGAAAGTCATTAGCTGTGGCAGCCCTGAACATTTTAAAAGGAGTTTCCAGCCTGCACATCATGATGGGTGGCTCACAAACCCGGTTCCCAGATATTATTATACCTACGTTCGAAGCCGCAGTGCTCTTGGCGTACCTATGTATGGATCCGGATCTCTTAACAGGAGAGTGCGAAAACCACCAGCCCTGTCCGGGAAAGGTGGACCCTCTTAAAAGTGGCGTAGCAAGCCTAAAACGAGACGAGTGTATGCGAGCAGTCCATGACGCCGTTAGTCGCCTGCAGATGCTGGCAGATATTAGTAGCATGGCCGAAATAGGAGCTCAAGCTCTCGCACAACTACTGAGAAAGGGGATCGGCGGTCTCTGGAGACCCTAATAGCCGAAAAATCCTCAACTGAAACAAAGCTTTCTTCGGACTTCGCGGAATGTGAGGGTTGAGTCCCTGCTGGGAGTAGTCTTGCTAGGAGTGTCTTCCATGGCATTGATGAGGGTTTAAGTAAGGAAGCAATTCAAGACTCAAGTAAGAATGATCACTTCAAAGTACGAACAAAGCACAAGTAGTGCAGCCTTAACATCTTATATTTTGCCACAGAGCGTTGATCTCCTCTTGTGGGATTACCTCTCCAGACCTAATGTGACGAAACATAAAGTAGCTCTGCTGATGGCGGCATTTGACTCATCTTTAGTGACCATGAAAATTAGGAGTCATCTTTGAATGGAGGCCAAATATAATCTAGGCTAAAGCCATTTCAATCTTAGTGCCGAAATGGTGTCTTGATCGTCTACTCTGTAGATCTTACGTGAGTCACCCAGTGGGTTCAGTGCAAATAGCTACCAACAATTGCGTTACCACCTAGTGCAATACAGGCCTCACATGGTCTGCAAGGTGTTATCTTGTGCGTCCTAACAACTTCCGAGAGTGTCAACATATGAGCATGTCTACTTCGAGTCATATTCACTTCAGGACCTGTCAACCTCTAGTTATGTCTCCTTTGTCATGTACACTTCAGCTCTTGGCGACTTTAGGTCATGTAGGTAACATTAGCTTTAGTCCTGTCTACTTAAGGGCCCGTCTACTTGAGGGCCGGGTTACACGTCAGTGATCTCACCCTGTCAATTAATATTCTACCTGTTCACTTTTTAGAATATAGATGCTATGTTAGAGGGTGTTCAACGACAGTCTACTTGTACTATCTACGGCCTTAGAGTATTAATAATTGGCTGCAGATTGCTGCACAACAAAGATATCTGACAGAAAGGATTGTCTCCTGATGGCTCCGTTTTCCTTGCATCTTAGTATGCGTAATATGTCATCTGTTGACTCAAATAATCTTTTGTATCTAAATATAAGAGTAGTAACACACTTCACTTAACTGCACGACTTGTCACTTTTTAGTGCTTACAATTATTTCGACTCATCCTTGAAACCTGTGCGATAAAAATACAAGGTACTGCAATTCATAATCATCACGCCAACGCCAAAAAAAACTAATTAATCTGTTACCCAGCGCTAGCTTCATGAGTGATGCTGCTGAATACACCGGCAAGCACATCACTCCCAAGAAAAGTCCCAGAAACAGCCAGCACAAGCGAGATGCGCCCACGCTGCCTGGTCGTTGACAATATGCCTTTTATAGACTAATGTGGTTTATGGTAAGAAGCCTCTATCGTTCGTTAGAGGCCATACATGGCCAACGTTGGGTTCTCTTGGTCCGTTGTATGCGGGTCCCAAGTCATATATTCTAACCAACGTCGATATTTTTGCAACTCTTGTTTTCCTTAGCACTCATGCTTATATAGAAATTTACCATGGACTGACGCGGTTGGCAATCTCTTGATTATTTGGAGTGGGCTTAAATAATTTGCTGAGTCCAAAAATAGAGAGCTGGTCAATATAATCGTACACCTTGATTTTGCTCCAACTTCGAGAGCTGTCTCCGAGGTTGTGCTCCTTTTGGAGCTCTCTCACTTTCTCCCCGAACAGCGACTGGTGTGCGGACGAAGTTCTGTTAAGCAAGAGTCTCGGGAATATCAGTGCCGGACTCCCATGCAGGCAAAATACAAGATAATACTCTTCTCTTCCTCTCGCCATTCGTAACCGACCATCATGTATGCGTGGGATGTGAGTATTAAATAATAAGGCTGGAGATTTTGGGAGGTAAGGGATCATTTTGCTTCTTCTGGGACGAAACTGGAAGGATTGAATATATAAAGTTATTAACACAGTATAATTAAGTGGGACTATCCACGGAAACAAATGATACCATTCAGGTGGGTTATATTACAAATCTAATTTCTTTGTTCACCTTACAGCCTTGGGGGCTATTATTATTTAACTCTGTGCTTCTTGTTGCGGCATCATACTTTCCCCTTTTTGTATAGAATCCAGTAAGGAATCACAACGTCGTAATCGCTGTGGTGGAATAACTAAATCAGCGAGTTATACGCGTGCTGTTTAATTAGTTTAATATAGTACTTGACCCAGGGAAGTTTTCACGGTTGTTGCCTGAGTACCAAAATAAGCCCTCGAAAACGATTGCCTTGGCTTCCTAATAAAAATAAACTTTTACTCTTCCTATACCTATACGCAGAGCCTGCCTTGCACCTAGGAGAATTTAAAAACAATTTTAATAGCTTTGTCTCCGCTGACAGACATAGGTCAACTGATGCAATAAAAACAAGAATTAATAAGTTAAACGCCTTTTTTTTTTTAAAAAAAAGTTAGTGTTCCCTAGTTCCCATTCAGCGGCTCCGTCCTATTTAATAACCTAGGATATTACCAAATATAGATTTATACACCACTGTTATTTACTTACACTCCCTATAGCTATTTAAGCTATATTTCCTTTGTGTCTTTTTTATTTCTCTTCTCTTCCGAATTACAACTCCCCAACTTCAACATAGCCCAGATCTGGTTATTAACAGCGATGGATGCAGAACACTCCGAAACCAATTAGATAGACCCTCTTAATTAGTAGCACAGGGTGAACGTGACGGCATGTTATACCTTTGCTATTAGGTTACTTGTTCGCTAATATTGCATGCCTAGTATTTTTATTAAAATTATATTACCTACCTGCAAGATTCTCAGGCAGTTGACACAGAACTATGGACGACTCCGCTGGGAGAAGGTGGCCCACGCTAAAATAAAACAAGCATTGGAGCTTGAGTAAATGGAGGTTATTTTTATGCACTATTTTAAGATTCCACAAATACTTAGCATTTAGGATATCGTATGCCAACCAAATCATCCGAATTCTATTACAGGCAAGCTGTACATACTTTATCTCTATCCAGTTGTTAATATCCATAATTCAGATGCTTAATGTAGAATGAGACTGTACCGAGGCTTCAAAGAGATGTTCAGGGACATGGTACTCTTCCATTGACCTGCGACTAATGCTAATAAGATCTAGAGTAATATCTTCCTACAGTAATTTTCATCCCAAATCCAATTTAATGCGGACTCGCCAAGATTGTTTTCATACCTTTTCGGGACACCCCTTTCCGACGGCTGGTTGAGAAGCGGACCCAAGAAAAGCTTATTTACGAGCAAAAGCGATAACATAACAGGCCTTGGAAATGAGTTAAACCGAGCACGCCCCCTCAGTGGTCTGAGCAAAATCAGTGAGCATGATTCAACCTGTCAACATTCCAATCCACCAAGCCATCAGCTTGTCAACCTCACAACTGGGCATAACTCGGGCTCCGCTTTTCCCAATCTCCCGTCTTTTGAGAATTGCTGGTCCGCATTATCTTTACAAATCATAATCCCAGGACACAAGAACAGGGCTGCAATGCAAATACTTGCAAAAGCTGCAGGCGGGGAAGTTGTCGAGCACTACGATTTTCTCGAGGCATTTTTTGCCGAAGGTGCCGATGGTTCGGGCCTAGTGATGATGTTCCAGCGTGAACTCTCTACAGAAGAGCCGTGGAATGGTGATCCTTCAACAGACGATTATTTCTCCAACAGCTATTGCGTCACCATCCGATCTGGCGGGACAGTATATGGAGGACTAGAGCAGGTCTCATTTTCGGATTCCCAAGGATGCTTTTATTTCTCCGATCGTGCGGCTGCTGTTCTCGGTAGAGGACGACAACTCGTCGTTGATTTCGAGGTGCCCAAGCAAGACCTACAGCTCTTTCAACGATTTCTCAAGGAAGTAGTGACATGGGGAGTCCCTAGTCAGATCCCTCAACTAAACGGTTTAGCCATCAAAAGCTCCATCATGGAAGGTCCCAACACTCAGCCAAACGAGCCAGAAGGAATCGGGGCCCTCGATGACAGGGGCGATCACCTCAAATTCATCTCCCAAGAGCAACTGGATCGCGAAGGTGGTAACCCTCCTGACGACGCAGCCAGTTCCAGCGAACCATCCCTCGAGGACATTGCCGAATATCTTTCCAACTTGTCTCCTTTCCAGCGGAAGATATGCGATGGCCTACGTGGTCTGGGCTGGATTGACCCCGACATTTACAACTTTTTGTCCCAGCTTGAGAACATGCGAAAGCACATACGAGCTGAGTTGAGAATGAAGGGGCGGAGTGCGGCCGAAATTCAAAAGCTCGACGATCTCTGTAAGACAGATGTGACGGATTTCTCGCACCTCCGACGGTCCGGTGCCAACCGGGCCCTTGAGGAATATCAGACTGAGGTATACCTGCTATATGAGAACAAGAGACAAAGAAGGGCGATGTTAAACGAAGAATAGTTTCTTCTTCTTTTTCGTTTTAATTCTTTGAATCTATCTAGAAGCGGTCTATGGGATTTCGATTGGACGACGTCAAGCGGGGCCTTGTGAGTGATGGAATCGAGATAATGGTCCCCTACATGGTGGCTGTACTTATTGAATAGTTAGAACATAGGAACTGTGGCAAGTCTCGATTGGTGGTGGATCCAGCATGCTCACCTCAGCTCATCCTGGCTCTGGCTGGGATATTTTTCCGTAATGTTCCAAAGTATACTTGTATTATACATGGTAGTTTTTTTCACACTTGTCTCTCCCAGCAACCTTTATTTTATAGCTCGTTGGTTTCGCTTAGCTTTTAAACCTAAGGTGGAAGAATGCACGCAGGACTATCTGTAATATATAATGCGGCCGCCCATGGCCCTACAGAAATCCCGAGGCTACTTGGCTTGAGGACTCTGCATAGAGCCGCCTGCTTAGCCTTGTCTTTGTTCCGGACACCACGGCGTGCTGCAGTGGGGTAAATAAATGTCAAATAATATGGGCGTTGGTGGACCAGAATCATGTGACTAGATCGGGGTAAAACCCCGCGGAGCACACAACAAAATAATCAAGAAGAGCCCAACCAGCTCAATTCATTCAAATAAGACCTTTTTACCAATCGTACTCTATTTCCTCTTCGGGACTAGCCGTATATCTGACAATAAATAATAACAGTAGTTTACGACGATTTTATCTATGTACCACGCTTTAACTAAATTATAATTATTAACTATAAGCGCCTAATCTAACTTAAGTAGGCTTCTTTCTATGCTAGTTAGCGTACGCTCAAGTAATACCCCGTATCGCAATCTATCATAAAAATCCCACTAAAATGGTAGACCCAAAATAGGCTACATAAATCGTCTAATATTCCAACAACCAACAGACGATTAGCTGGATTAATGCCAGCTTACAACTTTAATAAGATGTTAGGTTATAACGAGATCAGCACTATTATTTTATTATCATAGCCTTACATTAGGCTATACTAATATATCTACCTTACTACTCCGTCTTACCCATACCTCGGAGTAACTGCCTGATCGGAATACAGCTACTCCGAATACTCCGGCTGTCATATTTATTATCCATTTTCTTTTTCTAGCTTTCTATTCTGTTAATTGCCTTAGTTCTAGATATCGACAATGGTCGACATAATGGAAAACATCCCCCTACTCCCCCCGAGAACTAGACACCAAACCCGCATTCTGATCCTTGTCTGCACCGTCATAGTCGCCATTGAGATCGGTGACTATCTCTCCACTGCACCTCAGACCCAAATCCTCGAGGAGATCATCTGTCGTAACCTACATCCCGATGCATCCTCCGCGTCCATCTGCAAGGACACCGACGTCCAGAGCGAACTGGCCCTGCTTAACGGCTGGAAAGATACCTTCAGTCAGGTCCCAGCTATTATCCTCGCCTTGCCGTTCGGAGTCATGGCTGATCGAGTGGGGCGTAAGAAAGTCGCATTGCTGAGTATTTTGGGGTTGATGATGCAGGAGGTTGCAATGCGGGTGATCTGTCTGTTTTCTCTATCTTATTATCTATTAAATAGCAAAGTTAACTGTCTACGTAGGTTGGTATAGTAATATTATTCCCCTGCAGGCTATCTGGTTCACCCCGTTATTCCAGATCTGCGGCGGTGGATCGCAAATCGCATCCTCGATGGTCTTTACCATCGTGACGGATATCTATCCAGTTGAGAAACGGTCCTTCTTTCTTTCCCTTATTCATCTGATCTAGTACTGATAGAAGTAGAGCGACGAAATTCTTCTTCATCGCCGCTGCTATCCTACTCGCTGAAATCCTCGCTACCCCGCTCAGTGCCCTGTTAATGGTCCAATCTCCATGGGTGCCGTATCTTCTCGGTTTACTCTGTGAATTTGTCGGGGTGGTCGCTGCTCTGGTTGTGCCTGAGACTCTGCCAAAAATTTCAGACGAGGTGTTTGATGATGATATTCCCACTCCCAGGAGAGGGAGTGAGAGTCTCTTCCGGGCGCTTCTCCATCGAGCAGGGGCGGAGATCCTCCGGCTTCGAGAATTTATCACTACTACTAACAATATTCTCGCTATCTCTGTCGCGTTCTTCGCTGCCGATGTGGGGAAACAGGCACTGCAGTTGATGCTGCAGTACGTATCGAAGCGGTTTGAGTGGTCAATGGCGAAGGTTTGTATCTTCGATCCATCCTCTATCTATCTAAATAAATATTTATGAATTAATTAGGCAAGTATCCTCATCTCCCTCAAAGGAATCATCAACCTCGTCCTCCTCCTGATCATCCTCCCCATTCTATCCCATCTACTAGACAGACGTCTCTCCCCGCTGAAAAGGGACCTACTTATCGCGCAATTCAGTGCTGCCATCCTCGTCCTCGGGTTCATCATCATGGCAATCGCTCCCCATCCGGTTCTCTTCGGCACCGGTGTCTGTGTCTTCGCTCTCGGATGGGGATTCTATTCCGCGTTGCGCAGCGTCGCTAGCGCCTTGGTGTCCGAGGCACAGGCCGGTCTGCTGAATACCACGATTGCCCTGGTGCAAGGCGTCGGGGGCGTTGTGGCGGGACCAGCTCTGGCGGGGATGTTCAATTATGGAATGAGTCTTGGAGGGGGGTGGATTGGATTGCCGTATCTGTTAGGGGCGGGGTTGTTCCTGGGTGCGGGTTTGGTGACCGTTACGGTGAAGATTCATCGTTGACTTTTATGTCGGTATTGTTTAGATCTTAGACTAGAATCGAATCCAATTCTATGACACCTCTGGAATGGAACTGGATTCTCAGTATGATTGCCGTCGTACCTCATCCTGTCTGTGCCTGCACTGTCTTCCCTCTCGAACTTCCGTTCTTTTCTTTTATATTCACCGAGCCATAAAATGTAGCCTAGGACCTTACACAGGTTTCCCAATTCCTAGTAGTGGACTTCCCGCCCAGATTGTTCACCATGTGTCCACCGGCGGTGTGGAGATATTTTACTTTTTGATTTTCTGCGTTAGCGCCAGTTGGGTGGGTTTTGTGCTGCGCTGTAGAATCTATTAGATCCTTCCGGAACTACCCTACCTACTGGGGGTGGGGGATATGCATCCGGTGTGTCGTAGAACCTCGTGTTGGGGTCTAAGCTTGTATCAGGCACCGGGTAGTGGTATTCTTTTGGTGCTGTGCTGTAGTACCGGGTATTGGAATTCGGGAGTGTGGTATATATTGGAGGGGGATATCCATCTGATGCTGCACTGAAGTATCTAGCGTTTGAGTCTTGTGCAGCCGTGCCATTGTCTGTGGGCATATGTGTAGGATGTATCTCTGGTGGTGGCAGTGCGTGGTAAATTCTGGTGTTGGGACCTCTCACAGTTCTGGGACCCTCCATTTGTTTTTGATTGTTTGTCTCTATTGTTGGAGGTGGTAGTGCGTTGTAGAACCTAATGTTAAGGTCGTGCACGGTCGTGGGATTCTCTATTGGTGCTTGTGCAGGGTATGTGTCTGTTTGTGGCGATAGTGCGTGGTGGTTGTTTACAGCTATAGAATCATTCAATGGGGCTTGTACAGAGTGTATCTCTGTTGTTGGTGGCGGTAGTGCGTTGTAAATTTTAGCGTTGGGACCGTCAACTGTTGTGGTATTCTCCATTGCATGAGGGTGTGTGTCCGCTGCTGCTGGCCGTGCAGTGTAGGATCTGGCGTTCGGTCCTTCCATGGATGTGGAATCCCCTATTGGCTCCTGCTCAGGGGTTGTATCTACTGGTGATGGAGTTGCTGATGCAGCAGTGTATGACCTTCCGTTGGGGCCATGAACAGTTGTAGTATCCTCCACTGGCGCTTGTGCAGTATGTGCTGGCGCAGCATAGAACCTGATGCCAGAGCCGTCTGCGATTGCGGCACCTTCTAATGTCTCCTGCAAGAGGCGTTCTTCTGATTGTTGCTGTGATAGGTTCGATGGCGGTCCTTGAGACGGCGGATAATCACCACTGAATGAAGGCGCAGGAGAATGCTGGTACGACGAAGTAGAGGGGTGGCGAATTTGCAGAGGGGCGGGATACGCACTGCTGAAAGACGGCGACGGAGAGTGCTGACGGGATGAGGAAATACTCTCTCCTCGAGGATGGAGCGAAGACGGATGCTGTACGGGACTAGGGCTCCCGCCGGTAACTGACGACGGAGAATGCTGACTGGATAAGGACGTAGTTCCTGTATGGAGATGGAGTTCCTGCGAAGTACGGGAGGATGCAGCTTCATGACTCGGTGGAGCACCGGAACCTCCTGGTTGTAATTGCATTGGATGTGACGAGGAGCTGTTGCTGCGTTCATGCGTTTGCGGGACTAGTTCGTCGATCGGGCCGCTGATGGACAGAGAGGGAGAGGATTGATGCGATGAGGGGGTGATCTCGCCTCCGGGGAGTAATGATGCCGGGAGGAACTGGTGGATGCTGCTGCGGTCTCGCATGTTTATTGAAGGTGGTCCATGGATAGAGCCATTGGGGTATGCGCTGAAGGAATTTGAATGGCGGTATGTAGGAGGAAGAGGGCAGGGAAAGGAAGAGTTGCTTTGCGGCGCAATGTTCTGGAGGCCTCCATTAGCGATTGTTCGTCATGTTCTGGTCAAACGTACTGTGGATGCTGCGTATAATCGCGGCGCTTGGTAAGTGCATCGTCTATCCGGGCCCTGAGGATTGTAGGCCTGATACTGCGACATGATGTGATCAATTGAGTAGAGAGATGTCTATTGAAGGTAAGAAAATGAGGTAGAAGAGAGATTATATTGTGATAGGGGCAATGTGGAACTCGGGCAAATTCCGCCCCCACGGGAGCCCTTTGGAGTGAGATACACGAGTGGTTTCAGCGCCGATGGGGATGTCTCACTATATGCATTCGGACCCGGTTTCATTGTTTTGTTTTTTTGTTGGTGGTGGTGGTGCTGTTAATATCTGTGGCATTGTTATGAGGTTGGTCTTGTGTTGCTAGTGAATTTCTTGTATGGCAATGACATTGTCATATCCAGACAAAGCTGTGGCGATCGATGAGGCTCTCTGTGAAAAACAGTGGAGATGACAACTTGATCCACGATGCAGGTCTTCTCTCTGCATTTCCACCCGCCCCATTCCTTCTGCCCAAAAACACTACACCGGATCGCTGTTGCTAGCCATATTCAACAGCTATGGTGTGATTAGCTACAATGAGACTACGTGCTATTTCAGGGATTTCCTCCTCTCTACCTTCTGACTCAGTTGAGAGGTCCATAGATGATTGCCCTGTGGACTCAGTTCCGGTCTCTGTTCTTCCTCAGGTGATTTTCCAGCGGGATAAAGGGAATTGGTACGGGAAGAGCCTAACCGGGCTATGAGTAGGGCTGAAGGCTGAGGGCTGAGAGTGCTCCAAAGTGCTCCATAAGCAGTATGGAATGATCAGTCCCTCAACCTAATCTGCCACGCTGGACAAGGCTGAATGCACAGGTCTACGAGGTAACATTCGGTGTCTATAAATATCCGTGGGCCGCCGGGTCTCGAGCCATGGGTAGGTTTAGGACTGACCCATAAATTTTAACAGAGCAGACGGATTACGCACAGCCGGCCAGTGTATGCTGACTTTCTTCTTTGTGTATAATTGTATGTGCATAGGACTTTCATATAAATATTTATTGATTTAAGGAGGATAAATCTTCATGATCAAAATATGCTGGGACTGAACTGCAGTAATTCCCTATGGGCTGCTAATAATAGCCAAGATTTAGTATCCACTAGACCTGAATACAAGCCCTGTTCCTGTTAAATCCTTTGTCTGATATTTATAGAACTTTGGTGAGCTCACACAGGGGCTGTCAATTTCTGACAAATATCAGTGCGCTGCTGATCAACAGACTATACAGCTGCGTCGGAAAGTAAACAAGGAATATGTCCAATGACGTCATATAAACATATGACGAGCCCAGCTAAATATATCTGTAAATACTAGGGCTACTACACCATAGCGAACCAGAAAATCAGAATTAGCCTTTGGCCGCTTCGGCCAAACCCGAAATCAACGACTCCGAGCGTGTCATCTTCGGCCGCTCCGTTGGCTCGTCTCCATTCGTGTCAAGTCCACTCGCGACCAGGTCCGCGAAATCCACTCCAACTTCGGAAAGGTGGCTGGCTTGTTCGTGCACAATGTCGATGCATTTTTGCCAAACCGTGGTGCCACGCTGGACGCTGCTGAGTTGCCGCGTAAGAAGCGCATTGAAGTCGTCCAGGTGTTGTTTCGCCCATTTAATGCACGCGCTTGTCATCACGGGAGGGAAGCACTGCTGATAAATGTTGATCGTGTTCTTGATCAACGTGAAATAGATGTAGGATATTTGGAATATGTAGAGCGGAAGGTCGCCTTCGAAAACACATGCCCTGTTCCTCGTTAGCCCGTGTACTGTGAACACCTAGGTGGCAACCTACCGAATCCGTTTGGAGACTATGTCGGATCGAGACTTGAGGTACACTTCCCGCGCTTGGTCCTCAAAACCTAAGCGCGTGAGCCATCCAACATGGGTCTTGGTCGCGTTCATAAACGAATGCTTGTCAACCAGTACCCGAGACAAAACCGCCGCCAGTTTGGCAGCCCGATCATCCACTTTAGTATTGATCACGTCCTGCGCGACCGAATTTCCTTTCAGCCCCCGGGCGAGCTTTCGCAGTCGCTCTATGTTACCGACGGCTTCATCAAATCGTTGAAGAGCTATATTGATATCCAGCTCATCCACTTGGCTTTCCACCCAGCGCAGATTTTGCTGCTTTCCATCCACGTCAATTCGCACTTCCGGCGGATTGCGCGAACTTTCCAATTTGTCCAACGTATCCGGTTTGGCGGCATAGATAGACTGTCTGGCGCCCATGTAGTTAAACGGATCAGGTGACATGATCGCTGCCTCGGTTTCCGACCGGAGAGTCCGCCGAAGGTCCTCCACAGTCTTTCGGAACGTTGCTAGAAGATCACTCTTGGCGGAACTATCCCGCTTGTCATGGCGATAGGTAAAAGGCCCAGATCCCACTCGGATATTGATGGCGTTGGTGATCCCACGGTCTTCCGCTTCTTCGCGCGTCACCCCGGGGCCCAGATTCGCCCCCAGATCAATCATGTCAACATCCTGCAGTGGCCAGCATTCCTCAGCGACAAGTTTGGTTGGCACAGGGCCACGATGATTCGAGTTGCCCTGATCCACACGTTTCCGCTTCTTCGCCGCCACCAGCAAATGATCGTTTAGAAGGACGATGTGGACTGGTCGCCTCGGCTTCCAGGTCGCAGAATCCAGCTCGACCCAATGGCCTGTTTCCATCACTATGTGCCGCCCAGGTACCACAGGTAAGAACTTTTGTGACCCTTCAACCGTCTTCCACAATGCCTGCAGCTGTACGTTCCACATGCTCTCGAGATTGGCGACTGAGCTTCGATTTGCATTTCGCTTAGGCAACCGCTCATCGACAGTCGGCGACATGGGATTCGGCGTATCACCAATCGCAGTTTGCCCCAAAGCAGTGGTCAGCTCAGCCATCAAGGTGCGGAGGGTCTGCATTTCTCCCTTGAGTTTGTCCGCCTCTTTGCTGATCTTGATAAATTGTGTCCGGTTCTGATACACATTCTGCTGGAGGTCGGTCGACGTTCTGTTTTTTAATTTGCGTAGACTCTTCTGATATTCCTCGATATCATCTTCGGTGGCATTGCTGAGGAGTTCGGCCACATCTAGAATCGGGGAACCCGGTCAGAGAAGTGAAACATGCGGACTAGAATTAGAATAACCCACATTTATCTACCGGCAAACTGGGGTCGCGCAGCGCATTCAGGTCAACCGGAGGAGGCCCTGAAGATTCCCCCGATGGTCTCTTGCTCTCTTGAGGTAAACTAAGTGCACCAAACTGGGGAGGGACTTTTGGTAAACTGGGTAGTGGGGGAGCATCAAAATCCGGAACTTGATTAAATCGAGTTGAGTACCGGCGTTTTACTAGATCGGATGTTGCATCGTTTTGAGGGCCACGCTCTCGTGAGCGCGAGCTTGGAGGTGTCAGTTGCTGGCTGGGACCGGCCGCCTTGCTGTTAGGGGGTAGAGGGCCAGATATCGGTTGCGGAGCACTGATCTGTGGACGAGGCCGGCGTGACTTGCTCCGGAGAGTCAAACCGCGAGATTCCATTTTGGGAGCAATAACTTGCGGCAAGCAGTCGCAACAACGAAAAGAGGAGAGACGAGAGCCGTGGGGGACGATGATGATGGAACAGTTGTCCGGGCCCGAGCGGGACAGAAACGCCGACGCGGAGGAATGATGATCCGGGGCTCAAAATTATACGGCAAAAAGAACAAAGATCAAGAGCATTCATCCACGACGTCGGCCTCTCTCTGCCACTGTTCGCCTTTGTTTTTCTCTCTTCTCGTCATTTTTCTTTCTGTAATCTAGATCATTTTATACGGAATTAATTCTACCCGTCCCCCACAATCATCATGCAAACATCCACCCTGATTATCGCTTCAGCCGGCACGGTTTTGACCGGTCTGTTGGGTAAGAGCATTCCAACAAATTGGCGCGCCAGTAACACTCTCGCTAATTATTGTTACCTTCTACGTAGCTTATGCCGTGTACTTCGACCACAAGAGACAGACGGACCCGGAGTTTCGCAGAGCGTTGAAGAAGAACAACCGACGAATGGCAAGGGCTGTGAAGGAAGAGGCTGAGGCCCAGGGAGCTATGGAGCGGGAAGCTATTAAGAAGGCCGTCCAGCAGGCCAAGGACGAGGGTTTCCCGACCGACTTGGAGGAGAAGGAGACCTACTTCATGGGCCAAGTTGCCAAGGGAGAGTCTCTCTGTGCCGAAGGTATGTTTCTCCTGTGATGACGCGACCGTATCGAGTCAACCGAACCACTTCATAAATACCAAAGAAAAAAAAAAAAATGACGGAAGCTCACATACCATAGGTGCAGACAAGGTGGAAGCTGCTCTGTCCTTCTACAAGGCACTGAAAGTGTACCCTCAACCTAAGGATCTCATCTCGATATATGACAAGACCGTCCCCAAGGAGGTGTTGGAGATTTTGGCCGAGATGGTCGCCATGGACGCTGGCTTGAAGTTGGGCTCGTTCACTGCAGAGGGTGGCAGTGCTGAAAACCAAGGAGTCGAGTAAAGAGCTTCCTGTTGTCCCTGGTTAATGGCTCGCCCTCCGGTTCTGCATTAGAACCTTCGCCGATCCACGCGTTTCTTGTGATTTTCCAGTTCACGCTGGGCCGTGGCCTGGTCATCTTCTAAGACGGACCTATCTCATGCCATCATTCGCCTTCCTCATGCCTTCCCTCTTACCATCTCCACTATTTGTGTACGCTTTTTCTTCGGCTTCCCCTGTATATTTGCATTGTGCCTTGGCCGTCGGTGCGGCGGGGATCTTGGTATTTCTCGGCGCTGTGTTTTTTTTTTTTTTTCCTGTTCACTTTTTTTTTCTATTTGTCTCCCCCTTTTCCTTTTCCAGTCGGGCATTGTGTTTCTTGGGAGCCTGTCCAAAGGCCCCCCTTTGAGATCCTGGTACCGACATTTTCTTCCCGAGTTCTTTGGGGCTGTATTCTTAAGATGGTCGTAGCATTAGGTAGTATTAGGTAGTTTCTTTCAGCGTGTGCAGGGGGGTTGGATGTGGATTGCGAGGTGATTCAAGTATGAAACATGGCACGAAATGAACACCACCATTATTATAGTATCTCTCTTATAATCCCAACGTAAAAGCCTCCGTAAAAGCAATCCCTTCCCCAAGAACCATCAGTCGCTCCCCTAGCCAACCACGTTACAGGTGATTGAACCCACACCAAGCCCTTCGCCAAGGGTCCAAGGTCCCTCAATATGCGACGCTGGCGTTGTGGACGGTGCAAGTCGCCTGCTGCCGAGCGCTTTAGTGTTTGGGATGGTTTAATTAGTTGATCTGGGCACGTTGGAGAGGGCCTTTATTTACGACATTCTGCAGCGACTCAAATTCCTACCATCCCTCCTTTCTTACTCCCCTCCTTCCGCTTCCCCCTGGGCCTTCTTTCTGTCTTCTCATCCCTCTTTTATTTATTTTGTTGCTACCCACGTTCGCTACTTCCGTTATTGTTCTTTTCCCGCGCCTATCGCTGTCGCTCTTTAAACCTCTACTTATTCTCGGATCTTCCAGAGGAAGACTCCGTCTAGCCATTTACCACTATCTCTACTTCGACGTGTATAACCCGTGACTAGTTCCGCACAAAATGCTTCCTGTGGGTTCATTCATTTCCTACCACTGTGTCGGGTCTTGGAGCATACAAATTAATAAAGTCGCAGACATATGCTCGCTTTCTGACTGCGGCGTGCGCACTTGCGACTACCGCCAACGCTGTGGCCCACGTCGAGGTTCAAGGCAAGGATTTCGTCAACACTGAAACGGGGGACCGCTTTCAGATTCTGGGTGTCGAGTAAGGATGCATCGCGTTGGCATGTATGGAAGTAGTGGTGCTGATCGTTGTCGATCTTCAACAGTTACCAACCTGGTGGTTCTTCAGGCTTCACGGAGAAAAAGGATCCTCTCAGCGATCCCAAGGAATGCTTGCGCGATGCTGCTCTTCTGCAGCGACTGGGAGTAAGAATACTACCGGCCCCCTTGAGGGGGTTCTTGTTAATGCAAATAGGTCAACACCATCCGCATCTACAACCTGTCTCCAGGCCTGGACCACGACGAGTGCGCCTCCATCTTTAACGCGGCCGGTATCTACATGATCCTCGATGTTAACTCCCCCCTGTACGGCGGTTCCATTGACCGCACAAGGCCCAAGGAGACCTACCATGAAGGCTACTTCAGGCAAGTCTTTGGTATAATTGAGGCGTTCAAGGACTTCCCCAATACTCTGGCGTTCTTCGCCGGAAACGAGGTCATCAACGAACAGAGCGTCAAGAGCGTGCCTGCTTACATTCGTGTAGGCTATTCATTCCTTCTCATGTACTCGGGGCCTTATTGACAGTTTTCTGTTAGGCTGTTCAACGTGACATGAAGGCCTACATCAAGAAGCACGTCAAGCGCAGCATCCCCGTTGGCTACTCCGCTGCCGACATTCGCCCCATCCTGCTGGACACCCTCAACTACTTCATGTGTGAAGACGACAAAGAGTCGGGATCCAATTCCGATTTCTTCGGCCTGAACTCGTACTCTTGGTGCGGAGACTCTAGTTTTACGAAGTCCGGCTACGACGTCCTGACTAACGACTTCCGTAACGCCTCTATTCCCGTTTTCTTCTCCGAGTATGGATGCAATGAAGTCCAGCCCCGTTACTTCTCCGAGGTACAGGCACTTTATAGCAAGGAAATGTCCCAGTCTTTCTCCGGCGGTCTGATCTACGAGTACACCCAGGAAGCCAACGACTACGGTCTTGTCAAGTTGAACAGCAACGGCACCGCGTCCCTGCTGGTTGACTACGACAACCTGATGAAGCAGTATGCCAAACTGGACATGAAGCAGGTCGAGGCTGCCAACAAGACCCAAACCTCCTACAAGCCCCCCAAGTGCCAATCCAGTCTCATCCAGAATAGCACATTCCTCGATGGCTTTAAGCTTCCTTCTCGCCCCTCTAAGGTCCAGGATATGATCGACAACGGTCTGAAGGACGCCAACACCGGTAAACTGGTCGATGTCAAATCAAAGGATGTTCCCCAAACAATCTATGACCCCAACGGCAACGAGATCAAGGGCATCCGCCTGACCGCTCTAACTAAGGGTGAATCCAACGCCCCTGGCAAGCACACCTCGGGTGAAGCCAAGTCCGACAAATCCAATTCTACCGATGACACCTCTAATTCTAACAATGGCACCTCCAATTCTACGGGAAAGATATCCGTGTCTTTCTTGGGCTTAGTGGGCGCTTCTCTTGTGGCCCTATCCTTGTTCTAATTGAAATCACCCTTTGCTCCTTGTATACTACATACCTATCTAGCCTTATCTAGTTTACCTTTCTCGGTTTTCTTCTCCTTAGCATGGCTTGTAACTTTTTCTTGTCCATTGTATGGACAAGTCCAGCTATAGGTATTTGATTCGAGAATACATAGTATATCTTAGCGATAGAATTTTTCTTGTGTTTGCTTCCGGCCACTGACCTGTGCTACCGAATTTTGTCTCACAGACTAACGGTCTGTCCCACTTTCGAGGGCGACAAGAAGCCCGATAAAATTCCGACAAGGGGTATTTCCCAGCGTATTAAATCAAACTGGAGTAAACTCTGCCTGTTGGCCGTGTTGCAGTTAAATATTGATATCATCGACAGACCAAAATCGAGTAAAAGCGAGTGAATAAGCTGTGACATTGGGAGTTATATAATTCCGAAGAGGAGCTATACCTTAGAGCTTGTGAATTCAGTTTGGTAATGAACCCGAGGGTGTATCTATTCTACTTTGGTGGGTGACAGCGGCTTCTCATACCGAAAAACATCTATTAATTTGGTGCTTGTGGATGCAATTAATCCCGTACAGAGCAAATTCCACCCGGGACCAAAATCGCGCAATAGTACATCTCGCCTCTAGCTAACTTGTTCATCGCCTGACTGATGACTTCCTCCGTATGAGGAATTCCTCCGCGATGGGCTTGATATGGTGCAGTGCTTCGAATTTCAACAGTCGTATGTGTTGACTCGGGGCAACAATCATCCTTGCACCGCAATACTTTTGAGAATATATACTAACAGGATAGATAGGTACAGCAAGGTGGCCTATTTACCATTCTGAAACGTTCAGGACATTATATGTCTGTGTGCTATTTTATATGCAATAATCCTACCTTACTTTCCGTTGTACATGTCAAAGTTAATTAATCTACAACCTGTCCGTCATATTTATCATCATTAGCTTGGTTAGCGTTCGTATGCATTGATAGCATCAATGTTACGACACTGAAGCTGACTATCCCAAGTTACAAAGGCTCCAGTGACGCGCCCCTCGGGAGTCCTGCCCAAATGTTCTTCCGAATATTGTAGATTCCCAACCTCATCAATATATGTGTAGTTCTTGTTCCACCAGTACATGACTATGTCTCCGTGGCAGAGAATGGTCGAAGCAGTGATCTTGAAACTTTAAGCATAAGTGTTGGACAAACTCAAACTGTGACTTACTCGTGTGGTGCAGCACTTCATGCTGAGACTGGTCGGGATAGTAGCGGTCTGGATAAATGACTTTCGAATCCTATTCAGGCAGTAGTAGTGTATTTGGTGATAAACACCCAATCCATAAGCGAGATATCCTGGATCCTTGGAGACTTCTACTGCTTCGGGCAGTCCGACCTCTTTCACTTTATCGCTGGGAAACTTGAATATGTGGTCATGCTCGGAATAGCAATCAGTCTTGCATTTCTTGCTTCACTGTAATTCACCACACCAGCGTCTCGACTCGCAATCATCCATTCCAAGCTGGCAAGTGTAATTTAAGCCCCATGATTGAATTACCTGTTGGTGGCCCTCGTATGTCCTTGAGGGTCAATATCTGTGCATGTAGGTTCGATCCTCGAGAGGAGTTGATCTCTACCTACAGGAAATTGTAAGCTCCTCGCCAAGATGGATATCCTGGATGGTGTTGACGCTGTGCATTAGGGTCTGGGGGTCAAAATTGTAAAAACAAAACTATGTATGTCAGCTTGATCAATCAGGCCCAGACTCTGGTTTGAATCTCACTTTGGCTTGCACGCATGATTCAATCTACTCCGGAGTTAATCTATCATCGTGGAATTCAGACGATATACTCAACAGCAGACTTATCGACATCTGAGTAAATACGGCATGATGATCCAGAGGCTTCTCCAACGTAACCATGAAATAATTAGTGTTCAATTTATCCTTATTAGATTTTTTCCTCAATACCCCATCAACGCCAATGTTTCCATTTTCGTCCTCAGTGGACGAGCATCCACTGCTGCTCACTGACATCTCGAGCATCTTTTCCTCGGGTATATATGTGTTCATATCCAAATGTAACATGAGGATCTATCCCATCCCTTTTCCAGCAATCTCACACTCTTTGAAAGCGTCGATTGCGACGGTCGTTATGAAGTTCTGTCGATATTGTCGTTTCCATCCCCGTATCACTGCTTGGGTTATTGTTTTTGCCGTCGTCACGGAGATTCCGCGCCCGCACCGGAATTGTGAGTCAGTGTACACGTAGTACCTGTCTGTGCATGTGTGTCGTGATGTGTGGATCATCTCATATGGGTTCTGGGCTTGGGTATTCTGCGGTACAGAATTCTTGTTTAATTTGGAAGAGATGATTGCAATGGCAGAGTTCATTCTCGTGCGTATGGGTGTTATGTCTGAGAACTGAGAGTGTGGCGTGAGTCCACACAGGGGATTTCATTCATTAGAAAAATGAATATTATAAAATATATTATGTAGCTGACTTTGTTCATACTAATATTATTACTACTCCGTATATGTTTAAAAGAAAAGTAGTATAATAAAGAATTACTCTAAATCTTGAAATATTAATACATAGACTCTGGTCCCTTCCGCAGCAAGGCAACATTGTGCAGCAAATCTCAATAGATGCTGTAGATGCATCGAGGCGACGGTAGTTTACAATGTGTTGAAGGGAGAAAATGTGACATTCTTGGACATATACTAGCGGAGTAGATTTCTACATCCCGGCGAGTTCCTACTGTTGGACGATCAGTCGGTTTATTTCGACTGTATACCTAGGATAGAACACTTAGTGGAAGCACTGTCTACAATATATAGGACTTACGACTCAGGTTCGTTCTTTCCTCCACTACTCTCTCAAAGGGAAGGCACCGTGCTGCTCCCTGCCTCAGGCTTCTCAATGTCCCAAATCCTCACACTTTTCCCTTCAGCATCTCCAGAGTATCCCCAGAAATCTTATCACCCTACATAACAGCCTAGAGCAGTATATGTTAAAGGAGTGTGACATTCTAATTGTTCTTACCAGGCATAGCTAGTCCACTCGCCCTCACTTACGGATGCGCTCAATATGTTCAACATCGAACTCAAAAGCGTCATATTTGCGTCTCTCCTGTCTATCGTCCATGGAACAGAGCTACTCGGCTCCTCGTTCGGTGTCCCTGGAACCAACGCTACGTATGACTACGTTGTCGTTGGTGGTGGAACCGCCGGCCTGACGCTGGCGACGAGATTAGTCCAGCAGTTTGCCGGAACGGTTGCCGTGGTTGAGGCGGGATCATTCTACGAGATCAGCAATGGAAACCTCAGCCAAGTGCCGGCGTTGGCTGGTAGTTTTACGGGACCGGATCCTGATGACTGGCAGCCTCTGATTGATTGGGGATATGTGACGGTGCCGCAGACTGTAAGTCTCCAAGAACAGCCAGTACTGCAGACATCTAATGACAGGATTCTATATGATAGGGAGCATTCAATCAGGCAATTCATTATGCACAAGGAAAGACCTTGGGCGGATCTTCGGCGAGGAACTTCATGCTCTATCAACGAGGCCCCAAGGAGGCGTTCAGTAAGTGGGCAGATACTGTAGGAGACGAGAGTTATCAGTGGGATAGTTTCCTGGAATACTTCAAGAAGAGTGTCAACTTCAGTGAGCCTAATATGGGTCTGCGTTTTGCGAACTCCACTCCGAAATATGATACCTCGGTGGTCGATGATGACACTGGCCCGCTTTCAATTACATTTCCCAACTATGCCCAGGCGTTTTCGACTTGGGCGGTCCAGGGATTGGAGCAGATCGGTATTCCAGAAATTGAAGGTTTCTTGAGCGGTCAATTGATCGGGCAGTCGTACGCAACTATGACAGTGGATGCCAATACAATGAATCGAGACTCTTCGGAAACATCTTTCCTTCATGAGGGGTTGGGGTATCCTACTCTCACAGTATACCCTCTCGCAATGGCAAAGCGGATTCTATTTGATGGAAGTAAGACGGCTACCGGCGTTCTTGTCGAGACACAGGACTTCGAGTATGTTTTATCGGCCCGGAAGGAGGTTCTTTTAAGTGCAGGAGTCTTTGGATCGCCACAGCTTCTGATGGCCTCCGGAGTTGGACCAGCAGACGTCCTGAATTCTCTGCAAATTCCAATCGTCGTAAACCGGCCCGGGGTTGGGCAAGGCATGCAGGATCACCTTTTCGTGGAGGTCGGATACCAGGTCAATGTTCTTACATTGTCGGCACTTTCCAATGCCACCTTCCGCGCGGAACAAGCCAAACTGTATACTGACTACGCCGCCGGTATGTTTACTAGTTCCGGTGTGGAGGTCCTGGCCTGGGAGAAGATTCCCCCGTCTCTGCGAGTCACCTGGTCCAACAAAACCCAGCAAGCGTTGGATGCCTACCCAGAAAATTGGCCCGAGGTAGAATACCTCGCGAACGCATTAGGCCCCGGAAAAGTGGTATTCGACCCCACTGACCTAGACGTGTTGAACTATGCTTCACTTGTGATTGCGCTAGTCACCCCGGAGGCGCGAGGAACAGTGACAATTATCTCGCCCGACACCAACGTACCTCCAGTCATCGACCCCCGGTATTTTACGGAGCGATCCGACATAGACATCATGGTTGCAGGCCTCAAACGTGCTCGCCAATTCTTTGAAACCGAAGCCATGAAGACCATCGTAATCGGCGACGAGGTTGCACCCGGCAAAAATGTGACCACCGATGCGCAAATCGAGGACTATATTCGTACTAATTTTGGCACCCTCTGGCATGCGGCGGGCACTTGCTCCATGGGCAAACTGGATGACCCAAAGGCCGTGATAGATGCAGAGGCCCGCGTCATCGGCGTCAAGGGATTGCGTGTTGTGGACATATCAGCCTTTCCAGTGTTGCCTCCGGGGCATCCAACGTCCGCAATTTGTGAGTTTCTTTCTCTGGAACATTAGCATGGATGATTTCTGATGAGTATAGATGCATTTGCTGAAAAGATCGCCTGTGACATTTCGGGTGACTGTTAGTCAGGCTGTGTGTTATTGAGCACAGAAATGTATTGTAATTAGCCTCGAGGGGAAGGAAGGAAAGGGGCATAAAAGGGAAAGAGAAATGAAAAAGGGTATCGCTATTAGGATTAACTGTTGTATTGGTATCAAAAATTGTTGACTTCAATACGAACCCATATCTCAGTGGTCTAGGATTTGTCGCTTACTTCGTAGACGTGAGACATGTCGGGAACTCCGGGCTACTCGTTGAGGGAGGAACCTGCAGCCACATAGATTGGAAATCAAATAACATGATACAATAAATTTATAAATAACCGAGATATATTAAGAGAAACAATGACACTAAAAGAAAACAGAACAAACCCTAGAAAATGGAAATACAAACAAAATAGAACTACAAGGCCCGACACTTCCCCTTCGCTGTGCCCTTATCCGGAGACCTGGATGGTGTAAGCGACGGGAAGTCCTCCTGCTGTTGCGACCGAGTCTCTGCAAGACTCAGTTGGATAGCAAACTCGAGATCATTGAGTTCTTGCTGGTGACTGCTTTCGCCAACGGCCGACTCGAAGAACAAGGAATTTTCGGTAACATCAGTGGAATCCAGAGAGTTCTGACCCTCGTCAAGTAAGCTCAGTCGAATGGCTTCAGCGATGTCAGGGGAAAGATTGTCATCCATGGGGTTTTCGTACGGAGACGAGCAAGAGGAATGCTCATCCGGGGCAAATGAACTATCATGTCGTCCAACTGTCTCGCCGGAGGATGAAGTACTAATGACAGAGCTAGGGGCATCTATATCGCCACGTTTGAGCGCCTCACAGGCAAATGCCTCCTCGCTTAACAGCTGTGCGTATGCGATAACTTGCTCCTCGCTGACATCGGAGCCCAAGAGATCAATCCCAAACCGGTTGCTCAGGTGTGCCTTCTCCTTTTCATCCTCCGCCGCCTGCCGTTCCATTTCCACCTTTTCATCCTCGATGTAGTCTCGGATGGCTCCGCGACCACTGGTATTGAAACGCTGACCTTCGGGCGAGGAGTTATCGCCTCTCATCCCGCGTCGATGTCGACGCTTACTGGGTTTGTATTGGTCTGCAGTGGTCGAACTGTAGGACCAGTAGCGCAAATGCGTCCCAAGTGCGACCATTCCTCTGAGAACAGTCGGGTCTGGATCGAGGCACATGGCCCCGGCTGCATAGTAATTGCTGCCCACTCCGTGAAGAGACGCTTCCGCTTGAATCAGACGGCGGCGAGCGCGAGATGAAAACCGAGAGTTTATGGTCCGAATTGGGCGGGTTACCGATGCCAGAGGGTCCCAAGCTTGCACTAGCCCATCGTTTCCACCATGCACTAGGTATAGAGACGACAGGGCGACGCAGGAGACTTGCGGGGAATCTGTCTGAATGATGCGTACGGGATTCACGGAATTGATCACATCAGGATTCTTTGCCGTCGGGGATCGTACATCCCAGACGATGACCAATCCCGTTGTAGTACCAACAGCCATGTAACGCCCACGCTGACCAGGAATCTCTGAGTGCGAAGATGGTTGGTTCATATGCGGGAGAGGAGAGGACATGGCCGATGAGGCTGTCGAGCGGCCCGACATCCCCAAGAGGGGGTCCTCGTTGGCGGTCACTAACGCGTAATTAGAAAGATCCAAGGCGCATGTCGTGATTTGGACAGCTTTCCGGTCACCAAAAACGAAGTCTGACACATGCCACTCTGTATTTGAAAGAGAACACACTAGATCGTCGAAGCGGCAGGATGCTCTAGATGGCGGGGCGCTTGTACTTCCGGCGTTGGACGGCGTTGACGGAGTTACACGCCCGCCAAAAAGAGAGGATGAGGCAACCCCACTAGCAGATTGAGAGTGGTTGTCCCCAGCGGACGGAGGAAGGTCTAGCTTAGACACTTTCCGAGTGTAACGGCGAATCGAGGTTTTTTCATTTTTGCCAATACCCCGAGCGATAACGACGATGGCCTCACCAGCACCATAACCATCATCACCGGCAAAATCGACCTTCATATCACGTCTCATATCCCATCCCTCACAGACCTTCCGAAAATGTTTCGGTTTGAACGAGAGGAATTGTTCAATCTCTTTGGTTTCCGCAGCAACCTGGTCGGCATTAAGCTTCATGGAATCAGACGAGGACTTAGGACTATAACTGCCATCAACAGGCTCTCGACTGTAAGGGTCTGGTCTAGACTTTCGTCTGCTTAGTTCAAGAAGATCCCAATGAACACTCCTGCCGGTTTTCCAAGCCAACGCATCAAGCTGTGCCGTATTCATTTTCGCCGGCACAACGTCCGGTTGCTGCGGCAAATCCGAGAGGTAAAAGACCTCGCCTAAGGCATTAAGAACTGTTGCCCAGATACGCCGGTGGGCATGACGTTTAGGAGAATAGTTGTCATCAACCACAATCGCAACGATGGGTACTCCCGGACAAAGGACCCATTTGGCAGTCACCTGTCCTCTCTCGAATCGCTTTTCATACGACGGATGCGGACCAAGTGCGAATGCGGTGAGTACCCCGGAGGACGTCCCGGATAGCATCGCCACCAAGCCCCCAGTCATTTTGAGGATATGAGATGTCTTTACAATCCAAACAGCAGTAACCGCCGTTGTAATCATATTCAAGGCAGGGATCCCAAGGTGGGGCTGCGAGCTGGGCTCAGCAAGGTCCAGGAATCGCCCGCGCTGTTCAGTGGACGAGATGAAGTAGCTACGCCCTTGTGGGCAACCCTCGCCGTAGATCATGCCATAGGGTTGGCTTACATCCATCTGATTAGGCAGGCCAACCATATTACCAGGGCCCAGTCCATACTCTGCTTCGCCGGGATGCAATTCCGTAAAGTGCCGAAATAGCTGGTGATCCGCTAAACCCCATGTGCCAACTTTAACTGTTGATGGGTCGCTAGCAGAAGAAATCCCCTGTTCCGAAGCCCCATGGATAAAAAGAGGCTCTTTCTTGGCAACTTCTGGTCCAAATGATCCATGCAAGTGACTGACAGGATACAAAAGTTGTGACGAGTAGGTCACCACCGCACTGCCATTGCGTACGTTTGCGGTGCGCACAGTCCCTTGCTTCCTGGAAGGCTCAAATGAAGCCGGCTTGCCTCTGGAAAGAGATCTAAGGAGGCGCGTACGTAGAATGTACTCAGATCGCCAAGATGCAAGGGCACTGAGCCTGGAGAAAAAGCGTTTATCCGAAGCCAAATTCTCTGGGTTGTTTTGCCCAGAGAGCCGGGCTCCATTTTCGGTGGCATAGGGGCCAGGGAAGTAGCGTGAAAATGCGCTGCGCCAGGCATGAGGGGTAGTAACTAAGCCGTGAAAGCGGCGCGACAGTAGTGCGATCGATGACAGCGACTGCGGTGGCAGATGCGAGAGAATATGGGTCAACACCTCTGAAGGATGACATTGTCAGATGATTGGCCATATGATGAAATGATGGGATTCGGCGAACACATACCGTTTGGGAAAATCTCTAGGGATAAGCTTGACTGAGTCGGCGACGGCACCACTTTGAATTCAACCTTCCCTTGTCTCCTAGACGTCCGGGCCATTTCATTCTCATATTGAGTGACTCGGTCAACCAGTGGCGTGAAGGGGTCCGGCAGATCGTTCAGGGGCAGCAAGTCGGGGGCAGTTTCAGAGACTCCGACCTCATGCTGAAAGTCAGAGACTCCAGAGTCGACATAACAATCATGTCCATGCTGGGTAGAATGGTGCGAGTCGTCGAGGGATGGCTCTGTTGGGGGTGTCCGTTCGAAAACTGCTGCAGGCTCTGGTTGCATAAAAAGGCTTCGCGGGGAAATGGGGCCAATGACGGCGACTGAGCCAGGAAACACGTCTGGATCAGCCGGAATAAGAAGGAGCAGCTAGAATGGACGAGGAAGAGCTCTGTGGAAGGCGCCGAACGAGACGAAGGACTGACGATAGGGAGGAGGGGATGATGGAGAGAATTCGTTCCAGCAAAATCCAAATCTCGCTGTGACTCAAAAGATCGGACGGCAAGGCGAGCGGCCAATCACGTCCCCGCGGTGAGGCGTGTTAAGCACGTGACTACGCGACGCCGCAAGCACCCGATTTGGATATTCCCACATGACTGCAGCGAGACTAAGTATAGCACTCTTTGTGACGGATTGTTTTTTGCTGAGAAGTGAAACTCTCTATGCAATCGTGACAATATAGGTGTAGACACTGTTGCATGGTAGTATCGCGCTCAAGTCGTGTCTGTTGTGCCTCAAATAGGCAACAATTCAGGCTCACCGATTTTACACTCATGCTTCCTTTATTGCCCAAGAACTCTCGTCACATACATATTCCGCGATAGAAAATATGGCCGAACTAGGTGGTGAGTCGAGCACTACTGAGCTAAGAATATATTGCTTCCTTGACCGAGAATGCTGATCAGATTAGACGCCGAAACAATCCGCATTCTCGTCTCAACCGACAATCATGTTGGATATAACGAACGGGACCCTATCCGAGGCGACGATAGCTGGAAGAGTTTCCATGAGGTGATGTGTTTAGCCAAAGAGCAAGACGTGGACATGGTCCTGCTAGCGGGCGACCTATTCCACGAGAATAAGCCTTCGCGCAAGTCCATGTATCAGGTGATGCGCTCCATCCGAATGAATTGTCTAGGAGACAAGCCCTGTGAGCTGGAGATGCTCAGCGATGCCAGTGAAAATTTTCAAGGAGCCTTCAACCACGTCAACTATGAGGATTTGGACATCAATGTTGCAATTCCTATTTTCTCCATCCACGGTAACCACGATGACCCATCTGGGGAAGGCCACCTGGCGGCTCTGGATTTATTACAGGTTTCAGGTCTCCTTAATTACTACGGTCGGACACCTGAATCAGACAACATCCATATAAAGCCGGTTTTAATCCAGAAAGGACGAACCAAGTTAGCTCTCTACGGCATGAGCAATGTCCGCGATGAGCGACTGTTCCGGACGTTTCGAGATGGTAAGGTGAAGTTCTACCAACCTTCAATACAAAAGGAGGATTGGTTTAATTTGATGTCCGTTCATCAAAATCACCATGCCTACACGGAAACGGGATATTTGCCTGAAAACTTCCTGCCTGAATTCTTGGATCTCGTTGTCTGGGGCCATGAACACGAGTGCTTAATTAACCCCCGACTGAACCCAGAAACAAAGTTCCATGTGATGCAGCCTGGATCGTCTGTAGCAACGTCGCTGGTCCCCGGTGAGTCAGTTGCGAAGCACGTTGCGATTCTTAGTATCACAGGCCGGGAATTTAAATGTGAACCCATCCCCCTGAAAAGCGTTCGGCCATTTGCCATGAAAGAGATTGTCCTTTCCCAGGAAAAGGGGGCGCAGAAGCTCGCCCGCAAAGAGAATAACCGCACCGAAGTGACGCGTTTTCTGATCACAATTGTAGAGGAGCTCATCGAAGAAGCCAAGGCGGAGTGGCTAGAGATGCAAGACAGCAACGCAGAGGATATAGAGGAGGTCCCGTTGCCGCTGGTGAGACTTCGCGTTGAGATATCCACGCCAGAGGGAGGCGGTTACGACTGTGAAAACCCGCAGCGATTCTCCAATCGCTTTGTGGGCAAGGTTGCCAACGTGAACGATGTCGTCCAATTTTATCGGAAAAAGAAAAATGCCACAACGCGAAAGAAGGATGACGAGGTGGAAGAAGCTGCTGTTTCCCACCTTTCAACCCTGGATACCGTCAAAGTGGAGCAACTCGTACGGGATTTCCTTTCCGCACAGTCGTTGAGTATTCTCCCACAGAACTCCTTTGGAGACGCAGTGGCACAATTCATCGACAAAGATGACAAGCATGCTATGGAGATGTTTGTCAATGACTCACTAGAGAGTCAAATAAAACACCTAATGTCCCTCGATCGAGACTACGACGACATGGAGGACGGAGGTGCAATTCAATCCTCGTTGCAAAAAGCCATGGAGAAATACCGCACCCAGATGGAAGATATGTTCTCGCAAGGGATTAAGAAACGAACGCGAGGGAAGAAGCGATTCAAACCCAAGCCGGACGGTTGGGACAGCGAGTTTGATGGCCCGTGGGAGGACCAGCCCGGTGCCCTCGTCCACTCCGACAACGAGGGTGGTGATCCTAACGAAGACGAGGCCGCAGCATACGGTACAGAACAAACTACAGGCAGATCGTCCGCACGAGGTCGCGGTCGCGGTCGCGGAGGAAGAGCGACGACTGCTGCCTCGAGTACTCGCAAGACTGCTGCAGTCACAAAAGCATCATCCGCAGCCGGCAAAAAGGCTGCATCCGCCAAAGCCGCCAAAGGCCGCAGCCGACGTGCCGTATCTGACGACGAAGAGGAAGACGAAGACGATGTTATCATGCTTGACGATGATGACGATGAGGTAGCAGCCCAGGCCATCTCCGACGAAGATGATGACGATTCGCAAGCGCTATTCGTCAAGCAGCCATCAACCAGGATGCGACAGAAAGTAGCATCCACAACGGGCAGCACCCAACGTCGTGGACGAGCGGCACCTTCTCCAGCCCCATCCTCCAGTACATTAGGGGCGACATCCATACGTCGGACGACAGCCGCGAAGGGAAGACAGTCGCAAACTACGTTGAGTTTTACAGGGTCACAAGCAAGCGCCCGCGATAAGACAGCCAGTCTGTCGAAACCAGCGACTAGACCAGTCCGTACGATAAGACAGCGAGATGTCAGTGTCATCAGCGATGATGTCGACGACGATAGCGACGCTTTTGAACCTATGCCTAGCTCCAGTAGACGCAGGTGAGGCACTGTTAGCTCGAGGGTGGTGCAGATGGGATCCAGTATTTCTCATTCCTCGTTAATTTGTTGATAATGTACTAGCATTCATGGCGTTATATCCACCGCTACGCGTTAAAAATTGAAATCCTCTCACTCACTATATTACTGATTTCAAATTAGTCACTTAACAAACTATATACACAAGCATAGACTACCGTGACCAGTTGTAAGAAAAGCCAACAACATATCTTAAGCAGAATCTACAGCTTTCCCCTATTCAAAAACCTCACCGGCAAATTCACCCATCTGGCTCTCAAATACTCAGCAACATTCTTCCCCAGAAAATCCACGGTGGTCGTAATCCCCACGCCGCGATCCAACAGATTCCGAAACAAGAAATGCACCGCATGCAAATTCGGCATCTCAAACCGCTCAACCTCTACCAGTGGATGAGCGGTGTATTCATCCCCTAACAGCTCCCTAATCTTCGGAGTGGACAGCAACCAGCGAAGCCATAGGTACTCGTCACCATGACGCACCCAGAACCCACAGTTCGCGTCGGGGCCCTTATCACCAGACCGGGCATGGACAATCCACCCAAGGGGTCCGCGCACGGTCGGTCCGAAGTCTGGGATTCCGTTGGCTGGGACGGAAATTACTGTTTCATACTGTGAGGGTTGACGAGGGGGGAATTCCTTTGTCACGGGGGGAGGAGGGATATCGATGATTTTGTTTGACCAGGGGAGATGAACTTGATGTTTCACATCTGCTTGTGGGAGGAGAGATACGTAGTACTCGTACACGGGTTTGGGGAACCCCTGACGAGTATCCAAGTTGAATGTCGCACCGGGGTAGCCCTGCATGATGTTATCGGTGATGCGACGGAGGAAGTAAGTAGGAGCGAGGTCGTCTGCATTTCTGGCCTGAACGACCGTTCGAAAAGTGACAGTAGCGCTGTTCTGGTCGTGAGGATTATCTGGTACTGAACCAAGGATGCTGAATTTCAGAGCCATTAGTTTCGACGAGTGGGGTGCGAGAATCTTTCGGATTTGATCCTCCAGCATGCGTGCTTTTGCGTCGATGTCTAGTCCTACTAGATACCATGACATCTCGGCCTGGAATCCTCCCCGGGCTGTGATGCCAACTTTCGTCGTCGGAGGGGGCGGTGCAGACTGGACGCCACGTAACGCGACGCGGTTGGCACCAATCTGTTCGAAGTAGAGATCTGGGAGCACGGCGGTAACATCGGAGTTAAAGTACCAGGGACCCTGGATCTCGTATAAGAGCTGGGATGAGCAGGTGTCGACGGTGACGGCACCACCGGTAGCATAGGATTGCATCGTGATGACCGTTTGACCGTCTGTCGAGATCTCTGCAATGGGGTATCCGATGTTAGACCAGCCGTCCTTGCCGACTTTCTCGAGGGATTTGAAGCCGGTGAAGTTCCCCCCACAGACGTAGTTGCTGCATTCGATGAGATGGCCGGCCACGAACGCATTGGCTAGTTGGTCGAGGTCGCTGCGTTTCCAACCGTGGTACCATGCTGCGGCGCCGATTACCGGTGATGCGTCTGATACTCGACCGCAGAGAACGATATCGGCCCCCTGGGTGAATGCTGCAGCGACTCCAAGGCCTCCCAAGTAACACTGTGCGAAGATGGGTTCGAAATCCCAGTCTGAAAGTGCTTCTCCTGTGTAGACATTTTTGAACGTGGATTTTCCGGACGATAGGGCAGATTGAACGGTAGAAAGAACCTCGTCACCAGAGACCCAAGCCACCTAGCTTTCGTCAGCATGAGACGGGACTAAACATCAGCAGTGATGGGAAGACTACGCACCTTTAAGTTTAGCCCCTTTGCTTGTATCATTTGTGTTACTGCTTTAAAGAGACCTTCTGTGTCTGTATTCCCCGCATTGACCGCTAGCTTTATGCCATGCTTGGCCAGGTCGTCAAGAGCAGGCTGTAGGGCCAGGAGAAATGATGGTTCATAGCCCGGTAAGTTGGCAGTTGGTATCCCCTGAGGGCCTGGATTCTGTGTACCCTGACCTACGCGGCGTGCAGCCCCAGTGACCATGTTGGCTTCACTCAGGAAATCGGCAATGACAACGTCGACTGGGTCCAGGGGATAGTTGCGAGCGAACTCTGCGATGGCATGGCGCCGGTCAGAGGCCGAGCCTGAAGCACCTGGATCCCAACCAGTTAGAATTTTGTTTATTTTTGAATATATAATGAATGACGATTGCAGGACGACAAACCGGCAATACGGATGGGACGAGGGCTCATAACGAAGGGTAAACGTCAATAGCAATGATGGCAGATGGACAGCCAGAGATCTCATAACAAAAACTACCGGGGGACAAATAGTCGATGTCTTGTCTATATGCAAGACGGAGATCCATACGATGATCAGTGGCTCGCCGAGGAGACGTCGGTTCTCGGTCTGGAGATGCGGGGTCGGCGAATGGAGATCACAGCTTGGAGGAACAAGGATGTTCCTTCGACAATACACTGTGAATGACAGTAGGATGTCAGATTGGAGGATAAAAGGATCGTCTTGACTCTACAATACAATACCTAGTAATTGTCGATGACATCATTTAGCAACATGAGATATGGAAGAGGCGGGTTTCTTCTACCGTGGGTCTTCAGCTATATCATAGCACATCCAAAGCCAACAGCCAAAGCCAAATTTCATCAGATTACCACACGTCATTTATTCTTGCTCCTGCCAACCTTATCGACAACAGCGATCCTAGATGTGATCTCTTGGCCAAGAAAAATAAGACAAGTGCAAGGATCAGGGAGTAAAAATCGGTTTATCTACACGAACAAACCAGCCCACCTTGCCACCTCCAAGGCAAAAATCATGATCAAAACCGACGTTTTGACCAAGTCGATTTCATCGCGATACTGATGTATCCAATTTCGGATCTGCGACCACCAGAGCGACCGTCCGCTATCTTTCACCGCTGATTTAAGACCGGGTAAGCCGTCCAGACTACTGTTATTATTCTCCTTCTGGTACGAATGCAGCTGTCCGGCAGCCACCCGTTTCCCCGCCCAATGGCCGAGGGTCTCACGGTCTTTGAGATAGGGCTTTGGGGTGTTTGTTTCGGGATCAATGGTTAGTGCTAGTAGGGGCACACCGAAACCACAGGACGTTTGAACCTAGGAGTATTTAGTTCACTAAGAAATATTAGACGGATTGAGCGGGGGGAAATAGGAAAGAAAGAAAAACCTTAAAGATATCCAAACAGATAATTGCCCTTGCGCCTGGGAGGTTTTTCCCCCCCATGCGGGCCATGTAAGGCCCGAACTCCGGCTGGTTCCATTCAATCACTGAACCTTTACAAAAGAACCGGAGAATACGAGGCGAGGCGTCGAAGGAGCAGAACATTACGGTGATGCGGCCATTCTCACGCAAATGGGAGATCGTCTCGTTTCCGGAGCCCGTTGCGTCTACATAGGCTGCCTGGTTGGGCCCGAGGATGGCGAAGGAGGCGTCGGGGAGCCCTTTGGGAGAGAGATTCACATGGCGACCATGCCGAGGGGCGGACGCGACGAAGAAGACGCTTTGATTGAGGGCCCATTCAATTAGGTCGGGGGAGACGGAATCGTAGTATTTGACCATTTTGCTGAGATCAGTCGATCGAAAGATTATTTCGAATCTGTGGAAGAAATAGGGATACTGTGGAAGGTGCGGAGTAGGTAAGCGGAGTGAGTCATTTCATTTCAGTTGATCTGCAAATCGTCCGCTAATCATTCACAACTCATCTAGTGAAAAGTCTCTCATCTTTGCACTCTTTCTATCTTTTTTCCCTTTTTTCTATCCATATGCACTGAACTTATTAAAACAAGCCACTGAGCCATCTAATATACAATTAATATTCATCTCCCGAATGTCCAAAATAAACGTGAAGAATGTACAACGAAAACAAACCGCCCGCCCACTATTGCTGAGGATGTTTTCTCTGACCCATTAAGTTGATGTCTTTCCGCAAGACCCATCTCATCAAACGCAACCGACCCGACCTTCTACGCAAATCTGCGCCCTTCCACTTTCACCACCGGTCCGTCATACACTTTGCGCGCATACGCCCCGTACACTACGGCAGATACACCCATCATTCCCAGGAACAACACGCAGGCCCAGTTGAAATTCTCCGCATTGACCCGATACGCGTTGGGCCAGAAACTCCAGAAAAACGACCAGGTGGCGTACACCATGGCGATCACGTTCACTGGGAGACCAAAACGGCCGAGAGACCAGCGTGATGGGGGTAGGGGAGGATTGTTGTACATACGACGGACAATAACGCAGCCGATGGAGATGAGGTAGGTGGCCATCAACGCGGTAGTGGAGAGAGACAGCATGGCGTTAAAGGCCACGGTGGAGCCGAGGTTAATCAGCGACATGACGATCGAGAAGGCGCAGGTGAAGAGAATGGAGTTGACCGGAATATGGAGTTCGGGGTGAACCTGATACAGGATTCAATTAGAAGGAGTCATCTGCCAAATTTAACTACTCGAAAGCGCAACTTACCGCAGCCAGCCATTCCGAAAACGGCAAGCCATTGTCGCGAGCGAAAGCAAATGTCTGGCGCGAGGCAGAAGCTAGGGAACTGATGGTGATCATAATGAGAAGAATCAGGACAACGGCCACCAGCACGGTGGAGCCAGCCTTATCTTTAAACGCTTGCTGAAAGACAAAAATAAAGGGGAATCCAGTGGGTGAGTCGAGTGCTCCCTGAACGTCAGGCATGCTGAAGAGAAGGGAGAGAAGTAGCCCAAATGCAAATGGGATGTTCAGCAAAAAGGCGCTGACCATGGATTTGGGCACCACGACACTGGCATTTTCAATCTCTTCCGCTGCAGACCATCAGCATAGATCCGTATTTTATTTTGCGTTATCATAGCATCGATACAGTGGTGTCTTAGATGGGGGTCATACACATGTGGGCAACGGAGTCGGATCCTATCGAAATCGACTGTCAGAATCATGGACCGATTTACCAACACTTTCTGAATGACACTTACCTAGCACAACAAACATAGAGGACACCTGGCCCACCATGACAGTGAGCGATATGTCCGGCCACCCGGCTCCATAGTCTGTAAACCCGGTAAAGACGTCTACGGCCTTGACCTTGGGAGCCAGCACCAGCAGCGTCACAATTACAGGAAAGAAGGCGAAGAAGTGGCAGGTGACGAAGATACCCTCAGCCAGCGGCAAATGCTTTGCCGCAAAGATGTTAAACAGGGACATGCCGATAGCGGCAGCAACCACCAGCAGCGTTCCTTGCCAGCGGGTTGGAGAATATGATTCATTGTTGAGGGAGATCATGCCTTGGATAATGGTTCCCACCAGATAGGCATCCAGAGCCACGATACTCTGCCACGAGATAGTCGACAGCCATCCTGCTCAAGGTTAGTGGCCTAGGCGTCTTTGGAGATTCATGGTTGACGCACCCGAGGCATAACTAAGGAATTTCTGGTACTTTCGGGGAGCAAATTCCGAAACCCACTATATAGTAATAGTTAGCCTTTACACCGAATGTAGCATCCGGGGGACTTGCATGGTATTGTCCTCCTGCCGTTGGTGCCCTGCACTGTGTCAGTATGAGTGAGGTTGGAATAGCGGTGCTACACGCACATGGAGGCCATCTCTGCTAGGGACATGACAATGAAAAATTGGCCACAATAAGCCCATACCAAGGACCAAAACAGCGCTGGTCTTCCGCCAGCCGTCAGCCCGGGAGTGTTGGACCTACGTTTGCGCTAGCGTTGTCAACTCGGAACTTCAAAAAAAAAAAAAAAAAAAAAAAAAGAGACCATACGAGAGCAAAATCTCCCATGTCCCCATGACGCAGGTAGTGAACCCAATTGTGCTCACGATTCGGAAATTTCTCTGTCCCTAGTTAGCAATCATCCCAGTGTTGCAGAGGTTGTATACAAGGCTAACCCTCATTTCCTGCTTCTTGCCCATGCGCTGCATATCTCTTTGGTCATTCAGGGTGAAACCAGTTTTGACCTCGTTGGAGACATCTTGATGAACCTCCTCGTGCATTTCGCTGAGCTCATGGCGCGGGCCCTGCCCCACAGAGATCCCCTTGAGTTCATGGTGATCAGGCATCTTAACGAGAGTTCCTGGACACTCGGATGGCAGCAGGATCAGACTTGGGGGTGGGGGGGAGGCGAGAGCATGATCCCAGTCTAATATACGAAATGCAATGGGCCTAGAAGAGTCCGAAATCAATGAAGACTAATTAGGGTTGTCACACTAAGGGGTGCTGTACTCCATTATTTTGCCTTTACTACTTCGCAAGTCGCGAACGCTAAATTGGCAGCCACAGCCACCTACGACTGGTTTACTGAATGGGCCTCCCCTCAGTGGGTACTCTAGCCAGTAATGTTGGTATAAACGTCTCAATTAACTATATCGTTTTAGGTTCGGCGCTCTCCGGAGTGGGTGCTAGGCAGCGCAGCCAAGGCCCCAGTGACTAATATGCGCTGATTTCTGCACTTCTCCTTGCAAACAGGCCCACTCCGATGTCCTTTTCGTCGTGGTGCAGCGGCTGAAAAACACAAAGTTTCATTAGCCTCTTCAATACGCCTGCAGTTTCATCTTCGAGTCGGAGGTTTTATTGCATAACCCTCGTTAGCGGCAACAAGCTTCCTTTTAGCCTATCACGCGATATCTCCCCCTGCAGGAACTACTTTAGAGTAGGATGGTTCGCCAGAATGGCTGCGTTGAAACAGTGAAAACGGCGAAAAACGGCGAAACACACCGAAGAAACTTTGGCTCTTGGGACCACCGTGGAACTCTAAGTTTATTCTACAGTCATATTTCGTATAGTCTCTGGGTCTCGGGACTGATACGAATGACCAACCAGTACGCTGCAATATGTCCGTCAGCTCGTGTTTTTCAACGACAGGGATTCTAGCCCTGGTCAGGTTGTTGAGTACCCCTGTCATACGTTGCCGATCCCTGCACGAGGAATATACGGAGTAAGGAGGGAATAATTGATAAATGCTTCGTCGCGCTCGTTCTGCTTTCTTCTGCCCCGCGGATGATCTGATCTTGTTTCTTGAGCTACGACTGGCGATCAACTTTGTTACCTTCCTGGGCACATTGGAATGTCTTTTAGCAACTATGACGGCTCTGCTTACATTGAGGTGACGCCGGATAGACACGGGGCCTTCATTGTCATCACCGGGGTGATCGGGTTGATCTGGTCCTGCATGATTATCGCCATCCGGGTGTATCTTCGGTTGCATCTGAACCCGCCCTTTGGGTGGGATGACATGGCGGCGGTGTTTGGGACGGTAAGTGCATATTTGCTCAGTCCGAGTGTTTGTGTGTGGCTGGCTAGGGCTGACTGACCGTCAAAGGTCGTGGGCATCATTCAAACATCGGTGACTCTGAGCGCGGTGCACTGTGGCATTGGCACGCGAGAAAACCTGCTCACAACAGAACGGGCTGATACCGCGCTGAAGGTATGGCTGAAAGCTAAAAAAAAAAAAAAAAAAAAGAAATTCTAGACCTGCGACTTCTGGTGTTTTCACACTTTAATTTAACTCCCGCACAGACCCTTTATGTTTCGTGGTTGTTGTACCCCATCGCCATCTGTTCCTCCAAAGTGTCCATCGCCCTTTTGATTGCGCGGCTGACACGGACCAAGCACCATCTGTGGGCGAGTTACGGACTCACGACGTTGAGCTTTCTCTGGGGTGTGATATCATTGTTCCTGGTTGCCTTCCAGTGTCGAGCGCCTCGACCGTGGGACGTTGGAAACGCCGACCAATGCAGCGGCATGGTATGTCCATTTCTTGTGTTCTGCTCCACTCACTGACTTGTCAGTTCTCGCATTGGTCGGTTATTGAAATCGTCAACATGATTATCGAGGCTCTCATCCCGTGTCTGATTATTCTGATTGTCTGGTCACTGTGCATGCCCTTGGCTACCAAGATCACTGTGGTTCTTGCATTTTCCTTACAACTGCTGTGGGTCTCCATCCATATGTAGTAGTACCTAATTAATTCTAATCTATTGGCTGATAGGGTGGTCGTCCCCACGATCATGCGAATCCAGTTCCTGCGAGGCCTCACATCCGCGCCGCAGGCCGACCGCACGTTCACGCTGACCAACTCGACGGTGCTCACCGAAGTCGTGATGCACTTTTCCCTCATGGCGGCGACGTTCCCGTGTCTGCGCAAATTCCTGCAGGCGTTCGATCTGCACATGGGGGCAACGACGAACCTCACCAGCGAGGGTGAATACACCGGCAGCAACACGTACACGCGATCGGGGGGCGCTAGCTACGCGCTGAAGTCGATGGATCGGTCGCATTCGCAGTCGCGGTCTCGGGCCAGCATTGACCGTCGCCAATCAGTGCCGTCGGGTACCATGGGAAACACGACGATGATATCGACGGTGGGAAGGAGACGCAGTGCGGAGAGTGATGGCAGTCAGCGGGTGATGATCCGGAAGACGGAGGAGTGGGAGGTGTTGTCCTCTCGGGATGATAAGTAGATATACATGGATATAGAGAGATGATATAAATGTAGACGTATATAGATATAATGTAGAACTATAGATAAACGAGATATATCTACCGATCTAAAGCAAAACACCTTTCAACCGACACCGGATGATTCCCCCACCAATTCGGCATCTGAATCTGTTTCCCAGACCCAAACAAGAGAAAAATCAAGAGCATATTCAAATTAAACCCCGCGTCAAATGCTGCTGCAATCATATAACTGTATCTCTTCCACACCTCGAACCGTTTCCGATACGCCCAGTACATAACAACATACCCCCCTATAAACGCAGACGTATAACCGGTACTCACATTCCCATAAAACACGGCCATCCCGGAGAAGAAAATACTTACATTCCAGAGATCGATCCTCCATCTGGGCAATCTCCGATGTGCCAGAAACAGCAACGGCGGCAGAACCGCCCCTACAAGAAACGCATAGGGAAGCACCCGCAGCTCATTCTGCTGAAACATCCGCCCCGGTCCGATAACAGCATACTGCACGCCCATCGTCTTGTAGGACTGTATCTGCTGCCCAGTCCACTGATTCAACGGATCGACTTTCTTCCCTGTCAGATAATCCCCTTTCGTATTCAGTACCCAGCGCAACACCCCATAATTCACGGGGATACCAAGCACGGTCCCCACAATCTGCGAGATGAAGACATCTCGCGGCGGAACGTGCATGTAGTGCGCAATTTTCTGATCCTGAAGCATCGTCTGCGCGCGATACCATGCGTCGCCGGCGATGGCGCCGTAGGTGGACGGTCCGCAGGGGTGGTTGTGGGAGTTTCCGGCGCGCGAATGGACCATGTACCCGTAGAGCATTTCGTTGAAGGTACCAATGGGGAGCTGGTAGTTTGAGATGGCGTAGAGCCAGCCGAAGGGGATGACGAACACCGCGGAGGTGAGCAGCGCGACGAAGAAGGTCCATAATGGGATCCAAAGGTAGCCCTTCGCCAGGGCGATGACGATGATCAGGAATGCGACGAAGAAGAGGACTACATACCATAGTAGTGGGACTTCCTGGTATTGCCGTTGTAGGACATTGAGTCGGTCGTGGTATTGGTGGTTGATGGATTGGGCGCGACGAGATGCGAGGGCTTTGCGCAGGTTCAATGAGACTTGTTTGAAGCCGAAGGTGGCGATCCAGGCTACAGCGGCGGTGATGGTGGCGTAGTCGAAGAAGGTGGCCCAGGCGTATTGCAGACCCATGTACATGGGACCGTAGTGATCGAAGGCGGTTTGGTTGAGACGGAAGTCTGGAGTGAGGACGTCGAGGATGGGATAGGCTGTGCCGTTGGCCATTAATAGATGGTTGCTCATGAGGCCGTGTTTGTAGGATCCCAGATTGCCCCATTTGGCGGCGGGCAGCAACACCCAGCAGTTGAACACGAACGCGGCGAACAGCACGACCTGCGTCCACCAGGGTGTCAATAGAATGGAGGACTCGTTCCAGTTGATGTTGGACCAATCCAGCGACAAGTTCAGAAACCCCATACCTCCCAGACCAGAGCCGATAAAGTTGGCCACGGGGTTATGCGGCGCCACCCAGCAGAGGAAGGCCAGCGACGAGGTGAAGGGGAAAACGTATTCAGGTAGGAACTGCCACAGCGTCATGCCAACAAACGAGAAGAAAAACACTTTCAGCTGGCGACGCGCCAGCGGCGATGAGGTATCCTGTTTACGGAAGGTCTCGAACAGTGTCGTCTGCATCAGAGCCTGTGGCCAGATGTAGCTAGGGTCGTACAGGAGCAGAGAGCGCGCGATCGCCGCGAAGGCATATCCAATCCACACGATGGCGAACATGAAGAAGATGGCCACCGCGGGGTTCAGTCGCTCGCCGTAAAAGAGCTCCGCCAGCGTGATAGGCGTGTAGCCCTGGTTGTAGATGGCTCCGGAGGCCGCCGTCAGCGTGACGAGGACGTGCTCCTTAGGGCTCCAGGGGCCCGGGTTGAGACTGAATGACCAGCGCGAGAACGGGGTGCGCACCGTCCACGCCGGCAGTACGTGTGCCAGGAAGTGGCCTGCGTAGTGCGAGGCGATCTGCACGAAAAACACGGAGTAAGGCGCTTTCGTCGTGCGGAATTGACTCATCTGCGACAAGAACGCCCCGGGCACGACGAATACCACCGCCAGAATGAAGTATCGGAATGTGATGGTGGGCAGCGAGGGGTCGTCGCTGAGGTTGACCAGCTGGCGCACCTCAAGGGGGAGAGCAGCAATTTCGGGGTCATCCTCCTGGTCTATGTTATCTTGTTTGGTCTCGTCGTCTTGTTTGGTGGTCTCGCTGCTCTTGTGGATCTCCACATCGTGCACCGGTTCTTCCACAGTAGTGGCAGTAGAAGAAGGCTTCGACGCTCTCCAAAACATTGAACGGAGCATGTTGGCAGTTCACCACTGAAGGATAGAGAGCGAATGCAATGGCCCTGGGAACAGGAAGATAACCAGGAAGATATAACCTCCTGTGCCGGATGACGTGCTTCATTTTATTATGCAAAGGAAACATCTCCATGTAACCTTGGATAACGCGGCGTCGGGGTTACAGACAAGCTAATGCTTGGTGTAGCCAAGTTGGACATTTTAATCTCTGCCAGAGCCAGTGAGGTCTCGCTACGCTCTTTTTTTAGCGCATGACGTTATCGGAGGTCCTGATGGTGATGTTGGCACGTGATTTGCCCTATGCATGTCATCTTGCATAAAATGAGTTGAGGGGTAGTAGGGCCCTTGCCTTCGCTCTATTAGTGAGAACGCATCGAGTATTGATTAGAATATATGCAACATGTTAGGTTATACATTTTATATCTCGGAGTAGATCTTGTAGATCAACGGTCAAGACTCCTCTGGTTAAATTGTAAACAGAGGTATATTCAAATCACACTGCCATGTCACTTACTTTGCTTCTAAAGTCACCAGTGCAGTTGAATAAGATTCCGCTCATATAGAGCTACTGACCAATTAATACAGCGACATATATGATAATAAGATCTTAGACTATACCAATATGTACCTCTCTAGTATTATACATATACAATCAAAGAAATAAGGTACTGGTTCTTCCACGCCAGAGAAATAAAAGTTATCCACCTAGTTGGTGTACACCACCACAAAGTCACCCTGGATCGAGTTGTCCACGTGAACCGGATCGCACTGCCAGACATCGTCGGAGAGGGTGGGACCACCACAGTCCAGCTTGGCCGATACACAAGAGTACGACGGTGTAAAGGTCAGGAAGGCCCGCGTGCCAGGCTTCTGGGTCAGAGAGTTGCTCACGGTGAAGGTGGTCGAGTTGGTGATACTCGAGCCCGTCTCCTTGGACACCGCCTTGGCCCAGTTGTATCCCACTGTTGTGCTCACCTCGCTCTTTATGATGAAGTCCTCGCCCACACTCACCGACAGACTAGCATCAAACCCATTGGTCACCGTCTGGCTGGAGGACGAGGAGAGGGTAGTGCCCGACGTCACCGACCCATCAATCCTGAACGTGCACCCGCTGTCACTGTTGCACATCTGAGTCGATCCGATAATTTGTTGTTTGCCCGCGTTCATAAACGGCTCGCTGACGTCGACGGCCGTGCAGCCCGACCCATCCCAGTCGCTGTCGCGACGCTCCAGCTCCGCGGGTGCTTGGTCTTCTGCGTCACGCCGCTTGAGGGCAGAATTACCCATGCTCATGGCTTCGCAGTCACCAGTGCCGCAGCAGAAGGTGGCACCAAGCACTTGCTTTGCCTGTTGTGCAAATCGAATCAGCATGATAACTCAATACCCACGGGCCAGAGGCCTATTATACGAACCGGAATAGAGCTGTAGAAGCAACCGGTCTCACCGACGTTCAGAATCTGGTTGCCAGCCACCTTGACTCCGGGCACGGAGCCATAAGATCCCTGGGTGTAGTCGGTAAACAGCGAGACACGGCAGCTCGGGTCACGCTGGTCGACCCTCCACCAAATACTGTAGGAGCTGCCATCGGTTTCGGCGTCGGGGAAGTCGGCATTTTCATACCACTTGGCATTGGCCATCGTATCGCTAATGCCACGCGACTCAATGTACGTCAGATTCTCCATAGAATCTTCGTGAAACCCCGCAACCATCCGGGTGGCATTGGAGCACTTCGCATCACTGTGAGGGGTGAGATTGATGGCCTGCGAGACGGCGGCCAGCATGGCCGCGAAGATGAGAGTGTGAGAAGGCATGGCTGACAAGGAATGAAGGGTTGAAGGGTAGGAGAAGCGGTGATATAACGTTAGTCAAAGAGACTGGAGATATTTATATCTTGTCACTTTGGCCCGTTTCTCGTCCCTCCTAGCATACGTTGCGGCCGGTTTAATGAGCGAGTCCTTGGTCTGTCAGATGTATTGCTCGGCCCCCAATCCTGACTGGATCGGAGGCCATCTCGTTGTAGAACTCTGGTTGGGTGGTGGTGATATTCGAAGGGGCTACGATAGAATTATGTGAAATGTAGGCTAATGGACTCGACGATCTCCTTTTTCTAGTTAATGCGAAGCCCGTGCCCAGCCTTCACTAACGGCATTGGCAAAGGGTATCAAATGCAATGTGAATGTCCGGGTCAGACTAAAGTGTAAGCCACTGCTCCTGATTCTGCATTTAGTAGATCCTTTGAACACGTTCTTTTGCCAGAAACATGCTAGAGCTGAATATCTTCGATGGAAAGTGGACTCTTGTATGGGGCCACATTGATGATGTCGTATGCCAAGGTTCTCGGTAGCGAATGGAGAGCACATGCCTTATAGTTGTTTCCTCTGAATGATGGACGGTGGAATTGGGGGCCGTTTTCGATTCTCTGTGGACGATCTCTCTCCTGCGACCAGATCATGGATGATAATGAGAGAGTATGAATTCCCATCGTTCCAGACTCCTAGTCACAGACATGCGGGAGAAAAGGATGTCATTGGCATGTTGGAAGCCTAAGAAAAGACTCCCTACAATATGTCATATATTGAAGCTTGATACGCTCTGGACAAGGCTAATCTGATATATGCCCATAGTGGACCGCCAGCGCTGTAACCTAAGTTAGCCGAAAGTTACGCACTAGCGAATCAACACGGCTCTTGCCTGTTCCATTCCGGAGATTACCTACTGTGGGTCTCGTGCCTGGCTATGATCCTTTGTTCCGGATTTATTCGGTGATACATCTCAATTGCAACCATCCATTTAGAGGCTACGGAGCCCCCGGGAGATAGGCGGTGGCAGTGATGCACGAACTGCCTAACTGAGCATGCTCTTGTCTGTTTGAGAAGTGATCGACTTGTCTCTCCAGTACTCCGTACTCCGTACTCTGTTGGATTTTTCGAAAGTGAGTCAACTGCAGCAACTGAAACTGCATTTACTATTTACCCATCTGGAGAGGTGGCCATCGAAGCGAATGTGGGTAGGTGAATCCCCTGATTCCCTGCTTTCTATTAATTTGGATTAGCAATAGCGCATCTCCTTCTTGATCGCCACGGACACTCCGAGTGGGTCGACGGGGTATCGGAGGAGGATGACGTTTGGCTGTTGACGCTTGGCTGTTTAGTTGCACTGTCCATACATCGCGCAGCTCACAATCGTAGTATGCTGCGTTGTATTGACAATTCCATGAGACTCTATCTGTAGTCGAAGTGAATCCAGAGATTTTGGGGTAAAAGTGGTATGGAATCATCAAGTGGACGATGGTGGCTATTTTGAAAATCTCAGCTGCACGTGATCTAGTGCACGTGTGCCGGGTTGTCCGGAAGAGGAAAGCCGTCACAAGTGCGTCTATAGATACTATCATGTATAATTCAACAAAAATCAACAAAAATCAACAACGATCTAGCTATCCCCACAAAATATTCAATCGAGACCATTTGCTTGTCCGAATCGGCACATTCTCGGGGTCGTTATCGGCTTCATAGAGTGCCTGCCGGAGGGGAATATCGTGCAATGACACGAACTTGGTTTTGTGGTAGAATTTATACGCAAGATAAAAGCCCAATACCAGCGGTATATCCCTAGGGAGATAGTGAGCGATGCTGGTGTTTAGCAAAAAACCTTTTGGACTTACAGATAGGATGAAACGAATCCGGACGGATCCCAATTGCCGTTGGTAAACACGGCGAAGCCACCGGTGAGCAGGAAAACAATGCACAGTATGAGCGCGAACCACGAAGTATACACTACATCTGTCAGTCCAATATCATCTGTCGGATAGGGCATTTCCTTACGGGACCAAAAATTATGCCACGGCAGCCTGTTCGGAGAGATCTGCTGCGCCTTGAACGCATACAACATCCGGATATGATTAAGGACAATTGTACACCACGATACGAGGACCCCGGCAGACGTCAGTGCCAGAAACCAGTTGAACACCGTATACGCTCCATTCGAGCAGCTGAGATACGACAGACATGAGATGGCAATCTGCAGCGCAGAACACATATATGGAACCCCCCGGTTGGTCGTCCGCAGGAATATCCTTGGGGCGTGGCCCTTCAACGCCAATCCGTATAACGTGCGAGTGCCTGCGAGAATACTCTGATTGGATGCCGACCAGGCGGAGCTCAACACGCCTGCGTTGATAATCGACGGCACGACATGAATGCCGGCGCGCACTGCCGCAATCACGAACGGACTCTGCGTGGCCGTCCCCGACTGGTCGCCCAGATGTGGGTCATCGCTCCGAACCAGCATGCCCACGATCAGCACCGCCAGGAAGTAGAACAATGTGATGCGCACAAACACCCTCTTGCATGCCCGTGGGATGTTCCGTCGCGGATTCCGCATTTCCGCCGCAGCCATCGCTAGACTTTCCACTCCGGAAAACGAGTACACGGCGTTGGTCATAACTGCCCAGAACCCCAGGAACCGACCCCATGTTCCGGTAGCGATATACTCGACAAAGGGCCCGGGTTCCTTCCAATACCGGAACCCCAATCGGGGCTGACCCTTGACACCACCGAGATCAATCACCAGACCCATAAGGATAATGCCAATCACCAGAAGAACTTTCACGAGGGCCAGACTGAATTCCACCTCGCCGTAGACCCGCACAGACAGCAGCGCCACAGACGCCGACATCAGAATCAGCACGGTGATCCAGACTGCTGGGTTCACATCCAGCGTCCAATACTGAATGAGCACCACCGCGGCGGAAATCTCACTCGGAACCGACATAAATGCTCCATACACAACATTCCACCCAACTGCAAATGCCATTCCAGGATCCCCCAGGATCTCAACATGACGCACAAACGACCCCGTGACCGGCATGAGCGCCGACACCTCACCCAAGGCGATCTGTACGGCGCAGACCACCAATCCGACAAGAGCGTATCCCATGAGGGCACCCAACGGTCCCCCAGTTTGAATTGATGACCCCAGACCGAGAAACAGACCAGTTCCCTGAAAACATTAATATCGTCTCCTATCCACGGTTGACCAGAGGGAGACGTACGATAGCCCCCGCAATGGCAATCATCTGCGTATGACGTTGGTGCAGACCGCGCGATAGATTCTGCGCTTCTTCATCGTGCACAATCTGAGGTTCCTCGGTGATTTTTGTCGCTGTCTGTGGATCTTCTCGAGGGTCTTCTGCTGGAGCTGGCGACACCTCTGTTTGTGTGTTGATGAAGGTGGGTTTGGAGCTGGAGCTCATTTTGATGAGATCAGGATTCTATGTATTATATGAAAATAAAATTGAATATAATCCTGAGGTTGATGAACATAGTCCCAGTTAGTAGAGCGGCATTTTGAAGACGCAATCGCGGTCACAACCAGACGGAGACCTGAGAAGAGGAAAATCGGAAACAAAACAATCGCACAGCACGTCATCCGCTAGATCAGTGGGGCACTTCCTTCGCTGCAATGCTGGATAGGTGACAAACATCCAGGACATATTGCATAATTGCACTACGATAAGGCAAAAAATTATGTCGGTCAGCTGAATACGCGTATGAGCTAGTATCACCAATCTTATGAATAATAATGGGTCTGAGGTCTCTCATTATCTGAATCTATCTGGGAGAAGTCAAAAAAAAAAAGGTGAAAACAAAGGAACAAAGTCGGACCGAGAGGATGCCGAATAATGGGTAATATTGCTCTGGTCGACAATATATATACATACTAGTATAGAGTAAAATAAATTAAAAATTTTTTTTAAAAAAAAAGGAGGGGAAGAAGCCTCAGAAGTGATATTCCGAGCAGCCTACACAACCCCAGGAGTATACCAAACGGAACACACCAAGATCCGTACACAATTACAAGGCTATTCATTTCTCCAAAACAACCCTAAAAGTCAGTCGCTCGAGTCACCCCCTTCAGCCATCGTATGGTGTTCAACTCCAACCCGGGGCACCGCATTCAGGTCACGATTTCATTTCCATCGCTCCTCCACACTCTCTGATCGTGGAAGGATGTCAGTTCCGACAATAGTACCAATGCCCGGTTCCCTAGAACTCAGTGCTCCCGGCTGGAGTCACGGATATGCGCACTGTGTTGGTCACGGCAGCGTAGAATACCGACTACTGAAGCATCTTCGCGGCGCCCTCGAGTTTGACTGGGATATTTTGGCACATAAGCTTTTCCTGTTTCAACTGCATCTTGTCCCTCCCGCAAATGACTATCGGCCGTTTCTCGAGTTGTGGTAGTCGAACGTTGAAATGCATAGAGCTGCAATAGAAACAAGTACCCTTCGGCTTGTCCAAATGGTCGACTGGAAGTAGCTACAGTTGGATTAGAGCCAAGCATTCTACCTTCACCACTTTCAAATCAAGCTGAATTGTTATATGCTCCCCATTTTCAGTGGATGCCGTCTGCCTCGATGCCAAAAACGCCGATAGCAGCACTATATCCAAACGAAGGCTCAGAGTTGTTGCTAGAATGGCCCCTTTACTATGAAGAATACCGCCATCTTCGACGGCGAACCAACTTGCTAGTCCTTTGCGCCGCTGCGCATTCTCTACCATGTCGTGCACGCGCTAGAATGGCCGCTCCTTTGGTATGACCAGACGATGGTATCCTTGAAATCAGCTGCGAGGGCCTAGAAGTGGTTTCCGTCGAGCTCCATCGGATCTCTTTAGAATGTTTCGGGCTCTGGCAGCCCTGTCCCTGATATGGTCGAGTTCTGCCTTGGCTTCACCATGTGACTCGGCAATCCGAATGATTTGCGATGTCACCCCGCAATTTACTGAGTCCTCGAACAATTGATCCAGTGCATGGTTTGGGTACGTAGCGCAGATAATTTGCCCGAGTTTGGTCCTGCCATTATCACTGTTGGCAAGAAGTACCTTGATAAGTGCTACTCCAATATAGCTTTTTCCTGTTCCTGGAGGGCCCTGGATTAGCCCTATATTTCGCTGGAGGCAATTGACAAGTGCAACTGCTGGGCTTTATCAAGTGTAGAATTCTCATGTAGCTTTTTGATGTCTAATGGGCTCCTAGCGTAGACTTAAACATCAATGCTGTCATTTATCAGACACAGAAGATTAAATGAGAAGCCTGGATTCCGGCAAAGAGGGAGGGGGGATATCCCTTTAACCGATGCCATCCGACATGAATGGAAGAATGAAGTCCGAAAAAGGGAAATGGCCAATCCGTTTCATTATCTGAAGTTTGCGAAGTGTCGGCTCAAAGCAGGAAGAAGTACTCACGGGAACTCCAATATTTCTGGCCGGATCGACTGCTGCCGGCGCAAGATCGCTTGGATATATGAGTACTTCATGTTTTCAACGAGTAAGCATGACTGAAGCCTGCCGATGGTCTTCCCATAATGACACCAAACACTGCTCTCTTTCGTACCTTCGCCATTTTGGCCCTTTGAATTTTTGGAGCGCTGTGTATCAACAACCGTGCAAAATACCACATATTGACCAAAACCGATCAGGCAGGTAAGCCCACCGACCTGGAAGCTCTTGGACATTAACCATCAATTTTGACGTTCCTTTGCGGACATATTCGTGACGCTATGGGGCAGGAGGAATTTAGCCTCAAATTTGAAATCCCGCGGGTGGCTAAGGTACAATTTCCCAAGGGTAGCAGGATTGTAAACAATGGTCCTAACGTGGCTTTTCCTAGATTTGCCATTTTCAGGCCTTTAATTTCATCGTGAATAGCATCGAGAAGCTGTACTACGGTGTCCTCTCTGAGCAGGCGAAGGTTTCTATCTAACAGGCCAACCAAGCTGTCGATATTCCACTGGATAGGATCGATTCCGGGAAAGTACTCAGTGCGTATGCTCATTATTTCCTGGAAACTAGGTATGACTGTGATATTGCAAAACTCAAGAAAATCATTGTTATGGCGTCTGGCAAGTGGGTCGCGATGGAGAAGGATATTGGCCTCCTTTGCATGCGGCCCCGTCCTTCTGTGGATGTAATGTGTAGTTCACTTCCAAGTACAAAACGGTGTAGAAGCCGCACAAAGTGGTCTCAAGCACTGTGCAGCAAAACCTGCATTTCTTTGTTTAGGTCAATTAAAATATGTTCGAACCGCTTCGCCAGGATTCTAAGAGGATCTTAAACGAAAGTTCATGTCAGCTATGCGCGAGAACGCTCAGAGTGACAGTTCCAACCATGATACGATGCTTTGGTTGTGGCTGTTGGTGGAATGAACGCCACAGATGTAGGACAATAAATAATCTGCCCTTGTACGGTTGAGTCCAAAGAGGAAGTTGTAGATTGTCCCAACCGTCTGTTTTAGAGCCAGAGAAGATAAAACATTGGGATGCGAGATAGTCTCCACTAACGGGAGCATCTGCATATCGAATAGTCTCCTTTTGTTACTGTATCCATTTTCCCGTATTCCTGTTCGATGAGATCTCGAATGCAAACGCAGACCACCTTCCTTCCAGACACTGGATCACATCCTGCTGAACTCCGTCTATATCTATCAGACAGTGTGCCTCCTAGAAAATGATGGCAATATGCCGCCAAGAGGCCTCGTGTGCATAATGGTCAAAGGTATGTTGTCTCTCCACCTGCGAAAGTCAGCACCGAATTTGATATCTAGGAAGGTATCTTGATGTTGAGCCGGTGGCTACACTATCGATCCAACCGGTTTGACAAGCAACATGTTGGAATTTGCATTTTTCTGAACTTGCACTCTCCAATTCTGGGAAAGTGGTGGCATATTCTGACCTCGTGAGATTTGAAACTCGCTCGCAGCAGATGCTTGGGAGACTTATGCTGATCCATGACTAAGGCCTTGTATTAGACGTCAGCTAGCAAAGATACAGCATGTAGCTCTTGCTGTCCATGTTGGTACTGGTGACCCTTTTTCAATCAACATGAGCTCACCTAATGTCCATGAAGCTCGCCTAGATGAGATCTTTTGACAAAATTAGCGAAGATGTACCATTCTTCGTAATTCTAATTTGAGAGAGCCCGGGACACATCAAATGATCACAGGCGCGTAGAGTACTAATAAAAGGGCTATAAAAAGACAATAGAAGACTGAACGATAGAGCGGTAGAGAACAAGAGAAACATTGCGTTTGTGGGCCAAACGCACGAATTCAACTCAGGGAATGAACTCTCCAGTAAGGTTAGCACTAGCCATTAGTGATGAAGTATCAATGAAATTCTACTGGAGTAAAAAAGGAACTGGCCCTAGCTAGGCAAGATGTAGGTAATCCTTTGATATTCTGACAGGACGTTTCCAGTCAACTAAGCGTGGACATGCTGGAAACTCCTGTCAATACTTTCTAGATTAAGCAGGAAGGAACAGCTCGCTCATAATACAGAAGAGGATTGCCAATTTAGAGATAGAGGCAGCCACGTGCCGGTCCCCAACATCGTTTACAGTTTTATATAGAGAGAAGCGATACTCTGGCTAATACTATCGGATTATTATTAATGAAGTTTAACTTTTCTGCCGGGCCTCACTGGCTATGAAAGCGGATCCTATCGGATATATATTATCAACTGCAGAGGTCTCAACAGTAAATTACAACATTCTATGCAAGGCATTTATTCCTAAACTGTTGGAAATTGTGATAGTAGTATAAGTTAAAAGGAATAGAGGCTCTTAGCTACTTGTTCAGTAGATCGAGTATACATCATATTACCTATCCAAAGCATAATATTGACCAATTCATCGAGCTTTGTATTATGGACATTATTAAAGCAACATATAACTCGCAAACCAGCAACATAACTCCTCTCCTGGAATTTGTTTAGAGACCTAAGAAAGAGAAGGCACTAATTAGCTTCACACGCTAAGAGGATTAATGGCTTAACATTTGCTCAAGCATTTCTTGTCTCCCTGTTGCTTTCTTTTCTTTTGGTTTACCCTCGCTTATAATTGGTTAATGTATCCCTGCGATTTAGTTAATTTATAACTATCCTAATCAACTATCTAAGCATCAGCCTCGTGTTAGCTACTATAGATAGCGAATCAAAGATTCTAAGGTTTATATATTAAGGGACGACGCTATGCAATACATAGCAGGCTAGATGGAAAGTCATACATTATTGAACTCGCAAGTAATATCAACTAAAAGCACACGTGCTCTCTCTCTCTCTCTTTTTATTTTTGAGTTATTGCTGTACGTCAGCAAGACCTTTGGACCAGTGTTTAAGCTTAAGAATATAGTAAATATCGCCTGTTTTCCAGTTGCATATTTTTAATCTATTAAGCACCACTACAACCTAGTTGTCTTTATTACCCCCCTCTCGTTTAGCTTTTAGCTTGACTGTCACAATATCGCGGTATGGCCTATAGTACCACATAAATGTACAGATCCAAACCCGACATACGGCAGCTGCTGATCAACAGTAATCAAACAGGACTAGAACCATGGTAAAATTGTTAAATCCGCCTTCTTGGTATTTCGGGGGTATGACATCGATTGGGGTTATTGGCGTTGGTGGGATGTGATCCCGGAACCGCGGAGTATCGGAGAGCAGGTTACACGATCGGAATTACCCCGCTATTGATGCTGAGCTCACATTGGTAGGTGAAGAGGTGGCGCATCCAAGACAGAATGTGTTGAACAGTAATGCTCGTACGGGACGAAAAAATCTGTTGTCCTTTGCGGATTTTTAGGATGGTATTCCGTATACAGCCCGTATTTCTGCTCGAACTTGTTGAGAACTGGACCAAAGCTCGCCAATAAGCACGGTTCGTACGGCAATAAGTACGATTCGTATAGCTTTATCTAATCACAGACACGGCTATCGGATAACTAACATACTCAAAAGATAGTTAGATAACTACAGGTAGCGATTGCGTAATCCGATCAAAATAGCTCTCCATCTGTCCGAGCTCCAGTTATCCTCTAGACAGGTGACAACATCCCCACAAGCTTAAACGATTAACAGGTATGGCTTATCTATTGGAATTGGCAGAATGTTCCATACTTTTCGAAGGAATCACCTATATCGTACTGGTATCAGATACAGAGGAACCAGGAGATACTATCATGCAGCTACGTTGGCCCGCGGCTAGCGTCGCAGTTGATCTGCGACATTGACATTACAAATAATACAGGCATATCGGTGGAGATGACAGGGAGCGGGACACTCTATCCGATCTGAATGGTTGACAGTTGGGCTGGGGAGTGATTGTGTCATGTCTTTTGAACAAAACCGCAGCAGCTTCTGACCACTAGCAGGGTACCCTTGACTCATTCCACCCATTCCGCTTGGCCGTAGGCACTAGGGAGTACTAAGGTTGCGGGAAACAGACAAATCAGCTTACCCGGCCGCGGGGAATCCCCCTCAAGTAATTCGTATAGAGTAGGTCAGCGACATGCATACAAGCGGAAGTATCTCGTAGCATAACAGAACGCAGTGACCCGAAACCAAGGTCTCGAACAAAATGGATGATGGGACTACAGTGGTAGTGTAGCTAGCGACTGGATCCCAAATGTGGGAAGCCCCCGCTCTATGAGCATTGAGATTTTGGTAGTGTAGGAATTCCCGTTTGGCAGGACAGAAGGTGGACTTGCCGAGCCTGCCGGTGGTATTTCCCGTCCTCAGAGATTTGGAATTACCTTTCTTAAGACGTGATGATCAGGAAGATCAGACAAATCAAAGAAATACCTCCACGTGGATCACTACCAATTACTACCAGGTAAGGTAGGAGTACATCCACGATACTATCTCTATATGCAAGATCAGGTTATGATGCAATTTATCTGTTCCAAGGCAGTATCGGACTGTAACGAAACGACTGCGCAGGCCTGGTGAGCAAATGCCGGGATGGGGGAAACACACGCTGAGTGGCTGGCGGGCACCTCCCCTCCCCGCACGATCGTCTGGTGAACAGCCAAAGTGGGGCAAACTGTATCCGAGCCGGAAAAACTGCAGTGACTTTCGTGTATTGGCGATACAGGAACCGCAGCTGGAAATGCAGCTGGCGACATTCACCAATCAGCGGGCTGCCCTCCAATACGGTCCCTGTAAAGAGGACCCTCGGTGTTTCGATCCCTCCTCTTCCTCCCCCTCCACCATCGTTGAAATATCAACCAGTCGCCCCTCCGTTTCTCTCTCTTTCTCTCTTCTCCTTCGATCATCCTTGGCCTATTCCCTCCATCTCTCACTCTCCACTCACCTATCACAATGGCCGATCTTACTGCTACGATCGAGACTCCCGTCGCCAAATATGAGCAGCCGTTGGGCCTGTGGGTTTACCCCTCACTGCAAACTCAACCTGAATATGTTTCTGCTAACACAATTGCTTCACCAGGTTCATCAACAATGAGTTCGTGAAAGGTGTCGAGGGCAAGACCTTCGAGACCATCAACCCTACAAATGAGAAGGTTATCACCTCCGTCTACGAGGCCACCGAGAAGGACGTCGACATTGCCGTCGCGGCGGCTCGCAAGGCCTTTGAGGGTTCCTGGCGCAAGGTGACCCCTACCGAGCGTGGCCGCTTGCTCACCAAGCTCGCCGACCTCATGGAGCGTGATAGCGACATCCTAGCTTCCATCGACTCCCTCGACAACGGTAAGGCCCTCACCATGGCCAAGGTTGACGTTGCCAATGGCAGCGGCTGCATTCGCTACTACGGTGGCTGGTCCGACAAGATCCACGGACAGACCATTGACACCAACCCCGATACCCTGGTCTACACTCGCCATGAGCCCATCGGAGTCTGTGGCCAGATTATTCCCTGGAACTTCCCTATCCTGATGTGGTCCTGGAAGATCGGTCCTGCCGTCGCCGCCGGTAACACTGTCGTTCTCAAGACTGCCGAACAGACTCCCCTGTCGGGTCTTTACCTTGCCAAACTTGTCAAGGAAGCTGGCTTCCCCCCTGGTGTGATCAACATCATCTCTGGCTTTGGCCGGGTTGCCGGAGCCGCCATCTCCAGCCACATGGACGTCGACAAGGTCGCTTTCACCGGATCGACCCTTGTCGGCCGCACCATCCTCCAGGCTGCTGCCAAGAGCAACCTCAAGAAGGTGACTCTGGAGCTGGGTGGCAAGTCTCCTAACATCGTGTTCGACGATGCCGACATTGACAACGCCATTTCCTGGTCCAACTTCGGTATCTTCTACAATCACGGCCAGTGCTGCTGCGCCGGCTCCCGTGTCCTGGTTCAGGAGGGAATCCACGACAAGTTCGTTGCTCGATTTAAGGAGCGTGCTGCCCAAAACAAACTCGGAAATCCCTTCGAGCAAGACACCTTCCAGGGTCCCCAGGTTTCAAAGATCCAGTTCGATCGCATCATGGAGTACATCAACCACGGCAAGCAGAGTGGTGCCACCGTCGCCGTTGGTGGTGAGCGACATGGCAACGAGGGTTACTTCATCCAGCCCACTGTGTTCACAGACGTCACCAACGACATGAAGATCGCCCAGGAGGAGATTTTTGGACCTGTCGTCACTGTCCAGAAGTTCAAGGATGAGGAAGAGGCTATCAAGATCAGCAACAGCACCTCCTATGGTATGTATTCGCCTTCTTCGTGGGACCTTTTATCTAACAATCCCAGGTCTTGCTGCTGCCGTCCACACCACTAATGTCAACACTGCTATTCGTGTCTCCAACGCTTTGCGTGCAGGGTAAGTAGATATCCAATGAGCGTTGATGATATGAGGCTAATGGATCGCAGAACCGTCTGGATCAACAACTACAACCTCATCTCGTTCCAGGCTCCCTTCGGGGGTTTCAAGGAATCCGGCATTGGTCGTGAGCTTGGTTCGTACGCCCTAGAGAATTACACCCAGGTCAAGGCTATACACTACCGCTTGGGAGATGCTCTCTTTGGATAAGGGATTGGTTATGATTTAATGCATTTGGCACTGTTTTGTTGCTACAGATCAGCGATGATCCATGATTTCATCATGTAAAAACAAATTGAGACGAATTCATGACACTAGTCATTTTACTTCAACTCCTTGTAATTAATGGTGGGTCTATCGGCCGAGTATAATAATTCAACACCGAACCGGATCCCTTTCAAATCTAATATTATACCGTCACCAGAACCCTCGCAATAATAATCTAGTCAACAGAACACCAAAAATCCTAACATACGAGTTCAAACAACTAACCCACACTCAACTACACCATACATAACTGTCTGATACATAGGCAGGGATGAATTGTCCTGAGATTTTATTACTATGCCCCAAATACTCCAAAGCCGTGTTACCTAATTATAGCACTCAGACCGTTACTCGGGGTAATTCCTCCCACTGAACTCGGATAGAAACACCCCGAAATAGAATCCCATTGTGCTGGTTTCTACAACGACATGGTGTGGTATACAGTGGTTGTTTTCAGGATTTAATTAAATGTGGTACTTGGGTGGATAAGAGTGGATACAGCGGGATTTGGAGTTGGTATGGATTCTTTCTTTCTTCTGACTGGGATAGAACATGTTTGACAGTTCGATAATCTTATTCATAGAACATACACACTCCTCCCTCGGTCCAGAGTAAAGCAAGTCCTACATACTATCATTCTATAACTCACAATTTGGATTGTTGGGCAAATGCTTGATACCTCTCCGTCCATTTCGGCCCACGATACTCAGGAGCTGCCTCCGACGCAACATGTTCATGCATATCGTATCTAAAACAGAAACCGTTAGCCAACCAGCATACCAACTCAAGACGATAAACACTTACTCATTCATCTCCTCGATGGTCAATTTCGTATTCTCATCCTCGACGCGATATCGCTTACTACTCTTCTGACTGGAAAATCCAATCCGCTCTGAGATATTCTCTCTGGCACGGGCACTGGCCGCCTGCACACGAGTCGCCCTCAACTTCCTAATCTTCTCATACAACTTCAACCCCTCCCTCACATCCTCAGTATACGAGTACGCGCGACCAAAGATGAGTCCTAACGCTGCGGCATCCTCGATAGCCTGACATGCGCCCTGGCTCTGATCGGGGAGCATAGGATGTGCGGCGTCACCGAGGAGACAGGTGCGTCCTTTCTGCCAGTAGGGGTAGGGCTGATGTACGAATAGACGCCAGGGCTTGATATCGACTGAATTTCGGAACAGAGCCAGTAATCTAGGATCAAGAGTTGGGAACGGAGCGAGTAGTTGTTCGTGCGTTGCTTCGTGGTTCCAACCTTCTTCGGCGTGGTCGCTCATCACGGTCGGGAAGAAGCAGTAGAAGGAGTGGATTTCGCCGTTGCGACAGGGTGAAAAGACGATCTTGTTGATGCCTTGGCCGCCCCAGAATTCGATCGCGCAGTTCGGCGATAGATCGGTTAGGCCGAGACGACGCACCTCGGATGTCTCTACCACGCAGTGGTAGCAGGTCGAGGTGGATTGTTTGCGTTCGGGGTTTATGTGTAGTGTTCGGCGGATGGCGGACTACACTGTTAACTGTCTTTCTCTCTCTCTGTTGGTGGAAAGGAGATACTCACTCCAATTCCATCCGCCCCGATAATCAAATCATGTCTGGCCGTGACCCCATTCTTGAACGTAATCACGCCTGTCTCATGATCTACCGATTCACACGAATGATTCAACATCAACTTCGCAGGAACACCCTCACCCTCTCCCGTCGCCGAATCCATAAGCATTTCATGCATATTCACCCGATGAAACATGTTATACACCTGCTTCAGATCAGCTCTAGCCATAATCCAGACGGCGCAGAGCAGAGCATACATATCCCCATCGATCCTTATAATCCGAGAGATCATAAACATCCTGCACCTCGCCGGTTTCCCAATCATGACGGATTAATTTCTGCAGAATGACCGACTTCCCGAGACTGATATTGACGTTCCATTCCTCGAGCCACCGCGTGCCATTCGCCGCGCAACTGATCGATGCTCCGACTTCGCCGGCGTAGTCAGCACGCTCGTAGATGGTGACTTTATGACCTGCTCTGCGAAGAGACGTTGCTGCTGCGAGACCGCCTTTTGGTCGTTAGGTCCATCTGACAGATAAAAAAATAAAAAATAAAATAAATAATAAAAAAAGGAAGGCATACCAATCCCACCACCAACAACCGCAACATCCAACTGATGCCAGTGTCCAGAAGTCCCGACCATACTGGTGAACGAATTCTGTAAGGAAGATGTCTATCTGTCGACCTGTCTCACTTGATACCCAGAGTTTTTGGTCGAAAAAGACTCATAGTATGATTATATCGGGCGAGCGAACTCATATTTAAGTTGACAGCACTTAGCCCCTCTCTCGTCTGCTTATCATGAACCTTGTGCTGTGTCCTCGTGCTTCGAGTCGTCTCCAGAGAGGAGGCGGGCCGCGCACTGATGAATTGTAGTGGCGGTTAATGTCGGGCACATTGCAGGGAACAAACACTATCCGACATGGCGGGCCGCACACCCTGTCGTTGATGACGTCATTTCATATCGTCTCAACGGGTTGATCTATGATTGGCTTGGTTGGACTGTTTAGGTAGTCGACAACTTGTTTCTGGTGCTGAATCCACCGATTTGCAGTTGTTGTGTTCTAATATCTCACAGGTCGCGTGACTTACATTCCTTGCATTTTTTGGTTTTTTTTTTAAATATGTGTAACCTTCATTCCCTCGACTTGTATTCAACACTACGTATTAGTTGGATTTACCATAGCACTGGGTAATTCTGGACAAAAGTGTCATCCTCATGTTATAACAGCTGAATTTCAAGCTCCGGCCTGCCTAGATTGGATTATAGAATGGATATACTTGCCACCAGACCCCTGGTTAAATTTCTTAGAGATATATAGGGATTCCGGAGCCGATTGTCGTATGGGGGCATTCAATGAATTCCGGATAGCTATACCACAGGAAAATACGCATGTGGGCGTCTATGGAATGGACTGAAAGCGTGTTGCAGCAACTATCAATCCATACTCCCTGTCCATACCAGTTTATGCACAACGCAAGAGCGCTTAAGAATGAGCCGCTGCCAACATTGAATGGCAATAGCTATATGCTATCTTCCCGACTGACAGGATGATGGAAATAGCCCGACCTTGTGAGATGTCATTGTGGTCTACAGAACCACCACGTTGACCAATCGCTTTTTTAGGATGCTTACATCCAAGAGTGGAAGGCTTAACAGTTGTTGATTGTTCTTCTCGCTATCTTCGATTTTATATTCATGTACTTGGGGTATTCTACTAAGCTTAAATTCTATTCGTTGAGACGACAACTGTGGACATTATATAGTGAATTTCCTAACATTCTATCTAATATATTCTGACTATGGATTACCACAAATAAAACCTTCCAGGGGGAGAGCCCGCACCTAAACAGGATATGAAGGGGTTAGCACTATATCTGAGCATGAAATAGAACCCTTTAATCCAAAACAAAACAAGTTTAATTCTCAGACGATGTCGCTCTTCCAAAGCAAAAAAGGTTGCGATCATTGTATCAATATCACATCGGCAAAATGGTCTCGTCATAAAATAAAAAAAAACGAAGAAAATGAAAATCAAGTAAAGTACTCACCTTATAGATATGTAGACTCTGGGTCTGTCGTATCTTCCAAAGATGTAAGATGATGAAGAAAAAAGCAGATTGGAAGGACAGGAGCTACTATTTATGCTCAACTGGAGGTAATGTTGACTTGCATCACATCTTTGTTCTCTTAGAATTTGAGAGACCACCTGCATTGAGTGACGCCGAGATCCCTGCTTTGGGGCGAAAGAATTTCCAAAGCTATCGTAAATATCGAGTTAGTCCTTATTCGGTGTCCGTAGGAACCCTCCGATGCTCACTCATAATGACTGTGTGCTCTTCCATTGGTTACTATAGCTCTGGGCTAGGGGCGCTCCAATTTACGAGGGTGGCTTCCCTATCAATATAGAATTATAGCGGTCCTATAAACGCTATAGCATACATAGTTTAGCCCGCAAATCCATTTTAACATTGCGTAGAATAAAAGTCCATTTAATACTATCTTGTCCTTCTATCTCTATAACGTCAATAGTGCAGTCAAGAGTAGGAGCGATAGTTGTGGCCGGACCATCCACAGGCGTCATCCGTAGCCCCCCTGACACTACACACCCGTCTCTACCTTAACGGCGTTCATCCACCAACACTCATTTTCATCCAATAATGACTGTATCAATCCTCTTTCAGCAGTCTGTATGCTGGATGCAGCCAAATGTTAGTAAGCCAATTAACTAAATTAGCTAAGCCTCCTTTATTAGATCAACAGTTCCAAAACAGCGGATACTGTACAATTTCGCCCTCCCAGGAGTAGAATAGCTAAAGAAAAGCACCCAATTGCAGGACAGTCGTGCATTCTCGGATAGAATATGACTCGCTCATATATTGTTATTACTGAAGATGGCGTGTAGATCGCTCATCCCCGGATCATGGAGGATCATCGGGGATCATCGTGAGCAACCATGACTCATTTCTTGGCATGCTGTGTTAGGGCTTCGTTCAGGATGGGGTTTAATTCATCAAGTTCTCTTGACACCGCTCTTCATCTTTCTCGAAATATACATTATGGCCTCGAGGGAAATAACATGCCTAATTATTACAGACTTGAGTCTGCTAAACTTAGATTTCCCCAATCTATAAACTGATTATATGACTGTTGGCATACAATGGAAGTAAAGAATTTCAAAGCCCTGCATTTGCACAAAGGTAATAAGGAAACTAGCAGACATACGGAAACCCCACACCAGGATTATAGCCTATATACTAGAAGAGGATACAGATCTCATTTCAGTCTTCACAAGCCTTATTCTACATGGCAACTCGGAAAACAAGGTTAGAATTATTGTCCATATTAGCTCCTCAGCAAGTCTATTTATATCCGTTAAAATTAGCCGTGGTGCCTATGTATGACCCCTGCTCGCATGATCTTAGAGGTGGGTGTAATGAAGGTGGTCAATCATTTCAAACGGGATGCCCACAAAATCCTTTGTGCTAGCTAGATTAGACCACCCCTTTTTCGTAGCTGCTAGGGTGTCTTATCAAGGACTGAGCCCGTAGGGAACCTATATAATAAGCTATGTACAAAAAGGAATTGTTAAAGAAGGAACGAAAGAAGAAAATGAGCGCCACGTGTTGTGAGTCGTGCCAATGGCGCCGAAAGAGCCTGACAACGGCGACAACGGGTACAATAGGGACAATAAGGACAGCAGGGTCAGTAGGGTCAATTGGCCCGAGAGGTCAAGTGGCTCTATCTAACCCTTTACAATCTAATTTTCAAGTTTACCTAACGTATATTTGGGCTAAATAAGGTTAAACCACCGCTGGCACTTATAGTTGGTGGATTAACAATGTTTCATTGCTTCTCTCCAAAATCAAATCCCTGAATTGGGCCTCAATTGGTAGTAACGTATAAATTTGTTGAGGAGAACGTGAAAATTAGACGTAAAAATCTCTGACGAATTGTGGTTAGTTATACTTTTTGGCAAGGCACTCTACGGCATGTTAATATCGATCAAATTCAGTATTCTTGTTCCGAGTAGTCCCTTTAATATTTCTCTACGGACTAAATATTAGGGAGATGAGTGCTGAGGCTTTGGAAATGTTTATTCCCCCTAGTCTGACTGATTGTACAAATATTTGGAGGCAAATTTTCTTAAATATGGTTAGAACTTTTGACTTTAGTTTATTTCTACGAAGTACTACCTACGGCTTCGGAGGAGATTGTCAGATTTTTTTTTCTTAAATTTCGATCCTTACAAATTGCTATGTCTAATTCTTGTTTAGTCAGTGCCCCAAAAGAAACCCTTACCCTAAATCAGAAACTAAAGAAAGGATGTGTCAATGTTATTGATCTCACCGCATACAAGCCGCGTACTTCTGGCTTATTATCTTACCTACCTGCATCGTGGGTCCCCTACGACGAATTGATGCGCCTTGATCGCCCTGCAGGTGTTTTGTCTCTCTTCATGCCTTGCATGTTCGGCATAACCTATACGGCCGCCACTGTGCCCATTCAACCCAGATCTCTATTGATTATACGACGTGCAGGCGTGTTGCTACTCGGCTGCATTCTCTCCCATGGTGCTGCATGTACCTGGAATAATAACATCGACCAAGACCTGGATCGTCAGGTCGCCCGCTTTCGAGTTCGACCAATAGCCCGGGGTGCTGTGTCTACTTTTCAAGAAAATGTTTTTGCAGCATTTCAGGTGCTTGGAATTGGAATAATACTACTCTCATTGCCCTCAGTGTGCATCCCCTATGTCCTGACCATCATCGGTCTGTCCGTGCTGTACCCTTTAGCAAACAATTTACTGACTTTCCTCAAATTATCCTTGGTCGTATGTTGGCGTTGGCTGTCTTGGTGGGAGCAGAATCGGTTCATGTCAACCCTTTATCGGTTGACCATATTATACCTTTTTTCTGTTTCTATACTGCGAATGTGCTCTGGACCGCCATCTACGGCACCATATATGCGCACCAGGACGTGGCAGATGATGTGAATGCAGGGATCAATGGCAGAATGGTCCAAACATTCGATTGAGTTGCTCGCGTGTTTGGCTCTTGTAACGACGGGTTTCTTGGTTATTTCGGGAGTTTATGCTGGCTTGGGACAAGCGTATTTTATTTTATCTTGTGGCGGAGCTCTGTTGGGCTTATTTGCGACCATTGCTTTGGTCGACCTTGAGAGCCCGTGAGCTGTGGATGGTGGTTTAATCAGGGTGTCGTGTCATTTTCGTGGGCGGTAGTATAATCAGCGGATTAGTGGAAGAATATCTTTGTTATGACTAGGAAAGGGTAGCAAACGGGATAGAAGAATTTGTGATGTCAGGGTAGATAAGAACAAGTATGACTTCTTGGTCGGAGAGAACGGTGTCGGGGAAAGCGCAGCTTTGAAATGTTTATAGTTACGCAAATTTTCAGACGAACTCCTGGAGCCTTGCTAGAAGCTTTCTATTCCCGAAGTTTTTCTGTTGAGCGAGTCTCCTCTCTGAACTAGGTGTCGGAGATTCAGAGCGCAGATATGCTACTGAATACTGTACAATTTGGTAAGGGGGCGAGTGTCAAGCCGAAAATTGCTACTGGATGGATCTAACCAGGGACAAGACGCGCCCTGTGTCCACCTGCTAACGTGCTCAATTCCCCAAC